AAAAATCAAAATTGTAAAATTTTTAAAATAATTTTCAATTGTAAATCAAAATTCAATTTCCAAACCAACAAACATTGATCCAATTTCTAGAGCCTAAAATAAGCATTCAACTCCAAATATAAAAAAAGATCAAACTAAAAAAATCAAAATTGTAAAATTTTTAAAATAATTTTCAAACTAATCTAGCAAGGTAAGAAAAATACATATAATCTTCTTTCGTTCTCATATGAATAGGAAAAACCTTCCTAAATAAATGACTAGAAATGTGATTATGCCTATAAGTTGAAAACCTCCCGAAATCCGTTTAAAGATTTCCATAAACTTGTTTCAGGTTTATAATAATTCTATTTTTAACACCAAAAACGAAAGATTTAAATAGCGAACCCTAAAATTTTTTCATGTGATTGATTTTCTGAAAATATAAAATTGAATGAGCTTGATTTCGAAAATCAGGGTTCATGAAATGATCTATATCAAAGTAAAAAATGCCAAAAATGAGGGGGCAAAATTTTTTCATTCCAATAACTCTCCGACACAGTTTCAATTTTTACCTAACAATAAATTCCAAATTATCGACTATATAAAATTTCAATGAAATCATTATTTTTTCATATGTATTATCTATCAATAATTTTCAGGTCTCGCCCTCAACAACTACATGCACACGCAACACTGGGATATTCAACATAGTGGTAATTTTTAATTTTTGCTTTATTTTCAATAAATTTTATGAAATCACTATTTTTGATAAATTTTTATTGTCAATCCGAAAAATAAGCACCTTGGAATAGAACCAAAAATGGTCTAGAAATCCAAAGCTAGATAAGTAATTTTTATTCTACTGTACGTGAAAGACAATTCAAACAGGGGATATTTTTTTCGGTTTGACAATACTTGGAATGTATTAGTTTCTACGTTTCACTCGCTCACGTGAACTGTGAGGAATTTGAATTCATGCCTGGAATGAGTACACCGTGAAGTCGTGATTTTTCGAGCCTTTGAAAAACCACAAATATCGTAAAAACTTCTCGGCACTAAACGGCAAACTAACTTTGAAGAGGTTTTCAGAGAAGGGGTTTTCAAAATATGTAATTTTGAAGGCTTGAAGTAATAATCAAAAGTTGTTTTCAGAAGTAGCTAGGGTTCAGAATGTCAAGCGTAATCTGAATCGTACTATTAAGTTTTATGTAAAGTGAAAATATTCAACACCTGGGAGCATAACATTTTAACTTGGCCAACTTTCTACAAAGCATTCCCAGATTTCAGCAAAAATGTGGGGAAAAGGGTTAACTTTGATAATTTTTCAATGAGCGAGCCTATCCGAGAAAGTTAGCTTGAGTAAACTATCTTATGTTCGAATATGTAACAAATTATTCCATGGAGCAAGGCTTAGTATTAGTATGGGCCGAAGGCCCAGACTCAGATTAGGCTTAGGCTTAGGCTTAGTAAGGGCTGAAGGCCCCGACTCCGACCAGGCTTAGGCTTAGGCTTAGTAAGGGCCGAAGGCCCATACTCAGATTAGGCTTAGGCTTAGGCTTAGTAAGGGCTGAAGGCCCCGACTCCGACCAGGCTTAGGCTTAGGCTTAGTAAGGGCCGAAGGCCCATACTCAGATTAGGCTTAGGCTTAGGCTTAGTAAGGGCCGAAGGCCCAGACTCAGATTAGGCTTAGGCTTAGGCTTAGTAAGGGCTGAAGGCCCCGACTCCGACCAGGCTTAGGCTTAGGCTTAGTAAGGGCCGAAGGCCCAGACTCAGATTAGGCTTAGGCTTAGGCTTAGTAAGGGCCGAAGGCCCAGACTCAGATTAGGCTTAGGCTTAGGCTTAGTAAGGGCTGAAGGCCCCGACTCCGACCAGGCTTAGGCTTAGGCTTAGTAAGGGCCGAAGGCCCAGACTCAGATTAGGCTTAGGCTTAGGCTTAGTAAGGGCCGAAGGCCCAGACTCAGATTAGGCTTAGGCTTAGGCTTAGTAAGGGCTGAAGGCCCCGACTCCGACCAGGCTTAGGCTTAGGCTTAGTAAGGGCCGAAGGCCCATACTCAGATTAGGCTTAGGCTTAGGCTTAGTAAGGGCCGAAGGCCCAGACTCAGATTAGGCTTAGGCTTAGGCTTAGTAAGGGCTGAAGGCCCCGACTCCGACCAGGCTTAGGCTTAGGCTTAGTAAGGGCCGAAGGCCCAGACTCAGATTAGGCTTAGGCTTAGTAAGGGCTGAATGACCCGACTCCGACCAGGCTTAGGCTTAGGCTTAGTAAGGGCCGAAGGCCCACCCTCAGATTAGGCTTAGGCTTAGGCTTAGTAAGGGCCGAAGGCCCAGACTCCGACCAGGCTTAGGCTTAGGCTTAGTAAGGGCCGAAGGCCCAGACTCAGATTAGGCTTAGGCTTAGGCTTAGTAAGGGCCGAAGGCCCAGACTCAGATTAGGCTTAGGCTTAGTAAGGGCCGAAGGCCCCGACTCCGACCAGGCTTAGGCTTAGGCTTAGTAAGGGCCGAAGGCCCAGACTCAGATTAGGCTTAGGCTTAGGCTTAGTAAGGGCCGAAGGCCCAGACTCAGATTAGGCTTAGGCTTAGTAAGGGCTGAAGGCCCCGACTCCGACCAGGCTTAGGCTTAGGCTTAGTAAGGGCCGAAGGCCCATACTCAGATTAGGCTTAGGCTTAGGCTTAGTAAGGGCTGAAGGCCCAGACTCAGATTAGGCTTAGGCTTAGGCTTAGTAAGGGCTGAAGGCCCATACTCAGATTAGGCTTAGGCTTAGGCTTAGTAAGGGCTGAAGGCCCCGACTCCGACCAGGCTTAGGCTTAGTAAGGGCTGAAGGCCCCGACTCCGACCAGGCTTAGGCTTAGGCTTAGTAAGGGCCGAAGGCCCATACTCAGATTAGGCTTAGGCTTAGGCTTAGTAAGGGCTGAAGGCCCATACTCAGATTAGGCTTAGGCTTAGGCTTAGTAAGGGCTGAAGGCCCATACTCAGATTAGGCTTAGGCTTAGGCTTAGTAAGGGCTGAAGGCCCCGACTCCGACCAGGCTTAGGCTTAGTAAGGGCTGAAGGCCCCGACTCCGACCAGGCTTAGGCTTAGGCTTAGTAAGGGCCGAAGGCCCAGACTCAGATTAGGCTTAGGCTTAGGCTTAGTAAGGGCCGAAGGCCCAGACTCAGATTAGGCTTAGGCTTAGGCTTAGTAAGGGCCGAAGGCCCAGACTCAGATTAGGCTTAGGCTTAGGCTTAGTAAGGGCCGAAGGCCCAGACTCAGATTAGGCTTAGGCTTAGGCTTAGTAAGGGCCGAAGGCCCAGACTCAGATTAGGCTTAGGCTTAGGCTTAGTAAGGGCCGAAGGCCCAGACTCAGATTAGGCTTAGGCTTAGTAAGGGCTGAAGGCCCCGACTCCGACCAGGCTTAGGCTTAGGCTTAGTAAGGGCCGAAGGCCCAGACTCAGATTAGGCTTAGGCTTAGGCTTAGTAAGGGCCGAAGGCCCAGACTCAGATTAGGCTTAGGCTTAGGCTTAGTAAGGGCCGAAGGCCCAGACTCAGACTAGGCTTAGGCTTAGTAAGGGCTGAAGGCCCCGACTCCGACCAGGCTTAGGCTTAGGCTTAGTAAGGGCCGAAGGCCCAGACTCAGATTAGGCTTAGGCTTAGGCTTAGTAAGGGCCGAAGGCCCAGACTCAGATTAGGCTTAGGCTTAGGCTTAGTAAGGGCCGAAGGCCCAGACTCAGATTAGGCTTAGGCTTAGGCTTAGTAAGGGCCGAAGGCCCAGACTCAGATTAGGCTTAGGCTTAGGCTTAGTAAGGGCCGAAGGCCCAGACTCAGATTAGGCTTAGGCTTAGGCTTAGTAAGGGCCGAAGGCCCAGACTCAGATTAGGCTTTGGCTTAGTAAGGGCTGAAGGCCCCGACTCCGACCAGGCTTAGGCTTAGGCTTAGTAAGGGCCGAAGGCCCAGACTCAGATTAGGCTTAGGCTTAGGCTTAGTAAGGGCCGAAGGCCCAGACTCAGATTAGGCTTTGGCTTAGTAAGGGCTGAAGGCCCCGACTTCGACCAGGCTTAGGCTTAGGCTTAGTAAGGGCCGAAGGCCCATGCTATGTATACTCAGTATGACTATGGTGTGAATGAAACTTTTTTTACTAATTTCGCGTCAAATAAACAGATTGTTATGGCAGGGTGGTGACTGATCAAGTTTGAACAGAACGCACAAGGTCCACTAGTTTACATAATATGACAAATTTAAAAAGATATTTAAAAAAAAAAAAGAAGTTATGACACACGAGATGAGAGAAATAATTTGATTATTAGTGAAAACTTTTATTCTCAAAAATTAAATTTTTGCGGAATTTCACAGACTGCCACGTGGAGATTGATTGAACATTCTTCATTTGATTTTTTAAGAAATTGAGGTTTACAAAAAATTCAAACGTTCCTTTCTAAGCTTTTATTCTACAGTAACCCTCCCTCTCTAAATATCTATATTTTTGTTTCTAACACAAACTAAGCTAAAAGTCGTTCTTCTCATTTCATTTCACCTCCTCCTAATAATCGAGTTTAGTTTTTTTCTGCCTTCCCCAAAATTCGATTATCTTTTTTTGCTGTGCGCCGTCGCCAAAAGTAGTTTGGTGGTCTCTTGACACGCAAATGTGCCTTTAAATAAAATATTGAACTGTCAGTCTTTCTAATTCTCTTTTTCCTTCCACACTCTTTCATTCATATTTAAATATCATAGAATATGAAGAGGTGAAAAAGAAAAAGGGGAGGCATGGCTCAAAATCGGGGTATGTGTGTGTCTGCTTGTCTGCGTATTTTGTCTCTTTTCCGCGCGCGCGAGCTTTTTCCTCTTTTTTTGCTCGCCGTTTTTTTCTTCTTCTTCTTTTCTCCACACCACTCTAAAAAGCTTTTGTTCTTTTTGTTTCAGATTAAACGAACTGCTGGAAAACATTAAAATAGAAAGCAGTTGATTTTCAAATGCGGTAGTAGGAGACGAGAAAATACACAGAACCACTTTTGACTAATTTATTTATTATATTTATTTTCGTCCAAACAAAATGACCAAGGACAGGTGAGTTTGCAAACAATATTTTGTTGCAACAAGAATATTTGATACCTTAAAGTTTTTGGGAAAAAATTCAGCTCAAAGATAAGAATCAGAAATTTTAAAGTAATTATTTCAATTTGAGCTACAGGCGGAGCCAGTACGATATTTTCAGATTGCTCAAATTCAGAGCTCTGATTTGCTCAGAGTAAGGCGGTCATTTAAAGCCTAAATAAAGTATTGCTCATATTAATAATTTGAAATGAAGCCAAGTTTAGCCGCATTGCTCATTTTAAGTGCATAATTAAGGATTTCATTCTTAATTTCGAGAATTCTCAATCAAACCCTATGCAGCAAAATTTCATCAAATTTTTTTCTAGAAAAATTTTCCTGAATTTATTTTCCAAAAATTTTAGGCTCACTCCTAAACTAATCTATTATATTTTCAGATTGGCCGCTCTGAAAGCGGCACAATCCGAAGATGAACAAGATGAGGATATGCACATGGATACTGGAAATGCACAGTATATGGAGGAATTCTTCGAACAGGTTTGATTTTGGAAATTTTCTGTAGATCAAAAAATGTTCCCCATTTTGATGTTTTTTGTTGAGCCAAGAAAAAAATTTAAATTCCTTCCGAAAAATTGTCACGGTTTCCCAGGATACTTATATATCATTCATGAATTCAAGTCAAGTCAACGCACTTTTCATTGAATATTTTACGATTATAGAAGAAGGGGAGGGATTTTAAGCTACCTTTTTACTGTAATACAAATCTAAAGACGATTATATAATTTACTTCAGGTAGAAGAAATCCGCGGAAGTGTAGATCTGATAGCAAATAATGTGGAAGAAGTCAAAAAGAAACATTCAGCAATTTTGTCGAATCCGGTGAATGATCAAAGTGAGTTTTTTCAAACATCAGCAACACGATATTTCTCAGAGTAAGGCAGTCATTTTAAGCCTAAATAAGGTATTGCTCAGATTTATAATTTGAATTTGAGCCAAAATTTGCAACATTACTCATTTTAAGTGCAAATTTTTCAGAGACAAAAGAAGAGCTTGATGAACTTATGGCAAGTATTAAAAGAACGGCGAATAAGGTGAGGATTTAGATTTTTCTGAAGGATTTAGTGAACAACAAACACACAAACAAATTAGCATCATTGATGAAGAAAGCAAATTGTGCTAGAATACCTAAAAATGTACAATTTAGGTTCGTGGAAAACTGAAGCTTATTGAAAATGCCATCGAACATGATGAAGGACAAAGTGCAGCGAATGCTGATTTGAGAATTCGAAAAACTCAACACAGTACTTTATCGAGACGTTTTGTTGAGGTTATGACCGATTATAATAAGACACAAACTGATTATCGAGAGAGGTGTAAAGGAAGAATTCAGAGACAATTGGATATTGGTAAGGCGTTGATTTGAGAAATTGTTTGAAAGGGAATAGGGTGATTAGGATTCGAAGTTCAAAAAATTGGATCAGAATTTTAGAAACTTTTGTTAAATTTTTGGGAAAAATTATATAGCTCTCTGAAATTTTCTGATTCTAGAGAACACCACAAACCACTGTTTTGAGAGCACGAACTTTTGAGTTTTGAAAACTTGGTCCGAACTTTGAAGAGTATGAATTCCGAAAATTTTTGAAGTCTTAATTTCACAGTTTTTGAGGCCTCAGAGGTGTCACTGAAACCAAAAAAATTCAATGCAAAAGTGAGAGATTTAGAGAAAAATATCTTTGATCTACCAGAAAAATATTTGAAAAATTTAAGGTTCAGAACTCTAAGATCTAGATTTGAAGCCTAGATCTGAAATTACTGGATTCTGAATTTCGTTGTTCAGCTCCCTCCCCCTTCACCTCCTTTTCCAATCTTTTTTTTCAGCCGGTAAACAAGTTGGAGATGAAGATTTAGAAGAAATGATCGAATCTGGAAACCCTGGTGTTTTCACGCAAGGAATCATAACCGATACTCAACAAGCAAAACAAACATTAGCAGATATTGAAGCTCGACATAATGATATTATGAAATTAGAAAGTAGTATTCGAGAATTACATGATATGTTTATGGATATGGCTATGTTGGTTGAAAGTCAAGTGAGTTCTAAGATTTCAGGAAAAACAAACAAAATCATGGTTTAGGGAGAAATGGTTGATAGAATTGAATACAACGTTGAACACGCCAAAGAATTTGTGGATCGAGCTGTGGCGGACACGAAAAAAGCAGTTCAATATCAATCAAAAGCAAGAAGGGTAAGTGGTATTCAGAAAAGAGTCTCATCGTGGTGGTGGTAGATACAAAGATATATATTAGTGGAGAATCATTTTTGCAGAAAAAAATTTATATTTGCTTGATTCTTGTGATTGTTGTGCTTGTCGTCGTAATTGCTATTGTAATTTGGGTTATTGTTACTAATGCCGGTGGAAAAAAAGTGATCAGTAGTGTTTTGCCAGCGTCTGAATCTTCTTCTTCAGCTTCAACTTCGGCACCAACTAGATATCGTGTTTAGTTATTTAAGGAGACAACTTTTGTTTTGGAATCACTGTAGGAACCAGGGAATTCTTGAAACGTATGATGAAAATTTCGAAATCATGGTTGAAACCTTTTTCGGTACCTCCTGAAATACAGAAACAAGATATATGAAATTTACCGTTTAAAATTCTAGGTCCAAGTTACAAGGCTCGAAAAATCTACAGAATTGGCACCAAAATTGGAGCGAAATCTATAGATTTCCCCAATTTTGTAGCGCCCGGTCCATTTCTTGAATTTTTTGAGCATGGTTTCTGAGAATAATTAGCAATTTTTAGCCAGTTCCAAGAAAGGTTACGATAATCCAAAAGTGCTCTAAACTTTTGGGTCTTTTCCAGCTGAAAACTGAAACTTCAGTGATTCCAAAATTGGCTGTCTTCTTCTTATATAACTTTTTGTCATTGTGTTTTGTGAAGCTTTAAAATGTTGTCTTGTCCTGTCCTGTGATACTTGTTGTACATACATACATTCATAAATATTTTTTTCTTCTAATTCTCATTTACTATTTGGGGTATTTTGCAGAAGAAGATTATAATTTTGATCGTCGTCACAATCATCATCATAATTGCAACATTGATGTTGCTCCCATATATTCCAGGAATTTGATTTTGATTTTATATTTTTTTTAAATAGTTTATTTTTCACGGCTATCATAATTTTGCACCAAATTACATAAATTTCCATAATTTTTCTAATAAGAATACGTGGCCTATCACACAAAACTGCAATATTTCATTAACAAATAATTAGTCATAGATGACGTCATAATTAATTAATTAATTAATAATTTATGAAATTTCAAATCACTGCCTTTTCTCCCGCTTCTTCTTGTCTTTTCTTTTGTGTTTTTACTTTGACCAATTAGTGATTTTTAAAAACTAGACTATAGTTTTAAGTATTTATGTTGACAGAAAAATAAGCTTTTCGATATATTATAACTAATTTAATTTATTGATTTTTTTTTATTATTTCCTGTGTTTTCTGTCTAACCCCTGAATAAATGTATTATAATGCTTTTTCTGTTTTCCTTTTCTAACTAACTAACCATTTTTTGTGCTGGGAGAAAAAATTCGAAAAAACAGATGAAGAATTCAAATCCTATGATTTATGTGAAATATGTGCTTTTCCTCTCTTTTTTTTTGTTTGGGATGGGGTATACAAATTCGCAGTTTCGAGGGTTTTTTCTAAAGAAGAGAGATTTTGAGAGACTGAAAAGAGGGCTTTTTGAAAAGGTTTCATTGGGACCAGAGGAATAAGAACAAAATCAATATAATTAGAAAATTCTTCTGATTCAAATGTCTTCTCAAATTTTTCTTTAAACATGAGCAAAAAATACAGTAATCCTAAAAATATTTAAAAATTCACCTTCAAAGTTGTTTAGAAGAACTACAATTTTGTAAATTAATTTCAGAAAAAGTATAGAATTTTTTGGGTTGATGATTTTATAATTTTCAGAAACTTTAAAAATATGTAAAGGAATATTTTTCCTTAAAAATTGAATTACGGTTTCAAAATAGTTTTGAATCTAGATATTTTTGTCTTTCAGAAATTTTCCAATAAAAAATTATCTAAAGTAATCTTTCGTAACATTCCCATCAAAAATTACAGTCCTCCCAAATTTCAGAAGAAAATATGTGTGCTAATCACTGGAGTCATTCTAATTGTCATCATTATTCTTATAATATTATTCTATGCAAAACTTCTATAAACAATTTCTTGCCATTGAAATGAATATTTATTTTTTAAAGACTTTTGTCTTAACTATTTAACAGAACAACAAGAAAAATGTGAAAGAAACGTGGTAATTTGAGTTTACAAAATGGGTAAGGATTCTGGAAAATGAACAAAAAAAAGTAAAAATCAATGCATATAAAACAGTAAGTAGAAAAACAGTGAGTTAACGTTTGCCTGGAATCCATCCAAGACAATCCTTTGAGTAGCACCTAGAAATGTTTGGTTTTTCAAATTCAAAAAGCTTTCAAGATTTCAGACTAATTCTAAAAAACTCACCGACACTCCAAACCCTTTTGTTTTTTCGCAGCTTTCGCCAATGCTTCCTTCGAATAATAGCTAACAGTAATTTCATCTCCAAGTTCAATGTCAGCAGTCGCAAAAACACCGGCACGTGGAATAAGAATTGAATCTTCGGTTTTTCGAGAAAATGCTTCGACAAATATGGAATTTGGTGTGCAAGAGTGATTGATGAAACGAGAAACGTTTCTGAAAAATATATAATTTTGAGGAGATTTCAAAAAAAGCCCTGGAGTTCCTGGTGGCAGATTTTTAAAAATTGGGAGAAAGTTCGGAGAAAAAATGCATGTTTTCAAATTTCACTAATTTTTGAGATAAGGCCGCCACGGGTTGAGTTGGTGATATTTTCGCGAAAATTCCAGGTTTCTGGATCAAGAATGGAAAAAGCAAACAAACCCTTTATCCAACGAATCAATGGCAGCTTGTACATGAATTCCACCATTCTCATCCATAACCATATTTGATTCAAACGAATAACTTTCCGAAGTATAACTTTTATCGCCATATAATCGAATCTGAATAATCAATGACGTCACACATGCATAAATTGTGCCCAGAAATATTTTGTAAATTTTTTTCTAGATTGAAAAAAATTGCGGTATGAAATTTTGATTTTTTCAAATATATCCTCAAAATCCGCTGACAATGAGATTCAACTAAAACCATGTTTTTCAACAATAAATAAAAAACAAACCACTCCAGTATATTCGGCTATCAATTCTCCTCTTTTTATCATTCCACCAGCTCGAACACCATATCCTTTGATTTCGTCCTCATAAAAAATAACTAATGGAACTTTTTGACCTCGCTGAAAAATAAAATTTAAAACCTTAAAAAATCAAAAGAAAGATCAAACCTGGATAGTTCGATTAGGGCAGGAAATATCACATCCACATACATCTGAACATTCAATAACATATTGATCACCCAAAACTTTATCATCAATTTTCAATCTTCCGTTTTTATCGTAATTCATTCGATAGCGCAACTTGTTTGTCCTCAATGTTTTGAACAATAATTCTTCTCTCAAATCACATATACATTTTGGCGAACCACAACATCTTGATCCATTCCGTTTATCATATTCAACAACTTCGTTGGTTTGACCATGTTCAGCGAGAACTTTGTCTATATGAATCGATAGATAATTCTTGTTCAACATGTCACTGACATTTTTTTCAACCAAGTTTTGATGAATGCACTGGAAAAAAAAAGACAGAATAAAATAAATTACAAGGAAAGGGCATAAGGTCACCGAATAAAATTTTCATGAAACATATCCAAATATACCAAATCGACAGTGCTGATAACGATTCCGAAGTTAAAAATTCTCACGAATGCCTGTGAGCACTTTTCTGGGGCAACAACGTTAGAATTGGGTTTTGGTTCTTGTCATTTTCACCATGTTCCCGGGTGAAAAATCAACTTTCATAATTCGAATAAGGTTGATCACCACATTCTAAAAACCCACCAGCTTTTTAGTTTATCAAAAATATGAAAAACAAGCTGAAAACTCTAATTTCCAAAAATACCTCAAATGTGGTGAACAACCTTATACGAATTATAAAAGTTGATTTTTTCACCCGGGAACATATGACAAAAACCAAAATTCAATTCTAACTTTGGAGCTCCAGAAAAGTGCTCACAGGCATTTGTGGCAATTTTTGACTTCGGAATCGTTATCAGCAGGGTCGATTTGGTATATTTCGATGTTTTGTCAAAAGGGACTTAATGCACTTCGTTTGTAAAAAAAAACAAACCGTATATACTGGGTATTTTTTGACATTTCGATCACATCCGAAATAATAAATTGGCGCTAATCGGTTGCGTACCTGTCTGTAAATTAAAGTTATGGATATAACTTGGAAATTGCTCGTTATACTTACAAATAACCATGAAAATAAGTGAGATCTGCAAAAACCCAAAATGATGCCTTCGGATGCTTTATCATTTCCTCAACTTTTGGCCAAAATTTTCTACCAGTTTTTTCCTCGATACTTTGTATTATTTCATCTCGAACTTGGCTTTCTTTCAGCTGAAAATATTATTTTTGTTTTGAAAATTTGGAATGAAAGAAACTTACCAGAACTCTAGCCGTCATCGCAATTTCTGATTTCTCTTGAATCGATGCTGTTTCAGCGGACCAACCTTCATAAAGTACCACATATTGTTGTGGATCAGATGTCTGAAAACAATAATACATTCAAGATTTTGGAAAAACAAAAGCTTCAAACACACACCTTAAAAACTGCCTGAAGAGGCCAATTTTCAATACACTTTCCATATTTCTCTTGATCCTTTTTCCCGAACTTCCTTTTAGGAATTGATTCGTTATTTCCAGGCACTTTGAACGAGCCATACAAGTTTCCACGTTCAGCTTCAAATTGACTCTGTAAAATTTTTTAATATGAATAATTTAAACTAAAAAACATACCGGAGTTAATTTGGACTTGTGTGTATCAGTATATATAATACTTCTCCGTCTTTTAATTCTTGAAGCTCTCGAGTCTTTTTGGGTGTCATTATCATTATCAGGAATAGAAACAGATGGTTCATGTTCGGAATTGCGATCAGTATCGATGACTTTGGATTCTTCTCGGTTGTCTTTTTCCAATACCGATGATCTTCGTGTTCTCTTCGAATGTTGAGCCTTATTCAGGATACTGCCAGATGCGATCAATTTTTCACTATCTGATATATTTTTTTCAACTTCTTCCAAGTTGGACAATCGTCTTCTTTCAGAAAGAAGACTGTAAATAATTTAGATTTTTTTAAACATGGTAAAAATTTGAAAGTAACAACTCACTTTTGTTTATTCCCAACTGGATGTGTCTCTTCGCTTGAAACTGTTGTCTCATTTTGCGGCTCTTCAGAACTCCTTGGAACCACATCAGATACGCGATTGTTGTTTTGATTTTCGGAAATTCGCGAAGATCTTCGGGTTCTTCTTGATTCTTTGTTTTTAGAGAAGTTATCCACATCTAATTCTGATATCGAATTTATTCTCGAACTAAATGACTTTTGATTTGATAACGAATTTATATCTAATAACAAACCTTCTTCTTCTTCTAACATATTTTTCAGATGAATTTACAGAATAATTGCTTTGGTTAGATTGTGCACGTGGCAAATCTTCTTCTTCACTTTGGTCATCATTACGATTATTTGGAATGCTTTCGGCATTGGATGTTTCAGGTGTCATTTTGGATGCTCGTTCTGTGTTATTGTTATGAAGGGTTGCCAATGTTCTTCTCCTCCTTTTTTTCGAATCTTCAGAATCACTAGTAAGTTGTTCCTCGTTTTCCTTTTCATCTCTTCGACTTTGATATTCTAAATTTCTTTCGCGAAGTGTCTTTCGTTTCCTCCCAGAATCTGTCGTATTAGAAGTCGAAGTTCTAAATTAGGAATTCTCAGAAATTTCAGAAAAAATAATATATCTAAACTTACGAGGGCATTTCTTGATTATTACCACCTGATGTTGATTGAATTTGTCTTGGAGTCAATTCGTCTGATTCGCTTTCAATTACAATAACATCGGAATCATCGCTATGAATGGATCGAGGTTGGAAAAGCCGTATATGAATAACTTCGGGCTCCGAGTCACTGAAAACTTTGAATTTACTTTCTCAACTAGAAAATTCTAAAATGTTGGGGAAATGATACGAGTTTGAATGAAGATAACGCGGCAAACGCGCTTCATTGCGAAAATTTTCCCTTTTTTCGTCGACAAAATTTTTTTGTTTACTGATGTTTAAAATGAAGGCTAGTAAATAGTCAAATAGCGGTGTCATCAAGCATTTCTAAATTTAAAAATAGTGTATTTTGAAGAGTTTTTAGAAAATTGACGTGAAGTGTAAAAATCCAATTTTGGTCATTTCTAAAAACAGTCTCGGTAATTAGTGTCAGTCAAAATGTTAAAATAGCGAAACTAACTCGTAAGTTCTTTCAAATATTGAAGCGTGATCCCAATCTTTCAATTTTTCAAAACAAATAAAACACACTTACCTGAGGGTGATAAAATCAGTAACATTGGAGCTGCTCATAACCACACTGTTTTATTCTGGAATTAAGAATTTCGTGAATTCGATCAATTAATTAGAATCCGTATTAGTCAGATTTCTGGGGCAAACGTTTTTTTTCGAAAAAATTTTGTAAAAAATTTGAAAAAACGGGTCTCGCAGCGCATTAAACAACATACATCGTTAAAAAGCGGAGTGTTGTTGTTTTTTCTTTTGATTTTTTCGCTGTTTCATTCATTTTCATTGAAAATGTGCCTTTTTCGAGGCTAGTTAACTTGGTTTATATTGAAAATCATTGGAAATAGCTTACATTAACATTGATTTTCATAAAATAGGGATTCTAAGAAAAAACGTTTTGAAGTGGCTTAAAAAAGTATGACCCAACATTTAAAAGTCTGAAAAAATAAAAAATCAATAAACCTTATTTCAATATTTCCAATTGCATATTCTATTCGTGAGTTTTTCCCAATGAGCGGGAAAACTTGTCGGTTAAACAAAAAGCAACCGGAGTGTCGTTTGTGTTTTCTCTGTGTCTCTTCAAACATTCTACTCCTACAACCCGCGAAAAAACATTTCAAAAATTGTATTCGTTGATTTTTTCTAGAAAAAATAGTTTTTCGAAAATAAACCTTTGCTTTTCAGATTTCGGTGTGAAATGTTCAACCCGCCTCAAGATTTATTGGATCGACCATTTCAAGCACTGGGTGCTCATAAAGATTTAATTCATAATGTAAGAATAGTTTAAGAACAACGACAACAAAAACGTTTAAAAAATTTACAGGTTTCTTTCGATCATCATGGTAGAAGAATGGCTACATGTTCAACGGACATGACAATGGTTGTTTGGGATAGAAAACCGGATGGAACATGGAAAAGATCAGCAATTTGGAAAGTTCACGGTGGAGCGGTATGGCGAGCAATTTGGGCTCATCCAGAATTTGGACAAATTCTCGCAACTTGCTCATATGATAGAAATATCAACATTTGGGAAGAACAATTTGTGAAAAAAGGCAAAAGACCGGATAAACGAACAGATGCGGATAAGAAACAGACGCGACTACTAGCGGGTAAATTTTGTTTATATCAACATTGTGTTGTAAGTATAATAATTAAATATCCATACACACAGGACGGATGAAATTTGAAGAAATAATTATTGGGTCAGACTGTTCTCAATTTTAATTATAATTAGGAATATTTTGTCAATGGAATGCCACAATTTTTAAAAACAAAAAAAACTGAAAATGAAGATGAAAATTCAAAACGTGAACTCTGTTTTTTGAAACAGTTTTCATTTCTTGTTTTTGTTCAGCACAGCGAGATGAAATTGGGAACAAAAGAAAAACACATTGGGTTCGTCGCTATAATATTTCGGATTGTCGTTCAAATGTGACTGATATTGCATTTGCTCCGAGACATATTGGATTAGTTTTGGTTTGTGAAATATTCTTCATCAAAACTTCGAAAATAATCCTATCATTTTAGGCGTCGTGCACTGCTCTTGGCTCAATTCGAATTTACGAAGCTCCAAATATAATGGATATTTCTCGCTGGTCATTAAACCATGAACTTCAAGCTTTTCATACTCGATGTGGATGTATTACTTGGTCTCAATCAAGAATGCATAAATCATTAATTGCTGTTGGTTCAGATGAGAAAACATCGGAAAGTACTCAAAGAATTGTTATTTATGAAAATGCGGATGGATTGAGAAAATGGCAACGAATTATTGCAATCAAACTCGATTTACCAGCACCTGTGACTGATTTGCGGTTCTCACCAATTTCATTGATTGATTCGCATCAATTGGCAATCGCGGCTGGAGATGTTCATATTTATTGTATCAAAGTATCGAAAAGTGCTGTTGTTGATGATGATACAGGAGAAGCGATTGGTGAAAATCCAGTGACATCAAGTGATTATTCAGCACAAAAAGTTGCATTACTTGGAGATGTTCGGAAGGCGTGGAGAGTTAAATATAATGTTATGGGATCGGTTGTTACTGCAACAAGTTTTGATGGAACTGTTAGATCATGGAAATGTAAGTTTTGCAGAGTTCATAAATTTTATAAACTCACAATAAATTCAAAACATTCCATTAACTTTAGACCACGTATTTATGGAAGTTCTGAAAGAGTTTTGGAGAAAGTCCCTAAAGGGATTTTTTTTCGAAAATCGAGACTTCTGGATCAAAATCCCCCTAAAAATAACAAATTTTTCCAGCTTTATTCGTGAATCAATGGGTTAAGTTAACCGAAATGAGCGCTGATGATTATACTTCATTGATTGATGGAAAACCAAAGCAAAAACAAATATTTTTATCTGAAAAAATTGGTGATAATGATCTTGTTCGATATTATTGAACTATTTAACTAAAATTTTGTTTTTTTTTTCTGAATTGTATTATTTTCGATTATTTTTTAGTTTTTATTTGTTCTCTCATTTTCTATAAAGTCTCTCTGTCTTATCTATATTTCTATCATTTTTTCCATAATCTCAAAGGTGTTCTTTTGCCTACCTGTGTATGTTATTTTTTAAATAGAAGGTCATTTGGTTATCTGATTTATTGATTTTCGATCGGATTGCATTCAACCATATCCTCACTCACCACACCTAAAATATTATTTTATTTGAAACTTTTTCATATATTTTTTTGCAGAATGTCATTAGGCTGCAGTGTTTTAGACAAACAAGTTGCCGATTGGTTGGCATGGGATAAAAATGAGAAGACTTTGAACGAAATTCGTGGATTAGTTGAGAAAAAAGATGTGGATGGTTTGAAATCGAGAATGTCGACAAGATTGGTCTTTGGAACTGCTGGTTAGTTTTTTGGACTCTTTTGGAAAATAATCCGAACTGATAAATAAAAGTCACGCGTTAGCAATTGTTTGTGTTATAAATCAAAAAATCATCAGGCATTGAGTTGTTTTGGAGAATAGAAGTATGGATATTCAATAAAAACTCCAGGAAACATTTTCAGAAAAGTTCGAAAAAACAAAAATAAATTTACCAAAAAGGTTAAAAATTGAAAAAAAAAATCAGGTTGAGTTAAATGACCTTCCTGAATATTGCTATGAGTTTTTCGTGCAGATGATTTTTTTACTGTTCAAAAAAGCCGCGTCATAACTTGAGTACACTAGTAATTTTTGGCCATGAGAGCGTATCGAAAACTACCAGAAATTATATTTAAAAAAATTGGAATTTCCTAATTTTTTCAGGAGTTCGTTCTCCTATGCAAGCTGGATTTGGTCGACTCAATGACTTGACAATTATCCAAATTACACATGGATTCGCTCGTCATATGATTGAAGTTTATGGACAACCAAAAACTGGAGTTGCTATTGGTTTTGATGGGAGACACAATAGTAGAAGGTAATCTACATTTTTAGATCATCAACAAAAACATTTTGAATTTCTTGAATATAATTATTTCAGATTTGCTGAGCTGGCCTCAAATGTATTCATCCGTAATAACATTCCTGTTTATTTATTCTCTGAAGTATCACCAACTCCAGTTGTTTCTTGGGCAACAATCAAACTTGGTTGTGATGCTGGTCTGATTATTACTGCTTCTCATAATCCAAAAGAAGATAATGGATATAAAGCATATTGGAGTAATGGAGCACAAATTATTGGACCACATGATGATGAAATTGTGAGATTGAAAGAATCGGAACCGCAACCAAGAGATGAATATTGGGATTTGTCACAATTGAGAAGTTCTCCATTGTTCCATTCTGCTGATGTTGTTATTGATCCATATTTTGAAGTTGAAAAATCGTTGAATTATTATCGTGAACTTAATCAGAAAACACCAATTAAATTTACTTATAGTGCTTTCCATGGAATTGGTTATCATTATACAAAACGAATGTTTTCTGAATTTGGATTCCCGGAAAATAGTTTCATTTCGGTTGCAGAACAACAAGAACCAAATCCAGATTTTCCGACAATCCCATTCCCAAATCCGGAAGAAGGAAAGAAAGTTTTAACATTGGCAATTGAAACTGCTGATAAGAATAACTCCACAGTTATTTTGGCAAATGATCCAGATGCGGATAGAATTCAATTGGCTGAAAAACAAAGTAATGGAGAATGGCGAGTATTCACTGGAAATGAAATGGGAGCAATTATTACATGGTGGATTTGGACAAATTGGAGAAAAGCGAATCCGACTGCTGATCCTTCGAAAGTATATATTTTGAACAGCGCAGTTTCATCACAAATTGTCAAAACAATTGCGGATTTTGAAGGATTCCGAAATGAAACAACATTAACTGGATTTAAATGGATGGGAAATCGAGCTGAAGAACTTCGCGCCGAAGGAAATCAAGTTATTCTTGCTTGGGAAGAATCGATTGGTTATATGCCAGGACATACAATGGACAAAGATGGTGTAAGTGCAGCTGCTGTTTTTGCCGAAATTGCAACTTATTTGCGCAATGAAGGAAAATCACTGCAAGATCAATTGTATTCGTTGTACAATAAATATGGTTTCCATTTGGTTCGATCGACTTATTGGTTTGTTCCGGGACCAGAAGTCACCAAAAATTTGTTTGCGACATTGCGAGAGAATTTGAAATTCCCGGAAAAAATTGGAAATGAACCAGTGGCTTCTGTTAGAGATTTGACTATCGGATATGATAACTCGAAACCAGATAATAAACCGGTGAGAATTTTCAGATTTTTAATCGGATAATCATTAAAAAAGTTGCAGGTTCTTCCACTTTCTACATCTTCCGAAATGGTCACATTTTTCTTGAAAAATGGAAGTATTACAACACTTCGCGCGTCTGGAACTGAACCAAAAATCAAATATTACATTGAATTGGTCACTGCTCCTGGAAAAACTCAAAAGTAAGAGAAATGTATTTGAAGAATTTATTAATTTAATCTAAAATTCCAGTGATTTGGACAGTGTTATCGCTGAATTGGACCAATTGGAAAATGATGTTGTTGCAACACTTCTTCGCCCACAACAATTTGGATTGATTCCAAGAAAATAATTAAATAAAGTACATTATATTGCATGAACATAGATATTTATACATTCCAAATAAAGTTTTAAATAGTAATCACATAATTACGCCTAATTTTTCTATCAGGAAGGAAGGAAAAAATGGGAACCCTCCAGGTTTTGACTCGTTGAAAGTCCTGCAGATGGGAACCTTGAGAATCTAACGTCAATTTTCACATGGCGAATACTAGTCACGGAAAAAAACTGGTTCAAAGTGAAAAAAAATACTTTTCTTACTGTGTGTTCAAAGGAACATGTTGTTTGTGTGTTGGGTCTTGAGGGGAAGAATATTTTTTGGGCGCACATTTTTTCAAATTTCATTTTTGCTTTTTTTTCTTGACAGAAAACTTTCCTTTTTACAAATGCACCATTAATGGTTTTTGCACAAACTTGAAACCAATTTAATTAAACTATGTTTTTCAGTCTTCGAAATATCATGTCAAACAAATCGATCAACAAGTTGGATAAGGCATCTTCAGATTCGAAAAATTGGTTGGAATTGCCACCTGAAATGAGAGCATGGACAATTGAAAAAATGGATGGAAAAACATTGTGCCGATATTCACAATGTTCGATTTTAAGTCGTGCGGAGGTTCGAAAATCACGCATTTTCATGAGTAAATTATTGATTGATGAATGTCCTTCCCTTGGTCATTATGACTTATCGATTTTCCATGGCTCAAAACCATTCAATTATAAAATCAAATTTATCGATGTTCACCGACACAATTGGATTCCAAAACTGAAGGACCAAACCGTTGTATTACATATAATGTTAGTTTTTTGTTATAATTTTTGAAACCCAAAGCAAACCTTGCCCTTTGAGTCAAAAATGAATATTTGCAGAGAATCGAAGAAAGATGGAGAAGATGAAGGATCTGGTGAAAATGGAATTGTTAAAAAGTCCGAAATTGTTGATGGAAAAGCAAGAGATCTTCGAAATCAATATGCTTTCAATCATTGTGAAAAATATGAGAACAATATTCGGAATATAACAATTAGAGTGAGCATTTATTTTATTTATCTGGAATCATCAGTGAATGCCATTTTCAGGGGAATTCGTTGGATGGAATCAATTTGAAATGTTTGAAAAAGCTCGAAAAAATTGATATCAACTTATGTCGCACAGATGTTGTCAAAGCCGGAATCTTCGACTTGAATCAAGTGAGTACTATTTGCTTTGAAAAATATTGTTCTTTTATACAAATTCAATCAATATTTTAGTTGATGAATGTTCCAATTTTGGAATCGAAAAAAATGGTTTTCACATATGATGAATTTTTGCTGTTCAATGGAAAAGTTGGTCACATATCAATGGAAATTTTCGAGGAGAAATTGTTGACTCAATATTTGCAATTATTGCAGACAACCGAAGTTCATAAAAATGTGAAATTTTTATCCATTATTATAACTGGTTCGAACAATCAAATTCCAAGTTTCGAATATATAAAAACACTGCAAAAACATTGGAAAGTATCTCGCACTGTGACCAGGTGAGAAAGAACATTTTAAAGTAGTCAATAATTATGTATTTCTAGCAACTTCTTTTTACAGTGATTATGTACTTGTTCAACTCAAAATTTCGGCGCAATTTCGTATTTATATTTCGTATTTTCTCGTTTGATGGACGTTTCGCTTTTATTTATAAAAAATGAAAATATTGATCAGCCATGAACAACTTCAAATTTAATTTAATTTCTTGTGAACTAATTTTATTTATACACTTATCAATGAAAATTATTATGTTTTGATATTTGTTTTAGTGTTTTATTAAAGTGTTAAATTTCATTTCAAAAATATTGTGAATTGATATTTACAGGAACTCCCGCATTTTTAGAGTTTTAATTTTTCTTGATATATCGACCCAAATCTGATATTCATGTCGGATCACGTTTTTAAAGTCGAAGCTGGTTTTATTTGAAAATTTAAAATTTTCTTATCTTGGTTCTGCTGAGATATCTCAAAATTCGGTTTGTTTAATAAACTTCCTAATTTCAGGTTCGAGATGTCTTTGCGAACAGATCTTCAACTCGATTTAGAAGTCACAAATCCAACTTCTGCTCCGAAAAATTGGTTGGATTTGCCACCAAAAACACATAAACAAATTGTCGATCGAATGAATCAACAAACGTTGTGTCAATTTTCGGGAAGCTCAAAATCGTGTCTCGAATTGGCGAAAACTACACGACGTTTAATGAGTAAAGTTGAGATTTCTGGAGACGAAGATTGTTGTGAATTATCGATTGGACATGATGGACATGAAAAATCATTGAATTATCAATTGCAATTCCTCGATGTTTCTCAAAGTGCTTTCCAACAAACTGTTTTATTATATAAAACGTAGGTTTTTTGGGGGCGGAGACTCAAAAATCAAATTTTCCTGCAAGTATGCCAACGGATAGAAAACCATTTTCAAATTTTTTAAATATAAATTGTAATTTCGGATAAAATTACAAATCTGTTTCTATATATCAAATTGATGACTGAATACTAATATCGTAGAATTTGAAAATGATTTAATTTATCTACGAAAATAGAAAAATGATAAAGCACGTGACACGACCAATTAATTAAAAAAAAGCGTGAATGCCTTTTTAATATCATATTTCTAGAATAATTTCTGTCTATTTTATTCGAACAAATCTGAAAAAATTCAAGTTTCAAAATTATGAAGCTCATTCAAATTCAAGTTTGCCATAAAAATTGAAATCTTCAGTTTTCACAAAGTTGTGAAAGACGACGGAGAAGAAGAAATGCGCATTGATGTGAAAACTTCGGAAATTCTGAATGGAACACCAAGTGAAAATCTCATCAAATACCTCAAAAATCACTGTGAAAAACATGAAGATTGTATTCGAATAATCAAATTTGATGTAAGTTGGAAAACATTGTAAATATAACAAAAAATAACCGTTTCATTCAGATCTGGTCGTTTTTTTTGGATAATCTGGACTTAAAATTCATGCGAAATCTGGAGGAAATTAATCTCTCATATGTTGAGAAAGATTGGATTGAATGTGGAATTTTTGATATTAATCAAGTGAGTTATTTTTATTTTTTTTTAAACTAAAAACTAAATGTATTCCAGAAAAAAATTATATTAGGTATTAAACAAAATAATTTATAGTTACTCAATGCGAAAGTTCTCGAAGCCTCCAATCAAACTTTTACTATCGATCAAGTTGCCAATTTCAAGGGTAGACATGCGCACATGAGAATTGAAACATTTGGTATGGAAGAATTACTAGCATTGTTGAATTTATGGACCACAAATTTACACGAGAATATATTCGAACTTGATTTGAGTGTTTTGGATCCCAGTTTTGTGAACCCGAATGAAGAAGATCTCGAGAAATTATCAAATGTTTATAAAATTGAAACCAAGGTTTTCCCGTAAGTTATTTAAGTTTCTGCAAAACAATAGGGATTTTGAATGGAATTGATACGATCGGCCAAGCCCGATTAACGAGATGATCTGTGATGCATTTTGATTTTTTTAATGAACATTTCAAATTTTCTGAATGAAAAGAAATTGAAGACACCGGGAACCCGAAATTCATTGCTCAATAATCGAATCTCACCCCTCCCCCTCACAAAAAATATTGATAAAAATACCTCCTAACAAATTAATTTTTAAAGGGGTTCGTGCTGCATTTCCATCGAAACTCATAATGGCACTTTGAAAATTATCTACTTCGGAAACAATCGAGTCACACTTCGTCACTTGTAAAATAAGTATTTTGATTTTTCCAGTTTGAAATATTTTTCCCCGTTTATTTTCCCCGTTTATTTCGTTTATTGATACATTCATATAAAATAATTTATTTGAAAAAAAAATCAAATTCTAAAAGAAACTACTATTACTCAACAATTATTTCGAGATCAGTCAAGTTGTTTGATGTTCAGTTTATATTTAAAATTTCGAGAAATTTTTGAGACCGAGAACTGTGACTGTTGGTGATAATATCCTGATGTCAGGTAATATCGAGAAGCGACAAAATATTTCACGAAACTCGAGCTGACATCTAATAGCGCTTCTTCCCAATTTCAATGTAGACTAGAGTCTTGTTTTTAAAAAATAATTATAATTTTCTTTAAAAAAATTGCTGTTTCACGTGAAACGTGAAAAAAAAAGAATTTGTGTGGAATTTTCATTTCGCTATTTTCTATTTCTAAAAATGAAACCAATTCTGAAATTAGTATTGTTTTGCGCGTTTATCTTTTTAATTTCGACAATCACACTTTTCAAAAAATTGGATATCAAAAAACAATCAAGAAATGTGGATTTATCGAAAATATCAGTCACTTCTTCGAAATATCCTTCAACTACAACAACTCGAGTTCAAGAAGAAGTGAAATTGAACAAGGAACTTGCAGTGGTTGTTATTGCTTGTAGAAGAGTGGAATCGTTAGAAATTCTTTTGGAAGCTATTTTGAAGTGAGTTTGAATTCTGATTTGCTTCTTAACTCAAAATTTTAAAATTTTGAAAAAAAAATTAACAGAGGGACTAGGTTTTCGTCCTAGTCCCCATGTATTTTTTCTTGGGACTTCAATACGGGCTTCATTTACATAAGTACTTCTTCAAATTTTTATAGATACCGCCCATCATCAGATATTCCAATATTTGTTTCGCAAGACTGTGATGTTCCTGAAATCCCTCAACTCATATCAACAAAATTCCAAAATGATGTGAAATATATCAAAGTAAGTTATGTTCGTCATTGAATAACTCCACAAATTCTCGATTCAGCACGAAAAACAAGGAAATACAACTGGTTTGAAAAGAAAGAAATCTCATCAATATGTATATCTTTCGAATCATTACAAAAATGCGTTGCAATATTTTTTTGATGAAAATCAATTTGAAACTGTGATCATTATTGAAGGTTTGTTGAATAAATCCAGGAGTTTTTGGTGAAAAATAATGTTTTTTTAGATGATTTGATGATTGCACCAGATTTTTTCTCCTATTTTCTAGCGACGAAGAAATTGCTTTTGAATGATCCAACACTTCTCTGTGTTTCTGCATGGAACGATAATAGTATGGTAAATTGTTTATTGATTTTTTATTCTGATTATTTTTTTATTAATTCCAGCCTGATTTGATTGATCAAAATGCGACTTCTCTTCTTTATCGCACTGATTTTTTCGCTGGTCTTGGTTGGATGTTGACAAAATCTTTGTGGACAGAAATTGGACATCGATGGCCAAATGCATATTGGGATGATTGGTTGAGAGAACCACAACAACGTCGAAATCGACAATGTGTTCGACCTGAAATCGGAAGAACATCAATGCAAAAATATGGAAGATATGGAGCTAGTTCTGGTCAATTTTTCGATACTCATCTCAAAAAAATTGTGCACAATGAAGTTCCGGTCGATTTTGAAGAGCAGGATTTATCGTATTTGGAACCGAAGAAATATGAAGAATTATTCCGAGAAGAAGTATCGAAAAGTAGATTGATCGAGAAGATGAGAAATATTGAGAACTGCAATAATCACACATCTTTCAAGTATGTTTAAAAGATTTTTTAAAAATGAGATTTTGGAGTTCATTTTCAGAATTGCTTATACGGACTTGAAAAAGTTTGTCAAAACAAATCGCCTCAAAATAATGTCAGATGAAAAACGTGGAATTCATCGTAGTTCATATAATGGAATTATTCCAATTTTCCATAATAATTGTCGGGTTTTTATTGTTCCTAAAAATTTGGTTTAGTTAGATTTGATTTTTGTTTTGTGTTTTGTTTTTATAGTGCCATGACATCTTTTGAGAATGCATTCAAACTTTTGTTGTGTATTGGTTTTATTTTCTGATCAATGTTTTTTTCCACAATTCCAAGCCTGGTTTTAATTGAGAAATCGTAAAAAGTTTTGTAGTTTAATGTGCATATTAAAATTTTATGGCGACTTTGACAAACCAAAAAAGATCTATAAAACTCCGGAAAAATATCAAACAAGTAACAACTGGGATGAAAGTTCTTGTAATTTTATTAATTGTTGTTGCGCTGTCCAAACAGCAAAGTCAATGTGATAGTTCGGATGATAGTTCGGATCGGAGTTCCGATTCAAGAGATTCGCATGAACATCATCATCATCATCATCATCGTGGAAATCATCAACATCCAACCCGACCAATAACTAAAGCCACAACCAAGAAAGCAGCTCCACCACCGCCTCCTCGCAAACCTCCAGCTCCGCCAAAAAGACCACCAGCACTCCCACCAAAGAGACCTCCCCCAAAAAGACCACCTCCAAAATGTCCGACTGGTTGGCAAATGTTTGAAAGAATATCCGGAAAGTGGTGTATTCAAGTTTTTGATGGGATTTTCAATAGAAACGAAGCACAAGCGAAATGTCAAAGACTTGGAGCAACTTTGAGTGGAATGGAAAATGCACACGAGAAACATTATATGCATAGTAAGTAAGATTTTTGAAACAGAAAAGTTTATAATTAATAAAAAAAATGTTCTTTCAGCCAAAGCAGTTCAAATTCTCAAAAAACAAAATCTACCGTATGGTGCAATGTGGCTTGGAATAATGAGAAAAAAAGACTGTCGTGGTGAAGCTAATCGAAATAAAGAAGCCTGTCAAAAATCACGTGCATTCTATTGGAATGATGGATCAACATTCAATACAAATATGATGACTTGGAGTTGGTGGAATCCGGATAATCGAGGGTATGTTGTCAGGACAGAAAATTTATGTATACCAAATGATAATTTTCTTACAGTGGCGATCAAAACTGTGTCTACATGTATATTTCGGCCTCAGGGCAACCACATCCAAATGGAGCTCATCCTGGCAATTTGGATGATATTCCATGTGATATGTCGAGAACTGGAGCCAACCTTTTACAATATACTCGAGCATATGCTTGTGGAATGAAACCTAAATAAATGAAACTCGAGTTGATTTTCTTATTAAGAATAAAATATTTAAGTATTGTGTTTCATAATTTAGTTTATATTACAGTAATCGTTTGGTGGTTTCCTGAAAAAATATCAAAAGTTTAGGAACTTTAACATGGGTTGTTAGAAACATGGGTTGTTTTGGAAATTCGAAGACATTCACGCGAATTCCAGGTTTTTTAGGAAACATTATTTGTAGTTATACCAAATCAAGGATTCTTTTACATTTGGGGGTGGAATGATTGGATTACTTTCAGATAAAAGAAAATTTCAGTTTTTGTTTTTTATTGTTTCTAAAAATTTGGTTTAGTTAGATTTGACTTATTTTTGAGTGCCATGAATTCTTTTGTTCTATAAATTCAAAATTTATGAAGAAAAAATGAAAATAAAATATACTTATGAAATTCAAGTTCACGCGAATAATATTGAACATCAGAAACTGAAATCGTTCCTTCTCAATTACTACCAGATGGATTACTGTATTTATTAAAAATGATAATTTCAAACTTTTGTTGTGTATTGGTTTTATTTTCTGATCAATGATTTTTCCACAATTCCAAGCCTGGTTTTAATTGAGAAATCGTAAAAAGTTTTGTAGTTTAATGTGCAAATTAAAATTTTATGGCGACTTTGACAAACCAAAAAAGATCTATAAAACTCTGGAAAAATATCAAACAAATAGCAATCAAGATGAAAGTCCTTGTAATTCTATTCATTGTTGTTGCGCTGTCCAAACAGCAAAGTCAATGTGATAGTTCGGATGTTAGTTCGGATCGGAGTTCCGATTCAAGAGATTCGCATGAACATCATCATCATCATCAAAATCGACCAAAAAGTTCACCTCCAAAATGTCCGACTGGTTGGCTAATGTTTGAAAGAATATCCGGAAAGTGGTGTGTTCAAGTTTTCGAAGGGATTTTCAATAGAAACGAAGCACAAGCAAAATGTCAAAGAATTGGAGCAACTTTGAGTGGAATGGAAAATGCACACGAGAAACATTTAATACATAGTAAGATGCTTGAAACAGAAAAAAGTTATAACTGAAAAAGTTATTTTCAGAAAAAGGAATGGAAATTCTCAAGAAACAAAATATAGCGTATAGTGCAATGTGGCTTGGTTTGATAAGAAAAAAGGATTGCCGTGGTGAAGCTAATCGAAACAAAGAAGCTTGTCAAAGATCACGTGCTTATTATTGGAATGATGGATCAACACATAGTACAGATATGATTATTTGGAATCGGTGGTATTCGGACAATCGAGGGTATGTTTTCAGGAGGGAAACATGGTTGGAATAAGATTTTCGAGAATTCCGAAATTCTGACGTTTTTCAGAAAAATCAAAAATTTTGAAAATAAAATCTGAAGTGAAAATGGGAATTATGGCATTCCGAGAAGGACGTCAATGTTAATTTTCTTACAGTGTTGATCAAGACTGTGCCTACATGCTTGTTTCGGCTTCCGGAAAACCACATCCAAATGGAGCTCATCCTGGCAATTTCCATGATATTCCATGTGATTCGTCGAAAACTCAAAACAACAACTTTTTCGAATATACTCGAGCTTATGCTTGTGGAATGAAACCGAGATAAAATAAACTCGAGTTGATCTTTTCATTGAGAATAAAATGTGTTTCAGAATTTGTGCTTATGTACAGTAATCCTCAGGTTCCTTCGATTTAAAATAATTTTTTCCCGAAAAGGAAGTACCTTTTAGTTTTCCATTTCATAACAAGAATATTTTCAACTCCTACAAAAACAGGAAAAGGAATTTTGGGCCAAAATGCAGTGAAACGGAAAAACCAAAATCCCAAAATAACAATAATTTTTTGATCTACAACTCAACTTGAACAATAAACATCTGTACTTCTCTCGGACAACCAAAGTTCATTTTGTTGTTTTCATTCGTCGTTGTTTTGGGTGATCATCGCAAATTTGATTATACATGTATGTACCCAACAACAAATTTTGCCTCGTTTCGTTTTTCACATTTTTTTTTTGTTTTTTAAATAAGTTCTAAGTTCTTAGGTACGTGTGAAAAAAGTTTGTTTATGAGGTACGATTTTTGATTGGAATGAGAATTGTTCAGCTTCGAAAACAAATGGAGAATTTGTCTAAAAATAGTTTTCTTCCGGTGAGTTTTTAGTTAGTCACTCATTTTTATTCTTCTTCTCCAAAATATTGTAGCCGAATAAATTAACATGAATAAAAAGTAAATGCTTTGATCGAGTCTAACCTCGCGGAAATATTAACTCTTTGCTCATTTCTTCTGCATGCGCACATTATTATAATACTTAATTTACTCCATTAATTCTCGTATAAATTATTTTTTTTATCCTATTGCTGCTAATGGATTTTGCCAAGAGTATATGAACTTTAATTTTTCTTTTTCTTTTTTTTTTCCATAATTTATTTTCCGCTTCAGAGAATTTTCATATTATTTCTGTTGTTTACTGAACTTTTATACTTTTTTTTCCCTTTTGATATTAACTTTTTGGAAAACAGAAAGAGAAATGTTCCAGGGTTGCATAAAGTGTACTGCCAATTTTAGATAACAGGTTCCAGCATTTTTCAACTACGGTAACTGAAAAAAAAAACGTTTTTTGTGTGAGTTGACCCTGTTTTTATTGACTGCTAGGACTTGAGGACCTGTTTTAGGGTAACTCCCCGTTCTGCGTTTTTTCTTAACAGTGTTATTTTCCGCGCGGCTAATCGAAATCACCTAGCAACCAACCATTACTCAAAAACACGAAAATGAAGTTATCTTCTTTTTCTATCAAGATATTTTTGTAATTTGAGAGGCTTTCAAGAATTCTTTTGAATTGAAGAATAATATTTCTAATAATTCTAGAAGTATTTTTAGCATTACCTACATGCCTGTCACATTTTTTATGCCGAAAAAAGAGAAAAATCTCATTTTTCCTGGGTTTTTTGTCTTCTCGATGAAGGAATAAAATAAGAGAATAATAATTGTTCTTCCTCTCTCGTTTTTCAGTCAACTGAAAATAGGAATAAGAATAACTTTTTCCCCAATTTTTTTTGGATGCACTTTTTATTTTTATTTTTGAGAAATAAATCAGTAGACTCATCGGTCTCAAATTTTTATGCCGCTATATAATTAATTTATTCATAAATTTTGTGAGCCAGATTATAACTCAGAGATTCGCTGGCCAGCTCGCCACTAGATCAGGACCAGGTGGCCGGAAAGTTCAAAACGAGCTGAATTTGATTCGGCCACCAGGTCGCCTTGAGTTTTCCGGCGACGTGGCCTGTGTGTTTGAAATCCTGGAAAGCTAGCAAGACGGTGGTTTATATTCAAAATAGTGCATTTTTTACTGTTTTTTTCACTTCCTAAGGTTTCTAGTACTCCGAAAAAACAGAAAATGAGCCAATTTCTTCTAGAATGCTCGGATTCACAAGTTTTTTGGACTTTTTTCTCTTAAGCGAGGCGATCTGGGCGCGAGGTCGGGTCGATCTGGACAACCTGGGCGAGGTGGTCTGCATGAACTGAACCACCTCGCGACCAGGTCGTCTCGCAAAAAATACGGGCGATGTGGTTGTCCGTGTCAATTTCAGATGGGCAGTCGACCCCACCTAGTGACCAGCTCGCCAGCGAATCTCTGAGAATTTTGAAAAAAAACCATATTGTAATTTTTAGAGTTCAAAAGTGGCTTTCTAGAAACTGCTCCTTGAGAGCTAGAATTTCTAGGAGCGGATACTTGGTATGATAGTTCTCAACGCGTGGAAACCTCTGGAAACCATGAACTTTTCCGAAGCGTGAAAATAATTTTTTAAACTAAAAATAATTGTTTTCCACTTTTATTCCACAACTCATCTCTAGGTTTCTCATCTCACAAAGAAAATGACATAATAGCAGATGACAAAAAATTTTCGCCGCTAATCCGATTTTCGTAATTTTTCAGCAGCCCTTTTTTCTCTTCTCTGAAAACTTCCATTCCTTGTTCTCTCACATCAAGAAATAGTTTGTGCCCGAGAAGTCCAAATAATCTATTTCTATTCTATTTTTAATCAAATTTCGCAAAACTCTTTTTGTTCTTTTTTTGTTTTCTGATCAAAAATCGAGAATTGTTGTGAAAAAAACATACAATTAGGCGACTGAATTTTGGTGAATAACCAACAAATATTTTAGTTTATCTAGTTTGATTCTGAGAATTGAGAAATGTAATTTGAAATTGAAAAAAAATAATACAACATTTTCATTTTTAATTAAAGCCTTATTTATCTGTCTTATTTTTTATTCGTCAAATCTCATTAGATATGACGCCATTCTGATGAATAATACTTGATATGTTCAACACTTCTTGAGATTTTGAAATATTTTAAATGAGATCCAATTTTTTTTTTGAATTTCTGGATCGAACCAGCGCTAGGAAACTAGAAAAGTTAGACCGCCAAAAAATAATCCTGGTTCTATTTTTTCAAAGAAAAATTCTGTAGAGAGGAATTCAAATTTTTTACCTACATCAGGAACCCAAAATATGGATATGAATCTGACTATTTCAGAGAATTCAACCAATTCTGAATGTTTCCCAAAAAATGTTCCTCACGTCAGTTCCGATTCAAATTTCAATTTTTCTATACCAAAAATCCCCATTTATCGATTGAATTTCAAAAAGTTCCTCTCAAATCTTATAAGTTCACATATGTTTTGAACCAAAAAATAATTGGCTCATTTCTCGATTTTCACATTTTCTTTTTTTCCGTTTGCTTTTACGGCCGCCTCTAATTTCCGCCTAACTGACTTGTTATATATTTTGCTAGTTGCCAAATATATTTTTGTCATATTTATTATGTATTTCAATGTTTTCAGTGTTCATTTCGTTTCTTGTTGTTTTTCTGTCTTTGAATATATTTTGGAATAATTAGTAGAAAATATGTGTGTGGGCGATTAAAAACCACCTCGATCAATATAAGTCTGAAATCGAATTTTTGAGTTTAGGTTAGTTTAAGTCTAGACATTGAAAAAATATTTTTTTATTTATTGGAATAATAACTTAGTTGCACGCAAAGTTCAGTCTGATTTTTTTGTTAAAATAAAAAAATAGACGATTCTTGATCTACCAGAAAGTTGTGAAAATTTTAGGGTCTAGCATTTGTGATAAAATTCTGTGTCTCTCAGGGGAACTTGTGCTGAACCAATAGGATAACATAGGCAATCAAGTTTGCTCTATCGCACCCATGTGTGTACTTCTTTCGTTATTCAAATCCTAACATGTATCAAACATTCTGTCCCATAATCAAATCTAGGTTCTTTTAAAATTAGTCTGAGAGGTGTTTCAAGAATTGAAGACTTTGCCATTTTCCAGAAAAAATTCCAAATGAAAAATTTAATTAATTAGTAATCATAGATTTTTTCTACTTCCACTCAACTCCAATTAAAACTATGAGTCTCTTCAATTTCCTTCCTTCAACGAAAAAAAACCAAAAATCAGTCATTTTCCGCTATTTTTTGGGAGTGCTGTGCCTGCCTAATATTCATTTTTGTTCAGCTTCCTGTTTTTTGTTTTTATTTTCAGATTTTCAGAGCTATTTATAATTTATTCAAAAGCAGTCAAAAAGTTTTCTCGACAATTTACAAGCTTTTGCTTTTTTTTTTGGAATTTGTGATTTTTGAAGCGAAACCTACAGTAGGTTCATGTTAGCGGAAATTTGGAATTTATCAGCTTCCGTTTGACACTTCAAAAAAAAACAATTTTATAGAAATTTTATGATCGGAAGGAAGTTTCATCAAAATGCAGTTTCGAATATAATTTTTTTCCAATTTCCAACTGAAAAGTACACAACTTTCATTTGTTTTTATATTGCCCATATATTTATTTACACCCACATAATTAATTGTGTTCGCGTGCATGTCATCTTCCAGCTTCATTTTTCAAGCCAGTTTGTCTTTGCCAAACTAGTAGTCAACTTTAATCACGCTCAAAAAACATCTAATTGCTCATTTTGCACAGCGTACCTTCTAGATATTTTTTGTTTTGTTTCAAAAATGATTTTTGCTTAACTGAAAATTGATTATTTCTGAATTTTACAATTTGATATATGTTTTGAAAAATCATCCGCTTGAAAAAAAAAGAAAAATCGGAAAAAAAGCTGGGATGAATAATTCAACAAGTTTTAATTGACAACTTCGCTACGATGTTTTTTGACTTGAAAAAACTTCAAATGAAAATGAAGTTTGATGTTTCTTGATACAAATTATTCATGATTTATAAATAACAATTTCTGAATTTCAGCCAATGTTACTATGGTTCAACGTACAAGATGATGTCACATATATTTTCGGAATCAAATTCCGAAATCGTTCCCTAGTCACACTTTTCGCGTTTATTCAACTGATTGTTGCTTGTGTATCTTTTGCTCAACACATTTATTCCGTTGCTCGATTCAACAAGGTAATTTTGATTTTTGAAAATTATTTATCCAAAAATTATACTTATTTTTGCAGATTTTTTTCTGCTCATTCAACGAAACAAAAGATTCTGGCGAATTTTTATCACATGATGTCATTATTTTCGACTTTGGTTTATTCCACGAACTTATACACGTAAGATTATATATCACATTAAATTAACAAATATCCAACACAAATACTTATAGGTTCAAGAATGTATAGCAAATTATTTGGATGGAGGATATATGCGATGTTTATGGTGTTTCACACAAATTATTGGACTTTGTTTAACGATTTGTGAGTTTTTGGGGAGGTAGAATTGAAAAATCCAAGGCTAAATTAAGTCCTGATGTTAAGCCTGAATTTGAGCCTGAGGTTTTGAATAAGTTCAACAAGCCTAATTGTAATTTTTTTTATATTTGAGGTATCGAACCCGCACTTAAGCTCTACTAATAAAGAAATAGGTTCTCACTAAATCATCTTTAGCCTCCCTCCTTTTTTTTATTCCTCTGAAATTTATCCTAATTTTAGACACAACACTTTGTATTCCAAAACCACATCCTCTACTTCTTTGGCCGATGTTAATAATTCAAAATGCTTATTGTTTTGGTTTGGTTATTTTGACAATTGCAACAGCCGACAAAGTAAGTGATTTTTAAAATTTCGAAAATTAATTTATGACCTCCTAATTCAAAATATTCCAGTTACTAGTAGCAATTTTCCACCCAACAAACGCTCATCTAAACCTTCTAATATTATATTATGCTGTTGGAACTTGTATCAATCATTTTTTCGATTATATTCTTTGGCATTATTATTGGTACGAAGAGTTTTTATATATCGGAAGAACTGGAAAACATGTTATACCATTTTGGGTTTGACACGACACTAATAATGTTAATAGAATTACTAAAGTATTCTGTGATTTTTATGAAATACGTTGTACACAAACATACAATAATTGATTTTGATCTCAATGAATTTTTTTTCGATATCTGGATTGTTGTTAGAAAAGTGAAGAAAAAAGAAACATTTTAAAAACAAATTACTTGAGATTTAAAAAACATTACGAGACACCAAAAAATTATTTTCAAATATTTCTACGGAATTAAAAAATCATAAAACCAATTCAAACAAATTCTCGTGATTTTGTGTATTTTTGGGGCGACCTTCATCTTTTTTTCCTATCATTTTATATTTCATCTTATATGTTTGACCGTCCAAAGTTGTTTTGCGTTTCGTAAATGATCTACCATCTAACGACGTCACTCAGTTGATAGACCAAAACATTTTCTTTTTCTTCTTGTTATTTTCAATTATTTTGTCATGTTTCATCGTTTCTTTCTAGCACTCTACGATTTTTCTAGACATTTTAAGGTTAGTTATAATTTTATAACTTCAAACCATAAATAAATACGTTTAGACTCGCCGTGCTTATTGTGCAGTTTCTCTAATAAATTATTCAGTCGATCTTATTTTGATATCATGGATGTTTGTAAAATCTCCAATATTTCTTGATGTTCTTTTCTGTGTAACTTCTGCTTTAATCGGAATTTCAATAACTGGATTATATTTGAAAAGACCATCTGTTATGCTACCTGATATACTATATAAGGTGAGTACCTAAAACTTGTTTTTTATTGATCTGTCATTTTATAGATAATTGTTTCTGGATGTGCACTCTTCAATGCAATTTTAGACGTCGAAAATGAAACTACAGGATCTTCTATTAGGCTTCTAATGGTTTTGATTGCGCTTTTATCGCATTTTTATGAAAACTATTTTCTATTCAATGCAATTTCTGCTCTTTATCGTGAACAAGATGGTTTGGATTCATCAAGACCGCCTCCAAGTTATAATCTATTTGCAAAAAGTGCCCCAATTCCACAAGCAAATGCTCGAAAAACAGTTGAAGTGAAACCCATAGAAATAGAAGAAGGAAGAGGAGGTGAAGAAGCAGAAGAAGAACAACCGAGATGTTCAACACCTCCACCTCCATCTTATGAATTTGCAATGGAACGGATTAAAGAGCAATCTCGAATTGTATGAGTCATAGAATACGTATATTGTGTGTACAAATTGATTTAGCGGGTTCGCAGAAAAATAAAACAAATTCTTGATTTATGTCTACTGGCAGGAAATTATGACAAAATAACATTTTAGGGTTCGCTTTTCTACTAATATCTAATGATCTGAGAAAATGACTTCATGTGATTAGTGATTCAAAAAATCCACACATTCACTGTGACTTTTGTGAGTTTCAAAAGAAGTGAGAGCTTTATGTGCCTTCTAAATACTGCAGTATTTTTTCCCCTGGTATCAGTTTGTGTGAAGCAAACTATTACAAAAAGTAAGACAAAATCAAGGGTTTTCCTGAAACAAAACTAAAAACACTCACAGAGGTCCAGCTTGTCGAATATCTAAATCATCAAAGTGTTGAATTTCTTGTCTCGCGGCAGCGGCTTCCGGAGTCTCGTTTTTCCTTGTGGTTTATTGAATTTTCTCTGAAAAATCGAATTCTGCTTTCTGCTTTTAGTAAAAAAAGAAAAAGTGATAAGTTGAGTGAGATTTCCGAGCAACTTGCCATTCAGACAAAATTCGGCGTGATATGACTTTGAAAAAAAATAGAAATGAAAAAATTAATCTGCCAAAAAAAAAGAAGAAAATCGGGTCTAAACTAAAATATTCAAAAAGCGTGAACTTTTCGATGTGGAATTCTTATCACATAAATCAACGCAAGAACTCGACATTTCTCAATCAAAGATTTGCATCAAGTTTTGTCTGGCGGATGAAAAACGAAAAAATAAATAAAAACAACGACACTCCGCGTGACGGCTGCCCGCGAAACAAACAATTCAAAAAATTCTGCGCATTTTTTTTGTTTTTTTCGGCGACCAATGAATTATCGAGTCAAGTTGGTGAGTACTTTCATATTTTTCATTTCCGAATCCTATTTTTGATGAAATCTTAAAAATTTACAGATTCGAATCATTTTTTGCACCGTGGAAAATTGCTGTTCGAATAGCTGGATGATATCGAACTATACAGTTTGTAAGTTTAATCTCAAAAATTTCGATTTCAAATCAAAAATATTGTTTTTTTTGTCTCAAAATCATTTGTCTGTGTCTCATCCAATAATATAATGATTCATCCGCCACCTTTCTCATTCTGTTTTTTAAAACACAAATTGATTTTTCTCTCTTTCTAAAAATTTTCAAAGTTTCATTCAAATCCCTTGAAATTGAAAAGATGCATAAAAACAATGGAACTTTGGTTGCCATGTTGAGCAATTAGCAAATATATTCTGGGAGGCGTTTTCCATTGTGCCAGCTTCAATCATCATATATAATACGAGGAAAAAAGGAGAAAAAGGGAAGGAACACCCTAATTACACGAATTTCAAATCATTTTATTCGATTTTCGTTCCTTTACAACTTGTTTTACACATTTTCGAGTTGAAATTCCCATGGAAAATATAAATCTCTTGGAGACAATTTTTGAATATTTGTTTATAATATTTTTGTGCGCATCTTCTTATCTTTTGTTAAATAACATGTCATTCTTTGTTTATTCTGTGCATGCAAAAAATGTTGAATAATTTTGGTCGTTAAAAATATTCTGATTTTCATTTCAAAATCAAATCTCATCAGATTTATTCCGAGTCACTCCAAATTCCCAAACCAGTCGGGTGTCATTCACTTATTAAATCTTTTTCCTTCTACACTCTTTTCTTTTGTTTTGCACCAATTAACATATACACCATATTGCTTGCCGCCATTTTTCGCGTTATTTTTCTCACTTTTTAGAAGGTCCCTTGAGATATTGTCATATAGAGGTCATTATTTGATATGCCTTTTTGCAACAACTATACTACTAGTACTAGTAGTAGTAGTATGAGATTAGTATCTTCTTCCTTTTTTCACATTTTATATTTTTTATTGCCGCGAACTTTTTTATGCGAATTAGACATTTTAGTACTGTAGTTTAGAGCATCTTTGGATAGAATAAGATCCAGAAAAATTGTAATTGATTTTAAGGTATAACTTATAAGAACTTGGATGTTGTAAACTCGGTTCAAATAAGAAACTTTTTCATTTTGAGCATAGATTTTTTAAAACTCTGAAATTTTTTTGTTTCAAAACATTGGAAAAATTTTCGCTGACTTACTTTCTGAACCTTTGAAAACTTGAAAAAAAATTTGAGCAAAAATCTGAAATTTTCAAAATTGCTAGATTTTTTGTAGAAATGAAATCCGTGTATTTAGAATTTGGATTTACAAAACGAAAGTTCACGCCCCGAAATCATACATTCCAAGATTTCATTTCTAAATTTTTCACATTACAACTTTCAGACTGAAAAGTTAATTTTACGAGGGAAATCTCATGGTTCCCCGTAAAAATACCCAACGGTTTTTGCAACATCGCGCGTACTCAGGCAAATCGTCCCACCGGTGTAACACCAAATCTCCACTCACTCAACACCTTCTCTTCTTTAATCCCACCGGTGGGAAACCGGTGGTCACAAATTTGATAATAGCACCGGTGTACCACCACCTTAACACTCGCTTAACACCGTTTGAACACCGTCTAAACACCAAAAAGAGGTGTTCCACCAGTGTATTTGTTTATTTTTCCCACCGGTTTCCCACCGGTGGGCCCACCGGTGGGACGATTTGCCTGACAAGGAAAGGTTTTCAATGTTCCCCCAAGGAAAAATCGAGAGTATGTGGAATGTTGAGGGTTCCCATGGGTAAGAAAAACCCTAACGGGAATAAGGAGAAAAATGCCTTGTTTTAGAAAATTTTGGTGTTATTGATTTTTGCGATGAAATTTTTTAGAAAAATCGAAACTTTTTTCAAAATTGATGAAAAATGTCAGTCTAAAAATCCATTTGTAGCGCAAACGGCGTACTTTAGTATTACTTCGACTAAAATGAGGAATAAAATAATTTTGGTCCCAAAAGTCCACTAAATCAAAAATCCAGTTTGAAAAATTCATAGAAAATCAACGTTTTCGTTGTGAAGGAGAAGTTTGTGTGAATCGAGATTATGATTTTTGGATTCTACGGACCAAATTACGTCTGTTGACCGTCCTAAATTTTTCAAGTTCCGTTCATTTGAAAATGGAAAAAATTATTTTTTGTGTTTTTTGGTGACCATTTGATCAGAAAAACCCCGACTAAAAAAACCAAATTTCAAAAAATGTCTAATTTTTTGATAAAAAGTTTCACAAACACGTAATCGACCATTCTGAACAACTTCCACGACTCAAAAGTTCATGAAATAGATTCAAAATCGAGTTACAGATGCTCTAAAAATCAAAAAATGGTGTAAAAATCGACCTAAAATACATTTTTTCTCGAGAATAAGGCATTTTTCTCCTTATTCCCGTTAGGGTTTTTCTTACCCATGGGAACCCTCAACATTCCACATACTCTCGATTTTTTCCTTGGGGGAACATTGAAAACCATTCCTTGTGAGTAGTGTTTGGTGTATGCAGATCTTTCCATAGTCTTTGCACATTAAAAATTTTTTTCTCAAAAAAAAGGGAATTTAGCTTATAAATTCGATTCGGCTATTTTTTAAATTTTGGATTTTTTTTTGACACTCAGAAAAGTTTTATTTGTGGAAATTACCATTCTTTGACAATTTTTCTTACCGTAACAAAAATATTTTTCCGAATGTTTCTCTAAATATATTCAATTTTTCAGATGGACAGTTGCGAAGAAGAATGCGATATCGAAACAATTGATAGTGATGAAGATGAAGAGAAAGTTCAAGAAAAATGGTGAGTTTTGAGTTTTGTTTTTTTTTCAAAAAATAGATAAGTGTTCCGCTCAAAATTAAGAAAACACTTGAATTTCTAAAATATTTATGTTGACATAAGGTAATTACTGCCAGTCAAACAGCTTATTATGCGATTATCTATCCCCCGGTGTCAAGTGTTTACAATTATTTCAATTTACATAATTTTTGGGGTAATGTTGGAGGAAAGGGAAGCTCTTAGTTAGAAAATTAATTTTTCCTTTTTTGTAAATTGTTTAGAAACAATCTGAATGATATGAAGAAAGTTGACAAGAAAATTGTTCATGTTTTTTTTTTGAAATTTCTGAAATTAAAAAATTAAACTTTATTATTAGAGGGAAAATTTACAGAGGAAATGTGTTTCTCGAGAGAGACACTGCAACTACACTTTCCTAAATTCCTCGATAAGATTCTGAAAGTTAGTCTGAAGATCAAATATTGTCGCATTTTTGAAATCCACAACTCATTTGAAAATCCATTTGTAGAAAATGTGAGTACGTGACGAGAAGGAGTTTTTTTTTTACTAAACCTGGAACAAACAGAACAAAATTCAGAAGTATTGAATTGAAATTGAAATTTCTAGAGACAAAGCTTCATTGTCAGGAAAGTTCTCCGTTTTTTTTGGACCAGGTTAATACTTAGCAAAGTTTCGAATTTTCTGCAAATTTCGATTAAAATCAACATCTCGAATGTTCCAAACTCATCAATTTTTTTCGCTGCCAATTTCATGGTGGTCCTCTCCTTCTTCAAAAAGCAAAAAGTTAGATAGTCATCTTTTTTCCTTCTAATTTCTCATCGTCTCTTCATTTTCTATACTCTCTATCTCATTTTGACATAATATTGGAAAAAGGGTGGATGATTGGTGTATTCTTTGAATGGGTGGGGCACCAAAAAGTTGATGGCCAAACCAAAAGAAGAAGAAGAAAAATTGTATGGTTAATTAGATATCTTAATCTTATTGCGTAAGGTTTTTTTTGAAGGTTAAACCGAAAAATAACCTTTTTCTAGGATTTTTGCTGTTTTTTTGCTTTTTTCTTATCATCGTCATTTCCGAGAGCAATTTTTAAGAAAAAGAAATTTCATTATCACAAAAGAATGTTTTCTGATTAGAACAAAAAGTTTTTAGATGACACATAGTTTTTTTTTTGAATTTTATTTTGTTTTCTCACATTTCGATTTCGAATTCTTTTAAATAAAATAGGACGAAATACGGAAATCGAAAAGGAACAAATTTGATTTCCGACTTTTTGTGTTTCGAATTTCGAAAAAGGTCATTTCAACGTTTCTTTTTTGGTTGATAATCTCGAAATCTCTTCATAATTTTCCCATATGTTTTCACCAGCCAAATCTAGTCCAGTCCTATTGTTCTTGCACTATTTTCTATTATTTTTGCTTACCAATTCGTTTTGGCTACTGAATAAATCATGTTGCTCTTTTTGAGAGAGGTGCAATCTGTCCCCCCGCATGAAATATTATGAATTATTAGGAGAGTGGCGAGAGAAATAGAAATAAATTTTGTGTTGTGAAGAACAAAAGGTTTCTTTCCTGTTTTGCGTTTGGTTTTGAGATTGGGAGTAGAAAATGTTCCATTTCATATTCCAAGCATTTTGTGTTCTAAAATTCTAGTTGACTGTGTAGTTTTCATTGGTTCTCATTTTCTAGTCGTTTTTGACCCGCTGATTACGATCTTGTTGTTGAAAATTTCAGAACTCAACCTCAAATATTAGTTTATTTTTATTGAAATCTGATGGCGTAGCGTTGTATAAAATACATTTTTAAAAATTAACATATTTCACCTGGACGATATGCCATCAGATTTTTATAAAATTGTTGAATCTAATCTCCTGAAGTTCCGAATTTCTAAATTTTGCCACGTCATAACTCATATTGGGGATTGAGTTCTGCAATTTTTGACAACGGGATCATGATCAGAAGGTCAACAACTACCAGAAATATGTTTTCTTCACTTCACTTGATCTCTAAAAATTTTCTGGATAAATCCAAGAAATTTATCATTCTGAAATTACAGTCCAACTCTGATTTTTATTGAACAAGTTCTAGAAATACATGTCCCATTAACTATGAAGCATTTCATTTATTTTTTTTCCAATAAATTCGCAATTCACAAATCGAAACCATTCATTTTTTTGTTTTGTTTGAATAGTTACTCATCATGTCTGTTTTTTTTTCCAATTTATATTTTGATTCAATTAAATTTAACCTCTCTGTCTTCTCCGTTTTTTCCTCATCATTTCATTTCATCTCGATTTTTCATGAACTCATCAAACTTCTGTCAATTCGTAGTAATTCATCATTTAGAAAAAGGAACGACTTGTATGAAGTGACAGATTTTGGAAATTGGGAAGGGCATCAACATTTTTGCATAATTTGTCTTTTATTGTGATGCAATTGGTTTGGGAATTTATTTATCGATTTCTCGAATCATATCAATTTTATTTTTTGCACAAAATCTTATCTGTTTTCACAAAATTGTGTTTTTTTGTTGAGATAAGATTATTGGCGCCGAAGGAAATTTTATTTATTTTATTAAAAGAGGAAATTGCGATTGTCTGTGATTCAAAGTGTGATTTGATTGAGAATTTAATTTTAAATATGAGCCACAATTTTTGGCTCTCAAAACTGATTCTGACATCAACACTTACCTTGCTAGAATCAGTTTTTGGAGCTGGAAATTTTGGTGCATATAGAAAATTAAATTCTGCATCTTATCATACCTTGTATCACAGACAATTCCATCCCTCTCCCCTTTTAAAGTTTTGTTCCATCAAAAATGCTTCCTGAAAATTCTCAAGCACTCTTTTATTTAAAACGCTACTTTTCTTCTTTTTCAACAAAAAAAGAACAATTAATTCTCTAATTAATTTGTTCATTTATTCCCGTTTTTCCATATGTGTTCATTCAAGATTGCGCACTTTGATTAAATTTTCGCAAAGGTCCCTTGAGAGATTTTTTGAAAAAGAAAATTCGCGCGAATTCTTTGGAACAAAATCTCAAGTGTCTTTCTTTATTTCTCCAGATGAGACCAAAAAATTTCTTTTTCTGGTTCATTAGAAAATTCCGAAACATTTTTATTTTTTTTTAGCTGAAGTGGCTCTCGAGATTATACTGTTCTTTAATCAAATTTTTTGAAAGAAGTTTGTTCCATTTTATTTATTTTTTCAGCCTTGCTCTTTTTGCTTCACTTCTTCCAACAAATCAACTATCTTCTATTGGTTTGATTTCAACTGCAATTTGTTTGGAATTCGAAAACGAACAGGAACCGAATCCGGAAAGTGAAATGGTTAGTTAGTTTGGGAGTTTTTTTCTGATGGGGTTTATGAACCTGTCAGAATTTTTCGGGAGGGAAAATGATTTAAAATTGGAGAAAAGTCCCGAGAAACCTTAAACACATGTAATTCAAAATAAAAAAATAACATATATTAGAACATCATCCAGAAATATTCTCCATTTTTTGAAAATGTTAATATTTATAATTCGAATTTGACTGCATGTTATGTTATGTATTGTACATATTGTAAATACATACAATATGTACAAATATACATAATATAACATTAACATATTTAATTTTTCCATTTTTCAAAACATGTTTTACATTATTATTATTAGCTTATAATTTTGTGATTTGTTTTGTGATTCGGAAAAATAATTGTAGATTTTTTTAAAATTTTCTAATGTAAGCATAATTGTCGGAAATAGCTACTAAATCCCAATCGAGCAATCCCAAATAAAAATTAGCTTCAAAACCAACGTACGGGGCTGAAATTCGAAATTTGAAGAACTCTAAACAATTTCCGAATTTATCTTTTTTTCTGGTGGAAAAAATCCAGAAATGTTTTGACTTTCCGACTTTTCGGGTTTCGTTTTTCCGGCATAGACCTGGTCGATATGTAGTAATCAAATCTGTCCATTCTTTTTCTTCTTTCAACTTTACCGCTCTTTAATTTTGTGCTTTTCCTCTTCGCTTTTTTCTCCGCTTCGCTTTTTTTACTCTCTCTCTCCTGCTTTTTTTTACCGCAAAGAAAATGTTTTTATTATGTTATTGTTATGCTAATTCTGCCATTTTTTTCCACTTGACTATTTCTTGGCCAGTTTGTTTTTTTTTGGAAAAAAAAATCATAGTAATAAAAAACGATTCAAACAGAACAAATGCCGATTTTTACGATTTTCCGCATTTGTTCAAACCATTTTGGCGTCTATTGTAGTTTTTTTTTGTTGTTATTTCCACGTTGGAAATGAAATTCCCAAAAAATTCGTAATTCTTGAAAAAGGACATTTTTTTCCTACCACCACAAATTAATTTCAAGCCACTCTAGAAAATTAATGTTTTTTTTGGGTTGAACCTACTAATTATTAGTTGACCACTGTAATTCTTTTCCTTTTTTATCCCACATTAATATACAAAATGTACATGTGCCAGTGCAACTCGAATATATAATAATAATTAGCACCCATCTGACATATAAAAAAAAGTATATACAAATTTTCTGTTTTTGTTTCTGTTTCTGTTTTTGCGGTGAGCACTCGAGGCAGAGTACAATTTTTAGGAAAAATTTATTTTTTTACGTGGATTTCTAGGAGAGCCTTCTTGATGATCAGATGCAAGAATACTTGAGAACTTGGCTCTCTAGGCGCTGATACTTGAGAGTTGAACTTTATAAGCGCGGCTACTTGACAACTAGGATGTCTAGGCTTGGCTAATTGACATAGATGTTTTCAAGGCGCCGTGCTTTGTCACTGTGGCTCTCAAGCTACAGATCCTTGACAGAAGAAATCTCTAGGCGCTGGTCCTATTGACAACTAGGATTTTTAGTTTTTGCATCCCAAGATGCTAAAAATTAGATTACAATTTTTAATTTTTCAAAAATTCCCAAAATTCACAACTGTTTTCTCTCCGTTTTTGACTAATAAATAAGAAAGAGTCATAAGTCTTCTTCGTTTTTTTCCGCCGTTTTTTTTCTATTTTTCACACATACAAATATGAATCACCTTCTTCTTTTTACGCTATATTTTCGCTATTTTTCTATTATTATTTTTATTTGTATGTATTATAATGATGGCTAGCATAGCCCCATTTTGCTTTTCATCATATTTTATTGTAAACATTTTCTGGGTCGATCAGGTGCAAAAAGTTTTTTGACCTTGAAATATTTTAATAGTTTGATTGAAGCTTTGAATTTTAGAGAAATTTGGCAAAGTTGAATAAATAAAAGTTTTTGTTGGAAAAATATGAATTATTTATTGGTATATTTTTGTTTATCTTTCTGTTTTTTCAATTGAAAATGAGATTTTTCAAATTGTGAGGCATTGATTTTTTGAATTTCGAGATAATAGCTTAGACCAGTGCCCTTCAGTTGAGTTATGAATTTGAAATTTTTAATTTTGATTAAAAAAAACGAGAAATCCCAAATAATTTGAAGAAAAAGTTGATAATTTTCATTTGTTCAGAAACTTTAAACGCATTTTTTCGAGATAAAACGAATATGTACATATTCATGTATGCATAAGTGTGCTACTCTTCTTCTTCTCCATTTTTTACACCACTTGTGACACCAACCAATTTTTGAGGGTGGCGTTTTTCATCAATATTTAATTTGGGCCTCTTTTCTCGCCTTTTTTTCGCCCATTTTCACACACAATTTTTTGGATTAGTTTTGACTTGTGTTTTGTTTTCAAACAAAAGGCATTAGTCAGGCAGTTTTAGAAAAAAGTATTTTTTTTCCAAATTTCTCGGAAGTTGTTTCGAAATCATGTTAATATTTATTTCGTAATAACTTTTTAAATCCATGATATTTTTCTTTCTGTGACCATAAAAATGTGAAAAGTATAGATATTCGGATTGTTTTAAAGTAACAGTTGTTGACTTTTTGCGCCAATATTTACTACTATCACTAAAATGACACTCACATATGTATTTTGTGTAAGAATTATGAGCCATTTTGAAGTTTTTATCGAGTTTTTCCACTTTTATTTTCTGTGTCAAAGTGTTTTGAACTTTGAGAAAATGTATAGAAAGGTTTTGTTAATTTTTTGATCAAGAGAGCATTTTTAATTGGAAAATGTTGAATGGCGTAACCTTGATGTTTATAATTTTTGATTTTTCAATTGTAAATTATTTTGTTAACGAAGTAAGTAGAGCTATAGAATCTTCGAGTTCAATTCAAGAAAATTGGTTTTTAGGCGTTCTGGGAGCGCCTTCTTGACAATTAGACTCTCTAGGCATGACTACTAGAGAACTTGACTTTCTAGGGTTGGCTGCTTTGAATTGGAGCTATCAACCCTCGAGTACGGTAAAAAAAATGATTAAAATAGTCCAAAAAAGTGTATCGAAAAATGAAATTTCACACTGTTCCCTTCATTTGTTCTTATGAATAACCCGCAAAAAATGGCGCCAAACACAACAAAAAATCCACCCATTTCCCTTCCTCGTTTTTTTTTCTGCTATGGCCTATCATCAATCTAAGTTGTCATGTGTCGAATTGTCGATGTCTCTCATTTCTCCATACTCTCTCATCGTTTTCCGCGAGTTCACCAACAAAAATTTGCTCCACCATTTTCCAAACATTTTTTCTCTCCCCTCCGTTTTGCATGGTGTCAAACAAATGTTTTCTTTTTTCCCTGTGTTTTTTTTCCAGTTGATCGGAAAAAGTTTTGATCGCAGCTTGCGCAAGAGCGGAAAAGAGCACTTGATGAGCATTTGGCAAACTTCCCGAAAACATATTTTTCTCCCTCTTTTTTTTCCTTGAGCACTATTGTTTCAAACATATATCCGTCTTCCTCGTTTTTTTTTGTGTAATATTCTTCCGGTGTGAGATTTTTCTAGGCTTTTTCTCAGATTTTTGTCTTCCATTTTTTGTGGTAGGTAGAATTAAACTTGAAAGAAACCAGATACTTTTTCTCTTTTTTTTGTATAAATCAAAGTACATCTGAAACTTAATCTGATGAAGGAAAAAAATGGAATAAAGAAACGAAAAAATTAATCTGTATCAAATTTCAATCCAATTAATGTTGGATAGATAGATATATTGTTCATTTTCCCAGCAAAAAATAAATAAGAGATTAACCCATGGGTGGCTTTAATAGGCTTATAACACGAATAGTCGCCAAAAAAAATCGGGTAACATATGCGATCATTTTTTTTCTCTCTGCTGGTTATTATTCAGTTTATGAGATTATTCTCAAACCCATCCTAATTATTTTTCTTTTAATTTGATGGGTTTATGGTTTTTGAGCCTCATTTTTTTAAAAACTACTAGACTAATTTTTGTTGGGAGCTAAAATTTCAGAAAAAGTATTAAATACCTTATTTGCTAATTGAAAATCGTTAATCTACTAATATAAAATAATAAGTACATATTAATCAATTTATCATTTTTTGTAACCTTCGAAAACTGGATTCCTTTCTCATTCTCATCTCATTTTATTTGCATTCTTCTCCTTCTCCATTTTTTGTTTCATTTTTTGACGTTCGTTTTGACAAGTAAGTACAATCAATGCATTTTTTATTTAATTTGCCAGAATTTGGTTGACATTTTGGAAGAAAAAGTGTAAAGAGAAAATAAATCAGATTTGGTGCACATTTCATCGTAATATTTCTTTTTTTTTCTCTCATCAGATTTAATTTTTTGTAAAAAAAAACGGCGAGGAATTGAATCTGGAAAAGGATTTGGGAAATTTTGAATGAGATCTGAGGAGTTGGGCCTGATTTCAGAAGATTTCTAAACTTTAATCATAAACGTTCTTAATATGTTTTAGGTTCTAGATTCAGGCCCCCAAAAATTACAATTTTCGAAAAAAACCAAAGTTAAACATTTTTATGTCCTAGGAATTTGAGAATTTCTGATTTTTCATTAATTGTTCTGTTAAACTGAATTTTTAAAAATTAGGGTACTTTGAAATAAAACTGTGTTTTTCTCCAGTCCCAGTTTTGCCTAAATTTTTCACCCAATTTGAGATTTTTGTTCCACCCTCAAAAAATCGCATAAAATTAGTAATTCCCGCAAAACAAAATGTTTCAAATGCGCCGATTTTTACACACCCCAAAAACCCATATTTTTTGGTTGGCGGTCTTCCTTTTTTTCATTCTGTTTCTTTCAATTCATTCTCAGCTTTTCACAAATGCACATATGTGTTTTTCTTTTTCTTTTTTCTTCCACTGACCACTGTCATATCACATTTGTCAAACTATTCCAATTCCTCCTCTTCCTCTCTCAGTTTTTCTTGGCGTCGCGCCAAAGAATTTTTTAGTTTTGTTTTTGGGTTTGTGAATAGGTGTAGGTGAGAGGTATTGTTCTGCCTAGTTTTTTTTCGTATAGTACGAATAAGTGATAGGAAATAGGCTTAGAGAGAATTTAAGCATGTTTTCACACTTGGGCTAATCTCGTGGTATTCGAAAGTGAAAATTGTACTCTAAATTTTTATTTCCAAAATCTAGAGAAAATTAGAACTGCGCCTTTGTAGCTTCTAGATGTCGCGACTAAAATGCAGAGTTGTTTAGTTGCAACTCCTAAAGATCCTAATTGTATAAGGCTCGCATCTAGAGATTCCCTCTGACAAGCAAGCGTCTCTTGAGAGTTTCTATGTTTAGCAGCCGAACCTAGAAAATTTAAATGTCATGGGCCAGCGCCTAGAGAGCCTAGTTCTCAATTTGCCGAACATATAAATCTAAACTGGCAGAGTTTAGTGGCTAGAAAACTTAATTGACCTAGATCTCCATGTTTTTTACCACCGTATACATTTTTAGTTTTTTTCTGCAATTTGTTTCAGGTGTATAGTTTTTATGCATTTCTAAAATTGTTTCCACCACAAAAAAAAACAAAAAAAAGCAAAAGCCCCGCCCAGTCTCAAATTTTATTTATGAATTTTAAATTTCCGTTTCATTTTTCCTCCTTCTTCTCACAACCAAATCATTTTTTGTGTCACAAAGTGTCTGGCTTTTTTTCGAATGCAACACAGATGTTTGCACTTTGCAAAAGTTCGGACCCTCTCATTTTTTTATTCATCCAAGTCGCAAAAAAAACTAAATATTGGTTTTTTTTTGTGTTGTCTTTCTCTGTGTTTGCATTTCTAATGTAAGGTAAACACCTTACATTTTTTGCTGTCTTTCTCAACTTTTTTTTATATTACGACGACACTTCTCATTTTACTTTAGTAGTACAGTTTTAGCTTCATAAATGAATCTTTAAACATTGAGCCGTAAATTCTTGGCTGATAAGGGAAGTACTTGAGGTCCAGAATGTAATTTTTAAGGAAACTTAGTAAAACTTAATATTTTTAACATTCTGAAACGATTCAGAAGTCTAGAAGTGTTACTTCGAACATTTTAAGCACTTACGGAGCTCCGAAGATTTTTTTTTCAAAATCTGTAACTTGGATAATTTTAGAAATTGGTGGGTTAGAAAACGAGCACAAAATTTATGTTTGGAAATCTATATGGGGTTAAAATCGGCTGAAGTAACACTTTTTGACTTCGTATTTGTTTTCAACAATAAGTTGCGCTACAGGGTGGTCCAAAATTACCCGCACAAACGCAATTCCAGTTCCAGCATTTCATATTCAATATAAAATGCACCAAACCTGGATCCGTAATATCAATTAGTCAGTTTTACTGATTTCTAACTAGTTGCCAAAGTCTCCTGAAGAATTTTCATTCTTGAGCCGAGTTAGAGGGGTTATCCGGAACAGCATAAAACGAAAAAACAAGATTTTTTACACGCTCTATTTTTTTCGAGTGATTTTCATACTTCGCGTGATAAATTTGAAACAATTTCTGAACTTTAGAATCATAGCAGCATTTTTTGATGTTTTTTGGGTATTAAAAAACAAATTCAGCGAGATTAGACCCTTCGAAAAAAATATTGAGATCATTTCTGGTCTTGTTATGAAAATTGACCGGAAAATTGATGGAAAGTTTATAAAACGAGGTCAAAATCGAAAATATCGTTAGGTTTGGGAAATGTGAGAACTGTATAGCCAAACCAAGCCTACTAGTGACAATTGACATCAAAAATACCATGGATTCATCTTACACCACGATGGTTAACATAATAAATGATAAAAATTGAGTTTTTGAGTTGAAAAATCCGTTTTGAGGGGTTCACTTTACTGCTCCTTATTCTTGTTCCAAAAATTTTGTGTATCATTTCGGTCAAGGATCAAGCATGCCTAGGGGTTATATTGCAATTCTGAACCGGAAACATATAATTTGAAACTCCCTATGGGTATAGAAAGCTCGATTAACTCAGAAAAAGCAGCGTGCCTGATGCGAAGTTCTGAAGTTCATTCCCGATATTCCAGTCACCCTGAGACCGAATTATATCACAAGATTCTATGTTAAAATGATGAACACAATATCTGGGAATAATTTTTGAGACCAGAAATCATATCTATGTTTACTCTCTGGAAAATATTTAACATTACATTTGTGCGGGTAATTTTGGACCACCCTGTAAGTTCCATCAGAAATGAATTTACGAACCTGAAACAGTAATCTCCCCATAAATAGTGAAAAATAATAAAATCATGCAAAAATAATATCCAATGTTTAGTGATATCAATTGATTACATGATTTGAATTATGCAAACAATGTCGAATTATCTCTAAACACTCTCTTTATATCCCATTATATTTTGCAATTTTTGTTGTTCTCTTTTCTAATGATAATCACGACATTTTTCAATATTTCATTTTGATCTACTATTTATTCGATTCCTCTAATTCTTACTGTATTTATCTCAATGGTATGTTCCGGTAGTTTTTTTTGTTATCCGCCAACGAAAAAAAAATGTTAACACGAAATCCAGTTTGTACATACATTTGTTGGCCAAAAAATTCAGTGATGCATACGAGATTTACTGTTTTTTTTCTTTTCGCGCATACATTTTTCTTCAATTTCTAGACATTTTTTGAAATTTTTTTTGAACCGGTTTTTCTGTTATGAGGCATTTTTAATACATAATATTGCTCCTTTTTGACTGTGTGTGTGGGGGTGAGAAACAAATAAATGCTCTTTTCTTTTGTTTGTTTCTCGAACAGGTCTTTCACAAAATACAAAAAGAAAGTTGATCATCTTTCCTTGTTTAACCAAAAATTTTTCGAATTTTCTACCCAGCTGTACATAGTTTCCGGCACTTTTTTCTTTAGATTTTTTTTGGTGGTATATGTATTTATCTTTCTCAAATGAGTCATAGTGAGAACCCAACCAACCCCCCACCTGTGTGTGTTTTTTCTCCTGCTGCTAGTTTTTTTTTTCTCACTCCAGATATTTTTGTTCATTACATTTTGTCAAGAGATAGACATAGCTCTTGACCTCTTGTTCTCACAATCCAAAAACAAATGTTGGCTATTTTCAGGATCAAATAATGGATACCTACGATTTTCCGGATCCCTATCAGGTTCAAGTTCGAGCACGACCCCAAGTTCCACCGAAACCGCCGATTGATACAGTGAGATATTCGATGAATAATATTAAAGGTTAGTTTTTTTTGGAAATTCGTGGGAGGGGGGATTTTTGGGAGATTTATGAAATTTTTTGAGTTGGAAGATTTTGGTCTTTTCTAAAGTTGTTCAGAAAACTGAAGATGTTCAAAAAATTTTTAAAGTATGAACATTTTTCTAATTTTTTGTTACAATCGCTGAAAATTTATGAAAATCACACTATTTCGAGAAAAAATGTACAGTTTTTATTTTATGAAAATTTGTTGTCTGAAATAGGCTTTCCCATATTTTCCTGATTCTCCGATAAAGTTTAGCTAGCTATTTTCAAAATTTCATAGATCTCCTAAATCACTATAAAAATACATCTCCCAGTTTCCTGGTCCCCCATTTCATGTAAATTCTGTTGAATATTCATTTCAAACTGCGATAAGTTTTGTTCCGATTTTTGTTTACAAGTTTCAACAAGTTCTCAAATTTGTTTATTTTAAGAAATTCTTTTATCTTCTTCCTTCTTTTTTCTTCGATTATATTTCATTTCATTTAATTTGGAAAAAATTGTTTCGCCGAAACACAAAAATCTCATAAAATGGTCTAATTTATTGTTTTCTAATCTATTTCCCAATATCGCCTCGTTTCAAAATAATTTGATAATAAGTTTTCAACACCTTTTTTTCCTTCGATATTTTTCAAAAATAGCTAAAACAATTTTGCAATGATTTTGAAATATACCCAATTTATCATAATATTTTTGTTATTAGTAATTACTTGATCCATTTTTGGTGTGCGTTGTTTTCTTTTTCACCGCCAAAGAGATTTTTGTCGCCTCGCCAAACAGCTGTCATTAAATCGCGAAACAACACAGTAATGTAATTTTATGAAAATAGTATAGATTTACGAAGAGAATCAGACATTTTATATATGTTCACCATTCGAAATTAGTGGGTGTGAATGACCTTATTTTCGATCGCTATTTTCCCCTTATTTATGCTATAAAAATTACTTTTTGGTGAGGATTTTCTTCTTTTTTTTCTGTTGAATTGGCCAAGAGATTGGTTTAATCCTCGAATTTTAAATGGTTTTTGTCTTGGAGATTTTTTAGGTCTAAATTTTTGATAATTTTAAATTTTTGAGAGCTGTCAGAAAAATTATCACGAGACTGAGAATCAAAGAAATGACGTGGCTACGTTTCTAGATGTTCTAACAGCAATGTATCATTTCCAACTCTCAAAATTACTTTCTAGACGCATTGCTTCAGGCGTGGCTTCAAAGTTTAGATCGTATCAGACCTTCTAAAAAGGTGTAGCCCTAAAATTCTGGTTTAAATCTCTACATTTCTTTATCCTGTTGAAATTTGAAAAAACTTGATACCTGAAAGTTCTTTACTTCAAAAGTTTAGTTCCAAAAAAAAACTAAACTTATTCAAATTGTCAAACACAATTGAGTTTAACCTTTTTTGAAAAAAAACGCGTAGGTTGTTTTTTCTCCTTCTTCTTCTTATTCTCCTCATGAGATTCTTTCGAACATAAATAAAATCGAATTATTTAAATTTGAAAATCAAACACAAAGAATCGGAAGAAGAAGACACACGACGAACAAAATACACATAAAATATATATACACACCCACATTTATTCGCTTTTTGCTGTTGTCTCCCTCTTGAAACTATCCATTTACATGTTCTCATCTTTATTTGCATATTAGCTTGCTTGTATCGAAATTTGAAACTTTTCTTCATATTTTTGGCTGGAGCTTGAGATTTGGATTCTGACGACTTTTAGAAAATCAGCCGAAGAAAATACGCTACTTTTTCATTTTGAAGTTTTCTGCTGGGGCAGTTCAAGTAGCTGAGTGGTTTCTGGCAATCTCATGGTCGCTGGTTCGATTCCTGATGCCCGCTCCCTCCGATTTTTATTTTGATTCATCCGCAAAATTTTCACAGCAAAAAATAAGCTACTTTTGAATTGTTCTGCTGTTTTCTTTTAGAAAAGCAATTTTCTTTTTTTTTCTGCGACACACTTTGATTTATTTCTCTTTTTTCTACTAGCTGAACACTCAAATCTCGTATACAGTTTTTCTTTTTTTTTTGGTGAGAATTGAAAGTACCTAGTTTGTAAATATATGTCACAACCTATGCTACCTCTTTTTCTTCTTCTTTTTGCTATATTTGTCTAATGTGCCAAGTAGAAGAAAACTCGATAATATTTGTATAGACGTTGACAATATTATTATTAATAATATTATTTTTGGTTTCTTTCGTTCGCCCAAAAAAAAATATTTTTTAGTTCTCTTTTTTTTATTAAAAACATTTTTTGGATGACTAATAAATTGTGATAAATGGATGTCTTCTTATTTCCCCACCCTAAAAACATTTTCCACTTATTTCTTCCCGTTTTTTCCGCCCCAACTTTTTTGCTATCGTTTTTTTCCGGGTAGATAATAATCACGGATAATTGAGTGGTCCCTAGTGGTATTTTATGTTACCGCTCGCCCAGCTAATCAGATTTTTTACTTGTGTTTTTCTTGGGAGCGGGTGGCTTTGGTCATTTTCAACCAGAATAATCTAGGCTTGTAATTTTCAAATTCAGAAAAAGTTTCAAAACTATTTTGAAATTTTAAATTCAACTCCAATAAAAAACGTTGAAACTTCTTATTTAAAATTTAAAATTAAGTTTCTGGAAAATTTTTGCATTTTTATTTTTATTTGGGCCACTATTCAGTAAACACTGATTTTCACGTAATTTTAAAACTAATTTTCAATCAGAATCGAGCCCGAAATAACCAAGAAGCTTTCCAAAAAATGCTCGGAATTTTACAAAACCGATTTTTCTTAGAAAGCTAGGGCGTTCCCTGCTAATTTGTGACAAGGCTGAAAGTTTTTGAAGTTTTCGAAAAAATAATTTATTTTCAATCTCAATTTTCTTATATAATTTTGAATTTTTTGAAAACTGCCTGAACTTTCAGAAAAGTTTTTTAATAGTCCACAAAATGTTATAAATTGTTCAAACTTTTCATTTTTTAAATTAAAATTCTGCAAACTTTTATTTTCTCATTATTAGAAGGCCATTTCAAATAATTTCAAAAATATTCAATTTTTTTTTAATATCAAAAATCTGTTTCCCTCCTAAAAAATCTCACCCTGTTCCATTTTTCGCAACACCTGTGAGGGTCACCATATTCTCTTTTCTCATTCATTCATTCATTCAAATATACTCCATATTTTTGTGTTATATAATCAAAACAAACAGTTTGTTTTTGTTCTCATTCATTTTTGTTTTGGTTCCCAAGCTTATTCATTCATCATTCTCTTAGATACACCCATTTGTATTTTTTCAACAAGTTCTTCTTTTTTTGACCCCATCAGAATAAGCCACGCCCACATTCTGTCCTATCGTTTCTATTTGTGTGCTTTGCACCTGTCTTTGTTCGCCTTTCTCTCTCTTTTTCTTTTGAACAGTGACGTATTTTATGAAATACATTAATTAATTGACTCTTTACAAATTCTCTCTGGAATTCGTTCAAATTATTGATTTTTGTTGTCTGTGTTGACGACAAAATAGAAAAATAAAATTATTATTTCTGTCTCTTATCTCTAGTTTTCTTGTTCTCGATTTTTTTCTTCTCACTGATATTTTTTCGTTTAGAATTTTGAGAAATTATGTACAAACCTAAATCGGATATAAAACAGTTTGAAACGTATATGAGACAGAAGCGTAAGTTTTTGAAGGGAACATTTTTTAAAAATTGGTTCGGGCTGATTTTGATTAAAGGTGGAGTTCGAGCAAAAATTAAGTAGTGCTCATTTGAAAGAGCATGTTCTAATTAGTACAATCCTCGAAGGATTTTTTCTGGAAGCTTCTCAAACATTGGTTAAAAAATTACAAAGTTCGAAAAAACAGTGAAACACCGTGTAAAATGGCTTGAAACTCCATATCTCCAACCGTTTGGAGCTGTGTTTCTCTAATGTTAGAGAAGCTTTCAGAAAAAATTCTTCGAGGATTGTACTAATTGCAACATGCTCTTTGAAATTAGCACAACTTATTTTTTGCTCGGACTCCACCTTTAAAAAACACCCTTTTTATATTTGATTTTTTTCAGAATCAGCTGATTGGCAACTTGATGAACTTCTTGAAGAGTTAGAAGCTCTTGAAACACAATTGAATACATCAAATGGTGGAGATCAACTACTTTTGGGTGTTTCTGGAATCCCGCAAAGTTCAAGTCGTGAACCAATCACTAAACCACCTCCACCTCCACAACAGCCACCACAAGTATTTCACCATCAACAAACAGTCATAAGTCACCATCAGGTTAGTATTTGGTTTAAAGCAGCAGCGTTTTCTTTCCACCAGACACCCCGTATTTGGGTTGTCGGCCGCCTGGCGAAGAACACCCATGTTCAATCGAGCAGAAATAACCTAAATAACTCTATTGGTGCTCGCCTGCCAAATCTAAATTGTTTATGGTGCCATACTTCCCCCTTATTTCCCCTATTTACAATTGAAGAGTATGTAAAATGACACCAGGGGGATATGATATTATTCTTGACAAAAAAAACACGAGAAGAAGTGGAAACAGATGTTGGTAAAACCAACAGGTTCTTCTTATTTATTTTGAGAAAAAAGAACACATATTGAAATTGGTACGGCGGAAAATATAAAGAAAATAATTGCCATGAGCAATAAATTTTTAATATTATATTTATTTATGATTTACCGCACCGCGCATTGTTGGTTAAAAAGGTCCTCGAGTATCTTGAACCAAATAAATCCCGCTGACCTCTCATGAAATCCGAAAAACTAACAGATTATAGACAGATTTATTTATTTTTCAGATTCAATCAAATGGTTCTTCCTGTTCGTCTCCAGATGGTGACAGTGCATTTGGCGATTCTTCATCGACTGAATCACACAGATGTCGGAATTCGGCTTTTTCGTCAAATGAATCATGCAGAGATTCGTTGAATACACCAAGTCCAACGCAGGTGATTTTTTTTGACACATTTTTGGGAGTGGGGAGGAAGGAGATTTTTGAGTTTTCGGAAACTTTGAACTAGAAAAAATGTTTTCATGAATTCAGAGCAATTTGTTTTTTAGAAGCCTGGTTTTCTAGATTATTTGGAAAAATCAGATTTTCGGTTGAAATTTCAAGCTGAAGATAAAGAAATAATTTTTTGATTGAGAATTAAAGAAATAATTTTTTGAGAAATAAAGAAATAATTTTTTGATTGAGAATTAAAGAAATAATTTTTTGAGAAATAAAGAAATAATTTTTTGATTGAGAATTGACAATTCTGATTTAAACTTACAATTAGCCTTATTTTCCAGGATTTTTATAAAGAAAATAAAATTTTTTACCTAGAAATTTGAAATTTAAGCTGAACCTGAAGAATATCGATTTTACCTGAATATTTTTGATTGAAAATTGAATATACATGTTCAAATGAACCTCTGGATTTTCAACAACAAAAAATTTAAAGCTTGAAATTTATGGCCTAACTCCAGCTTTCCTCAGATCTCTTTTATTAGTTTCAAATTTCACTTGACATACTTTTTCTTCTTCACATTCTCCTTAAAAAAAGCCGTTGCCACGTGTCATCAATTATCTATCTACTACATATATTACAATTAGTTTAGTGTCGGCGTTCATCAATCACTTGTATACATTTTTACAATAATCAAAAATACTGTGTAGAATGAAGAGAGTTTGACATGTTCTTCGCAGGTCAACAAGATTATCACAATAAGAAAACGAACTGTGTTTGATTGATGCGTTTTTTTTGGGTTTTCATTCTGGCTTGGAAGAAAAATATATGGGTGAAATAATAATGGATGGATGGGATTACCTAATACGTCACCTGTCAGGAAATTTATTATTTTTTTAGTGGAATGGGAATATGAGGTTATGCAGATTTTTTATTTGAAAAAAAAATCTATTGCGAAAAATCTTGTAATTAATTAGGCACAGTATTTTATTCAATCGATAAGTAATTACTTAAAATAATACAAATACAAAACAAAAAAGCGACATATTGTTATTGTTGTAAATTATCCAGATGTTCTTGATACAAAAATTGCGCAACACACTTTCCCCCACCATCTCCAACCCAACCTCAATCAAATCTTTTAGGTGTCGCCTAGAAATGGTGAAATGACTGCTGAGGAATTGAAAGCATTGAAAATTAAACAAGCATTAGAAAAAATGAAAGAAGCGAAGGTTACGAGGATTTTTGTGAAGTTTTTTGTTGAAGATGGACCTCCGCTGCAAATGTTGATTGATGAGAGATGGACTGTTGCTGATGTAAGAATTCAAATATTGAAATTCTAGAAAAAACCTAAAATCTTTAATTTCAGACAATGAAACAACTTGCTGACAAGAATCAGATTGCTTTGATGGAAGATCATTGTATTGTTGAAGAATTTCCTGAATTATATATTCGACGAGTTTACGAAGATCATGAAAAAGTTGTTGAAAACATTCAAATGTGGGTTCAGGACTCCCCAAACAAGTTATATTTTATGAGAAGATCGGATAAATATACATTTATTGATCGACCTGAATTATATTTGGTGACTGAAAAAACATCGGATCATATGGAAATTCCGGAAGGAAATAATTGGACGATCGAAACAAAACAACAATTTGTGCGAGATTATTTTAATCGCGATCCAGTTGTGCCACCGGAAATGGAAGGATTTTTATATTTGAAATCGGATGGGAGAAAATCTTGGAAAAAACATTATTTCGTTTTGAGACCATCTGGATTATATTATTCACCGAAAGGCAAAAAATCGACAAAAGATTTGAGTTGTCTTATGAATCTGCATTCAAATCAAGTTTATACTGGAATAAATTGGGAAAAGAAATACAAATCACCAACACCATTTTGTATTTCAATCAAATTAACTGCATTACAAATGAAAAGATCGCAATTTATCAAATATATTTGTGCCGAAGACGAAATGACATTTAAAAAATGGCTTGTTGCATTAAGAATTGCGAAAAATGGACAGGATTTATTGAATAATTTTGAGAGAGCTTGCCAAATTCGAAGAGATACGCTAAGTGGAAGTGGAGGAATGTCAGCTGCAAGTTCATCAATTGCTATTTCTGAAACACAACGTGCTCCATCAGTTGCATCTTCAACACTTCATTTAAATGGATATAATTCGAAACCGCTGAGTGTTCATATCAGAAACAATTCAACATTTTCAGGTAAAATTTTGTCTTTTTGAATTATTTCTCTTATAAAATATATTTCAGTTAGCTCATCTCAACCATCATATCCATCTCCTTCTCGAATAATTGAATATGATGAACAACCAACTGGAACAATCAAACGAGCACCAATTGATGTACTTCGACGTGTTTCAAGAACATCAACATCTTCTGGAACACCAACAATTCGTTAGTTTTTTTTAATAGAATCTTTAAACAAAACATTTAAATCATAATTTTCAGCTCAAGAAGAAGAGGATTCTGACGAAGAAGATTTCCCGGCGCCTCCTCCAATTGTTTGCACACCTTCTCGAGTAATTGCACCGCCACAAACCCCACCAAAACCAGTTTGCTCAACACCGACGCCGAAAAAAGTGCCGCCACCACCGCCGCCAAAAAGATCTGATACAACACGAATACAATCGACGCCAACTCCGCCACATCATATGAATGATTTAGAAGCGGCTTTGGCGAAAAGAAGAGAAAAAATGGGAGTTGCTAATCAGTAGTTTTTCAAGAATAAATTTACATAGATAACTATTCCAATTACCGGTGTTAATTATTGTCTCTTTCTCCTTCTTCTTCTTGACTGAATCGTTTTTAATTTATACACTTTTGATGAAAAAGCATAAAGTTTTATTTTAGAAAGTTTCGAGGTACAGTAATCATAGCCCTATTTATTCTCAAAAATGTTGAATTTTGGCTCAAAGTTATCCCGTAAATATAATTTTTTTGGAAATTTCAAAAAATTTTCCGAAATAAAAATAGAGATTTTTTCTAAAAAGCCACATTTTATTTATTCAAATTACAAAATAAATACAAGAATAATCAAGCAGAAATAGAAATTCAGAATACATATATTTTTTGTTTATTTTTCAAGCTTCGATCCGCTCAGCTGTTTTTTTTTTGTGTGTCAAAATCAAGCAAAAACAATTCTATGAAGCGAAAAAGCGAAGACGTCAGAAGTTGGAAGAAAAATCGGGGAGTTGCAATCGAAATGAACGGGAATTTTAAGATAATGTTGGCGACTAACATAAAACTTTTGAAATTTCGGAAACAGCGATATTTAGTGTTGATGTTTGATGGTAGTTTTCGAATCTGAAAATGAAAAGATAATTAATTAGTTAATTAAATTAGATCAGTCTTACATGGTGGAGGATGGAATAAATCATCATAATTCGGTGGCAAACTGATAACAGATGAACAATCTTCGTTATCAGAAAATGAATGAACATCGGCAGATTTTGCATTGTTTTGCGCATATTTCGAAATGTTGTCAACACTTCCGAAATTCACCCCTGTAAAAAATATAAGCATTTTTTTTTAGAATTTAATTTTGAAAGAGGAAAAAGAGTTATTGAAATTTGAAAAATCTGCAGGTTTGAAATCGATGTTTTATCACACTACAATTTTCACACTAAAATTTACATTGTCGTTTCAGTTTTTGAAACTAGATATCAATTTAAGTGTGAAAACTAAAAATATTGATCCCAACGTTCAATTCTCCCTGTTCTAAAATTCAAAATTTTTCAAACTCACGACATTTTCGCCGTTTGCCGCCAGCTCCCAAATGTTTTTTCAAATTGCTTTGAGCTCGTTTTTCGAAAATCTCTTTGAGAGCAATGAATGGAATGGTAACGGCAAGAGCGGCTCCGGTTGCGACCTGAAAATTGATGTTTTTGAAAATTTGATTAGGAATTCTGAAAATCTGGATTCAACATACCACAACAACTGACGCCATTTTGTTAGGCGTCTAGCGATAATTACGACAACTCGTTCAGTTACAAATTAGGCCGATGCGGATCTCGACCTGCAACAAAAATTATTTTAATTTGATCAGAGAGGTTTTTCAGTTCGAAAATTCTGAAAAACTTACCCAAAACTATCCAAAATCGTCGTTATTTGATGCAAAATAGCGATGAAAGTCCGCGCGAGCCAAGATTGTAGGAGTTAAAAGATGCTTTGACCTGAAAATTATATAAATAAATAAAATAGGTGTACATTGTGAATATTATAATATGTATGTAGATAGTTGTCTGGTGTGAGCAAATAACAAATTATTGATTTTTTCAACGAGCAAAACAATTTTATATTCAAAATATCGCTGATTTCAGTAAGAGCTGAATTTTTTGCGTTGAAAATGCCACGTGGCAAAATTTTTTAATTTTATAGAGCTACGAATCCGAGTATATTTTACAACATGAAAACCTTACCGCGTTTTTTGAGAGGTGAAACTAGAACATACACAAAAGTGAGAGATTTAGAGAAAAACATTTTTGATCTACCAGAAAAAGTTTGAGGTTCAGCGGTTTTGGATTACTGTAGTTGATTTTTCCAAACGAATTTTCCTTATATTTTTCGCAAGCTTCATTGATCTAATATTCAAGAACAAATTATCAAAATTCAGAAATGTTTTTTAGATAACTCAAAATTTTTTTTGGAAACAAAATTTCATCAAATTTTAGTTCAACTTACAGTTTATTTGTCAAAGCCAACGTGATTCGCAAAAAAAGAGTGCAGGAAGAATGTGAAAATAACCGACAGAAATTAGACGAATAAGGTCTTCTTTCTCTCTTTTTTCGTTTCTTTTCAACACAGACACAGACACAGAAAAATCTGGTTATTTATAATAATAATATTTATCAAACGAAACGAATCGTCCGCCCTTTTATATATATTTTTCGGTGTGTGCCCCGCGATATGATAATTTTTCGAGGACAACATCGGGTTACTGTAATAAATACATCGAAAATGAAGAGAGATTATTCAAATTTTTCGACCGATTATCTATTGTGTTTGACGTTTTTCGTCGGAAAAGAAATTTTGATTTTGAATTGAGAGAGAAAAAACAAAAGTTCGAGAAGAGACTTGGAAGTGGAAGTAAAAAGTATTATATCTATATGAACGAAACATATATTTTCCAATAATTTTTCCAAAGGAAAATAAAAATATCTCGCGAAAATATGTTTTTAATTTTTTCAAGTTAATAAAATATCCACTGATAAATGTTGAATAAAATGACAACTGTTTCTTCAAATTTTAAAGGTTTCAATTCGAAATTCACCAAGTGTAATTTCCGTTTGGTAGATCAAAGATCTGAACCAAAATTGTTTGTTAATTGTTAACTAATTTTATCTAATTTGTGATTTGTGTTTTGTATGTGGAAATTGGGTTCATCCAAAGTTCGTTGAAAAAATCAAAAATGTTTTGCGTCATTACTTTTGTTGATGTCATTTTTTGAAGGAAAATGAACTATTAGAAGAAACTGTCAATCAAAGTTTGAAAATCATCTTCATCAAACGGAAAGTTTCTCAGAACTGTTTTGTGATTTCTTTGAGAAATAGGTTTTGCTGAATCTTTGTGACTTATCGTAATCTCGGATCCTATCAGTTTTATATACATAAACTCTGACGCTACAGTAACCAGTAAATAATTTATTAAAATTGTGAACATAATTGAACAAAACATAAACCACATTCTCTTCGACAACTTGATTTTCCTTCCGCTTCTTCTTTTTCTTTTTTCGCAGCTTCCGGTGATTCCACCTTGATTACTGTAGGTTGAACAGTAATTGGTGTGATTTTATTAGTTGTTGGGATGACTGCTGGTGGTTTTCGAGACTAAAAAAATGTTGTTTTTTAGTGGATATGTGGAAAAGTTTACCTGGGGATTAGGAGATTTGGCTCTTGGAAAATTATCACCGATTGGACCTTTGTCAAAGCTTGACATTGATGCTGTTTGTGATTCTGAAATAATGAATGTGAAGTATGTGTATGAGGGTTTTCAGGATTTCCAAATTGGATCACACATTATTAAACATCAAGATGTTTTCATTCAAATAAAACGATCGAAGAAATCGGGCGTAATTTTCAGAATTTTTAAACCATTGAGAATAATTTCTAAGACATCTAAGATGGACCTAATAATTTGAGACATTCTGAAAGCGAATATATAAGTTCCTAGCTCCCAGAACAACAGTCTAATATTACCAGTATCATGTGACTTTTATCTGATTTTCTCTTACCCTTTTCACAACAATCACATGATCCACTTCTGATTATACAGTAATATTCAGGTGAAAAATCTTCTTCATTTTTCCGTATTTCAAATTGATGATTGATTGAAAGACCATTAGCGAATAACCTTTGAAATAAAAGAAAAATAATTAAAAGTTCCAAAAATTATATGTTAGCAAATTATATGAAGCAAATAGGAAAACTAAGGAAACGATCCGCTTCGGAAAAATGGATTATGATACGATTTTTTCCGATCCCTACAAAAAATCTGGTCGAAAAAATCCTCCCAAAAATGTGATCTACAACAAAAAACTCACCATTTGATAGCCATTTCTTGCATTTCATCAATTCGCAATTGTTTGGCACTTTTACCCGGTTGAACAATTGCAATAACACATTCCAATTCAGTTTTTGACATTTCCAAAATTTTCATTTTCATTTTTTCTCTCAATCCAAAATGATTTAACTTTGTAAACGAGACTTTGAGGGAAATATTTGAATAATAACAACAATGTATGTTTTTTTGCATTCAATATACTAAAGTATTTTGAATGAATGAAAAACTGGTTTGAAATGAGTTTTTTATCGGATTTTTGAGAAATCTGAGTTGTTTTGACTAGAGTTTCGATAGTTTTTTCAAAAAAAAACATAAGAACCTGAAGAAAAATTTCAAAAAAAAAGCGTTGCCTCAATTAATTAATTATTAATTTAATTAATATTGATTTGTCAGGTATTAGAAACACTTTGACCAGGGACATATTATGAAAAAAATACTTTTTTTTAGATTTTTACTTTTTTCTAGTCTTTTTCCAGAAAGAATTTCACTGTAATTTAAACGTTTCACAAAAAAACCAATCTCTAGGTTCTCATTAAAAAGACCGGGGTTTCCGTAAATCATTTCCTGAGGAAGGAAGGGATTTCTGGCGAAAAAATTGACTTAAAATTTTAAAAATTGCAAAATTTTGAAATTCATTTCATATTTTTTTTTGAATTTTCACGTGACCTGCTCTAAATTGATAAAATCTCCAATTTTCCTCTATTTAAACCCATCGAAACAATTGATTTTCCACATTACTAGATATATTTATATTGAACTAACCGAATTCAAGAAAAAAGAAGAAACGATGTCAAGTAAATCGAATTCAGGAGAATATAGTTATTCACCAATTGCGAATCGCACAAGATCAAAATCGAGGGATCGAAGAAATCAGAGAAAATCGCTTGTTCAATTGGATGTTCAAGCGAAAGAGGTTGTATTTGATTCGGAAAGCAATTCGATTGAAACAACGATTGTGAAGACAAGTGTCCGAAGAACATCGAGATCAGCTCGAAGCCGAACCAGATCTAGATCTTCAAGATCAAGACATTCATCGAATAAAGATTCATCGTCAAATTCAAGATCTCGTTCCCGATCTCCTCGCCGAAAACATCGTCAACGAAAGCATCGCCACGGAGAACGCCGTGTTAGTTTTGCTAAAAAACTACGCATCTCCAAAACTGACTCGTGAGTTTTTTTTTCTTCAAAGGCTAACTGAAAACTGAGCTGAAACATTTTAGATCAACTTCAAAACCACTTCCATCAAGCAGAAAAAAAGAAAGGAGAAGTATTCTGGTTGATCCGAAGGATTCTGTCTTCAATCGGGAAGAAAATAGATCTGATAGATCTAGGTCGAGAAGTTCAAAATCTGAAATTTCGAGAAGATCGAAGAAACCCAGAGAAAGAAAACCGAGGAGAAAAGCCTGAATATTAAAAAAAAACTTACAGTAAACCTTCTTGATCTTGAATTTCCAGTAGAAATGAATAAATTTCATTAATCCATAAATGCAATAAATATGACAGAAGTGAAATTCCGACCCCAGATCACAGAAACAAATAAATAAATACATTAATTCGAAGAAATACTATTATTGTTCAAACTTCCTTTTGATGTTGTTTTTCGAAAGAATTTCGGCAATATTGAACGCCGTTTTTTCGAGGAGTCGACTGTTGAAACAGTTGATTGATTATCCAGTGATTTTGAAATTGGCCTAAATGGTATGGTTTATAAGAGAAAATTGGAGAAAAAAGAACCTACATTTTTTGTTGGAATTGAATGCTAGCAAATTCTTCATGATGTTCGACTTCCTCTAAGTCATGTGATGACGATTGTTTTTCATTCAATTTTTGAATCTGATATTATTTAGTTTGAAATTCAGGTACGATTTTTGAAGAAAGGTATTAGGGGGAGGCAAAGTTAATATCTGATGAAATACAAAATTTACACAAAAGTCTGGGACTCGAGGAAAACAGTTCCTTTTTTTGAAGCATTTTTCCTGAGACTCTTTCATTCGAAATTAGCTCATCTCAGCCCGCCCTCCCCTTTGAATGAAAATAAAACCCACTTTATTATTGGATACACTCGATATTTTAGGTCGACTCTGTGATGCTGATTCTGATGACGTTGATCCACCTCCTGAATTTTGAGAGAAAAAATTAGAAACAGATTTAGAAAAAAAATTGTTCGAGATCTAAACACAACACTGAAATAAAATAGGATCTATATAAAGCTTGAATCAGAAGACGAAGAACTTGGTGCAGGTGATTTTTGAGATGGTGGAATATGGGTGCAGAGAGATGTTGAGAGTTGCGCTAAACAAAAAACACGTGAGACAAGACAAAAACAACATGTGGAGAAGACAAGCATTACACACAATATTGGTCACTTTTTCATCCAAAAATGTTTTCCAAGATTTTTCACTCAATTCTCGATTAATTTTCAAAATTTTGAATTTTGAACAAAAATCTTGGAAAATATTTCTTTGGATAAAAAATTGACCAAAAAATCACTCCAGAAAAATTCACATGCACACGCACAAACAAACGATACAAAATCTGAAAATGGTGCATTTTCACAAAAACTTCCAACTTGAGCATACATGAATCATAACACATTAAAAAAACTAACCAGAATGATTTGATGAAGGTTGATTGAACAATTTGGAAGATGATGTTATAACTCGATTGATATGTTCGGTTTCTGAAAATATTTGGCTATGAAAATGGAAGCGAAAGCCATGCATTTTTTTTTTGCGGGGGATGGGAAAAATATCAACTTTTTTTCATTAAAAATTAAGGCACACTTTATTTTGATATTTGAAATGCAATATAAACGCTTTCCTCTTGTAATTAATTAAATTTCTATTTGGATTTACCATTTGTATAAAGAATCGAGAAACCGCAAAGTGATTCGATTTGCATCCATCGTTCTTGCGTTTCACGTGTCAAACCGTGAATTTTTTCCATTCGACTTCTAAAAATAAGAGGTTTGCAACTAAAAAAAAGTGACAAAAACTAACTTCAACGCAAAAATTTTCGAGTCAACTTGATCGCTTGTCGATGCTGCTCCAGTTGCCAATTTCAACGAGGAAAGTACACTTCCTTGTTTTTTCTGCAATCGATCCACCATTTCAATTGCGTCTTTCATTTCTTTGAAACATCTGAAAACGTGGTTTGTGCTTTTAAATTACATCTCAGAATCCAAAGAGGTTCCAAAAAGTTGAAAATTTAAATTTGACTCATAGATTTTTTTTGAATAAAAACTTTTTGTTTTTTCATAATGATATTTTGGCACACATATTACTTTTGCTCCAAAACTCACTCTTGTCTTTGTTTTTCCAAAAACGCCATTTCATTTTCACAAGTTCGCCTGAGCAATGGTTGAAGTGCGAGTGGTGTTTCATGAATTCCGATTGAATTTGCTTCCAGTCTAAAAACCATTTTTTTTTCTCTCTCACAAAACCCTTTAAAGAATTCTTTTCTCACCTTCTTTCAGCTTCTTCGAGTTGCAGCCGCAAATTTTGCATTTCGACTTGATTAACATTGCAATCGCTAACTGATCTAAAATATGTTTTTATTATACATATTGTTATCAATTTTTATCAAACCTTTTATTTTTCTCATCGTTCAACTTCTTCTGAACTGTTTCAAATTCAGACTCCATATTTTTGAGTTCAGTTAACTTCGTAAAAAGTTCGTGTACTTTTTTTTGTGCTCGTTGTTTTTGTCGAATATACACAATTATCAAAGATGTCAACAAGAGTGCCTGTGATAAATAAGAACCTCATTTGAAAGTGATGATTTTGAATATTAAAAAACTTACAAGAAGTGCAAGAAGAATATCTTTTGTTTTATTGTTATTATCTCGATATCCAAAAAGAACAACATCCAGCGAATTCAGTCGAAGTTTTTGTCGATGAACCGATGATTTGATACCAAGTTCTTTTGTGAGATAATCAGGATTTTGAGTTGAAAATCTTGGAAGCACTTTTCCATCAAGTTTTTTCTGTCGTGCTATATCAGCAACAATTGGAAGATTAAGATCTGTTGATAACCATTCAACAAGCTGAAATGGTGGAATTCATTCGAATATCTCAAAAAATAAAAATGCTTACTCTTTCATTTGTCCAAGTTCTTTCATTACTTTCAAACCATGCTTCCCATAAATCGTCGACAGTTATCGAGTCATCTTCTCCATGGAATTTGTTTTCTCTTCGAGTTCTTTCTGTTCCACGCATATGCATGTCTTCTTTCATGAACTGGAAAAAAATGAAAAATAACTTTTAAGCTTTTATAGATAAAAACCTACCCCTGTTGACTCATTTCGATCAATTGAACCTGAATGATCATCATCCATTTCTCGATGAATATCTCGAATTGCTTCATATCCGGCTTTGTCTCTAACTTTTTCTTCAGCGGCGGTCACTTCCACATCTTAAGAAATTGAAAATTATTCATTTTTCTAATTAAACAAAAAAAACTTACTTCTTGTAACACGAACCGGTTGTTGACAAAAACCCGATGAACAACAACAAAGAAAGAGTAAAATAAAAGTGAATATTGAATTTGTTGAGCACATAATTGACAATTATCGCATACCTGAAAGAATTAAATTTCGCAAAGTGTAAGAACGACAGTTTCGAAGAGGGTTGAAACATTTTTTTTGATAAGAAAATGGAGGGGGAAAGATGGAGGAAAGCGAAACAACAAAACATTTTTTTTGAGAATCGATCGATTTTTCTCAGTTTATTTTACGAAAATTCAGATGGAATCGGCCAGGAATTCGTAAAATAAATTGAATTTTTTGAATAGAAAAAACGAGAGAGAATCGTAGAAAACAACATTTTATCATTGCTGACATTAGAGTTAATAAAAAAAATAATGATATTTGACTGTGTCTGGCGAACGAACATAGAAAAACTCGAAAAAAATTGCGAAGGAAATGACGTCAGGTTTTGTCATTTGGCGTACGGTAAAGTGTATTTTGTGCAAACACCTGCAATTTCTCAGAATTTCATTTTTTGTGTGTTGAAGTACGGTAGCGTGCAAAAGTTTTTTTTTTTTTTTGAAAAATTTTGGGAAAAAGCTGCGTTGCTCCTATAAAATAGTGGTTCCGGACGACCTCTGAAAACTTTTTTCATCTGAATAATGGCAGGTATTTTAGTTTCGGGTTTTTTTTTTCATGGGGTTAGGCTAACTTTCGAAAAAGTTTGTCCTTCGTTTTCTTTTGATTTCCCCCGGAGAAATCAATATTTGAACAATATATTTTTCATAAATAAATAGACATAATTATGCAGCTTTTTTCTCATTTTGAATTCGAAACAAATAAAAACTTTAAATTTTCACAAAAGTCAGAACTTTTAAATAAAAAACTATGAAATTTGTTGGACAACATGTTTTTAATGTCAGTCGAAATTTATGCAAAATTAGGTCGAATAGTAAATAAACATGTCTTTGGATAATCCTCTTGTTTTTTCGATGATTTTTTGAGGAAGCAATTTTTAAAATACTATTTTACGTTGTGAAGAGATGAATTCTCAAAATTGAAAAAATCAAAGATTATTTGAAACGCTAATGTTATTCATAGACTATTGCGTTTCGTTTAAAGAAAAAAAAGATGAAAAATGTTGAATGAAAATGGCAGAAATGAAATAATATTTGAGTTGAGATTGCATTGTGTAATATACGTCTTATACACCTCCAGTTACACAAACAATAGATTTTTTTTTGAAATTAAATTGCACTTTTGAAGAACTGTTCTCGTCTGAGCCTAGATTTACACTGAAATTCTTTACAGATATTTTAAGTAGCGTATTAAAAAAAAAGAATCAGAAACATGACGTGACATCATATGATAATATTTGAACGTGTGATATGAAATCATTCCTAACTTTATTCATTCCGGATATTAGACTATTTTTTTAATTGATTGCAGTCAAAAACAGGTTAGTTCTAGATCAATTTCGGGGATTTAGAGTATTTTGTGAAATTAAAACTAACGGCAAACTTGTGCGAAAAGAAGGTAATCAAAACTTTCATCTTGTTATTTACCATAGTTTATTTGTATTGTTGAATTGAATGGATACATTCATTCAATTTATTGGTAAATAAAACATCGCGATTTATATATTTCTTGTTCTCAGTTATTATATTTGAATATCAATCAGGCAAACATTGCAAAAAACATAACTTTTGATATTTATAAGCGATTGGGATGGGATAGGATATCTAATTTGAGAGTCAGAGAAGTAGAATTGTGACATAGACGTAGAGAGGGAATTTGAAAGAACGATAAACAACTGCGCGAACGAATGCCAGTCAGAAGCTCTTTTGGTCATCATCTCACTAATACTCTCTCATTTTCTCCCACTATCTCCTCTTCTCTTCTTTGGTTTTCCATGTATGTGTACACACTTCTTGCCTAGCCTTCTTTTGTGTCAGAGACGCAGCACATACAGTTTTTCGTTTTTTTTCGTTCGCAGTCGTCGCACACCTGCGTCTCCTTTCGGTTCAAACTGTCTTTTATTTTTCGTTGTATCATGATGTCTGTTTTTGGTGATTCTTCTATTTTTCTATTTGTTCAAAAGAACTGAACTGTGCCTTTTGTATGGAGCTCGATAAATTTTAGATTGCGCTCTTCGTCTATGTGTATAGTTGTTTTTCAGAATTGATTATCGATTTTTACAGAAAAAAATCTTGATTTTTAATAATCGTTCATAATTTATGCGTTGTTCTTCAGCATGATTTATATTTTAGTTAATTCCGTGTTACACAATAAAACCATCTATCCGATTTTAATAGTATCTACGTCACACATAAAATGAATGACATTCCAATCTATAGCCAGTCAAAAAAAGAAGAAGGAGAAGTAATCGTATGAAAATATAATTCATATAGAAAACTTGTATAATACGATCACAACATAGAATATCTATCTATGTCTGTATGTTTTCTTATTCCTTCCTCTTTTATACTTTTTTTGTCAGTTGAAAGTAGAACATTCTTCTTTTTTCGTTCCAAGTCTGAACACATCAATGAATCAATAATTTATATAATTTTTGTTGAGAAAATGTATTAATTTTTAAATAGTAGTTTTTAAAATGCTGTGGTTTTTCATTCATATTCGGATTGTGAAAATAATGCGGAAACTATGCTTTTCGAGAAATTCATGAATTTTAGATGTATTATAAATCATTTCAAAACCGATCCCAAAAAACCGTGGTTATTTGTCACGATTTCCTTATTAAAGAATCATAGTGATAAATCATTTTGTTCTGATCATTATCTTTTTTCTTCTTCGTCCGTATTATCTTATTTGTTCTAGTTTTGATTTGTTCGAATAATAATTTTTTGATTGTGATCCTTTTTTTTCCTTTCCTCCTTCAACGGCATTAGTTTCTCTTTCCTTCTCGTTTTTTTCTGAATACTTTCCGGTTTTTCGCTTGTCTATTCTTCTCTCTTCGGTTTTTCACTGCGTATGTTGTGTTATCAATCGATGTTTACACAACGAAAATTATTTGGTGTTTCAAAAATTATTTTACCCAATTGCTTTAGGTTAAAGCTATGAGAGCACAAAGCGTTTCGCAATTTTTCTCAATTTGTATCAAGAAAATTATTGGTTATGGGGCTATTCATGTTATTTTTCAACGCTGAGAAAATACGAAAAAAACGGAGAAAATGTATTTCCTTCGCATTTCTCCTGTTTTCTCAACATGCTGAGAAAATACATGAATAGCCCCATTACTAATCTAAGTGCAAGTTGAAAAAATCGCGTCGATTTTCTGTTTTTTTTTCTTGATGAAAGTGAAGTCTGTAAATTGCGTGACCATTCTCAACTCACTACAAACGGGCATTAATGTAAGTCCATTAGAAATACACAATGTCACCAAATTAATTTATAAAGGTTAGGGTTTGAACTCTGAGAGAAGTACACACTTTTAAGTGTGAGATAGAGAAGTTGAGTTTTAACTTTTTGTGAATTCTCAGAAAAAAGCGGTGAGATCTCGATTTAGAATTTTTGGAATTTTCCAGGTGCACGTTCATCACAAGATCTTTTGAAAAAACTCAAACCCTTTAATTTTTTAATACTAAACTCAAAATGTTTTCATAATTATTCATTTTCGTAGTTTCACAGTTGTAGTTTTTGAGACAAAAATTGTTCGAGAAGTCTGTAACTCATTTCTCATTATTTTCTCCAAAATAATTTTTTTTTTCAAATTCTGACCGATTTGTTCTATTTGCAATGAACGAGGCAAAAAGTCAGGCGTGATTTTTGCCGAAGTTTTTTTTGTCTTTTCATTTCATTCCACATTTTTTCTCTCCACTCTCCGTTTTCTCTTTGCTCAAAACTGAGAGCTCGTGGTTTAGCTCCTCTCATATGTGTGTATGTTCTTGTGTGCTTGCTTTCTTCTGTGTGTGTTTTTTTTTCCTGTCCCAGTCAAATTCCTACTGATTTCACCTCTCCATAAACATTTCATAATTGTTTGGTAGAATTATGCCAATTTCATTAATTGAGTTCTTATTTGGACTTTTTTGCCTGAAAAAGGACAAGAAGTTCAATTTTTCTCCCATTTTTTCTAGAAACATTTTGGTGTCCAAGTACTTTTCAAACTATGTTTCGAACTTTTCATCTCTGTCAATTCATACCGTTGACTGATATAATATTCCTATGAATTTTATATTTTTCTTCGACAGAAAATGTTTTTTGACTCGTTTCTCAAGTTTTTCTTCTTTTTTTTTTCTATTTTCCAAATTCTATTTTCAGACACTTTGCTTCTTTCTTATCATCTCCTTTTTGGTTGATGAAAAAGATAATCAATAAGCAAATGTTTTTTTTCGAAATAAAATAAAGATAAGCCTTGAGGAATGAAATCTTCAGAGAAGTTGATGTGCTTCTAAAGATGATAAATTGAGATGGTGTTTCAGATAAATCTAGTTTATTATTAGAAATAAGATGTAATATACTTTGAGATAGAAAATATCGATTTCAAAGATATTTTTGGATGATTCTAAGCTTTGATACTGTGGTGTTAGTCGTTGATTGAAATTTTATCAGTCTAGATAGATGAAAAAGTTTCTCGAAATATTCTTTTTATACTAGCCGCAAAGCTTGGTGAAAAATTTTTTAGTGTTCAAAAAATGTAGAAGAAGCTAGAAACACAACTGAAACAGTTACTGTAGTATTTGATAAATAACTTTGAATATGATTTTTTTAAACTGTAAATCTGATTGCTTAGCGTTGAGAAATACCTTTTAACGTTCCTAAAATTAACCTTGAAACATCCTGATTTTTTGAAATTTCCAAACTTTGTCACGTCATAACTCATATCAGAAGGTGAGTTTTGCAATTCTCGACGTCGGAATCAAAAAGAGTAGGTCAAAAACTACTAGAAAACATTTATTTTATTTTTAAAAAATTCGATTGAATTTGGAAACAGTTCACTTTTTATTTATTCATTTTCGTTTCTTTCTTCGAAAATATTTATTGTTCCTTCTCAAAAATTCCGTACAAAAATAAATGAAGAAACATTTTATTACTTATTAATAATCGAATAGCAATAAAAGTAATTGATTTGGTAGCCGAACATTTGAGGAAAATTGATGCTTGTTCTCCTTTCTTCGTTTTTTCCTTGTTCATTCTCTTTCCGTTTTCTTCTACCACTGCTAAATACTTGGTCGTCTTCTTTTTTCTTCTTCTTCTTCTTCTTCATAGTCACTTTTTTCTCTACATTCTCTCTCATTTCGCCCAAATTTTTTGTACTATTAAATAACCCCAAACATATTTTGAAACATTTTTTGCAGGTATTTATTCAGTAAATTTTAATATGGAAGAAGATGTGAGAAGTAACGGTTGTGGAGAATATACAATTCGTTTGAAACGTGAATTATGCGGTGAGTATTTTTTGGGAGGAAATTTGGGAAGAAAATATTTTCAAAAAATTCGGAAAATTTACACCAAAACCTTTCGAAAACCAAAAACCGTCCTCAAATTTTGTTTTTTTTTTCCAAAAAAAAAAAATCAGGAAAATTTCAGCCAAATCCGGTCTAGTTTGAAACATAATCCCATTAGATGGGAAACCAATGTTTATTACATCATTTTTCTCCCTAAACACTCTCAAAATGAAAAATCCTTAAGACACTAAAAATCCGATAAACCCTGTCTTTTTTCTTGTTCCTTTTATTTTTTTTTCATAATATTTTTCTTATCAATCCACCATCGCATTTTCATTTTCATTATTATTTTTATTCCATTATTTTGAATCGCAAAAAAAAAAGAAAATTGATTGACATGCAAAAAGAGATAGAATAAGATCAGATTATGGTATTTTCGAGAAAATGAGTTCTCACAACTAATAATTCTTTGGTTCGGAACAAGGTACTTAAAAAAAATAAAATAAAATAACATTCTCAAGGCCATTTTTCTATTTTTTTTCATCACCTTTGATGAAAATGATGATGATGTATCGAAATGTGAGAAGAAACTACAAATGCTAGGCAAATTTTTCAAACAAAAAGGATTTTTGAGTCAAAGTTTTATCATAAAGTTGAAAATCTGTGATTTTCTGAACAATAAATAAACATTTTCAGATATTTTCGGTCCATTTGATGAATTTTACAAGAAAGTCAACAGTGGCAGCTTGAAGCATGGACTTGTTAGAGTAAGAATTAAGGCGTAGCCTTTCAGTTCCAATAATTCCCAAAAACAAATTTGTTTCAGTCAAAACTTCGTGGAAAAGCAAGTCCTCTTACAACATTCTCAAATGCTTCACCAAGTCAATTACCAGTTCAAACATTGTTAAATGTAAGTTTCAAACAAATCACGAATGATTTTTGAAAATTGGATATTTTTTGAAGAGTATGAAAAACTTGGCTGAAGAAGAACCGATTAGCAATTTGACATCATTGCCATATTCGTCGAAAAAAGATAAGGTTTGTACTTAAATAACTTTTCTAAAGTATAAATATAATGTATTTTGTTGTCAGATTTATCAACATTCGTGTACTCCTTCTTCTTCGTCATCCGTCATAAATGATTACGGAAATGATCGTGATGATTATAAAAAAAGGAAAAGGAAAGAGCGAAGTGATGAAAACGGGGATAATAATGGAACAGGAATCAATGGAAATAGTAATATTGAACAAAATAACAGTTATGAGAGGTTGGTTGAAGTTTTGAATGAAAAAAAGAGAACAATTAGGATTCAGATAAAAATAAGATTATTTTGAACATTTCAATTCAAAAAATCTCAACAACTTTTGTATTTTCTAATTTTTAAAAACTTATTTTAAAAAATTGCCGAATAGAATTTACATGAGTTATGACGTGGAAAAAATCTGAAACTTAAAAAATCGCCACTGCGTTCTAAATAATCAACGTCAAAATCATTTTGGAGCTCCGAGAAGGGCGGTTTTTAAAGTTTTGGTAAAAATTGCCACGTCGTAGCTCATTTTAGGAGTTAATTTCTAAACTAGCAGGAAACATTGAAAATGTTCCCTTGGTTAAAATTTTTTCAATTTTTTTACGGCAAAATATGAATTAAAAATTTTTGGCTCTAAAATTCCCTCAACAAACATGAATAAACCTTAATTTTACAACCTTATTTTTATCATATTTTCTAGTGAACGTCGAAAACGGAATAAATATGAAAATGGCGAATTGTCTCGATCTGCAACACCAAAATCAATGGAATATGATCGAGGAGGAGGAAATGATACGAAACTATTGAAAGAATCGCTGAATCGACAACAACATAATTTCAATAGAAGAAGTTGGTTTTTTTTTGAAAAATATTCATTTACAAATTAAACATATTCAAATTTTTTGCAGATAATGATAATTCTACGGCTCGAAACGAGAAAGATAATGAATCTATGGCAATTTCTCCTGATTCTGGAGTTCATTCAACCGAAAATTATATGGGAGAACAAAGTGTTGATGATATGTTGCATATCATGACATCCCTTAATGGATATCAACTTTCACCAATTTCTGATAGTTTTATTGCGGAAATTCAAAGAAAACGAAGGAAAAATGGGAAAGTTGAGGAAGAAGGAAATGGAACGGAGAAGAAAAAGAAGAAAAAGTTCAAAGAGTGAGTATTTTTTCTGTCGTAAAACTATTTCAAATTTTGAATTTTTAAGAGTATTCGATGATGCTGAAAGTTCATCATGTTCAGTTTCACCTGCTTCATCATCTGCAGCTTCATCACCAAGATCTTCCACACCGCCTCCTGTCCTCGTGAAAGAGGAACCTACGCCTGTTATCAATGTGTAAGTTTTATATTTAATGGGATTTTCCTAATTATTCACATTTTAGCGTACCGGCACCAAGTTATTCAACTCCAAAATCTGGTGGTTTGAATGGTGAGATTCGTCTGAATGGATTGAAATATGAAAAGATTCAAAAACTCATTGGAATAGCGAAAGCAAATGGATGTTTGTTGGAAGAAAAAGAAAATTCGGATAAAATCGATAATGAGAAAAGAAAAGAGGAAAAACCGACAAATCGAAAAGTTCAACAATTATCCGCGTCGGAACCATTAAACTCACTTTCATTACTTAAACCAACAACAAGTTGTGGATCAACTCCAGCTGCAATGAGTATTGGTGGAACATCTTCGAGAAATACACCAATTGCATCAAGACCTGGATCTTCAATGTCTTCTGTTCCGAAATCACAAAATGCGACACCAAAGCAAGAAAGACCTGGAAGTAGTGCGAGTACAACAAAAACAGTTACACCGCCATCTGGAAGTTCATCTTCTTCGATTTCATCGTGGAAATGTGCATGGAGTCATGCTAGATTGACAACAGCTCAAAGAGTTCAGATACCTGATCCGACAGTTCCGAATCCGAAGTCAAAAATGGATTTTTATCATGGATTGGCGAAGAAATTCAAATCAAGTGCTGATAACAATGTATGTTCCATTGAAAACATTTGAAAACTTATTCATATTTTTGCAGAAAGATCGTGTTAGTCGAGTATTAGATTATATGGTTTCTTCAGTATATTTCATAATGGAATCTATTGCAAGAAACGATAAAGAAAATACACAAACATCAAAAATGCAATGTTTAAATATGTATAAAGAGACACAAGATCTTCTACGTGTTGCTCTTTTTCAATTTATTCGAGATACAGATGATTTGATTGTTATGCATTTGATGCCACGAATTAAAATGATTGGACAAATAATGCTTGCCACTATGCATTATCAAATGTTTCAATTTCGCGCTGACCAAGTCAATAAATATGCTGTTCGATTAGATTCCAAAGAACTTGATGCGACAGTTCAAAAAGTGCAAGGAGCAACAACTGGTGATTTATTGAAAACGAATGGAACAGCACCGTGGATGAGTTCGATGTTGGGACAAAATACGAGTTTAGTGCAAGTTCCACAAGCGATTTTTGATATGTTCAGACAGCAAACAAAAAATATGCATATGTTATTGTTTGCGAATAATTATTGGAATGATTGGAAAATGTTGGAATTGAAAGTTGACTTGGAATTTATCAAAAAGTTGGTTTTTTTTTTATTTGATAGGGGACAGAAAAATTGTTTAATATAAAAAAATGTTATAAATCACGGAATAAAATATGTTATTAGCCATATTTTTCATGAGACTTGAGACCATAAAATGTTTTTAACTTCAAACCCCCGTTTTCTATACCGTGAATTATTCCGTATTTTCAGCTTGGAAACCGTGTGCAAAAATCAAGTCACTTTGGAAATGTCATTCGAAGCTCTTGCTCCGATTGTTTTGACTGCTGTATCGAGTTTATTAGCCGAATATAATGAAGAAAAATCGTCTGCGACAAAACCGCCAATTAGCAAAGTAAGTGTTGAATTATGGGTTTTTTCAATTGGAAAAAAATCATTAAAAAAATTTATTGACAAAAAATTGTTTCATCAATTTTTTTATAATCAAATATTCTGAAAATTTCTAAATTCCAATTTTCCAGGCTAAACGACAATTAGAAGCGGCTCTCCAAACTGGTGGTTTTCATCCTCCTCAATCTTCTCGCCAACCTCAAAAAACCTCACAACAAAAACCGCCGCCTCAAAAATCACAATAATTTGTGTTTTTTTTTTTGGTTAATAACTTTTCTTTTCTGAAAAAATACGAGTTCATTAGTTTGTTGCTACAGTTTTTTTCTCCGAAACGAGTTTTTCTAGTCGGATTCGCTGTTTTTTCACATGTCTCCTGATATTTTTTCGGAATTATTTCACTTGTGTTTTTTTTCGGGTAAAGCAATATTTATGAAGTGGAATTATGGATGCCTTTTTTTGTTTAGAACATTCCTAGTCTATCATGCCCAAATTAGGATTTTTTGAATTTACCTTTTTTCTAAACCCAATGTTTTTTTTGATATTTATCATGTTCTTTTTTTTAATAAATTTGTTTTTTTTTGTTTAAATAAAGATTTTCGTGAAATTGGAAAATATAATTTGACATTTTTAGCCAAATTCAGGAAAAAATCTTGAAAGCTTTTTTCGAAACGATAGATCAAACTTTTCTGAATTTCATGTTTTGGATTTCTTTTTGAATAATTTTTCTCGTTTTCTCTGTGTCTCTCTAGAATTTTTGAGACCTCAATAATTAAGATCGGTGCAGAATGAAAGGTGCTGGAGCCATTTGAAGACAGACCATTTTTCCTACTTTTTAGACTCCAAATGTTTCAAGCGTGGCGAGACCACACAACTATTTGGGTGTCCCTTCAAATGGCTACGGTGTGCGTCGTTTCAATTTTTTTTATGTTGTCGAAATTTCAAAATTCCCATTTTCGTTTCTTTCGCTCACTTTTCGAGTTTTCGCGTGATTTTCTGAATCTTGGCCTATTCCTAAAGGAATTAAATTGAATTTTAACTAATATTGTTGTTTTCCGATAACTCTTGTTTGATATAAACTATAGTCTTTTCGAAGAGTGACATGCTCGAACAATATATTTGAAATAGACGAGAGTAGTGAGATGGTAGAAGAGACGGAAAAGAAAAGGGTGTGAATTTTAAAACATGATGGAAAATGGAGAGAACACAGAGATAGATAATTGAAGCTGACTCTCGATTTTGAATTTTTCAGCATTTTAGTCATAACTTCTCTAATTATTTTCGAAATTTTTCGAAATTTTCCGAAATTGTAAAGTACGTTTGGTTTGTCATTCCTGCAAAATTTCATTAGATTTGAGTTATTGATACTAGTTTTATTTTGAATATTAAACTTCTTTGCACATCTAACAATTATTCTTGAAAATTTTAAGTTTTTCAAGTTTTAAGCTGAAACACTATATACATTTTTTAGGAAAACTTACTGAAATTACGTTGAAATATTTTTATATATTCATATGATCAGAATTCATTTAGTTTCAAGCTTTTTCAAAGATTTTATAGAATTCAATCAATATTTGGCACGTTTCCAACTTCTCTCTTTAATTTAACTGAGTATTTAATGTGTTGACGCATTTCGCTGCGTACTAGGCCCCGCCTATTTTAGGACGCCGAATCGATTTTTTGAAAATAGAGGGATGCGGAGTTCTTCTAACTTATTTTGTTGAAATCATTTGCATTTTAATTTTTAACTTAAACTTCGATTCAGATTAGACTTTTGTTTTATGCTATCGTTATAATTATCGTTTATTCTACTATTTCTATACCTCATACTAAATTTTTTGCAGAAAATGGCTCGCACCAAACAAACTGCCCGCAAATCAACTGGAGGAAAAGCTCCACGTAAACAATTGGCGACCAAAGCTGCTCGCAAATCAGCCCCATCAACCGGCGGAGTTAAAAAACCACACAGATATCGTCCAGGAACTGTCGCCCTTCGAGAAATTCGTCGCTACCAAAAATCAACTGAATTGTTGATCCGCAAACTTCCATTCCAACGTTTGGTCAGAGAAATCGCTCAAGATTTCAAAACCGATCTTCGTTTCCAATCTGCTGCTATTGGAGCTTTGCAAGTATGTTTATAAAATCAGATCATTATTGATTTTCGAATCAAAACATTATGTTTTCAGGAAGCCTCCGAATCCTACTTGGTTGGACTTTTCGAAGACACTAACTTGTGTGCAATCCACGCCAAACGTGTCACAATCATGCCAAAAGACATGCAATTGGCTCGCAGAATCCGCGGAGAGCGCTCCTAACTGTTTTAATTCTTTGTAATTCTGTCACACGATCTCACTGTGAATACAATGTTTTATTATTTTTATTTCAAATATCCAAAATAAATCGTGGACTTCTGTGATATTTTTGTTGAATGTAAAAGTTGAATTTTCCTTTTCAAATTTCTGGTTTTGATCTCACTTTGTGCTTCTAAAAATTGAACAAAGCTGAATAAGAAAGTATTTCAAACGTGAACTGTGACGTGGAATTTTGTGAGTATTCATTTTAAATTGAGACAAAAACATTTCTCGATCTGAAAGTGCAAGTCAGAGGCTTCCACTTTTAGTCATTCTCAATTACCGATTTGCCTCGTGATTTTGTGAATCAGGCTTCCCTTTTTGACGAATGCGAAAACCATAGTTTTGTCTGCATTTGTTCGTTTGATTGTGTGTTTTGAGAGCGCACAGGAAACAGCCGAAATGACGAAAAATAGTCGGATATTTTTTGTAAAACGTTTAAAACTTTGATTTTTCCCATCGCTTTAACATCATTCAGACCATGGATTATCTTTGAGATAACTTCAATTATGAATCTTGGAATTTTTATTGATTTTTTCATGAAATTTTTCCCATAATCCGAAACTTCATTTCATGGAAATATTCAATTTTAGGCATGCGACCACCGACACAAATTCTTGATGCATTCTCAAAACTTGCCGAACTCAATCAGAATGATAGAAAAGATGCGTTGAAAGCTATCAGCGAGCAAAAAGAAGCGCTTTCGGATAGCGAAGTGAATAAATATTGTGTAGAAAGATTGATCACAGGTTTGGCATCGACAAGAGCCGCAGCCCGAGTTGGGTTTTCTACGGGTTTATTGATGTTGTTAACATCTGAAGCTGGAGAATCATGGACATATTCGAAATTGGTTGAGATTGCTAACAAAAAGATGGATTTATCTGATAAGGTATTTTCTTACAAGGGAACTGTTTCAACTTTCACTCTAGAGTTTTAAAGAAATATATGTATTATAGTAGTTTTCGACCCGCTTATCACAATTCCATCATCTAAAATTGCAGAACTCAAGTCCTAATATGAGTTATGACGTGTCAAAAATAGGGATTTCTGTAGTTGAAAACTAGCTTCAAACTTCTTCAATTTTTACGATGAAATTTCGATAAGCGGGTCGAAAGCTACTAGAACACATATTTCATTTAAAATCTGAAGTGAAAGTTTTAACAGTTACCTTGTTAATCATTATAAAATAAAAAGTAATAATTGTATAATTCAGACAATTGCCAGTAGCCACGCTGTTGGTCATTATTTGTTTTTGGCCGCCATTGTTCACAGCTCCAAATACAAAGATGATGAGATCACCAAAATTGTTGAACACGCCAAAAGAATTTGGGAAATATCACCAAGTTTGACATTTTCGCTCTACAAACTCTTAGCCGATTTTTCGCTTCTTCTGAAAGACAAAGATTTTGTAAAGGTTGGTATATTTTTACTACACATTCTTTCACTTATAACAAAATTTTGAATTTCAGTTTGCCAGTTCTTCAATTGAACCACTGTTGGAGTCTACGAATACAGTTTATACACCAGAAAATATCACACTTTCATTACTTCTTCGTAAGAAATATTCTGCATTTGTTTCGAAAAATGTTAAATTTGTCAAAAAAGATGGAAGTGTTGATTTCCCAACAGATTCTTATTCAAAGCTTCTTTTTGCTATAAAGAAATGCGATCCATCGAATACCAATTTGTTCATTGATCTTCTCTTGGAAACTGCGAATTTCGAAACTTTATATACATCAGTGATTGAACCATGGGCATTGGCAAGTAACGAAACAAAAGTTCTCGATAGAATTTTTGGAGTTGTACGACAATATTTCGATAAACACAATGGAAATGTCAAAATGATTGTTGTGGTTTTCACAAAAGAAGTTTTAAATCGAATGGAAATGGCTATTAGAGGAAAAGGACAATTCAGATTATTGAGAAATTCTGTAAGTTTGTTATTTTTTTTGAGACACTTTCTTTCAAATTTTCGAATAGTAAAACTTCATTCAATTAGATACACGGTGTCGATTATATCTCAAATGTCGCTTCTGAATTTGACGCAATGATTTCTTCAGTAATTCTTGACAATCGTCCGGAACTGAAAACAAAAAACATAATTGACTAAAATTCATAGGAGTTCAACTTACGAGTTTTACACTGTTGAGTTAATTCTTCATTTTCAACACAATATTGTGAAGAAACATCACATTCAATTGTGCACAAATCTAGAACTGGAAGCCAGACAGCATCAGAAAATGGGTCACCGCCTAAAATATCATATACATAGATTTATCATATAAATTCAGTGTACATATTTGAGCTTACAAAGTTTAGAGTTGTGAAACAAAAATTGAGAGACATTTTCGTATTCAATCGTTTTTCTTGAATCCTGACAGTGAAATGATGAAAGTAGAAATAAAATTAGGAAAATACAAAGAAAGCGCATTTGTTAGTGAAAAAGTAATGAACAAATACCAATTATTGTAATAAAAGAAAAAAAACTAGAAATTTAATATTATTCATCTTTATATTGTTGTAATAATTCAGGTTCAAACATTCGCCAACTATATCAAAGGGAAATTGGAGAATTTGAAAGGACAAGAAGCTTATGATTTGTTGAAAGAACTTGAGAAACGTGGAAGTGTTGATAAAGCTTGTGGTGTTGCGTTGACAACTCTTTTATTGGGAAAATTACAGAAGAAACAAGTTGTTACTTGGATTAATGTTAGTTTTTATGAGAGCTGATTGGAAACAAAATACTTTTTTTTAAAGGAAAATATCTCAAATCAAGATGAACTTCGAAAAATCGTGTCAGCCTTCAGTTTATGGGATGAACCATCGCGCGTCGCAATTCTTAATTCACTTCTGTCCCAAACTGCCACTGATACTACACAACGTGTTGTGACCAGTATTATCGATTCATTGTTTTATGTGAAAACACGGGCTGGAGATTTCGCCTCGATTCAATTGTCCGAACATAATGAGAAGATTTTGAGACAATTGGTTGTGACTGTTGGTGGAGAAGAGATTGTCAAGAAATCGGAGAAGATTTTTGCGAAAGCTAAATTGAGAGAAAAGTCAGATTTTTTCCACATATTTCTCAAAATTTATTTTTGTTTTGACGTGATCCAAAAATGTGGATATTTCGAATTACATTTCTCGGAAAATATTAATTTTTTATTTTCAGATCTTTGTTCATTCTTTGGCTTGTTATCCGACTTTGGGCCGCTGTTTCGCCAAATAAAGAAGACGCATCTTCATATGAATCTGATCTCGAAGAACTAATTGAAATCGCGAAAAATGAAAAAGATGAAAATAATTCGCAAGTTTTTGTCGATTTACTCATTGGAATACTTTCGCGCGAAAAGAAGTTCCATCGAACTCCAGTTGCATTCGCATTTGCACATTCACTGAACACTTTGAAATCGAAGGATTTGATCCATATTGTCGAAACAGCTATGATGAGTGAAAATGAATTGATTGATAATGAAGAAGATGAGGAAATTGATGAAGAAGGAATGCCATTTGAGAATGAAGATAATGAAAATGAGGAAGATGAAGATGATGATGACGAAGAAGAAGAAGAAGATGACGAGGAGAATGATGAAACTATTGATGAAGAATTACTTGCGAAATTGAATTCAGCACTTGGTGATGCAGCAGCCAAAGAAGATGGAAGCGATCAAGAAATGGATGATTTAGATGATGAAGAAATGCAAAAAATGGATGAAAGACTTGCGGCTGCATTCAAAATGATGGCTCCGAAAAAGCTTACGTAAGTTTTGGCCTACACGAAATTGTAGCCCGGGAAGACTTGGCTTGATTTTCCTCACAATTTTTTCCTTGTTTTTAAAAAATTAATATTCAGAATTCGTTTCTAGGCGCAAACAATCGACCAAAAATGTGGAAGCTCTTAAAATGAAAATCGCTGACATTCTTCTCATTGCTATTTCGTCTCAAAGTGTCACACATAAAAATAAATTGGTTAGTTTACTCTCACAAAACCAACTTCACAATTATAATAATTTCAGAATCTCATTATTCCACTTCTGAAATGGGCAAAAACTGATTTGAAGCAACATGATCGAGTAGCACAAAAAGCAATTGAGCTCATCAATATTATTTTGAATATCAAAATGAATGACATTAACGAGAAGGATTTGATTACATTGTTGAAAGATATTATTGAAGAATCGCAAAATGTTACGAATCCATCGATTGTTGAAGTATTCTCTTCGATTATCTCGTTTGTGGTTAGTTTTTGGATTTATTGATTTTTCAAAATCAGAAATTCACACTTCATTATTTCAGCTTGAAACTAGTGCATCAGAATCGCATATATCATCTGGTATCAAATCGGAATTCTTGGCACTTTTCCAGAATTTCTTCAAGAGTGTTGAAGGAAAAATTCCGGCTGATTTTGTTATCAAACCAATCACAAAGTTACCGGTATGCGCTTTCCAACAAGTTTTTCAAAAATTTTAATTTTTCAGAAACTATTTGTTGATGAATTGAATATGCTAATCAATGCTGGATTTGATGAACAGAACCGAATTTTCAAAAGAGTAAGGGTTTTAACAAAAAATGATAGTTCTAATTTTATTTTTCTTTGCAGACTGAAGTTTTGAATGCGACATCTGTTATTTGCACCAAAGAAGTTTTAGCTGACGCAAAAATTGAGAAGACGGTGGTAAAAAATCTTGTACAAAAAGCTTCGATTTATTTGAAAAATGTTTTGGAGGGAGATAGTTCAGAGGTATGTTTTGAGCTATAAGTTCTTGTGAAAATATTCATTTTTTCAGATTAAACCTCGCTTTTTCGCCACAGTTCTCCGTGTTGTTCTCAATTTATCTGCATCGATTGAGGAAAACGAAAAGTTGGTCAAAATAATGAGAGATTCGTTGGAAAGTATTATTGTGGAGATATCGAGTGGAGAGAATTTGGCAAAGTTGAAGAAAATGAATTCCGCGTGTCAACAGGTGAGATTTATGCTTTGGGAAAGAAGGAGTTGATTTTCTCAAAGTTTTAAATATAATTTAAAAGTTACTTTCCAAGCTTTAAAACTTGAGCTTAATTTGAATCTAAGGCTTTGGTCTTATTCTGTTTCGGGAACTCCCCCTTTCCCGTTTAGATCCGAAAATTAAATCCAATTTATTTGAAAAAAAAGTAATTTTTATAAATTTTATTCAATCATTTCATCGAAATATTTTTGGAAAACTGAAATTGAAAAATAATCGATTTTGGTTTTTGGAAAGTTATAGGACAAAATAACAAAATCAGACAAATGAACTTTATACTTTTGTTTGTTTTTAACTAACTTCTGAGAGAAATTTGTACTTTACTAACAAGTGTTTGATAAAAATCACATGCTTTTTTTTCGAAAACCAAATATTCCTTATTCCAGATTGTTGGAAAATCATTCCCATCGGTCGTCAAAAGTATCAAGAAACATTTGGAAATTTCTACTGAAAATTAATTGTTATAGATTGTTGTTATGATTTTTATCTTGTTTTTTCTCGTTGTTTTTTGTTGAATTGTGTTCTCATAAATACATAGATAAATATTGTTAGTTTCAGGTTTTTTTTTGAATATTTTCAAGATTGAAATAAGTTCTGTGACATGTGACATTATTTTGATGGAAAAAAAGCGAATCACGTTTTCAATTGTTTTTTACGAGATTTGTGGACTATGAACAGGTGACTTTGCTTTCGTTTTGTGTTAGAGAAAAACGAAATGGTGAGAGCTAGGATTTTTAGATGGACATGGAATGATTTCTGATTTTTCAAATGTGTTTTGTAGTCACGAAAAATATTTTTTGAAAATTTGAATTTTGGAAGTTTTATTTGAAGCTAATCAGAATTCAGAATAAAACTGTTCCGGAATTTTTCTGGGTTTTCCAGTGTATTTTTCATTTGAAATTATTCCCAAATTTCAAATTTTCGATGAAGAATGTCGAAAATAATCAGAAAACCTGCAGAAAACAGACGATTTCCAAATACATATATATTTCAGACAATTTTATAGATAGATAAATTAATAATTTTTGTGCTTATCGATTTTTTGGTTCAAAAAAATCTGACTTTTACAATTAGATCCCGATTTAAAAATTTCCAAAAATAGACAAAGGTCGAATTTTTGCAGAATTTCTTTTTCCTCCCCGTCAATGATTTCTTTTTTTGAATAAAAGTCTCTAATCATATAACAGGTTCTATCATCATGTTTCTCTAAGTCTCCAAATTTCCCCCAATATTTTTTCTATACACTTTCAAAGGTTGTATTGATGATGATAAGACAAAAAACACATACATTTTTGTTAGAAGAACATTCGAAAATGAGACAGTTGTTCTTTTATCGCCACTTACAGTAATCCATTCACGTGCAAAATCAATGAACTGGTGATTTTCAAAGACACTATGAATGTTGGATTTTTTTGTAAGATTGGAAAAAATCTGTTTTCTTGATAAATGAAGATGTGATAACGATTTTTGGAGAAGCGAATTCTGCAGTATTTTTTTTAAATATGAATTCTTATTTGGATTATTTACAAGAATAACCTCAACCTGATTCGAACTGAAAATTGAAGAATTCAGAGATCGAATCCTCGACGCTCTTTTACCAAACGAGAAATTCAGCCTATCGCAAAAATATCTACCGATCCTGTCCGAATCTTATTTCTTAGGCAGTACATTGTTTAGTAATAATACTCTCGTCCGGAAAACGAGAATCGAGGTTTCGATTCCTTCAATTTTCAATAAGTTTTGTAGGCTCTCTTCAAGAGATCTTTAATTTTCAATTTTGAATTCCACATGTAAATACATATTTTTTTCAAATCGTTCGAAGATCTTATCTATTTTTGGGTAGTGCAAAACAACAAGTGCAAAAATGACGACTACTTTAAAAATTAAATGAAATGTTTTAATGTGCTTTTTGGAAGAAAGCAAACTTGAGAATTTCGAAATTTTGTAACATAAATATTCAGAAGAACTACACAATCATTCCTTTAAAATCTGTATTGTTCAATGATTTTTGAGGCGTTTAAATCCAAAGAACAGTTTAATAATATTACGTGAGCAGTCTAGTCATATGAATTTCACATGTTCAACTTTTGACTCCGCCTTTTCTATCTGTTTTCTTCGTCTCGTTTCTCTACGTTCTATATAAATTCGATCAATGTCTTTTCGTTCGCTCATTGACAATTTTTAAAAGTTCTAATAATATTTATTTTCATAAATAAAATAATAATAATAATAGATATTTGCAGATGTCCACACTTCAAAGAAAACGAAGTTTCAACAAATCAACAACATCGCATGATTTCCGAAAAGAATACAAAGGTTCTTTGTAAGTTGAACATTTCAAATTCTTGATTTAATATAAATAGTTATTTTTCAGTTTGGAAAAAAAGTTTAGTGGGCGAAAATCAGATAAATTGCGAAGTATTGCCGAGTGGATTTATACTAAAGCTTCGAAAAAATCAGCAGTGAAATCGGCTGGAAAAAATGAGGAAATTCAAAATGGAACTTCATACTTTGATGTATGTTTTTTTTGTAAATCTCAAGCGGCGGCATCATAAAAAAATGTTTTCAGGATATCCCAAATGAGTTGTTGTTCGAAATATTTTCAAACATCAAAAATGACAAATCGTCCATTTTGTCATGTCGACGAGTTTCGAATCGCTTCAATTGTTTCATGAATAAAATGGCCGAGTTGGAAACGAATGTATTATCTAGATTAGTAATTATTGGTTTGGGACCAAAAAAAGGAATTGAAATGAGATGGGTCAGTTATATTGGACAGAAAACGAATGCAACAATTGTTTCGTGGAATAATATTAAAAATGGTCTTGCTGATTATTCATTCAACTTCAAACGATTCGCGATTCAACGAATTATTTTGAAAAATTTACCGATGACTGAGGAACTTGTTGATTTTATTCGTCGTCAAATTCAATTTGCTGATTTATCAAAACTTATCCAACTTTCATTGAACAATATCGATTTCTCGCCTTCCAATTGTCTTACTCTTCATCGACTTTTAGCAACTTGTGGAAAAACTTTGGAGATTTTTGAAATCACACAAGGATATGGAATGAGACCGGAAAGTGTGACTGATGAACATCTTGCGCAACTTGATACAAATACAATTCGTCGTATTTGTATTGATGGTGTTCGTTTATCTGGTTCAAATGGTCGACATTTGAAAATTGGTGATGGAGCTTTGAAGAGATTTGCAGAAATGGGCGCGTTTCCAACAATGATTTTGGATAGATGTGCTGTTAGCACAAAAGTTGTTTGTGATTATACAAAAGAATGGTTCGAACAATGCAATGAATCCGAAAAACAATTGAGATCACAAGTATGCACTGTCAAAAGATGCCCCAAAGTTAAAGGTATTATCGACAATACTTCAGTATTTCAATACATTTTAAGTTTCCAGGTTCACAATTTGAAGCTGAATGCCAACGTCGCGGTCTTCGTTGCAAAAATCGCAGAGGAAGTGGATCGATGACTTTGTACAATGTACAAGAAGAAAATACAAAACGTGAATTCACAATTGCTTTAGCTTCACTGGAAGAGAAAGCTGAAAAACTGAAAATCGAGATGAACATGCAACCAATTGTTGTCGCTGTTTAGAATTTGTATATTTATAATCATATTAAATACGGTTTGGTCTTCATAAGACTATGTATTTTTCGCGGGTTTTAGTATTTTCAATAGAAATAGTTTTAAACTAAAAAATTAACAGACAATAAACTTATTTGAACTACACCTTTTGAAAATCGCACATGAGATATAAAATCGGTCATTGTTCATCCATTGGTTGGACGTTTAGAACTGAAGGTTCGAGAACCTTATCCTAAAAAAAACCAAATTCTTTTCGAGATCTTTAGTTAGAAGAACAAAGTGATACCTGAAGTTTAGGATTTTGCATCTCTGAAAACTTTCGTTCTAAAATTTTCGAATATCCTTCCCAATCCACATCACCAAATTCTTCAGCAATCCATTCTTCTTGATTTCGTCGTTGTATTCTAATCATAACCGGTCGAAACAAGAAATTCATTCTGGAAAAAGAAAAAATTATAAAAATCAACTCACAAGGGAACTGTTTCAAATTTCATTCTAGATTTTTAATAAAATGTATCTTTTCTAGTAGTTTTCGAACCACTGATAACGATTCCGTCGTCTAAAATTTCAGAACTCAACTCCTAACATGATTTATGACGTGTCAAAGTTCGAAAGTTTCAACAAATTGGGATTTTGAGAGCTGAAAACTAGATTCAAAAGTGGTTTTCATGCAAATCTGATTGTATGAAAATATTTTTTGAAGTTAGTTTTCAGCTCCCAAAATCTCGATTCTTGAAATTTTCGATCTTTGACACGTCATATTTCATATTAGGAGTGGAGTTCTGCAAATTTAGATGACGGAATCGTGATCAGCGGTTCGAAAACTACTAGAAAACAGATATTTTATCAAAAATCTACCATGAAAGTTGAAACAGTTCCCTTTCAAACTAACTGCTCTTGTAAATTGGCGAATTTGTCCATCTCATCGATATCTTTGTATCCCAACATTAGCAAAAATGTATGCATAACATCGTGTGGAACATGAACCTCTAATTGTCCAGAAAAATCAACAACTCGAATCTATAATTCACAAATATTTTTGGCAAATACCGAATGGGTTCGCGAAATGCCTCCGGAGGCATTTTCGAATGCCTCCGCAAAATGCCTTCGCGCTGCCGAATCAAAAAGCCTCCGCGAATTCCAAATGACTCCGCGTTTGATATTTTAAAAATGTCCAAATGCCTCCGGGGCTTCAAAATGACTCCGCGCTATCAAATCAAAATGCCTCCGCGAATTCTAAATGACTTCGCGGTAAAACTTTCAAGAATGTCAAAATGACTTCGCGAAAAAGGTGTACTTTTCAACACATTTTTGGCCAAAAAGTTGATTTTCAATGAGAATTATTATTTTCAAGGCGTTCACTAAGCCTAAGCCTTGAAACTTAGACGATAGTTTGGTTATACAAGTTCGGATATTAGGCTTAGGCTTAGTTAAACGCCCAGAAAGGTGCAGGAAACATTCAAAACCACATTTAAATACGTTAACTAAGCCTAGGCCTAAAATTGGAACTTGAACAATCAAAATATTGAAAAAAATTTCTCTTTTTTTAAGACTTAGTAAAAATCTGGAAAATAACAATTTAAATTTGTAGCTCAAAACGTGTTGAAAGGCCTTGTTTCGCGGACCCATTTTGACAGTCTCAAAATATTCACCGCGAAGTCATTTAGAATTTGCGGAGGCATTTTGATTCGGTGGCGCGAAGTCATTTTGAAACCCCGGAGGCATTTCGACATTTTTGGAATATGAACCGCGGAGTCATTTTGAATTCGCGGAGGCTTTTCGATTTGGTACCGCGAAGGCATTTTGCGGAGGCATTCGAAAATGCCTTCGGAGGCATTTTGCGAACCCATTCGGTATTTGCCATATTTTTGCTATTTGGGGATTTTTTGAAAACTTACAATTGAATAAATACATTTCTTATTTTCTGCTTTTATCCCACATTTTGGACAATTTTCTGGAAGTTGGTCTGGAGATTTGGAGTTTTTGGATATGAAACGATATCGACAATTCGAGCAACTGAAATATATTCATAATTAACTTTATGGTTTTCAATTAAATTTTGATGGAAATGGACTAACCCTTTATACAACTTTGGTCCAAAATCAACAATATTCACTTTTAAAACAGCAATCTGTATATCGTTCTCGTTTTTCGGTCGAAGTTGGTGAATAACTGAAAAAAACAACCTTAAAATTCCCTTTAGGGAAGTGTTTTGGCTTCTGAAATTAATTTTCAATAAAAAATAAAATTGAAATAGTCTAATTCGATCACGCTGAAAACGATCCCGAAGTCAAAAACTGGCGTTCTCCAAATTGGAGCTCCAAGAGCTCCGTGGTGAGAGTCAAAGAGGTATTCAGCCATTTTTTACTTCAGGATCGTTTTCAGCATGATTAGTGAATTTCACCGTGTTTCATCATAATTTAGTTTCAGATTTTTTTTTGAAAATAGCATTTATGTAGAACTTACAACATGGTTCTCTCGTATATGGAAAATAAGAAAATGAATGAATTTCGTTTTCTGATGAGTCCGACACTTGAGGAAAAATGCGATCAGCCACTACTTCTTCATCTGTAAAAATAATAGATAATATTTTTAGCTTAGAATTCGATTAAAAAAACAACCTGCTCTGATTAAATTATAATTCTCGATTTTCAAAAAATCGAATAATTTGACAGTTTCAGGAGCTTCAATTTTTTGTCGTATCAACATTTTTCGTTTCGTTAAGTTTTCAACAAAAACAAGACGTCTCTCTTTCATTTCTGGAATAACTTCAATGCGCACAACTTTGCCAATTAATGATTTCTTTTCTGGTTCATCGGATAGTTTTTCCCTGTAAATTCGTGTTTTTCAATCGAATATTTGTGATTTGAAAATTTGAAAACCTTTTTACAAGTAGATCGTTTGATATCATATCTGCGGCTCTTTTAGTTCCATCCGATGAGCTGAATATATGATTAGAATTTGACGGGAATCGCTTCACAATTTGATTAATACTCACCTTATATTCCGGAATGGCGAAACAAATGCATTTCCATGGTTTTTTACAACTGGTGAGGAAAATACTTTGTTTGGAATATCTTTCTAAATTTCCGTTGTTATGAGGCTATTCAGCGATTTTCTCAACACGCTGAGAACACGGGAAAAATGCTGAGAAAACCATTTTCTCAACCGTTTTCCTATTTTCTCAGCTGCCCTGAATAAGTTTTCTCAACCAATTCAGCGTTGAGAAAAGAGTTGAATAGCCGCATTATTGATAATATGAGAAATCAGAACAACTAACTTACCTGAAACAATTGTGCACTTCTAGCAATAGATTCAGCTTTCACATCAATTCGAATTCCCGATGCTGTTGAAAAAACAGGCTCCATATTTATCGGTTCCCCTTTTATTTCATCAAAACTATCGGTTTGATCATTGCCATCCTTGTTTTCACTAAAATTTGATTGTCTTCAAAAGGGTTAAAATTTTATCGATTTCAAACTTACACGTCCTCCATTTCTGCCAAATCCGTCGGAAAACTGAAAACAGTAATTTAGTCCTGAGGAAATAATTGAAACAGTCAATTCAAAAAGCGGGATCAGGAAACAACAATGAAAACAGTTCTTCGATAAAAATGCTAAAAAAAGTGAAGTGTACTGTAACATAGAAATTTGTGTGCAATTCAGTGCATTATGTGTGCAAACACACACACGTGACAGTACGCCATTTGAGCCGTCCATTTTTTATTTTTTCTGCCTGTTGGCCACAAAACGCCTCAATCCTATCATCAAAACATGGGCTAAATTCGCATTGTTTTGTGAATTTTCAGCGAATTGATGAATGCGCTCAGTTTTTAGTGTCAAATTATAAAAAAACCTTGGAAAAGACCAAAAATAGCTGGGAAAAATTTTTTCTCACAACTTTTTTTTACCGCAAATGCCAAGATCAAAAAATAATTGAAAAATCAATGCATTTTTCTAAATAGTTTTTGATCGTCGCATTTGCGGCACTTTTTAAAATATACTGTCTCTTCCAAGATTTTTTTTTCGTATTGATTATTTACATTTTGAATTGTTAGTGTTTTGGTCGTTTGTTTTGTTAATATTTTTAGTATATTTTTTTTTGATATTCTGCGGTTCAATCCTAGGGTTCTTATGAATTAGTTTTTGAAAATCGATACTTCGTATTCAGTTTTATCCTCTTTATTTGTAAAACTATTTGACATGTAACTCGCAGTTTTAGATCGTGCGATATTTTTTCTTTGAAATGACCGAATACTATATTTTATTTTTGTAATATGCTTCTGAAAGTGTTGGAAAAAATAATTTTACAGCGTGAACTAAAAAAAGAGTAATTGCAATCTAGCAATTTTAATTTGCATTTTTCATTATTTATTTTTGTAGACGTGTATCGATCGGCTGGAATGATCACAGTGTTGGGAAAGTGCAACGAAGATGAAAAACTCGCAATACAATAGAAGGTGAGGTGATTTTTTTGGAGGGAGGGGGGGGGAATACTCACTGCTAAACAGTGAGAATTTTTGCCACATAACAAAAAATGAAAAAAATTTGCTTTAGACGCGAAATTAGGACCAAAATCCGAGAGAGATTGTAGAGAAAACATACGTTTTTGATGAGCAAAAATTTTTTGGGAAATACGAAATCGGTGTGAATGGGCAATTTTTTATCTTGGTGTATCAGAAAAAAATTTTAAAGGCCCATCCAACAGTTTTTCAATCACATAATTTGAATACCTTGTTTTTGAATGAAAAATTGACCATGTGCGAGTTGCGAAAGAGATAGATAATGAGAATAAGAGAGGGACAGTGACGATTTTGTAACCCAGTCTGCGTCTCTCATAGTCTTTCATTTTTTCAAAGAAACATGAGAAAGTATACGTATTCAAAAATTGAATGTGTACACGGATAGATAAATGAAATAAAAAAAGTAATTCTTGATTTTTTTGTTTTAAGAAAATGTTCCATTGTAAAATATGTTAAAAATTCATTTCCAAAAATCACCAAAACAAAAAGGCACATAAGCATAAATATGAAATAAAACATGGCAGTTGGAAATATAAGAGAAATATTTTGAAAGTCGGGAAATGTCACAATTAGGAATATTTGAATGAAATAAAATATAAATATGTATAAATATAATTATTATAAGATCAATATTATGAGGAGATAACATAGTTCTCACCGAAAAGTAAAAATTGAGTTATTAGAATAACCATTTCAAAGCACGTCGTACCACTTCAGGCACGTGTGACCATTCAAAGGTTATTGTTTTGTCATCTTGTGATTTGATTGTTGCCTGAAAAGAGGTAAAGTGGTTTATTATATTGTTTCTTGATTGGAACCAAGATCAGATTCGACCAAGTAGAAATGACAAACCTTGTAATTGATTCGATCACCATTCTTTGTAGATGTGACTTCTGCATTGTTCTTTTTTGTGTTTGCCTCTAAATATGTTGCCAGGAGTTGCGCAATTTTGTCGAACCTGAACCTTTTCATTAGATGTCAAGTGGATTGTTGGACTTACGAATTTGCGGAGTTCACACAGTTGAAAGGATCGAGCGGATCTCTCATCATTCCATGTGGACAAGCACAGTAATATGATCCTGGTGTGTTGACGCATCCATCAGAACATCTTCCGTTGTTTGTTCCACACTCGTCAATGTCTGAATTAAATTAATGTTAGCAAAAATTGGTTCAACTTAAAACATACCGAAGCATTGCCCGTCTTTAGAAATGTAACCTTTTGGACATCTTCCACCATGTGATTTTACTTGGCAAGGACATTCTTCAACAGTAGCTGGTGGTAATGTAGCAATTGGTCTATTGGTATCGATAACCATATCACAAGTTGCTCTAAGAACTGCTTTTCCTTGTGAGCACTGACAATTACAGCTCGATGTTGTTGGTTTCGCATAGTTCTCAGGAGCTTTGGTTTCTGAAATTTTTTGATAGTGCAAGTGAATCATTGATTCTATTCATACCTGTATTGAGTGAAACTGATCCACAGTTATTGTCAATTTCCAGAGCAGTTGTATTTTTGCTACGTTCAGATGTCATAACACAGAATGTATAGGTGTGGTCGGTTGGAAGTTCCTGCAGAAATTTATTTTTTTGATAGTGTTTTTGAAAATTTTGGGGCTTTGAAAAACTTTGCCCTGGAATTTTTGACTCCCTAAACCTTGTCATTACCTCAACATGATATCCAAAACTGTCGCGACACGTCACTTCTTTGGTTTGCCAATTTTCTTTAGGAATACTAACGTCAGGTGTATACATTATGGTGTAGTTCTGAAAGAATATTGTCTGCTTTGAAAAAATTGTTACTTTCATACCGATTTATTATTGGTGCAACATGTCCAAGAAACTGACACCGAATTAGGCGATAGTGGTACAATTTCAATATTTGTTGCATCTTCTTTCGAAGCTTCTCGATCTGAAAAAAAAATGACTTAAAATTTTTTTATTTAATTTCAATTAGTACCGTATGGTCGAGAAGTTGTCATTTTTACTGTAGTCGATTTTTTCGTTGTGCTCGCAGTAGCATAATCACAAGTAATATACGTAATCCAACTATCGAAGAGCTCATTGGGCGCCGACCATTCATCGAGATGAATAACTCTGAAAAAATAAACATTTAATATGGTCAAGAGACATTCAACAAACCTAGTTGGAAGTCCAGATATTTGCGACAAAAGTTCCGTTGCTGGCTTTCTGATCGAAATTGTGATTATGTTGTGCTCGAAGTCGCCGTTTGCATATTCGGCAGATGGTATTGCTTCGTCACTCGTTGTTCCATCACTGCTTACGATTATCATGAGTTTCACAGCGCCACTTATATAGTTTTCATTAGAAATACCAACTAAAGAGTCTATTCCAGCACCAAGCTTTGGAGATACGGTATCATCCCTGAAAAAAAACGAAAGTTGTTTTTTGAAATTTTCTACAGGGAAAAACTTTACTCACTTTTGTTGCTGGATACCGTTCAAAATTTCGGAAAGTTGATCAACTTGTACTCCATTGAAAGCTTCTCTCACTTTTTCACTGTTCACTGTGACGATGTTTATACTGTAAGACAAGCGTTTTTTTCTGAATACGTCAAAAAGTTTTAAATTTTCTCACGTTATCATGTGAATTTCATCTCTGAGTCGATCAACAAAGAAATTGTTAATATGGTTCAAAACTTTACGGAATTCCTAAAAAAAACAATTATGCTATATTATTACTCTGGAATCAAACCTCTTCAGAAGATCTCGAAGTAACATCAATAAGAATATTAAAGTGATATGGTCTATGAATGCCGTCGTTACATAAGCCTCCCGAAACAGCTCTAGTTGTTCTCAACATAGGAGCTGTTGTATATCTGAATCAAATATCTTCTATATGCTGAGAATATTTTTATTGACATACCCTTTAGCAACATCTCTTTTGGTTGTAAGATGATATGCTGCTTCAACAAATCTTTGATTTGGTGCTGTTAATCCACACAAGGTTTTCATGATGCTGGAAGCATTATCATCTACCTCGTTCGCTGATTTCACCTCGATAACATTCTCACTATTACTGATTCCTAAATAACGTTGATGTTGTTATATTACAGTTCATTAGTTCAATAACTTACCAACTAAACGTTTGAGAGTAGACAACTCATCTGAGTTCGAACCAACAGCTATCGCAAATAGTTTCACATCATACATATCTCTCAAATCTTCAGCTGCAGCTGCAGCATTTCCTCTGTTTTTACCGTTTGTAATCACTACAACTATTTTCGTCGCATTTTCACGTCCATGAAGCTGTAAATGTACTCCTGTATTTTATTTCTGGTGGTATCTACATACCTGGAACTGTTGACGAGCTGCTTGTAATCCGTAAAGAGCAATTGCGATTCCATCATTAATTTTTTCAGCCTCCACAATTTTTTCCATTAACTCTATTTTGTCATCATAGTGTCCTAACGCAACAGGAACTGCCACTTTGTCGCTAAATAGAAATGCATATTTTGGGGGAAATGAATTTTGCCTGACGTGTTTTGATAAAACCGTTACAAGTCCACTCATTAAAAATTCTCAAAAAGTTTCCGACGTTTTTTTTTCAAGTTAAATAAAAAATGTGCAAAACATGTACTAAATTTTAAATTGGTGGAAGGAAAGAGGTCAAGCAAAACAAATAGTACCTGTAAATCACGAATCCTATACGAGCAATATCTGGGGAAAGATCGAATCCACTATCCACGATTCCGGCAACAGCCTCCTTCATTTCATTGAATTCGTCTGTTCCAAAGTTTTCGGATGAGTCCAATACAAAAATAACATCAGCCTCGTAGTCCACCGATGAACATTTCTTTCCCATCCCACTCGGAGTTGTCACTCTTGTTCTAGGAGTAGGCCATGTTTGAGTTGTTGCAACATTCGGAATGATCTAAATAACTTATGTTTTTAAAAATCTGTGTAAAAATTGAAAACCTGGCATATTCTGTCAGCAATCGGTCCTAAAATTTCGGAATCGGATCCTCGCCATTGTGGGATAACAACGATATTATCTTTTTCGGTGATAGTGTTATCTTGAACTTGACTGCTCTCGTCTCCAGCATCGACAACGAAAATTGTAACATTACGCTCTGATCGCAATGATTTTGACCATGACTCATAATCATCGCTGAAAAACCAACGAGTTTGCAAGAGAAAATATGTAAATGTACTTACACGGCAGGTCCATTTTTGAAAATTATCACAACTTGAGGAACACTTTCAACACCAGATATGGTGAGCTCATCTAATGATTCTCTCAAACCAGAGCCCAATTGTGATCTTCCTTTCAATCTTCGAGATTCACTTATACGCATCACTAGTTCATCTTCATTATTATAATCACCCAAAGAGATGGGGATTTCAGCACCATCTCCATATTTCACTAAGCCAACACGAACCTGAAACATAATATTTTGATCATGGATGAAATTATTTGAATAAGAACAGACCTGGGAATTTTACGTTTTACAAAACCGCGTAAAAATTTCCCAGGGGTCGATAGAAATTTTTAAATCAAGTTCAACATTAGGCTTCAGTGAAGCCGCTTCACCAAAGACTTCAATTGAAATCATTTAAACTGATTATTTTTGTAGTAATTACCTGATGTTTCTTCAAGTTGAAATGATCTGTGAGGAAATTTTTGATCAATTCTTTCATAACCCGATAATCCAGGATTTTGATATTGTTTGAAGAATCAATAACCAATAACAAATCGATGTGAGATGTAACGAAGCAATGTTTCGATGGTTTTCTTGTTGGAACTATTGTGTAAAGTCGTCTCGCTGCATCCGTAGGTAACACAATTCCATACTGATCTATCGGTTTTCCAGTCTCATCTGTTGGAATTAAGCTTCCGTCGTTATCAATAGATCTACCACGTTCATCAGTAGGAAGAACGTCTCCTTGTTTTCCTATCACACTATAAATAGGTAAATTATTTTTATCTGTTGGCAGAGGTTGCCCATTTGGACCGAAAACTGGATAGATGTAATTTCCTGTAGAGTCTGTAGCAAGAATTTGTCCGTCTGGCCCAATTGGCTTGCCTTCATCATCTTTTTGAATAATCGAGCCATCGTCAGTTATGAAGTTACCAGAGTCATCAGTAGCCAAAGGAGTTCCGTCTGGTTTTGTGATTGGATGAATAACATTTCCAGACTCATCGGTTGGTAGTTGTTTCGCGACTCCATCTTCGCCTTCTGGCACTGAAACATAATTTCCTTGTGAGTCAGTAGGTAGAGGAACATTATCTTTGTTAACTGGCTTTCCACTTGAATCTGTAGAAATTGGATTTCCGTTTGAATCAATGTAAGCTCCAGAGGCATCGGTCGGCAATGGTGTGCCATCAGCTCCAACAATCGGATAAATTGGTCGATTATTTTCATCTGTCGGAAGTGGTTCTCCATCTTTTCCTGTTACTGGGTAGATGTAATTTCCAGAATTATCGGTAGCAAGAATTTGTCCGTCTGGCCCAATTGGCTTGCCTTCATCATCTTTTTGAATAATCGTGCCATCGTCAGTTATGAAGTTGCCCGAGTCATCAGTAGCCAAAGGAGTTCCGTCTGGTTTTGTGATTGGATGAATAACATTTCCAGACTCATCGGTTGGTAGTTGTTTCGCGACTCCATCTTCGCCTTCTGGCACTGAAACATAATTTCCTTGTGAGTCAGTAGGTAGAGGAACATTATCTTTGTTAACTGGCTTTCCGCTTGAATCTGTGGAAATTGGTTCACCATCTGGTCCAATATAAGCTCCAGAGGCATCGGTCGGCAATGGTGTGCCATCAGCTCCAACAATCGGATAAATTGGTCGATTATTTTCATCTGTAGGAAGTGGTTCTCCATCTTTTCCTGTTACTGGGTAGATATAATTTCCTGTAGAGTCTGTAGCAAGAATTTGTCCGTCTGGCCCAATTGGCTTGCCTTCATCGTCTTTTTGAATAATCGTGCCATCGTCAGTTATGAAGTTGCCCGAGTCATCAGTAGCCAAAGGAGTTCCGTCTGGTTTTGTGATTGGATGAATAACATTTCCAGACTCATCGGTTGGTAGTTGTTTCGCGACTCCATCTTCGCCTTCTGGCACTGAAACATAATTTCCTTGTGAGTCAGTAGGTAGAGGAACATTATCTTTGTTAACTGGCTTTCCGCTTGAATCTGTAGAAATTGGATTTCCGTTTGAATCAATGTAAGCTCCAGAGGCATCGGTCGGCAATGGTGTGCCATCAGCTCCAACAATCGGATAAATTGGTCGATTATTTTCATCTGTAGGAAGTGGTTCTCCATCTTTTCCTGTTACTGGGTAGATATAATTTCCTGTAGAGTCTGTAGCAAGAATTTGTCCGTCTGGCCCAATTGGCTTGCCTTCATCATCTTTTTGAATAATCGTGCCATCGTCAGTTATGAAGTTGCCCGAGTCATCAGTAGCCAAAGGAGTTCCGTCTGGTTTTGTGATTGGATGAATAACATTTCCAGACTCATCGGTTGGTAGTTGTTTCGCGACTCCATCTTCGCCTTCTGGCACTGAAACATAATTTCCTTGTGAGTCAGTAGGTAGAGGCACATTATCTTTGTTAACTGGCTTTCCACTTGAATCTGTGGAAATTGGTTCACCATCTGGTCCAATATATGCTCCAGAGGCATCGGTCGGCAATGGTGTGCCATCAGCTCCAACAATCGGATAAATTGGTCGATTATTTTCATCTGTAGGAAGTGGTTCTCCATCTTTTCCTGTTACTGGGTAGATATAATTTCCTGTAGAGTCTGTAGCAAGAATTTGTCCGTCTGGCCCAATTGGCTTGCCTTCATCATCTTTTTGAATAATCGTGCCATCGTCAGTTATGAAGTTACCAGAGTCATCAGTAGCCAAAGGAGTTCCGTCTGGTTTTGTGATTGGATGAATAACATTTCCAGACTCATCGGTTGGTAGTTGTTTCGCGACTCCATCTTCGCCTTCTGGCACTGAAACATAATTTCCTTGTGAGTCAGTAGGTAGAGGAACATTATCTTTGTTAACTGGCTTTCCGCTTGAATCTGTGGAAATTGGTTCACCATCTGGTCCAATATAAGCTCCAGAGGCATCGGTCGGCAATGGTGTGCCATCAGCTCCAACAATCGGATAAATTGGTCGATTATTTTCATCTGTAGGAAGTGGTTCTCCATCTTTTCCTGTTACTGGGTAGATGTAATTTCCAGAATTATCGGTAGCAAGAATTTGTCCGTCTGGCCCAATTGGCTTGCCTTCATCGTCTTTTTGAATAATCGTGCCATCGTCAGTTATGAAGTTGCCCGAGTCATCAGTAGCCAAAGGAGTTCCGTCTGGTTTTGTGATTGGATGAATAACATTTCCAGACTCATCGGTTGGTAGTTGTTTCGCGACTCCATCTTCGCCTTCTGGCACTGAAACATAATTTCCTTGTGAGTCAGTAGGTAGAGGCACATTATCTTTGTTAACTGGCTTTCCACTTGAATCTGTGGAAATTGGTTCACCATCTGGTCCAATATATGCTCCAGAGGCATCGGTCGGCAATGGTGTGCCATCAGCTCCAACAATCGGATAAATTGGTCGATTATTTTCATCTGTAGGAAGTGGTTCTCCATCTTTTCCTGTTACTGGGTAGATATAATTTCCTGTAGAGTCTGTAGCAAGAATTTGTCCGTCTGGCCCAATTGGCTTGCCTTCATCATCTTTTTGAATAATCGTGCCATCGTCAGTTATGAAGTTACCAGAGTCATCAGTAGCCAAAGGAGTTCCGTCTGGTTTTGTGATTGGATGAATAACATTTCCAGACTCATCGGTTGGTAGTTGTTTCGCGACTCCATCTTCGCCTTCTGGCACTGAAACATAATTTCCTTGTGAGTCAGTAGGTAGAGGAACATTATCTTTGTTAACTGGCTTTCCGCTTGAATCTGTGGAAATTGGTTCACCATCTGGTCCAATATAAGCTCCAGAGGCATCGGTCGGCAATGGTGTGCCATCAGCTCCAACAATCGGATAAATTGGTCGATTATTTTCATCTGTAGGAAGTGGTTCTCCATCTTTTCCTGTTACTGGGTAGATGTAATTTCCAGAATTATCGGTAGCAAGAATTTGTCCGTCTGGCCCAATTGGCTTGCCTTCATCGTCTTTTTGAATAATCGTGCCATCGTCAGTTATGAAGTTGCCCGAGTCATCAGTAGCCAAAGGAGTTCCGTCTGGTTTTGTGATTGGATGAATAACATTTCCAGACTCATCGGTTGGTAGTTGTTTCGCGACTCCATCTTCGCCTTCTGGCACTGAAACATAATTTCCTTGTGAGTCAGTAGGTAGAGGAACATTATCTTTGTTAACTGGCTTTCCACTTGAATCTGTAGAAATTGGATTTCCGTTTGAATCAATGTAAGCTCCAGAGGCATCGGTCGGCAATGGTGTGCCATCAGCTCCAACAATCGGATAAATTGGTCGATTATTTTCATCTGTAGGAAGTGGTTCTCCATCTTTTCCTGTTACTGGATAGATGTAATTTCCAGAATTATCGGTGGCAAGAATTTGTCCGTCTGGCCCAATTGGCTTGCCTTCATCATCTTTTTGAATAATCGAGCCATCGTCAGTTATGAAGTTACCAGAGTCATCAGTAGCCAAAGGAGTTCCGTCTGGTTTTGTGATTGGATGAATAACATTTCCGGACTCATCGGTTGGTAGTTGTTTCGCGACTCCATCTTCGCCTTCTGGCACTGAAACATAATTTCCTTGTGAGTCAGTAGGTAGAGGCACATTATCTTTGTTAACTGGCTTTCCACTTGAATCTGTAGAAATTGGATTTCCGTTTGAATCAATGTAAGCTCCAGAGGCATCGGTCGGCAATGGTGTGCCATCAGCTCCAACAATCGGATAAAATGGTCGATTATTTTCATCTGTAGGAAGTGGTTCTCCATCTTTTCCTGTTACTGGATAGATATAATTTCCTGTAGAGTCTGTAGCAAGAATTTGTCCGTCTGGCCCAATTGGCTTGCCTTCATCATCTTTTTGAATAATCGTGCCATCGTCAGTTATGAAGTTGCCCGAGTCATCAGTAGCCAAAGGAGTTCCGTCTGGTTTTGTGATTGGATGAATAACATTTCCAGACTCATCGGTTGGTAGTTGTTTCGCGACTCCATCTTCGCCTTCTGGCACTGAAACATAATTTCCTTGTGAGTCAGTAGGTAGAGGAACATTATCTTTGTTAACTGGCTTTCCGCTTGAATCTGTAGAAATTGGATTTCTGTTTGAATCAATATAAGCTCCAGAGGCATCGGTCGGCAATGGTGTGCCATCAGCTCCAACAATCTGATAAATTGGTCGATTATTTTCATCTGTAGGAAGTGGTTCTCCATCTTTTCCTGTTACTGGGTAGATATAATTTCCTGTAGAGTCTGTAGCAAGAATTTGTCCGTCTGGCCCAATTGGCTTGCCTTCATCATCTTTTTGAATAATCGTGCCATCGTCAGTTATGAAGTTGCCCGAGTCATCAGTAGCCAAAGGAGTTCCGTCTGGTTTTGTGATTGGATGAATAACATTTCCAGACTCATCGGTTGGTAGTTGTTTCGCGACTCCATCTTCGCCTTCTGGCACTGAAACATAATTTCCTTGTGAGTCAGTAGGTAGAGGAACATTATCTTTGTTAACTGGCTTTCCGCTTGAATCTGTAGAAATTGGATTTCCGTTTGAATCAATGTAAGCTCCAGAGGCATCGGTCGGCAATGGTGTGCCATCAGCTCCAACAATCGGATAAATTGGTCGATTATTTTCATCTGTAGGAAGTGGTTCTCCATCTTTTCCTGTTACTGGATAGATGTAATTTCCAGAATTATCGGTGGCAAGAATTTGTCCGTCTGGCCCAATTGGCTTGCCTTCATCATCTTTTTGAATAATCGAGCCATCGTCAGTTATGAAGTTACCAGAGTCATCAGTAGCCAAAGGAGTTCCGTCTGGTTTTGTGATTGGATGAATAACATTTCCGGACTCATCGGTTGGTAGTTGTTTCGCGACTCCATCTTCGCCTTCTGGCACTGAAACATAATTTCCTTGTGAGTCAGTAGGTAGAGGCACATTATCTTTGTTAACTGGCTTTCCACTTGAATCTGTAGAAATTGGATTTCCGTTTGAATCAATGTAAGCTCCAGAGGCATCGGTCGGCAATGGTGTGCCATCAGCTCCAACAATCGGATAAAATGGTCGATTATTTTCATCTGTAGGAAGTGGTTCTCCATCTTTTCCTGTTACTGGATAGATATAATTTCCTGTAGAGTCTGTAGCAAGAATTTGTCCGTCTGGCCCAATTGGCTTGCCTTCATCATCTTTTTGAATAATCGTGCCATCGTCAGTTATGAAGTTGCCCGAGTCATCAGTAGCCAAAGGAGTTCCGTCTGGTTTTGTGATTGGATGAATAACATTTCCAGACTCATCGGTTGGTAGTTGTTTCGCGACTCCATCTTCGCCTTCTGGCACTGAAACATAATTTCCTTGTGAGTCAGTAGGTAGAGGAACATTATCTTTGTTAACTGGCTTTCCGCTTGAATCTGTAGAAATTGGATTTCCGTTTGAATCAATATAAGCTCCAGAGGCATCGGTCGGCAATGGTGTGCCATCAGCTCCAACAATCGGATAAATTGGTCGATTATTTTCATCTGTAGGAAGTGGTTCTCCATCTTTTCCTGTTACTGGGTAGATATAATTTCCTGTAGAGTCTGTAGCAAGAATTTGTCCGTCTGGCCCAATTGGCTTGCCTTCATCATCTTTTTGAATAATCGTGCCATCGTCAGTTATGAAGTTGCCCGAGTCATCAGTAGCCAAAGGAGTTCCGTCTGGTTTTGTGATTGGATGAATAACATTTCCAGACTCATCGGTTGGTAGTTGTTTCGCGACTCCATCTTCGCCTTCTGGCACTGAAACATAATTTCCTTGTGAGTCAGTAGGTAGAGGAACATTATCTTTGTTAACTGGCTTTCCGCTTGAATCTGTGGAAATTGGTTCACCATCTGGCCCAATATAAGCTCCAGAGGCATCGGTCGGCAATGGTGTGCCATCAGCTCCAACAATCGGATAAATTGGTCGATTATTTTCATCTGTAGGAAGTGGTTCTCCATCTTTTCCTGTTACTGGGTAGATGTAATTTCCAGAATTATCGGTAGCAAGAATTTGTCCGTCTGGCCCAATTGGCTTGCCTTCATCGTCTTTTTGAATAATCGTGCCATCGTCAGTTATGAAGTTGCCCGAGTCATCAGTAGCCAAAGGAGTTCCGTCTGGTTTTGTGATTGGATGAATAACATTTCCAGACTCATCAGTTGGTAGTTGTTTCGCGACTCCATCTTCGCCTTCTGGTACTGAAACATAATTTCCTTGTGAGTCAGTAGGTAGAGGAACATTATCTTTGTTAACTGGCTTTCCACTTGAATCTGTAGAAATTGGATTTCCGTTTGAATCAATGTAAGCTCCAGAGGCATCGGTCGGCAATGGTGTGCCATCAGCTCCAATAATCGGATAAATTGGTCGATTATTTTCATCTGTAGGAAGTGGTTCTCCATCTTTTCCTGTTACTGGATAGATGTAATTTCCAGAATTATCGGTGGCAAGAATTTGTCCGTCTGGCCCAATTGGCTTGCCTTCATCATCTTTTTGAATAATCGAGCCATCGTCAGTTATGAAGTTACCAGAGTCATCAGTAGCCAAAGGAGTTCCGTCTGGTTTTGTGATTGGATGAATAACATTTCCAGACTCATCGGTTGGTAGTTGTTTCGCGACTCCATCTTCGCCTTCTGGCACTGAAACATAATTTCCTTGTGAGTCAGTAGGTAGAGGAACATTATCTTTGTTAACTGGCTTTCCGCTTGAATCTGTGGAAATTGGTTCACCATCTGGTCCAATATAAGCTCCAGAGGCATCGGTCGGCAATGGTGTGCCATCAGCTCCAACAATCGGATAAATTGGTCGATTATTTTCATCTGTAGGAAGTAGTTCTCCATCTTTTCCTGTTACTGGGTAGATATAATTTCCTGTAGAGTCTGTAGCAAGAATTTGTCCGTCTGGCCCAATTGGCTTGCCTTCATCATCTTTTTGAATAATCGTGCCATCGTCAGTTATGAAGTTGCCCGAGTCATCAGTAGCCAAAGGAGTTCCGTCTGGTTTCGTGATTGGATGAATAACATTTCCAGACTCATCGGTTGGTAGTTCTTTCGCGACTCCATCTTCGCCTTCTGGCACTGAAACATAATTTCCTTGTGAGTCAGTAGGTAGAGGAACATTATCTTTGTTAACTGGCTTTCCGCTTGAATCTGTGGAAATTGGTTCACCATCTGGTCCAATATAAGCTCCAGAGGCATCGGTCGGCAATGGTGTGCCATCAGCTCCAACAATCGGATAAATTGGTCGATTATTTTCATCTGTAGGAAGTGGTTCTCCATCTTTTCCTGTTACTGGGTAGATGTAATTTCCAGAATTATCGGTAGCAAGAATTTGTCCGTCTGGCCCAATTGGCTTGCCTTCATCGTCTTTTTGAATAATCGTGCCATCGTCAGTTATGAAGTTGCCCGAGTCATCAGTAGCCAAAGGAGTTCCGTCTGGTTTTGTGATTGGATGAATAACATTTCCAGACTCATCGGTTGGTAGTTGTTTCGCGACTCCATCTTCGCCTTCTGGCACTGAAACATAATTTCCTTGTGAGTCAGTAGGTAGAGGAACATTATCTTTGTTAACTGGCTTTCCGCTTGAATCTGTGGAAATTGGTTCACCATCTGGTCCAATATAAGCTCCAGAGGCATCGGTCGGCAATGGTGTGCCATCAGCTCCAACAATCGGATAAATTGGTCGATTATTTTCATCTGTAGGAAGTGGTTCTCCATCTTTTCCTGTTACTGGGTAGATGTAATTTCCTGTAGAGTCTGTTGCAAGAATTTGTCCGTCTGGCCCAATTGGCTTGCCTTCATCATCTTTTTGAATAATCGTGCCATCGTCAGTTATGAAGTTACCAGAGTCATCAGTAGCCAAAGGAGTTCCGTCTGGTTTTGTGATTGGATGAATAACATTTCCAGACTCATCGGTTGGTAGTTGTTTCGCGACTCCATCTTCGCCTTCTGGCACTGAAACATAATTTCCTTGTGAGTCAGTTGGTAGAGGAACATTATCTTTGTTAACTGGCTTTCCACTTGAATCTGTAGAAATTGGATTTCCGTTTGAATCAATGTAAGCTCCAGAGGCATCGGTCGGCAATGGTGTGCCATCAGCTCCAACAATCGGATAAATTGGTCGATTATTTTCATCTGTAGGAAGTGGTTCTCCATCTTTTCCTGTTACTGGATAGATGTAATTTCCAGAATTATCGGTGGCAAGAATTTGTCCGTCTGGCCCAATTGGCTTGCCTTCATCATCTTTTTGAATAATCGAGCCATCGTCAGTTATGAAGTTACCAGAGTCATCAGTAGCCAAAGGAGTTCCGTCTGGTTTTGTGATTGGATGAATAACATTTCCAGACTCATCAGTTGGTAGTTGTTTCGCGACTCCATCTTCGCCTTCTGGTACTGAAACATAATTTCCTTGTGAGTCAGTAGGTAGAGGAACATTATCTTTGTTAACTGGCTTTCCACTTGAATCTGTAGAAATTGGATTTCCGTTTGAATCAATGTAAGCTCCAGAGGCATCGGTCGGCAATGGTGTGCCATCAGCTCCAATAATCGGATAAATTGGTCGATTATTTTCATCTGTAGGAAGTGGTTCTCCATCTTTTCCTGTTACTGGATAGATGTAATTTCCAGAATTATCGGTGGCAAGAATTTGTCCGTCTGGCCCAATTGGCTTGCCTTCATCATCTTTTTGAATAATCGAGCCATCGTCAGTTATGAAGTTACCAGAGTCATCAGTAGCCAAAGGAGTTCCGTCTGGTTTTGTGATTGGATGAATAACATTTCCAGACTCATCGGTTGGTAGTTGTTTCGCGACTCCATCTTCGCCTTCTGGCACTGAAACATAATTTCCTTGTGAGTCAGTAGGTAGAGGAACATTATCTTTGTTAACTGGCTTTCCGCTTGAATCTGTGGAAATTGGTTCACCATCTGGTCCAATATAAGCTCCAGAGGCATCGGTCGGCAATGGTGTGCCATCAGCTCCAACAATCGGATAAATTGGTCGATTATTTTCATCTGTAGGAAGTGGTTCTCCATCTTTTCCTGTTACTGGGTAGATGTAATTTCCAGAATTATCGGTAGCAAGAATTTGTCCGTCTGGCCCAATTGGCTTGCCTTCATCGTCTTTTTGAATAATCGTGCCATCGTCAGTTATGAAGTTGCTCGAGTCATCAGTAGCCAAAGGAGTTCCGTCTGGTTTTGTGATTGGATGAATAACATTTCCAGACTCATCGGTTGGTAGTTGTTTCGCGACTCCATCTTCGCCTTCTGGCACTGAAACATAATTTCCTTGTGAGTCAGTAGGTAGAGGAACATTATCTTTGTTAACTGGCTTTCCGCTTGAATCTGTGGAAATTGGTTCACCATCTGGTCCAATATAAGCTCCAGAGGCATCGGTCGGCAATGGTGTGCCATCAGCTCCAACAATCGGATAAATTGGTCGATTATTTTCATCTGTAGGAAGTGGTTCTCCATCTTTTCCTGTTACTGGGTAGATGTAATTTCCTGTAGAGTCTGTAGCAAGAATTTGTCCGTCTGGCCCAATTGGCTTGCCTTCATCATCTTTTTGAATAATCGTGCCATCGTCAGTTATGAAGTTACCAGAGTCATCAGTAGCCAAAGGAGTTCCGTCTGGTTTTGTGATTGGATGAATAACATTTCCAGACTCATCGGTTGGTAGTTGTTTTGTGACTCCATCTTCGCCTTCTGGGACTGAAACATAATTTCCTTGTGAGTCAGTAGGTAGAGGAACATTATCTTTGTTAACTGGCTTTCCGCTTGAATCTGTGGAAATTGGTTCACCATCTGGTCCAATATAAGCTCCAGAGGCATCGGTCGGCAATGGTGTGCCATCAGCTCCAACAATCGGATAAATTGGTCGATTATTTTCATCTGTAGGAAGTGGTTCTCCATCTTTTCCTGTTACTGGGTAGATGTAATTTCCAGAATTATCGGTAGCAAGAATTTGTCCGTCTGGCCCAATTGGCTTGCCTTCATCGTCTTTTTGAATAATCGTGCCATCGTCAGTTATGAAGTTGCCCGAGTCATCAGTAGCCAAAGGAGTTCCGTCTGGTTTTGTGATTGGATGAATAACATTTCCAGACTCATCAGTTGGTAGTTGTTTCGCGACTCCATCTTCGCCTTCTGGTACTGAAACATAATTTCCTTGTGAGTCAGTAGGTAGAGGCACATTATCTTTGTTAACTGGCTTTCCACTTGAATCTGTAGAAATTGGATTTCCGTTTGAATCAATGTAAGCTCCAGAGGCATCGGTCGGCAATGGTGTGCCATCAGCTCCAATAATCGGATAAATTGGTCGATTATTTTCATCTGTAGGAAGTGGTTCTCCATCTTTTCCTGTTACTGGATAGATGTAATTTCCAGAATTATCGGTGGCAAGAATTTGTCCGTCTGGCCCAATTGGCTTGCCTTCATCATCTTTTTGAATAATCGAGCCATCGTCAGTTATGAAGTTACCAGAGTCATCAGTAGCCAAAGGAGTTCCGTCTGGTTTTGTGATTGGATGAATAACATTTCCAGACTCATCAGTTGGTAGTTGTTTTGCGACTCCATCTTCGCCTTCTGGCACTGAAACATAATTTCCTTGTGAGTCAGTAGGTAGAGGCACATTATCTTTGTTAACTGGCTTTCCGCTTGAATCTGTGGAAATTGGTTCACCATCTGGTCCAATATAAGCTCCAGAGGCATCGGTCGGCAATGGTGTGCCATGAGCTCCAACAATCGGATAAATTGGTCGATTATTTTCATCTGTAGGAAGTGGTTCTCCATCTTTTCCTGTTACTGGGTAGATATAATTTCCTGTAGAGTCTGTAGCAAGAATTTGTCCGTCTGGCCCAATTGGCTTGCCTTCATCATCTTTTTGAATAATCGTGCCATCGTCAGTTATGAAGTTGCCCGAGTCATCAGTAGCCAAAGGAGTTCCGTCTGGTTTTGTGATTGGATGAATAACATTTCCAGACTCATCAGTTGGTAGTTGTTTTGCGACTCCATCTTCGCCTTCTGGCACTGAAACATAATTTCCTTGTGAGTCAGTAGGTAGAGGCACATTATCTTTGTTAACTGGCTTTCCGCTTGAATCTGTGGAAATTGGTTCACCATCTGGTCCAATATAAGCTCCAGAGGCATCGGTCGGCAATGGTGTGCCATGAGCTCCAACAATCGGATAAATTGGTCGATTATTTTCATCTGTAGGAAGTGGTTCTCCATCTTTTCCTGTTACTGGGTAGATATAATTTCCTGTAGAGTCTGTAGCAAGAATTTGTCCGTCTGGCCCAATTGGCTTGCCTTCATCATCTTTTTGAATAATCGTGCCATCGTCAGTTATGAAGTTGCCCGAGTCATCAGTAGCCAAAGGAGTTCCGTCTGGTTTTGTGATTGGATGAATAACATTTCCAGACTCATCGGTTGGTAGTTGTTTCGCGACTCCATCTTCGCCTTCTGGCACTGAAACATAATTTCCTTGTGAGTCAGTAGGTAGAGGCACATTATCTTTGTTAACTGGCTTTCCGCTTGAATCTGTGGAAATTGGTTCACCATCTGGTCCAATATATGCTCCAGAGGCATCGGTCGGCAATGGTGTGCCATCAGCTCCAACAATCGGATAAATTGGTCGATTATTTTCATCTGTAGGAAGTGGTTCTCCATCTTTTCCTGTTACTGGGTAGATATAATTTCCTGTAGAGTCTGTAGCAAGAATTTGTCCGTCTGGCCCAATTGGCTTGCCTTCATCATCTTTTTGAATAATCGTGCCATCGTCAGTTATGAAGTTGCCCGAGTCATCAGTAGCCAAAGGAGTTCCGTCTGGTTTTGTGATTGGATGAATAACATTTCCAGACTCATCGGTTGGTAGTTGTTTCGCGACTCCATCTTCGCCTTCTGGCACTGAAACATAATTTCCTTGTGAGTCAGTAGGTAGAGGCACATTATCTTTGTTAACTGGCTTTCCGCTTGAATCTGTGGAAATTGGTTCACCATCTGGTCCAATATAAGCTCCAGAGGCATCGGTCGGCAATGGTGTGCCATCAGCTCCAACAATCGGATAAATTGGTCGATTATTTTCATCTGTAGGAAGTGGTTCTCCATCTTTTCCTGTTACTGGGTAGATATAATTTCCTGTAGAGTCTGTAGCAAGAATTTGTCCGTCTGGCCCAATTGGCTTGCCTTCATCATCTTTTTGAATAATCGTGCCATCGTCAGTTATGAAGTTGCCCGAGTCATCAGTAGCCAAAGGAGTTCCGTCTGGTTTTGTGATTGGATGAATAACATTTCCAGACTCATCGGTTGGTAGTTGTTTCGCGACTCCATCTTCGCCTTCTGGCACTGAAACATAATTTCCTTGTGAGTCAGTAGGTAGAGGCACATTATCTTTGTTAACTGGCTTTCCGCTTGAATCTGTGGAAATTGGTTCACCATCTGGTCCAATATATGCTCCAGAGGCATCGGTCGGCAATGGTGTGCCATCAGCTCCAACAATCGGATAAATTGGTCGATTATTTTCATCTGTAGGAAGTGGTTCTCCATCTTTTCCTGTTACTGGGTAGATGTAATTTCCAGAATTATCGGTAGCAAGAATTTGTCCGTCTGGCCCAATTGGCTTGCCTTCATCATCTTTTTGAATAATCGTGCCATCGTCAGTTATGAAGTTACCAGAGTCATCAGTAGCCAAAGGAGTTCCGTCTGGTTTTGTGATTGGATGAATAACATTTCCAGACTCATCAGTTGGTAGTTGTTTCGCGACTCCATCTTCGCCTTCTGGCACTGAAACATAATTTCCTTGTGAGTCAGTTGGTAGAGGCACATTATCTTTGTTAACTGGCTTTCCACTTGAATCTGTAGAAATTGGATTTCCGTTTGAATCAATGTAAGCTCCAGAGGCATCGGTCGGCAATGGTGTGCCATCAGCTCCAACAATCGGATAAATTGGTCGATTATTTTCATCTGTAGGAAGTGGTTCTCCATCTTTTCCTGTTACTGGGTAGATGTAATTTCCAGAATTATCGGTAGCAAGAATTTGTCCGTCTGGCCCAATTGGCTTGCCTTCATCATCTTTTTGAATAATCGTGCCATCGTCAGTTATGAAGTTGCCCGAGTCATCAGTAGCCAAAGGAGTTCCGTCTGGTTTTGTGATTGGATGAATAACATTTCCAGACTCATCAGTTGGTAGTTGTTTCGCGACTCCATCTTCGCCTTCTGGCACTGAAACATAATTTCCTTGTGAGTCAGTAGGTAGAGGCACATTATCTTTGTTAACTGGCTTTCCACTTGAATCTGTAGAAATTGGATTTCCGTTTGAATCAATGTAAGCTCCAGAGGCATCGGTCGGCAATGGTGTGCCATCAGCTCCAACAATCGGATAAATTGGTCGATTATTTTCATCTGTAGGAAGTGGTTCTCCATCTTTTCCTGTTACTGGGTAGATGTAATTTTTTGTAGAGTCTGTGGCAAGAATTTGTCCGTCTGGCCCAATTGGCTTGCCTTCATCATCTTTTTGAATAATCGAGCCATCGTCAGTTATGAAGTTACCAGAGTCATCAGTAGCCAAAGGAGTTCCGTCTGGTTTTGTGATTGGATGAATAACATTTCCAGACTCATCAGTTGGTAGTTGTTTCGCGACTCCATCTTCGCCTTCTGGCACTGAAACATAATTTCCTTGTGAGTCAGTAGGTAGAGGCACATTATCTTTGTTAACTGGCTTTCCACTTGAATCTGTAGAAATTGGATTTCCGTTTGAATCAATGTAAGCTCCAGAGGCATCGGTCGGCAATGGTGTGCCATCAGCTCCAACAATCGGATAAATTGGTCGATTATTTTCATCTGTAGGAAGTGGTTCTCCATCTTTTCCTGTTACTGGGTAGATGTAATTTCCTGTAGAGTCTGTGGCAAGAATTTGTCCGTCTGGCCCAATTGGCTTGCCTTCATCATCTTTTTGAATAATCGTGCCATCGTCAGTTATGAAGTTGCCCGAGTCATCAGTAGCCAAAGGAGTTCCGTCTGGTTTTGTGATTGGATGAATAACATTTCCAGACTCATCAGTTGGTAGTTGTTTCGCGACTCCATCTTCGCCTTCTGGCACTGAAACATAATTTCCTTGTGAGTCAGTAGGTAGAGGCACATTATCTTTGTTAACTGGCTTTCCACTTGAATCTGTAGAAATTGGATTTCCGTTTGAATCAATGTAAGCTCCAGAGGCATCGGTCGGCAATGGTGTGCCATCAGCTCCAACAATCGGATAAATTGGTCGATTATTTTCATCTGTAGGAAGTGGTTCTCCATCTTTTCCTGTTACTGGGTAGATGTAATTTCCTGTAGAGTCTGTGGCAAGAATTTGTCCGTCTGGCCCAATTGGCTTGCCTTCATCATCTTTTTGAATAATCGAGCCATCGTCAGTTATGAAGTTACCAGAGTCATCAGTAGCCAAAGGAGTTCCGTCTGGTTTTGTGATTGGATGAATAACATTACCAGACTCATCGGTTGGTAGTTGTTTCGCGACTCCATCTTCGCCTTCTGGCACTGAAACATAATTTCCTTGTGAGTCAGTTGGTAGCGGAACATTATCTTTGTTAACTGGCTTTCCGCTTGAATCTGTGGAAATTGGTTCACCATCTGGTCCAATATAAGCTCCAGAGGCATCGGTCGGCAATGGTGTGCCATCAGCTCCAACAATCGGATAAATTGGTCGATTATTTTCATCTGTAGGAAGTGGTTCTCCATCTTTTCCTGTTACTGGGTAGATGTAATTTCCTGTAGAGTCTGTGGCAAGAATTTGTCCGTCTGGCCCAATTGGCTTGCCTTCATCATCTTTTTGAATAATCGAGCCATCGTCAGTTATGAAGTTACCAGAGTCATCAGTAGCCAAAGGAGTTCCGTCTGGTTTTGTGATTGGATGAATGACATTTCCAGACTCATCAGTTGGTAGTTGTTTCGCGACTCCATCTTCGCCTTCTGGCACTGAAACATAATTTCCTTGTGAGTCAGTAGGTAGAGGCACATTATCTTTGTTAACTGGCTTTCCACTTGAATCTGTAGAAATTGGATTTCCGTTTGAATCAATGTAAGCTCCAGAGGCATCGGTCGGCAATGGTGTGCCATCAGCTCCAACAATCGGATAAATTGGTCGATTATTTTCATCTGTAGGAAGTGGTTCTCCATCTTTTCCTGTTACTGGGTAGATGTAATTTCCTGTAGAGTCTGTGGCAAGAATTTGTCCGTCTGGCCCAATTGGCTTGCCTTCATCATCTTTTTGAATAATCGAGCCATCGTCAGTTATGAAGTTACCAGAGTCATCAGTAGCCAAAGGAGTTCCGTCTGGTTTTGTGATTGGATGAATAACATTACCAGACTCATCGGTTGGTAGTTGTTTCGCGACTCCATCTTCGCCTTCTGGCACTGAAACATAATTTCCTTGTGAGTCAGTTGGTAGCGGAACATTATCTTTGTTAACTGGCTTTCCGCTTGAATCTGTGGAAATTGGTTCACCATCTGGTCCAATATAAGCTCCAGAGGCATCGGTCGGCAATGGTGTGCCATCAGCTCCAACAATCGGATAAATTGGTCGATTATTTTCATCTGTAGGAAGTGGTTCTCCATCTTTTCCTGTTACTGGGTAGATGTAATTTCCAGAATTATCGGTAGCAAGAATTTGTCCGTCTGGCCCAATTGGCTTGCCTTCATCATCTTTTTGAATAATCGTGCCATCGTCAGTTATGAAGTTACCAGAGTCATCAGTAGCCAAAGGAGTTCCGTCTGGTTTTGTGATTGGATGAATGACATTTCCAGACTCATCGGTTGGTAGTTGTTTCGCGACTCCATCTTCGCCTTCTGGCACTGAAACATAATTTCCTTGTGAGTCAGTTGGTAGTGGAACATTATCTTTGTTAACTGGCTTTCCGCTTGAATCTGTAGAAATTGGTTCACCATCTGGTCCAATATAAGCTCCAGAGGCATCGGTCGGCAATGGTGTGCCATCAGCTCCAACAATCGGGTAAATCGGTCGATCATTTTCATCTGTTGGTAATGGTTCTTTATCTTCCTCTTCATCTGGTGCGCCATCAACAATAAATAACGGGATGCCAGTTGTTGTGTATTCGTCGTTCTCACTCATTACGATCGCACCATTTTCGTTGATTGCATATGGTATTCCTTCCTCATTCAATGGTCTACCCAATGGATCTGTTTCTATTTCATTACCGCTGATATCGACCCAATTTCCTTCATCGTTTTTGGCTAGTTGGTTGCCGTTCTGATCTAAAACTTCAAACACCGGCATGTTGTTCTCATCTGTCTTGACTGATTTCCCTTGTTTATCAACCAGTGGGTATATCCATTCACCTTTTTCGTTCTTTTCAAGTTCATTACCATCCGGACCAACAGGGACGTCTTCTGTTATCGTGATAGGTTTACCGTTATTATCGATGAAGTTTCCAGTGTCATCAGTCGGAAGAGGATTTCCGGATTGATCGACAACTTGGTTTATCGGCAAGGGTTTCTCATCGATAATCGTTTTTGTCCTATCTGGAATAGGTTTAACTTCTCCATTTTCACATGCTTTCTGAACTTTAGCAATAATTTCATCAGTTTTTTCGTCGTTATTCATAGCGATAAAAGGTATGTTGTTCTGTGGGCGATACCTGAAAAATATTAATTTTTGTTGGAGGCCAAATATACAGGATGACAATTAATTATGGAAACTTTTTCAAGCGCCTCTAACTTTGCGAAAAAATGCATTAATTCTCGCAATCTTTTTTTCCTGGATAGCTATTGATGTCAACTAGAAGCCTAAAATGTCAAATCCCTTGGACGTTTTACTACTTTTGGTGGGCCTCTAACTTTGCGACAAAAAATTTGTCGTCTTACCCCCCCCCCCTCTTTAAAGTATAGTCCTATAGTAAAACTTCATTTCTGTTCACCTCTTATCTTATGAATTTCTTTCTTGAAATCTTACGATGTATCTCAATAAAGTATTTTTACAGGCGGTTTACGCTCAAACCATTCAAATATGCCCATTCTACAAGTATGAGCTGTGAAAACCTAGAAAATTTAATTTTTCTGAAAATCCACCGGATGATTCGACTCGCTGGACATTTCGATCATTAATAGAGGATTTTTGAAGGTCAGTTTTTTGAATTATAATTTTTATCCGAAACTCGAGACAAAATTTATGACGAGGAAAATGTGTGACCATTGATCACTTACCAGTCATCGAAGATTTTCAATGAGACATATTTTCTACAGTTTTTCACGCAGAGAACTATCCTGTTTTCAGTTTTTGATACGCAACTCTTTGAAGAGCACAAAAATAAGCTCAAAATTGAGAATTTTCTTGGGTTGGAAAAACAGTGTATTTGCGTACACGGATACACGCGCAGCCAAATACACGAGTACAGGGTACACGAATACACGCATTACACGAATACACGGTTTTCTTCTCTTCACAATCAATTTATAAAAAAGCGTGTATTCGTGTATCCGTGTATTCGTGTATTGCGTGTATTTTTTTCCAACCCTAGAATTTTCTGAAAATCGCGTTTTCGAGAGCCCATAACTCATGTCAACGAAAATTTTATCAAATACTAATGGGCCTATTCAGAATAATATTTTGTAATAAAAAAACATAAAAAAACATTTTTTTCCTATGCAGAAAAACGTCGAAAAAACAAAATAAAGACAACGTGAAATTGAGAGAGCGCAGACATAAAATGGGTTTTTTTGTCTGCACTCTCTCAATTTCACGTTGTCTCTACTCAAAATGATAAACTGTATATTTTGTTTTTTCGACGTTTTTCTGCATAGGAAAAAAAAATGTTTTTTTATTACAAAATATCATTCTGCATAGGCCCATAAGCACATGACAATCGACCACAGTCGATTCACCAAAGTCAAAATTATTTACCTTCCCCCTCCCCTTTAACCCCGTTTTCTCTCAAAATCCGTGATTCTTTGTGGAAAAATCTCTTCAATATTTGAAGAAGTATGAAAAAAAAAATTATGAAACCCATTTGAGATCATTTTCGACGTTTTTGTACTTTTATTTGATGCCTACGGATAATCAGAAAAAATGTCGTGAAGATTGAAATAGTTTCAGCAAAGTTAGAAATATTTCAAAAAGTTTCTATAATTAATTGTCAGCCTAAAAAAATATATAAAACTCACGTTTCGCTTGAGCCATAAATAATAACGAATTTTGTCACATCCACTCTTGGAAATTCATCAAATTGCTGCAAAACAGCGTCAACAGGAGATAGTTGGTCTGTTCCAGTAATTGGTGGCAATTGGAAATCATTCAATATAGATGCAAGATTTTCTTTTTCCTGATAACCACCCAAAGATAGCGGCACAGCAATTTCTGCACCAACCGACATCACAGAAACTCGTATCACATCTGGTGACAGATCAAGTTTTTTTGTGAAATCGATCACCATCTTTTTGAACTTATCAAAACTACTGATGGAATTCTCAGAGTTTATGAAAACAATTATGATATCAGCGAGAGTAGATTTCAAATCGCATATTTCTTTTTGTGGCCTGACAACAAAGTTGCCTTGTGAATCAGTTGGCAGTGGAACATTATCTTTGTTAACTGGCTTTCCACTTGAATCTGTAGAAATTGGATTTCCGTTTGAATCAATGTAAGATCCAGAGGCATCGGTCGGCAATGGTGTGCCATCAGCTCCAACAATCGGATAAATTGGTCGATTATTTTCATCTGTAGGAAGTGGTTCTCCATCTTTTCCTGTTACTGGATAGATGTAATTTCCAGAATTATCGGTAGCAAGAATTTGTCCATCTGGCCCAATTGGCTTGCCTTCATCATCTTTTTGAATGATCGTTCCATCGTCAGTTATGAAGTTGCCCGAGTCATCAGTAGCCAAAGGAGTTCCGTCTGGTTTTGTGATTGGATGAATAACATTTCCAGACTCATCGGTTGGTAGTTGTTTTGTGACTCCATCTTCGCCTTCTGGCACTGAAACATAATTTCCTTGTGAGTCAGTTGGCAGAGGAACATTATCTTTGTTAACTGGCTTTCCACTTGAATCTGTAGAAATTGGTTCACCATCTGGTCCAATATGAGCTCCAGAGGCATCGGTCGGCAATGGTGTGCCATCAGCTCCAACAATCGGATAAATTGGTCGATTATTTTCATCTGTAGGAAGTGGTTCTCCATCTTTTCCTGTTACTGGATAGATGTAATTTCCAGAATTATCGGTAGCAAGAATTTGTCCATCTGGCCCAATTGGCTTGCCTTCATCATCTTTTTGAATGATCGTTCCATCGTCAGTTATGAAGTTGCCCGAGTCATCAGTAGCCAAAGGAGTTCCGTCTGGTTTTGTGATTGGATGAATAACATTTCCAGACTCATCGGTTGGTAGTTGTTTTGTGACTCCATCTTCGCCTTCTGGCACTGAAACATAATTTCCTTGTGAGTCAGTAGGTAGAGGAACATTATCTTTGTTAACTGGCTTTCCACTTGAATCTGTAGAAATTGGATTTCCGTTTGAATCAATGTAAGCTCCAGAGGCATCGGTCGGCAATGGTGTGCCATCAGCTCCAACAATCGGATAAATTGGTCGATTATTTTCATCTGTCGGAAGTGGTTCTCCATCTTTTCCTGTTACTGGGTAGATGTAATTTCCTGTAGAGTCTGTAGCAAGAATTTGTCCATCTGGCCCAATTGGCTTGCCTTCATCGTCTTTTTGAATAATCGTGCCATCGTCAGTTATGAAGTTGCCCGAGTCATCAGTAGCCAAAGGAGTTCCGTCTGGTTTCGTGATTGGATGAATAACATTTCCAGACTCATCGGTTGGTAGTTGTTTTGCGACTCCATCTTCGCCTTCTGGCACTGAAACATAATTTCCTTGTGAGTCAGTAGGTAGAGGAACATTATCTTTGTTAACTGGCTTTCCACTTGAATCTGTAGAAATTGGATTTCCGTTTGAATCAATGTAAGCTCCAGAGGCATCGGTCGGCAATGGTGTGCCATCAGCTCCAACAATCGGATAAATTGGTCGATTATTTTCATCTGTAGGAAGTGGTTCTCCATCTTTTCCTGTTACTGGATAGATGTAATTTCCAGAATTATCGGTAGCAAGAATTTGTCCATCTGGCCCAATTGGCTTGCCTTCATCGTCTTTTTGAATAATCGTGCCATCGTCAGTTATGAAGTTGCCCGAGTCATCAGTAGCCAAAGGAGTTCCGTCTGGTTTCGTGATTGGATGAATAACATTTCCAGACTCATCGGTTGGTAGTTGTTTTGCGACTCCATCTTCGCCTTCTGGCACTGAAACATAATTTCCTTGTGAGTCAGTAGGTAGAGGAACATTATCTTTGTTAACTGGCTTTCCACTTGAATCTGTAGAAATTGGATTTCCGTTTGAATCAATGTAAGCTCCAGAGGCATCGGTCGGCAATGGTGTGCCATCAGCTCCAACAATCGGATAAATTGGTCGATTATTTTCATCTGTAGGAAGTGGTTCTCCATCTTTTCCTGTTACTGGATAGATGTAATTTCCAGAATTATCGGTAGCAAGAATTTGTCCATCTGGCCCAATTGGCTTGCCTTCATCATCTTTTTGAATAATCGTGCCATCGTCAGTTATGAAGTTACCAGAGTCATCAGTAGCCAAAGGAGTTCCGTCTGGTTTTGTGATTGGATGAATAACATTTCCAGACTCATCGGTTGGTAGTTGTTTTGTGACTCCATCTTCGCCTTCTGGCACTGAAACATAATTTCCTTGTGAGTCAGTAGGTAGAGGAACATTATCTTTGTTAACTGGCTTTCCACTTGAATCTGTAGAAATTGGATTTCCGTTTGAATCAATGTAAGCTCCAGAGGCATCGGTCGGCAATGGTGTGCCATCAGCTCCAACAATCGGATAAATTGGTCGATTATTTTCATCTGTAGGAAGTGGTTCTCCATCTTTTCCTGTTACTGGATAGATGTAATTTCCAGAATTATCGGTAGCAAGAATTTGTCCATCTGGCCCAATTGGCTTGCCTTCATCATCTTTTTGAATGATCGTTCCATCGTCAGTTATGAAGTTGCCCGAGTCATCAGTAGCCAAAGGAGTTCCGTCTGGTTTTGTGATTGGATGAATAACATTTCCAGACTCATCGGTTGATAGTTGTTTTGTGACTCCATCTTCGCCTTCTGGCACTGAAACATAATTTCCTTGTGAGTCAGTAGGTAGAGGAACATTATCTTTGTTAACTGGCTTTCCACTTGAATCTGTAGAAATTGGTTCACCATCTGGTCCAATATGAGCTCCAGAGGCATCGGTCGGCAATGGTGTGCCATCAGCTCCAACAATCGGATAAATTGGTCGATTATTTTCATCTGTAGGAAGTGGTTCTCCATCTTTTCCTGTTACTGGATAGATGTAATTTCCAGAATTATCGGTAGCAAGAATTTGTCCATCTGGCCCAATTGGCTTGCCTTCATCATCTTTTTGAATGATCGTTCCATCGTCAGTTATGAAGTTGCCCGAGTCATCAGTAGCCAAAGGAGTTCCGTCTGGTTTTGTGATTGGATGAATAACATTTCCAGACTCATCGGTTGGTAGTTGTTTTGTGACTCCATCTTCGCCTTCTGGCACTGAAACATAATTTCCTTGTGAGTCAGTAGGTAGAGGAACATTCTCTTTGTTAACTGGCTTTCCACTTGAATCTGTAGAAATTGGATTTCCGTTTGAATCAATGTAAGCTCCAGAGGCATCGGTCGGCAATGGTGTGCCATCAGCTCCAACAATCGGATAAATTGGTCGATTATTTTCATCTGTCGGAAGTGGTTCTCCATCTTTTCCTGTTACTGGGTAGATGTAATTTCCTGTAGAGTCTGTAGCAAGAATTTGTCCATCTGGCCCAATTGGCTTGCCTTCATCGTCTTTTTGAATAATCGTGCCATCGTCAGTTATGAAGTTACCAGAGTCATCAGTAGCCAAAGGAGTTCCGTCTGGTTTTGTGATTGGATGAATAACATTTCCAGACTCATCGGTTGGTAGTTGTTTTGTGACTCCATCTTCGCCTTCTGGCACTGAAACATAATTTCCTTGTGAGTCAGTAGGTAGAGGAACATTCTCTTTGTTAACTGGCTTTCCACTTGAATCTGTAGAAATTGGATTTCCGTTTGAATCAATGTAAGCTCCAGAGGCATCGGTCGGCAATGGTGTGCCATCAGCTCCAACAATCGGATAAATTGGTCGATTATTTTCATCTGTAGGAAGTGGTTCTCCATCTTTTCCTGTTACTGGGTAGATATAATTTCCTGTAGAGTCTGTAGCAAGAATTTGTCCGTCTGGCCCAATTGGCTTGCCTTCATCATCTTTTTGAATAATCGTGCCATCGTCAGTTATGAAGTTGCCCGAGTCATCAGTAGCCAAAGGAGTTCCGTCTGGTTTTGTGATTGGATGAATAACATTTCCAGACTCATCGGTTGGTAGTTGTTTCGCGACTCCATCTTCGCCTTCTGGCACTGAAACATAATTTCCTTGTGAGTCAGTTGGTAGAGGAACATTATCTTTGTTAACTGGCTTTCCGCTTGAATCTGTTGAAATTGGTTCACCATCTGGTCCAATATAAGCTCCAGAGGCATCGGTCGGCAATGGTGTGCCATCAGCTCCAACAATCGGATAAATTGGTCGATTATTTTCATCTGTAGGAAGTGGTTCTCCATCTTTTCCTGTTACTGGATAGATATAATTTCCTGTAGAGTCTGTAGCAAGAATTTGTCCATCTGGCCCAATTGGCTTGCCTTCATCATCTTTTTGAATAATCGTGCCATCGTCAGTTATGAAGTTACCAGAGTCATCAGTAGCCAAAGGAGTTCCGTCTGGTTTTGTGATTGGATGAATAACATTTCCAGACTCATCGGTTGGTAGTTGTTTTGTGACTCCATCTTCGCCTTCTGGCACTGAAACATAATTTCCTTGTGAGTCAGTTGGTAGAGGAACATTATCTTTGTTAACTGGCTTTCCGCTTGAATCTGTTGAAATTGGTTCACCATCTGGTCCAATATAAGCTCCAGAGGCATCGGTCGGCAATGGTGTGCCATCAGCTCCAACAATCGGATAAATTGGTCGATTATTTTCATCTGTAGGAAGTGGTTCTCCATCTTTTCCTGTTACTGGATAGATATAATTTCCTGTAGAGTCTGTAGCAAGAATTTGTCCATCTGGCCCAATTGGCTTGCCTTCATCATCTTTTTGAATAATCGTGCCATCGTCAGTTATGAAGTTACCAGAGTCATCAGTAGCCAAAGGAGTTCCGTCTGGTTTTGTGATTGGATGAATAACATTTCCAGACTCATCGGTTGGTAGTTGTTTTGCGACTCCATCTTCGCCTTCTGGCACTGAAACATAATTTCCTTGTGAGTCAGTTGGTAGAGGAACATTATCTTTGTTAACTGGCTTTCCGCTTGAATCTGTTGAAATTGGTTCACCATCTGGTCCAATATAAGCTCCAGAGGCATCGGTCGGCAATGGTGTGCCATCAGCTCCAACAATCGGATAAATTGGTCGATTATTTTCATCTGTAGGAAGTGGTTCTCCATCTTTTCCTGTTACTGGATAGATATAATTTCCTGTAGAGTCTGTAGCAAGAATTTGTCCATCTGGCCCAATTGGCTTGCCGTCATCATCTTTTTGAATAATCGTGCCATCGTCAGTTATGAAGTTACCAGAGTCATCAGTAGCCAAAGGAGTTCCGTCTGGTTTTGTGATTGGATGAATAACATTTCCAGACTCATCGGTTGGTAGTTGTTTTGCGACTCCATCTTCGCCTTCTGGCACTGAAACATAATTTCCTTGTGAGTCAGTAGGTAGAGGAACATTATCTTTGTTAACTGGCTTTCCGCTTGAATCTGTTGAAATTGGTTCACCATCTGGTCCAATATAAGCTCCAGAGGCATCGGTCGGCAATGGTGTGCCATCAGCTCCAACAATCGGATAAATTGGTCGATTATTTTCATCTGTAGGAAGTGGTTCTCCATCTTTTCCTGTTACTGGATAGATATAATTTCCTGTAGAGTCTGTAGCAAGAATTTGTCCATCTGGCCCAATTGGCTTGCCTTCATCATCTTTTTGAATAATCGTGCCATCGTCAGTTATGAAGTTACCAGAGTCATCAGTAGCCAAAGGAGTTCCGTCTGGTTTTGTGATTGGATGAATAACATTTCCAGACTCATCGGTTGGTAGTTGTTTTGCGACTCCATCTTCGCCTTCTGGCACTGAAACATAATTTCCTTGTGAGTCAGTTGGTAGAGGAACATTATCTTTGTTAACTGGCTTTCCGCTTGAATCTGTTGAAATTGGTTCACCATCTGGTCCAATATAAGCTCCAGAGGCATCGGTCGGCAATGGTGTGCCATCAGCTCCAACAATCGGATAAATTGGTCGATTATTTTCATCTGTAGGAAGTGGTTCTCCATCTTTTCCTGTTACTGGATAGATATAATTTCCTGTAGAGTCTGTAGCAAGAATTTGTCCATCTGGCCCGATTGGCTTGCCTTCATCATCTTTTTGAATAATCGTGCCATCGTCAGTTATGAAGTTACCAGAGTCATCAGTAGCCAAAGGAGTTCCGTCTGGTTTTGTGATTGGATGAATAACATTTCCAGACTCATCGGTTGGTAGTTGTTTTGCGACTCCATCTTCGCCTTCTGGCACTGAAACATAATTTCCTTGTGAGTCAGTAGGTAGAGGAACATTATCTTTGTTAACTGGCTTTCCGCTTGAATCTGTTGAAATTGGTTCACCATCTGGTCCAATATAAGCTCCAGAGGCATCGGTCGGCAATGGTGTGCCATCAGCTCCAACAATCGGATAAATTGGTCGATTATTTTCATCTGTAGGAAGTGGTTCTCCATCTTTTCCTGTTACTGGGTAGATGTAATTTCCTGTAGAGTCTGTAGCAAGAATTTGTCCATCTGGCCCAATTGGCTTGCCTTCATCATCTTTTTGAATAATCGTGCCATCGTCAGTTATGAAGTTACCAGAGTCATCAGTAGCCAAAGGAGTTCCGTCTGGTTTTGTGATTGGATGAATAACATTTCCAGACTCATCGGTTGGTAGTTGTTTTGCGACTCCATCTTCGCCTTCTGGCACTGAAACATAATTTCCTTGTGAGTCAGTAGGTAGAGGCACATTATCTTTGTTAACTGGCTTTCCGCTTGAATCTGTGGAAATTGGTTCACCATCTGGTCCAATATAAGCTCCAGAGGCATCGGTCGGCAATGGTGTGCCATCAGCTCCAACAATCGGATAAATTGGTCGATTATTTTCATCTGTAGGAAGTGGTTCTCCATCTTTTCCTGTTACTGGGTAGATGTAATTTCCTGTAGAGTCTGTAGCAAGAATTTGTCCATCTGGCCCAATTGGCTTGCCTTCATCGTCTTTTTGAATAATCGTGCCATCGTCAGTTATGAAGTTACCAGAGTCATCAGTAGCCAAAGGAGTTCCGTCTGGTTTTGTGATTGGATGAATAACATTTCCAGACTCATCGGTTGGTAGTTGTTTTGCGACTCCATCTTCGCCTTCTGGCACTGAAACATAATTTCCTTGTGAGTCAGTTGGTAGAGGAACATTATCTTTGCTAACTGGCTTTCCACTTGAATCTGTAGAAATTGGTTCACCATCTGGTCCAATATAAGCTCCAGAGGCATCGGTCGGCAATGGTGTGCCATCAGCTCCAACAATCGGATAAATTGGTCGATTATTTTCATCTGTAGGAAGTGGTTCTCCATCTTTTCCTGTTACTGGATAGATGTAATTTCCAGAATTATCGGTAGCAAGAATTTGTCCATCTGGCCCAATTGGCTTGCCTTCATCATCTTTTTGAATAATCGTGCCATCGTCAGTTATGAAGTTACCAGAGTCATCAGTAGCCAAAGGAGTTCCGTCTGGTTTTGTGATTGGATGAATAACATTTCCAGACTCATCGGTTGGTAGTTGTTTTGCGACTCCATCTTCGCCTTCTGGCACTGAAACATAATTTCCTTGTGAGTCAGTAGGTAGAGGAACATTATCTTTGTTAACTGGCTTTCCGCTTGAATCTGTGGAAATTGGTTCACCATCTGGTCCAATATAAGCTCCAGAGGCATCGGTCGGCAATGGTGTGCCATCAGCTCCAACAATCGGATAAATTGGTCGATTATTTTCATCTGTAGGAAGTGGTTCTCCATCTTTTCCTGTTACTGGGTAGATGTAATTTCCTGTAGAGTCTGTAGCAAGAATTTGTCCATCTGGCCCAATTGGCTTGCCTTCATCATCTTTTTGAATAATCGTGCCATCGTCAGTTATGAAGTTACCAGAGTCATCAGTAGCCAAAGGAGTTCCGTCTGGTTTTGTGATTGGATGAATAACATTTCCAGACTCATCGGTTGGCAGAACAGCAGTTTGTGACGGGGATTCTGTAAATTGCAGATATTTATTTCTAAAAATTTTCTGGTGTCGTTTTGAAGAAGTTCTGGGCTGTCAAAAGTTCAAAAATTGCTCAAATTGGCTCATAAAAGTCATCATAGCCCCATTTCAAAATAATTTTCATGATAAATAAAGTTTCAGATATTGATCAGCATAGTCGATTTACTAAAAATACATCAATAAAAAGCATTTTTTCAAAAAATTTTGAAGTTTTTTATTTTTTGGCTGGAAGTTCATGAAAATTCATATGTGCCCCTGCTCATTCATTTTTCCAAAATCAAATTTTTTCTGAAAATTTTATTTGTTCTTGCTTTTAGGGTAAATCGACCACGCCGATCATCATCTGCTACTCAGTTTTTCATAAAATTGATCGAGAATTGAGTTATGACGTGTTTTATGAGCCAATTTTGGCAATTTTTGAACTTTTGAGAGCCCATAACTTGGCTCATAGGTCCATTGGGTAACTAATATTTTGGCTCTGTTCGGAAATAAAGGGTTTTAGAGAAAATAAAGGGTTTTTCAGAAAATAAAGGGTTTTTCAGAAAATAGAGGGTTTTTCCGAAAATAAAGGGTTTTTCAGAAAATAAAGGGTTTTAGAAAAACAAAAAGGATTTATGGGGGTAAAAATATCTGAAAAACAAAAGTAATTTTTGTCTATTGGATATTTACTAAGCCTAAGCCTTCATTCCAGAGCTGCACAAACATAAAAATTGAATTTTTAAAGCTTTCCTAGCATTCAAAGCTTAGGCTTAGTGAGGTCCTGTAAACTACAGATCCACATCAAGTTATGAAATTTCAGTCAGATAATAGATATTTGATAAAATTGACTAACTTTTGGGCTTATTATTGGGGAGTTCTTTTTACTTTTTCGGGCTCCTAAAACCATTTTTTCTTGAAAAACCCTTTATTTTCTGTAAAACCCTTTATTTTCTGTAAAACCCTTTATTTTCGGAAAAACCCTTTATTTTCTGTAAAACCCTTTATTTTCTGAAAAACCCTTTATTTTCTGAAAAACCCTTTATTTTCTCTAAAACCCTTTATTTCCGAACAGAGCCAATATTTTTAGGGAGTTCTTATTACCCCAAAAGCTGTCTATGGACAAAATTTTAAGATTTGAAGTGCTGTGTAAAAAAGGTTCCCTTGTCAGTGGATTTGTCTCTCTAACTAACATAAGTTAATTGAGGAAATTGTCTTCTGCTTTGTACATGTCAGAGAGCAATCGGTGAAAGTGAGGTGGACGCAGAGAAATTCTCTGATCCAAAAAAGAAACTACTGCCACGTAGTTCACGTTTTTATTTTTTAAAAATTCATAATTTTTGAAAAGGAAAAATTGAGATTTTCGCGTGAAAAAAGTGTGCGCCTCCCTCACTATTCCTGATTGTCAATTTTCAACCATGTCGTGCCACCACACAAATCGGAGGAGACTCGGAGAAAAAAGGACACCGTACTCTTCCCCGGTCGCTCCGGTGAATCGCTGCAAGACCAATTGCCTAAACCGTACTCTCCCCGGTTCCTCAGGTGCATCGCTGCGAGACCACACAAAATGTCTGCGTCTCCACGAAATTATCTTTTCCCATTTTTCTGGCACGACGTGCACCGAGCTGACATGTTGTGATGTTTTCATTGTACTAAACAGATTCAAAAAAGATTCTGATCGTTCTAGTTATCTGGTCATGTTATTCCATATAAATGGGAGTGAATATTGCCCTATCTTGCGCGATAATAACTTTTATCATCATCTCAAAATGATAAACAACGTTCACCACAGTGTCAAACTCTGCTTCCAATAAATTATTCATAATGCTTTTCTATTTTCAACTAACCACTCTCTGAGATGCATAAATAACTTTGTAATAACTCCAGAGCATTTGCATTGTCAGCCAATTGTTGTTCGTTGATATGAATAAGTCTGGTGTCTGGCAATTTCTTTATTTTTTCGATGTAGACCAAACTGTTCTTTCTGAAAAAATTGAATATTCAAATTCATAGCAAATTTCAATTTTTTTTGTTCGAAAAATGACTCTTGGTTCCTAATTTTGCCATGAATGACGTCATCCATCAATTTTTTGAAAAAAAATTTATTGAATCTCTTTTTTTGTATAGAATGTACTCGAAATATGTTAGATATCAAAAATTGATTTTTCGATAAAAAATTTGGTATTTCGTGGCTGAAAATCTTTGAGAATCTCAAGCTTATGAAATTTTATGAGAAATCACTCTAGAACACGGACTTGAGCACGCAGTCGAAGGCTGCGTAGCAACAAGAATGAAGACCGGCGTTAGCCGGTTGTTTCATTCTTGTCATTATTCAATTTTTGTGGTATGAAAAGGTTACAACTACACATAATTACTGAATAGGGTTTTTTAGAAACTACTCCCCATTATTATTTTTGTGCACTTGAAAGAAATCTTCATCATCTTCCCAAATTAAGTTCCATCAGCACGCTACTATTATTTTGTTAGAGAAATGCGTGATTTTTCACATGAAAATTCAACATTTTTCCATGCAAAAAAATGAACACGTTTAAATTCAAAATAATCACCAGTTCACGCTTCTTATCTAATATTTTTTTTAATTTAAAAAAATTAAAATTTCTATCACAATAGTGAAATATTTTCAGTCATTTCTCGAAGAGACTATTTTGTTAATTAGTGAATGGAAAAAAAAAGTGAGTCAGACCAATGTAGATGATTATATGAGTTGCTCAAAACTTCATATTTGATTGATCAAAAGAAGGACACGATATCTTTCTTATATATTAAACGGTGCTTCTGTTCGTTTGACCTACTCAGAGATTCGCTGGCTAGCTCGCCACCAGATCGCTGCGGCCACCTGGAAACCGCATGGCCGCCAGGTCGCCTCGAGTTTTCCGGCGACGTGGCCTGTGTGTTTGAAATTCTGGAAAGCTGGCAAGACAGTGGTTTGTGCTCAAAATACTGCATTTTCTACTGTTTTTTTTTTCACTTCCTAAAGTTTCAAGTGCTGCGAAAAAACAGAAAATGAGCCAAATTTTTCGAAAATGCCTCAATTCACAAGTTTTTCAGACATTTTCATGAAAATTCATTTTGACGCGGCGAAGTGGCCACCACATGGTAGCCATGTGGCCGTGACCTACCCAGAGCGTGGCCACCTTGCCAGCGAAAAAAACCGGGCGACATGGTTTCCATGTGGTTCCCAGGTCAGCCAGCCTCCCCACCTGGTGGCGAGCTGGCCAGCGAATCTCTGAGTACTTTTGTGCCCTAGATTCAAATTTAAATAATTTTACGTGAATAATTTTGCTCATTTCTGATTTTCCAAAACGCTTGGATTGCCACCTTAATTTTTTGAAATCTATCGTGAGAAAGGTGTGAAGTGACACTGTGAACATTGGAAAACTCTGAAATGAAAATGATAAACAATTTTTTTTTGTTATTTTTCAACTAAAACACCGCAAAATTATTTTTTTTGTCAAATTAAAAAAATTCCTAACTAGTCCCGCAAGTTTTTAAATCACTGTAGATCACGCGCGATTTCACTATCTTTTTGTCTCTTCTCTCTCTCTCGCATGGACGCCCATATTTTGAACAAGCGTTTTGAATCAATAAAAAAACAACCAAAAGTTTCATTAAATTATAAATATTTTTTGCAGATTATTCGTGAATAAAAATATTCGAAATGTTTTTGTTGGAAAGAATGAAGCAATGGATCAATTTTGAGCGATGAGATGAACTAGGAACCGTCGAAATTTCAAAGGTTAGTACTTTTTTGGGGATCGATTGAGTTTTAGTCGGAGGGAGTTCTGTAGAGTTCGAAATTTTCAAAACTGATTTTCATTTGAATCGAGGATTCTTTTGAAAGGAAGTTTTAGAATCTTTTAAAAATGAGGTCGGGAGAAATAATATTTCTTTTTTTTTGAAATATGAATTAGGCATGTGTTGTTTCTAAAGGTTGTTAGAACTTTGAGACGAAAAGTTGGGTTTTTTATGGATATGGGCAAGTATCTTGGTGAAAAAATGATTTAAAAATGAAAAAAAGTTATTTTATCAAAAAGTCGCTCGATGATAGTAACAATAAAGCCGAAATTATGTTTTATATTTTTTGATAGTTTTTTGGAGTTTGTTTTTGTTATGTGATTTTTTTGGGACTTGATTTTTTCTGCACTGGATGAAGTCATCACCCAATATAATAAATTCATAAACGAGATATGTCCTCGATAGACTTTTCTCATAGACCAAGAGTTTTCTAACGATAGTTATTTCCATAGTTATTTTCGATGTGATGTGATTTATTATTTTTTCACAGAACATTTTCAATGTATTGAAGACCGGCGGAAGAAACACATTGAACATTTTCTTAAAACCAAACTACAAAACCAAAAACATTCCTCTAGCTAGGTCAAACTAAAATATAGCTTTACTCTCATTCAATATAATACAAAAACTCTTTTTCTCTCTCTCTCTGCCTCTCTTTCTCTACCTTACTGCCTTACATTAATATTATTTCGCGGTTCATTCTTATATTTGATAGGCGTCATTTTATGATTTTTCCTTTAAATAATTTTCTAATTTTTCTCATCTCCTTCTTTTTCTTTTTATTTTTTGCGCAAAGTCCGCCGTATAGTTTTGGTACACTGTATAGCATCGAGAAAGCCTTTTCGCAACTTTTACTATTGATTGGCATAATCTAGAGATGAATTGCTTTTTTATTTTAGATTTTTTTATTATTCTTTTTCACTAGCCGCGAGTTCACAGAAAACACGCCAACGTCAAAGAGCTGACTCGTTTGTCTTGCGCCTCTTGGTTTTACTTTTTTACTTGTATTTCTCGTTTATAAAAAGTGGTTTACATCTACTTGAATTATTTGTCATCTAGAGAAGTTCAAGTTTGATAAACTTGGACAACTGAACATTTTACTACTCAAAAGGGTCATCAATTTTCAAGAATGATTTTCGGGCGGATCAGTTTTGAGTTTTGGAAATAATTTTAGTTTTCTCCTGTATATTAAAAAAAAACCAACTCACCTCAAAGGTGTCGCAATGAGATGAATAACCAAAGTATTTCCTCTCGGAGTTTCTTCTAATAACATTTTCGCAGTTTTGAGAGCGGAATTGGCATTCGGTTGGCCACCAATTTCCCGTATTTCATCGGTTGATTGATAAAGTTCTTCGAAATTCTCATAAGATCCTATATCAATTGTCACCTCAGTGGTTGCACTATAAATTATTTTTCCTATTTTCGGTAAAGAATCACTTGGTGTCGATTTGAATAATTCTTTCATTAATTGTTTTAAGTTGGGCAAATACGGAGAACTTGCATGTGAGGTTTCCACAACGAAAACGAGAGTTTCGACTTTACCAGAGACATTGTCGCAATTTGCATCCTCTGTTTCATGTTCAAGAACATCTGAAACAGTTGTAGTCGTAAGGTCTTCTGGGACTGAAACAAAATTTCCTTGTGAGTCAGTTGGTAGAGGAACATTATCTTTGTTAACTGGCTTTCCGCTTGAATCTGTTGAAATTGGTTCACCATCTGGTCCAATATAAGCTCCAGAGGCATCGGTCGGCAATGGTGTGCCATCAGCTCCAACAATCGGATAAATTGGTCGATTATTTTCATCTGTAGGAAGTGGTTCTCCATCTTTTCCTGTTACTGGGTAGATGAAGTTTCCTGTAGAGTCTGTAGCAAGAATTTGTCCGTCTGGCCCAATTGGCTTGCCTTCATCGTCTTTTTGAATAATCGTGCCATCGTCAGTTATGAAGTTACCAGAGTCATCAGTAGCCAAAGGAGTTCCGTCTGGTTTTGTGATTGGATGAATAACATTTCCAGACTCATCAGTTGGTAGTTGTTTTGTGACTCCATCTTCGCCTTCTGGGACTGAAACATAATTTCCTTGTGAGTCAGTAGGTAGAGGAACATTATCTTTGTTAACTGGCTTTCCGCTTGAATCTGTAGAAATTGGATTTCCGTTTGAATCAATGTAAGCTCCAGAGGCATCGGTCGGCAATGGTGTGCCATCAGCTCCAACAATCGGATAAATTGGTCGATTATTTTCATCTGTAGGAAGTGGTTCTCCATCTTTTCCTGTTACTGGGTAGATGTAATTTCCAGAATTATCGGTAGCAAGAATTTGTCCGTCTGGCCCAATTGGCTTGCCTTCATCATCTTTTTGAATAATCGTGCCATCGTCAGTTATGAAGTTGCCCGAGTCATCAGTAGCCAAAGGAGTTCCGTCTGGTTTTGTGATTGGATGAATAACATTTCCAGACTCATCAGTTGGTAGTTGTTTCGCAACTCCATCTTCGCCTTCTGGGACTGAAACATAATTTCCTTGTGAGTCAGTAGGTAGAGGAACATTATCTTTGTTAACTGGCTTTCCGCTTGAATCTGTAGAAATTGGATTTCCGTTTGAATCAATGTAAGCTCCAGAGGCATCGGTCGGCAATGGTGTGCCATCAGCTCCAACAATGGGATAAATTGGTCGATTATTTTCATCTGTAGGAAGTGGTTCTCCATCTTTTCCTGTTACTGGATAGATGTAATTTCCAGAATTATCGGTAGCAAGAATTTGTCCGTCTGGCCCAATTGGCTTGCCTTCATCATCTTTTTGAATAATCGTGCCATCGTCAGTTATGAAGTTGCCCGAGTCGTCAGTAGCCAAAGGAGTTCCATCTGGTTTTGTGATTGGATGAATAACATTTCCAGACTCATCAGTTGGTAGTTGTTTTGTGACTCCATCTTCGCCTTCTGGCACTGAAACATAATTTCCTTGTGAGTCAGTAGGTAGAGGAACATTATCTTTGTTAACTGGCTTTCCGCTTGAATCTGTGGAAATTGGTTCACCATCTGGTCCAATATAAGCTCCAGAGGCATCGGTCGGCAATGGTGTGCCATCAGCTCCAACAATCGGATAAATTGGTCGATTATTTTCATCTGTAGGAAGTGGTTCTCCATCTTTTCCTGTTACTGGGTAGATGAAGTTTCCTGTAGAGTCTGTAGCAAGAATTTGTCCGTCTGGCCCAATTGGCTTGCCTTCGTCATCTTTTTGAATAATCGTGCCATCGTCAGTTATGAAGTTGCCCGAGTCATCAGTAGCCAAAGGAGTTCCGTCTGGTTTTGTGATTGGATGAATAACATTTCCAGACTCATCAGTTGGTAGTTGTTTCGCGACTCCATCTTCGCCTTCTGGCACTGAAACATAATTTCCTTGTGAGTCAGTAGGTAGAGGAACATTATCTTTGTTAACTGGCTTTCCGCTTGAATCTGTAGAAATTGGATTTCCGTTTGAATCAATGTAAGCTCCAGAGGCATCGGTCGGCAATGGTGTGCCATCGGCTCCAACAATCGGATAAATTGGTCGATTATTTTCATCTGTAGGAAGTGGTTCTCCATCTTTTCCTGTTACTGGGTAGATGAAGTTTCCTGTAGAGTCTGTAGCAAGAATTTGTCCGTCTGGCCCAATTGGCTTGCCTTCATCATCTTTTTGAATAATCGAGCCATCGTCAGTTATGAAGTTACCAGAGTCATCAGTAGCCAAAGGAGTTCCGTCTGGTTTTGTGATTGGATGAATAACATTTCCAGACTCATCAGTTGGTAGTAGTTTTGTGACTCCATCTTCGCCTTCTGGCACTGAAACATAATTTCCTTGTGAGTCAGTAGGTAGAGGAACATTATCTTTGTTAACTGGCTTTCCGCTTGAATCTGTAGAAATTGGATTTCCGTTTGAATCAATGTAAGCTCCAGAGGCATCAGTCGGCAATGGTGTGCCATCAGCTCCAACAATCGGATAAATTGGTCGATTATTTTCATCTGTAGGAAGTGGTTCTCCATCTTTTCCTGTTACTGGGTAGATGAAGTTTCCTGTAGAGTCTGTAGCAAGAATTTGTCCGTCTGGCCCAATTGGCTTGCCTTCATCATCTTTTTGAATAATCGTGCCATCGTCAGTTATGAAGTTACCAGAGTCATCAGTAGCCAAAGGAGTTCCGTCTGGTTTTGTGATTGGATGAATAACATTTCCAGACTCATCAGTTGGTAGTTGTTTTGTGACTCCATCTTCGCCTTCTGGGACTGAAACATAATTTCCTTGTGAGTCAGTAGGTAGAGGAACATTATCTTTGTTAACTGGCTTTCCGCTTGAATCTGTAGAAATTGGATTTCCGTTTGAATCAATGTAAGCTCCAGAGGCATCGGTCGGCAATGGTGTGCCATCGGCTCCAACAATCGGATAAATTGGTCGATTATTTTCATCTGTAGGAAGTGGTTCTCCATCTTTTCCTGTTACTGGATAGATGTAATTTCCAGAATTATCGGTAGCAAGAATTTGTCCGTCTGGCCCAATTGGCTTCCCTTCATCATCTTTTTGAATAATCGTGCCATCGTCAGTTATGAAGTTGCCCGAGTCATCAGTAGCCAAAGGAGTTCCGTCTGGTTTTGTGATTGGATGAATAACATTTCCAGACTCATCAGTTGGTAGTAGTTTTGTGACTCCATCTTCGCCTTCTGGCACTGAAACATAATTTCCTTGTGAGTCAGTTGGTAGCGGAACATTATCTTTGTTAACTGGCTTTCCGCTTGAATCTGTGGAAATTGGTTCACCATCTGGTCCAATATAAGCTCCAGAGGCATCGGTCGGCAATGGTGTGCCATCAGCTCCAACAATCGGATAAATTGGTCGATTATTTTCATCTGTAGGAAGTGGTTCTCCATCTTTTCCTGTTACTGGGTAGATATAATTTCCTGTAGAGTCTGTAGCAAGAATTTGTCCGTCTGGCCCAATTGGCTTCCCTTCATCATCTTTTTGAATAATCGTGCCATCGTCAGTTATGAAGTTACCAGAGTCATCAGTAGCCAAAGGAGTTCCGTCTGGTTTTGTGATTGGATGAATAACATTTCCAGACTCATCAGTTGGTAGTAGTTTTGTGACTCCATCTTCGCCTTCTGGCACTGAAACATAATTTCCTTGTGAGTCAGTTGGTAGCGGAACATTATCTTTGTTAACTGGCTTTCCGCTTGAATCTGTGGAAATTGGTTCACCATCTGGTCCAATATGAGCTCCAGAGGCATCGGTCGGCAATGGTGTGCCATCAGCTCCAACAATCGGATAAATTGGTCGATTATTTTCATCTGTAGGAAGTGGTTCTCCATCTTTTCCTGTTACTGGATAGATGTAATTTCCAGAATTATCGGTAGCAAGAATTTGTCCATCTGGCCCAATTGGCTTCCCTTCATCATCTTTTTGAATAATCGTGCCATCGTCAGTTATGAAGTTACCAGAGTCATCAGTAGCCAAAGGAGTTCCGTCTGGTTTTGTGATTGGATGAATAACATTTCCAGACTCATCAGTTGGTAGTTGTTTTGTGACTCCATCTTCGCCTTCTGGGACTGAAACATAATTTCCTTGTGAGTCAGTAGGTAGCGGAACATTATCTTTGTTAACTGGCTTTCCGCTTGAATCTGTGGAAATTGGTTCACCATCTGGTCCAATATAAGCTCCAGAGGCATCGGTCGGCAATGGTGTGCCATCAGCTCCAACAATCGGATAAATTGGTCGATTATTTTCATCTGTAGGAAGTGGTTCTCCATCTTTTCCTGTTACTGGATAGATGTAATTTCCAGAATTATCGGTAGCAAGAATTTGTCCGTCTGGCCCAATTGGCTTGCCTTCATCATCTTTTTGAATAATCGTGCCATCGTCAGTTATGAAGTTGCCCGAGTCATCAGTAGCCAAAGGAGTTCCGTCTGGTTTTGTGATTGGATGAATAACATTTCCAGACTCATCAGTTGGTAGTTGTTTTGTGACTCCATCTTCGCCTTCTGGGACTGAAACATAATTTCCTTGTGAGTCAGTTGGTAGCGGAACATTATCTTTGTTAACTGGCTTTCCGCTTGAATCTGTGGAAATTGGTTCACCATCTGGTCCAATATAAGCTCCAGAGGCATCGGTCGGCAATGGTGTGCCATCAGCTCCAACAATCGGATAAATTGGTCGATTATTTTCATCTGTAGGAAGTGGTTCTCCATCTTTTCCTGTTACTGGATAGATGTAATTTCCAGAATTATCGGTAGCAAGAATTTGTCCGTCTGGCCCAATTGGCTTCCCTTCATCATCTTTTTGAATAATCGTGCCATCGTCAGTTATGAAGTTGCCCGAGTCATCAGTAGCCAAAGGAGTTCCGTCTGGTTTTGTGATTGGATGAATAACATTTCCAGACTCATCGGTTGGTAGTTGTTTTGCGACTCCATCTTCGCCTTCTGGCACTGAAACATAATTTCCTTGTGAGTCAGTTGGTAGAGGAACATTATCTTTGTTCACTGGCTTTCCGCTTGAATCTGTTGAAATTGGTTCACCATCTGGTCCAATATAAGCTCCAGAGGCATCGGTCGGCAATGGTGTGCCATCAGCTCCAACAATCGGATAAATTGGTCGATTATTTTCATCTGTAGGAAGTGGTTCTCCATCTTTTCCTGTTACTGGATAGATGTAATTTCCAGAATTATCGGTAGCAAGAATTTGTCCGTCTGGCCCAATTGGCTTCCCTTCATCATCTTTTTGAATAATCGTGCCATCGTCAGTTATGAAGTTGCCCGAGTCATCAGTAGCCAAAGGAGTTCCGTCTGGTTTTGTGATTGGATGAATAACATTTCCAGACTCATCAGTTGGTAGTTGTTTTGTGACTCCATCTTCGCCTTCTGGCACTGAAACATAATTTCCTTGTGAGTCAGTTGGTAGCGGAACATTATCTTTGTTAACTGGCTTTCCGCTTGAATCTGTGGAAATTGGTTCACCATCTGGTCCAATATAAGCTCCAGAGGCATCGGTCGGCAATGGTGTGCCATCAGCTCCAACAATCGGATAAATTGGTCGATTATTTTCATCTGTAGGAAGTGGTTCTCCATCTTTTCCTGTTACTGGGTAGATGAAGTTTCCTGTAGAGTCTGTAGCAAGAATTTGTCCGTCTGGCCCAATTGGCTTGCCTTCGTCATCTTTTTGAATAATCGTGCCATCGTCAGTTATGAAGTTGCCCGAGTCATCAGTAGCCAAAGGAGTTCCGTCTGGTTTTGTGATTGGATGAATGACATTTCCAGACTCATCAGTTGGTAGTTGTTTCGCGACTCCATCTTCGCCTTCTGGCACTGAAACATAATTTCCTTGTGAGTCAGTTGGTAGCGGAACATTATCTTTGTTAACTGGCTTTCCGCTTGAATCTGTAGAAATTGGATTTCCGTTTGAATCAATGTAAGCTCCAGAGGCATCGGTCGGCAATGGTGTGCCATCGGCTCCAACAATCGGATAAATTGGTCGATTATTTTCATCTGTAGGAAGTGGTTCTCCATCTTTTCCTGTTACTGGATAGATGTAATTTCCAGAATTATCGGTAGCAAGAATTTGTCCGTCTGGCCCAATTGGCTTCCCTTCATCATCTTTTTGAATAATCGTGCCATCGTCAGTTATGAAGTTGCCCGAGTCATCAGTAGCCAAAGGAGTTCCGTCTGGTTTTGTGATTGGATGAATAACATTTCCAGACTCATCAGTTGGTAGTAGTTTTGTGACTCCATCTTCGCCTTCTGGCACTGAAACATAATTTCCTTGTGAGTCAGTAGGTAGAGGAACATTATCTTTGTTAACTGGCTTCCCACTTGAATCTGTAGTAATTGGATTTCCGTTTGAATCAATGTAAGCTCCAGAGGCATCAGTCGGCAATGGTGTGCCATCAGCTCCAACAATCGGATAAATTGGTCGATTATTTTCATCTGTAGGAAGTGGTTCTCCATCTTTTCCTGTTACTGGGTAGATGAAGTTTCCTGTAGAGTCTGTAGCAAGAATTTGTCCGTCTGGCCCAATTGGCTTGCCTTCATCATCTTTTTGAATAATCGTGCCATCGTCAGTTATGAAGTTACCAGAGTCATCAGTAGCCAAAGGAGTTCCGTCTGGTTTTGTGATTGGATGAATAACATTTCCAGACTCATCAGTTGGTAGTTGTTTTGTGACTCCATCTTCGCCTTCTGGGACTGAAACATAATTTCCTTGTGAGTCAGTAGGTAGAGGAACATTATCTTTGTTAACTGGCTTCCCACTTGAATCTGTAGTAATTGGTTCACCATCTGGTCCAATATAAGCTCCAGAGGCATCGGTCGGCAATGGTGTGCCATCAGCTCCAACAATCGGATAAATTGGTCGATTATTTTCATCTGTAGGAAGTGGTTCTCCATCTTTTCCTGTTACTGGGTAGATGAAGTTTCCTGTAGAGTCTGTAGCAAGAATTTGTCCGTCTGGCCCAATTGGCTTGCCTTCATCATCTTTTTGAATAATCGTGCCATCGTCAGTTATGAAGTTGCCCGAGTCATCAGTAGCCAAAGGAGTTCCGTCTGGTTTTGTGATTGGATGAATAACATTTCCAGACTCATCGGTTGGTAGTTGTTTCGCGACTCCATCTTCGCCTTCTGGGACTGAAACATAATTTCCTTGTGAGTCAGTTGGTAGCGGAACATTATTTTTGTTGACTGGCTTTCCACTTGAATCTGTAGAAATTGGTTCACCATCTGGTCCAATATAAGCACCCGAAACGTCTGTTGGTAATGGGGTACCATCAGCTCCAACAATTGGATAAATTGGTTTCTGTGTTGTTAGAGGTTCTTTCATTTTGTAGTATTGTCCCGCGCTATTAGTCGGCAGTGGATCTCCTTTCATATCAACGGGAATTCCGTTCTCATCGGTTTCAACTTCTTCCCCATTTTCATCTAAAAATTTCCCATCATCATCACCATATATAATTATTGGGATCATTGGTTGTTCATCCTCGTAATCTTCCTCTAATGCACCATCTCCATCCTGTACCACAAATCTTCCTTCTTTATCAACAACATATGGATTCCCATCCTCATCAATCGGTCGACCGAGTGAATCAACTTCGACAATTTTTCCATCTGCCGTAACCAAATTACCTTCTGGCGACTGAACTAATGGATCTCCATTTTTATCAACCGCTGTTATGATTGGTTTGTTGTTCTCATCCAGCGGTAAGAGTTTTCCAGTTCTATCGACAAGTGGATAAATCCATTCTCCTTTCTCATTTTTTTCCAATTGGGAACCTTTTGGAGGTACAGGTTTTCCTTCTTCATCAAATTTTATCGGCCTTCCTGAGCTATCTACTTGATTTCCTTTCTTATTTGTTGGCAGAGGATTTCCATCTGGCCCAACAACAGACTCATGTGGTTTCGTCGTTGTTTTCAAATCATCTGGTATGACTGTTGTCGATATTTCTTCTGGTTCTCCTTTTGTTGTCAGTGAAGGCGGGGTGACCTCAAAAAATAACTTAAGTATAATATTAGTTATATCATATTTATATACCTGCAAAACTTGTTGCGAAGTTTCGCCTTCTTCATCTTGTTCGCATGACTTGTTATCTGTGCTCAAATGGAAGCCATCATGACAATAACATTTCGGCTCTAGCTTGCCGTCTTCCGATTCTTCGAATGTACAAGCATGTGCGCAATCACAGGAAACATCTGAAAATTCAAGTGTAACTTTTGGCTAGAACTTAATATCAATATTCAGAAAGCAGAAAAACGTGCTTCGAGTTCTGATCTTGAGGCTGAATTTCTGAATTTTTAGGTGTTGTAAAATTCTACCTCTCGGTGGCGTTCTCAAAGTGATTGGTTCACTTGCAAGCTCATCTTCTTCATAAAATTGTGCAGCAACTTGAACATTATATTCCGTGTCTGGCTCTAATCCTCCAATTACAACTCCAGTTGTCTTATCAACAGGTGTAGTGATTTTTCTCACGTTTGTCGGATCATCAACAGGCCAAATACTTATAACATAGTCTTTGACTGGTTCAGAAGCGATTGCAGGTTTGAAATCAATGATTTGTTCATCGTCATTGTTTTTTCCAAATCGAATTTCACTTGGTGGTTCTGAAATTCAGCATTAATTTTTTCAAGCAAGTTTTGGAGTTTAGAAGGCAACAGTGAGAAAAATAGAGGTTCGGGGAAATACATATATACATTTTTAAAAAAACATCTATATTTCTCGCTCGTGATCTTGGAGTTTCGGTCCAACTATGAATCAAAAGTGAAAACTTACTTGGTGTCATAACCACCAATGTTGGAGTTTGAATTCCCTTATCAGGATTATCAACAACGAGATAATAATAGGTTCCCGGATTCATGTTTGGTACTTCAACATGGGTTAATGGAGAACCACCTGATGGAATTTGTTCCCATTCTCCTTCTGGGAGTTCAGGATCATCAGTATAATGAATTGTCCAATCGTTCTAAATAGAAACATTTTATTTTTTCCTTTCTTTATATAATAATGATGTTGTAAACTTACCGGTGGCTTCAAATAATCTGGAATATCATCACTGAAAACGAGAACAATCTGGCCTCCTTCGGGTTTTGAAATAACAAAATCATCACGCCAATTTGGTTCTAGTCCGTCAATCAAATTCACATTAATTGTCCAATTCGCTTGACCCAATGGATTTTGAGCAACACAGTTGAAAACAGTATCTTCGGTAATGTTCCCAACTTTCAACGAGAATTGAGCATGATTTCCATCAGCATCAACTCTACTTGGATCGATCTCATAGTTTCCAGCCTTGATCCATTTAACTTGTGGTTGTGGCATTCCAGTTGCATTACAAGCAACAGTCATCTGTGAACCGGGAAGAATTTGAATAGTTGTACTTCCTTCTACGCCATTATCTCCAGTTGAAATTTGAATATATGGTGCATTTCCTGAATCGAATTGTTTTCATTATTTATGTGAAGAAATCTTACCGTCTGGAAGTGTTTTCATAATGCAAGGTTCAGAGAAAATGCTCGGTCCATCTGGATAAATTGCTCTCATTTTGAAAACATAATCAGTGTCTGGGAGAAGAAGGTTCTGAATTTTATGACTCAGTTTGCTGGGATCGTCGATAGAAATTTTGATCCTGAAAAAATATAGATTAGGCATAACTACATCTGATTAATTTCAAATCACCAGTCATTCAAACCAGCTGAATCGTCTTCTTCAACTTTCTTGTCACCCCGAACATAATAGATTTCATAACCAATCGGTTTCACATCAGATGTTACAGGTTCTTTCCAATTGACAACAGCTGATCGTTGACCATCAGGTTCAACTCTCAAATCAACTGGTGGACCTTCTCTTGCACGAGACATTGTTCGAATTGTGTATTGATTAGAATATGGACCAGGTCCATCATCGTTTATAGCTTGAACAACAACTGCGTAAGCAGTATCTGTGTTTACGAAATCAGTGATATCGACGAATCGTGGACCTTCAGCCTTAAAGAAAATTTTGATATTAACAGAGTTTACTGTAGGAATTTTAACATACTCCATCATTTGTATCATGAACATTTTGCCATTCATTAATTGGTTTGGTTTGAACTTGACCAATTTGATGATCTGGATCTTGATCATCCAAAGGTGTGTAGTAGATGATATATTTGGTAATATTTCCGTTTGGAATACTTGGAACTTCATATTGGACAGTAATTGTTGCAGGCTTATTTGCAGTCAAAAGAATATTTTCTGGCGAGGTTCCAGGACCTAAAAACTTTTGCTTAATGCCAACCAAAATTCAAAAAAAAAATCATACCTGCTACAAAAATGGTCAGAGGTGTTTCTTTGACACCGCCTCGATTCTCCGCAATACATTTAGCATCCAATGTTTTTCGAATATCAATGATTTTCAGAACAGGTCCATCAGAAAGTTGCTGAAAATATTTTTTGATTTTTTTTTCGGAAAAAAAAAATTGTAAGCTTACGTTTCCTTGCGAGTCAACCCATTTGAGTTCAGGAGCTGGGAATCCTTCCGAGATACAAGTGATTGTATAATCAGTGCCAGCTGGAACACGAATAACACCGTCTTCAGTTGGAACATTGAATTCAGGTTGACTTGGAGCGATAACTAAAAAAATAATTTTTTGCTTCAAATTTTGTATTTCAAAAAAAAACCTCCATCTCCTGTAGCGAAAGATGTTACATCACTTGGTTGTGAATCGATTTCTCCTCTCGAAATAATTCTAACATTGTATTTTGTATCTGGATTGAAATTCTCTCCATCAATATTGACAGTCTGAAACGGGGGAAAATTTTAAATTTTTGAAGATTAAAAAAGTTTACCGAAATATCATCCGAATCATTGGGATCTGTGAACTTGAGTTCCTTCCATTGTGTATCTTCATCTGGATTTTCTTCATCGGTATATTGAATCACAAAATCTTTGATTTTTCTTTCTGGATTTTCCGGATCAACAGGTGGTTCAAACTCAATCTTGATCGAATTATTGGGATACACTTCTATAGTCGGATTTTCCACCTTTTTCGGAGCTGTAAGAAAAAATATGTGTTCTGTCACAAATATTTTGAATACCTAATGGTAAAGTTGTTATAACTTGTGGTGCAGATATCACACCCGGTCCACGATCACTGATTGCTTGAACACGAACAGCAAATTTAGTTTTTGGATCCAGATTTGCAAGTTTATGATTTACGTCATCTCTTCCAATAGTAACAGTTTCCCATGAAGTTGGTTCAGTTTCATCTAAAAATCAAATTGAATTAAGAATAATTAAAGTTAGTATAATTCAAAATAGTTCTGTCTTGAAAGTTATTGTACAAACTTACTTTCTGGAATCTCTCCATAATGAATAATATAATTTGTGATTTGTCCATTAACTTCATCAGGCGTTGTCCATTCGATATTTACTTCTTGATTTGGCATTGGAAGTAGAACAATCTCATTTGGTGCAGTTCCCGGACCATTTACTAATATTTGAACAACTTCTTGGGCTTTTCCAGCATTGTTTTCGGCAATACAAGTAGCACTTGTATCTCTAACAACATCATAAATCACAAGATTCGAACCATCAACAATTTCTCCATCTTGTTTGACCCAATGAACTGTTGGTTGCGGAACTCCAGATGCTGTACAAGTTATAGTAACTCCCCCAAGTGGATCAACATAGAACGTGGAATTGTTGGGTTCTAATGTGATCGTTGGTTGAATTTCACCGCTTCCAGTTTCAAAGCGAACAGGTTCAGAAGCTGGTCCTTCGGATAAATCATTTGTGGCAGATATCCGGATTTTGTAAGGAGTATTTGGGCTCAAAAGTTCTTTGGGAATCACAGTTTCACCTCCATCAGAATCGTCAGCGTCAACAGAAATTCGTTGCCAATTTTTATAATCATCATCCTCACTCTCCGGTGCATAATAAACTGTATAACTTCTGATTGGACCAAGAGGTTGACGTGGAGGTGACCAGGTGATATTAACTGTATTATCAATATCAACTGTTGGAAGAATATCAGCTGGTGAATCGATGGGTGCTCCACTGACTGTATCGAAATGTTTTGGATCTGTGTGAATTCCCTCGCCATTTGGATTAACAGCAGCGATTTTCACATAATATGGTGTTTCTGGTTGAAGAGTTCCTCTTCCCAGAATCAATTTTGGATCGCTAACATCATCGACTGGATAAACTTGCCATTGATCAACTGGCAATGATGGATCTCCGGTGATATAGACATTATATTTCTGAAAATGAACACTTTTTGAATTAGACTATGCAAATCTATCAAACCGTTATTTCTCCATTTGGATACTTTGGTGGTTCCCAGGTTACAGTAACCCGATTGTCTGGATCAACTATAACATCAACATTTTGTGGGGCACTTCCAGGTTCTGAAAAATACAAATATTCTTGGAATTTGTGACCCAAGTTCTGAATTTCGATTTTTGTAAAAATTTGATAGATCTTACTATTAACAATGAATGTATGTCTATCTTCAACACTTCCATCTGAATTTCTTGCTTGACAAAGTAAAACTCGTTTTGTGGCAGTTGTTGAATAAACTTGAATCGAATTATAATGATGAGGTTGATCAGCATCAGCATCAATTGGAATTGGTACAGGTTCCTGAATCAGAGTTCAAATTTTTATTGAGTTTTCTAGATTTAAAAACTCACATCTCCACTTTCAGAGCCATTTATTGGTAGCCATGAATATGAAACACTTGGCATTGGGCGGCCATCAGCCACACATCGGAAATGAATCGGGTGATTTGGTTCAACGATTGTTTCTCCGGTTGATGGATCAATAACAGGATCGGTAACTTCGAGTTTCACATTCAATGGAATTTCTAAAATGAAATTAATGTTTTGGCTTGTTCTTTCCGAGGAAACTAACGTTTTCTTCCAGTGGTAACTTCATAGGCTTCTGAAATTATTCCTGGACCATCATCAGTTGTGGCTTGAACTTTCACAACATATGGAGTGTCCTCATCATCAACGTTCACAGTCAAAGTTCTAAAAAACATCAAACTTAATAAATCTAATATATATTTAGAAACAAACCTGCTATCAGCTGGAACAGTTTTAGATTCCCATTCCGATAATGGTGCATCTGGATCTTTTGAATAATAAACCACATAGTTTTGAATAACACCATTTGGAACTTTTGGTGGTTGCCAAGAAACATCAAAACCTGTGTGTATTGGTGTTGGTGTGATTTGAAGTGGAGGACTTCCTGGGCCAAGAATTTTTATCGGAACTCGTTTCTCATCTGATCCTTCTTTGTTGATTCCCTGAACAATGTTTTGGTAAATTCAAGATTTTTATTTTTTGTAAACGATTTCTGAATTGAACTCACTTGACATGTTAAAATACCACTTCTAGATGTGCTCTGAGCTACAAGTTTCTGTCTAGTTCGATCTTGTGCACCTTCCGGAGTAATATCATAAATTCGGAATCCATTCTTTCCATCATCAACCAAATCACCGCTAAACAACCAGAAAATAGTTGGTTTCGGCACTCCTTGAACTTCACATTCAATAACCATTTCATCGTTGCTTGGTGATTTTTGAATCTCCTCTTCTGGTTCCATTTGCACAACTGGCGGCTTGGCGGCAAGCCAAGTTGTAGCAGTAAATGGTGCACTCGGCAAACCCGTACCTAATCGATTTCTACCAACAATAACAAAAGTGTACGGTGTTTTTTCATTGAGACGTGGAACTGTTGTTGTTCGAGCATTTGGATCATCAATATGATGAACTTGCCATTGATCACGTGGAAGTGTTGGATCATCGGTGTACAAAACATCGTAGCCAGCCATCGGACCATTGGTGATTTGTGGTTGTTCCCATTGCAAGATCACTTTGTCACCATCAATTTGATATCTTATACGTTCCGGCACACTTGGTCCTGAGAAAATATTTGAGAATTAGAAAATATTTTACTCGGTATTTAGATGAAGCTTACCAGTTACTGTGATATTGATAGTTCTTGTGGTTTTTCCAGCTTCGTTGTCAGCGATACAAGAGAATGATGTACTTTCAATTATACCACCGTTTTTCATTTTCATATGAACACTTTTATCTCCATTGTTGAGAGCACGATTACTGAAAAAAATAGTAAATTAGCTTCAAGGAAGTGGAAATTTATCTATAAAAATACTTACTTGTGTAACCATGTCATTCTTGGTGTTGGGTCAGCTTTTGTAACATTACAACTAATTTCAAATGGTGTCATCGGTGGAACACGAAGTTCTTCTCCTTCCACAATATGGATAACTGGTCTTTGTGCTGGTTTCAAAGTACTTATCCGCATGATATTTCCAATTTTTCCTCCTCCCAAATTGTCATTCGCCCGTAATCTAATACTATAAACAGTATCAGATCTTAATCCAGGAATTTCGGCTTCTCTAATTGGTTCTTTGATCTCAATCGTTTTCCAGTTTTTAATGGGAAGATCTTCGTTATTTGTATAATATAAAGTGTAAGAAGTGACTGGTCGATTAATAATTGCTGGCATATCCCAACGAATAGAAATAGTCGATCTTCCATTTTTCGCATTCTTGATTACTGGAGCTGAACCTGGTCCTGTCACAACAACAGAAATTGGTCGTTCAACTGAACCGCGACTATTATTTGCTCGACAGACAAATTCGGAGTTTGCGAATATTTCTTTAACAATCAGAACTTGGTCAGATCTCAATTGCGAAGCACTATTATGATTTTGTGATAAGATTTCACCATTCCTAAAAAGTGAAAATTTATTTGAGTGTTTCCAGTTTATTTATAAACAACTCACTTCATCCAATAAATCTCAGGAAAAGGATATGCAACTGCTGAACATGTTATATTAATATTTCCACCAGGACCAACATTATATGGACCTTGTGGTTCGATATAGATTTTTGGCTCTCCGGCTAACAATAAACATTTCTGTTTATTAGGACACGAACATGCATATTGTGAATTCTCCGAAATTGCACTACAGCTACATCCAGCAATCGATCGACATAATTGTTTTGGAACAGGCTCTAAAAACAATTCAAAAATTAGTATTATTTTTATTTCCATTTTATACTTACTAATACAGTTTTTCAAATTGTCATCTAAAGTCATTCCACGTGGACAACTACATACAACGTCATCACCATTTGGTGATTGACAAGTATGACTACATCCACCGTTATTATCTGCACAAGCGCCAGTTCCACGACATTCTGGCTTTGTTTGTACCCAGGTTTTGTCTTGACAATACATTGTATCGATTTCGTCTACCAATTGATAACCAGATTCGCATTGATATTTGACAAATAGAAATGATCTGTAATTGGAGGTATTTCATTGGCAAAATCTCAGATCTGATAGAACTTTGAAGGTACGGCATCTTTTGAATATTACAATCACTAGACTCGAAAAACCTAAACTATAAGAACAATTTTTTCTCAAACGTATCAGAAAATTTATGGAATTTATCAATTCTATACGTACGTTCAACAATTCTTGAACCTTTTGAAAAACAAAAGCTGAAGTTATCCAAACTCTATTTTCAAACTTAACCAACCTTGGTGAAAAAGTGGCATTTTTCGGAAGATGTTTTCCTTGTTGTCGATAATATTGGATGATCAATCGTCGAAGATTGTCCGGTGGAACAAAAGCCATCGCTCGAACACTGAAGATTTTTTTATTCAAAAGAATCGTGCGATATTTTTTTTATCGCCTAACTTACGTTGCATGAGCAACTGCTGGTGGAACAACTAAAGCGCCTGGAGATTGTCCCGTAACATCAGTACATGTTGTATCGAGTTCAGAATATGAAGGGAAGCATACTTCTCGTCCAGACTGCTGAAAATGTACGGATTTGTTTATTTTTCTCTATATCTCTTCTAAATTTTACCTTTGATACTTTACATCTACCTTCATCTGGTGGAGCAATTGGAGGTGTTGACACTAAAAATTAATCGATTATTTTTTGAAATAGAAATCTTGATCAAATAAAAATAACAACAACCATGCAATTTTGGTTTCAAAAAACATTTTTCTAAGTTTTAGTTTTTGGTTAGTTTCAAAATATGAGTTTGAAAGTTAGGACCAATACACAATAGGTTAACAATACAACATTGTTTGTCACCTTCTTCTTCCATTCCGCAAAAATGCGAAGCTCGATCAGCAGACACGACACATTTACCAGTTCCGTTTCTTCCAACAACGACTGGTTCTGGTCGAGTGCCTGTTTTTTTGAAACATTGAACTCGTGTCATTTTTTTCAAAAAGCAGAAATGTGTTTCTCAATTTTTTTGGAAACTATACAAGACAATAAAAATGATATTTTTCTCAAAGACTCATTCTTTTTGCGGCCCCAAAAACATGCAAGCAAGATAGAGATAGAAGTAAAGCGCAGATCAGAGATACCCAGAATTGGACAGAATCTGGCTCGTTTTGCACGACGCCGTTTCAATGGTTCCGGAAACATTAGATTGTGGAAATAGGGAGGAGCGCGAGCTGGATCGAAACCCGGTAAAACAACGAGAATCGGTTGCACGTCTATAATTTTGAAGAAATGGTAAATTAGTGGTTGAAGATCATCGAAGGTTCGAGAAGGGCTGAGAAAAATTATATGAACAATATTGCTAGAATTTAGATTCATGTATCTATTTTTCAATAAAATTTCAAGTTCTCTGATTTTTTTTTTGATAAATATTTAAAAATTAGCAAATTTTGTGAATTTTCAAATATTTTACTCAAATATTGTTTACAACTTCAAAATGTTCTCTTCCCTTCATCGATGATTTTCTCTAATCACCTGGCAGTTTCCGCTGCGAAGACGCGCGAACAGTGCAACATTCTTTGAGATAACCTGTATTTGATTGAAATTTAGTGAGAAGTTTCAAAAATAGATAGAAAGAAATAAAGAAGCATGAAAAAAGAATGAGAATTTTTGAAAAAGGAAAATGAAACCTACTTCTTGTTGGCGAACGTTTGACACGTCTCAAAGTTCGCATCCATTCTTGTATTTGTAAGTCTTGTGCAAGGGTTTCTACTTCGGTTGAAGGAAGTAATTCCTGAAAAATTTTTATTGTTTTCCAAAAATTACAGCTTCGAAGAATTTTTAAAATTCAGAACTTTTTGATATATGAAATTGATAAATAAGATACATTTCACAGTAATTCGAGAAAAAAATGAAATTAGGAAAACTGAATTTAAAAATTTTTTTAGAACTATTTACCTAGAGATCAGAAATCAGAAAATAGAATAAGAAAAAAATATAATCAAAAATATATTATAGTTTTAGAAATTGTCAATTCAAGGGACAAATAATGAATATATTAAAAACTTCACTACTTTTTGACTCGATCAATAAACTTTTTTTATGTATATGAAAATATATTATTTTTTATGCAGCGGCTTCTTCTTTAAATTTATTATCCTCAATTTCTGTACGTTCATTTTTCTTATTTATCTACCTTTTTGATAAAATTTTTGGGTCAAAATTTGTAAATCTGAAATCTCTTCCAGTTTTACAAATGAATCATTATCGAGCCAAATTTCAAGATTTCAGGCTTAAATTGATTGCAATTCATTTAATGAGCATTTATTGAGTACTGTTCAAACAAAATGCTTTTTTATTAACTTTTTTTAGGATTATGAAATGTAATTTTTAAAAATAAGAACAGTTTTTTGTGAGTGGATTTCAGTGGCTGAAGATGAGAGTCTGAGTTTTGTAGTTAAATATAAAAATAAATTTAAAAAAAATAAAAAATATGTTGGCTGAGGATATCGGAAATTTGGAGTGACTTCAAAAACCAGATTCTCTTTTTCAGCCGTAAAAAATTTCATTCCATGCTCAATGAATGGGAACAAAATTTCTGATGGGAGAAAAAAAGATGTCTTAACAAAAGAGCCTGTTCCGCTTGGAGGCTAACGGCCCCTAGTAGTTTTTAATTTTTAAAATCTGAATTAGTTTAATTTGTTTAGATTTTTGAAAAATTCCAAAATTAATTCTTGAGAGGAGAAAAAAATATGTGGAAAAGAAAATAATTTGCGACCAAAAATAGATTTAAAATTTGTGAAAAATAACAGAACTGGAATTAGCAAAAAAAAAAAGCACAAGAGAATAGAGTAGGACAAAATAACTTTACCGTAAAATGTTGAAATTATTTCAAGACAGATTTTTCAAGAATTAAAAATGAATTGAAATTTTAGGAATCAGTAAATTCTCAATAAATACATGAAAAATTAAAAAAAATACAGAAAAAAATAAAAGAGCAGGAAAATAAATACGAGTAAAAAATCTAGAAACATTTGTAGAAATTAGAGCCAATGCAGAAATCAGCGTATTATTTTGAATTTACAAACAAATATTGTCAAACCGAAAAAATAAGAGCTGTGGAAGAGAAAACCAAAATACAGTAGACTTCGCGGTTTCTTTAATTTTTTATATTGACAGAGAAAATATTTGGTTTTCTAGGCCATATCGGTCTTACAAGGGTCACAAAATTTCGGACTGACAATATAACTTGAATATTTTAATTAATTAAATTTTAATGTTAGCAGAATATGTTTTGATGGCATAATTAAGAAAGATACAGAGAAGACACAAATTTAAATGAGCAAGGAAAAAATTCAAAAAAATATTTTCAGATAAAAAAATACATAGACAAAAAAACCAGAAAATAAATAAAAATTGAAATTTCGAAAAAACTAACCTGTGCAATGGATAAATAAATAAGTGTTGAGACGAGTGCGGAACCTATCAGCCAGTTCCGGCCGCCCTTCATTCTTGATTTTTCGATTTTCTGAAATCAAGTTTCATTTTTTTTTAATTCCTAAATGTTCCCAAACCTTCTAATGTTATTTGCAACTGTCCATAAAAAATATGTAAAAGTTTTTGTGGGCGTCTGGAAGATCGTCTCTGAAAAAAGAGAGAAATAGATAAATATAGTTAGATAATGTTGTTATCAATTGGTGTGCGTAATAAATGAATGGTGAGAGAAAAAATGCGAGAAAAACAACAACTACCGTAATGTTTTTGTCTAGAAAAAAGTATAAACAAACAAAAAGGTCATTTTTCCATGTTTTTCTTGATCCTAGTTATTTTTGAGGTCTGATTCAGAATCTATTTTCCAAACAAAAAATCTCTCCGAAAATAAAAAAGTTTACATTTGGCATCATGAAAAAATTTGTTTAGACAAAACCGAGAAAAAACCAAAGGCCAAAATGTTGCGGTGGAACGGAGCCGCCCATATTTTGCAGAAAAATCCGCCCAAAAAAACATACAGTATCCCTGGAGGCATATCAAATTTCGATATTTCGAACTTTGTGGGGGTGAAAAACGAAGTTGGACAGAAAAATATAAACAAACTGTTTTTGTACACAAATTTGGAAATGATAAAGAGAGAGGGAAGTTTTATGAAATATACTGTATGGGACCCGAAATTGATGAAATTCTACAAAAAGTTTGGAAGAAAAACATTTTTGATCTAAAATTTTCGAAAACTTTCTGTGATTGAATTCAAAACTTTTAGAAAAATTGGGACCAAAAAATTTAAAATTTTTAGCTGTTATTTGCGCCGTCAATCTACCTGATTGTCAGTTTGATACATAAATGTTTAGAAAGTGTGATAATTCATCATTCATTTCCTCTCTCAAACTCAATTTTTCTTTTCCCAGGAAGAAAAAGAGAAACAACAAATGACACGTAAAAGTTCGAAATGGGTTTGGGCATGACTATTTTTTGGGATTTTCTAAAAAAAATGGCAACAAAATGAGATGAAATAAAATGAAATGAATAAAATTTTCAAACTTGGTTAGCCGCCTGAAAATGACAGACGAACTAAAAATTTTCTAATAAACAATTAGTTATTTCTCTCCTAAAAAACAAATAAGTTCGATACATCAAATCAAGCAGAGCAGAGATAAACAATTGTTGTTGATTTATGAGGTCCGACAACAAAATGTTATGAAAAAGTGCTGAAAAAGTGTGACTCACAGCAAAAAAGAGCAAAATATAAACAAACAGCTGCCCAACAACAAAAAAATTCGAAAAAAAATGAATGAAGAGGATTTTAGAAAATGGTAATAAATTGAGAGATTTATCGGACAGGACACATGTTGATTGAATTCACGTAAGCAAAAGATTTGAATCATTAAAAATCAAAGATTCTTATGAAAAATCAATATGTGCAAATAGGACTGAAGGCGAGAAAATACAACCCAAAAGTGATTTAGAGAAAAAAATATTTTTGATCTACCAGAAAATATCTTGAAAAAAACTAACATTTTTGGAGACAACCGATTTAGAATAGTAAACTAATTGGGGAATTTTAATTTGTGAATTACAAATTTTTAATGTTCGTAAATTTTGAAATGAATTTTCCGAACCTTAGAACTTTAAAAAAACATTTCAAATCTAGTTTAACCAAAAATTTCTACAGGAATAGTAATTTTAAATGTCGAAGTTTTCAGAATTAGATCCCAAACATGTTTTTTTAATTATCATTCCAAATCTTATAACTCAATCAAAAATATTAAAATGAATCCATGAATAATCAATTTTAAAATTCTTCATGAAATTATCTCAAAATGTGAAGTTAGTAATTCAAAAATTAAAAATAAGATTCCAAAAAGTTATTTTTTGATAATCATCCCGAATCTCATAAAAAATTAAGCTACACACATTTTCCCCCTCGATGTGTAATAATAAGGACCTTTTATTTTATATTATTGGAAAAATAAATACATAAAATATCAGATTTCGAGTGCGTGAAGAAAATCTGTTGATTGAAAGGCCAATTGTTGCTGCGTCTCTTATCTCTAATAAATTATGTATAAACAATTTTGTGACAAGCTTTTTTTTTGAAGAAGCTGAAATCTTTTATATATTTGAATAAATACAGTAACCCCGTTTTGGCGGGCTCGTAAAATTATGAATATATTTTTTGAATTTGAATCTAACATGAATATGAATTCTGATTCAAATACATTGTAGTTACAGTAGAGCTGAAAGCTTTTAATCTATCTATCATAATATCAGGTGTGCATGTTTTGACGAATTGTTTTGTTACTCAATTTTCTCATCATCTCTCAAAACTCTTCACTATTTCCTACATTCCAGGCTAAACCAAGTTTAAAACTGACCAACAGACAGACTAATATTAGTTTGTTGGAAAACCAAACGTAAATGACAGGTGGCTCGCAGGTAAAAGAGAAGAGGATAAAGGGGCTTTAATAAAGTTACTACTCTAAAAAGTTAGATGATGGATTAATTTGACACGAGAATCTGTCTTTGATGTGGGCAGACACGTGGCAAAAAAAAATAATGTACTGGAGGGAAAAAAAAGTTTGTGAGAAAAAGTGATTCAAAAAATCAAGTATGCATTTGATGAGTTTTCTTGGTTGAAACAAACAAGAATTTTTGCAGAAAAATATTTTTCGAATTAAATTTTGGAAGTTTTTAGAATTTCTGTCTGGAAATTGGACTAGCCTTTTTCGAACAGAAAATAGGAGCCGATACCAGGAAAAAATTGTGCCATATTTAAAAATAGTCCGATGAAGCCACCTGAAGATTCAGATTTTTATTTCGAGTGCAAACTATAAACTTTTGGTAGATCAAATGTTCAACTCGTCAAAATCTATATTGAGAATATGGTTTCACTTTTCGGAACAGACGCTTTTCAGAAACCTATTCAGAATTTTGTTTTGAATTTCTTAGTTCTAACATTTAAAAAAAAAAGACAAAAAAACTGATAATTAATAAATAGCAAGCAATTTGTCGCAATCATCTTTCAACGACGGGAAAAAAAGTTTCTTCGATTCCTTGGTTGATGTTGTTGTTGTTTTCTGGCTCTTTTTAGACCACGCCCACTTTTTGTTGGCTTGTCTTCTTCACCTTGACAGAGAAAAGCAAAAGAAGAAATAAATAGAGATTGAAAGGAGGAGGTTCTGGATGATTGGAAAATGAATGAATGTGTAAAGTAAGAAAGATGATGATGATGATGATGATAATTATTGCGACAAAAATGCAACATTTTTGAAATGTGATTGAAATTTGACACGTTTTTGGAAGTTTTGAAGAAGTTCAGATAACTTTTCTTGTGAAGGGGACATTTTGAATTAATAAATCAGGTAAAGAAATAATTTAGTACAACAAATTCATATCCTAAATTTTGGTCCACTGAAAATACTGTAAAAGCAACGTCTTCAGTGGGAAAAATTGACCTCGAGAATTTTTTGGAGCAAACAACATTGAAAGAGGATTCAATTTTTCTAAAAACTATGAATTTAGTGCCAGATTCACAGCCCAAACTTCAAAAGTTTTATATTCTGAAATTCGGGAAAATCAGAAATTCGTAGTTCAAATAAAATTAAATTCTTCGTTCCCTTCCCAAAAACCCCTTCCTCTCTCTAGTCTCTATTTTTTGAACACCACAATAAATTATGATTGATATCGAGTATATTTGCGAGAAAAAAGTGTCTACTACCCACAACTATATCTTCTTCTTCTTCTTCTTCTTCTTCATTTTTTTGCTCCCGCCAAAAAAAAATGTTGCCATCCTGCTTTGCTCCGTCTGCTGTTCCTTCGCGTTTTTTTGTACCGGCCAGCGGCCAGAGTGAGTGTTCTTGTTTTTGAAGAACATGAACAAAATCGAATCATTAAAACCAAACAAAACAAAAACACAACCAATTTTATGAGATGTTTTATGAGATGATCTACAGTATCTGGACGGGGATAACAACAAGCATTTCTTCTTGTTTTTCGGAATTGGTTGATTTGCACTTTTTCTCAGTGAAAGTATTTATTTTCAAACAATTGTGATTTTTTTAGTGAGGAACAGCAACATTTGAAGAAAATATCCGATTTCAAGAAGGGGGTTCTGGTGCATAAAAAGCACTTGAGAACTTGATGAACTGGCAACAAATTGTCTACATTTTTGTGACACTTTTTGGGATCAATCTGATATATAGAAAGGTGAGAAAACGAACATCGCGGGCTTGATTTCAATTCTTGGATTTACATCAAACATAGAGTGGTTTTTCATAGATTCTCAAACGAGACAAAATGTAAATCTGATTGTTTGTTATTTTTTATTTCCGCCTGCAAATCAATCACAGTAAAAATCAAAGTACATACAAAACTTCAGCGCGAGCAGCACAAAGAAAAAAGTCGTTTCGACACCATAAATCTTTTTTCTTCTTTGTGCTGTCCTCGTTCAGAGTGCCTGATTCCATATGACCACCTTATGGAATCGATACGGACACACGGACACCCCAAAAAAATAAACAAACACATGTAGAAATATAAACACTTTCCGGGTCTGCTTATACAAAAAAAGAGACGAGGACGGGGGAAAATAGAACTTGGTGGAGAGGAGAGAATTTTGCACATCAGATTCATGAAACATTTTGAAAACTCACAAGAGGCCTGCCTTTTTGGGCTTGAGTTGGTTTTTTCTTCAAAAATTGCCACAAATGCACCTGCGCCATCGAATCAATCACGCATTTTATATTCAAAATTGTTTACGATGAAAATTAGCGACGTGGCGAAGTGGGATACGCTGCTGCCTACTATTTGCAAAACCAGAGTTCGATCCCCACCCGCCGCAATTTTCTTTTGAAATTTCCAAATTTACCACAAATCTGGCGGCTCGTACAAAAAAACAAGTGTTCATTTGACCTCCCGTTTAACAAAACGGATATCTTTTTCTTGTTTGTAATTAAACGTAACAACATTTTTATTGGAGACAAATGTTTGACAACTGATATTGAAGAATTAGTCGGATGTTATGAAGAAGAAAAATGATAAAGTACATAAATTTCTGAATGCTTCACTTCAGAAGAAAAAACAAAAACAAACAAGAATTCAGGAAAAAAACAAACATGAAAATGTGTTGTGGTAGAGAGTAGTAAAAATGGTTGAAAATCGAGATGGTTTTTGAAAGTGGATATTCTTGGGAGCATAAAGACGTTGCCATATAATGGAAAAAAAGAAAAACCAAACATTTTGTTTATTTTTTTATTCACCAAGTATTCTTATATACTTTTGATATAACTTTGGTTTTTTTTATAAATCATCAAAAAAAATTTATGAATAAATAACATGTTGAAGCTTCAAAATATTTATTTATGGATACATTTATGTAAGAAAAAAAGTTTGCAAAGAGAAAAAGAAAAAAAAATAAATTCTTACCTGTATGTTAAAAAAAGGTTTCGGAGCAAGATTAAAGGAAAGAATTAAAAGATCATCGGGAATAAAGTGATACAGAAAATGGTTAAAATCTAGTTCCCCGTTTATAAATCTCAAAAACAGTATCCATAACATAACGCCAATCTGGAAGACTCATTGAAGAAGAAATTGTTGAAGAATCATCTGTTGAATCGGCACCAGTTAATCCAAGGGAACGTTCTTCGAAACGTAATTCGAGGGCAGAAAATGCAGAACGGCAGCGAGAAATACAATCACCAATTATTGGAGAAACGGTTACATCAGGCATCTAGAATTTCGGAATTTGAACGAAATAAAATTCAAGTAAAATTAAAAAAAAACTTACAAGTTGTGGGAATAAATCATAAATCAATGCACAAAATGCGCGACAATCAGTCCAATCTGAACTGAAATTGGTGACAGTCAATTCATCGCTATATGGTTCGAGTCTGAAAAAAAGAAGGTGAAGGGAAAAATTGGAAACTTTTTGGTTATTTTTTTCGGAAAGTTTGGTGTCAAAACTTGAAGATGTCTAGATTTTTACAAGAAAAAAATCACATCATATTCGATCTCAAAATTTTCAGCAAAAGTTCAATAAATCTCTTAATTGTTTTAGTTTCAGAAATTGTTTTTTTTTAATTTGCGGTCTTTTTTAGAAAAGTTACAGAAACTTTTGTTTCAAAATTTGAAGATTTCCCGATTTTTCAAGAAAAAATTGAAAAATTCCGGAAATCCAAGTTTTCAGAAATATTTCAATAAATCCCTCAATTTTCTAATTCAGATATTGTTTTTTACTTCTCGAGCTTTTCCCCAAAAGTTACGGAAACTTGAGATTGAAACTAGACACAAAAATTTTCAAAAACAAAAAAACCAACTTTTTCTGAGCCCACATCAATAGAACATTTCGTCTCAAAGTATGTCGATGTTGTGACATCAAAGTCGACCAATCTTCTTCTTCAGCAATACTTTTTGTCAATTTTTCATATTGTTTTTCAGCCTCATCTTTTCTCATAACAGCTTCACGTAAAATCAAAATGAAATCTTTTCGAGTTCGCCGAAAATCTTCTCGTTGTTCATCGATTTGATGACGAAGTTGTGTTAATTCATTTTCAAGTGAAATGATTCTTTCTTTTTCTGATTTATTGTCTTCTAAACAAATAATTTCTGGTGAATTTTGGGCCATTTTTTGAGGATTCTGAAACATTTTCAAAATTTATACATAGTTTTGTTTCTATATTAGCTTACCATATTTTCTTTATCACTTTTCGGAGTTGAAAATCCACTATTTGTTTCAACAACTTCTTCAGTCATAATTCCAATATCAACAAGACTAACTTTATCACATTGTTGACTTCTTTCAACTTTTTCCAATTTCAAACTTTGAACTTCTTGAGTTTCTTGAGCTGCTTCAGCTTTTTGAATAGCCGATTTCGAGCTTGATCTTCCAATAAATTTGCGCATTTTTTCGATCGGTGAACTTGCACGAGAACGAAAAACCGAGGCAAGGGAAGATGTTGAAGTTCGGGGTTTTTTATTATTTGCTGCTGATGAAGACGGTGCATTTGCTGATTCAATTGCTGCCGCATGATTTCTGCAAAAATTGAAATTATTCAAGGAAAAATTAGTTTTTTTAGATGAACTCTTACCTGCTGACACAAAGCAAAGGCATTTTACAATTTTTTAGTTAGATAAGAAAAAAATATTTCGAATATTTGCAAATAGTCTCAAAATGTGTGACCGAAAGAAAAAAAACTGTTCAACTTTTTTGTTGCTCACACTATTTGTCTATTTGTGTGCGCGGGCGACTGACTCAATCGGACTCAGGGAAAAAAAGAGGCGGGGTTTTGGCTGAAAAATCATTGAGGGACGACATCTGCATTTTACGACCACTGTTTCAGAGTTCAAAAACAAAGAGAACAAAAGAGAAGTTTTGAAAACATGTGGCTTTTTGATTGATTATTAAGTTTTATGGGGTAAGGGGGTTGGAAGTAATAAACAATTTCACTTTGGAAAAATATGTCAGATTTTGAGTTCGGAATTTTGTGAAAGTCACACGAGGAACTAGCCAGTGGAATTAATACAGAAAAATCAAGAAAAATAAGGTTTGCGCAGTTCTGAAATTTCAAAATCATATTTCTCCTAATTTTATGAACTTTTTCGAAATTCACAAAAATTGGAAAGTAAAGCGCTAAACTCTAAAGATCCCGACCTATTTTAACTCACTTTTCAATGTTTTTCCTCAATTCAGCGGCTTTTTGTTCCACTGGTGTACTTTCCACCAAATTCGTCGAGATTCTTGCTCCATCAGTTTCATCTTGCGCAATTTTAAGATGCCGTGGAGGATTTCGATTTCTTGGCGAGGCAGCAACCATTCCTAAATTTAAAACAATTCAATTTTTCCCAAATTTCTTCCCTATAAAATATTTTACCATCATCGCCATTTATCGAAGTTGAGACTGCAGATAACTTCTTTCGATGTGTGATATTTTGCTCATTTCTTGATGTTGATGAACTTCCACTTCCAGTGCTACTTCCTCCCGTAAATCGATTATAAGAACGGGTAAACAAAGACATTCTGAAAATATCATTCAAAAATAGATCACCAAAATATTTGTTTTGGATTTAACAATTTTTTGTTTTTTATTTTGCTATTCTTTCCGTTTTGGGAAAATCAATTAAATCAAAAATTTCTTTTTAAATAAATCCAAAAAACAAATATTATGAGAATTATTCAAGGTGTTAGGAAAAATGTAAAAAATTGGATAAAATATAAGTAAATATGGAGATTCAAACCACAACAAAACGGGAAAAAAGCAACCAAAAAATTTTTTTTATTAAAACGCATTGAAGAAGACACTTGAAAAGATGGATTATTTCGATAAGACAAAAAAAACACAAACACATTCCAATCTGGAAAATTGTGAGTTATTGAAACTAAAGAAAAAGTGGGACTTGACATAAATAATAATGACGAAAATGCAATAAAATGATAATTATTAGGTTAATTTTGTGTGTATGTTATAATTATAAAGCGGAGCGAGCGAAAAGTTTTCAAATCGAGAAAAAAGCGAAGTTTGTGACAAAAAATAAAGAAAGGGGAAAATAGAAGAAGGATAGCTAACAGAAAAAAAACGAAAAATGATTCATAGGAAAAAAATATTATATGAATCATTTTCACGATACAAAAAAAAGAAATGAAAAAAACGCTACTGTTTATTTTTTTGGAAATGAATACGATGAGATTTTTTTTTGTTTTTGGACAATAAAAAAAGAAAACCCCAAAAAATCTCACAAACTTCTTCATTTTTGAAACGGGAATATATTAGTAAAGTGAAAAATATTGGAAATGATTGAGATTTAAAAATTTAAAAATGAGGTCGGCGTCAAAAAATTAGAGTTCACGTAAATATAAATATTTTTAAATTTTTTATAAATTGAGAATTTTGGAGCCGTGGAAGAAGAAACCAAATACAGTAATTTTCTAGGCCATATCCTATCTCTCCGTAATCAAAAAGAAACTTCGTAAAAACTGTCATCACCCGACAAAAAAATGAAGAAAAAAAGAAGAGCCATAGAAAGATAAATAGTTGTTCTACGTTACTTTTTCACTTTCATCTCTTTGATGCAGCGCGCGCGGTTTCTTTTCTTTTCCGCGCGCGCGGAACATACAAATTAATTAACCAGTTCATTCTCTTTCTCTTCCTTCCTTCTATCCTTTCTTTTTTTTCAAACCAAAATAATAGCAAAACTAATGATTAATGATCAAGCTAATCAACTAACCTTTAACAATTAATTAATACATAACAAGTAATATTTTATCATCTATGATAATACTTCAGCTTTTGTCATTGTTTTACAAACTGTACATTCAAATAATACTTCTGGAAGTTTATATTCTTCTTCTGTTTTGGAATTTGAAGAAGTTTGGGGCAAAAGATATGAGATTCTTTGTTGCATATGAATTGAAGGTAGAAAATATCGCATACCACATCTGAAAATTCGGAGAAGATGATTTTGAGAAATAAAATCAAAAATAAAAATAAACTAACTTATCACAAGTCGCACTTTCTTGTTCAGCTATAGATTTCACTGTAGATACTTGACTTCTAAATAAAAATTGAGCGTTTGATAAATTCATAGATAAATCAATGAATTTAGGATATTTCCATCAAAATCTCTTCCCTTTTCACCCAAACCCGCACAATTTCCCACCTGAACTTTCGATTATCTAATCTTTGTGCAGCATAATTCATTCTCACAACCGTAGTTCCACCAAGTCGACTTCGTGGAATTGGCAAAAATGGATCAGCCACATAATACATTTGTCCATCTCCATCTTGTTCAGCTGCATTTATATCACAAGCCATTCGATATGTCCAACGTTTTTTGTGTTCAACCATCGTTCTGCAAAGATATGGGTAAGGAGAATTTCTTGGAATTTGTGTCATTTTGGTAGAATTCAAAAATTCTGAATTTGTTTTTCAAATCTAGAAAAACTCGAATCTGAATTATTTTCTATTGATTTTAGTCGGGAGTCATTCAATAAAATTTTTACCTATTTATTCTTGATTTTGAGAACTTTTATATAATTTGGATTAGAATACAGGAAAAAGGCGACTCACTTTGCTCCATGATATTTCGAAGGCGGATGATAATCGAAATTCCCTTTTTTCCTATTGCATTTCTCAGTTTTCTCCAAATTTTTCGATGTCGATGGCTCATTTTCATTCTGTCTAACAATGCTCTCAATTATTTCATCAATCTAAAAATGTTCAATTTATTTGTGTTTCAGAGGCAATATTCCTACTTTTGAGTCATTTTTTCGAGCGATCTTCTCAATTTTAAACTGATCTTTTCGTTTTTCAACATCAACCCGTAAAATTTTGTTCAAATTCAAGCTCATTTGAATTGTCCTAAAATAAATCCTCAATTTTTTGTTGCAAAAACTAAACAAACCAAATAGGAAAAACGAAAATAATAGACGTTTTCAGATCAAATTCCAATTCAATATTCCCAATTAACACTTTATTTAATTAAAATAACTCAAATCAAAAAGAAAGAAATTCACAGTTCGAAAAAATAAAATGAAATTTTTCGAGAGACAAAAAAAATGGGAAAAATAGTATTTCACAACGAAAAAAACCAGAGAAAAATAAAAAAAAATCAAATAATGAATCAAATCGCTAAAAGTAGAAGACGAGTAGAATATTCAGGGTAGTGATATATGTATATAATATATAAAGAAAAACTTGCTCAGCAAAAAAAAATCGGGGTCTAAAAATCAATTTGGCGGGTTCGGGTACTGTACAAAAATACACTATACTTTTGTAGTAAAAAAAGAAGAATAAGAGAAAAATGGTAAAGAATGTGAAAAAAAAATATTTTTGTGGGGAGGATATTTTTTGTAACTTATTAACGGTTGCTCATATTATATTATGATTAATTTCTGCAAAGCACAATTGAAAAAAGTAGACAATTTTAAGGAAACAATATGAAAAACCCGTTTTGAGCAGAGAAAGAAAAAATGGTAAGAGCGACACGTGGAAAGGGGTTTTAGATTCAGAACAATATTTCGACAAAATTAGGGAATTTTGAGCATAGAAATCTTAGGGACAAAAAAAAGAAAGAAAGAAAAAATGGAGGTGAGTATAAATGTGAAAAATCATTTTTTTTGTGAAGTTTTCTAGTTTTTTTGATATTTACATTTAAAAAAACAGAAATTTCAGTCACCTACAAAAACACAGGGTTTCTAGAAAAAGAAAAAAGAATGTACAAAATATGTATGATGAAAAAGTAATAAATAAAAACTCTGAGAAAAGAAGAAGAAGAAAACATAAAAAAATAAATTGAAATAGAGAGCTAGCTTAGGGGAATTTTGAAAGAATTGCTGGATTAATTTGTGAGGTTGTTTGTTGTGTTGAAGAAACTGGAGTTGGAACTGGATTTCCATTTGGTAAAACAAGTGGTTTGAAGACAAATAATGTGTGATTGTGTTTACACAATGTGACAATATGTCCACTTCGAGCAATTCGAAGACCAACACAACGTGATAACTGAAAATAATATGGATTTATTAATTTTGAATGATTTAAGGAAGGGGGGGGGTAGAGTAGGTGGGTTATATTTAATTTCGAAAAAAGTTGAAACGCGCTCTAATAAGAAATTTAAAGAAAGAATACAATTTTTATAATCTTTTAAAATTCTGGGAAAAAACCAATCAGGACTAATTTCACGTTTTTTTTTCTTTTAGAAATTCATAAAAATCCTTTGACAACTTCAAAGGTGAAGGAAAATATTCGCCAAACTCACTCTAAACTCGTTATGCGTGAATGAATGTTGATGATGTCCGTCGGCACCGAAGACAACAACGTGCAAATGATTTCCGTGTGTATCAGCAACAAGAACCTCGCCCGATTTCGAGACATCGATTCCAATCGGGTATGGAGTTTGTGACGGTTCACCCATTTTTCGCATGAATTTTCCTGGAGAAAAATGAGATTGAAAGGAGGGAGAGGTTTTTGGATTTCCTATTGTTTGATTTCCTATATGCATTTGGACTAATTTCGCCATAAGTTTTTGGAGAACGAGATTTTTAAAATTTAAATTCAATTAATTTTTAAAGATTTTTATTTCTAAATTCCCAATCGCTTTCCGCCAATTCCAAACTAACCATCAATACTGAACACCTGAACGCAATGATGTTTAAAATCGGTGATGTAAATATTGGATTCAAACATTGCAACATCACTAGCTTCGCCAAGTTGTGCCGATGCATCGAAATAAAACGAGACTCTTTGAGCGTCAACATCTAAAACCTCTTAATATAAGTTTTTCTTATAACACTCAAAACATACCAATCAAGTAGACCAAACCAGCTGAATCTACAAGTAATAATTGACCATTTGGTGTAGCGGTGGCAGCAGATACTTCAATTCCACCACGTGGAGCAATAATATCTGGAAAAATTTAAACATGACTTCCTAATTTTCAAAATCTGAACTTACGCATATTAATTCTTTTCACAAATTCTCCTCTTCCTTCGAATATTTGTGCTCTTGTTTTTCCATCTCCACCTTTATCTAAAACAACATATCGAGCTGCATCACCTTTGAGAGCAATCACTTTGCGTGGGAAACATAATTGACCATCATCCTGTAATGAAAATAAGAATTGAATTTAAAAAAAAAAAGAAAATCTTACAGTTCCAGGTCGTCCAATTTTCCAAGGATGCGGTGGTCCACAAACAACAACTCGATGATTATTTGTATCAGCGATAAGAATATCATCATTATCCGACAAACAAAAACCAGAAGGACAATGCAATTCGCGAATCGAGCTGCCTTGTTGACTTGTTCCAAAAACACTGTGAACTTTCAATTCGCTGACACGTTGACTTCCGGACGAAACAACTTGTTGGACAGATTGATTTGTGATATCGACAAGTGATGAAGAATTTTGATGGGGAGTTCCATTTCGTGGCAATGTTCCCATGTTTAATGAAATCAAGTGTTCCATGGTTGGAGTTTGAATTGGTCTTTTTACTTGTTGTTGTTGCTGCTGTTGTTGCTGTAAAGATAATCAGTTCAGATGGGGATTTTTTTTAATTTTTGAAAATAATTCAAAAACTAACCAATGCCAACATTGTTGCTGGATTAATAAGACTTCTATTTTGACTCAATAAAGCAGCTGTCATCAATTGATTTTGCAAAATAGCTGCAGCATTTTGATTAGCAACCGTTTCATTTAATTGTGGCCACATTAATAATTGATTAGGTGTCGGTTGTTGTCCGATTCCAGAAGCTGTCAAAGCATTTGTTAGATTTGTCATATTTAATGCATCCACATTTTGTCTTGCAACAGCTGCCATTGCCAAAATATCCGGACGCAGCGCATTTGTATTAACATTTGGAAGCGAATTGATTTGTTGTGCAACTGTATTTCCATTTCCATTTCCATTTGTTGTCAATATTCCATTGGTTGGTTGTGTTTGTTGTTGTTGTTGTTGTGGTGGCTGAATTGGTGGAGGCGGAGATTCAGTTGCACTTGGCCATCCAAACATTTCACCAGATGCAGGAATCATATTATTTCCATTGGTTATCAGACCTTGATTCTTTTTTCGTTCCCCACCGATTGCACCAAGAGCAAGTGGTGGAGCAACTGGTGCAACAGCAGTTTGGAATACAGCACTTCCCCAATCTGCAAAATATTCAATTATTTGTGATTTATTTACAGTCAGGTTGGCTCAAACTGCCAAGACACATTTCAATTGATTCTATGCGTATCAAAATTCAGATTGCGGCCAAATTTCAAAAAATTCAATAACAGAAAATTTGTTTGTAAGAAACATTTTTGTTTTAGGAAGAACTATTGACGTTGAATTGTGGTTAATTATTTTTTTAAAAGAAAAACTCACTGTCTTGAGCTTGAGGTTGCTGTTGTTGTGGTGGAGTTTGACTTGGCGGTTGTTGTTGAATAATTCGATTATTCGAAATCTCACTTCCAATCGGTGAAACATCTTTTGTTGTTGGCTGAATAACTCTTCCAACAACATAACCTCCTAACATACTCAAACAATTTTCCATTTGTTTCTTTCCCAATGGATGATATTCTAGCTCAACTTGATGTCCATTGCTCGGAATCGCGTGTGACAAATTTCCAAGTTGTTGAATCACTTTTTTTCTCGATGCAACCATTTCCAATCCATTTGATTTGGTCAAAAGACGTCTTGTGAATCCGATAGCATCGTGAATTCTCGACTCATTTATTGTCATTTTTCTTGCCAAATCATCAATTGCTTGTTCTTGTTTTTGTCGAGCTTCTTCGAGTTCAACCAACTTTTTCATTTTCAATTCTTCAAGAGTTTTCGATATTTCCTCAAAATATGATTCAACTCGATATTTCATTGATTCGTATTGTTGCATCAAATTATTTGTCTTTTCTGGTAAACTACTAAATTCTTCCATTGATGCTTGGAATTTTTGTTCAAGACTTTCAACATTGCTTCCAATATCATCATAAATCGCTTTGATTACCAAATCGGTCACTTCAATAACTCTATGTGTAACATGTTCCAATTCCAAACATTGTTTACAAGCCATTCCTTCACAAGTTGCACAAAGATATCTAGTTTGAAGTCCATGAGTTGCACATAAAACTGGCCGATTTTCAGGTTGACTTCCACGTAATGCAAGTTCTTCATATGTTGTTACATAATGTCCATCAAACATTCTCATAACTCCATGAGCTGTCAAACAATTCGAGCATAAATCCGAATTACATTGTTTACAAACAGCCACTGATTGTTGTTCACTTTTGCAGGCTTTACAACGACGATCTTGTTTCGATGCCGGACAACTATCTAATTCAGCAACTCGAACCTGTAAAAAATAAATCATTTAACAATTTCAGATTTTTTATCGCAACTTACATAATCTAATAGCATCGCATGAACATATCTAACATCATTTCCTACGTGTGATTCTTGTGCGCAGATTGGACACCGAATAACTCCTGGAGGTGTCGGTCTTTCAGTCAATTTCGAAGATTCTAATTCGCAATCAAGTGAATTAGAAGCTGATCCATTTTTACGCGAATTGTCTTCGCTAATAGCTGACTTTTGTTGGAGACGTCCATCGAGTTGTGCGATTATACAATCTTCGCATATAGAATGCAGACAATCAAGAACTCTTGGCTAAAAATATATTGATTTATTTCCAAGAATTTTTTTTGAATACACCAACCTTTCTGAAATCTTTGTGACAATATGGACAATGTGAGCTGTCATCTTCTGGTAGAGGTTCGGTTCCAAACATTGGACTTGATGCGCCCGATCTGTAAAATTAGAAATGTAGAATAAAAAATTTAATTAATATTAAAAACAATAAAGAATCCGAATTTTTCTCACCTGATATCATTATTTCCATTCAAACTTGGTGTTTTCGAATGATTTCTCGTTGTTTCGTGGCGCCCTCCACCATTGGCCGTTGGCCGTTCCACTTTTCGCATTATCTTTTTCTTGCCAATTGTTACAAGTTTTGATTGCCTGACAATGAGGCAATAAGATAAGCAATTTATATATTTTTGTCACGCGACGGCGAGAACAAAATTATATACAGAAAAGTTGGTTAGTATGAAGAAGAGCTAAAATTAATTTGAATGTGTATTTAAAATTCATAGAAAAATATTCGAAACGGGATTTCGCTCAAAACAAAAATTATTGAATTACATCATATGCTGATAATACAAACAGAAAAAGATAATTAAAATGGTCACGAAAAAAATCAAGAAATGAAAAAGATAACAAGAACTGTTTCAAATTCAATTAGAATTTCATTTACTCAAATGTCAGCTTAAATACGAATCCATCAAATTCAAACAACTATTAAAAAATACAATACTAAAAATGTCGCGAGATATAATTGTTCTTCTATATCTTTCCGTTTGATAAATAAAAGAGATAAGAAACAACATTCCAAAAATAGTGATTGAAAACAAATATTGATTCAAAAAAGTATTAAATCAATTAAAAATAGTATATACCACTCACAAAATTCTTTAAAACTATCATAAAACTCTAATCCGACAGCGAAAATAATTAAAATTCGAAAAAAAAGTGAAGAAAAGACCCTCGAGTCATCAGTGTTTTCAAGCTGTGTATCGTCTCCCTCTCATGACATGCAATAAATGTGTTGCTACGCAGCCAATTGATTTTCTGGCCGACTGCCAGACGCACTTTCTTTCTCTGTGTCTTTCGCGAAATTTGGCTGTGTGCCAAGTACACTCGAGGCGGGGCAAAAGGCAAAAGTGCGGCATACATTTGAAAAATCAGTTTTATTTTTCGGTTTGAATGGGATGGAAATAAAACATTTATTTGCCACAGAAATTATAATTATCGATTTTTTCCAATTAAAAACATAAAAGTGTAAAAAATCGATATTTTTTCGGGGTTGGTATAATTTCGGGTGATGGATTTTCCAAACCAGTTTTAAACTTCAGATTTGAAAGCTTTCTGAACTGTTTTTTTTGCTAGTTTTGTTTATTTGGTGTTGAAGTCGATCAAAATGTTTCTAAATAAACAAACAGTTTTCTTTTTGATTCATTTCTAAATACTTTCCCAAATTCGTGTTATTTGACTACGAATTTTCCTTTTTTTTCTTTACCCGAACTTACTTGTTTATCCAGAACCTTGGTATTCAAAATCTAACCATTTGACCACATGATTAAAACTCGCATTTCAGAAATGACTCGTTTTTTAAACCGAAAAATCAGATTCAAATTATCTGGTCACGTTTTTATTGTGTTTTTTTTCCAGATTATTCACGGCCTTTTGACCTCTCAAAATCATCATTATTTCTATATTTAAAAGTTCCAACTGACCCTTCTTTTCTTATCATTTACTCTTATCTTAAAAAATGCCCAAACTACTCCGAAAAACAGTAATAATCATTTTCCAGGAAATCTCGAGAAAATGAACAAAAATCTATAATAATGAGCAGCCGTCAACAATTAATCACATCTCCATCGCCAAATCGACAAATAGGCAAAGACAGAAAACGTTTCATAGTTATCACATTTTTCGATGCCTCCGTCAATATTCTTTTATGGCTTCTATGCACAGTTAGTTGTATTTTGAAAAAGTTTCTATTTTCCAATAAAAATTTTTGATTAATTTTTGCAGGTAACACGAGAAGATGATTGGGATAAAGCGTTTTTCGACGAAATCAATATTCTCAATCCGAAATTTTTAAAAATCTCACTTTTTGATATTGTGCTATTAGCCATAATTCGGATGCTTTTTCTAGTTGCTCTTTATGGAATTTGTAAAACAAGTCAATGGTATGCAGTTGCATTCACAACTTTTGTATCTAGTGGATATATTTTATTCAAGGTAGGAGATTTTTTGGGCCAGGTTAGAGGATATCTGAAATTGGGCCACGTTTTTTAAAGTCGATTTTTTTTCGGTGCCAAAATCGAGCCTAGTCCGATTTTTTTTCTCAAATAAAATTCAGTTTTTTAATACTAAAAAAAGAAAATCCATAAAAAGCGAGAGACTCTAGAGTGCATAAATTTTTGGTCCATTAACAAAAAAAAGGCGGCTCATTTAATTGTCTGCTGGTTTTTTTGTTCATCATGGAAAACTGAAAAAAAAATCAATTTTTTAAAGGTTCTTTTCTACTTCAATCATTCATCGAGTGCCGTTCCACCATTATTATTAATAATCACTTCATTTACATTATGCTGGTCTGAATTTTATTTAATGCCTTTTCAAATTATTCCAAGAGAAAGAAGACGTAAGTTATTTTTATTCGAAAAAAATTCTGAAAATCCATATTTTTAGGTGCTCGAGCTGATGCTTATGATAATGCTGATTATTCATCAGAAGATGAGAATCAATCGATTGGTCAAAGACATCGAAGAACTCGTCGACCAAATTCAAGTTCCGAAACCAATGGTGTTTCTCGAAATGCTTCTGCAATTTTTATCGCATCAGATTATGACGAATTCCGAAGTGCCGCTGAATTTTCATCGGATGAAGAAGCTCGTTCACGTCTTTTAGTTCCACCAGAAACTAAAAGACTTTTCGAAATTTCTCTTCGTGAATGTACATTTGAAGTTGAAGAACTGTTTCGTGATTATCGATTAGGTGGATGGAAAATATTGAGACAATCAGAACCTTGTGTTCTTCAAGGACCTGACAATTATTTTTTGGTTCGTGCAGCTTTCGATAAATTTCCAGCTTTAGTTTTATTTAATATCGCATGGAAAGATATGTTAAGATGGAATACGCAAGTTGTCGAAGGAAAGGTATACATTTTTGTTTTTAGAATCTGAATTTCACAATGATGATTGAAATTTTCAGGTGATTGCACATCTTGACAATGCGACAGATTTATATTATTCTGTTAGTGCTCCAGCAATGCGAGGTTATATTGCTTCGCGTGATTTTTTGGATTTGCGTCGAATTCAACTCGATTCACAAGCCGATGTTTATTCGGGAGTTTTTGTGTCAGTCGAATCAACGCTTTGCCCAAAAAATTCTGACCCGAAAATTGTACGCGGACACAATTTTCCATCCATGATTAAAACATATTCGGAGAATGGAATTGCACAATTCGAATGGTTGATGAAAACTGATTTGAGAGGTTAGTTTTTAGAATTCTTTTTTTTTTTAATTTCAGGGTAGATCAAAAATGTTTTTCTCTAATCGTAAATTTCTCACGTTTCCGTTGAATTTCGTAGGTTTTAGTTCCGCCGATTGTCTCAGAGGCTGAATTATTTTTCGGTATTCCACTTTTATAAATTGTTTTTTTAAGAGAAATATTTTAGATCTGCCAGAAACATAATTTACTCACATATTTATTTTCATTCAGGCGGTCTTCCACGTCGTTTAGTTTCTTCCGGCATGATCAATTATTTTAGTGAACATGTTAAGCGTATGAAAGAATTTGCCGATTCTCATTATCATTGCCCAATTCCTCCACAAACTACAACTTCGGTTACTGTAGAATCGAGTGAGATCTGAAGACTTTTCTGTAATTATATGTATGTATATTTTTTGTACTACTAATCTTGCCGATTAAAAGTTTTTTGAGTCTGTAAATATTGTTAAGAAATTCGAGAAAAAATACAAGATCACACATTTAAAATTCAAAAGATAGATTTATTAAACATGAGCAATGATAAAAATTATGGTGATTTTGATGAACCCGTTAGAATATTATTTGTATGTGTTAGTTGTCTTTTTCTCCAATCAATAACCTTCATAAGTTGTGATTCTTGGAGTTCGACCGTAGATTATATTTGGATTTCGGGATGGAAGAGTTTCACGAGTTGTTGGTGTTTTCCATGTTCGAGAATAATGTTGACTGGCTCGAGCTTCACGTTTTCTAAAAAAAAAGAAAATGTTTGTGATTTTTATTGAAGAAATCTTACCGTTTACTCATTTTGCAAAGTACAAGAACCACAAAAATCAGAACAACCCAAATAATAATAAGAGCGGCTGGTAGAATGACAAATACCACTGAAAAATAGCAATTTCAAACTATACTGTAGTTTAGAATAAGAAAAAACCTACAATGCATTCCATCGTTGTCTTCCACTTTCTCCTTTTCGCCTTCCATAATATCTTTATCTTCGATTTTCGGTTTTATAGGAGGAGCTGAAAATCAATAAAAAATTTGAATTTTGTTTTACAAATCCTACATTGACAAGGATAATATGCATCCATTTCTTTTTTTTTTTGAATAAAAAAATGAATAAATGTGAGTGAATAACTAGAAAAAGGGGTGGGAAGTAGCTGACTTAATTTGCAATTGAAATTTTCTCTTTGAGAGGCAGGAGCTAGGGATTAAGAATAGAGAATCGAAGGTTAAAGATTGACTATGTATGTGTCTTTGAATTCCAGCCAAGTGGTAAATGTTGAAATGATTTTAAAGTACTCTATGTACAAACAATTTCCTGATAATCGAGAATTAGTTCATATTTTTGAAAAATGTTTTAAAGGAAAACAATTTGGGAGTGACTTAAAAGTGGTAACCCCTTTGTAATATTTTGTTTCGAAAAAATGTTCAGAAAAAAACTGAACTAAATCAATCTTCTTTATATACGAAAAGCTCTGCTTGAACAAAAATAGCATCAACGCACGTCATATCATCAAAAAAATCTAGACAATCTTTAATTCTCAGCTCATCCCTCAAAGTTGAGATTCAAATCAAATAATTCCTTTTTTCCCTAACGCATGAAAATCCTAAAGAAAAAATGTGCTCACCTGTATATAATGGTGGCACAGCTTGTAAAATATTCGGAATATTCAATTTTGTAGTTGTCGTCGATGAAGATCCTTCCCAGTTTTTCATAACAAATGGTTTATCTTCGATTTCCGATGATGAATTATTTTCCGATGTATTATTTACACCGAAATCCATTAAATGGTGCAAACTTGAAATGTCATCAGAAGTAGAAGTGGTCTTGATACATCTGAATCCATCACCGTGATATCCTTTTTGACATACACATTTCAAATCAACGCATTCCGCATTTGTCGCACATGGAACTCCAAAATGAGCCAAACATTTGTCAATTCTCTGACATTGTTTTCCAACTTGCACAAATCCATGTTCACAATCACATCGATATCCGCCACGTGTATTCACACATTCTGAACCATGTGCACAAGATACTAATTTCATCTCACATTCATCGATGTCTGGTTAATTTAGAAAATTAGATTTAGAAGAAGAATATGAGGGTGGTTACCTTGATCACACGATGGTCCTTCCCAACCAGCTCGACAGAGGTTTCCTGGACAATGTCCAGTTTTAGTATCACAGGCAACAGATCCTTCACAATGACAAGTTGATTCACAATTTGAGCCATATCGACCATAGTCACATTCTGAAAAGAAATATGGAAATTAGGGAAATACGATGAGGAATTTTTATTGGAAAATTTGGCAGGAAGTTAAGATAACTTATTGTTACATAGTTCCTGTTAAAGATTTTTGTAATTTTAATAAAAATACAACTCATTAGGAACTTTCCGGAAAAGTTCTGAATATTTGTAGGAACTTGTAAGATAAGGATCAGGCACTGTAGATCAACAACTTGTTGATCTGAAACCCAGGGAGTTAGGTTCCCCAATCCAGATATCTTTCTTCCGGAAAAAATGTTTGAACTTTTTTCTCGTAATTTTTAGAACTTTTCACAACTCTGCCCTCTCACCGCTATCACAAATCGGCTCGCCAATTCTTCCCGGCGGACAAACTGTCAATTCTTTCATATCAATTCGATACATCCATTTTCCCGGCTGATCAATATTCGATCCACGTGTCAATTGATTATTTGGTAACATCAAAAATCGAGAAAATGATGCGATTCCAGTCATTGGACCTTTTGCTTGAACTTTTTCATAAATTAGCGAAAGAATCGTGGCATCATTTGTTCCTTGCGCCAAAACAACTTGGAAAGAATTGAACTGAAATTTTTTAAAAGAATTTTTCTCAAGATTATATATTTAGTCAAACTCACATTTTCTGATCCAGATTGTTTGACACGATCAAAAGTGAAAATATGTAATTTATTTGTTGTGAAATTTTCGAATCCTAAACTTGTTTGCACTGAAATCGAACTTCTTGTTAAAAGTGGCAAAGTTGCCGGATCAGAATTATTGATAAATGTATAAGCAATTAGTCCTTCACGAATATAATCAAATTGTGCGTGAAGTACAAAAATAGCTGGTTCTCGCAAGTTTTCAGCGTGATCTACAAGTCCTCGATATTGTTTTTCGAAAGATATGATACCATTTGTAGAGAGCTGTAATATTCAAACCTTCTGTTTCTTCCCAAGTGATATAAACTCACATGAATTTTGGAATAACTTTTCCCAAAAACTATAATATTTTCTGTGAGTGGAATTGTAGTTGTCGAATCCGAAGATCGTGGAATAACAATTGAATCATTGGAAATTGGATAAAGTATAGTTTCATGACATGTTTTTCCATCACCAATAAAACCATCAATACATTCACATTTATAAGATCCGCTGAAATTACTCATGTCTCTCAAATGTTTTATTGTATCCCCCTAATCCTACCGTATATTGCTACAAATAGCCGCTGGATGACATGGTTCAACAGCACATTCATCTCTATCCGTACAATGTGCTCCTTCAGCTAATCTCTCATAACCAACTAAACATTCACATTCAAATCCGCCATCAATATTTGAACATTGGGCATTTGGACCACATGCGTCATGATTCAGACATTCGTTGATATCTTGACATTCTGTGGAAGGATCACCTTCAAATCCTTCACGACACAAACATTCGAAACTTCCATCTTTATTCAAACATCGTGTTCCTTTCGAAGGATCTCCACAAATTTTTGGTGTTTCACGACATTCATCAATGTCTGAAAAAATGTTTTTTTTTTTGTAAAAATTCAAAAAAAATCCGTCGAGCCGGATTCGAACCAGCGACCTAAGGATACCCACTGACTCTACAGTCCTCCGCTCTACCAACTGAGCTATCGACGGGGATGAAAAATGATTCCGAAATATTTCTTATCTATCACGAATGATAAAAATGTTGTTTAAACAATTTTATCAGACAATTGGCAAGACTGTTCTGCTTTACAGAACCTTGAAAAACAAATTTAGAAAAAAAATATTCTGGAGCAAACTCAGATGATTTTTTGGAATCTAAATTTGTTAAAAATTCGAAATTTGCTGCTTACTGAGGTCTGCAAATCAACAAAGAATTGCTCACCTACACACTGTCCTTCTTCAAAACGATATCCACCATAACATGAGCAATCAAAACTTCCAATCGTGTTTGTACAAATCGAATGATTTCCACAAACTGCTCCATCGATTTGACATTCATCAATATCGTAACATCTGAAAAATCCCTTAGAATTAGAATATCTAGGTTTGGTTACTGTACCTGAAGCCATCTCCAGTGTATCCTTCACGGCATTTACAAGTTCCATTTTTACAATCTGCATTCGAATCACATCGAGAACATGCGATTTGCTAGAAAAAAATAAAAGTGGTAATTTTGAGGTAAACTTTAGATTACCATAGTAGTGGTAGATGGTGTGGTTGTAGGTTTTGTGCTAGATTCAGTCATGAATAATGGCTAAAAATTTATATATGATTTTTATCTATCTAAAAAACTTACTGTATTAATATCATTACTGATTGGAGCATGAGTCATAGATGTTGTGGGAATTGAAGTTCTCGATGTTGTGGCAACGGTTGTTGATTTGAAGCGATTTTTCCTCGTCAAATTGGGCGAAGACGTAGCAGGTGATCTTGTGAAAGATGGTTGAAGTGGAATAATATCAACTGGAATCGGAGCTGATGATGGAGATGGTTTGGAACCTTTGCATATTTGCTTCTCTTCATCATATTCAAAACACAGACATAAAAAGCTTCCAGGCGTATTCAAACAATCTGGTTGCTCATTCGGACAATTCGCCAAATCCATTTCACATTCATCTAAATCTTGATCACAAATTGGTTCGCCATTCCAACCCGGTGAACATTTTCCATTTGGACATCTTCCATTTTCCTGATCACAACCATCTCCTCCGTCACAATGACAACTTTTTGAGCAATCATTAAACCATTGAGATGTTCCACAACTCTCAATACATTCGAGGCCTTTGAAACCAGCGCCACACAAATAAATTTGATCACTATCAATTCGGAATAACCATTCTCCCGGAATTCCAATATCCGATTTTTCTGATAATAAAATCGCATCATTTGTTGCAGAATCAGGTAAAGAATAGAAATTGTGTTGAGAGGAAAATCCAGCCTAAACAAAAATCAATCGATAAATCTCTGAATTAATTTTGAAAAAACCTACAATCGCATTAATATTATTGTTCAATTTACTATAAATAAAATGAGCAAATGTCATACTGTCTCCAATAATAAGTGCAAGTTGGAATGTATTTCCCTCAGCTTCCTGAAAAATAGATTTATGTAATTCAATCCGCTATATTCCTGTCAATCATTATTTTATTCTTCTTCTATTCTTGTTATTATAATTAAATTGCAATTTTGTCTGGTCTTATAATTATCTACAATAGCACTAGAAGAACAACAAAAAGAAAAGAAGAAGAAAAGAAAAAATTACCGGTATTTGTGGATCCTTCACATTTTCCCAAGTTATCAAAACAACTGATCGAACACGAAATTGAGAGCCATAACGATATTGGATATTGACTTCATTGTGGGCAAGATTTACGATGTTTACATCTAGAAAAAAATTTGTTCAATTGGGAATTGTTTGAAATTCTGTGAAGAAATGTTCTACAATTACTGTAGCTCAGAAAAAACCAAAAATTACCGAACCAAATAGATAAAACATTTTTTGAGTTTCATGTTTTGTATTTCGCTCACAGGGTTTTGTATAATTTTCTCTATGTCTCTCTTGATTTGCAATTTTTCTTATTTTTTGAAAACACGATCTATTTCTGATCTACATTCTTTTTTCACTTTCCTCATCTACTGTCGATTTTTCAAAACCTTCCAATTCTTTCTTCCATCGCAAAAATACCAACTTACCATCTGTTTCCCTATACCAAACATTTCCAAACGTTGCCTTCTGCCAAAAAACTGCAATAACAGGTTCATCAACTGGCAGAGCCGAAGGTTTACTCGGTTTGGCTGCAAATCCAACAGATCCATCTCTCGAAATCTATAAAAATCCCATTGAAAATGAAATTGTGTGTAAAAAATTTGAGAGCGCTTTATTCATCAAGTGGTTTGTTTCGTGACAAAAAACGAAAGTTCTCTCGATTTTTGTAATAACTGAAAAGTTCGAAATACATTTTCCCTCGACAAATATTGCCAAAATATGTCAAGCAAAATAAACAAAACAATAATTGTTCTTCTCTTCTGGATACTACTTCTACTATTTCTTTTAATGTATTCATTTCCTGTGTTTTCACCTGTCCACTTTGTTATTTGTATAACATTCTGATTACATAATAGGATGGCACCTTCTCAAATTTAAATTTGCAAAAATATTGGTTTTAGAATCGAATTTTTGAATGGGGAATAATTTTTAATGAAGTTTTTATTTTTGTTTTGAATTCAGAAGTTTTAGGATTACTGTAGTCACAGAATAATTTTTAACAAAAAGTACTGTACCGAAATATCTATAGATAGATCATCTTGAACAATGTTGAGATACTGTAGATTTAGAATTTAAAAGAGTAAAAAGTATAACTCTGAACTTTTTCAGGGTACTGTGATTGTAGAAACCTCGTTATTTTCTCTCAGCGTTATCTTGAAAATTCAAATTATCTCAAAAAATACGAAGATTTGTATTTGTGACAAAAAAACTTGTCTTAATTTCTCATATCTTGTCTTATGTTTTTTATAGTTAAACAGAAACAGATATAAAAAAGTAGGTGATAACAAATTTCACTTTTCAATCTATCCCGACATATATAATTAATTTATCTGATCAGTTGGAATTCTCACAAAAAAAAAACAAAAAACATTGACCCCCTGATAAAATATGAATATTAATATATAGATAGATATTTCCAAATTTCAAAATCCTCTTGTTCCATTGTTTCTCTAACAATCTCCTAATATTTCATGTTCCATCTCTTATCATTCATTCGAAAATGGTGTTAGGCAGGCGGCTTTTATGCGCTTGCGATATTATTCAAATTTTTCTTTTTGGTCGGTTGGCATAATAAGAAGGGAAAAACGGGATTTTTTAAGGAACTGATGAATTTCCCTTATGGTTCCAGATTTATTCTAAAACAAAATAGTTCCCAAAAAAAACTCACATAAATATTATCATAAACATTTTCCATAAAATGAATTGGATTTTCCAATTTATAAACTTCATTTCGACCATTCATAGCAATATCTCCTCTCGTTGGTCCATAACTATAAAGTCTTGCAGAGAAAATATAAGGGACTGTAATATTCAAATCAATTTGTTGTTGACTTCCAATATCGTCTGATGTTATTTGACGACGATATCGAGCATGTTCTGAAATGATAAGCACTCAGGAAATCGAAATCGTGCTACGCCGCGTTTAGGGGCTTTTGGCGTTCACGCGGCGCACAGAACTCGCGAAATAAGCGATATCTGAGCGCCACGTGAACGCCAAAAGCCCCTAAACGCGGCGTAGCACGCTTTCGATTTCCTGAGCAGTTGGGCCTCGAAGAGGAAGAGGATCAAATCTATTAGGGTAGTGAATCCCTATAGGATTTTTTCTAACATTCTAGAAAAAAAAATTTGTTAAACCTTTTGATTTTTTTCTTCAAAATTTCTAAGGTTGTAGAAAAAACAATCTCTTGGAACCACAAGTTTTCAATTTTTCTAAGAGTTCCCTGATTTTTGAGTTAACCTTATTAGACTTGTCTGACCGAGGGTCAAGAAAAATTCCTTGGAGTTTTTACTTGTCTAGATTTACCTTAAGATTCTCCATTCTCTAAAATCCTAAAAAAAAATATTCCGTAATATTTCTGGCCACATATTTTTGTAGAAAAAGTTCATTTTACTCTGAAAGTTCTAGGCTCCGAAAGTGTATTTCAAAAATCAATGTATGTTTTTAAAATTCAACCTCCGAGGACTCTAGAAGCTTAGCTAGAACTTTCAGACAATTTAGAGATAACTTTGACCCTTCTTAAATTTCCCATAACTCCCCCAGGAACTTACCAGCATATTTATGGCAATTAACAATTAGAAAAAATGAACAAAATACTAGTAATTTTAAATCTGAACATTTTGCTGCTTTGCGCATACTAAACCCGGTCAAAAATGCTACGATGATGAAGATGGAAAACGATGAGAAGAACAGGAAAAATTGACCAAATAAGAAGACGACGCAAGAAAAAAAAAGGAGAAAAACTATAGGGGGAAAGATGAACATATAAATGATGACTCCGCCCTTTTTCTTGGGGAAGCTTTTGCGTGGATGATGAGTAATTCTATATTCAATGCTAATATTTGGGTAAATAAATAATCACAAGGGAGAGATCCAAAACTTACTGTCAGTTTGAAATTTTGTGACCTTTGGAAGAAACCAAATCTTTCTTCTTTCAATACAAAAGATCAAAACAGCCGCGAAGTCTACTGTATTTTGACATTTCAAATTGAAATGATTTTTTAAATATTAGAAAATTTCACGTTGTTGGCGTGATCTATTATTTTCATTTTCCTATTAAAGTGGCATTTCTTGAAAAAAATAGTGTCGAAAATGTTGGCTTTAATAAAATGTGAGTCAACTTTCTTGGGGCTTTTTTGGAGTGAACAAAATGACCAAACTACAGTAACCCAGATCTATCTGAAAAATTTAGAATTTTTGTGGCAAAATTCAAAAAATGAATTTTTAAATTGTTCAGCGCAAGATTGCTCAGGGCAAGAAAAAACAAGCTCTGAACTACAGTATCTCCCGAGAACCTGGGTCTTTTAGGATTCAAAAAACGTGGATTTTTGGCGCCACAATTTACAGTACTCGCTGGACAATTGATTGCCACGTGGATTTATTGCTAAGCAGAAAAACTATTTAATGAGATTCAAATTTCTCGAGAAAATTATATGAAAATTTTGAAACGTAAAATTGCGGGAAAATTTATTTTTTTTTCAAAATGCATTACAAAATATTTCAATTTCTTGAATTAACTTCTGATATAAAATCGCTTTTGAAAATTTTTGGTTTCAAAAAAAATTTTAAGGTTTCCGAATATTTGAACTTTGAATTTTTTCGAAATAAAAAAATTCAATCTGTTTATTTTTAATATGTAACCCTGAATATTCCCCCCACATTCCAAAACTTTGAACAAGAAATGTTGTATTTTCAAAATGAAAAAAAACTGAATTAATTATCCAAAAACCCAGCAGGTGTTGAAATTGACCCGATTTCCTCTTCTTTTTTGGTTGGTCATCGTTTTTTCCAGTTCCAATAAAACCATTCTCAATTATTTACTCTTGTTGTCTTCCAAATGAATAACTTGTTGTTCTTGATAACATTTTATAGATAAAAGGATTTTTTGGTATAAATAATTAAATTTCAATCAATCTTCCGTTCGCAAAAACAATAGTAGTCCAAAAATGATATCAAATTCATTTCATTTCATTTCATATCTTCCCCTATTTCATTTCATTTCAAAAGATATTATTATTTAGATGATTGAGATGACTTTTCTCCATTTTTATTCCATATCATATAAATAACGGATAAATATGCGGGTTAGAGAAAATTATGTATCAAAAATGAAAATGAAATTGAGATTGAAAGAAATAAATTCGGGTTGAGAAAAATCCTTGAAGTGTTTTATGAACCGTGAAACTTTTATGAACTTTTTGAAATTAAAAAAAAATTCAGAATGAGGTTCTACAGAAAAATTAGGTTAAAAAATACGTTAGGGAGAATTTTTATTTTTAAATTTTTGAAAACTTTGCCACGTCGATTTTCCGATCTAGAAAATTCCAAACATGTTGTCATCTGGATTTCTTAATTTTGAAAAATTAAAAAAAAAATGACTACCTCGATTTTGAACTTCAAAATTTTGACCACCTGAATTTTTTAATTAAAAAAATTATTTTTTTGATTCAAAAAAACTATCAAAACTAACTTTCGTTATATTGATTTTTTTCAAAAATTCAAAAAAATCCACATTTTTCAGCCACGCTTACATTTTGATAAATTTATTTAAAAGTTAGGCACTTAAAGTTTTACACATAAAAAATGAGAAAAAATTACACGTGTAATAAGAGTGTAAGAACACAACATAAATAACATAAAAGAAACACGCATTGCATTAACCAAGTGGTGGAAAATCGTCTTCAGTGAATTGAGGATCTTTTCGAACTTGCAAAACTTCAGGTTTTTTCGACAATTGACAACTTTTTCGTTGTGATCTGGTTGGCCGTGAATATTTGATTATTTGATTAGAAGGTGGAGAAATCGATTTATTTTCAGTTTGACTTGGTGGTCTTGGTGCACCAGCTGAACCAAGTGTCATTAGATTGAGCATTGGATCAGTTATTGGTGTTAGGAAGCCTGGATTCATTAACATTGATAAATCCATCATTCCAGGATCCATAATACCAACAAAATTATTCATAAACATAGGATCCAACAGCATTTCACTCCAGATTTTCCTAAAAATATCGATGTGAAAGTGAAAATCAAACTCAAAATTAAAACTTACGTATCCTGTTCATCTACTTGAATTGTTTCAGTTTTTCCTTGCATATTCATTTCCTTTTCAAGCATTCGATAACGATTTCCTCTTCTCAATTGAGGCATCAAAAGGCCTGGAGTTAATTGATGTGGACCATCTGATGATATTGGACCAGAAATATGTAATGGTCTGAAACATATAAAATTATTATATAAATATTGATTAATTAAATATAAACTTACAGCATATGTCGATGAAGATGAATAATTTCTAAGTTTTGAATATATTTTGGGCAACTCATCCAAGTTTGCTCATTATCAGTGAGAACAACAAGATTATTCCGATGATTTGAACAAGTTATAATCAAATGTTTCGCAAAATCATTGTTAGTCAAATAACAATTGTTGGAAATATCCAAAAGTTTCAAGTTTTGACAATTGTTGGTAACTTCGATAACCGCTTCCGGACTGACAAAAGTATCATCTGTTAGAAGAAGTCTTCTCAAATTATTAAAGTGAATAATTCCTTGTGAAATATCGCGCTTTGAAACACCATCCAAATTCAAACTAATCAATTTTGGGAAAGTGCTCAAACTTTGAATACCATTGGCTCCGATGTTTTTACAGTATGCCAGAGAAAGATGTTGAAGGTTTTCGGCAGCTGGTGATTGGGAGAATTCCGCCAAAAATCGATCAGTTACAGGATAGAAACCTTCGAGGCATAAAGTATGAAGTTTTGTGAGACGACCAATGTCAGAAAGTGAAAATGATGTGGATGTTCTTTCAGGATCAGCAACAATTGATAATTGTTCGAGATTTTTTAGAGAGGTGAGTCTTTGCAATATTTTCTCGTCCATGCAATAAAGTTGTGATATATGGAGAGTCTGAAAAAGTGACCAATAAGAAAAATTAAATATTTTAATTCAGAAAACTCACTTTCAACTTTCCCAATTTAGAACAAGCAGCAATAAAGAGTGGTTTGATGATACGATAACACAATTCCATTTCCAAGTGTTTCAAAGATCGAGGAGCTTTCTTCAAAACAAAAAAATCAATAATTTCGTATAAAATATAGAAAACTAACCATAAAACAATGTCCAATAATAAATTGTGCATCAAATTTCAAAGTTTCCAAATTGGGACAATGCTTGAATATCCTATTCAAATCGGCATCTCTCAAACGATGTCTTGTACAAATCAATATATCCAAATGTTTCAAATTCGAGCATTGTGAAATAGTTCGAATAACTGATTGTCTCCAAGACCATTGAGCCAATTCTTTCAATCCACTTGATCGATATAAATCATAATTCAAATACTCAATATTTTGTCCATAAACCGATAGAAAATATAGCAATTTAGCATCGTCATAAAAATCCAACTCATCTCGAAAGAAAGCGACTGATTTCACAGATTTTTGAACACTTTCCGATATTTTTCGACATACTTTCCGTGTATTTGCAATTCGCTCTTTTAGCGGAATAAATTCCATTATTTTCACAAGAACTTTTTCATCCAAATTGAGAAGTGGCGAAGTTTGAACAATTTCATCGTCTCGTAAATCTTGGAGTGAGAATATATCAGAATATGCATTGCCGAAATCGAACATGTTAACTGAAAAACTAGAAATAGTTTGTTTATTGTTTTCAGCTAAAAAATTGAGAAAACGGAAAAAACAAGCGAAACAAAAAAGGACGCGTTTGAGTTGGCGGGCACGCTCACCTACATTTTTTGCGTCAGTCAAGAAACACATGACACCACAATTGTAAAAAATATTGTTTTTTTCGCGCACGGAAACCTGTTTTTATTGTTTTCAGGGGTATCTGGGTTTAGATGTCGTTGGTACAAGTTCAGCGGTCACCCTCACCATCTGTACACGATGATAGTGATATTGCGGTAAGCTTCCGACCAGGTTTTCCCAACTAAAATCATTTGTTTCAGGATTTTGCTGATTTGTCACGATGTTCTTCTCGAAATCGATCAATGTCCGAATGTTATTTTGCTGTAAGAGGAGCAGCTATCATTCTACCCCACAGGTACCAAAATGAAAATTTTTATTTTTCAATTTTCTCGTTTTTTTCAGTGAATATTCGCCAACTTGTTCACATTCGTCGGAAAGTGGCGCAGAAATCGAAACACATCTTCAAGCAATGTTTCATTTACTAAGACCACAAGATACTTTGATAATGGCAGTGAAACTGCAAACACAAGTCAGCGATCATTCACGATATTTGACAATTGTAACTACTTATACAGATAGTGTTTATCCGGAAAAAAGAACATTGCTCATTGGAATGGATTATTATAAATCTCAGATGACGTAAGTGCAACCGTTTTATTTATTTTTAATAAATTAATTTCATAAATATTAGAATCGGAGTTGTTCTTCCGTTGCTTTGGTGTAGTCGAGTAGAACTTGCTGGAGATGGTGGAGTTACAGTTCATGGAGCTGGTCAAGCTTGTAACGAAGAAGATAATACATTGATATTCCGCCCAACTTCAGTTCAGGCTATGTGGTATGTATTTCAATATCTGCACAAAGAACTGGACGGTACTCATGTTACAAAATCAGAAATAAAAGTGAGTTTCAGAAACTTTAAACATTTTATTTAAAATATTTGTTTCAAGGAACCTACAAGAGTGACCGAATTTTATATGGAAAAAATCGCATCTCCAACTTTTCTTTGTTCACAATGGCAACAATCAAGATTAGATGATGATGAAGAATACGGTATTTATGCTGATAATGTTCGAAATTATATGGGAACACAAGCTGTTATTGATAAAGAAAATGAGTTGAGAAATGAGTTACGGCAAATCATGCAAAGTGTTGATTTGGATCAAGTAACTAGCAAAGATATTCGAACTGCTTTGGCCAAAAAATTAGGCGAATCTATTGATAAACACAAGGTATTTGTTTTTTCTCGAAATCTCATTTATTTTGAATTTTCTTCAAGGAGTTCATCGATCATGAAATGCTTGTTATTCTTGGTCAACTCGAAAAAGCGTCTGAAATATTTTCATATCTTTTGCTTGGAACCGAATGGAATGCGAGTAATTGGGATGAATTACACAAGAAAAAGTTTGTTTATATATTTTTTCCAAATATATTTTAATACTCATTTAATTTGTAGCGTTGGATTCATTTTAAATGTCACTCGAGAAGTTGACAACTTTTTCCCGCAATCCTTCAAATATCGAAAAGTTTGGGTTATTGATGAAGCCGATGCTCAACTTTTGAATCATTGGAACTCAACATCAGCTTTTATTAAAGAAGCCAAGTGAGTTATTTTCTAAACTTAAAAAATTCTCAAAAGCTTATTTTTTGCAGAGAATCTGGCAAAGTGTGTCTTGTTCATTGTAAAAAAGGGATTAGCCGAAGTTCTTCAACTGTAATTGCATATATTATGAAAGAATATGGATGGAGATTGAGTGATGCATTGGAATATGTTAAAAAACGAAGAAATTGTATCACTCCAAATAAAGGATTCATGGAGCAATTGAAAATGTATGCTGGTGCACTGGAAGCTTCGCGAAATCGACACGCGCCACAATTTAATTCAAGATCACGAGCTCATTCGGCAGTTGCTCCTTGTAGATCAAGGGTTCGAAAATCAACCTCGCAAGTTTCAGCTTCTGGTGAGTCCCTCTATTTTTATAAGTTCTCCTACCTATACAAGTCCCCGAATTTTCGTTCTTCATTTTAGGCCTAATATAATAATAGTACTTGAAAACTTTCTCTCTTCAAGTAATAATTCAAGTGTTTTTATTTACAGATTCCGATGTTTCGGCAGTTCGTTTCATCGTCAACAATTTCGAGCGTCAAATGTCTGATTCACACCAAAACAATGTCACAAATAAAAACACTGCAAAACCAACTCGTCACTCATTTCCTGTCGATATTATTAAGCACGGACCAGCTAGTACAATACCTCAATATAGCTAAACAACTGTGATTTTTCTCGAGCTTTTCCTTTTCTGCTTACAGGTTTTCTATCATGCATTGCATTTTTGTAAATATCACTTTTACCCCCCTCAAAAATAGTCATGTTCAGTTTCACTTTTTCTTTTTCTTCAATCATAAAGATATTATAAAGCTTGGGAAATGTAAACTATGGCAAGCAGAAGACAATATACACTGTTTGGCAATAAATACATATTTAAAACTTTTTACATTACATTTTTGGATGACGTCTTGTTAGATCAACCATCTCATTGTTATGGCTTATTTGGTCACGGGACTGAAAAATTAAGATTTTTTGTTGGGAAAATGGGGAAAGGCTTACTCTTGGTCTGAGTTGATGACTTTGGTTATTGCGATTATTGGTTAAAGATTCGGGATTTTTCTTGGATCTGAGAATTTTGCTCAAATCGATAAGTTTGGCAGCAAGTCTTTCACATTGTTCAACACTACGAGCTTCACGAACATTGTCAGCCACTTGTTCTGAAAATGTATTGATTTTTGAAGAAATTTTTCAAAACAAAAAACTAACCAATAGCTGTTGCAACTTGAGAACATACTAAATCTTTTTCATTCAATTTCAATTGCAGACATGATACTTGTTCTTCCATTAATTGCACTTCTCGACTCCAATTATCTGATGATTTTGCCTCTTTTCTTGGGGAATTCGGAACAGACACGGTGTTTGATCGATCACGAATTGTATTTTTCACTTGTTCCAGTCTAGTCAAAATAGATGGATCTTGATGTTTTGAAGAAGAAGTTGGTTTTGAAGTTGGTCGACTTGAACGCGCTTGATTTGGATGACTTTGTCCCGTAACAGTGATATGAGTGAAATTGTTCGATTTGATATTTGGTTTCGCGTTCTTTTTTGGATTTCGATAATGCCTAGCTAATTTTACAAATGAATCAATATCAGCAATCGGTGGATATCTCATCAAATATTGTAAGCAACCACCATAATCAGATGATAATACTGAAAATAACAATTGAAATATAAATATTACTAGGTAATCAATCACATACAAAGATGACGGATTTGAACTAATAGAGAGACAAATACACATTTTACTAATGGTCCAATCGGTCGATCAATTAATAGAACATCCCAAAGAAACAGCAAATCGTGCAATGGTAATTCTCGACCAAATAACAAACGTAGCCAACGACTTGAAAAATAGAATGAAAAGGGTTACTATTTCTAAATGTTCAGTCCAGAAAAGTATACCGTTAAAAAGATACGGTAAGGCTCAGAGAATAAACCTACATTCCATATAATTGTGGAGGAATATCCAAGGAGTTCAAATGCTTCGCAAGAGTTGGATCGATTTCTTGTAAAAGCTGACCAACATCCAATAAATCTTCCATTAATCTGGTTGTTCCAGTTGAATCCTGAACTCTCATAAAAGGTTCTTTCCTAGGTTTTGCTATTTCATCGTCATTGTTTGATGTAGTATCTTCATACCATTTTGCAACTTCAAGCATGAATGCAGAGAATAAAATGCTGAAAAGTGTTATTTTTATTCCTCGAAACTTAAAAATAAATAACTCACTAGCTATCATTTTCAATGAATTGTTTGTCAAATAAACAGTTCAATAAATCTTCTTCTTGTAGCGTCAATGTTTTCAATTCATCGTTTTCTTTTGCATGTTCATGAGCTTCTACGTCGGAAAAAATCACAAAAATCAATGGAGCTAATATTTCATGCATTCCTTGTCGATAATTGATGAATGGATTTTCTTTGGCATAGACTAACAATATATCTGACATTATTTTATGGATAAAATCTGATTGGAAAAATTCGATTTCGGGAAATGTTCTTGATACATCTTTTCCGATTATATCCCGGAGTTCATTGTCTTCGAAAAACGCGGTCCATGGATTCTGAAAAAAAATATAATTTTTAAAAATAGATAAATTTTCATAACACAAACATGTTCTATTGGTGCCAAGGGATTATTGAATTGTGGATCTTGTGAAAACTTTTCATCTCTGGGATCGATCAAATTCTTTTTTTTCAAGTTTCGGTATTCATTCCGGCTTCGTGATAATGTTGTTTCCCAATCGGCTGTTTCATATGGCAAACATCTGAGTAATAATCGCCAAACTGCAGAACGACAAGACGATGATCTCAAGGATCCGCAAGCAGCGACTTGTGAAAGGAGATCATCAGATAGTCGATTTTTAATAAGAGATGCGGAATCGAAACTGAAAAAAAAACAATCGTTCCATTATATTATTGTCATCAAAGTGATTAAGAACTAACTTTAAATTGCATGACGTTTTTTGTGTTGTTGTGTTCATTTTTTGAGAAAATCTTGCATACTGCACAGTTTAACGAAATGTACAAATTTACATGCGCACAATATACGATCTATAAATACGAATACCACTTCTAAATCGACTGTTTATTTTTTTTTTCAGCAAAAAAATCGAAAATTAAAATTACACGCCTGTTCGGCAGCGGAAATAAAAATTTCGGGTTACTGTACGCAAAAATGTGCATACACACTGACATGAAATTGCACACATTATTTTTATTTTTATTTTTTTTCGTTTTTTTTCCGTTTCACTTTGCTAAGATATTTATTAGTGTTTTCTGAAGAGAAATCAGTTTTTACAGCATACATTGATTATTTTTTTTCTCGGAGAGTAATGGTTAGGTGTGTATTTGAGCGAATTCACTCCGGTTCTACTGAAATTAGTGTTTGAACTTATATTTTTTGCTGAACCAATTGTTTGTCTATTCTCTATGTAAAATGTTTAAAATTTTCGTACATATTGAATATAGAGAGCAACAGAAAAACATCGTATTTCTTTATTGTTGTACGTTTTCTGCGGATTGTCTAAAGTAGTTTTTTTTTAGATAATTCATGATTATAATTGGACAACATTTCAATATCAGCCAACAATATTTTTGTGGCTTGACTGGGCAAAACTCAACAAGACGAGCTATGTGACACCAACAAAATTAATGAATGGTTCATTCAACAGAACTTGAATGATTGAGAGTTTCATGAAGCGAGCAAGTTTGAATAAAACGACAGAAGATTTGGCGAATAGCTTGTTGCTGTTATAAACAACTTCTGAATGCCATGATATCTCTGTGTTTCGGTAAGTATTTTTATATTGAAAATTCTTTCTAAAATCTTCAAAACATATGTTGACATTTCGTGGAAAAAGGTTAGCAGAAAAACCAAAAATAAAAATTTAAATTCCAAAATTCTCACTCTAGTTGTTCGAAAAACTAATGTATTCAGGCCTGAGTTTAATCGCCAGACCAATTAAGTCTGAAGAAAAATCACACTATCGAAATATTACTCGCTACAGAAACCAACTCAAATTGTTTAGTTTTCACAGAAAAGCTTACTCAATTAACTAATTAATATTAGGCTCTGGACAGCAAGATTATCACTAAAAATGAAATATTCCAGAGAAATACTAATTGTAAATTTTCCAGATAAATCACTTCACATCATCCTTCAAACATGCTCACCATCTTCCATTTGTCAAACGATGGATTTCATTTTTTCTGCCATATTTTTTTCATAAATTAATTTATTATTATGTTTTACAATTAAAGTGACTGCCATTCGCGAACTGGCGAGCAAATAATGAAGGTTCAATAAGAAAATGCTTAAGATTCTACCTAAGATCAATTCAGTCTCGTTTAAAATAAGTGCTGAACTTTATTGGGAATAATTGCTGAATCGAAATTTGAAGAAATTCCAGATTTCAATAAAAACCTGATGTTTTTCACCGAATATCTAGACACAAACTCACCAAAGAACATTTCTAAAGTTCCAGGGTCATTCAAAACATTTGTTAATTGAAATCCGTTTTCAATTTAATGCAAGTGGGAAAACAACGCATTTTTTCTTTTGAAAACAGCTTAAAATTTAGCTCAAAAATTTATAACCAAAGTTATTATCGCTATCTGAACAAATTAAACTTCAAAAAGTGAAATTCTATGATGAAAAAGCTGAAAATTCAAGCCCAGATAATCAACACAGCATTCAGTTTTTGAATTACCTTTGTAAAATATGATTCAGGTAACAGAAAACATCATGAATTTAACCATTTTCTCACGCACTCAATGTCAGTTCATGTTTTTTCACATCTAAAGTTATTTTATATGCTTATCTTCTCGGAATTCCCTCTCGAAAATGAGCTAATTACCGAAAACAAATATTAGAAAAAAAAACTATTTTTGAATTTCCGCAAACGCACAAAGAAACATGCTATTTTTTGAGAAAACGGGTCTCGACACGATTTCGTAAAGTCGCAGCAGGACCTTCGGAAAATACTTATTCAAAGAGATTCGGATGCGTAGATTATCGCTACGTTTTTAGTTTTTCGAGATATGGCCTGGAACATTTTCGGGCCGCGCCGCCAGTTTCATTTTGAAAAATTGATGACGTCACAAGCGTGGCCGAAGTTTCTTCTTCCCCGAACAGTCGTGATTAAAAAATTTATCTCTCGTATTTCGACATTGTGTGTCTCTTCGTTGTGAGAGACACATACGCAGCGAAATGTTTGCTGAGTATTCAACTTTAATACACGCGAGAAGACAGAAATGCATTTTGTTCGAGCAAAATTTCTTCTTTTCCACGGTTTTTTGTTGGGAAACCGTGTTTTTTGTTCATACTTTATGAATTTAAGCTTTAAAATGCGGTAGATTTGCTGTGAAATGTAGATAAACTCAAGTATATTTCAAATTATACTTTAGAAATATGCTAAAATGTTTGAAATTTTATTCGTACTTTTTAAATCCCTTTTTCTTATTTTTTTCCAAAGTTTTACATGTAAATTTAGACTTAAGGTAATCATGTCGAGCGGATACGCTCCTTTGGCCCTCACAGAGGAAGATGTTATGAAGCTCTTGGCTACCCAAGCCCATTTGGGATCCACCAACCTTAACTTCCAGATGCAACAATACGTCTACAAAAGACGTTTTGATGGTGAGTAAATTTTTGGGAATATTGTCAGTGTTTACGAAGCTGACATTATGGTATAATGGGTTGTCAAATTGAATTTTTCATAAATTATATTTAGGACCAAACATCATCGATGTTAAGAAAACTTGGGAAAAACTCCTTCTCGCCGCTCGTGCCATCGCTGCTGTTGAGAACCCAGCTGATGTTGTCGTTGTCTCGGCCAGACCATACGCTCAACGCGCTCTTCTCAAGTTCGCCGCTCATACTGGAGCCACCGCCATCTTCGGACGTTTCTCCCCAGGATGTTTGACCAATCAAATCCAAAAGACATTCAAGGAGCCAAGACTCTTGGTCATCTCTGACCCAAGAATCGATCATCAAGTGAGTTATTTTTTTCTTTAGAAAAAATGAATCCAAAGACAAATTCAGGCTGTCACCGAAGCTTCATACGTCGGAGTCCCAGTCATTTCCTTCGTCAACACCGAGTCTCCATTGAAACTCATCGACATCGGAATCCCATGCAACAACAAGGTTCGTTTTCAATAATATTTAAAATGTAAATAAAATATTTACAGGGAGAACGATCAGTCGGACTTTTGTGGTGGATGCTTGCTCGTGAAATTTTGATCCTCCGCGGAAAAATCTCACGTAACACCGGATTCGTCCTCGACGGAAAGGAAATCATGCCGGATCTCTATTTCTACCGTGATCCAAATGAGACCGAGAAAGAAGAAGCTGGAGCTGCCCCAGAAGTCTCCGAACAAGCCGAATATCAACAACCAGATATTGACTTCACCCAACAAGTTGGAAAAGTTGACGACTGGGCCGCTGAAACTGCCACATGGACCGAACAAAAGACCGAGGGAGATCAATGGGCTCAACCAACCGACGCCAAATGGTAAATTTTGTTATTATGTTGGAAGATTACCAATAAAAACATTGTTATGTATCAATCGTTTGTGTATTTTAATGACGATTCAATTTTTGAAGGCTAAACTTGATCCGGGCGTTAGCAATATTTTTTCGAACTAATTCATTTCAACATAACATTGACCGAAAGATTTAATCTGAATATTATATTTCCTAATAATGCAAATAATACTGTCATAATTGTTACAGAAATGGACAATTTTGAAGGTATATCGAAAAAATATAGGAAATAATTTTCGGTAAACTTACCCAAAAATGTAAATTTCAATTTCCAAAAAAAATTCGAAAATATAAAATATTGCCTAGCGAGAAGCCTCTTGGTCTCGAAGCGTTTTATTTTGAGCTGGTTGTAGTCCAACTTTTGGAATGATGTAAGTAGAAAAATATAGAAATTAATGAAATAAACGAGATCAACCTTTTTATATTAACTTGTTTCACGTGCACGCGTGACAACATTTTCCGAGGCTCATTTCTGGGATTATTGATTTTCTGTTTTGGTTAACTCGATTCAGTATTTTCTCGAGTTTTTTGAACCTGAACTGTATTTTGAATTTTTTCCACGAGGTTAGTCAATTTTTTGATACTGTTTTCGAAGGGGGTTTGATCCAATTCTGAGTTTTTGATAGAATCTGAAATTTTCGATAAAGGTTCTCTCAACAGAAAAAATGTAATGAAATTCTTTATTTTCGAAATCAATGAGCGAATCGATTGACAAAAACAGCAGATCTTGGTGGACACGGGCAATAAGCAGCATCGTTTCCAGGCAATCCAGGTCCTCCTGGTGATCCTGGTTGTCCATCTCCTCCAGCATTACCCGGTGCTCCATCTTGTCCTGGTGGTCCTTGTGGTCCTGGAGCTCCATCTTGTCCCGGTCCTCCGTTATTTCCAGATGGCCCTGGTGGTCCCGCTGGTCCAGGTGGTCCAGCAGTTCCAGGTTCTCCCTTTCCTTTCTGTCCATCCTTTCCTGGCGGTCCTGGTGGTCCGTCTGGCCCATTATCTCCCGGAGCTCCAGCATCTCCTGGTGGCCCAGCTGGTCCAGGTTGTCCGTCAGCTCCTGGAGGTCCAGCACTTCCTGGTTGTCCATCTCCTCCTGGAGGCCCAGCTGGCCCATCTGGTCCCGCTGGTCCCGCAGCTCCTGGAGGACATTTAACACAAGCTGTATCAAGTGGTGGGCAAGTCAACGGAGCATATGTTGCAGTATTATCTTCTCCAGCTGGACCTGGTGGACCTGGAGTTCCCGGTTGTCCTGGCTCTCCTGGTGGACCAGGTGGGCCAGGTGGACAAACTGGTTTAGCCGGTTCACATTGACACCAAGCTGGAAGTCCAGAGAACGATTGCCTCTTTTGACGGAAAATTGAATTGAATGGGTTGACACGTGGTTTTGATGGTGGTGTGACAGTTATTTGAATATCCATCATATCAGTCCAAGCAGCATCGGTCTCAACGCGAAAAACGCTGACACCATCAAGAACTTCGTCGTGAACCTAGAAAAAACATGGTTTTGTTGAAGTGAAGTGGTTTTTTTTTAAAATTTCAATATAAAAACATACCTCATGAATAGTATTGTATAGCTGAGGAATAACAATAAGACACGCCAAACATGCCAATGTTGAGGCAGCCGAAGCCACGCCCACAATAACTTTCTCCATTTTGTGAATGCTTGTGTTCTAGGAAATTGTTAGATTTTATAGGCGAAGAAAAGAGGCGGAGACCAAAAAATGAGGAAGAAGAAGAAGGCGGTCTTGTTTTGAGTGATGCTACTTAATTTGATGTTAGATTTAGCGCTGGAATTAGTTCACTTCGGCACCCGAACACAACATCATGTTTTACAGCCATGTTGAATGGGAACCTGGAATGTTAAGCCAAAATCAGAAGTTTCCTTGTGGTTCGAAGCCGCTTTTGGAAACTTCAAGGATGTTTTTTCATAGACTGTTTATATTAGAACAAACAGAACAGTCGTGAGAAATTGAAATACATTCGGGGTTTTGAATTTCACACACAGAAAGCTGGAAGTTTTTCTCAAAACAACTCCCTCTATTTTTCCCCGGAGACCTCAAAAACTGTAAAAATTAGGTAGTATCTGAAATATTGTCTCTGAAAAGCTTGAATTATAATTTTTTCGAATCTTCTTTCATTTTCCAGTTCCAGTCCCATTTTTATTTTTATTTCTCTATTATTTTTCCATTTGTTTTTCCAAATTACTCAGTGTTAGTGAAAATCAAAATTTTTTACTTCCTATATTTTTACTTCCTCCCGAGTTTCTTTCAATTGCAAAAAACCTGCTTTTTACATGTTTGCAAAAAGTGCATTAACATATTGTTGAACTAAAAACAGATATTTTTTTGCCTCCCAACAAACTCGTTTAATCTGATTCTACAATCATTTGGAATGTGAATGAATGAATGAAGTACTAAACTTGTATTTCGTACAAATGAAATACGCAAAAAGTATAGATACAGATTGTGATCGGAAAATCATGTAAATAAATAAATAAACAGAACGAATTTCTGAATTTTTTTCCAAATATACACTTCGTGACACACAATAACAATTGTTCTGTATTCATTTTTCTTTCTGTATTCAAAAGAAGTAATCGAAGAAATATGTGTCCTCCAAAAGAATCATACGTTTTCAAGTGGATCTCTTTATGTGTCTAATTATAAGACACATAAGGCAAGGCAAAAGCTAGTTTTCACACGAAGATGTTATGCATTTTATGGATGAAAAAAAAATGAATAAGTGTTATGTAAGATTCAATACTTTTTCTCAATCTTCAAAAAATTCACAATCAGGCACAAGTATGGAAGTTTTAAGGAGATCCGAAAATTAAGCCAGTTACTTATATTTTCGGTTTGACAATCGCAAATCTCATATTTCCAGAGTAGCGTTATTCCGGAGGGTCGTTTACATAAGTTCCCAAATTTTTTTCAATTTTTCTCTAATTTTGTATTTTTGTTCAAGAAAAGGTGAATCCAGCGAATTTTAAAGTTTTCTAAAAAAAACGTTCGGAATTTTATATGCTATCAGGGGGTTTGCATTTTTTTTAATTTCGTAGCTTAGGTACCTCCTAAACTTCCGATTTTTCTGAAATTTTTAAAAAACTGCCACGTCATAAGTCATGAGGAAGTCATTTCCAAAATGTTTCCCCCGAAAAATAGTATACTAATAGATAATAACAATTCAAAAAAATATCTTTTCTTATTTTTTCCAGATGAGACCCATTCGAAGTCACCTGTCGTTTTCACGAGCCGAGCAAAAGAAGAAGAAGAACAAAGACAAAAATTCATTTCACATGTTTTTGAAAAAGACTAAAAGTGTGTAAAATTCGTAAATAATATTGGCGGCTTTGGAAAACGAGAAAAAATCGCGTTGGTGGAATTGGTGGAAGATGAGTGTGAATGAGGCGATATCCGATGATTTATTCAAACAACTTTTTCGATTATTCTCACTTTTTGCTGATCGAACTAATGGAGGTTTGTGTTTTTATAATAATTTTTTTCTTTAAAAGACACTTTCTGGAAAAAGGTCAATTGCAGATCTAAGATTTAGCTTAGTTTCACTGTTTTCCAGTTCGAAGTGAATATTCAAAACAACTCGATTAGTATTTGTAATAAATTCAAACCACCCGCGCACACAGGGCACTACGTAAACGGAGTCTCGTTGTGTTTATTTTTCCAGAAAATTTGACAATTTACAATGAAATACACGGACAACAAAAAAATTTTCATGCGAACTTTCTAAATTTAAGTTTGATCTACCTAAAAACCAGAGCGCGAAAAATTCTTTGTGTTTATATTTCTTCTCATTTTCCCTTTTTTGTCGATTTTCAAAAATCAGAGCTGATTTTGGTATGGTTTTTTCGCCTATGCATTAATTTGTTTAAAAATAAACTATTTTCTGCGGATGAAAAAAATTAATTAAAAAAATATATTCTATTTTTTGACGTGACGTGTTTTTGACCCTGAAATTTTAATTTTTCTTAATTTTCATCATTTCATAAAATCACAATACATTTTTTAGCCACTTGCAAACCAGCTCAAGCTGAATTTTTGATCGACGAACTTTTGCGAGAACTTCGACGACAAACTACGCCAAAAGTTCATGATTTACCCGATGATGTCACATTCAAGTGAGTTGAACTCATTTTTAGTTTTATTTAGTTCCCTTTCATACAAGATTCCCCTATTTTCAGCGAGTTCCTCAATCTTCTCCAAGTAATATTTCCGGATCGTGAAGATTTGCAAATTTCAACAAGTCGAGTTTTCGAACGATTCATCAATCATGTTATTGGAAAAGGATTTGTGTTGTTCAGAAAAGTGTCGTCGAAAAAAGGATGCTTGAATTTTTTGAGGAAAAATTGTAATTCGAGATGGATTTTTGGTTGGTGTCAGATTGAACCGGGAATTGTGAGATTGAAAGAAACAAATGGAAAAGAATATCAAATTGAGATAAACGAGGAAACAATTATTGAGGTTAGTTATTTTTGTTGCTGGGGTGTTTTTGAAACTAGCCTTTCTTGATGTCTTATTGTGAGAGTCCTGAATTGAATCTGGAAGATCGGACTGGTTCAGAGAATCTAGCTCGATTTTTGCCATTTTTTGCATGCATTTTTTTTTATTTTTTAGTTTTTGCTTGCTTTAACTAATTTATAATTGTGTTTTTTCTAACCTCAAATTTTTCTACTTTTTTTTTTTCAAATCAAAGATATTTGCAGCCACCAACTTCAGATGGAGAACAATGTGTTTGGATGATAATTTCATCACCCGAAATCACATATCAATTTTCGCATCTCGATCCAATTCAAGCACAGCTTTTTGTCAAAGACATGCGTCTCTCCAAAGACTACAATAATCGCGACGTTCTAGCTGATTTTGATTATAAAAGATCGATGAAAATGAGACCACGTGACGAAAAAATACGAAAAGAGTTGGAAAAAGACAAAGAACGGCTTGAAGTGGAATTAGAAGAAGAAAGGAAAAATAGATTGGATGAAGAAATTGTGAGAGGATTGACAACTCGACTTTTGAAACAGGAAATGGAGAAAAGTGAGCAAATGCAACAAGTGATTTTTGAGTTGAGAAATAAATTGGATCATGAAAATGGACATGAAGCAACGATTGAAGAAAAGGTTTTGGTGAAACAAGAATCGGAAGCATTTGAAAATGAAGAAATTGAAATAATATTACCATCGCGAGAAGATCAAATTCAACAATATGCTTATCATTTGTATGCTTCACAAGCTGATGATCATATAACATCAGATGAAGAAGAAGTAGGTTTAATTCAAATATTTATTTATTCTATAGAAAATTGTTCCAGATTTGGAAACAAAATTACAATCTCATTGTTTCAACACAATCTGTTTAGCTAGCAAAGTTGAATTCCGGCTGGTTTGTAACGTGATTCTGTAAAATTTGAAAATGAAAATAAATTGTATTCTCTTCTCAAATACCTTTAATCGAAGATAAAAATGAAAAATAGGTCAATTGACCTGTAACAGCTCCAGGTTTTGCTGGATTTTTGCGAGTTGTTAGAACTTGAAAACCATCTGGACCTTCAGCTAATACTTCGACCACATGCCAATCAGTCATTCTAAAATTCAAAATGAAATTTGTAAATTCTAAGGAAAATACTTACTTCGGATCAGAAATTAATTTTGCCGTAACTCCATCGAATCCCAAATTTGATGCAGCGATTGCTCCGCCTGCCATTGTGTTTACATTATTTGGAGCCAATGGACACAATCCTCGAACAGATCCTTAGTTGAATATTTTTAGTCTACAACAACATTTATTCTTTTTAAAAATTACCTTCATAAAGTACTGTAGCTTCCTCTTTCTTCAATTTCGCTTCTTCGTTCTTTTCGAAAAGCGGTGAGCCAAGTTTGAATGAACTTGGATGTTTTATCATTGTAACTGTTAAGTTTTTCAATGTTCCAACTTCGGCCATTTTTTGAATATCGTTAGCACCCCAAAATGCTCCAGATGGCACCAGAATTTTTCGGTTAAATTTTGTTCCGACAGATTTTAAATTATCAAAAAGCTTTTGATCGGCTAAACAAGTTGGAGATCCAATCTGAAGATTATATTTCAAAATTTTGTTGGTGAACTTCTTAACTCACGAATAGATCACAATTTTCGAGAATCAGTTGACCGTAATCATGGATTATTTTTGGATGTGCAACTTCGATTACCAAATCAATGTTGCTCAGATTTGAAGCATTAATAGTGTCTAGAGTTTGGACTTCTTCATTTTCTTCAGATTTTGTGCGATTCCAAATCTTCACAATTTCGAAATCAGGCTCCAATCTTAGTTTTTCAATCAAAAATTTTCCTGAACTCTTATTTTATAATTCTGATTTTATACCTAACGAGACTTACCTAAATGTCCATATCCAATAATCGCAACACGAACCATATCGATTTTCACTTATATAAAAAATGTTCTCTTTTTTCTCTGTTGTGTTTACAAGGTCAAATCACTTCTTTATTATGCAAAAAAATCCCGTTGATAAAGAAGAACATTATAAATATGTATAACATAAATTTTGAAAACAACGAGAAAAAAATCGAAGCGAACAAAAAAATAAATTATGAAATGTTACATTTTTGTTTGTCCTTCTTTTTCTTTGATCTTGGTATTGATGTTGGAGATTGTTCAATATCTCCTTCGTCACTCGGAAAACTTCTGACAATTCGAACAAGTTCGTGGAAAGCACAATCAACATTTATTGGTGGATCTTTTGCCGAAGTTTCAATATACATTAATTTCAGTTGTGCAGCAAGTTCTCGACCTTCTTCTTCTGATACAACTCTTTGATTAATGAGATCGATCTGAAAAGGTTTTTGGTTGGGAAAACTTTGTTATTTCATAAAAATAATACTAACTTTATTTGCCACTAACAACACGGGATATTCATTTCGATCTTTGACTCTCAAAACTTGTTGGTAGAGTTTATGCGCTTCTTCAAATGATTTTCTTTCAGTCACCGAATAAACTAACAGAAATCCTCTTCCACCTCGAATATATTGCTCTCTCATAGCAGAAAATTCTTCTTGTCCAGCCGTATCGAGAACTAATACAAATTTACAGTTTCAAAATTCTAAAGCTAGTAACTTACCATCCATAATAACCCAATTTCCATCAACTTCGCAATGTTGAATATATTGATCTTCAATTGTTGGATCGTAATAATCAATAAATTGCTTCTAAAATTATTTGAAAAAATTATTTTGTTCTCCAAAACGTGAGTAACTTACTTGGAAAAATTGAATAGTAAGAGATGATTTTCCAACTCCACCATCACCAATCACAACCAATTTATAATATGGAAGTTTTGAATCATCTTCGGGTGGACGTTTTGCAAGATTTGACATTTATCTTCTTAAAACTCAAAATATTATCTTATCTCTCTGAGCAAAAGGTGTTGGATTACAAAAAATGATTGTTGATTCAAGAATGTACAAAGTTTCTATATGCAAGCTCAACATAACGAAAAAAAAACAATTAAATAGAAAAATGGACTAAAAAAACAACCGCAATCAATATTATCAATGACTTATCATCATCAAAATCAACATCTTTTTTGATACTACCACTATTTCCGATTTGAAAAAAAAAGTAAAAATGTCTTTCTCAAGGCCAAGGATGATACTTTACTTATAAATAATGTTAAAGATTTTATCCTGAAGTATTTTGAAATGACTAATTCTTCTCTCTCGAAAAAAAACAACTACAAATATTTTCTGTTTTTTTTTGAGAAAGATATCGACGAACACATGTGATTAGAGCAAAAGGAACGAAAAAAAAACAGAAAAACCAGTGAAGCAAACGAACATTTTTTTTATTTGATGGATCATCTTAACGACAAAAAGTAAAAGGTCACCGGAATGTTTTTATTGAGGTTTTGGGAACTTTTACCTGAAGATTTTGGGGCAATGTATGGATCAATCCTCAAATTAACGATTTTTGAATCTTGATTTCTCAGAAACTTAAAGAGAAGCTTTTGGAAGGTGAAACTATATCATTGTTTATTTTTAAATAATTTCGGATTTTTTCTTGCAAAAAAATGAATCGTAAACAAGCTTTCATTATTATTATTAACGATTTATTAGAAAAATTATTATCTTTGATTTGTTTTCATAGAAATCTGTCTGACTAGAAATAAGCAACCCGTATTCAACACTGGGATCTGGCAAGATGATGGCAATCATTTAAATGTAAAAATATCTAGAATTGGTCTTCAGCTGATTTGTCAGAAATTTGTGGTGGAATTCCTTCTCCTTTTCGACCAACAAGTAAATATGTATCCATTCCACCGTCAATTCCTTTAACTTCAATATGATCGCGATATTCGAATTCATATCGATCGAGGAGAAGATCGCGAGTATGTTGTGATACCTAAAAATTCGAATAATGGAACATTAGAAAATTGATGAGATTTGCTAACCTGAATTCTATTCAATACTCCAGTACTGTACATTCTACTAGCAATATTGACAGTATCTCCCCAAATATCATAATAAAGTTTTGTTGTTCCAATAACACCAGCTGTTACCGGCCCGATATTCAATCCAAGTTTACAAACGAAATCGAAATTCAAAAGATCTTCGTTGAAAACACTTAAAACATGCTGAATTTGCAAAGCGAATTCAACCATCTGAAAAGAAATTAGGATTTGATTGATTGAAAGATCTGTGGTGTTTTCCTTACCTGATACAAATGCTCTTTGGGATGTTGCATATTCTTCTTCCGTTCAGGATTCAAACCACTAGCTGCCATATAAGCAGCTCCGATTGTTTTGATTTTTTCAATGTGTGTAAATTCAGGTCGATCTAATTGTTCATCAAAATCACCAATAACTTCATTCAAAACTCGTAGAAATTCGCGACCTCCTTCAAAGTTTTCTTCATACATATCATTCCAATTTGTGATTGCCGCAAAAAGAACAGCAACTGATTGATGATTTTCTGAATATTTTGTGTCAGTTTTCAATGATTCCACGGCATGTGCAGGGATGACGTTGTTAAGCAACCAATCAGCTTGATCACGGACAATTTGCATTGATTCAGTGTCTCGACGAGCTTGAACATCTCCAAAGAATGACATTCGGAATGCAGCTTCGAACTGAAACTCTCGATTTTGTTGATAATTATTTAAGATTTTGAGAAAACTAACCTGATAATTCAAGAAAGCAACAAGGAAAATGGATAACGCAACATCCAAAAACAGTTCAGCTAATAATACCAAGCCTATTCCACCATCTTCGATAGTACTCGTTGCGTTTCTTGCGCTTGTTTGTGGAAAACCTCGACGTGTTGGTGTTACGGTTGTTGTGAAATTGCACGTTTCCAACTGCAAAAGTGGAATTGTTATCAATTGGTTAGCTGTCTTTCAGTTACACGGTATTTTTTAAAACCAACCTTTTGTTCAAGACCTAACAAATTCTGGTGACAATAATAAACGCCAGCAATATGAAGAAGTCCAATAATAACAGCTACAGTAGTTTTTGGCCAGGCGGCAAGTTGCGAGAAATTACAATGCGCAAAAATGGCAAGAATTGTTACATAACTGAAAACCAATCGATGATTCACGACAGTTTCGGCACAATCGACGACCGAACAAAGGGGCATTATACAAATCGCAACTCCGACTGGCAAAAATATCAATAATAATCCGATGAGATGTCGAGGCATCCATTGATTAACACATGGCATACTAGTTTTTCGACTTAGAAGTGGAAGACCAATCAAAACAATTGTTAGAACAAGAATTGCAGCAGCAATTGGGACATATGCAATCAATGCAATTCTAATTGGTCGTACAGACATAATTGCAGCCAATGCAGCAATAACAAATATAAATGCAGCAACAATTATATCAATAAAAACTCCAGAATATCGATATTTATTGACAGCTGAATTTGCAACCATCTCATCTTCTCCTCTTCCTTCTTCAACTAATTCTCGATGTCTTTCAACATGTGATTTTTTCGAATTAGTATATCTTTCAGCCGAATCAACAAAATGTGCTCGATATTCTTGTTCAACATCTTTCTCGTTGAATCGTAATGTCCATTTATTCAAACTATCGTGATGTCCCCAAAATCCTTTATCAAATCCAACTTCTCCTTGTCCAATAACCATTGCTAATCGTTGATCAAAATTATTATCCGTATCAAATCTTGTGAGTGAAGCAGCATTATGATGATGTGAAATAGCAGTATCTAATCCACCAACACTGTTCAAATCACTATTTCCATCTTGCAATGATAATTGTAATCCACTACTTCGACTTCCTTTTATACTATTGCTGCCACTTCCAGTTCCACCATATTTTCTATTATCAATCACTCGATCACTATATGTATTATTTGTATCAGTTGTACTTCCATTGAAATTATTTGTAGCCAAAGCTTGAAGTGATGCACTTTTTCGATTATCTTCCATTACACAAATTGAATTCGATTCTTTTTGCAGCATTTGTGTACTTCTATTTCTTTCAGCTAATTTGATTCTCAAACTTCCTCCGCCTTCTCGAACTGCTGTTCTGATTGGATATGAATTTGTATGATTCATTTTCAATTTTTCAGCAAGTTTTTGTTTGAGTGTTGATTTTTTGGAACTCTTATGACTTTGCAACGATTCAACTTCTTGAACTGTCACAACTTCTTCTTCAACATTCTCATTGATTCTTCCTTTGATGAAAAATGTTTTCATACTTTCTGGTTTGACTCTTCTTTCTGTTCCTTGAACTTGCATTCTTAGTGGTCCATCATAATCTGGTCCTTCTTCAATATGATAAAGACCTTTTAATAGTTTTGCAGTAGCTTCTGAGACGTGAACTCTTCCAGCAACACCAGATGATTCCATTTCATTAGCTAATGTAACATCATTTGAAAATACATCGAATTTGAATCTTTTGGTTCCAACCATTCCACACATAACTTTACCAGTGTGAATTCCAACACGCATATTAACTTCTTGTCCTCGATCAATATCGAATTGTCGAATTGCGACAATCATATCTAATCCCATATCAACAGTTCTACAAGCATGATCATCACAAGGTTCTGGACATCCAGCAACACAATAGTAACAATCACCAAGTGTACTGATCTTTTCCAATCCTCGATTTCGACACAAAAGATCAAATCTTCCGAAAAGATCGTTTAATAAATTGACAAGTTCGTCGGCAGATTTATTTGATGACATTTTTGTGAATCCAGCAATATCAGCGAAAAGAATTGAAACATCAGTCATAAGATTCATTGTGAATGGTCGGAATTTTCTATATTCCGGCACCATTTTGGCAATAGGTTCTGAAAAATATTGGATATTTCAACTACAGTCTTTTGTTCACTCACGTTCTACTTGTGTTGCATTCGAAGTTCTACAATTCGAATCGTTGCTAGCTGAAGGCCTTCGAAGTTCTGACGCATCTTTTAATAATTCATCTGCTACTTTTTTGGGCATCACAGATTGAATCATGTGATCTTTGAACTGTGTTTCAAGTTCCAAATCTTTTCGAGCCAACATTGATTGCCCGACTTTCAAAAATGTTTTTCGTTGTCTGACCTACAAATAATTATTTTCTTTTTGGCAATCTATAAATATCACATACTTGTGTCAAAATGAATAAATGAACACCCAATAAATGAACACCAGCATGAAGAACTAGTTTGATGTATCCTTCATTAAATCCCAGTGGAATTTTGTTCAAAATCTCGAAAAGTATCGAATAAACACAACCAATCAAAATACAAAGATATAATGGTAATGGGATTACTGTGTAGATCAGAAGAACAACCTGCAAAAAAACTAGATTAGATTTTTTTTTGAATATATCTGAATAACAAACCTGAAAACTGGTAGCGAGACAAGCGACTGGTTTCATGAATGCTCCGCTTTGTTGAGTTTCAGCAGAGAAAATTAAAAGTGTTACGAGGCAAATTAAAAATGTGCACAGAAATGAGGTTGGCATGTAGAACCTGGAATTTTTTTTTTGGAAATTCTGATAGAATAGTTAAAATTACAGATCGAATCATGTGGGAATTTCTGACAATGAGAATTTATTTGAAAAATTAAATAAATTTTCAGAGCAAGTTTCAAGTTTAGGCCTAGTAAGCTTACAATTAAATTAACTGAAAATTGGCTGAAAATGAAGAATTCCGAGATTTCCAGCACAAAATTCTGATCTAGAAATTTCCCGGGAATTTTTTACTGTTTCAAATATTCAGTGATTGTTTCCGGATCTAAAAAAAGTTCGACTCATTTTGGAAAATTGAATCTAGGCTTAACTTTTGCGCTGAAAATCATGAAGCCAGTGAAAAAACAAGTGATTTTCATTGTCAGCACAAAATTCTGATCTAAAAATTTCCTGGGAATTTTACGTTTCAAAAATTTATTAAATTTTTTTTTTCGATCTATTTTGGGAATGTCATCTTTTGAGATAGAATTCATTCCCTTCTCAGATTTTCTTTGGAGCCAAGATTTATTCTACCGTTCCTTCAAAAGATCCATAAATTCTCCCAAAATAATTGTTACCTTTGATATTGTGATGTGCATTTTGTGAAAGCATACATTGCCAAAATTGCAGCGATCAAACATATTGAGACAACCTGTAATTTCAGAAGCTTTAATTTTTTTTCAATTTTTTTTGAATATATTATTCCCCCCAAATTAAAATTATGTAGTTCTTTCTAAACCGCAACATTTATTGCTTATTTCTCATGGCCCATTTCTATAAATACCAAATTTGCCAATAAATTCTCGAGGGGTTTCTTTTTTTCTTCTTCATACCCAACATTTTCTCTTCTTTTTCTTCAGCTTCAGCTTCTTCTTTTTTTTCAAGCAGGAAATTGATTCTTTTTTTTCTTCTTCGCTGTGTGCATGAGTTTTCAACAAGAAAAAAAGAAGAAGAAGAAGATTGGATGAGAAAAGAAAGAAGAAAGAATAGTTATTTATAGACACATCGAACAACAGTTGACTTTTGGCAGATTTTTGTGGCTCAAGCGGAGCAGCAACAAGAAAAAACTTCTTTCGAATGTCATGCAAATTGTGTATGTGTGTGTGTGTGCGTTTTCCAAAAAAACGCGTAATTTTTGCTTCGACACCAACAACAATAATATAAAATATATACAAAACATACATAAGTATACAAATGTAAATATGAAAATCAAACATACAGTGTGTTGAATTGAAGGTCCATTAGTGTTTGCCAGATATAAAGACCAGGCAAGCGCAACAATTCCAATATAAACAAGACCAGATCTGAAGCGATCTCGAAGTTGACTGAAACTACACTTCCAATATTGTGCTTCAAGAGTTGGCGATCGGAATTGTGGATTCCACCAACGAGCCGACGCACGTTCGAAAAGTGGAACTCGACGCGGTGAGGAACTGTGAGCTCGAACTGAAGGACCACATGATCCTCCGAGAGCTGGAGTTCGCTCACCTATATCGTCATCCATTCAAATACCTGCAAACATGATTTTGATTAATTTTGTAGAGTGGATAAGAAAAAAAAGTTACAGGGGTGCGAGAAAAAAATACACTGTGTATTTTTATTGCAAAAAATAACTCCGAATTTTTTATATACGAGGAAACGGTCTCAAAAATCTCACCGAACCTCTGCTTTACTCCCATATTATTTTGATAAGACCATTTTCACGGCCTTTTCACAAAAAAGTATCAAATTTCAAAACATTTTCGAAAAAACAGCTGAAAAATCGAGTAGTAGCACAAAATTTCAGATGAAAAAGTATCTTATATTTTTCACACACGCAATAGTTATTCTATTTCCATTTTTGTTTATGATACAAATAAATAAACGAACACAAGAATAAGTATTGTGTTATATTTAATTGACAGCAAAAAAATAATGCACGGCGGTTTACTTTAGGCCATTTTTTGGAAGGAGAAAAAATACGCAAAAAAAAAACAAAATTTCCTATTCAGAAAACATGAATGAGTCATGGGAAAATAGGAAATAATGGAATTTCGGAATTATTTATTCGCCTAAGAATTTGAGATAACTAAAACTAGATTTATTTTGAAAAATGACTATTTTAGATGTTTGAAAACATTTATCATATTATTTGTAATCCAGAAGTTTTTATTGATCAAAATATGATTTTTCAAAGAAAGATCAAAGATAAAAATCACATCACAAAACATCAAGCTTCAAAAAAAACAACAAGAAATTCTTCTATCCTCGAACTAATACTAAAATCCATATAAAATACACAAACACATGTGAGAGACGCAGAGAATCAGTTGGACAAAAAGTTGCCTCCTCCCTCGTTTGTATGCTTCTCTACATCTCCCAAACTCTCTTTCCCAAACGACTTTTACTAAACACCCTCTGCGCATTTCTTTGAGCCAATTCCTTTTTCTCTGCGTCTGTTCTTAGCCACACTAAAAATAGAATGGCATAAAAAATACATAATTGTTTTTATTTTCAAATATGATCATGCAAATTTGAACAAAAGTATTCCTTTCAATAAAAAAACACAAAGAAAATCCATTAGGAAGGAGAGGCTATTCTAATTTTCAAATTGAATTACCAGGTCCCATCTAAATATAAATATATCCAATTAACTACAAACCAAATGCTCTAACAAAATTTGATATACTCACAATCAGACTAGAGTACAAAATTATTTGAAATATCGATTGGGAAAAGAAGTACACTTCAAAACCACTTGTAAAATGTAATTTATACGTTTCATTTTCTTTTGGGGAAATGAGAAGAAATATATGCATTTCCAGCTGTTCTGAAAATTGGTCAATCAAAAAAAAGAAACGGAAATTATAAATCTTCTTCTTCGTCTTTTTGTGAGCAAAAGAGTCCGAGAAATGTAATTATACACGCACTTTGAAATGAATCGAAAACGAAAGAAAGAATAAACAATTCAGAACATTTTAGACGAAAATTGAGAAGAGGGAACCCTACTTGATAGAGATGAGTATTTTGAGTTTGAAATCACAAGGTTTTGGGAGAATTCGGAACTTAGCAGATCTGGATGTTTTTGTAATTACAAAGATTTGAATAATTTTTTTTTATTTTCAGGATTTCTTCACTCTTATTGTTATATTTTCTAGCAATAAGTGATTCTGAAAAGAGAACTACAAAATATTCATACTGTAATATGACAAGATGGAATAACAAAAAATATATTAAAATAGAAAATATATAATTTGATCAATGGAAGTTTGGTACTTTTAAAATTTGGAAGTTTATTGGAAGTTTCCCAATTTTCATTGAGAAAAAGTAGGAGAGTCAGTTTTTCGAAATAATATAACACTTAATAGATTTTAACACGTGGCCTAAATTCATACAGCAAATTCGATTAAAATGTTCATTTCAATCGTAATAGAAGATTGAAAAATCAATCAATCAATCAATCAGTAGATTTTTGTGTTTTTCCAAGTTCGATACTTTTTTGCGGAACATCCGGCGTTTTTGCACTTCGTGATCCTTGTTTTTCGTGATTTGATCCATTTTCAAATATATCAGCTAACGCTTTTTCTTGAATTGCAATCAAACTTTTGTTATATCCTAGTCGAGCTGGTGTTCGACCATTACTTTCAGCAGTTTTTCTGAAATTTCGAATTACCATGCATATAAGAAAGATATATTGAATTCTTACCGAGATTTAGAATCTGGTCCATTTGGTAATTTATCCGTTTTAATTTTTGATTTTTCTTTTTCCGGATTCTGCGATGCTTGCTGATTTCCTCCTGCTGGTTTTCCCCTCCTTTCTATTGTTGATGGTTGCATTCGCAATGTTCTTGTCTTTTTTGGAGTTTTAGAACATGATAATAATATAACTGCAAATATAATATTTGAAAAATTTGGACGGAACTTGAACCTACTTACATGAATAAAATATATATGTATACAATAACGTAACAATTTGTTTCATATTAAAAAGTAGAAAATGATTATGATCGAATATTTTTTTGAAAAATCACGCGGGAATTATCTAGTTCACGTTTTTATTGTAGTCCATTTTTGTAGATCAAAAACAATTGAGATCAAGCAACATACTACGAAACATCACAGATCAACTTTTACTATCATTTTTTTTATCATCATCATATTTTTTGACTTGAAATTGAATAAATTATAGAATGCAACTATATAAAACTCGAAAATGTCAGAGTTCACTAGAACAAATAAATATTTGAAAATAAAATTATGGTCGTTGAAAATGTTGATGAAAGTGTTGTTTCTTCTTCAGAAAATGATATTATAGAGGACAAAAAATTTGGATGTCTTGGAGCAAATCGCTATATTATTTTGGTTTTGGCATTATTTTTCCTGTCGTTTAATTTGTCAGGGTAAGTCTAATTAAAAGTTTAAATTTTGAGAGATTTTAGCGTTGAAGTAATATCAAAACTTGAAGAATTTCTGGCTAAAGGGTTAGAACTTCCTATACAAAATTCTGGTAGATCAAAAAATGCCATTTTTCAGAAAAATGTTGATAAAATTACTGGAAATTCATGAGTGTCTAGAATATTCTTTACGAAAGTTGTCGAAAAATCTTGATCTACAATTTTTTCCACTGAAATATTCATATTCGAATCATGAAACAATAACAACTTTTATTATTGTTTTCATTACATTTCCATAATATTCCCATTTATCAAAACAACATGTTTTTCTCTCGAAATTTATTCATTTTCAGTCTAATCGCTTATAATGCAACATATGTTTCAATTGTGAATTTGAAATCATCACCCTATTGGGAAGCATTTGAAAAATCAAACAAAACTGAAAAACCCGATTGGAATAGTCCAGAACTTTCGTTATCCGAAAGACGATTTGATTTTGGACCAACTCACAAAAGTTTGGGTTTTGCAGCTGGTTTTATTGGCGCAATTATTGCTGTTATTCCGATGTCAAGTTTATTGAGAAGATATGGATGTCATAAGGTATCTTGTAAAAATAAAATGAGCTGATGAAGACGTTTTTAGGTAATGACAGTTTCAAGCGTTGTCGCAACTGTTCTTATTTTTTTGACTCCAATTGTTTTATCGTGGTCTTTTATTGCATTTATATTTTTGCGTATTTTACAAGGTGTTACATTTTCAAATCTTTTCACAGTTGCTGGAATTATTGTAAATGAATGGGCGACAATTCATGAGAAAGGCCTCTTCATCGCTGTATTGTCAGGTAAATTTTTAAAAATAAGGAAGGACCACAAGAATTACAAAGGAGTTATATTGGCTGCTGAAAGATAAGATACAGTTACTTATTTTTTCTTATCAGAGCGAAAAAATTAAGTACAAAACTGGTTTTGTTCCAATTTACCGAGCTTTTTTTTGCTCAACTTTAAACTCCAGTCTATTTCAGCACATGTTGAAATGGGAGCTGTTTTTACAATGCCAGTTTCTGGAGCTGTTGCAACTAGTGCTGGTTGGCCATGGGTATTCTACTTACACGGAATCATTTTGGCCATTCTAACTTTGTTATGGGCTTTATATTATCGAGATCGAGCAGTTGAACATCCGTTTTTGAAACGAGATGAGTGGAAGAAAATTAGTTTTGGAAAGAAGATTAATTCCGCTGGAAAAGCTAACACGGTAATAGATAGATACAAAAGTACTTTATCGAAATATTTTCAGACTCCAGTCCGAAAAATTGTTTCATCAATTGTTATTTGGGGTGTTTGGATTGCTGTTATTGGTAACTTTTTGGTCTCTCAATTTTCAATTTCCTATGCTCCAATTTATCTTCGTGGTGTAATTGGATGTGAACCAACTGAAGCTGGTCTACTTACCCTAATTCCAATGGCTTGTCTTTTGGTTATCAAGTTTAGCACTGGATTTTTCTCAGATCGTATCAAATCGATTAGTGAATTGAATAAAATGAAAATCTTCAATTCATTCGCTCTTCTTGGTTCCTCAATATTTTTTATTATTTTATCAGTTTCTGAACCTGGTGGTTCAAAAGTTCTTGATGTTGCATTATTATGTGAGTTCTCTTCTCGATAATTCTGAATATTCTGAATGTGTTTGTTTTTCAGCAATTCCAATGGCACTTCTCGGTTTTTCTTCTGGAGGTTATGGAAAATGCGCAGTTATGGTTGCTGGACAATATTCACCATTTGTTATGTCAGTTATTCAAATATTAGCATGTGTTTCTTTAATGGGTGGATCATTCTTGGTGCCAGCTCTAACACCAACAGATCAATTTACGGAATGGCAACGGGTTTTTGTGATATATGGAGCTGTTTTGTCGTTTGCTAATACAGTTTTCATCGTTTTCGCAAGGTTAGTTGAAAAAAGAAGCTAGGAATGCGGAATTTCAGATTTCTGATCCTGGTTTCGGCTAGCCGGGAGCTTTTGAAAGGCCTTTTGGAATTCTGAAATTTCCATTCCGACTAGCCAAATTGTAAACTTTTCAGAGCCGAACCAGCAAAATGGGCACAAGATAAAGGTGATTTAATGATTATCAAAGCAGTTATGGGAGAAGATAAACATGAAGATGATCAGAAAGAAGAAGAAGAAGAAGATGTTGAAAATCAAGGAATCTTCCGACGAAATATTTCGCGAGTTGCTCCTCAGAATCAGAATTCAGCACAAAATAAACCTTAACATGTACATACATAAAAATAAAAACATTTATACATAAGTCACCAGTATTTATCTATATAAACCATAGTTGCAGCAAGTATAAAAAGAACAATCAGAAGTGGTGCAAAAAATGCAAAAGTTGCTCCGATTGGGAAAGATTCACTGTTTAACTGAAAAAAACATGAAATTTGAAATCTGAAGATATTAATTAATGATTTTAATTACCGGATCAAAATAGCAAACTCGTCTTCCACGAACTTCATTTATACATACAAATCCATTTCCACAATCATCGTGTTTTGAGCACATTACAAAATTTGTATAAATATTGTGTTGATTTTTGCCAAGCAAACCTAATGTCCAAATTTTTTGCGTTGATTTGTCACACCAGGCAAACGAAAAAATCATTGGAAGAGTTTTGTTTGGATAACAAGCAATATTGGTTTTATATGGGTTTTGAGGGATTGAGAATGTTTCGTTTCCTCGTTTTTTCACTGAAGTTAAAATATGCGAAGGCGAATTTTATACTTTGGTTGAAAAAAACTCACATCTTGGACAACAATGGTTTTGGTGTACTTGGCCTCCGTCACTTTCACATTGCTCTTTGCTGATCGATCTAGTATCTGAAAATTGGGAATTTCAGGCTTCCAGATTTCGTACATTGAAGTTTGGCTGATTTTTAAGACTCTATTTTTGAATCGAATAAGAGAAAATCAAATCAATTCCTAAATCAAATCAATTTTCGTGCAAATTTCGAAAAAGCGGTCCGATTCCTTTCTAGTGGTCTGAAGCAATCGGTGAGAGAGATGGAGACGCAGACAAATACTCTGATTTTAAGAGAAAACGACTTCCACGTTCCACGTCTCCCTCATTCTCACTGATTTCCATTTTTACAAAGCTAACATGTTTTGATTGGCCTCTAAAGACTTCCTCTAACTCACCATTATTTTTTCCATTCGAAATTGTCGGTTCTTGTCCAAATGGCGTGACCATATCGAGACAAAGATGATCAAATGTGAATATTGATTCAGGGATTTGACATTTTCTTTTAGTATAGTCACACCATCTTTTACTGACTTGTTCAATTGGACCACAATCAAGTGACGAGTTGCATGATGAATTGTTGCTCCAAATCCCTGATGAAATTAATGTTTTTTTTTGAAAGTGTCGTTTCAGTAACTCACCGAGACCCGCTCCAATAATAGATTGCTGAGAAGATCTAATACAAATCAATAATATTGTTAACGTAATTATATTTTGAACAAAGCTCATTTTTCAAACAATCAAAAATATGAAATGAGCCATTTTATTTTTTTTTCACGTACGAAATTACACGGCACGTTCAAATATTATTTTTCTCACTTTTTTTTCAGAATTTCTATTTTTGTGAAGAAAACCGAAAAGGACATATATTTTGCAAAATTGATAATCGTTTGCGGGATGAACTTGTTAGAAATAAACTTCGATGAATTCTCAGAACCTGATTTTCAGGAAAAAGGGCGGAGTTTAGTTTTTTGGACACTATAAAAACTAGAGGAATTTGATTATTTGTGAGTTTTCTGATTGTGAGAAGAAAATGGTTGCAGAATGTTTCGGGATCAATCGATATATTATTATGATTCTTGGATTACTTGTGCTCTCGCTGAATTATTCATGGTGAGGTTTTTGTGTTTTTTTCTGGAAATGATATTTCAATAAGACTAAACTTTTTAAAAAGAAGAGTTGTGTAAAATCAGATCTAAATTTTTGGTAAAAGTTCTTCCCATACCGCTTCCATAGAACTTTTCTTGAAATAGTTTATGAATTTTGTTTAGCACTTTAGAGCATCTTTTGAATGTTATTATTCCAAAAGTGTAAATACCAGGAAAATTTCTTTTTCTCACTCTCTAAAAAATCTTTGTTCCGCTGAAAATATGTATTATCAAAACCACCTTGAAGAAATTAGTGTTTCCGAATCTTGACCTATGGTGTATGTATGATCGAAAACTTTTCCAGTTTTCCCATTTTTTTTACCCAAATCAAAGTGAAAGTTTTTGGAAAAAGACTTATTACATCAAAAAATGAAAAAAGAAATGTTTCTAGTTTCCATTGTCACGGAAAATAATCTTTAAAAATAGATAGATTTAGAAAAGAAATAAAGAATTTTGCAGTTTCATAGCCTATAATGCAACATTTGTTTCAATGGTTTCATCAAAAGAAGTCAATAATTCAAATTCGCCATTGTCCTCGTATCGCTTCAATTTCACGCCATTTCAAAAGGGTGTTGGGTTTGCTGCTCCATTTATTGGTGCAATGATTGCGGTTTTGATAAAAGGACATTTGCTCAAACTTTTTGGAGAGCATTTGGTTCGTTTAAACGAATTCCCAAAGATCGATCTTACACTCTCGCGAAAATCCAATGATCAATGATCTAAATATAATATTTTTCAAGAAAATTACTTTTTTTTTTCAGATTCTTTCGATAACAAGTATTCTGGCAACATTTCTAGTTTTCCTAACACCATTTTCTCTATCTTGGTCTTTTGTATCTTTTGCAATTCTTCGATTTATTCAAGGTTTCACATGTTCGAATCTTTTAACAATTGCTGGAATGATTGTCAATTCCTGGGCAACATTAAAAGAACGTGGATTATTTATCGCAGTTTTATCATCACATACTGAATTGGGAGCATTGTTAACAATGGGTTCATCTGGATTAATATCTTCGAATTTTGGTTGGCCAACTGTATTTTATATTCATACAGTTGTATTAGGAGTTTTGACATTTCTTTGGATATTTTATTATCGAAACAAACCGGAAAATCATCCAATTGTTGGAGTTAATGAATTAGAAACAATTACAAAAGGAAAGAAACACATTACAATTACAAATGACTGCAAAGTAACAAATACTCTAGTTTTTTAATGTAGGACGATTTTGTAAACATAATTTTCAGATTCCTGTTGCTCGAATTTTCGGCTCTTTTGTATTTTGGGGTTTAGTTTTATCAATCGTCAGTTATTATTTGGTTTTCCAATTCACAATTTCGTTTGCATCAATTTATTTGAAAAATATTCTTGGAGTTTCGCCATCTTCTGCAGGTTTTATCACTTTGATTCCATTACTCATTGCGGTAATCTTAAAACTCTCAATAGTTTGAAAACTTCTGAAATCTTGCAGCTTATCATCAAATTTGTATCAGGATATATTTCGGATCGTCTGAAAATCAATGAACTTTTGAAAATCAAACTTTTCAACACTGTTGGTCTAATGGGTCCCGCTATTTTCTTCATCATTTTATCGATTAACAAACCTGGAACATCTAAAATTCTCGATATTGTTTTAGTTTGTAAGTTCTCATTTTTTCAAAATTAAAAAAAAACTGAATTCACAGGTTTACCAATCGCATTTCTTGGTTTTTCATCTGGCGGATTTCCAAAATGCGCAGTTCTAATTGCTGGAAAATTTACACCATTTTTGATGACAGTTTTTCAATTTGCCGTTGGTTTGACTTGTTTGGGAACATCATTTCTGGTCCCAAAAATAACAGCAAATGACACATTCACAGAATGGAGTACTGTATTCGCGTTTTACGGTCTCATTTTATCATTTTCCAATACAATTTTTGTGATTTCTGCACAATCTGAACCTGCTGGATGGGCTATTTCTCCGATCATTGAACCAATCAAAAATAAACAGGAAGCTTAAGTTGATGAAATAATTTATTTCAATATTTACATGCAATTTATTCAATTTCCATCTTGTTCTTCGATTTTTAATAATGCATTTGGTTTCTTTTTTCTTGATGGCATTTCTTGTGGCAAAGGTTGATTTTTTGTTTCAGGAATGAAAATATGGAAAGTTATGACATCGAAAAGGCAAAATAAGCCAAGAATGAAGTATGCGGAGCCAGCAAATCCCAAGTTCTGAAAAAAAGAAATTAACCTTCTGTTAATTTTTAATTTTTCAAAAAAAAATAATCATAAAACTCACATAGCTGAAAACCATTGGTCCAAAAACATTTCCAACTCTTCCACAAACATTGATATGAGCTGATGCGATATTTCGAATTCCAGTTGGAAACATTTCAGCAGTTATCAATAAAAGTTGCAAAAATAAACAGCCTGTTGTTCCGAATGCAAGAAGTGTTAGAGCTCGAATCCACGATCGATATTCGGCTACCATTTCTGTAGATAAATAGGGTATATTTTTATTAGGAATTTTTGGATCGTCTCGGGAAGCTTTTGATTTGGTCAACAAAGGTGCTTTTTTAAACCAAAACCGGCTTTCTCGAAAAAAAAATGAAAATTTTTTATTCCAAACGGAATTTGAATTTTTCAGCTTTTCACCCCGCTCCAGCAAAATCCTGCTATCAAACTAACCATTATAATAAATAAAGAAAATTCCAAACATACAAAGCATAATAAATGAAACAGTGCTAAAATGCATTCTCTTTCTTCCAATATGCGCTCCACCAAAATGATCTAAAACTGCAACAACAGCTCCAACAAAATAACGAAGGAGACCAGAAACAGCTGCATTCATATAAATTGACCCAGTTAAAACATCATAATTAAATAATAAACCGTATGTTACATAACTTACTGAAAACCTGGAATAATTTTTTATGAATTGATATTTGGAAGATTTACCGAAACCTACATAGAAAGTGATGCAACTAATGTTTTCAGAGCAATTTTTGGATGAGAATAGAGATGGATGAAACTATATTTCTTTGCTTTTGCTCTCGATTTTTCAGCTTTATCAATTGAATCAACAACCAATTTTTCAATTTCAACATCCGTCATTTTTGATTCATTCTTCTTGAATTTATTGATATATTTGATCGCAGTTATAGCTTCAACTCGTTTTCTCGATTGAACCAAATATTTTGGACTTTCCGGTAATAAAAATATCAAAATAAGAATAGCAACAAGTGTCATTGCATTACACATTCTTGCTAAACATCTCCATTCTCCAGTTATATAAGCGAATAAAGCAAAAAGTATATAATTTGGTGCCCATGTAACTACAGTACTCATCCATAAACGATGTGCAGATGGAAGATTTTCAACAACTAAAATTTGGCCAACTCTGAAGAAAACTTTTTTTTAATTGATCAAAAATTGAAGAAAAACTTACGTTGTTAAACCACCGCAACAAATTCCAATGAAAAATCGAAAAATGACATAAACATCGATTGTTGGAGAGATCGAAGAAGTTGTTGAGAAAAATAACATCATACAAAGAAATAATAAAGTGACTCGTTTTCTCCCATATAAATCACTCAACTGTCCAGCTATCGCTGATCCAAACATAATTCCAATCATTTGCGATGTTGTTGAGAATCTTGCTCGATTATTAACTCCAAATAAATTTGAAATATAATCCATTGAAGATGGTTCGTGTCTAGAACACAATTCCTCAAATTCCACTGCAACTGATTTAAATTCATATTCATAATTTGGAATTTGACAATCAAAATGTTGATTATATTCAGCACATCTTTCTGATGACAAAGTTCCATTGTAAATCAAATCATCACATCCAATCAAATGAGGTTTTGCTGCACCAAACATATTGAAGACCTACATTTTATTTGTTTTTCTTTTTCATGACCTTTTTCCATGTGCTGTTATCAGTTTGTTTTTTTTTTGAAATTTTAAATGATAATTCTGTGATAAGTCGTGTACACTTTGGATGTTTTTTTAGAGTTTTCTAGAAGTAATTAAAAACTATAATAAAATTGGATGGAAAATGGGGATTTTGATGTTCAAACTTCAGTAAATAAACTCGAGATTTTCAGAAAACCTCAGTTTTTAGCTTGAAAAACTATTAGAAAATTATGGGAGATATCTAATACATTTTTCATATTTTTCAAAAGTAGAAAATTAAGGTTCAAAAAAAGAATAATTCAAAATTACATTTGATAATTTAGAAATGAATGTTGCCCTATTTTTTGCTGAATCAAAATGTTTTTTTTCATTCTATGTTCAACATTTAAAAATTATTTCCAAAAAATTATTTCATTTTCAAAATGTTTTCCGAATAAACTTACCACATTCGAAAGCATCGTGAAAATCAAAAACTCATTGAAAGCCAAAACAATTAATTGATAGGAATCAAGTTGAAAAATATCATCGACTTTTTCAATCTTCATTTTGATTTTCTCACAGGTTTCACAGGTTTCTTACACTGTAAAAAAATCATTATACTTCAAAATCATTAAATACCACTAAAGAAAAAGAAGTTTGAAATGATAAGGAGCTCTGTCGATTTATGGTCTATTTGTATTATTCTTCTCACTTATCATTTTTATACTGTGGGTGTTTTGTCGAAAATGTGACAAAGATTAGGTGAATGTGGACAGATATTAAAGGTACATAGGTCATCGAAAATATTTGAACTCTTTTAGGAAAAATTATGAAAGAAAGAATGGGCCCAAAAAGATTCATATAGTAATGAAAAACGTTGTTCTCAATCTGAATACTGTAAAAACAAGTTTCTAAATTTTTGGAAGAAGACTAATTCATCAAAAAAGCAGAAAACAATTTTTGTTATTAATCTTTGTGTTGTACTATTATTTTGTTGTTGTTTTTTAATTTTAAAATTTCGATCCTTGAAAATTAGAAACGATTGGAAAAAATTCCAAAAAATGTTATATAGCCCAAATGTGTTCTGCCCAAATTTTGATGAAAAAAAAAGGTACATGAAAACATACTAGACTGTAGTTGAAAAATGTGTAATTGTGCGCTGTCTTTAAAATATTTCATTTTGATCTAGTTCCTCTTTAAAACTGTTTGTTTCAGCCCCTCCAAATCTACTTTTAAAAAACTAATAACAATATTTTTCCAGTTTTATTTTTCGTTGTCTTTATTTTTTCTATTTTCCCTCTCTTCCATCCCAAGCTGTACACAAACGAATAATGAAAACGGAATAAGCTCTCTTGGGAATTGGTCACAACCATCTAATCAAGCAATATCCCTTGGGACCATCTGCTTGCCTCCCAGGCAATTCTTCTCGTCCGTTTTTCGTTTTTTTTTCATCTCCACCCCGCCCATTTGTCTCTTCTGCTCCACTTTTTTCTGCCTTCTGCTCCTCGAAAATTTCTTCATTAATTCTTACTTCTCCCTTTTTGCTGCGGCTAGAAATATGATCAAAAGGTAGTTGAAAAGTATTTTGAATATTTTTAAAAATAAAATTGTTTACAGACCTCGCCTGGCACAAAAAATTAAAGAAGAACTTCCAGATGAAAACATCGATGTTACTTGGTATTTATAGTATTTCGAAAATTGAAATACATTTATTTTTCAGCCCAATAAAATCGGAAGATTCGTCAGTTTTGAAATGTGAACTATGCGATACGATTTGTGTTTCGATTTCTCAGCTTCAGTCACATACTCTAAGTCAACATGTTCCTTCGAAACAAGTAAGTGATTGGCTGGCCCAAGTGATCTTCTTGGAAAAATAGCCGCGTTCATTTTGGAAAAAAAGTCCCAGCTTCTAGAAAAATTTTGGTTCAAAATATAAAATATGAAGTTAATTCCAAATCCAGAAATTTTATTCTAAATTATTCAGAGACCATGTACAATCTTGAGCCAAACCAGGGAGAACCAACTTTCATTTGGCCTCCTGAAAACCCTCTCAATTTTCCCACAACTGATTTTCTGATTTTGAAAATTCACTTTCACCAATTTTTCTCCTGAACTCTCATATAAAAAAACACGGAGTTTTATGTATTCTCCAAAAACTGAAGGCATATATATTCCCAGAAGACTTTTTGAACTCCTCACATCGCCATATAATTCTCAAGGGAACTATACCAAAAACGGAATAAAAATCGATTTTTCTTCGTGCGCTTAGAATTGTTAGTCATTGTGGCGCAGCCAATAGCAAAGGGTGTAATATAAGTAAGCCTCTCTGTGACCACGCCCATTTGGTGGGATGCAAGGTCCGAGGGAAGAGACGTCAGTCTATCAAGAGATGGCTCAACTATAGGTTCTGATAGGAAGCGCGAAGACGACACGGAAGACTGTGGAAGCGGAACATCAGAAGTAAGTCTTGGGCTAAGCGGTAATTAGGTGTGACGATAGAAGTCACCTGTAGTGTTCGGGATAGAACACTGTGTCGAAGACGACATATGGTGCATCGACCGGGAATCAGAAGCATGAATGAACTGCTCGCCGAAATGGCCGCTGTTTCACGGCGAAAACAATCGAAGCCGCGAAGAATGTCCGGAGAAGGCGATGCGATGATGTCACCAATCGATTTGTCCACCAAAAATTTGCTATTCGATAGTGAAACGAAGGCAGCGATTCCATTGGAAGATCGATCGAATTTTTTTCCGAATTTGCCATTCACAAATCCTCAACATTTTTTGAGTTTATGCGCACAATTGGGCAGCCGAAATGTGTCGTCGTCAGCGAGTTCGACATCTTCGTGTCCAATTCAATCGTGTTCACAGAGCTTCGGATCGTCGGCCGCGCTCACTTGGCACATTTTGGAAGCGCATGAGGATGAGCAAGAGGTTTTCTCGTGTGATTCATGTGGAGTTATGTTCTCCAACGGGCAGGAGATTCGTGAACACCGATGTGCTACACACAAACAGTCCGCCAGATGTTCATCAGTCCCCTCAACTTCGCACTCTTCACAATCCTGTTTTCTATCAGTGCCAGCTACACCAGCTCCGCAATTCTCGATAAATGAACAAACATCAACAAGCTCGATTCAAAAATTCGACGAGGAAGACATCGATGAAGAGGACGATGACAGTTTTGAAAAATCGAGAATGCCATTTTTCGGCCTCCCCAATCAATTCGGCATGTTCCCGCCGAACATGCCACCGCCACATTTTCTTCTAAGACCACCTATGCAATTTGGAGACAATCGGGATATATTTGGGGCTCGTCATTCCGCTCATCAAGGTAGCCAACAACAACAACAACAACAATCGCAACATGAAAATGACGATGATTGGGAGGCGTTGATGGAAATATCGACAAGTGATGAGAGTGAGAAGATCAGAGCGTTGGTTGGCGATAAAGCGATACCGACTACTGATCCGAATCAATGTATTTTGTGTCGACGAGTTCTTTCGTGTAAATCTGCACTTCAAATGCATTATCGAACACATACTGGGGAAAGACCTTTTAAGTGTAAGATTTGTCAACGAGCATTCACAACCAAAGGAAATTTGAAGACGACATATGGTGCATCGGACCGAGTCTTAAAAGTTCTCGGGCAACTAATTATTGTGAAAAGGCGACTACCAGTCATCCCAGGCAGTAGTCAGGTAAGTCACCGCGTAAGTGCTTGTGGCAGGAGTACGAACGTGGGCTCTTCATTTGAGGAGTTTTTTGGGAATTTTGGGGCCCCTGGGTAAATTCTTGTGTGAATCCGGATCACCAAGAACTCGTCGTAAGACAAGAATCGTCGTAAGACAAGAATCGTCGTAAGACAAGAATCGTCGAAAGACAAGAATCGTCGTAAGACAAGAATCGTCGAAAGACAAGAATCGTCGAAAGACAAGAATCGTCGTAAGACAAGAATCGTCGTAAGACAAGAAATCGCTACGGCAAGAAAAAAGTTGAAACAGTCGCTAACGCAAGAAATCGCTCCGGCATGAATTGAATTAAAAAAAAAATATATCGCAAAGCGAGCCCTAAAGAGGCGCCCTAAAGAGGCATAGAAAGAATATATCGCAAAGCGAGCCCTAAAGAGGCGCCCCAAAGAGGCATAGAAAGAATATATCGCAAAGCGAGCCCTAAAGAGGCGCCCTAAAGAGGCATATAAAAATAATGAAAGTTCAATCAGAACTAAATATTTGATTACAAAATTATAGTCAAGCATTCAGAATAATTTAGTTATTTATCTGTAAGAAAAATTATTAATTGTGTTTCTATAATCAGTTTGATTCTCTATTTTCTAATATTTTTGAATGTGGAAAATGTAGATCTAGTCTGAATTTATGAAATGTAAATTGATAATGATCAAAATATTTTTTTAATCCATATTTGAAAGAAAATTCATAAGATGAATCAGTTTTTATATCAAAAATGTATAGCATTTTTAGTAACAATAAGTGTATGTAGTCTTATTTGAATAGATTGTACAGTAAGAAAATTATTTTAATTCTCAAAAAATATAATTTTGAAGTCAAAGTTATGTTTACTCAAAAGAGAAGATTTTGAAAGATATATTACTCATGGGGTAATAAAATACTCAAATTACATAGAAAAGGAAATATGTTTTAAACAAAAAGGTCAACCACATGAGCATATCATAAAAGATCATATAAAACTGTCAGAAGTTATATAGACTAGTCAAAGAAATAGGTCACCGCAAAAAATACCAGATGTGAAAATAATAACCAGACACTCATATAAAAATACATACCCACAGAAATAAAGGGGTCAGAAAATTTAGAAAGTTCATCTTCGAAAAATTAGAAAAAATAGTTTAAAAAAAACCATTTTGTTTAAAAGTTGAACAAAATTGAACAAAATGAACGAATTATTTGAACACAAATTTTCCTATCGGAAATTTTAAAATTCAATTATTATTATTTGTTTTGAAATTAAGTTCACAACCATCGGGAAAAGTTGAAATGTAGAAAAATAGTTATGAATTATGTCTTGATAAAACAGAAAATTTAAATTTAAAAAAAAAAAAATTAATTAAAGTTAAAGTTAATTTAAAAAAAAAAACTACAAAGTTTTGAAATTTGAAAGATAAAAGTAAATTTTTTTTGAAAAATTAACAATTTTTGTAAGTGAAATAAAATAATTAAATTTTTTGGAACAACTAGATAATATGAAACTGTAGATTAGAGATTTGCTCAAAATAAACAGTACATATCTGAAAATTTATTTGATAAGTTATTTAAAAAAAAAAAAATAAATAAATAAAAGAACTATTTTGAAGATAAGTCATAGAATAAATGCGTAAATTAAAAAAAAAATCGAAATAATTTTAAATTGCTGTTTGAAAAGTAGAGAATTAGAGGATCATTAAAAGTATATAAAATTCTAGTTTAATATCACGAAAATTTAGAGTTTGAAAATTGGAAGTTTTCAATTTTCAGATAATAAAATAAGAATATTATAGTTCATTGTTTTCTACAAAACTATTTTTTTGTTGTAATATTTGTAACTTGAGCTTAAGAAAAGGACTAAAGTAATGAAACTAGAAAAATAGAAGAAGTCAATTTTAAAAAATTAAAAAAAAAAACATAAATTTTGTAAAAACTTAAAAAAGATTTTGAGTGAATATTAAAAGTAATTTTGATATGAACTAAAAATTTGACTGAGAGAAACTAAAAAAAAACTAAAAAAAAAAACATTAAATTAGGATTAAATTAAGTATAAGTTAAAGAAATTATAAATAGAAAAAGAAGAATTAAATAAATATAGAAGAAGAATTAAATAACCAATTGGTAACTGATTTAAAAAAAAAACAAGAAAAGAAAAATAAGTAAAACCGAAGCCTAAGTCTAACAATCAATTGATTATTAGAAGATATCTAGATAAACAGCAAAATGAAGAATTGATAGAACAATTCCCATGTATATGAAAGTTGAAATGAAATTCCGAATGTTGTTAGAATGATTCAAATTAAGTATGATCCATTATGGAGTAAACGTCTAAAAATGGATGTGAAAACCAAATGAGCGATGATTCAATAGGCAAGGTGCCATTTTTCGCGTTTCCCCGGGAGTGTGGCGCAGCCAATAGCAAAGGGTGTAATATAAGTAAGCCTCTCTGTGACCACGCCCATTTGGTGGGATGCAAGGTCCGAGGGAAGAGACGTCAGTCTATCAAGAGATGGCTCAACTATAGGTTCTGATAGGAAGCGCGAAGACGACACGGAAGACTGTGGAAGCGGAACATCAGAAGTAAGTCTTGGGCTAAGCGGTAATTAGGTGTGACGATAGAAGTCACCTGTAGTGTTCGGGATAGAACACTGTGTCGAAGACGACATAGTCATTGGATTTCTCAAGGGAATTATACTATATAGTGATGATTTTATGTAATCAAATGCACTTTCAAATCATATCAAATCCTAGGATGAAATTTGGGGAAAAGGTCAGAATAGGTGTAAAGGAAGTTGGGAAAGGGGGAGGGGGTTCAAGAAGTTATAGGCGTAGAATTTGGATTTTTGGAAACTTTTAAAAACAGCAGAGCAAAGGTTTCAATTCTCATAAATTTTAATTCCAGATTGAAAATCCAACAGGATCATCTCAACATCAAAAACTAAGCTGTCAACAGTGTGATTCAACATTCGATTCATTCTCCCAATTCGCAAGTCATATGAAATCGCATCTCACAAATTCTTCCTCCTCTCAAAATTCATCATCCTCTTCTCCTTCTTCTCCACCAACCACTAATAATATAATATTGTATTGTCCATTATGTCCGCTGATGACTTTTCTCGACACCAATGTAAGTATTATTCCCAAAGGAAATTTGCCAGTTTTTTGTTTCTTTTTTTTAATTTCAAATTGAATTCGAAACAATTTCGCGTTTAATTTCTTCAAAACATTCTCAAGGGATCAATAACTTTTTTTTATTCTTGCAGTCTCGCCTTGAACATATTACTCTTCAACATTTACAAATGCGAGTTACTCAATATATGTGTTCACATTGTGATATTTCATTCATTTCTCCTCAAATTTTCAATACTCATTTTAATCAATGTCATCTTCGAATCAAATATGAATGTAAAGTTTGCAATTATGTCACTGATAATGAAAAAATCTTCAAAGGTATGGAACTATAGTGATTTTTGAGAATGGGATTTGATTGATAAAATTTTACAGATCACAGTCGTTCTCATAGTCGACAAGAAATCAGTTTAGGATGTATGGCTTGTGCTTGTACATTTTCAAATCAACAAATGTTAATGGCTCATGTTCAATTATGTCATTCTCAGTGAGTTTCAGAAGGAAAATTGGATTTTGAAAATTTGAGTTGGACAAACGAAGTTCCGATTTTTTTGTCAAAATTGATCTACAAATTCAACTACAGTAATCTAGAATTGCAATCCCGAATTCAAATAATTTTTCAGTGATTCAAATCTATTCAAAAATCGTCTAATTCTACCAGGAAATCCGAAACTCCCCGAAACAACTCCTCGTGCATCCAAGGTACTAGTTTTTATTTCCCTTTTTTGAAAAAAAAATACAACTTTCATTTTTTCGCAGCAGTCAACTCGGCCTTTGACTTGTTCAGTTTGCGATGAGACAGTAATCGGTGAAGATGGACTTGATGAACATCGACTTTTTCGACATTGTAAAGTTCGATATGCGGATAAATGTGCAGATTGTCATGAACAAATTACAAATGATGAAGAGTTAGTTTTCTTGGGTTCAAAAAAGTTTTTCCAAGCTTATTTTGAATTATTTTTCTGATTATCAAGCTTAGGTTTCACAAGTTTTTTCCTAAACTTTGAAAAAAAATTGGGAAACATTCCTTGGAAATTATGAACTCGGGAAAAAGTTCTTCATATCACAACCTTATTCCTTACAGATTTGTTGAACATTGTGCAAAACATGCAAAAGATATGACAATTCATTGTCCAGTTTGTCGACAAACATTGCGATCAGAAATCCAGATTCACGCACACAAAAATTATCATATGGAAAGTCGTCCGCCAAGTATTGAAAAACAAGAAGAATTCGAGCAAAATGATGATAATAATTTCAATTTTACTTGTCCAGTTTGTGGCGAGAAATTCAAAAATGCTCTGAAATTGATCGATCATGGTTTCACACATTCTGTGCAATAATTTTTATTTATTAACCATATTTTTCAACAATCAAAATCAAATCAACAATTGTGATAATTAATAAAGAGATCTTAATTGACTGGAATTAAAATTGTTACATAAAAAACTAACCGGTTAAAATCACAAACAATTGTTTCATTAATGAATTTATGATATCTGAATTTCACCCTCAACAACGTTTTTAAGACTCAAGATCTCGAGTCGACCATTTCCTTTTGATTCATTTCTCACAATTTCATCAAGTGTTCGAAATGCTCCTGGCTCAATGAGTCCAATCTGCAATTTAATAATTTTTTCACGGCCTCAAGCTTCAATAAAAAACTCACCAATTCTAGTCCTCCTTCAGCCCAATCATCAACTTCAACTTCGCTGAAAGAAGTTTTCAACTTGGAATGCACTTGTTTCGCTTCTTTTGTTGGAATCGAAATTCGAATTCGCATTTTTGCTCGTTCAATTTTCAGATTTTCGCTGAGTTTTGGAATTGCTTCAAGTGCTTGTTGTTTCGAACTTCGATTTGGTTTTAATGAAAAATGCATTTCTTGAAGAGCTTTATCGATTACAGATGGAGGAATTGGTCTTTTTGTTTCCGGATTCACAACCATCGAAGCTATTAATTGTGAAACTTCTTTTAATGATTGATCAGATGCTGCTTGTCTTTCTTTGTCCGAAACTTGAAGATCTCCTTTGTCTAAAATCTGAAAAATATTAATAGAGAAGCTGACGAAAATGTGACAAGAGATGATCTTGTCTAAAAATTTCCCCTTAAAAAACGTAACATGAAATTTTTACGTGTACACACATTTTTAAATCTTTCGTTCATTATTGAAAACTGAAAATTGTGGTCATTTCTAATTTCAAAAATATTGTAATCAGGCAGAATTAAACACGTGAGTTGCATCAGAGAATTTCTAAAAATATTACCAGTCTAAATAGTAACTAGTAACTAGACTCTAGTTTCATTCATTCTTTCTAAATTTTCAATCTCTATACCTACCAGTTTACAAATTTCTAATTGATCATCTGTTCCAAATGCTGCCATCAATTCTTCTTTTTTCGAAAGTTGTCCTTTTGAAACATTTGAGAAAACATTGTGAGTTTGAAGAACTTCATCGATATCTTTCTCTCTAAATGTTTTTGTTTCAGATTTTTCCACATTTCAAGATTCTTACGTCTTATTTCTCCAGTTTACCACTTTATTTTTATAACAAGCGATTTCGAATCGTTTTCCAGTTTTTTTCATTCTCACCACAGCTACATTCGTTAGAACTTTTTGATTTGTTGGAGTTTTGATATTTTTCGACATCTGAAATAACTTTGCTTCCCATCTCATTGTAAGATTTTCAATTTACAAGTAATCAAAACAGAAATTATTATACTGTTCACGGTACATTTTGAATTACAAAAAAATAAATCAAACATTTTATTGCGTGAAGTAAAAGTAAAAATAATAAAATTCAACCAGTTTCAAAATTGAGAAAGTTAAAGCATAAAAATACGAGAAAGATAAAGATAATAACTATATTCGAACTATATATTCAAGGGAAGAATAAATACAAAGAGAAGTGGAACAAATACATATTTTTTGAAATGATACAAACCCGGTAGAACTTTGAAATGAAATGAAATGATAAAAGGGATTTTCCCTGATATTTAATCTGGCAAATCAATTGTGGCTTTTGGTAGAATCTTTAATTCGAGACAATATTCAGTTAATCGATCAGTTGGTTCAGTTCCTCGCCTCGCCAAACTCCAATGAAGACCCAATTTATGATAAAGTGATACATTTTCATGTTCCAATGTTTTCTCAATTGCTAAAACTGTTCGTCGATTTAGACATAAAACAGGCCACATTGAACAACCGAGTGAACAACAACAAAATGCTAAACCACAAAGCAGCCATCGAGAAGAAGTTTGAACGTGTCTTTTGAGAACTGAATTGACACGATTTAAAGTGGCAAATAACTCTTCAGGTGCTATATAACCGGTTAATTCTGGTGGATATTCAGTGTTGAAGCGAGAATTCAAACCAAATCTAAACGTACATTTTCATTGTCAGAAAAATATCTTAAAGACTTACACTGTGACATTTCCAACACCTCTAATAACAATTGGCTCTTTTTCATGTGGCATATAAATTGGCTCAGATTCATCACTCGAAATCACATCAATTTCATTTTCATCTACATTATGATTTGTTGTGGAAGAAGGTGGGACAATAACGGCGAGAGGTGGTGGAGGAGATGGTGAATTACTTCGATCGATAACTTCGTTCTGGGAAGATGATTCACCCAGAGATGCTGAGAACACAAGACCACCGGGAGAAGATGAACGAGACATAAAGCCTGAAAATAATAATAATTTTTATAGAAGATTATTTTGAAAAAATTGAATAATTTAGGAATGAAAATTGTTTCAACAAGCATTCAAAACTGTTTCTGATAAATAAATAGATGTATCTCTGTGAACACACTGTGAAAAAGCATGGGCCTAACCTAGAAATCGTGATTTTTTGGGAAGAAACAAGTCGAGAAACAAAACATGTGTGAGCTTGGAAAAATCAATAAAAAGTGTGAAACGGCAAATGCGCTCTGTTGCACTCCATTTTTTCTTTTTCATTTTTTCGCATTTTTGGGGGAAAATTCATAAACAAGTTAAATTTATAGGGGTTTCGCCTTTTAATATGGGCAAACGAAGGAGAAATGAAGATGAAGAGGACTATGCGGTATGTTTAAGTTTTATTTTTCAAACAAATGTCTAATATTTTCAGGAGAAACAATATGAAAATGGTTTTGATTCAATAAACAATGATGATGATTCAAGGTATCGTGTTTATCTCATAAAGAAACCAGTAGAAATTAGTTTGGAAGAGTTGCATGCGTTGAAATGGTCTGGAGATGATGAAGTGTTATCGAAGCCGAGGATCAAAACTGATTCTGGAACATATCGAACTGTTGTTTCATCGAAAATCAAGAAAAGGAAAATGGTGCATGTTCCAGCAGTGAGAGAAGTTACGAAACAAGATTCGAAAAATATAAAAGCGTGTATGTTTTTTTGGCAAGAAATTTTTAAGATATCTAGATTTCATAATCTTATACAACATAATATTTATATAAATATTTTACAGCAGCTCCTGTGGAAGGAATGATACAAATTCTTCCAAAAGAGGTTAAAACCAAACATTTAGGAGGATCTATTTATGAAGAAGGCGAGGAACCAGAAGAAGATGCTGTAATTCATCCACTTTTGAAACAAATTAAGAAAACTGCCGTATTAGATCTCTCAACGCGAATTGAACGAAACAAATCATACGGGATCAAAAAATAGAATTGAATTTTTTTGTTATGTTTTTCATTATTTTTTGTTATTGTTGGAAATGAAAGTTCAAAATTTTTATTAATTATTCGGTTTCTAAATATTTATATGTTCCTGAACGTTATTATATTTGAAAAGATCTTCCTTTTTTATTGCAAGATTAATTTATGAAAGATTTTAGTTTCAGGAATTTTCACGGGTTTTTATATTGAAAAATGGAAGTTGATTCGGATGAAGAAATTGGAAAAAGAACAACGAAAAAGGACGAATTTGAAGACGATGATTTTGAGGAAGATTCGGTTGTTTGGGAGGTAATTTTTTAAAATTTAAAAATAAAGTCGAAAATCAAAAATAATTTTTTTTCCAGAGAAACGTAGTTGTTTGCAATTCGTCTTCAAATACAGAAATGTATTGTGTTTCATATCCATCTAGTAAACGAGATGCTTGGGATCCAATAAAATTTCCGATTGCAAGGTTCAAGAAAAATGTTCGATTGGTTAGTGGTTTTTTCTTTCGAAAAAAATTCATATCAAATTTATTTAGCTTGAAATGCGCTTCATTCCTGATACAAAAGCTGGATCGTATAACAAACGAAAAGCTGAAAGCTTTTCTGAGGAAGGAAGTAGCTCTTCGCCACAGAAAAATAGTGGAATTAGTGGCGATCTCAATTCGCTTCGAAAAAATGATGAAATTTATGAGGGAAGAGCTTTTATCAATGATCATCCAATTATAAATACAATTGGTTTTATGAAAAATGATCAATTTTATATTCATCCAATTATTGGAAATTTCGGAATGCATCGATCAATTTCGATTTTGAATAATTCGAAAAAGAAAGGCGGAGGAAATCAAGGAGAAAATGAAGACGAAGGAATGTCAACTGAAAATGAGGAAGAAGAGGCTGCAAATACATCGACTGGAAATGTTCGAGTTAAATTCAGTCGACCAGAGACAGAAAGACAAAAGAAACGAAGAGAAGCATCTGCGCTCCATCGAGAAAAAGTTATTGCTAGCGATGTTTGGATTCCGATGAAAGTTCATTTGGAAGATGTTAGTTTTATTATATTTTGAAATGCTATTTATGGAAACTTTGATTTCAGGATCAAAAAGCCGTTAACAAGTTCCAACAAATCAGTCGAACTGGAGTTAAAAGTGAAACAGAAAATGGTAAAGTTGACCATGATGAAAAATGTTTGGAAGTTCGTGATCTTGTTAATCGTGCAATTATTTGTAGCATCAAAGAGGAATTGTAAGTTTCTTTTTTCTGAATTTTGTTAACATAAGAAAAAAAATAATTCTAGAGTAATTGAGTCTGGAAAAGAACACATGCTTTCGAAACAAAGAATTGATGAACTCGGCGTTGATTTGCAAATCAGAGCTCACATGGTAAAAGCGCATGTTATTCGAACCAATGAAATGATTGAGTTGATTGGAAAATCGAAAATGAGCAAAGAACAAGTTATTCACAATTTGCAAAAATGTGCAAGACTTGTTAATGGTATATTTTAATTCCCCAAATGTTTTTGCTTCGAAGTTCTGATGTTTTTCAGGTGTCTGGGTTCTTCAATCGGATTTTCTGTTCAATAATCTGCCACCAGCTCATTCAAATGTTGCCGGAAGAGTAAGAATTTTATAATTGCTATTAGTAGAGTACTAATTAATTGGGAAATTTTAGACGGATGTATATCGAAGTGAATTGTGGAGAAATGCTAGGGATTTAGCACTTTGTTTGATTGATGGTGGACATCGGGTTACAAGATTGACACTTATGACGTGAGTGGTTTTATTTTTCAAAAGAAGGTGAATCACTGAAATTTCCGAAGGCCAGAAAAATTCGAATTTTAACACTGAGATTATCGAAAAAAAATTATTATCACACACTTTTTCCGGAAAAATTTCCGTTTGCGTGGAAATTTAGAAATAATTCATTCTCATTTTATTCATTATTATTCCCCAATATCCCGATTTACGGGTTCCCAAGGAAAAAAAAAGAAAATTGAAATGAGTGTACAACAGAGCGAATTTTCTGCACTTAGCAAGTCGCCAGTGTGCACGGTTGCGTCATGGTGTCATTGCACACATTTAAGTTTCATTTGTTTTTTGCGTTTTTTTATAGGGAAGATTTTCAATTATTTTAGATGCTTTAAATTATCGGATAAAGACGCGGAAGAAGTTTTGAGTACATTTGGCGTGAAAGATGAGAAAGAACGAAGATGGAAGTTGAGAATTGAAAAAGACGAGACATTTTTGGATGAGTAAGTCTTCTATTTCTCTTTTTTCGACGAATTCCATTCAATCTTATTTTCTTTTTTCAGTCCAAGTGTTCAATCAGTAATTATCAGCGAAAAACAAAGATGGGTTGAAACGTTCGAAGAACTTCAAAAACTTTTGAGCCCTTCAAAACCTAAAAAATGATTCCCTTGCCCCTTCACCCGGTTTTTATTGATTGATTGTTATAACAATTTTTATCTCATCTGTTGGTTTTTGTTATTGTTGAATAGTTAATTTTAGAGAATTGTTTTGAAACGTCATAAATTATTTTTATTATCAAGAAGTTGAACATGTCGGTTTCAATCCTATGATATCCGCTGGCTTTCCACACATATAACCAGTTGGTGAAAGTGAACCTTCAGCCAAGTTTGAACTGGAATATAAATCATTGAGAAGGCTGAAACTACGAGAAAACTTACGAAAGATCATCTAAAGATGCACTCACACCCACATTTACTCTCAAAATTATAGAATTCTGAATACCACTGAAAATATTGCGGTATTTTGAATACTGTTACAAAAGTGTTTATACTCACCCCCCTCCATTATCAGCAGTCAAATATTTGTCAAGAATAGTTGATGGTCCAGTCAAATAATAATCTCCCCAGATAAAAGCATTCGAGTTGGCACTAAAAAAAAGGTGCATAAAAATTACCCGAAGAAATGTTTAGCGCCGGGTAATCTTTACGCACCCTAAACACCATGTAGAACCTGACATATTATATGAACATGCTGGAATTCGAGATCCACCAACCCAAACATAACCAACTGTTATACTATTTGCCGTAAGATATGCCGAAACATTGGCTGAAAAACTTATTTTATTATATACACGTGTCAAAAATATGTATTTACTTACAAACGATCCAGGTCCATTCAGTTTCAGATTCAATTCCAGGTAAAAATCCATCTGATAAAATACATTGAGCAGCCGCAAGATATTGTGGATAACTAGCGTTGAAAAATTTCATGCAATATGTTCCACGTGTTCTATTAAAAGTTTGCCAACCATCTGGACATCCGAATTCAAATTTGTCATTTATTGATTGCCAAGTTGGAGTTTTTGCTTAATGAAAGCTGATCAGTATTTTCCTTGACTCAAAAAACTTACAATATTGTTCACAAACATCGCAAGCAGAAAGAACTGTTTTAGGAACCGAAAAAAGTACAAAAATAAAAATGTATAGCATTTTTCCAGTAACATTATTCCAAAAAATTGGTAGGTTTATATATGATCTCCTCTTTTATTATAATGTAAATTGTGTGAAAATATTACAAAAGGCACCGTATGTCACGAAGTATTCTACCTAAAAAAAGTGTACCTGAATTTTTTCTCCGGCAGGTGTTTTTGCATGTGATGAACAGTGGGTGGAGCATTTATTTCAAAAAACGGCCCTGTGGATATCTCCACAAGTTTAAAAGTAGATGTTGCTAAATGCTACTGCAATACATTGATACAGTACAACTCTGAAGCTGACCGTGACCCCTTTTCTCCAAGCTTCAAATTTCATTTCTCAAAGTTTTTCAAATGGCATTCGGAGAATTTAAAGGAACCTATAAATATTACAGTCCCGTAGGTATACAACGAAATCTGATCACTAAAAATTTTGTCACGTTTTTATTTCAAATTTTCACGTGAATTTTTTTTCATTCCTCAAATTTAGAGAATTTTTTTTGAGACAATGGTCCAAATTAATTTATTCCGTGAGATAACGGGGAGCAAAAACTTTCAGCACCAAATTGACTGCAAAACTTGTTTTTTTTTACTGGAATTCATCCATTTACAGAAGATTTAGTAACTGTTTGAGACGTTTTCAGCTCCAGAAATCTAAAAATTTCAGAAAACTTTCGAAAATTCTGATTATTTGTGAGACTTTGGGAACATTTTCACAAAAATTGGATTATGAAGATTTCACCAAGAAAAATCACTTTCCTGATTTTCCGGGCACAATTTCCGGATAATCGGAAAATTTTCCGTGAAAAACTGGAGAATTTCCGTCACAGGTCTACCCAAAAAGAAAAATTACTATTGCTAAAAATCACTACAGTAGGTACCAATAATATAGTGAAAATCAAAATCAAACAAAGCAAAAAATTCATTTTCAAGAAAAAACACTTCAAAATATCTTCGTTAATCCCGAAATTTCGTTGAAAATCTTCATTATTGAAACGTCAGCTTCACAAAATCATTCGATCGGTTTTTCTATGATAATAGTCGTAAATCGGCCGACTCCAATTTTTCTGAAGCCAGCTATAAAAAATTCAAAATTAGAACTGGCCAGAGGAATTTATTATTTACCGTAGATTCAATTGAGGCAGAACATTCGATAAGCGCGTATTGGTTTACTGTTGAAGCAAAATCTGAAAACAAAAACATTTTTTCATTTTTTGATGTTCTGCTCACTCACCATTTTCCGGACGCAAAAAATTATCAATGACTGGACAAAATCCAGAAAAACAAGCAAAAGGCCGCCACGTATTTTCTGACAAAAGAGACGTGGCAAGATTTTTATCTCGTTGAAAAACAAAACAAAAAAAAATAAAAAACTGAAAAAAAAATTTTTAACGTGACACAAAAAATTGATCAGATTTCGTTGTACAAATACTGTTATATATAAATATTCGCGAAACCGATGTATCAAGCTTCTAATTGTAAGTTGAACTTCTTATTTTACGATGTGTTTTCTTGTCATTTCTGAGAGATGCAGACTTCAAGACAATTCTCTCGCCAAATTCAGCATGTGGCAGAACATTTGAAAAATTTCAATTTTTTCTGACGTGAACTTAATAGTTTAATGGAAATTCAGAAATAAATCATTCATTTATATTTTATTTCTCAGAGAATTATTTGTTTAAAAAAAACATCATAAATTATTTTTATTATTAAGAAGTTGAACATGTCGGTTTCAATCCCACGATATCCGCTGGCTTTCCACAAACATAACCACTTGGTATAACTGAAGAATCACTACTAATGCCCACGGTTGAACTGAAATGAAATAAAATTATATTACAAGGTGGTGAGTGATACAAACAAACTCACGAAATATCATCTAAAGCTTGACCCGAATCTGCGTTTACTCTCAATATTATACAATTCTGAATTTCTCTGAAAATATGAATTACTCGTTAGAAAGAATTGCAGTTGTCAAATACTTACCCCACATTATCTCCTTTCAAATGAGCGTCAAGAATAGTTGCTGGTCCAGTCAAATAATAATCTCCCCAGATGAATGCATTCGAGCTAAGAGAACACCATGTAGAATTTGACATGTTATATGAACATGCTGGAATTCGAGCTCCGCCAACCCAAAAATAACCATAATCGTCACCATTTGCCACAACATATGACCGAATAGTTGCTGCAAAAATTTTATTGTCAATTCGCAAATAATTAAAGCCATGGAAGAGAAAACCAAATGTACAGTAGGCTTTGTCGGCTCCTTTTATCTTTTGTGTTGAGACAGGAAATGTTTGGTTTCCTAGGCTATATCAGTTCACTTTCAAAGGTCAAAAAATTTTCAGATTAGCGATAATTATACAGATTTTTGGAATGTTTTGTGATCACTACACATAATGTTTTATCTAGATTTTTTTGAGAATATGTACTTACTATAGAGCCAGGTCCATTCAGTTTCAGATTCGATTCCAGGTAAATATGCATCTGACAATGCACATTGAGCAGAAGCAATATATTGTGGATAATTTGTGTAAAAAATTTTCATGCAATAGGTTCCACGTGTTCTATTAAAAACTTTCCAACCCTCTGGGCATGCGAATTCGAATTTATCATTAATTGATTGCCAAGTTGGAGTTTTTGCTTCAAAAGTCACATCAATATTTTCCTTGACTCAAAAAACTTACAGTATTGTTCACAAACATCGCAAGCAGGAAAAACTGTTTCAGGAACCGAAAAAAGTACAAAAATAAAAATGTATAACATTATTTCAGTAACATTATTCCAAAAATTTTTAAAATTTATATATGATCTGAACTTTATTATAATGATAATTATGTGAAAATAATACAATATTTGCAAAAGGTACCGTATGTCACGAAATTTTCTTCTTTTGTTCATGATGTTAGTTTTTCTGGTATCACATGTAATAATTACGCAGAAAAATGAATGGGTACGGCTGAATGGGATCCAAAATGAGTTTTGTCTGAAAATGATCAGGTGCATGAAAATTGAGGTTGATTGGGGTCGAAAAATAAAGGGGTCTTTTATTCAGACTTACTTTTCATGCACCTGATCATTTTCAGACAAAACTCATTTTGGACCCCATTTATCTATAGACAGACGGGCCTGATTCAGCCGTACCGATTCAGTTTTTTCCAACAATTACATGTGATTCCAAAGAAACAAACATCATGAACCAAAGAAGTATACATTTCGTGTCATACTGTACCTTTTGCAGAATTGTATTATTTTCACACAATTTACATTATAATAAATCTGCAGACCATATATAAACCTAAAAATTTTGGAATAATGTTACTGAAATATGTTATACATTTTTATTTTTGTACTTTTTTCGGTTCCTCCAAAAATTTTGCGAGGTCTACTGTAGCCTTGGTTTTCTAGGCCATTTTGGTTCTCTTCCAAGATTCTATTTTTTCGGATTGACAATAGTGAGAAAAGTAGTGTGTGTGGCAGGAAATTTGGAAAATTTTTCAACTGAAACGTCATAAATTATTTTTATTATCAAGAAGTTGAACATGTCGATTTCAATCCAACTATATCGGCTGGTTTTCCACACATATAGCCAATTGGTGTAAAATTAGTTTCATCAACACCGCTCAGGGTTGGACTGAAAAAATTAAAATTATATTACAAGGTGGTGAGAACCCCAAATAAACTCACGAAACGGAGTACATAAGTTGACCACCATCAGCATAGTTTACTCTCATAATTATAGTATTCTGAATCTGGCTGAAAATAGTCACAGTTAGAAAATATTTCAAACTTCAGTTCAAAGTTTAGTTATTACGAAATCATCTACTCATGTTTAGATACTTACTCTGTATTACTTAGTATCAAATATTTGTCAAGAATGGTTGCTGGTCCAGTCAAATAATAATCTCCCCAGATAAATGCGTCTGAGGGTTTAGTACACCATGCAGAATCTGACATATTATATGAACATGCTGGAATTCGAGCTCCGCCAACCCAAAAATAACCCCGATCGGGACCATTTGGTATTTGGCGAATGTATGGCCGAATAGTATCTGCAAAATATATTTTTCTACAGATTTTGAGGAAATTTTCATGGTTCATATATGCCTACAATTAGCATATATTTTGACAGAAAACAATTTCCTCATTTTTTTTAACTGACACACTTCTTACGGTAATTCTAAATCGACAAAATGCATCCCAAAATCCAGATGTTGACGTCAACGGAGATTTCTTCTTGGGAAGTCTCATTAATTTTTTAAAAAGAATTTTGGACTACATTCTTGAAATTAGAAACCATGTTTTGGAAGTACTTGAGGTATTTGAGAATTCCGAGATTCTGATTCCAACTAATTTTTCCCACTCAGTCATTCATAAAATGTACTTACTATACATCCAGGTCCATTCAGTTTCAGATTCAATTCCAGGTAAATATGCATCTGACAAAGCACATTGAGCAGCCGCAATATATTGTGGATAACTAACATTGAAAAACTTCATGCAATATGTTCCTCTTGCTCTATTGAAAGATTGCCAACCATCTGGACATGCGAATTCGAATTTATCATTAATTGATTGCCACGTTGGAGTTTTTGCTTGAAGAAAGCTCATCAGTATTTTCCTTGACTTGAAAAACTTACAATATTGTTCACAAACATCGCAAGCAGAAAGAACTGTTTCAGGAACCAAAAAAAGTACAAAAATAAAAATGTATAACATTTTTCCAGTAACATTATTCCAAAAATTTTGTAGGTTTTATATATGTTGTGCACTTTTATTATAATGTAAATTATGTGAAAATATTACAATTCTGCAAAAGACACCGTATGTCACGAAATGTTCTTCTTTCGTTCATGCTAAACTCACGAAGCTTGAACTTTCATTTATCAAAGTTTTTCAAATGACATTGGGTGAATTTAAAGGAACATATAGATATTCGCAAGACCGACGTATTCTAGATCAAACTTCTACTTTCACTACGTGAGAGACGCTGACTTTCACGTGTACAGACAGATCTCCCCCTGAAAAAGTGAGATAAATATTGTCCGTTTTGTCTGACGTGAACTGATACGTGGAAATTCAGAAATAATTCATTTATATTTCATTTCATTTTCAATTTTTTCAGAGGCACAACATGTCAACCCAGTGAAAATTAACAAAACCACTGAAAATAATATATCGTAGTTTCGGAGTTAATTAATTAATTAATTCGAATATCTGATTTGTTGAACTAGATCAATACTGATTGCCAAGAATTATGAAACTTTATGATATTTTACTGTAAAATATGGAGATAGAGCACAAATTTTAAAGGGGGTAAATCTCTTGTTTTTTTCACAACGTCCAGGATAAGATTTAAAAATTATATTTATTGAAAAGGTAGAAATGAAAAAAGGTGAGTATAACAATTATTTTTATTAAAAACGTGAATTACGTGGCACTTCTTTAGATGAGGAATTTTCTCACTCTCGCCGATTGCTTTTTGAATTGTTGTGGCTCATAAATTAATTTTCTTATCAAGAAGTTGAACATGTCGATTTCAATCCTACGATATCAGCTGGCTTTCCACAAATGTAACCAATTTTCCTGCAAAAAATATTTCTATTTTTTATGGTTTCTGCAGAACATATTTTTATAGAGATGGGGGAAAATGTACTTGGATAAAATTTCCAGATTTTTTTGAGACCTGACACAGTCGGGGCTAAATCAACCAAAATACATTCCAGAAATAAGATATTCACATCAGACGAAAAATATTTTTGATCTACCCAGAAAAGTTTGAGGACTAGATTTCACACTGTGTAAGGATCGAAGAACATTTTTTGAGTTACTCAAAATAATTACAACCTTTGACAATTGTGTCTCGAAAAAAAATAGTTTCTGATCAAGTTTGTCTTATGTTCACAAATATTAATTTTCAATAAAATCTTGTTCCTATGTCAAATTCTTCTGATACAACAATAATAACTCTAAAATGTGCTGAAAACTATAGTATTACTGTAGGAATTATAGAATATACCGGGCAGTTTTGCTACGTGATTCCTGGCATTATTCTTCATTTATTGATTTTGCGAACAATTTTCGGAAAAACAAAAATGAATTCTGGAAATAGTTCATTTTTTGTGATTTATACTATTGATTCAATTGCGGTAGGTTTTTAGTTTCTCAAAAAAAAAGAGAATCTGAAATTATATTTTTTCACAGAGTATAACAATCTTATGTTTTGATATATTTTTCTCTCGAATTCTAATTTATATAATTCCACTTTGCCCAATCATAACTCCATTTTTCTACGAATCTTCAATTATTGCAAAAATCTCATTATTTGTTCCAAATTATATGAAAGCGATGAAAGCAGTTACTCAAATATTCATGTCAATTAATAGAATGTGTTGTGTTTTATATCCATTGAATTATACACAAAAATGGAAATATTATATGAAACCAATTATATTTATTATAACATTGAGCCCTAATTTGGTAACTTGGAATTTATTAATTTCCCGACCTTATTTGGTCCAATCTTTTGGAGGATTCGCATTCTCATATTTGAAAAAGGTTTCTTGGGCGAAATTAAGCACATTTCATTTAACATTTGTAACTATTTCAATGTTTTTCACTTTTATTTGTACAACAGTTACACTTTTTAAACTTATAATGTTACCGGAAAGAATTAAAAGAACTGAAAAAACTCTCTGCATTGCCACAATTATTATTTCGATTGGTTTTACAGCTGTGGCAATTAATCAGGTAATTTGGAACTATTTGAATTTTCACGTAACAAAAATATTGCTAGTTTATGTGGGCGTTTTGTGCACAATGTCAAACTTCTGGATTATTATATTCGGTTCAGTTTTTGTGTTATGATTTAGTGAATATTGGATCTCCGATTGTTATTATTTTGATAAGTCGAGATTTACGGAGAAATATTTTCAAAAAACAATCATCGATAAGTATTGTTCGAATGGTTACTTCACAATTTTAACTTTAAAATGTGGTTCTTTTGAATGAATATATATTGCTTTTGGGCTACAGTAACCCTATTTTTCAATCCAGCTTTCATAAAATATGTACTTACAATAGATCCACATAAATTCAGTTTCAGATTCAATTCCAGGTAAATATGCATCTGATAATGCACATTGAGCAGCCGCAATATATTGTGGATAACTTGAGTAAAACATTTTCATGCAATATGTTCCTCTTGCTCTATTGAAAGATTGCCAACCATCTGGGCATGCAAATTCGAATTTATCATTTATTGATTGCCACGTTGGAGATTTTGCTTCAAAAGTTTTACGCTGATCAATATTTTAGCACTCTACTCTATAGAAAACTCACAGTATTGTTCACAAACATCGCAAGCAGAAAGAACTGTTTCAGGAACCAAAAAAAGTACAAAAATAAAAATGTACAACATTTTTCCAGTAACATTATTCCAAAAATTTTGTAGGTTTATATATGATCTGCACTTTTATTATAATGTAAATTGTGTGAAAATATTACAAAAGGCACCGTATGTCACGAAATGTTCTACCTAAAATAAAATAAATTGTTTTGATAGATAACAAAACTATGTCACCCATGTATGTTATCAAATTGAAGTAGGGTAAAACATTGGTTTTTCTTTCGGTTTTTTTGTTTCGGCGAAACACAAAAAAAAGGAATTTCAAAATCTTGTTCTAATGGCTATACGCCATCGAGAAGATACATAAACCTGTCCTTTTTATTCATCCACATCCATGTATGTTCTTCTTTTCATCTTCTCACAAATCTTTTTTTCATCGTTTTTTTTTTCAAAATGAAATTATTGGAATTTGGAATTTTATATTACTGTATATTTGGATTTCTCTTCCATGGCTCTTATATTTTCGGATTTACAATATGTTAAGACATGAATTCCACGAGAAGTACACACATAAAAAATTATGTGTGCAATAGAGCAGACTTGATTCCCATGTGATGCGTTTTAACTTTTTCAATGTTTATATATATATTTATGAAACCTCGCTCTGGAAGCTGGAACACTCAAAGAGCACCTATTCCTGAACACAACCCTTTAATGCAAAAAAAACTCAAAACTCATGTGACATACATATTCTTATCAAAAGTTATCAGGATGCTCTCTACCTATTTTTTTCTATTCACTCACTCATTCATTCATATTTTTTGTGTTTGTTGCGGCACAAATAAATCACATGTTATTGTTTTATTGAAAGAAATACGTATATGTGCGGCAGAAACGGCTAAGCACATACATGGATGATGCTCTCTTTATTTGTTTTTCTTTCGGTTTCCGGTGAAGAAGACTAGCTTTTTGTCCAATTCTTCATTGAACTTCTTTTTTTTTCGAAATTACGAATGAAAAAACATTATCATCAGCTGACCGATCAAAATTTGTGAAACAGTTGTTCTTCACTAAAAATTCTTTGGTTTCTATTAAAAGGTCATCTCGAAAATTCTTATGAAAAAAAGTGCATCGTAAAATTTGGGTTTTTTCGTAACCCCATTTCTCGAAGCTTCAAATTTCATTTCTCACAATCAACATTTTTCAAATGGCCTTCAGAGAATATATAGATAAACCGACTTATTGTAAGTCAAATATCGAATTTTCTTCATTTCTAAAAGATTGTGGTCGAGACCGGAGATGGCCGAGGTGTAGTTTGGTTTTCTAGGCCAAATTCCATTGTACTTCTCTCGGACAACTCATTTTTCTTTTTGTCTCTTCTTTTCAAAGTTTCGAAAAAAGTTTCATAGCTAGTCGAAATCCGTTTTTCATTCATATATAAGCATGTGGAAAGCTTTTCCAGACATTTTTCCAATAATTCTTGGAAAGTTGTTATTCCACCTGCTGATTTTTCAGCGTATAAAACGTTGATTATAATCACAGCTATATTATTTTTGGCAATAACCCAAGCTAGTTTTTTGTTGCTGTTCATCCAAGTATTTTATCTTATCAATCAATCGATCCAACCAAAAAAAAACTTAATGATTATTATTCATAGCAAGATTTATTATTCCCTTTTTATTCCCTAGACATACATGTTGCGCAACTCCTTTTACGCATTCATTTTTGCTACTTTCCTAACAACAGATGCGTTGTTGTTGTTTTTGTTTTTTATGACTTTCTAAAGTTATAATTTCAAATATTCTTTTTAGATAAACTAATTCAACCTGAATTCTTTGTTATTTTTTAGCATTTTAATATCCATTTTTACTTCCAAGTTAATTCTTTGAAATACTCAGAATAATGTTAATTCATCCAACATAAAGAATATTTGCTCACGTAGAACTAATTTAAATAATATATAAAAAGAGCAATTCATCAAACGAAATTAAAAAGAAAACGGAATTTGTCTTTGAATCCTCTCTCTCTCAATTTTGATGTCTTTCCACTCTCTTTTTCTCTCTCTCTCTCTCCGTTTTGTGTGCTGGCAAAAAAGAGTGTGTATGTGTATTGAATCGATTTTTCTGAGGAGGAGAAAAGAAGACTACAATGAACGGGGCGCTGCCTCGTTGGTTTTTTGCCTCGTAAATAACCAAAAAAAAGAAATACCGTAATTTGTCTTGGGATATTTATATTTATGTTTTTTTGCGGGAATTAGGGATTTTTTATGGTTTTGGTTAAAATATGACGTTGAATTCTGTTTTTTTAATAATTAAAAATTCTCTGAAACTTGAATTTCGAGATTCTGAAGTCATGAAAAACTTGCTATAATAGCCGAGTTCCATTCCAAAAAATCCCCGTTTTCGCGATTCTATAAAGTTTAGTTATTTATAACTCCGTTTTGTCTAGCCCAGCTCCATCTATCTAGATTCACTTCATTTTCTCGTCCCTAAGTATTTATTTGCTTTTCCTGTCATTTTTCACAGCAAAACAAAAAACTAGGCCCCCTAATATATTTTCAAAGGTCACTTGAAATGCAAAACTTGTTTTTTCTCATATCGTTCTTATTGTTATTATTTTAAAAAGTTATTATTTTTGCAGATAACTCTAATATAATATATTATAATAATGACACATTCACCGGATATTCCACTAGAAGCACCATCTTTAATGAATGTCGCATCACAATCTATTGATTTGAATATTTTAGATCATGTAAGTTTGATTTTTTGGGTCAAATGGTTATTCAAAGATTGAAAAAGCTAATGACAAAATAAATAAATAATAATAAAAATATTATTTTGTAGGAAATAATGAAAGATGTTCATCTTCCCTTGCCAGTTAGTCATGCACTTTTCCGTCGTTTACGTCAAAAATGGAATGCTTATTATCAAGCGAATCAAAATCAAGATGGCCCACAAGATGATCGAACTGAAGATATTGATCATATTCGTCAAATTCGACAGGTTTTGAAAACATGGTGTGATTCGAAAAGACTCCCATTAACAAAGATGGATTTGACTGGAGCTGTTGTATGTTTTTTATTTTATTTTTTAAATCAAATAATAATTTAAAAATGTTTTTTAGGTCAGTGATAAATTACTGGTCGAACTTCTCGCTGCACATCAAAATTCTATAACCGAATTAGATTTGACGAATGTTCAGGGTCCAACAGATGAAGCGAACACATTTTTAGATTCTGCAAATGTACATTTTCCAAATTTGACATCGGTCAAATTAACATCAATGGAATTATTAACAAAACCACATCCACGTCGTAAAAATGGAATTGCGGCACTGGATGTTCGAAGTATTTTGATGTTAGGAGAAGATGCACTTGAAGAAGCGTCACGTGAGTTTTTTCTTTGGATTTTCATAGGAAAACTATACAGAAAAAGTTTACTTTACTTAGTCATCTAACAAAATTGAATATTAAAAATTTAAATTTAAAAAACTAATAATTGATTTTGTAAATGCAGCGTTTTCATATTTTATGAATTTGGCCTGAACGCATTTTCTGAAATTATAATTTTGTACTGAAAATTTATTAATTTTAAATATCAAATTCTGAACCTGAAATTGGAAATGTGAAAAAAAAAACTTAAAATTGTCTCATGAAAAATCAAATATTTTTGCAGCTGGAATCGAACTTGTTCGAGGTGGAGATCATCATAATTCTGCTGATGCGTGAGTTTCATTAATAATTTATCCTTCTTCTCCTTTTCCCTCTCCCTTTCTCTTTTTCATTAATTAATTTTTTGCAGACATCGTTCTCCTCTTATTCAACAATCTTCCCAATCCAGTTCATCAGACGGACCAAGAAATCTTGAAAACAAAGAAGAACTCGATCGAGATCTTCCTGTCTTCACATCTCGATGCCCGAATGTAAAAAGACTGCTTCTCCCAAAAATCACCAAGAAATCAACAAATGATGACGATGATATGTCTGTGAACGCAGTTTTATCAAAAGTTTTCGATCCTTTATATCAATTAGAAACTCTTGATCTTTCATATTGGACAAAAATCGATGATTTACGATGTATTCATCCTTTGCATCAAACATTGACAACATTGATCTTATATGATATTCCTGATTTATATCATACTGTTTCAACAATCACACAAATGACTGAACTTAGATATTTGGATATATCTCAATCTCAACGTGATACAGCGATTTATCCAAGACCTGTTTCAACTTTACATCAAATTGTTTCGTGTCTTCCGAAATTGACACATCTCGATATTTCATCGACGAATTTGGCAGCTCAACCAAGTGCAAATGATTGGCCTACAAAAACAAAGGACAGGTAAACTATTGTTTTTCCTATGAAATCTGAGGTAATAAGAATTTTCAGATCTGTTCGATCGGATATTGTTGGATTACAATCACTAGAAAAACCATTGGTCTTCCTTGGTCTTTTCAATTGTGACAATGCTAGTCATTTCCTCGAAATTCCCGCTGAAAACATCTCTGGTGATGCAAATGAAGATCAAGTTATCACATCTCTCCAAATGTACAAAGAGCGATCGGGTTTACTACAATCGGTTTTGAATGAGAGCTATCAATTGTATCGTTTTGGAAATAGTACACCATTAGTTCGACACACTGAAGCACTTCATTTGGTTCTTGACGCAATGCAAAGACATTTGTCCGATAGTACACTACAAATTGCCGGTTCGGCTAGTTTATTCTATATTATTAGAAAGGTAATTTTTAATGGGGAGGGAATATTTCTGTCGAAAAAATCCACGAGGAAACAAAAAAAGATTGTATCGCTACGAGACCCATTTATTCATTTTGCGAAGTTTTGTTCAAGTTATCACGTGTCGAGTTTGTGTCATGTCATAACTCATATTAGCGGTAGATTTTTGCAGTTTTCTAGATATTCAAAAATCAAATAATCCGTAAATCCTTCTGAATACCTTATTTGCAGGTTGAAATGAATCGTGACACTAAAAAACGTGTTGTCAGCGCTTTGTTGAGTGGAATGGAAGTGCATATGGAAGAGCAAGTTATGGTTCGAAACTGTTGTTTGTCACTTTGCCAATTCGAAATTCCACAGGATATTCTTTTCGATTATAGGTTTGTAGATCTCCTAATTTCTTGAAAAAAAAATGAATTCCGATTTATTAATGTTTTTTTTCAGTCGTCTTGCTGTTCTTCTTGTAACTGTTTTGCAACATCATAATGCTGATAATTTGACACAAAGAATAGTTGTATTTTTGTTGAATTCGATGGCTTGTCATGTGGAAGGAGATCAGAAGGTTCAAGTTGGAACATTTGGAGCGATTGAGGTTAGAATTTGAATTTTGAGCTCACAAAAATACGGATGTTATTTTGAAATTCCAATGAAGTTATATCAGAATTTTCAGAAGACCTAAAGTTACTTCAATCCATTTAAAATATATTTTTCAAATAAAAATAAAATCATAAAAATAGACTTGAATCTGTAGTTCCAGCGTCTGATATCATAAATTCTAGAATTTTAAAATTTTCACCATAGCAATTAAAAAAATCGGAATTCCTCTCTAATAAAGTTGTGTCATTTTTCAGATGATTCTCGAACAAATAAGCCGCAAACATTCTGGAAATACATGCGATGATGTAATGGAAGTTGGCTGGAGTTTTTTGTGGAATATCACCGATGAAACACCTATAAATTGTGCAAGATTTTTGAACGCCAGAGGCCTCGATCTTTTCCAAAAATGTTATGAAGCTTTCAAAACTGAAAGGTACTTTATTTTGTTTTTATTCCTTCCCTCAATCAATCGAACCAATCCTTTTCTTTTTCAGAGAACTTGTTCGAAATATGATGGGTTTGATTGGAAATATCGCAGAAGTTGATGATCTTCGCTCGGAACTCATGAATGATGATTATATCAAAATATTCTGTGCACTTTTAGAAACACAAGATGATTCGATTGAAATCAGCTATAATTCGGCTGGTGTTTTAGCACATATGGTTAGTGATGGAGAAGAAGTTTGGAATAAATTGACAATTTCGAGAGATGATGTTATGAAAAGTATTGTTAAGGTTGGTTTTGAAAATTTTTGAATGTTTTAATTGCAATATTTTTAGGCAACAACTGGCTGGAAATTGACAACTCGTCGTTTCATCAATTATCGATCATTCCGACCAATTCTTCGACTTTTACCAATTTATCATGCTTATGCTAGTCAACATTGGGCTGTTTGGGCATTGGCTAATTTGACGACTACTGATGGAGAAAAGTAAGCAACTTTTTGGTTTTAAGCTTTGGGAAATTACGTGATTATTGTACATTTGAACTTCAACTCAAAAGTTTCAGTACCGAAGTTTTAAAAAAACCGGCTGTTCAATAATATTTTCAAAATCAAACTATTTTTTCTCTAGATATTGTGCCTATGTTCGAGATGAAGGTGGTGTTCCATTATTGGAAGAATTGGTTCGAAATGAAATCACAACTGATGAAATTCGTGCATTGGCTCAAAGAGTTTTGGATAATATTCGAGAAATTGAGAACAAGTTTGTTTTTTTCTTTCTCTTTTTCGGATTTCACCTAACTTCAATTTTATTACTTCAGAAGAATTCGAGAACGACTTGATACAATAATCGAAAGAAGTGATGAAGAACCGATGGAAATTGAAGGATAATAAACAAAAGCACAAAAACAAAAAGTATATACTCGAAACGCGGGTTTTTCTAGTTACACTACCCTAATTCTAGTTTTTATAACCATATTATATATATATTTATCTACAAATGCTACTATTACTGCTGCTGTGATTTGTTTCATTTTTCTGTCCCGTACCCTAACACAATCTCTAGGATTTTCAAATAATTTATAATTTTCCTCATTTTTTGTCTGAAACAAACAAAAATCTGTACATTTATGGTCAGTTTCTCTTGTTTAGCGCATCCGCCCCGGTTTTTGTACTTTTAGTTGTAAATAAATTGTGTCTTTTGATGCTATTCATTATTATGACAGAACAAACAAACCGAATTAGAATCTAAAGCTCATCGACGTATGGAATTTGCGAAATTGCACCGTATGAAGCAAGTGATGGTTTTGCGAATGCTTTTTGAGCAAATTGAGTGATGTCGGAAGCGGAAACCTTCAATAAAATCGATTTTTTCAAAAAAAAAAATAGCTAATAGAAAAACATACCTTTTTGATACTCTCAATCAATGCATTACGTCCTGGTCCTTTTCCAAGTGCAATAATAGCTCTTTGAATTGCTTCATTTGCTCCATCCGCATAATTTGTTTCGATTTCAGCAATTGCTCGTCGTTTCGATCCTTCCAAATCTTCAATTTTTGGCGATTTCAAAATATTGAATGCTGATTTCACAGCCGCATTTGCATTTTCGCCGTTGGCCAACAAATAAACACCAACGAGTCCAGCTTGTTCATAAGATGCATGGAATGCGCTTCCAGCAACTCCGAATGGAAGTTTTGAGAGACCACTTGACAAACCAGGGAGTGTGGCAAATCTGTGGAAATGAACTCATTTTTTGAAGAAAATCTAATTTTCTAGTCACAGAAAACACTAACTTCAATGGAGAAACACGTCCAATGTGAGACAAGAAAACAGCTTGAACAGCAAGTGCATTTGTATCATTTATAGCAGCTCCGTTTCCAGCCAAAATAATATGTGCATCATTTCCTTTTCCAGATCTTCTGAAATCTCCACCTTTGTATGGTGATTCAGATAAAACGACATTTGATCCATCGTTGATTGGAAGCAATTCATCGGCATAATGTTGAAGGGATTGAGAATTTGTGTTGATTCCAACAATAACACCGTTTCCACTAACAAAATGTTTGCTCTAAAAATATTTTTTAAAAGTTTTAGTGCTGAAACTTTAAACTTACAGCAAATCCATTCAAATCATCCGATTTGTAAATTCCAATCTCACCACGTTTCGCATAAATCGAATTAGCCAAAGAGCCTTGTCTGAATGCGGCGCTGTGAATTCCTTCCAAAACATAATCGTACGAATTCTTGAATGCCAAATCAGATTTGACACTTGGGATAACCTGAATTATTAAATAGATATACAACATATATATTTTATGAACTGACATCTTCAAATTCCCAAGCTTTGAATGCAGGTTGCGATGCAACGTGGCCAAGAATTGACAAAGCGGTGTCAGTGTGATCACGATTCACAGTCATTTGAACTCCAAAAACATCGCGAGTTGAGAAAGATGTCTGCAAATAAAACAATTGAATTGGTTACAAAATTAAGACCTACTAAATTCGCTCCAATTGCTGCCGATGACCAAACAACGGAAATACCAGGATACTTTGAAGTGTCACGACCAACAAAATTTCTAATATGATGAACTAATCCACTTTGTTTGTCTGATTGATAACGCGATCCAGCACGGAATGCGAGTACCTTAAACAATGTAATTGTTATCAAAAAATTCTTAAAAATTTACTTACCAACTGACTAACAGCTCCACTTCGTTCTTTTGAGATTACTTGCAAACCATTTGAAAGTTTTGTGCTCAAGTTTTTGGAAGCATGTGCTTTGGTGGCAGCAGCACTACGTGTTACAATAGAAGTTTTCATTTTCTCGACTCAACCCTGAAAATATCAACATCAAACTATCAAAAACAGCAGTGGCAGCGAGTGGCAGGAAAAAAAAGAAATGAAAATTATTTTGCGCGTTCTACACACAAAACATTATATTTTGCACAAAAATGCAGACTTTTTCGCCTACCGTAGTTGAAGATCGATTTTAAATTATCTGCGACTTCTTTCAAACCAGCGAGCAATAATTATATCCCCTAATTTCCACAGTATTCCAATTATTCTCTGAACTTGAGATCCAAAACCTCTTCTCTCAAATCTAAAAGCACTCAATGAGCACCCATGTTGTTGTTTTTTATGTCATTGAAGAAAATACTCACAAAATTTCGAGTTGGTTTTGGTTTGGTCCACTCGATGTTGTTTTTACTCCATCTTTTCTTTGTCTTTCTTTTTTTTTTGCTCGTTCCATTTTAGTTGAAATAATCCTTTTTACTTTGTTCATAATCTCAGCCTTTACTACTTCACTTCTTTTTTCGCTTTTTTTTGTTTTGTCGATTTTCAAATTTCTCGTGTAGAGAGCTCATATGAGGGCAAAATTTATTTATTTGAAAAGTGCTCTTCTGATTCCGAAATTCTCAAAATTGGTTCTGAATAATCTGGAGACTCAAAAACTCCCGCCTGGATGAAAATAACCCAAACGAAATTCCTTCCTTCTGAAAAAACGGAAAACAAAAAAAAGTTATCGCCTTCGAAATGTGCCTATCAAAACATCCATCGATCATTGTGAACATGATCCAATACAACTGTTCTATTAGCCGAACGACCCTTTTTTTTCAAAAAAATTCAAAACAGTTGGTCTTCTATCATATTTATTACATACTTGAGATTCTTAAAAAAATAAAACAGTTTCCTCATTTTGGAACTTTCTGAAACTCAATTAATCAATCATCAAAAAGTGCACGAATCTTCATTAATCATTGTATTTTTTGGGTGAGTATCTCAATTTTTCCTCAATTTTTTCTCGTGTCTATTGAAAAAGTGTTGAGCTCGAAGCGACGAAAAAAAGATGAGGGAGAAAAGAAAGTGTGTTGTAACAATTCTCATCTGCGAAATTCCTCTCTCAACTTATTTTGTGCTCTTCTTTTTGTTGTGTTTTTTTGAAAATACATAAATTTTTTGTGATTTTCAGAAAATTATATTTTTGTTTTGTTTTATGGGAATTTAGAAATTAGGAATATTTTTGGATTCAATTTTGAAATTTTCGAGAAAAAAATTTGAAAAAATAAAACTTTCCAATTTTTCTCCAAGAGAAGTACATAAATAATCGTTCCAGGACCAACTACAGTATTTCATGTTCCTCAAAATTCGTGATAAATCAAAAAATCACACTTCAAACTAAAAGTTGTTTTTTTGTCTAAAATTCTATGATTCCACCCACATCCTATCAACCTATTTTCAAAAAAATGACACCCCTCAAACAGAAACAGGTGCTCCTCAAAAGATTTTTGACTTTTTCCTTATTATTTTATTTTTTTTCGGATTTGTCAATTTTCCACAAACAAAAACAAAACTGCGAACACATTAGCCTCCGGGGATTTCTACATGATTTTTCCCACATTCTTCTTTCTTGTGTCTTGTTTTTTCTACGTGTTATTTTTCTACAAAACAAACTTTGTATTTTCCAGATGATTTTATTATTATTGCTATCACTTCTAAAAATCAATGATATAAAATGCGAAGTGTTTTGGTCGGCACCGAATTTTCCAGATCTTCGCGGTCCAACAATGGATAAATGTGTGACATTGTTGCCAAGAAATAAACAACAATTATTTTTCTGTGATCCCGATCATATTTTAAATAATACACAAGGTAGGAGATTCCGCTGATTTTGAGGGGAAAAACATCTGACACATTCGATCTTCAAACTATTGAAGAGCTCTTCAGACACAAAAAAAAGAAAATAATGAATTGCAGCTCTACAATTGAATGCTCTTCTTCAAGAAGTGGCTGTTGGAACACCGTGTCATTGTCAAAGAAGATCGCAATGCACTTCAGGAAATGAAGGTGCGCAATTTTAGAAAATCAAAATTAGTTTTCAAAGAACATTCCAATTAGAGCCACGTGGATGTAAACAGAACAAATTTGAAAAAATTATATAAACTAATTTTTTGCGGATCAAAAACTTGGAACTTTTTTCTCAAGTTTTGTTTTCTCAACATTCTTCGCAGTTACGTGATCCACAGTAATCTTGAGATTTTCAAAGGAACATTGGTTTTTAAACTTTTAAAAATATTCTGTCTCTGAAATTAATTAGCCTTCCATTATTTTCTGAATTTTCCCAGGTGATGAAAAAGCATCTGATCAAGAAGGCCATGGATTTATCGTAAGTATCGCGATGGTTGAAAATCTTCAAATGCCAATGCATACACCAAGTGATCAGTAAGTCTTTTTTATTTTTCAAAATTCAAAAAACTTTTCCAGACAAATCAAAAATCGAGCCGATCGTTTTTGTAAAGCACTCGAAGGTCGTTGGGCACTTGGAGATTGCGGAAATTCAGTTATTGTATTCATTTGGAGACATTATGGAAAGGTTAGCTCAGATTAGATTTCTCAACAAAAAAATTATTTAAAAAAATTTCAGATGGCAATTTGTCCCGCAAGATTGGCTGAAAAATATATAACCCTGAATGAGAGAATATCAATTCTATCGAGAGCCAATAAATACGCTTTGACACAGGATTGGTATTCGGCGCTGAATTTTATTATCAGTGAGTGAACACAAGATTTCAGTTTTTTAAAATTCACTTTTTTTGCAGAAGAAATATCGATGGAATTGAATGGAGAACCTGAGCCGCGATTTGACACTGGAACTTTATCTTTATTATTATCTGTTGGATTAGCGGTCGTTTTGACATTATTCATCACTTGTAAGTTGTTTTTTTTTGAGTTTTTCGAAATTGAAGTGATCTAGAAGTGATCCTGAAATTTCTTGCTCTACAGTAACCCAGGGGATTTTTTTTTCATTATTTTAAAAATCTAAAAATAATTTCTCACGTCATGACCACGTGTTTTTCTTTATTTTTAATTTCCATTTTGAAAAATAGGAATAATTCTCAAACTACAGTAACCCAATTCCTACTTTTGAGATGAGTTTCAGAATTTTCACAAAAAATTGAGTTACTGTATTTCAATTGAAAATTGAAAATTTCTTCAAATCAGTTGATATGTTTGGGTTACTGTAACTCATTCAACGTTTTAATTGATATACAGGAATCCTGGATCTACAGTAATCCTCAGTTCTCTTTTGGCTCAGATAATTTTTTAGCTGATCTACAGAAACCCAAATCATCTACAGTAATCCAGGATCTTGATATTCAGTAGTCCTCTCGTTCTAATCCAAAATTTTCACTCTACCCACAGTAATCTATGATCTTACTCTAGTACACCACCACCTGATCTACCGTACTATTTTCTAGGTTGTGTTTGCGCATTCCGATGTTGTGGAAATGTTCGAACACGAGAACGTCGAAAAAGTGTCGAAAGAGCAGTTGACAATCTACGAAATAGTGTGATTCGAAGAGGAAGTCAATTTCGACGATCAATAAGTCGAAGTCCAAAAATGCTAAATCCAACAAATGTATTTTTTGGCGACGCAACAGCTGTCTAACAATTCGATGTGTTGGTAGATTTTCAAGTTCAGGGATCTCTTTTCACTTATTTGTACATTCCGAAAACAAAATAATAAATAAATATTGTATTTGGTAAATAAATAGAAATCGAGAAAACTGAGCAAAATGTTAAATGATATGCTGAAATCACAGAGGAAAATGTGAGTTAGCATATCATTTCAATTATGAGCGAGCGAAAAAGTATTTGAAAATGAGAAATTAAATTTCGATAGTTTTTCCATCTTGTGAAACCCGAATTGGTCGAGATTCGACAACTGAAAATGATTGTTGAGATGGATATTGAACCAAAGGTTGTGGTGGATTTGGAACTTGATCATTGATTTGCTCAGTTTTGACTTCTTCTACTTGAGCTAAGCTTTCTTCTGGAGCTTCTGGAGCTTTCAAGTTCAATTTTTCCTCCTCTTTTTCCTCAGATTTCGATTTTCTTCCCATTTTTTTCAACGAAACTCTCATCATTTTCAAATTCTTGGCAACCAATCTTTTGTGAAGATCAGCGAATTTTTCCTGAAAATTTCAATGAAATTCCAAATAACAATAATTCAAAACTCACTCTAATATCAGCACTTTCTTCAGCAAGTTGTCTGCGAATTTGCTCATGTTTTTGTTGAATTTCAGATCTGATAGATTCTCCTCTTTTCCAAAGTCCTGGCTTGGCTTTTTTCATGGCGTTTTCACGATTTGTTGGAATGTTGTTTTGTGGTTCTTCTTGTGGTTGCTCATTTTCATTTGCTCCACCAATTCTGAAAAAAAGGGTGGTTTTCATCTAGAAGATTGAGGAAATCCCAAGACCTAATTGAAAATGTTTTCAATTTTGTCAAAAATTTAGAGTTCATGCAAACGTTCTGCAGCAGAATTGTTTAAATTTCAAAATTTGCCAAGTGATACCACAAAAATCTTCTTCACCTCAAAATTCAAAAATGATAATTTTTAGCTAGAATTTCAGGTGTGAATTGAGAAAATACTTTTTGGATATTTTTTTGCCACGTGGATTTCGGCCATGACACATTCCTTCAGAGCGTTTGAATTTTTTTGGCCACCAAAAATATATTTGAATCTTCGTATTTTTTCGCCGAACTTTTAGAGGAATAAAATTTTAGAATAAATTTCCCAATTTCACTTTTCCCACAAAAAATCCCATTTTTGTTCAATTTCCAAACAAACCTATGTCCAAATGGTCCAAAATCAAACGGATGTTCTTGTCTCAAAAATTGTTGTTGTGGTGGATAAAGACCAAAAGATGGTCGACGTCTCATTTCAGATGGTTGATTGAATGATGGAAAACCCTGAAAATATTAGCATTTTCCTGTTTTTTTTTTTCAAAAAAAGCTATAGCTGCTGGTCATTTGATTCGGTAAATATTGACCTTTCGTGAGGCTATTCATTTTTTTTCAATAGAACTTCTGTATATTAGGAAATATAGAACTTCGCAACTTCAAAATCATAAGATAAAAACTTACATAATAAGAATTAACATAATCAACAGATGAACTTCCAGCATCTCCATAAGTAGTTCTTTTAAAATAATAGGATTGAATAGCAATTGGGAATATTATAATGAATAATGAAAGATTTCTCATTTTCTTCTCAATTTCAAATTCAATCTTCCAAAATTATGTAACAAGGGGAAGTGAAAAATGAGAAGAAGCTGAAGATGAGATGGTATTATTTGCGGGTCGAAACAACAAACAATAGTATAATAATATTTGGGAGGTGCTGACAGTTTGGACAGTCAATAAAAGGCGGGCGGGCGGGACACTCACGAATACCTTGTTAAGCACCTCGCTTTTTGTGGTATCTGAGTAAGTATTTCCGCCTTTTTTGTAGGTTGAGCCGAAAAACGTGTAAAGCTTACATTAGACTTGTGGAAACAATATGAAATTTTTGAGAAATTAATCTGAAAGATTTTTCTTCAGTAGAAGTAGTACAAAAAAAAATGAATTCTCAGGATATCTGAAAACATCCTATCCTAAAAGTTATCTACAGTACCAAGGATTTCCAAATGATCTACAGTAACATAATCTTTTCAGGACCTAATATGAACCCATTTTCACGCCCGAAAATCTTCTTAGGCTTAAAAATCCACGTGGCAATGATTTGAAGTTGGAAATTAAATTCTACTATATTTCAGAACAAAAGAACACAGGTTCATTAAGAGTCACCGAAATCTAACAAATACAGTACCAGCTAAAAAATGACAGAGATAGAAAAGAGAGAGGCAAGCTGAAAATATAGGATATTTACATGGCAGTAATTAAAAATTCGAAAAATTCCGGAATTATTTAGTGATTCTTGGAGATTGTGCAGCTGATGGACTTGGAGTATTCAATGCTTTTGGTTTGACTAATTGAAGATAGACATTGACCAAAACAAGGAAAAGGCAGAGAATTATTGGACCAATTATAGCTCCCTGAAAAAACATAGTTACTTTCAATCACAATCAAGAAATCTCGAATATCAATTTCAGAAAAACGATTAAAATTTTTCTAAAATTTTCAAATTTCAAAGCTTCATAACCAGATTTGCGGGTTCATTCCAGTTCCAACAATAAAATAAAAATTCTTACCTCCAATCCCAACCAATACATTCCACCAATAATTGCCAAACCAGTAACATATGGATGAGATCCTTTGACTTCGCGATAAAATGTTGCGTCGGCAAACATTTGAGGAGCAAACGAGGCCAATGTGAACACAAATGCAGCAGTTCCTTCGCCACGAACGAGCCATAATTCGACGATTCCGAAAATTGCGACAATGTATGGTGGCATGATTGGAATTGCGGCGAAAAGTGAGGCAGCCACTGGAAAATTATGATTTTTTGGGGGTGCATGAATATTTCAGGACCTATGATCACAGTTTGAAAATTTTCCATGATTTAGGATACAATTTTTTGATTTTCGAAACTTTTTCAACTTTTTTTATTTTTTTCAAAAGTGAACCCTAAAACTTTATATTTTTGAAAATTGTAAGAAAATCGATAATTTTAGAGTTGTTATTATTGAAAATTTGTTGGATCGGGTTGATTTTTTGAAAAGTTTTTTCAATTTTTGGATTTTTGTTGATAAGATTTTCAACTTTTTCAGACAAACTTCTCAGAAAAATTCCTTTTCATCAAAAATTTGAATAAAAACTCACTTGATGGAACGAAGACAATATTGAGATCAAAAAGACTGTGTACAAAGTATGTATAGAGTCCATAGAAAACCGCCATCTTTGCTGACAATACAAAAACACCGCTGAAAAAAATTTCTTCAATTTTTCTAACCATATATTTTTTGAACTCACAAAATCGCATGTTCGATAGCCATTGTAATATTATGATTTTGAGAAGAAGAAGAATCTTCAACACTGGTCACAGCCGACAAATCCGAAGCCCATTGAAGTGGAAGCCATCGATTTCTCGAAGCTGACAACAAATAATAAACCATGGTCAAAAATACGATAATCTCAATAAAAGTGTTCAATAATTCCATTCCAAAGCTCAAAATGATTCCAGCAAATGCAGTTAAAATCGATGAGAAAAATGTTAGATTGACTGCCAAAATACTACCAATTTGTTGTGCGACTCCCATCAATGTATCCAGATTTTCCTTGACGATTAAAGTTATCTCATCTTTCAATGCTGCCAAATCAGTAACTCCTTGTAATTGTGTCATCCAATCACCTCTTGATACTTCATTTACTGTTTTCACTTCACTATTTCTTTGCTCCCACATATTATATAATTTATCAACAACTTGTTTAACTTGTTCTTCCAACATATCAGCTCTTTGTGTATCTTTTGAGTTCGCGAATTTTCGAACATTTGATGCCAACCAAACTCTTCCTTGTTCATAAGCTTGTTGCACATAATCGTCAATATCAATATTATTCTCTTCTAATTGATCTTCTGTATAATTCATCGCAGCAGCCATCCAATCAGGTCGAGAAGATATTACATTTGAAGTTAGGCGAACTAGATGAACAGTTTCGCTGTGAAGTTGAAAACCGACAAAAACAATTGCAAAAAGTGCGGAAAATGCGAGACCCATCATAACAATAACTGATGAAAGAACATCCATTTTATCGTGAAGTGATTCGACGAGCATTTTATCTGATGTGAAAAGGACTCGAACAAATTGACGAAGTGGGCCAGCGACTGTGATTTCGACGATTTTTGTGACTGCTGGTGATAATTTTTGCCAAGTTGAATCCAAACCATTTTTGATTGCTGCAGTTATTCCAACTTGTTCGGCTGAAAAATGAGTTACTTTGAATAATTTGTTTCCAATTCACACTCACCAACACGTCCCAAAATCGCCAAAACGAATGGAATTGCGAGAAGAATCAATGCCGAATCATGTCTGACAACCCACAAAAGAGCACACAATCCAAAAACATATCGAATGAGCCGATCTCCAGTAACAGCTTCCGAAACTGATGTTGTTGGTTGAATGTGCTCAATGATCTCATGTTCAGTCGCATCCACTAAAAATTTCTATTGGTTGAAAACAGAGGTTTTGTGGTGCCTCTATAAGTCTCCAGAAGCCTTCAAAAGCCCTAAGAAAAACATCTAGAAATCTTCAGAAGCCTTGAAAAACCTCCAGAAGCTTTCAGAAGCTCTTTGAAGCTTTAAGAAGCCTTAGGAAGCCTCTAGACGTCTTATATACTCACATTTATCTTTGGCTGATTCGAGAACTTCATTTGTTTCAACTAATAATTCTTGGGTTTCTCCATCGTTCGAATTCTGACTAACTTTGTTGCTTTCAACTGATACAATTCCTGCTGAGAGCGCCCCCAAAACACCGGCACTTAGACCAAAAACACATGCACGGAAGGGACCAAAGTATAACGAAGCATAGGAGATAACAAAAATCCAAAGTGGGAGTGAAAGAGTTCTCGCTAACTTCTTATTGATTTGTTTTGGATCTTGAACATAAATCCAGGCGGCATATCCACAGAAATAAAGAAGAATCAATGGAAGAATCCAAGGCTTGGCGAAGAACACAATAAATGAATCCAACCATCCATAAACTCGTCCCAACCAGCTGATAATATACATAAAAGTTCGTTCGTAGGAGAGAATTTTGAGAAGAACATAGGATGCTCCAATAATTGCACCAGTTGAGCTTGCCACAGTCTCATAAATTGTTTCGGAAATGTAGGAGAATCCGCAGAAAGGCAAGGTGAAGACCGCTTTGACCAATGTTGTTTTGGATTTGATCAGACCACGCAGCCAATGTTGAACAGCATCGGTGACTCGTTTTTTGAATGGGAAAAGTACTGTGCCAACGAGAACTGCCCATAATAATGGAGACAGAAACATGTACATCATGTTGTAAAGAGCAAAAATACCACAGAGTGAGATGCCGAGCTGAAAAACATTTTGTCTAGGAATGAAACATTTTATTTTTTTATATTTTTTTTAGATCACGTTTAAAAATGTTTCTGTTTGTTTTATTTATTTTTCAAAATTTTACATTTCTAGTTTTAAAAATATTTGAATCTGGCATCATTAAAAACTTGAGTTCCACTCGGCCGAAAATTTTTGTAATTTCTCAAAGTGCTGCATCACGAGAATTTTGTATCCCAAAACTCTGCTTACCAAAACGAAGAGCAGAACATTGTAAAATGCGAATTGAAGCGCAGTCTTCTGATCATCGTTTCCCCCGCCAAAATAACGTTGAACGAAGGCGGACGACGCCACGCCGCCGTTCTGCATTCTGCAAAAATTGATTGTTTACGTGACTGAAAAAAGTAAGAAACAACAAACAAAAAATAAAAAATAACTAGTGCGAGACATTGTGTTGAGTGAAGAGACCGAGACAGCTGAGAAGTCCGTAGTACGCAAACACCGCCTATCCACCGTATGAAATTTTTTTATTTTTTTATTTTTCATTTTTTTTCTGGAGCACTTTTTTCAGCGTAAACTCTTATCCAGCACGTTAAGAATTTATTTTTGTGATTACAGAATGTTCAAAATTGGGTTGCAAACCGCGCAAACATCATTGACACGAACACCAGCGGTTCTGAGCTCATCTGCGAGAGGAATCGCAAATATCCCAGCTCATGAATATCATATTCGTTTTGATCAACAAAGTGGAAGAAAACGACCTGCACAAGATGTTCTAGATAGGTAAGGTATTTCGTTTGGGAAATTGTGAAGTTTTTAACGTTTGGGAAAATATGAAATAAATTTCAGGTTCAAGCGATTGAATAATGGAATGTGGATTCATGCACATGCCGGAAAAAATAAATTGAGATATATGAAAGATGATAAATGGCAAAAGACCAGCTTATACTATGAAACATGCACAAAGGTTTGTGTTTTTCCTTGATTAATTATAAGTTTTGCTCTTTATAACATCGTAGAAGTTAGAAATCTCAAATCCTTTTCTCTAACATCAATTTTTAAAAATTACCTCTGATAGTGTAGTTCCCGCAAATCAGCAGTCATGACGATAATCTGAAGTGATGCAAAAACGTTATCAAATTTGTTGAAAAAAATTAATGAAAAAAAAGTATCTTTTAGGAACAATGTCAAATGTTGGACAAACTGGTCACACCATTTTGGCTCCGCCCAAAACATTATCCAAATGATCCATATCAAGCATATAATGTAAGACACGGTGAGTTTTGCTTTTTTGAAAAATCATTACAGCTCAAAGAACAGCTGTTTTCACTTTGAGCAACCAAAGGTCGTCTGAAAAATCGTATAGAAATTTGTTCTGATGATGCTTTCAAGCATTTTTATACATCCTCATGTTAGATATAAAAGTTTGTTTGAAAAATGATTTATTATTTATTTATAAAACCATTAAAAATATTTTTTCTTTCAGGAATCGATTCTCCTCGCGTTGATGACAAAGGTCGATTTGTTCGCGAACGTCGAAAGGTTCTTCTCGATGATTCGACATCTTCTAGATATTTCAATGATTGTTAACCAGGTTTTTTTTCTAGACTAAAATGTTTATTAGTTCCAAGTTCATATAAATACAGAAAATATGTACACAAAAATATTAAAGCAAAAAATTAGAATTTATCAAATTCAACCGGGGTTTCATGATTTTTGGCATCTTCAAGAACTTTTTGAGCCTTCTGCCGCTCTTCTTTTGTCATAAATAACATTTCGACTTCATCAATTGAATATCCTTTGGTTTCGGGAATAAAGAAATATACAAATATCAAGGCAACAACTGTACAACCAGCATAAATAAAGAATGTTCCATATTTTGTTGCAGCTTGACTCAATGATAAAAATGTTAATGAGACGATCAAATTGAATATCCAATTGAAAGCGGTTGAAATTGAAACACACGTACTTCTAGCCCATAATGGATAGAATTCAGCATTCAAAACCCAAGGAAGTGGAGCATAACCTAAATGGTTTTCGTAAATTAGAAGATCAAGATATGTTTCTAATCTCACCGGCTGAGAACGATAACAGATAGAAAACCATGATAATAATTGGGAGAACTGTGAATTTGGTATGACAGTACGAGTCTTCCCATTCAAATGCAGTTTTATTCAAAATACCAGTTGCGCAAAGTCCAGTACTTGAAACATCTTCAGAATCTTCGGTGGGGAACGGTAGACAATATCCTAGAAAATTGATGTTTAATATAATAAGAAGGAATTGTGCATTTAGGAGAGTTCCAGAGATATCCAGTGAAAAAATAGGAAAGAGTTAAGAAAAACTGTTTTATGATTTACAGTTGTATTTTGTACCTTTTGCAATTTTTTTCACTAATCACTGATAGGAAACAAACGAATGTGTCACGTGGAACACACATTTTTTGGTTTCAATGAATTCTTACCGATTTTATTCCCCTTCGATTCGCAAAATCCGCAACTCTCATCGGTCACACAGAAATCACAGTTACTGAATTTTCGACAACGATCTGCATTTGGTGCGGACAAATTGAAAGAATTTGAGGTTGTATAAAGGTTTTGATCATAGGTTAATGCAGAGTCCTGAAAATCAATGAAATAAGGTTGGAGTAATGATGAAATTTAGTTACATTGTTAATAAGAAGGAATGAAACTCCCATTGCAACCAAGAAAAAGATGACACCAATCATTGAAATGAGAAGAAGAACACGACGACCAACTTTTTCAATCAAAGCGATTGGAATAAATGTTCCAAAGAAATTGATAGCCGATGTTCCAACAGATATCCAAATTGTTGTGTGATTATCTTTCACTCCAGCCGATCGAATAATATTTCCAGTATAATACATAACAGTATTAATTCCTGATAATTGTTGGAACATTTGCAAAAGTGATCCGATTAACAAAGCCTTTCGAACATGTGGAGTTTTCAATATTCGGAAAATCGTTGGGCCATCTCCTGAATTCTCCTGTTTTGCGCGAAGCTCCTCTTCGAATGAGAATTCGATTTCTTTCAATTCATATTCAACCCATTCTGCGTCATAGTTATAAATCTTATTGAGAACCTGAAAATCTTTTTTGTTTTGAGTAACAATATATTTTAGAGAAAAAATACCTCTCTGCTTTCTACAGTTCTTCCATGTTCGTATAACCATCTTGGACTTTCTGGCAAAAATATGAAACAGACAAATTGAATAATAGCAGGGACTCCAGCAAACGCAAACATCAATCTGCATAATTATTATCCTTATTTTTCAAAAAATTATTTTTAAAACTAACCTCCATCCAACATTTTCTGGATGAACGTAACTGAAAATACCACCAATAATATTTGAAACAACTAATCCGAATGTGATCATTAATTGGAAACCAGTCACAAGTTTACCACGAATATGTGAAGGCGAAGCTTCTCCAACATAAACTGGCACAATCATTGATGCAAATCCAATCGCAATTCCAAGTAATATTCTCCCAATCAACAATATTATTTTATTCCAAGCAGCCGCACAAACAACTGCACCAACAGTGAAAATCAAACTAGCCATAATAATAATCTTCCGTCTTCCCATATAATCTGAACCAGGTCCACTGCTAAGCGATCCAATTGCAGCAACTCCAGGTGTGATTGAAACAATGACTTCTTGCCAAACTGAATCGACTGGTTTTATACCATTCGCTTTTGGAACATATAACATCGCAGCGGATACAATTCCAGTATCATAACCGAATAAAAAACCACCGATGACAGCGGCAAATGCGAGAATATACACATACCATCCAGTTTTTGGATCTTGTTCGGGGCGTGCTTGACCACTTCCAGATCCACCGCCAGCCTAGAATTTTTTGATAGTGGTCCTAAGTTTTGTGGAATATTTTTAGTAAAAATTCGGAAAAAATTGCTAGAATGTTCAGAATACCTAGTTCTCAAGTAACCTCTAACTTTAACCTTATTTTAAAGCCTTCTAGAGAGCTAAAAATTTTAAAGTCTTAACTTAAAATTGAAGCCTTGATGTAATGTTACCTACGCCTTAACAAAAATATTACCTTACTTAAGGTTACCTAAGCTTTGACAAAAAGGTAACAAAACATTTAGTTAAGGTAATCTTTAGTTAAGGCTAACTAAGCCTTAACAAAAAAATCTAATTGCCCTACTTTTTTTATTTCCGCAACAAACTTTCAAAAAAGTTATCAACTCAATTATCAAAGGTTCCGTAGCGGAAATGATTAAAATATCTTCAAACATTATTTTTACTACAGTACTTAAAAACACATCATGTTTTTGCCCTTCAAATAACAATCATTAAAAAAAAGTTCCCTCAACTTACCACAGCAACTTGTACCATTCTTCTTAAATATTACTGGCTAACAAAATTTTGTGCACGAGGAAAAAAGCTGGTCTTTCTTTTTATGGACAACTGATAAGTTGTTATCAAAGTCGACGAAAGGCGTGCTTTTCGGTTGGCGGACAACAAAAAGAGCACGTTGGTATTTGGGGAGAAGCCTGGAAACAATGTGAACATTTTGGTCGGTTTTATGAGGTGACACAGAAAAAAGATAGAGAGTTCAATTATTTTCGGTTTAGATGCTGGAACCGTATGATTTTAGAATCAAATGAAAAAGTGATTACAGTAACCCATAAAGCTCTGATTTTTAATGTGAGAGTTACGGTAACTAGAAAATTATATATATATTGAAATTTGAGAAGGTTCAAGTGGTTTAAATATGTGATCATAAATCATTTGTGTCCAAAGTATATTGTTTGCTTTTCCACATTTTTTCAGCTTAATAATCTTTCCCACCCCACGTGGCATATAATTTGAGCAAATATCAAAATTATTAATTTTTCTTTGGTTGGTACCTTTTTTCGATAAGATCGTGTGAATTTTTGTGTAAATGTCACATTCTTATGGGAATAATCCTCTATCAACATTTTACAATGAAAAAAATGATAAGAGCCAGTGAGGAAAATGGAATATGAAAGAAAGTGACAATTTGAAGTTCGTATTTTACAGATTAAAAAAGGGCCACAACCAGAATTACGAAACAAAAAGTTCTAGCGGGGGTTTGAACCATAGAGTGTAAAAATGAAAAACGCTGCACTAACCGGCTGCATGGAGGATGCACATTTTACGTATGTTCAAATTGCAAAGACAATAAAACAGACGCCGATCTGTTTTTTTCTTGTGCTCTTTTTTGAGCCCGATTTTTTTTTTGAAAAAAAATGAAAAAGTAGCTGAAAAACATGTGTTAAATAATAGTCCAGAAAAAACAAATAGTGAGAATTAGAGCGGCCTCCACTTGTTTTATACATGTATTTTCAGAGTGTTTTTGTGTTATTTTTCAGTGCACGTGTATTTGTTATTGTGTGAAATGGAAATTTTCCGCGACAAAAACCGACACACAAAAAATACAATAATCGAATTTGAATTTGAATAATATGTAGTTTATGACATTGTTTTCTGATATTTGTGGAGCAAATAAAAATAAAAATTATAATAAAAAATAAAAATAACTGTTTCAAATGAATGTGAGTAGAAAATTTTGTGTGACGGATAATGTTTTTAAAAAACCAGTTCAGGGGTCGGATTATCTGTAAAAAAACATTTTACGTAATATTTCACAGAGATTTTGAAATACAGAAATTCTTGTAATCCCATGGGAACAATTTTATACTATATATAATACCCAGGATTACTGTAGTACCCAGGATTACTGTAGCCTCCTCATATAAAAATACAACATTAACATATGTGTGCGATGATTCGACGAACAAACGTGCCGCACGTTGCCGACGCTGGCCACGCCCCTTATTTTTATTTTTTTTTTTGGAAAAAAGAAACAATAAACCGGTTTAAAGGAACATGTGGAGAGGGAGATATTCTGGAGGTTATCAGAATCGATTTGTCAGTTCGAAAACGTCCGGAACTTCAACATTGAATGGTAGAAATTTCATTTTTGTATTTTATTTTTGAGAAAAAATGTTTTTTCAGATGGCGAATCGATGAATAATGTTCCACCACCGGCTTCTTTAACCACTGGTTCTCAACCAATTCCAGTCAATCGGAATGTTTTTATGAATCCGAAAAAAGAACGTGAACTTGAAAAAGAGCAAGAGGTATTGATTTTTTGAGGGAAAGTATTTCATTTTATTTTAAATTTCTTGCAGTATGCAAATTTGATGGCTTATGGTACGAAAAAAGAAGTGAAAGATCGGAAAAGGCGAATTTATGATGATGAGTAAGATTTTTTGTTTTATATAACATTTTAATTAATTAATTTTCTGACACATAAGAATTTTAGATATTTAGAAGGTGGTGGATCGGATGAAGAAAGTAGTTCTTCGAAAAAACAAGCTGATGACGATGAAGAAGAAGATGAATTAGATGCATTTATGGCTGGAATTAATGAACAAGCTAAACAAGATAAAAATGTGTCAGAACAAAAAGAAAAAGATCGAGCAAGTGGCAAAGAAATTGAAGATTCGACTAAAAAAGGATTGGGAAGAGCAGATATTGATGAAGAAGATATGCAGGAATCATTATTCAAATATTTAGAAGAATATAAAGAGAAACATGAAAATGATGAGGAACAATATGAATATGATGAAGATGGAAATATTATTTGGACTTGGAAGAAAATCATTGATCCACTTCCTGACATTGATCATTCAACTATTCAGTATCCGAAGTTTAATAAGAATTTTTATGAAGAACATGAGGATATTACGTTGGTTTTTTTTTTAAATGTTTTTGGAGGGTGGAATTTTTTGAGTACGTTATGAAATCTTAAAACATTATATCTCAACAATAAATTTTGATTGGGAAATATTTATCGAAAATTTGAGATTTTCATGATGCACAAAAAAAATTCGGAGAGTACAAAATATTTGAAAAAAATGTTTTCAGACGTCTTCATTACATGGAAGTGGTTCGATTAACAAATAAAATGAATCTTCGAATTGGAGGAATGAAACCACCAAGGCCAGTCTGTTCATTTGCTCATTTTTCCTTCGATAAACTTCTAATGGAAGCCATTCGAAAAAGTGAATATGAGCAACCAACTCCAATTCAAGCAATGGTAAAAATCTCGAAAAAAGTTTAACTGACTAAAAAAATTAAAAATTTTAGGCAATTCCAGCTGCTTTATCAGGTCGAGATGTTCTTGGAATCGCAAAAACTGGTAGTGGAAAAACTGCAGCTTATTTATGGCCAGCAATTGTTCATATTATGGATCAACCAAATCTCAAAGAAAACGAGGGACCAATTGCTGTTGTTGTTGTTCCAACTCGGGAATTAGCTGTTCAAGTTTATCAAGAAGCCAAAAAGTTTTGTAAAATTTATAACATCAATGTGATTTGTGCATATGGTGGAGGGAGTAAATGGGAACAATCAAATGAATTGCAAAATGAAGGAGCCGAATTAGTTGTATGCACTCCGGGTCGAATTATTGATTTGGTCAAAATTGGAGCTACCAACTTTTTACGCACGACATTTTTGGTTTTCGATGAAGCTGATCGAATGTTTGACATGGGATTTGAAGCACAAGTCAAATCAATATCTGATCATGTTCGACCAGATCGACAATGTTTAATGTTTAGTGCAACATTTAAATCAAAAGTAGAACGATTGGCGCGAGATGCTCTTGTTGATCCAGTTCGAATTGTTCAAGGAGAAAACGGGGAAGCGAATGCAGATATTGATCAACATGTTTTAGTTCTACCAAATATTGAAGCCAAGTGGAATTGGTTAACACAAAATTTAGTGAATTTTGCGTCTGTTGGAAAGGTTATTATTTTTGTTACAAAGAAATTGGATTCCGAAGAAGTTGCAAGGAAATTGAAATTGAGAGATTTCGATATTGTTTTACTTCATGGTGATATGTTGCAAGCAGAGAGAAATGAGAATTTACAAAATTTCCGGAGAAAACAACAAATTTTGGTGGCTACTGATGTTGCTGGTAAAGTTTTTTTTAAACATAAAAAACAAATGATCAAATTATTTCAGCCCGTGGTTTGGATATTGCTGAAATTCGAACAGTAGTGAATTTCGATATGGCAAGAGATATCGATACACATGTTCATCGAATTGGAAGAACTGGAAGAGCTGGAAACAAGGGAACTGCTTATACATTAGTAACTGATAAAGATATTGAAATGGTTGGACATTTGGTGAAAAATTTGGAAAGTGTCTCACAAGAGGTAATATTTATTCATTTTTTAATGTAGAGAAGAAGAAAAAAACAAGGTTTTTTTAAGGTTCCAAATTCATTAATGGATCTTGCGATGCGATCTTCTTGGTTCAAAGCACAACGAGATGGAACTAGCGGACCGGTTCAGAATCGAACGCGAACTGGACTGGGATATAAACCAAAAACTAGAGAAGTTGGGAGCTCAGGAGGAGGAGGAAAAGAATATGATCCATTGAAAGAGCAAAGACATACAAATAGGAATTCGATGAATAATCAGAGTGTGGAGGGAATGGTCAGAAAAGCTACAAGGTTAGAGATGAATGGGGATTAGTTGGGAAAAACATGATGAACATCTGGATTTTTGAGCTGAGATTTAGTTCAGAGTGATTAAAAAATGATCACAAGCAAAAAACTAAGGCACAATGCCAAGAAAAAAATACAAAACATTTTCTAAATCCAAAAAAAAACAGTGTGCAATTTATTACCCAGATCTTATTGTAAAATATTTTCTGAATTTAAAAAAAACAGGAAGACCTTCTTACAATTAGAATTTCTTAATAATTTGTTGGGCCTTTTCCAATATCCTGTTCCAAAACTTTTGAAAAATAGATCAGATCCAGGAAAATTGAAAATTTTTTTCTGTCTTCAAATTCTCAATTTTAGTAGCCAAAATCCCAGGTTTTCTGAAATTTATCCTATTTTTCAGCGCTGCCACAGCTGCACAATCATCATCCTCTTCTTCTTCTACCAGTCAACAATCCTCTGGATTCAATCGCGCACAAATTTTGAAAAACTCCTTTCAAAAATCATTCAAGTCAACATTCCAAACTGCAAAAGAAGCATCTTCTCATTTACCAGCACAAGTTGCCTCAGATCCTCGACCCGAATGGAAAAAGAAAATCGACGAACTCAATGCTCAAATTGCACAAAATAAGGCATCTGATAATTCATCATCTTCTTCTTCTTCTTCCACGAAAAAAAGTCGATGGGCTTGAGAAATAAATATATTTCATTTTTGATTTCTTCTTTTTATTTTTCGCTGTCTTCTAAAGCGTTTCTCTCGCAAGATTATCTCTTCTTTTTGCTCCTCAAAAATATCTCTTTTTTTTACCTGAATCGATTTTCAGGAAGAAAAGAACTTTTGAAAATATTATGAAATAACTGAACTTGTTTTTGAAATGGAAAGATTGAAGAATAGTTGCCGATTTATTCATCGCGAATATCGGAAAACAATTGAATGGAGATCGCCTTTGACTGGATTGTATTTGATGGCTGTCAATTCGGCTTTTTGGTGAGATTTTTTGAGATGCATAGTGGTTCAAACAAAATAAGAAGGGCCTTATTTTTCTCCAAAACAATGTTCTTAATTTTTTTCTGAAAAATCTTCTATATTAAAAATTCTAGAGGATTTTCTATCCAGGTTCAAAGTTTTTTCTAAAAAAAAAGAATAGTTTTACTCGAAAATTTTAATTTGTTTGTAATTAGAAAAAAGTTTCCAAAAACCAGGAAATTTCTAGAATTTTCCTACAGATAACAATTTCAAAAATCCCAAATTCTTCAATTTTTTTTCTCGTAAAATTTTATAAAATTTTGGAATTTTTCAGTTTTTCCTGTAGATAGGCAGCCCAAGAAATTTGAGCTTCAAAATTGAATTATAAGTTGCCACAACTTATAGTTTTTGATTAATTTTTGAAATTTACAAAAGTTTTCCTTATCCGAGTTTTTTCAGAGATCTTAGAAGATTTTCTGAAAAATCAAAATTATTCCAGGGTTGGTGTGATCTACTGCGATCCCCGAATCCAAGAAGCAATTTTGGCAACATCTTCTGCTTGTATATTTGCCTGGGATATTCTTCTCTCATCATCAAATGATCGATCAATTATAACTCATTTATTCATGTGGCCATTCCAATCAATATTTCGGGTAAGTACAATTTTTTTTCAATTTGCATTAAATATCAAATTCATGAATTTCAGACGTTTTCTGTTGGCGGAAGTCTATACAGCATTCATTTATTGAGAGCCGATGAAATTCGACTAGCTTGTTATGCAGCTTATGCAACTTGTGGGTTTTTTTATGAAAAAAAATGTAGAATTCCAATTTTTCAGTGGCTTGTCTCCTTGTAAATCCAGTTTGGGAATATAATGAAGTGAATCAGAAAATTGGGAATACTTGTGAACGGACTGCAAATCATATTGGACAATGGGTTTATGTGAGTTTTTCGAAAAGTTTGATATTATTAAAAAATATTTAGCTACGAGGTCAAATTGCTAAAAAATCGATGTATTTTTTTTTGAAAAAATTCACTGTTTTAAAATTTATATAAAATAAAATTCACCATTTTCCAATATTTTAATAACTTAAAAGTAAAGATCTTTTGCAAAATTCGTGAAATATTGCTTTTTTTGAAAAAAGAAAAAATTACTGTTTCAATATTTTTAATTTAAAAATTTTTATATTTGAAAATTCGAGATTGTTGAATGTTAACAGAATTACCGCAGCAAAAACATCACCGAAATTCATAAATATTGCTGGGATTTTCAGAGCTTTAAACTAAGCATCTATAAATATTGAAAATCAACCTTGAGCTGAATTCTGACCTTTCTCACTGTATAAAACTCTAAATGTTTCCAGTATCTCATCATCAACCCAATCATCACAGTTTACGAATATACAAAATATATTGTATTATTTCGATGGGTTCCTCGTAAGTTTTCCCCTTTTTCCTCTGTCCCCCCAATAATCTCAATTTTTCCAGCTCTTTTCGCATATCTCAAACACTTTGTCTTCAATTTCCGCGAATCTTGCCGTGAACTTGCCACAAATTGTCGAAATTGGATACAGAGAGCCATAGTTGAGAGGACTAAATATTGCTATAAACAAATCAAGGAGTTTTTGAGATATTGGTTTTGTGCTCATTGGTGGCCGGGGCTCAAAAAATGGACAAAAATTAATGTGAGTAGAAAAATGATGTGTTCCTTTTTCCGAAATGAGATAACCCAAATAAAAACAACCGGTTTTTCGGATATTTACCTCTCCCCTCTCTCTCTCCTCTTTTATTCTTCATTATTATTTTTTTTTGCAGATTGGTCAACCACTTTTGTATGCTTTCGATTATGTTTGTGGAGTTTTGGTGTATATTTTCTGCTGTCATTGGGTTCCACCAATTTGGCGATTCTTTGTGAGACAAATGAAGAAATTGGGCGCAGTTTTGCATTATTATATTGTTGAACCGATTAAAATGTGAGTGTTTTTTGGGAGGATTTGGGGTAAATTCCTGAGAACCTAGAAATTTCGATTCGCACGAACTCTAGGTGATTTTTTGGCCAGAAAATTAATTTTTGTTCGAAAAACTTATAATGAAATATAATGTAGACTTAAAACCCCCAACTTTATTTTTTTTTGAAGATATTTGTTGCGACAATTCGAAAGATTCCGAAATTGGCTCCGCGCAACTCTTCACCGAATCGCAATCGCAATTCGCGACTCAATTCTCTGGCCAGTTTGTCTTCTCGTCGTCGAAACCGCCAAACAAATCTCTCTCGTCATTTATTCAACACTTTTGGAGCCGATTCTCATGTATCTACACGGAAGATATAAAATCATCGAAACCAGTGCTCTTATCTATATTTTGGGTCCAGTTTGTGAGACAGTTATCGAAAATATTCCCGAAAAGAATCCATTTTGTGATGAGAGTGATGTGGAATTTGAGGGATTCTTACCCGAAGTGAATGCTGATGAAGATTTAGATGAAAATTATGAAGAAGAAGATGTTGTTGTATCTTCCGCACCTTCTTCGCCAATTCCAGAAGAAGAATTCGAATTTGAAAGAGGTCTTCAATTCTCAGCGATTAATGGATCGGAATCTAGCGATGATGAGTTTGATCTACATCATGCTCCAAAAGTAAGCTCATAAATCAACCCTATTTCTTATACATAATAATAATTTTTCCAGAAAACCGAAAAAGTGCTGCGAAAACGTCGGCCAGCTGCAAATGTCGCCCAAGCTGATGACGAGTATGAAATTTTGCAATAAATATTCTCTACGGGTCTTGTAATGTACATAGTTACTTAACTCTCAGTTAATTACTCTAATCAGCTCATTGTAATTTTTGTTAACTATTTTTTAATTAATCTGATTAATTTGCCATAATGCATTTATATGAAACTTTTTTTGAAAACTAATCTAAATGAAAAAAATTTATATGAAAAAATAAATAAATAAGTAAAATTGTAAAATGTAAACTTGCAATTATTCCGGTTTGACTGCTCCTCGCATTGTGACAAGTTCTTCAGCAGATGTTGGATGAATTGCGATTGTTTGATCGAATTGTTTTTTGGTGGCACCCATTGAAACAGCAACTGCAAATCCTTGCAACATTTCATCCGAACCAATTCCGAAAATATGAACACCGACGACCTTTTCTTCTGCACCAACGCAAACCAATTTCATTGAGGCCTTTTCCTTATGTTTTGTGTCGGCAAACATCATTGGGTTGAAACGCGACTTGTAGAGAGTTACGTTATCTTTTCCGAACCGTTCGACAGCTTCGGCTGAAAAATTCAAGTTTAGGGCTATCATTTCAGAACTTTCTGGATTTCTAGATCAATTTTTAATAGATTTTCCAGATCATTTTCACATGAAGCTTAGGATTTTTTAACAAAATATTTCTCAAGAATTTCGAAAAAAAAGACAATTTCATATTCTAAAACTCAAGCTCCTACTTTTAAATTTTTCTAATACTCACTTCATTCTTTTTTTTTTTCTAATACTCACTTCAAAATCACTTCATTCATCAGTTCAAAAATCATGGCCAAAGAACCCAAAAGATCAATGAAAAACCAAGAAATCCATTTCCAATTTTAATTGATGAAGTGAGCTCAGCAACAAGAACATTGAAATCTGAGTCGGCTATGGGATTGGATAGAGTCTGTAGTGATATGCTGAAACATGGTGGTGAAAAACTGCAGCAGAATCTTGCGAGATGCTTCAACAAATTGATTGAAGACGGAAAATATCCACCAGAATGGAACGAGATTCGCATAAAATTGTTGGAGAAAAAGCCAAATCCGGAAACCTTGAAAGATGTCCGCCCAATCTCCATACTATCAATCCCTGGAAAAGTATTCACAAAAATAATGACAAAACGAATGGCAAGAAAAGCTGAGAGCTATCTGGATGAGACCCAAAATGGATTTAGATGTGGAAGATCTTGCTCGGAAAATCTACAATCCATCACGTGCCTATGGGAAAAATGCCACGAATATGACATGCCGTTGATTCTCACTTTTATTGATTATCGTGCAGCGTTTGATTCAATCTACTGGAGTGCGGTACAGGAAGGTGTGTTGGAATCTGGGTTCGATCCACAATATATGGAAGCCATAAAAAGCTGTAACGAATTTGGCACCGGAGAGATCGAGATTTTTGGAGAGAAATTAAAAATACCTGTGGAAAGAGGAGTAAGACAAGGAGATTCTTCGTCACCTGCGCTCTTCGCAATTGCCTTACACAAACTCCTGAACGAAGCTGATCCACTACCTGAAGATGATGAAGAGGAGAATTTTGGAATTCGAGTCGATGGCAATTATATTTCAAGATTATTATTTGCTGATGATCTCGTTCTAATCGACAAAAATCCGAAAGACGCCTCGAATCGTGCCTCAAAAATTGCCAAAATCTGCGAAAAAGCTGGGTTGATCTTCAACACTGCCAAATCAAAGGTATTGAGAAATCAATGCGCTAACAATGCAAGTGTTCGAGTAAATGGCCAGCCACTTGAAGATGTTGATCAAATAAAATACCTGGGAAGAATCTTCAGGAAAGATGGCGCTTTGGACTCGGAAATAAATAACCGAATAAGAGCGGGCTGGGCGGCATATCACAGCATTGCATCTGCAATCAACGAAATTTCAAACAAAGAGAAAAACCACTTCTTGAAATCCAGCGTGTTGAGTGCAATGACATATGGTTCAGAAACTTGGAACACGAAAGTTGAAGATATCAAACGAATCCAAAGAACAATCAACTATATATGGATTCAAGCAAACGCGGGAACTCCACCAAATTTTGAAAAGTTTATAATGAAGATAAAAATGCGCTGGGCTGGACACATTGTGCGCTTGCCAACTCAAAGAATATGCAGAATTATAACTTTATGGGAACCTCCGAATGGCGTGAAAAGAAGAAAAGGAAGACCGAAAAAGAGATGGGTCGATGACGTGCAAACTGAAGTCAAAGTGCATCAACACAACATCAACTTGCAAGGCCTCGGGGGAGGCGGAAGAAGAAGGATCGGGCTAATATCCAGTAAAATGCCCTGGTCACGATTGGCTAGAAGCCGAAGTTCCTGGAAACATCTGGTCCACAGCTACTCGCTCGAATAATGGACTATCAAAGTATCAAAGTAAGTTTTTTGAAAACTAATCTAAATGAAAAAAATTTATATGAAAAAATAAATAAATAAGTAAAATTGTAAAATGTAAACTTGCAATTATTCCGGTTTGACTGCTCCTCGCATTGTGACAAGTTCTTCAGCAGATGTTGGATGAATTGCGATTGTTTGATCGAATTGTTTTTTGGTGGCACCCATTGAAACAGCAACTGCAAATCCTTGCAACATTTCATCCGAACCAATTCCGAAAATATGAACACCGACGACCTTTTCTTCTGCACCAACGCAAACCAATTTCATTGAGGCCTTTTCCTTATGTTTTGTGACGGCAAACATCATTGGGTTGAAACGCGACTTGTAGAGAGTTACGTTATCTTTTCCGAACCGTTCGACAGCTTCGGCTGAAAAATTCAAGTTTAGGGCTATCATTTCAGAACTTTCTGGATTTCTAGATCAATTTTTAATAGATTTTCCAGATCATTTTCACATGAAGCTTAGGATTTTTTAACAAAATATTTCTCAAGAATTTAGAAAAAAAAGACAATTTCATATTCTAAAACTCAAGCTCCTACTTTTAAATTTTTCTAATACTCACCTTCAGTGAGACCAACAGTTCCAACCAATGGATGACTGAATACAATAGTTGCAATATTTTCATATGCCAAATGATTTTCCGTTTCTCCATTGAATAATCGATGAGCAAGTCTTCTTCCAGCAGCAATCGCAACTGGTGTCAAAAGGAATTTACCAGTATCATCTCCAACACTCAAAATATTTGGTGCTGTTGTATTTTGATATTTATCCACAATAATATGACCTTTGTTATCAGTCTTCACTCCAACTTTATCAAGATTCAATTCAGCGGTAAGCGGATCTCTTCCAATTGCCCAAATCAATGTTTCAACTCCTTCGATATCTCCAGTATTTGTTTTTACTGTCAAAAGACCATCAGCATTCTTGATAACTTCTGTGACTTGCGTATTCTTATGCAAATTGAGTGGATTTGTTGGTTCATCAATATCAGCGGTCAATTCATCAGATAATAATTTATCAAATGTCCGGAGAACCTTATCGTATCTGATCAACAAATGTGTGTCCGATCCAAGATTTGCAAGAACTCCAGCAATTTCAACAGCGATATATCCAGCTCCAACAACAACAGTTTTCTTCGGCAAATCTGGGATATCGAAAAATCCGTCGCTATCAATACCATATTCAGCTCCTTTGATATTTGGGATGGTTGGTTTTCCACCAACTGCAATCAAAGTCTGCTTCCCCCTATATTTCTGTCCGTTTACAACAATGGTTCCGTCTTCAGCAAAAGATCCGCGGCCTCGAATAAGCTCAACTTTCGATCCATTCAATCCACCTTCATAAAGTCCATTCAACCGTTTGATATATTCATCGCGCGACTTCTTGATAACTCTTAAAAATACAAATTATAACAAATATTTCAAAAATATTTACCAACTTACTTCCAATCAAATTTATTCACAGTGACATCGAAACCATAATCAGCATGATCCCGAATAAACTCAGCATGAAGTGAGCAATTATACATAACCTTCTTTGGAACACATCCAACATTTACACATGTTCCACCAAGTCGACCAGATTCAATTAATCCAACTGAAACTCCGAATTCTCTGGCGCGTCTCGCAGAAGAAATTCCACCAGAACCACCGCCAAGAACCAAATAGTCGAATTCTTTCACCTCAGTCATCACTTTTCTATAAAAAATGAAACTTAAAACCTCTTTGCCACTTTAAATATAAAAGAAAATGTCAGCAACAAATAATAAAAGTATGTAATGAAAAATGAGAGAGTGATGTAAAAATGATGACAATTTGGTCATGCATGGGAAAGATTATTATGTACTTTGATCACTATTTGTTTACGACATTTAAAATGTAAATACCTAGTTGAGCTGAAAACGCGGCGTATAATCAACATATTGTCATCGGGAAAACAAGAATCAGTCTTGATTTGCACTTGTTTTTAGGAGAGACGCGAGACAAACAAATGAAAAAACGGAGAAATGGGCTGTCGCGGCGAAAAATGAAAACAACGCCGCACGCGGCAAAAATAAGCTCCGCCCATTTTTGCGGGAAAATTTGAATTTTTCATTTATTTTGGGTACACAAACAAACGAATTCATTTTTTGAGTCTTGCACATCGAGATGTCAAATTTTCTGTCACTTTTTGGCTTTGAAGAAGGTCCCTCACATTTGGCGAGTAGTTTAGAATGTACGGAGGAATTCAGTAGTATGGAGAAGATTGAAGATCGAGTGAAAAGAACAAGTGAGCGAATCAAGCGGATAAATGAAGGTATTCATATTTTTTAGAAGTTGTTGTGAATAGAATTTATTATGCTTTTTCAGAAATCAACAATTCCACACCAAAATCATCCAACAAAAATTCGAAAAAACAAGAAACTCCAAAGATTCGAAGATCTTACATCAAAAAAGAGAGAATTCCTGTCAAAGTAGAGGAATATGACGAAGAAGATGAAGAAATGGATGAGAATGGAGATATTCGTCGAAGTAAACGGGGAAGAAAACCAAAGAAAACTTATTCGCCAGAAAAAATTGAGGAAAAGAAAAGTGCTCGCAAAAGAAGTTTAGCTGCTGATCGTGAGGAAGCTTCGAAAAGTGTGAAGCGTGGAAAATATGAGAGAAAAAGTGGAAAAGTTGTGAAAGATTCGGAAAAGGAAGAATCGGAAGATTCATCAGCTGAAGAATCAATGACAGAATATGAAGGAGAAGAGGAGGGTGAAAGTGAAAGTGAGAATGATTTTGATGAAGAGGAAGAAGAAGAAAGTAGCAGCAGCAGTTCCGCGGAAGATAGTGAGGTAGAAAATAAAAAAAAACAAACGGCAAAACAAATATTTATTTTTGTTTTAGGACGAATATCAACCATCTTCGGTTGCTCGCAAAGGAAAAGGAAGAAGGATTTTGAAGGACAATTTCAAAACTCCAAATGGAGGAGATGTGAGTTGATCAAGTTTTTTTCACAAATGGTTCGGCAACGCGAAAAATCTCATGCTCTAAAATGAAATACTCGTTTTAACTTTCAAAAGTCACAAAAATGCAGTGTATTCAGGTGATAAACTTTTACAATTAATGCTTTTCCAGCTCAACGACGAAGAAGTTCTTGAAAAAATCAAAAATGGCGAAATTCCCGAAACCTTTGTCTACCGCTCTGACAGTCATTCAATCTTCATACCAAAACTTCGTCCTGACATGATTGGTGGAACTGGAAAGTAAGATCTTACTACATACTTCTATAAAAGTAGTATTTTAGTTTTATATCCAATTTTCATTTCCAGAGATGTTTCAATTCAATCAATTCCCGCCGAATTCTTCAAATTCAAACGTGTTCGTCAAAAAACCAAACAAGATCATGCGGATCCACAGAAGGTTCGAGAGCTCATCAGAGCTATCAGGAAAACACCAAGTGAGAACATTTTTGAAAGAAAATTCCGTTGTAGTTGAATCCAAAAAAACTTTTTTCCAGTAATTTGGGACCAACGTTTATCTTGTCATCAAAACAAAATATTGGTGCGAAGAGCTTGGATTCGAATTGATCAAGAATTGGGAGAAGATGACGAATATTCATTGAATAGAAGACGCCAAATTTGGAAGAATAAAAAGGATTATTATTTGAATATTGTACAAACCGATTTGGAAAGACAATGGATGTTCATAAAGTAAGAAGATAGAAAATATATAAATTCAAAAAAGAAATTGTTTTTCAGAGATTTCGAATTTTATGAACCAATGGTCCACTTCCGTACAGCAAATATAAAAGAAAAGAAGGCAAACAATGAAAAACTTGTTCTAGGAAACATGAGTTTGACATGTAAATCTGATGACAAATCGAATGTTATGAAGTTAGTTTCTATTTTCCATTTTCCCCTCAAAACCACATTTTTTCCAGATTTTTATTGAAATCAATCCACGATTTTGGAATGTGTGATGAAAAATTGATGATGTTACATCAAAACAGCATCAAAAATATTTTCGAAACAAATTTTAAGAATATATCTGCCAAATATTCAAACGTTTTATCAAAATAGTTTATTTGTTTTTATTATTTTCTTGTATATATAATTTTCTGATTGTAAAAAAATACAATTTCCATCTTCAAAATTATCTGCAAATGAATTATATGTTTTCAATATTGGTATTAAAGATATTCATTATTCACACGAAAAAAAGTTCACATAACAATATTTTATAAAAATCTATAAATCAATTACATTTGGGATGGCGAATATTTGGCGAAGTTGTCCGACTGTCAGATCTGGTTCTGAAATATTTTCGGATAAGATTTTCGAGAAAAAATCGGTGGTCTGAATGGGAAGAGGGAGATCATATTTACAATAATAATTTCTGGTTTTTTGAGAGAAAATCTCAATTGGATCACTGTTTTGTTGAAAAGTCATTTTCGGGTTAAAAAATAGAACCTGGTCTAATTATCTTTTCCGATTCCTATGAAAAATCTCGTCTCAACACACAGCTTAATCTGAACTGGCTCGATTCTAACTGCCAAAAATCCCACCTTCTTTCAATTTTCCATTAACAGCCTCGCCATTTTTCGCAATTTTTCGGATCTCTTCATCAATAGTGGATTCAACAAGAATGTGATAGACTTTCATTTGTTGTTTCTGGCCAATTCTGGCAATTCTTCCAATTGCTTGTTGAATAACAGATGAAATATGAATTGGATCAAGGAAGATGATGTGATTTGCGTGTGTCAAATTGAGTCCATTCGAACATCTCGATAAGCTGCATAACAAAACACGACAATTTTCAACATTTTCGAATTTATCCATATTTTTTCCATAATCACTTCGATTTACTTCAATGAATGGCAACTGAAATTTTTTTATAAAATAAAAATGTCTTCAATTTTTCTGAACAAACCTTGGCTTTGTTGAAAATATCACTGATAAATGTCCAAATTGGTCGATCGGCTTCGAAATTTGTGAAAACAATGATTTTATTATGCTGATTCTCCTCCAAAATTCCACGAATCAATTTGATTGTTTCATTCAATTTGACCGGAATAACAGTTCCCTTAATCGCATTATTTTCATCATTTATATTAATTGGTTGTCGAGCAATCATGATTTCAACCAATTTACAATCTCTTCGACATTTCACGCAAGATATGATCCCTGTGTTTCGCCTGAAAACTATTTTTCGTACCAGAATTACTTGATAAACTCAACAATCTCCTCTCATTTTTCATATATCGAAAACAATCCTCGCAAATTCGATGACCACATGGTAAAATCGCAATAATGTCGAAATCCCGCCAGCAAATTGGACAACACCTCAAACTTTCGTCATTTTGGCTGAAAAAGCTTATCAATTCATAAATCTACTAATTAATGGAATTCACCTATTGGAATCGTATTGTTGTTCGCAAAGATTGATCAAATATCCGAATTCGTTGCATTTTTCCTTTAATTTTGGAACCATTACTTGAACAGTTCGAATACAACCATTATGTGTAGTCTGAAAAAAAACCAGATTTGAAGAGGCCAAAACATTTTCCCAAATAAAGAAAAAACCAACTTTAATATTATCCTCATCCATTTTTTGCCATCTAGCTCCGTTCTCCGCATTATACACTTTTCCTGACCGATCTCTCATACCTTGTAATGTTACCCTCTTTCTCGCCCAAGCCACCAATTCTCTCAATTCCTGTTGATGTTTGATGAAATTGTCGCGTTCGACTTCGATGGTATTTGCGATATCTTGAAGTGCAGAAAAATACTCTTGAAAATTCCTGAAAAAATTTCAAAAAAAAAATTCGAAGATTTTCACAAAAAAATCTCACCAAAAATTTTTCCCATCCACTTTGTCTTCTTTTCTCAAAATCTGCTCGATTAATTTCACAATCGCTAATTTTCCAACTTTCTCCTTTATCGGCACACCGTGAAAACTTCCACATCCAATCATAAATCGAAAATGTGCCAAACTATGCGAAACTCGACAAATCTCGCATTGCAATCGACTTTTCTCGATTTTTCGGCGATTTTCTTCATAGCACATTGTTGTAGACCTTACCGAATGAACACATTTTATCATATTATCAATTGATTCAAATGTTTTATAACTTTCAAACTTTTCAAGCAAAATTCGATAATCCTCGGCTAATTCCATCGTCATATTTTCAACATTTTTCAAATAATTCGAAATGTTTTGATAAACTTCGAAATCCGTTGCCAATTTATCGTCTTTCAATAACTGATGGAAATCCATAATTTTACTGAATACCATACAAGATTCAGGATTATGATTGAAATATCGGTAATGACTTTGAGTCGTTCCACGAGATAACCTGAACATTAATAAGTACATTCATTTCCAGTCTTATGTAAAACCCCTAAATAACCCGAACTTTTCATTTTTTTTTATGAAATACTCACACCACTGTATCGCATTGAAAATTGAATTGTTCATGCGGATTTTTAAAAACTGGCCAAAATGACAAATAATCGAATATTGGCGAATTAAAACGTGCATTTGTTTTCATTTGATTTGCAATGTTCTTCTCGGTTTTCAAATATTCATACACCTGCACCAAATTCTCCATTATTTTCCCACACATTTCTTTCGAACTTTCCAATTCATTAATTGTTTCGCCAAAATCCGATTTCAATCTTCCATATTTCGATAAATTATCCTCAACTTCTTGAAAAATCGACAAACTCAATTCCTCCTCAATTTTCGAAATTCCACCAAATTCTTCAATAATTCTTCTAGCATTTCCTGAATTTTTTTCCAATGTTTGGAGTCGTATCAAAACATGAACAATCTGGTTCGTTTCAATTCTCATTGGTTTCAATGCCTTGTTTCTCAATTCGACCACTTCTTTTTTCGCCTCAATTTCAGCATTTTTGCGATCTTGCGCTTCTTTTTTGACTCCGCCATTTTTACTACCGATTTTTCGAACTTTTTTCGGTGGTTCTGGTTCTGGTTCTTCATCTTTCTCTGATTCTAAAAATTATAAAATTGTTAGAAAATCTATGATTTCAGCGTGGTTTATAGAACTTTGTTTAGCTAGAATCAAAGTTCTCTAGGAAAAAAACTATGAGATCAAAACTAAAATACAAATCATGCTCTTCTAACAAAATCTCACCATTCTCCTCTTGTTTCTCCTCGAAATCAATATTGGCCAATTTATCAAAAACTCGATTAACATTCTTTATAAATTCCATAATTTTGATAAATTCTTCAAAATTTCGTTCCGCTCCTCCAAAATCATTTTGGTACCAAAAAACTTGCGCATCATATGTGAGATGTCGAACAATTTGTTTGAGAATATTCGAAATTTCCTGTTTCTTAGAGCATATCAGGCGAAATACAATGTGTTTTGGGTCGGAAACAATGGCTGTATTTGTATTTCTTCGCTTCAAAACATCGATGTGTTCACCGCCTGAAAATACAAAAAATGTTGATTCAGTCATTCCAAAATCAGAATCTGAAGTTACAGTTTCCAAAGTACTTACACGAAATGAGTGTTTCTTTCAAAACACCCAATGATTGCATAATTCGTTCTCTTCCATCAATTTTTCTCAACAAAACATCATCGCTCAACCATCTAACTTGATTTTCAATTGTCTTTCTCAATTCATCTCGATCATTTTTATATTGTCGCTCTTCAATCGTCGAAAATCGCACAACTTTCTCGATTTCCACTAATTCCGGAATTTCTATTTGAGCCTGGACCATTGCTTTCGAATTTCTTCTTATTACTTGCGATCCCAATTTTATCAACCAACTCTCATTTGCCAAATTTTTGCCGGATTTTTCAAGGAAATCTAGAACAGGATAGGATTTTTTGAAGAAATTTGTATAAATAATCTTTAAAACCTTACCAGGAACCACAAAATTGCTCCAAAACTGCTCACAATTGAAAGGCCAAAAATTGATAAAATGGAAAAGTCCGCCAATACCGAAAATATCTTTGACAATCGGAGTGCCCGTCATGGCCCATCTGTATTTGGCATCGATTATTTGACACATTTGAGCCGGTTTTGTATTTGCGGTTTCAACTAATTGTGATTCATCAGCGATTATCTGCAATTTTTGAACTTCACAATTTTAATTTCAGAATTTATCTTACCCTCCACCATTTCACATGATTCATCGAACTTGGTGAATATTTATGTGCTCTTTTCAGTCTAACAGAATCCACATTTCTAAAATTAGCAAATCCAATTTCTCCAATCAAAGTCTCATATGTGACAAGAATAAGATCGTATTTGGCGATTTCCTGCGGATGGAGGTAACCAGTTTTCTTGAGGCCGAAATAGAACTGAAAATAATATATTTGAAAAAAAAATTTGCATGATTTTCTCACCATGATTTTCAAATTCACATTACAATGTTTCAAAATTTCATTGTACCATTGCATACTCAATGCTTCTGGCATAACAATCAAAGTTGTCTTAACTTCCAATGGATTCTCTCCAGCCATACATTGCGGACACAAAAATTCGATATTTTCAAAATCGTTCCATCCACATTTCTTCACAACACAATTTTCCAGACACTTCTCACATTTTCGCAAATTCTTCGGGTTTTCTCCAGATTCTGGTGTATAAACTGCTGGGAACTGATGAACTTTTTTGGTCTTTTTCGCCTTCTGAAAATGTATAATTTAATTAGAAATATATTAATTGATTACAATTGAACTCACATATTCATTCCAATCTAACTTCTTCTCATCATTTTCCTTTTCATCGTTCTTCGTTTTCAGATTTTGCTTACAATCTTTGCTATTTGACACAATTAATGCCAACATTTCGAGTGTTTTTCCGAGTCCCATTTCATCTGCCAGAATACCACCTTTTGAAATTGAACATTGAAGACTAGAAATCAAGTCGTGTTTCTTCGAAAATATACCAAATGTTGGGTAATAGAATATTGCACTTTGACAGATTGGAAGACTTTGAAATAGATTGAAAAAATCGAGTTGTTCATTTTCCGACTCTCTTGAAATCAACCAATTCACCGTTTTCTTCTGATAATCCATTAGTTCAGTATTCAATAAATCATTTCTTATATCATTAGTATGATTTAGTTGCCAATTATTAGTTGAGTTTTCAAGAGCATTGAAAAATGCTTTGAAATCTGATCCATCATTTGAGTTATATCGGGGATTAGTTGGCCAAAGTGATATTATTTCAGAGTTATTCCAAATTCTTAAATGAGCGAAGAAGTTGTTGATAGCCTTCGCAACTTCATATTTACATAATTCGTCGATTTTCTCGTTGTCCAAAGAGCTTTGCAAGTTTTCTTTATCAAAAACTACATCTATTTGAAATCGATTAGTTTTTGAGAAACTCCACAACATCTTAATGCCAGCCAGTTTGAATTGTCTGAAAAATGCAATTATTTCTTTTTTCTAGATATTTTAAGATAAACAAACAGTGGATTAACTGCAGCAATCTTCAGCAACTCAAATGCGAACGGACCGAGTTCATCCCAGGAAAATTTTCCAATTACCATCGTGTTTCCATGCACATCCTCTTTCATTTTTTCATTAAGATCAATTAGAATCAATATCTTTTCATCTTTAATTTCAAATTGGAAATAAGCAACTGGTATTGATTCCAATTTCAGCATATCTAGGTCCTTCAGTTCTTTTCCAAACGCAAAATTTGCTATCGGAATATCGGATGAATTTGATGAGGATTTCGGATGCATTTGTAATGTCCGTGGCTTGTCGATTTTGCGAGTTTCCATATCCATTTCTGAAAACTTTTTATAAACATTAGAAACCGTGAAAACACTAGAAAAAAGAAGTTGCGAGATTGCAGCGAAAAACAAATTTTAAAATTGTTTTGATGTGGTACGGTGCGCAAAACACACAGTGTTTGCACACATAGAAGAACACAGTAGGAAACAAAACCCCAAAAAAACGAACCTTCGAGTTTCTCTGAATTTCCTATCGAAAAATGCTGGCGACGGTCCGCTGTCGAAAATGAATAAATACCACGTTTTGAATCGTGTCAATAGTTTCACGCGGAAATTCAATTTTGCGGTAGGTCTAGACATTTTTGGGTTTCGGGTTTTATTTTGTGGGTTTTCTCATATAAGCTATATCTCATATGAGCTCATAAATGACAAGTTTTTGTAGTTTTCCCCTCACTAAAAATACGCCCATTAGTAAAATTCATTCATTTCCAATTTCTAAACACGAGTTATTCCGAATCCTCTCCCGAATTTTTCTGATCCGATTTCTCCGATTCACTTTCAAACGCCTTCTTTTTCAATTTTCCAATCCAATCCAACTTCTTTTCCGGCTTAATTCCATTGTCTTTTGCACAAGTTTTCAAAAATGTTTGAATATATTCGTAATCCGGCACGGATTCGTGTTCCAAGTTATTGACATATTGAAGAAGAGTATACATTCCTTTAGGCATTCTTTTGTAAACTTCCGGGACTGAAATTAAAAAAAATATTGATAGCTTATAATAAGGAAAATAATAAGAAGAAGGGGAGGAAAACTCACATTCATTTGAGAAAAACTTTTCCTTCGACTTCAAAATGGCTTTTGCGTCAGAAAGTCGTTTCCAAGGCAATCCATTAACATCATCAATCAAATCGAACAGCTAAAAAGTGATATTTTTTGAAATAGTTCTTTGAAAGTTTAAAGTTTACCATATAAATCCAACATTCAAGATCATCCTTCCTCCCTTGTTCAACTTGTTTCAAACATGCTCTTGCTGCAAATCGGAGTGTCCCCAAAAATTTGACCTTCTTTCTTGGTGTTTTGTGTTTTCCGTCAGCATCCAAATATGATTTCGCGATTCCAAAATCCAACATATAAACAACTGATTCGAATTCATTCAATCCAACTGCATAATTCGCTGGTTTAATATCTCGATGTAAAAAACCCAAAGAATGCAAATCTCGAACTGCAATAACTGTTTGAATAAAAACATTGAAACAAGTATGTTTGGTGAAATTCGAAACAACATATTTTCTTCGAATATCCTCTAAAGATGGTCCAACCAATCCCATGACAACAAATTTGCAACGAAGTTCTTCACATTTTCCACGATCAACAAATTCGATAAAATGCTCAAATTTCTTCTCTTTATCCGATGTTTTCATCATAACTGTCACTTCAATTTTCAATCGAAGCAATCGTTTTTCTCCTTCTTCACTTTCAGTTTTTAGAGCATAACATTTATCAGGAGAAGCTCCTTCGCGATGCACTTTATAAACATCACCAAAACCACCAGAACCGAGTAAACACACATTTTTCCAGCCGGTTTTTTGATCGGCATTTTTGATAATATCTCCAGGTGACAACTTTTTACGAGTTCCTTTTTTCTTCTTTGTAATTCGGATACTGAAAAACAACTTTCAATTTTTCTGAAACTACAGTAGTACCTATTTTCTTGAAAACCTTATTCTTCTAGTTCAGAACTCACTTGATTTCACCTTCTCCGCTCATTTTATTATCCGCACTATTTTTTGTTTCTCCATCCATCGGACCATTCACACTTTTTCCAACCCAATCACAAACATCAGTCGATTTCAAAGATGTTTGTGCCTCTTGTAATATCTTATTCAATTTCTCATAATCTGGTTCAGTATCAAATGTCATTGGTGAAATCGCCTCAATCAATCCTTTCAATTCTTTCGGCACATTTTTAAACATCTCGTTTTCCTTTTCATTTTTCATAAATGCATCTTTTTGGTTCAAAATTGTTGGAATATCTTTCTCTTTTTTCCAAGATAATGAATCATGATCCATGAGCCAGAAAATTGTGTAGAGCCAGGATTCCAAGTCGTCTTTTCTTCCTTGATCTTTTTCTTGTTGAGTTGCGCGAGAACAAAATCGAGCAAAACCGTATCTTTTGACTTTTGGGCGAGCTGCCTGAAAATTATTTTCGAGTAAAAACTTTGGAATTTTGAATTTAAGGATTTTCAAACAAATTTTGAAATAACACATAGAAAAAAATAAAACATTTTTCTTTTTCACGTGAAATTGCGGACTCATTGTTCTGACCGCGTGAAGACACACGACTCCGCCCTTTTTTATTTTCAAAATTTGCAATTTTGCGGCGCACTCTCTAAATTTCAATGGAAAAAAGAACGAAATTTCTTTGACAAGTGGAAAAACGTGAAAACGCGACGGGCTTTTTTCGAGTCTGCAAACACCGCACAGCAGCAAAAATTGTTCTATTTTTTTCTATGTGAAATAAGTTTCTCTTCTTTAATCTCAAATTTCCTTCCAAAAACCTACAATCGTTTTTTTGTTGGCATCAATAAATTTGCGATGTGCTCGAAAATCCTGCAAATAAATCGTCGCTTCTTTCTCTCCCAAACCACAAAACAACGACGAAGGATTGATATTTTTATGAAGAAATCCACAAGAATGCAAATCTTTAATCGCCTTCAAAACTTGAATTGCCACATTCAAACCGCAACCAATTGATAATGGAGATTGTGTGACTTTTTTGATGATTTGATCCAAATTCAAACCAAAAGATGAGACAACAATAAATTCCAACTTCTTTGCTGCAATCGTTCCATATTCAATCAATTGAACAAATGATTTATCTCCCGGAACTTTTGCAACTCTTTTAAGAATTGCAGCCTCCTTTTTAAGGATTCCTAATTCAAGAGTGCATAATTTGAGTCGATATTCTTCATCTTGATCAGCATCTTTTACTCCATAAATATCTGGCATCAATGGTCTTGTTGTTTGCAAAATTGATGAAACAATTTTATAATTGTTGACTCCTTCAATTTCTTCTCCTTCAACAAATTTTGCTTTCACAAATGATGTTTTTCCAGGTGTTCTTTTTCTAACCGATCCAGTTGGAATTTCGTTATTGTTGGATTTATTTTTAGTGCCCTTTCTTTTCGAATTGTCTGGCTGACTTGGTTCTTTTCCATTCGCTGCTGATTTTTCTTCTAAATTCGTTTTCGATCTACGCGAAACCACCATGCTCGTGGGCTGAAAAATATGGATTACTGTAGAAATTTCAGAATCTTGATTCGATATTCGAGATTACTGTAACTCTAGGCTAAATTACTGTACTCACCTTATTTTTATTCTTGTTATTAATGATCTTATTTTTTGGATCGTTCTTTTTCATTTTCTATCCGGCAGAATGTAAGATAGTATAAATTCAAAATAACCGATTTTCCACGATACAACCTCACGTGGATATTTTTCGAGATCAATAAGGTCACGTCTAAAATAGCTTTTCTTTTCTTTTTTTTTTTTAATTCATCATTTTTGTTTTCAACTTTAGAAGTTTGAAAATAGGCGGCCAGAGGAATCTCTTGGGGATTTGATTTATTTTCAAGTCCTACCTACGCATTCATCATTATTTTTATTTTATTCTCATGATGTCTTCTGAATTATTGGCCATCATGTTGGGAGAAAATCCAGAAAGATATAATTGCACTGGAAAATCCACAGATGAATGGTATAAAACTGGTGAAAAATCACCAATTCTGGCCACTTATTATCTTGTAACTGGAATCCTCTTCCAAATAATGGCATTTCCTGTATTATTTGTAATTTATAAATCAGAACTCTACAAATTCTCGTGCTACAAAATAATGTTTTATATTGGAGTTGTTGAGTTCACCGAAATCTGGGGTGTTTCGATTTGGCCAGGAATCAGTGCATTGATTGGAGCGGTTTATTGCACTCATCCAAGAATCGAGACAATTGTTGGAAAATTGACAATGATTCAATGGTTGTCGGGAACTTTGGCGTGTGTTTTGTTGGCATTGAATCGATTGTTTGATATTAATTTTGGAAATGGGTTGAATAGAAAATGGAATCAAATGTTTGATGTGAGTTTGAGAGGTTCAACAAAATATAGATTTTTTTGGCAAATTCTAAAGCGATCTCGAGAATTTTTGTGTTCGGAGAAAAATGTTCTGAAATTTCAACTACAGTACTGCTTTCTGATTTATGTAACCTTCTAATTCGATTTGCTTCTGACCGGTTCTGACATTCTGAAAATTGTTCCAAATCATTTAGTTCAAACCCAACTCTTTAATACAGTGCAGCTCCAAGTTTTTCGATCAATCCGTTCATCTTTCAAAGCTGAAAATAGCGACTAGTACTGCACTTTTTCTGATCTATGTTTTTTTTAGTAGACTTCTGATATGATTTCATTTCAGAATCTCATAGGAGTTTCTATGAACTCAAAACAACAAGTTCTAGTTCTTTCATCTAGACTTGGTTTGATGTTTGTTGCCCAATCCCAACAGCAAAACTTCAAACAACCAGAGTACATTTGGCTGTAGTTCCCATAGGTGTTCCTCTAATTGTTATTGATACACAAGTCCTAGATTCTAAAAATAAATATTCTAGAAACCTTGGAAAATCTATACAATTCTCACAATTATAACAATCTATGGAATCTATGGTTCGATATTTTTCGATACAGTTGTCTTCAACTCCGTTTATATGTCACCACTTCTAAATCCAATGATTGGAAATGATTTCAAATATGAAAATCATTTTTTATCAATTCATAATATCTCCATTTGCATTACTTTGTGTATAATTTATTCGGTTTTATGTTATTGTCGATTGAAAAAGAATTTTTGGAGGGTTTCTTCACATTTTCAGAGACATGTATGTGACTAATTTGACTAATTGTTAAATAATTTCAAAAAATTCCAGATTTTAATGCAGTCTGTAATGATATCTGTAATATATTCTACTCCAGCCCTTATGTTTGTTATAATTTATTATCTAGAGAACCCATCTTATTTACTCGTTCAAATAAGTGATATAACTTATCAATTAACCGGTGGATTACCATGTATAATGTATCTTGTTATGAATAGAAAAATACGCACAAAAATCATCCAAATTTTGCCAAAAGTTCCACGTTTAAATCAAAGTCCAGTGGCGCCTTCAACATCAAATCACACATCAAGTAGAATTAGGTTTTGAGAGAAAAAAAGATTGTATTTTGATAAACGTGTTTTTTTGCAAGCAAATTTTTTGAATGAACAACAGGTTTTGGCTAATTTTTGATAATTTTTGCATATCAATTTCAAATCATATTTCTTGTTTGGATTGAAAAATGCTGTCGAAATTGAAGATGAAAATTACGAATATTGGTGTGAGGAAAAATGGTGGGTTTTTTTTTGAGAAAAAAATATTTTGGAAAATCAAAGATCAAGGAGTACTGTACTCAATGTGACCTAAAGTAAATACTTCGTTTGTTCTATTTCTGTGAGAACAAGATTTTCTTTGATTATCAGAGAACAATTTTTGGAATTAGTTATTTAAAAAAAATTTAAAACTGTAGATCAAATAAACCTGGGGACTTATTTGGGAAGCTCGAGGTTTCTAGAGGTCTTAAGGCTATTAAGATTTTTCAGGCAACTTAGGATTCAGGAGGCTGGCTTCCTAGGCTTCTGAATGTTGTTCAGAGAACTTTTTCAGTAAGATTTTCGCATGAATGTTTTCCACTGATTTTCCAAAAAAATGGATAAATTTCAGAACCTTGCAGTAAATTTTGAGTCAGACCTGGTCCGAATCATCAACCTTTCCCTGTGACAAACACAATTTTTCAAAAAAATATGGCACAGTTTTTTCTGAAATTTCAGATTCTCAAAACAAAATCTAAAAAAAACCTCAACACAAAAATTGTTATCTTTGATTTCATTTTTCAGTTTTCAATTTGTTAATTGACCTAGCAGACCACAGTCTATTAAATAAAATAAAATACATAATAATACAAACATTCGACCTTTTTCACATGTCTGTTCATTTTTCACCAGCACTCAAAAATACATACTTTCGATTCTTTTTTTTCTTCTTCTTCTTCTTCTATATTGTGCTCACTACTCAATCCATGTATATTTCTTTCTCGAGCCCTCTCTCCGTCTCTATCCACATTCAGACAGCCTTGGCCCGTCTGCGCGCGCCGCCACCATTCTCTCTTTCTCTCTCGTCTCTTCAGTCGACCATCATATTTTGTGTTTTTCTACATCTCTCCGTCTATTTTCTCTCGATTCCGACATACACAGTTTCGATTTTGATTTCTTGTCTTCGTCTTCTTCCCTTCGCTTTGTACAATGATTCGTTTTCAGCATCGAATGATTGATTTATTTTTCCGTTTATCCCACGAGTTTTTCTTACTTAAAATTACAGTCTTCTCTCTACTGGTTTTTGAACTTGATGAAAATCGTAATCAAAACTTCTTTTGTACTACAACTACTCTTTTCTTCCCTTCAAACCAGATTTTCTATTCACCTATTCTCTTTTTCTCATGTTATTGTTGTTGTTCACAACCAATTAGTATCTGATTTTTCGTTGAAATACGCGCAACCCTTTTTCACTTTTTTTTCAACTAGCGATGCTTTTCAGCTTCCAGAAATTTTTGTAATAATAATAATACTAATAAATTATTATGATCTTATCGTACAATTTTACAGTAAGATTACAAAATTTTTTGTAAAAATAAAAAAAGAAGAAAAAAAAACAATTTCAAAATTCCCACGTGAAAGCACGTGCGCTCCACTGCTAATCATTTGATTTTTTCTTTTCTTTTTCCCGCGGGCCATTTTTCTTTTTCGTGCGCACAAAATGTGCAAAAAGACCATTGTCTACTCATAAAACTTTTTTTTTCCTTTGCATATTGATTAATGCTCTTTGTGTTTTGAAAAGGTTTAAGCATCTACGCAACACATGTTATCTACAATTCACTTCTCAATAAGTATATCTCGCTTGCACCCCGCCAAAAATATTGGTCGGCGCTTTTCCAAGGACACTTTTCGATTCTAGGTTATTTACAAGGGCGCAGTCTTTCTGTCCCTTTACTTCTTTTTTCAAGAAGGTCATTTCTTCCGGAATATTTTTTTTCGTTCAACACTTTTTGTTCATTACATTAAAAATGTTTATCTTATCTGAATAACAATAAGTTTACCTATTTACTCATTTACTTGTTTATATTTTGTTTCAAACAACAAAAAAACAGCTGTTACTGTGTTGTTATTGACCCAAATGTATTTTTTCCAGAAAATCGTATAAAGAAGAAGAAAACAACTTGGGATAAAATCGCGGATCCAAAAATGAGTGGCGAAGTTGAAGCAGCACCAATCGCTGCGCCACCTGCACAACAACAACAACAGCCACAACCAAATGGTGATGATCTTGTGACAAGTGGAAGTGTTCAATCAATGAATGCTAGATCGGTTTCGCCGTGTCCATCAGTTAGCCATCATCAGGATCCGCTTTTACCGGTAGCTGAAAACTGGTGTCATACACAGGTATTTTATTCTATTTTCCTCTTCGTAATTAAAATTTCGAAATAATTGATTTTTAGGTAAAAGTAATCAAATTCAATTATATGTGGACAATCAATAATTTTTCATTTTGTCGTGAAGAAATGGGAGAGGTTTTGAAATCATCAACATTTTCCGCTGGAAGTAGTGATAAACTAAAATGGTGTTTACGGATAAATCCAAAGGGTCTCGATGAAGAATCGCGGGATTATCTATCATTATATCTTCTATTGGTTCAATGTAATAAATCCGAAGTTCGTGCAAAGTTCAAATTTTCAATACTAAATGCAAAACGAGAAGAGACAAAAGCGATGGAATCTCAAAGAGCATATCGATTTGTACAGGGAAAAGATTGGGGATTCAAAAAGTTTATTCGACGAGATTTTCTGCTAGATGAGGGAAATGGACTTTTGCCCGATGATCGTTTGAGTATTTTTTGCGAAGTTTCGGTGGTCGCAGAGACTGTAAATGTGACGGGACAGACGAATGTTTCACAATTATTCAAAGTGCCAGCGGGTAGATTATCAGAAGATTTGGCCGGGTTATTTGAAAAACGGACATGGTCCGATTGTAAATTGATTTGTAAAAGTAGTCAAGGAATGGCATCACAAACTTTTCATGTAGGTTCAAATTGAGTTGTTTCTAGATATTAATTCAAGTTTTTTTCAGGTACACAAAGCTATTTTGGCCTCAAGATCCATCGTTTTCCACGCAATGTTTGAACATCATATGCGAGAAGCTGAACAAAATGAAGTTGAAATTAATGACGTGGAACCGGATGTAATGAGAGAATTATTAACGTTTATGTATACTGATAGCACACGATGTTTGGATCAAATGAGCCAAAGTTTGATTGCGGCTGCTGATAAATATCAACTTGATCGTTTGAAAGTTATGTGCGAACAATCGCTATGTCAAGCTCTCACAGCAGATAATGCTTGTGTCACATTAGTTTTAGCTGATATGTACAGTGCTGATCAATTGAGATCTCATGCTATCAATTTTATCAATGTTAATGCTACAGAGGTTTGTTTTGTTTAAGTTTTTTTTATTTTGAAGTAAAACTTATACTGAATTTTTGGTTCAATTTTATTCAAAAACTCAAGGGTACAAAACACACATTCCAAGTTCAAAACCTGAATTTACACGACGAATTTGTTACTAAAAAATTTGGCTCTGGAAATTGACTTTCGGAAAAAATTCATTTTGTAGTTTTCAAATTTGACAATTTGAATTGAATTATAAACGAGATCATCTTATTTCCAAAGTTGCTTTGAAAACTGTAACCTGATTTTTTTCCAGGTGATGAATACGGAAGGTTGGCAAGATTTGGTGAAAACTCATCCGAATTTATTGGAAGAAGTATTTCGCGCTCTCGCCACACAACAAACTCCCCCAGTTGTTCTCGTTCAACCACCCAAAAAACGACCAAAACATTGCCCATATTGATTCGATTCGATTTACAATCTTCTCCTCATCATAATTAGTTTTTTTCTCAATTCTTTCAAAATGTTCCTCGTCGGTTAGATGATAATAATTATAATTATAATATACCAAAAAACCAATTAGGATTCACGAATCACGGGTTCAACACAACATACACATTTTTTTTGTTTCGATTAAGTCAAGCCGAACTTTCCTTCAACTTCGATTCTACGTTTCTTTTGAGCATGTAATAGTTTTTTTGTTGATGTAAGTAAATATTATTTTTCGATTTTAAATTTTCAAAGTTCACAGATTTTTTTTGGTTTTCAAATTACCCATTTATCGTATTTATATATTTTTAGATATATTCAGATTATTTTAGCTAAAACTTTCAGAATGGATGAAGATGAACAAAAAGGATACACCTGGGAGGCCGGTTATGCTGAAGGTTATTTTTTTGAAAATTAAATAGAAAATTATAATTTTGCGTGACATAATACGCGGCAATTTGGATTGTTTTATTTTTAAAATTTTCAAGCGGCTGTGGCTTTTTTGAACCCCAAGTCCCTTAAAAAAACCATTTCCAGGTCTGAATATAAATGAAGTATTGGTCGAAGATGAAACGGGTTCAATTGAAAAATCGATCGCAAAATATGTTGAAGATTCCAAAAAACGGGCAAGAATAAAAAATCGACCGGAGAAAATCAGACTAGGAATTGTAAGAGCATATCTTAGAAATTCGTTCATTTTTTCCAACACCATTCTTTTTCAGATGAGACATGTTATGATTGTAATCGATTGTTCTCGATTTATGACATCAAAAGCGATGCCACCATCAAGATTTGTTGTTGTATTGAAAGCGCTCAATATATTTTTGGAACGGTTTTTTGAGCAAAATCCGATTGCACAAATTGGATTTATTACTTGTAAAGATCGAAAAGCTGAAAGACTTTCAACAATGACTGGAAATATTCGACAATTGAAAGATTCGCTGAATTCGTTGACAGAAGCATTTTGTGGTGGTGATTTTTCGCTGCAAAATGCGTTGCAGTTAGCATGTGTCAATTTGAAGTGAGTGATTTTTTGGGGTTTGGAAAACATGGGGAATAATGTAGGAAATGAGTTATGGCGTGGTAAATTTTGAAAATTTCGTGAATTCTGTGACATCTTCTGAAATTTGCTAACAATACCGATGAAAAATGTAGTTTTTGTCAAAAGTTTTTAATAGTTCTGTCTTTTTCATAGTTTTGCTAATCAGAATTTGAATGGAAAATGATACTAAAAAATGATACCAAAAGTTAGCGAAGAAAAATTGGTGTACCAAAAATTTCTTAACAAATTTTTTGGCATACCACTTTCGGCCGCAGTTCATCAAAAAATACTTATATTTATTTTTTCAGAGGAATGCCTGGTCATGTATCCCGTGAAGTAATTGTTGTAATGGGTTCTTTATCAACAATCGATCCTGGCAATATTTTCGCAACCATCGAACAAATGAAAAATCTAAATATTCGATGTTCTGTGATCGGCCTCTCCGCTTCAATGTTCATCTGTCAAGAATTGGCCAAAACAACACGCGGTGAATATTCGATTGCCTTAGATGGCGACCATCTACAAATGTTGTTCGCCAAACAAACAGCTCCTCCATCAACTGCAAAATCAACAGAATGCAATGCGATTCGTGTCGGATTTCCAACACATCAACTCATCACAACGAAATCTTTTTGTGTGTGTCATTCGGATTCGAAACCAATCAGTTCACGGGGTTTTATTTGTGTTCAATGTGGCTCGAGACATTGTTCAATTCCTGCCGAATGTGTTGTTTGCAAATTGACACTTGTTGCCGCGCCACAACTTTCGCGGGCTTTTCGACATCTTTTACCGTTGGCACCATTTACACAAATTGAAGTTAGCCATGGGTGAGTTTTTGAATGTTTTGAAAAATTGATGGTCGAGAATTCAGAAAAATCATTTATCTGAAGAAATTCACTATTCCTTTTATTTATTGCTCTAATTTTCTCAACAATTTTCAACACTGAACTTCATATTTTTCAGAAGCTGTGCTGCATGCGAAACTCAATTATCATCCGAAGGATATCGATGCGAAAAATGTGATTCGATATTCTGCCTGGACTGTGATACACTTCTCCACGAGAGTTTACACGTTTGTCCAACTTGTTTTTAAATTGGTTGATTTTCATTTTTTATTGTTACGGGTAAATGTTTCAAATCTCCTCCTTTATACTTCAAATTCTTGATTGAGTTCTGCTGGAGTCTCATTCTATTTATTTTGAACAGAAAATTTTAAATTTGTTCATGAAAGGAGGAAATATTGAAGAAATGTCAAGAGACGTGAAGAAACGCCAAAAATCTTCAAGCGCATTGTATTGTCCACAAGTTACAAGGTTGAAAACACATTTTGGTGAGATTTCCTGGTTAATTAAAATTTGTAATCATTTTTTTTCAGATTCGGAATTTCGAAGATTTCTGAAATCATTGAAAAGAACAACAGATGCATTGGAATGTAAGTTTTTTTTTGAGTTGATTAAAATTTGATGTTGTTTTTCAGGTAATCAAAATTCGGTTCTTCTAAACCTCGAAAAACAAATACGTGGATCAAATAAGCGAACAAGCAAATTGAATTTATTGTGTAAATCAATGCGTGATTGGAAATTATTTTTCAGCGAGTTTATTTCGAGGTAAGGGCCTGGAAATCTGCTACTTCTGAAGGCAAATTTTGAATTAGATTTATTAAGTTACCTACTTTTCCCGCCCAAAGCCAAATATTTTTCATAATTGCTATCAATTAATCATAATTATTAATCAGATGTGATGATATTATTGGTGTTTTTCGATTTGATAATATTGAACCGGTTGAAATTGCGATGGAAAAATTGAATATCTCACCAAGTTTGCGAAATTATATTGAAGGATGTTTGTTTGAATGGCGGAAATTGTTCATTGATAAAAATTGGTAAGGTTTCGAAAAGAAAATTGAGCCAGAAACTTCATTTCAACCTCAAGATCCCATTTCAAATTTTTTCAGGATGTTCAAATATACAAATTTGACAAAATCAAAAATCAACCTGGAAAAAGAAATATTAGAATATCGAGACAAGCGAACAACTTCAATATCGATCTTAGACGAATTTGGTTCGTTTCGAAAAATCTAATTTCTCCCTGAAATTACAATATTCCACTTTTTCAGAGAAATATGATGTTGATATCAACGAAATGTTGCAAATTCCCAAAGAAAATCTCGAAAACTGGATCAAAAACCGAATAAAACAGGCGAAAATTGAGATGAAAATTCGAGAAACGAGTAGTTTATTAAACAGATTGCCGAGTTCGTCGAGAAAATTTAGCACACGAGAATGGTGTATGAAACATTATGGTAATTTTTTGAAACGTGTAATTTCCGCGATTTTTGAATGGGTTTTAATAAATACAGAAATATTTTCCGAAAATATTTTGAAACATAAAATGAGCAAAAAACTTGATATGAATCATTTTTCTGAAAATAATTTTGAAGTGAAAAATAATATAATTATTTCATCTTCTTTCACCAATTCCTTTTTTTCCAGATTCGAATCTGCAACCATTATCAGATGATGATTTTTCAATCGAAGAACGAAGTTCGTTATTCGGCGAAGGTGATGATTCTCCTTCAGATATTTCGACATCATCTTCCACATCAGAAAATCAGCAAATTGAATCCATCGACTCATTTTTTTCGTCAAAAGGATTATAATTTTGCATTTGATTCTTGTAAAATAGTTGATGTACCATACCAATTTTGTTTTGTTTTGTTTTTCGTTGTTTTATGTGCCATAAAAAATTTTCTTCAGTTTTTTTTATTTTTTGAGTGTTTTAAAGTTTTTCTGAATACTTGAAATATCTGCTTTTAATCGGTTTTAACAGAAAAATTGAAATTGAAAAAAAATTAAATTAAATTTAAAAATAATTATGATTTTTTGAGGCTTGAAAGAATTTTCGACAGAAAAATCTGACAATGAAATTCAAATTTTTCTTGGGCTCACAAACCAGTTTTAAGACCATTTAGGCCAAATTTGAGCGATTGTTGAGTTTTGGACATACATCAGTTTCTCCCGGTCAGGGTCTCAAAATTAGCCACCCCCGGAATGTGAAAATACAGAAATTAGCCAGACCCCCTCAGAAAAAAGAGAAAAAACTTGGTTTTCGGGGTGTAAATTGTTATTTTTTCAAAAAGTTAGCCGGTCCCCACCCCTTTTTTCCAAAGTTAGCCAGACCCCCTCCGGACGAAAATCCGGGGATACTGATGTATGGTTTTGGATTAAATTAGGTTATTTTAACACTAAATATGGCCTGTTTTGGGCTTTGGAAAATTTTTGACCGAAGTTTTGAACGCAACAAAATTTGTATAGCATCAACATTTTTTTTCATTTCAATTTTTCCAGCAAAAAATCAACAATGCTTGATACAAATTTGAAAGCAACTTCAATAATCGAAGGAGAATTCGAATCGGAAACATGTATGGAACAGGTTCGATATTTTCTTGAATTCAAAAATCATAATTATTATCAATTTGTTTTCCAGATAACTGAGTATAACGATGTTTCGGTTGCCCATTTGATATTCTCGAATTACACGTGGAATAATCAAAATATCTCACAATTGAGCAATTTTTATCTGAGGCATTTGGATATTTTAGCCAAGATTCAAAAAGTTCAAGATAATTGTGATTCGGAGGTATTTGGGCGTAATTTGAGGTAACTGTTTTTATGGGGTGATTGGGGTGGAAAAAATGTTTCAATCGATTTAGTAATTGTGAAAAAATCATACTTTTTCCAATTAAAAGTGTTTCACATAAGTTCTATTTGCAGAAAATTCGGCCTACGATTTTTGCCAATTTATAGTCGAGCAATCGATAAAACGCATTTATCACCTGATTCGATTGCACGAGTTTATCATGATCCACGAGAATATTTAGAGTAGGTCTTATTGTTTTTCCTCTTTTAAATTTGAATATTCTCTTTTTTAGCCAAGGCTCACCGGATGCAGATGAACTCGATTCATTCGTTCAGTCAGTTTTGAAAGCATGTTTGGAGCCGATTTTCGCAGCGCGGGAAATTTCAAATCTTCTCAAAACGAAATTGGAATTTTCGAAAAAATTGATTGCTGTTCAATCGAAAAATGTGGATATTGTTGATGTTTCGAATGTCACCAATTTTGAGCCTGGTGAGATTTTGAACAAAAAAAATTGTTTGGAAAATTTTTAGTGAAACCTTTTTAGAAATTCTAAAAATTTGGCAAAGAAAAACTTCTTACGAAAATGCTTGAATTTTCAGAAATCATAAAAAGTCTTCAAACATCGCTGAAAATGCGAGATATTTGTGGTTTATCCTCTCAAATCAATCAATCAATAATCCGTTTTATTGTCACATTTGCTCTCCATATTATTCGAACTCATCTTATGTGTAATTTTGGAATTGATAACGAATTGAAATTATATAATCGAAAAATGCGTTCAATGGCGATTGCTGATTTGGCTGAAGCAAAGAAATCTGCGAAACCATCAGTGAAATCGGAGAAAATGGTGAAATCGGAAAGAAATCCAAGAGTGGAGAAGAGATCTTTTGTCAAAATGGAATCACAAGTCGAACAGGATGATGATGATGATTTTTGTGAAATTATTGAAGTAGATGAAATTCCGAAAAGAAAGGCGAAAGTGGAAATGGTTGATTTTGATGAAAAACCGACGATTTCGAAAAAACCAACGGCTCCAAGCACATCAGGTTTGTATTTTTTGTGAAAAAATGAGCAATTTTCAAGTTTTCTAGTCAAAAGTAATTGAATTTTCAAAGATTTTGAGGGATAATTCTTTAATTTTTAATCAGAATTTTTCAAATAATCAACCTTTTTTTGAATAACATTTGCGATTTTTTTGTTGGCGAAATTATTATTTCTTGTAAATTTTTTTTTCAGACACAGGAATTTGATAATTTCATAAACATTTTTATTTAACCTGGTTCAAAAGTTCTTCAAAATTCCAATTTTCAGCACCACCCGTGACCCTTGAAAACGAAAAAAAGATTCTCGAAATGATGGACGAGGATCCGGATTTACCCGATTATGTCAAATGGAATTTGAGATTAATTCTAGAGAACAATCAAACAATTCGATCAGAAATTTCCAATTACCGAGGTCTCACAACGATTTTTATTAATAATCGATTCAAAAATCAGTAGTTGTCTTTTTCGTTTTATTTCGTTTTTTTTTGCACAATTTGTTTTTTGTTATTGTTGAATTTGTTTATGAAGTCATGTTGAATAATTATAAAAAAAATAAGGTCAAAAATTGAAAAAAAAAGAACTGTGAGCAAATATACTGTATGAAGAAAATCTATATACATATAATTTTTAGAAGAAAAAAGGAAAATGAAATATTTTACGAACCGAACCGGAAATAGCACCTTATGAAGAACGAAAAAAAGAAATAGGGTAACCTAAAAACATTGAGTTGAATAATTAAATTTTGGTCTCTGGACCATTTGAAGGATCGTCATTTTGGAAAGAATCACGAAGTCTTTGCATTTGACGAGCCATTATACTACCGTATACTTTATTGTACCATTGATGAGTTCGACCTCTGCAAAATTAGGATATTTTTTATACAAAGTCAAATTTTCTCAAAAAAAAACAGTTTTTTATAGAATTTGAAAAATATTGAATATTGGGGAACATTTTAAAAAACATTAAATAAATAAAAAACTTTCGAATTCATATTTATTCGCACTAAATTTATGTCACGTGGCAAAATTTTTCCAAATTTTTACAGAATCTCGAAAATTATGTCAGAAATCAACAATTTTTTAGGGTAAACCAAAAAAATTTAGGATAAAAACTTTGGAAAACTTTCAAAACTTTTGCAAGCTGAATTTTAGTTGCGCCAAGTTTTAATTTTTTTCAAAAAGTTTTTATCCGAAATTCAGCTTTCCCAAAAAAAACTGTTTCCATTCTTATCAATAGCTTTCGAAAAAATTGACCAAAATGAACACTTTTATATTCTCGCAAATTTAGTTTGGGAAAACTTTTCGGAACTTCCGGAAGTCGCAAGACCGATTTTCTTCAAAAAAAAATCCCCCACACTCACTTCAAATCAACTCTAGCAATATAATTAACTCTCGATTGTCCCCCACTCTTCGGTTCAATCAAAAATCTTTGATCCAAAACCGCCGCCGATAATCCTCCCAACATTTGTTGCTCATTACACTGCACACTTCTTTCCGCAATCGCACAAGCTCCTCGAATCTCCGTAAATGAAGCAGAATGGAATCGAACCAGACAAACATCTTTTGTTGGATGACTGATTGTCTCATTCAAAACATATTGATGAATATCAGTATCTGGTTGATTAACATATTCCAAATGCCGCCAATTAATCACATTACAATCCCAAATGTGTCTTTCTCGCATTATTCGACTCATTACAACTTTTGGCGGTGCTTCGATATCAATCCAAACTCGATATGTTTTCAATGGATGCGAATCATTTGCTTTTTTCGATGATATTTCAATTCCACACCACGGTGTTTCAATTTGCCATCCTTTCCATCTTTCTCCATGATCTTTTATCATATCAAATACTCGATCAATCAAAAATGTTCGTGGACCTTTCAATCCCAAATCTTTCAATGCTGGAATATCTTGTTCAATATCAGTTCTTTCATCAATACAATCAGGCGCCATGAATATAGTTTTCGAATATTCAATCAACATTGTCAGACATTGTTGACAAGCTCGCGTTTCTTTCATTTCTTTTTCAGTTGGCATTCCAGATGCACCGATTGTTTTATGGCGGCGAGTTGGTGTTGACATTTTATCGAGGCGAGAGGCGGATAATTGGAATAATGAGGGAGTGAAACAAACTGCTAGATTTTGAGCGGTCATCTGAAATTATGGAAGATTGGGGTAAGAACATTTTTTTAGAATATGGCAGCGCCTAGAGTGCCTAGTTCTCAAGTAGGCACGCTTTGAAAGCTTCTATACCAAGTAGGCGAGCCTACAAACTTTAAGTTTTAAGTAACCACGCCTTAGGAATTTGATGAGTCCAGGGACCACATCTATAGAACCACTCTGACAAGAAACCGTGACTTGAGGGCTTCTATATCAAGTAGCCGACCCTAGAGAGCCTAGTCCAACCATTTTCCACACCTTTCTAACCCAAAAACTCACATTATTAACTTGCGAATATTTGGCAACGTCTCTCAAAAACATCATCAAAGTCTGAACAGCTTCTCGATTCTCATCAGGCATTAAAATCAATGCATATTGAACAGCCAACAATCGATCAACTTCGGGAACAAATTGGAAAATATTCGAGAAAATCTCCGACATTTTAATTGTCATTAATGGTTCAGGCAAGTCCCTCAAATATTGTTTGAGCAAATCAGCCACGTCATGAACTTGTCCCGAATCCAAACTATTGTCACCAACGAAAACATCGCCGAATGGCGAGGGATCGCGATCAGCGATTTGACGAAGTTCTGCGATTCGAGATTTCACACCATTTTTCCGGAAAATTCCCACGGTTTCCGGTGCCATTTGACGTAAAAATCGGAGAATTTCTAGAATTGGACGTGGCAAGCAGAAACCACTTCGACGATAAATTGTGTCCAAACCAACACCAAAAACTCCACCGTCATCGATATCTGGAACTTTGGAATTTTTTAAAAATTAATTAATTAATTAGAAAATCAAAAATTACCTTTAGCCCCTTTTCCATCATTAATTTTCATCTTTTTAATTAATTTATGAACACTCCAATTATTATTCGGATTTGTTTTCAATGTTGTTATTCCATTTTCATCCATTTCTCCAATTTTGCAATTCACACCCATTGTTTTTTCGAGCATTGCAGTTATTTGAAGATAGGCTAACTTTCGGAGTCTCGCAATTTCGATGATGTTTAATGAATCCATTGATCGAGCCATTTCGACATCGGTGAAAAATGTTTCATCGAGTCCACTGCTGAAGTTCCAGATGTTGAAGGTTTTCAGTTTCTAATTTTTTGTATATCAAAAATCTAGATTTTTTTTCTGGAAAACCCAAAAAAATAAGATCAGATCTTTTTAAAATGAAAATTCCAGTTTTTTAAAAGTTGAAAATTTCAGAAGACCAATCTCCCCAGGACTTTTCCTCCTACGGTAACCCGCTCCGCTTACCTTGATGTAATCGAACTTGCCATCAATGAAGCATTTCTCTTCTTCAAATTTTGCCACGATCCATTCGAACTTAACGAGGTAGAATTATTGACAGATGACGTGGATAATAAAAGAGATTGTTGTGATAAAAGAGGTAGACAATATTGAAGAATTGATTGACGAATTCGTTGAGTTGACGGACCACTTGGTGAACGAGACAAACTTGAGCCAACTCCAGAATCACGTCGGCGATTCAATGTTGATGACAAATTTGTGTTCATTGTATTTGTCTCTTCGTCTGTAGTATGATCAACTGAACTTTCGCCAAAACATTTTTGAGTTTCAACTTTGAGATGCGATGAGGTAGAAGGTGAATCATCAAAACGATTTCGAGGTGGCATATCTGAAATTAGCCTAATTAATTAATTAATTGATAATCAATCAATAAAATAATAATAATGAGGAAAAAAGTTGATTAGTATTTCAATGAAACAATTGTTAGATACAAACCATGCATATAATAACCATCAGATTGAACCACCAAATTATGTGATCTTTGATCAGTTCGAGCAACAAGAAGTCCTCCGTTTGAATGTGGCGGCGGCGGTGGTGGAGGAGTTTGTGGAAGTGGGGGAACAGGTTCGGAATATGGTGGAATACGGGTTAGACCGCCAGATCGAGATGGTCTGAAAAATATTGAAAAATGATTTCGGGAGGATTTACGTGAAATTAATTTTAAAAAACTTGATATGAAATTTAGCGCGTGATTTTTCAGATTAAAACATTCAGTAAATTACCGTAAAAATGGAACAGGGACTTTAGAACCTTTGGAACTTAATTAGGAGCGGCTGGAACTTATCTAGAGGTTATCTAGGAATCTTTGGAATATGTCTAGGGACCCTTCAACATTTCTAAATGAATTTCAGTGTTGAAATTTATTTGTCACATTTAAATATTTGAAAAAATACTGTAAGAATAAAGCAGGGCTTTTAGAACTTATATGAAAATCCTTCGAACCTATCTAAAGAACTTTTCTATGGGCCATCAAAATTTTAACAGCGTGAAAATTCAACAAACCTTGTCAACGAATTCGTCATCAATCCACCATTTGCATATAAAAATGCGTCAAGTGGTGTTCTTTCTCTTCTCGTCGGCATACCGTATTCCGAACTCGTCACCGTCCCATAATTTCCTCGCTGTCTTGGTGGAGGCATCGAACAATCGCGTCGATGTTGATTATGAACTGGCACCGGACGTTGATATCGTTGAAATATAAATGATTCCGGATCAGAAGATTCAGGACTTGAGGGTGTTAGAAGAACAACACCTTGTCGACGAGCTGATTTTGAGCGAGATTGATGATGATGGGAGTTTGTTAGGTTATTACTATTATTTAATTGAGAAGAGGCGGTTGGATAAAGGGATCGGCCACGGTCTAAAAAATAGATCACTGCACACATCATTCCAAAATAGAGAAAAACTAAAATGAAAACTGAGAAAAAAACCAACCAGGTAAATGTGTTGGCCTTGCTGAATTCATCATTCTCATTGATTCATTTGTTGCTGTATCATAAGAAACAAGAACAGGATCACCAATAATAAGAGTTCTGTCGGATGATTTTTGTTGTGATTGTTCAGGCGATCTTTCTTTTCTTCGTCGACTCGTCGATCTCAAATCCATTTTCTTTATGATTGCCCGCGCTCGATCTCGAATTCTTTCACTTTGTGATCTTTGAAGTTTTGCAGCAGCTGCAGCGGCCGCCGAATTATTTGAAGTTGAATTTGAAACACAAGCAATTGTTGATGTATTATCCTGAGTTGGTTCTCGTCGAGAAGGATTTGGAGCTTCGTACCAATTTGTTCTTGTTGACACTTGATGTCCACTTTGTCTGGAAATAAAGATAGGAGATGAGTTTGGGGAAATACTGAATCAGGTTGAATTCAAGGAAAAATATGGACCCTATTCAACCAATAAAAATGTATGGGACGAAAAATGAAACATTTTTAGAAAGTCAAAATTTGAACCCTTCATAAAAATGGCCCAAATTTGTTTTCGGAAAAAGGGAAAATCAAAATCTTGAACACCTTTTTGAAATTCCAAAGTTTCGAGTGGTTTTTTCTGATTGAGTTATGACGTGGCAAAGTTCAAACAAAAAATCATATAGCCACGTCATAACCCATATTTCCCCGAAAAACACCCAAAACTGCCGAAAAAAATCACAATCATCTTCAAAAAAAACTTATCCGTAACTAATAAATTTCGTGGGGGTTTGTTGATATAAAAATGAAAATAAAATAAAATAATGATAAAAAAATCGGGTGAAAGTTTTTTGCGCGCTATCAACTTTGTTCTAAATAAATTCTTCTCGTCTTTTTCGAAAAACCAAGAAAAAATTTCAAGAAAAAAAAGGAGAAAAAATCAATCGGGTGGTTCAGAAATGATGAGAGCTACTTAAAAAAGGCGAAGAAAAAACCAACTTGTCAAAATATGGCGATGATGAAGAAGACATTTGCCAATTGGGTTTTGTTGAGACAATTCGACTATTTGCTGCACCACTTCCATTAATTGTCTCGATTCTTGGAACCGAAGTTTGTGGATGTGGAATACGATTCCAAGTTTGAGATTGACGTTGATAATGCCAGTTATTTGATAGAGCAACCTATAAATGAATAGAATTTTAAGAAAATATGGGCTCTAAAAATGGATTATTTTTTAGTTTCCGAAAAAAATTAGACTATTTTTTTGAAGTGGTTCGATTCAGACATCTAAAAAGATCACTTTCTGATGCTTGAGCTCAGGCTAAGCGCAAGTTTGGCGTGATTCTAAACAACTAGTTCCCACAAGTGGCACTGTCTACAACTTTAGCTAATCCTAAGTTTGGACCTAATTTATGCAAGCCAAGCCTAAGTCTGATAAATTGGAAAATTAACAGGAGATTAAAAAGAATGTGATGAAAAAAAAGATATCGATATATAATTTGACATATAGCTAATTGATAATAATACGATATCTCCTTTTCTTTTCCTTCTTTTTTTGTTTTTGTATAAACGGGTGGTCAGAGAAATGACAAAAAAAAACAACTAATTTGCTGGAACCAACAAAAAATACCCAATCATCAAAGATTGGACCGAAAAAAATAAATTGATTGATTTTCTCAAAAAAAAAATAGAATCGAAAGATTGTTGATAAGCTTATGTTACCGAAAAAATCTAGGAATTTTTTTGGAGAAATTAATTTTGATATGCTAAGCACAATTCCAGTTAAATTTAGACTAGATCAATTCTTAACATGAGTTATGACGTGGCAAAATTGCGCTCAAAATTAATTCTACTCTTTAAAGATGATCAGAAGCTATTTTACTCAAAATTGATTCCAGAGAAGCTGAAACTTGAGAGTTACAATGACAAGTAGTCAAGCCTAGAGAACCGAATTATCAAGGATCCGCGCCTAGATAGGCTAGTTCTCAAGCAGCCGTGCCTAGTCAATCTAAGTGTCTAGGACCTGCGTATATGTCTCAACTCTGACAAGGAGCTGCGCTTTAAGAGCTTCTATGTAAAGTAGCCAAGCCTAGGAAATTCAATTTTCAAGAATCCACGGGTTCACAACGGGTGTGAGTTCCTAGAATATTTTACACCAAAAATCAAGAATTTTCAAGCCTTAACTATATTAAATATAAATATTGTTTTATCTTTTCTCTATCTTTTTTCTATCGCTCGCTCGCTAATTAATTAATTCAACACGACACAAACATAACATACTACTACTAATTTGGACGGACAAAAAAATCAGGCTTTTTTCTTTTTTTTTACACAACAACAGAATCTACCATATAAGAAAAGGTGGAAAGGAAGTAATAAATATGAATTATTTCTGGGAGGAGAAGAATGAAAGAATGAAAGTGTCAAAAACTGTGAGAATAACTTACATTATCTTCATCATCATAGGTGGCACCCGCATATGTCGAATAATCATTGTTCTGGAAGAAGAAAACATTATTTTGATAAATGAATAGGAAGTTAGGGAATCTCTAGAGATTTGAGAAAAACTGAAGTTAAGAATCTAGATTTGGAAATCCAAGTTCTACTGTATAAAATTCTGATATTTTTTGTTGATCTCAAATATTTTGAAAAAAAAAGTTGAAACCTTTTTAACCGATATGAAAAAAAGCAAAACTTGTTAAAAATGTCAAGCTTCTATAAAATGTAGTTTAAACTACACTATAGTTTCATACAACATTTTTCTATTCAAAATATTTTGAGAAAAGACCTTGGGACTTTTCAAAAAAATTGGGCTCCTCAAAATTAGATCCCTTGAAATGAAGTAGACCAAAATTAGGTTCATTACGAAATCAGGAAACTCAAAAAGACTGTAAACTACGCTGTAGTTTCAAGGTAGACAATTTTTCTGGTTTTTTTTGAAGATTCAGAGAACTAAGACTCTCCCTTAATCAATTTTTCAACATCAAAATCCAAATACAAATCTCCCCAACCCTGAAAAAAACCAACCATTCTTCGTCTCATTACAACGTTGTCCACTTTCATAATTGCGCATCGATTCAAAGTATCAATTCTTCGAAATAGCGATCGCAATGAATCGGTTCCAAGAAAACCGTGATCCCGTTCAACAACTTTTGTATCAATTGGAAAATCGCCTTCTGCAAAAATCAAGATTTTTTTCTAATTTCAGCCAATTACAAATAAACCAGTAAGATCAAATATTTACCCAAAACTTTTTTTCAAAAAATGATGCGATTCGGAATAAATTTGACAAATTTCTCATAAAATAAAATCATTCATTCAAAAGCGAAAAAAAAAGATTTGCAACTTTTTTTTGTAACACTCACATAAAAAACGGGTGTGGCAGGACAGGTAGCAAATTTGTATCAAGAAAAAAACATTTTTGGGGGATTTTACTTGGAAAACTTTTTAAATCCCAAATCCAATTCCATTCTTATCAAATTAATCAATGTCGTGTGTTTTTTTCGAATCAAAATTAGTCTAATTTGATTCCAGAATAGGATAAGTTTTATGAAAATTAGAGGGATATATTATTATGTAACAGACAAAAAAGTGAAAATTGATTGTGTCATTAGATTTCAAAAAGAAAAAGAAAAGTGAAATATTTTTGACGCCCTGAAGAATGAAACTGAATGAAACTGGAATCTTGATATATCCGATGAGAAGTGAAATTTGGAATAAAATTTAATTGAGGTTTTTAAAAAAATTGAAAACTGAAAATTGATGAATTTTGGCTAAGTTTCTTGCTGGATTTTTATAGAATAATAAATGTTCGGGTAAAAACTAAACAAATCAAAATCCAATTAGAAGTGAAATTATTGCGGTCAAACACTAACAATTATTAGTTTAGTGAAACTAATGTATTTCAGTTTCCAAGAACCCGCTAAAAGTTTTATTATTTTCAAAACAGGTTAAATTTCTGAAAATCCGGCCAAAAATTCTGAATCTGAATTTTGAAATGTTTTTTGAACAGTGAAACTTCGAGCCTATAATGGCATTTGAAATTAAAAATTATATTGCGTTTTTTCCAGTCAAAAACTAATAATGAGTACTTCTTTGAGACTATTCAAATTCAGTTCCAAAATTCAGCAAAGTAAGTTTTCCCCAGAAAAATCCCAAACTTCAGAAAAAAATCGAAATAAAACTTCTTTTTCCGAATTTCAACTCAAAAAACCTCGAATCAAAATTTGTAAGTGAGGTTAATGAGATGAGATGACCTTCATTAGGAAAAATGAGAGAAGAGAAAATTGAAGAAAAAAAAACAACGCTATTTCCGAAAATTTATCATTTGACAAATCTCCGCTTTTTTTCGACAGTAATATTTCATATTTGAGAAATAAAATGAAAGGCGTCTCGAATTTGTCATTTTTTGGTTTGAAACAATAAAAACTAGAGTTTATCAAAAAAATTGAGAACTAAATACATAAATATATCGTTAAATAAAAACGTTTTGTTGATTTTGTGTAGAGCATATTACACTTTGAAAAAAACTGTCGGGAAACTTTTTTATGAAAACAATTTGAGAGGAAAGAATGAGCTCTGAAAGTTAGAGAAACATTTTTAGTTTCAGGAATTTAAATTCTGTGGAAGTTTTGAATTTTGGTTAGAAAATTGAATTAATTTGAAATTTCAGAATCTCAGAAAATATTATAAAATTTTGAACACCTAAAATGAAAATTGGCTTCCTGGAAATAATAAGTTTCAAATTTCAAAATCTTTTTTCACAAAAAAATCCCAGCTTCTCCGATTACTGTAGTTTTGATACCAAATTATCCCAAGTTCCCTTTTTCAACTAACCTTCAAATTGTTTCACGTATTGCGGAAATCCAGCTTGTTTCAACCAATTACATGCTTCATCGGCATCCCGTTCTGTAAAAATCAAAAATAATTCCTTATAAGGAATGTGTCCACAAATAAATAACACCAAAATATTTTCCAATCATTCGCCCATTATTTTTTATGGGTCTCGACCGGAAAATATGCAAATTTATAGTAAAGAAGGTCGAATAGTTTTTGACAGGCCAACAAAAATGATCAAAAAGAACCGAAATATTTGTGTTTGGGGCGGGCATGGAATTCTTCACGGGGCGAACGAGAAAAAAGGTTCGTAAAGTCGCGAAAAATAATAAAATCATAATTTTTATTGTGTGTCTTTTCTTCCACCTTTTTCAAATAGTGAAAAGAGAGGAACAAAATAATAATAAAAACCATAAAATTTCAGGTTTTTTGGAGAAAAATAATCAAATACTAATAAAAGTGAGCACAAAGTCCAAGGGTTTGTGGAACTCATGAAGTTCAGAGTGGAAATTTTTTCTTTAAAAAACGGACCTGGTCCTAATTTAACAACTCCAGATTAAAAGTCTTCATATAACTTTTTTCTTCAACTTTCTTCGGAACCCATATGGTACTCAAAAACTTTCAGATAAAATTTCTGAAAAGCTTGAATCTTCATGATTTATCTGTAAAACTGAAAAGTTCACCTAAATTTGTTTGTCTAAAATATTCTGCCACGTGAATGCTTTTATCTCAAAAAATGCTTTAAATTTTGTTTTTAAAATCAATATTGCTACGTGTTCTTTGAAATATTTTTGTTACGCGGACTTTCTCACTGAAAACCTGTTTTGAAGTTTTCATAAACTACTAAAATTCAAGTCTTGCAAAACTCGGTAGGCCACTCCAACTTCCGCCGAAAAATCCTAATGTTGATTTTCTGATTTTCAAAAAAATCTAGTCTCAAAATTGAAATACCTATCAAATTTCTATCCAGTTACCATAACTCACTCAACTTCCTCCTTTTCCTAATTCTTCTCCAATCTTCCGCCTGATAATATCTCATAGCTCGATTCCAATAATAATCATAATTTGAAAAATATGAAAAATCATAGAATTTTCGAGGAATCGGCGGCGGTAGTGGTGGTAAGTACATTTATTCAGATGAAATAGGAAATCATCAATTGAAAATGATTAAAATAATATTCGTATCCTAATCAAGTGTTTTTTTTTTCGGGCGCGCGTTCGATTTATGACACTTTTTCCTATGCCTATTAACACTTGGGTCTTGTCAAATATTTGGAGACGACAAATACAATACGAATGATAAAGAGAAGTCGGCCAAAAAAAACCTATGATTTATGGATATTTTACATACCGTACGTGAATTGGCAGTTAGTATTAATTTACACAAACAATATTTCAAATGAGTATATGAATTTGTAAATATTTGTCTGTGAGACTGTGAGACTAATTATTCCCCATAAATCACTTTCAACCAGATTTTAAACAACAATTTGTGATTTTTTTGTTTTCCTAAAATTAATTTTAGTTGAAATTAGGATAAATTCAAATATTTTTGATATTATCAGGATATCTAAATTAGCCTAAGTTTCACGAAAAATTCTAAATTGTTCAAATTTTCTTTTGAAATCTCTTCCCAGTTATCCTATATCCATTTTTTTTCGCATCCATTCAAAACATATCAAATATTTGTAAAACAATGTAATTTTTATCAAGTTTTTCTGTCGCGCAGCAAAAGATAATTATGAAAATGTTGCGAAAAAATGGTTGTAGCTATGTACATTGATTTACGATCATTTGTAATGATTTATTATCTGACAATCAACATATGATACTCAGGCTAACGAAAATGAGGTACGCAGCCAAATAAAACACATGTAAATAGAAAAAAGGAGAGCGCAAGAAAAATTCGAGTTTGTGTTTGTTGGGAAATGACGATCAGGTGATTAGACAAAAAAGTGAACATTTATTTGATTTTATATGAACTTTGAAAGATCGATAATCAGATTTTTCGAAAAAAAAAATACAAGTTTCACGTGGCAAAAGTAAAAATGTAGTTTGAATTTTTTTTTGAAAATATAGAAATCGATATTGAAACTCGAGATTTCGAATTTTTTCTCGATCAAAAAACTCATTTGAAATATTCAAAAACATGACGCGAAAAAAAATTATCGAAAAAATTTCAGAAATTTTTTTTGAAAATGGTTTTCTAAAGAATGATGACACGTGGAAATATCGGAAATTTTTCGAAAAATCTCACAATCAAAGGAAATCATTAAATTTTTTGGCGCGAAAAGTCCGAAATTCAGGTCACATAAACTTTCTCTGTACAAATTCAAAACTGAAAAAATGAAATCACTAGAAAAACATTTCCAAACCGTATTCCCCAAAAATTACAAGTGTTCAAAAAAAAAACGCAAACAACTAAATAAACAATTCGGATAACTACATAAGTACAGTAAAAATCATCTAATTGTGAGAAGAAAAAAAAGTGGAAAAATCACAAATCATGCGAAAAAGTGGTGAATGTGGTGTTTATCTAATTCATTTTCCTTCTTTTTTTTTGCATTTTCTAATCTTTTTTCCAAATATTTTCGTTTTCCCGGTGTGCCATCTCCCAAAATCTAAGAAAAATAAAAAATACAAACTAACCTGCAAGCTGTTTTGCAAATGAATTCGTTTTATGCAAATGATTATTATTATTCGCCAAATTCTCCTTCGATTTATCCAAATTGATATTTTCGTTCGATTTCATCATCAAATTTGTCGAATTTTTGGGTAGAACCAGCGGTGAAAAATGATTTCTTTTTGGTAACATCATATTATCATAAACACTGTCAACAATTTGAGCTGTTGAGCGACGAGAATTTCGACGAAAATCTAGAAGAAATTGTTGTTTTATTTTTAGTATAGTTTAAAGTCAGAATCATTTCTTCCTCAAAATCAATATTTGTTTCATAATAATAGAAACAACAACAACAATTTGTTTCAATCGAGGAGTGCAACCATATGAATCATTTCTTTTTTTTTTTTTTTGATTTCAATATGAAGAAATCTCTGATTTTTTTTTTGCTCGGTCCGGAAAAATGGGGTGATTTGATTTGTCTCAAATAAAAGTGTTCAGGATTTTCAGGGCAAAAAAAATCTGACGCCAAAAAAAACTGAAATATAATTAGAAAAAATCATGAGTTTCAGCCGTACCTCTTGATTAAAAATTTTCGAGGTTTTCACTTTTCAGATGATTTTATTACGGTAAGATTATTTTGGGTAGTACATTACACTCTTTGAAAAACATCTCGAAAAATTTAGAATAACTGTCCTGAAGCTCAATTGAAAATTAACATTACAAGATTTCTCCAGGATTTTATTTTCAAGAATTTAATTTTTTTTCAATATCTTTTGTATTCAAATTAAAAAAATTGTTCAAAATTCAATAAACATTCGGTTATAAAAATTTTCAAACTCCCAACTTCCACGTTTTCAACAAACCAACAATCCAAACTAATTTTTGATCCTCTAATTTAGCCCCACTCTCTCTGATCAAAGATTCCAACTCACTATTTGGTAATGAATCATACGAAGTTCTCATTTGAATAGGTGAAGCCTCTTGCTTCTGCAGAAATTCCTTATGATATTGAACAGCAGATGGTTCACCATATTCCAATAAAAGTGCCAAACCTTCATCCATTTGATCGAACACACTAAAATTTTTTAATTTTTCATATTTCACCATGATGTTTACACCAACCTTTTATCGATAGTTTTCTTATTATCAACAGCAATCAAACTAGCAACTTCGCGATCAGCTTCATCCGAAGAACTTTCGACAAATGTTTTTGAATTGCGAATAACTTCGGTTCTAAAAAAAACACATATAAAATTGGGAAATTGAAAACATGTGTGGATGAAAAAACCACAGAAAAAAAACACAAACCTTGGCGTATTTTCCAATGGTGTTTGAATATCTCGAAGTATTCCTTCAGTTGCATCATTTATCCAATCAAAAGATGAAGACCGAGAAGCAGCGAATGGAGTAGTTTGGGTGCCAGCATCCTGAAAATTGGATTTTGAAAAATAAAATGAGGAGCCATTAAAAATAGAAATGAAATCGAAATTATTTAGTTCACGCACGGAATATTTTTGAATTTAAATTTTTTATAAAAAAAATTTGTGGAAGAAAAAAGATGGCCTAGTAAACCAAACATTTCCTTTTTCATTGAAAAATTTCAAAAATTCAAAATCTGTTTTTGACAACGTTTTTTTGGCTGAAAATTGTAAAAGATCTAATTTTCGATTCAAAATTCCCTGCATTTTCAAAAACCCACCTGCGACAAAAAATCCATGACAACCTTAGGCTTCGGAATTTTATCAATGGCTAATTCTTTTGGTCGATCTAATGCAGTATGTCTGGAATCTTCGATTGTTCGAATAAGCGCAGAAATGACACGATTCACACTCGGCTGAAACAAAAACTTTTAATTTTTATTTGAACAAATGTTTTTGTATTATGAGCCAACCTTTTCCTCAATTTCTTCTTCTTTGGCTTCTTCCACTTTTGATCTACATTCGGCCTGAAATTGAAAAAAAATATTATTTGGAACATTGAATTTTGTATATTTTCAGTTCCCAAATCTTACACATGGTGGTAGAAAATAATCGATATTTGAAGACGATTTGCTCATTCAATCAATCCTAACTGAAAACTTATGTTAGAAACAGTCAAAAAATGGGCACGGATGAATCATCATTGATAGAAAAAGGAAGAAAAAAAAGAGTAGAGTGAGTGATGACTCAGATTAGGAACCATTTTGGCGCCAAATTGTATTTTTGAATTGATTTTGAAAATTTGTTAAAATGAAAATAAAATAAGGAGAGAGAAATGATCAAGAAAGGAAATCGAAAGAAGAAAAAAAGAAAGTATGATATTTTCTAATTTGATTAGAACATTGAAATGTTATCACAAAATTGAAGAGACAGCAGAGAAATTTCATGTTTTGTTTTTAAGTAGATTTGTTTCACTTTGACAAAATAATAAAACAATGTTCGGGGGTTGAATTCTTCAGGGAAACTTGTGCTAAATAGATGGGAATCAGAAGAATTCAGATCAAACAACACAAAAAGAATTAAAAAAATAATACACAGACAATGAAGTTTGCTCCAGCGCACACACATTTATATGAAAAAGTGGAATAATTTTTCAAAAGGAAATAAAAAACGTATGAAAAAAATCTTTCGAATCGCATTTTCAAAAATTTCAAAGTTCCTTTATCCAAAAGACTAAAAACTAATGAGCTTAAAAATGTGTGAGAAAATGAAAAAAAGTTTTAGCATTCGTCGAAATTTGAGAATATTTGAATAAGAGAGGTTGGGCCAAAAATGGAGAGAGACAGGGTTATACATATTTAATTCTAGCCTCTAGGACTAGGATTGTATTTGCATTTGAATATTTATTTATTTTTGAGGAGAGTGGTCTTATCAACAACTTTCAATTTTATTTATTTCGATTTCTATTTGTACTATGCGTTTTTTAAACTATGTGCCAATATAAATAATAGAATTGGCCAATTTCCTAATAATAAAAGCAGGAGAAAAACGAGAAAATGAAAATGAAAATGCCTAAACAGATGTGTATAAAAAGACAGACACCTGCCTCTTCTGGACTCATTTTTTTCGTAATTTGAATTTGACAAAAAAAACTATAAGGAAATCTTATACCGATTTTTTCTAGAATTTCAAATTAAAAAAAAATTGACAGATCATTTTATGAAAAAGACGTTTATAAAAATACAATTTTACCCATTTGGAAAAATGCAATAAAACAACATTTTTTCTCGCTTTGGTACTGAAAAATTATCAAACTCAACGTTCCGAATTTTTAGTTTCAGTTCTTTCGAAAAAAACTTCTAATGTTAAATTTTACAATTTTATTTCTATTTTTCAGTCTTTGCCTTGTCTTTTTCTTCCTTCTCATATATGATGTTCTCGGTGAAAATGGGGAAATATCCTGATTTCACGAAAAAAAAACCGAATTGAAAAAATAAACGAGAGAGTGTTGCGTCTAGAAGAGACGAAAGAGAAGGAGAGAAAATGAGAGATAGAAAAATGTTGGAGAGAACGCCAGACAACACGACTTTTGTGAATTTTTCCAAACCCCAAAACCATTTTTCGTTTTTTCACCAAAAATGCTAAAATCGTTCATATTCAACCAAATTCAAAGATCTTTGCTGCAAAAGATAGCAAATCATCGAGAATAGAGATTGCAAAAAGAAAAAACTTCGAAAACTTTACACCAAACACTAAAAAACTATGATTATAGGTTTTTCGCCTTGATTTCCCGCTTTTCCAACCTAAAATACATTTCCAAAATCCTCGAGAATAGAGATGGAAAAAGAAAAACCTCGAAAACAATCCTCATTCTTCCAATTTTCATGTGAAATTTTAATTTTGAAAGATTTTCAGTTCTTTGGAGAAAAATAACTTCTAATGTTAAATTTTACAACCCTATTGTTATTTTTCTGGCTTTGTCTTGTCTTTCTCTTCCTTCTCATATATGATGTTCTCGGTGAAAATAGTGAAATATCCTGATTTCACAAAAAACCGAATTGAAAAAATAAACGAGAGAGTGTTGCGTCTAGAAGAGACGAAAGAGAAGGAGAGAAAATGAGAGATAGAAAAACGCTAGAGAGAACGCCAGACAACACGACTTTTGTGAATTTTTCCAAACCCCAAAAACATTTTTCGTTTTTTCACCAAAAATGCTAAAATCCTTCATACTCAACCAAATTGCACAATCTTTGCTGCAAAAGATAGCAAATCCACGAGAATAGAGATGGAGAAAAGAAAAACTTCGAAAACTTTTCACCAAACACCAAAAAACTATGAATATAGGTTTTTCGTCTTGACTTCCCTTGATTTTTATGATATTCTATTTGCTTTCTATGAACACTTTTAATGTTATTCATTTTCTATAGCTTCTAATCCAAGGAGGTGATATCGGAAGTGAAGCGAATCAAAAAAGTTAGGACATCTCTTAAATAGCAACCCCCGCCCCCGGGAAAAGCCCCCCCTAGACTAAAAAAAATGAACCAAAAATTTACACCAAAAACAAAACTATTTACAAATAACTGACTGACCAGACAAAATAATAAAAGAAAATGAGATGTGTGGTTTGGTTTGGGTGGAGAAAAAAGTAAACGGGACACCAATATGTCTGCGTCTCCTATTTCATATCTATATTTTCATTCGTCCAACTGCGCAACTTGAGTTGCTTCTCCTTTTCCCCTTTTCTTTTTCAATGAGTCAGCAGAGATTGTAAAATATATCATGTCTTACTTATGTTAGGATTGGTTTATTGAAAAAAAAACACCAAAAAATCTTGTAAAGAGAGAAAAACGATAGACGAAGCGGAGAGGCTACAATAATAATAAAACAGCGAAAAAATCACATAAAATCAAAGTTTTCGCCTTCCGTTACATCGTTAAACCATGCGAATAATCACATTTCGGGAATTTCTTTTGGCGTTTAGGAAACACTTATTTACAACAGGGGAACTGTTAAAAATTGGAATAGTATTGATAGAAATTTGGCTAGAAGATTTTGGAGCTAATCTTGGATTCGGAATCTATGAGAAAAATTCAAAAATAACTTTTTCACTATTTACAGATTTTTGTGAATCGAAATATTTTTTTAAAATATGCTTGAGAGGAACTTATTTGGAATAGGAAGTTTTTTAAAAAAATGGAGTTCCTGTAAATATGAATTCCGAATCTGAAGTTCAGGAATCTAAAAATCTGAAGCTCAAGAATCTGAAGCTAAGCTCATTAATAAAAGAAGTTTAGCAAAAAAATGAGATTTTTGAATAGGAACCGATTTTTAAGATGCTTGGAAAAACATTTTTCAAAAAAATTCCCCTTCTCCCAACCCCCTCCCCCTTGAACTAACCTTTTTCTTCCATTTATCCAAATTATCAACCTTCTCCTCATTTCCCTTCAATATTTCTTCACTTTCTTGCGAAGATGTTGAAATTGTTCGAATCTGCGGAATCGAAAACCTCGATCCAGCCACAGTTTCATTCTAGAAATGACAAAAAAATAAATTAGATCACGAAATAATTGTTCCCCAAAAATAAAAAAAATTAGAACACGCTGCCAACTCATTTTTGATCCACGTCACAGATAAAACACATTATAAAAGCAATGGTTGAAGCTCAGTTCCCATCAGAAATCTAATTTCTACCTAACCTACTTGAATTCTACTAATCCTACTACTACTTCTACTAACTAACAATGCCAAAGGTAAGTACTGTATGGGGAGGAATAATCCGTACAGTAACCCGATGTTTTGCAGAAAATCAGCATCTACACTGCTTTTGGTCAATTCATCGAAATGATCGAAGCAACCACAGCAACAAATCAAATTCAAGAAGAAACTGAAAAAGACACTGATAATTTGTTGTGTGATTTCTTCACACTAAGTGATTATCAACAAAATCTTTCAACTCTTCAAATCCAAACTTGTCCAACTGTTGTTTATGACAAAGCCGATTATTCATTGTGTGAGATTCGTAAAATCAAATCGTGCCCAAATTTCATTTTGCCACCAACTATCAAATGGCAAATTCCAATGGCTCTTTCATCAACCGATTCATCATATTTCTTGAATTTGGCAACACCAGCAATGCTTCAATATTGGGAAGATATTCAATCACCAATTCCAACAACAATTGAGACCCGAAAATTGAATGATGCCACATCGGATATGATTTCATTTTGGAAAATTCATGTTCAATCGCGTCGCAAGCCATCAGCTCAACAACAAGCTGAGCCAAATATCATTGAACAAATTTCGACTGAATATTTTGTGCCAACTCCAATCAATCCATCGATTTTTGAGAAATTGAATGGTGTTTTCGAAAATACTTACAAATCACCAATCACTTCATGGTATCAAGATATGCAACGATTGTTCGATGAAAGTCCTGATGTCTTCACATCATCATTTTTGGAGAACTTCAATCAATTCTTCAGCCCAAAATCGGAAGAAAAAGATGAATGGCCAATTGGACCATTGAACAAGGATTCAACCGCAAATCACAGTTTGAATTGTCTTTGTTATAATTGCTGGAGACAGTCTGCCTTCACAAGAACTGCTCCAACAAATGAATGCTATTCTTCAAATGCTCCAACTCTTCCAGTTTTTGTCAAAAGTCCAGTTGATTCTTTAAATCTCTACAATTGCGGCAAAATCAGTCAAATTGATTCTGCAATTGATTCAGAAAATGTTTCAACTTCTGGAAATCAAGCTGACGCTGAAGACAGTGGTAAGATCTTTTGAATATTCATTTTTATTCGGAGAACACTGTTTTTAATTTTCAGATTCTGACAGTGGAAGCACCCTAGACTTCTCGTCGGATTCAGAATCGACAGATTCGACAAGCGGTTCAACATTGGATTTCTACATCAGAGAAAACGAGTTGCTCACTGCGAAGACCAAAATCCAAAATGTTATTATCAAGAAATTCATGGCTTTGGTGGATATTGATGATGCTTTGATTAAACTTAGAGATGAATGATTTTCTATTAATTCTTGTGTTTTTTTTTGTTGGATTTATCCTAAGTCTTGGACTCGGCTAAGGTGAAGGTTATCAAAAGCCTCCGTTTCTGTGACAGTTTTTTTTCTGCGTCTCTATAGCTGCCTGGTTTCTCTGTGTCTCTAACTGTCTGGTGTTCTCTAGATTTTCAACATAACCCACCTTCATATTCGAATTCTCCGTTCTCAAATCTCCATAAACACTTTGTGTCATACGAGCAATTGAGCTCTGCAATTTACGATCCGCCTCATTGAACACTTCCTCCAATCTTTTTCGAACTACACCTTTTTCACCATCTGCAAAAAAATAGGGATAGAACTCAATTTTTCAAACAAAAATATTCACTAACTTCCAAAAAACCTGGTCCGTTTTGCTGGAACTGGAGGTGGCGGGATCTTTGGCGGTTGTCCTCCGCCGGGCGGTTCCGAAGAAACTCGAAGGAAATTCGGGCGACTTAGTTCAGCCAGCTGGAAAAATGAGAATTCTTTGAGAAAGCTTAAACAAAACTACAACAAATTTTCAGAAAAATGCGGGAAAAGTGACATTTTCGGAGGAAGAAACGAATCGTCTCTTGGGAAAAATTATTCAAGGATTTTAGGAGGTCGGAAAAGATCAAGACACAAAACAAAAAAGTTTTTTGAAGATGTTTTTTTTTCGAAAATATTTTACGAACCTTTCCCAATAATTCTCGATGTCCAATAATTGGTTTAATTTTTCCATCCGGTGTACTTTCCCCATCTCCTTCTTCCTCGTCTTCAGAACCTTCTGATTGCATCACAATTGTTGTCGACACTGAATCTTCTCGTTCTCTACCTTGTTCTTCTCTTGTTGTCCAAGTTGGCAATGAAGTTGTTGACACATTTCGATTCAAGAAATTCGAATCCGATGTTGGTTCTTCATAAAGAGAAGTTGTCAAATCAATTCGACTTGAGGGTAGAGAATCCAATTCTGCGAGAATTTGTGAAGCCCATTTGGTCACCGAATCGCCATTTGTGAAATCTATATTTTCACCATTCAGATCACGAACTGATAAAGATCGCGTTTGATTTCTGAACAAAAAAAATTGAAAAATAAATCCATAAAAATATAAAATACCGTAATCCATATTCGTCTAACATCATAACATCCAAATTCGACGTTGAAGAAGTGTGTTGTGACTTTTTCAAAAGTCGAGATGCTCTTCGAGCAGCTGGTCCATTGATTCTTTTTCGAACACCAACAAATGAATTTGATTTCGACTGCTGAACAAAACACAAAAAATATTGAAATCAATAAAAAATGCTTATCAAAAAGTTACTTTTTGTGGGGTCTTTTCTTCGTTTTTATCAGCTTCGTCTTCCTCACTCGAAGTTAATTGTCCAGTTGCCAGAATAAGTCCAGTTTCCGGTTCGATTATTAGAGATTTTCGTTGTTTTCGTGTAAATCGACGACGGCGAAGAACTGGTGCTTCTTCTGAAGAAAATTGGAAAATTGAAGAAAAATGTAAGTTCTAGTCGGATTTTTGAATTAAAAATCAACATCCGAATGATTCTAGGTTATTTCAAAGTTCTATTCACATACATATATTTCAGAACAACTTAATTGGCAATATTTTTGAAGCACTTAAAAAAAATTGATAAAATTTTTTATTTTGGAAAAAGATTCCCTTCCTAAGATCGAGAGAACTGGAAATCAACAAATGTCTAATCAGAATCAAAGCTATCAGAACTCCAATCAGAACCAGAATCAGTACAGTTCTAGTAATTATGGTTAGACATCTGCTGATTCCCAGTTCTGTAGATCTATGAGTTCTGATTAGCTACTGTAGTTTACAAGTTAGCTTTATTTAAAGGAACATCGAATTTTCATAACTTTTTAGTGGTGAAATAATTATGACGTGGCGAATTTTCAAAAATACGAAAAACACTTGCGAATCAAAAAAGTTTGTTCAAATAAAATCAAACATATATTTTTTGATATGTTTTTTTTATTTTCATGACACAAAAAATACACATGTTTCGAATATTGCATAAAATTTCGTGTTTTTTCATTTCACTGAATCCCATTTTTTTTTTGCAAAATCAAAAAATCAAACCTGTCTGAATATTATGTTCAAATCTTTCCGCTTCAGCCAATTGCACTAATTCGGCAGCCGATCTTCTTCTTCTCAATTTCACCGGGTTTTCTCCTTCTTCGAATAAATTTGTGGCACTTTTTGAGATGTCTTTCTGAAAATAAATTAGAGTTTTGATTGGAAAAATAAATAATTTTCAAAAAAGAAATTAGTGCTCATAGATAATGAATGAAAAATAATAAGAGCTTGAGAAAACATCTGGATATAATCAAATAAAAAATAGTGTGTGAGTGTGTTTTTTTGTTTTCTTCGGAATACTACTACTTTTTATGCAAGATCTAAAACAGACAAAATATGTCAGAAAAAGAAGCGGATGAACACCGTGGCACAAGGGAATATTTGGACATTTTAATTGGTTATTTGACATATCAAAGGAGAAGGGAAATGGCGGGTAGAAAAAAGACTTGACATGTACTTTAAAAAAAAATAAAAACATGTTGAGGAGGTCGGATTTTTAGGGTTCAAGAGTAGCTTCAGGATTAGGCATTTAATTTTTTTTCGGAAAAAAATAGATTAGGTTTCAAAAGTTATCCAATAATTTTGAAGCCTTTAAAAATTTCTCTAAATTACCTACTATTTATCATAAAATCACAAAAAAATATATTTGGCTGCTTCGTTAGAAAAAATTATTAATAACTTATCAGAGAATTGCTCATGTTATTTGGTAGCCAAAAGAAGACCAAGAACAATTTTCAAGGCATTGCTCATGTTAGACTGAACTGAATTTCAAGCAAAAAAAATACAACTCGAAAATTTTCTCACAATATGGCTGGTGATAGAGAGAGAGAGAAAAAAAGGCTGATGAGAGAAAGGTTAGAAAACTAGAGAAAAATATTTTTGATCTACCGGAAACTTTATTTTTTGAAAATTTTGAGGTCTGTGAAAAAAACGTGGGGCTCTTCGTTTTTGTTTTTCGAAAATAAAACAAAAATATTTCCATTTGGACATCTTCAAATACAAAATGTGATTTGAAAACGAGTTACCAAAACTCAAGTTTCTTTATCTATCTACAAAACAGAAAAGAACAAGGTAAACATTTCAAGAACACATTTATTTTTAAACTTCAACAAAAATCTTATGATTCGAAACTTGACCAATTAAGTCGACTAGTCCAACGAGGTTAATGATATGATTCGATTAGTTTTTCGTGTTTCTCTATAAGAAAAACGAAAAAAATGGACATAAACTCATGTTTTTCTTTTTTTTGTTTGATAAATGAGTTGGGACCGGAAATGGATTTATGACCTGACAAGACAAAAAAAGAACCAACATGTTTTTTTTTCAAAATGAGAAAAAATGGACAACTATACGAATTTAAGATGATCCAGATTATCTGAAATGAATATGTGTGGTCAATAGAAAAATAAAGGGTTGGTTTTACTTTGAAAACAAAATTTGGAACGCTTCATTTCATGCGGATTTCAAGGTTGTTTTTGTTCGAAACTTTTTTTTTGAAATTAAATTATAGTGGGTTGAAAATTAAAAATAGATAATGTGGTAGTGGAATTGGCTCCAATGGCGTGTTTTGATAAGGAGAAATTGAAATTAATCAGGTACAGTAGTAAATAACAAAGAAAATTGTGTTTCCGATTTTTTATTGGAAAAATAAATAAATCAGAAAAAATACGGAATGAAGATTTGGTATTGAAAAATGTTGAGGGAATTTCAATGATTAACTTCAGAATCTGGAGTTTCAGAATTTTTAGAAAATTTATGTTCTATAGTTTTGGTAACAGATGCAAATTGAAAAATAAAGCTGAAACATTTTTTTTGCAATTATAAAAAAAGTTTTCAAATTATATTTTTTTCGAAATTCTAAAAACAATCCCAATTACCCTAAAACCTTTCAAAAAAAAAATAGAGTTTCCCTTTCCCACAGTTCAAAATCATTATAAAAATCCACAAAAAAACCGTCAGACCAAAAAAAATACATGTATGTACTTACAAATAAAATGATAAATTATGTGTGAAAGTGAATGAATGAAGAGAGAAAAGAAGAAAAGAAATAAAAAACCAGAACAGCGGAACTGATCTGATCAACCAAAAATAATAAGATTTGAATCTTGCTTAGCTATTTACATTTCCATAAACTAAACTGTTTAATTACTTGTATAATTAAAATAGAGGGTTTTCAGAGAACATATGTTCAGCAGGGTTAAAAAGGTCCCAAAAAAAGATCTCACTTTTCTGCCCGTTCAAAGTCTAAAATAATCTTAATTTTTTAAACCATAACTAATTCTAACTGAAAAAAAAACATTAAATTTTTTGTTTAATATGAGCAAAGCTCAGAAACTCTTGGTTTTAGAGCTTTTTGGAACATGAGCCAAAATCCATAGGTGTGAGCTACTTTTCAAAATTTAACTCACCACATCTTGATTATTCCGATTATTCAAACGTTGACGAACTGTTGACATTCTGAAAAATTCTTTAATTTTTTCAAATCAATTAAATATCCCCATTTCCCCCTAAAAACTTACATGTTCCCTTAAAACCCTTTAGAATATGAATACATTTGAGACAAGAAGAAAAACGCCAAAAATGAATGAAACAAAAGATTTTCGTATTCCTTTCTTCCTTCCGTTTTTGTTCTTTCAAATATTATGTAGGAAGACGAAAAAAGCCTGAAACATTTTTTTTGGGTGCAACAATTTTTTAAAGGAACAAATAAATATGAGTCAAAAATAATATTATACATTTTTTTGAGAAAATGAAAAATAAAACCTGGAGTCCAAAAAATTTTAAAAACTTTGAGCTTTTTCTAGAGTTCCAGACATAATTTTTTCCAAGTTATGCTATCTCAAAAGCACTTTCAAAATGTCAAGATTTCATTTAAAAGCAACTTGTTTATCTCCCTACCGCATCGTTTAAGAAATACAACAAAAATGTGAATATTTGATTTATTTATTAGCGTATCGGATACAGATGAATAAATTCACAAGATTTATTTTTCACAATCAATTCGTGGAAAAAGTACAATTTCTTTGTTGAAAGACCTAACACAAAAAAAAAGAAAAAGTTATGTGATGACTAATAAAAGGTATGATAAAATAAATATGCAAAAAAAAATGAGCAGAGACATAGATAGATAGACAGTTTATGAGCAATTATGACCTTGCAGAAAAAAGGAATAAAAATGTTGTCGAGAATTATAATAATTGAATATGTATATTTGAGGAAACTGAAGGAGGAAAATAAATAGATTTTTGGAAGAGGAAAAAGAAATTTAGGATTTTTAATTAAAAGGGCAATCAAAAAGTGTATACTTTTTGACTGGGAAAAAGTTCAAAAAGAAAAGCAATGAAAAATTTTGGTTTAAAATCTAGGGGGAACTTGAAATGCAATATTTTTAAGCAGAAATATTTTGAGAATTGAGCAAACCTTTTCGATTGAACATTTTGTGAAATCAAAAACCTGAGAAGCTTTACAGAAAAAAGCTAAACTCAAAGCAACTTTCCGAGAAAAAATATACAAATGAAAAGAAAACACATCTGACACACACTCACACAAGTTTTTCCAAAAACTACATGCTTTGACAATTTTTTTGGACAGTTGTAGTCCAGATGTTATGAGGGGTTTCTTTAGCGAACATGCATTTTTTCGCATATTTTTTGATTTATCGGCTGGGTGAGTTTTAGGAAAGTACCTTAAGCTAAGGTTAAAAGAAAGTTTAAGCCTTAAGCTGAGGTTTTAAAAAAATGTTTTGCTGAAAATGATGTTTCAAACCGTTATCAATTTTTTAGACCCCAAAAAAATTTAATAAATTTTTGAAACGTAGAAAATTCAAGAAATTTTTTCTAGATCAGAATTTTGTGCTGAAAATCAGGGGGAATTCTTCATTTTTCGCAATTTCATGATTTTCAGCACAAAATTTCAGTTTGAACCCAGTACAGTATTAAATTTCTAGATCCCAAAAAAAAAAATTTTAATTTTGAAACGTAGAAAATTCAGGTTCTTCATTTTCAGCATTTTTTTGTAGAATTTTAATACAAAATTTTGAATCCGTGATTCTTTTTTACCCTCAACTTTCTCATTAAAAGTTCCTCCCAAAAGATTCCCTCCTAATTCATGTAAAAACAACAATTCAAACACTAATTTTTCACAGAAAAATATACATAAAGTGTAAAGAAAGAAAGAGACAAATAATAGTTGGTTTTTTTTGTGTGTGGCTTAAGCTTGTGTATATGATGGCACCTCCTTGAGGAGCCACAGGAAAAAAAAGAAAATCGGTTGTGTTGTCAAGTGGATAGTAGATATTAGATGCGCTTGCCTTCGCGCTCATTTCTTTTTTTTGCTACGTAACTTTTTTTTGGTCGAAAAAAATGTGTTGGAACACAACATATTTGAGAAAAAGAGAGAGGAAATGAATGGATAAATGAAGAGCACAAGAACGAACATTGAGTTTGAAGTACAACAGTTTTTACCGAAATTTGGGGGAAGTTTTGGGAATTCTTTTGCAGAAATTTTAAAACTTTCAAAACTTTCAGCGTGGATTTTGTTTTATTAGAATTTTTTTAAAATTGAAAAGTATTTTATAATTGTTTTAACTTTAGAAAATTTAGAAAAAAATACTGTAATTCAGTTTGTAAAACTTTATGAACTACTGTAGTGTGAAAAAAAATTGTGCCAGGGTTGCAGTGGATCAAGATTCCATAGTTACATGATTCTGAAAAAGTTATGACGTGGCAAATTTTGAATTCTTTTTTTAAATTTACCGCTTCCAAATCGTATTTCTCTTGAGATTTCCCAAAAATTCAACCAGATTCAAATATATTTTAAGAACAAAAACAATAAAGCATCTCAAAAAGAGGGGGGAAAAAGGTATTTTGAAAGCACTCGAAAATCGTACCCGCGAAAAAAAAACATGTTTTTTTCTGTGTTTTGTGGAGACAAAAATGTTTCGGTTGAATTCTTTTTTTTCTCGCGTGTGAGAATTTTCGGTGTTTAGAGAATAGCAAGGAAATAAAAGTAGCAAAAAAGTTGTATTCAGGAAAAAAAGATCGGAGGAAGAAGAAATAAGGAAGAGATGAAGGGCACACCTTGTTTTGAGATCAGATAAAATTAGTCTGGAATAAAAATAAAACAGGCATCCCATTATTTTCACTGGCCGAAAATTCACGCCACGTGGAAAATGTTTGTGATTTTGAAACTTAAATTCGTCAAGTGCCAAAAAATTGTAACTTTTAGAGTCCGAATTTTCAACGTCGAGGGATATTGGAATTTTTGAGCTCAATAATGCCAAGTCGCAAATTTCTGATATATTTTTGAATCTAAACTTGCCCTGTGGCAAAATTTTCAGATTTCAAGGTTCAACAATTCACCCAATAAAAGTACGATATAAATTCTGAAAGTTTTCTTGAAGAATCGAAAGTTTTGAATAGCTAACTAAACTATATAGTTTAATAGACTCCGCCCACAAACAGAAATCAGGTTGAAAAAAACTTTTTTCATTTTTTTCAAAAAACAGGTGTAAGGTTTAGAGACGGCAGCTGTGAAACAAAAGCAAAAACCTTTCAAGGACACAAAATTAGGGATTGCGCAAAAACTTTAACCTCTTTTCCTCTAATTCATTTTCAAAAAAAAAAACAATTTCAAAACTTGAAAATCAATCGAAATCAAGTGTTTTATTTGAACTATGCGTAAAAATTTGCGGCTGGCAAAAAAGCAAAAAAAAAACTTTTTGACGGCGGGAGAAAAAGCAAGAAGAACACACATTTATTTGATTATATGATGTGATTTAAATTTTTTTTTGAGAAAGGGGGCCTTGGGAAAAAAAAGGGGGGGGGGTATATTTATTTTGTATATATGGTTTTTTCTCAGGTTTATTTATTCAACTTTCCAAATCTGACCAAAATGTGACCATAATAAACAACTTGAGCCGTGTGGTGTCCAAAAATTGACAATTGGGATTAACGACTATTTTTTTGACTTTTTCTGGGCACAAATTGAGCATAGTGGAGTTTTTTAGTTGGGTTTGGTAGAAATCAGAAAGAAAAAATCGAAAAAACATACCGGGAGAAATAATTTTTTTGAAATTCAAAGTTTCCCACGTCACAACTCATTTTCAGAATTTAGCACATTTTAGGGACCACCCACGAAGCTTCTGATTTAAATTGGTCTGAATTGAAAATCTGCAAACATCAATCAAACGATACGCGCAAATACCTACAGTACTTCTCGAGAAACATACGCAAAAATGTGTCATAGTGTTTGCAGACTTTCGTGATTTGGCAGAAATTCAAAATTTAAAATTCGCATGATTTTCTGAGCTCCAAGATTGCGACATTCTAACCTGGTTCGTTTCAAATTCAACTAATTTTTACACTAACCGTTTTAGAAATATACCTGCCACGTCATAACTCATATTTAATTGAGTTACAGTAAATTAAAACGTCAGAACAAAACAAAATATTCCCAAAATACTTCAGTTCCCCCCATTTTTTCTAAAAAAAAAACCCCCCCCAAACCAGATCGAAATTTTTACTACTTTAATTGATAATAGGATTAAAAATCGTTTTTTTAATAATTTGGAACTAATTCCAATGATCCTTTAAACAAAAAAAGTACATAATTCACCAAAAAACAGCGATGTTTTTCTCCATGTTTACATAGGGAAAAAATCAGAAAACAGCAAATTTTTGCATCGCATTGCGATAGGCATATTTGTCGATTAGATTATCTTTTCTGAAGGAAAAAAACATTTTTTCCAAAAAAAACTTATGAATATTTTTTATATGTTTTTGAAAAACGAAATGAAAACAATAAAATTGGATGAAATTTGAGGCAATTTTCAGAACAAAATAGAGTTTATTTTAAAAATTCATCAAAATTTCAACACATTTTCCAAAAAGAGGTTCTAGTTGTATGGTTCTAATTGAACTTTGGTGGCCATTTCCCATTCCAAATCGACGTATGTGAAATTCCAAACATCAGGTTGACCATAGTGATTAACACCAGTGATATTTGTATGATTCCAGCTTGAAATAAATAAACAATAGTATTTGAACGTTCAGAAAGAAGTAATGACTTTGCACGTTATTTTGGGTTATGTGAAAAAAAAGTACAAATAAAAGCGTTCGAGCAAAAATCCAATACGAAATATATGGCTACAGTAACCCGGACTGCGGTTCGTAAATTGAATACAGTACTCAGAATTTTTTTTCAAATGAAAAACGAGTGAAATTTTTAAAATTGAAAAAAAAACACTTTTCAAAAAACCTGGCAAAATTACGTTACGAAATTATTTAATAGTTTTATTAGAATAGTAACTGATGTTACTTTTTTGGCTAGGTTTTTTGAAAACAATTTTTGCTTTCCTAGTGAAGGAAAAATACGTTTCAAAAGAAATTGGTATTTCTTCATAATTGTAAAAAATGATGATGCATTCTACATATGAATTTATCCAAAGAAAAAATGAATTTCGCGACATTTTTTGTCGCAATTAAAATTAACTTCATTTTTTCATTTGTTCTTCAGATGAATTCATCCAATTCCCCTTGAAGATAAAAAAAACTTACTCAAAAACTGGCAATGGATCATATGGTGGTCCACCCCAAGCACGGAATTGCAACTTCTTGAACATTTCATAATTAGTTCCTTTGAAATCAAAACCAGCATGATCACGGAATCCCATCGATTCAACCTCATAAGTTCCCCCAGGAATATTCAAATCTCCACGAGCCGAAATGCCACCTTCTCCAGTATACGGAAGTGGAGTGCATTTACAACGAGCAAATTCATCATGTGTATAATCGTTATATCTCATCAATTTCATAAGTGTATCGATGTCAGTCACTTTGTTGTGATCTCGATTGAAGATGCGTGCTCTTGGTGAACCTCCCCATTCATACCATTTGAATTGACGAGCTTTGCCGTCGAATCCGGATTTTTCACTGATTGTTGGCAAATATGGAATGTTGTAGGATGGCCAATAAGTGTATCGTTTCAAATACCAAGTCATATCACGTTGATCAGTGAATCCTCTAAAAAATTAGAAAAGTTTTGGAATTTTCAGGGAAGAGGAGGATTAAGATGAGCAATCTAGTCTATCTCAAAAGTTAGGAAACCTCTCTAAAATCCCCAGAGGGGTTTTTCGAAGCTCCTAGAAAAACTGTTTCATAAACTCAGAGTTCAGAGATGGCTTTCTAGGCGCACCTTCTGGACGCCTCGCTTCTCTAGAAACGGTTTCTTGCCAGATGAGACTTATAGGCGCAGATCCTTGACAATTGATATACCTAGGCTTCACTACTTGACATAGAAGCTGTCAAGGCGCGGCTTCTTGCTAGAGTCAATGTGTAGGCTCTGATCTTTGACAATTATTCTTTCTAGGCGCTGAGACTTGACAATTAGGCCTTCTAGGAGTCAAAAATCCTCAGACAATTTTTTTCAACCTTTCACGAAAAATCAAAGTTCAACTCACGGTGTTTGTTCTAGAATCCACAGAACATCTTTGTCTGGCAATGGTTGACCTTGTTTGAAAAGTTTCCAATCAAGAACAGTCCATTGATTATTATAAGTTCCAGAGTTGTATTTCTTGAAATTATTGACCCATTCTTTACCAGTTCTTGATAATAAATTCGAAGCCATCGATCGAATCCAACAATGAACTTGTCCTTCAGCATTCATATATTTATCAGTATACAATTCGTTGTTGAAAATCGCAATTGTGGTTTCAATACTTGTCTGAACAGAATAAAATATGTTCTCAATATAAACCTGTAGATCTTACCAATCCAGCAGATGTCAATGTATAATCATCAGATGAAACAAGAGCTCCAGGATATCCAGAAAATGTGAGAATATGTCCGGGAACTTCATTTACATCATAACCGAATTTGTAGATCTTCAAAATTCTTTGCATCCAACTCAATGAAGACATCGAGACGTGTGAGATGAAAAGATCAGCATTTCCAGGAGCAAGTTTGACAAAACCAGAACATCTTCCAGCTTCTGGATATTCTAATGGTCCCGGTGTTTTATTGAGATATTTGTTGAGATCAAACATATCTCCAGCAAGTTGCATCATGCTGAAAATATAAAGGAATTTTTTTTGAAAATAAAACAAATTCTCACTAAATTGGATGAAGATCGAATCCGATTTCTGGTGTCAAATTTCGTTTGCTATAAGCGTCATAAATTCCAGTAAGTTGCGCAAAAGTTCGGTTAACTTGACTCCAGAATGGATCAGTTGGTGGTTGAGTGAGAACTTGGCTGCGCATCCAATCCAAATTTTGTTGAAGATAAACATAGAGACGTTTACAGAAACCGCTGAAAACAATAACAGTTTTCGGGTAAACATTAGATGGTAAATTCCTTACGTATGATTAGCACACATTGATTCAATGGTATTTCTATAATGATAATAAATTTGAAGACGAGTCAATTCTCCTTCAGCAACTCCAGCAGCGTAAGCTTGAACATCGTAGGAATGACTGGCGAATGTTTCGATCTCCAAAATACCCCAACCAGTTGTATTCACTTGGTTGGAATATTTACCCAAAGCGACACGCGATTTTGCGTCTTTGCATTCTTTTCCATGGCTGAAATTAATTGGAGTGAGATAAGAACGAGACTGGAGGGTCAGGAATTTTCGTGACTACATCAGGAGAATCAAACACAGTTTCCGAGATTTTTGGAAAGTGTTTTTGAAAAATGTTAAACTTTCAGGTTTCTGACAAAAATTGATCCAATTTTCGGGTTTGATTCGCGATTTTAACATGCTCTCCTCCAAAAAATGGGCGTGGCCTAAATGCAATCACCGCACAGTCTTGTCCACCTCCCTCAACTTACACAATGCTCAAAAGCGTTTCATCAGTTGAATTCACACAAACTGAAACATATTCATATTTGAATTGTTTTGATGAATGATCCTTCAAAATTTGCTCCACTGGAACTCTCTGAAATTTGTTTTCCAATATTTCTAAAGTTATACTCTTCAATCCCGAATTCTAAAATCAAAAATTCAAACTCACATTATTTTCGCGCCATTCTTTATTGTCATTTTGTTGAGATCCGACAGCGAGAAGAAACCCGCAAATCAAGAAGAGGATCTTCATCCTAAAAATCATTTTTTTATTTAAAATTATATTTTTTGAGGGTAAAGAAACACTTTTTTAGGCCAAGGTGAAAATTACGATAGTGGGCTCATTATCAGGAAAAAAGAATGATTATAGGGACAAAACTGATAAAAGTAACAAAAAAGGAGGGCGAAAAAGACAAAAAAATAGACGATACGAACTGGCGATATGGACAGAAAAGAACTTAAATGGAAAATTAATGAACAAAAAAATTAGAATGGAAAACAATTTCTAAAACAAAAGACTCCTCCGAATATCTCAACTTCAACTTGAATTTCCTTCTATTTTATTTGAAAAAATTAGATTTTTATTGATACTTATAGAAATTTGCGACAGGTTCAAAATGCAATATAAAAAGCAGAATATTTTCTAAATTTTTTCGCGAAAAAAAATCTCGAGAAATTCATTTTTTACGATTATGAAAAAAGTACCAATTTTTTTTGAAACGGATTTTTCCCTTATTTCGAAAGCAAAAATTATTTTCAACAAAAATGCCGAAAGGGTAACATCAGTTACGATTCTAGGAAAACTATAAAATGATTTTGAAACGTATATTCGCCAGGTTTTTTGAAAAGTGTTTTTTTTTTCAAAAACAAATTGTAAGCTTATTCTAATATTATTTTTAATTTATGAAAATAATTTCTCTTCAAATTTTCTGAAAGTTCTGAAAAATTTACAGAACTTTTAAATTTATCCTGAAAAAAATATACTTTCTTTTCAAAAATCTCAAATGTTCTATCAACTTTTTTCTGAACGCAGTAATTTTTGTTATTTTACAAAAAAAAATGGCACATGATTTATCATTTCTCTCATTTTTCTTTTTTTTTTCTCAAAAAATTGATAAAACCTTGATGTTTGAAAATTTAACAATAAATATGTTAACAAGTCGGGTTTCACAGAACCGACAGGAATAAAACTGAAAAAAAAAGATTTTTAAAAATGCATAATATTTATTTATGGAATGTGTTATTTAGAGTGTACAATCACCAAAAAAAGCAATAAATAAAACTTGAAATTTTCCCGATATTAGAGACCCAGTTAAACCATTATAATACATTCAAAATAAAATAGATCAATGTTCTTTGTGACTTTGAATCATATGTTGATTAAATTGATATTCACATTCAGTTTGTTGATCTCGAGCTGTTGATTGATCATACGCATATTTATACAAAACCTGGAATATATCTTTGGTTAAAAAATTAATTAGTTAATAATCTAACTCACCATCATAATAAGAGCATGAAGGATTAGAAGATAGAAGAAGAATGTGAGTCTTGATTTTGAAGATGACAAAATTGCTCGACCCTGTAATTAATCAATTAATTATTCTCATTAAATCAATATTTCTTTTTTAAAAACTCACAATATTGAGAGTTGCTCGATCATGCAATTGAAGTCGATTATTCCTTTCATTTGTTGAAAATTTCCTTTAGAAAAAAACCTTTTTTTATTTAAAATTCTGAATAGTTCTTACTTGAAAGGTGTCTCATAAGTGTCACTCATAAGATCGTCTTCAATCACAATTTTTGATGATTTATTGGAGCCGCCTTGCAAAAATCGCACTTTTTCGAATAATTTCGCATTTTCTTGTCGGACTTTTTCGATTTCGGTTTGGACGGCGATTTGTTTGGTTTTTTCGATGGCCAACATCTGGAAAATTGGGAATTTGGAAGCTTCGAATTTTTCACAAAATTAGAGGCGGGTTTTTAGAGGTTTGAGCTAAAAAAAAGAAAATGAAAAAATTTTTCATTGAAATTTTGAGTACGAAAATCTAATTATAAAAGTAACATCCCTTGTCTAGAAATTTTGAAACAAAAATTCTAAGCTTTCAGAATTTTAGGTTTCTGAAATATTATTTTTCAGTTGGGAAAATGAGGTTCATATTTTTTCCTCTAAAAAATTACGTTCGAAAATCAAACATTTTGATTAGTAAAATTTTCTGGAATTTTTGAAATCTTCCAATCTTTGAGAAATTTTTTCGAAAAAATTAAATTAATTTCCTGGATTAGCAAAAATTCTTTACAAAATTGGGAAAAAATTTTTCCTCAACTTCTGAAAAAAAACTCCATACCTCTTCCAATTGTGTCACTTTCTCATGTAATCGATTTCTTTGCGATGTCAAAATTGGAATCAATGTAATTTCAGGAACAGGCGGACTTTGAATTCCACCATCTTCATTATTCTGACTCTGTTGTCCTCCTGAAGAAGTTCGAAGAACATCTAAAGTTGACATTCCTTCAGTTCGAACATTTCCACCAATCGCACTTTCCAAATCGCTTTCCAGTTTCGCAACAAGTGTTTCAGCAGTTTCTGCACGATATTTTAGATTGAGAGTTTCTCGTTGATTCTCTTCAATTGATGCTGAAATTCTTCAATTAATGGAAAATTTTATTTTAATTAACTCGCGCTTTCACTCTCTCTCAAAATCGTTTTTTTTTCAAAACATAAATTTTATTGTTAGTAATTATTAGTGAATGAGGAAAAGAAAAAGAAATTATGAGATCATAATTACATAAATCAGTGAGTATCAAATAAAAGCTCCAAAAAACAGAAATCGATTGGTTAAGTAATTAAATTTGACCGGTGAACCAGAGTGAATAGAATATTCGTCTTTGACTTAGAAAATTCGAAAAAAATAACACATGCAGGTATATACAAAAATAATTTGAATAATTAATTAATGTGATGTGGTTGGCTCTTGTTTTTCCTCGGCAATTTGTCGCATTTTTGCAACAAGTTTGTCTAATTGACCACTTGTTGATTTTTTAGCCATAATTTGATTTGATGACGATAAAATGTCAGCGAGATTTGTTTGATGTTGAGCCATAACATTATTATTGTTACTTGAATTCATAACTTTGTTAGTTGTCGCGGTTTTGATATTATTGACAAGAGAAGTTACATCTGGAGTTTCAACAAGATCTGAGAATGAGCTTGAAGTTGTGTTGGAAACAGCTGAATGTGAAGCGAGTCGACAATCAAGTTCCTGAAAATATTTTTGTTTTTAATTATTTATTTATTTTAAATCGAGAGCAAAATTTTGAGGTTCTAGATTTTTTTTTCAAACTTTGGTTCAAAATTCCGAACTTTGCAAATTGAATTTCTTGAAAATTATAACAATATTGAAAATCTTTTGGAAATTCACTAGAAATTTGAATTTCCTCACCTTTTTCCAATTTGCACTTTTTTGTGTATCATTTCCGACTGGCATTGCATCCGAATATACTTTTCCTTCTCTTTCTCTTGCGCGTGTTCGTGTTCGATGATTATGGAACCAATTTTGAACAGTTCTAACCGACATATCCAATTTTTTGGCTAACAACGAACAAATATCGATGTTTGGATGTTGCTCATTCACAAAAACAAATCGCAATGTATCCTTTTGAAAATCAGTGATAACAGTTCGCTGTATTTGTCTTTTTGGCTCTCCATCATCATCTTGACTATCAGCAGAACCTTTTCGTTTCAAATTTGTCTTGTTTGGCAAACCAAAAAGGTTGTCAAGAAGAATATCTTCTCTTGTAGCCTCTTTGTGCACCAATTCTTGTAAAATATCATCCGGATTTGCGAGAAAACTTTTCATTTTTCGGAAGAGCTCTTTTTCAATAAATGGAACTTCGAAAAATGTTTTTGTATGATTCAACATATCATCACAAGTTCCAGGCGAACAATGAAGAAAATGTTCTCCGAATATTTTTTGAGATATTCCATATTCTTCTAATTTTTGTTTGATTTCTCCAACAATTCTGAATGTGTCAATTGAATCGTCTTCAATTGTACTTTTATTTATATATTTGACAATACTATCCAGACTGCTTCCAGTTTGTAACTGAAAATTAAATTGAAATTATCATTTTTGATTATTTGAACTTACCATTTCATCAGCTTCATCTTTATTATCAATATATTCAATATCATTATCAACTGGCACATTTTTCAGCAAAGTTGCCAATGTTTTCGCTAAATCCGAATCATCATCCATAACTCGAATCTCAACTCCTCCACCATTAACTTCTTCCAAAAACAATTGCATTCGAATAAATGGTTCTCTTCCTTTTTGTGTTAATTGTGTCCAAGTTTTTGGTCTTGCCAATAAATCCGAAACACTTCCTTGACTTAATCCAAGTACATGTTCACCAAATTGTCGTTGAGAAATTGTATGAAGTGTTAGGAATTCTTTAACTTGTTTCACTAATTGTTCAGTATCAACTTGTGAATATGTATCAAATTGTTGTTGTGTAATTGGTTGCATTCCAGATGTCATTCGATTTTTCATAATTCTTTCAATCGAACTACTTTTCGATAATTTTTCAGGAGTTGATCTTATTGATGAAGTATGCCCATTTTTCGGTACAACAATTCTTTCAACACTACTTTCTTGCTCTTTCAATTTATCCATCTCAGCTTGGAAAATGCTCATAATTTTTTCTTTGGAAATATCATCATGTCTCCATCGACTTGATCTTATTGGAATTTGTGAACTACAAACTGAATTGTTTCTCGAACTACTCGATGTTCCAGCCAATCGATATTGATCTTCTCGCGCACTCGACGGTTTGAATGGATTCTCTTTGGTCTCTTCTTGCGGTGGTAAATTGGCACTATTCGATTCCCAAAGTGATTCCGGTTCAGGATGTTCGATTTTCTGCTCGGAAGGCCAAACACGACGAGGGCTAAGTGAACAAAGGAGATCAATCGCAATATCATCACTGATCCATGCATATATTCTTCGGAATGCTTCTCGTCCTTTGTCAGTTAATTTACTCCAATGGCGCGGCTTTGAGAGTAATTCCGAAAGGGATCCTTGTGACTGTAAACATCAGAAGGTTAATGAACAAATTCATAGAACACAGATAATCAAGCAAAAACTTTGCGAACATGCAATATTTGATTAGGTTTTCAAAAAATCAGAATTTAAATTTTAAGGTGGTGAGTCAATCGAATTAAAAGGGAGGGTGTAAGACTACAAAAAAGTTTTGTCGCAAAGTTAAAGACTCCCTAAAAGTAGTAAAACCTCCAGAGTTTTTTTTTTGAAAACGCCCAGAAAAAATGGTACCACGTATAAAATATTCCATAAACTTTTGGAGAACGTATAGCCTTTCGAGAAAAAAGTCCCCTGGGGCTTTTACTATTCAAAGGGCTCCGATCTTTTGAGCAAATTAAATTTTGTTGTCTTCCCCCCCCCCCTTTTTTTTAATTGACAAAAAATCCAAAAAAATACGTTTCAAAATTTCCCCAAATTTTTTTTTAAAATTATGAATAAAATTTTTCCAATGAATTATAAAAGTATTTTTCTCTTTCAAATATTTGCATCACAATCACACCAAAAACAAAAGCAGTATAAAGCAGTTCACCTTTACTACCTGATTCATCACATGTTTCGCGAATAATCTCTGCCCAATATTATAAGCAACCATAAGTCGTTTGCATTGTCTCGCAATTTCCATCGTATTCAATGGACGGGCTCCCAATTTTCGAACATTCGCTTGAATTTGTTGCTACAAAATGATATTTTTGAAATAAATTAATATTGTTCCAGATTTTTTCAAATACCTGCATTTTCTCCACAGTTTTCGCTTCAACCGGATTCGTATCCTGTGCAACAGAAAGAATCGAAGTCGTCAATTTCATAGCCGCATCATCTTCTTCAAACGGAGGTGAGTCAGAAAAATCGAAAGATCGTTTTTTGGCTGGCGGTAATGCGGTGGTTGTAATTGTATGAGTTGCTGTTCGAATTTGTTTTGGTTGTGATGCAGTGATTGCTGCCTCATTTTTTATTTGCTGAAAAGACGGGGGAAAAATGAGAATATTTGGAAAATGGTGATATAAGATTTGTACTTATAATTTCTGAATTTTCGAGAAAAAAATCTGTTGGTCACCAAAATATTTAACTTTTGATGATAAATTTAATTGTGAATGAGCAAGTCTGAAATTTAGCGCCAAGAGAACTGCACACCGAAAAGTGAAGTGTGCGACAGAGCAAAAATTTTCCAAATGGTCCAATCCACTTCTGACTTCAACTTCAAAAAAAAAACCAACCCTCAAAAATGCGAGCAAATCCAACGATGCCATTTCACTATCCTCCAAAACTTCACTATCTTCAAAACTCTCACTTTTCTTCTGGAAGAAAATATTGTTTTCAATTTTCAAAAGGCTTCAACTCACCAGCTCCTTATTCTCCACCACATTTGATTGATCTTCTTCTAAATCGATAAATTGTTAATAATAAGAAATAAAAACGAAACCAGAGTTACAACAACAAACAAATCATGCAAAATAAAACAAAAAACAACAAATTTAATTCAAAAAAATAATAATTTGATATAATATTTTCACTGTTTCACACACTCACAACATCTTCACAAATAATATAAATAAACTAACCTTTATATCCTTCGTTGAGCACTCGAAGGCTGGCATTTTCATTTTGTAATCGGCGATTTTTTTCAGCCAAAAGTTTATCAAGAGTTTCAGCAGATTCACCAAATGATTCTGGTGAAGAATTCGATGGTGCACCAAATTCAATTTCACGGAGTAATCTGAAAATTTGAAATTTTCTAATAAAATGTTTCCACAAACCAACCAACCTCAATTCATTTTTAATTGCTTCATAATCACTTTTCTCATCTAATTGTCCTTTCAAATCATCCACCAATTTCTTACTTGCAATCAATTCCTTATCAAATTTCTCCGATTCTTTTTTCAATGCTTCAATTTCTTTTTCATGCTTATTTTCAATATGTTTGATTTGTTCAATCAATTTTCCAATAGTTTCCTCTTTTTTCACCAATTTCTCAGCCAATCCACCAAAATCCTCAATTCCTCCACGGGCTTTGGTTTCGTTGATTTTGGCTAACTCGGATGTCATTTGTGCCAACTTTTCTTCGAGTAAAATCTGGAATTGAAAATCAGTTTGCTGATAATACTTTTTTTCTAATTTCATTGCTCAGGTTAGCTTAGAAATTGGATTTAGCTCACCTAAGAGCTATCAAAAAAATTCTTTAAAAAATTTGGAGCATGAAAAACAAAACTTGAAAAATTTTAGAGTTCGAAAATTTCCATGTGTCGAAAATTGCCCAAAAAAGTTCAATTTTTTTCCAACCTAATAATTTTCGAATTCAAGAAAAACTTACAATTCGATTATTTGAATCTGACAAATCTTTAACAGCAATCGATAATTGTTCACTTTCCAATGATTCTTTTTGATCATTTGCCATTTTAGCAACATCCAATTTCCTTTGAAATTCTCGATTTCTCGCTTCAGTATCATTGATTTTCTTCTCCAAAATCTCATTCTCCATTCGCATTTTTTCTTGTTTCAAATTCATTTCATCAATTCGAATCGAATATTCGTTATTCAATCGTTTTTCAACTTCTTCAACACTTTCTTCAATCAAATGTTGATGTTCAGCTTCTTTTCGTGCAACTTGATCTCGAAGTTTTCTCACTTCTGCATCGTTATTTTTCAAATCCGCCAATTGATTTTGTGCCTCTTGTAATTGTCTCTTAAGAGTTTCTCGTTCTTCAACAGCTCGTTTTGTTTTATCAGCGTCGTTTTTCCAAGCTTCAGCGCCTTTCAGCAAACTTTTCGGATCTAGAAAAATTGAGATTATGAAGAGAAAATGGTGTCAGCAAGTGCCACTGAAGGGGAAGAGTATCAAGGCTAAAAGACACAAACATGCTCAGATCGATCGCCGCAAAAGGCAATCGAAGAGCTAGAAGAAGAAGAAAAGAAGACGAGAAAAATAAGGGGGAGGAGGGATGGCTAGTTGAATGGCTGGCTGGCTGGCTGGCACACGGCCAGACACTCAGGGTGCAGAATCGAATGGACACAAAACCAAAATAAGAGGAGAAGAAGAAGGCATGGAAAAATATATATAAGGAGGCGGGACCATGATCGAAAGAAAGCATCTGGCTCGATTTGGAAATATAGATTGACGAGTGAAAAAAGGAAAAGAAGAAGAAGGGAAAAGAGTTTCGAAGCAAGCGACGAGAGAAGGACGTGCGCAATCGATTTGGCCAAAAATGGGAGTTGAATTAATGACCATCTGGGGATGAAGCATGTTCCATTTTTCAAAGACAGATAGATGAATAGATATATCGATTTCAGTGAGGAGCAAGGAAGGAGATGAGGGAAAATGGAGGAAGGAATAAAAATAAAACGATTATTGAATTTTGGCTTCAAGACTGCTCTCCATCTATTTGGGGTTAAGAATTTCAGAAAATCTCATTTTGAAATGACGGAGAGCACCTAGATCTTTTACGAATAAGAGATAAATAAGCTTCAGCATATTCTCCAAAATTCTTATCAGCACTTTTTATCGGATAAAAAATCAAAACAGAATCTTCAAAACAACGTTGAAAATTCCAAGGTTTCACAATCATTTTCTAAATTTCACAATAATCAAAGAAAAACTGGAACTTATTTCTGATAGCTGAGTTATACTCTAACTTGTCTGATGACGAGAAACCATGATTTCAGGAAAATAAAATCACTCAGAAAAATTAGCCTTCGAGAAAAAAATGCAAAGTGTAGTTTCAGATGCTGGAAGAGGTGTGAATACAAGATATTTCGAAAACCTATAACCTCGTTCAAAAACTACACAACTTTCTGAATCTAAATTTTCGATCACATGAGAAATAACTTACGTGTTCCTGAAAATCCTAAACTTCTTCCGGTAATTTAAAAAGTGTAAGAAATAGCATTTCCCGAAATTCCAAATTCCAAAAATGAGAAATAACGTGTTTAAAATTTTCAAAAAATTCATCTCAAATTCCACGTGAAAAAGATATTATTGATAATTTCCTATTCACTCTTTTTATATTCACTCTCCTCACATCAGATCTTCAAACAATTTCCTATCTCATCTCAATCATAAGTTTCAATAAATAAAATAAAAAAGAGTCCCTAGTCACTCATAAAATACACACACATTTGGTTAGTTCAACGAAATAGCATTGAGGGAAACGAGACGCAGAAAATCCATATATGAGCAGAAGAAAAAAGAAAGGAAAAAAAAGAAGACGTTGAAAAATCGATGAATGATTGCTCGTTGAAAGCGAAAAATAGACGAAGACGTCGACATTTTTCGGAAAAACGAATGTTATTGATGTGGAAAAAGAAGAAGACGAAGAAGAAGAAGGGAAATGTTGTACTCCGAGTACATATTTTTCTGAATATCTATCGATATTGAGAAATAATCAGACAAGGACTCGAAAATATTTTTGAAGAGAAAAAGAAAAATAAAAACAAATTTGATTATTGTGTGAATACCTGGTAGATTTGTTATTTGTGAGCAAATATCGATTAGAGCAGATTCGGCTGATTGACTTCGAGCAATTAAACCATCGAATTGACTTTGGAATGCTTTGATAAGTGGGACGGCTACTTTTCTCGAATCCTGGAAGTTTATATGGTTTTTTGACTCATAGAAAACTATGTCTAGAGTTCAACTCAAACAGAATTATTGTTTTGAAAATTGCGCATTTATTTTTAAAAAAAACTATTACTTCTTAACTCGATTTCAATTTTTCAAAAAAAAATCTGGCATTATTGAAACAGTGATTTTCCTCACAGATTGCTAATTTCATAAGCAAATTTTTGAAGCAGAGAAATTCTCAATTTTGCCACGTTATAAAGCGTGAATTGGATGCAGTGGAGCAAAATTCTTAAAACCCGTACTTCATAAAACTTTTTAAAAAAATCCAAAAAAAAATTCAGAACAAATTTTCAAGGACCCCTGGATTTTGGTTATACAAAATTGTTTGAAAATTATTCCCCCTACCCCCCCCTCTTCATTTTCCAATCCTTTCATATAAAAATTGATTTTTAGTATGATTTCCTTTCCCAATTTCCAATTTTGCTCAACACAAAAAACCAATCAACCAAAAAATTGGAAATCAACAAATTTTGGTGACAGATGTGACATAAAATCGAATCAATAAACCCGCACAACAAAATAGTGTTATTATTTATAAAAGGGGTTATTTCTTCGAGTCTTCTTTCTCCTCCAACCAGCTGCTCTTCTTCCCTTTTCCATGTTTAGTAAATAGGCGATTCGTTGGTTCGATCAACGAAAATAATTAATTCCAAAATGGAGAAAAAGAAAAGGGAAACATGATTCATTTCATTGGATATTTTAAAGGAGAAAAGGGATCAGGTGCAAAATTGTGACTGCGGTTGAATTTTTAGATTGAGGGAACTGAAGGATTACCATGCATCGAAAAAATATTTGATAATGAATTATATAGAAATTTTGAAACGTATTTTTTTGTGATTTATAACTAGAATTTTTGAGTCAACTGAAATTCGCTGAAAATGAGAATTCGAGCTGTAAAACAACAATAAATTTATCTATGGCGTGATAATTTGAAAATTGAAGCATTGTATGGAAAAAATCCATGAAAAGCCGAGAATTTTCAGAAAAAAAATGCGAATTTTGCGATTTTGTGGACGAAATAAGAAATTTAATTTTCTGGACCAAGAGAATATCACATTTTTCGCATTTCCCCGAAAATAAGCAGATTTGAGCTTTAAAAAACTAACCTTTGTAGTTCTTTCTCTGTATGAATTGCTCTCTTCCACTAATTTCTTCCGTCTCTCCTCTGAATCATCTTGTCGATCTCCCAACGCTCCAATTTCCATCTCAATTTTAGCCTGCAAAGTTTCCCAATCAACGGAATCCCAGGCATTGGAAACCGCTTCCATCTGAAAAAGTTAGTTAGAAAAAAAAAGCAATCACATCACAACAACAAGTATTTGAGACAAGGAGCACAAGCAATCCAATATTCAAAACAAAATTAAAAGCAAATTTTTAGTTACAATATTTCATCTACATATTTAATTTTTGAAATAAAAAAGAAAAAAACATCAAAACTATTAGGATTATAGAGGGAAAATAGTTTTTCTTATGATTCGGTGATATTGTATCGCCAATCATTGTATTTGCGATAATCTTTACGCAGATGATATTCATCTGGAAGTTCAGCGAGAACTTTAGCCGCTTCAGCTTTATAATCACGAATGTGTGGTTCTGCAAAAATAGATTTTTGATGAAAAAAAATATATACTTAACAATTAAATTAACTTACGTGGAGCTGGTTGAGAAGATTCATGAACATGCAATCTGCTGAAATATCCCAATTTTGGTCTGGTTAAGTTGAGATTTGCCTCGACGCAAGCATCCAACTCTTTTTGATCAGCGTGACATCTAAATTATATTTGTTTTACAACCATAATTTTAAGCTTAATGAATTAAACTAACTTTGAGAGATAAAGCTTGGCGCTTCCTTGATCTACACATTCAGCCAATTTTTGAGTTTGTGGCAAGCAGGATCTCTTTAAAGATTGAAGAAAATCAACTCCACATGCAGTCAATGCTGCTCCCTCTTTCAAAACAGCGCGTGGATCTTCGAGTTCTTTGCGGCGAAGCATGAATTCCTGATAAATTTTTAAGCTTATTAATTATTATCGATTAATTTATTAATACTTACATTAGCTTCCTTTTCGCAATGTTTAGCCATGTATGGTGCAACTGCTTTCAACCAAGGTGTGGAGAGAGTAATCTCCTGTGGAACGGTTAATTCCTCATTTGATGGCAACTTCAAGTCTTTGGTAAGCGCCATACCTTCAAAAAACAAGTATAAATGCTTTTCTAGCGAAGAAAATGAATGAAAACAACAAGAAAAAAGAAAATATTTTTTCGGCCGGTTTTCTCCGTAAATCTACACAACATTAAAGGGACAGCAATGTAAACGTCAACCGTGGTGAGACACAAACTCCGTTGTGTTGATTTACGAGATTTTTATTTTCTCAGACAAGTTGGACGATTAATCGCCGAGTAAAGTGAACTTACGATTAATCGCCTGAACTAAATTAACACAGGCGATTAATCGGTTAGCCAGCAGCTAATTCAAGTTACTCGGCGATTAATCGTCCAACTTCTCTGAGTTTTTTTTGCCCGCAAAAAACACGTATTTTCAAGAGAGGAAATTGCTGAAAAACCTACGGTGTGAACCCCTACGTGTGTGGTGCATTTGTGCGTCAGCGTGTTTGCACACAAAATGTCTCTGCGCAATAGCGTCTCTCTTTTTCGCACGCTCTCTCTTAAAGGAAATTTTTTCGAAAAACCAATTGGGTCCCGTAACGAATACCGCGAGAAAAAAGTTACACTAAATCCACCACTCGAACCTTATTTCGATGCAGTTTTTTACGTAGATTCGAATGGTGTATGTAACTTTTTATATGGTTCAGCCAATCTGAGTTTTTTCATTACAAACGGTTCATGTCCCTTTAAACTGGCGTTGCCGTTTTTTCTTCAGAAAAAAAATGCGTGAAAAGACGAGTTTTCTGTAGAAAAGTGATTTTTCCTGAAATAAAATAACACGAATGAATGAATATGAAATGTTTTATTCCAAAACAACAAGATAATCATTGAAAGTACAATATATAACATTATCATCAGCCATCAAAGTCGCACCATACAACAAATTTCGACCCGCATCTTCGTTCTTCCGAACTGTTTCCAAATTTTGATCAAGAATCATATATCCTCCATACATACAAGCAACGCATAATTTATCATCTGATCGTTCGATGTTCCAAACACCGCCGGAAAGCTGGAAAATAAAGATAGAATGTGAGGTTATTCAACACCAAAATCTAGAAATTTACAGTTTTAGTACCTGTATAACCCTAATGTTTTCGGAAAATGTCGAATTATTAATAAAAATCCATGTGTTCAGGATTATACTAACAACGTCATCCATAAATTTGCTCAAAAACTTATTTAAAAAAAAACATACCTTTTTCTCATTAACTGATTGTTTGAGATTTCGTCGATCCAAAATTCGAACATATTCATCATAACTTCCCGTAATCAATTGATTATCATCCCAGAAATCAACAAAAACAACGCCTGCTTCAAAAAGTTTGCATTGTCCTGTTGAAGTACGAGTTCGCACATCCCAAAACCTTAGAAAAATAATATTATTTAAAAAAAACATCTAATTTATCAAGCTTACTTCATAGATGCATCTTCTCCACCAGTTGCAACAAGATCCCCTGATTTGTTCATTGTACAAGACCAAACTTCACAACCTTGATTATCAGTAACATATGGTAAGGAGTGAGCCAACCAACTTGAAACAACTAGAGAAGTATTGAGATCCACGACATAAGCCATACCCTTTAAAAATTTTTGTGAATTTGATTATTTTTGATGAAATTTCAAACCTTATTATCTGTTGTAGCAGTCAATGAGGAATCAGAAAGAGCGAGATCGAGAAGCATATCAGATGAGACAGGAATGTTTTCGGATTCTTTGGAACCTGAAGATTGTTTAAAATTTTCTAAAAAATGAAAATTAAAGCATACCATCAATGTTTTGAACAGCTAAAGAACCATCAGTTAAGGCAGCAATAACTTGTGATTCATTTCGAAAATCGAATCGAAAAACTCCGGCACTTGTCGAAATTTCTTTTTCAATTTTCAACTCGCCATTCTCAATTTCAATTATAACCAATGAACCAGTTCTTGAATCAGATTGTTGATCGAGTAAATACGTGGATATTATAGATCTTGTTGGTTGAACAGTTGGAATATGTCGAGCGAATGCAGGTCGAGATGTTAATTTGATACTTTTTGATGACGATGACATTTTTTGAAATAATTTAATAAGTTATTTAGAAAATAAATTAAATTTTTGGAGTTGAAGATGGAGTTGGAGTTTCGGTTTTGGCTGCAGTTGCAACTTCTTGTCTTTCTTTTTCTATTTTTGCGTCCGCCTTCTTTTTGTCGTTGTCAGCGTCCAAAAGGCAACCTCTGAAGGATAATAATGTCAATATTTGATCTCGATTTTTTAAGTGCATTTCGCAAGAAAAGTGTGAGAAATTGAGATTCTAAATTTGTCAAAACAGAAGAACAAAAAAGAAAATAACAAACCTGACAAGAACTCTTGCGTTTATGATATTACGCTTGAGACGCTCGGTGCTCACTTTATTGAAAGTGTAAGATGCCTTCAAATCTCTGCCAATTTCTTCAATTGTATTTACAAGTTGTTGATAATTTGGTGTTCCTGGCTGATATGTTGGCAATTGTTGAAGAATTGATTGAAGTTCGTCACTCATTAAATCTGTAATCATATTGGCATAGTACAGAACTAGAAATAATTTTTGCAACGAAAAGAGTGATGCCCAAATACAATGTTTCTAGAGCACGTTATAAATTCAAAATTCAAAGAATTTCTTCAAAAAAGTGTAATCGCATTGTAATGAGCATTTCTAAATTTGAAATGCATTTAAATACAAATATAGCGTTAAAAGTGTATTTTAAAAATTTACGTGACACGGGAACCCACTTTTGCTCATTTCTAAATTTTTGATCATTTCTTTGCAGTAAGTTTATCACAAATGCCATGAAACTCTAAAAAGGTAAGCCTCATTCGATTTGAGCTCAAATCGAAAAAATCTCACGCATTTTTTTTCTGAAGAAAAAACGGCAACGCCAGTTTAAAGGGACATGAACCGTTTGTAATGGAAAAACTCAGAATGGCTGAACCATATAAAAAGTTACATACACCATTCGAATCTACGTAAAAAACTGCATCGAAATAAGGTTCGAGTGGTGGATTTGGTGTAACTTTTTTCTCGCGGTATTCGTGACGGGACCCTATTGCCTTTTCGAAAAAATTTCCTTTAAGAGAGAGCGTGCGAAAAAGAGAGACGCTATTGCGCAGAGACATTTTGTGTGCAAACACGCTGACGCACAAATGCACCACACACGTAGGGGTTCGCACCGTAGTTTTTTCAGCAATTTCCTCGCTTGAAAATACGTGATCTCGCGCACATCTTCTCCAAGAGAACTCCAGCGTTATTGGTTTTCTCGGCCACGGCCACGAAAAAAGTTTAAAGGGACACGAGAAATGTGACGAGACCAACAAAGACTACTCGATTTACGGCGATCGTTAATTTTTTTTGTTTTTTGTTGTTGTTTATCGTGTTTATTCCGCATTTCATAACATAATTATTGGTTTTTTCATATTACAGATGCATTCGTTGGAAGTTCAAGCACTTCCAGCAACCAAATCTCCACCAATAACGGTTCCAATAGTGATTTGGGGTCCAAAACCACCAGAGAATCATATATGCGCTCTTCGAGTTCTTCCAGATGGCGAAACAATTATCACAGGTTTGTCAAGTTTTTTGAATGAATTATTCATCAGCTTGATAATGATTTTAGGTGCTGAAAATGGTCATGTAATAATTTGGAAAAGTTCGGAAGGTTTGACACCAAAACAATTGATGATTGGTCATTCAACTCGAATCACTGCAATTTCACAAACTAGTAATCTTCCAACAAACGGAAGATTTGTTTCAGCATCAGCTGATGGACATATTTGTTTATGGGAAATTGAAGATGGTCGAGCAATTGATTCAACAACTCATATTCATGTTCATAGATATATTCAACCGTATACATATAAATCATCTCGTCATACACGAGCCACTCGATTAATTTGTATTGGTGATTATTGTGATATTCAAGTTATGGATCCACAAGATCTCACTCTCGTATTTTCAATTGCTTCTCGTGTTGAACCTGATTGGATATCTTGTTTCACATTTGTTCAAAGAAATAATAAAAATGAACAATTAATTGGGATGACATTAGGAGGAATGATGAAAGTATGGACACTTCAAGATTTGGAGAAAAAAGATCAGGAAAATTCATTATATGAAGATGAATCAAAACGTTTGGAGATTCAACATGTAAAACATATTGATTTTAACGCAGTTAATCAGCGAATATTATTAATTGTTGGTTCAACTAATTGGATTGTTTTAGATTTAGAAGATTTATCAACTGTTGTTTCATTGAAAAATACAGATATTGCTAAAAATGTGAATGGATATGTTATTGATGTTGATAAAATTGCTATAGGATACTCGGATGAAACTATCAAAGTATTTCAACTTCCATTAACGTGGGTTTCTATGAGTTTGTGGGTGTATTTTAAAATGAAAAGTAATATTTTCAGATCTCTAAAAGGTGATCAAATATCAGAATATTTCAAAAATGTGATCCCAACGCATAACTATTTCGAAGAACCTGGTCCATTTGTTGTTGGTTCAATTCCTGCAACAGAAACAACTTCAAAATCTTGGATGAATGATTCTTTATATTCGTGTCATATTGAGAATTTAGCTGAAGATGGTAGAAAACAAGTTACAATTACAAGAACAGTTCGATCGGATGGAAGTATTTTGACGTGGAAATTACCACCTTTTGATCAACAATTCATGAAAGCTGTTCCTTCGATGAGAAATTTACCGTTTAGTGAGTTTTTTTTTGTGGGAATTTGAATTTCTGTATATTTTTTCAGAATTCAAAGGAACACATCGTGAAAGCCTCGACAGCATTTGGAAAACATTAAGTGAAAGTGATGATGGAAATATGCCAGTAATAAATTCAGACATCGTCTGTTGCTCGCTTTTTGTAACCAGCCAAGGTAAATTATTCCTCGGACGATCAGATGGAATTATTGTTATGACTTATGCCTGCGAAACACTTTCTCGACAATGGCTTCGAGTTCCATCCGAAAGACCAAATTCACGAAAATTACTTGGACATAAAGCTGCTGTTCGTTCACTGTTTTATCCATTCGAACATGATACAAGATATGAATCACAAGTGTTTCTCAGTGGATCTGACGATTTTTCGGTGATTATTTGGAATATAAATAATGGACATAAATTATATCGATTTGTTGTTCATGGAGGTCCAATTATTTCATTTGTTGTGCCACCAGCAAATTGTAGTGTAAGTAAAAGTATTTCAATATGTTTTTCTAAAATCGTTTTATTTCCAGAAACAAATAATCAAATGTGTTGGCGCATTATCAAAAGACAATTCAGTTGCTCTTTTAAATATTCGAGATAATAAATGTGCACTTTTGGCGGCTCGTCATCCTCACCCAATTCAACAAATCAAATGGAGACCTCTCGATGATTTTATGCTTGTTAAATTGACTGATGGAAGTGTTTATGTTTGGCAAATGGAAACTGCAAATCTTGATCGAATTGTGACTGGTTTATTAGCTGAAGATGTTATGATTGCTTGTGATGAACAAATTGGAATTGAAGAAGGAACTGATGAAACATCAGCACATCATGCTGTTCAATTGATTCGAGCACTCAAACATAAAAATATTGATGCGGTGAAGCAGAAAGTTGTTGGAAATAGTGGAACAAGTACGCCTGGACATCGTAAGTTTTGGCCACATTCAGAACAGACCTGTGAATTTTTAGGGTTTTAAATAATGTTATAAAACATTCGTAATTAAAATAAATTTTAAAGAAACGAATTTGAAAAAACTTGGCTTTATGATTTTTTGAATTTGGAATCTAGAGATTAATTATCCTAGACAATTCTCCACTTTTTCCCAAAAATATTTCACATTTCCCCCGTTTTTTCCAGATTCTGAACATTTATCAAATGCTGGAACAACAGTCCAACTTGGTTCTCCAATGAGTGTTATTCCATTACCTGGTTGTATTCAAGGTGCACATATGGTCGAATTTGATGTTAGCTCATTAATTGCTGGAATTTTGAACATTGACGCTTCTCACGATTCACCAACTCAAAAAACAGAACAAGATTCAATGTCTGGTTTATCGAAAAAATTGACATGGCAATTTGAAGCGAATTTATATTTGGATGTTGCTAGATTAATGCTTTCGATGTTACATGCTTGGGGTTTGGATGATGATTTGGATGATGTTTGTGAAAAACGATTATCTTTGCATAAACCAAGGCATCGAGTTTATTTTGGAAATGTTTCACGGCAAGGTTTGTATTTTGAATAGAATTTTGAAAATATTCTGAAAAATCCTGTGCTTTTTTTTGGATTCAAATGCTTTTCGTGACTTTTTATTACTCATGTTAATGTTGTTTAGGTGAATTATCAGTTAGTTTGCCTTCACGATTTGAAACGGAATTTGAAGCATTTACCAAGCAAACGAGATGGCAAGCAAGTCATTCATTGAACACCAATCATTTATTAGCTATTATATCAACTGCCAATACATTGATGGCTATGAAAAATTCGGTTTTCCAATTGACGTGAGTTTTTTTCCAGTTTTCATGGGAAAAAAACGAAAATAAATACGTGAATTTGTCCAGGGTCCAGAAAATCCGAAAAAATACGTTTCAACATATTTTGAATTTGAAAAATATTTTGAACGATGAGCATTTCCACTCTTCTAGAAATACTGAAAAAAAACCCCAAAGAAATCTGGAATTCTCCAAAAACTATATAAAATTTCAAATTTTCAAGAAAATATCGAGAAAATTTTAATTGTTTCAGCCGAAGTCGAAAAAGTATGGCTGGACCAAATCCAACGGATACAAAAAATAATGATTCAAATAATATTGATCGACAACAAATCAAACAAGGATGGTCCCTTGTTGCCGCACTTCATTGTGTTCTTTTACCAGATCATGTTAGACCAAGAAGTAGTTATGCAGCACCAAGTATTGAAATGTTAGTTCGACGATGGCAAGATAGTTGTTTAGAAATTCGAGAAGCTGCACAAGCATTGTTAATTAGAGAATTAGCAAGACTTGGACAAGATGGACGAAGAAGATTGATTGAATCATGGGCTCCATTTTTACCACCTTTACTTGATGACACATTATCGATTTTTGGGTCAAAATTACAATCATCAATTCCAACAATTCAACCGATAACTCAAGCTCCACCAATTCCACCAAGAACTAAAACATTGCCACCCAAAATTGGGCCTGTTCAATCAAGTGATCCACCAACAGCTGAAGGTGGAGAAGCTGGTGTTCAACAAGTTCGACGAAATCAAGCGACTGCTATTATATTACTTGGAGTTATTGGATCGGAATTTGGCGATGAATTGAATCGAGCGGATTTGACACGTGCCACTGCGGTTTCACTTCTTGAATTACTCGTTGCTGCACATTCTCATCTGATTCCGGTTCATTCGCCATTGAGAAGAGCTGCAATTGATTTACTTGGAAGAGGTTTTGTACATTGGGAACCGCATTTGGAGATATCGAAAGTTGTGTTGGGATTGTTGGATTTAGCGGCGAATAATGAGAAAACTGAGTGAGTTTTTACACTATTTATAAAGTATAACGTGGCGAAATCTTTTTGTTGAACATTTTTTCTGGATTTTCAGTCATGTTAGAATCGTTTTTAGAGTGAAAGTAAAAAATTTTCAAATTAGCGTTAAAAATTTTATATTTTTGGCGCTGGTTCAAAATTTCAACAAAAAAAATCGGAAAATCAATTAAAGTTTTCAAGCCAAAATTTATGTCTGAAATTGATATTATTTCATAAGTTGAGCATTTAATGATTGCTCTCTTTAAAACATGCTATTTTTATCAACTTTTTTCGAGTGAAAATTTGTAAAAAATTTACAAGCCAAAATTCATGATTTCAGTCTGATTAAGTTCTAATTTCCAGATTTTCCAAAAATTGATTCAATCCAATTCTCTAACAAAAATACAATATTTCCAGAGCAACGCGAAAAATCGTGGGTGCGCCATTAAATGCAATCGAAGATGCTGGAAGAACTGCGCGATTATCATTATCTCTTATCGCTCTCGCAAGACCGCCTGCATTATTAACAGCTTTAAGTATGGAAGTTGCTAGATATAATTCAGCAGCACAACATCAAACTATTCAACATACTGTAGTTTCACCATTATTGAAGTCGAAATGCGAGGTAATTAATTTAAATTAAAAAATTAAAAACAAAATAAACTCTAGTCTACTCTTATTTTTTTAGGTGCTTCGAATTGTTGAAGAACTTTGTGAGAAACGATACAATGATATTGTTGCATTAATGTTGCCAGTTGGCGATGTTCTTGTTCATTGTTTAGATGTTTCAATGTTGAAACATAAATCACTTGGTGATATTTTCCCGCCAATCACAAAATTCAATATGGTTGCTTATTGTTCGTCGACTCGACGCATTGCTTTTGGTGGAATTAATGGAACTTGTGTTGTACACGAATTGCGCGCGACAAAAACACATGTAAGGTTTTTCTGATTCAGATTCACAGTTTCAGAAAAATTTTAAACCTCATTTTTCAGACATTACCTTCTCACTCTGGCCCAATCACAAGTCTGTCATTCAACGAAGATGGTAAATATCTGGCGACTTTTGGTGCCCAAGATGGTAAAATCAACTTTTTCCAAACAAGTCAAACGTTCTTGGTTAGCTTTTTCCTTCATAAACTACCCGAATTCAAAAATTAAAATTAATATTTTTTCAGGGAATGGGACAAAATCAAATGAAATTGTACAAATCGCAACCAGCGCCAACTGTTTCTGTCCCGATTTCTCCGACTGGAAATAGTTTCCGACCAAGACTTGTTTGGATCAACTCGAAATCGCTGGCTCTTATGCTTCCTGAAGGAAGAGAGCAACGATTTTCAGTTTAGGTTTGTATTTATTTTTAATTAGTTAGTTATGTCTTCATTGCTTTTACATTCCAAAAATTGCCATATTCCATTCACTCACTTTTTTCCAGAGCTTTTATTTATTTAATTTGTGAATAATAGATGTATATTTTTATTCTTTGAAATAGTCAAATCTCATATAATGTGCATAATTTTTAGATGTTTTTATTATTTATTTTCAAAATGAAAATCTCAAAAATGTTGAATTTGGAAATATTTAATACTTTGTTCCTCATTTGTCCAAAAATTTTGAAAAAAATTAAATCAAAAATATTTATGCTCTGTCTATATATACATTTTTCGTTTAAGATCCCCGTGTATTTTATTTTTCAAGGAAATTTAAGTTTCAACGCGTTGATTGACACTTGATTGCCTCGAATTAGACAAGTTGGTGGAGTTTGTTGAGATAGGATGTCTATCCAAGTCAAATACAAAGTTGCTGGAATTTCCGGTCGAGCAGATGGTAGTGTACTGCAAAAATAAATTATTGATTGTCCCGCTCCCCTTTCAACACAACTTACCAAACAATCAAATCAGCATCTGAACTATGTTCAGTTATAAGTTCAGCGGCTCTCAAATAATTTCGAGTTTTTCCTCGAAGATTGAACAATTCATCATCGTCAAACATTCCGGGCATTTTATCGATTCCTCGTGGAACTTTGAACTCTTTGATTTTGCTGTTGAATTTATCCAGCATTTTTTGAGAAGGCGATTTGTGGAATTCGGGAAGAATGTGAAGATCTGTCGAATCAATTTTGAATTTTCGCAAAACTGCGGCCATTGTTTTTTGCTCCTCGTTGATTTTTCGCATATTATCCTTGTCAGAATCGGTTTTGGTGAAAACACGAATATGAGCTCCCTCTAGAAAACTTCCAACTTGTGTCAGAAGATATGGAACAAGCATTGTAAGACCGCCAGCTTCTCGTAACCAATAAACATCTGCAAATGTTTGGAATATGTAGAATTTTCCCATTTTCTGAGAACTTACCAATTCTAGCATTCGGTATACGTTTTCTAAATCTGAACATTTGTTCAATAATTAATGTTTCATCTTGATTTTTTGAACCACTTTGTTGACTTGCGTTAACTTGGAATCTTTTTCCACCAGCACCGCCTTCCAAATCCTGAAATTTTTGATTTGGCTTCATGAAATGAGAGCATTCTAAACTTTTGATTTTAAAAAAATTAGGTCCGGTTTGTGGGTATATTTTTCAGAACTTCTGAGGATCTTCAATTTTTTTTTTCGAAAAACTGACAATTTTTGTGCCTAATGAAAATCCTCATTTTTAAACACCAAATCAACTCTGGGGTACTGTAGTTTTTTGGCGCCAAATCCCAATATCCTCCTTACCCTTGTTGCAGCCATACTCATTTTTCTGAAAGTTGTCTGCATACTCGATAAAATCTTGCCACGATGAGCTCCGATTCGTTTTTCTTGAATTGGAAGTTGTGGAAGATCACTGGTTGATGGTATTGATTGACTATAAGAAAATTTATTTTAACTTAGTAACTTAATTAATTAATTACCTTTCAACATATTCCGCGAGTTCTTCATCATTATTGATTGGTTCTCCTTTATTTCGAATAGATGATGAAACATCGAATCCACTGATTTCATTTCGGAAAACAATTAGCCCAACTTGTTTTTCGAATGCATTTGACAACATTCCATAATAATCATTGACAACTTGCAAATTCGCAACTCCTAATTTATTCCAATTTGTTTTGAAACCAACCATTAAAATATTTGGGCGGAGACGACCAAGTCCAACAGTCTAAACAAGTTATTTTTTTCAAAAATTCCTAGATATGATGAACCTGTAGAAGAGTATTGGCTCCATCTGATTGATTCTCGCAACAAATTGCTGATCCGAACGCATTGATTTCTCGATTTCTCAAAAAATCATTGATCTGTTTGTCGATTTTTAGTTGAAGCAAGTAGGAGCGGGAACACGGTTTTTGCTGGAAATTTTTTATTTTTTTTTGTTAGTTAGAAGAAATTATGACGTGGCAAGGTTGATGCCATGTTTTTATGGCTAAAAATGAGAATCGAATTTTCGAAGTGACTCCAAATTTCCGATTTTCATAGCCGTTGCCTTCTTGATGATATACTTTTTGAAAAAAAAACACAAACCGGTATAACATATCCGCAAATCAATAGAGATTTCCCCCTCGTAATCGAATGTGCAAAATCAACCAACGCCGGTCGAACAGTCGGACTTCCAGACAACAACAAAATCTGTGGATGATAATGTCGATTATTATCGGGTTCTTGTTGAAGTTCGTGCATTTGTTCCAAAACCGGAATGTATTTACTAGTTTTCTCAACTCTTTCAGATGCTTCTTTATCTGAAATTGTTTAACATTGAAAGCTTATCAAAGAAATAAATTAATTCTACCTCTCTGAATATACATTTGAGCACAATAACAGAATGCAAAAATAAATCCGCCAATAAAAGCCAAATGTCGATTTGTAAACATTGCCAAAAATATGCAAAGTGTTGATATGAGCAATGATACCAAAGGTGGAGGCGAAGGAATTGCTGTGTCAGAAAGTTTAACGCGGAATACATAAAAATTGAATAACGCATAAATGACGAGGAAGAGTACTGTAGTTGGGATACATAGAATATCATAAGATCCAATTAATGAGATTGATGTTTGAAAAATTGAAATAATTAATAAACATCGAAGTGGAATATCTCGACTTCCATAACTTCTTGAAAGCCAAAGAAGATTACTATTTTGAGAAAATCGACATAACGATCGAAGAATATTTGAGGAATATTTTAGAGTTGAAACACCTGACATAATACAAGAAATTGTGATAACAATTGCCATTGGAACTGTTGTATAAATATATGAAAGATGCTCAAATTGTTGTTTTGGTTCACCATTTTGTGTGGCATTTGGTGTTGCGCGAGCGAAAAATTCGACATAGTCAAACATCGCAGCTGCACCATAAATTGCGGCGGCGATGGCGATTGCGAGAAGAGAACCGCGTGGGGCTGATGATTGAAGTTTGGGAGAGAAGTTGAGGATTGTTAGAGCACAAATTGCGGCGGGGAAGAGTTGGGCGAAAATTGTTGAGATTTCAGCATTTGATGGGGCAGCAATCAAAACATTTTCTAGAAAATTGGATGAAGGACTATGCCAAAAATGTTTCTTCAATAAAAATTCACAACTTCCTGATTTTTATTTTTGGAATTTCTTTTTTTTACAACTAGAAAGCGTCTCAAATAGAAAAAACGTTCAGAATTCAAAAAATCAACTAGGGTTACGATTAAAAATCCCCCGATTAAAAAAATATATTTACTGCATTTCTTATTTCAAGATAACTTTTGAAAAGATAACGTTTTCAAAAAACCCTCAAGAATCAACTACAGTAATCTATGATAGTTACTATAATTTTTATCTGAAAAAGTTCCCAACATTTGCAAGCGCTGTAGTAATTTTCACAATCAAGATAATTTTCAGCCATACTTTCTCATACCATTCAAAACCTCCCCATAAGAACTCACTTTCTGGAACTCTTCTCAACTGATATTCTCCGTATCGAAACAAGACTCCAGATAAATGAAGAGCAACCGCAATAATCGTCAAAACCAAAATGAAAAATCGAGTGTGTCGACCATTTCGATTACGAATCAAGCAGAAAATCAGAACGATCACAGAAAGAACTTCAAAAAAAATATATAAGATTATTTAAAATGAAATATCAACTTACCAGCTGAAACAATTCTCAAATCATGTGTTGCTCCATCAAAAATATCAAAGCTAAAAGTGGAAAAAATGTGCAAAACCGCTTCAGCTCCAGAAGTTACAAAAATACTTGTAGCCATTATAAGAGCAATTAGATGTAGTAAAGAGAATGACGTGGCAAATTGTGGAGAAGAATATGAGATGAGCTGGAAAAATTAGGTGAGAAAATAAGATGAAAATTAATAAGAACTCACAGTTTTTAGAAACCCTCCATCACTATTTTTTCGAGAAACAACTGTACAAGCTGACCAAGCTGTCACAAAACTTATCAAAAATGTTATGAAAACCAAGAGTAATGTGACGACTGGAATAATATTTATAAATATTGGAATTTTTCTCAATAAATTAAATGCTTACCAAATCCAGCTTCATCAACAATACTGGAAAATCTCAGTAATAAAACAATAGCTAACATAGGTTGAAGGCATTGTAGAAGAACATCTTGCCACGTCATCCAAGATGAATTCATTTCCGAGCGAGATGAGCTTTTCGCAAGGCCCTGCAAGAATTTGGAAAAATATAAAAATTGAAAGTATTTTTGACACAGGTTTATTTTTTTTAATTTTTTTTATAATTGCTGGATCCAATTTATTTTGGATAATTTGAAAATAAGTTTTGATTTCTGGTTCTTATCAGAATTTTGGAGTTTTTTCAGAAACGAAACGTGGGAATCTATTTTTCATTTAATTTTTTTCAAACATTTCAGATTTTGCAGTACTTGATTTCTAAATTTTTGATCAATCTTCGATTTTTGGAGCTGGAAAAATTATTCCAAGTTTTCTGGGATTTCTAAAATTAAGAAACTAGTTCTGTTTTTTAGGAGATTTTCCTTGTAATCTTCTAAAAGTTTCAAAAAAGATTGGAATTCGCGAAAAAATCGATTTCAGATTCTGAAGTTCCAAAAATGTTATTATCAATTTCTCGATATTTCAAATACCAAATTCCCACGTGCTTATCTTTCACAAAAACCTTTTTTTCTGGTCAAAAGATGACCTTGAAAGCCAGTTTTTTTCTCTGGAACTAAACTAACTTTCAAAAAAAATTTTCATAAAAAAAACTTACCGCCATGTTTGACGGAATTGAAAAAGATGGATGAAGTGGAATGAAAATTCTGAAAAAAAGGGAGGAGATACTTAGGACAAAATAATATTTTTTTTGATAATAATAAAATAACATAACATAAAATAAAATAAAAATCAAAGACGAGAAAAATTGAGAGAGAGATTGATAAGTTGACTGACTGACTGACTGAAATTGTATTTAGATTATTACTTGACTTAGTGTAAAAATCGAAAAGTCAAATTTTTTCGGTCAGGAATTTTTTCATGAAGAAAAAAAAACAAGTTTCTTCTTTTCTATTCATATATTTTTCCCCAATAATAATCCGTCTTTTCAAAAAGTAGAAGTGATATATTTTTTATTCAGTGTGAGAAGATTTTTGAAAAAAAATTCGCGGGCATGAGGATTTGAACTGGCGTCTAATCGGTAGCGGCAAAAGGTTTTACCACTTAGCCACACGATCTTTTTTGGAATAACTGATAAATGTTGGTGAAAAGGAAAGTTCGATTTTTTAAGAACAAAAAATGGCACAGTGCTCTTTTAGACCTAATCTGATTCCTTTCAATGATTTAATTTCTATTTTTGCTAGAAAAAGTCGATTTATTTTAGTTATGAAAAAATTTAATTAAAATTCATGGATATTTTTCTCTGAAAAAAAAGAGCCCCTTCCTTTTCATCAGAGAAAAAAAGTAGAAAAACAAACAAAAATTTCGAAATTACGGAAAAAACAAAGTATCATGAAAACGATGGGGGTTTTGCGCAAGCAAGTCACACCTTTTTTACCGTATCACAAAGCGCTCTCCATATCTTCCATGCTATTTCGTTTCTTATCAACGTTTTCTCAATTTCGAACTAAGAAAAAACTGCGCACGAACCAAATGGACAAAGATTCATCGAAAAGAACAAAATCAAAAAATTAATAAATTTACCTTGTTATTTATTAATTTGAGAAGGAAGTTGGTATTGTTTGAGTTTGCGAATTTTTCATATTTATCGATCGAGTTTTAGTCCAATTATTGATATGTAAATAAGTTGTTAGTAGACGCGATTTCGTGTCACTGAAAAACTTTAATTAGAGGAGCCCTTTTGATTAATTTTTCTGTCCAAAAAACCTTTGATTGATTTAGATTCAGGGCAGACTAGATTTTTTGGATTTTCTAGGGGATTAACGAAAAATGTTTAAATAACGTCATATTAAACGAGGAAAGTTTTGTCAATTCAGAAACGTGTTTCAGGTTGAAAAGAATAGAGATTTCATTTTTTGTGACGCAAGAGAAACCACGTGGATTCATTTTTTTTTTTGCAAAATCATAAGCTCAACTCACCCATTAAGATTATTATTGTGTGTAATAGCAGGCTTTGTACACATAAATATTTCATCACATATTGTTGGCCATTTCATCCATAATTGACGTTGAGCCATATCACATAATTCTGATAAAGCAATTGCACATTTATTTACAATTTCCGGATCTTCCGGTTCAATTTCTTCAACCTTCTCCGGTTCAGGTTCTGGTTCTGGATCGGATGGCGATTTGTAGGCTGGTTTTTTCTCTTCTTTGTGAAAAACAGATGTGTCTTCTTCGAGAACTTGGATCCAACCTTTTATCACACATACGGTTGAATAGAGAATGAGATTTACCGTGTCGATGGCCTGAAAAAAATTGATTCAAGATTTTCCGAAAAAAAAGTTCGGCTTCATTTCTGCATTTTGATAATAATTTCAAAAGTTGTTGACCTAGAGTATTTTCGGACTTGGTTATTTCACGAAATTGTAACTGTCAGAACTCATTTTGAAGCTGAACTCACGAGAATTCGACTTTTCAGACAGAGGGTCAGAAACTAAAACCCTTCTCATAACATCTTACCCACCTTTGACAAATGTCTTGGCCAATGAGCACATAAAATTGCGGCAAGAAAAGCGGGCACTGGTTTCGTTCCATTAGACATAATATAATTCGACGATATTGACATGATTTCTGAAGACATTGCCTCACAGAACATCTCGTTTTCTGAAAAAAAACTAATATCAAAATAGTTTCACAATCACTCACTCAAAAACGATACAAAAATATCAACAACGAAATCGTATTCTCCGTTATCTAGGGCTGTTGTTGTTAAACATTCGCATATTTGTTGCCATTCATCTTCGTCGAGCGACTCGGTGAGATCAGTGCTTTTTAGAATGTTTCGTTCTATAAAATTGAGTTTTATATAAAATCTAGATTCTCAGAAAGCTCACTTATTTGTGCAGCTGATCGATCGCTTCGAATATTCAAATCACTAATTTGCGAAATTATATCTTCTAATTCCAGAAGTTCTTCAGCTGGTTCAGTATCCTCGACTTTCACTGTATTAGTAGCTGGCGTCCTTTCAGATTCATAGTTTCCACGGCCTCTTCCTCTACCTCGACCTCTGGTATTACCACGGTTATTATATACATTTGAAGTTCTTTCTTGGCGAGAATTTTGGATTTCACGACGATTTGATGATCCTTCATCATCTCTAGTAGAAGATTCTCTGGCTTCCTTATTTTGTCGAGGACCCGCATTTAAATGTCCAAGCAAGCCAGCCATCATTCTTCTATTTCTCGCATCATTTGATGAACTTTCTTGAAATTTAATCATTCTTATTGTTCATTTTCTGAATTAATTAAACACTCACCTCCTTCTGCCATTGTTACTCTTCCGCTTAGCCTCGACATCCCAAACCTAAAGAAAGAACGGAAAAAATAAGAGTGTATGTCAACACCGACTGCCCGCATACACCAAATCCTACGCGCAACCTTGACGCGAAATACGGGCTGTGTGTTTTTGCGAAGAAATTTCCCGGGATTTTTAAAAATTGGGAACCCCCCCCCCAGATTTTAGAAATGGACACGTTTAAAGTATAACATATGGGAACCCTGAGAATCTCTCCAATGTCGCTTTTCCCTTGGAGAATACTATCCCTCTAGAAAAATCAAATAAACTCTTTTTGCGGCGAAAAAAAAAGAAGAAAAAAAATTGTCTGCAGTTGCATTTAATCTGACGCCACTTTGCTGGTGTTTGCACAGTTTGGGAAAATTCAAACCGACGTTTTGGCGGTTTCTCATTTTCTTTCTGTTTTTTCGAGTTTTTTTCCATGTTTCTCTTGATTTAAAGTGTTTCCATTGTTTGTAGAGACTTTAAATAGGAATAGTTGTTAAATCTCGATATCCGCAAAAGTTAAGTTTAAATTTGATCGTTGTTTTTGTAATAATTTTCAAGTTTTCGAACGTTTCTCAAAAACGGGCGGTGTTTACCGTTTCTTCGCTTCCCATAATATAACACAAAAAGGTCAAATAATCTTTTTTCGACTATCCAAATAACACAATGAATGTTATCAAAAAAGAGACTCGTGAACTATCCTTTTTGTATTTGCACAAATAAATGACTGGTCTTCTTGTATTATTATTATTTTTATTGATTTGATGATACAATTCATTTCAATTCGTCAGTAGGCTTTTTCTCCATTCCAACAAAAAATATGTCACGAACAATAAATGTTTCATAGCAACAAGTTTTCCCAGGCATTAGATAGTTAGTTCGCCCCTCTTTCAATAACGTTCTGTTTTTTTTTGTGTTGAAAAAGTATAAATCACATTGTTTTGGCCAGGTGTTTAAATATCATATTCTTTTCTAATATGATCACTGGCCATTGTTTATAATATAGTTGTAAACGCATTTTTACAATCGCATATTGTTTTTCGTTCTCAAAAAGAACATCCGACGATTGTTGGTTGGATTCAAAGTGATAAGTGTAGATAGATAAATAATATAATACTGTGTAAATATTTGACACGCTTATATCTATCTTTCTATTTTGAAGTTATCAATGATTTGATTTATCTGCCTGCATGAATTTTAGTTTTGAAAAGAAGATTGGAAAAATGGTGACCAACTCCTAGATTTTCTAAAATTCGTGGAATCTTCAAAAGACCAAGTTTAAAAAGAATATACATTAGTTTCAAATAAATAGGTACCAGTCTCTATCTCGCCTCCATCTTCTTCTTCTTCATATCCGAAACCAAATTCCAATGTGTTGTTGTTTCTAGTTTTCTTATTCGTCTATTCAACCTCATCATAATATTCTCAATTCTCTCCGCACTTCTCTGATTCATCTCCGTCTCTTTCCCTCTCTTGTCACCATTTTTTGCATTGCGCTCACTTTTTTTTTGCTAAATTATGGTCGATTGCAATGTATAACCTTCTCTTCTCCCTCGTTTTCATCAATGCATACTCTTTTTTTTGTTCCAAACACACACTCAACACACACAAGTCACCCTTTGATTTTTTTTTGGCGCCATTTTTTGTTGAGAAGGTGACGCCTGTATGAGTAAGCGTTTTTTTTTTTCTGTTTCTTTCCGTTAGTTTTGAGAATTTCATTCTTGTGATATTTTCAACTAGAGTTTCAAAACTTCTGCATTTTCATTCGAAATCAGCAATTTTGTAATCAAAACATTTATACTTAATTAACAGTTTCCGCATAATTTTCCGATTCCATATCAGATGTTTCTGAATTGTCCCAAACATCAATACAAATAGATTGACTGTCTTCACAAATTCCAATAAACTTGTTCTTGTCAATTTTTGACTCTACACTTTTGAAATTAGAAGCATCGTTGATAACTTTGAAATCTGATTCCATTGGAAATTTTCTCGAACTCTTCGGCTTCTGAATTTCCAAACTTTCCAATTTATCATGAAACCCGCCATTTCGCCATAAATCCATATATTCTGCTAGATTTTCCATATTCAAATTATCGTTCATCCAAGTTATTGTGATGTTTTCGGCTTTTAATTGCTTCAACTGATCGAATGATATATTTGTATATGGAATTTCAAGAGATTTTCTCACATTTTTCAATGATTCGAAATCGATGAAGTTATATTTCAAAATATCGATTTGTTCTGATGTGCAAGAAATTTCAAATTTTGATAGGTTCTTCAAATTTCTGAGCTGGATTTGGCGAATAATTCTAGAGCGCATTTTGTGTTGCTGAAATGTTTTTTCTAGAATTAATATTATTTTAGTCCTCAACTCACAACATTAATTGTCAAATTCTCCAATCTTTTTCCAATTCGTTTCAAAAACTCGACTAACTTTTTAACAACAACTTCAAAAATCGATTCGATTCGAGTTTCTATTGAATCAGTTTCCTCAAATGTTTCCGAATATGTGATTTTGGTTTTAAAAAAGGCCAATTCTTGAAAAATAATATTCAATGTTCCATCAATTGATAGTAGAAATTTTTTGCCATCTTGAATGAGGTTTATTGACTTATAGTTTGCATATTTTTGCGCTTTGGCGCTAATTTTGAGAAGATTTTCCTGCTCCAAATTATCGATTATAATTGGGATTATTTCCTTATGAAGACCAGCCATTTCTAGTACATAGAATATCAAAAATAAGTAGAGTGACACCAGTTTTTTTTGGTTTTAAGATAAAATTCACGTGTTCCAGTTTTGAATTTTAAAAAATTGAGCGCGTCATTTTTGGCTTCATTTTCCACGACATTTCTTAGTTTTTCCTTTCTTCGAGTTTCTACGTCAATCAATTTTTGAACTGATTTTAAAAAGTGAGTCGGCTAAGGTCGTGATTTCCAAATGTAAAAATTTTACTCTAAATTTTTAATTCTAAACTTTGAATATCAGAGCGGTACCTAGAAAATTCTATTGTCAAAGATCAGCGCATAGAGAAAAAACAATTTTTTCCTTTTTTTCGAAAATATCGATTCTTTATAGCTTATGATTATCCGAAAAAAGCTATAATCTGTTGAAATTTATCGGAAAACAAAAGTACAATTGTTTGAGTTTTCACCGATCGTTGTTGTATAGTTTTGAGCGGTACTATGTTGCATTTGTTTATTTAATGTTTTGCACATGAACAGTTTTTTCTTGTCGAGAAAATCGGAGAGAATTTGTCTCATTTTGTCTGTCACTCCCCTCCAAAATAGGCTATGATTGTTTTTTGTTGTTTTTCTTGTTGTTATTGTCCAACAAGAAAAAGAAAAACATAACATGTTCTCACCAAATACTAAAACACCGCTAGGTTTTTCGCCTTTTTTTCATTTATCTCACAACCTTTTTTCTTTCCACATACACAACACCGAATAATTTGACAATGTTGGTTGTTTGTTTTTATTCATGTATTCGGACGAGAAAAGAATTTCGCGTTCGTTATTGATTTGCGTTTTTTTCCCGCGTTTTTTGGTTGGTTTTTAAGGAGATGAGAAGAGGCAATAACAATTACTTTTTTTTCCTAGTTGTTAGAGAATTGATATAATTTTTTATCTGAAAAATCGAGTGACGCAGAGTGTTCTTGGTTTTGGAAATAATTCATTGTAAGATCGTGGGCATCGACTAAATAACATTTTGATTCTTAAAATGTTTCATCAAATTGAACATTTACCATTTTCCGGTGTATTTTGTTACGGAAACAACAAAAATCATGTGACCAAAGCGATTAGAATTGATATATTATTTTTTAGACTTTTAAAAAAAAGACGACTTTGATTTTTTTTGGTTAGGCACAAGTAAGATCACTAGATGAAAATATGTCCGAAATTTTTAGCCTCGTGTTTTGTTCAATTCTCAGACTGCACAATACGAAGTTTTTTTGGGAAGTGTGTCAGTTATTTTAGATGTTATCGTTTTTTTTGTTTGTTTCTTTTTTTTTTCGTCGCGCGATTTAGGTATATTGATTCGAGATTCGCTTTCTGTTCTGTTCTTTTTGTTCTCGGAGTTTCGAAAATTTTGACGAAGATAGTTGAAGTAGTATTTTGAGTTCTTAGTTTTGACCAAAAGCAATAGTTATTTTATTTTTGAGAAGCATAAAACGAAATAAAAACCCACGTCGATTTTGAGCAAAGAGTGCAGAGAAATCGCTACAGGACCAAATTTGGCTATGCGCTGTAAAGAGGCGTACTGTAGCACTTCTAGCTTCTTTTCCCTCTCTCAAACTCTCTATTTGGACGCGTGAACAATCTAACTTTCCGAGAAAAATCTTTGAGGAAAACAATTGAAAATTCTAGATTTATCTATTTTCAAATCCGGAAGAGCTTGAAATGTTTCAAGTTTGCTAATCAATTTTTCGTCCACCCTTTCTTTATCATTCATTTTCAACAAAACTCTCTGTCGACGCGTGCACATCTCAAACAACACACACACATACACAAAAAGCTAGATATTGTATTATTGATCGAATTAATTTAGTTTTTGTCATCTGCCGTTCCCTCCCCCGTCTTTTCTTTTTTTCTTTCCAACGCCAGACAAAAAAAACGTCTCATTTCCTATTCACATTTCATTTCGACTTTTTTTTAATAACTTGCTGCCCCGGCTAACATTTTTATAGTTGTCAAACACAAAAAAGTCGCACACAAATTTGCTGGTTGTTTTCAGAAGTTTTTTTCTCGTCTGGTCTGTTCCATCACTTTACAGAAATAATACATTTTTAGTTGCCCGCTCGCTTTTCTCATATACACAACACACACAAATACGAACACTCATTCGTTCGTCCTCTCTTTTCAAAATGTATAAATTTGTGGGAGAAAAAAAAAAGCATTTTTTGTGTGTGTATTTGTTTGATTCACAATTTATTGATTGTTTTTTTTTTCGAAAGCTTGAGAATTTTTCTTTTATTTCTGAAAGTTTTTTTTCTCAACAAAACCAACTTTTTTTTCCAGCTTCTCAAAATTGATCATTAAAAGTGTGTGTTTGGTCGTTTCTCTTGAAGCAGGCGAACGAACGAAGGAAGAAAAACCAAACGCATTTATCAATTGATCAAATTCCCAAAACGAATCAGCAATAGAGAACTTTCGAGATTTGTCATCTTCATCATCCACATCAAACGACAAAATGTCGATGATGTCGATGGATGAAAGAGGTGGAGAACAACATCATTTTGTGAGCCTCGAACAGAAGATGTTTAATACGGGACCGCAGGCGACGAAAGCATTGCCGATTGTGAGTCATTTTTTGAGGGAGGGAAGGAAGGGTTTTGCATGGGTTCAAAATTTTGGAAGAAAAATGTTCGCGAATCTAGGCTTTTGAGTTGAAAATCTCGTTTTTTTTTTCAATTTCTGCGATTTTTTTTTGAATATTTTGGAGAGCTTTTGATCCGTGCCATTTTTTCTCGAGAACTCTGATAAATTGAATCTTTGCCACGTGTTTTTCGTGTATAGAACTAACCAGGAAGGTTTCGAGCAAGTTCGTGAATTCCAAATTTTTTTCTGAAACAACAGACTGGTTGAATATTTAAGAACTGTATTTTCATGTTTTTTTTTAAAGTTCTCGGGGGAGCTCTGAAGTATTTCGTTGAATAGCTTCTTCGAATGCAAATTTGAGCTATGCATTTTTTCTTATGACAAAATCTCATTGCAGTTCTGAATTTCTTTGACATCCAAACCAAACACCTCAGAAATTCCCCAATTTCTCCTGAATTCACAACTTTACCACTTCAACTTTTCAACACAAAATGTGTGTTTGTTTGAAAAGTCGTTGTTTGAATATATGAACATTTTTCGAATGTCTTCAACTTTTTTTTCTTGTCGTCCGTTTTTGTCGTCTTCATCTGCTTCGTTTTTTTTTTCGTGTCCCGTCCGTCTTAATTTAAAATGTCTTGTGTTGTATGTGTGGATGAATGCTGAGGAGCGAAGAGAGCGAGGTCTCTCCTTTTGTCGTCGTCGTTTTTGTGCTTTGCCAAAAATATATATTATGCACTACTTCTACTCGTCTTCTTCTTCCTATCCTTTTTTGCCTCTTACTCGGACACATTTATACACTCACGCATTTTCTTGTTGTTTTGCGGTCTTCTGCTTTTTTTTTGTTGTCGTCTCCTTCTGTTTGTTGTATGGGATCTGTGCTTGCTGTGTGTATGTGTTCATTTCTCAACTCGTTCGTTCGCCACCAATACTTTTTACTCTCGCTGCTTCTTTTTTTTCAAGAAGGAAAGGAAGGCTAAACCAATTTTTGTGTGGTTGTCGCCCTGATCCATTCTCTTTCATTCATAAATCTCCTCTCCTCCCCCCTCCTCCCATTTTTTTTTCGTCTCCTTGTCCAACAATTTATTATAACTTTTCATCTTTCCTTGTCAAGCTTTTTTGCAAATAAGTGGTTTTTACTAGTTTATTATTATGAGATGTTGTATGTTCATACGGTTTTTCTCTCCTCTCTTCGTCAGAAAAAATAGTGTCGATTTGCTATTTTTGTTTATTTTCGTCTCTATTGATCGATTACCATAGTTAATAGCGAAGATAAAAGTGTAGAATGAATAGGAGGCGAAAAAAAGAATGTGAGACAGGAGAAAAAAGGAAAGTGTGTATATTTATGAGTGTGGTAACTTTTTATTGTTTTTATGAGTTGATTCGTATTGACGAATATTGAGATGAGGAAAATTTTTGTCTGAATTCTAACAAAGATCGGAGTTCGAACCCGTGACTCTTAGATTGACAGCAGCCACCACTGAGCTCCTATTCGTTGTCCAAAATGTCGCATTTCTGATTTTCCGAAACTATCGGAATCTGATAATTGAGCTTTATCCAGATTTTTTTTTGAAATTCACTTAGATTTCCCGAAAACCGCTCCTCATCCATCAATTTTTCTTCAAAGTCTCAAAATCTATAGATTCACGAGGTTCATTTTTTCGATCCGAACATGAAGATGCAAAAAAAATCAAAATGTTTGTTCATATTTAAAAAAAATTATGGAATGAGGCGTTATATTTACTTCCTGTTGGCTTTCAAACTATATACATTCTCTATTCAAATAGGCTTCTTCATTTTTTTTCGCCCCGTAAAATTGATTGGTAATAAATTGCGAATCAATGTCGTCCGTTGTTTGCAATATTCGTTTTTTTTGTGGTGTCGTCTTTTTCTCCTCGTGTTTTTTGTCTCCGTTTTCCTTCTTCTTCTTCTAGTACTCCTCACTCATAATGTGTGTCGTGTTCACTGATTTCATTCACTCGTAGCGGTTGGAATAAAAAAAGAGTAGTTGTAGATCGTTGCAAGGAAAAAGAATGCGCCTCTATCTATCTCTCTATCCCACAACATATTTTTTTTGAATTCTCTGCGTCTCGCCGGGTTTTTTGCCTCTCGTAACACCGGCGACCTATTCAACACTTGAACATACACATATATATTTTGATCGTCTTGGCGCTGCTGGTGCTGGTAAAATGCAGTGCGACCTCTCTTTTCTTTCTTTTTTTATACTGATTCTTTTGGCTGTTTGTTCCTCGTTCTCGAAAAATTTGTGTGATTTTCGAATTTCCTATTATTATCAATAGTGAAAGTTGGTTTCTGAAGAAGTACATGATAATCATTTTTTTCTCCTATTATCAGAATTTTCGTACACAGTTCTATTGATTTTTTCGTACAATGTACTTAAAATGTTCGTTCTTGTTTCTCAGTTTTTGATTAGAATTCTATTTTTTTCTCGAAAAATAGCACACCCACTCTTTTCATTTTTTTTCGTATCATACAAAAAGTCGGTCGATTTTGCACTTTTATTTCCAACACCTCTACCTACATCTAGTTGTCATTATATTACGAAAAAAAGACAACCAAAAAAACTGTTGAATGTGAAGAAACTCGCAAATTCTACTATGCCAAAAATACTAGGAATGAAAAAAACAGGTTCTTGGGCTATCTTCTCCCTGTCATTCTTGTACATTATAATTTATTCAAACGCTAACCGTATTAAAAAATCGGATCGATAACTTTTTTTTTTTGAAAAAAATTTCATCTTGTTTCCACGTGGCCACGCTTTTGGTCTACGGCCATTTTCGCGTTATTTTTCGAAATGGGTCCTGCCACGAAACCGTTTATGCAGTTTTCCAAAGACAAGATTTCTGTCAAAAATAAAGCATGTACCGTTAAACTGTGTACCGATGGTTTTTGTTCACATTTCATATTTTCCAAAAATTAATCCTCAAAGTTTTATAAACGTTGAGGAGGTGTTTTTTATTCAGTGTCGTCAAGGTAACATGATCCTGGTTGGTGTGGTGTTTTTTTTTCATTTTTTGCTGCTCGTTCTTCTTCTCATTCTGCTCAATTAGTCGAGACCGACCGACGTTTTTTCTATTTTTTGCCTTATATTATTTTTTGTTGAGCGGCTCTCAAAAGTTTTTAATAAAAAAATATGTGCCTATCTGCGCGCTCTCATCGGGTTGTGTGTATAGATAGATAGATTATTTCGGTGTTGACAACAACAAGAAAAAACAACACACACACACAGAAAAAAAATGGGAGGCAGCCGCTTATTGGACTTTTCGGCTCTCCTTTTTTGCTTCTTCTTCTTCTCCTTCCATTTTTTGTTGGCTTTATTGATTTGAAATAGCATCTTTTCATTTTTTTCCCGCTTGCTTCTTCCATGCCTGCTGACTTTTTGAACGTTTTTTTTTTGCTTTTTTCGATGGAACGTGGTACCTTCAATTTTGAAAAGTTCATGAATGATTTATTATCACCTGATTAAATCGATCGGGGAATTTCGAACCTAAAGATCAGTATTACCATAACTCATTTAGAAAAATCTTCTTATTTTCTACAATTAATTCTATCAGTTGGATCTCTTGTTTTCTTCGACACGTTTGTTTTCGACCTCAACATCAAAAAAGTTATCGATTGATTGTGTGCCCTTTGTTGTTATGTTGTGTTTTTATTTTTTGCCCGTCGTCTACCTGGTCATTTCTGACTAATCCATCCCGCCACACTTTTTTCCCCATACCTACCTTTTTGGCGGTTGTTATCTGATTTTTCGTTGACAAATATCGAGGTGTATATGTGCATCTTTTTTGCTTTCCTTCGAAATGTGTCCAAATTAACCATGTGGTTAATGTGTCCCGCCCATTTTTATTCACTATTCACGTCTGCGTCTCTCCGATTTGCACACTCTCTTTTATTGTTTTACTCATTGGCTCTTCACATTCTTATTTCATTCAATCTAACTAATAAAAATATCTATCTGTCTATTTATAAATATTGTTTATATGCATATATTTAGATTGAAAAATTATACCGAAATATTTTTTGGGTGTTCCGTTTTAGCTGACGTCACACATTACTTCTAATTTTTCTCTTCTCGTTTTGTGCTTCTTCTTCTTCTTTTCGCTCTTTCATTCGTTCGTTCGGTTTTTTTAACACATTGTGCGTTTTTTTGTGCCTTGGCCTCCTGTTTTTTGTTAGTTGGTTGTGGCTGGTTGAGAAAAAAAAAAAGAAAAAGGAGAAAAAAGATATTGATTTTTCGCAAGGTTTTTATTTGAATTATGTTTTTTTTTGTGGATGCAATGCAAAAAAAAGAGAATGAATGAGGAGCGAGAGAGGTCATGTGATTTCAGCCCCGACCCGAGGAGAAGGTAGTATTGTTTTGTTGTTTCTCGGCAATTTTCAAAGTTTTTTTCTCGCTGTTTTTTCGTATTGATTAGTTTTTTTCTAATGAGAAGGTTTCGAAATTTCAACTATTATTTGACAAACTAATGAGTCATATTAATCTTTCCGTTTTGGGAATTCAGAAAAAATTGAAATCTAGAATCTTCACTTTTAGAAAATCCAACTTCAATTTTTTAAGTTTAAATTTTGGAGGAAAAATTTTCTGAAAGTTCACTGTAAATTATTATACACCACGATTGAAATAACAATAGATTTATTAGCTACATTTTAAATAGAAAGAAAGATAAAAAAACAATAAAGTTGAGCTCTTTTATAGCGAGCATTGTGGGCGTTGTGTCAACAACAGTTTACATTAAACTGTTATTGAATCTGACGTGTTGTAATCGTACAATTGGATTCAAATTGAGAAAGTTGATAAATTATCAACATTCCCGCCTCACAAAATTGAATAGTTGGTTGAGTTGATCGATTTGATGTGGTTGAGTTGAGTGGAACCAATACTAGTGATCTGGTTTGCCACTTTGTTGATGTACGACAGGTTCTGTGCTTGACCATATTGTCGTTTGAGGATTTGTGATATTCGTTTCCTTTGATAGGAATACCACTCGATGTGTTCGGCCATAAATCGTTTATGTCCAGATTGCCTACCCAAGTGTAGGACTTTGCATTATGTGCAGTTTTGTTGAGCTGCCACATATCATGAAGTTGATGTTGAGTCAACCCTCCCCACCACAAAGAGAGAAATTGACATTGTTTTACCTCATCCAGATTCGAATTATCTGAACTGAGGGATCTTCTTCGTAGACCAATAACTACATATCGAACTCGACTCGAATCGTTTAGTGACGGCTTGCTTGGTTCATTATTGAGTGAAATATTGAAGCCTAAGTGTTCAATCATTTCCTTGTCTCCTCGATAATGACTTTTCACTCTCCAATCTCGTTTTCATTCGACGTTACTTCTACTCGTAGGTGTTTTTCGTCCTGCCACGCGGGTCTTCTTCTCGAAATCGACCACCAATTAGGTCGATGCACCATGTAAATTATTATACACCACGATTGAAATAACAATAGATTTATTAGCTACATTTTAAATAGAAAGAAAGATAAAAAAACAATAAAGTTGAGCTCTTTTATAGCGAGCATTGTGGGCGTTGTGTCAACAACAGTTTACATTAAACTGTTATTGAATCTGACGTGTTGTAATCGTACAATTGGATTCAAATTGAGAAAGTTGATAAATTATCAACATTCACAAACTTGATGAAAAACCACTTGGCGATATTTGTTAAATTTAAAATTTCGTGCCTTTAGTTTTCAAATTCAAATTTTTTGAAAACTTCGGCAGGTATCTTTTTCGCCCATCCCACTAAATTGGAACTTTTTCAAATACACGTGATTCTGTTTTTTTCTCAATTTTTTTGTTCCCTACAGTATAGTTTGTCGATAATTACAAGTTATATGTACAATCCTATCCCCCCCCCTTTTCTAATTTTTGGCTCTTCTCATTTAACACCTTGTATTGCTGCTCTTTTTTTGGCGATTGCGCAATTTCTGATGCGTTGCGTGTGTGCGTCGCGCGCTTGGAAACTTTAAGCGTTATTTTGTTGTTATTGTTGATAATAATAGTGCTTATTTATTTATATATAATATTATATTTTGCAGGCTCAAAGTCTCAACGGATCATCATCCGGTGAACACAATAATTATCCAATAAATAGTCTTCCACCACATCACCAACCACAACAGCATAACATCGTGAGTGGCGGCGGAGGACAAGCAACAACAATGGCAACTGGTGATACGGGTCATGCTGGGGTTAGTTTTTAAGGGGTTTTTTGGGCTGGGGTTTTAAAAATTGGCTTAAAATTTGTTTGTTGAAAATACCAAATCAGTTTTCGAGAAAATAATGAATTTTCTCATAGAAAATTTATGAAATTTACAAATTTTCAGTTTTCTAATAAAAATTTGATAGCCAAAAAAGTTTTTTTTGAATTTTTCAATAAGATCTTCTGAGATTGAAACCAAACTTCCGGTCAAAATTATGAGAAATGTCATGCAGATTTTAAAAGGTTTTTGAACCTTTAAGTATTTTGTATTTAAAAAATTATTTTTTGAGAAAAACCCCAATTTTATATTTTTAAAACTCAACAAATACTGAACTGTAGAAATTTTGAATACAAAAAATAATAATATCTCAGAGATTCGCTGGCCAGCTCGCCACCAGGTGGGGAGGCTGGCTGACCTGGGAACCACATGGAAACCATGTCGCCCGGTTTTTTCGCTGGCAAGGTGGCCAGGCTCTGGCTAGGTCACGGCCACATGGCTACCACGTGGTGGCCACTTCGCCTCGTGAAAATGAATTTTCATGAAAATGTCTGAAAAACTTGTGAATCGAGGCATTTTCGAAAAATTTGGCTCATTTTCTGTTTTTTCGCAGCACTTGAAACCTTAGGAAGTCAAAAAAACAGTAGAAAATGCAGTGTTTTGAGTACAAACCACTGTCTTGCCAGCTTTCCAGAATTTCAAACACACAGGCAACGTCGCCGGAAAACTCAAGGCGACCTGGCGGCCATGCGGTTTCCAGGTGGCCGCAGCGATCTGGTGGCGAGCTGGCCAGCGAATCTCTGAGATTAGCCGTCTCGATTTTCAACATCTCCAATATAAGTCTCTAATTTTTTTCCAGAATGTAACATATATGCAAACGGGAATGTTAAACGCGCCGGGTGTTTCCTCTCATCAATACTTATCCACAAATCATCAAATTCAACACCATTCCACTCCATCAACATCGATGTTGCAACAACATCCGTCACAACATCAATTACTGCAGCAACAACAAAATCTTAATGGAAATGGATCGACGATTATGCGATCTTCGCCAACAAATGATATGAATCAATGTTTGCAGCCAGTATCAGAAGATTCGATCGATGGAACACTTCGAGAATTTGCACCCGTTCATCATTTACAGCATATGCATCATATTCAGCAGCAACAACAATATTCGATGCAGCAAATGGTTTGTTTTTTATTGATTAATAAGTTTTTCAACTGTATAATTTAGCAGGGTCCACCTACGCCTTCATATCAACAAACACAACAGCAACATTTACAACATTTGCAGCAACATAATGTGAGTCATTATATTTTTTTTTGGAAAAAATATGAAACAATGCCGAAAGTACACTTGTTATTGATTATTTTTAGAACTAGAAATATTTCGAAATTTTGAACAAGGCAAGTTCACGTTGAAAATGGTTTTTTTCAATTATCTTGAAATTTTGATAAAGTTACAGTAACTTGGTATTTTCCCAGTAAACCATTTCCATTCTGAAAAATTGAGGAGATTTATTTTTCTATAAATGCTCACCCATTTTTTCTTGTCTTTTTCTCCCCTTAAAAAAATCAGAGAACTCTAACAGATTGAATAATTCGATCACGTACGTGAACGTCACAATTTCTAATCATTTATGATTTCAGCAATATCAACAAAACCCTGTAATGTATACACAACAAGCTCAACCACAAAACCAACAGCAGCAACTGCAGAATCAACCTCAACAAACAACCTCAATGCAACATATAAATGAATCATCGAATTTGTCATCAGCTGGAAGTATATCAGATCGAGAACCCGAACAAGGCGGAACACCAAATCGACCCGTCGCACCACAATCTTCAACAACAACCGAGAAAAAGGCGCGAAAACGACGGCGAATCGGAGGAGAGGATGGACATGCGACACCGAAACAAGAGAGAAAAATTACGGAATTTATCAATAAACAACATTCGCAAGCGTCGCCGAAGAGGTTTTTGTCATCGAATACGGGAAATATTCAACAGCAGCAGCCGCAGCAATTTGCAACAGACTGGAAATGTGTCAAATGGCTCGAATAGTTATGGAGCTGGAGGAAATGGAAATGGGAGTGGAACATCAAATGATCATACGAGTATTGCACAACAACATGATGTGGTAAGTCGGGTTATTTAAATTTTATGAATTTGGGAACCGAGAATAAATAAATAAATAAATGCCAGATTCCCAACAAAATAAAATAAAAACTTTCAGTATTGGACAATGACGAATAATCATCGAGCAACACCGACTCCAACACAACAACAGCAACATTATTCATCGTCGGATTCAAATTCGAACTCGAATCAATCGCCGCCTGGACAACGAATGGTTCGAATGATTGATGAAGAGACACAGACTGAAGCTGGAACTCAGGTGAGGGATTTTTTGAGAAGGGTTTTTTTGGCTGGTTCCATACCTCTGTTTTTGAAAATTTCCGACCTTTTTTTCATTTTCAGCTATATCAAAATTTGAAAATCTTTTAACGAAGCCTAAGCTCAAAATTACTTATTTTCGGGTAAAAGCGAGAGATTTGATGTTCTCCTCTAGAAAATCCCAAAAGTTAAATGTCGTGCTTTTTTAATACAAAAAGCACGACATTTCATGGATTTTCCTCTTAAAAACCTTCAATTTTCGAATTTTCACGTCATAGATAAATTTATACTAGTTTTTCCGGCTCAAATTCTCATTTCCAGCGATTTTGCGTCAAATTTTGACTCAAATTCTAGTTTTTCAAAAACAAAAAAAATACGTTTCAAAATTTTGATATAATTTTTTATCAAATATTTTTTTCAATGCAAAAATCACAACATTTCATGGATTTTTCCCCTAAAACTCTTCTATTCTCGAATTGCCACGTCATAGATGAATATATACCAGTTTTTCAGCAATTTTGACTCAAATTCTAGTTTTTAAAAACAAAGAAAAATACGTTTCAAAATTTTGATATAATTTTTAATAAAATATTTTTTTCAATGAGGTTTTTTTTCATCTCTTAACATTCTATTTTTCCAGAGCAATGCATCATCGGCAGACGAAATAGCAAAACGCGATCGAGTAATCGATGATTTCCGACGACAAATCGACGAATTGCAAGCAAAATTCTCAAATGAAAGACGGAAAAATGAGGCGAGCAAAGAGACAATAAAACGATTGTTGATTGAGAAGAATTTCATCGAACGGAAATCATTGCGAGATAAAACGACTGCAGATACACCAAGAATTGGATGCTTCAAAACTATGAGAACTGGCGACTCGTTTAGAGATCAATGGGTATGTTTCTATCATTTATCATATTTGTTTGTTATATTTTTCTATGCCCATTTTTTTGCAGACCGATGGATATGCTTTTGATGAATTGGAAAAGAAACAACAAAACATTACTGCTGAAAGAAATGAGATTGTAAATGCTTCGGCTTTGTTGAAAAAACGAAAACCGTTGGGAATCGGAAAAGAAGGAACGAAAAGATCAGCAGCGAATTCGTTGAATTTGGATGCGTCGACAAATGGAATGCAACCATCAACATCTTCGACTGCAAATGGAGATGATGCGATTTTCCGAAGACCAGAAGAACCAAAAGAAATCAATTATCAAGAATATATCGAGTTGGATGAGATCTATAAACTTCGCCGTGAACATTTGAAAAAAGAAGAAATGGATTTGCAAATTGAAAGAGAGAAATTAGATCGAGAAAGACAATTGCATATTCGAGAATTGAAACGAGCATCAAATGAATCGGCATCGACTTATAAAGATCATTCATTGCTCAATAAACGATATTTGATGTTATGTTTATTGGGAAAAGGTGGATTTAGTGAAGTATGGAAAGCATTTGATATTGAAGAAAATCGATATGTCGCTTGTAAAATTCATCATGTGAATAAAGACTGGAAAGAGGAAAAGAAGGCGAATTATGTGAAACATGCGATGCGCGAAAAAGATATTCACAAATCATTGGATCATTGTCGAATCGTCAAATTGTACGATTTGTTTACCATTGACAATCACTCATTTTGCACAGTTTTGGAATATTGTCCGGGAAATGATTTGGACTTTTATCTCAAGCAAAACAAGCAGATTAGCGAAAAAGAGGCGAGAAGTATTATTATGCAAGTTGTGTCTGCTCTTGTATATTTGAATGAGAAAAAAGATCCGATTATTCATTATGATTTGAAGCCGGCAAATATTTTGTTGGAATCTGGAAATGCGTGTGGTGCTATTAAGGTATGTTTTTTGTGATTTTTCATCATATTTTCAATAGTTTGCCCTGTCATAACTCTTTTTTTTTCAAATTTAACAGCAATCTTTTTCCTCCTCATCTGAAATTTGAAGCCGGAAATTTAGAAAATAACTACTAAAATCAATTTGCCACGTCATAGCTCAAATCCGTCTATAAACTTTTGTTGTTGAATTTTTTTTTCAAAATTTGAAGAATTTCTAATTCTACTGAAGATATTCTTCTTCAATTTGAGAAAAAAACATCATATTTTGAATATTAAACATTTTTTCAACAATTTCATTTTTCCAGATAACCGATTTTGGTCTCTCAAAAATCATGGAAGGTTCCGAAGCCGACAATGATCACGATGGAATCGAGCTAACCTCTCAATTCGCCGGAACCTATTGGTATTTGCCACCCGAAACCTTCATCGTTCCACCACCCAAAATCACGTGTAAAGTTGATGTTTGGAGCATTGGTGTCATATTCTATCAATGCATTTATGGCAAAAAACCGTTTGGCAACGAATTGACGCAGCAAAAGATTTTGGAATATAACACGATTATTAATGCGCGCGAAGTGTCGTTCCCGGCAAAACCACCGGTTTCACCAGTTGCTCAAGACTTCATACGAAGATGTTTGCAATACAAAAAAGAGGAACGTGCTGATGTTTTTGAACTCGCAAAGCACGAACTTTTTAGACCAAGAGGAGCTGTAAGTTTTTTTGGGAGGAAATAGTTTTGAAAAAAAATTAGAATCAGATTTTTGTCAGAAATAAATTGAAACTAAACCTTTCTTAAATTTTTGAATATCAAAATAATTATCCGATCCCCTTTATTTTATTTGAGGGTCTTTTTTGTCGAAATCTTGGAAATTTTATATTTTCATGCATTGCTCAGGTTATGCCTAGATTTATTCCAAAGCTCTAAAATTGAATTTTTCTTTTCTCATTTGAAATTGAAATTTGAAGCATTGCTCATACTAGTTTTTTCCCTCAAAAATAAGCTTTTCATTTTTTCAGACTCGATCTTCTGCTGCTGGCTCGATAAATTCTCCAAGTATTCCACGAAGTCCATCAGTAAATCGCGAAGATGATGCCTAAAATTCCCACTTGTTTTTTCCTTTCTTTTTTTGTTATTATTTTCCTCTCCATATCCCCTTCCCCTTCTTCCACATTTTATAGTTTTTTCCTTTTTTTCTGACTTCATTTTTATCCATTTCTTCTCTTCCAATTGATTCATATATACATTCAAAACACAAACAACAACAATATTGAGACGGGTCCCAATCCTTCCTATTTCCTTCCTTCCTTATACATAGTTGTTTTTTGAAAAAAGAAAACGTTCCTTTCCCTTTTTTTCATCCTGAAATGGAGAAAAACACATAACAAAAATGAACACAGGTCTTTGAAAATGTTATACATGTAATTATTCTTTCTTTCTTTCCCCTCGAAGAGTTGTAGCTATTTTTAAATATTCTTTCTTTTTTTCTACTCGTCGTTGTGTCAGAAAAGTTCTGTTCTTCTTCCAATCTTCCCCCATTTTTTGCGATTATCAGACATGACATATCTTATGTTTTTGGCCCCAAAAATACAACACAACAATTCCCCATCCTATTTAATAAGTTTTTTTTGTTTAATTATTTTTTGCCCCTTACTTGTTTTCTTTTTTGTCCCTTCAAAATGTTTCTTTTTTCTTCTTTTTCATCATTATTTCTCGGTTTTTTCATAAAATATGGGGTTCAAATTTTGGCTCGAAAAATTCAGAAAAAAAAAAATGTTACAAGAACAATTGATAATTTTCTTCAGAAAAGTGTGCAGGAAATTTGAGCGGAAAAATTGATTTTTGGGAAACAATCAATTTCAGAACCTGAACCAAATCTCACTATTGTTTTTTGTCAGCTTTGGCGCCATCTATTGAAATTATTTCAATACTTTGCAACCCTGGCACACTTAATCGTCTGATTTTAAAAAAGTGTGCCAGGGTTGCAAGTTTTTTTATTTACTTGGTCCCTTGGCATCAAACAAGCAATTCGAACCCCTGTTTTTATAATTTCGCAACCTACAACAATTAATTTTGTTTTTTCTATTCTGACCGCCCAATTTGATCAACTAGCCTAGCCCCTTTTCTTTTTCGGATTTCTCAACAAACAAAATGGTAACTAATAATCATGAAAGTAGTGATGAATGTGTCAATCTGTGCCACCACAAAAGAGAAGAGCGAGCGAGAATTCCATATCAGCCGAGGCATTTAAGATTCTCCTTCATGTTTTTTTTCTTGTTTAGTATGTCAAGGTTGTGTTGACTGACTGGTACATTTTGGAAAATAACTGACTGAATGAGAAAAAAGATGAAGAACAAAATGATATTGCACTTTGAGAAAAGAAAAGATTGGCGGCTAAATTAGCCGAATCGAGATTTTTGAGAAGAGACTTTCTCTTCTTTTTTTCATCGAGATAGGATTAGGAAAGGTTTTGGCATTGCGAAACTTTTTTTTTGTGAAATAAGTTTTGAATTTCATTTTCACATCAAAAATATTTATTCTCGAAGTTTTTCAATGAAAAATGTTGTCAGTCACAGAAGATTTTTAAGATTTTTCCTGACAGAGGATTTTTAAGATTTTTTGAAATTAAAAAAATATTGACTTCATATTTTTAAAATATAAAAAATCTAGAATCAATAGGATTTAGTAGCATCAAGATTCTGAGCTACAGTAACCCAGGTTCTTATTTGTGCTCTTTGCATTTCAAAATCTAAAACTTCTAGTCAAATATTACTGTAGGCACTGAAAATATAAAATTAAAAATCCACGTGGTTAAATTTTTAACTTTTATCAAAATCTCAAAAAATTTCAGCAAACATCTTAATTTTTGAAGCAAGTCCAGGAAAGTCACAAATTTCCAAGCTCTAGTCGCGGGTCCTAAACAACTAGGCTTTCTAGGCTTCACTTCTTGACACTTAAGCTTTCTGGGAGCGGCTCCTAGCCAGAGTGAATCTCTAGGCGCGGGCCCTAGACAATTAGGCTCAGCAACTTCAATGGTCCCTTTCTCTTCTCCCAACCCGTTATCCAATTTCATCATTTCTCCTTCTTTTTTTTCATTTTTTTTCCGCCTATTCATCTTTTTCTTATTACCATATCCAATCTCGAACACCAATAAAATTAGAAGAAAACACATAGAAATATGTCAATTTTGTCAAGGTCCTTTTTGTCAACCCGCCATCCCGCGCATAACTTTTTCCCTAATCATAAATGAATAAATGGTCCGAAGGTTATACCTATGTGTATTTCAGATCAACCGACAAGATTGTGGGATTTGATAAGAATGCATCACACTTGGCTGTCAGAGCAGAAAGAATTCCTGATCCCTTTTTTTGTGAGAAGATTCGGCGAATTTGACCTTACATAAATGAAAACTTGGGGAACAATGAAAAAAGTTTTGAGTAATCGAAAAATGCAATTAACCTCTTCATATGAGTAAAAAAGATGAATAAGTAACGGTATTACATAAATCGGTTAACCTAGATGAGACAATTTAATGAGAAAAATGATGAATTGAATAAAATTGAGGAAAAAAACGAGAAGGTAAGTTGGAATTAAATGAAAAATGAAAATAACAACAACAAAAAAGTTTGAAGGTTTCGAGAGAGAATGCGAAAAAAAACAGAAATATGGGAAAGGTTTCAATTTCCTTGAAATCTTATTGAAAATCTAATTTGTAGTGGTTTTTGTAGAAAATGAATTTCAGGTGATAAAACACTGGTATGACGTGGAAGAGCTTCAATTTGTTACATACACCGCGACGCACAAATGCACACAACATACATATGCCAACTACAGTAGTCCAATAGTCCTATAGTCGACTAAAATATAAAATTTTAGAATTTTTGGAAAATCTCTTTTTTTTTTACTTCAGGAAACCACGATATTCATTCAAAATTCGATAACACTGAACTCATTGAAAAAACATTTGATAATAAATTATATCAAAATTTTGAAACGTATTTTTTTTTGTTTTTGAAAAAGTGGAATTTGAGTCAAAATTTGACTCAAAATCGCTGAAAATGAGAATTTGAGCTGAAAAACTAGTCTGTATCTCTGAAAATGATTCAATCTGGAAATTTATGGTAGCAGAACAATCCAAAAAGACAATTTTTAGGTGTTGAGTTCCGACAATTTGAATTCGAAGAGTACTCCGAAAACTTGACTCATATCGGTATTCGCAACCTTCAGATTCTTCATTTTATGATAGCTGTATACCTGATTCAAGGTTTTCCCGCGTGTTTATCTAACTAACTAAATAGGTAAATATCAAATTGTTTTGTTTTGTTTTGTGTTTTCCTGAATCTCAAGTTATCTCAAGTTATCAAGGTCAGTCAGCTCTCTGGACAACACAAAAATAATAGCAAGCAAAAAAGGAAGACAAGACATTCGTCAAAAAAATTGGAGGAGATTTTATCAATTAAATGACTAATTGATTTATTAACGACAAGTTTGACCCATTAGAAGAGTATTTTGAGGTTGGTGGGAACTAGAAAATGAGAGAAGGTTCTGGAAAATTTGAGCTTTTGTAGTTTGAAATGTTGGAAAATCTTAGGGACTTTAATGTCCTTTAGGAATCTAAGGATCAATAGAGATTTGAGAAACCTTAGGACATTTTAGATTTTAGGAACTCTAAGGACAATTAAGGATTGGAGAATAAATTTGACTTTAAGGAGCATTAGAAATCGAAGGATGGGTAACCATAGGGAGGTTAGGGGATTTAAATATTCTGAGGACCATTAAGTTTTTAAAGCCCATTAGAATTTTAAGAACATTTGAGACCTTAAGGACGTTGGAAACTATGACGGCTAGAAAACTGCATTTTCCGAAAAAATTTGAAAATTGAAAGTCTAGGATAAAATCATAGTGGCACCAGCTTTTTAAAAATTCCAAAAATTCTGGACCTCGAATCTTCTCCCTCTCAAAATACAAAAGTTCAAAAAAAGAAAAAGTTTCTCTAACTCCCAATTCTTCCGTTGTCAATTTCTTCCAATAATCCGCTTACTCAACTTTTTCCGCGACGATCTTGCAGTAATTTTTTCATCTCTCTTCCCTTTTATTTGATAGGGTGGATGTCTTTCCAAATCTTAAAGGGGGAGCGCCGACCTTGACCAGCTTCGGGTATTGCGTATATTCCTCGGTCTCGCTTTTCTCGGCTCCGCCCCAACCAATTTCATCTGAGTATACTTGCCATTCCGAGAAAATCTCGCACGATTCTTATCTTTTTCCAAGACACTCATTTTCATTTGTCTGCGGTTTTCAGATTTTGTTTTTCAAAACTTGTAATCTTGGTTACTGTAGTACTCAAAATGCTGAGAACTTACCGTACCCATTTGTTAAATTAATTTTTTGATTTTTGAATTTTGAAAAATACCGCGCAAAAACGTGAAAGAGCCACGTGGCAATAATTTTTAGATTTTTCTAGTTGTAGCTTTTTGAAAAAAAAAACGTTTTTTATTACTGTATTTCCAAAGGTTTATACTCCTAAATATCCTATTGTAACTCATTTTTAGACTGTCTTCTTTATTTTGTGGTTTGAAAATTTGATCTACCTTTTTTGAGCAAAAAATTCGACAAGTTTTCAGACTCACATCGCAGGCCCATTTTTTCTCCCGCATAACAAATCCCAATTTTTTTCTCTCGACTTTCGAACACCTATTTTCTTCATAATTTCAATGAGTGAAACCTTGCGCAACTGAAGAAAATGCGGTCAAAAAGAAAAACGAACTTACTAATTATATTTATACCCTCAGCAATTTTTTGTTGTTTTCTGAATTCATTTGTTTATATAACTTTTTTTTCTCGCCAAAAAAAGCGAAATTTTCCTGGTTTGGTTTGAAAACGAATTTTGTTTTCATAACCTATTTAGGAGTCGTGTTAAATTCTTTTTTTTTTTTTTTGAAAAAAATAATTTCGATTTTCATATTTTTCAGGATTCACAACACGATCAACAGGATGCGGAGCCGGGCTCCTTTTTCTTGTTGTCCGCTTCGGCTCACACTTATATTAGTTTTAGGATTATCATTTATTAGAGGTAATTTTTCAATTTCAAGATGAAGCTGAAAATTATACTATTTTCAGAGACCAATGGGCTGGCCAAAAATTTTGTGAATTCATCGCATCCTGATCTCCGACCAACATTCGTTGTCAATTTCGATACATCTACAGTTATTTGTCAGCACAGGTTAGTTTTTGGGGGAATTTGGGAATTGGATTTGGAAAAAGTTTTTATAACTTTCAATAAAAAGCGAGAAGCAAATAGTTTTAGAAAATCCAGAAAAATTCCACGTGGCAAAATAGGACTGAAAATCTAGAAAACATTTTAAAAACTATTTTTTTTGCAAATAAAGATCTACTAACCTGTATTTCAGCTTATGCCTAAATTTTTGCTGAAAATCAGAAAATCTTCAAATCGCAAGAAAACTTTTGAAACTTTCTGGATGAAAATCCACATTCACCAAAAAATCTAGGCTAAATTTTTGTTCAAAAATGTTTTTTAAGTTTCCAAAAAAACTATCATTTTCTGTTAAAACTAAAGATATTTCAGAATAAATTGAAATTAATCAATTAAATGAAATTAAAACGCTACTTATTTTCTGAAACACTATTCAAAATTTGAAAGAAAAACTCTAATTTATTCTATAAAAATTAAATTCCAACAAAAAACAGCAACATAAATTTCCTCAACCCCAAATTACAAACACAGGTCAAACTAGAGTATATCTCTACTCTTATGCAAAACAATATCATAACTATTTTTTTCTCTCCTTCTCTCACTCTCTCCTCTTTTTCCTCACTGCCTCGCTACAATCCTTTTTTCGCGGCTCTTTCTCTTATTTGAAAAAACCAGGCGTCGTTCTAGAATTTTTTCATTTTTTTTCCATTTTTCTCTTCTCTTTTCTTGTTTTTTTTTTGCGCATCAGTTGAAATTAGAAAAAACTGCGTCAAGGCTAACTGTAAGCAGAGACTCGAATTTTTTTCTGAAAAAAATTTCCGATTATAAGAATTTATAAAGTTGCCACGTGGCAGTTCCCCGAAGTTTTCGAAATGTCTTAAAACTTTGCTTTCTCGCTGCAAAAAAATCTGACCTCATCTTTTATTTCATTTCTTTCTCTTGAAAGGACAATTCATTCAATTCACACAACAAAAAATTAGCATTTTCGATTCAATTCGGCCTGCCTGTGTTCATCTTAATCTTATTGCGCAACTGACCATATAAACAACATTTTTTCCGGTTCAATGACACAATTCAAGGCAAAATTTCAAAAAAAATTGAAACATTTTTTCAGTGCTGATCCAAATGATTTACACATTCATAATATGAGCTCACTTTGTGATGGAAAACAAGATTGTTTTGCGAATCCAGCAATGCATGATGAAGTTTTTCCATATTGTGGTAACTTTTAAATTCTAGTTAATTAACTAATTAACAAAAACATTTTATAGAAAAGAAATGTGACTGTAGTGGAAATGGTGCTTGTCTTTATGACGGTTCAAATCCACAATGTTATTGCGATTCTGGATTTTCTGGAAAATCTTGTGAACTCGCGGATAAAAATGAGTGCCTGGAGCATCCTTGCCATCTAATGGCTCAATGTCAAAATACACTTGGATCTTATGAATGTAGATGTTTGCCGGGATATTCTGGAGATGGACATCAATGTATTGATATTGATGAGTGTTCGGAGAAAGAGAAATCATCTCATCGCTGTCCGGAAAACTCGAATTGTATCAATTTGCCGGGAACTTTTTATTGTAATTGTACACAAGGATTTACACCAAAAGGAAATCAAGGAGCTGGTTTGGATAAATGTGTAGATATTAATGAATGTGATACTGGAGCGAATAATTGTCAACAAAATGAGATTTGTGAAAATACGGTGAGTGTGGGGACTGAACAGTGAATTTTTAATTTCTGCTAAAATTAAGGCTTAATTTTTTAAGCTTAAGGCCTTAAGGTGAACCTAAGTGTTAGCCTGAGCTTTCATTTGAACCCTAATTTGAATCTAATCCTAAGATAAAAAATCGAGGGCTAAGCCTAAATCTAAGCTTAAGCCTATGCCTTACTGATAACCCTATAAAGAAATTTTCTAAAAGAGGTCCTACTTTTTTCTTCTCTGTGAAAAATCCTTCAGAACTTAAGCCAACTCTGTCATCTGAAATTGAATTCCAATTTTCTTATTTTCCAGATTGGATCATTCAAATGTGTCACAAAATGTTCACCTGGTTATAAATTGATCAATTCAACATGTTTCGACATCGACGAATGTGCCGATGAAAAATTACATCGATGTGATTCTCGTGCTGAATGTATTAATACAATCGGAGGATATCAATGTGAATGTGATGAAGGATTTGTTGGAGATGGCAAAAATTGTCAACGTAAGTATCATTTCACAAAATCTAGAAATTAAAAAATCCAAAAATTTTCAGCCAAAGCATCTTGCTCGAAAAATTCAGCAATTTGCGATCGCCACGCGTATTGTATGCCAAAAATGGAACTTTGTGTTTGTACCGCTGGATACACCGGAGACGGAATAACTTGTCACGATATCAATGAATGTGAAGCGTTGGAAAATGCGTGTCCAAGTGGTGGAAGATGTTTGAATTTGGATGGCGGATTTGTTTGTTGTGGCGGAAGTCAAAGTGATGAGAAATGTATTCAAGAACAAGGAGCGTTTTGTAGTGGAGGATGTGGTTTGAATGCAGTTTGTCAGAATCAGACATGTCAATGTGTTGAAGGTTTCAAAGGGGATGCTAATAAAAAATGTGTTGGTAAGTTGGGGGAAGTTTACTAGTTTCGGGAAATCAGAATTTTGGCGCCAAACTCCTGACCTACAGTATCCTAGAATTATCAAAAACTTGGAAAATAAAATTTTGGTGCCAAAAAAACTACAGTATTCCAGGAAGGTTTCACGAAAAAATTTTGAAAATCATAATTTTGGCGCCAGAAAATAATTTCCAAAAATTATATTTAGGCGACAAAATTTCTGATCTACAGTATCTCAGAATTTCCAGAAAACATTAGAATTTGGCGCCAAAAAACTACAGTAATCCAGGAAGGTTTCAAGAGATTCTGAAAATTATGAATTTTTGACGCCAAAAATCCTGGGCCTCAAAATTTTTCTGGCAGATCAAAAATATTTTTTCTCTAAATCTATCAAAATTGTGTCAGGTCTCGAAAAATGCAGGATTTTTTTCATCTTGCAGAAAATCTCAAGAACTTTCATTTTTAAATCTATTTTTCCACATTTTTCTCAAGAAACCTTTCCAAAAAATATCTGAATCCAAATATTTCCAGACATTAATGAATGCGAAGAAGATGAAAAGAAATGCGGCGGAGTCGGAGATCGCTGTGTAAATCTGTTCGGAGGCTACGTTTGCTGTCAACATGGAAGCCAGGCCCCCGAATGCCTCACCGATCAATCATTCTCCAGCGACAGCTCAACAATCTCCAGCCATGCCGCCGATTTCACAACAACCGGAGAATTAATTGAAGGATCTGGGTCGATTCAAACATCTTCAGGTGGAACGATCAAGATTCTCAGGGGACATATTCCAAAAGATTTTGAGTTGGCGAGTAATGGAAGTGAGTTGGACTATATTCAGTTTCAAAAAACCAATAAATTTTTTCTAGAACTTGCTTGCACTTCGTATTGCCCTGCAAATTCTGAATGCCTTAATGGATTCTGCGAATGTTCAAAAGGTTACGGTGGAAATGCATTGATTGGATGTGAAGATGTTGACGAATGTATCACTGAAACTTGTAACATTTCTGAAAATGAATGGTGTGTCAATTTGATCGGCTCATTTATTTGTTGTAATCCAACAAATGCCACACATGATGATTGTCTTGGTTTGGAGATTTCGAAAGATCGAGGACTTCATGTGATTGGTGGAAATGAAGAGGATACAATTCTTGCGACTGCCACAAATACAACCAGTGATCAATTAGTGACATCAGAAGTTGTGCAACAATCCAGAAATTTCTCATCGGGTCAAATTATTTTTACACGTGGCAAAGTTAGAAATGGTCAAAACATCACTTTTGAAAGTGCAAGTGGAAGCGGAAGCGGAAACGGAAATTCAGGAGTTTGGACCGAAGATGAAGACTCCGATTCAGATTCTGAAGAAGATGATGATTTGATGGAAAAAGGATCGGGAAGAGAAGTTATTATTCCGGATTTCACAGCGTCGCCTGGAGGAGGTGATGGAAATATTCGAGTTAGAATAACTACCCTTGGAGAAACTATTGAGACGTCTACTAAATCCGTGTTTTTGGAGGCTGGAAAGAACTCATCAACTGTGGTTTTTGAGACTGGAAGTAAAGGTTCGAAATTATCTGGAAGTTCGGGACATTTTGTTTCTGGAAAAGGAAGTGGACCTGGAAGTGGAGATGGATCTTTGGACCTAACTGGCTTAAAACCAGCTGGATCTTCTGAATCAGAATCTGGATCTTCTTCAGGGGCACCAGGTTCAGGAACATCTGGAGATTCGTCATCTGGATCGTCTGGAAGTTCATCATCTGGCGCATCCAGTTCCAATAAATCAGGGTCATCTGGAAACACATCATCTGGATCATCTGGAAGTTCATCGTCTGGCTCATCTGGATCTATCAAATCAGGCTCAACAGGAACTTCAACATCCGGATCTTCGGGCTCACCTGGTACAAGCTCTGAAGAAACATCTCAAGAAATTGGTCTCGAAATCAAATGGATCGGAAATAGTTCACAGACAACTGAACCAACACCAATCGATGAAAAAGGTTTGAAACGAACAAAAGTTCCGGAAACATCAACAACTCCAGAAGGTGTTATTGATATTGAGGGAAGTGGATTAGTTTTTGGTAGAGAGGAAACAATTGGAGGTGGAAAGAAGACAACTGTTGGAATTATAACTGGAACTCCTGGAGAAACCACATCGGAACCTTTGACAAATGAGTCAACAACAAGTTCAGGAAAGTCAGAAAGCACTATTGGATTGATCACTGGAACACCGGAAGCTACATCTGTTGGACCAACTGAAGGATCTGGGGAGACAACCACATCGGAAGGATCAGGAGAGCCCTCAACAACATCGGAGCCTTTGTCAACAACAAATTCAGGAGAATCTGGAGCAACTGTTTCACAATCCACACCATCAACTGAAGCTACCAAAGCTCCAGTAACAGACGCTACAGCAGCACCATCTGAAGCGACAGAATCTTCAACAGCTACCTCGGCTTCAGCGAGTTCAACATCTACCATTGCTTCAGAAGGCTCTGGCGAATCAAACGAAGCTCCAGAATCTGGCTCCACAACTGCTTTGGAAGAATCAAGTGCAGCTCCAGAATCTACAACTCCTGCTGGAAGTTCATCACCAGCTTCGTCGGAACCCACATCTGGAACTACAGAGGGATCTGGTGAATCGAGCCAAGCTCCAGAAGCATCAACCCCAATATCTGGCTCTACAACTGCAGTTCCAGAAAAATCGACAACTTCTGTGGGAAGTTCAACATCACCTTCATCCGGAACTACAGAAGGATCTGATGAAGCCACATCAACATCTGAAGCTTCCTCAGCAACATCAGAAGCTACAGTACTTCCAGACGGTTCTGGTGAATCAACACAAGCTCCAGGAGGCTCCACAACATCGGAATCAACACTCTCAACTGAAGGATCTGGAGTGCCTGAATCAACCACATCTCCTTCATCAAAGGGAACTACTTCAACCCTTGCTGAAACATCTGAATCCACACTTTCTCCAGAAGGATCTGGCGAATCATCAACCACTGCTTCTCCTACAACTTCTGAAGAGAGAACAATCACTCCAGAAGGTTCTGGAACAACTTCAGAAGAAATCAATCCACTTCCAACTCGAGGAAAAACTCCAGCATCGACATTGTCAACCAAATCCCCTTCAACACCTGAAATGGGACTCGAAATATCTGGAAAAACCACACCGTCATTGACCACAAATGAAGCTGAACAAACAACAACTGAATCAAATGGATCTGGCGAAGAAATGGGACTTGAGATTTCTGGAAGAACAACTCCTGAAATGGGATTGGAAATATCTGGAAAAACAACAACTCCTGAAGGAAAAATCACAATTGATATTGAGGAATCGACAACACCGATTCCATCAGATTCTACGGTTTCTTTGTCATCCACAAGTTCACCAGTCTCTTCTTCTACTCCTGAGGTTGAAACATCAACTTCAAACGAGTCATCGTCTGAAGGAACCACAAAATCTGGATCTACCTCATCATCCGAGGCAACCATTGGAACATCAGAATCCACAACAGTGCCAACTTCAGTTGGAACTAGCGAGTCAGTAAAACCATCAGAGCGTACATCTGCTAAACCTTCTGAAGCGACCGTATCTCCAGTGGAGGCTTCTACAACCGCCCCAGGATCTGTATCATCAGAAGCGACTACTCCAGAAACATCTTCTGAAGAAAAACCAACCTCTGCTAAACCAGATGAATCTTCTGAAGCCACCGGATCTCCAGCTGAGGGTTCAACAACCGCCTCAGGTTCTAAATCATCAGAATCTACCACTCCTGCAACAACTTCTGAAGAAAAATCAACCTCTGCTAAACCAGACGGGTCTTCTGAAGCCACTGGATCTCCAACCGAGAGTTCTACAACAATCTCAGGATCTAAATCTTCTGAATCTACCACTCTTTCTGGATCAGAATCTTCAACAACTGTTGCTAGTACTTCATCAGAGGCTACTACTCCAGCCACATCATCTAAAGGACCTGAATCTTCAGTGGCTCCATCAACTGAAGCCACTACACAATCTATCGCAACATCAACCCCGTCAGTAACACCCTCGAGTCAAGCAGCCACAATTCAAGGTCGAGAAGAAGTCACAACACCAACAACCAAAGAAACCTTCGCATTGCCAACCACCACAGCTTTGCCATCAAATGAAACAACTCAATCGCCAAGTGAAAACATCAAATGCACTTCAAGTGATCAATGTGGAAATGACGCATTATGTGAGAGACGAACTGGTGTTTGTCGATGTGAACCTGGATTTGAAGGAATTCCACCAAAAACAAGTTGTATTGATGTGGATGAATGTGCCACCGGACATCATAAATGCCACGAATCATCGAGATGTCAAAACTATATTGGTGGATATGCTTGTTTCTGTCCAACCGGATATCGAAAATCAGAAAATGGTGAATGTATTGATATCAATGAATGCGTTGAACACAATTCAACATGCTGCGGAACAAATGCAAAATGTGTGAATAAACCAGGAACATATTCTTGTGAATGTGAATCTGGATATATTGGAGATGGTTATAAATGTGTGCCAAATGAGAAACGAATTTGTGAAAAAGTGGAAGCTGATCGAGCAAATTGTGCAAATAATCGAGCTTGTATGATTGATCGAAATGGAATTATTGATTGTTCAGAATGTATCAGTGGATATGAATTAATTAACGGAGAATGTGTTGATATCAATGAATGCTCCAAAAATCCATGTGCTTCTGATGCAAATTGCTCAAACTTGAATGGAACATTCCAATGTTCTTGTAAACAAGGATATCGAGGAGATGGATTTATGTGTTCAGATATCAATGAATGTCAAGACAATTCACATTCTTGTCATCCACATGCTGATTGTACCAATTTACCAGGATCATTTGAGTGTAAATGCCAGGGTGGATTTGAGGGAGATGGAATTACAAAATGTATGAACACTCTTGAAAAGAGCTGTGAAGATGTTGAAAAATTCTGCGGACACTCGAAACACGTTTCATGCCTTAGTGTTCGTATTTTCAATGGATCATTGAGTTCAATCTGCGAATGTGAACCTGGATTCCGACTTGTTGGCGGAGAATGCGTCGATATTGATGAATGCGATGAGAATCGTCATAATTGCGATCCAGCTTCGTCGATTTGTGTCAACACCGAAGGATCATTCAAATGCGATTGTGCCGAAGGTTATGAAGGCGAAGGTGGAGTTTGTACCGATATTGATGAATGTGATCGCGGGATGGCGGGTTGTGACGGAATGGCGATGTGTATTAATCGAATGGGATCTTGTGGATGTAAATGTATGCCAGGATATACTGGAGATGGAGTTCAATGTTCAAGTGAGTCACATTTTACTGTATCTAAAAACGGATTTTCAAAACTTGGGCTAACATTCAAAAAATGGGGGCCGCATCTGAGTTTACTACCCCATCAAATGTGGTCTTGAGTTCAGTTTAGCCTCAAAATGCCTGGTGAAAATGATCTTTTGAGATTTTTTAAATTCTGCTCTCCAAAAAAGTGGATTTTGCCAAGCCAAAAAATCTCAAAGCACCCAATAAACTCACAAATAATTCCTGCCACTTATTATTGTTCCAGAAAGAATGAATAATCTGATTATGAGATTGTGAGATAACTATGACATTGAAAATTAGGTCACGTTTTTTTTTGAAAATGTGGGAATCAAAATGAATTTGCCAAGCGGGGGCTTTTCTGCGTTTTATCCACATTCTCTCTTCCTGAATCTTTCAAATCAATTTTTTCCAGAGATTGAGCCAAGCGATAATTCAAAATGCACAGAAGAATGGGAACGACTTTGTGAAATCGAGAACAAACAATGTACTGTTGATGAGGAAGAAGTTCCACAATGTGGTGCTTGTTTAATCGGACATCAACCAATTAATGGAACTTGCCAATCAGTCGCTGTTTCGGGTCTTTGCAAACACAATAACGATTGTAGCGAACATGCGGATTGTATTGATATTCAACCAAATTCTCATCTTTGTGTTTGCACTCCTGGATTTATTGGGGACGGAAAAATGTGCGATGGTAAGATATATCTGTGAAACTATTGAGCTCAAATAATTTTTTAAAGATATCGATGAGTGTTCCCTCGAAGGAATGTGCGATTCAGCCAATTCAGCATGTGTTAACACAATCGGAGCATTCAAATGTGTTTGTAACGAAGGTTTCGAGTTAGATGGTCATGTTTGTGTTCCATCAGTTAAAAGTACCACATTAGCCCCATCAACAGGTAAGTAAACGCACTTTTTTGTGATTGTCACTCAGCACTTTGTTCAGAGTCCCATCGTGAACCTGTCTCACTTGAGAGTTCAACTAAAGTCACCACTTTGTCTGTCAATGTTACGGAAAGTAGTAAACCAGGAAGTCAAAGTTCAGTGTCTACCAGTGTTGCACCTAAAACTGAAAATGTGACGCCGAAGCCAACTTCGAAGGAGTCTTCATCAACTGCAAAGCCTACCAAAGCTGTTGAATCTACAGGAGCCACTAAATCTGGAAAATCAGAAACGGATCTAACATCGACTAAGAAAACATCTTCAACAGCAAAACCCACTGTAACCAAATCACCTGTTGTTGAATCTACGACTTTGAGAACCGCTACTTCTAAAAAATCCGAGTCGACTAAGGAAACATCGGAATCTTCGAAACCTACCACAGCCAAACCATCTGTTACCACAACATCTGTAAAATTAGAAAGTTCAACCAAAAAAGTGGAGATCACAACTCCGAAGAGTGTGAGCTCGAGCACACAGAAAACTGTTGAATCTACCAAATCAACACCAACTTCTGGGGGTTCCACCAGCACCAAAAAACCAACTTCAAAAATTCCATCAACAACATCTCAATCAGATCTTGTCCTGAATGTTATAACTACAACTTCAACACCACTAACTGTGATTCTGTCTTCTTCCACTTCAACCTCCCAAGCATCTTCAGAACCAACACCTCCACCAACAGCATCCACCACAACTCGAATTGTTCCAACAACAGGTGAGCATCGAATTGAGTTAGGGAAAATAGCATGAGATAGTTAGGTTAACTCTGTTTTGCATGTGTTTTGTTTGACAGCTCGTCGAGGTCCACCAAGTATGACACCACCAGCCGAAGAAACCACTACCGCCAGCGCAAATGGGGGATATGGTGAAGCTGAAGTTGAGGTGTCGACTAGCAGTTCGACCACGACTACAGTACCAGCCACTACAGTAGTAACCACTACAGTATCAACCACTACAGTACCAACCACAGTAACTCTTCCTACTACTACCCTCAGAACAGCACGTGAGTTGCACGGCATGATTTTTTTGGAGGAAATTTTTTTTGACAACAGCCTGATTTGTTCAGTGAACTTTTGATTTCCAATATGATTTTTCCAGCCGCTGAATCAATCTCTTGTTCAAATTGTCATCAACTCGCCATTTGCTCCTCGAATCAAACTTGTGTTTGTCGCGAAGGATTTATTGGTGACGGAATCGCGAACTGTAGTAAACTAACAACCGCCGATTGTATGTCACTTCCATCGCTTTGCGCATCCAACGGATATTGTGACACCAAAACTCGCGATTGTAAATGTGATGCTGGATACATCGGAGATGGTTATATTTGTGCTCCACATCCACAAGATTGTGTTCTTCGACCAAATCTTTGCCCATCTGAAGCGATTTGTCAGAATCGACGATGTCAATGTCTTCCGGGTTATACTGGAGATGGTATCAAATGTGTTAGTATTCATGAGAGAGCTTCGAATTGCTCGCAATGTGATGAAAATGCATCGTGTGTTGGGGGAACAACTTGCAAGTGTAATGTGAGTTTTGGGTTCCATCATGGTTCCATGAAATTTTTTTGAAAATTTTGATTTTTTGGACCAATATATTAGGAACCCTCACCTTCCATAATTCAATAATCCTTGATTTTCCAGCCTGGCTACTTCGGAAATGGTCTTTGTTGTGTTCCTGATCCAACAGATTGTGTGCATTTCACTGGAATCTGCCATACAAATGCTCAATGTGACACATCTTCTCGACAATGCAAATGTGCTTCTGGATACTCTGGAAATGGATTATCCTGTTTCCCCCAAAAATCATGTAGAACTGATCGAAATGTCTGTTCAAATAATGGAATCTGTTTGCCAACTGGAAATTGTATTTGTCGAATTGGATTTGAAGGAGATGGATATAATTGTGAAAAAGCTGGAACTGCCGCGTTGAACTTGAGAAATGATCCAATCTCATCTTGTTTGACACCGTGTGATAGTGTTTCAGAGATTTGTATCGGTGGAAAATGTTTGTGCAAAGATGGATTCCGTCAAAATTCCACTAATTCATGTATTGATATCAATGAATGTGAAGAGAAATTGGATAGATGTGATCGATTGGCAACATGCCAAAATACAATCGGAAATCATGTTTGTCTTTGTCCAAATGGATATATTGGAGATGGAACAACTTGTATTCCACACACTCAGAATACTGGAGGCATTTCGGTTTATTGCGAAGCTGATGGAATGACATTGGTGTTAGGAGATTCCGAGAATTTCGAGGGAAGAATATTCGTCAGAGGACAAGCTGAAAATCCATATTGTTCGAAATCATTCAGCAGTTTGTTGAATTCTCAAAAACCATATGTTTTCAAAGTTCTTTTTGAGCATTGTGATGTTCAACTTCAAGATAACGTAAGCTCCTTACTCAAAAAATATAGATAAAAAATAATGAGAACCTTTTTAGCATACAATGGCGTCTACAGTAGTTGTACAAAAACATGCGATGTTCTTGACAAGTAAAGCTGATTCTTACGATCTCCGCTGTCAATATCCAATCGGTTCACAAGCTGTTGAATCGCAAGTGAATGTCAGCGAATTAGCAACAACTTCAACATTAGTCGATAATAATTCGGAACTTGCTCCAACTTGTAAACTCGGAGTTTCAAATGAGCAACAATTATCGATTAGTAGCGCCACAGTTGGAGACACTCTCAAATTGAGTTTGTCAGTTATCCCAGCATCTGCGAATTTTGGAATTCTCCCCAAAAATTGTTTCGCAGTGAATATTGAAAGTGGTGAAAGATACACTTTGACTGATTCACTTGGTTGTGCAATTGATGAAACATTATTCCCACAATGGAGTGTTGTATCCAATAATAGTGTTCAAGCGATATTCCGAACATTTAAATGGCCAGACAGTTCAATGATTCGATTCCAATGTGATTGTTCACCTTGTATTGGATCATGTTCGATTCCAAGTTGTATGAAAGTTCAGCGATTCAGAAGACATATTCCGATTGTGAATGATGAGATTCGAGAAAATCTAGTTTTGGTGAGTATAAAACTTCTTAGATGTTTTTTTCCTAAACAACTTATTTTTCAGATGAATGGCGTTGAAGGTTTAGCCGTCTCCTCAATCATAAATGTTCACGACTCTTCAAATCTCCTCGACGACGATAACACCTTCACAATCCCGCCCCCAATCTCCTCTTCTTATTCCCCATCCGAAATTTGTGTCAAACTCGCTCCATTGATAATTGCTCTTTGCTCATTCATCTTCTGCTCCCTTGTTCTTCTCTATTTATTCTCACCGAAAACCACCAAATCAGAGTTTTAACCTTGCTTAATTTTTTTTTATTTTCAATTGCTCAGGGTGAATATTTATCACCTAACTCATCCAGGATTGTTCCAAAGAAACATTATTTTTCTTGCCCCCCAAATTCAAGCTTTTCTCAAAATTACGTGTGCATTTGTTTGTGATTTTTAATTTATTTTAATAAAGATCATTATTATTTTATAAATACTTTTTTTTATTTTCTAAATATTTAGGGTCAAAGGACACTAATTGCTCGATTGAAAAATGAAAACAGATAGTGAAAAAATCAAATTTCAGAAATGGCGAGAGTTAAGAAAATTTATACGTTGTTTAATAAAAGAACAACAGTTATAAATACAAAAATCAATAATTTTCATTAAATTATTCGAAGTTTAAAAAACCTTACACAACATAAAAAGGTCTGTGGGATCTTCGAAACACATGCATTCCACGTGAAATCCATAAACATTTGAAACATTGTTTTCCAAAAAAAGCTGGATCGATCGAATTTTTTGTTCATTTGTTTTCTTAGAAAAATTGAAAAAGTAAAGAGGTCTTTGTTCAGTGTTTTGTTTGAGTCTCTGAAAAAAACGGAATATGAAATTTTCTTGTTTTTTTTTCGAAATATCTGGAATCTAGTTTTTATAGAAAACTCACTATTAAAGAATGTTCATTTTTTCATAAATTTTCGGTTTCAAATTAATTATCGAATCATAAGTGAATTTCAATGCTTCAACAACATCATCAATATTTGTAAGACATTCGATCATAACGAGTGTATGCTTGGCACTATCCAGTATTTTCAAACTCCAATCATTCAGAACAATCTCAAAACTTCGAGGTTTATATGCAGCAAAAAAGTCAATAGTCATCTGATTGATTGATTTTCCAGAATAAGATAAAATTTCGATCGATTTACAGCACAAAATTTCTTTCAAAATTTCCAATGGAATTTCTCCTTCTTCTACGGTTATGTTGAGTTTTTTGCATTTTGCATTTTCGAAGTAATAATTCCATTGATCAAATGGAATAGTTCTTGTCTGTGCAATTGTTCTTTTAAAAGGAAGTATTCTTATCCACGGAACTGTTACCATAATTGTTATTTGTAATCGGAGTTCCTTGTTCTTATTGTAATACACATTAGCCTCACATGTTGGACCAACAATAATTCGACGTTTTGATTTATGAGCATTCGATAGAAACTTTGACAAGTTTTTGAATTTTTGAACATCCTCGTATTCCATCTGAAGAAAAACATATAATTAGAAATAGAAAAAAAATGTTTTGAAAACTTACCTTTGAAAAAATGACGCCAAGAATTTCGGGGGACAATTTTTTAATCGGAGGTTCCCCTTTTTCCTCTTCAATTGGTTTGGTAAATGGTTTCATAAAAAAGGTTAGAAATCTGCGGATTATCAAGAAAATGACCAGCAAGGAAGTATTCATTTTGTGCAATAAATATTATTTTTTCAAGCTGGAAGAAAACGGCTTGGACGCTCGAAAAAAATGTTTGTTGGTATTGTTCCCCAGCTGTTTTGTTTTGGGTTTTGGGAAGACAAAAAAACAACACTTTTCTAAAACGACACAGTACATTTTTTGCGGAAAGGTGTAGTTTTCACTGATTCCCAGCGATCTGTGATGAAAAATTTGAAAAAATGAAAATTTAACACTGCAAAAAATTTGGAAAATATGTAGCTTGCGAAAAAAAATGATCGACTTTACAAAATTTTTGGACGAGGAAATCTGAGTATATACAAAATGGATGGATGTTTTTTCCTCAAAAATTAAGTTTTTGAATTTCTGTGCTATGTCATCCCCGAAATTCAAGCTTCTATCAAAATTACGTGTACCAATTTGTGATCTTTCATTTTCAAAATCATAATTTTATAAATGTATTTATTAAAAAAAGAAATTGTCAAGAAATGTGTGTTAGAAGTCTGAACCTGTAGTAGCCATACCAATAATTATAAATACATAATTCCGTCCTAAAATATTCTATAACTAATTAATTAATTATCCAGCTCTAATTTATGCCAAGCTTCAACCAATGTTCCAGGATTTTCTATACATTTGATCCATTGTCGACCACGTTCATCTTTTGCAGATGCTGATAATAAAATACCACCTGGAATTTGACAATTTTTTTTAAAAATCTGGGCTATAATTTAGGCTCTTACCAATATAATCATCATGTTTTCCAAGATCATGATCATAAACTCCAATTTGAAGAGTTTTCTTTGGAAGATCTTTGAAAGGAACCACGAATTGGATTTTCTGAAAAAAAAAACTTTTTTTTTTCAGATCTACATAGAAACAAACTAAGGAAACTAACCTCATTAAATTCCGGATTCAAAGTTCGTTTCTTAATCGAAGTTCTTTGTCGATGCGCCTTTGAAGTGATTGGAGTTAGCGAAACTTTGCAATATGGATCGGAAAATCCAGTTGAATCCATTCCAACAAGTTCAACACATCGATTGATATTAATGAATAATGAACCTTGTTGAATATTATACTGTAATCCAACATGGATTTTCCCTCGTTCCCCATTTTCCTCCTCTTTTGTTTGAGGAGGAACTGGAATTGCTTGCTCCAAATACAAATTGTATTTTTTGACTCCGCTATTTGGAAGTTTTCGAAGAGCAATGCGAGTTTCGCCAAGGAAATCGGAGCCGATTCGATCACGATCCAAAACCGTGATTCTCCTGGAATAAAAAAAAACATTATAAATTGAATAAATTCTGAAACTTGACTCACAATGTCTTTTTCTCCTTATCTTCCTCAGTCACTCCCCAATAAACCATTTCCTCATTCCATTCTGGATTCAATGTTTTCTCAATGGTTTTCGATGTCAATTTGGTGGCTTTTGCATTGCCGGGAATCAGATGGAGTTTGACATAGGGATCAGAAAATCCATTGCTGTCCATGGCTTTGAGATTTTTGGCGCGGAGGAGGGTTATTGTCAATTTTTTCTCCGATACTTCGTAGTTTAGGTTGAATTGGATTGATCCGAGTGTACCTAGAAGAATTTTGATGAGATTTGGTTGACAATGAGTGGAAAAGGAGGTCCGATCTTTCTAAAAAAAAAACCCTGGCTAACTGACTAGGTTCCAAGAGAAGTAGGGTAAACTCTAAAACTCGAAATTTTTCGGAATAATGTACAAAAATGAAAAAATGATGGGAAAAATCTGAAAATTTCTGTCCAAAAACTTGGGATAGCCAGATCAAAAGAACACACTGCAAAACCCGTACCACCTGCGTATCTAACTCGTCCATGTCTTACTTCTCAAAAGTTCGAGTTAGATCTGCAGGTTTTACAGTACTCATGTGCCTGTAATTTGTTCTGATTTTCTCGGAATTTTGGACAGAAGCTTTTCATTTTTTTTTGTTTTTTTTATGTTTTTGGAACCGAATTGTCAATATAGATTAATCTTGGTCAGTATCCAGATTTTAGAAAGTTCCAACCTCCGAAAGTTCAGTGAAGATAAAAGTTCACATGCAAAATGTGATTGAAAGAAAAAAAAGAAAGTGCCCCAAAACCACAAAACGCCAAATTCACAACACCAACCATGCGACTTAAAAAAACGTGACAAATTGAAGCATGCAAATAGTCTTCGATTTCGTGATCTCATACCGGGTTTATATTTTTGCGAGTTCGAATTCTCAGTGATTCCCGAGCCAACTTGTGATCCTTCATCATCCTCATTTTCAATCAATATTGGTTGAGTATCAATCGATTTTTCTCTTCGTTGAATTGTTGGCGTTTTTTGTTGATCTTCTTCTTTTGTTGCCTGAAGTGTTGTTGTCGATGAACTATTTCCGAGTCTAGAAGGTGGAAGTGAAGAATGTGATGGTTGAGATGTTGCTGTTGTTTCATCCAAAGATTGCCGATATTGAAGGGAATTTATACGTGGAACACCATCACGTCGACGATTTCGCTCTGTTTGTTTTTCGAGTTTTAATTAGGGCTACTAATGGTTAATCGAGATTTTTAGAATTTTGCTAATCAATGTTGGATTCTAGAAAAAAAAATCAAATAATATTTCTACAACATGTAAGCAAAAATCCAAGCACACGGAATTATCACCGCAATATATTTACCGTAGCCCCCAAAATTAAGCTAAGAACTTACTGGAATCTTCAGAATCTGGAGAACTCATGAATGCAGCCATTGGTGAATCAGATCGATGTAATCCTGTGCCAGAAGCACTTCGTCTATCATTCAAAGCGTGGTTAACAATCGGATTTGCTGGAATTGTTGTTCCAACTTTTCCCGATGAACCAGCTGAACTACTTGCTGTACTCGATTTATGTTCCATTGGACTCGATGTTCTATTATCCGGGCTTGAACGATTCGGTGTGACAAGAGAAGTTCCAGATGCGCTTTGCGCAACTGATCTTCGCGAAGTAACACTATCCGGATTCGATATTCTTCTAGGTGATTCTTGGGTATTCGACGCATTTCCCGGATTCAAAGATGATGATGAAAGTGTCAGATTCCCTCCTTGTTGTGGATTCGAATGATCCGATTGAACAACTGAAAAACACCAGAGGGTTCCCATTAGAAAAAGAAATAGTCGCCCGAAATTATGTTAGCCGGAAAGATGTAAAACTAACTGTTACCTCCACTGTCAATACTTCTAGCATCATCGTGTTGAGTTACAGTTGCATCATATGAACATGGTGTGGCAAGAGAATGACGTGGAGATGTTGAGGAAGCACGGGATTCTGGCGAAGAATCATCTTCTGGAATGAAATTGGTTTTTTTTTGAAACTGGCATCTAGGAAGGTTTTTTGTTCCAAAAATTTTGTTCGAGTTAGCACTCTTGGTCTTAGATTGGCTTGGAATCGGACTCAAAATATGATCGAAGGGCCATTGATGTTTTTTTCTGATTCGGAAAATGGGGTATACTTTGATCAGAACCTTTTCTGGATAGTTTCAAAAATTTCAGTAGGATCTAATTTTGAACGTGCCACACCGTTTTCAAAACAAAATTATTTCAATAAAACCACAGACCCCTTCTCACTCACCACTATCATAAATCCTGGCCGCATTCAACGCAAATCTCGCCAAATTCGCCTCTCTTCTCGCCGAATTTTGCGGCAATTTGTGATGATGATGTTGTTGTTTTCGAACAATTCCCGATTGTGCGAATCCACCTTCACCATCCGACGAACTTCCAGCTCGATCTTCATCATCCACTGACATACTGCTCATCACTTTTTCGTTCACCCAACTCGGCTGAATTCGGGGGCGAGGAGATTTGGATCTAAAAATAGACAAGTTTATGAAAATTCTATTTTGGAAGAGAAAAAATAATAAATAAGCACCTTTCATGAGGATCAACAGCCTGAAGCATTGAACAAATACTCGCACGACTCGTACTGCAAAATAAAAAAATAAGCAACAAATAATAAAGAATCCCAGGGTAAACTGAACTTCAAAGCAAAAATAACAAAACCATTTACAAACCTTGGAACTTCATTAGTCATTCTGCGACCATTTGGAATCGGCGAATTCGTAGCTGATGTTCCGTTACTCTGAATCGCCCACGTTGGTTGACGTGGAGATGGTGAAGTTGATGTTGTTGGAATTGCTGATGACGTGGCAGCAGCTAACGGTGGAAGTGTGGGATTGGCTGAGCCGTTCATGAATGCGGCATCGGGTCTTTGGAAATCTGGCATTTCTTTGTAGAACCAGGCACCCGATTTTTTCCAAAGCTGGAAAAGGACACAATTACTTTTGATGCAGTTTTGAGGGTAGGGCTGGTCAGAATCGTATTTTTGGAATTTATTGTTTCTTGAAATCATAAATATGAGAACCATGGAACCTCTAAATTTTTCCGAGAGTGGAAATCTGAACTTTGAACGTTTCATTCGTAATTCCGAAATTCCAAAAAAAAACCAATTCTGAAAATCCCTCCAAATTCTCAAATCAATCCTCCTCCTAAACATGTACCACCCCAAAAAAGGACAGAAAAGCATTTGAAGCTTTTTTTGAAATCGAAAAATCAAAAAGACATGGACATATTTTCTCGAGACACGGACAAAAAGAAGTGTAGAGATCCCCCCTCAGCGGCTGGGAAAACACTAACCACCTCGCGAGCTTCCGAGCATATTTTGCACAGGAAGACGGTTTCGCCACGTTGCGGATCTTGCGTTTCGACGCCGCAATTTCGTTGACACACATATTTTCGACAATCCACACACATTGCTGCGTAGCTTTTCGAGGCGAGAAGTCCGAATTCGGTGTGGCACAAAAGGCAGTGAGTGACGCCGTTGCCAGTCGCGCGACGACGCATTTTTTCGAGACGATCCACCATTTTTCTGGAATTTTCGGAAAATGAGAACTTGGTTGTTTTAGACTTCTGAAGGGTGAATTTTGGAATTCAGCAAGGATTCTGAAGTATCCAATTGAAGATTTTTTTCAATTCTATATTTTTTATCTCACGAGGTCTACATATAAAAAAACACTTCAGGTTATAATTTTTCAACATTTAAATTTTTTCTATGAAATTTTTAAATCTCAGAACACCCACCAGGAAACGAACTTCGGACCTCAAAATCCCAAACCTATCTCAGAGAAAATTTTGCCCCCGGGCTGCCCGTAGGAATTTGGTTTACCCCTATTTTCGGGGTGTTGCCCTTCGGACCAGCACGAAGGGCAAATTTTCTAATGGGAAAAATAATTTGAAGGGTATTTTTTGAGCACGTGACCTAGTTTTGTGACCTAGTTACGTTTTCGATCACAAAAAATAATAAATTTCTTTCATTTCACTTATTTGGGTATTCAAGAAAATAGTGGGGAACTCAATTCCGATTTATTATATTTTATATGCCACAGAGTGTAATTTACTACCCGAAAAATTTCGCGCATTTTTTGAGACCTGACACGATCTTAGGGGTGGGACTAAAATCGACGAAATTCGACGCAAAAACGAGAGATTTAGAGAAAAATGATTCTTGATCTACCCAAAAACTAATGAAAAATTTGAGGTCTAACGATTTGAGGTAGTAAATTACACCCTGTGTATGCTACAAGTCTCAAAACATTTCAAAGTGAAAAGCAGGAACAGGAAATCAAGGAATTTATATTATGAGAATTTATACTATTTGGAATATTTGTGATTTTGGAAAATTGTGTCATCTCACGCTGTCCAAGTGCGAAATTGCAGAAGTCAGAGAATGTGCTCATTAGAAAAGTATTATTCGATGTTCCGACTGTTATTTCGGGAATGTATAGCAGGGCCGAAATTCCGAAAACTATGCATGAGAATTCTGAGAAGCTTCATTTTTTTTTTAAATAAAAGCTTCTCTTTGAAATATGTTTTGATTTCGATCAATTTTGGTCAAATAGATAAACTAGATTTCCGAAGATTTCCTGGCGCAAGATTTTTTTTGAATTTTGCCATGGCGAAAATTAAAAATTAAAACAGAAATGATTTTTTCCACGTCAAAATTTTTAAAATTTAAAAACGTCATACCCTAGTTTTTCTTAATTGCCCCTAGGCCGCCCCTTGAATGCACTAGTGTTGCCCTTAGGACCAGCCCTCGGGGCACTCCAAGGGGCTGCCCATGGACCACCTTTTCTCTGAGTAATCTCTAACCAACTAGACCACGCGGTCACGCGAACAACATGAATAAATTCATCTAATATTCTCATAAATTTTAAACATTTCGTCCCTCAAATTTTCCCGAAACAAAAAAAAACCAACCCAATACGTTGCTGCTCTTTATTCTTGCTCTCCTCTGCTTTCGCCAACACCTGCCTTATATGCTCTTGTTCAGCTTCCGTTATCGTTCCGCCATTTTGACCTTTGGAATTTGTCGGCGATCGAGCAGTCGCTGTTCGAACCGACCATCCCGATTTCAGCCTGGAATTCAATTTTGATCTGATTGTGAGGACCCAGGGGGAATCTGAACTCACTGTGCTCTCAAATGCAAATGTCGATCACTTGGACAAACCCATTTATTTTGTGTTCCTCCAATTTCCCAATCATTCATCAGATCTGAAAAAAAAACCCAATTTATTTTATTTAAAAAAAAGGGGGGAACACTTGAAAAAATAATGGTTTTATTTGGACTGTGACGTCAGAAGGAATTTGATTAGGAGGAACTTTTTTGGGAGCTACACATGAGATGGACTTAGAGTTCCAAAAATCGGAACAAAAAAGTGTATTGAGAATACAGTAACTTTCGAAAAAAAAACCTTATAATATGTTTTGTCCCATAAATATTTTCAGATAAAAAAAGTTACAGTTCTGAATTTTTTTTCAAAAAAACTGTTGGCTGGAGCTTTCTTAACAGACAGGAGACGAATTACGAAGTGCATGATCTCTGATACATTTTCAAATGACAACATCTATAGTTCTCTGATCTACAATTTTCAGAACCTTCTGAATCTCCCAAACAAACCTTTCTTCGACTCAAGAAACCCGGAAAGATGTCTTAAGAGCCCAATTTTTGGCGGTATTTTTCTCGCATTTGCACTGATTTGAGAAACCGAGTTCGACGAAGTATTATTATTATTATTAATAAGATTCGAAAAAGTGCTGGATGTTGAAGTGCTTGTCGCAATCGACGGAGATGGCGTAGTTTTACGCGATAATGGCAACATATTTAATGATATGTTATAAATAGTAAGTAAGTAGCAGATTGGCGGATACTAGTAATAATCACGATTGTTGTTTTTTTTCTTTTTTTTTCTTCGCGTTTAGCGGACAAACCCAGGCAACGAGAAAATAGCGAAAGAGAAAAAGAAAATGAGCCAACTGCTTAAAACTCATCGATTTTTTTGCTTATATATGGTGAGAGGAGACGTAGAGAAATTCTAGCCCAAATAATTCAGCCCTGTGTGTGAGAAAAAAAAAACAATGATGATGATGCGAATTTCGAGGGGTTTCCGGATCAAACATTTTTGTTTTTCTAATCAAAGATGATTTTGGTAATGATGAAATAAATTAGGCTTAATTCAAGCAGAGATCAGAAAATAACTGGCACATTTTTGGTGAACATTTTAGCACGTGATCTATAGAGATCTTGGAACTTTTAGTAAATTTGATTTACTGTATTTGTTAAAACATATAAATTCTTTATATACTGGTATCAGAAATCTTCTTTAAAAAACTTTTAAAATTTCAATTCGTGATCTCAGATTTAAAATTCCTTGTAGATTTTCAAAATGAAATAAAAGTGCTAAATAATCAGAAATCGGTCGGATCAGAAAACACAAGATTTTCAGAAAATTACTGTAGAAAAAACGTCATAATTTTTATTTCAATCGGAATTTGAAAAAAAAAAGAAATTTATGAATGAGATGAGGAGAACATTCTGCAAACCGCACAAAACGGGAAAAGATCAAACAATCAAATAAAAAATTAACGTTTCCTGAAAAATTATGGAAACGTCACATGAATTTGAAAGAGAAAACGATCGATTTGAAATCTTTGAAAATCTGAGAAATTTTTAGATTCGAAATAAATATGATCTTGAATCCAACAAATCTTAGAATTTCATAAGTTTCAAAATTTTTACTGTTTCTAAATTTCAAGATGGGTCAACAGCCAATTCTAGAAAATTTGCTTGTCAAATAGCTGAGCCTAGATAAATTCATTGTCAAGTCTCCACGTCTAGAATAATACTCTCAAAAGGAGCTGAACCTTGAGAACCACTGAGGGTAGGTACCACGCCTCTGTCAAACAGCCAATCCTAGAAAGCCTTGTTGTCAAGTAGCCGAGCCTAGAGAGTCTGAATGTCAAGGTGCAATGCCTAGAAAGCTCTATTGGCAAAGCCACAGTTGAACTTAAAATATAGGAAAATTCCGAAAGATAATCCAAAAAAAATGGAAAACTGCTCACAATCTTTGTACTCCCGATAAAAAAGTTTTTTTCTAATCACACGAAAAAAGCACGCCCAAAACTACCGAAAAATTGTAGTCTTTCTTTTCATGTGAAACAAGACAACAAGTTTTATGTTTATTATGTTGTTTGGGCTCAAATTCATGTCAAAACCAGAAATTGGTTGGTTTCTAGCAGCGCGCAAAGAAAAAAAACGAATTATATCTATCTAGAATGAAAAATATAATTGAAATCGTCCCTTTGTTTTTGTTTTGTTTTGTTGTTTTTTTCATGCATTTCTGCAGGCAAAATTTTTTTTTGGAAATTGGAACAAAAAATAGGGAAAATAAGGGGAGTGAAAGAGTGAATACGTGTGAACGAAGATTTATTTTTGTTTTTCTTTTTCTATATTTTTTTCCGGTGAGTTCCTGAACTTTTTTTGCAATTTTTTTGGAGCTGAATAATTGAGCAATCTCGAAAATCCGTATACGGTGTAATTTTTCTCATTTCTTTTTTTTGCTTCAACAGAAAAAAACGAGAAGCTCAAGTGTTTGAGGATAAATCGAGACGCAGATTGTTAGAAAATGAGCAAAAAAAGGATTAGCTCTTAAAAAAGGAGAAGAATGTTACAAATGAGGGTTCTTTTTCTATTTATTTTTTTTTTTTGAAATATAAAAAAAAGTCACATGTACTAAAAATAACTCCAAATCAAAAAATATTTTTTTATCGGCGGGGAAAAAGTAGATAAAAAAGCCAATTAAAACAATTTTTGCATGTAGGGAAGGGGAAAGATAACAAGTTCCTGTTTTTTTGAACAGATCAACTCAAAAAGCTTATTTTTTTGTACACGTGGATTTTTCGGGTCAAAATTCATAATGGAGTTCACTGGAATATTCAAAAAAAAACTTTTATCCACAAAATTTTTTGGAATATTTCTCTAAAATTGTCTCAACATTCTCAGAACTTCAAAAAATGTCTTTTGCAAAAACAACAAATACAAAAAATGTCTACGATTTTCCAAAGTTCAGATTCTGTCTCAAAATAGACATTTTCCTGAATCTCACTTTCAAAAACAAAAAAATTCTGTAGCAAAAATAGCAAGTGAGCCCAAAAATTCTCGAATCATCAAAATATGCAAATTTATGTGCGAATCATCTTGGTATTTTTTTTGGAAAAACGGAGAAAATCTTACCAGAATTCTTGGGCGGAAAATAGCACAAAAATTGATTTGACATAGGAAAAATGTCGGGAAAAGAATGGAGCAAACGGGGAGGGGATCGCGCAGAATATTAATGTTATTTTTTATTTGCCGCGAGAAGCAAAAAGGTACTGATTGAAATTGACATGGCTTTTGAGAGCTTAGCCCTAAAAATGAGTAATATTCTATGCATTTTTGAGTAAAAACAAATGAAAGTTCAATTCATAGAAAAAATCTATGGAAAAAAAGAAAAACAAAAGAAAAAACATATTTTTGGTTGAGTGACTTTTGTGAGAAGACAGACTGAAAGAATGAAAATAAAAATTCCATATGAATTTTGGATGAAAAAAAGAAGAATTTTTGTGTGAAAATTGCATGTTTGAACACTGAAGACAAACGTGTTTCATCACAAAACATCATTTAATTCTAGGGTTTTCTGAAAAGAAAAAAAGAAATACGAGAAAAAAAGACTGTGATTTTTTATGTTGAAACAAAATTTGAAAAATGAAAATCAAGCGTGTGAAAATTTCACGCAAAAAATGTTAATTTTCAAAAAAAAAACTTGGGAAAACTAGATATTTTTACCTATGTTTAATCTTTCGAAAAACAAGAACTAAAATTTCGAAAATTGAAAAAATACTCCAAATTAAGCTCATATGACCAAAAAAATCAGGTAAAAATTTCAAAAGGCTTTCCAGAATTTTCAAAAAAAAAAAAAAAACTTCTGGTTCTGCAACTCTAAAAATCAAATTCTAAAAATCAGGATCCACGTGAATTTCAAATTTCTTTAATTCTGGTAAAGCCTGAAAATTTAGTAGAACCTAATTGTACTGATTGAATTTTAGGATTTATTTTCTAAAATTGCATAGGTCATTTCGTTCTCAAAAAATCCTGAAATTAGGCTCAGAATTTCAGAATCTGGGCTTCAAAACCTAAACTAGATCAAAAATTATTCAAACCTAATTTTAGAGATTGAATTAGGATGTTTTTTTTTGAAAATTTTAAAAATCCTTCTGAATTTGCCTCATAGATCAGTTTTATTCTCAAAAAAAACTTCTAAAAAATGGGATTTTTTGGGCCAGAAAATCTGGGCTTCAAAAAAATTGTTCCTACGCAAAATTTCTCAAAATCGGTCGAGTCCTAAAAAATGTGAGAACGTTGCTAAAAATAGAGTTGACAAAAAACTTTCTTTTATAGCATTTTTTTTGAACAAAAAATGTTGCCAATCAGAAAACTTCACGGTTCAGGTGAAAAACTGAAAACCTTCCCTTCCCTTCAGAATTTCAACCAAAACATCTCATATATATTTTTGCTCCCCATTCATTCAAAAAAATAACAAACAAAAGTTATGTTTTTTTTTCAAAAAAAAAAAAAAGAAACTCACGTTCCCCCTTGTAAAAATACATGTCTTCTTTGGCATTCGGAAGGAAATATCCTGTAGGAAAAACAACAGAAGAATGTGTAAGAAGAGCAACGGCAAAAAAAAGTTGTGAGAGTAGAGTAAAAAGTGAAAAGTGGCTTCTTCTTCTTCGCTACTTGTTGCCTCCTCCTCCTACTCGCCTTTTTCTTTCTTGACAAACTAATTATTCGAGAAAAAAACGGGAAAATGCGAAGAAGAAGAAGAAGAAAATGGGCCGAAGGTTATAATTTGAGACACAGAAAAAAGACAAAAAAAACGAAGAAGAAAAGGTTAACTGAATTTAAGTAAAACATAATTTGATGGATGAAATGAGACAATTTTTGAGACAAGTCTTCGTTTTTGGGGTACGGTACTTTTTGGAAAATGCCAAAATTTTGGTAAAATATTATCAAAATTTTTCAAATCCGTAAAATCAAGGTAATGTTTGAATCAAAGGAACTTCTCCAAAATCGAATAGATTTTCAGGATGCGTAAAATAAATCAGGTTGACCAAATTTCAGTGAAACAGGATTCTGAAATGTAAAAATTCAGAAAGGATATTTGAATTGGACCAAGATGATCACTTTTTGAATTTGTGGGTTTCAGAATCTTATCACTCGGATTCAGGATTCCTGAGAATATTTCTGACTAATCATTTTTAATTAAAAGATTTCACGAATTTGAAAAAAGTTCTCCAGAAATTTAGAAAACTGAAATTAAGGATGAATATTCTATTCAAAAGGCATTATTTCTTCTCAAAACTTTCTGATTAAGAAATCAGAATTGAAATTACCAGAGCTGTCTTCGAGCTAAAAAAATCGAGAATTTTCGACATCCCCAAAAAAAACACGAGACCGAAAATCGACCTTTTCAAAAAATAAAATTGATGACTCTCACGGCGATTTTTCATCATCACACTACCTCAAAACGAAAAAAAAATCCGAAAAATTTTAATAATAAATGATGACGTTATTAAATGTTCAAAAATCTCCGAGCAAAAAAAGTTCAGTATCATTTTTCTCGTTTTTCCTCCCTCCTCAAAACTTGATTTTTCCGAGTTCTAATAAATCTAGTTACATTTGTCGACAGAGAGAAAAATGAAGCTACTCAATCGAGAAAAAAAAACTACAATTTTTTAGAGCTTCTTTTTTTCGCAAGAAAAAATTGACGTGTTCTTGAAAAAAGGTAAAATAAAAAAGAAGAAGAAGAAGAAAGTGCATTTTTAATGGATGCCAAAAAATCCGGAACTAATATTTTTCTGCTTTTTTCAGAAAGAGAGAAAAAAGTATTCAAAAAAATAGAGGAAAAAAAATGAAAAGTGCTCGAGAAGTAAATTTGAATCGATCCTGATTTGAAAAATTAAAATTTTTATTTGAACTTCAAAATCAAATAACTTTTTTCGCTTAAAATAAATGTATTGATTATGAAAATCACCAAGAGAGTTACTGATTTGAATTTCAGAAAGGCTAAGGCTTAGCTATAGGCTTAGTTTCAGACTTAGGCTAAGCTATACAGACTAAAAACAGAATTTGCCCGATTTCTGTTTGGTGGTCCGATTTTGATTTGACCTTTTTCAAGTGATCCCATGTTTTTCAAAAAAAAAAAAACAGAAATCCAGAAACTTTGAATAAATTTGCTGAAAAATTGCTTGGTTCTCTCAAAAGAAAAAAAACAAGTATTCAAAAAATGAAGCAAAAAAGGGGAAAAGTGCTTGCTACTATTCTGAAAATGTATCTGTGAAATTCGAGAAATTTCAACAAAATGTATTTCTTTTTCCATGACGACCAAAAACGCCCAACGATGCGAGAAAATGGCAATTTCCGGAAACTTGACAAAAATAACAAAAAAAACGAGGAAAAAGGATTCTGGAAATATTCTGGAAATTAGTTTTCTTTTTCTTCTTTTCTCGCGAACAAAAATTCTCACAAAAAAAAAAGAAAAAATGGAAGATTTGTTCACATTTTTTATTATTGGAAGATTTTTATGGGGGAAAAGGAGAATTGAAAAAAAAGAAGGAAATTGGCTCGTTTGATCGATTTTCACAAAATTTATGGCCATCTCGTGATTCACGAAAAATTGTTTTATTTATTGATGTTCGCGGGATACGGTAGAATTTGAATTATTTTGAGGCCAAACTACATCGAAATTTGATTTGATTTAAAATTTAAATTTCGAAATTCGAAACTAACCAAATAGAAATTAGAACATTTTGCGAAAAAAAAGTAAATTTTTCAACAAAAACAAAAACTTTTTTTTGACAAACAATTCTTTTTGAAATTTCGAAAAAGTGAAAATTGAAACTTTGTTCAGAAAAAAGAAATTTGAAAATTCACAAACTTCTGAAATGTTTTTCAAAATTAAATTGGTGCAGAAAAATGTTGAAAGCCTGAACCCAAACTCTTGCAAAAGCCTAAGCCTAATTGTCATTCATCACAATCCTAAATCAAAACAATTTGGAGCAAAACGCATTTTAGAATCTTATTTTCGAAATTTTTTAGGTGAAAGAGTTCAAAAGAAAAATTATATTCCAATAGAGAATTTCAAAACTTCAGGTCCGAAAAATCTAACAGAATATTTCAGAAAAATCTCAAGACTGACAAAAACTTTCCATTTGCGTCAAACGAACATTTGTATCTACTACAAACCTACGAACCTACGTAAATCCAACCAGAAAAATCCGAAAAAAAGGGGAAGGAAAATTCGAAATTCGATTATATGTATGGATATGCACAGTGAAAAGAAAATCCTCGTCCCAAGAGTAAAAAATCGACCAAAAACTGCTGGAAGACTAGAAAATGGGCGAAAAAATGGGAGAATGCCAAAAAAAACACAGAGAAAACACACATAATATTTTCGAGTGAAATTCGATTCTTTTCATGAAAATAATTGTTTTTGTAGGCATTTTCGAAACCCGCCCGCGCAGACTTTTTAGAATAATTTTAATATTTTTAATTGAGATATTTCAAAGCCCAAAATAAACTTACTGCTTCAATTGTGGCCCCATTTGACAAAATGTCCCCCCCCCCCGTTCAAATCCACCCATCCCAAAAAAAACTCACCAACTTTGTCACCATTTTGAGCATTGAAAAAGGCCTCCGACAATTTTCGCACTATAAAAAGAGAGCTTGTCAACATTGAATTTGACATTTTCTTTCTGCTAAATGATTATGTGTTTGTTGATGAAGAGGAGATGTTGATTTATCCTAAGTTCAGAGATTTTGAATTTGTTCAATTATGAAGAAGAAAAAAGGAACAATATTTTTCGAGCAAAAAAATTCCCAAAAAAAAATGAAAAAGAAAAGACACAAAAATGTTACTTGTTTTTCTGGATTATATTCGTGGAAAACATTGATTTTTTTGGGTAAAAAGTTTTTTGGGTGAAACTTTTGAATAGCAAAAAATTGAAGAGTTTTCTCGAGAGAGATTTGAATGACTTGAAGAAAAAAGCAGATGAAAAAGTGCATTGAAATTTCGGAGAAATAAGATAAATTGCATCCTGTCAATTGGAGAAAAAAGGAAATTCCTAATTTTGATGTCGATTCGACGGCCAAAAATCACAGATTTTAGTTTTCTTTTGTTTTTTGGAAAAAAAACTTTTTTCTTCAGATATAATAACATTTCGAAGCAGAATTGTGAGTGAAAAAAAACCCAAACTTAATTTTTTTGTATTTCTAGGCCTTCTTGAAAAATAGGATCTCTAGGCGTAGGTCCTTGACAACTGGACTTGACAACTAGAATTGGCGATTTGCCATAGAACATCTCAAGGCACCGAAACTACCCAGAGTTGTTATCAAATTGTGGCTGCTTTCCAGTAGAGATCTCTAGACGTGTGTCCTAGACAATAAGGTTCTCTAGGCTCAGCTATTTGAAAACTAGGCTTTCTAGGCTCGGATATATTGATTAGGAAAATCCTATGATGTTTAAAGTTCAGAATCAAATTTTATAAGTACAATTTTTCTATTTTGGAACCACGTACTACCGTATACTTCAAGATCTTAATATGTTCTTCAAAATTACCTAGAGCTTTTGCTCTGGAATAGTTATCAAAATTTTTTTTACCAGAAATTTTTGTGGGAATTCAAAATTATAGCATTAAATGTAAATTTGAAATGAAATTCTGGAATTTTCAGAATTTCCAAAAAAATGGTCGAAACTTTTAGTACTTATTCCAAAATAAAATACGCTTACTGAAAATCCAGAAAAAAATCCTCAATCATTATTTCTTGTAATAAAAAACCCATGTAACATGATATACTCAACAAAAAAAACATGGCAAGCTTGAGACAAAAAAGAAACTGCAAGAAACAATAAAACAAAAAAGGTATCCACTTCCTTTTTTGCACTAACAGCTCCACGCCCCAAAAAAGGCACACACTCAAAATGATCCAATTTGTCTTTAAGTGACATTTCATCTATTTTCTAGAGAAAATGAGCAGCATTCTCGTTCGCTCCTAAAAATATTTATGGAACAAAAAAGGAGCCGAGTGAGTAAAAATGGCAAAAAAAAAAGGATTTTTCGAGGAGTTGAGGTGACACAAATCAAATTTACATAACATATTTTTTGACATTTTTTGTGAGGAGCGCGGAAAATATTAGATATTTGATGTTTGGAAAAAAACCACGAAAACTTAATGGGTGGTCCAATTGTAAAAATATGGCTCATTAAGCAAGAATGAGCAAAAAATGAACAGAGCAGAGCAAAAACCAAACTAAATTCAAAGAAAATTTTCAGAAAATGCTGAGTATCTCTGATTTTCTAATTAGAATAAAAGTCTTGAATATTTTCAAACATAACAAAGATCAAGAAGATTGAAAAATTTGAATTTATGATTTTTTTTTGAGAAAAATTTGATTGTTATGTTCAAAATCCTAAGGGAATCCCAGTTGACACTTTCTCAAAAATTAGTTAAATTTGGAATAGTTTATTATGACGTGACGATGTTAAATTGAATTTTTGTCAAAATTTGTGATTTTTGGAGGACTAGAAATAACAAACGTGCCCGAAAAACAGAATTTTTCAGCCTATTACAAAAATCAGAACAAAATTCAAACTGTTCTCCGAAAGTGAGTTTGTTCGGTAGAGCACGTTTGCAATTCTTGGTCCCAACATTTCTCAAGCCATTTTCTGTTTAAAAAATTCATTCCAATTTTTTCAGGTTATCAATTAAACTGCGCCACGTCATAATTCTTTTCAGGAATCAACAAAGCTGGTCAAAAAGATTATCGATAAGAATAAATCTTTCCAGCAAAAAAAATCCAAAAACGAAACTCTTCCAAAATTTTAATATTTCCTAATCTTTTTTGTCATACTTGGCTTCAATTCTGCCTTCAAAATCCCTCTTCCAAATTTTTCCATCATAAAAATTGTATTCCCTTTTTTTTGCCTCAATCGCCTTTTCCTCTATATCTTCTGACTTTATCCTAATGAACTCCTATTCAGCTCTGCCAGCTCGAAAAATAGAAATAGAAATAAAAATGAGAGACTGACTGGATTGGGCTGTGCCGGCGAGAGGAAAAAAATGAAATGAAGAATATCTGGACCTCTAATTAATCCCTATTTTTCTCAAAATTCTTAAGAGACCTAAAATATTTGCTCATTTTTCTTACGATATCCAATGCATTTCTAATTTTAACATGTTTTTCTTTTATTTTTCTTTCATTCTGCTGGAAAAACGTTTTTCGATCAAACATCCAATGAAATTCTGCGAAAAGTTCAAACACTTTCAACTTGTTAATATTTAATAACATGAGCAATCTCTGGTCCTTTTCAAATCCATAATTTTTTTCTATGAGAGTTATTTAGATAATCCCATCATTGATAATCGGATTAGTTGTTTTTAAACAAAAATACTGTAAATGATATAATATTCAGAACCTTCTTTTTCCAACAAAGATAAATGAGATAGGCTAACTTGTTAAAGCATCCCTAAATATATCATCAACAACACACAAAATCATCTGCAGAAAATATCAGCGGATTAGCGGATTATTTGAAATATCCACATAGAAAACATCATAATTTTTCTCTGCCCCTCCAAAAATAACTCACATCGTGTTGAGACGACTGGAAGATCTAACACAAAATGAGTGGATGGTCGACGACTCACATCCAATTCAGTGTCTTCGGGCACTGGTTGTCGATTCGAATTTCGGCGGGAAGATGCGGCTCGCGCGTCTCGTTTGAGACTGCGCATTGGTGAACCACTCGAATCGGCTGTCGCCCCAGTGCTACCTGAAAATTGAATGAATGAATGACGCTGGCTTAAGGGCATCGGATCAAATTACACATTTTCTAGTAGTTCAAATAATTAATAAAAATGAAGAAAACCCCAAATTATTCTAATAAAACTTCAAAAAACTTTGAATTAATCAACACCCCAAATGAGGAAATCATGGGACTTTTTCGGAAATTGCCTCTGACTTACACTAACTCGCCAAAAACTTGGATAGGTTTTTTTTAATTAGTTACAGTAAGCTTCGGAAACTAACAATTTTTTTCCTTAATTTCGAGAACAAAATCTTATGAAAAAATATTTTTCATATACTTTTGAATTTCTAATTCTGAATTTTATACGAATTTTTCTAGATTTTTTGCTCAAAAATCTAACATAATCAAGATCTGGAATCGAGAGAAACTAACCCAAAATTGTTCAGCCATTCTAATTTCTAGCTATCTATCCTCACGTTAGAAAAAATCAGAAATGAATATATTTTTAAAAATTTCGTGGCCGGCACGTGAAAAATAGATTTTTCAATAATACAATTTTTTTTTTTAAATTTTCAATCTCAAAAAATTAGAAAAAATTAAAACGAACAGAATCTCAGATATTCTTGGCTTGATGAAAATTTGAATTTTAGTAAATTGTTAATCGATAAACAAAATCATTTAAAAATAGATTATGAAAATTAACGCGTAACAATAGATTCTCGAATTTCAAAACAACCACCAGCCGCACAAATTCAAACTTCCAGAAAAAAAAAACAAAAAAAGTATATGTTTATCAATCTCAATGCTTTTCGTGTTCGATTCCCATTTGTTCTCGCCTTTCTCTAAACCTCCTCAAATCTCAAACTATTTCTCCACGGGTTTGTTTCCTTTCGGATAATTTGGATGGTTTGTATTTCTTCGTTGTAAACATCAAAAAACTTGGTTGGTTGGTTCAATGTGAACAAAAATTTAGATGAATGAAAAAACAACTTAAGTTGAACCATTCTTTGAGCCATATTTAATTCAATTATTAAATATCTTATTTATATTTTTATTTTGTTTCCTCATTTTCTTTTCAAAAAAAATGCCTCTGTTTTTCTTGGGTCTGACCAAATTATTCATCCCATTTTTTCCGCTTCCAACGACTTCTAATGAGCTCCCTTTCGTTTGGGAAAAGGAAAATGAAAATGAGAATGAGGTCTAAACTTTGTATTATTAGTTTGTCTCGGGGCGGATTATCCCCTCACTAATTTCATCCGGTGCATTGACGCAAAACTCAGAAAAGAAAAGGGCTTCGACAAAAATAGCCATTTTGTTTTGTGGTATACTTAGAGATTTGAAAAATAAAAAGTCTGTTTTTGACAAGCTATTGGCAACAAAAAATTATTGGATTCTTCCGGCGGAACAAAGTCCAACAAAAGCAGAAAGTAGGAAGAAGGGAATTTGAAAGGGTTTAGGAATTCCCAAATTTCTCGAGAAGTAGGCACAAATAAATAATGTGTGCGGTAGAGCAAACTTGATTGACCAACACACTGCCTCCCCAAATCTACGTGTGTGTGGAAAAACGAAAAATGTCTAGCACGCTCTCGCAAACACACACTCTCTCGCACACAACTTTTTACTTTTATTTCGCGAAAACAGTGCATATTAGGAGCTGATTTTTATGTGTTTTTCATCGGAACCACAATATGTGTTATACATAGTTCGAAAGAGAATTTCTTCGGCTACAAACACATATGAAATGTTATAAATGAAACCGAGATAAAAAAATAAAAATTTCATGCAAACATGACATGGTTTTTTTGAATTGTGTGAAAAACGCATGTGTTTTTTGATGGCCTGGCTTATTTTTTGAATATCGAATATATGTATAATCGAGTCGTAGTTTTGTTCAGAATCTCAAGGGCTTTCAGATGGTATAAATCAATATTTATGAAATTGTGAAATCATGGAGGAGTAGGGATTTTTCGTTTGTCAATTTTTAAAACGAGATTTTCATTTTCATTTGAAAGGAACTCGAATGAAGTTTACATACGTTTTGTAGAGAATTTCTCGGGCTTCAAAATCATATATATTTCTATACACAAAAATGGAAATTGGATGCACCGCTTTCGGTTGAAAACTTGTTGGGTTTGCACCAAACAAACAAACCCGTTCAGTAGCGTAGCGAAAAACAGCGGTGAGTTTTCAACCGAAAGCGGTGCATCCAATTTCCATTTTTGTGTATAGAAATATATATGATTTTGAAGCCCGAGAAATTCTCTACAAAACGTATGTAAACTTCATTCGAGTTCCTTTCAAATGAAAATGAAAATCTCGTTTTAAAAATTGACAAACGAAAAATCCCTACTCCTCCATGATTTCACAATTTCATAAATATTGATTTATACCATCTGAAAGCCCTTGAGATTCTGAACAAAACTACGACTCGATTATACATATATTCGATATTCAAAAAATAAGCCAGGCCATCAAAAAACACATGCGTTTTTCACACAATTCAAAAAAACCATGTCATGTTTGCATGAAATTTTTATTTTTTTATCTCGGTTTCATTTATAACATTTCATATGTGTTTGTAGCCGAAGAAATTCTCTTTCGAACTATGTATAACACATATTGTGGTTCCGATGAAAAACACATAAAAATCAGCTCCTAATATGCACTGTTTTCGCGAAATAAAAGTAAAAAGTTGTGTGCGAGAGAGTGTGTGTTTGCGAGAGCGTGCTAGACATTTTTCGTTTTTCCACACACACGTAGATTTGGGGAGGCAGTGCAACATTCAAGTAGCCTTATTCCTATCAAGTTAGCACAAGTTCCCCTGAAGAAGTTCATCCACATCCTATTTAAAAATCTTGGAGGAAGCAGAAAAATCCGCATGTTCACACGGATCAAATTAAATTTTAATAATTTCAATGGCAAAAAAAAATTGGATCGATGAGAGCGAAAAAATACACAGAAAAGAAAAAGCACCAGAGGCAGCGGCGCGCAGAGGATGTTGCTAGCTGCTACTATCAATTTTTAATTAATGAATGTATGAATATCTACACTTTCTTCATGTCTTTCCAATATTTATTTTGTGTATGTGAGTGAGTGAGTTTGTGGGAAAAATGGAAGTAAAATGAGCAACTAAACGTGTGAACCTGAAATTGATCACGTGGTCATGTTTTGAGAACTCTCAACGAGAGAGGTTATGAGAAAATTCCAGAATTTATGAGTTTCAGAAAACATGTGATGAATTTCCTATGTGAAAAATTAATTCGAACCTAAATGAACCCGTTGACCTAACTCGTTTTCTGAATTGGTCACAATAAAATTCACTGTGCTAGATCTTCTCTCACATTTTCTAAGATTTGGAACATGACAAATTCAAGTCCTTCACAAGTGGAAAAAGGAATCCTTAATTTCAGGTATACCACAAAGACTCTATATCATGCCAAATCAGTAATGTTTAGTGTATCTCTCTCATGACCCAAGATTCAAACTGTAAAATTTTCTAACAACATCCCTCATCAATCTTATTTACGTGCCCTTATTATCTCAAGATATCATATCTCAAAAGCACATTGATTATTAATTCCAAAACCGGAAGGAGGAAGACGAATAAGAAGATATGTCACGAGATTGCACCTTATTTTTCTCGAAAAGTCTAAAAAACAACAAACACAGCCGAAAACAACGGTGCCAGGGGCAACAAATTAAACGAGAAAATATATGAATGTTGTTTTTTTCAACCTTACCATAACTACAATCAACTGGTGAAAGTGTGGCAACCGATGTCGAGCAACAACAACAACAAACAGGGATAATACGTCGTCGACGTGGCGCGGGTGGAATCGAAACCGTAGTGGATTCTTCCGCTGTTGTCGGATCATCGGGTGGTGTCGTCACCACCTCAATCACCTTCTTCTTTTTCGGCGGTTTTTTGAGGTTTCGTAATTTCGTCGACTTTGTCATATTTTTGTCATAGTCGCCGAGAATTTCACCTGCCGAAAATAAAAAAACATTGAAAAGCTTTTCGAAAATTGGAATGATGAATAAATGAAGTTCATCATTTCGAGCACAAGAAAAAAAAGCAAAACGGATCTCGGAACATATAAAATTGAAGGCGGCGCATTCCTGTGTATTTTTTTGCTGCTGCTCGACGAGCCCCACCACCATAGGCTCCGCCCACATTTTTTATTTTTTCGAACGAATAAAAGAGACACAGACGGATGGATGAGTGAATCTTTTTGCTGCTCTGCAATTTCGGACAATTCTAGGCTGTTTGTTGTTGTTGTTGTTGTTGCTGATGAAAGAGAGGCCTTGGAAGAGAACCGATATGGCCTAGAAAACCAAACTTTCACAAAGATCGAAGAGGCCGAATTTCTGTGTTTTCTCTTCCACGCCTTTAATTATTTGAGTTGAAAAATATCAGGTTACTTCTATTTCGCAAAGCTCTCTTATTTATGCAACAAAAAATGAGGAAAAGTCGAGTTATTAATTATTAATTAAAAATAGGACAAAAGTATAAAGTTGGCGGGGGGGAAGCAAGGAATAATTGCTATCCGTTCGAGGCCAAAAATAAAAGAAATGACGAAAAATTAGTTCACGCTTGTTGCTCGATGACAAAAAGACGTCATTTTCAAGAAGGTCTTGAAAATTGTAATAACAAGAAATTCTATTATTGGATTCAATATCAAAAAAACGCACACACACGGAGAGAAAAACACTATACAAATCTTGTAAATCTAAAATACAAACCTGCAAAAATAGTCGTTCTATAAATATATTTTTCAAATTTACATTCACAATGTATTTAGAATTGGGGACCTAAAATGATCCTGTGGGAACCTTTGGGACCTAATTTTGGGGTGGGGGTATTCATACAAAGTTTTGGGTGCCCAACCCAAATTTAGGTACCCACCAAATGAATTTCATGCTATTTTGCAACCCTAGAACAAATTTTCGAATTTTCAAAATTTGTGCCAGGGTTCCGACAATGTTCTTTTATCAGTGAATATTGTGAGTGCTCAAGAAAGCCCAAGCAAAAAATAAAAGAATTATTTTATTTTTGCTCCAACACAACAAAACCACCTGAATTAGTATTTTGATTTATTACAAATGTAATGTTGACTGCCTAAAAATGACTAGTAGCTTTTAGCTTTTCCCCAAATTGTCAGACAAGAAACTTTTTTTTTTGGAAAACGAAAAGAGGAAAAAATGACGATAGGGGAAATGAAAAAACACCGAAAACGGGAAACGAAAAGAAGAAATTGGAAATCATCTTCTATTCATTAGCTTTTATTTTGTGTGTAAAAAATGTGTGAGAAAAAGCGGAAAATAAATAACTGAAAATATTTTTGAAAAAAAGGTAGTTACCTGAAGTTTTGAATATTCTAAACATGATTGGAAAATTTCTGAATTTCAAATAAAATATTTGTCTTGAACATTTTCTTTTTTATTATTCATAGACTGTGGGATTTTTAAAGGCGTTTGGACAAATATTTTGGTTCTCCCAAAACTTTTTGTGAAATATGAAAAGAACTTATTTTTCAAAATGTAAAATTGCCTCCACGTCTAGTGTGCAAACACTTTTGCATACAGTAGGATTTGAAATTTCATTTTTATCTTTTTTAGAACACAGGCTTCATGGGTGGTCCCGGTGAAAAAATACATTATTTTTTCATTTTAAGAAAATATATATTTTGAAGCCAAAAAAATTCAGTATCTAAAAACAGGAAACTGAAATGTTGAGGAAAACTACTAACTCTACTAACTGAATAATACAATTTCCATGTTTTCTAGTAGTTTTTTTTCAGAAACACTTTTTTTTTCGAAAAACCAAAAAAAAACTCTCGTGAGAAAAAGCTGGAAAAAATGTTCTCAATAAAAGTAGTTTTACCCAGCCAAAACTAATTGTTGTGAGTTGTACTTTTGAGTAGAAAAAGGTGGAGTTGTGACAAATAAAATAAGAAAAATGAACTAACCGAGTGAACAACTTGAAGATGGTCGAGACAGAAACATTGGCATATCTCGAACTGCAAAAAACATGGGTTAGAGTGTTTTAGAGCAAATGAAGGGTTTTAGAGAACTAGGTACTCTAGGCACAGCTCCTACTTTCGAACAGAGCCAAAAACTCCCAAGAAAAAATGAAAATGAAAAGAATTATTTTTCGGAGAAACTTTACTTATTTATGAGAATAACATATGACAAAAAATATAAAAAATGTCCTTTGAATAGCAATTTTACGACAAATCCATATTTTTGTCATTATATTTTTTTTCCTAGAAGAAGAAGAAAAACAATTCTAGAAAAGGTGACATAAGATAAAACATTTTTGTTTCCAATTAGCCAAGCTCTTAGATAACTCGGACAGAAAATCTTTTTGCACGGATGGCACAAAAAAAACAAACGGAAAGAATCAATTTTGTGTGGCTTTTTGAAACTGCGAAATTCCACTGGGAAATCCGACAAAAATTGTTTTTTTTTCGCTATTTCAACCCCTTTTGATATTAAATGACAGACAAGTTCAACGAACCAATTTTGCATTAAAAATGTGAAAAAAACTCACAAAGATTCAATTGCGTTTTATTTTTCCTAGACATTCGGAGCATTTTTCGAGCTTTTGGTGGTTCGCGAAAACTTCCCGTTCGATCCATTCTGAAAAAATAAGAAAATTTTGGGCGGAAATGGAAAAAAGGAAAGTGAACTTGAAATAGTAAGAAGAAAAAATCAGATTGCAAGTTTTTAGAGAATTTGAGATCTTTGAGGAGAAAAAAAGTGTGAATGTGAAAATCAAGTCATATTCAAACCTGGCGAGAAATGGAAAAAAATTAGGCGGGAGAGGAGAGGAGAGGAGAGAAGAGAAGAGCAAACGCGCTCTATGGACAAACCTTTTTCCTATTTGACAACATATTCAAAAATATTTTTTTTTCTTTCTCATTTTTCTCAGTTGCCATTTAAAAGTAGTTTTTTCCCTTCGTTTTTCTTCGGGAAAAAGGCAATTTTATTTACGTTCTGGATAGGATGGATTTATTGTAGAACTCAAAGGAAGTGAAGACACAATAATTAGCCAGTGAGGTAACCCTAATTCTAACCAAATAGGTTAGTATTCATACTTAAATACTAGAATTAAGCGTTATTTCCGTTCGTTTACTGCCTGTAGGTGATGTTGACTGTAGTTGTTGACTGTAGTTGTTGACTGTAGTCGGGTAGGGCGTAAAGACGATTCCATTGTCCTGGTAGAATCGTGGTGTCGGAGTATTTGTTGGTCTTGGGCGACGAGAATGCAGAAAATCTGGAGCTGTTGCGTTTTACTGAAAATTAATTGCTTTGGGAATGTGTTTGAAGAAACTTAGCCTATTCTACGGTGTCGATTTCCGGCGGTAGCATATCTTGAAACGCTCGTTGCTTATCGTTTCCAATTCGTGTCGTTTTTGCCTCTAAAGCTTCTAAACGCCCTTTTTATTCTATGTAAGTTTGGGATATGTTGGTGCTTTATCTTGTTGTTTTGATGGTACTTATTTTTTGGAAGTCACATGCAGTTGGGTGGGTGGGTGGGCATTGAGCTTACAAAAATCCGAATGACTTGTTTTTCCGAAAATGATTCTTGTCGATAAACTGTTAGTAATGTTCTTCCCTTTCGCGGGTTGGTCAAAAAAACATTTGTTTTCCTGCTCGATAAATTATAATTTTTAAAAATCCCGCGCAATATCCCATCCATCCTACCCTTTTCACTCCAATAAAATTATTATTTTTCCCTTCGTTTTTCTTCGGGAAAAAGGCAATTTTATTTACGTTCTGGATAGGATGGATTTATTGTAGAACTCCGAATGTTGAAAGGTTCTGACTTTGTGCAGAACCCAGCGCTAAATTCTACCCTGTCTGATATTTAGCGCTGACCCTTTTTGATTTCAGGTGTTCTGGTTCGTTCTGGGTGTTTGTGATCCTGGTTTGAGCAACTACTTCAATTTTTGTATTGGCCTTGTTGACGCATCTACCCAGAAATAGCCCAGGCAGAGTAAATCTTGAAAACTTCTGGTTTTCCGATTTTAGACGTCCAACCAGACGAATTCAGAGTTTTTAGAGGTCACGTACTGGAAATTTCACGTTTCTCGGATCGAAAGAAGTTAGCGTACGGTTCTTTATTTTGGAAACACGACTTTGATAGAGGTGTGTTCAGATGGTTTTGATTCTTCGCGATTTATCGACTTCTTTTGTATGTTTTGAGATCGTGACGTTCTCATGTGTTAATCGAATGTTGGTAGGGGTAATGCATGGTTTCGAACAGTTCTCTTCGACATTGATTTGGGTTTTAGACTTATACACGCGTAACTTTTCGAGATTCCGAAGAATTTTTAATTTCAGCAGTTTTGTTGAGTTTTTGATTTTTACAGGTTTTCTAGACTTTTCCCTTTCACTTGGAGTCTGGTCCAGGTTCTGCCTTTGAAATTCGTGTGAAATTTTCCAAATTCCTTTTTCCGCTATCAATTTTGTGCATTTTCATCTTTTAACTTATCTGTGCGATTTCAGGCATGTATCTGATAAACATTCAATGTTTTCCAGCAATAGAAATGTTAGCCGTTCCGGTTAATGTATTCTCGTTGCAGTAAATTCCTGGATACACAGTTGGAGTTTTTAGCGGTTCCTTTTTACTCTCTGTTTATCACGAGGGCGACTAAATTATTGCTTCTCTTAACCTTTGTTTCACGGGACTGGTTCCCATTCCAATTCGTATTGTTCCGATTTTTCTTCAATTATTATGTTTTCTGGCTTTTGGTTTCTCAACTGTTTTGACGACGTCCCGAGATTCCCGTAGTCTAGATTCCCGAATTCCCCTTCTCCAATAACGTGCAACCCGGCGCCTTTCCCCGAGTTCACGTTTTGCACATTTTAGTTCAAATGAAAACAGCCAAATGTGTCTCGACCTTATTTGAATATGAAAGCTATGCGAGCATTCTTTTTTCCCTGGCTCTGTTCCTGGACACCATTTGCGCAAATTCGACAATGTGTGTTCTTTTACATTCGAATATACACATTTCTGATTTATCGTCGTAGTTCGTATCTTGATTGAAATCGAATGATCGAACCAAAGCTGGTCCAACATATATTTTACTTTTATAATTCCAGCTTGCATTGTTCAAAATTCTGGATTTCAAAAACCAGATATTCTTTTCCTCTATATATATATCTATTCTCCCGTTGGCCTATTTTCCTTCGATAACTCCACGTTTCTCGCGTTTCGCGTCATTAATTTTGATATTTTCCAGCCAAGGTCTTACCCAATAAGTCCCCTAAATCTCCGAATTTTATCATGCCTTCAACTCACAGTTAAGATCAATATCGTTTCATGATTCTCTATAATGACTTTGCTGATCATCTATTATTTGGGATGTATGTTTTCTGCTGAACTTATCTGTCTTTAGGATCCGCGACTGAACTCTTGTTTGCAACTCAATGCTATTCTTTTATTTCATCTTTGATGCATAGTTTCCACCTTCCGATAAATTTACTGGCGGAGAATACCTCTCAAAACGCCCGGGAAGAAATGTCAAATTCTTCTGCCTATTTACTGATTCCCCTATATTCATGAACTCTGGCGAAATGTCTAGATTTCTGGACCATGCAGACTCCTTGCAGATTTTTATGCAGATATCCCATGGACGAAGCGAAATTTCATCATTCAGATCCTAGATGTTTTGGTTTTGCGGCAACAATTAGATTTATTATCTTTTCTAGGCCAATCTACTGCTTCTTTTCACTGTAATCCCTTTCGCGCGGCAACCCTCGTGCAGCAGCCTTTTTCTGCACAATATACCCTAACCCTAGATTGAACCACGCTTCGCCAAGTCTGAACTTCCGAATTTTCATTCCCGCGCTGATTTAAGGTCAGACCTTCCAAATCACGGTCATATCTATGAACAATTGCATCATATCTCGGAAAACTATCAATCGAATAACCCTCTGCCTGCTCCGAATACCGTCTATCTGGCAAGGTTACTGTACCCACAGTTGACCTTCGTAAACACAACACTCTGACTCCTCCACACTACTACAGCCTTGCTCGATCCCAGTATGAAACCACAGTGAACTTTCAAAAGTACGCGACTAAATATCTCATTCAAACTATGTCCATCTTGTCCGATTCCATTATCATGCCACGGGAGACATTCATAAAATCTCCACTATACCTTCTCCGCACTCCCGATCTTGCCCGATCACAGTATCATGCCTCAGGGGACATTTCCGAACTCTACCTCAACCTCACAGATGCCGATCTTGACGACTACTGTATCATGTCTCACGGAACGTTCTCAACTTCAGAGATCCATCTCCTTATGCCTCAGGAGACATTCACAACTCTACCTCCTTCCCAGAGTACGCAGATCTTGACCGATCCCTCTCTCTCAGACTAATCCGATCTTGCTCGATCACTGTCTTATGCCTCAGGAGACATTCACAAACTCTACCTCCTTCCGAGAGTACGCGGATCTTGACCGATCGCTGACGCATGTCTCAAGACATTTACCATTTTCCAAATCTCTGGAACTTCTTTTTCCCTCTACAAACGCGAACACCACGTTCCCAATATTTCTTGCTAATGGTTTCCTTTGTCTTCCGATTTCTTCTTCCAAATACCGCAGTTAAAGCCTTCCAAGTTAGTTGTTCCAAGTTCCAATATTGAGTTGTTCCCCGAAAATTCTAAGGTGAATCGATGTTTTTTGTAATTTCATTTGCCCAAGTGGCGACGTCGATCTACGACAAACTTACCTCACTAGCTTCCTAAATTCCGAACGTCTCTACAGAAAGAGACCACTTACCTTTGAGCTTACAAAAATCCGAATGACTTGTTTTTCCGAAAATGATTCTTGTCGATAAACTGTTAGTAATTTTCTTCCCTTTCGCGGGTTGGTCAAAAAAACATTTGTTTTCCTGCTCGATAAATTATAATTTTTAAAAATCCCGCGCAATATCCCATCCATCCTACCCTTTTCACTCCAATAAAATTATTATTTTTCTCATAATCTCGGCAAAGATTTGTAAGTTAGTTTTTCTTCAAAACAAATCCATTGGAAATCATGTTTTTTTTTTCATTTTTTTTTAAACTTATAGCGGTACTTTCCTTTTATTTTAAACCACTCGTGTTTCAGTTTACACGACCTTAAACGCATATTAAAATCCATTTTTCAAATCAAATCCCCACAAAATTGAAAACAACAAATCGTCTCAAACCTTTATTTCATTTCAAAAACCAAAATATATGAAAAAGAGAGTAAAAAATTGTTTTGAATTTGAGCAATTCAACCGAACATATTGGTCTATAAAATTCGGGAATAAATAACAAAATTCATTGTTCATCCCCGGCGTTTTCACCAAAAATGAAGCATTGTTTCTGAAAAACATTGTTTTTTTGTTAGTTGAATAAGAAGCTAACCGTTTTTGATAGAATCATCGCATCATCTTTCTTACAATTGAAAACTTCTTCAAAATCTGGAATTTGAATGAAACCTCCATTGGTTCTTGCTACGTTTGCATGATGTGGATTTCCTTCGTGTGAAACTGAATTGCCTCTCTGAAAAAACGTATCAAAAATATTCTTGTAGTTTTTAATAACCTCGCAAAGTATAATATTTAAGCCATAGAAAAATAATTGCTCATTAGTCATTTTCGAACCTTCGACTAGATCCTGAAAAAAATATTCATAAGAATTCCATGCTAAATTTTCCAACAAAAAATACATTTGTGGTGTTCCCATATTTTCGTTTGAATAATTTATAAGCGACTTGACCTCCAAAAATATCAGATCCATTCTCATCAAATCGCTCATCAACAGTTTCACAAACTCCCTCAAATCATTTTTTTTTTCCTGATATTTTTTTTTTGTTTTGAGACTACAAACCTCATTAAAATGATGGCAAGTACTGTTGAACTGATTTTGTATACAATTTTTGATATTTTCTGGGAAATATGGTATAAATGCTGGATCGATTAAACTTTTGACAACGGAATGTCCGATTTCATGACCCAATGTGAAACCAACAATTCCATACTGAAATCTTTCTTTTCGTTTTAAGCTTATAATTTTAAGAAAAGAAAGCATACCTTAAAAGCCATTGGTATATTTAGAGACATAATATGGAGCATTGGAACTGTTATAGTTATGAGTGGATGAAAGTTAAGAGCATTAAATATATTTTGGGGAATTGGACTGTTAACCAGATTAATTTTCAAATAACATAACATTTTTAATGATTCAATTTTGTAATTTCTGAGGAATGAATTTTAATATTAAGAAAACTGTCAAATAAATTACCGCGTGCAATTTTCAACAATATCATTTGCCTTCACAAAACTTGGATCTACATCACCAATCACTTCTTCAGCAGGATCACAAAATTTGACTTGATGTGTGATATTGAGAAATGCATCAAAACTGTCTGAAGTGTTGAGCCATCCAGTTTTCTCAATTTGTCTCACAAGTTCTTCTTTTATCTCATCAAACAATTCATTGGTTTGGTTAAGAACTTTTTGATTCTTCCGATAAAAATGATATGCTCGAAGACTTGTTAATACGCTATCAATGAAATTTTGAGATATTCCATTTTTCTAAAAAAAAAAAGTACCATTATTTTTTAAAATTCAATATAACTCACATTCATTCTTTCCATCCAAACATTTTCTAATTGTAATTTCAAATTCTTCGAAGCTCTTGTACAATTCAAATCGAATTTCAAGTTATAAAAATTGTACAATGGTTCCATTTCACTTTTTGAATTATTGAATGATTCGAACAAAGATGATAAGATATATTGAGACTTGTTGTGTTGTTGATTTACACAACTGAATTAAATTCATAGTTCACATTTGGTAAAACATTCAAATCTTACCTTTTATAATAATCTTGAGAAATGGAAGAAATTGCGTCTTTTTGAGTGAAATCTTGAAGGAAATCGAGGAAAGTTAGTTGAGAATCATTTATTTTTATATTCTGGAACGTGAATTTTTTTTCGAAAAAATTTAAAAGCCAAACTCTACCTTGAGAAATGAGACGTTCGATGGATAATCAAAATTCAAGGCATCTTCGTTGAAAATATTCAAAAAATAATCCCGTAAAGTTTCAGTGTTATTATCAGATGGATCATAGAAACAACTGTGACGATAGAAATTGTCACAAGGATTTACAGACTCATCGATGTTTCTTAAAAATTCAAAAATACATGAAAACAATGAAAAATCTTACTGTTCAATAACTTTAATTAAATCCAAATAATTTGTTTCAACAAAATTTAAAACAAAGAAAATTGAAATAATAGAAAAATTGATCATTTTTCGAAAATTGTGAAGAAAACTCTTACAGATTCTCGTATTTATATGGGAATTTCTGATGTTTGGATTGTGCTTGCAAACGTCACAAAGTATCGAATTCAAAACTTTTTTATTAATTTACAAATTGTATATGTTTTGACAAGGAAAGAGTTTGAATTACAGTCAGCAAATTGCGAAATGTTTTGATAAAAAATCATAGTTCTGCAGTGAAGTGATTTATGTGGGTGTCTAGTAGGGCGTCAAAAAATTACCGAATGTTTATGTTCAAACCAAAATATTTTTATCAAAATTGAATCTAAATTAAATTGAATAGGTGAGAATTTCACAGTTTTTCTTCAGATTCCAAAAAAAGATGAAATCAAGTTCAAAACCAAAGTTATCCGAAATATTTCACAGGACTTCAATAATCATTTGAGTTTTTCAAAAGTTACATCAGTATATTGTTGGTTTTCATACCCTTATTTAGGTTCAGGACATCAATACACCACAGTTTGATCCCGTTCGAAACCTTTCGACTTTCCAAAAAAATCATTTTCAAAAGCATACATTTTCCGGATTTTTCAGAAAATATATTTTCTCTAAAATTTCAGATTACAACACAAAATAAAAAGAAAAACAATTTATTTATCACTTTCAAATTTTTAACTCAATAATCAAAAATTTAAATTATCGTAATAATGGTGCTTTACATCCAAACATGTAGCATTGATCCTGAAAAATTATAACTAATTTCTGGAAAAAAACGTTCAACTAACAGTCTTCGACATCATCATTCTAGTATTTGCTGCACATTTGAAACTATTCCCAAAATCAGAACTTTGAACTATTGCTGCACTTTTTCCAATTTCTGATTTATCCGTCGACATTGAAAGATAACTCAAATAGAATAGCTGTGAATTTGTCAAATTATTTGTGGATTCATTTATTGGGGTCTTCAAATAACATTATGAATTATTATTCGCTTCAAAAATCAAGCTTACGTGGATTTCTTTCTCATACGCATTTTTGAATTGTTTGAAAGCAAAATTGACAGCAAATATTTCCGCACTATTGTTTTCAAAAGCTTCATCGTTAGCCATACGCAAATTTTGCCCAAAAATTGAGCATGAAGAATTGATCTGCTTCTGCACACAATTTTTAACATTTTCCGAGAAATATGGAAGAAAAACCGGATCATGACTACTTTTGATAACGGTGTGACCTAATTCTCGAGCTAGTGCCACTCCAATTGTTCCATACTGAAATATTCAGACGAAGAACCATGTTTTGTGTGAAAATGTTATCTTCTCTTCCAGAAACTTACAATAGCTCCAGGGCGCGTATTATTTGAAATCGAATAGAGAAGTGTGTTATGAATTAATATCCATGGATTGATGTTATAGGATTTTGCATTATTCAAATTAACAGCAGGTGAAACTGTTATCTTCGCTAAACAAACTAATTTCACTGAATATTCTGTACAATTCTTAAACTGCTTCAAAATTTCCTTGATTTCTTTCAAACTTCCATACGCCATTTCTGTCATATTTTTCAATCTTATTTGTCGTAACACTTCTTTAAACGAAATAACACTTTGCGTATTTTTCAACCATCTTGTACTCTTCAATAAATATGTTTTTTTTTCATAAAATATTTTAATCCCACCTCGATAATCTTTGATACATCTTCGACAAATGAATTGAATAAATCGGTTACTTTCTTCAATACTTCTTCATTTTCTTTCAACCAATAATAAGCTCGAATATTTTCCAGATGAATTGCGAGATTATCGAACTTATAAGCAAACATCTAAACGTATTTTGTTCCGACTTTATTTTTAAAATAAAAAATTACCTTTCTAATATTAGGATGCACAAAATAAATCTGATATTGAGATTTCAGATTTTCAGATGCTCTCGTGCAATTCTTGTCCAGTTTCAAGTTATTGTAATTCAATTTAAAAAATGGTAATTCTATTTTCCTCAAAAAATCATGGATAGATTCAGAATCAGTTTCACAGCTAAATAATTCGATTTTTAATGAACCTTTGAAAATTTCATGAAACTCACAGCTTGTTATAATCATCAGCTATTTGATCAATATCTTCTGTCCAATTTTTATTTTGCAAATAAATTAAGAAAGGTTCATCGGTCTTTTTGAGATCCTGGAAAAAATAGATTTCGAAGAATTCTGGTTCTTTGGTGGAATTCTTACGAATATTTCAGGAATATTCAAATTCTCAATCTCCTCCTTGTAAAATTTCTGAACAGCTTCCAAAACCGAATCATTTGGAAAAATATTAATGTTATCACAGACCTCATTGATATCACCCAGGTTACTGTAATACTTGTTACTTTAAATAAGTTACTGTATATTAACTTACGATTCAATGATTTGAAGAAAATCCGAAACTGCAAAAATACTCCCACAGAATAATAAATGAACTATAATTTTGAAAAACATTTTGAACTAGATTCTGATTGTTTATGCTGATCATTTTATAGTGCCAAAAAATAAACATATGAACTTTATGACGTTCAAAAAATTAAAAAAACCAACAAAAACAAAAATAAATAAATAGAAATCCTCAGCAAAACACAACTCTGTAAAAGAATAAAAAATGAATGATGAATAGATGCGGATTTATTTATACATAATAAAAACTTTGAGAAAAGAAAAAAATAATTTTCCAAAGTTTCGTACAATTCAATGGAAAGATAGTTCAGTGGCAGTGGTGGCTGCTGTCAATTTGACGGTCACGAGTTCAATTCCCGCCGCCTAAGAACTTTACGAAAAAAATAAAATGATTTTTTTTTTCATGAAACAAAGTTTCGCACGCTTCATTGGGCTTTTTGAAAACTTGTTTACTTTTTCTTTTTCCAGCATTATTTTCAGAAGTTGTGAAAAAAACAGACAAAAAGTTATGTTTTTTTCAACACACACAACAAAATAGAAATAAAAAAAATGAAGTGAGAGAAATTGAATTCTTTTTTGAACCGCGAAAAAATAGAAAAAGAAGTGGAGCTGTTTCAGTTTCAAAAAAGGATAGAATGGAATGGGTAAGTAGAATATTAATTGGATAAAGAGAGAGAATAATTCAAAGTATAATCTAATTTTTCGAAAAAAAAGCTGAAATTAGATTATTCCCTCGAAGCTGAGTTTTTGTTCAAAGATGCAAATTCAGTCTTCTTGAAAACTAGGCTCTCTAGGCGCGAGTCCTAGGCAAGCAGGTTCTCAAGGCTCGGCCACTTGATAACTAGAAGATCTAAAGGCTTTCAGAGCACATTCAGAAATCCTGTTCCCCAATGAAAATGTTTCAACAATTTTTTTCCAACCACTTTATTTTATTAGTTTTTTCTCTTTTTTCAAAGTGTCCTCGAAAAGTTCATTTCTTTTATTCAAGCAAAAAAAACTATTTAAATATCCAGCGAAAAAAATGAAAAATTTTGTTTTATGTGTGTGAGGCGAGATGAAAAATGATTTATTCAAAAAAGATTTTATAGCGCCCAGAAAAGTGCAGATTTTCATTTTAAGGAAAAAATTATGGAAGAAATAAAAACCTCGTCATAATTTTCCAATATATAGTAAGGAAGAAGAAAAAGCGGAAGAAGCTAATAGAAAAAACCGGAAAAAACTTATTTCTCTTAAAAAATATCATCAAAAAAAAAAGAGAAGGCACAGGCGAAAATGTCGAAAAAAAACAAATTAGGAATTTGAGCAAAAAAATGTGCAAAAAAACTTTTTCGAGGGCACCCCTTCGAAAAGGTTCATTTTCTGACAATGAGAAAATCAATGAAACCCAAAAAAAACCTATAAATATTAAATTTGAATTCAAACCAATATGAAAATATATAGCTTTTCAGAAAATGTCAAGTGCATTTCCGGTCGCATAAAAACAACAGGTTTTTGAGCATTAAAATGAAAAATACCTGAAATTTTCGGAGAAAACATCTTTCATGGAAAAAACATAGAAAATAGTACAATCAGATTATCCCACTGAATTTCCCCTTTCCTATCCAAGGGAGAAAAATCTACTTATTTTCTGTGAGCACAAAGTTTTTGTCTTCTCAAATTCTTCCTCGAAAAAAGTTCACCAAATTTAATCGACCAAAAGTGTTCTATTTGATGAATTAAATGAATTGCATGTAACACAACACAACAGAACTCATAAACACAAAAATAAATAGCTTTTTGGAATAATAAAAACGGAATGACAATGATGATGATCAGAAATTAGGGACCCTCAAAAAAATCACAGTTGGAGGGGAAATCCTCTAATTCAAAAATACATTTTGAAAATCGCCCCTAATTTTTCAGATAAAAAAGATTTCATAAATATACCAAAAAACTACCGTGTACCTTTCTTTAAAGGTAAAACTAGCTAGCTATAAATTTACCAATACAAAACAATCTGAATTTTTTCGAACAGTGAAATGTTCGTTTCCTTCTATAGAAATTTGAAAACAATTGTTATGGTTCAAGAATTTGTTTTCAAAAAAGCCGAAAAGATTACGTTTCAATAAAATGTCAAACATTTCTCAGAAAGAAATTATTTTGATAATCATCTAAAATCCCACCGAAAATCTAATCATCCAAAAATTAGACGTTTTGAAAACAATTGTTTGTCTCCAATTAATATTAGTTTTGAAAATCCCTGTTTTTCTGCACAAAACTCAATTTTTTTATCCGAAAAACTACTTTATTTCGAAATATTCTTGCTCTGGCTCTGAGTTCTTTCAGGGCTATGTGATGGCGGTGTTCTATCAGTAGTTTCATTTTGCGATCCTCCAATTTGATTTTCAAATGTAAAATTGGCTGATTCTTTCAACGCATTCTTCTTTTTCTCTGCAGAAAAAAATTCCGATGCGCGATTTTTTACAAAATTTTAGGCTCTATTTTAGACTCTTTTTTTCCCTGAACTCACTCATCGATTCTTCAAAATCTTCCACAATATTCAAAAGTGTCGAAACCGATTCTTCCATAACCGAAGCATTGCAACGTTCATAATTGAAGCATGCGCGGATGAAAATATCACTATGGAACTTGAAAAAAAAGATTATTAGAATTGGGGGGGGGGAGGTAAAAACAAACCTTGACAAGCGAAAATTTCATCTGTGCCGATTTTTGGATATAATTGAAGAACATTGAAGTGAGAACATTTGCACCAATATTACGATCTTTGATGGTTTTCTGGAAGAAAGGGGACTTTATTGGAAGATACTGAAAAATTCATGAAAATTTTAAGCAGCAAAATGATTATGGAATTCAAGCCTTTCGTCCAAAAATGAGCATTTTTGGATTTTTTCAGGGAAATATCTCAGATGATGGATTTTCTACATTTATTGAGCAAAGTTTGAACCGGACCCGATATTGGAGATTTTTTATCTGGCCCGATACAAAATTTGCCAATAAATTTTTTGGAATTCTTTTTCCGAAATTTAAATTCCCATAAGAATCTAAACTCACATTAAAATATTGGAACAAAACCACCCCGTGCTCATTTGGATAAGCAACACGAAAATAGTCACATTGTTGCGCAACACGATCGCTGAACATATTTCCATATGTGATTTTTCGACGAACACTTTCACGAAGCGAACGCATTCCGGATAAACGGATCAAAATCCAGAGACGCAGGGAATTTCCGCCAAACATTGCGGCTTGAGTTGAGCCATTTTCAGGCACGATTTTTTCCGAGCTCCAAGATATAATGACTCGGCCGTTGAATGGGATCATTGTTGAGAAACAGAGGTGGACTGAATTGACATCAGCTAGAGCGGCGCTGAAAAAAAGGGATTTACAAAAATTGAAAATAAAAATTCTGAAACTCACTGATATTTTGCTCGTTTTGTCGGATCAATCCATTGACATCCTGCGTAATATGCGTCAACATGAATCCAAATATTTTTTGCTTTCGCAACTTCGGCAATCGATTTATAATCATCATTTGCTCCCACATTCCATGATCCAAAATTACAAATAACCAACAAAGGTTTCAAATTTCTCTCAATATCCTTCTCCACTTGTTTTTCAAACGATTTTCCAGTCAATCCGAAATCATCTTCTTTTTTAGTCGCAATTTTTCGAAGTTTAATTCGAACTATTTTACAAGCTTCTTCAAGTCGAAAATATGCATCATCACTACAATAAACAACCCAATTTGTTGGTTCCATTGTGTTTCGATGCGAATTTGCGCGAGTTATACAATGTTGGATAAGTGAAACGAGTGCATTGATTGATGAATAGAAAACTGTTCCAATTGGAGCACGATCTTTTTTATCACCATAAAGTTGGCGAAGTTTTGTGATTCCCATTGCTGAAGACATCCAATCACATAGGATTTTTTCGATAACATCAATCATTGGCGAAGAATTGACATCAGTGCCCAAAGTTGATGAGATTGTGCTACCAAGAATATCAGCTAGACTTCGACCGAAATATTTTGCATGATATCTTGGATGTTGACTATGGCACATCTAAAAAAAATCATTTGTTTTCTGTGAGCGAATCTCAATGGGAAAACTAACATTGGGAACAATTACTTGCTTGATATCATCAAGAATAACTTTACAATCTTCCGGAAAATCTGGATAGTTTTTCTGAATTCTTGAAGCATTCGCTGGGTTATCCGGTAAAACTGTCAATTTGTGAGATTCGTCGAAATAATCATTGACAAATTTGACAATCCAATTCATTGCCACCGAAAATTCGAAACGACTTATTGGCTCCACGAGTTTTTGACGTTCACTTCGCTGCATTTTCTCAGGTGGTGGTGCATTCTAAAAACGATTATTATCATTTTTATATTTTCAAAGATCTCTCTTACATCCATATCAGATCTCATTGCTTCTTCTCGACTCATTGATCGTTTATTGTTCTGTGGCACCACGTTTTCGCTCTTTTTTGGCACTTTTTTCAGCTCCGGTTTCTCAGATTTCACCTTTTCTTTTTCTCGTTCGGATTTTTCTTTCGATCTTTTGACAGCTAATTCCGATGGTTCTGGTGGTTGTTCTTGATCCAAAGGTTTTTGTATTGTTCTGAAAATTTACTATAAATAACATGCAAAAAAATTCCGATGAACCTTTTCTTGGATTTGATAATCAAATAGACTAGAGCTAGATTGATCACAACAGAAATGATCAATAAAATCAGCAGAATCACACTGACGGCAATCATTCCAGAATTACTGTCTGAATTTTCAGTCATCTAAACTTCTTCGAACGCAATTTGTGTTAAACCAAAAAATCTAAAATACCGATAAATTCATCAAAGCAACGTGTCAAAATGTACAAATATCACGTGGAAAAATATAAAAAATTGTTGGGTCAACACGTATTTTGGTTCTTTTTTCAGTTACGCGATTGTGCGAATTTGTGTTGGATTTCGTTGAAATATGCATCAGGAGTCAATTTGTCTGTTGGTTCCAATTCAGTTTGTTTTTTTGGCGATGGATGAAGTGAGTTTTCTTTGTCCTGAATTGTCATAATAACCGCATTTCTCCCATCTTCTAGAAAACTTACATTTTCATCAAAAATTATCTTCTTTTCAGAAAGTTTCTTTGCGTTTGCAGCAGCCGTAGCAGCATCAATCAATTTTTGCTTTTGAACAAACTGTTTTTTAGTCAAAACTTCTTTTCCAGTCACATAAATCCCCACAACATAATCTTCTTGAGTATTTTCAATCTTTGCTGGATTCAAATAATATCCCAATTCTGCAAACAATGTCAAATAATTCCGAAAAAACTCGAAAAAATACTCACCAAGAATTCCAAATCGTTCATTCAACGATATTTTCTTACTATTAAACTTCTCTGCTTTTGTTGGTAATTTTGCAGCAAACTTTTGTGCTTCTTCTCTACCTTCAATTGGCAAAATTTCGAACTCAATTCCGCTTGACATCTTGAAAATTTTGGATTTCTTCTCGCAAAAAAAAGAAAAGAAAAGAAAAAACGTTTGAATTTGGAAAAGCGCGCCCTTTTCTGTTGAGTGCGATGGAGCGCACATTCCCCATTCACTAAACGCTGGCTGAATCATTTTCGGATTATCGTTTTCTTTTTTCCTTTTTTCTTCGTCGTTTCAAATCGCTTGACGAAAATTTTTTGCAGGTAAATGAGTGCAACTCTTCAACCATATTTAGAAGCTGTGAGGCACACTTTGGAAGCCGCATTATGTCTCGAACAATTTAGTTCGCAAGTTGTTGAAAGACATAATAAACCAGAGGTTTGTATTGATTTTTATAATTAAATTCGAAACAAAACAAGTAATTGTTTCAGGTAGAAGTTCAAACATCAAAGGAATTATTGATGACACCGGTAGTTGTTGCGAGAAATAAACAAGAAAAAGTGTTAATCGAACCATCAGTAAACTCGGTTAGAATATCAATTGCGATTAAACAATCAGATGAAATCGAAAAGATTTTATGCCACAAGTTCACTCGATTCATGTGCCAACGTGCTGATAACTTTTTCGTTCTCCGACGAAAACCTCTACCCGGATATGATATCTCATTTTTAATTACCGCCTCACACACCGAAGCAATGTTCAAACACAAACTTGTCGACTTTTTACTCCATTTTATGCAAGAAATTGACAAGGAAATTAGCGAAATGAAACTATCATTGAATGCTCGAGCACGTGTTTCTGCTGAAGAATTTTTGAAACGCTTTAATTGATGTGATTTTTGTAAGTAAACATATTCACTTTTTTTTGAAATATCATCTCTTCTAGATGACTTTTTTTGCATGTTTTATATTTACTTTTATTGATTTTTTGATACTTATAAACTATTTATTCAAATTATTATTTTTCCTTTGATTTCTTGTGTTTGAATCGTTTTTTATCGATTAAAAATATTATTTTCAACTTTACAACATTTTCAAAACTTGCAAAAATTCGTGTGTTTTAGACATGAAATTTGTGACTGTGATATTATTATCAATAGTTGTATTTTGTTTGGCAGACGAGGAGACGAATGTTGTTGAACAAACAAAGTTTTCCGTGGAAGGAGAGGTCAGTTTATTTGAGTTTTGGCTCGGGTCTTGAAAATTGGCTTTTTTATTGAATTCGAGTTCATTTTGCGAAAAAGTATTGTTTTAGAAGTATAAAAATAAACTTTTGTGTAATTTTGGGAGATGATGAAAAAAACACATTTTAGAATGTAGACGTTGAAACTTTTATTTAAATTTCTAGACAATAAATTCTGTGAATCTATTTCACAGGTTGAAAATTAAACCGAATAGATATGAAATAAACCCTTTTTACAATTTTTTTTACAAATTATGAACAGAAAATTGACCAGGTTATGCTTGTTCCCCCATAGATTTTGGAAAAAGTTAATTGCTTCCTATTCCGGGGACCATTTTCATCTATGATCGAAATCTGAAATATAGAAAAATCGATAATGTCCCTCTGCTCTTTTAAAATCTCCCATTCAATTATTCTTATTCTAGATTGCTCTTCCGTCATCTCGAAAATGCGCGTCATGGTCCGCAACTTCTCGAATCCTCCTAAATCACGGACAATACCTCGGATTCGTTCGTGAAGATTGTACATTCCGTGTTGATAATGTGCCAAGTGGAACCTATATTGTTCAAATCGAAAATATCGATTTTGTCTTCGAACCAATTCGTGTTGATATCACATCGAAGGGTAAAATGAGAGCTCGAAAATTGTCGGTTATGCAGGTTTGTTTTTTTTTTGTTGTTTCAAAAAAAAACATTGATTTTTGTTTCAGCCAAACAACGTGAATCAATTGCCATATCCATTGAAATTGAGTGTTCGTGGACCTGCACGATATTTTAGAAAAAGAGAGGAATGGAGAGTGACTGATATGTTGTTTAGTCCAATGGTTTTGTTGATGGCTTTCCCACTTATTGTTATGCTTATTATTCCAAAGTAAGTGGTTTTGAAGGAAAAAAATCAATTTTGGGAACTACAAGAAAAATTTTATTATAAAAAAACTGCAAGTTTCAGGGGTCTTCTGAAAATCCTTTAATCCTAAGCAAAGATTTCGTGATTTTTCAGTGAAAACAGAGTTTTAGACGAATTTTTTGTTAAATTTGAAATCAGATTTATTCTAGAGATTGAAAAAATTATAAATTCTGAAGAGAAAATATAGAAACGTGTGGCCATTTAGAAACTAACTTTGTGAAAAAAAACGTTGATTCGAACTTTCTAATACATGAGCTCTTAACACATTTTTGTATGGTTTTCGACCCCCAAAAGTATAAAATACCCCAATTTTTTTCAGAAGTTGAGGGTCTTAACCTACAGTAACCCTCCCCCTTCCCCAAAACTTTGAAGTTAGCCTATAATACTCTTCTTTCAGAATGACAGCCAACGATCCAGAGTTGAAAAAAGAGATGGAACAAATGCAACTACCAAAAATGGACATGCCAGATGTCGGCGAAATGATGGCGAAAATGTTTGGCGGCGGAAATGCGGCTGGTGGACAACCAAAAAAGAAATCTGTAACTCAATCAACTAGTCAACGCCGAAAATAATTAATTGACGATTAACAACTCGGGTTCTAAATATTTTATTTCTCTTGAAATTATTGTTTTTCATTCAATTGCCAATTCAAATTCTCTCCGATTTCAATAATAATGTAATTTTTTCAGCAAGTTTTCGAAATAAAAAAAATGTGCAAACACTTTTTGGTTGCCATGACAATTTTTCGAATTGATTTTTTCTGGTCATTCCATTCTTTATTCAGTCAGGCGGCTTTTTTGAAAGATTGGAAGAATACCTGGGATTTTTTACGAGTTTTTTCCCTCCTAACCCCGAAATTTATGCGTTTCGGGATCCTTTTCTCTCACTAATCCCTTTCCTTTTGTTTTCACGCTTCTTTTCTTTTGTTGCGCCATTTTTGTTTTGGAAAAAAGACAGTAAGAAAAAGGAGTACTGTAGGATGAGAATTCTAAAAATATGTTTTGGAAAACAATTTTTGAAAAAATGAAATTGATGATTTTTTGGATCGAAAAATTCGGAATTAAAAAAAAATAATAAAATTCACAAAAAGTTTTTGAAACTTATTTTTCCCTGCTTTCCCATTTTCCAAATATTTTTCTCAAAAACCACTGTCTCCTATTCAAATCTGTCGATAATCGGAAAGATCATAGACTAAATTGACCGTCGACATTTGGCAATATGATCTAATTCATCAAATTCTTGTCACATTTGCCCTTTTTTGACACCAAATGGCTCTATTAAGAAGTCTCATTGTCAATTAAATTTCCAGAAAACGCAAAACAAGAGGAAAATGGGTATTTTCTCGGCGCTTTCGGGAATTTTTGGAATCGGAAAAAAACAGGTCAATATTATTGTTGTTGGTTTGGACAATTCGGGAAAGAGCACATTTTTGAATCATTTGCGCCCGGTAGATCAAAGATCATCGCAAATTGTGCCGACTGTTGGCTTCTCGATGTCGAATTTCAGCACTGGAAATCTGACATTTAATGCGTTCGATATGGCTGGGCAGGGAAAATATCGATCGATGTGGGAATCGTATTATGGAACATCGCAGGCACTGATTTTTGTTGTTGATAGCGCGGATCGAATGCGGATTCCGCTAGCTAGGGATGAATTCTGGATGATTATGGATCATAAAGATATTGCAAATAGACCGGTATGCATTTTTGGTGAATTTTTAAAAAAAATTCGCAGACAGCAGGATTCGAACCTACGCGGGCAAAGCCCATTTGATTTCGAGTCAAACTCCTTAACCACTCGGACATGTCTGCACATTTTTCGGCGTTCAAAATATCGTTTTTATATTTTATGCCTGAATTTGTTGCTAGTTTTGAAATGACAAAACATTTTTTATTACGAACAAGCCTGTATGTCAAAAAGATTTTAGAGCCAAAATCTACAGTAATCCTATAAATTAACAAGAAACTGTAGATCACCTGGTTTGTGAGCTAAATATCTACAGTACCCAAAAAAATTCCAAATTTCTTTTGCTCAACTAGATTTTAGAGCCAAGCCCTACAGTAATCCTATGAAATACTAAGAATCTGTGGCTCACCTGGTTGACCTAAGCATCTCCATTACGAAACCAAAAGTTCACTTTTAAACTTCTACCGTACACCAACTCTTTCCAGATTCCAATAATGGTCCTCGCTAACAAAATGGACGAAACTGATGCAATGTCAGCGTCAGAAATATCAGTTAGTCTTGGTTTAGATGTAATTCGAGGGCGACATTGGTCAATTCAAGCAACTTGTGCAACTAGTGGTGTAGGGTTGGATAAGGTTAGTTTTTTTTTTGTTTTGTGCACAAGTCTGGCTCAATTTTCCGTAGACCATGAAATTTTCTGAAACTGAAAGAAAAAATATATGGCTCTATTTAGATTTTGAATGAATACACAGATAATCCCTTTTTCACGTCATAACTCATTTCAAAAAAAAAACATTTCAGAATTTATGAAAAATGAAAGGTGTTAACTGATAAGAAGTTCAAAAAAATCTAAAGTAGACTACTGTAATTTCTTGTGTGTAATTTCGCGTCGCGGTGTATATGTGTCGCTTCAGTGATTCCGCGAACTTTTTGAATTTTTTTTTCTCAGCAATTGAATTTTGCAAATTATTGATAACTGAAGCTCTAGAGACAAATTCAATAACTGTTAAGCTAAGACTTTTCAAAAGTCATTCCCAACTATACAATTTCCAGGCTCTCGAATGGTTATCGGTCGAAGTGCAAAGATTTCTCGACAGTCGGAAAACATAATCCCCCCTTTCCTTCCTGCCCCTATTTATTATGTTTTATATCACCCTCCCTTCTCACACCAACAATTGTTTATATCTAAAAAGCATCTCCTAACATAACATAAACATATCGTTTTATCTGTGATCTTCTTCGGCAATTTTGATTGAAATTTGAGCTTCTTCACACCATGTGTTTGACACCAAAAAATGTGTGCAGCATAAAACCACTAAATTATACAATGTGTGGCGGCTTGGTGCTTTTTGAGCTGCTGCAATCATCTAAGTGTACACTAATCCATTGCGCCACCCGATACCGCAAATGTTTATGGTAATTTATTTTGGCGGTGGGAAAACAACATGAGGAAGGTCCGAAATATTTAAGTCTCGACGCGAAAAATTACTGTACTGTTAAATGGAACTTTTTTTTGAAATTATCGAATGCTCTTTTTTGCCTCACTGAATAACTGTACACACACACACAAAGAATTTTCCCAGGTAATATAGTTTTAATATACGACAACGGTAAATAGTGACAGATAAGGAGTCACCCAACAACGGCACCCGCCCTTTATCTGTCACCAATTTGGCTCCTTTTTGTTCGGGCGGCGTTTGGAAAAAAATATGGGTGGTCTAGCATCACGTCATTCATTTTTTCTGGTAAGTTTGTTGGGTTTTGGAGATAAGGTTGCAAAGGTCAAAATCTAAGATTCTGAAGAATTTCGAGAAAAAATAGTTGAGAAAATTATCGGCGAGTTTTTTCAAAATGAAATTCAAAAATCGGAAGAGTGGGTCACGTTGAACATTTTTGAAAACTTTATTTTTTTCAAAAAAGTCTCAAGTCCGTTGAGAGCTGGGTTTTTATTCCAAAAATTAAAATACAGTACACTTAATTTTTTATTCAAAACTTTGAAGATCATCAGAACTTTTACCAAGTAGCCGCGCCTAGAAAGTTCAATTGTAAAGGATCAGCGCCTAGAGAGCCTAGTTATCAAGCAGCCACGTCTAGAGAAAAACCTTTTTAAGAAACCAGAAAAAAAGTTAGACATGAGAAATGTTTGAAGGCAATTGTAAGGGATTTTCAAGTTCTCAAATAAAGTTCAGCAATTCCGGGATTACTTTGAAAATTTTAATCAATTCCAGATTATCATGAGCACTCAGCTGTCCAAAAATATTCACAGATGGCTCAAGTTCCGGAGCACTAAAAATTAAAAACTCCACCTTTACAGTAGTCTTACCCTTTTTATCACCCGCTTTTTTTCATTTTACGAAACCTAACTATCTATCTACAATTGGATTCGTTTCAATGTGATAACATTCCAACTTTTCTCCCACAAAATACCGTATTTTTTCTTTCCTATTTTATCATTCATTTCATAATTTTATCGATTCCTTTCAGAATACCAAATCGTATGTTAATATCGTAGGGTTGTAAATAATCTTCTTCTTTTCTTTTGGCATTTTCTTTTTTGCTCTAACATATGGTGTGTTTTTGGTTTTGCTCCTGGGATTTTTTATTTACCACATACATACCTGTATAATTCATGAAAAAGTTAATAATTTATAGCTAACTGATATGATAATAAGGTTTTATTGTCTGAAAGTGTTTACAGCCTGATTTATGATTATTTCCAGAGGAGTACTGTAATTAATTTAGTACACAGCAAACTGCAAAGAGCTCTTCAAATTTCCGTTTTCCCAAAACTCCTTTGCTCTTAGCAACAAACGAAAAAAAAAAAACAAATGTTTTACAATCAGTCGACCTAGAAGGATTGTAAATCATCAAACTTTTTTCGGCAGATTCTTTTTTAGGATTCTTTTTCTCCGCCCATCTTGCTTTCTGATCGGACCATTATTATTATTATTTTCTTTTTTATGGCTCCTCAACTCAGCTGAGCTCATCAACTATACATTTTAGATATAATTTATTCCGATTTGACACCTGCTACAAGTTTTATGGATTATTTGTTTTGATTTGCATTTTCTTCCAGGAGATAATGTCAATGTCGATTGATTCAAAGGGTTCGGATTTTTCGGAAAATGAGTGCTTGGCTTCGCCAGTTGGGAATGATGGAGGAGCACAGGAAATTGAGCAACATTGGGCTCCGCCACAAAATATGATGCCGTTTTGGAATTCGCAACCATTGAGGTTAGTTTGAAATAGGGAAAGGGGTTTTGGTTCTGAAATTAGATTTTGACTAGCATAATTGCTGCCATGGGCTAAATTCCAATATTTTTCTTGAACCATTTTTAACTTTTCAATCAGTATTCCGAGATTTAAAAAAAAAAGTTCAGGAAGTCTTTGGAACTTTTTCGATTTCGAAGAATTTGGAAAATTCAAAACAAAATCGTAAAAGTTCTAGGAATTTCCTGAATTTGGAAAAAAGTTTAAAGAACTGTACAGTTAACTGTAATTTCGAAAATTGCATGCAAACTTTTCTATTGAAAATTTGAAACTTGAAAACTGCGCTTTTCAATATGTAAATTTCTGGAATTCCCGTTTTTTTTTCAAACTTTTCTCCCAATTTCAAGAATATCCTAGAAATTTTTCAATTTTTGTCGAAATTTTTCAAAAGACGATTAAATTTCTCTAGAACTTGACCTTCGATTCAAAATTTTTCCGGTAAAAACCTGTGACCAAATCATTTTTTCCAACCCATAGATAACCCGAAAATTTCACAGTCACAAGTACAGTAACCTTTCCCAAAAATTCAGACGAAATTTGCACATTAGCAAGAATAAATACAAATAAATCAAAATGTATACGCATTTTATGTATTTCCATGTTTTCGTTCTCTTGTCGAATATTTTATGATTATCCAATATTTGCCACCAAATAAATATTTGGCGGAATTCGTAAAAAGGTCATCTTTTCCTCTTTTTCTTTCTATTCTATGCTAATTCTCTTCTACCGTACTCTTCCCTTTTTTTCGCATATCAAAACTCCGCCTATTTTTCACTCATTGGCCATTTCTCAAACTCCGCCCACTAATTTTTGAATCAAAGAAAAAAGCGAAGAGAAGAGCAGAGGAGATAAGATTGTTGTTTTTGAAGAGGTGTTTGGTGTGGCGACTATTTTATTTCCAGTTGTAAATTTATTTTTGATCTATTTTTCTTGACACCCGCCAACCCGCGATGATTTTTTTATTGTTTCATTTGAATTTTGCTCAATTTTTTTGATGATTCATTCGTGACTATATATTCTTTTATGTGATGAAAATTTGAACAAATTAAAATCGAAATCAAAATTCGTGTATTTTCAGAGAGAAAATGATTCAATCATCATTCGACGCACAGCAATTTTATGGACGATGGCCAGACGCCGCAAACTTTTATGTGAGTTTTGAGGGGGATTTTAGAAACTTGATAAATAGAAACAAAAATTAGGGATTTTTTGAAGATGGCTGAATTTCGAATATCCCCAAGATTTTCAGCAAAAAATTAAAGATCTATTTTCTTGCAAAATTTTTCTATTTATTTTTCATTGATGTAAAATCGATAACATTTTTTTGATTTACATAGACTTTTGGATTATTGCCAAATTTTCCTTTAGATAGAAAAATATCAATAATTTTGTTCTGAATCGGTCAAAATAGTTGATAAATGTTAGGATATAAATTCCGAGAGAAGTACATAAATGAATTATGTGTGCGATAGAGCGAATTTGATTTTCCATGTTAACACATTTTTGTGTTTTAGAGGAAAATCGGTGATTTAAAATTTTTCTTCCAAGATCTCCAAATTTTTATCGATTTAGCGCAAATTAATTTAAACGTGACCTCTTGATTATTCCAACACATATTTCTTCAAAAAAATAATTGTCTCCCATTTCTCAATCCACATTTTCTAGGAGCCAAAATGGAATGCCGATTCGATATATTTTCCGTTCCAACAGCCACCAATTCAACAAAGTGCGGCCGCCGCGGCGACTGGAACAACACAAGCTGACACAGAGGTAACTAATGATTGTTTGCACTTTGATTATTATGTAACATCAAGTTTTTGTTGCGCCAAAAGCGCGCTTTGTCGGAGAAAATGAGTCACCATCACCCACCAAAAAGCAAAAAAAAATAAGTATTTCTCTTCTTGCAGAGCAAACCATTGTCAAATGAGAGTAGTAATAGTGGAATGTATCCATCACCGGACGCATTTCCATCAACATCTTCAGCCGATTATCAGCGAATGTGTTATCCGCAAAACTTTTTCAACGCTTATATGGAGTATCCACAAACGTTGTCATGGAAAGCAATGTCGTTGTCAACACAAAAACAATCCGGCGATAAATCGGGCGCAAATGGCGGCAAAATTATACCGACTGGACCTGGCACTAATAGTGAGTGGAATTTTCGAATCAGAACTTATTGTTAGACAAAAATATTGGATTATTTTTTGGGAACTGCATGGCTGAAAAATTAAATTTCAGTAAATAGCTCTGAATTTCTGACTTTAACCTTCGAGATTTAGGTCATTTTTCAAAATTCTTAACTTTTTCAAACTTTGGAGATCTAAAACATGGCGCACAGGTCCAAAAAGTTCGGGTAGTTAGGCGGTTAGGCTTTTAAATTCTAGAAATAATATTTGGGTTCGACTCCCCCGCGATGTGACGAAATTTGTTGACTCCAGAGACTCCTCAGTCCTCACACACTATCTATTTATTATTGAAAAAAATCCGAATTTCTTAATTAAAAGTCTCATCCGCTGCTCATTTCTAATGAAATGAAAAGCAAAATCGCAAGAAAAAAATCAGAGGAGCAGCAAGTGTAAACATAAATCAAAGAGAATTGCCGCTGTCAAAAATGGCCTCCTTTTTGGTATATTATCTCTATTTTACATGGAATGTGATGTGTACACAATTTATCGCTTTCATTATCAGCAGCCGGCAAAAAAGAGCAGGCAGGCAGCTACTGTTTGAAACCGAATGAATGAATGAATGATAATTAATTTATGAATCGAATCGTTTTTTTATAATCGGGTTATATAATTTAGGGAGGGTATTAACACACCTTTTATGAGGGTAAATACGAATATGAAATAAGTGAGGAAAATAAAATAACGGAAGAAGCTCAAAGTTAGCCAAAAATACTAAACTTTCCAAAGATAGCTAGATAGATCAAGAAAATCCGGAAATTGTTACTAAATTTCTCAAGAACCCGATTTTTTCGGAAACACATCTACAAAATGTTGTGCATTAGAGAGCGTATGTTTTTGAGGGAAAACTAGAACTTTCAAGAGCAAACACAAACTCTTATCAGAAATTTTTGGAAAAATTAGCTATCTCAGATTCTGTCCTGAAACATTTATCATGAAAAAAGTACACTTTTTTCAGATATCCGTGTTCGAACAGCTGATAAATATCGTATGGTATATTCGGATTATCAAAGACTTGAACTCGAAAAAAGAATTCCACACAAGTGCATTCATCAACGCTGACAGAAAAACCCAATTATCAACAATGCTCAATTTAACTGAACGACAAATCAAAATTTGGTTCCAAAATCGGTGAGTTATTTTTTTTTTTGACCCTACTACCAATCGCACCCAAAAAAAAGTTTTTTATCTTGTTTTTTCAATCGTGATGAAAGGTGCCGCACGCGTGAATTATGACTAGCTTACGCAATAGCCGTATCCTATCCAAATTTGGTGACAGGGAAGGAGGGAGAGAGGGGTTTGGCATGCGTGTGACCTTTAATCGGTGTTTTGACAGAAAGTGGGTGAGAAGAAATACGGATTAGCTGACTGTGATATAACAATTTGAAAAGGGAGTAGGAGAGGGGGAGTTGTGAGATATTAAAGTTTTTAGGGTTCGTGAAAAATAAATGTTCAGAAATTTAGAATACTGTAGAATCTAGCCAAAAATTGAAAAGAGAATTTAAAAATAAGCTATGACGTGGCCAATTCGCCCTTTTGAAATATTCTTCTAACTTTCAAATAACTTTTTGGAACATTTTGGATTGAATTTTTGTCCGGATTTTTCTAATGATAGATTTCGATTCAAATTAATTGCTGGATAAAACTACGAAGGCCACAACACAAACTACAGTAGTTGGTCTTGCAGGAACAACGCGCCAATTCGAAAAAATTAAAAACTGTTAAAATTTGAATTTGTGCGCTTTCTCTGCGAGACCAACCAACTAGTGTAGTCTGTGGCCATGGATTTCTGAGAACCAGAAATTAGTTTTAACTAAAATCTATCACTACCAAGTCCTGTCGAAAATTCGGTCTAAATTGTTTAGAATGTAATGTGAAATCCTATGTACTTTCAAAAATCCAATCAATATTTTTTGAATAAGATCACATATCTTTTGAATCAATATAGTCCATATTCGCACCAATAAATCATCTGATTCTCTCTGAAAAGCCGCCTTTTTTTGAATATCTACCGTCTGTCTTCTACTTACTGTATTGTTCTTTTTTTCCTTTTTCTTCCAATCTCCCATAAGAAACACAAAAAAGAGCAGCAGTCGATTTACAATTGCTCATAAATTATTGTCAAAATATTTGGACAGCAGATTCTCTACCTAATTACGTCACCCAACTTTTTTTTTCTCTCTGAAAATGTATCTTTCTCACATTGTAAAATGGTTGTGTTCTACTTTCCTAGTTTACTGTAGAGACAATTTGAGGCTCGTAAAATGGGCCAATTAAGAAATGGAAAAGACCTTCCTCAATTACACAATTTTACGACTTAATACTTTTTTGATACTGTAGAGAGAGAGAGAGACAGGCTTGGGCAAGGGGATTAGAGGAAACTATCCAGGGGACATCTTATAAATTGAATAAAATTGTTTTTTTTGCAGACGTGCCAAGGAACGACGTGACAAACAAAAAATTAAGATGATGTGAAGATTTAGCCGAAAATTACACAATTTTATCATAATATCTCGATTTTTGAATACGGTTATTTTTTTGTTTTATATTCTCCCATTCAAGAATTTTTGTCTTGCTGGTGATTTTTATCTATTATTTTGCTCTAACATTTTCTCTCTCTCTCTCTCTTTATAATAATTAGAATTATAGATATTTATTTATTGTGATTTTCAAATAATTTTTCTTTTTCTTCTTATACATTTCAATTCACTTATTGCTATTTACTTGCCTTTTTCTATATGACTTCCAAAAGAAGTTTTTTGCAGGGACTCCTGTTTTTATTATATATTTTTTATTGAGCATATTGTTTTCAAATAACCAGATTTTTGTATTAGCAAATGAATTTTTTTGAAAAAAAATGTTTTTGGGAAATTTTAGAAAGTTGTGAATGCCACGTCAGTTTTATTAAGAAAAAAACGTTTTCAGATTTTTGGAGGCTTCTACAGTGCTCCTCAAGTAAATAATAATTTCTTGAATAAATCCCTAATTGCCACGTCATAGTTCACGTTAAAACCATATTTTTCAAATAAGAGTTTTTTCAGATATTCATGAATTGAAGTGATACGAAAATTAAAATTAAAATTTCACAACACAAAAAACTTGCAATATTTATTTACATGCTATATTTGATTTGAATATATAATTATTTACAATTGTTCAATCAATTTTTCAAATTCATTTTCAGCGTTCGAAATCCACTCTGAAAAAAAATCATATTTTTATTGAATTTTTTATTTTCAATAAATGTTACCTTCTCCAGAATTCTCAGATCCAGAACTTTCCAAACCAGACGCTTCCAATGAATTTCTACCAAATTTTCCCCATAATTTTGACAATTTCGAACCTAGAAGTTCCAGCGAATTTCCAAGACTTTGGCCAGATCCTTCAGAAACTCTCAAATTTTCTTCAGAATAAATTCCTGATCCTTCTCCTGAGAAATCTCCTGACAATTCTATTTCAGTATTTTCAGATGCTCCTAAATTCTCATAAGATTCATATCCAGATCCTTCTCCTGAAGTTGATGATTCAATTGAAGTTCTATAATTTCCAGAGCTTTCGAAACCAGATCCTTCAGAAGTTCTAGAATCTGTTTCAGCTACAGCTTCATATGAAGTACCAGATCCTTCTTCCGAACTTTCCAATCCGGAATTTTCGCCAGAAGATTCGATTGAACTTCGATGATTTCCAGAATTAGAAGCCTCGGAAATCGCTACATTTCCTAATCCAGATCCTTCTTCTGAATTATCTCCAGAATCACTTCTTACAGATTTTTCAGCTTCAGTATCCTCAGAATTTTCCAAAATGCTTCCGAGTTCTGTTGAATTATTTGTCACTTCCATCGCATTCAACATTTCAGTTGTATTTCCAGTTTCTTCCGAAAATGTTGAATTTCCTGAAAAGATTGATCGATTTTTGAAAACCTGATCATTTTTTCGGTAACCTACCATTGTCATAAATTGTAGTTTCATTGAAACTCATCAACTCTTCAATTAATTTATCGGTAGCATTTTCATTTTCGTCGTTATTTCCAGTTTCTGTTTCAGTCTCATTTGAAGTCTTATCGTTTTTCGAATAAAGTTCCATAACTGAAAAAAATGGTTTCTCAATAATTATCTTTTTTAAAACTTACTCATCTGATCCAAAGTTTTTTCGCTGTTATCCAGTGGTGATTTCATATTTCTATTCAATCCCGGAATCGGAACACCATTTGAATCCAAAGGAACAATACTGGAAAGAAGATCATCTTGTGCGGCTCGATCTTTGATTTCTTTTTCGAATTTTTCAGCGTACATTCTTTTCAATTCTGAATCCATTGTTGCGTCGATTCGATGTTTTTGCAGGTCGGAAGAGCTGGAATCGGGTTTTTTTTTCATTAAAATCAATTTAATTGGGATATATTTTGAACAAACATCAAGATGATTTGGTTTCACCGCGATTATAAATAGAAGTGAAATTATTAATAATCGAGATTCCGCAATTTTTCTCAAATTCTGTAAAAATCAAACCTGAAAACATATGAGCAATGTTCCGGCATAAACATCCCAAGAACCGGTCTCAACATTGTCAATTTATTCTGACTTGCTGCAATTGGTCGAACAAATACCTCTGACAAAAGAGTTCCAGCACTTCCCTCACATCGTGTATTGAATTTTGAGCGGATACAATCCAACATGCAATCTCCGATTCTACAAAAACCCTTTTTTTCATTTTTAAATCTCCATGTCAACATTACCTGCATAAATCATTAGTTAATTGTTTGAAATTATCAAAACCTTGTTGAGGATTCATTTGTGCTGGTACTTCTCCTCCAGCTTGTTTCAACAATCCTCCCTGTGCTAGAGCATCTGCCCATCCGGCTAAACCACCAGGATTTGCGCCAGTCGCAGCTCCCACGATATCATTAACCCCTTTTTGAATTGAATTTTGCATAGTTGATCGCATGACCCAATTCATGAAAAGGTTTTTTGTTTGGCATTGATTATCGCATTCGGATTGAACTAAAGATGCTTCATCATCAATACATTTGATTGTTGCATTGAATGCGAGTTCTTGTTCAATACACATATATTGTAATCCAGATGTCATTGCTTCAAACATTCCTCGATCTTCTTCTACACATCTTGCGTCTTCTTTCATACAACTGATTGCCTCGTTGTATTTTCCGCAAATTTTGTTGTATCTTTCGGTATGACTCATATCTTGAAGTATTATTGAAAGAGCATCGCGAAGACCAGTTGAACAATCTTTTGGACATTCAGCCATATCGTCGAAGTTTATGAGAAAATTATCCGAATTTATTTGAGATCTAAAATTTATAGATATTCCTATTCACAACATTTTTCTACTGTTCAAAAAAATCAAAACTCACTTTTGCGATTCGGGCAATGTTTTCAAATCATCTAACGGAGAAGTTCGAGAATTTTGAAGATCGAGAAGTGTTGGAGGAACTTCAGTTGTCACTGTGTGGTTTAATGGAATTACTAAACTTGTATCATTTTCTGAAGCTGCTCGCAATCCATTTTCTTCTTGTGGCCACCATGGTAATAAATTGCGTAGAAATACATTTGTTGTTTCCAGATCATCAAGTTGAAGTGATTCGGATGTTAGTAAAGAGAATATCAATATTAGTAGGAAGCGCATATCTCTTCGCAATCTTGTGAGATTTCGATTGCGAAATGAAAAAAAATGCGAAGCGAATTCAAACGATATTTTTTCGCGGGCAGTTTAAAGGGCGCACACAGACAATATTTGCATGGGTCTCGTGTCTTTTATTACGGTATATTGTTTTTATTTTTATTTTTGTTTTTTTTTCACTTTCGGGCTAGTTTTCGACATTTAAAAGCGTTTGTTTAAGGTTTTCAACTCTTTCAGCTCTCGGAAAGGTTGAGGCGAAAACTGCGGCGCGTTCAAGGCTGATTCGGCCGTTGGTTTCAGGCAAGCAAATGATTGACCAGCCGTAAAATGCCTTTTTCCTGCGGCAAACCCGCCTATACAGGCGGAACCCGCCGTTAGCGCGGCGGGAACATGCCGATTTAATGAGGCAGTTTGCGCCTTTGCGTTTATTTGTAGCTGCTCCTAGGCGTTTTCAACAATAGGCGAACATGTTTTACATTCATAGTTTATTGATAACAAAAAAATGATCAAAAACGAAAATTGTATTAAAAAATTAGACGAGTTCCATTTATGTTCGATCAAGTGAAGTTGGTTGATATTGATTTTGAACGATACTGAAAAAATGTGTATTTTGACAAGAAATTAATAATCAGATTATGTAAATTTACGAAAATTGGGACTTTGGGAGCTGAAAACTAGCTTGAAAAGGTTCATTCAGAAATCCGAAAGATATTTCCGAAAAATTGAACCTAAATTAACTTTTTTCACTGACAAGGGATCATTTTTTACACAACAGTTCAAATCTTGATGAAATTTCGCTCATGGACAGCTTTTTGAGTCATAAGAACACCCTAAAAATTTTATAATAAAAATATTTTTCGAAAAACTTGAAGTTTTTTTTTTTATTTTAGACATGATAGTTCAAATGTGCCCCTACTCAATTTTTGCGAAATTAAAAGTTTTTAGGGCAAATTTCTCACTTTTGAGAGCCGAGAACGAACAAAAATAACTTTTCAGAATTTATCACACAAGTCCCTGAAAATAACATACCGGTTGTCAAAATGAAGTAATCGTTCATACCAGTAGCCATCTACGTCGCTCGGCCCTTCTTTGATTTTTCGAATGTTTCTTCTCAAAATTCAACGATTTCCAGATAATGCGGTCTGTAATATATAGTTTTTCATTGAAGACACATTCCAACTTACTCGATCATTGATTTCCTCTCTTCGTCATGAAGTTGTGCTCGATTTATAGGCAAAAAACAAAAAATTTAGGAGAAAAAATAGAAAATATTTTCGAAAATTCGAAATAAACAACAGGCAATGAGCGCAGTTTTGTTTGAAATTGAACGGCATGTTTGCCGCGGGAAAAGGCAGTTTCCGCCTACAGCTCAAGAGGCGATGCCAGAACTGGCGGGTTTGCCGCTGTCATGCTTCAAACCTGCCAGTGAAGGCGGTTCGTGCCTTTTTCCTGCCCAAAAACTGCCGAGTCACTTCCCCGCCGCAATTTCCGCCTCAGGGTTACCGAGCTCTTGTAAAATATACAATTATTCTTGTAAATGGCTCCGCTTGGATATATGTTATTAGCTACGACGATAGCGTATGGAATTTCAATTTATAGGAGGTATGGTTCAATTCATTTCAAAATAGCAGTCCTTCAAATATTTTTACAGACGATATCATAATAAGAAAAAAGAAGAACATACTATTGAGAATAAGAAGGAATATTTCGAAAGTCACATCAGAATTCCAAGTTTCGCTGTGGCTGCGGTGATTGGAAAACGAGGAAGTGTTTTGAGACAAATCATGGCCGAAACTCAGACAGAATGTAAAATTGTGCAAGTTTCACAAGGAGATTCTTGGAATATCGAAACAACTCATGATTATTGGAACGAAGAAAACGAGAAACCAACTGATGAAAAATATTTATTGATTCGCACAAATAAAAAAGAAAAGGTGAGATATTTTGAGATTGCGGGAAATTGAAACTATACACAACTTTTCAGGTCGATTTGGTGAAACTCCGGGTTTCTGAAATTATCGCAAATGTTAAGGATGGTTTCAAAAAAATCGAATTTTTGATCGACTCTGACTTGATTGGATATGCTGTTGGAAAAGGTGGAAGGAATGTTAGAAAAATATCAGCAGCATATAATGTTTTCATTCACGTAAGTTTTTACAAGAAACTTTGGAAAAAAAATGAAAATAAAAAATTTAGATTTCGAAGCCATTGGAAGATGATCCAACAAAAGCACTAGTAACTGTAGAAGGAAGAGATCCAAAAACATTGGAAAAGGTCGAATTGATCATCAAAGAAACAAAATACAATCGCCAAGAAAATCGACAATCCTGTGGACTTTACGAAAATGTTGAAGAAGAGTTGGATGATATTGACGAAATTCGAAAAATGATTGAGAATTCGTAAAGTTTTTGTTTTATTTACAGCATACATTTTTATCTATTTATAAATTTCTGTCAGACAAGAAAAGCAAAATAATTCATTTTGCATAAACAGATTCCCAATCATATGGGAATTCTTTCAAATTCTGTTTCTTCATTGCTTGTCGTAATGTTTGATAAATCAGGGCATAATTGGGTTCGGAAAAGTAGGTTAGTCCATCAATATGACTGAAAACCATGATTTTTTAGAGCTGAATTCAAAAAAAATTCAAAACTCACTTCATAACAAGCTTATAATCTTCAAAAGGACAACCACTGAGCAATTGTTGAATCATCGGTTCATTTCTCGAATTCTTTTTCATATCTCCAACCTCTTTCAAATCCGACACAACTTTCCATGGCAAAGATGCATTGGTAAAATCGACCAACATATAAAACCAACTCTCAACATCGTCTTTTCTCCCATGTTCTTGCCCTTCATGCGATGCAATTGGTGCATATCTCGGTGTTCCTCTATACGGCGCCTTTTTTCTCGGTTGCAACATCACATTATTATCATCAACAAATCTCCTGCACAACCCAAAATCGAGCACGTATATTTTACGAAGTTCCCCAAAATCAGCGCGACCAACCGCGAAATTTCCCGGCTTCACATCTCGATGCAAAAAACCGATCCAATGTAATTCCTCCAATGCTTCAAGACATTGAATTGATGCTCCGATTGCACATCCAAGAGTCAAATGTCCATTCGGCCCGGTTTTCTTGGCTTCTTGCATCGATTTCCCCAAAAATTTCATTACAATGTAATTGAAATTTGCAAAATGTCCTTTATCAATGAGTGTTGCCATATGTTTGGCTTTTTTCGCGGTTAGTTTTTGCATAACATACAATTCGAGTTTGAGAAGATTGATTTTTTCTCCAGCCATTTCGGCTTTTAGCGCGTGCTCATTTCCATTCTCATCTTTTACCGCATAAACTGCTCCAAATGTTCCTTCGCCCAATTTTTTCATAGTCTGAAAATTTGAATTTGCAGGAATTTTCTCTGGTATTTCCATATGAAAAAATCAAGTGCGCTCTATCGACATACATAAAATAGGTCCTCCGAGTCAGTTTTCAAAGTTAGGGTCCCTCCTTGAAAATTTTCCAAAGTTAAACACCTTCCTCACTTTTTTGAGCGAATTTTGGACAAATCTGGGAATTTTGGTAAATAGTCAGCAGAAAATTGGCCAAGTTAGGCACACTTCCCTTCAGATTTTTGAAAAAAGTTAAGCCCCTCACCCCGATTCTGGGGGCCCATTTTATGTATGTCTATCGAAAATCGATGAATTTTCAAACTCACAGTGAACCGATCAACTTTATCTCCAGTTTGCAATTGAATAATAACCGGCGCAGCCATGTTTCGTCAAATACAAATACCAAAAAATGACCAATTTTCTTCTCGCTGGTACAAAAAAACACAAAAAAATAGGCCACGTTTTTTTTTAATTTTGGAAAATTAATTTATTGAATTTTTATTCAAATCACAATTTCAATGACAAAATTATTTTGCTCTATAATATCTCCTGATCAATCCATTTGGAAGTCTTCGACTTCCCAAAAATGTTGCGCCTGGTCGAGTTCTTGATGGTTTCATATTTTGATTATTTCGACATCTCGGACAATTCGGACAATTGCATTTTCGACATTTGCATCCACAACAACATGGACATTTACAGTTACAACAACGACAACAGCCACAGGGTAAAGGAGAAAGTCCAATTCTTGCGACTTCCTGTGAAACTGGTGCGGTTTCTGAAAATTCAAATGGAAGTTCGTAGTTTTGGAATTACAAACCAATGGCCACAATCAGGAGAATCGCAAAAATTATCAGAAAATTCTTCATTTTTCGATTTTTCAAAAAATTATCACTTTTATATATTTACGATTTTCAGATCTCATCAAAATTTTATTGTGAGAAATTGATTGAAAATTAAAATTATTTCTCAGGGGAGGGGACTACAAAGAAAAATCAAGAATCGTTAGAAAAAAATGAGTTTAGAAAGAAATTATGACGTGGCGAAATTATAGAGTACTGTTTTATTTATTTATTTATTTATTCATATCACATTTTAAATTTACAAGAAATTGGAAGAAAGAAGAAGATACATCTTTAAGCCAAAATAAATATTTAAATAAAAAAAAAGGAGGTTGAAAAATTTAAGATGAGAAGATTTTGGCAATTTCTGAATGGGATTCCCTGAATGGGGCTAATTTTTAAAAAACAGGGCTAAAAAAGTAAAACTGAATGGGGTCCAAAAAATGTGTCTGAATGGGACCCGCCTGAATGGGGCTAATTCTCGAAAGTAAAAAGATAAACTGAATGGGACCCGACTGAATGGGGCTAAAAATCAAATAAATATTAGAAAAACTGAATGGGGCCCCGTTTAGTCAGTTGTTTTCCGGATTTCCGGACTCTTCAAAATTTTGCAATGCGTTTGATATTCAGTTTTCAAGTTTTATTACTACTTTCGTTTGTTTATCAATAGCGCATATAGATTGAAAGCCTAACCTATTTAAGTCTGAAGAACCCTTAAATTTTATCTTAAAACCGGACAACATTATTTGAAATAGCCAATTTTTCATAAATTTTAGGATATAAATAAATCTGGAAATGTATTTTTTCCAGTTTCTAATGTAAAAGTAATGTAATGTTTCTTTCCGAACCTGCTTACAATACTTCTAGTTTGCCGTTTTTCCTAGTGAAATTCAAATTTTTCGCACCTAAGTGTCAAAATGTGGTGTTTTTGGGAAGCCACCTTGCCAAAATACAACTTTTTTTCCAAAATTGTGTTGAGAGACACATTTTTTAAGGGCTGAAGTGAGTTAGATACAGAGAAAATGACGAAATTTAGATTAATTGGAAACTCGGAGTTATTTTTTTTAGTTCCAAGCTCCATGAAGTTGCAAGTTTTAAAATCCGAAATTCTAATTTGGCTATTGAGAAGCAAAAACCTATTGATAATGCAAAAACATCGCACGAGAAGCTCAAACCCACGTACCGAATACTACATGTCGGAATCGAGAAAATGTAATTTCGCATAAAAAATACATTCCCAATGTAGGCTACCTTCTTCCGGAATTTTATTCTTCAAAATCAAACATTTTGGGAATACTTCAAGGAAGAAATATTGTGATAAATACATGAAAAAACAAACTAGTATTTCAGATATAAAAAAATTATGCGCTATTGATAAACAAACGAAAGTAGTAATAAAACTTGAAAACTGAATATGAAACGCATTGCAAAATTTTGAAGAGTCCGGAAATCCGGAAAACAACTGACTAAACGGGGCCCCATTCAGTTTTTCTAATATTTATTTGATTTTTAGCCCCATTCAGTCGGGTCCCATTCAGAAAACTATTTATTTTTAAAAATTAGCCCCTTTCAGTCGGGTCCCATTCAGTTTATCTTTTTACTTTCGAGAATTAGCCCCATTCAGGCGGGTCCCATTCAGACACATTTTTTGGACCCCATTCAGTTTTACTTTTTTAGCCCTGTTTTTAAAAATTAGCCCCATTCAGGGAATCCCATTCAGAAATTGCCGAAGATTTTTGAGGTTAGTGATTTAGAATATAAGATGGACTTTTGTACCCGCAAGAGTACGGTAGTCCAAATGTGCAGTGTGAGATTTATGATTAGAGAAAATGACTAGATGGCAGAGACTTCAGATGTGGAATTATATTATGAGGGAGACGAGAATGGGTTAGTGTTTTTGAGGTTTTATTCCAGAGAGAAATGTGTTTGTGCAGAAATGAGTTGTTTTTGCGAGAGCCAATACATTTTAGGTGGAGGGGGTAGCGCTGAGAGGTGGAAGATGTAACAAATAGGGGAAGGGAGGGGAAGTGACTAGAGTTGGTTAGGATTTTATAATACATATTTGTGATAAAAATGAGTTGCCTATGTTGGGTTGAGATTAGATTGAATTGGGAGAGACGGTTTTGGTATGATGTGTAGGATAAATTGCATCTTTGGAAAACGCGTCGAGAAAACAATTGAAGGGGTTTTTCCAGTTTTTGGATTTGTGAAATTGAGGAGGGATGGTAGACTGTAATCGGAATTTTAAGGTTCATAAATTAGAAAGGCTATAACATGAGCAATGTTTTTTCAAAATTCAAACTTTTTAATTATAAGCCTTTGGGATAATTTGTGTATCTGAAGCTTATTGATTTTTGACGTGGCAAACAATAAATTCTTCTAGAAAATTCTGGATTTTCAAATATTTTGTTAACATTGATCTTTGGAATAAATAACTCGATTTTTTTCTCACGACCTTCGGTAAATCAATAAACTTAACTAATTAGTTCAAGTTCGAAATTTGAAGTTTTCAATTCAAATCAATTGAAAAATGTTGCGAAATTAAAAAAAATTGTTATCGCCTTAATTTTTATTTATTTATTTATTTAAAACTTTTTTTTTCAAAATTGAAGCTATTTTCATATAAAAAAATGATCGATCTACAGATGTTTGAATTTTTGGGTCAATTCGAATTAGTCACCATTTATTATTTCCGAGGGAAATTCAATTACACTGATAACATTCCTGAACTTTTTTGTTTATTTGATTTGAGTTTTTTTTTGACAACATCCGAACCAGTTCATTTCGCAGTCATGGCTGGCTCTATTTACTTTTCTCGCAACTGAAAACCATTTAGCGACCGACTTTACTTTACTATTTGAAATCTTTTATTTTTTCTTTTTATTTCAACATAAAAAAATAAATGTAAAATAAAAAAAGATAGTAGAATTTTGTGAACTTTTCTTGTCTGTCCTTGTTTGTTCAGCTTCACTTCTCTCTAGTTTATGACGACTTTTGGGTTGAGTTTGTTTGATGATATCATCGATTTCCCATGATCATTTCAATTTTTATCAACATACAGAAAAAGAAATGAAAATTTCGTTGATAAATATTCATTTTTCGTTTTGTTCGATTTTGTTGCGGTGATTTTTGTACCTAATTGATTTTTTCAATAAATTTGCTTGTTTGAAAGAATTTTACAAGCCATGAAATGTCAAAATTGAATTTTTGTTTGAATAATTTTTGATGTCTACAAGCAGTTTTGAATCACCTCGACAGTTTGAAAAAAGTTTCAAAAAATGTTGGAAATTTTTTAGGGTAAAATTTCTTTGACCAAATTTTTTGAACAATTTTTACTTTATTAATTTAAAAATTCTATGACGTGGCAAAAAATTTCATGTTTACAGAAAATTTCCAATCGCCTTGACAGTTTTTGAAATTTGAAAAAAATTTTGGAAAACCTTAAATTTTTGAACCCAATTTTTTTTCAAAACTTATCCTAAGTTTTTCAGCTATTAGAAACATTCTGAAACTGAAAATGAGATAAATGTTCCAATTTTTCATTTTTGTGTGTCATCCAACAAGATTTGAACCGGTTTTCCAATAAATAAAATAAATTCTGTTTATTTATCTACGTATATTTTCAATAATACACATTTTCAACAAATCCCCCCCCCCCTCGCAATTATTCTTTTGACTCTCTCCAATCTATCAATACTCTTTCCCATACTCTTATCTATTTTTCATAAACAACCCAAAAAAGAACTCATGTTTAATCTTTCCATTTTTGTTATTGTTACTTTTTTGTTTCTAAATGGATTTGTGAGTTTTTTGGGGAATCTAGAAAAATGTGAAAATCAAAAATGTTGTATTTCAGACTTCACTTTGCTTATAAATTACTTTTTGGCCATGTGAAGATAAGTATGGAGATTGTCCCGCCAATTTTCAGAGTGAGTTTGGAAATGAAAAATTTATCAGAAAAGTTCCCTATCCAAGTCTTCAAACTTTTTTGTTAAAAATCGTCCTGAATTCCCAACAAAAAAAACATTTCAAAATTCAATTTTCAGAATTGTTCGAGTATATTTATTCCAAACAAAGACGAAAAATATGCGAATTGCACAATCGAAGCTGGAATTGATCCTTGCTATTTGTTACGCGAACTTCATCGTGCCAAAGAATTTCGAACATATTTTCTTGCCATAATTCCAATAATTCTCTCAATAATCGCATGCTCTTTGAATATCTGCTATCTTCTGGCACAAATCAAATGTTTCCGACAGGAAAAAGCGAGTTTCAAAAAGCGTCAGATATTTCTAATCAGTCGATCTCTTTCAATTATTCTTGCCAATATTTTGTTCTATGTTGTTATAATTGTTTGGAAAAGTAGTGGATTCAATTATCCGTCGGCGATGATTTTTATTTTCATCGGTGGTATTAATTTTGTATCGGTGACGGGGACTTATATTGGGCTCACTATTTTATTGTATACAGCAATTGCTCATCAATTTTGGTATAAAACTAAATTGACGCTCAAACATTGTTATATTATTGTTGCCGTTATTTGGATCATCTCATTTATAAGTTCGGTAAGGATTTTCGAATTTTTTGTTTGATTTATCTGATGATCTGGGGAAGAAGTTAACCAACTACAAACTTGAAAATATTTAGAAACGTATTTTATATTTTTGAAAAAAAACCCTTGTTTTTCTCAAGTCTATAGGAAAAAATTAGATTTTTCAAAAAAAAAATTCAATTCCAGTTCTGCGTCGCATTCTGGGGAGCCACATTATTCTATCCGGAAACTGCTCCAATTTCGTGTTCATTCGAAGGTTGCCAAAGACCACTTGTTATCATAATCGGTTAGTTTGACACTTTTCCTTCTTTACTCTTATCAAATCTATTTTTTAGTGATATCTTTGTCAATATTCTATGGAACTGTAATCATCTTATACGTGTTAATGATGTTAAGGTATTTTTTGGGAGACTTCTATGAGAAGAGTTCAATTATATTTGCAGACTTCGTCGACTTGTCCGAAAATCATCTCTAGTTCGAGCCCGCTCGAAATCCAACAGTATGACAGCCCTCAAAAGACTTGGCCTAAATATGGTAACATTTGCAATTGGCAGTGTTCCAATTCTTATCGTTTGCATAGTTGCATTGGTGAATTTGGAAGATTTATCATCTTTAGGAGAAGGTGATAAAAGTCCGTGCAAAAGTTTCATCAATAGTGCGTTATTTGTCGAAGTTGAAGTTTTGGCAAGTGTTGCGGCTATCGTATGGTAGGACAATTTACTGTCTCTCGGGAAAAATAACCTGATCCTAATATTTCAGGATTCTTGCAATGATAATTGATCCAGTAATCAATATTTTATCTGATGCAAAACTTCGAACATTAATAGTTCTACAATTTACATCAGTTTCGTCGAGTCTTCGAAGGTTTCGAACTGGATCAGTCAAATCCACATTATCAACAGATGATTAGATATTTTTAACTTTAAAGTCACATAGTTTTTTTCGATACGGGTTTTTCTGAATTTCATAAATAATGAAAATAAATATTTTCACCGTTTTCTAGACTTTTTTCTAAACCTCTCCCCAATGAAACCCCAAAAAAAACACACCATAATTCCGACAGACCAGAGAGAAATAGTAAAACATAACTTCATATAACAACAAGTGTAACATAACAACAAAGGAATATTTTCAAAAATCAAACTTCAACGATATTCAGCTTCTTCAGCATCCAACTCATCCGGATATTTGTCTTTTACCTGGAAAAAATGTTGTTTTGGTAAATTCGAGAAGGGATCAAGAAGGTTCTGCATATTTCAATATAAAATAAAATAAAATACCTCAAGATCTTCTCCATATTGAATAGTTGTATCAATTGTCAACAATAATTGTTCGATACTTTCTTCGTCTTCACAATTCAAAGGAACAAATTTGACGATTGAATAATCTTCCAAAATCTGAAATGAAATATTTTTAAATTTTAAATACTTTTTTTGCGTATACGTTATGTCTAGTTCACGTAAAGAAAATAATTTTTGGAAAAAAAAATAAAAAATTGAGTTCGATCATTTCTAATAAAAAAGAACCATTTGAAACCGTGAGTTGGGTGTGAGATTTGTATTCTCATAAATTCTAGAATAATTCACAATCATACCTGCGCAATAGTTTTTGTCAATTTCCGATGTTTCTCATTCCAAACAGTTTCATCCGAATCGACAATTGCTCTTGTGTCTGTTTCCAAAAATTGATCAACAAGCTCCTTATTTCGTTCCGAAAGCAGATCCATTTTTGTGAGAACATTGATAGCTGGTGTTTCAATTGCAACCATCGCAGATAATGCAGTTAAAGCTCCCGAAATGAATCTGAAATTTTGAATATAACGTGATTGCCTTGTATTGAGAACATACTTTTCAGCTTCAAGGACGAAATTGGTGTCGATTAGAAAAACCGAGCAAACATTGAAGTCCCAAGATCTGAGAGCATCGACAATTTGACGCATAACTGGAAGATGACTGTATAATTCAATTTGTCCAGGACAATCAAATACAAAGTAATCGTCTTCTCCTTCATCTAACTCATCGTGTAACCAATCAAGATTTTGAACAAGATACCTAAAAATTCACTAGATAAAATTAACCACAACTTTTGAAAACATACTCCATGCAAAATACCAATGCTCCATTCGGTCCCAAAATTAGCTCTTCATCCTCTTGAACATCATTTACACTCACTAGATCTCTTACATCTAAAATTTAAACATTGAAGAAATCAAGAAAATCAGAAACACTTGCCTACAACAGCTTGATAATTGAAAACTTCACAAGCTGGATCCAAATTCACCATTCTCAGCTGTCTTCCGACATTCAGACAATGATTATACATAACTGAACAATATGTCGATTTACCGCTACCCGCTGGACCCATTACAAGTTGTGCAAATTTCATCTTTACGCTGAAAACAAGGTTTTTACGAGCGAAACTTGAGCAAAAAAAATTTTCGAAAAATTGAAAAAATGTTGTGCGCTGGAGCGCACTTCCATTTTTACTTTTATTTTTCGCCGATTTTTCTGTTGAAAACAAACTATTTTCAATTGGAGCCTCCGGAGGCAAAATGGAAACATTTGCTGATCTAGACGCCAAGGATGCTAATTTGATGCTTGGATCGCTAATATTGTTTTTTGCAACTGGATGGTTATTCTACACAAAGCAATTATTCAAAAACTATGAAGTTCACAATCGAACGGTGCAAGTGATTTTCTCATTAACATTTGCATTTTCTTGTAGCTTATTTGAACTTATTATTTTCGAAATTGCTGATGTCATGGCTCCATTGTAAGTTAACTTTTTTCTCATGAAAACTCGAAAAGTTACCAAATCAAATTTTCAGATCTCGAACTCGATGTTGGACATTTTGTTTATCCCTTATTCTAATTACACTTGTTGTAGTAATTCCAATTTATATGGCATTTTTGGCTGTTCGTGGTATATCATTTATCAAGCCGAAACTTCATATTCCACTTTCTCTCGGCTGTTGGTTCATTTTCATATATTTTTTCTGGAAAATCGGAGATCCATTTCCAATTTTGAGTCCTCAACATGGAATTTTTACAATTGAACAAGTTATTTCTCGAGTTGGTGTGATTGGAGTCACAATTATGGCTGTATTATCTGGTTTTGGTGCTGTAAATGCGCCATATTGTTATATGACATTATTCACAAGGCCAGTCGAAGAAGTTCATATTTCACAATTAGAGAAAAAGTTGATGCATACTCTTGATATGATTGTTTTGAAAAAACGAAGAGTTGCCAGATATGAACTTGAAATAAGTCGATCAAATGCTTCTAAACAACAGAAAGATACAAGTTTTTTCGAAAGAGTTTGGGGAAGTTTCAATGATAGAAGTAATGGACCAACACTTCAAACACAAATCGAGTAGGTTCAATTCAAACGATATTTATTCATTTATTTATTTTCAAAATTTCAGACGAATCAAAGATGAAATAATTCCGCTGGAAACTTTGAGCCGATTTCTATTTCTCGATTTAGTCGAACTTCGACAAATGCTAAATCGCGTAGAATTCAGCAAAACATATATGGGAATTTATTTCAATGTTCTCGGGCATTTTTTCTCAATTTATTGCATTTGGAAAATCTTCATTTCCTTCATCAATATCGTTTTTGATCGTGTTGGCAAAGTTGATCCAGTCACAAAAACAATTGAAATTGGAGTTCATTATGTTGGAATTGATTTGGATATCTCATTTTGGTCTCAATATATTTCATTTTTTCTTGTTGGTGTGATTGCTCTAACTTCGATTCGAGGACTTCTTATAACTATGACTAAATTCTTTGTTTCAATTAGTAATGCGACTTCATCAAATATCATTGTTCTTGGGATGGCTCAAATTATGGTGAATTCAAAATTTCAAGAACTTGAATTTTATTTTCCAATTTTTCAGGGAATGTATTTCGTATCAAGTGTTTTATTGATGAGAATGAATGTTCCTTTGAATTATAGGTGAGTTGATTTTATTCTCAAAACCTTCAAATTCAAAAATTTCAGACAAATCATTACACGAATTCTTGGTGATTTGAAGTTCAATTTTTATCATCGCTGGTTTGATGTCATTTTTCTGATCTCTGCAGTTTCATCAATTATTTTTCTGAGCTTGTTGCACAAATCGGGTCCTTCAATATTTCGTAATTAATATGGGTTTAAAACTTTTATATCGGGTATGAGGGTAATAAATAAAATAGTTGAAAATAGTGAAAACTCGTAAAACGTGACAAAATTTACAGAGGCATCGATCGTATCAGTACATACAATTAATTATACATCAGAAGTTCCGACGTGTTGTTTTTCTTGTTCAATTTCTTCGATAACTTCACGAAGAACTTCCAAATCTTTGTCAATTCGATTGATTTCTTCCTTGATATCTGCCAATTGATTGTTGAGTTTCAGATTTCTCTCAATTTCTTCATCGATTTCTTGTTGGATGCGAAAAACCATATTTTGAATATAATTTACTGTTGGTTCTTTGGATACCAAATCTTCTTTCTTGATTTCTGGCAGAATTTTTGAGACAGTCACAATTGTTTGACAATCGATAGATTTATACAATTCGAATTTTTGAGTGGATTCTGTTGGAGTTGTGGCCAAAGGACTTGGTGTAACTGGTTTATATTTTCTGAATGCCGCAATCTGAAAGAAAAATTTTCAGTAACTTGAAATATACAATTTTCAGAAAAAACTAACCTTAACAGGTTCCAAAGAAGCCAATTTTGTCTTGTCTACAATTTTCTCTCCAAAAGGACTGTTTCTTGCCGAAGATGACAGTTGTGAAAGTCCAAGGCGTGTTGTCATGTTTTCTGAAAATTTCAAGGTTATAACGTGAAAAATCGGAAATTTCAAATAACAATGGCAGAGTAATAACTGCTAGGAAAATGAATAAGTAAACTTTCAAGATAAATGTTTATTCAAGCATTCAAAATATAAGTAATTTTTACAAAAATGTACACATTTTGCACCCGCTTCTTGAATTTGTGAAAGGTAGAAAGAATGGAGAAAATGTGCCCGTAATGCATAGTTATTTTGAAGAATGTGCATAAATAACAAATTTTAATCAAAGTTTGACAATAATTGAATCTTCGTCATCATCTTCCTCTTCTTCCGATGTTTCTTTTTCACTTTCCTCTTCTTCTGTTTCGAGATCTGCTGCAGTTTCAGCATAAAGTTTGTCATAATCTTCTTTCAAGCCGTCTTTTTTGATTGTGTCTCGAGCGATTTCGGCTTCCAATTTGTCATTCAATTTTCGAATTCTATCGACTTCTTTTGTTGTTTGTGACAAAACTCTTGTCCAATAATTAATTAATTGAGTTTCTTCGTCTTCCGAAGCATCTTCATTTTCCAACTTTTTTACAAAATCAGATTGCTCTGTTTGACAAGCAATCTCAATTACTTCCTTCGATTCTCCAACATTCTCGGCATCCTCAAAAACTGTGAAACTATCGGACATATCTGTAAACAAGGAGTTTTCAGTACAAAAGCCACAAAAAACAAAAAAATAAGCCAAACAACAAAAATGAGCGTCGTTTTTTGTATTCCCGCCAGCTGTTTGGATATTCTCATGGGAGCGCACTTGCCCGTCTGTCTTCATTTATTTTTATTTTTTTTACCGAAAGTTGTTCCTTCCCCAAAAAATGGTTCTTTCGGGTTTTATGTGCATTCTGAGGTATAGAATCAATTTCTGATAAACTAGGCAAGATCTCAGAATTCATATTGCAGAAAAACTTAGCAGCGAAGAGCGAAGAGGTTTTTTCCGTGTTTGAATAAGCTTTTGTTTCAGAAGCTGAAATGAATGTAACACCTCCGAATTTCTCGGCTCCAGGTCCTCCGGATGATCAAAGATTCGAAAGGAATAAATTCAGACAAACAATGCCAAATAATCCAAGATATACTCAAACACCTCGTACAAATCCAGCAGTTTCTCGTTTGCATAACCAAAATCAAAACTGCCCATCACCAAGTTCGGTAAGAATATCTATTCATGAAAATTAAATTATATGATTATCAATTCAGAGTTGTGTTTCAACTGATACAACATATACTCAACCATGGAAATCAAACAAAGCAAACTATGAACAGCCATCTTCCTCCAAGTTTCGAAGATCAGCTTCAGTTTCAATGAAAAAATCGGAAGAAGAAGAAGAACATGATCTCACATTGTCCACCGACAAAAGTACAAATGGAAGACCAATTATCAATTTTGTACAATTGAAAAAATCTTTGATGAAACCATTCAAAGGAAATTCGAAGAAAGCAAAGATAAACGAAAGAAAGGAGGATTTACCATCAACGAGTAGACCAATGCAACAAGAAGAAAGACTAAAAATGTAATATTAACGATATTTTTTTTTGAAAAAAAGTAAAAAAGCAGAATTTTTGCAGGTTCCGAAAAGTTGGAATGAAACAATCGTTAAAAGTTAGTGCAGTTCAAAGAATGCAAAAAGAACGACAACGAGATTTTCAATTAGTTGGCGGAAATCCTCAAAATGAAACAAAACGTAAATCGGATGAATCAACTTATGCTCAAATTGACAGTATGCTTGTATTCAGTTCGCCATCTAAAAAATCACGAGAAATTATTTCGTTAAATGATGATGATGTAGAAGTTGTTATAAAAAATAAGAAAACTGGAAAATCTGCAACAGTAAGACTAGATTAAATTTATTTTCATCTCATTAATAAAATAATTATTTCCAGCGTCAAGAAATTGCTTGTCCGAGCAAAAAAATAAATGAAATTCCGCTAACTTCAACTCCAAAATCATTCTCAAATGTTGGAATGCAAGAAAATGATTTGAACATTTCAACAGTTTCAAATTCATCGCTTTGTGTTGTTGAAGAAAATAATTCGGAAAAGAATAGAAGTATTTATTATTCGACGACAGCTTTGGAATCAGACGCTTTTCAACAAAATGACGATCGAATTTCACGTGTTGATTCAGTCACTCCAACACAAACACAGTATTCTACAATTGTGAAACCAACGCCACAGGTAAGAATATTTTGTGAGGGAAATTTCTGAAAAAAAATTGATTAAATTTTCAGAAAACTATCAAAACTGAAATAGTCGAACCAGCTTATGATAAAATACAAAATCCTTCTTCGCATAGTCAATGTCCAAGTGTTTCTGGAGAATCGCCCGATTTGGTAATTTTTTTCTGAATTTTAAACTCATAAAAAAAAAGAAAAAAAACTCATGGAATATTTTTTCAAGCCTAAATTCCACTGTTTCAAAATTTTTATAGAAAACGTTTTTCTCAACATGAAAATCCACTGTTTCAAAATTTTCATATTAACATTTTCAAAAATTATTTTTTTTTTGATATTAATCCACTCAAAGCAGCACATTCAAAATTTGAAATTACAGTGCAAAATTTATCGAAAATACAGCATTTTCTTTGTTTTTAGGTTTCATTGTTTCTATCAAATTCCCTTTTTCAGTCATGTTTCCCGATATATTCTGGACAACTTCAATTTATGTCAACACCGCCTTTACTCAATCAACCTATCGATGATCCATCAGAAGATACAATGAAAGAATTTTGGAGAATTTCGAGAGATTTAAAACAGAAACATGAACTATTGCAATATCGTCAATCCTGTCATTCAAATGTTAGTTTTAAAAAACTTTATTTTTGAAAAATGATTCACTTTAAATTTATTTCAGATATCTCAAAGATTGCGAGGATTGACTCAAGTTAAAATGTGTCTTTTGGAAGGTGGTAAAAACGATCCGACAAACGAAATGGTAAGTTTTTTTTAAATTTTTTAACATTTTTTTTCTGAAAACTCTCTAAATAAAATATTTCAGCTGGTATCACTCTGGAAAAATTGTCAAGAAGAGGAAATTTTGAGAGAACAAATAGTTGAATGCCAAAATATTATTTATCAAACAACTGCCGAAATTCAAACAATCGAACACAGAAAGAACATGTTATTAGAATGTGATGCAAATTTTGGTTCGAAAAAATGTTAGATAAGTGCTCATTCTTTTTTGTTTTATTTTATAGTGTATTTAGCTTGTTGAATATTTCTGTTGAACTCCCAAAAACTTTACTATTTTTGATGAATTAAGAGTTTCATTATTAAAACGAATTATTCAACAGTATTTAATTTCGATTTAGTGAGATCTTCCAAAGATTTCCGCACTTTTGGCGATTCTTCCGGTCCATTTTCAGTTTTCAATGTTTGTGTTTGAGTTAAACGTCGCACACTTTTTCGTCTTTTAGCTTGTTTTCGACGAGATTCTGGAAAAAAAAATGATTATTACCCATATATTTTTGGATACTTCTCGCCCAGCTTTGATTTCAAACATTTTCTATTTCCAAACCTTTTTTACTATGCTCAATAGTATCAACAGTATTCAATGTTGCAAGTGTATTCACAGCTACCGGTTGTGCAATTTTTCCCGGTTGAATATTATTTCCAGCCAATTTTGGTGGAGTCAATACATTTCGCACTGATTGAGGAGCAATTTCCAAAGTTTTTGCATCTCCTATAACTGGTTCTCCAGCTGTCATTTTATCCAAAGCTGAAAAATATTCAATAATTTCGATCTCACTAAAATATATAAAACAGAAACCTTGAATTGCTTTTTTCTTATTATTTTTCTTTCTTTTTGTTGCTCCAATATCCTTTTTCTGTCTTTTCAAAGGTTTTCGAACCGCATCTTCTTCATCTTGAGTATTCAAAACATTGTGCATAATTCGGGTGCTAGTTGTACCGTCACCCTAGAAAAAACTATGCTGAGAAGAAAGTTTTGAAGTTTTATGTTAAATACCGATGGTTCAACTTTCAAAGGTTTGAAATCGAGACAAGAAACACGTTTCGAATATAATGTTCCATATGCCAAACTCGGATTTCGTGAAAATTGATCAGATGCTGAAATAATTTTTTGTCAAAGTTAATGTTAATTATTTTTCTAACCAGAAATATAATTAACTTGTCCATCTTTTGCAGTATTCAATAATGATTGATCCTGAAAATTATTATATGATTTTCATTTTATTTTTCAAACCAACCTCTTCTGAAAGTTCATAACCTCGAGTTTTAAAACATTTCCTCGCATACAAATTCTTCAATTCTCGAACATTCAACACGGTTTTCGGCAAAAGTGGAGCTCCAGTTTCGAACGCCACTTTTTCTTGAATATTCATTCTGAACAATCTTGCATTGTGCGGAGTTTCGTCAACTGGATGAAGCCATTGAATTGCGACGATGAGAAATGATAATTGAGATAGAATAAGTCCGAAAATACAAGCGCATGCAACAAATACATTCATTTCTTCGACACCTTCCCATAAAGACACCATTTTGATAGAAAATAAAATTCGAAAATGAATAGATATTGAAAACGTTCAAATGATTTTTTTTTTGAAAACTAGAACACGTTATAATTTTTGTGATGACCAGAAATGTCATTTCAATTTCGCAAAATAATAAATAAAAAAGTATCTTTGTTATATTATCCACGTGACACACGTGATCATAAAATCTCTCAAAAATGCTATATAAGCAGCAGTCAGAGAGGTGTTTTACTCACATCCAACATTCCTGCCTAATATTCCTACAGTATTCTAACTAGTAGCTGCTCACCTCCACAATGCTCGTCACCGCCAGCCGCTTCGCCTCGAGGAAAAACGTGAGTGCTTTCTTCTGCTGCTCTCTTCTTCTAGATAACCACAGAAATGTGTAAAATCTTTGAATTTCACATATTCCTGTGGTTAAGTTGCCCGCTTCTCTCTGTTTCGCCCCACTGTTATATGCGAGATGATAGCAAAGCTCTAGTAACTGGCTGCTAGAGGGGAACCTATCATCTCCTTATTCCTGTGGTTCTTTTGCTCGCTTCTCTGTTTCGCACCACAGTGGTATGTGAGGTGATAGCAAAGCTCTAGTAACTGGCTGCTAGAGGGGAACCTATCATCGCCTTATTACTGTGGTTCTATTGCTGATCGCTTCTTTTGCTTAGATAACCACAGAAATGTGTGAAATCTTTGATTTTCACATATTCCTGTGGTTAAGTTGCCCGCTTCTCTCTGTTTCGCCCCACTGTTATATGCGAGATGATAGCAAAGCTCTAGTAACTGGCTGCTAGAGGGGAACCTATCATCTCCTTATTCCTGTGGTTCTTTTGCTCGCTTCTCTGTTTCGCACCACAGTGGTATGTGAGGTGATAGCAAAGCTCTAGTAACTGGCTGCTAGAGGGGAACCTATCATCGCCTTATTACTGTGGTTCTATTGCTGATCGCTTCTTTTGCTTAGATAACCACAGAAATGTGTGAAATCTTTGATTTTCACATATTCCTGTGGTTAAGTTGCCCGCTTCTCTCTGTTTCGCCCCACTGTTATATGCGAGATGATAGCAAAGCTCTAGTAACTGGCTGCTAGAGGGGAACCTATCATCTCCTTATTCCTGTGGTTCTTTTGCTCGCTTCTCTGTTTCGCACCACAGTGGTATGTGAGGTGATAGCAAAGCTCTAGTAACTGGCTGCTAGAGGGGAACCTATCATCGCCTTATTACTGTGGTTCTATTGCTGATCGCTTCTTTTGCTTAGATAACCACAGAAATGTGTGAAATCTTTGATTTTCACATATTCCTGTGGTTATGTTGCCCGCTTTTCTGTTTCGCCCCAACAGTAATATGTTAGGTGCCCCTCTAGTATGGCGACTAGAGGGGTCTACTATCATCTCCTTATTACTTTGGTTCTGTTGCTCTGCTGCTTCCCACTATTTCTACCCCACGTGGAATGACTACTGGGGAAGCGTCGTGTCAATCGTTGAAATATTTGCGATGCGGCGGGTCTAAAAAGTCCCGCATGTCTGGGGCGCGCTTTGAACACCGGCGACAACCGGCGTTTTCTCATTATTTTTTTTTCATTTTTTCGTTCTTGTTTTGAATTGTTGATTTGTGTGATCTCGCGTTGTTTAGAATTTCGTACTAGATTTTTCTTCAAATTAGTTTTCTATGATACCAGAAGGGCAGCGCCGGCTGCTCCTTCTGATAATTAGTGTATTTTTAGGTCCTTAAGGACGTTTTCTTATGGAAAACTATATTTTTAGGCATTTTAGTATTTTTTCCAGTTTTGCAAATACTTCTTTTTCGAGTCAAAACATATTTAGTAGAAAATTGATATTATTAGAAAATTGATTAATTCATTTGCTGACGATCTTTTGAGAACTCTCTTCAAATTAGTCTATTTTTTTCTCAATGTCAACTTTTTTTGTCGGTCAAAAATTTGAAAAACTTTCTAGTTTTGAAAATTGTTCTTTTTCGAGCCAAAACACATGATTTTAGTCGAAAATTGATATTAATTCATATGCTGACCATCTTTTGAGAACTCTCTTCGAATTAGTTTAATTTTTGCTCAAATTTTTTTAAAAATTTGAACGTGCCACAGTAGTTTGACTCACTTTTTGCTTATTGATTGATTTTCCGGTTTGAGTATTTGAGAACAGGTCCCGGACACACTCTTGCCAAAAAATTTTCGCAATTAGTATAGTTCAACACTTCTGGATAGAAGAATCAAATATGATTCTAAATTTTTTCTAATTATAAATCGAATCATTTTATTCACAAGATATTTAAGAATTATGCGTTTTTAATGCCCTTATTTGTTCCATAATTTAATTTACAAACTAAAAATTAGAAACTCATCTGATATATACGGATGCAGATACAAAAAATAGCAATGGCACCTGAATTTGTTTTGATGTGAGAAGAAAAATGAAATAAAATTGAATAGAGACTAGTTACTCATACAATTGTTTCCCCCAAATAAATGACGAATTGGCAGAAGATGAATCTGATGGTTTGGCAGTGTAGTTGAAAATATCACGATTCACAATCAATTGTTTACATGCATTTTTGAAATAATCCACAGTCGATTCAGCAATACAACCATGAACATTCAAACATTGTAAATTAGTATTGTTTAACACCCTGGAATATTCAATTATAGTCATAAATGCTGATAATTAGAAAAACTAACAAGAAAATATTGGGATCGATACCATAGCATCTATTACATGAAAGCTTTCTCAAAGATGTCAAAGTTGCCAATTTCAAAACAGATTGTTTTGTCAAATCAACATTGTCGGAGACATCCAAATCTCTCAAACTATGACAATGATTTGTCAACCAATCGATATCTGAAATATGTAAATAAGTTATTGCATAATTTTTTTTGAATCTCACGTTTATCGGCTAATCCATTTTCCCTCGATGTTCCACTCAAATTCAATTTCATACATGAAAATGTCAAGGTTTGTGCGAGAAGCTCACAACAATCCTCTGTCAATCCACACCATGATAAATTGAGTTCTTGTATAGCTCTACAGTAACTTGTTATACGAAGTATTCCAAGTTTTGTGATCCCTTTTGTCATTGAAAAATCAATATGTGTTAATCGATTGTTTTTTCCAATATAATGGCAGATGTCATCATTGATAGTCAAACCTTCGAGAGAAATACAAATTAGTTGTGTGCATGGTTGGAACATCCTTAAAAGAGTTTTTTCATCGATTTCAGCGCGAGAAAGATCTAAATATTGAAGACGAGAAGATGGATATTGTAGTGTTGAGAATGTATTTATTGAAGTAGATGTTGTTTGAACCAACTGCAAAATAGGTTTTAATGAGTAGATATTTCGAAAATGTGTTAATTCTAACCTTTGAACCAGAAAGTTTCATCACATGTACATGTCTTCTCGAAATTGCAATTAATGATTCATCGGTTATTTGTTTATCTGACATATCCAATGTCTTCCAATTAGTAGAAATATTCCTTAAATTCAGACGTTCTTTAGCAATGTTTTATATGTAAAACTCACCCAATATGATAAAATCGCATACAAGTTCTCATTGCATTGCACAAATCGTGCTTGTTCAAATATGAAAATATTTCCAAAAGAACTAATTCGGGAACTTCATATTTTGTGAATGGCGCGATTGGTTGATGAGATGATTTTCTCCAGAATTTTGGTTTTGATTCAGGTACGGGTGAAGTGTTTGAACTGAAAAAAAACTAGAAATTATTGATAATCAAAGAAAAAACTCACTTATTCACGGGTAATTCGTACCGCGGAGCTTTGCAAATCAAAGTTGGGCGACTGTACACGTTTGTTTTACCTTTAGTAAATTGTATTTTCTAGAAATTCAATTAAATTACTTACAATTGAGTGTATTATCATTTTCGAAATGTCGTTTCTGAAGCATCAATCGATTAGTTTGATTCCCTAGTGCAGTTTGCATCGATCTGTGAAAAGAAACTTGAATATAGCAGTAGTTTAACAAAAAGAAAAAATTATTAATTTCAAATGGAAATGAAGGGCGCGCGGAAAAACAGTGAACAATGTGTGCTCCATTGATAAATTCAGGCGTGTAACGGATGCGGCGCGTGTTCATTTGAATTTTAGTTTTCTTTTTTCCCAGGTTTGCATTTCGAAATTTCAACATTTTATTCATGTCTTTAGGATTCTAATACAAAATATAAGTTAAGAATTCAGTTTTCTATTGAATTTAAAATTATTGTTGGTTTTTTCCACAGGGAGCATAACATTATTCTCAGCATTCCGACGGTTATATTGCCAGGAGAGGGGATCTGTGATCAGGTGTTTATTTTTCGAAATATTCGATGACTCACCTGGTTTTTTGATTTCCGGCGGTGGTTGTGGAACAGAAAAATCTGTTTCTAAAGCTTTCATTTTCAAATCTCTGTTCCGTCTCGAAAACATATCAATTTCATTGAAAATATAGTCATCTGTCAGAACATCAGGTAACCCGCTTCTTCTGGGTCTTGTTGATTCACTAGCCGAACTCAAATCGTTTGGGTTCTCATTGATTTCCTGACCATTTTGAATCGCCTCAATAAGTGCTTCCAGATCCAAATCTCCATCTCCTTGAGATTCGCGCAAAGCTCTTTCTTTTCGTAAACGCTCTTTGAGTCGTTTTATCTGGCAAATTAATTTAATTCAGAATTCAGATTTTTGTTAATTTTCAACTTACTTGTTCAGCTCTTCTTTTTCGACTTTCTTTATCAATTTCTTCTTCTCTTTTGCCATCAGCCCATTTATTGAAACTAAAAGTATTGAAGACGTTCGCTCCGTCTCCCATTTTCAAAGAAAGAAAAAACGTAGTATACTGACAATGAAACAAAAAGGAGATTTAGTGAAACAAAAATCTTTTTGGAATTCCTAATTATGTTGCATAATTTGAAACTGTAACCAAGTAACAAACACTAACGAGTTATCCATAATTCATTAACAGTTCCTTATTTTTTTGTTATAATCATTGAACCCTGAAAGTTCTTTGCATCCAATTAAAATCTTCTCATCACTCATTCTTTCTCTCTTTACTAATATTTTTCCAACAAAATTGATTTCTGCCTTACAAGTTCTCTTTTGCGGCATATGTTTTTTCCTGCAGTGCTTCCCCTCTTTTTCTTTCTCTCCTCTATTTTTTCTACGTACACTACACTTGATATGACGACATTTCTTGAATCAATAGTTGCTCCTTCTCAATTTTGTTATAATCATCTATTTATATTATGTTATATGTTGTAATCTACATCGGATTTAAAAAATGTTATGATATTCGTTCCATTTCCCGGGAAGAATTTAAACTTATTTAGTTAAAATTTTTCTTTCGACATATGAAAATTTCGAAATAATTCTAGAAAAAATTGGTGTCCTAGGTAACCAGCAGTTTCTTTTTATCTTATTTAATCAATTCTATAATCCTTTATCATCTTTATATTTTTTGTTGTTTTCTCAAGCTTTTCCTTGATATATTTCAACTCTTATATATTCAAATTAACTTATAGAAAAATGTCAGTTGTTGAAGAAAATGCTGATGATTCTCTTTACCCAATTGCCGTTCTCATCGACGAATTGAGAAACGAAGATGTAACACTTCGATTGAACAGTATCCGCAAATTGTCAACAATTGCTTTAGCTCTTGGAGTTGAACGAACTCGCAACGAACTCATTCAATTTTTGACTGACACAATTTATGATGAAGACGAAGTTTTGCTAGTTTTGGCCGAACAACTCGGAAATTTCACTCCATTGGTTGGTGGACCCGATCATGTTCATTGCCTTCTTCAACCACTCGAAAATTTGGCAACTGTTGAAGAAACTGTTGTTCGTGACAAAGCTGTTGAAAGTCTTCGCAAAATCGCCGACAAACACAGTTCGGCTTCTTTGGAAGAACACTTTGTACCAATGTTGAAAAGATTGGCAGCCGGTGATTGGTTCACTTCAAGAACATCAGCTTCAGGATTGTTCTCTGTTGTTTATCCACGTGTCAGTCCAGCTATCAAGAATGATTTGAAAAAGTATGTTAATTTTATTTTGAAAAGATATTTATTTATTTAAAATATATTTTCAGCATGTTCCGCACTTTGTGCCGCGATGATACTCCAATGGTTCGCCGTGCTGCTGCTTCAAAACTTGGTGAATTCGCAAAAGTTTTCGAAAAGAGTCAAGTTATCGATGGATTGCACCAAAGTTTGGTTGATTTACATGTTGATGAACAAGATTCAGTTCGTCTTTTGACTGTCGAAGCAGCAATTGCTTTTGGAACACTTTTGAGTCGTGAAGACAAAAAGAAGTTGGTTGAACCAATTCTTATCGAATTATTCGATGATAAATCATGGAGAGTTCGTTATATGGTTGCTGAAAAATTGATCGAAATTCAAAAAGTTTTGGGAGATGATATTGAATTGAACACGCTTGTTGGATTATACACTAATTTATTGAAAGATCCAGAAGCTGAAGTTAGATGCGCTGCTACACAAAGACTTCAAGGTAGATTTATCTAGACTTTCTTTTTAAAAAATATATATCACATTAATTTTCAGAGTTCGCCACGAACTTGCCAGAAGATAAACGTCAACCAATTATCACTTCACAACTTCTTTCCGTTGCAAAAGAATTGGTTACCGATGGAAATCAATTGGTCAAATCTGAGCTCGCTGGAGTTATCATGGGTTTGGCTCCTTTGATTGGAAAAGAACAAACTGTTAGCGAATTGTTGCCAATTTACATGCAATTGTTAAGTGACAGTACACCAGAAGTTCGTTTGAATATTATTTCGAGTTTGGATAAGGTGAATGAAGTGATCGGAGCATCTCAATTATCGACTTCTTTGTTGCCAGCAATTGTTGGATTGGCTGAAGATGGAAAATGGAGAGTTAGATTGGCTATTGTTCAATTTATGCCACTTTTGGCTGCTCAATTGGTTAGTTTTTTAATGTTTTGGAAAATGCAATGCCATTATTATTATAGGGACAAGAATTCTTTGACGAAAAACTCCTTCCACTTTGCCTCAACTGGTTGACTGACCATGTTTATTCAATTCGTGAGGCTTCTACCTTGATTATGAAAGAATTGACACAAAAGTTTGGAGGACAATGGGCCAGCTCGAATATCATTCCAAAAATGCAAAAATTATTGAAAGATACCAACTATTTACAAAGAATGACATGTTTGTTCTGTTTGAATACTTTAAGTGAGGCAATGACACAAGAACAGATTCTCAAAGAAATTATGCCAATTGTAAAAGAGGTTTGTTGGATTTATTATTGTTAATTGAAATTTTAATATTGATTTTTTGCAGCTCGTTGATGACGATGTTCCAAATGTTAGATTCAATGCCGCCAAGAGTTTGAAACGGATTGGAAAACAATTGACACCAAGGTAAGTTTTTCTTTCCATTTGTGATGAATATTTCATAAATGTATTTTATTTCAGTAACTTGACAAGTGAAGTGAAACCATTATTGGAGAAATTGGGAAAAGATAGCGATTTTGATGTTCGATACTTTGCTGAAGAGGCCAGAAATGGTCTCGGTTTGTAAATGCCACATATCAACCAGTCTCTCTTCTCCATTCAAATTTTATTTTTCTACGTATTGTTCATGTGTAAAATACTCCGCAACAATTTTTCTCCTTTAAAAATCACTAAACCCGTTCCCTTCCATTGAAAATCTTCCGTTTTTTAGTAAATAAGTTATTCTTTCTATTTATTTACTAAACTATTTTCCCGTTTATACTTTCCCGTTTTTTTTTGTTTCTCCATTTATCTAATTCATCCATCCACAGACTGTGGTTCACAGTTCAATTTGTAGTTCCTCTCTTTTTCTTATTTTTGCGTAATAAAATGTGTCCATGTCAAAAATATACGTATTTTCCAAACAAAAATAGTCGATGTTCCTTGATAATATATTTGAAATCCACCGTATTTTCCAAATAAGTAAATTTTTCTAGATAAAAAGTAAAATGATGCGGGTATTGTCAATTATCGGGTTTCATCTAGTCATAACCGATATTTTCGGCTTCAATGAGGAATTTCAATCGGTTTCATATAATTTTGAAGAACATAATGATCCATTTTGGTTTTATCCTGGAATTGAAAATGAAGTATTCAATAAATGGAAATTCTCACAATCAGAATACAACACGATGTATGATAAAATTATTGAAAAATGGCCGACGGTGAGTTTTTTTTGAATACGAAAATCCCATTCACTGATTTATCCTAACTCATTTCTGAAAATCAATTATTTGATTCATACTCGGAAATTAAGCAAAATATAAGTCATTTCATTTTTCACCCGGTAGAACTACAATCCCGTCTTCGTAAAATATATTTACCCTCAATTTCTTATTTTTCTAGATTCCTGAAAATGAGGAGGACAAAGTATTGATTATAACAAATCATGAAAGACGAAAATTATATTGTATTATCCCGGATTGGAAAAAAGAACTCGAAGAAAAGAAATTGAATTCCAGTCTGAACCCGACATCTTTGAGAACTTTGATTGATGCAACATTTTATGTCGAAGATTGTATTTCGGTTAGTTTTCAGATATTTTGAATAATTCGTTTTTGAAACGAAATTACTTTCAGATAGAAGATGAGGAATGGGTTTATACATTGTGTGGAGGATCGTCGCATCTTACGATGGAACAGAAAACACGTGGATCGGTGAAAGCGAAGAAAAACAATTTGCATATCAGTCATCGTCGCTTGAATTTTCCGAATGATTTAAGCGAGTCGACATATGATAAATTGTTTTATGTTGAAGAATCTTTCAGTAGTCATTTGAATTGTGAATTTGGAAATGGAAATGGACGTTGGAAAGCGCATGTTCGAGTTAGTTGATTCTTTCAATATTTTTCTTGAATATTTTATTTTTAGTATCAATGTAATCCGAATCTCGAATCCTATCAAGCTAAAATTGTATCGATTACATATAGGAATTTGTGTGAATTTGTTGTTTTGGTTGATGTTCGAACATTGTGTGTTTTCAAGCCGTTTTTACCACCTCAAAGGGTTAGTTTTTTTCTTAATTTTCAAGTAAATATTCACAAAATTTCAGCGAAACATCTTGAAAATCCCCTGCCATTCTTATATTGCAAAAGATGAATTAATGGAGTACTTGATTGCAAGAGAAACAAGAAATCAACGAGTTCAAAGTTTCTGGGAAAATGCCAAAATTCCGTGTAAAATTTGGTATGGAATTCGAAGAACCGAATATTTCACACTTGATCAAAAGGTATTTTCTTCGTATTTCAATTTTTTTTAATGATTTTGTTTAGCTGATAGATTTGAGGCAATGGGCTCGAGAAAAATGTGCGTTTGCTGAGTATGAATATAATACAGGTATTTTATTTTCTTATTTATTCAAGCAAATTCTAAAAAAATTTCAGATAACTCGAAGTTTTCTCATTTTTTGCAAACGAATCTCACGGATTTCTTGATGAATTCAAGACCACAATTTTACGATTATATTTCATATGAAAATGTGATAGACGAAGACAATGGCAATTTATGGTATTATTTTAATCATCGAGATTGGGATAAATTGTTGTTTCCTCGAACTTTGGAACATGTTGCGATGTCTCAATTTATGATTGATGATGCTTTTGAAATGCATCCGAATTTGAAAGGAGACCTGAATTTTTTGCAAGAAGTTCTCTTATTGGCTTCAAGAAATGAGTTGCATAATTTAATTATTGATCAGAAAGCTGTTTTACATGAAGCCTATTTGGAAAGTCATAATAATATTGGAATGACTTCTGTGGAAAAGGAACTAATGGTGAAGAAATTCAAAACTGTGAAGAGTTTATTGAAAATTATTGAGGAATATGATATTGATTATGAAAGACCGTTTGGAGAATTAACGTGGGTTTCTTCTAAAAATAATTAATTTACTTGAACAAATCGATGTTTCAGTGATCAATTTATATCGGAATATATTAAAGTTATGAGAAGATTGATAAAAGCGTATCACAAAGATCGGACTGGAAAACAATTGAAGGATTTTTTCGAAGGCAAGAATATTTTCAAGATTTATCCCGATGTTGTTCGAACAAACGACTTTTCTGCATTCCGCAAGGAATTTTTTTCAATTTTATTGAAGGAACAAGGCGCATTTATTGAACCATTATATGCTATAACAAGAGTGAGTTTGAAATATTGAATTGAAGCTGAAAAATATATGAAAAATATTTCAGGATTATTACGAATATGTTCATTTGATAGAAACGAGTGGTTCTAGAATAATGTTGATCAAAATTGATTTCGCATTTGGTTTGTTCCATCAACTTTTAGCATATAATTCTGCCGAAGTTTGGGAGAGGTTTGTCCTTTATTTTTTATTTCATTTTTTCAAATCAGTATTTCATTTTCAGAGAAATTCGAGCGAAATTGAAGATACCGCAAGAAAAAGTACCCGAATATGACATGGATTTTCTGAAAGAACGGCGCCTTGTGAGTACTTTTTCTTTCTTCATGAAGTAACTATAAAAATATTGATTATTTGCAGACTTTTTTGCCCAAGGATAGTGAATTTTTTGTATCAATAAAATTAAAGCGAGCACTTGAAGTTTTGAGAAAAACGTGGACTGAATACGCAGTAAGATTTGATGAAATGGTACGTTTTTGAATAAAAAACTTTTTTCAAGGAAAAATATAATTTAAAAAATTATTTTCAGATTGAGGAAAATGAGTTTGATCCACATTTTCGATTTTACAAAACATTAACTGAAATTGCACAAGATTGGCTTGGTCTCAAAAAATCAGATAATTTTTAGTTGTTTTCTGTTGTATTTATTTTATCATGTGAATATATTGTTATCTTGCCATCTTGTAAAATATTGTATATAAAATTTGTTTTTTTTTAATCTAGATACTTGTTTACAAAAAGTCAAAATAGTCTTTTGCACGTTACCTTCTTATCAAAGTTTTCGATTCAAAATAATTCGTTTTTTTAGGTTGATGCTGTTTCAGTTGATTTTTCTTGTTTTAGCAACCACAAATATGGTGAAAGCTGAAGAGCAGAAAATAATTGTTGTTGGAGGTGGATTGGCTGGATTATCAGCGAGTTTGGAAATTATAAATGGCGGTGGAAGAGTTGTATTGATTGAAGGAGAAGCGAATACTGGGGGAAATTCGGCAAAGGTAAGAGGGGGAAGTATAGTTTTTCGATTTTCAAATTTTAAAAAATGACACAAAAAATAGCGATTTCCTTCAAATTGAAATTTCCTCGAAATTACAATTTCCGCGTATTTTTTAGGCGTCAAGTGGAATAAATGGTGCTGGGACTGCTACTCAATCAAATCTTGGACTCACCGATTCCCCCTCGAATTTAGTTTCTGATACCCTATCCGCTGGAGATAATGAGAATAACAAAAATCTTGTTGAGATTCTTGCCGCGAATTCAGCAGATGCCGTTGAGTTTCTGAGAAACGTGAGTGTCTTCTTCTCATTCACATACACAATTTATTTTCATTTTTATTTAGGTTGGTGTTGATTTGACTGATGTTAATTTATGCGGAGGTCATTCGGTTGCAAGAACACATTGGATTCCATCGCCAAAAGAAGGTCGACCAATTCCAGCTGGTTTTGAGATTATGAAACGGTTGAGAACGAAATTGGATAAAATCAAAGCGGAAGATGCTGAACTTTTTGAACTTTTGACTTCTACAAAAATGACGAAAATTATCAAAGAAGATGGAAAAGTGATTGGAATTGAAGTAGAAAATAATGAAGGAAGACAAATTATCCATGGAAATGTGGTTTTAGCAACTGGCGGATTCTCATCGGATAGATCGAAAGATGGATTGCTCATTGAATTTGGTGGAGAAAAATTAGAATTTCCATCAACAAATGGACAATTTGCAAGAGGAGATGGGGTTAAATTAGCCAGATCTATTGGAGCGAAATTAATTGGGATGAATCGAATTCAAATCCATCCAACAGCATTCGTTGATCCAAAAGATCCAAAAGCATCGACGAAATTCTTGGCAGCTGAAGCATTGCGTGGAAAAGGTGCTCTATTGATAAATGGAAATGGTGAAAGATTTGGAAACGAATTGGGAAGAAGAGATTATTTGACGGGAAAAATATTGGAAGAATCACAAGAAATTGGAGAACACTTTCAAAATGGAAGCGGAGGTCAAAAATCGGCAATTATGTTGATGAATGAGAAAAATGTTGAGGCGTTTGGAAGACCTGCATTCAATTTTTATGCTATTGTCAAGAAATTCTTTGGTGGGTTAGATTTTTGAGGGAATTTTCAAAAGAAAAATTGGGCTTGTAGAAAATGAGCACAATTATTTCGAAAAATAAATAAACACAGACGTTTCACGTTATTTTTTCAAAATTTAAAATTAGAACACGTGTTTTTCAGCACATTATTTTGATTCATTTCGAAAAAATGTAAATTTAGATAGGTCTGACTCCAAAATCGCAAAAATCAAGATTTTCCAGTGAAATACGAGAATTCTGATGAACTTGCCGATGCATTGAAAGTCGATAGAAAAACCGTCAAAGAAACCCTCGAAAACTACGTGCAAATCTTCAATGGCAAAAAAGAAGATCCATTTGGCAAACGAGTCTTCCCAGTCGCTTCAATTCTTCCAAACGAACCAATCTATGCTGCAATTGTCACGCCTGCAATTCATTATACAATGGGAGGTTTGGAAATTGATGGAAATGCTCAAGTGATTTCGGCACAAAATGAGAAACCGATTGAGGGATTGTATGCGGCTGGAGAAGTTAGTGGAGGAGTTCACGGATCGAATCGATTGGCTGGAAATTCATTGTTAGAATGTGTGGTTTTTGGAAGAATTGCTGGACAAAATGCATTGAAATATAATCAGAAAAGTGTCAGAGAAGAATTGTGATTTATTCATTTATGGTATATTTTTAGGCCTGCAAAATTTGTGATATTTTTATCTATTTATATTTATTTATATACTGGTCATACATGGGATAATAAATGGTGTATTTATAATTATCACCGGATCATTTTTTTGATAGGGGTTACTGTAACCCTTTTTATCTGAAAATGTTTTATGATCTACAAAGTTTTTGTCCAGATGATAAATGATGATGAAGATCAATGCGATGAGGTGAATAGTGCAACAATGAGAAAATTGGCATTTGAAAGAATTGATGATGATTATTATTTGGGATCTGGTGCGGTTGGAGATGATTTAGGCGATTCGGATGATGATTTGAGGTGAGACAAAATTGACTGGGAAAGTTCAAAAACTTTCAGGGGGTTTCGAGAGCAGACTGGCCTCGTTTTGAATTTTTTTTTAAATCAAGGGGCTCGGACTATTTTAGTAGGCTGGTTCGTTTCAGCTCGAGAATTCAAAATTCAAATTTTTCACAAACATTCAAAAATTAATCAAGAAAGTTTTTGAATAGAATTTAATTTTAAAAATGTATGTACTGGAGCAATACAATATCTAATCAACAGAGCCTTTTTTATTATTTCTGAAAATTTCTGAACGGCTTCATTTTTCGAAAGTATTTTTTTCAAATCCGTTTCAAATTTTTTGACTAGAAAAAATATCCATTTCAAAAACCATCAGACTAAAATCTTATCATAATCGTCCCCGTTTTTCCTTCTTCTTCTTCTTCTTCTTCATTTTTTTGACGTCTAGTCAAATCAAAGATACAAAAATCGCAACATTTTCTTTTCTTTATTAAATGAATGTTATCATAGGATTCATTCATTTATTTTTTCTCATCCTTAAACGTCACAAAAAATAAGGAACCTTTTCATTCTATTTATCTATCTGTTTTTCTTCTTCGCGCTTTACTGTGATAACACAACAATTATTATAAATAATATTAGGAGAAAAAGAGATATATTATCACAATGGAATGTGCGAAGCTATCATGAATGAAAAAGATAAAGAAAATTAGGGATTTTTGACGGAAATGAATGGAAAAAATAGGCGAAAAATTGATGGATGAAATCAAATAATCGATCATTTTTGGATTATGTTTTTATAAGAAAAAATAACAAGTTAGATTAGATGAAAGTGGAACAGAGAACACATGATTTAAAAATGGTTTTTGATCAACGGAAAAATTTTTCAGTTCGGATGATGAAGTGAAATCAACATTGCGAAAAATAGCTGGATATGATGAGAAAAAAGAGGTGACAAAAGATGCATTTGGGCGAAAAAGAAGAAAATCAGAATTTGAAGATGAAATGGATGATGAATTGGATCGAAGTATTACAGAATATGCAAATGAACATATGGGAGCTGGAAATTGTAAAATTGAGGAAATGAAAGAGGAAGAAGATGAATTGGAAAAGGAATTAATTCGACAAGCCAATAAGAAATGGCTTGATGATAATGAGGAGATTGAGAGAAGAATGAGTGCGCTTGAAATGTTACCGTATGATGTTGATTTAACTGATAGTGAAGTTGATCCGGAAATGCCAGCGGCGGTTGTGAAAGATAAAACGGGACAAGCGATTAAATTGGTTTATAGTTGTAAGAGAGGACACAAGTTCAATGTTGTAAGTTTTCACCCAAAAATAATTTTTTGTTGAAATCTAATCAGAATTTCATATTTTAAAAGTCAAAATTGTGCTCTTTATTTTTCCGAATTTCGAAATTGAAAAAGAATTATGAATATTCACATGACTTTCTTGAAATTCAGGCACGAGAAAATCGCCTGACAATTTTCGGATATAGGCTTATTTAGGCTCAATTTTGAATGACTGAATTCAAAAATTATATTCATCGCGTGACCTTATTTTGCAATTTTGTTCAATTTTTATTTTGAATTCAGTTATTCAAAAATTTCGCATTTTTTTTCAGGATGATCGCCGTAATCGTCAAAAAGAACGTCGTCGTCGTGTTGCTGAATCCAGTCGACCGAAAAAAGAAAAACAAGCTGAAGTCGCCAAAAATATTCTGGAATGTTTCAAGGCAAATGAACAACCGAATACTTCAAGTTCTCAAACTCCAAAAACATTTGAACCTGCTGCTAAAACGAAAACACCGCTGGCATCAATTTTGAAGAAAAACAAGCGGAAAAGTTCAGAATCTTTGAAAAAGGAGGAAAAAGAAGAGAAAATGGAAGAAGGAGAGGAACATCAAGAAAAGGAAGAGGAGGAAGAGACAAATCCGATCAAAAAAGCTGCGAAAGAAAGAGAAAAAGAGATTGCTCAGGTTAGCACTGTGTTGTGAATTTTTTTTAAAAATGAGATTTTTCAGAACGATGAATTGTTTTATGACGATGAAGAAGATGATGAAAATGAAAAATGGGTGAAAGAAAAAAGGAAGGAAATGAGAGGATCTGATGGACCAGCAATGAACGAAGCTGATGGAGTTTTATCTTGTCCTGGATGTATGGTTGAATTGACGAGAGATTGTCAGAGACATGAGGTTTATAAAACTCAATATAGGTTTGTATTGAGGGGTTGTAGAATAGGGTCCCATCATATACAACCAAATTTGATGATTTTTTTTGTTCACGGCGAAATTCGCGCTGAAAATTCCTGAAAATGAAGAATTCCATGATTTTCGATTTTCAGCAGAAAATTCTGATCTAAAAAATTCCTGTGTATTTTACGTTTCAAGATTTCATTAATTTTTTTTGGTTCTAAAAAATTTAGTTCTTTTTTTTTTAAATTTTATATTGTTCGAGACTCAAATTTTGCGCTGGAAGTCTAGGAAGTTGCTTACAATTAGAATTAATGAAATTTAGAATTATTAGAATTAATGAAAATAAAAAATTCCATGATTTTCAGCACAAAATTTCAGCCTAGAAATGTGTGTCTGAAATTTGAAAAAGGAGGTTTTGTGCCAATTTTTGACATTCGAATGCTAAAAATAAAAACAAATGTAAATTTGAGTTTGAAATCTGAAAATGTATTGTCTGAGGAACCAAGATCTTGGCTTGTCCAATTTTGATATTCATTGTGACCCCATTCTATAATTTACCCATCAATTAGTTGAGCTTAAGCCTATTCCACAGTTCCAATTTCCATTTTTTCCAGAGCCATGTTCGTCTCAAATTGCCAAATTGATGATCAAAAAATGATGGTTGAAAAAAGTGGGAAGGATAAACGACGTGATAAACAAAAAGCAAAAAAGATGAAGGTATATTGTTTTATTATCACTGTTCCACGAAGCCAATAAATCAAAAACTTTGGTTATATATCATTCGCGAAATAACCAAAAAAAAATAAACTAGAAGAGATTTGTTGATCTGATCTGTAGAAATGGGGTTATTGTTGGAACATTTTACTGTGAGACCGAAATTGAATGAAAAAATGTTTTGGGAAGTTTTTTTTCAAGCTTCCGAAAAAAATTATATTTTTTTCAAAAAATAATCTAAGGTTTTAAAGTGAGTTAGAGCTTGTATTTAAAATAGCCAATTAAATTTCACTATGACAAGGAGCCACGGCTTGAAAGTCTAGTTGTCAAGAACGCGTGTCAGGAAATCAGTTTTTCTTGTATCTACTCTCACAAAAAGTTATTCCACTTGTGACATTAGAAATTATTCAGTCGTTCCATTTTTAATAAAATCATCAAACCATTTTCTCAAACCAATTATTCTCCCTAAATCAAATTAGAGTAATTGACCATTTTCAAAAATCATTGACTTTTACCTCTGCAAACAAAACCTTGGAAATGACCGCCAATAATAAATCTTCATCGTTCTTGCATTTTTCAAAAGAAAAGACACAAATCGGGTGGTTCATCTTCTCACCTGTTTCCGTTTTTTCAGGAGGACAAAGCAGATGGTTCATCCTCATCCTCCACTCCATTTGAAATCTCCGATCGAGATTTATTTCAACCTGTGAAATGCGCGGTTTGTGGAACATTGGTTGCTATGATGGATCATGATGAAGTTTATCACTTTTTTAATGTTCTTTCTGGTTATTCTTAAAAGATTCGCATTATTGTTTTGTTTATTTTCCTCATTTCACACAGGCAGGTTTTTATTTTATATATATTTGATTCCTTTTTCTCACTGTTGAATTTATATATTGAATGAAATAATCTGACATTGACCCAAAAAATCTACTGATGTGAAGAAAATACCATTTATCATTATAACAAGTTATATATTAAATAGTTTCCCATGTAATAATAATAATCACATATTTATTATATCTTTGGTCTTTTTTCGAACAAATGATAAAAAAACGGAAATCGCCCCCTTTGTCCTTCAAAGAAAAATACTCATCTTTGCAGAGAATTTTCCCACTCTTTTTTTCATTTTCCATTCCAATTTCCCTGAATTGGTTCCAGTGGATATTTGCCCAACCCAACCCTTCTCGATTCTAAGAACATCACTTTTTTTTTTTTTGGTTTTGAAAGAATCTGCTGTGTACAGTAAAAAAAAGTTCCGATTATCGTCAAGACGAACGGAAGTTCCCCCTCCAAAAAAAAGCGAAGAGATAACAACATATTTTTGGTGTGTTTGAGTAGATTAAGACAAGAAAATCGTGTAGTTTGATGAGAACATGACTGACATGAAAAGAACATGACGATTATTACAATCGCAACATTTTTTGCTGTGGGTTTTGGCGCGGTTTTGATGATCGAAAATCTGAAACAGTCTGATGGAACTTTTTTCTGAATAAAAGTACTCGAAAGTTTAAGTGTTTATTAATGACATCATTATAAGATTAGTCATCTCAGAAATATCTTCATAGAAAACAGAAAAATTTCAAAATGTTAACTTTTTTGCTTAATTTGATACACAAGTTTCATAAAAAATTCTAACGCTTTTTAGTTTCCGGAATATCATATTTTGAATGATCTAAAGTTTTTGAGTAGCTTTAGATTACTGTAGCTAATTTTCGTGTTTGGGAAAATATTACAATTTTTGATCAGCTCTAGATGTACTGTACTTGAATTTGAGTTCCAGAATACTGTAGCGGATTTTAGCCGTGGGGCACACATTTAAGTTTTGAAAGAACACGGAAGTTTTTTGATTTACAGTTTTTGTTAGCTCTACTGTGACTGAATCTTCAAAATTCTGGCGGTTAGATTCTGAAACTGAAATATCCTGGTCCAAAAGTAATTTCTGAAAAGATGTCGGAGATTCTGCACAAGTGAAAATGTTTTTTTTTCTCTACAGCTAAATCATGTAATTTTAAAAATCCCATTCTCTCTTTTTCATTTTCAATATTTTCTGTCTCCAATCATACCTGCTGATATAACTTTATTCAGCCTTGTAGTCGTTTTTGGTTGCAATTAAAAGTGCACTATGACCAAAGGTCGAAAAAAGAAATCATAAAAACGGAGAACATTTCGGGTTGTAGACTGCGTGAGGAAAACTAGGGTTATTTAATCAAGTGGTCGTATTTTGTGTGATGGTTTTCCTAACTTAAGTATTTCCTCTTGTACTTCGATTGAAAACGTGTGGGCTTCGTGGAGAATTGTCTAGTGTATTAAAACAGTATCGGAAGAAACATCTACAATAAATATCGCATGTGACTATTCAATTTAGAAGACGGAAATTGGATTAGTTTGTTTAATATAATATGATGAAGTTGTCCTATTATCCATCAGAAGATGGTCGATTAGATTAAGCAACATCTGTACCTAGAAACAACTTTTTTGTATCATTTTTCTTTTCTCAAATCTCGATGATTCATAGTTATAAATTTTCTGGAAACATCCATTGAGGCGATGACAAATGAAAACGGAAAAATCGTCATTTTGTCGTCCTTGAAATTAAGTTGTGGTCAAGTTGAGAAGAAAATGAGAAGAAGAAAGACGAATTGGATTAACTGTTGAATCAGCAAATCAAAACATTGAGAAATAGGAGAAGAAGAAGAAGAACGAAAATGATAACGTTTCCGTTCGCTATTTAAAAGTGCAAATTAATTTCGTGTTGGAGTGTGATATGCGCTCCGTTGACAGAACAATCTACAGTAACTCGATTTGAAAACAAATTTTGTAGAATTGGAAGAATACTTGAAGTTCCTGCCTCCTCGTTTCCAGAAATCTTGCCTTTTTCAATGGAAACTTGAGACAAATATTTTTGATCTACCGAAAAATTCTAGGCCAAATAAGAGAAGCCGATAACTCAAATCCTACGTCACTTTTTTTTGTAGTACGGTAATCTTCTGTGTCGTTTCGAGACCCGAAGTTGAAGACGCGGGTCATTGGCTGCAGAAAACACAAAATCTGGAAAAGAAAAACAATTACAGTAGTCTTCGCAGTACTCTCTCAAAAAATACAGTAACCCCCCCCCCTTTTTCGAAAAAACTCAAGAATGTTGAACATCAATAAACATGTAGATACACTTGAAATTCTTCAAATATCCATCCTTCCGGTGAACATAAAAGGCGGTGTGTTCAAAAGGATATCGGATTGATATCAGAGGCTTGACGAAGGAGAATTCAAGGAATTCTCGTAAATCAACACAAAACGATGCGCGAATGCGTGGGTGGCTAGTCGTTAACCGTCTTTTTTTATTCCTCTATGTATTTTTTTTGCATAGCGGCGCATAAGAAAATGGCGAAATTTTCGTGGGGGCGGCGGCCGAAGGAGGAAAGGAACGAACGGTCGAAGTATAAAAGAGATTGGCCAGGTTGTACTTTTTGATTAAGTTGTTCTCGCTTATCACTTTTTTTGAAGTTCTTTGGGAGTTTTTTTTGGGACAGGGGGATTCAGAGGGCTTTGTTTTTTGTTATCTTGTTTTAGATCGGAATGTGGTTAGTTATTCAGTTCTCACATATGTTTTTGAAAAAAATTAGGATTCTGATTTGAATCTACTAATTTGTAAAACTCGGCGATAATTATCTCTCAAAGTTTTTTTGCAAACCACAAACCGAATGGGAGGAGTTTTGGCTCGATGATCATATGGTTTTAGTTGTTTCCGGCGCCGCCCATTTCTTGTCGCCAGAATGTCTGGAGACAAATTGGGGGGCGGGGCGGGTTTTTCGGTCGTACGAGCTGCTTCATTTATTGATCCGTAGACGCGCGCGCAGATCGACCGAACCGCCCCAAACTCTTCTTATCTTCTCCTTCTTCTTCTTCATTTCTTCGCTGCGCTTCGAACATACAAAACGAAACACAAAAAAAATAATAGGAGGATAGCGCGCGCGCCCCGCGCCCCCCGCAAAAATTTGATACAAAGTTTTCTTATCACCCACCACTCGATTCTCATTCATCCGATCTTTCCTTTTGTATTTTTCGCGTTTTTGTTGCTTTTGTGATTTTTTTCTCGAATTTCAGGGTTACACTATTTGTATGGCAAAATGCACAATTTTGACCTGTTCACTTTTATTTTGGCGACGGCTGCGACCGGTTTGACAACTGCTTTCAATGTTCCACACGGCGCGTTGACAGGTAAGGTTTCCTTCTGGCTTAGGCCTAAGTCTAGTCTAGGCTTAAGGTGACAGGTTCAGTTCCCGAAGCCTGTGTGCATAGCACTACCTTTCAGAAAAATCTGAAAATCTAAATGAACATTTTAAAGGGCAAGCAGTAACATCACATTCTGGTCCGAATACAGTATCTTCTGAACTTCTGTCCTCCCCCTCTTCCCATAAACGAGAAAAACGTGGCTATTGGTTTCCACAACATTATCAAGGTGATAACAATCTGTTAGTCAGTTCCGAACCACCAAATGAATATCTCAAAAAATGGATTGTTCACGAGCACAATCGATTTCGTCGAATGGTTCCAGCCTCAGATATGAATATGTTATATTGGTCGGATGAATTGGCAGCATCTGCACAAAGACACGCGGATACTTGTGATTTCCGGCATTCGAGGGGCAGAAATAATGTGGGAGAGAATATCTGGGCTGCTCCGTATAGCAATTATTCAGATTCGATTTCGATTTGGTTCAATGAGGTAAGCACAGCCCTTATGAGTGAAAATAATTTTTCAATTTCTCTTTTTTTCTAGGTTCATAATCCACGTTGTGGCTGCAATCATGCTTACAAACACTGTTGTGGTCATTATGTGCAAGTAGTTTGGGCGAAAACAAATTTGGTTGGCTGCGGTTTTTCGCGTTGTCGAGATGTTCAAGGTGTTTGGGGAAGAGGACATCGAAATGTATTCGTTTGTCATTACAATCCACAAGGAAATACGGTATTCGTGACTGCAAAAGGACAGCTTTACGCGGTTCGTCTTCCTCTATCCCAGAAGATACTCTCTTTTTTCTCTTGGTGAAGGCTTTATGTTAACAATTATTAGAAACGCTTTGCTAATTAACCAAAAACAGTGTGCCTAACAATTTCATTGAGAAAAAGAGAATTGTATCTTTGGAGTTACCTAAAGTAATCTCGTTTACCTTGTTTCACTTGCAGATGCCAGCATTCACATGGGCAACTGATGGTCAATCCAGATGTTCGAATTGTCCAGCATCAGCGCCAGCTTGTTATCAAGGACTTTGTTATATGCCAAAAAATTATCAAGAGCATACAACTACAACTACAACAACTGAACCACCTCCACCTTCATCGGAAAGTGTTGAATTCGAAAATGCTGATGATACAGAAGCATCAGCGTCGGAGTTTGAGGAACAACGATTCTGGAAATTCTGAAATGTATAGATAGATGATATAAGACGGGTTTAAATTGATTATTTTATTGACTTTTTTCTGGAATATGTATTTATGCAACGAAAATAAATTATATTTATCGAAATGAAACACCGTGATGTTAAAGGTCAAAAAAGCAAAGGTGCTTTGTTGAACAAATTTTTAAATTCTGAATTTCGTGTCCGAAAATTCCAAAAGTTTTAGAAACCGTATGAAGCTTTTCTAAATAGCTCATTGTCAGAAATTTATATTTAAAGAAACGCAGAAATGATTTTCTAGCGAGAAAAAATAAGTTCTTCACTACACGTGACATTTTTAAAATTCTGAAAAAATGATCATTTGCATTTTTCGAAAATATGGGATGTTGTGAATCGAAACCACAGGTTGTTTTTGTTGAATTTCAGATCTTCTTTTTCAAAAAAAAATTATTTTTCAGCGAGATGATAATAGAAGACAATATTCTTCACCTTCACCAGAAAGAAGACAACGACAACCGCAACCAAAACATCAATCACATCCGCCTCAACAAGGCCCGCCAGGCCCGCCAGGTCCTCCAGGGCCACCGGGACCTCCTCAACAACAACACGCACCGCCGCCTCCCCAATATGTTCAAGGCCCGCCAGGTCCACCAGGCCCACCAGGTCCACCCGGGCCTCCTCAACATCAACAACACGCACCCCCACCTCAATATGTAGCTGCACCTCCACCTCAACAAATTCATTATTATCCGCCACCTCCGCCACCAGTTGTTATGGCTCCTGTGGCCCCAGTTGTTGTTGCTCCAGCACCAATGTACTGTGGCGGTCCAATGATGTATGATCCGTTTTATTGTGATCCATTTTGTGGTCCCGTTATTATGTTTTGAATAAATCGTTTTTTCTCGCTTCACCGTTCAAAAACCTATGAAAATGTCAAATTTTGCTCGAACAGAAGTCACCTTTTCGACAACAGCTGTTGTCTCTCAACTTTTCAAGTTTTTCTCTATTTCTCATCATTTTCTCTAGATTTTACACAATATTTCGAGATTGATCCGATTGGTCAGTTTTTGTCAAAGCTCATTTTCATTTTGCAAATATTTTAGATACCTGCCAGGTGACTATTGTTTTGATATTATTTCCATTATCTTTATTAGTTTTGGGCTGCGAAGAGTACTGTAGATTTGGGCAGAACTTTAAAAAAGTTCACGATTTTTAGAAATGAAAAAAAAACTTTTTCGTTATCTCTTGCCTCTTTCAAAAAAAAAATGAAATCGATATTTCCGGCTTAAAACAAACGATTTTTCAAAAAAAAACTGTTGTAACATTTCCGATCCAATTTGTTTCGAAATCTGAAACCGCAGAGAAAATAAAACGTCGGAAATTAATTTCTAGAATTTTTTTTTAATTGAATCGATATATCTAGGTCACGTTTAAAAACAGATTTCTGAAATTTCACAATATTTTTGAAACATTTTTTTCGAAATCTGAACCTCAGAAAAACGAAGTGATGGAAATTTCTAGAATTTTTTTTCACTAGAAAGTTCCGTTCACAAATATGTTTTTATTTTTGAGAAAACATTTCCAAATTTTTTCGACCATAAGAAGACAAGTTTAGGAATTTCTAGATATTCTCCAAATCGAACTGCAAATTTTTTTCGCGCTGCAGTACCAGTCAAAAATGAATTCATTTTCCATTTGTTAAAAATTTTTTCTTACGGTTTCGCTACTTGAATTATGTATTTTTGATCTACTTTTGCTCGGCCAAAAAAGTGAAAAAAAAAATGGAAAATGAATATTTTTGACTGGTATTGCAGCGCGAAAAAGTTTTGCAGTTTTTTTTTCTGTTTTTTTTCTCTGTTTCTCTTCAGATTTACAATTTTCCTTGAATGTTTTCTTCCTAGGTGTGAATTCTGCCTACCAAAATTTCTGAATTTTTGGATTTTCTTGGATCCAGATATTCTATTTTTTATTGATCCCCCTTTCTCCCATCCAAAGAATTTCCCACTCCCACAAAAAACTTCCAAGTGATCAGTGTTTTTGTAGCTCAATTGATCAGATCACTTCTCACATGTTTGTTTTTTATGTTAGCTGGCAACAAATCCAACTACTATACTATGTTATTATCTTCTTCTTCCTCTTGTATTATTTTAGTAGTTGTTGTTATTTTGTGTCATCTGTTGTCGTCGTTCAAAAAGTGTGTAATATAAGATAAGTAGAAGATACTCAACCAACTTGCTCTTTTTTCTATTATTCCGTTTTTTTGTTGTATTCTACTCTAGACCTTGTAACAATAAATAAATGATGACATTTTTTCGAATGCTGAATCCGAATGATGCGGACGATTCGGATAGTTCGACAGAAGATGAATCATCTATTAAAATTATTGTGCCAAGACCAAAAAGATCAGCAACAGCATCGCCAAGTACAAGAAATTCGATGACAATTGGAATGAGAAGAAGGAGCGATGCTAATTTGAACTTTTTTAATGAAAGAGAACGACAAAGAGAGAGACGAAGGAGTATGGTAAGTTGAAGACTCATAGATTAGCCATGAGTTGGAAACCCAGACATCTTAGAAGTGCTCTAAATTCCAAGAATTTTATAAGATCCAAGATTCCGTGGCTAATCTCTGACAACAAAAAATAAAATTCCAGATGTTTCAGTTTCATTATTTATAAATTGTTTTCAGGTTCGAGCCAGCCGTGAGAGATCAGAATCTCGAAGAATGTCTCAGCAAAATCTGAGAAAAACTAATTCTGAACCGAATGTTGATATGGTGAGTTTCATTTCAAATCTGAATTACCACAAAGATTTTTTAGATTGATGTTGAAAAACTGCATAAACTTCTTCTCGCGTTGCCAAAATTTGCTTCGTCGCGAGCACATTTGGTGAGTTATCCTAACTTTAGAAAACTTATCATAAATGAAAAATATATATTTTTTAGCAACGCCACGATTCAGATTCTGGTAGTGAAATGACGACAGAAATTGAAGAATTGAAAGATGCTGCAAAAAGTATTCAATCCCTCCAACGAGTTCTCGCATATCCATCACAACATTCATCAGATCGTGGTGTTTATTCGGATGTTGAAAGTCTTGCAACAACAGATACAGCAACAACCGATGGAGGAAGACGTCGATCAGGAATATCGACTCGATTAGGACATCCACGTGGAGTTATGCAATTTATGCGACCAGATCAAGCTGAACTTCGAAAAACAAGTGTGCCAGATGGGCTTATGAATGGGAATGTTAGTGGAAGTAGTGGAGGAGCAGAAGATTCGGTATTTTCAAGAGCACGTCGACGTGGAATTGTTGATGAAATGTTTACGTCAACTTCGGCTAACTCTTTGATGGTTGACAGACCTTCCGAAACATTGGCAGGAGTTAGCAGATTCTCGAAATTATTGGATAGTTTTCGAAGTCGACCAACATCTCCAGAACAACCATCCGTCTCATGGTTAGTACTTTTTTTTCGAATTTATGAATTCTAGAGTGGAGTTCTAAATAGATGAACTTAAACTAGGGTCATCCATAAGATCATTAGTGTTATTCTTAGTCTTCGAAGAATTTTTCATGAAAATCGGAATTAAGAAAGAATTTATGTACTTGTGAGTTACAGGAATCCCTATGTGTATTCGGATGGCGGAGAAGCTTTGGAAACTTGTGGAATGGAAGATTCACTTCACGAAGCCGATGTTTTATTATGGAAAAAGCGAAGTAGAGCGAGTTTGCGAAGGCATTATAGTGTTCGACAACTTGCTGCCAGAGAACTTATGGACACTGAAAAATCATTTGTTGAAGGACTAGAATTTCTGGTTACGGTAAGAGAGAAAGATAATACTATTTTTCAATTTCACAACCAATTCAGAAATATATGCGACCACTTCGTCAACCTCTTGAATGCACATTGATTGAAGCGAGTCTAGTTGACAAGATATTTTATCGAGTTCCCGAAATTCTTGCGCATCACCAGGTTCTTCTTGCTGCTCTCACACAACGATTAGAACATTGGCATAAGGATACAATTATTGGAGATGTTTTATTGGCACATTTTTCGAAACAATCAATGATTGAAACTTTTATTGGATTTGTTGATAATTTTAAGTTTGCGAAATCTGCAATTGCTCAGGCTAGGCAAAAACATGCGTTTGAAAAATATTATAATGTAAGTTAAATATTGAATATACATATTTTGAAAAAAAAAATCATATTTTTTATAGCGATGTTGTCGAGATCATTCGAATAAATTAGATCTTGATGCATTATTAATTTCACCAATTCAAAGAGTTCCAAGATATGAATTAATTGTGAAGCAGATGTTGAAACATACTCCAGTTGAACACGAAGATCGAGAAAGACTTTTGCGAGCTCAGCGACATATTCATTGTTTGGCAGTTGCTATAAATCAACATAAAGAAGGAAGTGAGCAAATGGAACAAAGATTGAGAGAAATTGAAGCAATTGTTGATGGATTAGATGATGTTAGTTAGGCTAAGTTTTGATCTATCTATAATTAATTCATTTTCCAGTTGGTTTCGACTGATCGAACACTTCTTCGTCATGATATTATAAATATTCAAGGAACTGATCGAGAAAGATGTATATTTATGTTATCTGATATGCTTTTAGTTACAAGTGTTCGAAAAACTCAAAAATCAGCTCAAACTTCAAAATTATCTTCACACCCGATGGATTTCCTTGAGAATAATCGATTCAAACTTCTCTATAAAATTGCGCTCGATGATGTTCAGATTGCAAAAGACACTTTATCACAGTTGGAACAAGTTGAACAAAATCTAGAAGCTTCGCGAGAAGACGACAGGGTTCTCAAGAAAATGACACAATTATCAAGTTTATTGAAATGTGACAAAAAGGTGAGCTGCTTTCTAATTATTCTTATAATTTTATACAAAAATCAATTATATTTCACTAATTGAACAAAAACCATTTGGTGAAATTCCGCTAACTGTCAAATTGAAGTTTGAACCACAACAATTGACAGCTCCAACATTATTTCCACTGAATTCTAAACCATTTCCACTGAAATATTGAATATAACATGGGGCTGCCATTTTTTCATCGAATAATTTGATGAGTGATGTGATTGTGGCTAGAATTCCTCCAATTATTCCGAAAGCAAGAACAATTCCATTTATGAATAGAATATATTTTGGAGTTTTTTTGATGATTTCTTCGATCGTTGGTCGTTTTTCGAAATTATCGATTTCTTGAGTTCGAAGTGATAAATAAAAAATTGGTGGGAACACCAAAGTCATCATTACGAAAAGTGAAGCACCAAACTGGAATTTAGAAGGAATTTTATAAGTTTATCTTGAATTTTAGATTTCAGTTAACTTACCAAATCTAGAAGTGGTCCAAAATGTGGAATTGATAATGCAATAAACAAAACGAACCAATATATAAGTGTTCTCACAACAAATCGTTTTACTCCGAAATCTATAAGCTCTCTCTATTTTCCGCTTGATCTTACAATCAGTGTCTCCCTTACCATGTGGAAGTTTTAGCCATTGTTCAACTTGTTGAATTGGAGGAGATAAAACAATAACAATTGTAGTTATGACATGAATTGCGATCATCAAATTCACAATTTGTTGAATCCACATAATTTGAATTGATGGAATGACTGCTTCGCCTACAGTACTACCGTATGTGAAATATCCACCAAGTGCAATTGTTAAGTAGTATATCGTGCAGACTGTAAAGAATTGGGATAATATAAGGCTTTGGGAAATTGAGATTTCCAGTACAGTATTTCTTTAAGAATACTGTGTCAAATCTGATTTCTTTTGGAAGTTTGAGAAAAAAAAACAATTTCAGATTCCAAAAAAAAGGTTCACAATTTTTAATAACACAGGTGAACTTGGAATCTGGAAAACAGAGTTACAGTATTTTGAAGAACTTGGGAACTTTGACACGTCATAAGACTATGAACATTGAAAGTTTGTGCCACAGCATATTTTCCGTTAAAATTTGAGCCAACCTTTCAAAATGTTTTGCGATCTTCCCATTTTTTTGAACTTACGAAAAACAGCGAGGAAAATTGAGTAGATAAAATGAGCGGGTTTTTTCATATCATGTTGAATAGTTGGAAGTGTTGCGTGTCCACCAAATGCAAAAACAAAAGTGCCAAAAGACATTGTCGCTTTCGCAAGATCAATTGGATTGTGTGGAACATCAGTAGAACAAGTCGGAAAATCGTGAATCATTCCGATTGCAACCAAAATCACAGCAATCGTACTTGAACCAGCAGAAAATAGGGCAACTTGCCAAAAGTGCATCGGACTTTTCAGCATTGTCAAGGGCCACACAAAAATACCAACAATTAGGATGAGATAACATTGATTGATGTCGATTGAGAAGAAGAAATGGAGAAGGAGGGAGAGGTTTTTGGCGGCGAGTAGAATTAGGACTGTTGCGAATCCGATTTGAGCAAGGCAGAGAATTGTGGCGATGAGTGAACGAGATTTTGGACCGATTGCACGATATGCAATCTCTGCATAAGGTTGACGACAACTAGAAAATTGCAAATTTAAGATTTTCTTTTTTTTCTAGTAAGAATTGGTCTGAGCTTATTTCATATGAAAAAAATCGGGCTCGAAAAATTGTCCAATTTTTTCAAAAAAGTCCATTTTTTCGGGCCCAGACAATTTTTAAAAACTGGTTCGGTTCTGATTTTTTTTCTCAAAAATCTTACTGTTCTCTATATTCTTCCCATTGATTATGCATTATTTTCCAAGTCCAACTCAATTCTAAAGCCGTATACAACGAGAACAATGCGCATAACATGAGCAATATAATTCCCCCAACTAATCCAGTTGATGTAACTGCATATGGCAATGCAATCATTCCACCGCCAGCAGTTTCGCCGACAATAAACACAGCTCCCATCAACCAACTGAAACCTTTCTCATTTATCTGTGATCCGAGGCGTTTCTAAAACCATAAACTTATTTTGGGAATATTTTTTATTTGAATAACTTACCGCCTCGGAATCGCTGATTTTCATGGTTTTCATTACTGCAAAAATGTGAGAAAATTTGATCAAATTTATAATTTTTTACACAAAAGAAAGAAAAAAAGTGAAATATCAATTTTGAATGAATGATACAATACAAAAAAAAGTGACAAAAAAGTTGAGAGAACATATCGATTTTGTGATTTAAAAATGAGAAGGATGGAAAAAAAACGAACCCGATTAACATAATTTTTGATCAATTTCAGATACTTTCCGAACTGTTGGACACAATGGAAACTGGAAATTCGATGAGAATTCGAGAATTGACTGAGAAAATGAGTTCGGATCCAGATTTGAGTACTGTGAATCTGGATGTATTGACGTGTCTTGGATATGAACCAGTTGTGTTAGAATTTCCAAATGCAGAAAAACGAAGTGTTTGGGAAGCGACATTGAAAGATGCGAAGATCAATCTTATCAAACATCAAACAACATCGCCAATTCTGCAAAATCCAAAATTCAATAATCAAGCAGCTCGACCTGGTTTACAATTATGCACAGCGACATTGGTTCCAGGGAAAAGAGCTGATAGTTTTCCATTAGTTTGGGTTTGTGCAAGTGACAAATTCAGTGGACAAGTTTCGGTTTTGAATATTGAAGGAGGAGAGGTTGTTGTGGAAAGTTTTTCTGCGATTGGAAATGCAGCGATTACAGCAATGTGTACAGTTCCACCAACACAGTAAGTCAGAAATATTTATTCATTGGGTGAATAGTAGACCTGATCCAACCTCAAATTTTTCCCCTATCAATAAAACATTTTTTCAGAAAATTCCGGAAACGAAAATTGAAATCTCAACGATCTTGCGAAAAAGAAAGAATAATTGATATGCGATCAAGTGGAAGTGAATATGATTCTTCTTCTGATGAACAATCATCTTCTGGTGGACAAACTACTGTTTGGATTGGAAATGATGATGGAGAGTTAGTAATTTATTTTTTTTTTTGAAAAACTTCATCATTTTTTTTTCTTGCAGAGTATTCGTCGTGAATTCAACAGAACGAATTCGAAGTCGAGCACGTGAAAGACTTGCTCGTCTTCGAAATAGTGTGACTTCAATATGTGCAGCCAATGGGAATGTTTATGTTGCCACTTATTATTCAACACAAATACAATTATTGATGTTTAAAACATTGGCTGATGGAACTTGGGATTTGGAAAATCCGATAAGTATTTCACATTGTTGCACACAACCGATTTCGGCTATGATAGATGTTGGAAAAAGAATTGTGTTAGCAAGTGGAAATGCGCTATATGGATTGTATACTGATTTAACTGGGTGGCAGGTAATATTTTGGAGTGGGGTTTTTTTCTGAAAAATTTTGAGAGTCAGATTTTAAATTTTGAAACAAAACAAGGTTTTTTTTTTGCTTTAAAAAACTCTTTGAACAATTTTAACAAATCTCTGAAAGCCTAAACGAGATTTTGGGAAGCTAGAAAAAAAATTCTTAAAGAACAGAAAAATACGGAAATGCAATATTGAAACAATTGTTGAATAAATATTGAGTCAACAAAAAACATAAGAGCAAAAAACAAAAAAAACATTTTCAATTGTTATGTTTTTCCAGAAATCCTCGGAAATCATCCCATTGACTGATTCGATTTGTGTGTTAACACTTGCTGGAGGACAATTATATTTGGCGAGTAAAAAATCAACAATAATTCATGTTGTTGACGTATTTACTCTTCGATCTACAAATCATTTCAATATCGCTCCATTTGTTCGATCACAATTAGCTGGAAAAGAAGACATTTTGCGAGAACATAAAATGGGATGCCTTCGAATAACAACATTAACAATTGCAAGATCTCATTTATGGATTGGAACATCGGCGGGATATATTTTGAGTACTTCATTAAATGCTGCGAAAACACAGCCGTCGCCTGATTTGAATGTTTGTGAAGCTGCACATTGTGGACCGTGTCGAATTGTTATTCCAATTACATCAAATAGTCATAATACATTGAAAAAACAGAAAATGAGCACAATGACGACACCTTCACATCAAAATTCAAATGTACGTTTTCTTTTACAAGGGAACCTTTTTTACTCAACACTTCAAACCTTGATGAAATTTTGTCCAGAGACAGCTTTTGGGGTCGTAAGAACACCCTAAAAATTTTAGTCTCCCAATGGACCTCTGAGCCAAGTTCTGGGCTCTCAAAAACCCAAAAAAGGCCTAAAAATGGTCATAAAAGTCACCATAGCTCCATTTCAAAAATTTTTTTGGGAAAAATAAAGTTTCAGATATTGATCAGCATAGTCGATTACATAAAAGTACATTAATAAAAAACTTTATTTCGAAAAATTTTGAAGATTCTTATTCTTGGGCTGAAAATTCATGAAAATTCATAAGTGCCCCTGCTCATTCTTTTTTCCAAAATCAAAAATTTTTCTGAAAATTTGATTTATTGATGGTTTTTGGGTAAATCGACCACGCTGATCATCATCTGCTATTCAGTTTTTCATAAAATTGATCGAAAGTTGAGTTATGACGTGTTTTATGAGCCAATTTTGGCAATTTTCGAACTTTTGAGAGCCCAGAACTTGGCTCAGAGGTCCATTGGGAGACTAAAATTTTTAGGGTGTTCTTATGGTCCCAAAAGCTGTCCATGGACCAAATTTCATCATGATTTGAAGTGTTGAGTAAAAAAGGTTCCCTTGTTAGTGGGGTTGACATTATTTAAAGCAAATTGTCATTTTCCCCACAAAAAATTAAAAAGAAAAAGAAAACAACGACACTCCGCGTTGACGATAGCGCGCGTGGTTTGAATTTATATTTCTTTCATTTTTTTCAGTTGCTCATATTATCATGTGGAGAAGGAAATGAAGAACGTAAACCAAGTCAGGATAATGATGTTAGTGATTCGCTGAATACATTCATATTATGGAAATGTACCTAGCTTATTTTTATGGGTTTGAAACTTTATTAACTTCGTATTTTAATAAATATATAAATAAATAATTGAATATGAATGATTAGAAAGTTTTTGAACTATTTTAGAAGAAAGACTTATTCTGATTGATAATTTTTAAAGCATATGCGATTATGGGATAGAATAATTGAATTGAATTGAATTAACTTATATTTACAGGAGAATCGCAGGGATCGGCTGATTCGCAAGAGTCACAATCCTGAAATGTGTATTGTTTAGTTTAGAAAATTGGACAGTTTCGGTTGATTGTTAGGAAAAACTTACACTTGTTCCATCTCCATTGGGAATTTGCATGAAGCGATAAACAAGACGTTGGCCATCAACTTTTTGTAAAATTCCACGCTGATAATAATATCTGAAAATTTAAAATTTAACATGAGGAGGGAGAATTTTCAGATACTAATTTCAAGGGTAGTATTTCTGCTACAATTTTTTGAATTTCAAAGTCGAAAAATGTTTTTTTAATTCAAGAAGCACCTGAGAGTTATCACAAGTTCCCCAGTACACCTACTAAATTTGACTTTTAATCTCGAAATTACCTTAACGCTCTTCCCATAGTTTCATAATTCATTCCCGGTTTATTTTTATGCATTCCCCACAATTTCGAAACAGCTTTCGAATCGACTAATTTGAATACACCTTTTCCCTGATCAATCCATTTGATATATTTCGGACTGTATTGTTTATCTTGAAGAAGTCGCAATAGAAATTCCCATAAATATGTTACTTGACCTGCAAAAAATCGGCTGATGAATTGAAAAACAGATTTTTAATCACACTTTTTGCTTACCATCCTTATTTTTTGCCTTTTTGTTAGTTTGCAATGGTCCTCCAGAAGAACCTTGCTGATGTTGTTGTAAAATCGAAATAGGTTCAGAGAAACGACGTTGATCCACAAGATATGGATGTAATTGAGTTGTTGGTGGAGCAATTGATTGTGGAAGACATGTTGTTAACAAATTACCGCAAACTGGTCGAAAACCAATTGTTGGAGGCGATACATTTGTGGCAATGTTCAGAATTTGTGCTGGAAAATTTGGAAATGAAGTTTGACTTAGAAAAAACGGATATTTTCAGGATTTTCAGGTCCAATTTGAAATTTTTCTAAAAATAGGATCTGGTAGGATCCATTCAGTTTTTGAAATCCGAAAATTACTTCAGTTTGAAATTTAAAAATTCAACACAACACTCGGAAATCCAGCAGAGAATTTCAAGAATTTATAGCTCAAGCCCAAGCCAAAATTTACCTGGTGTTAATAAATTTGTATTTGGAGCTATTATTGATGAACGTTGTTGTGGAAGAAGATTTGGATGAGAAGTTGAAGAAGTTGTTGGACACAAAAGTGCCCAAGTTTGATCACCTGAAAATATTCCATAAATAAAATATCAATTACACTTCCCCCCTTTTTCTTTTTTAATACAATATAATAATAATAATATATTAAAAGTCATCTCGAAATTTGTCACCGGATCTCCTCTTCTTCTTTTTTTCCGGGCTAATAAGCATGTCTGCGTCTCTTCATCTCTCACACTATTTGGTTTGTTGAATGTGAAGATTGGAAAAAATGCTATACAAAACAGAAAACTTTCATTTTCCATCATTGAGGATTTCCGTCAGTTTTCACCTTTTGTGTTCCGGGCAAAAAAACATGCGAAAATATCCGGCAGGTTAACGAGAAAATATAATATGAAATGAAATTGAAACCGCTATTTTTTTTTTAGAAAATGGAAATTGAACTTCACGTGAACTTTGAAGGGCCACGTGGAATAAAAAAGTTTTCAGAAGTTTTTATGTTTCAAATTCAAATACTTTAGATCACAGTTTAACTTCAGGTTACTGTAGTTCACAGTTTATTTTACTGTAGATCATATTGTTTCAGGTTTATAGATTCTTTTTAAATTATGGTACTGTAAGAATTATGAAGTCCCAATTTTTTTTCAAAATTAACTTTTCTTACTCTCTCACTCCAATTTGTCAAATAAAAATGCTGCGTGACCCATTTCCTTTTTTCCCGTTCACCCATGAATTCTTCCGCGTCCTCTTCCGCGCGCGCACCGCCGCCGTCGCCATCATCATTATTATATTATTTGCACAAACACACGACATTTTGCGCGAGAAAGCGTTTCAGTTCAGTTCTACTATAGATATATACTATATGTTAAATAAACAGTTGTGCTGCGGCGGTGCGAAATTTCACATCGCGCATTTCATTTCGTTGTTGTATTTGTACAAACGGTCAAGAGCCCCCCAGCAAAATTCGAAACATTAATTCGTGACCTGGAAACTCTTTTTTTCTATCTCTCTCTCGCGCCTTTTTTCTTTGTTTCAATCAACAAACACACAACTTTGCGTACTTTTTTTGATGATAACAAAAAAGATTTTGAAAAAAATTTGAATAAAAAATATGTAGTTTGATCACTGGTATTACAATAGGTTACTAAGTACTAGCCTTATTGAGAGGAGCGCCCACCAGGGATTGAACCCGTGACCCAGAGCTCGCTAGCAGCCACCAAAATCAAGAAAAAATGTAGTTTGATCACTTACCTCCTGAACCAGTACTGTTGTTATTATTATTGTTATTATTATTATTGTTGGCAACTGTTGTTAACCATGGCCAAATTAGTGATGATTGATGCCACGTGGCAGAATTATCAATTGAAATTGAAGGAGGTGGAGCGAAATTCGAGAATGGAGAAGATGAAGATGGTGAAGTTTCGGGTGTTGAATCGCCACCTGGAAAGAAGAGACCTTTGGACTTTTGAAGCCGGAAACTTCGAATTTTTTTGATAAGAGGAAAATATGAGGAAACAGAGAGAGAAACGGTAAACTTGTGATAAAGAATAAGGAGAAGATAAATTATTATGGTAGCTTCGAGAGGAAATTTGAAAATTATTTGTATTTCTGAAAAAAATTCGGGAATGATCAAAAGTTACAATTTTTCATAAAGGGTTCTGAAAACCTGAAAACTTTAGAACTTTGATTTTTTCAGATTTTTCAGAATTTGGAACTTACTTTCCTCTAAAAAAAATCATCAACGGTCTGAATTTAAAAAATTATTATTTTGATTCATCTGAAAATCTGAGTTCAAGATGTTTTCTCAAATCTGAAACTTCAAATTTTTGAATTTGGGTTCTACAATCTGGTTTCCGAAAAAAATCGAAAACTAGATTTTTGAAAATTATTTTTCAAAAACAAAGAACTCGAAAATAAAAAGCTTCACAATATCCAAAAAATTATTCAAAATAACTCACCAACACCAGAATCCGGACTATTTTGTATATCACTTCCACATTGACTACTACTCGGAACTTCTCTTCCTATTTTTTCATTACCACTTTCTCTCCCAATATTTCCGCCACCTTCATTACTTCCATTTCCACTATTCAATTGTGTTTGTTTATCCAATAATTGTTGCAAAATAGTGATTTGAACCGAACAAGAAGTTGGCTGAATAACAAATGTTGTCGCCAACATAGATAGATTAATATTTTTCGAGTTTTGTCTTTTCAGAACAATGAAATATGTTGTGTCGTTGTCCTTTTTCTAATCATAAACTCGCCAGCATTTTTATCAATTTTCTTATTTCATTTTTACCTGACTGACTGGGAGAGTCCGAAGGTCGCTTTGAAACGAGCAAACTACATTTATCTATGATATAAAACTCAATGATGATAATAATTTAAGTATGCTAGACACTTAGGTTTTGAAAAGTTCGAGTTGTTCGAAGACTGAAATTGAAATATCGATTTGTACATATCCTAGAAAATTCGAAAAAAATGAAATATCAAGAATGTGCTCCTAGGAAGCCTAGTTTTCAAGTAGACGTGTCTTGAGATATTTTATATCAAGCTGACAAGCCTAGAGAAAATTACTGTCAAGGGTCAGCGCCTAGCCAATCTAATCGTCAAGTACCCGAGCCTAGAGTTCTACTCCAGCAAGGAGCCGCGCATTGAGAGATTCTAAATCAAGTAGCTAAGCTTAGAGAGTTTAATTCTCAAGGATTAACACTTATATGTATGGTTTTTAGCACCCCAGAAAACGATTTTCAACAAAGAAAATCCCATATTTTCTCGACAAAACTCACAATATTCAAAAAACTGTGTGCTAAAATAGCGGGTGCTGAAATTCTCCTGCCATCCGCATATTTCGGTGTCGGTCGTTCGATTTTTGGCCAAATCGGGATTTTACTCAACGTTGAATCATCTTCCGCTTCTGTTTTCATTTCAGAATCCTCACTTTCATCTTCTTCATCTTCTTTTTTAATTTCTCCATTTCCTCCCGGTGGTACAACAATCAACAATGGTTCGACAGTTTTCATAACTTAATTAAATTAATAATTTCCAAAAAAAATAAATAAATATGTCTCTACAGTAATCCACTAAATATATTATTATAGTACTAAAAAGTATGGATGAGAAAAAATATAGAGGGAAAGAGAGACGGGGGTTATTCCGCAGGTGTTCCGCATCCTAAGCTCCGCCCCAATTTTGTTTCGGAAGAAAACGAGAGTTTGAGAGAGTTCAGACACAAATCGTCGTGTTTGTTTAATACCATTTGACCGCGTGCGCGGAAAATGATTGAAAAATGAAAAACGAAGAGCGGAAGAACGGGCGGATGACACGCAGTTCAAATAAAAAAATAAATATGAAATTATATGTATACACATTTGTGAATAAGGAATCATTTTGACATGAGATTGGATTTCAGGAAATAAATTTTGAGATTTCAGAAAACTTTGGGAAAAAGTGTAATATTCTTCCTTCTTCATTGATAATAAAATATTTTGGAAGAAGAATTTTTCATGTTTGATTTGATTGTTCAAGATAATCGAATAAATAAATCAACAATTTGCAGAATCCTTCCTAGGAATTAAATTGCAAAGGAAATTTGAGAATATAATAATTTTCAGGAAGCTTAGAAAGTTTTCTACAAAATTTAAAAAAAAATTGGGCGATGGGTGGGACCGAACCGTGGTCTGCAAAACGGTATACAGGCCACGGGGTATTTCTCTGAATTTAAAATTGTTAAAGGCGCACTTTATCTTCAGATTTTTCCTGAGCATTTTTTTCCAAATTTTTTTTCAACAAGAATTCATATTTATTTTTTCACAAGCCCCAAATCCCCCAAAATATTGTGGAATATCTGGAACTTGATTTCCTGGTTGTGTACTTGTTCCTTGTACAACACTCCAATAATCCGGTGCCGCACTATTGTATTTCAACCATAATTGCCATGTAATTCCTTTACTATTCACCATTTCCACAACAATTGCTTCTTGACTTTGTTGAAAAACCAATTTTTCGGGCTCCAATTCGAACCATTCTTTCGATTCCCATTGGAATAAAATGAAAATGAATCGTTTTTGATTTACAGAATGTCGTCGATCGAATCGCATCCAAAAACCGCTCGAAATTATTTTTCCCAATTTCACTTTGTTTCTTTCGCCTGCGTATTTTTTCAACAATCTTTGAACGTTTTTCCAGATTTCCAGCATTTCTTGGTCATTTATTTGTGAGGAGTTTGAAGAAACACAGAAAATGAGGAAAAATATGAAAATTATTAGAACTTTCATTTTTGACAGTTTGGTTTGGAAGGAAATTTGGTTCCTTTTATTTTTGCAAGGGAAAACATTGATTCGAATTAGATTTTGAAATTATGGATGTTATTGCGGAACTTTTTAAAGTTTTCTGAAATTCATTAAAAACGGAAAAATCACAAAATAAAAAAATAGAATTTGATTCGAAATAAATCATCAAAATACTTACTTTCTAAAATAAAATACCTGTAAACATAAAAATTCCAAAATCAAAAACGCACATATTGCTCATCTAGATAAGAAAGATCTTCGGATAACATTCCATTCCTAGAGCATTCAAGTAAATAATGAATTCTTTCAGGTCTCGCAATTTCTTTCGCATCTCCAAAAGATGCACCCATTCTTATGGGAAATTTGTTATCTCCTCGAATAATATCCACAAGTTTGTATCTGAAAATTTCTTTCTTTCTTTCTATTTTTTCCAACAAAAAGTCTAGTCTAACCTGAGCATAGCAATACATTTCGCTTGATAAGTGCTTTGAGAGCTCCCCATTTTCGATTCCAAATCATCATAAATTATAGTAAGTTGATCGGGAAATATTGGAATCGGTTGGAATATTCCGGGAAAAACTTCGATTCGAGAATCAACAAAATTTTTGAAGAGCTGAACAGCTAACTCAACTTTTCCAATATCATAGTTATAAGGATCTTGAATATGTTTATATAGAAATCGAATTATTGGAAATATCACTTCCATTCGGTTACTTTGATTTTTATTATTTCTATCGAAACCACACATTGCAAGAGTCTGTAAATATAACACGATGTTTTAATTTTTCTAAAAATAACTCACCATCGCAATTCTCAATGAAAACATTTCATCCTCCGCCATAATATAGTAAATTCTTGGCAATAATAATTCAATTATATCATCTACTTCAGCAAATACTTCAAATTCGCATAATTTTTTCAAGATATCATCTGGTTCGACAGCTTCTTCAAAAGCAGCTCCATAATGATTCATCATAACCTTTTTGACACGTTTCAAAGCAGATCCATGTTCCAATGTTCCACCTTCGAAAAATTGAATAATTCTTCGGTTTTCGTCAATATCACACATTTTTAGGAACTGAAGAAATTATTTGTTTTGTTTTGAAAATTGATATTTGATAATCAACTTACATTTGTCAAATGTTCAACAGTTAAATTGAGATACCGTGATTCATCCAATCGAAAACATGCGAAAAAATTGAGAACAGGAATAACATCAATAAATCCTCTTCGATATATTTCAATCAAATAATCCACAAACTGATATTCATCAATATGAATACTGTTGACAATATAAAGATAGAAACCCATGAAACGTCCTTTTGTATCCCATAATCTTTTGAAAGTATATAAAACTACACTTATTGCAAGGTCTTTATGTTGATCCAAATCATCAAAACTTGTCAATTCAAAAAGTTGAATAATTAATCGCGTCTTCTCTGATACATTTTTCAACTGGTCGAGGTATAATAATTCTAGTTCAACTGGAAAATGTTCGATAAATCAACAGATGTTTCAACAAAACAACTCACTTTCATCTGGAAAAATACTCATTTTGAGGGGGGAATGAAAAGCAAACTAGACAAAACATATTTTTTGGAACGAGAAAAATGGAAATTTCGCGGTTGATCTACTACAGAAAATAAATAAGAAATCCATATTTTAATTTCCAGCCGGAAAATGTGCTGCCATTTCAGCTTTTTTTTTTGAGAAAAAGTTTGACTACGGTACGCTATTTGTGCATTTGTGCGTCGCGGTGTTTGCACACAAGGGGAAAATTAAAAAATTATTTCTGCGCGTTTTCAGCATGTTCGAGGCGATTCCCGGAAGTTCTGTAGCAACAATTTCATTTTCTCGTTGAGAAAATAGATGAATTCTTTCATTCTGGTTTCTCTTGACAAACAATGGGGCGCCGGCCTTTTGTGACTCGAAAAAAAGATGTTAAAAACAAAATATAATAATTCACGTGAACACGTGGCCTTCTTTCGTGGCAAATCGTTGGCAATATAAACGTGGATAATCAGTCGAAATGCGCCATTAGTGCTCGTTTTCTATCCAACAAGTGCCAATGATATCCGATTTTCCATTTCGATCAATTCCTCGAGCTGTGGATTCAAAAATACTGCAAAGAAAGTATGATGAGAGCAATACAAAGACAGCCGGATCGACACCAATATCAGATCATCGAAATCGCTCGAAAAATGAGACCCGATCAACACAACAACACCAGCCAAATATTGATGTGATTATGAAGCATGCGGATAAAGGATTTGTGGATGATCAATCACAAGTAACATCGACAGACAGAGCGAAATTGGCAGCTTTTGGTGTTCCACTTCCAAATGAAATCGCGACTCTTTATAACAAGTAAGAACTCTTGAATATTTATTAGTGTTCACATTCTCAAAATTTTTAGATATCATATAATCGAGGTCGCTGCTTCCGACGAGGAAATCAGGAATATTGATGTCACTCCAATTTCTGTTCGAGTAAGAAGTAAAACAACACGACTGGAGTATACAGCAAGAATGCAAGGCAGAATGAAATGTGTGGCGAATGCGAAGATACTTGATCTCAATGTTTGTTTATTTTCTTGAAGTTTTCTATTATCATCCCTAAACTTGAATTTATTACAGAGAGAGCGCAAGTTTCTCGCTTCCATATCAACATCACAATCAAAGAAAGAGAACTCACTAATAGCTCGATTGTTTGATTCAGGATTCGATTCTGATTTTCGATACATCATTGTTGAGGATTGCGGAAGAGATCTAAAAACTCTCCACCATCATTATAAATATTTTGAGTCAGTTTCCCGCCAAGTATCAATTTCTAATCACCATTTAATTTTTTTGCAGACCTCCAACTATATTTCTCATCACATATTACTCATTTCAAGCAATCAAAGAGCTTCACAGTTATGATTATTTCCATATGGATCTTCGGCTTTCCTCATTTTCAGTTTCGCCAACATTTCATTTGAAAATCGTTGAATTTTTTCGAGTAACATCTTCGAAATCAACCTGCAAAGTTTCTCATAATTTTCGACTTGATCGATTTGTATCTCGAAAATATCATAAAAAAGGTTCGATATTTGATGAATTCGATGATTATGAAAATTGGCTTTTTTTGGTGAGTTTGATAATTTTCCAAATTAAAAATATACTGGTTTTTGATTTCCAGATAATGTTCATATCCTGTGAATCAAAATTGCCATGGAAAAACAATGCTAAGAACGGATTCCTGGAATCAAAGGAAGCATTTTTCAAATGCCACGGTTAGTGTTTAGAAGTATTTTTTTAAATTGAAAATCATATTTGTTTCAGATGATTACAATTGGTGTGGTTCAACAGATTCCCTAATATTGATACCATATTTGATGGAAAAGAAGAAAAATATCTCGGAATTTATTGAAGCTGTCGATGAATTATTTTCAATTGATGTGATGGGTTTCGATGAAACAACACTACCTGATTGGGGACATTCGATGAATGAAGTGGCTCTGAAGCTGAAAAAAGCTCGAAAAGCATTGTCGAAAGGAAGTTATGAAGAGACACATTCAGGAGAAGAAAAAAGAAGAAAAAGAGCTGTATCAAAGGATAAAAAGAAAAAGAAGAAACATGATAATAATCGTGGAAATAGTAGTAATATCAAATCAAATTCGAATCGATCATGTTAATCTACCAGTTAATCAATTTAAATAATATCCATTTTTCGGTCTGATTATAATTTAATAAATAATCAATTTTCAAAAATGCAAGATTACTGTATTCCGTGTTTTTTTCAAAGATCACAATTATTATTTATTTTAGTAGGGATTTTTTTTATTTTCCAAGCTTGGGAAATTTTTCCCTGACGCAATAATGCTTCTGAAATTACTTATAAGAACAAAAGCTTCAGAAGTAGTTAGTCAAACAACCGGAAAACGCATATTTTTGCATAAGCTTGATTTTGCACACAGTGAACATTTACAGAAATATTTATTGATGTTTATTAATTTTATTTTGCTCCATCGGCAATTTTTTTCAATTCTTCCGGTGTCATATCCGCACAATTTTCATAACCTCCATCATCTTCTGTTTTCTTATCCTTTTTCGATTTCGAAGATTTCGCCTTCTTAGATTTTGTTGATTTTGGTGCTCCATTTGCTGCTGTTGGAGCTGCCGGTGCTTTCGACTTCGGTGCTGCATCAGGTGCAGTTGGAACAACAGCTTCTTTTGATTTCGGATCATTTGGGGGTGTTACAGTTGTTGATTTTGAAACAGATTGAGATGTTGAAGTTACACTTTTATTTGCTGGTTTCTTTTTCTTATCACAAATGAAAATAATTGAGATAAAGATAGTGAAAAATGTGATTACGTGAAGTTTTTCGAATAAAATTGATGACAACTGAAAGAAAACTAGATAATTTTCTGATTACTGTAGGTTGACCTACCTCCATTTCGACAATTTTGAAATTATTAGGAATGGTGATTTGAGGCTTTTATATTTATTCAGATCGCAGAAAAAATTAGATCACGTTTTTTGAAAAAAATAATTTTATTGTTTCAAGAAAAAATGGGGAAACCCGTTAGGACAAAATCAAAATGTAGACAGAAAAATAATAAGACAAAAAATGAAATGGCAGCAATCTTGGATGCAGAAAAAATGTCACGGGAAGAAAAATGAAAAAAGCCAATAAACCCATGAGTTTTCAGAGAAAAATAATTTCAATGAATGAAATTCAAAACCTAAGTAAGTTCACAATAAATGTTCGAAACCCGTTTGATGTAAGAAAACTCAAGAAGAAAAAATGTAAGTTGATATAAAACAAGAGCAAAATGAAATATAAGTAAAGTACACGTAACCGAATAAAACTCTCAATTTTTTGTGTGAGTGAATATTTACAGAATTTCAGTTTTTAGAAAGAAATTTGGGGGGCGACACCGGGATAAGTCAGCGAGAAAATAGGGGAAAGAATAGCCGTAAAAAATGAATAAAGTCATGAAAAAATGAAGAAGTGAAGTGAACAAAAATATAGGACGATTGAACATTATCGTGATGTTGAACAACACGGTTGATCTTCCGAAAATCGTACTCGATGCGATTCTTCGAGCTCATTTTCATCGTGCACAGTTTCAAACGATGTTTGACTTCTAGAAAAATCGAGATTTGAAAAGATTTTTGTTGGTGGAAGAGAGAACAGGGGAGTCTGGGAAACCAATGGATTCAGAAGTAATTCTAAAAATTGGAATACCCAAAGTTCAATACTGATATTCATTAAAAAACATTTTATAGTTTTCCGCCCAACCTTGATTCCAAAACCTACTTCAAAGATGCAGATGATGCACTCGAATGACATTGTGATTGAAATCCACTTGATTGTGTTTTATTATCGATACTCAATTCACCTTTATGACATCCTTTTGCCATCGTATTTATTGTTATATCCTTCAAAATTATATTTATATCAAACTCTTTGAAAAAATGAAATACCTCAATATAACCACGTGGCGATGTTGTAACACCAACCAGATTTGGAATCGGTTTATCCAATTTTCGATATTTCGGTCCAACATGATCATCAAGTTCCGCTTCGAAAAATGTACACAACACGTAAACACGCCAATGCTGGCACAAACCTAATCCGAGTCCACAGATTATACACAGTATACCTGTAAAACGGTTTGATTCTGTTTACTTTTAACAAACATTTTTGTGCGTCGTCTCGTCTCGTCTTCCCACGAGTTTCGCGACATCAATTTCAAAAACGGTCAAAATTTGCTCTTACGATAAATAAAACTACACAAAAATGTACTTACCGTTTGCAAAGATCAAATAAAAACAGAATGAAAATGTGGCAGTCAAATCAACACGTTCAAGATTTTCACCAGTAAATACGATTCGCAATTCACATGGAGACATCAATAGATACAAAAGGCAAGCAACAAGTAAAGAACATCCAGTTGCCACGATACTCTGAACACATTTTTTTTCTAAATTTTTCTTTAAAAAAAAAATAAAAACCAACCTTATATGCATCATGTGGCAGTAGCAAAATCAAAATTACAGATAAAAGCCAACACGCAAATCCAAACCACATTACAGCATTTGTATAATGTCCAGCAACTCGATAATGTCTTCCCCAATCAAAAGCGTCTTGATTTAGTGAAAAATATTCGAGAACACTCAACATTGGATAGGGTAATCCTTGAGTTAGTGCATGATTCAGAGCTTCTGACATTGAAGAGACTGAAAAATGAGAAAATGTTGTTTTGGGAGCAGGTGAAAATTGGATTTTTCTTCAGAATTCCAAAGATATAGCAGATTTCTTCCAAGATTTGTTGGAAAATTGAACTTCAATCCAGTAAAAACTTAGGAATTCGCTTATTAAAAACTATGGTCAAGCTACGATTTTTTATTTTAAATTTTGACGTGGTCAAGAATTGCCAGCAAAATTTACAGGTTCTCAGAAATTTTCAAGGTTTTGGAACGAATTTTCTATTCCAAAAAAATACGGTTTCCCAAATGCCCACTCAAAAAAAATAGTTTGAAACCACGTGTGTTAAGTTTGTGTGTTTTAGGTTTTCTGTCTTCACTTTGAAATTTTTTTTCAATTTTTTTTCAAATCACAAAATAGAGCCCTCCAACTTTCAATTAAAAACTGGTATCGCTTTGAAAAAATTTCTATATTACAAATAAATATTTTTCTCGCGCAAATATTTGATAGAAAAAAAAACAACAAACCTCCAGAAATATCAAATCCTTCGTTATAATACAACTTTGTCATATCAACTTCGGGTAATAAATCATTTGATGATAATAGGCGTTCGACTAAAATATGACAAGTTAGAATAAGTTTTTCAGCAACAACAAAAAAAACTCACATCTCAACGTCACATTCACTTTCTGCAAACCAATATCGACTCCAATATTCGCCAATATTCGTTCATTTGAATGCGCTCGAAATTGTGTATAGATTTTTTGAGATCCGCCCGCCCAACACGGAAAATATATTGAGGCAATTATTGATGCGCCAACAAATAACATGAGAATGTAGACAATTGTTGTCACTACACGCTTTTTCCGAACACCAGGCAATATTAACAGATATGCAAGAAATGGTATGAAAAATATTGAGAAGACCTGAAAGAAAAATTGGATTAGGTTGGATTTTGTCATTTTTTAAATATCTACTTATATATTTTACATCATAAAGTGCACTAAAAAATCAACTTCCGACTAAAAATTCGTTCAAGGTCTTTCTTGTATTTTTTTTCCATAAAAAACCTCATACCGTTGTAAATATCTTCTTCTTTTTCCCCTCCAATTTTCTAGTTCTTTTTTTTCTATATTCCTTGTCAAAGATTATGTAAATATTAACTCATGTTCTGTTATGTAAAATGGACTTTAGTTAGCCTGAACATTTGATCTTCGAAAAATTGGCAGAATTTGAAAAAAAAACATCAAATAAGAAGTTTGATAAATAGAAAAGTTTGCAACAAAAACTGTTTTTTGTTGTCTCTCTAGAAAACTGAAAAGACGATAGAAAATATCAATATTTATTATTGATTTTGTGATTTGAACTATCAGAATCAGAAAGTGAAAAAGATAATTGTTCCGACAATTTTATCGAAAATTACTGTATCTATGATTTTCCAAAAATAAAAAGAAAGATCTACAGTAAGAGAAAAAATGTCAGAGGAAAAAAAGTTTATAGAATGTGAATTTTACGATAGAAATGTTCTCTAGGCTCAGATCCTTGATAAGTGAACTTTCTAGGCTTGGCTACTTGATATAAAGATCTCAAGGCACGGCTCCTAGTCATAGTGCTTCTATAGGAGTGAATCCTAGAAAATGAGATTTTCTAAGTTCAGCTCCTTGAGAAGCTACATACTGTAAAGTTCAAAAATATGACTCAGCGTAAATATTTTCACCCTAGATACGTTTGATCTTCTAAATTTCACTAAAATTAGGATTTCTCATTGCAAGATTTGATTTTATCAAAATTTTCACCCTTCAACCTTCTGCTCCCCAAAAAAACTCACTACAAATGTGTGCATATTAAAATTGGGTATTTCGGCATTCGGATAATCTGATGGGGTCGGATTATTACCGAACCACCACATATTGGAACCTGCAAAAAGAAAATAGGCTCGAGGTTCACAGATTTTGAAAAGTTTGAAAGTCAACTCGAGTTTAAATACCAACTCGACCTGCAATTTCAAAAATTCAACACCCATCAACAGAACAAAAAAAATAGTTTCGGCCACCCCCAATAGCAAACATATTCAAATAAACAAACAAAATATCTACTACAAAAATGAAGAGGCGGAGTTTTGAGTTCGAAAAATATTGTGCACAGAAAGACAGCAAAAATACAAGAATGGAGAAGTTTGCTTTCCGGTAAAATTTTCAGATAAGAAGGGCGAAAACATAGTTGAAAAATAGAAAATAATAATAATAATAGCGGGTACGGCGAGAAAAAAGATATTTGAGGAAAAGCAAATAAATGAAAATAGGTTGTAGAACTGGAATTGATATTTGAGTAAATTTTTTGAAAATTGTAAATATTGACCTAAGAAGCTGCTAGTAGTTTTTTTGGAATTCAAATCGCAAAATGATAGTAATTGGCACGTTCATCTATTATTAATGATAAATTTGAGAAAAAAAAATATATAAACTAGAAATTTTCGGGAGCTTTTAAATCGGACTCGAGGATTCGGAAGATTTTCTGAATAGAAATTGGAGGAAAAAAACAAAAACTGCACACTGCACAAATTTTTCAAACAGAAAAATGTACGATTTGAAAATGTTTGAAAATGAGAAGCTAGTAATTACAAACTTTCCAACATTAAACATGATGATGCAAATGACACGAAAAAACGTGTATTCTCGAATTTTTTGGGGAAAAATAAAATAATTTTCACTTTCAACATGGTCAGTCACTTTACTTTACAGTTATGATTTCGAAATCATATAGAAACTTGTCAAATTTGGTTTTTTCTCCAAAATTGGTGTGTTTTACTCTCTTCTCGGAACAATGGAATCCCGAAAAGAGAAAAATAACATTGAATGAAGGAAGTAAAGAAAAAGTATTATCAAACAATTGATCAATAAGTGTGAAGATCAAATCAAATCAATCGATTGGGACCACATCAAATTATAAAAAAAAATAAAAAAGATCATGGCAAAGCTATCGAAAAACATAGAAATTACACAGTGATTATGATCAAATAAAGACAACACGAAACAAAAACAAGTTTTTTTACGGTAAGTACCTTTGAGGTGTTTTTAACTGTTAACTTGTAAAAGGACCAAAAATTGATTCTCTTTTGAAAAATTAAGCTTACATGGAGGAAAAATCAAAGTTTGTACTATAACAATTAAAATCAATATACTCTTTTAGTTACAGTCAACTACATTGAAATTTAGTGTAAAAAACCAGAAATTTTCTTTGGGTGTTCCAGCTGTAATCTGGTTTCGGTATTTTTTTTTTGTATTGTGATAATAAATAAACAGTTTGAAAGGGTGTTGAGAATAGCGACGAGGAGAGAGAAAAAAAAACATAGAATAACATGTCGAGAATTTTTTGATAGCATCTATTTTTTCGTTGACCTTGAAAACTAACTGTCAGCTAACATTTTTTGATAATATCATCTGAAATTCTTCCTTGTTGTTCTATGAGCTCTAAATAACTAGGAAGTGGTCATTATTTATTTACTTTTTTTGTGTATGACACTGGTCATTTTTGTTAAAATATTTACTTATTACTTACTACATAACATAAATTGTTGTGTTATGAAAAAAAACGGAAGCAAAAAACTGCTTACACGAAAAAGTCTCATGATTAACTAACTTCAACTTACTTCCATTGTTCGAAATGGTCGTTTGTGATCAAAATACGTTTTTTCAAATATAAATTCCCAAAATTAAAAAGGTGACTAACTTTTCCGATTTTTGATCAGTATTTTGCTAAATGGAGGTCATCAGGCGCATTCCAAAGAAATTTTTCCTACTTACTTTCTGATGTCAGAAAAAAAGAGACGCATTTAATTTTCGGAACAAACAATACAAGTGAATTATGAAACAAACAACAACATTGGATGGAATTAATTAATTAATTAGTTAATTATTTTTTTGGAAAATTGTTTCTTTTTTATTTATCGTTGTTTTGTTTTGTTATAAGAAATAGTGTCTAGACTTTTTGGAGCTTAGTTCAAGTCACAAACTTCGTGGGTGGTCCCCAGTTACCACATTTAAAATTGTATGATCTTCGAGATGCTATCCTAATTCTATCAATTCGGAAAAAAAAATGAATCAGCAAAAATATGTCCAGAATTGTTTTCAGGTTTCCAAATTTACTAAACCAGTTTCATTTTTTCTGCCCAAACTATCAGATCAAGAGACAGCCAAAAACTCCATGATCTACTTTTTTCACTTGAATTTCGGTATGTCAAAAGGAAAGGAACATAGCAATGACCTTTTTGATCAGATAAGACACTGAAAAAACCAAAATGGAATTTGATAAATGTGTAAACAAGCAAAAGACAGATAGTTTGAGAAACTGTAGAAATTAAATAAAAATTAAATTTGGGAGAAAAAGAGAGAGGAATCAAGAAAAAACACGTGGAAATCACATTTTCAATCATAAAAAATCCAAAAAACAACCAGAAAACGAAAAAAAAATACCGAAGAGAAAAAAAGATGAATACCAATTCAAAAAAAAAAAAGAAAAAGTATCGATAGATGGTATTTTTTCCATCTATCGTCTAATATCTCCTATCTATCTATTTCTTCGTTTTTTTTGGCTGTCCTCTTCTAACTAAACCCAATTCTGCTTCCTCTTCTTTTTCTTCTTTTTTTTGTCTTCGACTGTCAAGTAGTAGCTATTGGGTCTGATGAGAGAGAAAAAGAAAGAAAAGACACGAAGAGATGAAAAAACGATCATAAACAGTTTTTAGATATCTTTTTTTTGACGTCGATACGTCTGATAATTAGTTTGGGCGCAACATTTTCAAAGGTTATTTATTTATTGTTTATCTAGAGATTGGTGTCTAAAATTTTGATGAAAAAAAAGGAATACGAGTAAAAATAGAGAAACTATTAACTCGAAAAGTTGGGGCTTTGGCTCGCAGCACCTTGAGCTCTAATAGTGGGAAATTCGAACCAACGGCCGAATTCATAGAAGTGGTACACCAAAATCAATTAAGAAAAATTTGGTGTACCAAAAATGTTGTTCAACAATTTTTGGCACGCCAAAATTCGGCCCCTGGTCCGATTTTTTGAGAGAAATTCTGAATCAGAATTTTTGATAACAAATCGGACCTAGGTCCCCTATTAAAAATGGTCGATTCTAAAAATCTTAAAAATTGGAACTCCTAAACAGTACCGTATACTTAGTTTTCTCAAAAAACTATCGTGAAAAATATAATATTTATCAAAAAATTCCCAGACTTCCCGCTCCACCCTAAAAACCCCCAGAACCTTGATTAAATTTCGAACATACTTTCTTTTATAGTTGAAATTTTATCAGCTTCTTCCCTCCAAATAAGAAAAAAACATATAGGTAAAGAATGCGATAAGCGTAATATTTCGAAAATGAGTCAAAGAATAAACAAAAATTCTCCAAATAAGTCAGTAATAAACGCGGAAGGAAAAATAAATAAAATGTTAGTGATTCGGTATGATAATGAAAACCATTGTTTTGTTCTACTTCAAAATTCTCGGATCAAAACAATTTTTGATCAAGGAGAAATGGTTGATCTATGGGTCTTTCTAACCAACAACAACCATCAATTTGATTGCGTAACTAACTTGTTCCACACTCAAATTGATAGCTGAAAATTGAAAAAAAAAACTTTTTTAAATTCAAAAAAAAATCATTCATAAGGAATATCTATGTTTATACTAATAATATCTATAAATAAGAGGTGAAAGTTATACACATTTCATTTCGAAAATAAAAACATCAGATATTATATTACTTTTTAATGTATCCTTCACGGTGGGTTACTGGAAAGTATAAACAGTGAAAGTGGCGGCTTGAAAAAAGCAAAAACATTTGGCAAATATGTATTTATAGATAGAAAGATTACGAGATGAATATATTTATTTATTTATTCATTCATTTATCAAACCAGTCGGTCACGGCCGAGAGCGGTGTAAAAATTAGATTGTAACAACAAAAATTTCAAGATTTCATTTGCAAATTCCTCGAGACTGTACTATATTGTGAAATATTTGTTTTGGTCTTCTTGTTTATTGCAATTTAAATATTTTGATAACAAGAAAAATAAACCCACTCGAAAAAAAAACAATTACCGGAAATTCATACTTATGAAGAACGTACATTCAGCAAAAAATAATAAATAAATATAAATTGAAGTGGGTTCAGACTACGATGCTTTTAAATAGTCAAGGTTAAAAGTCAAAATCGAATTAGAAAAAAAAAGAAAATATTGGTGAAAGTATTACCATAGTATTATGTTTATATAATAAAACAAGCTTTTGATTGACCTTGGAAAAGTGTTGGATTAGCTTGAAGCTTTGCAGAAAAAAGTTATCATGGAATAATCCAATATGAAAGTAAAGTGTAGTTATAAATCTGGAAAGTATAAATGAAATCTGGCAGTGACATCAGAGGTAGACATCGAAAGTGGATTATTATGTCTCGCCTATTATTAAGCACTAATTAAGGGAAAGAAGTTAACCTTCAAATAATCCGGATTTTCCGATGATTTAATGATGTTTTGGAGGGAATTCGAGAAAAGTTCAACGATATCAAGGAATATTGAACATTTTGAAGGTTCAGAAAGGAATTTCAAAACTGAACAAAAATAGTCTGATAACTTTTTGGCAAAAATTTCGAATATCTAAAAGAATATGAAAATGTATCGCTTTACTATTTTCTAGAAAAAAATGCCATAAAATCCATATAAAATTATTCTGTCGAACATCTGCTTTTGTGATTTTTCAAACACGTGTTCTAAAACATAAAATCATTATTTTCCCACATTTACGTTATTTCTGGATAAAAATATAAAGTACATTATAGTTTTAGAGCTCATATCAGTAAAGTTATTCGACAAACCACTTTTTTCATCGCAGTTTACAATTTCTCAATTAATTTTCAGATTTACCCTACAAATTCGCTAAAATCTTACCTGATTCTTGTTCAACAAATACTCATAGAATAGTGTGGCTCATTGTGCGCTTTTCGTTTTCGGAAATAACTTCGAATTCGAACTTTCGCGAAACTTTGAAAAAGAAAAAAAATCAACACGGTTTAGGTACTGTGTCGCCGTTTGTGTGCATTTTCTGCACACACCACACGTCATGCACTAGATTTTACGAGCACTTTTTTTTTATTTTCCGAAAACGAAAAGACGAAATTCAAAGCTATTTAAGCCTAATCAGAGCCAAATTTTTCTTTAAACTCCTATATTAATTTTTCTCCAAAATCGTTTTATGTGAAATTCATGATAACTTGAGTACTCCCTCTCACAATTATTTTTCCACAATTCAAAAATAGTTCAAAAAATTTCAGACAATCACAAAGAATGAAGGTCACTGCTTATGACCAAGAGACATCAAAATGAAGTGAAACTCGTTTGTAACAAATATGAAAACATTATAATAATAATCATAACAATAAGCAATAGAATTTCAAGAAGAAGAAGAACGTGCGACATTTGAATATTGAGACATGAGGAGACGCAGAGAAGGTAAAAAGTGTAACAAAATCGAGAAAGTACTTTAGACAAGTTGTGGTTTTTGATTGATATATGAGGTTAATTACTCAATATTTGCATTTTTCGCAACAAAAATTAGCAGACGATTAGCGAAATAAAAATAGAACAATTTTTCTCAACATTTTTCAGAGAAACTAAATAACTAAACGGGAAAGTAACATTACACAAATAAATACAAATATTTATGCATAGAGGGTATATTTAATTGACTTACTTTCAATGAAACTATGATTTACTATATATATACGCAAGCGAAACAGTTTATTTTTATTAGTATTAAAATTTCGAACTAGAGTGAGTTATGCAAGAAAATTACAGGAAAACTCACATTTTAGCCGATTTTACTGAAGGCCAGTTAGATTGATGAATACATTAAAATTAAAAATGAGAGCATTTTTATTGTTTTTGTGAAATTGAAAATGTATAAATAGTTCACGTTTTGATTAAAGAAAATTCATTTTGAATTTTTTATTTTCAAAATTCGGATTTCGACACAACTTTTTCCAAATTTCCCTTCAAAACTCACTTGGGTTGGTTAGTAGAATTCAGACGAGATTTCGAAGTTGTTAGTGAATGGATTAGTGCATGAATACTATGATTTTCTGATTGTGAGCTCTTTCTTTCTTTGCGGAAAATATTTTTTGAACCGAAAATGGTCTTCTCAAAAATAGGAAAGGAAAAATTCAGCGGGCAAACATTTTGGTAGATCAAAAAAGTTTTTCTGATTTATCAAAGCCTATCTGCAAAATTGAAAAGTACTAAGCTTCCAATAAAAAAATCAGTGATATCTAAAAATGACCCTGACGCGCCCCTTACTTTTTTCGAAAACAAAGAAAAACGAGTGGACATGACTGAAATTATTACAATACAATAGAAAAGTTGGGGAGAAAAAGTAATTGTTCAGCGGTCAAAAAAGAAACACTAACTAATTGATTGGTTTCGAAAACGCTTGTAAAATTCAATTTATTATGTAATTTTATTTGACAGACAGCAAGAAGAAGGTCAACATTTTTTTTTGATTATGTAAAGTACGGTAGATGTTGAAGCTTTTGCTTTTGATTTTTGAATGAATCAAGAAAGAATTGACAAGGTCAGCAAGTTTTTTTTTGATCAGTGATGATGTAGGTGATTAAAAATTCATAATTTATGGCTGTTCATCCAGAATTGGTGAGATATGTAGTTATTTTGAAAAAAAAGGAGAAGTGTTTGGTATTAATCGAGTGTTTACTGAAACACTAACAATAAAAGAAAAATCCGGAAATATTTAGTAAAAGTACGATACAATAAAAACATAATACAACTTAATTGGTAATAAAAAGAATAACTTAAGTGTCAGAAAATACTTGAGAAAAAATTGAAAATAATTTCGGAATGTCTGAAACTAGGTCACGTTTTTTAAAAGTAACCGGGCAGCTAGTGGGACCACCCATGAAGCTGACTGATTTTTTTGAACTGGAGTTGAATAAAACGATAAATAAAAATACTGTGCGCAAAAGTGTTTGCACAGAAACAATTGTTTAGCCGCCTTTAAAAATGATACTTTCTTTCTGAAAATGTTTTGAATGTGAAAAGACAAATGACGATAAATAAAAATAATATAAATAAATTACAAAAAAGATGCGCAAAAATAGATATAAATCTTGTAGCGATTGAAAAAATGCGTGAAATTATTAAATTTTTTTCGCGCTTCGCATTTCATTTCAACACAAACACACAGTGAGAAAAAAATGAAAAGATTCGGGAAAGTGATAAATTATGGCTTTCATTTTTTCATTAAAAATAATAAACCGACTGGTGGACATCATTATTTATACACTTTCATTTTATTGTTATTCATACCAGTTTTATTTATTTGTTTATTTTTTCCTGGAAGAAAATGAAAAGGTGTTTTTTTTCGAATTTTCTTGCGCGCGAAAGGTGTGTGGGGTCATTATTATTTTTTTGATGACTGAAATTTCAAGTTTTTAAAATGTGGAAATAAAAATAATTTATTCAAAAAGTTCGTTTATTTTGGTTTTTATGTATAATTTGCATCATAACTTCATCACATCCAGCGCCAATTGAAAAAATTCGAAAATCTCGGAAAGCTCGACTAATCGAATTGTCATTCAAATATCCAGCACCGCCCCAAATTTGCAAACATTCATCTGTAATTTTTCGTGCCAATCTTCCAATTTTCAATTTCGACATTGCAGTTAACATTGTTACATCTTGACCTTGACAACGAGATAAAACAGTTCTATAGAGAAGACTTCGAGTCGCTTCTAGTTCAGCTTCAAGTTCTGCGAGGCGAAATTGAACAGCTTGTTGATCGAGTAGAGTTTTGCCGAAAATTTGGCGGGTTTTGGCATATTTCAAAGTGTCGTTGAGACATTTTTGAAGAGGAAGAAGACCTGGAAAACCTTTGTTTTCGGAAACTCTTTTCTTTGATCAGAATTGAATTTTGCAAAATATAAATTTATTCACGGAACAAAAATTCAATTTTTATTTTCCTTTGGCTTCCGCGGCACTTGTAATAATTCCTGAAGTTCCATCGAAAATAGATTTCAAAATATCATTAACACCTTCAGCGGATACTTCAGCGCTTGCAGACGCGAAGAAAATAATAGCGAAAATTGCGAGAACGAAAAGAGGATTCATAACTTATTTTTCAAATTCCTTTGATGTTTTTTACTGTGGCAGATTTATTTTTTATAGTAAGAATATCGTGGGAACTATGTTTTGTTGATCAGAGGAATGCAAGGTATTCACAGTGCTTTTTTATTTTCCCAGACAACCCCAAAAAACTAACCAACTGCTACCGTAACCAATCGCTCATCATTGAATTGTTTCATTTGATATATGAAACCTTTTCCTTCTTCTCCAATAATATAAGATTCCGGAACTCGAACATCATCAAAAAACAATTGAACAGTATCCGAACTTCTCATTCCCATTTTATCGAGTCGATTTGATCTATGAACACCTCGCGAATTCAACGGGATACAAACAAGACTTTTGTTTTTGTGTAAATTATCATTTTTCGATGTGTTCACCAAAACACACGCCCAATCAGCTTGTTCGCCATTTGTTATCCACATTTTTGAACCATTTATAATGAGATCACCGCCAGAACGACGGGCTGTTGTTCGAATTGCTAAAAAAAAACCAGGCTTGTGAAAAACTACAGTAATCCAACAAACCTGAAACATCAGATCCAGCGTGTGGTTCGGAAACGGCAATCGATGAAACTAGATCTCCAGAAATAGAAGGTCTCAAAAATTGATCACGTAGAAAATCAGAGCCAAATTGTGATAAAGCTGGAGTTGACATATCTGTTTGAACCATTACAGACATTGGAATTGAACCACAATCTATTGATCCGATTTGTTCAGCGATTGCGATTGACATTGCAAAATCATATCCCATTCCTCCGAAGTCTGTAGATTTTTGAAATAGGGGGGAGGGGTTAGATTTCCAAAGCTCCTTAAAAATCTAGATCTAGATCGATTCGAAGTTCAATTTACTTTCTAAATTTTAGTGCTCCGAACTGAACGAATCGGATGTTTGTCAATTTTCGTATGATCTTTTTTCTAAGTTTTCGGATGCGGTCCAGAATTTGAAAAAAATTTCAGTAAAAAAACAAATTCACATTACCCGTTCTATAATTCACCTGCTGGTTTATTCGCTGCAAAAACTCCAAGTTTTCCAAGTTGATTGAAAATATAATGCGCTGGATATTTTCCTGATTTTTCCCATTGATTCACATTCGGATTTATTTTTTCAGTAATAATCTACAATTTTTTTTGAATTAAAAATGATTCTTCGAGAAAATTGCATTACTTTTTTCAAACTTGTCTGCATCGCCAAATGTGTTTCATCGTAGATCATATGTTTTATGCCAGCTTGAATCGAAGTTGATAATGTTGGAGGGAATTGTGATCGTGTTATACTGTTTAAGGCCATTCTGAGAAATTTTCAGATTTTGAGAAAAGCTTTCAAAAAGAGAAAAGTAAGAGTAAAAGTTAGTTGAAAAAGAAGAATACAAGAATAAAATGAGAAGAAGGAGAATGAGAATGAAAAATAGAAGATTTGGTTTATCCTGCCATATGATTAAATTAGCATTGCGTCACCAGAAAAAATGAGAGACTTAGAGAGAAAACGATTTGGCTAGTTATATAATTTCCTGTATTCGTGTTTTTTTGTTGTATATTCCTCTCTTTTCAATTTATCGTATTCTCTATTTCTTCGTTTTTCCTCTGCTGGCTGGAACCGTTGTTTATTCGAAAATGAAACATCAAAGAAAAAGAAGACTGGTTATTTTTAAGATACATCTGATACTTATTTTGTAGCCAACAAACACAACAACAAAAAAAGAATAAATTTATTTGACACCTTTCGGAAATGATTATCTCAACAAAATGTGACCACTAAATATAGTTGATTAAAAAAAAGAATAAATTATGGAGCCAAGCTGACGTTGTCAGTGAGGAATGGAACTTTGATGTAGTTTTTCAACCAATTCATTTCGTATTCATTTTTACTTGTCCAACCAGCCAAATAGATATTATTATCGCTTGCTGCTTTTTCCAAATAACGACTATGATCATTAACATGATAAAATATCATATCAGATCCAAGGAATTTTGGAACAATTAGAGATTGTGTGAGAGAATAAACAACAACATCAGCAACAGTTGCAATTCCATGAAGAATTCCTGTGAATCGATTAATTGTAGCATCCTCGTCTGTTGTACTCAATTCCCACATTCGCCAAGTGAAACCGGTCAGAATTTTTTGATCAGCCAATTTAATAAAATATGTGTCGATCGGATTGAAACCAGATACTAAAACTTTCGAGTATAAATTATATGTTCGAATTTGAATAACAAATTGTGTGATCAATGCTTCGTCTAAATTCTTAACATCCCAAATCATCATGATATTATTTTGAACACAAAATTGAACCGCTTCTGCAAAAGTTGGCATCGTAATATTTGTTCCAGAATAAGTCAATTGTTTGAATTGTGCCAAAGTCATCGATGAAATATCCTTGTTAACCCCGGTCAATCTTTCAACATTACTATCATGACAAATAACAGCAACACCATCGGAAGTTATTTGAATATCCATCTCCGCCAATTGTCCCCCCTCATTTTTAACTGCTAAAAATGCTTCTAAACTATTTTCTGGAATTCCATCGTGAGAAGATCCACGATGCCCGCCAACTTTCCAATTTTCGAAGAATTGTGTTCGATGAGTTTCATTTTTCAATTGTGGAATTCTGAAGATGAAGAAAGCAAGCATAAGTCCAATTGGGAGGAAGGCAATCAAAACGAAAAGTGCGCGGAACAACTGAAACTTTTGTATGTAAGATGTTATGTTTATTGAGAACTTACCGATGATCTGTAAACTAACAAAGCAAACAAATATACGATTGCCACAATCGCGATGTACACCAAGAAAGTCACCAAATCCATGATAACTGAAAACAATCTATAAATTATGAGCAAAACTTAGAAAAACAACACAATACTCATTTTTTAATTCTTAAAATACATGTTCTATCAGTTTCAAGATGCTCTTTTATTCTGAGAATTTTATGATTAAATTATCAATTTTATCGGAAAAAAGAAAAAGAAAAAACTGAAATTGTCTGAAAAAGTCAGATAACACGAACTTTGTGGCTTCTCTCTCTACTTTTATCTGAAAATTTTGTTATTTGTAGACCATAAACTTGATGTTGACATTGCTACTTAAAAAAAGGTTCAATTCTAAGTCTAGCTTCATGTAAACATATAAATAAGTTTTATGTATGTGTGTGGTATTAAAAAATCTGTGCTTTGACCGTAATAAAAAAAATGAACATTTGGCATAAAATGGTTTATTTGATTTTTCAAAGACATCTACCCAGTTTTAATGGTTTTCCCAAACATTTTGAAATTCGATTTTTAGTCAAAGTTCAAAAAAAAACAAATAAAACTAGACTATAGTCTCATACAACATTCTAAAAAGGCCCAGGTCCTCAAATTAGACTCAATTTTCAGGATCTACTTAACCACAACATCTCAATCAGGAATAATTCTGAAGACGGTAAACTACACTCTAGTTGATGAAAGCCCAAGACTAAATAAAAAAATAAATAACTATATTCAAACGTGTCCCAGTTATTTCACCCAAAAAAATAAGCTATTTAATGACGAATCATACTGTTTGGAGGTATTTATTCATTTTGTACGACAGGCATCTGATCTTATTCGATTACACTATTCAAAATGGAAGTAAGTATTAGGGTTACTGTATGTACTTATAATAAACAATTTTCAGTTGTCATCAATTGTACTGGATGCATATGTAATCATATTTTTCATACTTTTCATCTGCATAAACATCATTGGATGTGGTAAAAAGAAGACAGGAAGCGAAGCATCGAAATCTGCATCATCTTCAATGGCAGTATCAACAAGTGCAAATCCATCACCATCTGCTGCAGCTCCAGCACCTTCGGCTGCGCCAGCCGCTGCTCCAAAATCTGCGGCTCCTGAAGCGCCGAAATCGACAGCACCGGCAGCTCCAGCAGATGCTGCGAAATCATCGAAATCCAAGAAGGCGAAGTCTTCGAAATCGAAAAAGGATAAGAAACCAGCAGAAGATGATGGAGGTTATGAGAATTGTGCTGATATGACACCTGAAGAATTGAAAAAAATTGCCGATGGAGCAAAATAAACGTGTTCTTTCTTGTAGCTGTTTTTGGGAGCTCTGAAATTAGGAGAAAAAAAATGCTCCGATTATAAAATTTTCAAGGTTCCATCGTATAGTTGCTTTTTTGGCCCCAAAAACTTCCCAAAAAAAATTCTCACAGTTTATATGTCTGCGACATGAATTCCACCCCTCACAATTTTCATTTTCTGTATCATTTTCTTCATCATTTTCAAAACCAAAACATGATATTTCCATTACTTTTGTCGTTTCTTCTAACTCACCAAGGAATTCAAGCCTACAAAGATTCTGTGGAATTAACAAAGGATGTAAGAAGATTGATAATTGGCGCAACAATTGAAATAAAAGGACAAGGATATAAATCAAAATTACTTGACCTATACGATAAGGTAAATGGTTCTTTAGTTCACGCAAGTGCTTTCAACACCAAACATTCGATGAATGCCACACAGCTTGGCTTTTATTTCTTTGTGGAACGCAAATTTGATGACGTCATAGATATTGATGATAACTTGATGTTTACAAATCATTTGCTCAACGAAACCATGTATGTACATTCAGTTTTCACACTAAAACTCAGATGCATTATGAATTACACGATAAATTATAAATATATTGTGAAATCGCATTATCTTCCAACTAATAAAGAATACGAAATTGTACGGATGTTTATTGAAAGACCTGATGATGTCATCAATTCTACTTGGAAAACTCCGGAAGGCGATGAAGATTTGAACCCGATTCCTAAAGCTCAAAATTTTTCCGAAGAGTTTTGTGAGAATTTGAACTTTTCTGATTTTTTGGGAGAGGAGGAGGAATTGGCAGACGGTTCGAAGTTTGTTGGTCTTCTAGAAACAAATCCCGGATATAATTATACATTGGGAGAATTTAAGGAGTGAGTTTGGCGTGAACAATGAAATTTCAGAGGGCGGGGAGTTCTAGAAATCGTGTTTTTTATTGGGAAATCCAAGAATCCACGTGTAGAACTGTTATTCAGCAATTCTTCAATATTTTTCAGCTTTCTCAAAATATTCTTCCACAAATACCAGAAAACCGGAAAATCTTCTCTAAAAATCCTCACCAACGACAAAAGTCACGTCGTTTTTCGATGCGAAGTACCGTTAATCTACAGAACAGAAAAAGATTCCGAGTTCTGGACTATCGATTTGGAAGCGATTTATCACAACTCGCAATGGAATTTCGCCAAAATTTTTTTCAATCACAATTTCATGTCAAATTTTCCGATTTATGATAGAGATGCCAAAAATACCGCACAACTTTTGAGAGCTGAAATCATTTCTCAATTATCTGGAAAGGTTCGCAGATCTGGATTTGATCATGAAAGTATCGATGAAGTTGGATTTGAGATCGAAGTTTTCGAAAATAACAGCACCTATATCAATGTTTGCCCTTTTCTTTTGGCACATCCACATCCGAAAAATCAATATTTAAAAATTAAATTACCGAAAACTGAGGGAAAAATGCACTTTTACACTGAAATAACTTCCCACGCTTTGATTGTGAATTTGTATTTTCCAGATGATTTGGGGATGAAAATTCGAATGAAATTTGGAATTGGAAGTGTGAGTTGGTGAAAGCTCTGTTTCCAATATCATTTACGTTAAGGCTAATGATTTGGAACAAAATGACTTTGTTAAATGGGTGACAATTATTTGCCCGGAAACTAGCGGACCACCCGAGGGAGACTTTGAGATAATTGAAAGAAAAGAAGATGAAGACGATAATGAAAATGAGGAGGAGGAGGAGTATTTACAGGTTCAAAGTTATGAAGTAGAAGACGACAAAAATATGGATGAAGATCCGTTAACTTAATTTTTAACATGGGGGTGAATAAATAAGCTTTTTGGGTTGAGTTCGTATTAAAGGGTTGGTAACCTTTTGGTGGAAAAATCGTCTGCAAAAATGCGTCACCGTGTTGCGCGTCAAATCTGCGAACACAAAAAATTGACGTTGGAGCACATTTTCTCGTTTTTCTTCCTAGGATTGCCCTATTTGCCTGGAGCGTTTAAAATCCGATAGGTCCGGTCCGTTTCCAAATTTTGAACAAAAAACCAAACTCACATTTTTGCTTCAACAAAAATTATTTCATTCTTCAAACAAGTTATTTACAAAAACACCCTGGTATCATCCGAAATTCCACATTGCTAGTTTTTCGGGACCATACTCACATTATCAGTCAAAAATGGGATTTTCAAATAATCTCTCAACCATCGCATTTCAGTTTTATTATTACTTGTCCATCCAGCCAAATACATATTATTGTCAGTCGCAGATTTGGCCAAATATCTGAAAATAATTGATTTGAATTCTATATTTTCTGAAAATGGTAACTTACTTGCTTGCATCATTAACATGATAAAAAATCATATCAGATCCCAAAAACTTTGGTAAAACTAGAGATCTCGCTAAACAATATGCTATGATATCCAAAACATTTGCAATCGCATTCAAAACTCCGCTGAATCTTTGTTTTGTAGCTTCCTCATCCGTTGTACTCAATTCCCAACTTCTCCATGTAAAACCAGTCAATATTTTGGAATCGGCTAATTTCACCATATATGTATCAATTGGATTGAAACCAGCAATAATAACTTTGGAATATAGATTATGAGTTCGAATTTGAATAACAAATTGTTTGAGAAGATTTTCATCAACATTTTTCACATCCCAAATCATCATTAAATCATTTTTCACACAAAATGCGACAGCTTCTGCAAATGTTGGGAGAGATATATTTGTTCCGATAAATGTAAGATTTTTGAATTCTGCTTCGGTCATTGATGAAATATCTTGATCAATTCCAGTGACACGTTCTGGAAAAATTATTTTTGAATTCGAAAACTTGAAAATTGAAAATATGATGCTTACCAACATTACTATCATGACAAATAACAGCAACACCATCGGAAGTAATTTGAATATCCATCTCCGCCAATTGTCCACCCTCATTTTTAACAGCCAAAAATGCTTCCAAACTATTTTCGGGAATTCCATCGTGAGAAGATCCACGATGCCCGCCAACTTTCCAATTTTCAAAAAATGCGATTTTATTTGAATCATTTGTTAGAACAGGTATCCGGAAAGCGAAGAATAGAATTGTGAAGAGAATCGGAAGAGCAAAGATTATAGCAAGAATAATACGGAAAGTCTGAAAATATTGATAATTGTTTCATTGAATCTGGCTGAATTTCTCACACAAAAAAACAAGTTCCAAAATTCTTGGAAACAATTATTATTTTTCATGATGTTGTGAGAAAAAGTCTAGAGCAATTTAACAAAATAATAGCGGAGTACGGTATCTAGATGAAACTTACATAGATCAAGATTTTGAAAAATGGGTATTTTTGGAGAATGAAAATTAAATTGGATGTTTTCTGAAGACCCATTTAAAATAGAATGAAAAATGAAATTATTTTAAAAGTTCACGTATGATTATTGATTTTATTAAAAACTGCCACGTCCCAAATAAAAATCATTTTGAAAAAATGGAACATGCTACTTGCTAGATCGGAAAATATTCTAGCCGTGGAAGAGAACATCAAAATACAATAGACCTCGTTGAATTCTGTGATATTTCGCATTGACGAGGAATTTTTGGTTTTCTAGGCCAGGTAAGTTCTCTTCCAAGGGTCAAACTTTGACAAAAAATACAAAATTCACCTAGATTTCAAATTTAGTCCGGCTCTAAATACAAATTGAAATTCCAACAACAACAACAAAAAATACTCAAAGTTGCCACGTCACAGTATTTTTGAAAAATATTTTTTCCATATCAAAAACTGCCCAAAAAATTTCTTACCAAAAACTTGATAGCGAGAAGTGTGAAAATCCAGAAAACGACAAATATAATAATCCACGCGATAAACGTTAATAAATCCATATTCACCTAAAAAAATACATATTCTGGAAAAAACAACAATAGAAAACAATAACATTAAAAAAACTAAAATATTTATTGTTTGCCTACACTTAAAATTCTTTGGGCTGGTTGAAAATACCATTCCATTCTGTGGTTTTTTAAATGTTTCAAATAAAAAATAAATGTGTTACATAAATGAAAATTGGGATATAATAAATAGATATCTTCTTCTTTTTGTCCAGTTTAAACTAAATTTTTTGGGATTCTTTGTTTTATCAGAACAAAAAACAAAACACGAAAGAACATGTTTTGGTAGGAGCGGTTTATTGCTGAAAATTAGACTCCTAAAAATCTGGAACTGAAAATTTTTCGATGCAGAAATAAATATAGGAAAAAATTAACTATGGGAAACTTTCATGTATTTTTTTTTTGAATAATAATAAGAAAAAATACTTGGAAAATGTTTTTTTCTAGAAAATTTATATTCGAAAAATTGTAGTGAGTGCAATATGAATTCAAATCAATTTTTATGAGACTAATGAAAATACTTGAAAAATGTAAATAATTAGTGAATCTCGAGGGAAACTATAGTTTTATAAAGTCTATTTGAAATAATCTTAAAATTTAATTTGAAGCTTCAAAAAAATATTAGAACTCACCTTTCTTGGTTGAATCACAAGAGTTTGAGCATTGAATGTATCCTTCCATTGTTTTCTTGTCAATTTTCCGAATTTTTTGAAAAATATTCCAAATCCGATAGCAATTGCAGCAACGTGTAAACCGAGCAACATCAGCATTTCTGAAAAATGAGGAGTATTTAGAATATAGCGAACAAAAATAAGTATTTCGTAAACTTATTCAGCACTTGGAAAAGAAAATAGTGAGCGAACAGATCTGCAGAGAAAAAGAAAAAAACGAAAACAAACTGCGAAAACAAAAAAAACTGTTTTTCAAAAATCCGCCTAGATATTTTGTGCGATGGAGCGAACTTCCATTTTTACTTTTATTTATTTTATTTTTCCCTTCGTTCGGTTGCGAAATAACTTATTTTTCCAGCACAAATGGAAGTAGTTACACTCGAATCAGATGAAGAAGAAAAGAAAGAACAGAAATCTTCTTGGTCTGATATTTTCTCGAGGAAAACAGAAGTGCAAGCACAGAAGAAAGTTACGAAAAAAGAACCGCCTGTAAAAAAAGAAGTTTCACTTGAATCAACTAGTTCTTCTTCTTCATCATTTTCAGAAAATGAAGTTGCAATTGGAACAGGGAAAGCGCTTGTAAAGTCATCAGAAATTATCGAAAGACGAGATAAAGTTTTCGTTGAAGTATTCCATCACAAAAAATATAAAAGTAAACTGCAAATGCGTGCCATCAATTGTATTCTAAAAAGGCAATGCGATGTTTATGTTTCACTTCCAACCGGAGCCGGAAAATCCTTATGCTATCAACTTCCCGCAATTGTTCACGGAGGTATAAGTGTTGTTATTTCTCCACTCATTGCTCTTATGAAAGATCAAATCAGTTCACTTCGATCAAAAGGAATTCCATGTGAAACTTTGAATTCAACTCTAACTGCAGCCGAAAAATCCAATATTATGCGCGAATTGAACTGTGTTGCTCCAAAAATACGAATGCTTTATATCACAGCCGAAGGTGCGGCAACAGATTCTATGAAAAAATTTTTAGCCGATTTGAATAAACGAGAATTATTGAGATATATTATTATCGATGAAGCACATTGTGTAACTCATTGGGGACACGATTTTCGACCAGATTATTTATCACTTGGAAAATTACGTGATATTTGCCCCGGAGTTCCATGGATTGCTTTGACTGCGACTGCAAACACAAAAGCACAAGATGATATTGTATTTCAATTAAAAATGAGAAATGTGGAAAGTTTCAAAGCTGGAACATATCGAGATAATTTATATTATGATGTTTGTATGAGAGATCATTTGAGCACAGCTCCAGAAAATCATCTAGCCGCTTTTATTACAAAATGTTTGAGTGTTGTAGATAAGAAAAATGATGACAAAGGAGGTATTAAGGATAAAAATGTGCGAACACAGAATAAAAAGGTTTGATTTCAAAAATATTTTGTTTCACTAACCAAAATTTGTAATCTAGATTTTGACCGGAAGTGCAATTGTATATTGTCGCTCTCGAAACGAATGCGAACAAATGGCTCTAACTTTGAATAAAGCTGGAATAACTTGTTTGGCTTATCATGCAGGACTTGGGAAAAAAGATCGAAATGATGTACAAGATAAATGGATGTCAAATGAGGTTGCTGTTGTAACTGCGACCGTCGCTTTTGGGATGGGAATTGATAAACCAGATGTTAGGTAACTCGAAGGGAAAAGTTTCAAAAAAAATAATGTCTAAAAATTTGCAGACTTGTTGTTCATTGGTCTCCATCTCAAAATTTAGCTGGATATTATCAAGAAGCTGGTCGAGCGGGAAGAGATGGAAAACGAAGTTATTGTCGCATTTATTATTCAAATTCTGATAAAAATGCTCTGAATTTCTTGGTATCTGGAGATTTGGCGAAACTTCGAGAAAAAGCGAAAAAGAAAAATGGAACTGAATCAGAAAAAGCTGAATTGCAAATAAAAGCTATTCAAACAGGACTTGCAAAAATGATTGAGTATTGTGAATCAGCTCAATGTCGACATGTTTCTATCGCCAAGTTTTTCGATGATTCAGATTGTCGACCGTGTGAAACGAATTGTGATTATTGTAGAAATCCAAAGGATACTGAGAAAAAGTTGCAAGATTTTGAGGTAAAAAAGCATTTTTGCCAAGAACAATTAAAGATAATAAGAAGACATCGAACAGTTTCTGAAAATAATTGGTCTTATCGTTGCGAAAATTCCAATTGATAAAGTTTATGATTTTTTGGGAGAAAAAAGAACTTCAAGAAGAATTGTTCGGTTTTTGGACTGTGCTGATGTAAAAATAATCTGAAAATTGGAAAAATAATTGAAAAGATGCGGGATAAAACCAAGTATCAAATGAAATAATGACTCCAAAATTAGCAAAGCCTAGAAAAAAGTTCCAAATTTTTGAATCCTTATACTGAAAACATTACCATAAGTTTGAAATTTCTCTCGATTTTCACACGATTTGTAAAAACTTCACACAGTTTCACTATCTCAAAGGTCCTCTGTTATTTCGATTTTCAACAAAATAACTACAATGTTCCGCGTTTACACCTCCAAAAATCGTGGAAAACTCGATTTGTAAAGGTGTATATTCGGAGCATCGTTAAGGATATGATTTACCTTCACCTGGTTTTTTTAAAAATTAATTTAAAGTGTTTTTTTTTTCAGTGGGGCAAGGATAAGAAGGCCAACGCTTATATGAATCGCTGGAAAAATAATGATGTTGATACGGATGATTTGTATGGCGGTGGCAAATGGTGAGTCATTTCAACAAAAAAATATCTCAAAAATTTCAACAAAAAAAAAACGATATCAAAACAAAAACACTTTTCGATTTGTCTATGTTTTTTTCGGCCACAGAATGCACTTTTTTCATGAAAAAGGAAACATCTGTTAGGTTTTTTCTATTCAAGAAAACAGTTGTATGAGTATTCATAACGTTTTTCAAAATAATTGTAACCAAATTCATTTTTTCCAGCTCTTTGGCAAAGGACGAAGATATGTGGAAAGAATCAGCAAGTTCGAGTACTGTGAAAGATCGATGTGAAACTGAAGAAAGTCAAAGATTGAGATCAGTTTTGAAAAATGAATTCGCAAAAAGAAGAAGTAATAATTCCGAAGGATTTGGTGGGCCGGTCAAACGAACAAAAGTTGAGGAAAAACCAGCTGAAGATGTGTCTGTCATTAATTTTGAATTGAAAACTATTCCAAATGTCACATTAGAAGTGAGAACTTTCTTATAATAATTATCATTTCAACATATATATATTTATAATTTTTAGACTCGAGAATCATTAACTCGCCAATTCATCAAAGCACTTCAAAGAAAACTGGATCACCAAGTCATCTCAAGATATTACCGCAAAAAATTGTGCTGAAAAACTTGAGTTTGCGTTGTATGGTAGTTGTAAAACTGCAATGACTTATCGAATGAAATGCTCACATAAGGTAAATTTTAAGAATTTCTAGAGGTTTTTAGAAGGACTATAAATAAGATTCCGACTAGGTACGATTTATGGGAGAAATTCTGAACCAGAACATTTTTTTGAGAACAAAAATAGACAAAAAAAGTGGTCCGATTCAGAATTCTTCTCAACAAATCGAACCTTTTCCGATTCCTCTGATCATTTTCCAAATTTGCCAAACTTCTATTTCCAGGTGGCTGAGATCAAGAAAAAGACGAAAAACTTTGAAATTTTCGAATTTGAAAACACAGCCATCGAACAATCTGGATTTTCCAAAGCCTCCAATTTAATCTAATTATTTAATTTTATGATTTTTATTAATATCTGTGTATTTTTGATTTTCAATATCAATATTTTACGGTTTATGAAATATGAAGTGCTTGAAACTACGATTTACGTTTTTTTCGAAAATATTTCTTTCTCAATGACACTTATAATCCTCTCATGGAAAAAATGGTGTCAAGTTCAGTTCATTTCTTACTCCACTATGTATATTTTCTACCGCTTTTTTTTCGGTTGAATAAAATAAACATCATAAAATGATGGCATTCTTATTTCGTTATCTTTTGGAAATTGTTTAATGTTTTATCAGAATGCATGTAAATTGAAATCAGTATATTTTATATTTTTTGTCATTGATTTTTCTTCTTGTTGGAGTTCAAAAACCCGCCTTTTAAGTGCCAAAATCAAACAAAAATTACTCAAATATTTAAACTCGATGATAAGTAAAATAAAATTGTGTGTTTAGTTCCTTTCCTAAAATGGCAACGCAAATTTGAAATTTCATAACACAAAAAAAATTTCGAAACTCAATTTTCTCTTTCTCCAAAAAAATTTCGTAATTCGAAGCCAGTAAGTAGTCTCTTTTTTCCCAAGATGCTCACAAAAAGTGCTAAAATTGCGTAATTCTCACTAATTAGTCTGTTCAGTCAGTCAACAGAGTTCCGCGCGCCCGTTCCAAATTATTCAAATATTTGTTTTTGTCGCCAGCCCAGCGAGAAAAACACTTCCGCAAGAATGAAGCTTCTCATTTTCGCTGTTTCCCTATTCAAAATGTAACTCCACGTGGTTCCAAATTTTGCAACACATCTGGACATGGGCGGCCAGAAAGTAGACTGTGCAAATTTTTTTTGAAAATTTTTTATGTTGTTTACAAAAAATGATACTGAAATTGTATTTTTCGAATTAAATTTGTGATAAAAATTTAAAATCTCACTCCTAAAATTAAAATCCACGTGGATTACTATCAAGTAGAGGTCTACTTGAAATCCACGTGGAATTTCAGCAGACCTCTAACTCTTTTTTCGATAATTTTTAAATGTTTCGGACAAACTTTATCCAGACTCCAGTTGAAAACAAAAAAAAATCCTAAATCCTACAGTAAGAAATCGGAAGTGGCTCTTTTTCTCTTCGTTTTTTTCCCAGCTCAAGCTTCTTCATCTGTTCGTCCACTTTTGATGAATTAATGACTGTCCCTCTAACCATCTAAATCTCTCCTTATTCCACACTCTCTCCAAATTTCAAAGTGGACACCCTTTCCTTTTTTCCATCCACCCAAAATGATGTATGGTGTCCATCGAATTGGATTAGTTTGCTATATTTTATTCAATGCTGGCTTGGCGCCAAGCCGGTTTATTTTCTTTTTTGCTTCGAGGGTGAAAATCGTCCGTCGGACACTGTTCTTTTATTATAAGAGGAGGAGATTAGCGAGAAAAAGAAGGCGGAAAAGTCAAACTTTTTTGGACTTACTATTAGTTTTTTTTATTGTTGATGTTGCTTGTAATATTTACCCAGTCAATGACTCATTTGAAACTTTTTTTTTCATTTTTCCTTTTTGAGAGAAAAAATGTAACTTTGATTTTTTTTTCTAGATGGCTCTTCACGGACATGATCCGAAGATTTATGGCGTCGAAGATTTGGTTTTATTATCCACAATTGATTTGAACAATGTTGTTGATAATTTACGAATTCGGTGAGTTTTTGTTTTCGAAAAATAAAAGGGGGAAAATTATTTAAATAGGATTTTTGAATAAATTTAATTTCGCGTGAAAAATTGTCATTTCCAGAGAAAAATAATTTTTGAATCGGACCACTTATTTTTGATTTTTCAGTAAGTTTTGAATTTCAAGAAATTTGAACAAATTAAATATTTAATTGTAATTTCTGCAAGGTTCAAAAAGTCAAAAAAATTCAGATTATATTTTTAAGTTTTGCAAAGGCAACTTAACTTTTGAAAATTTGAAAATCCCAATTTCCCTCACCTTTTTCTCCCCTCCCCCAGATTTCCAAACTGATCCTTGATCTCTTATTTTTTGTCCATATCATTTTCATTTGATATATTCCACCCTCATCGAATGGCGTTTACATAAAAACCAAAATAAATAAATAAATAAAACCGGGCGGCAATTAAATTGTCGTATAAATCGAATTTAAAGAGAGGGATGGACATTAGAAGAAAACGAGGAATGAAATAAAAATATATAACTAACGAGCGGACGATTTATCGAAAAATGACACCAAAAACGTTGTTTTTGAAAAGATGCAACAACTTAAGGGTTCAAAAGATCAAATAAATTTTGCAGATTTCAAAAAGGTCGAATCTACACATATATTGGAGAAGTATTGATTGCTGTAAATCCATACCGTAATCTAAACATCTATGAAAAAGACACTGTTGACAAATACAAAGGTCGAGAAATATATGAGAGAAGTCCACATGTTTTTGCGATTGCTGATTCGGCTTATCGATCAATGAAAAGATTCGGAAGAGATTCATGCATTGTTATTTCTGGAGAATCTGGAGCGGGGAAAACTGAGACAAGCAAAATTATTATGAGATATTTGGCAGCTATTACAAATGTTCAACAACAGGGAGAGATTGAGAGGTTGGAGAAAAATGAGCAAAAATACTGTAGATCAATAATTAAATTTTTCCAGAGTCAAGAATGTGCTCCTGAGATCAAACTGTATTCTGGAAGCTTTCGGATGTGCGAAAACAAATCGAAATGACAATTCATCTCGTTTCGGGAAATATATGCATATAAACTTTGATTATGAAGGAGATCCAATTGGTGGAAATATTTCGAATTATCTTTTGGAGAAATCTCGTGTTGTCAGACAACAAACTGGCGAGAGAAATTTCCATGTTTTCTATCAATTAATCAATGGAGCAGATGATAATCTTTTGAGAGGATTTGGATTGGAAAAATCGGCCAAAAAGTTTTATTTTTTGAATCAAGGAAATTCGGAAAAAGTTGCATCGATAAATGATTCGAGAGATTTTGCGGAAGTTCAATCTGCACTTCGATCAATCTCAAAGTTTGATAGAAATGATGTTGAAAGTGTGAGTTCAGATATTTTTGATACAAATACCGAAAAATATTTTGATTTCAGATGTGGTCTGTAATTGCTGGTTTGATTCACTTGGGAAATATCAAATTTCGAGATTCGGATAATTCTTCTGGTGCTGTTTCAGTTTCAGACAAAGTTGCGATTCAGAACGCTGCAAAATGTCTTTCTGTAACACCAGATGAACTTGTCAAATCTTTAACATCTCAAGTTGTCGCAGCTCATGGTGATATTGTCAAAAAGCAACATGATGTAAATGCAGCTTATTATACAAGAGATGCATTGGCAAAAGCACTTTATGAGAGACTTTTCTCGTGGGTTGTTTCACAAATTAATGAATCAATTAATGTGCAAACATCATCGAAATATTCGAAATCACATGTGATTGGAGTTTTGGATATTTATGGTTTTGAAATTTTCGGATCAAATAGTTTCGAACAACTTTGCATCAATTATTGCAATGAAAAACTTCAACAACTTTTTATTGAATTAGTTTTGAAACAAGAACAAGAAGAATACGAAAGAGAAGGTATCAAATGGCAAAAAATCGAGTATTTCAACAATAAAGTCATTTGTGATCTTGTTGAAGTTCCAAGAACTGGAATTCTTTCGATTTTGGATGAAGCTTGTGCTTCAATCGGAAATGTAACTGATAAAGTATTTTTGGGAGAAATGGACAAGAAACTCAAAAATCATCGACATTATACAAGTCGAACATTGAAACAAAGTGATAAATCAATGGGTTTTGAAGAATTTAGAATAACTCATTATGCTGGAGATGTGACGTATTCTGTTCTTGGTTTTATGGATAAAAATAAGGATACATTATTCCAAGATTTGAAACGATTGTTATACAATAGGTAATTAATTATTTGGAACCCGACTTTGAAAAAAACCTATTTTTCAGCAAAAATCGTTTGATAAAATCATTGTTCCCAGATGGTTCAAAATCAATGTCTGAAGTAAATCGTCGTCCTCCAACAGCTGGATATCTTTTCAAGAATTCAATGAGTGAACTTGTCAAACAATTGGCACAAAAAGAGCCACATTATATTCGTTGTATCAAACCGAACGATGAAAAAAACTCATCGGTTTTCGATAAAGAACGAGTTGAACATCAAGTTTTATATTTGGGACTTCTTGAAAATGTTCGAGTTCGACGAGCTGGTTTTGCACATCGCATGCCATATGATCGATTTATTAACAGGTACAGTTGACAAACCTTGATTCAAAATAAATATTTACTCTATTTCAGATACAAGTTAATTTGCCCAACAACTTGGCCAAATGCCAGATATCGTCAAGCTCCAAATGCAACTTGTACTGAAATTCTTCGACATGTGAATCTTGCAAATGATTGCGTAGAAGGAAAAACAAAAATATTCATCCGAAGTCCACAAACAGTTTTCAATTTGGAGGAATTACGAGAGCAAAAGCTACCAGAAATTGTGACATTTTTGCAAAAAATGGTTCGAGGAGTGCAAGCTCGTGAAAGATATCGACGAATTCTAGCTGTCCGAACAATTATCGGAGCATATCGAAGATACAAATTGAAAACTTATATCAAACATTTGATAAGAACTTTCAGGTAACAAAATATTTGTTGTGTTTTAGTTGAAGAGTTATTTAGTTGTCGGAAATCGACATAACCTTTATTCTCAGAAACAAACAATTATTGTTATTTTATTCGTCAATCATTCATTCCACCCCCATTCCAAATTATATTCAATCTGAAAAACATTGTTGTTTCAGAGACGTTAAAAGAATGCCCGATCTTGGAAAATCATTACGTTGGCCAGCTCCGCCATTGGTTTTGGCTCAATTTGTGACTCGTCTTCGATATATGCATCAAAGATGGAGAGCATCTGTTATTCTTTCAAGAATTCCAGCGCATTTGCGAGCAAGTTTGTATCAAAAAATTGCCGCGTTCGAGGTATTCAACGGAAAGAAGGAAAATTGGGGTTTCAGCCGATTTTGGAAAGGCGATTATTTGTCTATGGTTAGTTCAAAGGGGAAATATTTTGATTATTTTAAGTTCATCAATTTTCAGCAAGACGAACTGGATCCTCCAGCTACAGTATCTGTTTATCATGATGGACTTCAAACTCTCCGACAATCTCATAGTTTCGGAAAAGTTCTATTCAGCACATATATTCAAGTAAGATTTTTTTTAAAGCTTTGATCTTCTCACATAAGTTTTTTTTCAGAAATTCAATAAATTTAACAAAAGTTCCCTTCGAGTTTTGTTAATTACTGATCGATTTGTGGCCAAATTAGAAACAAAGAAGTTCAAATTATTGAAAGAGCCTATTTCTCTCAACTCGGTGAGCCTAACGAATTTTGGAAAAATATTTTATAAGGGGGTTTTCAGATCTTACGAATTTCTGTTTCTGCTGATGCAAATGGTCTTTTCGTGATTCATGTTGGAGATAATGATATTGTTGGATGTGCAAAAAATGTGAAAGGAGAAGAACGAATCGGTGAAATGATTGGAACATTATTGGCGCATTTTGACAAGTAAGCAATTTCTATTGAAAACCAAAACAAAATCTAATCTCAAAATTTTACAGACAAAACATGCGTCGTCCATCAATTTCAATTCAATCAAATCTTGTGTGCACTTTGGGTGGAAAGACTCGAACAATCCGAGTGTTCGATTCAGAAACTGCCGAAATTTCAGCTCCAGTTTTCAAGAAAAATGGAAACGATGTTGATCTTATTTGTCAACAATTACAAGTCGCCTAACCTCATTTCCCAAATTTCACATGTTTTGCCATTTCACCGGTTTCTTTTTTACCATGTTAATTATTCAGTTCTAGTCCCTTTTCTATACTTGTAATCTTTTCTTTAAACTATTCCAATGAAAAATAAGAAAATGAGTGATGAATTTTATATTAAAATGTATATAATTAAAACGATTCAATTGAAAATAGAGAGGTCAAATAGCTGGGTTGATTTAACAAAATAAAAAAATAATTTAGAACTCTTTTGAGATATTGCGGATCATGAGATTCAGTTTTTGAGTATCTGAAAATTCAGATAACATATTTTTACTTTTAATTTTTTCATTAACAAACCAAAAAAAATACCGTGTTTAGGTTTGATGAGTGAGACGATAATAATCTGTTGGGGCAACTGAATAATAATCGTTTGCATCAAAATATTTGTCAATATTTTTGTTGAGATAAACAACAAAATCGTGAATTGTTTGAGTGATTCCTTTCAAAACATAATCGTTCCAAGGTGATAATTTCAATAAATTTGGCAAATGCATCAACAAACGCAACAAATGAACAAGTCCGTAATATTTTGATGGGCGGAATTCATCGTCGGCATTTGAATTTGAAGGAGATGATTCTTTGGCTGCCGCAGCTGCTGATTTACGCGATTTTTTTGCAACTGGTTTTCCTGCGTTTTTTTCTTTTTCGACCAACTCTTGAAATTGCGGTTGTTCAAATTTGTACAACAATTGTAATCTGAAAAACTCGGTGCTCATGTGTGTTTTGAAAAAAAAACTCACTCTAAAAGATTGTTAAAATAATCAGCGACACCTCTCGCAGAGAGAATCATTGAATCTGCTGCGAATAGTGAACTTCCATTTTCGTATTCAACATAAAATTCGTCCACAGTGGCGTCGTCTTTATTTTTTCCTAATGTTGCTCGATACTGAAAAAAAATTCATCAGGGAAAATACAAAAATAATTTAAGACAATTCTTACGTCTTCAATAATTTGATCGACTGTAAAACGCGCTGGAACTTTGGTTAGATAATTTTTGTTGATCAAATCTCTATCGTCGATGAGAATCGCACGAAGTGGTTTTGGCAACGAAACATTGGTATCGAATGTTGGTTTCTCGGCACCTAAAGCAGGTGAATCAGTAGCTTTCCTTTTATTTGATTTTGATTTCAAACCAAAAGCACCCGGCGAACTAGCTCTCGATCCATTATCACTCTTGTCATCGTTCACATTTTCCACTCGACCTTTCTTATTCTTCTTTTGTTCTTTGTATTGGTGTTTTGCATCGGCAATAGATTCAGGTGTTGCTTCGAAAATTTTACCGGCACTTTGACTGTGTTTCACATTTTCATCATAACGACTGTTCCACCCTTTATAATGAACTAAATAGCTAGGATCTCCGGATTCTAAATCTGCTACTTCCAAAATTTTTGCTTCGTATTTAACACCAAGATGTTTGCAGAGAATTAACTGGCCAACAGTGTAGAAGGTTGATTTGCTTGATTTTGGTGGCATTCTCTAGAAAACAATATTTTAGGGAAGAAAAGGTATTAGCAAGAAAATAATAAAAATACGTCAAGTTTTCAAACAACACTGAGGATTCACGTGTTCTTATATTTTTAATTCCTGAAACTCTTCACGTGACACTCTCTCTCGAATTTTCTGTCTGCGTCTCTATCAAAAACCTCGCTCTCAGCTCTGTCGTTTTATGTCAGCGTTAAAACGTTGTGTCTAATTTGAATAAAATACTGCTACTTCAATGAAAAAGAACCAGAGGAAAATTGGGCCAATTCTTAATGCGACAAGATGAAAAAACTATTGAAACCTATGCCCTCTAAACTAATGTTTGCAAATCATGCGTGCTTACCTTTTACTCGCGAGCAAAACAAAACAAGAAATTCGAAAATTTCGAACGTTTTTGAACGGAAAAAAACGAAACGCGCCGTTTCGTTGGGGCGCACTTTCTCTTTCTCGTCAAATAAAATGCCGAGTGTGCAATGCAAAACACACAAGCCCACGCAAAAAAACACAATTTTGTGACGTTGACTTTCTCAGTTTTCTTCATTGAAGTCTTTCAAAAGCTGAAATGTCAGCTACCGACGAGAAAATTGTTGTTATTAACAAATGGGATGGTTTAACTGTTAAAAACACTTTGGATGATACTGTCAAAAAGGTAAGATTTTATTGATTTTTTATTTATTTATTCAAAGAATTTTTCAAAAATGATGATTTAGCTTCTAAATGATCGAATTGGATGGACAGAATCACACCAAATTATGAACTTGCGACTATTGATTTCTTTTGTTGGTGTTGCATTTGCTGGATTCGCTTGTGCTTATGACTATTATGATCCTTATCCAAAATCTGGTCCGGTTTTACTTGTTTGTTCAATCACATATTTTATCGCTATGGGTATTTTACAAATCTTCGAATGGTATTATGCCAAAGACTGCTTCTATGAGGCCATCGAACTCGATAAAAAACAAAAACGTAACTGGTCATGGAGTTCAGAAATGAGAAAGTGAGTTATTATTCCTTTTAAAAAATTGAGCAATTATAAATTTGAAAATACTTCTAGATATGACGATAAATACACACTTTCTGCCGAGTTCAAGAAAGAAGGTCGATCAGGTCAAGCCAAAATCACCAAATCTGTTGGTTCTTACATCGATCATGATGGAGAGGTTGGTATTTTATTTTAAAATTATTCAATTTCAAAAAAAACTCTTTTCAGGTTATTGTTCCACTTCTTAAAGCAGAAGTCGATTCTCTTTATCAACGACTTGTCAAGGGGGAATAAGGCTTTAATAATATTTATATATCCAAATCATCTGTCGGGATCCTATTTTGTTCTATTCTATTTATTAAATATTAAACACTTCATTTCATAAAGCAAAAAAAGGTATATTCACATGAGAAAAAACAAAAAAAATTGATGTTACATGAAAACCCATATTTCAAGAGACTTGAGAAAAATCAAGAGGTTAGTCAAAATGATAAATATAAAAAGAAAGAAAGACATTTCAAAAATTAAAAAATCAGTTATGCATACTATTAGTCATTTCAAGTTTAAATGGATCACTAAATAACGATGGTGATTGGCGGAAATTAAATTGATTGTGAGATTGTGCTGAACTATTTGTTGTTGTAGTATTTGTCGGACTAGCAGATGCATTATTAGCAATTATAACAGGTGGTTCCCATTGACTTGTGTCAGTTCCACCAAAATCATCAATTCCACAAAATCCACCACGTGCTGATTCGGTATTTGAACCCAATTCATGATCAGCTTCTACAGCAGACAATTCTTCATCTTGCGCATATTCTACCCCATTAACAATATTCATTGGCGCCATTCCAACTAATTGTCTTTCAATAAACGGTGTTGTTGCTTCATCATCTGATTGTTGCATAGTTTTGAGCAATTTTCCAATTTTATTCAATCTAAGCGGTGTTGTTGCTGAAGACATATCAGTCAATCTTCCACTCGACGAAGCTGGACTAATTGGACCAGAAGATCCACGCCAAGAGCCAAAAGATCGAAGTGGATAAGATCCATCGAGATTCATCCCATGGAATTCTCTTTGTGGATTGTGTCTACTTCCATTCGAAATTACAGATTCCGCATAAATATGTTGTTGAGAATGATGATGAAGATGATCAGAACTATATGGATCACTGAAAATATGAAGGTGAAATTGGGATTTTTGAAAAAAATATTTTCAAATCTTACCGTACTCCCGGTGCACCATTGTTCAGAAGACTTTGACTTCCAGCACTATCTCTTGACCGAAGACTTGTCGAATCTCTTTCATCAGCTTCTGTGATTCGATTCAATGCTCCATAAATTCTTTTCGTCGATTTTCTTTTTCTTTTCTCCTCCCTAAAAAATAGTTGAAAAAATTGGTTCTCGAAAATTAAAAAAAATCCCCATACCGATAACTTGGCATATTTCCAAATTTGATTTGTCTATCAGGCGATTCATCGATTTTTTCATCACTCGGTTTCGGAATCTCAACAACACTTTTTCTTCGATAACATAACATGAGACATACTAAACACATCAAAAGGCACATTCCAACACCAAGGAGAATTGCAAAAAGTGTGGCTGTTTCAAGGGTTGTTCCAATATTTAAATGAGGAATTATGATTGTAGATTTTGGATTATCAGAAAAATGATGGGCGGTTTTATCGAATCCCATTTGTGAAGAATATGTTGATGTGTTACTTCGAATATCACAAGCATTTCCAGACCAACCATTGAAGCACACACATTTCTGGAAAAAAGTTTTTTGTTGTTTAATTGAATATCACAAAAAATAGATAACAAACCGATGTTGTGGTACAATGTCCATGTCCACTGCAAAGAAGTGCCAAATTATTAGTTGGACAAGCAACTGATGCACTAACAGATGACATTTCAACACAACTTCCAGCAACACAAACTCTTCCACTTGCGCAAGATGCGCCATCTCCAATTAATCCAATTTTACTCGATGCAATACTTTTGCATTGAATTTGTTGGGAATTATCGGAAAATTGGAATGTGAATGCTTTAAGAGTTGAGTCAATTGGAGCAATTTGTCCGCTTTGACAATGAAGAGTTCCACATCGAACATCTTCCATTTGACATTTATGATAAGATCCATCAGATTGATGTCCACAATTCGCATATTCGACGCCTTTCACATTTTGTTCAAAGCAAACATCTTCTGCAATTCTCGCATCTTTACCCCAAACATTTTTACATTGACTATGTGCATCGCTACAATTTCCTCTCCAACATTGTCCATCATTTCCACAAACAGTTCCATCAATTAAATGTCCATCTGGTGGACAATCTCCCGATTTTCCATCACATTGTTCAGCAACATCACACGGTGATTCAGAAGCTCGACAAACATCTCCAGCTCTTCGAAGTTCGCATCGATGACAACATTTTTGATGTGCTGCACATTGTGCATGTGGTCGAAGTGTGCAAGTTAATGGATCACAACATGGATCTGCGCAATTTTCTCGACTTCCACAATCACATTCTTCCGACGCGTCAACAATTCCATTTCCACATTCTCGTAATTCCGAAACTTGGAATGGTTTATTGAGAAGACATTGAATATTTCCATCCTGCCAAATTCCATGCATTCGAGCAATTGAGCACTTCGAAAATTGCCACGCAAAAGGCGACCCAAATTTTCCAGGATTTTGTCTCATAATACATTCGGGAGCTGGCTCACAAGAACACGCCGCTGTGTCATGTTCTAAACCCAAAAGATGTCCAATACTTTGCGCTAATAATTCGCCATTCCAATGAGTTGCAAATTGATCAATTGATTTGGTTATAATTGCAGATCGAGCTGTGCAAATACTTCGAACTGCTGAATTTGCAACTTCCGAGTTTGCAAAACTTCCAGATGTGAACAAAACTGTCGCATCTTTTTCTGAAAAATTTAAAATTGACACCCTGGCAAAAATTTTTTTGCAGCGTGGAAATTTTTGCAAAAAAAATTGTGCACCGTGAAATTAGCTTCCCGCCCAAATCAAAATTTCGATTTGGGCGGGAAGCTAATAAAAATTTACGCCTAAAAATGACGAATCGTGATTTTGGAGTCACTACGAATTTTCGATTTTTTGGATAAAAATGATAAAAACATGTGCAGTGTGGCTTTTGAAAATTGTTGTACAGTGTCCTTTTTGGACACGTCTTGTCAGGTGTTTTAAATTGACTCGTTTTTTCATCATCACTAAAAACTTACGAATATGATAAATATGTCCAGTTGTATAATCAACAACTCCACTCAAAGTTCTTTCAATATCTTCATGCAGATCAATTCTCTGAACATCCGACCAAAGTTCGATATAAACCGCAGATAATCGAATATTCAAATCTCGCGATAACATCGAATCTGCGATATTCAATGTTTCAAGCATATAACTGATAGCTTCTAAATCAATATTTCCCCGCGATTTCATAAATTCATAATCAGCAATCATTGCCATTTCAATATATTTTGTTCGTTTCGACACATCTCTTCTCGATTGCTTGTGAGATTTGGAATGTGAATTTGAATGATGATGTCGATGTTTATGTTGTAAGAAATTTTCAATTTCTCTTTTCAATCTTTGATTAGAAGAGGGAGATGCATTTGTTCCACATTTCGCATCATTTTGCCATTTTGTTTTATAAAGAATATGTGGATGTCGACGACTATTTCGATCTCCTCCATCTAATGGCCAAATTCCGTAAGTTGTACCATTTGAAAATGAAATCACGCCTCTGAAAAAAGCTTTATTGGTACAAGGGTTGAATCAAATATTTACTATTGGGTGATTCATAAAAAAGTTGAGAAAATAATAGAGATTCTGAAATGGAAAGTGTACAGGACATTAACTTTTCCTACCTTTAGAAATGAGAGAAATGAACCATTTTTTAAGGAATTTTTTCACGTGCAAAAAAAGAAATTTCCTAATTGAAAACTCATTTCTAGAAAAATTAGTATTTCTGTGTTTCAAAGCAGGGATTTCGAAAAACGATGAAAAATAATATCAGATTGAAATTGAAAATAATTATTGTTTAATTTTAGAAAATTCATCTGAATCAGAACTGTTTTTTCCGGAGACAAAAAAGTTTAGTTTATCAAAAATTTCAACCACAAAAAAACTGAATTTAATCCCAAACTAGAAAATGAAATTTCCAACTCACTTCAATCCATTACACGATGAAACAGCGACAAAAGATTCTTCTTCTCCCCCAACAATTCCCTGATAATAGCAATTTTCAATTCGTTGTCCAATTATTCTTTCGCCATCCGAATCAAGTTTATGAAAAGCCGTCTGATTAACAAATATAAAATTGTTGCGTTCGAGCACCAATTTCATTCGTCCCATCAAATTACTTCTTATCACAATTGTAACATGTTCATAGTGTTCTTGAGCTTTCAGAAAATAATTGCGTGTATCAATTCCGATTCGCTCATTTTTGTCTCGAATTTGAAATGGATGAACAACTTCATATTGATCAGCTTTCATTGTTTCCATAAATGCTTTATTTGTTGTTGTTTGCCGAATATCCACTGAAAAAAAACACAATGGAATTTATTTTTCGAAAATTAATTTTCTTACCTTTGGATAAAACATTTTGTATAGATAAATGTAGTAATAGCAGAAAAAATAAACTAGAGAAATACATTTCGGAGTTTTTGTTATAATAGTCGAATTGATGATGGCATTATTATAATAGAAAATAATATGAGTGCAGGTGTGTCAAATTCTACAAATATTCATTGTGATCAAAATTATATGCAAATCGAGGAGAACGAGCGAGAGAGCAAAGAGAGTGAGAGAGATTAGAGATAAGAAAAATAATAGGAAATTTTTTTGTGGATATAAATCAAAAAAAAATTAGAGGGTTTGGAATTGAGCGAATGGCCCATAGGCCAATTTTCAGAATTAAAAAGCTTCCTTGGAAAATTCGTATTTCAGAATACAATTTATGGTCAAATTTATCTAGGTGTATGATATTGTGAACTGTATAAAATAATTCATTTCGGCCCCAAAATCAAACATTTTTAATTTCTAACATAAAATTCGCCACCAAAGAAAAATTTTTGAAATGAAAAAACCCGTGAAAAACGTGACCCCGTTCAAACTGCAAATTTTCTATCTCTCCTCATTTCAAAATTTTCAAAATCTAAAAGAACGTAACATTTTTCTGTGGCAAGTAACTGTTAAACATCGCTAATTTTTGGTGAAGCAAATTTCATCTTCCAAAAAAAAAGATAAATCTATGTGTCAGTTCAGTTCATAAGGATGACCAAAAATGGGCGAAAAAAAATCGTCACCACCTGTTCTTCGTCTGTCCACGAGAAGAACAAAAAAATAGGAGAATAAGAGGGGATTTTTTGCCACTCGCCCGACCGATTTCAATGAATAGTGTGTGGTTCTTCAGCGAGTGGATCTCGAGACATGAATGAATTTTGAATTTCTCTTATTCATATGTAAATGTGGAATTGCGTATTCGCATAACTATGGCATAGTGGAGCAAAAAAGGGGGGATAAAAAAAAGTGCGTGCGCGGGAAATTTGATTTTTTGCCCTTTTATTTGTGTGTGCTCTTTTGTTAAGGGACTTATGGTGGACAAAAAAAACCATATGGTGAGTGAGAACAAATAATAATTGGTTTTTTCAATGCCAATCAATTAATATTAACTTTGGCTCATATAAATAGAAAAAAAAGAAAATAAAAATCTATCTTTGTTATTTTTGGTGGTGGAGCATTATCTAATGAATGAGAACAACAAAACGTAAAAATTTCCACTCGACAAATTTCGAAAAGAGCCTATCTACATTTTAAATCTAAGCATGTTCCCTCCCCAAGTCATTCTTCCCTCTAAGATTATAATTCGAGATTTTGACAAATTGCACCAAGAATATTTTATTGGTGGTGGAGATTTAGATAACATACATAGTTTTTGCATTAAATTATTCTGATTTGCATATTTCAATTCATTTATTCATATTTCCCACCAAACCACCCCAAAAATACTTGAAGAGATGAGTCAGCAAAGGGATAAAGAAAACTATTGTGAAACAATGATCGGAACGTTTTTGAGTGACAGACAGAAAGGAAGATGAGACACATACATAAATATAAAATGGGAGCAAAAAGAAGAAGAAGCTGAATGAAGGAAGAAAAAAAGAAGGGTATTTTGAAAACAAAAGGGGAGGAGGACACTTAATCGTTTATGTGATGGATTTTAGTTGGTAGGAGAGGAGACACGCACTTGCGAAATTCATCCAATAACTTTTCCATGGAATTAAAAAATGAAAAGAGTTTTTTGTGCCCAAAATTGTCAAGGATCGGAGCCTAGAGAACATAGAACATAGTTCTCAAGTAGCCGCGCCTTGAGAATCTTATCATCTAGGACCCGCTTCTAGAGATAAACTCTGCAAAGCAGTAGAGCTTGGGAATCCTAGCTGTCAAGGCGCTGCGCTTAGAAAACCCTATTATCAAGGATCAGCGTCTAGAGGACCGATAAAAATACGTAGTTGCGAAATTCATCCAACAACCTTCCGAAGCTCACTCTAAAACATATGAAAATAAGTTTCTACATAAATTTTAAGACGAAAAACGAAATAGATATTTATTGGCTCAATTTCCCAATCGAATAAAGTCGGCGTTTCCGCTCAGCCACGGAAGGACACATGTTATTTTTCTCAAAAAAAAAATAAGTGAATAATTTTTCTCTTTTTTTTTCGTTTCGTATAGCTAAATAACAGCTTCACAATATGTAAATAAAAGTAACTAAGTCAAAATAAAAATAGCCGAAAATCTCCTTCTACAGAAATATAATTCGATAAAAAATTTCGAAATCTGAATCTCGTGCGTTTTTTTTTGAAAAGAACGCGAAACAAATCCAATTAGCCTCGCCTATAGGAAACATGTGTAAAAGTATATATACATAAAGAGAATTTAGAAGGGGGAAAACCCGAAAAAATCATAAAAACCCAACAGGCCGTGTCCAGATGTTAATGTGAAACCGAATTGGAACTAGAACAACAAAGAAAAGCGCAAATTAAAATGTTTTTAATTGCAAACTGAAATGAGTTCCTTTGGGAATTTCAGAAATCTGACACATTTTGAATCTTGATTGAGAAATAAATTACTCAAATTCATACTTACATTCATTCATTTAAAAATCGATTTGCATAAAAATTGGCTCATAAGAAAATAAGTAGTTTTTTTGCGTGTTAGCCACACTTTTTTGAAAAATGAAGATAAATTACGTCCAGACCTTTTGAATATGAATTAATCCCCTAGCAACACAAAGCAAAAATTGGATTGAATTAAGATTCTATTAAAATCTAGTGACCAAGCGCATTATAAATAATAATAAAAGAAAAGAAAAATAAATCTGACTCGTTTACAAAAGGCGGTGAAAAATAAAAGAAGCACAAGGGAGTTGTTATGAGCGGAAAAGGGAAACAGGAAATGTCACATAATTCAAAAACGGGTCGGCTCGATGTGAGAGAATGTTTTTGAAAAACATGTGAGAACTATGAAATTATTCATCAATGTATACGTATTATATAAAGAAATCTCATTAAACTAACCTTTTATTAGTAGTACAAAGAGAGGTTGACAATAGTCGTTTGATTTTTCAATGGTAGAAGCTCTTCAAAGGATAAAACATGGAAAGCAGCACGAGAAAAAAACAAATTTCAATTTTCGAGCTGCTTTCAAAACTTGGCAAACATCCAGCAGCGTCTCTCTTATTGATTACCGTAGTCTTGTGTGTGCGCCGACGCCAGGGTGTATGAAACACGCTGCTAAACTAACCTCTCGCCCGTTTTGAGCTCAATCGATAATTCGTTTATTTTTCAAGAGTACACGTAGATTTTGAAGTTTTTCCTTGCTTTTTTCGTTTTCAGCAGGTTGAATTTAGTCTGTCATGAAGTATTCTTTGTGCAGGTTCTTATTTAACAGCAGTTTTGAGCTGAAAACTGTTTTTCGCGCGGATTGTAAATCATTTTTCTGTTAAAGATGTTCTTCTCTAAATTTGAACGATTTCAGTTTTTCTTAGCTCTAAGCTTCGATTAGATTTATTCAGAATGTGAAATATTGCTCTGTATTTTTTTACCTTTCACAGAAATCATGTTTTAAAAAGTCACGTAGACCGAGATTTATCGTCTGTTTTCGTTTCGTTGCTCTAGAACTTTCTCTATTAAATGTTTAAGGTAAAATGGCCTCGTTGACCCGCGCCATTACACGTTTGGCTGTCCAAACCGGACGCGGAGCCGTCCGCTCCATCGCCACAACCACTCCAGTCTCTGGACACAGCGACGATATTATGGAGAAATGGCCAGCTGATAGTGAGTTTTGCACGTTCATTGTTGTTTCAAATACAAAAAAATGTTTCAGAGTTCGACAACCATTTCATCACTTATCTTAACCGACCAGAAATTGATGGATGGGAGGTCAGAAAGGGTTAGTTTTTTTTCGAAAATCGTAGTAATGCATAAAAGAATGATTGGTTTTCAGCTCTTACCGAATTGCACGACTATGACGTCATCCCAGACCCAAAAGTCGTTGAAGCTGCACTTCGCGCTTGCCGTCGAGTCAATGATTACGCTTTGACTATTAGATTCCTCGAAGCTATCAAGATCAAGTGCGGATCACAAAAGAACCGTGATGCTATCTATGGATACATTGTTCAACAAATCAAACCAGTTTTGGATGAACTCGGTATTTCAACTCCAGAAGAACTCGGTTACGATAAGCCAGAATTCTTTATTCCACAACCAGAATTCTGGTGGGAGAAGAGATGGTTCGTTTTTTTGCAATGTTTTGATCTGAGATTAGGGTGGAGACTTTAACATTATTTCATTGGGAAAAAAATTCCTAATCGAAAAAGTTCTGACATTTAGGATTTTGAAAAAAAAAATGTTTTTCAATAAAAATATCGATTTTAAATTTCAAAGTACGTGACCTGAAACGTGCAAATTTAGAAATCATTACTTATGAACTGTTACATTTTAATTTTTGAGCATTTTTGCACAGACCAAAAACTATTTTTCCATTTTTTCTTCAAAAATCACAGTTCATATTCGTTCGAAATTTTCAAGTTCATAAATATATTATTTGTTTTTCTTCTTTCAAAATTAGTTTCCTGAGTCTCGCCCAATTTTCGACAAAATAATTATTCTGTACTTTTCCATACTCAAACATCTAAAAATGTGTTTTTTTAGGTACAAGGATTACGGATTCGACAAACTTCCAAACTATCAATTCTAAACGCTCGCCGATTTTTAGTATTGTGTGTATTTGTCCCATTCGTATGTTTGTTTTCTAGTAAATTCATAGAAAGATCCTTCCCCGAATTCGATGATGATAAATATTTTCTATGAAAAACGAGAGTTTCTCAATACTTTTTTGATTAGCTCGTAAAAGTTACCCCGCTTCTCTTCCTCTTTTTTTCTTTTGATGTGCACGCGTGTGGAGAAGCCGTTAATTAATAATTCAAGCGAAACATTGAAGAATTAATGAATAGGACATTTTAAGGGCTTTTGATTGATGATGACTTTTTTACAGTACTTTTTCAACTAGAAAAGAATATGAGATGATGTTGAATTTCAATGGATATTTGAGAGTATGATGTTTTTTGGACCCCTCAAAGAAAAGGCCAAAAAAAGAGAAAGGAATGCAAAAACCAAAATCTCCCCCCGTATTTTTTCGATGATATATGTATGTTTTCGTCTTTTCCTAAAATCCATCCACAAATAATTACAGCCATGTTTTGTCATTCTCTTGGGTATTCATTAGAAACCTCTTTTGCTTTTTTCGAAACCAAAAAAATGGAGAATTAGAAATAGGAATACTGTGGATCTGAACACGCATGTCATTTTTGTTGTTTTTTTTTTCTGCATTGTGTATAATTACGCACAGCTGGTGGGGAGTAGACCAATGGTTGACCCATGGTTGACCAATCGAGAAAATTAGTCAATGGTGGACCAACGATGGGTCAAAAATTGTTCATTGGTCAACGATGGGTCAATGGCGGTTCACGAAATTGGTCAATGATGGACCAAATTTGACAAATTCAAAAAACATACAAATTTCGCTTTAAAATCTACAAGAGATATGTTTTTCGGCTTATTATTGCTTTTAGTGTTGTATAACCGTCAAATAGACGTTGAAAATATTTTCGGGCCTCATTTTAAATCCAATTGGATGAATTTTCAATCAAGCCGAAATTGAAGCCTAAAACCTGGCGGTCTTTTTGTTCTCGCATGAAAATTACCATAAATTCGTTACTTCAAGTAGAAAAATGAAAATAAATTCTCTTTTTCCCAGAAAAAAACATTGCTAACCCGGATTTTCGGCCCAGTTTTTGACTTAGACCTGACCAGACTCGGGCTTTTTTAAGCCAATGTGAAACCAACATAAAACCTGGTTCCTTCCTCCACTCTTACTCTGAAAATTACTAGGAAATTTTAAAATTCATTTTTTCTTATTTTTTTCTTGAGAAAAAACGCGTTGAACGGATAGGCTCCGCCCACTCCCACACAAACAGTGGTGGCATGCACAACCCGCCAAGCGTCCGCTGCTGTCAAAACATAAATAGGCGGCTTTCATCTGTGCAGTGAAAGTTTCGCGAGTTTTCTTCAGCTACATGCGCATGTGAGAATAAAGGTATTTCTGGGAAGCCTATTGACGGGCTTGACATAAATTTTGTAATCTTCAGTGAAAAACCGAAAATTTTTTTATCATTCAATAAAAAAATAGCTTCTACCCGTCGTTGGTCAACCATGGGTCTAACCCACTGGTACATCATTGGTCAACGGAGGGTGAAAATTCATTGGTCAACCATGGGTCAACCATTGGTCTACTCCCCACCAGCTGTGACGGGTTGTTTGGAAATGGAAAACATGCAAGAGCTGGAATTACAGTAGGACTCGAACTATGTTGGTCGGAACAAGAATTCGATTATTTGGAAATTCAATTAAAAGTTCAATTAAAAATTGGGGAAAGATCGAATTGTTCCAGAAACTGGTTTCAAAATTTGGGGAAAATTGAAAAATCTAAAATAAACTTTGAATTTCTGAAACCATTGAAAAATTCAAATCTATAAAAAATTATAAATTCACCAGATTGAACCTCTGAGCTAAATTGCAAAACATTTGAGCTTTTCAAAAGTTTCAAAGAAATTTTTTAAATACGATTTTTTTTCAAAAAAGAAGTTAGAATCAGCTTGGTCAGAACTTCATAAATGACTTTCTCGAACTCCAAAGATTCTGCTGCTGGAAAGTGGAAGTTCATCGATTTCACAGCCGTGTCCCTTGTGGATTGTTTGAAAAAAGGAAATTTGCTAAAACTTTTAGTTCTGCTCAGAAATTGGTCGCAGAACTTTTGAGCACAATTGAAGCTTTTGCGAAAATAAAACTTAGTTGTGAAATCTATAAAAAGATCTTTGAAATTTCGTAAAAAATAAATATTAGAATATTATTCCTCCTTGGTGAATACGCTGGAGTTATCAAAAGTTCTAGGAACTTTTTTTTCAGAATCTTAAAAATCTTGCCCATCCACTAGATGCCTGAATAATCTTTCGATGTATCTAGAGACATTATATTTTCCAAATCTTCATTCAAAATATTTACCGTATCTCCTTTCTTTGTTCCTCTTCCAAGAAAAATTCCAAAGAATCCATTATCATTGTTTTTCTAGAATTCTCCCCCCAAAAAAAGTCACACCAAATCCGTTAATCTCTCATTTTTCGTGTTGTTTTTTGACTGCAAAACATATCCACAAACAAACAAAAATCTAATTATCTATTACCTCTCGTGTTTTCTACCGTACTCATTTTTCACTTTTTCCTTTTTCTCTAGAAAAGCTTTCGAAAAAAAAAGAAAAATTCGAGCTCCGCCCATTTTTTCTCGTTTCAAAAAAACTGGAAAGCGGGGTTCCGCCCATTCGGTTTTCTCATATCATGATCTGCGTGCCGTCGACGGTGCTGCTGCTCTCAACATTCGCTTTGGCGATGAGCCAAACTGCACCAGCGAAACCAGAACACACCAAGGATTGTCAATCGGTTAGTTTTGAGGGGAGCTGAGAGACCACCCACGAAGTCTCTAGACCGCAAGATTCCACGTAGCGGCAATATCTACCACTTTAGCAGCCACGTGGATAATGTTGACGTGGAATTATACAGTGTAGTATTGTTCGCCACGTGGCCGCTACGCTTGCGATTTGCAAAAAAATGAGTTTTGAGCGATCTTCTGTGCCGCAAAAAAGAAAAAGAAACTTCTAGTTTTTAATTGTCTCATCTCTTCGCTTCTTCTTCTTTTTTGTGCTTTCAGGGTAATCAACTTTTTGGTTCTTTTTCATCTTTTTTTTCCAAGAAAGAAGGAAAAAGCACGGAAAATATACCAGGTTCAAAAAACCAGCCAGACTTGTTGATCTAGAAGTTGAGAATCACAAATGAGATCTAATAAATTCTGAGGTGAAAGAGAATTTTGATAAAAAATGTATGCTTTTGACAAGTGGAGGTCATGAATTTTGGCAGTTCAAAGAACATCGAAAGTTATGACGTGGCAAAACTGGATGCGTTGTTGGAATACTCAAGAATCAGATTGATGAATTTCAAAAATTCAAGTTCCAAAATTTTCAAGGACTACGTAGAAACCTATTTGAAAGACTGCTGTAATCAAATTATCTTTCTTTTTTTTTTCTGGAAAAATGTGCCACGTCATATCTCTTTTCTTCGAGGTGTCTAGGAATTTCAGAATAAATTCCCCAAAAATCTAGTTCACACATTTCCTGCAATACTATATTTTTAGCTGAGCCTTGGACTAACTATAACTAACACATCGTGATGCGCATTCAGAGACCCAATGAAATATTCGTATTCCTCACCACCCTGAGATTCTTATGAATTAGTCATTCTTGTTTTTTTCTCTTGCTATATTTTCACGAATATGTATTTATATTTATCAAATGATGAATAAGTTTCTAATCAACAATAGGGTTTATTAACATGAGTAATAAATTTGAATTCAATTCTTCTTAAGTTTATTGACGACAAAAATGTCTAGAATGGAAAATATCCTGGCTCAAACAAAAAGAGGCGTGGTCAAAGTGGCAAGGTTCCGCACACTTTTTATCGGTAGATCAAAAAATTTAAAGATATTCATAGAAGCTTACAGGAAATTCAAAGTTTCAGAAAAAAAGTTCTAAAAACTTCCCTGACAACCCATGTTTTTTTACAGATTCTCGCGAATAATGGCGATCCACAAGATGCTCTTTTATGTCAATTAAGTGAATCAAGCATGTTATTGGCACAATTGGGAGCACTTGTTTCGGAAGGAGTTGAAAGACTTGTACAAAATCACGGTATGTTCTGCTTCTTCTCACATAAATTATTCCCTCTATTTACTGTGAGAGGAAAAACAAGCAAAAGTGTTTTTTTTGTTCATTTCCCCGGGGCACTCAATTTCCTACTTACTTGATTCACTTAGACAAAAACAACAGACCGAAAAATGTCTTGACTCCACAAAAAAGTCTCTTGTTCAGGAATCGCTCTTGAAGATGATGAAAGCAATGAATCTGGTGAGATGGAAAAGAGAAAGCACGAATATTTGAGATTTGGAAAAAGAAAGCACGAATACTTGCGATTCGGTAAAAGGAAGCACGAGTATTTGAGATTCGGAAAGAGAAAGCATGAATATTTGAGATTCGGAAGAAAATAGATCTTCTTCTTTTTGCCCCACACCACATCATTTTATTCTTATATTACAGTACACCTTTTCACGATACCAAGATCACCCTTTGCCATACTTTTTTGTGTGTATTTTTCAAATATCATAAATTCGTCGTACGTTGAGAGAGTTATGAAAACTTGTCACGAAATATGATGTTTCAGAGAAAAAATTTAAAAAAAAGGAATATTCATATTTCATCACAATAATTATAATAAGTATGGCTGAGTTTTATGAGTATGAGAAGTTCTAACAAAGAACGCGGGAATTAAATTAATCAGAAACTTGAAAATGAATATTTAGCGAACATTATAACCTCTGTCGTATTTGTTGAAACGATTGCGTCGTTGAAGAATTTTCTCATTGATAACATTCAAAGCAAAAATGGCAGCGATTCCCAAGAAACATCCAGTGTTGAGTCCAGCCATAGCTCCGATCCATCCAAATCTTTCGCCAGTTTCAATGATTGTTCTTTGAGAGATTGTGCCGCCAATTCCAATAATGATCAACCATCCCATGATTCCAGCTGTTGCAAAGATAACTTCCTGTAACAATTGTGAAATGTTGTGGTGACTAATATTTGTATTATTGTGACAAAGTGAGCATTTGTTGTTTTATGATAGTTAGAGTAACTAAGACTTCGGGAGAATCTAAGTCAAGGCATAATTTTTTTTTGCATTTTTGAGAGTTTTAGGGGTGAGGGACTACGTAAAATTGACGTAATTCAACGTTATAGTGAGAGATTTAGATGAACTTTTGAAAAGAAAAAGTTTTGAAAATTCTAAATACTATTGATTTTTGTTTACTAAGCTTTTCCTCATTTATTTGATTATTTGTTATGTCCGAAAGATAATCTATCTTGTTTCCTCTTGTTTTCCTAATTCTTCAACTTGAACAAACAAAACCAATTTGAATAATAACTTACCGAAAGTGCACAATTAGTGAGTGGAGTATCTTCGCCACGTTTTGAAAGAAGGAAATACATAACAACTGAGACAATACAATAAAGAAGAGTTAAAGCTGAGACGAGATAAATAATAACAATATCATAATTGATTGAGATATAGGTTGTTACATATGCTGGATCCAAAAGAATCAATGTGACGATTGTGAGAAGCTGAAAAAATAAGTGTGTTTAGTGAGTTTCCTTTCAAATTTTTGTTTCGTTGACCCCAGACACTTGTACTCATGTTAAACATGTAAATTTTCTGGATTTCCTGCCTGCTTAGTTGTAATATTTTTCGAATACGGACAATGTCAATATTTGTTTTGTGACTGACTGTACACCAAAATTGATAAGAAAAGGAATTTTACAATTTTTGCCTATCGATCTTTCTATTTTTACATACAAATAAAATGGATGGGAATATTAAAAACGATGATTATTTTTTTTGGGAAATCGTAAAAATAACTACAGTAACCGGAGAAAACTATTGGAAAAATATTCCGGTGGAAGCTGAAAAAATAAAGGAACATTATTTAATTCACAGAAAACGTACATACAGTAGATAATTGTTACTGTAGTTTTGAATTTTTCCAAATTTTTAGAAAATGGGATAGTGATTAAAAGCAGTTGTTGAATTTCTAGTATATCCAAAAATTTGAAACCTGGAATGAAAAATGAAAATTCCAAAACCACTGAAATTTAAAGTGGATAGAAGAATTCCAAAAAAAAATTAGGACTACTGTAGGAAGTTTCAATTACAATGAACCTTATGAAAAATAGAAAAAACCCAAGGATTACTGTAGTTTTGCATGTTTTTTGAAATCTTCTTTAGATATAAATAAAATTACAGTAATCGAAAACTGTTACACTTCTGGTAGATTAAAAGTTTTTCTAAAATTTTTACTACAATAGGAAAAATTTTTGGAGGTTACTGTAGTGAGATGTGTTCCCAGAGAAAATTTTTTAATAGAAATTCAGATTCTAAAATCTCTACGATCAGATTTTTGTGACATTTCTGGATAAAAATCATTTTGAAACCTGAATTAGATATTTCAAAATGTATTTTTTTTCTAATCTCTTCAAAAATTCAGATTCTAAAATCCTATCAGAATTTTTTTTCAATTTAAAAATTTTCCGAGGTTCCAAACTTACCACAATCACCACTTTAATGGCTGTACAAATGAGAAGCTGATTTGGTATAGCCATCTACAAAAAAAATTAATTTTTTTTCTCAACAAAATGAATGGTCACTACAAAAATTGTACGAAAGAAGAAAAGAAAAATAATAATAATAAAATGAATGTTGGAGAGAGAAAAGGTGAATCATGAAAGAGCAAACAAGGACGGGAAAGCGACCGAAATGTCTACGCTTCTATTAATTCGTATACTATTTCCATCTCTAGCCGTCTTGTATTTACATTTATGTTTCGGTTGCATAACTCTCGGATTCCTCCCTCTGGGTAAACGTGGGCGGGGCTTATTGATCGGCGATGCTTCAGGTAGGTAAAGCGGAATAATTTATTTTGTATTATTAAATTCGAAAGAAGAAGAACAGGGAAACGAATAAATATATATTATTGAATTTTTGATTTACATAACGGGTGGTGCACGACTCGATAAGAAAGCTATTGATTTGTGAATGAGCATTCGAACTACTTGTGGGCACATTGATGATTGGGCGACATTTTCCAAAGATATGCGCATTTGGAAGAATGCTTGTCTGAAAATAGATATTTTGGAAAAAAAAATCGAAGCTCAGAAATTTGAAATCCTCTATCAACTTAAAAAAAAACTTACCTTGTGCTTGGATTTCTTCTCGAAGCATATCTCAAAGTCAAAAACCGATAATAGACAAATGGAAGCATCATTGATCCTTGTCCACTGAAAACCAAAGAAACCAAAAGTGGGACGAGGAAGATTTCAGAGCATGCAATAATTCCCAACGAATTTTGTGTTTGTTGTTGATTGATTTGTTCCAATTTCGATACGAATGGATAATTGCGACCAGTTTCACGGAGAGCTTTTACCAAGAATGAAGAGGCTTGTAATAAGGCATAAAGAGTGACAGGTAATGTTGCCATTGTAACTGGAGACGCCATCAGAAATACAACGGAATAAATCAAATAATGGAAGGCATCTTCAAGAGTCAATTGCATCAAGAACTCGCGTGAAACTGATATTCTTCCTTGAACGCGTGTATGAAGTCGCAATGCAAAAGTAGCAGCAGCTGCAAAAACCATTATTTCAGAAAATATTTTTAGAGAATAATTGAGAAAACTTACAAGCTGCGAAAACCTTGTAATATGCTGAATACCAGTGTACTATTCCAAGAAATGGAAACATATAATTGAGACAGAAAAATACAGTCAAAAACCTAGCTCCGAATAAAACGCAATCCATCGTGTTGGCAGAAACATATTGCTGAAATATTGAATAATCAATAAAAAGTTTTTGATAAATATTTTTAGAAATGCTAAATTATCGAAAATTTACTTCATAAACATATTAAAAACGTGGCCTTCAATTTGAAATTTAGAAACCATTTGGTAAAAAAAGTATATTTATTACAAAAATTTTTTTTAGAAGCACCTTTTGGCTAATGTTGTTTTTGTAAATTTTTTCCAGTTAAATTTTTTCAAAAACTCACAGAAACTGAAGTATATGTCGCTCTTTGATTCTCATGTTGATGCGATTGTGAGCTGGACGATGCTCCTTGCGATGAATCTTCAGGTTCTTCCACGATTTCAACCATTTTCTCTGAAAAATCAATTTTTAATTCAGAATATAAATGATGACGTTGCCATAGCGATGAACAAATGAAATTCTTAATTAGATCAAGTTTGAGGGCGATAAATAGTTTTTCAAAGGGGGGTGAGGTAGCTCAGTTTTCAAAGGGGGGTGAGGTAGCTCAGTGGTAGTGGTTGGCTGCTGGCGATCTCAGGGTCACGGGTTCGATCCCCGGTGCCCGCTCCTCCTCGATCCACCCAGTCGTAAGTGGGTAGTAGTTCGCTACGCAAGGTAAATCGGTCCCCTGCGGCAACAGGGTGACTTAAATTCCCCAAAATGGCCTATAGACGTACACCACCCGTACTCCGTGTCCGAATCGTCTGATCCGCAGTGTCCTAAGAGGCGCTCGAATACGGATCTACCTTTACCTTTTTTTTCAGCTTGGAGAGACGGAAAAAAAAGAAAATTCCCGTAAGTGTGCAAACACCACGACGAACAATTGCACCATTGCCCATCTGTGTAATTCTCGAGGAGAATATTTTTTCATTTTTCGAGTTTTTTTTTGAGTTAGAAAAAAGTAAATTTCACGCTTTTCAGAATTATGTTGAAACTATCGAATTTGGGAACAATCACAAGAGGAGTCAGAACATTAGCCCCGACTGTGAATCCAGCTCAACAACAACAAGTTCAAGCAGTATTGCCTGATAAACTGTTCAGGTACTTTATAATTTCCTAAAAATTGAGTTTAATACAAATAATTTACAGCAATATTGAGCTTGAATATCGAGCACATGACAAGGAACTATTGAAATCATACACAACATTTTTGCAATCAGTTTGCAAACATTTGGATATAACTCAAGGAAAAATCGAAGTTCTTCCATATATTCGATGGGTTCAACCAGCTCTTCGTTCGAAATTCGTTCACAAAAAATACAAATTGCATTATGAAACACGTACACATATTACGAAATTCGAAGTGAAAAATATGACCGGATCAACAGCGTCAACATTTCTCGAATACATTGAGCGAAATATTCCTGAAGGTGTTGGTATGCGTGTTGGATTCACAGAACTTCAACCACTGCCTTTAACTATCTCAAAAAAGTGAATTAGGTTTGTTAATTGTTTTACGTGTATCGGAAAATATATTGTTTTGTTTCAATAATCACATTTTTATTCAAAAATTCCGTTCATCAAGTACATTCTTTTTCGTTGTCGATTCACTGTTCAAAGCACCTTTCGTTTGATGTTTTTTTCTCAATTTACGAGTTTCAGTATCTTTGTGTTTGTTTCCTTCACTGATATAATCATCTTTGGAAAATGTTCGATCATTTTGATGTTCATCAGCACTAAAAAATATTGATTAAATAGAAGCCAGATTTTTAGGTATTTCAAAACTTACATTTTATTATTTTTAAGTTTTTGTTGTAATCTCTCCATCATCAAAGTCTCCTCTCCTTTATCTTCATCTTTTTCTTTCTTTCGATTATGCTTTGAAGCTTCATTATCTTTAATCAACTCTTCCAATCTTCCTTTCCAATCAAATTTATCTTTCAAATTCAAATTTCTTTCTTTTGCAATATTATGAATCTCAGTTTCAATGAAAGCATAATCAACTTCATCTTCAAAATTCAATTTTCTCACATATTCGATGATAGTGCAAAATTGTTGTGGAACACAAGTATGAAGTTCTTTCGAAGGATTCTCGAACAACGCAAGCTTCTTCTCCAATACCTTTGCTGGATCGGAAAAACAATTTGCCCATGGAAGACCTTTGTCATTGTGTAAAAGATCAAGAGTTGTATAAATCCATGTTTCAACATCATCTTTTCTTCCTTGATCAAGTTCGAGATGACACGCGCGAGTACAGAATTTTCGTGTTCCGAAAAATGGAACTTTCTTCCGCTCTTTCTAGAAAGTGTTCTTCATATCATTTTCAAAAGTGTTTACCCACCCTTAATTCTCTTGATTTCGCTGAACGATAAATTCTGCGCGAAATTCCGAAATCAAGTAAATATAAGACATGATCATCTCCTGGCGGAACACCAACACAAACATTTCCCGGTTTCAAATCTCTGTGAATAAATCCGACATCGTGTAGGATTTTCAACGCATCCAGAATTTGAAGTGACATTTTGAGAGTTGTTGTCTTCGAAAACTGTTTATGCAATATTTTTCGAATTGTTTGCAAAGATGGGCCAATCAAAGTCATCACAATCCACTGAAAAAAATAGATTTTGCAAAAATGATTTGTTAGTGTAGATAACATACAAAAAAATCTAAAGTATTTCCAGAATCCATAAGATTACAAAAATGATGTGGACATTGTTTTCTAATACAGTAAGCTGTAATTTCTTCAAGGATTTGGAGTTCGATACGAAGACGTGCCATTTTTGCAGTATGCGATTCGGTTTTCATTGCGAAAAACTGAAAAATAATTGAATTATATCTTGATTTTGCAGTAAACCCTTTGAAACCTCATCAGATGAACATCCTTCCAATTCACATTTATAAACATCTCCAAATCCACCAGATCCAATATGAGCCAAAATTCTCCAAACATTATCCGTCTTACTTTTAATTTTCGAATACGGTTTCAAAAGTGCCGGCTTCTTTCTTCCAGTTGTTGTTGCTCGCGTTTGTTTTGTACCCGGAGTTATGGATTTTGGTTGTTTGTCTTTTTGCATATCAGCTTTATGTAACGTATTCCTTTTTAATCCATTCGGAGAATAATTTCGTTTACTCATTTTATCTGAAACCTCAAAATTTTTCGGATTTTTTTTTACAAAACTCACACTTATTTGTAACCTCGCAGAAATACAAAATAAGAGAAATCCAGATTTTTTTGACGTTTCATTTTTTATTAAAAAAAAACAAAGAAAAGTAGATCAATCTCGTGTCACTTTATTTTTATTTTTAATTTTATAAATTTCAAAAATGAAGAGCTCAACAATATCGATCGAAAATGAAAACCGGAATGAAAATAGAGAAGTCGCAGGACAAGAAATGGGAAATTTGGAGGTATGGAAATGGAATTCAGGATTTTTCTGGCTTCGGGGGGCTTCCGGAGAATTCTGGAGCATTTCTGAAACTTCTGGAGACTTCTGGAGACTGCAAGAGACTTTCTGGAGCAAAAATCTAATGAATATTGAGCTACAGTAATTCTGAATAACTTTTAGCTACAGTAGTTCTGAAAAATTTTGAGCTACAGCAATTCTGAATTATTTTAAGCTACAGTAATTCTGAAAAATTTCGAGCTACAGTAATTCTGAATAATTTTGAGCTACAGTAATTCTCATACATAAAATGGGTCCCCAGAATCGTGGTGAGGGGCTTAACTTTTTTTCAATAATCTGATGGAGAGGGTGCCTAACTTGGCCAATTTTCTGCTGATAATTTACCAAAATTCCTAGATTTGTCCAAAATTCGCTCAAAAATGTGAGGAAGGTGTTTAACTTTGGAAAATTTTCAAGGAGGGTCCCTAACTTTGAAAACTGATTCGGGAGACCTATTTTATGTATGGTAATTCTGAAAAGTTTTGAGCTACAGTAATTCTGAAAAATTTTGAGCTACAGTAATTCTGAAAAAAATTAGATCAAAATTCAGATGAATATAGTTTGAGCTACAGTACCCTAAAAAATAGCGCCGAAAAATTCGGGAGCTAAAAATTCAAATTTTGAAACTTTCGCGCCGCCCACTTTTTGCAACTCTGGCACAATTTTAAAAGTTCAAATTTTTCTTGTGAAAAGAAACGGCCACGTGGATTTTTTGGGGCCTGAATTTAGAAATTCCAAATTTTTCACAATTCAGAAAAATATTTCAGATATCATTCCTTGTCATATCAATTATAATCTTGGCTTCAACATTTTTCTGGGGAATATTTGGACATTGGAATTTAGGATTCGCGAAAATCATCGAATGTATTCTCACAATTGTCATGATTTTTGTGCCAGAATTGAAAAATTGGGTTTTTGCAATTGTATCAATGATTTTCTTCATAGTTTTTGTGGTTTTCGATATGATTGATCTTCTTTTTTATGTCTCAGAACATGTTCGAGCAAATCAACCAATCGGATTTTTTTGGCCAATTATTTGTGTTGATGCGGTTCTATGTGGATTTATGGCATATCTATATTTCAAATTATTCAAATCAACTCGATAAAGTTGCTTGTTATTTATTCAATAAATAAATTTATTAGATGACAGTGAGGTTTGTATTTAGGCGCAGGCTTCAAGACTGCGCCTATTTGGGCTTATGTTTGATGAAAAAAAAAATTTTCCAGAAAAAACATATATTAATATTTTCTTTTGAACCCTATGGGTAGGTGTAAAAAACGTAGTACTCAAATTTTCAGATAAGCTTGAAAAAAACGTTTTATGGTCCGTCAAAAATTGATTTTTTCGAAAACGCGGATCGCCATAACTCCTGTCAAACTTAATGAATCTTCTTACTTTTTCTTTTAAAAGAAAGATAAGATCAATGCCTCGGGAAGTATTTTTAGTTAGGTGCAGACCTAATGTCTTCGTAGAGGTGCAGCGCCTAGAATCACTATTTGTTTTCAAGCTCGGTTTTTTCGGTCATATAAAGCTTTTCATCATTGGTGTCTTGGAGTTTTTTGTAGAGAATCGACAGACGAACAAAAGGAAAAAAAAATTAGCTCAAACCGTCAACTGGAAGTTAAAATAAATCGATTTTCGTGAAAATGTCTAATTTTTGACAAAAACGACCATAACTTTGTTCACAATCATCGGTATGCCACATTTTCGGAACTAAAATGTTTCTCTTGAGGTGCTAGGGTTGTTTTAAATATAGTCCGACACAAATTAGCCTGTTTTGGAAGTTTTTTTGAAGTTGGAAAAAAAGTGCATTTTATTAAACTTGAATTTTCTCGAAAAATCGCCCGAGTGCCTACACTTTTCAGCGCTGAAAATGAAAGAAGAATACTTGAAATACTTATTTTATGCATTTTCAGAGAATCCTATGGTAAATTTTTTTTTCAATTTGAGTTTGAAAAATAATTGAAAAAAAAAATAAAAAGAAAACAACGACAATACGCAATCACGCTTGTTTTGTCTTTTCGAATGCTGGGATATTTTTCTGTTTTCTCTCAATATTACCGCTATTTCAATATTCAAAGATGAAATAAGTCTTTCAGGATTAGCCTTCAGTCTTGTTCTTACTTTATTTCAGTTGCTGAAATCGTTTTTAGAAAATTTGACTGAAAATCTTAGATTTTAGTGGTTTTTCTCGATTTTTCTTTTTTTTTCGCGTTAACGCCTCTGTTTTTGATATTCAAAGATGAAATAAGTCTTTCAGGATTAGCCTTCAGTCTTGTTCTTACTTTATTTCAGTTGCTGAAATCGTTTTTAGAAAATTTGACTGAAAATTATAGATTTTAGTGGTTTTTCTCGATTTTTCTTTTTTTTCGCGTTCACGCCTCTGTTTTTGATATTCAAAGATGAATTCTTATTTTTTTCTTATTTGCTAGCAGCAAAGTAAGTAATATTTCTTTCTTTTATCTTATTCCTTTTTTATTTTTCTTTTTCCTTTCTCTCTTTTTTCTTTTGTTTTATTATGAATTTTTTCTTCTTAGCTTGGGGCTATATTTATAGCCCCCAATGTGCCGTATTTGGCCTTATGCCTTTCAGAGGCATAACATCTAAACCTGAATGAAAATTCGAAACTTCTTTTTTTTAAATATTTCTTTATTTTTTTCGTTCTTTCCATGGGGAAAACATAAAATCTATACTTGAATGGAAATTCTAAACTTGTTGAAGACCAGCGCATATTTATTATTATCACTAAAGCCCAAATACCGGGCCTTGTACATAAAAAAATACATTGTTGCTTTCAACTCAAAAATCTTGCTGCGCGCAAATTCTACTACTTCAATTCGTTGCAATTATGGGGCTATTCCGCGATTTTCTCAACACGCTGAGAAAACGGGAAAAATGCTGAGAAAATCATTTTCTCAGCTGTTTTCCTATTTTCTCAGCCTTCCTGAATAAGGTTTCACAACCAATTCAGCGTTGAGAAAAGACTTTGAATAGCCGCATTAGACCTCAAATTTTTCAAATCCATTTAAAATATTTTTTTCTAAATGTTTCATTTTGGCGTTGAATTTCGTCAATTTTTGAGTCACACCCCATATTTTCTCAGGTCCTACAAAATTCAGGAAAACGTTCCGAGGTAAATTACACTCGTGTGCGCCGCGAAATTCTGATTTATGCACATCTAAGAGAAATGAATGAATTTCTTTTCTATGAATCAATGTAACTTTCACTACTCTGGGAACATTTTCAGAAGAAGAGAAAACTGTGCCCAGCACTCTTGTGGTGAAATTTATTTTGGTGAACTTCCCAAAAGAAAATATTTTTTCTATGTACAAGGCCCGGTATTTGGGCTTTAGTGATAATAATAAATATGCGCTGGTCTTCAACAAGTTTAGAATTTCCATTCAAGTATAGATTTTATGTTTTCCCCATGGAAAGAACGAAAAAAATAAAGAAATATTTAAAAAAAAGAAGTTTCGAATTTTCATTCAGGTTTAGATGTTATGCCTCTGAAAGGCATAAGGCCAAATACGGCACATTGGGGGCTATAAATATAGCCCCAAGCTAAGAAGAAAAAATTCATAATAAAACAAAAGAAAAAAGAGAGAAAGGAATTTTTTTTTGTTCGAAACAGGCAAGGTCTCTCTTGTCTGCAAACACCGATGCATACCGTATCACGGTAACAAAATAAATCTTTTTTTTTAGCTGTGAGTTCACATTGATTACTTTTTCGAAAAAATACCCCGATTTTTTTAATTTCGAAAAAACAAAAAAAATGGAAATTTTGGGAACAAAAAATTTGAACTGTTTATAGTCAATAAGTGCGCTCCAGCGAAACAAAAAAACTACACAAAAAAGCGCACTCTGTTTCTTTCTAATAGAAAAATGCAATTTCGAGGAGACGCAGACAGGCAGACAGACAGGCTGGTCTCGACGCGCTGTGTGTCTGCCGCACACTATTTCTCTCCCTTTTTCGGCGAGAGATTTGTCTGCACACGTTAAAGTCTGCGTCTCCCTCGAATTGCAAAAAAAAATACAGTGAGCGTCAGTCTCGCTGTGGCGCTTTTCGCGTTTTTCATTCTCTGGACACAGTGCCGAATGAAATGCAGTGAATGAGAAAAAAGGATTGAAAATGCTGCGGCATCAACAATGAGGTGTTACGCGTGAAATTTATTATTTTTCTGGGTTTTTGTTTTTCTTTTTTTGTCTTCCAAAAAAATGAAGAGAAACAAAAATATTGAAAAAAAATTATTCGAAAAAGTCACGTGAAAAAAAATTGATCAGATTTCGTTGTATTGTCAATCCGAAAAAATAAGAGCCATGGAAGAGAAAACCAAAATACAGTAGACTTCGCGGCTGCTTTGATCTTTTGTATTGAAAGAGGAAATATTTGGTTTTCTAGGCCATGTCGGTTCTCTTCCAAGGGTCACAAAATTTCGGACTGACAATACAAATACTGTTCAAAACCCAACCCAACCCAAAAACATGGGCCAAACCCGGGTTCAACCCAAACCCAACCCAAAACCATGGGTCAATCTCGGTTCAAGCCCAAACCCAACCCGAAACCGGTTCACTGAACACAGCCCGGATACGCGTACCCTATTTTTTTGTGTGTGCGACACCCTGCTCCCGCTGTCTGCGCTCTGCCCGCGGGGGAAATAATTGTGTGTTTGAATTTCTCAATTCATTTTTTTGTGAATTTACACGTTTTTATACTTCAATAATAATTTACAGAAGAAACATTGTATATGGGAAAGTAGAGGGGGATGAAAGGAAGGCAGAGAAATAAAATTCAAACGTATTTTTGAAATTTTAAAGGCTGTAAAATTGAATACAAAGATAATGAATGTATGCATTGGCCAAGTTAGGCAAACTTCTGTAATTTTGCACAACTTTTTCTAGTTTTCAGTTATTTTGGACTTTCGAATACGGTGATTAATATGAACTAAGTCTCGTTCTGAAGTAAATGTTTTGTGAATCACTTTTTGGGTGTAGAAATTGATTGATATCAACACCCAGAAAATGCTTTAAGACCACGAAAGTGATTCACAGAACGTTTACCTCAGAATAAGAACCATTTTACGTTAATCTACGTATAAAATAGTCATCAATAACAAAAAACTAGGAAAAGTTGTGCAAAATTACTGAACTTTTTTTAACTTTGAAGATTTCAAACAAAAATCCACACCCAAGCAATTTCAAGACCCCAGAAATGACTCACGAAACATTTACCTAGAAACAAGACCTAGTTTATGTTAATCTACGTATGAAATAGTGCTAAATATCAAAAATATAGAAAAAGTTGTGCAAAATTACAAAAGTTTCAGTGGTTTGACCAATTTTGTACTGAAAAATCGACATCCTATCGATTTCAAGACCCAAAAAGTAACTCATAGAACATTTACTTCAGAACAAGACCTAGTTCATTTTGATCGCCGTATTCGAAAGTCTAAAATAACTGAAAACTAGAAAAAGTTGGGCAAAATTACAGAAGTTTGCCTAACTTGATCTATTTCGAACATTCAATGATTTCTTTTTCGATTTTACGGCCTTAAAAATTTCAAAACTACATGTGAAATTTATTTCTCTGCCTTCCTTTCATCTTCCTCTACCTTCTCATATACAATGTTCCCTGGGAATTATTCGAAATTTCTGACAAAATTCGATAAAAAAATTGAAAAAAAAATTCAAGAAAAAAAACACACAACGACACACCGCGGATCCCGCTCCCCCTTCTGCATCTTATTTAGCGCGCTGCGAGACCCGTTTCTCCTCTACCTGTCTGCCCGTCGCACAGAAATTTTTTTTTGGGTACGCGTTTCCGGGCTGTGTGAACCAACCATGGTTAAAATTGGGTCGGTTTAAATTGGTGCAAGCTATCTTCTCGTGGTGGATGGAGGTTATTGTAATATGGTTATGGTGTTGAGTTGATGGTGAATACTAGATGGTGTGATTGGTGGACATGGTGACATTGCACCAAATGCACCGATTTCGAAAATTGCGCCAGTCACACCAATTGCACCAATGCTTCAGAAAAGTGAAATCATACATGAACTGGGACTCCGGCAACAGCTTCTGAAACAGTAGAATGAAGATAGAAAATTAGGTGGAGTTTTTTTTAGGCTTGTGTTGATTTTTTTTTTGAAAAAATTTTGCGAGCCTAGAAATTAAAGTTTTTCAGAAATTATCTAAAATGACACATTTAGTCGAAGAATGCGTTTAGACGCAGGGATAACAGGCGTTGTTTGTGTATTACAACGAAACACACATTTCAAACAATTGCTACAGTAGTTTTCGCGGGTTGTTTGGGAAGATTTAGGAGAAATCCCCGCTTTTCTTTCATTTTCGGCTGTTTGTTTAGGAGACAACAGCGCTTTTTGCGTTTATTTCGAAGTTTATCGATCAACCAGGCTAAGGAATTGCAATAAAGGTAAGTTTTCGAATAGTGTTTTGCACGAATTTCGGTCCCGACCGCCCTGTTTTGAGTCACGACTCAACAATTGAGAACAAAATAATAACATTCTGCTTCCAGAATGTCTCGAGAAGAAGAGGAATTGCGCCAGAGAGCAATTAATTCGCATTCAAGACAATCGTCGGCTTCAAGAGGCTCCAATGAGCAACAACAACCTTCCGCAAGCGGAACTTCGGTGCCAGTCAATCCGGTTCCCGAACCAAAGAAGAGCTCAGGCCAACAACAACAAAACCTCGCAAACATCTTGGCGAACTTCTTCGCTTCTCCTCAAGGAAGAGCAATTTTGGGAGCTGCGCAAGCTCAAACTGTGGAAGGAGAAGGAGAATACGACGAAGTTTTCGAGGAGGAAGAGGATTATGACGAGCCAGATCGTGAAGAAGACCAAGAAGAAGCAGGAAGTGCGAGAGAGACCAAAGATGATGAAGCGGCGGCAAAACCATTTCTTGTCGAAACATATGACATCAGAAGGAAAGGATTTGGCAAGCAGATCAGGTTCAACAACACCATCACAAAGAAAATGGTGAAACTGATGGCAGAGTTTCCAGAAACTCAGGAGAGAATGGAAGAGATTCTCAAGGAGCTTCAATCGCGCTCAATGCTTCTGAAATTCTCCGAAGATTGTCCGACACTGATGGAGCTGGTTGACGCCAAACAAGAAGTCGATCAAGTGAGAGGTATTGATCCACTCCTCGCCGATTGCCTGGTCATGGCTAGAAAAGAAGAAGCAAAAGTGAAAAGGCAGCAAGCATCGATTCAACGGCCCTTTCCGAAAAGGGATGGAAATCGAGGCAGATATCCATCCCGTAACTCAGACAGGCCATCCAGCGCGAACCGACCGTCATCAAGCCAATCAGGTCCATATGCACGACCTCCACCACCACAAACATACCCAAGAAACTGGTCAAGCTCCTCAAAGCCAAGCTACAGAAAGTATTGAGTTTCTCGCAGGTAAGCCGCACTCAAAATGGGAAATCTGGAACTCTATTCCGATTTCCGCGCTCGTTGCCCAAACCATACAGTCCGGTTATGAGATCGAAACAACAGAAATTCCAGACCTCTCATTCTCCGAAAGAAATCGCTCTTCCACACAAGCTCATCAAACATTTGTCAACCAAGAAATCGCAAGTCTTCAAAGATCAGGCGCCATCATCGAATCCACCGAAGCCTTGCGTCTCAACCCGTTGCACGTTGTAGACAACGGTAAGAAAGAAAGGCTTATACTGGATCTGTCCAGTCTAAACGAGATCGTAGTACGAGAACATTTTCGATTTGAGGATTGGAGTTTAGCCAAATTAGTGATACCGAAAGGGGCCTTTTTCACAACTTTTGATTTTAAAAGCGGCTATCACCACATCCTCGTGAGCGAAAAGTCCTCGTTACTGTTAGGTTTTCAATGGAATGGAAAGAAATACAAGTTTTGCGCTCTTCCTTTCGGTTTATCTTCCGCTCCATACATTTTCACCAAGCTTTTACGACCCTGGGTCAAAAAATGGAGGGAATTAGGATTAGGTATAATCCTTTATCTAGACGACGGACTGATTTGGGACACTCAGCAGAAAAATGTAAAGAGACCAGTGATCTTATCAAAGCCGATCTGATAAGCGCGGGTTTCACGTTCGCGGAAGAAAAATGCGATTGGGTCCCGAAACAATCCGCGACGTGGTTAGGTCTCAAAGTAAACTCAGAAAATCTATCTCTAGAATTTTCCGAAGATAGAAGAGCCAGAGCAATTCAAAAAATTGAGAATCTTCTGACCATATCCAGACCATCCATCAAAGAAAGAATGATTTTTACAGGTCTTCGAGCGTCAAGTTCACACGTGGTAAGCAACTCGGTCATGAAAAAGTCGAAAAGGATCGAAGCGACGGTAGCGCTGGCCGACCACCTCTATACTCGTTTTGCATGGTCACCGGAAGAAAGACGAGAAGCACAAGGTTGGTTAGATATGCTCAAGTTCCACCCGCCAATAAACTTCTTCGAAGATTCAGAAGATGCGGGACCTTGCGATTACGTTCTGGAAACGGACGCTTCAGAATATCTAACAGGGGCACTTCTAAAATCCCAAGATTCTGAAATGGTTTCGAGTAGGCCCCTTCCAAAAAACCTCAAAGGAGAATCAAGCTGCCGGAGAGAACTAGAAGCGATTTTAGCAGGCTTGCGCGACTTAGTGCAACCTAACGTAAATTCACTTTTGATTAGAAACGACAACCAAGCAGCGATTAGGATTTTGCAAGGCGGCTCCTTGAAAAAAAGAGCTCCAGGACGCGGCGCTAGAGATTTGGGAATTTTTAGAATCCAGGGAAATACGACATGAGTTTGAATGGGTCCCAAGGGAACTGAATAAAGACGCCGATTTAGCAAGTAGATCTCCAGATCCGGACGGATGGGCAATTAAGACGAGCACCGCTAGAACAGTCCAAAAATCGTTAGGATTCTGCGACATAGATTTATTCGCAACTCGCGAAAATCGAAAATGCGAACAATTTGTTTCCAGGTTTGGAGAGGACGGCGCAATCGGAGAGAACGGGCTGGCGGCTCCAAGAAGAATTTGGAAAACAAGCAAAATGTGGTTAGTTCCGCCAATTCGCCTGATTTTACCCACTATCAAAAAGATGGAAAAGTTCAAAGCAACCGGGATTTTGGGGGCTCCCATGTGGCCAAGTCAGCTTTACTTAGGGAAGCTCAAAGATAAGAACGGGTGGAGAAACGAAGTCAGGAAAGGAATTCGTTTTCCCAAAGGAGCGAGCATCATAGTTCCGGGCGGAGTCGGTGCAGCTTTCAATAGCGAATTCCTGAAATCTGATTTTGTTTTTCTGCTTCTAGATTTTAGAGAAACAAAAGAACCAAAAGGTTTCTTGCCGTCAGCAAGAAACCCTTGACAATTTCGAAGTCGTATTATACTAATGTAATTATGTTTTATTAATTGTCTCCAGAACAAATAAAGCCTGTTATCCCTAGTAGAAGCGTTCGAAGACTAAATGTGTTTTTGTCGAAGGAACGTAGACAAAAATGACACATTTAGTCGAAGAATGCGTTTAGACGCAGGGATAACAGGCGTTGTTTGTGTATTACAACGAAACACACATTTCAAACAATTGCTACAGTAGTTTTCGCGGGTTGTTTGGGAAGATTTAGGAGAAATCCCCGCTTTTCTTTCATTTTCGGCTGTTTGTTTAGGAGACAACAGCGCTTTTTGCGTTTATTTCGAAGTTTATCGATCAGCCCTCCCCCCTCCTCCTTTTTGCAAACCAAAAAGCAAAACTCGATTTTCAGATCCCAGATTCGAGAAAATCAAAGCGGTTTTCAACGGAGACGAAACGCGGAGACTCGACTTATGGCAGAATGTGATCGAATGTCTTGAAAAAGACAGAGCACCAGCCACAATCAAAATATACGAAAACACAATTCGGTCATATATTCGATGGAAGAAACAAGTGGTGACTCGAGGAAATCTGGGTGAAGACGAAACCCGGTTGCTCTACCTGGCGGAACTCATCAAGAACGAGAAGTCAAAAGCAGCAATCGCCGCAAATTGCGCCCTCAACTACTTCCTGGGTCCGGTGTCAAAACCAAACCGTTCGATGATGAATTCGGTTATAGAAGCTGCCAAGCAATCGAAAAGTCCCACAAAACATCGCGAGAAAGTGGAACCCGAAGATTATTCCATCTTCACCAACATCCAAGAATACGATCGAGATTCACTTCGAGTCGCAGCGCTTGGCATCATTCTGTTCAGAGGGTTTTTGAGAATCGGAGAAGCTCTGAATTTGAGGAAAAGACGATGCGGAATGGGAGCGCGGAGAATTGAAAATTTCAATTAGAAGTTCCAAAACCGACAAATACCACGAAGGGAGCCAAAGATTGCTGGTTCTCTCACAAGAAGAACAAGCGATTTGGCGAGCTCACTCAAGAAACATCGACAACACTCAAAATCCCCACATTTTTCAAACCTGGAATTCGAAGACAGCCCCGATGACATATAACAATGCAAGGAAAGTTATAAATGATCGATGGAAAAAGTGCGGAAAGTTCAAGAACTATGGAACCCACAGTTTTCGCGGAGGAGCGGCTTCGGCGGCGATAAACGAAGGAGTAGCGGCGGAAAAAGTCCTCAGCTTCGGAAGATGGAGGACCGAAAAAGCCTTCCGGGCATATGTGAAACCAACCACACGAATCGTGATTCCAAGAACAACTCCAGCGCAATCCAATCAACCGTAAGTATTTAAGAATCGCAAAGAAGACTCGGCTAATTAGCCAAAAATTGTTTTTAATCTTAACATATTTTTTCAGCTCCACCTCTTCCACCAATTGTTAATTCGCAACCTCTTCATCGTTCTACTCAACCACGTTCGTTTGCTCAACTCACAACAAGTCGCCGGCTCCAAACTTCAGCGACTAGCCCAAGAATATTTTATTTTCCCATTTTATTTTTGAAATTTTAGTCATATTTGCTAACCGGTAATTTGTGTTTTTTCACGAGCTCGGCTCGTGAAAACTTGTTTGTATTATACTAATGTAATTATGTTTTATTAATTGTCTCCAGAACAAATAAAGCCTGTTATCCCTAGTAGAAGCGTTCGAAGACTAAATGTGTTTTTGTCGAAGGAACGTAGACAAAAATAGTTTTTAAAACTCATACAATTTGAGTTTCTATGATTTTTGTGTCCAAGTAATTCGATGTCACCCTGTATATTGGAGTTCTGTAAACAGAAAATATTTTTTGTGTGTAATTGTGCGTCGCAGTGTATGTGTGTACCAGAATTGGTTCCCCGCTCATTTCAAACCGTTTGAATTTATTTTTTTTTCTGCGAGTTTTTCGAATTGAACTTCGGTAAAAACAGATATCGAGAGCTGCAGAGAAGGGCTAAATAACTGTTCATACACCTCAAAACTCATTTCCAACTGGGAAGCTGTCTTTAAATATGACAAGAAATTACAAAACAGCTGATCAGAAATATTCAGGAATCAGGAATATTCAGGGAATTCTAAACGTAAAAAAAAACAAAGCACAGAAATTTTAAAAAGGTTCTGAACCTCATAAAAATAGTGAACTATGGGAAATGTGGGATTGAAGATACAAAAAGTTACAATATTTTCATAATATTTCATTATTGAAATTTACTCAAAACAAATTAAGTTGTTGATAAGTCAAAACTATTCGGTTCTATCCTAGTATCACGGTCCCAAAATAATATAGAGGTCCCAAAATAATATATTGGTCCGAAAATAGTATATTGGTCCCATAATATTTTTTATCGGAATTTTCACAAAAGCTAATATTTTTGAACAGAAATAACGACGTTTCAAATTAACTCTATTTCAAAAAGTTTTCCAGGAATTAATTATTACAAATCGAATTTTGATAATTACCCATCATTCGAGTTCTAAATTATCATTTTTCATGGCCCCAGAGCCGGGAAACCTTTTTTGAAGTCTTTGTTAAGTATGAGGAACTTTTATTCCACAAATAAATCCAAAACAGTTCCGAAAACTCAAATGTTTTCGTAATTTTAACACTCTTTTTGACCAAAAATGATTTGCCATGAATAATGTTTCATTGTTTCATCTTTTTTGATAAAATTGACACCACTAATGGAATTTTTGATTTAGAAATCAAATTAATAATTTTTGAACCAACATTTTCATGGGACCAATATAATATTCTCGGACCAATATATTATTCTGGGACCAATATATTATTTTGGGACCGTGATACTAGGATACAACCAACTATTCAAATAATGATAGACGGTAGGTTTGTTAGTGACAGCATGACTGAGTTGTTGTCGTCGGTACTATTCCGTAGATTCGTGAATCTGTAGAATTTATACATTTTTTTGAGATCATGCTTTTTTTGAGAAATTATGACATTTACACCCAACTTTTAAAAATTCTAACAGCTATTTCAGTTTTTGTGAAGGGAAGAAATTCTGTGCCATCACATGACAAATAACTTAATTTTCAGCATAGAAATTAGGAATTGAAATAGGGTCTCATAAAAGATCCTGGGCATACTCCACAAACCATCGATTTTTTAAAATTTAATCAGATGAGCTCGAGTTTAAAAAAACGGTCATTTTTCGGTTTTATTAGATGTTCGCAAAAGTTTTTGAAAGTTCCCTTGTTGTTGGAGACAGTTGGAGACACAACCAATTCTGATCAATTTTTTTGGGTCACGTGAAAAAATGTTTTTTTGGTTTTTTGTTTTTGTTTTTTTTTTCAACGAGATAAAAATCTTGCCACGTTTCGCTTGTCAGAAAATACGTGGCGATACGTGGCGGCTTTTTGCTTGTTTTTCTGGTTTTTGTCCAGTTGCGTCCGGAAAATGGTGAGTGAGCAGAACACTGTATTTTTTTTTTTGCAATTCGAGGGAGACGCAGACTTTAACATGTGCAGACAAATCTCTCGCCGAAAAAGGGAGAGAAATAGTGTGCGGCAGACACACAGCGCGTCGAGACCAGCGAGTGTCTGCGTCTCCTCGAGATTGCATTTTTCTATTAGAAAGAAACACAGTGAGAACAACAAAAATTGAAAATATGTTTTTGTTTTCATATTTTGCTTCTACAGTAAACCAACACGCGATGATCCCATGTTTTTCCTCGATCGAATCTACCGTAAATAATAAATTCATCTAGCTATACTCAGGAGATTTTTCGCAATTTTGCTGTATTGAATGCGCGATTCTGCTTGCTGAAACATGCGGTTCGGAAACTAGCTCGAGATTCTCTTCTTCCGTAATCGGCCACTGTCGGACAGTGACTGTCCATCTCAATAAAAATGGGTTCAGCAAGAATTTCGCAACTCGCTGGACCAAATTCATGACGCAAATTGCAACCTAAAAATGCAGCAAGAATCGCGCAAGTCGCTAGAAGTGCAGCAAGGAGATAGCAAGTTGCGAGAGGGCAGCAACTTGCTAAATCGTTGCCCAAAATTTTCTGAGATCGAACTCCCACAAAAAGAGGAGGGGGCCCTGATTGGAAGGCAAATATTTCTGCCTTTTTAATAAAATCCCGGTTGGGTGGTGTCTCGATGGAAGCAGGATTTTTCAATGGGGTCCCCCCTGTTCTCATTTTTCGAATGTCGCAATTGCGACATTCGTATTTATTAAAATTTCAACACTCCGATTTTTCTGAATCCAGCCTGAAAAGTTCAAAATTAGAACTATAGTGTAAAATGGCGTAAAAATCTAATTTTAAACTTTTTAGGCTGTATTCAGAAAAATCGGAGTGTTGAAATTTTAATAAACAAATATTTTCGTTCCAATCAGGGACCCCTCCTCTTTTTGGCAATCTCTGAATGGGGCCCCTGAATGGGGCCATTTTTTCAGAAAATGGGGCCACCTGAATGGGGCCACTTGTGTGGCAAATTCCCTCAATGGGGCCAGCAAGAAAAAAATTAGAATTTCTCAGTTTTTCCTTAATGGGGCCACCTAAAAAGATAAAATACATAATTTCTGCATATTTCCTCAATGGGGCCATGTATTTTTTGTGCATTTCCTCAATGGGGCCATCTTTCACAGCAAATTTTTTTCTACGTGACCTCAAATAAAAAAATCATTGCAGAATGTGTTTTTCACGCGGCACACACATCTGGGCGGAGCCTAATAAAATCCTGTTTTTACTCGTTTTTTGAGGATTTGAACCCGAATTTCAGGGAAAAGTTGATTTTTCACTATCAGAATTGAGCAAAGAAGGGTTGAGGGAGGTCCGGAAGACAGATAATTGCTTATTAATCTTCTAATTCCGCTCAAAATGACGTTTCTCCATATTTTTCTCGATTTTCCCAGGAAAGACAATAAACTTTTGATTCAAAAACTATTACTACTTGAAAAATTATCAACTACTTCTAAAAATGTAGTTTGAGCATGTTTCCTTCGGTTTCGGCTTCAAAAACACATTTTTTGTGAAAAAAAACAAAAAAAGACATTTTTTTTGCGAAAGTACTGTAGCGACACGTGAAATTGTGCAATGAGAAAATGCGTAGTGAAAAATTTGCTGTGTCTTTTCATTTTTTATACATCTTGTGACGTCATAGTGATTGTGAATTTAATTTTCGTGAAAGTTTTCGAATTTTTGATCACGTTATTATGATGTGGTTTTTATTCTCAGCATTGAAGATATTTCAAATGTAACTTTTTTTTTTCAAATTTTCAGGCTGTGACTATGAAAATATTGAAATTTTTCTTGATGATTTCGAATTATTTTTCTGGGTAATTTTTTAAAATTTCCTGCCCAATTATTTTCTTGAATCAAAATGATATTTTTTTTTAATAAGTTGATTTTCATTAAATTTTGGTTATTACCGTATTCTTTGCTAGTTGACAACAAGTTTTTAGGATAACTTCCCAAAAAACTCATCTGGGTCTCCGAAAAAAACACACTTTTTTGCGCGATGTCGGTTTCTTGTTTTTGGGCAATGTGCCAAAATATCAAACTTTTGTGACATGTTCTTCAATAGTTTTCAAATTCTATATAGAATTTCTGTGAGAGTTATCTAAAGAACTACTTCCAGATTTTGGTTCAGCTTTCAAAACATGCTTCCGGTGAATTTACCGGAAAATTTGAGAAAACTTTTGATATTTTTTTCTCGAATTCGTTCAAAAAAAACTGAATTTTCTGCGTGATTTTTGATAATTTTCATGTAGGAGAGGCTCCATGCCTTTAGAACCCAAAGTTGGCATTCGTGGTAAGAACTCACATACGCTCTCAAAAAATTCGAAAACTTTCACCAAAATTAAATTCACAATCACTATGACGTCACAAGATACATTTAAAAAAATGAAAAGATGGCCCCATTGAGGAAATGCACAAAAAATACATGGCCCCATTGAGGAAATATGCAGAAATTATGTATTTTATCTTTTTAGGTGGCCCCATTAAGGAAAAACTGAGAAATTCTAATTTTTTTCTTGCTGGCCCCATTGAGGGAATTTGCCACACAAGTGGCCCCATTCAGGTGGCCCCATTTTCTGAGAAAATGGCCCCATTCAGGGGCCCCATTCAGAGATTACCCTCTTTTTGTGGGTTCGATACCCAGAAAACTCTACAGTAACCCTACGAAAATTTAACATTCAGAAAACTTCAAAGGTGGAGTCTGAGCGAAAAAGTGCAATCCTCGAAGGATTTTTTCTGGAAGCTTCTCAAACAAAAAACTGTAAAGTTCGAAAAAACAGTGAAACGCCGTGTAAAATGGCTTGAAAGTCCATATGTACTGTAGCTTGGATTTAATGTTTGAGAAGCTTCCAGAAAAAAAAATTCATCGAGGATTGAACTAATCACAACATGCTCTTTCAAATGAGCACAACTTATTTTTTTTTCGAACTTCACCTCTAAAATATTATCAATTTTTGCACCTTACGGGATTTTAATGAGAGGTAGATTTTAAAAATTTGATCAGAATTGGTTGTGTCCGCAAATGCGTGTTGAAAAATATATTTTAGAAGTAAAAAATCCGGAACGTTTTCAACAATAAAAAATCATTCAAATTTAAAAAAATACTTACATTCTCGATGAACTTTGAACATTGTTTATTAGCTTTCAAAGCTTTCAATCTGTTTTCCCATGTTTCCTTAAATCTTATACTCTCATTTATTTGTTGTTTCAATGTTTCTTTAGCTTCCTTCAAGTTCTCTAACTTAGCATTTGTTCGAAATAATTCTTCTTGAAGTCTGAAAGATTAATTTAAGGAAAGAATCAACCAAATCAACGGGTTTTCGAAAAAAACTCACCTCTCATGTTTATCTTCCAATTCTTTGATTTGTGCTAGAAGTCCAGTTATGGTTTCTTTCTCATTTTCACACAGCAATTCATTCGTATTTGCCATAATTTCTGAGGAAAAATCTTTACATACTCACGATCAGAGATTCTCTTGCCAGCTTGGAGCTGGCCAGAAAAGTGACTTATTTTTAAAAATCGCAAACCAAAAAAACCTGACAAAATAGGGGTACACTGCGATATTACCAGAAAACGGAAAACGTAAAATGTAGAGAGAAAAGATTGGTATTGTTAATGAGGACGTAGGTATACAAAAACAATTATTTACATACAGAATGGTCACGAAGGTCAACACTATTTATTTATCGCAAAGGTCAAGGTAATCGTAAGGAATAATTCTTTTGTTTATCATATTTGGTTCATGCAAAACATGAAAAATGCAAGGGTTTGCTTGAAATTGTGTTTTTATTGAATAGAGTCAAAGTAGGACGTATGTTTTTATCCAATTTTTGAATGAAAAGCGAAATTGCTCAGAGATTCGCTGGCCAGCTCGCCACTAGGTGGGGGCTGGCTGACCTGGAAACCGCATGGAAACCATGTCGCCCGATTTTTTTCGCTGGCAAGGTGGCCAGGCTCTGGCTAGGTCAAGCCCACATGGCTACCACGTGGTGGCCACTTCGCCTCGTCGAAATGAATTTTCATGCAAGTGTCTGAAAAATTTGTGAATTGAGGCATTTTCGGAGAAACTGGCTCATTTTCTGTTTTTTCGCAGCACTTGAAACCTTGGGAAGTGAAAAAACACTAGAAAATGCACTGTTTTGAGTACAAACCACCGTCTTGCCAGCTTTCCAGAATTTCAAACACACAGGCCACGTCGCCGGAAAACTCAAGGCGACCTGGTGGCCATGCGGATTCCAGGTGGCCGCAGTGATCTGGTGGCGAGCTGACCAGCGAATCTCTGAGAAATTCGAAATCTCAGACCTTGAAAATTTTTCGAATATTCCGGATTTTCCGGTTCAAAAAATCCGGAAATTTTCCGACTTTCCGGGTTTCAATTTTCCGCCACAGGCCTGAATTAAACTAACCTTTTCCAACAGTTCTGATTCTTTCATATCGATTATGTGCTGATGTTGCTCTTGCATTCATATTCGGAATCATTCTATCATGATCGATATATATTTCGACAATCCTTCTGGAAAAAAATTGAAAGAAGAGAAAAAATAACAACGAAGAGAAAATAAGAATTTTATGGTTGCCAGGGAATCCCTTCAAACTTACTTGTATGAGGAGCTAAATCTGGTGATAAAATCGGCTGACAAGTCGAACGGAAACCTGGAAATTAATTTGATATTTCAAATATAATGATTTTTTGATCCAACTTTTTTCTTGCTTATACTTTGAACAGCTAGACATAATTGAGCTGGTTCTTCAATCGGAGTTGTTAGAAGAAAATCAATAAATGCTCCCTCAATTAGAATATCTGATATTAACCAACAGAAAAAATTGATAAATTCCACTTGTTTTATTGGTTAATGTTGATTTTTTTACTTCCTGAAATGAATATATAAATTTGTATCTGAAGAAACTTAGGTTATGTCACTTAACCTAAGTTTCTTCAGATACAACTTAACTTAAGTGTGGGAATATGATTTTGTCATAAAATATTCGATTTCACTCACCATTTCATCACCATCTAGAAGTTTAATTATATTCTGTCGATTTTGTAAATTTAATCCAAGTTTTCGAACTTTTCCAACTTCATATTCATCGAATTTTGATCGTAAATGATCAAATTCGCATAACATATCATACTGTAGATTGACTGCATTTTCAGAAATAACAAGATCTAAATTAGTTGCGTCTGAATTTGATAAAATAACTGTGATCATTAAGTGCCGCCTTGCCGAAAAATAGCATAAAATGGAATAAAATAATACTCGAAAAAACTAGTTGTTATATTTTTTGGTCTCCTTGACAACACCAAATCAACTCAAACTCAATTTAATTAACAGTGTACTATAAAATAAAAAATGCTTTATTTTTCAGAAAAAAAGAGAATACCCATAAAAATGTATAGAAATAGAATAATATAAATCACATTTGGATGAAACAATAAAAATATAAAGCTGGCACGAAGAAAAACATCGAGGGTAATGCAAAAATTAAAAAGTTTCAAAACGATGTGAAAATGAGGGACCTTCACGATTTCGATTTGCTTCTGAACAACCTTCAGATATTTTTTCATTAAGTTGATTTGGACCACAACTGAAAACTCCGATCTCTTCTTGATCTTCGTGTCGATTTGCAATCCATCGGAAAATTGATTTGAAATCTGGTCGACCAAAATGATTTTGTGCGTGAAGACCAGTGAACATTGAAACACCAGAATTTGTTCCTCGGAAATGTTGTTCGCAAATATACTGCAATTTGTTGAAATTCTCATGAACTTTTCCCTCGGCCCATGCATCAATAAATTGTGCCAATGGTTTTGGCGACAATCCAGTGTAATAGACTCGAATTTCTCTCGCTTAAAATTGCATCAAGTGTTCGAGTTTGATTTTCGTTGCTGGCAGATTCAAATTTCCGGTAATTGTTTTCAATTGATCCATATCAACAAATCCAACTTCTAAAAGATCTGCTTGTGTGTTCGCACAACTTCCGACTTCCTAATTCTCCAAACTTGGCATATTTCGAATCTTGATGTTTTTCACGAACTTTGACTTGGTCGTAGTTTTCTGAAATGTGAGATTTTGGGCTAGAAATTCCGGAATAATTTCCTACATCAAATAACATTGAAATTCCTTTCAAAGTATTGTGATATCTTTGAAGATAACTTTTGAAGTAATTCATAACAACATCGACAAGTTTTCCATTCTCAGTCTTTTTCCAAAGTGGCATCGGCGAATTTCTGGAATAAAAACAAGTATTTCCAACAAGTTTTGTGTATTATCGAAAATCTCATCCGAAAATCTCCACCGAAATAAACACGCAACGCAGACCGCGCCGCGCCACAACACACACAAAAAAGGAGGGAATTTGAATCGTTCATTTTTCAACAGCTTTATCCTAGTTTTCAGCAGGTTGAAAAATGAACGATTCAAATTCCCTCCCTTTTTTGTTTGTTGTGGCGCGGCGCGGTCTGCGTTGCGTGTTTATTTCGGTGGAGCGCGTGGTACAGATGAGATTATCGATAATAAACTCACTGTCTTTTGTATGTGACATTTGTTGTAGTCGGAGTTTCAGCAACAAAATCCAATTCATAAGTCCATTTGTATGGATATTCAGTGGAGATTGAAATCAAGAAATTCTTCTTATTTTCCATAACTCGAACTCGCAAATAATAGTTCTTTGAACTTGTTGCTTCTTCCCAGCAAGCTTTTGAGCATCTCGAAAATCGGCATAAACTTGCAATATTCAACTTCTCCATGATTATTTACATCAAACCATTCTTTGGTATTTTGTTCGTTATCTTCTTGTCGAGCTCTTTTGGTCGGAGGCTCCATTTTCTCTAAAAATGAAATTTGTGGAGGAAGAAGAAGTTCAAAAGATTAAAATATTCAATTTCCAACGTTAGAAACGTATTTAGTAACTTTCAAAATATCAAAGCGTTAAATATTTACTATTCTATGAAAAAAAAAACAAAAAAAGGGGGCATTTTGACCTATTCTACAACAAAAAATTCCGAAAAAATCTCAAATACCTAGAAAAAATGGCTGGAAATAAATAAGGGGGGTTTCCCATATTTAAGAGGAGAAAATACACAAATTATGGAATGATTTCGCATTCCGCGAGGCGACTCGAAAAATGAACATGAACAAATCGATTCTGGAATAAAAAATTTTATGTGGTGAGAATTTTTTAGGGAACGAAAATGTTACCTTTTCTCAATTTCTCGAAGTCATATTTACCAACAAAGTTGGAGCCGAACTTGACAGTCTCAATTCAGGTTGATCGATGTCGTCTGGAAATTGGAATACATTTGATACAGTTTTGTGTTGAAATAAGGACTCTCGGGACCAAAAATAGAAAGACTTCAGGAACTTAAATGGCCGGCCAAAGCAACAAATGCGCTCCCACAATAATGATTTTTGCAACATTAAAGCGGGTTCGTTGCTTTGGCCGAATTCCCGACATTTCTCGGCCACCCAAATAGTTCGGCCGTACATGTTTTACCCCTGAATTTATCCATAGTTACGGGTTGACTAATGCATCGTCCAAAGTGAAAAAAAAAATGCGAAAAATCAAAAAAAAAACGTCCAAACAGACGCATTTTTTTTCGCAGAAATCGCATTTTTTCGAGCATTTTTTTCGCGTTTTCTGGTGTTTTTCGAGTCAAAATGGACAGAAATTGAGAGGATTTGTCTGCAATTGTGTTTTTATTGATAATAGAGAGAAAATCAGTGGTGAAACATGAAAAATGAGTTTGTCGAAAAAATGTCGAAAAAGTTGAAAAAATTTGAAATTTTCAAAATCTTTTTTTTTCTTGTTTCACCATTGATTTTTCTTCCATCATCAATAAAAACACGATTTCAGACAAATCCTTTCGATTTCTGTCCATTTTGACTCGAAAAACACCAGAAAACGCGAAAAATGCTCGAAAAAATGCGATTTCTGCGAAAAAAAAATGCGTCTGTTTGGACGTTTTTTTTTTTGATTTTTCGCATTTTTTTTTCACTTTGGACGATGCATAACACCGAGAAAAATTTTGAGGTCCGGCTAACATTTTTTTTACAAAAGTTTTTTTCCGCCCGAATCAAAATTTTGATTTGGGCGGAAATTCTAACATAAGTGTTGTAAGTTGTAAGTGTTTTTTTCTAGATAACTTTGAAAATTTTATATTTGAGGTCTCACTAACTTTTGGGTCGAACCAGGGAGAAAAAAAATGTATGGTTCGGCCACAAATCTTTTTTTTTAACATTTTTGAAAGTTCTCATAATCTTCGTTGTCGGGTCATTTAATTTTAGAAAAAAATGGTAAATCTCATTTTTCAAAAAATAAAAGTTCCAAAAAACTTTTTAAATGTTACCTGAATTGAACAAGCGTTGTTTGTCATTTTTTGCATTATCCAATCGTTTTTCATCAATTGTTTCATCGCCATCTTCTCCTTCAGTTCCTCCTTCAATATCGCTCATTTTCATCATAACCAATCGCTCTTTTTGTTGCTGTTGGTTCTGCTGTTGTCTTCCCCATTCGCGCTCTTTCAATATTTCCGCATATGTGCGATTCTTACTGTTTTGCATATCAAATACAATATTTTGCTGCTGCTGTTGTTGCTGTTGTTGTTGTTGTGTGACAATTTTCATAAATTCCATCACTTTCGAATTCGAACCCCCATTTTCACTGTCTGTCGAGATGGCGATTCCCTCATTTTCATGCAATAAAATGCCGCCAGACAGCTGAAGATAAACTCCCGGAACTTTGTCTTTTCGCTCCAAATTGATGATTTGACACGGTCTGTCGTGACGAGTTCGAGGTTCAAGCATTGTTTTGGTGACCGATTGATATGGTGAACTTGGTGATTTTCGATAACCATGTTCATCTCCATGATACATTTTCTCATAATCATATCGATTTTCATCTCTTTCATAAGACATGCTCATAGTTCTCGATCTGGCACCTCCATAATCAAAAGATGTGTTCAAACTTGGCGATAAAGTAGCACTTTCTGAATTCAAAACATTTTCAATGTTTTCTAGAAAAAAATCACCTCTTCTGTATTGTTTTCTTGGCGAGTATTGCAATTGTTGAGTGTGTTGCTTTTCTTCAACAACATGAGAAACATCTTGTGTGAAAAAACGATCTTGTTCATCTGGGATGACCTTAAATTGTGCGACTTTGAAATTTCAAAAAAAAAATACGATATATAATTTAAAATTTTATTAGAAATTTGTAAAAAAAAAGTATTATTACATGAATTTTATTTATCACATTGGTAAGACCAGATCATAGAAAATGCTTTTCTCTCTTCGACCCTGAAAATAAAAAATATTTGTATTATTTTTGGGGTCGAAGAAACAAAATTTTCGGGTAAACATTTGATATGTTTTCACAAATATTCTGCTAGAACCAACCTGTTTCAATTTCAACGTATGTGTTGATGTGAATTGTTGTTGATCTCCACCATTTGTGTGCGATTGTTGTTGATTTCCACCATCTTGTCCATTCTCCCGATCGCGGAAATAATTCTGATTGTGTTGTTGTTGATTTCCTCGATAACCACCTTTTCCACTATTGTTCGTCGACATTTGTTGACCTTTCTTTGGATAATATGTAGATTCCCCGGAATCATTCTTTCGCCAATTTTCTCGATGATTCGGGCGTTGTTGACGATTGTAATAAGACCGTTCGGAATCTTCATAGCTTCCAACGATTGGTTCATCTTTTTCTCTTTCCCGATCTCTTCGCCCATCATGATATGTTGGACGATGATTTTGCGGTGGATTTTGATGGGTACGTTGACCTTGCGAAGACGACGTCGAACCACGGCGTTCTTGCGGTTGTTCAGTTGGAGTTGCAGCAGCGGCTTGTTGCGCAGCTGCAGCCATCAAACCAGGATGAAATTGGTAGGGTGTCATGTCCGGAACGAATGGAACTGTAAAAATTATAATGGAACACATTTTTATTGACAGAAAACTTACGATATGGGAACATCTCTGATTGTGGAACCATTATATATGGATAAACATACAGAGGTTGCTGTTGCTGTTGTTGTTGACGAATTTGCATGGTCACTGAAAATAATACAAATCTTAACTTTCTTTGTGAATCAACTCACTCAAACTTTGATTTTTCTGCTGTTGCTGTTGTTTTTGGTGATGAGGTGGAACTTGTTGATTTCGTTGTTGCAAATATCTTGGATTCGCCACCATTCCAGGTTGCACGACTTTCCTCTCCAACTTTGTCACCATACGTCGCATGCCAGGGGTAATCGACCCGTGGAGGGGTTGTCCCTCACACCAAATTTTGGAGGGGGTTGTCACTTGAGATAAAAATTTTATGAAATTTTCTCAGTTTTGATGATAATTTTCTCTACATATTCTGCCATAGGAATACCAATTTAAGCCTCAAAAAAGTTTCCACACAAATATCTAATTAAATTAGGGGTAGCAGGTCTTCAATAGACCCTTATCATCTATGCTTTACAATAAAATCCAAAGAAATGAGCCAGGTATCAAGATGGGACCACTATGCCGTTCTTTCACATCATTTCTTTGGATTTCATGGTTAAGTATAGTTGATAAGGGTCTATTGAAGACCTGCTACCCCTAACTCAAGCCCTACTGACTTTTTACCCCTGTGTTAGTTGATAACAAAGAGGGAAAAATGAACATAGTGGTCCTAATTTGAAACCAGGTTAATTTTTTTTGGATTTTATTGTGGAGCATAGTTGATAAGGGTCTAATGAAAACCTGCTACCCCTAACTCAAGTTCAAAATTCACTATTTGCCTCATTGATGCAAATTCTGAGCTTAAGCTCAATAAAATTGTAATTTTCAGATTTCTATAGCTGGAAATGAAAAAAATGAAAAGGGGGGGGTTATCCCTTTCGTCGAAAATTTTCAAAAATAGGGGTATGCACTGGCGGATTTCAAACGGGGGTATGCGACGTATGTTTGTCACGTTTTTTCAATGGGCCAGATGTTGTTCGATGTCTTTCAGAATTCGAATATTTATCGGGCAAAGCAGCTTCGCCACGACACGGCAATTTGAATGTCATGACGGAGTCGTCGAGGAGGATTTCTTTGAGCCACACAGAACTTTGAAGATCACGAATTTCAGGCAAGTCGAGTTTGATCGATGACTAAATTTTTCAATTTTTGCAAAACTTTCTGGATAACAATGTTAACTCACTGAAAGTAGTCTTGTATAAAATGTATACAAATTGCGCATATTGAATTCTTTCGTCCTCAAAGTGATGCAATGTTGAAGTTCTTCATCAGCTAATAATGGAACCGGATCATAACGAGAAGGTGTTACACGCATTGACGCTTTCATATCGGAATGATAAACATCGACAACACGATTGTGAATATCGATTGGTTGAGCCATATCAGAATCGTTGATATTGAGACACATGGAGACAGGTAGGAGTTCCTGGAATTATTCATTTTCATTGTGTGATTCAAAAAAACTGAACAACTTACCGTGATGCATTTCCTTGCCTCCAATACATTATTGAGTCGTCCTCGAATTAACAATGGAAATATATGATCATGTGATGTGTTGATCGCATCAAAAGATGGATGTGTGATTTTCGTTCCAGTTCTTTGTTCAACCAATGGCATCAACATGTATTTCTGTCTTGGTTTCCCAACAACATGATCCAAATGGTAAATTGAAATATTGAAACGCATCGAATATTCAGTTTGTTCATCAATCGTATTGTTCAACATAGACGAAATATTTTCACATGCTTTGTACAGACATTCAATATGTTTTTGTCGACAAGTTAACTTGAGACCAGGTCCGCTGTTTGGCAAATTGTCGAGCTCGACGATCACATTGTCATATGTATTACGGTTGGAATCGATGTATGCCAACACATGATCTATATTGTTTTTTGAGGAATCCATTTCGAGGTAGACGGAGAGTGGGCAGTTTTCCTGAAAATTATCGAATTTGTTTTATTCGGGCAGTCGGGTAACTTACTCGCAAAGCAATTCGCGCTTTCTCTACATCATTAAAAAATCCAGTAATAGTAACTTGTTGTGCATATGGACTGGCACCATTTACATTCAATTTGTCAGGCAATTGGATGAGGGTGTTAGTTGAGTGCATGATCGATGTGACATTTTCGACGTTATCGATCCGCTTATGCATTAGTTCATGATACTGGAATTCGATTTCAAGACTGAGGGTTATCCTAGTGGGGTTAACGTCAAGCATCGGAATTCGATTTGGCAATTGTTGCCCGCTATCTTCTTTTAGCTTGATCACTGCTTCTCGCATCGTTTTGTACGAAATGTGCTGGCGATTTTGGAAATCTTCGAGCATCTGAAAATCAATTTACAGCATGGCTCGCTAGAATGTGAAAGGAACAACAAACCTGTGTAGACTGTTGTTTTTGATGGAAAAAACTTTCGGTGTTATTGCCGAGAATGGCGCGCAATGCGGGGGATATAATCAAATTTCGTGGCAGCGCCACTTCTTCCGCCATTCGGATTCGACTCTCTGCATCCAACCCATGATGAATCGGCGTGCGGAATTGTGTTGGAGTGACGAGAATCTCTTTTTCTCCACCACGTGCTTCCATGTAAATGTCTGAAAAAGAGCATTTTTCAAGTTTCTGAGACGAAATATTCGATAAAAGTATTTGCACGGATAAAAACCATCGATTCGATGACCAAAAATTGCATTTATCATGCTTCCCCGACCGGAAACCCAGAAAGAAAACTGAAAAATGGCCGAAGCGCGACTAAAAATAGAATGCAAATGTATTAAAGGGACACATATTTTTGAGAAATGGTCTCGCCACTATTTAGCGCACGTCGAAAATGACAACATATTTTGCCTACTCGAGCGCGCGAATTCAAATGTGCGTTTTTGGTTGTAGTGTTTCTTTCTATATAGAGGAAGAAGGATGCGAGGTAGCGTGCTACTTGGCAGCAAGCTGCGCTATATCTGCTGCTACTTCGCAAAAACTCTGCTGCATATGGTCATATGTTCGCTGCTACATAGCATTTTTTGAAAAACCGCGCTGAAAAAAAATAAAAACACACATTTGAATTCGCGCCAAGCGGCGAGGGAAAATATGTTGCAATTTACGGATACCTCCTTTTCTTTTTTCGTTCTTTTTTTACCACGCCTGTTTTGCCTGAACAAAATTCGTCGGTACAGTAATATGACGCCAAAAAATAGGTCTCCATTTGGCGGCGCCGCGTTTTATGTCTTGGAGGCCCCAGAAAAATTTCAAAACATTCATACATACGTAATTTCATCTCTTCTCTTCGAATAAGTATAGTAGAAGCCTTAAAAATGGCGTTTTCACGTAGAAAAACGTGAAAAACTGGAATCGCTGCGAGACCTCACTCTTTCGAAAGATGTGTGCGCCTTTGATTTGCTCAGAATTTGATTTTCAGCCCATAACTTTTTTGAGAATGCGTTTCAGAAACAAGTAAATAGTTTTCCTGGCTCATCTCGACGTGACGAATCAAATGGTATATTCAGCTTTTTCTGAAAATGCCTCTAACATGCTGAAAACTGACTGAAATCACTGTCTAGTGTGTAAACACCGCGACGCACAAATGCACAAATTGCGTACCGTAGTGAAATTTTTCACCGTCGCAAAAAAACAGGCGTGTTACGCGGTTTCCCGGGATTTTTATCTTTTGCAAATTCTACTTTTTTTCTAGTTTAGAGATTCACTCCGTTTTCACAATACGTCACCGGTTCGATTCCAGAAAATTCAGAATCCGGTCCAATTAAACTGGATTAATCGGACCTGCTTGATCGAAAAAGTTTCTATCCAAAAGTTGCCAATTTTTCTTTTCTCTTTCGTTTTTTAAGCCGTCTGTTTTTTATTTTGTCAATCAAAGTGTTTTTCCAGCAATGTCATCATCTCAAAATGATCAAGGCGAGCCCGCCCCAAATTCGAGTTTGAAGAGTAAAGTGATGTCTCTCGAACAATATGTCAAGTTGCTGGAACTTAAACTGGTGCAGTGAGTGTTTGCGAAAAAACCCTTTATTCTGGTTGATCACTTGTTTTAATCTATCAATTTTTCAGAAAGGAACAAGAACTTTCGGATAGTAAGGCCATCGTTTTATTTATGGAAGATGATATCGACAAAATGCAATCGAATTTGGCTACTTTACGTTTGGAAGCACTGCGACTCCAAGATCAATATGCGGCAACTTCAAATGATTCTTCATCCGGAAAAAATTCAACAGCAAATTACAAATTGACGTATTTTCGAGGACGTGGATTTGTTGAACCTATTCGACAAGTTTTCCGTATGGCAGAAGTTGAATTTGATGAGGATATACTTACACCAGATGACAAAACATGGGAAAATTTGAAGAAAAGTGAGTTAAAAATAAAAAACGTACTCAAGATTCAAAAATTTTTCATTCAAAAATTTTTCAGATGTTCCATTTGGACAGCTCCCGGTTTTGAATGCTGATGGAATCGAAATCCCACAATCTGCTGCTATATTAAGATATGTCTCAAAAAAGTTTGGATTAGCTGGAAAAAGCCCAGAAGAAGAAGCCTGGTGTGATGCGATTATCGATCGATGCAAAGATTTCGTTGTAACTTTCAGACAAGTTTATGTGGCTGCTCGACAAAATAAACCTGCTGAGGAAATCGAGAAGATCAGGAAAGAAGTCAGTGAACCAGCTAGAGAACGTTTCTTCGAAATATTGAATGATGTGTTGGCACAATCGACATCCGGTTTCTTAGTTGGAGACGAAGTTACGTTTGCTGACTTATTCATTGTTGATAATTTGTTGATTTTGGAACGTAATGGTATTTTCCATAGAGCCGAGCAACCAAAGCTAACAGCTCTTATGCAAAAAGTGCACAACTTGCCCAACCTCCGCAACCACATTGAATCCCTCTCAAAAACTTCTCTCTAAAATTCCTCTCTTTGATTACATTCATTCTCTATTTCTCTATTCTCTCTTATCTATTCTTTATTTGACAAGAATTCATGAATCTACAATTCCAAAAATCTATTCTTCAATTTTTCTTGAACTTAATGTATAATTGGAATCTATGATAAATATTTGGAGAATTTTGAACTTTGTTTTTTGAATGTGAAATTCTCGTAATTTTCAAAACCTGTCGTTCACGTCGTGCCGCCATACAAATTCGAGGAGACGCAGAGGCAAGTTTTGGATAAACGATTGAGGAGTGCTGGAGAAAAAGTGAGTTTTTCAAGGCAAACACCGAATGGGGTGGACCAAATGGGGTTGAAATGGTAAAAAGGGGTGTAAATTTCCTGAAGTACGAACAAAAAGGGGTTAAGTTTTTCTGAAACAAAATGGGGTTAGAGAAAATGGGGTTGATTTTTTCAACTCATTTTGTACAAAAAGGGGTTTATCATGCTTTCCAGACAAAAAAGCACATACAGTTGTTACAACGAGTTTTTCTTACATGAATTTGTTCTGCTCAATAGAAATACTCCTAAAAAGTATAGACATTGATTTGTGGCAAGTCATATTTCCTTGCGTTCACTAAGCCTAAGTAGAAGAAGTTAAAAACAAAATTCTTTGGTTCTGTGAATCCAGATATTAGGCTTAGGCTTAGTGAAACGACTAAATAACTGTGATTTGAAACTTGAATAATCTAATCTACGATAATATACTCAATTCTGTGTGAGCTCATAATAAACCCCTTTTTGTAAATTTTGAGTTGAAAAAATGAACCCCATTATTTTCAACCCCATTTGGTATTATGAAAAATTTAACCCCATTTGGTTGTACTCTGAGACATTTACACCCCTTTTTACCATTTCAACCCCATTTGATCCACCCCATTCTGTATTGGCCGTTTTTCAACATTGATTTTGAAAATTTAAGGTTCTGAATTTTATGCAAATAATACAAATTCCTTTTGCGGTTTCCAAAGTGCTAAACTAACCGAACGAAAGACATCAAAATTGCTTTCGCTGACAAGCGATTGTTTAACCCTTCTTGCGTCTTTCGCTCGTTGATTTCACGCTTTGCAAGCTGAATTATTCAGCTGCAGAACGACATCCGTGTGAATAAAACTTTATATTTTCAGTAATCTCAACATAATCGATAAATGAGACAAGTTTTGGCCGTTCAACATTTTCAATTAATTCAATTTAGATCTAACTCCGCAGCAACTTGACGCAGATCCTTGAAGTATAGGTCACATCATCTTTGAATTCAAAAATTCCTCGACCAAATCACACCAAGTCATTCAAAATTCCAAGTCATCCAAAATTATTTCATTGATTGCTGACGTCGAAAATCGATAGATTACTGGAAAATTGTCAGTTAATTCGTCAATCAGGGTTGAAAAAACGAAAGTAAGAAAATACTCACCAAAAATAACATTTTCGCTCTGTTTTGTGATTTCAACGGGTAATTATGATGCTTCTTTGACAATTGACAGCGTTTGAAAAAATTGAACTTTCTTCGAAAGTGAGCAGGAAAATTGATGAATATCTGGAAAATTGCAATTAAAACTGATAAATTGAGTGAGAAACTGATGAAAACTGAAAAACATACCTGCATACTCGAATTTTTATTTAATTTCCCTTTATACGACGAATCTTCCTTCATATCGACTCGTTTCCATAATAGAATATTGTTTTTTGATCCAACTTGTCCATATAAAACCGAAAAAACAAGATTTATCGTTTTTTCAACAAACAAAAATAAAAATAACAAAGAATGAAAAAAAATCAACTGTGATATCGGATTTGATATAAGTTTTCATTAGGCACATCTCTAAAAATAAAAAAGCGGAAGTTGTTCCAAGTGGGGCTTCTATTATTCCAAATGAAAGATTATAAATTGGTCACAGGGTCGGAGAACAATTCGGTCCTATATAAATATTTAAGAAGCTACCCGCTTGAAAATTTTTGGAAGAGTCGTGGATTTTTAGAAAATCAGAGATAAAAATGTGATGGTGAGCATTAGAAATTGTGAGATTCGAGAAGATTGGGTATTTAGAATTGGGCATTTGTGATGTGGAGACACGTGGAAGGCTTTGCATATTTCAGTTGACAGTGGAGAAGAACTGGAAAATGAGTTTTGGGAATATTTTTTCTGGGAGAGGGGGGAGGGGGACGTTGATTCAGGTAGAAAAAAAGTCAAGAAATTTTTGTTCACAAGAAAATTTCGAGTCAGGAAATGTCACAACTTCTTCACACAGTGTAATCATACCACGTTCAGAACCTGAATTTGCAGGTCGAAATTTTTTCCACAAGCCAAAATTCAGAGCGAAATTTTTAAAAACTGTCCATTTCCCCTCATTTTTAGACGAAATCAGGGAAAAATTTTTCTGTATCAGATTCCTGAACGAGGTACTTATGAGTGTAATTCACTACCCTCAAAATTATTTTGGAAATTTGAGGTCAAGAATTTCGTAAAACTCAAATTAAAAAAAAAACTTTTTTTGTAAGCATCTGTTTTTCTATTTACCCAAACTCCCCCAATTTCAAAAAAAAAAATCAAAACTTACGTCGACATTTTCCCCCCTCTTATAACCAATTTGTTCCTGTGATCGATTTTGCTTCAAATCGTGCATTAAAACATTATAAGCATACGGTAGATCATAACAAGATGAGACAGTTGAGAACGCTGAGAGACGCAGATTATTTTGCTGCTTGAATAAATCCGGTTTGAATTGTCTTCTTTGGTCACACCAAGAACTACAGAATTCCGGAAGAGATTTCATTGGATGAGAATGTGAGAATAGAAGGAAGACATAGGAATTGCAACTTGATGGCTTTTTCGGAATCAGGGCGAGGTATTCAGCTTTCTGGAAAAAAAAAAATACTTTTTTATTTAGAGAAAATCCCCATTTGTTGGATGAAGTCGAGAAAAAAATTAAATTTCCGTTTTTGTTTCGTAGGATGGGCTACTCTATTGTTTCAATTTAATTTGTCCTCTTTTCATGAGAGCAAAAAAAACTTGAATATGTATGTTACTCACAGTTATTCCTCCAATTTTCTCGATATTCAAATTGACAGCTGGAATATCAACTTGAAGATAATGAAGATGTCCATGATTTTCGTCAACAATTGCAAGAGAGAATAATAAATTGCTCCAGCCAACATAATTATTTCGGGTTTGTCGATGATAATTTCCATTGCTCTCTTGATTTGACGTCATTCTCAATGATAAAACTGTTGGTGGAAGTTTTGTGGCGAGCGCAGAAATTGATAAATCACCCAATGGATCTAATGTAACCCTTTTTCTTCTGAAAAAATTTATATTTTTCTATCAAGCTTCAGTTGCAAAAACTTACGGTAGCTTAACTTTTTGACAGCAAACATTTGCGGATAAATGTTCCTGTTCATAGGAAACAGTGATCCAAGAGTCGATTTCTTCCAAAGGAAGTTTTTGTAAAACATTTTGTCGTGAAGAAGGATGAGAGAACTCTGAAAAATTATTTTGGCTGGAATTTCTCCAAAAAAACCAACTTGTCAATAGAAGACTGTGACAATAATCAAGTTTCCCAGAAAGTTTCTGTTTTCCAATTGCGAATGGATCACTTCCCGAAATTATGATTGAAAGTCCGACGAGATCTGAAAATATTCGCATTCTAAAATTAGAACACCCAAGCTGCAAAAAACTAATCAAAACTGGTACGAAAATGTTTGTTTGTTTGTTTGTTCTTTTTTCCCTTCCTTTTGGAATTAAAAAGTTTTTTGCTTGATTAAATTTAATGATGATTCATCTAGATATCTCACCATCTGCAAGTTGATTTTCCAGCATAAATGAATTCAAATCGAAATCCTCGTCAGATTTTGGTTTTTCAATTTCTCTCCCGTTATTTCGGAAAATAATAACAGCGATTGGATTTGGACTCGAACGGAAATTGGCAGTTGGCTCGTATTCTTTGAGAACTTTTGTATTTTTTGGGAAATCAACTGCGAGATAATTCAATGTTCCATAACCAACATCAGTGAAAACAATTGTATATTGATCATCGAAATGTAAATCACTCCATGAAATCTGGAAATTTTTTATTTGGATGTAAAAAACTCAATAAAAACGAACCTCTGGTCTTTTCCTGATTCTGAATGGATCAACTGGTTCCATATCTGGATCAACTTCAACAGCAGAAGTATTTCCACTGAAAAATTGATGTTCACATGCTTCATAATGTCCTGGAGATGCGCGATACGTTACACGTGGAAATATTGCCAAATTATTCAAATATGCTGAATGATATGTTTTAACGCGAAATAATCGAGTTCCAATCGAATGAAAATTTTCCAATTGTTTTGGTCCTCCACATTCAAAACTTTTTGCATGTCGATTCAAGCAATGTTGTTCGGCAAACCAGAATTTCCTTGGTTCAGTCACGATTTTCTTGATTCTTTCTATACATGTCTCTGTGTCGCGACAAACTGCTTCAATTGTTCCAGATATTGTTAGCAGCAGAAATAATAGACGGATTCCTATTTTGAGCATTGTTTTTTGAAGCTGAAAGAAGCAAAGAAATAAAAAATGAAATAAAATAAAATTTGAATAGGAATAGAAATGAAAAGGGGCGTGGCCTAGTAGGAACAAATATTCGTATTTCTCCAACAATTCATTTTTTCAGAAATTACTATGATAAATCTGAAAATGAATTCATAAGCAATTGAAAATCGAAGTTTTTCAAAAAAAATAAAAACAAAAATATAGGTACCGTAGTCTAAAGGAACACATACTCTGACAAGGATATCTCAAAGCGAAAAGAAAAATGTTCATCCAAAAATTATTTCTTTTTTTTCCTTTTTTTTTCTCGAGAACTTGAATATTACGAAAAATGATACTGAATAATTAAAGAGCAATGTGCGAAAAAGGGAAAAATCTGAGATGGAAAAACATGTCAAGTATGGATGGTACAAGAGGATGCTTGAATTGCGCAATAACAAAAATATATACGAAAAATTGTCAAAATTTTCGCGAGCAATTTTTTGATGAGTAGGAGAGTATCTAGCAAGGACAAACGGATGTTTGATGGGGCAACAATAATTAAACAAATATCAATTTCGAGGAGAATCATCAAATATGTGAGAGATAGTTAAATGTGCAAGTTTGATGGATGGATGAGCATTTTGATTGATATCACAGCATGTTGAAATTAATGGATTTGTAAATATTGACGGTGAGTGATTGAAGTTTTCGTGGATTTTCAAATTTTAAATAGGAGGATAACAAAGGTTAGGGGTCCGTAGACCAAACTTTTCTATGGGGATTAAACTCAAGAACAAAATACACAATGTGTTTCTGGTACTTGCAAACTTTACCGCATTTTGGGGGGGGTGATTGGGCAAAAGCTTGAGACGAAGCTAGATGTTTTGGACAATTCAGAATTTTTTTAAAATCTGTTCAGAGTAAATCTCAAAGTATCACACAGCAACTATTCACAGCAAAAAGTCAAAACAACAACTATCAATAAATCTGAATAAAATGGCAACCGGGTGGTCTTGGCACACACCAATGTGACAATTTGTAACAAATCTGTTGAGCAGAGCTCATAAATCGAGCAAGTTTACGATCGCATAAAAGTGTCCGAGAGGACAGCAAAAATTGAGAGAATGAAAAATGATATTTGATCCAAATGACAGCGTATCATATTTAAGTAGTATCTAAGATTGTGCCCTTCTTATTTAAAAAAAAAAGTCTTTTTGAAAAAAAAACACTTCATTCTATTTACAAGTTAGATAAAACTTGTTTGAAACATACATAAATTTGTCAAATTTAAAATACCCATGGGTGCGAAATGATTTTTTATGAAAGGGTGATGATGGATTAGAAGTCAAGTGGACGTAACGAATACGTTTCAAGTGTTTTGATGACAACAACAAGGAATCCCCCTAATTTGAAGTAATATGAAAAAGAAAAGAAGAGGATAGGAAAAAAAGAAGAAGAATCAGGTTTCCGATGGTCATGCTTCAAAGAAGATGTTCTTCTGAAGAATTTTATAAAAGTTAGATTTTTTGAGATTTTTTCTTATTGAGCAAAAAGTTATAATATCTAGGAGAAAAAGACAGGAAACACTTCAGTTTTAAGAAATTGAAAAAAACAATAGAAGAAGGTCGAATAATTAGCACGTTGGCATTCATTGAACAAAACAAAAAAGTAAGTGTGTGACATGTGTATGTCATAGTCGATTATTGTATTATAATGGTAATTTGAGGAGGAACTGCTCAATGAGTTAGAATTTACATATCACGGGTCAATAGATGTTATATCTATGAAGAGACAATATTTTTGGATCTGAAATCCCCGGGACTCTTAAAGGTGGAGTCCGAGCAAAAAATAAGTTGTGCTTATTTGAAAGAGCATGTTCTAATTAGTACGGATTTTTTCTGGAAGATTCTCAAACATTAATTAAAAAACTGTGAAGTTCAAAAAAACAGTGAAACACCGTGGCTTGAAAGTCCATAAAAACTGTATCTTGTACTTAATGTTAGAGAAGCTTCCAGAAAAAATCCTTCGATGATTGTACTAATTAGAACATGCATTTTCAAATGAGCACAACTTATTTTTTGCTCGGACTCCACATTTGACACACCCAGAGCAAGATTTTTGACCCCCCCCCTTTTTTTTTTTCAAAAATCAACATACCCCCCCCCCCCTGATTTTTGGGAGCTGATCTGAAATTCTTCAACTTCAATCTCTAAATTTATGCTCATTCACGCGAAGAGAATTTTTTTTCGAAAAACAACAATCAAATCAAATGAAACGGCAACAACCCAAAATTGAATTTCGTGTTCTACTACGAGGAGGGTCATCTAAATGGATATTTGATGGATTATATGACACTTGGGACTTTTTCTCCTTATTTTGTTCCTTGCCTTTTGAGCAAAGGAGGAATAGGAATAAAGGCGAGATTTTTGGTGGGGGAATTTGAGTATTTAATTGGCACCTTTCCAACACAAAAGGTAGGGAAAGTGCTAAAAATAATGGGTATGGATTTACAAGCAGAAAAGAAAAAATGTACATTTTTATACGCTTTTCTGGCCGGGATCAAATATTTGGGTGGCAAATTAAAAGTCACTGACACCATTGCATAATGTGGTGCACACCATATAAATAAATGAGACTTATTATAAGTGGATGGCAAAACAAATCTCGTGGGAACTCTCATTAAAGGGTGAAGACAGCTTATACCCTTTGGGTGGGTGAAGAAATTTCCTAGCGAACATACAAAATATCTAGGTTCACAATTGTTTGTTCAATTCATTTTGGAAAGACATTGATGCGTGTCGACAAATACTACTGATTAAAATAAATTGATGTGATCAAAATAGGATTTTCCCGAGTAAACAATCGGAAACCAAAAAAAAAAAGCATAAAAAAGGAAATTGTTTTTTCTCTCATTTGCACTAATTTGATGACAACAAAAAACAAAAAACAACAACGAGATTAACAAAAATTTCTTTTTTTGTTAGATGAATGAAAATGTCTTGGCTCCACCAATTTAATTGCACCAATATTTGGCGCAACAATTGGAAAAGCACAAGAGCCACCAATTATATAAGCATGAATGAATGGATTGTTGACACCCGCCTTTTACCTTTCTTGAAAAATAATAATTATAAGGTTTAAGAAGAAGAGGAAAAAGAGCGGCAAACTCGAGAAATATGCAAAAAGTTTATGAATATTTCAACATTTATTATACACTACCCAAGTGTTTTATCTACTAGTTCTAAAAATAAAATAAATTGGAGATGAATAAAAAAAAGCACAGTTATAATATAATATAAACATTTCTCTCCAGATGAATGTGACCGCCATAAATCTTTTTGCACTCGTTTGGCGGCAATGGTGATAAATATGAAAAAATGACAGGTGGCATTATGTATATTAGCTGGAAGCTTCTCTTCAATGAAATGAAATACTGTGACAGAGGAACAAAAATAATAAATTAATATAAGAAGCATTGAAGTGAAACTTATTTTTTGACATGAAAATTGTTCTCACAGACAGGCAGACATAATTTTTTCTTACATAAAAACAATTTTTGTTCCAAAATTTCATTTCTCGATGTTTTTTCCTTGGTTTTTATTCATTTCTTTATGCAGTTCTGAATCTATCGTGGACCCTGAAAAACTTTTGAAGCGATATCAGGATGCATTAATCGGAAAGCAAGATTTGGAATATGTTCTCGATGATTTGTATAAAATCAAAAGATGTTACACTTATAAGTTTGGTGATCGAGATCCCACTGAAGATCGAGATCAATTTATTGATTTCTTGATAAGTATTCAAGACTGTATTGTGTTAACTGATGATAAATATCTTGCAATTCGAAATTTCACACATATAACTGGTCATCGATATGGATTTAATATAGATTTATTTGACGACGAAAAGTTTCTTAAGGCATCATTTTATTATGAAGCAAGAACATATGAGCCTTTCAATAAAATTGAATTCCAAAGCAGAATTTATTATGAAAATGCAGTTCGATGTATTGAAGGAGAAATCGTGAATCCATTAATCGATGAGAAAAAAACTGGGGAAAAATTAGCGAAAAAATTGATGAAGAGTTATACCGTTGCTGCATATTATGTGGATTCTGAAAAGTTTTTGAGAATAACAAACAAACCTTATAATATTCATGTCTGTGAGGAATATCAAAATGTTCCGATTCCACGTGCAAAATACTTTGAAACACAAGTTTCAGTCTATAGACATATTGAAAACTTTGGGAAAAATATAAATGTGACATATTTCAATGCAAGAGAGGGATTTCTGAATTTCACTGTTGAAACTGGAGCAAATAATGAGCACAATGTGCAATTCACAGCAAATCGTATAAATGACAAAATACTTTTGACAAGCGAGAAAGTATCTAGCTGCTTTCGATCAGATGTTTTGTATGAAATCGAAACATTTATCGAAAAATCAATCAAAGAACTTATGGAAAAATATACGAAAGCGATAAATGAAAAAGACAAAGAGACATTTGAAAAAATACGAGGGATAAAGTATAAGGAAGGATATTATAATGTCGGAATAAAACCGTTCATCCCAGAAAATATAAAAATCAACTACACAACTGGAAAAATCGAATTTGATTGTTTTAAAAAAGGATTCATGGTTGTTTATGTTGTTGGGTTAAAAAGTGATGAATATGTCATCGAAACAGAAACCTGGTCCATGATAATTTAATTTTCCTGGATCAACAAAAAATAAATCATTTCCCAAAAAATCTTCATTTTCATTTCATTTCATTAAATTTACACAGATCTTTTTAAAATTGAATTGATGGTTGTTCTTGTTCAAGAGCACGAGAAATTCTGAAATAAAATTTGCTTTAAAAAAATCCAGAATCTAAAGCTCACATTTTTTCGATTTTACGAATTTCTTTCTCATCAATTTCCTCATTTCCCTTCATTTTCGTGACAATCATTGCTTTTTTCTTATCGAGACTACAATATGCATGGGTCTTAATTCGATAATTGCTTTTTGAAGATGATGAATTGCTCGATCTTGATCTATTTCTTTTGAATGGCGAAGATATGGTTGAGGATGATGTTGATGAATCGGAAGTTGGTGTGTGAGGTCTCGAATTTTCTGGAAAAACATTTGAAGGTTTTGGAGATAGGGGCTGGAAAACATAGTTGAACTATTTTTTTGAGAACTTCTCATAGATTATTGAAAAAAAAAAGACACGCACTTTTGAAGATTAAAAATATTCTGGGAAAATTCATGGCGTAAAAACATTTTTAATCAGGAAATGTCAAAAATTATTATGTTTTTTTGATTGAAACATTTTTTTGCGAGATATTTTGATTTTTTTAAGGTCTATAAACTTTCAGAAAATTGTTTTTCAACACAATGTGGGTTACTGTACTTTCAAAATTGTTCCAAAAAAGTTTCCCATATCAAATTTAATTTGTGTGAAAGTCCCTCTTCGTCCACAGTTATCGATTCAGTTTTCTGTTTCTCTTTTCAAGGGTGTTAAAAAAGCCCTAGGCGTTGAATTATGGCCAAGCCTAAAGCCTAGGCCCTAAATTGTCCTTGGACTCCCCTTTCTCATTTCATCCCAAGTCCTTCCCACTTTCTCACCATTTTTCAACGATCCCAAATGCGATTGTGCCAAAATCAAAACCTCGTCGACTTTTTGCAATATATCATTATATGCCTCATTTGCTCCTTGTTTTGCCATTTTATCAAGACCGAATATCTGAAAATGGTGGGGTTTCTCGATTTTTTTCACGTCTTGGTTTTTATAGGTCATCACGTATTACTTTGAAGGATTTTTGTTTTTTAGGGGAACTTGTGTTGAATTGAAAAGGATGAAGTAGAAGGTTCTAGAAAAATTAACACATGGGTAATCAAATCTGCTCTATCCTACACATGATTTATTTGTGTGTACTTCTCTCGGAATCACGGTGCGCTTTCCTTTACGCGAAGACCCGTTGCGAAAAAAAATGAGAAAGTGGGCGGAGCCGAACGATACCGAGCGCGCTCACCACGTGTCGCTGCGCAGAGAAATTTTTTTCTCATCAGAGCGCACTTAGCCCTCTTCAGCAGAAATTTCACGACGGTATTTTTATTCAAGCGACGTAAAGAAAATCTCACCGTGGAATCCACGATTATCAACGTACTGAGCTAGAGGGTTCTAAAAACCTGGAGCAATCAAGTTTGCTCTATCGCACACTTAAAGGGGGGGTAAGACGACAAAATTTTTTTGTCGCAAAGTTAAAGGCTCCCCAAAAGTAGTAAAACCTCCAAGGGATTTTTTCTGGAAACGTCCAGAAAAAATGTTCCATAAACTAGGTACCACGTATAGCTATACGTTGAATTTATTCCATAAACTTTCGGACAACGTATAGCTATACGTTGAAAAAAGTTCATGGAATATTTTTTTCGGACCTTTTTTGGCCTTTCGAGAAAAAATCCCTTGGGGCTTTTACTATTCAAAGGGAGCCCGATTCATTGAGCAAATAAAATTTTTTCGTCTTACCCCCCCTTTAATTTATTTGTGTGTACTTCTCTCGGAATCCATAATTATCCACTTGAGCTATTTTATTGAATTCTTGACCCAAAGTTGCGAAGCTTGCTCCTTTAAATGTGCAAAGTTTCAAAAGATGATTACAAATCTTTTTTTAGGTGCTTTCTTATCAAAATCAATTGTGTTTGATTGATACAATAATGGAGCGACGGATTAAAATTGTATACATTTTTTAAACATTTTTCCTCCGTCTTCATTTTTTTTAACTAAAAAATTTTGCAATTTTTTTCATTGAAAATTTTTGGTTCCTTTTGGTTTTTCAAAGTGATGTGATTGTACTCAAATTTTATCGGTCATATGTTAAGTTCCTATTATTTTTGTAGTTTTTTTGAGTTCCGTTTTTTATCACTTCATTTTCAATACATGAATTCATCACTAGACAAACACATAAATTCCGAAAAATGTATCTGTGGAGCAATAAAAAATTCCAGAAATGCTCATCATTCCACTGATAAAACATGGCGTCATTAAGTCTCCCGACGCAAAAAAATGAATAAAAATAGATTGATGAGCAGAAAAAGAGAGTACTGTAGGCTTTTCATGTTGATTTTCTATAGTGCTTTTTTTTTGGAAATCTGAGATTTTTGTTGGTGTTTTTTTTTCTTTGGAATGTGTGGGAGAAACAGAAAATAATAATAATAAAGTCATAAAATATTTTCCAAAAAAAGAAGACTATCTTTTTAATAGCTTCTGATATAATAATATGTTCGATTTTTACTGTTTTGTGGTTTTTTTTCTCAATTTTTTTTGCGATTCCGGTGAACTTGAAGTTTGAATTTCGGGGAAAAAATAAGAGGTTACGGTCAAGATTACGAAGCTTCAGAATTTGAAATTCATCTGAGATTTCGATATGGGATTTTGATCTTGGAAGTTTATCAATCGTATGTTTTCAGATTACATCAGAATGATGAAAAAATAAGATTTTCATTTTCAGAATTAAAGAGCGCGAGAAACGCGTTCAAATCTTGTTAATATGACGCAGACAGGTCTCGAAATTCAAAATCAGATTCTACGTGGATTTTTGACCCCGAAATCTTTAAAGCAACTATCAAAAAATCCCGAATTTCAGGCTAAAAGTGGTATGTGCGCTCCAGTGCACTTTCCACATTTTTGGTTTAAATTCAAATTTAAAAAAAATGAGAATTCATTAATTTCTGATTTAACTTTGTTAGCAAGATCCAGAACTCATATTCCACGTGGATTTGCGACATAGGAACCTCAAAAATATGAAATTTCAATAATGATTTTGACTAAAATGTCGATTTCTAGGCGATTTTCTCAAGTTTTTTTTAAAAGAAAAAACAAATTCCAAAAAAATCGCAGACATAAAAATTGACCATTTGAAATTTGACACTTTTGCAAAAAAGTGCAGAATCATTTTTTTTTTCAGAACATGCAAATTCTACAGTATCTCCCTTTCTCCCTCTCCATATTTTCATGAAATTCCAAACATTCCATTCTTTTTTGTTTTCTTATCTAATGGTCACTCGCAAAATAAGGGGGCGTGACAATTAGGGAAATACTGTAGGTGAAATAGAAAGAGCTCCGCCCAAGTGTTGTTCTGGCTCGCTCACCTCAAAAGATGATTAGAACAGTGGCTTCTGCTTCTTTGAAATATTGTCGGTGTGACCATTTTGATGCGAGGTTTTGTGTGTTGAAATGATGATAACAGTGGAATTTTTTAGGGTGCGGCTTATCACATTTTTTCTGTTCTTCTCATGTGCAAAATAAGTATATATTAGGTTATTTTTATGTAATGTTTTTCATAATTTTAGGTAATTTTTTTTGATTTTAGAAGAAACCTATTGATTTTCTGTGTATTTATATTTTCAGATTTATTTACAACAATTAGAACTTTTGATTGACTTATGCTAAATTCCGCTCTATATTTCTTGAATCCTGATTTGCCCTCAATTTTGCATCATACCATATTTCCTTACAGAAAGATGTCACATCATTTTATGTTTTTATCATCATTTTGTTCAATTTCGCCTCGATTATTATTGCTAGTCGTTGTGTTAATATTTTGGAGCACAAAAGTTTGTGAGGCTAAACCGATAAATCGACTAATCGATATTGCAGAAAAAGAGAAAATTGATCGATTGATCGAAAATGAAAAGTGAGTTTGGATTAGATTAGAAATTTGGGGTTTGGTTTTTGAAAATTAGAAAAATACAGTGTAGCTTGATGTGTGGGTACTGTAGATTTCTATTATTGGTTTATTTTTTCATGAGAAAAGTATACTTGGGACCCCCCTTGAACTGACATAAAATTAAACAAATATAAATATAGAAATTAAATTCGAAAGTTCAAATCGTACTGTAATCAAAAGTGTTTGCACACACCAATTCGCTGAACTTGGGGGCAATTTGAAATTTTGAAACACAAGTTTTTCTCGTGTTAATTTCATATTGAACTATTTTTGAGCCTACGCTCCGAGGAAAATCTGAAAAATCGAAAATTATATTTCCAGAACTCGAATTTTCAGAGCACAATTTTTGAATAGTATAAATCTCTGTAACCTTCCAGATTTTCTTAAAATAAGATATCTAGAACATCTAAACAACCCGGGAGCTTTGAATACGTGACATTTCCCAATTTCTACTTTAAAAATCAAGCTCCACTCAAAACAAAACACAAAAAGCGGGTCAACGTCCACGAAAATAATCGGCTTTTCCAACACCAACAAAAATTCCCTTCCATGGACAAAGTATATTTTGTTGTTAGTGATTATTTAAGAATGTTCAAAGGGTAACACTGTAATCGGATTAAACAAACCTTATTTATTTATACATAGATACATTCTTGCTTGGTAAATTAATGTTTCGTTGACAAAAGACAATTTTAAGTATGTTCCAATTTTTTTTCAGAAAACGCATCGCACTTCTTGAAGCGAAAGAAGAATTATTAATGGATGTTGTTGAAACATTAGATGCTGAAATTAAACAAGAAACTGTAAGACTAGAAGAGATGAAATGTAAGTTCAAATTTTTTCTCAAATCCTGAAGCCCTTCAATTTCATTATTTCAGCCATCGGAGGTCGTCGTGAAATGGTCGAAAATATTCTAGAAGACTATAGAAAAGTATTCGTATCACAACAATACAGACCTGGATAATCCAATTCTTCAACTTCTTATTTTTCGATAACTCTGTTGATATTTATTTTCACGGGTTCACTCTTATGCATAATTATTTTTTGAATATCAGAGGAAAATGAATTGATTTTTTTTGAGAAGTGTTGCGAAATTGTTTTTTCGGGGTTTCAAAAAGTAAAACATTGTGCTCTAAATTTTGAATTCTATAAGATCATCAGTCGTCAAGTAGCCGAGCCTAGAGAGCCTAGTTGTCAAGTAGTTGCTCCTAGCGAGCATAATTCTCAAGAAGATAAACTTTTGAACTATGGAAATTATAATTTTGCTCGGCCGAGGCGTGTTTGAGTTTCCATGACAACCGGGTTCCGACTATTTTCCTCTTTTTTTACATTCAAATTTTTTTCTTTATTTTTAACTAAATAAAGGAACAATTATGGTTGAAGAACATTTGGCAAAATCTGGTCTCTTCGTTGATGACTTCAACAAACTACGCCTTATTGATCCAGGTAAATATACAATTTATTGATTTTCACAATAGGAAAGTTTTCAGAAGTTGCTGAAATTTTACAAGGTGCTCATGATAAATCGAAAGAATTTAATGATCAACTTCGAAGTTTTTATTCAACAACTGGTGGTTTGATTGAATCGATTGAAGAGGTTTGATAATTTTTTTCGAAAATAATAATTGAAAATTTTTTAGTTCGCAAAAATCGTCGAAACTGAAAAAATTCGTGCAATGATGGTTCGAAATTCAGCCGAAAAAGATTTGAAAGCCGAAGATCCAGTTATTCTGCAAATGACAATTCGAGAATTGAGTGTTGAAAAAGAGCGACTTCGAATCGAATTGGAGGCTATTAAGAAGATCGAGAAGGAGCAGGAAAATTATATTCAAACTTTGATGGAAAATTGAATTGATGAAATGAGTTGTAAAAATAAAGATTGTTGTTTTTAAAGGGAACCCCGGATTTTTCCATGCAAACTATAATTTCGGGAACCCTGAGAATCTCACAAACTTCACTTTTCGGGCAGTGTATACTAGTTCTGAAAAAAAGAACGTGCCCTGAATGACGTGTTCAAGGATGTCAAAAAATGTTTTGTTTATATCGCTCATTTATTTTTCTATAAAAGTAGAAAACGGTAGTTTTCTCTCATATTTTTCTATCCAAGAACAAGGTATGATTTTATCAATGGGTTTAGACGGTAGAAGAATATGAGGTTCTGATCTTACTGGCGATGGGAGACTAATTTACGCTGGTATCATTTTAAACCCTAGTACGAAAGTGGGGGCTCGATCTACAAGGGAACCAGTAATTATCTAAACAACCAAATCTGGCCGTAATACATTTAAAACATGACATTTTCCACAAATTTTTTGATTGAGCTTCAACCAGTAGATAACTTTTTTTTAATTATCACAAAAACATCGGGATCAAACTGAAATCTTACTTGGACTTTGATCTATAGTTGGACAACAACTCGATTTGAGTCGACTCGAGTCGTTGTTCAACTATACTTTGAGCGCTTGATGTTGATCAGACCTGGGAAATTTTTACGTGACATATTATATTATCAACGTCAAATTGTGTGGCTCCGAAATGAATCAAAAATAAAAACGTTGTGTGTCGCTACAGCAATCCTCATTGTAATGTGTGTTGAGATTACTGTAGCGACATACAACATTTTTATTTTTTGTTTCATTTCGGTGCCACACAATTTGACGTTGATAATAGCTAAATTAGCTAATATGGCTTCGTAGAAAGACAACCCTTTAAAAACTACATATTTTCTTCTTTGTTTCTCTCAATTTGTGACGTCTTTGCCCTGGATATTTCTCTTTGTGTGACTTCCTTCTCTCTTTCTCACTCTGACCAAGCGCACATTTGCTCTAGTGAAATTTTCGAACTAGGCAAACGCAAACGCGTTGGACTAGAGCGAAAGACAACGACGCAGAGAAAGGAGACACACTGACAATAATCGGGCACTTCCATTGTCAATTTTTTTGAATAGAAAAGATATTGTTTTCCTTTTTTGAGATAATCCTAATTATTTAATTTTTCGATGGATATGGAGAATAATATTGTTAATATTATGTCGGAGTTACGGTTAGTTACCAACTCATTTGTTGGTGTTTTCAGTGAAAAGGTTCAGTGACAAAATTTTACGGGATTTCACGTTTTTTAGAACCGTAAAAAAGTGCATGTAAACAGTTAAGCCTTTGTTTTCAGATTGATGCAATCTACAATGGCTCAATCACTTCGTTTAAAAATGATGAGCAAAGAAATTGAATTCGATTTAACTGGAAATAGCATTAATAAAAGCTCCATAAGATCAGCTTTTTTATTGCATGATAGTTCACCTGTTTCGTTAGTTTATCAAGTGGATGGCCGTCAGAAATCTTGTTTGTAAGTTGTGCATTTTTCGAAACGACTTTATAAAATGCAAATTGACCTCGAACAGCGAATTTTTTGTTTCTCTCTCGATTTGGAAAATATTCTGACAAGGGAAGTGCATAAGGTGAAGTGTTGAACTTTTGATGAAACATATGAAAATATATCAAATCGAACATGCTGATCACGAATCCGAAATCAAAAATTGCCACAAACTCCTTTGAGCACTTTTCTGGAACTCCAAAGATATAATTGAATTTTGGTTTTTGCCTTTTTTCTCAGGAATTTTTTTGTACGAGTTCTGCACCTTTTTTGTACCCGTTCAGCACTTTTTTGCATTTGTACGCGTTCAGTTCCTGATATAAGACAGCTAAAAAAGACTGAACGTGTACACGCATAAGTTTGAAAGCGTACTCAATAGGACTGAACGCGTACAAATGCACAAAACGTGCTGAACTCGTACAAAAAAATTCCTGAGTTTACCTTGTACCTGTGCAGAAAATCAATTTTTATGACATGAATCCTAAAAGTACACACAAATACACGTAAATACACACGTTTTTTAAAGTTTTTTGTGCATTTTCAAAAATTTCAGTTTTCAGCTGATTTTTCATATTTTTGAAAAACTAAAAAAACTGGTAGGTTTTCGAATGTGGTGAAAAACTTATTCATGTTAAAAATTGATTTTTCACGTAGGAACATGGTGAAAATGGGCGAAAACCAAAACTCAATTCTAACTTTGGAGCTCCAGAAAAGTGCTCACAGGCATTTGTGGCAATTTTTGACTTCGGATTCTTAATGAGCATAGTCGATTTGGTATATTTCGATATGTTTCATCAAAAGTTCAACGCCTTATGCACTTCCCTTGTGAATATAAAAGGGCGTGTATTTACACACCTGGAGAGAGTGCCCCAAATTTTTTTGCGGCGTGGAAATTTTAGCAAAAAAAAATGGGCAGCGTGAAATAGATTTTTGGAAAATTTTCGAAAAACGAAAAAATGAAAACTACACTTTTTCCTGAAAAAATGTACAGTGTGGCTTTTGAAAATTTTTGTACAGTGTCCCATTTGGACACGTCCTTCCAGGTGTGGGCGTGTTTGATTATTCCTGATTGTATCTCAATTATTTCAGTACGAATGATGCTGGAACTGCTTTCGAACTTCCTGAAGATTGGCCGTCTCTAATATTCAATGTCGAATCAAACAACGAACCGTCGCACCCATCTTATTCAAACAAAAGTTTGTATAATTTATGATTGAATTATTTTCTTTTATTGACCATCTCTAATTTCCACGGCTATTTATAAGGTCAATAAAACAAAAATAATTCAATCATAAAATTATGTAAATTTACAATGCAAATCGAGAGAAACGCAGAGAAAAACATAGAATTTGCTGTGTTTTTGACTACACTGTCTGTGTTTCAATCGATTTGCGAAATACTCAAAATCTAAACAATTGAAACGTCTACTCACAACATGTATTTTAGCCGGCTGTGATGAATACCAATTGCGACGATCGGAATCGCCAAGAATGTTGGAAGAAAAGTTGGCACTGGATTTAGAAAATAGATTATGGTTTTTACCTCGTCAAAGAGCATTTAATGATCCCGAAGATTCATTTGAAGCGACCACTGGAAATCAGATTGATGGGGGATGCGCTTCGCCGATAGCATCTTGTGTGGCGGTGACATATGCCCACCGGTCGCATCGAAATCTTCGTGTATACGATGAAAATCTGAATGACGAAGAAAATATTAATTCAGTTGTTCAAATAAGAAAATGTAAAGATCCATCCATACGCCATTCTTTGAAGGTTGCTCAAAACACAAATTTTATAATTGACTCAGAATTTTGTAGGTAATCGTTATCGATGTACATCATGATTTTGTGCTTCTCTTATCGAATACGGACATCTTTGAAGATTATCCCTCTGTTGTTCGTTCGCCAAGAATTTTTGAGTGGTTTCTGGGTTTAGGTTTGAGTTATCAAAATCGAGGAGGTAGACATGTTACTCATCGCTCTGGCAATATATGTACAGTTATGGTTGATTATCGAGGACAAATACTAACTAGCGCTTCAATTGAGGGAGGAGATTCGGGAGGACCGTGTTTTTCAGAAGACAGATCATTGATAGGCATAATGTCTGCGTCAACGACAACCAATCCTCGTTTAGGTCAAGAATATGATAAAGATGAATTGGAAGAAGAGCTCCAAGACTCATCGTGTAACCCTGCCGATACGCTAATAACACCGGGAAATTTAATAGTAGAAGCTTATCGGGTAAATTATTTTCAAACTGATAAATTCACGTATAATATTTTTTAGATGTGGCAAGTCAAACAAGGGATCATCAAAACGAGAAAAAGAAAGGCACATGATGAAGGAAGTATTGATTGAAAATGGGAGCCACCATTATTGCTCTTATGTTATCCGAATCCCGCCCCCAATCTCTCCTCGTATTCCCCATCCGAAATTTGTGTCAAACTCGCTCCATTGATAATTGCTCTTTGCTCATTAATCGTCTGCTCCCTTGTTCTTCTCTATTTATTCTTATCAAAAACAAACAAATCAAAGTTTTAACCGTTCATAATTATTTTTTATTTGATTTTTGTTGTTCAGGGTGAATATATTTATTACCTAAATCATCGAGGATATTTTCATTTTCCAAAGAAACATTTTTCTTGCCCCCCCCCCCCAAATTCAAGCTTTTCTCAAAATTACGAGTGCATTTGTTTGTGATTCTTAATTTATTTTAATAAATATAATTATTATTTTATAAAAACTTTTTTTTCCATTATGTGATCAAATTTGAAAACTCTAACAATCGAAGTCCTTCTCTAGAATTTCATCCACCTGGAACATTGAACTTGACAATTTAGACTTTGAACAGATATCTTAATATCTGGAATTCAAAAATTAATAATTCAAGAAGTTTAGTCCAAATTATGAAAATTTAAAATTCATAGTGAAAATCTCAAATAAATAATTCTCTCACAATCAAAGTAAACCTGAAAAGCGGAGCTAATAATCTATCTCTAATTGTAAAAGCTCAACATTTTGAACTTTGATTTTGTAAATCTGAAGCTGTATCAGAAATATCAATTCGGAATTTGATTTTTCAAAAGCTGAACTTCAAAATCGAATCTTCAATCGAGATCTGAAAATGTAGATTTTCAATATTTGATTTAACTCTAATTTGATACTCATTAATCCTATCTAATACTAAGGAATAAATCTCAAAATTCATCTTTACTATGTCAAGTACAGTACTCATTTCACAATGATTCCAGAAAAATGGTGGATCGTCTCGAAAAAATGCGTCGTCGCGCGACTGGCAACGGCGTCACTCACTGCCTTTTGTGCCACACCGAATTCGGACTTCTCGCCTCGAAAAGCTACGCCGCAATGTGTGTGGATTGCCGAAAATATGTGTGTCAACGAAATTGTGGTTAAAAAAGAGTTAAAAATAAATTAAAACATACAAGAAGGACATTTGTAAAATGTCGAGAAAAATCACCAATAAAAATTATCTGTACAATACGAACCTGCCTCCTCGTCCTCATCATCTTCCGCTTGCAAATCTTGCTCATAGTCATCAATTTCATATTCTCCCTCATTTTCTACAATCTCTTCCGGTTCTTCTATTGCTTCTTTGTCCTCATTTGAAATCGCACGAGCATCGGAAACTTGATTTATTGGATTTTCACATGGAACACGAGCTTTATATTTTGCCATGAAGTCTGCCAATAGATCTAGAAAATATTCAAATAAAAAAACTCATTTTTTTTCAATAAAAAACTCACTATTTTTGCGGATTTCCAATCGCTGTTTGATTTTCTTCTGGACAATGTTCTTGACAGTTTCATTGACATCAGAAACATTCTTTTGATGAACGAGGCTTTTGAACGGCTGTTTCCAAATCATAAAAGATGGCGTCTTGTTATTCCCATTCTGATCAATCATGTTTGGATGATAACTTTGGTAGATTGTTTTACGATTCGGTGCGAATTCTTGAATTGACCTAAAAATTTCAAATTTATATACCATATACATAAATTCTCATTTCAAAATTACCTGGAACCAGCTAACTTGTCAGCAAACAGATTCGATTCGTCATCTGATTTCGAGGAACTTCCGGAAGTTGGCTTTTTCGACTTTTTCGATTTCTTTTTACTCTAAAAAATCTCATAGGTTTTTCGGAAATTCAAAAATTAAGAAACTCACCAAATATGCATTCAAGACCATTCTCGTTTCTTCATCAGCGTCATGATTTCGCGGAAAAAAGTCTTGGCTTTGACCATTTTTATCTTCTATCTTTTCAGCACTTTTTCTCGATTCCTTCTCTCGAACATTTCTTCGCAACTTCTTCCTTTTTGATGTTCCTTCACCTTCATCACTCTGAAATTATTATATTCAAGACTTCAAGCATTTTTGACAATTTACAGCGCAAAAAGCAATTCGAGCGAACAAAAAAGAAAAATAATTTTTCAAACATTGGACGAGTTTCCGAACAATTCGGCCAGAAAAAAACTCGGCCAAGGTTATTTTTTCAAAAAAAAAAATTTTGCGCGCGAATCGCGAATCTGGATTTTGTCATTCAATCTAGTTTCAAAGTTTGTTTGGATTACTCGAAACCTCACAAAATCATATATTTTCTTTCAAACTCACATCTGAAACTCTTCTCTTCCGCAAAGTTGATTTCTTTTCAATTTTGTATTCATCTTCAGAATCATCGTATTCACTACTGCTACTGGAAGAAAACATCTCGATATCATTCATCGTAGGCTGGAAACTATTTATGAAAAGTGAGTTTTAGGGGTAAATATCAAAAATTAAAAATTCGTTGAAAAAAATGGAGTGAAAAAAAAACACGGGCGATCGAAACGTGGCGTCGTATGCCACGTAAAAGGTCACGCGATGACCTTTTAAATATTATTATTTTTGTTTTTTTTTGTGACAGCAATTTCGAAAATTGAAAAGTATTCATTCATTGTGGGAAGAAACGGAAATAGAAGTAGTTGAAACAGATTGAGTGTCATCGTATGGCGAATTGATATGTTGTTGTCTTCGCTTTTCGGGGCGTTGAATATTTTTACGCAATTTAATAATATCAAGCCGGAATTTTTCGCGATCTTCATCAGTTACCATATGTTTCAAATGACATTTTCGACAACAATCCGAGCAAGTTGAACAATTGACACAAGTATCTTTTTTGCCTTTTTTCGAACTTCCTCTGCTACTTTTCTTACTTTTCTTCGACTTTTTCGAACTTTTCTCCGATGGTTGTTGAAGTGTCATTTTCTTCAACAATTGTCTTGCTTTCTCTCTTTGTGCAGCAGTCGTTGCACCAGGAAATGGTGTCGTTGCCAATGGATGAGATAATGGATATCCTTTATGATCATAACCTTCTGATATTTTTATTTTTGAAATATTCTTGAGAAGGCTAGATTCTTCAGCTTCAGCGCTTGCCGAAGTTGCAGTTGAATAACGAGTTTGTGTTGAACGAGATGATGATCTAGTTGTTTTGCAGGAACTACTTTGAGTTCTTGGTAATTCTGGTTTGATATTATATTTGTATTTCAGATATTTATTGATCTCGCGGATGTTTCGAAGTACATTTTCAGTCTCTGGATCCAAATGTTCATCTAAAAAATCAATGTTAGGTAGGTGTTGATATATTAAATAAGGTTACCATTAACAACGACTCTACGATTCTTCTTTCTCTTCGGCATCGATTTTCGCGATGATAATTCGACCGAAGTTGGAGTGGCGGCTGATGATGACGTTGCCTTGTTCTTTTTTTCTTTACCACCTCTTCTCTTCACAATTATAGTGTATTTGTCGCCTTCAATTTGTCCAACAGTCCACAAGCTCATTTTTCTACACTGAAAAATGTTGGAGTTCTTGGGGAAGATTTGGAGGAAGGGCGGAAGATCTAAGACCACTTACATATTCGAATCACTCAAAAAATGAGGAGCTTCTGGTGGAAAACAGGTGCTGATGTGTTTCCACGTATTTAGTACACGTGACAATTAAAATTAAGTGTTAAAAATTTACGAGCACATTTTTTTTGAAGTGCCCAGCTCAAAATTGTGCAAAAAATTCCAAAAATTCTGTAGATTAAAAGTTTGAAGCTAAAAACTCATAGTTTTTGTATTGTTTGGATATTTTTCTAATGTTATTCAAAGACACCAGTAGATAATTTGAATTCTATGGCCGAAATGAATATTGGCCCAATTGTTGTGTCTAATAACTACAGTAAGATTACGAAGTATTTTTAAATTAAAAAAAACCTAGCTTGCCCGAAGTTTAAAAAAACAACCACCATAAGATTTATTTTCACTCAAAAAACAATCAAAGTAATAAATCGAGTGGTAAATTTGAACTAGTATTTGCTGGATCCAAATTCGTTTGACCCATAATCGAAGGAACATCCGACGAAAAATCAATCAAATCATCAGACGGTGGAATTTGAAAGTCTTGATCATCTCCTTCTTCCTCATTCTCTTGAATACATTTCTCAACCAATTGACAAAAACTTCGAATATTCTCATATTTTCTCATAACACGAGACGATTTCGAATATCCAAAGATTTGCGATAATTTTGCAAGTATTTCATCATTTTTGCGTTGCTCATTCGCTTTTCTTCGAATTTCTTCTTCTTGTCGAAGAAGTTCTAATAATTCATCCGAATATTGTTCTGGTGTTGCTTCCGAATCATCATTGCTTGTTGGACTGTGATTCTGAAAATTGAGCACATTTTTTAAATTTACTAATTTTTGTCTGGAGTTTTGATCTATTGAGCCCGATTCACTCTATTGAGAATTCAAGAATTCTCAGAAACCTGCCCAACTCTCAATAGAGCGCATTTGCCCAATCAGGGTAAATTTTGGCAGAAAATTTGAATTTCCAGGTTTCTAGGCTCGAAATTATCGATTTTTCATGGTCTGACTTCTCAAAACGCAAGTTTCTAGCCCACAGCTCAATTTTTCATTGAAAATTACTCATTTTAAGTCCAAAAAACCTCCGAAAATGTCGAAAATCCTCAGAAACCTGCCAAATTCTCAATAGAGCGCACTTGTCCAATCAGTGTCAATTTTGGAAGGAAATTTGAATTTTCAGGTTTCTAGGCTCGAAATTATCGATTTTTCATGGCCTAACTTCCCAAATTGCGAATTTCTAGTCCCCATCTCCGACTTACCATCTCAAAAGCAGATCTAATCGAATTATTCGAATCAGTCGAATTCGTATGCTTCGATGATCTTCTTCTCGGCCCAGGATTTCTGAGAGCAAGTCGAATCGGAATCGGATGAGATGTTTTGATTTGATGTGTTGTTTGTTGAATCGATGGTGGAATTGTGATTGTTTGCTGCATAAGTGGAACTGGATGTTGTTGAAATAAAGTTGAAACAACGGGTTCAGAACGAGTATTAGTATTAGAGGTTTCAAATGGATTTGGAGAATCATCAATATTTGGTTGAATATCAGTTGTTGATTGCAACATTTGACTCATTCTTATCCAATTTGTCTTTTCAGACACCAACATTGCCAATTTTTCCAACCAATGTTTTTGATCCGAATATAACAATTGATGTTCTGAACAAGATCTCCAATCTGAATTTGTTTGTTCACATTCCAATGTTTGTTTCAATGTTGGTCCATTTCTTCCCAATGGTCCATCAATTGGAAACATGATATCATCTCCATTGAATGTTGGCATCAATAATCTTTGTTCGACAACATTTATCAAATTCGTTTTATTGTCCGTGATTCCTTGCATTTGTGATCTTGCCACAATACAACCGCCAGTTTCAAATGCGCGATTTACCATAATTCGGTTCACCTCCGCATATTTTTCACTACCGTAACCTGGAAGATGGAGTTTTATGGCGTGATTCAGGTTTAAAAAAAAACATTTTTTGACAAAAAATTTCGATTCAGCAAATGTCAAAAAACTATATTTTTTTCCTATTTTTTGACATTTTTACATTGCAATATTTTCGCTGCGAATTATGATTCCTTTTTGTGTGGAAAAAAATGTCAGCAAATAGGAAAAAAATATAATTTTTTGACATTTTCTGAATCGAAGTTTTATGTCAAAAATGTTTTTTTTATTATTTTTTTAAAATCTGAATCACCCCATTAGATATACGGAAGAAGATTTTGAGAAATCTTGAGAAAATATGCCTCGTGGATTTTGAGGCCAAATTTTTTCAGAATTTTCTGGAAAAAAAATGCCATTTTTGACACAAATTTTTTAAAATAATTTTCTGGAAAAATGTGCCACGTGGATTTTTGACACACATTTGTTTAGAATTTTCTGGAAAAAAGTGCCACGTGGATTTTGCCACAAAAATTTTAAAATTGTTTGAAAAAATATGCCAGGTGGATTTTTGGCACTAAAATTTTTGAATTTTTCAAAAAAAAAATGAGGCCACGTGGATTTTTCGCACAAATTTTTTTTTAGAATTTTCTGGAAAAAAATCCACTTGGATATATTTTGGACCACAAAATTCGACTCAAAAAATATGACACGTGGATTTTTTTGACCAAAAAATCAGATCTCCTTATTGTCAAAATGAAAATTTTCACGTTTTTTTATACATTTTCTGCCATCTATTTTTATTTTGACAATAGCCCCATTATTTTCAACAGAATTTCTAATTACCCGGAGTAAATTCAATCAAATTGAGTCGATACAACATCATAAGTTCCGAATATCTGCTTGATTTCTCCGCATAATTTTTGAAACAATATGGAAGAAGAGCAATGGCTTGATGTCCGCGACAAATAAAATGCCAAAGTGCAATTGTAACACCGCGAACATTCAATTTCTTATCTCGATCACAATGCGCATATGAATATCCAACTTCAACAGCATTCATGAAAACTGGTCGAAGAAGTGTGACACCTTGTCTTTGTCGAATAATTCCAGTCTGTTCATTGGCCAAAACAGATAAACTACTCTCCCATCCACCTGCTCCATTTCCTATATTTTGAATATTTGCTCCATTTTGACTGTTATCGATTCCTCCAATTGTTGCTATATTATTGTTCATATTTTTCTTCAATTAAGTTCCGATTGTTCAGAACTCGCTTTATAATAAGATTTATGACACAAGAAATAGTCGAATCTCGCTGATTTCGAGGCCACATCGACATTTTCGAAATTGGAACACGTTTCGAATTTTTGAATTTATCAGATTTTTATCTCATCGCGTAGGTCACGTATTTCTCTCTAGCAAAATATCTGTTTTTCATTTTTCTTCCACAATTTTGCGGTAGTCACCTTCATAGCTCGTAAAATCGACAGTTTATGGTCAACTGTCGTAAACCTACATTTTGTTGTGTTTTTCCAATTTAATCAAGTCGGTGGCTGCGCAAAGATATCTGTACAATTTAAATTGAAGTTTGATTTTTTTTTGAATTCAAGTTCAGATTGAGAATCCAAAACTGAAAGAGAAGTTTCTGAAAAACTTGATTGTCCTTGAAGGAAATTAAAAAGTGTATGTAAATATAACGAATATAAAATAATATAAATTATTTTCCGCTTGATTACCCAATTTATTTTATCTCGCGCCTTTCGACAACAGGCGGCCCCAAAACGATAATGGACTTACTAAAACAAAACAAAATGGAAAATGGGTAGGAAAACGTGACAGGTTTGAATTGTCATGTTGAAAAATTAGCTTGACTGAAATTTTCAGCAAATTCGATTTTAAGAAACTTTTTTATTTTAAAAATTACATTCTGAAAATCCACATTGACCTTTCTGAAAAATAATTTTTCTGGTTGAAAATTTCAGCAGACAATTTTACGGGAATTCCAAAATTTATTGCTAAATATTTTTCTGAAAAAATATAAATTAGTTCCCCGATTTCCAAAAAATATGTTTCAAAAATTAAAATTAAAATCAAGTCACTTCACTTCGATAAATCAAAATCTGAATCTGAATTCGGCTGAAACCTAGAACAGGTCTAAAATTCCAAAGACCTGAAACTCCAAAAAATTGGCCCAGAATTTCCAAGGCCTGGAATCCCAAAGCCGAGGTTCTTCTGATCCGTATTTTTCCCTGGAATTTTTCTAGGATCTGAGTTACCATAACTTCTATGTAGATATTAATTATACTATTCAATTAAAAAAAAAAGGTAAAGGTAGATCCGTATTCGAGCGCCTAGGAGGATTAAGACACTGCGGATCAGACGATTCGGACACGGAGTACGGGTGGTGTACGTCTATAGGCCATTTTGGGGAATTTAAGTCACCCTGTTGCCGCAGGGGACCGATTTACCTTGCGTAGCGAACTACTACCCACTTACGACTGGGTGGATCGAGGGGGAGCGGGCACCGGGGATCGAACCCGTGACCCTGAGATCGCCAGTAGCCAACCACTACCACTGAGCTACCTCACCCCCCTCATCAATTTTTCTCCAGAATTTATCGGATTTTCGAAATACTAGCTTCAAAAACTCCTTTTCTCTCCACACCGACCAAATTTCAAAACATATCGATTCAAATTCATTCCAAAATGTATATTTGTGTCTACCGGAACTCACACACACTTTTCATTCATTTCACCTCATTCAAAATCCATCTACAAATAAAATATTTATACACACATTCACATTTTGTCTCATTTCAACATGTTTACAAAAGTGAGTGAGTGCGCGAGATGCGAGCGATTCTTTTCAGAAATTCCAAAAATCGGCGGTCCTCTCCTCTTCACAGAGTGTCTCTCTTTTTTCGTCTCCTTCTTTTCAATACAATTCTTCGCGCCGCCCGAAAAAGTCAACACGAAATTTGAGAAGAACATATGTACAGTACCGCTTCTTTTGAGGCCCGCCCATTTTTTCCCGCCCGCCCTCCAGTATTTTATTCCATTTTCATTTGCCTTAGGTCTTGTCATACTATTTTATTTTATTTTATTTCACGGACTACCAGCCGGTATTCTGAAAATATTTGAGCTGAAGAGAGCCGTCTATTGACAGTTCGGCACTTTTCTGCTTTGCTATTGTCATGGAGTCGCTCTCTTCAGATCATTTTCAGATATTTTTGAATTGATTTACAGTAAGTTCAAAGTTTCCTCAAGTTCCAAAAAAAAAACAAAGTTTCTAATTGTGAGTTTCAAAAAATATTTACCTTCAATTCAATTACTCAAATAAATATTATAAAAAGGTTGAAGACGAAAAAAGAAGAGGTTGCGCACTTATAAGTGCCATTGTTATTTAGTTACTGTCTATTTTTTCTTCTTTTCTGAACATTTAGAAAACATAAAAAAAGAAGGATGAAGAAAAAGAAGGACAGATCGATCAATGTTGTTGATAAGTCTTGACCATGATTGACGAGTACATTTATACAAAAAGACAATTTGAATGAATGAATAAAAGCTGTGGCGCCTATTTTCTTGACCCAAATTTTGGTTGGGTGGTCTGGTTTTGGGGGAGACGGGAAGGGGAGATGAGTTTTGGATCTTAAAAAATTTGAAAATTATTTACTGGCTATACTGACAAGGGAAGGTCGCGGACGCGCCGAATAAACTTTTTCTATAATTTTGGCAGTTGAACTATCATCCCAAGGGATGAACACTAAAAAATCCTAGGGTGCACAACTCGCCCAAAACATAGTTATGACGTGGCAAAGTTGCCACCACTGTCAGAAACCGGACTTTTGGGGTACTGTAATTAATTTCAAAGTCAATTTTTTTGAATTCTGACTTCACAGAATTGTTCAGCAGGGTCGATTACCCAAGATTCGAACTGTCTATCCAAAAAATTGGAAAATTGTTGAAATTTGAGATTTTGAGCATCACACCCCAGTCCAACATCAGGAGGCGGAATGGAAATTTTTCCAAAAATCTATAAAATAGTTTTGAACTTACCAAATTGACCCTGCTGAACAACGCTGTGAAATCAGAATTCGAAAATATTGACTTTGAAATGAATTACAGTACCCCAAAAGTCCGGCTTCTGACAGTGGTGGCAACTTTGCCACGTCATAACTAGGTTTTGGGCGAATAACTAGGTTTGGTCATAACTAGGTTTTGGGCACCCTAGGATTTTTGGAGTGTTTATCCCTTGGGGTGATAGTTAAACTACCAAAGTTACAGAAAAAGTTTATTCGGCGCGTCCGCGACCTTCCCTTGTAAGGTATTCATAATTTAAAGACTTTCAATTTTCGAAAACTTGGAGCACACATTTTTCTGATTTTTTTCAGGTTCTCTGATTCTCAGGAAAAATACGATTATGTTTTAAAAATCTGAAAGAGTATTTGAGCTTGAATATGTATTAGGTTATTTTTTAAGGTTTCAGATAAGCCACAGTCTACTGTACCTAAATTCAGAGCTTTAGAAAATGTATAGATTTTCTAGAATCCTGAGTTTCTGAGGATTTATTTCTAATAATTCAGAAACTCTTGAACAAGTCCTTAAGAAACAGGTTCTTAACTTTAGCTCATAAAAACTGATCCTCAGATTTCCAAAATTCCAAACTTTAAAAATTGTCTTGATTTTTCAACAAAAAATGCTACTAAAGTTATAAAATGAAAGCGCAAACCTAATGTTTGAATTTGGCAACTTCAATGCACAGTTAAGTTTCACATACTGTGTTTTTGTGTTTTTTCTTACTTAAAATTTAATTTCAAATAGTTTATAGTTTGTATCCAATTGTTTCCTTTCAAAAGCCCTCTTTTTAATTTCAGCTAATAAAGTTCTAATTAAAAACGAGATTTCCTGGTTCTCTAAAAAATAGGTAGACCAATAAAACTATTTTTCTAGTATACAGCTTTTTCTAGAATAGATTTTCAAAAAATCACAAACTAATTAAAAACGAGATTTCCTGGTTCTCTAAAAATAGGTAGACCAATAAAACTATTTTTTCTAGTATACAGCTTTTTCTAGAATAGATTTTCAAAAAATCACAAACTCTTGGAAAATCAAATTTATAAACTTATGTAGTATGCAAATTTCCCAACTTCCTTCTCACGTCATGTTTTTTCTCTTGCAAGGTTTTCAACACTAATAACCGACAAAAAACCCATTCATTAATTTAGTTTTCATCTCCTCAACCCAATTTTTCCCGCTTCCTAAAAGGTGACAATTAGTTCTTATTTCCATTCCCAATTTCCAAGGCCTCATTCTTCTTGAAGCGTTCCAAATTTTAATCCAATCATGTTCTTAATTCGAACGAGTTTTTCTTGCCTGCAAAATAACACAAACTCATTTATTTCATTCATTTTAGAAAGGTAAGAAGAGGAACATGTGAGAATTTAGAGTAGAGTAAAATAAATAAAAAACGAGATCACACTTAAACAGTTTGGTTTGGGTTTTTCAGAAAAATAGATTTACGCAACTATCAATTGTTATAAGCCCAATCATGTGAGTCGAAAGCTGGTTGTCCACTTCTTTTTCCAAATCTCAATGGTCCTGATGGCCCACGTCGTTTTCCGAATCGAAGAGGTCCAGATGGTCCAGCCTTTTTCACGTCTGAAAAATATTGAACTTTGCCTCTGCACTTCTATGGTTTCTGAATCCTTTCAAATTTCTTGTTCTCAAAATTTTTGCCAAAGACATAATCCCAGTGAGATTATTTTTTCATGTTTTTGTTTCCAAAAAAAGGAATCACTCACAGTTTCCAAAATAATCGACATCAACCGATGGACCAAAAGAGTCTTCATATTCTGAAAAAACGAGACACATTGGGATTTTATATTATTGGATACTGTAATCACTTTTTCCTGGAACACCACATAAAAATATGATTTTATTGGGGGGAGCCTTCTTCAAGTGTGCGTGCGTGCCATTTTTTGTCTAGAATTTTTCGAAATTGAAAATGAAAATAAAAATGGCAAAGAACAATAGGGACGCGAATTTTTGAACATGTTTTGTTTTGGTTTCTGACAAACGTTTTTGAATAATTCCCGCAATTTTTACTAAACGTATAGAAGAAAGTGGCTGAAAAGTGCGCGAAAAAGTTATACTGTAGTTTTTTATATTGGATTTTTTGGATAGAGAAGGGAAGAAAGAGGTTTTGAGGTCATAAAATGAGGTTTTAATTTGGCGATGAAATGGATAAATGAGAAAATGGGATGCGCAAATGGGTCCAAGTGCATTTTACATCATTCAAAAGAGCTCGGATATAAAGTACGAGGGGTTTTTGAATCTGACCAGAAATATAACTTTTAAATAGAAATTGGGCCTGGTCAACACAGTATGTAATATACTAAATCAAACCTCTAGACCTCGAAATTTCCAAACTTTTTCCGGTAGATCAAACATATGTTTTCTAAATCTTTTTTGGTAGTAATTTACTCTGTGGTCAGATATTTTGATAACAATTCTGAAACCGAACCTTTTTCAAAAATTTGACAATTTTCAAAAAAAAAATGGTCTAATTCAGAAATGTTTGAGATCCGGCCAAAGTACAATCTTTCTATTTATGTTCAGGTTCAAATTCAGGTTCACAGTTTGTCTTTTTCATTAAATATATCATATTTCATAAAACTTTGTAATATTAAATTTCAATTGAAGCTCAACTTTTTGTTGAGTGAGTAATAAAAAAAAAGAACAAAACAAGATGCATTTTTGAGTAGAAAATAATAAAAATGAAGACAAAAAAACAAGTTTCAAGAAAAAAACTTCACTTAATTTCTCTTTATGATTGAAGGGTCCGATGGGATTAAATAAGTTTCAAAATTTATGATGTCACCATTATTTTTAGAGAACCGGAGAGCAAACTACAGTATCCTTTAAGAGCGGAAGAAAATTTAAAAGTTTCAAAAATCAGTGACTCGAAAAAACCGGATATATGCTTCAGGTACAAATTTTTCTCGAAACTTTTGAACCCTCGCAAATCGTTTCCTGTTAATTTTTTTTCTTGGGAAATCTTGTTTTTATTTTATTTCATTTTAAAAACCGCGGAAGAAAAAACACGTAAGAAGATTAGAAATTAATTAATTATGTGAGAATTTCGTGTTTTCATGATGAAAATAGATAGAAATACATATGAACTTTAGAGAATTACGTTTTGCGGGTGAATTTGAAATGAAATTCTATTTTGAAAATTCGTGGAATCTAATTTTCTTCTAATTAAGTAAGCTGAGCAATTGAAATGCCAGGGTTTAATTAAATACAGATAGAAAAAATCAGAGCTCAATTTTCAGATGATTTTCAGAATTTTTAACGATTCAGAATTCGATTTGGTGACGTCACTAGGTCAAGAATTGCCTACAAAATACGGTGCCCAAATTCCAGAGTACGGGACCTAAATTTAAGAGAATCACATCTCAATTATCAGAGGACTTTTCGAATTTTTAAGGAATTTCATAATTCGATTTGATGACGTCACTAGGTTTAGCACAACCTACAGAATACAGTATCACAAACTCATAGATTTAAATTCGGCCAGAGAAATTAGATCTGAATTCCTACTGTAGGCAAAAGTGTTAGCACACAAATCCTTGGAGGAAATTTGAAAATTTCCAAACATAGCTTTAAAATTTTTAACAAAAGTTTCCAGGGAAACCGAAATAAATTTTTAACGGCCTTAAAAAATTCAAAAAAAAACCCAGCTGAAAGTCTCTTTGTGAATGAATCTGAAAAAACCCAATTACCTGCAAACGCAGTCAACGCCAAAACAGCCAAAATAACGAATCGAATAAGTTGAGAAAATTCCATTTTGTCTCTTTTTTGTTTAGTTTTTGGGCGACAATATTCACACCAAACGAAATGAGCACAAAATGGGCGTGGCGAGTTGTGTGAGCAACAAAAAATGAGGCCACGCCCATTGAAAAAAATGACGAGAAGAAGAACTGGGGGAAAATAGATGTATGTAGAATAACATTTGGGGGAAAAATAAAACGAGGGTTTGGTTTTCAAAAAAAACATTGGGAAACTTTTTAAGGCTTATTGAAACACCGTGTAATTTTTAACCCAAATTTTTTTTGCGTATTTTTGGAGACCAGACAAGATTAGGGGTGGAACTAAAACCAACGCAAAATTAAGAGATTTGAAATTATTTTTGATCTACAAGAAAAAGTTTTGAAAACATTGAGAAAACATCTATAGATTTTTGGTGGAGCAAAATGGGCTAAAAATTATCACCTTGAATCTGCCTCTTGAAAAGTTCATATATATTTTTTGAAATATAGAATCCAGGGTTTCAGAATTACAAAAATCGTCATCATTTTTTCCTAAAAATCTCAAAAAAGTTTCAAAAATCCACTTGGGTCTCATGTGTTTCCAAAAAAGCCTCATTAAAACCTTCTCCCAATTTTCTCTCGTTTTGTTTGAAAACCTAATTGGAATTTGAACTTTCAAAAAAAGTTATATCAACTCTTCTGAATATACCCAATCACAAAAACCTACAGTATCCTTTATCTAGAAAAAAGTAAAAATGGGGACAATTATTTTGTGGGGGAAAAGTGTGGTAAAACAACAATAATTATTACAGTATTCAGCAATGTGAGATAATTATTGTTGTGTTGAATGTGGCGGTAATTATTTGACTTTTTGTCGGGAAGAAATACGGTATCCAATTTCATTCCCAAAATATTGTTTTGTTTTGTTTTTAAATTTTCGGGGGAGAATTAGCGGGAAAAATGGGTACCTAGAGACAATAGTTAGCAAGTATCCAAGCCTAAGAAATATAATTGTGTAGGATCAGAGTCTAGAAATCCAGCCTGGCAAGGAGCCGCATTTTGAGAGCATCTTAGCCAACTAGCCGAGCCTAGGAATCATAGTTGTCAAGTTGCTGCATCTGAAAAATTCGATGGTCAAGGATCAGCGCCTAGATAGTCTCAATTAGCCGTTTCTAGAGGACCGAACTTTCTAGAAGCTGCATCGAGAGGTACACTCTAGCAAGGAGCCTCGCCTATTAGGACTATGTGCCAAGTAGCCACATCGAAAAATTCATTTTTTTTTGAAAGTTGTTGGTTTTCAGATTATTTATGATGAAAATTTTGACCTCGAACTAGTTCACCTAGCACCTTGTCAAATTCCCTACATTTTTTTCCAACCCTCTTTTCCTGTTCAGGGTTCGAGAATCGCCCCAACTCAAAGTTTTTCCTTTGTTTTTGAAAAGTCTTGTTTACATGGATAATCCAACTCACAAAAGGCGCACTATTTCACACTTTCCTTCTTCTTTGTTTATTTTTCTTTTTCATTCCCATTTCAAAAATGAACATTCTCCCTTTGATAGTTTTTCTATTTTTCAACTATATCTCTTGTGATAACTGTACAGATTGTTTGGCTAAAAATGAAGTGTTAGTTCGCTGTCACTTTCAGAACACCCCAATTCTATTGTTTTCAGATTTTGTTTTTCTCAAGCAAAATGTGGTTGGTTATTTTGTCAAGCATGGACTGATGTAATTTTTTTGAAATTATTTTTGTTTGTATCAAATGTTTTCAGAAATCATTAAACTGCCCAGATGTTCGTGAAAACATTGCTGAATACAATGAGACATTTGTGAAAGATATTATGCTGGTAACATCAACAGCAGCTGCGGCTGAAGATCCTCAAAAATGTTTTGAGTTAGAAAAATTTGACAAGGGTAAAAATAAAATGAAAATATAATTTTTAGCAATGCACTTCCATCGATGAAATTGATCAACAAATATGAAGTTCAGTGCTCCGATTGTGAGGTTTTGGAAAATTTTTTAACAAGTTTTAAGTTCTGAGGATTGAAGTTTTGGAAAAAATTTGGACCGGAGCCATCAGCGGATTTGATTTGAGACCCAAAAACTGTCTATTGTCAGTCCAAAGTTTCTGACCCTTGGAAGAAAACCGATATGGCCAAATATGCACTTTTTAAATGCAAAATATCAGTGGTGCTGCAAAGCCTACTGAAGTTTGGTTTTCTCTTCCACGGCCTAGTTTTTTTACGGATTGCCAATAGTTCAGAATAGTGAACAAGTCTAGGATTGCTGTATCTCAAATTGGGTTACTGTAGCTCAAATTGGAGTATTGTAGCTCAAATTGGATTACTGTAGCTCAAATTGGATTACTGTAGCTCAAATTGGATTACTGTAGCTCAAAATAAGTGAAAATTTCCGAATGGCCATTTTTTGAAATTTAATAAAGCCAATATTTGGCATTAAAAAAATCCACGTGGCAAAATATTTCCAATTTTCAGTAGCCAAATGTGTTGCATATTTATCAATCGATCATTCATATTCTGCAATCAATTTAGCATTTCGTGGAACTCAAGGAGATGTTCAATTAATTGAACAAGCTCTAAATTATGTCAAGTTAGTTTTTCCCTCTTTTCTATTTTCAAAATCTCTATCGAATTCCAGAGGAAATCGTGAATTCTTCAAAAACGGAAAAGTTTTCAATTATTTTTTGGAAGCTTTTATTTATTTATGGGTTGGTGGATTGGAAGAAGATTTGATTCCAACTTTGAGAAAGTATCCAGATTATCAAGTATGGGTGAGTTAGCTTAACTTATTTTTGAAAACATTTCAATTTTGTCAGATAAATGGATATTCATTGGGCGGTGCAATTGCTAGTGTATCAGCTGCATATTTGGTGAAAATAGGTTTAATCAATCCACAAAATGTTCGACTTGTTACATTTGGTCAACCTCGAACTGGCGATTATGAATTTGTCACGTGGATTGATACTCATCTACCGTACACTTTTCGAATTGTTAATCAACGAGATCCAGTTCCACAATTACCACCGAAAATTGGATTGGTTCAATTATTCCATTTTCGCACTGAAATTTGGTATTGAAATAGGTTTTCTAGAAATCTTCTAAAATTAATTTTTAGGTACACTTCGGCTACAAAATATGAAACTTGTCAGCAAGCTGATGGACCATTTTGCTCGGCTTCTCAATTATTTTTGAATTGGTCTGATCATTTGGTATATTTTTCAAGGAATATTGGAAAATGGGCTAAATCTAATTGCACACTTTGATTAACATGTTCAACATTTATTCAATAAATAATTGAAACTTTTCATGCCGATTCAATAGGTGTCAAAGGCGCCTTCTTGAATTGAACATCCAATTCGGAAATTGTAGCACCAGTCCAATTTGGGCCATTCATTTGTCTCGAAGCAAGTTCATATGATGGACATGGTCCAGATTGTTCGTAAACTGGTGGCGGAGGAGTGACCTAGATATTTATAAAAATGTTTTTCATTTTCTCAGACACTAGAAAATCTGTTACCGATTTGTTTGGCATTGGTGGAGCTTGTGGTTGAGTTATAATAACACTTGGCTGAACTGTTGTATCGTTAGAAATCTCAGTCACACCAGTTCGATAGAAAGTTTGACGAACTCGAAGTCGAGTTGCGAATGGTTCCAAGCACATGATCGCAGCCAAGAAGATCAGGCGAACAAAGTTTTCCATGTCAGAGAACCAGAATTTGATGTGGCCATATTGCGGAATCATTTGATCTGTGATATAATCATCATCAGTGAATCTAACATGAGATCTATGTAGAACTTACAAATAATGAAAAAGATTGGTACAGCACTGATCATGAAAAATGTTTGGAATGATGTGAAACATCTAATCATAGTCTGTTGATGTTCCGAAATATCCGAGGTCATTTTTCGAAGTCCAAGACTTCCGACAATCATAGCAATCGACAAGCAAACACTAGCAAAAACAAAAATGCAAAACAGTGGCATATTTGGGATTGGCTCAACAAGTTTTGTATTCATTCGCATTGTTATCACACCATTATAAAGAGCCATTGATAAAAACAATCCAAGAGCAAGTGGAATTATCAAACGAGTTCTGAGAAATGAGATGTTTTGGAGGATCAGCATGAATATTTACCTGATTTGACAAGTTGTTAATGGTTTATCATCTCGAATTGATTTCAAAATTCCCTCAATACAACAAGTTCCACCAATCAACATCACAAAAAATGTTGAAGCAAGCATGATTGATTCGTATGTTCTATCTCGCAAATACATTCTGAAAAGGGTGGGGTTATTATTCTAACAAGGGACTTACATTAGGGTGATAACGGGTTTTGAAATAAGGTAAATACAGTCTTAGGTAACTCGACGCGCTGATCACGATGCCGCAAAAATAAGCTGCTGGGCTCCAGTCTGAGTCGCGCAAATGAGCTCCGAAGCAAATTTTGATACAAAAAATTACGAGATTTTTGAATTAAAAAGATTCACATTTCTTTGGAAATTAAAGCATTTTTTCACGTGAAAATTTTTGACTCAAATTTTTTCGGTTCCAATTTTTCGATGATCCCAAAATCGACTTCAAACACCAATTTTCAACAAAAATAAATATTCGCAACTTTTAATTCGGCCAAAATAACCCTATGGTACTTCTATTCTACCCAAAACTTACATACTTATTTCATATGAAAATTGCTATTTTATGAGCAAACTTTGGAGCTTATTTGCGCGGCTCATACTGGAGCTCAGCAGCTAATTTTTGCGGGATCGTGATCAACGCGTCGAGTTACCTAAGACGCTTACCTTATTTCAAAAGCCGTTATCACCCTAATGTAAGTCCCTTGTAACAAGGAAAGTGTTTCAAAGTTCCCCCGGGAAAATTTTTGGGTATATGCGGAAATTGTAGTACCTAGTGGGGTATGAAAAACCCCAAAGAGAATTTGTAAGCAAAAATTTATTTCATGAGTTACGGTAACTTTTCGATGATTTTTTCAAAAAACACGTCATTTTCAAAAAAATCGGTATTCATCTCAAAGTTGACGAAAATGCTCGATTAAAACATGATTCTGGAGCTAAACACTTCAATTTTATGATAAAATTACGAATATAGCTCGAAAAAATTTCGAACAAAAAAAAACGCAATATACTCTAACTCTCGTTGCACATAGATTCTATCTAATGGGTGAAATTGCAGCATTTTCACTTTTTTAAGTTTTTTCTATCCTCAAATTTTTTCGAGCTACCTCCGTAATTTTATCATAAAATTGAAGTTTTAAGCTGCAGAATCATGTTTTAATCGAGCATTTTCGTCAAGTTTGAGATGAATACCGATTTTTTGAAAATGACGTGTTTTTTGAAAAAATCATCAAAAAGTTACCGTAACTCATGAAATGAATTTTCGCTTACAAATTCCCCCTGGAGTTTTTCAAACCCCACTAGGTACGACAATTTCCGCATATACTCAAAGATTTTCCTGGGGGAACTTTGAAACACTTTCCTTGTAAGAGTTCTTCTAACTTTAGATAAAAAAAATTTGGACCTTTTTGAATTTTGAAGAGACAAAGCATCTGTAAAGCTACAGTAAAACTTTTTTTTCAGAAAAACCTGAACTAGCCTGAAATATCTGAGTTTCATAAAAGTTTATGTAACCTCTTGGAAGTTTCACTATCCCAAAAGCATCCTAACTTTTAAGAAGCCTCGTCTCAACTCACAATTCATACGCGTTGAAGTTCTCCTTATAATGTTGATCATAAATCGGATTGATCGAAAAAGTTGTGCTTCTTTGTATCATTGGATACAATTTGGCGTAATATGGTGCAGCCATAAAAGTAACATAAGTTGCCAAAGGATGCGAACGATCTGTATCTCGAACATTACACATCAACAACCACATCATTGCCAAATCGGCTAATGTGTTGACGATGGTGAATAGGTGCATTACTGGAAAATATATGGGGGTTTGTTGAAAAGTGAGAAGGGAAGAGCTATGAAGAGGGTTACTGTAGTGCTAGGGGGAACTTTTGAAATTCAAAATTTTAATAAATAGTGGTGTTCGATCTTCTGATATCTCAACTCTAAAAATATTTATCAGCTTGAAAAAAAAAACGGTATTTTCAGTTATGACGTGGATTGTTCTTGATAATACTTTAAAGCTAAAAGATGTGGTGGGTTTTGACATTTAAGTGCATAGGGAACTTTTTGATCTACCGAGCTCAAGACGTGGATTTTCCCGAAAAAGTTCAAATTCTGGAGATGATTTCCCATAATGTTTTTCTATCAGAGTTAAATAAGCCACGTCATAACCACGAAAAAAATCTTGAAGTTTTTGGCTACGCTGACAAAATTCATCATTTATTGATTGAAGAATATTCCAGGTTTAGAATTTTTCTGGGAAATTTTCTGATTCAGAAATTTGTCAATTTTATCAGGTTCTCAAAATTTGCCACGTCATAACTCAATTTCAACCGAATCAATTTGTGAAATAAATTTTTGAGCTTATCAAAAACTGCCAGAAAATCAATATAATATTTTTTTTTGAAAATTGAGTTTCAAAGTTCAAAAATGTCACATTTCTATTCAAGCTGAGCCCAACGTTAAAAGAAGTTATCAAAAAGTGAAAAAGTAATCACAAGTTTGATATGAACCCCCCGAAAAAATGATCACCATGGTAATGGGTAATTGATTTGCGGTGAGAAAAAATGGCTGAAAAATTGAGCGCTTGCTGATATTTTGAACTCAATTTGTGGGGAACAGGTTTATTTTCACAGTTTTCAGAATTAAAACATATAGAATAACAATTTGAGGAAGTTAAACTTCTCTCAAAAAAACCACGTGTATTAAAAATTAAATTATTCAGTAGTTAGTGAGATTTGAGGCTGTTGTTGTGTTGCTGATAAACTTCCACGAATTGGAAGATATAGTTTGAATTCAGCTGGAAGTTCGTCTTCGGTATAAAGTCGATCGGCAAAATAAATACGACGGATTCGACAATTTGCATGGATCTGCAAGAATTTTCGGATTTTTTTTTTGAAAAAATTCACATATCAAAACTCATTTACCTGAATTCTGAGAGTTTCCACATAATTTGTTCCATATGCTCGTTTCACAAAATCACTTAAATTGAACTGAATTTGATTCCATCCTTCATCTAGTCGCATTGGCATTGTACAAATAAACGGCTGTAAAATTTCTAGATTTCTCCTACTCTCCATAGAACTCAAAAGTAACTTACCTTAACTCTAGTCGAACTTTGGAAATTAGAGGCTCTGAAACGTCTTTTGATTCCTTTGTCGTCCAGAATTTGAACTTCAAAAGTGAAATATTTCTTCATGTTTTTGACGACCATTACAAAATATGGCAATTTTATGCCAAGTGTTTTCTTTGGATCGATTGGACAGGAAATGAAAGATGTGCTGCAAAAAAATGGATTAGGAGTGCGGCTAAAATAAAGGAAATTCAACCCAAAAGACTTAGACAAACATATTTTTGATTTATCTAGAAAAACAAGGCCAAGATTACTGTTCTTCAAGAATTACAAGATATGCTGTGATTTCAAAATCCGGACTGCAAAGATTACTGTAATTCAAAAATTCAAGGATTACTGTGGTCACTTTTGTTTGATTAAGAAATTCAGAAGATTTTCCGGATTGGTCGGATTTTTCAAATCAAACTGCAAGGATTACTGTAGCCTAGATCTATACCAGACTGCAAGGATTACTGTGGTCACCCTGGTCCGTTTCTAAAATTTTCCCGAATATTCGTATCTCACATTTCTCAGCCCCGAAAACCCCCAAATCTTTTTAGCTTACCTGACATTTGCTCCCATAATTTCCAAAACCAAACTTTGAATCTCTTCATCGGTTATCCTTTTGATATGCCCATTTTTGACCTGCTTATCCCAAATTTGAAGTGGTTTACTTCCAATACTGTACAACACTGACAGTAACCCGCTTTGGAATGTATTGTGAAACATGTCTAAAAAACGGGTAAAGGTGAGAAACTAAGGGAAAATGTTGGAGAAAGAAAGAAATATATAAAATTCATTGAAGCGTGTTCAAATGAATCCTATAAATTTAGTAATTTCCATGGTAACCGAAACCAAATCAATAAGAACAAGAAACGTTTGAAATGGGATGGAAGAAAACAAGGATTTATTAATTGAAAATGTAATTAAGGGAAAAAGCGTAGCATAATCGGCTCATATTAAAGGGACAGGTAGAATATTTCAAAAAAAAAAGCTGGCACATAAATAAATAAAAAAAAAATGAAAATTATTCTTGCTCGGCGAATTCTCCTCCTTCAGCTTCTTCAGCAGTGGCTTCCTGCAAAAAAATATTGATTTAATTAATTCGAATTAAAAAAAGAAAAAACATACTTGATATTGTTGATATTCTGACACCAAATCATTCATATTACTTTCAGCTTCAGTGAATTCCATCTCATCCATTCCTTCGCCAGTGTACCAATGGAGGAAGGCTTTTCTTCGGAACATTGCTAAAAATTCAGATTTTTATAGAAATAAATTAGAGTGGCAGTTCAAGGCGCGAGTCCTAGACAAATCATGTTCTTTAGACCCAGCTCCTTGAAAACCAGGATTTCTAGAAGCAGTGGTTACTTAATATAAAGCCTCTCAAGGCGCGGACCCTAGACAAATCCTGTTCGCAAGGCTCAGCTACTTGACAAATGCGACTTCTAGGATTGGCTCTTCAAAACACAAGTTCAGAAGGTGTCTCAAACACTCAAAAATCCTCTGATGAGCTTTTAGGGTGGAAAAATATAACAAACCTGTAAATTGTTCTGAAATTCTCTTGAAAAGTTCTTGAATAGCGGTTGAGTTTCCAATAAAAGTAGCCGACATTTTCAATCCTCTTGGTGGAATATCACAAACAGCAGTCTTCACATTATTTGGAATCCATTCGACGAAATATGATGAGTTCTTATTTTGAACATTCATCATTTGATCGTCAACTTCCTGTAAATCAATTAATTTTATTGATTTTTCCTCGCTCAAAAAATCCTCACTCTCATCGACATTTTTCCTCTAAACATCGCAGCAACAGTCAAATATCTACCATGTCTTGGATCACAAGCAGCCATCATATTTTTCGCGTCAAACATTTGTTGGGTCAATTCGGCGACTGTTAGTGCGCGATAAGCTTGTGTTCCTTTGGCTGAAAGTGGAGCGAATCCAGGCATGAAAAAGTGAAGACGTGGGAATGGAACCATATTGACAGCAAGTTTTCGGAGATCGGCATTCAATTGGCCAGGGAAGCGGAGACATGTGGTAACTCCAGACATGGTTACGGAAACTGGAAAAAAATGTGAGGTTAGGAATGGAATTTTTTCTTCAAAAACTAACCAAGATGATTCAAATCTCCATAAGTTGGATTTGCTAACTTAAGTGTTCGGAAGCAGATATCATACAAAGCCTCATTGTCAATACAAAATGTTTCATCAGTATTCTCAACCAATTGATGAACAGAAAGTGTTGCATTGTATGGTTCAACAACTGTGTCTGATACTTTTGGAGATGGAACAACAGAGAACGAACTCATAATTCGATCTGGATATTCTTCGCGAATTTTTGATATCAAAAGAGTTCCCATTCCACTTCCAGTTCCACCACCAAGTGAATGTGTCAATTGAAATCCTTGCAAACAATCACACCCTTCAGCTTCTTTTCGGATAACATCCAAAACATTGTCAACTAATTCAGCTCCTTCAGTATAATGCCCTTTTGCCCAATTATTTCCAGCTCCAGATTGTCCAAAAACAAAATTATCTGGTCTGAACAATTGTCCGAAGAGACCAGCTCGAACTGAATCCATGGTTCCTGGCTCCAAATCAACCAAAACTGCTCGTGGCACATATTTGCCTTGTGCAGCTTCATTATAATAAACATTGATTCGTTCTAATTGAAGATCTGAATCGCCGTTATAAGTTCCATCGGGTTGAATTCCGTGTTCATCTGAGATGACTTCCCAGAACTTGGCACCAATTTGATTTCCACATTGTCCAGCTTGAACGTGCACGATTTCTCTCATTATTGGGCTGCAAAAATATTTATGAAATGAAATATGATATATCATGGGAATATTATTTCATTTCTTATTATTTACATGAACTTTTAGAAAGAAATTACATGAAGGAACTCTAAGAAAAACAAAGAAACAAATGAAACAAAGCCCTATTTTCGATAAAATGTTATTTACGACCAAAGCCAACACAAAAAGTGTCAAATCAAGTAAAAAGCTTATTTTATTTTTGGAAAAGCAGTTAAATGAATGAATAAATAATAGAAAAAAGGGGAGAGCAGCAGAAAAAAAATGGGGTTTGGGATAGAAAATGAAAAATTGGAAAAGGAAAAAAGAGAAACTGAGAGGAGGAAAATGGAAGGGAATTAATGAGTTGGAGCTGAAGCTGAAGGACGACAAAAATTGGATATGGAAGAAGAAGAAAATTACCCAATTTTTCAGACGGGCAAAAATGGTCGATCTAAAATGAAATGGGCAAAGAGACAACCTTTTAGGAATTATTTTTGCAAAAAAAAATAATTCTATATTTCTGAAGAAGAGAGTTCGAATATAAAAATCAGATTAATCAATTACATATTGAAGAGATTTGTGAAAAATTGAACTTTTGAAAAATTGATGAAAATTTTCAGTGAAGAAATTATGGCCAACTTTACTGAATCTTAAAAAATCCATTGAAAAATCAAACACTCACTGAAAATGTGATCTTCCAAATTTTAGGCACGAAAATTTCAGCACTTACAGTAAGAAGTTAGTCTAATTTATTGATCTGCTGATGTTTTCTACTGAACAATTCTAGCTGGTTTTGTTTTTGGTTCGGAAAATCTGAAAATTCAGCAAGCCTATTCCAAACCATTCCAAATTGAATTGAAAATTAAAATTAAACGCTTTGGGCTCTTTCAAAAATGAGTAACACCTTCCAAATCTCCAAAAAAATATCTCGAGAAATTTTGGAGTGTGAACAAAAGGGTTCTATCGCATTAGAACAAAGAGCATCATACAACAAAAAAGAAGCGAAAAAAAAATGTTGGGGGTGCTCATTTTGGAGCCTCTCTTTTTCTTATCGATTCAAACAAGCGAAGAGAAGAGGACCACAAAAAAGGACAACAATTTGACCCTCTTTTTCCTTCAAATTCTTCTTCTTGTTGTTTTGGCGTGGCTGCGGCGACAAAATAGATGTTGCGAAATTTAATAGAGTTGGTTGGTTGACAAAAAAGGGCAAAATGACACATTTTCTGGCTCGATCGAGCCAGGGAGCAAATTCAGAAACAAAATGAGATGATGTGGTGTGGTGTATGTATGTAAATAAGAGCAACGAAGAGAAGAAGAAGAAGAAACAATTGAAAGAAATGAGATTAGTGTCATTTTGGAGAAGAGGGGAAGGACATAAAATAGTGTCAGATGTTCCATTTCCGAATGACAACAACAATGGACAAATATTATAGTCAGATGGTCATAATTTTTCAAAAAAAATATATTATTTAGGGTATTAAAGGGTCAGAAAATAGGAAAGAAGTTTTCTAGGAGTTACTGGAAATGTTGAAGTTTAAATTTGAAAAATTAAAATATTGTTTCACCCCGGGAAAAATATTATATAGTTTTTTGAAACTTTTTTATTTTATTCTCGCAGGTTTGAATATTTTTGAAAATAATTCCGAAACAAACTTCTAATTAATTCCGGCGCCAGCAGGACATATTCATATTTTTCATTACTTTTTTATTATTATCCAACATAATAATTAGTTTTTCCTAGACTTCCCCGAAAAAACTCACAATTCCAATTCTCTTCGAAAATCCGGAAAACATTCTGAAAATCATTTTTTTTTTCAGAGAAAAAATCCAAAAGATAATAATAATTTTGATAACGACAAAATCTAAAAATGAACAGAAAAAAAATGACAAAACAATTTTTTTATTTTTACATACACGTAAAAAATTATGCTAATTGACATAGTGAGAATAAAAATATTTACATGTGAGTATTTGAGTAATTATTTGACAATAACAATAAAACTAGTTGAGAAAACGACTATTTTGTCGTCGATGATATAGAGAAGTTCGAAAATCGTGTTTCAGTTTCACAGCTTTTAATCGCGATTTTTCGCACATCTCCTTGTTTTTACAATTTTCTATGAACCATTTGTAATCATATCCAAATAAATGATTGATTTCAGTTGAAAATCGATCATATTCTCCACGTACCATTTGAGGGGATATTACAGTGCCAACGAGATCATTTGTGAATGTACTGAAAAATGCGAAGTTTTCGGAGGGCGGGGGTTAACTTTAGGAATAACTTGGGAGCACTTTTTGTTTCGGAAAGGTTAACGCTAAATATCCCGATTCTTGCGACCCATATTTCAAAATCCTGAACTTACTCAAAAAGTGTTCGAAGATGATAATGTGAAGTATGTTTCAACATCCATAAACTTCCAACCACAAAAAATTGCCGTTTAGCTCGAGTAATTGCAACATTTAGTCGTCGAGTATCATTTATAAATCCCATTTGTGCTGTAAAAAATTCAATTATGTGGGAAATGATAGGGCATGACTTCCGAGGGATGTACACAGAAATAAATTTAAAATGTGGAACTTTCTAGGAGCACCTGATTAATGTCGATGCAACTCAAGTTCCCCTAAAGATACACAACCTCTTTTTAAAGTTAAAACTTACCAATAGGATTATTCCGAACCAGCGAAAACAGTATAATTTCCCTTTCTTGTCCTTGAAACGCATCGACAGTATCAACATCAAACATTAATTTTCCATCAAAATGTTGATCGATAAGCCCAGTAATAAGCGCTTTTTGTCCACTATAAGGTGTTATAACTGCTATTTTTTCCGGTGATATTCTCCGTTTCTTCAAACTTTCCAAATGTTGAACAATAAGTCGAGCTTCTCCCAAATTACAAAACGAATCTCTTCCATCATTCAATTCATAATATTCTATAAATTTCTCTTTCGATTTTTCAGCTCCAGTGTCACATATCACAAATGGATTGAATCTCAGATCTTTTTTGAAATTCTGACGAACTTTTTCATCGATATCTTCCATATTTCTGGAAAAAAATGTTTGATAGGAAAATTTGAGAAAAATGAACTAACGTGAGCTCACTATCTCGAACACTTGAATGTGGAATAAGTTGAGAATCATAAAACACTTTCGAACTCCAATACATGATTTTCTCGTTCATCCGATATTGTGTTCGAAGAATTATATAATCAGCTGTTTGTCTTTCTTTAACAAGTCTTTCCATCAATGAAACATTCATTCGACAATCTCGAGCTCTAAAATAAGATAATTTTTTTTAGAGCGGTTTTCTAATTCGAAAACTTACTTTTCTGATACTACAATAGCTGATAATTGCTGTGGATCTCCTGCTAAAATATATCGATCTTTTCCGTCAACTCGTGGCCAAAAATGAGCTTCTCCTAATTGACCAGCTTCATCTAAAAAATTAATTTTAACATTTTTATTATTCATTGTCATATAAAATTACCTAAAACAACAATATTCGGTTTGAAGTTTGTTTTATGCTGTGACAATTCAACAAAACAGCTATTGACGGTGGCAAAAACAACCATTGTATCTTTCAATATTTTCTGAAATTCGTAATTTTTTTCGAAACTCAACAGATGAGAAAATATTACCTGTGTTGCTTTAAACTTTGTTTCATTGATAATTTTCTCACATTCCTTGTATTTTTCCAAATTTTCCATATTATTATCTCGACGGCGAACGACATCTTTGATTTTATGAAAAAGCGAATGATTTTTGAGCAGTTTTTCATATTTTTCAATGTCCATTAGATCTGAAACAATAATTTTTTGGTAAATATTTGAATATTTCAAATTATATGAGCTCACTTGTTTCGGCAACATTCATTTTTCTTTCCATCATTTTTGTTTCAACAGCAAATTTGATATTTTCTTTTGCAAATTTAGTTGGTGTTAACACAAGAACTTGCTCTTTTCTCAATACCAATTCACAAATCAATTCTGAAAGTGTATGTGTTTTTCCAGTTCCAGGTGGCCCTTGGATCAATACAATTTTTCGATTTTCATTCAATCCCATTCGAATAGCTTCTTCTTGATCAATATTTAGTTTTCGAGTTGAATCTAATAGTTTTGGATCTTCTTCAATTGAATTGATTTTCTCGTCGTTATTTTGATCTGTTCCGAATTCTTCATCATCAGAATCTGGCGGTAATGGTGCATCAAGCGCTTGTTTCAGTAGCATCTCAGGTGTCAATTTTTCGACGTCCAGAACAGTTTTTTGTAAAACTTTGTTTTTTGCATGTTGTTTTGTTTTCCAATAAAACAGACAGTTTTCAATTTGAATAGATTCTAGTAGGAATTGTTGTCCAATTTTGAATTTCATTCTTCGACTTTCCTTGGCTAATCGGAACAAAATCTGAAAAACATGAATTTCATGAATTATCATAGAGATGCAAATAAAACTAAAAAGCTAAAAAGCTAACCAATCTTTTTCTTCTATCAATATTTATAATTCCCATTGGATAATCTTCATCCTCAATTTTATTTCCATCTTCTGTGAAGCTTCTCAAGCACGCATTTGCTCCATCACTTAATTGTCGCATAATTTCACTATCCAAAACATTTTCAGGTTTTAAAATGGGTATTTTTCCAACAAGAATATCAGATCGATCAAAACCAACAATCGTAACTTTGCCAAGTTTTTCGAAAATCAAATTATCAAGTTTTTCATGTTCCAATGCTTCAGCCATGAGTAAATCGGGATATTTCGAATATCTATCGGTGACACGATCAATATCATTATCAGCATCTTCGTCACCTTCTCCATCTTCATATTCTTCATTCATTCGACGACATCTCAATACTTTCCAGAAATATTTTCCTTTCAATGGATTTTGAATAATTTCGATACTTTTATAATCCGTATAAGTCAAAAGTACTTTTGAATCTTCAACAAACCCAAAAACTTCGTCATCAAGAACACCACGTTCTGGAAGTTGGAAGATGTCGAGTAATACATTTTCGATAACGAATTTCAGTTTTCCTGGTTTATCATTCAATAACTTATAGTTCACTGAATTCACGTGTGATATTTCATCATTTTCACCGATTTCCACAAAATCTCCAATTTTGAAAATAACATTTTCATCGATTCGCTCAAGCTCTTTTATTCCTTGATATTTCTTGCTGAATATAACAATCGTATGCTCTTTTCTATCAACAACAACTCCATAAACACTCATAAAACCTGTAAAAATTGAAAACTTCAATTAAATTAGAAATGAAGATAAATAGGAAAAAGTACAATATAAAACGCAACAATATATCAAACTTGTCCAAAAAATACGCAACATATGTTTTTTTTGTCTATCTCTTTGTGTGGGAAACAACAAAAATAAACAACTGTGCAAACACAAATTTTGGTTACGCGCAAACTTTCCTTGTTGAGAAATTTTATCGTTTCATTTGAATACAGCAGAACTCTAGAATTTCCAGAAATTATACCAAATTTGGTCCATATTCATAAACACAGGTGGAACTCTATCAAAGTTTGACTTAATATTTCTACGAGATCAGAGTAAATTCGCTCAAATGCATACTCAAGGACTATATGTTCCGAAAGATATATCATCATATGTGACTAAAACTGAAGGTTAACCCAGAATTCTCTGCAAACTTACGCAAAACACTTCGTTTCAGTCCTGTGTTGGGACGAACAAATAGAGAAAACGCGACGCAGACACGAAAAACCCCGAAAAATTTTTGAAAATGAGAATTCATGGACCATCGCTTCGGGACCCAACAGTTGGCTGGGTGCCAGCCTTATTAAATTTCGCGGTATTTTCAGTTTCGCGGTTTTTTCTTTCGCACTCTACACACTCTCTCTGTCTCTATTTGTTCGCCCTGAAACGAAGTGACTCAGAGATTCGCTGGCCAGCTCGCCACCAGGTGGGGAGGCTGGCTGACCTGGGAACCACATGGAAACCATGTCGCCCGGTTTTTTTTTGCTGGCAAGGTGGCCAGGCTCTGGCTAGGTCACGGCCACATGGCTACCACGTGGTGGCCACTTCGCCTTGTCGAAATGAATTTTTCATGAAAATGTCTGAAAAACTTGTGAATTGAGGCATTTCCGAAAAATTTGGCTCATTTTCTGTTTTTTCGCAGCACTTGAAACCTTAGGAAGTGAAAAAAACAGTAGAAAATTCAGTGTTTTGAGTACAAACCACTATCTTGCCAGCTTTCCAGAATTTCAAACACACAGGCCACCTCGCCGGAAAACTCAAGGCGACCTGGCGGCCATGCGGTTTCCAGGTGGCCGCAGCGATCTGGTGGCGAGCTGGCCAGCGAATCTCTGAGGAAAACAAACAGAAAATTCAAAAATAAAAATGTTGCAATGGCCGAATTTCTGAATACTTCGGCCAGCGCAAAGAAACTCGTCCACTGTTTTTTGTTTGTTTTTTTTCGGAGAAAAACTTTTGAAATCTGCTTTTACTTTGTCTTTTTTTTTGTAAACTGTTCCATTCTCTGAGCAATTTCCTTCTTTTTGTATAGGTCGCTCATCTCGAATTCACTTTGTTTCGGGTGAAAAATCGGACTTGGTCCAATTTAGATATCGCCCGATTAATATTTAGCATCAGCTGTTTTTCGAAACATATTTATTTTATTTAGAAAATGCCTATTCAAACTTTCCACATCTTTCTATTTTGTAGAATTATTGATTTTAAAAAATATCATCAGGTCCTTGTTCTGATTTGGATTCAATACGAGAGGATTGTATAATCGTTTCGTTTTGTGAAACTTTGAGACGTTTTTGAATTCCAAATGGTCTTACGTGATATATCAAATATTCAAATAAATACATTGTTTCAGCTTTTACATAATGAAACGATATTGCATGATCTAAAAATAATTAAATTAAATTTCGGAAAACGTTTTTAACACTAACCTGAGCAACAAGTTGGTCCTTGATCCATCGAATAATATGTATATTGCCAGAACCATGACGGATCAGCGTGTCTAGGAGATAAATGATGTTCCGGAATAAACGGCATAAATCTGTGATGTCCATCTGCATCTCTAGAATCGCCTGCTTTAACTCCAACGTTTTCTAAACACTTTCCGATTTCCACATCTTCTGATCCTCCGTGAGCTTGTGAACATAACGATTTGTCGGGTAACGCAACTTCGATGAATCTACAAAGAAATTTAGTGTTTTTTCGAGAAAAAAGAAAATTACAAACTTTTTTGAGAGCAGCTCGACTTAGAACATATCCAGCTCCTCCACTATGATATCCTCCTTTTGTAAATGGTTTGAATTTACATCCAAAATGTACAGGTTCTTCAGGAGAATGTGATAAAAGCATAAATCTCAAATTTTCCATAACAACATAAGTGTCATCATCTGCTTTTAAAAACCAATCATAATCATTTAAATGATTATTATATATCCAAGTAAAAGCTCCTTTTGTTTTTGCCCATAAATAATCTCGACCTTCTGATACATTTAAATTTATTGAAGGAAGTGATGCATCTTCTTCTGATGACATGAAAACATATCTAAAAATTTCAAATAACTTTCTAAATTTTCGAAAATAAACTAACTTGTTACATCTTTTCGCCCAAGTTGCTTTCACAAATTTCGCTTTTTTCTCATGATTTTGTTTTCCTGTTAAAATCCAGCAAAACACTCGAACTTTTTGTGATATTTCATCCGCTATACTTCGATCATCTGTAATATTTTAATTTTGTTTAATTTTTCATTAGAATAAATCTATACCTTTGTGTGAATGAGATTTTTCCTCGGAATGAAAAAGAATTGGCTCAAAAGTGTCATCTTCATTCAAATTGATCTCTTCTTTTGCCGATTCCTTAGTTATCTGAATTTTCGAAATCCAAAATTCGATATAAGAAGATGTTTGTTAATTACCTCTGTTTCTAAACACAATGAAATAACAAATCCAATCAAAATTCCCCATGCAATCAATTTCCATCCTTGAATTCGTTTAATTCTTGTGATTTTTATCATTTCAAAAAATAAAAATGAACAAAAATATTTATTTTCACGTTACGTTTAAAATTAATTATTTTCAATAATTTTTATCATTTATTATTGATGGAACTCTTTCTAATTTTGAAATAAGACGAGCTGTTTCAAGAATGCTTTTATTCCCAGCTTGTTCAAATTTCGGGTCCACTCCTGAAATATTCATCTTGCAATTAGAACTAATTAAAAACTTTTGATATAACTGACCGTAAGGTTTCAAATGATAAATGAGATATTCTAACACATACATTTCTTCAATTTGAATTCCACTAAATAGTATCACATAATCTGTAATAGAAAAGTTTTTTATGATGAATAATTCGAAATTGTTTACCAGAACAACACTTTGGTTCAGTTTTCCCTCCTAACCACATTGCATATTTTATAATTTGTTTATTCGTGGCATTTCCCGAAACAGTCATAAATGGAATAAATCGATTTTTATATTCAATGTCTCTCGAATCTTTTGTAATAATTCCAACATTTTTCATACATTGTGGAATATTCAAAGTTGTTCCAGAATGACACGCTTGAACATCTATTTTTGAGATTCTGAAAATATATAAATTTATTTTCGAACTCAAATATCTTCCAACCTTTTGACAGCTTCTCTACTAAAAACTCCCGAACCATCTGGTATACTATTTTTTCTATAAATATCACATCCAAATCGCAAAGGTTCTTCTGTCGAATAAGATAATAAAAGATATCGTAGATTTTCCATAACAATATAAGTTTCAGCTTCAACTTTGATGAACCAATCATAATCATTCAAATTATTTTCAATAACCCAATTGAATATATTTTTTGTTCTATTCCAAATATCCGATGGATCAGTCACATTTATATTTATTGATGGAATTGTATCATTTTTGAATTGTGTCATGAATACATAGCTGAAAAGATTATTTGTCCTTTTCAATTTTCCAAATTACCATACTTATCACATCTCGAAATCCACATTTTTTTCAATTCATCAAATTTGGTGCTAATGTTGTCTGTCACAATTATACAAAAAATCCTCATACTTTTTGCGATTTCATCAGCCACTTCACTTTCTCCTAAAAATTGAAAAAATTCTGAAATTATTCAAAAATGAATTTATACTAACCTTGATGAACATGCGGTTTTAAAATATTAAATATTTCATTTTCATTTGTTTTCTGCAAAAATTGATTTTTTTGTTGTTCCAAAATGAGCCACAGAAAAATTTACCAAATAATTCGAATTTAGGTTTTCTCTAGATCTCTCCAATTTGATTGTATTTGCCTGAATCAAATTTGATTCATAGTTCAATTTTCTCAATTTTTCAATTAAAACTCACTTTCAGACATCTGAATATTGTTATTCCAAGAAATATTCCAAGAAGAAGTAAAAATACTTGATAAACGTAAATAATTATTTTCATGATGATAGAAAATATGAAATGATTTATTTTTTGAAGAAATGCAAAAAACAACACGAATAATTCACGTTCACGTCAATTTTTTATTTATTAATATTAAAAAAATTTCATTCTTTTAGAAAGAAAAAAAACCGACTAGAATTTTGATAAAAAACGTCCATAATTAAATCCCCGTACAATTAAAGAAAAAGGTCACTTATTACAAAAATTAATTAATCTTTTTTTGAAGACTGGAATGATAGAAAAAGGGTCGGAGACAAGAATTCGTACCCGTTTAAACCAAAAAATGTTGAAATAGTTAGAAACTAGGTAATTTGAAGTTCTGGATTATCCCTAAAAGCATCGTCTTGTCCTCTTTCGGATCTTGATATAAGATAAGCTGTATGAAGAAGTGTTTCATTTCTAGCAATTTTGAAACTTCTATCGATTCCGAATGGTTTGAGATGATAAATTAGATATTCGAGAACATACATGAGATTTGGACCAACATAATGGAATGAAACGGCATAATCTATAAATAAAAATTGTAATTAGTAATCTAGTGATTATTTCTAAATATTAAAAAAATTAATTATTTTTACCTGAGCAACAAGTTGGTCCTTGATCCATTGGATAATATGTATATTGCCAGAACCAGAATTTTGGATCAGCGTGTCCAGGAGATAAATGATGTTCGGGAACAAATGGCATAAATCTATGATGCCCATCTGCATCTCTAGAATCTCCTGCTTTAACTCCAACTTTCTCTAAACACTTTCCCATTTCGGCATCTTCGGCTCCTCCGTGAGCTTGTGAACATAACGATTTGTCGGGTAAAGCAACTTCGATGAATCTGAAAAACATTTTCCGTATTTTTTTCAAGAAAAAAAGAAAATTACAAACTTTTTTGAGAGCAGCTCGACTTAGAACATATCCAGCTCCACCACTATGATATCCTCCTTTTGTAAATGGTTTGAATTTACATCCAAAATGTACAGGTTCTTCAGGAGAATGTGATAAAAGCATAAATCTCAAATTTTCCATAACAACATAAGTGTCATCATCTGCTTTTAAAAACCAATCATAATCATTTAAATGATTATTATATATCCAAGTAAAAGCTCCTTTTGTTTTTGCCCATAAATAATCTCGTCCTTCTGATACATTCAAATTTATTGATGGAAGTGATGCATCTTCTTCTGATGACATGAACACATATCTAAAAAAAATTTGAAGATTTTTCTAAATTTTCGAAAATAAACTAACTTGTTACATCTCTTTGCCCAAGTTGCTTTCACATGTTTCGCTCGTTTTTCATGATTTTGTTTTCCTGTCAAAATCCAGCAAAACACTCGAACCTTTTGTGATATTTCATCCGCAACTACACTTTCACCTAAAAAAAATAATTGGATTAGTAAATGACAAAAAATAAAATAAAATTTACCTTCGTGCGTATGAACTGAATCATTTGAATGGAATTGAACTGGTGCGAAATCGGCATGATGATCATCAACGTCTTCATCGTTATGCTGGAAAATTTCTATGCATTTGAAATCACGGAAACTTTTGTGAATGTTTTTTGTTGCGAAAATCGTGGAATTTTTTGAGTCTGGCACAATATTTTTGATGTACCGAAAAAGTTGTCAAAATATTTTACCGGATCATTTCCATGCGCATGGTTATGTGTTTCGTCGTTGTTTCGTTCGGCTCGAAGACTATAAAATCTCGTGTTGAGGTCGTAAGACGGCTGAAAATAATTCGAAGATTTTTAAAACTCTGAATTTCCGATAAACTCACAACTCCTGACTGTGAAATAATCGACAAACACAATCCGATCAATACTCCCAAGCCAACATAGGCAAGTGGTGAAACACGTGGCCAATTCGCCATTTTATTGTGTCATCTGCAAAAAAATGATATGTTCCGAAAAACTGAACAAATAAAGGTTTGAACAACAATAAGAAAACTTCAATTGTTTTTCTCTCGATAAAACAAAAAAACAATTCGATTCGTCAAAATAAGGTAAATAAACAACTGACTTGAGCCTCAAAATGGCAAAATTCTGGGGAAAAAAAAGAATATATCAAAACCAAGGGGTCGAAATGGAGACAAGCAAAAATGAAAGAGAGAGAGAGAGAGAACATGCAAAAATAAGAGAGAATGATAGAAATAGAGAGGAAAAAAGGAAAAATTGAGGAAGAAAAGAGAGATAAAGAGACAGAGAGAATCGAGAGAAAAATTTGAATAAACATTTGATGTGGCAAATTTGAATTAGGAAACATTTTTATTTGGAGCTATTTTTAACTGGAAAGATAAAGTTTTGGGTGGGGTTCTCCGAAAATATTGCCATATTTTCCAAATTGAAAAGAATATATCAAAAAATTAGTCCAAATCAACAAATTCCATAAAATCTGAATTTCACAACAATCCTTGAAGATTTCGCATATTGAAAAGCACAAAATCTTGGTTTTCTCAAGGTTAATTTATATGGTATGGTAAATATGAAAGTATACATACACATAACACACAAATTCAAGGTCGAAAATTTTTCGTTTTCATTTTTTGTTCAAAAAATAGATACTTTATCCATTTAATCCCAGATTTCCAAAAAAAACAATCAATTTTTTTGGAAACAGAGAAAAAACCCAAACCAGCTTATCTTATCAGATAAGCTATTCAAATATTTCAAAACTTTAGATTTTTGTAACAAAAAAGCATTTGTTTATAAGTATAAAAAAGCTGAAGACAAAAAAAATGCACAAATGTTGTTGGTTGTGTGCTGGCCCGCCTGCCTGCCTGGCGACCGATTCATATATGAAAAAATCATTGAGAGATAATGGGAATGTGGGAGACTTTGACATTATATTTTCGCTGTTTCTGACAGACGTTGGAAAAAACGTAAACAGAAAAAAAAACAACGAGGAAGGAAGCCACGTCGAATATGCTTGGAAATTTATGTTTCACATAAAATATGTGGAATTATTCCGATGTCATAAAAACAGAATACAGAAATGTACAAAGCTACAGTATTCATGGGGGAAAACTTTTTATGGTAGATCAAAAAATTTAAAAATTCAATGAAGATTCAACGTAAAAGTGAAAAGTTTAGAGAGAATATTTTTGATCTACCACAATAAGTTTGAGGCCTAAAAATTCACAGTAGTAAATTACACACTGTGTACTATTTTCTAGAGGAAAAAATTCAGAAAAATTAAAATTTTTGATTATCCTAGGATTTTAAAGTTTCTGCCGGAAGAAAATAAAAGAACAGTAAGATTTTCCAACAAAAGATACAATAGTGTTGAGCAACGAAACTAAAGCTTTGTATTAGTTTTTTTTGAGCGCGACTTTTTGCTCTCGGCAAATCTGCGGCGCGTCATTCATTAATAACTGGTCAAAAAATGCATTGACAGGCATATAGATCAGCAACAGAAGAAACAAGAGGAGCAAAAGAGGGAGGAGCTTGAAAAGGACAAATATTGAATGAATTTGAATTGAGATGAAAAGAGAATGGGAACGTGGCAAACGAAGAAGAACAGCTGTGAATACATTTTAGATGTACTAGTACTAAATACGAAAAATGTGGATTTTTTTCAAATGTTGACCAGAGATTCATTTTCTCTAAAATAATTTCTGTCAACTAGAAATAGCTCTGAGGAATTTGGTAATTATCTTTTTTGTCAAAGTTTTCGGCACAAATTCAGAAAATCGAAATTCCCCATTTTTCTAGAGATCAGCAGTAAAAGTTGGAATGTCGAAAAAATTCAATTGTTCACAATTGTTTTTCAACAAACCAAATCGATTGAAAAAATGAACTGAAATTGAATAGACTGCCATTTTTTGTTGCTAAATATGTGTAGAATGCATAGTCCAAATATCATTTTTCACAAAACAAAGAAATGTGATCAAACACAAAATCGAATCAAATAATAATAATACAAAAGAGATACACCTACGTGCCAAAATTAATTGAGCAGCTGTAAAAATATGCCAGACTAAATTTGAATTAGAATTAAAAATGAAAAAGAAAAATTAAAAGAATTTTTTTGAAATTCCCAATTTGAAACGTGTCACGTTTCTAATTTCCATAAAATAAAAAACGTTGTTTTTTTCACAAATGGAACATTTTTAATTAAAATCTCTTTGACCCAATAAATAAAGTATATGCAAATTGAAGTGTTCTCGATCAAAAATTGGTTTTGAATTTGTTTGAAAAAAAATGATAAGGTAAGAACAAAGTCATGTGTATAAAATATATTTAATGCACAACTTATGTTTGAAAAATGGCATCAGAAAATGACCAACAACCCAATTGATTAGTTATCGAATAGTGTTATCATCCAAAAGCAAATAGTCATCTTCCCCTCCTCATTCCCAAAATATATATTGAACAGCAATAAAAGGTGTGCAAACACAACGAAATACAATTAAAACCGTAAAACACAACCACAAAAAAAAAAGAAAAAGAAAGTTGCCCCGAACCAGGATCGAACTGGTGACCTTTAGATCTTCAGTCTAACGCTCTCCCAACTGAGCTATCGAGGCGGTTGGTTTCGCTTTGAAAAATGTGCGAGATAAACTCTTTCATTTTTTTTGCGAAACAGAAAAAAACTGTCTTGATTTTACACAAAAACACTTTAAAAATTCGAGAGGGTTGTTAACGGGTTTTGTACAATATTTCAAGTGTCACAAAGCAGTACCAATCACTAAAATAAGTGAAAAATTTTGAAAAAACACAGAAAACTTTTCCGTAGAGGCAAAAAAACTTCTGGACAATTAATTGGCGGCTAGTTTTATTATAATGAAAAGCCGACCGGATTGAGATGAACTAATAAGTGGATACTTAAAAAATGAAGAAATGTATGGTTTGGATTAATTGCAAACTTGACAACAAAAAAACGTAGTTTAATTCTGATGAGTTCACAGAAAATATTTTTCATGTTAATAAAATTCAAAAAATGCATACTTTATTTTCAAAAAATCGGAATCACAGAATGAAAAGTTTTAATAAATAGGAAAATTATATTTACATTTGATGAACATTTGAAGAACTTGGGAATGTTTCGTCTTGTGGTTCGGGATAAAAAGTTGGCTGAAATAAAAAAATTATTTTTGGAAAAATCATATTAATTTCAACTCACTCTACTTTCCATTGATCTATCATTGTGGTTACCTTCCTCATCACTATCAGTTGAAGAATCATTGGGATTCTGATCATTATCAGATGAAGCGGTTCCAGAAACTGATGGGTCTTGACCAGAAGAAGAAGAAGTGAGGCGGGAAAAACACTGGAAAAAATAAATTGGAATTTAAATTCGTGAAGAACAGGGCAAAAAACAACTTACGGTATCACAAACTCGAACTGGTTTCTTTTTCAAATTATCAATTTTGTGCGTTTTAGAGCTACAATTTCCGCACACAACGCGACCACAATTACGGCAATGGTGCTGAAAAAATTTTTGTTGGAAATTTTTTAACTAAAAATTTTGAAAACAAATCTTGGGAAAAATATTTGAGAACTTAGAATAATTTTTAGGGAGTTCCAAAACCATTTTGTTATTTTTTTCGCTGAAAAAATTTAGAAAAAATTCAGCTTGTTATTTAGACTAGGCATTTTCAGCTTAAACGTAACGGTTCTGAAAAAAATTGTTTTTGGAAATTTTAGAAAGCTTTATAAATTTTTGAACCTAAATTTTGAAAATAAAATTTGGGAAAAAATAATTGAGAACTTAGAATAATTTTTAGAGAGTTCCAAAACAATTTTGGGTTTTTTTTGGAAAAAAATCTTCTTATTATTTAGATGAGGTATTCTCAGCCTAACTATTTTCACAAAAAAATTTCTTGAATCAAAATTTTCAGCTATTAATAAACTAACTCTTCTTTGCACCACATTAAATTGTGTTCTTCCACATTCCATACATTTGGCAGCTTCTCCATCAGGTACCCAAACCGCTGCATGTTCAGTTGCAGCTCTTTTATTTCCTCTCTCTAATAAATCACTAACACATCTTTGAATGTGTTGCATCCATTCTTTTTTCTCTGTCGAAGTTGCTGCATAAACTGCAAATGATTTTGCGGGTGTTTTGATGACCCATCCGTTTTTCACTCCACCATCATCTTCTACATCTTCCAATTGGACACCTTCCAGGCGAATTATACGTTGTTTGTTGTAGCTGAAAATAAATTGAAAAATCATTGAAATTGAGCTAGATATTCAAAAATCGGAAATTTTGAGAAACTAAAAAAATACGATTGCTCATTTTAACCCATGAAATTTAGCTAGATTTAAAAAATCGGTAATTTGGAGTAACTACGAAAATTCGATTTTCATTTTTAGCCATAAAAAAATGCTAGGTTCAAAAAATCGGAAATTGGGAGTAACTTCGAAAATTTGATTCTCATTTCTAGCGATAAAAATATAGCTAGCTGAGGAAATCGTAAATTCGGAGTCACTACGAAAATTCGATTCTCAATTTTTGCCATAAAATAGGCTAGATTAAAAAAATCAGAAATTCGGAGTAACTTCAAAAATTCGATTCTTATTTTTAGCCATAAAATTGAGCTAGATTCAAAAATCGGAAGTTTGAAGTCACTTCAAAAATACGAATTTTCATTTTTATCCAAAAGGGAAATCAAATATAAAAAACTAACCGTTTTTTCGAAATCACAATATTCCCATAAACCAAAATATCATTGAAAAGAAAAAACTGCCGTTGCTTAGGCTTTTTCCGGCACATTTTAACCAAAACTCCTTCGCCAACCAAAACTCTTCCAAATTGATTGAGAGGTTCGCCCATTTTTCCGAAACATTGTTCAACATTCGCCATACGCCGCGCATTCACCTCGGAGTTAACTGAAATTATTTTTTGTTAAGATTTTTAAGCTTTAAAAAATATATGAAAATTACCTAGTCTATCCACCATCTTTGTTTTCCCACCCCGAAGGATTCTCTGAAAAAAAATGAAGATTTTTGTGGAAAAATGGAAAAAAATAGCCGATGACTAATAGATTCGATATTTCGTTGTGGTCTATTTTGTTTGTTCAAATTGCAGAGAAATACAACGATTAATCGAGAGACGCAAAGAAAACAAAGAAAAACAAGATTATTTTTTGTAATGGTGTACTTTTCATTAGAAAAATGCAAACTTGCAAATATGAAATATGAAAAAGGTCAAAAACCAGTCACAATTTCAACAAATTATTTAATGAGAACAATTAACTTTTTATAACAACTAACAAAACAAAACAAGAAAAATAAACAAATGACAATTTTTATTCCAATTTCGATTTCAATTTACTCATCAATCGCTTGAAGATGCCTGAAATTTGTTTTGAATTTTAAAATTTTCAAAAACTTAGAGAGAAAATTCCAACCTTTATTATCTGTACATTCTTCTCGAGCTTCAAACGGTAGAATTCCAACAGCAAATGCATCAATTGATGGGAGATTGAGAGAGTCTTTGGCGAAAACCGGAGTTCCAATTGAGACAAACATCGAATCACCCTGGAAATGTATTCGGATGATTTTTTTGAAGAAATTTTTACTTCACCAAGACTTGGAATTCCAAGTGGGAGGTTTTTTTGAAAACATAGTAGGGCAAAATTTTTAAGGGTTTTTTTAAACGCGTGCCTCAGGTGGGTAACATTTTTAGGTGGGTAATTTTCAAAAATGAAACCAGGTGAGAAATTTTTTATCCACTGCTCCAGGTTCTTTAGTGAGGTTTGAAAAAAAACAAACCTCATTCAAAGTTTCATCTTCAATCCTACTAAATTCATCAGCTTCTTCTTCAATCTGCTCATTTTTCGCGAGAATGCTAATTTCAGCTTCTTCTCCAGGCAAAACACATTTTCCAGCTGTTTCAGATGCTTCTTTATCAATAATTATACAATCATCTTCATCGTCTGTGAATTTGATGTGCTCTGAAAATTTATAAAATTTGATATTTCTTTAAATATTAACTTTTTACTTTTAGATTCCTTTTTCTCTTTTTTCTTCTGGCTTTTGAACAAGATTTGAAGCTCTTCTTGATATTTATCACAAAACACATCAATTGGTGGTATTTTGAAGTCTTCAAGCTGAAAAAATTGAAATTAGGATTTCAAGATCAAGAAATTTTATTCCAGAAAAACTTACATCTTTCAACTTCTTATAAGTTCCATTGAAGCCCATATAACTAATCATTTTTGTTGGGTCTAAAAGCGGTGCCTCTTTCTCATCTTTCTCAAATTTATCCGCAATTTCGATGAATTTTAAAGGCGCCTCCGAATTCTTGATAGCTTTTTTGAGATAACCTGGAGGATATCCTTTGACAAATCCCATTCTTCGCATTCGATAAATATATTCAGGAATGTCGTGTTGATTCAAACCTGAATTTTTTTTTTTTGAAATTTCAAGCACTTATAAAAATTCTTACCTAAGGCAAATCTCAAATTATCACTTATATCTCCAGGTTTGAAACATTTCTCTTTCTGATCCTTATCCGTATATCTTGCATAGCTCAGTTGCCTCCGCCTTCTGAAAAAATCAATTTTGTATTCAAATACACAAATTGTACCCAAATACACACATTTCATCGGCTTGTTCACTTTGTTTTTGCGAGATTCGTCGAAAATCCCGAGGTTTTTCACAATCTGCTAATCTATGTGATCCATCGCAGTTATAACAAATCTGGAAAATGAGAAAAATATAGAAAAATGAATAAGAAAATGAGTGAGCTCACAGGTTTTCTGAACCTTTTTTTGGGTGGTTCCGAATTGGCCGAACATTCTCCAAGCAAAGATTGTTGTAGACTTTCATTCCAAGCACTGGGTGTTCTGAAAATTTGATTTATAAAATGCAGTTCACGCTGATTTTTTGAATTAAAATGAGCAATGGTATATTTGAAGTTACTTCAAATTTCCGATTTTTAAATCTAGCTCAATTTTATGGATTAAAATGAGCAATCGTATTTTTAAGGTTACTTCAAATTTCCGATTTAGCTGAATCGAATTTTTTTGTCAAAAAACAATTTAAAATATTTTTTTTCCTACTTGAATCATAAGTTTCATGATTAAGTTTTCAATGTGCATTTTTGGACCCCTCTCCAGGCGTAAACATTTTTGATCCGGAAAAATAAACCCACAAAGTTTCAATTTCCAAATCCACGTCCTCCTCCAACATTTTCCTCTGCGGCGTTTCAGTTCGATCCAACACAAAATCCTTGAAATGTGTTTCAGTTCCTTTCATTGTTCGACTATCCTCAATAAGCCCCGAAGATGTTCGTTTTCGACCAGTTTTGAACTCATCCTTTCTTTCTTGTCTATATTTACTGTTTCTAGATCTAGTTCGATGTCTTTTCCTCCCAATTCCTTGTGGTTCAGAGATTTCGATTATTTCGATATCAGACATCAAAAAACAGTTCTGTAATGTAGTTTTCGAGGAAAATCAGGAAATCATTGGTGAATTTTGAACTAGGCCCATAGAAATCGGGCTCTTTTGAGAAATAGTGCGATTAATCGAGACGCGGAGAAAACAACGAAAAACAAGATTATTTTTTGTAATCGTGAACTTTTCATTAGAAAAATGTAAACTTGCAAATATAAAATATGAAATAATTTTAAGGTTAAAAACCAGTATTCAATAAAAAATATTTGAAAACAATAAACTATTCATAACAACGACGAACAAAATAAAACGTTTTTTTGTACAAAACAATAAATAAAGACGATTTTCACTTCGATTTCAATTTACTCATCAATCGTTTGAAGATACCTGAAATTTTTTTATTTATTTAAATATTTTCGAATATTTAGGCTAACCTTTATTATCTGTACACTCTTCCTTAGCTTCAAACGGTAGAATTCCAACAGCAAATGCATCAATTGATGGGAGATTGAGAGAGTCTTTGGCTAAAACCGGAGTTCCAATTGAGACAAACATCGAATCACCCTGGAAATTTATTTTTTGGATGAACTTTTTTTAAATGGCCCGGCAACGGAGATTATGAGCACTTTTAAAAATATTCAAATGTTGATGAATGAAACTCAAAATGCATTTACTCCACAAAAAAAATCGAAGTTGAACATAAATTTCGGCCACATATATCTTACATGTTTTCTTAAATTTAATTTACGTTCAACATTAATTTTTTGTGACAGAAAATGCATTACAATTTGTTTTACATATATCATTTTCTTAATCCTTTTGAATTTATTTGAGTTTCATTTATCAATATTTGAACATTTAAAAAAACCCATAATCTCTGTTGCTAGGCCATAAAAAAACCAACCTCATTCAAAGTCTCATCTTCAAGCCTACTAAATTCCTCATCTTTCTCATCAAGTTGTTCATTTTTAGTTTCAGCTTCTTTTTTTCTTCTTTTCACAGGCAAAACACATTTCCCAGCTGCCCTAAGTAATTTGTTTTGCTCTGAAAACTTAAAACTTTTGAAATTTCTTCAAACATTCACCTACTTCTAATGGTCCTCCTCTCCTTTCTAATCTTTTTTGTGAGCAAGATTTGAAGTTCTTTTTGATATTGATCACAAAACACATCAATTGATGGGGTTTCGAAGTCTTCTAGCTACAAAAAATTCTTCCAGGATTCAAAAAAAAATTTATTTTTCAATCAAACCTTACATCCGTCAATTCCTCATATGTTCCATTGAATCCCATATAACAAATAATTTTTGTTGCGTCTAAAAGCGGTGCCTCTTTCTCAAATTTATCCGAAATTTCGAAGAATTTTAAAGGCGCCGAATTAATGATAGCTTTTTTGATATAACCTGGAGGATATCCTTTGAATAATCCCATTCTTCGCATTCGATAAATATATTCAGGAATGTCGTGTTGATTTAATCCTGAAATTTTTTTAGCATTAAATTTCAGTCAAATTATTCTAACCCAATGCAAATCGTAAATTATCACTTATATCGCCAGGTTTGAAACATTTCTCTTTCTGATTCTCATCTGTATCCCCATCCGTATATCTTACAATTACATGGCTCATTTTTCTTCGCCTTCTGAAAAAAATCAATATTGTATTGTAGTAATCTCAATTGTATCTAGTATCCAAATACTCACCTTTCATCGGCTTCTTTTCGTTGTTTTTGTGAAATTCGTCGAAAATTCCGACGTTTGTCACAATCTGCTAATCTATGTGATCCATCGCAGTTATAACAAGTCTGGAAAATGCATGAATATTTTAAAAAAGAGAGAAATAAATGTCCGAATCGGGGGCATAAAATGATATGGGTGGGGGCCTGTTCTGCGTTTTACCCAATGCATGAATATTTTAAAAAAGAGAGAAATAAATGTCCGAATCGGGGGCATAAAATGATATGGGTGGGGGCCTGTTCTGCGTTTTACCCAATGCATGAATATTTTAAAAAAGAGAGAAATAAATGAGCTCACAGTTTTTCTGAATCTTTTTTTGGGTGGTTCCGAATTGGTCGAACATTCTCCAAGCAACGAGTTTTGTAGACGTTCATTCCAAGCACTGGGTGTTCTGAAAAATTAATTTTTTAAATATTAGTTCACGTTGATTTTTTGGATTAAAATGAGCAATCGTATTTTTGAAGTTACTTCAAATTTCCGATTTTTAAATCTACCTCAATTCAGGCATGTCGCAGAAGCCCGGGCCGTCACGGGCCGGCCGAGAAAAACATGCCCGCCAGCCCGCCTTTTCCATCGTTGACAATAGATTGAGACTTTCTCCTCCTCCCAAATATTTGTGTATAAGAAAAATCAACTAACAAAGTTTTAATTTCCAAATCCACGTCCTCCTCCAGCATTTTCCTCTGCGGCGTTTCAGTTCGATCCAACACAAAATCCTCGAAATGTGTTTCAGTTCCTTTCATTGTTTGACTATCCTCAATAAGCCCCGAAGATGTTCGTTTTCGACCAGTTTTGAACTCATATTTTCTTTCTTGTCTATATTTTGGATTTTTAGATCTAGTTCGACGTCTTTTCCTTTCAAGTCCTTGTGGTTCAGAGATTTCAATTATTTCGATATCAGACATCAACAAAACTTCTGTAATAGAGTACTTTTTGTCGAAATCAGTTTTTTTCAAAGAAATTATATATACGTGCGCTGAAAAATCTGATTGCACCAAACAACAAACACTACGCGCAAACCCCATAGGGTACGTTTCCATCGTTCGTTTTTTTTTTTTGGTGAAACGGCCCGAGAGCTGAGAAAATTGTACGTTTCAAAAAAGAAAGAACGAAAACAAAAAAACAGAATAAAGTGAGCGGCCATGGCCGTCTGGTTGCCCGGTTTGGTTTCCTCGGCCAAATAATCAGCGTTAGCGGAGTGTCGTTGTTTTATTTTTATTTTTTGAAGAGGACTGCATTTCTCTAGAGAAGGCTCTTCTACTTGTCCTACTTACAAATAAAAACTCAAAATACGATTTAGCTGCATCGGTGATTGCTGAGATGATTGATTCAGTGTAGTTGAATTAGAAATAACAAACACACTTTTTCGTAAGAAACTTTAATCGCTAGTCAGAAAAAAATAGACAAAAGAACACAATTGAAAGAAATTCCATTGACGAAAGATTGCACACAATGATGAGGTTGTAGTTGTGCGTTTTGACGGTGTTGATTGAGAATCAGATGTTTGATAACGCTTTCTTCCCTCAATACACGATTTTAAATCTGAAAGATGTAAAAATTTTATATAGATTATAGAAAATACTCACTTTGCATCAGTTCCTCCATCCGTATGCCAATTCAATTCTGGGAAATGATGAACTGTTGCTGTCGTTGGCAAAACATTCTCACTGAAACATTTTCTGTTTTTGAGGCTTGAAACAAATATTTGAAAACTCACCCGCAAAGATAAATAATATTTGATTGAAGTGATCCAAAATTTTCCAAACATCCGCTTGGCTGTCAAGTTCAACTAGAGCAAAAGTGGAATCTTTGAATTTTTCCACTTTTACAATCGTTGCAATTTTCTTCATGTTTTCTAGAATTGCATCTTGGTCGATACACTTGTTGATGTTATCCATCTTGATGGTGTTAGCTTGAGGAAGTGTTGTGAAATCCTTGTTCTCATTCACGAATTTTGAAGCTTCCCATTGAAGTTTCTGAAAAAAAAAAGAGTATTAGTCTTACTTTTTGCAAAATACTGAACAATAACAATCTATGAATTAATATTATTTTGCTGTTACATTCTTTTACAATACAGTATCCGCGTTAGACTCTTGGAAAATTTCATACCAATTTCCAAAAAAAACTTACGAAGTTGATTATATGCATTTCATCCAAAGTCTGGACAATCGCATCAGGATATTCTATCAAAAGATCGTTGATAAATCTCAATTCCATTTGAGACGATTGAATTCTGGCCCGAAAGCTATAAAAAAACGTTTTGCACATTGAGAAAATCGAGAATTTTTTTTAAAAAATATCCCAAATGGTTTTTTCTGTAATAAAGCCACGTGTTGTCCAACTACAGTATGTCCAGTTTACAAGTTTCATGATTTGTTGACTAAAATTTACCTTGTTGAGTATTGACCGAAGTCTCTCGGTATATGGAAATTGTCAGTTTGAACCAGAACACGGTCTGGAGCATCACTTGCATTTGGTAAAGTGGGTGAATTATTCGGCATCTAAAAAATTACAATCAGTATTGGAAAAGGAAAAATCCCATTATTTTTACGAGATTAGTTAAGTAGTTTTTATTTTATGATCTATTACTACTAACTTACATTCTAGAACAGAAGGCGGAATGATTGGGACCAAAACCCAGAACTGACTGAATCATTCCACCATCCCAGATAGATTGAAAAATCAGATAAGAGACGTGACCTGACTATTTATTTTTTTACGTGATAATTTTTTTTTGAACAACATCTTTTTATGTTTTCCATGGTATCTAGATGGGCAAAAATTTGATAATGGTGGTTCTCAATTCAAAAGTTTCATTTTCAGCTACTCCTCAAAATTTCAACAAAGTCCTGAATCGTGCCTAATTTTGTTTTATCACGAAATTTGGTTGTAATTTAAATTTTATAGAAGTATTATCGGAAACATGTTTTTACATTCATAAATGAAGATTCTGAAAAATCGTTCAATTAGAAAAGTTGAAAACTACAGTAGTCCTAAATAAATAAAAAAAATTTATTTCCGTCGCTTCAGGAGCTACCGAATTATTCAACTCATTTTTTCTTCCTTGTTTAGATTTTCTGTTTCTAGTTTGATGTCTTTTTCTCCCGATTCCTTGTGAAAATATAAAAAAAACTATGAAATGAATAAAGAATTTTTTCAACAAAAAAAAACAAGTAAAAACTCAACAACAATAACAATGATAACAAAAATCCTAATATTTTTTATTTCTTCCCATTTTCTTCGTTTTCTCATTTTCCTCCAACGGCGGCCATAAAAGTGTAACTTCTTGATGTAATGATTGTGGTAACCATTCTAAATATTCTTCCAACAACCAATTCTCATTTTTCAACCAAATATCTTTCAAAGCACTTCTTGATAATATTTCTTTGTCAACCAATCGATTCAACAATATTTCTGTTCGTTTTTGCAATTTCGCCCAAGATTTAACCATTGTTGAAGGAGGTGCAAGCAATTTTGGAGAATATTCAGCGAGTTTTACGAAAATTTTTCCATCGAGTAAATTGAGAGCAAAATATCGATATTGCATGATATCAAGTGGAACAGGTCGAAATTCATCAGGCAATTCCCAATTTAGAGGGCCAAATCGAACTTTGACCGATTTTACGATTGCATCTTTTGCTGGATCATAGCTGAAATTTGAATTTTAAATAGGGGTAGGGTTTCAAAGAACAAAAAATCTTACATCGGTTCAAGATCCTTATCAGTTTTCTCAAAACTACAATAATTTTCAGCTAATCGACTGAGCCATTCCTTGTTCACCGAACAACATGAAGTCATCAATTTCTTCTCGTTCACCTGAACAATTTCTTGATAAATCAAGAATTCTGGTTCTTCTGTGAACATGACACTACAAGGATCAATGAACACATATTCTTTGATGAGCGTTGTCTGATATGCGCCTTTTGGAACTTCTTCTTGACCAACTGATCGATCAACTCGGCGAGCGATTCGATCAGTGAAACAAGATGTAACAAGTTGTCTAAAAAATTGAGAATAAAAATATTTTTTTATTAAAAAATTAGATTACCTCAAAAGTTGTGCTTGTTGTTCAGTTGGCGGTGCCAAATTCTGTTCAATTGATATATTTTCATTTTTACATGAAGCATTCACAATATTTGTTAGCTGTTGTCTCAATTTCCTAGCTTCAACCATTGCTTTCACACGAAGTCCAACTTTTTCACATTCGAATGGTTTGTACTGCAAAAAAAATAATTATGAATGTTTTTCTAGAATCTTCGATGAAACATACATTTAATTGTTCTGCAACACTTGCTGCATGCATCAAAACTTTCAAATCTCCCAATCTTCTTGCTCCAGTTTGTGTGCACCATTTTCTCCGTTCCTTCAACACATTTTTCATAAGATCTCGAGTTTCTTCAGCGGTTTCACCACGAAGAGATGAAACAGGAATGAGAGGTTCACGAACTGAAAAATAGGATTTAAAAAGTTTTTTTTTTGAAACAAAAATGAATTTACCTGATAAAAGTGAAATGAGAAGAATCGCATGATTAATTAGATCATATTGATTTGACATTGCAATAAATTTAGCATACGGAGGAGCAAGTGGAAAAACAGCTAGAGTTTTTCCTAATCGATTAATTCGAGCAACATCTTTTGAAATATCCAATGCTCCTAATTTCACTAATCTTTCTTCAGCAGCTTGAAGCATTTCAGTATTTGGAGCAGATGGAAATGGAAAATTGACAACTTTGACAATGTTCATACTCTTCAGATGTAAAACTAATTGATCAGCAGGTTTTGTTAGAATTTCAGGATCGGCAAATTTCAAAAAATCTTGATAAACTGCAGATGAATAAAGTCGATATGCATGTCCGGCTGAAATTCTTCCAGCTCTTCCCGCTCGTTGATCAGCTGATGCTTGTGAAATTCTACAAACTGCGAAACGAGAAACACCAGTAATTGAATCGTATAACCTTCTTTTTTCAAATCCTCCATCAATTACATATTTGACACCAGGAATTGTGAGTGATGTTTCAGCAACATTTGTTGAAATAACACATAATCTTATTCCAGCTGGTGTTTCATCAAAAACTCTTTTCTGTTTTCCCATTGAAAGAAGTGAATAAAGCGGAAGACAAAAAAGTGGTTCACATCCAGCTGGAGGATTTCCAATTATATCTGATGTTTTATCAAGATCTCCATCACCATTTTCAAGTTCTTCATAATCATCAAACGCTTCAGCAGCTCCTCTTTCATTAATATCATCTGTATCAAGAAGTTCTTCATCAATATCTTCTTGTTCCTCATTATCCACCTATAAATTTCCACGAATTTTTATAAATCCAAAAAAAACGAACAAACCTCTTCCTGTTTGAAATCTTCCAATGTGATATTTTTCGCATTCTCCAAATGTGCTTCTTTCCATTCTTTTGTGTCTCGAATCAATATTTTTCCATCTTTTGATTTTTCATAAACCATTGCATATCTTTTTTTCAACTTCGCCATTAATTGTCGAACTTCATGTTGTCCAGTTACAAATACCAAAATAGCACCTGGCGGCAAAGTTTCATGAATTCGACAAACTTTTCGAAATGCAGAAGATACATAATCTGTTGGTGTTCGTTTTTCGAAATGAACAGTAACTGGATATTGTCTCGCATCAACTTTTATAACTTTTGGAGTTAATAAAGGGAACAGTCTGAAAATAATCATTGTTTTCAATTAAAAAATTTTGAAGCAAAAAAAAAAACAAACTTTTTATGGGTGAAATCATCGAGTCTCAAAGTAGCAGACATAATCACCAATCGAAGTGGTCTTTCAGTTTTCGCTCTCAATGGAACAATTCTTGATAACATTCCAATTAAAACATCACTATACATACTTCTTTCGTGAGCTTCATCAATAAGAATAACACTATATTTTTTGAGCATAACATCAGTTGACATTTCTTTCATTAAAACACCATCAGTCATAAAAAGAATACTAGTTTCATTCGAACGAGTTCCTTCATATCGAATTTGATATGAAACTTTATTCTCTAATCCAAGTTCAATTCCAACTCTTTGTGCCATTGCAATTGCAGCAACTCGTCTTGGTTCTGTAATTCCAATCAATTCACCATCTGCTGTATAACCAGCTTCATATAAAAATTGAGGAATTTGAGTTGTTTTTCCTGAACCTGTTTCTCCGCAAACAACCGTGACTAAATTCTCATTAATAGCTTCAATAATACGCATTTCTTCGGCAAAAATGGGTAATTCAGCTCTTGAATTTTGAATCTCTTCAGTTCGCTGAACAAATACTTTCTTTCTCTCAATGACATTTGTTGTTGGAAGAGCTAAAATATCTTCTTGATCCGATTCTTCATCATCTTCTCTTTTTATCAGCTCATACGATAGTTCAATTGGTTCTGTAGATTCTTCTGGTTCCTCAATTTTAATTTCAATTTCAGTTGCGCTAGTTGAAGCAATTTTATCGTCTTGATCTTCTGCTGCTGCTTCTTCATCATTGCCTTCTTCTTCTTCTGAAGATGATTCATCATCAGTAGTTATATGGCCTTCTTGAACTCGTTTTACTTGAACTTTTTGTTTTCCATTGAATACTTTGATTTTATCCGGAAATTTGGCTTCTCTGAAAACAAATTCCTTCCTTTCAAATTGAAAAAAAATTGAACTCACTTCTCGTCTTTCACCAATTTTGTGCTCGATGTTAATTGAGATAACTTTTTAGGATCGAGTTGAACTTCAGCCAATCCAGCAAACAACTCTTCTTGTGTAAGTTTCAGAGCTTTTCTTGCCTGAACTGCAGCCAATTGTCTCTTAGCTTTCTTGGTGATTTTCGCCTCTTCTTTTTCCTTCAAGAAATTCCTATTTTTCTTTCCACCAGTAGCCGATTTCTCTTTTGGTTCTTCTTTTCTCTTTCTTTTTTCACCGGGAATTATCATTTCTTCATTAGGATTATAACTTGTCTGATAATCATCATCTTCCTGATCTGCTTTACGTTTAACCATCCTGAAAATAAGAAATTTTCAAGTTCAAAACCCATAGTTTATACTTGTAGGAAAATTTTTGCAAACGAAAAAAAGAAAATGAAAAAGTTATCCGAGAGAAGTACACACAATTTCATGAAACACAAATCGTTGCGAAATATCATGCGCCTTTCAGCGCTCCCGTGGGAATTTGAAAATTATTTTTTTTAATGTTTTTTTTCCACGTTTTTCGAGAAAACAATTCATATTTTTAATTAGAGTTTTAAAACAAAATAAACCCCGTAATTTCCAGTTTTCCTCAATCGCAAAACAGTTCATCACAGTGGAGCGCACTTTCTCTCCTTAGCACAGCTGTTGCCATGGCGAACCAAAAAATCGATTTATTTTTGTAACAAGTTATTTTCGAGGAAGATGAGATGCTGAGACCAGGTTCTTCTATAAGCTTCAACAGGTTAGTTTTTTCTTCTTATCTTTCATCACTTGGCTTTTTTTATTTTAGCTCAACTTCGATGACAAAGTGCTCAATTGATGCTCATCCGACCGAACAGGCAATTGTGATTAAATTTGATAATTCGTCCGATCAACGAGGTCGTGCAGTTTCAGCAAATGTTTCAACTCAACAAAAAATGTAAGAGAATTTCAAAATTTTCGTTCTATATATCTATTGGATATTTTTCAGTGTTCATCTGAAAGAATTGACACCCGAAGTTGATGTTTCTGTTCTAACTGATGTTGTTATGAAAAGATGCCAATTTATTCCATCAAACTCTAAAAGAGAACTTGAACAAGTTTTGTATTATTTGAAAAATCGAGGGTCAACCAAACTCACAACAAGATCAAGTAAGACAATTTTGTTTTTTTTAAATTAAATATTGAAAATTGTTCTAGGAAGTTCTTCTGCTGTTTCCTTTGATCGAAAACCAATGACTCCAATGAATGTAAATATGGATAAGCTAGATGTGAGAATTTTCATTGAATAAAAATATTAATTTTCTGGATAAATATGTTTTGCAGGATTATATCGAATGCTTCTATGGGGAAACTTCAACCGAGAAAAATCAAGGAGCCATGTCTATTTATGAATTATCAAAAAATGGTGCGAATTTGAAGGAAATGAGTCAAAATGGTAAATTTTGTGATAGAAAAACAAAGTTCATATCAATATTTTTTTGTAATTTCAGAACGTTTGCTCGGAGCACTGGCTCGTGTTTTCAGAGAAGATTGGAAGAAGAACTTCGACGTTTCAACAAATATAATGTCAACTTTTGTGAGTTTGTCGAAATACACGGATTATCATTCTATTCTGCTACATCATAAGGTATTTTTTTCGAAAATGATTTCAAGTAGAATATTTTTCCATTCAAAAATTACTGTAGATTGGCTCACTTTGTGTAAATGCTATTGAACACGAAACAAAAAGATATGATATGTGGAATGCTGAAATGAAAAAAGCAAATTCTGATACAGTTAGAAAATTGAAAACTGCGATTCGAAAACAGGCGAATCTTTTGGCAGTTTGTGTAACACTTCTAACAAACTTGGCTGTCGATATAAATGTTGAAGTGAAAATGATTCGACGAGATCTTGTTGCTCATCTTATAAAATGTTTGCAAATGTCAACAAATCCACATAATGCATTAACACTTTCAACAATCAAATTGCTACTTAAATTGAGTATTTTTGAAGAAAACAAAATTGTTATGGAAAACCATGGAATTGTTGAAAAACTTTTGAAAATATTTCCAATTCAAGATGCTGAGCTAAGAAAAGTTACAATGAAATTATTATTCAATTTGGCATTTGATGCAAAAAATGTTCCAAAAATGGTGGATGGTGGATTAGTTCCTCATGTTGCATCGCTGATTGAAGAAGATGGAAAAGCTTTGAATCTTTTATATTTATTAAGTTGTAACGATGATGCGAAAGCAATGCTAGCCTTTACTGACGCGATTCAACTTTTAATGCGAGATGTTTTGAGTGGAGGAGGAAGTGAAGTTACGAAAGCAGTTTTATTGAATACTTGCATAGAAAAAAGGAATGCTCAATTAGTTTGTGGGCCAAATGGACAAGGACTTGATCTGCTATTAGATCTTGCATTGAATTCAAGAGATCTTATGCTTATCAAAGTTGTGAGAGCAATTGCTGCACACGAAGGACAGACACAAAATCTATTTTTGGTAAGAATTAGTTCTACTTTTTTCAAAAAAAATATTTCTGAAAATTGTTATTCTTTAGAAATGGATAACAAAACTTCTAGAAATTGCGATGCACGAAGGTTGCGATTCTTCAGAATCGAAATCATCATTTGGTCTTGAATGTATGGGAACAATTGCTGAAATTCGCGTCGCAAATTGGCAAAAAATAATACAAGAAAATGATATGATTGAATGGATGAAAGAACTTTTGCAATATAATTTCCATGAATCAGAAGAACGAAGCATTATGAATGAGAAAAAACCGTTGCAATTACAAGTTGTTGTTGCATGTGGAACTATGGCTAGAAAACTTGAAGCTGCAAGATGTCTCATTCCACTTATTGATATTTTTCTAGGACTTTTAAGATGTAAGAATAATTTAGTGAAAATTATTCACAAAATATCTAACAAATAAGAATATTTTTCAGCAACCCAACTTGATGATGAATTCGTTGTGCAATTACTTTTTGTTTTTCTCCAACTACTTCGTCACAAAGAATTAGCCAACAGATTAATGGGACCAGAATCTGCACTTGGCGCTCTGATGATTGATCTAATGCATGACGCAAATTCAGCAGTTCGAGAAGTTTGTGATAATGCATTACTTATAATGGAAGAGCATTCAAAAGATTGGGCGAAAAAAATAGCTGGTGAAAGATTCAAATGGCATAATTCACAATGGTTGGAAATGGTTGAACAACACGATGAAAATGCATATTATGAGGAGGAAGAAGATTATGGAGCTGATATGAATTTCGATCATTATGATGATGAATATGATATGAATGAACGATTATTTTAAACTTTATTCAAAAGGAAATGAATCATTCTTGATTGAATCCAGTTAAGTTTTTGGGGCATCCAGCTTTTCCCCAATTTGGAAGATGAATATCAAAATAATAGTTATGATCATCCCAAGTAAGATTTGCTTGAGGCGAACGAATACAAAATGATGCACCAGCTTCCAAGCATACTTCATAATTATCCCCTTCTCTCATATAATTATTATACCATACTTCGGTCCTTGAGTGATACATTGTGACATTATTAAGCGGGTCAAATGGGTCAACTCGGGGAATATTGTCATTTCGATGAATCACATGAAATGAATATGGTATTTGTTCCCAATGCCATTTTGAAAATACAACATCAGTTACTGGCATATCTCCTAATACAACTAATGTTATATCTTCCCCTCGAAATATTCCAGTTTTCACAATGTATCCAGATGCAATTGTTGCCATTGCTCCACCCAAAGAATGTCCGCCAATCCATAATTTATAATTTGGATAAAGATAAGCGAGTCGACGTAAATCTTGTCGAATTCCACCATCCCATAAAAACATAAAAGAATCATAAAATGCTTGCACAACTCGACCATTTGTGAAAAATGGTATAGATCCACTAGAAAATTAATACATTTTTTGAACAAAAAAAGCAGAAACCCACTTCGCGACACAATTTTCAGAGAGTGTAAGATCCTGATTTTTTCCCTGTGAACCTCGAAATCCTAGAATTATAACTTGTTCAGTATCATCATAAGCTGTATAGGCTAAACATGTCACATTTGGATAAGTGTTCGAGCAATTCACTTCGCGTGTTTTATAAACTGTTGTTGTTGGAAAATGATTACTAAAAAAAAATTCCATACGAAAACTAAATACGGTAAACATAAGAATACCTGAAACAATCTTGTGTATTCTCACTCAAACTTTTGGCAGCAGATGCGATGACCATCATTCTAGTTCTTGCAAATGTATCATTATATTGAACTCGTGGAGCTTTTGGACAAACAAAATCTACATTTATCGGAGCTTGACAAGACACTTCGGGTGGAATACAGGAATATGTATCGGTGCAGAATCTGACAGGAATGTTTTGTTGGAAATAAAATGACTTGGGATATTTACTCACGTATTTCCAGATTGAACACAGAATTCACATGTGACACTTGAAACAATATTGGGGAAAATCGAGAGGAATAGAAGAATTTTGAGAAACATTCTGAAACAAAATGTTTGCAAAATATTTTATGATAAAATGTTTATCAGAACATAAAAGCTCGAATAAAAGTATAATGCACTTGACTTTTCGACTTATTTTATAGCTTGTTTGCATTTTTTAAGAGTATCGCTGAAATTTTTAATGTTGAAAAAAAGTACAGTAATCTTATCAGCACTTGACAAGAGATTGGTTGATTTTTTGAGAAAAATCGGAGCATTTTGTGAAAAATGAGCAAATCTTACAGTACCACTCGCGCAAAAACGTGACTGGAATTTTTACTCTGAAAAAAATACCTATAGTTCTTCGAAATTTTTTTCAACGTTTCACATAGGCAGCAAAGAAAAAAGTTCAAAAATATTTATGGTTTTAAAAAAAGTTCGGCAGTTCAATTTTTCTCTCTGTCTCTTTAAATTTCAAACGCTCACCTTCAGGCATAAATGTTGTGTATAAAAATGTTGAGACGTCGAATTTCGCGTGACCTGATTCTTGATTCCTATTTTCAACCCAGTATTTCCCCATTTCTAAAAGAAGTAATAGAATGAAAACATGATCAGTGCAATAATTCAATATTTTATTTCTATCTCCATTCCAAGTTTTGTAATTATAGTTTGTGTAAGTTGACCATTTCGCACAGATTCCTCCAGATCTCAAAAATTTCAGAACAAATCTTCTCAAAAAAGTTCTTCGAATGAGAAGAAAAAGCGAAAATCGAAGAAAAGAAAACATCGGAAAAGTGGATATTTACAAAGAGATCCGGAGATGGGTTCTGGTGAGTTCAGCAAAAAAATATTTTCTATTGAAAAAATCACTATTTAGCTTCTCAACCGCAAAGTGATGATAATATGAAAACAGCATTGCCGGAAGTAATCGAGGAAAATGGCAAAACTGAAAAATCCACAAAATCAAGAAAGAACAGGAAAATCGAGTCGAAGGCTGAAAATGGAAAAGAGACAAAACATGAGAGTAGATCGCCGTCGGCATTTGATGATAAATCGGATTTCAAAGATGTTCAGCAGCCTGAAATAGTTCTAGATGATTGGAATAAACATCCGCCGGTGAAAAATAATTCAGAGACTGAAATTGAATCAAGTGAAGTGTCGGAATCTAAATTGAAAGACAAAACCGCGAAAAAAAGGTATTTTTTTTTGAAGAATGTTCGGAATGATTTCTTTTCTTCAGAAAACTCAAAGTGGAGCGGAGTGATGAGAAAAAAAGAGTCCCGAAATGAATTTTCTGATCGCTGATAAATGTAAAATTATTGAAATAAACATTTCTAAATTGCCACGTTTGAGGTCACGTTTTTCAAATTTCTGAAATAATTTTTTTTCAATTTTCAATTTTTTTTACTCACAATTTTTACACTTGAAAGCATTTTGACTTCCGCCCTGCTTCGAATTCCTAAAATTTCACACTTTTCCCCAAAAATGTCCACAATAAAGGTATGTTTTTCTCTAAATCCTACAATTTTTATTCATTTTAATTTCTAATTACCAGATCTTATTTGAACAAATCGAAACTGGTTCGAGTCAAATTCTAACAGATTGTGATTTGCAATCAGTTGTCATTCGATGTGAACAATCAACAGAATCATCGAAAAAAATCAAGTTTCGAGATGCAAAAACTGGCACTGATGTTTCAATTTCGGATAAATGTATTGGACCGAGTTGTCTGAAAATGAACGCTGGAACAAGTTATGAATTTCAGAAATTGAATGCTACACAGGTTAGATTCAGTTTTTTTCCATTTAAAATCAGCGAAATCAACATTTAGATTCATCGCGCGATAAATGATCCAAAGCTGACTGAATTTCTAAATCGAGTGTATCCTCTGTGAGTCTTACTGTACATTTCAAGATCTCAAAAACATTTTTCTTCCAGGCTGAAAGAAGAGCTTGATGACAGTAATTTGTTCAATAAACTTTGAAAAAAATTAATTTATTCATTTTTGTCCAAGAAAAAAACACATAATATCTTTTTTTTTGTATATAATACAAGGCTAGACCGACAGAAAGAAAAAGACGCAAAGAAAAAAGACAGAAAGAAAGAAAGAAATAGAGAAAGAGAGGAGGAAGAGATGGAGAGGAAATGGGAAAAAACACGGGGAGGATTTATTATATTCGGGTAAATATGATTATTATCCTTATATTATTACAACTACAGTATACGTATTATGGTGATAAAATATTAATATCAGATTCTGAACCAGCTGCTTCTGAATCAATGGCGATTTTGAGTTGACGCAAGAAATTGATGATGTGGCAAAAAAGTGGACGTGGATCGATATTATTTGAATTTCTGGCAACTGGATTACCGAGGTAGATTGTGAGATTCACGATTTTTGACTGAAAAAAATTGAAAAAAAATTTATAGAAATTATCCACTTTCTGAAAACTCACTTTTACAGAATTATAAATTTCCCACGTTGTTTTGGTAGTCGATTTAGCAAAATCAATAAATTGTGCAAGTTGTGGATTCGATCCGCTATATTCCATTTCCTTTTCAGCTCTCCATGTTAAATCCTCAATTTCAGCCAATTCGCGACCAATTCCATCAAAATCAATATTCTCAACAACTTCTAAAATTCCAACCAAACCAAATAAATCATCCAGATCCACACTAATTTCATCTCGTAAAATAGTTATAAGCAAATTCAAAACATTTTGTGTTGATCCTTCTGGACCAGATCGAAGAATTTGATCAATTTCAGAAATTGAAAAACCTTGAACTGCACAACAAGTTCGATCATCGAAAAATGCGACATTCAAAACAGCAACAATCATTTGAATAACTTGTCGAAGTGCTTTATTTTCATGCACCATTTTGCAAGCTTCTCCAATACTTTCAATTCTCCCTTTCAATGTTCCAATTCTTTTCGTAAATCCATTCATATGTTTCATTGTTTCCAATTTCTCTTCAATTCTCTCAATTTTCGTTAAACCAAGTAGAAATTCCTCGTTCTGATTATTCGGTGTTGTTTTTTGTCGCAATAATTGTGTGTCACAAGTTGTTGGAGCAATTGTTGCGAGAAGATCGACAAGTTGAGAATCGAGAACTTTTGTATCCATTCGATGAATCGCGAACATCACTTCGAATAATTGTAGATTTATTTGAGAACGAACAAGTTCGACTTGTGAAACGAGCTGATTTGAAAGATGAAAAACAATTCGAGATGGAGTTGTTTCTATTTTTCGAGATATATTCTGAAAAAAATATGATTTTCCATCAAATATCTCACAATAAAAACAAACCTCAATATAAATTTCCATATTACTTTTAGTTTCTTCAAAAATCGTATTCTTCGTTTGCAATTCATTCATCAAACTCCAATCTAAAACCCCAACTTGATCCAAATATTTTGGTTGTTCATTTTCTCCTGGTTTCAATGGTTGCAAAATCATCGAAGTCGATGGTTCCGAATGTCCACTTTCTTCCATTTTCACCGATTTCGAAATATTGTTATTATTATTATTGTTATTATTATGCTGTTGTTGATGAGGTGTAGTATTATTATGCAATGTTGGCGCAGTTGGGAAAATACTTTGAAGCGGATTGAAACGTAAATTTCGTAGGGGGTGGAAATTTGGTGTCGGAGGGTGTAGATTGGCTAACAAATCATTTGTTGGCATTGTTGCTCGACGACCATTTGGAAGTGAATTATTTGCGATTATATTTCGACGTTGAGTTGGACTTATTGGTGATTTTGGAGAGGATCTGCCTTGCATTGGGCGACCACGGCCACGAACATTTGGAAAACATAATTTCATAAACTCTTCAACTTGTCCTGCATATTTATCCATATAACTGATTGGATCACCCTGAAAAATAATAATATTGAGAAAAAACTTGAATGTTTCCGGGTTACTGTAACCAGATGATTACTGTACTGCTGGGATTTAAAATTTTAAACTTTTTTGTAGCTCAAAAAATTTCTTAGAAACGACTAAAAAATTAACTTTTTTTTTTCGAAAAAATTGGCAGTTTTTTTTAATTCTAGAGAAGGTCTAATTAAAAAATTTTAGAAGAATTCTGAAATTTTTTCTATGATTTCGGATGGACCAGATTCGTGATTATCAAAAAAAAAATAAGAGCGGAGGCTACATTTTCTGGACCTTGTGAGCTGTCAACAAAATTTTAAAAATTCAATCCCCCTCAAACATACCGCTAATCCATGCAACGAAACCATATGACTTTTCACATTATTTTTCGAATAAGTTGATGTGAAATCACACGCCGGGCATTGAAACATTGGTTTTGCCACGTGGCATTGTCGAATATGACACGGTAATTTTGAGGAATGCACATCTTTTTGACAAATTACACAATATTGGAAAGTGCAAGGGTATGACTGAAAATTGATTATTGCTTCTATGAATTAATTATATCTAGAACTAACCCTTTTCCTTTCTTGTGTCGCTTGTTGCGCTTGAACTGCAGCTTGTTGAGCAGCTTGAATTTGCTGATGCTGCTGAGCTGCTTGTGCTTGTGCTTGTGCAGCTTGCGCAGCCTGTTGTCTTTGAAACTGCGCCACAGCTTGTTGTGCTTGAAATAATTGACTGAATTGCAATAGAGTAACCGCGTCAGGTGTAAAAATAGGTGGAGTTGCTAAAGGTGATGCGACTGTATTTGTCTCTTGTTTTACAACAGCAGCTGCAGCTGCATTTGCATTCATCAAAGATGTTAACATATCCATTGATGATGCATCTGATGCTGATGTATTTGTTGGAGATGTTGAAGATGAACATTCATCTCCCCCGTTTCCTGTGGTTGCTGTTGTTGTTGGTGGATTTGTGGTGGTTGAACGAGAATTTGGTTGAGTCGAGGAAGCAAGCATCATTGCTTCGTGCCTACAAAAAGTTCAAGAATCAATCAAAGTATATTACTATAGAAAAAATATGTAAAAAAAAACATATTATTAACAATCTGTGACTAAAGAACAATTCAAATTCAAAAAAGCTTTTTACTCAAACCTATAGAAAACTCGGATTAAAAAAGTCAAACATATTAGAATTATTGTTAATCTTGAATATTTAATTCGAACAGATTAGTAACTTCGATTTGCCAAGCAACCTAATCAGTCACCTGAATTCAGAATACAATGTAGTCAAATTTCAGACTAATATTTTTCAAAGCGATATGAGAAGGATCTAGAATATGTTGGAAATTTATTACGAAAACAAATCCGAATTAATTTTGAAAGGATTTTGAGTGCTTAAAGAGGATTCGAACTATCCTAAGATTTCAGAAAAACAGGCTACATTTATAGATATTGCAAAAATCAGACAAATTTTTGAAAAAAAAAAGGAAAACATTTTTTCCTTCTGGGGAAAAAACTCATTTAGGTTTCGGTAGTAAGCTTCGTCTGTGCCTCTTTTTTGCATGAAAATGTCATGAGAAGGGATTAGGCGGGGTGGAGTGTACACCCAAAAATAATATCTCATTTGTCATTTGGCGCCAGGCTTACTACAAAGGGGATTACTACCATTTTTTTTCTCGGGCGGCTCAATGTTTTTTGTGTGCCTGTTATGTTTTGAGAAAAACAAAAATGAAAATGAAAATGTGATTATGGTTTTAGAAGAAAAAAAAAACGAAATTAGTTGGATTAGGGCGGATTTTCGAAAAATTTTCCATCTCGTTTTTTGTTTGAAGTCCTGACGAAAATGAGTGTTGGAAATTCACGTGAAATTTTTTCTACAGTACTTAATCATTTTCTTTCCTTTGTCTCTGTCAAATATGAATAGCAAATAAATGTTATCAACTAACTATACTATAGTTTTAAAGGGTCCTCAAACATATGTGACAAGAGCAAGTTTTGTGTCATTGATAATGATAACAAAATTTGAAATTGCGACTTAATTTCGAACTTTTTTTGCTTATCATCCAGCATTTGTACAAATAAAACCAATCATAAGGTTGATCGCGGAAAAAACTGGGAAAATGAACGTTTTGCGAGTTTCCATGAGGGTCTACTTTGCAGTCTCTACAATTTTATTATCTACAACTGCCAATGGGAATATGGAAACTGTTCAAGATTGAACTTGGAGAACCGAAATTTCAGAAAGATAGTTGACTTTCCTAAATCGAGAAATATTTTCTGAAAGTATAATTGACTCTCAGAAAGGCTCAGGATCTTTTTGAAGTTTACAGAAAGACACAAAAAAACAGATCCAAGAAAATTGAAGAAAAAAAAACGTGAGCGTGACTTTTGCCAAAAATGCTCATTTCGAGTTTTCAAAAGATAATTTCCCTTTTTTTCGAAACAAAATTCTTCCAGAAAACTTTGAGATCTAAATGTTTAAGTTGTGTTCAGCTTCACCCAGAAAATTTTTTTTGAATTTCACAAACTATATTAAATCATTCGAATCAAAACTTACAATTAGAAAAACAGTGCGATGTGAAATAAAGAAATCAACTTCAAAGTTCAAATCCCGTCAATCTAGTATATGATCCAGTCATTTTCCCCCTTTTTCCGTCCGTTTTTTGTGCCAACACAAACCAATCAAATTTCCAAACTCCGCCCATTTTCGTCCTTTTCTTGGCTAATTATTTACATATTCTTTCTTGTTTTCATGGAATAACATATAATCCAAATTATTTTTTTAATATTATAGTTACAAGATTTGAAGGGCAAGAAATGAGATTACTGTAGGTAGGATAGGTGTCTGGTGGATTTTAGGACATTTCGAAAAAATATGAGATGAGGAAATGAGGATGGAAAGAAATTTCAAAAACAAAAAACAAATATTATTCGGGATGTTCTTGCTCAGAAAATTTCAAAAGCGGAAGAGAAAATCAGGAGTACAGTAGACTCTGTCGGCTCTTTTGATCTTCTGTTTCAAAATAATAAATATTTGGTTTTCTAGGCCATATCGTTTCTCTTCCAAAGGCCAAAAATTTTTGGAATTAACGTAAATTCCTTTAAATGAGATATGAGATATGAGAAATCTGGAATGGATATTTTTGAGAATTCGAGAAAAAGGTTTGAATTTAATTTGATAGGCCAAAAGTTCTTCCAGAAATTTTTTTAAAAGAAATTAAACGTTGAAAAAATTTTTTCAACAAATTATGTGTGGTTTATGTTCATTTTTATGATTGAAATAATCTACCTTTTTAATTAAATTTCAGTTCCTTAAAAATCAAGAACAGTAAGTTATCATACCCAAATCAAACCATACATCTACAGTAGTATCTACAGTACTCTGCAAAAATGAAAAGTACAAAAAAGGAGGCATCATTTTAAAATTGGGGCGACGAACTGAGAAAAAAGCGGTAAACAAAACATGCAACCCGGCACAAAACTTATCAGCCAAAACTCTGTCTTATCATCATCAACTCAGCGGACAAGGTGATTTTTTTCGAGAGAAACAATTTTGAAGCGAAATTTGAAAAGGAAGCCAAATGAAATGTGAAGCCTGGTTTTCGAAATTTTACGATGAAAACGAATAAGAAGGCATTTTGAAGATTTCGCATTTTCACACACACAAACACACACATTTTTGAGCTTCTTATGCGCGGATTTTGTGTTGACACGTAGAGGTGGATTATTTTTTGAGATATTAAAATTAGGGGAGAAAAAGGAGGAGAAAATGGAAGGAAAAGTGGACAGAACGACATTTTTGAGAAGAACGACATTCTCCCAAAAATTATGAAGATGAGTTTACAATCAGCAAAAATAAAACTAAACAAAAACTAATTTCATTTGAGGTTGTTGTTTTTTAAGGTAAAAATCGAACTCTAGATCATCAGAACCACAGATTTAGAGCTACTATTTTGATTAGCCGAGCCTATGAATTTCTAGTTGACAAGGAATATCGCCTTGAGAACTTCTATGTCAAGTAGCCGAGCCTTTGAATTTCTAGCTGTCAAGTAGTCGCATCTAGAAAATCTAATTGTCAATGATGTGCTCCTAGAAAACGGCAACTTGGTTTTTTTTTCAAAAAAAAGTGTTCTCTTCTCAAAATTCCAAGTTCTCTGAATTTCAGAAGCTTAAGATTCGGCTCAAAGATCCCATGATGGAAAAGGGAACTGAGGACATTTTTATTTCAAATCCTAAAAGCTTCTTACTTAGCCCTAATATTTTATAAAACCGCAATGTTAATCAGAGATAAGTTCACATCTAAAATTCAAAAATTTGTGACGAAACAAAAAAGAACAGAAAAAAGGTTGTTTTGATCATTGGAAGGTAGCCTTTTGACTGCGAATATTTGTTCAGATTTCGGCCGCCTTCCTCCCGTGCCAAAGTAAATATCAAAACTCCCCGCCAGGCAAAAATAACTGGAAACAACTTGTGTTTTTCATGTAACGAGGAGGGAGAAAAAAGTTAAATTTAGTAAAAACAACAACGCGCGTTTTTAAAAATAGACAGCTTTGTTTTATTTTGGGGTGTTTTTCAATTGGACCCGAATTTTACATAGGATGTCCGAATTGGATTAGAATTGAACCAGAATTTTTAGTACCCGGTTTATTTTATTCCCAGCCCAAAACTCACAAGACGTGGATGGAAAATGGTGGATGCTTCAGTTTGATATTCTGGAAAAATACAATTTTGAATATTTTTTTGGCAATAATAAATAACAACCCAAAATTTGTAGTAATACTAAAAATCATGCTACAGTAATCTCTCCCCAAGCTATATTTTAAGAATTTTTTCCGAAAAAGTTACTCTCAAGAAAACAACAAAATGAAGTGGTATCGTATTACCGCGAAATATTAATTATGTTTTTGACTTTCGCGTGTTTGTTTTCTTTTTTTTCTGCCAGGAGGGAGGATCCGTTCCTATTCTTGAGAATAAGTTAGTATTTCTCTCCATTTTTTTGTCGAAAAATACACAAACTATATGAATTTATAATGAAAGAGAGACAAGTGGAAAACAAAATATTTTTAGGTGGGTATTTTTGGAAATACTGTAAGTAGATATGAAAATAATTTCCAACTTCTGTCTGAATTGAACTATTTTGTTAGTGAATCCTAACAAGTTAGTTATTCAAAAATATTCTGCAAAGCTTCCAAAAATTTTGAGTTATCCTAAATTCTTATTTTTCACAAAAATTTATTCAGAAGCTTTTGAAAAACTTTGGCTTGATATAAGAATTAATTTTTCAAAGACCATTTTAATTTTCAGCAAAAGATAAAAAAAAATCTCATGATAGTTTAGGTCGTCTTTCAGATCAGAAGACAAAGCTGTCTTACTTCAATTCCCAGTATTTTCGAAATCCCAAAGTTCCAATATTCTTCCTAAAATTCTTTTTCAAAAAAGTTCAAAAACAGAAGCCCCAATTTAATCATAATCAGCTTTTTCCTATATTTTTTTCAACAAAAAGAAACCCCAAAACATTTTCCTCCCAACTCCCAATTACTCACCTTTTCTGTCCTATTTTATCACAACTATCAAATTCGAAGTCGACCGTTTGCAAGCAATCTGCAAAATGAACAAGATATGCAAAGTTGTTCGAAATTCGAAAAAAAACGCGGGGAAAATGGGGCGTGGCTTAGACAAGGCGGCCAATTGCATTCAACCAGCTCCGCCCAGTTTTTTTTTTGAATAAAGGATTTTGAGATTGACCAACTTTTGAAAAAAAGTTTGGTAACGATACAGTAAGATATGTAGATTGCAAAAGAAAGAAATGAATGAATTTCGAGTTGAAGAACAATATTTATAATACAGTATGCAGAATTTAGAACAAGTCATTAACATAGCAATAATAAATAAACACATAATTAATTCCCGAATATTTTTTTTTTGGTTAGTTTTTTTTTCCGTGGGGTTACTGTATTCATGTTCTCTATTGAAACAATTGATGTGTCACACGTTTTATGGATTATTTCATATACAAGAAGACAATCATTAATTATTTTATTATTATTATTATTATTATATTTATTATGATGATGTACATTATCATCTTCTTCAGGAGTCACACACTTTTTATATTATAATAATGACTCTGAACAAGCAGGCAGTCAGTCAGGCACATTTATCAAAATGGCGCCAGAAGTGGGCGGGACGTTTTTTTTACACTGTGTGTTGTGTTGGGTGTCAATGGCGCGCGGCATTGACTAACTTTAAATGAGAAAAGAAGGAGAAGCAAATAGTGTAAGAAGAAATTGGTGGGAATATGTTGGGTGAGTGGGAAGATTGAAGTGAGTTACGATAGGAATCGGGGGCATAGGGATTTCGAACGAGAAGCTTAACACTTTGGAAAAGTACTGAAGAATCTAGCCTCAATATTTGATGAACTGGGCCCATTTTACTAGTCTGGTAGGTTTTCAGGCCTATTTTCAAGCTTAGAAAGATGTTTGAAGAGCCTACAAAACCATTTTTGAAGCTTGGTTCTAGGCTTAATGTGATTTGAAAATAGAACAAGAACATTTTGAGATGAAAAATAATTTTCAATTTTAAAGCGGTGTCAAAACTTCAAATTTTGAATTTTAAATTAAATATTCAGAAGAGCTCCAAATATTTCTTGAAAAAACCCTCCTTAAATTTCAGAGCAGAATTTCTCAATCTAGAATTTTTAAAAGTGCGCTGAAACGTGCACTTTTGTCTGAAATTTTGTACTCAAAATTGTAGCTTCACGCTGTTATACAAATTTCAATTTTCAGAACCTCACAAGATGTCTATGGCTTGCTATATAATTATTATATCGAATATTAAGAAAATGTTACGTAAAATATACAACTCAATAAAAATTGGACTCAAGACTAAATTCTCATTGGTAAAAACAATTTCTAAAATTTGTATTATTAATCCAAAAAAGTTTTCATCCAACCAGAAAAGAAAAGGGAAAATAAAAAAAGAAAGTGCACACCTTCCAAGAAAGTATATGCAAAAAAATGTGAATTTGTATTTTCGGCTTCGAAACATACACACGCGGCTCCGCCCATTTTCGTTGGCGCCGCGCCCTCACTTTCTTTACCAAAATGGAAAACAACAAGTTGCGCAATAATAAGGAGAAAAAAAAGGAGAAGAAGAAGAATATGCATAATAATAAGAAACATCTTTGGCTGAAAAAAACAAGATATACCAAAGAGAAAGTTGTTTTTTGGTACTTCCACTTTACTATATCGCGCAACATTAGACAAAAAATGAATAAGGTTATTGGGAGGGAAAATTAAGAATTCTGAAAACCTATTTTTATCAATTGGAAAAATATTATTCGGATAAGAAAGCAGAGGCTGAGCGAATTTTCGGTTGGAACTTTTTTTCAGTAATTGAGGTTTCCACAAAATTCTGAAACTTTCCCAAAAAAAAATCAGCGAGGTTTTTATTTTAAAAATAACCTTGGCTCAAGATTATGGATACCAGGTTATGAAAATATTCAGAAAATTCCAAGAAATTTCCAAGCTCAAACTGTTTTTGTGGCGATCAAAATGACCTCCAAAACAACATCAGTGAAGAAGCAAGAAAAAAAAACAGTTTTATTTGCTCTACCTATCTTCTGTCGAAAAAAAAAACACAAAAGCGAGAAAATACGAAAACGATACGCAAATAATAGGGGGGAATCCGCGAGAGCGAGCGCGCGCGCGGACAACACAAAAAACGCCTCGTTTCTGAGCTTAACTCACAACCTTTTTTGGCTCGAGACTGTTTTTGGATGGATTATGTATTATATTGAGAAGAGTGCGAAAAGAAAAAGAACAATGGGTGAGAAAAAAATGGAGGCGCGATAGACGAAGAAAAAGACGAATTCGAATTATTATTATTTGACATTTGATCCCGTCAGGTTTCAACAATCAATTCATACAACAATGAATCAGATTTTGAAGAGTTCAATAAGAGCATGTTAATTTTTTTTTTCAAGATTTATTTTTTGGAAGGCAAATTAGGCTCAGGCTTGAGACTTGGGACGTTAGACTTCAACTTTAGGGGTGAAAGCTCAGGTTTAGGCTTGAGAGATGGGCCTTAGGTTTAGGCCTTAGGAATGGGAGCTAAGGTTCAGGCCAGAGTGGTTCTGCCTTAAATTTAGGTTCAAAAGCCTTGGTTGTGGGCCAAGACCTTCTTAGTTAGAAAAATACCCAAAAAAAAATAACTCATCAAAAACATATTATGAAAACACCAGATGTTTCTGAATAACAACACAATTCCAAAAACAATACAAAAATATTTTCGAAATGTTACAGTACCCCCTATCTGACCCTATTTCAAATTAGTTCATTCATAGACAACATTTTTGGGAACTCGAACATAAATTTTTTTGGTGAGCGCGCGCGGCTTTTTTCTCAAATGTCATAGTGCACCTGGGCGCCTAAAGGAATACTGTAGGTGAAATAATAGAGAAAAATCGAGAGACGTAGAGATGAATTGATTTTTTGAGAGTGACTCAAATCGTGACTGGACGCTACAAATTCTCGCCTTCTAGAAACTATAAATTCGTGTTTTTCATGGATAGCTTTTGCCGCTACAATTTTTTTCCTAGCTTTTTTCTGAGGATTGTACGAGGGTTTTGTGCCAATATACGTTTTCTAATTTTTTGGAATAAAAAAAGAAGGGGGAAGAATATCGGAAAAAAGCTGAATCTAATCCAAATCAAGAATATTTTGAATGAGAATCGAGGAATCGAGCCAATTCAAAAAAGTTCTTGAAAATTTTGGGATGGATCTTTTTTTTAGAAAAACTGTTTTTTTGCGAACTTGTTTTGCTAACCTGAGCAATCATTGAAACTTCGGAGCTTTTTAGCATGGCTTAAACTTTGCAAAATTAATTTTCAGCCGCTTTTTCCTGCTCGAACTTTTAAAAAAAAATCAAATACCATTTTCCTACATAATTTGAATGTTTCGCTTCATCTTCATCTTTTCCTCACAGCCTATTAGTACTTCTTTTTCCTCTTTTCCTCCTTCATCATTTGCCTTTTTACAAACTATTACTATAAGAAAGCAAAAAAAAAGAACACACAAAACAACAACAACAAAAACAACATGGCAACATTAAGTGTATTCAGAAAAAAAAAAAGAACGAAGAAGAAGAAGATGAAGCCGAAAGTTGGATACCAGTATTTTTGGCGCGCGCCGAAAAAAAAGAAACACTTATTACCATTTTTACTTTCAGCCTCTCTTTCAGCTTTAAACAAAATAAAAACAACGAAAATCTGAGAAGGAGTGGGGGGAAGAGAGATTTGTTGAACTATGGGTAAAGGTTGGGTTCAAAAATTTATAGAAACATTGGAATACTTTTGGAATAGCTTGGAACATTCAGAATAAATATAGAATTGATCCAATTTATTTTTGGTAGCTCAGGTCATATTCAAAATCTAAATTTCTCATTTTCATAACCAGGAAGTTTTTCATAGTTTTATCAAAAACCTGAAAACTTTTTTTCTTCTAAAAACTGAACTACAAATTATTATCAGCCTCTTGATAAAAATGTTGTAAATGTTTTCAAATTCAATTTCAACCTTGACGGGGCAAAAAAAGGAGTTCCCAGCCCAGGATCATTTCCAATATTTTTCACATGTTTAAATTAGTAATCGGTTCATCGACTTTTTAACAGAAGTAGCTACATACACGGCCTCCAATTTGTTACTATACATTTCATAAATATGTACATTTGTACGTTTTTTCTTCATTCACGGCTTTTTAAATGGTTTTTATTAGTTTTTCTTTTTTAGAAACTTTTTGGAAATACATTTTTAATATAAGGGGGACATGGATTACTGTATGTGGTTGAGAAAAAAGGAACCTTGAAAATTGTGTCAAGTTATGACAATCTACAGTATCTATTTCTATTTCTATTCATGGAAAACAGAAGTTAGAAAAATGGTGTAAACTAACTAACAAAAACTCGTGTGAATGAATAGAAAAAACATTTTACCGCAAAACTGACTTTGAAGTCGCCGCCGCCAAAATGCTCTTTGTTTGGAAATGAAAACATTCAATTCATTCATTCATTGAATAAGAATAAAGATACGGATTTCTTTCAGAAGAGAGTTTTTGCAATTTGGAAAAAAATTACCTAACCTTACCTAACAAAAAACCGGGTAAAAAACTAAATAATATCAAATGGTCGAATAAAAAAAACTTTTTTCTTTTTCTTTTTCAATTCGATGTGTGTTTTTTTCAAGAATGTCTCTAATTCGTCTACTACTGTCAAGGAAACGCAGAGACAAACACAAGAACACCGTTCTTGTGTTCTTATCAAAAACGGTTCAAGGCGCCTTGCGCGCGGCGCGCCTGATACCCCTTTTAATATAGAAAAGAAGAAGAAGAAGAAGAAGAAAACAAAAGACAAACCACCTTGAAAATACGATAGGATGATAGCTGCAACTATGAAGAACAGCTAGCAGAGAAAAAACATTTTTGGTTTTTTTTTGAAAACTGAAACTTTGAAATAAGCTTTAAGGTTTTCAAGGGAAACTATTTGAACTATTTGAAACCGGGTATTCCATTAAAACATGGATAAGAAAATATTGAATCTCACGTCAGTGTTTATACTTCCCTCCATAATTTCCAAAAAAAAAATTTGAAAGAAAACAACGAGACTCCGCGTTGACGACAGGTTGTGTGCGCGGGTGGTTTGAATTCATTTGTTCAGTTTTTGATGGGATTCCATATCTCGACTAATATTTATCGAAATGTTCTGCATTTTCTCTCCTAACTAGAAAAGAGTGAAACTAACCTAAATCTGATATCGATTAGGCTTTTTCATAGAAAAATATTTTTCTCTCATAAGCTTTTGGGAATTTCCGAAATTTCAGAACTTAAATTTAATTTTTAGAGCATTTTTCGAGCACCTAATTCGAAATTAAATTTTAGATTATCAGTTGTTAGTTTTCCAGATTTCTTGCTCTTTGTCATTTTTTAACCAAACAATTTTTTTCATAATATAAATCAACAATGAAATGTGATTTCAAAACAACTGCGCATTTCATTTCATTCCATTTCACCATCTCCCAGGACCAGAGCATGCCGCCAATTGAAGTTCGCCGCGAAGTTTTTGAACGAAGTCATTTAGAAATGAGAAAAGAGCACCAACACATGTGTTTGATGATTTATTCCATTTCGGTTTCTCACTATTTTCAATGAAACTGGGATTTTATGAAATAATACTACTTCGAATATTTGATTTAGTTCGGCGATTTGTTAGTGTGAACATTCTCGTTCTATTTTCTTTCTCGAGAAAATTCAAGAATTCCGAGCGAATTTTGTGACTTGCAGTTAAAATTGTGCAAAAATTGCACACGAACAAATAAAATGAGAAAGTCATCCACTGAAAATAGAAACCTTTCAGAATCTCGGAACAAAACCTTACATAAGTTGCTAAAAACGTTGAGATTGAATCCGTTAGTTCAAAAACAACAACACATTCATAAGCCAATATAATAATACTGAAAACTGAATGGAAAGTTGTAACATAAATCAATTTTCGATCTGATGAATTTTGATTGATCCTCTTTAGTCTATAAATTGTCAGAAAGCAAATGACCAAATTAATTCCTTCGAAAAATGTAATATAAATTCCATTAATTATTCTTTCAAGTTGAAGACCGTATGATTCTTTTATTATAACCTGATAATTTGAAAGAAAAACTAGGCAAAGCTAGGAAAAATTACATACCATTTTGTTATTAATTATTTTCATTTCTTTGTCTTCGATGAAAATTGGAATGCAAGAAATAGCAGATATTATGAATACAAAGAATGTGTAAATTTTGACAAATGACACCGACCAAAACTGAGATATCTAATAATACATTCTAGATTTCAAGGATACTTACTTACATTGTTGTGATTCAAAAATGTTGCACTAAATCGATTCAAAGAAAGAAGAAAATTAAATATTAGATGAACAAAATAAAAGTAAAAATCGAAAAACGAGACAAAATGCGAGGAATCAATGTAGATTTGAGAAGGAATTGAATTCCAGAATAATTGCACCCAAACATACAGTAAACAGTGTAAAATATCCATCCAGCCGGAAATATAAAATATTTGAAAAAATGAACTATTTTTCACGATTTTATGCATAATTTGTTGAACACGAAGACAGAAAATTATTGATGGAATATATAAAACCAAAAATGACAGTTGAAAATAATCCATGCTGTTTGGATTTCAAAGAGTTCTAGATGTTACTGATTTCGAGTCGTATCACATTTTTCCCAGACAATTATTCTCACTTGTCAGTTCTCAATTATCTGACGTTTATACATGTTTTTTTCTTTCTCTGAATAAATAAGCAACCTATTGTTTCGAATTTTGCGTTGCTAGGAGAACATCTCGAAATGGTAGTTTTTATTTGTTTCTTTTTTTTGTCAAGAAAAAAATGTCGAGAAACTTCGATGCGGAATATGATGATTATTTGAAACGAAGAGGTTCTGGATTTTCTGTGAAACAGAAAAAATTCGAACCTTTAGATGAAGAGACGGAGAGAAAGAAAAAGGAAGCAAAATCACAAGAATTTGGAATGTAAGTTTTTTTAAAATTATAATTTAAAACAAATTTGCATATTTTACAGACCAGAAAACAAATATTCAATGCAAGGATATACAGAAAACGAAGCAGATGTTGGATCAGATGCTCTTGCTTCTGTTCGAACACTTCGAAATAATCTACGAGTTCTTTCCCTCGAACATAAAGCCAAAGATCAACCAGTCAAATCACATTTATGTGATTCAGCATGTCAAGATTTGACTCGAGCTGAAAAATCGATTGTTGAATTAGCTGATAAAAGAAGTGATGCAATATTTCGAGGAGATACGGGAAAAGCAAAAGTTATTGGTGAACAAATGGATAAAATCAAGAAAGATGCGATTCGAAATGCATATTCAGATTTAATGATTGATGGACCAACGATGAAAGCATTTGGAGTTGATTCAAAGTGGACACCAGAAAAGAATCCATTACCAGCGGATGATTGGAGACCAATCACACCATTGCCAGAAAGAAAAAGAGCTGTGTAAGTAGATACAGGCTTTTAAATTTGTATCAATAAATTACAGTACACCCATTCGAGAGAAACGCCGGGTAGACACACCCTCAAACCGTACACCATCTCGTCAATCAACATCTCGCCCAACACAAAGATCTGCTTCTGCATCATCTGCAAAAGTTCGAACAGCTCCCAAGAAAAATCAACGACTCTCAGAAATGGTATATCCAGATAAACAGAATATTGAACAAGATCAAGATGATCCATATCAAATGCCAACTTATGTTGGAAGATGTCCACATTGTAAAATAACAGAAAGAGGTTTGGGAAATAATGGAGGAATGGAAAGACATTTTGCAAGATATTGCAAAGTTATGACTAATTGTAAATTTTGTTTGAAAGTTGTTATGGTGAGTTTAAAAGCGGCCACAAAGCCTCTGACTTTAGCTGGCCTAACCAAGCAAGAGAAATAAAATAATGAAAATTCAAATATTACTGCAAGCAAAAGTGCGTCGCTGGACGTAGGGAAAATTTTAAATTTTAAAAATATAAGGAACTTTTTTTTACTGGTATTGAACTATTTTTTGATACTTAGCTTAGAGGGAATATGGAATAATTATCTAACTAAGTTTTGAAAATGTTGCAACCCCTCCCTTTACCCCAAAAAATCAATTAAAGATATCTGAACTCACTGATCATATGATCCATCGATGCAATTTTCTTCACGGCACAATGGAACCATGTCGCCAATGTGGTCTTGCAATTGATAAAGAAGATCAAGCGGCTAATATGAGCCATCCAATGTGTCGAGGTCGAAAAGCACCATCGGGAGCAGAATGGTGTCCATTGTGCACAATTGCTGTAAATAGAGATGATGAAAATTGGATAAATCATTGTACTACACAATGTTATAATAATCCAAGAAGTGATTTGAGTGGAGAAAGAGATCCTTATGATTTGAAAGCTGAGCAAGACAATATTATGTGAGTTTTGAAAACAATATTGAATTTTGAAGTGAGAAATTCTATTTTTTAGGAGAGAAATTGCTGAAAGAGAAGCAGAGGAAGAAAGAAAACAGGTGAGAAAAAAACTAGCGAACTTCTACTAACAGATTTCAACTTACTCTTTTTCAAAAAAAAACTATTTCGAAGTGAACAAATAATGAGAAATGATCAAAATTGAAGAAAATTGAAGAAAAAGGTTCACGGACTTGACGTGAAAAATAATTCAATTTTTTTAATTGTGCGAACACGGGTTTTTCTGAAGGAATTCTGTCTCTCGACATGAATTCTAGAGAGACGCAGAGAAAACGAAACAAAACCTTCCAGATAAATCCAAAATATCGAATCACAGCCAGAAAAAAACCAAAAAAAACTCTCTCATTTGAGAAAAAAGTAAAAATGAAAAAGAAAAAACATCGCAATTAATTTTTCGCGCTCTCGTTTTTGGGTAGATCAAATTTAAATATGAAAAAAGTTTGGATTTTTTCTGAACGATTTTATGTTTTTTTTTGTATAGAAAATAAATAACATTAAAATTGTTCATAGAAAGCAAGTTGAATATCATAAAAATAAAGGAAAATCAAGGCGAAAACCCTATAATCATAGTTTTTTGGTGCTTGGTGAAAAATTTTCGAAGTTTTTCTTTTTGCCATCTCTATTCTCGAGGATTTGCTATTCTTTGCAGCAAAGATTGTTAATTTTGGTCAAGTATGAAGGATTTTAGCATTTTTGGTGAAAAAACGAAAAATGTTTTTGGGGTTGAGAAAAATCACAAAAGTCGTGTTGTCTGGCGTTCTCTCTTACGAGTTTCTATCTCTCATTTTTTCTCCTTCTCTCTCGTCTCTTCTAGACGCAACACTCTCTCGTTTATTTTTTCAATTCGGTTTTTTCGTGGAATCAGGGAATTTCACGATTTTCACCAAGAGTATCGTATATGAGAAGATTGAGAAAGACAAGACAAAGACAGAAAAATAGAAATAGAATTGTAAAATTTGAAATTAGAAGTTATTTTTTTCGAAAGAACTGAAAATCATTTAAAATTAAAATTTCGCATGAAAATTGAGAGAATTAGGATTGTTTTCGAGGTTTTTCTTTTTCCATCTCTATTCTCGAGAATTTTGGAAATGTATTTTAGGTTGGAAAAGCGGGAAATCAAGGCGAAAAACCTATATTCATAGTTTTTGGTGCTTGTTGAAAAGTTTTCGAAGTTTTTCTTTTCTCCATCTCTATTCTCGATGATTTGCTATCTTTTGCAGCAAAGATTGTGAAATTTGGTTGAGTATGAAGCATTTTAGCATTTTTGGTGAAAAAACGAAAAATGTTTTTGGGGTTGAGAAGAATTCACAAAAGTCGTGTTGTCTGGCGTTCTCTCTTACGAGTTTCTATCTCTCATTTTCTCTCCTTCTCTCTCGTCTCTTCTAGGCGCAACACTCTCTCGTTTATTTTTTCAATTCGGTTTTTTTGTGGAATCAGGGAATTTTGCGATTTTCACCAAGAACATCATATATGAGACGATTGAGAAAGACAAGGAGAAGACAGAAAAATAGAAATAGGATTGTAAAATTTAACATTAGAAGTTATTTTTTTCGAAAGAACTGAAACTAAAAACTTGGGTTACCACATTTTTGCCAGCCTAGATATTTTTTTCCTTTTTTTCGAAGGTTCTCTCTTTTCTCTAGACCGCATCCACTTTACCATATAAAATACCGTGCTCTAGATGAAGTTTGAAAAAACATTCTCAAATTTTTATTCATGCATCTGAAATTTCTGTATCTGAAATTATAAATTTTTTTATCGCAAAAACAAAGATTTCTTGTCGATGTACAGTTTTTTCAGATCGAGAAAGAAGCAGCATTGAAAGCAGCCCAAACTCCAAATAATCGGATGATCGATGCGGATCAATTAGTTTCAGCTCTTCAAAAAATTCAAGAACGAAAAAAAGCTGAAAAGAAAAAACGAGCGAAAGATGTTGAAAAAGATGCCTGATATCTAAATTCCTCCAAATCTTGACCTTTTTTCATTCAAAGGAATTCATAAAGTTTTTTTCGAAATTAAAACTCATTTAATCAAAGATGCGTCATTTTCCATTAAACTTTTCAAGCTTTTCAAATGAATTTACGTATTTTTCCAGTCACATGAGTGACCCTTCTCCAAATAAATTCGTATCTCTTTTTTTTTCGAAAAAAAAAAGATCAACGACTGACTTTGTCACATCATCATAATAATTAAAATGTCTCCAGAGAATTACAGGTCACATTCTTTTTATTATTTTTTTGTTCCAAAAATTTCCTGTCTCTGTCTCGCGTAACAATTCTCACATTTGGCCGTAAAATCGCATATTCTTTTTTCTGGTTTATTGGAATTTTTCGTGCAACAATTTTTTTTTCGGCGGACATATTTTTTTTTCAACAAAAATTCAAATTCAAATGGCGTCAGTGAGGAAAAACGCAAAACTTTTTTCGGTCGTAAGCTCAAATTTCAGTGCTCACTCACTTATTTGTTCATTTGATCCGTTCATGTCACAAACAGAAACAATCCAATTTATTTTTGAAAAAAAAAGTATTTTTTCTTCGAAAACAAAATAATTATTAGTTACCCTAAGTGTGTGTTTTGAAACAAACACTAATTAAAATCTCAAAGTTTTCTCAAAGACCCGCGTCATTTTTTTTCTCACAGAGTTTTGTGAGTTTTGAATTGCTACTATAAATAGAGGTGTTTGATGTAGAAAAAATAGAAAAACCTTGTGAAAGTGGAGTTGGATAATTTAATTTTTTGAGAGATCAAATAAACCAAATTTGATTTAGTTTAATGGAATTTGTATTTGATCTTGAAACATTCATAAATCTAGGCGCTATACTTCGCCAATTCAAATTGAATCTCTAGACACGGGTCCTAAAAATTTAGCTTCTCTAGACTTAGCTAGGTTTTCAACCGTATTTTTTGCAAAACTCTCATATATCAAAAATTAGCATATTTTCAAAACCTGTAACAAATCATTTTTTTTCCTTTTCCAATTTCCTGGTCTTCTTACCCCAATATATTATTTTCCGCCTCTTCCTTTTTGAATTAATTTTCCTTTATTAACCTAAAAGGATCTAGAAATAGAAACCCTCGTCTTTGTCTTCTTTCTTCATTTTACGTGATTGAAAAACTGACGCAACTCGCGCCTTTGTCCTTGAATAATTTATTTGCCATTTTTCAGATTCGATTTTGCTTCTTCTTTCAAGAACAATGGTAAGTCTTTGTTTTCGAAAACCTCTATATAAATTGGAGGATTTGGGATTTTGTCGGGTCTATTTACAAATGTGTCAAAAAGCGTCTCCTTTTATTAGCCTCATTTTTATTTTTATTTTATTTTTTCAACAAAAAAAGTTGCGATTTATTTTCAATTATGACGAAATGAAACAGATCTCGTGGCGAGTCTGAATCATATTTTTTTTGGGGAAATAATTATCAAATTTAAAGTGTGTCCTGCTCTTGTCTATACTTTAGTGAAACATAAAATGATGCTTGAATAAGTTAGTTAATAAGACTTTAGGGTTAATCAAGCAAACTCTCACATGATTTTTAATTTTTTCCTGTTAGAAAATATGACATGTGGTGTGACTTTCAAAAAAACAAAAAGAAGTTTTTGCCGATTTTTAATTCATCGAAAAATCTAAAACCGCACACATATATTTTGCAATTTGATACGTTTGATGCGCGCGATGTTTTAAATGGACCCGGCCAGCTTTTTTCAATTTTTCTCGTTCAGAAAAGAATAGAAAAAGTGATATTCAAAATTTCTCTGAATAGTTTCTTGTGAACTCCTTTTTCAACAATTATTTTCCTTTTTTTCCCAGCTGAACTCGTTTAATACATACTCACAATTTTATGGTATGTATTTATGTAGACATACACACTTTTTTCTTTTCTCTCCTTTTTTTGCATCCTCCAAATTTTTATTGAGTTGTTGGTGCAAAAAAACCACTGATTGGTCAGTTTTACTTTCTTTTTTTTATTTTTTCCAAAAAAAATGTTGCAGTTTTTTTTTAGAAAAGAGTGATGCTTGAGTATTACTAGATTATTTTTTGGAAAATCATTTATTTCGGCAACCGAAGCTCAAATAGGCACAGGAACTTTTTCTTGCATACAATTCCCACAGTGTTTGGAATTTTTTTTTTTGGAAAAAAATTCCAAATGTTTTTTCTTGTGATTCCACACGAGTAGCTTGTTATCGAATATTCCCAAGTCTAGAAAATTCCCAAAGAAATTGAATTTCAGATGGGCGAAGAGGCTAATGTCTTTGTCCAAGATTCCGATCGTGTTGCTGCAATTGTAATATTTATTGTGAGTTTTTTTGGAGATCAATAATTTTGGGCACAGTTTTCTAAATATCCAAAATTTTCAGACAAGTTTCATCGGTGTCATTTGCAACGCATTCATCGCAATCTACATAAAACGTCTCTCACTTCTCCGCAATTCATTCGGCCGACTTCTTCAACTTCAAGCAATCGGTGATGCCATTTTTGTGTCTGTCTGGGCATTCTATTTCGCTCCAGTCCTCTTTTTGTTAGTTCGAACTACGAAGAGTAGAGAAATTAGATACATTTTTTTTTTCATTTCAGCGATTTAAAATTTCTCCAAAAATTGTCGATCGCGTCACGTCTTGCACAACTTTGCTTGATTTGTTATGATATCTCAATCTACACACATTTGATAATCTCATTCAACCGGTATGTTGAAATCTTGAGAGTTTTTCAAAAATAGTAATTCTTCAGCTTCATCTCACTTTATTTTCCAACAAGTTATCAAACAATCTTCACCGAAAGATTCACTACAGTAATCGTCGCTTCAATTGTAATTGTGTCTTTTGCATTCTCCTGGTACTTGGTGTACTGTAAGTATTTCATTTTTGATTTACATACTGTAAACATAACCTACTTGTTTCAGTTGATTGCCTAATGGGTTTTTCAATTTCTCGTTGGATGCTTGATTATGTTTCTCCTCCATGCAATATGAATCATGTTTATTATGCTGAATTCGTTCGAGGTCTCATAATTATCTCCGCATTTGCTATTGTCAATGTTTTCACATTTGTTCGAATGCATTTTCACAATCGAAAAAAACAAAATGGAAGTCAATTCGAAACGACGCAACAGAAAAAACGAAGAGCTGTTGAGACTGCATTTGTTCAACAGGTACATATCCTTTGTCAAAATTTTCCCCCAAAAACTGGATTTAATTTCAGGTCACTCTTCAAGGTTTAATCTATGTCCTCGAACTTGTTACATATTTTTCAATTGCAAGATGGGTTCCAGTTCCAAGTGGAAATATCAGCGAAGTTTATGAGTCACCAAATCGCTGGCCAAACTTTTTACTGACAACCTATGCTTGGATTCTTGTACATACTTTGGATGGGTTAGTGATTTTACCTGGGGAATAATTTGAACTGTGATGTTTTTTTCAATTCAGAATCATCACTCTCATTTTCAATCGGCAATTCCGCAAAGTATTTTCTCGTTCATGGAGATCTCACACAACGATGAATATTTCGAAAACACAATCAAGGTATGTATTCCTTTTTTTGTTACTCACAAGCGTTTTTTTTTCAAAACCTCACAGCATTTTAGAAAAAAAATCAAAACTTACAGAAGTGCAACAGGCGGTGGTTTGGCCGCAAAAGAAAGTTCGCCAACCACATTTTTGTGATTTTAAGTAGGGTTGAATGGTTCGGTTATTTTTTTCCCTTTTTATTCAGTTTGCATTTTTATTTCTCCTTCCCGCTTACCCGCATTTCCTCCCAAAAACAAAAATGCTTTCTCGAGTCTAAAAATTTTTTTTCCAGACGTCGTCGATTCTTGGAAACGACCGCTACAATTGTTCAAAATGTTCCAACAACTACCCCTCTATCGGGTTTTGGCGCCAAAAAAAATTCAAATACATTTCTTGCCTGTACTTATGTTTCCACAAATTCCAATGCTATTTCAACTTCTTCAGTAAATGTCTAATGATCTCTTTGTTTTTGCCCACGTGTTACTTTTCCTTACTTACATTTCAACTTTGTTTCTCTCGAATTAAAATAAACTATTTATTGTACCATATTTGTTGAGACCAGTTTCAGAAAAAGCTTTGTCCATGTTGTTGATTCCTAATTTAACCTATCAATTATATCAAGTATCTTCCTATTCATCATCTTCTCCAAAATCTTTTGTTTTCATTTCCGGAATCTGTCCATTTTTTCGTTTATGATTCAAAAGAAGGCGAGCTGTATCCGTGTCAACCTGACGAGATCAACAAATATTTAGAGAAATATACAAATCTAGAACTCACCTCAAGTTTGACTCGAATTCCAGGAGATGGTCTTCTTTTTCTAGTTGATACCATTCTCCCATCCGAAGTTCTTCGATGTTTTGTTGATGGTGAATTACTTGTTCGAAGTGTCATTTTTCGTTTTCCAAGTGGAATTGGAATAATATGCGAAGAGGATATTGTCTGAATCAAATCGCATTTAGAAATTTATGTGGTTTTTTTCCTCAAAAACTCACTGATCCACTTGCTTTTCTTTCATCTCTAAACACAAATTCTTCAGATGGTCCAATCTGAATATGTGTTATATTATGTGACTTCTGAATACCTTTCAGAATTCCTTCTTGTGTTTCATATTCATGCCGGAATTTTGCATTTTCTTTTGCCTTTAGCTTTGCTTCCTTCATTGAGTTTTGAATAACTGAACAGTATGTAAAATGACATCTTTTTCGATATCTCCAACGACAATTGTGATAAGTTTTTCTGAAAAAAAAGCATTGCTCATGTTTGAAATTGATCTACCATCCAACTCACCTGAATTTCCTAACATCCCACATAAAATTATAAACTTGAACAGTGATAATTCTCAAAAATAATTGAACAAAGATAAAAATAAGTGATAGAATTGCTACAAATCGAATAAGAATCGGATTCTTTTCGCAATAAATAACTTCTTCATTGAAACCACCGAAATCCGAAGATAATGCAAATGATGCATCCAAAAGTAGAAAAACACACGTGGCATATTGGAAAAATAATTGAAAACGCATTAAGCGAGCATTTCTTTCAACTATTGAAATAACAAAAAGAACCTGAAAATTGAAAATTCCGGAAAAATGAATAATGAGAAAAACATACTTTGAAACTATAAAACACTGCATATTGAACTGCTGTCAATTGAAATACCAAAATTGGCTTCGAATATCGATCACAGGAAGGAAGATATAATAAATAATGAAGCATCACTGATAAAAAACAAATGAGAGCAAAACCACATTCAATGATGCAAACCAAAAGAGCCCTGTAATTCAGAAAAAAAGATTGTTTTTTTGAAAATTGTAATATAGATTTACCAGGAAGGTGTTGCTCGAACAGAATGTGTTAGCCAGAAAAATGGCATTTCATATTTATGAGAATTCGGATCGAATCGATCGATATTGAATAATTCGTACACTTCAATTGGGGTATTTGTTGGCCAAGGAAATCGCATTTCTGCAAATATTTTAGAAAAATTAAAATGATTTTCAAATGTTCACGTGTTTTTAAATTTCTTTTCTCGTTCAAATCACAATTTTTTTCCTTCAAGAATTTGGAATATTTGTGGAACTAGTTTTATTTCATCACTGTGGTTCAATTAACCTGTCGCGTTTACTCAAAAAAAATTTTGATCTATCTCGAAAAATTTTAAAAGTTTGAGGTCTAGTGCTGAAAAATTGCAGAAAAACCTCACGTTCTGGATCAGATAAATCGTCCCATAACTTGTCCCAATCATTTTTCAACCTTCTTCGAAATCTCGAGAATTTCCCATCGGCTAATTTGATCTGTTGTTGATCTTCTTCCCCTTCTTCCAATTCTCGAATCAACGCCATTTTACCTGCTAAATATTTTGATATCAAATTAAGGAAAGGTCAAAACACAAAGAATGTGATGAGAAATCTGGAATACGTCATAAAATCAGGGGAAAGATAAAAAGTGAAAATGAAAATAAGTAAGTATCTACATATGTACATTAGAGAGAAAACCTTCTAGAAAAAGTCTAGAAGTAATTGGAAGGCACAAAGAGGAGACGACAAAAATGGAAAGTTGAGAAGACCCGCGCATCATTCAGCCGTGTGTTAATTTGTCGATTAAAAACATGAATTTTGACTGACTGATTGATTGATTACGTTTTTAGTCGATGCTAACACGAAACAATTGAACTTTGGATGAAAATAATGATTTTATATTGCAGAAAATATATTTACAACAACAATAAAATCATGGAAAAAGTGACGCAAGCAGCTTCTTCACCCATACAAAAACCAAGTTTCGACAAAATCATAAATTTGCGCGAATCAATGATAAAAATAATCTATGTATGGATACGAGAAGAGATAGGAGAATTATAGAGAAATACAGCAAATGGGCGGTTATGTAGATATTTCCGTTTCGTTTTTCTTTTGCTGGTGTGGTTTTTAAAGGCGCATACAGTAACCAACTTCGGCGAATCTTTCGATGCATTTTTCCAGCTCGTTTTTCTTTTGGATTTCACGACGACATGCGTCGAAATATCCGTATTTTATGAAAAATGGGCAACCTGAATTCATTGCTGAAATTTAAATTATTTTGGAATTAGAAGAGAAGTTTTTGCTTACCGTAACAAAAAACTATAGAATACAAAACCAGAGTCAACAGTAATACGTTCATTTTCAATAATTCTTATTCTGAATATAAAATTCAGAAAAAAAATAGTTTCCCAGATTCTTAAATTTTAACGATTTGGAAAAAATGGAGCAATAAAAACCAAAAAGTTTCTTTTGTTCACAGAATTATGAAAACTTTATTAGTATTATTTTTCATTTTGATAAATTTCGGACTTGAAAGTAAGCTTGAAGAAACATTTTACTGGGTTTATTGATAAAATTTTAAGGCTCATCAAAACCTACTTCAACTACCATTTTACCCAAACCTAAAGCTGAAACAGTTATAAGTTGTCCATGGCAAAGGAACGGAGAAGTTTGTCCGATAAAAGAAGCTGGTCATAAATGTCCATTTTGTGAGATGCAAAAGAAACTCGCCTCATCGACACTTGCTCCAACTCTTTAACTATACTGTAGTTTTGTGAAAAAGTTTACAAGCATGAAAAATTCATTTTTCGTTGAGATCATTGCATTCACAGATAAGCGACTGGGGGACACAGAAAAAAAACAAGAAATATTTAACACAAGAAGCTATTACATGACAATTCCAATACCAGAATCTGAGTGATCACTTGATTCGCTGAAAAAATATTATTTGAAAAAAAAAATTAGAAACTCTTAGAATTCGAACCTTTGGATCATTGGTTCACCATTATTTTCAATTGCAATCGCAAGTCTTTGACAAATCGAGCCATCTCGACTTGAAATTATTTCATCTGGAGCATAAATCACATCTTCTGCGTGATTTTCGGGTAAACGAACTTGACTCATATACATTGAAATAGTTGATCTTGTCATACTATCACGATCATAATCTGGAAAAAAAATTCGTAAAAAATTGTGGATGAATCTGAGAATTTTTCTCGGAATCTTGAAATTATAAATACAGAGAAAAATGGCACAATTTCTAAAAATATCCTCAAACTTACCGGAAGTTGTTGACATTCTTTGTTCTCCAATTGTATTCATAGATGGTGGACGAGTTCCGGATGCACTGGATTTTGATCGAAATTGCACTTTTGTAGGTGTTCCAATGTTTTGGTTTGGATCTTCGCCATTTTCTAATCGATATTGATAAAGGTCGAAACTCTTTCGCATTGCATCTTTTTCCTCTTCATCTTGATGTTGTTTTCGACGCATTTCTTCGATTTGCAGTACAAGAATTCTGCAAAAAATATAGTTTTTTTTGAAGACGAAGCTAGGAATTGTTAGAACATACTTTTCTCCATTAATTTTTTGATCCAACATTTGTTTATACTCATTTGCTTTATGCCTCCATTTGCTAATTTCAAGTTCTTTCAACGGAATTTCATCAACTTGCAAAGAGAGCTGAAGAAAAATTATTTTAAGATTTCAACCATTCAAAAAACCCCTTACATTCTGATTTTTCTGCCGTAGTTCCTTCATTTCAGCTGATTTCATTTCCAAAGCTGTTTGAAGAGATGATATTTCTTTAGTCAACATTTGATTCCGATGATCACAATCATTTGCCAATGCAGCTTGCAAATTCTTTTTATCATTTTTCAATTCTTCACAGAGTTTTTCAGCTTCTCCAATTTTTTCATCGAGACATGCTACAACTTTTTGATGTCTACTTGACATTGCAATCGCTTCAGCTTCTCGACGAGCTCTTTCATCTTCGATGTTTCGATCGTATTCTTTTGATTTTTCCAAAAGCTGAAATTACTTTGATCAGAAAAAATTGGGTAGGTCAAATTTTATTTTAAAAAAAACTCAACTAACCTGTAATTCATGTCTCTCTTTCAATTCTTCAATTTGTTTCGCATTTCCTCGAATTACTGTAAAAATTAGGACTAAAAATGGAACAGTTCCAAGTAGCATAATAACTGGCATTTTTAGATTATTCTGATGGATCAGAAAAGAAACAACAACTATTATAATAGAAGTTGTTACAATTGTAGATTTTCGAAGAGAATTCATGAATATTTGAGGGAATATGTGTAGAAAACTGGATTTTGTGTCGAAAATCTTGAAGATTTGATCAAAAAGAGTGTGAGTGAATGAGCGAGTGAGCGATCGAGAAATAAACAAAAGGCGATAAAATCGCGGACGAAAAGCGTCGCAACATTTTTTAGGGATTTCAGATAAGAATCAGGTCAGCTTTTTGATGAAAAAATCATGTAGGTCTTTGATTTTTTAGGTAAAAGGCTCACCTTGTTGATTCGAATTGTTAAGTTTCTCAATTTCCGTCTCTAATCGTTGCTTTTCTTCGGTAATTTTTGAATTTAGGATTTCCACTTGTTTCGATTTTTCATCTGAAATTTCAAAAAATTTAAGAAATTATCTTTCGATAGAATACAAGTTTACCATTAGCTAAGTTCATCTCATTCATCCTTGTTTCATATTGTTTTTCAAGATTTCGAAGTACAATAATCAAAGCTTCTGTTGCTGTTGCGGATTTTTGAAGCCTTCTCAATTTCTCTTTTTCAGCAATTGTTTTCTTTGTTGGCAATACTTTTTTGGCTGCCGAAGTTGCTTTTGAAGTTCTCGTAACAGTTACTGGTTTATCTTTTTCCGATCCGGAAATTGATGATGTTTTTCTTGCGCCAGCAAAAGAAGATGTGGGAAATCCAGAAGTTGTTGCGATTTGTGAGGGAGCTGTCACTTTTTTCGGCGGTTCGATTTTTGCTTTTGGTGGAGGTGCAGTATACAAAGGTTTTCGCTCTTTTTTGGGTCTTTCAATTGGTGGAGCAACGATTGGAGCTGGTGGAAGTTTTTTGGTGATAGTTGGTTTTCGAGGACTTGCATTTTCATCTGGAAATTTTTGTGGTTAGAAGATTTTTTCAGAAACTAGATATCGATATGAAAATTTCTCAAAAATGTCTAATGGACCTGTGAGAAGTTACAGAGTCCAACAAGATTCTGAACAAGATTCTGAAATTTTGCAAAAAAATTTCAGCTTCTGAAAAATGGTTCCCTTGGTAGTTTTTGAAGCAAAATCGGATCCAAATATTTTTTGATCCCAAAAAAATTGATGATGATTCCAAAAATATAGAAAACACATTATGAATATTAAAATTCCTCCCAAAAAAACAACAAACCTTGCGGTGTTGATGGCGGAATAATCGACACTCGACTCTTCACTTCTTTTTTCGGTTTATTTTTTTCTGCCTCAATTGACGCTTTCAATTGTTCCATCATAATTTGATGTTTTGTTGGGGCTTTTGGTTTGACTGGAAATTTCGGAGCCGCCGGTTCAACGATGATTTGTTTTTTCATTGGAGCAGGAGCTGGAGGAGTCTGAAAAAAAAACTTTTTTTTTTTGAAAAAAAAATAATATAGCAAGCAAAAAATCAATATACACTTTTTATGAAAAATAAACAAAAACATATGATGAACTGAAGAAGATATGTAGTACTCAAGCGTGACAAAAATAACTAGTTTTTGCTTTTTATTTTTTTTTTTGAAAAAAAAAATATTTCAAAAACAGAGATCAACTCACCTTTTCAACTTTTTTCACAGCAGGTTTCACTTCCTTCTTTTCTTCTACAATTTTGGATTCATTGGAGGCTTTTGGAACATCAGGAACTTGTGCAATTTCAGGTTGTGGTGGAGCAATTTCAACTTGTGGTGTCTCAACTTCTTTTTCAAATGATTTTACTTCGACCAAAGGAGTTTCGAGCTCATTTTCATCTTCAATAACCGGCAAAAATTCAACACCAATTCGAGATTCCGGTAAAACCATTGAAGTTTGCACTAAAGAAAAATATTGAATTTTATTTTATTTGAAGGGGCTGGTACTTCTGAAACTTTGAAGATTTTCAGAAAAAGTTAGAATAACTATGTCAAAAAAATCCCTAGAGGTTCAGGTACACCCTGATTTGAAACTGAAACTGGCTTGAGTTTCAGTTATAATGCCCAAAACTCACATTGTTCCTCTCTTCTCAATGCCTCTCTATCAATATTCAAAACCGATTGAACCATCGGCGCACTCATCAAATCACCATCATCATCCGCCGGAATTTGTGGACATTTTCGAACTGTGAATGTGCAATTTGATGTTATCATCGAATCAGCAATATCACTCCAAGATCCGTTTGAAAACTGCAAATAATCAAGTTTTTTTTAGAGAAAAGGTCTTTTCTTGATAAAAGATAATAATGCTCACTTTACAACACAATAGATAGATATTTTGAAAAAAAAACAAAAAGAAAAAAAAATAAGTGTCTGAAGAAAATGTGACAATTATTATATGTATGTATGTAACAAATATTATGTGTGCGTGCGAAAAAGTTAGTCAAGCATGTAATAAAAAGTAGACAATGTTCGTTTGAAATTATTAAAATAAAATGTCTGGCGACTTCCGAATGGGTGTGGTTTTGAATTTATTGATTTCAAGTTTTTTCGAGGGACTAAATTTTTTGGAGAAAAAATGTTTTGATGACTAATCGAATTGTTTTTTGTTTGATTAAAAATTGTTTGAAAAACAAAAACACATCACACCATTCAATCAATTTCTCACCATCGATCCATCCATCATATCCGAAAACATTGACATTTCCATCTCTGTCGTAGGTCTTCTTTGTGGAATATTTATCGGTTTACTGTAGACCGATGTTGTCATCGGATCAGAAATTGGTTTTGGTTGCCCATCGGAACAAGATTCAGTAAATGAGTTACGTAGATTTAATGCAGGTAACGCCGAACGAGACAATTTCTGTTTTTTTTTTTATTTATTCAGAAATGGTTAGACAGACAAAGGTTAGTAAGGAAAAAGTGAAAAAAACTAACCTGTTCTGCGTTTACTTTCGGTAAATTATTCCGCCTCTCATCAGCATCTAAAGTTACGCGGAAAACTGGAGCGAAAATGCCATGCTGTGGTGTGGCAATGAAATATGAAATTCCTGAAATAAAATTTTTGTTTTATTTTTTGGAACTCTTTAGAAATACCTTGAAATGATCCATCGTGTTTTCCATTTGGCTCCAATAATTCGATTCCACAAAACAACCCTTCTTTTCCATGAATTGCTCCGACATATCTCAAAAATCCTTTTCCAACATTCAAAACATCAACAAGTTTTTCGATATCATTTGAGGTTACAAGATCTTTTTGAGGATCTTCAGTCTGGAAAAAGGAGGTTCTGGGGTTTTCTAATAATGAATCTGCATGACTTACGTTTCCCAAATGTGATTTGTTCATCTCCCAATTATTATTATTTTATTCTTCCATTTGAGAACTACAAAAAACAAATTTTTCTGATAAGAAAAGAGCAGTTTTACGAAACAAAAAGAATATTTTTATCAAAATAAAATAAAGATGTCAATTTGAAACATGAGACACAGAGAAAGAGAAAACTTGTTGCGCATCATGATTTTATGGTTGAAAAAAAATTGGAAGAGAGAGAAAGAGACGCAGAGTGTACATAGATAATTAGAAAAAAAAAACATTTCGTGAAAAAATCAATGTAAAACACATTAACAAACATTGGCTGTGCAAATAGAAACAAACATGAGCAATCATCAAATTTCAAATAAATAAAAAGTGATATTCTGAAAGTTAGAAAATTTATTATATCAATTTCTTGAATTAAACAAATATTATTTTTTTTTGAAGTGGATACTTGAAAAGTGCGAAGATGCTCATCCGGAAGAAGAACAAGAACTCAAAAAAAAATATCGGAAAATTTCGAAATTTTTTGCGAGCTTCTTCCTCTCTCCAAAAATAGAACGAACATGGAAGAGGGAACAGAGAAGTGAAAGCAGAAAAATCGATTGGCTCAAGTTTTGTTGAGCGCATGCTTTGAATTTCGTGACACAATGACCAAGAAAAGAAATTGAGAAGAAGCAGTAAAAAACAGAAAAACCAAGAGGGGCAACAATTGAAATCCCATCGGGATTCAAATACGCTATGAATTGATAGCCCAACTTTTTCTGTGATCTTTTTTTTCGAAACCTGTTTTTTTTTCTAATCACTTTAACAAATTGCTGTCGTATTTTTCTCAAACAATGGCAAGAAAATGTGTAAGTGAATTACACAACTGAACTATAAAAGAACCTTTAATGTGTTCCGAACATCTGCCACGGATTAATTGAAAAGGGGAAATTGGAGCATTGTGGAATGAGCTACTAAAAAAAACAATGTTGAAGATGATGAATACTGACGGAGCCTAGGAAAGCTCGAAAACTCTGGAAGTGCCTGAGTGAGGAAGTTTGAGGGAGTATCGTAAAGCTTGGAGAAACCTGAAAGAGCATTGAGAAGCCTGCGAACCTCTTGACCTCTGGGAAAGCATTGGAGAAAAGTAATCTCAAGCTATCTAAATGTAAACATATTCAAATTTCTGAAAAAAATTATCGTGACATTTTTTTGGCATTTTTTCAGTTTCAAAATTTAAAATTTTCAATTTTGATACAAATTCAGCTTTCAATTGCAAAATGTTTTGAAAACAAATTTTCATAGACTAGAATTTTTCAGTCTCCTGAACAAATGACTGATTCACATTTTTCCAAGTTTCGATGATCAAGGTTTCAGCACCCTCCCTTTTTTCTTCCCAATCCTTCTCATTATTATTCCAGCTCTCTTCTCCACTCCTATAACATAAACGGAACTTTCTCTTTAAGATAAACAAGTTCCCGTCCTGCCCGTTAGGCCCAACAAAAATCCTTGAAGATAAACAACTGGTTTAACCCATTTACTAACAACTATATATTCTTAGTTTCCATATAAACTTTTTTTCATTTTCTTGCTGTCGGTTTTTTGTGGGTCATTGCATAGTTAATCGTTGTTGTCTTCACTGTTTTTGACGTTCTAGTTTTTTTTTGTTTTTTTTTCCTGAAGTGGTTCAATAGATCAAAAAAAATAGTTTGGGTGGCGGAAAAATCGATTATGAGCTCATGACAGAGCTTCAAATTCTGAGCAATTAGATAAACTTTTGAGATTAACCTGAGCAAAAAAAAAAAAAAAAATATTACATTGTGCTTTGAAAATTTCAATAAAATTTTTTGAAGTTTCGAAAAAAGCTGTTAGAATCTTGCGGAAAATTTCTCTTCGTGGAAAACATGGGGAAAAAAGTAACTCTAATCATAACTTATAGCTTCCGGCAAAATCTGAATATTCCACGTGGATCAGCGTGTCAAACTTATTTAGTCACCACCTAAATTTCCCGGAAGCTCCGCCAATTTGCGAAAAAAAATTTTATATTCAAGTTTTTTTTTCATATCATCAAAACTTGACTAATCCAAATGTTTTCCTCCAAAATGACGTTCTTTTCTCGACAGACAAAAAGAAGAAGAAGAAAGAATAATAAGAGAACACGATCTCTTCAGAATACATGCTTTTCTTTCCGTCTCCGCGCGCGCGTCGAGGAAACTTTCGATTTTCTTTTCTCTCCAACTAAATTTTCTCGGATCAAATCTTGTATTGTGGCTAGCTACTGCTGCCCTCTTCATAAACGAATTTCTTCTTTTTCATTCCCTTTTCTCGGTGTGTGAAAAATTAACATATTCCGAATTATGATTGACTTAGAATACCCTGATCTTCCGGAAGAATTTCTGGTTCATGTAAGTTTTTTTGAACACAGGGATTTTGAATGAGAGTGAAAGTGAAATTTTGATCTTCGATGTCTTGGAGAGTTCAGAAAAACAATGAACCGCTTCAGGAAAAAAATTAATAAAAACGTGTGCCCACGTGAACATCGCCACGTTAACATCATCTTTACATTTAGAAAAAAATCATTATTCATTTTTCAAGGAACCAGAAATGGCGGTTGCTGATTTTTGGAAAGAATTGAACACCTTCACAATTTATCGATCAAATCACACGGATATGTCGTCAAAATATCGATATCCGTTTCATTTTCCGTATGAACAAGTTGAATGGCCAGAATATTGGACACATTTATTCCAAGAATATTGGTATCATTCGATCACTATTAGTGTTGTTTATTTTATTGTTATCAAGTGTGAGTTTTCTCTGGGGAACTTTGGAGCTTGAAACAAAGATCAGGGGTTCCCCAACTTCTGATTCAAAAAATCCACCAAAGGTTTTCTTCAGTAATCCAAAAATTCATGGAACCTCGAAAACCATTCAATTTACGATACCCGTTGATTTTGTGGAATGGAGCATTGGCATTGTTTAGTATTGCTGCGACTATTCGATTTTCTGTGGTATGTTTTTTATCCTTTTTAGAAGGTCCCAAGAATCCAACCCAATAAAAATCTTAGGATCCAATTCGATCATTGTATGTCGAAGGACTTTATCGAACAATTTGTTATTCGTGTCATCCAAAAGATGTCGCCGCATTTTGGAGTTTTGCCTTCGCTCTTTCAAAAATTGTTGAACTCGGCGATACAATGTTCATTATTTTGAGAAAAAGACCATTGATTTTCCTCCATTATTATCACCACGCCGCAGTTTTGATCTATACAGTTCATTCGGGTTTGTTTTCAATGAAAATGTAATATTTTCAATGACTTGTTTGTTTTGCAGGTGCTGAGCATACAGCAGCTGGAAGATTCTATATTTTGATGAATTATATTGCACATTCCTTGATGTATACATATTATACAGTTTCAGCAATTGGTTATAGACTTCCAAAATGGGTTTCAATGACTGTTACAACTGTTCAAACTGTTCAAATGTTGGCTGGTGTCGGAATATCTTACTTGGTTTATCGTGTCAAAACAATTTATAATTTACCTTGTCAACAATCAATGGCAAACTTGTATTTAGCATTTGTTATTTATATTACATTTGCATTTTTATTCATCCAATTCTTCATCAATACTTATATTCGTAATGCGAAGAAGAATGCAAAGAAAACCAAAAAAGTTGAATGATTGATGGTTTTTAGTAAATGCAATGAATTTTGGTGCCAATCGATTTACGGATTTCTAATTAAAAAATCTAAACTTAACTTGAACTTCATTTAATCGATGAATATTTTGTAGTCGCTTGTTTTTTTTTCTCATAAATAATTTATTCGCTTTCATATAATACACGAAGTTAGGCTTTTGGCGATATGATTTGTTTTTCTACAAGATCCGGAATTTCAACAGCCAACCAAGGTCCTAATCCAAGTGCAAATGCATGTGCAATTCCGAATTTTGGAGCGTTTCTCGCCCAAAGTGGTTTGAAATGTTCCGAGAGACAGATTTTTCCACCACGATACATTTTTGCTGTTTTTCCATCGAGTTCAGGTAAAGCAATTTCAGGTGCTGTTACTGGATATGTGATTGGAATATCAAATTCAACATCAAACTCATATCTAAAAAATTTGAATTCAACTAAACAATATTAACTGACAAAGATTAAAACTAACTTGACCATGTCATGGAAATACCAACATTTACCGAACCACTTTGTTCCATCATTATTCGATTCTAGTCTAAACCAATCTCTATCATTATCCTTGTTATTTTGAACTGCTTTGATAATTGATTCATATTCTTCCTGTCAAAACAAATGTATTTTATATCAGAAATTAAAATTAAACTCACTTTCAGTCGCTCAATCCACAAATCACCATCTCTTGGACTAGCTTTTGTTCGGCAAAGTGGAATTGCTTTCAAATTTGATTTTGTTGTCTCATCCATGATTGAAAACAGCAGGTTTTATAAATACTGAAATGCCAAAAAGTGAAAAAAAAGAAAATGAAAAAATATTATGTTGGAAGTGTGTAATGTTGCGTCGCCGTGTTTGCACAATTCGATTGTGTACCGTAGTCGCATGGAGGAGGAATTTTTGAGATTTTTGTCATCATGAATAAACTCCATGGAGTTGCAAGTAAAATTAATTTTTATCTATAATCATAAAAAGGCGAATAAAATTTTTTAAGGATACGTGTTGAATTCAGCTTTGAATATCAAAATGCCTCTAAATCTTCTAATATCACAGGAAAACGAGTAGAGAAAATGAGTGGATGTAAAAAATTAAACGGAAAAATATTCACATATAATCATAATAAGAACCATAATCATAACTTCCGTCACTTGATCAATATCTTCGAATTTTGACCTTTGGCCCCTTCGCCTTTTCTTCGCTCAAAACTTCGATTCTTCTCTTGAGAACCAGAATTTTGGTTGGATCCGACAGTTTTTCGAAAACTTCAGATTTTTCGAACTTTTCCAATGACTCTCCATTGAAATTTCGAATGCATTCGTTCTGAAATGTTTATTTGTGAAATTTGTTTTTTTTTCAAAAGAAAAACTCACGTGAATTCTTGGAATCGAAAACTTATCAGCTAATAACATTTTGAAGTCAGTCGAAATGCTTTTGTCATTGTCCAAAAACTCAACACATCTGTATGTCAAATGTGGCATATCGTATTTATCCGCCAATTTCATAAGAGTTTCGATGTTCTCGCTGTCAATCGCATGTTTTGTTGGATATATAATTTTCAACAACATCTCAAATTCGTCAAATGTTTCATCAAGCTCGATAGTATCCTTGTTTTTCTCATCGAAATCGGAATTGAACATCACTTTGAAAACTTTTGAATGGATTGACAACATTGCTTTGCTCGAATATAACACTTTATCTGTCGAATCTTGAAACTTGAAAACAATATCATTGAATGTCGAATTTTTGTCGCAAAAATCAATTTCTTCGACAGTTGTTTGGATGGTCGCGTTTGAAGACTTGATAAGGTGGCGTGTCATCACCTGAAAGTTTTTTGTGAAATTAGAAAAGAAACACGAAGAAAGTCACAAAAAATGTAGCGTTAAAGACACCTAGAAAGCTAGAAATCGTTCGAAAAGCATTTTTTGCATGTTTTTATCATCCTTCCAATAGTGGAAGTACATAAACATAATTGAAAAATATTGAGTTTAGCGAAAGTCAAAAAATAAATTGGCTTTTTTGAAATCACTCAGGCGACGCGAAATTTGGTGTTTGCACAAATTTTCGTGATTTGCCGCCCATGTGCGCAATTGAATTTATTGAATGACGACGACACTCCGCTTGCCCGCTGTTTAGCGCAACACGAGAATATTTTCATTTTTCGTTTTTTTTCGCTTTTCCGGGGAAAATCAGTGGATTTAAGTCAAAAATTGAATTTTTAGATGTTCTACAAGGCTTGAATTATCGCTTCCAACGGAAAATCCGAGGAATATCGAAGAATGGTGCGTTTTTTCTAGAGATGCACTGTTTCGATTGAAATTTTTGAGTTTTCAGGGTCAAAAATTGTTTTTTAATGTGAGGAGAACAATTATTGGTTGAAGGAGGATTTTGGATTTCTCAAGGATTTTTTATTGGGATTTACGAATTTTTGATGATTTTTGTGTGAGAAATAGAAGCGATTGGTGAGTTTTTTGGGGAGGGATTTCGGAACAAATTGAAAAAATCGATAACAAAGTCTGTAAAATTTGCAAAATATATGACAATTATGAAAAAAAATTGAAAAAAGTTAGGCTAACTCATCAAGATCTAGGCCCAAAAATCTAGTTTTGCAACTCACAAACCGTTTAAATAACCAGGAAGAAAACCATGAAAAAACTTCCCGAACTCTCCTACCACCCTCATCAAAGGCGCACACAATTTTCCTCTTGTGTCTCGCAACGCGAGTTGATTTTTCGAAAAAAAAAACATAATTTCGAATCTCAGTATTTTTTTATCAATTTATTTCTTATTTCTTGTTTTGTTTTCACAGTTCCCTTCATGAAAAGTGTCATTGACACATGATAAATTATTCAAAACGTGACGGAAATCGAAGAAAAAGAAAGAGCCGCAATAGAAAAAGAAGACAAGACTAATGAAATATTGACATGCAAGAGATTGAAGAAATCTGAAAAATACTATGTTTTCGGTGTTTCTCCAGAAGTCCCTGTAGATCTATAGAAAAACAATGTGACAAAAAGTGAATTATTCAAAAAAAAGTGAAAATAATGAACACCTGTGTTCCGATTCTCTCAACATTTCAAATGATCCGAACAAAAATTTACTTCAGGTGTTTATATATCTCCTACAGTAGTCCTTTTCGCGATTTTCCAAATTATTTACACATCCAAATTATATAAGTTTACCGTTTTTATTTTATTCCATTTTTATTTCTTTGTTCTTTTTTCTCTCAACTTTTTTATGGTCCCGACACAAGGCAAAAAAGGACAACGCCCTCTTTTTTTTGGTGGATTTTTAGTGACCTTGGATGACACCGCAAGTTGCATTGTTCCGCCTTTTTATGGCGGGTGCTTTCATGAGGTGATTTAGTAGGTGGGAAAAATTGATGAGGATGCAAAGAAATGAGAAGAAGAAGCTTTTGATGAGGTTATTTATCTATTACCTGGGTGGTCTTTAATTATAATTTGTGGTTGGGAGTTTCTGGAGCACATGGAATGGAGAAGCTAAATCCAGCTGTGAAATCAAGTGTAGGAAAACATGCGGAAGGTGAAACCACAACTAAGACTGATGATTCTGAAAGATATGGAGGTTCTGAAACTTCAGGAGAGAAATCAACAAAAGCACAAACTTCAGAAGCAGAATCTGGAGAATCTGAACCTACCTCCACTTCCTCCGAAGTCACTGAATCATTGGGAGGACCTGGAGAAAGTCCAGAAGCTTCAGGAGAATCTGAAGGTAACACTGCTTCCAAGTTTTTCACATAGATCGGCGTCAAATTTCACTTTTTGAAATTTTCAAACCCGACTTGAGATATTATTCAATTTTTATTCAAAATTATCCAAAATCTACACAAAAATCATAAACACATCTAAATTAAATATAAAAAAAACACAATAATAAAAACACAGTCACCCGAATGACTGTTAAGAATCTGAAAATGGGAAAAATCTTGGAGAAAAAATTCAGAAGCACTGGGAAATGGAGAACATTTGGGAAGGGCAAACGTAAATTTGAAAATTTTGGGGGCGAAGAGATCAAATGTACATTATTCAGTTAAAGCTGTGTCCTGGGTGTCAGAAAATATAAAAATTTAAAAAAAGAAATGGGGAATTAGTACTGATATGTTCCTGGATGGAAACTATAATAATTATATGTCATATCTGGATACATCATTAATTTAGTTTCATCCGGATATTTTAATGTATCATATGTTCCTAGCGGTGTAGTTTGTGTTGGCATCGAAGGAAGTGAACCGGCAGGTAAAAGTTGTTGCGCTGCACTCCAATCTTGTGGAATTGTTGGCATTGTTGCGGTTTGTGGTGAATGCGCTGATAATGCATCTGGCACACCATTCACACCCATTGTTCCCATTGGTGAAGATTCTGACATTGGAGAGGATTCCGGTCGTGATTCTTCTTCTTCTCCTTCATCGTCAGAAACTGGAATTCCATTTTTCTGCTTCTTCTGTTTTGAGCGTCGATTTTGGAACCAAATTTTCACCTGCAATTTAAAATCCTATGAATTTTCCCGCACACTTCATTCATATGGATTAATGAAGAATCAATTGGTAAAAAACCCTTGAAAAGATTGACGATCCCCCCTATTATTATATATGTATTTGTGTTTGTTTTTCCAATGACACAGTCACTCAAAAACAGTCACTCTTTCTCTCTTTATAGAGGACACATAGTCGATAGAAGAAGGAGAAAAGACAGAGGAGAGGGGATAATTAGCCTTGCTTCGCTTCCTCCCCTCTTCCGCTACATACCGATATAGAGGTCATTTCTACAGTAACCCCCGTGCCTATACAATGTATCTGTCCTTCTTTTTTTGGAAGGAAGGTGTCGTATAACAGGTGTGGTACTGTAGGTTTCAAAAAAAAAAAGAATAGGTGACTCCATCTGGTTTAGATTTCTCTCTTTTTTTTCTAAATCCGATTAAGCTGGCACAAAAACATCTAGAATTCTATGATAATTTTTAAACTTGGTTAAAATTCTACGTGAAAAAGGAAATCCGTACTATTTTTGTAGATGAAAAGTTTCAGCAGATTTAAGCTAACTCTCTCCATCTCTCTCTATACCAGGACAACCCCCTTAACACATTTTAGTGAGTTATATAGATAAAGATCGGTGGGGTTATATGAGTGATTGATGAGATGAGATAACAATCTACACCTGTTCCGGTGTTATTTTTTATACCCGTGGTTTCTTACCTGTGTCTGAGTTAATCCAAGTTCAGCGGCCAAAGATGCTCGATCGGGAAGTGCCAAATATTGTGTTTTTTGAAATCTGCAAGAAAAATTGTATTATATTTGTGTTAGGCAATGTTTGATGTTGACAAGACAAAAAAAACTATGTCTTGACATTTAAAAGTGTCGATAATTATCAGAAAAACTGATGAGTAATGGGCAAAAGTGTCTGAATGAGAGAAATGACTCACTTTTTCTGTAGCATTTGGAGTTGCTGTGAATTATAAATAGTTCTTGGTTTTCTCATTTTCTTTCCTTTTGTGTTGAATTTCGATTCGGTTCCTTCGACGATTTTTGTTGTTGTCATTTCTGAAAAATTGGATTTTTTAGAATCTCATAAGGGGTTCTGAAATTTTACTTGATCACGCTGAAAACATTTCCGAAGGATTTCCTGGGAGGCCTCAAATGTTTGAAAAAAGAGCTCGGGACGTTTTCAGCATAGTCAACTCCTTACGTTTTGTCAAAAGTTGATTTCAGAAAACAGTTTTCTTGCTAGTTAGAATCAATTTTCAATTGGCAAAATATTCTCAGATATTCAAAAATTTTGATTTCTTTAAAAATTTTCGATAAAAATTAATCTTGTTCAGAAACTTTAGAAGAATTCAAAAGCCGATGCGAAAATCCGGAAAACTTTTTTTCCCCTATTCTACGAAATTTTGATGTTCCTAGAAACATTCAAAGCCTCAAGTTCTCCTAACTCAAAAAAAAGTTCAAGAAAGCGGTTACAAAAATCTAGATCGATATAAGAACCATATAATTAAGAAGTTCTAAGAAGTGTTACCATGGTATTCTGACAAAAACTTGGAAATTTCAACAAACCTTCAGGGCTGCTCGCAGTTCCTTGTGGATACATAAAAGCTCCAGCTGACGCAACTGCAGCACTTGCAGCTGATTGTCCATTTTGTTGTTGTGAATATGCGGTAGAAGTTGGGAATTGTGAATAAAAATATGGCGAAACATTGGTGCCATTTCGAGAAAATTCAACAGCCGCTGATAAGGAATTATAGTAATCAGTTGGACTTCCCACATAGTTTTGATCCATATTCATGATTCTGTAAAACAATTAAAGTAATCACTGGGGAGACGAGAAAAAAAACAATTAAAAATTCGAATCAAGCAATTTCAGAGTCCCTTGACACATACACAAAGCAATTAAAAAATAATTTCAACACGAGAGGAGAAAAAAATCAATTTTCGAACCGAACCACCCTAAAATTACACCAAATTATACACACACACACAGCATATAGAGACACATAATAAGGGGTGATCATGGATGAAAAGAGCGCCAGCCAAAACTAACCTAAAAATGGGCGGAGCTAAGTCATTCGACAAAGGGGCGGAGTTTTGTATTGGGATTGGTTATATGGGTCTGACAAAAAAAGGGGAACGACGATGAAAAAGTTTGTGTGTGTGTGTGAAAAAAATCGAATATAGAAATATTTTCAGCCACGGAACATTTTGGGATAGAGATAATTACAAAGGAGTTAAAGAGTGTCGGGGTGAAATTGGGGTGGGGTGGAGCCGAGTGGAGGATAATAACACAAGAAAATAATAATAATAATATTGTAGCTAATTGTTGGGTTGTCGTCGCGGGGTCTCTCTTGGCTGTAATTGCCCCCGAATCGTTTTATGTATGTATGTGAGTGTGTGTCTCGAGACACATTTTTATTTCGTATCGTGACTTTTTTCTGTGTCCTGACTGCCTGTCTTGAAATTTTCTCACGGATTTTGATTTTTTTTTTCAAAATTGACTGACACCTTGGTGTCCCAGCTTCCCTAGCTTTTGTATTTTTTTTTTTGGAAAAAAATCTTTCAGAAGATCTAGAATTCATTTGCAGTTTTCAAAAAATTGAGACAGGCTACTGTACAATTTCTAAACCTTTCTAATCCTCTGTGATTCAGTACGGAATGTGTTACAAATTTTTTTCGTGTATTTTCGGCCACGTGGAACTTTTGTGCCAAACATCTGATTATGAAAAGGTTTAGACTAGGCCTATATTTGGGCCCATATGTTGACTAGGCCTAGACTCAGCCTATATTTTGTAGTAAAAATAGAAGAGAATTTTTTGATTTTAATTTTTCTGGAAACTATATAATTCAGATCCCAGATCTTCAAATTTTTTTCAATTTTCATTTTTCTCCAAAAAAATCAATTCTCTTAAAAATCTCACCAAAAACAATAATTATTTGATCCTACCGCCTCACCCAACTTTTTTCCCGTCTTCTTTCTTGTTCACACCATGTTTTTGTTGGTGTAAACAACAACAAAATTCTCATTGTCCCCCGAACAAGGTGTGAATTCGTGTAGTCGGGATTATTTTTGATGAATACTTGACAGGTCGAAATTTTCTGGGATATCCGTCCCGGAATTGATGGATGGACTAATTGGGTGCTAGTGGGAATAAATATGAACAATAGGTGAGAAATATCTACACATGTATGTTTTCGAAAAACTTCGAGAGTTCAGCGAACTTTTTTGAAATTCACAAAATTAATTTTGGAAGTCTCAATACCTGTAAAAAATGTGTGAACAAGTTTGTGTTTTTGTCGACACCAAATTGGTGCCAAATATTCGATCAAAAACAAATACCGCTCTAATATTATCACCTTGTTTTTCATCGAACATTGTGCGATTTTCTTTGGCGGCGAAAGAGGTGCAAATCTGCGGGATGCTTGCCTCAGGAAAGGTTGATCTTTATCGCGTTGGTCTAGCTCGAAACTTTCATCATCAAGTTTTTTTTTCCTTTTCAAAAAAAAAAGAGAAAAAACCAAAATTGTGGGAATTTTTGTTATATAGTCAATTTTTTTTAATCGCCCAGAAAGTTCACACGAGATGTTTTTTTCGGCGCTGATTTTTTGGATTTCCGAAAAAAAAAGGTTTCCTCTTGTTTACTTACACACACATTTCGGAAAAATGTTGATAGGCTGCAATTTTGCGAAGGGTGGTGGAGGGGGGATAATAATTACACCAAAATAATTGCCAACCTCATCATCATCATCATCATTTTCCTACATATACTACTCTCATTCTACACTTTTTCCAACATTTTTATGCTATTTTTTACGAATTGAATCTACATATGCCTTTGGAAAGATTCTTAACTTAAACAATTCTCACCGCTTCTTTGTTCAAACTTTTTTTGTTGGATCTTGCCGGTCTTCCGGATTTCTCATGATTTTGTTTATTTACATTCGATATTTCCAGTCAACTTGAGAAAATTGACAAAACACCAAGGTGTGAAAATGTTATCAGAGATTGATTCGCATGCTTGAATATTGATGAGAAAAGGATTAGGTGTTACCATGAGAACTTCCGGATGCTTGGGAAAAATAGATAGATAGATACAGTAACCAACCAAGAGTTCAAACTATGTGCACTTTTTGGAAAAGTTGTTTTGAAAGAGGCGAGCTTAGGAAATAATTTTTATGGGGATCGTAGAGTAGCTCAGCTTTGGGTTGAATCATTTTAATTTAGACAAAGTTCTGGATAAAAATCCTGAAATTAATTCTTTGATTGTGACGTGATATTTGATGAAAGTATCTCTGTATTGAATTTTAATCTGAAGATCACACGTCTTAAAATGCCGTGAGCTACGCAACTTAAAAAACCTCAGATTATTTCAGACAACACTAAGAGCAGGATTTTAAATTTGAGATTGCTAATCCCCAAAAAAATTTTCTTGAATTTGCTCTGGATTTTGATCATTCCTATCAATTTCTGATCAGAATCTCCTAAGTTTTTATCAGAAACATCTTAGAAACCTTCGAAGAGTTTCAGATTTTTGTTTGGCAAAGTTTGAAAAATCCAGTATTCTAATGAACACAGCTTAAACCGCTTCGAACAGCTCTATATAGACTCCCAAGATTCCCGAATATCTAACTCTCAGATATCAAGCCCAAAATCTTTGTGATATCTCAATAAGCCTATCAATTTCTGTGATCAATCACACCTGCCTCCATCTCATTCTTCTTCCTGCCATCCTTCTTAATATTTTTCCTTCCTTCCGATCACTATCTATTTCTCCAACCTGTGAACATGCATGTCAATCAAACTTTTCTACATTTCTGACATTAACCTAATCCTTCTTCTCCTTCTTATTTTTTCTAGATAATTACTCTTTCCCGTCGTCCAAGTCCTCCACGGGATGTCTCTATTGTTTTATAGGTTCAGGCATGCGCTAATTACAACCCAATAAGAATACACTATTGTTCTAATCCCTTTTTGACAATTCAAGAGGTTTTGCACAAAAAACAAATAGATCGAGAGAGAAGAAGTTTGAGGTGGATCTGGGGAGGGGGCTAGAATGGAGCTGAAGAGAATCCGGGTCTTGTAGAGATCTATGAACGAAGTAATCCTAGTTACAGTAAGAGAGGTGTCTACAGTAATCAAGAATCTAAAGGGACATACACTCAGGCCTGAATTTTTCAGTTTTTGACCTCTGAAAACTGAAATTCAGATTTTTTTCGAAATTGTTCTCTGGCCAGCCACGGATTGGTCGAGTTTTGAATAAGCTGATAGAATATTTGAGCAGATCATAAAAAAATGTAGTTCAAAAGTAATTTAGAAGTTAGGGTACGTTCAGGTTTCAAAATCTTATATATCTCATAAATGTTCAGCTCTGAAATTTGGCTGAAGCTCCAGCTGGAAAAAAGCCAAAATTTCTGAAAAATGGTTTTCGTAGCCAGCTTCCAGCGAAGCTTCTGAAAATTGACCATTTCTGAAAAGTTTCTACTAACTCGAAAGCTTCTCAGAATTTAACCCAACATCGCTACCGTATCTCACTTCCTAAATACAGTCCCATTTCTTATTCAAAAAAAAAATCAAGGCAGATGTTTTTATTATTTTTTAATACATGTGTGTGGTTGGGGCCCCAGTCCAATTATAACAATATTAAAACATTTTACGACCTGTGGGAGGTTTTTTCGATATCTCTAGATAGTCTCGGATTTATTTTTTCTGTCTTTTTTTCACCACCTCTCATATCCTTTTCCCCATCAAAAAATCCCATTTTTCAGCAGCTTCTCCTCAACTCAATGTCAAATGCCAAAAAAAGTCATATTTATTCTTCTACTCCATCCAATATAATCTACATTTTATGACTCGTTTTTTTTCATTGCTGGGGTCGCGCACCTGCTTCGAAATGGGAATGAGCCAGCTAAAAATTGACCTTGGAGAGGAAAAAGGTAAGAAAAATTTCGGAGATTTGGAAAACTCAACACTTTTTTGAAATTGTTTCACATTGGGTGGAGAGAGTTTCGAGAGTGTTGCAGTTTTCCAAGTTTTTGGAATCTTCAGCTATCCTACAGTATCTCTAGGATACCCTACAGTATCCTTGTTTATATTTATTTATTTCAAAAAAAGTTTTTGTCCCGACCGCCCGTCATCCATCTATCTACAGTACCCCATCCGACCTTCATTGTTTGTTTTGTTCGAGGAAAAGAAAAAAGAAAAAGCGAAACGAAAAAAAGAAGAAAAAAGAATCTACCGTATACCTCGTGTTCATCGATTTCTTTTTTTTTTCTTTTTTTTTTCCAAGGGGCAATTATCTAGCCTCGCCTCGCCTCTCAAAACTCCGCCCATTTTTGTGCGCCGCGCTTTTTTCAACCGCCAATTATTCCTTCACATATAAAGAAGATGGAGAATAGAAGAGAGAGAGAGACAAGTTTTTCGACTATATAAAGAGAGCGAGGAAAAAAGACAAGAAATATTGTTTTCTGAAAAATAGCAGGGTGTATTGGAATCGAATAGAAGTTGGAGAAAAAAGGAGGAGGGTTACTGTAGTTGTGTTTGTGGAGGAACAAAAAACGAGGAAGAAGAAGAAGTAGAACATATATAGAAATAGAAAAAAGGGACTGAAAGAAATCTGTTCTATATAATTATGAGATAACATAGAATTGTTAAGTGATTTCTTATTATCAAATGACTCATAGAGAGTTGAGAACCATTTTTGGGAAATTCCGAAAACTAGAATGAGATTGATTTTCTACCAAGGCAAGCTCGGGACCGATATTCTTAAGTTCTTTTTTCACAACTGTGTTCAGGAAGGTTGATGTTGTAAGCTCACTGCCTCTTCTATAACATTTGAAATTTTAATTTCGCATTTTGAACAAATGAAGATCAAAATCTAAAGTTTAAAAAATGAAATCAGAATTTCTGGACAATGCTGTGAAATTAGGATAGAAAAATCTAGCGTCTCAAATCAATTACAGTACTCAAAATGTCCTAAACCCTTTCATTTTAAGAAAAATCCTCTGACTAATCTTAAGGAGCTAATTAAGGTGAAAATTAAAAACTAGAGTACTTCAAAAATTACCTCATTTCTAAATTCACTTGGCAAAGTTATCTCACTTGGCAAAGTTAAAATTTGCCCCAAATCATATTTTTCAAAAACCGTAAATTAGTTCCATCAGTATAATGTTTACTGAATTCGAATTTTTATTTGAATGAAATCTACCAGCCCAAATTAAACTGACCTATTTTTCAGGCGTTTTCAGACCATCAACAAAACATCTTCTCATTTTTTCGGTAGTTTTGAAATCATATAAATTTTAGAAATGATGAATTTTCCCTTTCAAATTTATTTCAGAAAAAGTTCACGTTCACGTTCCCAAAATTATCTTCCTTTGCTGTTTTTTTTTCTCGAAAAACCCAACTACAGTAATCCAACAACAGGTTTCCTCTCACCTTTATATATAAGTATCATTTTCAAAATGCTCAATCGAGCATATGTGGGTCGGCTTCCCTTCACCGACCTTCTAATTATCGCGCAAAGCGCGGAAAAATTTCAAAAAGATTTGGTGCGCAACTCTCTTTCCCCAATTCTTCCTTATTCATAAACAGGTGACACCATATGTTTAAACGAAAGAAGGAACTTGCTTTTGAAACCACACACACACACCAAAAACAATAGTCGGGTCTCGACAGGAAAACATTCATCTCTCTCTCTTTTCTCTTTTCTTCTCAGCTATAATTATAGTACGTCGCGGACACTTCCGTCAGCTATGGAAAATTCTTTTTTGCTTTTTATTTTTCTCTCTCTTGCTTCGAAAAAAGGGTGTTGAAGAAGCAATTGGATTTGATTGAGCAGCAGAAAAATAAGAGGGAACACAGGCACACATTTGCACCTTTTTGGTGGTAGAGGTGATAAGATGAGACCTCCTGTGGTGAGAACAAGTCCAGCTGATGACACGTAATTAAATTAGACTACTAATTGGTGTCGGCATTACGTAGAGAGAGCTATGAACAAGTAACACGTGGTGCAACCTTTTGTTTCATATTTCAAGAAACACAGGTGTTCTCTATTCTTCTAGTATTTTTTGTGGATCACACAGTGTCAAATTTGATTCAACCTAATTTTTTTTCTGCATAAATCATCATTGACCTTTCGAAAATATTTTCTTTTCAACCGCGCGCCTTTTTTTTGTGTTCCCACAATAATTTAGAATGGCGCCAGGTAAAACTGTTTTTTGGCTGGCTGGGTGAATGAGTTTTTATGTGAGAATTGGGTGAAGGCGAAAAATGAAACGAGATTTATGAGTGGTTGAAGAAATCGGGATTGAAATTGAGGGGGGAATGCAATTTTGAACACGTGATTTTTAAATTTTTTTGAGAATCTGCAAAGAAAATTTTTATTCTATAGTTGAAAGACATAATTGTTAGATAAAACTTTAAAAAATTATGAGATTTCAGATTTTTTTTTGAAATTCCAAGAACAAGATTTTGAATTTTCCAGAAACTCAAAACATAAAGCGGAAGCCGATGTTCAGAAAATTGTTTTTTTCAAAACATTTTGTTCGAGAATCCAGAAAATCTTAAAAATTGCTGATTTTTAATCTCAAAGTTTTTCTTGAATTTCGCCATTGATTCAAAAAGTTTTTGAAACACTAAAAAGCTTTCAGAATTTTATTCCACAAATCAAACTAAAATCATGGTTGCTGATATGCTGAAATATTCTTTGGACATCCAGCATGGCCCCAATCTGGAAGAAGAATATTAAAATAATAAAGATGATCTTGCCACATCGAATTGTTTTGAATTGCTAAGCCATCACAATATGGACCATCGGCTTCGAGGCAAATAATATATGGATCACCGACGCGCATGTAATTATCATACCAAACTAAAGTTCGTTGGTGATAAAGAGTTATATTATGAACTGTATCGAGCACTGAATTTTTTGGAACTGGATCGTATCGATGAACAATATGGAAAGAGTAGACAAACTGGAATTTTTGAATTGTGCTTGTGAACTCAAAAAATGAAGAACTTACCGTGTTATAATGCCACATTGCAAATTCCAAATCACCAACTGATGGTGTTCCCAATGTTACAACTTTCATATTTTCACTTTTGAATAAACCACTTTTCACAATATATGCAGAAGCAAGTGTAGCCATTGCAGCACCCAAAGAATGTCCATTTACCCATAATTCATAATTTGGGTAGAGGTAGATTAATCTACGAAGATCTTGTTGAATTCCACCATTCCATAGAGCCATGAATGAATCCAAATAAACTTGCATAACTCGACCATTGTTAAAAAATGGAATTGTTCCACTAATGAAAATTTATATATGGTTTATTTAGGGTAAACTAACTTGACACTTTCACCTTGCGAAAGTACTGTATTTTGATCATCTCCATGTGCACCTTTAAACGCAACTACGATTGCTCGTTTAGTTGTATCAAATGCCGTATAACCACAACAAGTAACATCAGGATAATCAGCTGAACAATTCACTGTTCGATATTGATATAATTTCAATGTTGGTAATTGATTACTGTAGATAATTTTGGAATGTTTTTTCTTGGAAGGATAAACTTACTCAAAACAAAGTTGCGGGTTCTCATTCTGTGCCGCAGTTGCTATAACATACATCCAAGTTCTCATAAATTCTTCATCATAAGGGACACGTGGCGGAGTTGGACAATTGAATGCTACATTTATTGGGGTTCCACATGTTGTGGAATTGAAATTATCAACAGAGATACAATCTGATGTATCAGCACAATATCTAAATAATAAAACTGTTTGTTATTAGAATATTTTAAACTCTCACATGTTTCCAGATGTTGTACAAGAATTACAATCAGACAGAACCGTTCCAATAATGGCTAGACACAATATAAGAGCTATCACTTGTGTCGGCATATTTGAAATTGATAATGATGTGTTTATCAACTTTTTGTGTGATTATCTGCTGGAAAAAACACATTGAAATTATGGTTTTGAACAAGGAAATGTTATTTGCTTGGAAAAATAGTTTATCATTTTTTTTGATAGACATTAGTTGTTTAGTGGAACAGTTTGGACGTGTTACCTGGTGATGAAAAATGCTTGGGGAAAATGAGTCCTCGAAATGAAAAAACTGAAAATAAAATTTACACGTCAAATATAGAAATAGACAGTCCACGAGAAATAATAATTTTTGATCCCAAAAATTTTTCGAAAAAAATTCACGGATTTTCATTGGGTGAAGCTGAACTTCTTCAGAATTCAAAATTTCTCGAATCGGGCCACATTTCTCATTGAACCAAGAACCAATTTTTTCTGTAAAGTTTCACAATTTTTCTTCAAAGCTCTTGTTTTATTTATCATTTTTTCGCAACAAAAATAGTCAAAACCCTATCAGTTTTCCAAGGAACATTTATTTTCGCTGATCAAACATTTGTGACTTGTTCCCAAATATTCGTTGATCTTTCCGATGATTCATGTTTTTTGCGCACGTGAAAATCTCTCTATTTTGATGGGCGGTGTTTTCTTTCTCTTCTCTGGAAATGTGATGTGATACAAAACAATAGTATAGAAAATGAAGATATTTTAGAAAAGAGAAAAAGAAGAAAATAGTGATTAATTGGTTGCTCAACCAGATAAATATCTCGGCTATTTCCTCATTTTCAAAAATAACAACATGTTTTTGAAAGCTGTTCTTCTTATTCTTTTGTCAATTAGTTCGATTTCGGCGCTTGTTGGGAGAACTCAATCTGCTGCCGTACGAGGAGTTTTGATCTGTGATGGAAGACCAGCGATTGGAGTAACTGTCAAATTATACGATGATGATAGAGGTAAAAAAAATCACCTTTTCTTTAATTTTATTCATTTCATTATAAACAATAGTTCAGGTCTTGATGCTGATGATTTGATGGCATCTGGAAAAACCAATCAAAGAGGAGAATTCCATCTTTCTGGAAGTGAAGACGAAATGACACCAATTGATCCAAAACTCAACATCTATCATGATTGCAACGATGGAATTAAACCATGTCAAAGAAAATTCACCATCAAACTTCCGGATAGTTACATTTCACAAGGAAAGACACCAAGCAAGGTTTATGATGCTGGAACTATTCAATTGGCTGGTTCATTCCCAGGAGAGACTAGAGATTGTTTGCATTAAATAATTAAGCCAGCTGATTTTTTTTTCGTTGGAAAAATTGAAATAAAGATTTTATAGACCAAAAAATTCTGGACTCTGGGTTACTGTGAGGTTACGGTAGATATTAAAATTTTGAAATTTCAAAAAAATTGAGCAGTCTTTTGCCACAATATTTTGATAATCCAAGGATCACTGCAGTTTCACAAAAAATCCCAAAAATTGTGCCAAATTCAATCGAAATTCCAAATTTCTGAAACCATAATTTCATTTCATTTCCAAAAAATTCCCAAAAATTATTGTTATATTTTTGTTGAAAAATTCTTCTTTACAAATATTCACCAAACTACAATGACTAACACTTGTCAAGCCCATAATAAAAATGTTAAACTATGCATTTCCTTTGTTTTTTGTGGCTATGTTTATTCAAATGTATTTCTCTTTCGAGAAAAAGGACAAGTTTGACCTTCATCTAATTATCACTTCTTTTTTCGCTGTTTCAGTTATTTTCCCTGCTTTTGAATAATAGAAAAATTTCAAAATTGTTCATCTCAGCGTTCGACAATCTTCAGATTATCTAGTTTTTTGTCTTCTTCATATAAAAAATATTTATCCGTCATTATTCTCAAAAAGTTCTTCGAAAAGAAAAAGCCTATAGATAATCCGCCACCCCTCAAAATATAACTAGTTTTGGTAGATTCTTTATTTTTTTCCACTTTTTGTATTTCTTCATTTTTTCTTTGTTTTGTTTTTGATGATCCCCGAACACCACACTTTTATAGGGTAGGATTTTGAGATGTTTACTATGACGTGGAATATCAGAATTGATTTCCACAAAATAGTAATCCACGTGGCCTCTAAAGTGGTGTTTTTTGTGAAACATCTGTGCTTCATCTCGATTTTTCTTCATTTTATTCTTCTCACAGTCTTTTATTCCGTGTTCTTTTTTCCTTCTTTCATTCATTCTTCTTCACATTTTCACCCCCTTTTGTCTAAATATTTCAATCATCATTATTTGCCTTTTTGGAGCACAACCCAATCCAGATCTATTCAATGTATAATATGTTTTATATTATGAATAGGTGTGTGACGGAGTATTTATTTACCGCAGTATTAGATAGATTCGTATTTTTGGAAATTTTTTTTAGTGGATTATAGATTTTTTGCTGTTGAACATTGAAATACAGTTTTATTATTTTTGTTTGTTTGTTGTTTTTGTTTGATTTGAAAAAAAAACATTTGAAAATAAAAAATAAAAAAAACTTTTTCAGAGTTTTTTTTTTTAATAAAAAACAATATTTATCGCGTGACACTTTCACTTCCATATTTGACATTTTCAAAAAAATCATTTCTGAAACAGAAAATGTCATTCAGGTATTTTTTAATGCTAATCAGATTTTTAGCAAAAATTGAGAAAAAAATCGTAACTTTTCTCGAATGACCTGATTTTTGAGTTTTTTTTTAGAAAAATTCAGACCTTGATCCGTTTCCGAAGTTTCAAAATTATTTTAATCCACCTCCATCTTCTGTTGAACAGAGTCTGTTCCAATTTTTCTCCTCCCAAAAAAAACATGGTTTGGTTGTTATGTCTAATTAGGTTTCTCATGTTAGTTGATCCTCACTTTCATTTTTTTTTTCTCGTTTTTTCCTCTCATTTTTTTTCTTCGATATAATATGTGATGATGCGCGAAAGTAAATAAACAGGAAGAGATACTTCTTCTGTATATTTTATTATCTATCTCATTTCATTCCGGCCGGATATTTCTGGTTTTTTCTAGAGTTTTTTACCCAAAAATTTCAAACTCCAGAAAAAAGTTCGATTTTTTCTTATTCTTATCGTTCAACATTTCAATTTTCTTATTTCTTATCTTTCCATTTTCACAACAAAAAATAATGCTTGCAGGTTCACGAAAAATGCGAAAATTGCGCGAATTACGCGAAGTCGTCGAAAAATTGGCAGAAATGCATGAGAATTTAGAAAAATGCGAAGAATGGACAAGTGTTGCCCAAGAGGTTTTGCAGGTAAATAAAAAGAGAAAAATGAATCATTGGGGTTTATTTTATGTAAATAAAAAACTTAGCCCCAAACCTCATTTTTTTCAAAGAAATTGTCAACGATTCGAAAAGAGTGTGAACGTATTCAATTCTCATCGCTGATTACGCCACCACAATCCACGTCTTCCGGAAGTTTGAGTTGTGAGTTTTTTTGAAAACGAAAAACTAGACCATAGTTTTTTGTAGCTGACACAATTTCTATAACAATGGACACTGTTTATACGGAAGCAGTTGAAGCCTATGAACAACAAATATATTCGAGATGTGTTAGATTGGTTGAAAATGCGAATCGAGAATCACCAGTTGATATGTTAGTTATAACTATTTTATAAAATAGTTCTTCTCCAAAATAAAACCGAATTTTTTGAAGGTATTTGATATCTCTTGCTCATAATTCATATTCTGAAATGGTTGATGCTGCTGGAACATCGAATGAGGCTATGAGGTTCGCGAAATGGTGGGCAGAGTTTTTAGATTCAGTAGAAGCTGGGAGAGCGCATAATGAGAAAATCGAACTTTTGGATTATGAAACAATAGCACTAGAAAGAATTGTGAAACTAGGAGGTGGACCCGAAGAATTTGAAAAATTAGTCGAAGTTGCGGTCAGAAATTTTGAGGTTAGTTTTTTTTCTCATGTTTTTCTGGGATTTTTTCTAAACCTACTTTCAGATGGTCACACTTCTCAATCGCCCTTATCATATTATTTCGGTTGAAAGATTGGTTAGATTGGGAAATGTTTTGGAAACTGAAAATAATAATAATGGTTTGCAATTTTTTTCGACGAAAAAACTCTCAACCCTTTCAATTTTTAGCTCAAAAATTCACATCAGAAGCTCGTGAAGTATTTCATAATGGGATTCAGAATACATTGAAGGATCGAAAGAAATATCTTCAGACTGGGAAAATTGAGGAGAAAAATGTTTTGGAAATCGATAAAATCTTGAAAAAACTCACTGGAGATGATAATTTGATCGACGACGATATTGTTTTGAGACTTTGATTGAGTAAAATGTTTATGTATGTACATAATGAACGATGTTTTAATCTGACCAAAATAAAAATTGAATTAACAACCAGCTTTTTTCGATTCGGCAAGTAAAAGTCCACAATTTGGACAATTATGGTCAACATCTTTTGAGCTATCACAACAAAGGAAAAAGAGAATCGGCCAACAAAATAGAAAAACTCCGGTGAAACAGATAATCCACCAACATGTTCCAGTATGATGAAAACATGATGTCATTATCGTCGCCTGGAAAAAATAGAATAAATTCGTTACTGTACCATGTTACGGTGTTTGCACAAATTGCACACAACACATTTTATTTCACGCTCATTTATTTTTATTTTCACTGTTTTTTTCGCGAAGCATTTCAGGACTGATTTTTACGATGACTAGGTGAGTTTTTCTACGAAAATCATCGAAAAAATTGAAGTATAAATATAGTTCTATCTCTGAAAATAAACGCCTACCTGACATCTTGGGCAAAATTCTAAATACGGCGTTGTTACAGTTGTCTCTTTCGGAATATGTTTGACGACTTTAATTGGAGTAGCAGTGATTACTTGGATCGGATAATTTTTAGGATAACTCATTTCGCGACTAGAAAAATTCGAAAAGACGAAAAAATGATGGCAAAAGTAAGAATAGGTATTTGTCAATATTTGTTTAGTGGACTTTGTAGGCGCTTTTTTTTTATTTTATTCGTTTAAAATAACATGGAGTTTATGTTTGACTAGAAATCATAATATTCATCACACTTAATTTGAAGTTTTCAGCGATATACATTTGTTTCCTCAACTCTATAATTAATTTTTTTCATTTTTTGAACAGCCGCTCTTCGAGAAAACGACCCACATGAGATATTCGCATTAGAGCGCGTTTTGTCTATCACCAATATTTTATTTTTAAGAGATGATTTTAGGACGCTTTCTATATTTAAAATTAAAATAAGTTGTTTCAGAGAAGAGATGGTTCAAGACTTGTATTTCGAAGTTTTGCGTAAAAAATCGCATTATTTCCTCGATGCCAAAGAAACCGCTACAATCAAAGACTTGAAGTTGATGATTCAAGGGATTTTGAAGGTAAATAAAACTTTTTGCAATTGAAATAAATATAGTTTGATGTTTTAAGTTGGATCCATCGTCAATTGAATTGTGGAAATTGGAAGAAGAGGGGAAAAAGTCAGTTCTTGTCGATGCAACAACTTTGGCCGATTGTGGCTTTTCGGCAACAAATGCAAAGGTTAGTGGATTTTCAAAACCTGTTTCATTGTCAAAATCTATCAATGAAACTTTTCAGGCTCAAATGCCAGCTCAATTAGGTCTCCAAATCCGTGGCGAAGATGAAGATGTAAAATTCGACGATGTTTCTCTTCCTCCACCAATTCCAGATGCATTGCAAGGAGCTCGTGGTGACAATGCACCAACTGACTAAATATCGAATCGCAGCTTTTTCTTCTTCTACTCATTTTATGTATAATAGCAAATTTTTGTGCGTCTACCGGTTATTTTTATAGTTTTAAATATTTCAGACTAAATCTCAAATCAATCGAGCGTTTTCTTATTTTTCCCTATATATTTTTTGACTGATGAAGTTTTACCATTTCCCATGTGTATTCTGAAATGTTTTGTATGAAAAGGGTTATACTAACCTTATATCTAATTTCTATTGATTTCCAATGGAACAATTTTCCATCTAAAACAATAAAAACAAAATAGAATTCAGATGGCAGCGATTTTAAAAAAGAAAAAAGCGAAATCTTCGGATTCGGAACCTCCAGCAAAAATACAAAAGCTTGAAAATGTTCCCGATAACTTTGAAAAGTTTTTGGCGAAAAATTTGGATTCGATCGGCGCGGCAAAGCTTCAAGATATCAAAAATCGCACAAAAACTGCGAAAAAAGTCGAAATCAAAGGAATCGGTGCGAGTTCGATTTATGAAGGATTAGATGAAATTGAAGTGAGAATTGGCGATTTATTTCACACTATAAAATACATTTTCAGATTCCAACAACTTCTTCAAATTTGGATTTAGCAGAAACTGGATGGAATTCGAATTTGATCGCAAATATGACAAATATTTTAGCTGAAACGGAAGTTGATCAGAAGAAGGTGAAAGATATTGAAGACTCCAGAAGTTCGACAATCGACATAGTTTCGAGATATATTGATTTATTAGAAATTTCGGATGATCAAGATGGTTATAGAGTTAGTTTTAATTAATATTGTTCTCAGTACTAACACAAAATCATTTCAGTCAATCTATTGCGCCCACATTATTTCGCATCTTATCAAAAATCGAAATACAATAATTGCAAATAAAAGAAAATTGGAGATCGATGAAGCTTCGGAAGATGGAGCAAGTGAAGAATTGATTGAATCTTGTAGAGATTCTGGATTTGTTCGACCTGTTGTTTTGATTTTGTGTCCTTTCAAGAAAGATGCCTATGACATTATTCAGAAGATTAGTAGTATTATTTACGGAGATGGTGAGTTTGACTATGTCGACTCACAAAAATTCTGGGATGCTTAAAAACGAAGCTAATTTTTTTGTGACAAAAATATTTTATAGCGTGAGCTAAATTATTTATTTTTTTCAAACTTTCACTTGAAATGTATTTTTCAGAAAAGGGAGAAATTTGGAACAAGAAACGGTTTGAAGATGAATACAGTGGCCCAGAAGAAATCCCACAATCACGTGTCGAATATCCACCAGATCATTTAGAACTCCTAAAAGGAAATAACGATGATGCATTTCGAATTGGAATCGCATTATCAAAAAAAGTTTTGAAATTATACGAGAAATTCGACAAAGCTGATATTTTATTGTGTTCGCCGTTGGGATTGAGAATGATTTTGAATGGAGACGATGGAAATGAATCGCATTTATTGAGTAGTACAAATATTATTATTGTTGATAGAGTAAGGATTTCTCAGTTTATAGATAATATTGATTTGAAAATTTTTGCAGGCTGATCAAATGCTTCAACAAAATTGGGAAAATATTCAATTAATATTCTCTCAACTTTTTGGACAACCTGCCAAAATTGATGTTGATATTTCAAGAGTTCGAAAAATGTATCTTGGTAAGCTTCTTATCTTCAAGAAGATCTGAAAAGCCTGAAAAGTTATGAAAATCTCAATTTTCAGACGGATATGCTCGTCATTTCTCCCAAATTCTTCTATTTTCTCGATTTTCGCATGAACTGTTCACATCTCTCATGGTTCAAAATTCCGGAAATCATAATGGACTTATTGTAGCGCGACCAAAACAAGAGGGAACTCTCAAAAATGTAAGAACTTGATAAATACTTTTTAAAAATATTGTGATCTTATAGATCGAGATTCCGTTATGTCAAGAAATTCACAAGTTCCAAGTCACCGATCCAAATGAAGTTTCAGAAGCGAGATTCAAATATTTTGTGGACAAGGTTTGTTGAAATACAATAAATAAAACAATATTGATTTCATGTTTTTTCAGATTGTTACATCATTAACACCAAGAACTGTCATCGTAATTCCGTCATATTACGATTTTGTTCGAATTCGAAATCATTTCAAAAAAGGCGAAGAGAGTTTTGTCAGTTGTCATGAATATGCTCCAAGGAAAAAGGTTGATCGAGCTCGTGAGATGTTTTTCCATGAAAGAAAAAGTTATCTTCTGGTCACTGAACGATGGTATTTCTTTAATCGAAGACAACTTACTGTAAGTTCCCGATAAATTTCAAGTTTTCACATTATAATTCGTTATTTTAGGGTGTTCACCGTGCTGTTTTCTATCAACTTCCATCTCATCCACTTTTCTATTCTGAATTTATCAATATGTCGGATTCTGATACAAAACAACGATTTTTAGCAGTTCTCCTGGTTTGTAAATTCGATAGACTTCGGATGGAAAACACATTTGGAACTGAAATGGCCCAAGCTATTCTGAGCAATAAGCAACAAGTTCAGGCAATTGTTAGTGAATAGAAATAGAATCTTGTTTTTTTTTGAAATTGTTGATTTGTTTTTTGTTATTCTTTTTGTTCAACTGATGATTTATTTTTAACAAAATGTTTTCTCATTTGATGTTACTTCAAAGAAAAAAAAGAGAAAATGTGGGGCACTAGGACGACTTCTATGTTTTTTTTGCAAGATTTTTTGGAAAACAATTTTTGTACAAAAACGGTCCGGCCGCGCGGGGTTGGAAAAAACATGGGGAAAGATTTGTAGTGGATGATGTGTTGGTGGTGTGAGTCGAGGGAATTAACATGGTGTTGGTTGAAGGGCGCGGGGAGAGGGAGAAGTTGGCGACGGAGTTGATGGTGACATCACAGCTTGTCGACGACTTTTTGGAAAATCCATCTCTTCATCCGATTCTTCGCCATCAATTTGTGGATATGTTGATTGATTGTTTGATGAGGAAGAAGAACTCGCGAGAAGATGGAATGTTGAAGGCATTGGAAGAACGTGACGAGACCAAAGTGATGCGATTCGAGTTCGACATCGAGTTATTTCGCACATTGGAAGCTGAAAATTGAGAAAAATACTAAAATTTGGCATTTTTCACGAATGTTTGTGAAAAATTCAAATTGAAATTTGAACGTGTTGATTCTGAATTTTAATTTCAGCAGTCAAGCTGGATTTATTAGCCCTAATTCCACCAAATTCTTTTCTTTCTTTCTTTCTTTCTTCTTTCTTAAACTGTTTCCGGATTGGATTTGTACCCCATTGGCACATATATTCAATGTGTCAATGATGCATTCCAACATCCCGGACAAATGGAGAATCTCAATTATTACTCCTATCCCCAAAATTCCTGATTCAAAAACTCCGGGAGATTTTCGACCAATTTCAATCACCAGTCAAATCTGTAGAATATATGAGAGAATTCTCAAACGCAAGATAGTACAACATCTGGAGAAAATTAATTATTTTACTCCATTTCAGCACGGTTTTGTAGTTGGAAAATCAACCACTACTCAACTACTTGAGTGTGTCAATTTATGGACCGACTCGCTCGACAAAAATATCCAAACCGATGTTATCTACTTCGACTTTAGTAAGGCGTTTGATATGGTGAATTACTCTATACTATTCACCAAACTCTCTATGTTAGGTTTGAATTCTTACCTATTAAATTGGATACAACAATATTTGACTGGTAGAAGTTTTGTTGTAAAAATAAAGGACGTATTTTCAAATCCCCGTCCAATTTTTTCTGGCGTTCCGCAAGGAGGAGTACTATCTCCCCTTCTTTTTGCAATTTTCGCAAACGATCTCCCAAATTTCGTTTCAAATCCGGGAGTTTCGGTTGCACAATTCGCGGACGACGTGAAAATATTCTCAAAAGTAAGAAGTCGGAATGACTCGGAAATTCTCCAAAATTCAATCAATAAAGTTCATGAGTGGGCTACCATTAACAAACTAATTCTCAACAGTAATAAAACAAAAGTTATCTCGATACATCCAAAACCTTCTGAATTCTCCTATCACATAAATCAATCGGACATCTCTAGAACCTCTCTGATTCGCGATCTCGGTTTTCATATCTCACAAAATCTTGATTTCTCTGAACATTGGGAAATCTTCACCAAAAAAGCCAATTCTCTTCTCTATCTTTTATTCAAAACATTTTCCACCAAAAATCCTAAGCTCTATTTGTCTCTTTATAAAACTCATATTAGATCTGTTCTCGAATATGGTTGCATCGTCACATCTCCTCCAGACAAATCTACTTCAGATTTGATTGAGAGGGTTCAGCGCAACTTTACGAGAAAATTAGTTGGTAGAATTTCTGGGAGAATGATCAGTATTACTGACCCTAACTATTTATCATATGAGGAAAGGCTAGATATGTTTGAATTGGAGAAGTTGAGTGACAGGAGGAAGAAATGTGATCTAAAATTCCTTGAGGACATCCTTTCTGGTAAATCCAAAATTAATCTCAAATCCTTATTTCAAATCCAGAAATCTACAACGCGATCCCGTATTAATTTTTCTTACAAAATTCCAAAAAAGAAAATCCGTGGAAATTTTTTCTCAGTGCGAGTGATTCCTGAATTTTTGAAAAACATCAAATCCTACTCGGATGATTTCCTAGATGTAATTATTAGAAATGCTTGCGATTGATCTGACATTGGTGTACACATTACAAATCAAACTAAAACTTACGGTTATGTCTATGAGTTTCATTTATAATTATGTTTAATACATAAAAACCATAAAAACTATAAATTTCGTGCTATCTCCACTGATTCTGGTCTCCTCACCTCCGATTAGTCATTTTAATTTAGCTTGTGTCATCCTCCCCCCCCCCCCAAAATAATTTAATTCAATTCGATTTTGTTCTATTTTTCTATTTTACTTTGTGTTCGATTTCATTATATATTGTGTTTTATCTTACTTACTGCGTGATTTTTTCTCTAACGGTGTATTTTCCGCTCATCGTAAATAAATAAATAAATAAATAAATTCTATAATTCAATATTTTCTAACTCACTTTACACATTCTGGCCAACGCATTCACCGGGTGATGCCAATGTCGATTAGTGGCTTCTATTAACAACGAGACAATTGACAACGCCAACACACTTGGTCGAAAATTGGCAATCAAATTCGAGTCACATAAAATGGTCTCGAGATGACATCTATAAAAATAGATAAATAAAAAATGAAATAAAAATGAATTACTCACTTGATTGACGACAATAAAAATGGTGCTCCAATTTTTTGAAGAAGACATTCAATGAATCGATAAGTGTTCGGAAGTGATGCATCCCAAGATAATGTTTCTAAAGAAAATCCAAATATTGGTAAGGCAAAAAGATTTTTGAAAATTGAGTAGACTTACGTAAAATAAGAAGCTCCATTCTTTTCAATTCTTGCGAACTGTATTCAAGTCGAAGTCTTCCTAAAAATACCGGTGCATCTTCTTCATGATCTTCACATAATTTTTTGGCAATCGATAAACTAGCAACAGCAACGCAATTGACATATCTGAAAAAATGAATATTTTTATTGATTTTTAAATTTTCAAAAAGAAAAAAGAGCTTACTTGTTTGGCACTTTTGTACCAGTCAAAACTTTATCAAAAATCGCAACAGCCATTGTTGTTGAATCTAATCCGAGACCCAATCGTCGAGCCGCTGTACACAACCAAGCCGCTTCACGATTTCTCTCTCGCCACCCAATCATTCCGTCTGTTGCCGCTGGAAGTGTCAATGGAAAACCATAGACACGTTTCTCGCGGAGCAGAAGCGATTGGAGAAGGATTGAAGACTGGAGCTGTGATGATTGAACCTCATCTTGCATCAGCTTCTTTCCTCCCGCTGCAGCAGCCGCACAGCCGCTGGTCAACCCTGGAAAATTTGAATTTTTGAGAAAAAATTAGCTGAAAACCATGACAACCAAGATTTCAGAATAAATTTGAAGAATTTTCAGTTATTTTTCCCACACAACCAAAATTTTCTGACGTCAAAACTTGTCCTTATCAGCGCACAGATAAAAAAACATGGTCACGCGAGATAACAAAAAAAAGTCATATGGATTCGAAAAAAAAAACTATTTCTATTCACAAGGAATTTGGATGTTATGAGTGCAAAATAACAGCTGACTCATGAAAGGAAACGAAATTATTATAACATATAATTTTTTTGTCTGATCTGATATTAGAGAGAAAAATTCATTTTCACACGTAGATAGATGTTTTTGGAGTTTGAACGGGGAAAACTAGAGGCTTAGACTAAAATTGTTTTTTTTTTGAGAAATAATGCTTATTTAATTGGAAAAAGTAGGAGCACGAGCAAAAGTTTTTCTGTGAGCTCTTGAGAAAAACTTTGCACACACACTCTGAAACAAAATTCGATCAATAACCGAGACAAAATGTGAAATCTGCTTGCGGTCAGACACTACCACCAGCACTAGAAAATGTCCATCCATAGACAGAGAAAAAAGAAAACGAGGCAAAAAAAAACGAGAGAAGTCGGAGGTGTCTCTCCCTCTCTATTTCTCAGCGTCTCGTTTATTTTTCTTCTTTTGCCCGCATGCGACGGACTTTTTCATGTGGTATGATCAGTTTTTCAACGACAAAAAATATTTTGTTAAAGTTTTTTGTTGTTTCTTGAGTGAATGAAACAAAAAGAATTTCACGGGGGTGGAAAATTTAACAAAAAAAAGAAGGAAATTAGTTATCTAGAGTCGCGATTTGAGTCGGTTTATTTGTCGAGGCCACGTGGATGTGGGGTACTCGAAAAAGTTTATTTTTGCTCGAAAAAAACTTATCGGGGATTTTTCGAGAACAGAAAAATAAGATAATGGTAGTTCCTATTTTACATTGAAAAATTTGGCCGTAAACTATAGGTTTTCCTAAGTAACTAAAATGACCACAACCTGCTGAAATTCGAGTAAAAACTTGGAATGTTCAAGAAATGAAGAGAAACCGCGAAATATTTCGAAAATAAAACGTTTTTATCAGAAAAAATCTGTTTTTCATCATTTTTTGTAAAGCGAATTAACGCAATTTTCAAAGTTGCATCACTCTTAGAAACCTAGCCTTGTCAGCAAAAAAACTTGATAAATTTCAAAACAAAAACGAACTCACTTTTCTTAGGTCTTCCCATTTTCCCGCTTTCGACTAGACACACACCAGCGAATAGTGACAAAAACGCGCCGTTTTTTCGTCTTTCGAGAGAGAAAAATGTCTGTCTGTGTGTATGTATCACTAGAATGTTCGCTCGATTTTCGAATTATTTCGCAATCAATTTTCGATGCCGCGCGCCAATTCAAAAATGCCAAGCTTTTGTACTTTTGCTTCGTTTTTAGAGGGCAAGCGTGAGATACAAGAACTATAAACTAATAATATTTTGAAAATGATCAATATGGTATTCTAAAAAAGTTGAAATTTCGAAATGAAGCCGTCCGAACACGTGTAGACGTGTTTTTTCAAAAAAAAATGCGCAAAAAAATTACGTGGCGTGGCCTAGGAAATTTCTAGTCCTCAACGTCTGCGTCTCTTTTTTTACACGCTCCTTTTCAGAACATATTTTTAAAATTTCATTTTGAAACTCTGAACTCACCAAAATAATAATTCATTTTTAGCCAAGTTTGATTAGTTTGTTAGTAGGTTAGTAGAACATTCAGCTGAAAAAATGAAAAGTTTTTGAGTAGCGGACACACCCGTTCAAGCCACGCAATGAGTGTTTTCTACTGTAAAACGAAAAATCTGCGAATGAAAAAAAACTGTGCAAACACTTTTGTCTAATTCTCTCTGTTCGCCGTTATATTTCGCTCTACAGTATTAAAGGAACATGATAAATTTAATGCGTTGGGTCTTGTCGCGATTGCTAACTTTCTTCGCAGGACCTCAAAAAATAAGAAAATTAGCAAGTCAGGTAGAACTCGAGGCGCTGATTTTCATCCTATATTTAGTTTTTCATGAAGCTTATCTAGATTTTGAGCTACAGGGTGCACCGTTTTTACAGCGTTTTGCTGATTTTTGTGTTGCTTGAGCGGGTGTGCGGAAAGAAAAAAAAAATAAAATATGGAATTTGTACTTTTTCGAAAAAATAAAAAGTATAATTTTTTGACGAAACAACAATTTTTCGCGGGTAGATCAAAATGAAATTTTTTGGTAAAAGAAGAAAATGGTTATGGCTAATAATTTACATACATGCTGACCTCGTTCTGCCAATCCAAATGGTTTGGTTGTAGTCTAGACCGTCTGTAACACCTGTTAGGATTATAAACAATTTGACCAGATGTCACACCATCTTGTATTTGATCAATTGGTGAAAAAATGAGGAAGAAACCCGTTTATTCACAGATACTAAACAAGAAAATTAAACATTTAGAGCAATTTTCTCGTCTCATTTTTTGTCTGAAGTTTATCCCAATATTCAACACGCCTCTCTTGATAATTATCATCCATTTCCTGATTTTCCAATTCAATTCGATAAAATTTGCAAGGCGAGTTCAATGAATGTTTTTCCCAGTTTGCAATATTTGGGTTACCATATTTTGCGAAATTTGTAAAAATTGTTGTCATTATTTCAATCATTTTTTTGTCACTCGAATCTGGTCGGAATTTTGAAATCAATCCTTTCCCCAAAATATATCGCATTTCAGTGCAATGTGTAGATCCTAAAAATTTAATTAAATTATTTTCCTAAATAAAAAGGACACATTAAAAAAGTTACCCAAAAATGGCATCAACCATTTAAAAATTCCAAAACCATGTGGATTATAATAATCAAATTGATAAAACCAAACATCATTTCCATATTCAGTCATTTTGTTCACAAATTTCCAAGTTCCATAATTAATTGAATAATCTCCAATGAAATTAACAACTTGTTCAGTTTTATGTTTTTGCCCTTTTTGATTTTTGAAATAATAATCATGAACTTCATCAATGACTTCATCAGTTTTATCCCCAAAATCACATTCTTTTATAATTTTCTTCATAAATCTCTTTGCACCTTCAGAACTTCTCGAAATTCCACCAAGTGCAACAAAAAATAATCCCTCAAATTCAGTTGTTCCCGTCAAATACGCTTTTTTCGGCGCTTTCTTTCTCAATTCAGATAATGGCTCCGGGAAAAAATCTCCATCAATTATTGGAACAAAATACAATAAACCAGCTGGTGTATGCTTGAATCCACGTTTTGGATTAATTCCCAATTCAAGTTTATACAATGGTTGTTCATTAATGAATTCGAGAAGTTCTACAGTATCCATCTCATTTCCCTGGAATCCAATAAATTTCGCATATTCGCGACTCAACAAAATCTGTTGTTCTTTTGTTCGAATCGCCCAATCACATTGACTATTTCCAGCCATTGGAATTGCGCGATTGAAAAGATTTTGAGAGTGTGGACTGAGACAAAGCAAATCAGTTGAAGCACCGCCTAAAAACCATGTTTTTTTTCTTTTAATTATAGATAGATTTACCTGCACTCTGCCCAAAAACAGTCACATTATTTCGATCTCCTCCAAAATGTTCAATGTGTTTTTGAACCCATTTCAATGCGAGTGTTTGATCCCAAAGTCCCATATTTCCTGGGCACAAATCATCGCCAGTTGAGAAGAAACCAAGGACACCGAGGCGGTAATTTATCGAAACTACGAGGACATCTGAAATTTTCGGGATTAGTTTTTTCGATTGATTTCGTACGAATATGGAAAATTTCAACCTTCTAAAAAATTTATTCATTTATTCTTTATTATATAAAAACTGAAATTTTAATTTTGAAAATTTGTCTGGAAAACCACGTGGCAAATTGTAAATTTTTTGCTGAAATTTTCAGATTCTCTGGAAAAAACTGTTAAAAATTTTGAATTTCCAATTCTAAAAATCCCTTCCAACCTTTCACACACAAATTTCTTGCAATCGATTCGCTACCGTAATTCGAACTCGAATGAACTGAAAATCCTCCACCATGAACAAACACCATTACTGGAAGTCCATCTGGCTACAAAAAACATTTTTATTTTTCTGAAAGCAAAGTACAAAGTACTCACCCAATCATCCGATGTCCATCGTGGCGCAAAAACATTCAAAGTCAAACAATTATCCTCATTTTTCCCGACAAAGTTTGTGAATTGCCCCAATAATTCGTCATTTTGTGGAGCTCTTGGTCCAAATTGAAAACAATCCAAAGGATCTTCCCATTTCTCGGCCTTCTGTGGTTTTTTGAATCGTAGTTCATTGATTGGTGGTTGTGCATAAGGAATACCAAGATATCCATCAACAATTCGACCATCATTTTGTTCATAAGCCAAACCTCGAATTGGACCACACTCTAGTTCGAGAATTTCAGTTGGATCATGTTTGGAGTTGTGTAAACCCATGATTCGTGCCCTGGAAAATTGGAGATTTTTTTAATTCAAGAAAAATTAGAAATGCTTATGAGTCACGTAAATTGCGAGGAAAAATAAATAAATTGGGAGGAATGATAACAATAAAAAATGACCAAAAAAATAATATTTTTACAAAAATATTGCGCAAGAACCGGATAATCTCCCAACGCAAAACTAAAAAACTCGTTTTTCCGATTCAGTCTAGCCTACAAAAATATTGGAGGAAAAGAAAAGATTGAGAACGGTTTAAAAAATTCGATCCACATTTTTCCTGTGAGAAAAAAAGAGAGAAAAGTCCTGGAGGGGGTACTAAACAACTGTTTCCTGGCTACAAGTAAATAACTTTTTTTTTCTGAAGATGAAAGTGATGAGAAATTTCAAAATATGTTTTCATTTTTTGATTTTGAAAATATGGGGTGATTCAGGAAGGAAAATGATCGGAGAGTTGTCAAATTTTTGAGAAATCATCTTGTCACCTTGGCCCGCTTTCAAATCTAAAAAAACAATAAACCAACCGAGGTTGCACAGTATAATTCGCAAAATCATCTACCATTTGAATCACATTTTCTTTGAAACGTTTCACTTTTTCCATTTTTAAAAAATATAAGAAATGAAATTAAATCGAGTCTAGTAGAGTACACGTCAACAAATATTTTATTCATAATCAGGAATGAAAAATAATAATAATGATGATAAGATAAAAAGGTTTGAACTGCTCAAACTTGTTTATGAGGCAACAAAAATTCGAAACCTTTCTCTTTGTCTTTTTTCGTCAAATCCTTTTTCCTTCGAAAACATTTGGGAACAATTGATTTTTTCTCTTTTTCCGTTTGCGTTTTATCGCTTTCCGATGCAAATTCATCTCGTTTCTTTTTTCGTCTGCTAAAAAATTGTTTTTGAAAAAACCTTCAGTTCAGAAAATTCTCACTGTCTCAATTTCAACAAAGCTTTCATTGTCATTCTTTGCTTAAGTTTTTCATAAATATGACAACTGCAAATAATGATAAGAAGAGCTGTGATTATTGATTGAACAATAGGAGTTCGAAAAACTGCATGAAGACCCTGAAAAATTATATTGATTTGTTCATAAAAAACCACTTTAAACTCACATGCTTTGGTTCATTTTGCTCCAGAAAACTTGTCACATCAAAGCTATAGTTCCTCGTGCAATTTATATAACAACAAGAAATATTGGATAAAAAAGATCGGTTCTCAAAAGTCACCATCGTTTGAAATGTATTTGAATTATTTGGACGTTTTTCAGGACATGATCTGAAAATTTACTAATTTTTTGAATAATCCTTATGTTTTTAAACTTTTCTAACTTTGAAACAGCAATTGAATTTGTGTCATCAGTTTTGATTGAATTATCGGATTCAAAAACAACAGGACGAACAGAACCTCGCTGATCAACCTCCATACATCCAAAAATATATAAATCCAGTGAAACTTGAATTCGAACACAGGAGAAACTTGGGAATAAACATTTATTGAAAATCTGAAAAAATATATGTTTAGAAAAAATATTCAAAAAAAAAGAAAAAAAAAGAAAACATTACCGTAGAATTTCTGACATCGCATACAGAATTGATATTCTCTCCAAATGATTGGTTTGAAATTGGATCTGGAAACGATGGACAAAAACTATCCACGTCTTTTGATGAACTGTAAAAAATTCGTTTGAAAAATTCCGGCTTGGGATAAACCCAACCTGCAGTCTTCTTCAATTTCTGATAAATCTACAGTAGTATTTTTGCAAAAAATTAAAAATATCCATAAATCGATAATAATTATGTTTCGTATAATCATGCCATCTAAAAATGAGCAAAATATGAGATCCTCGAACAAGATGGAAAAATAAAAAAATTATGTCACGTTTTTTAAATTTGAAAAATTTTGGAAAAATGATTTTGGTTAGAAGCTTGGTGTACTGTAGATTGACCGAACTTTAGTAAAACTACAGTAACCTCGTGATATTTTGGATTTCTATGGATCAATTGATTGGATTCAATTATGGACTTTTTTTTCAAAAATTCTAGTTGGTTTTTCTTTTCAAAAGAATTAATTTTTTTTCATTTTAATAAATAAAAATTGACGTGAACGTGAATTATTCGTGTTGGTTTTTGCATTTCTTCAAAAAAAAATCATTTCATATTTTCTATCATCATGAAAATAATTATTTACGTTTATCAAGTATTTTTACTTCTTCTTGGAATTTTCCTTGGAATAACAATATTCAGATGTCTGAAAGTGAGTTTGAATTGAAGAATTGAACGAACTGAACTATGGATATATTTTGCTACAGGCGAATACAATCAAATTGGAAAGATCAAGAGAAATCCCAAATTCGAATAATTTGGTAAGTTTTTTTTGTAGCTCATTTTGGAACAACAAAATAAAACATAATTTTTGCAGAAAACAAATGAAAATGAAATAATTAATATTTCAAAACCGCATGTTCATCAAGGTTAGTATAAATTCATTTTTCGATAATTTCAGATTTTTTTCAACTTTTAGGAGAAAGTGAAGTGGCTGATGAAATCGCAAAAAGTATGAGGATTTTTTGTATAATTGTGACAGACAACATGCAAACTAAATTTGATGAATTGAAAAAAATGTGGATTTCGAGATGTGATAAGTATGATATAAGATTTTGAAAATTGAAAAATACAAATAATCTTTTCAGTTATGTATTCATGACACAATTCAAAAATGATACAATTCCATCAATAAATATAAATGTGACTAATCCATCGGATATTTGGAGTAAAACAAAAAATATATACGATTGGGTTATTGAAAATAATTTGAATGATTATGATTGGTTCATCAAAGTTGAAGCTGAAACTTATATTGTTATGGAAAATCTACGATTTCTTTTATTATCTTATTCGACAGATGAACCTTTGCGATTTGGATGTGATATTTATAGAAAAAGTAGTATTCCAGATGGTTCGGGAGTTTTTAGTAGAGAAGCTGTCAAGAGGTTGGAAGATTATATTTGAAATAATTAATTCGAAAATGAAATGAGATATTTTCAGAATCTCAAAAATAGATGTTCAAACTTGTCATTCTGGAACAACTTTGAATATTCCAGAATGTATGAAAAATGTTGGAATTATCACAAAAGATTCGAGAGACACTGAATATAAAAATCGATTTATTCCATTTATGACTGTTTCAGGAAATGTCACGAATAAACAAATTATAAAATATGCAATGTGGTTAGGTGGAAAAACTGAACCAAAATGTTGTTCTGGTAAACAATTTCGAATAATTCATCATAAACAACTTTTCTATTTCAGATTATGTGATATTGTTTAGTGGGATTCAAATTGAAGAAATGTATGTGTTAGAATATCTCATTTATCATTTGAAACCTTACGGTGAGTTATATCAAAAGTTTTTAATCAGTTCTAATTGCAAGATGAATATTTCAGGAGTGGACCCGAAATTCGAACAAGCTGAAAATAAAAGCATTCTTGAAACAGCTCGTCTTATTTCAAAATCAGAAATAGTTCCATCAATAATAAATGAAAATAATTAATTTCAAACGTGACGTGAAAATAAATATTTTTGTTCATTTTTATTTTTTGAAATGATAAAAATCACACGAATTAAACGAATTCAAGGATGGAAATTGATTGCATGGGGAATTTTGATTGGTATTGTTATTTCATTGTGTTTAGAAACAAAGGTAATTGAAAAACAGTTCTTATAACCTAATTCGGAATTCGAAAATTCAGATAATTGAGGAATCGGCAGAAGAAGAGATCAATTTGAATGAAGATAACACTTTTGAGCCAATTATTTTTCATTCTGAAGAAAAATCTCATTCACATAAAGGTATAAAATTATTCTAATAAAAATGAAAGAAAATTAAAATATTACAGATGATCGAAGTATAGCGGATGAAATATCACAAAAAGTTCGAGTGTTTTGCTGGATTTTGACAGGAAAACAAAATCATGAGAAAAAAGCGAAATTTGTGAAAGCAACTTGGGCAAAAAGATGTAACAAGTTAGTTTATTTTTGAAAATTTAGAGATTTATTTCCAAAATTTTCAGATATGTTTTCATGTCATCAGAAGAAGATGCATCACTTCCTTCAATAAATTTAAATGTATCAGAAGGTCGAGATTATTTATGGGCAAAAACAAAAGGAGCTTTCACTTGGATATATAATAATCATTTAAATGATTATGATTGGTTTTTAAAAGCAGATGATGACACTTATGTTGTTATGGAAAATTTGAGATTTATGCTTTTATCACATTCTCCTGAAGAACCTGTACATTTTGGATGTAAATTCAAACCATTTACAAAAGGAGGATATCATAGTGGAGGAGCTGGATATGTTCTAAGTCGAGCTGCTCTCAAAAAGTCTGTAATTTTCTTTAAATTCATCTGTTAAATTTTTTTTGAAAAATCGAATTCAGACTGGTAGAAGTTGCACTTCCGAATGAAACCTTATGTGAACAAAATCATGATGGATCTGAAGATGTCGAGATTGCAAAATGTTTGGAGAAAGTAGGTGTAAGAGCTGGTGATTCAAGAGATTCTGAGGAAAGACACCGATTTTTCCCATCATCTCCCGAATATTTTTTGAAACCCGAACCTATTGATCCAAAATTCTGGCTTTCCAATTACATGTATTATCCATATCAAAGAGGACCTTCGTGTTGCTCAGGTTAGTGATAAAACATTTCTCGAAATTTAATATAATTATTTTTAGATCATGCAATATCGTTTCATTATGTAAAAGCTGAAACAATGTATTTATTTGAATATTTGATATATCACGTAAGACCATTTGGAATTCAAAAACGTCTGAAAGTTTCACAAAACGAAACGATTTTACAATCCTCTCGTATTGAATCCAAATCAGAACAAGGACCTGATGATGTTTTTTAAAATAAATAATTCTATTTACAAAATAGAAAGATGTGAATGAGTTTTTGTTGTATTTTCTAAATAAAATAAATATTTTTCGGAAAAACAACTTATCGAGATGCAGAATTGAACAATTTTCAAAGTTTCAAACACTACTGTAGAAAATATCAAAGGCGCATATGGAAATGTATGTTGTGTCTCACAGCGATATTTTGAAAAATATTTTTGGCCAAAAAACCATGTTTTTTCAAACTATTTAAGTTTGTAACTTGAAACTACAGTAATCCAAAATCTCCCGAAAAATCTTTATTTATCATCATCCAATATGTTTAATTCAAACAGCTTCTAGTTTCTCCTGGATATTTTCCAGCCAATTCAATGATTCCAGCATCATAGGTTTTCTTGGCAGCGCTTCCGGAGTTTGTGTATGATTTTGGAATGTTGATGCGAAGAACGCGTTGACATGGCTGGAAATAATGGATAATTTGAAAAATGACTCCAGAAAACCAAAAAAAAAATCAAATTTTTTAATTTTCAAATATAAAAAAAAGAGAAAACCTACAGTAATTCCATCTTTGCAATCGTGGAAAACAGCCAAATATGGTTCAATTCCAGTAAGTTCTTTGGTCGATCCACTCAAATTGAAACCTCCATCAGAATCAGCTTTTCCAGATGCCATTTTGTCATCTTTGTCCAAGAATCCAGGGAGGAAGCTGTCTGAAATTCAAAAACATTTTTTTTTTATTTTTCAGAATCGTGGAACGGCCTTAATTAATTGAGAGAGATGGACGCAGAGAGAACGAGAAAAAACCTTTGAATTCGGAAAAATTGAAAACCGCGCTGGGTCTCGAAACGAAATGTTTTGTATTTCTCTCTGAGAATTTTTTGTATCTCTGGGTCTCTCTCAAATCAAAACCCCGCGCGGCTAAAAACCCAAAACCTACTGTCCGATTCCATGAGTTTAACTTTAACTCCTGAAGCCGGTTTTCCTTCGCATGTCAATTTTCCTCTAACCTGAAATTAATTTCAGATTTTCTTGAATTAATTTTCAAAATCTCACCGCAGCCGATTGAGTTCTTCCAATAAGTTCCAAACAAGAAATTGTCGAAAAAACGCAAAATGAGATAATAATCAATTTCATGGCTGAAAAAAAATGTTTACAAAAAATTTCAAAAATAAATCAAGTAAAAAGGTCACAGACTGCCCCAAACTTTTCGGTTTTTCTAACATTTTAAAGGGGGCGTTTCTCATCACAAACAACCTTGACGATGGAAAACTTTTGATCAATTCAATTCGGTCAACAAAAGACAGCAAAAATAGGTTCCGGTTATGATTATTTATTTTTGAGAAAAAAAAGAAAAGTTCAAAAAAATTGGTGGTGAGAAAATTCATAAATACAGTAAAAATAGAACGGGAGAGATCAATAAATAAAATAAAGAAGCACGCGCAAAAGGGACAGTATTTTACTTGGATTTGGTTTTCTTGGCAGCTGGTGCTGATGCTCCTTTGATTGGTTTCTGCTCAGCGGCGGGAGCGGCTCGTTTTTTATCGACAGGTTCAATGACTTCACCCATTTCTCGTTCGATTAGTGTAATTAGTGTATTAGCACGACGTTGTAATTCCTAAAATAAATATGATTTTTTAATATGAATAAACAAACAAACTTTGAAATGTGGAAATAAAATACTTCATGAAATTGAACCTGGGACGAAAAAAACCGTTAAATGTTTTAAAAATTGGTAAAATTTTAAGAAGTTTATATTCAATAAAATGAGTTGTTCTTTCAACTTTAATTTTAAAAAAAAATTAATTTTTGATATTTTGGAAAAATTACTTTATCACGTCACATTTTCAGTAAAATTTGAGAAAAAAAAAAGAAAATTGTCCCCAAAAACCAGTAAAAAACTAACCACAGCTGTGCGACTCTTCAAAAACCAATCAAATCTGAATTGTGGCGCATTTCTCACAGATTGTCGAACTTCTTCATAAACCGATTCTTTATCAAATCCTAATCGATGAATTTCACAAACCAAAAATCGATCTTCATCCTCCGTATACGTTTTTCCTTTATTCGCACCATATGCAATTCGCAATTGTTGGAAAGGCGATTTATATTTAGCAACTTTCGCATCTAATGCTCTTTTCACAGCTTGTCTTCTTTGAATTCTCAATTCTCCTTTTTCAATATTACTCAAAATCTTTTCAGCATCTTGCAATTCTTCAAATCTTGTCCAGAAAATATCACAATAATCTTTGACTTCTTCCAGTGGTTTTTCCATTTCTTTCGCAATATTTTCCAAATCCTCTCTTCCATATTTTTCATTCGCACGAAGGAATAATTGAAACTCTCTTTTAGTCCAATCAGTTGCTCCTTGTTTCAACAATTCTTGTTTTTCCTCTTCTTCCTTTTCTGTCAATGGTTTTGCCGAATCAATCAATTTTTGTTCCTCAGCTTGTCGTTTTTCAGCCTCTTTCGCACTGCAATCCTTCGGTTTTTCAGCCTGAAAATAATAATGATATTTTGCACTTCCTGTCAATTTCCTATCGAAAAATATATGAATTTTCTCATTTTGAGCCGTCAAAATAAAGCTGAAAATAAGCAGCTCATCTCCAAAGCAACCATATACTTATAAAGACTATATAAAATCGCCTTATCGCCTGCCACATTTTCTATTTTTATTGTTTTTGCTTCTGCTGTCTGTCGTGAAAACGATGAGCTCAGAAGAACACACTACTGTTTCGGAAACTGTTTTCACAACTTCGGAAGAAGATGGAGAAGAAGAAGAACTTATTGAAGAAGTTTGTCAAAAACCATCAAAAATATTTTTGTTGGGATTCATTGAAAAATCGAAACATAATTCGTAAGTGAATTTTTTTCCAAAAATAACTATCATGAAACTAAGTTTTTCAGTTCTCTCAAATCAATATCCGCTGACTTGTTATCAAACTTTTTCATCGCTTCAAACTCTTCATCTCCAGAAGATTCATCAATAAATCGTCAACTTTTGGCAAAATCAGATGTTTTGCTATTTTTCATAAATGAACAAACACTTCGAGATACAACATGTCTTCTTACTCTTCAATTGGCTTATTTATCACAAATTCCAATTATTATGCTACGCCCTCCTTTGACTAAACTGATGATTTCAAATCGAGATATAACACGAGAAAAAGAGAAGATATCGTAAGTTATTTTCGAAGTTTCAATTAAATCAGTCATTTTTGAAATTTCTAGGATAATTGCAAAAAGCGCAATTCTTCGCAGTCCACGAAATTGGGATCTTATTAATGATGACACTAAAATCGATTATAATTTGCTTCAAGACATTCTCTACGAAGGATTCAAAATATCCATTTTATATGACAAACAAGAACATTCTGATTGCATTTCTCGAATTCGTCACAAACTTCAAAATGTTATCACTTCTACAAAACGTTCAGAATCTTCAATCACAACCTCTTCAGGTTCCCAACCGCATTTCTATCTTTCTCCATCAAATCATTCAATCAGTTCTATTTTCTCGAGAAATGTGCAAGTGGATGATTCAAAACGGCGAGGTATAAAAAAGATAATATTTCTAACACGGGATAATCTCAGATAATCTTAGGAAAGAGTCGTTCGTCTTCTCGACGTCACAAAACAGCAAAAAGTAACGATGCGATGAAATTAAATTTATCATTGAGCACCGGGAATTTGTCGAAAATCATGAGAACTCCACATCCAGTTAAATTCACATACGATGAAGAACTTGAAGGAAAACACACCCCAAGACATATTTTGGTAAACGGATTTCGGCTTATGAAACTTATATTTTTTTTTTTCTAGAAAAGTCCTCCACCACCAGATAGAATACCATCTTCAATTGCTGTGAGTGATTGTGGTGAAACCGAAGATATTATAACAAAAGATAATCTCGAAATTGATGCTGACAAATTTCCTCTTCCACCTCTAACTCCAAAAACTCCATCATCTGCATTGTATCATCAAAATAATACAAGTAGCAGAAGTCGTCCACCACTCGGTTCTCTAACAAGTTTATCCTCATCCTGTGATCGCCGAATGAGTTTGAGTTGCATCGAAGACTTGTCAAATTATCAAAAAACTCAATATCTCGTTTTTCCACTACGTGATTCATCCAAAAAACCCTATTTACTCAAATTTCCAGATGATATGCACGAAGAAGAGGAAAAACATAATGGAAGTGTTTGGGGATCGGATACAAGTTTGGAGGAGGAAATTAAATTAGCCGGAACTATAAATGCTGGAATTATAGTTGATCAAATGGATGATTCGCCTATTCAATCACCAGCTCCATATCTCGGAGATCTTCATTGAAATATTAATCAATCATGATTAATTGTTGGAAAAAAATGTGTTGTGTTGTGTTTTGTTGTGTTGTGCTGACCGAATAAACATTAAATCTATGTATTTTTTAACCACACATCAGCCGTGGAAGTAAAAAGCCTACTATAAAATCTTCAAGGAGCCAAGTCTTGAGAGCCTCTTCCTCAAGTATTCGCGTAGATCGAGACAATCACTTTGGCAAGGTGCCGCTGCTAGAGATCATCATTCTCAAGGAGCCGCTGCTAGAGATCATAATTCTCAAGAAGCCGCGCCTATAGATTATAGCTCTCAAGTAGCCGCTGCTAGAGATAATAGTTCACAAGGAGCCGCGCCTAAATAACCTAATTGTCTAGGACTTTCGCGTTTTCAGAGCCTGCTTCTCAAATAACCACAAGAACAATTCAACATTCCTCGCCCAAAAAATGATTCTCAAAAAAACCAACCGAATATCCAATAGTTTTCCGGAAATGATATATTTCCTTATCCATCAATTCCATCAATCGTTTCGGATAAAAATGAAAATCATGAACTTGTGGCAATTTCGGTCTTGGTGCTCTATAAGTTTTATCAACTGGATTTCCAACTCTCATAGCTTCCTTATAGTATAAATCAACTTGATAATTCGCTTTTCTTTCTCTTTTTGGTGGTTCGATCCAGAAATGTCCCATTCCATCGGATTGTTTTCCTTTATAGTTTTCACCTTCGAATTGATAAACCTACAAATTTTCATTTTTTTTATTTATGGGGCTATTCATGTATTTTCTCAGCATGTTGAGAAAACAGGAGAAATGCGGAGGAAATACATTTTCTCCGTTTTTTTCGTATTTTCTCAGCCTACCTGAATAGGTTTTCTCCGCTTTTCTCCCGTTTTCTCAGCGTTGAAAAATAACATGAATAGCCCCATTAAAAATAATTTTTCCCCATTCAAAAAAGTAAACTAACGGTAAATTTGCTGTCCTCAAATGTCAAATTTCTCAAACTGCTTTCTTCCATTTTTCCCATTTTCTCATTCAATTCCGCAGTTTTGACTTCAGCTTTCTCAAGAATTGTATCAATATCATCATCACTAATTGTCGAATCTTTTGCAGCAAATACTTGTTCAGCTCCATGTCGAATCATACTAACCATATCTTCTTTTCCAAGAGTTTTTTGCGCTTCTGTCATTCTTCCTTGTTGAATTACAATGTTATCCAATTTCAGTTTCATTTCAGCTTTTTCAATGATTCGTTCATCAACAGTATTTTCAGTGATCAAACGGAAAACTCGAACCTAAAAATATTTCTTTTTTATTAATTTTTTTTTGCTAATTTCTCCTTACCTGTTTCTTTTGTCCAATTCTATGTGCTCGATCCATGGCTTGCAAATCAGATTGTGGATTCCAATCCGAATCATAAATAATAACAACATCAGCGGTAGCCAAGTTGATACCAAGACCTCCAGCACGAGTTGTAAGCATGAAAATGAACTTTTTCGAATTTGGCGCATTATAAGCATCGATTGATTGTTGACGTTCTTCGTGAGCAGTCGAACCATCAAGCCGGCAATAATCATATCTGAAAATCAATTTTCATGTGTTTTTGATATATTTTTTAGAGACTCACTTTCTCCACCAACAATAATCTTCCAACAAATCCAACATTCTCGAAAATTGTGAGAAAATCAAAACTCTCGATCCTTGTTCCTTCAACTTCACCAATAATTTATCCAAAACAACCATTTTTCCGGAATTATCAACAATATGTTGATCTGTTGTATATGGCGGTCCAGGTTCAGCTCCGTCAAAAAGATAAGGATGATTCAAACATTTTCTCAAATGCATCAAAATATTCATAAGTCGAGCCTTTTCAGCTTTTCCAGCTCCATTAATAATATCAATATCTTTCATCAACACTTTTGTATACCATTCTCTTTGCATTTTTGATAAACCAACATAAACTTTGACTTCTTTTTTGGGTAAAAGCGATTTTTCGACATCGGATTTGATACGACGTAAAAGGAATGGTTGCAATACTTTATGAAGTCTTTGTATCAAATCTGTATTTGCACTCATTGATTCATTTGAAAACCAGGAATCAAAATCATCAGATGATGTGAAAATATCAGGGAGAAGGAAATTCAACAGAGCCCAAAGTTCATGCAAATTGTTTTGGAGCGGTGTTCCTGTTATCAGTAATCGATTTTTCGATTTTAATTCTCTGACAGTTTCAGACAATTTTGATTTTTCATTTTTGATTCGATGAGCTTCATCAATAATGATGTATTTCCACGATAATTTTCGAAGTTGTCCTTTCACTTTTAACATCATTTCATAAGTTGTACAACAAACATCGAAATTTTGAGGGAGAATTGTTTCACGAAGAGTTTCATTCTGAAAAAATCATGTTATATTTGAGCACCCAGTTATTATTTGAAGAACTTACTCTTGCAGTTTCATCTCCGATCAAACAAACAGTTCTAATTGTTGGACACCATTTAGCAAATTCATTCATCCAATTTTGAAGTGTAGATTTTGGAACAATAACCAAATGTGGACTTGGCATACCTCGATAATGTTTCATATATCCAAGCAACGAAATAGTTTGTAAAGTTTTTCCCAAACCCATTTCATCAGCCAAAATTCCATTAATTCCATTATAATGAAGAGAAACCATCCAATTGAGACCTCTTACTTGATAATCTCTCATTTCTCCATTTTCAATATAAAATGGTGATTTATCGAAAATTGTGATATTGTCTTCTTTATCTGCAGCTGCAACCATTTCTTCATCTTCTTCTTGTTCTGTTTTTCGATGTCTATGATCTCCCTCAATTCCAACTCCTTTTCCTGGTCTTCCTTTCTTCTTTTTATCAGTTGGTCCAGAAGCAGAAACGGCAGCTAAAAAAGTAATTTTCAAAAATTTCTTTGAAATAAATGCAAACCTTTGTCTCCAGATGTCAAGCAATGTGAGAAATTTTCAGTTTTCTTCAGCAACATTTCGAATCTTTTGAAGGAATCCATATCATCTTCAGCTTGAACATTCGGTTTTTGTTCCTATAAATGTGAAAAATGACATTTTGAAATAAGACGTTTTTTTTCAAAAAAAAAAAAATAGGGCAACACTTACATCAACTTCCATTTCTTCTTGTTTCACGGGAGCTTCTTCAGTTTCCATTTCTTCGACATTTGGCTTAGTTTCAGTGTCAGACATTTCACTGAAAATAATGGTTTTCTTTATTTCAACAACTGGTTTTGAAACAACAAAAAAAATGTGAAAATGCGGTAACGCTATTCAAGCGAACATTTTCGCGGCAAAGGCTGTGCAAACACTGCGACGCACAATTGCACACTTTTTCGCTGGACGCTACCGTAGTTTACCACTTGTTCCCTTTAAAAATAGTTTTTCGCACTAGAGACATAAGTATTTAATTATTTGCGCAACCTCCATTAAAAATGTGAAAATCAAAAATCGAAAGCGAGTGATGATGACAAAAAAATGATGACAAAAACAGTATAAAAACAGAACAATTTTCAAACTTGTATACTTAAAATCAACATGTCTTCTCCAAAAATCTCTCTTCACTATTTCGATATTCGCGGTTGGGCTGAATACATTCGACTTCTTCTCGTCGATCAAAATGTCAAATTCGAGGATGTTCGTTTTGCTTGGAAAAGTGAAGAATGGGAACAAATCAAGAAAAATATGTTGTTCGGTCAAGTTCCATGCATGAAAATCGGAGATACGGAATATGTTCAAACTGGGGCAATAATTAGACATTTGGCAAGACTTTATGGTAAGTTAAAATATAAATATTGCTCATATTATCGACCTACAGCAACCCTATCATTTTTCAGATTTATATGGATCAAGTCCTTCGGAAGCCACCTTCATTGATATGGTTTTTGAATGCGCTCGAGATTTGCGCTACAAATACGTTCGTTATGTTTATTTCAACGATGAAACCAAAGAAAATTATGACAATGTAACTTTGCCACAAATTCTTTCGAATTTATCAAAACTTTTGGGCGATCGTCAATATATCGGGGGAAATAAAATCACATTTGCTGACTATAATTTGTTTGAAGAATTGGATATTGCAAATGCTACTTCTCCAGGATCAATCAATAAATTTGAGAATTTGAAGGCTTTTCACAAAAGAATGTCGGAGAGACCAAATTTGAAGGTGGGTTAAAAACTGATGGGGTTCAGGAAATACTTAAATTTTTTCCAATGAAATATCCCTGGTTACTGTAGTTCTGGTAAAAAATCTAATAAGTTACCGTATTGTGAAGTTTTTTTGAAAATTCAGATTTTTTTATTGTTAAATTTTTTGAAACCTAAAAGGCTTAAGAACCTTGAAGAGCCTAATAAGCCTAAGAAGTCTGAAAACCCAAGAGAAGGAAATTGGGAGCCCTAAAATAATAAGGAGCTCAAGGACCCTAAGAAGCCTAAGGAACCCAAGAAGCCTAAAAAGCCCAAGCCTAATCACCCCATGAAATTCCAAAAACAATTTTTTCATTCCAGAATTATCTTCTCAATCGTCGCACTCCAATCAACGCCATCGATCGAATTTAAAAATCAACTGAAAAATTGCGAATTCCAAAAAATTCCAATTTATATTTTATGTTCTATATTTTCTCATAAAATTTTCGAAGCCTAATATTTCCATCCCTAATTAATCTTTTCCCCTATTTCCTTCTTTCTCTCTCTTTCGTTTCTTCTGAAAAACAACACAACCCATCCGCGTCTGAAAATAAAATAACTCCTATTTTTGCGGCTGCCTTCGTTTTTTGTCTACTCTTTCTTTCTTTTTGTGCTTCGCAAAAATCTCGCGAAAAATATAGGCTCTGTCAAAGACAGAACTGTGTCTTTGACTAATTTTTACTGATTTGATCGATTTCCCCTCCCATTTTGCCATCAAATTGCCAAACACATCCCGAACCAGCAAATGCTAGCCGAAACCACATCCAGAAGCAACTCATTCAGCAACTCATTTCCTTCAAATCTTCCCATTTGTCTCCAAATGCGCTCAATTTCTCCTAAATTCATGAGGAAAGCGAAAGGAAGAAAAGAAAGACAAGACGAAATGAAGATAGAGCAGAGAAACAGAGAAAACACATTCAAACCGCCGCCTCGTTTGAATTGCCGCGTAGCCGCATCTTCCACTCGAGACACAAACAGCTCCTACTCGCCTACAAATTAATTTTTCTCTCTCCTAAATTCTTTGATTTTTCCCTCTATCCTACTTTTGCACTCTTCCGTTGCCCTTCTACCCGTTGTTTTGTGTGCCCAACTGCGATGCTGTACGTACAATTGGTTTTTATGAATAAATTATTGGTATGAAACCGTTGTTCCACTCACTCCGTCCGTTCCGCACCTCCTCTACCAACTTCTCAATGCACACACCGTCCGTATAGTTAGGAATCAACAAATTAGGTAACAAAATCACTCCATCCACTCTGAACTCAAACTATTTAAAAAATCTTAAACTTCTCTGATTTTTACATGGTGCATCGACCGAATTGGTCAAAACACTTCAAAAAACTACCACTGAACTCAAATTTTCGCGAATTCCTACTAATTCCGCGACAGAACTCAATTTTTGAGATAAAATTTGATAATTCTTTCATGGATTCTTCAGATGTTGTCTCAAATTTCACAAATTAGAACTATTGCTCCAATTGCAACTCCTTGACACTTTGCTCAAGAGTTTAGTTATCTTTCAGAGAGACTTCCAAGATTTTCGAAATTTATCGATTTTTTTCGAATACTTTCGAAATATCGATTTTTCGATTTTCGCCGAGCACTTGAATAATCAATTAAACTTAGAATTCATTTGAAGTACACTACTGTCTTCTCGAAAACGCACCGAACTTTTGGAACTTTGAAACTCCAGTGATTTTCTCGAACAATTTCGAAAAGTCAAATTCTGGTTTTCTACACTTGCATCAACTTCGAAACTTATCAAATAATTCCTTTGCTTCTCAAGGTCAGATGGATTTCTCGAAACAATTCGAAATTTTCCCGATTTCTCCGAAACACTTCAATATTAGTTTGATCTTCTGAGACTAATGCAAAACTCTTCTAACTTTCAAAATGCTTTGCTTGAATCTGCCAACTCTTGCGCAACTCTTTCAACATTTGAACCAAACTTGGAACTTCCTCAACTTTGTATAAGTTTCAAACTTCTAAAGGTTTCGGAACTAATTACACTTCCAATCCAACTATTACTTTGAGCAACTTTTTACTCTACTTTGAATGTGGAACGGCACCTATAACAGAAACTGGCTCTTGAGCTCAAAATTTTTGGCTCCAATTAAAAATGCCTTTTTAGACAACACTTTTGAATTTCTCTTCGAATTCATGGCTCTTGCGCTTGAATAATACTGCCTCAGTGCATGACAATGATTTTCAGTGAACTCAAACTGGAATCTCAAAGCAAATCTGTAACTTATCTGCTTTAAAACAATCTTCTCTAAATGTCCAAACTCCCAATCCATTAAGCCCAACTTTCTGAAAACTTTCAGGCTTTACTGAAGGTTCTGATGGGAACTTCTTGAGAATCTGTCCAAGCCTGCCAAGATTGCTTTCAGGTCCAGAAGATTCCCATTAGAACTAACTCGCAGTCTTTTCGTATTCGGAACTACTCATTATTCTGTGAAACTGAACGATCAAAACTTTTGTTATACCAACCCGAAGTTTTTTCTCGTGTGATTCCGAATTCTCACAGTAAGTCATTGGAAAACAACTGAACTCAACCAAACAATTCCAACTTTAATTTCCAACTCCAGAAACCAAATGATCAATCATCGGAAACTATCCCAATACTCTCAAATTTGGCACAATCTTCAAGCTATACTTTCTATGTTTTTCTCTCACAAAAAACACACTCAAAAACTGACTGGAAAGAAGTCCATGCTACTTACACACCTGTCCATTTGTACAAAACTTTACCAAAACCGAAACTTTGAAATCTGCTATATCAAAACTTGTTAAACTAAACAACAACGCTCGCGTTTCTACGCTCCCAAAAACTGAAAATTTTGCAAACTTCTTGCTAACACTGCAAATTTATATGAAACTCTACAACATTTCGTACTTATTTCTTGCTTTTTCCAAACCGAAAAAAAAAAAAAAATGTTTGGAAACCTAATTTTGACATCTACTGCCATCTTGAACCAACTTAATTTCACACTTGTGATCTGAACAGACCTCAAGTGCCTGTAAAAGTTTGTACGTATACACAACTCGAAACTGATCAACGAACTCATCTTGAACCAAAGATATATCTGATTACTGAATTCTCTCGAAACTTAACTCAGGATCAAAAACAATTCATTCTCAGTTATCCACTCAAACTGGAGTGAGACTCAAATCAAAAGACACTAGTCACAAAAACTAGTCCCTTATGTCCTAGTGTAAGATTAGAGAAGATTCGTCATAATCACTCTCTGAAATTACCTAGGAAATTAGTAGTGACAGAAGAAGGGAAAACTTCAACTTTCCAAGGCGACTTCTTTGTCTAGGAGTGAACCTACCCCCTAGGGAGATATTAATCGATGACTATCTCTTGTGCTGTGCAGATCTATTGTATAGCAATCGTACTCATGTAGAAAAAGGTAGTCGCGGCACCTGATTTTACAACAATCTTACTGTACCTGAACCTAGGGCTACTACTGGCCGGTAGGTGGCCAGCTGTCTCGAGCACAGCTTCGGCACCAGTGTATTATTGGAAACACCACTTGTTTGACACTAGCTCCGTCGATACTGAAATTGACGTCAATATACACAAACCGTGACTCCGAAAAGCTAATCACATCCACAGTTCCGTATTAACACATAGGCAGATATTCGCCAATATCTGCATTACTTCGATCTCTCTCCTCAGCGATCATCCGTTCGCTATCGAAGAGCCCGAATCCCAACTCATCTTCAAACTGTTTCTGAATCGAAAATTCCAGTAAACTTTAGCATCGTTGCCTCTATAAACACTTTAAATCTCTGCTGTAGTCCACTTCGGACGCCATATGACTTTCAGAAAGCGGGGAGATTCACTTGTTGTGAAATCCCGACTAGAATCGTAAAACTTCCACTCGTTGATCTACCAAATTCAAACTAAAACTTCCATTCCTTGATCTACCAAATTCAAACTAGAAGTGCTACAGTACTATTCACTTGTTGTGAAATCCCAACTAGAATCGTAAAACTTCCACTCGTTGATCTACCAAATTCAAACTAAAACTTCCATTCCTTGATCTACCAAATTCAAACTAGAAGTGCTACAGTACTATTCACTTGTTGTGAAATCCCAACTAGAATCGTAAAACTTCCATTCGTTGATCTACCAAATTCAAACTAGAAATGCTACAGTACTCACCGATGAGCTATTGTGGGCCATCAAATTGCAACTCTACTAGTCAAAACTCTAGGCAGAATCGTCTGGCGATTTCTTGACACCTCATCATATTCCAATCCATCGGGAACACTTTTCAACCAAGATAGCACAAGTACTCTCTCTAAACTCTCATGAGTAAATCTATGACTCTTCTGAGCAAATCATTCTTAGAAAGGTTCAACAAAACTTCTAATCACTTCTTACTGTAAATTATACACGCCAACATTCTCCTTTCAAAAAGGGAATACTTCTTTTTGATTGGCCCCCAATGTCAAAGACAGAACTGTGTCTTTGACTAATTTTTACTGATTTGATCGATTTCCCCTCCCATTTTGCCATCAAATTGCCAAACACATCCCGAACCAGCAAATGCTAGCCGAAACCACATCCAGAAGCAACTCATTCAGCAACTCATTTCCTTCAAATCTTCCCATTTGTCTCCAAATGCGCTCAATTTCTCCTAAATTCATGAGGAAAGCGAAAGGAAGAAAAGAAAGACAAGACGAAATGAAGATAGAGCAGAGAAACAGAGAAAACACATTCAAACCGCCGCCTCGTTTGAATTGCCGCGTAGCCGCATCTTCCACTCGAGACACAAACAGCTCCTACTCGCCTACAAATTAATTTTTCTCTCTCCTAAATTCTTTGATTTTTCCCTCTATCCTACTTTTGCACTCTTCCGTTGCCCTTCTACCCGTTGTTTTGTGTGCCCAACTGCGATGCTGTACGTACAATTGGTTTTTATGAATAAATTATTGGTATGAAACCGTTGTTCCACTCACTCCGTCCGTTCCGCACCTCCTCTACCAACTTCTCAATGCACACACCGTCCGTATAGTTAGGAATCAACAAATTAGGTAACAAAATCACTCCATCCACTCTGAACTCAAACTATTTAAAAAATCTTAAACTTCTCTGATTTTTACAGGCTCCACCCATTTTAGCCACATCCTTTCTTTTTATTCTTCTTTCGTTCGCTCTTCTTCCAAGCTCGCTAATTTTTCATGAGATTTTTTTGGGAATTCAACTCAAGATGCTCAGTTTCTTCAACATCACTTTATTCTTTTTAATGAGTGAGTTTTTCCAGACTAAAAAAAGTTACGAAAAGTTCCAACCGCATAATTGCTTGTTTTTTTCAAGTTTCCGTTCTCCCTTCTTTTTTTTTGAAAATAAAGAAAAGATCCCAAAACTTTTTCCAAAAAAATTATACATTTCATTTTTTATACATTTTTTCCACCTACTCTTTACAACCTAATAAAAGTCCAAAAACCTTGTCGGCGAGAAAAAATGCAGAAAATCCAATAAAGAAAAATCTTTTTTTTTTTCGTTTTTCCCATCCATCCATCGAAGAAGAAGATGAAGAAAAAAGAGTTCTCTTTGGCACATATAAAAATATGAATATATGTATATATTTGATCCACTGGGTTTGAACAGAAAAAACTCTCCGGGGAACTTTCAACGCAAAAAAATCGGGTTTCAAGAAAACAGAAAAACAAGCAAACAAAAATGAGCCAACAAAAATATAACTCAATTTTTTTGGTGTTTTTTTAGACGGTGCCACAACAACTTCAATTCAAAGACGAAGTCAATTTGGAGATCAAAATGTGATGAAACTTTATCGATATTTATTGCATGATTATAACAATGAAGTTCGACCAGTTGTTCATCCAAAAACTCCGATCAATGTGACTTTTGTATTTTCGCTAACTCAAATTATTGATGTTGTAAGTTGTGTATCTAAAAATATATGAGATGAGAAAAAGTACACATTTTTTAATTAGTCAAATTTATCGCGATGTTTATAGTTCATGTGATGAATAATTAACAATAGGATGTTATTATCTGAATAGGTTCAATCAACGTTCAGAAATCAAGCAGGCAATTTGAGAAAGATACATTTCAACTTTTAAACATTTAGAGAAAAAACTCAGATCTGAGGAAAAAGATGCAAACTTCAGTAATCGAACACTTTTATGGTTCAATATAGAAAATTTTTTATTTTAATTTTGCACATGATGAAATTCCAGAAGTTTCTAAATTCCCTGAAAGTTTATTTCTCAAACTTTTCAGTTTCAAAATTTCAGAAAAAAGAACGAAATGAATTTTTTAAATTCTGAAAATTTGGATCAAAATTTAAAAAAATTTCAATCTACATTAACCCTAACCTTTCCCAGGACGAACGAAATCAAATCCTAACAACAAACTCCTGGGTTCGTCTACATTGGCAAGATTATAAACTGGTATGGGATCCATGTGAATTTGCAAACGTCACAAAAATGCATATTCCAAGTGACAAAATTTGGAAACCTGATATTATTTTGTACAATAAGTGAGTTCATATATGAATTAGCTAAATAAGTGTTTGTTGATATTTCAGTGCGGATGCTCAATATACGAAATCAGTGATGTCAACAGATGTGATAGTTGATTATTTGGGAAATATTCATTGGCCATTGTCGGCTATTTTTACGTGGGTTATATTTTCAAAAAAAATTTTCGGCCTCAATTTTTTTGAATCAAAAAATGTTCAGATCATCGTGCCCTCTTGATGTCAAACATTATCCATTTGATCGTCAAACTTGTCTTTTAAAATATGCGAGTTGGGCTTATGATGGCACAAAAATCGATCTTCATTTGAAATCTGAAGAAGGAGATGTCACAAATTATATAACAAACACAGAATGGAATCTAATTGGGATAAAAGCCAAAAAGGATTTTTCAATCTACAGTTGTTGCCCCGAACCTTACCCATTTATTGATGTTTTGGTAACAATCGAAAGAAGAGCAATGTTTTATGTTTTCAATTTAATTCTTCCATGTGTTCTAATTAGTCTTATTGCTTTGATGGGTTTCTATATGCCAACAGATTCCGGGGAAAAAGTCACACTTGGAATCACATCTCTTCTATCAACTACTGTATTTTTGATGTTAGTTGCTGAAGGAATGCCACCAACAGCTGAAGCATTGCCATTGATTGGAATATACTACGGTGTTACAATTATGTTAGTCGCGTTGGCAACTGCGATGACTGTATTCACTGTTAATATTCATCATAATGGAGTTCACGGATATCCAGTTCCACCGTTTCTTCAAATTTTCGCTTTTCGGTATTTGTCCAAAATTTTATTCGTGAGAATTGAACCATATCATTCGATAACAGCGCATGTTCGACATATGTATCAGGTAGGAAAAGTGATTTTGATTTCATTGTCAGTAAAAAATAATTCTGAAAATGTTTTTTTTTCAGAAAGAGCATCCGAATGAGTGTAAATTATCAGCTGGACTTCAAATAAAGCGCATAAATGATTGTGAAGATCAATTGAGATTAAGGAGAGATGAATCATGTGAGTACTGTATTAGATTTTTGGGGTACTGTATCTACAGTAAACTAGAGTATTTCTAGGCCTCACATTTTCTGATATTAGTACCTGTATTACTGTAGATAAACAAAATAGAAGCCTCCAAAAATTCACAAAAAAGTTCCGAAATCTCTGTAGATCAGAAATAGTGCCTTCCACAGTAAACCAAGGGAGTTAAGGTTACTGTACCTTTTAATTGTGGGGTACTGTAGGGGCTACTGTAGGTCTAACATTTTCTGATCTCAAGGTGGTGTAGCTAGTATTACTGTAGATACAAACTACAGTACCCCAAAAAGATCGCGATAAAAGTTTTAAATATTTCGTAGATAAGAAAAAGTGCCAACTACCGTAATCCAAGGATTTTTGGGTTACTGTACCTTTGAATTTCCATAGCCCTTCTGTAGTTAGGATTACTGAAAAAAACCAAATTTCAAAATTCGGATAATTTCCAGCAGAAATCTTAGATCTACAGTAACCCTGTTCATTTCCAGCCATCTCAATTGTATCTGCAAATGTTCACTGTGATCCGAATGATCGTCTTCTCATCTCCTCTTCCTCAACTCCACAAAACACAACACCTCTCCCATTTCGCGCAACTTTATCAGCTCGAAATACAGATTCACCAAAAAAGAAAAAGGTAAGTCTTCATTTTTTTTAAATTCGAACTTAATTTCCAAATTCATTTTTCTAAATATCGATTTTTCAATTAGATTTTTGTCGGCTCGAGGAATAGAGAAACAGATGTTTCGCATTTGGTCAGATTTTTTTCAACTGTGTGGCTTTTGCTTTTTCCTAGATATTATGCTATGCTATGCGCCTTTAAATATTTCTGAAATTAAAAAAAAACAACAAAAATTTTTCAGGTTTCATTTTCATCACTCAATGAGCCGCCAACAGATTCACCAATTTATGGAAGAAAAGTTGGGAGGTACTGTATCTTAATGTATCCCAGAAATTTATCGATTTTTCAGACAACACCGCGGCACAGAAAACAATGAGAATAAAAATGAGGAGGGTGATGAATTTGAGAGAGAATTTCTGCGTGTAATGTCGATGGTTCATGGGATAATTGAGAGGAATGAGATGAGAGTTGCGGAGAGGGATAAAAGAGATGCGATTGCGCTGGAATGGCAACAGGTAAACTTCAAAGCTCTGTGAGGGAACGGGGGAAATCACGGGATTCTGATCCACTATTTGAAGTTATTTTTGAATGAGGTGTTGAACTTTTCGGAACATGGATTTGAAGTTTTTCGGAATAATATTAATATTAGAATTAAAGTTATGATTCAAAAATTTTAATTTAAAAATACTGAAATTGTCCGAAAAAATCAATAGTTCTGAAACCCGTCCCTGATTTCTAACAAAAAAATTTCCTTCTTCCTATTCACATCCAAACTCACTCACCACGTTTCAAATCAATCAATAAATCATTTTCAGGTCGCAATGGTTCTCGATCGATTCCTCCTCGTTGTATTTTTGATCGGAACTTCTGCTTCAACTTTTGTAATTTTAAATCAGCGGAATCTTTTTGACGAATAATAAAACTTTACGGGTTTATTCATAAATTATATCTTATATACATACAGGCTTTGATAATAAGTTTGTTATTCTTCTGGTGAGGGAGTTAGTGATTCTCTAGTATTTTCATCTCGTTTTCGACGGCGATCACATCTGAAAATTATTTTTGGATACTAACAGTCATAAAGAATGAATCAGGTTACCTTGGACATTGCAAGCTTCGTTTCTCAAAACATTTTCGATGATAAACAGCCAAACATTTTTGACAATTTCTGGAATTTTCAGTGAATGCAAATAAAATACGATCATCATTACAAAGTTCACAGAAAAATCCATTTCCTTTACAAGTCTCGCATTCTTCTTCAATATGTTTTCTGAATACAGTATGAATATCCTCCAATTCTTGTAAAATAGTTCCATCAAGAAGTTCGCGCAATTCCCGAAGTGAATAAGTTGATGCCGAATCAACGAAATGACTATGATCTTTGAGGTATTGTAGAATTCGCAATTTTTTCGCTGTCTGAAAACAAGGAGATTTGGGGGTTAATTTCAACATAAGAAAAATTACCCTGCAGCTAACAAAATAACATTTCATAAGAAGAAAGTTTCGTCGAATTTCAGTGACTCTACGGAGTTCTTTGTGGAATTTGATAAGAGAGAGGCTCGATTCATTAATATCGATTAGTGGACGATTATCAACAATTGAGAGAAGTTGTTTGATTGCACGGCAAACTGGACGAGGAGTTGAATCAAGGTTGTGAACTATTCTGTAAAAACAAAGGATTTGAGGCAAATTTTAGGCTTGTGAAGACACTTTTCCGAATTTTTGGATTTTTCACGGAAAAATCCGGAAAGTGATTTTTGATTGTAAAATTTTCTCAATTTTCGGGAAGTTTTGAAAAATAAAATTCTGAATTTTTTTTCGATTTTCTCTCACATAGACAAATTTCAGAAAAAAAAAGTTTACCAATCGAAAAAAAATGCTGCGGTTCAGAAAATCCAGAACCTTACCTTGCTGGAATACTCCACAAATCATTCCAATGACAATTTGGACAAAACAATTCTCCACTATAATCACACAATCTAGCTTCTTGTTCCGCTGGTCCATCAAAACAAATCGAAGCCGAACATTCAGCACATTGATAACCTTGTTCAGCCAGACTTCTCTCTTCGCAAATATTCAATTGTAATTCGAATTTATTTCTCGCTGCTAATACACCAGCACAAACTCTTCGCACTTCTTCAGCACATTTATCATGTGCTCTCAATCCACAAATTCGACATCGTCTCCAATATTGAACCAATCTCCAAATCGCATGCATACATACTTCACAACACGGATTATGTCTTCCTCGCGCTGATTGAATCACAAATTCGTGTCCTTCAATTCTCAAAATCTCATTTTCAATCGATCCATCGAGTTCCTGAATTCTTTGCCTTTCCAATCCAAGTTGCACGATTTTATCAAAATACATTTGTTTTCTCATCGATTTTTTCTCGCGATCCACAAAATTTGGCAAATTTCCAAGAGTATCTTGAATGATATCAACTGGAAGGAAACTTATGAGGAGGAGGAGAAAAAATGATTGGAACTGTCTTACTAGGTTTCGTTTTTCCAGTATCATTTGTCTCGATTTGTTCATCATTGAGCAATTCTTTAAGTTGGTCTCGACAAAATTCAAGGGCATGTTCGATTTCTTTGATTCTGGAAAAACAACAAATTGTTTCGTTGATACGTAAAAAGAACTCAGAGATTCGCTGGCCAGCTCGCCACCAGGTGGGGAGGCTGGCTGACCTGGGAACCACATGGAAACCATGTCGCCCGGTTTTTTTCGCTGGCAAGGTGGCCAGGCTCTGGCTAGGTCACGGCCACATGGCTACCATGTGGTGGCCACTTCGCCGCGTCAAAATGAATTTTCATAAAAATGTCTGAAAAACTTATGAATTGAGGCATTTTCGAAAAATTTGGCTCATTTTCTGTTTTTTCGCAGCACTTGAAACCTTAGGAAGTGAAAAAAACAGTAGAAAATGCAGTGTTTTGAGTACAAACCACTGTCTTGCCAGCTTTCCAGAATTTCAAACACACAGGCCACGTCGCCGGAAAACTCGAGGCGACCTGGCGGCCATGCGGTTTCCAGGTGGCCGCAGCGATCTGGTGGCGAGCTGGCCAGCGAATCTCTGAGAAGATATGTACTTTGAACAAGAATTTTTCGAATGAAAAAATCTCGGCTAGGTTCGAAGATTCAACATTTTTAGTGACAAAAGCTCCACATTCTCAAAATAACTTGATAATTTCAGATTTTATCTGAAAGCTCAGGTTTTGAATTTGTGGTTTCATCCGATCTTTTTCCGTAAAATCAAAAAAAATACAAACCTCTCAACCCCATTCAAATTATCCTTTCGAAAATCATCCATAACTTGCTCAATCTCTTGATCAACTTCATTTTCATCAACTTTCGAAATAAGCCAACTCCCTTTTCGACTTCGACATGTCGATGACCCGTAGGACATTATATCTGATATGACAAGAAAAAATAACTATCAATAAATGGTCATGTGTAAAAACTATTTTTTCTCCGATAAGAAAACAGAGGGCAATGTGGGATATTTATTGCCAAAAAGAAATCGGAACGGATAAGAAAATGGTCAAAGTTCGTGGTAAATACACAAAGTTTCGAAATATATCTATAATCAATGGAGAATGTGTGTGAGAGAGAGAGAGGTTCCATAGAAAACATACAGTTTTATGGGAAAAGATGCCCGAATGAGAAAAAGATTCGACTTTTTGATAAGACATCGGGAAATTTTGGAAAAAATTGTATCTATATAGGTCCCATGATTTCTACAATAGTCTAGGTTACTGTAACTATGAAGAGTAGTCTGAACTCCCATATTTTTGAAATAATTCAGAATCCTATCTAACTGAAAAAGTTATGACGTGACAAATCTCGAAAATCATATTTTTGGAGTGCTGTTTCAAACCTAAACTTGAAGAAAATATAATTTTGAAAATTCAACAAATCAAATTTTCAAGAAAATTAACAACATAATATTTCATTACACGTAAAAAGTCAACAATTCAAAAAAAACATTAAAAAGTAAAAATCAGTCAAACAACAGACAAAAAACCGGATTCATCAGTAAAAAAAAATAAATTTTGGGTGGAGAAAAAGTTTAAAGCACAAAAGAAAAATCCTAGAAAAAATTGAAATGAAAGAATGCAAATATGGTACAAGTTTGAAAGAATATTTAGTGAAGAATTTCGACTGGAAAAAATTCCAGTCGAAACCCCAAAAAGTGTGGAGGTATTATATAATACTTGTAAGAATACAACGCATCGGGGGGTTTAGTTCAAAAAAATAAATAATAAAAATTAAAGAAAAAAAACACGGGGAAGGAGAAAAAATGAAAAAACAACAGGAAAACATATAAATAATAATAGTAACCTAATTTTCGTCAGTTTTGACGACACTTCGACCACAATGTCCTTCGAGTTGTTGAACCAATGTTCGAACATGATTTGGCAAAACAAGGAGACCTAAACACAAAATTTATGTTAGGAAAAATACTTTCATTTTCAGCGAAGAAAAATACATACCAACAATTTTTTGATCTTGCTCGGTTCTCACTCGAATAACTTGCATTCTTGATGATTTTCTATCATTTCCAGATAGGACTTCTTCAACAATCGGCCAAACTGACAAAACAGATCCGGATAATACGAAATATGTTCGAGTTCTTCGTCCAACTTCACAATATGTTCCGCCGGCTTCAGTTCGACATTTTCCATAGATATAATTGTGTTGGCACATATTAGCAGCGCCTAGAAATAATGAAAATTTAGAATTCCTTAACTTCAAACAATGTGCAAAAAATCTGAATTTTTTCTCAAGTTTCAGAAATTTTCATAAAAATTTCCAAAAATTGTTTCAATAATTTTTGTCCGAAAAATTTTGCAATCCTGTAATTTCAAGTTGCCTCATATAACTTTTCAAATAAATTTCAATACTCACCATCATATTGTGCTTCCCAAATCGATTTAGCTTCATCCACCGTAACCTTGCTGAACCGCTTTTTCAAATCCGCCATAATCATCAATTTCGGTGATCTTCCAGTCGATGGTCTTGTGATTGCATAAAGTCTTGCACCATTATCCATTCGAACTTTTCCGATTCCATAAATTAATGCAGCAACTTTTCTTCCACTTCCATTTACTCCAGGTTGACAAACATAAAATCCATCTTCATCGGTATTATGATCTTTATATAAACCAAGAGCTTCTTCCCAGCTAACACCTCTTTCAACTCCAATTTTATGAATCTCAACGCGGAAACTTCCATTATCAGCTCGCCCCGAAAAGAATCTAGTTTCAAGTTTTCGAACTTGATCATCTCCAGTTCCCAAATCCATAATTCCCGTATCATAAGTTCCATCATGTTTCGATTGTGCAATCAATTCAGCAACAATTTCCGAGAAATAAACAAAAAGAGCATTTTGTGCATGAACTGGTAAACCAAGAATTCTATTCAAAAACTTTGGAATTGTGGCCGCTTCCTTTTCAATGATATATTGACCATTTGCTTTGTTTCGAGACAAAAGACCAACACCTTCCATATAAAGTCGCATATCTGCAAAAAAATGTTTTGGATCTTGGATTGTGTTATGATTAAATTATTCTATTCATAAAAACTCTGCAAAAATATGTTTATTCGATTCATCTTAAGTAAGTGTCTTTGTTCAATTCAAACAAGGAAGAATATGACGTTTTTGAGAGGGAAAAGGAAAATAAATCGAAAAAAGAAAGAGGAACTTGAAGGGATTTTCTTTTCCAGCTTTAAAATCGGAAGATACTGTAATCTACAAGATGGTATAAGTTTCATCACGAAAAATTTGAATGTTTTAAAGGCGCGTAATGGGTCTCACAGCGATTTAGGGTTAAAATAAAAAGATTCACGTTATCCTACACCATTAAAGAATTTTAATTTTCAAAAATACAATTTTTTCTGGTCCAAAAAACTCCAGCAAAAAATACTAACCTTCGAAAAAGTCTCCAGCCTTATAATCTTTCGGTGGTTCAATAAGCGGTGGATTATTTTGTCCGATGACAGTTTTGAGTAAAACATCCAAAGCAACACGACCATATTTATTATCCATATTGAATTGTGACAAATCACGAGTTTCAGTGGCACGTCGATCTCCGTGAGTCAATGCACCAAGTGATTCAAGACGTTTGGCAACAACTGATGCAAATCTGAAAATTGAATTATGCCAATATTTAGAGAACCTTTTCAAAATATTTGACAAACCTTTTTTCTCCAGCCAATTCCGAAATCAAAAACACATATTCTGGTCCACTAACTTGATTCGATCTATGAGTTCTTCCAAATTGTTGAATAGCTTTATCAGCACTCCATGGTAATTCCAAAGTAATATGAACTCGTCTTCTTTTATTAATTGCTCTTCGATCAGATTGCAATGAAATTCCACTACTCGCCGCTTCCGAAATGATCGCAATCAATTTCTCGCCTCTCATAAACTTTTCCTTCTCTTCCATATTAATCAATTCAAGTGATACTTCAGCATTTGCATTTCTTCTTTCATACATTACATCTCCATTTTCATTAGTCACCATATGTCCTCTTCTTCCAGTCATTTCAGCAACATATTCCGGTCCACCTAATTCATCAATCAATTGATCCAAAGTATTTGCAGGTAATGAAGGAGCCAATCTTTCAACCGCAGCCAACAATTCAGTTTTAATCAACATTGGATTGATATTCGATTTATCATCATCACCAGCTCCACAAAGTCGAGAAGATGTTATAAAATCATTCGCATTTCCCCGCTAAAAATTAAAACTTTTGAACTTCTAACTTTATTGAAATTAATTATAATAACTTACCGATTGCAAAGCTTCCTGTCTTCTTTTCTCTTCTCTTTCAGCCTTTCTTTTAGCTCTTCTCAACTTCTTTTCTCGTCTTTCTTCTCGTTTTTTCCGTCTTTCTTTCATTTCTTCACTTTCAACTTCTTCCACACGTTTTCGCTTTTTGGTAGTTGATTTCACGGCTTTTTCAGGTTTTTCTTCAACGATTTGTTGCTTGTTTGCCCATGGATCTGAAGAAAAGTGTTATTTTGGGTTATGAATTAGATACATTTTGAAAATTCTAAAAATTATTTTCAAACAAAAATCGTTCAGAAATCAGTTACAGAATAATTTTTCCCCGAAATCGTCCAAAAAATTTGAAACAAATTCACTGTTTTGACCAAAATATGTTCAGAATTTGGTCAATTTTTGTCTAAAAAACAATTTCGTGCATTTTTTCGTCGAAATTGGTGGTGAAATATTTTGAAAATGATTTTTAGACAATTTCAGAGTGAAATTTCCCAAAAAAAACTAACCATTATTGGTGAAATCACACATAAATGGATTAAATTCCTCTTCATTTTCCTCTTTTGTATCATTCAATGGCGGCTGTCTACTATCCTCATCTTCTCCATTTCCATCTTCCTCTTCTTCATCAGAATCACTCGAAGATTCCGCTTCAGCAAGCAAAGCCTTAACCCATTCATCCTCCTCACAATCATCTAAATATTTATGATTATAAATAACTCAAAAACTCTAAATTCTTTCCAAACCTAATGTTCTTGCTCCTTCAGCTTCTTCTCTCGCCGAATCCCATGATTTCTCTTCATCTTCACTCATAATCGATTTATCATCATCACTTGATTCAGATGTTGTCGAATTATCCTCATTATTTTTCGATGATTGTCCAACTTTTCCGCTCATTCCAACTGTGGCTCCAGTCCAACTACCGTAATCACCCAAAAAACTGAGAGTATCTTGATGATTTTTCCTTCTTTTAGCCGGTCGCTCTCCAAAATCTAAATCATCAAACATGTCTCGATGTGAACCGCCTTCAGTTGGAAAATGTTTATCGATCAAGCCATACATAACAGTTCTGAAAATAACAGGGAATAAATTAAAGATATTCAGAAAAAAGCTTACTTTGCTGTGGATACAAATTCATTCAATTCTCCTCCCATTTCTTCCAATGTTTCGAGTGTCGCAGATTCTCCAGTTGATTGAAGTCCAATTACAACACATTTCTTGGCTTTTATTGATTCTCTGGTTAATCGAACACATGTATCAACTTTCGCGGCAATACACAAATATTTGAAGAATCTTTGATGACACGCCCAAAATTGTCCCCAAACAGTTTTACATTGTGATCGATCTTCTTCATCCATATTTTCAAGAACTGTTTGGAATTGTCTTCTCACTTCCATCCACAATTTAACTGCATCATCATAAACTTTCACAAAATCCGCAGATAATTGAACTTCTTGAACAGCAAACGAAACACCACGGAATGATAATTGTCTTGCTAAATACAATCCTCTTTGTTTCATATCCATCGCAACAATTTCCATCGCACCAACTCCTCTTCTTTCAACAGCTGTTATGAAATCACCGAACTCTGGGAATGCTTGTCTTTCACCCCACAATCCGAGTCTTGTCATATATGCCATATTTCTTGGTTCAGTTGCTCCGGTCGCAGAAGCATAAACAACACGGGCATTTGGTAATGCTTTTTGTAGTTCGAGAACCATTCGACCTGTTTTTGTTGGTTTGGCGCCAGCGGTTGGAACCAAATTTTTTGCTCGATGACATTCATCCAAAATGATCACACCATCGTAATCCTGTGGAAAAATGAGTTGAGTTTTGGGGAAAACATATGAAGGGCGACTTTTCGAAGAACTTTCCAAGAAAACTTTTCATTTTTTTTAATTTTATCCAAAAAGAAAAATAAATTTGAGAGTTTCAGAAAAAACTGAATTTGGGATAAAAATTCGGGAAAAAATTAAAAAAAAAAGTTAGTAGAAATCGAGCCCCCAAAAAGTCGATATTTTGGGTGCCCGGATCGAACATTTTCAAAAATTTAGAATTTTTCTCAAAAAATCGGACCTAGTCCTTCTTGAGATAAAAATTGTCTCAAGTTTCTTATTTTTCCAAATTTCCTGTGTGGAAACTTTGGAATTTTTCCAAGAATATAGTTTTAAAAATATTGATTGGTCTAAAAATTGGCAGAAAATAACTTTTTTTTTTCAAAATTCCCCCATTCAAAAATAACTCACAGTTCCAAACCATTGAATCAATTGTTTTATTCTACTTCGATATTTTTTCGATTTCGCACCTCGACATTCTCCAATCAACGAAGTATACGTCGCAAAAATAACACCTTTCTTAATTGATCCATTCTCTTTTCCAGATATTTTTGCATATTTCATTTTGTTCAATGCATGCACAGCAATATTCGGCGCTCCAACATCTCTCAAATCTCTTTCCGCATCAAATTTCAAATCCGAACTAACCGACAGCCAAATTGCTCGTTTTCGACCTTGCAAATAGTTTTCAAAAATGATGCATGAAACCGTTCGACCTTTCCCAACTCCAGCTCCATCTCCAATTAAATAACCATATCTTTCACCAGAAGGCATTCTTTTTTCGTGCATTTGACAAGCATAAATAACAGCTTCAAGTTGAAGAGCCGAAATATGTCCCATATCAATTAGCTAAAAATTAATTTTCTGGTGATAAATGTGATTGATTTTTTTAAACTCACATATTCTGGAATTGAAATCTGATATCTAACATCAGGAGGTGCAACACTACTTAAAGAAGCTGATTCAACAACACTGTCAGGATGTGCCATTCCAGATCGAAGTTTAGCCGGTGTATATTCCGAATAAGTTTCGGCGTATCCAAGATTTTCATCCTACAAAAAATAAATAAATGAAGATCGAAAGACTTTTGACAAAAGTTTACAGAACATGCCAAATAAAAAAAAAGCAAAACTAACATCATCATCCATATCATTTTTCCGTTGTACCATTGCTTCTTCTTTTCCCATTTGATATGCCATCTTCATTTCATCTTTCGCTTTCTGACTTTTTGTTAAAATCGCAGGTTGTTGTGAAATAACCGCAGAAGTCAATGGTGAAAATTGTGGTGTTACAATTCTTGGCGATGCTAAACCCGATCCAGGTTGTCTTATCGTCGAAGATGTTGCTAACATAAGTCTTTGTCGATCTGACATATCAAAACCAGCAGCCATTCTTCCTCTTTGCATAATTCGTCCATTTCCTGGAGGTTGATAAGGTGAGCTCGAACCATCAGTTTGATCCAAATATTGAAAAGTGGGTGATGATTGTGAGAAATGAAGTGGTGAATCAGATCGAGTTGTTGTATATCGAACACCTCCTCTTCCAATCATTCCAGCTCCTCTTCCAGTTATTCTCGTCAATTGATGATTCATCATAGTTGCTCCACCAGTTGTTCTTCCAACCAAATTAGTTACTCGATAATTTGGTTGAGTTGCTTGTGTTTGAATTGTTGTTCCTCTTCCATTACCATTTCGAATTATCAAATTCGTCGTTCCTCTTTGCGAATTTCCACGTATTATAGTTCCGCCGCGTCGAGCAGGATCGAATGGAGCATTACTCAACACTTTTTTAACAAGAACTTGTTGACCATTTGGACCTTCTTGTCGAACCATAACAATGCGTTCCCCATTTTGTGGTTGAATCGCAGGATTATGAATTGTTCTGGTAGCTATCTGTTGACGTGGAGTCCCTCGAACTGTTACAGTACCTCTTGATGCAGGAGAAATTACTGTATTCGGAGATGCTTGACCAGAAGCAACATTTGGAGGAGCTGTACTCAATGCTCTATAGATTTTCTGACCTTCCGCCTGCAAAAAAAACTTATTTGAACAAAATCCTCACGAATGCAGAAAAAAACTCACATTAATATACGGTTTCAAATATTGCGTCTGAATTCCGTTTCGAGTATGGATTGTTCTTTTGATTATCGGTCCAATTGGTGAAACTTTTGTGGAAGAAGATGGAGCTGGCGAAGGTTGTTGAGAATTGTTGGAAAATGTTGATGAAGAAGCTGGCGATGATGTCATACTTCTTTGTGATGTTGCAGTTAAAATTCGAGGCGATGGTGAACACGAATTTCTGAAAATTATTTTTGAAGATATTTTTGGGGATTAATCTGAGGGTAGGGTTTTTTTCATGGTGAGTAATTTTTTAGGATTTCCGAACAGGTTCAAGATTTTTGGCTTTTGTCCAGGTTGGGCCGAGAAACCGGTCAAATCCACAACCAAAGACACCTTTATGTTCAGGACAACCTAAAACCAACTTAACAACTCAAAACTAAATTTTGTGAGCCCCTATGTTTCTTTTAAATTCTCCCAAAACCAAAACTCACTCATTCGAAGTTCTCGTAACTTGAACATGCAACGGCTTAACATCTTCAATTTCTCTCTTCACAATACCATCTCCAACATCCTTTTCCTCTTCCTTCACCTCTTTTTTCAAATCTTCCTTTTCAATTTTTGGTGGTCTTTCATCTTTGACAACAGCCATATTCCCTTCCGGTGGTTGTTTCCTCGGAATAACCATACATTCAACAGGCGGAGGAATCGATTTACTTCCAGACGGGAAAAAATCTTCATAAATCGCCGCATCATCAATATCATCGAAATGTGTTGATGTTGTTGTGGTTGTAGTTTGTGTTGGTTGCGGTGGAGCATCTCGACTTGTTTCATCGTGACAACTACCAGATGTACTTGGCGCAGGCGAAGTTTGACATAAAAACTCACCGAGGCCCGATTCGCACAGGGCCGCGGATAGTAAATCGTCCATGCGTTGAACAAATAATTCTAGAATTTCGGATATATGTGTGAGCAATATTTTGTAACTCGACCGAGAGAGGCAAGAAAAAATAATGGGCTAAAACAAAAAATGAAAATTTTCAATTTGACGTATCACGCGAAAAATAATTTTCTTCTTGTTTGAAGGCCAAAATTTTTTAATTTTCAAAACGTCAATTTCAAAAAAGCTTCAAAAGATGAGATGCGAATTCATCAATTTCGTTTTGTTTATAAAATAAAACCTCGGCGAGGCGAAGAAAAAATTTGGCGAAAAAACAAAATTTTTTAGGCCAGCCAAGGAAAAATTATATTTATCAGTGGCAAAAAATCTCATATGTGAACAGAAAAAAATGGGAGGAGATTCGTTTTCGCAATTTTGATTTCAAAAAATATTACTTCCCATGTTCCACGTGTTTTTTGTGGCACGTGTTTCAAAACAAAATTCAGTTTTCAAGGAGTTTTAAATTTCAGAGAGAAAATGAGTTTTAATAGTGAATTACCTAACTTTATTTAATGCACTCTACTGAATCATTGATTTTTTCAAACCAGTTTATACTACAGATCAAATTGGAATCAAAACCTATCAAATTATCATAAATCATTCTATGAATATTTGTTATAAATTATAGTAAAATTAAAATAAATATTTCCAAATACAAAAAATTCTTTAACAAGACCTTCAGAAATATCAATTTCTCCTCTCTATTTTTGGGAAAAATCTAGAAATCAAGAAAAATTCAAGCCCAGGCGAGTGCGAAAAAAACGAAAGAATGAGAAAATCGCCGTCCAGCCAGCGCTCTCTTAGGTTAGACAAAGAACATTGAGAGAAAAATGTATGAAAAATTGAGAGAGCATGGAGAGAAAGAAGCGAAAATTGAGAAATAGACAGATGGTGGCAGAGAAAACCGACACACAAAAAAACGATGATGACGAAATTTTGATGATTTTTTGGAGGCTATTTTATTAAATTTTTAGTCGAAAACTAGTTGTTCACAATTAGCGTGAATGAATGAATATAACTTATTATAATATTAGTATTTAGGGCATCCAACTGATAAGAAATCATATTCTAGCCCAGACGAAATTTTGACTATAAATTCCTAGACATCTCTAGGTGTGCCCAATACATTTTTTTAGTCTAAAAATATTTTTTTTTTTGAATATCCACGGTTCAAAAGTTGAAAGCTCAATGAATCACTTTTTACAATAAATCATCAGAGAGAAATATTATCAACAGAAAAATGAAGAGGTGGTACAAAATAAACAAATCATTATTATGTGTAATGAAAACTATTGAGAGACTCAGAGAAATATGCTAATATTCAAGTGAAAAACGGAAATCCAATAAAAACCGTGGCAGCTGATAACACAGCATAGTATTGTGATATTGAATACGGGAAATTTGAAAAGCTTTGCTGGATAAACGTTGGCGAGGCCTTTTATTGAAAAAAATAAAAATAATTGCGCGTCATCTTTATTGTTTGGTGCAAACACAACATGAAACCGTACTCCGCGAAAATTTCGTCTTGCAGAAGGAAATTTTCAGCGAATTTCAGATGAAAAACTACACACGCTATTTTAAAAAAGAAGAAGAGCGTCCGAATCGAGAGAGATGACAGAGACGCGAAAACTCCCTTTAAGTACAGTAGTTTTATGGTATTTTTGTTTGTTCGTTTCGAGAAACGCGTGAAAAAGACACACGCGAAGCAATAGATACAGTAGTATTACCAAAATATTTTTGTTCGTGTCGAGAAACGAGCGTCTTTTTCTCTGCGCCACTCTCTCGATTTGGACGGCCAAAAATAGCGTGTACACCTAGAATTAAAGTTGGGGCTAGATGAAGTGAAAACTAATATGCAAATAAGTAAATCCCGCTAGCACATAGCAACTAATTAGTATAATTACATAGCAAAACCTTTCTTGGACCAAAAACAAAATAACCTCATCCAACATGTCCAAAAGCAATCAGTGAGAAATAGAGGCGCAGAAAAATTATCTGGTCCGAAAAAAACCACGTATTAGTTCACGTTTACGTATTTAAAATTAATTCTCATATTTTTTTCCAATGAAAAGTCAAAAGAACAAGAATTTCTCGAAAAGCTTCGAAAAAAACCAAAGACAAATAATGCGCTTTTTGTTTGTGTTCACAAATTTTCTGGTGATTTTCATGATAATATCTAGATACCTAGCGGAAAATACATCTAAAAATAATATTTTGAAAAATAGGAATGACGTGGAAAATAGTTTTTCTCACAATAATTTTTGAATTATCAGTGTTTTCTGAATAAACAATCTGTAATATTAGTGTTGGAGTGACTCAGAATCAGTCAGAAATCAACAAAAGGTTAAATAATCGTATAATTCTCTTGTCGACAAGTTGCAGGTTCTTTAAAAAATTTGAAAGGGAACAATCAATTTGCCCTTCAAGAAAAACAAAAAATCCAATTTTTGTTATTTTTTATTAATAAAAATCGTAGTAAATATATAAATACAATAAAACTCGTAGGAAATTACAAAAAAGGCAGTGGTAAATAATTATTTGGTATTTTTTAATAAGTAGTACAAGTGATAAGAAAATCCCCGTATTTTTTTTTTTGGCTGCTCTCACAATGAAAAGAGATCACAACATTTTACCCCGTTTTTTGTTTGTTGAGAAAAAGATAAGTAATATACGATTAAGGATAAGTAATTTGGCAATTAGTTTCCATTTTTCCAGTGTCCAACAAGAGCTTTTAATTGTTGAAGACGTTCAGCTGCTTTTCCATTGTCTTCAATTTTCAAAAGTTCATTGACTTGATGAAGAAGCAAAACATGTTCTGGGTTGGGTGGCAAATCCTGAAAAAAATAAATTTTAGAATTTTTTAAAATACACTTAAAAAAAATTATTTACCTCAACTGGGGGAGTCGAAACTTCCGATTTGTTATGTGGAATAACTGGAGCGAAAGCCGATCCTCTAATTGGAATTGGCGCCAAAATAGCTGGTTTTTGTTCAACTTGTGCAACAGTCGATGTTCCTTCTGGTTGAGCTGGTTGAACTGCTGGAAAAGACGCGGCAGCAAATGGATAAACAACTGGTGGAATCAAATTCTCTTTTTGAGTTGTCAAAAATTGCGAATACATTTGTTGTTGTTGCAAATGATAAGCAGCCAACATTTGTTGAGCTGGTGTAATCATTTGTTGAATAAGCGATTGTTGATTTGGTTGAGCAACGGTATTTGGTGTATTTGAACGAGTTGTTGCTTGAGATGATGAAGATGTTGCACTACTACGTGGCGATGCAAGTTCTCCACAACTTCCAAGCGATTGCCTTCCAACTCCCATACTTCTTCGTGCTTTTTGCGACACTTTCATATACATGTGATATGATACTTCATGATCATTGTGAATTGGATTAAGTGTTGTGATTTTCAAACACTTTTCTGTGAAACTGTAATTGAGACGAAGCATTGCACGGCATCCGCATGGAAGATAATTTTGATTTGGCCGTTTTCCAACTCCTGAAAATCAAACACAAATTAGAAATTAGCATAATTCTAGGAAAATATTTCCCGCTGAGAAGCCAGCTGATTTTGATGAATTTAATTGGGTGTGACAGATTTTCATGTGATTAATAGCAAAAGCATTTTCATTCGGATACCCAAGAAGATCTCATATTTCAGATTCATATATGTCTTATTACGTCATCCAGCCATCTACCTCCAAAACATCTGTTGCTAAATACTATTCTCTCCCTTACTGACACGCTAATTATATCCCTCTATACACACATTTGGCAATGATCCAGACAGCGCGTGCGCCTGTCCGAACCACCGCAATCATTCGGTTGTGACACCTGTTTGTATATATTTTATATTATATGTACAAAAATCTAACAACATGTGTTTGAGAATGAGCTGAGCAGCTGCATTTCATCAAATTTCTGTGTATGGAAATTTCATGTTCATCTGCCGAGATTTGAATGAAATTGAAATCTTGCATTGTTCAAAGCAATTTAGAATAAGCCAAAGCCAATCCAAACAAACAATGTTGCGCAACAAATCTGATTTTAAAGGCATACCGCCTCTCCTTTCCTAATCCCCCCTCCCCAAATAACTATAAAATCACATACCTCTCATTCTTGGCTCTCCATAATGAGCACAGTGATAAACAACATAACGATATTTGAAGACTTGGTTGATTGTTCCATCTGGTTCACGAAGAGCTTCTGAAGATGCGACACGGAATGGGTGTAAATATTGTCGCTTCCACAAGTTGAACGTTTGTTCAAAGTTTGCGAAACTGTTGAATGACGAATTGCTGTGAATCAGCTCATCAGTGTTGCTGGTGAGTTCGACAAACTCTTCTGCAAAAACGGTTGTGTTTAGGTGGCGAAATGGAAAAAAATGATAATTTCAAACAAGTTTATCTTCTGCAAAAACGGCTGTGTTTAGGTGGCGAAATGGAAAAAAATGATAATTTCAAACAAGTTTACTGTGCGCCGCATCGTGGCGAGACCCCACACAAAATTTCCCCAACTGTCCCTTGACTTACTGTAATCATTTGGTTTTTCCCCAACCGGTTGAACTGAAATTGGCGCAATTGCTTTCGGATTTTGAAGTCCTTTAATGGCAGCCAATGTGGCGAAGTCAACTTTAGCATCCATTACTGTGCTGAAATAGAACTTTATAATTAATTACATAAATAAAACAATTATGTAAGTAAGTAAGAGAGAGTTAAAGTTAGGTGTGGGTGGCAGAACACGCTAATGAATAAGTGATGTAAAGAAATTCGCCAGTTGTGGTGGCTCAAGAAAGTGGGCGGAGCTTTGGGAAAAGGGGTGGTACAAGTGGGCGGGAAAAGACGCCAATGGGAAGTCGATTACTGTATGGGAAGAAACGGGGAAAGATGGCTGCTAAAAATAAAGAGCAGGTGACAATGGATATGGAGATGTTTGGTGGTAAAATGTGCTAGAAATGGTGAGAATCTGAGAAAACTAGAAGCCATGGGAAAGGGTTGGAAATTGAGCGGGTAGATCAAAAAAATAAAATTTAGTGCTGGAATATTTGTGGGACACGTGGGAAGACTTACGGGAACTAGCTGCAATTTCTCCACTAGAAAATTTTTGGAAATGATTTGATTTGAAATTAAATCTTTCCTACACGTGGAATATTTCACGTTAATTTATTGTTGATATTTATCAGAAGAGATTTGTTGACAACTTTTTTAAAAAAAAAAGTAAAGTTTTCCACGCGAATTCCAGAATTTACTGTAATTTTTCAATATTTTCCAAGAATCTCATAATGTTCACAGTATCTAATTGTAACCTAAAAGTTGTTATTGGTGACAAATCAACTGGACGTTGGCCAAAAACGCTGTCGATTTTCTCTCGCCTCTCTCACAAATCCACAATCTTTCTCATGTTCTCGAATCTTTAATGATGACATCATTTGATGGCGTTGTTTACCGCTTGTGCCACCATCCACCCAAAATGTGCACGGTCCCCCCGACGAGAGACTGTTGGAGATAAAGAGACGCAGACATAAAAGTGACCTGATTGATCAATTGCATAACTATATGAGAGAGTATTTAGTAGAGAAGAATGAGAAGAAAAACTAGAATAGGCCCACAACAACTATTTTTGGATAGAGAAAATGTAAAGATCTTTTTTTTGGAACAGCCGGTGCACCTGCAAAAGTACGAATTCAGTAACATAGAAAAAAAAGAGGCGAGAAGTTTTGTGAAAATGATTTTCTGTGGGAAGAAAATAATCGAATTAAGAAAAAACTTGAACGATTTTGAACTGATTTTTCTCAAATTTTTAAGTGCTTTGGGATTTTACAAAGGAGTCGATGATTTCATTATCTTGTGCCGAAAATTTTCAAGATTTCTTGCTCACCTGGTTTTTCGAGAAAAAATCTCTTTTCTGAAAAAGGGTTCAGAATATCTGGAAAAGTAATTTTAAGATATACCCGGTCAATTTTGTGAGTTCGTTTTTTCAAGATGGTAGAAATTGTTTGAATCCGAACTTTTGGAACTCCAATGTCAAAATAAATATTGAGTTTTCCGGATTCAAAACTCTGGAACTTCGAACAAACTTTTCACAAACACATTTTCTAAATCTAGAAATTATTGCCAGTAGAATACTCGAGACCCAACATTCTTGTGAACACCTGGTTCACAGTTGGAATGTATTCTCACCGCGAAACTGGACAAAACTGGTCGATCTTCAAATATCTAAAATGGTTTCGTAAACTTTTTTCCTATATTACCTTTTTGTTTATTTATCCACGCTACAGGATATCTGTAAGTATCTGTCGAAAACATTCTCAATTCTCAAGTCGGCATTTTTCTTTCTCTCTCTTTCAATAATTATTACTTTAGCCCACTAAAACTTACTTTCTCTCCTATTTCTGGCTCTTTATTTTTAACACATTTCCCCTTTTGCCCATTTTTGTAGTTGTCACATTTTAGCGGGATATCTGTCAAACATCAAAAGAACAATAGAATACAACACCACCTGGGACACCATAAATATACTTTTTTGGTCATATCTTATCTCCACCTGGGACACTTTGAGAGCACAACACATCAATCAATCATCCTAAAAACTTTCGATTAGCTAATGAAAAAAAGGTTTTTGGAAATTTGCCAGGTTTTTATGAGGGTACTGTAGGATTCAATAGTTTTTTTGGGTGAGGATTGCATTGAAGTAGTTCCAGCTCAATCAGAAATTGAAATATTTGAATTCAAATCCTACTGTACACAGAAGTGTTTGCACAAAATCCTCTGGACCAGGAGGCAATTTGAAATTTCGAAAATACAGAATCATTTTGGATGTCACAAAAAGTTTTCACAAAAAGTTTTGAGGGAAACCGAAAAATTGGTCCACATTTCCTGAGATTACTGTAGATCTAAAGAAGTTGTATACAAAATTATAACGAATTTGTTTTTCGCCAGCTTTCCTTCAAATTTTTGACCTTCTCATTTCCTCAATAAATTTTCTTTGGTCTCTAATTTATAAAACACAAATTTGTATGCATTTCCAACAATTATATTTGAATAAGGTGAGAAAACCAAAAAAAAACCTTGCCAAATAATCCTAGTTTACACATGTTGCGTAAAAAGTGTAAAGTACAGTCGATTCGCGGATAAATATACATATGGCGTAACAGCTCGTTGGCACTTCTGTCACTATTTTTTGGGTTGTATGGTTCGAGCGAGCGAGTGTAATTATCATCATTAGGATTTTGGGAAGTTACAATAAAACAAAGAGAACAATTAATTTATGAATAAACACTTCTAAATTCAAAAAAATCATCACTCGCAAAATAATCATAACTAGGTTTATCAGATTCTGTGTCATATCCCAATAACTTTAGAAAAGGCGCCAAGCGATCCAATTTCGATAAAAGTTCCATATCAAAACAATCAAACCAGGAAGTCAGCGGCTCATTGTTTATTGAATTTTTGACTTGAGACGCTGAAAATTCTTGACTTGAAAGCGCAACTTCAACTCCAATAAATTCTTCATGTTTCAACATTCTTTCATCAAATTCAATATCCAAAAATTGACAAATTCTTTCAATTTCATCTTTTGGTCGTTGAATAAGTCTTTCATAATATACTTTTAAACAGTTTCCGCCAGCCATCATACATTGAGTGGTCATTTTTCGGATTTCAGTATTCCAATTTCTAAACATTTGTTTTTCATCTGAAATATTATATCCGACAACTGGAACTTTTCTTTCAATCATTGAATGAATTATTGCTCGAGCATCTCGAATCATTAAAATAAATTTGGAATTTGGATAAAGTCTTTGAAGAGTTGGTAACCAGAGTGCTGTGTATGGATCTTTATTACACAATCGATCAGCCATTTCACCATGTTTCGCAATTATCTGGGGGAAAAATTGAGTTGAGAGACCCATGGGAACATTGAAAAGATACTATTTTTCATCATTTTTTAGAAATGAAAAAAATCGGTCCCATTTTTGGAACTTGAAAATTTTAGCTCTAAAATTTCATCTTTAAAACTTCAGCCGCCTTTAAAATCTCTTAAATTATTCCCAAATTTTCGAACCTCCATCATAAATGCCGAAACCGCATCATCCATAACCTTCCTCGTAATTCCCGTATTATTCGCCCAATCACTTTTCCGCCAACTTGCTTGCCACGACAAAAAGTTCGGAATCATCATAGTCTCACCACCACTGCAAATTTTTATGTGAAATTAAAATTGGATTAATTTTCTCCTACCATCTAACATTTGGATGAGCATCAAGAATTGCTCGCATTAAAGTTGTTCCAGATCTTGGAATTCCACCTGATAAATTTCAAATTTTCAGAGATTTTGCTCAATGTGAGGCTTTCCTACCTACAAATATCAAAGGTTCATCATTTGATAAAATTTTTCTTGATTCTCGTTCTGGAATTTGTTTCTGTTCCTCAAAAACTACCAGGTTTTCCGAAAGTTTTAAATTCTGAATTTCAATTTCTAAAATTTTACATCTTTTCATTAGAAGTAATAAAATACATAGAAGTAAAATAAAAATGCAGAAAATCAGAAAAAGAATGTGGGATTTTATTTTCATCCTTCAGAAACTGAATTGAATTGGTCAGATATGATAATTAAAATTCACAAAATTATATTTGTCCACCTGGAATTTTGAATTTTTAATAAAATTCAAATATTCAACATACAGTAGCATTTAAAATCTTCATTTTCCAAAAATATAATCAGACGAAAGCGGATAAATGGCACCGGGAAATTGTTTGGATAAAATATTGGAGAACGTTTTGGCTGACATGCTTTTTCGTTTGGCTAGAAGGGTTGAAGATTGTTTGGTAGGTCTCGAGGCGACTTGCATTATTGTGGCACGCGGTTGTTGGACGAACTCGCTTGACACTATCTGAGGGTTTCGTTTTAGATTTTTAGTTGGGGAAAAGAAGAGTGGAAAAACATGCTGTGTGTAAAATAAAAAAATTTAATATTTTCAAACATTATTTTTGAAAAAAACAATTTCAGAGAAAAAACTACAGTATTCTTGTCTCTAGGCTTTGCTCCAAGAGAACTAGGCTCTCTAGACGCTGATCCTTGACAACTGGATTTTCAAGGCGCGGCTACTTGGCCGAGCATAGAAGCTTTCAAGGTGCTGTTCCTTGACAGAGTGAATCTCTAGGAGCGGTTACTAGGCAGCTAGAAGTTTAAGCCTACTTGACTGATCTCTAGGCGGAATTTTCGAAGAGTACTGTATTTCATTCTTGATAATAACATATTTATGATAAAGTATTTCCTTATGACGTCACAGCAAATGTGTTTTGTGCATGAAATACAAACAAACTGCTTTCATAAAATATTTTCATGAATTTTCAAATCAATAAAAAGTTTTATAGCGAGCTGATATCAATTGTTGAATGATTACGACTCGAATCCTCAGAAACATATCGAATTTTTTCGTCGAAAATCTGAAAATCTTTGCTGTGTGAATGTTTTAAGCGTGAAAATTTTAAGGTTACCTGAACATTTCCACCTCCAGGTTTATGCTTAATATTGTCCTTTGAGCCAACTTTACTTTCCGCTTTCCAATTTAATTTTTGATTGAGAATCTAAAAGAGAAAGCAATGAGCAATGTCACACAAAAAAGCTAATTCGGAATAAATTTTTAAATACAATACCTGAACATTTCCACCAGTTGGTCGATGACTTGCATTATCCATTGATCCAACTTTGGATTGTGCACTCCAGCTAAGCTTCTCACTGTGAATCTGAGAATTTTGAACTTAAAAAAAGTAGAAAAAAAGAGAAATAGCTCACTTTAACATCAGATTTCTGCGGAGTATAATTAGTTTTTGATCCGACTTTTGGAGCGGCGCTGGAGAAATCAAGACGTCTATTTTCAATTTTTACATTTCCTCCTCCTGGAGTGTGACTCGAGTTTGCTAATGAGCCAACTTTGGAGCCAACAACATATTCCTGAAATTAATTTGGAGGACTGAAAATGTGTCTTAAAAATCTTGAAGATAGTAGCTCAAATCTTACTGTAGGCAAAAGTGTTTGCACACTCTTTGGGACTCGAAGGCAATTTCAGATTTCAGAAATTCAAATATTTTTCCCCCAAAAATCCCACCTTTTTCTCCGAAAAAATCTCCACATTTCCACCACCTGCTTTATGATTTGTAACACTTCCAACTTTCGATCTCACATTCACAAATTTCGCATTGACTTTTGGTGTAAATTTCCCAACATTATCTTCAAAAAAACCACACATTTTATTTATTACTCCAAAAATTTTCCAACTCACCAATACTCTTCGTTGATTGTGATTTCTCAATAACATTCGATCTTTCTCGAGACATTTTTCTGGAAAAAAAGAGGAATGAAAAATATTCTTTGTGCAACAATTATTGTGGAAAAGGAAATCGCAAATTTTCAGAAAAACTTACGATTGTGGTCTTGGTGATGCTGTGCTTCGTGTAGTTATTGGTGTTTTGGGGGTAGTTGTAACGGGTCTGGAAAAACTAATTGTGAATAATTGTGGTCAAGCTGGGCTAATTTTGGAATTTGACACCTTGGTGACACGTGGCAACCAAGATTTTTTTTTGGAATTTTAGTTTGTAGTGCTAAAAATGGCATTTTTTAAACGAATTTCTAGAAAATTGTAAACTTAGAACTTTTTTGTACTTATTATAAAGCGTATTTTCGGAATTGGACAAATTTCAAAGTGCTTTACATAATTCAAAATGATTTTTTCATCCCCCCCCCCCCCAAAGTTCTAACCTCGGTTTCGCAGCTGGAACTGGAACTTCAGTTGGTTTCCTCAAAACCGCAGTTGGTGGCCTGATTCCAGATCGAACTGTGTGTGTACCATTTGCAATTTTATTCTTCTCTTGTTTTTGCTCACTTGGCTGTGGCTGTGGCTCATTTTCATTATTGTTATTATTTGTGGAAGTTGGTGAGGAATCAGAGATTTTGAGGTTTTCAATATTTATAGCATCCATTTCTGCGTTTTGGATTTCTGGAATTTCTGTAGGTTCAGCCAGTTTTGATTCTTCTTTTGGATCTTCAGGATCTTTTTCTTGAATTGGAACTTCAACCGCTTCTTGTTTTTCCTCTTGAACTACAATTTCAATATTTTCTTCCTCTAGGGCCTCTTCAGAATTCTTGATCTCTTCTGGTTCAACTTCTAGGGTTTCTTCAGAATTCTTGAATTCTTCTGGTTCTTCTTGAACTTTTTCTTGAACTTCGTCGTTCACAAATTCTTCTTGTGTGACCTCTAAAGTTTCTGATTCTTTTTCGCTAACTTCTTCAACTTTTTCGTCTTCTTCTTGCTCAGGAGATATATTTTCTTCTTTATTTTCCTGATTTTCTATCTCAACTTCAGTCTGAAAAAAATATGGGTTTTTTTTGAGAAAAAAAATTCAGTCGTATTTCCAAATTTCAAAAAGTCAACAAAAAAAGCCAGAACAATGAAAAAGTGAGAAAGCGATTTAGTGGAAAAACACACACACACAAAATAAATCAGAGAGCGCAAAAACAACAACATGTGTCAATAATAAAAATCGAATCGAAAAATCTGACAACACAGAAAAAATATTTCAGTTGCAGATTTTTTGAGAATTTAGGTCAATTTGGGCACTGCATTTTAGGATTGGATCAAGATGCTCAGATTTCTGTAGGGCTCAAAAAATTTAGATTTAGATTTTTTGAGCCCGAAATCTCAAGAGAGTCAAAAGGATTATCCAAAAAATACAGATAATTCTGAATCTCAAAGTGAAAATTCTGTAGAATTCAGGTCAAAATGATGTGTGAACAAAAGAAAAGAGGGTGTGTCAGTTAGAATACAAAATACTTAATAGTTTCGGTATTCATGAAATAAAACATTTATTCATCCCGAATTATAATGACCAGAAGGGAGAGAGAGCTATTAACTGACCTTGGAATTATTGTGATTTAACACGGGAAAAAACACTGATTCGGGAAATTTAAAAGGTCCAAAGATTTTTTTTTGGGAATAAAGTTAACCTTGGTAGTTCACAAAAGGTTCAGCCCTGACTTTAAAAAACTCTTGAGTTGACTAGGAGGGATTCTGAATATTGTAGTCTAGTTTGATAAGCAAATTTTGGGTTACTGTATAGAATCTCGAGATCTCACGGTATTTTTGCGAATTTCAAAATATATGTAAATTCAAAAATTCTAAATACACTCTAGTCTTGTTCTAATTCATTTTCCTTTCCCCAACTGTATAAAAATAGTAAAAATGCAAGAAAAAAAATGAAAAAAGATACACAAACACGAAAAAATAATGGAGGAAGAGAGGAGAAGATGTGAAATTGAATATCCGACTAAAAATGGAGAAAAAAGACACAGAAAAAGAAAACAGACAGATAAAAGTAAATATTAGCAGGCGGCAGGTGTGAGAGGCAAAATAAATGGATTATACTGTTGGATTCATTACATTTTAATTTTTAATTAGCATAATTTATTTGGGATTTTGAAAAACATAAAAAAAATTGAACTGTATATTCGTTTATCAAAAAAATCTCCCAGAAAATATAGGTTTTCTGAAAAAAAGTTTTACGATGAAACAAACCATAATTAGTAGATTTCGTATCTAATTATTGGTTTTATGTTTTCAAACTAGTCCTCTTCAGAAAAAACACATATTGCTAATTAGAAAAAGAGAGAAGATACAACATTGTAGAAGTCGTAAAACAGTGATAAAAAATCTCACAAAAAAAGTGTGCTCAATTTCAAATTAAACACCTTCTTGCTCTCTTTCGACAAAATTTGTCTATTTGTGTATGCTTTTCATCATTTCATCTGCGCACAAAAAAAAACGAGGCAAAGCCGTTTTTTTGTTGTGTGTGACTCTTGAAATGTCTGTGCTCTCTAATAATTGAACGATGTATCGTTTTACGAGAGAACTTTTTTTTTTACGAAAATGAGAGAAAACAAAATTTTTTTGCGCATGGATTTTTGAGCAGATAGATGTGTGTGGATACATGAGAGCGATACATGAAAAATCAAATTTATTTATTCGAAAAAAAAAACTCGAAATGATATTCTTCTTGGGGAAGATTTTCAGATTTTCAATTAAAAAAATGGTTGGCACAGTAGCCAAACTGCAAAATTTTATGAAGATCAAAAAAATTCTGACTAACTTTATTCAACAAATTCTACAGTAACCTCATATTGTTTAGCTACAGTAACCGAAACTGCAAAATGTACTGGAGAGAAACAAACTTGGAACTATTTTCAATTTGACAAATTCTACAGTAACCTCATATTTTTTAACTACAGTAACTCAAACTGAAAATTTTTCTGAAGATCAAAAAATATCATTAGAAGAATTTTGTGGCAACAATGCACAACTGCAAAAATCAGAAGCTACAAAAAATTTAAATAATTGATATTCTTCTCAGATAGAAAGTTTTTTTGAAGAAAAATCTTCTTCCTCCAAAAAAACACAATTTTTTGTTGCGACCAAACAAAAAACAGCAAATTTCAAATCAAAACAAGTTTTTTTTTGCCTCTTTCCCATTAAAAACAGTGACCTTCTTCGGATGTTTTTTTTGGGAAAAAAGAGTAAATTGGGTTAAGTATTTTGAATAAAACTTTGAAACTTTTGTTAGTGTTTCAAATTTTTTCTTATCAACTTGATGAAAAATAGTAAATAAATCAAGAAAAAACAGCGGGATATCAAGAAAAAAATGAGAATTTTTTTATATTTCAAATACGACATTCTCTCATTCATCATGAAAGATGTAATAAATCCGTTTTGGAGAAAATTAACATATGTAATGTGAAATATCTTTTCCTTATAGTCAATGATGCTAATTAGATAGAAAACAACATCAAAAAGATAGACCCGTCTTCCGTCCATCTTTTAGCATTAGAAAAAAAATAAATTGGGAGGAGAAGCTTAGATTTTTAGAGGAAAAGGGGGTTAAAAAATTAAAAATAGGTACGCGCCTGATGTAAATCGCCCACAATAAAAGTGGTGAGACTAAAAATCGATGAAATCAACGCAGAGATTTAGAGAAAAAATTTTTTGATCTACCAGAAAAAAGTTTGGAAAAATTGGAAGTCTAACGGCTTGAGGTAGTAAAATACAGACTGAGATTTCTGGTTTTGCAAAAAAAGGTTTCCGGATGATTTTAAAAATTTTTGAAAAATAAAATCACGGACCAACTTTGAAAATTTGTTGATGATGGACCCCGAATGTGTTTATCCCAAGTTTCTAATTTTTTCAGATTCCAAAACACAAAATCTAAAAGAGTTTCTAAAAGTTTCGAAATCCACCTTTTTCCAAATTTTATTTCCCGATAACATGAAAAAGTGAAGAAAACGCCCAAAAAGTCACACACAAAAAGAAGTGAAAATGTAAATAAACAGATATTTATTACCGTTTCTTCGATTTCAACTATATTTTCATTTTCATTTTCTTCAGAAGACATCTGTAACAAAAAAATAATAAATACCTCCCAGAAAAAAAGAAGAAAAGACAAAAATCAATGAGTTACTACACAACTACAAGAAAAGCTTTTCTTTCTTTTCTATAAGCAAAAGCACCTTCTTTTTTGCGCGCGCGGCAAAAATTCAAATAAGCCTTGCTCGGACTCTCTTCGAATATGCACATTTATTATTATTAGCGGTTGGGAAAATATAAAGAGTTCCTTCTCTTCGTTTTTCGAAAAATAAAATAATATTAGTTTTTGGTTGAATGAGTTTCGAAGGAATATTCTATTTCTACAAGAATCAACAAAATATTATTTTTTTTTTCAAAAATGAAAAACAGATAATCTGAAAAGATGATTGACAGATTTTCTAATTCCAGATAATCCCATGAGATATTCTCTCACTCACAGCAAAAAAAAAACAAAAAAAACGGTGTTTTTTTGGCGCCAAAAATGGCTGCTCATCGTTATTGCATGTATTTTTTCGTTTGTCATCCATTTTTAAGTTGTTTGTCATTTTGATGGTTTTTTCGATGAGAAGATCGAGAAAAAGGGCAATTTTTAATGTCTTCAGAGAAATATTGGCTTTTAGAAAAAAGAGCAAGAACCAGGGTCCTAGAATAATTTTGTGTCGAATATGATTTTGTGTAGTTCTTTTGGAGGAATTTATGAAAACAGTGACAAAGCTGATAAATCTGGAAACAATTCGAAGAAATACGAAATTGTGAAGTTTTTGGGTTTCACCGCGAACAGGATTTCGTGTACTTCTTTTGGAGAATTTTTATTGCAAATTAAAAAAATTCCGAATCTGAAAAAAAATGAAATTTGAATAAAATCTACCAAATATCTTCTTAAAAATTCATTTTTAAATCTTTCACACAAAAAAACCGTGATTTGTCATTCATAAATATCAATTCAACCCGTAAATAATTTTAGCTTTTCTTGAATATTCTTTTTGCCATTTCGGAATCTTCGCCTTCGACTCCTCAATCCACTCAAATCCAATAATATTTTCCAAAACTTTTCGATCTCTCAAAGAAATTGCCCAAATATCAAAATGTGTCCATGAATTATCCGTATCATCTTCCGATTCAAAAGTATAAGATGCCAAATGTGCTGGACTTGTGTCATTTGCTGGAATTCGATGAGATTCTGATATTATTGAATTATCGAGTCGACGCATTGAAAACATTTGAGCATCCGAATCTGATATTCCACACATTTTTAGAATTGATGTTAAATGTTCATCCTTTGATGAATTTTCGAGATGATATTCATTTGGAAGTGAGAAATTATCATTGACAAGAATTCGACAATGTTTCTCGCCACTGAAAATAATATAATATGATCGACGATTTGGACCGAACTTCGGATTGTTTCCACGTCCACAGATTCCTGAAAAAAACTTTTATTTTGCTAAAAAAATTGCACCAAAATGCTCACCCATTCTTCCATTTGGATTCATTGGAAATCCAGCAGCAGTCAATCTCCAAGCTCCGCCCATCTGATTTGCTTGTTTCTCTCTCCACAATCTTTTCAATTCACTCAAATTCTGTTCGCTAACAATGTCGACAAATTTTTGAATTGTAATCGGAAATTCTTCAGCCGGTTTGCAATAAAATGGAGGATCATATCGACCGATTGGTTTATCCCAGGATTTCGTGTAATTTGTTGACATTTGAAGTTTCATTATACTTGAACCAGAGGGAGATGTGGCATATTCGATTTGTGGAGATTCTAGAAGATTTGGAGGATCAGACAGAATTATTTAATTAACAATATTTTTAATAAAATAGGATTCAGCTCAAAAAATGAGGCCTTGATGTTCTAGGAAAAGTTCCAAAAAAGTTTAGATCAGAATAAGGTTTACGGTAGAAAATTGCTGAATTTTTGTTGTTAAACCGAAATTTTCAAAGCCGTGGAAGTGAAAACCAAGTTTTTTTTCTCTTTCTAAAATTACTGTAGACTTACTTGTTGAAAAATGTGAAAACTTCCGATTCTGTGTGTCGTATGATTCTTTCAACATCAACATTCGAATTTGATTTGAAACTTCATGAATTTCCGAATTTTGTTTCTCTTTCTTCTTTGAGGTATTCAATTTCTTCCAATTTTCAATCGCCAATTTCCTCCAAAATTGTCCATTTGATATATTTTTCGTTGGCACAGAAGGATTACGATATAAGTTCCCAAATTTCCATTTTTCAGCTCGATAATCCGGATGATTTTGACTCCCAGAATCTCGAATCCAATTTCCACGACAACATCCAAATCCAGAACATAACAAGCAAATAAAAGTGAATGGAGGTGGCAGAGATGGTCGCAAATAGAATTCATCAGCTAATGAATACAATTGGAATCTCCATATTTTGTCAGCTTCTTCGTCAACTGATTTTGCAGTTTTTGAGAAGAAAGCAAATAAAATTGGCCAGAGAAGAAGTTTGAGGAGGACAAAATACTCGAGAATTATGAAATATGCGGGAATTGATTGAGATGGACAGGTTGGATTTGCATATTCACCGAGATTGTTACAGTATTTTTTGGGGGCGCCAAGGAAGGTTTTTCGACATGTTTCAGATTCCGAGAGATCTGAAGAGAAAATATATCACTTATTTGTCTTAAGTCACAAAAAATGATTCCCGAAAACAAAACTAACTTGATAGATCCGTTGTAAATAAACTCATCCAAATCCAAGACATTGTTTTTCGAATAACATTGAAATCCACGTCTCTATCCGGATAAACAACTGCTTGAATTGCAACCGCGCTACTTAGCATAACTAATCCAACCATCAACAAAAAATTGGTGAAATCTCGTAATAACATTAATTTAACTCGAACAATCATTGGCCCAAAAATATCCGAAAGTGGAATATATGTGAAAAGCGTTGAGTAGGAAACATATAAAACGAATAAAGCTGAGATAACTTTGGCATTATAAATTGAATCGATATTCTGAAAAGATCAAGATTTATTAAATTTTTGTAGATTGTTCTGAAACATACCATAAAATGAAGTAGTGATACAATTGGGAAGACTTTCATGACTAATATCAAAATCAAAAATATCATGAAAACAACCACATCAAAAACTCTCCACGGCATTAATGAGATTGGAATTCGTTGAGCTCTCGCAGCCAAAACAAATACATTCTCAATCCACCAGAAAAATGACCAAGTCCAGATGATTGTGTCCCAAATATTTGAACCGCAGCCAGGTAAAATGACTGAATAAGCAAGGCAACAGATGTAGACAATTCGGAAAAGAAGTGAGAGCCAATATTTTACGATTGGAGTTGAGTAGAATGTTGAAAATGATGGTGGGTGAGCACGGCGGATTTTCTGGAAGAAATATTGGGTTGTGGAGTGTGGATTAAAGTTTTATGAAAAAAATTTTAAAGTTCTAAAACCTATAAAAGTTTTCTCTGCTCCCTAATTTTTCTCACCTTTTTCCCAAATGGTCTTGAATCCTTTTCAAATTCCTCAATATTCAATGGAAATACCATAGATTGTGGTGTTGCTGATTCTCCCCCTCCGCCTCCTCCATAATTCATCGAATTAACACCAAAATTAGTTGATAATGGCGCTGTTAATGATGTTAATGCATCACTTCTCGATGATATAACACTATAAGTTGAAACAGCTCTCTGTCGAACTCTTCCAACATCCAAAAGTGCGACAGTTGGTGAAACCGTCGATGATTCTTTATTTTGATGTCGAGGTCTGATTAGCATCCATAATTTGATTGGAATTATAAAAATTGCGGAGATTATGAATTTGAGCCATTTTGGAATCCACCATGGTTTTGGTTTCGCTTGCAAATTCCCGTATAATTTTCGATGAACCCATTTTTGACAGCATTCATGTGCAATTATCTCTCGCGCATTGCAATGAAATGCTAATTGTGTCATATTGAAACCATAAAAATGTTCGATCGGATCACAGAGTAATTTATAAGCTTTGGTTGGATTTGCTTGAAACACTCCATCAAAAAGTTCAGTTGCACTATGTGTTAAATTTTCTGATAAATCATTCAATGATTTCTCATAAAAATGATAATCGTGTGATTCTTTTGCCAATGATTTTGAAATTCGCGCAAGAATCAGAGCAAAGGCCACAGGTTCAGTTGAAAATGCAGCAAGACATTTGACGATTCCAGGACGATGAAGAAGAAGACTCCAGATTGCTAAGATTCTAATTGATTCATCATTGTCTCGTGTTGATTGATCATTACAAAATGCATTGGGATCAAATAAATTATCAACGCCGAATGATAATCTTTTCTAAAAAAAATATTAAAAAAAAAAAATGAAAATCATAGAATTCAAATGTGAAAAAACTAACCACAAGTTTTTGAATATCATTCGCAAATTTCCGATGAATTTCCATTGGAATATAAGAATAACCCATACATTGACACAATACAATTGTTGTGAAAAAATGTTCATCAGCGTGATTCATCATTCTTATCAGCATATTTGATGTAACTCGGATTGGCGGGTTCAATTGAAGAACTGAAGAGAGGAAATTCAATTGATCATCTTTGTTGATACATTCACATAATATCATTGTAAGTAATTCTTCATCGAGTTGAGTTGCAACATCCATCGAAGATAAAACACATGGGGTATTTAATTTTGCAGCCAAGAGTAATATTGATTTCTCCTCTCCGAAACTTGAATAACATTCCAAACATCGATCGATTATTATTGAACAAAGATCATCGAGTTGAACAACATCGATGAATTCGATCAATTCAACACCTCCACCAGAAGATCCAACAAGAATACGTTGAACTAAATCGAGACTTTGCTTAGTGAGACCAATTGAACCAAGACGACTTGAAAGCCAGTCTGTGAATTTTGATTGATCAAATGAGGAATCAAACATTAATTGGTAAGCTGAATGAAGAATTGCGCAAAGTTCACAACTATCCTGAAAAAATTTGAATTTCAAAATTCCATATTCAGAAAAAAACCAACCTGTAGAACAATAACTGGAACCCCATTTTCAATTAAATTCATCATTTCTTCTAATGCATCTTCAGATGCTCCAGCAAATATTGAAATTGGAAATGGATGTTTATCATTCGATGGTGAGAGAAGAATCGGATTTGAATAGGGCGAAGTCATTGGCTCGGAAGGAACTCCGATCAAAAGAGCTGGCGGTGGATGAGCCAATTTAACAGTTGTTGCAGCTCTCAATTTCGAAATATTTGTATCAGATCCTTTTGAGATAATCATAAGAGTATTCAAAGATGTGTCAACAATTTCAATTGTATTTGTATCATTTGCAATTATATTTGAAGAATTTACAATAATATGTAATACTTCACCAGGTTCTTCAAGACCTTCTTTCATTGTATTACTTGCAACTCGAGCAATCGGATCATTTACTTCACCAGATGATATCAACCATGTTCCACAATTTCGAATTATTTTTTTCAAACCATTTTCAATATTTTCCATATATCGAGTTGATAGCGAATTTTGATTCGAAATTAATGAAATTATGAGATCAGGAACACCTTGATCGACTTCATTTGCTGCCGCAGCCAATCTACTGTACATATGTTTCACAGCTCCTGGAAGAGCATGAGAAGAGCCAAGAATTAAAGAGGGACATAATTGGATATTTGAAGTGTCTGTGGATGTGGAAACAATTACTGGAATTGTATCGGGGTATAGGGATAGATCTGGTATATCAGGTTCATCCATCTGGAAAAAAAAGTTATAAAAAAGGGATAAGAGTTGAAACTTTTGGAAATAAGCTAAAAAACTTCAAAAAAAAAAACAAAATTTAAGAAAAATATAAAAGAACTTTCCTAAAAATGGATTATTTTTATATTGGTCATTTTTTTACTGAAACAAATTTCCGCTTTCAGTAGACACTTTCAGCATTTACCACAAAGTTTCTCTATTAATTAATTTTAAAAAAAATTTGAAACGAAAAAAGAAGAAGTTGTAAATGATAAAAAAATATCACAACACAAAATCGACTTTTCTACAGAAAAAAACAGGTTGTCACTTCAGTTCTTGTAATCAATTATCACTTGTAAATGATATATATTTCCAAGAAACTTTGAAATTTTCAAAATGAAATGAAATTAGATGAAACAAAAGTCGTAAATGTTATGTTCTTGTTTCAAAATGAAACAGAGATAAATCGAGTGTGTAAAAAATGATATAAATTAAATGGATATCGCTCTGACATACACATCAACAATAAAAAATAAAATGTTGTCTAGAAAAACATGCAACAAAACTGTTTGACCTACCTAACAACAGGTGTTAATAAAATAATAATATTAGAGAAAGAGTATGGTGGGTGAAGAGACGCAGAGAAACCTTGAAGACAATGGCTTATGCATTATGCAAATATTTGGCACAATTTTCCATTTTTTGTTTCACTTATGAAAATTTCATTATCACGAAATGCGATTTTTATTTTTCTTTTTTATATTTATATTTTCACTCGTTTCAACTTCTGAAATTATAAATGGAGAAACTCAAGGTATTTTTCAGTTTGAATATTTTTTTGAAAACTATCTATAATTTTTTTAGAAACCTTTCGAGATCTTGAAATATTTGAAAATCCAAATTTGTTAGCAAGATCCACTCGACCACGACAAAAAGTTTCTGAAAATTGTAGCGATGAAAAGCTGAGAAAAATTATGCATGAAGTTGGTTTTATTTTTTTCATTTTTATTTTCATATCTCAAACCCACCTTTTTTCTCACAGAATATATCGGAAGATGGATCAACTGAATCGAAGAGATCTCTTCAAGCGGTGTTCAAAGATCGAGATGGCGTTTGGAGTATAATTTGTGCGCCTTGCTCATTTTCGTACTTGGCACATAGCCATGAATATTGTGTTCATTCGCGTTTTGGTGTGACTTGTTTGGTTTTTAGGGATATTGTTGGGAGTGATTAGATGAATAAATGTTTTCGATGTCGATGTGCCAGTAAAATTTCCAAGCTCCCAGAAATACGCCAGCAATTTTTCCTATCAAAAATGGAACAAAAAAACTTGCAGCAACAAAAAATGCGCCAGCAAATTCCAAAACTTTTAGCAATTTTCCAAGTTTTTTGAAAAATGAAAAATTGGTTTTCAAACTCGTATTTTTTTTGCAGAAAAAAAAACTGATATCCAGGAAAAAATTGGTAACTTTCTCTGATGATCCATGATTTACATAAAATTCAGAATCTCATCCAAACAATGGAAATTTTTTTTTGAAACTCATAATTCAAACCAAATTTTAACTTTTTGAAAATGAAATTCTGACTAAAAACTTCTTGGAAGATATTGAATTTCAAGTTACTCTAAATCTTTGGGTCCAAAAAATAACTTTAATATTTCTCTACCAAATTTCTAATACAGTATACTTTTTCTTTTCTTTCCAAAATAATCTTCTCGCGGCTCTTTTTCTTTTATCTATCTATCTATCTCAATTCACATCCCCTTTCCCATTCAAACACAAAAAGCTATAAAATCAATCGCTATGACGTAATAAAGGGCGGCGGTAGCTCATAAATTTCAAATTCCCTCTTCCTCCTGTTGTTCGACCATAAAACTGTTCCGTTTAAGGCCATCCTCACAGTTAGTGTCTTTTGCTATTTGCTCCGCCCATTTTACCTGTGGATCTCTGTGTCTTCTCATTCTCAATTATCTCTCATCGACCCCCAGCTGTCCCTTATTGTTTTATATTTTGCAAGAAGAGCAAATAGAAATCTGAAGAGCGAACGATATTTAGCTACTTTTATTTTGACTTATTTACTAATAAATATTTTATTAATTAATTATAATATTAATATTTGTACTCAAATGAAGTCCTGGATTCTCCAATTTTTCATTATTCCTATTCTTTCAAGTTCAGTTTCCTGGGTCAAAATCACGGTAGCTTTGATTTTTATAGACTTCAGAAGTTTTGAAATCTGATTTCAAATTCAGAAGCCAACGCTAATATGGGAAGAGATGAAAGAATCTGCGTCTGGGGAACGAATATTTTATTGTGGGGAATTCGATGCAAAATATACGGTAGGTCGATCATATTTTGAACTTAACTTAAAGGAGGCGAGACAGTTATTGAGTTTTACTGAAACCACCCACGAAGCTTCTGATTTAAATAGGTCAAATCGAAAAATGAAAGTGAAATATTGAAGTTCAAATCGTACTGTACGCGAAGTGGGCAATTTAAAACAGAATTAACGTAACTCGTATTAACTTTCATGTTTTCAGAAGTCGTTTACTATTTTTTCACAAGAAGCTTCGAGGGAAACCGAGTCTATGTGTCTTTAAATAATTCTGAATTTCAATTTAAAAAATTTTCAGGGGAGATATCATTGGAGATTCAATGGATCCTCGATTCTTCCGGAAAGAACACAGATTCACAAAAATCAGTTCACGTAAGTTCTGAAAACTGTAGATCACACCCCTAAATCAAAAACTTCTCACAATTTTTTTTCCTATCCAGGCTCCAATCAATTAGCTTTTTTTCCTCTTTTTCTTTCCCGATGTCTATCCTTTTAATATATCCACCTGACCGCTCAAGAACACATGTTTTTTTGTTCTTCAGTCAGGTTGGTCCAAAAACATTGATTGATTATAATTGCCACAAATTAATGGGTGGTCTGTTGGCATTCGGCCAAGGACAAATCTCTTCAGAAAAATGACTGATGGATTTGAATTTGTTATTTTTCAGATTTTTATCCGGCTCCAATGCGATTCGAAATCGATTGGCTGGAGAGTATGAATGTTGTATTCGCGAAACTTTGGGAAATGCCTGCTATTCTCGAAATCTCATTGTTCAAAGTAAGTGGAAACGGGGGAAATTCTAAATCCAGGTTTATATGAGCTATGACGTGGCAAAATTTGAAAACTCCAAATTTTACCGAATAAAAATTATTTTCAAAATTTCTTGTCATCTCAAAAATAGGCTGAAAAACAAACAACCTCGAAAACTTTTTTTTTGGTTTTTCGAGATCTCAAAGCTTTGCCATGTGGTACATTTTTTCAGATAAAACCTCGATAATCAATGCGAATCTAATTGGTTTGGACGATTTGAAAGTGGAAGAAGGTAGCACTTATTATTTGAAGTGAGTTTTTATTTTTAACCTAAATTTGTTGATCCTTGAAAGGAAACCGATATGGCCTAGAAAACCAAAATTACTGTACTAATTTTCTCTTCCACGGCTCTATTTTTCCAGACTTTTGGATGTGAAACGAATTGAAAATGTTAAGTGTACACAAGATGGCGAAAATATGGATAATTTCAAGTATCCGGTAAGTTTTCTTTAAATTTTTTAAATTTGCTTCATTTTAAATTTGCAGCTCCTTGGAAAGAATTCGAAAAAATCAATAGGATATCATTTGAAAATCGAAAATATCGAAAAAACGGGTCTCGTGAATTGTGAAATTCGAGTTCAAAACAAGCAAATTGTTGAAAAATCATTTCTTATTCGATTTTTTGATGATGTTCCAAGTTTTGTGTCGATTCAGGGCAATTTGTTAGTTTTTGTGATTGTTTTTGTATTTATTTTGAATTTCTAAAAAAAAAATAAATATTTTTGAAAAAACGTGACCTTCTGTCTTCTGAGATCTCTTTTTAAAAATTAGATTATTTCTAGTTTTTATTCAAATTTAAAAATCGAAGCTTTTCAAAAATGGAAGAAGATCATAAAGTTCGCGGTGGAAAATTGGCAACAAATTTCATGGAAAAAGGTGCAATTATTGGCTCGAAAAGAGCATTTCGAATTGAAAAAATGGTTGGAGGCGGAGGATTCGGGCAAATCTATCGAGCAATTGATTTGGAATCGAGAATTGTGGTGGCGGTGAAAGTCGAACCAAAATCAACTGAATCCGGGAGAATAGTATTGGAGCTTAATATTTTGCTACTTCTCCAACATTGTGTGAATATTCCAAAAATTGTGAGTTCGGGGGATTTAGGAGTGATTAAATTAAGTTAATCAATCAGTAAATTTTTTGCAGTTCTACAGTGGCGAAGTCAACCGAATGAATTACATCGTGATGCAACTTTTGGGCAAAAATTTAGGTGATTTGCGAAAATATCAAAGACATCGTACCTTATCAAATATTACTGTAAGTGTTTTAGCGAAAAAAAACCCATGCTGTCATTGCGTAGTCTCGTTAGCAAAACGTGAAAAAAATGTTGAATGTTTGAAAAAAGCCGCATGAAATACACGTGTCGTCATTGCGTAGTCTCGTTGACAATACGTTTTTTTAGACAGCTCGAGTTGGAATTCAATGCTTACAATGTCTAAAAGAAGTTCATAACCTCGGTTATATCCATCGAGATATAAAACCATCAAACATCTGTGCTGGAATCGGAGAACATAAAAGAATATTATACATCGTTGATTTTGGAATGGCAAGAAAAATCAGAAATGATGATGGAACATTTCGTCCAGAGCGAACTTATGCATCCTTTCGCGGAACTACACGATATGTCTCAATAACTGCGCATGAAAGAAAAGAACAGGGTTTCGTTGATGATATTTGGTCATTATTCTTCTCATTGTGTGAATTATCCGAAGGTCTTTCTTGGAAAAATCTGACCGATCAAGATGAAATATATCTTGCCAAGAAAATCATGTTGAACAGATTTCAATCAAGGTTTGTTGTTTCTACTGTTGGAGAAACCTATTTTAATTTTGCCTTTTTTTCAGAAAACTTTCACGATCTTTCGAAGCTTTTCCAATTTTGCTTGAAAAAACTGAACGAACTGAAATGCCAGATTATCCAAAACTCATCGAAATTCTCAAAACAAGTTGTCCAAACTTCGAAGAATGTTCTGAATTTGAATGGGATGCCGAGTCAGAGTTTTCTTATTGAAAAATCAAATCAATTATTTATTATTTATTAATTTTATTATCATACATACATATTTCGACTATCTATTGTATTATAAGTAGACTAGTTTGTTTGATGTTGGAACAAAAAATGATTTGGGTGGGTTAAGAAAAAAGGCAGCAGGAAAACCGTGGAATATACATTATTCTTGAGAAATTAAAGGCAATTTGTGTTTGTGTGAATTTGAAAACTAATTAGTTAGGAATTTTGGAAACTAGTCATTTTCTTCAATTTTACAACTGTTGGCCGTAGGAGAGCAATTTGGATATTGCTGGAAAAAAACCAATTCGGAAAAAGAAATCAGATCATGCTCGATTTTTGAAAAAGTAGATTTTTTAGTGGCTTTGGTAACCTTGTTCTGACTCAAAACATCTTCAGACCTTCCTCACATCAGATCCCATTCCAAAACCTCCCAGAAAAAACTGACCTTCAAATGTGGATGATCTAAATCGCCTCGATTATTCGATTTCTTCACCGCTTCCACTCCTGACAAACCAGTTCCGAAATTCTTGACACAAGCGCATCGTCGACTTTTTGTCGTCTGATCCAAAAGAACTCTTGGAACTCCAGCCCATTCTCGATTGACTCCTCCACTTCGAGTCGAACACCAAACACGTCCTCCTGTTTTTTGATGCCATTCGCTATTACACGGTGGGAAGACCTGCAAGATTTACATATGGTTTAAAATCAAGATTTCTGAATAAGAAAGAGAAAGAAAAGTACCTCAGTCTCAACGGCTTGCAATTTCCTAAATTCATTCGCTGTTTCAATTCTTGCCAATGTATTTTCCAATTCCTTTGTCGGTTTTCCATCCTGATCATAATATCTTCCTATAACAACTCCAACCAATGTATAATCTTTCTCGTAGAATGAAACCCAATCCCGAATTCCAAGCAAATCTTCATGTGACAATCCTTCGGTATCATCGATCAGACCTTTTTCGGTGAAATCACCAGTGACAAAAGCGCGTGTAGCATCACGACCTGAAAAGGTTTTTGAGTTATATAAACTTCTAGAAAAAATCGTTTTACCAGAAAAGAAGCTATATCCTCCTCCAGGTCCATAATGCTTTTTGCCTTTGTTCACATCATAAACTCGTCCCAAAATTGCCAAATAAACTGGCTTTGAATCTCGACTCCCATCGAAGAATTTCAGTTGTTCTGGTGTTAGGATTTGCTTTCCATCGGCGATATGAACTTCAGCATTTACAGCCTGAAAAAATACATTTTATCAAAAATAACCATAACGTGAACCTTCCACGTATTCCCAAAAAATCCAACAAACCTTCAAATCTTCAGCTTTTCTTGATGGTATTTTCATCGATTCTTTAGTCTCTTCCCACGATTCACTTATCCATTCCATATATCCTTTCGTATAATCAAATTCATATAAAAAATCTATTGTTAATACTGTAGCGTTACGAATTCCAAAATTATAATATGATGAAAGACATGACAAAATGGCGACCTGGAATTGAATTTTTTATAGTTTAGAAATTGTTACGTTTTCAAAATTACCTGCACCGCAGCATAAATCAAAGTTGTTGTCAATAAACCAGGTCCTACCACTTTCCTTTTAACCGCCGGTGGAATTGTTGGAACCTTTTCTGACGTTGATGGTATCACACCATTTCCAACACCCTCACCCATGCCTGAAACTTTAAGGAATTATTGATTTATTGATCTCAGATATATCAAATGAAGATAACATCACGTGTAAGCAAAAATTTTGAAATTTAAAAAATTCATTCATATACAAACCCGTGTTTTGGGTTTTTGCTTTTTTGATGAAAAGGAAGCAGTTAAAAACGGATTAAAAAGGAAAAGAAAGAAAAATTCTGTTGAGAAAAGTGTATACATTGTGAAATGTTTAATAATATGAGGAATAGGCAGAAATCTCATTTTGTTTTTCGTTGGAGGCGTTTGGATTGGGATAATTGTATTTTTCGCGAGCATATTCGACGAATTGATCGATCAAAACTGGCCAAGCTCCATCTTCATCGTAGTTTGAAAGATCTGATTTGATTGTATAAACAAAATCCAGAAGAAGACTCCAGGTATCTTTTGTGATACCTCCTAAAGAATGACATTTAGTTTTGATTTTTTTTATTCAATCGAAAAATGCGGAAAACAAAAACAAACCCTTATGTTCTTCTCTCAAAAACTCTTCCCATTGTCCAAAAATATTGAATTGTTCTCCGAATAAAACATGCCAATAGGCAATCGCAGTTTCCATGTCCAAACTACGTTGACTAGCTGGTTTTCCGTATTGGAAAGTGAAATTATAGAGTTCGCGGAACTTTTGTTTGTCAGAGCTCAATTCGTTGTCAAGAGTGTTCAAACGTTCTCGAACAGCATCAATTGAATCAGCGCGAAGAGCTGACATCCCTTCAAACCATTCTTCGAGCGAGAATTCGCATTGAGTTGCAGCCTGAATTATTTGGATTGAGATTCTGAAAACTAATCGGGTAGGAAAAATGTACCTTGAACTTGCAAGCCAAGAGTAAAACACGGCGATCACATGGATTATATCCCAAGTCATTCAACAATCTTTGTACTCCATGAGGTCCCATTCTTTTGGCTCCTAATTTATCGCATTCCTCGACATACGACGAGAACAATCTTTCAATTTTTAGTCTATCAACCGAAGGAACCGATTGCTCAAAAAGTCTTGGATTGTCGAAATACAATTGAGTCGCATACTCGATATTCCAATTGGCTTTTGTCAGAAAACTTATTGCGGTTGGATCGGTTGATTGTGTCCATTGAACAAAGCTTTTCACTTTACTGCGTTGATCAGTCTTCAATCTATTCATTTTGATGAACCTGCAAGAAAGAAACTATGTTATGATGTTAATCAATAGTTTAATATATCATTTGACTTTGAAAATGTGTCACTTTTATCTGAAAAACGAGCATGCGCGCAACACACACAAAAAATCGGAAAAAAATGCTGTGTAAAGTGTTTGCCTGTTGTTTAGCATTGACAGTAATGCGGAGTGTCGTTGCTCTTTTCTCCATTCTTTTTTTCGAAGAAGGGAAAAAGTTTTGTTTATGTTTTGCACAGTATCTAAGTATCGAAGGAAATATTTGCGGATAAAAGGGAGGAAATTCGGGTCCCCGGAGAAAACTACGTTGGAACTCAGTCAACCGAGCACTTTCCTCTTTCACATCTTGAACTCAATGAGCTGGAAAAACTGGCGGTCGATGGATGAGAAACCTTTTTTTCGTCACACCCAATAAAGACTTTTTGAACTTTCCCAGATTTCCTCTTTTTCCTGAGAATGAGAGGAAAAATGGGAAAATTTAAAATTCATGGAATTTTTTCCAGATTGAAATTTGTTTGCTTTCTTTTCGCATTCACAATCAGAGAGAACACAAAGTCCACAATTTCACTTCAGATTTTTTTTCATTTTTTTCTTACTTGGATTGAAAATTAGATTTAGTTTTTCTCACGATAACCTAATTAGTTCGAAACACTTGTTTGAAGCCACGCCCATTGGAAAAGTGTGACCAACTTTGTTCACATCAAAACCCAACGATCATATTGAATTTCAGATAATTTCCGGTTTTTGGGAAATTTTTCATTTTTCGGTGAAATTTTCTTGAACTTTTGAAAACACAAACTTTCATCTTCAAATTAGTTTAGTTTTTTTTCGTGCGAAATTCAACCAATAGTGCATGCATTTGTGCGTCGCTCTGTTTTCACACTTTTGAGCTACCGTACTCTGCCACACAAATTATAATATATTTGAGGAACAGTTTGCAACCGGGCGCATATTATTGCGTGGCCTAAGTTTTTGATGAACCAAAATTTTTAGGCCAGAATCCTGAGTTTGAAAAATTTTGCAAAAAAACTTACTTATGATGCCAATTAGAAAAAGCATAGAGTCCAACATTTTTTTTGGTTGGATTTCCACTCATCAAAGTTCTCAAAATGGTAATGCATTTCATTTCCGCAAAAATAAGAAGATGAAATTTCACGTCACAAAATTTTGCAAAAACAAATGTGCTTTTTTTTAATATTTAAATATCATTTCAAATTTTCAGTGCTCCAATTTTTCGAGAGCACTGCATTCCTCACATTATTGCTTGTGATCCCTCACCATCTTTGTCTTTTTTTTCGATTTTTTTTTGTTTCACATGCTATGAAATGAAAATATCGAATTTCTTGGAAATGAAAAAGTAAGTGGGTGTTTGTAAGTGAAACCTTTTTTCTCGAAACAAGCCACGCCCTGCGCAGTGAGCAGAAAAAAAAACAAAACATATAATTACTTACTAATTTGGGGTTTTTTTTGAGAGTGAGAAGAGTGAGAGAAAAATAGAACTGATGTGAGTTTAGAAATGTCGAACCATTATTTTTTATAATTTCGAAAAATTAGGGATTTAGATTTTCAAGTTGGACTTTAGTTTTGTTTCTTGAAAATGCATTTTAAATTTTTTTCAGTTCAGAACTGCAGGTTCTCTGATGTTGATTTTTGCTGTCTGAACTCAAGTATACTGTAGTTTCAAAAATAATTATTTGTTTCTTGTTTTTCTGAAGTGATTTAATTCTAGCTCTATCTTAATCAGTTCAAAACATCATAATTCATTTTAGATTTTCCAAAAATTTTCTGAGATGATCGAAAATATTTTCTCTAAACCTCTCAATTTTCTTTAAATAGCTTTCGTTCCACTTTTCAGACAAGATTTTTTCAAAAGAATTTCTAAAACTGCTTACTTATTCTTTGAATTTCCTTATTTACTAATTGTAAGTATAATATTAAAATAGCCCTTTTTCCCATACATCAAAGAATATTTTCTCAAATTCCAGAAATCCAATTTTCCAGAAGTGCAATTAAAATAAACAATTTGCATCTTTTTTCTTCAAAAACAGGAAGGAAATAAAATAGATGCGCCTCCTGGGAAAATTAAAAATGCACTTCGCTTGAATCCAAAATTTTACCAACTTTTTTATAAGATCTTTATTTTTCAGAAAACCTATAATATTATTTTTGATTTTTAGTTCAAAATCCGAAAAAAAGAGGTTCTTGTAATATTGAAATGAATAAATCTCATTGTGTTGTTTTTCATTCACAGACAAAAATGAGACAAAAATTGTCTCCTCTTTTTTTTTTGGGTTTTTTGTGTATACGTGTTATGTAGCTCAAAAAATAAGAAATTCTCCTTTGGCTTCTCTTTCTTTCAAATTTCATTTCTCACCGATGTGAAAATAAATAAAATATTTTTCTTCTAGAGACCAATCCCAATTAAAATTCAAATTCAAATAGTTTTATTTTTAACAAATCTTAAACTTTGTACGAACATTTTTAATTGCCCTTCTCTCAAGAAAAAAGTTCCTTATTCAAAAAATAGATGTGATGTCACAATAAATCATAATTATAGCTGGCAAGAAATACTATAATTTTCATGCTTCGAGAGTTTTATGAATTCGAACTTTTGATTGAATTTTCATTCAGGAAATAACTTTTAGATGTGTTAGGAAGATCCTACTCATGCTCTTTTTTTCATTCAAAAATATATTTTTTCTACCGTAGTTTAAAGGGGGGGTAAGACGACAAAATTTTATTTGCTCAATGAATCGGGCTCCTTTTGAATAGTAAAAGCCCCAGGGGATTTTTTCTCGAAGGGCCTAAAAAGGTCCGAAAAAAATATTCCATGAACTTTTTTCAACGTATAGCTATACGTTGTCCGAAAGTTTATGGAATAATTTCAACGTATAGCTATACGTGGTACCTAGTTTATGGAACATTTTTTCTGAGCTTTTCCAGAAAAAATCCCTTGGAGGTTTTACTACTTTTGGGGAGCCTTTAACTTTGCGACAAAAAAAATTTGTCGTCTTACCCCCCCTTTAATATGTTTTGAAATTTTGAACTTTTTTAGTGATGAATTCTAATTCCAATGTTTCAGCTGATTAATTTTGAATCATAATTGCTAATTCAAGTAAAAATGTTCATACACTAGAAATTCAAGTTGTCAAGTAGCCACGCCTAGAGAGTCCAATTGTCAAGGATCAGCGCCTAGAGACCCACTCTGACAAGGATCCGCGCCTTGAAGCTCTAGATGTTAAGGATCAGCGTCTAGTTCTCACTGCCCTTCAGAAAATTGTATTTACTTAATTTTGATGAAATTCGGGACCGAAAACAACAGAGTGCATGGTTTTAAATTTAATCTTGATTTTCATTTTCATTTCCCTGAAAATGAGAATCAAGATTTTCTTACTGTAGTGTACCCTGATTGAACTCCGAAAGTCTTTCATTTTTCATTTTTCATTTCGATTCATCAATCCCTTGAAACCATAGAGATGTTTAGCTATGTTTTATTTGTCGAAAAAATAGACAAACACAGCTTGTTTTTCTCAGAAGGTTTAAGCATGAGAAAAATCAAAAAACAAAAAAAAACCTATCGAAGTTTGAAATTTTTTTGATTTTTTTCTCGAAATGAGGAGGGAAAACATGATAAATAATTAACAAAATCTGAAAAAAAATGTTTGATGTCACAAATATCTATGCAAAAAGTTAAAAGAAACAAATATTTTTAATCTTGATCTAGAGTACGGTAGACTTTTTTCTAAAATTTTCGATAAACCGTTCCAGCTTAAAAATTCATCAAAGTAATTTTTTATCCGTCAAACTTTGAATTTTATGGCATTAGTTTGGGGAATTATTTCTCTTCTGAAACTTTGTTTGAAACAAAGCAAAAAAATCCTCCTCAAATTTCCATATATCAATTTTTTGATCTACGAGCAGGAGCTCAGATTTTGAGGCAGATAAGTTTGAAGAAGAAAATTATTTTTTCCAGCCGCATGCGAAATCTAGACAGCCTCAGTTCATATATTATTCAGGAATTTTTGAAAGCTGGTGTTTTTTTTTTGCACATCCATGTCTTTTCTTCACCTGATTTTTGTTTTTTGTCGGATTTTTTTCGCTGGAGAAAAAAAAGTACAGTCTGCCTGCCTACAATTTTTGTTTTTCCAATTTTTTTCATGTTAGAAAATAAAAAAGAACACAGATTGGTTGGGGCGTGGTGTCATCAATCAAAATTCCCCTCGATTTTTTTTTGTTCACTTTTTTTGCCAAATCCCGGAAATTCCCCTTTTCCGCTTACTAAAAACTATTTTGTTTCGTGAACTTCAGTCCAACCTTTTTTCTTTTTTTTTCTTTAAAAAATTGTGTTTTTTGCAGATGTTCTTGTTAGATAATGACGAAATATATGAGAACTATACGAGGATTTCACCACCAATTCCAAAATTTACAGTGAGTTTTGGGAAATTCAGAGGGCGTGGGAAATTCAGTGTTTGCTTGAAGCTATGGTTCAATATGAGATGAATGTTAATATGAGCAATGCTCTAAAATTTTTATGTTTAGCGGGTTCTTTTAACTAGAAATTATTCCTCACCCCACACGTGACTAGAAATTTTTGCTCACTCACATCAATCAAATGTCAAACTTTCAACTATTTGCATTCATTTTGTTAGTTTCCGGTAACTCTTTAGAAGAATTTTTTACCGCACAATTTTTCACTCTATTCAAAAAATTTGCAAGGTGCGTCCACCCTTTTTGCAAAAATAATGTGTTTTTTTGGAATTTTTTTTTCTGAAAAAAAGGAGAATAGATTTTTTTTTGTTTTTTGTGTTTTCAAAAAAAAAATAGTAGCTAATTTTTCACTTTTTCGAGGGATTGGAAAACTGTTCGGAATAACAAAACACTCAAAAGGTTCAAGAAGATTTGAGTGGTCAAAAACCCAAGGGCAAAAAATACAATACAAAAAATTTAGTTGTGGACAAGGTTAAAAATTTTCTAGTTGTGAGTGGCAAATTCAAAAAGAGGGCTTGGGGGGCTTTAGGGAGGCTTTTTGTGGACTTTAGGGAGCTTCGGAAGATTTTAAGAAGCATTAGAGGATTTCAGATGCTTCAGAGGTCTTTAAAGGCTTTAGGGGGCTTTAGGCTTTTGCTCTTTAAAATGAAATGTTCGGATATTTGAAAACCCGAAGATTACTGTAGTAAAGTTCTATTAGAACTTCTAAACTTCAAAAGTCTGAAGTGCACCCAAGTTCAGATTAATTTTTAGTTCCCCTTTCCCCTTTATAACTCATTTTTTGCTCACTCGAATAACACAAATATCTCTATAAGAAAAAAATATGATTTCTCAACAAATGTAACATCTCCTTCCTCAATTAGACACAAAACCTGCCAGCCTGTCATGTATTCGTTTCTCGTTTTTTTTCAATTTCCTTTGTTTTGGTCTTTCTCGATATACGCTCATTTTCAGAGAAAAATTTCCATTATTTCTGTTGATTAGATAGATAGCCTTTCTTTTTTATTCATTTCAATATTTTTTGCGAATCAGTGAAGGTTTTAGGGGCTTTAGAGACCTTAAAAATGCTTTAGGGGGCTTCAGAAGGGGATCCAGGAAGATTCTAAGGGTTCAGGGAATCAGTGAAGCTAAATTTTTAAAGAAACTTTTTTCTTTTCAATATTTTTTCATTGAATAGTTCATTTATTAACAATGCACTTCCGTTTGAATTGTTGTTGTTTGTGAAAAAAGTTTTTTTTTTTTCGAGTCGCGAGAAATATAACTTCATCATGCGTGCTCTTTTTCAGTTATTTTTCTCATACACTTTCTCTTTTTCCAGTCACAAAAATACTCAAAAATAGAAAGTTTTCAGAACAACCCTCCCTCCTTCTTCTTTTTTTTTATAATCAACTTAGGATTTCCTCGTTTCTAGTTTCTTCTACATAGTTTTACTTCCTCAGTCAGAATCTCAAATTTCAAAGTTAGAATAACTGCATTTTTTGATCTTTAAAACTTTCTGATCTTATTATAGATATCCCATTGTTGTTTTTTCTACTTTTTCCTAGCTTTTTCCCTCCCGAAAAAGTGGGCGTGGCTGAATAAATTAAATCCTCGAGCTGAAAATATGTAGTTTTATTTTATTTTTCCAGTTTTTTTCTATCTGCTGAAAATAGCAGCTTTTTGGTTTAGACGTGCATATTTTAAATATGACATTTTTGACAACGGTAACAAAAACCCGCGTGGTCAACTGGCATACATTTCTGTTTTCTAATTTCTATACCAAGGTTCGACCCCACCAGCGGCCCAATTTTTTTAATTTTTGAAATTGAATTCTTTGTTGACGGAACTTGTGCTTTTCGTGTCAACTCGAACCTTCCTTTTTCTTCATTTCAAAAATCAAACATCTTCCAATTTATTTTCCTGACCTCTTCCTTTTGCTCTTTTGAAATTGCAATTGCAATATTGCTCCTCGAAATACATATAGTGTCAATTCAGACTCGAGACATCTTCTTCTTCATTTTCCAAGGAGAATGGTTATAGTGAGTTTGAAATATCTATATCTATATTTTCTCACACTAAATTTTTCCTTTCCTTTCATTAATACGAAATTAGATCTTCTTTCTTTCCTTTCAAATATCAAATTTTTTGCGAGACAAAAGGTTAGGGGTTCCAAAAATAATCTGGAAAGGAGCTTTTAGAAAAAGTAATCTAATTTATAACAACTTCTGAGAATAGAAAAAAAATCAGAAGTTTTTTTTGGTAATAAAATACAAATAAAAGGTAAAAGAAAAACAAAAGAAAAATAATGAGAAATCGAGAAAAATACTGAAATATTCAATAGGAATGTGTGTGGAACAAAGAGCCAAATTCAAAAAAAAATATATATTCAAATAATTTCAGGGACTTCGAGTGTATGTTGCAACAACTTATATCTGTTTCAATTTTATTGGATTCGCAATCAATTTATGGGTTCTTTATGTGGTTGCACCATTGTTATTTGCCCCGGCAATCAAGGTAAAATATTCTGTTTTCTCTTGAAAATATAAATAATTCGTAGTTTTTAGTGAGTATGTCATGAAAGGTTAAACTTTATATTTCTTCCGGGTAACTTTTACATTTAATGAGAATGAGGGAAGAGGTCAAAAATTAAATAGACACCACGAAGAAGTAATGAAATCCCAAGAGGATATTTGATCGAGAAAAAAAGTTTCAAATTTTCGGGAACTTATTGGTATACGGTACATCGATCAATAATCTCGCGAAGTTTTTGAATAGGACTTGAGGAATCGGACCAGGCTAGTCCAAATTCTGAAAAGTGAGAGATTCAGAGAAACACTTTTTTAAAATCTACCCCTTTTTCCAAAAAAAAAAGTTTCTTTTTTGAGGCCCGGTGATTCTGGGTGATAAATTACACAAACAATGATATTTTTTAAAATAAAAATATACCCCGATATGTTTTTTTAAAAAAATTCTCGTCTTCCATCCATCATCATTTTTATTTTCCAGGTTCCAAAATCAATCCTCTTCTACATTTTTGCACTATGTGTTGGTGATTTGATGACAATGGTTGCCATGTTTTTATTAATCATCGATTTGGTCTTTGGAACTTGGCAATTCTCAGATTGGGTTTGTAAATCATATTTGATCTTTGATTCGATGAATAAGTCAGTTTTCCATTATTTTTAAATATACTTAATTCCTAAATCCGATTATATTAAGATTCATGGCACCAATGATAGTATTTCTGATAAGTCGAACATGTTATTCAACAGTTTGTCTTGATAAAAAAGCGGGAGAAAAAGCAGCGACTTTGAAAAATGCAATTGTTCAATTTTGTGTTGCAGTCGTTTTTGTTCTCATTCTTCTGTGGCCAGTTTTTGCGTATTCCCAGGTACTGTATTTTTATTTGGAAACTTTATAATTTTTCTACATATTTAGGTATACGAATTCAATATGAATCCAAACAATGTTACGCAAGAAATCATACACATGAAGAAATGTGGATTTTTTCCATCGACCCAAATTCAATTCTGGTTCAATATTATTGCCTGTTTCACTTCGTATGCTGTTCCACTTTTTGGAATTGTTTATTGGTAAGACATTTTTGGGTTCAGGAAATTAGAGTTTTTAAAATAATTCTGAAGTTAGATTGAATGAGAAAATATAAGCCTGGTTCTCAAAACTGAAAATTTCAAAGAGCCGCGACTTGGGAGCGTAATTGCCAAGTAGCCGCGTCTAGAAAATTCAAATTTCAACGATCAGCGCCTACAGATGCTAGTTCTCAAGCAGCGGCGCCTAGAGATTTTAATTTTCTCGAACCCGCATCTAGAGATCCTCTTCGTCAAGGATCCGCGCCTTGAGCGTTTGTATGCGAAGTAGCCGAGCCTAGACATTCTAGCCGCACCGAAACAACCCCTTTTTGAGCTCTAAAAATAGATACAACTATGATTTCTGAACAAAAGCTCAAAAAACTTCATTCCTTTCCTTTCTCTCTTTGGTCTTTAATGGAAGAGGAAGTTTAAATATCTGTGACGCAAACATTATCGATGAAGCATGAAAAATCATGTCTATTTTAGGTATGTCTCTGTTCCATTCTTCCTCAAACGTCGTGCAGTTAATGCTCTTGTTACTTCAAGGTTTGCTAAAAATAGAACTTGTCTAAAAATCAAATAATTTTTTCCAGCTCAACTGATGCAGCATTGAAAAAAGTTATCACAACTGTTTTGTTGTTAACAGTAATTTATGTTGTCTGTTGGACTCCTTATTGGATTTCAATGTTTACCTCACATCTTTTGGTTATGGATAAAAAACATGGTATGTTGCTTGAAATATTAAAAATTTTCCTGAAATTAGATTTTTCAGTGATCATAATATCTTATATCATCCATCTTTTGCCATATATTAGTTGTGTTGCATATCCATTGATTTTCACATTATTAAATCGAGGAATCAGATCTGCTCATGCAAAAAATAAAGAGGATAATCGACGTCGTTTCCGAAGTATGACAGATGATGCAAGTACACAAGTTAGAACTGCGATTCGATCGATTCCTGGAGCAAAACCAATTTCAAATCAACAAAAACAGAAAACAGAAATCACCTATGATGCTTCATCAAATGAGAAAAAAATGTCGGAAAACTCATTTCCTGATGAAACTCTACTTTGATCTAATTTGTTTTGTACTCTTTAATAATTTATGACGGGTTGTTCTCTTGTTTGATAAAATCTTGGCATTAAAATGATGTGTGTTTGGAAAACTATACAAACTTCCTGCAGAAAAGTAATGTGTTGTTTTTTTTGTGTTAACTTTTTTTTTGAGTGATAAGAGTTCAGTTGTGAAAAACAATACTAATACTATTTATGTGCTGCCTCATAATTTTGCTCTATTATTTTTTGGGGTGAGTTAATTTGCAAGAGAGTTTTAGTTTTCGGCTGGGTTTAGAATTAGCCTAACTCCAGAAGTTCCGAAAGTTATATGCTAAAATTTTTAACTACAATAAACACAATTTAAAATTTTAAGGCTACAATATGAAACTAAAATAATCCTAGTTCAAATGTTAGACTACAGTAACACAAATTAAGTTCATAACCTACAGTAACCCTAAGGAAATTCAACTTTTAAACTACAGTATCCCAAATCCAAATTATAAGACTACAGTAACACAAACTTTTCTATTTAAAAAATATCAGAAATCGACAACAAACCTCTCCGTCAAATGAAAATGGAAACAGCAATTTGGGATTCAGCACAGATCCTCCACCAAATTATGATGAAGTTATGAAAAATTCAAGTGATTTACCGACTTATGATCAAGCTATGAGAGCAAGGTTCGTTCCCTTGAACTTCTAATGATTTCAAAAATTTTGCAGATCAGTTTCATATATAATTGATATGCAGCAATCAACTTCAGAACAAATATAAATGATCTCGGATTTTTTATTCAAAAAAAAAAACAATAAATCAGCATTCATCAATTTCATACATTTTTGCTTCTTCATAACTCGGAAGATAGTTTTTGTCCTGTTTCATCACTGCTTTATAACTTGGAGGCTTCGAAGGATCTCTGAAAAAATAATTTTCAGTGGAAAAATGTTGTTATCTAGATTACCGTGTGCACCATTTTCGATAACAATCTCTGAGAATTTGGACGAGAAAAAGAATAGATAAACAAATAAGAAGAGTAACAAGAGTTGAAGTTTCCATTTTTTTTAGAATTTTAGAATAAAATGAGAACTTCATGATACCATGAAAAATATTTCGAAATGTTTCAGATTTTTTTGTTGTTTTTAATGATAATGATAATTTAAAAAAAACAACAACAACTGTTCCAAAAATGAGCACAAAGCAAACGTTTTGTGCTCATTTTAAATTGTTTGGCACAAAAATAAAATGGCAAACTTGTCTGTGGCTACAATATATTTTGCACCGAGAGTAAAAAAAACAAATGTTTTTTTTCCGAAAACTTGAATTGAAAAATAGAGAACTCATAGCCTAATTTCTAATTGATACTGTAATAATTCAAAAAAAAAAAAACGAAAAATGAAAGCGATGAATATTTATTTGAGCAAAGCAAATTATTAGTGAACGTTATTCTTTATTCATCAAAAATCTCGAATCTCAAAGCCTTGAATTCGCATTTCCCTGAACCAATCGAATCAATCCATCTCGATATTCAGCCTTACATTCTTCTTTGATCAATTGAACCAAAGTCTTCGAGAAAACTAATTGATATTCGTGCTCAATTAAAACTAAATCATTTTCACTTCTTGACACTAAAATTCTTATCAAATCTTTGTCTTTTGTACCAAGCCCTTTTGTTGCTGCATTCACTTGATTTGCCAAGAATCGAGGAATGTTTCGAGATGTTTCAATGAGAGCCTGCAATTTAGATAGGAAATTTTATTTTTTCAAAGTTTTGAGATAAAAAACCAACCAAGATAAGATTTTTGAAATCTCCAGATAGCTCTTTATCCAAAATTTTTGCAAATTGTTTTCCAGTTGATTTTTCAACTTCTTCAATTACTTTTGAAATATGATTTCCATCTGCTGTTGCGAATATTTTAAATGCCTCAAATTTCTCAACGCCATTTTTCTTATCAAAACTTTTAACAATTCTTCCCGCATCTTCCGAAATCGAGCCAAAATGTGTTCCACGTTTCGCTTGAAGAATAATAATCAAAAGTTTCTTGAAGTCTCCCGAAGTATCAGAAGCCACAGCATCTTCCAAAGATTTTGCATAAGTTGTGAAGTATGTGTTTTTGAGTGATTCAATTTCCTCGTTTTTTCGAGTTGTTAGAATTTCAATCAAATTCTTTTCATTTGTTCCTAATCCTTTAACAGCTCGATTCAATTCAACCACATCTAATTTTGTTGGAGTTTGGAGGAGAGCAACAAGAAAATCTTCGAAATCTCCAGATGTTACTTTTTTGATTTCATCTTCCAAATCTTTGCCATATCTTGTTTTGTAAGGGGTTCGAAGCTGCAAAAACATTTTATTGGAAAACCGAATTTTTCGCAAAAAAATCTTACCATTTGTCGTTGTGTGTTATTTCCAGCCAACAAAATTTCATAAATTTTTGCTTTTTCTTTGTTTCTAAAAGCTTTTTCCAACTTTTCAGCAGCGATTACCTTAAACATTATATTTTAGACTCAATTTCATGGATTAAAATAAGAAATCGTATTTTTTGGAGTTACTCCAAATTTCCAAAAATTTCTTACCTCATCAAAATATGGGTTATAAAGAACGCGAGACGTTGTCATGTTGAATCAGCAGAAGATAACTGAAAATCAAAGTTGTCTGACATCTTTTATAGATAGTTTTATTAAAAAGTTTATGATGAATCATTTTGTTGATAAGAAAAGAAAAAAGGTTCGAAAAAATATTGATTTCCGGTATTTGGAACTTTTATTTTGAAAAATAGAAGGTTATTTGTGAGGGGAAAACATAGTAATGGTGGATGCAGAACAAATTAATGTAAAAGAGAAAGTTTTGATTGACGAAAAATGAAATTGTTGAAACTTTTTTTTGAAATTGAATAAATATATTTATTGATAGATCTGGTTTTATTCATCGGTTTTTGAACACTATTTATTGTGGGTTAGAAAAAATGACATTTTTAAACAACAAAAATTTAAATCAAAAACTTTTTCCCTGGGTTTATGAGCCTAACATGAGCAATCTCTAAATTATCACAAAAAAAATTCCCATTTGAAAATCAATAACCCTATTATGAAACAAAAACTCCAAAAAAAAAATGAAAAAAAAAATTCCAAAAGTTTCGACCATACCAAAAAATGAATCATTGTACTTGAACATATATGTTTACATTGCGAACAAAAACTTTTTGGAATTCAAAAAAAAAATGTTGAACAAATACTTGACAACACGCCCAATCAAAAAAACCATATTAGTTTCGAGAAGGAAAACTTTCTTGGAAAATTTGATGTTGATTACTGTAGATCAGTTCAAAAGTTGTATTTTTTGCATTTTTTCAGGCAGAAAATTACTATTTTATTGAATTTCCTCGGCGGAAAATATTCAAAAAAAATTGTCGAAAACAACTTTTTTGAAAAAGGGGATTCTGCTTTGTTAAAAAACATACCAGTGCAGTTTATCTGAAAATTCCTATTTACAAAACAACAAACAATAAAATACCCATGAAATTATTCATCCCAAAATTCGATTGCCTCATTTTCGCTCAAATTCGCCAATTTCAAATCCTTCTGACTTATCGGAAAACACAATTTATTTTCTGCAAGAAAATCTCGAAACTCTTCATAATCTTCTTCTTCGCGTAATTTTAACAAAAATTCATTGAATGTTTCGAAAATGTTGTATTTGATGCAAAGTTGGCGGATTTCGAGGATTTGAGTGTGGATTACCTGGAAAAATTAGATTTTTCTCGGATTTTTCTGGATTTAGGGGGAGATTGAAAAAAAATTTTGACGTTATTTTTTTTCAAAAAATCTCCATCTACTTTCAAAATATTACCTCAAAACATTGTTCCCTCGACATTTTATCAGGTATCAAACACATTGCTCCAATTGTTTTTATCGCTCCTTTACACGCTTCAATCGCTGAATTTGTAGCATCTTTTTCAAACTTCGATTCAAGATCTTCTTTTTTATTTCCTCCGGTTTTCTTTTCTTTTTCAGTATTCTTCTTATTTTTATATTCATCTATCAAATTTTGCATATCTTGTTTATCTAATTCAATTCTTTGCCGCTTTTCTTTCACAACTCGATTCAAATTGAATTCTTCCGATAATCTTTTGAACAATCCTCTGTAATTATATGTATTTTTGATTATCATATGTATTTTTAAGCCTTACCCATTGGCTTCAACCAAATTATTAATTGGTTTCATAAATTCATCAACTTTTTCCATTGCATTCTCTAAATGTTGCTTTGTAGAAATATCAGGTTTCAGAATTTTATCGCGTAGAAAATGACATTGAAGTTGAAGTTGAGGATCAGGCATTTGTCCAGTTGTAAAGGTGTTTCTGAAAACAAAACTAATTGTATTTAATTAGTCCGATGAATAAATCAACTTACACAGTCGTTTCATCAAATTGCATCAGATCAATCAAATCATCGATTGCAGAAAGATGAGCAACTGAAAATCCACGAATATTCTTTTGAAAGTGAAACTAACTAACCAGTCGGTTTTGTTTCATCTGAATCTGTTAGAAACATCATATCATGACTGCTTTTTTCGAATGTTGGAAATTTCAAACACCGCATATCATCAACAAATGGAAGACGGACTGCGCGAAGAAACTAAATCACAAAAGCTTGTTTTTCAGAAAGTTTTCAGGATACTTACCGCAACTTCATTTTCTTCATCAAAATGTGGAATTAGGGCCATTAATTGAAGATGTGAACTAACTGAATAAGCATATCGACAAATTGCAACAACTTCTAATTCGAACATTGATTCGATGAGAGCAAGTGTGCATCGAGTTGTATTCTGAATAAATTATTTTGGTTCTAAAAAATCAGAAAATCAGAACTTACTAAATTATTTCCACTTGTTGTTTTACTCACAGAAGGCATCACTGTATAACTTTTATCACCGAGGAAAAAACTTGGATCAATCTAAAATACAAATATTTCTCATTCCACATTTCAAATAAAAAATTCCTCACATTTTCTTTTTTGGTGAATTGTATCAACTTCAAACATCCGCCTTTTTCACCATCGTTGAAATTGTGATTGTTATACTGGCTCTTGATTTCATCATCATCAAAAAATATCAACGTTTTCCCGAAAAAATAACCAGAACAAACTTCATCTTTTGGTATTTCATCGGATGTTTCGGTTTCAACTATGAAACTGGTTTCTTCTTCGCAATTTTTTTCGAAGACGGCTTTGGGAAGTTGCGCGAAGGTTTGAGTTTCACCGTTTTCGTTTTGAACATTCAGTTGACTTACACGAACTACCTGAAAAATTGAATGTGATATGAATTTTTGTTGAGAACTTACATTTGAACCATAATCATCAACTAATGAGAATTTCAATCCCGAGCTTGTACTTTTCGCAGATTTTGTAGTGAATGCTAAAGGTAATCTGATATCTGGTGCGATCTTGAAAAATATCAAATGACCAAAAATAATGTTTCAATTTTCAATATAAATACCTCAAATTGTTTGTACATATTTCGGGTATCTGTGATTTTCGGCATAAAAACTGACACATTTTTGAGCATAAAATCATATGTATAAACTTGCGCATTAACTTCTTCGATGAATTTTGTCAGGGGGTTTTCCTGTGTATTTTCTTGACCACTGAAAAAATTTTGAAAAATCAGGACCAAAAAGTAGAAGGGAGCTTACATGATGATAATATCGATTCCGGCAAGTTTTTCGGCAAGAAGATCGATTTTTTCTTGTTTCAAATATTCGGTGTTGGAATTTGTGATCACAACAATAGTTCTATCTGAAATTCAAAAAATTGATTTCTCATTTACTATTCAAAATTATTATTTACCATTTACAAAACCATCATGATCTCGTTCGTGTGTTTCAATCATATCAATAGCAACGGAAACTCCATTGTAAACTGAAATTTTTGCTGATTAATTATAGTTAAAAATATATTATCTTACTATCTCCGTAATTTTTGTTAACTTCTAATTCATTATTGATAAATTTCAACTGGTCGAAAGTTCGCAGGTTGCAGGATTTCAGAATGGACTTGCACATTTTTCAAATTCATTGAATTTTGAGTGATTGAAGAATTGAAAGCAGCGACTGCTAATTTCTCCTCGGAGTTCGAAAACAACTAAAAAATGAATATATATTTATTTAAAAAAAAACTTCTAATTATGAAATTTTACCTTTCTTGAAAATATCCAATCAGCTGTTGTTCGCGATTTTTCAATATCTTCAGCAATATTTGCTCCAACATCCACCAATACTACTGTCACTCCATATTGCTTCGATTTTGGTGGCATTTTGCTCGAAAACTTTTCTGAAAATCTCGATTTTGCGGCAAAAATAAAAATTTTGAAATTTTTGGGTTTGTGCGATGGAGCGAACATTCCCCCTTTCGATGTCAATTTTTCTCGGCCAAAAATGTTTGTAGTTACAATGTTAGTAGGCAGGAAAAAATTTGTTTTTTCGATAGTTACAGGAAAAAAAATTTAACTAATTTGAGGTAAATAAAAAATTCCTAGTTGAAAAATGTATCATTCGTATCGTCTCTCCCTCAAATAAATAATGTTCACAAAAAGTTTCCGAAAGATTATATAATTTGTATTCCAATTACAGAACTGTAATGGAGTTGTTTTTGCAACTGAAAGATCAAGATGATATTCTTCACAGTAGTTTAGAATGTGAATTTGAGAGTGAGGTAGGGTTTATAAACTAATTATAATTAATTTCCGGTCTTTAAATGTAGATTTTTAGGCGACGCTCAAACAATTAAAATGCAAACTGAAGGCGGTATGGGATATTGATCAAGATTATCAAGAAATTTATTTTGACGATGGAAATCCACTTGTGGGACTCAGGGAAAATAGCCTGAAATCGTACGGGGTAACCCATGGCTCTAAACTAATAGTCGTAAGTTTTTAATGTTATATTCGGTAAATTTTTGTTTTTAAATACAAATGTTTTCTTTTGAGTTTGAAATGTTTTTCACAAAATTTCGACCAACATCGTGGTTCCAAAAATAAAAATTTACTCTGGAACATTTAAACGTGAAATCCTTTTTTTGTGTACTCTGAAAATTTTCTAATTTTTTTTGGAAATTCTACTCTGGCTCACGGTGCCGAGATGTGATTTCAACCTAAGTTGCCCTATGAGAAAAACGTCTGATTAAATAGTAAAATCTACCAATAAATATGGATCATGTTCACATTTTGAAGAGCAATCATTTTTTAGAAGCACTCGAATCTATCGTGGTGGTCGCAATATAAGAACTACATAGAAATCGCAATAAAACCAGGTGATAAAAGAATGGTACATGCCAGAGAGGCCGTAAATCTCCAAACTCGTTTAATGGAACAAGGATTTTTCAATGTGTATAGCAGTTTCAACGCTTTTCGCATGAAATACCACCACGATGTTGCCGCCTGGGCGGACGATAATTTGCAATTAATGAAAAAAGCAATCGAGATCCAATTTCGTGCGCAACATTTCAAACGTGGAGCCGAAGATGAGTCTGATTTTTCTTGTCGATTTGAAATTCGACCAATAGATCTAGCAGGCTCACGAAAAAACACATTGGCCTTAGTTAAACTTCATGGAGAGAAAGAAGAGACGAAATTCAACGTGAAGTAAATATTTTCTCTAATTTCCAATACTTTAACTATCAAAGTTTATTTAGATGTCACCATTTCGGTCCTTCGTGTAGCTTTCCAAAAGGTCAATTTCCTGATATCAAAGAAGTTTTTTGCTACAAGCTACTCGAATTGATCAACGTCGGGCCTGAGGCACAGTTTATTCTCTCGAACAAATTCACCGGCAGCAAAACTTCGATGTAATAATATTGAATCTTACTCCAATTTAAATGTTACTCAAACTTTAGATATATCGCAACCAAATGGAATGAGAGATTTGTACCGATTTCCGGCGGAGAAGAAATTAACGTGGAAACACTTGGGCAACTTCTACTGCTTGGAAAATTTCTGTTTCTCGACGATCTCCACTCCGACAACTGTGGTAATTTAAAAAAAATATGAACATTACTAGTGAAAACATTATTAATTTTATTTAGGTAAATGGAAAGATACCAACGAAGCGGCGATTGTGGATTTTCTCCCTAAAAGTCACACTTTATACAAAGACATAAAGATGGCGCTGCTCGACAATCAATCATCATTGTACTGGGAAACGACTCAGATCGATGCGTTGGAAAAATGCAGTGAAAAATTTCGATTGCAAATAGCAAAGAAGTATATTCACAAATGGGATCTATTGACTAAGATAGACATGGCCAATGAGCAAATTAAGCGTGAGAAGGATTTGATGAAACGACATGAAATTGGCTTCAAGGGCGAAAAAAATCCCACAGAAGAACTTGAACGTTATATAGAAGTAGTAAAGGAAAATATAACAGCATTAATCGATATTGTGAATGACGTCGAGTAGTGAATAATGTGTATTTTTTTCAATGTTTTTGAAAATTCAAAAAAAAATCGAATTCTGCGTCCTCAAAGGAGTTTTTGTTACGTGTATTATTATTGTTATTACTCATATTTTAAAATATTTTTGTTGTAAAGAGGTTGAATACCAATATTTCATGTTTTTTTGTTTAAAATTATTATGTATTTATCAAATTATCCACATGTGTAAAAGTAAAACCGGTCCGGTTTGCTATGCCTTATCTATGCCGAAGCAGCGAGCCGCTCCAGGATGGACAACGTTCCCAGCGACAATGAAACGCAAGAACTAAGTTCTTAGGTCGCGAACCGCGCGTAAGAGGGATAGGCAGACTATCCTAAATCACAAAGGCGTAAACATTCACTACCCAACATTCTTGCAGATACCACCACAACTTCAACCACGTCCAATCATCAATAGACAGGTCGAATCCAAACATGCCGGATAGGATTGTAAGAACAACAAGAAGCTACCTACTATAAAAGCATCCACGAATCACTGATAAGCAGTCTAATTGGGAGACTCGTAGAACGAGGTCGAAGTTGGTATTATTATTATTAGATCTGTTGTAACTTGTTATTTATGAGAATAAACTTATTATTATATATCTGGTCTAGCAGTTACAATTTTCCCGGAAAAAATTTAATTCCAAAAAATCAGCTTCACTTTATAAACTATGGAGGTTTTTGACTTTTCAAAGTTTTCGATAAAATTCAAAAATACCTGGAAATATTCGGGCAATTATATGAAAAACACTTATTAATTGAGCACGGTCAGCAGGAGATGTTGTTTCAGGAACTGCAAAAAATGTTGGATTAGGCTTTTTTCACACAAAAAGGAATTATTTTTCCTTTGAAAAAATACAAAACTTTTGGCCAGAAAATAATCTAAAATCTCTTCTGGGAATCTCAATTTTGCGGCAAAAATAAAAATTTTGAAATTTTTGGGTGTGCGCGATGGAGCGAACATTCCCCCTTTCGATATCAATTTTTGTTCGGCCAAAAATGTTTGTCCTTTTTAAACAAAACAAAAAAAATTGTGTCTATCATATCGATCTAAAATTTCACATCAAACTTACTTGAATATTTCTTATAATCATTGTTTTATATTTACTGTCAGGATATAAGCTTCTCCGTGGCAATTGAAATGCTTGTTATTGACCGACTCTTTCTGGCCTAGTAAACCAAATATTTTTATGTGTACTTCTCGCGGAGTATTTTTTCCTTTTTTCGATTTTGCATGCGCGCATCAATCAAACTTCTATAAAAAGATGTAATGACACGTTTTTTGAAGTTTTCCATCTTTTACACATCATAGCTTATAATATGATTTGAGCTTGGAAGTTTTTGACAACGGCTTCGGCGAGTCAAAACCGAAATACTAGAGAATATCACCTTTTTCTTTTTAAAAATTGAAAATCTCTGATTCGAAAATCATTGAAATTCAGAAATGCCTATTGGAAAAAAATATGTTGATCCAAATTAATTTTTGCGTGACACTTTCACGTCAAACTGCAATTTTGCCGTTTTCTCTGTTTATTTCTCGATTTTTTCAGGCCAACAAATGGACTATAGCTATCGGGATAAAGGACCAAGTTGGTCAAAAGATCCACCAAGATCGAAAAAGTCATCGACAGATTATTCATACAATGGGCAGTTTATTGAAGAAGATGAGGTAAAGAAAGTATTAAATGGCATTTTCAAATTCAAATGTTTGTTTCTAGGAGCCAACACAAGAAAATAAACGAGTTATTGATTTGAAAGATCCTCTCGATTCAATTTCACTCAACAGCACTGAAAACCTGGCAGTTATAGCAGGTCTACGAGGAGTTTTGCAAGTTATAAAAATAGTTGTGGATGAAGAAAATGTAGATGAAGGACCATTTATTATCAATGATGTAGATTTGAAAAGAACGAAAAAGAGAAATTTGGTTTATTCTGCAAAAAATGTGAAATGGAATAAGAATAATGGTAAAGCAATTTGCTAAATAAATATATAGAAAAATCAATATTTTCAGATGATTTGATTGCTGCAACATCATCGGCTGGACCTATTACTGTTTGGAATGTATCAGATGGATCGCGTAAGTTCCTATTCATTTTTTATTTGAAAAAAAAAACTGATGTGTTTCAGACCAAGCTATAAAAGCTCATGAAAGATCAGTAACTTGTATCGATTGGAATTATGAAGATCCAAACGTTCTTATCTCGGGTTCCAAAGATTGTCATGTATTCATGTTTGATTTGAGAACTCCTGAAAAGAAAATTGGTGATTTCATGTAAGTTTTTTATAGAAAATAAATAAATGACTAAATAATTTCAGAGATGGAACAAGTGAAGCAATTCATGATTTAGCATTTGTGAATCATCCTGGAGCATTCAATTATTTCTTTACTGGAGATGATTCTGGTGCATTGAAATTATGGGATCGACGAATTACGGGGAGGTAAGCATCCTCTTTTTGTCTCCGCAAAACCAACCCTCCTCTTTTTCGTGTTTCCGTTGACCACTCTATGTTCGTCTGTGTCTCTTCCTTTTCATTATCTCTCGCTTCTTTCCCACAAACTCAATTTTCTTCTCAAAGACTTTTCGATTTTTCAATATTTATTTATGTTTATATAAATTTCAAAACCTCTTCTTTCTTCCAGATTCGTATTCCAAAGAACTGCGCACAATTCATTTGTTTCAACATTATCAGTAAATCCATCAAATAAATATTTATTAGCAACTGGCGGTGGAAGAGATAAAGTTGTTAAAGTTTGGGATTGGAGTCGTGGAAAAATTGATGGAAAATGTGTTGTTGAAACGACAGCTCCGCTTGGAAAATGTATTTGGAGACCGAATAAACCATTTCAAATTGCGACGTGTGCAAGTGAGTTTTACAGGGAGGGGTAAAATTATATATAAAAACTACACCACACGTCGTTAACTTTGAGCTAAAGACTGCTTCTTTTTGGCAAAAATCGAAAAATTTGATGTTTGTTGGGCCCAAACCCGAAAATGTAGCTTTTTTATAGAAAAGGCACAGAAATTCATGGATTCTCCCCCTATAATTTTCGAATTTCCACGTCATAGATAAATTTATTATATTTTTCAGCAATTTTTAGTCAAATTTAAACTCCAAATTACATTCGTTCAAAAGCAGAAAATAATACGTTTCAAAATTTTGATATAACAAATCATCAAATTATTTTTTCAATAACGCAAAACTCTCAAAATGTGGACAAAAATTCTGAAATTATCGATTTTTGAAATTCAAATTCATGAAAATTTGAAGTGATAAATTACAAAGCTGAGTAAATATCTTTAAAGTTATTTTTGAAGTAAGCTGTAAATTGTGAATTTCAAAACATTTTTCCAAAAAACCCATTGTTTCTAGGTGTTAATGATCAATGTGTTCATATTTGGGATATCCGTCGCCCTTTTATTCCACTCGCAACTTATGAAGAGCATACAGACAGTGTCACCGATGCCTGTTGGCCACTTTCAAGTTTACCTGAAATGGATTTATTCCTCTCATGTGGTAAAGATAATATTGTTGTATTACATACATCTGAAAGTGGCCATGCTCCAATATCTTATGCTTGTGATATTCCATTTGATATTACACCAGATGGAGTTATTGCGATTGCTTGTAATACTGAAATTCATCAGAAAAATCAGGAAATGGAGAAATTACCGAAAGCTGCGAAAACAAGTAATCCTGCAGTTGATCAAGTAAGTTTTATTGATTTTTTAATTTCAAAATTGAAGGAAAAATATTTTCAGTTGAATCGCCAGCGAAAGAAACAACCTGTGAAAAAATACGAGCCATTCAGTGGGCCAATCAAAAGTATAGTAACATGTGGATTACCAGATACAATGCGTATTTCTCTGCCACCAAATGAATTTTATCATTTGGCACAAAAGTATTTGCTTGGAGGAAGGAAATTGTCAAGAATTTGCACGCTAAACGCAAAAATTGCGAAAGAATTGGGAAAAGAGCATGTTGCACAAACTTGGAGATTAGTTGAAGCGCTCATTTCACAAGCAAAGTTGCAGGAGATTTATGATGAAGATGAGAGAAAGTTGAAAATTGATACGGCGAGGAGATGGGATATGTGAGTTTTGGGAATTTAAATTTTTGTGCGAAATTTCGATTTGGGTAAAAAATTCCGAAAAGATTTGCTACGAGGCTTTTGGCATCATAATTAAAATTATAACGTTAAAAAATTTCGGAAAATTTATCCACTTGGATTTTTTGGCGCCAAAACTTCTAAATTTGAAAAAAAATTCAAAAAAAAAATTGCCACGTGTCTTTGGGGAATTCACACCCTATTTTAATATTTATGAAATATTTTGGTTAGCCCAAATAAGTTTAGGCTGATTTATAGTTCCCAAGAAAAATCAAACCCTATTTTTTTCAGTCGTAAAAAAGAATTGGCTCGAGAAGGAAATCGAGTTCTGCCAAATGTTAATGAATTGAACATTGATAATATGAAGCGAATTTTTGCTGATGTATGTTTTTTTTTACTTTTGTATCATATTCCATCGAACCCATTTTTTTCCAGAAACTTGAAAGTACTCTTCTTGTCAATGAATTTATCAATGAGTCCAATGAACAATCTGAAGATTCGGCACCCGATTCTTGGGAAAATTCAGAAGAAGATAAAGCTGAATCTGAAGAAGAACACGAAAAACATCTATATTCGGAACAGGAAAGTGAGGGAACATCGGAAAAGGGAAAGAATAGAGCGAAGAAACGAAGAAGGAACCGGAATTTGTCGATTGCCGAATTTTATTTTGGTGGCGCAGAATCGAATTATTATCATGAACAGGAACGAAAGTAAGGATTATTGTCTGTTTTTTTTTTAATTTGAGAGAAATAATTATAGAGAAAATCTGCAATTGAATGAATTCATGGGGCTTCGAGATGAAGCTTTCGAGTTGCGAACCATTTTCAAAGATCAGAAGTTCTTTTGTGATGCCAGCAAATCGGGTATGTTTTTTGTTTTGATGGGGAAAAACTTGTTTGTTAACCTTTTATTATTGACAATTTTTTTGGATGGATTGATTTTTTTCTGAAAAAAAAATCAGAAAATTTTCACGTCACGTCATTATTTTTTCCCAAAAATCTGGAATTGGGCCCGTGACTTTATTCCGAATATCCAATTTTTCAGCCGAAAATGGGAATGATTCTGGATGGTCTCCAATGATGGAAGTCATGCGACTCCTCCGATATCATTCAGAACAAGGAGATGTTCAAACTTGCGCATCTGTCGCAATTGTTTGTGGAAGTAAATTATTCGAAGCTGTTGATACTTATACCGTTGAAGCTTGGATTGATAGTTATATGGGTTAGTTTAAAAAACACGCAAATTATTCTTTTCTAACTTGTAAATCAACATTTTTCAGAAATGTTGAATCGTCTTGAGTTATTTGTGACGATTGCGAAAATCAAGAAATATTGCGCGATTTATCGGATAAATTCAATGTCCCAACAAGGAACTGCTGTTGAAATTGTTCATTCGGAATGTGAAAAACCAGTTATAAATGGAAGATGTCAGAAATGTGAAAAAGTGGCGGCTCCGATTTGTTCGATGTGTAGACAACCAGTTACTGGACTTGTTTATGAATGTCGAATTTGTAGACATATTATGCATCCTGAACATGCGCAGATATGGTTTGTTGAGGTAAATTATCAAAAATCGATTATTTATCAAGTGTTCATCAAATTTCAGAATAATTTGTGTTGTGCAATTGATTGTCTTTGTAATTGTCGAGATTCTGAATATCCAAAACTTGTGAGATATTATGTTGAAGGAGATGATGTTGAAATTGATGCGGAACCTTTACCGGAATCCACTTCGAAAATCACACAAAAATTAATAGATCGTGGAATTGTTGCACCAAAGGGATATGACATTGAAGAATATGAGAATGATTCAGAAGAAGAATTTGATGATTCGGATGATTCTGAACGAGAAGATTATCATGAATTGGGAGGAGTTGAGACGAAATATCTGAGAATTTCTGCGACGAAAACTGAATATTCGGAAAATAATAAAATATTGCAATTGACATTGAAGCAGAAAGAAATGGTTGATGAATTTGAGAAAGTGCCGTTGAAAAAATGGACAGAAGGACACTTTTATGGAATTCTTGAACAAATGGCGAAACAAAAAGATGATCGGAGAAAAGGAGGAAATAAAAAGGATGAGGGAAAAATAGACGACTGGGAACATGAAGAAGAAGTAGAAGATCTTCTCGCATCGGATGTTTCGGGTACAATATCTGAATCGGAATTCGATTATTTTGAACATGTACAAATTCCTGAAAGTAAACCAATATCTGGTGATGAAAAAGAGGAAGAAAAAGTTGAGGACAATGTTGATTTGGTAGAAACAGTTCAGAAAGAATCGGAAGAAGTTGATAGATTGGAAAAAGAAAAAAGAGATGCGGAAGCGGAAGCGGAACAAATTCGAATGAAAGAAGTGGAAGAAGAAGAAGCACGGGAGAATGAAGAGTTTTCGCAACCAAGATCGAGGGAATCTGATATTAGTGAAGTGAATGAGACGAAAAGTGTTTCTTCATCGGTGAGATTTTTTAAAAGATGTTGGGGAGCTGTAGAATAAGCTTCTCTTTGAAATAGACTCTTGATAAGTTAAAAAAAATTAGTTAGCTCAAAAAATTCTGGAAATTCCCTATTTTTTAACCCAAATTTGAATAGGATTTTTTGGCGCCAAACATTTATCTACAGTAATCCAAAAACCTCACTCAGACATCCGAAAATTTTACGCTTTTGAAAGATATTTTAAAAGATGTTGGGGAGCTGTAGAATAGACTCTCGGCAAGTATTTTTATAGTCTGGCTAAATTTGAAAAAAAAATACCTGCCAAAAGTTTGTTAGCTCAAAAAATTATGGAAATTCCCTGTTTTTCGATACCAAATTTGAATAGGATTTTTTGGCGCCAAACATTTCCACAGTAATCCGAAAACCTCGCTCAGAGCACAAAAAATACTGTAGAAAATCCTCACAAAAAAAATATGAGAAATGAATTTTTAAATGTGTCACGTTAAGACATTTTTCCAGATAACAAGTATTCGAACACCTTCTCCAACTATGACAGCTTCTACATTTGCATATAAACATATATTTGGATCGGATATATCTTCTGATGATTTAGATGATGAAGAAGAATATGAAATTGAAGAATACGAGGATGAAGAGTATGATGAAGAAGAAATTGAAGAAACTGAACTGGAAAAAGAGGAAAGATTGAGATTATTAGAAATTAGCGGGAAAATGGTGAATTTGGTTGTTGAAGGAAATAAAAGAGTTGCAATGAGAGCACCGCATGAGATTGGAGTTGGATGTTTTGAAGATTTTGAAGGTGGATCGGATAATTTTGAAAATGAAGAAGAATTGGAAATGGCAGAAGGAGAGGGGAATTTGAGAGAATGTGGATGTGAAATTAGAATACCGATTGAAAATGAAGCGAAATTTGTGGAAAGATGGAACAATGCGATGATTATAGCTGAAGAACAGATTTCGAGTCTTCAACGAGAATTGTAGGTTTTTAAGGCGCCGCTACTTGACAACTAGGGGCTGTAGGCTTTGCTGCTTGGAATAGAAAATCTCAAGAGGTGGTTGCTAGAGAACTAGATTTACTAGTCTTGACTACTTGACGTAGAAAGACAATGAGTATGTCTAGGCGTGGCTGCTTGACAACTAGGTTTTCTAGACTTAGCTGCTTGGCAAGTTTCTAGGCACTATTCCTAGACAATGAGGTTTTCTATACTCTGCTTCTTTCCAGCTAGACGCGGCTCCTTGCAAGAGTGGCTCTCTGGACAAGGTTACTAACCAAACTGATTCACTAGGCACCGCTCCTAGACAATTAGGTTATTCAGACTTTGCCACTTCACAAATAAGCTTTCTAGGCGCCGCTATTTGTTGATACATAAAACGCCCATTTTGTTTCAGAGAAGAAGCAATTAAACAGTTGGAAGAACTTCGAACACCTGAGGATGTATTGGAAACTGATTCGGAAAAAGCTGAAGAAGGAATCGACGAAAACGGGGAAGATCAAACTTGGAAAAATCCACCCATGGAAGAAGAATATTCTTGGAAAATGCCGGAATTTATCACAATTCTCAAAAGAACCAATACAATGATCGATCAACAATATAATCAAGCTTTTATTGATCAGTTAGTTTTCTCTCTCCTCCTGATCTAGTTTTTTTTCGAAAATTTCAGGGTTCAAAACGATAAGTTTCTGATATGTCGGAAAGGTGAAATTGCGTCGGACTGTGTTCAAAATCAATGGAGAATTTTGGAAAGTTTGGAGAATGTTCAAGAAGCTGCCAGGATTGAAGCGAGAATGTTTGGAGAATTTGTGATGGTGTTTTATTTTGTGCCGTGGAAGAGAATTAGAAATAATGAACTTCTTGTGAGGAAAATGTTTGAAATGTGGGAAGAATACAAAAATGCAAGAAAAAACACATGTCGAGAACATTTTTATGATTTTCTATTCAAATTTTTCAGTTCATCGTGAGTTTAAGTTCTTCAAATTCTTTATAAATATTTGTTTTTTCACAGAATTGCTGCCAAAATTAAATTTGATTATGTAAATATTATAAAAAGTGGAGAAAAAGATGTGGAAATAAGTGAAGAGGAAGAAGATTATGAAGATGATGAAGAGGAAAATGAAGAAAATGAGGAGGAAAGTGATGAAGAAGAATTTGGAATTGATAATATTGATTGGACAAATCTTAAAAGCTGCTTGAAAAGTTTTGATAATTTAGAAGAGCAAGAATTGGAAGATAAAATAATTGGGCCAATTGCTGAAAATAGAATAGAAAGATACACAAATGAAGAGAAAGAGTATGTGAAGAAATATTGGAATATATTTGGAAAAAGTGAAATTGAAATCAAGAGTCGAGAGAAAAAGGAGTCAAACAAGAAATTCCGAAAGCCTCGAAGAATTGTGAAAGAATTATTTGGAATTAAGATTGAACGAAAATATGAGAGCAAAATTCGAAAATATAATGAGAAATATCCGGAAAGAGTTCGAGATTTCATACGCAAAAATGATGGGGGAAATTGGAAGAAAAATGATATTTGTGAGTTTTTTTTACATATTTTTTTTAAAACAAAAAATATATTTTCAGACCAAACACGCTCTGAATTATATTATCAACCGAAGGATACGTGTTTTCCGATTTGTGAATTTGAAGATTCGAATCATATCATCACGATTTATCCGAAAACACCTAAATTTCTGCAAGCTCTCAAACTTCGATTACGTCATAAGTTTACGGGAAAATATCATGATCAATTGAAAATTGATTCGAATCACTATCAGATTCTGAAATCTTCGAAGTTTCAACGATTCCAAAAAATCATAAAATCGAAAGAAATTGGAAAAAAACCAGCAAAATTAGGAAGAATTATTGAGGAAACTGATGAATCGTTGTTTTGGTATAATTTCTTCGATAAAATCCGAGGATGTTATACTCAAATTGAAGATGAAATTATGAAAATTGAAAGAGAAAGTGAGAAATTGATTGAGGAGGAAGAACGAAAGAAATATCAGAAAAGACTTCGAGGAGAAAACAGGAAATATGAAATTGCAAATATTTGGAAAATGAAATGGTTTCTCAGATTTGAGCAAAATTGTCGAGATGCGCTAAAAATTATGGATAGGGTACTTGATATTTATTAATTACTAATAGATAATAATTTCATTTTCAGGCCAAATATTTGGTTGATCGAGATATTCGCTTATGGCTTCAGTACAATTTTCAAATTCATGAAAAACGACGAAATTTGGCGATTCAACGAAGAACTGAAAGAAGATTGAGAAGAAGAGCAAATAAATATGGAATTGATCGAGATCCACAAATTATTGATCCGAAATTGATTGATTTTTTGCCGATTGAACAACGTGATATTATTGAAACTGAAGAGGAATTGGAATATGATGAAGAGCAAAATTGGCAATGTCATGCATATCAACAAGGATGTTTATCGATTATTGATATTGAGGTGGGAGAAGGAATTGAGGGGCCTAAACGGAAAACGAGGGTTTCTGATAATTAACTTTTCATGGGTTTTTTTTTCGAGAGCCCAAATTTTAACTGTGATCAAGCTTTTGAAAATCCTTCTTTACTAAAAAGCCTCTTTTTTATTTCTAAACTTCTTTTTTCCCGTGCAGAGCCTGATTAAGTTATCTGAAATTCATTTGTGAGTTTTCCAGAGACAATATGATTTCGACAATGAAAAACATTTTTATGAAGCGAGAACGAAACCAGAAATTGAGCGAGTTGACACAAATACAACAACTAGTTTTGGAACATGTCGTGAGTTTTGAAATATTACAGTATCCTTTGCAGATGTGTGAAATTTTGTATAATGTAAAAATTGTATTTGAAAAAAAATCATTAATTTTTTAGCCACAAGTCCTTCGGATGATGGAAGTCTTGAATTGGCTGAACAAAGTGAATATATCATTGAAAATTTGGAAAAAATCGATTATGAAAATGAGCAGAAAGTGATAAAAATGAAATTGGGCGGAAGAAATTATCGATCGAATTTGGAGAAAAAAGACGAAAGAATTGAATTGTATGAAAATATGAAAGAAAGTTTGGAAAAAAACGATGAAAAGGTTGAAGAAAAAACTGAGAATGTGTTTGATTTTATTCGAAAATTGCACGAAAGAGAAATGGAAAGAGTGTCAAATCGAGAAATTCGACGAATTCATGAAAATCGATTTGCAATGATGAATTATTCGAATGAATATGAAAGAATTGGCGAATGTTTTGGTGAACTTGACAAACTGGAACATCGCTCAAATGTTCGTGGAAAATTCAGAATGAAATATTGTGGAGATAAATTGGGTTCAAGTTATTATCTCAATTCGTTTTTTGCGTGGATTTTGAGAACATTTTCGTCTGGAATGATTATTGATCGAAGTTCGATCAAACATGTTATCGATTTGTTTTGGGAAAATGGTGCGAGAAATGAAGTTGATGAATTTTATGAAATGATGCGAGCACAAATTACACAATCTACTGAATATTCAATGGGTGAGTTGATTTTTTGAGGACAATCGGATCAATTTTTGGTTCGTTTGATACACCTGCCCCGATGCAAGATTCCCCTATAATCTTAATTTTTCACAGGTTTTACTTGCGAAGAAGTTGAAGAATTAGGCCAAGATGTTATTGATCTTTTCCAAGATGAATTAATTGAAATTCAAGTGATTGATGTTGTCAATGATATGTTATCCGAAGTTGAGCATTATGAAATACAACAACGTGAACAAATGAGCGCTGTGAGTACTCCAAGTCGTTGGTTGAAAACTTATTTCAAAAGATCGATTTATAAAATGAATATGACGGAATTCTTCCAATGGAAATGGGTTGATTATTATAAAGAGTTGGCTTGTTTTTATCAAAGGATTGAAGAATTTAGGGTTGGTTTGTTTCTGATTTTGCGAATCGATCAATGAGATTTCGTATTACAGAGAAGATCTGAGGAAGAGGTTCTAAACGATCAGAGAAAAGGAGAAATGTTGAAATCGATTTTGAAAAAACAAGGATATAAAATAATGTTGGAGAATGGTGATCTTGAAACAGCTGAACTACTCGAAATGGAAAAATATTGGGTTCCAGCGCCACCTGTTTTGCAAGAAATGAATCATGTTGAAGAAATTGAACTGGTAAGTTTAAAAGTTAAAAAATATGTAGTTTTCATTAATTTTCAGCCATATTTTATAGAAAAATTTAGAAAAAAACAACAAAATTTCACACTGCAAAAATGTTTCCTGAAAGTCTTGTGTGATTTATACAAAAATAATTGATTTTCATTCCAGATGATCAAATTTCTTGATTTGAACATGGATGAAATCAAACCACACTTCGGACAACTATTACTCGATTTTTTGATCGAATATCCAAAATGTGCTGAAATTATGGAAAAAGCTGAATGCTCAAATGGATTTTATGAAAAAGAGGAATTTGATGAATTGAAAAATCAATTGATTCAATATCAAAAAAGCGCTGATAATAATTTTCGAAATGATCCTGAAAGTGAATATTCAGTTGTGCCAAAATATGCAATTGGAAATAATTGGGACACATATTCGGATATTATGAAGAAGTTCGGGAAAAATACAATTGATAAGAAATATATTAAATTGGAATTCCAACCGTTTTCGCGATCTTTATCGAATTCTGAATTTTCATCTTCAGCTTCATCTTCAGCTTTATCCGAAACAACATATAATTCAGTTCAAAATTTGAATGAATACGAATTATATTTTGTAAGTTTGATTCAGGAATAACAAACCATTACCCAACTATCTTTTTTTTTCCAGTCTCATCAAAACTTTTCATATCGCCAGCCATTATTGATTTTGATATTTGAACCACAGGATTTTGTTGAAAAACGAAGAAATTTTGAGAAAATCATCGAAAACTTTTCATCAATCGATGAATTTTATCGATTACTTCAAATTGAGAGGATTATTCAAAGTTCGAAGGAGAAATTTGGAGAGGAAATTTCGAAAAAATATGGAAAAGTTCTATTTGATTGTCGAATTTCTGTAATTATTGATACAAAATTGAATCCATGGTTTTATTTGATTCAATCGAAAAATGAAAAAATGGAAAAGAACTTTGAAAAATGTGGAAATATTGATGAATCAACGCGATTTGAAATGCTTAGACAATCCAAAATATTCACGGAAAATATTATTAAAATTCACCGAATCGATCAAATCTTACTCAAATTTTGCCCAATTCTACATATTCAAAATGATTATTTATTGAAGATTGCAAATATTCGAACTGAGATGGAAATTGAAAAATTGACAAAACAGGAGGCATTCGAAATGTTGGATGTGAGTTTTGATTTTAATTTTGATTCTCAAAAAAAAAATCAGAATTGTTTTTTTTAGGTAATTTGTAAGATGAGAGAGCCAAGTTCGGAAAAGGTGAAATTATTGGAAAGGATTTTCAAACATTGGTATCCGGAATGGAGATATGAGAGAACTAAAAATCTAGTATCTGATGAAGAACATGCTGAACAAATTATACAAAATCAAGGTAAGTTTTTTTGTGTGTTGGGTCTCGCAACGATTACGTTCTTGTTCCTTTAATTTTTCTCCTTTATTTTCGTGTTTTTTGTGTTAATTTCGTGACAGAAAAATTGTTTTTCTACAAAAGAATTTTTCATTTCCCAAACATTAGCCAAAAACATATTTGATATATCAAAATTTGAATTTTTGAATTAAAATTTTACTCAAGTTCGTTGAAAACTGGAATAAATTTATCTATAACGTGGCAGTTTGAAAATTAATGGTTTCTAGGTAAAAAAATCCTTTTTCGGATTTTCTGGACGAAAATCGAAGTTTTTCAGTTTCTAGACCGAAAGAAAATAAAAATTTTCGATTTTTTGCCGAAAAAAAGCAATTCTGAGCTCAAAGTTCATAGATGTTCCCATTTTGATTCTTAAATCTTTTATTTTCAGTGAAAATGGCTATGAATTATGCATATCAATATTATCGAATGATTAAATATGATCCAGTTTTATCAAAGACAAAATGCAAGGATTTTTCAATAAGATTTCGTGAGTTACTCTTAACATTCCCATCCTAAAATATATTTTCCTATTTTTCAGCAACATTCCGACAAGATGTTCCATCTTCTTCACTTTTATCCAATTTACGAGAATGTATTGTTGATTTTCTCCAAAATGTTTCGATCAATCTGCCAGATCGAAATTCAATCAATAAACAGATTCTTGAGATCGCTGAACATGGAAATCCGAATCCAAGAATAATGTTTTCTCGAGCGAAATCTGGAGGGAATTCGTTGGGAAGAGGAGGAGTAAATGAGGATTTGAATGTGTCAATGGATGATTTGAGGAGCACAAAAAATGCGAATTTGAACAATAATAGCAGTCAAAATACAATGAATGATTGTTATGATGAAATATTGTGGTTGAGATCGAAATATGAAATGAAAGATATGGTTCGAAGAAGATTTACTGCTCAAATATCATATGAGATTGTGAAAATGACATTGATGAAAGTGGCACCGAAATTGGCGAATTTCAAATTAGCCGAAAGAAAATTTGAGGAATTGATGAAGAAACATGCGAGACAACGACCACTTCTTGATATGATGTTGACTAAAATATCGGGAATTGATGAAATGGTTTGATTTTGATTTTTTTTTGAAGAAGTTTGAATAATTTGATCAAATTTTTATAGACTGATGAACAGCGCCAGTTTTTGTATGAAAATAAATTGATAAATGAAGAAGATATTCATGGATTTAAACATGATCATTTGGAAGAATCGAGCACACGGAAAACATCATTTCTTACCACTCGAAGCGAAGAATCGATTAAAATTTCATTTTTACCAAGTGGAAAACTTCCTGAGCCATTCTCGTCGGATGATGAAGAAGAAGAACCAGAAGAACATCATAAAAGTGAAATTAAAATTGAAATGATAAACGAGAAATTGAGAAAAATCTCGGAAATTAGCGAGGATTATTCAATTGATGATTTCGATGATGGCAATCATATTTATAGTTCGGAGAAAAAAATCATTGGAAAAAGTTTGTGGGAAAGAAGAGAGAAATTGAAGGCGGAATATCATGATATTGCGATGAAAGATCGGAATGTTGTATTGGCCAAATTGCCGAAACAATTGAAATATGTTATTGATAGGGTAAGTTGTGGCGGGAATTTTTTGGGACGGAGGGGGTAAATCAAAAAAAAGTTTAAATTTTTCAGTGGAAAACTGAGCTTTGAGTTTTTTGACCTCTGAAAATCCCAAAATCAGATGTTTTTTTTAATTAGATTTTTATCTTTGAAGTCCAAAAATCGCCAAATTTTGGAACTGAAAAATATCAACGAAAAAAATTCGTAGTTGTAAATAGAATTCTGAATTTTTTTTTGTCAAAAAAATTTCATCTGAAAATTGTTTAAAGATCATACCATTTTCAGAACCTGAAATTCCAGGGCAAAATTTTTCTGTTACAGATTTTTGAACGAGATTTGCGAAAAATTGATGAAAATCAAAATATTCTGAAAATTTTTCAAAATTAAAAAAAAATTGACTGTTTCAAAAATATTTCAATTTAAAATCATTTTCCGGATTTTCCGATCAAAACAGAAAATTTACAAAAAATTAATGACCTCAAAAAATTTTTTATTTACATTTTCCCATTTTTCTTCAGATAACTCAAATAATTCGCGACAATTGCGACGTGGCACATCCCTCTTGGGGACAATTACGACAAATTGACAAATGGGATGATATTTTGGGACCAGATGGACCAAGTGAAGAAGAAATTCGCAAATATGATGGAAATGTACCTAAAGTGAGTCAATTTTTGAAAGAAACTGCTTTATTTTTAAAAAATTTCAGAAAATGTATATAGCGCCAAAAGTTTATGATAGCAGTAATCCAGGACAAAACGGTAGTAGATGGTTCTAGTATTTTATAGTTGTTATATGTATTTATTTAATTTCCAAGTTTTTTATTTTTATTTTTTTGTTGTAAATATATTTTTAATTTTTGAAAATTTTATGATTAATCAATGGTTTTGAACCAAATCTATATTTTTCTGAATTAAAAAAATTTTTCCTATTCTCATATCAAATCAGGTAATGAAATGCGAATAGCATTATTTGCCATAAGTCATATTCGAAGGAATTTGTGTATTCGAAAAACGGGAATAAGTTTGGGATTAGTTTCCCTGGCTGTGAAAGAAAATGTGATTGCTGAACAACAAAAAGATCCGTGGTTATTAGTTCCTGAGCGAAAAATTAAGGAGAAAAGAAATTTGTTATGGACACCGGTTACTGTAATTGTTGAAGTTTTGGTTTTTCTGAGGAAAGCTGTGAGGTTGGTTATTTCTTTATTGAAAATATCCACCACCCTGGTTTTTTCTAGATGCATAAGTTTGTTTATTCGATTTGCTCCACTTCTAATAACTTATCCAATTGCGAGTCGAATAGAGAGATTGGAAAATGTTTGGTGGAAAATATTGTTGTGGGCTGTGCAGAATAGTGGACCCACTTTTATCAAATTGGGACAATGGGCCAGTACGAGAAGAGATATTTTTAGCAAAACTTTTTGTGATCGGGTTGGTTTTTTATTGATTTTTGGGTAGGAATTTCGAGTCCGCCAGTGCATTGTTGAAAATTTCTGACAGAAAGGACTCCACAGAAATTGAAAAACTTCGATTTTGGTCCAGCTTTTTTGAAAAAATCACAAAATTTCATGGATTTTTTCCCTGGAAACCTTCAATTTTCAAATAGCCACGTCACAGATAAATTTATTCTAGTTTTCAGCTCAAATTCTCACTTTCAGCGATTTTGAGTCAAATTTCAACTCAAAATTGTAATTTTCCAAAAACAAAAAAACATACGTTTCAAAATTTTTTATTATTTGTTATCAAATATTTTTTCAATCAATTCTGCTTTCCATATCACCATTAGAAAATCTTCAAAGTTTGTATGCAATTTCTGAAATTATCAATTTTTGGATAAAAATTCACAGGCGCAAAAAATGACCATTGCTCATATTATAATTTTCCAAAAAAATATTCGAGCCATTTTTAAGCTCATTCAGAAAAACGATATGTTTTCAACCGAAACATCCTGAATTTTTTTTGTTATTTTTAAAAATCTTCGAAATACCTCAGGTTTCGATGTAATTTCCCAAAAAATCTAAATATCCTCAAAAACTTTCAATATTTTTAGTTATCAATTTTACACATTCAAACCAAGAAAAGACGACATTTTCGAGATAAAAAAGAGATATTAGAAGAAGTATTTGGAAAAGAATTCATGAAATTACATGGAAAAAAGATATTTATCGAAATTGAGCCATATTCGATCGGAAGTGGCTGTATTGCTCAGGTTTATCGAGGAACTATTGATTTGAAACAATTTGAAAATGCAATTGGATATAATATTGAAGAATTAAAAGGAAAACAAATACAACAAATTGCTATTAAAGTTGCTGATAAAGGAGTTGAAAAACAAATTGAATTGGATTTGAGTATTTTGAGGACTGGAGCTTATGTTATGCAAACGGTACTTTTTCTATGTTTCAAAAAAAAATAAACAAAAATCAATAATTCCAGATTTTTCCTTCGTTATGGTATTTGGATCCGATGGGTGCTTTGGAACAATTCGAAATGGTTTTGCGAAGACAAGTCGATTTATCGAATGAGGCGAAAGCTTTGAAGAAATTTTCGCAGAATTTCAACCCCAAAGAAACTGGTATTAAATTTCCGATTGTTCTTGGATATACAAAATCGGCAATTGTTGAGACTTTTGAAGAGGGTGTTTATATTAATCGATTAGTTGCGGAAGAAGGAAAAACTGAGGTAGTTTTGGGGGAATTTTGAGTGAGAAAACAGTGACATTTTTAAAAGGAATTGGATCATTAAAAAATTGAAATTTTAAATTTTAACAGTGTTAAAGTTTTACCAAAACCCATCTTAATGTTACCCAGTTTTGCTCATGTTATTTTTTCTAGGTGACTGCTCGTCAATCAACTGCAGTTCGTCGTCGAATTGCTTTAATGGGAGCTCGAGCACTTCTCAAAATGATATTCGTTGATAATTTTGTTCATGGCGATCTTCATCCTGGAAATATTCTAATTCGTTTCAATGATTCGGAAAATAATTTGGAAGGTGTTCACAAAGCACCACAAGCTGATGGAATCATAAAGAAAAGTGTTGAATGGCTCCGAAGTTTGATGAACATAAGATCAGCGCCAAGGCTAAGATTCACGGACTCACCGGATTTAGAAGATGAGCCAACTCTTGTTCTGTTGGATACTGGAATTGCGATATCGGAGACGCCCAAGAATTTGCATAATTTGAAGAGTTTGTTTAGAAGTGTTGTGGAGAAAAAGGTGCGGGTTTGAAATTGGAGACTGAAAAAATTGGATATTTTTCATTTTAGGTCCCAAGAAGTTTTAAATTCCGGATATTTTTTCTGGGAAACTTTCGAAATTTTACAGAAATTCGCAGTTCCTAATTCAATTTTCAAAAAAAAACAGAAATTTTACAAAAACCTCTCATGGTGAATTCAAGCTTCCCAAGTTTTGCCAAAATTCCGAAAAAAAATCCAAAATTTGGGAAAAGTACTCACAATCAGTTCTAATTCAATTTTCAAAAAACCAAAAAAATTCAATCTTCCAAAAACCTCGAAACTCCATTTTTTCCAGGGTTATGAAGTTGGTCGACTTCTCCTAAATCAATCACCATTCCAACAATGCAAAGATCCCGAAAAATTCTGTCGTCAAGTCGAAAAACTAGTTCTAAAAGCAAGAAGTGAAAAAAGTCTCCGAACTCTCAATATTTCTGCACTTTTATCCGAAATGTTCTCAATCGTTGCTGAACATAAAGTTGAATTGGATTCCTCTTTCACAACTGTGATTCTGTCTGTAATGGTTTTAGAAGGATTTGGTCGATCTCTTGATCCGGATTTAGATCTTTTCCAATGTGCAAGACCTTATTTGTTAAATGTTTTTGTTTAGTTTTTTAATTGTTAGTTAGATAGCTTTAGGATTTTTCTACAGGTTGTATATAATAGTTAATAAATAAATTATTATATATTTCTAAAGTTTTTAATTATTTTTAACTGGTCTATTTTCCAGCAAAACTATCTCTCTGAAAATTGAGTTTTCAAGTAAAATTTGAAATTTTTAAGAAAATTTCGAATTTTCAATTGCTGTGCTATACATTTTTTTTTATTTTTTTCAGTATATTTTTTTTTATTTTTCAGCATGTTTTATTTTTCAGTATTTTTATTTTTCAGTATTTATATTTTTCAGAATTTCTGATGTGTTGTGTTGTGGTGTGCTGTGGTAAATTGAAATTTTAAAATTTAAATTCCAACAATTTTAATTTCAGATGAATTATCAGGTTCCTCCACTCCGACAAGAAGGAAAACCCCATTCAAAAAACGAAAAATTATCATGGCTCGAAGAATATTTGGAGGGAAAAGATGAAATACTTTTGTATATCACTGCTGCGATGGGAGTTCTTCTACCCGGAATTGTCTATTTTCTCTATCACAAATGTCACGCATATTATGAGAAATATTCGAGAAAAAAAGAGGAAGAACGAATGAGAGAAGAGATGGAACAATCGGAAGCTGTTGTTATTGTTTTGGGTGAAAAAGGACCGGCGGAAAAATATTCGAAAATTGTTTATGATAAGTTGTGCGAAGAGATGATTAGAAAACCGGAGATTTGGATGTCGGAGAGTTTGCAAGTTAAACAATTGATGGATTTTAAGGTGAATAGAAACATTATTTTTTGAACCGGCTGAAAATTGATATTTTTCAAAGAAGTTTTTTGAAGACATCGAAAATTTCCAGAATTTTTTGAAAAATTTTGATATTTTGTGCTAAAAAAATGATTTTTTGGAAAAATTATATTAGATTTTCTGAAATTTGGAGCCCTTCACAGTCCAAAAATTATCAATTTTCGGCCGGTTCCAAAAAAGTTCCCTTGTCAATGAAAAACTCAAAATTTCTTTGTTTTTCAGGGTTTCTGTATATTTTTGGTCGACACTTTGGATGGTGGAAAAGCGAGTCCATCAACTGATTGGTTTTTAGAATGGCTCGAAGATGTGGCAGCGGATGCAAAATTGAAAAAGAAATCGAATTTCGATAAAATCCGATTCTCAATCGTAGGATTTGGAAGCAGTTTGGATGGACAACACGCATTCAATAAAACTGCGCGGATTTTATTGAAACGCTTGAAAATTGTTGGATCGAAACAAATCACTGAAGTTGAAATTTATGACACTACTGTAGCAGGTTAGATTGAGATCTTGGAGTTAAAATTAAAAGTATCATGGAATTTTCAGATTCGAGAATTGCTGAAGCTTTCGAGCTATACAGTTTGGAGTTGTTGGAAGCTATGGATCGAAATTTGCCGGGAAACGATGTGCAAACAGATTCCGAAGATGGAGAAGATGATGATGAATCATCCATGGATTCTGATGACTCTTCCGCAAAACATCAAAAATCAAAATAATAATTATTTTCACAAAACCATGCATTTTATTATATCTCAATTTCAATTCATCTAATCTAAATACAATAATGATAATAATAATAATAATAATCCTTTCCTTATATAAAAATAAAACTATACAAAAATTCACTTATTTTCTGCTAATCGCATTATTATTGAGCTCCTCATATTCCGCCATTCTCGCGTACAAATTTTCCTGAAAAAAATTTTTTTCTAAAAAAAAATTAAAGATTTTTCTGAAATTACCCCGTATGCGTGTGCAAAAACAAAACTCCATCGTTTATCACTCATTTCACGTGGCTCTTCGAAATTGCATTTACAATAAACGCATTGAACCTATAAGAATCAAAAAGTATTATAGAAATAAAAGTGTTTATAAATTTCTTACCTTTTTCTGTGGATGTTCGAGTTCATAGTGATTTCGAAATTCTTCATTCGAATCGCAAGTTGAAGAGCAAAAAGCACACTGCATTTTCAATCCATGTTGATTCATTTCATGATGGATTAGACCCTTAAAAACTGAATATATTCAATTTCCTCCATAAAATCTAAGTACCTTCAAACTCGCTTTTCTCGATCCACAAGTTGAACAACATAATCTCGAAATATCAGAATTTCTTCGAACTCGTTTGGTTGTTTCATTTTTCAATCTGTATGCTCTCGGAAGTCTTTCTCTTGAACATGAACTGTCACAGCTGCTACTGCTACATTTTCGATATCTTTTTCTTATTCCATCGAATTTCCTTTCATCTTTTTCTTTTCGAACTTGACGACTTCTACTTGGAGATCTAGGAATTGATCAGTTTGAACAGGAATCAAATAGGTTTTTTCGAAAAACTTTTTTGATTTGAATTTTGAAAAAATCTTTTTTATATAATAAGAGGTGATTTGTAAATTTTTGACCGAAAAGAAAAGTTGAGAAAAAAATATTATAATTTGAAGAGAGTTCTCAATAGATGTTCAGCATATGAATTAATATCAATTTTTAACTAAACTCGTGTGTTTTGGCTCGAAAAACTGGAATTTTCTGATCGAAAATTTCACGGGGCAACATATTTTGTCTAGTGCTAAAAAATCCACGTCTAGTGCTAAAAAATCCAAATTTTTAGAAAACAACTTCGGAAAGATGTTCATTCAGAATTTTCTTGTAAAATTTCCCTTAATTTACCTTTTCACAATTTTTCGATGTTTCCACATTGGCTTATCCTCTTTCTCCGAATCCGATGAAGAACTTGATGAAGAGGAACTATCACTCCTAAATTTCAAATTTGAAAATCTGGAAAAAAAACTTCTAAACTCACATCGTCGGATCCTCTTCCAATATCTCACCATCTTCCGACGTCATTTTATCGTAGAATGAAATTTTTATTTTTGCAAAAATGAACCACGTCACACAAATTTACGTGTCACGTGAAAAAATAAATCGATTCCACGTGCAAAACATTTATTTTTTATTATTTATGAAAAAAAAACATAACCGAGAAAACAATAAATACTATGTCTGAAAATAAATAGCAAAAAAACATAGATGGGAAATTTGAGGAGAAAAATCTTGAAATTAATAACTTCTTCCGAAAAGCGCAAAGAATTTTGGAGCATGCGAACAACCTGGGAAAAGACATTTTGATGGAAGTTCTTGTTTTGGTTGTTCCAATGGGATACATAATGTTTTGGCTCCCATTTGTGCTCCTTCTCCATCTTCTCTTGTTGATGCTTTCTTAATTTCCTCTTCACATTCTGGCAATCCACAGAATGGTGACAAAATAATACATTTCTCGTCTAGCAATTTTTTGAACTCTTCAATATCCGAAGTTGTTTTCAAATGAGCATCACGAGCGGCCAAAACCCTAAAGAAATTTTTTTTTATTTATATAAAATTTTTTGGAGGAACTTACTTGTTATACATTTGTGTATGAATATCATCCAATAAAGCCTTAACAGTTTGAGCCAAACCTTCCAATTTCAAAGCCTTTTTCTCTCCATTGAATCGAATAACAGCAGTAACTTGTTTTTGAGCCAAATCTTTTGGACCAACTTCGAATCGGATTGGAACTCCTTTCAATTCCCAATGATTGAATTTCCATCCTGGTGAATAGTTGTCTCTGAAAATTTAAACTGCTTAATGTTTTTTTCTCAAAAAGCAAAAAAAAACCAACCTCAAATCAGTTTCAGCTCTAATTCCACTTTCAACCAAATCCTGAGCAATTTTCTCAACAGTTGCAGTCAATTCAGCCTTTTGCTCCTCACTGGTTTGAGCAGTAACTCCAACTGGCACAATAATAGTCTGAATTTGAGCAACTCTTGGTGGCAAAACCAATCCTTGATCATCTCCATGAATCATAACCATTGCTCCAATTGTTCTTGTCGACAAACCCCACGAATTTTGCCAAGCAAACGCCTTCTCTCCGTTGTTTGGATCTTCATATGAGATATCGAACATTTTCGAGAAATTTTGTCCCAAATGATGTGAAGTGGCTCCTTGAATTCCTCGCCCGTTACATGGAACATATGCTTCGACTGTTGTTGTGAAATCACCTCCAGCAAACTTTTCCTTCTCACTTTTTCTTCCTTTTACAACTGGGATTGCGAGCAAATCAGTGTAAACTCCAGAATATAAATCAAGGATTTGGAAGACTTCTTTTTCAGCATCTTGTGGATTGGCAAATGCTGTATGTCCTTCTTGCCAAAGGAATTCGCGAGTTCGAAGGAATGGAGTTGGATGTTTGAATTCCCATCTCTTAAAACAATAGTTTAATTAAGTATTACCAACAAAGAAAAACTTACCACAACATTACACCATTGGTTAAGTTTAATTGGCAAATCTCTGTGTGATTGAACCCATTTTTTATACGATGGATACATAACAGTTTCAGATGTTGGTCTGATAGCAATTGGTTCAGCCATTTCAGAATTTCCAGCTCGAGTAACCCAAGCAACTTCTGGTGCAAAATCAGCAATATGTGTCTTTTCTCTTTCCAATGCAGCATTACTCACGAACATTGGGAAATAGCAATTTTTGACTCCCAATTTTTTGATTCCACCATCAAACCAAGCTTGAATTGATTCCCAAATCGCATAACTCCATGGACGAAGAACATAACACCCAGAAACATCATAATATTCAATCATTTCAGCTTTTGTAATAACTTGAGAATACCATTCCGAATAATTTTCATCTTTCAATGTTTCAATTCCAAGTTTTGTTTGTTTCTTTCCATCTTCTTTCTTTGGTTGTGGTTTCTTTTCTTCTTTCTTTTTCTCTTGTTTTGGTTTTTGTTGTCGTGCATTTGGAGCAGCAAAATCTTTACCGGTCACTTCTTTATAACTTAATTTGAGAGCAAGAAGTTTCTCAATCGCCTCCTTTTTGGCTTCTTCGGTGGCCGATTTGTCCGATTTAATTCTTCTCACTTCATTTCCTTGCTCCTCGATTTGTTTCTCGATCACCTCAACTGACATTTTCTAGGCTGAAAATATATTAAATGAGCTCAAAAATAAGAAATGAACGCGAAACGATTCAAATAAACGAGGAGAGTTGCGAAAAATTTCACAATATTTGAATTATTCCTGAAATTTTTGAATTTCGTCCAAGAGAAACGGAAACTCTGCAATCATGTGTAATTTTACAAATTCTTATGATTAAAATAAACAAATAATCATAAGAGTTTGATAAGAAAAATGAAATAGGTTAGTTTTTGTTTCAGTATTTTCCCCGTTCAATCGATGAAAACATTTCTAGTTTGCTCAAATTCTCGAAATTTATACAAAAACCTTTGAATTAAAACAGAAAAACAAAAAATATACTGAAAACTTTGAAAGAAAACATAAAAATTAGGAACTTCGTTTTTTTCGCGAAAAAATAAAAGTAAAATTTGAGAGGGAGAATGTGCGCTCCATTGAGAAAAGTGTGTAGTTTTGTTTTCAGAGGGAATTCAAAAATATTGTGAAGTTTGAGAAAAATGCTAATTTGGTGGAATGGGGATAAATTTGACGTTCTGAAGATCCTCTCACATATTTTTCCCGCAGAACAATATTCAGTGGTCAAGCTTTATCGATTTTTTTTTGGAAAATAGAAAAAATTGTTCGCTTTTCGAAAAAAATGAAATTTCAATTTGTTGGCCAACAAAATACAAATAAATAATATTAAACCGAACCAATCAATAAAAAAGAAGACAAATATGTATTCATTAAATGTTTGTCGCGCGCGAGAAAAGCTTGTTTTGACCCGAAAAAAGAAAAAAAAACGAGAAGAAAAAAGAAACTTCCTCCCAAAAACTGACAAATCGACATGAAGAAAAACAGGTTTTTTTCTCCAAAGAAAATGCGCGAATTCAAATTCAAATTCGAATAAATTGATTTATTAATTAAAAACACAAAGAATAAATTATCCCGTTGAACCCTAGTAAAAATATATTGAAGAAGGGCAAGAAAAGAATTCACAACACAATACAAAATAGAGCATTTATTGTTCATTGGCTCCCCATTCGAAACCTCCTGGTCTTTCTTCTGCAGCAACTGGTTCAGGGGCTCGTTCTTCGAATATCCAAGTCAACCATCGGGGAGTTTTGAGAAGTCGAACACCGTGTTCCTGAATGAAATTTAATTGGGGAAAAAATCTCGGGAATTTTTTGAATAGGGTTTTGATTGAAATTAATTTTTCTAACATAATTTTTCTGTATTTTTATTCAAGAGCTAACTGAAACATGGCACTGGAATTTTAACTAACGAAATTAAAAATGAACATTTGCAGCTCAAATTTGGGCCACGTTGAATTTCACCTCGATTTTTCGTCACGTGAATTTTTGAGCTCAAATTCTTGCCACGTGGATTCACGAGCTCAAAAGTGTGCCACGTGAATTTTGGAGCTCCTAATTGTACAACATGGATTTTCAGCTCAAATAGTTGCCACGTGGATTTATGAGCTCAAGATTCTGTTACATGTATTTATGCACACAAATTTGTGCCACGTGGATTTTCAGTTATTATTTTCTTCACTTGAATTTTCAGCTCGAATTTGGTCACGTTGAGCTAAAATATTTTAACGTAGATTCATGAGCTCAAAATTGAGCCACGAGGATTTTTGAGCTCAAAATTGAGCTTCGTGGATTAACGAGCTGAAAATTTCTTAATGGGGATTTTGAGCTCAAAACTGTACCACGTGGATTATCAGCTCACATTTTGGGCCGGGTTCAAAAATTCTCCATTTTCTTTTTTTCTTTTTTATTTTTACCTGATATGGAAACACATCCTCCAAGAAATAATAAATATGTCCACATCCGATTCCCATAAAATCAACAGCCGCATTGTTGCCAAGCAAAAGTGAGAAGAACAACAAAACCCATGGTAGATATGGAGCATTGAAGGCTATCATTCCCAAAAAGTTCATCTGAAATTTTTTTTTTTGTTTTTTTTTTTAATTTCACAATCAAAAAGAAATCCAACAGACCTGAATATCAGGATTTCTTCGGCTCCAAATATAAACCAACATAATTGTGAAAGCTTGTCCCAAGAAAAGCATTTGCGCAAAAATTCCACAAATAACCATAAGAATTGCGCCGAACATGAACATGAACACAAAATCAGCACGTCTTCCACGGAATGAACCTTCTTCTAGCATCATACAATAACGATATGTGAATATTATATTGAAGAGAAATGAGAAACCAGCTTGACCATAGAAACAAAACGACGAAAGAAGACGCCATAGCTGGAAAGAAATATATTGAAGGTATGCTTCGTTGAGAAATCTGTAGTTTTGCTCTAAAATTCAAATTATGTGATCGGAAATTGAATTTTGATAAAAGAACAACAACTTTTTGATAAATTTTTTTCGGAAATGAAAATGAATTTTAAAAAAAACGGGGAACTATTTTGAAAAAGCCCGAATTGCCACAGGGATTCCGGAATCAACATTTTTGAACTGTGGCTTTTTAGTGCTGAAATTTCTGAATTTTCAAGTTGCCACGTGGAATTTTGAAACAAACATCTTTGAAATTTTCTATTTGCCACATGGTTTCTTAGCACGAAAAATTCCACGTGGGTTTTAGGCGCCAAAATTTCTCACCTGTAACTTGTGAACAACAAGATCCCAACTGAAATATAATTGATACGGTGTAACATATCCCATATGCTGCAAAAAAAATCATTATTCAATTTTTTAGGCTTAAATTTCCACATACCACGGCAATTGTTGTCAAAACACAAGCTCCACAATAGAACTTTGTGACCGGCGGCATATCTTCCAATCCCAATTGTATTCCAGCCATTTTCAAGAGCCCTACAATATTTGGTCTTAAAATTTGGGTCTGAGATTAATTGCAGATAATTTTCAGGTTGAAAAAACCTGTGAAAACAATGATTCAAGAAAAAAAATAAGAACATCAGAGGTATGAACAGTTCAATAAAATAAAAACAAATAACAAATCTATAAAAAAATGACTACTAAATACGTGAAAATGACCTGAATTAAATTATGGTGTCAAAATGGTGGATGTTGATTTATTTCCAGCCAAATTTGTGAGCAATTTATTGAGTCGACCAACCATTCGAGATGTATCTTTTATTAAACCAGCAGTGATCAGAGCATTGTCATAAATCTGAATTTTTTTTTGGAAAATTTGGCGGGAAATTTGAATTTTCAATTTAGCGCCTTGGGATTTCTGGCGGGAAATTTGAATTTTCGAATTTCGCAGCTCGAAAAATTGAGCCAAGAATTTGATTTTTTGAATTTCGCGGCTTTGGAAATTTGGCAGGAGATTTGAATTCACCACCTTCAACATTAAAAAAATGCGTGTTTTTTTAAATTTCGACAATTTTTCAGCTCGAAGTTCCCGAAACTTCTATAAAACTTCAAAAAAAGTTTCCTCCCCCTTTCCCAAAAAAAAATCCAACCTGTTCAGCCAAAATCTCCGCAGTCTCCTTATCATTTCTTCTCATTTTATAAAGCGATTTGATCAATGGATGTGTCAAATTGACATGAACATGCGGTTTGAAATACACCAAATGTTCCATATCCTTAATTTCACCAGTTCTCAAAAAATGTCGCGCGGCGCCCATATCAAGTACAGTAACCATAATTGGATGATCCGATGCTCGATGATTTCCAGATATTTCAGCCACTTTTACACTTCCCAATGTTTGTTTCATCCAATCCAACAATTCTTTTTTGTCTGTGTCACGGAATTCTTCTGCAAAAATATTTAAAAACATTTTTAAATGATCGGGGGATTTTCAAAATAAAAGAAAACGAAAAACAAACTTTGATCTCCAGCAGTTTTATCCTCATTTCCAGCTTCTTCTTGTGCCCATTTTTCAACCGGTACCAAATTTTTCATCGCAAATTGTCCTAATCCAAGGAACACAACTTCATCAGCTGGATCATATAAGAATAGAACTTCTTTGTTCTGAGATTTGATAACTTCATAATATGGAGATGATTCGGCGAGTTGACGACTAAAAGTAATACGGTATTAGATGTAGAAGGGATGAAAATTAGTACAAGAAATTTCAGCAAACTCGTGAACACACCTCGGCCAAGCAGTGGCTGGCCAGAGTACAATTTTTGGAAAAATCAGAATTTCAGTTTTTAGAGGTCAAAAATTCAAAAATCTCAATTTATAGAGGACAAAAAACGGAAAAATTCACAATTTTTATACTGTAAAAAGTTAGCGTACAATTTTTTATTGTGGAAACCACGATTTTCGCCGAGGTGTGCTCGTGAAACAGTTTTCTTGTTAAAAATCCCTTCTCAATTGAAAAAAACCTACTTATTTGCATACATATAATAAATCTCCTTCTGATCTTCCTGCATTCTTTTCACATAATCTCCCAAACTTGTCAATTCTCCAGCCTTTTTCGAAGATGACTCGAAAAGCAACAATTTCGCGACTTCTTCCTAAATATACAAAATAATCACAATTTTTCCCCCAAAAAAATTACGAACCTTTACAGTCTGATCTTGTTCAGTGACAACACCTTCTTTGAAATACAATGAATAATTGCGGTAGAATTCCGAATATTTGACTGGATCTTTTCGCATTTCAGATTGGAGGGATCCAAGAATTTTATCGGTTAGGATTTTTTTGAGTTTACGTAGGACCGGGTTGTTTTGTAGCATTTCTCGACTCAAATTCAATGGAATATCTTCTGAATCGACGACTCCAATGACAAAACGAAGATAGCTGAAATTATGAGAGCCTAGAGCTAAAATTTTGCTGCATGGATGTTTTTAAGCTGAAAATTTTGCCACGTGGATTTATGAGCTGAGAACTGTGCCACGTAGATTTTCGAGCTCAAACTGTGCCACGTGAATTTTTGAGCTCACTCAAATAGTTACCACGTAGATTTTTGAGCTCAAAATTGTGCCACGTGGTTTTCCAGCTTAATTTTCGCTTCCTGCGGTTAACACTCGCTTCTCGAAAAAAACCCACTTTGGAATGAGTTCTTGTGCATCTGGTTTAATCAAAACTCTTCTCGCATACAAAGACAATCCACACATTTTTTTGCTGAGCCATAAATGATAATTGATTGAATTGCGATTGAGGAATATAAATCACAGATCGCAATGAGATTGGTGTATCAGTCTGAAAAACATCTTCTTGAATTTCAAAAAAATTCAAAGAATATTGAAATAAATCTTACTTGAAAATGAATAGTGTATTGAGGAGTTTGAAAAATATCCGATTTTCCTTGCGTTTTGACAAGTTGTTTGAAAAAGTTCTCATGCATTTCCTTGTTGACTTCTCTCGCTTGCATCGTCCAAATCGCGTTCAAATTATTGACTCTTTCGCCATTCACCAAAATTGGCGCCGAAACGAAATATGAATATTTGTTGATGACCTCTTTGATTCGCTCTTCTTCTGCATAACTCGCCGAATCTCCAACTTTCAATCGAATTTCAATACTTGTTCCAGTTGGAAGACCAGAAGTCTCAGCAATTTCATATGTATTATCACTGAAAAACAAAAAAAAAGATATTTTTGAGTGAAACATCAGTTAAAAGCTTACCCATTCCAAGTCCATTGCAATCCATCCGAATCCGAACTTCCAACTTTTCGAGTTCGAACAACAACTGAATCAGCCACCATGAAAGCCGAATAGAAACCAACACCAAATTGTCCGATTACAGCTTCAGCATTTTCCTTGTTCTGGAAAAAAACGATGAAGGGGAGAGGCATAGAAAATTGGGAGGGAATTTTTTGTCTTGGGAAAAAATTCCTGCTGAAAATAGGGTTGTCCATTTTTAGAAAATCGTGCCCCGTTTTCTCTAAAATTCCTACATTCTCAATAAAATCCTTGGATCCAGATTTGGCAATTGTTCCAAGAAATTTCACCAAATCCTCTCGATTCATTCCAATTCCAGTATCTTCAAATGTAATTGTTCGATTATCCTGAAATCCCAACATTTTCTATTTTTCTTCATAAATTCCTCTTATCTACCTTATTAGTGACAATTCGAATTTCAGATGGTCCTTCAGCAACATCTCCTTTCAATTCAGCATATCTTCGTTTTTCCAAAGCATCCGATGCATTTGAGATCAATTCGCGGACAAAAACCTGAAAATGTTAATTTTTTTTGAAGAAAATTCCAAATTTTCCCAGAGACAATTTTTATTTTTATGATAACGTTGCACTAAAAATTATCGATTATTTATTTTTGAGAAAATAAATAAATGTTTTGGACAGGAAATTTTCAGGAATTGAATTACCTTTAATTATCAGGTTACTTTTGAAGAAAATTTCTCTGGAAATGAGAGAAAAAAAATTTTTGGGAAAAAAAAATAAGAATTCCAACTCAAACAGTCCACGTTTAAAATGAAGGTCAGCAAAATTTTTTTTAATTTAAAAAACATGTGAATCTGTTTCGGAATTAAGAGATTTGTGGGTTCCATGAGAAAAAACGGAACATCACAGACCTGGCCGGATTTTCAACATTTCAAATTTCCCACCAAATTTTCCAAGGCGCGAAATAGAAAAATTCAAATTTCCCGCGAAATTTTGGAAAAAAAACAAAGCCCGGTCAAATTTTCAAACTCGCAATCTCCTCTCCGCAAAAATCACAAACCTCGCTGTGTGAATAAAGTGATTTCGCGACAATATCCATCAGATTTTTGGTCTCCGCTTGGAATTCATGCTTCTGTGCTTCCGATGCGAACCATCTCTTTTGATTTTCCAAAACTCGCGGTTTCCTTGCCTCATTTTGTGTTACACAAATAGCTCTCGAAGTTGCTGCTCGAATTAATCGAGAAGTTCGCAAAACTCGTAACATCTGAGCGTTTTTTGGAATTTTTTTTCAAAGATTTCATATAGATATTCTACAAGTTAAAGTAACTTGATAAGGTAATCTAATATGATAAAAAATTCTTAAAATGCATTTATTTGAGGTAAAAGTAAAAAAATTGTACATAAAGCAGATATTCACAATTGAGCATTTCACATCCCGAATCACAATCGTTTTTTGCAATTTTTATTGTCATTTTTCTGCCCAATAAATTGTTGCAACACAAAATCGCGACTATCTTGTGAAGAAGTTATCATATCATGAAAACTTTGTTGAACTTCCGAATCAGTGAAACCTAAGGATGTTGTTGGTTGCGGATTTGTGGTTGAAGCAGCGGCATTTTGATTTGATGTTGATGATAAATATTTCGTTGGGGTCGATGAAATTTCGCCAAATAAAATGTCAGTTAATTCGCAACGAGATCTGAAAAAATATTTTTCTTCGAGGGAAAACTGGGGTTTCTTTTTTGAATTTCCAACTCACAAATCATCATCTAATTGTGGATTCAATGATTTTCTGGTTGTTGAAGGTGACATTGAAATATCGCCAAATAATGAATCGATAATTGATGCTGCCGTTTTCTTGGGTGTTTTTGTTGGAGTTTTGAGAGAGTCCAAGAATTGCTCATTCAATTTTCGCTGGCGAGAATCGCATTTTATTGGCGATGGGTTGAACTGGAAAAATCAAAAAATTAGACCTTCGAGCACTTTTTCCCCATGTTTTTTGGAATTTTGAATGTTTTTGGTCTTTTTTTGTCAATTTTCAATCATTTTTTGGTTATTTTTCCAACAAAAAAAGAATTCTGGAATTCGAGAAAAAATTATCAATTTTTGGCGATTTGGTCAATTTTTGGTGATTTTTTTCAATTCAAAAAAACTCAATAAAACTCACATCACTAAAATCAGTTTTCGGACTATTGATCCTCGTTTTCTTCGGCGATTCTCGTATACTTTTCGGAATTAATTGACAAACTATCGGTGATTCAACAATCGGTGGTGGAATTGGTGTCGAACATAACATTGCTTGTGGAGTTCGATTATTAATCGATAACGATGAATTATTAACCGCAGGTGAAGATCGAATCGCTTTCTACAAAAAATCAACTTTTTTTGGTTGAGACACTATTTGTAAAACCTTATTTACCTTCCCATTCACTTTAGATTTCCTCAATCCCAATAGTTGATTTTTAAATGCATCATTTTCAGCTTGTACAATATCAGGAGGTGCTGTATTTTGATGATTATTAATTTTTGGTTTTTTCGCAATCGGCTCTTCTTCATTTTGTGCAACAGATGGATCTTCAGAACTTTTTGTTTGAAGAATTGAAGTGGGGACAGGAAGAGGAGCGCATATCGAATCACCATAATCTCGAGATAACATATCAATCATTGCTTCCCATGGTTCTAGTCGAGGTTCAATATTCATTTCGTATTGTAGTTCAATTATATCCGTCATTCCACACTAGAAAAAAAGGTTTTTGGAATTTAAAGAGAGAAGTTGAATAGTTTGCTGGTGGTGGGAAAAGAGTGAAAAATCGGTGCAAACTTGACAAAAAATTTTGTAATCAAAAAAAATTGGTCAGAAATTGACTTATTAAATTTTTCCGAAATTTTATCAATAAAGTTTTAAAAAATTAATTTCAGGTCCAAAATAATAACTCACTGTGCAGTACAATTCAGCCACTATAATATTCCCAACATTTTTCTCCGAAATCCCTTTTTTCATAATTTCATCAGTTAAACTAAAAGGCTTCGGATACAGCACATTGTATTTTGGTTGAATTTCTAAAAAAAAACTTTAATAATTTTAAATAAAAAAAACAAAATTCTGAACTTACGCATTCCATCTTTCGAAATTCCACCATTCAAATTTGGTTGCGCGTCTTTTGTATCAATTTGAAGTTCTTCGGTTTCTTTTCGTAATTTATTCAAAGATAATGCAACAAATGGGGAAATTTCAGTTTCAACAACTTGTAATCGACCAACTTCGGTTTTGAAACTCGGCCAAATTCGAATATTTTTAGAACTCTGAAAAAATGGAGTTTTGGAAAAAAAAATTATCAATAATTTCACTAACATCTCCATTCGCCCATTTCTTCGTCAACAATTCGATCAACTTTGCCAACCTTTCATTCGTACTCATTCTTACTTTCAAAAGTGGATTTTGAAAAGTGGAACGAATGAATGAAGAAACACTATTTGACACCGGTTTGAGGCAAAATATCACATCCGATGGGAATTTTTCAACGCGTCGGTTTTCTGAATAAATAATTTTGAGCTATTTATTGAACAGGGAACAAAAAAGGAAAGAAGGACTCACTAGTGAACCATTTGATTAAACTTGGACATGGCGGAGTTTTGATTTGCACTGATTTTTTATTCATCCTCACAGTTGTTGAGCTGAAAATTTAACTAGATTTGAGGACTCACTCACATTGTCTCTAGTCTATTTTCCCCCTTTTGGGGATAAAAAACGTGTACTTCTGTCTTGGGAGCTTAAAATTGTGATTTTTGGCCAATTTCTGATAAAATTTTGAACAAAAAAGAGGTCAAAAATAGCCAAATGTTGTTTTTTTTGAGTAACAAATGCATCAATTTTTGAACTTTCTATCCCCATAATGGTATGAAAGACACTTGAATATTTCCCCTTCGAATCAAATCCTTCAAAGTCCAAACATACCCTTCAAAGAGCAATTCCTTCAATCTCTCACTAACAAATTTCCCATGATTCGTCCTCTTCTTCCATTCACACGCATTCAACGCCAAAAACAATTCTTTGGCGTCTTTTGGCACCGCTTCTCCTCCCAAATCCTCTTCCTCAATCGATAATAATTGCTTGATTATTTTGAGCGAATTATAAAAATAGTTTTTGATTTGATCTTTGTCTTTCATCACTTTTCGTTTCGACAATCCTCGTGCAACACTATCAAAATCTTTTCCATACTGAAAACAGAGAGGATTTGTGAGATGGAGAAGGGAAGTGAAGAATAGAACTCACTAATTTCAAAGCTTCATAATATGCCATAATATCATCATGCGTCCAAGTTTTTCCTCCTTTTTTTCGAGCCAATTCGTTGTCATTTTCTGGAAAAACAGGTCTTACAAAATTCCAGGCAAAAACTTCAAAAACTGACCATTATTTGTCAATCCAGATGTGCTCGGCCCTGCCGCATTTTCCAAAATAGTTGTATCCATAGTAGCCAATACCATAGCAGCTTGTGATTCTTCATTTGTAAGCACTTGTGGATTGGTTTTCTGTGGTGGTGGAATCGGCGGGCGGAAGGCTAACCTTCTTCGCGAAACTCCTGATGTTGAAGCATCGTCTTCCATCTAAAATGATTATTTGACTTGAATATTTCAAGAACTTTGAGATATTAAAATGTCTTCAGAAACATTTTGAAGAAACAAAGAAAAAGAGAAAATAAATACAACTTCATTCAAAAAATCATGGCTTTTGAATAAAACTTGGATCAAATTGTTCTAAATTGTCGAGGATTTGAGTGACGCGGTTTCTGAAAATATTATAAAGTTTTTTTCCCGTTATCAAGATAAAAATGACTTACTTGAATTCCAAATCCGAATTCGGGTCAAAAATCGATCGATCTGGGACCATGACACATTGCATTCCGGCTGCAAGTGCAGATAATACACCATTATACGAATCTTCGAAAACTAGGACATTTTTTGGCGAGGCGGGTTGGGATGAGAATCTGAAGATTATGCAGATTTTTGTGAAGTTCTGAGTTTCATACATAAATTTTGAGAAGTGCTCCATTTCCAAGCCATTTCAATTACAATAATTCTCGCGTTTTATTTTTTCAAAAAAAATGAACATAATATTTTTTACACGTTAGATCTTATCTTCCACAAATAACCTAAATGACGTGTAAATGTTTTGTATAAATAGACTTGCTTGGTGTGATTAGATATTTCTAAATTTGTATAAAAAATGGTGAATGAAGCTGAGCCGAAAAAAGTGGCTAGAAGAGCCGCAAAGAAGGCGCCAAAGAAGAGGGGCAAAAAGAAGCCCCTCTTCCCGCGCGAAGACGTTTCTGGGGAGAGGAAAAAGAGGATCGTGAGTTAGAATTATTTTTGATCAGGAAAATGAGGAATGATTTTTTGCAGAAACAAGCTCGTGAACAGGGCCTCCGAAGGGGATATCAATATGAAACAGATTCCGAGGCGGAAGAAGAAAAGAAAGAGAAACCGGCAGGAGAAAAGAAAACTTGAATAAATCTCTTGAAGTGTTTAATGTGAACGTGTTTATCTGTATTATTCTTCCCGCGCAAAATAAAACGATAATTGAAAAAGTCGCATACACCGTGACTCAAAATTGCACGGAAACAATATATTAGCTTCTGTGCAGGTCTCAGTGTGTTGTTTTTTGGTGCAAAACAAGATTAAACGAGATTTGGATTTCTCTTCCATGGACTAGAAAACATTGTTGTTTTTTGTGATTCCTAGGATTTTTCTCTATTTTTTAACAAAAAAACCAACCTTTTCATAGTAACCAAAAATGGATCAGGATGTGGTTTTCCAAATTTCACTTCCGGATCATCGCCCGACAAAACTTGCAATTTAATAAGATCCAACCAATCTGCATGATTTTTCGCCTTTGGTGGAAATGTTCGACTACAAGAACCAGTGCATAATGCAACCGGAATATCTGGAAAAAAACACTGTTTCGTGTCAAAGATCATAAATTTTTGAAGTGTACGAACCTTTCTCAATCAAATATCGCACAAGTTTTTCAGCTCCAGGCAATGCTTCACTTTTTAAGAAAAGTTCATTCAAAATTCGATCATATTTTTGTGAATATTCTTGTTCGGTGATCAAATGTCCGATTTCCATTTCATTTATCAGCCAGCGAATTGCTTCATCGTGTTTTTTACCCATTTGTCCTAGAAAAATCAAAAATGCAGGTGTTGTCCAAATTCGGGCAGACCTGATCGGAATGGCTCCAAGAATCTATCCTATTCCGATCAGACCTGATTTCGACTTACTTCTTTTCAAATCCATAGTGAATTCCTTTCCAAATTCCTTCAAAATCTCTGAATTCGCAATTGTATACGCAGGCTCCGTATCAACTAATAACCCATCAAAATCAAATATCACATGAGTAACCGGCTCGAAAACCATGCTAAAATTTTTGATGAAAACATCCAGAATTTTTCTTGAAAATAATTATGGCTTAAAAACCACTAAACCAAAGAATAAATTATATCTGATTGTGAATAAAAATATTTAATTCATATTTCAAAGTATTCAAAAATAAAATAAATAAATAATCCCGTAAAAAGTGCAATAGAGTATCGAAGTGGAATGGCAAAAATATGATCAAAAACAATTAGGTAACTTTGAAAAGTTGAAATTCTCTCGGCTTTTTCTGCCAAATTCCGAGATCATTTGTGCGTAAATATTTTTGGAATGCAGTTTTCGCCGAATCGTATTCCAGACTGCCACTTTTGAGGCTTTCATATGTCAAATTTGGTTCAATTTCGATGTTCGCAATTTTACAAACCTGGAAAAACAATCATTTTGTGATTTGAAATCTGAATTTTAGTCAGCTTCAAAAGTTTTTCGAGCCAAGATCTAAAATTAGAGCTCAATCTTCTGATTTTCCAAGTTTTCTCCAAAAAAACCTACTTTCACCATCAATTCCGCCATTTCCTTTTTACACAATCTTGATGAATTGATAATCTCAACCCCAGTCAAATCTTTCGTATGAACTTTTCCATCACCAGTTCGAACTATTTCAACATTTCCATCAGCAATATTCCAATTCACTGAATTCGGCGTAGTTTTTGCATTATTCGAAGAAGCTTGTTCAGTATCATCAATCTATAAGAATACATTTTGAACAACAATTACAAAAATCAAATAATAAGAAAGTACCTGACATTGTCCAACGAGAACATTTTTCTTTTTATAAGGAAAAGGTGGAATAAATCCATTCAATCTCGTATTCACCGCCCGTTGTAGTCTTGCATTATTATTCTGTTCGGCCACTCCGATTGATGTATAATAAATTGGATCGATTAAATGTGACAATAAAGATCCTTGAATACCTAGAATTGAAATTTTCAGAATAAAAATCTCCTTATTAAAAAAAAATTCCAATCACATACCTAAAACAGTGGTTCTCAACAATTTATCCGAACATGACATTGTTCTCATCCGTTCTCCTAACAAAATACCATCAAAAGTTTGCGGATCTGTGAATTCGTCATCGTTTCCAAGTACAGTACCCATTCCTTTGTCGATTTTGAAGCGAAGTTTTAATGCCAAATGAACTTCTTCTGCATTTTCTTCTTTCACTTTTTTCTGAAAAAAATTTATTAAGGCTTATATATCGTTTTGAGTTACAAAAAACTTGAATCAGACTTACTCGAAATTTTCATTAAAAAATTTCAAAATTCAAAATTGTCTTCATTTTCAAGTTCAAAATTTCTTAGACTTACCATAACTCTTCCAGTTCCACATGGTGCTGTGTTAATGAATAAATGAAAAGTGATTCCAGGTCTAAGGATGAGTTTTCCACGATGTCCTTCGCGAAATATTGAATCATGGGTTAGCGAAACAAATTTGATGATTTCGTTGTACAAAAATCTTTGAAGACCTCGGCGAACCAAGATTTCGGCGTGGCAATCAAGAAGAGCACTTCCATCTAATGTTACATTTTGACCTGTAATTGATTATTCAAGAAGCGGCTGCTTGAAAACTAGGGTTTCTAGGCTCAACTACTTGGCATAATGGAATTCTAGATGCGAGTCTTAGACAATTGGGCTCTTTAGGAACGGCTACTTGAGTACAAGGATCTCTAGGAGCGGCTGCTTGAAAATTGAAATTTTGTAGACGCGGCTACTTGTAAGTTCCTTGCCATAGTGTATTTCAAGATCTCTTAAAGAAACGTAAAAAACTAGAAACGTGTGTTCGTAATCGTAAATATTTGAAGGTGCGTCTTCTTCGAAAAAAATTGCCCACCTGGAATTCCAGGTATTGGGTGAGGTTTGCAAAAAAATCAACTAAAAAAATTATGCAACGTGTCGACCGGGGAGAAATAACACGTGCACCAGTTTCAAAATAGTTCAGTATTTTATATTTGAGAAGTTAGTAAACGGCAGGTAATTTTTCTAGCTACCTTCTTGAATATCATCCAAGACTTTTTCAGAATCAAATTCTTGGAATAAATTACAAAATGGAAAGGGAAAAAACTGAGAACAAAACTTTAGCAAAAAATGAGATTCATGTGCAATTTCAAGAATTTGGGCAGAAAGCCCGAAAAAATCACTGTTCGGAACGTGAGATTGTGGTTGTAATTGATCAGAGCTCAACAATAACTACTCCAACTATTCCATATGCAACTGGTTATAAATTAGCGCTACTTGATATACAAGCAGATGAATCACTTACGAGCCAATGTATGGAAGATGAACAATTCGAATCTGATTACATCAAAAACAAATTACAATTTTATCCATGGTATTGGGGTATGGTTTTGAGAACAAAAATGGATAATATTTTAAAAGTAACTGTGTTCTAAAATTGATCTACAAAAAGTACAATACTATTTTTCAGTGGAATAATTCATTTGTTGTTCGGCGATCGATTGACAGATTGCAAAATAAATTATTCATAATTACTACAGTGCGTTTCATAATGATAGGTTCACCCCCAAAATTTCTGAAATCAGCCGAGGTGTGAGTTGTAATAACAATCCGAGTTAAAAATAAAAAAGAGCACACAAAATTAGCTAAGAAAACTCAATTTTATCTGAAACTACCAAATAATAAAAAAATAAATGACCGGAGTTCAAAAATTTCAAAAATTTAGCGTTTCAAAACGATAGGTTCACCTAATCCAGAATTCCCATTGGAGACATATAATCGAAAATCAATACTTAGTTGGACCTCCATGTTTAGAAATGACATCATAGAGACGATTTGGCATCGAGTCAACAAGTCTCTTGAGGTAGTTCTTATCGATTTTATTCCATTCCGTCTCGATGGCATCTTTGAGTTGGTCCACAGTATCATATTTTTTTCCTTGAGCATAAACTCGGCGAACGAGCTCCCCCCATACGTTTTCCATCGGATTAAGATCAGGAGAACACGCTGGCCAATCCAAAACTTTGATTTTGTGGCTTTTGAACCAATCTTTTGATGATTGGCTGACGTGGATGGCAGCATTATCCTGTTGAAAAGTGAACTTTCTGGTCCGGAACCGCCTCAAATATGGCAAAAGATAGTCATGGAGGGTTTTTGGTAATCTAACGAATCCATCTTGAATGAAACAAAAGCTATTTTTAACGTTCCAGCTGCAGAAAATGCGCCCCAACACATAACCCGTCCTCCTCCAAAATTTCTCTTTGGGAAGCGAAGTTGATCCTTTCTGATATCATGCCAGTATGAGTTGTAACCATCCGGACCATCAAGATTAAACTTTTTTCGTCAGAAAAAATTATCTGAACAAGAAAACATCAATATTTGATGTTTTTAGAAAAATTACTTACCTTATCCCAATCTGTGGCCATGTTGGCTTTTGCGAAAGTAAGACGGTTGTCTTTGTGGCGAAGTGTGAGACGCGGAGCTGGCACCAATTTGGCTCGAACGATTTCTGGGGATTGGTCTATGGCTCTCCAAACTGTAGTCTTACTGATATTCAAACCCAGCTCGTTTTTGATGTCATTACACGATTTCATTGTGTTCGAAGCCAACCTAACAATCCCTCGTTTATCTCTCTCCGTGAGTTTTTTGGGAGCTCCAGTGTTTTTCATTCGCTCATAGTGATCCGGATTGTTGACAAATTGATTAATACAGTTGAGAGATCGTTTCAATTTTGACGAAATCATTCTATTGGACCATCCGGCGATTTTGAATGCTCTAATTTGAGCTTGTTCCTCTTTTGTAAGATGACTTCCCCGCGACATTGATGAATGACGTGAAAAAACGAGAACAAAAACAGAAACACGTTAAAATAATCAAATATCACTCGTATTTTCCAGAATATTCGATAAAACTCCTACCACGAAACATAACTACAGTACTACTGCGGGTGAACCTATCGTTTTGAAACGCTAAATTTTTGAAATTTTTGAACTCCGGTCATTTATTTTTTTATTATTTGGTAGTTTCAGATAAAATTGAGTTTTCTTAGCTAATTTTGTGTGCTCTTTTTTATTTTTAACTCGGATTGTTATTACAACTCACACCTCGGCTGATTTCAGAAATTTTGGGGGTGAACCTATCATTATGAAACGCACTGTATGAAACGAAATAATATTATAGAACACTATGAAATTTGTCGAAAATATACTAAATGGAGTGTTCCGAGATTATTAGACGAAAATCAACATTTCGAAGATATTCACGAACTCATGAACATGTTGTCAAAAAAGTTAAAGGGTGGAACTATTCCGATTCCAAGACCTCCGACTATCATTTACCATAATAATATAAAAATGGGAAAAGTATTAGGAAAAGGAGCATTTGGTGATGTATTACAAGCGAGAATAACATTTCCAGGTGGAGAAGTTCGAGAATGTGCTGTGAAAATGATTCGAGGAGATGCAACGAGAACGCAGATTGGCGAGTTCTATCAAGAAGTTCATATTATGAAGTTATTTGATAGTCCCTATGTAGTTAAGCTTTATGGAACGGCATGTTTATTGACACCTGTTATGGTTGCAATGGAATTATTACCTGGAGGAAGTGTATGGAATTATTTGAGGTATCACATTGTTGTATGAAATAAATAAGTAACTTGTAAATATTTTCAGAAAAAATGAAAATGTGAGTTATGGTAAAATGTTCGAAATGGCATGTGACATCGCTAAAGGAATGACACATTTAGTTGATTGTCAAGTTATTCATCGAGATTTGGCAGCTCGAAATTGTTTGCTGACTGCAGATCATCGTGTGAAAATATCAGATTTTGGTCTATCGATTGAAGCAACTCAAGTTATTGTCAAAAAATTGAAACAAGCTCCAATTCGATGGCTCAGCCCAGAAACCCTTACTAAAGGAATTTTCAATGAAAAAACTGATGTTTGGTCATATGGAGTTGTTCTTTGGGAAATATTCACCAAATGCGCCAATCCACCATTACACCCAAAAACCCAAAAGGAATCAATTTTGGTTATCAAAGAAGTGGAAAATCCACACAATTTAGAAGATGAGAAAGAAGTGAATGAAATTATAGCATCTTGTTGTAACAAAAATTCATCCGATCGTCCAAACTTTGAAAAAATTATAAAATTATGGGAACCTATGCTCAATAATACAAAAATAATCGATGTAAGCTTTTTCTAGTTGTTTGAAAAAAAATCAACATTTTTCACACAGAAAATTCCGAAGAAATCCCAGTCGAAGGATAATCTATCAACGAAAGAAAAAGCTGATAAAAAAGAAAAATCGAAAGATACAAAAGGCAAAAAACCTTCGAAGTTTTTTTCTCACGCTAAGATAACTCAATATAAAAATTAAATTTCTGAGAGAAGCAGACATTTGAAGACACAGGAACCTTTTTGTTAATGTACTTCCAATGAGTGAAGGTTCTTTTATATCATCCTTCACTGAAGGATGATATCGAACGATTTCTAGCTTTCTCCGTGTCTTTATGTATGTTGAGCCTTTTGGGCTTTCGTAAAATCAAAAAAAACAGTCCACGTTCAAAAATTGTTGAAACTCTCACCTCGTAGACATTTATTCCCCGTCGCCAACGTAATCAATCTCAATTGCTCATCAACTTTAATAAACACACTCGCAATCACTTTCTCCATTCCATAAATTTCCGGATTCTCTCTCGATAAATCATAAAACTTTGCATAAGTGTGCTCTCTCATCAATTCGAAAATCGTTGTTTCTTCTTCGAATTTCGCATCGGCTAGAAATGGTTGACTCAAACAATTCAACAAAACACTCAATCCTTTCAAAGCGCACGAAAGTTTTGCCTTTTTCTTCTGTGAAAATAATCCGCCTTCTATATAAATCCCATCAAACGATGTGAAACATAGGAATTTAATTTGATTTTCCTCAATTGTTCGAGTTTCGAATTGCATTTCTGGAGACATTGCGGTCAACTGCAAATTCTGACTTTCATTCCAAATAAAATTTAAAAAAAAAGTAAATTACAAACCTGAACATACATTTCAGTGAACAATGATATCGGATTTTTTCCACTTCTTTCTACAGTTTCCTTCACCAACGCTGAAACATTTTCACTAGCAAAAACTGATTGATCAACTATAGATTCAGGTTTAACTGTCACTGCTTCAACACTGCCACTTTCGGACATTCTGAAAACATTATTTTTCCCTGCCTTTGTGAAAATTTAATGAAATAGTGTTAAAAATCGTGTTTTAACGATAAGAGAAGCTTTTAAAAAATCAAAAAATAAACTTTCATCTACAAAAAAAAACACTTTAGGCACACTATTACATATCTTCAAAAAAAAAAACATCCGGACTACAAAACAATTATCTGTCGTTCGATTTAACGGTAAAGATATTCAGCTTGCAAGTTTGAAGCCAATTCTGGTTCCCATCGATCACCGTTAAGCAATAATTTTTCCTGAAAATTATATTCATCTAGCTTTAAATTCGAAAAAAAAGTCAAAAGAGTTACCTTATTGTAGAGCAACTCTTCGTGAGTTTCAGTCGAATATTCGAAATTTGGTCCTTCGACAATCGCATCAACAGGACAAGCTTCTTGGCACAAACCACAGAAAATACATTTTGTCATGTCGATATCGTATCGAGTTGTACGACGACTGCCATCTGGACGAGTTTCGGCTTCGATGGTGATTGCCTGGAAATTATATGTACTTTGAGATTGAAGAAAATTACAAAAATTGTCATTATTTCAATAAAAAAAATTCAGAACTTTTCGAAAAATAAATCTTTAAAAAAACTAACTTGAGCTGGGCAGATAGCCTCACATAATTTGCAAGCAATACATCTTTCTTCTCCAGATGGATATCTTCGAAGAGCGTGTTCTCCACGGAATCTCGAACTCAATGGTCCTTTCTCAAATGGATAATTGATTGTTGCCGGCTCCATGAAAACGTGTCCCAACATGACACCAAAACCGCGGAACAATTCGGTGAAAAATATTGTATGCAAACCGTAGTTCAAGTCTCCGGCAACGGTTCCATCACTTTCAGCTGGCATACCAACGTATTTGTAGTTTGATCGTTTTTGTTGAACATTTCCGGTTGTGAGTGCGAGTTGGGCATTTCTGCCGAATATTCCTTTTGTCAAACTTGCCACGTTTTTCAACGCCATCCTTGGTTAATTATCTGCAACAATTTTGAATAACAATCATCGATATTTTTCACGTAAAAACTGCTGGAAAAAGAAAAAAACAATTCGCGAAGCGCGCAAAACACCATCTTTCTTCAGAATGCAAACGCGCTCTGTCGCACACCGGGGCTGTGAGGAGCGGTTGACAAGAGAAAATGCGCTCTGTTGCTCGCACCGGGGGAGTTTAAAATTGATTTTTTTTCCAATTTTTTCATTTTTCCTTGGAAGAATCAAGTAAGCATCATAAAAATCTATCTTTATTATCATCATCATAAAATATGTTTTTAAAAAAATATGTTTCATTTTTACACGTTGGGTATATAAGTAATCGCTATACAATTAAAGCTATAAAAAATGATTTGTGGTTATTTAAATAATTATTTTTATTTCAAATTTTGAACCAAGTTTTGAAGACATTTCACATGATTTCGAGAAGATGTTAAGATCCTCGAACAATCGTGTCTTTCCGCCATTTCTGAAAAAATGTTTTTTTTTTTGTTTGAAAAAAAATATCTCTAAAATGAAATTACCATTGAAAAATTTGATCATATCTGTAAAATCCATATTATTTGTAACAATAACATCTCGATAATTAGTGACTAATGCCAATGCGAAGAATAACGCGAAATTTTCAGTGATTTCCAATCGAGTTGCAGACCAAATAGTTTCCCATACTTTATAAGTGCATTCATATGAAAGTTCTCTTTTGAAATCAAGTAAAAACCAGCGATATGAGAAATAAAGATGGGTGAAATCGGAAGACGCGGTTAACATTTGGAATATTTGAGGATCAACCACTTGAATCAATGAGCGAAGGTTTGATAAACATTTGTCCATTCCACTTCGTTGTGGGAAGTTTTCACGAAGTCGAGCCATCAAGATAGTGAAACATTCCAAAGTCAGCGCTTCTAAAAAAAAATTTTTTTTTTTTTGAAATATTCCCCAGATAAAATATTACCATCCTCAAAAACCACCAAAAGTGGTGCCAATAAATCGCACATTCCCTGAATATACCCCTCTTCCAAATTTCGGCGAACATACGTGCACATAACTCGACGCAAACTCTCCAAATTATCTTTATTCGAGAAAAATATGAGATTTCGATCACATCTTTCAACATCTTTGTCGATTCGATGAAGATTTGCCATGAATGAGACGACGAGATGTTCATGATCATCACGGTGTGAACATGTTGGTTCCTAGAAAAAAACAAAAACATATTTACACAGAGTGTAATTTACTACCCGAAAAATTTCGCGCATTTTTTGAGACCTGACACGATCTTAGGGGTGGGACTAAAATCGACGAAATTCAACGCAAAAACGAGAGATTTAGAGAAAAATTATTTTTGATCTACCCAAAAATTAATGAAAAATTTGAGGTCTAGCGATTTGAGGTAGTGAATTACACCCTGTGATTTATAGCAGTGTTAGGCTAACTAACATCTTCAAACACTTCATTGATAATTGATCCTTCTCTCAAAGGTGTTGCAGTTTTCTTGGCTCTTGCTGCAATAAATGCTTCCTCATCTCTTCGCCGAACTTCAGTCTCAAGAACTCTCCATTCTTCAATATCATTCAAATATCTAAAAACAAACATAATAATAAATCCAATTTTTAAAACTCAAATTCATACCTTCTCGTATATTCTTCCAATCGTTGTTCACAATTTTGTTCATTCCACGTATACAATCCCATCAAATATGGCCATGCAAATCGTCTCAATTCTTTACTCTCAATTCCACAATAATACACTCTTCGCAAAAATTCGGTCTCAGATTCTGCTGTCGGATTTGATCTACATTCCTTCCAGAATTTTTCATCAACAACTTCATATTCCGATTCATCGCCATTTTCTTTTGTTGTGTTGACGAGATGTAGAAGATGTTGACGGATTGTTCGAAGATGTCGAACATAACTCAGCCAACCATAAAATGCTCGAGCTAGGATTTGATTTCGCATTGATTGACAAGCTTTGCCGATTTGGAAACTGAAATATTTGTAGAATGAACAAAAACGAAAAAATTGAAGTGTTTTGTTTTTTTTTTTACTTCCTCTAAATAAGTACTCACTTTACAACACTGTCAACATTATCAATAATATATGGAGAATTAGGTAGACTAATACATCTATCATGCATTTCTGATACATTGTACCCTTTTTTATATCCAACTCCATTTTCTTCGCCTTCTTCATCTCCTTCTTCTTCTTCAATTTCTCTTTGCGAATTCAAATTTGGAGGAGGAATCGATGGTTCAGCTCCGGAAGTTCGAACTAATCGGAATACATAATCTAGCATTGCTGAAGATGCTGACACTGCTGTCGATCGTTTTCGAAGTCGAGGTAACATTTTTTCTAGAAAAAAAGTATATGAGATTGATATGAATAGTAGGATTTTGAAAGGTTGTAGTCGGCTGGCATGGAAACCCAAACAGGTGGAAAAGGAGCAGAGAAAATGAGAAAATACTATAAAATTTTAATATGTCGACCAGACTTTATAGGAATTGTGTCATTTCAAATTGATCCAAAAAATATTTTTGAAAAAAAAACGTAGCTCTAAAAAGCCTAGAGTTTTTCTGAAAATCTAGTCCGCCTGATTTGGAACCCATATATCAACTAACCTTTAGTTGATCCAATCCAAAGCGGTGGATCCAATCTCAAAATTGGCGCAAGTCCAGCTTCAAGCGACGATAAAAATGCAATTGTATGTTGTCCAGCTGGTAAATGAAGCGGAGCACTTTGCACACCTTCACAATTCACAAATGTCAAACAAGCCGGACTTGTTTCATCTTTTTGATGAAGATGAATATAAATTATTTCAGACATGTCAATTTGTATCGCATTTTTCCATAAATTACTGAATTCACCGTTGTTTGAATGAGCGGATGATGGTTGAGAGCTGGAAGATTCAAAAGGTACTGTAAGACAATCGCCACAAAACTGTAGTTTAAACAAACCTCGCATGCATCAATTGATTCGGAATCCACTTGAGTGTCAAATTTCCATCATAATTTTTATGAAGTGATAAATAACCTTTAGCTTGATCATTATTATCAGTTGCAACTGACACATTATTTTTTCCAAAAAGTAAACTTGTTTTGAAATTGTGATGTAGAGAATAAACATAATCTCGACTAACTGAGCCATTTCGATCCAGGGATGACACAATACTTGAACCTTGTCGAGTTATCTGAAATTGGGGTTTGGAAAAAAGAAACTCAGAAAAAGTTTCTGACTTTTTAAAAAAAATGTTCCAAATTCTTTAGACACCCACTTATTCCACATTTGGATTTTTGTCTAACAAATGTAAATACAAAAAATTATTTTTTTCTTGAGATTAACTTACTGATAATGGTGGTCTAGTTGTGCTATCTCCTGATCCCACTCCTCCATTCTGATATCTATTTTTAGTTGAATTATAACTTCCACAATTAATTCCACCTCCTCTTTCAACTAATTCTTCAGCAGTTGCCTCTTCAGAAGCCATTCTTCGAAATGTGACTGCACACGGTCCTACTGAAAAAAATAGAAAAGGGTTATTTTTCAAAAAAAAAAAAAAGAGAAAAAGATGAAGCCATATGGATGCATATAATACTACTACTAATTTGTTATTTGAGCTGCGCGGCCAACAATTTTTTTTAATGAGATTTGATATTTTTCAAAAAAAAAAAATCGAAATACGTCAACAACAAATTGTTCAAGGATTAACTCGGCGACTACAAAAAAACCTGAAACATTGCCAACAACAAAAAGCTGCCAAAAAAACGAGGGAATTCCATCTGACTCTCTAATTTCTCCACTACTTCATACACTATTTTGCTGCTGAAAAATTAATCAATAAGCTGCGCGAGAGCTAAAAAAAGAAAAAAGAAAAAAGTGAGCAAAGCAAAAATGAAATGGGATGGAATGTGAGATGAAGTTTTTGCTAATCGAATTCGTTTTGATGAATATGAATATGACTAAAAACAAAAATTGAAAGTGCATGAATCTTCTTTTAGAGAATCTAGAGAAATTCTAAATTACATTTTTTTTCCAAATCCAATTTCACCGCTTTTTATTTATTTTATTTCTAGAGAAGAAGAAACCAAACAAAAAGAAAATCTTAAGACAAAAGCTTTTTGTTTTGTTTTGATTTCATTAAAAATTCATGAAATTTTTAGCAGGTCTGAAAAATGAAGAAGAAGACTTACAAAGAAGCGCCGCAACCATTCCACCTTTTGCACGATCCAACATCAGGGAATTCTTGTCATATAATCGTTGAATGCTGGAATAAATATTTGAAAATTGAAAATTTCCGGCAAAAAACTCAGATTTCATTTTCAAGATTTTTTTGAAAACTTAATTTTCCAAAGATGAAAATTTCAAAAAGCCTTTTTATTCTCAGCCAAAATTTTTTGGGTTTTCAATTTTTCCAAACTCTCAATTTCTCATGTCATCTGGAAAATTCAAAAATCGATAAATTATAAATATTTATGAATCACGAAATCGAATACAAATCATTGTACTTTGGTCCTATGATTTATTTTTTGCTCCTACAAATTGTAATCTTCTGTTTTTTCAAATCTGTTTTAATGTTTTGAATGTCATGTCTCAGATTTCATTGTGAGAAAAAAGCAAAAAATAGGGACTCTAGAAAATCTGAAAATTGAATTCTGAATTGTCAAAATTTTTGTTTCACTTGGAATATTTTTAATCTCCGGAAAATGGCAAGATTAATTTGGCTAATTGGATTAGGAAGAGCATTTTTTTTAAAAGTATAGACTGAAAAATTCCACGTAGCTTTCTATGACGTGGCAAACTAAACTTCGATTTAACATGTTATTTTTTTACTGTAGAACCAGACACATTTTTTTCCAAAATATACAAAGTTCAACCAGAAGTTCAGAACTTTTCACTCTCAAAAAAGTTCCAACAACTTTTTGAACTTTTCCGGTTTCGGTTTTGTTGTTGTCCTTCTTTCCCCAACCAAATCCCTCCATTCATAATTTTCCAAAAGTTTTTTTTCCATTTTCAAAGACTACAGTAATCTTCAATTGTTAATCTCTCTCTCCCTTTCTCACTCACTTTTTTGCAGTGCTAATATGATGTATAATAGTGCTCAATGATCTAAGATGAAGTGCTTCTCGAATCCATACTAAATGTGGTCCGATATTTGTTTGACCTTCGAATTCGTAGGTTTTGATTAATATCGTTTCGGCGGTCGCATTTTGTTTGGCAAGAATTTGAATGAGCGCCAAAGATGATCGACAACTGAATAGGCCGAGTAATCGACGACGCAATCCGTCCATTAAACAAGCATCGATTGCGACTGCAACATTTTTTTTTGAAATTTGAAAAAGGTCCGGTAAATTTCGAAATTTTTAAATCGAGAAATCAATATACAGTAATCTCGAATCGGCTACAGTAATCCTAGATTTATTGAATCTTGGAAATTTGTTAAATTAATTACAGTAATCTTAGACTGATCTACAGTAATCCCTAAAATTATTCACAGTTATCCTAATTAACCCTAAATTGATGTTAAGAACTCATACGGCCATGTGGTTTTCTATGACGTGGCAAATATTCCACGTCATCGTAATCCACGTGGCCTCCAGCCCCCAAAAAAAGACATACCGCAAAGTGAAGTAACATAAGGCGAATTCAAATCCATCATTTTCTTCGTCACCGCTTCTTCCATAATAACTTTGACCTCTTTTTTCAACTGTGAAATCAGCAGATCTTTATGTTGAGTTGAAACATTTGGTTGAGATTCTTCAACTGCACAAACACTTCCATTTCTTGTCAATCGCTCATCTTCATTTCTGAAAAAAGAGAATTTGGGAGGGGGGTGGGCTGGAGAGATACTGTAGAGATCAAAAATACCTCGGAATCCAATCAGAATTCGAATTATTGTTATCACTAAATCCAGTGATCCAATCAACAACAGAAGGTCTTCGATCAGTCGCCGATCTTCGTTCTAATGGTTTTTTCTTCCAAGTATCGGCTGATGAGTGGCGGAAGATTTGCATTCTGGAAAATTTCAAAATTTTTGAAACGAGACCTCCGAGGCAAGCGAGTGTATTCGCAAGATTCTCTGTACAACAATTGAGGGTTACTGCGGATTACTGTGATTTAGAGGTACTGTTGAGCATCTTAGGATAATTCTAAACAAGTCTGGGAGTACTGTAGATCAATCAAAGGCTACTGTAAATAAGCATAGCATTTCCGTAGCTCAATCTGTAGTATTCAATCAATATATAGTCACTGAAGCCTACTGTAGTTCAGAAATCTAGAAATACTTTAACTCGATCAAGGTTTCTATAGATCACTACTGTGGAATGATACGTTTTTGAACACATAAAAAAATCAGATTTGAAAAATTTGCCAAATTTTTGAAACGTAAAAAATTGTGGAAAATTTTCACGCAATTTTGGGTCAAAAATAACCTGTAGATCAGGTATACTATAAGTTGACCTACAATCTCAAGATTCGCGCAGCAAAATATTTTCCAAGCCTAACCTTGAGAACAAATAATCGCAAGTGCAAAAAAATAATTATGCCATAAATTAGTTACAGTAACCCTCTACTAGTTTATTTTTTTCTGCAAAAAAATTTCAGAAAAGAAGAAAAAAAGAACATGAAATTAATTCAAGAAGTGGAAAAAGTTGTTGTTTTTCTCTCCGAATACTAATATGATTTTTATTTTTTTTTCAGAAAATACTTATCAAAAAGCAAAGCAAAAACAACAAAATTACGAGTTTTGAGATTTTCGCTGAAAAAATTTGGATATCTGAAAAAAACAGGTGAAAATAATTGAATGAATTGATAAAAGTACACAGATTATGGGCGGTTCTTAGAAAAATATTCAACAAGAGCAAAAATGAATGAATGGGCGGGGAAAAAGGCCATAATGGGTCTTGAAAGGAAAAGCCTCTTAAAAAATGAAAAATGGGTTTGTTTGGGCGCCAGAGTTCAAGCAGAATGAAAAATTCTTTTGAAAGCAAAAAAAAACACATACGCATATCTAAAACATAATTAATCCAATCTCGTCTATAGAAATGAAATGAAAAAAATATGTTTTTGTATTGGGAAAATATCTATCTAAAATAGGAGGAAAAGGAAGAGGGGCACAAAAAAAAGAAAGAACAATAAACCTATTTACATGTTATTCTTTCTTTTTTTCTTTTTTTTGTGCGCGCGAAAAAATGCTCAGCTCGTTCGACTCGACTAGAAAAAAAACGAGACATACACAACCAATTTTATGTATGTATGTGCTCTTTTTCGGAAAAAAATAACACACGCATAGAACTTGAAGTGGTCTAAGCTCATAAAGCCTTGATCTTCTGAATCCACATAAATTTGGGGCTGAAAATTTTGCTGAAACCTAAACTTGAACTTGGGATTTCGGGTCGACTCGTAGTAAAAAAATGAAAAGTGCATTTTCAGATATTTTTTCCTGCCATAAAAAACCCACAGTATTCTCAAAAATGTCTCTCTCTCTCAAAAAAATGCTCAACGATCCAGAAAAAATCATTGAAAAAGTACACTTTTCATATATATTTTTTTTTCTTTTTGTCGAATTCGAAGTGGAAAACAACCACATTTTCTCAACAATTATACGTTTTTCATGGGAAAATATCTATATGTATAATTTCAGCCGACCAAAATGTGTGTGTGGGCTGATTGAACTAACAAAACCAAAAATCCAACCAGCAAAAAAAAAACAGGAATCTTCGGGAATTTATAATTTCTTGTCTGGATGACAATCGAAAAATTAAAATCAAGAAAAAAAAGAAGAATCTGACATTTTTTGTTTTATTAATTTTATTGGGAAAAATACGTTTCAAAAAATTTTTATACAAAAAAATGAGATTCACAAAATGCTATTGCATTCTACCGTTGCATAGAAAAATTAAAATCATAATAATAAATAACTGGGATTTTTCAAAAGTTCGGAATTTTTATTTTGAACCCGATTAAGATAGTTTTGACATATTGAACTACTGTAGTTAAGTAGCAGATGTGTGCAATTGTGCGTCGCGGTGTATGTGTGTGGTTCCCCGCGCTTTTGACTTAATTTATTTTTCTGTGCGTTTTATGGATTGATTTTCGCTCCCGGAGCGACTGTGGCGCGAGTGTATACCGCAAGCTCCCGCGAAGCGGCACTGTCTTCCGCTTGCGGCAAGTCGCACGCGGAAAAGATATATTCAGAGTTTTTTTCCCATCTGAATCACCCCATAAGAAGAGAAAATGCACTTCACACATTTATCGAAATGAAAAAAAAAATGTTCAGATGAATAATTCGCTGAACTCGGCATAAACTTTGGTTTTTCTAATGAATATTCATCCAAGTTTTCATCTGAAAACACATCAAAAAGTTCCACTTATTTTCAAAAAGAAAAATTCAATTTCGAGCCACTAAAACAAAAAAAAAGTTTGTGAGCACTCAAATGTTTTTCTCTTTTTCTTCATCTTTCTGCTCGTTCATTCAATTTTCTAAATTGCCATGAAGCGAAAAATTTCTGGAATGAGTCAATTGAGTCAGTCCAATAATTTTTATGTGCAAAAAATGACATCAGGAAAAAAAGTAAGCAAGAAAGTTTTTATTAAAGGTGCTCTCTTGCAAGATCTTGGTGAAAACATCGTCTGCAAAAAGGTGTCACGGTGTTAGGCAAAATCGAACATGAAGATGGTTTTGTGCTCTTTGAAGTCATTTTACGGATTTCTATCGAACTCTTTTTGCTGTCAATGTTTTGCTTTGGTGTTTTTGCTCAATAAATATATTTTTTCTAAAGAAAACATGTGTTAATCTAATTGTGAGAGTAGAAAAACCTTCTCAAAAATATTCATTGAAATAATTCATGCGGCTTGATTGTTTACTGATTTTTGTGTTGAAGGCGAAATCGGTTCCATTTTGCTCGAAGATTTTTGGTGTTTTTTGATCTTCAATTTCCAAAAAAGGAATCCTCCAATCAAAATAATAGCAATGAAAATAAGAACACATACAACTATGATAATAATAATGAGAGTTGTTGAGTTATTTGACGATGAAATGCACAATCCAAAATGTTCGACACGTTTTCCATTTTCAAACTCCAAATATTTTGTATATCCTTTAAGACAACTTTGGTTCGAATCGCAATTTTCATCTGTTGTACATGCTTTTATTCCAACTTTATTTGAATCAACATCGTAGTTTTGAGGCGGGTCCGAAGTTGGTACTGAAATTGAATTTTTCTTGGAGGGGTAAAAGGTTCAAGTGTAAAATCTACCAATAAAAAACGAAAACGTTTGGCAGTTTCCCTGTTTTAACTTACATTTGAAGCAGAATGTGTTGGTTTCATCGAAATTTCCATTATCCTCATTCAAACTATAAATATTGGAACAAAATTCGTTTTCAGCACAATCCCCATTTTTTGCGCATTTCTTCATTTTTGATTTATGTGTTCCGTTTTTCCAATCAACTGGCAGATATTGTTTACCGATTTCTCCAATTTTATTATCATGATCAAGTTTTTTGAAAATCGAATAAAATAAATATGCAACGGGTTTCGATTCAATACACAATCCTTCATAGCTTTTTCGTTTTCCAAACTTATATTCTGATGTTGGTTGAATATATCCAGTCCACGTCAATAATTTTCCATCAATGTCGTATTGTTTGGCACATACACTATTCTCATCACAATCTGCATTTTTATCACATAACGACAAATTTGGTTTATCTGCATCGGTGTGAAATTGCTCAATACCAATATCAATTGGAATCAATGGATCTGGAAAATGAAAAATATAACAACACGCTAAGAAAACCGAAAAAATGCTGAGAAAAGCATTTTCTCAACCGTTTTCCTATTTTCTCAGCCTTCCTGAATAAGTTTTCTCAACCTTTTCAGCGTTGAGAAAATACGTTGAATAGCCGAATAAAGAAAAAAGAACGAACTCCAATAGCAAAATTTTTGAATTTTCTCCATAAGCGTCCATTTTTCAAGTTTCATATTACAAATTTCTGAATTGCAATACATGCTGAATGAGCCATTACTTTCTGAAAATTATTTATAATTATTTCTGCAGAATCTAGAGAAGCAGATATGCAGTTCTCTCGATAACAAGACATATCTAAACAGAAGATATGTCTTGAAGGTTCCAGCTTTAGAAACAAATCTAGTATAAACTGAACCCATGCTTTAAAGGTGGAGTCCGAGCAAAAATCAAGCTCATTTGAAAGAACGTGTTCTGATTAGTGCAATCCTCGAAGGATTTTTGGAAGCTTCTGAAATATTAAATCCAATATACAGTACTTATGGACTTTCAAAAGCCTTTCAGGCTTGGAGCCATCCATCAATATCACACCAATACCACAACAATATCATTTCACCAATCCAATCATCACGCAAACACTACCCCACCAACAGAATGGCATAAATTCATCCCACCATCTCCTGTGTGATTATCTAGACCCAAAACATCAAAACGACTGACTTGACATATGGAAATTACTGACACTTTTTTATATTTCCCAGGAAGATCATGGAAAAATTCGATTCAGATCTGTGATGCACCAGTCAGAAAAATTGGCGGTTTACAGGTCTGTTACTGGTGTTATTTTTCCAAAAACACCTTGCTTTCACCCCGCCAATAATTTTTTCAGAAACCACCACGCCAATTTTTATTCTTCATATGCACGGAGCTGGGCGTGGTATGTGCGATATGCCATTTTGCTCCTAACCTCGCAGTAATATGCCGCAACATTTTATGAGTAAAGTGTTATGTATTTTATTCTTTTTTTACCATAACTCACTGAGATAACCGCCTTCATTTAGGGGGTTAATAACATTTCCACAATATTGATTGATGCCACAATCCGAATTCTTTTGACACGTCACAATTTTCTCAGTTATATAGTTTGGATTTGTTGGCAAAAATATTTTGGGTGGTGACCTGGTGTTATAATCATATTGGTCAGCCCATACATATGCAACTGGTATTGCTGCAAAATCATTATGTTCTATCTCTATCAATCGAATTATCATTTGAAAAACTAACGACATGCAAACCACAATGGGTCTTCATTGACTTGATAGATATATTTATTGTGAGCATTGATGCCATGGTTGATATTTCTTGCATACGCGAATGTGCTATGCATATCTACGATGTATTTCGAAGTCATACCTGTGAACTTGCACGGAGTTTCATCGGCTGCAATAAAATTTTTCATTGGAAAAATACACAAAAATGAGTCTATGCAGAGAATTATACTTACGACAACACCAATACTCATTATTAAAAAGATAGGTGACTCCAGTTTCACAAAATGTTTCATCCGCCTCACCGTATGGACATGTTGTCTGTAATACGTATGAACGTCTTCACGAAAAACGTTTGTTTTTGGTTGCAAAACTCACTTCTACGGCTGTCGTGGAGATCACTTTCACTGAAAACAAACATTACTCGGGAACAGGGGTGACCGGAATCGGCACGCCGATTTTCTAAAATGCCGAGGTACGCTGATCTATCGGCAATTTTTGAAGTCGACAGTACCGACCAGAAAATATTTTTGATAGAAGTCGAACTTCGTGACGATTTTAAATCACTACCGAAATTGCGTTTTACGTTTTTTAAACTTCATTTTAAATTTCAACCATTTATCCATCATTTTGAGTGTTTTTAAAATTTCTGAACCACTGCTAAAATGCCGGATTTGATCAAAATCGGGGTGCCGAATCGCCGAAATCTTTTTTCGGCACAAAAAGTCGACATCGCGAAATGCTGACAAGCAAATTCCGCCGAGCCCTTGCCAACTTAGTTTTCAGTGTCTCTTCTTGAACTTCCCCCGAACTGGATGGTATGAAACTCACAAGAAAGCACAAAAAAGAGAATAAAATTCATTCGAAAGCTAATTTCTTCATTCAATGAAAAAAATAATGATTTGGATCACATTTTAGAGCTTTTATTATTGACGTGTTAGAAGAAATGTCACGCTGAAATTGTTTGTCTTTGTCCTTTTTTACATGTACATATTGTCAAATTTCGAAAAAACAGGTATTTCTGAATTAAAAAAATCAAGAATTTATGCCTGTGTTTCGGAACGTTGTGTTTAAAGTACCTTCCATGTAATAAACTTTTGTACATGCATAGTACTTCCATGCCATGTAAGTAGATTAAAGTATTACTTTTTACCTCCTCAGCTCTTTTTTTCGAGGTAAAAAAGTATACACATATTTTGCACACACACATACAAATGAGTTTGAGTGTAATATTTGTTAAACATTTCAGAACTACAGTACTACAGTACACCTACAGTAATTACACCCTTCTGTCAAATATTACACTCAAACTCATTTGTATGTGTGTGTGCAAAATATGTGTATACTTTTTTACCTCGAAAAAAAGAGCTGAGGAGGTAAAAAGTAATACTGTAATCTACTCATGTATTCCATGCATACTACTATTGACCCCGTAAAAATTTGTGTTTTCTTGAACAGGTATGTTTTGATAGTGTATTGGTTCGGCCAGGGCTGCCGCTGATACCTGGGTATACCCGGGCACTACCCGGGTATTGAGGCCCATCGACCTGGGTGTCAAATACCCGGGTTGGGTGTGGGCACCCTTAGGGCACCCTTGAATATGATGCAAATGTTTGTTTTTTTTTGTTTTGTTTAGCTATTATCCATGTTATTAGACGAATTAAGCTAAAACATGAGTGACTTTTGATTGAAAAACTAATATGCAACAAAAACGATCGATAAAGTTCTATTTTATCGATTTCGTTGACTTCTAAAATAACTTAAGATGCATTATATTGTAGAAAAAGATAGAATATATTTTACTTCGAAACCAAATTATATAAAAATAAAAGAGTTCGTTTTAAAATCCACCTTTGAGAGAATATGTGCTGAGGAGGTAATACTGAACTTATAGAAAGTCTTTTGTGTGTTTACAACACGGAAAATAGTGAAATTTTGATTTTTTAAAAAAGCTGATTTTTTGAAATTTCTCTACAGATTAGACCAATTTTTCATGTTGCTGACCACTTTTTATGAAAAAAACACAATTTCCAAACAAATTTCAAAAATAAATTAGTACGAAAAATCAAATACGAAGGCCCATTTTGGGTATCTGGGTGTGCCCGGGTATACCCACCCGTTCTGTCATTTTTCAATGAAAATACCCACCCGGGTGTACCCGCCGAACTGTGGGTATTAGGGTGCCCTGTGGGTGCCCAAACGACACCCCTGGTTCGGCTAAAAGAGAAAAAGCATAATTTTTTCAAAAATATTCATTGATTCAATCAATCTAAAATTCTTTCTCATTTCTTGATATTATTTGTTGAAGGCGAAATCGGTTCCATTTTGCTCGAAGATTTTTGGTGTTTTTTGATCTTCAATTTCCAAAAAAGGAATCCTCCAATCAAAATAATAGCAATGAAAATAAGAACACATACAACTATGATAATAATAATGAGAGTTGTTGAGTTATTTGACGATGAAATGCACAATCCAAAATGTTCGACACGTTTTCCATTTTCAAACTCCAAATATTTTGTATATCCTTTAAGACAACTTTGGTTCGAATCGCAATTTTCATCTGTTGTACATGCTTTTATTCCAACTTTATTTGAATCCACGGCATCTTTTGGAGTCATAATTGGAACTAAAATGAGAATAAAATTTCGAAAGTTATTCAAGAAATTATGAACGTACATTTGAAGCAGAATGTGTTGGTTTCATCGAAATTTCCATTATCCTCATTCAAACTATAAATATTGGAACAAAATTCGTTTTCAGCACAATCCCCATTTTTTGCGCATTTCTTCATTTTTGATTTATGTGTTCCGTTTTTCCAATCAACTGGCAGATATTGTTTACCGATTTCTCCAATTTTATTATCATGATCAAGTTTTTTGAAAATCGAATAAAATAAATATGCAACGGGTTTCGATTCAATACACAATCCTTCATAGCTTTTTCGTTTTCCAAACTTATATTCTGATGTTGGTTGAATATATCCAGTCCACGTCAATAATTTTCCATCAATGTCGTATTGTTTGGCACATACACTATTCTCATCACAATCTGCATTTTTATCACATAACGACAAATTTGGTTTATCTGCATCGATGTGAAATTGCTCAATACCGGTGTTAATTGGAAGTGGTGGGGCTAAAAAATGAATATATTAGAAAAAAACATTTTTTGGTTAAGAAAAAAACGAACTCCAATAGCAAAATTTTTGGGTTTTCTCCATGAGCGTCCAATTTTCATAATTCATATCACAAAAATCAACATTGCAAGACATGCTGAATGAGCCATTTTCTTCTGAAAATTGTTCATTGGACAATATGTTATTATTTATTTCTGCGATTCTCCCAATTACAAGGTACATCGAGAGAGAGAGGGTCCGTAATTTTCTTCATGGTTCCCCAAAAAAAGCCAGACTAGGTTTGGTGCATATTATATGAAAGACGAAATATACAAAATAACGTGTGACTGTGGGGGAATTTTATGTAGGTGAAACCGACAGATCTTTCGATTCGAAATTCTCTTAACACCGTTTCTGGAGATCGAGCACCACACAAGTAGAAGGAAAATCCTGGAGGGAGTTTTGATAAAACATCTAAATCCTTCATTTAATAACAAAGAAAAATTATCAGAGATGATATCAAGGTTCCGAGCCGCGCAAATCAGCTCCGATGTTTGCTCAGAAAATCTCAATTTTCATATGAACTACGTAAGCTTTGGGTAGAATTGAAGTACCCTACATTAGGGTTATTTGGGCCGGATTAAACGTTGCGAATATCTAGAAAAATTGACATCAAAAAAATGTGAGACGACAAAAAAATCTAATTTTTGCGAGATCGTGATCAGCGCGTCGAGTTACACAACTTGCCTTATTTCAAAACCCGTTATCACCCTAATGGAAGTCCCTTGTGAGATATATCCAAGAGATCTATAACTCACTGAGATAACCGCCTTCATTTAGGGGGTTAATAACATTTCCACAATATTGATTGATATCACAATCCGAATTCTTTTGACACGTCACAATTTTCTCAGTTATATAGTTTGGATTTGTTGGCAAAAATATGTTGGGAGACCTGGTGTTATAATCATATTGGTCAGCCCATATATATGCAATTGGTATTGCTGCAAAATCATTATGTTCTATCTCTATCAATCGAATTATCATTTGAAAAACTAACGACATACAAACCACAATGGGTCTTCATCGATTTGATACAGATACTTTCTGTGTTGCTCAGGACAATGGTGAATATTTCTTGCATACCAGAAACTTTCAGAATACTCGTGTGCCACGTATTGCGAAGCCATACCAGTGAACTTGCATGGAGTTTCATCGGCTGTAATATGAAACAATATGCGCAAAACTCATCGATGATGATGATGATGACGCAACAAAAATATACTTACGACAACACTCCTTTATACCATAGAATACATATGCGACTCCAGTTTCACAGAATGATTCATCCGAACTGCCGTATGGACATGTTGTCTGTAATTGGCAAGCTTTATTTCGCTGAATTTTAGCCTTTTCCCGACACAACTAAAGATAAGTAGGTACAGAGAGACACACTGCAATTCCTGTCTTAATTGGCAAGAAAAAACATCGTGCAGGACTGTTTTTTTTTTCATCAAACCTATTCACTCACATATGTTTCCTCAGCTAAACAAATCGATGCATGCACTGAAAATTAGTAATTTATCATATCTGCAAACTGCTGAAACCTACAGAGAACAACTAGGAAAAACGCTAAATATTTGTTTGACCACATTTGTTTCATGATGAAAAAATTAATGATTTTATTTACAATTTTCATTTATTAATACGGCACGTGAAGCTTGAAAATGGGTCACGCAATTTTTTTTGTTGAAAAAGCTTTTTATTCAAAGCATATTTCTCAAAAAATTCCTCAATTATATCCGGACGTTCCAAAGTCTCTCCAACAATTCTCTGAATGTCACATCTGCAAAAATAAGACGGATTACCATGTCAAACTTCTCGCGCAAAAATAATACCCATCAACCATTTGAGGGTTAGGGTTACTGTGAACAATTGAGGGTTACTGTGTATTACATTAGGATAACTGTGAATAGTTTTGGGATTACTGTAGATTAGTCTAGAGTTACTGTAACTCAGATTCTATCTAATAAAAATAGGTTACTGTAGAACAGAAATCTAAAAATACTGTAACTTGATCAAGGATTCTGTAGATCAATACTGTGGGATGATACGTTTTTAAACAAATAAAAAAAATCAGATTTGAAAAAATTTGCCAAATTTTTAGGTCAAAAATAATTCTGTACATCAGGTATACTATAAGTTGACCTACAATCTCAAGATTCGCGCAGCAAAATATTTTCCAATCCTAACCTTGAGAACAAATAATCGCAAGTGCAAAAAAAATAATTATGCCATAAATTAGTTACAGTAACCCTATACTAGTTTATTTTTTTCTGCAAAAAAATTTCAGAAAAGAAGAAAAAAGAACATGAAATTAATTCAAGAAGTGGAAAAAGTTGTTGTTTTTATCTCCGAATACTAATATGATACGCACAGAACTTGAAGTGGTCTAAGCTCATAAAGCCTTGATCTTCTGAATCCACATAAATTTGGGGCTGAAAATTTTGCTGAAACCTAAACTTGAACTTGGGATTTTGGGTCGACGAAATCCGAATGATTTTTTAAAGAGAGGGAGAGAATGTCCAAATCAATGACCAGAGGTTTTCCACCAAATCAAAAAATTCGAATCATTTTTTTTGCCAATAGTTTTTTGCCAATTTTAAAATCACACAGATATCTCAGAGAAATGGGATGGAGAACAGGCGGAGAAAACGACCTGTCGGCGAACTTTCGGACAACCGGTGGACAAATGTTTCGGCGAAATAGTGTAGGTCAGACCCTCCGCCGGTTGTCCGAGAGTTCGCCGACATGTCGTTTTCTCCGCCGGTTCTCCAGCCTGTTTCTCTGAGTATATCTGAGTTTTTCGAACAAAAATTTGCTACGTGCAATTTTCTTTCTCGCGGGTAGGTCAAAAAAATTTTTGTTTCGTTATTTTTTCCATAATTTTTTTTTTGAAAATACCGCGCGGGGGCATGTAACTCAGAGATTCGCTGGCCAGCTCGCCACCAGGTGGGGAGGCTGGCTGACCTGGGAACCACATGGAAACCATGTCGCCCGGTTTTTTTCGCTGGCAAGGTGGCCAGGCTCTGGCTAGGTCACGGCCACATGGCTACCACGTGGTGGCCACTTCGCCGCGTCAAAATGAATTTTCATGAAAATGTCTGAAAAACTTGTGAATCGGGGCATTTTCGAAAAATTTGGCTCATTTTCTGTTTTTTCGCAGCACTTGAAACCTTATGAAGTGAAAAAAACAGTAGAAAATGCAGTGTTTTGAGTACAAACCACTGTCTTGCCAGCTTTCCAGAATTTCAAACACACAGGCCACGTCGCCGGAAAACTCAAGGCGACCTGGCGGCCATGCGGTTTCCAAGTGGCCGCAGCGATCTGGTGGCGAGCTGGCCAGCGAATCTCTGAGAACATATTGTTCATCCGGACGAATTGAAGATTTGACCTACCAAATTTTTATAGTTTGAAGCCAAAATAGTGTGTAAAACGAGAGATTCAGACAGTAGATCACAAAATCCCACTGATCAATTCGTCCGGATGAACAATAGCTCCGAATCGGGAGCATAAAATTTTGAGCTAACAATAAGAAAACAAATAAAAGTTTGTAAGCACTAAATTTTTTTCTCTTTTTCTTCATCTTTCAAAAAATGACATCAGAAAAAAAGTAAGCAAGAAAGTTTATATTAAATATACAGACACAAAAAATAAAATAAAATTATTTAGAAGAAAAAAAATTTAAATGGAATCCATTGATTTGGAAATTATGGATGATGTCAATTTCTCCTTTTCGTCGTTGTAAATTTCAGACAAATAGGAATCCTGGAAAAATTTGAGTTTTATTAGAGAAACTGGGATTTCTAGGGTCGACTACTTGATAAATAAGCTGTTAAGGCGTGTCTCCTTGCCAGAAGACTGCTCTAGACATGGGTGCTAGTCGAATTAGCTTCTATATCCGTCTAATTGAGAACTAGGCCTCACGCTGAAAAAAACCCCGTTTTCAGTTTTTGCTAAGCGACTCTCTAAAGCCCAAAAATGAGCCAAAAGTCGTGAATTTTGTGAAAATCGCGTTTTTGAGAGCTTATTACTCATGTTAGAGAAGATTTTATCAAAAACTGATTACATTTTCTCTAACATGAGTAACAGGTCCCCAAAATCGCGATTTTCACAAAATTCTGGACTTCTGGCTCATTTTTGGGACCTTCGGAGAGTCGCTCAGCAAAAACTGAAAACAGGATTTTTCTCAGCGTGAAAAACAGTACAGAAACATTTATGTCTCATTGAAAATCTCCGTGGACTCATAAAATATTTCCCAAACCTCTCAAAAAAACCTCACCAATAAATTAGACGTATATCTATGACATATTCCATTCATTTGCAATTGTGCAAATCGATATCTTTGTTTTTCATGTTCCGTCATCATTCTACGAACCTCAAATCGATAATCAACATGATACAACATCAAATTCTCCACTTTTTTACACACTTTCATTTCTCGATGCCATTCAACATTTCGTGAATTCGCACCATATTCCGAATCCAAATATTCCTTTGCCTCCTTTTTGAATTGCTCAATTTTGTCGGCAGAAATCGGCGAATTTGGCGAATATTTCAAATATTTTTCATTGAGAATTTCAACAATCGAACCCCAAATATCAATCCAAAACGAATCAAAAACATCATATGGATCATCGAGATCTTCAATTTTATATTGTTGTAGAAGTGTAGCTGGTTGCCAAACATTTAAAGCTGTTAACCAATCACAACCTCGAAGTTCATTTTGATGTTCAACTGCTTTTGAAATCATAACTTCTCCCTGAAAATATAAGGTTGACTGATTTCTGGATCTTTTCAAAAACTCACAAATGATGCGACCAAATCTCTACAACAAACATCAATATCAACTCGATTCTCTTCTTCATCTTCTCCATTTAAAGTTTCTTCGAGATCTACTTCTTTTCTTGGTGTATCAGCCAAATGTTGAAAAACTGGAGAACCATCCAATAATGATTTGAGTTTTGGAGCTGGCTGGAAATAAAAAACACGTGTTTCGAAATGTGTTCCGTGAAACAACTATCAAATTTTTCCAATTTTCGGGAAAGCTTTTTTCAATCAAGATTCGGAAATTCAGCATTGCTCATATCATGCTAAAAATCATAATTATTTGAATTTAGGATTTTTCAGGTAATTGCAATCAAGTTTTCAGAAAAGTTCGAACTTTTCATACAAATTTCAAAACGTTATATTTGAAACTTCAAAATTCAGCATTGCTCAGATTATGCTAAAATTTCTAAATATCTGAATTTCGCAAATCTTCTATGATTTTTCAATTTTTCCTCACCTTATTACTCAACAAAAATCCCGAATCATCAGCAGAATCATTCATTGAAACTTCAGATTTTTCTCGAATCGACTTCTCCTCGATCACCGAATTTGTTTGCGATTCATTTGACACTGCAAAAACATAATAATAAATCTACTATAAATTTTTTGCATATACTCACAATTTTCGTCTTCAAAATCATCTTCATATTCATCACGAATCACAAATTTCTTCGTTTCATCTCCTTCTTCTTGTTCAAATATCGAAGCACTTTCTAATCCCACATTTTTCTCCTTTATCACTTCTTCAACAATTTCCGTTTCATCTTTTCCAATGACATTTTCAGCCACCTGTTTTTCTTCCAATTCTTTCTGATGGAGTTCGAGAAAATGCGCAATTCCAGCCGATAATTTTCGAGCTGATGCTAAATCCAAACTTCCTCGCGCACTTTTTGTTGGTGGCGTTTCTTCGGCTGCTGATGAAGGTCTTGATGGGAAAACTGATTCGAATTTTCGAAAAGATTCGCTTCGGTTCAGCAATGAATCATCGGCATTTTGAAAAGAGATGTTTTGAGCATCTGAAAAAAAAAAACTTATGGATTTGGCGAGCGCCTTGCGCGAGTGTAAACCGCAAGCTTTAGCGGCCACGTGGGTTAAGAGCGTAGAAATATCAGTACGTTTCCCACGTCATAGCAAACTATTTTGCAGGAATCTCACAGTTTACACTCGCTGCGCTCGAAAACTTACTCATAAAAAATGGAGCATCTTCCAAGCTCTTATCATCATTCAAAACAATCGAATCAAGCATTTGATCTAACACCGCAATTTTTTCATCTTCCACTTTTTTCTCAAGTCCCGATAAATCCAATGGTTCAACTCCAGCTTTTCTAGGTGTACTTTCCTTCTCTTTCTCTTCAACTTCCTCATTTTCTTCATCGATTCGAGATGTCATTTGTGTTGATGTATCGCATTTGGTAATCAAAGGTTCGATTTTAATCGCTTCACTATTTCTTCTGGAATTCGAAATTGAATTTCTTAGCATTGCTCGACGATTTTTGCGCTCTTTTTTGGCGGCCAAATTTTGATTGAACGCATTGAGAAGAAGCTGGAAATATATAAATGGAAATTGGGATTTGAGATCATTGGGCTTAGGACCTGATCTAAGATTTAGCTGTCTGACACGTGGGTTCTCAAGATCGGCAAGAACACATTCTCCAATTAGTTACCTTAAATTCCTTTGATAATCTTCGCAAATGTCTTGTATATTGATTTTCAAACAAATGCATATCATCAATTTCTTCCAAAACAACAAGATTTTCAAGTTCTTTTTCATCATCTGAATCATCTTCAACTCTTCCATTTTTCCGATTTTCCAATTCTCCAATCATTTTTCGAATCTTCCTAATCTGCTCGATTTTCTGTCTCAATTCATTTATCATCTCTTTTTTCCTCTCTTCATTCCTCTCTTTTCCTCCATCCAATCTTTTCTTGATATTTTCCAATTTTTCAATTTGTTTCTCCATTTTTTCCGCATCTTCACTATACTTTCGTTGCATTTGTGAAGCACAAATCAAAGTTTCCACATATGTCATATTTTCTGATGAAGCTCCGCCAATCGTTGTTTTATGCTGTTCAACTTGCAAAATTCGCGCTACAGAATGTTTTGGCGGCGAAAAAACTCGAGGAGAATTTTCGATTGATTCCAAGAGCGAAAATCTGTCAGATTCCGGAGTTTTGCGAACTTCTTTGACAGGATTTCTGAAAAAAAATTATATGAAATTTTTTTATTTTTCAAGTCCCAAACTCACATATGTTCAGGCTGCTTTTCAGGCGTTTCTTCAACTCTCCCAAAAGTTTTCGACATATTCTCAAAGCTTCGATTCATCTGTTCATCCAATAGTTTTTGACGAATCCGAAGTTTATCCAAATTTGACAAATGATTATATTCACCTGAAAAATGCGTTGAATTCATTGAGAAATGAGAATATTTATGAGATTTGCAGAATGCGTCAAAAAATTAAAACGTGAATGAAAACGACATTTTTTTAATCATTTTTATTTTTTTTGTTGGAAAACGCGAATTTGAGCGCCATAAAATAGATCAAACCTAAATTGGAAGACATTGGAGTTTGAAATAATTCATCATTTGAAGATGGCGTTGGTGGATGGCGCATTGGTGTGTAGAACATTTCTGGCGGAGAATCTGAAAGTTGCGCTAACTAGTTTTCGCGCGGATTTGAGCTTCACGAATATAACATTTTCAAAACTGAATTATTTTGAAAATTAAGAAAAAACTAACTGTTTGGCTCAGGAGATTGAAAATGTACATTGCTTGAATTTCGCTCGCCCTGTAAATATTTTCAAATTCGAAATTTTAATCCTCTCGGGAAAAGAACCGCAATTGTGGCAGCATTTGTCGCAGCGCTGCGGCATTTTTTTTGTTGCAACACATGCGCCGGAGTTGCGACAAAACTCGCAACTGTTGCGTGAACTGTTGCGGAAATGGGCGCAACTCCGGCGCATGTGTTGCGGTGCCGCAGCGCTGCGACAAATTGCCGCAGCGCTGCGACAAATGCTGCCACAGTTGCAGAAAGTTGCGGTTCTTTTCCCGAGGCTATTTTCAATTTTTTGCAAACCTTTGTCGGTGTTCTCATTTCATTTCGACTCGCTTGTCTAATTTCTCTCGCATGTTCTCGAAATCTTCGATCCGCATCAAATTCCTCAAAATCTTTTCTGGTTGGTGAAGGATCTCGCAGAGAAAATGAATTTTTCTCCGAATTCTCTCGTTTTTCTCGATGTTCACGGTATTTTGGCGAGTATAAAACACTCGAAGGTTTCGAATTCGATGAACTTTCTTTCCATTTATTAAATGACATACTTATTATAACTGAAAAATCATAATTAGACCACAAAAATAAAAAAAATCGATTTAAAAAATTTGAAAAATTGAAGAGGCGCGAAAATTGTGTGTGGCAACGCACAATTCTCATTTAACACCGCGACGCGAAAATGCACAAATTAAATATTTTTCTGCAAAAAATCGTTTTTGTACAACCGAATGTTTTATTTCTGGTTCTGGTTTACAAAATTGTTACAAGAGACGAGAAAATGAATCTACCCATCTAATATATAAGGTGAAAATACATTGAAAATAATACACATAATACGAAAGAAACAAACTTGAAATATCTATAAAAAGTGCAAAAATCACCGTATTTTTTTGTATTTTTCTTATTTCTGGCCAGCAGCTTAAAGAAGGATTAAAATGTGATTAAAATATAAAAAAAAGAGAAAAATCCTGCGGGAACGGGATAGTGAAAAAAGGCATAAATGGTGAGAAAATTGGAAAAAAACTATACAATAATTTACATATATTAGATATCAGAATCTTCATCTTCTTCCATTTCGAAATTATCCAAATCGTCTTCTGAATCATCTTCCTCTTTTTGTGAATTATCAGATGATGAAAAAATTGGAAGTGGAGCACACGTCACTTTTTTGTTGTTTGATTGAATATTCGATTTTGTTGACGAAGATTTTGATGATCCACGGCGAGCCAAACTTGGAGAATGGGTATCGAAAAATTCTTCGACCGCGTCGATCTGAATTTGTTGAATTTTATTGTGATAGATTAATTTTATATTAAAATTATTTCAAATAAAAAAAACTTACATCATTGTTGCTAGAATAAGTTGGACCATCAGAAGAAATATCACGAATTGCATCAGCAATTTTCATCGAAATATCATTCTGTGAATCATAATTAGATGCACTGATAGAATTCATTGAAGTATAACTTCCACATTCAATACGAGTCGCATCTGATGGAATTGAATTTTGGAATGCTGAAAATAAACATTCTTGGTTATAGAAAGAGAGATTTTCCAAAAAAACCTACCATTACCAGTTCCAGCTCCAATCATAACAGGAATAGATCTTTGTCCATTTCTATGATTCGATGTTTCATGTGGACTCATCAAAACCGCAGTATCAGCCTCCTCTTTATATTCAAAGAATGTAACTTGTGGTCCTTGCCAAATCCATCTATGCGGTGCTTGATATGTTCGTGTTTCAACATGCGGTGTCCACATATCTTCCAACCTTCTTCCTTGATACTTTGATATTTCCTCGGATTTTTGTGCCAAATTCACCAAAGGAGATCCATTTGGCATTGGAAGATGCATATCTGCATTGTTTTTTGTTCTTTGTAGATTCCAAATTGAAATTGGAGAAATATTCAATTTTGGTGCATCTTCACTCGATGTTCCATTTTCCGGTTTCTTTGGTCTCAATTCATATTCTGACATAATTGCTCCAATATTCGCATCGGCTCTCGAAATTAGAAGATGAAGTTTATTCGATTTCGAAGATGAAAAAGCAATTGAAACTCTCGAAACATCCAATCGCTTTCTTGCATTCGCAGCTGCTGAATTCGCTGCTCCAGTTGTACTTGTCGCAGCTCCAACAGCTCCAGCCAAATCACTAGCCCAAGCAGAATACGAATCTGTTGAATTATCCTTGATTTTTTCAACGGCTGTCAAATATAATGGAGGTGGAAATGGTCCGATTCGAGAATTGCTGTTACATCTGAAATTTGAAAAATTTTTGTTTGTTGATGAAATTATGAAGAAAAAACTCACTTTGACAAAACTTGATTGGTTTCTGAGACTGGATGTTGTTTCGTATAAATACTTTGTTCACTTTGTCCTCTTTGTCCAGTTGCAGCTTTTACTTCAGCACTGTCTGTTAAACCAGCTGAACGATGGAATCGAGATTCTCTGAAAAAAATGTGTTTGTTTCAAAAAAACACATATTTACTAGAAGAACTCACTTATTAACAAAAGTATCTCCATGTGTTCGTTGATTTGGTTTTCCACCAAATGGGCAAATTGCAAAAATATGAGTTGTTCCATGATTTGTCACAACTGATAACCATCTTGAATCTAATGAAAATGCTGACGAACAAATTTTCGCCGGTGTATTTCCACGTTGCAATTTATATAAATGTTGAACAGATGCCAAAGATGAACAAACTGAATGTGGAAGAATTGAAAAGATATTATAAACAGTGGCAGTCGAATCAGATGTTAGAACAAGTCGTTGATCGGGTGAAAATGAAATATATGAAATATAATCAGTGTGTGCAATCCAATGACATAAAACATCAAATGAATCGTCAGATGGTCGAGATAAATCGATTATTGTCATTATTCCGTGAGCTGATTTTGCTTTTGTTGATGATGCTCCAACTGATTCACTCCATGATTTGACGGTTCGACCGAAACTCTGAAAATGGAGATTGGATTCGTGGAAATCGACATTTCAAGCGACGCATATCTGGTCGGCGATTAGTCGTAAGTTTATTCTAGTTTTTCAGCTCGAATGTTCATTTTCACCGAATTTTAGTCAAATTTTGAGTCAAAAATTTTAATTTGATATGATTTATGTGTTTCAATCCGTTTTTATAATTTCCAAATAATTTGTTCATTTGCTAATACACTGTGCATTGAAAAACATATTTGATAATAAATTATATCAAAATTTTGAAACGTATATATTTATGGTTTCAAACAAATTGGAATTTTCGGATTTAAATTAAGCGTAAATGGCTCAAAAACAGAAATTGCATTTTTTTAAAAATTATTTTTGGATCAGAATTCAATTGTAGCTACACGTCGACCCAACTGCTGCAATGGGTGTACGGTTTTTTGTGTTTTCCACGAAGTGCTACGAGAAAAAACCTCGACTATAATTCATGAAATTTTTTGATTTTTGACGCTCTAAATCCATCATTTTTCATATTATTTTTTGAACAACAGAGTTCATTAAAAAAACTAACACTCATAGCACTAATCATTTGTCCAGCATATTGTTGTGTACTACTTGCTGCACTACTCGAAGTCGCCTCAATTTCATTCGCTAATCCACCACCACTTTGAAGATCCAAATTCAATTTCGTGTCAGCAAATGCCAATAATTCTCCAGTCACAGCGATTGACGGCGGACAATTTTCACATGGTGAAGCAGTTCGAATTGTTCGAATCTCTTTGAATTTATCCAAAGTGTCATAAACATATGAAACATTTGATAAAACCACAACAAGATATCTGAAAAAAAATGGAATTTGGAGGAATTTCAATAATTAACAAACCTATCAGTTGTATGTAATGCACAAATTGGCTCATCAAATGTCAATCTATGAATCAATGAATTTGTGGTTAATGAATAAATCTGAACAGAACAATATTGTCGATCAGGAATATGTGAAGACGCATCAACAACAGCCATAAGAGGACGTTGCCCAAAATGAACATCATTTTTTCCTCGAAAATTATTTCCAAGTATTTTGCACGCTCGAATTGGACCTTGTCTTTCTGATAATATTTCTTCACATTCCCCATTTGCCTGAAAAAATGGAAAGATAGAACAATTTTATTTTTACAGGATGTGAAAAAACTAACATAAATTGCCCAAATCTGGAAACCTCGCAATAATCCGACAACCAAAAATTCTTGCTTCTCATTAGGATTTCCATATTTCTCAACACTAAACAATTGTACCCAATCAGCTCTTTCAACAGCAGGCAAATGAACATTTTGAGATTGTGATTTTGGTATAACATCATGCATCAATTCAGCAACAGATCCAACAATTGTTGCAGCTCTGAAGAAAAACATTGGATTCAGAATAAAAAAAATAAAACTCACGGTGGTTCAGATGGTCGAACAACTTGTCCTTTTATATAAGAAATACTAGAATTCCTCGATCTTTGTGAAACTCCTTCTTTTTGATTCGCATTAAATGGAACTGATTTCATAATTGAATTACCAGGTGAGCCCATATTGTTTGGTGCAACTTTTGCAGTTTGTTGGTGTGATTTTCTTGGCGGAGCCAATGGTTTGTCCTCGTTTGTTGTGTCGATTAAAACCGTTTTCTTCTCCATTGAAATGATTAATTTGTCGATTTCGTTACTTTCGTCTTTCGATGTTTTCTGATTCTAAATAAAATACTTATTTAATTATGCCATAATTTTCATTTAGAATTTTTTGGGTCCAAATTGGTCACATGAAAATTAGGATTATTTTCTTCTCATTTCCAATATTTCAGTTTTTTGAATCGTGGGATTCTCATTAACTTTAAAAGTGAAAAATTTGGACCCATCTTGAAATAAACTCACCACTTCACAATTATCCTCACTGAAATCGACCAAATCTTTTTCTGTATCGTTGTTTGGTTTCAATGAATCCTTTTCATTACCTTCTTCTATTTCTACTTCTTCTTCTTCGTCTTCTTCTGTATCCTGATCTACTTTTACTACTTTTTTCTTTTCGATTTCTTCTTTCACCGATTGGGTTAGAGATTCGGCCTGGAAAATGGTTATTTTGAAGGGGAAAAATATTTTGTTGAAATTCCCACAAGTGTTATCCTAAATTTTCTTATGTATATTTTTTTTTAAAGAATAAAACTAAATCCTTCAGAATAAACCAAACATAATCGATTGTGCCCAAAAAAAAAAGAAAAAAAGTGAAAGAAAAAAGGGATAGCATGAAAACAGAAATGTGACCAATTTTTCTTTTTTTTTTTCTCTTGGTCAGCTGATAAATAAAAAGGCCGATATTTTGTGGTGGAAAGCAGAAGAAGAATCATGTGCTAATAAGGGAACAAATATTTGATTTCCGTTTTTGATCTAAAAACAAATCGAAACAGAAACTTGAAAAAACATTTTGTGTTGGAAAAAATCCAGTCAAAAATGAGGAATGTTTTTGTGGTTAGAAGAAAAAAAAATGGAAAGAGATAGAGAACACATATTATTTACCAGAGACAGAAAACAAGCAAAAAAGAAAACAACCAGCCACTCAAAACATACACTTTTTATGTACTTTTTCAAAATTAATTTGGTTTTATTTTTTGTTTTATGAAAGACAACATAATTGAACTAGGAGAAAAACAAAAAATAAAATAATTTTTCTTCGAATTTGAGGTAGAAATTATAAATGACGAATATTGAATTGTAAAAAAAAACTCAAGAAACACTTCTGACGATCATAAGACTATTTTTTCCTGATGTAAAAATGGTACAGTAAAGAAAAAAGTCATATTTAATGGGTGTGTCATAATATCAGATTGGGACACCTGTTTGTCTGACTGTTATTGTTGACAATTATATTTATAAAACTAGAGAGTTTGTTTTGAAAACAACAGAAATATGAATGAAAATACAGACATTTTGTACGTTTTAAAAATCGAAACGACAAAAATTATTTTGCTAGGTTAGAAAAAATTCAATTCCAGATAGAAAAAACTGGTTTTGTTCAAGAAAAGGTGAAACTTTCAGTTTCATTTTAAAGGAGGAGTTTAACGTTTTATTTTATCGAAAAAAGCACAAAAATAGTCTAGTTTTCTAAATTCAAAGGGTTTTTGTACATACATGTTTTTCTCCCTGGATCGACCCCTACAGTTAGCGAGACCTCAAATAAAAATTTTCAAAGTTAGTAAGACCGTTAGTGTGGGGGGCAAAAGCCTCCCACACTAAAAAAAATTTTTATTTTTTTTTCGAAAAAAATTGAAAAATTTTGCAACACGTTTCCAGTATGTGAACTCGAACCATATGGTAGCTACCATTGGGTCCCTAACTCAGCGCTCTACCACTGCGCTATGTGTGCCCACATAACCCGCATGCTGTTTTTCTCATTTGAATAGGATGCGTTTGAGAGATAGAAAAAACACAAACAGTAAATTACATTTTTGTATTTTACATTCAATTATTCAAAAAAATATAGAAGAAAATCATGGATTGAATTGTAAATTGAAATACGAATTCTTTAGACCTTATACAACAATATAAAAGCTTATCTTCAATGAATAAATACGATAAAATACTTTTTTCCATTCGAAAATGTTGAAAATTGGTTATTACCAGAAAACTCAAAACCTAGAAAAGTATGTCAAAATTAATATTTTCACTTGAAAATTTGCACAGTGTGTCTAGAGGTCCTATTGAGGTATATTGAACTATGAAATTGATAAATAATGCTGCATGGGGAAAATAGTTGAGACCACTGGATTTTATCCAGGGTTACCCTGGATTTTATCCAGAATTTTATATAAGTGCCCGGCGGTCTCAGTAGACCTTTCAGAAAGGGCATTTATTCTGGATAATACTTAAGAATAGACCTTGTGGCATAACCTAGAACGATTTTCAGATGCTAAAATCAATTTTGGTTTAACACTTTATGATGATAGAAGTGGTGTATTGATGAAAAAAGTAGATTTTCGATAGTTTTTGGGCCGGCGGTCTCAGTAGACTTCTTAGAAAGGGGTTTTATTTTGCATAATACCTAAGAGGGGACCTTGTAACATAACCTAGATTGATTTTCAGATACAAAAACCAAATTTCGTTCAACACTTTATGATGATAAAAGTGGTGTATTGATGAAAAAAGTAGATTTTCGATAGTTTTTGGGCCGGCGGTCTCACTAGATCTTTCAGAAAAAGCATTTATTTTGGATAATGAGTAAGAGTGGACCTTGTGACATAATCTAGAGCAATTTTGAAATCGAAAAATTATTTCATGTTCAAAACTTTATGATGATAACTAATTAAAAAAATTTTCAAAAAAAATCGATTTTCAAAAAAAAAGTTAGTAGGACCTCAAATTTTTTTCGGAGTTAGTAAGACCACAACCCTGGATAAATCCAGGGGTAAAACATGTATGTTTTTGTAAAATCAATAATTTCAATAATTAATTTTTCACGAGGCAATTCGGAAAGTATTCCTCAATGTTGAAAATGTTGCGAAATTATTTTCAATAGACAAAAATAGAGAATAAATTTTACCGAATAGCGTCATGATTTAAAAAAACTAGGTGAAAAATTTCGTAATAAAAATTAAATTCAAAACTCACCACTTCTACTGTAACATTTTCCTGGCTGCTCAAACTAGCACTATCTTCTACTTCTTGCTGTGTTATTCTATTATTCTCTTGTTGTTCAGCTGCAGCTGCATTTGCTGCAGCTAACGCAGCCGCCGCTGCAGCTGCTCTTTCCTTTTTGCTCTTTTTCTTTCCACCACCAACGGAATGTGCATTTGGTGGCATATCCAATGAGTACTCAAGATATAACGAGTCTCTGCAAAAATGAAATGCAATTAAAAGATAAGGAGATCTAGAGGTTACGATAAGGAAAAGCCCAAGTTTTTTAAAACAAAGTTTCATTTAAAAAATGCCAATAGATTCGCTTGTTATTATTTCATATTCAAATTGAATTTTATCGAAGAAAAATATGATAATGAATTGAAAAGGCGCCTAAATGTCTATGAAATATTTTTTTCTTCTTCAAGGAAAATCAATAGAAGAACACAAAAAAAACAACAAAAGAGAAAAGACTCAGTTTTTATTGCTGAAAATCAAGACGAGTTTTTTTTCTTGTTGTTATTACACCTATTGTCAAACAATTTCAAAAATATTCCATGCAAAAGGTAAAAGGGTTTCGTTTATCAAACAAAATGATAAGACATTATTTAAATGTTTTTTAATGATTTCATGAGATGAAGCAATCAATGTTGAAAGAAGTTTAAGTGATCAAACCTAGGTCAAATATCGGATTTCTCTCTCTAGACAGATATTTACTCATGGAGGAAAAAAAATGAAAAGATGCGAATCGATATGTCAATATGAAAAGAAAAGCACATGGTTGTCTGATGACCATCTGGTTTCACAGTTTGACAAAAATATTAAGAGACCGCACTATTCAGAACCATATTTCAGAAATAATTGTATACGAATTTCTGAATATGAAAACTTCTGCAGAAGACAAAAAATAGCTTTTCTCATATGTATAAATATTTTGGTACGATGTCAATTAATGTTTTCTGATAATCCAAGGTTTTGCTACAAAACCCCTCGTTTTTCGACAATTTCATCCAGAATCCACCCACCCTTCTTCATCCATTGTGTTTTCTTTTTCTTCTTCTTTTTTCTCTTTTCTCATCAACAAGAACAATCAGAAATCATCGAAAAAAGGGCAGATTTGACAAATGTTTCTTCTTCTTCTTCTCTCTTTTATTTTTTCAGCTAAGGTAGATAGTTTCGAGAATAGAAAATGTAGAGAATGTACGAGTTGAAGAGAAATAAAGAGAAAAGAACAAAGTGTTGTTCTTCTCACGTGCGTTTGCATGTGAGGAGAAATATAATATGTTTGAAGGAGGAAGCGAGAGAAAAAAGGAGTTAGAATAATTCGGAAAAGAGAGAATAATACGTATTTGCGTACAAACGCAACGGTGCGAATTCGAAATGAGGATTTTTCAGGTTTTTGCTTCGGAATAAATTCTACAAAACATCTGTACGCTATAATTTTTTCAGATTGCTATATTTTTCAAACACATCCTAACAACCAAGTTCAGAAAAGTTTTCTGGCCTCTATTTCTAAAAACTTCAAATTCTATATAGTTCAACCGAAACTCGAGTAATCACAGCAAAAACCAAAATAAACATTTTTCAAGTTAACTCGCACACGAAGGCAAAAAAGAAGTGAAAATCGATTTGTTGACAGAAAACTACGCGTTGTTTTTGTTTACAACAACGAAAATGCAAAGAGAGACAACACCAGAAAAAGGAACACTTTCATCAGGAAAAATATCAGCCAAAACTAGTTTTCAGTTATCTAACATTCGGACGAAAAGTGTAATCGAACAAGGAGAACATCCGATTTTTCAGTACAAAAGATAATATTTCCGTCAAAAATCTTGATTCAACAAGGTTGCAAAAATTGCGATGAACGAAGTTTAATCTCATTTGATTGTATTTTCGCTAAACATAATTTCTAGACTCAAATTACCTTTTGAGTATACCGCTTTTGAGCACATTCTGGTTTAGGTATGATTTGTGATCATGCATGCTCGAGTACCTTTCTACCAGTTCACTGGTAGTAATTTTCATAATTCAAAGAACCCCCTCCTAATACCTGATCAAGTAGAATTTTCCAAATTCTCACTAAAACTTTATTGACAGTCTCATTTATGATGGATAGAAGTGATTATCGAATTTCCTGCTTTATATGTATTTTTCTAGAAAAACTTCAATTTCGTTATGTTATTGAGAAGACTTATATATCTCGTAAGCCATCAGATTAGATGAATACTCCTCATTTTTTTCATATAATTCATTTCCCAACTATATTCATATTATGACAGTGCTTCGAATGAGAATATGAAGAACCAAAATGATTGAGAAATGTTACGGTTTGATCGAGTTATCTAAGGACTTTTCTCATTTCCTCTGTATTGTGAAATGATCCTAGACTCCTATGGATTTTCGGAACAAACGACCGTTTCTTAGCTCTGCTGATTCATCGATCACAAAGCGAAATCAAAACAACTTTGTTCAAACTAAGTCGTATATAGCCATTGCCTATTACCATCTGATTGCTAAACAGTCCGGTTTTATCACTATAATAGCTTTGAAAAGTACAAAAAACCATCCAATTCACTCATTTTAGTCAACGTATTCACTAATCCATCGAATACCATTAATAAGGTCCGCCTAAAGTCGTTTTTGCTCGAACACACAACTCAAAAAACATCCAGCCGGTGCAAAAAAAAAACAAAAATAAAAGGGGGAATTGATTGGTCATGAAGTGGGTTATGTGCGCTCTAACACACAACTACCGTAGTTTGATGCCCGCATTTTCGTTGCAAGACTCAATTGTCCAGTTTTGCGATGCGTTTCGGCTCGATTCGCATCTAAATTTTCGCTTTTTTCCTTCTTCCTCTCGTAAAACTAAAAAGTTATGTTTATTTATGCACGTTTCATATTATTACTTTTATTTTTGTTGTAATAAATCAAATTCTTATTCACAATTCGGTTTTTCAGATCTTTTTGGGTTGGCAAACACTTGCATTCTGAGAGATGGAAACAGAAAAGTTGAATCTTGATAATATCATCGCTCGTTTGCTCGAAGGTTAGTTCTTATTATTATCAATATTTTATGTTTAGAATTTTAAACGATGTTTTGAAACTATATCCAGCTTGAAATACAGTTAAATCCTTGTATTTAGAATAATTTTTCTATTATTTTGCCGGATGACTCATACCTAAATTTTTTCTTGAATGATGATAAACCATTTTAACTTTTCAGTTCGAGGATCCAAACCAGGAAAGAATGTTCAATTGACAGAAAGCGAAATTAAAGGATTGTGCCAGAAATCGCGCGAGATTTTTCTCAGTCAACCAATATTGTTAGAACTCGAAGCACCTTTGAAAATCTGCGGTAATTGTTTTTTTTTATCTTGAAAGAACATATTTTATTCACCGGTGATGATACTTCTACCATATCAGACGAGTCTATTTTTGTGATCTATTCGAGTTTTTCGAAGAAATCACTATTATCAGGGTGAAATTGAGGCATTTGTCTGAGGTGTTAAATTATTAAGAGTTAAATATTACATTTTGGTTTCGCAAAGTTTATGATGTTTTTTTTCAGGAGATGTTCATGGACAATACTACGATTTACTCAGATTGTTCGAATATGGAGGATTCCCACCAGAATCAAATTATCTTTTCTTGGGAGATTATGTTGATAGAGGAAAGCAGTCGCTCGAGACTATCTGCCTTTTATTGGCCTACAAAATCAAGTATCCAGAAAACTTCTTCTTGCTCCGTGGAAACCACGAATGTGCATCAATCAATAGAATCTATGGATTTTATGATGAATGCAAAAGAAGGTACAATATCAAATTGTGGAAAACATTCACTGATTGTTTCAACTGTCTACCAGTAGCCGCTATTATTGATGAGAAAATTTTCTGCTGTCACGGTGGATTATCGCCAGATCTACAATCGATGGAACAAATTCGTCGCATCATGCGTCCAACTGATGTTCCTGATCAAGGATTACTTTGCGATTTGTTATGGTCGGATCCAGACAAAGATGTCACAGGATGGGGTGAAAATGACAGAGGTGTTTCATTCACATTCGGACCAGAAGTTGTTGCCAAATTTTTGCACAAACATGATTTGGATTTGATCTGTCGAGCACATCAAGTGAGTATTTCGGATATTTTCTGGTTTTCTGTTGAAACTAATGAATATATTTCAGGTAGTAGAAGATGGTTATGAATTCTTCGCCAAACGCCAGCTCGTCACATTATTTAGTGCACCAAACTATTGCGGTGAATTCGATAATGCCGGATCAATGATGACAGTTGATGAAACACTAATGTGCTCATTCCAGGTATGAATTTAGAGAGAGAATAGACTTTTCATGAAGTAGTTTTAAGATTATTTTATAATACAAACTGGGACACATATTATTCTATTGACCTATTGACAAGAAACTAAAAAAATGAAATTATTACAGATTCTGAAACCTGCTGACAAAAAGAAGTTCCCATACAGTGGTGGAGTAGGATCAAATCGACCTGTAACACCTCCACGATCAGCACCAGCTGCACAATCGAAAAAAGGAGGCAAGAAGTAGAATTGCAGCCCTCTCAACAAATCACCAACATTCCTGTTTTTCCTCTCCCCCCAATTCTCCTTTCTTCCTCTTTGTTTCATTTCAAATCTTTCTGGCAACCGCCATATATATATTTTTAAATTATAATTATTATTATATTCTTCCAAGGAATATCTGTAAATATTTCAATATCTCCTTCAAAAAGCTTTCCCCACCAAAAGTAGCACCAATTGGTGCAAAATTCTCTCTCTTTTCTTTTTCCGACAATAAAAACACATCTAGAATGTTAGTTTCACCGCTCAAAAATACTTTGATTTGATTTCCATTCAGCTATTTCTCGTTATCCTTCTATTTTTATAATATTTTTAAAACAAAAATAGAAAGGTCCGTATTTGTCCTCCGTTTTTTTTTCTTGATATTAATTCTGTTTTTAAACATTTCTCACCAAATTTTGTCTCTTTTGTCCTATTCCAATTTATTTCTGAAATGAAAAATACATTTATATCTGAATTTAGTTTTTTTGTGAATTGTGAAGTTCATACCTCGAATTCAAGCAGAAGAATTCGTTGACATTGCTGAGGTCAGAGAATCTCGAAATGAGGAAAAATTCGAAATATCGATTTTCAGGAGTGACGTGGGATTAGGTCACGCAATTTTTAACACGTTTTTTTTTTCATTTGATCATTTTCAAACCGGATAAACAGGAACAAATTTTTATATCTTACGTTTAAAAACAAAAAAATGGAGGGGAAATGTGGACATCAAAACAGATATATACACTACTTAAAATATGATTGATTCAAGTTCTTTTCGGATATCTTGGAATATTTGTTTGAATCCGTTTTGCAGAAGGAGATGAACATTGTGGAGAAACGCTGGAAAAATTGAATTTTTAAATATACAAAATAATTTTTTAATTGACTTACTTTGCGTGATTAACTCTTGGTCGTTTTCTAACTTTCCGCTCTTTTTCATCTTTTTTCTCTTCTTCCTCTAGAATATTTTTCAAATCCGTAGCAATCGATGAACTTCTTCGTTTTCTCAAATCCGGTTTCTTTCCCAAATCCAAATGTGTCCAATTCATTTGCTCATTATCTTGTTCATCTAATAGTGATAGTTTTTCTGCTAATTTCTCTTGAATTTGTTTAGCAAATTCAGTATCAGCAGCTAATTTGTACATTTCACCGACTTGCGTTTCAGTCATCATTGTCTGTAACTAAACTGTATTCGATAAGTGATAAAAATATAAACAAACCTCCATTAATTCAGCCAAAGCATCTGCTGATCGTGGTGAGATTATTTTTGTTGCAGCATATTCTAACATCAGAAAAACAGCATGTTTATCAGCTTGAAGAATTGTTCTTTTCTTTTGTTCACGTTGAATAATCAATGTCATCATATTTCGTTGCTGGAAAAAACCATGTTTGATTTAGGCTCGAAATTCCTGAATTATATACCTGATCTAATCGAATTCTCGCATCTCTAAACATCAACAATTTTTTCTCAATCATATTTGGTTGTTTTTTCTCATAGTTCATTTTTGTTCTATCGATTCGGCTGATTTCAGGCAAATTCAGAAAATTGGAAGTTCCGACGACGATTCGATCTTGAGGATCGCCAATCAATGATTCACAATTCCGATTTTTTCGTTTCTGTTTCCAATATTCATAAACATCCGAAACTAACAATTGCGGTAAATTCAACCTGGAAAAATCGAGTTATTTTTAAATATGAAAAATAATTTAATTCTCACTCACATTTTGGCAATTTTATCGAAATCAGCATACAAATAAAATGATTTCTCATATCTTTTCAATTTTTCATTTGCACCTTCTTCGCCTTGATTTCGATTTGATGAATCACCATTTGATTCATTATTATGCGAATGTTTTTTACAATACGAATTAAACTGTATTTCATCGTTTTGCTCTTCAATTTTCATTGTAAAACCACTTCGAAGTGCACAAGTTACGTGAAATGGAGTTGAACAACCTTTGAATTTACATTGTATGCAAGCACCTGTAATAATTATTGTGAAGTAAATCATTTTTGAAAATAAAAACTAACCTTGACGAGTATCACAAACAGAACATTTTAGCTGCCATCTTTCTTCATCTATATTTTCTATTGACATTATTGGTTCACGAGTTTCAACATTTCCAAATCTACATTCAGGAATCCACAAAGCACACGCTACATGAATCCATTTATCTCCATTTTCAGTACATTTCATTGCTCCTCCGGTTGTTGGACACAGTAAACAAGGTGGAATGGAATCGAGAAGTGTTGAACATTTTTGACAAATCCATTCACCAGGTGGAAGTTCGGATAAACCATAACAAGACATGTGAACAGACATATTGCAACCATCACAAAACACTATTTTATCTTCGAGGTCAGATTCGGGCTAAAAAAGATTATGTGAATTAATTTTTAATTTTTTTCAAAACTTACACATCGACAAACATCACAAGCAGCATCTTCATTTTCATTATTTTTTGAATCTGTGTTTGGAGAATGTAACGGGCTGAGAAGAGCTTCATGAATATTTGAATATGCTTCGATTTCCAATGCGTTTAAAATATCCAACAATGTTTCACAACTTAGCCAATCATTTCCATTCGCTGTTTTTCTTTTCAAATTCAATTTTTCCAAAAATCTCAAATCCATCTCATCTCCTTGATAAATTCGATCTTTTGGTAATTCGAAAACTTCAATTGGCGAATCATCAGAAGAATTTGAAGAAACTGATGGGTTTGTTATAATTAGAGATGAAGGGCTAAAAAAATAATAGCGGTTATTTTTAAATAAAGAAAAAATACTTACATTTTGAAAGGCGATTTTGGTTTGAGATCAAATGTAAAATCATGAGTTTCAAAATTTGGCAAACTTTCAGGATGCACAAGCATTTGAACACCATTATTATATTCAGGTTTCCATTTATCGGTCAATGTAATTGTTTGATGTGATGTTCCAGCTTCATCTCCACTTTCTTCATCTTCATCAATATTATTATGCAAATTATTCCGGTAGACCATGCTATATTTTTCTGTTGCTACTCCATCTGAATTTTTGACATAATATTCTCCCCGCTTTGCAGGTTCTTCGATATTATTTTGAACTGAACTATTACTTGTGGATGGCCTAAATTATTATATTTTATTAATTCAAATAATTATTTTGAATACTTACTTCGAAATTTGAAAATCTTCATCCTCTCCTCCAGATAATTCTAAATTCTCATCTGCAGGATTTCTTCTTCCCATCGGCCAAGACATTCGAATTCCGCGTCGCTTTTTCCAATTTTCATCATTTGGCGAAGAAGCCGCAGTTCCTAGCGCTGCAAAAATTAAAAATATTTTTAAATTAAAAATTAGACCACGTGTACTAACTTTTACGCTTCTTTTTCGGCTTCTCCACTTTCTTCTTCATTTTTACCAATGCGTCCGTGATTAATTCGCCGTGTTGAGGAAGATAATCTAAAAATGGTATGGGCTTTTAAAAAAATTATTAAAAAAAACTTCACCAACCTGATCGAAGAAATGTTGTTAGCGAAGGTGGCATTTGACGTTCAATGATATTTCTGAATTAAGAAGAAATTATTAATCGCCAATATTCCTTACACAAAAAAGCTAAGACAAACAATTCGACACCCGCCAATCGAGAGAAATATTTGGAAACCTAGTCCCCCTTGTTGTCTTCTTTTTAATGAGTTTTTCGTGAAAATTTCATAGAAAAACCTTCTAATTTGGTGTAAAATTGTTTTCGAAATAATTAGGGGTTTTCATCAAGCTTTTCTCTATAAGCTGTTATTGATTTTTCATGCAAAATGATAATTCAAGAAAATTTTAAATTTTTATCAGGGAGTTTTTGGAACGAACTTTAAAGTTTATCTAATACCCAACTTCATAATTATTGTTTCTGGACCAATTTCTTAGTTGAGCCCAGCTTCTAAAGCCCTAAACTTTGATCAAAAGTTGAGTTTATCATATGAGGGACTAGGTTTCCATGGCCGTGAAAAAAGTGAAAACGCGATGCACAACCGCGACGCGTCGGCAAACATTGGGATGTCTGCGTATCTAACATCGCCACACATTCAAACATTTTTTATCGATTTTTTTCTTTTTCGTAGGTGTGAAATCCTGGTAAATTATAGGTTTAGAAAGTGAATATAACATGACAGAGTGAATCTATTTTTTTAGTTTCGAAGTTTATAGTTTTCTTTCACTATTCTAATTATCAGGTTTTCAAAATTCAATATTTTATCGTTTTTTTCAGATGTCTGAACACGGTGATCATCCACTACCAGAGGGAAAACAAGATCGCGAAGACGTTTGCCGCGATTTTCTCAAAAATATATGCAACCGCGGCTCGCGCTGTAAATTCTTTCACCCGCCAGATCACAAGCCATCCGCTGCAGCTCCAACAAATGACAATGAATACAATTTTTGTATCGATTATCAGGTGCGCTAGGTTACTTTATTTTTTCTTTAAAAATTTCGAGTGCTGCTCGCTTTGCGATCAAAATTTTATGTTCTGATATTTCTTTCAAAATCGCACCTCGATACGTACATTTGGCAAAAATCTTCATTTAATGCGTTGTTTTAGAATCGAGGGTGCCGGCGCGACAATTGCCGATTTGTTCATGCCCCGCGCGATGAAGTGGAACGTTACAAGCAAACGCGCGAACTGACGCTAGTGCTCGCGCGATCAATCGCAGCAGCAGGCGGTCACGGCGATTCAATCGGTGGTATTCCGATATGCAAAGAATTCCAAACTGGAAGATGTGCTCGCGGCGCGCAAAGATGTCGCTATTGGCATGTAAATGTTGAATTGGAAAGACAACGAAGATCTCGCGGACTTCCACCAACTAATGAATTCGCTGGCGGTCCTCCTGATGATTTTATAAATGGAAATGGATTTATGGGTGGAAATGGGGGACCTCCGCCGCCACCAATGATGGGAGGAGGAGGAGGTGGAAGAAGAAGAGGTTATGATGATGGTGGATATGATGAAATGGATATGAAAAGACCAAGAATGATGCCAAATGATCATATGATTGATTTGGAAAAGAAAAATGCTGAATTGCAAAAAGAAGTCGATTCTTTAAGACGTGAATTGAAAAGAGAACACGAACGATATGAGGATTTATATGCTTTGTTCAGACAACAAAGTGGTGGAGCACCTGCGCCACCAAAAGCAGCTGGATCAGCACCAACAGCACCGCCATCTGATTATTATTCAACTTCTCAACCAGTTTGGGGCGCATTGGGTGGCGGCACAAGTTGGTAATTCATTTCAATTTTAATTAATTTGTTCTCTTCTCCATTATTTTTTTATCACAACTGAATTGTGTATGACACGGTTATATTCTATAAATCTCTAAAAAGTTGCACTCCAAAAAAATTATCAATCAATTATCTCGTGTTGTTGTTTCTGTTCGTCGTTTTATTTTGCACACAAAATGAAATAATAAATATATAAATTGAAATTAGTGTAAATATCATATCTCGATAAAAAAGACCCGGAATGATTGTTGAAACATATCGAAAAAGTAAGGCAAAATGAGAATATGCGTAAACATCGGGATAAAACAAGCAATAAAGTAAAGAAAATCTGATTGGGCGGGGCGGGGCTTATGAAAAGTTTTTGAAAATATTTAGGTTGAGTGATAACCTGAGCAGCGATTTAATGTAAATTTAATTCTCCTATAGAATTGTGCAGTGTTTCTTCAATCCAGATCGCTTTTTTCTTCCGGTATTATGCCCAGATACATCAATTCCAATCGCAGCTTGGTTACCTCCCTTTCTTCTTTTCATTTCTCTCATCAAATCATAGAATACCTGCAAAAATTCTGTTTTACTTTTGAAAATTCCCATAAAAACTACATTCAATATTGTTGAATTAACATCAAGAACCGGGAGATCATACTAAAAACCGGTTCCTCTATTCTTTTCAAAAAAATTTGCATATTACGAAAAAAAACCAACCTTATCAACATTTTCTCGCCTCTTCGCTGATGTTTCAACATATTGAACACCCCATTGTTCGGCTCTTTGTCGACAGAGTTCAATCGGAACAACTCGATCATCTTTCATATCTCCTTTATTTCCAACCAAAACAATTGGAACCGAATTATCCGAATTTTTGACACGAAGAATTTGCTCGCGGAATTCGCTTGTTGCTTCGAATGATTCCATGTCAAGAATCGAGAAAACACAAATAAATCCTTCACCGCTTCGATAATAATTATCACTGGAAAGAAAAGACAATTCGGGGTCTAGCTCTTCGAAAAAAAAACTTACCGAATCGCAGAATAATCTTCTTGACCAGCAGTATCAAGAATATCAATCGAGCATTCTTCACCATCCAAAACAACCTTTTTTCGATACGAATCGGCTTTTGTTGGCTCATATTCTTCGACAAACTGAAAAATGATTTTTTTTTCAAATTTTATATCATAAAAATAAATTAACAAACCTCATCATACATGAATTGAAGAGTTAACGCAGATTTACCAACACCTCCACTTCCAACCATAATAACCTTAATTAATTTTTAATTAAATTCAAATCTAAATTAAAAAATGACAAACCTTATGTACAACTTGTTGTGCTGGAGCCGGTTGTCCGCTTGCTTTCTTCGAAGCCATTACTGAAGAAAAAAAAATGAGATTTCAAAAGTTTTTGTTTCAAAGTTATATATTTTCAAAAACTGACATATATATATCACAAAAAGAAGAAAAAGTGACCCTTCTTCGCTTATTTTTTGCGCTTTTAAAATGAAATGGAGATTGATTGTGAGGAGAAAAAGGCAAAAGAATGAGGAAATAAAAGAGATTTAGAGATGCAATCGATACAAAATGGATCAAAGAAATAGTACAAGATATTGAAGAGATGTTAGAGAAAATACCGAGGACACAACCAAAAAAACTAGATTTTGTTCTCGAAACAATTTATTATTGGTTGGTTGGATGAAGTTTTGGATTATTTTTATTATTTATAAAAATTTTCAAATTCGAAAACAATAAAAATTGAAATTCAAAAGGTTTTATGGAAATATGAAAAATGTTTATCAATTCCAATTTTCCTGTCAAAAATAATCGGAGGGCATTTTTTCATGACTCATGATAATTCAAAAAAAAAAGTGAGTCAAAAAATATTTCGCAATATTATTCTCAAAAACTGTCTAAAAATGGATTTTTCCGACATTATTTCGTAATAACACGAAGAAAAAAAAGGGAAAATGGACAATGCTCTTTTTTCTCATGAATTTATAATACTTTTTGTTTATTTCTTTTTTCGACAATTTTTTGCTCGTTTTATGATAAATTAGGAAAATAAGTGGCAATCAATAATTTAATTGAAATTTATTTTGGAAAAATTTAATTGAATTTAATTTTATTGACAGAAAGTCAAAACCCAATCAATATTTGACTTGAAATTAATTCTGATAAAAATAATTTAATTGAATTTGATTCAACACAACTTTTCTATCGTTCCCCATTTCTCATTCACAAAAATTCCAATTTTTCTCATATCCGCTTTGTTTTGTTTCGTTTCCCATCATTTTTCTTTAAAAAAATCATAATAATAATATTTTTATTATGAATTGAAAAAGCATAAGAAGAGGCTCGTCACTGTGCAAACAAACCAGTCTCAAGCTTATCATACAAAAACGTATTATTACTATTTATAAAAGTAATATTCATAGAATTTCACTTTCCAAACTTTAGTATAAAATGAACAATTTAATGGCGCATTAATAATATGACGTCTAAAATTCAGAATTTTCAGAATCGAACATTTCCGCTGATTTTTTAAAAATGTGAGTTCTACGAAAAATATAAAAATTGAAGATCATAAATTCTGAACTGATTTTCTAGTCAACTCACTTGAATTTGTATTCCTAGGAAAATGAAAATTATTAAAATTGAACTAACCTTCAGGGCTGAATAAATCTTCATTATGTTTACCAGTCAGAAAATGCCAAAACGCCAAAAATTTCAGTTTAATCCACTTCCAGACATTTTTAGAAATATGTACAACCTTTTCCATTTTTAGTTTTGTTGGAAATGCTTGTTTTTCGATCGAAAAAAGAGAGAAAAAAGGTGCCTAGCAACGAGGAAAGGCTATGGGAATAGATAGACTCCGCCTATATTTTTGACCAATTATGCAGAAATGTATATTGGGACAACAAAAAGAGGAAAAAAAAAGAAGAAGGACATTGGAATTGTTTGTGAATTAATGAAAAATAAAATCTAAAGTGGAATTTGAATGAATTTCAATTCATTAAAGAGAGTACTTGACTTTTGGGACTCTATGAAAATTATTATCACGTGTTATAATCCAAAATATCGTTAATTCAATATTTTTCCGAAGAAGATACATATACAAACAATTATAATTTTAATTATATTAATTGCATGTTACCAGAAGGTCGCCACCGGTTATTGTCGGCTTCTTCTTTTTGAGGCCCTTTTCGTAAAGTAACTTTTGAGAAAGTCGAAATTTGGTGTTTCGAAGAGATTTCATGAAATACTCTTTTTTTGGAATTTTAAATTTCTTATTGAAAAAATTATATTTTTAGGCTATATTTAGGAAGTTCTGAGAAGTATTTATGTTTTTTGGATCAATATAAAGAAGATTTCATAAATTGCAAAAATATTCCGTACCTAATCTGGTTTCTAATCAAGATACGGAAATAACACTTCATTTGGATTGCTATGAATGAAAAACAATGCTTTTCGAGAACATGTGTAAATAATGAATTTAAAAAATCGAACGAGATTGAGAAAAATGAAAAAAACTTTTGTGAACTTTTGCGTAAGACACTAAACTTTTGAGAAATTTTATGAATCTGGAAAAAATAAGACATTTTTCAATGTTTTCTAGAAAAAAACGTCACTCTTGGCCGAATAATTAATTAAAGAACGAAAAAATAAAAGGGCGATCGATTGGGGAAAATGTTTATTTTTGGCGTCACTAACAAATAATACAGAGAAGAAAAAGAAGAAGCTTTCAACTATATAAACATTTGGCAAGTTTTTTTTCTCGTCGGATAAAATATAAACATTTTGAGGTCAGTGAAACGATAGATAAGATACTTACTTTACACTATTTTCTGCGGTTTGCACTTTTAATATATGACATTTTCAAATTCAATAAAATTTTTAAGAAATAAAAATTTAGAAATATTTTCTCACGGAATTTAAGAGTTCACGTGTTAAAAAAAATATCATTTTGAATTAAAATTCAAAGAAAAATGTTTTATTCTCAAAAAAACGTACGAAACAGGATGGATGAAAGAAGAAAAAGCAGAACATAAATAAAAAAGGACTGTCGGAAACATTCGAAATATTATACAAACATTGTCCAAAACAAACATTTTTTCAAATCGTGTTGAGACCTTTTTCATGACTAATTCTTCCGAATTGCTCTCGCCAAAATCAGTTTTGCTCGCGCTTCTTCGAAATCCATCAAGACTTTCATAATTCGTTGATAGAAATCTGAGCGAAGTCCCATATCTGCCATTTTCGAGCCATACTTGAGTTGATACAAAATATCTCGAGCCATATATTTTCGAGATTGACAAACACAACTCCATGATATGTTAATTTTACCAGAAGATTGGCCATCGGCAGCGAGGCGAAGAAGTGGATTATTCTGGAAAATATTTCGGTTGTGGAGGTCTTGAAAAGTTTCGAATTTACCTCATTCAATCCAAAATAATCGATATCAATTGGCTGGCCAACAAAACTTTCATATAATGAATTATTTGAAATAGGGCGCCATAAATGAATTGTTGAATTATTCCTAAATTAATTCAAAGGTTTTAATTAGGTCAATGAATCTATATGATTTTCATACCTTCCAGGATCTATTGAAATATACACACATCCATATCCAGCAATAAATTGTCTTCCCCAATAATCAATCGAATAAACTCTTATCATGAGCAATGGTTGACAATTTTTCTCAAGTTTTGATTCCTGCTCAAAACAAAACTCGAAACTTTGCGAAAGATTAAGATTTCCTTGTGAATCGGCTGAATAACGATGTGTTTTTCCAGATATATTTTCAGATTTCAATTCAATTCCTTTGGGTATTTTCAATTTATATTCTATAGTCAATCCTTGATCAATCAATAATTCTGAAGCCGAATCGAACGATAACATCATACATGTTTCGATAAAACCATCTTTTGTTATATTGAATGACTCATTTTCAACAAGACTTGTCTGAAAATTAATTTAAAAAATTGAAGACAATAACCCAAATAAAACAACTCACAATAGAATTTCGACTTTTAATATTATCAAGAATAAGATCTTCATTTGTATCTTGGTCTCCAATTTTAAACTTCACTGAAAAATCTCCGAATCGAGTTTCTAATTTTATTGAATGATCCAAATCCAACCGAGGTGTTATTGAAAATCGACTATTTGAGCATATTTTCAAAGTTGCCACCAAATGTATGCTTATCGGATCACTGAAAAAGAATTTTTCAAAAAAAAAACCTAATAAAAATTTATTCACTCACTTCAAATCTTGAGATCCCAAGTTTGCCAAAATATACATAACTAAATTTTTCGGTTGTTCTGAAATGATTTTGGATTTTCTGAAAACTATATAGTCATTATTGGTGGCCATTTCTTTTGATGATTCGGCAATTTTTCCAGAATTATCTTCATTTCCATCATTTTTGAATTGATTGAGATGGCTTGGAAGTTCGTCAGATTCCAAAAGTGTAAACAATTTTTTTCTGTAAATTAAAAATATTACTTTTGATTATTTAAAAAAAAAGAAATATAAAGTACCAACTTTTGTGGAACACGTTGTTGCCAGCCAAAAGAAATATCATCGATTCGCGATTTTTCAGAATTTTGAAAACCCTTTCCGGAACTTTTATCGAAGTTTTCAAAATCGAGAGGTGGCAGACCAATTTGATACAGCTGTGCTCTGAAAAAAAACACAGTTATACCGAGAAATCAACTTGAAAAAAAAAACAAACCTTATAAAAATCCTTTCAATTGGTCCCGAAAATTCGAAAACACTCATTTTTCCTTTGAAAATTATTCAAAAAATATAACCAGAAATTTGGTTTGTTGCTATGGAGACACATTTTTCCCTATTCGGTATATACTTTTGCTTTTGTTTGTTTGTTTTTTCAGATAAATTTCATAAATATCTGAAATATCCTGATCTTTGGAATCCAATTAGTGTTTTCTTTCCATTTCCAACCTCACAAATTGAATTCATGTTCTAATTCGACAAAAATTTGATTTTGTGCGAATTCTTTGCAGAGTTCCGCAGTTGTTGTTTCTCAAAACTTTAGAAAATGATTCTACAAAGTTCTTTCTATCGTAAATTCTTGTTTTTGATGAAAACTGACAAGTAAGTTGAAATCTTAGATTTTGATGGATAACAGGTTGCCGTGATTATTTTGAATTTCCCTCAAAAAAATTGAGAAAAACATTATGAAATATTTTTCTAGAAACTACACTCAACGTCTAACTGTACTTCCGAGTGGTGAAATAGTACTTCAATGTACACCAAAAATCAAGAGATCTCAAAAAGTGTATCGTGTCAGATGTCATTCAATTCACTAATTATAACATGCTCTTTCTAGAAATGTCTTTCGAAATCTTTTATTTCCAAAAAATAACAATGAACATTTATTTTGAACATACTCCATTTCGACAAGTGTAAGATGACTGACAACAAGAATTTCCACATTGATCACGAGTCACTGGACAATTCTGAAAATTTACAATCGATTTTTCTTTTTGTGAATAATTACGAACGGAAAGTCTGGGGAAACATCTGTTTTTGATGCAAGATTGATTCGAATTACAGCATTCATAAGCCGAGCATTGATTCGTCTGGTAATCACATCGTGAAGACGATGAACCTGAAAATAAATTCTCAACTAATTAATATTTATTTTCAAAAAAACTTACCCCGTTGTTGTGGTGCTCTTGTGGTGGTTGTCGTTTTTCTCCCAAAGTTGAAAAAAGAACCAGCGGAAATTTCAACAATAAGTATGACTAATAGAAGAATGTTTAAAAACTGCATGTTCTGTAAAAATTATTAGAAAATGGAACAAAACGAGCGAACAAACAAAATTAAAAACGAAAGGGGTTAGAAAAAGTAAATATTTGAAAAAAAAAAAGAAAACTGGTGAACTTCATAAATAAAATCACACGGAAATTAACCGTGTGAAAAAGATTCCATTGAATATCCACTTTCTTAACGAATATTGAAACATAACTCGAATTTATGAAAGAATATTTTTGGATCGGAAAACACGGGAAGGAATATAATGTTTTGGATGCTTTTCAATGTTTTTGTGAAATTTCTTTTCCTTTCGATTCGTACAATTTGGCCAACTCTTTTGGACAAGTATGCATGTAACCTTTGTTAGCATCGCAAATCTCTTTCATTCGCTTGTATGGATCGTATGTTCTGAAAAACACTTTCATCAAGTAATTTTTCATCCGTCACTTACGCAAAGAAATTCTCATATGCATAATGACGTGGCCAAACGTATGCAGCATTGAAAACAACAGTCGAAGCTACTGCAACAACAAATGAAACATAAAGACTACGGCGACCGTATTGATGGAGCATATTGCGAGTTTGACTTGGAGAAACCATCTCTCTGAAACATTATCTTTTGAAATTCAATGTATTCTGCGATATTTGCAGGGTCGAGCTAAAAAAAACAGAATAAACTGAAAAAAAAATGAAAATGACCGCCCGAATACGGTAATTTCAAAAATGTGCATCGGTGTTTGCACTGAAATATAATCTACAGTATTATATATTTTATTTTTTTCGATTTTTTGCACTAAAAAACGTTTTTTGGTTCTTCCCAGTTATTTGGAAAGAAATGTACTTCAGCTTTTCAGATTCGAATGAATAATGTCGGATTTTATTCATTGCAACCGATGTTTCACAACCAAAAATGCAAAGTTCATGTTAGGACAATGTTTTCATGTCAGTTGTGAAAAATGCATTTTGAAAGATCCCCAAAAACATTGCCCAGTCTGTAAAAAACCTGCAAAATATGTGCCGATCGGCGGAAAAATGCCAGAATCATTGAAAATCTATTTCTCCGATTCTAGTCAACTGATTGAAAAGGAATTGGCGAAACTTCAAAAACAATACGATTTTCAAAATGGAATGGCAACACATTTATTGGGACATTTGAAAAAGGAAAAGGAGAAGATCAAGAAAATGGAACACGTTTTGAGGAAAAAGTGTAGAGACGATGAAGTTTTGAGGAAAGAATATGAATCGGCGAAAAAATGGATTGAAATGGCTGAAGAGAAAATGAAAAAACAAGAAAATGAAATTGATGAATTGAAACAGCAAATGGCAAGATTGGAAGGATCTGATTTTCGAGGTGCAACTGATCATACTTCAAAGTTTCGATTTCTCGAATCAGACGCAGATAGTCAATGTAAGTGTTTTGCTCTGACATGACACATTTCTATGATTATTTTCCAGTCACAGTTTCTTCAATCCAAAGCTCAAATTCAAGCTTTCATTTATTATCACCAATTCGTTCTCCACCAATTCAAACACAATTTGAAGAAATGGAAGTTGATCAACAGAATTTCTCCAATCCATTTGTTGCTCCAAAAACAGCAGATGCTAAACAATTTGTGAATGTTTTCAACAACGTGAGTAATTTTTAAAAACGTGACCTATTTAAGTGGCAATATGAAATTCATTTTTATTTATTTCATTTTCAGATGATCACACCTGGACGTCATTACAAACAAAATGTTCCGGATAAAACAATTACTGGCGATAAAACAAGTTTATCTTTGGATGATCAAACATTATTGAATGCATCTGATAAATCGAGACGAGAAACATCATTGCCTCCAAGAACACCTACAAAATATCAAAGCTATGCTGGTGACTATTCAGTTTCTGGAAGAGAGCGACAATTTCCTCGTTCAGTTCAAGAATTAAGACGAAATGCATCACAAAAAGGTATAGTTACTCGAAATTCAATAATACCAAGTTCATATCTTAATTTGGGAGATTAATCTCTTGTCAATATTATCATGTGAATAGTATTTCGTTGTTTAAAAATAAATAGTTTCATTCATCAAGCAAAAAAAATGGGGGGGGGTATTTTACATTTCAAAAAGAAAAAAGTTTGTTCCCGATATAAATAAACAAATTATCCGTTTCATATGTATGTGGTTGGTTTGAAAATTAAAAAGGAATGGTATGTACATATAGAGAACACTACTGTTTAGAAAACGAGAGAAAAACAAAGAAAAAGAGCAAAAACAAACTGATTAACTTTGACTACTACAACTAGGTTGTTCTTCTTCGGGTATTTCAATTCCTTCTGGAATACTCGAAGGTGGACTATCTGAATTATTTGAAATGACAGAAGACGAATTACGAGCTGATAAAGTTGATGATTGAGCTGTTGGAGGTTGTTGACAAGGATCCAATACGAGGTATTTCAAAATATCCGAAAGCGAAACAACACCCACCACCTAGAAATAATAAATTTTTTAAGATTTGAGATTCTCATAATGAAATCTTACCTTTTTCTCATGATCAGTGACAATCAATCTATGAACTTCAGCTTTCACAATAGCTTCCAAAACATTAAAAAGTGAATCAGTTTCAAGACAAGTATGAACACCTTCAAACCATTCTGATCGATGTTTCAACGCTTCTTGAACTGTACAATCCAATTTATCATAAGAATTTTCTGCTGCCAAACTAATAACATCAAACTTTGCATAAATATCTACACATTGTCCATTTTCATCAATCAAAGGTAACGCAGATACTCGATTTTTCAAGAATAATTCAAGAGCATCGTGAATTGGAGTATTCACATTACAGCACAAAACATCTCCCCATGATCCAATACCCAATTCATGAGGTGTGCAATTCATAAATGATGGTCGCGGCAAATCTCGCATCTGAAATGATTTTTCTTGTTTTTTTTTTAAATAAAACTTCAGAATTCAACTCACGTATAACGACAAAAATTTGATAATTCGTTTGTGTGTCAAAATATATGTAATATTTCCAGTCTTTTTATCCAAAACAGGCAATCGATGAACTTTTGATTCGCACAATATCTCAACAGCTCGATGAAGACTTTCATTTGGATCAATTGATATAAATTGTCGAAGTGACCCGTCTTGTTCAAATTGTTCTCTCCAATGACTGATTTGTTGATCTTCAAGTGCTCGAATTCTTTCCGAATTTGCGTCTCCTTGATCATAATGTCTGAAAAATTAGGTATTCAGAAAAATTTTTGAAAAACAAAATTCGTGAATTTTTTCCCGTAAGGAGGTGAATAATTTTTAATGCTCTCAAAAACTTTCAACTTTTTTGCACAAAATCTTTGAAATATAATCCACAGTACTTGGAATTATGACAAAAATTTAAATAAAAAATTGAAATTTTATTTTTTCTTCAATTCTCCCAGTTCCAAAAACACACCTGCATAAAATCTTGATAAAATCAGTAATCGTCAACATTCCGGTAAATTGTTGTTTATCCGAATCCCAAAGTGGCGCCGCTCTTACTCCATTATAAACCAACGCATAAAATGCTTTTCGAACCGGTAAATGAGTGTCAAAGACCACCAATTTAGACGAAGTCGGGATCAAATCGTAGCATTTGTGAGCTTTCATGAAAAGTGAATATACAGCATCGTGATTGTCTGAAAACATAGAGAATTATGCTTAGAAATTTGAGAGAAAAAAATTCGCAATCCAACCAAAGAAAATTGCGTTAATATCATTTTGTGTAGATGTTGTATTTCCAATTGTCATCGAATCAAAACTTGGAAACAATGATGCCTGAAAACCAACAAATAATAACCCATTAACTAACCATTCTGATCAGTATGCCACGTATAAAAATCAAAAACCGGATCACTAAGTGGCGCTTTTATCACTCCAATTGCACCCGGAGAAACTTTGAGGGAATTCGAGTGATTTCGCGGAACTCGAAATATAATGACTGGTGGTTTCCGGGATTCACCATTTCTGATTTTCATCTCATTCGCTAAATCCTGCAGTTTTCCGTGTGAAGTATTTCCAACTCGTGATTTTCCATAATGTCCACTTGCTGGTAATGATTTCACAGTATCATAATTATCTTGATATTCTTCTGTATCATCACCATCTTCTTCTAGAATAGCATCTTCCGCATCTTTAGTTCGTCCCTTCTTACTCGATTTTCCAAATAATGTTCTTCTCAATGTCCCTTTCCAACCTTTCTTTTGTTTTTTCTGATGTTGCTCTTGATTATTCGAAGTTGATGTTGATGTTCTATCATTTTCAATTGTACTAATAACACCTTCTTGAATCGGTGGCGAACTTAGGCGCCTAATTACCATATCTAATGAATTATGTGGTGGTTTGTGATGGAATAAATATCTGGTGGGATGACATCAACCAAATACAAACTGCAAAACAGAGTTCAAAATGTTTTCGCAAAAAGAAACGAGAGAAAAATAAGTGAAAATTCCAGACAAAAATGAGAAAAGGTTGATCATAGAAAATCAATAATTTTTGGGCGGGTAGAATTAGTGAAAATGATAAGACGGAGAAGACAAAACTTTTTTTTTTTATCAATTTTACAAATCACATGTACTTTTTTCCTAGAATTTTTAAAATAATTACGAATTTACTTTTAATTAACTTAAATATTAAAATTTATTTTTAAATAGAAGAAGAAAATTTGAATTTGAATAAAAGTTATCAACCAAGTTTCCGTGAGCGCTAAAAGCAAATTTTCCGCGTTCGGGCTTCGCGCAAGCTTGCGGTTTCACACAACTTATCAAAGAAAAAAATCAGATTTCTAAAAAGTCAAAAAATCAAAGAACCTTCCCAAACCGGTTTCTCACAAACCATTGGGTTCAAAATAAATTTGGTCCAAAAAATTTTCTAAGCCTTCTCTTCTAAATGTAATAGAAATGTTAGAGAGAGAGTCACATCACTAAAATATGCAAATTTGAACATAATAATCGCCTTTTTCTTTCACCAACTCGGGGAATCGTGCGAATTTGTATATTTCGGGGGGAGAAAAAAGAACAAAATCAATTGAACAAAAAATACATAATATTGTTGGGGGGAGGCGAAAGTTTCTAAAACAAACATGATATATTCTTTTTCCGTATACTTTTTTGTCTGATTCGTTCAACTTTTCTTTTTTTTTTGTTGAAAACTCAGAAAAGGTGAGAACAAATATCAAAAAATGATTTGTAAATAAAAAATAGAAAAACTAGGATCGTGGTTGCCAAAAATGGTAATTGTACTTTTAATTTTTGAGTTGAAAGATCAGAGGAGGATTTTTGGCTCATAGAAAGCCTAGTTGTCAAGAATCAGAGGCTATGGAGCCTGGTCATCAAGTAGCCGCTCCTAGAGAATTCAATTGCCAAGGATCAGCGCCTAGGGAGCATAGTTCTCGAGCAGTCGCGACTATAGAACCAACACGTCAAGTAGCCGCGACTATAGATTCTAATTTCCAAAGATCAGCGCCTAGAGAACCTAAAAAACTATGATTATTCTCATTTCCCCCCAAGAAAAAAGGAATAAATAGCCAGAGGGCTCTTAAAAATCAATTCAGAAGTAAGTAGGTAGGAGAAAATCTATTTTCTCACTCACCAATTTCGTAACTGAAGTGGAGGAGTGAATAACAAATAAACTGACATTTTCCAGTTATTTTTCAGAAAAGACAACTGTTAGCAATAAAATCATTTTTTTTTCGAAAAAAAGTTCTAAAAAATATGAAGATGAAGGCGTATCTGAAGGAAAGAAGAAAACATGTGGTTTTTGAGAGAAAATTGCGAACGAAAAATCTCCAAAGAAACGAAATTCAAGGAGGCAACTCAAAAAATCCCCATTAATTTAGCGAAACAAAAAATTTCGAACACAAAAAAATGGCGGAAAATCGATTCGGTCGAGACAAAACCAAAACATTTTCATCTTTTTTGTGTTGTCTTCGCTTCTTTCTCAACCACAAAAATGTTCTAGGCAAAAGCTGCGAAGAAGCGGAGAGAGCATACGCATTGAGGAGACGTAGACAGACAAACAAAACACGAGGTAAAAATGAGAGAGAGAGTGGTCATTTTTGAGAGAAACGAATGAATGCGATGATGTCATCAAATGGTTTTTATTTATTAATTGATAATAATAAATAATAAACATTTTCGAAGATATTCGAAATTGTGTTGGAACAGAATGATGCAAAACAAAAATCACGTGGGAAATAATATTCGAAATTTTTCCCACGCTTGGTCTCGAAACGACAATTCATGGACAGTATTTTTTTTTTTCGAAAATACTATTGTGTTTTGAAGGGAAATGGATCATACAGCGATTTTTCGAGGATTTTTAAAGAGACATAAGTTCTCCCGATTGTTTACAGAAAATTTCCTTTTTTAAAGGAACATGGGTTCTGGAATGAAAAAAAATCCAATTTTGTCGCCCCCAATTTTTAGCCTAAATTCGGTCCTTCAAAATAGGCCCAAAATTTTTTGGAACCAGTTAAAAAATACATTTTTCCTTGCTCTGCTCAAAAACACACATTTCACCGGCTGAAAACAAAAATAAAATGCAATCAAGATAATGTCTATCGCGGGGTTCACCAAAGTGAATGACGCAAAAAATAATTGGATTTTTTCTGCAAGTGCCGATGTCAAATTTTGTGCTGCTGTCTTTAGACGGAAAAATTAATTTTTCAAATAAAAAGTAACAAGCATTTTTCTTCGAAAATAAATCAAATCAAACTAGATAGAGAAATAGACACGTGGCTTGCTCCGAACAACAAAAGTGATAAAAAGAAAATCATTGATTTAACACGAGACGAAAAAAAAATATTTTGAGGAGAAAAAATGAAGATATCAAAACATAGGGTGAATAATAAAATCATAATAGTCATAATTAGGGAAATGATTCGAGTACGGGATAATAATCTATTCAAAAAAGGTCACAGATCAATGACGCATTTTCATATGTTTCAATAACTATTATCAACGTAGAACATAAAAACAATAGAGATAGTACAATCAGTATCAAGATCTTCGAGCGCGTGCGGTTTGCAACGCGGCTTAAAATCGGAATAAAATATTGTCTAGTCTGAAGGAATCAATTCTTCAGACTAGACAATAAAAATATTTTGATATATTTTTCCAGCTCATAGGATTTTTCACATATTTTTTAGTGATCCGGTTTTCAATTTTGTACACGTGGCAAACCAAAAAAAAAAATCCAACTAACCTCTTTTATGAGCAATGCAGTATGATTGATTGTTGGCGATGTCAAATCCAAGCCCGAATCAAAACTTTTCGGCCCATTTCCAGTGAATCGCTGAAATCTTCCGCCAAAAGTTTGTCTTCGACCAGGTGAGGCGACTGAAAACAACTTTTTTTCAGGCATAACTAAACTATTTTTTGGAAATTCTATTTTTTGAATCAAAAACTGAATATTTTTTAGCGCTAGATCAAAAACTCACAAAATTGTTTAACCATGATGACGTTTGAGAATTTTTGTGTTTGTTTGAAATTTTTCGGGAGGAAAACGGAATAAATGAATGTATGTTGATGGTAAGTTCAAAATTTGTATAATCCGATTCACGCGAAAAAATAAAAGGCAGTGAAAATCATGTAGAGTTCAAATATGGAACACACAAAACACGAAACTAACAAAGAATGAAAGGAGAAAGAAGGAAAGAAGGAAACTAACTTGGTTGAGTATCACAAGATGCACTTGCTCTGGCTGCAATTGATTGTGGAGATGGAGAAGATGGAGAACCTCCAAAAAAATGGACTGCTCGATAGTTGTAACTGAAAAAAAAGAAGATTTTATTTTTTTGGAGATTTGGGATTTGGAATGATTTGGGAGCATTTTTTTGAAAATTATATGGTATGACGTGGCAAATTCAACAATTTTTGAGATTACAAAGTTTGCACTCGATTTTGAAAAAAAATTGCTGCGATTTAGAAATTTTCTCAAAAACTCGGATTTGGACCAATCCAAAATTTGCCACGTCATAACTCACCCTCCCAAAAATCAACTAACCGAATATGTTCGATTCCTTCCTCTAACAAAATCCACAACTTGAGTCACCGGACTTCGTTTCTTCAAATTATCCTGATTTGCAATTTGTGTGTCGACGAAAAGTGGTCGAGCACGTGGAGATCCCTGAGCAATGTTTGAATTTTGTTGTGACGAGCCTGAAATTAATTTTATGTTCGATATATTTTTGGCTTACAAAATTCTGTGATAAATTTTGCAAATTCCCAAAACAATTACTATTTTTATCAGAGCTCATAATTCGTTTCCGGAATTTTTTAATCAATCCTTTTGAAGGCAACGGCGATGGTTGATCATTTTCAATTATCCCATTTTCCTCTTCTTCTTCCTCCAAAAAACTCGAGTCACAATCTAGACTCATTGAGTTTCTTTCCAAAGTTCTTGGCGCTGGCGAAGCAGCTAACAAAACAATTAATGCACTTCGACCATTTCTTTCAGACGAAGATTTTTGGCATAAACTTGTCATATATTTTCTGGAGAAATTCGAGATGGAAAGAAAATGAAAAACGAACAAAAACAATTTTTCAGTGAGAGTGCTAGCTATGTATAAATCTAGCCGGAATCCTATAAGAAACGAAAACCCTATTATATTCCGAAAAAGACCAAAAAACATGGTTGCTCGACAAAAAAAAATTTCAATATGTTCTAAATGGGTTGGTAATAAAAACAGGCAATTTCTATTTTTTGTTGGAAAACAACAACGCATCTCAAAAAAAATTGGGGGAAATGGTGTCTGATTTCATTGGGAGAAAAAATGCTGAAAAGTTGCCTGACAGGAAAAAACAACCAATACTGTTTCGAATTTCTATCGAGATTTTTGATGAATGTTTTCTACTGATTGCTAAATTACAGAATTCAATTTTTAACATGAGTTATGACGTGGCAAAATTCTAGCTTCAAAAAAGACTTTAAAATCTGATAGCGTAGTTGTTCAGGATGCTATCAGATTTGCAACCATTTTTAAAGGTTTTTTTTTTTAAATTTTCGAACTTTGCCACGTCATAACTCGTGTCAGGCTCACTAAACTTAATCTAACTTTTCTCTATTTTTCAAGATTTCGAAGCCAATTTCTAATTTTAATGAGCTTAAAAAAGCCAGCCCTAGTATTCAGACACTCGATGAAAAAACAACCAAAAAAGAATCCAACATAAATCATATAAATAAATAATAGTCACAAAAAAGAATGACTCGAGTTAGAAAAAGCCCTTTCCTTGGCTTTTCTCCTCCACAAACAAAAAAGGAGAAGAAGCGGAATAAATAGAAAAAAAATGTCTCGTGTTCGAAATTAAAGATTTTTTTTGAAGAAGGAGAGAAGAACAAGGGAGAAATGCTGGCACATCGAGAAAAGAATTAAAGAGGCAAATGTTTACGTGTTACCAGTTTTGATACATGTGTTGGGATAATAACAGAAAAAGTAGAGATAGGAATGAGAAAATTCTCCAACATTTTCAATGATTAACGGAAAAAGTGCACAGGTGATTTATATAAGAAATCTGATGACAACAATTTTGTTATTGATTTTGAGCACACCTGGGACAACCTAGGAAAAAACCGTGAAACTTTGAAACAAAAAATGATCTTAACAGAAATAAAATCGCAGAAACTTTGAAAATTAAACAATTTTCCAAGATTCTAAGTCGAAATCCAACTTCAAAACTCCCAGACCAGAAAGATTTTGAATTTATCTAAAACAAAATGAAGAAGTTCTTTAAAAACATAATGATGAATTGGTCAATCAATCATATGATTTTTGATCGCAAAAAACTTCAGATGATAACAATAAATACTCGAAATGATAATAAATATTGTTCCAAATAATTTGTTCGTGTTTCGTTTCGTTTTAAAAAATAAAAAGAACTGAAAAATCATGATTATCACTAGAAAAAACGGAAATTTGGGCGGAAATGTGATAGTAGATAGGATACTTTCTTTTATAAAAGATACTCTGGAAAAACAACAAAAATATCACGTGTTTTGGAAATGAACAAATGTTAAGTTCAAATTATTATTCCAATAATAATAATTTTTTGAGAAAAACAAAAAGAAAATGATCGAATTATGGAGTATGGTCGATTTTTTGATCTATCACAAAATATGGAAAAATCTGGTTTTTTCGGGTTGTAAAAACAGTTAATTGAGACAAATAAATAACTTTTTTTGAACAAAAGGGTCACTTTTTTTCAAAGAACCAAAAAAAACTCACCGATTTTTGTATCAACACTTTTCATACTAACATCATCTTCGATTTCTTCCATTTCTGAACTATTTGACCAGAATTTCACAGCTCCTGGGCAGGTTTCATCTGTTGATGATTCATGGCGAGGTGAATTAACTGAAGAACATTTGATTTTAATTTTTCCATGTTTTCCCCCTTCGAAATTCTAACCTTGTCCAATTGAGGAAGTAGGTGAAGAAGGGAAGAACACCAACAATCCACCCATTCCTCCACCATTACTATTTGTTCCCGATAATTTTCGAGATGAAAGCATTCCCTGATGAGCATCCGATTTTGAACGACTTCTCATTCGATTATCCCCGATCAACCCGCAGAAAACTTCAGGTGGTGGAGAACAAACTGGAGGAAACCCGAGGTCTGAAAAAATTTCGTAATACATCTATTTTTTTTGAAAAATAAACTTGCCTTCATCTAATTTGGTATCCGATGGAAGATTCAAACTTGCTTGCCGCATTCTTCGCCGATATCCTTCCATATATCTGAAAAAAACAAAGAAAATAATTGTTTTCGAGAACAGCCATTTCCTAATGAGTTTGAATGTCCTTTTTGTTATTTTTTCACGAGAAAAATTAATAGTTACCTGGTTCCGCGTGGAGAATAACCAGCTCTTTGGGATTGCGAACAAGCTGCTATAATTTCTGAAAATGAATTCCTATTTGTTAAATATCGAGATCTCATTTCAAACAAACCTCTAGGACTTGCTCCAGGTGTATATGGGCGTTTGTGAGCATGCTGTGCTCCGGTTTCTACATCTATTCTTGAATACGAATTCTGTGGTGCCGGAAATCCCGAAGGATCGTTGTTTTTCATTGATGACATTGATTTCCAACTGAAAAAAACAAATAATTTTTGCACGCACTCAAATTTTTTTTTGAAAAAAATAAAAAATAGTCCGAGAGAAGTACACACTAGACGCAACGTGACAAGACCATTTCTGATGAATGGGTGTCCCTTTGAAATGAAATTTTCATTATTTTTTGGGGGAAAAGGGCAAGTGTGCAAAATGTGACCATGAGAGAATCGAATAATATGAAAAAACACATTGATGTGATGTTGGCTGGGACGCGCGCGCCGGCAAAAAACAAATGTGTTCTTGGTTTTTTGTGTTTCTCTGCGTCTCTTCGTTAGACTGTATGTCTTATATGAAATGAATCACATGGCGTTTGCCAAGATGCGGCGCCAAAATTGAGTTTTCAAAAAAAGTGTTATTTTTTTCTGCATTTTGGAATCGGTTATTCATTTGAACTATGCTTGGACTAAAATCAAGTTTAGAATGTGAAATTCAGGGTTATTTTGAGATTTCAAAATAAATGATTTTTCCCGGGAAGATGACGGGAGAGGGAAACCAAAAAACAAAGTGCACCGAATTCATTTTCTTTTTATTTCGTTTTTTTTCTCTCTCGAACAAAAAAAGTAGAGGATCATAGATTAGAAGGACACATAAACAACATGTGAATGAAACTCAAACGTGATCTTTGGAAGAGAAATTATTATTTAAAAATGTTGATCATATTCAATTGGATAATAGCTTTCCAAATCGGATTCTCAAAAAATCGAATGTCCAAAAAAAAAGAAAAAGAAAAAAAACGAACAAAAAATGAAGGAGATGGTTAGACAGTGTGGTGAGTTGAGAGAACATAGAGAAACCGACAAAAATAAACGAAAAGCACGTGGGTTAGAGATTGTGTAGAATTGAGAGACGCAGACAGGTTGTTTGTGCAAAATAAGAAATGAATAGATGGTCAAAAAATATTTAGAAAAGGGAACGTAGGCAGAACTGTCGATTTATAAATAAATGAGTACTTACTTCCTTTTTGACCATGGTAAATGTGTAATAATCAAAGGAAATAGCGGATTAAAATCTGCAAAAACTTATTGTTTTGGAATTTTCGAAAAACATTTTGAATAAAAAATTAGTTACCTGGTGTTCTTGAATCGCTTGCTTCTGATATAAATATTCGAGGTACCTGCATGTGATCTGAAAAATATAGAAAAATGAAAAAGCGAGAAATGGCGAAAGGAAATAATATAATTGGTAGTTTGAATGAGTTCACGTCATCATTTTTTAATACGGTATTAAAAATAATTTGTGTTTTTTTTTAAATTGGAGAAAAGGCTTGAAGTTTTACTTACACTATCGTTTTTCCTATTTTTTGAAATATTTTTTCATTAAAAAATTTTTGTGGTTCTCATTTTAATTTATAAAAAAATCCTCTGTTCTGAAATTCTTAACCCAAATTTTTCTCTCAAAATTTTGAAAAACGCCGTACTAAAAAAGTGTTGTAGACCTCAAATGAGAACTTTTTATTCATTTTTTAAACAAAGTTAATTAGATTCTCTAACTCTAGCCAGAAAAATTGTTATCCATGAAAAAGAGAAATTGAAGCACTTTCAAGCACGCAGAAGCCAATTGAATATATTATGTTTATGTAAGCAAACGAAAAACATGTTCGTTTAAGATATTCAAAGTTTGATGTGTTGAATATTTTAAGAGATCAGAGTTGACCTAACTTTCATTTTTCTAGTTTCAATTTTCCTGTTTCCAAAAACTTTGCACTTTGTTTCCCTTGAGATCAACTTGCAAAAAATAAAAAATAAAATTTATTGAGTGTCTAGCGAAATGTAAAGCCCGTGGATATATAATAAATCTTTTTACTTAGCGCAAATATCACACTTTGAGATATTTATTGGATTGTGGAGTTGTTGTTGGGGTTGTTCCAACTTCGCTCGAACGTCGTGAATTATTTTTTGAGGATGTCGAAGATGTTGTGATTTGTCCGGGACAAACTGAAGTTGTCATTGTTGCACATTCGGTTATTATTGCTGGAAAAAATATTTTTTTTGATTTTTGGAACAAGGAATCTTTACTAACATTCATGTTGAACACATGTTTCTTGTGGTACAATCTCAACTCTTTCTGTTGATCGGCACATATTTCGATCTAAAAAATTGAAATTCAAAGTTCATCTGCAAATTTTGAAGAAACCAACCAATTTGATATCTTCCTAACATAGATGTTGTCATTCTTCGAAATGTGTGTTTTGGGAATATTTTTCCGGAGAAAATCAAAAAACAAAACGAGGAAAGGAAAGGAGGGAAGACGATGATTAGTAAGTGTCACGTTCCGTTTTTTGGCTCTTGGGAACTCTGAAAATATAGATGTCTTTGAGTTTATACGTTTGAATACGTGGCGGAAAAAGTGTGAGATAAATAAGGGTCAATTTTTGATCTGAAGAAAGTTCTCCTAACTTTAAAAAAATTAGCTAATTTTTTGGAATCATAGAATTTTTTCAACCAAGATTTTTGTGCTTTTTTTCGAGAAAGATGTTTAGGAATACATTTTTTAATTTTGAATTTTGGTTAAATTTCTTGAGAAGCTTAAAAATAAATTCTGGAAAACAGTTTCGAGAATAAAAATTCTTAAACAAATTAGGTTTTTGAACATTTTCAGGAAAATGAATTAAAATTCGAGTTAAGGGTTTCCAAAAAAATTATTTATCAAAATCTTTCCCAAAATTAGTTTCACCAAGTCTCAGCCTAACTCTAACCCTACTGAAACTAAAATAAATAATCAGTACAACAAAAATAGCAAAAATGTTCGAGAAGTGAAACTGACACCAAAAGTCTCGCGATTTTCTGTTCTTTTTTCAAATTGTCTCATGGGATCATCACACAGAGAAAAATGATGAATCGCGAAAAAAAAACGAAAGAGAGAAGCGTGTTTCAAATAATTCAGTTTTTGATATTCGCCTTGTTTTTCTTGTGTCTTGCTTGATAGAAGAAGATTTAAACGGATTAAATCGGACACAAATTGCATTTTATCCAAGCCACGGGTCACATTTCTTTGTTTTTTTTTCTGTCACAAGGTCAATTCACTGAAAAAGAAGGGAAAAAGAAAGAAAAACGAGAAAAACAAAAATTATTCAATCAAAACACGAGGCCAGAAAATGAAATTGATTTCATATGATTTCCGAAGGGTTACTGTAAGCTTCATATCAAAACAAATGCGTTTATTATTTCCAAACCCGATAAAAGGCAAAACGTGAGCAGATATAAATGATAAGCAAAAATTTTAATGTGAGCTAACTGGTGGAAGATCAGCTCGAGCAATTAGAATATGAAGAACATTTGATTGTTTGATGAATTTTACAGCTCGATCATGTGTCATCATTGTGAAATCATTTCCATTCACCTGGAAAATTATATTAAAAATTTGAAACGTACAATTCGAGAGTTTGAGAAAGGGAAGAAAAGCTGAATAGAGCTACAGTATTTTTGGAGAGAAATATTTTTGATCTACTAGAAAATTTGAGGTCTAGCGAGCTGTTGTATTGCGTAAGGTCAAGTGCACTCTAATTCAAGTTTCAGCTCTCGATGTGTAAGTCCAAACTCTAACAAAATTCCATTATTTATAAATTTACCTGCAAAATCTTGTCATGTTTCCTCAATCCCGCTTCCGACGCTGGTGAATCAGGTTCCACATTCGTTATATAAATTCCAGCATCCGGATATTTGTAGGGGGCTTTTGTTGGATCTTGATCGATTCCGCCGCCAATTCGAAAACCAACTCGAATCACCATTTGCCCGAATTCATCAATTATTTGCTGTTTATGCAATTCAACAGGAATACTGAGACATTCAATTGCTTCGCCAGGCAAATGACCATAAGCTGTCATTCTGGAAAAAAAACGAAAAATTGTTGGGGTTTTCTACTTTTTTTTACAAAGAAAAACCATTGGACTAAAAAGAAAATGTGAACAAGTGTCGACGAGGAAAAGCCTTTGAATAAATATGACTCATGTTAGCTAAATTGTATTGCGAAATGTTTGTTGTATTTTTTGGGGGGATTGAAATAATTTACAAAAAAACTAAAATGTTTAGAAAAACAACAGAATAGTGAGAAATTTACATAGATCGATAAAGTGTCCTTGTCTTTTGTTCCCATCTTTTTTGTCTCCTTGTTTTTATGCAGTGCAACTAATATTTATCACAGTGTCCCGAACGCGTATTGCGCCAGCACTCCACACTCCACACACTCTCTCGTTTTCTCTCTATCTCTCATCCGTCTCTTCAGCAAAGCGCGCTCTCTCATCTTTTTTTTGCGCTTTTGTTTTCTTGCTGAAAAATGCTGGAAATGGAATTTTTGTAACTAAATCGAGTATGGAGAAGACAGAGGAAGAAAAATTGAAGCAGTTCCAAGTTGTTTCATGAAAAATGGTTGAGAATGAAATGAGCAGGAGCTCTTCAAAAATAAGCTTGTGCAAAAACATCATTTTTGACCCAGGAAAGCTGATAAAATTCAGTGCTATACTTCCAAAACATTGAAATAGGACTCCCCAAGTCTGTGAAATCAATGATAATTCAAAACTATGCCGTTTTTGTTATTTTCATTTCCATCGAAATTTGCCCAAAATTGATCAAAAAACCAGATTTCAGAAGTTTATTTTGATCAAATATTTCCTAAAATACCTTGAAAGTATTCTAATTCAAATATTTATCATAAAACAAGTGCCGAATCACATTTTTCCTTCATAAAATTTGAATTGTTTTTCTTCAAAAGATATTAACTAACTCATTTTGAATCCAATCTTCACATTTTTTATATCAAAACGTTCCTCTCATTATTCTCCAGAACATATAGCTCAGTTTGGGAGTTTTCATGCAAGTAAAATTCAAATCTAATCGTTTCAAGAAAAAACCTAGTGTTAAATTTTCAAAAAACCGACAAACAGGCTTGTGCGCTCTACCGCACATGCACCAAAAATGCGCACAACTTTTCTCTGGCTACGCGTTCGGGGCACTGTGATATTTGTAAAAAGAAAAATATGGCCGTGGAAGAGAAAACGCAAGACCAAACATCATATTTTATTTTCATTTTCTGGTTTTTTTGCTACTTTTAGGTTTTTCATGGAGAATCAGTGGAATTATGCTGAAAAATGTGTTTTCTATTTGAATACACGTAATTTCGATTAAGTAACCTTCAAGTTTTCAGATATGTGCGAGCCACCATCCGATACATCAGATGAGCAACGTTTCGATGAAATGTTTATTCATTTGACACCCCGAGGTGCCACAATTCCTTTTGGTTTATGTTATGACTCGCAAGATAATCTATGGGTAAGAATTCAAATTTTTGTTTCTCAAAATCTGTCGAATTTTCAGGTTGCAACAAAAGGCGGTTTGTTCAAATTCGACCCGAAAACTCGAAAAACTCTTTGGGAACGAAAAAATATTTTCCCGAAAAAGATGGCTCCTTTCCCGCAAGTATTCTTCCATAAAAAACAAAATCGTCTACACGTGCGCCGAATTTTCCTATAATACCACTGAACTTCGGATATTTTCACTAGAAGGAGAGATTTTAAACGAGTCTTTTATTGATGGATTATGTAAGTTTTTTATTTGGAGAATAAAAACAATGAAAAAAAAACTGAAAAATGATGATGTTGAATTTTTGCAGTGGTTTCGATGACAATCTCTGAAGAAGGAGAGATTTTTATAACAAAAAAGTTGAATCCTGGAGAATGCAAAAATACGATTTTCACGTGAGTTATTAGGAAAATGTTTGATTTTACGTGGCTTTTCAAAAAAGTATTTTTAAAATTAAAGCTCAACTCCTAATATGAGTTATGACGTGGCAAAGTAAAAAAAATGTTAGCGAAAAATTAACCTAGCAAAATAATTATCCCGAAAATTCCCCGACACAGCCTTGCTTTCCCTATTCAAAATAATTTCAGAACTTCAATTGATGCTCCAATTGGTTGGGATGAAGTAATAAGTTCAGACAAAGGCGAAGCATTTTTTGCAATCTGTTCAATGTCCGAAGATATTCTAGTCGCCGCAGTTTCTAGCCTCCCTGCTCATATGAACGCTGCTCAAAAATTAGTTTATATCGATATTCCAAGTAGAAAAATTCGAAATACAGTGTCGAAAGGTGGAAGAAATGATGGTGAAATATTTTTCCCTCGTCAAATTGTGAAAAATGGCGAAAATGCATTGATGGTCGACAAATCTGGACGATTTTTGGAATTTTCAGCGTCTGGGGAATATTTGGGTGTTCGAGCTGAAATTGATGCTTTTCTTGCAAATGGATTTTGTATAAAAGATGATGAAGCTTTGATTTCATTGTCTGGAATTGTAAGAGATTCGGTAAGTTTTACATTTTTGTTTTGAAAATTCGAGAATTATTTTCAGGATGGTCAAACGATTTGTGATGATTGGCTTGAATTTATAAAACTCGACGGATCTTCTTGGAAAAAGCAGCGAGAAGAGAAAAAGTCACAAAATGGGTCAAAATAAGCTTGCAGTGATATTTACACAGACTTTTATTCATCAGGATTTTATTTGTTGAACATGAACATTCCAAAAATAAACATGAAAACTTTTTTATTAAAAAAGAAACAAAAAAAACAACCTAGAGATCTGATTGAACATAAAAATCCTAATTGAGCGTTTTTGTGCGATATGATTGGGAAGCAATTAAAATCTCGATTGAATTGTTGTTTGTTGATCTTCGAGAGCCATGACATAAGAACGACGAATACGAGAATCGACAGTTGGGCGAACTGTTTCAAGAACAAGGCGGGTCTTAAAAAATTAAAACTTTTGTTAGTGATAAAGTTAATACGAAAAACCTACAGTTCCCAAATCTTCAGCCACTTTATTTGGCAACAAATCTTCTTCTCCAGCAGCTCCAATCAATTTTCCCAATTTTTCGCTCAACAAATTTGCAGATTTTTTGATTTGCTCTAATAATTTATTGATGAATTCGATATTTGGATTTGTTTTAACAGGAATTTGAACATTCTTTTTCGATTTTGTTGGAACTTGTTCCACTTTTTTCTCACTTCCAAACAATCGAGAAATAATTCGAAGTTGAATCTTTGTAATTGCAAGAGTTTGAAGAATTCGAGAAGAAGCACAAATTGGCTCGCGAAGCCAGAAATATGTTGATGATGGTTTTCGATCCGGTGATGGAATTGAATCAATAAGAACTGAACACATTTTGAAAATGAAATATTAGTTATCGCGATAAAACACTCACCATTCAACTCAATTTCCAAATCTTTTTCAGATCCCAATAAACTTTCAATATTCTCGATTTGATTTCCAGCATCTAATTGCTCAACAATTTTCTTGGAAGCTTCGAAGAATCTTTGAATCGATTTGAAACACGCCGAATGAATCCATTGAGCAAAGAAAAGTGGAGCTGGAGATTGTGGAAGACGAGACTGCAAAAGATTTTTGTTTTTTGTGAAAAATTCTGAATTCAAAATTTCCCGCAAAAAACCCACCGCAACATCGAAACTTTGATAATCTTTTTGACATTGCTCCAAATGTTTGGAAAACGCATCAATTTCATCAATCAATTGTTTTCTTGATTGCTCTTTTGGCACATCAGATCGAGTTATTCTACCAACACTTGAAACTGCACGACAAATCGAATGACGCAGGCGAATCACATCAATCTGAACAATGAGAATTTGCTAAATAAAAAAAAAGAAAAATTGAAAGGCTCACATATTCTTTGAATGTTCTTGATTTCATATCATCCAAAATAGTCTGATAATTCTCATTTTCAGTTGTTGGGATAACATTCAAATCGCGATTGTCGACATATTCAGACCAATCTGAAAAATTAAATTAAATTTTTTAAACAAAATTAAATTAAACAACTAACTGATTGGTTCTTCATCTCCATAACAAGTTGTAATAATTCCATCCAAATCATCCAAAACAAAAAGCGACGACAAATATCGATTCAAAACATCACATCCAACAGCTTGCGATGATTTACTCATTCTTTCCGATAATGCGTATAAACGTGGAACTTGTTCGAATTTTCCATTTTTATATGCCGCTATATTGCTTTCAGTTATCTAGAAAAATCAATATTTTATATTTTAATATTTTTTCTTGAAGTAAATAGGTACCTCTTTTTCAGCCTGATCATAGATAACTGATAATTGAGTATTTACGATAATTGCCAAGTTAAATCTTCCAGCAACTTCGAAAATCGGAAAACTCAAATAACCCAATGTATCATTTTGAACTGATTTAATATCCAATGATTTCGTCAAAGCAGTCACTCTTACAGTATTACCTTAAATATTTAGCAACTTTGGTAGTGTGAAAAAAAAACAGAAAAAACTAGGAGTTTTTGATAGGAATTGGACCAGAATTTTTCTCACCCCGGTTCAAAAAACTATTCAAAATCTCCCGATAAAACTCACCCATATGTGCATATGCTCGAATTAATTCTAATTTACAAACAGGATCAGATTCATTATGCTGTGCAACATATTCCAACAACAAAATCATCTCATAAAATTGCTCAATATTATCCTCTTTTCTCCACGAATCCCATAAACCGGATGATGCTAAATTAGACAATGCTCCTTGAGCAAGTTCACTTATTGAAGGCTGAAATTTTATAGAAAATTATTTTCAGATTCAATTTTTTGTTGATAAACCTGTATAATTTGTGCAATAAATTGTTGCAACAATTGTCTTTGCTCTAATTTGCTGAGTTTTTCCCATTCTCCAAAAACTCGTCGAATTCTTTCATATACAATTATTGCCCATACTTTTGTTTCTTTTCCTTCTTCTTCGTCGTTTTCGGATATTTCTTTTATCCAACCATCCAATGATTTAATAAGCGATGATTTTGATGAACTTGAAAGAATTGGGAAATACTGAAAGAAGCTTTAATTTAATTTGGATTCTAAAATTTCAAAAAAAAAACTAACAATTTGAACATCATTGAAACAAGTTGGACGAGTATAAAACTTTTGAATAAAATCGAAAATCAAATCTTCTGGTTTTCCCAAAACTGACAAATCGATGGTTTTATTTTCAAAATCATTGAATTTCTTGATAATTTCAAGTCTGGCTAAATATGGTCCTCTTGTTTTCAAAGTTGCTTTTTCGATATGAGAATCGGAAAATGAAACAAGTTCCGAGAAGATTCTTTTTGTGATCATTTCCTTGTTTGATCAATCCAATAGTTGCTTCAATTCGATGTTTCCACATAATCCAATCATCCGAAAATTCTTCCAACATTTTTTCAGATAAAATTCTCAAATCTTCAAACTTTTCAAGTTTCACATAACAATCTGCCCGTTTTTGATTGATGAAAATGACAGGAGTTCTGTTATCAAGCGGTTTTTTCAACAATTCGATAACATTTTCGTATTTTTCCAAGCCTTCTAATATCAATATTTCTAATTCAAGTTCAGCTCCACTTCCTTTTGTATATCCAGTCTTTTTGATTTGAGTATCAAACATTTTTTCAGCCAAAGGATACAACATTTTCTTTCCCAATTGTTCATTTTCGATTGCTTGCATTATAACAGCCATAACACCCCAATAATAATATGGAGTATGTTCAAACTCTTTGAATAGTTTCATTCCAATCAATTGTTGTTTTTTGAATTCTCTTGTTCTAACATGAGACATAAATAATTGTGTATAATTAGCCTCATTTGGTTCAACTTCACATACTCTTTCATATAATCGAGTTATTCTTTCTGGTATCACGGCTTCTTTATAACAACTAACCAATGCTAAAATTGTATTCGCATCATGTTTTGCGCCCGGAACATCAATCGAATCCAAAATTTCGATTGCTTCACTCAATTTTTCATTTCGAATGAAGCAAAATGCTTTCAAAACTCTAGCCGCTGCAGTATCCGGGTGTTTTTTCAAAACTTTGTCTGCTTCTTGTAAAGCTTTTTTCGTATTCAAATTGTCCAATGCATCTATAAAAACATTCCTAAATTAATTTCCAATTTTTTCTTTTAGAAACCTACCATAGATTGGACGAAGACGGCGCTCCAAAATGGCTTGAGACATGTTTACCCGCAAAGTTTTCTGAAATAACAGGTAATTTCAATGAATTACAGCTTTGGCACGTTCAAAACCGAGAAAAAAGGTTTTAAAACAAAAATGAAAATGTGGCCTAGAATGTGCGACGGAGCGCGTTTTTTTCGTCGTTTCTTCGGTCACGCGTTTAATTATAAATTCGCGGCCACGCGCGGCAATTCATATTTTTGTTTTCTTTTGCGTGCTTCATTTCAGAATTGTAACTTTACTATTCAAGTTGGTGGCTTTTAAATTGTTGATCTGGAATTGTTTAGCAAAATTAGTACTTATTTTTCAGATGTCAATCGATTGGAACACTCTCAGTGAAAATGAAAGAAGAAAAGTTCTTCAAAAAGGCCAAATGGAATTGGATGATCTGAAAAGAAAAATAGATGAGAAACAAAAACAATTGTGCGAAAAACGAGCAACTATTCCGGAAATATGTAAACAGTCATTTATAGAAGAAAAGGTGACTTTATTAGGCCATGCTGTAAGTGTTTCATTTCTTTGAGCAAAAAAATCGAATAATATCACCACGATTTCAGATAGAAGGAGAATTGCCAATTGTGCATTCAAATAAACCAAGTCTCGATGCTCAAACTGTTATTGGAGAAATTCAAAATCGGCTCAAAGCAGACGAATACAATTTGGAAACCGAAAACGCACTGAAAGAACACATCGCAAAGGCTGAAAAAGAAATCGAAGAAACAAATCAAAAATGTCTCGAAGTCGCTGCGAATTTGTTGTCGATGAAATATATTGTATAACTCCATTTGTTCCATTTTTGTAAATAAGTTTTTTTTAAATCAATTTCAATTTCCCTTTTTTTTTTTCTTTGACTTTTTTTGTCAGCTGTTATCTGATATCACACGGATTCAACTCGTAGTTTTCTTACACAAAAAATCATCAAAAAATGAGTTGAAATTGCACTTGTTTTTATTTTTTTCAACTGGTGTAGTGTTGCTGATAAAATAATTTCGATAGAATACACTTTTTGTACTTACTTTTACAAATATTATTCCAAAAGTACAATCAGAAATACAGCAAAAGTTTTTCTTCTGATCTCCGCGAACCGCGGTCAAAAGTCGTTTAAATTTGTTGTTTTCCAATTTTTCCGGGGAAAAAACTTATTTTTCATGCCGTTTCTTTTCTGAAAAGTCTCGTGCTTTTTCTTTTTACCTACTTTTTGTTTTGTCAAAAATAAAAACATTGTGTTTTGATTTGGTCGAAAAAGTGTTCAGAACTAGACAAATTTTAGAAATGCCTAATTTTCATAAAAATAAATTTAAGCCAAATCTAAGTTTGAATGAGTTTCGATAAATCACATCGCAATTGTATACTGTAGCCACCAGAGTCCGCAATGTTTGCTCAAAATCTGCAAACACCGTCTATGTTTGACGACAATTATTTTTCCTTTTTTTTAGGCTTTTTCCCTTTCTGACTAAAAGTTTGGTTTGTCATAAATCACATGAATCATAAATCCGGATAATGATTAAATATAAAGCGATTTTGTCAGATATGTAGCTTTTTTTGTATCTCACCTTTCTTTTTTTTCTGAATTTGTATTATTTCCTGTATAAACGTGCATTGGTGCATATTTACACGAATCTGACCTTCTTTTCTCGGTCTTCTTATTATTTGGTCGACCTGACAGATGTCTACAACACTCATTCATTTCCTCTTTCTTTCGTTTTTTCTCTCTGAATGCTCTTTGAAGTGAGAGAAAAAGAAAGTAATTTTCCTCGTTTTTTTGTCCGGACGTCATTCGTTTTTCTTTTTTTTTCTTGCTTTAAAATGATTGCTCTGGAAAGTACTTTAATATATCTGTCTAGATTAGATTTGACAATAAAACAATTTTCAGTATTGAATGTACAAAACACAATTTACGATCTTGTTTATTTTCCTCTGTAGTTTGTCCGTTCAAAGTATCATTTTTTTTATCATTTGTTGTTTTCTTAAATTTTAAAACTCCGCCCATTTTGTTCCCAGAGTACAAAATATCCGATATAAAATCCGAAAGATGTAAAATAGTTAATCAGACAATGATTTTCAGATACCTAACAATGAGCACTTCATCAGTTTCCACTCCATCAAATATTTCAACTTCATCAGTTCCAACTTCAACTAACTCAACTAATTCTTCTGGAGTATGGGAAGCGGCTCAAAATTTCTTCAAAAATGCTAAGAAAAGTGAGTTTTAGATGTTTTTTTGATTGAAAATTTAAAATTATTGGTTTGATATTTTGTTGGAAATTTTTATTGTGAAAAAATGTAAAAAATGGAGTTCACAAGATTCTTCATAATTTCAATCATCTAGATTTTTAAATTACATGTAGCTAACAAAAAATAATTTTCAAATTTAATTGAAAAAATTTCAGAATCATTCACATTCCTCTCAACATCTTCTCAACGTGTAAAACCAGCAAAATCATGCGATGCTGATTCCTTTTATATGTATGGATGTGGATCAATCAATATGCCATGAATCGAACACAATTTTTTTTCTAAAGCTCAAGATCTCTCGCAATCAATTTCTCCTCTATTTCTTCTAAATATGTTATGTATTATTTTCATTATGTTCAGTCATAATTTCGATTTTTGAAAAAAATCTAATAAATTTTCTGCTTTTTTGACCCATGTTAATTTTATGGGTTTTGTTAGTCGACGAGACAGTGTTGAAAATTGAGAGACATTGAGATTTCCGTCCGCGTTCACCGTTTTTTTTTGCTTGGCGCGATTCATTTTTGCCCGTTGTCTTTTCGTCATTTTTCGTTTCAAAAAAAAAGAAGGTTTTTGAGGTTTGTTTCGCAAAGAAAATTTTCCCAAAAATTGATATTTTTTATTGTTTTCATATCATAGATTTCAATGTTTTTTCGTCTATTCCTAAATATTTCTCTTTTCTTTTTCTCCTATTTTTTCTATGTCAATATTACTGATTTTTTTACCTGCCAACCAACCTTGTGATTTTTTTCTGTTTATTTTGATAATAACCAACTAATTATCGATTTTTCTGTTCCTTTATTGATAACTTTGAAAAATGAACATCTTTTTAGATTTTTATTTGTAAATGACGTTTTTTTAATGATAAAAAATGATTCATACCGACAAAACGGTGCCAATCTTCCCACTTTCCTCTTATTTTTAATCAATCCATATATTTTTTTTTAGAAATGAATGGACTTTTGCATATGCATGGTCCGGCTGTCAAAAAACTTTTGGGTTGGAAAATCGGAGAAGATGAGGAGAAATGGTGTGAGAAAGCTGTTGAAGCGTTGGTGAAAAAATTGAAGAAAAATAATGCCGGTTGTGGTGAGTAGACTTGATTTTATCTCGAAAGTTAGGGTAACTCCAGACCACCCACGAAGCCTCTGGTCTAAACTTGATCAAATAAAAAAAGTTCAGATCCTACTGTACGCACAAATGCGTCGCAGTGTTTGCACACAACACTGCGCTGAGCGTGGAGGCAATTTGAAAATTTAGAAATGTTTTCAGAATTTGTTACTGGTTTTTTTCTCACAAAAATTTTTTTCAGGAACACTAGAAGATCTCGAATCAGTTCTAGCAAATCCAAATGCAAATTCTCGATGTGTTACAATTCCAAAAAGTCTTGATGGTCGATTACAAGTTTCACACAAAAAAGGTCTTCCCCATGTTATTTATTGCAAAGTTTGGAGATGGCCTGATATTAGTTCTCATCAGGTATAGGAAAGACTACTGTAGATTGAGAAATTGAAAAATCTTACTGTATGTTTTCAGGAACTTCGATCAATTGAAACTTGTTTATATCCTTATGAATCAAGTACTCGAACACAACAAATATGCATAAATCCATATCATTATCAAAGAATTGCTCGACCAAATCCAAATCTTTTTAATAGTCAATGCTCAATTAGTTCACCTCAATCAATTCCATCTTCACCAAATGGTTCGTTTTTTGGATAATTTCTGAGTTCATGAGATTCAATAAAAATGAATTATTTAGGCATGTGGCCATCTTCATCTTCAACAACATCATGTGCAAGTTCACCAAGTCCATCAATATTTTCGGAAGATGGTGATAGTCCAGCAATTCCTCCTCGAAAACCAATTCGAACTCCAAAATCATGGGCACAAATCACCTATTTTGAATTGAACAGTCGAGTTGGTGAAAACTTCAAATTAGTTAATGAAAGTATTACAATTGACGGGTATACAGATCCATCAAGTTCCGATACAAGGTTTCTCTTCGAAGACTTGAGATGGTATTTGAAAATTACATATTTTTTTTAGAATCTGCCTTGGTCGATTAACAAATGTGAATAGAAATGCAACAATTGAAAAAACACGAAAACATATTGGACGTGGAATTCGATTAGAACATCTTGAAAATATGCAAATTACTATGATCAATAATTCAGAGATGCCTGTTTTTGTGCAATCGAAAAATACAAATTTATTGCTCAATCAAACACCTCTGAAAGTTTGTCGAATACCTCCAAGAATGTCACTGGTAGTTTTTGAATATGGAATATTTTTCCAGGTTTGTCTATAGTACCAAAATTTTTTGATAATTATTTTTTGCAGATGCTTGAAAGATCTAGAAATGAAACTGATGATCTGAGTGAATTATCAAAACATTGTTTCATCAGAATATCTTTCGTCAAAGGTTGGGGAGATGATTATCCAAGACAAGATGTGACTTCAACTCCATGTTGGTTAGAACTTCGCTTAAATCTTCCACTCGCAGTAAGTTATAATATTTTATTGATATTTAAATGAAAACAAAACATTAGAAACATTACAGTACATTGATCAAAAGATGAAACAAACACCTCGAGTACGATTAGAAGAACCAAATTCGCAGACATAAACAAACAGATCATTCAATTTTCATATGTTTTTTCTTAATTTGATTTTTTACCGGTAACCAACATGTAATAAATGGTCCCATAATTGATTTGAAATTCGATTTCCAATCACCCAAATCGAAACGCTAGAAGAATATGAGTTCAAGGGAATTCTGACAAAAAACTAAACCTACATCATCATCTCGCGATTCTTCGATAAGCGTTTGATTTCTGAGCAAGTTTGGGATTTGGAATTTGAGAAGATATAATGCAGCAAATCCAACCATCTGAAAATTAAAGGTTTTCACTCATAAGTTCCGAAAAAAACTAACAAATGAATTAGACATTCCAGTTCCCATATAATGTTGTTCAGTTGATATTTTCTCAAAAGTGAAACCCGAATAAAAAACCATAAAAAGATCATAATATCCATAAGACAATGTAAAAATCGCAAGAATCAATGGCCAACAAAGGAAGAGCAAGAAGAATTTGTGATTGTCCTCATGAATGCACATTTGAAGAATTGGACAATGATGATCCATTCGATAAACACATCGATCACATTTTCGACAATGATGCCATCTTTTTGGTTTGATATAATCACATTTATCACAATAATCACCTTCCCAACCATTTTCTGGAATCGGAACAATATCACGGCATTTTAATGGTGGTGTAAATGATGCTTGGAAAAATGAACAAGTTATGATAATCCACAGAAAATGAAATATATAAAGACTTATTTGTGGCATCAAACCACGAGACGAATATAAAACAACCATCACTTGAAACCTGCAAAATTTTCTTTAAAATTTGAATGCTGAAATTTCTGGGGCTTACCAAAAAATAAATGCGCACGGCCATCCAAAACTAGCAATAATCCATTTGACTTTGTCTAATGATTTCCAGAGTTTTTCGTTTTTCAAAAATTTTTTGAGCATTTTGGGAAATGCGAAATGAGGAGTGATTTTGAAAAAAAATGAAAAATTAAATATTGGAACACGTTTTTATTTTTTCAAGGGTCTCACCTTTTTTTTGAAGAATTTTATGGATTTTTGAATTTTGAAGGATTTTTGAAATTTTTGGGGAACTGAACTACGGGAATCTGAATTTTTTGTACCTGTATTTTTGGAACTTAATATCGAAAACCTGACAAGAGGATTTTCTCTCAAAAAATTGCCACCCCCATCATAAATATCAGTATTATTTTTTGGAACCTACAGTACCTCTAGATCCGGTAAGAACAATAAAACACATATTTCGTTTTTCTCCGAATCACTCTTTTTTTCTGTTATCAGTGTCGAAATTGTCTATTTATCAATATATTAATTAGCATGAAATAAAAAACCAATTACGAAACAAATTATTTTCTTTGGTAGTTTGATTGATCATCACAAATCAATTTTAGGTACAAAGATTATCAAAAGTTATCATGGAATTTTTATGTTAAGGTTATTGTTTTGTTTGTTCAGAATTATCAGAATTATGATTTTTGTTCATTATAATTCCATTGACTCAATAGAAATTTCCGGGTTTTTATCAACCAAAAATTCGCGACCTCTCACAAATTATCATCTTGATAGAAATATTTTTATTGATTTTCAAAGAAATCAAACTTGAACTCCATGCTTCTTTTTTTGTTTCGATGACAACGATAAAAAATTCTTCAATTTTTATCAAATTTTTATATTGATGTGTTTTATGTTCATTTTTTAAAACAAAAAAAAATTAAATCAAATCGATTTTCAGAATTTCGTCGAAAAATTTGAAACTCCGCTGGATTTTCGTTCGTTCTCAAAAAGGAGTTCGATGATTCCAACCAATATTATTATAACTATCGAATTTATATCATCAATTATTTCCCTAATTTGTCTGCCAATTAATATTTGTTTTGTTTATATTATTTTTATTGAAAGGTGAGGAAACTTTAGCCAAAACTTTTTGAGAAAAAAAACAATAATTTATTTCAGACATCGTCCACCTTATAATACACCATTTTTTCGACTATGTATTCATTTGAGTGTGGCTGATATTTTAATGGAAGTTTTTGTGACTATATTTTTCAAATGTTCAGTTTTCGGATATTGTCTGAATAGACCTTTGATGGTAAGAAAATTTTTTTTTCGGTGGGAGACCACGTGGCACAGGCAGATGCAGAACGGCCGGATACTTGCCAAAAATTGAAAACCGGTCCGAAACTTGTACGTTTCCGACCAGTGTTGAAAACGGCCAAAAACCACTCGAAAATCGGCCGGTTTCTGCTCAAATTCAACAAAAACGGCCGAAAACCAGTGAAAAAACACGGCCGGTTACTGGTCAATTTTGATAAACCGGTCAGAAACTGGTCGGTTTTTGAGTTGTTACTGGCCGTTTTTCAACACTGGTCGGAAACGTACAAGTTTCGGACCGGTTTTCAATTTTTGGCAAGTGTCCGGCCGTTCTGCATCTGCCTGTGTGGCAAAGTTTCAGCGTTGAAAAGAGTGTATTTTCTGAAAAGCTCATCGGCCTAGAATTGAATGAGCCTATTCGCGCTTAGCTAATTTTAGAAACTTGGAAAGCCAAAACTGAACCAGGCTTAAAATATGCTTCAAACCAGAAAATTTTCCAAAAACAGAGAGGTCTTAAAAATCCAATTTTCCTAGAATTAATTCTAGTTTGTCTCCAGAACACCCCGATTCCAATAGCCGGTATGCAATATCTTGGACACGCTCAAGCAATTGGTATAATTTTCATCGCTGCAAATCGTTTCACCGCAGTCTACTTTCCAATAAAACATCGACAAAGTTGGTGGACATCCAAAACCACAACATATATTTTACTATTTCAATGGATTTTCCCGCTATTTTTCTGGATTCCTTTGAAATTTCTGACTTTTGAGGAAAAACACGTGGATGATAAGACACATAATTTGGAAGATAATTATCCTCGATTAACAAAACAATATCATTTGATTATTTCGGTTGCAGATGGTATATTTATTAATTTGATTGTTCTCATTTTATATGGAGCTATATTTTTGAGGTGAGCAAGATTATCTTAATTAATTAATTAATTTTTGCAGAGTGCATACACATGTTGTAGTTCGAAAACCTGGGGAATTGGCACTTCGATTAGCACTATCAGCATTTATTATTTTTGTTTGTTATTTATTTTCGGGGGTAAGTTCTAACAGGATTTATTTGGGATTTGCGGGAAAAACAGATTCGCTAATTCAAATTTCAAATAATATTCCGGGATCAAAAGCTACAGCTGATTTTCGCGCTAAAAATTCCAATTCAAAAACAAACTTTCGACAGCAGAACCTACAGTAATATAAATAAAACTTGGTGTCAAAAATTTGAATTTTAAAAAAAAATTAGGGATTTAGGAAACGCTACAGTAATTCCGGCACCTTTTGTAGCCAGAATCTACACGGAGCTTTTCTAAAACCCTATATTGTTTGAAAAAATTTCCCAAATTGATTCAGATCTTCAATCTATTATGTGCATTCACAACCGACGCAAACAATGAATTATTTTATCATACAATGTGGTTTGTTGTCAATGATATTTTATGCAATTCGAGTGCTCTTGTACTTCTCGCATTGAATCGACCAATAAGAAAAGTAAGTGATTTTGAAACCTATTAAAATTTTTTATCTTCATTTTCTCCAGGCATTCGTGCGTCATTTCCGTTGTTCTTCAAAATTTCGTGTCAGCACTAAAAATAATTCACTTCTTCAACAAATTTGATCTCTGCTCTGCTTTTTTTCCAAAAAGTTTCATAAATTATGATAATAATAATAATAATATTTAAGAAAGAATAATATTTATTTTTGTGACAGCATAAAAGATCATTTGTGAAAAACCCGTGAAAAATAATAAGTTAGGTAAACTTTGGTTTTCGAAGATGAAGGTCTTTGCTTTTTGGTCGAGGATGACGAGTTCGCGGAGGTTTCAATAGATTTTCATTCGATTTTTTGGTATCGTCATCATTTTCTTCCAAATGTGTGAATGTTCTTCGTCGACCGGTTACAGCAATTCCACTCGGAACTTCTAATTGTTTCATATTTTCTTGTAATCGTGATAATTCAGTTTCAGTTAAACCATGTTTCAGATTATTCATTTTCTTGTGCCAGAATCCTCGTAATTGTGGAGTACTTGTGGTCTGAAACACAGTGTAAAATGTGTGAAAACAGGAATGAATAGAATCCAACTCACATGATGAACAAATCCAGAATCAGTCGAAGTTGAAGAAGACGATGAATTATCCCGATGAAACTTCAAAACAACTTGTTTCTCTTGTAGAATCCGGCTTTCATTTAGATTGTCAACAACTTCTACAATTTCAATTTCTCGAGGATTCGCCTGAAAATATTATTTTTACCTTGTGAATCATAAATTTTCAATTATTTCGTAACATACAACACTGTCGGCAAAATAAACACTTGCAACCACTCGAATTGTTGTTCTTTGAATGTTTTCTACAGTAATCCAATCGGGATTCGAAGTCATTCCGGAAGAAATTGAACAGGCTGGCTCGTGGATTGGTTTCTACAAGAATAATCCTCTGGCTTGAGAATGTTTCAAAAGCACTTACCTTTGTGTAATCGTCCAGAACAGAAAAACAAACAGTTTTGATAAATGCAGAAGTTGATTTTGATTTCAAATCACTCGATGTTTCACCCCAATCAGAATCCACATAAAACTTCAGTTTTCTCCGATTCTCATCAATTTTTCTTATATAAACACCCAAAAGCAAAACAAGTGTTATATTTGATGGAATTTTTCCCGGACTTCTAGATTTCTGAAAAAATATTTTTCTTTCAACACAATACACAAATAAAAATTCTTACAGTTTGTGAATCTTTTTTCATGGCAACTTCAAGTGTTGGAAAATTATGCAAAGCTTTTTGTTGATCTTTTAATCTTCCAATTGCTTTCATAACATCAATTCGACTTCCCAATTTATAAACTCCAAGATGTTCCAAATCGTTTTGAGTAATTTCTAGAAGTCTTGCGCCAGTGATTCGATTTCGAAAAACCGCTGCATTAACTCGATCTAAAAATCGTTGATCTCCAGACAAAGATTTATTTAATATATTTTCAATCCAATGTGATGTATGATGTTCACTCCATTGTTGAACATCTTGTGGTGGATGTCTTGCTGAAGCCATCACAGCTTGTTCAACTTTTATTCGTTGATTCAACGCTTTTTCTCGAATTTCCAACTTCTCTTTTCTTTTTTCTAAATCTTTCCGTAGCTTTTCAACATTCTTTGTTTGATTTTCAATCTCAATTCTCCAATCTTCCAATTCCAAAACAACATCTCCTTCAATTTTCGACAATTCTCCAACAATTTGTTTCATTTTCATTCTTTCTTTTGGTTGCATTTTCCAACAATTCAACATAATATTTTTCAATGGAAGTGGACAACTATCAGGTATCGCCAAATTTATTCCTTGTTGTGTTACAATTGAATAAATTCGAAATTCAGTATATTCCTTAAATGGAACTTCTCTCGATAATATTTCCCATAAAACAACTCCATAACTCCAAACATCAGTGGCGGTTGTAATTCCCTCTGATTGCATTATCATTTCAGGGCTGAACTATAACGTTTTTTTTTTTCAAATTTGAAAATCAAAAATAAATTAACCTCATCCAGGCAGCTGTTCCTCCCCAAGTTGGAGCTGTGCAAGAATGTGTTAAATCCTTCGATGTTCCAAAATCACAAATCTTACAAATCAAATTAGCATCCAACACAACATTTTTTGATTTTAAATCACGATGAATTATTGTATCAACCGCATCATTATGTAAATATTGAATACCATTTGCAATCTATAAAAACCCTATTGATATTTCAAAAATATTCCAATAATTTTACCTGTAATGCCCATCCAATTAAACCATCAAAACAATGTTCGAATCCACATTTATCCGAATGAATATGATCATATAAACTGCCCCTTTCAGCACATTCCGTAACAATGAAAAAATCCGAAGTGGTTTTGCAAATTCCATAAAATTGAATAATATTTTTATGCCGAATTTTTGATAATATTTCAGCTTCTTTTTCAAGTACAAACACTTTTTTCAAAGCAACTGATCGAATATTTCCATCAGAAATATTCCATGTTCCTTTAAAAACTGCTCCAAAACTACCAACTCCTAATTGTTCACCAACAATTATATCATCTCTATGAATATCCGGGAATAAAGTTGGATCAAATGATGTTGAAGATGATGATTCTTCTGATGTTGTTGATGGCATTACTGTAGATCAATAAAATTTTGGAAACAATAATTTTACTACAGAAAAACAAACTGCGAAAAAACAAAAAAAGTATTTATTATTTAAAACTTTAAATGACTTGACCTTGAATTAAAAATCATTCTAACAATAAATTTTGGAAAAATAAAATAAAATCGATTGAAAGAGAGAAAAGAGAAGTGTGAATATGAATAGTCAAAAAGTAAACATTCATGTGTTAAAAGAGGAACGCAATACACAAATAAAAATCCGAAAACCCAATGAAACAATCAATATTCGGTTCATTTTTGGAAAAAAGATATGAAATAGTATGGAAACATGAAGAGAAATAGACATTGAACAACTGATAAAACAATTGTCGATGTCAGAAATAATTTGACATTTGGCCAGGCGGGAAGTGTACGCATCGGTGGTTCAGTGGTAGAATGCTCGCCTGCCACGCGGGCGGCCCGGGTTCGATTCCCGGTCGATGCAATTCTTTTGCTATTTTTTTGGAAATGATTTTTTAAAATTTAAAACAACTTTTTTTTGTAAAGTTCAGGAACACCGTTCAATTTGAAAAATAATTGGTTTATTCAAAATTCGTGCAAAAACGATGCACATTGTCAATCACTAACATGAGCAATAATTGGATCCCGTAAAACACAAAAAAGCCTAAATTATGAAATTCTCAGAATTTGTACAGAAACAAAAGTGAAAGAAAAGTAGAAATGATTATAGTCAAAATTTCGAAATCAAATTCTTGCAGCAACAATATCCACACGTTTTTGTGCTTCACGTGACATTGCTCTTCGAAGTGCTGTGAGTACTGTAGAACTTGGTGGTTGTGGATGACGTGGCATCATTGTTTTACGTTGTGGTTTGATATTATTATATTGTGTTGTTGTTTTTGATGCTTGAACTGCTGCTTTGATTTCACCAGAAGTTGGTGCAACCAAAAGTGATGTTTTTGATAAACGGCTCACTGGATTGGCAGATGCTTTTTTGGTTGTCTAGAAATTTCAGTGTTGAGGAAAAATTCAGAGAAATCAGAAGTGAACTTACATTTTTAATTGAAGAACCTTCAGATGAACCAACTCCACTTTCTTCACTTCCAACTGTTTCGTTATTCTGTTTTTTCTGCGCTTTTTTGTCATTTGTTTCATTATCAACTTCTTCTAATTCCTCACTTCCATGATCGTCTTCTGCAAAAAAATTAGATGAGATTTCAGCGATTGAAAAATTAATTTAAAAAATTTACCTAGTTTTTTATTTTCCTTTTCTCCTTTTTTGTCAATTGTCCCATTCTTCTGATTTGTCAAAATTTCCCACGAAGGCGAAATATTCGAAAGCCATGGATGTTGTAATATTGTTTCTAACGGACATCTTTGAAATGGATCAAATGCCAAACATTTATTGATAAGATCTTTTGCATCTTGACTAACTGGAACATAAAATGGAAGTGGTCCGAGTAAATGTGCTGTGCAAATATCTTTCTCATTTCTAAATGGTAATCGACCATTCAATGAATTGTATAAAAGTACACCCAATGACCAAACAGCTGCTTCTCTACCCAAATATAGAGAATGAAGAAACCATTCGGGTGGACAATAAAGGCGAGTTCCTTGGAAATCTGAATATTGAGTTTTTCGAAGACTTGTTGCTGCACCAAAATCGATAAGGCGCGTTGATCCATTCACCAAATCAATCACAACGTTTTCATCCTAAAAACTTTTTTTTTTGCTTCATGAGTCATTGTCAGAGTAAAGAGAGAAAAGTTATTTTTGAAGATAGGCTCAAATTTCAAAAATGTTCACAAACCTTCAAATCTCGATGCAAAACTCGATTATGTGCACATTCGGTAACTGTTTGTGCAATTTGTCGGAATAGAAATCTCGCCATATCCTCATTCAATTTTCCTTGTCCTTTGATAAAATCAAACATATCCACACATGGATACGGTCTTTCCATTATAATTAAATATCCTTCCGGGATACTGTACCAATCGATAAGTCGGATGACTCCTCGGGTTTTTGAGCATTTTGCAAGCATACAGATTTCCATTGGAACTTGTTCACCATTAACCTGGAATTTGATTAAAATTTGAAAAAGTTGGTTTTAGAGTAGAAAGATCTTCCCAAAGTGTTTTGTTGGAAAAACCAAAAATTTAAAAATAAAATGAATTTTTTTAGAAAAACAAAGAATTTTTCAAATTCGTGTTCAGAAATATTGAGAGTAATTTTAGATAAAAACCTCTTTAGGTATGAATAGGTGAGATAAGTTTTCCCCCTTCAAACTTCAAACTCACTCTTGCCCATTCTTTCACACTATTTCGATCAATAAATTTGACAGCAACCGGTAAATCATCTCGAATTCGAACTGCTCGATAAACAATACCAAATCCGCCTCTTCCCAATTCCCCCTTCAATTTATAATTTTTCTTGAATTTCGAAAAACCTCTGCTCGATTCTCCATTCAACAATAATTTCAGATTGAATAATTGGCTCGATGCCAATTTCTTCATTTTTTTCGCCAGATTTGGAAGAGTCATTGAGGGAGCAACTTGAGCCGTAGAAGTTGATGAAGCAACTACGGCTGATGTTGATGTTGATAACTGTGTTTTGAGCGGAATTTTGATATCTGCAAGAAAACTTCTTTTTTTTTTGAAAATAAGGAGCACAAAACACGAAAAAGTAAGAAAGAAGTCTCGAAAATCAAGCGATTTCTGAACAATTCTTTATTCTTCAGGTAAAATGACCCGAGCTCAAAATTTTTGACAAAAAGCTCAAAAAAGTGAGGAAGAAGCTCAGAAAGTTATCTCATCTTTTTCTCTGACACAGAGAATGTTTGGAATTTCCTCCTGGCTGGTCCTAATGATCTTTTGACTTGACAACTGACATTTTTATCTTGTAATTTAGTGTTTTTCATTCAGTTTTTTTTGGCTTTCTGACCAGACAGAACAACAAAAACATGTGTTTTTTTGGTTGAGATAATAAAAAAAGAAAAAACACAACAAAACTAGAGGAAATTTGAGAAGATTTTGGTACGATTATTGTCAAAAAGTGTAAATAATTTTTTTTTCAAAGATGAATCATAACTAGAAAGTTTAGCGAACAGAAATTTGGTGACTACTTACAGTAACCTAGGTTTTCTATTAGGAACTTCTTAAGACCTTCAGGTTCAAAAATCTATATAACTTTCATTTCAAAACTCAGATTTTTGCTCAAAAATCTAACCTGATTCTGAAAATTTAATCTTCAAATTCATCCAATTCTAAAGCTTCCAAAAAAATTTTGTAATAGTTTTTTCATCTTCGAAAATATTTATCCAAGTTCGTCGAACCTACAGTAACCCTACCCCCTCCCCAACCAAGAAAAATACTTTATCCCAATAATATTTACGTCGCTTTCCCCATTCTGTTTTTCTGTACTTTTGGGAAATTGAGCATATGCTTTTTCTTTTTCTATTTAAAAATAGAAAAAAGTATAGTTCAAAAAAATATTGGGGAGAAAAATTAATGGGTTCAAAAAAAGAAAGCAATATAAAAAACCATTAGAGATGTTCTCATGAACTTCTCTCTTTTTCAAAAAGATATCATGTGACGATAAATAAAAGAAACATTTTTCTCTTTTTTTTCGAGGAGGGACAAGAAAAGTGAAATGAAATGAACTGGATGGGAAATGGCTGGCTGAAAATGGAACATTGAAATGTGAATGAAGAAAAAACAAGTATCTTTTAATTGATTATTTGGAACTTCTTTTGTACTTATGTACCTACATTTTTGGAAAATAAAAATAAAAAACAAGATTGGGTTTGTGAGAAGAAAGGAAAATAACAATCTATTACGAAAAAATATTTATAAAACTTTTAGGGAGAGCTGGTGATTGCTCATATTAGTCAACTAAAAAATATGGCTCATGTTAGAGAAGTTTATAAGAGTTTAGAGGAGTTTAGATATCTCGGAATTTCTGAATTCAAAGGAATTCAGGAAGTCGAAAAATTCTTGGATCTCAGTGGGAAAGTTTGACCTCACTGATCTCTAAGATGAAAACAAAAAAGTAGAAATATATAATAGTTAGTACACGTGGTCTCATAGATCGAATCAAAGATAAAATCAGAAATTAGACGAATACTTTCGTCATTCTCGAACTCAAAAATATCTAATTGTAAGTTGCCAAGAAAAATGTATGTTCAAGTTTCTTTATTTTGCTAAAAATAATTTAAGATTTTTCTCCGCCCTCAACTAGTAAATCACATCATTAAATAAAGTAAAAGTTGAGCTTGGCACGGGCTCGAAAAAAATTCGAAAAATGATGGAATTTTGGAACAAGTTCCACCTCTTTTGTTTGTCATTTGTATTACGGTTGATGATTGAGAAGAGCAAAAAAAGAGGGGAGAATCTGTTGATTTTTAAGATTTTGCTGACTGATTGGATTGGGGGGCGAAAATTAGAACACTTCTTTCCATGTGACCGGAAAATTCACGTGGAAAATGTTGGAGAAGATTTCGAATGCGCAAATTTTTTGGAGAGAAGGTGAGGGGACCAGAGCTTTTTAGGCTTAGGCTTAGACTGTAAGGCTTAGTGTTTAAGGCTAAGGTCTGTCTTAGGCTTAGGTTGCTAGGCTTAGGACATTGTGTTTCAGGCTTAGTCTAAGGCTGTTCTAGGCTTGGGCTTTATGGCAGAAGCTTTGGCTCAATCTTATTTTTCAGGATTTTAGGCTTTCCCCCAAATTTGTTTCAACTCAAAAAAATACATTTTCGAATTTCTTGGAGCAAAAAATTGGGAACAAGAAAATTCACAAAAATCCTAAACATCAAAAAACAGTAGTTTGTGTCAAAGTTGAACATGAGCAAAAAATCTAGTTATATATCTTGTATGGCTAAATATTTGTCTAAATATTACTAGCAAACAAACACAAAAAAACTTTCGAGTTGACTGAAATACACTTTTTTTCTAGGTGTGTAGTCATTTTCGCAACATCATTTTTTTTCAAGCGGTTTTAATAATATCAATGTTTTCTGGAATCTGCAACTCCGCCCATTGGCAATTTCGTTCCAGAACAAGCCAAAAAAAGTTGCAAATCAAATCACACGAAAAATACTCGAGAAACACAACCATTTCGATGAGAAATGAGACAAAAGAAGTGTAATTTTGCTGTAGTAAAAAAAAGGAATTCTTGAAAAAAGGGAAAAGCTATTACACATTCTAGAAATGACTGTTTGTTTCTTGTATTTGTGTGAAAAAAAAGATGATAGCTATCAGAAATTAAAAAAAATTTTTTTTCTGAAAAAAAGTTTATATCAATTATTAATTTTTTTTTTTAGAAATTTTCAAAAAAGTGTACAAAAGTACAAAAACATCTTTTGTCAAACAACAAAAAAAAAACAACAACTGAAAAACTTGTATAAAAAAGAACGATGTCCAGTTGCGTCACAATAATAAATGAAAAAATATTTATGTTGAAATATTAAAAAAATTGTGTTTATCAAAAATCTGGTACATACAGTACGGTATGTACTAGAAAAACTTTATAAAGAAGAAATCGATGTGATTTTCGAAAAAGAAGAAAAAAGAAGAAAACGATTGATATGGGCGCGATAATAAATATATCAAATATCTGGTTTTTGTCACGTTTTGTGTTTCTACGAAAATTCACACAGCTGTGCAAAAAATATTATTAGCGTCTTGAGAGCTAGGGTCACTAGGTAAGACGCCTTGAGGGTTGATGTGTCAAGGGTCCAAGTCTAGAAAACCTAGTTGTCAAGTAGCCGAGCCTTAGGAACCTAATTGTATAGCAGCCGCGTCTTGAAAGCTACTATGGGTAGACACGGCGCCTTAGGAGCTGATGTGTCTAGACTACGCCTATTTTAGCCTGGGATGATTTTTGCGAAAATTTTTATAGACCCACAGATTAATATTTTGTGAAAAAATACAAAAATTAGAGACAACGTAAAATATAGAGATTCCAGACAAAGAACAACTTTTCAAAAAAAAAAGTAAAATAAATATAAAAAATTCACATGCTCTTTTTTCGAAACACATGTCTTCTGATAAAAAACCATGTTAACAAATTGTGGGCGAAAATTTGCGTCATTGAATTTTTTTTTTCATTTGTACAAAAAAAGGAAGAAAGTATAAAGAATGGATTGATTATAATACCTTTAAAGATAGGAAGAAGAAGAAATGAAAGATAACAAAAAAAGACAGAAAAATGGTACTGTCATAAATTATATGTATCCCCGCAGGGAAACAGAAAATTGTTTTTGCAAAGGGAAAAGGATATAGATTTTTTTTTGGTTTCAGATATATAAAAATGTGATTTGGTTATACTTAACAAGATACTTGACTCAAGTACTTTTGAGTAAAACAAGTAAAAAAATGAAAATAATAAAACGAAGAAAGAAAGAAAAAGTGAGAAAAGTTATTTTATACGTGATTTATTTTGATCGGTCAAAAAAATCTTATTATTTTGGTATTTTTAGTTGGTTAATCCATCAACTTCTGATCTGAGAAAAGAAAAATCAAACAGAAATGTTTTTAGCGATAACTGAAACTCTGGGAAAAATTATCAGGAGTTTTTTCTATTCTTATTTTCGGAGAAAAACATGTGGGTACAAAATTTCCTTAAGAAGCTTATCTTATTTTTTATTATGAAGTTTCTGATAAGCCTGAAAAGTTTCTGAAAAAATCTGAAACCCAAAACCCCATAAAATTACTGTATGAAAAACTAATCAAACATCAAAATGTTCCACATGGTTTTCTATTACATCAAAACATTTTTTTCTGATAAAAAATGTGTCTTGGTTGCTCCTTATAAATAGTAAAAGGCGTAGGCTTTTCACCGGAAACATCGAAAATTAGGTAGGCGAGTCTAGCTTATCATTAGGTTTTTGTCACGAACGATATGAATTGTAAACAGTTATGGACAACTACTGTAGCTAGACAGAGAGACCAGAAAAACACGTGTTTGAAAAATAAAATGAAACTTGAACTTTGGAATTTTGGGGAAAAACTGAATTAATTTTTGCTAATGTGGTGACTCAGGAAAACAACAAAACATCAAAGACTATATTTTTCGCGAAGTTCTCACCAGAAATCGAAAATTGAAGATTTTTCTGATTTCAAAAGCTACAACCTGATAAGTTTGTTTGTTTTTCAGAAAAAAAAGATATTTTAATTTTTTTCAAAATTCAACCAAAAATCTAAAAATGTTCCAAACTTCCTCTTGAAACACATTTTTATATCAATTTCTTTCTTGTTCGAAGATGAGATCAAATACGAAGAAATTAATATGATGTCAATCAAAATAGGAGTACTGTATGAACATATATAATTTTTTTCTTTCTTTTGAAGCTGACGTAAATGATCACAGAAAACACAGTAATTTAGAATTAGTCATAGTCATTTTGAATTAGCGCTTCTTTCAATGACTGATTTCAAAGTTCAATCGAAAACAAAACAATTTTTTTTCTTTGAGTGGGCGAAAAAAATCGTTCGTTGAAAACTGATAATGAACAAAAAAATGAGGCTCAATTTTTTCGTATTTTTTCCTGATAAAAAGAAAAAGTGTTTTTCTAAACTTTTCGTCCTCAACAAAAAATCAAGTTTCAATGAAATGCTCAAGAAAACATAAATGTCAGAAATTTATAGATAAGTTGTTTTATTTTCGCTTTTTTTTATTTTCTAGTTATTTGTTTTCAGTGTCAGTGTAATTTGATAATCAATGGTCATTTGATGAATTTCTTTGTTTCTTTGTTGATACATTTTTTTTTGCTAGAGGACATTGCGAAAAAATTAATGATTTGACCAAACCAATAACAAGAATTAAAAAAAAATGAAATTGATATAGTAAGGGACTAACAAGGACATTTTTTAAATTTGAAGTTGAGATTTTGCAGGACCGTTGTCAAAAATCTGCAAATCTCAACTCCTAATATAGGTTATGACGTGGCAAAATGAGAAAATTTTGAAAAATCTTTTTGATTTTCAAGCGCAGAAAAAATGCTTATTCAATTAAGCCCCGCCCCTTTCGCACACAAACAATCACGGCACGCACAACCCGTGAACCGTCGTCCACACCAGAAATTTATATACTCGTGTGTTCTGTGTGTTTATCGCTTTAGGGCGGTGGCGAAGCTATCGCCAAATTTTTTTTTGAATTGCGAATATTTTGAAAATTTCGAGGTGTCGAAACTAGAAAAATTCCACCTTGCACAAAAATTTAGGACACAGTCTCCCCAGATATGCCACGTCATACCACATATTAGCAGTTTAGCTTTACACAATAAAATTAAAAAGAAAAAATATACAAACAATTTTTTGTACTTTTTTTTTGCTTATGTCCATCATAAAATAAAAAAAAAATAAGTTGTTAGAAAAAGTTTTTGGGGAAAATGCATAATAAAAATATAAAAAGAATACTTATCATCATAGACACAAATTATTATTATATTATTATTATACGAAAAAATAATGAAAGAGAAAATGATTTGAGAAAACCAGTTTCAGACAAAAAAAAAGAGGGATTTTTGGAAGCAGCCAAAATAAACTAGAAGAAATCCAATTGAACGAAGAAAAAAAAAAATGATTGGCACAGGGGAAAACCGGACAAATGTTTACAAGAATGTCGAGATTGTTACGAACTATGAACTAGGTAAATATTTAGGAGAAAATGGGGGAAGAGAGAGAGAGAAAAATGATGGGAAAACCATGGTTTGGAAGGTTTTTGGATATCACAAGAGGTATGTGGAAAATTAGGAAAAATATCAAGTTTTGAGAATAGAAGAAATCGGTATCTCGAAGTTATGGTAATTGAAAAACGGATGATTTTAATTGGAAATTTGAGAAAATGTGTGTAACAATCTCAGAAGTTTCTACATTTTTAAAATTTTCAGGGAAGTTTCCAAATTTGTTTGGCATTTTTTGGGAGAAAAATACAACATTTTGAGTTTCTAAAATTTGAGCCAAAAACAAACATTTTCCAGAATAAAATCAAAGTTTTTGAAGTAAAGAAAAAGTTTTCCGAATTGAAAAAAATCTAATTACTCAGAGATTCGCTGGCCAGCTCGCCACCAGATCGCTGCGGCCACCTGGAAACCGCATGGCCGCCAGTTCGCCTTGAGTTTTCCGGCGACGTGGCCTGTGTGTTTGAAATTCTGGAAAGCTGGCAAGACGGTGGTTTGTACTCAAAACACTGCATTTTTTACTGTTTTTTTCACTTCCTAAGGTTTTAAGTGCTGCGAAAAAAACAGAAAATGAGCCAATTTTTTCGAAAATGCCTCAATTCACAAGTTTTTCAGACATTTTCATGAAAATTCAACTTGACGTGGTGAAGTGGCCACCACATGGTAGCCATGTGGGCTTGACCTAGCCAGGGCTTGGCCACCTTGCCAGCAAAAAAAAACCGGGCGACATGGTTTCCATGTGGTTCCCAGGTCAGCCAGCCTCCCCACCTGGTGGCGAGCTGGCCAGCGAATCTCTGAGTAAATTCACTTCAATTGAAACTAATGAGAAATTCAAATTCTAAACAAAGTTTTGTCGAAAAACCTGAAACGTCAAAAAGAGTCGTGCTTGTTCATCTCGTATTTGCCTAATTATTTGACATTTTTTGCCGAAATCTGATCTGCGCACGATTATGAAATATCCTGCAAAAATACTTTTTCGAGTAATATAACAGTATTTGTACAACGAAATCTGATCAATTTTTTGTGTCACGTTAAAATTTTTTTTTCAGTTTTTTATTTTTGTTTTGTTTTGTTTTTCAACGAGATAAAAATCTTGCCACGTCTCTTTTGTCAGAAAATACGTGGCGGCCTTTTGCTTGTTTTTCTGGATTTTGTCCAGTCATTGATAATTTTTTGCGTCCGGAAAATGGTGAGTGAGCAGAACATCAAAAATTGAAAAAATGTTTTTGTTTTCAGATTTTTCTTCTACAGTAAACCATTACGCGCTGATCGAATGTTTCGCCTCAATTGAATCTACGGTAAATAATAAATTCCTCTAGCCAGTTCTAATTTTGAATTTTTTATAGCTGGCTTCAGAAAAATTGGAGTCGGCCGATTACCCGACTATTATCATCGAAAAACCGATCGAATGATTTTGTGAAGCTGACGTTTCAATAATGAAGATTTTCAACGAAATTTCGGGATTAACGAAGATATTTTGAAGTGTTTTTTCTTGAAAATGAATTTTTTTTGCTTTGTTTGATTTTGATTTTCACTATATTATTGGTACCTACTGTAGTGATTTTTAGCAATAGTAATTTTTCTTTTTGAGTAGACCTGTGACGGAAATTCTCCAGTTTTTCACGGAAAATTTTCCGATTATCCGGAAATTGTGCCCGGAAAATCAGGAAAGTGATTTTTCTTGGTGAAATCTTCAAAATCCAATTTTGTGAAAATGTTCCCAAAGTCTCACAAATAATCAGAATTTTCGAAAGTTTTCTGAATTTTTTTGAAAATTTTTAGATTTCTGGATCTGAAAACGTCTCAAACAGTTACTAAATCTTCTGTAAATGGATGAATTCCAGTAAAAAAACAAGTTTTGCAGTCAATTTGGTGCTGAAAGTTTTTGCTCCCCGTTATCTCACGGAATAAATTAATTTGGACCATTGTCTCAAAAAAATTTCTCTAAATTTGAGAAATGAAAAAAAAATTCACGTGAAAATTTGAAATAAAAACGTGACAAAATTTTTAGTGATCAGATTTCGTTGTATACCTACGGGACTGTTTTCGAGTATCATATTCAAACTACTGTATATCTAGGGATGCTGTGTCAGCTATTGAAGAAAGAATATGTTTTTATAATATTCTCGACACACATTTTTTCTTAATTTCTTACAGTACATAAATCAGCTCAATTTTCTATTTTTAAGGTATAAATAGAAGATACTGTAGAAAATCTTGATTAATCTAGAAAAAACAACATTAAATTCGACGAGAAACCGATCACTGTATCTAGTTATACATCAATTCTTACAGTACGCAACAAATGCAAACAACTACAGTAATCTTATTGTAGACACGCAATCTACAGTACCCTGATTACTGTACCTTTACAATATTCAAGATCAACAAAACTACAAGTCATTGGCTTATAAGCAATGACTTGTAGAGAAAAAAAAACTACGGTAATTTCCTACTTTTTGGCTTTTAAGCAAAAAGCAGGAATGAATGAATGAATTACGATAAAATTGAAATTAAATTGCATCCAAGAGTTTAGGCGATATCCAGAATCTTTTAATTTGATTGATTTCCAGAAAAATTGGCAGCAGTCGCTCTGAAAATTTCAAGATTTTCAATAAAAATTTAAAAATTTGGTCTCAACTGAAATTCCAATTTGGAACTGATAAAATCAAAGATTATTAAAGATTTCCAGAAAAAATCGAAGTTTTATCAGTTTTAAATTGAAACTTCAAAATTTCAAGTAATTTAATTTTTCACTCACCAAAAAAGCACCATATATTTTGTTGTTGAGATTTGGAGATGTGATCGAATGAGTTGAGATAATCAATCTGAAAAACAATAGTTGATTTAATTTGAAAACAAATTAACTCAGAAATTTTCGTTTTTCTGGAAATGAAATTTAACATCTACATATAGGTCACGTTGAAAAATAAAATTTGAGAATATTTATTGTTTTCATTTGCAGAAAAAAACAAGTTTTTCGACAAAAATTCAAAAATTGGGCATAGCTTCCGCATCTCCGCTGAAATTCCAATTTGGAACTGATAAAATCAACCATTTTTCAAGATTTTCAAAAAAAAAAATCAAGAAAAACAGAATATTTATAAATTTCAAATTGAAATTCCAGAAATTCTCTTTGTCATTTTCAATTCTCAGAAAATCAATCGAAAGCTTACCGAATGTTCAGTTGGTTTCAAAATCGATTCCATTTCGATGAATGTTAGCGATTTCCTCCGAATGATGTTTTTCCTGATGGATGGTACGCAATCGCTCTGAAAATTTTAAGATTCTCGATAAAAATTCAAAAATTGGGCATAGCTTCCGCATCCCAACTGAAATTCCAATTTGGAATTGAAAGATCAACCATTTTTCAAGATTTCCAAAAAGAAATCGAGAAAAATAAAATTGTTTTCAGTTTCAAACAGGATATTTCAGAAATTCGTGTCATTTTTTTCACTCACCAATTTCCAAACTAAATATTTCCGGAAGTTTCGTTGATGATAAAGTTGAGAGAACGATGCAATCTGAAAAATTGTTGTTAAAGCAACACCCTCGTATAATAAGGCCATTTCGAAATGCTTTCAAACACCAAAATATATAAAATTAACCTATTCAGTTATACTCATAAGAAATATGAAAAAGAAATACTCAAAAACAATCAAGTTTGACCGATTTTGAAAAAAAAAATTATTTTTTTTTGAAAATCGCCTGCAGATTGTGCAGATCCGCAATTTCATGACATTTGTGCAAACACTGTGACGACAATTGTGTGCTACAGTACCCATTTCAACTTTTTTTCAACAAAAAGTGAATTGTTTCACTGAAAACAATGAAATAAATTGTAACAATGATTTCTGAACATCCTTAACTATCTCTACTTTCATTTTTGACAATGATATTTCAGTTTTATATTGCATATTCCGGTCAAAAACTGAAAAAACACAATTTCCATTGAAAAATTTAGTTTTCGTCTGAAATATTGAATCTTAGTGTTTATACTTCTTCAATTTATTTTTTTCATACCCAGAAAACAGTTTTTTCCATGCAAATTGTCATTTTCCGAAAAAAACGGAAAAATTTTGCGAAAAAATAAAAAAGAAAACAACGAGACTCCGCGTTGACGTTAGCCCGCGTTGTTTGAATTTGAGTTTTTTCAGTTTTTCAATGGGCTTCCATATTTCGGCGACTACTTATTCAAACGTTTTGAATTTTTTCTCCTAACTAGAAAACAGTAAAACTAAGCTAAATCTAAGATTTGAGAACCTTTGGGCTTTTTTCAAGAAAGTGCCTATTATACGAGGGTGTTGCTTTAACAAAAAAAAATTGAACTCTATTAGATATGTACAACATTTTTAAAAGATTACAGTAGTAGTAGTTTTTTCTGTAATGTTTGACACCAAACACTACAGTAATCCAGAAACATTCAGGACTACAAAAATCCGGGAAAAATAGGTATTTATCAAAAATTGTGAATAAGTTTTCTATATTTTTTGAAACCAAGAAAAACAATCAGGAAGTAACGAATATCATCCTGGGATTTTGAAACTTTAGGTAATCACTCACCAAAATGTTGAAGCCAGATTTTCGAGGGAAACCTTGGCATGATTCGTCGCATCTTGCGGCTCGAAATCCCGCAACAATTCAAGATCTGGCAATTGTGTTGGCAAATAAACTTGTTGATGATTTCCAGTTTGTGGCACCAATTATTGGTGACCAATACAATGCATCGAATCTCTTTGACTTTTGGATTATTCGACGGTGAAGTACCGTATATCAAACCGGTGATTTGTGTTCGGAGATTGTGATGAACTTCTTGACGATGTTTTTGGGGAGGATGTAGGCGTATCGAGTGTCTTTGACATCGTCCGAATTGACATAAATGTGTTAGGTTCGGAGATGGAGATTTTTTTGACGAAATTGAACGAACTCGCCATTCCTGCAGAAAATTGGGATTTCTAGGAGAATTTTGAAGAAATGAAACTAGAAATCTACTTAGAGTTTTCACAAAAATCTTCATACATAAAATTCAAGAATTCACTAGATTAAAAAATCGCGATTTCGGAGTAACTACGAAATCACGATTTATCATTTTTATCCATGAAATTTAGCTAGATTAAAAATTCGGAGTAATTTTCAAAAAAAAAATCGAGAAAAATGAACGTTTTGTCAGTTTCAAATTGCAATTCCAGAAATTCTCAGTTTCTTTCACTTCTTGAACAAATTCTACGACATACCTTATTTTTTTCGGTGTGCTCAAAACAATTTCAGCGATAAAATTGGTGCATAGTCTTCGTTCAAATTGTTCGAAAATCCCAATTCTCTCAGGAACACTGCATAACTTCAAAATGTTCGCAATTCTTCAGATTTCCAGATTTCGAATCGGTTCAAATGGAAGTTGGCACGAGATCTCAGAAAATCGATAGTTGATCTGAAAATTGAAGTTTTTTTTGAATAATAATCGGATATAGCGTGGAAAAACTCACAAGCACAAGCCAACTTCCAGATCCAACTTTTCCGGCGAGCTGACTGATTGATGAGCGATTTTCTGAAAAAAAAAAAGCATTAAATGTGCAGGTCGAATTTCCTCAAAAAGACAAATGCCCCAATTTCCAATCAAGTTCCTTCGCTCATCCAAAACCAGGTCCCGTCTTCCCATTCCACCCAAATCGGTGGCTGAAGAGCAGTTCTATATGGGAACCTCAGGTCTTGCTCATCACTGTTTTCCAATCAAATCCAGGCGGTATTCCGCGGTCCACAATTTCGTAAAAAACTGTGTCCCTACCGAGGTTCCTGGTAGTGGCAATGACTAGTGGGCTCGAAATTAATTGAGCCCTGTACTAACTCCGAGCAAGACTTCTAGAACTGCTCGGAATGGGATTTGTGGAGTGTTTTGGATGAATTCGATAGGAAACGGGGGCAAAAACCTCAAAAAAACTCATCTTTTTGTGTCGAATCACCAAACAAAACACATCTTGGGCGGCGCAAAAAAAGAATTGAGAAAAAAAATCGATTTTTTGGTTGGCGCGTCGAAAAAATAAAAATTCGCGGGCAGGTTTTGAATTTTTGTGTGTTGTGTGTCAAGACGCAGTAGCTGGTTGCAATGTTCCTTTGAATTGTACCGTACCACACAAACGTTTTTTTCTTTTACTTTCGCTTTTTTTCCGAATTTTTCTTTTTCAACACGTCGACCCAACTGCTGCAATGGGTGTACGGTTTTTCGAGTTGTCCGCGAAGTGCTACGAGAAAAAACATCAACTAGAATTCATGAAACTTCTTATTTCCATAGATTTGAACACGCTGATCATGAATATGTAATCAGGTTTCAAAATGGTTCAGTAGTTTTCTTGCATTTTGATGCATTCAGTCTCACACCCATTGCAGCAGTTTGTTCTTTGGTGGGTCGACGTGTCAACGTGGAAAAAGCGAAAAATGGAGCCGGAGACGAAGAAAATCAAGGTTGATGATGATCCAGAGAAGACTAGCTGGTTCGATTTGAATTTTTTTTTTAAATTAAAAAGTTAAAACACCGAATTTCAGAATAAAATATGAAAAATTTTATTATCAAAAAAAAAACAAATACATAGAAATTCCAGAATTCTGAAAGATTTGGATCAAAAATTCTTCTAAAAGGCATCTGGAAATATGTTTTGTTTTTCAAAAAAAAATTGAAAAAAAGTACCCGGTTATTTGGTTGAAATGAAATATGATGCAAATGAAGAATTATGGGAGGAGCGGGAAGAATTTGGCAAAAATAATAACAAAGAGATCGAGAAAATTGGGGGGATAAAAAAAGAAAATAGAGGAAATGAAATCACATGAATTATACCAGAAATTGGGGATTTTTCAGAACAAAAAATCACCGGGGGAAAACATTGGGGAGAAAAAAGAGGCACTCGGTTATAGATAATTTTGAAGAAAGAAAGTTAGAAAATTGGATAGAAAAAGAAATATTGACCCTGAGAAATACCAATAAAAAACTATTCAAATATTGAAAGAAAACAATGTGTTGTTATAAAATCGTATCAGTTTCTTGTGTTGGAGTTGGCGGATCATGTGATGATAATCTTGATACTCGCATTTCATCAAATACTCCTCCACTATTTCCATTCCCACCGCCATTTGGTAAACGAATTCCAGCAGCGGATGAGATGAAGTTTGAGTTTGGAATTGGATTTCGATGACGAATTGAAGATTGGATATGTGGTGGAGATGATGAAGATGATGGTGAAGAATCTGAGAAAAATATCGAAAATTATTGGTATGTTTTGAGATAAAAATGGTGAAGGGAAAACGTGAATCTGCAATAAAACGTCTGAAAATTTGGAAGAGATACTTTTTAATAAAAATTTAATGACAATTAAATATCAAATCAAAAATTTTTAAACGTGACTTATTTTTGAACTATCAAAGATCATTTTCAGAAATAATGATAGTTTTTTGTCATTGAAAAACTCAATAAACTCTTTGAAACTCCCAAAAAACCCATGATATTTTATCACAAAAATATTTTGCCTATCTAAATATTGTGAGAGGAAAAATCAACGACAACACGAAACAAGAAAAACATTCCAATTTTTGCTACCAAAATTGGTTATTTCGTATAAAAATATAAATATCAAATACAATAATTAAATATCAACACGCACACAATCTCAAACTTATCAATCAATGTTCTTTTTTTCTGCTATTGGTTGCGTTCACGGCAAAAACAATATATATATTCAAAACTATATATAGAAAAAAACCATATGGATTGAGAAGGAAAAAAGAAGGGTGGAAATGGTGAAATAAATGAAATGTGCATGGTGATATTTGATTATATAAGTATTTTCTATATTTATTATACAAAATAACCAACCTGATTGCGAATTCGAACATTTTTCTGTTTCTTGTCTAGTTTTTCGAATTCCTACCTCCGTCACCATTTGGTCCATTCTTGATTGATTGATCTTTGACTAATCGAATCAATAATTCGATATCTGTGTTGAATTTGTTCTGCATTCGTTCGATTTGGCTGAAAAAAACGATATTGAAAAGAGGGGAAACATTTATAGAGTGATAATACTTTTTGGTAATCACTAAAGAAATTTCTCGAATTTTGATTCAGGAAATACGGACTTTACAATCCAATTTTCATTTTTCTATCTTTGCCTTGTCTTTCTCTATCTTCTCATATACGATGTTCTCGGTGAAAATCGCAAAATTTCCTGATTCCACGAAAAAAACCGAATCGAAAAAATAAACGAGATAGTGTTGCGTCTAGAAGAGACGAGAGAGAAGGAGAGAAAAATGAGAGATAGAAACTCGTAAGAGAGAACGTCAGACAACACGAATTTTGTGAATTTTTCTCAACCCCAAAAACATTTTTCGTTTTTTCACCAAAAATGCTAAAATCGTTCATACTCAACCAAATTCAAAGATCTTTGCGGCAAAAGATAGAAAATCCTCGAGAATAGAGATTGCAAAAAGAAAAACCTCGAAAACTTTTCACCAAACACCAAAAAACTATGATTACAGGTTTTTCGCCTCGATTTCCTCATTTTCGTAGTCCGAATTTTATTTTTCTGCTTTTGCCTTGTCTTTCTCTATCTTCTCATATATAATGCTCTCGATCAAAACTGCGATTTTTCCTGATTTCATTAAAAAAAAACCGAATTGAAAAAAATAAACGAGAGAGTGTTGCATCTAGAAGAGACGAGGAGAAGGAGAGAAAAATGAGAGATAGAAACTCGTAAGAGAGAACGCCAGACAACACAAATTTTGTGAATTTTTCTCAACCCCAAAACCGTTTTTCGTTTTTTCACCAAAAATGCTAAAATCGTTCATACTCAACCAAATTCAAAGATCTTTGCTGCAAAAGATAGCAAATCCTCGAGAATAGAGATTGCAAAAAGAAAAACCTCGAAAAAATTTCCCCAAGCACCAAAATACTATGATTATATGTTTTTCGCCTTGATTTCCCTTGATTTTTATATTATTCAAGTTGTTTTTTTTTAATGTTATTCATTTTCTATACAAAAATATACACAAATTCGTTAAAAATTTTCTTTAAAATTTTTTTTTCGTGAAAAAATGCTTACCTTTCAAGTGATTCGAGCCTCCTCAAAAACATGCTTGTTTTTCTTTCTTCATAATCATCTACAGAACGATCTACAAAATTATCCATTTTTTATTAAATTTTTACTTAAATATTCTTTTTAATATTATTAAAAATAGACATGCATTTTCATAAGTCACTGCAAATTTGTGTTTTCTTACCAATTGGTGGAATATCTTTAAAAGAGAATGGTTGTGAATGTGGCGGTGATGCAATTGTAACAGTATTTCCACGTGCAAATGCTCGAATATCATCAAAAAGTGCATCATTATCATCATTATCACATAAACCATTAGTCATTGGAGGAGCTCGTCGAAGAAGTGGAGTGGCTTCGGAACGAGTTGCGGTAAGTGTTGCATGTGGAGGTGAACAACGCGATGAACCTGAATAGGCAGATGATTTGTTAGTGAGCAAAGCATATGAAATATCAATGGAACGACATTCAAAAACGCGAGGGTTAGTTGAAAAATTATGGGAGAAAATGGATTAATTCTTACTTCTTGATCCTGCAGATTGTCTCCGATCGATTGGCATTGAATCACATCTCGACACAGAATCAGCACTTCTTCGAATCGTCTGCGATTGTTGTTGAAGAGAATCACAACCTACGAAAAAACGGGATAATCATTCGGGGGAAAATAGAGAAAAAACACTCAAAAATAGATATGTGCATTCCAAAACACTTCATGATTTTTTCAAACTTAAAAATTCAAAATCCAAAAAAACCCACCATCAACTGGAGGTCTTTCTTTGTTCAACGAAGATGACATTCGAAGCAATTTGTGTCGATCAAATCGTTTTCTCAAACTTTGTGCATCATCTCGTAAATTATAAGTGATCGTCAAGTTTTTGCAAAATGTTTCGGCGAATTCAGGATACATGTCCAAAACATCCAACAATTCATCTCGCATAATTTTATGTAGATCACAGTATGTCAATGCGCGAACATTACAAGATGATTTTCCAACTTCATCATATAATAGTGGATTCTCTCCGAAAATATCGTCTTTTCCTGAAAATGGTATTGATTATGACGTGGCAAAACCTCTGTTGTTAACGCAAACTATTTGAGTACTGTATTTTCCTGCGCAACTAAGACTGTGGTTCCAAAAGATAAGATTGCACTCTGAAGATTCAATTTTAATCTTTGAAGATCATCAGAGCCGCGCCTTGAGAGCTTATATGACAAGTAGCCGAGTCTAGAAATGCTAGTTGTTAAGTAACCGAGCCTAGAGACCCCAGTTCTTAGGAAGCCACGCCTAGAGAACCTGATTGTGTAGGAGCAGCATCTATAGATTCACTATGACAAGGATCAGCGCCTTGAGAGCTACTATACCAAATTTCCCCTGTCCAGAAAGTTCAATTTTCAAGGATCAGCGCCTAGAGAATCTAGTTTTGTAGTAGCCGCGCCTACAACCACACTAAAATATAAAAATCATCCATGACCTTCCAAAACTCTCCCAAAAACTAACCTAAAATACCCATAACCGTATTATCATCATTGAGAATTTCTACACTTCCACGTGCTATAAAATACAAGCCCGTCAAAATATCGCCTCGATGAACTAAAGTGTCACCAGGTGGAGAATGTGTTGTACGAAATCTGAAAAAAACAAATTAATAAAAATCTTTCCAAAAAAGCATACCTCATACTCAACGCTCTTAAACAACCAGGTGAACTTCCAGCAAATGCAGCACATCCACTCAACAAATTCCGATTCAAATGCAAACAAATATCAGCTTGTAAACAATCGGGAAACCCTTTTAGCACAAGATTCATATCAATTCCATTTGTATAAGACCAAGCATGTTGAAAATATTCTTCTAATCGTTGTCGCAATGGATTCGGAATCTGATGAAATCGAATAAATTCGCGTAGTCTTGACATTTCTGTGTGATATCGAGCTGTTCCAGAATATAATCGTTGAATTATTGCTGACACATTTCCAAAAACTGAGGCATACATTAATGAACCTAATATCATCATTATAATTGTGAATATTTTTTCGGAATCTGTATTTGCTGATACATTACCAAAACCTGTAAGAAAAATAATTTATTTAAAAGAAATTGGATATTTTTTGTAAAAAATATGATAAAACTTTTGAAAAAATATGAGACTCATTTAAAACTAATTTTGAATTATCATAACTCCAACAAAAATATTTAAAAAAAAAACATACCTATAGATGTGATAGTTGAGAGTGTAAAATAAAGAGATGTAACATATCGACTTCGCAATGATGGACCTTGTATTACAATCGATTTATTTGCAGGATCAGTACCATTCACTACACTATACGGGACAGCTAATTGTTTACCTGTAAATACATGAATTCAAAATTTTGACATTCAAGAAAAACAACATACTTAATTGATATAACCACGTATATTCTCTGAGATCTTTTACTCCCTCACCAACACCTTGCGTTAATTCAGCATGTCCAATTGCATACCAAATACACGCTAACCAATGTGCTATTAATGCAAATGTAGCCATAAGAAGTAATAAAACGGCTGCACCATATTCAGAATACCTATCCAATTTTCTGGCGACCCGTACTAATCGTAAAAGACGAGCAGTTTTTAGTAACCCGATTAATGTTGTTGTCTGCAAAAATGGCGGGGTTTCAGGTGAGTTTGGAATAGTCAACCAACCTCCTCATTATTCGGGTTAACAAGAAGCAAATCAAATGGAACAGCAGCAATCATATCAATTATAAACCATCCTTTGAAATAGTGGTTGGCGATTTTTCCAGGATGTGAGACGACCTGAAAATAATAATTGGGAGAAAGCATTGTTAGAAAAACATCTGAAATTCGAAGGCCCTCAAAATTTCTGATTCTAATTCTCAAACTGGAAGTTTGTACCAGAATTCTGATGAGAAATTTTTAATTTTTCAAGATTCGTAGCTTTAAGATTCGTATTCGTATAAATTGTTCTATGAGTCTTCAAAAATTCAAAATTACAGTATCCAGATTTCATCGAAAAACCAATTCACCTTTTACATTTTTTTTGGATTTCAGATTTTTTCAGATTCTACAGTAGCCCCTTCCTTAATTCCAAAAAAACATACCTCATCATTTTCATTGACATAAGTTGTTCTAAAATTTATAATAATATCAACAATAAACATTATATCAACTATTAGATCGACGATTTCAAGTGGATCAGCAAATTTTGTTGTCCGGAAAGATTTTTGAATCTGAAATCAACATTTTTTTGATGATCAATTATAAATAAAAACCAACCTCTGGGAGTAAAAAAGCTGCAACATATGGTGTGAAAATTGCTGTGTATATTACAAGTAATAAAATTATCCAATCCCAAACTGCTTTGAATGGACTATAATGTACAATTGTGCAGTGATGTATTCGGGTTGGTTGTAATTTATATTCGGGTAAAACATCAGCACCAAGTGACAGAACCTAGAAAAAAAATATTTTTAATGAATATGGGAGCAAAGTAGTTGGGTCCGATTTTCTGGGCAGAGTATTTTTTCTTTTATTTTTTGAGCTCATACGTAAAACCATGAAGTTTAATTATTCCAAAGTGAATAATTTCAGACATCTGACAAATAAATTCTACCTTATGTGATCCATTTTGCAAAACAATCATCAACTGTTTCGGAAGATTAGTTGATGTTGTTGAATTCGCCGCCAAGTTACAATTCGATCCTCCCACTCCACCACCCGACATTTATCCCTTTCCTTTTTGGTCCCCACGTTGTCACGTTAACATTTTCACATTTATGAATGAAGGCAGAATTGAAGAATCAAATATGACGAGATGAATAGAGAGAAACACCAAATTTCCAAAAAAAAAAAACACAGATTTTTTTGTTGAACAAGGAAGGAGTAAAAAATACGGAGACAAAAGAATGAAAGAAAAAAGAAAGGACAAAAGAAGAGCAATGTTACAATTAGTCACAAAGACACCAGCAAGAAAAAAAGAGAGAAGATTCGATTTTTGGTTCTGGTTCTGGTTTTTTCTAGCTCAATAGTAGGTCATGAAATTTAATTTGAATCAGAGCCTTGTTAGGGTGTCTAAAGTGGAACAGGGTGAAATTTTGAATAGAAATCGGACCATCAAAAAAAAATCAGTGCAGAAATTTATTCACCACCCAAAAAAAGAGAGACCTCAAATTTTTCAAACGAAAATTCCGGTAGATCAAAAACCTCTGGAAGTTGACTATTCCAAAAGAAAAATTTTTAGATTAGAAAACACACTCTGTAAATTCTTGGGTTTCTGAATCGGGGAACATTTTAAAAAATTTGCCCGATTTTTGGGCTGCTTTCGGAATTTTTCTGGTGGCCCATGTCAGTTCCAAATTAAATTTTGGTGATCTGACCTGCTTTCCAACCCAAATCACATTCAAAAATTCTTGGTTCGAGTCAGTTTTCTCCCCATTTACACTGCAAAAAAGACTCAGATTGTGAGTCTGAAAAATCTCAAAAAAAAACAAGTCGCACGTCATTTTGGCTCAACGGAAACTCATAAAGACACAACCAAATCAGATGGAACAAAAATTGAAAATTCATCCCGAAGAAGAATCAAGATGACGCATTTCTTCTTCTTCTTCTTCTTTTTTTCAGAATCCTTCACAAAAGAGGGGAAAAAGAAAAAGACGAAGAAATGGAGAAGAAGAAAGAAAGAAGCATTAGTATAATGAATTATTCTGCTCACGCAGTCACCGCGTCATTTTTCGTTCCGAAGAAGCGAAAAAAAGTAGAAAAAAATGAGAAGATATATGTATTTCTCCAATTTCAAAAGAAACTAATAAGTTCTGACACAACTTGAGTAAAGGCTGAAAATAAATCATGGAATTTTTTGGGGGGAAAAATGAGGGGTTATTTTTAGAAAATAATTGTTGATGAGGGGGATCAAAAACAAAAATTATCCGAAATTAGAAAAAGCCCAAAGGACCGGACAGGCTGCTATTCTTGGAAAATTATTATGCGATTCTCTGATTTAGAATTTCTTGTTGAAGAATTTAAAAAAACTTTGGAAATTCAACAAGATTTTTTACTATGAAATTATTTATTTTTTCAAATTTTCTGTCCAAGATCTAACCTCAAAGGGAGGGGCTAAACAGCTATTGCGTGTCACCTGGACCACCCACAAAGCCAAATCAAAAATTTAATCTTTAATTGTACGCAAAAGTGTGTGGCAGTGTTTGCACACACCAATTTGGTGGCAATTTGAAATTCAAAACAAAAAAAAAGGTTTTCTTAGCTTCTAATAACTTTCAGAATGTGTTAAAATCCATCAAATTCTTTGTGAACATTCAAAAAAAAATCAGAATCTTAGAACTTCCAGAAACACTTGCAAGTCAGTCTCAAATAAAATTAAAATTTTGCAAAAAACATCTAATTCCAGCCGAATCAGATAATTTTGTTTACAACCTATCCTATTTTTTCTCTCTAGATAGACTAAGTGAAAAATGATCGAGTAGCTAGATTATAGTATTTTTCGCTTCCGCTTGTAAATTTTGCCAACCTCCTTTTTTTCAGAGCGAAAATAGACATTGGAAAAACCGGGATGAAATCGATCGAGAAAATGTTGGAAAAATGGGGGGGGGGGGGAAAGGGCAAATACATCGAGACCCTGTTATTATTCTTTGTGCATGCAAGCGATTTCAAAATTATTATTTTCCGGAACCCGGACAATTTTCACTTCTTTTTTCTTTTTCAGGAAACAATTTGGATAGGTTTGCTAAATATTTTAGAATTTACTGATTCAAGAAAAAATAAGACGAATGCAAAAAAATGTTCCAGAGCCAACATAAAATAAAAAAAAACAAATTGTGTATACGGGGTAGAAGCAATTGAACAGAAAAAAAATACACTTCACAAATTGCTACTATTCACATTGCAGTCAATGCAAAACAAAAATACTACGAAAATTAGAATTTTTATTTTATTTTATTGGGCCGCAGAAAAACTCGCTATATTTCTAATCAGAAAAATACAATAATTCACTTTTTTGGATGAAGGGAATTTGTATTTGTAGCTAGAAAAGATATGTTTTTTGTGTAGTCCGCAAGCTTCCGCAAATTCCCAAAATCATTAGATACTCAGTTAACAAACATGTACGCAGTCAAAATATGACATAGGAAATTTGTAGTCACTCAGCTCTATTTTTTTTTGCAAAAAAATGTTCCAAAAAACAGAACCAGAGAAAAAAGAAGAATAGAATGAATATGTAAACGAGCCAGCAAAAAAAATAAAATAAATTTGTCCAATTACAACAAAAACGAGTCAATTTCGACACCAAAAAACGTCTCAAATTTCTCCGCCGCTGAAAAAAAAAATGCATAGAACGAAAAAGATAATTAGGTAGCTGGCTGAAGACAGAAGGAATGTCTAGAAAAATATATTTGGTTTTTTTTTCGGCGGCGGGACAAAAAACATGAAACGGATGTGATGAAAAAGGAAACGAAACGGGGACGGATGAATGAAAAAAGTGCATCAAAAAACATATTTTTTCAGAAAAGAAAAAAAAATAGTTTGAGGTTGAATAGGTTCTTGAGCACAATTTTATTTTATTTTATTTTAAATGATGTGGAAAAGGTTCGAAAAAACGCGAAATAATATAAAAATAGAACTAAAAGCAGAAGAAAATGAAAATAAGCATTTTCATCATTCATCTTTTTTTCTTTCAATATATTCAAAAGATGGATATTTTTTCTCTAATGATTGCACAAATGAATAAATTATTGGGAAAAATTGAGATGAAAAATAAAAGAGGAATTTTTCAAAAATGTGAGAAAATTGACGTTCTTGCAGGAGAAATTCAGAAAAATCGGCAACCATAGAAACTAGTAGATATCATTTGATTATTTTTCATTAGCGCCCGCCACATTTTTTTTGTTCAAAAGTTATTATAAATGAGAAAAACAGGTGAAAATCGACAGAAATCATATCTGTTGTTAGATTTGACCAAAAAAAAATTTCTGAGACTGTCTGAACCAGGTTGGCACAATTCCTATAGTTCAATTCAAAAGCTGCTGAAAGATCTAAAAACAAAAAACACTAACACTAATTTTTTGTGGAGAAAAAACAGAAAAACAGAAAATGTTGTTGAATATTTTATAAGCAATTAGAAATAAGAATCACCATGGAGAGACAAAAAACACACGAGAAAAACTAAACAAGAAACTCGGGAGAACATGATGAATTCGATTTTACGGCTCGAAGAACTAAATAACTTTCAGGACGACGAATTTGATCGAATAAATCAGAGCAAGGAGAACTTGGAAGAAAAAAATAATACTATTTGGAAAATGAAAAAAACTCAGTTTCAGAAATATTTTTGAGATGGAAATGAATGAGGAAGAAAAAAATAGAGCAATTTTAGCCAAAAACAAATTTCCAGCTAGAAATGAATTGAAAAAGAGCAAAGGAGTTTGAAAATAAAAAGGTCACACTTGAGAATTGTGGAAAAGCTTGAACCTTCAAGTTAAGCTAAGTTACAATCAGATTTTATGAAAACCCTTTTGAAGTTAGTTTGACTCTTGGAGAATCTCATTTTTTTTCATTCTTGGCCACGTCATAACTCAGGTTAGGAGTTGAGTTATGCAATTTCTCAAGTGAAATTTGAAACAGTTCCATTATAAGAACATCAGACATCAGAATCAGATCCGATTCGGAAAATCCCTTTTTTCACCTTCAAATACTTTACAGAAAATTCGAAAAAAAAAATATTTTCAAATTTTCAGTAAACCCTGGGTATAAAATACGCAATAAATGAATGATTACAAAACCAAATTTTAGAGCCCAAATAGACCTAAACCTGCGCCTAAACTAACCGCTGACAATGGTACAGGATCAGCAGATAATGTTGGAATTGCCATCGACATTCTTCGAACAAAAGCCGAAGCTCTTCTCGAACTCGAAGAAGATGTTGATGCAATAGCTGCATTTCTTCTTGTGGTTGATGTCAAATGATTATGTTGATTTGTCGAATTATTGTAGGTTACAACAACCATTCCTTGTTGTCCTCCTCCACCTCCACCAATCGCTGCTCCACTCCCACCAGTTCCGCCAATCGATTGAATTGATGGACACGGTGAGAGGGAGCGTGATTGTTTTTTCAACGATTGATTGTTTTTCGAATGATTGTTGTTGTTGTTGTTGATGTTGGTATTCGAATTGGTGGTGAAAAAGGTTTTGGAGGATGATGACGATAATTGTGAAGAGGTTGAATTCTTTGAGATTTTTTTTATTAAAAAGTATGAAGATATAAAAAGAGAGAACAAGAGAAATAGAGAATCAGAACAAAATAACTCAAAAATGCAACTGCAATGTCAAATTTTCCAATGCATACAAAATTTCAGGGGAACTTCAGAGGTTCTCAAATATTTTTTTGGTTAGATATTTAAGAAAAAGAAATCCGATTATTTTTAGGGATTTCTTATTTTTGTGAATTTTCTTTTAAAAATAGCAAAATATTCTAGGTATTGGATAATTTTCGATGACGATGAGTAAAATAAGAAATTATGAATTATTTTTCTCTCATAAATAAAATCGAAATAATTTTTTTTCAAATTCTGAAAGTGCCTAGCTAAAAAGGTTTACAAAGATCAAGGGCACTTGTTAAAACAAATCTGAAGATCGAAAAATGAGAAGCAGAAGAAAAAAGAAGGATAAAAAACTAGAAAGGAAAAAGGAGGAGCATTATGATGAAAACAATATGCATTACAAATTGGAAGAAGAAAAAGAAGCTGAAGAACTAAAAAAAAGAAAAAGAAGAAGTCTTCGTCTCTTGTTCATTCATAAATACATACACAGATACTCAAGAATTAGGAGGGGAAAATGGATTTTCTCGGTGAACAACGACAAAAAACTTTGGTCTATTTTTGCATCTAGATCATCTTCCTAACTCAATAAATCTTTAAAATTTTTCAAAAGCGATTTTTCATTAAACTCGTGCTTATCTCTTTAAAAAATCGATTCACTAGAAATCTAAGGTACTAAAAAAGTGCACGGCAAAATGAAATGATGAGAAAAAAGAAAGAACAAATTGAAACAGAGGAAAAACGTTTTATCCAATGAGTCGAAACAAAAAAAATACTTTCTTCTTTCAAATTAATTTTTTTTTTGTTTAAAGATTTCATTATCGATTAATTCTGGGAGATTTCGAAGTGTATAGTGTGGGGCTAAAAATTTCTTGTTATTAAAAAATGGAGAAAAATTGAAGTTGTCCTTAATTGACAATTGCGTGTTTGCCCAATTTTTGGGAAATTTTTAAATTAAATTTTTGATGAAACATAGTGGAAGATATTAATTCGAATATTCTGAAAGTGACTCTGAAGTCAAAAATTGAAACTTTGAAAATTAAAAATTGAAGTTTCAACTAGGGCAGGAAATGTTTCAATTTAAAAAATGAGAAAATATTTCAAAACCAAAAGCCACACACATTTTGGATATACATTCTCTATATCTGAAATTTTCCTTCTTAAAATTCTCTAGAACAAAAACAAAACATTTTTACGACTTTGTTATTCTCTAACTTATTACTATTATTATATCGAATTTCCTATAACTAATGAAATGAAAAATGAAAACTTAAAATGATCTTACTAAAACCGAAAGAATCCAGCAATTTTTTTTGTCTGAAAGGCAACAGAAAAGGCTCATGTGCGCGTGTGCACAAATTGAAATTTGTGTATGGGTATGAATACATGTGTATGTATGGATGGAAAAAAACGAAGAAGGAATCTATCCATATCTTCTTCTTCTTCTTTCTTTCTTCACACTACTTTTGTTTGTTGCATAGCACAGAAAAAACACAAAAACAGAACAGATATTTAAGAGGAAAAGAGACAGATTTTTTCAGAACAATTTTGTCAAGAAAGGTACCTTTTTACGTTTTTCTTCATCCTCTCCTCCATCTTCTCCTTCTTCACTTGCTTCTTCTGAATATTTTGGGGATTTTTTCCCTTTTTTCTGAATTTGAAATCGGGGGGAAGGGATCCGATTTCAAATTATGTTAATAGGTAGAAAAATGATCAGAAGAGATGTCTGGAGTTTGATCTTATATGTATGTTAGTATTTGAATCAGATGACTAAAAAAATTAGGGAAATTTGAATTCGGATGATTATTTTGATCACTTCATAGTGCCTAGCTCCGAAAATCTTAAAACTATGTATTAAAATCTAACAGAAAACTGAACTTTTCCTAAATTGATACTACAGTATCCCCCACTCTAATTTTCAATAGAAAATTGGTTAACCTTTGGAAGAGAACCGATGTGGCCTAGAAAACCAAACATTTTCTGGTTTCTCTTCCATCACTTGGTGTTTTTGAATTTCTCAACCAAACTCCAGACATTTTCCAATCATTTCCCTCCAAGAAACCTCTAACAATAATAGTTTGTGATTTTTTCAGAAATCCTTTCCGCTTGATATCACTTCCATAATTATAAAACACATTATCATCACCGTTTTCTTCTTCATTTTGTTCTTTTTCTTCATTTTCCTCCTCTTCTTCCTCCTCATCTTCTCCAATATCTTCTGGAACTGGTGCCAATCTCAACAATGGTGGTCTTCTCGACAAATTCGACATCGATGTTGATCGAATAATCGATTGAATAGCCGACGTCGAACCAATCGGTACCGATTCGTCGTCGATCGATTCGAAAAACGACGGAATAATGGGTAGATTTTGAATTTTTAGATTGGTTCGCCAAAAGGCAATAAGTGACGACGATGGAAAGAAGGAGAAGATGAAGGAGAATAAAGTGGAGAAGAAACAAATCATTGTTGACACATTTTTGTGGTTTGGGTGGAGTGGGCCCCGATAATGGTGTATGTTGAGAGGAGCAACCACAAAATGATTAGTTTTTTTATTTGAAATTGAATGATGACTACTATACCTCTTTTCAACAAAGAAAACATCAGAAGTTCTTCAAAAAATTAGAGAGAAAAAAGATGTATCAGGATTTTTGAGACGAAGAAAATTTTTTTAAAAAATAAGAAAAATATTCTGGAACATGCAATAACAAAAAATATATATCCATATGTATTCTCGAATTTCACCAACCACACAACTCTTGCTCACAATCTTTCTAGCTCAAAATAAATAATTATTGCTGCCCCGTCGTGACACAATAAAATTATTCAAAAAAAAACACGAGGAACAATTAGTTGAAGGAGCCACTTCTGCCTGAAGATGGAAGAAGAAGAAAAAGCGAGGGAAACAGAAACAGAAAAAGATTTTTTGGTAACTCGACACTTGATACTTTACACATTGGAAAATAGGAGATGTGAAGGATACCTGCCAATTATCAGGTAAAACTTTTTACCGCGAGCAAGTGATTCAGAAAAAATCCACAAACTTAGCAGAACTTGGGGAGCTTTAAAGCAATAAAAAATAATAGAGAATATTTTGAATACAATAAAATTAATTAGTTCATTTTAAAATCCCAGGGGAATTTTTTAATGATAATTTTAGAGTGCGAGAAAAAAATTCTGCAATTTTTTGAACCTATGGCCTAGAAAACCAAATATTTCCACTAAAAAAACAAATTTGGTTTTCTCTTCCACGGCCCAAAATATTTAAATAGAAGAGTTTCAATTTTGCCAAACCCTCTTCGTGAAAAAATATCCAAAAAAACTAACATGAGCAATATCCGCCACAGGTTTCGTCTTTTTCTCCCCTCCAATCATACTCGAATTCGAATGTTTTGAAACAAGCGGTCTTCTCGAAGATGTTGTTATATCAGAAAATGGACTTGGAGCCATTAAAGGTGGACTCAAAAGTGATAAACTACTACTTGTTCGATGATTCATAATCGCTTTTCCATTTTGTATTGAATGTCTTCGAATCATTTCAATATTCGATAAATGCGATGGTAATAAAAGTGTTGATCTTCGAAGATTTTTAGTTTGCCGATGATTTTTATTCTCTCCATCTTCATCTTCAGAAGATCCAACTAAATCTATCATTGGAACTAGAACAGTTTCATCAATCATAATAGTAATAAACTACTAGTAATATATATTGGAGTCAGTCAGTCTTTCAGTCAGTCGGTTAGTTACTTTCTTGTCGATCGGTAGAGAAAAAACAAAAAAAGTGTGAGCTCATTTCATTGTGTGTGTGTGTGCTCCTTTTTTGAGCTAGCTCGTTGCTAGGAGCAGCTAGAATTCTTATTAACTAAAAAAGAAAGAAGCGAAAAAACGAAGAAGAAGAAGAACATATTTTGCTGCTTCACACATTTTGGCAAATTTTCCAGTTTTAATTATTCATTTGTTACTGTAGAGATTCACACTTATGTCTTTGTTAAAATGAAACAAATAAATTATTCAGAATTTCAAAGAAGTTAGTGACGTACAGTGGAAAAAGAAAAGAAAAGCATCAGGTGAACAGAATGAATTATGAAAATATTTTTCCAAATAGACAATCTCAAGAGAGTTATTCTAATTTGCATTAATTTTTTAGATGAACCAAAAACAGGTGTCATTTTGAGTCCTCACACTTCAGAGGCTCCACATTTATAAGGTCAGAAATCAGAAATCCTGTTGGTAGGGACCCGAAATTTGGTTGACACATGGGAACGTCCCAGTTTAGTTTTCAAAAATCATAAAATCTGATTTTTCGAAGTTTCTACAAGTCTAGAAAGCATATTTCGAATTTCCGCAGAATTTTTCTCAAGTGGGCGTGGCTTAAATGCAACTACCGCACACAGTTTTAACTGCAACCATTCTTGATTCAAAAAGGTTCTCTGATGTGAGCACAGATGTTTTGGATCAAAGTTCAGACATCGGATCTTGGCTCAAAAATTAGCTGCCCAGCTCCAGCCTGATCCACGACAATTTAAAATTTTCCAAGTCCAGACAGATCTACAGTACTCTTTGTCTCCGTTTCCCATTTCTCCATGGAAACTTTTTTTTGCAAAGAAAAATTTTGCGATTGCTCATCATCATCATAATGGAAAAAGCGGGATGACAGAAAAACAATTTTTTTTGGAGAAAATTAAAAAGGACACGGGACAAAACTAATCAAAAGAAACGAATGTGTCGACTTTCAAGAAAAAAAAAATGGGGAAAAAGTTGAGGAGGGCAATGCGAATAATAAAAAATATGATGGAATGGAATGGAATGAACCACACCGGCCGGAAAGAAGAAATATGTTCGAGGAGCAGAAAAAAACGGGGGGAAGGGTTATAAATTATTCGACAAAATAGAGAATGAAGAAAAATACTTTTTTGAGAACAATAACTTTACGAGAAGATTGACTACTCACATCGAATCGAATCATAATAAAAACAAAAGATTTACGACAAAAACACAAGATGGGAGACATGCTAAAAAGAGATTTCTGAATTTCAGGGGTCGGGGGTCGGGGGTTCGGATTGAGAATAGAATCTAGATGGGATGTAGTTTAGAAGGCGAAGATGAGAATTTCAAAAATTCCGCTGCAGAAGTGTGCTCTGAGCAATGAAAAACAACAGGATCACATCAACTTTTGAAAAAAAATATTTAAAATGAGCAACCCCTGAATAGAATTCGATTTGGGAGTCCATCTGAGAATTTTCAAAGAAACAAAAACATTTCACAGTTTAGAAATATAGGCGCAGAATCCTTGATTCTTTAGATTTTTCGAAATTCGAACTCTTTGTAAGCTATATGAATTTTTGAAATTTTAAAAATTTGATAAAACTCATATTCTGGCTTAGAAAAATCTTCTTGAAATATCCATGTGGATTTTCAGCTCAGAACTTGTTCGGGTATTTTTTGGAACTCACAATCAGGATCTAGAGAGAAACAAGATCTATAGGCACCATTCCTGGGTTTTCTAGGATCACCTACAAACTCCAAAGAATCTTCTGATGATTTTTGGAACTTACATTAGGACAAAAATCAATCAATAAGGTATGTCTTCCAAAACATAAACTAACCGCTAAAGCTTGTGGACTTAAAATATTATGATGATGATGATGAATTTGTCTTGCAGCCGGTTGTGAAATCGATGATTGTTTTCTCAATACAGTAGCACCTCCTGACATAGTTGTTGATAATATTTTAGCAGATGAAGAAGACGGCGAATTTGCCAGATCAACTATTTTTATGCGATTAGTTAGATCAAGACTATAATTTCGATGATTCGATCGAATTTCATTGGTGGTCGACATGATATTGAAAAAATATAAAATGAAATAAAATAATAAAAAAAGCCGAATAATAGTGTATCTTCTTTTTCTTCTTCTTCTTTTTTGCCCTCTTGATGAAATAAAACAGCGGCGGAAAAAAAGCAAAAAAAAAGTATCAGGAGCCGAGGAAAAAGTATAAATAAATAAGATTTAATTCTCGATACTGCTCCTTTTCTGAGTGCTTCTTGCCTGACTGACCGTGATTTTCATGAATTTCTTACTAGATCTGTCTGTCATACAACTACCAGAATAACACAAAAAGAGACGAGAAGAAACCAAGAGAAAAACTTTTTCTTGTTTTTTTTTCGAAGGGTACTTGATAATACTTGAGGATTTTTTTTTGTTTTTTTTTCTGTTGTTGTTATTTTTTACTTTTGAACGGAACCGAAATTTTCAATATTTTTCAAACCAAAAATTACCTGTATATAGCCATTTGATATAATTAGTTGGGTTAATTTCCGTTTCGAATCTGTCGATTTTGGCATTTTTTGCGAGATGAAATTTAGACAAGCATCTGATATTATCAACAATTTTTTTGAAAATAAGTAAATGAACAACGAAAATATATATCAAAGAAGGGCAAAAAGTTCAAAAAACTTTTTTCACAGAAGAATGAAGATTTTCTGCGCGACGTTTTTTTCGCCGGAATTTCCTACTACTTGATTTCACTTTTTTGCATGTAAAAAAGAGAAAAGTCAAAAAACATTTCAACGTTTTAATGTCTAGAAAAAACAATAAATTTGTATTTTTTGTGAAGAGCAAACAAATTTCTGTCTGGAATAGGCCCTACTTAAGCTAACTCTAAATTTTTTAAATTTGAAAAAAAACCTAACTTAAGTATTTTGAAAATCAAAAAAAAGATGACATTTTTCAGAGCACAAATGTCGTTTAACGCGTTGCGGTCATGCGCTGCGTGCAGTTAATTTTTTGAAAATAAAACACGCAGCGCGTAGCCGTCACGCGTTCAACGAAATTTATTTTGATTTTGACAAGAATTTGTGTGCAAACATTTCAATTGCACAATTAAAAAAAAAAATTTGCCAACGAGACTACGCATTGACAGCACTTTTTTTCAGTTCTAGATTAAATCTACGGGTTCTTCAAAAGAAAATTAGTTAATGTTTGGTAATATGAACAAACTGGATAATAATAAAAATCAGTCGAGTAATTTGAGAACAAAAAATGTGCAATTACCATTCTTTCTTCCTAATACTACTTTTCGCTGTCTAATTCGATAAATAAGAAGAACACGACTCTTTTTTTTCTTTTTTTTTGAGCAACAGAAAAACAATTATGTTGTTAGTTGTAGGTTAATTGATTAGAAAAAAAGGGATTGAAAAGAGAAAAGAAAAATATCTCAATAAAATAAAAATTATTTATTTATTTGTGAAAATATTGAATTTCTGCTTCGTTTTTTTGCTATATTTTGCACAAGATCTGCTTCTGAAAGCAAACAAACATTCAAGTTCATCCAAAAATTCAATTTCCGTTGGCTAACCACAAAAAATATCAAACTAGTAACTATTGTGAGCAAAAATTGAATGAAACGTGGCAATGATGTCATTGAGGCAGGCAGGATAAAAAAGGAGAAAAAGAAGAATAAAAAACCAACGAAAAAATACTTGATTATTCGTTGTCTCATAGATCGAAAACAAAACAAAAAACAATTGTATATAGAACAACAAAATTCCCTTTTCTTCTTCTTCTTCTTCTTATTTTTCGGCTCAAAATTTCCAGATTTTTTTCATATTTCTTTTGAGAGACAAGTTAAGAAGCAGGCAAAAAATTGGAGAATATGAGCTCCAGACAATCATATTTATTCCGTATTTTTTTTACTCATTATTCAGAAGGAGAAGGAGAAAAAAAATAAAGAGGGAATAAAAAAGAAAATGACACGAGAATATTACAGTAGGTGATTGACATCAAAGTATTTTCAATCTTATTTTTATTGGGGAAACTGAAAAAAGGAGCAAAGAAGAGGTCTAAGCTTTTAGTTGGGAACGAAGCTATAAAAGGTTGACTCCAAATTTGCCAAAAATTTCGGAATTCCAGAAATTTGATAAACCCAAATAATTTAAATTTTAAAAAATTAAGTTTAGCTCGAACTCAAAGAGCTCTGAAATTCTGATAATGAAAATCGAGAAAAAAATAGATCAAAAAAATTTCAAAAAAATGATTACTCAAATTTTGAAAAAAAAATTCAGAAGTTCAAAAACTTGAGGCCGGAAGTTGGGGTGAACCCAAGAATTCTAAATTTAAAAATCAAGCTTTGTTCGAACTCAAAGATCTCCAGAATTCTAAGAAGCAAAAAATAGATTTCAAAAATTCAAAAAAAAAAGATAACCTGTGTTTCATTAAAAAAAAAAACTCCCCGGTCTCAAAATTTTGTGGATTTTTGATAAATTAATGCTCAAGTTGCAGAAGTTTTGAAAGCCCAATTTATATCAACCTGGCTCAGATTTCTACAAAATTCAAACTTCCCCATAAAAATGGGCGTGGCTTTGTTGCAAGTCCGGCACACTTTTTTCTAACTCAAACAAAATCTAGCAGTTTTTCCCCTTTTCCTCAAAAACTAACCCCTAAAGCAGAAACATTATGCATTCGACTTGTTCTTCTCGATGAATGTGATGGTCTTTGTCCGCTTGGTCCAGTTGCAGTCCCGCCACTCGATCTCTCTCCACCTCCTCTTTCACTATTTCCACCGCCACCTCCAATTTGATTCCGTTTATGATGGTGATGACTGGATGGTGGAACAAGTGTGGAGGACGGTGTAAAAGTAAGAGATGGCGGAGCACCACATGGTGAACTCGGTTCTCCCGAATTGCCACCAAAAACTGCTGTCTTCATCAGCAGATATCATTCATTTCTGGGGGTGGTTGTGGCGATATTCTGAATCTTTCAAAAATGAAAGAACATCGAGAAAAAAACAATAGGAAGATAATAGAAGAAGAAAAAAAAAACAGAAGAAGAAGAAGAAAATGATGTGAAAATAAGAGGAAAAAAACAAGGATGAGACGAAAACATGTAAATTATAGACCTTAAATAAACATTTCATTTTGAGCCAAAATTTTGTTTTTTTTTTTTCGCTTTTACTTCAAAAATATGTGAAAAATGAAAATGGATGGGTCAGACCGCATCTAGACACTAAATCTGACAAGGGTTCACGCCTTGAGAACTTCTATGGCAAGTATCCGACCCGAGAGATCATAGTTGTCAAGGACCCACATCTAGACACTAAATCTGACAAGGGTTCACGCCTTGAGAGCCTCTACGTCAAGTAGCTGATCCTAGGAATCCTAGTTTCCAAGTAGCCGCGCCTGGACAGTCCTATTGTCAAGGATATGCGCTTAGATGGCTTATTTGTCGTCTAGGATGCGTATCTAGAGATCCACAGTGACAAGAAGCCGCGCCTTGGAAACTTTAAGTAGTCGACCCTAGGAATTTTTTCTGGGACCATTTTCAATGAAAATTAATTTCTTATAAATATTTTTAAAAACAATTTTCAACCTTTTCAAAATACGAAATTTTTCCCTTTAAAATCTTCCGACTCTAGCTTGCTATCAAAAAAGTTAACAAAAATTTCCCCCAGGTATCAAAAAAAGAAATAATTCTAGTTGCTACAACAACCAAAAATACAAATTTTAGTGGATTTTGCTCACACATTCATTCTCATCAAACAAAAAAGTTTTGCTAAAAAATCTCATTTCGGCTTTTAATTTTAATTTCAATCTCATTTTCAGATTCTTGAAATTAAATGAAATTAAAACTAAATCAAACAAAACAAAACAAGATTTGATTCTATCTCGAAAAAGAGATTTTGAGGGGGGAAAAATGAATGTATGTAGAAATAATATAGAATTTTTTTGAGGCAAAGCCAAAGGCGAAAAAAAATAGAAAATGAATGAATGAATGAAAAATCGGAGAAAAAAGGACAGATTTATTCGGATACATTTTTGAGTGACTTTTGGAAGAGAGAACGAAACAAAAAAGGACACCTATTCGACCAAATTTCGATCTTTTTTGGAAAAAAAATAAAGTTGAAATTCAACCAACCGTTGCTATATATAAGTTTTCTCTAATTTATTAGTTCAGTAAATTTTTCGCATTTATCATCGAAAAAAATCAAAGAAAATATTCTAGTGGTACTCGAGACACTCGTCTAAATTTTCTTCAGATTTTTTCGTGCGCTGGGAAAAAAGGCCCTAGAAGTGAACGTGTATTTTTTGAGGAAAAATTAGAAATGAAAAAGAATTGGGAACGTGAACAATAATTAATTTTGCGTGAAAATTTTGAATTTCATTTCAAAAAAAAATAATAGTGAGAATTGAGGTCGTGATTATTTTTGTTTGAATTTCTGATTCAAAAGTTTGAAGAGCATCAGAGCCCGCGTTGTCTAGGACCCGCGCTAGAAATTCTCAAAATGTTTTTTTAAAAATCAAATGTTTTAATTTGAAAAAGTTTTATAGGTTTCGAAAAAACAGGTGAAATTTTCATTGATAAAACCAATCTCAAAATTTCCAAACCAACTAAACTTAAATCAGAAAAAAGTAGAATTTATTAGGTGAGGTGAGACATGCTAAACTTTGTATCTCAAATTTCTCCTCGTAAAAAAGTATTCGATCGACCAAAAACAGAAAAACTAACATGGAAAAGGTTAGTTAGTATTCCAGTCTCAAATTTCTTTTTTTTCAGTTTTTTTTGTTTGTTGGAAGATATTGATGACGAAAACTGAAGAGACAAACTTTTTATGATTTATTTTTGAACTTCAAAAAAAAAATATGAAATGAAAATATTTGGACTCTCAAAAGAGAAAGATTTATGGAACAGATGTGTTTTTGAAAAAATAATAATAAAAAAATACGAGGGAGGAATAAAAACATATTGTCATTAAATATTAAGATAACAATATCTAGATCATGTTTTTCTATAATAAAAAATTTCCGGGAGACGCAGATTCGGTTATGAATTTGCTTTGAGATCTCAAAACATCGAAGGATTTTTTAAAGGATAATTTGTGTGCAAACACTACGACGTGAAAATGCACAGTTTGAAAAATAATGTCAAATTTTCTGCCAACGAGACTACGCAATGACGACACGTTTTTTCAAGCGGTTTTTCGAAAAAAAAATTCAGTTTTTCCTCAAACGTGAGATCTATATTTCAAAAATAGTAATGCGAAAGTTTGAAAAATGAGAAGAAAACAGCGAAAAAAGGAAAGAATAATTAGGCCAAAAATAGTCACAAATTAGTTCGAAAGACCCGGAAAATGGGAGTTTTTGAGAAAAAAAATACACTTTTGTGTTCTGGTTGGAAAAAAGGAGAGAGGGAGGAGGAAAAAGAGCCGGAATAATCGAATCAGTAGAATTTCGACAATTTGAAAAAAAAACTGGAAAGGAAAAGAGAGATTGAAGTGGTGCGGGGTTTGGAATTTTTGAACTTCAATCACCTGAAGAAAACAAAAAAAAACAAAACAAGAAGAAAACAAAAAAGGATAAGAACGAAAAGAGAGAAAACAAATTGAGTAAATGAAATATTTCGAGAAAAAAAACGAAAAAGAGGAGAAAAACGAAGAGGATAATGAAAACAAAATAGCTGAAAAGTTGAGAGCAGCGAAAAAAAAATGGAAAAACGGGGGAAAAGCCGTCGAACAAACCACCAACACCATCTCATCTCATCATCAGAAAGAAGAAGAAGAAGAAAAAAAGAAGGCATAAGCATATACATGTATTCTTCTTCTTCATTTATATATCTATGTATGTCTATGAGAAGAGCTAGAAGAAGGCTTCAGAAGGAGAAAAGAAGAAGAAGAAGAAAAACCAATTAGGCAGACGTGTCATTTTTTGACGACGACAGAAAGCAGAAGCTGAACGAAGTAGCAAAAAAGTGGAGAAAAATGATGGCGAGGTGGACAATTCAACTATTTCAGAATCAAAATCAGAATCAAGATCTGGATCTGGATCTGGATTTTTTCGGAGAAATTTTGAGATGTGTAAAGTTCAGATCTCTCTTACTGGAACTTAGATCAACTCAGCTTTGAAAAAAAAATCGAGTAACTGAAGAAAAATATTGTCGAAATTTTCAGATTCATCTTGAATTTCTGATTTTTCAAAGTTCAGAATTGCAGACCGGATTTGGCACAAAAAATTAATGGGTTTCAAAAGTTACTCAAAAATGAGTCTATACGTTTTGAAAGTGAACATCAGCTTTAAATTGAAGTACAGTACAAATCAGACTTCAGACAGAAAAAAATGATTTTTTTTTCGAGTTCAGATTCTCAAGCTCAAAATAGCTTCAGAAATCTAGGATCAAAAAATAAACAAGTAAAAAAATTCCTGAGTTTTTATGGAAGCAAAAAAATGCAGATTTTCAGGAAAAAATTTAGGTTTGAATTTACAATTTTAAAAATAATTTTTCATCGCCAAAAATATCAATATCAACATCAATATAAACCTGCCCAAAAAATTCACGAAAATAATTCAAAATTCAGAAGAAAACACTTCGTGTCTTCAAAATATGTACAAACAAATCATCATTCCACAAAAAAAAAACACTTGACGAGCAAAAAAAAAATTTTCTTCAAGAAATATATTTTTACTTACTAATTTCGTTCTACTCTGCCCAAAAAGTGGAAAAACCAAAAAAATGAACTAACCGTTCTCATTGTTGTCCTTTTCCTTGTGTTTTCTCAAATCGAAACCAAAATTCCAAAAAAAAATGATGATAGTTGATGAATATTATTAGTTCATATCTGAAAATAAATTATGATTGATGCGGAATCGAAATAATTCAGCCCTTATTCAGAAATACAAAAAATTATAAGATTTTTTGTCGAGGAAAAAATCGAATCAGATCAACAGCAAAAACAATGACGGACAACTGTTGTGCAACAAAAAATATACACGCGAGAGAGCTGTCAATTTTTCTTTTTTTTTCTCATTTTGTAGACCGAAGACAAAACACTTTTTGTTTTTAGCAAACTCGCTCTAATGATAATGTTAAAAGTATATGTTTTCGAATGGAAATTCAGGGATTGAAAAAAAAATCACTTATGGAAAAGTGCTCCTAGAAAACTAGAAGCTGTAATTTTATTTGGGGTAAAATTTTGAAGATCCAAACTTCTCAGAGTAGCAGAAAAAGTCTGTACAAATTGGAAGTTGATTGAAAAATCTAACATGAGCAATATATATTTAACAACTAGAATGCGAGAACAAAATTACAGTATTCAAAAAAACACAGCTAGAAAAAATTACAACGTGGCACAGTTCCAATGTTGGTTCAAAATTTTGAGTACTGTAATTTTTTGAAAAAAAAATTTCAAATGTGGAATATTAGAAAAAATGAGACTTGAAAGTCTTTACGAATTTCGGAACCGAAGTTTTTTTTTGAAAAAAAAAATTCTGGAAAGTGTGACTCAGAATTTAACCTGAGCAATGCTATAAAAATAACAGCCGAGAACAAAATTCGAATTTTTGAAAGTGTAGGATTTTTGAATCTCAAAAATATCAGGAAAATGTTTGAACTCCTAGCTTTCTACCTCAAAACGTTTCTAACGGGTTTCTTTAACATTATTTCTAGACTTTTTAAGAAAAAGACGTTCACCCAAAAAAACTTAGAGCTGAAACATCAGTCAGAAAAAACCAAAGACCTTTGCTAACAATATTGTTTCGTGTTCCTTGAAACGGAAAATCTTATTTTCAAGGATCTCCAAGAACATTTCTAGACCTCAAGAAAAAAAAATACTACAGGACCTGCATAACAGCCAAAAAAACAAGGATGTCCATCAATCGATGTGTGCTTTTTCATCTTCTGGTTATTCCGAAATCAATGAAACATTATTATATTTTTGGAGAGCTCAGAGATGTCAATTATGAGAAGAGTGTGGGAAAACAAGAGAGTGCAGAGATCGAATATGACAGTTGTTGTCATTTTGAAAGAGAACTAGAGATATGAAATGAAATGTGTATGTTGTTTTGTGGTGACAGCTTGTCAAAATTCTGACGAATTATTATCAACAGGTGGAACAACAACAACATTTTTAATTAAAAAAAGTCAAACAAGGTTTTTGGAGGATATTGTTAGGTTAACTTTCCCGCTGCGCGGAAGATTGCGGTTTACTCCGCTCGAACTTGGCTATTTTTTTTGTTCAAAACTTCAAATATCATGTTCACTATCGGAAAAAACAACGAAAAAAGTTCATTGGAGCGGAAATCAGAAAAAAGTCAGCTTTCTTCACTTTCTTATTGAATTTTTCTCAAAAAACAAGCTATTTATCATCGCGAGAAGAAAAAGATGATGCTAATTTTTCGAAAAAAAAATATATATGGAAAAATTGTGTGTTTTTTTTTGGATAAAAAAGTCCATTTTTAGTTTATGGCTATCCATCTTAAGCTGCTTTTTGGGATGAGAGACACAAATTTTTGATGCGCGAAGAAGAGAGGAATTTTCGAATCTTGAAATTTTTGGAAAAAAAACGAAGAACGAGAAAAAAGGAAGGTACTTTTGCAAAAAAAAAACTTGGTTAAATTAAGCGTGAATAATTTGAGAGCAGAGAGCATTTACAGAAAAATTGAAAAAAAAAACCCGGGCTGACCTGGAAGAGAATCAATATGGCCTAGTAAACCAAATAATTCCCTTTAAATTCAATTTTCTATCAATAATGAAGCCCGTGGACCTGCTAATCTTAATAAAAATGCCCGAAAAAATCAACAAAAATGTGTCTAGATGTGTTTATTTTTCCAATATTTTTTCTAGAAAACAAATTGAATTAATACGAAATTAATGAAAGGCGGGCAAAATATGTATATTCTTGGGTTCTTCAATCTTCGTCTTCCAAAAATAAAGAAAAAGGTGTCAAATAAATAGAAAAAAGCTTCTTCTTCTCTTTTTTCAGCGTAAAATTGAATAAGACGAGAAAAATTGGGAGAAGAACCGGGATAGAATGAATTTTTTTATTTTATTTTTGTTGAGTTGTTGAGAGTGGGTGAGAAAAAATGGTATAAAATGGAGCACGCAAACTCTTCAGAATATTTTTTATATTTATTTATAGAAAAAAGTGGAGTAAAATAGAAAAAGTGCTTCATTTTTTCTATAAAATTGCAAATGGGATTATAAAATAAAATAAAAATTCTGGAAGAAATCAATATTCTTCCTTTTTCTTTTTTTCTAAAAAGTTTAACTCAAAAAATAATGGGAGAGGATTATTTTTGTACTTACTAGAAAGAAATAAAAAATATTTTTTTGGAAATATTTTTTGGGGGAGCAAAACTTCAAGGATTAAAACAATAAAAGGCAGAACAAATTGGATTTCTAATGTGACACTCAAAAAAAAACGTTTTCTTTCTAGAAATTTTCAGACAAATATGGCTGAAAATTTACTGGTTAGGTATTTCGAAAGTTTTTTCCAACAACAAAAACTATAAATAAAAATGACGTTTGAGCATTTCAACATCGGAAAAGGAAAAAGGTCACTGAAAATAAAATTGAATATAAAGTATGAAAAATACACAAATATTCAGACTAAATCTAATTTTTTGAAGAAAAAAATAATCATAAAACTTTCAAGCTCTTTACGAGAAAATTGATTTTTTACCCTACGCTAGAAATAAATGGGTAAAAAAGTTAGACTAATTGGTAAATAGCTCAAATTTGTTTTGTTTTGTTTTGTTTTGAGAAAAGAATGTGGTGAATTTCAAACTAGCTCGAAGCAAGACGAAAAAGCAGCTAAAACTCATAAACTTGTGAGAAAAACTATAAAAAACTGATTTGAGTTCGAGATATTTTCAAGAGAATGACAGAAAATACTTAAATGGAATCGATAAATAATTTATGCGGTCTTTTCTATTTTAGGGTTCTGAAACTAACTAAAACGAGAGAGAAAATGGAAAAAAATTGAATTTTAAAGTTTCAAAAAAGAGGTCAAAAAGTCAAAAAAGGACAACAAAAAGAGTTAACAAAAGAGGAGTTGATTGTAGAAAGAAAACAGCTAAAAGAAAAGAAAACGGAAAAAATATGAGCTACTAAATCGGGTAATAGCGGAAATGACATTGGAATAATTATGCGACATTTTTTTCTCTCTCTGCTTTATTTATGTGCAAATTTTTCGCTGGTCACAACCAACATCTGGATGTTTTTGTTGTTTTTTTTTTTGGCTTTCATCCAAAGAGAAAAAATTTGTGGCGGTAATAAAAAAGCGAACCGAACCGAAACTTCTTGGTAAAAACTCGATGGGTGAATGAGATAAAAAAGAGGGTGGCAGATGGTGGCGGGGTGCATTTTAATTTGATGTATGCTATCCAAATTGAGGTTGAGAAAAAACACGGAATATATGGGAAAATATAAGTATATTATATTTATATATGTATATTAGAGAGAGAAAAAGAGAGGAGAATTAGAGAAAAATACGAAATTTCGAAGTTACAGCTTCATCCTACATTTATCCGGAAAATTATTGAAATTTTACAGGAGCGAAATAAAAAGTCACATTTTTCCCATTAAAATCTACTAACCTGCATTATTGGCAAATTCATAGCTTTGTTCGATTTCCGCCGCAATTTTTTGACCACATTGTGGCAATATGTGAATAAATATGCATTGAATTGATTTGAGAAAAACCTTTTCGAGGCTGAACATTTGGGAGAAATGAATAGAACATTGAAAATATTCATGTCACGCAAAAATTAATAAAAAAAAACTCTTTTCAGTTTTTTTTTTCAATTATTTGTCCGGTGGAAATTTTCGGCGTGAACTTGGCAAAATTCCACATGTATTCTTATTTTTTCTTTTATTTATTTCTCAGTTATATAGATCTACAATCTGTCCGCTCTATTCGCAAACTCCGAAAATAAAAATAAAAATTCAAATTCTGTGCAAACACCGCGACGAACAAATGCGGATGAGCGCGCGATCAAAAAATCGAATTTTATTTTTTTTCTGTTCGTTCAACGAAAGCTCACGATTCTCCTTAAAATATGGCTGATAATACACTTTGCTCAATTCGAGAACAATTAGATAACTTGAACGACGCTACTGATAATATAAATACATTAGAAATTCGACTAGACAATGCGAAAAAGGACTTCAGGTTAGTTTTTCATGTTTTCCTAATGACATTCTTTTTTTTCTAGGGAAACGCAAAGCATTTTCAATAAAGAAATGAGTGGTTTATCTAGAAAACATTCGAAACATATTGCAAAATCAAGAATATTTTTCGATTTGAAAGCAAAGGAGAACGAATTGAAAAATAGTGCACAAACTGCGGCTGAAAATTATAAAAAGAAGCAAATAATTCATGAATTATCGAAACAACATCTGGATGAATTGATGAGAACAAGTAATATTGAAGAATATTCAGAGGTTCTCAGGCTCTATGAATTTATTTTAATTATTCATGTTTTTGAAGGTAATAAGTCAACAAATTGAAATGATACATGAATCGGAAAATGAGTGCGAAGAAGCCGAACGAATTCACGAAACTAAAATAGGAGATTTACTCGCAACAGAATCATGTCTAGCAAAATTGGAAGACGAATATAGGTTAGTTTCGAGGTCCAAACACATCTCAAATTAATCAGAAAAAGTTTAGAACATCAATCAAAAAATCGAAACAGTATTACGAGCGGAAAGATTATTTTATGAAAAAAATGAAAGCACAAATCGAATTGGTCACTTTTTTGGAGGATCAGGTGAAAGCTATGCAAAACAATAGAAAAACATAATTATTCCTGTGCACAAACACGTAGAAAAAGAAAATACGCAGAATATCATCATTTTTGATTGAAGACAACGTAAAATTGAGAGAGAGCGCAGACACACAAATTAGTTTTTTGTATTTTTTGTTCGAATAACTAATTTTCTGTATGCGCTCTCTCATTATCATGTTGTATTTTGTTTTTCGACATTTTGTCTGTAAAATTATGTTTTTTATTACAAAACTAGTGGTTCCTGGGCGTGTTGTTCAAACTTGTTCATTCACCACCCCGACATAACAATTTTTTCACTTGGCGCAAAACTAAAAAAATATTCATTCAAATCAATGTTCATACTGATTAGTAGATTTTGAAAACCTCTCTCTTTTATGAAAACCTCTTCGAAAATTCCGTTCAGAAGTTTTCATGCAATTTATGGCTTTTAGCGGACTCAAAAATGATGATTATACGGTAGTTTCCGAACTCGTTGCTGGCCTGAATTCAAATCTCTCACAGTTTACGTAAGCTGGTAAAACGTGAAAACGGATACATTCCAAGCACCAAATTATCAACGATAGCGATTTCCCAATATTTATTGAAAATAAAACAACAAAAAAATAATAGCACAAATAAGTTGAATTTCCCATTGTCGATGTCCTTGTTGATGCCGCCACCTGAAAATTGTTGAATTATGATAATGTATGATAATTTGGAGTTTAGTTCAATAATAGTTTGAAACTGTGTCGAAAAATGTATATTATTGGAATGAATAATTTTGAAAAAACAGCGAGGGCAGAAAGAAATACCATACTTTCGGATTTTGGGAGTTTTTCAATATTTAAACTGGATCATGAATTCATGATTATACTTTGAAGTTTGAAATTAAAACTTTCTTTAATACCAGTATTTTTATTAATATGATTTTTTAAAGCTTGGCCGTAAAATTTTCTATTTTTCTTGAAGTTGAAACTTGAATTTTTTTTTGAAAAACCGCCATCTTCAATTTTTTTGAGTTCTAAAATAATTGGAAACTCACAATTTTTTAATTAATAAATTTAAAGATTTTTCAAAAATGACACTTCAAATGAAATGTGAATTCAGTTCTATTAGGTTAATCCTATTTTTATATTTTTTGTTTTTGTTTATTTTAAAACATTTTGAGCTTCAGAAATGAAGCTAGGATTTTTTAAAGAAAAAACCCAGGTACCTGGGAAATTTTTGAAATTAGAATTCAATCGATTATTTATCGTTTTAGATTTCTATGCTGGAACGAATTGTGCGACGCGCTAGAAAACTTATCAGCGTTCGATGTTCAGCTTTTTATAAAATTATAAAATATGAACCCAAAACTTCTAGAAAATTACTTTTTAAAAATAAAACTGATAGAGGCGCATAATTCTCAAATATAGCGTATTTTGTCTTTTGAAAGCGAAGAACTCACTTCTTTTTCTTGTATTGTGCATATTCGTGTGGCTGCAAGTGCGGTGCCTGAAGAAGAACAGTTTATTATACCAAATAGAAAGTTGAGTTTGACTTACGTATCGAAACCTCCAAAGCCGCGACAAAAAAGGGAAGAAAACAATAAAAAATGAAAAAAAATAAAAAAAAAACACACGCCACTTTAGTGTTACCGTAGTCTCATCGCGCCAAGAAAAAAACGAACAATTGGCTGTCCCTTTATCCGACCAAACCACCCGTTTTTGATTTTCTTTTTTTTATGTAAAGAAGATATATTAATCCGCATAGAATCATTCAACTTCAACTTCATTTATTGATAATTTTATTATTTCAGATCCAGAATAAAAAGAAGAGTTATAGCACATCGATGAGAAATCTGGAAATAATAAGTGAACAAATTCACTTTGAAAGATCAATGAATGCAGAAAATGGGTAATTATTTCTATTTATAATAGTTTATTTATGTCAATTTATTTTCAGTTTAATAAAATTTGAAATTAAATACAATTTATATGATATGATATTTCTAATTGTTCCCAATTCAATCAATATTTTATTTTATGGTCAATTTATATTTAGTTTGGATATGAAATGATCGACATGAGAACAAGCGGCACTTTTTGAATGACCAGTCAATGAGCAAAATTGACAATATTCTGGAGATATTGGTGAGGTAAGTCGATTTCTGAATAACATTTTTGATTCAAATTTTGAATATTTCAGAATTCAAACCTTGGTGGTTCAGTCTCTTTCTCAATTATTGGTGGATTTTCATCATCTGTCCAATTGAAATATCGAGAATTGTTGTATCGTCTACTGAAGTTGCGTGGATTTGCAGTTTGTGGAGTTGGAAGGCGATCCTAGAAGTTAGTTTATTTTGGGGTCTAAGTGTTTTGATACTGAAAAATAGCTAACATTTCGATTGTTAATATCTTGTTTCGTCGAATTCGCTTGATTCCACAAACTATCAACTTCTTGCTTAAGTTCTTCCGCTTTCTGTTTTTCGATTCTTTCTTTCTCAGCTTCTTTCAATCGTCGACGAATTTCATTTTTCTTTACTTCTCTTCTATCAAATTTTTCAGCGATTTCTGTGATTTCCGGTGATTTTGGTGTGACTGGGGTAGATGTTCTTCGTGTAACTAGAAAAATTAGAGATGATCGAATTTAAGGAACTGGAATATGTAGGTCCGATATTATTCAAGATGTATGGGGTTCTGGATTTTACTAGTTCTAATAAGTCGTTAGAATCAGATTATTCTCACAAGGTTGATTCAGGCATCTTGAAAATCAGGTCGGATTGATCAAAGCTGCCCCGATTTCTCAAGTGAACTAGCCACAGCGCTGGTAGAAATGCACTTCGGAATTTTGGAAGTTTCCCTTTCGCTTCCGATTTTTGTCGGAAGTTCCTACTTCGAAAAATAAACCTAATAAAAGTTAACCCCTCCTCCTCTCCGATTCTAGAAAGTTCAATTTCAAAAATATTTCTAGATTCCTGTTTTTCACCAACCTAGTTTTCTCTTATGCGGCCTCAAATCATCTTCCGATTCCATCAGCTTGAAATCTGACATTATTACGAATAAAAATAGTAGTAGCTGAAAATCACAATAAAAATAGGAAGATTCTTTGGACTTGATGAATATTTTCGCTTGTTTCCATGGTTCACTATTTTGTGTTCTGCTTGGTTACAAAACATATTTATTTATTTATTTTATTGTTCAAAATAAATGTTTTTTGGAAAACTAATAAATGTACAAAAAACTGCAGTTGGTAACAAAAAAAGAATCAAACATAATAAACCATTTCATCTCCAATGAATACATTTGCAACTTCGAATTGTTTTTTGACAATCGGTCTTTTATCCGAATGTTTCCTTTTTCTTCTTCTGATTTGTCGTCTTTTGGTAGTTTTTGATGAAACCATGTAAACACAAAGTAAGTAGAGCTGAAAATATTCAATTTATTTTTGTTCTCTTGAGTTGTCTTTCTTTCTGATTGCTAATTCTTACGGAAATTGGAATATTCAAGAAATGTAAAACATCAACACAAGCTTTCAAAATATCGATTATTGAAAGACTTTGAGATGTTTCAACACGACGAATAACAAGTTGAATAATATCCGAATTAACGATGAAAAGTGCCAGAATTGTGTTGAAAAACATCCAAATTAGCCACAAAATTGAGATGAACGAAATTCTCTGAAAACTTGAAAAGTTTTGGATTTTTTTGGAGTTTTTATATTTACCGCATCATATGCATTGTGCATTGCAAGTGAGATCAAAACTCCAAAAACCACAAATAGACATTCGCTGACTGAAAAAAGGAACATTGATTAGGATTTAATTTAATTTGGAGGATAGGAAGAACACCCACGAAGCCTTTCAGTTCAATGAGAAATTAATTTTGAAAAGGAGTACTGTAGGCAAAAGTTTGTCGCAGTGTTTGAACCAATTCATGTGACTTGGGGGTAATTTGAAATTTGAATCAAAAACACAAGATTTTCTCAGCAAGGGAACGTGATCACGATCCAAAAGTTGTGAGCACTTTTTGGAGCTCCGAAGTTGGATAAAGCCTTATGAACTTTCCGAATTTTTATTAAAATATTTTTCACATTGAGCTTCTAAGAACATCCAAATACTGTCTAACTTTAAAAAATAATTTGATCGATTTTCTTTTTCGTAAAAAGTTTTCCCCTATAGTGTTGAGCTGTCAATTTCATATTCATGACAAAATAATAATGTCAATCTACTTTTTTCTTCAACTTCTTCTTCTTTTACTTGTTTACCTTGCCATTGAACATCGATATCTGAAGAAGTTGAAGCCAATTCGAAAACAACTCGAAGCATATAAATACATGAGATAATGAAGGAATATGTGGAGAATATTCGATGATTTATCATTGTTCGAGAATTCGACAATTTCTTTCTGCTCATTTTCACTGAAATCAATAGCATTTTTGGTTGGGGGACATGAGTTATAATCATTATAATAATGAAATCAGGCGATGATTAAGAAACACCTGCTCAAAGTGATCAATGTTAAAGGAACATGGCACATTTTGAATCGGATTTTCAAAATCATAAAATTACAGGAATATTCAGAGAAGTTTCAGACAAGAATACATTACTATGATTAAATTTCAAAAGTTTGCAAAAACATGTTTTGTTTTGCTTTTTTTTCGAAGAAAAAAAAACAGAATGACAAGCATTTTCCGGTGAATCAAAAATACTTTCTAATTCTTTTGAGATGAAAAAAAATAACAACAAGATGAAAACAAGAGAAAATAGAGAAGTTTGTCTCGATTAAATTTCCATTTTCTTCCCTCCCAAGAAAGGTCCACAAACTCCAGAAAACAAAACATGAGCAATTGAGAAGTTTACGAAGCGAAAACGAATTCGAAGCTTTTGGGTGGAGATGTGTATTACTCAACGAAAAAATCTCTTCCTTCATTTTTTTTTGCCGAAAGATGAAAAAAGAGCAAATGTATTTTGCTGAACACTGCATAATTATTGAGCACAAAAAATGAGAGAAGAAAGAAAATTGGCAAAATGAAAATGGATAGAGCAAAGAGGAGAAAACCCGCGCAGTGGAAAAAAAACATGAATAAAAGTAGGAGGTGTGGTCAGATTTGTTTTTGTGGGTGAAAAATTGACTAATGTTTGGTGGCGGAACAATTTTTCCAGCATGTATAGTTTTTTGCGGAAAATTTGTCATAGACGCTTTTAGAGCTTGTATGTCAAGTAACCGCGCCTAGAAAGCTTGGGTTACAAGTAGCTGAGGCTACAGAAACTATTTTCCGAGGCGCCTCGTCTAGAGATTCACTCTGACAAGGAGCAACGCTTTGAGAACCACTCTGGATAGGTACAGCGCTTTGGGAGCTTCTTAATCAACTATTCAAGCCTGGACGGTCTAGTTGTCAAGTAGCTGAGCCTAGAGAGTCTCATTGTCAAGGAGGCGCATCTAGAGATACACTTTGGTAAGTAACTGCTCTTTGATAGCTTCTATATAACTTTCCCACACAATGTTTTATGTGACACAACTGTCTAGAAACTGAGTTATGACAAGGCAAAGTTGCCTACCGATTTCTCTCACGAGATTAGGATTCAGAAATAACACCTATGAAAAATTGAAGAAGGGATTTTTCATCTTAAAAAGTTGTTCAGACAGCTATTTTCAAGTTCATAATTCAAACATGATTATTTTTCTAAGTGACATCTTTCTGTTCAGACCTAAATATTCTTCACAATCAGAATGATCAAAAATCTGGCTGAAAACAACAAACTGCAAAAAAATAATTGCTATTGACTCGTACGAAACTAATTCATTAAAACAACTTACAAATTCAAACTGCTGAACTCAAATTAATGATCAAACTAATTAGTTTATTCTTTTCAAGAATATGATTATTTATTCTAATGATGTGACTGACTCAACTTGGACAAACTTGCTATGCATAAAAAATCTGGAACTTGAGCAAAACAGAATCGAATCGAAAAGGACTACCGGAAATTGCGCGCGACCTTATTTACATTTCGAAAATGTTGGTAGTTTCGGAAATCGAATTGTTCAACGGTTTTTTGGGGCGAAGCAAAAAAAAAGTCAGAAAGAATTTACGTACATGATTTATTGCAACATAGATGAGAACAAAAGAGTATTTGGTTTGGAAAAGGAATTATTGAGAAAAAACGGGAAAAAATCGTAAGATTTTATTTTATTTTCCTAGTGCAACACATTTCCACAACCATCACAATTATGTTGTTATTTTTTCACATTCAGTCAGTCAGTTTTCCTGCTTTTACTATCCAATTATTTCACACGCAAACAACAAAACACTCAGATTTCAAGAAAAACGAAGCAAGAAAGTCTAATTTTTGCAATAATAATAATAAGAATAATAAGAATGAAGGAAATATTTATTTTGATATAGCTGAAAACAAGCGATTGTATGCATGATTGAAAATGAAAAAAGAATTGAAATTTTCATGATGAAAACAAAATTATTAGCTCGATTAATTCACTATTTTTTCTCTGGAAAGCTGGCTGAAAATTTGGATTAAACATCGAAAATAACTAGAAATTTGGCAAAAAATTAAGAGCGAGTACCTGGAATCGAACTCGTGACCCTGAGATTGACAGAAGAAAACACTGAACTACTTTACCGCTTTTGTAGCAGAAACATCGCATTTTGAATTCATGAGAAGTTTCGAAACCTAGCTCGAACACGATGTTTCAATAAGAATGAAAGATCGTATAAATCTAAAATTTGACAAAGGACTATATAGGTTAGAAACACAGCTCAGATAGTGCTACATTATGTAATTTTTAAGTGGATTCTAAATTCGTAGGCTAAAATTCAACGTGAGACCCATCAAATCAGAAAAATGTTTTTTCTAACTATTTCTGATTTTTGTTGGTAAAATTAAAATAGCATGCTTTCAAATGCAGTGTTTCAGATGAAACTTAGATAAAAAGTGACGTCAACTCATTTGAAAACGAGACATTTAAAACATCAAATGTTTTCGAGCAATCATAATTTTTGATTTTCATATTAACATATATTTAATTCTCCCGATATTTTCAAGAATAAATCACATGTTTCAGAAAAAATATAAGTAATCATAAACCAAGTTTCTATTTTTCTCACCAGCTGGATTCTATAAGTTTAAACTTATAATTAAGTAATGAGAGAAAATGTCACAAAATAAAGTGGAGAAAAAGTGTTACACGAAAAAGAGAAAAATGGCTCTTTTTTGTGTGGGAAGAGCACACGCACATCAGCTATAAAAAATTCTATTTTTTTGTATCTAATTGGAAATTCTGAAAAGACTTGGAAAAGAACGCACTTTATGTATTATTATTAGTTAATGAATTCCTGAGAAGTGTTTACACTTATTTTCATACAGCTGTATTGTAAAGTGTACTTGCTGGAGGTGGTTGAACACGTTCAGAATTATTATTGAAGGCTTCTTTTTCGTTGGCGGGGAGAAATGCGGCAACCTGGAAGATGTCAGATAATTTTGATTTTTTTGCAAGAAGTTAGAGTTACCTGTTGTCTTTTGATTGCATTGTGTGATTGTGAACCAGGTTGAGCTACAGCTCCTCCTTCAATCGATAATCGTAGTTGCGAAGACAATGCACTTTTCAAATTTTTCTGAAATAAAATTCAATAGATCGCGGACTTTGGAAGATCTAAAAAGTTAGTCTAACTTTGCCGCTTCGCGGGAGCTTGCGGTTCACACTTGCTCCACTCGAATATTCCCCATTCACTAACCGCAAAATTCGCCACGAGTGAACTCGAATTCGATTTCCTTGCTTCAATTCGACTTCGATATAAAAATTCGCCCAACGCGGCAAACATCGATGCAACCATTCCACCCATTAAAATATAAAATATCCCGGCGACTTTTGATAAATTCAAACTTGCCGATGATCCATCAACAGTAATACCTTGATCACATTGTCCTCTATCATACCACCATTTATTCTCCAGTTTTTTGAGTTCTCCTCGTTCTTGTAATGCTAAAATTGCGAGATTTATATGATCTTTCCAATCGGAGCCGAATGGTGTTGCGATTCCATATCCTATGCTGTTTAGATTTGCTCCAACTTTCATTGTATCACATGGGATTCGAGTATTTTCGTATTCATTTGCTGTGGCTTCCAAAAGGAAAGCATAGCGGCCTTTTTGATTTCTCACTCTTTCAATTCCTGGAAGAAATTGTGAAAATGAGAATCAGATTTTTGGAGTGACACCAAATAAGCCCATGTTTTGCACCAAACATCTAAATTCGGATTACTGTAGATCAATTTTTCGCGCCAAAAGTTTTTGGGTTCATTTTAAGGCTCATGTTAAGTTTTCAAATGGTTATTTTAGTGTTCATTTTTAGATCTAAATCATAATCTGATTTTTTGGAGTGACTCCAAATTTCCGATTTCGTCAGCCAAATCTGATTTTTCGTTTTTTCCTCACCTTCTGCATAAGTATTCGTAAAAACAGTCGGAACTTGTGATTCCATATATCTCCACATTCTTTGATAAATTTGAACCGAAGAAAATTTGAAAAACGAAGCAGTCGAACCTCCTCCTTGAATTCCATATTTGATTTTCGTCTGTTTTGCAAGATCTTCGACACTTTCAATTGGTGCCTGCATTTTTTCAAGAGTCAAAAAAGCGGCAAGATTAGCTGTGTATGACGAAACAATGATCATTGTGAAGAACCACCATGCGGATGATGCTATTCTTCCAGATATTGATCTATAGAACAATTTAAGTTGGGAAATATGAATACCAAAAAAATGTACCTTGGAAGAATATCAGTTCCTTGTTGCATAAACGCAGCTAATGTGAACCATAAACAATTATAAACACTAAAATCATTCGAAATCGTAAATCCACCTCTCGATGTTTCTTCAACTCTCCATTCATATGGTGAAAATCGTGAGACAAGGAAAATAACAACAGAAACACCGATATACGCAAAAATAATATACATCCAAATTTCAGTGCTCAACGGTTGCATAAATGAAAATACAGAGAATTCTTGTTTGTCTGGTTTTTTAATCATAATTGATATTCCAGTTGTCATAAATGGTTTTGAAAAATCAACAACTCGTTCTCTTTCTTGATTTATTGTTAAACTTGCAACAACCGCATGTGCTTTTCCATTTAATAAATCTCCAATCATCCCATTCCAACTTCCATCTGGTTGTTTTGAACCAGCTTTTGTGCCAATTCGTATCAAATAATTGAACCCGTCTATTTTTTCGGATAATAATCGAAGAAGATCAATACAATATCCCTCATATTTATTATTTCCATCACATTCGGTTTTGTTTGTTCCAGCTGGACATTCAGCTTTCAGCATCACAAATGGAGCAACCTGGAAATTAATTAATATATTTCAATTTGTAGAAATTTCCCCAGAACTCACCAAATTTGTTAGAACAATAACATCCTCATTCGTTCGACTGCTGTGAATTTTCCTTGAATGCTGTGCAATGGTTCGATTTGTGAAAAATCCAACACCTTGCCGCCAAGCCAAAACTTCTCTCCGATTAAACGTTGCTTTGGTATTTGAGACAAGATCAATCACAGAAACATCGAAATTTTTTCGATTCCCTAGTCGATCGAATTCGATGTTTCCAGTTAGTGTTCCTTCAAGTGCGCCAATTTGAATCTGTCAGAAATGTTCACTTCAGAAACGTTCAAACTTTTGAGACTCACATTCTTCAAAGCACTGCTTATAACTTTTCCATGTTCAAAAGACGAAAATGGTCGATTCGAATGTGTTCGATCAGAAAGTGGATCACAATAAATTCCAGGAAATCCTCGATTAAAAAATCGTCGATGTCTAAATGTTCCGTGAAACAACGAATCATTTGTTTGTAAACATTTCATAAATCCATGCCATATTACAAGTATTGCATCGTGTCCAATTGCAGCTTCCATTGTAATATCTTCATTTTGTTGTTTCGTATCTTTCAAATGTTTCTTCAATGACCAATATTCTCGACTTTCTTTATTTATAATATTGAATCCACTTATATTTATATTACCATTTTGGAACATTTCTTGATCATATGGCAGAAAATCCTGAAGAATTCATCATTAATTAATTAAATAATTAATATTTAATAAGCAATTAAACTCACATAATTAGCCAAAACGTAGTGATAATTAGCTTGATTAAATTGAGCCGATCTTATTGCAATCAAAAACTTTTTAATTCTACTTGGCGACGAGCTGTCAATTATAATACGATTCGTCACATTATTCCGCATCATATTGAACTGCCTTAAAAATAGCTCAAAATCATCTTCATCTGCTGGTAAATCATAAATCGATGCTTGAACTGAGGAATTTGTACGGGATCGAAGATGCTTCCAAATTGGCTGAAGTTGAAGTCCAGCTAAAAGTGTTGTCTCGAGTTTTGAAAATATTTGAAAATTGAAACTCACAAAATTGAGTGTCAACCATAACCAGAATCTCATCCCATCCTTTATGAATTATAAAATCACCGAGTAATTCAGTAACCGATGGACGAATTGATAATTCAAATCTGGAACGAAATTCAAATAAAAATATTTTAAAAAATTCTACAAGAACAAACTAACATATTAGAGAATTGTGGCAATTCATTAGTTGGAGAGGATAATGATATTAAAGGCATTTCTAATGCATCTGAAACACCTCGAATACCTTCTCGACCTTTTCCATTAACACTATTGATTAATGTCATTGCTCCTTCTTTCAATGTATTACAAACTGAGCTGACCATATTCCATGAAACCGCTGCACCTTCTTCGATTTTATTATGCTCGAATTCAATTTTAAATGGAATATCATCTCGACTGTTTATCAAATCAGCGGTATATTCCATTGATTTGAGTGATATTGTTGAAATCTCATCGTCGTATCCGAATGATCCTTAAATATTGATTCATATTTATTTTTCCTGATGTTTCTTGAACTTACTCAATACAATATGACTTGGATATGGATGAACCACGGTTAAATTGAGAACAGTGAATAAAACAGAAATCATGAAACGACAAATGCAGCTGGCCATTTTTCCTTTTTGTTGTTGCATTTTTTTTTTCTTTTTCACAACGAAATTCGAGAAGAGTTAGGACATCTTGAGCCGAAAATAGGATTAGGAAGAAGGCCTTCGGAAAAAAAAGAAAGAAAAGATGGATAATTGAATATGAACGGAAAAGTAAGAAAGTGAATATGACAAGAGACAGAAAATGCAAAAAAAAAAGGAAGAAGATGGGCTAGAAGATGTGTACTTGCTACTAATTGATTCTGATGTTTTCAAGTGGTCAGATTTGGAAAATTTCGGAAAAAAATAGAAATCAAGGTTCTGAGCCAATTTTTGGGTCAATGAACTACTTTTCTAGAAATTTCGAATAAAAAATCTAGGGTTACTGTATGTTTCTTCAGGAATACTGAATGAGCCTCTAAAATTCTCTACAGTGCCCTTTAAATTTTATTGGGGGACTGTAGGCTCTTTTAAAGTGATATATCGTACCCTCAGCGGCTTTGGCAGAAGTATATGCCCCTTTAACATTTGTTAAGGGTACTGTGGGCCCTCTTAAAATGCACTACAGTACCTTGAAATAACATCTGGTGCGATATTATTTTCTTATAATTTTAAGTTCATGAGGATTACTGTAGGGCCCTTTAAAACTGTCTACAGTAGCCCCAGTGCCTTTGGCACTAGTGTAGATCAATATTCCTAACTAACTCAAAAAAATTTTAAAATGAAAAATTCGTCTAATTTAAGCTCGTTCAAAATATAAAATGGAAAAAAACAAATAGATAAATTGCTTTTCAACCGACGACAACACAAAAACATTACTATTTTATGGTGAATGTTTTGGCGTTGCGACCAGAAGAAACCCGAAATTACATTTTGAACTGCTAACCTCTTTCTCTTCTTTCTGAACGCGTGAAAAGTTGGGGAAACTTGAAGAGAAAACGAAAAAGATGAGCAGTTTTTGGAAGACGACTTCATCTTCTTCCTACTTTTCCCCGTTTACCAATCAACTTTATGGAAAATGTAAAAGAGGTTAGAAGAAAAAAGGGAAGAAAACTACGGTGAAATTCAATTTATTTTTTCATGTAGAGAGGAGGTGAACATAGATTTTTGGAAATGAATGAGAAATTGGGTTCATTGGATTAATAGAATAGACTTGGTTTTATTTTTGAGTTCATTCTATGCTTGTGGGAAGAAAATCTGAAAAATCTGTAATTAAAGGCGGCTGGGCATTTGGATAGAAATTTCACAAAAATTTGAAATTTCAATTTATTTCCCCCCAATTTTACGTCAACTTCAACTTTTTTCAAGTTCTGACATGTTTCAAGCTCCCTCGTATTTTTTTTTCAAACATTTTTTTCGCTGTGATCTTTGAAAATTTCACACATTTTTTGTTGAACAAAACGTTTTTTCCCCAAATTTCCGAAATTCAATTTTCTTTTCCTCGAAAAGTTCTCGATCAAAATTTTCCACACGTGCCTAAAATTTGATTTATTAATTAGTATCTGAATTGTTTTCTCAAAAAAACTTCTCGTGTTTCTCACTTCTCAATTTAGAGTTCAAACATTCCTCTTTTTCCCTCCTCAATCTCCAAAAAAAATGAGGAAATTGAGAAGAAGCCTTGAACATCGGAACTATAGTCAAATGGAAATAATTTATTTTTAGTTTCGATTAAATTAAACCGAAGAAACAGCTCGATTCAAAACATTCAAATTGGCAATTAATTGAGAATAGGAACTTGCTACTAAACTCAATTTTCGAGTTGGTGTCGAAATATTAGCAGACATTGTTTGGTTATCCAATTTGGCTATAAATGATGTTATTGAACAAAATACCTGGAATTGTATTAATAGAATTCATAGAAATCTTTAAGAATCTATACCTGGTTTAATTCTGTGCTTAGAAGTTCAGAATGATAGACTGTTGTATTGATTTTTATGTTGTTAATTGTTTTTGCCAGAAATGTTGCGGCTGAAACGGTTTCCGGTAGAAGTGATTGAATAGTTGATGTGCTTGATGAAGGAATCCTAAAAAAATAATGATTTTTGAAAATTCAACTTTTTTTTGTCGGAAAAAAAACCAACTGATTAAGTTGTTTGACAACAATTTGTATTCGATTAATTGCATCCGATGCTTTTGATTTTTCCGATGACAAATCATTAAGTAACTTATCACAACTCTGCGATTTTTGACACGTTGTCTCGATGGATTTCAGCCTGAAAATGAGAATATAACACATTTTGTTTCGAAAAAAATTGAATTCTTCTCGATTTTCCGTTTTGAAGAAATTGAGTTTCAAGCGAGAGTTTTTCTTTTTTCTTTTTTGAGAATAAAAATATGAGCAAACCTGCTGATTGCTGTTTGAATATCCATATCTTCTTCTGATTGTGTGGCTAATCTACGAGCGGGTGATTCATAAGTGTCGGATGGGAGAATTGATCGACGACGATTCGAAAATGAATTGAGGAGGGATGATTGGGAGACTGAGGATTTCCAAGTTGGAGTTTCGATATCTCTGAAAATCGTGGTTTCCAGAGTTGAACATTGTCAAAGGGATTTCGACTTATGAACTTTTGGAGATTGTGTGGCAAATAGCCAAGCCTAGAAATCCAAGTTGTCAAGCAGTTGAGGCTAAATAACCTAGGCGTCTACGACCCTGATCTAGAGATTTCCTCTAGCAAGGAGCTGAGCTTAGAAACTCTAGTCCTGAAGGAATCACTGCTAGAGGTCCCCTTTAGCAAGGAGCTGCGTCTTGAGAGCTCCTATGTCAAGAAGCCAAGCCTAGAAACTCTAATTCTAAAAGAGTCGCTCCTAGAGAACCTAGTCGTCTAGGACCCTCGTCTAGAACTCACATATGGCAAAGAGCCGCGTCTTGAGGGATCCTATGACAAGGAGCTGAGCTTAGAAACTCAAGGAGCCGCTCCTAGAGTATCTAATCGCATCTAGAATCAAGTTTTCATTCTAAAGCTGTACTCTGCCTCACAATGAGCCGAAGTGACTCAAATAAATCATCAATTAGACGACTTACGCTAACTTTGGCTCCCCTGCCAAACCATTGAATTCAGCTAAACTCATCCGCCTCACTTGAACATGCAGATTTTCTGGATCTTCGCTTTCCTAAAATCAAAATTGTTTTTTTTTTTCAAAAAATCAAGCATTCCATCTCATACCTGATCGCAAATCGAATTCGATCTCCGCCAAAAGTCTTCGATATCTTTCCGATTCAAACTTGTATTCATTTTTCTTCTGAAAAAAAGAAAAACACAGAAACTAGTAAAGAATATAGAAAATAATATGAAGAGGTGGAAAAAAGAGGAGGAAAGGCTAATGAGATTTTTGAGGCAATGTCGAAAAACGAAAAAAAAATGAGATGTTGAAGAAGGAGGAAATACGATCACAGAAACATGACTAATTTATGAATATTTTGTGTGATCTATGAAGTTCAGAAGTTTGAAAATAGTATTGTAAATAATAGAAGTTTTTTTTTCAGTCAGGAAAAGAAAAAAGCTTTACTTATCATTCATTCAAAAATCCTCTCCTAGTGGCGCAAAATAAAGTGAGTAACAAAGTTTTTTTCGTCGGAAGCTGGCCGAAAAAAATAAGAACACCTTTCAAGCAATAACAACACCAAAAAGCTCTTTTTTCGTATTTTACTGAAAAATAAGGGGCGGAGAGAAAAGGAAAAAAGGAAAACAGAAAGAAGAAGAAAAAGAAAAAAAGAAACTGAACCAACAACAACAAAAAAGTTTTCTTCTTGAAAAAAAAAAGAAAAAAATGCAATTTTTCTGGATTTCAGAAGAATTTGTTTTTGCGAAATGCGAAAGTGCATGATTTTTTTTGCCTTTTTTTCAGAAGAAAAAAAAGTTGTAGTTCTCAAGGACCTTGCTTATTAGTTTTATTCATTCTTGAGAAAAAAACTGATTTTTTAGAAGAGAATATTTTTGAATAGAAAAATCAACGTAATTCACTAGAGAATCGGCGGGAAATTCAAAAACAAGCCAGGCTTTTTTGTTTTGTTATTTTGGAATTCTTGCACGTGTTTGCGAAAAATTAGTTTTTCACTTTTTTTCGGGGAGAAAATTAGTTTGGCACAATTTATTGGTTGTAGAAATGTTTGGAGCAAAGTTGGATGTTGAAGAAAAATGGTTTTTGGATCACAGATGGAAAAAATTTTAGATTTTTGTGGGGAAATCCTGAATCATAAATTTTTTGCTAGACAGAAAAAAAATAGAAAATAAAAAAATCAGAATTAATGAAAAATTGTCCAGAAAATTAGTTTGGCACAATTTATTTGCTGCAGAAAATTTTGGAGCAAAGAGCAGATTTTAAGATTTCACAGAAGAACATTTTAGATTTTCGTTGGGAAATTCTGGACTTGAACTAGGACAGGACCAAATGCATATATAAAAATGGTATCCCAAAAATTTCTAAACAAAAAACCTTCGAGAGAATTCCCAAACATTAAGTTCCGATAAAATGCGATTTGTAATCTAGCGCGGGAAAAGTTTTTGAATTTGAAAATTTTTCCCGCGCTTGATTACGTTTTGAATATTTCTCAAAGTGCGATTTTCAAAAGGTCATTAACAAAAATGGCCCAAATTTCATCAAAATATCGCAGGTGTTCAAAAACAACCAAAAACTTTGGCCTAAAAACGAAACAAATCAGATCGGTTGTTAGGCGCGCGGCTGGCGGAAAACGGCATTCATCAACTAATGCACTTTTTTATCCCGTGAGAATTCCGCCCGCTCACAGAAAAAAAACGAAAGAAAGAATACACGGCAAAAATATGAGCGGCCATTATTTTTTTCTTCTTTGCTGTGGCGAAGCGAAGAATGAAGCAGCAGCAGCATGTGCAAATGTATATTGTTATTTTTATATTATTCATACACGAAATGGAAAAACATAGAATAGAACATAAGAAGAAGAAGAAGAAAAAGAATCTAATCAAAAATATATGTAAGAATAGCACAGAATAGCATTTTGAGTTAACCGAAATCCAGTGGAAATTATTTGATTTCAGAAATGCAAAAAAATGTTAAGAATGTAAAATGTTTCCAAGTAGTCGCGTCTAGAAGATCTAGCTTTCAAGCAGCTGCGCCTAGAAGGACTAGTTTTCAACTAACCGCGCCTAGAAGACCTAGCTCTCAAGCATCTGATCCTTGGAAGCCTAATTCTCAAGCAGCCGCCCCTAGAAAACCCTATTGTCTAGGACGCACATCTAGAGATGCACTCTGACTAGGAGCCGAGCCTTGGGAGCTTCTTTATCAAGTACTGTATGACTCTATATCGTTTCGAGACCATAGTGAAACAAATTCAAAAGTGCATCGATTTTTATCAGCTGTTCCCACAGCGAAATACACCGTTTTTTTGCCAAATTTTTTGCTGTCAATAATAATTTTCAGTATATTGAATCAAAAAAATGTTGTCATAAAGACTCATAAGAAAAATGAATTTATGAATCATTGCGTGTTGGCAACTGAATACATTTCGCAAAAAAAAAACGAATTAACCACGCCCAGTCTTCGTTTGGTTTTTTCCAACGAATGTGGAAAAAAAGGGCAGAAGTCACGACACAGAAATTAAATTTGTAATAAATTAGCATCGCTTCTTTTTTCGCCATCTTTTAGTAGAGATATGTATGTGACTAGTGAGAATCCTGGAAAAAAAACCAAAAATTATTCGAGAAGAACAAGAAAACGATGGATCCAATAAGTTCAATTAGACTAGGAGGAGGGCTCGTAAAAAAATGTTTGTGTATCTGAAAATTACCATCATTTGTCGTCCTTTCGTTTCAATTGGCAAACTCAACGAAGCAATCAAGCCGAATACAGCCATTACACCATAAATTCCAATTGGAAGCGATAAAGACCGCTCGGATGCAACCTAGAAAAAGGATGGAATTTGAACAACAAAATAGCCGATGAAATATGAGCAAACCTGAGCAATGAAGGGTGTGATTATTGCACCAATTCTTGCCATCGCTGAACATGTTCCAAGTCCGACGGCTCGAAGAGTTGTTGGATAGACTTCAGGTGTATAGACGTAGGCACATTGGAATGCTCCAGAAATAAATGCGCGGGCAACAAATATTAATAGGGTTACTGTGAATCTGGAAATGGAAACTTTTTTTTAGAAAATTGAGAGAGATATAGATTTCATAATATTCGGGTCAAAAAATCAAAAATTTGATAATCATAAAATTTTTTAAAAGCTAAAATTCAAAAAATAGACTTTTCAGCCTTCAATTTTTCTGGAAGTTTTTTGAATTATTTCTTGTGAGAAACCTAGTTCTAGAAGGTTTTCCACAGAATTCATGTCCGGAAGAGATACAATGTTAAAGTGATTCTGAACTCAGAGTTTCGAAAAGAATTTCTAAAATTTTTAAATTTTTGGAAAGAATCTTGGAAATTGGAAAGAACTCTCCCCAAAAAAATAAATTTTTTCAAATTATTTTTTCCTCCTCACCTATCCAAACAAAAATACAACATAAAAGTGAAAATCGCAAATATCGCATATTCCAAAGCCATCGTCTTTTTCCTTCCCAACCATTCAATTATCAAAACAGTTATAATTAATCCAGGAAACTCTGCCAAAGTAGTCGAAAGTAGATCAAAATAATCAGAACGTGTTAATGGTTGACATGTTTCAAGTTGTGTGCCATTTGAGAATAAACCACCGTGACATTCATCGTGGGATTGGAAGAGAACTGTTGTAAACAGAACCATTCCATAGTATGAAAATGCCGTGATTGACCTAGAAAAATTCAATGTAGTTCTTGTTAATAGTAGAAAAATGTTACCAAATAATCCATAAAAGTATTGTTGTTTTTCGAAGATCTGGTGATAAAAGATTGACAATATCTCCCCGAGTTTCTGCTCCACTTTTATTCGAATTTGATGCTATTAATTTCCCAGCTGGTAATTGTACTCGATTCATTCGCGCAGCTTCTTGTAGTGTCTCCATGGCTTTTTCGGTGTTTCCAGATGCCATATCAAATCGAGCCGATTCGGGGAGCCACTGGAAATGGGAGGTTTTGAATTTTGAAAGACTCGAGTGGATTTTTTAGAAATAAATTTTTTTTTTGGAAAAAATGAAATTTGAATTCCATTTTCATTTTCAGAATATTTTCATGCATTTTAAATTTTGACTTACAAATGAGCTGAACCAAATTTAAATTTCAAAATTAGCTATTGTCAGCCCGAAATTTTTGATCTTTGGACCAAATATTTTCTCCTTCAATACCAGAGACAAAGCCTACTCTATTCTGTTTTTTTTCTTCCGCGGATCTAATAATTTTTGAAAACAGTATCGTTCAAAATTTGAATTCCATTTTCAGAATTTTTGGAATTTTTTCTTGAATTCTTAATTTCGACTCAAAAATGGAGCGTAGCGAAGTGAATAATTTTCAAAATGTTTTGATTCTTGGAAGTGAACCTATATGACCTAGAAAACCAAACATTTTCTCTTTCAATACAAAAGATCAGAGGAGCCGACAAAGTCTACTGTAATTTGGTTTTCTCTTCCACGGCTCTAATAATTTCGAAGGGCCTATACTGAAAATCATAAAAATTTGAACGAAAAAAACAATTTTCAGAATTTTTCTGTTTTTCCCCTCTTCCCTCTATCATCTCCAGAATCTTTAACTCACAAATGAAGCGATCGCAAAAAATCCCAACGGAAGAGACGAGCATAACATAAGAGCTCTCCATCCCCAAGTATTCATTACAAAATAAGCGAGAAGTGCTTCGAAAACAGCACCAATTGCCCAAAATGATTCAATTAAGACGACACATTTGGCGCGTTGTGCAGTTGGAAGGAACTCGGCATATAAAGTTACACTGGAACAAAAAAATATGAATACAAATATCTCTACAAAAAAAATAAAACGTACCTTTGAGGAACCCCTCCGATACCAAAACCAGTCAACCCACGGAATAATAAAAGTACATAAAAATGTGGAGAAAACGAGGCAAATATTCCCATGATACAAGCGATTGATGTGGAGAATGTTAGACCTTTTCGCCTTCCGATTCGATCACAAAATTTACCCCAAAATGTGCTTGATAACATCATTCCACTGAACACACAAGTTGTAACTAATGCTTGTTGAACTGAAGAAATTCCCCATTCACAAGCTAGAGCTGGAGAAATCAACGAGAGTAACATCATTTCCATCGCATCAGCCATCTTCAAAAAAATTTGTTATTTTGGTTTTGAAGAGATAAGAAAAAGATCTGGGGCCAGATTCTCAAAAAGGTACACAAAAAATCCAGCCCCTTCAAATGAAGCTCTAAATATTCACCCAGGCCATTCCTGTCAAAATCGAAAGTTTCAATTGAAATCTTCCAAAACCTAATGCTTCCACAGCTTCATCAACTGTAAATGTTTTTTCGTCTTGTTCAGATGTTGTTTGATCAGACGGTTCTCCAAGTTCGGCACGATCATCTAGGTTCGAATATCGAACTACGAAATCATCACCAACATGTCTGATTCTGAAAATTAGATTTTCTCAGATAGGCTACAGTACAGTAATCTTTGTGGTACTACTGTAACCACATGATTTTTATTTTTTATTTACAATAAAAGGGTATAAATTCCCAGGGTACCACCAGCATACAGTAATCCTTTTCTAGTTATCAATTTATTTTCATCAACAAGTTTTCGACTCACTCTTTTATTAGGGATTTTGCAGTGAGATCAGCATATGTTTCGGTGAGATTTGAAGCTTCCAAAACTTCAGTCAGTATAACTTTGTCTCCCATAATCCAAGCTTCTTTCTTTTACGAACACAAAGAAAAATACATTTGAAATCTGAAACAGCGAATATTTAGATAGAAGCGTGGGAAATTCGCCGAAAATGTTTTTTTAATCAATAACTTTTTCGACAAAAAATGGGTTGCCACGAGATTTATTCTATTTCATAATTCATATTTTGGAAAAAAATTCAGCAAAAATACAAAGGCTTTAGATGGAAAAAGCATTGAATATTTGGTAAGAGAGAAGAGAAATAGAGAATTAAAGAGAAGAATGGAGCTGCGATAGATGGAAGAAGAAGGAGGAAAAAAAGAAGAAGCAGGAGGATATATTTACTTTTTCGAGAAGAGGCAAACAACACCATTTCGCGCATATATTTAAAAACAATTGTGGAAAATTGAGAGGATCTGGATTCTAGATCAGAAAATTGTCTTGATATTGTTAATTTTTCGAACAAGATTCCCTATAATATTTTTCCAGCTACGTCATAAGCTTCAGTGGATAATCCTTCTTCTCCACTTTATTTTTCTGTGCACTTCTCGAGAAGCTTCTCCATAAAATTAATTTTTTTATCAATTATTTTTTGAACACCCTCGTGTATTTTCTTCAAATGCGTCAGCTTGCAAACACTGACGCAACTACAGTGCAACAAAAATATTTTCTTTTTTTTTCCCGAAAAAAAAAACGTTTTCTTTGTTTCGCCAATGATTTGTTACTATTCATTGAAAAATGAACTTTAGTTTTTAGTTTGATATTTACGTTACCAGTGAGAAATTGTTGTGTTCAGAAAAATGGCGAATCCAATGGAGGCGACTCAAATGAAGGTGAAAATGGCGGTGGATGAAATGATCAACGATTTGGACAAGAATTATTTGCGAGACATGCAGAAGAATATGTTTTTGTGCTCAGCAAGATGTTGTGAAAATAAGAATAGTACAAGAGATGCGGTCGAAGGATGTGTTGATAAATGTAATGATGGAATGAAGAAAGCGCAAATCAATTTGGAAAAAGAATTGGGAGGCCTTCAGGTTAGCAATAATATTCGGGGTTTTCAAACCTGTTGATAATGGGGTTCTTTAATTATTTATTGTGGGTATTGGTTTTTATTTTGAGCTCGAAAATGAACTGTGAACGGAAAATAGAAAATCTCACAGCGGGATGCACTTCCTTGAGCTCTATTTTTCTCCATCTGCTTCTAAATTTTTATCAATAATTCAGGATCAACTTTCACGGTGTGCCATGACTTGCTACGATAAATTGGTTCAATCATTCGGCCCGGATGTCAACAAATATTCAGAATCACAGGTAAAAATAGTTTGTTTATTTATTTATAAAACAATACAAACTCAAACTCAAAAATCCACCCGCATCAAAAAGACTTAGGAGAACATTGAATCGTGAAGCTCGTCGAGATTTGCTTGGCGAATTTCATCTTCAAGTTCTCTGTCTGATTTTATTTCAGTTCGGCAATGTGGACATGATTTACTCTGAAAATTATTTGTTTAGTGCGATTTTATTTTCAAAAAATAACAAGGTTTACCTGCTCATACCACATTTTCGCACATTTGTAATGATAATAATGATTGCACGGTGTTTTGACAATAACTCTAGCCAATTCTGCATCAGATTGATCTTCGTGTGGTCGAGCAACAACATCTAGACAAATTGTACATTGCGCTGAAAAGAATAGGCTATTATTAACCAGAGCTTCTTCACAACTTACCTTGCTCATCCAAAATCTCTCCGCAGTCATGTTTTTTGAATTTTTCGAATTCTTTCATTGATGAGTTTTTCTGATTTCTGAAAAATTATTAATTTCGAGTTGAAATCTGAACTTTTACTATTGATAAAGTTACAAACCCTGACGGCAATCCCAATGCTTCAAAAATCCCAATAATCTCATTTTGTCTTAATCCTTCAATTTGCTCAGCAGACATACCTAAAATGTAGTTATAATAAGTGCTACAAATATTAAATCTTGAAGAAAAAACTCACTGAGCATTTCATAAATAGTATATCTTGGTCTTGGCTCCTCGTTTGGATCGACATTGTGTTCGCGATGATAATCACTTTGCATTTTTCTGAAATCTATAAGTTTAATATAACTTTTGTTGAAAGAATTCCAGCGAGACGATGACTTTTTCTACAAAAAAACGGCGAACCAATTACTTTTTTGCGAAATAATGACAAATGATTTTGCTATTTTTGTTGCATGCAATCTATGGAAAATGTGTGCATTTTGTCGTCAAAGTGTTTACACACATTTGGCTTTTCCTTTGTTATTATTCGTCATTCATCTTTCGCATACATTTTCTCACGGAAATTTGTTTTGTATTATGCCTTTTTTCTATGGTTTTCCTATAATTTAAAATTGAATCTTACCTTGACGACTTCTGAAAATAATGATAAAAAAAATGAAATAATAAAGAAATTTCGTAAGGTCAGGCGACTCGCGTGGAAAACCCATATTTTAATATCAGTTCATTTTCGTTTATTAGAAATCCAGAAAAAAAAATTCCAAACCACCCAAAAATCATGTTCAGATGCTTCAATTCAACGAAAAATTGGACAAATGTGTTGCTGTATGCGCAGATGATCATATCAAACTAATTCCAGCAATCAAAAAACGATTCGCAAAAAATATCTGAAATTCATCTCATTTTTCTTTCATATCACCTTTTTGTTCTGTAGTACTTTTTTTTAGGAATGCTTTTCTTGTTGTTATTTTATTTCACCACTAAAAAAACTTTATATTTTTCTAGAATTTTAATTTATTTTGATCATGGTCTCCTTCCATTTATATCGAATTGTGTTTTGTTTTTATCCAGCTTATATTTTTTTCAGAAATGCGATGTAATTTAATATTTTTATTGGTTTGGATTTATCAAGTTATTGGTAAGTTTGAGTTTCTTCCTAGACGTTCCCCGAAAAAATTCTGTTTATTTCAGGTGAAACTAAAGTTGCTGATTTCGATGGCAGAGTTTGTGCATTTGCCGATTTTGATTCGGATAGGTTAGTAACTCTAATTTAGAAACATCTCAATTTATGAAAACTTTTCAGAAATACTGATATTCTTATGGTTCGGAATGGAAATTTGACGATATCACTGCAGGAAACGAAACTATGGGAAGTTGTGAGTTGTTTTGAAACATATTTTGTTCTATTTTTCAAAATGTTATTACAGTTAGAACCTCTGAAATTCGTAAACTCGACATCGTGGAAAATTGGAGATCCGAAAGAGGATAATCTTGTTGAATGTGCAACTGGTGATTTTGATGGCGATTCTCGAATTGATGTTTTAGTATCAATTCGACGGGGAAATAATCAATATAAACATACACTTTATATTTCTCGAATTTCAAATGGAATTGAAGAATTTGATGCATTAGAAATTGATGAAATATTAGCTGAACCTGCGATGTCAATTGATATCAATTCAGATGGTTTTAGTGATATTGTTGGATTTTTACCAAATGGTTCATTGTATTGTTCGAGTGTTGATGTTACTGGAATGATTTTGACTGATTGTTCGAAAAGTTTCAATTCTTTTCCGATTAAATTAACAAATTATGAAGGAATGCCACATTTATTTGTTGATATTAATGGTAAGGTTTTTACTTGTGTAAACCTTGTGTAAAAACATATATAAAATAGGTCCCCCGAGTCAGTTTTTAAAGTTAGGGTCCCTCCTTGAAAATTTTCCAAAGTTAAACACCTTCCTCACATTTTTGGGCGAATTTTGGACAAATCTGGGAATTTTGGTAAATTATCAGCTGAAAATTGGCTGAAAATTGGACCCTTCCCTTCAGATTTTTGAAAAAAGTTAAACCCCTCACCCCGATTCTGGGGACCCATTTTATGTATGTGTAAAAATCAGAAAATGTTTATTTTTAGGCGATCTTCGTGCGGATATTGTATTTATGACAAAAGATTCTGATGGTTCACTTGTTATGCGAGTTTTTCAACAACAAAAAATCGGTTGGGTTGAGAAAACTTGGATTCCCAAACTGTCAATTGCTCAATATGCGTTTGTTGGTGCGCCAATTCCAATGGATTACGATGGAGATGGAATGATCGATTTATTAGTTCCAATTTGCCGTGAATTGGCATGTACACATGTCACTTCGTTGGCTTCGTATTCATTTACCAAAGGATGGTCAAATGTTGCAATTGATATGCAAGAACTTGAAATTATCCGCGCGGATCCGTATTCTCGTGTTCTTTTCCGTGTTGGCGACTATTTTGCTAATGGTTTTCCTGATCTTCTCACAGTTGTCTATTCGAGTAATATCGAAAATAAAACGAGAACGAAATCAGTGAAATTGATTCAAAATACGGAATGTAAAAATTGTGAGAAAAATGGGACGAGAAAGTTTGAATTTTCGAATCTTGAATTGGTTCAAACTGGAGGTATGGCAATTGGATCAATTGATATGGCTGTGTTTTTTGATTTATTGGAAGATGGAAAATTGGATCTTTTGGTTGAATATAAAAATGTGAAGCATAATGGAAGTAGCATTGGATTTATGGTCAATAAAAATGAATTCGATACAACTTTTTTGAAAGTTCAGATTTTCAATGGAGTTTGTAATGTGAATTGTGATGATCGAACAAAAGATTTGGGGCCAGGATCAACTGTAACACTTTCTGGATCATGTGGTTCATTTTCAATGAGTGATGGTTGGGGTGGAAGTTCGCAAAGTATTCAATGTCAAACGCCATCAACTTCATATCGAACATTGAATTTACCATATCTATTTTTTGGACTTGGAAGATCGCCAAATTTTGTTGATGAATTGAATATGGGAATACCGAAATATAAAGATATGAAGTCACAATGGTTCAATTCACTCAAACAAATTGTGCCGAATTCACGGATTATGGTGCAACCAACTGAATCTGGACATTGGCTAAGTCGATTATATGTGACACCGTCTCAACTTATTCTGCAGGTGAGAAATTTAATTGAAACATTTTTGGGGAAAAATTAATGTTCAAAAAAATCAATATTTTTCTGCATCAAATTGTATTCAAAATTTTGGCTCAATGTTTTTTAAATTTTGGTTCATTTTTCGAAAGAAGAATTTCCCAAGCAAAACCGGTGGCCTAACTTTCCAAAAGCTAGGTCACGACTTTCTAGGCCACCCCAAGAATTCCCCCCTAAAATATTTATTTTGCAGAGTATCCTTGTAATCACATCAGTTTGCGGAATTCTTCTAATGGTCGCATTATTTTTGCATTATAGAGAAAAGAAAGAAGATCGATATGAACGACAACAACAATCACATCAATTCCATTTTGATGCCATGTAAATGTAAATCAAATCATTCATTCATTCTTTCTTCGCCTGCTTTCCCACTGTATGCAAAAATTCGGCCATCATTCTTGTTTGCTTTAATGTATATCAACATAATATTTTAGTGGCTCTTACTAGTCTACGCTTTCCGCTTCATTATCCCAAACGACCCCCCCCAATCCCCCCAAATTGTCCACGGGTAGATTTTCAACTTTTCTATGAGTATTTTAAATATATGTGATTCCCCCTTCCTCTCTCACAAAATTATTTATCATTTTATCTTTTTCCTCCGCCAAAACGTGACCTTTTCTCGAATAAACTGACTTGACTCATTCTCATTTTTTGTTTTTTTTCTCTCTAAAAAAACCATGTCAAAAATGTCGCTGATTCAACCGGATATTGAAGCGCAGGTTCGTTTATTTTTCAAGTTTCAATTTAATTAATTCTAGTTTTTGCAGGTAGTTCGACGAAAAACATTGAGATCGACGCTGAAAGGATTATTTTTGGAATTATGGAACCCTTTGAAATTGTGAGTTTTTTTTAAAGTTATGAGCTTTTCGATTAGAGAAAATTTAAAATTGAGAAAGTCTAGACAACTAAAATTAATTTTCGATTAAAACATACAAGATACATTTTTTGTCAAGCTCTTCCTCCAATGACGTGGAATTTCTTGCTGTTTCAGAGCATTCCACGTGGCAGCTAGCGAAGCGAGTGTATTCCGCACGCTTCCGCGAACGCTGCCACGCGGAATGCACTGAAATAGAAGTTATAAAAATTCCACGTCATCGTAGAAAACAGCATGACAAAAAATTTGTTTATTGTTCGAAAAATTATTTTGTGTTGTCTAGACTCTCCTAATTTTACACTGTCTCTAATCAAAAAAATCAATTTCATTTTTCCAGATATTTTCTGTCTTTCCCAGTTCCATTATGTATATGTGACAATCGACATTGGAGGTTGGTTTCAAAGTTTTTTTTCAGCAAACATTTTAAATTCAATTTTCAGAGCGATTTCCAAGAATATAACAACAGAAGACACAATTGTAATGCACGAATTCAAGGAAAAACGAATTGTTATTCTTCAAACTCAACCTTTTGAATAAAATATTTGTTACCTGTACCGAAATTTCATTATATATTTTTTCTTTTTCGGGTTTCACCACCCTTTATTTATTTATTTATTCCATACATTTCCCACGTGTCTCCATCTCAAACCCATTTTTCAGGAAGAAAAATGTCGGATGAAGATAAATTGGAAGGTTCGATTCGTAATATTTTGGAGCAAAAAACATTGAAATGGATTTTTGTTGGAGGAAAAGGAGGAGTTGGAAAGACAACTTGCAGGTGAGGATTATTTGATGATTCCCTCGAAACTCTAAAATTCCCATTTTCAGTTGCTCTTTGGCTGCTCAATTATCAAAAGTTCGTGAACGTGTCCTTTTGATTTCCACCGATCCGGCTCACAATATCTCGGACGCATTCGCTCAAAAATTCACCAAACAACCGACTGCTGTCAACGGATTTTCGAACTTGTTTGCAATGGAAATCGATTCGAATCCGGCTGGAGATGGATCGGAATTTGGAGGATTGGAAGAAATGTTGCAAAATGCGGCACAGAATAATGGAGGACAAGGAGCTGGTGGAGCATTTGGAATGGGAAAGGATTTTTTGCAAAGTATTGCGGGAGGTTTGTTGAATTTTCAGAGGGGAGACTCAAAATGGGATCCAGGGACAGCTGAAAATTTATGTTGTTTTTTCCAAGAAAATTTTCCTAAATGTTGATAATTTTTCCAAATTTTGGATATTTGACAATGAAATTGTTGAAAAATACGAAACAAATAAATAGTGATTTTAATTTTCAAAAAAAATTCCTCTCTTAACAAAAACCGTTACAACATAATTTTCAGGACTTCCTGGTATCGATGAAGCAATGAGTTTCGCCGAAATGATGAAACTAATCGATACCCTCGATTTCGATGTTGTTGTCTTCGATACAGCTCCAACTGGTCACACATTACGACTCCTACAATTCCCATCACTTTTAGACAAAGCGTTCACCAAAATCCTATCGCTTCAAGGAATGTTCGGACCAATGTTGAATCAATTTTCGGGTTTATTAGGAGGCGGTGCAAATGGCGCAAATTCGATGGGTGACATGATGGAGAAATTGCAATCGACGCTGGAAGTTGTTAAGAAAATGAATGCGCAATTCAAAAATCCGGTTGGTTTGGGGCGAAATATTTTATTTAGTTTTGAATTTTGAATTTTTTCAGGATTTGACAACTTTTGTTTGCGTTTGTATTGCTGAATTTTTATCATTGTATGAGACAGAAAGATTGATTCAAGAATTGACAAAACAAGAAATCGATACACATAATATTATTGTTAATCAATTATTATATCCGGATAAGGTTGATTTTTGGTCTTGAAAAAAAAAATATCCAAAATTCAATTTTTTCAGGATGCTTCTGGAAATGTTGTTTGTCGAAAATGTAAATCTCGTTCAGGAATACAAGGAAAATATTTAGAAGAGGTAATTTTCTTGTTTTTTTTTTCTTGAAATTCAGATTCAAAACAATGTTTTTTCAGATTGATGAACTTTACGAAGATTTCCATGTCACAAAACTTCCACTGTTGGAGACCGAAGTTCGCGGAAGTGAAAATATTATGAAATTCAGTGAGAGACTTGTAAATGCTTCGACTGATGCATAACTTTTTCTTTTCTGGTTTTTGTTTTACTCGAATGATCTTTTCTATGTGTTTTGTTTATTTATTTGCAAGATGGGAAAAATTAAATATTTTATGTGAGGACTAGTGACTATTCAAAATGAAAATGATGAAAAATGTACATATATTCGAGAAAATAAGGAAAAAGCAATATAATAAATATGAACCGGTCAATTCGAAAAGACCCAAAACATTTGATAAATACTGGAATGATCGAAAAATTGTGAAAAAAAAATGACAAAACCTTATGGATCTGGAGTTCCGAAAGATTGAACAATTGCTTGGATATTTGTATAAGTTCCAGCACAAATTGCAAAAATGCCAATTGAGATAACAATGCAATTAATTGTTATTTTTGTGATTCTCTGGCGATATGATAATAATCCTTTCCAATCAGTCCAAAATGTGATCATTTCGAAGACTGGCGGGAAAATGAATGCGCAAAGTGTTCCGCTGGTAACACCGACTAATGGAATCATAATTTCGAGTTTTGGAATCAGAACAGCCATCAAATATGTGACCAACACCCAGAAAACACGGAATCCCTGCAAAAATTTGAATTTTGTGATGAAGTAAAGCCAAGGCTAGGCTTAGTTACCCTAACTTTCTCGATTTACCCAAATAACTCACTTTATCAGACAACCATTTGGGACAATTCGGAAATCTCGCTCCAAACTTTCTTCTAAATCCATTGAAAAACATATCATAAACTACATACATTGCAATCGAATTACCCAACAATGATTGTAACATGAGAAATACATTAACTGTCGAATAAAGTCCATCTTTTGGCACATTTGTTGTGATGGTTGGAGCAATCGAATCACCGAAACCGGTGTAGCCGAAAAATCCGAGAGCTGTCATGAAAGCGGTGCAAATCATCATTGTTGTTGGGAGAACACCAAAAGGAGCGAGGAATGCAGCCGGGTTGTCGAGTTTGTTCTCAATTGGAAGAATCTGGAATAAATAGGATTAGATGGTGAAGCCGGGAAAAAAGTTTACCATAGTTTGTCCTTCAAAAGCATACATACTCATTCCAATCATTGTTATTGTTCCAGAAAAATTCGTCGACGCCGGTAACTTTGACCACTGATTTGGTTGTCTGAAAAATATTCAGAACTCTAAATTTTCAAAAATATTGTATTTTTAGAAGATTTCATGGCAAAATCAGGAAAAATTTTGAACTTTGGTACTAATTTTAGCTTTTATCCAGGTTTTCGTTGATTTACTTTTACTAGGGATGATTTTTTCTGAAAAAAATTTTCTCTGTGATTTTCAGCTGGAAAAATGAGCCAAATAATTGAATTTTCGGGACTTTATTTTGAATTTGAGTTAAAAAATAATGTTTGATTAAATTTTGAGAACAAAAATTCCAAATATTTTATATTTTTAACTGAAAATTGTGATTTTTTGCATTTTTCAGCAGTTTTTGAGTACAATTTTCTGAATCTAAATTTTTTTGAATTGAAATTAGAATTAGTGAAGAATTCTCATTTTTTGTCTATCTTCAAAAAGTTTTTAAAACGATTTTTCGAATTATTTTTCCCGCTCTAACTAACTGAATTGTGAATTGCATAATAACAGCAGCTCCAATCACAAAGAAAACCGAAGAAACGAGCGCGAAAAATGAGACAATCCTCATTTCTGTGAACATATTGGTTAACAAAATGAAGAAAAGTGAAACTGTGGCCATAAGAACCATTTGTTGATGACGAGTTCCTGATAAATGATCACCAACAAGATTTACCTGAAACAAAATGTTCCAATTACACTTCAATCATCTCAGAGACTCACCAAGTTATCAGAAATGAACAAAATAGCAACACTGCACATTCCAAGTTGGTAGAACAAAATAGTAATATTTACAAAATACATAACACCTTTGGAATGATTTCGTAGAAATCGGATATCACTATAATCGCAAACTTTCTTAGCAAAATGACCGTAATCGAGAGCGGATCTTTCGGATTTTTTGGCGAGATGTTGACTGGCTCGCACAAGAACATGATTACCATACCAATTGAGACCGGCGATGACAAATGACATTACGAACGAGACCCATAAACCACCCAATTTCCAAGCATACGGAAGGGAGAAACAACCAGCATTGAACATTGATTTTGAGAGGGTCAAAACCGCGCGAGTTGGGCTGGAATATATGAAATGGGGTTGAAATTGGAAGAAAAAAACATTCAGGGATCTTTTTACTATTTTTTGGGAAATTTCTGAATCAAACTTCATAAATTTCTTATTTATCAATAACTTTAATAAGATTTTTCTGGATTTTTTTTCAGTTCTGAGAATAGCTCGTAATTCAGAAGCTGAAATTACAGGGCAAAATTTCTATAGGTTTCCATGAAATTTCTGATATTTTTCAAAATTTCTCCGGAATTTGTTTTAGAGTTCAGAAAAGCCTATGAATTATCCGGTCAGAAATTTCAAAACAAATTCAGAATTTCTGAACCAATCTTCATAAATTTCGTATTTATCGAAATTTTGAATCATGATCAAAACTCAATAAGAATTCAAAAAACAAATCAAAACTCCTCAGAGATTCGCTGGCCAGCTCGCCACCAGGTGGGGAGGCTGGCTGACCTGGGAACCACATGGAAACCATGTCGCCCGGTTTTTTCGCTGGCAAGGTGGCCAGGCTCTGGCTAGGTCACGACCACATGGCTACCATGTGGTGGCCACTTCGCCGCGTCAAAATGAATTTTCATGAAAATGTCTGAAAAACTTGTGAATTGAGGCATTTTCGAAAAATTTGGCTCATTTTCTGTTTTTTCGCAGCACTTGAAACCTTATGAAGTGAAAAAAACAGTAGAAAATGCAGTGTTTTGAGTACAAACCACTGTCTTGCCAGCTTTCCATAATTTCAAACACACAGGCCACGTCGCCGGAAAACTCGAGGCGACCTGGCGGCCATGCGGTTTCCAGGTGGCCGCAGCGATCTGGTGGCGAGCTGGCCAGCGAATCTCTGAGTCAATAAGAATTTAAAATTATGAGAATTTTTTGTAAAGCTCAAAATCTTACAGTGTTTTGAAAATCCAATAAAAATTTGATTTTTATCAAATTAAAAATATTCTTCTATTTTCACTGATCTTGAATTTTCGGTGAAAATCAAGAAACCTTCAACAATTTCAAGTAAAATTTAAATTTCTACTTTTTTGTTCACGTTAGGGTTTCATGCATTTTTGAAAAATTAGCGATTTCCGCATCATTTCAAGATTTCAAAGCCTCCACTCACCTAATAACATCTCCACTTCGAATCGGCGCTTGAACAAGAGCTCTTCCATCATTCATAGATTCATTATCCCCATCCAAAGTAACTGTCCGACTCCTATTATCTTCTTCTTCGTTCATTTCACTATAAAAACTATTTATTTGGAAAAAAAAGATTTTCATCAATTTAAATATTCAGCACGGTTAAAAACCGATACAAAAAGTGTTTTCTAACACAAAAAAACGAATTTTTATTGATTATTATTATTTTCAAAAAATTATAAGTTGCCATTGAAAACTCGTTGTCCAGCGCAGAATGTTGCCTTAACTTCGATGTTTTCGTCGAGTAAAACGATGTCAGCAAGATTTCCCACTGACAAAACTCCTTTCTCATTTTGAATTCCGATAAGTTGGGCTGAAAATTTAAATTTAAAAATCACATTTTTAAACTGGAAATCAAGCTCCAGCTCCAATGGTTCTTCAAAAAAGTTACCAGGTTTTTCAGTGGCACATTTCAACGCATATTCAACTGAACAATGTGTAGTTTTAATCAAATGTCGAATACAAAATGGCATATTTGCAACACTTCCAGCAGTTGTATTTGTTCCTTGCAAAATAGCGTGTAACCCATTCACATTTATAGTTTGAGATCCAAGTTTATGAATTCCATCAGACATTCCAAGTGCTGCAATTGCATCGGTCACAAGGATCATTCCATCGGCATTTGTTCTGGAATATTTTTTCATAAATAAAATTCTTCCTAGATCTCCTGACCTGTGAGCAATTCTTAATGCTGAATCATGTGTATGAATTCCATCGGAAATAATTCCATAGCTCACTTTTCTTCCATTTTCCGAAGTCAATAAACCAATAAGTCCTGGATCTCTATGATGATACTAAACAAAACAAAAATATTGATCGTTTTGAATTCCACAATATAAACTTACAGCTTGCATTGCATTAAACAAATGAGTTATCATTTTTGCTCCATGATTTATCGCATTTTCCCCGTGTTCTAAGTTAGCTGAAGAATGTCCAACTGAAACTGTGATTTCTTGATTTGTCAGATATTCAATTGCTTTGTCAGATCCTTCTAATTCTGGAGCCAAGGTTACGATTGCAATGTTCTCGAAACTTGAATACGTCTAAAGATAAACAAATGTTGAAATAATTTCACAATAAAAATAGTAAACTCACATTCTTGATAGTCTCCTCAACATTCTCTCCAAAACTCGAAATCACAAAATTTTTCGGGTGACATCCTCGTTTCTCGGCCGAAATGAATGGTCCTTCCAAATGCGCTCCAACAATTCCCGCACCATTTTCAGCACAACCATTCGATTTCTTGAGCAATGGAAGAACCTAGAAATGAATGAATAATTCGATCAATTCGAATAAAAACAGGAGAAAAGAACAGAGTGAATAGAGAAATACAGAGAGACGAAAACAAGTGCATAGCGAACCCTTCAACACTCTGCGTCTACATATTTTTTGTATTTATAATGAATGGATGAATAGAATTTTGGTAGAAAATGAAAATGTAGGAAAATGTTCCTTTAAAACTTAATACGGTTTTTTACATAGACTTGAACATACTGTAGTGAATTTTAAAGGAACATATGACCAATTTTCTTTCTTGTCAACAGTTTCGCAATGAAGTCATTCAAAAATCTTTGTTTCAATAAACCAGATATTTTAATTATTGCGAAACAATGTACATTTCGCTCTGAAAATACAACAGCAAAAATCAAACCTCCAAAGTGGACAAAAGAAAGGAAAAAAAAACAAGAAAATGAAGGAAAATTGAGGGCGAACGGAGAAAAGAAACGAAAAATAAACACAGAAAGTGAAAGAGACTATGTTGGCGACAGAGACGCAGACAAATGGTCATTGAACTGTTTTTTGAGATTTTCTATGAAAAAAAAAGACAAAAGGGAGCAGCATTTTACACATTGATAACATAATCTAATACATGCATTGATTATTTTTGGAAAAAAAGAAGATAAGGGCAAAAGTACTATTTGGAACAAAATTATAAGAACTAGAACTAACCTTGTGATAGACATCTGATGTACTTGTTATAATAGTTGGTGCAAAACTGGTGACTCCATGTGCCAATAAATTCTTCGCCACTTTTGATACATCATCTGCATAGTTTGTAGTGTAGGTGGAAAAATCGATTCCAAACCCGCCTAAATATGTGTTTAGTTATTTTTTTTCGATAGATTTTTTCACAGCTGGACAAATTGGAATGAGTCACAGCAAAAAATGAAAAGGGAAAAGGAATTGTGAAATTTTTGATTATCAAAATTTGACAGGAAAAAAACAAAAATTTATGTGTGAAACTTACCATTCAATTGTAAATCAATAAATCCTGGAGAGAGAATGAGACCACAACAATCAACTTGGATGTCGGCTTCTTTTCCTTCGTCGAAAAATAAAACAGTTTCGTCGACAATTCGCCCATCTCTAACCTGGAAATTTACAAGAAATTTGAAAATTTCAAACTATGCAATATAAAAAACATGAAAACTCACCCAAAGATGATCGAACTTGATCTGATCGTTGCGAAAAACTCTGCAATTCAGAAATTGGATAAGTTTTCCACGATTCTCAATATTTTCGAGCTCTACAGAATTATACTTGAAAGCCATCTTGAAAATAATGAAGAGTCAGTCAGAACAAGAAGAATTATAATAATTTAGAATAACACTAACTAAAGTTGTTTTTTAAGGCGGACCATTTGTTATCAACTTATCAAAGTGTTCATTGTTTACCTATCAATTCAATACAAAGTAATTTTAAAGCCATTCGGCAAGGTCATTTTGAAAGAGCTCTTCGGAAAATGAAAGGCTCGCGACAAAAAAAAATAAAATAAAATTCAAAAATGTGTAAACACGGCGACGCGAAAGCACACAAAACCTACAGTACATTAAAGGAACACGGATAAAACAGAAATGAGTCTCGAAATTCCGCGCGGGCGGGTTCACTTAAGTATGCGATAGAGCAAACTTGATTGCAAGTCCGCAATTGTGCGTCACGATTTTCAACTGATTTTAAAAGAGCTGAAAATTGAACCACAATTAGAGAAGTATACAAAAATGTTGTATGTGTGCGATAGAGCAAACTTGATTGCTCATGTGGTATACTCCAGGTTTTTAGAACCCTCTAGCTCAGTACGTTGATAATTATGGATTCCGAGAGAAGTACACACAAATAAATTATGTGTAGGATAGAGGAAATTTGATTCTGGCTTGGCCATAATTCAACGCCTAAGGCTTTTTTAACATCCTTGAAAAGAGAAACAGAAACTGAATCGATAACTGTAGATTTTATTGATCTACAAGATTTTCGGAATATTTGGCACGATTCTCAAAACATGAGGATTACTGTAGATTTCATTGTGTTTTTTCGTGTAGAAATCTAGATTTTTCATAATTTATGATTAATTACATCAACAAACAAAATTATGTACATATTTTACAAAATTGGAAAATCTTTTCAACTCGAAATTTTCTAAATTTAGTTTTTCATCGTAAAAGAATGATCACGTAATTGATTATTTCAACGGCCACGGTCACGTCATTGTTCTAGTTTTACAAAAAAAAATGAAATAAATTTGGCCATTTCTCGATATTATAGTTGAAAGAGAAGGCGCTCAATAAACAATTACAATGGGTAAGTGAAGAGTACCTTGGAAACCTATTTATATCAGAATCTTGAAATATGAGATAATATTTTCACAAAAATCACAGTTTGCCGACTAGAAATTTTTTATTTAGTTTCATATGAACTTGACAAATTATGATTTTTTGTAGTTTGAAACTGTAGAAATCAAGAGGTTTTGTTAGACAATTCGATCACAAAATCCCACTGATCAATTCAAAATCAAATGAGTAAGGACCAAAAGTTTTTGGGCTAAACATACCCCACATGGACCACACTTTTTGGGGAAACTATTTCGGATATTCCACATTCCCTTTAGAATTATTTGTCACTTGGTTTTTGGAAATGAAATGATAGTTAACTAGGTCACGTTCTAACATTTCGAAATTATTGAAATTTCCAAGAAAAAAAATTATGAATGTATCCAGAAAAATTGAAAAAAAAAACATTTATGAGAATTATTTTACAGATAACGTAGAAAGCTGTCTTTTTATGTTAGTAAACTCAACAGAGGTGAAATTTTCAACATATTGTAAAGGACCGGGTTTACAATCTGTCCTACCAATCGCAACTCCACTTTGGTTATGGATTGTTTCGGAAAATAATTTGGAATCTGTAGAGTTCGATATTCAACGTAAGGAAAAATGATCATTGTTGTTAAAAATATAACATTTATTTCAGTCGAAAACAAGGAAAAATTACAATATCTGAAAAATATCGACCGAAAATCGAAGAAACTCGCAATATTTTATACGATTCCTCCGACAAATGCAAAAAGAATTGTTATTTCTATCAATGATGATGGACAAATGTACAATTTTATGAGCGACATTTCTCTCGACAAGGAACCATCAAAACTCAACGAAAGTATTACCGAAGTTGTGAGTTGAACATTTTTCCGAAATGTTGAAAAAACAGCGCATTGAAAATATATCGCACTTTGATCCAAAATGCAGGCATGTTCATTTTGCTTTGCCGGCAAAAAGCAAAGCAGCTTTGCTGGGCGTGGCTTTGCTTTTTGCTGGCAAAAAGCAAGTAAGGAAAAAGCAAAAAAGCAGCCGCGGCTGCCTGCCGGGCTGCTTTTTCAAAATACAAAAGGCAACAAGCGAAGCTCCGCCCCTCCACACACAAAACATGGCAACACACAAAACCAGTGAACCGTCCGCGTATGCATTTATTCAAGTAGTCTCGCGCGCGCGTTAGAGAAGCAAAAAGAGGTTGTTTTGTCAATGCATTTTCACTGCTTTCAGATGATTTTTTGAAGGAGTGAAAAAAGCATTGCCGGCAATTCGGCAGGCTGCTTTGCTGTTGCTTTTTCACAGTCTTGCCGTGTAAAAGCAAAAGCGGCTTTGCTTTTTCGGGGGACGGCAAAAAGCAGGCAATGCCGGCAAAATGAACATGCCTGCCAAAATGCATTGCTTTAGACTCCTACAGCGCGCTGTGTGTTTCTAAGAAAACTTACAAGGAATAGTTCCCAAAATTCCCCCCTGAAAAAAGTTGTTACTATGCGGAAGTTATACTATCTGGTGAGGTGAGAAAAACCCCAAGTGGTTTTTGCATGCAAAAATTTCTTTCCCTAATTTCGGGGGTAGGTTTTCACAAAAAAATAACAAAAAACCGATTTCCAGCATTTTTGGGAGCATGGATACCTGATGATTTCAACATGTTAACATACGTAACTTTTTGCGTAGAGTTCGAAAATCGACACTAGAATACTGCAAACATTTTCTGAAAACATTTCAAAAAAAATTCAAAAAACTCGAAAAAAAAATTGTTTTTTAGAGCCGAATTCTGAATTTGACTACAACTCCCGAAACCTCTGCTTGCGTCAGTTCGGATCCATTGTGGAAGAAAAACTCGACTGATCCAACATCAACATTCGATTGTGGAAATCGCACGACTTCGACAAAGTGAGTTATGCACGAAGTCTCATTAAAAGTTCTTTGTGGAACCTCCCATTTGAGCTCAGAAAATTAAACTCTGGAAATTAAATTTCAGGATTGAAGTGACTCTTGAAATGGATAAAACGAAGTCGAAAATTGATATGGGCCCGGAGAAGTCAAATGATCAAAATGTTGCGGCAGTTTTGGAAGAGAAAAAAAAAGGTTACTGGTCTTAACAAGACATGTTAGCCTCTTACTCTGCTGAATAAAAATGTGTATGAAATAGATGTGAAGTCTACTTATTAAACATGAAATAATGCAGTATACTCCACGCGCGGATTGTTATAACTTAAGTTCGTTGGCAAAAAAATAAAATTCAAAAATGTGTAAACACGGCGACGCGAAAGCACACAAAACCTACAGTACATTAAAGGAACACGGCAAAACAGAAATGAGTCTCGAAATTCCGCGCGGGCGGGTTCACTTGTTTTCAAAAAACGCTCAAGTTTTTTTTTCTTTTTTTCGTTTCTTGCTTTTCGTTTCTAAGAAGGTTTTCCTTGTTCAAAGTGTTGAATTGCTGAGTTTCATAATTTTTAGCTATAAATATACTGTGGACATTGTTCGGAACGAGTAGTTCTGCAGAAAAATCTAATTTTAATGATTGAAATCCTAGGTTTATGATAATTCAAGATTTCACAATTTCCACTTGTTACTCCAACTATTTCTCATTTCGAAGTGAAAAGCAAATATTGTAAATATTTCCTAAGCATGTTTTCTTCTGTTTTGTTTCAAACACTCTAATATTTTAAATTTTCTATGTTTTTTTGCAGTATCGGCTCAAAATGGAAGACGCGTCTTGTCTGATTTCAATGCCATGGAAGATTATCAAACAAACTGGTAAACGACTTTCAGGCGAAGATATTAATTTGAAAAACTTCCAAGTAACAAGACAATGGCAAGTTTTCATATTTACTGATTTTGTATTATTCAAAATATAATTTTTCAGTGAATCAAGCGAAGTCGAATGTTTTAATTGGAAATGGTCGCCAGATGGAAGATATGGTATTGATTTACCTGTCAGTTTTTATTTGATTTAATTTTATTTTTGAAAATATCAATTGAATTTTCAGGGTGGCCGCGATAAAATAATTCAAAATTTCAATGATTTTTTATCCGTTTTTGATATGCACACTTTAAGCTGGCAACAATATAAATTACTACACTTTAATTTTGAGGTAGGGCTTTTGTTATCAATTTTGAGACAAAAATTCAAGTTTTTCAGATTCCACGTGCCGCATTTTTGTATTGGCTTTCGTGTGATATTATTTGTGTAGTTACTTTAATGGTAAAACATTTTTTTGCCCCAAGAAACCAAAAAAAACATGTGAAAAATTTCAGCATCCCGATGAAAACGATGAACGCGAAATGATCAAATTGATCTTCTGCCAAACATTTCTTAAAATTTGTCACAAAACAAAACAACTCACAAAACTTGACAGTGTGTAAGTTGCTACCTAAATAATTGAAGAATTTATCAACAAAAAATGAAATTTTCTTCAGAATCTATGAAACAGACAGAACAATTCCAGTTAATTATTGGTATCACATTTTCGAAAATCGAAGTGGTGAACCCTTTTTGGATGCAAATATGGAGAGTTGGCTGATTTTTTCGAATGGAAAAGATTCATTGATTCTTATACCATATGTTCCAAAACGAGAAAAATCGAGAAATCGTGTGAGATACGTGGATTTTGATATGGATTCAATTGTTGCAAAAAATATAGGTATTTTTTGAACTTTTAAAGTGTTATGGTCATGGCTTCAAAATTGCAAATTGTACTCTAAAATTTTGAGATGACTAGAAACTAGGGTTGGAAAAACAGTGTATTTAAAAATTGATCTTTGTTTTTTTTAAATTTTTCTCTGCAACAGGTTGACCTAGGATGAAAAACATGGGAAAATTTTCACCAGAAAATTTTGATTCAAGAAGTTTTTCCCACAAAAATCAATTTTTCCATGGATAATTTTTTTTAGAAATGTTCTTGAATCACAAAAACATTCAAACAGAAATCTAATATTTTCATATTAATTTCAGGATGTCAAATCTCGCTGGATCCATATTTCTGCACACACTATGTGCCATTTGTCTATAAAAATGAAATCAATTTCATGTTTCGAATCAATCAAAAAACTTGTGAATTTGGACATGGTTATAATGAAACAATTAACGGAATATACCAATTACAAATCAATTTGGCAAAAGTTATGGAAAATAAAGAAAATGCGAGTTTTGATAAAAGTAAGTTTATTTTTATTTTGTGAAATCAAAGTTGATTCATGTAGTTTTCATTTCAGATGATATTAATATTTTTCGAAAACTACACTTTGATCCGGATTCTCAACACATTCATTATTCACAATATAAAAATATGCTGACATTTTTCAAATGGAAAAGATGTGACAGATTTTATGAGAGAGATGTGGTTGGTTTTTGTTTTTTTTTTCATTTTTAGAAATATACATAGAATTAGATATAAAATATCGATTTTTCTAGATCAATCAAACGCTCCCAATTCGATATCGTAAATGTGTTCAGCAAAGTTCTTTCGGAACTATTGATTTAGAAACTGATCAAGAAAATACTTTTCATCATATTATTTTACCGTAAGTTTTTTTTTCTTTGTTTTTTTTTTCAAAAAAATAAACAAACTCGTTTTCAGAAATGACGTACTTTCCTTCCATCCATCAGGTTCTCTTCTCGCTTTTCGATACAAAGAGGATTACGGTATGTTTATTTTTAGCACACACATGGTCTAAATATGACAATTTTGCAGAAATGTTAATGTGCTGTCTTCCATTTTATAAACCACTTCCATTGTCATTAATAACGGTTCAAACTTTGAATAATTGTATAAATCTCGATCCAAACTGGTGAGTTTTGAAAACTTTATGTTGAATTTTTTAATTTTCATAAAATCTGAATCTAATTTTCAAGTTAGCCGCAGAATTATGAACTTTGCCAACATTCAAGTATAGTTGGACATCGACTAAATCGACTAAATGACATTTTCATGTTTTTTAAGCAACTGAGTTGAAATATTGGGTTTTATATTTCAACTCAGTTGCCTAAAAAACATGAAAATATTATTTAGTCGATTTAGTCGATGTCCAACTATACATCCAAGGCAAGGAATTTTTGAATTAGATTCCAAGATTGGAAAAACCGAAAACTTCCCCATTTTCCTTCAGATTCGGCTTTTTCCTAATTCAATTTTCAAAATATCCTATTTTTGCAGTATAATTCATCGAAAGTGCATTTTTCATTCTTCCATGATTCGTTCAACAAATCACGGCTGAACCTAATAATTGTTTTTTGTTTTCCCTTTTTGTTTACTGCCTCCCTATATATATATCGATGATTTTCTTATTATTGACTGTATCTTATTTTGATTTTAATAATTGTATAATAATTGAGTTTCCAAAGGAAACTAGAAAGAAAAAGAGTCTAAAAGATCAATAAATATTTACCAATAAATAATCAAAAAAAGAATAGATTATAACAAAAAGAACCGTAAAATTTTTGACTTCTTTGGATCGGAAATTGAGGAAAAAAGGAGAATTAGCATGAACATTGACTAGCAAGACCGGATTTTTCAGTTCCATTTTCATCACGAGGTGGACCCATAACAACAATATTTGCTGGAAAAATCAGATTTTTTTTTGAAAAAAAATTCAGAGGTGGAAAAAACTCACGTTGATCACTTGTTTCTTCATTAACAACACCAGGAAGAGCAGTTGCGATTTTGCGGAAAAGCTGCAAAATTTTGAAACTTATCGGAACTCCAAATAAAACTCCCAACCTGTTTAACATTATATCCAGCTTTTGCAGAAGTTTCGATAAACATAACATTCAAATCTCTCGCTTTTTTCTCTCCTTCTTCAGTGGTTACTTGTCTGAAAATGCTGAATTTAGAAATTGAAGAAAATCAATGAAAATTACCGTTTATCAGCCAGATCAGTTTTATTGCCAACCAATACAATAATAACATCTCCACCTCTTTCTGTTCTAACATCATCGACCCATTTGGTGGTTTGGTGAAAAGAGCTGGAGTCTGGAATTAGAATTGAAATGAGATACTGTGTTGGAAGTTACGGTAATGTTTCTGAAACTGAAAAAAATCTAGAGATCATGCAATTCTCTGAAATTCTTATATTTTAAGCCAGCTTTTTTCGAAGAACCTCCTCTTGCAATTAAAAAAAAACCTACTGGTAATATCATAAACGACAACAGCAACACTTGAATCTCTGATATAAGATGGAATCAATGACCGGAATCGCTCTTGTCCAGCCGTATCCCAAAGTTGAAGACGAATCTAAAAATTTCGATACCTCAGGGCTAATTGGCCGAGGTGGGTTTGGGCTAAAATTGGGACTCGATTCTTTTTTGTTGAAAAACTGGTCATGAGAAAAAAGTAGGAATTATTCCACTTCAAAATTTCGGAACTACTTTTTTGTCATTTCCAATTTTTAGGCAATAAAATGAGAAAAAAAATCTTTCAGCAATCTGAATTTTCAAAAATAGTGAAAAAAATGAATGTGTTATTTTCTGATTTTTGAAAAAATTTTTTTTTTGAATCTCTCAATGACAGGAAAAAATAATAAACCAAGAATTGTTTTCTAGAAAATACGTGAACGTGACCCAGCTTATTCAATATTATTTTTCACATTTTTAAAAAAACAATGCGAAATTTGAAGACTTCGAGAATTTTCCATCATTTTTCCATTCCAATTCCCTCAAAACTCACAGTTCTATCTTCCAAATACATTGTTTTGCTCAAAAAATCAATTCCTATAGTTGCTTGATAAGTGTTATCAAATGAATCATACATGAAACGAGTTATAATCGATGTTTTTCCCACTGAAAATTCGAAAATTTTCCCAGAATATCTGAGTTGTAGTAACTCACCACTTTGTTCGCCCAAAAACACGAGCTTGAATTTTTTGAGAGGATTTGCCGCATCCGCCATTTTTGATATTTTGCAGACTGAAAAATGAGAAAAAAATTGGGAGAACACGTTTTCACGTGAAAAATAAAAGGAAAATCGACCCAGAATTGTTTTTAATATTTTTTCCAATAAAAAAACTAACATAGTTTATAAAATTTGCTCGAGAAAAAAAAAGAAAAAACGGGGAGAGAAAGAAAAAAGGAAAAAGAATGTACAGTTGGGAGAAAAAAGGCACAAAAACGAGAGAAAATAAAATATACAAAATATTCTTTTGATAAGGCAGTGCAATACTATTTTCACTGGGAACAAGTTAGTTCCACTGTTCTTAACCACAACATCCAGCAACTCTTGGATCAAGCCCCGATCTTTTTGTGATTTGAAGTTTCAAAAATTCTTCAGCTGAACATGGATGAATCGCAATTGTTGATTTGATATCCGAGAAAGTGATTCCACGTCGAAATGCGACTGCGAAACCTGAAAAAATCGATTTTGAAATTGAAAAAAAAGAGAGAAAAACGACATCTGGTCATTTGAACATGTGTTTTTTTTTTCACATCGAAACCCCTCAATTTTGCAGGTTACCTTGCATAATTTCGGCAGCATTTGGTCCAACAAAATGAAGTCCAAGGATATTTTGTGGCTCATTTCGCATACAAATCAATTTCACATAACAATATTTGCTGTCAGAATCTTGTGAAATGACGTGTTCGAATGGTGTGAAGTAGGAATGATAGATCTGGAAAATAAAGAGGTTTGTGAATAAATTGTTTTGGGAACGGAAGTTCATCACCTGAATACTTTTGACTTTCAAAAAATCACGTTTTGACCGTCAAAAGATCACAAAAATGCTCCATGAGCTCAAGAAAAATCTCAAAAACATCAGGGGGACTAGATTTACATCCTAGTCCTCTTAGTCCCCGTGTCTTCTGTGAATTAGGAAAACTCGAGAAATTCCAGATTTTTGGGCTAAAAATAGGAATTTTTGTTGTATCTAAAACGTTGAAAATTTCGAGATTTTCGGCTTCCAAAAATTAAAATGAATTGCAAATTTTTCCATAACTATACTCAGGTCCGCCCACCTCAATATCATGTTCTCCATATAATCTCAAAGCATCGTGTTCAGTCAATCCAATAGTTGATAATTCCAATGGTGTAAATACAGTAGTCGCCACCTTCTCATATTCCACTATTTCTTTACTTCCATCAAACAATCTTTTCGCCAATAATTTTCCCGATTGAATTGCTAAAGGTGTCAATTCATTTCGATTAAATACAATATCACCAATCGCATAAATTCCATCTTGACTAGTTCGATCAAATTCATCCGCCAAAATCCTTCCATTCTTCGCCGATTGCGATACTTTCACATTTTCCAAACCAATTTTCGAAATATTCGGTTTCCTTCCCATCGCCCAGATTACTGTATCATATTGAATAGGATCATCTGAATTTTTGAAGTGAACTCGTTTTTTCTCCAGATTTTCTCCAGATTTTTCAACTTTCACCACTTCATCTCTCCATTTTATATTAACTCCATGAGATTCCAAATTTGATACCACTTTATCAACGCAATCCTGTTCAAAAAATAATATGGGTAAAAACCAAAATTTCTAAAAACAAAAAAAACAACCTTATCAAAATTCTTGAGTGGTTCAGATCTTATCAATAAATCAACATCGTGTCCAAGATCTGCCAATAATCCAGCACATTCCAAAGCAACATATCCACCTCCAACAACTAGTGTTTTTCCGGGCGATTTTTCAAGCGAAAACAAATCATCCGATGTGATTCCGAGTTCGGCTCCTTCAATTTTCGGATAAATTGGTCGAAGTCCTGTTGAGATCACGATATTTTTTGCTTTGAGAATATTTGAAGTTTTCTTTTTATCAACTCCTTGAGTTGAAACAGTATTTCGATCGATTATTGTGCCAAATGCATTGTAGTATTTTATTCCTCTGGAAAAAATGGGTGTGGGAATTGAAAATTTTTATGATGTAGGATAAAACCTCCAGCAGAAAACGGCTAAATATTCTAAAACTGTCACACCTTATTCAGTAACTGAAACTACAGAACAAAATAATTTCCCAAGCCTATTTCCATGCAAAATTTTGGTAAGTAATGCTGGTTTTGGAACTCGGGCTTCAAATATGATTTTTACTGACCCTAACCAACAAATCTCCAAATTCCACTCACTTCTCATTCAACTGTACTCGATAAACCCAATTATTCGCTTTTATTCTATCATTCACCACTTCCACCAGAGTTGACCAATTATGTTGGGAGTTTCCCGAACTTTTCCATCCATATTTTTCAGCATGTTTTAACTGTAACATAGATTTTGGATAATTTTGAAGCCCGGGCTGACTTTCCAGATGCCTCGAAAAACATCGGGCCTGGCCTGTCCCGATGTTTTTACCAACCTCTCTTCCAACAATCGCTGCATGATGCATCAATTTTTTGGGAATACATCCAACATTTGCGCAAGTTCCTCCAATTCCCCAACTTTTTCCATCCGGAGTCGGCTGCACTGCATCAATTAAAGCAACCCGCGCACCAAGATCTGATCTAGAAAAATATTTTCCATTTTTTATAAGTGAAATAAATACTCACGCAGCTTTTGAGCATGACAATCCACCCGATCCTCCACCAATCACAATCAAATCATACTCGTGTTGGAGTTGGTGTTGCTGTATTTTTTGGCTAAAACTACGTCGAAAAATTCGAAGAATCATCTGGAATGTTTTTTCATTATCCTGAATTTGAATTAAAGGTATCTAATTGAAGATGGAAAATTCCAGATGTCATGTACATATTTTCAAGAACTTATCAAATCTTTATTTTATTTCAAGTGTAAAAATAAGTGGATTATTTGTGTTGAGGTAAACTTTATTACTCGTTAATTCATTTGAAGAACTTATCAAAGTTCCGAATTCCAAGGGAGTTTTATCTGCAAAAAATACTTTTGAAAAACATATTTGAATTTTTAAAAAAAACCAACCTAAATTCCATCGTAATCCATTTGTTGTCACAATTGTTTCCCGTTGTAAAATTGGCATAATTCCACAGATTCTAGTAGTTTTTCCGACTTCTATTTCAATCTCAGATTCTCCTTCAGCTATACAAAAAACAAGATTATCGCCATCGATTGCGATTATATTTTGATTTTTGAATTTGACGAGAGTGGAAAGAGTTGACATTGTATGATCGAAACGGCCATTCAAACCTCCCAATAGAATTATTTCATCGAAATTCCACTGAAATTTAGCTTATGAAGATATTTTGTAGTGAAATCGAGAAGAATTTATGAAATGAGCAAATGCAGCCTAATATTTTTAAAAAACATTATTTTGATTAGAGACAACCTAAAATTGATAGAGTCCAGACTGAAAATTATATAGTTTCTGTTTTTTTCTGTCGATACTCTCTCAATTTTCCGTTGTCTCTACTCGAAATAATATTTAGTTTTTCGAAATTTTTCTGAATAGGAAAAGTAGTGTCTCAAAATATTTTTTTTCAAAATCAAAATCCCTTTGAAAACTCACATCTTTCTTGTTTTCATTGCTAAATTCAATCGTCTTCTGAAGATCTGTTTTATCTTGATCGGGAAGATGGACTAATCTGAAAATAACATATTTTTCCTCTCTTTCTCTGAGAAACTTCCTCTTTATTACCTGAAATATTTCTCCTTTTCAGCCTTTGTTACAGAATCGAAATCTCCACATAAATAATCGGGTTTTTTGAGAACATCGTTCCTGAAAAACAAAAAAGAAAAATAATTTTTTTACAACTGGAAAGAACAGCTGTTTGTTCTTTAGCCATTGAGTTCTCTGCTCCAAATGAATATTTTCGAACCTTTTTCCAATTCGATTCGCAGCTCCATCACAAGCCAATCGATATTTCGCATCATTCCAAATTTTCAGCCAAAAATCTCTTTCTGCTGAAATCTCGCCATTCAACCAAATCGCAACAATATTTGCATTTTTGAGTATTTCAAATGGTTTAACCAGTCGCATTCAATAAAGAAATCTGGAAATGGGAAAATGTAGAAAGTTTGGTGGCAGGCGGTTTTTGGACGTTTTTTAGAAAAATAAATGATTTTGGGGGAAAAACAAAAATCGTGTGTAAATAAATGAAAACAAGTCATTGGAAAGTGAATTTGAGGTTATTTTGATAAGATTGTTTACTTGTTTTGACCAACTTGAATTTTCGATCTTTTTAGAAGAAAAGGTTCAAAAAAGTGCATAGGAACTAGAAAATATCTTGAATAAATTATTTTACGGATTTTTGATTGAAAATTATAATTAACAATTTTAATTTGAATTAACTCTCAATAAAACGAATTGTTTAGAATGTGAGGTTTTTTGTTGGTGAAAAGATTTCAATGTTAATTTTTCAGCCTGAAAAAATGATGTGTTCAATTCAGTTTTTTTAGGTTAACTTATTTATCAACATTTTTCGGGAGTTTTCCGTAACCTCATTCTCGAAAATCCCAATTTTCTGTAAAAACAAACTACTCTTCTTTGAACCGCCTCAAATGCCACGTCATAATCTGAAATTTTAAAACAGAAAAGATATCAAAAAGAAGCATTCCACCATCAACCAAAAAAAATACTTCAATATTTTTGTTCAACACATTTATTCCAAAGTTAGTAAAAGAAAGTAAATCCATTCCAGATAAACTTCAGAAAAATAAATACATTTGAAAAAATCGGGTCATCTAAAAGCAAATAGAATTCTGGACTTTTTTTTAGTTGTAATAAAATATAATGCACAAACCAACCACAAACACAAATATGGACAAACACAACACAAAAATAATTAGGGCAATCTATAATTGTTCTTCAGCTTCTCTTTCTTCAGCCAAGATTTTTTCGAATGAGAATGGAGCAAATTCATATCCAAGACCTCCATAGAATTTCGATTGGAATTCGACCCTACAAAATGATTATTGATTTTTCGAGCGGGGCGAGTGTATGTTTCAGGCCTGGAATAAGATCCAGGCCTGAAAATCGAGATTTCAAAAAACCTACCAATGAAGACGAAGCGCGTGAAGAAAAGCGGACAATCCTTCCATCAAAACAAGAATAAAGACAGACATTGTTCCAAAAATGAAGAAAATGAAATAAGTCAAAACAGCTCCAAGATATCCATCAGCAGCAAAGCATTGACGGAAAACCATTGTCCACAAAACATCAGAGAGTTCTGGAAAAAAAAGGATTAGACAAAATTCAAAAAAAAAAAGAAGAGAAGAACTTACGTGCATGAGCCAATGAAAGAGCCCACAAACGAAGATATGAAGCGGTGTGAGAAACACATCCGAGAACAAATTCGATTGTGTGAATTGCTTGATAAACCATTGTATCAGCCATGTCCAACTGGAAAAATGTTGATGTTGGAAATTTTATTTCGAAAATATTATGAGATTTCAATCGGGCTCTGGGACAAAGTTAGAAATTTTCAAACATTTGAAGGTGGTCCTGTTCTTTTGGTCATATTTTTCAAAATTTCTCTTTGACATTGGGAAATTCAGAATCGGACCAAAACATTTCAAAAATAGAAATATATATTTTCAGACAATCTTAATTTTATTCTCACTTTTTAGACTAACAAGGGAAGTGCATAGGGTCAGGTGTTGAACTTTTGCTGAAACGTTCGAAATATACCAAATCGACCATGCTGATCACGAATCCGAAGTCAAAAATTGCCACAAATGCATGTGAGCACTTTTCTGGAGCTCCAAAGTTGGAATTGAGTTTTGGTTTTTGCCCATTTTCACCATATTCCTGGGTGGAAAATCAATTTTTATAACTTGAATAAGGTTGTTCACCACATTCGAAAACCTATCAGCTTTTTAGTTTTTCAAAAAATATGAAAAACCAGCTGAAAACTGTAATTTTCAAAAATGCACAAAAAACTTTGAAAAACGTGTGTATTTACGTGTGTTTGTGTGTATTTTCAGGACTTTCTTAAAAATTACAGTTTTCAGCTGGTTTTTCATATTTTTTGAAAAACTAAAAAGCTGATAGGTTTTCGAATGTGGTGAACAACCTTATTCAAGTTATAAAAATTGATTTTCCACCCAGGAATATGGTGAAAATGGGCAAAAACCAAAACTCAATTCCAACTTTGGAGCTCCAGAAAAGTGCTCACATGCATTTGTGGCAATTTTTGACTTCGGAATCGTGATCAGCATGGTCGATTTGGTATATTTCGAACGTTTCATCAAAAGTTCAACACCTGACCCTATGCACTTCCCTTGTAAACAGGGTGACTGAATTGTTAGACTAAATTTTGAATTTTGAGAAAAATCAAGGCAGATAGAAAAATAACTAAAAACTTACAGGTCCATCTCCGTGTCCATGTCCATGTCCCCCAGCTGGTTTTGGTTGAGTTTCTGGCGCGTGAACAACTTCCACGTCATCACCATTCATATCAGCTCTAACGCTCTAAAAACAATTAAATCATCAAAACTATATTGAATTAGATTATTTAGGTGCATCCACAACACAAAAATTAGTACAAATCCATGCATTCTTTGATTGAATAAGTTTACCTCATCATGATTATTATGATTATGCAAATTCTGGTAATTTGTCTGTTTTTTCGATCGTTTATACAAGAAAAACGGTTTGGCGAACAACATGATTGGTACTTGAACAACAGCCAAAACCACAAGAACAATTTCAGCATAACTCTGAAAATCGACAGGTTGGCTGGAGATCTGGTCGAGAAGAGACCGAATCCGAGCCGAATGTCAAAATTCAGAGAACCACAGACAACATCAAATTAGATATTTAATTAGTGTTTTTTCGAGGTGGGTGAAAAAATATTGGTGAGTTTGTTTGTGAATAATCATGCCAATTGCGGAATGGGTGAAATTTCGGGGAAAACTCTTTTTTAGACTTTGTTGTTTGAGTTCAGAAGGGGAAAAATTAAATCAAAAATTTTTATGTTTCAGAATTTAAGGAATCGAATTGTGAAAGTCAAACTTTGGTAGAAATCTTGAAATTGCTAAGTTAGATCTTGATGTTAATTCTATGGGTAAACTCAAATTCTACCTTTTTAATAATCTATATTTAAAAAATGAAAATCATATTTTTGATCCAGAATTCAGAAACAAAATTTATCGACTAGGCTCCCAGGATCATCCAGAAAACTCAAAAATTAAATGTGTTTCGTGCAATACCATCACCAACAATATTTAAAAAAAAAACAAAATCAGTGTTTCTTTTCACGTGCACCACCAAAACAACATTGATTTATATCTCACCAATTGTTGGTGTCCCGCTTCGCGGCGCTCTTTTTCCGCTTTCCACAACATGTACGGTTTTCCGAACAACATAACCGGAACACACGCAATCGCAACCAATACGAAAATCGTTTCGAAGAATGACTAAATTTGTTTTAGTTTTAGTTTTGTTTTCAAACATTAGATCTTGTCTTTGTGGTTCTCCAAATTTTGAATCAGCGATCGGATTTCAATAAAACTAACCTGTCCAGGATACCAAGTCGACAAATAGCATTGATCAATTTGTTGACCAGATTCATCAACAAATCCAGCTTTTCTATCTTTCATCATAAACATATTAATAAGTCCAATAAGAAGAGATGGTGCACAATTTGATCCAGGATATTGATATCCAAATACAGAATCAGCCTGAAATTGAATAAATGTTTTTTTTTTTTGAATTTTTGTGTAAATTTAACTCACAGCTGCTCCAAAAACAAGCCATTTTACAATAATTTGCAAGCATAAATAGACAAAAATCGATCCCAAGAAGATCATTTGCGGGATGAACATATATTTGATATCCAAATCCGATTTGAAGTAACTGGAAAAAATCAATAAATTGGGATATGAAAAAATTTGAGAACCGGAAATTTTAAATCGGACCAGAGGAATCAAGTTCAACATTTTTCTCAAAAAACCAACTTTTTTTTTTGAAACAGTGAATTTTTCTTGGAAATTTATCATGTTCTTTTAAATTTTTGGAACCGTGAATATTTTTTTGGATAAAATTGAAAAATAAACAAAATTCAACAAATTCAAAATTATTTCCAAATTTTTTCGAAACGTAAATCATCCAGAAAAATAAAAAAAAATCATTGAACCCAACATTTTCAATTTTTTTTAAACATTTCTTCTTGAAATTCCTGGTCCCATTCAAAAATCCCCTTTGAAAACTCACATATAATTTTGATACGACAACAAAACTCCGAAAACCATTTGTGTGATTCCAAAAATAACCGACATTTTCATTTTCAACGAATTCAAAAATGACAATTTATTGGCTTCAGCAACATTCCAAATTGGATCAACACCAACTGGATATGGAGTTCCAGCATAAGCAAGTTCCGGAATCAACATAAATGTGCTCTCCGGATCAAGTGGTTTCTCCAAAGTCGATTCAGGAATACTATTCTGCCACGAGGAACCGAACAAATTAAAACTCTTCGAAAACACATCATTATACATGAATCCAGTGTAAATCGAGAATACGCCCATCAAAAATATAACATATCTTCCACCAAAAAATGTTTGGAATATTTCATCTTTAATTCTCGCCGCTTCTAATTGTTTCTCTTTTAAAATGAAGAAAAGAGCAGCGAGGAACATAATAATACCATGTCCCAAATCACCAAACATGACAGCAAATAAGAATGGGAAAGATATCATTGTATATGGTGCTGGATTGATTTCACGATATGTTGCGATTCCATAGGCATCAACAATATTTTGAAATCCTTTTGTGAATTTATTTGTTTTATTATAAGTTGGAGGCGCTTCTGATGTTTCCATTCGATTTAAAATTGATGGAACTTGACTTCCACTTTCATCAGTTCCTCTTTTCAATGCCATTTTGATTCTATCTAATTCAGCGATTGGACACCAAACTTCAGCAATCAAACATTTTTGAGTGACATCAATATTGAAAAGATTGAGAGTGTGATAAATCGATTTAATCTTGCGAACTTTCGTCAACCACATTCTCACATTCTTCGACGCCGCCACCAAAACCCGATGTCTATGATCTTGTGTTTGTCCCAACACAGTTTTCAAATCCTCAATTCTTGTCATAACTCCAATCGACATTTCTCTTCTTTCTTGTGGTGTATCTGGACATGGATAAAGAGTCGCACGGAATCCTTCGCAAATCTTCTTCACTTTGGTTTTCAATTGTTCTCCTTGGAAGAAAATGATGAAAACGCATTTATTAACTGGTTCTCCGGTTACGGTATCATTCAAAACATCATCGATTTCACTTGTTCGAAGAAAAACGTTTCCACGACAAGCACGCCATAAAAGACGCTCAAATGCCGGAAGACGTTCACGTTGAATAACACCAGCAACAAAACTGAAAAAAAAAATTATTTTGAGAATTTTTTATGGGAAAGCCAACTTAGATAATAATCTATTTCCTCATCCACCACGCACATTTACAAAAGGTTCACAAATAGAAAAACTACGAAAAAAAAACACAACATCGCCTACCGTAATTGTAATTTGAGAGGTGAAGTATCGTCATTGAATCTAGTTTGATCATCGACTTCAAATGAATTCATTCGACTCGCTCCAACCATTCCAGTATTTTCAGACGAAGCAATCAGATCTTCATGCTAAAAACCAAATAAAAACACTAATTACAGCAAACTTTTGGAAATTTTGAAAAAGGGAACCTTTTTTCGAAATAGGTTGAAACGAAAATTTTCTAGAAACAATATTATATTCATTTAGCCGAAAACGCTTTTTTGCCACGTCATAAATATATTTTGGGAGAGTTATACACTCTTGAAAATCTAGAGATCTATAAGTTTATAAATTTTTGGATCGATATCTCTGCTCCTAGAATATTTTTTTACAGCCGGTCCCGAAAAAAAGTTCCCTTTTGATATTTTTATGATATTGTTTGAAAACCACCACCTAATTAGCAACATGCAACAACATTACAACACTAAGAATCAACAACAACAACACCAAAAATATCTAATCAATATCTCACCCAAAATTGGCGAACATTGTACCGCCAGCTGCCATATTCTGGGTGAGTTCAAGCGATTCTTCGCCATTTTCACCAATTCCCCCCGGCGGAATTATACTTTCACCACTTCCAGCCTAAAGTATTTGTGAATTTTTTTGAAATTTCTAATTTTAAAGTCATTTTAGTTAGCTAAATATTGGACTAGGACAAGAAAGGAGACAAAGAGAAAAGACAAAGAGAAGGAGAAGAATAAACACTAAGTTAGTCGTGGTGGTGGATTGGAATTGAATCGATTTGAAACAATCCAACTAACCCCAATTTTAACATTGCCATTCGACTAATATCTCCTCCAGAAATATTGTCCAAATCTGATTGGCCTCCAATATCAATTAAAGGCCTTTCATCATCTGGAACCGAATTTCCTCTACCTTCCAAAATTCTCCAACGATCATGATCAACCTGTATGTAGTTTAGTTTGAAATCAAAAAGTATTTGAAAAATAAATCTAATATCTAAACTAAAAGCAGGGTTAAGTAGAACAGAAGATTTCCCGGTATGATTGTTTTTCAGAAAATTAAAAATTCAGAGTTAAATTTTGTGGTGCATTATCAAAACTAACCTCCTCGAAAAACGTCTGAGTTTTTCTCAAAATATGTTTCAATTCTGTGAGTTCAGAAAAGTTTTTCTTGAGAGTCTCCTCGTTTTTGTTGACCTCTCTCAATTCGTTCTCAAGTTTTTCGAAAGTTGCCTCTAAATCAATCATTTCTCTTGGAAGTGGAGCGTCTGGATTTTCTCCAGTGTCGAGCATTGGAATCTGATCTTTTTTGATTTCGCGCTCAAGGTATCTCAATTTTCTTTCCATTTCATCACATCGTCGAACTTCGTTCACATATTTTCGTTGGAATGAACTGACATCAGGATTTAGCTACAAATTAATCAAATTAAATATGAAAATATTAATTTTATCTCTATATCTTACATCTCTAAATTGAACTAATCCAAGTTCGCCTAACTCAGCAACACATTGATAAGCGGCATCAGATTGTAAATATAATTGAGCCAAACACATTTGTTCACTCCGATAAATCCCCGGCTGAGCCGGTTCTTCTCCTGGTGTCACATAATCACCCATTTTCTGCAAAAATGTCAAATATTTCAGCAAAAAAAGAGTATTTCCAAAAAAAGGAGCAAGAATTGAGCTGGAGCAAAACTGAAGACCAGATATTGATGTAGTCGGAGAAAAGAGGAAAAGAATGAGAGAGCTCAGAATTGAGCACGAAGAAGAGCAGCAAAAGAAGGAGAGAAAAACAAAAAAAGGGAAGGATTGAAAATGTGCTCTATTGAGAGACACATATTTGGAGATCGCAAAAAACAAACACTGAAGTTTTTCAAAGAAAGACTAACATATTATAATAGAAATACACTTAAAGACATATGTTCATTAAAAGAACATTTTACAATAGAAAACCGGTTTGCCTTAATAATATCGATTCGAAATACAATCTTAAATGTGTGTGGAGCACAAAAAACGCATGATAAATACAATTCAAAGATAAGATTGCTATCTATTTGGGGTCAATGCACTATTTTCTCAGAAACTACGAGCATTTTACGCACAGGGTACAATGACTTACATGATAAATTGATGTGAGATAATGAAAAATCGAAATGAGATATATTGAAATGGGAGAGATTTACGTGAATAAATATTTTACGCTAAATAAAATTGTATCACGGAACTAAAAATGAATCATTTCATCATTTCTATTTTATTCGAACGAACGCTATGCTTTTGTTTTTGCTCGAATTCGCGAACACGCTGACAGAAAAAAAAACAAAAATGAGTTACAGTACTTTATCGAAAGACGCACAATGAATAAACACAAATCGCTTCGAGACTCAGAGTGTGCAATAATTGCGTCTTCAAAATTATACGGTGGAAAGTTCTTTCGAAAATTTTCCGAGAAATTCTAGAAACAGCTTCTGGAACAGATTTCAGCGTATTTTGCTCAGAAGGTTAGTTTTTAGTAAACTTTTGGTAGAAATAAAATAGAAAATATGTGGGATTGTTTTGAAATCTTAACATTTAATAGATAAAATAGGAATGAATTTATTATTACGAAATTTTGAACGAATGACTAACGATTTTGTAATAAACATTTAAAAAATTCGATATTCATGTGTAAACAAACAATTCAAATTTTTAGAACTTTCGAAAAAAATCGATAATCTATGAACTTCCATCTTTAAAGATACGTTAGAATGTGTTAAGTTAAACAAAAAGAAGAAAACAAGGAAAAAAGAATAAGATGACACGACAATCCCATTCCTTTTTTCTTCCCAAAACTCCTTGTCCTTTTTCTTTTCCCCCTCCAACTCTCTCACCTTACACTCGATGCATTTCTCTGTGCACTCTTTCCATTGCACTCTCTCTCATCCTGTCATTCGGGACAATCGTGGTAAGACCACAAAATGTGTTTGAAAATCGTTTGTGGTGGCCGGAAAAGTGCGCCGATTCAAAGTTTTTTATTTTTCATTATTTTTTCCCCTTTTTCTTCGAGTATACTCTTTTCAAATGGCGTTTTTTTATAGGAATGTCAGCAGCAGTGCGTAGCCCACGTAAAAAAGTGTCACCAGAACAGGTAGATTCATCTAATTCTGTGAAAAATTACTCTATCTCTCTACAGGAAAGAGATAACACATCAACGCGTTATCGATTACGTGAAAATTCAAAACTGCCTTCGAGATATCGAGATGATGAAGTATTTGTATCGCCTTCGAGACCCAAAAAATCAACAAGTCAATCGCCGAAAAAGTGAGACAGTTTAAAAATCGATTGAACAAAAAACAAATCGAATAATTTGCAGGCCGATTGTACGGAGAGCAGCCGGAAAAGATTCGCCATCACTCAATAATTATGCAACTTCCAAACTTAACTTGGTAAATGAATAAAATATTTGAAAATTTAATTAGTAAAGTGTAACTTTTGCTAAATTAAAAATAAATAAACATTTTCAGCTGGCAACAAGTGCAATCGATCACGAATCAGCTTCAAGTAGTTCATCAACAGATCAATTCGATCTGTTAACACCAAAAGAAGAAACAGAACAACCAAAAAGAGGTCCAGCTCGAAGAGTTATTCAAGTATCTCCTCCACCAAAACAACAACAACAAGATGGTTTAATTAATGAATCTGAAATTATGGTTGGAGTTGAAGAAGAAGTTGAAGGTGAAGCTGAGGATGAAGAAGAATTTGAATATGATGAATCTGGAATGAAAATATCGAAACATGATGAATTTATTGATATGCAAACGTTTTTTGATATGTTTAATGATGCTGAAAGAGAAGAAATGATCGCGAAATTCTCAAAGTATGTTAACTTGTTTATTTATTTATTAGAAAAAACTTTCTCATTCATCAACAAATTCAAATTTTCAGTTATCAACACAAATCTCAACGTGATGTTTCTCGATTCATGCGTGGAAATTTGAAAAAATTATACAATATGCTGAAGTATAAAAAGGCGAGACAATGGATTGTTTGTGAATTCTTCTATTCTGGAATTGATGAGCAAATTTTCCGGGGAGAAAATGAATTTGCGAGTATAATCAAAGAAAGTTTTCCAAATTTGAAAAATATGATGTTGAATAAAACTGAATGGAGAACAATTAGAAGATTATTAGGTATTTAATAACTACTTGAGAACAAAACAATTCATTTGGATTTCAGGAAAACCTCGTCGATGCTCGGCACTTTTCTTTGAAGAAGAACGATTGTATTTGGAGGAAAAAAGACTGAGAATTCGAAGTGTTTACGAAGGTTCATACTTAAATGATCCATCAATTGATTTGAAAGATCTTCCTGCGAAATTACCAAAACAATTAGTTGTTGGAAGTAAAGTATATGCAAGAGTAAGACAACCAAGAGATGGAATTTATGCTGGAACTGTTGATGCATTAGTGCCAAATGGTTATCGAGTTGTATTTGAGAAACGAGAATTGCCTCCAACTTTGGTTAGAGATACAGAAGTTGTAATGGATGGAACACCGGAATTGTTGAGTATTGCATATTTTATTGAACAAGCTAATTCGAAATTACCAAATGGAGTTAGACCTTTTGGTATGTTTTGGTAAGATTTTTTCAAACAAATAAAAAGTTCCCTTTTTCAGTTACCGCAGTTCGTGACGCAAATCGTCCTCATTTAGTAAAAGAAGAGTTGATTGCTAGACCAATTGGAGAAAAAGCGGGACCACTAAAAGGCCCAAATGACGCAAGACTTAGCGCAAGAAATCCGGAAATGGTTGGAAACTTTCCTCTTAGATTCCTGGTTAATTTGGTGAAATTGACGAAGTTAATCGAAATCAAAAAGGGATTGGTGAAACAATTGATGGAAATGAATGCAGAAGCTGAGTTGAACAATTTGACAACTTCGAAATATTCAGCGGTTTTTCAGGTTGGTTTTTTTTGAGAGAGAAAAAAATGTAAAGAGGAACTTTTTCAGGAAAAATATTCGAAAATAGTGATCGATTTAGAACATGTTAATCAAAATATTGATTCAAATATGAGCGGAATACAGGAACATAACATGTATTATGCATCAAATAGTGAAGTGACAAATGTGAAACCCGAAACAGTTCGAAAGTTTTGTTATCAACAAGCTGGTCGATTTGTGGAACATTGTAATCAAGGATTGAATGTTGAAAATGTTCACGCATTAACTTTGATTCAATCATTGACAGCTGCTTTGTTACAAGTTAGATCGTTAGGAAATCAAAAAATATCTGCGTGTGATTTGAATTCACTTTCGGATACAATTAATTCGATTCGACAACAGGTTGGTTTTTGTTGGAATTTTTTGCTATTTAAAATTGCACTTTAAAATATATGTTCTCTAGAAGTTTCCGACCCGCTGATCACGATCCTGCGGTCTGAAGTTGCAGAACTCAAGTCCTAACATGAGTTATGACGTGGAAAATTTCGAAAAATCAGGATTTTATGTGCTGAAAACTAGCTTAGAAAATGAGAAGGCTCAATCATTTTTAAAGCTAGTTTTCAGATTCTAAAATCCCGATTTTTCGAAATTCGCCACGTCATATCTCATTTCAGGAGTTGAGTTCTGCAATTTTAGATATCGGGTCGAAATTAGGTGTAAACCTATTTTATCAAAAATCTAGAGAAACAGATTTCCGTACATCTTGTAATCAAAAAACTTTCAGATCTCGCCCAAAAATGCTTCATTTTTCCAAGATTATGTTGAAGTTCATATGAAACAATTCCATAAATTAATGATCGACAATGGTGCCATTTCAGGATTTAGAAGATAACTGATTCTTATACTTTTTCTCATTCTCGTAATAATTTTCAAGGTTATTTTATTTTCATTTCTCCCCCTATCACATGTTTTTTTTGCTTCTTTTCTCCTATTTTTCATTTTTCTTCTTTAAAAAAATCAAATAAAATAACAAATCAATCTTCTCCTTTTCATTTTTCGTTTCCAGCTTCTCTTTTACCTTTACTTTACTTTGCCTCAATTTCTTCCCAAAGTGCATTTTGTAAATTTTCTCATAATTTTTTTGTTGTAAAATAAAGTTGATTCTATTTTTGTTGCCCGCGAGGTAAATATTTATTCATTATTTACTATTTGATTTTCCGCGCGAATGTTTCACTGAACTTTTTATTAGTCATCATCAATTATTTGTGCATTTTTAACATTTTCAGATGTCTTTCCGAATTTTCCTGATTTTTTCGTTGATCGCAATTGTTTTTGGCTCTCGAATTCCAAGAGCAATTCATTCTGGCGGATGTCCAAAAAATGCGGTTTATAAAGAATGCACAAATTTGTGTCCAGCGAAAAGTTGTCAGAATTATATGCAGGTTGGATTTTATTTTGAAAAGATTAGAAACTATTTTTTCAAAAATTGAAATTTCAAATTTGATTTTTTTTTTTGGTTTTTAGAATTTTCGCTACATTTTAGAACCTTGATTTTTGAAATTCACCTGAAATTTGGAGCATTTTTCGGGAAACAATGAGAAAATTGAAATTTCTGGGGAATTTTGAATTCCACTTGGAATTTGAAGCAGTTTGAGCTCACGAACTGGATTTTTCGGAAAAAAAATGAGAAAATTTGATTGCAAATGTTGAAATTTTTAAATTTCACGTGAAATTTGGAGCATTTGTTGAGCTTGACCAGATTTGAATTGTTGCATGAAAATTCAAATTTTTGCGGATTTTCGAATTCCACGTGAAATTTTGAGTTCAGAAACTGGATTTTTTGAACAAACTTCAATTTTAAAGTCAGAATTGCCGTAACGCCTGATTTTTTTTAGGTTTCTGGCTGCTTCTCACTTCGTTGTGCTCCACCCGGTTGTATTTGCAAAGAAGGACATGTTCTCTTGAATTCTGCCGATTCATCACAAGGTTGTGTTCCAAGAGAAACTTGCAGGTGAATATTTCATTGAATTATTTGATATTCCTGATTTTCTATCATTTTTCAGCAAACTTGCCAAAATTCAAAATGCAACAACAACTGCTTCAAACTAATTTTTAAAAAAGAATATATTATTATTTAACAAGAAAATGCATAAATAAGTAAATAAATATTTTTCAAAGTGAAAGTGAAAATGTACAATAATCAACCAGTATTCAAAAATCTAATCATTTCTATATTTAACAACTGAATTTTCAAATCGATCCAATTCTTTCATCCAAATATTTTTCCAATTAGTATTCCTTATTTCATCCAATTCAATTTCTTTCCTATTTTTTCTTTCGAATAATCTATTCATTTCTTCTGGCGTCAATCGATATAATGGAATTTCCAAAAGATATCCGAATTCGCTTTTTTTCTTGTTCGGATCTTTCTCTAACTTCATTCTTCTCATAATTTCTTCCAATTCAAATCGATTCGTTTTTCTCAAATCAATATTTCCATTTGTAACCATTTCAATAAATCTCATTTGATTTTCAGCATATTTCAGTTTTTCCAAACATTGATTTTCCAACATCTCCTTTCGTTTTTCGTATAAATTTTTACGAATTTCAAAAAACTGCAGAGCAATTCCTCGAATATTTTCAAATTCTTCAAGTTTTCCAAAACTATTGAAAAATACTAAATTTTCCGTCATTGTTGAAGATAATTTGAATATTTTGATCAATTCCGAATTTGTTTTTCTCAAAAGTTCAGCTGATTTTATTCGACGTCGATCAAATACAATTCGAAAATTCGCCTTCTTTTCCGTATGATGTTCAGTGAATTCTCTGAAAATGTTGTAATTCAATCCGAAATTCTAGATAAAGAATTCTAGACTCACATAACATCAAAATTCTCCAAAACTTTCTGAAGTTTCTCTTTGTATTTCGAAGTCCACATTCCAATTGGTAATTCAGATATTTCCAGCACAAAACTCGTTGAATTTTTCCGCTCAGGTTTCCATATTCTAGCAATTCCTCTTGACAAAAATCGATTAGTCGAAAGTTTCTCAATCTTTCCATTATGACCCTCATAGAATGGTAAAATATTCTGAAATTCGTTCAAATTTTCCGAATCTTCAATCATTTTCCGTGTCATTTCAATAATTTCAAATAAATTTCTATTCATAATTCGAGTATTCCATCCAGTTCCAATTCCTTCGACACCATTTATAAGAACAGTTGGGATTATTGGACATAAATATTCAGGTTCAACTAGTTGGCCATCTTCAAATCTTCGATTTAATAAACTATAATCAGATGGTGGGAATAGAAATCGAGTTGGTGGACTGAAAAAAATAATAGGGAGTGGGATTTTTTGAAAAAAACATTGCATTGCTCATGTTAGTAATCTATTTAGCAAAAAAGAAGAGATTTCTAATGTTAATCTCAAAAAACATATCTGGTAGAAGCTTCTTATCATCTTAAAAATCCGCATTTTTAATTTAAAATTTAAAAATAAGCTTTTTTGTAATCAATTCAGGTGAACCAAGTTGCACTAATTGTAAGATTCGAGCAGAATTGAGAACTACAGAATTCATCACAAAACTTGAAAACTCACGCCAATTTTGTATAAATATATCTGGCAGAAGCTGCATCATTTCCATTTTCATGCCTCGTTCCAAATTGTCCAATCGGTTCCAACAAATTCAAATTCGAACTCCCACAAAATCTCTGTGCCATTCGAATAATTGTTCTCACAAGTGATTCTTCTCCGTGATGATATGATTGACTATGCGAAACAGCTCCGGATAATTGAGACACTTTCATTTCTCTCGATTCTTCCATTGATAAAAGTGTCCAGAGAATTTTTCGCTGGGAAGGCTTCAAACCATCAATGAGACATGGGATTGATCTGAAGAAAAACTTTGGAATTTGCGATTTTCAAAATGTTTTTACCTTCTCAAATCAACGATTCCAAATTTCATGAGATCTTCATCAACAAACTCTTTATAACTTATTAAATTATTATTATTGATTTCTTTCTCAGATTTTTCGGAATCTGAGTATTTTTTAATCCACTCTTTCCTATCATCACTTTTCTCGCGATCAAAAGCCATTCGAATTGCAGAATCGTCTTCCGAATTTTCATATTTGAAGCTGAAAATTGGAATTTCTTTAACCCAGATTTCCAGATTTTTCGGGTCCAATTCAAAATGTTCCAACTAACTCAATAACATGATGTTCTAAATCTTTGAAATATTGTCTAGCTTCTTCCGAAGTACTGGTTCCTAATCCTTTATAATATTTAATCGCATATTTCCCCGAAGTTTCCTCAGAATTTTGCCAATTTTCAAATTCTTGATGATTGAAAAAAGAATGCACTTCTTTTCCTCGTTTTGCCTTGAGAAGAGGTGTTCGAAAACTTTGAATAAATCCATTTTTCAACAAATCTGGCCAGAATTTGTGAATGAAATTGATGATTAGCCCTTTGATATGTGATCCATCTTCATCTTGATCTGCCAGAATCATCAATTTTCCATATCTCAAATTCATTTCTTCAAACTTCTGAACATCAAATTTCAATCCAATAATTCGCATCAGTGTGGAAATCTCCTCATTTTCACTCGCTTTTTTCTCATCCAAATTCGAGACATTGATTAATTTGCCTTTCAGGGGAAAAACTCCAAATTTCTCACGGCCCAAAATTTCGAGACCAGATAAAGCGAGAGCTTTCGCAGAATCACCTGGAAAAATTATCTGGATATGGTTTTTTAAAAATTAACTTAACAAGGGAACCCTTTTTTCGGAACCAAAAATGAAATCGATATAAAATTAAATTTCTAGAACCGGAATGATCTTGTGAGTCGAGTTACCGTGCTCAAAATTTCAGAAATCATACAGATTTTGTTAGAGAAGTTTTCAAAGGCCCATTTCAAAATATTTGCATTTTTTAAATATTTACCTTCAGTCACAATAAGTGTGCACAATTGTGATTTTTCTTTATTTCCAGCCAATATCGCATCTTCTAGCTTCACAATATCCCGAAAATCAAAATCTCCCCCAACTCTTCTTTTTTTCGTTTTTTTCTTCAAATTCATCACAGTTTCCATAATTTCTTCAATTAATCCACTTTCATTCGCCCAATTTATCAATTTCTAGAAAAAATGAGATCTTTAAGTTTTTTTCTTGAACAAAATAAAATAACTCACCTTCTGATCAACTTCAAAACTCGATCCAAAAAACTTTGGTTTCGTTGTCAGAGTTTCTTTAGTTTGACTTTCGAAAGATGGATTTTCGATGAGTGAATTTATGAAAATTGAAATATGATTCTTGATATTTGCCGGTTTGACTCGGAATCCTGAATTTTCCATTTTCTCATCGATAACTTTCTTCAAAATTGGAATAATTTTATCAAAAACATGATCCACATGTGTTCCACCCTACAAAAAATCTTGATTTTTATGTTTTTTTTAATGTTCCTTTAAATCTTCTTACTTTTTCTGTATTAATATTATTGACAAAACTCATAGATTCAGGCATTATACAATCCTCCTCATTTTCATTTCCATCTTCCAATTCCATTCTTCTTTTCGTTATCCCAATATGCCATCTCGAATTCGGATGCAAAAATAGAATCGAATTATTTTCCGGGATAAATGATTTGATGTATCCTTCGAATCCAGCCTCATTATTCACTTTTTCGTTGTTGAAAACTACAGTAACTCCACGTGGCAAAGTTGCGGAAACATCAAAGACTCGTTTTTGTATTAGAGATATCATGTCGTCTGTGAGTGATTCCAAATTGAAGCGTGATAAATCGGGGATGAATTCGACCTGGAAGAAAAATTTGGTTGAAATTTGGAGTTGAAAAGGGGGGTTTGTAATTATTTTTAAATTTTTTAATATAAACTTTAAGATCAATCATTAATTTTATTCATAATATTTCTTTGGAAATCATTTTTTTTTTTTTTTAACATGAGCAATGCTTAAAAATGTAATCCCAAATCTTTTTAGGATCCATAAAAATTTCCTTAACCTCCTAAGCCTCTCCTCAACCTTCCCAAATTTCCCGTAATTCTATTTGTCCAAGATGTATCAAAAAATCATTGAAACATTTTTTTTCTTCCATTTTACAACCGCCTATCATGTGAGCTTTGACTGGCCGTGACACATAAAAATAAATCACTTTTTTGTTCGCCGTGAATCATCACTTTTCTTATTCTTTTCCATCTGGCAGAAAATATTTACGTTTGATAAACAAAAACAAAGTTTCAGCGAAATACAATCTATGATATCATTTTGTATGATGAATCATTCCAGATATCACTCAAATATTTGCTGAAAAAAAATCAAATATGAATGATATCAGATACCGGTCTTGACACGAAAAAGTACTCAAGAAAAGTGTTTTGTTGATTTTTTTTGTTAGCGGAACTAACACAAGAAAGATCAATTTATGACCATATTATTTGACAGCGAGAAAAAAGGAAACCGAATTTTTGATATGTGAAGAAAGATAACAGTAAAAGTGTCAAATGAGTGAGTTAAGGAAAAATTTGGTCTCGATCTTGATTTGGTTTTTGATGACTCATGAAAATAGGAAGAAACGGTCTGATATTTTTAGGCTAATTTTGGCCTGAAGATTGTATATAGGCTTGTGTAAAATGATCCAGGCTAGGCTAATTTTAGGCCTCTCAGGTTAGTTTGAGGTCTGGCAAAACGTATTATAGGCTCATGTAAAATTATCCAGGCTAATTTTAAGCACGACAAAAATTGGCCTAGTTTAAGCGTTCAGGAATTTTTCAGGCCCAGAAAGGCCTAAACTTTAGAGCTGATTTTAGAGTCTAAAATTTAGACCTGGAAAAATATATTAGGCATCGTGTAAAATAATTTTATGTAGGCCCAACAAAAATCAATTTAGGCCTAGTTTTTTCTGGACCTGAGCCCAGAAAAATTTTTGAAGTTCATTTTTGTAGAGAAAATTTTTGTGGCCTCAAAAATTTAGATTTTTCAGAATTTTAGTTTCCAAATTGTTTAACAGAATTTCTCAAATTTTCCGGGTAGCAAACTAGACTCTATTTATGATCCCATGAAGTTGTTTTTATTCCATTCAGAAATTCCCCAAGCTTGGAAATTCTGTGTGATAATTGAATCATCTCTTTTTTTTCGCTCCGCCTAATGATCTTCAAAACACCGTGACTCTTTGGAAAAATCAAAGTACACTTGCTATTTTCCAAGCTCCGCCCATTTTGTGAAACCTATAAAATGACTCGGCCGAATGCTTTTCTCTCAACAACACATAAACATTTTATCATTTTCCATTTTTTTCTCGCATGTTTTTTTTCTGTTTCTAATTTTGTGTCCTGGATTGTTGTCTTTCGGTTTGAGTTCAAAACTAACACCTAATTAACATTTTTGAATATTTTCGATGTTTGTTCAGCTTTTCTGAATATTTTCGTATCGATAAATCGATTGAAAAAAAAATAGTTTTGACTCAAATAGAAAGCTCAATTCCAGAGAAACAAAATGCAGAAACTTTTCGTCGTGTCAATTCTTATTTTGAGTGTTTACAGTATGCCAGTTGATCAAGAATTGGTTGGAGGAAGATCTGTTCCACATCCAAGTAAGTATAAGGGGGTTCTCCAAGAGAAGTACACAGAAATTAATTATGTGTGCAATAGAGCAAACTTGAATTTTTTCCGATGAAATACAACCTCTCTAACAAAGAAAATAATATAAAATTGGTAACTTTTGAAAAAGATTAGCGTTATCATTTGTGAACTACAAATATTTGTTTTGTCGAAAAAGGCGACGAAAACTTTGTTTACTATCAGCTTTCCTCTTTCTTATCAATCAAAAACCAATGTCCAACATTTACAGACAGTGCAGCTGGACAAGCTTTCGCTAATAAGGATTTGTCAGCTGATGGCAAAACTGGAGGAAGATCAGTGCCTCATCCAAATTCTGCTGCTGGCCAAGCTCTTTCAGCTGGAGCCACCGGTGGTTCTTCAGTTCCACATCCAAACTCGGCTGCTGGACAAGCGTTGAGCGAGAAAACTGTTTTAGAGGGAGGAACTCAAGTTAAGCCATGGCTTAAGAATCAACCAAATTTGGCTAACTTGAACAAAGATGAATAATTCGATTTTGAATCAGAAATGAGTGTAAATTATGTGTATTTTTTTTTCAAAAAATGAAATTTTACCTTTGTATAATCCTTCAAATTCGTGTCATTTACAACTTCGATAATTGGCTCATCAAATTTCTGCATATTTTCAAACCATCTTTGTCGAAATTTCAAATTCCTTGATTTATCAACAGTTTCAACGATAAATTCCTTCGAAAAAATATTGCACAATTTTGCTCCGTAACCATTTCGTCCTCCTGAATATTCATGATATTTTCTCGAGAAACAAAAAACAAGGAAATCCAAACCAACCAACAGTCTTGATCTCATTATCATCATAATTCGAAGAAGTGAACAAATTTCCAAAAACCAATGTTGGCACATAAACTCCTTCTTTTGGATGAATTTCGACCGGTAATCCTCGACCATTGTTCCAAACACTGATGCGGTTCGTTTCTCTGAAAATATTTAGGTTTTCACGTGTTTTTGAATAATTTCACGAGGAAAATATAGACCTCAACATTTTTCCAGGTCCAAAAGAAAAAGAAAAAAGTGTGGTCCGCGGTAAAGTCCCCGCAATCCATAGGTTTTTGATTGAAGGGGTGGAATACAGTCCTGGAATACGATTTATGCCCACTTCCATGCAATCGCAATATAGAAAACACATGCGACTGTTTGGTAATGGGGCAAAGCGGGAGTCGAACTCTCGACCTTCAGATTCAAAACTCAACACTCTACCTCTACACTATTTGTCTGTCGCTGGGCCTGCGAACAAAAAACGTTTAAAAAGAAGAGACGGCTAGAGTATATTTATTTTCGTGAAGCGAGAGAAAACAAACCTCACCCAACACCTGGAATTCCAGGTGGGCAATTTTTTTTCGAAAACCCTAGGTGGGCAAATTTTTTAGGGTCTTTAAGGCGAGCCTCGGCTGGGCAAATTTTTTAGGGTCTTTAAGGCGAGCCTCAGCTGGGCAAATTTTTTAGGGTCTTTAAGGCGAGCCTCAGCTGGGCAAATTTTTTAGGGTCTTTAAGGCGAGCCTCAGTTGGGCAAATTTTTTAGGGTCTTTAAGGCGAGCCTCAGCTGGGCAAATTTTTTAGGGTCTTTAAGGCGAGCCTCGGCTGGGCAAATTTTTTAGGGTATTTAAGGCGAGCCTCAGCTGGGCAAATTTTTTAGGGTCTTTAAGGCGAGCCTCAGCTGGGCAAATTTTGAAAATAAACCCAGGTGGGCAGTTTTTTTCCCACTTCTCCAGGTTCTTGGGTGAGGTTTGGAGAGAAAAAAGGAACTTTTGGGGAAAATGAGTTCTTATTTTTCTTTTAAAAAAAATATCAACAAACCTATCTACAGTAACTTCTAGTCGATCCATATTTCTATCTCTAATTTTATTATCCGCCGAATTCACAAGAATTTCATCGAAAATTTTGAGCAAACCCGGTGGATAATTTCCAACTGTTCTATGCATTTTCCGGATTTTTCGATCAAAATTCCAAATTTCCGCATTTTCTCTCATCCCAATTCCTCCAATATAAGTATCGGGTCGAATCAAAACGTGCTCCATCGCACTTTTCTTTTCATATTTCGAAGCTTCTCCAAATTTTCGAAGCGATACAGTTCTGATAACATTTTTTGGTTGCAATAATATCCGTCTCATAAACTATTTCGATTTTTGGGGTTAAATTAAATGTGAAATCTTCAAATATAAACATGAAGACCACAACTTCGATGTTTTTCAAAGAAAAAATTACAAACAAATAACAAAAAACATTCATGAGATCAATAAAATGTTAAAAATAAAAATAGAACAAAATTTGAATATTTACAATAATCTACCTCGACAAATATCGGATCCACAATTGCATTGAATTTTTTCATCATCATCTCTTGTGAAAGTATAATTATAATCCCAACAGAGTTCCTGAAAATAAAACATTGAAATGGAAAGATTCGGGGAGAAAAATATGGAACAAAAAACTCGCTTAAAATATAGTTATGACGTGGCAAAGTTGCCTGTCGTAATTAACTTCAGAGCAAATATTTTCGAAAACACAAAATTCAAAATTCTATCCGAAAAATTGTGAATTTTTCCCAATTTCAGAAGTCAAAACGGAACTTTCTCCAAAAATCGTTTAAAATGTTTTGAACTTATCAAATCTTTTGAAAAAATGTGAAATCCGAATTCAAAAATATTGGATCAGAAACTCCGATTTATGGCAGTGGTGGCAACTTTGCCACGTCATAACTATATTTTTGGCGGGGTGCGGCGAGTTGTGAATCATAGAATTTTCGGAATATCATTTCTGGGATACTCTTCTCTCCGAAAAACACTCACCTCTCCAGCTCGAACAGGTTTAACTGTGAAAAACGCAACCCAAGGAAGCCGCAAATCATGTGTATCATATAAAACATGCTGAACATGAACATTCGGATCGCACGAATGGTTGAGGAATCTGCAAAACAATCAAATAGTTATCCCAAACATACATAGAATCGAGGAGAGCAGCTTAACTTCTACCAAAAATCGGAAAATTGTTAGATTTATCCAAAAATCATTCAAAAATGCGGGGAAAGGGGTTTAAATTTGGCAATTTTTCAAAGAGTGAGCCTAAAAATGCATAAAATAAGTCTCGAGAATCGGGGTGGCGAGCTTAACACTTTTTTTCTAAAATCTAAAGGAGAGAGTGCCTAACTGGGCTAATTTTCTGCAAATAATTCAGGAAAATTCCCAAATTTATCAAAAGACTGAAAAATTTGGCTAAATGTATGATCCGAATCCCAAAAACCCGATAAAACCCCCTAACCTTCCAATATTTCCTCTCGCTTTCGCATCAACCACAAAAAGTGCCATATCTTGGAAATAATCATCCCATTTGAATGCTCGATTCAGTGCATCTTCTTCATTTCTCTCTTTCATTTTTTCCATCTTCTTTTTCGATTTTTCTCTTTGCTTCTTAGCAGTCTGCCGATTCGATCTTCTCAAATTCGCATCTTCCGAACTCATACTCGCTCCTTCATCTGAGTTTCCTAATCCATCATCAGCAACATTCTCACTTTCACCTTCTTCTTCCTCTTCAAAATCTTCATAATCCTCATCATCTTCGAATCCATGATCTCCTTCGTTATCAACCATCATTTTCTCTTTTTCTACCTTAATTATTTATTGAAGTTTGAGAAAAACCTTTCAAGAAAATAACTTACAACATCTTTCAAATCCAAATCCGCAAAATATTGATCTTCATTCTGTAATTGATCAGCCAAATCATTTGTCAACAATGCTCCAACATAATTACACAAAAATGCGCCTTTTGGAATGTCAGTCAAAGCACGAACACCCCATCCAGATTGAGCGGTTTTGAATAGCTGAAAATCGCAATTTCAGATTCATTTTTAAGGGAAACACTTACCTGCATCGGATATTTGATATTATTTTGAACAACTCGATTATGACACGTTTTTCTACACGAACATTGATCATTGCATTCATAAATTCCACTAGAAACTTTGGCAGACAAAAGTCGATAATCATACCTGAAAAAATATTGATTGAAACTGCCAGCGCTAATCAAAATCTCAAAAAAAAACTCACAATCCTTGAAACTTTTTGTTTGGATATTGAAGCATTTTGGGTAATCGATTATACGAATCCATTGTTAATTTTTGACATTCACAACTTGGTGAGTCCGTGCAATTTCCTATAAAATTTCGATTCGCTCAGAAACTTTTAGAAAAAATTCCAAACCTTGACAAGTGCAACCCGAACAAAAATCTCGATGAATCGAATGTATATCAACAGTTGCATCATATTGAAAACGTCTTTTCGTGTATTCGATTTGTGGCGGATCTTCGTTGTCAATTGTGTTAACGGCTGGGATTGGAATACCTTCTAATCCATTTGTATAATCAGCTGTTTTTATATATTTCGGATCGACCTGAAAAAAAAACTTGTTTTGGGAGTTGATGGGAAAAACATCCACGTGGCAAAATGATTTTGGATTTTTTAGTGGAGATCGAATTTTCGCGTCAAAAATCCACGTGGAAAAGGCTTTGTGGAACTTTGAAAAATTAATTTTTATCGGATATAAACTCCAAATGTTCGGATTTTTTGGAGAAATCCTCGAGAACTGCACAAACAAAAGCGGCGCCAACAAAATGTTATTCAAAACCTGAGATTCTGCGCATAGAAAAACTCACATAAATAAATATTTCGGTATCAACATCCAAATCAAACGAAAAACAATCAATAGTAACCATACTTCTCGTTTCGGTCAAATATTCTCCAATTTCTCTCAATGTTGTCAATGGTTTTCCACACGGCGCATAATATAAAATAGTTCTCCGTGTTGTTGTTCTTCTTTTGAACACTCGAAGAGTGAATTTCTGAAAAAAAAAATCATTAGAGAAAAATTAGAGAAAAATACACTCTAAACTAACATATCTCCGCCATCCGCATAAAAGTGGAATATGAAGTGGTGAACATTCATAAAATCTCGAATTATAAGGATCTGAATCCATATTTTGAAGACATTCTGGTCCACATTTTTCATGAAATTTCAAATCTTTCAATGCTTTTAATTCCGGCGTCTCATTTCTTCGTTTCAAAATCTGAAAATAACACAATTTCACGTTTCACGTCATAAATAATTAATTAATTTACCATAGTTTGTTTCTTTCTCCTATCAGCAATCTCAGAATTGCTCATTTTCTTCGTTTTCTTATTTTCCGAATAATTTGCAGTGTCCAACATATTAATAGCTTCATAATCCAATCTTTCAACTTGCGGCATTCGTTTTCTTGGTTCAGCATTATCAAATTGTCGCAATACTTTATCCATTGATCTTTTCGATATATTATTGTTCTCAGTTCCTTTTCCATTAAATTGATAAACTTCGGGAATTCGATAACTTCCTCGATAAATCGATTCATCAGTGTGTGAATGTCCTTCTTGAAGACAAGGATAATCAATACATCCGTAGCCGATTGAAGAAATTGATTGTTGATGTCGAACTATACAAAAACCACGATCTGTATGGACGACTGTTACCATATTTTTGTGTCGGCGATCGAGTGAAGGATAATATATCTGCAAAAAGAAAATTAATTGAATGATAGGAATATTTTGAAGTAGAAGAAAGTATATATATTTTAATTTTAAAATCATGGTTAGAAATGTAGCATGAAAATTTAGCCCAAAAAACATATGATAACCCAAATGTTGAAAGTTTTTGGACTATTTCGCCGTTAAATTTTGCTTCGTAATTTCAGGCTCTGAATACTGTATAAGGGGTTTCTGAAATCCGAGAATTTCCTGATAAAATTTGAAAGCCATTAAGAAGTTATAGCATTGCAAAGACACCTTTTAAATATTTCAATCTTTCTTCAGTGTTTAGAACTTTCAGAAATATTTCTTCGAAAAAATATGTACATTTTCATCCAATTCAAAGCAAAATTTTGACTTCTACAAATTCCTAACCTAGGTATCCCCCTCTCCCCTTCCAAACCCCTCACCTGCAAAACTTTTCCAATCGCAAGTCTCAAAAGTGGCCATTCGGGATACTTTTCCATAAACTTTTCCAAAAAATGCGCTCTAATCCGATCTCTCAATTGCTCATGAACCTTCAATCGATCGAGTTGAGCATTTTCGTTGAAACTTTGTGAAATCATCGGAACCATTTTCAACAGAGAAATACGTTTTTTGACAACTTCAACATTATTTGTATCGGTGGGTAGCTGCAAAATTTGAATATGCACATTTTTATATCAGAAAAACAAATACCTCATAAATAGCAATAGATTCTTTGGAAATAGCACTATAGGGAGCATTCAAATAAATATCATCTCCTCTATCTAAAAATACAAGAAATTCATCGCCATGTGATGCAGATCTTCCTCCAATTGTTCCCGAATACCATCGATATACTTCAGATTTTGCCGATTCTTTGCATAAACAAGCAACTCGTAGACCAACATAACATGTATTTATAACTAAAGCATCCATCATTCCAAATTTGATAAATGCAATATCTTTGATATTTACAGTTTCGGATACTGAACTACGAACAAATTTCAAGCGATAACAAACTGATGAAGGCTGCAAAATATGATAAGTGTATTAGGGCTAATTTATCAGAAATTCTGAGGCTAGAAATTTAAATTCGTCTAATTTAAAATTTTTTGAGATTTTTCTGATTTATTGAATATCAGCGATTCTAAACGTATATGAATCCTAATGAATTTTTTCTGAATAAATACAGCAAATTATTTTTTTTTCAAATTCTAACCTGATTTTCAACAATAGCTAATTGTAAATATTGATTATCATTAGCATCGGCTCTTGCTAAACAATAATCTCCTGGCCATAAAACAAGTGCTTCGTGTAATGTTTTTGCAGATTCTCTGATTTCAGCAATTTCCGAATTCTTCTTATCAATCATTTCTTTTGTTGCATCCATTGAATCGATTAATTGTTGCACTTTTTCACGTTCTTCGTTACTCAATAAATCCAATGTTTCAGGCGGTTCAATTTTTGAGATTTCATCGCGAATATCATCCATTTTACAAGACAATAGTTCATTTTTCACTTGAAGTACTCGATCCATATCTTCTCGAATCGCTTTTTCAGTTGCTTCCAAATCATGAAAAGCTTCATCCAAGATTCTGCAATATTTTATTTTAGATTTCGGGATCCTTTTGTTAGATCTAACTGACCCGGTTATTTTCCCATTTTCTTCGTGAATTTCTTGATTTTTCTGCCAATATTGTTTCGAAGTTTTCACAACTAAATTTTCAAATTCTTCCAATTCTTTTAAAGTGCAAGTATATGTTTCGATTTCCATAAACTCGAGATTTACAGGTATCGAACTTTCGTTTAACCAATGAAGAGTTAAACCCAAAAATACAAAAGATGGAGGCGCGTAGATCAATTTCATTAGTTCTAATGGTCCATGAGTTGTGCCTTCTTCGACTCCAGTATCAGCAAAATCAAGAAATCTTCGAATCTCTCTATATGCCCATAAATCAAGCCGATCGTAACAAAGTGGTCCAAAATCGATATTATCCTCATTATTCTCTGAAAAAAACAGTTTCAAATCAAATTTTTAAAACAAATCATGAATTCATATGCAAAGAAAAAATATAAAAATGTACGAGTGATGTCAGAAAGACAGATCATTGAATCTTATCCATTCCAACATCTCACAAACACTTTTCCCAAGTCGGAAACCGTCACAACTATTGAAAGTTGATCCGGGGCAAAGACCGGGCAAGGCATCGAACTGCGACCTTGTGAACGGCAAACAAACACTCTACCGCCTGAGCTATCAAAGGTTGTCAGAAACTATGAGAGAAAAGTGTAGAAGAGAAAGAGAGGAAAACAGATGGGGAAAAAAAGCAGAGAAAGTATTTTTCGATGGGTTTTGAAGACTCACTTTCCAAAGTTGCTACACAAATTCCCATAAGAGCATGATGAACTGAAGGAAGATCGAATTCTTCAACAACTTTGTCCAAATCCTCACATTTTTTATAACATTCAAGATATTTTATTGAAGATTCCATTTCAATAACTATAGAAGGCATAATTGAACTTGTCAAATAATCTGCTCGAAATATTTCGCAATTTTCGATGAGTTCTGGTTTCAAACGAATGAACCATCTGAAAAAGGGATTCTTGAATTGAAAATGTTATTTTGTATAGATACTCACGATAATAATTTGTCTATCCGATCAACTCGTAATTTACTCTTCTCTTCTTCTGTCGCTGCTTTAGTTATTATAATGTCATCATCGTCATCATCTTCATCATCCAATACGACTTCCTGTAAAAATTTTGTAGTATTCGTCTTGCGTTTCAGCTTCAGGAGAGAGAAAAGCTAAAGTTTTTCAAAATGCCCAACCTCAATTGCGTTTGTCGATTCAACAATTCTAATATTTTCTGTGTTGTTTGCTGCCATCGACATCTCAACAACTTCAGAACTTTCACTTTCTATTTGAACCTCTGAATCATCATCCAAATCAATAATCTCATCAGACTGATCTCCTCGTGCATTTTGAAACGAATCCAAACTGTTTTCATCAATATTCGAAAGATTTGCAGCTTCGGTGTAGTTTACTATTTCTTCGAGAACTTCTTTGATGACTTCTTCATCCATTATTTTTCTGCAATAAAATTATATTTTTCGAAAATGATAAAATGAGAATAAACGTTATTTACGAGGCCAAACCACGTGTTTTCATTAATTTTTGACTCGAAAATGAAAAGCTTCATTTCTATTGTTTCAATTCCATAAAGTGAGTTTAGCATGACTAAATAACGCCTGAAAACCTCTGAAAAACACGACGAAACAAAAAAAAACACATTTTCAAATGCTGCGCGTCAAGTTGTGTGCTTGCACACTTTGCGGTGTTTGCACTTTTTTGGGTGTGGCTTTCGCATTGAAGGAATTTGTACAGTAATCCTAGTTACTAAAATCGATTTCAGTGAATACATATATTGGGATCCCGCGGGAGAAACTCAATATCATTCGAAATATTCAAAATATTCCGAAATTTCTCGAAAATTCATGATTTCAGTAATAATTCAAAGCACAAAACGCGTTGTTCGGTTGTCATGGATACATAAGAATTATTCGGAAAATAAATTGGACAGCGATTTTTCATTCCTCTCTCAAAAATGTCGATGAAGGTAAGCGTTTTATTCCGATTTTGAAAAAATTCAATGTTATTCAGATTCAATATCGTCGATCAGCAGATGAAATCGGAAACGGAACCCCAATTGTAAAATGGCGACCAAATTCGCATGCTCTCGCAGTTGCTTGTCCAAATCAAAGTGTCATTTATTATGACAAAAAAGGAAATATAATTGATGCTGTTGAAATGACTGGACCAGTTTTAGATATTGCATGGGATAAAGAAGGCGATGTTCTTGCAATTGCACAAACAAGTATGTCAACTATCACTTTATGGGATGTTAATTCAAGATCAACGGATATTGTCGAAAGTGGAGCAGCTTCCACGAAGTAAGATTTTGTCTTGGTTTTTGGAAGGCTCTCATGTCTTGGTTTCAGAGAAGTTCCAACATGTATGACTTGGTCACCAGTGAGTTCCACTTTGGTTGTTGGAAATAATGGTGGAAATTTGTTGGTGTATAATCATAGAAATTCAAGAAAAGTATCATTGATGGGGAAACATCAAAGAAGTGTTGCTTATGTTAGAATAACTAATGATGATTTGATTGTTTCTTGCAGTGATGATAACACGATTTCCAGTAAGTTTTATAAAATCAGTTCCAAACGGCCAGATCGGATTTGGGATTTCTAGATTCCGGAACCGACAGATTTCTCAAGGCGAGAAAAAAACAGCTTGTAGATCAAAAAAATTTGCGAGTTTAAAAATTACAACTTTTCAGAAAATTTTTAAACTTGACTCTGAAACTCATAAATTTTGAATTTCTAGTCACTTGATAACAAAAAAAATGATTTTTGAAAAGCAAGTTTGCATGAAAATCTTGAAATTTTAAAACTGTGAGTTTCACACTCATAATATTTTTTGATCTACCCAAAATAAGTGTGCGGAACCTTGCCATTTAGGCTCAACCCTTTATTGAATTTTTCTGCAGCAGCGGTTTTTCATTGGAAAAGGTTCTGTTTTCTGAAGCTTTCCACACCAAACCAATGTTCAAATGGTTTTTTTCTATCGAGAGTTATGCAAAATTATTTTTACTAAAATGTTTGGATTTTTTTCTCTCTCTCTGAAGTTTGTTCTTTTGCTCATGAATATTGTTTTTCTAGTATCAAGTTTGGATGGTCAAACAATTGCAACATCTACAGTAAGCGGAGAACCAACTTTTTTAGAAATTGGACAAGTTGTTAGATCTGGCACCACTACTCAGACCATGGTAAGATTAATACCCTCAACACAAATTCAGAATCATTTTTGTCTTCAGATTAGCTGCATTCTTGGCAAGAAAATCTTGATGTTAGCTGATGTGACAAGCCTCGATAATCCAGTCAATTTACAATTTCAAGAAAGATATGGAAATATAACATCATATTCTTGGTATAATGATGGATACCTCTCAATTGGTTTTGATAAAGGTTACATCGTTTCAATATCAGCTCATCAATCAGAACTTGGATCGGAAATCAGTAGCATAACGGAATATAAAACATATCTGGGAGCTGTTATAACAAGTCAATCATTTGATAAAGTTCTGTCAGTTGGAGATAATCAAATCAAAATTCGTGAATTATCCCAAATGAATGATATGTATATTATGAGTGATGTTGATACGGATAATAATTTGAATGATATTCAAATAACCGACGATGGCCAATTAATTGCAGTCACCTCAATTTCTGGTCAATTATTTGTGTATGTCACAAAAATGCCATCACTTGCAGCTGCTTATTGCAATACAATTGCATATTTAACTGGATTGACACAAATAACAATATCAGCTGATTTGGATAAAAAACAAATAACAACATTGGAAATTGGAATTGAGCCAAGTTTATTGGGAGTTGGGCCGATGAATTTTGCAGTTGCGACGAATAATCAAGTATTTTTTTATGATTTCAATTTTCCAACTTCGCCTTCTCTAATTATCCAACAATCATCTGAAAGAGTCACATTTGCTGAACCAATCAATAAATCCGAATACTTGGCAACTGTCACAAATGTTCAATTAAATAGTAATTTCGCTGCAATCACAACTGGCAATAAACTTCGACTTCACAAAATTCGATACAGCGAGGAGAATAATGTCACTATTGATTTCCCCGAACCTTCGAGAAATGCTCGACTTTTATCTTCAGCGCTAACCGATAATTTCCTGATTTTTTCAACTGATGTAAGAAGAAGTTAGCAAAACATTCCCAACAATTTTATTTTTTCAGACCAACTACATTGTCTATTTTTCATTAGATGAATGGTCAATTGTGAGTGAATATCGACATGTTGTTCCACTTCGAAGTATTTTTCCGCATCCTACAAATGTGATGTGTTGTTGTTTTGATGATCGACTTGATACGCTGATTTATAGCGCGGTTGATGATGGAATTTTGAAGTTACCAGCTGTTGGGAGTACTGTACATGTTAGTTTTGAAAGGGGGAGAAACCTAGTTAGGACAACTCAAAAATAGATCCTCGAGGAATTATTTCTCGAATGCTCTATGAAATGCTCGGAATACCTAAATTCAAAGAATTGATAAAATCTCATTTCCAAAAAAAATTGCCAGAAGCTATTCACTTTTTATTCATAACTCTGACAAAATTTAACCTAATTCTTGAGAATAGAGATCGAAAAAAGAAAAACTTCATAAACAATCCGTATTCTTCTAATTTTCATGTGAAATTTCAATTTTGAAAGATTATCGATTGGAAATTATTGGTTTCAGTTATTTCGAGAAGAATAACTTCTAATGTTACATTTCACAATTCGATGTTCATTTTTCTGTCTTTGTCTTGTGTTTCTCTATCTTCTCATATACGATGTTCTCGATGAAAATCGTGAAATTTCCTGATTTCACAATTCACGAAAAAATAACGAATTGAAAAAATAAAAAAAAGCGAGAGAGTGTTGCATCTAGAAGAGACGAGGAGAAGGAGAGAAAAACACGACGGTTTGCAAACATTTTTCCGAACCTCAAAACCGTTTTTTGTTTTTTCACAAAAAATGCTAAAATCCTTCAAACTTAACCAAATTTCACAATCTTTGCTGGAAAAAATAGCAAATTCTCGGGAATAGAGATTGCAATAAGAAAAACCTCAAAAAATTTTCTCGAAGGACCAAAATACCATGATTATAGGTTGTTAGCCTCGATTTCCTCATTTTCGTAGTCCGAATTTTATTTTTCTGCTTTTGCCTTGTCTTTCTCTATCTTCTCATATATAATGTTCTCGATCAAAACTGCGATTTTTCCTGATTTCACGAAAAAAACCGAATTGAAAAAACGAACGAGAGAGTGTTGCTTCTAGAAGAGACGAGGAGAAGGAGAGAAAAATGAGAGATAGAAACTCGTAAGAGAGAACGCCAGACAACACGACTTTTGTGAATTTTTTTTCTCAACCCCAAAACCATTTTTCGTTTTTTCACAAAAAATGCTAAAATGCTTCATACTCAACCAAATTCAAAGATCTTTGCCACACATGTTCAAGAGAAAGAAAATGATGCAATGCGCCTTTAAACAAAACTGAAATCGGTGTCGCCTGCTATGACAAAATGGCTTAACCGAAAAAATCACAACGTTCCGAAACGCAATTGGGTGAGAGGAGAGAGATTCTAGAGAAAGCATACGTTTTTAGTGGGCAAACGTGCTCAAATGATAACCAGAATTCTACTTTTTCAAACATTTTCTGAGAGGTCGTTCAAACGTATTGCCGACATTGATCAAACAAATGGCCAAGCGCTATACACACATGTATTATTTTTCTTTCTTTTTTTGAAAAATGAAGCGAGGCGACAAGAGTTCACGCGAATAATCAAATAAACGTGAATTCTTTTATGTTTTTGTCTAAATCTCTTCCTCTCACCCTATTGCATTTTATCATTAGCGTAAAATGTTGTGAAAAAATATGATTAGATATTCGAAATCTACGTATTCGAATTTAGTTGAATAACTATGCGCCGATTCACACACGTTTTTCCCATGCAATGAAGAGTCATGGTAAGCAGTGACAACGGTGTTTGCGGACAGGTGTTTGCACACATTTTGTTCTCACACATCTCTCGCACTCTCCACTGTGTTTTTTTCTAATAGAAAAATGCAATTTCGAGGAGACGCAGACACTCGCTGGTCTCGACGCGCTGTGTGTCTGCCACACACTATTTCTCTCCCTTTTTCGGCGAGAGATTTGTCTGCACACGTTAAAGTCTGCGTCTCCCTCGAATTGCAAAAAAAAATACAGTGTCTCCTCGTTTGTCACACTCTTTATTTTTTTCTTGTGAAAAAAAGAGGTACGGTTTCAAAGGCGCATGTGTTTTCAATTTGAAATGGTCTCGCAGCGGAGGCTAACTTTCTTCCCAGGACCCCTAAAAATTAAAAATAAAGTCATTCGCACAGATCTCGATACGCTGATTTTCGCTATGTTTTTTGTTTTTGATCAAGTAGGGGTAATTAAACCGCTAGACGTTGCACCGTTTTTGTCGGCTGCGCGATGAAAATTGCACAACTTTCTTCTTTTTCAAACGTGTGTGGATTCACCAAACACCCTAGGAAAAAAGTCACCATCGCTTCGAGATATCGCTCGTAAAAAACATTATGTTCCTTTAAAATTCTACCGTAAAATGACAAATAAAGAGTGTGAAACACGGAGAGAGTGCGAGAGAAAAAAAGGAAAATCTGCATACACACAGGTACGCAGAGTGTTTGCAAACAGTAAGACTCATTGCACCGTTTGAACGTGTGTGTTGCGGCAAAAGATAGCAAATCCTCGAGAATAGAGATGGCAAAAAGAAAAACCTCGAAAACTTTTCACCAAACACCAAAAAATGATGATTATAGGTTTTTCGCATTGAAACATTCGAATACCTGTCTTGAAAGTTCTACTAACCCATCTATCCAAGTTTCAAAATTCAATTTCAGTACAAAGGTGCACTTTGGGAAACGTTCACAATCGATAAAGACACCTTCGCAGTTTATGACAATCAAAATATCTATGTATTTCTCATGACAAAACGACGAATTGAAGGAGAAGGTGTTGCATTTATCGGAACTACAAAACTACCGTATTCTCATGTGCCTTTAACATTGAACAAGGTAACCTCATTATTTTTTGGAATTATTTTTAAAACTCAATGATATTTTTCAGGGACTTGTGAAATGTCTGGTTCCTTCTGGAAAAATTTCATCAGTTCTTCTGAATTCGCATAGAACTGATACGATTTTGGAAAACAAAAATAATCAGCAGGTTAGCTATTTCAAAAAAATATTTTGTTTTCTAAAAAATTTGTTTTTAGATTGGCGAGTTATTGAATCGAGCTTTATTGATGCAAAGGCAAGTTTTTTTTTCAAATTTTATCCGAATTCACCAACTATCCAATGTTGAAAATGGGTCTTGATGAGTCTGAAAATTTTTTATGTTGTTTCAAATTATATTTGGTGCCTCACCGCCACTGTATTTGTGTTTCCTGATGCTGGAACTACAAGATCAGGAGTGCTTGAAAAAGTTCTTGAAGTTGATGGAGGTGGTTGTGGTGTGGTGTTAGCTTGAAAATTTTTCGAAATTAAGTATTTTTTTGGTGAGGTTCTTACGATTTGCAAATCCTGTATCTCTTCTTGGAATATCATTCATACGCATGGCATCTGAAAATTCAAATTTTTTCTAGAATTTTGAATTCAAAAACTAACTTTGTTGAGCATTGAAGTCGTAAGCAGCATTCATCTAAAAATAATTGTTTTTCTTCGATCACAAATTCCAAGATCATTGAAAACTTACCGCTGCATTTTTTCGTTTTTGAACAACCATAGTACGGTATGCTGCATAGACCAATATTCCAATTAGAACTAATCCTTCAAGAATTGCTACAGTAACCGCTGCACCATTTCCAGAAGATTGATTTGATTTTGAGGTATCGTATTTTATACGAATCCAACTTATCTGAAGAAGCTTTTAGTTTTTGCGAATCTAAAAGTAGCTTGAAAATTCAAGATGATTCCAAGGTTTTTGATTTAAAAAAATGATTTTGATAAACCTACAGTAGCATTTCTAGGTATATCCGGTCTTAGTGTTGTTGGTGGTTTTGTTGAACTTGCAGTTGTCGATCCTGTGTTTGTTGTACTTTTAGGTGTAGTCGACGTTGGTTTAGTAGTAGTTGTTGATTGTTGCACTGAATTGGAAATCATTAGAAGGAGATGCACAATTTTTAAAAAATTTTGATACTTGAACAGCCCTGTCAACTCATTTCGAACCAGTGTACAGTTTTTGAGAAAATTTACTTGAACACTTGAACTCTTTGAACTGAACAGTTTAGCGTTCAATTTTTAATTTTTTAAACACAATCAAGTATTCAAAATGTGCTAAAAACTACAATACTTGTTTCCAGATTCATTTTTCTAACAACTCACAGCTTTTTATTTCAATAACAGTTTGTTGTAGAGTATTAACTTGCGCAGTTTCGTTCACAACAAAAAATCCTTGCTCATAAGTAGATTCCCATTCCAAACCAATTGTAAAATTTTTCTTATTTTCACCTACTTCTCCCTTAATTGATTTTTTGAAATCAAAATTTTGTTCAAGTGGAAAATATCACTCACTCCGTTCATATATATAGCGATAGTATCCGTTGATTTTTCACATGAATGTTGACATGGCTTTGAATCTATCTGGAGAAAATTACAGTGACTTATTGATCTTCGTTTGTCAACTTACAGTAATGTTGAGTGCTGTACAATTAAGTGATGTTGATGGAGTAAAAATAATCGAGGTTATTAGAATATTGTCTTTATATTCACAATTCACAAAAAATAAAAGAAGTGAGAAGAAGAAAATTGAATTTCTCATCTGAAAAAATTTTTTGAAGTAGGATACAGTAATCTAGAAATTTGACACGTCATAGCTTTTTTTCAAAAAACTTTACAAAATGAGGGATCAAATATAGCCAGATGTGACTGTAAGAAATCGGAAAATCGGGAAAATTTCCGGCACCGACTTGCAGATTCAAAATTAAAATGTTATTTTTCAGATGGGTGCAAGCTTGGAAAATTTGCGAATTCTCAAATGATTTATCACATTGGAATATGTTTGCTCATGCTTGTCTTTTGGATTCAGATGTATTAATGGGTAAGCAAAAAATTAATATAATTTCAACAAAAATAAATAAATACAAATTGATGAAAATGCAAAAAGTAATTGATAAGAAGTGTTCTAATCATTATGAATCGTCACTCAAAAGCTTTTTTCAAATTTGGCAAAAAATCGATAAATACTTGTTTGATTAGTCACAATAATACTTTTTGTATGGATGCTATCTAAATATTGAAACACAAAAAAAATGAATTTTTTGAAACAAAAAAAACATGGATAGATAAAAAGGACATGTAAATTTATATTTATGTGTTGTTTTTTATTTGGAAAAAAAAACAATTTTTTGGATAATTTTGGGTTTCGAGGACTGTAAATACACAAACAATTTTCCAGCCATTCGAATATTTCGACATATTGGTGACGTGGCAATGGTGAACGCTTTGGAACAACTTGAACATCTCGAGGAGAAGAATCTGTTATCAGCTCAAGTTGCGATAATTCTTGGAAGATATGATGAAGCTGAGCAGTTATTCATGTTATCTTCTCGACCAAATGAAGCACTTAATGTACTTAAAATAATATGGGGGAAAATATTTGAGAGAAATTTAATTTTTCAGATGCGTCGAGATCTTTTGGAATGGCCAAAAGCATTGGTTTTGGCTGAAAAAATGGCACCCGAAGAGATACCGTATATTTCAAAGGAATATGCACAGCAATTAGAATTGATGTATGTTTTGAACCTAGATACAGTAACCCTTGCAGTTTGAGTTACAGTATACCTTGCAGTTCTCGATAATTGTCATCCTAATCCTGAGGCTACAGTATACCTTGTAGTCTTCAATTTGTTATTCGGGCTAAACTAACTTCTGAAAATTCTCGAGGCTACTGTAATTCTTTGCAGTTTGGAGTACAGTAGGTCATCGTACTCTTTGTAGCCCGGGATGGCTACAAAAATCCTTCGAATTACAGTATTCCTTGTAGTCTTTGATTTTTAATATGAGGCTACAGTAATCCTTGCAGTTCTAGTTCAGAAATATTTCTCAAATCCCTCATTTCAGGGGTGATCACGCAAATGCTCTTGACAATTATGAAAAAGGATTGTTGGATAATAACTTGGTTGAAAATCAAGAACACAATGAAATATGTCAATCTGGAATTGCTAGAATGTCAATAAAAACCGGAGATTTGAGAAGAGGAATTCAATTGGCAAAAAGTTTGGAAGGTCGAGTTGTGAAAAGAGATTGTGCAATTATATTGGAGCAATTGAAACAATATACTGAAGCTGCACAACTTTATGAAATTGGATTGTTTTTTGATCGAGCTGCAGCTGTTTGTCTTAAAGCAAATGCTTGGTTGGTTTTTTTTTTGGGATTTTGACAAGATTTCTTGAAAATAATTTGCAATTGGTTGTAATCACAATATATTTTCTGACTAAAAATAATTCAAAAAATCAACAAATGTCTACTTTTTAGGGGAAAAGTTGCTGATCTTCTTGACAAAGTCAAATCTCCAAAAATTCATATTCAATATGGAAAAATAATGGAAAATGAGAAGAAGTTTAAAATGGCGGCTGTTGTGAGTTTTTTTTCTAGATTTTTTGCGAAGATATTTCTGTAGAGCATACAAGAATTTTTCAGTGTTATGAACGTGGTCGTGATTATGACAATCTTGTTCGAATACTCCTTGATCCATTAAATATGCCAGAAGAAGCGGTTCGAGTTGTGAGAGAAAGTCGGAGTATTGAAGGAGCGAAGCTTGTGGCAAAGTAGGAATATTTTCTGAAGGAGGACCTATTTTTGAGCCCTGGCTACCCCGTGAGCCTCTCTGATTTGTTTCTTTTTCCAGATTCTTCTCTCGTCTTGGTGATCACAGTTCAGCGATTCAATTCTTGGTAATGTCTCAATGTATTCAAGAAGCTTTTGATTTGGCAGAACGAAATGATAGTATGGCTGATTATGCGACTGCAATTGAACAACACGGAACAGCTGAACAGGCAAATGAATTGGCTGAATATTTTGTATCAATTGCTGATCATTTTAATGCTGCGAGGTTTCATATTAAAGGAGGACAATTTCAGACTGTGAGTTGATTTTTTGGTGTTAAATTTGTCTAAAAAAATTCGGACACTTTTGATTACTCACGTGAACTTGTGAATCGAAAAATTCAGAAGTTTTTTCGTAGATTATTCGAAATCATTTTCTGGATTTTACATAATGCTGTATTTTTATTCAGCCAAACTTTCAACGATTTTTTATAGAAAATGAACTGTGCCCCTAGGCAGAAACAGTTAGAAAATTAATAAAATTAATTTTTAACTTATGCGGCTATTCAACTCTTTTCTCAAATGCTCAAAGAATTCAACAAAAACCGAAATTTTGATTCTCGTTGAAAGAATTCAACAAAAACCGAAATTTTGATTTTCGTTGAAAGAATTCAACAAAAACCGAAATTTTGATTCTCGTTGAAAGTAGTTTTAGAACTTTACTCGTGACAAAAGTTATTGAAGGACTGAAATTTCTCAGAAATTTCACGATTTTTACCGAGAACATCATATATGAGAAGATAGAAAAAGACAAGGCAAAGACAGAAAAATAAAATAGGATTGTGAAATTGACTAGAATTTCTGAAAAACATTTTCCAAAAACTACTGTGGCCTCAAATTTCAAATCCTCTCAACTTCCAGGCAATGATCCTACTTCTTCGACTCGGAGAACGTCAAGAAGCCATCGAATTATCAGTAGACTGTGCAATCAAATCAAATGACAAGGAAATATTAAATAATGTTACACAATTCCTAACTGGTCAAATCGATGGAATTCCAAAAGATCCAACACATTTATTCCGTTTATATGTTGGCTTAGGAATGGTGAAAGAAGCTGCCAAAACTGCTGTTATTGTTTCACAAGCACATCAAAGTAGAGGAAGTTATCGAATTGCACGCGATGTTTTATTTCATATGTATATGGTAATTTGAATCTGAAAGTGGGATTTTCAGAAATAAATATATAATTTCAGAAACTGGAAGAGGGACAACTTAAAATCCCATCAGAAATGCATCGAAATATGACAATTATTCATTCGTATATAATTATAAAGCCACTGATTGCGAGAAAAGAACATTTGAAAGCTGCAAGAATGTTGATTCGAACTTGTGATAATATTAGCAAATTTCCAACTCGTAAGTTTTTTTGAAAGCAGTCAGACCAGGCATGTTCATTTTGCTTTGCCGGCAAAAAGCAAAGCAGCTTTGCTGGGCGTGGCTTTGCTTTTTGCTGGCAAAAAGCAAGTAAGGAAAAAGCAAAAAAGCAGCCGCGGCTGCCTGCCGGGCTGCTTTTTCAAAATACAAAAGGCAACAAGCGAAGCTCCTCCCCTCCACACACAAAACATGGCAACACACAAAACCAGTGAACCGTCCGCGTATGCATTTATTCAAGTAGTCTCGCGCGCGCGTTAGAGAGGCAAAAAGAGGTTGTTTTGTCAATGCATTTTCACTGCTTTCAGATGATTTTGGAAGGAGTGAAAAAAGCATTGCCGGCAATTCGGCAGGCTGCTTTGCTGTTGCTTTTTCACAGTCTTACCGTGTAAAAGCAAAAGCGGCTTTGCTTTTTCGGGGGACGGCAAAAAGCAGGCAATGCCGGCAAAATGAACATGCCTGAGTCAGACACAAGATTTTCTCAATTTCTTCACTGGTTCCTTTCATTTTGAACTATTTTTGACACTAACGAAGCTTCGAGGAAAATCGAAATATTTGTCTTACTGCCATTACTTTAAGCTCAAAATTTATTTTTTTTATTTAATCAAAACCAAAATTTTAAAATTGGAAAATTCTGAAGTTTTCGATTTTTGGATCTAAATTCAAGAAAAAGTTGAGTATTCCCAATGAATGATTAAGTATCAAAAGTTTTTAAAAAAATCTTCAAATTTAATTCCAGATGTTGTTCAAATTCTAACAAGTACAGTTGTTATTTGTACTCAAGCCGGTCTTCGAAAATCAGCTCACAAATACGCATCAGCTCTAATGAATCCAGAATATCGACCGAAAATTCATACAAAATATAAGAAGAAAATCGAGGATATTGTAAGAAAAAGTGGAAAAGAAGACGATCCTCAAGAAGACAAATCAATGTGTCCATTTTGTAATTATTTGATCGAAGAAACTATTTTGACATGTAGTCAATGCAAAAATAATCTACCGTATTGCATTTTGACTGTAAGTTTTTGAAAAAATATATTTAAAAAAATTAAACACATACTTTTAGGGTCGCCATCTGATATCGAGTGATTTCGCTTTGTGCACTACATGTCAGATGCCTGGATATTTCTCAGAATTCAAAAAATTATCGGCATTGGGATTGAAATGTTATATGTGCAATGGTGAAACTGGAGATGTTATTCCAGGAGATTCGAAATCGTATTTCGACAAATTCGCCGAACAAACATAATATTCTAAATAAAAAATTTACTTTTCTCTTTGAGCAAAAACAAAACACATTGTACAGATTATAAAAGGGTTACTTATTAGAGTACATGACACAGTAAATATGAGGGAAAATCTAAACAAAACAAAAAATTAACAACATGGTATGAAAAGCATTAAACAGATATTTGGGTTTAGTGGAGAGAATGAGATGATCCACTATCGATACTCATTGTTGACATTTCTTCGCGGATTTCTCGCAAATAAATTGGCTCGAAAGCCCCTTCTTGTTTGACTTCGAATTTTTGGTCTTTCAGAGCTCCTGGAAAATTTGAATTTTTTTTTTGGAAAAAATTTGAAAAATCAGGAGTTTTTACAGAAATGTTTAGAAAAATAAGTCTACAAAATTCGAAATGAAATTTTCCCCGCTTGCAATACAATTTATACGTGTACTCAATTTCTAGTTCACGCTGTCTCTTTTTCTTCATTTAACTCGAAAAAAATTTAGAAGCATTTCATTATTTGAAAATAAAATGTTGCATTCTTGTACTCGGATATTTCTTATCAAAAAATTGCAATGTGAGTTCCAATTTTTTGGGAGCATGCGGGAAACTTTTGAAATCAAACTAACCGAGAATGATGTCAAACGCGCAAGCAGCCTTTTTTCTGTTCATATTTTGCGTGAATTCATTGAAATTGTACCAATCCGGATGTGCATCTTTGATGGATTCAATCAAATCATCTTCTAATTTATATCTGGCATCAATCAATGATCCGGATGAGAAATAAAATTCATTTGATGCTTCCTGGGTTGTAACTTGTGTTTGAGGATCCGTTTCGAGTGATTCAATGAGAGGTTCCGAATTGTACAAAGTCGATTTTCTTTGTTTTTCGACAATTGGATCAATCATTCCAGTTGATAAACGAACATTTTCATTCGAATATAATTCTTGATTTGGCTCAGGGATTGGCATCGGAATATCGATTGGCTCTAACAGTTGTTGATCAATTTGATCGATTTGTTGTTCCGCCATCAATGTGATACTGAAAAGTGTTATTAAAATTAGGAAACTAAAGGAAAAAACTAACTCTTCAAGTGGTGGCAGCAACATTGTGCTGAAAAACACTTCTCTTCTATCCTTCTCAATTGAATCAGCAATCGAACTTTCTTCATCCTCATCTCTAACACGAGTTCCAATATTTTCGAATTTTGCTGATCCGTAGAGACTATACAATTCGGCTGGCAATTCTATAAAAAAACTTTTCGTGATTTTTTTTTGTAAAAATGCTTTTCACTCACTCTTTGTTCGCATAAAAAGCGGAACTGGATCAAGAAGTTGTTGGACACTTGGATAAACTTTCTCCGAACTAATTATAACATCATTTTTGTCTCTCAAAAGTGCACTATAATCTTGTCGCATTTCCACCATTTCTTCTTCATCAATTTGCACATTTTGATAAACATTCTGACGTCGGACTCTTTGCTTCTTCGGTTTATTCAAATCTTCAACAATTGAATCCAGTTCTAACGGTTCGAACGCATTCGTTCTATCCGTTTGAAATGTCGCTTGACCCACTGGTGTTTTCTTTCTAGATTCTCTACGAATATTCTCCAACTTTGATCTTTTCGCAGATAATTCATCCAATTCTTCTTCAATTTGTGGAATTGTTGGTGTTTCAACAATTGGAATTGGAATATCAATAATATTTTCAATTGGATCGACATTTTCATGCGTCTTGTTCGTGGTGATATCAACAATCGGATCAATAATATTTTGAATTTCAGGCATTACAATTTCTGGAACAGGTTGTGGTTCTTCGAATTGTTGTGGCTTTTTTGGATTGACAGCTGGTTCGAATTCTTGAATTTCCGCATGTTTTCTTTTCTTCGCGCGATTATCGTCCTTTTGTATGATTTCTTTCATACCACCTTTATCACTATTATCCGAAGAATGACCATCAACAAAGGTGATTTGATTGACAGTTCTGAAATTCATTATTTGAGGTTGAAGATTTCATAAGACAAAAAACTCACGGAATAAGATCGATTTCTGGAATAAGATCATCTTGTATATATTGATGCATTGCTAATCGAAGATCGCTTTCATCGTATAAAGTGATGTCATTGGGATTTGCATTGATCTGAAAATTAAATATACGTTTTTTTTACATTTCTCTTCAAGAACGTACTCCTAAACCACTGCTGATCTTCTCTAAATCGGCAAGATCTTCTCCATCATCAAGTTCAAGAATTCTAGTGGATCTTGATCTGTTGGCAGCTTCTCTTTGTTTTTCCCGAAGTTCTTTTTCGAATTTCTTAGCAAATTTCAAAATCGAATGACCTTGTTTCAAAGAATCTATCAAACCACGAATATCTCCTAAAAATATTAACATTCATTAAGAAATTTCGAAACAATTCTAGAAGTACTCACGCTCTAAGAAGACGACTTGTTCTCGAAATACCAATACAGTTCCAAACATCAATTTTGCCAACAGATAAAGTGACATTTTCTTCGAACTACCACGAAAATCTGATATATTTGGAATCATACGTTCGATTGATCTACAAAGATCCGATACATTCAGATCCTGCATTGAACGTTTATCCATGGAATTTCCATTTGATAATTGCCAAATTACATAAAATTCAGCACTTCGTTGCGCGAGAATTTCAGATGAGTAGAACATCTGCAATTATTGAGGTGATTTGAAAGGAGTTTGAAATCCTGAACAATTATACGGAAGACATAAAATTTTCTGCGCATAATTTATTCGGAAGAAATCAGGTAGAAGCATTGTGGCGCGAGCAAAGGACGAAACTTTCTTCAAAAAAAAAAACAAAATTAAAAATTTTCAAATATTGTGTGGAGTACTGTAGGGCGTTGCGAGACCTGACAGAATATCCGGTTTGTGTGCCTTGATTTTTTCTCGCGAAATTTTTTCCCGATTCACAGCTGCAAAAACCGATTGTGCGCCAGCAATGTCTCCTGCACTCTTCTCTCTCGCCCTCCACGGGCGTGTGTGTTTGTCGGCGTCTCTATAAGCGCACACACTCTCTCGCCGAAAAATTATTTTTTAAAATTTTTTCTCGAATTTTTCGAAAAAAGCTGGAGTTACCGGAAGTTTCAACAAATGAATCGTACATGAGAAGATAGAGGAGAATGAGACGAAGACAGAGAAATATAATTTGCTGAGTGAAAAAATTTATTAGGCGTGAAAAACGTGAGATTTTGAAGTACACTCACGAAAAAGATATTTTTGAAATATTGAAGCAAAACTTTCAAACTTTTTATATGAAATAAGATATTTCATATACTTATGTTGAAAAAAGAAATAAGAACTTCTTACCGGACAATGAATTTGTACTGTTAGACGATAGAATAACCATTCTTTGTCTTAAAAATTTCAAAGAACCGATGTTTTTCGGGAAAAATTTCAACAGTGATTTGAAAAATTACAAGTATGGCTTACAATTTCATGATAAAATCATATTTTATTTTTGCTGAGATGTTTCTGAAGCTTTAGAAGCAGGATCTCTTCTAACAATCAGAAAACCACATTTATCATCGAAATTTGAAATTTTCTCAAACTGCTTCAAACCTTAAATTTTGTGGCACTTTTTGATTGGAATTTAAAGAATATTAACAACACTCAAGTTCAAAGCAGAAAAAGTTTATTGAAAATCTGTTATTTAAGGCTAAATATTAGAATATTATTATAAAATCCACTTCGTCCATGATCGAAACCGCTGATTCCACTTGGTTGACGTTCGCAATAACTGAAAACAACATTGTTTGTTTGAATTCAACAGTTTTGAATCACGGACATATGAAATATTAGTTCTTATTACAATCAAACGCGATGAAAATGAAAATAGAATTTTACTTTTCGAAAATGAACGGTAGAAATTTTATTTGATCATGTATCTTGATATAGTTTTTGCTTCTGAGAAAGATAGACTAAGTCTTGATACTCCCCCATCCCTCTATCATGGTGAAATAACGTCAAAATGACGGAAACATTGAATTTGTATCATTTCTTCAATTGATTTTACTATTTTATATAAATCAATGAAAAATAGGAATTACCTTCAATAAAATGTTCCATAGAATCCCAAAACTCTCCTCGTGAGTCTCTCCACGTGATCTCTTTCGTGAATTTCTTGTCAGGTTGGCAATAAATTGGACTCTTTTGTCGAAATAATTTTTGTTTGGGACTTTCCGACATCTTCACGTTTCCGTCAACTCGTATCAGGCTCATCTAAATATAAAATCATGATTTTTTGATAAATTTAGATACGAATAACTCACTTTTCAACAAGAAAAATATTGAATCGCCGACCTCGAAAAATGGTTCTCTAATGCATCGCATCTCACTCAAAATCATCGGAAATTCATCTCCAACCAATTGTATATTCATTCCAACTCACAAAAATTCAAACTCAATCAATTCCAGAATAAAAAAATTTTTCGTCGAAAAAAATGGACTTCATAAAAACAACTTTAGCATCCGTCAGCCCCATTTTCATCACTCGATCCAAACATAATAAAATTCTCCTTTAAATTCTCTACAAACCATAGTCTGTCCGAATATGTGAAACTTCCTGAAAAACTCACAAAAAAATAAAAAAGAAGAAAAAAATTAATTTTCTGATGGAAAAAAACAAAAAAAAAGAAAATTTTTTTCTCGTGCAAAAACCGAAAACGCGTCAACTGCTGGCGCGTTTCGCGCGATCATTCAGTTTTTGCAGCTGTGCGATTGGACTTGCCACGAAAACAGCTCTCCCAAAACTCATTTCCATGCACTTTTACATGTAGATAACGAATTTGTGATGATTTTCATATGATGCAGCCATCCTTGAGATTTCCACGAAAAAACATTAAAATTTAACTTCTAGAATGTAGAACAAAAACCGGTATCATCTTTATTCGACACGAAAAAAAATAGTTAGAAAAAAGCGAAGAGAAAAATTTAAAAACCCGATAAAAACTCCAGGAGTTCTAGATATAAAATCTATAACCTAGAAATCAAATCTTTTCTTTGTTGCGAATCGGCGAAAAGTGATTTGATTAATCCGACAACTTCTTTTTCATTCAAATGTTCTGCCATTGGGCCTTTTCCATTAAACCATCTCATTTCGATATCTTGCATTCGATTTGCCAAAACAAATATTATTTCATGAAGACGGAAATATTGTTCCGAACAAAAATCAGTTGTTTGTGAACGTCCGCGCAACTGAAAATTCATATTTTTTGCAATTTTGTTCATTCTTGGTGTTGTAAAACCTTTGAAGGAATCTCTAAGTAAAGTTTCCCTAATTAAAAAAAAACAACAAACCGTCATAATTGCATCAACCGCATCAATAACATGTTTGAAAATGTCAGTCATAGCATTCGCATCATTTTCTCGAATATCACTTTTCGAAATAACATGTTTTACAAGTGATTCCAACAAGAAATTCACCAAACTTCCAATCGATTTACAATAAACAACTTCAGGCATAATTTCTCTCCAACTATTTGACATTGATCGAATATGCAAAAGACACGCAGCCAAAGATTGCACCAATTTCGGCTCATTTTTATTTGAAACAAATTGATTGTCAGTGAAACTGAATGTGTTTTGCGGAGTTTTGTAGCCTTTTGGTAAATGCTCGAAAATATTTGGATCATCGAGGAAAAGTGACAAATCTCGGCGACATCTCAAAAGAGTATTTTCAAGACTTTCAGCTGCAACATCTCGTAATCTTCCAATTGAATCAATCAATAATGGTTCCAATAATTGTTTTTGTTTCTTCTTCTTATCATTATTGAATTCAAATGATAATGTCATAATAGAATGAGCAATGAAATAACAATTATTGTAAAACAATGCAGCAACTGAAGGAATTGATTGTATTTGATTGGCATGTTTTCGACTGGATTGAATAATATATAGACGAACAATATTTTGAGCTGTCAATGAAATTCGCGATTGAGCAATCTGTATAATTATTTATTTATTCATAAATTTCCTCGTATTTATGTTGTTGGACTTACCTCATCTTCAGTATCAAAAGCTGCTTTGATAGTGTTCTTCAATAAATTCACAAATTTCACCGCTGATGCACTAACACAACATTTTTGCATAACAAATATTGGTGGAAAAGCGCCATCTCCTCCGGCCTTCAAAATATTTTCCAGATAATTATCGGTTTTTTGTAATTTTTGAATATTGGAATACAGTTTTGATAGAGTATCTTCGTCTTGAATCATTTCTCCACTTCCACCAACACTTTCAACTTTTTCATAAGTTTCTTCGATTATTTCTTGGGCTTTTTTAACAATTGCAAAACAACGACGATTGACAAGAATTGTTGAATTTTCGAAACTTGAAATATCCAAAAGTTTTGCCGATTGTGAGAAAAATTTTAAAGATTTCATGTGTTCCACAAACTTTTCACCTCTTTCTAAAACTTGTAAAAACAATTTTTCATCTTGTTCAAATTCGGAGAGTGGAGCAGCTACCGAAATTATATCCTGGAAATAAATTTGAATTTCTTATCATTGCCAAATAATCGAGAACCTACCTTTAAAACAAGTTGCATCAAGTCATCTTCACAATAATTTCCAATAGTTGAGATGAAACATTTTCCAGTTGCATCATATAATTCATAACCATCCAAAACTTCAGCCAAATCACTGAAAAATCTTTCCATAGTATCCAAAACACCATTTGTATCCATTGTTTCGGCAATTGGTGTTGATTTAATGCGAGTAAGCAATTTGAAAGTTGAAACATTTGGAAATACTTTATCCAGTTGATATACATTTTGACCATTTCGACTATTTGCAATTGTATCACAAAAAACATCGACAATTAGAACTTTCCAAGTTTGAAGACGTTCCGATAATTGTCCAATCATGTTCATCGCGGTGAGACTGGAAAAAAACACATAATTATCTAGATTTTAACAATTCTACATACCATTGATTTATATTTTCGGTATCTAATGGATTAGACGATTTTTTGATTGACATGATCAAACTAGATTTATCTTGTTTTCCTCTGGTTGAGATTTTTGGAAGTTTGAAATAATTGTCATAGTCTGCTGACAAAAAATATCTGCATTGATAATTGAGATGAGCGAATTCGGCGCCGAAATGTTTCACAGCTTCTTCGACATTTAAATCTCCGCATTTCATGACTTTCTGAAATTGTTATATTTACTAAAAACCTGTTTCTTGAAGTTACTTCAAACTTACAGTCAAATCTTCAATTTCTCTCAAATGATTCTTGCATTCAATTATAGAATTTCCCCAATCGCTTTTCTTCGAACTATTCGATCTCAAAACAATCAACTTCCCTTCAATTTTCCTCATAATTTCAACAAGTTCCAATAATTCGCTACAACATTCCATTTGTTTTTTGATATTCTCAATCTGTGATGGATTTTCTTTTTGATTCTCTTCAATAATCTTGTTGAAATCCGATTGAGAAACTTTCGCATTATCCTCCAAACTTTCTAATTGATTGAATATTTGTCTTGCAGCCGTTGGAACATTCAAATCCATTCGCATTTTTCCGTATTTGTCAGAGATGTTACGAGATGCGAAAACGATTCCTTCGCGGAGCGATTTCTCCACATGGGAACAATTATCGATTGTCATCATGGTTTCAGCAACGTTTAAGCTCCGCACTGAGTCCTCAGGCAGTAGAAAACTCTGGAGGGCAACCAGAAAACGCGAAAACTCCGGAGATAGGCTAAAGTGGGTACAGAAAATCGAGAGAGTGCCTGCCTTTTCTAGTTTGGCATGTCCTTCTAGTTTGGTTTTGGCGATTCTCCGGAGGAAATCGCTGTCGATCGAACGCGCTCCATCGAATGATGACAATGACGAGTCATTTTTTCATTTCATTTATTTTTTTCGTTTTTCTAGTTTTTGCTATTCCTTCAAAATTGCTCAGTTTTCAGAGTGTCTTTGCCTAATTTGATAATTTTCAGACAATTGAAATCGTCTGGAAGCAATGTGCGTCCTACGAAATCGTCATGAATAAAAGTCAACCTGGACTTGGAACAAAATTAGCGATTTTTGCTCCTGGTGAGTGAAGTGTCTTCAACAAAAGTGAATACTAGTTTAATTTATAGATTCGATTGGATCCCCTCGCGCTAGGAGAATTCGAAAGCAGAGGCCCGCTCAATTTTCATTTCTGGAGGATCGCCTTGCAATATTTCCAAAATCGTGAATCACAAGATGTATTCTATTTATGAGGTGAGAAAGAAAATTTATGTTACGTATATTTCTCCATCAGAGAGAAAATTTATGTTACGTATATTTCTCAAGTGTTTGTGAGCTTTCAAATTTTCCAAATTCCGAACTCATAATCTATCTCATCCCAACTCTCGAAAAAAACCGTTCAAAACTAGAAATTAGACTAAATCATTCACTGGGTGAACATATTCTTTCAAATCTATTATCATTTTCAATTTTTCAGCATGAAACATGGTCATGATGCCTCTACACAATGCTGAATTTGTCAAAAAATTGCTCAAAATGGCAACGAACAGAAGATTCCGTCAAAATAATTGCGAAATCAACACCAAATCTTCATCAAAATGCATGCCTAATCTTGTGATGCTCACATTCTACTCGTTTGGACAATGGATCAATCAGAAAATAACTAATTTCTCCTTTTTGATGAAAATAAATATTGATTTTTGAGAGTGAAAGACTAGAATGTATTCGAAAAAAGCAGGCGACAAAATCAAAAAACTCTAGAGAATCGACAAAAAAGTTCCGGAGAATCGCCAAAACGTACCGAGAAAAGATCTGGAACCGGGTTTGGAGCCTTTTTTGCGACATTCTCGTTCCATTCCGGCGAAACTCCGGAGTTTTCTACTGCCTGAGTCAGAAGCGAGCTTCCAGAAAAACTGCGCGCGTTGGAATTTTTTTGAAATGAAAAGTTGTGTTTTTTCAAATTTTCGCGGTGTGCGCTAGAGCGCACATTCTTTTTTAGCCAATCCATATTTTTTTTGTCACACACACAAAAACTTTGCCGTTTCATGGATTGACTACTGTCATGCTTCGAAGTTTATTTGGTAGAAGATCTCGTTCCACGTGGGTTCGATTGATTTATTTATGCCTGGTTACAGTGGTTTTTCTCTTTGTGACGTCACACTTCAATAGCGTCAAATTGGATGCAAGAGTTATTCCGGAAGAGGTAATGTTTCACTGATTTTAAAATTTAATTGTTTATTTTTTTCAAGATTCCGGTTCAACATGAGATTGTTATTGAGAGAATACGTGAACCTGTCGAACATGAGAAAGAATGGCAAGTTATTCAACCGAACAAATTCCAAAAACCCACGAAAACTGTATATATAAACAATGAAAAATATCCAAAACTGAATAGTAATGGAAAAGTGATTGCACAACGTCGAATAGTTCATCTTGATTTAAAAGGAGCTCCATATAAACCACATTTCTTTGTGGAACTTTTCTCATTTTTCAATCGTCTTCAAGCTACAGGAATTATCATTGAATGGGAAGATATGTTTCCATATCAAGGAAAATTGAGAAATGCGACAAATAAATATGCATATTCTATACAAGATATTGAAATGATTCTTGGAGAAGCGAAAAAACGAAATCTTCAAATAATTCCGCTTGTTCAAACAATGGGACATCTGGAATGGATTCTGAAATTAGAACAATTTGCACATTTACGTGAAGATCCGAAATTCCCTCAAGTCATTTGTTTTGCGGCATCAGAAGCATGGGAATTAATTGAAGAAATGATAAAAGAAGTTGGCGAGATCCATAAAAAATATGGAATGGAATATTTTCATATAGGTGCTGATGAAGCTTTTCAAATTGGGTTCTGCCGTGAAAATATCATAAGAATGGAAAAAGAAATAAGTCGAGAACGTTTAATGTTATGGCATATTGCAAGAACCGCAAAATATGTGAAGAATACATTTGAGAATGTTGAAGTTTTGGCTTGGCATGATATGTTAGTCAATGGAATGGAAAATGATATTAGAGATTATAAACTAACCGAAGTAAGTTTTTTTCTTTTCCAACATTTATCATTTTTATTCTATATAATTTTTTATAGCTTATCCAACCTGTGCTATGGAACTATGCAGAAGATCTTGATATGTATTTACCTAGAACAACTTGGATGTTATTACGAAGTTTCAAAAGAGTTTGGGGTTCTTCTGCATGGAAAGGCGCTGATGGACCAGCAAGATATTCAACACATTCTGAACATTATATCAAAAATCATGAATCTTGGATCAATCAATTTTCAATGGTATATCAAGATTTTGAGGCGATTGAAGGGCTGATTATGACTGGTTGGTCAAGATATGATCACCTGGCTGTTTTGGCAGAATTAGGTCCAATTGGATTACCAACATTGGCTATGAGTATGGAAACTATTCTTGTATGTTTACGTAATATTTAAAAATTTAAATCAATCAATAATATTCTTTCAGGAAGGTCGACAACTTCGAGGAGATTATCCGGTGACTTCAGAATTGCTACAATGTACACCACCAATTGATAATGGATATAGTGCAACAGGTTGCCGGTTTCCAGGCTCAAGAATTTATGAAATTGTCAATGATTTATATCAGAAGAGACGGCAATTGAAAGCATATCGAGATGATGATTATGAATTGAATGGTTGGATGTCGAGATTATCGGATGAGTATAGTGTGTCAAGTCATTGGTATATTGATGTTAGTTTTTTATAGTGAAAAGGGATTTGGGGGTCTCTTTTTGAGTATTTAAAAAATAGGTTGTTTTCATCCTGCCAAAAATTTCTCAAAAATCACTCCCCATTTTTAATTTTTTTTTATTTGCATGGAGCTGTGCTTTCTATGTCTAGACATCAAAATTTTCAAAAGTTTCTCTCTGAATCTCACACTTTTTAACTCTCACAAAAACACGTAAAATTTTCAAAATCACCTGACAATTTTTCGAGTCATGAAATTTTTCAGCTTTGAAAAATTTTAATTCAGTTCAATAATTGTCAAAAAAAAGTGTTGTAAAAATTGAAAAAAAAAAAGAAGTTTTTTTGAAAAATGAATTCCTTCTTTCAAATTTCATCATTTTTGTTTCAGAAAATCCAGCCAATGATTGAAATGTATGGAGTTCCTTTGGAACAAATTGAAAAAGATTTGCGATTTGAAATGAGCAAAATATTCTATCAAGTAAGTTTCCATTCTTTCTCTTGTTTTTTTTTTTCATTTTCAAATTTTCAGGACACAATCGATGAATTCATTTTCACATATATTGGCGAAGATCTCGATTGGATTCGAAGGAAGCGAAAAACAATGCAACGAATTTCAGAGCTTCGGAATTTTCCAATTCGACCATTTTTCGATGAAAAACATCGGATAACAGAAAAATCGTCTTGTGAGAATATAACAAGTTCAACCTCAACCTGAATCAGGTTTTTTTTGGGATTTTTCTTCATTTTATGTACATATATAAGCTATCTAATTAGGTATGCAGTTTACGGTTTGATGTATTTTTTATTTTTGAAGATATTCATTTATTAGGTGCTGCTATTTCATTTTGCATAATATTTTTTCTTCCAAACGTGTTTCTTTTTTTCTGCTGTCTTCTTCTCAACTCCTCGTTCGTTCTTCCATTCGTTTTGTTGTAATTTGAATAAGTGTGTCTATCTTCTCCCAGCCACGGACCCTTTTCTCCTCGTTTTTTTTCGTCGTTGGCTGGTTTCTCATGTCAAATATGTCTCTGCGTCTCTTTTGCTCAATACACTCTCTTATTTGTCTTGTTCTACTCTTTTTCTCACACATCTGTGTGTATTTGAGATGTTTTGAAAAATACCAACTTGAAGCTGGTTTAATTTGAAATTTTTTCAGCATTTTCAGGTGGAACCATCTATTTTCAGAAAATCTAGGTTAGTTTTTTTTTACTTATTTTTGGGCGGGGAGACGAACACTTGAATTAAATTGTAAAATTGAACTTCTCGAAATTCCCCTTCTCCAACGTTTTTTTGATTCGCTCCATCGAGCTTTTCTCTAATTTTGCTCAATTTCCCCTTTCTTCCGGTTTGCCCCGCGCCTACACAAAAAGTGTTTCTTTTTTTTCTTTAAAACAATTTCGCATTGCTTTTTTAATTAATACGCATTTTTTTATCCCCAATTATCCAAATATTACTGTAATGAATAAATATTGATTTTTTGCAGTTCGGAATGATGGAAACAACAACAATTACAACTTCAGGTAGCACATCATTATTAGATTCGTGTCTGGCGCCTGGATTAAGAGCATGGATGTTGATTGCATTGGTTGGAGGAGTTCTTCTTATTATGAGTGAGTTTTCTTAGATTTTTGGGAATGTATTTGGTAGAGAAAACACTTTATGCTAGAAAATGTTCATATTCTGAAATAAACCTCAGAAAAGTATCAAGAATTTGGTTTTGTTTCAGTCGTAATTGTTTGTTGCTTTATGAAGATTCGAATTCCGAGAACAAAACGACAAATTGATTTGATTGCGGCGAAACGAAAATTACGAAAAAGCAATAAGAAAAGTGAAGCGAATGCTCAAAGTAAGTCGGATCTCCTATGACCCGAATTTTCCAATATTCATTTTTTCTTCAGATGAAGAACGTGCTCAAGCAATTGTGATGAATTCAATGCGCCCAACAAAGTCTTCCGATTCTTCACGTCCTTCTGGCTCAAGAATTCAATCTCAAGTTTAATTTTTTTCAGTGCCACAATTCTCAGATTCTCAATTTCCTTCTTGCCTAATAAATATACTATGACCATTTCTTCCTTATTTTGTCTGAAATCTGGTTTTCAACCAAACGGTGATATATCTTTTCTAAATAGCTAGTAATTTTCGAAACACATTTCCCCATGGACAATTTTTACAGTAGTTATGATAAGTTTATAATTAAATCGAAATGGATAATATTTTGAAACATTTCGAGAAGAATGCGAGAGAGCGAGAAGAATTGGAGACGCAGACAAGAAGGAAAGAGTTGGCTGAAAAATTGGAACCATTTGTATTGGGATATTTGACGAGGAAAAAGTATCGCGATAAATTGGGGTGGGTGAAACCTCAGATTTTGAATATTTGTTTCATTTTCTAGAAACCCTAAGCTTAATTTTTAGATTAAGCTTAAAATTCTGAAGTTCAGGTACTCTTTTTCGTTTCCTAAACCATTCTCAACTTTCTTGGCTGAGTATCAAACGTCTAGAGATACGCAGTCAATTTCTGCTCGGCTGAACATCCTGTTCCTGTTCAGAACTGGTTTTTGAATAAAATATTCAAAAAAAATATTTTCAGAACATGTCGCCTAAATATTTTCAACGATTTCACCGACCTCGACAAATCCAATAAAACCCTTCTGACAAATGATCAATTTTTAATAAAAGCTCCGACTTGCTTGAAAAATGCTTTGAAACAAAATGATGTACAGGTAATTTCTTTTTTTTTGAACTTTTTTTCCAAAATTCAAATTTTTCTTGCAGACAATTTGTAATATTTGCCGCCATCTGATAATTTCTCTCGATTCCACGAATAAGGAGACCAACTTTGCCGCGACTTTTTTGAATAAAGAGACAATTGGAAGTGCGAGTCAATTGATTAGCTCGATTTTTGCGAAAATTCCCGAAATTTTGAATCGAATTACGGTATGTCCCTTTGATTTTATTAAAAAGATAGAAAATAATGTTACAAGAATCTATGTTTTGCAGGGCGAAAAAGCGATCGAATTGAAACAATGGCAATGTTTGATTCATTTTATAATTGTGTTTTCATCTGTTTCAACTTGGAGTTTAGTCAGAAATGCTCCACAAGTTCATCAAGTTTTGAATGGATTATGTCTGAAAATGACAACTTGTTTTATCGAGGAAGCGAATTATGAAAAAATGGCGGTAAGAAATTTGGATTTCTGGGGAAGGGATTGGGGCTGAGATAAAAAATTGAGCTTTAAAAATAATTTTATCCAAAAGTTCTTAAAGTGTCCGAAAACCTTTTGAAATTTTTTAAAGATCAATTTTTAGCCTGAAAATAATGGGATTGCTCATTTTAAACCAAATGTACGTGCTGAGCGCGAAATTTTGAATCTGAAAATTATAGGCTCATTTTGAGCAAAATTCTGCTGAAAATTGAAAATTTTTGGACCTTTTTTCAGATTTCAAATTAACAATAGGTTGAAAACAGAAATCGAATATTTTTTTCCCTTTTGAATGTTCTCTGAAAATTCACTTTGAATCGAAACATGAGCAACTCTGGACTCAAAATGCTCCAAATTTTCAGGAGAAGCTGAAAATCCCATTTTTCTAGAACTTAAAAATTTCCAGAACTTCCAAATTCAAATAAATGTTTTCCAGAACTCGTTGTTTGTTGCAATCAATGATCAAAAACCGCTTGTCAGTCTTGAAACTGTCAATGCACATTTCTCAATTATCCACAAATCAATCAAATTGCCAAATGAGAATCAAAATTTGTTCAATATTTTTGTGAAGAGAGTTCTAACTTGTCCAGCACTTTTGTTGCATTTAAATCAACAGGTAAAGCTTTTCCCCTTGATCATCATGAGAATATTTTTCATTTAGAACATCGAACAAATTCGAAACAGTCAAATATTTGAGCGAACTCTTCTTTGGCTTCGATCAAATCAAGATGAAATTGAATCGAATTTAGATGTTCGAATTGTAATTAATTTATTAGCGAATCTTGTACATTTTGCACATATCGATGAAAAAACTCTTGAATCAAATGTATTTGAATGGACTTGGGCTGTTGGAATATCACTTTCAAGATGTACAGAGATGACGGTGAAAAAGGAGAGCAAAACAAGTTTGCATTATTGGCATCCTGTGTTTGGTCATTATTTATTGCCTGTTGATAAGAAGTTAGTATTTTTCATTTGAAAAGAGTTTTCATAGCTATGTACAGGATTTTTTTTCAGAACTGAAGGAGCCCTCAAAAATGTTCTGCATCAACTTCGATTTCTTTGGAGCGCTAAAGTTGTTCGATGTCTTTTTGGGAAAGTGATGGAAAATACGTGTACTGCTGGATCACCGAATAATCAAAGGGCGAAATCGCCGAATCATCAGAAGGATATTAGCGCGGTTTTTGGGAGTTAGTCTAAGTTTTGAGGCTGGGAGGAGGAGAAGTGGATTTTTTGGAGACTCCAAGCTAAAATTTAAAATTTTCTGATTGAGCCAGAATAATTTCAAATTCTAAAACTATAAACTTATAAAAATAAACATTAAAACTTCAATTTTCGATAATTTTTCATGATATATTTTATATTCTAGAATTTTGACCCAAAATTTTGAAGAAAAGGGATTTTTATGAATCATTTCTGATAAATGTTGTACTTAACTTCAATTTTATCATTGAAAAATGTAGATATTTTTAAATTCTGATTAATTTTGCTCCTTGAAATTGCAACTCATCAATATTTATCTATTTTTCCAGAACTATGGAAAAAACTCGGAGGAACCTTGGACAAAGAAAAGGTGGAAAATAAAGAACCGCCTCCAACATTAATCGCAATAGTTTGTCAATTATATATGACTGCATTAGCCACAATGATGCACATGAAAGGTGAAATAATATCAGGTTTATGTCGAGATGATCAACTTCTTCGACAACTTTGGCAATATTTGAAAGAATGGGGTGAAAAGTATTCGAATCCATCGTCATCTTCGATTTTTAATAATAATTCTTCGTCAAATTCGGATGGACCGATATTTGCATCACTTCAATCACTTCGACATCCAACTTCTCCGCATACAGCTACACTTCGACTTTTTATTGATTCGACTGCGGCTATTGTTTCGTGAGTTTTACAGAGAAAAAGTTACAGTCAATATTGAAATTGTATTGCCTTTTTTGTTTTGGATAGCCTAACTTTTCAAATTAAGTTTCAAGATTAAGAAAATACATATTTCAATTTCAATTTTAGGCTCAAAAGATTTTCAGACTGGTCATTTTTTCACCTAAAAATATTGAAACCATAAAACCTGATTTTTTCACCTTGAATTCCACGTGGAATTCTAAAACTTTTTGCATGAAATTTTTCAGTCCCTCAAAATGTCTATTTTCAGAATCTTGGACGAAGAAGAGATTTTTGAAAAAGGAACGCCATTTTCAACTGGAGAACTCGAATCGATCTCGAAATTTGTCAATGTTTTTTGCTTTCGAGCAATTTGGAGTGGATTTGTTGGTAGGGTTTTTTAATTTGAAAAATGGGGTGAAAGTTTTGAGAAAAATAAATGATATGACTTTTTTAACAAAATTCAAAACTATTCTTTTTAAAATCAAAATTAAGAATTATTTTCACTCAAAATTAGTTTTAAAAAATGAAATTTTTCTTGACCTAAATCCTCTCAAAAACTATTTTCAGACGAAGTATCTTCTACAAATTCGGGACTTTTTCAAAGTATCCATTCATTATTATTGATTTTATATGAAAGAGATAGTCGAAGACAATTTGTGATGGATTCAAAGTTCTGGATTGTTAGGTTAGTTCAAAATATTTCCCAACATATCATAATCTTATTAATTTAGCGATGTGAAATCGTCAACAATAATGACAGAATATGAAAAACGAATGGGACGTGGCATTCTTGTGATGCGAAAAATGTCACATTTAGTTCCGATCAAAGAACGGATGTTATTATTTCGAAGACAAGTAACTGAAGATAAACAAAGAGCATCAAATACAGTATCTGCTACGTGGATTACTGTACAGAGAAACAGAATAATTGAGGATGGTTTCACTCATTTGTCAAAAGCATCGTTGGCCGCATTGAAATCGACGATTCGAGTGAAATTTGTGAATGAACAAGGATTGGATGAAGCTGGAATTGATCAAGATGGAGTATTTAAAGAGTTTTCGGAGTTAACATTGAAAAAAGTATTTGATCCACAGATGAATTTATTCACAACAACTTCAACTGGTGTTATGTATCCATCTTCAACTTCTTCGTTACATGAAAATCATCTGCAATTATTTCAATTTGTTGGAAAAATGTTGGGAAAAGCAGTTTATGAGGGAATTGTTGTTGATGTTCAATTGGCTCCGGTTTTATTAGCTGCAGTTCTTGGAAGTCATCGACTTTGCGCGTTTGATGAATTGTCACAACTTGATCCAGAATTATATCGAAGTTTGACATTTGTAAAGAGATATGAGGGAGATATGTCTGAATTATCGCTGACTTTTTCGGTTGATGAAGATTTCATGGATAAAATTACGACTGTTGATTTGGTGCCAAGTGGAAGAACAATTCCAGTGACAAATGAGAATAAAATTGATTATGTTCATAGAATGGCACATCATAGAGTATTTCGAAGAACACAAGAGCAATGTCGAGCATTTGTGCAAGGAATTCAATCGATTTTACAACCCACTTGGTTGAGTCTTTTTGCACCAAATGATTTGCAATGTTTGATTAGTGGACAAAATACGTGAGTTTCTTGAAATTATAATAACTTACAAAAATCAATAAATTTTGAAGTGATATCGATTTGGCTGATTTGAAAAAACATGTTCAATATTTTGGCGGATTTCATGGAAATCATCGACTCATCAAATGGTTGTGGGATGTTTTGGAGAATAAATTTTCGGCTGATGAGAGAAAATTATTTCTCAAGGTTGGAGCTCCACCTCCTCTATCATAAAATCATACCGTTTTTGCAGTTCGTTACTAGTTGCTCGAGACCGCCTGTTCTTGGATTTTCATACTTGGAGCCACCGTTTTCGATTCGATGTGTTGAAGTTTCTGATGATCAAGACCAGGGTGATACTTTGGGAAGTGTTGTTCGAGGTTTTTTGGCTTTACGAAAAGGAACAGCTGCGTCAAGACTTCCAACTTCTTCAACATGCTTTAATCTTTTGAAACTTCCAAATTATAATCGAAAAACATTGTTATTGGAAAAATTGAGATATGCCATCCATGCCGGTAGTGGATTCGAATTGTCGTAATAATTGTGTATATAACGGGTTATAACAATAAATTATTGTAAATACCAAATCTATTCAATTATTTATGTTAACACTTATTACATGAAAACAGGAAACTGTTCTTCTTTATAATACGAGTTGAGAGTTTTAGGAACTCGTGAGAAATAAAGATTTATGCGTCAATTAGTTTTGGGGCGGCTGAATCATCGCCACCTTCGACTTGTTTGGCATCACCTTTTTTGTTGTTTCTGTTCTTGTTTTTGTTGGTGCGGCGATTTCCTTTTTTCTCGCCATTGGCCACAACGGCATTTGAACCGTCACCGTTTCCTTGATCTTCCTGAAATATTGATTTTTGATTCAACAAATACGTGGAATGAGAAGTTGAAATTGCGAACTTATTCGCTATTAAAACTATACAGCTTTTTTGAGCAAAAACTCACTTTATGACCATTTCCAACTTTTTCCACCCCTTCGTTTTGCGCGTTTGGTGCAAGTTTTCCGCGAGCACGGCGTGGACGACGTTTTTGGGCTCCGCGAGCCTCACCAGCTTCGGTATTCTGAGCTTCGTCGCCGTTTTTGTTGTCTTTTTCAGCGGCTCCATCATCAGTGGCTCTTTGACGTCTTGGTGGACCATTTGGACGACGGAAACGCCAGAGAAGTTGACGAGAGTATTTTGATCCTCTGACATTTTCACCATCTGGTCCAGTAATATTAGCAGCCTCGAGGCCTTTGGCTCCTTCAACGATATCGAAAACGACTTTTTCTCCATCATCCAAAGTACGAAGATATACTTTGATGGTGCTTGATTTGATGATTGCACTTTGATGAACAAAATAATCATCTTTCTCGTTTTCTTTTCCGTTTTCACGAGCAACAAATCCGTAACGGCCGCGAACCGAGAACCATTTAACGTATCCATTAACACCGGTCTCAATGACTTTTTTGTTCTTCTGTTCTTCTTCGATCTTTTTCAATTGTTCTTCATATGGAATGCGTGGAACGAACTGTAATTCATTTTCGATGTTTTTTTTCATTAAAAAATCAATAAAAGCTTACGTTTCTTCTTCCTCCTCGTCCACCACGTCCACGATAACCTCCACGTCTTCCAGTGAAATTGCGACGCGCTGGTTTTCCGTTAGCCTCTTTCGTGTTGTCAACATTCAAGTCGGCCAATTTTTCGGCGACTTTGTCAGCTTCATCCTTATTGATGTTGGATTTCTCAATTTCCGTGGTTGACATGATGTTATCTTCAGGCGTTGATCTTCTTTTGGATGGTCTTATTCGGGGTGAGGAAAAACCTCTAAGCTGATTGTGTGACTACACTCTGAAAAATGAAAATGATATCAAATTTTGTTTGAAATGACACATCGAAACAAAAACAAAAGTGGAAAGATGAAAATCGATGGGCGGAAAACTCTCGAAAAAATTTAATCGGATTCCGAAATTCTGGTCAAACAAAAACATAAATTATTTTAACAATAACAGTTCGTTTTATAAACTTTCCAACCAGGAAATGTTACGAAATTTCTTGTCAGGAAAATAATTTCAAATCATGTACCTAAAACTTATATTTGTTCATCTAAATCGAGTGACATTAGGAAATACATCAAATAGATCAGTCCTTATGCAATTAAGTAACATTTTGGGGTAAATGATTGCAAAAATAAATATCGAAAACAAAAGTGTTCTGCTTCGAGAAAGAATGAAATGAGGAATGACGATGAAAAGTGAACGCCTAGTACGAGACTGACGCATTTTAAAACGAAACATTTTTCTTTATCTTCTTTTTTTCTTTATAAAAATAAAAATTGACTCAGATAGAAGAAAATTTGCTCCGCGATTGTATATGAGAAAATATATGTTGAAGCTTTAAGTTGGTTGGGAATTCATGATAGACATAGTGATATTTGAAAAGTAACTCGAAAAATGATAAAAGAAATAACTCTAAAACCAACTTCCTTTTATCTGGTATTGAAAATTCCACCTAAACGGAAATAACGTTTTGAACATTTCAAAAACAGCAAGAGGCAAAGGTTTAAATTCAATAATCAACGCTTTTACTCGCTCTTTTAACAGTTGATAAAATCGTTAGAAAACCATATTGAGAAAAAAGAACAGACGAGTTGTACCATAGAAATATCTTATGTATAACATTAGGTAAGTAAACTCAATGTACGTCACAACCGGACGCGCTTGCAGACTTGAAAGCGCAAAAAAATGAAAAAAAAAAGATGAGCACCGCTCAACTACAGTACCCTAATTTCAAATCCAATCGAGACCATTTCACTGAAATCAACTATGTAGCTGAGTTCGGCACGAGACCATCATTTTTTATTTGTGTTCCTTTAACTACTTTATTTTTTTAAATTCTGAAATTTGAGAATAAAAAATAAAATTAATTTTTTGCGAAGCTCGTTTTAGAATGAAAGTAAAAAAAATGACTATAATTATACTCATAAAATGTTGCGGCGTATTACTGCGAGGTTTTTGCAATGTCGCAGCGAGGTTATTCCGTCTTATGGCGCGCTATCCGTCAGGCAGTGCTTTTTTCCGTCGCTAACCTAGCAGCGACCTGGCAAATGTGTGGCTGCCACCCGTCTTTTTTTTTTGTTCGCTAGAAACGGCAGCTTGCATACTAGCGCTTTGTATAGCATAAATTCGAGATTTGTATTGTGAGAAGCGTTTATTTAATTAATAAATAATGAACAACAAGAAAAATTAAAATTAATCTCCGCGGTGAAGAAATTGGTGATGTCGAGACTTCTGGAGCAGGGGATTTTGTTGAAGATGAAGGCATGATTGTGGAGATAGGCTCCGACTGGAGACGACGAGGGTGATTTCTTCGATGCCAGTTGGAAGTTGATTTGATTTCCGGACTTTTGCCAGTGTCCTATATAGTCTCCAAAACCAAGGTGTTTGCCAAAATCATCATTTTTGAAGATTTTGTTGTAGTTTCTGTAATATTTCAAGTTTAAATTCACGGGATGAATATGAAATTTGCGAAGTACTCACGTGATATTTTGGATGTTTTTTAGCCACGCGAACCATGTTGACATCGTCATAAAATGTTGTCGATGTTCCAGACATGGATTCTGAAACAGATGGTCATATTGGGATGATTTTTCTGAATTCAACATACCTACACAGGCTCCATCATGATTGCCAAAAGCTCATCTCCAATACCAGGATGATTGCCAAAATCATTGAATGTTGAAGATTGTGTTGTAGTTTCTGCAATATTTCGAATTGATTGTCACGGTAAATTGGAATTCCACGAATTAAAAACAAACTTACTCGATTAAAACAGTGATTTTCGGCTTCTTCGGAATTCGATCGTTCAACCAGCTCGAATATGCTGAAAATGATTTTTATTTAGCAAAATGGGATTTGTAGCACGAAACATCGTCACGAAAAACAATATAAATCGGAAAACCCAAAAAGAAGAAGCTGTTTTACAGATAAACTGCCCTTCTTTTTGGAATTTTGGGAACTTTGAAAAATGAAAATAAAAATTTTGGCAGAGGAAATGCGCTCCATTGCGAAAAAATGGGAATAGGCGACTAGCAGGCAGGTTGCTGCGACGTCGCAAACTTGAGCGTCCGCAATTTTTTGTGTGACGGGTCGCTGCCATATTGCGGCAGTCGCAAAAACCCGCCAAACCTCGCTGCGATATGCCATTTTGCTTCTAACCTCGCAGTAATATGCCGCAACATTTTATGAGTAAATGAAACTTCTAAAACAAATAGAAACGATGTTTAGAAAATGTGAGGTTAGTTTATGGATATGTCCGCGTCTTTTGTTGTCTGGTGCTCTATCACTTTTCTCACTGTCTCATAAAAGCCTTTCTTGCTCTTTTGCGCAAGGCGAAAAAGTGTTTTGAATTATAGAAAAATGTTACATATTTATATTCGATAGTTAAAATTTTCAGGTGAACAAATGGATCGTTTCAAAGAACAAATAACAAAAACAGTCCAACAACTTGGAGAATCATTTTCGACTGATGACGATGTCAAAGTTCTTCTAGAAGATATGGGAGATTTCGTGATGAGTTCATATGATGAACCAAGTACATCAGAAGTTGTAAATATTCCAATTACACCAAAAACAACACCAAAAAAACAGAAAATATCAGATGATGAAGAAATTATCAATTCAATAGATGCTGCTTATTTTATAGATCATGACGATTTTAATGCGATAGATTATGAGCTCAAAAAATTATGTGATGTTGAAATGTGTTATGAGGATATTCAAAGAGAACGTCTTCGACTAAAATCTCAACATACAGTAGTTTCAAAGAAGATATCATCATTGATTATGCAAAAATCACCATCATATAGTGGACAAATTGGAGAAATGGATAATATTCGAAAAGAATTATCAGAAGTTATCAAAAATGTTGCTGAAATTCGAAGAGGACTTTTGCTATCAAAATCTCAAACGAGAACATGTTTAGGTTTGATTGCAAATGAGAAAAAAGAAAAGTATGCTGAAATATTTGAAAGAAACACTGGAAACAGTTAAGGATATTTATGAAGCTGAACAAAGAATTCAAGAAGTTATAGAACTTGGAAATTTTCCACTTGCTATTCAAATGCTCATCGAAAATCAAATAAAAGCAACAAGTTATGCACAATTCACATGTATAAAGTTAGTTTTAAAAAATGAAAATATTTTTAAAATCCAAAAATTTTCAGCGATGTCATGTCAAAATTAGCTGGTTTGAGTGTTTCAATCGAATCAGGCCTTTTATCAAAATTGAGTAATATTTCTGTAATTTTCGATCAAGAACAATATGGTTTTGTATTCACTGCCTATGAAATGCTCGACAAGGCAAATGATCTAATTTTGAATTTGGAAGATATTTTCCAAAAAACTATTGAATCTACATCTCGTGCAATTGTAATCGATAAATTGAAACCGGAAAATTTTGAAGAATCTACATTTCTCAGTCTTTGCATGGTAAGTTTATTTGGGATTAGGAAAAGTTTATATATTTTTTCTATTTAGAAATTGGAGAATGATCAAATAGTTCAAGTTTTCCGTGAAATGGGATTTGTTATATGTCGAACATTATTTTCATATCATTCTGTGATACGATTCCATTCTCAGGAACATTTGCACGGTTAGTTTCAGCAATTATAAAATTCATGGAAAAAAATGAGTCTTTTATAGAAGTATCAAAAGAAATCAAACGAATATTATTGGAAAATCGACAAAAATTATATCTGGTGGCTGTGACAAAAATCAAAACTTTGATAGAATCGCGAGATTTTGTTGCGTTAAAATTCGATCAATTGTTAGAAATTGTAGATATGATAAATCGATTCAATGCGATTGGACAACAATATTTTTGCCATAATTCTCGAGAACTTTTGGATGCTGTTGAAGTTAGAATATCAAATTATTTCGAAAAATATCATAGGTAAAAATTCCCAAATTTTATTTCTTAAATTAATTAATACAAATTCAGAGATCGTCTTGATGAATTAATTATGTTTATTGAAAATGAATCATTCACATTATGTCCGATTCCAATTCAATTCACTATTTTTGATTTACAAGATTTTGATTTTTTGAAAGAAGCAAAAAGAGCAGAAGAAGAAGAGCTAAAAGAAAAAGAGAAAGTGGGTGAAGAAAATGATGAAGAAGAAGATGAGGAGAAATTTATAATGGCCAATGATTGGTTGAATCCATTTAGCCAAGCTGTTATAAAAGTTGGTTTTTTCTTTCAATTAATTTCAGTTCAATTTTCTTCAAATCTTTAATTTCAGTCTCGCCATCAATCAACGTATAGTCAAAGATCAAATCGAAGTTTATCAACAACTTCTGATAACTTCGATGATCCATTAGATGAACCATCTTCAAATCTTCAACCATCACCGAATTTGTGCAATACAGCATTGAATCTTCTTCGATTTTTCGGAAGATATATTCGAATGACTGCTCTTCTCCCAACTATTTCCAATAAATCAGCACCTGCGATTATTGAATTATTCGAGTTTTTCTTTGCATCGGTAATTTATTTTTTCAAAATAACATATTGATAATGATGAACTTTCAGATTTGTCATATTTTTGCAACTGAAGGCTCTGAATTTGTTGGAAAAAGTCAACGACTTATGAATTGTTTGGACAATATTTCGAAGAAGATTTCATCTAAAAATAGTCCATCTTCACCGTTCAAAAAAGTTTTTCGATCGAAAGAAGATGGAGTGGTTAGTTAAAAATAGTTTTTTTTATTTGCAAGAAAATTGTTTTTTTTCAGATTTATCCAAGTCTTTGTCCAACTGTTCAAATTGCTTTTATTGATAATTTATATGGTGCTTGTGAAAGAATTATTGGAATTGATTCAATGTGAGTTTTTTTTTCAAATTATTTTAAATATTCAAGTTTTGAATAGGCTCTAAAAATGATTATTAAAAAATTCCAAGCTCTAATTTTTAAATTTTCAGTGAATTTGTTGCGAAACAATTGGATCTTATTCGACCTGTCATTGAATCTCTGATACTTGAAGAATTTAAAGAAGAATTGCTTGAGAAAATCGACGAGTTTTATTCGAAGGTTAGTCTAGTCCTCTATTTTTATCTCATATATTCCTCCCAATTTCAGGTTCTCGTTTGTTGCTCTGATGCAAAAGTTCTAATAATTGATACATCCGCATCTCGTTCTCTTCGTCTAAAAACTCTTGTTGAAAATGTATCGGCTACAAAATGGGATATAAATGAGCTGAAAAGTCAACATAGTCCATATGTTGATCTTTTGATTCAAGATTTTGAAGTTTTTCGACTTCGATTGAATGCATTGGAGGAAGAAAATCCGATTAATGTTACTGAAAATATGAAACAATTATTTTGGAATCGAGCCATTTTTTATGCTTTCAAAGCACTTGTTCAAGGGTAAGCTTGAAATTTTTATATTTGAGGTTAACGTTCTTAATAAAAAAAATATTTTTAGTTATGGTGATGGTGGAAAATGTTCGACAGAAGGACGTGCTTTGATGCAGTTGGATTTTCAAAATATTCTGATGAAACTCGAAAATATTTGTGGCCAAAAACCAGTTCCTCACGCGAATTTTGTTGATGGTTATATCAAAGCATATTATTTGCCAGAAAATGGATTGGAACAATGGATTAAAAATCATTCGGTGAGTATTTGAGGGGAGAGACCGAAAGCTTCGGCGAACTTTCTATAAGTTATGATAACTTTGCTACTGCGCGATTTTGCCTCCATCCCAAAAGTTTCAAATTTCTTTTATTTCAGGAATATTCTTCAAAACAAATAACTTCACTTCTCGGTGCCGCTGCTCATGTTAGCAAAAAAGCAAAAATTCGAATTTTGGATGCGCTCAAGGAATAACTATATTAAATACTAATATATAATACATAAATAAAAAGTTTTATATTTTAATTCAAAAAATCTCCTTTTCTGAATTCGGCAACATTGTTGATAACTTCTGATAATTATTTTCGAATATTATCAATTTCTCCTATATGTCCACTTATGATGGTGATTTTGCCTATTCAATTTTGAATTGAATAATGATGATATCTTTTTTGAGTATACATTTTTCACCGCTGTTTTACATAATTCAATATCTACTATATACTAATATATATCTTCTTTTTTAAAATAGCGTGATACATAAATAAATATTTCAAAAAAATAAATAAACTCAGAGAAAGCCGGCGACTAATCGGCGACGAACTTACGACGAATCGAGATCAGGCGACTAATCGTCTGCCAATCGTAAGTTTGTCGCAAGTTCGTCGGCGAAAATAGTGTGTGTTTCCCGGAGACGCAGACGAAAAAGTTTCAGGCGACTAATCGGCGACCAATCATAAGTTAGTCGCCGATTAGTCGCCGATTAGTCGCCTGAAACTTTTTCGTCTGCGTCTCCGGGAAACACACACTATTTTCGCCGACGAACTTGCGACGAACTTGTTGGTCGCCGATTAGTCGCCGGCTTTCTCTGAGAAGCTCAACTTTCTCGAAGTTATAAAGTGGTAGTGTTACCATTTTTGATGAAACCGGTTTACAACTCTTCCGAGTACTCTAATTCATTTCAAAGACATCTTCTCCAATTAGAAATTTTAATCATAAATAGAGATGTTTTATTTTGAAATTTCAATCCCAGATTTCTCAACACAGATATTTTTCGTATGAAATCCCTTATGGGTTTCTCATGTCTGCTCTTATGGGTCTATGTTCCGTTTTTGAGAACCCCTGACATACCTCGGCCAAAATCGTGGTTCCCAAAAAAAAATTGTACGCTAACTTTTTACAGTACAAAAATTTTGGATTTTTCAGTTTTTGTTCTCTAAAATTTGTGATTTTTCAATTTTTGACCTCTAAAAATTGAAATTCAGTTTTTTCCAAAAATTGTACTCTGGCCAGCCACGGCTTGACCGAGGTGTGACCCCTGAAACCCTCAGAACTCAAGATGAGATGAAAAATATGAAATGACACTATTTCCACCTTTTTTATCTATATAAATTTTCAGAAGAGAATTGGCAGTGTTTGAGTGCGATGGTTGGATGATGATAAGTTTAAATCGGTGTTAAAGGATTCCTTCGAAGCTTTCACTTACAACTCAGCCACGAAAGTCGGATATTTGCGTGTTGTGAGTTTTTTTTTCATAATCTAAAGCAGCTAAAAATTATGAGTATAATTTATGAAAATTATTAACAAATGTTCAACTATTTTATTCAGCAATTGTGTATTTCATCTTTTAGCACACCTCGGCCAAAATCGTGGTTTCCGAAATAAAAAGTTGTACGCTAACTTTTTACAGCACAAAAATTGTGATTTTTTCAGTTTTTATCCTCTAAAAATTGTGATTTTTCAATTTTTGACCTCTAAAAACTGAAATTCAGATTTTTCAAAAAAATTTACTCTGGCCAGCCACGGCTTGGCCGAGGTGTGTTTTTTAGGTCTAACTAGAGAACAAAAACTAGGTTGAAAATGAAAAAAAAACCGATTTGTATAGAAATAATTGTTTTGTTTTCAGACAACACATTTCGAGGCCGAAAAATTGCGTCATCATGGAGTGATTCGTGTGCAAAATGACGAATTTGAAATATGTGGCCGTTCGGAATACTCAATGATAATTAGACCAATGCCAAAACAAATCAATCATGCTCGAGCTGTGGAACTTTTTTCGAGGAGATACCCGGATTGTATTCAAGTCGAATTGTTGCATTATCACGGCGATCAGAGTGTGAAATTATCATATTACGAAAAGGAAAACCGAGATCGCGATCTCAAAGATTTGGCAACATCGCGTGTATTGGTGGAAAATTCATGGTATGTTAATTGTGGATATAACTCCTGATTTTGTTCAAATCATCTCATTAATAAAAATGTAGAAAAAAGGAAAATATCGAAAATAAACAACAAAAAAATTATCTTCGAAAGTTTCACATTTGTAGTCAGCTGTGTCATCAAATTTGAAATTCGGAATTTTTCGACGTCGCAGCTCAATTTTGTTTTCAAATGGCCTAATTTTTTTTAAATTGACGACTGCAGTACCCAAGACAAGAATCCATACACAATTTTGACCAAAAAAATTTTGGGGGTACGGTATTCGCCTTTTAACTTTGGCAATTTTTTAAAGAGGCAGCCTAACTGAAAATGTTGGCTCGAGGGACTTATTTTATGTATGGACATATAGTTTCTATTATTTATATTTCCCGGAAAATTCATCATTGCTGTTTCATTGAGACGGTTCCGAGAAAATTTCAAACAGTTTTATTTGAACAGCCTGTTCTAAAAAAAGAAATATAATAATAATCTGAAATTGTGGATTTCAATGAGAAACCCAATTCAGTAATTAACATTTTTAAGTTGTTTTAGGAATGTTGAAAATGAAAAAACTGAGTTGTATAGAAATAATTGTTTTATTTGCAGAAATCAAGAGAATGTGCTCAAAAATTGCGAGAAGAAGGAGTTATGAAAATCGATAATGTCGAATATATAATTGCTGGAAGATCGGAATATACTATTGTGGCGAGACCGATTCCGAAAGCATTAATTGAGAAGAGGGCTGCTGAGATGTTCATGAAGAAATTTCAGGATTGTGTAAACTTGGAATCATGTTCATATCACGGTGACGAAGCAATCACAATGTACTATTATGAAAAGGATGTTAGAGACCGAGATTTGAACTTGTTTGAGAGTTCTCGAATTATTATAAGAGATATTTGGTATGTTTATTTTGGATATAATTATTTATTTCATTCAAAAAATTTAGCGAATTAAAAATAGAAAAATGTGGGTGTTGAGATTTCATAGAAATAACAGATAATTATCTACAAAAGTCAAACATTTTTGGTCAGCCTCAAATTTGAAATTGAAACGTTTTTCAATGTCGCAACTCAAATGTGTTCAATTACCGATAATTGAACATAATAAAACTATGGAAAAGTGGAAAATACGTGTTTATCTGAATTTTATCACAAACATTTCATTTTTCGTATTTCTGAAAAACATAGAAAATAATGGGCCTAAGATCAATTATGCAACAAATTAGTCTACAAATTTTCCATGAAAAAGTTCTGAAATAGAAAAACGGAGAAAATATGTGAACATTCCTGACACGCGAGCTTGTGCGCATTTTTGACAACGACGGAAATCTCGAAATTAAAAAGATATTTAAAAAAATGCATTTTTCTTGTGAAATCTAGAAAACCTTCATTTTTCTTATATATCAATATAAATGGAATGTATTTTATAGGATGCCGATCCTCGCAATCGTTGGACCAACAACATCTTATAAACGTTCTGGTTTCGAAGATCTCAGCAACGAGCATAAAGAAAAGTGAGTTCATTTGAAATATGATTTCTTTCCAAAAATAGTTATTTTCCATTTCAATTAATTTTACAATTAAATACTTAACAAGTAAGGCAATGTTCGATTGATCGTAGTGATTTTTCCACTATATGAAGATGTAACAATGTCCCATTATGAAAAATACGTTATTTTTAGCGATGTTGATTCATTTTTGCAAACAATGTCGGTAAAAAATGTTTTTAAAAATAGTTACGATTTTTCTGAAAAATTTTATCACAAAAATCAAAAACCCAAAAATATCGAAAAAAAATTTTTCTCTCCTTATTCCCGTTAGGGTTTTTCTGACCCACGAAAACCCTAAACATTCCACATACTCTCGATTTTTTTCTTGGGGGAACATTGAAAACCTTTCCTTGTAAAAAAAATTGAAAAAAATCTGTGCTCTCAACAATATGAATGGTTCGAAAATGGATCATAAATTGCACAATTTCTTAGCTTTTATCACTGTCTTCGGTTTACATAAAATTCATCAATTTTTTTTTAAATCACGATGTATGAATTTTTTCCGAGCCTGGTTGGTGGTGTTTTAAGAAAAATGTTGCAATTCGCTGAAAAATTAAATTTTCAAAAATTAATCGGTACATTTGGAATGACTTACCATATAAAATTATTTTCGACAAAATAACTTCAAAAAGTCGATAATATGGAATTTTTCAGATGTATGAATTTTCAACTCGTCCTGTCACCACCAGAATGTTTCGAAAGTTTTCATTACAAATCTATCGAACAATTGGAACAAAAGAAGCATGCAAAAATCAATGCTGCCGTTAGTTCATTTCGAATTGCCAGAAGCGAACAAATGAAGGATTTGGAAGTAATGAAAATCAAATATGAAGAGGAATCAATCCGAAAAAGTAATTTGTTTTTTTTAAATGCAGTGAAATGGTCCGGAAACGGAGAGCACTGTTAAAATGTTGATGAATGAATTTGAAAATTCATTTACTTTCCAAAAACACAGGCATAAATTCTTGACTTTTTTAATTCAGAAATGCCTGTCGCAGATAAAAAAATTTCTGGCGTGAATCGGGAGGCGGGATTTATTTGGCAAGGTGCGGCACGTTTTTTTTCAAGCAAAAATTATTTCTGATTTTTTGCATTTCGAAATTTAGTGAAGAAAAAAAGATGAAATCGAAAAAATTATTTAAAAAACGTGAAACGTGTAATCGTGGCAGGGGGCGGAGCCAGCAGGAAAAAAAGTCAGCAATTTATGCCTGTGTAAAAAGAGAAGTTGAACATAAGATTCAGAGAAATAAAAAAAAAACTGAAAAAAGAAAAATATATGTGGCCGAATTATTTTACCCAATTACCGGGTCATTGATCTTAATTCAACTCAATTGATGTTCATTTAACTTAATACTTTTCAGAAAAAAAATGATGACTGATGGCTAGCTGCTCCCCTTCGCTCCCACCTTATTTTTCCCATTTTGCCTCGATAATTTTCTTTTTTTCTACATATTTGTTTTTTCGCACCTATTTCCTATTTTAATTACGCCCGTTCTTCGCCCATTTATTCTTTGCCCATTCGCCCATTTATTCCCCAAAAGTTACAGTTTTTCATTTCAGTTACAGTTTTATCACCCAAATTAGTTTATGCATTTTTCCTTTTTTATCCCCCACCAAAAAAAAGTGCAAGAAATTTGAGCGCAACTCGCGAATATTAAGTAGAATTTGAAATTTCCGTTGATGTGATTTTGAATGTTTATGGTTCCAGGAAATAAACGTGACATTTGAAGTAATAAATTGAATTAAAATGTTTTTGACGTCAAAAATGCTGAGAAAGAAAACTAATATTTCCCTCACAATCAGTTTTTATTAGCTTTTTTTCAAAAAGTTTCCTGAAAGATTTCATTGCTCAGCAATACTACAACAGATGAAAATAAAGTACAATTTCTGGACTTATAAATATTAAACACCAGAGTAGGTCTTCACACACAGACGGAATTTGATGTTTATTCTAATAAATTGGAGTGTGAGCAAAAAATAAGTTATGCTCAGAGCATGTTCAAAAAATAAGTTATGCTCAGAGCATGTTCTAATTAGTACAGCCATCGAAGAATTTTTCTGAAAGCTTCTGAAACATTAGAGGAACACAGCTCCAAAACACTGGACATCTGGATTTTTAATTCATTGTACACGGTGTTTCACTGTTTTTTCGAACTTCTAATTTTTCAATGTTTGAGAAGCTTCCAGAAAAAAATCCCTAGAAGATTGTATGCTCTTTCAAAAGATCACAACTTATTTTTTTGCACAGGCTGAACCTTTAAAACTTTATTTTAAAACCCACCCATAAACACTCACCATCCTTCACACCTCTAACATTATCTCTATTACCTGAAATTAATTTAAACAAGTATTTTAATCCACAAAGTCACAGCGGATATATTTCATAGCAAATAAAAAACCAATATTTTATCAAATCACTTTATTTCATTAAACAAAATAATAATTAACTCAGCACAACCAACAAAATTCCACATTAAAATTTTCAAAAAACAAAATAAAAACAAAACTACAACACTCATCATCCGTGCTCCAATTCCATCCAAATCACCGCTTAATTCTCATAGCACGCGTGGCGATACACGAATAACCACGATTTTCAGCCTAATTGCTTTTTTCTAATGGTTTCTGCTACAATAAGCTCCACCATTAGAAAAAAGAATGATTTGGTTTTTTTTTCGGTTTCGCTGTCGTCGAATCGCGACAGCACATCTTCAAAACAACATTTGAAAAGGCACGAACTGATTGTGAGTAAAAATTTAAAAACTTACTCATTTTATTCCTTGCTCCATTTCCATCTCCATCCATATCCATCTCCATATCCATCGAAATGAGCCCATCGCAGGCTCATTTTATTCCTTGCTCCATCCTCCACCTCCATACCCATCGAAATGAGCCCATTGCAGGCTCATTTTCTTCCTTTCTCCACATCCGTGCTCCAATGCCATCCAAATCATCGTCCAATTCTCATGGCATTTGTGACGATTCACAAAATAAATAAACTAACTATATTGCAATTGTCGTCGTCCTCCTTGTTGTCGTCGATGTTAGTCTTCCGAGTCTTCCGAGTGGTGCAATTGGTGGTGGTGGTGGTGGTGTTGAACGGAGTCGGAGTTGAGTAGATTTGCAGGAGACGATTGAAGTGGCATCTTGACATTGGCAATTCTGGAAAAAAATGCTTTGTCTCAAATTTTTTCAATTAAAAAGAACTTACTAAAATTTCAATTTTCCATTAAAAAAACTCAAATCATCGCTGAATTCTCATAGAATTTGTGACGATACACAAATAACCACGATTTTCAGCCTTCATGCTTTTTTCTATTGGCTTCTGCTACAATAAGCTCCACCAATAGAAAAAATGATTTGATTTTTTTTCGGTTTCGCTGTCGTCGAATCGCTACAGGACATCTTCAAAACAACATTTGAACAAGCACGAACTGATTGTGAGTAAAAATTGAAAAACTTACCTAAAAATCGATCCAAATATGTGGGCCATTTCAGCGGCGGTGGGAAGATGAGAAAATATGAAAAACCCAAGCCAACAATTCGCCTTTCATGCACACAAAACCACAATTAAAAATCGCCCGCTGCCGCAAAAACAATAAGTCAAAAAAAATTCGATGCGCGCGCATGCAAAGAAAACCTATTTTTTTTTGTTTTTTTGCGACCAACCTTTTTGTTTTTTGCGACCAACCAGAAACAATGCATTTCGAGCAAGCATATCTAGTTTGAAATAGTGACGCAATCTTGCGAGCTTATTTTTTCAAGTTGAAAGAAAGAAAAATGCGCTGAAAGAATAATTAACAAAAAAAAACAAATAAATAAAAAATTTTATTACATCAGATTACATTATTCTATCAACACTTTTTATCATCATTTTTCTGATAACAAGTTTCTTTTCAAATCAATTCATTTGAAAAGAAAAATGGTTTTACACGGTGTGCATTCGAAGGCTCTGAAAAATGGCGATGCTGAGATTCCACTTGAAGCTGGAAAATTTCGAGTTTATAATATGAGATTTTGTCCATGGGCTGAAAGAGCAATGATTTATATATCAGTCAAGGGAATTGAGTGAGTTTGAATTATTTTTCGAAAATTTCGAACTGTGATAAAGTCAGTTATAATTGTCAAAACTCCATAAAATTGAAAATATATTTTAGCAGGAAATCATTGATGTCGATAATAATCTAGACAAAAAAATTTCAAATTAAGCTTTGAAAATGAGTTGATTCTGTTGAGCACGTTTCTGGGGCTCATTCATTTTTTCGTTCAATAATTCTTCAGTTTCTCCAATATTTCAGTGCTGAAGTTATCAATTTGAATGTGACCGATAAACCGCAATGGTATTTTTCAAAACATTATCAAGGAAAAGCTCCAGCCATCGAATATAATGGAAAAATTGTGATTGAATCTGCATATATTCCAGAATATCTTGACGATATTTTCCCAGAATCTCGAATTCTTCCAACTGATCCATATGAAAAAGTTCAGCAAAAATTGTTGACTGAAAGATTGACTGCGGTATTTTTTCTATATTAAAAATCCATTTGAATGTGAAAATTATAGGTTGCAATGTCTGTTCCTTCACTATTTGCTGTAATGCGCGACAAATCTTTGAAGACTGAAAAAAATCAAAAAGTTATCGAAACTCTTGAGATGGCTGAATCTCTTCTTGCCAATTCTGATTTCTTCGCTGGAAAATCAGCAGGATATCCGGATTTCCTAACTTTTCCATTTTTTGAGAAAATGTGGTGGGCTACAAGAATTGAAGGAGTCACCGATTTACCGGAAATCGGTTTTCCGGGAGTTGAAAAATTCCCAAAATTGACAAAATGGTTTGATTATATGATTAATTTGGAGGCTATTCAAAATGTTACTCAATCGATTGAACATGGAAGTCAATTTATGAATGCTTATGCCACTCATTCAAAACTTGATTATAATCTTGGGCTTTAACTTGATTTTGAACTGAATAGAAATGAAGGATCATACAGTATCTACAGTAATCTATGAAATTTTCTTTTTTTTTTAATTTTGATTTTTTTTTAACTTCAAAAAAATTGTTCGAAATATAGCAACATAACCTGCATGTTACAGTACTCCAAAATTTAAAAAATTCTGGATGAGCAAAAATAGAGCCACAGTAACCTACAGTACCAATTTTTTGTTTAAATGAATGGAGAACAATTATTTGAGGTTAAAAATAAACGAATATTTCTAAAAGTTATTTTTATTATGAATTTTGAAGCCTAAATTTTTGAGCTTGAGGGCTAGAAAAATCAGCCTGAGCCTTTTGCCACGTCGATTTTAAGTCCCGAATTCAAATTTTCCATATGTTCTCACTTGTCTTTTTCCACCAGAACTCCTTGATATTTTGATCCTTATTTTTTGTCTCCAAAAATGTCCATCAAAACTTGTCAAATGGCCCTTTTTCCTCGTCTTTCTTGTTCTTTTTTCTTCATGCCGCGAAAAAACGCATATTTCGAAATTCTTCGGAAAAAAGAGGCAAAAAGAGAGAAGAAGCTGTGGCGTCATTTGTGGTTAATCGAATTTTTTGAGTACCCCAAATGGACAGAGAAGCAAATGAATAAATTGAATTTTTGAAGAAGAAGAAGAAGAAGAGAACACTTTCAGTATATATTGTCTTTTGAGCCAAAAAAAGAATAATTTTCCGTACGGAACTTTTTTTTTCATATATATTATATTCGGAGCCATTCACATTCAATCATCCATCATTATAAATGTATATATTATATACTTTTTTTGCATTCATTCACAATTGTTCATATTAATCTTTTGCTTCTTTACCGGAGGCCGCTAAGTTATGGTAACTTGGGAGAAGCATGGGTTTTTTAACTGAAAAATTTGAAAAATAAACGAGTTGAGCTAAAATTTCAGATAACACTAATTTGAATTCAAAAATACTTTTTTATCGGGAACATTGTGGTGAATTCGATACCCTGAGTTTTCAATGTTGTGAAAAGCTTCAAAATAAATTTGTTGTAACTTTTTTTTGTACTTTGTTTGGAGCAAGTATTTTCAGAACATTTATTACATCCTTCAGAGTTTAGCCACGTCATAGTTTTTCCCAACAAAAAAAAACCCGGTTTTCAGAAATTACCACGTTGGGTTCTTATTTTTCAGAGATTTTCAGAAAATTATATTTCCAGATTTCAAATTTTGATTTTTTTTTCTTCCCTCAAAACTCCACTTCAACATTTTTGTTCTACAAAACTCATTTTTGTTTTTGTTGTCGTCATTAAATTCATTTCATAGTCCTCTTTCTTTCTTCTCCTTTTTTGAATTATTCTAACTTTTTCCTTTATTTTCTTCTAGCTTTTCCCTTTCTATCGATTCGTGCTCTTTTACGGGCTCTTCTTCTTTTTTCTTCATCTTCTTCTTCTTTCCTTCTTTTCCACATCGATTTTTTCCTTCTTCTATTTTATTTTTTCGTTTCGCGCACAACACGAAGCTTCTTTTTTCTTGCTTGAAAGCATAGCTAGATAGATAGAAAGAAGAGATAGATTGCCCCCCAAAAACCTTTTTTGTCCTTCTTCTGCTCCTTTTTGTTTTTGGTTTTTTTACGATTTTATAATTTCTCTGGAGATTTTAGTTTTGTCGAGATTTTCTTCTTTTTTTAAAACATGTTTTATTTATGGATGAATGATGTCATTTTTTGAACAAATTTCATATAATTTTCAAAATTGTGCTAGGTTTTCAAAAGGTTACTGTATTAGAAAATTCGAAAACTACAGTAATCTTGATGTGCAGAGTATCTGAAACTTCCCAACTTTCTGAGGTCTAATTACATCTTAAAAATGTTCCAGAGTTTTCGAAAAGATTACTGTATCACCAGCTCATTCCAAATCCTATCTCTGAAACCAGAAGTCTTGGAAGGTGGTCCCAACACTCAAACATCCCACTCCAACAAAGAAATCTGACATTTCTCTCGCGCCAACATAATTTATATGTTTTTTTTCCAGAAAAAGTATACAATTTGCGTGGTTGTTTACTGATGTAGAAAATAACATTTTCTTCCATATTTTTCTTTTTTTCTTTCTTCCAAAAGAAATATTCTTGAGAAATTCGACACTTTTTGAGCAAATCAAGAAGAAGAAGAAGTATTTGTCTTTTTAATTCAAACAACTGAATATTTAATTTCTCTTTTCTTTTTTTTCGAATTCATTTTGGAACAAAGATTAAGAGTTTTAAAATTTTGTTTGGAAATTTAAAAGGTTTCAGGCGCGGATTCTGGAAAATATCTAGGCTTAGCTACTTTTAGGCGTGGCTACGGGAGACCTGGGCTTCTCTAGGCGCTGATCCTTGGCAACCCAATTTTCTAGGCGTGGCTACTTGGAATATAAGCTCTCAAGGCGTTGAATGAAAATAGAGGAACAATTTATTCTTAAAATCATTTTTTTTTTGAATCCTTTTAGCCAAGTTTTCTGGACCTCCTAAAAATCTTTTGTCACGCAAAATATGTCAAAAATCAGTCTCATCTAATATGAATCATCTGACATACTCCATGTTTTTTTCTCGATTTGACAAAGAATAAGAGGAATAACATATTATTTTCATTCTTCTTTTTTTCAGGCGTTTTTCTTGATGACGAGATATTTCATGTTTTTCTCCAATATTGTTTTTTGGTGAAACAAAACAAAACATTTTGAGAAGAAATGGGCGCAAATTTGACTTCACCATTACCACATCGACCACAAACATCGGTAAGGAATATGGGAATGATTATATTTTTGGGGGAACCTTTCGGGAGTAGGCTGGCAAAAATAATGCAATAATACAACATTTTAGAAATGCCAAGAAAAGGCGAAAAACCTGTAATCATAGTATTTTGGTGATTGGAGAACATTTTTCGAGGTTTTTCTTATTGCAATCTCTATTCCCGAGATTTTCCTATTTTTTGCTGCAAAGATTGTGAAATTTGGTTAAGTTTGAAGGATTTTAGCATTTTTTGTGAAAAAACGAAAAACGGTTTTGAGGTTTGGAAAAATTGTAGGAAAACCTACGCGTTGTCTGCGTTCTCTCTTACGCGTTTCTATCTCTCATTTTTCTCTCTTTCTCTATCGTCTCTTCTAGAAGCAACACTCTCTCGCTCATTTTTTCAGTTTTTTTTTTCTTGAAATCAGGAAAAATCGCAGTTTTCACGGGGAACATCATATATGAAAGTATAGAGAAAGACAAGGAAAAGACAGAAAAATAAAAATCGAATTGTAAAATTTAAGTTGGATTTGATAATTTTTGCAAAAAAGGGAAAAATGTTGTATATTATTGCATTTCTGAAAACTAGTCAGAAAATTTGAAATTTGAAAAAAAAAAAACATTTTAGACAAGTCTGATTCAAAAACTCTGAAGATCAGATTTCTACTCAAGAAACTTTCCAGTAACTTCAAAAAAGCTTCCCATAAGTATCTATCACACAAAATTTCAGGTCTGCAATCATTTATTTTCGCCCGGTGATGGTGGACCAACATTTGCACCTCAACGAAATCAACAACACCCAAAAGAATCGGTTTTGATGCAAGGTTGGAATTGGAGCAAACGGAATATTCAGCCTGTTATGAGTCGACGAAGTTTGCCAAAATCCGAGTCATCTTCTGACACAACAATATCATCAAAATCAAGTGATAGTCTTGTTTCATTCACAAGATCAACACAATTCTCCGGTGGAAGTAAGGTGTCGATTTGTTTGGACAAGAATCAGAATTATCACCATAACCATCATAATGCGACATCTCGATCTTTGACTTCTTCATCATCTTCATCTTCAACAGGAATCGCAAATGATTCAACAACAATTATACCAAATTATTATAGTATTCGGGATGAATTTCGACGCGGGTTACAATTAAATAAACAACAAGATTATATAAATAATAATAATAATGACAATATTTCTCCACCAAATCATATTCCAAGACAAATTGGAACTAAAGATGAAAATGCAAATGGATATGGATTTGGATCTACAAATCAGCTTAAAGATTTGGTAAGCTCCTTCATTTTTTTATTTGAGAAAAAAAAATGTATTTTTAGAACACTTCCACATCAACAACAACATCAAAGTTAACACAAACACAATCACGAAAAACAATAATTCAAGCATCAACATCGGAATTATTACGAGGTCTTGGTATATTTATTGCAAATACGTGTATTGTTCCGGATTTTGAAGCGGCTCATTTGGTGACTTGGTTGAGATCTGTTGATAGATCATTATTGTTACAAGGATGGCAAGATATTGCATTTATTAATCCCGCCAATTTGGTTTTTATTTTTATGATTGTTAGAGATGTTTTGCCTGGTATGTTTGGATTGCGAAAATGAGATGAACTTTAAGAAAAAAAAGTGGGAATAAGACTCTTGTAAAAAAATATAAATGTGAAAAAACTTTAAAGTGATCTACTTGAATTCCAATTTTTTTCCTGTCGATCAAAAGACAATTTTTCTCAATCCGTAATTATATTAAATCCGGGAAATAGAGAAAACCAAACTACAGTATACTTTGTCGGCCTCGTGTTTTCCTACTGAAAAAATTCAATTGATTTTTACGCGATTCTATGTGCAATAGGGCAAACTTGATTTCCTGTGTGTTATGTTTCAATTTTTCGTGTGTTTTAGAAAAAAAACTTTTTTTTTGAAAAGTGGAAATTCAACCTTATTCCTATTGAGTTAGCACAAGTTTCTCCACAAAAACATCTATATATTTTCAGTTGAACGACATTCAATAATAACACTTCAAGAACTCCACGCCTGGGTTCTCAGCTGTCTCTATGTCTCCTATTCTTATATGGGTAATGAAATTTCGTATCCTCTTAAACCATTTTTAATTGAAACGGTGAGCCTTTTTATTCTAAATTTTTTTTTCAATTTCAAAATTTCCAGGATCGTAACGCATTTTGGTCTCGATGTGTTTCAATGATCACATCGCATAGTGAAAAGATGCTTCGGCTAAATTCATCGTCAACATTTTTCACCGAAGTCTTCACTGATCTCAAACGACACTCCACCGATTCTGAATAGTCATTGTTTTTTTTCTCCACCAATTGGAATTCAGGGTTTTCTCCCCGTCACTACGCTTTTTCTTTTTTATTCATTTGTTTTTGTCATTTATGCTCATAATTCGCTTTTTTCGTTTTTCAATATTTTGTAAGGCAGCAATTGGTGCTAATTGTATAAATATTATTAGTGTTTTTATTATTTTTTAATTTGTCCCGATGATCTCTTTTTTGTGTCTGCTTTATGCCATATTTATTTGTAATAAAATAAAATAAACAATTCTCATGTGACCTATTAAATTCTCAAATACATATAAATTGGGAATGGGAATTATTCAATACACCAAATCAATTTTATTCAAAAGATGAAGGCGAAGGTTTGTTATTTATTCGAGACTTGATTTTCGGAAAACAAAATTCCACGTGGTTTTTATGTGGAAATTTTGAAACGTGGAAGATTCTAGAAGCTTTTCAAAGGAACACTTTTGCCATTTTCCATAAGTTTTTAGATCAAAGTTGTTGTCAAATAAAAATTTGGGCACATGAAATTTTCTACTGAAAATCTGCGATATTTTTGGCAAATAGTTGTTTCTAGAGGATTTCTGAGCTTCAGAACAAATTTTCCACGTGGAAAATAACTTTCCTAACTCTTTGTCTTCTTTAAAAATGTTTTTCAGAATATTCTACTACTCCTTGTCGCAATATGCCTATCAATCTCAATCTCAAGTGTTCCTCTAAATAAAGAATGTGTAACAGAGAAAAGCTGCAAAAAACACGAAAAATGCGTGAATGGTTTCTGTTTTCATAAAAACGAACATGTTTTTGAATGCAACACAAAAAAGGATTGTCCGGATTATCATATTTGTATGAAACATGTTTGCTTGATTGATACAACTCGGAAAAATTGACGAAAATATTTGCTGTATTTGAAAGAATATGTTTTTAATTATTTATGTTGAAATAAATATTTTAAATTTTGTGGAACGTGAACGTGACACGTTTTGGCTGACATCAGGTTTTTTTTTGGAAAATTCAGTATTTTTAAAATGGCAGATTCAAACAACAGGTGAGTAGAGATTCTTTGGAACACATTGTGTAAACTACCCTAAATCTCTTGACCTTACATTTTTCTAGTAGAACAAAAATATGTGTCTCTAAATGCCAGGGTTCTCGTTATTACACTTTTCCAGGGAGGTACTGTAGAGTTTGTGCGTAGTGTTTGTTGTTTGCAGATTTTTTTCAGCGTGTTTGCGGATATTTTCAAATTGTATTTTTTTTTGAAAAAAAAGGTTTCTCTCGCTTTTAAGTTGACTTTAGTAGCATCCCATAGAAAAACATTCAGGTATTTAGTAAAATGCATTCTGCTGTCTAATTCTATTGTTATATTGATATTATTTTCAGTACATTACGAGAAAAACTCTTTAAATTCAAATACCCTGAAATCGGTGATCGCGAAGAAGGTTATGATGGACATTATGAATGGAATAGCGATGATCCAATAATTCTCGAAGCAATTCATGATTTCCAAACTGCAGTTCGAACAAGAAATCCAACACTTCTTCTCGATATTTTGAGCTCAATTGTTGCTGGTGGAGAAGATGGAAGATTGAACGCAGTTATCAATTTATTGATCGATTCACTGACTTCTGAAGAGAGTTTGAAAGAGGCGCTTCTGGTTGCAATTACGATTGGAAGTCGGCCAATGGTTGAATTTATTTTATCACTTTATAATAAATTCCCATATTTGGAGAGGAATGGTGGGAAATTAGGAAAAAATATAAGAAAAATGAAGTTTTTTTTCAGGTTGCTCAAATTCTCCCAATTTTTCACCACATATGACTCCATTAATGTTGGCAGCAATTATGAATCATTTTTCAATTGTTCATTGCTTATTATTACGTGGCCACAGTATTCCAATTCCACATTATCCAACGTGTAAGATTTTTAGAGCTTTTAGAAGATTTTCAGAATTATGTAATTCAAAATTTTTGCAGGTGAATGTTATGTTTGTAAAAGAATAACAGTAAGCACCCGATCAAATATTCGAACAGTTGATATAATGCGAGCAATTTCATCTGAAGCTTATCTTTGGCTGGCAACTGATGATGTCTTTGCATCTTGTTGTAGTATTTCGAAAGATCTCAAATTTCTGATATCTCATGATGGAATTGAATTCATTGAAGTTTATCGTGTTCTTGAAGCAAATGTTCAAAGATTTATGGCGAGATTGTCTGATATGGCTTGGAGATCGGAAGAATTCAATGCTTTGATGGCATCGGTAGGTGACAGAAAGGTTTTCCTTCTATATTTTCCGATTTTTCTTCCAGAAAAATCATTGCGAAACAGTTATGGAAAAAATGTCATCACCACGTATTCAAATGGCTCTCAATTGTCAAATGAAACAATTCGCTTGCACTGCAAATGTTCAAACAACAATGAAAAGTATTTTCAGAGCTGGTTAGTTATATTTTCAGTTATCTAGATTCATCTATTTTTTGTTACAGATTGGTATAACATTGGGAATAATCGAAAACGTGATTTATGGAGATATTGTAGATGTATGATGTTATTTCCATTCACATCCATTTGTAACACATTTTCAAAATCCAATTTTCGACATGTTCTAATTCCATTTTCAAGATATGTTTCACATTTAGTCACATATTTGTTATTCCTGCTCGCTGTGATTGTCCGATTATTTTTCAAATCTGATTCATTGGGAAGTTATATCATTGATGGTTATTTGTATGCTTATATTCTTGGATATACTGTTGAAAAACTTATAATGTTGCAAAGAATCGGATATTCCTTATTTGTCCAATGTTGGTGGAGAGTTTATGATCTACTTATGATCACGGCCTGCCTTATTTCGCTGTTCTGTTTTATTGCTTCAAAAATAGAAAGAGAAGCTTTTGATTCAACAAAAGTTGATCGAGCAAATTGGCCAAGTTTTGATTGTCGATTGATGTATGAAGTTTCGTTTGCGATTGCTTGTGTTATTGGAATGTCGAAGATATTTTATTATATGCAATTGTTGAATGGAATTGGTGGATCTGTGGTAAGTCGAGAGAAGCGAGTGTAAATCGCAAGAGCGGCCAGGTTGCTCTGCGTCTCTAGCTTCTGATTTCTCTGTCTAGCCCAAATTCAAAATATTTTTTTACAGATTTCGGTTGGAAAATGTGTTGGAAAAGTGTACACATATTTAATTATAATGTTAATTGTAATATGTTCATTCTCAGTTGGCCTAAACATTCTAACAAGCCCATATAATTCTCGAGTTTATCGAGATGATCCAGCTGGCCCTGGAACTGCTTCAGTTCATTATGGAAGTTTGGCCCCATCAATCAAGAATCTATTTTGGTCCGTTTTCGGATATCTTGGACCATCAACATATCATTATTCGGTTGGTAATGCAGGTCCAGATAATTCCCCTGTTTCACATATTTTACAAACAACTTCATTGGAAATATTGGCAGCTGTTTATCATGGAATTATTATAATCACTTTGATGAATTTGATGACGTCATTATTAGTCAAAAAAGCTGATGAAATATTGGATAATGAAGAACTTGAATTCAAATATACTCGAGCTATTATTTATTCCGAATTTTTTTCGTGGGAAAAGATTTCGCCGCCACCTTTCAATTTGATTCATATTTTCTTTTCAACTGGTCGACATTTTATGGATTTGAATAAGAAAAAGAATCAAGAAGATGCAAATGTTATGAGAATGAATAATGTCAAATTTATGGTAAGATATTTTGGGGAAGTTTTTTTTGGCATCCTGAAATCTTTGATTTTTTTGGGAAAAATTCGGAAAGAGAATGTAATTCTAAAACTACAGTATTCTTGGGGAATTTTGAAAAATTATTGTTATCTCTGAAAATTTTGAACATTCAAAACTTACAGTAATCCTTGAAACTTTGAGAAAAATCCAAATCTAGGAATCTTAAGATATTAAAAAACTCTTAAAGTTTCGAAAAAGTCCAAAAAACTTCTGGTTTTTTTTCTATTCAAAATTAGATTCCCTGAAAAATTAATTTTAATTTTTCAGGAGACACTTCGTATAATATTCGATCGATTCTGTGCATCAAAAGAATGTAAATATAGATCTGTTTGGAGATCCGAATATGATGTAAGTTTTCAATTTTATAGTTAATTTTATTCAAATTCCAATATTTCAGAAAGAGTTACATCGTTTGGCTCATGTTCAATATCTAATTTCAAATCCAAATCCTCGCTCCGTTGATAACACATATTATCAACCGAAAAAAAGAAAAGAAGATGAAAAATCGAATAAGAAATTGAATTATGAAAGAAAAAGATGTCGAAAACAGCAAGAAAATGATGAAAATAATAACAATAATAGGAATGATTATAATGGAATTGCGACACCAATGCCAGAACAAAGTTCTTATGCTCCGAATTGAAAAAACTGATAAAGGATGATTATTGTACTTGTTTTCTATAAATAGATAAATAAATATTGGTCAAATTCTTCCAAAAAAATTTACAATTTTTTGGATAGTCTTATAGTTCGAATGTTTGGGCAAAACATTCCAAGGAAAAACATAATGGAGAAGCTTTGGTGATTGATTTTGATATTTTGGAAGTCGAGCGCGACACAAAAATCCGGAAGATCAGTGAAGGAGTTTTGATAAAACATCACAATCCTTTGTTAAACAATAAAGCGGAACTCTCGGATATGATCACAAGACTTAAAACAATCCAAATATCGAATTCTTTCTAACTAACACTCAAAAATTCTCATTTCAATTTTATTTTCACAACAAAAAATAAATCAAGAATAAAATGCTCCTAAAGTACTAACAACACTCCACCTACCCGCACTTTAGCAGATTTAATATATTGATTGTTCAAAATTTTGTTTTCTGAAGATTTTTGTCCATTTTAAGTTTAGTTCGAAATTTGTAACTTATATTCGCAAAAGCGAAGAGCACACAAATAAAATTGGCGTTTGTTCAAAAATTATCACTAGAGCTTGACCGCCAGCTTTCGAAAATTGATTTTTTTGAAAAAAAAATTTCTTCTCATTCGCCGCTGATCAATTCAGCAGATTCAGTAAAAGGGAAAGGGAATTTTCACACTATTTATTCTTTGGGATACGGTTAATTCTAAAATCTCATTCGTCTTCACCTTCATTATCACTCGATTCGGAATCGTCAACTGATCCTTCGTGGAAATGAATTTCTCCAAGTGTTTTTTGACAGTCTTGAATTGCAGTTGATATTTTCGACTCTTCTGCGTTCTGTAAGTCAATTTTTGCGCCCATTAAATTAATAAATTGACTCACTTTAAGAAACATTGCCACTCAAGATCACAAAGTGTTGGATTTCCTTCGATATTCCTCTGTTTTCTATCGTGAAACGCTCTTGAGAATTCTGAAACTTCAATAGTTTTTTTTTTGCATATGTTTCCATTGAATTTACCTGGATTTTCGAATTCTCATCTTCCATTCTCTGCAATTCCTTGAGAGCTTCGTCTTCAGATTGTTTCAGATAAAACAACAATTTGTTCAATGTTTTGATGGTGATGCTCTGCTTCAAACCGACATTCAATATCTTTTCTCTCACTTTCTTGTTCTCATGCAGTGCAACTGCAGAGGGCGATATTGCTTTCGTCAAATTGATTCCGAGTGTTTCCATCAAGTCTTTTTTGTTGGGCAATTTGAAGGAAAACTGCGGTTTTTTGGCGTGAACATGGTTTTTGATTTTTTCAATCAACGAAAACTGGAATTTATTGGTATACTTATTCAATAGGTAAATTTGAAAAATACCCTTCTTTGGCCCCATTAAATATTACTAGAAGGGCTTCGCTGGCTAACGCCATCTACAGTAGAAATGACTGAAAATATTCGACTATGGGAGAAATTAGAACGATCAGATAAGAAACGTGGCCTAATAATTTTTTCGAATAAAAACGTGATCATTCTTTTTTACATGAAAAAAGTTTTGATTTTTCACGTGAAAACTCGCGCATTTTTTGAAAAATCGAATATTAGCGCCTCGATGGGAAAGAATTTGGGATAGAATGGTGAAGGTCCCATCAAAAATGGTCTTCTGGAAATTGAGAAAAGTCGAGCGACACATTTTAAATCCGAAAAATACATTGAGATTTTCAAACTTTTGATTCTCCGCGCACTCACAGACATTTTGAGAAAGAATGAATAAGATGCGCACCGAGCTGCCAACATTTAGAAACTTTTTCTTTTTTTGATCATCAATTTTTATGCGCACAGTTTTGAGAACGGGACCCGGACACACTATTGCCAAAAAAATTTTCCCAATTAGTATATAGTAGATTGGACTCACCCTGTTCGCCAATGTTAAACGGGGACCAGTTTTTCCTACAATGTCGGAGATATCATTGTATAATGAGTTGGAGCACCGTTTTCTTGTATTTGATAATGCTTGGAATTCGATTGGCACAAAGTTTTCTGAATTTGTATTCGAGTTTTCAGTCGAACTACAAGTCGAACTCGAAATCTGAAAAAAATATTTTGTTCAGCAAAACTGATTGTGGTTTTTTAAATTTACACTTACGTTAAAAAATCAGACAAGGAAACATTTGCAGGATTAATCGACGAGTTTGTGGACGATGATTCAGCTAAGTCACTTTCGTAAACAAGTCTCGCAGTCAAGTTCATAATAACTTTTAATTGTTCGTACATAGCGACGAATATTCAATATGCAACATTCCGGTTCATTTGATGATAGTATTTCTCGACAACCTTCAATTCCATCTTGACCACTTTGATTCACTACAAATTGTTGTTGGTGAATAGACAATATGAACCTAAAAAGAACTGGATTTAGGAACTTCATGATTGAAAATATTTACGGGAAGAATTCAAATTTTTTGAATTCTGCCGGTATATTTTAAAACTTGCAACTAACCATCCATTGTCAGCATTCATTTCGATTCTTTCCAAATTCTCTTGGATCTCTGGATCAAATTCAAAAAACCTGATTTTTCCACCATTTGTGTCGTGTTCGCCAATTCACGGAACAAAACGATAGCATTGTGAGAATCTTCTGGGTTTTCATCGATCGGAAAAAAAATTATTGCCAATTTTTATTAAGAACTTTTTTCGTGGACCAAATAGCGTTTTTTGGCGCGAAATTTGAAGAATTTTCACAGGGTTACTGTTGAAAAAAATAAAAGTAAAAGATGAAAAAAGAATCGCCATTTTTCCTCATTTTGTTTCACGTGAACGTATGACGTGGTTCATGAGACTTTTTTTGTCATTTTATATATTTTTTCCTGTGTTTGGTGTCAAAACTCATCAAATTTCGGCACAACGAATCTCAGAGGTCAGAAAAACATTTCTTGAATTGATAAACTTACTCGGAAATCGCGGATCTCATAATTGAGGCCTTCTCGATATTGATCATGTTCATACCAAACGATCATCAATAATCTGTTCATCCCACTGAAGTTGAAATTGAAGATATTCCCAATAGCGTGTAGTTTCAACACACTATTCTCCACATTAATTCCACTTCCCTGAAAACAATGAATATTGAAAATGGAAACATAAAATTTCATTCAACTAACCACAGCGAACCTTTTCCATCAAAAACTTCTTGTAATTTATCGAGAATATTAGCTGACATATTTGAATAGAATGTAGATAACTTTTAAAGAGAGTAATAATAAAATCAAAACTAGTAGTTTTTCGAGTAGACGAAATAATCAAAATAGTGGTTTCTGATATATGTGCTCTATTTATATGCTCTCATTTCCACATAATCAGGTCACGCAATTAATTTTTATTTTTATTCTATTTTTATCTTTATTTTATTATTTCTGGATTTCATGTTTCAGAATTTTAAAAATTCAGAAATGTCTTGTGTTAATTTGCGAACTACAAGAAATTTGTGGTGTCTAATGAAAAATAATCCAGAAATGCTTTGGACTTTTCCCGAAACTTTTTTCTTTATAAGTTTCTGAAAGTTCTAGATTATTGTAATCTATTGGAATTTAGAGGATTACTGTCATTTTTTTCAATTTCCAAAGCTTACTGTAGTCTCTGGATGTTTTAGCAAAATTTTCAGAGATTACTGTAGGTTTTCCAATTTTCAAGCCTTACTGTATTTTTTAGATTTCTTCAAGAACTTCTAGAAATTACTGTAGTTTTTAAGATTTTCCAACAAATAAAAATTGGGCTAATTTTTTCTTATTCTCCGAGTGAAAAAAAAAACTGAAAAAGGATGATTACTGTACTTGTTTTCTATAAATAAATAAATAAATATTGGTCAAATTATTCCAAAAAATATACAATTTTGGCAAAATCTGCTGATCAAATAATATAGTAACACCTCCCTTTTTGTTCCTATAAAAGGTTCAGATTTGTATTTGTAAATATTGCAAATCAAAAATGAAAATCATTGTTTTTTCATTGCTCTTTATTTTGGTTGATTCGCTTGCGGTTTTTGATAGAAATTATACAAAACCTTATGTTCTTAAAAAGACATGGGTTCAGAATTTCATCAAATTTCAATATATTTTTGAGGGGAAGATGAGGAAGCCGAAGATTGTTCCGCTTGGTGAGTTGGCAAGGATCAGCGCCTAGAGATTCACTATGGCAAGGAGCCGTGCCTTGAGAGCTTCTAAACCGAGTAGCCAAGCCTAGAAAATTATATTGTCAAGGATCAGTGTCTATAGAGGCTAGTTCTCAAGTATTCGCTTCGATATATCCACTCTGGCAAGTAGCCGAGTCTTGGAATTTCAATTCTCAAGGATCAGAGACTAGAACATTTAGCTTCCAAGTGACCGCGCCTAGAGAGCATAACTGTGTAGAATCCACGTCTAGATTATTGCTGTGGCAAGTAGCCTCGCCTTGAGAGTTCAATTCTCAAGGATCAGTGGCTAGAGAACCTAGTTCTCAAGTACCCTCTTCGAGATATCCACTCTGACAAGCAGCCGCGCCTAGAAAATCTATTGTCAAGGATCCGCGCCTATAGAGCCTAGGTTCTCAAGTAGCCACTCCTTAAGAACCTAATTGTCTATGACACTGCCTCTGGATATCCACAAATTCACCTATCATTCACTTTTTTATCCATTTTAATTAATTAAGGCTGCGTTCCAACAAATATCGATGATGGAAAAATGCTGAAAGTCGGTGAATTACATCACGAACATGATTTTGTATTTTCTTGCGAGTCTGGTGAAGATGGAGTATTGAATTATGAAGCAATCGCATGTGTTGACGCATTTGGCGAAACAATGTATCCAGGAGAAACGAGAAGACTAAGCAATGGAACTGTTGTATTGCATTGCAATATATTCGGAGGAGCTTTGAAAAAAGTTGTCGAAAGAGCCGCCGGTTGTTATTTCAATGAAACAATTTACGGGGAAGATGAGAAATGGGTTGAACCAATCAATTCAAATAATACAGATGAAATTGATGGGAGATTGATGCAATGCTTCCGACCACATTATAGTTATTATGAAAGTCATGTTGTTGGATGTGTTATTGGTAGATTGGGAATATTGGTTGATGAATATGGACAGAAATTGGATGGGAGTTATGTGAAATGTGTTGAAGATTCACTTGGACATGTTACATTGAAACAAGTTACTGTAGATGGTAAGATTTTGGAATTTGGGGAGGGGGGGGGGTTAAAACTTTTTTTGCTTTCAAATGCTTATATAGAAAGCTAGCTCACAAAGATCCCCTATTTTCTTATTATGAAGAAATTTTCAGAATTATCGTGTAAAATGGATAATCAAACATTTGCACATGATAGCGAATGGACTGATGAAAAAAGAAGTGCAGTCATGCAGTGCTCATATGGACATATTATCAAAACTAGTTAGTTTTTTCTCTTATTAACCCGTTTATCTTTTCCAAATTTTCAGAATGTCTCCTTGATGGTGAATTGACACCAATTGGACAAGAAGTTGCTGTAAGTCGCGGTTGCGTGTTCCTTTGTCACCCGCAAACCAATGTTTATATTTGTGATGACAAATTGACGGAATTCAAGATAATTCGAGAGGCGAATGAGACAACTTCGAATGTTTTCAAGTTCTAGGGGCTTTTTTTTCGAAATATTTTCAATGTTTGTATTATATTTGGAATAAAAAATTAATTGAGAGTGCAATTCTTATCAGTTTTTTTTCGAGTAGTTCAAAGGAAAATTAATTGATTATTTATTATGAGAGGCACATTATTTTTTCTAATTTTTATAATTCTTCAAGTTCATGTAACTTCGAAGCCAGTTGTAATAACCGGAAACGATAAGCAAACTATAAACCTTATGGGTTAGTTGTTTCTTGTTAATAAAATTTTTTTTCAATTTTAGTATGGATATGCCCTGATGCGACACTATTTGCAATGATACAATCTGCTCTTCAACAATATCGAACTGTTGATGATATCAATAAATCTGTTCAAGATCAAGTGACTGGGTGAGAAAATTTTTTCCAATTATCAAATTCATAAATATTGCCCATTTTCAGCTATAAAAATGCGATTTGGCTTGTAAATACAATAAACTACAGTCGAACAACAGCAAATACAGATCCAATTCCGAATACTTCTTCAAAAAATTTGTGTTTTATACAAGCTCCAAGTGAACAATTAATTGTATTTATTGCCGCAGTTGTTGCATAAATATTTTATGATATTTCAAAAATGAACAAAACTAATCTGAATCAGATCCAGAACCATAATCAGCTAACCCGGCTAATCCTCCGATTGTTGTTGAAACTGGCGGAGTCACTTCGATTTTCTGCAATAATAAAATAATTGAGAAAACTTATGATTTTCAATAAATTACCTCTGGTTTCTTTTTGAGAACAATCATTTTTGATAGAATATCTTTTTGATCAGGTTTCTTCTTTTTTGGGGGCTCTTCTATCTTTTTCTCCTCCTCTTCAGGTTCTTCTTTTTTCACTTCTAATTTTATTTCTCGTTTCATCGAACTTGTACTTGGCCCAGGTTTATTATAATCATAATCTTCATCCTCTTCTTCCTCATCTTTTATCCTTTTCGCAAATTTTCCATCTTCAGCAATTCCTAACATCTCCCTAGCTAATCGATCATCCTCATCTTCTTGCATTTTAATTCGAAAAGCTTGAGCTGCATGCGGATCAGTTGCTGACAAATATCCCAAAGTATCAATTCCCTCTTTGTGTCGACTCAAATCTTGTAAATCTTCCAAGTTTCCCATTTCTTCCATTTCTTGTCGACTCATCATTGTTCGTTTTTCCAACATTTTCATCGGATCTTTTGCATCTTCTGCTTCTTTTTCTTCTACTTGTTTTTGTTGATCTTGATATAATTTAACAGCTTCGAATAATCGAGTAGCTCCATGTTCATTTTGATAATCGCAATTCTCTAAATCTGTCTTGAAAGTGATTTCTGCCAAACAATTGGGACATCTGAAAATGCTAGTTATAATAAATGCAATCCAAGAAACAAGAAAATATTTACAAACCTGAAATAAAATCGAAAAATCTTCAATCCAAGATATGTTTCCCCTTCTGCAGTTTCTCTTTTCATATTGAACTTCTTTCCTTTATAAATATATTCATGACAAGTGTTACATTGCATATTAAAAGGTGTCATTACACGTTGTACAAATTGCCTGGAAAAAATTCAGTTTCAAAAGTTTTCAGAAGACAACTAACTTATTCCGTTGTCCTTTTGCTCTCGGGATTTTCGAAGGATCGAAATCCGGTGGATAATACTTTTGGAACACTTTACGCTCTGTTCCAGTCATATTTCAAGTCTGAAAATGAAATTGAACAGCTTTTTCGAAAACGAAACAAAATAAAAATATTTGTTCGTTGGGGCGCACTTTCTCTTTTCAACGTTTTTATTTTTTCGTTAAAGTTTTCAGTGGGGAAAATGAGGTTACAAGATTTAGCAAAATATAAAAAGAGCTGCGAATTCCAGTATTTGGGAAAAGAGGTCTCCAAAAACAAACCTAAACAAAAATCGATATTTTGACGCCTTCTAAATTTGAGCAAACGGACGAGATACACACCAAACTAGTCCGCTAACAATCAATCAAATAAATAATTATGCATGTATCGTATCGATCGATGCTAAATTCTTATAATCTAAAAAATATTTTTCCAGGAATGTCAGAAAATTTGGAAGAAAAAGAAGTTGATAGAGCCGAAACAAGCGAACATCCACAGTGGAAGAAGCCAGGAAAATCGTTGATTTGGAAATATTTTGAGAGAATCGACAACAATTCAAGGGTAAGGTTTTTAAACCTTTTAAAAATATTTGAGAAATGAAACAATATGCAGTTTGATTGAGGTCACGTTGAATTTCTCACGTGTTCTGTTTTTAATAGGAAATCCGCTGAGATTCAAAATCTTCAGAAAATTCCCATCTTTCTGATTTTTTCAGCTCCGTTGTAAATTATGTAGCAAAATTTATATGCCATCGAAAACCAAAAGCACATCGACCCAATTGAATCATCTTCGACATCAACATAAAATGTACGTTATTAGTTTCACTGATTTTTTTCCATTCAACATATGAAACTTCCAGATTCAATTTATTGGAGGAAACAGTTGAAAATCGAAGTTCAACATCAACTGAGATACCAACGCCAACACAAAATTATGAAGATCCCGTGCAATTTTTGCCCAATGAAGAGAAATTTTCGGAACAATTCGGTTTGAATGATTTCAATCTTTGGAATCGAGAAGTTTCATCGAGTCCTTCATTGGATATTCCACCAAAAGAAGATAATCGTATTCGAGTTTTGAGTATGTTTGTTTATAAATGAATATGATTTTCTTGAACTATTGCTTTCAGCTGATTTGGTTCGTCAACAATCACTTTTACTTCTACAAAATGGTCATGAGGCGAAATTCCAGAAGTTTTGGAGTCAAGTAATATCTGCTGTCGCCGAATCAAACACCTGATAAATGAATGATTTTATACACAGTTCTATTAAATTTTACTGTACTATTCCTTATATTTCGACAAAAAACTAATGAAAATGAACCGAAAAAATAATAAAATACAGGAGGAATCTACTCGTAGACATCTTCGCGTTCGCAAATGTATTTGAATGCGTCGCGAATGGTCTGAAATATAACAAGATTAGAATTATCGTAACTACTTCAAAATTGTTGCTTACTTTGAATTTATCCGAATCTTGCAATGGAATTTCGAAACCGAATTCGTCTTCGAGGGCCATAACAATTTCGACTTGATCCAATGAATCGAAACCGAAATCTTTGCTCAAATCAGCGTCAAGTTTCAACAATCCTTCTTTGTCGGCTGGGAAACGATCCCATGATCGGACAGCTTTCAACACTCTATCTTCAACCTGAAATAAATATCAAAAATGAGAAAAATGTGAACTACTTCAACGATTATTCAATTTTTGAACGTGAAACAAGCCCAGAAAAATTTACAGAAATTCATTTTTAGATAATTTCAAGTGAAACGCTCTCAGTCCAGATTATCGATCGATATTTTTCAAATGAACTGAAGTATGTTCAACTTTTTATAGACCAAACTTCAGGAAGATTCAAATTTTTGGTCGCATATCACGAAAAAAACATATTTATCTAAATCGCTAACTTATTTTCAAAGAGTTTTCGTTTCTAGTACTCTCACAAGCAAGAACTAAGGCTAATTAGCTCCGAAAAGGTGGAAAATTCACTCTCGAAGAGTAAAAAAGCATTGTTTTATTGGTTCAGTTCAAACCGCCCGTTATTCTATTGATCCAGCACAGCTTTGTTTGATAAATTTTGTCAAAATCTTTGATAAAGAGTTGCAAGAAACACATTTCTATGGAACGCGCATCTTTACTTTCAAAAAAAAAAATCAATAATTACCTCTTTGAATGTCAATCGCTTTGGTGGATCGAAAGGTCCGAAAACTTCAACCTTGCTACCTCTGGTTTGGATAACATTGACCGATGGGACCATCATTTTGATTGATTTGAAATTACAAGCAGAAAAAGTCCGTCGCTGTGCTGACAAAGTGGCGGTTTTCGCAACGAAGCGAAACACTTGACGAGCAGCCATTTCAACCTTACGAAAATCTCTTTGGAAACTTTTCTATCAAGAGTTGTGCCTCAAGTATCAGAGGCGACTCAACGCGGATCACATTATTTCTCAGTAAAAACAGAACGCATTTTTAAGAATAACAATTTATCAACGACAACAAGTTTATTTGTGGGCTTTACGTTGAGCGATGATGACTCCTTGGAGTTCCTCACGCTTTCTCTTGGCGCGGAGGTGGGTTCCGATGCGTCTCTTCAAGAATTTGAGGGCACGCTTGTCCTTGGAGATACGAAGCATTTCAAGAACTCTGCGTTCGTATGGAGCGAATCCAGTGATTTCACGAACAAGTTCTCTGACGATCTGAAAACATCAAGTTTTTCGAGTAAAAACATTTGACAAACTACCTTGGTTTTCTTGGAGGCAACTCCACGGTGTCTATTTTGACGAGTTTTAGCTTCCAATTGGGTAGCAGAGTGTCCCTTGTTGAGGCCGACGGCCAATCCTTCAACTCCAGCTTGACTCATCTAAAAAACATCAGTGAAGATGATTAGAACGATAAAAAATAATAAAGATAATTAACGCGGAATATAACCGCAGATATCACAAATAACAAATGCAACCCATATTTTGGTTTATTATCTGAGAACTCTTTGAGCAAATTCAGAAATTTACATTATATACATGTACAAAATTTACAATTATGGCAATAGAATTGATTTCACTTTGGTGGAAAACTTATTGGTGAGCAACGAAGCGAGTGTGAAAATACTCAGTTTTGGTATTTCTATCCCAGGATAATCTCGCTTCCAGTTTGCCTAAAAAAATTGTGATTGAAAAAATTATTTTATGAAACTGATTTTTACCTTATAGCTGCTGATTATGAAGAATGGGAAGAGTGTAGCAAAAATGCATCCATTGACGATGACATTTGAAGATAAAGATGTTGCTATCGTCAACGGAGCTCCAAATCCCACAAAATAAGGCCAGTGTTCTTCAACACGACTAATACGTTGCTGTAGCGAGACACTGCGAGAAGCCCAAAAATATTCGAAACTGTACATAGAATTCAACAAGTTCATATGAACAAGTACAAGAAATGTTGAAATCCGAGGGATCGGAAGATATTCCACCAACAACCCCTGGCATAGGAAAAATGTGCATAAGATGAAAGAGACGACAGTATCCGCCAAAGCCAACCTGGAACATCAATATTAATCACTAAACTCTTTTTTCAAACAAACCTAAAATCAACTGGAGGTGGATCTTGAAGCTTCAATTGGCGCAAACATGCACTGGCAACGTCGGAGAACCAAAGAGCCATCAAAATCCTCGTGATCAAGAAAAATGGAAGGCAGCATATATTTGTTATATATACACCATAGGATCCATCAGAAAATAAACTGACGATAAAATTGAACAACAGCGAGAGGCAAAAAAGCATCCCGATAATCGCCAAATTTACACCGGCACATTGTAAAACCCTTAAAATATACTGTTTTGAAAATCCTACAAGTAAAAAAGTTACCTTTTCCATACTCGTTCACGATGGCGCAATACTTTTTCGGCTGGACGATTGATTGCTCCGTTCTTCTCTCGTCTTGCTTGAAGAACTGTCCTCACCGGAGGAGCCGGTTTGGTTAGCTCCTCGTATTCATCGTCCTGATCGAGTTGCCGAATGAACTAAAAAAAATACAATAAATTTAAATTTCAAGATAACGTAATACTTACTGATAAACCTTTAATCGAATCTACAAAACCATGCGAAAAGTCCAACAAAACTGCATAAACAATGTCGGTCATGTTCAACAAATCATCTGTAAAATTCGTATATTGAAAATAACCAATTGCAGAATCGGTCAAGTAAGAGAAACGTATCAAAATAAGCAGATTTCATGCAGCTTGAAATTCTCAAATTCAACAGAAATTCAGTAACACGCCGTACGCTCCAGCAAAGCCGTGCAAAAAAGAAAAAAAAATCAAAAAAAATGGGCATCCTAAAAGCTGTCCTCCTATAAACATGTGAGAAATGCGATATCGTGGCGAGACCATTGGCTGCGTAGCACTCTTCAGTGGGTCGGCGATACGCAGTTAGATCGGCCATTGGAAAAATAATTTTTTTACTTTTCTTTTTCGTTTTTTGACGTGTGTTTCGCGTGGATTTCCATTTTTTGAAAAGTTTTTTTAGATTAAAAAAATGATTAATCTTGTTATTCTCATACTGTATAGTTTTTCTTTTATCCCTTTCCTAAATTGCCAAAATATACCTTGTTTTTAGTCTTGGATAATGGCTCCCGCTCGTAAGGGAAAGGCAAAGGAGGAACAGGCTGTTGTGTCCCTTGGACCACAAGCCAAAGAAGGTGAACTTATCTTCGGAGTCGCTCACATCTTCGCCTCATTCAACGATACATTCGTCCACATCACCGATATTTCTGGTAAGATTTTAATTAACATATTTTTTTCAAAATAAACGTTTAATTTTCAGGCCGTGAAACCATCGTCAGAGTTACCGGAGGAATGAAAGTTAAAGCTGATCGTGACGAGTCGTCTCCATACGCTGCTATGCTTGCTGCTCAAGATGTCGCTGATCGTTGTAAACAAGTGAGATTTTAAACTATCGAGATTTATCTTATGATTAAAATTCAGCTCGGAATCAACGCTCTCCACATCAAGCTTCGTGCCACCGGTGGAACCAGAACTAAGACCCCAGGACCAGGAGCTCAATCAGCGCTCCGTGCCCTTGCTCGCGCTGGAATGAAGATTGGAAGAATCGAAGACGTTACCCCAATTCCATCTGATTCAACAAGAAGAAAGGGAGGTCGTCGTGGACGTCGTCTTTAAATTGTTATTTGTTATTCAAATACATTGTTTACAAAATCACGTCTTATACATAGCAAAAACAAGGTGCGTTGTAATGAGTTCATTAATTTACCAGTACATTCTCAAGAGATAATAGAAAAACCTGAGTACAGAAAATACTTTACATAAAATTACGCCTTCTTCGCGGTGTTCTCAATTCCGAACTTGAATTGGAATTTGAGTACAGCGAAAATCCATTCAAAGTGCTTGCCAAACTTTCAACAGATGAATGACGGTGTGTGGCTAATGCGGTCAGGCCTAGCTTTTTGAGCTTCTTCCAATATTTCGCGACATCGACGCCTTCCCATCCGGCATTCTCCAGTCTGTCGAGATAGCTGTAATTTTTGATTCACCATCGATTACCTTATCGATCCGAGAAAAACTGACCGTCTCATAATTCGATCTCGAACTCTCTGTTCAACGTCGTTAATCTTCCCATGGCAACAAAGTTCCAAATTGCTCATAACTTGTTCGACACTATCCATTCCAACTAAACAACAGTAAATATTCGGAAAGTTCATAGCGTAGTCAAGAGCAAGTTTCGAGATACTGATATTTTTGGACTGAAATAATGAATGAAGTACAATTGGTATTTGCAAGCGAAATTATTACCATGCAATATGTAGTGGCCGCCAAACAAGCTTCACGTATTTCATCACTAGCTGGATGCCAGGGTGGTGGTCCTTTCTCAGTTAAAAGTCCCCAGCAGAGAGCTCCAGAATTCACAACACAAATATTTCTCGAATTAAACCACGATGTAAATTGGCCTAGTGAATTGTTGTTCAAAGTTCCTTTACAATATGTCATTACAAAATCAATCTTTGTATTTGCACAGTCAACCAGTTGTCTGTAAAATTTGAAAGTTACGGTTTTTATTGAAGTTTCAATAATTACACAATCTTCGGAAGTGGATATCCTGTCAAACCAATGTATTTTATTTTCCCTGAAGATTTTGCCATTTCCAAAGCCTGAAGTGTTTCATAAAGTACGATACTTTCATTCGGTGCAAAATCAGCGTCATGAATCTGGAAAATTTAAAATTATTTGAATTAATTCGAAATTTCAAACCTGAACATAACAAATATCAATATATGTCAATTGTAGTCGTTTCAAACTATTCGTCAAAGATTCCAAAATTTTATCAGCACGAAAATCAAAAGTTCTCGCATAATCCAATTCAAATCTTCCCACTTTCGAACTTATATAATACGATTTTCGCGGAATTTTTGATAAAGCCTGTGAATTGAAAAAATATTTATAAAAATCTGGCCAGGATGAAAATTACCTTTCCTAAAATTGATTCACTCCTACTTTGACTATACCAATATCCTGTATCGATATAATTAATTCCTTGTTTTATGGCAGTTTCAACAACTTTTGTAATTGAATCTTCTACATTTCCGAACATTCCTCCAATTGCAGCTGCTCCTGAAAAAAATAATTTTTTATGATTTGAAAAAATATTTCAAAAAAAATACCAAATCCAATTTTTGAAATTTTCATATCAGTTCCCGGAATTTGTCGATATGTCATTCTTCGAACTGCAACTTCATCATGAAATCGAGGAATATAAGTTGGAGGAAATGATGACTGAAAAAATAGAAAATGTGGGGGAAATGTAGAATTTTAAAAGTAAAAATTTACTTCAATTTTATCATTTCTTCTTTGACCAGTTGGGGCAAGAGATATTGATCGAGGAATTTGGCGAGAAGTTGAAGGCTGGAAAAATATTAGAATTATTTTTTTTTGAAAATTTCTGTAGGACTTTTAATAGTTTTCAATTGTGAACCCATAATTTTTACAAGAAAATAAAATTCGGAAACTCCTGGAAATAGCTCACAAGTAAAAATGTGCATTGAATTTCCCAGGAAAAATTATTCGGTAATTCTAATTTTCTTGAAATATTCGGAAAGTTTGTCAAAAAAACTGATGATATTCAAAATTCATACAAAATCCTGTGAATTAGTCACAAAATTACAACAAATAGCCTGATTTTTCCAGACACAAGTTTCCAGACAACTTTTTGTTGAAAAATTTTTTCAGCAAAATTATTTATTGATATCAAATTTTGCAAAAAAAATTTAAAGCACTGGAAAACTTTCAGAATTTATAGAAAGTCTCCAACTCCAACTACAGAAAAATTTTCAGACAACTCTATCAAATTTCAAAAAATCTTCCAGATTTTCCTGTTACCTCTGATAATCGATCATATAAACGTTGATGTGAAACACTTCCATTCATATAAATTGGAACTCCTCGACTACGAGTAAATGTATGAGATTGCATTTCATCTGACAAAAAAAACGTGTTCAAGAAAGTGCAAGAAATAAAAAATTAATTGAATTCTTCTTCATCGAAAACTTTCTAATTCGAAAAATTTCCCCACAAAAACCCATCCGGCAAAAAAAGAGCACCAGAGCAAAGAAGGAAAAAAGTATCGAGAAGAAAAGGATGGGACAAGACAAAAATTGTGACGCCTCCTCATTTCACACACTATTTTCGGGTTTACCGTAATTTGAAATGCATGACCAACCAAAACATTCACATAGTTGAGAAATCGAAAAAAAAATGGAAGAAGCAGAAAAAGAAGGAATATATCTGGACTGGAAGGAATATTTTTGTGAGGGAGGACGAAATTCCAAAAATAAAAATTGTAGAACCATAATATTGGGTTACTGTACAATATGAAATAAGTAAGTACTGTACAAAAATTGAGATTTTTAATGATTTTCGGCACAAAATGTGACCCAGGAAACATGAGAATCCACGTGGCATAATTTGTCAAACTTGAAGTTTTGACGCAAAAAATCCACGTGGTATTATTTTACGAAATTTCAGTGTTAAAATCCACAATTATAATTTTTATTCGCGTGAACCTTTTGGCATTTTGGACACGTCATCACATACTATAAAAAGAGATCTCTCGCGGGAAAAATCATTATTTTAGTATTTCAAGTGGTTCTATATTAGACCTTCCATAGTTCTATTCAACAAAACTATTTTATTCGCTTTTTGGTAAAATGTATGTTTTTCAAATCTCCCACCATATTGAACGCACAAGTGCGCTCTAGCGAACAGCGCGAAAATTCAAATATTTCAATTCGTGTTCGCGCGCGCTCAACAATTTTCATTCTGTTTCTTTTCTCTGCAGCGTTTCGAACTCAGGAAAACGAGGCGAAGCATCGACAGAGAAATTTTGATAGAACTTTTCTCTGCTGGTTGTCCGCCCCATTCTTCTGAGCGTTTATAAACTTTTCTTTCGAAAAAAATGCAAAGATTTCGTAAATTACTTCCTCTCAATATATTGTTCTCTAAAAACTACTTGTTGTTATGGAAACGTTTTTTTTCAGAAGAATGGATGATTTATCACTTCTCCAGGATTCCCAAGAGGAAAGGAATGATCAAACTCCGCTCAACAGAAAATCGATGTCACAACCAGTGCTTCCACAAGGACCTTCAACCAGCAGCCAAAATGTTCGAAATATCCCAATAATTCAAACTTGGCACGAGAACGAAGAATTGAAGGGAAAGATGTATACACTGCGATGTGAAGTTGATATGTATAAACATCGATATGAAATGGCAAAAGAAACCATGCATCAAAGTGTACAAAATGTGCTGGATGAATATGTCACTTTAAAATTGAATCAAGATGATGCAGATCAAAAAATTCGTGATTTTCAAGTCGTCAATCAACAACTTATTGATTTGCGTGAAAAATATGATGACATGAAATTCAAATTGGATGAAAAAGATGCCGAAATTCGTCGTCTTCAAGAGGAATTTGATCGAAAATTGTCGGAATTCGAAAGGACTCCGAATCCAGAATCATCTTTGAATTTGACAACTTCTTCGTTCAAAGGTACTTTGGACGATATTTTGAAGAAAGATGATCCAGATTTCACGTTGGTTGGACCGGATGATAAGAAGATAATGGAACTCGAGGACAAATTGTTCACCGAAATGGAAAAAGTCTTCAATTTGCAGAAATTGGTTGACGAATTGCGTGATGATTTGAGCGAAAAATCAGCTCGTTTGGCCGAATCTGATAACCAACGAATTCAATTATTAGCATCAAAAGGACAAGGAATTCTTGGAATGGCAAATGAATCAAAAACATTTGTAATTGGAGATGGAAGAGATTCATTGACAACTGAACAACTCGCTTATATTGATGAATTGGAAAAGAATTTGAAAATCACACGCGAAAATTTGGAGAAAACAACATGTGCACTTGGAGAATATATGAATAAAGTGAGCAGATTGGAAAGAGAATTGCATAATTTGAAGAAAAACAATACATTTGACACGTCTTCTTATTTGTATGATGCAAAAACGGCGGAAGAATTGAAAGCACAGATTGCTCGAACCAACGCTGAACTCAATATTCTACGAACTGAAAATCGAAATTTGAGAATTCGTTGTGATCGTATGAATGGTGGTTTGGGAAATGTCAGTGATTCATTTGGACATTCTCGACTTTTGGCTGGAATTTCAGCACATGCAACTGGAAGAGCATCAACAACCTCATCAATGGATGTTCAACAAAATGAGCATAATGAGAGTAGCCGAGTATTCCCACCACAATTGCTTCGAAACAATAGTGAATTGTCGGAGAATGATAGTTGTTTGATGGATTTATCATCAGCAAGAAGAATGGTTGGTTTTTCATTGTGATTTTGAACATTGAATAATAAAAAAAATTGTTGCAGAACGCTGAAGACAATGAAAACTTCGAAGCAGCAGTTGCACAATTCCAAGAATATATGGCGACTCGAAACGATTCTCTCGAATGCTCACTAAATGAATCAGTTCCCGCTGTTATCGGATCATCCGATTCTGAGAAACGAGAATCGATGAATTCACGAACATCATCGGCGTTGACAACAATTCCAGCTCATGAATCATCGAGTCGTCGTTTGCCAACTCATTTGGATATTCCTCTTCTTCAAGAAGTTCAAAATGTGAGTTCACTAAAGATTTTTCAGAGGGCAACAATTTTTAAATTTTCAGATTCTCGATACTTCGGCTGCTCTCATTGAAGGCAATCAAGTTGCATCGATGGATGTTGAGAAAATGCAAGCGAAAATGTTGGCAGTTCGAGAAGCTCTTACTCGACTTTTCGATCGTCTCAAATCATCAGCTGCGTTGTTCGAAGAAATCTTGGAGAAAATGGGATCATCGAGTCCAATGGCTGATCAAATCCAAAAAATGAAATTGGCATTTGAGAATAGTATTTGTGATCATGAAGATGTTTCGCAATTCCTGGAAGCCGCTGAACAAGATCTCAATAATTTATCATTGAATTTTTCGGTTCTCGAAAAATCGATTATGAATCAATCAGCAATTGCCGATATTTCTCGACGTTTTTCGATTGCTCCAAATGCAAATGATATTTTATCATCGAGTATCAATTTGAACAATTCCCAATATTCTCCAGTCTTCAAGTTTCAAAATGGCAATGCTGAAATTGAGAAATTGAACAAGCAAATTGAGGAATTGAGAGAGGAATTGGCAAGAACTCGAAGATCCTCTTCATCAACTCCAGAAGTTTTGCAAAGACAATTGACTGATACACAAGTGAAAGCATCGAAGAATTTCGAAGATTTGGAAGTTTGTCAGGCAACATTGAATCGAGTTGAATCGGAAAAGTTGAAAATCGAAAGAGAATTGAGAGAATTGAATGGAAGATATTCGAATATTGAGGCAAGACTTGGAGAAACTGAACATGAATTGAGAGAATCAATGAAAATCATTGAAGAAGAGAGAAAAGTCCGGAAAGATCAAGAAACTGTGGCAAATAATTCAATTATGGAATTGAGACAACAAATCAATGCGTATCAAGAGAATTTGACACAAAATGGAAACATTTCGAAATCTCTTGAAAAAGAGTTGAAAGAAGCATTGGTTAGTTTAATCAAATTCTTTGGAATATAAAATATGATTTTGTAGGATGCTGAAAATGAGTTGCGAGATGCTTATGAGGAATTATCCAAAGAGGCTGAGCACTTGAAAGTGTTGCTCTCCGATTCTGAATCGAAGTTTGTTTCAACGTGTCGAGAAAATCGAAAATTGAATGATGAATTGAATGAGATGGAAGTCGAGATTCAAAGATTGAGGAAATTCGAGGAGGAACAAACTGATTTGAACAAGAAGACGGAGAAAGCTGAAAACCGCAGAAGCGCCCAATTTGATGTAGGAATTTTGCCCAAGTTTTTTCCCCAAAAACACCATATTTTTTACAGAGTTATGCGAGAAGTACTCAAACACTTGAAGAAAGTAAAAAGGAAGATAATACTGTGGAATTAACAGAGTTAAAATCATTCGAAACTGAAGCTATTCAAGGATTGCAAAGTATTCAGAATGAATTGAGTGGACTTGTTGAGAAGAAATTGAAGATTAAGATTTGTGCTGGAAATGTTTCTTCAATTCGTCTTGGTTGCCAGGAAATTTGCAAACGATTGGAGCAAGAACAAGTGAGAAGACATGAACATGCTGAAGTACTTCGACAAGTCAATGATACATTGGAAAAGAAGACGGAAACACTTGCGATTGTAATGTCATCGAATAAAGTTGGACAAGAGAATATTGAACCACAATCTAGTTCGAATGTGTTGAGCGATGAGAAAAAGAGTTAGTTTGTTAATCGAAAAAAATTGCATTTCATTTCATTTTTCTAGAATACCGTGATCCAACTCGTCAACTTTTGCACGATGCCACACAAGCAATTGATGCGATTGTTCAAAAAATGAAGAAAACTGTGAATTTGGAAGGAATGACTGGTGAATTGAAACCAACAATTGCAGCAATTCTCGTTGATTCAAGACATCTTCGTGATTTCCTTCATCAAAAATTCATGTTGTTCAAATCTGTTGATATTTCTCATATCAGAAATGAATCATGCACTTATGAACAGTTATTGCAAAGAGTAAGTTGTGAGAATTTTTTAAAAATTTTTCAAAAAGTCATATTTTTCAGCTTGAAAAGAGTTATCAAGATTTCGTGATTGTTGATGAAGAATGTCGCAAATTGAAACATGAAATGAAGAAGATGAAGGCTAGTATTCCGGTAAGAATAATTATTGTATTCAATAATTATTATTTTCAATCAATTCTATTTTTTCTTATTTTGCAGAGCCTTGGAACTGATGTCGAATCAAGAATCAAGAAGGAAATCGGAGGAATTGCTAGAGATATGGGCGCCGTCAACTCGCTAAGAAAATAATACCATGTAACTATTTATTTATTTTATTTTTCGCTCAAAATTTTCATTATTTACGCTTACCCATGAAGTTTATCAATTTAAAACAATTTATCCAACAACAAAAATCAAAGGCAGTTAGACAATTATTCCGGTTTTCCTCGAAGCTTAGTGTCAAAAATCGTTTATTATGAAAGGAACCAGTAAAAAAATTCCGAAATCATTAAAGTTAGTACGAGCTGAGAAAATCTTACGTTTTCAAAATTTCAAATCGCCCCCACGTCCAGCGGATTTGTGTGTGTGCAAACACCGCGACGCACTTTTACACAAGAAGATTTGAAGTTTCATATTTTCACAATATTTCATCTCTATCTTTTGTTTGGTCCAAGTTTAGCCCGGTTAAAGTCGGAGGCTTCGTGGGTGGTCTCCGTCAACCGGAATAGCTGTCTGACCGCCTTCAACAATACTCAAAAACATTTGAAATTAAATGCGCTTCTTTTTGGCTACAAGCACAATTTCATCTTCCTCATCTACCGTATCACCAAGAGTAACTACAGTACTTTCCTCTTCTTCGTCATCATCTCCTAATCCGGCTAGCAAATCATCGACTTCTTGGATTTCTCCCTAAAAAACTTTGATTTTTATAAATTATTATTGAAATTTGGAAACTAACATGTCTATCAAGTGATTGTTTGTTATCCAATTCAACACGATTCACACTTTGTTGAATATTTGCCAATTGTTCGTCGATCATTTGTTCTTCATCGATTTCTTCTTGTTTGACACCATCAGAACGAAGAGGATTTTCCTGGAAAAGGGAAAGTTTCATATTTTTTTGGTTTTTTGAAGTCACTCCAAATTTCCGATATCCCCAGCCAACATATTTTTTATTTTCATTATAACTTCAAAACTCAGACTCTCATTTTTAGGCACTAAAATCCACTCACAAAAAACGTCCGATTTTTAAAAGTTACATTTAGTCATCGAAAAGTTCCGTTTGCAACAAAAAATTTCAGTTCGAGTTCAATGGCCAAATGGAAAACAAGCTGCATTTGAATATTTTTTCATGTTAATGAGAAATGTTGAAAGTCAAATTGAAGTTGATTTACTCGCGAATATCTCACAGTATGTTTCTTGTTTTCTTTTTCATAAAATAAAAAACAACCTGAAAAACTTTCCAGTTTGGATTCAAGATTTTTTGATGAAGTGATTCGTAACTTCAGAGTTAAAATGTTTCATAGTTCAGAAATGATTTTTTTCTTTGGAATAATTCTAGGAGATGGATAGAACCCTCAGAATGAGTTTTTTGTACCACTAGGAAATTCACTGTTTCAAAATTAGTTTTCGAAAGAGTTTATGAAAAATTCTCTATTCAAAAAATTTGATAGTTATGAAAACCTCCCAAAGTGCATCTTTTAAAGCCGAAATCGGTTATTTTCCAGGGAATTTGGAGGAGATATTCCCCAAGATACACAAAAGGAAAGAAAAGAGTAGAAATAGTGTGATTGGAAGAAATGGTGAGAATTTTGAGAGGATTTGGGTAAAAATTTGGAATTTTTAGATAAAAATATGAATAAAATGCAATAGGGTAAGAGGAGAGATTCAGAGAAAAACTTAAAAGAATTCATGTTTTTTTTTAATTGGAGCCAAATTATCAATTACGATGTAATAATCAAAAAACACATCTAAAAAATTGACATAAACAACACTCCTCATCCCCCCTTGTTTAGCGTAAATACACACATGATGATTATTCCCCCCTCTCCATTGTCTAGTCTTCCATTGCCTATTTCTTTTCTTTTCTTTCCTTTTCTTTCATTTTCTGTGCAATTTTCGAATTTATGATATTTTTTAATTTTGTATTTTGAATTTTACAGTCCCTGATGATGCTCAGCATTTGCGGGCGTAGCTTAAACGTAGACAGAGGGTGCATTTAGCTAATGCGTAGCTACGGTTTAGCTACGCATTTTTACAAGCTGACCGCGTTGCAAAGCGAGTACTCTCGAGTGCGCTGCGGTCGTTCATTTCGCTTTTTCATTTTTGTTTTTCACGGCCTAAAATTGCTGCAAAATCAGAGTTTCATCGACTAAAACTGGTTTTGAGAAGGTGAGTTACATTGAAAAACTTATTTTAACCATAAATAATGTATAAATTTGCAGAAAAACCGTTTAATTCGCCCAAATAATCAATTTTTCGACGAAAAGAGGATTTCAATCAAAACAATGTGATTATGCTGTCGAAAAGCTAATTTTGGAAACAAAAAGTGAGTTATTTTTTGATTATCATGATAGGCAGAGTCTAGAAAATGACGGTTTCCTGAAATTCCGTCTAATCTTCTGTAATGAAGGAAGTTTTATTGAATTCCTAGGTCTTGATGGGTATTTTCATTTGTCAGTCTATTTTCAGTTCAATAAATCAGTTTTTTCAGCCCGGATTTCATCATTCATCAATCGGAACAAAAAAATCACATTTCCAACCAGAAAACAGTCACCAACATTGTCATTTACACCAACATCAAATCAATTGTTAAATAATTTTTTCTATGTACTTATTTTTCTTGAAATTATGTTATTTATTATTCTTATATATAAGTTGTATAATAAATACTTCTTTTTTCATCTTATGTGTTAAAAATGGAAAAATTCCTAGGGCGACGAAAAAAGAAAACAAAACCCATTTCCGGCGCACAAACACACATTGCGTAGCTAAACCGTACCTATTTGTGTAGCTAAACCGATGTCATCGGCTGACATCGGTTCGTCTACGTTTAAGCTACGTACGCAAATGCTGAGTGGTATAAGTACCTTATTAACTTAAAATCTACAATGCGACTAATCAACACGTTCCCCTTGCAATTTATCAAAAATTCATGTTTTGTTAGTTATTCGCGTCAAATCTTGTCTCCTCGCTTCTTTTTTCAGAAAAAAAGAAAATAATAAATGTGTGTATATTGCCTCCCGGAATGTCATACTATTCAAAATTTACTTTTTTTAAGACTCTGAAATACAATCAAATGTGTCTCCCGATTGGCAATCAGTGGTCATTGAAGCTTTGGAAGTCCTGGATTCTACGCCACCACCACCACCAGAACAAACAAATGTTGTTCGAATTATGCTTAAAAAATTAATTGAAGAATATCCACAAGCGCAAAATCATCATCAGGATTATTCAATGGTGAGAAAATTTGAAGAAGTTCTAATGGGTTTGAAAATTCATAAATTCAATAGGTTTGGAAATTTGTTTCTAGACAAAAATAAGATTTGTTGAAATGAAAATGACATCGTGGTTTCCAAAATAAAAGATTTCGCAATTTTTTTAAAGTATAAACTAGAAAAAATATTTTTTTATCCGGAGGCAGCACAAAAAATCAATGTTTTTATGATTTTCGGCACAAGAAATCAGTCTGAAATTCAAGTTTTCTTAATCTATAGTATACTCGGACATGGTTCGAAAAAAACCGAGCGAAACTGGTTTTTTTGGTTCGCCCAAATTTTGGTTTTTGGTTCGCTCATTTGAAATGGTTTGGTTTGGTTTTGGTTTTTGGTTCGCTCACTCATTTCAAACTGGTTCGAACCGGTTTTCGATCAAATGGTTTTTGGATTTCTGGCTCCTGGGTGTCCGGAGTTGATGAATTTCGAGGTTTTCGGGTATGGGGATTACTGTAGTGAACTTATTTTCATGTAAAAGTCACTCTTAAAGGCACATACCCACCAAAAAAAATTTTTTTTTTGAAAATGAGGTATTTTGGCACGGGGAACATTTTGGTGAGGTATACGGTCGGGAACAGACTTTTAAAGGCGCATGCCAAGCTCTTACCCATTTTCCGAGTTATTTTTTTCAAACTATCATAACTTTTTTATTTTTGAAGCTTTTTTGAAATTTCGACAACCATTTTGACGGTCTTGAGGTGGGCTAAATTTTTTGTGTTGACACCAACTACCGTATTTCGCTCCTAGGAGGTGAAAAACAAGGGTTTGTTCAAGTTTACATAAAAAATGACACGGTTTTGTTCGAATTTACATTAAAAATGACATTTTTGAGAGAAAAACCGTGTTTTTCACCTCCTAGGAGCGAAATACGGTAGTTGGTGTCCACACAAAAAATTTAGCCCACCTCAAGACCGTCAAAATGGTTGTCGAAATTTCAAAAAAGCTTCAAAAATAAAAAAGTTATGATAGTTTGAAAAAAATATCTCGGAAAATGGGTAATAGCTTGGCATGCGCCTTTAAAAGTCTGTTCGCGACCGTATACTTCACCAAAATGTTCCCCGTGCCAAAATACCTCATTTTCAAAAAAAACATTTTTTGGTGGGTATGTGCCTTTAAGAGTGACTTTTACATGAAAAGAAGTTCACTACAGTAATCCCCATACCCAAAAACCCCGAAATTCATCAACTCCTGATACCCAGGAGCCAGAAATCCAAAAACCATTTGATCGAAAACCGGTTCGAACCAGTTTGAAATGAGTGAGCGAACCAAAAACCAAAACCAAACCAAACCATTTCAAATGAGCGAACCAAAACCAAATGAGTGAGCGAACCAAAAAAACTGGTTTCGCTCAAACCATTTGAAAAACCGCTCATGTCTGAGTATAATCTATAGCCAAAAATATTAGATAATCTGTAATTTCAAGCAATAATGTGTCAATGCTGAAATTCAGTGCTGAAAATCATAGAATTACTTCTATTCAGTGTTTTTATAATTTTCAGCACAAAAAATCAGTCTGAAATTCAAGTTTTCTTAATCTATAGCCAAAAATATTAGATAATCAAGCAATACAAAAAACGCCAAGAAAGGCGTTTCCTGTAGATATTCTTATTTTCATGTTTTCCAGGAAGAAGAATTCGACGAACCACTTCAACACACCAATCCACAAGAGGCCATTTCTCACGTGGACTCCAATGAAACAAGTTCCCGAAATGAAGATTCTACAATTCCAGCTGAACAGGTAAGAATTATTGATATTCTCAGAAAATGCTGAAAATGACGCCAAACTCGACTATAAAATCTAGCTCGATTTTTTTGGATAAAAATGATAAAAACATATGCAGTTTGGCTTTTGAAAGAAATCAGTCTGAAATTCAAGTTTTCTTAATCTATAGCCAAAAATATTAGATAATCTGTAATTTCAAGCAATAATGTGTCAATGCTGAAATTTAGTGCTGAAAATCATAGAATCACTTATATTGAATTTATTTATCAAAATACACCACTTTGAAAAGTTTCAAGTGTTTTGATCAATTTTTCTTTCTACAAATATTGATAGTTGACAGAATATACATATTCAACTTATAAACAATTGATAAATATGAAATAAAATCATTATTATAATTTACAGAATCAGCCTCCACCAACTCCAAACGACATGTTTCAATCGAATAACGTCGAAGTTGACATTTTTTCAATAAGGAATTCGAACAATTTACAAATTTCAATTTTCAATGAAAATAATGTATCAAAATCGCCATCGGAGATTTTCACAATAGAAACAGCAAGAGCAGATGGTTTGCAAACATCATGTTTTATGAAAGATGGAGAAGAATCTCCAACAATTCTTATGTGTTCATCGGATGAAAATTTTGAAAAGTCGTGTTCAAAAATCGAAAGTTCTTTCGGCGGAGACGAATCCGTGAGTTTTTTCCAAAGTATTTCAATCACACGGTTTTCTTTCCCGAAATTTAGAATTTTATATGATTATCCAGTTCCACAGCAAAACAAAATTATAAAAAATATTCAAACACTCGGAAATTAAAAAAAAGTGGTGAGAATTTACCTTATCTCAATGCACAACATTCTTATAATAATAAAGTAAAATTTTGAGCTAAATCATTTCATTTTGATTTCCCAATTGAATTCTTTTCAGAATTCGAGAATATGTTCAACAAATTGGGCGAATGGAATCATTATGAATTCTACAGAAAACTGTAGAAATGAAGTGAGTTTGTTTTATTTCATGAACAAGAGAGATACTGGAGAATTTTTGGATAACGTCACAAAAAACCTTTTTAATATGAAAACAAACAAGAATCGTAAAATCAGCTGATTTTCAAGAACAAGAATTGAGTTTGAGCAAAACATCAGATATGCTCATTTGAACGAGTATGTTTTAATTAGTACAATCCTCGAAATATTCATTCTTATCAAAACATTCGAAATGAGATGAATTCCCGTGAATTTTTGGAATTTGGTCGATTTTGAATCATACTTTTTGTTCATAAACTGAATATTTTCGACCTCATTTAAACCCCACAAGGTGCAATTTATTCAGAAATTGTTATGTCTTTCATTCACGTGAAAATCTGATAAAGATACTATTGTCAATCCGAAAAAATAAGAACCTTGGAAGAGAACCGAAATGGCCTAGAAAACCAAGACTACAGTAGACTTCGCAAAATTTTGAAGTCTATTTGAAAAATAAAATGCGAAATTTACACGCTGGCTATTTGCCAACCAGTTTGATGTGCATGTGTCACGTCATTTTTAGTCTACTGTACGTGAGCGCCAATTCAAACGGGGGTTCTTTTATTTTCGGAATGACAATAATCAAAAATGGTTCCTGTCTGCCTTTTTATTAAAATCCCGATAGGGCGGTGTCTCATGGATTTTTCAATTCTCTCATTTTCCCATTTTTGCGGTTTTTTTTTCCGAAATCATACAACCGCAAAAAAAATTTCTTTTTTAAAAAAATTTTCTTTTGAAAAAGGAGACTGTTACTGGGTCCTAGCAAATTTTAAAGTAAAAAAAATATCGATTTTTCAAGAAGTTTCTTCAAAAAACGATAAATATTGATTATTTATAATGTAAAAAACAAATAACGATGACTTTTAATTTCAGAACACAAAATATAATGACATCGACGGCAACAATTTTGATATCATTGTCAAACGACGAGCAACTGGAAAACAATATCGTTTGGAGTTATATTTGAACAATAACAATTTCAAGAATGTGAAATTTTCGACCCAAAACGGTCGTCCAGCTGTTTTCGCCGACTTCAATCATGATAATCTATGTATACTCGCTGATGGGATTCAAAATGTCGATGTTTTCCACCAAGAAGATTGTGAGCAAGTTGATATAAGTTTACAAGATTCGGACGAAACCATCGAGATGAGGGAATCAGGAATTGAAACGAATGCTGAAGAGCCTGAAGAACAAGATCATCGTCGAAGAAGTTTGAGAATCAGCGGGAAAAGAAAGAATCACACATTTTCACCATCACCTTCCCCAAAGAGATCAAGAATAAATGTTCAAGGAAAAAAATGTGATGCGAAGTCCATATCCATTATCTCTCCCTTATAAAAAACGAAATCACTGAAAATTTGGCGTCACATAAAATGTTTCTTTTTGTGCAAACATCGTTTCGTTTTTTGAAAAATCAACGCGCGTTGCGAGACACGGGAGAAAAATTGTGTGCGCCTTTGATGCGGGGTACGGTAGAAGTATTCGTGAATTTTTATTTATTTTTTCTTTTTTTGAGGGTTTGAGCGCTGTAATTTTTGGAACATCTAACACGCCTATTGTAACTTCAGGGGATTATTTTCAAAATGGGAACCCCCCTCCCTTCTTACTTTGAGAATAGATAACATCAAAAGTATAACAGTTGGGAACCCTGCGATTCTCTCCACCTACACTTCACGGAGAGAATACTAGTTCGGAGAACGCGATTTCAGGCAAGCCGCCTGGCACGCCAAACAATTTTTGAAAAACAACTCGCGCTGCGAGACCCAAGAAACGCACGAGTGTGCGCCTTTGACTACAGTACTAATTTTCGCACAAAATTATTTTTTTAAAGTTGCATTTTCCGCCCAAATTTCAACTAACTTTGCCATTTTAAGCGAGAAGTACTCAAACACTTGAAGAAAATCAGAAGCAAGATAATACTGTGGAATTAACAGAGTTAAAATCATTTGAAACTGAAGCTATTCATGGATTGCAAAGTATTCAGAATGAATTGAGTGGACTTGTTGAGAAGAAATTGAAGATTAAGATTTGTGCTGGAAATGTTTCTTCAATTCGTCTTGGTTGCCAGGAAATTTGCAAACGATTGGAGCAAGAACAAGTGAGAAGACATGAACATGCTGAAGTACTTCGACAAGTCAATGATACATTGGAAAAGAAGACGGAAACACTTGCGATTGTAATGTCATCGAATAAAGTTGGACAAGAGAATATTGAACCACAATCTAGTTCGAATGTGTTGAGCGATGAGAAAAAGAGTTAGTTTGTTAATCGAAAAAATTGCATTTCATTTCATTTTTCTAGAATACCGTGATCCAACTCGTCAACTTTTGCACGATGCCACACAAGCAATTGATGCGATTGTTCAAAAAATGAAGAAAACTGTGAATTTGGAAGGAATGACTGGTGAATTGAAACCAACAATTGCAGCAATTCTCGTTGATTCAAGACATCTTCGTGATTTCCTTCATCAAAAATTCATGTTGTTCAAATCTGTTGATATTTCTCATATCAGAAATGAATCATGCACTTATGAACAGTTATTGCAAAGAGTAAGTTGAGAGAATTTTTTGAAATTTTTTCAAAAAATCATATTTTTGCAGTTTGAAAAGAGTTATCAAGATTTCGTGATTGTTGATGAAGAATGTCGCAAATTGAAACATGAAATGAAGAAGATGAAGGCTATTATTCCGGTAAGAATAATTATTGTATTCAATAATTATTATTTTCAATCAATTCTATTTTTTCTTATTTTGCAGAGCCTTGGAACTGATGTCGAATCAAGAATCAAGAGAGAAATTGGAGGAATTGCTAGAGATATGGGCGCCGTCAACTCGCTAAGAAAATAATACCATGTAACTATTTATTTATTTTATTTTTCGCTCAAAATTTTCATTATTTACGCTTAACCATGAAGTTTATCAATTTAAAACAATTTATCCAACAACAAAAATCAACAATATTTAAAAGGCTAAACATACTTTGAAATCAAAAGCGCTTCTTTTTGGCTACAAGCACAATTTCATCTTCCTCGTCTACCGTATCACCAAGAGTAACTACAGTACTTTCCTCTTCTTCGTCATCATCTCCTAATCCGGCTAGCAAATCATCGACTTCTTGGATTTCTCCCTAAAAAACTTTGATTTTTATAAATTATTATTGAAATTTTGAAACTAACATGTCTATCAAGTGATTGTTTGTTATCCAATTCGACACGATTCACACTTTGTTGAATATTTGCCAATTGTTCGTCGATCATTTGTTCTTCATCGATTTCTTCTTGTTTTACACCATCAGAACGAAGAGGATTTTCCTGGAAAAGGGAAAGTTTCATATTTTTTTACGGCTGAAAAGGAGAACCTGGTTTTTGAAGTCACTCCAAATTTCCGATAATCCCCAGCCAACATATTTTTTATTTTCATTATAACTTCAAAACTCAGACTCTCATCATTAGCCACTCACAAAAAACGTCCGATTTTTAAAAATTACATTTAGTCATCGAAAAAAGTTAATAAAAAAATAATTTTCTTTAGGCAGTGCTCAATAAATGCTGACGAAATGAATTACAATCAATTTAAGCCTAAAATCTTGAAAATTGGCTCGAAAATGATGGATTTGTGAAACTGGAAGCTCTTCCAGATTTACAAATTTTTGAACAAAAAAAAAAGTTGAGCGAAAAAAAGTATTTTCTTTGGATATTACTTAAAAGATGCTGACGGAATGAATTACAATCAATTTAAGCCTAAAATCTTGAAAATTGGCTCGAAAATGATGGATTTGTAAAACTGGAAGCTCTTCCAGATTTACAACTTTTTGAACAAAAAAAAAGTTGAGCGAAAAAAATGTATTTTCTTTGGATATTACTTAAAAGATGCTGACGGAATGAATTACAATCAATTTAAGCCTAAAATCTTGAAAATTGGCTCGAAAATGATGGATTTGTAAAACTGGAAGCTCTTCCAGATTTACAAATTTTTGAACAAAAAAAAAAGTTGAGCGAAAAAAAAGTATTTTCTTTGGATATTACTTAAAAGATGCTGACGGAATGAATTACAATCAATTTAAGCCTAAAATCTTGAAAATTGGCTCGAAAATGATGGATTTGTAAAACTGGAAGCTCTTCCAGATTTACAAATTTTTGAACAAAAAAAAGTTGAGCGAAAAAAAAGTATTTTCTTTGGATATTACTTAAAAGATGCTGACGGAATGAATTACAATCAATTTAAGCCTAAAATCTTGAAAATTGGCTCGAAAATGATGGATTTGTAAAACTGGAAGCTCTTCCAGATTTACAAATTTTTGAACAAAAAAAAAAGTTGAGCGAAAAAAAAGTATTTTCTTTGGATATTACTTAAAAGATGATCACGAAATGAATTACAATCAATTTAAGCCTAAAATCTTGAAAATTGGCTCGAAAATGATGGATTTGTAAAACTGGAAGCTCTTCCAGATTTACAAATTTTTGAACAAAAAAAAAAGTTGAGCGAAAAAAAGTATTTTCTTTGGATATTACTTAAAAGATGATCACGAAATGAATTACAATCAATTTAAGCCTAAAATCTTGAAAATTGGCTCGAAAATGATGGATTTGTAAAACTGGAAGCTCTTCCAGATTTACAACTTTTTGAACAAAAAAAAAAGTTGAGCGAAAAAAATGTATTTTCTTTGGATATTACTTAAAAGATGCTGACGGAATGAATTACAATCAATTTAAGCCTAAAATCTTGAAAATTGGCTCGAAAATGATGGATTTGTAAAACTGGAAGCTCTTCCAGATTTACAAATTTTTGAACAAAAAAAGTTGAGCGAAAAAAAGTATTTTCTTTGGATATTACTTAAAAGATGCTGACGGAATGAATTACAATCAATTTAAGCCTAAAATCTTGAAAATTGGCTCGAAAATGATGGATTTGTAAAACTGGAAGCTCTTCCAGATTTACAAATTTTTGAACAAAAAAAAAAGTTGAGCGAAAAAAGTATTTTCTTTGGATATTACTTAAAAGATGCTGACGGAATGAATTACAATCAATTTAAGCCTAAAATCTTGAAAATTGGCTCGAAAATGATGGATTTGTAAAACTGGAAGCTCTTCCAGATTTACAAATTTTTGAACAAAAAAAAAAGTTGAGCGAAAAAAAGTATTTTCTTTGGATATTACTTAAAAGATGATCACGAAATGAATTACAATCAATTTAAGCCTAAAATCTTGAAAATTGGCTCGAAAATGATGCATTTGTAAAACTGGAAGAGCTTCCAGATTTACAAAATTTGACCCAAAAATCCGCAAACGTCCACAATTGCGACATTTCAAAAATGAGAACAGGGGGAACCCCATTGAAAAATACTTCTTCCATCGAGACACCACCCAATCCGATAATTTACAGAAAAATTCCCAGATTAATGCAAAAAAAGTGAGCCTAATTGTAAGTTAAAACAAGTTGGTTCGGGAAACCTATGAACTCTGTCCAGATTTAATTTAAAAATAAACCCACATTCATAATAACACTTGATTGATAAGCTTGTCTTTGTTTTTCACTTTCTTCTTCTTCGATTTCTTCTTGTTCGATTTCCATTTTAATTGGAGCACGAATTTGTTGAGCAACAACTCGATTCTCGTTCAAAATGATTGCAGGACTTGTGATCGCGAAACCACTTGGACGTTTGAAAGCACTTCTGAAATGAAATATGAAATTCAGAATTTTTAATAAAAATTTTATTATATTTGAAAAAAAAGGTTAAATTTCATAAAATTTTCAGGATTTCCTACATTCCCATTCCGATTATCCCTTTTACCAACCTTTCTCTCTGATCTTGTCTAATAACATCAATAACAACACTTGAAAGTTCTTCCGCTCGACTCATTGCTAATTTTACACAATTTTCAATTTGTTTGGTAGTTAAAATCAGATTTGTACTTTGATGAAGTGCACAAACTTCTTTCCGTTTGTTGCATGCAACAACAATTGTTCCATCAAGACATTCGGATTCTTTTTCAGTTGGATCAATTATAATTGTTGATCTGAAAATAAAGATAAAGATGAAAATTGAGAGAAGAAAAAACGAACCCTTTATCTAAAAGTCCGATTGTTGTGCAAATTGGCATGTGATAAATATTGAGAGGGATTGGCGATTTTTCATATTCGGAATACTGAAAAAATTGGGGAATTTTGAGAGAAATGAATGGAAAAAAATATTTTTAATATTTTTCTTGAACTTGTTTGACAGGTTTTAGATATTTCAATTAAGATTAAAACTTTTAGTTTTGCTTCAAAAATCTCTTGAATACTTCAACTTACAACTAAAGTGTGATGTGGTTCAAGTGTAACATTTGGTCTTTTGAAATGTTGCAAAGCAGTAATCGCAGCCAAACAAGCACAATCTAAAATCGAGCCATCTTCATCCAAAATCCGAACATCTACTTTAATCTTCCAAACTTCTTTTCCAGCTCGGATACAAAGCGATTCAACATCAATACATCTCGAATCACGAATAATCAACTCTAACAATCGTGTCAATTCCATTCCTTTTTGTCCCATTCGATCATGTTCGTGGGCTAAAAATTTTACAGGATCAAATAGAAAAACGAATGAAAAACTCACAATAATTCGCCATCGGACTCAAATCAACATCTATATTTATAACCCCTTTTTGTGGTCGCATTGAAGATGGTTCGGTTATTTCAGCACTAACCGCGCAGATAACTCTGAAAATTGAATTCATATGAGTTTATCTATTTTTCTTACTTTGTTTGTCCAATGCTACAAATTGCAGTCCCGATTTCTGATCCAACGATTAATTTGACATTTCGAAATTCTTCTCGACTTCGGAAGTCGAGTCTCTGGAAATGAGAAGGACTGGATAAGATTTGAAAAAAACCAACATTCCCAGGTAAATTCAAACCATCAGGATAAATACCAAAAAAGTTTCGGACCGATTTTGAAATTGAAAAAACGGCTTGTAATAACTCGAAACTCGGCCTGATTCTGCTCACAGAAGAACTCGTTCAACTTTCAATCGAGATTTTCATTGAAACCTATGTTTTCTGGTAGTTTTTGACCCGCATGATGACGTGGCAAAGTTTCAACATCTCGAAAAATGGGACTGGGAGGTCAGCAAAAACCTGAAGTCTCGATTTTTCAAAAAGTTTCAACTTTGCCACGTCATACCTAGAAATTGGGCTTCGCAGTTTTTGACAAAGGAATAGCAATCAGCTGGTCGAAAATTAATTGGAAAACATATATTATGATTAAAATTTCGAATTGAAAAAGTGCCCTTGTGATCAAAAACAGGCCGGTTTTCTAGTTGATCCTGAACTTTTTTCGAACTTCAAAACCTGTCCGAAACTTGAACAGTTTTTATTGGCCTATCCTGTAATTTTCCATTTGCCAGTGCTTTGTATTAAAACCCTTACCTTTCCAGCTCTCAATGATTCAACAATCAATGTTTTCTCACAAATCGTCAAAGGTTGTGTTCTCATTTTTCTAAAAATTCCAAAAAATATTTTTTCTCTGCATTTTGAAAATAAAAAGTATTAATTCGATCGAATTCCACGTCAAACTTCAGAACTTCAAAAAAATCTTAAAAGCAGCAAAGTTTATTATTCAACTGAAAACATGCAAAAAGTATAATAATAATCGTAAAAAGAAAAAAAAATTGAGATTCATTTTATTTATTTAGCCTGTTGAATTTGGGCGAGTTGTGCTTGAATTTTTGATTGGAAAGTGTCGGAGAGAATGGCACGAGTTTTTCTTTTGTCCACAAGAATCTTCTCGACTGTTTCAATTTGATTCAACATGTGTTGTTTCTTTCTGTCGAAAATTCCTTTTGCTTTTTCACGATCCAATTCGACAAAATAACCAGTTCCGATTTCAACGAGATTCTTGTCTGGATTTGGAATTTCAGCGCGGATATAAAGAGATTCAGAGAGTGGAATGAGGGCTGAATGATTTGGTTGAGATCCTTTCAAGTCAGATAATGCGAAAATACTTTTGTCGTTGCGTTGTGACAGCATCTGAAACAAGGAAAATAATTACTTTAAATTATGGTAAGACATTTTTTAGAAACTTTTTCAGTATTTAAATTCTCAGTTTTTACGAAAAAAGATCGAAAATTCTAAAAAAAATTCAAATTTCACAGAATTTCTCGCTCTCAACAAATATCCCAAAAATATTACCTTCAAAGTTTGTAGTGATTCCTGGAAGAACTGCATTTCCTGTTCGACTTGTTTTTGTAATTGATTGATTTGCTCAATTCCCAATTCGCTAATTGGAACTCCTTTTGATTCGTCTGCCATTTTGAACCTCAAAAACAAAAAATGCCAAAATGCCAAAAGCGAAAGAAATATCGCGAAACAATTTCGCAGTGAAAATGCTAGTCCCCGATAATTGGAAAACTAGTCCACCAGCCGCAGAAAGCATAAAAATATTGTTCATATGTATTTTTTAAACACTTGGTTCTGATATAGAAAATAAAACTTGGATATTTATTAAAAAGCAGTAAACGTTTATCATCTTTTTAGAAACACCGGATTGAATACAACATAAAACAACAAAACATCAACAAAAATTTGAAAGGTACTCGTTTTTTTTCGACCAGTTTTCGATGGATTCTTAAAATTTCGGTGGATTCTCAGTGAGGCGTAGAGTTTTCCTGAAAAATATTTGAGTTATTTTGATGTGTCTGATGGAGAAGAGACTTACTCAATTCTATTTGCGATCGCATCGTTTCTAGTTTCTCCACACAAATATACTTGATAATATCCATGACTCACTGGGCGTGCATTCGACAGCGTTTTATCTGAAATTAAAGCTATTTGGAAAATTATATCGATTCTTAATTTCTGCTTAAAATACAAGAATTTCAATAGATTGACCCTAGCAGATTGAACAGAAAAATAAAACGGACCATCGTTTCGGCGATAAGACGACTCTGGGGCGTTTCCATTCACTCCGTTGACAACATTCTCCGTCTCAACTCTTCCATTGAAAGAAGTTCTGCTGGATTGATGATTTTCGAAACTCCAATGATTTTTTCTCAATGGACTTTGTACAGATCTATCATCGAATTGTTGACGGGTTTGTTGTTGTGGTTCAGTCGACCAAGAATTCGGTAAGGCAGATCGCATAGCATTAACATTATAAGTATCCATTTTATCATCTTGGGATCGAATTCTTGAGACTGATATGGGTTGCTTTTGCGGAGTCCCACTCATTGTTGAATCGTATTTATTATAGTACGACTTCTGTACAATAGGTGGAGCAACTTGTCGAAAAGCAGCTGGTGGATTCGCGAATTCCTGAGATTGAGAAGACCCATATGACGATTCTCGAATTGGAAATGGTTTGTGTATGGATTGACGACTTGAAGGCTGAAAAATGATGATTCATGTAAATTCATCAGTTCATTCTCCTGAAGTGGAAAGAGCAGAATAAATATTCTACTGCGAAACTCACTCTTTCATCCAAATTGGAAATGGCCTCATCACCGATTGATACATATTGATCCTAAAAATTCGATCACGATTCACGGCCTCTTTTGAACTTAAGCTTACCGAGCTTCTCATTTGACCAAACGAATTTCCTCTTCCTTTGATGGGAATCTGTGAATTGACACAAACAAATTTTTGAAACGCATGCTCGTTTGCTTCACTCTCATGGTCGAATCTTCTATCTGAAATAACTTGTTCAAATTTTTATTTCCAATCTGAATCCAATTCACCCATTGCAATCCTCGATTCGGACAACAATCTGCTATCCTTCATTTTATTGAAATGAGCTGTGTTTTGAACCACCGTTTTCAAATGATCGATATCCACTTTCGATTTTTGATTATCTTGTAATTGTCGCGCTTGTATTTGCATTTGTTGTTGTTGTTGCTGTGGTTGTCTCTACAAAACAAACAATTATTGCGACTATTCATCATTAGCAAAATTCAAACCTCAGAGTTTCTGTTGTAGTAAGAATTGAGATCGAACGGTTGAGATTTTTGTTTTGGACTGGATGCATAATTATTATCTGAATAATACACAAATTGTAACAGAAAACAATACGAAAAGTCTCACTTCTATTATCTTGGTTCTCTAGAAGATCCTGCGAAATCTCTTTGATAAACTGATCTGTGTTGATCGACTCCTGGAAAGATGATTATGAAAAATGTGAAAATTATACACTCGCACTCACTTCAAACTTTCTATCATCATTCCAATCGGCCATTTTGAGATCCGCAGTATCCAGATATCTGAAAACAAAAAATACAGGTCAAATGAAATTGTGTTCACTGTATGACGTTGTATAAGCAAAGGTCACGTAAAAAATAAAAATTTCGAACGTGAAATTCTCTTTGAAGTACTTCTAGATGAAAATAGGTTTTTCGAATTTAAAAGCGGAAAATCTAACTTTCCACGAAAAGTTGGATAGTGCTAAAACAGAATTTTCAAGTATTTTCACTATTTCACAACAAATGCAACTGAAAATTCCATTTCGAGACGAAAAAAACCTCATCAAAAATTCAAAAAACGAGCTCAAAATCCCAAAATTTCCCTTCGCGAACAAATACCGTAACCTTGCTTTCGTGGCATGCATGTTCGTTGCGAGACGATATACACATTTTGAAGCAACCTTCCTTTGATACAGTACTTGTTTTCCACTTTATTTGGTATTTTGTAAATATTAAAACCTCTCGACAATGTCAGTTGTTTACATAGAAGAGAGAATTTCCTAATTGATATGATTGATATAATTCGAAGATCATTTGAACACTCTTCAATGATCATAATGATTTCTAAAGATTCATTTTCTATTTTTAGTTGTGTAATCAATCAGAAAGACAAAAAAATGATTTTTTGTATATAAATAATAGAGATATTATGGTGATAAGTTTAACAAAACCTGAAAGGACTATGATTTCATATTTTATTGTTAAATCTTTCTTTTAAAGAAAGGGTAAAAATTAACTTCGAAATTTTTTTCTCTAAAAGTTTTGTGATAAAAAATGTGGAAAATTCAAAAAAAAAACCGAAAAAACATAAAAAACATAAACATTCCAGATCTATAATTCTATAATTTATTTTCAAAACAATTCTAGTTCCGAAAATGTGTTCCTATCATTTTTAAATTTCATGGAAGTTGTTTCTGTCTTGTGGTGAATTCTGAACTTTGAGTTTACAATTTCTCTAGTTATAATCCTCATGATGGCCCATTTTCAATAATCTGTTGATCTCAAGCTTCAACTCTACAACAAAAACATATCTCTCACTTTCAATTTTTGAAATTCACTTCAAAGTGGGCGTGTCATTTTCGTCTACAAAAGGCATGGAAAATGACAACTTATATGAAAATGAGAGAGTGTTAGAGATAAATACAGTAGTCATCATCATCTCCTTCTTCTTCTTCTTATTTTTGCTATTCCTTTCTTGTCATTTTCTCTCAATTTATTTTGTGATTTCAGAAAGTTATGATACATGATACAACTATAATAATATTATTAATATGTCTACCATTATTTATAATATCCCATTCACTTCGAGATTCCGATTATTCATTGGAGAAGGAATCAAATGTTGATGAAGCTTCTAGAAGAACTCGTTTGATTTCTGAAAAAGATCAAGAAGTTGTCAATTTTTATATGGAAAAAATGAACAAATTGGCGGCTGAAAAACATCCGGAGGTAAAAAAAATGTGGTTTTAGTTCAGCCAGGAAATATTTTGAAGGTCATACTTACTTTCAGTCAAATCAAATTAGCCATAAAATCAATGTGGGGAAAAGTCTTGACATGGTTTGGTTTGGTTTTTGACAATAAACAAAACAGGTTGTTGTGTGTGTTGCCTGTTTCTTTTTGAGACGCAATTAAAAATATAATTGAGGGTACAACTTTCTGTGGATTTTCCAAGCCACAACTTTTTTTATACATCAAAATACCACGATAGTGTTACACATTTTCTCCAAAAAAACTAATAAATATTTCACACTTCAGTTTGAAAAAGAAAAAGTGTAAGAAAGGGTCATTTATATTGAAAATCGAGACCCGTTCCATTATTATCAATCGATTCATGTCTTTTCTTTTATGTATTATCCTTATCAACATAATCACACCGCATTTTCAATCATCTTCAACAATCATCAGCCAAAAAAAAACAATGAAAAAACCATTTTTTAGGAAAAAGAAATGTCAAAAGAACTGAATGATTGGTCGAAATCACGACTTCGTGCTGATGTTTTGAATCCAGAGGAAAGGGGGAAGTATTTCCAAGGAGATATTGTTTTATATCCTGAACAGGCTAAAGCAATGTATGAAAAAGCAGTGGAAAGTGGGAAGAATCGGAGGAAACGGAAGTTTATTGGAGCAAAAATACGAAGATGGGATGCTTCGCAACCGATTATTTATAATTTTGATGGATCACATAGTGAGTTTGAGTACTGTAGATTGAAAAGATAAATTTTCGCGACTGAAAATCGTGAATCCTATTTTCAATTTGATCTATTTTTTGGAATTTTGAAAAAAAAACGTTTCGGAACCTTGAAAAAAATCAAAGAAATGTTTGCCACGTCACAATCATTGCTTATATTAAAAATCACACCGTAATCCAAGGGTTTTTCGGCTACAGTATCTCAATGAATTTCCAAAAAATAGTAGATCAAGAATAGTAGATCAAGAATAGTCGTACTGTAGTCGTGAATTAAACAAAAACTACCGTAATCCTTGCGGTTACTGTGTATTATGCTTTCAAAGACATTTACAGTAGTCAAAGAATGAATTGAAAATAAAAATAATTTTCAAAAAAGGTTCACCTATGTCCGGATTTCTGGGGAAAACATTTGGATTTCATTTATAAATTCTTATTTTCGAGTTCTGAATTATCATTTTTTTTTTTAGAATTTTTGCTTTATATTACTGAAAATTCCGATTTTACTTTATGAAAAAATTCGTGACCGAAACGTGGCAATTTAGAATTTCAATTTCTGATTATCAAGTTCACGTTTGAAATACGATCCCAATTTCTAAAAATTATTTCATTCCCATTTTTCCAGCTCAACGTGAACAACGAATAATCGAACTTGCTCTCGAACATTGGCATAATATAACATGTTTGAATTTCGAAAGAAACGATAACATAAATTCAGGAAATCGAATTGTTTTCACAGATGTTGATGGATGTGCAAGTAATGTTGGCAGAAATCCAACCGGCGAAGAACAACTTGTCTCCCTCGCACCAGAATGTATTCGATTAGGTGTTATTGCACACGAAGTTGCACATGCTCTTGGTTTTTGGCATGAGCAATCAAGACCTGATCGAGATCAATTTGTAACCGTGAAATGGGAAAACATCGAGAAAGATTCGAAGGGTCAATTTTTGAAAGAGGATCCAGATGATGTTGATAATTCCGGAGTTCCTTATGATTATGGAAGTATTATGCATTATAGAAGTAAAGCATTTGGAAAAATTGATGATTTGTATACAATCAGCACTTTTGTATCCGATTATCAAAAAACTATTGGTAAATTTTTTTTCAGAAGAAAACTTTTTTATTCAAATATTTTTGATATTTCAGGCCAACGTGATCAATTATCATTCAATGATATTCGACTCATGAATAAAATATATTGCAGTAACACCTGTCCTTCAAATTTACCATGTCAACGTGGCGGATACACAGATCCTCGCAGATGTGATCGTTGCAGATGTCCCGATGGTTTTACTGGACAATATTGTGAACAAGTTATGCCAGGATACGGTGCAACTTGTGGTGGAAGACTTCAATTAACTCGCTCAACTACCAAAATATCATCGCCAGGTTATCCAAGAGACTTCAAAGAAGGTCAAGAATGTTCGTGGTTGTTGGTTGCACCGCCTGGACATATTGTGGAATTCCAATTTATTGGAGAATTTGAAATGTATTGTAAAGTTAGGCATTCTTTATGTATGGATTATGTGGAAGTTAGAAATACCACTGATTTCGCCAATACTGGAATGAGGTGAATAGGTTTTAGAAAGAAAATTCATAAAAATAATTGAGAGGATTTTAGATATTGTTGCTATGGAACTCCACCAACAAGAATACGTTCAGCAACCACTGATATGGTAGTGCTATTCAGAAGTTTCTACCGGGGTGGAAAAGGTTTTGAAGCTCGTGCTAGAGCGGTACCTGAGGCGGGTAACTGGAATCAATGGGGACAATGGAGTGCATGTAGTGCATCTTGTGGTGCATGTGGTAGCCGAATGAGGACAAGAGTTTGCCCACCTGGAAATGCATGCGCGTATGTTATTCTAACATCTCAAACCTAATTACTATCCTAATTAAACTAATCAATTTGTTTTCTAGGGGAGAACCATTGGAAACCCAAGTTTGCAATACTCAAGCGTGTACGGGTATGTGCGCCAAGAAGAAAGAGGAAGAGGGACAATGTGGAGGATTCCTATCGCTTCTACGTGGCGTCAGGTGTAAACAGTATGTTTTTTGATGATAAAAACATGTAACAATTTATTGTTCTTAATTTCAGAGAGAAAACTGTGATGGCACCTTGCGAGAATGCTTGTTGTCCTGGTTTCAGTCTTCAACGTGGTCGATGTGTTAGGTGAAAAGCACTACAGAATACTGTTCAACTAATTTTAAATGTATACGGGCCTTCATTTTATGATTTGTTTTTGTATGTTTTGAACGAAACTTTTTTTATTTTATCAACAATTTTAAATATATGATTATACTTTTAATGAATTATTTACGATAAACTTCATAGTTCAATTTCAGGATATTTTTCAGAAAAATAACGTTGGTTAATGATGTTTTGAACAGAAATATCAAACCACTTACGTAGATTTATTGTGAACGTGAACTCATTCTAGCGTATTTTTCAAAAATAACCCCCATTTCTTCTACGGTTTTTCCTGACATCCTCCGTCTATTTCTTTCGGAAACAAGAAATTTCAACCAAAAAACAATTGCTGATCACGAGGTTTGTTTGTATTCATACTATTTTACTTCCTAAAACCAAGATCATCAACAAAAACATGAAAAACTTCGAGAAAACCCCTTTGCTTTCCGAAAGAAAACATACACAAAACGGCGAAAAAATATTTATTCGCACACGCGAAATAAATGTTACCGTAGTTGTGTGTTGTGTCTTATAGCGAAGAGCGTTTAATACTCAGTGAACGACCCAGCAGCCAAATTTCGCCGTATTTTTATTCTTTTTTTCAACTTTTTTTGGTTTTTCACGTCGAATTTCACGCAAAAATACGTTTTTCTTGTCATTATTGTGAAGAAAACATACTTTATGTATAGTAGATAATCTCCATTTTACAAGTATTCCGATATCGTATGCTAAATACCGATTTTTGTATTTGTTGCCGTAATTTTCATTATTTTAAATTTTTCGTTTTTCAGTGGGTACACAATGGTTGGAAAGAGAAACCTCCCAGTTATCAGCAGAAACTTCGACCTCTCCCCAGGAGTTCTTCGTTTCTCTACTACTCGTCTTCGTTTGAAGAAGAACCAAAAGACACCACTTGTCAAGGCGGCCAAGCCAGTAAGTTATATTATTTTTCAAAAATTATTTCCGAAGTCCAGAGTCACCTTTTTTGCTAGAGTACGATTGAGGTGCTAGGATTGTTCGAAAATAAAAATGGTATAATATGCAAATAGAGCTTGGTTTACCCTCCTCTATTTCACCTCAATCCATAACATCCGAAAAAATTTCTGAGATTCATGTTGGCGTGAAATTATGTTAAATTTGTTCCGTTTGGAATTTACATGATTGTTTTTCAGAGCAACAAGCTCGCTGCTCTTCAAAGAGATGGACAAAAATTCAAGCTCGGACACTCAAAGAAGGTTGCTCTCCGCAAGTCACTCACTCCAGGAACAGTCTTGATTGTTTTGGCTGGACGTCATAAGGGAAAGAGAGTTGTTTTCCTCAAGCAATTGGAATCCTCTGGACTCCTCCTTGTTACTGGTATGTTTTTAATTATTTTTAGTGATAAACAATCAGTTTTAAAAAGTTGCACTCATAAGGGACGGAATTCTCCTATGAGATTCTTCGTATAATTTTAGGTGCGAAATAGTAGAGAGGCGCAGTGTTACTCTTCCTTCCTTATTGGAAATGGAGAGTGTCAAGCGCTTCCCACATTAAATATAAAATTTTTTAACAAAATTATTCATTTTTCAGGACCACACAAGATCAACGGATTCCCACTCCGCAGAATCTCCCAATCTTTTGTCATCGCCACTTCCTTGAAAATCGACGTTTCGGGAGTCAAGGTTCCAGCACACATCAATGATGATTACTTCAGAAGAAAGTCGACCGCCCAAAAGAACGGAAAGAACATCTTTGCTTCCGGAAAGGCCGAATACACCGTAAGTTTTCAAGTTAAATCAGTTTTCAGCAAAAAATTATTTAAAAAAATTGGAACTCACATAGAAAATTTTTCCTCTATTAGAGTTCTAAAAATACTTTTAAAGCAAACATGAAGGCGCAAAGCAATATATTCTGTATGACTTAGGAATCCTAGGTTCTAAAACAATCAAATCGTATTTCACCGCAGTAAGTATTTGCAAAATAGCTGCTAGTTTTCGGCTCATATTGAACTTTACAAATTTGGCTTGTCTTTTTATAGTGGCACTCATAAGGGACGGATTTCTCCTATGAGATTCTCCGTATAATTTTAGGTGCGAAATAGTAGAGAGGTGCAGTGTTACTCTTCCTTCCTCATTGGAAATGGAGAGTGTCAAGCGCTTCCCACATTGAATATCAAATTTTATTCCCAATTGATTTATTGGAATTTAATTTTCAATTACAGGTATCCGATCAAAGAAAGGCCGACATCAAGACCGTCGACGCCCCAATCCTCGCCGCCATCAAGAAGAACAAGGACCACAAATTTTTGTTCGGATACCTTGGAACCAGATTCTCGTTGGGAAAGAACCAATACCCACACAACATGGTCTTCTAAATGTATTGTTATTGAATAAATTGTTGACTTTTATTCAAATAGCATCGATAATAATTTATCTGCCGAAGCATCAGTTCAAATTCTGAGAAATAAGAAATTCCTTTTAGAAGTAGCTCCCAGGTGAAAAAATATTCTCATATAATATGCGAAAAAATATCGAGGTTTGTTGCAAAATGGCTTCTTTTCACTTTTTATTTCCCAACATCTCGTGACAATTTTCCTTTAATGAGCAACAACACTCCGCTTTTGCCTCACAAATCTCCCTCTCTTTTTTCGTACTTATATTTTTCTTTCGTTGTTGTTCGTTGATTGATTGAACCTGTGTTTTGTTATTTAAAGTGTGTCATGTTTGGAGGAATTCGAGACCGGCTCTACCGCTATCAACGGAACAAAAGCTCACGTGTCGAATTCTACCCGAATGCTGCAAAAGGTCAAGTTTGTTTTTAATAAATAAGTTTTGGGGTTGCTAAAAATATTAATTTACGTAAAAGTATCGATATTACCACGTTTGCACGAAAAAAATCATTTTAATTTGATCTTTTGTTCTAACACTTTGATCTATCAAAAACCCGCTAATAATACGAATGATTCTATTTAAATTATTGATTTGATTCATTAATTCATTAATCCTCTGTAAGCATGTTCAATATTTTAACCCATGGGTTTTGTTTCCCTTCATACTTGGTTTGTCAATTTTAAAATCGATTCTAATTTCCGCTATGCCATGTTTTTCTTTTTTGCACCTGCAACTTATTTTTCAACGAGTTTGTTGTTGTTGTTGTTTGTGTTGAGGGAAACAATTCTTCAATTTGAAATTATTGAAATGGGGATATTGATTTTTGAATCTGAAAAACTCTTCGTCTTTTTTTCCCAACAAAAACAAACATTTTGATAATAAAAAAAAATTCCCCCCATTTTTTTGTCGTTGACATTTTCATTCAACCAGAAAATAATGTTTTATTATCAATTCAATTCGATATATACACATCTGTTGGAGATTCGTTTTTTTTCTTTATTTTTTATCTTTCTTGACCTTTTTTATCGATGGTTTCAGGGCAAATGTACTTTGAATTTGATTTGCATACTTGATATTAAATACCAAAAAATGACCAAAGAAAAGTAAAGTGAAGTAAAATCTCTTCAAGAATTATTCTTATTTGATTCGATTTGCTTGATTTAGTTAAATTATTGATTCAATTTTCAGCGACTGCAAACTTGCGGGAAAGTTTAGTTGAGCAAAAGACACAAGAATCAACAATTGAGCCGCCTTCAAAACCACAGCCACAATCTTCGACGACAACAGCAACTTGTACAACACCAAACGAAGGAGGTTTGTATTTTTATTTGAATTTCTGATGAAAAATGTTTTAGGATGAAGGGAAATCAATAAATTTTGTGTGATGCACCATTGGAAACGAATAATTTCATATTTGAATGCAATAATTTGATATTCGAAGAAAAAGGCATTGATTGAACCGAGATTTTCATGTTTTCTTGCGAAAATTCTTTGAGATCTTGCATTATAATCTTGTTCATAAGATAGAGACTATTCGTATCATATAATTTTTGATTACTTTACGTTATTCATAAGTGATTTAGCGACATTTATACTGAAAAACGTTAAATCACTTATGAGTAACGTAAAGTAATCAAAAATTATATCTTTAGAATTGTCTCTATCTTAGAAATGCGATTATAATCCAAGATCTCAACGCACTTCTGCGAAAAAAAATGTCGGTTTAATGTCCATGCCTTTTTCTTCGCGTATTAAATTATTGCATTAAAAAATTATTCTTTTCCCATGGCGCATCACACAAAATTTATTGATTTTATTTTATTACCAAACAATTTTCTCCATTTCCTCTCCCCAAAGGCCGATCTCAAATCCAAAAAATATTTTTCCTTATCTCCCCAAAGTTTTATCCCTTACTGTACATATATCATCGCTGAAATGAGAAAAAACGGGCGGTTTTTGAGGAGATTGATAAGAAAAAGTGCACATTTTTTCCCAATGTCTACCAAAAAATGTACATTTTTTTCTGGATTTCGATTTTTTCTCTTCTATACAAATAAACACTTCAAATGATTTTTTGAACTGTAGAAAAAATCCTTCACTATCTAAAATTGCGCGTCTTTTTTTCCCCATATGTTTTGACACATTAGTTGTATCTAGATTGTATAAAAAACGACGCTAGTCCCGCCTTTTTTTCGGGAACACCCCCAGCCAAAAAGTGCATAGTTTTATTACTGCTCATTTACTTACAAAATAATGGCTGGAGGTGAGTCTTCTTAATTTCTTAACCTCTATACTCAAGTCTTCTTCTCAAAAACATGTGCAATTTCAGACAAATCATTGCAAGTTTCAACGGACGCTCATCAACACCATCATCCAACACCTCCAACCTCATTTTTCTCATCAACTTCACTCGCAGTTCACCCATCACCAAATACACTTCCATCATCTTCAACTGAAGAATTAAGAATGCCAAATATTAAGGTAGCGTGCCCATATCAATTTCAAAAAACAAAAAATTTCAGGTTTTTTCTGGGTCTTCTCATGCTGATTTGTCTCAAAGAATTTGTGAAAGACTTCAATTGGAAGTCTCAAAAGCGTCGTTGAAAAAATTCAGTAATAAAGAAACAAATGTTGAAATTGGTGAATCGGTTCGTGGTGAAGATGTTTATATAATTCAATCGGCTGCCGGTGAAATCAATGATAATCTAATGGAACTTCTGATTATGATCAATGCCTGCAAAATCGCATCATCTTGTCGTGTTGCAGCTGTTATTCCCGCTTTTCCATATGCGAGACAAGATAAAAAGGACAAATCTCGAGCTCCGATTTCAGCCAAACTTGTTGCAAATATGTTATCTGTTGCTGGAGCTGATCATATTATTACAATGGATTTGCATGCGTCGCAAATTCAAGGATTTTTCGATATTCCAGTCGATAATTTGTATGCTGAACCAGCTATTTTGAAATATATCAAGGAATCGATTCCGAATTGGCAAACATCGGTTATTGTATCACCAGATGCTGGAGGTGCTAAAAGGTTTGTTGAATAAATATCTAACAAGGAGCTTCGGTTAGGGTAAACACGGGTTTTGAAATAGGATAAGTGCAGTCGTAGATAACTTGATGCGCTGATAAAGATGCTGAAAAAATTAGCTGCTGAGTTCCAATCTGAGCTCCAAAACGAAAATTTATCATAAAAATTTGGGTTTCAAAACTTTTCCCAATTTTTGTCACAAAATTTTGCTTTGGAGCTCAGTTGCGTGGAGCTCAGCAGCTATTTTTTCCAGCATCGTTATCAGCGCGTCAAGTAATCTAAGACTGAACTTATCCTAATTCAAAACCCATGTTCACCCTAACCGAATTCTCTTGTAATTTTTTGTTTTATCCAAAATGTTTGATTTCAGAGTTACATCAATTGCTGATCGTTTGAATGTTGATTTCGCCCTTATCCACAAAGAAAGAAAACGTGCAAATGAAGTTGAGAAAATGACTTTGGTTGGATCTGTCGAAGGAAAAGTTGCGATTCTTGTTGATGACATGGCTGATACTTGTGGAACTATTTGTATGGCTGCTGACAAATTGGTCGAAGCTGGAGCTGAAAAAGTTTATGCGTTCTGTGTTCATGGAATCTTCTCAGGACCCGCGATTTCTCGTTTGAATGCGTCGAAATTCGAAGCGGTTGTTGTGACAAATACTATTCCACAAGAGGAAAATATGAAACAATGCTCAAAAATTCAGGTTGGTTTTGAGAATTTTTTTGTTGAAAAAATTGGTTTCAAAATTGGATTTTCGTGAATTTTTAAAAGCCTTGAGAAAACTTCAACAAAATTTAATTTTTGATTTCGAGTTAAATTTTTTTAATGCCTCTAATCTTTTCCTTCTCCTCAAATCATAATAATTTTTTGCAGTGCATCGACATTTCGATGATTTTGGCTGAAGCAATCCGTCGAACCCATAATGGTGAATCTGTTTCATATCTTTTTTCACATGTTCCTATTTGTTGATTTTTCCATTTTCATCCCGTTTTCCCGTTTCCCCGTTATTTCTTCCCATTTCCCCAGGTTTATTTGTTTTTTTGTCGTTGTTTTAATTTAGTTGTGACGGTCCCCCAACTCCTTTTTCACAATAGTTCATTTTTTTATTTCTGTGTTCAAAATAAATCGATTTTATATTTTTAACTTCTTGATGCACCAACAACTGCTCTCTCTGAATCTCTCTGGGTTTTATTCTATCTCATTGCATTCGTTTTTTCTCCTCGTCCAGGCAGGTTACACTGTTGTTCCATTCATTCATTCCAATTGTCTTTTCATTTTCAAAAAGTATATGAGAGAATCTGGAGAATGAAATGATTTTTTGGACTCATTTCATATTGGTTTTATTTCATTTTTATCAAATAACATGTTCATTTGAACAACGATCGGATTGTGTGAAATATTGTGAACATTTGGATACAAGTGGAGAATTTGGAAATTGTTTGACAAGTTGTTCAAGAACTCCAAGAAGTGATTATTATAATGATAATTGTGAGTTTGGAAAATTTGGGATTCGAACTTTTCCGAAATCGGGCTGAAATGTTTTTATAGGCTGAATTCTTAGGATCTCTAGAGTCTAGATTATTTTCCCTAGTTTTGTAATACAAAATTTAAAAATTCGAAAACTTACTATTTTTTGAACTTCAGTTTTCAGAGAAAATGATTTTTTTCAGAAAATAAAATTCGGGAGAAACATTTCAGAACATTTTAAAAAAAGTGGTATTTTCTTTGTAATTTTGAAAATAGTTTTTTTCCAAAAATTTTCAAAGTCATAAATGTTCTGATCAATTTTTCACTCCGAGTCAATTATTAAAGTATGTAACTCCCAGGTTTTAATCTGAATTCAGTTTTTCAAAATAACTTTCCTCAAAGGTGCTTACAGTAGATTTTTCCTAGTTTTTAGATTTTGTAGATCAAGGCGGAAACAACATAAAACATCTTGCCTTTAGTTTTTAAATTAGAAAAGTTTTAAGCAATACTGTACTCCCAGCCAATTTTTTAAAAGTATGTAAAGTTCCTAGGTTTAATGTTAGCCTAAATTTAGTTTTCCCAAAAATATTCCGAATTTTTTCAGATTCCTAACAGTTACAACCATTTTTTGTTTTTATTTGTTCTTTTTCAATAAATTTTTCTGAAAAAAAATGTGTTTTTGATTGGAAAAAAAGTCGGGAAAAATGATCAAAAAATGGTGAAAAATTGGTGGGAAAAAGTTCAAAAATTGACAAAAAAGGGTGAAAAAAATGGTGCATTTTTGATCAATTTTTGTTCAAATTTTTTTTGGCCAAAAATTGGTCAATTTTTGGTCAACCTCCCAGGACCAGTGCTACACTTCACAAAAAGATCTGTGCCGTCTTCGTCAACTTTGCATCCCACATAATATCCATAAACATTTGAAACATTGTTTTCCAAAAAATGCGCGATCGATCGAACTTTTTCTTCATTCGTGTTCTTATTGTTAGCAAAATGAAAAAAGAAGTAAGGATGATATTCAATGTTAGGCTTTAGTTTCTGAAAAAATTAGAAAAATAGTGTAATATGAAATTCTGACAAGGATTCGAAACTTGTATGAAAACTCTCATTTTTTGAACGATCTCGAGTTCAGTAATACTTTTTTACAAACATACGGTGGGGAAAAAATGGGGAAGTTCGTAACTGAATTGTATTTCCTTTTTTAAGGGACGTTTTTTGTAAACGTGAAAAAGCTGTCGGACAAAAAAAGTCGAAATTTTCAAATGGGCTAATTTTTTTATTTGACAGCTACAGTACCCAGGACAAAAATCCACACAAAATTTTGATTACAAAATTTCGGGGGTACTGCATGCGCCTTTGAATGCACACAGTGAAAAACTTCCCATAAGCGCGCGCACACATACACCATCGTTTTCCTCTCGTAAAAACAATCATTTTTGCTTTTTTAATCATGAAAAAAGGTTAACTCTAACATAAGTTCCGATTGATCTACGAAATTTCACTGTGTGCATTCAAAGGCGCATACAGTACCCCCGAAATTTTTTAGTCAAAATTTTGTGTGGATTTTTGTCCTGGGTACTGTAGCTGCCAAATGAAAAAAAATAGCCCATTTGAAGACCTGAAATTTTTGTCCGAGATGCCTATCAAACATTTTCGCTCTTACAAAATACGTCTCTTAAGCTGTGAAACTCACCATCAAAGAATCCTCGTTTTTCTCATAAATTTCCGGATTTAAACTAATAATCGTATCATAAGTGAATTTGATTGCTTCAAAAATATCATCAATATTTTTAAGCCATTCAATCATAACGAATGTATAGTTGACATTAACCAATTGCAATATTATGAAATTCCAACCATCAACAACAATTTCAAAAAACTGAGGATTATATGCAGCAAGAAGATCAATAGACATCTGATTGATTGATTTTCCGGAATAGGTTAATCTCTCAATCGATTTACAGCAAATAATTTTCTTCAAAATTTCCAATGGAATTTCATCTTCTTCTACAATCATTCTTAATTCTTTGCACTTTGCATTTTTGAAATAATAATTCCATTGATCAAATGGAATAGTTCTTGTCAATTCAATTGTTCTTTTGAATGGAAGTATTCTTATCCATGGAACTTTAACGAAAATTGTTATTTCTAATCGAAGTTCCTTATTTTTGTTATAATACACTTTGGCATTACATTTTGGACCAGAAATCATCCAACGTTCTAATTCATGGGCATCAAATAGAAACTTTGATGAGTTTTTCAAATTTTGAACATCTTCGTATTCAAGCTGAAAAACATTTCAATTGGAAATGAAATCTTCTAAAAGCTTACCTTTTGAAAAATGGCTCCAAGAACTTCGAATGGCAATTTTTGAATCGGAGGTTCTTCTTTTTCTTCTTCAATTCGTCTGGCAAATGGATTGGTAAAAAAGCTTAGATATTTGTGGAGGATCAAGAAAATGACCAACATCAAAGAACGGTTGCAATAAATAATGTTTTTGCACACAGAAATGGAATGATTGGTTTGTGGTAGAATACACCAAGCGAGAGTGGCACGCTCAGATATTATCACCCATTATTGAGCATGTGCATTGTTCCCAAGATAATGTTGTAGTGTTTTGGGAAAACACACACATCAGCTATTGAACTTCTGGTGGGGATCAGCAAATTGAGAAATCAACAGTGAAAGATAAAAATAAAGTACAATTTCTAGATTTAGAAATTATAAATTCTAGAGAAGACCTTCATACTAGACTATACAATAAAACAGACGATTACACATTCGAGATAGTACGATACCCTAAAGCTAAAAGTTATATGCCCGAAAGAATCGCAATAAATACAATATACACCGAACTTCTCCGAATATTTGACACATGCACTTACTATTATGATGCTTTACCTAGAATTAAAGCTCTAATTACTCAATTTGTAAAAAATGGATTTCAACAACCATTTACAGAACAACAAACTGTTAAATATTTCCATAAAATCAACATTCATAAAAAATACCGATTTGATCTTAAAAATAATCTATGCTAAAATTCTACCACATTTGTTTTTTTGTTTGTTTCTTTGTTTTTGTTTCCTCATTCTATCAATAATTTCCTTCTATAAAATATATTATTTTGAATATAGTTCTCCCTCCTCTCACTAATCTTCTCTTCATTCTCCTCACTCTCTCATCTACTCTTCCTCTCTAACATATCGTCTCCCTCCACTCTACATGTTTTCACAAATAGTTTTATTTATACACCTTTTAACTTTTCTTATTATTTTTTCTTATCTTGGCGCGTAGGATAGGTTTAGAACTAATACTTAAGGTCCAGCAAAGAGGCATCACTGATGAGACCTACCTCTTCGCCGTCTGATGTTCAGGTCGAAACGGCTTTACCGCGTATCTATATTCTTTTAATTTCTTCTTTTTCTTATGTGATAAAGATAATGAAGCCTAACCACAAGAATTTCTAATTATTACATCCATGAAATCAAGATTTGAGGTTTTTTTCAACAAATTATGGCTCTATCTCAATATCAGGGTCCCATGGAAATATAAGGGTCCGTAATTTTGTTTAAGGGTCCAACAAGAATCGCAACTTTTCCTTCGACAGATCCAACCAAAGAAAAATCGGCTGCAGAGCTCCAGTCTGAGCCACGCAACTGAGCTCCAAAGCAAAATCTTATCACAAAAATTTGGGAAAAACGTTTTGAAACTCAAAATTCCTACTCAAATCTTCATTTTTCTGGTGCATCGACATTTCGATGATTTTGGCTGAAGCAATCCGTCGAACCCATAATGGCGAATCTGTTTTTTTGTTGATTTTTCCATTTTCATCCCGTTTTCCCGTTTCCCCGTTATTTCTTCCCATTTCCCCAGGTTTATTTGTTTTTTTTGTCGTTGTTTTAATTTAGTTGTGACGGTCCCCCAACTCCTTTTTCACAATAGTTCATTTTTTTATTTCTGTGTTCAAAATAAATCGATTTTATATTTTTAACTTCTTGATGCACCAACAACTGCTCTCTCTGAATCTCTCTGGGTTTTATTATATCTCTTTGCATTCGTTTTTTCTCCCCGTCCAGGCAGGTTACACTGTTGTTCCATTCATTCATTCCAATTGTCTTTTCATTTTCAAAAAGTATATGAGAGAATCTGGAGAATGAAATGATTTTTTGGACTCATTTCATATTTGTTTTACTGGGTTTCTATAAATTTGTGGAGTCATTTGAACAACGATCGGATTGTGTGAAATATTGTGAACATTTGGATACAAGTGGAGAATTTGGAAATTGTTTGACAAGTTGTTCAAGAACTCCAAGAAGTGATTATTATAATGATAATTGTGAGTTCGGGAAATATGGAACTATTTCAGAAATCGGGCTGAAATATTTGTTTATAGACTTATGTTAATTTTCAGAATCTCTAGAGTCTAGATTATTTTCCCTAGTTTTGTAATTTAAAATTAAAAAATATTTCAAAAAAAGCGGTATTTTCTTTGTAATTTTTAAAATAGTTTTTTCCAAAAATTTTTGAAATCATAAAAAATCTGATCAATTTTTCACACCGAGTCAATTGTTAAAGTCTATAAAATTTTCAGGATTAAATCTGAATTCAGTTTTGCAAAATAACTTTCTTTAAAGGCGCATACAGTAGTTTTCCCTAGCTTCTAGATTTTGTAGATCAAGGCGGTCAATTTAAGTATAAACATCTTGCCTTTAATTTTCAAATTAGAAAAGTTTTGAGCAATACTGTGCTCCCAGCCATTTTTTTCAAAATTCTGTCAAGTTCCTAGGTTTTATGTTAAATTTAGTTTTCCCAAAAATATTCCGAATTTTTGCAAAAAAGTGTAGCATTCTTATAATTTTTTTCAAAATAAGTTTATTTTGAGAATCAAACTTTTGGAATCATTTTTCGGAATTTTCAATTTCGAAATATTATTTTAACGGAAACTTCTGGTGAATTACGTTGTCACAAGAAGATCAAATTTTGAAAAGTTTTCTGAATTCATATTTTCTGAAAGACATTGTTCCAAAATTATTTTTGATAATTTTCCAAAGTTTTGAAGTTTGGGATCAACTTTGTGTCTGATCCTGAAAAATTGAACATTCTAGACACCTCTAGGATTTTAAGGCTCGTCTACTTGCCAATTAGAATGAGCTCTCAAAGCACACGGCTGAACTTAAAAGTTCAGAATAAAAAATTTAGAGTACAATTTCAAACCACATCGATGAAAAATTGACAGAAGCTTTTGAATTAGGCGCAACAAAAACATTTTTTTTTCCAAAAAAAAATCTGAAGTCAAATCCCATATTAATAATCATAGATCAAGTAAAATGTAGATGTTTATTTATCTCTATGTCCCTCTTTTTTGTCCACCAAACAGTTGTCAAATAAGATGAGATGTGATTTTTCTTGTCCTCATTTATCTTTTATTTTTCCAGTATTCGCCTCTCCCCCTTTCGATGTTCAAATTGAAACAAAAATCGAAAATGTTGATGGAATTATGTTGGAAACACATTTTAAATGGAAAGCTGATGAACGAGATTCTCGTCGAACTGGCTTTTCAATCCGATACACAGCATTGAATGAAACCTGCCAGAAAAATTTTCCAGGATTTTTCACCTCTTCAATTTCCTCAACTGAAAGATCATTCAAAATTCCAGCTGTTTTCAATGGTCATTCTCTAATTATCGATTTTCTATGCACATATCAATTACAAATTCGATCAATACCGTATCCATCCTATAATAACAATAACAATGATTATATAATTGGAGTAAATCATACTGTAGGTGAATGTATTGGAGAGTACTGTATGTGTAAACCGGAGAAAATGGATGAAATCAAGGAAATAAAAATTGAAGAAATCTCAAAACAAAATTATGAATTATCTTGGAAAATCGAGAAATCAGCCAATCTATCATATTCATTTTATGTAGATGTTTTTGAGGAAATCGAATCACCTTTGGAAAAACTTCGCGAAAATCATAACAAAGAGAAAGACTACACTTATGAAATTGCGAATGAAGAACCAATTAAAATATTAGAAGAAGAATCAAAGATTGGAGAATCTTCCACGCATAAATTCATTCTTCCTTTTCCATTTGAGCCAACAAAACACTATAAAATCGGGATTTTTGGGCTGAGCAACAAATTTTGCCCGACAAATGAGATTTTTTATTTTTTCAATCCTATTTCATTGAATATCAGTGTGGTCGAAAAAATTGTGGAAAATGTGGAAATTGAAAAGAAAAATGCGACAATTTCGAATGTTTTGAAGACTTCAGCGATTCAAGATCGGAATAATAACATATTTCTGGAGTCGACCGCTTTTTTCGTGTTTTTCATTTTGGTTGCCTGTATGAGCCCATTGTGCACGGCGTTTATTCTGTTCCTTTGGAAAAGGTAGGTCAAAGGTCATGGGTACTGTACCGTTTGAAAACACGACAAAAAAAAATCGAAAAAAAAAATGAAAAAAATGCAACGGAATCTTCAATTTAAGATCGTCATTTTAAGAATTCGAATGTCTCTTTTTACCGCTCTTAAAACTGAGCGGAATCGCGGAGCGTCGTTGTTTTCGCGAAAATACCATGTTATGGGGCATTTTTCATAGATACTGAGCAAAAAGGGTTTTTCACTGCCTAGAACTATCAGAAAAAAATTAACTCATGATTTTTTTGGTCCAAAAATGTTGGTGGTCTTTTTTTTTAAAAAAAACTCTCCCCATTTCAGACGAAGCTCCAAGAAAAAACTCGAGACTCGTTTTCTGAATCGTCGATCGATTTCATGCTCTCGACACAGTATTATGGAGACAAATATATTATATCGATCACCACAGGATATCAATGGAGCAGCGAATGCTGAATGGAAAATCAGAGGGCAGGATATTGCTGTTGGAACTGTTATTGGTGGGTTGTTTTGGGGCAGGACTGATAGGATTTAGGATTTCCAGGCTTGGCTACTTGCCAGAGTGAATCTCTAGACGCTGGTTCTAGACAATTAGATAGTTTAGGCGAGGCTCCTTAAGAACTAGGGTTTCTAGGTGCTGACCCTTGGAAGTTCAAGTTTCTAGGCGCGGCTACTTGACGTATGAGCGAATCCTTGCCACAGTGAATCTATAGATATGGGTCTTAGATGATTAGGTTCTTTGTGCGCAGCTCCTTGAGAGCTAGGATGTCTAGGCGTCGACCCTTGAAAATTCAATTTTCTAGACACTGAAAAAAAATTAAAACCCGAAATTTTCGAAAACAATTTTTTGCGTGAGATTTTCACGTACGTCATTTCTCAAAGTTATAATTCATTTCATTTTTTTCTTAGGCGAGGGAGCATTCGGTTTGGTTTTCAAAGGAATTCTTCGCGGACCAAATGGACAAGTTGTTCGAGTTGCTGTCAAACAATTAAAAGCAAATGCTCTCGATGAAGAAAAAGAGGAATTTGTGCATGAAATTCAAATGATGCAAACTGTTGGACAACATGAGAATATAGTTACAATGTATGGATATTGTATGGATGATAGTTTGCAATGTATGATTATGGAATATGTGCCATTTGGAGATTTGAAACATTATTTGCAAAATTATCGAAAAGAGGTTTCTCCTAATATTAATTTTTCCTAATAATTTTCAAATATTTTTGTTTTCAGCTAGTTTCATCAAATCCTGAGGACACAAATGATGAAAAATTGGGCTTGGATTTAAATGAACTTCAATCATTCGCTCAACAAATAGCAAGAGGAATGGCACATTTAGAATCGCGAGGAATAATTCATCGAGATTTGGCAGCGCGCAATATCCTAGTCGGAACTGGCAAAATTTTGAAAATTTCGGATTTTGGAATGTCTCGCCCGGGTGTTTATGTTAAAACAAGTCGCGGTGTTATTCCACTTCGTTGGCTGAGCCCTGAAGCAATTAAAGATAATACTTATTCATCGAAAAGTGATGTTTGGGCATATGGAGTTCTTCTTTGGGAAATTGCAACACTTGGTGGTTTTCCTTATAATAATATAGCGGATAAGGATATTTATGCGCATTTGAGTGAAGCGAATCGATTGGAAAAACCTGTCAAATGTTCGGATGAAATGTGAGTTGAATTAGAACACTGTTTTAAGTATACCGAAAATAAAAAAATTAAAATTCAGATACGATCTAATGAAATCATGTTGGGCGATTGACTTCAACGACAGACCATCGTTTTTCGCAATTTGTCAACATTTTGATAAAAAATCTGATAATTCATCGATAGTTTGATATTCTGCTCAAAGTTCAAATTCAATATGTGATATTTGTTATTTTTTACGGTGTCTTGTACATAATTCATAAATATTTGGAACAAATTTTTTCGACAAAACAAACAATAAAAAATAACAGCGGACAAGAGACAAATGAAATTAATGAAAACCCAATCCATTACCTTTTCCCATATGTGTTGTTTCTCGTGCAATTGCATATTGTCTTTCCAAATCTGACAATAGTTTCGTCTGTTTTTCGCGCTCATCACTTCCATTACTCTCGTTTGCTTTTGGCGCATTTTTGACTCCCATAAGACGCATGAATTTACTTGCTTGTGATTGATCAACACCAGTTGCAGCAATAGCTGATGACCAGAGTTTCTCGTTTTTTGCGACAGAAGTGGAAGAAGATGGAGTTGCATCGGTTTCTTTTGTTGATTCCTCAGTTTTTGGTTTGTTTCCCCAAAGTGCTTTGCGTTGAGCTTTGATCTCTTCTTGACTTAAACGATTTCTGGAAAAATATACTTGATTGATTTTCGTGTCTCAGAGATTCCTTATATTAAAAAACTCACTTATCATTTTGCTCCCTATTTCGATCTCTATCTCTTCTATCATATTCTCTATGACGATCTGCTCGATCTCTGTCTCGTCTTCTATTATCATCCCGATCTCTATCGCCTCTTTCATACTTGTTTCCTCGATGTTCTCGTTCTTTCTCCTGAAAATAAATAAATATATATATAGTTTCGTACCATGTGCTTAAAAAGTTAAAAAAAAACTTACCCGATGTTTGTCCTCTCTTGGTGATCTATCACGATTTTTCTTCTCCTCTCGATGCTTTTTCTTTTCTTCTCTCCGATGTTCATGATTTTTTTCTTCTCTACAATGGGAAGCTGCATAGTTTCAGATTAGCATTATTATCAAGAAATCTTGATATCAAAGTTTTCCCTCCCATTAGGCTGACAAAAAGGCAGAATTTCTAAATTTCAAAATTATGCATTTAAAAGTATCTATTTATTATGAGAATTGACGTGAAGTGTAAAAATGTATATCATTTCTAAAAATTCAATTTTTGCCAGCCAACCTCACTCCCCACTGAAAACCACTGTACCTCGAATCTTTCTCGTCGTCACTGCTATCAAACTTCGTGTGCTTCCCCATTTTGATTGTTTTTAGATTGGCAGCGTCTTCGAGCAAAAAAAAAGAAAACAAAAAAAAAAGAAATGTCGGCGAGTCTAATGCACAGTACGCGATTTATCAGATTTTCTGCAAACACCGTTGTCAACCGTATGCAAACATGAGATTTTTTTCTTTCCAACGCAAGTATTTATTTTTGCCACAGCTTATCTTTGTGAAAAACAAAAAAGTGTCTTTCAGATGCTACATGTTTATGGGAGAAAAGTATTGAAGAATGTTTTGGAAACAGCGGTTCGAAGCAATTCAACTGGACATAAATTTAAAAGTGAGTTTTTCTTCGTTGTTTTTTATTAATTCAGAAAAAATATAAAATTATAGCCAATGAGGTAACCAAGGAGAATACGACATATGTGAATATGGAAAGAGTTGGAGATAGTGTTGGTCCACGAAAAGACGGCGAATTTTGCTCACTTTGCACATGTAATTTACCAGTTAAAGTGAGCTACAAAGATGTGCTTATACTGGAACAATTTATGCGAGAAGATGGAACTGTATTACCTCGACAATTGACTGGATTATGCAAAACACAACAATTACGGGTTGAAAGATGTGTTATGCAAGCATTTTGGTCAGGTCTTTTTGGTGATAAATTTGGAAATGAAGCAGATCGAGCAGGTTATAAAAGATTCAATAGGTAAATAGTGACGTCACAGTTTTCATTATTCAAAATGTTCATTTTTTCTTTAGGTATTGGAAAAATGATATGTCAATGTATCAATTAGAAAAGAAAGAGAAAGATGGAACATGGTATTACATCAAACGATATCCAACCAAAAATCAACAATTGTTTAAAAATCCTCTAAATTAATTCAGATTTTTTTCTAGGTTTAGTTTGTTATTAAAGTTATTTGTTTTTTTTCTTTACTTATTCTTATTCTTTTTAAATATTCGTCTCAAAGCGAATTATATTATCTATTATTTTTTCAAAATCTTAACTTATTTTATTCCTTTTGTTTCAGATAACAAATGTCATTATAATGGAAAAAAGGGTTTTTGTGTGGCTGTATATATTTTCGCTGGGAACTTGCTCTTTAAATGATTCCAGTGTTATTGTCACAGAATCATCATGTCCGATGGTTTCGACATGTGCTTGTATAAATGAGGATATACGATTTATTCAGTGTCATTCAATCGGACATGAAACATTGAAAGAAATCGAGAAAATATATGGGAAAAACATTGAAACGCTAGAAATTGAAAAATGGGAAGAATCTTTCATTGATTTCAATAATTTCACACAGTTTTCAAAGTTGCGAGAACTACAAATATTCAGTGAGTTTTTAAATTCAATTTTCATCATAAACAATCTCTTTTTTCATAGACAGTGAAATTGAGAACATTTTCATTAATTCAAGTATCAATTCTTTGGAGAAACTTGAATTAGAAAATGATGAAATTGAAAACGATGAAATAATTTGTAATCTACTCGATTTTCTTCCAAATCTCGCATATTTATCGCTCACCAACAATTATTTGAAGAAGTTTGATTGTTTCAAAAGTGCACTCAAACTAAAAACATTGAAATTGCGGAAGAATTCAATTGAATTTGTTGATTTGCCAGATTCACTCGAAAATCTCGATATTTCGTTCAATTCTTTGACAAATATAGAAAATATTGCGAAAAACAAGAAATTAGTCGAATTGGATTTGTCATTTAATAGAATAAATGAATGGAATGCTGAATTGGAACTTCCAAAATTGAAAATATTGAATATTTCTGGTTTGAGAATCAAGAAAGGTTTTGGATTATATGCACCAAGATTAGAAGAACTTATAATGAATCAATCGATTTTGAGATATCTGAACTTCTATAAAATTCGAACTGAAAATCTCAAAAGATTCTCCGCTACAAAATCGATATATCTCGAATCAGTTGCCGGACGAATTCCAGCGAAACTTGAAAATATGACGATGACCGACACTCAAATTATGAATCTTCCAGTTAATTTTTTCGAGAAAAAACAACTCAAACTACTTTTTTCGTCTTCAAATATTCAGTGTGAACCGTGTGTTTTGAAATGGTCTTTGCCAGTTTTTGATCAAATCGATCTTCGGAAAATTTGTAATTTGACAATGTAAGGTTTTTTTTTTCAAAAAAAAAGTTCAGGTTTCAATATTTTTCAGGAAAGATATAAAAATAGCAAATTGTTCAATTGGAATTGGGAAATCACCAATTATTTATGGCAAATATTCAGATGATACCCTTCTTCGATGTTTTTACTACGGTGATCCAATTCCAAAAATAACATGGTATCGATATCGACCAAGTGAATTACTTGGAACATATGATCCTGATCAAAATATTATTGATTATTCAAATGTTACAAATTCTTCACTACAAAGTTATTCAATTATTGATGGCGGACATTTATTAATTCGAAATCCAAATCGAAGTCATATTGAAAGATATGTTTGTGTAGCTGAAAATCAACATGGAAAAGTTCATGAAATTATCAATTTCAGGTAATTACAATTTGAAGAATTTGTCCCAAAAACTCTCCCAATTTTTTCTTTAGACTTGATTATTCTGATTGGTATTCTTTCGATGTTTTTCATTCAGTATTTTATGGTGGTTTGGCAACTTCATTAATTGTTTGTTTTGTATCATTCCTTTTGAATATCACATGGATTTTGACGAGAAAATCGGCACTTTGGTGGATTCAAAGAGCTGAACGATTATCAAGAGTTCGTAAAATGGTTGAAGCGATGGAAAAATATCGAGTTCGTCAAATGGAATCGCTTCATGAAAAATATACGAAACGTGTTCAAATTGTTCGAGACAATTATCATCAACAAGTTGAAGCACTGCGAGTCTCATATACGTCACAATCCGAAAAATTCCGAGATTATCGAGCTGCACAACTTGAAACTGTTAGTTCGCATCTGGAATCGATGAGAGATAATTATAATACACAATTAGCGAGAGTTCGAGAATATGGTGCTAAAAGAGCGGATACATTGTGGGATAGTTATGAGAAACAAGTGAATCGAATGAGAACATTCAGTTTGCAACATCGATTGAAATTGATGAGACAATATAAAGTGAAACAGCGATATTTGAATAAACTTTTGGAATCATTTCAAGCAATGTCACCAGAACAACGATTGGAGCATGTATGTTTTTTTTTTGAAAAAATAATTTTGTTTTTTGGAAAAATATTAAATAATTTCAGGAAGATAAAATCCGAGAAGCTCTTGATATTCCAAATGATCCGATAGATATCGATTCAGCTGGTGGTTCTCGATTATCTCGTTCATCATCTTTCCATTCTCTTCCCGAATATTTGATTGATGAAAGAGGAAATATTCAACCTGGAATACCTCCTTCTTCCCAAACAATTCGTTTTTCAAATATTCAACCACTTCAATCGCCTTCTTCATCTTCAACTCCATTACACAATCAACCATCAACTTCATCTTCTTCTCCAAAGCCATAAACTTTAGATTATTATTCCGGGTTTCCTGAGGGAAATATCTACAAAACTATTAGTTTTATCATCGTTGTGAATTATACGGTATTATTGTACTTATTTATCAATGTGATGTTTTTTTTGAATAGTTCTCACTGTTTACAGATTTAAGAATAAATAATCATTTTAAGAATTAGTTTATTCTTCTTGTAAATAAAATTTCAGATTATAATCTAGATTTTTCGAAGAATTTGGGCGATTTCAAAACAAAAGAAACATTGCTGTATTTTTTGTGTGGGTCTCGCGACGATTGCAAGGTTGCATACGGTACTTCGAATTTTATTTTCATTTTCACTTTTTTTCGCGGAAGTTATCTTGTTTTGAACATGGAACCAGTTCAGAAAAAACAAAAGATATGTACGGAAGATGCGAGCAAGTTACCAGAGGTATTCTTTTGATTTTTCAATTTGCTTTTCCCCTTTTTTCCCTTAATATAAAACTTTTAGGAAAAGCAAACTGGTTGGGATGATTTGCCGTATGAATTAAGAAGAATAATTGTTGAAGAGATGGAATTCGAAACGATTTTCAAATTTGCTCAATGTTCAAATCTTTGTTATTCAGATGCAATTCAATCGCCCAAATATATGCATGGAATTGAAATCATCACTGAAAAAAGAAAATTGGTTACTTTCGAAATTTCACACGCAAAAGATGGTCGAGAATGCTCAATCACTTTCAAAACTTCTGGAACAAACACGATTGTTTCTTATTAGTAGGTTGAATATAATGAATTATATTGAAATATTAAAATAAAGCAAATTTTCAGTCGTCGAGGATTCAAAGATCAAATGTTGTTGAAATGGCAAGAGACTAAGAAAGGACAGAAATCGAAAATAGCTGGAAAGTTCTTGTTCGATTATTTGAATAAATTCGAGAAGAATTTGAAAGTGTTCAAAGCCAAAGGGGTAATAGTTTCATTACAATTTCCATAAATTTTGATATGTTTTAGGATGAGTTTATTTTCGAAAATTTGACTTTGTCGCGTGCTATTAGATTGGAAACATTTGAGTTTCTTGTTGAAGCTCATCAAAATATCATCAAAAACCGGTTTATCACTCTTGATTTGGTGAGTTTTGTTTTTTCTAGATAGAGACACATTATTCAATATTATCATTTCAGTTATGTAGAATTCGCAACTCTGTCAAACTTCATCTTCCGCTTACATTCAAGCAAGCGATTCAATTGAAATGCAAGAAACTTTGCCTCAAGCCAATGTGTTTTTCATTCGAAGATTTGAACAAATTCTTTCAATTGTGGTCGAATGGTGAAGTTCATGAAAATTTCGCTAAAATGCAATTGGTTAGAAATCCGGAAGTTCCATACGACTTTGAGAAACTATTAATCGATGTGAATGCTATCGATTTCCAAGAAAAGCGACTCAAATAGTAAGTTCAACTTTAAATTCCAATGCTGATAATGATAATAAAAATTTAAGCTACACATTCAAATTGGTCAATTCAAACGATCAAAACAAATATTTGAAAGTTCGTTTATTGTATGCCTCGGTTTTGATGAAAGTTTTCGATAAAACATCGGATTCAGATGATCAGCCATCAAGAGAATGGTGGGAGGATGAATACTTTGACGAATCAGATATTGAATTCGAAGGATTCTAAGTTAATTTTTTGTTGTTGAATTTTAATAATAAATCTTTTATATTTATAGAAAATCAATTCCAATTACTAAAAGAATGGTAACTTCCGAAAACTACTTTTTATCTGATATAAATATTTGCCAAACCAAATTTGATTAAAAATTTTATTCATTGCGTCAATTGTTGGATGATTGACGTTTTTGTGTGACAGGCTGTTGGCGCATTTTCCGCGCAAAAAATGATGAAATTTTCAGGTTTTGATTGTTAAAAGTAGTAATAAGTCTTATTAATTGTTATCATTCGTATCGAATAATATAAAATCATTGAAAATTTACAGAATGTTACGTCGTGGTTTAGCTAGTTTGTCTGGAATCGCTCAAAATTCATTGAAATCACAAAGATGTGTTAGCGTTAGTGCACAATGTTTTAGTGCTACAACAGCCGAATCAGCAGAATCTCAAAGTTATTCGATTAGAAAGGATGGAAAAAGACTTAAAGGATCGGAATATGAAGAAATTGTTGTTGGTTCAATTGAAGGAGAAAATAAATCTCAAGTTCCAAAAAGTGCACTTGATGTTTTATTGAAAGAATATGATGAGTTGATTGCTGAAAGCTCAGATAATTTGGTTAGTTTTTTTTATTGAAAAACTATAAGGAAATCATTAAATTTAGGACAAATATAAAAGATCGCTTGCTGAAACCGAAAATGTTCGTAGAAGAGGATTGAAACAAACTGAAGATGCCAAAGTGTTCGCAATTCAAGGTTTTTGTAAAGATTTGCTTGAAGTATCGGATATTTTGGATATTGCTGTCAAATCAGTTAAACCTGAAGAAATTGAACAAGGAGGCAAATCTTTCAAAGATCTTTATGAAGGAGTTTCAATGACAAGAACTGTTTTATTGAAAGTTTTCGAGAAACATGGATTGAAAACTGTTGATCCTACAAATGAGAAATTCGATCCAAATTTACACGAGGCAGTTTTCCAAATTCCATCGGCAAATGTATGTTTTTCCTCACCTAATTTTAATATTGATTATATTTTTAAGGCCAAACAACCTGTTGGACATATTGAGGTTTGTACAAAAATTGGATATAACCTCAAAGATCGCCCAATTCGTCCAGCTCAAGTTGGCGTTGTTTCTCAATAAATTCTATCATTTTCCAAGATAATTTAGGCTTTTTTGTTTAAGTTTTTTTTCTTCACTTATACCCATTTTCTGTTACCTTCTTTTGTTTTTTTTTCAAATTTCGTTAGAATAGAGTTTTACAAATTATTTATCTTCTATTTTTTTTAATTTGTTTATCGGGTTCAATTAACCCTGGAATACTTGATTAATTGTGAGAAAATACGTTAATTTCAATTATTTCAGAACAAATGATCGATTTAGCTGAAAAACAACAAAATAATGATATTTTACGAGTTCAAGTTTGTGACGAAGGAGAACTAGAGAAAAGCACTGTCTATAGCTATGGGTAAGCATTTTTTATAATTTTATTGAAGTTTTGTGGAATTTTTCAGAAGTCGGAGAATAGATCCTGAACAATGGATTACTTGGGCGACTGAATGCAAATATTTACCCGAAGCAGATGCAATTGCACTTTGTAGTGTGTAAGTATTCTCGAATGGCTGAAATTTAGGTTAATTTCTAATTTTCAGACTCATAGATAGATTGTCAATGGAACCAAATGTTGTGCCAGTTTCATCACCAGTCACAATATGTGGAGATATTCACGGACAGTTTTATGATTTGCTCGAATTGTTCAAAACCGGTGGAACAGTTCCAAATACAAAATATGTTTTCATGGGTGATTATGTTGATCGTGGTCATTATAGCCTTGAAACAGTTACTCTACTTTTTTGTCTTCTTCTCAAATATCCACAACATATCACACTTTTACGTGGCAATCACGAATCTCGACGAATTTCGAATGTTTATGGTTTCTATGATGAATGTCAAAACAAATATGGACATGGAAGTGTTTATAAATGGTTTTGTAAAGTGTTCGATGTTTTGCCGATTGGTGCGTTAATTGATGATTCGACTTTATGTGTACATGGAGGATTATCACCTGATTTGAAAACTATTGATAGTATGATGTCGTTAGATCGTGCACTTGAAGTGCCAAACAAGGTATTTTTGAAAAATGAAATAGGAAAATCAATCAATATCATTATTATAGGGTCCACTGTGTGATATAATGTGGTCTGATCCAGACGACGAAGTTGATGAATGGGTTATAAGTCAAAGAGGAGCTGGTTATATTTTCGGAGCAAAAGCGACACATCAATTTTTATACAATAATAATTTGGCGTTAATTTGTCGATCACATCAATTAGTCGAAGAAGGTTTCAAATATATGTTCAATGAGAAATTGGCAACTGTTTGGTCAGGTAAATTTTTGCCGGGAATTTTCAAGTTTGAAAAATTTGGAAGAAATTTTCTTTTTGAAAAAAATGATTCTGATTTAGCCCGGCCAAAAATGTATCTGTTTAAAAAAAATAATTTTGGAAAATTCTTAAATTTCAGCTAGAAAACCTGAATTTTAACCCGAAAACTCTAAATTTCAGGTTTTTGGTTCGGATTTTAGGCTTTGCGGAAGGAATAGGATATTTTTATGACTTTCAGGCTTTTTGGATTTTTCTGTGTTTTTGAACGGGGTCATATGACATAGAATCAATAATTTCTTATTTTCAACTAAATATTGGCCAAAAAGCCTGATATCCAGAAAAATATCCTGTTTCTTCCGCAAAAAGCTTGAATTAAACTTGAAATTCAAGTTTTCTGGCTGAAATTTAGCCAATTTAAAGAGAAATTCTGAAAAACTCTTAAATTTCAGCCAGAAAAACTTTAAGACCAAATTCTAAGACCATGTAGAAATTCCATGACCAAATAAAGAGACATTCTGAAAAATTCTTATTTTAAATAGCAAAATCGATTTTCCAGCTCCAAACTATTGTTATCGATGCGGAAATGCGGCAGCGGTTTTCGAAATCGACGGAAATATGCGAATCGCCAAATATTTCAACGCAGTTCCCGATCAAAATCGCGAAAAACCCGATCGAGTTGTGGCTCCATATTTCCTCTAATGATCTCTCTCTTTTTTGTTTCACATGTATTCTTTTTCTCCTGTTTTTCTCTTCTTCCTCAATTCCCAACAATTTCACTTTTTGTTTCATGAAAAAATGGTTCATTTTGAAAACTACGAGAAAAATGGTATATCTACAGAAAGGAAACAAGAAGAAGAAGAAGAGGAGGACCAGTTGAAGACAGAAAACAAAATGGAAATAGAAATGCAACATTTATACAGTAACCCAGGATTGCACGCGGAATGGGAATATAAACAATTTGGTAGCGAATATTTACATGGCTGATGGAGGTGGAGGAGGTGGTGGTTGATCCTAGAATTTGAAATTTTGATAAATTGGAAGATGAGTTAGTTTTTATTGCTTCAGGGCCCTTTTAGTCTCAAAATTATGTCACAGAACCCGATGTTTTGAAAAAGTTCTGAATATGAATATCTTCTAATTCAGATTCAAAACTTCTCAAAATATCTTAAAAATCGTGTCCAATTTGAATTTGTCCAAAACTCACATTCGAAGAAGAAGTTGGTTTCTCCAAAATCGCCTCCTCATTATTTCGTTGTCTCTCCGCTCCAGATCTCATCGAATTCGGTCGCATAAAATACAATCCCATCGCCAAAACTGTCCATAACAAAGTCCACAGCATAATCGTCTGATCACCCGATCCTCCAGCCAAACCATCTGGTAAACATTCCGAATCTGTGCACAAACTTTGAGAGTTTCGGAGCTGCAAAACAGATTTTCTTTGAAGAATTCTCATCTAAATCTTTTGAACTTACAATAGCTAAAAGTCTTTGAACAGCGGCTTCTTGATTGAAAAAACATTCACATGGATCACTCATTTTTTGAACTGAAATAATTTGGAATTTATAAATAAATGAAAAATGTAACGATATTTAATGCAACGTCGACTTGTGAACAGAAAAAAATCGAGCACACGGAAAAAATGAAGAGATGTTAGATGAACAGACAGATTTAGTTGTTGGTGTTGGGGAATTTGGGAACACAGAAACAGATGTTCGATGCGGGAAGGCAAAAAGTATAGGTACTGTACAGGCGAGACATTGAGAGACGGCAGAGAAAATTAGCTGATAAAAAAATGATATTTTTAAAGATACACCGAAAATTTGTCAATTAGTATCATTTTTTCATCAATTCGCCAGACAGCAATATTTATGGGGGAAACTACGAAACTTCCTTTTATTTAGCAAAAAATAGACGAGCGGAAATTATTTACGAAACAAAAAACACTAAAAAACCAAAAAGTCTGGTTTTTTCGATTCCCAAAAAATTCATAAAAATTCAAAATTGATAATAAAATTTTTGATGGCAGCTAGAAAATCGATACGGGCAGGCAGGACAATTCAAAAAACTTTGTTTATTTTCTCGAGTGAACGAGAAAAAAAATGAAAAGTTGTTTAAACAAAATGGATCCAAAAATAAAAGAGGAGATTTTTTGACAAAAAATGAGAATTTTCGAGGAAATGGAAATGATTTTTTGGAGCCGAATATTACGTCAGAAAAATGATTTTTTGAATCGAATTTGAAATTTAGTAGCTAACATAAAAATAGAATTTTCAAAAGCTAGGGTTTTAATCAAAAATACATTTTGAATTTTCTAGAACAATTTTTGGGTACAAAAAATACACCGGTGCCGCCTCAAAAACTTAAATCCAATTTTTACTCCCAGGTGATTAATTAAAAATGCATTTTGCAAGATCGTGAAATGTAGTCATGTTTTGATTATATAAAAAAAATAATTAGACAATTCCCAGGTGATTAATTTGGCAGCAAGAAAGACTTCCAAAAAATTACACAACAATTAATTAACAAGATTTTACAAAAACTCAAGTTATTAGAAAAATAAAAAAACCAGCTGTTTCGATTCATAACAAATCAATACTGCAAAATATTCTTTCTTTTATTTTGTTTATGAACAAAAAGAAGAAGAAGAAAGGAAAGTTCAACGTTGCCGAAAGAGAGAATAGAGACGCAGACACGAAAGTATAGAAAATGTCAGTCGATATAAAACATTGACGCACAATTTACAACAGTACTGTATTTTTTTATTTTTGAATATTTATTTTGTAAATAATTAGCTCCAATTTTTAAAGGTTTGTGATTTTTTTTTTCAAAAAAAGCTATGGCAATCGGATAAATCTGTGAAGCAGAAAGATTTGTTCTTCGATAAAATTTAAAAAAAAAGAACAAAACAAAATAACACAGCATAGCAAAAATAGAAGAAAATAAATACCATAAAAAATCGATAAGATAAATAAGGGGCCATAACATATGTCATGTCTGCGTCTCTTCTCTCTCATCTGGCACACAGCACACATTGTAATGTCCTCCCATCCCACAACAAATCTTATATCTCCAAAACGCCTACACTTTTATTTTTTAAATGTTTCAAAAAAAAATTAATTTAGAAATTTTGCAGAAAAAATGCCGAAGACTGAAAAACGGAAAGAGGAAAGCACCGAAATCGAACATGTCGATCGAAATATTTCCACTTTTTCGCAAATTTCGCATTTGAGTTAGTTTAAATTATTCGAAATGGGTTTAAAAATTTTATTATTGTTTCAGTCGATGCTGAAAATATCACGAGATTAACTTTGAGTCACAATAAATTGACTGCGGTTCCACCAAACATTGCTGATCTCATCAATTTGCATGTGAGTTTTTATTTCAAATTTTTAAAACAAAAATAATAAAAAATCGATTTTTTTGCAGACTTTGAATCTCTGGAATAACAGCATTGAAGAATTGCCACCATCGATTTCAAGTTTGCCAAAACTTCGGATTCTTAATTTAGGGTAAGAGTATTTTTTTTTTGACTGCTGAAATTTAAATTTAAAAAAAAGTCGCGAGGTGGACTTTTTTTCATTTAAGGTTTCCTGAAAATCTAGCCAAAATTTCAAAATTCATTTAACTAAAGCCTGAAATAATTTAACCCAAATGAAAATATTCCGCGAGAAGTCCACACAAAATAGTACCATAGAGCAAACTTGATGATTGTCTCCCAATTTTTTTCAAATCCGATTTTTTCTAGCATGAATCGATTGTCGATTTTGCCACGTGGATTCGGATCCTTTCCAGCGCTCGAAGTTCTCGATTTGACCTACAATAATATCAGCGAACGATCGTTGCCAGGCAACTTTTTCTTTATTCGTAAGTGAAATTTATAATTAATTTTCCAAAAAAATCTGTAAAATTTTTCAGAAACCCTTCGTGCATTATATCTTGGAGATAATGATTTCGAAATGTTGCCAGGAGACGTGGAAAATCTCATAAATTTGCAAATTCTTGTTCTGAGAGAAAATGATTTGTTGACTTTGCCAAAGGAGTTGGGAAAACTCAGCAGATTGAATGAATTGCATATTCAAGGAAATCGATTGACAATGTTGCCAACTGAAATTGGATATTTGGAATTGATTGGGCAAAAAAAGACATTGAGATTAGAGCATAATCCATGGATTCCAGATATTCAGGTGAGAAACTATGTAGATACAGTAACTTATTGGGAAATTTTGTTTGAAAATTGGTAGATCAAAAGTATAGTTCTTCAGCTTCAGGGAAACATACGTGAAATTTTTTGGAACATTCTGTGCTACAGTAATCCAAAAATTGTATGATTCTTAAATTCAGAAAATTTACACGACATGTAATTTACTACTGAATCCTCTAGACTTCAAAATTTTCTGGTTGATCAAAAACAAATTTCTCTAAACCTTGTTTTTCGTTGAACTTTGTCGATCTAGCCTCAAAGATCATGTGGCTACAGTAACCCAAAAATTGTGCATTAGAGCGCTTTTTCTTGTTTTTTGAGGGAAACTTGAATTTTTTCTGAAATTGGAACTTCAAAGGAACATCTCATCACTACAGTAACCCAGAATTTCCTAATTATCTCTTGATCTACAAGTTTAAAATTCCTGAATTCAGAAAATTCACCTACATTCAGAATTAAACTTAATATTAAAAAAAACATAATTTAAAAATATATAATTAAAGTTTCTAGGAACAATTTGATTTGGGAGGCGGTGCAGCAGTTTGGGGCTACATTCGAAGCGAGAAATATAAATATTTGGCATCTCGCCAAGAACCATCTTCAACTCCAGTTCCACCAAAACGCAATAAAGACAAGAAGATCTCGAGAAAAGGAATTCAACAAGCCTAGGAAATATTGTCAAACATCATCGCTTCTAATTCACACAATTCTTTATTAATTACCTAATTGCTGCTACAGTAATCTTTGGGTTACTGTAGCGGCGGATGATGTTTGACACTTAAATATTGTATGTTTGTTGGTGCTACTTATGTATTGAGAGAAAAACATTTATATGTATTTATATATAACAGATTTATTATTAATAAACATATGCTTTAGACACACCCGTTTTAAATTTTAAATTAAATTATGCAAATTAAAGGAGTATCACACACACAAACAGAAATTCAAAAAAAGAGAGAGAGCTACTTGAAAATTGAAAAACACGAAAATACACGACGAAAATGACTTTTCCGCTTCTTTGGTGGAAATGGAAGATGTGTCAAACTTCGAGAGATCGAATCCGAATTTTTAAATGAGCAAAACATTGGATTAATATGGCTTTCGACGGGATGAGAAGGAGAAGAGGAAGATGAAGGTGTTGATTGATTTTGGGAGAAAATGTTGCGAAATGATTGCAGGAATCGATGTTGGTTTGAATCGGATTGGGATGGATATGTTTCCTGAAATAATTTGAAAGTTAAAACTTTTTTGTCGGAAGTTGCTAAACAATATCACAGGGCCTTTTAGAGTTAAATCAAGAGAAATAAAAAAAAATGGAGAAAAAATCCAAAACTTCTGAAAAATTGGATCAACCGGGTTACTGTAGAAAATATGTTTTCTTAAATTTTGTGCTGAAGATATCTGAGAAATTGATAGTTCCATGATTTAGAAAAAGGTTTGGAATTTTTTGGCACAATTTTCTACAGTTTTTTTAAAGGGTTTCTAGACCCAAAGTCTGGAATTTGCTGAAAATTTATTCCGAGAGTTCGAAAAAAACATTTTTTAAATTTCCAAAATATAATTTGAGTTCAAAATGAGCTTTCCCTTATTCCTCCCCAAAAAAGTTCCAAAAATAATTATAGTTTCTAGTTTTCTCTCATCAAAAAAAGTTCCAAAAGGCAAAGCATTAAATGGTTTCCGGTGGGAAAACTGATAAGCAGCCAAAATATTGAGGGCAAAGTCAAACTTACTTGATATTTGTTCAATAATTCTCCAACATCAACAAATCCAACCGAAGATGCTCGACGACTTCGACATGAAATTGAATCATTATCGATTGGTGTCTAGAAAATTTTATTTCAAATTTTTGAAAAAAAAAAACAATCGATAAATAAAACACCTACGGTATCAGTGAGAATTTCGATGCGTTTCAATCGATTTTGCAAATGTATCGGATGTGTTCTTGGTGGAACTTTTGGCGGGCTTTCCGAAGCCATGCTATAGTTTTGTGGTGTTTCGACGACAGCTGAAATTCGCAAAATTCTTCTTAAAATTTGTTGAGGAATGGGGCCATTTCCGGAGAGGCCCGGATGTCTTATCAAAAAATAAATAAGTTTAGAGAGACACTATGAGTTGAGGAGTGCGAAAAGGTAATGTGTATGATAAGATTGGGAAGAATAAAAAATGTATCAATAAAAATTAACCGGTTAATTTTTGGGGTGAATGGCCTAGAATGGTTTTCTCTAGAAACTTGGAAAATATATGTACAAAAATAAATAGAAAATTGACCTTCTCGAAAAAAGATAACAAGATGCACAAACAGTGAAAAATAAAATAAACAAAATATTTTTGAAAACTCATTGAAAATTATGATTTTATAGGAAAAAAATAAGGCTGGAGTTTTATGATGATAAGAAGAGAAAGAAGACAATCACTGAAATAAATAAAAAAAACAAAAACAAATCCAATATCCGGTGTAAAAAAAAGAAATATTGGAATGGGGTTATTTGAAAAAGAAAGTGACCAGATGGAAAGAAAATTCCGGAAATCACTTTATTATTATAATATCTAGAAAATATCTAGAAAATATAAATATTCCACGAGAAAAAAAACATTACAAATGAAATGACAGAAATTCTGAGGAGCTTAGGAGGTATTCTTAAACGGAAAATTGATAAGAAGTGACCGATCACTCAGAGACAACAAAGCACAAAATATTCAGAACACCTACGCAGATCATAAGAGAAATTACTGGATTTTTAATGAGTCAAGTTCTGAAACATGTGATCTACAAATACTTTTTTTGGGAAAAAGCAAATATGGAAGAAAGAAAACTGGTGTGTTGTTTACTTTCGACACATTTTTTATCAAGAATTAGTTGGGTTCATTTTCATGTTAACTAGAAAATTTTGAGAGTTGTAAACAGAAAATTTGAATGTGAAAATGTCTAGTTTGCTCTAGGCATTTTGCAGAGAGAGACGCAGAGAAAAATGGACAGAACCTTCCAGAGAAATTCAAAATATGATTTTGGATTCAAAAAAAGTTTCCCACCCAAAACTTAGGTCTAGGATAAGCTGAAAATTGAGACAACCTAGAGTCTTATCAGAAAATCGACAATTTTTAAAGTGCCTAACAAAAAAGAATCAAACTATTCCCAGCACATGAATAGCAAAGCATTTTTGGTGAAACGTATTCCAACCGGTGGCCTCAAAACGGTCTCAAAACATTGCTTTTGGGAAATTTTCTAAAATTTGTATAAAAAACTGAGAGCAGTTAGATTTGCATTATGAAAAAGCGACTTTTTCATAAGAGTTATGACGTGGAAAGGTTCAAATTTTTTTTGAAAATTTTAGAGGAAACATTTTCTGGAACAGTTTTTTTCCAATTTCATTTGTTGCAAAAAAATGTACAGTTTTCTATTCAGATCTAGATCTTCAAAAAAAATGCGAAACATTTATTGAATTGTGACACCGGTATTAATTGAACACAACAAAAATCGAACAATAAAACTAGAATAAATTATCTGGCAAAGACTGTTTAAAAATATTCCCGTAGCTCAAAAATATGAAAATAAATAAGTGAAAGCAAAAACAAACGTCAATGAATAAATGAGATGAATAGAAGAACAAGGTTCATCGAGATCTGGATCACCAATATAATCTGGAACTACAATTGGAGGCGAACAATTTGAACAAAAATCTGAACATTCTGGACATAAAATACTTCCTTCTCTTAGCCATCCATCAACTAATCTTTTGACATGAACTTTCTGATTTGGCGCGAAACAAGGATACATTTCAGTCGAATTGAAAAATCCAATATAAAGTGTACCATTTTGACAATTATATTCATAACATCCAGCCATATAATGTGTCAATGCTCTTTTCCTTCCACATTTTCTCTCAATCCAAGGATGTGGAAAATCGAAACATTTCGAAGATTCACCATAAACTTCTAGAATATCCTCCCCTTTTTTGTTATTTCCCTCAAGTTCACATCTCGAATCTCTTCGTTCTGTCGAATTATTCATTTTCCATTCAAATTCTTGAGAATATGGACAGAAATCGGCCAATTCAACAGATCCTCCATAATGTTTTGTGCCTTGTGGATGAACACCGGGAAGAGAATCGAAGTTGCGAAATTCTTTTGGTAGCGGTTTTTGGAATGGGACAAGATTGCAAAGAGCAAGAGAGTCACGTTGAGATGTACACCTGGAAATTGAAGATTAGGAAGGTTGATTCAGGAACTTTTGGAACATTTTGATACCCCACAAGCCTAGGGTTACTGTAGGAAAATTGTGCCAAAAGTTCTGAAAATTGGATCAACCGGGTTACTGTAGAAACTATGTTTTTAGACTGAAATTTTGTGCTGAAAATCGTGGAAATGCTGAAAATTGATAGTTCCATGATAAAAAAAAGCGCAAAATTTCAGCCTAGGTTCGGAACTTTTTGGCACAGTTTTCTACAGTACCCAAATTTGGTGCTGAAAATTCTGGAAATTAGTATTTCCACAGTTATCAGTATAGAAAAATTTCAAAAGGTACTGTAGAAAAATTGTACAAAAAGTTCGGAAAAATTGGATCAACCGGGTTACTGTAGAAAATATGTTTTAGACTGAAATTTTGAGATAAAAATCGTGGAAATTCTGAAAATATATGGAAAACTCTTTTTCTGTTGTTTTTACACAAAATTTTCTCAAAATCAACAAAATTTAAATTCTGAGCAAAATCTTAAAATGAATATTCCAGAAATACACCACCTTGTTCCAAAATTTCCAACTCACCGTGTAATAGCCAATGATTTATGTCCATCATGTTTAATATCACTACAAAACGGATACGGATCTCGATTTTCCAATCGTTTCTGATAAATCCATTCGCCACAACTTTTCATCGAAAAATCGCATCCCAAATTCTTTCCCCAATGCAAATCCTCAGCAATCTCATAATTCGGTTTATACCATCCTGAATCTTCCAGCAAAGCTAAAGTGATTCTCGAATAAACTGGATTCTGTGTATGTGTTCCAGTCATCGCCTCATTCTCAAATACCCGTTTTTCCCAATGTGTTAGAATTGTGCCATCGCCTCCTTGATTTTCCAATTCAGCTCCTTCGAGATTCTGACAGCCGAAATGTTTTCGAGCTTCTTCACGGACTTTTGGAGTGACCATCATATGAATTGGATGAGTTACCTGCAAATATTTTTTTGGAAAAAAATTTTCAAATAAATTTTTGTTACCTTTCCCTCTCCAGTCCACCAATTTTCTCGTAAAATTGTATCAATTGTATTTTTATCCCAATCATAATATCCTTTTTCTCTATTCAAAACAACTGGTTTACCATATCGATTCCTAAAAATTTTCTAGGATTACTGTAGATTTGATACACTTTTTTTCTCATTCAAAAAGTGCTTGTTTTGGTTTTTTCTGCACTTTGTTCCTTTTTTTCTCACACACAATCGCTCTTTTTTCTCTCGTTGCCCAAGCATGTCGACCAGATCTGGTCATTTTCTCTCGGTGACAAACGTGCTTCCGTGGCGCAATAGGCAGCGCGTTCGGCTGTTAACCGAAAGGTTGGTGGTTCGAGCCCACCCGGGAGCGAAATTTTTTGATTTTTTTAATTCCAGATTTTAATTTTCTACAGAAAATTGGGGGTATTTGAAAATTTGTTCAACTAACCGTTTTGTCCTCGGATTTCCAGCCTCATCTCGGAAAAACGCATAAAGTCCAACCGAAAAACCAAGCGCGTGTAAAATTTCGTGTTTCACTGTGCTCACAAGAATTTCTTGATCGTGTCGATGAGTTGATAATGCATATGGGCACAGATTAACATGTCCAGCGATCGGTCTATCAAAATCTGCTTCTTGTTGACAATGTGCAGCATATGCTAATGTTTCAGGACCATCGCATCGTTTGGTTTTTATGGCGGTAACATATAGAACAAAATCTGAATCTTGAACACCTTCGCCAATTTCGCCATCCGATTTACAATCGTCAGAATTTGTGCAAGATAAGCAATCCTGAAATTTTAGAATTTCATAAAAATTGAGAAGAAAAAAATAAAAAACATTCCGTCGAGCCGGATTCGAACCAGCGACCTAAGGATACCCACTGACTCTACAGTCCTCCGCTCTACCAACTGAGCTATCGACGGTGTTGAGAAACGCTTGTTCACTTACCAACAAATGTTCGCTGGGCAACACTGCTTCTCCGCATGTCGTTTTTTCTCTACACGATTTGTCGCAAGCCACGTTTTTCATTCCTTGCTTGAAATAATAAGATGAAGACGCACATTTTCTAAAGAAAAGTTTTTTTCAAAAGTTGATCTTTGGTCAAACCTTCTCAATCGAATAGGTGTTAACATCGGTCGAACTCTCAATACCTTCTCCCAATAACCAGCTGCATCTGGCAAAAGGCTACTCTAAAATATTAAAGATGAATTTCAGAAAAAAATTCAGGAAACTCTTACATTCACAAAATTCTGCTTTTCTTGCCCTAATTTTCTCACACTTTCATCATAATGCAAATGTATTCTCAATGGAGCGAACTTGGAAAAAGGTTGAGCGTTTCTTCGAAAACGATTATTTTCATTGTGTTCGACGGGAACCTCGAGAAGTATATCTTCAACTCGTGGACTCTGGAAAATTTAGAATTTTTGAATTAATTTTTGGAAAAAGTTAAGCTTACCTGATAGGAACATGGTAAACTTGAAACAAAACTAAAATATTGAATAACTAGAAATAAATATGATGAATAAATTTGTAACCGGATTATCATTTATACATTTATATATATAATACCTGCAAAAAATAATATTAGGAGGAAAAAATACAAAGGTTAGAGGAGCCTCGAGGGTTCAAGGTCTTTGAAGGCATCAGATAAAAGAGAGGGCGAAATTACACCAAAAACATTGAATAATCATTTTGGCGTGACGATCATATATTTACATAAAGGGTTGGTGTGGGAATAAATAATAAAACTTTTTATATTCGGGTACTGTACTTTGCAAATGTTTTTGTGTGCAATTGTGCGTCGCGGTGTATGTGTGCGCTTTTTGAAATTTTTGAATTGTTTTTTGCGAGGTTTTTAGGATCAACCGGGTTACTGTAGAAAATATGTTTTTAGACTGAAATTCTGTACTGAAAATTGTGGAAATGCTGAAAATATCTGGAAATTGATAGTTCCATTTTTGGCAAAATTTTGCTACAAATAACTTTTTAAAGGGTTTCTAGACTCAAATTTTGTGCTGAAATTTCAGTCTAGAAAATGTTCAAAAGGTACTGTAGAGAATTACGTTTTCGACCAAAAATAAAAAAATGAGAAAAAAAAGATTGCGGAAAATGGGAAAATGGAAAAATCTTGAAAAAATGGAATCTTGTTCTTCTCATTTTTCTCTCTATTTGTGTTGTGTTGTGTAAAATAAGATGGCAAATAAAAGTGTGGTCAAGCAGAGAGAAAAAAATGACCGGATATTTAGCGGTAAAATATATGTAAACTGTGTGAAAAAATATCTATGAGGGCACAACAAAACAATGCGAAAAAGACGGAAGACAAAAATGGGGAATAAGTAGATTATCGCGCATTATTTCGGAACCAAGTCGAGTGTTGAAAATAACAAATACAAATAAGGAACAAAAAGGAATTGAATCAAAAAAAAAGAGGAGAAATGAATAAGAATAGATGGGGTCAAGAGTAAGTATATGAATAATGGAAAAATGGTTGACACTTCAAAAAAAAATGAATAGATCTAGGAGAGGAATATTTGAAACAGTGAGAATAGGAAGAGTGACCTAGTTGGAATGAGTCAAGTCAATTTAATTTCCTGTTATTCTGCGTTGCCTCTGGGTTAATTAATTACTTTAGGATTAGTACTCACAAAATAAAATACATATTGTGAGAGAATTAGGAAAAAAAATATTGTCGAGGAAAAAATTGAGAGAAATATTTTTGATCTACCAAACAAGGTTTTGAGGTCTAGAGATTTTTCCAAAAAAAAAATAGAACTACATTAGGAAATTGAACTTTTGAAGGAGTGGCTCAGGATTTCGTTAAATTTAATTTGAAAGTAGAAAAACCTAAAACTCGGCGAATTAGCGTAAGTCTCAGAAAAAGAATATTTTCGAAAAAAAAACCTGATCTCAAATAGCCTTTGCCCTATAATTTTACAAAAATAAATGAGGTCCACAGTAACATTTTGAATCGATCACAACATTGTTTGGTCCTACTGTAAAAAATTTGAATTTAGAATCCTAAAACTTCTGGCAAACACCACAACGAATAGAAATTAATAGTTGTTTACAATAGAATAAAACACAAATATCTTTTACTTTAGTATCTTTTTTGTATCCAAACATTTACAAGTCAAAACCAACCCGAAAATGTAATTAGTAATGTATGTGTACATAAAGAAACGAAAGGGAAGAAAAGAGCACAGATGAAAGATATTTAACCAACCACAGCCAGCCACAAACAATCTGTTGAGCTTAGCTTATATTTCCCAATTGGATTGTAATCGAAAGAGCAAAAAAAGGATTCCGAAAAGTATCAGATTTCACAAAAATTTTGATTTATTTCATTTTTTTGGTACTCAAAAAAACCCCCGACAAAATGTTTTTTGAAGTATCAAACTAACTCATTTGAAATCCATAAAACGAGATCGAAGAAATCGGAGAAAAGAGAAGAAGAAAAGAAAATTTGACCCGATTTCGGCGAAAAAAAACGAAGACAAGAAAAAAAAAACAGGTTCCGAAAAAGGTTGAAAAAAAAGAATTTCTAAAAAAAAAAAAGAAAAATCGATTTCGAGCCAAAAAAAGAGGTTTAGAGAAATAGAGAAAATTCTTGAACGAGGACAAGAAACTTGTTTTTTTTTGCTTGAAGGCTAACATTTTATTTGAAATTTTTGAAAAAAGGAAGAAAAAGAGAGATCTAAAATTTAAAAATTGTTAAATGGAAATGAAAATGAAAAATAACACTAATACTAAATAAATTTCCGAATTAATTAATTATTCTTCATTTAATTCAATTGATTTTGCGCGTTGTTCAGCGATTTGTGCCTCCCACATTGATGCATAAACTCCATTTATCGACATTAGTTCTTTGTGGCTGAAATGAATTGTTGACAGATTTTCAGACAAATTTAAGCGTTGTTTAGAATTCTGAATAAACCTTTTTCATTTTGACATTCACTTTTTGAAAGATATTTTTTGAAAATTTGAAAACTCGAGAATTTAGGGTTCTTGATTCAATTTAGGTTTCAACAAATTCGGTATTCCAGAATTTTTTGAGATAATTTTTAAACTTTAAAAACTTTTAAAATTTAAAGCCGATTTTCACCCACCTTCCTCTTTCCACAATTTTTCCCTTTTCCAAAACCACAATCAAATTCGCATTAACAACAGTTGATAATCGATGAGCAACAACAACTCCAGTCCTCGATTTACACAATTTCTCCAAACATTTCTGAATTGCTCTTTCAGTTGTTGTATCCAACGCAGAAGTTGCCTCGTCCAGAAATATGAATTGAGGCTTTTTCAAAATTGTTCTCGCAATAGCAACTCGTTGTTTTTCACCTCCAGACAATTTCAAACCTCTTTCACCAACCAATGTTTCATATCCATCAGGTAGTGATATTATTTTGTCATGAATCATTGCTGCTTTTGCTGCTTCATATATCTCTTCGTCAGTTGCATCTGTTCGACCAAATCGAATATTATATCTGACAAAGAACAAATTATTTTTGATAAGAAATATACGACTAATATTACTTGATAGTATCATTGAAAAGTACTGTATCTTGTGGAACTATTCCAATTTGTTTTCTCAATGATTTCATTGTCATTTTTCGAATATCAACTCCATCAAATTCAATATTTCCATCTTGAGCTTCAAATAAACGGAACAGAAGTCGAATCATTGTTGATTTTCCAGATCCAGATGGGCCAACCTGAAAATGAAATAAAATTTTGAATAATTTTCCCAAGTCTGATCATTGAAATTGTGTCTAAATCTCTTGCGGGATCAAACTACAAATAATTTCAGATGAAGCATAGCGAAACTTGGTTTTTTTTTTTGAAAACAACCTGTAGCTTAAGATCACGATAAAAATATTTAATAGATTCCTTTCGATAATTTCTAGAAAACAACAATTTTAATTTGTCACCCAATATTTAAATTAAATTTTGTAGAAGTTCAGATTTTTGTAGTTCAAAATATTTTCCCCATTCAATTCCATAATTTTATCCCATCAAACATCAAATTTATCCAGAACTTCCAAATAGTTTCGAATTTGCAAAACAAGAATATAGCGAAAAACATAGCGAAAAACAAGATAACACTCCACCCCACATTCAATGACGCTCCAACTTCAACAAGGCGCAGCGCATCGCAGACTGCACCAAAAAAGATAAAACCTGCACCATCTTGAAGAGAATTTCCAGGGCTTTCAGAAAATGTAAAAATATCTTTAGGTCACCGCTGAAATTTCAGAGATAATTCACTTCAAAGTGCCACTACGGTGTTTACATTTTCAGAAAAATCGGTCATGGTCGATGCTAAAATTTGAATCTAGTGTTAATTTTTATATATTTCGATAGCTTAGGTCTCGTGCTTCACAATGAAGTCAAAATCGAAGAATTTCAAGGATTTTCAGACAAGTTACAGCCCTCGGCGCACCATCAACCCGGTATCCAATCCCATTCACTGACTTTCAGAGCGAATAACTTTTTTCATTGTTGATGAAAAACTTTGAATTTTTGCACAATTATAGACGCTTTCATGCTGAATTCAATGATATAATTTATATTCCATGAAACAGTCCAGGAGTGCTGAAAATTCCAGAAAAGTGCGAACCGCCCAACTGAAACCCGATTGATATTGGGTGTGCGTGTTGGAAAAGAAGAGGTGTCCCCGCACGGTGGTAGATGTGTGGTATAAATACGCGAGTGTTTGCCATTATTTTCATTGCATTCTCTTTTTGCACTACCCCACTCACTCTTCAAAACCAATCAACATGTCTGACGCCGTTGTTGCCGCTGCCCCAGTCGCCGCTCCATCACCAAAGAAAGCCACCAAGGCTACCAAGATCCCAAAGGTCAAGAAGGCTGCCGGTGCTGCTCCAGCTCATCCACCATACATCAACATGATCAAGGCCGCTATCAAGGATATCAAGGACCGTAAGGGAGCTTCCAAGCAAGCTATCCTTAAGTTCATCTCCCAAAACAACAAGCTCGGAGACAACACCAAATCGGTAAGTACTCTTTTTTCCACAAGATTTTTCACATCGCCTTCGAAGATCCATCAATTCATTATTCTTCTTTCAGATCAACGCTCATCTCAAGCAAGCTTTGGTCCGTGGAGTCGCCTCCAAGGCCCTTGTTCAAGCCGCCGGAGCTGGAGCCAACGGACGATTCAAGTTGGCTGAAAAAGCCGCCGCTGCACCAAAGAAGGCCGCTGCCCCAAAACCAAAGAAGGCTGCCGGAGCTGCCAAGCCAAAGAAAGCCGCCGGAGCTGCCAAGCCAAAGAAGGCCGCCGCCGCCAAGAAACCAGCTGCTGAAAAGAAGGCCAAGTCACCAAAGAAGGCCGCTGCCCCAAAGGTCAAGAAGGTCGCCAAATCACCAGCCAAGAAAGCCGCACCAAAGAAGGCTGCAAAGAAAGCCACCAAAGCTTAAATGTTTGATTCATCCCGTTTAATTTTTTTATCCGAGTTGATCTCATTTTTCTTTTTTGTACATATTTCTTGGCACCCCTCACAAAATACTGGTATCTTTTTGAAAGATAATAAAATATATAAATAAATAAAAAATTTTAAAATAACTCGTGTTCTGTTTTTTCTCTTCAAGATGTTCTTCAGATCCTTGGTTCGCTCCGCATGAAAAATGCCTTCCGAATTCTCTTGAAAAGTTCTGTCGCTTTCAAATTGTTGGATTAATCGATTTCTCATCGGAATGTTTGTAGTTTGATCCCAAAATGTCTTGTTGAAGTGATCAATTCAAAAAGTAGATCACAAAATCCCACTGATCAATTAATTCTTCGAATCCTACAGTAACTTCCATTTCTCATTCTTTCTTTTATTGTATGTATTGCAATTAAAAAGGCGTGTAAACACATTGCCTTGTGACGTCACAAAACATTGGCCGTTTGCCAGCAACAGGTGGAACGAGAGAGGGAGAAAAGAGGCCAGGAAAAATGGGTGTGAACACCATGGGTGGAAAAGAAGAAGATGAAGATTGATTGATGGGATATGAATAAGTAGGGACGGATGGATGTTTCGAATACAATGATTATTCAGGGAGATAGGGGACATATGCTGGGAAATTTCCACGTGGGTTTTTCGCGCCAAAAGTTTTGAATTTGCTTCTTCACATTGAAAATCATATTCATGACGTCACTAGAGGCTTGAACTTATTGATTTCGATCTGAACAATTTCAAAAAGAAGGCTAGAAATTCAAAAAAAATGTCACAATTTCCACGTGGATTGTTGACTCCAAATCTTTTGATTTTTCAAATTTCCACGTGGATTTTTCGGGTCAAAAGATTAGAACTTCAAAATTCCCATTTTGATTTTTGGTGTCAAAATTGGGCTCATTGATTTTTTATCTCAAAACATATTTTTTTCGAAAGTTGTGCCAAATTTTCTGAATATCGGGTGACTCAAAATTTTCAATGACTTTAGTACAATTTTGTCTGACTACTGTATTTTTCCGAGCTCCAAAAGCTTTTCTGAATTATAATTTATGTAAATGTTCCGACCATTTTCCCATATTTCTCCTCATTCTCATTATTCACTTTCAAAAAGAGTACCGCAATTCCTCTTCCCATTACTCATTACGCATTTCATTGCACAATAAAAGTACACAATGGCGTCATGTGCACAGATGTCTCATATTTTGAGGTTGGCGCGTGTTCAAATGTACATATTCGCGCGTCATATTACTCACCAAAGCCACAGTCTGTCCTTTTCCAATTTCGAAACTAATATCATTGAGAACTGGAATTCCAGAATTATATTCAAAGGACAAATTATTGACAGCAATTCGACCGTCCGATGGATTATATTGAATTGCATTTGGAATATCAATAACTTCGACATCTTCATCCATCAAATCGAACATATTTTCCATATCAACAAATGCTTTTTGAATAACTCGATAAATTGTTCCAAAAAAGTTGAGAGGCGTGTAAAGTTGTAATAAATATGTTGTGAATAGAACATAGTCTCCAACCTAAAACCAAAAAATTATTCAAGAAGTCCTGGGACTTCTGGGCACAGAAGGTCAACCTACAGTCATAGTTTTCTCATGAACAACCATATAAACAACTAAAAGTGATCCAATCATCATTCCAACTCCAATAATCGAATTTTGAAGAAAGTTGAGAAAAGCGAGAGATGCTTGAGATTTCCATTCGAGAAGTTGGAAAGCTTCGATTGAATCTCTGAATCTTTTCACTTCATATTCCTCATTTCCATAATATTTTACTGTTTCATAATTGAGAAGAGAATCTGTTGCAATTGCACTGCTAATATTATCTTTTTCGTTAGATTCTCGCAAAAACTTCGTGCGCCATTCAGTGATCATAATTGTGAAAACTAAATAAAGGACCATTGTAACCAAAACTATAATTCCAAATTGCCAACTGAAAGTCGAAAAGAAAAATATAACAGCAATTGTGATATCAGCAATTGTTGGAACAATATTGAAAAGAATATAACTGCAAAAGAGAATCTTATTTTGTTTTTTCAAAATTTGAAACACAACTAACTTCAGAATACTGTTAACCGAACTAGTTCCTCGATCCATAACCCTCAAAACATGTCCAGTTTTTCTGGAAAGATGCCAGCGAAGACTCAAAGAATGAAGATGTGTGAACAATTGCACTTCTAATTCTCTAGTTGTGTATTGTTGAATTGGGATCCAAAGATATGATCGGACTGTGTTTAAAAATCCACCCATCGCGCCATTTCCTTGCAAGAATTTGAGAACTGTTGCGATTATGATCAACCAATAATTGAACGAGTCAGGGGTGGTCAATTCATCGACTGGAAAAATGTGGTTGAATATTGAGTAGGATATTTTGCTGGATTTGTCAAAAAAAATTTAAAAGTTCGGAATCTCTTGAGTTTTTTTTCTGACTTTTCATTGCTCATATCTGATTTGATATTTTTTTTGTGGAAAAAATTTAATGTTTCGAAAATTTTATGATAAAAATAAACTTGAACGAAATATCATATTTATGACGTCACCAGAGATTTGAACTTGTTAATTTAGATTTTAAAATTTTTAACACAAAGCCTAGAAATGTTGAAAATTCCACGTGGATTTTTACAACCAAAATTTTGAATTTTCAAAAAATCACAGCTGAACAAAATTAAAATAACGAGCGAGAGTTCATAATTTTAAAAAATAAACTTCAGACTTATTTATAATTAGTTCACGCACAATTGCGGAATTGCTTTTTTTTCACATTTTATCACCCCTCTGAATTCTTACCAATCCATTTGCTAAAAACTGGCAACGCAACATTAATCAATCTTCCAGCAACCAACAAAAACAAGCAAATCACAACTTTCAATTGCAAATAAATTGATTTCGTCGGCCAAACATACGGTGCAACCATCACAATTTTCTTCGACATATTATTCCAGGCCGATGCATTGCTTGGATCCGTTGAACTTTCGCCTCGTTTCAATAATGGAGAAATCATTGAAAATGCGAAAACCAGAAAAACAAGAACGAGCTCGATTATATAGAAAACGAGGTCTCCTTTTTTGCGAGCACTGAATAATACATTTCCAGATACAAAAAAAATCCTGAGAACTTACTTTATATCAAAAAATATATCCCATGCTGTGAGGGGGATTAAATCGATGAAAAATGCAATGGAAAATGCGAGAGCCAGCGAAATTGGAACGTGTCCAAGCATACGGTATTTTGATAATGAGCATAGAGAGAATATCCAGAAAAGCTGCAAATTTTGAGATTTAGAATCTATTTGAAAATTTAAAAGTCTTTTAGGAACCTACCAATTTTGAGGAGCAATAAATGAGCAACAATAAATTATAGCCATGAAAATAGAATGTAAATGCGAAATAGAAAATTGATTGGCAAATGACGATGAAAATGGCACATATTGAGAGGATTATTGAGAAGGAAATATTTTGAGATCTACTATGGGAAGAGGTGGTTTCGGGTTCTTCTGAAAATGAGAAATGATTTGGAAAATGAGATGGAGGTGGAATATAAATAAATTCATGTGGGTCACGTGAAAAATAATTTATTTTATTTTTATTTTCATTTTTTTTTTCATATCTGGGCTAAGAAGATGGTTTTCTAAACTAAAAATGTTCCTCTGAATGTCTAATTCTTACTCTGAATATTATGAGAGGATTTTTGACTCATGGAGCCTTGAGAGCTTGAATGCCAACTAGACAACCCTAGAAAATCTAGTTGTCAAGTAGCCGAGCCTAGAAATTTCAATTGTCAAGGATCAGCGTCTAGAGAGCCTAGTTTTCAAGCAATCCCGTCTAGAGATCCAGTTTTGAATTCAAAAATATTAAAATTTGATTTTTTTTTTCTTGAAATTGTATGCTGGCTCACAACAGGATATTCGAGGTGTGTTTATTTTTTTGTGAAAAATTTTTTCCCAACAAAATTTTCCCAACATACCCATTCGATTATAAGCATTTCTTCGATTCGGCCAAAAAACCACAAAAATATTAGCAATTATAAAAAATGAGTAGATCGTCGTGGATAACACCTGAATTTTTTTAAAATTGAAAATCAGAGCACAAATATGAAAATTACAGTACCTTATCGCAATTTGGTGTTATTGGCCAAGTTGCACATTGTGAAATGTTCATCCTGAAATTTCGTCATTATTTTTTGTAGCGATTTGTGGTGTGTGCTTTTTTTTCGACAAAAGTTGACAAAGTACAATGTTATTAGTGTACATTTCTTTCTCATTAAAGTAAATATCAGAGAACCAAAACACTTAAAACAACTAAACTTTTAAATGTTCTAGATAGTTCTAGGCTATAAACCACTGTTCAAAGAGTTGTGTATTTTTAAAAGTGTAAATTTATGCAACAAACTCAAACTTAACAATAGACAAAAAACGAGTGATAAAATCAACAGAGAAAAAAAAAATGATAAGATAAATATTTCAGCAAAAATTATTCAACAATCAGCCATTTTGCAGCATTTCGCAATTTATCCGATTTTCCTTTGCGCTTCAAAATCGCTTTTCGAACAGAATCCATTGAATCAATGACTTGTTGACGGAAATCTTTGAGAAGAAAATCGTTTGATTGATTTTCGGCGGCTCGAACAATTGATTCGATTAGGCAAGTTGTTTGAGGAAGAAATGTACCGCCCGTGTCTTCGAGAATACTTGTAGCTAAAAATATTGATATAAATTATCAAATACACTTTTTTTGTGAAACTTACTAATAAGTGGTGCTAACACTTTGTTCAAGTTCAACAACGCGGAGGGTAATTCGAAAGGTGAAACTGATGTTGCTTTTGATGACGTCATAATTGTAAAATCGAATGGACTCTGACCTTCAGATTGATAAAATACATTTTTCAAATCACCAGACTTCTCATCGAATTTTTGATCTTCGAAGTTTATTTTCAAATCGATTTCTTGGATTTGTTTTCTTCTAGAAACATCGAATACCTGAAAATTGAATTTGAAAAAAAAAGAATTATAAATAATTCTGAAAAAGCCTACATTTACAAACGATAAAATAGTATCCAAAAATCCGGGTTTATTCCACAGTGGTTTCCTGGAACTTCCAAGAAAATTGATAAAAGACGGGAAAAGATCGGGATTATTCCGACACAATTCGGGATATGAAGACATAAGTGTTGATAGAATTGAAAGAGCAAAATTCCTGATTGGTAATTCCATATGTGATAAAGCACGGAAAACATGAGCCAAGAATAATGTGATATGAGCTGACATTGTTTGACTTGGAACTGTGCAGATTACACGCAATAATGCCTTTAATTGTACACGGTGTGAAGGTTCCAAACTCTAAATTCAAATAAATATTATTTCACCTACATTCTGGAAACTTACGTTATCACTCATTAATCTAGCAATCGATGGAATCAAAGTTCGCAAATGGATTGTAATCAAATCAGGTCGAGACGTGAGAATTTGTTTCAGCCCAATAATCGCACTATTTCGAATATTTTTATTGAAATGTCCCAATTGCTTGCTCAAATCATCCAAAGTTAAACCTCTAAATGAAAGAGGTTTATCCTCACTGTCGATTTTCTCTTCCAATTGTTGAGCAAGAACAACTTTTCGTGCTGAAAAAATAATTGTATTAATATTTTTAAAGTTGATTTTTTACGAACCTTTGATGGTGGTATCAGTTGTTGTCGTTTTCTTCAACTTCTTTCCAACCTTCAGCTTCACTTTTTTGAAATCTTCATTCTTCTTTGCTTTCTTTTTGGTCACCATTTTGCTCTGAAACTTGAAAAAATCAAAAGTTTTTTTTACGAAAAACAAGATACTCCGTGAGAAATACACAAACAATGAAAACGAGAAAATGCGCTCTATTGATAGACCGCGAAAGTGAGTGGTTTGAAGCAAAAAAAAACGATTTTTTATTTTTTCCCGCATTCTAAACAAAAACTGCTCTATTTCAGGAAGATGTCGGATACAGAAAATCAAGAAGACTCTGATATTCGAAGATCATCGCGTAGAAGAGAAAGTTCCAAACAAACTTCGAGAAAAAGTGCGATTGAGCGATTGAAAGAAGCAAGAGAAACTGGAAAATCGTATCGACCAAATCTCGATGTTGATGATGTTTATGAAGTTGTAGATGAAAGGGAATATAATGATATTGTTTCACAACGTCAAAATGATAATTTTGTGGTGGATGATGGTGAGTTAAACGTGAACTAAATGTCGTGTCTCAGCGTGTAATGATAACATTTAAAATTATTTTTATTTCTCATTTTTAGATGGAATGGGTTATGTGGACACTGGAGTCGATTTCGAAGAAGAATATGAAGATGATTACGAAGAATATGGTGGTCCATCTTCAAAAAAGGGAGAAAAGAAATCGAAAAAATCATCGAAAAAGGAGAAAAAGAAGGGAGCTCTCGACAGTTTCTTCTCTGGAGGAGCGAAGAAAACAGTTTTGGATGATTCAAAAGTCAAAGTGAATCTTGAAGAAGACGAAGACTTGAAAAATATGCTTGGAGATATTTTGGACGGCGACGATGATGAAGAAGATGAGCAAGAAAAAAGGCGAAAGAGAAATATTGCGGCTCCACTTCCAAAAAATCCATTCAAAAGAGAAAGAACATGTTAGTTTGGAAGATCGAAGATTTTAAGATTAAAAAAAATTGTTCCAGCATCTCCCCCATCAGATGATTTGGCTCCTCGACCAATTGCGAAAAAGGCGAAAACCAATTTTCTATCAAAAAATGCGACTCCAAAACCACAACCCAAGGCGAAACCGGTTGAAGAGCCAATTCCAGAAGAAAATGATGACGATGATGACTATGGTAGATATATAATTTAGAGATATACCAAAAACAAAAATTATAATTTTAGGTGTTCCTGATTACGATGACAATGAACCAATTGCGATCAAAAATGAGGTCAACATCAGTCCAGTGAAGCAATCTGTTCAGGAAAAGCCGGAAGTCTGTGAAGATGTGAAAGTTGAATTAGAAGATGTTGAGATGGAAGAGGATAAAACTGCGGCGAAATTCCAACTAAGTTGTGATATGTGGGATGCAGATGAAACGTATGTTAGGCTAGGCTGAACCGAAGGAGACTATCTCAATTTTCACTCTAGATTTTTTTTTTACAAAATAGATGTTTTCTAGTAGTTTTCGACCCGCTGATCAATGTTTCTATGTATAAAATTGCAGAACTCAACTCCTAACATTAGTTATGACGTGGCAAAGTGGAAAATTTGGGACTTTAGGAGCTGAAAAATAGCTTCAAAAATGATTTTCATGCAAATCTGATAGCTCAGGATACTCGATGGCATAAATAAGGAAAATATGGAGTCTACTTATGTTATAGAGCTTCCTGAATAATGCTATTTAAATGAAAATCATTTTTGAATCTAGTTTTCAGCTCCTAAAGTCCCGATTCTTCCAACTTTGCCACGTCATAACTCATAAGAAGTTGAGTTCTGCAATTTTCGACATCGGAATAGTGATCAGCGGTTCGAAAACTATTAGAAAAACTTAAGTTTTATCAAAAATCTTTTCCCTTGTCAGCACCAGATATTCTAATAACCTAGATTTTCCAGGCAAGACGATGATAGTCAAAAGGTTGAAGTTAAAACTGGATCCGAATTATTTTATGTGATGGGCGGTGAAAATGGTGATACAAAAGCTATTCGAATGTATTGGATTGACGCATTTGAAGATGCTCATAAAAATAATGGTGAGCTGGAATATTATCCACATCTGAAACTCTTTATATTTTTATAGGAACTGTTTATTTATTCGGGCGAGTCAAAGTTAGTGAATCTCAATGGTCGAGTTGTTGTTGTGTTGTGAAGAATATCTATAGACAGGTATTCTTCCTTCCAAAGGAAACGGTAAGATTCAGATCGTTTTTTCAAACTCTAATCCTCATTTTTTTCAGAACGATGATGGAGAAGATATTCAACAAGTGGATGTTTTCAATGAAATATCTCAAATCCTCAAAACAAAACTAAACGTTGTCAATTTCAAATGTCGTGCGATTGAAAGAAAATTGATTAATGATAAAAATCTCGGAGAATTTGCTGGAGAAAAAACTACTGTTATGGAGGTCCTCTATGAAAGCACATTTCCGAAACTTGACGCAAGTTTGACCGGAAAAACTTTCTCCAAAATCTTCAACACAACTTCAACACCATTAGAAAGATTGCTAATTGAGAAGAAGTTTATGGGACCAGGATGGATTGAGATTTTCAATTTTAGTGAGTTTTATTTTTTTGTTTGGAAAATTGAACTTTAAAAAATTATTTTCAGCCGAAGCAACTGCAAAAGTTTCCAATTGTCAATATGAATTTGTGATTGATATGGAGAGAATGAAGAATTTGAGATATTTGGAGAATGAAAGTGTCAAGGAGCCGATTCGTGTGAGAATGATGATTATTAATGTATTAACAACGCTGAATGAGAATAAGGAAAATGAGGTGGGAAATTGTTTTTCTTTATTTCTTAAAAAATCTTATGAGGTTTCAGATTTGCATGATTTCAATGTTATACAATCCAAAAGCCAATTTTCTTCATCCAAGTGCTTATACTCAAGATTTGCAAAGGAAATGTTGTGAGTTGAAATTTAAAACCAAAAAAAAACTTAAGAAAATTCTACGATTCACGTGGGTTTCTAAAGGTTTTTGTTGAGAAATCTAACCTTTTTAAGCATTGCTCATGTTAAATTTCAAAATAAAATGTAATTCTCAAGGAACCACCCCTATCTAACCTAAATGTCTAGGCCTCACATCTAAAAAGTAGTAGGTAGCCGAGCCTAGAAAGCCTAGTTCTCAAGTCCCCGCCACTTCAAGCCAAATTATTTTCATTTTTTCAGTGGTCACAAAACCTTCTGGAGGTGCTCTACCGTACAATATAAAACAATATTTACAAAATGAAAGAATGGATCAATTTGTCACTGTAACTGCCAACGAAAAAGCTCTTCTCACATTGTTTTTGGCGAAAATGAATGAAATGGAACCCGATGTTATTGTTGTAAGTTATTTCAAAAAAATCTTGAAATTCTATCATTTTTTTTGCAGGGCCACGATTTGCAAGCACTAACCGCAATTTTGGTTTCACGATTATCTGTTTTGAAAATTGCAAATTGGTCGAGAATTTCGCGCCTCAAAAGAACTATCAATATCGGAAAAGTTGGGCATAACAAAGCTGGACAATGGGAATTGACGGCTGGAAGATTGCTTGTTGATTCAAAATTGGCAGCAATGGAATTGGTTCGAGCAAGAAGTTATGATTTAACTGAATTGTCCAGTCAATTGCTCAAAGTAACAAGAAAAGATATTTATGCGGATGAGGTTTCGAAAATGTTCTCAGCTTCTGATAAATTATTGAAATTGATCAATTGGTCTTGGAATGATCCACTTTTATCGCTCCGAATTATTTGTCAATTGAATGCTTTGCCACTTTTTGTACAGATTACAAATATTGTTGGAGGAGTTACTGTAAGTTCACTGAATTTTTAAAATTCCCGCTTTCGGACCCCAAATCTAATTTTTTTCAAAATATTTCCAGTCACGAACAATGATGGGAGGAAGAGCTGATCGAAATGAATATTTATTATTGCACGCTTTCCACAAAGCTGATTTAATAGCTCCGGATAAATATAATCCATTTGCCAAAAAATCAGCAGCTGCTTCGAATAAAAATCAAACAATCAGCGAGGAAAATGAGACTACAGTAATCCACGAGACTGGAGAAGAAGCCAAGAAGGGAAAAGCACAGTATTCTGGAGGACTTGTTTTGGAGCCGAAAAAGGGATTGTATGACACTCTCATTTTATTATTGGATTTCAATTCACTTTATCCAAGTATTATTCAAGAGTATAATATTTGCTATACAACTGTTGCTCATACTAAAGATAGTGATGAAGTTCCGGATGTTCCGAATTCAATTGATCAAGAAGGAGTTTTGCCAAGAGAAATTCGAAAATTGGTTGAATGTCGGAGAAATGTGAAACAATTAATGAAAACGGAGAATCGAGAAGGAGAAAGAAAACAATTGGATATTCGACAAATGGCATTGAAATTGACTGCAAATAGTATGTATGGATGTTTAGGTTTTCAATATTCGAGATTTTATGCAAAACCATTGGCTGCCTTGGTAACTGCAAAAGGAAGAGATATTCTAATGCACTCGAAAGATTTGGTTGAAAAAATAGGATATTCTGTTATTTATGGAGATACTGATTCAATTATGATTAATACTAATTCATATGATTTGGCTGAAGCAAAGAAATTAGGAATTGATATTAAGAAAGCGGTTAATAAATGTCATCGATTATTGGAATTGGAATTGGATGGAGTGTTTAAGAGAATGTTGTTATTGAAAAAGAAGAAATATGCGGCATTGACGATTAATCAGGATACGAAGGTTGAGACGAAAGAATTGAAGGGTTTGGATATTGTGAGAAGAGATTGGTCACAATTGGCAAAACAGGCTGGAACGTGAGTTTGAATGGGCGGGGGAGTTAAAGTAACTCAATTAACTAATTAACAAAAATTTAGAGCTGTTGTGGATAAAATCTTGGATGCTTCACTTAGTCGAGAGGAACTTGTTTCGACAATTGTTGAACTTTTGGAAGAATATCGAAAGCAACTTGATGCTGGGAAGATTCCTAATGAAGTTTTTCAGATTAGCAAGGTAAGTTGGCAGAAAAGATGGAACGCGGAAAATATCCGGAAAGACGGAAGGTTTCCGGAATTTTTTTTTAGAGTTCCCAATTTTTTGTAGGACCATTTTGTAGCTCTTGAAATTATCCACGAATCTTTTCTCAAAAAATTCTGGAATTTTTGAGAAGCTGAAATTCAGATTTGAAAATGACCCCTTCTCGAAATTTTTAGGGAATTTTGAAAAATTCTATTTATGTCCTAAAATTCCGTACGAAATCCACAATTTTTTCTAGAAATTAGGTAATTCGAAACACCCGAAAATCGGGGTTCCAAAAATTTGCAGCCAAATTTTCGCATTTTCAGAAAATGCTGAAAACACCATGTTGTAGCTCTTAATCTCACATTTAAAATTTTTCTTATGATTTTTTCACAAAAAATGTTTCCATGGAAATAAGAGCATGACTTTTTCGGCTGAAACTCAATATAAATTTCATTTTTTTTCCAGCAATTGACAAGAAATCCAAAAGACTATGCTGACATCAAATCACAACCCCACGCTTTTGTCGCGAAACGACTCAACGAATCTGGAAAATTCAATTTACGTCAAGGTGATATTGTGGAATATATTATTTGTGAAGATGGAAGTGGAAATCCAGCAACACAACGAGCTTATCATCGAACTGAAATGGAAGAGAATAAAGATTTGAAAATTGGTAAGGTTTTTGGATCTGAACGGAAAAAAGGGCACACCTCGGCCAATCTCTTGTGGCAATTTTTAAAAATATCTACGTTTGAGCATTTTAGAGGTCCAAAACTGAAAATTTACAGTTTTTACACTGAAACGATATTGGTTTCAGAAGTAGCAGAATTTTGAGCTTAAATATTTTTTTAAGAGCATTTAGTTTTCAAACCTCTTTTTTTCCCGAAATCCTCCCCTCCTCTATCAAAAATTACATATTTAAACATTTCCAGATTTGGTTTATTATTTGGCTCAACAAATTCATCCGGTTGTCTCAAGATTGTGTGCTCCGATTGAAGAAGTTGATGCTGTTCGAATTGCTGAAGCACTTGGAATGGATTCGACGAATTATGGCCGCGCGGCTGCCGCACAAGCACATCAAAACGCGGAAGAAGATGATTATTTGTGGCAGCAAGAGGTTGGTTTCGCAATATTTTTGTTATCTAAATATTTTTGTTTGTTTGTTTGCAGAATTATGATCTTTGCGAGGGAATTGTTATTAAATGTCCAAGTTCGAGTTGTGGACAAATTAATATTATTCGAAATACTTTTGATGTTGAGGTAAGGGTTTTGGGTAGACAAAATTGTTTCGAAAATTTATTTTATTATGAAATCGTGTCATTTGAAAGTTTCAATCGATTTTCATTTTTAAAACCGAAAAATTCAGAATTCAAGAGATTTTTCTTATTTTTAGGTTAATTTTTATTTTGAATGGAAAATCATATTTATGACGTCATCGGAGGTTTGAACTTGCCACTTAGATTTGCAAATTTTCAACAAAAGCCTAGTTTCCTTGAACTCATTGCCAAAATTTTGCAAACAAGTTCCAAATTTTTTGATATTAAAATTTTGCTTTGAAAATGTACGTTTCAAATTATCTTGTAGTTGAATCAGAAAATTTCAATCCCGTTTCTTCAAGGATTGCGAAACCACGATTGTCTTCACTATCTATTATCTCCAGAATTTCTTAAATTTCTTCAACTTTTTGTCATCCTCGTCCTATACAAATTCCACCCTTAAGTAAAATGTAAAATTCCTAATCGAGAAGAATTTCATTCTAGAATTCTGTTTAGTTAGTTTTTTGAAATGAAATGAGAATTTTAATTTTAAAATGCTCCAACACGGTCACGTTTTTGTTTTTGTTTTTTATTCGTTAAACGAAAACGAATTTTGTTATTCAAATTTTGAATTACCTTAATGGAAAGATAATGGAAGATTTTGGGTTATTGTGATTCAAAATTATGAGGTTACTGTGGAATAAAAACCTCCAAAACGAAATTTTGCAGACTGATCCAAACTCACCGCGACTAAACCTCTCTTCTTGTTCAAAATGTCAAGTTTCATGGATCTTTGATGATTTCCTCAATGTTATAATCAATCAAATTGATCGACAAATGTCCGAATTTGTTGCTAAACACATGTCTGCTGGATATAAATGCGATGAACCAACTTGTGAATATAAATCGAATCATCAAACAATGAAATGGTGTCGAGAAGGATTGGAATGTGTGAAATGTTCGACGGGAATTTTGAGAAAAGAATACACGTCGAAACAATTGTTCGATCAACAAATGTTTTGGAGAAATATTTTGGATGTTGAAAATGCGTTGGGAAAATTGACGGCTTCTGAAGCTAGTGAGTTGTTTTCGGATATTGTCTTTAGCCGAGCCAAGTAGTCGAGACTACAAGGTTTAGTTAGAAAGTAGCGGAGTCTGAAGAATCTAGAGGACGCTAGAGGACCTAGTCCTCAAGTAGCCGCGCCTAAACAATTCAATTGTCTAGGATCGACGCTTAAAAAAACTACTTCTGAAGCAGGCGAGCCTACAGAGCCTAATTTTCTAGTAGTCGAGCCTAGAAAGGTCAATTGTCAAGTATCAGCGCCTAGATAACTTATTTTTTATCATCAAGTCTTATAATTTTTCAGAAAGTGCCCGAATGCGACCAGAATTTGCTGAAACACGAAACGAATCAATTGAAATGATGAACCTTATCAGTGTTAAATATTTGGAGAAAAACTCATATAATCGCGTCGACTTGGCTTATATTTTTGCGCCAATGATTAAATTGAACTAACCAATTTTTGAATTAATTTTTTCTGTTGTATTATTTTTCGGGTTTATGAATTTTTAAATTCTTCAACTTTTTTTTTTGTTTTTAGCGAGTTAAAAGTATGCACACTTTTATTCAAATATTTACTGTTTTATTGGAAATTGAAGAGAAAATGATTTAGATGGATGAGACAAAATATGGAGAAGATGGGGAAGTTTTGAATGTGAATAAGAAGGTGAATTTATTTACAGTTCTAAAAAACTACAGGTATGGTTTTTCAGTACACATTTTTTGTGATTGATGCATCTGAGGCGATGTTTGAGAGCAACAAAGATGGAGAATGTGATTTCAAATATGCTTTGAAGCTGGTTTTGAATGAGTATTTGAATATTTGTTGTAATTGGACATTGAAGAATCAAGTTGGAATTATTATTACGAATCGGGTAAGATTTATATGGAAATTGGGTTTTGAAACAGCTAAAAATTCTGAATTTCTGAAGTTTTCTCTTTAATTTTTCATTTCCTTCAAAAATGTCATGATAAAAATCATATTTATGACGTCATAAGAGGTTTGAACTTATCAACTCAGAGCTTTTAAAATAATTTGAAGAAGAAGTCAAGAAATTAAAAAAAATCCACGATTTCCACGTGGATTTTTGACAGCAGAATTTGTGAATTTTCAAAAATTAGGTAAATCAGAAAAATTCAAAAGATCACGTTCCGACCCATCAAAAATTTGAAAAAAATTAAATATTGATCAAATTTTTGAAACAGTGAAAAATATTATTTGAAGCAATTTTCCAATTGAAACTTGAAAATCCCAGAAATTGTTCGAATTATTCCCAAATTTCAGGAAAATCCAGAAACCAATGACAATTTCATCGTTTTTTCACCGATGGGAATTCCGGGACAAGAAGAAGTGAACGAAATTCGAGAATTGTTGGAAAGTGGTCAGATTTTCTTCCTTTTCTCTCAATTTTTTTTCAAAATCCCGTTTTTTTCCAGAAAATATCAAAAAGGAAATAAAAGGCGAGTCGAAGACGTGCGATTTGGCGAATTGTTTCAATTTTTGTAAACGACAATTTTCGGGTTTCTCAAATACCAGACATCAATCAGTGATTTATTTTACGAATAATCGAAATCCGTTTGGAAGAGATGATTTTTGGGAATCTTCGTATTTTGTAAGTTGAGCGAACTTTTAGGGGAAAATAATTGGACCGAAAATGGGAAAAAAACTGTTTGTGTTAGAATTTCAGCAGAATCTGAAATTTTTCAAAATACTCTCAAAATTCTGAAAAATTTTAAATGAGCTCGAGTTTAGGCTCAAAAAATTTCGGACTCTGAAAATTTCAGATGTCTTTTGATTGTCGGTTTTCGTGATTTTTTTCTTGTTTGAAAAATTCAGATTCCCTTTGAAATTCTGAGTATTTTGAGCACAAAAAAGCTCTTTTTGAAACGTTTTTTTTCCTAAAACATTAGATACCTTAAAATTAAATTTTTGATCTTCAAGTTCACCAAAATCAACTAATTTCCGTTCAGAAACGCACCAAAACTGCGATCTCAAAAATCATTGGAATTGGTCAGCGAAAAACCCTTGGTGAATTCTCAGTCATCCTTGTACCTGAAGACTCTTATCGACCTGAAAATCGAGAAGAAAAAGAAAAAGAAGCTTGGTATCATTTGGACACTGAAGTGTTCACCAAAGAATGCGATTCACAGCGAAGAATTCGACAGAAAACCACTGTTACAAGATCGCATGCGAATGTTACTGTGAAATTGGGGCCCGGTGTGGAATTTGATGTTGGAGTGTGAGTTTTTCAGAATCTGATTACTGGGAAGAGGGTTTGGGGGATCAGAAAATATGAGGTTCAGAAATCATATACAGAAAACATATTAATTTTATTCTAAAATACTAAAAAAAATGTTTGAATAAGCTCAATTGTCGAGATACACAAGATCACCGATAAATCATTATTTGACAATTTTCTGTTCACAGTTCTATTCACATCAGAAATAATAATTGCTTTGAAAATTTCGAAAAATTACGTTTCAAAATATTATGTTATTTTTCCTTGGATTCCGGCATTTTCAATCTTAAGCTTTTCGATGATTCGAATCTGAAATGTTTCTTCTTCAGAATCAATTCCTATACAATTAATTGTAAAACTCACCTTGGTATTCATCTTCACATTTTTAGTTTTGCACAATCTTTTCATCAATTTAGAAATCATCATCTTTTCTACTGGAATGCAATGCAATTTCTTCGACAGATTTATTTGGCTTAAATAAAAATGATGATTTTTTTTCGCTGTGAAAATACGTTTCAGAAGATTCTGTTGAAGGGCTAGACTTATCAATACAATTGTTTTGTTTGGCTGAAATAAAAATGTGAATATTTGGGGTTCCTCAATTGTCGAGGTTGACGATAAATCATCATCCGACGTTTTTCTGTGGGGAGTTCTGTTCAGATCAGACGAGGTTCAGAAATCATATACAAAAAAATTACATTTTGTTAAAATTCGGAAAATTTTGAATTATATATGTCCAAGACAGATCAATCGGACTGATTTTCAGAATCCCTTTAGCTACGATCCTGATTCAAAAATTTTCTTTCAGCTTCACACTTGTTTCGGAAGCTCGTCCATGGCCAAAAGCACAAAAATATTTGAAATCAACTGAAATGCCGATTGAAAAGAATGTTGGATATGTACCAGTTCCACAAAAACAAAAAGGAGAATTTGAAGATTCAGATGATGATTTCTTTGTGAGTTTATCATTTTCACAAGCTTTCTTTGAACTTTATATTCAACAAATTTCAGAGTTCTTCGAAACCCGCAAAACCTACAATTTCTGAATTGAAAACACAATTAACAAATCAAGTGATTCAAGGTGGAGAAGAATTGCGAAAAAGAGCTGAATTGAGGAAAATGGTTGAACTTGGAGGAGAGAAAGTTGTGCTGGATTCAGAAGAACACAAAGCAATGACACAATTCGCGCAAAAAGGGATTCAATTGATTGGATTTTGTCCAATTGAGAATGTTGATTGTGAAATTTCGATTGGGCAGCCGAAATTATTGAGGCCGAATGAGGAGGTGAGATTTGAAGGGGGTGCTCCGGAAAAATTTCAGTTGTGCCGAAAAATTAACTGAAATTTTTGAAAAAAAATCGAGACATAAATTTTCATTTTTTCCGGAATATTTCTAAAATGAAAATTGGAGTTTCTAAAAGCCCACGGCTACTAGAAAACTAATATTTGTAGGCTCTGCTACTTAAGAACTTGAGTCTGTAGGCGCAGGCCCTAGACAATCAGGGTTTCTAGGCTCGGCTGCTTGAGAACTAGTTTCTCTAGACGCTGGTCCTAGACAATTAGGTTCTCTAGTCTCGGCTACTTGACAACTAATTTTTATAGGCTAGGCTATTTGACAGCTAGGTTCTCTAGACTCAGTTGCTTGAGAACTAGGCTCGACGCAAGCCCTATAAGTATAAAATCCTCTTAAAGTTTGGATTTAAAAATCTAATGTAAAACCTTCACCAAAATCTCAAAAAAAAATAATAAATTTCAGACAACACTCGGAAGCACACGAATTTATCGAGCATTGCTGGATCGATGTTTTGCCAGACAACAAGCAATGATTTGTAAATATCAAAGTAGATCAAATGAAAAAATGAGAATGGTTGCATTGATTCCGTGGAAAAAAGCTGGTTTAGAAGAGCAAGGACAAGAAGGAGATGATGAAGATCAGAAACCAGATGTGGTAAGAATATTTTGAAGATTTACATAAAAACAAGAATTTCAGAAAAATTTGAGAAAACTTCGCGCTCAAGCTGATGCTTCTGAATTTCTACAAGAAGGTTTTAGTATTGTTGCGCTGCCGTATAGAGAAGAGGTAAATATTCATTTCTTATGTTCATTTTTTCATCCAATAAAAATTTCAGATGAAATCTACTGTTTCGAGTGATGTTAAATGGCCAGAAATTGAGGAACAGGAGAAGACAGTCGCAAAAAAATTCATCAAAAAATTGACAATGTCTTATAACCCGGGATTCTATGAAAATCCGAGACTTTTATCCGAAAGATCTGCACTTTGTGAAAGAGCAACTGGAGAAGAATTAATTGAGAGAAGAGATACTTTGAGTAAGTCAGAATTTATTAGTTTAGTATTTAAAATATGGAATTTTCTGCAGTACCTTATCATAATTATCCTGAGCGACTTCAAAGAGTTCATGCTGAAATTGAACAAATAACTCAAGTTTTTCATTTGGATGAGGTTGGAAAAGCTGAATCAAAACCCCAGAAAAAACGGAAAAATGAGGAAGATTCTGGAAATTCGAAAAACAAAAAAGGAAAACCAGATATTAAAGAATTGTATGAATCTGGAAAACTAGCGAAATTGACGAAAGATGAATTATTAGAAGAAATTGAGAAGAATTGTAAAAATGCGGATATCAACAAAAAATCGATGAAACAAGATTTGGTGGATTTTTTGACGAATTATTTTGAGAACTTGTAAATATTTATCTATTCACAAATTTATTGTTCATGAGAAATTGTATTTTTTTTTATCTCTCTTGCTATCTGCGTGTCCTCGAGCAAATTCAATTTATTTTTCCGCAAATAATATATACAGACGAATCTGTATATCTGTAAAGTTTTCGTCAAAATTCAACAGGTTTGAGTAAATTCACATGAAAAACTAGTTTTGCATATCTTTTTGGCCAGTACTGTATATAGATTTGTTTGTTTGGAAAAAGAAAAGAAAATTTTGCTCGATAGAGCGCACACAGGCTCTGAATAAAAAAAGCATTTTAATTTAAAAATACTTCTGAATGTTTATTTGGCAAATTGCCACAAACACAAAATTATGAATTGTTGGTGGCACAGTATGACGAATGATCTAGAAGGGAACTCAACTTTTGTGACCTTCATCTTCAATTCGCGGCTTTTTCTCGCCATGCTCGTACTAAAAAAATTAAAATTAAACCAATCTCAAAACTGGATAAACTTACAAGCGAGTCTTCAGTTATATCCAAGTTTGATAGTACAATATGTATAGGAATGATGCAAGATTTGTTGTAATGGTCCGAGATTTCCGTGAAATTTATTTTTGGAGTTTGGACCGAGAAATCGACTATACCTTTCCTTATATTAGTATTCGACAACTTGAGAGATATTTTTCCGACTATTATACCCAATACTTTTCCAGTCAAATCAAAAACCGCGGAACCACTATCGCCTTTTTTGCAGTGAGAAGTACCGTAAAAAAAACCCGCTAAATAAAAAAAAATTGTGAACGTTTACAAAACTCTGAGTTCTCTCAAACTTCTCAAAACTACCTCCTACTGAAGAGATAACGCCACCGTTCCACACCAAATTTCCAGAATCCAAGCCCAGGGTTCTATAATCTTGACCACGATGTATTATTTCGAAATTGATCGGAAAACTTGGAAATTCTTCATTGATTGTGTGGAAAACTACGTAATCATTTCTTTCCGAAATGAAAACTACAGTTGTCTAAAAAGTTCAAGGTAAATCATTCTTTTGAAAAGCTTAAAACTAACCTTAATTTCGATGTTTGCATTTACAATGTTTATGAGCGTCACTGTATCATTTATAAGATACTTTGAATTTACTTGCCCATGACGGTAGGTAATTGCATGACTCTTTGTGAAAGCCACGACCGGTCTTTTCGTATCGTCAATTCCAGATCTTGCCCAGTAAACCACATTTTCTAAATGTTTAATAACACGCTGATCCATATTAATTGGTGTCGATTGTAGACAATATTTAAATATTTTTATGTATTCCAAGCTCTGCTTTTATACTACCTTTATTTGAAGATTTCCACGTTGAGATTACAAATATGTGTCGCGTCTTTTTATTTATAAACTTAATATTTATTCATTTCTGAACTTTTATCTATTTATTTCTTTTTTCATTAAAAATATGAATAGGACCAAATTTTTTGTTGAAATCCTGAAAATCTGGTTCTATTGATCTGACATACTTCTTGGGTGCGACTCGAAAATTTCAAGCACATCGTCCGAAAATTTCGAAGCAATTATAGCACATAATTAATTATGTAGCTAATTCTTCATCAGAAAGAATATCCAAAATTTCATAATTTTGTGTTTCAATTCATCGTTGTTCTTTTCCTCGTTATTGTCTCATACAAATTCTGCCTTGAAATAAACGAAATTTATAATTCTTCCACTATTTTTCAAATGAATTTTTGAGTAAATAAAAGTTCCAAATGTTTTGAACTTCAGAAAAATTTGCACTTCCGATTACTGTATTTCAAAAAATATGAGGTTACTGTAGAATTTTATATTATTATTTTGCAGTTTGGGTTATTATCAAAGTCAAACTTTTGACTTTACAATTAAATCAAAACTCATAAAGTTTGAGAATAATATTAGGGATTTAGGATTTATAATATCGAAAAAGTTGGATTTTGAGGAACATTGGAAAAAATCTGTTTCTAACAAGGAATGTTCCACAATGTCAAGGAGCCAAGCCATGAGGCGATTCATGTCAAGGAGTCGAGTGTTGAGGCGATTTATGTCAAGGAGTCGAGTGTTGAGACTGTTTCTTTCAAGAGGTGAAGCCTTGAGGTGATGTATTTGAAGCAGCGGAGCCTTGAGAATGTTTCTCTCAAGGAGCCAAGCCTTGAGGCGATTTATATCGAGGAGGCGAGCCTTGAGATTGTTTTGTTTGAAGGAGTGAAGTCTTGAGGTGATGTAATTCAAGGAGCCGAGCGTTGAAAATGTTTCTCTCAAGGAGCCAAGCCTTGAGGCGATTTATGTCAAGGAGGTGAGCCTTGAGAACTTTTTATGCTATATTCAACGCCTTGAGAACATATTTGACTATGTTGTCACCTTGGAAAAAAAAATCATGAAGCATGTGGGATCGAACCCATGACTGATTTCTTAATAATCATGCGTGTTAACCACTCGGTTTCTGGAGATTCGCCTACAAAACTAAAAAGGCTTCATCACAGGTGATTTCCAAAAGTATGACAAAACGTGCACGTGTACGTTATGTGTACGTCTCTCTATCCTTTATGTGTACGTTTCCTATCCTTTTCGTATACTTCAAAATTTCCGATTTCCAGCCTATTTTCAGCTTTTCCTAGCTGAAAATGCTGAAATTCATCTCGTCACACACTTTTCAGAGGTCCCCCAACAAAAACCCAAAGTTTGAGCCCAACTTCAAAATTTTCGATTTTCAGCCTATTTTCAGCTTTTCCTAGCTGAAAGTGACCCCAGAAGCTTAAAATCACACTTTCAGATACTTAGTTCAAGTCCACACACCTTATCTGAAAGTTTGGGGTTCTCGCTGAAATTTTGATTTTCTAACCTTTTTCTATCCTTTTTCTACCCAAAAAGGATAGAAAACGTATACGAAAAGGATAGGAAACGTACACATAACGTATAGATACACGTGCACGTTTTGTCATACTTTTGGAAATCACCTGTGATATTCCACGGTCAATTTTCCTGAAAAGTTGTGCCTAGACCTAATTTTGCGTTTTGAGTGCTTTGGAAGCAACTAGAATTCATGAATTTGCCTCCTTCATGCTTTTTCAATTTTGGGTCATTTCAAACTTTTTCGTTTTCATGGGTTTTCAATCTCTAAATTTTTTTTCATAATCATGGCTGGGGTGAAACGCAGAACAGGCCCCCACCCATATCATTTTATGCCCCCGATTCGGAACCATGTTACAGGCCCCCGCGCGGTATTTTCAAAAAAATAAACTTTGGAAAAAATAACGAAACAAAAATTTTTTCTGACCTACCCGCGAAAAAGAAAATTGCACGTAGCAAATTTTTGTTACTCTGGTAGCTCAGAGAAATGGGCTGGGGAACCGGCGGAAAACTTTCGGAGATCCAGCCTACGGCTGGCGGTTCGCCGAGAGTTCTCCGCCGGTTATCCGAAAGTTTTCCATAGTTTCTCCGACAGTTCTCCATTGTTTCTCCGCTAGGCGCTTTTTTGCACTTTTTCGCTCTTCAAACTAGAAAATTTTCTCCAGCCGAAAAATCAGCACCACATGACTTATCGTACCGAAAAAAAAAATTTTTTTTTTGAGTGATATGGTCCTTTAAAAGTGATATTCATACAAAAACATTATCACTGGGCGAATCCCCATACCTGAAAACCCACAAATTCCGATTTTCAGATCAATCAGATGATATTGATAATTTAGTGATAACAGCTGATAAGAGCTTTTGAGATGAAGCTTGATGTATAAAGTTATCAAAAAAATCTCTATTAGCCCCAGACATCATTTTCCGCAAGTTTCAGCCAAATCTGAGCATATTGATAATTTAGTGATAACAGCTGATAAGAGCTTCTGAGGTGAAGCTGGAGCTCTAAACTTATCAAAAATAGTCTCTACTAGCTTCAGAGATCATGTTTTCCAAGTTTCAGCCAAATGTGAGCATATTGATGAATTAGTGATAAGGACTGATAAGAGCTTCTGAGATGAAGCTGGAGCTCTAAACTTATCAAAATTGTCATCTACTATCGCCAAACATCATTTCCTCCAACTCCCAGCTCAATCTGATAATTTTGAGATTTCACTGATAATCACTGATAAGAGGTGATACGCGTATTTTCGTGTCATATCATTATCACCATGATGCTCCACGGAGCCGAAAACCCCCCGTCCATCAATTTCAGAAATTAAAATCAATTTCTGAAAATTCGAAAAAAAAATTTCTTAGTCGAACCGAGTCGATAAAAAGGCTATCGACTCGACTTTAGTCGATAGCTTATCGACTTGGCTTATCGACTAAACGACTTAGTCGTTAGCCGAGTCGTTTATTTTCTCTTATCGACTCGACTAAAAGTCGATAATTATCGACTTGAGTCTAGTCGTTGACCAACTATACATCCATCTAACAATCCTAGACGTCCAGATATTCCTAAATTTCAGACTCATTTTTGACTAATAACAAGCCTATAAATCGAAAATGGGTCTGAAGTTTATGGATCTCTGGACGTCTGATTGAACTCTAAAATTGTTAGATGAATGTAATTTCATATTTCTCACTTTCAAATTGATCATAAAGCAGCTTTTTCGCTAGATTTAGAAACTTTTATTAAATTTTGACTAATAATATGTACCGTATTAGTCTATAATAGGCCCAAATTAAAAATAAGTCAATAATAGACTAATAATAAGCTGATCTGTAATTGCCTGTGCACAGGAAATTCGAAAAAACAGTTCAAAAAGCGCAAGCCCCGCCCACTTTCCATGAAAAACATGGCGCCACACACTACCCGCCAGATGTCCGTCGCTCGCATTAAATAAATAAAAAAATTTTGGCGCTCCAGGCACTGTCAACCTGTTGACTCTTCGCGCTTACAGAAAGTGCTGATGGACATGATTGATCCATGATAAGTAATTTTTGAACCTTGAACATCAATAGAATTGATTTCAGTTATTATATTCCAATTTAAAAATTCGGCAATTTTAGACTAATATTCGACCTATTTTTGACTAATAATAAGCCAATAATATGTACCGTATTAGCCTATAATAGGCCTATATTCATTTTGAACAATAGGTCAATAATAGACTAATAATAAGCTTATCTGTAATTGCCTGTGTGATTTGTAAATTTTGAGTGGAAAAAACGAACCCCATTATTTTCAACCCCATTTGGTATTATGAAAAATTTAAACCCATTTGGCTGTACTCTAAGAAATTTACACCCCTTTTTACCATTTCAACCCCATTTGGTCCACCCCATTCTGTTTTTGCCAAAAATCAGAATTAACCTCAGAGATCGCCCAATTCGCCCAGCTCAAGTCGGCGTTGTTTCTCAGTAATTCCACAATATTTATCATTTTCCAAGATAATTTAGGCTCTTTTTGTTTTTTGAATACGGCGCCCAAGTGACAAAAAACCTACGCGATAACGCGTTAGAGAGTGTCCAAATGCAACGATTCTTTTTTGAACGCTTGCTCATATTAACATATATTTTCAGTCATTAACTTCAGAATGTCCTAAAAAACAAATTTGACACTTACAAATTTTCTCTGGGCGCTTATTTTTTTTCAACACTCTCTTGGCGCGCACTAACGTATCTACGAACGCTTTTTTTTTCACTTGGACGCCGTATTAAAAAAATTCAAAAAAAATTGGTCTAGCCCCATGCCGGCGCTATTTTTCGGTTAAACAATGCTTTTAAATGCGGTTTTGATCGAGTTTTTTCGTTGAGTTTGAGCTGAATTACGAATTTTCAAAAATATAAGCATTTTTAACTTTTTGGAAATTATTCAGAATTTCGACCTCCGGATTCTCATGAAAGAAATTTTTACTGACAAAATCCCCTTTGTGTTTTTCATAACTTCCCATAAGGATCTATTTGAGCATAAAACCGAACTTTTTCAGGGTTGTCACATTGGGATCTATTCCTTGTCAGTGCTATTAGAAATTTGCACCCCATTTTTTGAAAATACACCCCGTTCAGTACATCTTATTCGGCAAAAACTGAATGGGGTGTATTTTCAAAAAATGGGGTGTATATTTCTAATAATAGCACTGAATGGGGTTTAATTTTGCAATGACTGAATGGGGTGTATTTTCAAAAAGTACTTACACTGAATGGGGTGCAAAATTTAGTTTTTAATTTTGAAAGCGCATTTTAACTCTATTTTTATCACAAGACACATTTCATACTCAAATGTATCCGATCATCGCATGCTAACTTCCAGCAACTCTAAAATGTGTCTTAAAAAACACATTTAAAATGTGTCTCTAAAATGTGTCTTAAAAACACATTTTAGCAAAAGTTCAGATAATTTGTTGATGAACATCCAAAATAAGTTCAAAATTCGAATTCTTTTTTCTAAACTACAAAAAATGATCTAGATCTGAGTTTCAGTTGTGATGTGATCACTATTTTTGTGAAAAACGTCGTGTGATTAACTATCAACTCTTTTTTGAAAATGCACCCCATTTTTTTCGAGCCCCATTCAGTCATTGCAAAATTTAACCCCATTCAGTGTTATTAGCGAGATTTCGCACCCCATTTTTTGAAAATACACCCCATTCAGTTTTTGCCATCCCATTCAGTATTTGCCCTCATTCAGAGTTTACCAAATATCCGATTCATATTTGAAAATAGATATGTTTTATTTGTCTCTAATAAGTCGTTTCCCACTCATTTTCTCACGTCGTGCCACCACACAAGTTCGAGGAGACGCAGACAAACATTTCCGGTTAGAAACTCGCTGTGAGACCTGAACGCATCAAAGGCGAAACCAATTTTGTTGAGATATCGTTTACATTTAGAAAAACTGGCTAAAAATTAAGAGAACGTGGTGAAAACACAGCAAAACGTGGTGAAAAAGAAAACGAATAAAGAAACAACAAATGTGTGAATTCTGTCACCGCGGTCTGTGCACAATTGCCTACAGTACACAAAACAAACATTCTCCCGCGCGTGTTAATTTCTTGTCAGCGTGTGTGCACTAAGTATGTCCCCCCCCCCCGAAGAGGTGAACTGCTGAGTACAGTATCTTAACCCGCCTGCGAATCAAACTTTGCAACATAGCGCGTTTCCTTCTGTTAAAAAATGCTCGCCGCCTAGCGACTTTTCCGCGCTGCATGCTGACATGATGAGGGTTTCACCAGTCCTCACCCAACTTTTGATAACTTCTTTAATCTTTTGTTTTACCAAGAGCTCTTCAATTTTCAGATAAAATTGGACTGAAATTGTGAGTCACTTCAGAAGATGGATCAAAGTACAATTCAATATTTGGAGAAGGTAATTTTTACCACCAGCATATCAAGTGAGAAATCAAAAAGATGTGTGGTCGCTTTTGCAAGGCGTAATGCTATATCATACCGACACGGAACAGAACATTCAAAATTTGAACTTCATGATGAATTGGTGTTAAATAATGTTAAAAATCCAAACATAATCATTAGGGTTGGTTTTAAGTTCTTCAAAAGAGTGAGTTAAAAACACGTTTTGTAAAAACCTAAACTTTCTATTGGAAAAATCCATCTGACAAAGAAATTGTATAAGGTCACGGAATAAACTTTCTATGAGACTTGGTACACATATAGGTTCGAACACACAGATCTCGAATCGGTTTTCAAAAATTGCCACAAAGGGAGTTTCGCGTCATTAAAAATTGATCATTTTTTCAAGTGCCATTTTCATATTCGACATTTTTGACACTAAAAATAATTTTCTGCTCATTTCTAGATGCTCTTGTATCTTTAATAAAAATTGACGGATTCTGAGTCTTTGGGTCTTCTTACAAAAAAATGTTTTGAACTTTTTTCAGGTTTCGGTCGTTTTTATCTCCGATAGAAACGATTACATAGTTTTTCAAACAATTGATGACCCTTTCCCGGATATTCCAATTGGCTATGAAATTATCTATCGAGGTCAAGATTATCGTTCGTTGGGACTCGATTTTAATAGAGGATTAGTGTGGAAAAACGGCATCATCTCGTCAGCAGGAGGTAGTTTTGAGATTTTTAAAAACATTCACATTTTGATTTAGCTGGATATATCAATGGATCTTCTCCTTGTGAAAAAGGCGATAGCGGATCTGCTGTATTCGACTTGACTGGCCGGATTTTGGGAATAGTAGTTGATAAGAAATCTTTTAAATTTTCAAATCTCAACATCAGCAAAGGGACTGTTGATTCCGCAATTGAGACACCAAAAGTGAATTGTACGGAAATTGCTGACCATTTCAATATAACCATCATTTTTCCTATACACACTGTATTATCAAATTTAGATGTTCCGGAGGAAACACTGGTGAGTTCATCTGATTTGCAGATTGGTTGAATTTCAATTTTTAGTACGAACCTGTTGAAAAAAAACCAAATTTTGCTGCCGAGGAAGGAACAATTTAAATTCATGTTTTCGCTGGTTTTCGAATGGCTCTCATTCCAAAATAATTTGTAATTATTTTTATTTGAAAATACTAGTCATAAAAATGTTCATATGGAACTAAAAAGATTAATTACTGTATTCAAAAAAGTTTAAGAGAAATTTTTCTGCGCGCGCTAAAATCTGTGTCTCTCGGAAATGACAAGAAAAAACATCGTGTGCAATTTGGGTTGAAAATGCCATTTCACAATACGTTTCAAATAATACCCTTAAGGGTAATTATTTCACAAAAGATGATGTACCATAATCTGGCCACGATGTAAATTGAACCTGCTCAACTGTGTGAAATTTCCCAGTAGTCCTATTAAAAATACGACAAGTAAGTTTGGAAATTAAAAATACAATTTGAAAAAATTTGGAAATTTTCAGAGAACCAAAACGTAAACCACGAAATTTGGAAGAAATGTCGGCTGAAGCTAAAAAATATAGAGATGCATTCCAAAATAATTTGTAATTATTTTTATTTGAAATTACTAGTCATAAAAATGTTTGCAAGAAATGAAAGAGATTACTGTAGTTCAAAAAATATGAGGATACTGTAGAAGAAGTTTCTGCACACGCTAAAATCTGCATCCCTCGGAAATGACAAGAAAAAACATCGTGTGCAATTTGAGTTGAAAATGCCTTTTCACAATACGTTTCAAATAATATCCTTGAAGAACTCGATTTGTACAAAAATTGCTTCGTAGTCGACAAGTTGGACATAAGGCTGAAATAATATTTGTTATTTATATGAAAAATGTAATGCGTTTGCCATCCTCGAGCAAAAACGCGTATTATATCAACAACTAGATTCATAAAAAAATAAGTTAACTCACTTGGTTTGATGGGCTTAATGGTGGTGCTGCACTAGTTATGTTTTGATCGATAAGAGAGCTTGTTTCAACCGTCATCTCTTTTATTTTCCAGCTTTCAATGTGTCTCTCCTTTGATATTTGTATCTCTACATTATTATTGATCAATAAATAATAAGAAATTGGTGGTTCTACAATAACTTTTCCAATCCGCATCAATTCCATTTTATTTGGAAAATCAATCGGTTTCAACCAAGACCATTGAACCAATATAAAGAACGCGGTGAAAACTTCTTGCGGATCGCTGTAACTGTGAACTTCACAAAAATACTATCAAAACCAACATTTGAAAAATTGATCCGGTGGCACCATATGGAATCTTCTGAAATTTTTTAGATTTTATTTCTCTATAATTTTATAATGTAGAGGAAATTGAGGCAATTTTGATTCTACATCTAATTATAAATGTTTTTTTTTCAGGAGCTTTAGAAAAATTTCAGATGCAGAAATGTTTTCTAAAATGGACCCATTTTTCGTAAATCATATGAAAAACTCATTAAAATGACACTGTTTACCCTTTATGCCTATGGAAAAAAAGTCCAATGAGTCAAATCAAAATACGTTTCAAATAAACGAGAGAAATTTGGAATCCCATCGGACCTAGTTGATTTCTTCAATGCATTCATAAGTGATCGGAAATCTTTTGTGAAGATTAATTCGTTTGTCTCAAATAAGTGTTTTGATGTATTGTCCGGGGTGTTACAAGGAACGGTCACAGGGCCTTTGTTGTTTCTCATCTACATAGATGATATCGTGAAGGTCATCCCCGATAATGTTCAAATACAGATTTTTGCAGATGACATAAAGATTTTTAGTTCAGACCCAATAGCTCTCCAAGAAGCTCTAACAAACATTCAGTTGTGGTCTTCAAAGTGGGACCTCCCTATTGCTCCTAATAAAACAACGGTGCTACATCTTGGTAAAACCAATCCAAGAGTGTCTTACACAATGAACGACACGGTTATTGCTGCATCAGAAGTTGTAAGAGACCTCGGGGTTTGGATCGACCGGAATCTATCATTTGATCACCATGTAAATACAGTGGTACAGAAAGCCATTTGGAAGTCCCGTCTAATCATGAAGGCATTTCAATTCGGTCACCTGAATACTTATTTATTATTGTACAAAACCTATATTTCACCAATCATAGATTATTGCTCTGAAATTTATCGTCCTCTGATATCTAGAAAGCTGAGTTTATTAGCCGAATCACCATTACGGAGATATTCAAGATCTATCTTCCGCAGATGCAACATGTCTTATGAATCCTATGAGGATCGGTTGTTAAAATTGGAATACTTTAGTGCAGAAAGGAGAAGTTTAAACTCGGGGATCTTTACTTTCCTAGGGATTCTTGAAGGGTCCATCCACTTTCCCTCCCTTTGTACATTTGTTTGCAGGAAATATTGTCAGCGTTTTCCACTTCAGCGGAGCCTAACAGAATTATGCCCAGTTAACAGTTTCTTTGGAAAAATTATCCCGGTCTGGAACGAAATTGTCAAAAAGGTCAAACCCAACATCAGCTCAAAGCAATTGCGCGATTTCATCCTATCCATACCTGATGCCAACCTAGTTGGTCCTTCCCAGAGCCCTTGGCTCATGAATTCTCTTGTCAGGAATTGAGAGCCATTGTAATGTTAATTTTTCCAAACTTACTTGTCGTATTTTTAATAGGACTACTGGGAAATTTCACACAGTTGAGCAGGTTCAATTTACATCGTGGCCAGATTATGGTACATCATCTTTTGTGAAATAATTACCCTTAAGGGTATTATTTGAAACGTATTGTGAAATGGCATTTTCAACCCAAATTGCACACGATGTTTTTTCTTGTCATTTCCGAGAGACACAGATTTTAGCGCGTGCAGAAAAATTTCTCTTAAACTTTTTTGAATACAGTAATTAATCTTTTTAATTCCATATGAACATTTTTATGACTAGTATTTTCAAATAAAAATAATTACAAATTATTTTGGAATGCATCTCGATATTTCTTAGCTTCAGCCGACATTTCTTCCAAATTTCGTGGTCTACGTTCTGGTTCTCTGAAAATTGAATTTTTATTCAGAAAATTGTATTTTTGAAACCCAACTTACTTATCGTGTGTGGCAAGTTTTTGATAAATCTCATTGTCCCCGAAATCTCCAACTCTGCGCGGTAAAATATGAATATGAACATGCTGAAAAACTTGATTTTTTTGGATTCGTGATAAATTTTTCGACAAAAAACTTACAGGTACAGTTTGTCCCGCCTCTTTTCCGTCTTGAACACAAATCGTAGTTGCATTTACTCCATGGAATTTCTCAATCATTTTTTGAACTTTTTTCGCGAGCACAAATAAATCAGCAGTTTCTTCATCGGAAAGATCAGTGAGACGAAGAGCGACACGTTTTGGGCTGACCAAAACATCTGAAAACCCATATTTGAAACATATTTGAGAGAAAATAATTCTTACGTCCATCTGTGACTGGTTTCAGATTAACAAATGCAAAAGAATGTTGACTTTTCACAAAAATAGTTGACGATTTGATTGGAAATGTTGAAAAAACCAAATCCTCTGAATCATTTGTATCAAATTCATTAATATTCAATGAATACAAATCATTTCTTCGATGCGAAAATACTGGCTGCATTTCCCGTAATTCGGCGACATAATCAAGATCAATTTCAGCAAACGCCATATCAACTCTTTCGGAGCATTGAGCAATTACAGCACCCCATGGATCAATTATCATTGCGTGTCCATAGGATTGTCGTTTTTCATTGTGTTTTCCAGTTTGTGCAGCAGCAACTACATAACATTGAGTTTCAATAGCTCGAGCGCGTAGAAGAGTCTGAATTTCATTTGTTTTTTGCAAAATTTCACCAGAAAATCTCACCTCCCAATGTGCTAATCCAGTATTCAAAGTAAAAGCAGATGGATATGATAATACTTGTGCACCTCGTTTTCGATTAAAAAGCGCCAATTCAGCAAATCTCACATCATAACAAATCGATAATCCCAATTTTCCAATTGGTGTATCAATTGGTGCAATCATTTGATCTCCAGATTTACTGAATTCACTTTCCATCAAACGAAGTTTTCCGGGGATTTCGAGATCGAAAAGATGAAGTTTTCGATAATCAGCGCGAGTTTCGCCGTTTGAATCGATTACTAGGTGAGAATTCCATGGGCGGGTGGAGTCATTTGGATCCTGCAAAAATTTTGGTTGTAGGAAAAATGAAAATGAGCAATTTTTAGAATGGAGGGAAGATTTTTGAAATGTTATCCCAAATTTTCAAAAATTATGTTCTCTGAGATCCAAAATTTGAAAACAATATCAAAACGAGTTTCGAACAATTAATTCCTTGGGAAGTTTGAGAACTGATTTCGGAAAAAAAGCTCTAAAATTTGGATCAATTGATGTTCAATGATCAGTAATTAAGATCTAGATATTTTGAAAGACTGTGCACATCAAAAAATGTAACGTTGGAGGGGGTCATTTTCAGCTTCAAAAATTGGAAAGTGAAAACAGTGAAGTTAGGCGAAAAAAATTGGAGAAATTTAATTTAATCTTAAATATTTTCCTGAATTTATCGATTTTTAGGAATCCCAATTTCGACTTGTGGAGCGAGAAAATATATGTCGAGCTCTTCAAGAGGAAATTTTGAAACGTATTTTGAAATGACGTTTTAAAACCAAATAATATAATCTTTTTTGGAATCTTTCGAGCAATTAAATAATATATCCAATCTTATTTCAAGTTTCCCAAACATTTTCACATTTTCCCAAAAATATTTGAGAATTAAATTTGGGCAAAGAATGATTCATTGGGAAGAATAAAAACAGCTTTGGGAAATCAGCGAATTTCAAAATTTCCCGCATTTTTTATTCGATTTATAGAAAATATGCTCGATCTCTTCAAATTTTTCCCCTCAAAAACTGATCAAAATCTTACCGCATGATGTAATCCTCCCAAAGACAACCATAAATTATGCTTCTTGGCAAGTTGTCGATATTGTTGAATGAACTCAGATTTCTCACTCATCGCCAATTCAATCGTCTCTTTTTTATCTCTCCCAATATAATCAAAACATTCCGGGAAGAATACCATTTCGCATTTTTTCTCTCCAGCTCTTTCAATCATTTTCTTTGCAGTTTCAAAATTCTTTGATAAATCATGATCACTTGTCATTTGACATACTGCGATCTGAAGTTTTCCTGATTTTTTTTTCAAATTTAATTTTGGTAAGAGAAAACTTACAAAATGTCTTCCAGTTGCCATGGTTCGCCTGAGAATCAAAGAAGTCATTAACACTAAAAAACTAGAGAAAAATTAATTGTTGAGAAACAAAAAGATAAGAAATTGATCGGATACATTTTACATTTTCGCATCAAAGAACCATTATTTATTATATTTATAAAAAAAACAACTAAATTTTTAAGCAGCTATTAAAAACAGGAAACAACATGGCTAGGAATAGATCGAACCTGAAAATAAAGTTTCTATGTTAATATTTTTATTTCAAAAATTACCGTAATAAATCTTGACTATATAACAATTTCTATTCTTTTTTCTCACTATTCAATTTCTCGTGTTCTTTCTGAAGTCGAATAATTTGTGAAGAAGAACTTGTATTTGCATGCGCGCTATTTTTTCGGCTAACACTTCGAACTCCATGATTTCGATATCGATACCATCTTCTACCATACATACTTTTATTTAATTCGTATTCAGCGCGAACCTAAAGAAAAAGTGAAATAATTCGAGAGAATCTCCAGATAGTCCCAACCTTATATTCCACCTCATTCAAAGTCTTCAATTTTCCCATTCTCCGTAAAATCCAAAATGATGATTGTATCAAAAACAAAGTTGTGGCATATCGTAATGGAGTTGCGATTTTGTATAAAATTAGTGCGAGAACAATTACACCAGCGGTTTCGGGAGTACTTTTGACTTTTTCAATGATTGCGTCAGGCATGTGAAGATATTCGAGAAGTGCAATAATATCAACTCCACTGAAAAAATAGATTCAGGATTTTTTGAAAAAATTTTGACGAGGGAATTTTTAATCACCATTTTGGGGCTCAAAATTTGAGCATACCTTTATTTTCAAAATTCAGATTCTTACAATTTTGAGAGATTTTAAAATTGAGTTTTCGAGAACAAATTTGAGCACATATTGATTTTTAGGAGCTCTAATTATGATTTCAAGCTTTTTATGGAAGATTCTGATCGGAAAACCAAAGTTCAAGGAAAAAATTATTTCTGGAGCCCTAGACAACAGTCTTAACCCCACAAACCTTTGAACAATTAAATACGCTCCAACAAACCATCCAGTCGAACTTGCCATATGAGCTGGAACTGCTATATACCAATATCTTTTGAAATAATATTTAACCTTTGCGAATAATGATTTTGGCGCTTGTTCTTGACTCATTTCCTCAATTTTCTTGGTTTTCGCCTTTTTCTGCTCATCCGACATTGTTAGACGAAACCAGCTTTTTTTATTCTCATCCCATGTTTTTCTAGTAGTTTGAATCATTCTTTGTTGATTTATTAAATTTAATGATTCTTTTCGAATGATTGACATTCGAATTATACTTCGACACAACATCTGAAAACGTATTTTTTCTAGACTAGAATTTTTGAACTTTCGGAAATAAAAGAGAACATTGAACTCTTAATTATCTTATTTATATTACTCTATTCATTCTCATATACTTTGAACAAAAACTTTTTAATTACATAATGTATATAGCTTTAATAAATTAAACAACAAGAAGAACCAGTAATTTGAAAGGGGGAAAAGGCGTCAAGGTGATAAAAATTTAGTGGACGAGGTCGTTCTTTTGACGGATGGCGTAGTACAATCCAACAACAGCCAAGACAACAGCAACAGTTTCGGAAGAAACTGGCGAAGCTCTGCTGAGACCCTGCAAAAAAACCAATGATGCAAATGTCTATTGTGAAATATCTAATAAAAACTCACAGCATGTTGATGGGTGATGGTGAAAAGTGGTTGAGTGTTGGCGTTCTTGGCGTATGCAGCAGCTCCTTCTTCATCGAAAATGTTGATGTTGAAAGTTTGGGATGATGAACGAGCGTGGTCGAGAACCCATGAGACTTGGTATTTGGCGGTTTCTTCCGAGACAGCGACTGGCACAACGTTTCCGTTGATTTCAGCAAAGAATTGAGCGTTCTGAAAAATCAAATTGTTTATGTTTTTTCAGTCGAAAAAAGACGATGTGTAATCAGAAGTTTGGAAACTGAAAATTTCAAAAACTGAAAAAAGTTCTGAAATAATAAATAAAAACTTTATTCATAACAATTTTTCTAGTTTCTAAATACTTGATTCTTAGTTTTGAAACAAATAAAATGTTCCAAACTTTCAGACTACAACAGAATAGTTATTCTAAATATTTTCTACCTATTTTTTTCAGTCGGTCCGAAGAAAATCTCCCGGAAAATTCATTAAAAATCCATAAATTCCAAAAAATCAGTAAAATATTTTCTTTAAATCCACCTTCCTGTGGAATAGATCCAGGTGATAACACTTTCATTTTAAAATTCCGAGATTTCGAGATGAGATCTCACCTTTGGGCTGTTTCCGCATTGGAGAGTGAATTCAGTGATGTAGGTGGTCTTGAAGTGGAAGAATCCGTCGGTTGTCGAGAATGTTGTTGCTGAGTGTTTTGGCGATTCGCATTTAGCTGAAATTCAAGATTTTTTTCACCAGAAAAATAAAAATGTATTATTTTTTGTCAAAACAAAAAAACTAACCGAAAGCTGAAGCGATAAGACAGGCGGCAACGACAAACTTGAACATTTTACCTGGAATTATTAAGTTAATCAAAAAATATGCGTCCAAGACCGACAAGAAAATTAATAAACGGGAAATGAAAAACAGAACATTTATCGCGTAAATGCATCCATCGAGATTCGTCTGGCCGTCTGCCAATTTTGCAGTTGTTCGCTTTTCGCGGCGAGACACACACCGGTTTTCTCATGCGTGTCCCTTTATTTTTCTCGTTTGATTTTTCACTCGCGAATTCGCATCAGCTGTGCCTGGTTTTCATCGATTACATCGTTGCTATTTTCAGAATTTCATAATGTCCTCAAGCAGCAGTGGCCCAGATGTGAAAATCCATAATGTTTACCTGTCAAATGTTGAAGAAGAATTCGCTAGAATGAGGTCTTTTGTTGAAGTAGGCAAATTGAAATTTTCGGCAAATAAAAATGAATTGTTTTTAGGATTATCCATTTGTGGCTATGGATACTGAATTCCCTGGTGTTGTTGCCACTCCATTGGGAACATTCAGAAGCAAAGAGGATTTCAATTATCAACAAGTTTTTTGTAATGTAAACATGTTGAAATTAATACAAGTCGGATTTGTATTGGTGAATGATAAAGGAGAATTGCCACCCTCTGGCGATGTTTGGCAATTCAACTTCAATTTCTCCTTCAATGAAGATATGTTTTCACAAGAAAGTGTTGATATGTTGAGAACAGCTGGTATTGATTTCAATGCTCTTCAAAACAACGGAATCCCAACACACGTTTTCGGTGAACTTCTTACAACTTCTGGATTGGTTACTGATCCTCGAATCACATGGCTTACATTTTCATCAGGTTATGACTTCGGATATTTATTGAAAAGTATAACATTAAGCGATTTACCAAAAGAAGTAGGTTTCAAAGTACAAAAGATCAGCAAAGTGAAATGTATTCTATTTTAGGAATCTCAATTTTTCGCGTACCATCGAACATTATTTCCCACAAGTTTTGACATCAAAATATTGTTACGGACGCCAAATTGTGTGACTGCTAAACTAAAAGGAGGATTACAAGAAGTTGCTGATCAATTAGATGTGAAAAGACAAGGAGTTCGTCATCAAGCTGGTTCTGATGCTCTTCTTACAGCTGCAACTTTCTTCAAAATCAAAAAGCAATTTTTCAACGATAGTTGGGAACAAGTAAGAATTTTCCTAGAAAATGTAATTCTCACAATAAAAATCAAATTTTTCAGATAGCTCCAATGCTTTGCGGTCATATGTTTGGACTTGGCTCGTCACTTTCTCTCTTCCAACAATCAAAACTCGGTGAAGAACATGTAAATGCACAAAAAGAAATAATGACCTCGTAATTTTGTTTAAACTTCCATTTTATATATTACATACAAAATCATCGGGTTCCATTTTCCTCTTTTTTTCCGAAAAATCCCATTTTTCTTTTTATTAATCCAAATTGTAGTTTTTTTCGTGTGCAACTTGTTGTTGGTTCCCAAAAAACAATTCTTGAACCAATCTCAACCCAAATTTTCGTTTTTGTCAAATTTTGGTATTTTTCATCGTCTAGAATTTGTTGCCAAAATCTATTCGGATGATTTCTTAATCTCACCATTTATATTTTTCTGTAACGAATTGTAATTTCTTTGGAAGAAATTACTAATTTCTTTATTGCTTTTTTCTTTTTATTATTATTTCCTATTATTATTATCTCAAAAACTATTCCCCCAAAAAAATAAAAATGTCGAAATGCAAATTTTTCTTTGAGAGAAACGCGTTCACAACTCGCCAAGTTATCTGAACTTAAAAATTTAGTTTTGTTTCAAAATTGAGTTATTAGATGCCAAGTGGTGGACAAAGAAAACACACAATTTCAAACAAGACAAGAAAACGACCAGGAAAGGATTTGGATCAAATCCATGAAGATTTGAAGCCTGAAAAAGCTGCTAAATTGGTCAATCAAGAGGTCGATTATGATTTACCTGGAAATGGTCAATTTTATTGCATCGAATGTGAAAGACATTTTGTAGATGAAAAAACTAGACAAATTCATAGGAAAACTAAAGTAAGTCAATATTTTAAAGCCATTAAATCCACCTTAAAATCTCTAGGTTCATAAAAATCGTGTGAAAACTCTGAAAGAAGTTCCATATTCAATCAAAGAAGCAGAAGCTGCTGGCGGTTCTGGTCATTTTCCACATGTCACTTTGAAATCACGTGTTCCAGATCATCCCGAATATTTGCCAAAAGTTGAGATTGAGTAATGTTGGTGCGCAAACTCTAATCCCTTTTTGTTCTTTCTGTTGTTGTTTTTGTTGTTGTTACATTAAGAAAAATCTTTTTAAAAAATAATATCATTTTGAATAACAAAGAAATCAAAAATACTGAAAATGACATTGAGAGCTAAAATTTATATGAAAAGGGTAAAATAAGTTCATAAAAAGGAAGGGCAAGATAAAAAACAAACCAAATTATGCTCATGATCACTTTTTCGATGTAAACTCTTCGATTTTTGCCGCGCATTTTGAGGCCAAATCTTCGGTTGCAAAACGAATTGCCATTGTTGACATTTCGGTTGCAGTTGCTGGACAAGTCAACTGAAAAACAAAAGATTTCAGGTTCTAATTGTAAGGCCGAAATTGGGGAAAATCTCACTCTAATTTTTTTCTCATCAATTTTTGAGGCTTTCATTGCAGCATTACACAAAGAATTCAACCAAACAGTTCCTGGAAATTAATATTTTTAGTTAGGATCTAGAAGAACTTGGTTACCTGTAGCAGTTGCAGCTCGAATCAAAACACTCGATTTTCCATCAGTTTCTTTGATATGCAACATTCCAACTCCTAATTTTTTATATTCGGAATCAACGAATTTGAAGACAGAGACTCTGAAATAATATTTTGACTATTCAAAACAAAAAATGAAAATCAACATACTTGCTGGAAAATACAGCATCCGGTTCTTCATTTTCAACAGTTTCAACCTTTGGTGGCACATATTCAGCTTCATCATTATCATTTGCTCCTTCTGTAGCGGCTGCTGAATTTTCAGCTGCTTGTTTTGTCAAATTCGCGAATAAACCACCGCCTGGAGCACCGAAGGTTAATGGAGTCGATCCGAGACCACTTTCAGCTGGTTTTGAACCGAAACTTGGGAATGAAAGTTTTGAGGATGGGTTGCTGAAAAATTAGATTTTTATTAGAAATCAGTAAAAATGTACCTTTCTGTTGTTGATTGTCCAAAATTGAGGAACGATGATGGCTTTGAAGAGCTGAAAATATTTCAAAATTATAAAAAAAATAAATTCAGCAAAAATACCTTTCACTACTGCTATCAGCCTTTCCAAAACTTGGGAACGAAAGTTGTTTTGTTGAACTGGAATCAAACATCATATGTAGTTTTTCATCTGAACTTGAGATCAACATACCTTTCAGTACTTTTACCAAAACTTGGGAATGATAGCGGTTTTTCTGACCCGCTTTTTTCTTCTTTACCAAATGAGTTGTTCAATTTATCTCCGAAGCTTGGGAATTTTACGCCTGAAGATTCTGTAGATTTTCCGAACATAGAGAATGAAGTGCTTGTAGAACCCGTAGACTTTGAGTTTGAATCAGATAATTTTGGGCTAAATTTTAATATATTAGAATTAAATAACTATGCTTCATTATTACCTTGATGTTTCTTTATCGTTGACTTCTGATTGTTTTTCTTCATTTCCTTTGCCGAACGAGAAACCGGTGAATTTTTTGGTTGAATTGTCATCTCTGAAATCACATTGTTTTCTAACATCATCAAAAATTCAACTAACTCTTTCAAAAATCCGAAAAGACTTCCACCTCCATTTGGAGCATCACTATTTGTAGTCTCCTTCTTTTTCCAAAAATCAGGAGTTGGTGTTGGTAACTTGATTTCTGGTCCACTCAATTTAACAGTTGATTTTTCGATTTCTCCAGTTTTGAAAATAACAGATTCTGATCCTCCAAGAGGTCCTCCGCCACGAATCGCGCGTTTTCGACCAGCTGGCGGTGCTGGATCGGATGGTGCTTTTTCGATTGTTGCCGGAGTTGAACTTGGAATTCTAGAAATATTTCCGAAATTCGGGGTTGGTGGTATAACTGCTGGCGAAGAAGATGCAAATGTTGAAGTTGTTGTTGATTTTGTGACTGGCGTATTTTTTCGGGCTGCTTTCAGCATTTTTCTTTGAACTGGTAATTTTTCTGTCGATGGGTTTGAAACTATTGGAGCATTTTTTGTTGAGTTTTCATCTGTGTCATCATTCACTTTATACATCGATCTTAGCGATTTCACATGTTCGATATATGATTGCATAGTACTCGTCTAAAAATTTGGAAATAAAAGATGTTTCAAAGAAAATTGGATGAAAACTTACAAAATCATAATGAGCTTTCTCGTCATAAAAATGTTGGATAACTTTTATAAATTCTGAATTCAATAGATTCATCTTGTCCCGAAGTCGAAATTTATTCATTTGTTCTTCAGAAGTTGGTGGAACAATTGAATCTCCCATTTTACTGAAAAATGTATGATTATTGACAGAATTCAACTCTAAAAGTTCATATTGGCGCGACGCGGTGATTTTTTTTTTCAAAAAAAAGAAATGTGCGATGTTGCGTCATATTGTTTGCTTCGAGTAACATTATGAATGACGAGAAATTGCGTACTCTCTTGGTGCGGCCATCCATTTATTTTTGTTTCTGTTGTTTTTGTCAAGAAAAAACCTGTTCAAACTAGTAAAAGCTTTCTAATTGCCTCATTTTTAGACTTATTGAGGTGAAGAATCTCAAAATACCCAATTTGCGCTAAAAATTTTATCATTTCGATAAGTTATGATACCCCTTTTCAATGTTGTTATTGTTCTTCATTTTTCTTATCAAAACTTGATATTTGCATTCTCAGGTTTAAATTTCAGAAATGTTCCGAGTAATTGCAAGCCGTGCAGCAACTTGTGCTCTTCGCACTGTCCCAGTCGCTAAACATTTTTCGACTTTGACAAAGAAACAAGTCTTAACCCCTCTCGCTGTTTCGATCAACAAAAACACAACTCAAATCAGACAATTCTCTGCCAAGGTCAGTTTATTTTTATAAATCACACCCGTTCAAACAATGAAAAAATTAGAAATTTCTTTTATTCACACTGCGCCACAATTTGCAAAGGAATTAGCTAACTAAGTGGCAAAACTAAATATACCATTAGAATCAGCGCATCGAGATCTGTGTGAGACTACGCATTTCGAAATTTTTAGGGTCCTGCGAAGAAAGTTAGCAATCGCGACAAGACCCAACGCATGAAATTTATCATGTTCCTTTAATACTGTAGTGCGAAATATAACGGCGAACAGAGAGAATTAGACAAAAGTGTTTGCACAGTTTTTTGTTTTGTTTTACAGTAGAAAACACTCATTGCGTGGCTTGAACGGGTGTGAAATATAATAAATTGATTATTCTGAAATTGATACTTTGCAGGCTCCATTAACAAAAAAGACACTGGAAGAGAGAATCATTTTGGTTCTTAGTCTTTATGATAAAATTGATGCGAAAAAGTTGACAATGGACTCTGATTTCACAAAAGATTTGGGATTGGATTCATTGGATCACGTTGAAGTTGTTATGGCGATTGAAGAGGAGTTCGGTTTCGAAATTCCAGACGGAGATGCTGATCGTTTCAAGACACCTCGTGACATTTTCCAATACATTGCAGACAAGGAAGATGTTTTTGAATAAGTGCTCATTTTCTCTGGTAAATTCCGGTTTTAGGCCTTGTAGACTCAATTTTTCTTTGTTAAATAAATTTATATTGAACAAAAAATTTGGAGTTTTATGTGTTTTCAAGACAAAAGTTTATAAAACTTTTCGATATTTTCAAGGAAAATTGTGTTGGAGTATTTTAGAGTAGAGTAATTTTTAGATTGAGTCGATGAAATGGTTTGGAAAAAGTGTATATAGACCAGTAAATGGAACCGATTCAGAAGATCAGATTGAGGTAGATCAAATATCTTTCACTAGTTCATGTTCTTCGGGTGAAATAGATGAAGAAAAGGAGAAAAGTGTTGATTTAATTCGATTTGATGATTTAGAAATGAATATAAATATAAATGAGCCAGGTTTGTGCTAATCTAGAGAAAAAAAAACTAAGTAATCAAGTTTAGGACCTTCTGAAATATCAATGTTATCAATCGACAGTCCAATAAACGAAAATAGTTTGAAAATACCAGAATATAATGAGCCTACAACAAGTAAAGAAGTCTATAATGAAGGATTATTTGTTAGAAGTTCTATTTTCTGGTTCAATGACAATGAAGTCGATAAATCGAAATTAACTCTCCCAATTTCAAATCGTGGAAGAGTTTGTCGATTTGAAAATGAAGTTGATGATAATCATTTGGAAACAATGTGTAGAGCATTACAAATAACAACTGGAATAACAGAAAGATCGAGGTGGTTGAATGTTTTGGCGAAAAATCCAGTTATGGCGGAACTCGCTAGACAACTTGATGAAGATTTTGGAAAAGTTATCGAAACATCACCTTCAGATAATGATATTGATCTAACTGGTTTTGAAATGCGAACACCTTCGAATTCAGTTTCAACTGTAGTTTCTTCAGTTTCAGGTTAATATTTTCAAAATTCTAAAATCTTATAAATCAACAAAAAATTCAGGTTCTTTCAAAGCAATTTCTCTAAACCAACAAACTTCTGTCGAACTCAGTCCGAATCCCACCTTTTCTAAAGGATTTATTAGAACTGTTGTTCCTGCTCGTAAAGGAATTGATTCAATAGAACTACGAAGAAAAGTGAATGAAAGTGTGTCATCAATTTGTTCAGTAATTGTAAAGAAAACTATTGAAGTTGATCCACCGATTGATAAAAGAATGGTTGCGTGGATGAGAGGATTTGCAGAAGCTGACACGTGGATTCCAGAGGTCAGTGGAATAAAATGTGATAAAGAACATAATTGTTCCCGTGAAAAAAACATCGAAAAACAAAATATACAGAATATTTTTTTTTTTTTTGATTAGTGATAATGTAGAATTGAGGGAGCACAGACACGAGATTTTTGTCTAAATTCTCTCATTTTTACATTGTCTCTAAGCAAAGATAATAATCTGAATAGTTTGTGTGTTTCTGTACAGGAAAAATTATGGTTTTTGTGATTTTTCATTTCAAAAAATTAATCTGAACAGGCTTTTGGCTTTTGGCTTGGGTATCTAATAGACAATTCAATTAGTGATTTCAGATTGCTCCAGCCAGTCGAAAACACGATAATTATTCATACGAAGTTCCACCTCTAAGTGAAGATTGGATATTACACGTTCACAAACCGATTGCACTTCGAGAAGGACTCGAAAAACAACAATGGAAATGTGCACAATGTCGACAATCTCTCACCAATTCCCATATTCTCAATGACAAAGAACTATGTCCAAGATTTTGTGAATATTACGGTTTCTATTTTTGCACACTTTGTCATGGTGGAGACAAAAGTATTATTCCGTCCAAAATTATTTCGCTCTGGAATTTTCAAGAAGCGCTCGTTTGTGATAGAGCTTACAGGTTTGGAATTTTTTTTATAAAAACGTCTTTTGAAAAAATTAAAAATAATTTCGTGTTTTTCTAGATTTTTGCGCGCTGTGCGCGAACTGCCGGTTTTTCGGATTCGAGAAATATCTGGTGATTTGATCAAGAAAAATAAATCGCTTCGAAATGTGATTGATTTGCGAGCTAAATTGAAAGATATGGAACAATATATAAAGATTTGTGTATCTGCTTCGGAACAAGTTACGGATTTTGGAAATTTGGGAACAATGTTTGCATCGCTGGATCGATATTTATTGGAATCTGACGATTTATTTTCACTTAATGATTTATTACGGGTTTATAATAAGGTAAATTTTTTGTTTATAATAAGGTAAATTTTTTGTTTATAATAAGGTAAATTTGTTGTTAAAATGATGTATACAATGTTCTGTTCACAGTTCTATTCACATCAGAAATAATAATTGCCTTGAAAATTTTGCCTCAAAATACGTTTCAAAAAATCCAAAAAGATATTGTCATTCCGAAAATAAAAGAACCCCCGTTTGAATTGGCGGTCACGTACAGTAGACCATATATGTAAACCCTCTCATAATTAGGAGAGGGGGGTTATGACAATTCAGGTCTTTTTCCGAGGGGGAGGTCATGACATTTTGCAAAAAAATCATTCAAAAGAGATCCATGAAACAAGATTTGAAAAAATTTTGTTTCTTGAATCTCTAAAAAATTTTCAATTTTTTCAAAAAATTTAAAAAAAAAGGTGTGCTGGCACTCGGAATCGAACCTGTCCCCTACTGCGCGATGCAAGCGCCTTGTACCACTCGCACATTTGAACCGTTGGAAACGCGTTGCGTTTTCCAGAGACATTCTGGATGAAAACGATGTTTTGAGGAGGGGGTCATTCTGGGGTCAAATTTTTAACACACAAAAAAATCAGATTTTTCAGAAATTTTTAATTTTTTTTGAGTTTTCGGTGGTCTATCGTAATGAAACTTTGGCTAACCTAGTTTTAACATGTATAGTACGGATTTTAGCTATTTTTCTCAGTTTTGGAGCCTAATAAACTGAATTATGACCACCCCCATAATTCGGAGCAAAAATCGTGATTTTAGGGGGGTGGTCATAAATCGGAGATTTTGGGCTCTGGACCTCTAGAGATGATTAATAAGTGATTAACACGTTCTAAACTTATATTGCGGGGGTGATAGGTCTAGTACTTCGCATTGCGAACCTCTAGAAATGACTGATAAGTGATTTTCGTGCTCTGAAGTAATATATGAAAATATATTACTGGTCAACCTCTCAAAAATAATATGAGACATCAGGAACACGCAAAGTTTCATTATGGTAGACTACCAAAAACTTCAATAAAATTAACTTTTCTTCAAAAATCCTATTTTTTGTGTGTTAGAAATAGGGTTGGAAAAACAATACACGGTACACGAATACACGCGATACACGAATACACGGATACACGAATACACGCAATACACGAATACACGGATACACGAATACACGGATACACGAATACACTGTACACGAATACACGGTTTTCTTCTCTTCTCAAGCAATTCAGAAAAAAGCGTGTATTCGTGTATTTTTTTCCAACCCTAGTTAGAAAAATTTAACTTGCGAATGATCTTCACATCAAGAATTAGTATACATCCAGAACGTCATTCGAAAACATCAACATGTTCTCATTGGTCCAAATCATCGAGTGATACAAGGCGATTAACGGTTATTTCTAAAAAAATGTAGCGAAAGAGATTTTTGGCTCGAAATTTTTGAAAATTTTTATACGTGGATTTTTTTGAAATTTTTAAGGGGGGTCATGACAAATGAAAATTTCTAAGAGGGGGAGGTCATGACATTTAGGGTACTATGAGCGGAGATGCCATGTATGCAGTAGACTAAAAATGACGTGACACATGCATATCAAACTGGTTGGCAAATAGCCAACGTGTAAATTTCGCATTTTATTTTTCAAATAGACTCCAAAATTTTGCGAAGTCTACTGTAGTCTTGGTGTCCTAGGCCATTTCGGTTCTCTTCCAAGTTCTTATTTTTTTCGGAATGACAATAGTTCAATTGATGAGATCATCGATGTTTCATCATTTGACAATGTTCTGTTTACATCATCCTAAATTAGGATTAATGATATCTGTAAAAAAATTTTTGTGAAAAATACTACAAGAACATCTTGGCTGAGTTTGCGGTTTCAAAACAGTAAAAATCACCAGAGCCGCGTCTTGAGAACTACTATGTCAAGTAGTCGACCCTAGAAACTTAACTTATCAAGGTTCAGCGCCTAGATATCCTAGTTTTTAAGTGGCCGTGCCTATGGAGCTTTTTTGTTAAAGAAACTTGAGAGAAAATTGAAAATGTCTCACAAAAAAATGTTTAATGTGGTGACTCATGTTTGAAGAAAATAATTTTCTAAGAACAAAAAAATTTCGATTTAGAAAATTCCAGAAAATATTTGTCCTCTACATACAAATACACATTCCAGGATCTTCTAAATCTTCTGGAACCGATCGCAAAACATTCTCGTGCTCATATTCTACGATGTAATCGATGTTCAGATGATGCAAAAGTTTGTGTGAAGTGCAATGATTTGACTGATAAATTATTTCCGTTTGAAGAAAGAGTTGCAAGGTTGGTTACTTCTAGGAATGCCTAGTTTTTCAAATAACCCAATAAACTCACATTTTTTTAAATTTATAATATTTGTAACTGGTTAGAAATGAAGTGGAATCGTGAAATGAGCGGAAAAATTTCTACGGAACGTGAAAAATTGGTGAATTTAAAGGTGGAGTCCGAGCAAAAAATAAGTTGTGCTAATTTGAAAGAGCATGTTGCAATTAGTACAATCCTCGAAGGATTTTTTCTGAAAGCTTCTCTAACATTAGAGAAACACAGCTCCAAACGGTTGGAGATATGGAGTTTCAAGCCATTTTACACGGTGTTTCACTGTTTTTTCGAACTTTGTAATTTTTTAACCAATTTTTGAGAAGCTTCCAGAAAAATCCTTCGAGGATTGTACTAATTAGAACATGCTCTTTCAAATGAGCACAACTTAATTTTTGCTCGGACTCCACCTTTAAATATTTAAAATCAAAACGTGATAATTTTGAGTTAATTTTTAATCTCGAGAACAAAGTAAAAATTCAGGATTTCCAAGTTTCCATTTACAGAAAGTGTAAGCTCTTAACTTTTTAAATAGTAGACTAGTTCTTGTATATTTAAAGAAATCCATTTCAAATTCAGATGCATTGGTTGTGGTGGTTTATCACATGCTCCAAAATGCCCACGCCGTGATGTTCCAAAAGATAGTTCATGTCCAAAATGTGCTCGACTTCTCAAAAGCCGTCCAGCTCCCCAACGACAACAACCCCGCCTTTTATCATTTTCGACCGGTGGTAATTAATGTATAATTTGTCATATTCACCCCTATTTATTTATCACTCTTCTTCTTACCCGCTGCCTTTTCAGTTCCATTTTGTGCCTGTGATTTTCTTTTTTTTTTTCGAAAATAAAGATTCAAGAGTCGGTTGTTTTGATGTTTTTGATTGTTTTGTTCGTTTGTTCGACGTTGGTATTTTGATGTGTTTTTAATCCCAAAAAATTGGGCCAAAAATATATTTTTTTTTTGATTTGAGGGCTATTCGAGCGAATCATGGGGAATATTTTGGTGAGTTTTTATGATTTTTTTTTTGGTAGAATTGTGATTTTTCCGCTGAAAATCAGGGCTGCTTAAGTGGGCCGGATCCAGAAGTTTCCAGGTTGGAAAATGGGTAAATTCACTGCAAAAAATCTTTTTGGCTTCAAAAACCCCCTTTTTTGCTGAAGCGGAACAAGTTTTCTTAAAAATTCGATGAAAAATTGAATTTCAAATTTTCACGAAATATATTGGCTTAAAAATTGATTTCTGAAAAAAAATCTTCAGAGACTTCAATTTTATCCGAAATGATTCTGAAAATTCAGAAAAACTTGATTTTTGCGATCAATTTGGGATATTTTCTAATTTTAGGTTTTATTTTTATATTTTTTGACAATGAAATGCGCTAGATTTTAAGCCAAGCTTCAGATTTTACGGAGTTGATTCGAGTGAAAAAAAAAATGAAGAAAACGTTTTTTTTTTTCTGTTTCTGAATAAATTTTGATTCAGAAAATGTCAAAAAACTATATTTTTGCAAATTTTTTCCAAAGGAAAATGGAAAATTATTCCCCTACAACAATATTTCAGTGGAAAATAATTGAAAAAAAAAGTTATTTGACATCGAAATTTTTCGTCAAAAAACGTTTTTTTATTGATTTTTTCGAGCCGATAAAAATTATTTTTTTCAAAAATACGTGAACGTGACCCAGCTATTCCACATCATATGTCTTTCTTTTCCAAAAAAAATGGATAACCCCATTTCATTTCCAATTATTTGATCTCTCAAAAATGCACTTGATCCCCCACTTCAGCAGCCCTGCAGAAACAAAAATTAAGGCTGAATGGTCATTCACCTTCATTTGGCCGTTTTTGGTTCTTCTTTTCATTCTCAAATACATTGTTAAAAAGGTCCTCGAAAATGTTTTAGATCACTTGATTTTGCTGAAATTGTCCAATTTTCAGCCTTGGGGTGTGCATATTCAATACGCGGATGCTGTTCGACGAAATAATTTGAGACGGCAAAAGGGATTCGAGGATTTTGAGAATAATGTGAAGTTTGAGAAATTGTTGAATGATGAGAAGTGGGTGAGATTTTTGAAGTTTATAATAAAATTTTGATTTTTGTAGAATCAAGGTGGATAAAAGTGATGTGGAAAGTCTCAAAACTGCACTCGAAAAAATCACTTCATATAACTTGGTTGAACTCAGAGGTTTGAATTACTCCACCAAAAAATCGACATCCACTCTAAAATATTCTAGATCGACTCCAAAGCGGCGAATTAAATGCATATACAACCCTTTGTGCTTACACTTATAAAGCATTGGAAGTTAATCGACGAATTAATTGTTGTACTGAAGTTGTCAAAGAGGCTTTCGATTATGCGATTGAAATTGATAAGAAATATGAGAATTCGAATGAGAAACCAGCACTTTATGGATTGCCTTTCAGTGTGAAATCGAATTTTTATGTGAGTTTGGAGTCTTATAAGGGAATTGTTTCATGAGATTTGTAATAATAATTATTTTTTTTTCTAGACATATGTTTTATAAAACATATGTCTAGAAAATTACCGTATTTTAAGTTGAAATTTTTGAAACGTATTTTTTTTCGGGTAACCTTGGATTCTTTTCAAATTTTTTTAGAAATTCGAAAATTTCTCATAAGTATAGTGAAAGCCTGGGCTAAACCCCCCTTTTTCTTTAAATGTTGCCACGTCATAAGTTTTCAGGACGCAGAGTTCTGTATTTCTTGGAAAATCGGGAAAAAATCCAAGATTACAAAAATATTCTGAAAAAAACGATTCACTTTTTTTACGGTGATTTTCTAAAGACAAAATTCGAATAGTTTTTGACCCGCGGATCACTATTAAAATTGCATGACTCAACTTCTAATATGAGTTATGACGTGGCGAAATGGGAAATTATTGAAAAATCTCGATTTTAGGAGCTGAAAATCCTGAGCAAGGCTTTGACGCTAGTTTTCAGCTCCTAATATCCTATTTACAAACTTTGCCACGTCATAACTCATATTAGAAGCTGGAATTTCAGACGACGGAATCGTTATCAGCGGGTCGAAAACCTTCAGAAAATATATAATTTATCGAAAATCTAGAGTGAAATTTGAAAATTTTATAGATGAAAAATTATGATTGTTCAATTGGAGTTGCCAAATTGTTGGATCAACCAAAAGATGAAGATTGTCCATTTGTAACACATTTGATGAATTTGGGAGCGGTTAGTGAAATTTTTCCAAAAAAACATTTCATACAATAATTTTCAGGTTCCATTTGTCCTCACCAATGTTCCACAAGGTCTTCTCTCATTCGTTTGCTCAAATACAGTTTATGGCACAACTTTGAATCCACACGATGTTACACGAACTCCTGGAGGTTCATCTGGAGGTGAAGGCGCGATTATTTCAGCTGGCGGAGCATCGTTTGGAACTGGAAGTGATTTAGCTGGAAGTTTGAGAATTCCAGCATCAATGTGTGGATTGGTAACATTGAAGCCAACGCAAGGTAACTTTTTTTGTCAGATTTTTTCAATTAAAGAAAAATTTCAGATCGATTTGTTGTAACTCATACTCATGGAGGTGTGCCTGGTCGTGGTCGACTTGGACTTAGTTTTGGAGTGTTTACCAAAAATGTTAAAGAGCAAATTTTGCTTTTGGAGCAAGTTATTGGAACTGAAGAATATCGACAATTGGTTCCACAAAATCCATCAGATCCATTGAATTTTGCGAAAGTTGAGAAGATGAAAAGTTTGAAGGTTGGATATTTTGATGATGATGGATTCTGCACACCAGTTCCTTCGTGAGTTCCTAGATATATTGATTCGTGGAAATGTGGATTATTTTCGAGTATCAGAAAATAATTTTGAATTCAGAATTAAAGGGGTTGTACGTGAAAACATTTTTTCCACGAAAATTTTGAAATTTCACCATTTTTCGAAATCAATTTTTTTTTTGAAATTTAGTCCAAAAAATCCATTTATCTTTTGTCATAATATTTCTGATTTCGGTTATTTTTTTTTAATTTTCAAAATCTAAGTTACATTCTCGGAATCCAATCATTCTAAACATTTCCAAGTTTCAAAAAAATCTCTATAAATTCTCATTATTCCAGACATCGAAGAGCTGTTCTCGATACTGTTGAAAAATTGAAAAGTCTTGGACACGAAGCTGTTCGATTTGATGTTCCAAGAGTTATGGATGCTGCTTATTTGTTATTCAAAGTAAGCCTACCTTTTTCTCTCCACCCTCACAATCCCCATTTTTCTTCAGAACGTGATGCCGGATAGCGGAGCTTATATGCGAACAATTTACGAAAACGAAAATATTGATGTAAATATGAAACAATTCGTAACACTTCTAAAAGTTCCGCGAGTTCTTCGTTGGATTGCTGCCAAAATATTGTCCGGTATCTCCCCTCAAATGGCACTGATTTGCTCGGCTTATGTGAAAGATATTGAGGATATTCGATATACTCAGGAATTGACTGATTTATATCGACTCGAATTTTTGAAATATTGGAAAAGTTTGGGCATTGATGTGCTGATTTGTCCAGCGTTTATTGGTTGGTGAAATTTCTAATTTGACTCACTGTCAGAAACTGTAAAGCTCAATTCCTAACATGAGTTATGACGTGGCAAATTTGGGACTTTAGGAAGTCAGAACTAGATTTCAACATATTTTTCGTGAAAATCTGATAGCATAGTGATAGTACTTCAAGAGGGTAGATAACATAAGTTCTTCTAACTTTTTTGAAATATCTTTCGGATTTCACAAAAACCATATAAATTTTGCCACGTCATTACTCATATTAGGAGTTAAGCTTTGCAGTTTTTTGAAATAGTGATCAGCGGGTCGAAAACTTCTAGAAAACATGAGTTTTAAAAGTTCCCCGTATGAATATAGTTGTTTCAGTGCCAGCCATTGCTCATCAATATCCTTCAAAACTCTCAACTGCCGCATTTTCAACTGGTCTCTTCAATATGATCGATTTCCCGGCTGGAGTTGTTCCAACTGGCCACGTCACAACTGAAGATGACAATAATCTTCATGATGACAAACTATTCAACGTTGGCTACAATCCGATTCTCAAAATTCAAAGAGAAGCAGCTGCAAATTCAGTTGGTCTTCCAAATTCTGTACAAATCGTCACTCTTCCCTTCGAAGAGGAACTTTGTCTTCATACAATGCAAATTGTAGAAAATGTTTGGAAAAATTGATTTTTGTTTGAGATTTATACATATTCTTGCCTGTGATATTTACTAATTCTACTTACCCAATAAATTTTATACGAAAAAAAATTGGATTTGGATGGGATTATTGTGTTGAATATTCGAAAATATTACTTTGATTTTGAAAATTTTGAAAATAATCTAAATGATCTAGGAAAATATGGATTTGTTGGTTTTCGATGAGAAGAAAAATTATAGAAAAAATCAGGCTGAAATTAGAAATATTATGACAAAAGATGAATTTGTTGAAATGATTGGATATCAGAGTTTTGATGCGGTTTTGGTGAGTTTCACGAACTTTTTTTCAGCAAAAATATGAGAATTTCAGGTCAAAAATTGAAATTTTCAAAAAATTTGAATTTTGCGAAACATTTTAGGCTGAAAATCACCGTCTAAATTTTTGGCGCCAGAATCCTGAATTAAAAATTTCAGCTGAGTTTTAAAAAACACTGACTTTGAAAATTTGGCGCCAAAAAATTAACCACAACAAGATTTTGACTTGAAAATTAAAATATTTTGAATTTGATCCGAGGAAAACTAACGAGATCATTTTCTCCTGACAATTTTTGCAATTTCACAATTTTTTGAAACGTATTTTTTTCGGGGAATTTTTTTCAGAGTTTTAAAAATTTGCAGATCTCAACTCTCTGATGAATTATAACGTGGCAAAAGCTTACTAGGCTTATAACTAATTTTTGAAAAAATTTTGAATTATTTTTTAATCAGCTCAAATTTTGAATTTAAAACTTTTGTCACTATCAAAAATTTTAGAATTTTCAGTGACAAAAAATTAGTTATTCTATCAAATTTTCAGATTGGCGGGTTAATTCAAATAAATGATGAGCAAATATCTGAAATTTTATACGAAATGGCAGGATTCGGGTTATATTTAGAAGATATTCGAGAAGAAACCAAAAAAATCAGCGAAAATTGCTTTTTTGAAACTGAAGATGATAATGATTTATGGGCAGGTATGATCTTTTGAAGTTCAAACATCAAAAAATCGATTTTTTTCAGCAATGCAACCGAAAACAAATATTCTAGTTTTATCAGCTGAAGAAGCCGCATTTCTAGCTTTTGATTGGAAAGTTTTGAATATTCGAAAATTAGGAAAATGTATTGAAAAAGGTAAGATTTTCATTTTAAAAAACCCCCTCAAAAATCCCCAAAATTTCAGAAAAACTATGGATCAAGTTAGGAGAAATCTATGGAAATATGCAAGAATTTTCGAAATCTTTTTGTGTTTTTCGATATTTGCGGAAAAATGGGTGGAAGGTTAGAAGTGGATTGACATTTGGATGTGATTTTCTGATTTATTGCCTTGGTCCACAGTTTTTTCATTCGAGTGCGGGAGTTTTGATTTGTGATGAAGTTGAGCCGATCAAATTGTTATCGATGACGAGGATTTTATCGCATAATAAAAAGGTGGGGGAGGTTTTTGAAATGGGGAATTTCAAAATGAAAAGCTAGAAAAATCAATTTTCAAAAAATAAAAGCAAACTTCACCAGAAAAAAATTCCAAGTTTCAGAAAAAATCTTGAAAATTTCAAACTTTTCGGAAATTCAAATCTACAGTAGACTTCGCGGTTCTTTTGATTTTTTGAATTAAAAGAGGATATGTTTGATTTTCTAGGCCATATCATTTTTCTTCCAAGGGTCAACAAATTTTCGCATGAATTTCTGAAATTTTTAAGTTCCGAAGGTTTTTTCTATGGAAAAATGGCGGAAAACAGATCATCTCTTAAAAAATCTCCAGAAACTTCCAGGCTCTAATTCTTGCCAGTTGTGAGATCACCGAAAATTCGAATTATGAAGTGGTTTCAACGATTGAAGTTAAGGTAAATCCCCTTATCTCAACCTCCCCCTTTTTCCAAAAAAATCCCAAATTTCCAGATTGTCACCTTCAAAACCCATTATTTCGATCGATATGTGCCCGAAATTGCTCAAAAATCAAATGATTTATATGAAATTGAAATTGGTGCAATATAATTGACTAGACAAATATGAAAATTTACATGAATGATTGTTATATGTAATAAATATATAACAAATGCCAGAGATTTGGTCGATTGTTTTTTTAATGAGCAAATTTGTGTCTCAAAACTCGGGGGATTATTATGAATGAAGTGGAATTAAAGCTATAAATTTACGGTTTTTAAAGCTAGGCGACTTTTATTCTGGTGGAGGTTGTTGTTGAGCTGGAGAGCGACGGAATCTGTTCAGTGGTGGACGGAAGTGTGGATGTGGCTGATCTTCGGATTCGGATCGAACGACTCCGATGAAGAATGCACCGCGTTCTGGTGAACGACGAGCTCTGGAAAATTCGATGGTTTTTGAAGAAGATTGATGAATCGGGGGTCCAATTTAGAGATTCAGTAACCTGGCCATACGTCAAAAATACATTTTTAAAAATTTGATTTTTCTAGTAAAATCGAAAATTTTTATTAATAAAAAGATTGGGCCCTATAACATTTTTTCCAGAAAATATTTGTAATTTCACAATTTTTTGAAACCTAAATTTTTAGGGGGAATTTTTCGAAATAAAAAACGCGCTAGGAATGTTTTCCGATTCAAAATTACACCTGGGATTCAACTCACTCTTCGTCTTGTTTTTGTTTTTACAAATAATGTCTTTTAAAAAACTATTAATGCTCAAAATATTTTTGTGATTTCACAATTTTTTGAAACGTATTTGAGGGATTTTTTTGAAATAAAAAAAATTTCCCAAATTTCTCTGAATTTCAACTCACTCTTCGTCTTGTTTTTGTTCCTCCTCTTTTTCATCATCCTTCTTTATCTCTTCATTTTTATTTTCCTCCTCCGTTTTCTCTTTTTCCTTCTCCTTTTCTTTCTCTTTCTCTTCATTCTTTTCAACAATCGGTTCCTCATTGAATCGTTCAAATAACGTAATTGCTGGATGAATTACACTCTTTTTTTCGAAGTGTCATCTGATTTTCATCAGATTCGTCGTCTTCTAGAACATCGTCTAAAACATGATGTTGGAATCGATGATCACTTCCTCGTTTTAATGTTGATAATTGTGGATGAGATGAAGATGTGTCGAGTGTTCGACCGGATAGATCTTCGCCTGCAAATTTGGGAAAATGTTGGGTGGAAAAATGCATAGTTTGAGCTTCATCTCAATAGTTGTAAAGGCGGTGCCTCTTGACATAAAAACTCTCAAGGCGCTACTCCTTGACAGAAAAGCTCACAAGGCGCTACTCCTTGACAAAATATATCTCAAGGCGCTACTCCTTGACAGCGTATATCTCAAGGCGCTACTCCTTGACAGCGTATATCTCAAGGCGCTACTCCTTGACAAGCTATGCGATTTCTCAAGGCACTACTCCTTTTGGCAACAGATTTTCGAAATTTTTCAAAACAACCGATATTTTTGACAGAATTTTAGTTCATTTCCGGAATTTTTCCAAAAAAAAATCTACAGTATCCCCCAATTCTCACCCGAATTCACAAATGCCGAATTACTAAATGAATTATTATTGGCCGGACTCATTTCTCCGCTCAATTTCGTCGCACTTTTATTCCTCTCAATATCCATATTCTCCAACATTCCGTGCGAAAATGTCTTCCTGCCCAAATCCTCGTTCAAATGTGGTTTCGAGAATGATCTCTCGATTTTATGCTTAAAACTTCGGAACATATCAATATTTCCCAAACTCGTTCGATTTCTTCCATGATTGCTTGGATGTTGTTGATCGGATGGTCTGAAATCAATTTAAAATAATTGAAGATTTGATTTAAGGAGAGTTAGACTAACTTGACAGGAACAACAGAAATCCTTCGTTTTCTCAAATCATCTCCCGGAACTAAAGGACTTGTATCATCACAATGTGGAACCATTTTAATTTCATGAATATATTCGGGCAATTTAACATCCGACACACTTCCTTTCAATGGATTATTTGGTATCTTTGCTGATTGTTCACTATACAATGGTTCAACTTCTTCATCCCAGAAATCATCGCGTTTCAAAGCGGGCGGTCTATCATATCCTTGATCTACCATCATTAAAACCATTGTGATATTTCGATCGATAAGTGCATTACATTCGAAATCATCGTCGTCTTCTCCGAAGGGATTTAACATGGCTTCAGCAACTTTCATCCATCCCATATAAAATATGAATTGGAGGGTTGACATTATTGGGAAATATAAGTCAATCTGCAAAATTTTGCTCGATTTTGAAGGTTTTTTGGAATCGGGCCAGAATGGCATTATCAAAAAGAAGGTCCGATTTAAATCAAAAATTCTGATACGGACTATTTTTTACTCGAATTAAAAATCTTCAAAATCTGCTAGTCCGATTCCCATTTTCCCTACCTCGGTTTTGTTATTCGCATGTTCGGAAACAACATATTGTCGAGCCAAAAGACACACCAAAAAATATGTATGAACAGCCAAACAGACTAATTGTGGATACATAATTGGAATCGGCACCCAATCATAATTACAAATCCATGCGAGACCAGTTCGAAATTTCTTGATCTCATCCTGTACCACAACTTGATAATAATCACTTTCAATTAATCCTTTTGTTCTCGCATCATATGTTAAAGACAAAGCCCATTGAAATGGAACCCAATATTTCGAATATTTATATTGTATTTCATCATATCTCTCTTTTTCGTGTGGCATCATAAAACCAGATGCGACAACTGTGTCCAGAGTTGGAAATCTTCGACGTGTTCTCATACTGATATCTCGAAATACAAGAACTTGAGCTAACTCGCAATATCTCACTATATTTCTTCGATACATTCTTGCTTGTTCAGTTCGTCCTCGAACATATTCAGCTGTCATTAATCCAATGCTGAAAATTCATTTCATTTTTTGTTGTTTTTTTCATTTTAATTTTTTTCGGTGTTCTTTAAAATTTCCAATTTCTCGTGATTGGTCTAATTAATTAGATCATCAATTTTGTCAATCATTTTTTCACGATCATTGAATTTCTCATTTTTTTTACAAAAAAAGTACTCACTTATCAATGAAACCAATGATCTGATATAAATAAGTCCATCGATTAACAACTGCTGTTACAAAAAATCCCAACATAAAATTGAGTGGAATATATTTCAGTCGATCATCACAATATTGTACAACTCGTTCAAAAACCCTGGAAAAAATAGTTTTGGAGAAAGAAGATTGTGTAAATTCATTTTTTAAAAATGGATAGACCCTCTAGAATTCATTTCAATAGTGAGAGCAACCTCGAAATAGTAAAATCAGACGATTTTTCGCAAAGCTCTTGAAAATAAAAAAAAGTGAACGTTTTACTACGGTATGCAAAGTTTGTGCATTTGTGCGTCGCAGTGTTTACACACCAGATAGTGATTTCAGCAGGTTTTCAGCGCTTTTCAGCATGTAAGAGGCGTTTTCAGTAAAATCTGAATATACCATCTGATTTGTCTCGTTGAGATGAATCAAGAAAACTATTTATTTGTTTCGGAAATGCGCTCTCAAGAAAATTATGGGCTGAAAATCGAAGAAAAGGTGAGGTTTCGCAGCGATTTCTGTATTCCACGTTTTTTTTCGTGTGAAAAAACATTTTTCAAGGGTCCATAGTACAAAGGTTCCCCCCAATACAAACCTCTGCTGTGTTGGATTCAGCGCTGTTCGATAAATCACCGATATAATCCCATATAACATCAACCAAACAGCCAATTCTAATATCACAGATTTCCAAATACTTCCCCGCCATTTCAATAAAAGTTTAAAAAGTGTCCACGGTTTCGACGTGGATACAGCCAAGTTATAATTTATCGTCATTCTGAAATTTCGTTTTGAAACATAGAGAAAAGAAAATATAAGATAATCAATAAAAAAGGTTCAAAACATAAATATTCGGCGAACTATGACTGGAACTGTCATACGAAAAAATTCATTGTTTTAGTGATTGCTTTTTGGGTTGCAGTGATGAAAAATGTTGGAAATGATATCATAGACATTTTTCGCGCGAAATTAATTGTCTTGTGATCAAAAAAGTTACAAAAATGCTGGCCTAGCATGGGAAAAATGCAGGTCTATCTAACAAGAAAAATATTTATTCATGCAAATATTTTTGCATATCACTTTTCACTTTTTCATCGATTCAATTGAATGTGAATATTTTAAATTTGAACACAGAGACTTGTACAAAAAAAAAACACAAAAATAAAAAAATTATTTTGAGACAAAAAACTGCAACTCAAAGTATTTTTATTGTTGTCAAGTATTTGTAAATAAACATATCTATTGAAAAGTTGTTAAAAGAATCAGTGTGTGGGAATCGAATAAAAAACCTATTAAAATATGGCGGCATTACACAAAGTACTGTCATTTTCATCACAAAATGATACGAAGAAAAAGAAGAGAACGTGGTCAAAAATAAAAAAGAAAGATCAAAAGGTTCAATTCGGTGGATGTTGTGTTCAGAAATACTTCGAATATCATCAATCACCTGATAAATATAGGGTTGGGTTCAAAGATGTAAGAAAACAATCTTGAAAAATAAATAACAGAGTTAAATAAGTTTGGCGAAGTTCTAGAAAAATCGATGTGGAAAATATGTACTTCAGTAAAAATCAGTACCTTAAAAACTTCATAGTATCCCTAAGGATAAAGGGTGCCCAAAAACAGCAAATTTCAAGTTCAGAGCTGTCATTCATTTTTCATTTTGCCACGTCATAACTTAATTTCAAAGTTGAGGTAACTCTAAGCAAGGGGATCTTGATCAGTGGGGCAAAATTTACTAGAAAATCTTAAAATAAAAAAAAAATAGTCAAAGAAAAAATGACTAGTTCAGAAAAAAGTCCAGATTTTCTGTAAAACCTGAAATTTTTAAAAGTCACAATTAGATCTCCATTTTCCAAATTAAACTTCAGCAACATCTAGACATAATCACAACATTTTTTTCAAGATGAAATATTTGCCTTCCACCCAAACTCCGCCCCCATTTTTCATGTGATCTTTGGAAAAATGAAGAGTACTGTATGTAGTTTATAGATTTTTTTCGTGCTTGGGAAAAAAGGAAACCGATTGAATGAAAATGGGAGAAAAACCAAACAAGTTCGTGTGACGTTTGGGAAAAATGGAGAAGAAGAGAAAGATAGCGGGAGAAATTAGATGAACCTTCTTTCAGCTACAGTAATCCTATTTGTGATTTGATAGAGAGATTGATTTGTGTTCACTGGTAAAAAATGTTGGGTTCTTGTTTGGAAAAAAAATAGTCGCGAGGCGGACTCGAACCCGAAACCCTCAAAATGAATTTGTAGACGCTACCCGCCTACACCGTCTGCCCACGCTGATTTTAATTGACAATAAAACTGGTTTCGTGTCAATTTTCAGAACTCATAAAAGTTTGAGGTCTCAAAATCTTCCCCAAAATTTTTGGAATTTTTTGAACACCGAAAAATCTTTATCGTATTAGGAAATAAAGAAAGTTTTATTTGTTTTTGCGAAAAAGGAAATAATTTTTAAAATACATTAAAAATGACAAATATTTGGTTGTCTAATTGGACTTTGTCAATAAAGAAAGACATTTTTTGATTTTTTGGTTTTTGGAAAGAAAATACACATATAAAACACAAAAGTTGAATCATTGAATTTCTGTTGTTTCGAAACAGAAAAGAATTTGCATAAAAATGTGTTTATAACAAAAAAATATATCAAGTTGGGTTTAGGCTTTGAATTTATCTTTGGGATTTTTGACGAGGAGAACACTATTTCGAACATCTTTTTTATACAATTTTCGGAGTGGTCGATCACTCAAAAATACAACCAATACAATAATTGCAATATTTGATATAATTAAATAGACACATATTCCATAGAAACCTGCGATGTTACGCGAAGTTCTGAAAAATTGATTTGGATTTGAAAAAAAACAGGTAAAAATGAAATTTTTGTGAAATGAAGGGTTTTTCTAGCATCATGTTTTAGACGATGTTCTAGAAGACGACGAATCTGATGAAAATCAGATGACACTTCGAAAAAAGAGTGTAATTCATCCAGCAATTACGTTATTTGAACGATTCAATGAAGAACCGATTGTTGAAGAAAACAAAAATGAAGAGAAAGAAAAGGAGAAAGAAAAAGAGAAAACAGAGGAGGAAAATAAAAATGAAAAGATAAAGAAGGATGATAAAAAAGAGGAGGAACAAAAACAAGACGAAGAGTGAGTTGAAATTCAGAGAAATTTGGGAAATTTTTTTTATTTCAAAAAAATCCCTCAAAATTATACGTTTCAAAAAATTGTGAAATCACAAAAATATTTTGAGCATCAATCTTTAAATATTTCATACAATCCGATTTGTTCGATTTCATCATAGGCGCCAATCGTTTGAGTAAATTGACCGAAATGATTTGTGTTGATGATATTTTGAGCATCAATTCAGAATCTTCGGATAATCGCCAAATGTCGTAATTCAAATTCTATAAAAATCGATAGATCCAGGAAAATCTTTAAATTTGAAATACTCACTTTTAGCAATTTTTGCTCAGTTTCTTTTCCAATTTCTTTCGGGAAAGTTTTCCTTGGATTTCGACATTCTCTTTCTTTTGACATTTCTCTTTCTTTCACAAATAAAAACGTGACCTTGATTTGAAAATGGAGCAGTATATAAAATAAATATAAAAATCTCATCGGTTTTGCTCATTTTACTAGAACACTTATTAGAAAATGGTCGAATTTATTGACAATAAAACCAAATTTGAGGCTTCATTGGATCTTGTTCACAATACAAAAATTTGGTAAGTTTGAGAAAAACATTTGAAAATGTGAAAAGGAATTATACATTTTATTTTAGGATAGAGTATATTTTGGATGAAAATGGCGAAAAGTTGAAGAGAGGAAGAAGCGGACAGAACAAAGAAGAAATTGAGGAGATTATCGATTCTTCACGGAATCAAGCTTTTGCAGTCCGTGAAGAAAATGAAAACGGATCACATGTTGCATTCCTACTTTGGGTGAGTATTTCCAAAAATGCAATTTTTTTCAACTCGGTTTTTCCAGTTCCCAGATAAAAATGATTATGAAAAAAACAACAATTTTCATGAAATTTTTGTGAACATTGCACATTTTTACCAAATCCCAATCGAAATGTTTGCAAACGTATTGTCAAATCAATCAACATCTAGCGCAGTTCAAAACGTACGTTTGAAAGATCCAAATATTAAATTAGAGCGTAAAAACACATCTGAAAAACCAAAGACGTGTCCGAATTTTTTCAAAAAAAAAAAACTAGGAATTTTCCAAAATCGATATTTTTTCATCTAACAATTGTATCCGGCGAATTTCAGTATTTTTTCCAAGAATAGAAAATACTTGTTTCTTATTGATTGATTTTTACAGATTTCATCAATCATATTATCCGACATTTCACAAAATCAATTATTGTCAAATGATGAAAAATCGATTATTAATTCATCAACGGAAACGTACCACGCCCAGCTTCGTGCTTCGTTTTTATTCGCGCCGTGCATATGCCTCACCCTGGGCGTGGTATGAACGGAAAAAGAAAATTCGCTTTTCAAATTTTTATTCCAACCGAACAAGTCGGTTCAATCGATGGCTTTGAATTCGAACAGAAAATGTGACGACTTGGACGTTTTGAGAAATCTGTGTAAAGATAACAATGTCGATATGAAGACCAAAGTGAGTTTTGAAATTATTGATTGCGATATCGATAAAAAAGAAACATTTCAGATCCGAATCATCGAAAAGCTTAAGAGACAAAATGTCGAAATTCAAGGAAAAATTACGAGGAAGAAATTGGAAGAGAAATTGGGCAAAACATTGCTAAAAGTGAGTATTTCAAAATTAAGGATTTTCCTGGATCTATCGATTGTTATAGAATCTCAATCACGATTTATGGCGATTATGCCAAGATTCTGATATTAAAAAATTAATGATAGATGTCTCATCAACACACACAATTTCTGTAAATTTGCTCAAAAGATTAGCCCCTATGATGAAATCCAAAAAGACGGATTGTATGAAATATTTGAAGATGATTAAAACTGCAACAAGCACTTCGATTGTGAAAGTAAGTTGAATTAAGTGCACAATTTGAATTTTAATAACAATCTATTTTTCAGAAATTAAGATATGAAAAGAGAAAAACGACGAAGAAGAAGAAGTGAAAATCCAAATGTTTCCCGAATAAATTGTGATTTGAAAAATGTGTTGTTTTTTGTCTCGGTAAATGATTTCTGATTGTAGATATTTTTTAAAATTGATCTCTGGCCTACAACAGATTGGCCGAGGTGTGCCCCTTTTTCCGTTCAGATCCAAAAACCTTACCAATTTTCAAATCCTTGTTCTCTTCCATTTCAGTTCGATGATAAGCTCGCTGTGTTGCTGGATTTCCACTTCCATCTTCACAAATAATATATTCTACAATATCACCTTGACGTAAATTTGAATTTTCCAGATTCGTTGAGTCGTTTCGCGACAAAAGCGTGAGGTTGAGATTTGATGTCCGCATAATCTTTTGGATTTCTTGTCAATTGCTGGAAAAAAATAAAATTTATATTGAGAAGGGTTAGAAATTGGGTTGAAACTAGAAAACTCTGCTGAAAAAGTCATTCTTTTGTTTCCATGGAAATTTTTTTCGAAAAACCAATATGTACACAGGCTCGGTCAGAAAACGGCGGGGTCGCTACCGATCGGGGCGGAGTCGCTACACGTTTCGGGGAACAAAAAACGTGTAGCGACTCCGCCGTTTTCTGACCGAGGGCAATTACAGATCAGCTTATTATTAGTCTATTATTGACTTATTTTTAAATTAGGTCTATTATAGGCTAATACGGTACATATTATTGGTCAAAATTTAATAAAATTTTCTAAATCTAGCGAAAAAGCTGCTTTATGATCAAAAGAAAGAGAATGTCGAAACACGAGGAAAACTTTCCCGAAAGAAATTGGAAAAGAAACTGGGCAAAAATTGCTAAAAGTGAGTATTTCAAATTTAAAGATTTTCCTGGATCTATCGATTTTTATAGAATCTCAATCACGATTTATGGATTAATGCTCAAAATATTTTTGTGATTTCACAATTTTTTGAAACGTATAATTTTGAGGAATTTTTTTGAAATAAAAAAAATTTCCCAAATTTCTCTGAATTTCTCTGAATTTCAACTCACTCTTCGTCTTGTTTTTGTTCCTCCTCTTTTTCATCATCCTTCTTTATCTCTTCATTTTTATTTTCCTCCTCCGTTTTCCCTTTTTCCTTCTCCTTTTCTTTCTCTTCATTCTTTTCAACAATCGGTTCCTCATTGAATCGTTCAAATAACGTAATTGCTGGATGAATTACACTCTTTTTTCGAAGTGTCATCTGATTTTCATCAGATTCGTCGTCTTCTAGAACATCGTCTAAAACATGATGTTGGAATCGATGATCACTTCCTCGTTTTAATGTTGATAATTGTGGATGAGATGAAGATGTGTCGAGTGTTCACAGGTAAAGCGCAATAGGAGTTTTTCAAAAAAAAAATCGGCCCGAGTTTTTCAAAAAAAAATTGGCCCGAGTTTTTCAAAAAAAAAATCGGCCCGAGTTTTTCAAAAAAAAAATCGGCCCGAGTTTTTAAAAAAAAATCGGCCCGAGTTTTTCAAAAAAATCGGCCCGAGTTTTTCAAAAAAAATCGGCCCGAGTTTTTCAAAAAAAAAATCGGCCCGAGTTTTTAAAAAAAAATCGGCCCGAGTTTTTAAAAAAAAATCGGCCCGAGTTTTTCAAAAAAATCGGCCCGAGTTTTTCAAAAAAAAAAATCGGCCGAAAATTGACAATAATCACAGAAAAAAGTGAAACGGAAATAAATGAGAAGACTGTTACGCCTGGGGGCTAACAGCCCCTAGTAAACACAACATGTCAAACAGCAATCGGTGAGAGTGAAAGAGACGAAAAGATATTGAAATCGCGCGTGATCTACAGAGATTTACATTTGCGGGTCTAGGATTTGTGAAAATTAGAAATAGGCTTCAGCTTAATTTTTGAGAATTCATTTTTGAACTTTCAGTGTGCCAAGCGACTAAAAGTCATCCTCAATTTTTTTTGAAACAAAATATGGTTAGCAACCGCAATTTCGAAAATTATGGATTTTCAGACCCACAAATTTTTAATGTACCTTTGATCTATTTTTCTCTAAGTCTTCTTCACTCTCACCGATTGCCAATTTTCATTGGGCTGACATGATGTGTAAAACACAAAAGTTGAATCATTGAATTTCTGTTGTTTCGAAACAGAAAAGAATTTGCATAAAAATGTGTTTATAACAAAAAAAATATATCAAGTTGGGTTTAGGCTTTGAATTTATCTTTTGGATTTTTGACGAGGAGAACACCATTTCGAACATCTTTTTTATACAATTTTCTGAGTGGTCGATCACTTAAAAATACAACCAATACAATAATTGCAATATTTGATATAATTAAATAGGCACATATTCCATAGAAACCTGCGATGTTACGCGAAGTTCTGAAAAATTGATTTGGATTTGAAAAGAGAAACGATTTTTTTTTTCGAAATTTCTATTTTCTAACTGAAAATTCTCAATTTGACATAAATTTTCATTTTCGGGAAGCCTAAGCGGAACATATGAAACTTCAAAATGTTTCTTTTGTGTCTGAAAAAGGTCTGAAAACTATGCTCAAGCTTAAAAGATTGATTTTTTGGAGGAGAAAAGAGTGAAAAACCTATAATCATAGTTTTTTGGTGATTGGTGAAAACTTTTCGAGGTTTTTCTTCTCGCAATCTCTATTCTCAAGAATTTGCTATCTTTTGCAGCAAAGATCTTTGAATTTGGTTGAGTATGAAGCATTTTAGTATTTTTTGTGAAAAAACAAAAAATGGTTTTGGGGTTGCACAAAATTCACAAACCGTCGTGTTGTCTGGCGCTCTCTCCAACTCGTTTCTATCTCTCATTTTCTCTCCTTTTCTCCCCTCGTCTCTTCTAGACACAACACTCTCTCGTTTATTTTTATTTTTTCAATTTGTTTTTTTTTCGTGAAATCAGGAAATTTCAGGATTTTCATCGAGAATATCATATATGAGAAGATAGAGATTTCAGCCCAGTTTTGTGTTTCTCTCTCTGCGTCTCTCTAATTTTCTAAATTTTCCCTATTTTCGCTTTAAAACCTTTTTATTCCTTCTAAACCCTTCATTTCCTCACAAATCCGGGAAAATGAACAAACTCACGAAAAATATGGACAAACTGGATATGCTTCATTTGTTAAAAATTCAGAGATGAATGGATTGTTCCTATTGGTTGTATAGTTGCGGCTCATTTTATCCGGGGAGCAAATTTAGAAATGAGGGTTTTGAAAAAAAAAATCTACGGTACGGAAAAACGGGTACACGTAAAAATGTAATACTTTTTCATATTTAAAATTTTAATTTGACGGTAGAATTTTGAATTCTGGGATTTTAAGCGGGGAAAATCCCAGAATTTTGTCGGCAAGGTTTTAAATTTGAATTTTTTATCGAAGATTGTTGCAAAAAACAATAAAAACTCAGAAGATCATTGCGAAACATTTTTTAATTCCATCGTTTTTTTCTAATCAATTTTTCATACATTTTTGTTTGTGATAATACACATTTTTATTTTTTCTTCAATGCGTGAAGTAATATCAATTCATATTGGCCAAGCTGGTGTTCAAATCGGAAATTCTTGTTGGGAATTATATTGTTTGGAACATGGAATACTTCCTGATGGAGAGATTCTTGAAAATGAAGAGAAGACAAATTCGATGAGCACATTTTTTAGTGAATCGAGTCAGGGAAAATATGTTCCACGATCGATTTTTGTTGATTTGGAACCGACTGTTGTTGGTGAGTTTTTTTTTGAAAGAGGAAAGGGAAATTTTTGGCGCCGAAATTAAAGGTAAAAATTTTCAGATGAAATTCGAACAGGAGTCTACAAAAAACTCTTCCACCCTGAACAAATGTTGACTGGAAAAGAAGATGCTGCAAATAATTATGCTCGTGGACATTACACAGTTGGAAAAGAAATAATTGATGTGACAATCGATCGAATTCGTCGAATCACAGATAATTGTGAATCACTTCAAGGATTCTTCATTTTCCATTCATTCGGAGGTGGAACTGGAAGTGGATTCACTTCACTTTTAATGGAAAAATTGTCTGAAAATTATGGGAAGAAGAGTAAACTCGAGTTCTCGATATATCCAGCGCCCCATATTTCAACTAGTGTTGTCGAACCTTATAATTCCATTTTGACAACTCATACACACCTCGGCCAATCCGTGGCTGGCCAGAGTACAATTTTTTGAAAAATCTGAATTTCAGTTTTTAGAGGTCAAAAAATGAAAAATAACAATTTTTAGAGGACAAAAACTGAAAAATTCACAATTTTTGTACTGTAAAAATTTAGCGTACAATTTTTCATTGTGGAAACCACGATTTTGGCCGAGGTGTGAACTCATACAACATTGGAACATTCGGATTGTTCTTTTATGGTTGACAATGAAGCGATTTATACAATTTGTAAGAAATATTTGCATGTTTCAACGCCAAATTATAACAATTTGAACAGGATTATATCACAGGTACCTAAATAATACCTGAATTCTTCAGATTAAATTTTAACTTTTATTCGGATTTCCAGGTTGTTTCCTCGATCACAGCTTCTCTTCGATTCGATGGTGCGCTGAATGTTGATCTAAATGAATTCCAGACAAATCTAGTTCCATATCCCCGTATTCATTTCCCATTAGTCGCTTATTCTCCCCTTCTTTCTTCTGCAAATCACGAACTTTTATCAGTCAAACAAATCACGGCATCTTGTTTCGAACCATCGAATCAAATGGTCAAATGTAATTCGAAAAATGGAAAATATATGGCAATTTGTTTATTGTATCGAGGAGATGTTGTTCCGAAAGATGTGAATTCGGCGATTTCAAACATCAAGACAAATCGAATTGTTCAATTTGTTGATTGGTGTCCGACTGGTTTTAAAGTTGGCATTAATTATCAGCCACCAACGATTGTTCCGCAATCAGATATGGTTAAAGTTCCACGAGCTGTTTGTATGTTATCAAATACAACTGCGATTGCTGAAGCGTGGCATCGACTTGATTATAAATTTGATTTGATGTATAACAAAAGAGCATTTGTTCATTGGTAAGGGGAAATTGGGGTACTGTAAATTTGAACTACATTATTGGAAAAACTCGGAATTTGTGGTTCAGTAGCATCTATGAGCTTAAAAAATAAAGAAAAAATTCTCATGTTAAAAAATCCAAAAGTCAAATCAATTTTAACAAGGAAAAAATTGATAATTAAATTCTTCAAGAAATTTTCTGAATTATTTTTCCGAAATTCAAATTTCTGGAGGCACAATAATTAAATCTTTTTAAAAATTAATCCTGGATAATTTAGGTTTCAAACTGTTTTGAACTAGAAAATGGTAATTTTGAAATGATTTTCTCCATATTCTATAAATCAAAAAACTTCAATCAAAAATTCTGGAAATTTTTTTGAAACATTTTTCTGGGTACACCAAAGTTTCTAACAGATTTTTTTGGAAATTGAAATTCCTGGAGTTTTAGTCAATAATTTTCAACAAAGTTTTTTTACAGGTATGTTGGTGAAGGAATGGAAGAAGGAGAATTTTCCGAAGCTCGAGAAGATATGGCGGCACTTGAAAAAGATTATGAAGAAGTTTCGAGAGATTCAAACGACGATGAAGAAGATGAATATTAGACACTTTATTACATTTTCTTTTCCCTATCTACAGTATCCAATTTATTCAATTCTTTGACTTTGATAATCAGTTCCACCATTTGATTGAGTTGCAGTGATTCGATAAGTCGCTTTAGCTCCACCATAATAAACTGGACACATTGATTCACAAACATCATCCAAATCGTTGCCTTCAGCAGTACTACACCAAGATTCTTGGAAAATATATTCGAGAATAGTGGTGCCAGATCCAGATTTTTGGGAGCTCACAAGTTCAATTGGAACCCAGAATTTTCCAGGGTTATTTACATTGATACTTGTGGCAGCAGCTTCCCAAGCGAGGCCCTGGAAAAGTTAGGTAAAAAATTCATTTTTGTGGAGGGGCTCACCAAAAGATCATTTTCTTCATTGGAAATTGGAGCGGTGGAAATAATTCCGAAAGAAATCAACAAACAAATGACAGAGGAAGAAGAAATCATATTTGGTTTGTTTTGTTTGAAACTTTTCGACCTTTTAAAGCCGACAAATTCGGAGTAAAGACTAAAAAGGAGGCGCCAATTGTCTCGAGGCCATACTATCTTTCTTTTAGCCATTCATTATTTATCAAATTAGTAGAAGGGTGTGTTTTTATTGTTGTTTTTTCTTCCGGTTTTACAGGTCAATCTTTAGTACTGAAATGAACGAAGAAGAAGAAGAAGGAACACTTGTTTCCAGGCAGACCGGTTGCAAAAAAAACCGAAACTGTTTTAGACAGTTTATTTAATTTGTTCCGGTCAGAGAATACAAAGTAATTGGAGACGATGTTCGTGACAAAATACAGGTTGAACTTCTGAACTGTGTTATATTGGTAAAAGTGTTTTGAGATGAGCAAACACGCTCCACGGACAACTCCGAAAAAATTTAAATTTAGAAAAAAAAACTAATTCAAACCCCACGCTCACGTGTTCTATTTTCCGAATCACTATAAAATGGGTGATTTGCCCTCAAAAAATCAGTTTGCATTTTGCACCTACTTGCCAAATTTCTACTATACGAAGCCAAAATGGAGAATGAAAATTCAAATTTAGAAGTTCAAACGCCAACGAGAGTTGGACCACCATCGGATCCAGTATTATTGGGAGAACAAGCCGATAATGTTACTTTTCAAAATGCGATTGAGGTAAATTTGAAATCAGAATTGCTCTAATTTCTGAACCGTTTTTTAACGGGACTTTCCTATCATTTTTATTTTCTTTTCAAAAACTCCAAACCAAATTTCCAGGCTTACACAAAATATGGCCATGAATTGCAACATCTACAAGAAGAAGGTCAAAAAACCATCAGCACTGCAATTGAACGTCTTCGTTCAAACGCTGGAAACACCTCCGTCGAATCAATTCAACACAAAGGTCAAAACCTCTACGAAGTATTGATTGATTTCGAAGACACCTCAATTCCAACTCGTTCATTGAGTGAAGTCTTTGCCCTTTCAACCCTCTCTCTAGCCGTTTTTGCAATTTCTTCCCTTATTTCGGAATATCTTCTCGGACCACTTGCAACTGTTTTTATTCAACCACTTGGTGCCGCGATTGTTTCATCAATTATTATCCCTGTTTTTATCTACTCGTATATTGACAATAATCAAGCATTAATTGGAGCACAAATGATTTTATTAACTGGGGCGATTCAGGGATTTTTGAGCGGATCTGCGTGTTCTCATCTCGCTTTATCATCTGAACCAATTGTTCCACTTTCGGCTGTTGTTTCATCTTTTGCAATCACTTTAGCTGATCAAAGATGTATGTTTGATAGGTGTTCTACTTAATTAATTCCCTAATTAATCAATTAATTAAATTTCCAGCTCGTTTGTCTGCTCTCAAAATCGTTGGCGGTGTTTCCCTCGGAATTCATTTGACATACGGTCTTTTCAGTGGCCTTCTCTCTTTCCCATATATCACTCTCTCACTTCTTTATACTGCAGCAGTTCTTGTTCCAATTCAACTTGGTGCTAGAGTAAGTTGCCTCCAGCAATATTATCGTTAATATCAATTTTTAGGACAAGAAAAATGCGTCAGTCAACTATTATTCGATTGTCGTTTTGTCGTTGACTGTTGCTGCGAGAGGAGTTATTTATGGATTGGCTGGAATGACTTCTGAAGAATTGAATGCTGCTTCGAAATCCAAATAAATTGAATCTGAATCTGAATAAATGATCAACTACACTATTTTTACTCGTGGATATTTGTAGATAGAATTTCAAGATTCTAGGCGTCTAGAAACACATCTCGCTTTGGAAAAAAAAATGTAGTTTCAGTTTTTTTAGAAACAAAACTTTCTAAATTTTCAAATTTTATAATCCGATTTTTATATTTCTGCCTTTTCCTTGTCTTTCTCTATCTTCTCATATATGATGTTCTCGATTAAAATCGTGAAATTTCCTGATTTCACGAAAAAAAAACAAATTGAAAAAATAAAAATAAACGAGAGAGTGTTGCTTCTAGAAGAGACGAGAGAAAAGGAGAGAAAATGAGAGATAGAAATGCGTTAGAGAGACGCCAGACAGCACGACGGTTTGTGAAATTTTCACAACCCCAAAAACATTTTTTGTTTTTTCACAAAAAATGCTAAAATCGTTCATACTCAACCAAATTTAAAGATCTTTGCTGCAAAAAGTAGCAAATTCTTGAGAATAGAGATGGAAAACAGAAAAACCTCGAAAACTTTTCACCAAACACCAAAAAACTATAATTATAGGGTTTGCGCCTCCTCAGGAATTTTTTTGTACCCGATCAGCACGTTTTTTGAATTTGTACGCGTTCAGTTCCTATCGAGTACGCGTTCAAACTGACGCGAGTCCACGTTCAGTCTTTTGGGCTGCATGGCTCGAAAATGGCATGTTTGAGTAGATGTTCTGAACCCGTACACACATAAAATAATTTCGTACCAGTTCAGTCGGTTATAGCACGCGACACACTTTTGTGCTGTGCTGGTTCAGTACTTTTTGAAGAGCACGGTGGTCTCGACACGAATTAAAGGTTCAGCCAAACTCCAGGAGAATTTCTCATTTTTTGTTTTCGAAAATTTTGGGCCGTTTTTGTTTTTCATTGATTTTTTCCAAGAATTCAGCGACGTTTCAATATGATTTTTTCAAAATTAATTCAAGAAAAGTTATGCTTATTGCTTCATGTTAAATTCTTCTTATTTTGATATATATCAGCCTTGATACTCACAAAATTCGTTTTTTAGAGATGTTATTCTTACGTTTCTTTGGGATCTTTCAAATTTTAAGTTCAATTTTACGAAATTTCAGAGCAAGGATGATTCTCTCAACTACAACGACTACAAAGCCACTTTCGAAGCACGGTTGGAAATGAGGAAAATTAGGAAAGGTAAGCCCATTTTCAAAATTTATTGCTAAAAAAGTTTTTTTGTTTTCTGTGCAAATGTTGGAAAATTTTTTTTCCAAGTAAATAATCCCAAATTTGCAAATGATCGTTCTTCAAAAAAGTTGTACATTTTAATAACTTATCTACAGTCCAGGTTTCTGATTGTGCAAACTAGATTTGAGAGAAAAACGTTTGGGACTTTTTAACTAAAATCTTGAGAAACAATTTGGAACAAAGTTGATAAGAATATTTTGAATCCCGAATTCATAAATTTCCCACCACTGTTTCATATTTTAACTGCAGATTTGAACATAACTTTCTTTTTTTTTCAAAATTTGAACCTACCAAAATATTATCTGAACTTTCTGGGACATTTTATAGAAAGCATCCTATGTTTTCTGATGATAATTATGTAATTATGATTGATAAATCCAATTTCGAATTTGAATTTTTAAACGAAGTTTTCTTTCAGTGCGCCGACTACAACACTATCTTCATGGGTCAACTAATCAGCAACAATGTCACTCAGTCAACAAATGCCGACCCATCAAGAATCGACACAGCCGATCCACGAAGTCGACCCATCAGGAATCTACAGATTTTAAAATAATTTACTTTTTTGTCATATTAGTTGTTCAATAAATTATTTTGTTTCTACAAAGTGTACGTGTTCAGTACAAATTTTGCTCGCTAAATGCCTTTTTCAATAGAAAAAAGTGCACGGGTTCAGGACATTCAAGTGAGCGACGCAAGCAAGCGCGTACCGGTTCAGTTCCCCAAAAAGCGCTCTGTACTAGTTCAGTTCTTTTTATGTTCCGGTTCATCTCCAGTTGAGTGCTGGAATTGATCGTGCTCGTGATCTCGCACGGAGAAGGGATTGAACTGGTACAAAAAGTGTGCTGAACGCGTACAAAAAAATTTCTGAGTCACATCTTCATTAAAAATACATTTAAAAATATTCAAAATGAAAAAAAGGAGTAGGTTTTCACGTTTCAAGCAAATTTGAGTATTCATTTTCACCAAAAATCTTTTTTCCAACTATTTTCTTTTCAAAAATCTCAAACAAACCCAAAACAGTCGTTAGCTCCGCCCACTTTGTGTTGTGTGTCTGCCACCTCGCTCAACCTGTTAGTTGTCGGCTACTCTCCCAAATAACCTTTCCGAAAATATCTGGATAATTATCTCTGGTTCCATTGCATTTAACCGAGAAAATCTTTCGCCTTTTACTAAAGATTTCCGTGCAAAGGGACACTTTATGAGTGTTTTGAAATTTTTGGAATCCCCTCGAAAGAGCGGGATAAAAATTGCTGAAAAACTTAGATAAAACCAGATGTCATTTCAAAATTACTACCTCTTGCAATCTCAAGTGACTTACAGTCTCGATATTTTCAGCCAATTTTTTAAAGAAATTTGTCTGAGTTCAACAATTGCAGCCTGACACGTGAGTAAAAATAAAAACGTTATACGTGACCAATGCCTGACCCAAGAAAAACCAGGGCACCTAGGTCCCTTAAAACGATTACATCGTTCTCCAAAATCAGTATTCCTGATGTTCCTAAAGGAAATAGTCATCCTTTCTGTGCTCTTCGCGCTCGCTGTCCAAATAAACATTATTGATGAAAGCTTTGTCAGATTCTGTGGAAAAGTTGGAAATGGCTCACCAATTTCCGGATCTGATTTGGAAGGTTTGACATGTGTTGTAAGGTGGAAAATGACCGCTAATGAAGTGAGTTTAGCACGTGGAAGAAATTGAATTGTCTTCTTTTTTTCCAGGATGAGATTGAAAATTTGTGCAAATCATTGGGGCCTTATCCATTGAAAAATTTCAAAATTGTTGATGGAAATAAACCAGAATGCACATATGAAAATGTTTATACATGTAAACCTTCTTACACTCAAATAAATGGATATTGTTATCGAATTATGTCGGATAAACTCATCTCGTACAAAGAAGCTGAACAATTGTGTAGTTCTGAGAAAACAAAGCTCGAAATATCTGGAAAAGAAGTTACCAGTACAATTGTTGATCTTTTTGATGAGGATCTTATTCGATTATTTGAATGTAAATATTTCATTTGAAATTTCTAAAAAAAACATTTTTTTCAGTATTTTGGTACGATATGAAATCAATCTGGATTCAGCCAAAAAATGATTTCAAAGACATCGTTGAATATAATGGAGATAGTCCAAATTATGCAATTATTTATGGAATGGCAGTATTTTATAGTATCGGACCGAAATCATTGATCAAAATGCCAACAAATCATCGAGCTCAGGCAATGTGCTTTTATCGACCAGAAGAGACACCAAGAAGTTTTGGATATAAAGCCGCGAAGTTGGCTAAATATTATTGGCCAACTTTGAAACGAGGACTGACGACTGTTTGGAGAACTTCGGGATTGTATAATTATTGGTTTGTCTTGAAATCAAAAAGAATAGAAATTATAAAAATTTTTTTGTAGGATGCAAGAGCAGAGTAAAGATTTTGCCATAAATCAATGCAAAAGTTCAATGGCTGCAATTGCTGGAAATACAGAAATCGATGTTTTCAATCCAACAAAAGAAAATATGAAATTATTGCGAGAAGACACTGAAGTCAAACAATCATTCATCAAAGCTTATTCACCAACATATCTTTGTTGTAATAGCAATGGTCATCAATCAAAAATTGTTCATTTCTCGAAAAGTTATGCGCCATTCAATTGTGAATCTAATACTATATTAGTCAATATGAACTCAGATTTCTACAGTTTTAGATCTAAATCTCACGCGGGTTACTGTAAGGACAGAGTTGGCACATTTTTGACGTTCTCCGAATCAGTGTAAGTCAATTGTTTGAAAAAAAAAATCACGATGAAAAATTATTTTCAGAAATGGTCTTGATAATTTCGAAGTTTACAATAGACAAGAAGCTCCACTTCTATGCTCAATTTATTTTAAAGAAATTAAAATGCGCACCAAATGTCCAGATCAATGGAAAAAGTATGTAAGAGAAAGCGGGAGAGTTGTTTGTCATCGTTTCTTTTCGGATTATGTAAGTACCTATTTGCAAAACCTACTCAAATAATATATTCTGCAAATTTTCAGAAAAATTTTGAGGGTGCTCAGAGAGGGTGTAGATCAGAAGGCGCCGAACTTGCAACTTATACAACTCAAGAAGAATTTAATCTTCTTAGACATAATTATGGCTCACCGTGGATTGGTGGTCGAAAAAAATCAATTTGTAAAAGAAGAGCTGATAGCGGAGAATGTACAAAAGAAAACGTAAGTAATCAACTCAGCGATATGAAACTGCAAAAATGAGACACTTTCTTTCAGATGGTTATATGGGATAGCCCTGGTTTTGAACATTATTCGGACAAAGTTAGACAAGTCATAGGCGCAGGTTGGGTAGATCCTAACCCTGACAATTTACACCAAAATGAGTATTGCATTCACATCGACGGGGGAACCTTGAATGATATTGAGTAAGTGAAAGAACAATTGATATTATTCTCAATTTTAACATTTTTTCAGCTGTGTTAACAGGCAATTCACATTTAATTGTATCAGAGATGCCGATTATTAACTCGCTACAATTTGTGCTGTTTGATTTTTACTCGTATATTTAACTCGTTATTTTTTGTAGAATGAACCTTGATGTTTTGTTTCGTTTGGAAAATTTTCAAGGAATAAAATTTCAGCCAATTTTTTTGAGACTGCGAAAAAAATCGGGGACTTTATGGGTTTTATGAAACCCATCCTTTTGAAAAATATTGAAAATGAAAAATGAATAGGTTTTCACGTTTCACGTGAACTTATTTATTTTCCCCAAAATCTTTTTTCCAACCATTTTTCTTGCAAAAATCTCAAAAAAATCCAAAACAGCCGTTAGCTCCGCCCACTTTGTGTTGTGTGTCTGCCACCTCGCTCAACCTGTTAATTGTCGGCCGCTCCTCCAAATAACCTTTCCGAAAATTCCTTCATAATTATCTCTGGTTCCATTGCATTTAACCGAGAAAATCTTTCGCCTTTTACTAAAGATTTCCGTGCAAAGGGACACTTTATGAGTGTTTTGAAATTTTTGCAATCCCCTCGAAAGAGCGGGATAAAAATTGGTGACCAGGAGGAAAAATGTGATATTTTTCGATTCACTGCAAAATTTCAGCCAATTTTTCTGCAATTCTGAAAAACATACCAACTATACAATTGGGATGCGACATGTCTGAGTTCAACAATTCCATTTTCTTCTTCTTTTTTTTCTCCAAGCGGATGTGCGCAGCTGACAGAATAATTCATGATTACTTTTTTTTCGAAATTTCGATTTCCAAAATGTTCTTTTCTGCATTTGGAAAACAATTTTCCAAATAATAAAAAATGACCAATGAGGATTATTATGTTTACAATTGTTTGGCACCCGATTCTTTTTTTTCTTTCTTGAGGGGGAAAAAGAAATTCCAATTATTTTTTCATGTTTGCCAAAAGTTTTAGAATATCTACTATAGTATAGTTTTGCACATTCTTTTGTTCATTCATTCAAATTTTCTCGTAATTTTTTTCTTGATGAAAAATTCTCTTTTTCTAACGCCCCGCCTTGGCCAATTTGGAGGGTCCAAGCGGCGCAAAAAAACTTGACGAAACATTTCTTTTTTTCTTATGGTCAGCTTTTTTGGCGACGAAAAAAAGAAGCAGCAAAAAAAAGAGCAGAGAAAAGAAGCGCGTCTCGTTTTGGGACCAACTTTTCATGTTATCAGTATAGCTGTTTTTTGTTGGCCCTAAAAGGAGGAGAAAGGCTGCGAAGAAAAAAATATTGGTTATTCTTTGAGTTAGTTTTTTTGCGGCGGCGAGGTTCATCAAATTCAAGCAAAATATATTTTTTAGTTTTTTTTTTCTTACTACTGTAGTTTTTCCATTTTGGAAAAAACAGAGACTAGAAATTCCTCTTCCCAAGTACGGTGTTTCTGCCATTTCGCTGCGAGACCCCTATTTTCGTCTTTGACTTTGTTTCTCTGGTCTCGAAACGGTGTTAGTGACGCAGAGGAATACCGTACTTGGGGTAATTGGGATTTGAATTTCTGGTCTCTCTTTTGTGGCAGATTTTTTAAATTTTTGAATCATTTTTTTTTCGTAAATTCTGAACTTCTAAAATCAGGTGAATTTCTGTTCCCTCTAGGATCAAATCTCTGAAAAAATTTCATTTCATAAATCCAAAATTAGGGGACAAATTACACGTCATAGTTATCCACGTGCCGCTGCGCGGAAGCTTGCGGTTTACACTCGCGGCTCCGCCGCTCGAGCTCCAGAAAAAGTTCCCATTTTCCCCCTTCTGCCCAATCAACCTTTTAGAACAAAAAAACCGGAAACATTTTCTTATTTCTCCAGAGAAGCTTCTCTAATGACTCGCATTTATTCACATTCAGAACCAAAAAATATCGTCAATCACAAAGTGCATTCTTTTTTTTACGATATCATATTTCAAATGACCACAGCAGTCCTTTTTTGCGAGAAAAAACCGAAAGATACGAAACTAAGAAAGAACTGAAGTTTGGATTCTCAAGGGAACCTTTTTCAAAAAAAATCTCTAATCCATTTTTCAACTAAAAAATATGAGTTGAGTTGGGTGTTCACCAAAAAAAAGAGAAGAAGAACTACTCTTTCTTTCTGCCTTACTTAATTATATTATCTTTTGTCGAGTATACTATTTATGTTCTTTTCCTTTTTTCCTATTTGTTTTAGATATACTTGCTCTATCTTCAACATTTTTGTTGCTTTTTGGCCGCTTTTAATCTAATTGACACATCATTTGGTTCGATTCAATTTAAAATTCTTTAAAAACTGATACAATTTGATTTTTTGTATACTGTACTTTTAAATTCTAAACTTCTAAAAGCGATGTGGAAATTTGAAATTATCAAAAAAAATGTTTCGCGGGCAATCGGATTCGAACCCTGGTCTCGTGAACGCCAAGCAAAAATCTTACCCTCTCGGCCGTATCTCTCTTTTCTCACGGAGTGAAAATGTTGGTGGAAAGGAAGCTGTTTTCAAGCCAATTCGTTGCAAGGTTGCTCTAAATTTGAAGTTAGGATAACTAGGCCGCCTTTAAAATTGTATATATAATCGTATAATTGTCAATGTTCACCTCGCTTCACCCAAATATCCATTATACCGTTAAAAATCCTCTTTTTTCCTCGTTTCTATTCTTCTGCTACCAGATTTTCATTATTATTATTATTATTATCTCCAACTATATTTATTTTGTATACTTTTGTTGTTTGCATTTTGGGTTGAGTTTGGGGGTGACAGTTCATTTTCCTTCCGTAATTATTTATTCTTTCGTATGACATTATCTATCTACAAATATATATCTATCTACAAAAATTTCAATTTTTATTCAGATGAAACCACGTTCGATGGATGAGAAGCGAGAGCGAAATTTGAGTCTTGGATGGTGAGTTGGGAAACTTTTTTGAGGGAGGGGGGACTAGAAAATTTTTCTCAAAAATTAGGCCAGCCTAGGTTTTTTTTTGAAAATCTAGAGATTCTGTTAAAAATACAGTCCAAGAACTATAAAAATTTTTGAATAATTTTTTCTAAAATAAATTTTTTTCATTTTTCCAAGCCCTCCAAACTTGAAACAAAAATTAATTTTTGCAGTGTTCCACGTCAACCACTTCCCGGATTCTCAGCCTACCTAGGATCAATCACAAAATGTCCAAAAGGTCGAACTACCTTCCTACCATTCGGAAATTCTCGTCCTCTCGATCCTCAAGAATGTGTTGGAGTCTTCACTTCAATGTACTGTAATGAAGTCAATTCTGAATACTCATTTCAACCAATGTTTTCATTATCTGATACTCCTCCATTGGTTTCGCCCGAACAAACTGATGATGAATCGGTTGGTTTTTTTTTGTTGTTGACTAGGGAACTTTTTTGGCGGGTATATATATTTTGAAAAAAACTACTTTTTTCAAATTATTTTTCAGATGTTATAAGTTTTTGAAATTCAGAAATCTTCAATTTTTGCAGCCAACAATGATTCGAAAAAAAGAATCAAGTTCATCTGGATATGGTTCCTGTTGTTCTGAAGTCTCCATTCCAAGCATTATCGGAGTTCCCCTAAAACCTCAAAGATATTACAAAGTTCCACGAATTCGCCGCTTATCAATGCCTCCTTCATACTTTGAAAATGAAGTTACACGAGCAGTTGATGACGAATTCGCAAATTATGAAACTGATGTGGTAAGTTATCTTATCCTATGAATAATTTCATTTTTTTTTTGAAAAAAAGAATACTTATGTAAATTATAAACAAATAAAATAAATACAAATCAGGTCATTTTGTAATTGTTTCCCTCTTAAATTCTCCTAATTTGGTTTGTCTTGTTGTTCTTTTTTCCTTTCATTTTCAATGTGAGACACAAAAAAAATGAGTCAAAATATTCGGGAACAATTGTGATTCATTATTTTCCTTTTATTGAAGTTTCAAACAAAAGAAAAATAAAAATAGAATCATGAATTCTGAAATGACCTTCTTTTTTTCGAAATCAAGGAAAAGGTTTTAACCGAATTAGTGAATTAGCAAAACGAAAAGATAGTAAATTAGTTTAATATATACATTTTCTCTTTTTTTGTCAGGCTAATTGATTATTATGTTTTTTCTCATATTCTTTAGAAAAAGTTCAACGAATTAGTATAATAATAATATTAATCTGATAACAATTTATCTTTTAATTTATTGTTATTATTATAATAATTGTTATCTTTTTCTTTCTTTTTTCTATCAAAACAATATCAGTTTTTTATTATCTTTCTTTTTTGCGCACTTTTTACTTTTTCCGGTTTTCTTTTCACATCCATTGATATCCTTTGTGCTCCTCTTTCTTTGTTTTTGTGATCTGTAAATAAATCTGAACTCAATTTGAGTCAACTCACCATGTTTTTGCAGGACACGGGACTTCAAATTCGTACAGAGATTAGAGGAATGTCTCGACCTGAGTCGGTTATTCAGCTGGCTCGAAAATTCGCGGAAATATCAGCTGCGCAGCAAAAAGATCTTCATAAATCTCGAACACAATTGGCAACTCCGGGAAAAGAGAATTCAATGTATCAAATTTCGAAGAGTGGGCCATCTACTCCTTCCAGGCAAACAGGTAGTTTTTTATCGAGTTTTATCGAATCAATATTTTTATTTAGCTCCAACAAATATTGGGGGCATCGCATCGTTAAGAGGTTAGTTTTTTTTCACATACTTTCCAAGTTTTCAAAAAAAAAAAAAGAAAAAAAGATAGCAGCGAGTGGTTTCGATCCACCGACCTCTGGGTTATGGGCCCAGCACGCTTCCACTGCGCCACGCTGCTGACGAGCGAAACCATGTTTGATTGCCCACATGTTTTTGATGAAAAAAAAGGGAGAGAGAGATAAGAAAAAGTGTGTGGTTGTGTGTGAGCGAACGAATAAATGAAGAGCAAAATATTATTACAACCGACCGGAAAAAGTGGCGAATTTTTACACACTTCGGACATTTCGAGACTCTTGTTTTGTTTGTGCTCAATCAAGTGATAACAAAATTTCAACTTTTTTTGTCTTTAGAGTTTTGAAAATGTTTGCTCAAATGATTATAGATTTCGATTTCGAAGCATTTTCAAGGAAAAACTGGAAATTGTTGGAAAAAAGTAATGAACTACCCTTTTCCTTCTTCCATTTTTTCCAATTTCCCTGAAAAGTTCTTTTTTTATTGGCCAGAAGTTCACAATTTCAGATGTTTTCTCTCTTTTTTGTTTTCGTTTTTCGCATGACGGGAGACGGAAAAACGAACAAAAAATGAAAATGTTTTTTATTATCAACGAAAATTGTTTCAGCATCTGGTGGAGAAGCAAAAATGTCGCGGCCAAACATGTTCAAACAAATGGAAAAAGTTGGATCTGGGTGAGTTTTGAAGTTTGAAAAAAATGAAGATGATCATGTTTTTTAGTAATTCAACATCTTCAATCGCACCTCGTCAACTCAATCCGAATTCTATAAAAGACGCGCTTCTTAGATGGATTCAGAATCGAGTTGCTGGATATCCAGTGAGTTATTGGGAACCTACAGTGATCGGGAAAGTGAGAAAATTTGACACAAACCCCTAAGCGATGAAATTCAACGCGAAACTGAGAAGTTTAGAGAAAAATATTTGCGATCCAAATACCAGTAATTTTTATAAACAATCTCTCACTTTCCACTGGACTTTGTCGGTTTAGTAAAAAGATCAAAAGATTCTAAAAGTAATTTTTTTAAATTCCGGTTGACCGAGACCACCCACGAAGTTTCTGACTGGCCTAAACTTCACCAAAACAAAAAATACAAATGAAATATTGAAGTTCAAATCTTACTGTACGCGAAAGTGCGTCGCAGTGTTTGCACACACCAATCAGCTGGACGTGGGGGGAATTTGAATTTTTTGAAAACACAAAATTTTCTATATCCAAAAATCAGAACTTTTGTTTTCAGAACGTCAACGTCACAAACTTCTCCTCCTCTTGGGCTGATGGAATGGCCTTTTGCGCTTTGATCCATCGATTTGCTCCACATTCCTTCGATTTCGCACAACTCGACCCCCAAAATCGACGATATAATTTCGAGTTGGCTTTCAAAACTGCAGAGTGAGTTTTTTTAACCATAAGATTTATTGAAGTTGACCAGAAACATCGGATAATTAATTTTATTTTAACACAAATTCCACAAACTTTTTCTGGTAGATCAAAAATATTTTTCTCTAAATCTCTCACTTTTCAGCTGAATCTCGTTGATTCTCCAAGGTTTCTCAAACTGTAGCTCCATTTTTCTAGCTTCAAAATTTAATATCAGAAAGTAAATATTCCTTTAAAAATTCAAAAAAGGAGTACTGTAGCATCCATACAAAACTATATTCCTTTAATATACTCTCTAGGATACTGTAGATCTTTTCAAAAGTTCAAAAATCCATTTTTTTTTCAGAGATAATGGAATTTATCCATTATTGGAAGTAGATGACATGATTATGATGGGAGATCGACCAGATTGGAAATGTGTTTTCACATATGTTCAAGCATTCTACAAACAATTCAGAGATCATCCATAATTATTCAATTTTTTATTTGTTTTTCAAATTTCTTGTTTTTGCAAAATCTCCATCCAAATAGCTTTAATTGACTGGTTCGAAATACAACTTATATTAGCATCATATCCTTTTCTCCCTCCTTTTTTCTATTTGTTTTTGCCCATAACTTTCTTGTTTTGAGCTCAAAATACACTATGAACAAATACCTTTCATATTTACAAATATTAGATGATCAAAACGTGACTTTTTTTGTTGGACTGCATAATAGATATATAAATACTATACTATTAATAAATAATTCATTATCAATTTTTTTTGGTTCATCAAAATGCCGGTTGAAGGTATTTTTGAAAATTCATTTTGTGAGTTTTGAATGTTTTTTTCAGAGAAAATTATCAGAAAAACGAGTGTGATGGAAAAATTCAAAGAAATGTTTTCAAAATCAATGGATTTCAATTTGGAAATTGAGGATATTTTTATGGATAAAAATCAAGAAGTTAAGCAAAAACTTGGTGTTCGTAAAGAAGAAGCTGATAGAAGGGAATAAATATTTTTTGTGTTTTGAAATAATTTATAAATAAAAACGTGACCGACTACTTGTTTTTGATTATTAAAAATATTTTATTCATTTCGAAAATTAGGAACTCCTACAGGAATTCAGTCCAAGTTTTCTATATTTCAGCAATTTTTATCCCGCTCTTTCGAGGGGATTGCAAAAATTTCAAAACACTCATAAAGTGTCCCTTTGCACGGAAATCTTTAGTAAAAGGCGAAAGATTTTCTCGGTTAAATGCAATGGAACCAGAGATAATTATCCAGGTATTTTCGGAAAGGTTATTTGGGAGAGTGGCCGACAACTAACAGGTTGAGCGAGGTGGCAGACACACAACACAAAGTGGGCGGAGCTAACGAATGTTTCGGATTTCTTCGAGATTTTTGCAAGGAAAAAAGTTGGAAAAAAAATATTGTTTCATATTTTTGGAACTGATCCCATTCCTGTCTAGTGCTCCGACTCCTATTCCTTCCCAAACCCCCCCCCCTCCCCCCAACTCACATTCTTCGGATCAATATCAATATGTTTGAAAAAGTTATGAAACATAAAAGAATGATAGCTTTCGGGATGATCCCTTTCCAATCCAACATATTCATCCATATTGAAAGTCTTGACATATTTAAAAGACAATCTTCCCTGTTGATAATATTCAATCAGTTTTCGATACATTCCCAATGGAGTTGAACCAGTTGGAAGACCAAGAACAAAATATTTTTGATTCGAGGGATTTCGATGATGTTCGATGATTTTCTTGGCGACATAGCCAGCAGCAAATTCGGCAACTTTTTCAGAGGATTCTTCGATTATCAATTTCATTTTGTAGAATAGAGTAGAGCAATGAGTATGTTTTTTGTGGTTGAATTAATTCCTATCACACCTATTTATAGTCAGATTATGAAGAGCACTTGTTTCGTATCTTATCATATTATTGTTTTGTTTTGATAAATGATAATAAGAAGTTTGGGAAAGTTTCTCGAAGTAGTTAGAGAAATGAATGGAGTTTGGGAAAGTTCGAAAGAACATTCGGAAAACTATATGAAAGGCATTTTTTTCTAGGATTTAGAAATATTAGACAAATTGGGAAAAAAATTCTGCTGTTTTGGAAAAATTCTCGAAAAGGATGGAAAATTTTCAAAATGTGGACCTCTAGGAGAGACTGCTTGAAAGCTTTTAAGTCAAGGGGACACCGCTTGAGAGCAATATTTTGAAGTCTAGGGGAGGTTGCTTATGAGCCCTATGAGGAGTCAAGGCGTCGCTGCTTAGAAAGTAGAGCTTGAGAGCTCAATCTAGACTTCCTAGTTTTCAGAAAAATTCCAAATTTTTTTCGCAACATTTCAAAAAAAGTGTTTATTTATATTACAACACAAACACAAGAAATCTGTCACTTATACTGCGATAAAAACAGATAAAAATCTATTTGTTTCTCAAAATTCTTCATCTTATTTAGTAGAGATATTCGAAATAAATAAGCCTCTTCGTTTTTTATTATCTTTTTTTCTCTCGCTTTTATTTTTGAAACCAACTAGTTACAAGCTTTTTCTTCTTCTTCTTACACTTTCTAACAATTTTAATTTTAAACTTGACTTGACCATAATTCGTTTCTCTTCTCGATAAGGTCACCTTTTTTTTTCGAGAAATGAAATGAAAATATTTTTGTTTCGAAAACAATAGACAATGGTCACACTTTTACTACTTTTTGTGGTTGATGTGTGTTTTTTTTTTGGAACATTTTGGAAAACATAAACTTTTCATAAGAATTTCTAGTAATTTAAATTGAATTTGAATTTAATTTTCAATTTTCGAAGTTCAATTAAACTTTTTTTTAATTTTCAAGTTTTTGATTTTTTTAATTGAAATTTTCATTTCTGAACTTTCAAATCTGAATTTTGGAAATTCAAATTTCAATTATGATACCCAAAGTACCTATAACCCCAATCTTCATTTTTTTTGAGAACACTTCAATTTTTGTTGTTTGTTTTCACATTTTTTTTGTCTTTTTTCTAGTATTTTTTGAATGTATGTTGAAAACAAAATGGCTTCAATTATTCTGAATTTTTTTTATTTTTTTCTCGTGTTTTTTTTCTCTGGAGGAAATTTACTATTTTTGGCGTTAGAGGTCTCTAGGAGACCTCCAAAATATTCTTCACAATTAGACGCGGGTCCTAGAAACTTGGGTTCTCTGGGCGCAGCTTCTTGACAACTAGACTGTCTAGAGACGGTTACTTGTCATAGCACCTTCCAAGGCGTTGAACCTGGACACATTGATTCGTAAGGGGTGGCTCCTAGCCAAAATGCTTCTCAAGGCGTGGGTCCTTCACAATTAGGCTCTCTAGACTCAGCTACTTGCAAACTAGGTTTTCTAGACTTGGCTACTGAATAAATAGGTTGGATTTTTCTACAAACAGCTTCCAAAGCCAGTAAAACTTCTACTTTCTCTCATTAGTTTCAAATAAATATAGTCAGATTTTAATCTATCTCCTCATCTCAAATCAAACATTTGTTTTTTCTTCTTCTTTTTTTTTTGAAAAGATTTTCTCACCTTCAACAAAACTTATAATATATTTATTTTTAATATTTAACAATGAGTATCTATTTGCTTTTGCTAAGCTAAGCTATTCGAACAAAAAAAGTGAACCAGTATTTGATATATCCTCCTCTTGAACTCCAAAGTTTTTTTTGTGTTGTCTGGAGCTCGAGCTCTTTTTTTTTTTTTTGAAAAAAGTGGGAGGCGTAAAACATTTTCACATCATGCTCACAACTTTTTCCACTTTTTGAAAAACTTTTTTACACACACAAAAAAAACATCTGGATTCATAATATTATATTTTTCCTGCTTGCTATTATTTTTCAGAGAAAATGCTCGGGCTCATTTATCATTTTTCCCATTTTTCCAATTCGTTCTCTTTTTCTTTCTGGTTGGACCAAACGTAGCTCATTTTTCAGAAGAGGGAGAACTAATGCAATTTTTGGAAATTGGAAATGTGGCAAGCTTCAGATGAGCTTCAAAATGAGCAAACTGCATTGCTCATGTTACCGAATGAAGTTTTGATTCAGGTTAGTTGGGAGAGATGAAACGAGCCGGCCCAAAAATGAACCCGGGTGCTCTAGGCTTGAAGTTCAGGCTTCAGATCCCATTGATCTAAACTTTTGGGAAAAGTCTGAAATTCAGGCTTCAGGACATTTAGGCTTAAAATGCAGGCCCCAGACTCCCTAGGCTTAAAATTTCAGATAAGGGTCTCTAGTGGAGACTGCTTGAGAACACTATTTTGAAGTCTAGGAGAGATTGCTTGGGATGAAGTTTAGGTCTCAAGGCTCAGTTGCTTCAAAGAATAACTGGGAGTCAAGGCGCGGCTGCTTAGAAGAAAGAGGGGTCCTCTAGAAACATCTGCTTGAGAGTTATAGAAGGACTCTAGGCGCGCCTGCTTCAGAGCACTATGAGGAGTCAAGGCTAGGTTCCTTGCGAAACTGATTGTCCCTCAAGGGACATCTGCTTGAAATATCAATACTACCAGTAAACCATCAAATGTTTTCAGATAATCCGACGTTTGCCACGCCACGATGTGTTCTTCTCGATTGCTCATACTAACATTCGTCTTCGTCGACTTGTTCAATCAAATTTGAAAACTCTTCGATTGTAAGTTTCGAAACTTTTTTTTTGAAATATTTGTACTTGAACAGAAAAATGAAAAAAATGGTTCATTTGAAGTGGTTGACAAATATTGTAAATGGTTCAGAGTTCTTCTGTAATTTTAAATGATAATAATTGAAAGAGATAGGAATTTTGAGAATGAAAAAAAAGGAGAAGAAGATAGAACTGTGGAGAAGTTCGGAGATGATAAAGTATCAGAGAATCTTGATTTTGGAAGTCGGAAAATCATTTTAAAAAACCACAGTTTAATTTATGAAATTGAACTCGAAAAAGAGAGAAAATAAGGTTCTCCAGCCCCAACTACTTGACAAATAGGATTTCTAGGAGCGGCTACTAGTCATAGAACTTTCCAAAGAGCCGTACCTAGCCACAGAAGCTCTCAAGGCACGACTGCTTGTCAGAGTGAAATTCCAGACTAAGCTCCTAGCCAAATCGAATTTTCAAGTTTTTGAAGCTCACATTTTCCAAATCCCAAAAATGTTCTCACAGATTCGATGTTCATTGTCATGTTCATGTTGTTGACTCACACCCTTTGCATAATTATCGAGACGATGGAACTGATCCAATTATCACCTATTCCTTCACTCTTTTCGATCGATTATTGCCAGGTTAGATTCTTCTCTTACTATTTTTTAGCTTACACGATTATTCCAGATTATAAACAGAAAAAACGTCTATGTCTTCGAGGAAATGATCAAAGATACAAGGAATTACACATCTCTCATTTTATCGATTCAAAAATGAATGCACAATTTGAGCGAGCAGGTTATGATGTAAATGTATCACAAAATGTTGCAAATACCTTACTCTCTTATATGAAATTAAGAGCAATGCGATTTCAAGTCAGAAAACAGTGTAAAAATGAATCAACTCGTAAAGAAGATGATTTCTTTGCAAATTGTATGGAGTTTTGTGAGAGGATTTGCACAAAAACTGATATAAAATCAATATTACTTTGCTCGAAAAATGTGCTATTTCCGTGGAATCTTGGACACAAATCAATGGAAAAATTGAGATCATTGAATAGACTTCGATCTTTGATATTGGAAAATATGACAACTATCGATCCAACTCAATATGTTCCATTGTCAAATCTTTGCAGTCTTCAATTTCGACTTGATCAAAGACATCGAATTGATATTCAGAATGTTGAATTGCAACAAATCAATGGTTCAATTCTCAAATTGATAAGTGATTATTGTGTTTCGAATTTTGATTTTTCCGCCTATTCTGATATTTCGGCGATTGTTTCACAAATCTCTTCAATTGATATGTGTTTATTTATATCAACTTGGAGAAGTTCGCAAAAACCATGGAATATTCGATCGATTTCGTTTAATTCGATGGTTACAATTGATGAATTTCGATCAAATGCTTATCGATTATTACCGTAAGTGGGTGGATTTTAGAATATCTCACGGTTCTCACGAGCGAAATACGTTCCTATTGAACAAACATATTCAACGTTTTTCCAAAAACTGTTCGTAATTTCACAATTTTTTGAAACGTATATTTTTCCGGGATTATCGTGGACTAGAAATTTCTGAGTTTTTGTAGAATAATTGTTTTTAAACATATTTTTACAAGGAAACTATTCCAAATTTCACTCCATATTTTTACTGTTTCTAGTAGTTATGACGTGGCAAAGTGAAAACCAGAAATTTTGAAATTATGTAATTGCTCCTTCTGATGCTATCAGATTTATATAAAAATCATTTTAAGCTAGTTTTCACCTCATATTTTAGTAAAAGGGCTGAATCAGATCCACGTGGATTTTCATTCAAATTTTCAACAAAAAAAATCAATGAACTTCGGCTAAATCTGTTCAAAAATCAAAATTTGAATCTCAAAGTTCTTGCAGAAATGATCAAATAATGGATGTTCCATATTGTCGTTTCCGATCAATTCATCGAACATATCCAAATATCGCAATCGAATTAGCGTGTTATGGAAATGGAAATGCAACACAATGGCTAATTCGAACCGGATACATTGATCCTCCCAATTAATTCACGGGTTTTTTTTTTTCTAAATTCTGACTTCAAATGTTTCAGGAACCTTTGCTCTCTCGAACAATAAAATTTTATGAAACAAGAAGTGATAACAATAAATAAAAAGGTAGAACTTACACGTCAAGAAAAACCGTACACTACATTTCAACAATCCAAATAAACAATTCAAGCTTCCGATGTTTTTCGTTGATTTTCAACAGCATGCAAATATTTGAGTGCTCTTTTCGCGGCCGTCGATTTTGCGATTCGATAATTTCGTCCCATTCCAGTAAATCTCATATTATTTCCAACATCAACAGTCACACGCACTTTTCCAGTCTCGAGAATTCTTTCCATTTTGCTGAAAAAAATCATATGATTTTGTCTTTTTCAGAGTATTTGACGCATTAATTATAAAATACGATTTTGAATAAAATTTGAATATTTAAAGATCAAATTAATTAATCACTGCTTTATTTTTAAAACAAAAATGAACTCATCAATTTTTGAAATAAATTCAAATTCAACCTTGATTCACATCGGTTTTCTATATTTTTTCACATCTTTCTGCATTTTCCCCCTACATATTCTAACAATGCCCGCAATTTTCTCAAAAAATAAGCGAAAATCGAACACCTCCTATAAATTAATGTTTTTGATGCATATTTTCGAAGTTGGTCAAGGAATCGGTCATTTTCTAACAAGTCCAATATTAATCTTTCCAAATATTCAAATATCTTATGATCATTTTATACGGGTTATTGGTTGTTTTATGAATACTTTGTGGATTGCCCAATTTCCAACTATGGCTATTTTATCAATTTTTCGAGTGTTAATTTTCACAAATCGAATAAATTCTATAAAAATGATTCGCTACTTGAGATTAACCCTATTAATAACTTTTTCCTGGTTATTTTTCATTTTTTTGAGCGGATCTATCAGTCAAAATATCACATTCTATGCTCCATCTTGGAGTTATGATAACTCAGTTCAATATTCTTTATTTTTCCAAAACGCAGAATTATTTGTTAGCCTTTCTTGCCTTATTATTTCATATTTATTTTATATTATATTGATTTTTATAATATATAAAAGAAGGAGGGAAACCCAACATTTTCGAAGAAAAAATGAATTATCAATTATGATACAATGCACCTTTGTAACCTCATACATGACTTTAATAATAACCTTATGGCATAAGGGAGAAGATTGGTTTAATATGAGTGATATTAAAATACAAGCGTTTATTAATGTCTTGTGGATTTGTTGTAGTTATGTATCACCGATTGTTTTACTAATTATTAATAGGTGAGTAATTAGATAGATTTGAAAAATTAAGAAAAGATAAGATAAAATTGCAGACAATTACGAAATGAAGTCAAGCGAATATTCAAATTAAAACCCAAGATCAACATCATTTCAATAACATTATAGAGCAAAGAATTATTATTTTTTTTTGAAATAGAATGAAAACCAACCTGAATCTCGCTTTACTCGATTCCCACTCCATCAATTCTCGAATCGGTGATCTTGGCGGATTTGCACAACATTCTTCAATTGTCGTTTTCATTAATCCAAAAATAACCGTCCATGTGACATCCAAATTTCTTCCACAATCAAGATAAATTGAGCCAGCAAGTGATTCGAATATATCACCCATTGCTTTTGGAACTTCGATATCTTCTTCTTGTCCTTCATCGATTTCTTCTTCTGTTGTTACCATGTACATCTGCAAAATAAATAGTTAATTTTAGATTTTTAACAAAATATGTATAAAAAACATTTTTTCCAGAAAATTCCCATAAAAAATATTTTTCCAAAAGGATCGAATCATAAATATTTCATCATTTCTGGCTGGCTATTTAATGAAAAATATTCTCTCTGTGTAATCATAAAGAAGAATTGATTACAACATGAATGCAAAACGATTTTATAAATATTTTTATGAAATATCATTTTTCCATAAATTTTTTGTAATTTCACAATTTTTTGAAACGTATATTTTTAGGGGATTTTGAAAATGAAATTTTTTTCAAATCTCAGAAACTTAAAAATTTCTCATAATTCTAGTAAGCTTGGGCTGAATTTTTGTAAAAATATTTTTACAAGAAAAAAAATGTTTCAAAATTTACTCGAGAATCAAACCTCACCCAAGACCTGGAATTCCAGGTGGGCAATTTTTTTTCTCGAAAAACCTAGGTGGGCAAAATTTTTCAGGGTCTTTAAGGCGAGCCTCAGGTGGGCAAAATTTTTTTACTAGGTGGGCAATTTTTGTAAATAAACCCAGGTGGGTAATTTTTTACCCACTTCTCCAGGTTCTTGGGTGAGGTTTGCTCGAGAATAAATTATTTCTAGTAGTTTCAGATATGTTGATGAATTTCCCAATGTCTAAAATTGCAAAACTCAACCTCAAATATGAGTCATGACGTGGCAAAAAAAAATGATTTTCTTGAAATCTAAATTTTTTTTTGCTTACACAATTTTAAAAATTATTATTTGAACCTAGTTTTCAGCTCCGGAAGTCCCAATTTTTCAAAATTATGAAACTTTGCCACGTCATAACTCACATTAAGAGTTGAGTTTTTTTTCAATTTCAAACAACAGAGCGGGTCTGAAACTATTAGAAAAAATATATTTTTCAAAAAATGATAATGAAAATTACCTCAGCATTGAAATTCGTGTCAAAATTCCTCTCCGAGCACAATTTCACAAACTTCTCAATCATATGATGTAAACCAGGACACATTGCAATAAAATGTTTTTGAAAATCAAATTTCACAGCAAGCGACGCAAAAATCGTGTTATTTACAAGAGCACTTCGCAAATCTGTCAAAACTCCCGGACTATATTGTCGAACATCTTCAAATAAATAACGAGTTATCATATAATCCAAAACCGCATCTCCCAAGAATTCCAATCTTTGATAACAACCAGTTACCCGATTATTGATATAACTTGCATGTGTAAATGCTTGAACCAAATATGCTCGATTCTTGAATCGATATCGAATCTTCTCTTCAAGTTGAACGAATTGAAATTGTTGCCAAATATTATCAAGTGCTCGAATTGATGCATTTTTATCAGTTGGTGTATCAATAAATCGGAGAAGTGGATCACGTTCAATTTGTTCATCAACATTCGATGTATTCGCCACAACTTTCAAACCCATCCAAGACATCACTTTTAATGTTGGATTTGGGCCAAGGGTCAATAAATGAACACCGATTAGGGCTTCCATTGCATCGGCAATCGATTTATCCGAAATATTTTGTTGTGTGAGAAGATTATAGGGTAACGGTGAGATATCTTCGTTTACAGCTCCTTTTTGTTTGGGGAAAGTTATCGTTTCGATTCCATCTGATGTTGTTTTTGATACTTCACCTCCTTCGTCCCAACCCGTCGGTTTCTCAACCTGAAAATTGGAATGTGGATTTTTTTCTTGTAAAAATCTTTCCAAGTTCAGATATACTTCTGAATTTGTGTAAATCATGCTAAAAAACGCCACGTGCTTCGTTTTTGATGAAGATGTCTGGGAAGTCAAATAGAGACCGCAAAGTTACGATTTTTTGAAATTTCTGATTTTTGCCACGTCATAACTCATGTTAGGAGTTGAGCCCCTCTTTCAAAAATCCCACCTTTTGCTCAACAACTTGTCCCTCCAATATTTTCTCCATTTCAATATCTCGTTCTTCAGCATCATCTGTATTCGGCGCTTTGAAATCCACAGTAGTAACGTAGCTACAAATTTTTTTTTTTGAAATAGAATTTCAAATAAAAAAAATTTTGAACTTACCAAGGTGGAAGCCATGAATCTTGCGCATCAAACTTGGATGCAATAATCAATTGTGGAATTCCTAATTTCTTTCCCAATCGATACAAATTACAATTCGAAACCTCTTTCGATCTCGCAAATGACAATTTCCCCTCGTGTTGTTCCTCGTGTTTATGATAAAGGAAATCAGTGACCGCAAATTTCAAAAACGAGTCTCCAATTGTTTCAAATCTCTCCAAACTCATACCATCACTTGCATTCGATGTTGTTAATGCAGTTAATAATAAACACGGTGATACTCCATATCCAATTTCATTATCCAAATGTGAAATATCACTGATATTTGCTCTTAATCCATGCATTGTTGGCGACTCTTTTTTGAATGAAAACGTTGGTTGTGTTTCCAATTTCACCAAAACATTGCTCATATTTCGATTTCCACAATCAATCTTCTTCATTTCTGCATCTTGCCTATTCTTCAATTCCTCTCCATTCATCAATTCTTTAATTTCATCATCCGCGCTCATTTGTTTGCGATTCTCAACTTCTTCATTATCATCAAATTCATCCAAATCAATAATTTCCTCTGGTTTTCGATTACATTCTCTCGCATCCGAAACATCTAAAGTTTCCAATTTTTCTTGAGCTTTCACCAACAATTTGATTCTTTCTCTCTTTTTCAATTCCTCTTCAATTTCTTTTTCTGATTTTATGATTTCCGGGGCAACAGTTGGTGCAACATTTACATGTCTTCCAACATCTTCCATCAATGATTTCAAATCGAATCCAGTCGTTTGTCCATCAGCAATTATTTCCTGTGAAAAAAAATATGAGCAACTTTTTGAAGGCTTCAAAAATTATACCCTCTAGACGCTGCTACATGGGAACTAGGCTCTGTAGGCGTTGATCCTTGACCAAGACGCGACTACTTAACAGCTAGGATATCTAGGTGTCGACTACTTGGGGCAGAAGCTCTCAAGGGGCGGTGCCTTGCCAGAGTGGATTTCTAGAAGCGGGTTCTTGACAATTGAATTTTCAAGGCGCGGCTACTTGAGCTTTGATTTCTAGAGACAAAAGTTGGGACAGAAGCTCTCAAGGCGCGGCTACTCGAGAACTAGGCTCTTTAGGCGCTGGTTCTTGACAAGCGAAGTTTCTAGGCGCTGCTACTTGAGAACTTTGATTTCTAGGTTTGACTACTTGAGCCAGAAGCCTTCAAGGCGCCGTACCTAGACAAAGTGCTTCTCTAGGCGCCAGACCTAGGCAATTAGGCTGTCTAGGCGCGGCTACTTGAGGACTAGGATTTCTAGGCGCAGATCCTTGACAATTGAATTTTCTAGGGTCGACTACTTGAAACCTAGGATTTCAAGGCTCGATTACTTGAGACAGAAGTTCGCAAGAGGCGGTTCCTTGCCAGACTGGATTTCCAGAAGCGGGTTCTAGGCAATTCAGCTCATCAGGCGTGGCTCCTTGAGAACCAAGTTCACTAGGCGCTGATTCTTAACAATTAAACTCACAAATCTCGACGAATGTTCATCAACATCCCCGTCATCATCCAAATCACCCCATCCACTCGCAACAATTCCCTCTCTCGGTGCCCACAATTCATCACTCGGTTGAAGTTGCAATTGTGACGTCAGCCTCTGCTTATAGTCATGCATAACAAACGGCCCCAAATCGGCTTCATCTTCATCCGAAATATTTCCATCGTGTAGTCCCGACATCAATCCAATCGTATCATCGTCTCCATCATAATTCATTCGATTAGTATCATTATTTGGCAAAGAAACATCCAAACCACATCGAATCGCATCTTCTGGATCCCAAACTCCGATTTTGAATTTCTAAAAAGATTTTTGTTGAAATGTATTTCTAGTAGAACAACTCACCCCATCATCTTCAGTTTCATTATTCTCTTTACTTTGCGTTTTCTTATTCAATTCCTTTAATTGTTGCAATTTGCTCACAACAACAGATTGTTTTTCTTCATAAGTTGAAGGATATGATAAAGGTGGCCATTCAAGATTATCAGTCACTTCCACAGTTGCCTGAAATAGCGAATTTTTCATTTAATAACCCTAACAACTTACCTTATCTTTTCCAAACGCATTAATCAAAATAGTTTGTCTCAATTCATCAGTCAATAGCAATTGATTCAATCGATAAAAGACACTTGGCAACGCGGCGATAACATTCCAAAGTGTGGCCGAAATCGGGTGAATATCCATTAATTCGGGAACAAATATTTGTCGTTGTGTATTGTGCGATGGTTTTTCACCGGGTGCTGGAGAAGAGGCTGGTGATATGACTGATTCTTGTGATTCGCATGCTTCCGATGTTGTTGATCGACGATTTGATCTTTGATGGCGAGGCAGAAGAAGATTCAACCGGCTGAAATTGAGAAGGAATATGAAATTATATGAGAAAAGTCTATGAGAGGATTGTTCATGTTAATCAAAAATAATCCACGTGGAATTTTGAACATTTTTACGCGAAACTTGATTTTTGTGGATTGCTCATGGTAATCAAAAACAATCCACGTGGAATTTTGAACATTTTTACGCGAAACGTGATTTTTCGGGATTGCTCATGTTAAACAAAAAAAAATCCACGTGGAAATTTACAAAAAATTCGGCGGGAAACTTGGTTTTTGGGTATTGCTCATGTTAAACAAAAAATTCACGTGGAAGTTTACAAAACAATTCGGCACAAAATTTGATTTTTGGTGATTGCTCATGTTAATCAAAAAAAAATCCACGTGGAAGTTTAAAAAAATTCGGCGGGAAACTAGTTTTTGAGAATTGCTCATGTTAAACAAAAAATAAATCCACGTGGAACTTCGAGAAATTCGGCGGGAAACTTGATTTTTGGGGATTGCCCATGTTAATCAAAAACAATCCACGTGGAAGTTTTAAAAAATTAGGCGGGAAACTCGAGTTTTTGGGGATTGCTCATGTTAAACAAAAAATAAATCCACGTGGAAGTTTGAAAAAAAAATTCGGCGGGAAACTAGTTTTTGGGGATTGCTCATATTAAACAAAAATGCAATTTTCGAGGTGGAATTTTAGAAAATTTGGCGGGAAACTTGAACTTTTTTTTAATTTTTGGGGTTGGATTGCTCATGTCAAAATTCAAATGTCCTAATCCAGTTTTAATATTTGAAGCCCAGAATTTTTTTCAAATGGGCAAAACTTTCTGGGAACAAAAATCAGCTGCCCAGCAACATTTCATTCAAAACTCACTGTGACGTATAATCCACATCCAACAACGATTGATTCTGATCATAAATCTGAATATCATATTTCTTGATGAAATACTCATTAAAAGTTGTATAATGATCATCGGGAAATTGCGAACTTGGTGACATTTCTGGCAATAATTCAGCAACATAATAAAACGCGGGTCTTTCAACATTTCGATACCACGGCATAACTATTGCATCCTTGTAGTCATCTGGGTTGAATTTGTATTGTTTTCGTGTTTCTTCGTCTGGTACACGTGGCATTTTTCGCATATTTGCAACGACTTGTGAAACATATTTCATATTTATAGAGTAAATGCCACCAGCTGTAGCTTTTGGATCTGAAAAAAATTGATTTTTGTGAAGAATTTTTCTAAAGAAAAAAAAATCACTCACTTTTGTTCAATGGAACAATCAATGTATTAATTGGTGTATTTGTCGACGTGTCAAACATCAAATTGTCAGATTTGCACAATTGAAGAACTTGTGTGAATAAATAATCATGAAACAGTTTAATTTGCTCAAAATCCTGGTTATTCACAATAATTTCCGTATCCGACAAAATCAATCGAACTCTCATATCTCCTTGTCTCAAATAAACCGGAAATGGTGGAACTTTTGGGATTTTCCGTGATGACAAGAATCCAAAACAATATTCATATTGATTTGGGTCAACAAATTTGCGACGCTTTGGATTTGTATACAATTCGGGTTCGCGAACTCTTTCCAAATCCAACACATAAATATAACATGTTTTATTAGGTTCGATGAGACATTCATGAAGACTTCTCGCCACTTTTTTGTCATATAATTGTTTTCGTTTAGCCGATCCAACTTTTGCCGATATTCCAGGTGCATATTCATCCGGTTCATCATCAATATGCTCCAACAATTTCGCAATTGATTCTCTTCCTTTTGGCAATAAATTATCATCCAATTCTCCTTTCTGATGCAATTGTCGACAAGCTTCTAAAGCAACCGCCATTTGTGCACTTTTCTTATTTGGCATCGGTTTCACTAATTTAATCGCATTTTTGATTGGAGAATTGATTGGGAGAAGGAGTTCTGCACAATATTTTGTTACTCCATCTTCAGTTATTGGAATGATTTTATTGTGTGGAACGAGGCGAGTGAAAATATCGGATGGAAGCTTGCCGCAATATCGATTGACAAGTTGAATTGCGTTTGATAAACGGACAATTGCACCGGTTGATTCGACGATATAAGGGCTGACAAGTTCATCAATATTTTCCAAATTCAAACCAATTTCATCATCGACTGGATTGTGGACTGTTCGATAACGATTCAATAGAAGCTGGAAGAAGAGGAGAAGTCTAGGGATCAAAATCGGAAGGAGGGTGGGGTTAAAACTAGAGTCTAGTTACTAGAAACTTTGAAGGAATTTTCAATCGAAAAGCTTTTTAAAAAACCTATTTCACAATATTTGAAGGCTCAATGTAAATTCGAAAAAAATGGAAAATTTTGTGCCTAAACTTTACAAGCAAAAATTCCTTGGGATTTTTGGGATGACAAATTTTTTATCGAGCCTGATATCTTTTCTGAATCTGACCACTTTTTTGGAAAATTTTGATAATTTGGGAGATGAAAAATGTGAAAACAGTTCTGAAAATGTTTAAAAAAAGATGCGGTTCAGAAGTTTTTCGAAAAAATCGAATCTGTTTCGATTTCTATCGAAAAAATTGGATTAAAAAATCCTCAAAATGAAGTCCGATTCAAAAAACTTTGTCTTGAGGTTTAGTTATGAGTTCATTTTCAAAATTCCCAACTCACCTTTTCAATCAATTTAAAATCCCTCAAATCATTATTGCATTGATCACTATCAGCTTCTTCCACAAAAATCAAATATCGTGCACCTGGTTTTCTCGCTCTTCCCTTCGATTGAACATAAGATCGCATATCGGATGGTCGATCAAATTTCACAACAACATTACATTGTTTGACATCAACACCTTCTTCCAAAACCGAAGTCGCGATTAGAACATTGATATCATTTTTATGAAATTTCCGAAGAACTTCAGTTTGTCTTTTGTGTAATCCTTGATTATCATTTGATACCAAATTATTACCACTTGCTCCAACAACATAATCTGATTTTAAGAATGAAAATGCTGGTTCCCAATTGCGAATTTGACGAATGAGCATTTGAAGAGCACATGCAACATATCTTTGATCAACGAAAACAATTGCTGAGAGATGTTCGGGTTTTTCTAATCTCATGCGTTTTTCTTGAAATTCAGGGGAGAACATTTCCAATGTTTCTAACAATCGAATTAGCCGATGTGGAATAAATGGTTTGAGTTGATTTAAACTTTTGATATTCTTCATTTCTGGCTCCAAAATTCGTTTGACAGTTTCCATCGCAGTTTTCGCTAAATTCAAAAACAATTTCGCTTTCTCTGGCAACATTTGTGTTTTCATCAATTTATTCAATTCTCGATACCAAATCTGTGATAATTTCCAAGCAGCCCATGGTCCCAATTGTCGCAATACAGCTAATGTTGTTTTGATGCTATCACGAATTGGTCGACGAGGATCGAGATCGAGATCTGGATTGATTTCTGATGTTGTATCGATGAATTGACGAACATTGTCGAAGATTCCGATTATTCGCTCAACCATTTGACGACAATTTAGATTTCGGATATCGAAGTTTTGACAAATCGCTACAACTTCATATGGTTTTGCACCGAATTTTGAGAGCTGGAAGTGGAAAATAGGTCAAATTTTAATTAAAAATCTGCTCACCGAGACAAGATCACTTGCTGTCTCAATTGAACATTCCATAATTGCCTCCAACTTATTCAATTTCTCTTCCAATTGAGCTGGCGGAGTTTTCTCTTTGATCAAACTTGCAGTTAGGCCAAGAACTCGAGCAGCTGTGCCATCTTCTGCAAAAAAAATGAATTTTCGAAGACTTTTGGAAGTTTAATGCTCACTTTGCTTCAACTCTTTATAAGCCGACATAATCAGACGATATGGATGTTTTGATCCGAGAGAATGATGACATTCATCGAAAATCAGAACACATGCGATTTTCAATTGAATGAATGCATGATTTATGAGATCGAGGAGGCATTGTGCGGTTATAACGATTACCTGAATTTCAAAAAAAACATCAGTGGATTATTCGGATTATCAGAGGACTTACGTGATGATCTTTGATGAATTTATCACAACTTTCTTTGTTTTGTGATATTTCACAATTCATTTGACCATGAACTCGTCCAACTTTGAATTTCGTGTGTCTTTCAATGTGAACTGCTTGTTGCTCAACCAAATTTACTTTTTCGACAATAAAGAATGCACGTTTTCCTCCATCTTCTAATGGTGTGTAGATTTGAACACCAAACTCTTTCAGTAAAAGAACGGCGATGAAGGTTTTACCGGAGCCAGTTCCAAGTTGAACAATGATATTGCGCTTACATGCTTTGTCTAATAGTTCGACTTGATAATCACGAGGATTGAAGCAATTTACTTCATTCCGTTTTTTAATTACCATCTGAAACTTGAAATTGAAGTTTTGATAAGACTGGTTGTGAAAAGAAAACGGAAGATTTATACAGACCTAATAATAAGATTCACAGTTTTCCATAACATAATTTGTCAAAAATGAGGTTCGAGGACAAATTTAACGTTGGATTTTTCTTTTTTCACGTCTGTGATAAAAAAGCTGTGAAATATTTTGTATTTCATATTTTTAGGATGAAAATAACACGAATCAGTGTATTTTGGGGGTTTCGCTGATTTTTCTTCAGATAAGAATCTAATCTATCTGCACTACCGCCGTTTAAAAACCCCGAACTTTTTTCGCGAAAAAATTTCAAATTTTTAAATGAGAAATTCCAAGAGAAATTCAAAAAACAGCTGTTCGCTTCAAGACACACATTGAAAAATAAATGCGCCTTTAACCGTTTTTTGTTTGTGTTTTTTTTTCTGAAAAAAACTGGAAATTTTTCAGTGTTCCTCGTCTGTTCTTTGTGAAATTCTGTGTTTTTCAGATGGAAGAAGATAAGAAATCTCAGATAGCATCTTTTCGACGGTATGTTAAATCCCATAAATCTATAATTTGGAGCAAAACGAGAGACGCATCGAAGATTTGTCGTCAGCCTGGAGTAATTCGTGAACTAGCTGGATTTTATACTGATAGTCGCGATGATTTTCTCGACTTTGGTAGATCGAAAGGTGTGCCAGAAGAAGAGTTGAATGGACCAACAATATCAGAACTGATTTTTCCAATTAGTGAAAGACGACTAATTTCGCAATTATTCAAACCGTTTTTCATGGTTCATTTTGCTGTTTGGCGCGTGGAACAAATAACAGATGGACAGACGTTTGAAAGTGGTGTTAAATTAGATAAATCATATTATTCGCAAGAAAAACGCCGAGAATATTGGGATTATTATCGCGATTATGAAGTGTTCTCCAAAGAATTGTTAGTTTTCGATATTTATCTGTTCTAGAAAATTTATAAATTTATTATTTTCAGGAGAAAAGGTTCTATAAATATTGCTGGTCATCTAGAAGAAATCGCATTATCATTAACAAAAGAAATCTCTGCTGGTTATATTGAACATGAATGGAGAACAAACAATAAAGAATTGAAATGTGTATGGTTTCAAGAACTTATAAATGTTATGAATAGTTGGAGTTCAATGGCAACAGGAATAGATTTATCCAATATTTTAACATATCAAATTTGCAAAGGAGCTATTCATCAAATGACCGAGCATATTTATCGAATTGTTGTTACCGAGTTTCCCAGAAAATTCAGAACTATTTTCACACTTCGTTATTGTATGCAACAAACAAATAATCATGCCAGAGATCATTTGACAAAATATCTTTTATCTGAAGTTGAAAAATATCTTTTGCTTGCATGTAAGTCAATATTACTATCAGAAACCTTTATCTTTTCCTATAATTTTCCAGCTGTGGACACCAAAATCATTCTAAATGCTTATGCGTCTTGTGTTGAATCGCTTCGTGAACTTGATTCAACTTGTATTATAATGCATCGGATATGTGGAATTATCAAAGAGTATTTGAAGTAAAATGAAAATATTCAAATCTCCCCGAAAATGTGATTTTTTTTTTCCAGAAAACGAAATGATACTGTTCAACAAATTATTAGCTATATTACTTCGGATAAAAAAGAGGAATTGGAGAAAGATCTGGTGAGTTGAAGTTCCACTTCTTTTTATCACTTGTAAAAAATACGTTTCCAGACGAATTCGAAAAGAAGTGCAATGATGGATGAAGATGAATTGAAGGGTGTAAATGATGAATTCCTACCAGAAAATATGGATCCAACTGGATGGTATGAATGGGAACCACATCCATGTGATTCAGTTATTGGAGAAACTGCGCATGGTAGACAAAGTATTGATGTGTTCAATATGCTTGTATCGGTTTATGGAAGCAAAGAATTGTTTGTCAAGGAATATCGATCATTGTTGGCTGAAAGAATGTCGAATTCTGACAAGAAAGATGTAGGTTTTCTTTTCTTTTTTAATGAAGATATCAAGTTTTCACGCATAATTATAATATTTCAGCCAGTTTTCGAGCGTCGTTATTTGGAGTTGCTGAAATTGCGTTTCCAATACAGCGAATTGCAACACTGTGATGTTATGTTACGCGATGTCGAGCACTCTCAACATGTCGATCAATGTGTTGAGAAATTCACTGGACTTCCAGTTTCTGGTTGTATTGTATCAGCACATTATTGGCCGAAAATTGAGCAGGAAAAAGTTGAGGATAATTATGGAGTGATGCCAGAAGCACTTTCAAATGCGATGAAGATTTATGCGAGAAAATATTCGGAGGTTCGAGAACAACGAGAACTTTGTTGGTTGAAAGATATTGGATGTGTTGAGATTGATCTAGAATTGGATGGGGTTAGAATCGAAAAAACTATTCCAAATATGTATGCAACTGTTTTATATCTTTTGTTGGAAAAAGGTTAGAATCTTACTTATTTACTTCAAAATTCTAAATAGAGAGTTTCAGAATCTTGGACTGCTCCTGAAGTTGCTGAAAAATTAGGATTGACAACTTCACATGCGAGACGAAGACTTGATTGGTGGAGAAAACAAGGACTTCTCACTGTTGGAGTCATGCCTGGTGGAACATTGGAATTATGGTCATTGACAAAGAATACAAATGGATTGGCATCGAATCGTGCGAAATCTCCTGAACCAATTGATGAAGATGAAATGGCGATTGATGATTCGGCTGATATTGTTGAATCACTTGAACAATATTGGGGATATACAAGGAATTATATTGTGAGTTTTATTGACATCAATTAAAAAATGTTATTATTTGAAAATAAATTTTTTTTCAGTCAAATCACGGTGCAAATGGTGAAGTGAAGGCAGAACGTATGCATCGGGTTTATAGAATGTTTGGATCACCAACTTCTGGTCCAACTCTTGATCATGTGACTACATTCCTTCAAAGAAAAGTTCAACTTGGTCTTCTTACATGTTCAAATGGCTATTATCGGGTTGTACAAAAACAATAGGGTATTTATTGAATCCCCAATTTATTTATTGAAATGAACTTTCTTTTTTCATATTTTTATGTATTATTAAACAATTTCAAAATCATTACAAAACAAAAATGCGCGCTTCTTCTGATCGTCATTTTTCTGCCTAATCACTCTTCCCGTAAAAATCTTCAATCTTTTTGAAACAAAATTCAACCTCACGAAGCTTTTCACATCCTCGAGCCAATGTTGCCGAAATTCCCAAGATGTTTCATACATTTCCAGGATTTTATTGCGATTGAAAATGGGTTGAGTGCGGAATTTGGAAGAGCTGAGAGCTACAAGAATATCACATCCGGGTTGGGTTTTTAGAGGAATTGTTAATCGTAGAGAAATGTTGAATTTTGTGCCTGAAATTATATAGAATTCGGAATAAGTTTTGAAAATTTGAAAATCTTGCCTTTACACGATGGACAAGATTTTCTTGTTTCGCAAAATTCCATCGATTTTTTTCTCTTTCTGATGATTCGGACAAGCTTTGGTGAAAATTATATGTTGACAATGATTCGAATTATAATATTCCCAATTCACTTCGTATAACCTTTTCAATTGAACTCGTTGATTTATTCGACATTGGAAAACAATATCATCACAATTATTATTCTGATTATCACGGTATTTTGCCAAATCTTCCCAACTTGTGATACCTTCGGGTAAATCTTCAGGAGAATCGATGAGAATTGTGGCATCCGATGAACTACTTGATGAACTCTCGTTTCTGAATTGAAAATCATGAAATGTTACTAATCCCGAATAAAAAAATTTACTTTTTGATTTTGAATCGATTTTTTCGCAACCATCTTGCAACTGAATCTGTTCGCCGTGTTGGTAACTGAAATTTATTTTCGATAAAATTAGGTTGAACTTTAAACTTTTACTCACCTGATTCAAAAATTCGTGGAATTCCATGTGAGCTCAAACGATCGTCGCAAATAAATTCACACCCGCTCAAGCAACACAAAAATCAGCAAAACGCTGTAAAAACGGTGCACCCAGTAGCTCAAAATCTAGATAAGGTTCATGAAAAACTAAATATAGCATGAAAATCAGCGCCTCGAGTTCTACCTGACTTGCTACTTTTCTCATTTATTGAGGTCCTGCGAAGAAAGTTAGCAAACGCGACAAGACCCAACGCATGAAATTTATCATGTTCCTTTAATACTGTAGTGCGAAATATAACGGCGATCAGAGAGAATTAGACAAAAGTGTTTGCACAGTTTTTTTCAATCGCAGATTTTTCGTTTTACAGTAGAAAACACTCATTGCGTGGCTTGAACGGGTGTGAATTCGCAAAAAAAAAAAAAAAAAAGTTAATTAACGACGCATAACAACTGAAAAATATGTGTGTCCCGACGCGAAAAGTACTGTCGCATGTGTTTTTTGAAAATAATTTCTTTTTTCTTTTTCGAAGTTTTTTTTCACGTGTACGCCAGATTCCAACTCTATTGGATGCTTTTCTGGAAAAGAAAATTGCAGTTTATCCAAGCATTTTCACATTCTCAAGCTTTTTAGAATTTGACAATTTGTCGAAAAACTGAAATTTTTAGAAATGAAAAAAAAACAATCAGATAAAATGTTTTTAGCGTGACATAGTTAAATACGTGACACGTCACATTGCATGATCATTTCTGATTTCGCAGTATTTCTTGATTTTTCGTGAATCTGAATCAGTAGAATAATTCAATGCTCTATTCTTCAGCCTCTGTTTCCATTTCATTTCATTTCCAAAAACATTTTTCTCAAAAACGAACTACGGTATGTTTTGTGCAAACACGCATTCTGCAAACACCAAATTCTGCCCTTTTTCTGTTTTCTTTCCCGACTCGCTGTATAACAACACGTGTTATTATTGTTTTGTCTTGCTCCAAATTTGCATATTCCTGATTTCATCTCAAAAATACCATTGTTCTATCATAATTCTTCATTTTTAACTTTTTTATTGTCTTTCAGCATTCTACAAAAATTGCGGAGTTTTTTCATGATTTTATGAAGCGATAATTTTGAGAAAGAAAGAATTTAGAAAACATGGGTACGCCTTTTGGAGGTAAGATTTTTTATTGAATTATTTTGAGGTTTATTAGAAGTTTTAATGAACTTATGTGTCCTTCGGAATGCGTGAAAAATACTTATTTTCAGAAACGGAAACAATGACGGAAGAAGACAAAGCGAATCTTCCACGAGTTCGAAAACGAAAAATGCAGTTGTTGGAAGAAATAGAACAAATTCAAAATGAGGTAAGGAATAAGCTAATGTGTTATGAAATATTACACAAAATTGGCAATTTCAACTCTATAAAACATGTGTTTAGGTCAAAGAAGTAGAGGCTGAACTAGAATCATTATATTATGTAGACGAAGGTTCGAAATCTCGCCAAAAATTGATGTCAACTGGTAGAAAAAAGTTTAATCAAGACCCATTCAAAGGACTCGATTATTTGGCAGAGCGGAGATTAGTCGCCAAAGAACCGAAAATTGTTGCACAATGGATGTTCAAGGTATTTGTTTCAAAATAAATATGTATCTATTTAATCAATAAATATTTTCAGGGAGAAGGTTTATCAAAGGCGTCAATAGGAGATGTTCTTGGTTCAAATGATGTTTTCTCGTTAGAAGTTCTTGATGAATTTGTGAAATGTCATGATTTCACGGAAATGTTCATTGTAGATGCTCTTCGAACATTTCTGTGGTCATTCCGACTTCCTGGTGAATCACAAAAAATCGATCGGATAATGGAGAAATTCTCCAACCAATATGTACAAAAAAATCCGAAATATTTCAAAAATGCCGACACTTGTTATACAATATCATATTCATGTGTTATGCTAAACACTTTGCTTCACAATCCAAATGTCAAAGATCGACCAACATTTGAAAGATATTTGCAGATGAATAAAGAGGGATTGGAATCAGATTCGGTGTCAATTCAAACATTACAAACTATTTTTGATGTTATAAAAAGTAGTGAATTCAAAATGCCGCAAGATGATACTGGAAGTATAAGTGATATTTTATTACATGCTGAAAGAGAGGGATGGCTTTATAAACAAAGTAGCAATCAATTTATATCAGGACCTTTATCGTGGAAAAAACGATGGTTCGTGCTATCTGAAACATGTCTTTATTATTTCGAAAATACTTCGGATAAAGAGCCAAAAGGGATTATACCATTGCAAAATGTTGGAATAAGGAAGGTTGAACAGAATAATCGACCAAATATGTTTGAGGTGAGGGACTGTTCAAAGGATTGGTGTTTTTTTGAAATGAAAATGGTCTGCAAATTGTCGTCACGGTGTTGCGCGTAAAATCTGCAAACACACACACAACAGTTGTGCATTAGAGCGTAGGGTCTTGTTTTATCTCAAAGGTTTTAAGGCGCCTGTGTTTTTGAGGTAAATGCGCTCTAATGAACCCCCCCTTTTCCTTTTTAATTTTCAGCTATATAAACTTGACAATCTACATTTTTGATAAAATTCGATCTCAAAATTGCTTCATTTCGGCAAATATTCTCATTTCACCGCTTTTGAGTCAAATTTCGATTCAAAAATTCTAATTTTTCAAAAACAAAAAAATACGTTTCAAAATTTTGATATAATTTATTATCAATTTTTTCAATGCTTCCGTGATCACTTGACATCCAATCGCCACCAAAATTCTCAAAATTTGGATGAACATTTTGAAATTATCGATTTTTGAATCAAAATTCGTGGAAATTTTAATCACTACCAATGAGTGATAGAGTACAAAGCTTAGAGAATTTCTTCAAAATGTTTTCTAAAGTGTGCATGCGACGTATTTTAAAGCAACACCCTCGTATAATAAGACCATTGCGAAATGCTTTCAAACACGAAAATATATAAAATTAACCTATCCAGCTATGCTCACAAGCAATATGAAAAAGAAATACTCAAAAACGATCAAGTTTGACCACTTTTGAGAAAAAAATTATTTTTTTTGAAAATCGCCTGCAGATTGTGCAGATCCGCAATTTCGTGAAATTTGTGCAAACACTGTGACGACAATTGTGTGCTACAGTACCTCTTTCAACTTTTTTTTCAACAAAAAGTGAATTGTTTCACTGAAAACAATGAAATAAATTATAACAATGATTTCTGAACATCCTTAACTATCTCTACTTTCATTTTTGACAGTGATATTTCAGTTTTATATTGCATATTCCGGTCAAAAACTGAAAAAAACACAATTTCCCTCGAAAAAATTAGTTTTCGTCTGAAATATTGAATCTTAATGTTTATACTTCTTCAATTTATTTTTTTCATACCCAGAAAACAGTTTTTTCCATGCAAATTGTCATTTTCCGAAAAAATGGAAAAAAATTTGCAAAAAAATAAAAAGAAAACAACGAGACTCCGCGTTGACGCTAGCCCGCGTTGTTTGAATTTGAGTTTTTTCAGTTTTTCAATGGGTTTCCATATTTCGGCTAATACTTATTGAAACTTTTTGAATTTTTTCTCCGAACTAGAAAACAGTAAAACTAAGCTAATTCTAAGATTTGAGAACATTTGGGCTTTTTTCAAGAAAGTGCCTATTATACGAGGGTGTTGCTTTAATTTCAAAAGAACACCAGCCCTTAAATGAAGGATTTATGATAAATAAGCATTTTTAATTTCAGATTTATTCATTATCTGACGAAAGAATAAAGGCATGTAAAACTGAACAAGATGGTCGAATGGTTGAAGGACGACATTCAGTTTATCGAATGTGTGCCGTAAATGCAGAAGATCTTCGATCGTGGATAAATGCGATCTCAAACGCAATTCCAAATAATTTGCCTCGACCAAAAAGTACACATTGATCGATAGATATAAAAACCATCTCATCATCTCATTGTTATACTACGAGTTTTGCGCATTTCTCTCCTGAGTTTTAAATTATTTTTTTCTTTAGTAATAATCGGAACACACTTACAAAAAGTACATAATAACTCACTTTTTTCTTCATGTGTATATCTACATTTTTACAAAAACAACGAAAATTTTTATCTTTTTCGGTTTTGTTTGTTTTTTCTTCAGGTTTGAGCAACCTTTTAAATAATATCTCCTAATCTGTTTTAATTTTAAAATTCTATAATTTTTGCAGATGAAATACAATTTAAAGAGTTTAGAATGGTTAGAGGGTTCAATTGAAAAACTTCAACTTCAATCGACTTCAAAGAATCAAGAAGAAGAAGATATTCAAGAAGATGCTGAAAATGATGAAAGTGTTTCTCTGCTTCTAGGTAATTTAATTTTTATTTGAAAAAAATAATAATGGGGCTATTCAACGAAAAAAAAACTGTTTTCTCAACGCTGAGAAAACAAGAAAAAACTTATTCAGCGCGGTTGAGAAAATAGGAAAAAAGGTGTGAAAAGTGTGTGTTCTCAACCGTCTTACTGTGCTCTTCGTGTCGAGAGTCAAAACGAAAATGTTGTGTTCCTTTACTTTTTCAGTGTTTACTGTAGGTTTTCGAAATAAAAAGTCAAGGCGCATCATATTGTTGTTTGGTCTTGTTGCGAAAACCTACAGTAAACACTGAAAAAGTAAAGGAACACAACATTTTCGTTTTGACTCTCGACACGAAGAGCACAGTAAGACGGTTGAGAACACACACTTTTCACACCTTTTTTCCTATTTTCTCAACCGCGCTGAATAAGTTTTTTCTTGTTTTCTCAGCGTTGAGAAAACAGTTTTTTTTTCGTTGAATAGCCCCATAAATTTATGTTTTTCAGAGTGGAAAATGCGCATATCAACAGATTCGGATAAATGCACCACTTGCGAATGTGATATTGATTTTGATGATCGGAATGCGATTGTTGAACATTATAAATCAGCATGGCATAGGTTGGTGGGTTATTTTGTATTTTGTCAGCAGAAAAATCTCACTGAGCCAATATTTTAAAAATAATCCACATATTTTATAGAACAAACCTGCGACGGAAAAACTTGAAAATATCAGTGATGAATGAAGAAGAATTTGAAAATTATGACGAAAATGATGAGCAACTTTTGACATCGAAGCCATCGGAAAATGAATCAGAAGATGAAGAACAAGAAATCGATGAATGTCTTCTTCCTTCTGGTCGTTCATTTTTCGTCCACAACAAAAATGTATTTTCCGTCTCAAAGTTAGTATTTTATTATGAGAAAATTGCTAAATTATTCATATTTTAGAGCGATACTTCATGTTGATGAGAAAAATGTGAGCTTTTCGACATTTACACGACCATTTGATTGTGTTATCATTTTATTCAATGGAGGACATTTTGCTGCTGGTGTTTTTGAAAAGTTAGTTTTTTTCCAGAATTTTCCCAGTTTATTTGATAATTTTTTCAGTGATCGTTTGGTGTTGCATAAATCATTTCATCGATATGTGGCTCGCGCAAAACAAGGAGGTGTTCAATCACAATATGATTCGAGTCATGGAAATGCGAAAAGTGCTGGAGCCGCACTTCGACGATATAATGAGGCTAAAATGAAAGAGGAAATTCAGCAAATTATGCGATCGTGGAAAGAGAAACTGCTCAAAACTCGTCTGATTTTCATTCGATGTGCTTCTTATCAAAAAGCGGTTTTTTTCGACGCGGAAGCTGGAATTTTGCGAGGAGATGAGAGGATTCGAAGTGTTCCGTTTGAAACAAAACGCCCAAATATTGAGGAAATTCATGCGACTTGGAATCGATTACAATGGGTTGAAGAACATGGAGAATTGAATGAATTCAGGGAACAAATGAGTGCTTTGAATGAGAGGAAAAAGAAAGTTCAACAAAAATTCGAGAAAAAAGCTAGAAAACAATTTGGAGATTGGGATGAGAAAAAAGAAAAAGAGCGAAAAAAACGAGAAGAGGAACGGAAAACTGATCATGTTAAGGTTCGAGTTGTTGAGCAGAAAATCGATCGATGGCCAGAATTGAATGATGAATGGAGGAAACAAGCATATAATTTGATTAGATTGGATGATGTTGATGGAATTAGAAAACATATTCAAACTATTAATGAAATGCACAGAGAGCAAGTGATGGATTATTTGAGAAATGCTAGATTTTCACCGAATTCTTCAACGTTTTTGCATATTGTCGCAGCTAAAGAACTTTTGAATATGTTAAAGGTAATTTTCATATATTTGTTGATGAGATAGGAAAAAATTACTTACAGTTTTTGCTCAATGAAATATCTTGTGATCCAACTTCAAAAGATGAAACAGGTCGACCGCCTTATTCATTATCAGCAAGTAAACAAACAAAGAATGTTTTTATTGATTTCCGCGTCGAAAATCCGGAAAAATACACTTGGACTAGGACACATATTCCTGAACCAGCGAAACCGGTGATTTTGAGTGTTGAAGAAGAATTGAGACAATCGGAAAAGAAAAAAGAGAAGAAAATGAAACAAAAAGAGAATGCAAAAATAAGGAAAGAAGAGGAGAAAAAAGAAGAGCAAGAGAGAATTGAACGAGAAAGATGGGCGAAATTATCTGAAAGAGAGAAAAGAGCTGAAGCTTGTGAGAGAAGACTTGCTGGATTACCGCCGATTTCAAGATGTCAACAGGTTGGATTTTTCTGTTTATTTCATTCTAGATCATTTTAATAACATTAATTTTAGTGTGGCTTAGTTTTGGCTGCTGATTCGCCTTCTTTTCAATATTCACATTTCAAATTTTGCTCAACTCAATGTGTAGCTCTTCATAGAAAAAATAATCCCTAATCTATTTGATTTGAAATTGGTATTTTCATTCTTTACGGTTTTTCTGCCCAGTGATATGAAATTTTCCCATTGTTTTTCAAAGATTTTTCGACAAGATTTTCGTTTTATACGATGTGACAATATATTTGAATTCATTTATTCTCGAATATAATAGATTTTTAATGTTTTGTAGTTCTATGAAATTGAGCCCACGAATATCATCAGAAGTTAGACGAAAACTCACACATTTATCGAAATATGATGCGACACAAGTGTTTTATATGAAAGAGACTTGTATAAATGTTGATGAAAATGATCGAGTTATTGGATCGATAAGTAAGGAACAAGCGCATTCTTCGGAAAATTGTGAGTTTTTTTAAAAATACATTTTTGAAGAGTTTTATTTTAATTTTTGAATTTCAGTAGTTCTACATAGAGCCTTCTCGGTATTTTCGTTCACAAAAAATAACAAATTATTGATGCAACGGCGGAGTGATGAAAAGGTTAGTTATTTTTCAATTTTTTCACCTCTGAAAAATTCAAATTTCAGATAACATTCCCAAATCTTTGGACAAACACTTGTTGTAGTCATCCACTTCACAATGATCGAGAAATCAATGGAATTATTGGAGCGAAAAGAGCGGCTGTTCGAAAATTGGAACATGAATTAGGAATCGAACATATTCGAGAGACGGATTTCGAGCTGAAAGGAAAATATATCTATGAAGCGACGATGGAAAATGAGCCGTGGGGAGAACACGAAATGGATTATGCATTGTTGTTGAGAGGAATTGGGAAAGAGAGATGTCGGATAAATCGAAATGAAGTTAGTGAGATTAAAGAAGTTGAATATGAGGAATTGATGAAATGGATTAATGCAGGTGAGATTTTTTTTTGGCATTTTTTGAAAATTTATAGTCTCCTGGAATTGCCCTTGAATTTTCTAGTCATCTGAAAATTCCACGTGGATTTTCTAGCCTCCTGGAAATTCCATGTGGATTTTCGAGCCTCCGGAAAATTCCACGTGAATTTTCTAACCTTCTGAAAATTCCACGTGGTTTTTCTAGCCTCCTGGAAATGCCACGTGAATATTCTGACCCCCTGAAAGTTCCACCAGGCCCGAAAAAATTTTCCAATTTTTTCCAGAACCCCACTCATTCACACCATGGCTACGAATGTTTGTCAAAACTGACACATTTTCAAAATGGTGGGATATCTCGCATCAATCGCCAAAACAAGAAGATCACAATATTTATAGGTTGAATTAGTATAACCGGTATTTGCTCATAATTCAAATTAGTTATCGATTAGGAATAAATTCGTTCATGTATTTTATTTTTTCTCAATTCATTCATTTTCTTGGTTTTGAACCAATTATTACTATCTTTTTCCTTTTTTCTTCTTATTTTTTTGCTGAATAACTGATTTTTGCAGATGATAAAGTACCACGTTTCACGTAGTGCTCGTCTTTGGTCATTCTGGAGCACATTGCCACAAAGAATGTTGAAAAAGTATCCGGAACAAACGATTTTCTACGCAACATTCGGAACAGTCACCGTTGTCTTGGGAGCCATCAAATTGCGCAAATATTTGGTGGAAAGCGACAAACCATATTATCGTGGATATTATGATGTTGTTCGACCAAATGATCCGATCGCATTGAACTGGAGAAAACCCGAAGAATATCCAGCACCTTATCTTTTGTCGTCTGTTGAAACTGCTCATTAAGTATTAGAAATAAAAATGAAAAACGACAATTTAGGGTTTAGGCAGTTTTTTTTAAAGTTTCGAATATGTAAAATACATTCATTTTATTTTTAAAAATTGATTTTTGTTCACTTTTCCAGTGTTTTATTCACTGCAAATATTTTTTATTAATTTTTATTTTAAATAATTACAAATTTTCCAAATAATTCAGAAATATGCATTCGTTCCTTACCCGAGGAAATGCTTTACTTGGATTCACCCTTTGGGTAATGGCAGCTGTGACTGCTGCCGCATTTTTGTCGACAGTGTTCTTGGATTATACAACGAATGTTGAGTTGAAAACTTCGGATATTAAAATGTGAGTTTTAGAGACTTTAATGAGCTGCAAAATTTTAATTTAAAAAACAAAAAATTGCAACCCTGGCACATTTTTACGTGCCAAAGTTGCACAATAAGCCACGCCCACTTTTCTAGTTGATTTTCCGTTTTTTTTTGCAGTAGACCAGTTGTTGATTATACAACTGAAGATGAAACTGTCGATCTTGCCACCCTTCAATTCTCGATCTCTGCCGATTTTTCGAAACTTTTCAACTGGAACGTCAAACAATTATTTGTCTATTTGGTTGCCGAATATCAATCGAAAAACAATGTTAGTTTTTTTTCATCTTCTATAGAAAGTTTAGAAAACTCTATTAGAAACTTTCAAGAATAATATTTGCAGGCTATCAACCAAGTTGTTTTGTGGGATCGAATTGTTGAAAGAAGTGAGCGAGTTGTGATGAATGAGAAGAACTTGAAAACCAAATATTATTTCTTGGATGATGGCAAAAACTTGATTGGACACAAAAATGTGACATTCGTTTTGAGGTTTGATTTTGTGTTTTTGTTTTTTTCTAAATATCAACTAATATTTTTTACAGATACAATGTGATTCCAAATTCGGGATATTTGAGATTATCGCAAGCCCAAGGACAAATCGAAGTTCCATTCCCGACCGAATATTCCGCCAAAAGTCGCTAGTTTAAAACATTTGCATTTTTTTTCGTGAACCAAAGCTTCTACATTTCTGGACTTTTCCTATGTATATGGGTTTTAAATTATTAATTTCTTTTTCTTCAGAATAATAACTTTATTGGGTTTTTGAACGTTTATTGATTTATTGTTTGAAACTTGGTTTTATTAGCCATTTAATATTTATTCATCAATTTCTGTGTTTTTTCTCACGATAAAAAAGCTTATTCAGAAAGATGGGCAAATTTTCAAAGATCAAGCAAGTTCAGGAGAAAGAAGAGACAAATCAGGAGAAGATGGAATGGGAAGCGGCTGGAAATAGAGATGAATCTGATTCGGATTCATCTGATGATTCGGATAATGAAAGTGTTGGAGATGTTGAGAAAAATCCAGAGGAACAAAAGAGAAGAGCGGAATTGTGGACAAATCGAGAAAGAGTTTTGGTGTTGTGTTCGAGAGGAGCTGATGTTCGAACACGATTTTTGATGAAAGATATTAAGGTTGGTTTTGAAATTCAAAAAAAAATTGGGAAAAATATATAGTTTTTATGGTTCTTTGAGCCGAGAAAAGTAATAGAAAAGTTTTGTGACAAAAAAATTTTGATTCACCAATTTTTCTGGGTAAAAATTGAAAGAAATAGGAAAACTACAATTTTTTGAATTTTGAGAAAGTTGTTGTCAAAAAATGATTCAAAATTTTCAGGATATTCTTCCACACGCAAAAGGAGATTCAAAATTGGATCAACAAAAGTCGTTGAATGTTTTGAACGAAATTGCTGAAATGAAAAATTGTTCGAAAATCATGTATTTCGAGAGTCGTAAACGCAAGGACACTTATTTATGGATGTCGAATGTCAATTCAGGACCATCAATGAAATTTTTGGTACACAATGTTCACACGATGAAAGAACTCAAAATGTCTGGAAATTGTCTTAAAGCATCACGCCCGATTTTGTCTTTCGATGATGCTTTCGATCAAAAACCACAATTGAAATTGATCAAAACAATGTTGATTCAAACTCTTGGAACACCAAATCATCATCCAAGAAGTCAACCATTCGTTGATCATGTTTTCAATTTTTCGGTCGGTGAAAATGATCGAATTTGGTTCAGAAATTTTCAAATTGTTGATGAGAGTTTGCAACTTCAAGAAATTGGTTTGTTCAAATGTTTTTAATTTAAAATTTATCCATAATTTTTCCAGGACCTCGCATGGTTTTGGAATTAGTCCGATTGTTCTCCGGATCATTTGAAGGAAGTGTTTTGTATGACAATCCAAACTATGTTAGCCCAAATGTTGTAAGAAGAGAACAACGAAAAGGACAAGGAGCTTATATCGAAAAACAATTGCATAATAAGGTGAAATTTCAAAGATTGACAAATTAATAAATATTTGAATAAAATAATATATTTTAAGGCACTTCTTGTGAAACAAGCTCAAATCACCGAAGTTCTCTCGGAGAAAATGATTGATCCAGTTGGAAAAGAATTCGATATTCAAAACAACACTTCGAATGAAGCTGTTGAGGAAATTACTTCGAAAATCGAGAAGAAAAAGTTGAAAAAGAAGAAGGCGCAAGGAGCAAAATACGTTGGAGCACAAGCCTAACTTTTTAAATCTTGTTATTTTTTGTTTCGTTTTGTTATGTTATGTTTTGTTGTTATCCTATTTTTCATAAAATTCCTTGTTCTCAAATGGATTCCGATGGTTTTTGAAGTTGGTTTGACCTGACCTGACCTGACCTATTTTATCTTTTGAATAGAAAAGGAAAAATTTGAGTGAAGACTTCAATATCTAGAATGCTCCGACGGGTATTTTTATCAACAACAACAAGAAGATTCAAATTGCGATCAATTCAAACGGTTTTCGAAGAAGAATATTATGAGGAACAGGTTTATGAGAAAGCTGAGAAGAAAATGGACAAAAAAGATATGAGGTGAGTTTTTGGAAAAATATTTAGTCTACTGAAATTAGGTTTGTCTCACTTTAGTGGAAATATGATGCGGAAATAATCCGATCATCACGTTGCACTGCGTAAAACGTTTCTGCACAAATTATTTTGCAATACGTTACGAAGAACCTTACGCTGTTATTTAAGTTGTATTTTCTGAAAATACACATTGAAACCTACAACTCACAAACAAATCAACAGTGAAGTTTTCAGAATGAGATGTTAGAGGAGGATGAAACTCAATGACAAAGAAAGATTTTAAAAAAATAATACAGAAATATTGAAACGTAAAAAATATCCGATTTTTTCATACAAAATTAGAGCGTTCATTGAATAATTTTTGAGGTTTTCTCAGAGAAATGGGCTGGAGAACCGGCGGAGAAAACGACCTGTCGGCGAACTTTCGGACAACCGCCGGAATGTCTGACCAACACTATTTCGTCGAAACTTTTGTCCGCCGGTTATCCGAAAGTTCGCCGACAGGTCGTTTTCTCCGTCGGTTCTCCAGCCCATTTCTCTGAGTTGAAACTAAAATTTGAATTTCAAATTTACGCGCCAAAAGTTAGGTTTTTGCAGCGGAAAGTTCTAAGAAAAATTTCAAGCAAAACCCGAAAAAAATGAACAAAAATATTCACATTTTCGCCTCAAACTCATTTCAAAATCCACCAAAAAAATTCATTCAATATCTATTTTTCATATGTACAAAAATGCTCTATTTTCGCGCCTCTTCCCTTCACTTCTTATCCTTTTTCCTCTGCGATCGTTTCGTTTTATCGGATTTCTCAACTTCCAAACTCTTCACCTTCTCCAAAGTGTCATCCTCTCCCGAATTCTCCTGATAAAATCCCTCTTTGATTTTCTTCTTCTTATCCTCCTCGTTTTCCGCAACTTTGCGCTTTTTCGCACTTTCTGTCGGCATCACAAACTTCGGAAATGGTTTCATCGATTGTTGAATCTTCTTCTCTTCCGCATCTTTTTTTCCACCATCTCCTGGATTTGCAGCCGAATCCGCTGGTTTATCTTCAGTTTTCTTATCATCAGCCGGCTTCTTCTCATCTTTTCCAGCTTCGCCAGTTGTTCCAGCGGCTGATGGTGGAGCTGCAGTCGAAGCTGGTGTAGCCCCAGCTGCGTCTTGAGTTGGAGGTCTCATCGCTGATTTCACCATCAATTCATTGCTCGTCGATTTTTTCTTTTTGGCGCATTGCCAAAGAATCTTACTCGATGCGATTAACACAATAATATTCTGCAAAACATCCTTAGCTACTAAGGTCTTTAGCTGTTTCGAATCGACTCACCTGAATTAAAACCACACAAAATTCGGATTGCATGTTTTATTTGAATCAATCAATCTGCTTTTATTTTTTGACTGATTTTTTGGCAAGCCTAATAAAATAGAGAATACCTAGATTTTTCTCCGACTTTTGTTTTTTCTGGTTTTTTTCTGTATGACGTGGAGGCCAACACGTTTTTTTGCATTTTTTGAGAAAAATACGCTGTAAATTCACTTCCCCCATTTAAAATTTGACAAAAACCACTCGCCAATGATTCCTCTTTGAAAAATGCGCCCGTCATCGCGGAGTGTTGTTGTTTTATTTTCATTTTTCAAGATGTTGGCTCATGATCTCTTAAAAACCTTGCGTAATCGCGTAGTCTCGTAATATCCTGATGTGTTCAAGGCTCCAGTCGTAGCTCCAGCTGTTTCTGATCTTTATGTGAAATTTGTTTGGCTATTAAAAATTGTGTGATTTTCTAAATCAATTTGTAAAAGTATTTCTCAATAGCTCAATTTCAAATAATAATTTAAATTTTCCAGTTCTGTTCCATCAACATCAAGTAATATATCGGATATAAAAAATGCATTGATCAATCAAAAAGCGCGCGATCTATTCGTAATTCAAAACGAGAAACAAATGTCACCATATGACTATAAAATCATTTGCTCAACCTACAATTCAAGACAAGCAGCTGCAATTTCTGAAAATCTCCGGAAAATGTTGAAATTGGATGGCGATTTACCATTGGTAGGGTTTTTTTTCAAAAATAAATTTAATTTCTTGATTTTTTTAGAGTCAATCAAAAAGTATCACAAAACGAAGCAATGGTTGGTATGTGGCTGAAATTGGACAAATACAAATTCATGTGATGAGTGAGGAATGTCGAGAAAAATATGATTTGGAGACGATTTGGGCGGGAGATGAGAAATTGAGGGAAGAAATTGAAAATGAGGTGGAAAATATTATGTTGCCACCAAAAAATCATTAAAGTAATTTTTTATTTATGAATATTTAGATGAAAAAAATTAATTTGATTGTTTCAACCATTTATCCAAAACATTTGCGATTGTTTGACGAGCTTGGGTCAAATAAACACTGTCCAAAGTGGATGTTCCATACATATCAGCACAATGGGCGGTTCCTTTAATTTAATTATTTTTAGAGAATCTCTAAAAGCTAACTATTCAGCAGCTAGATTCCAGCTGCCTATTTAAAAATAAAAAAACCTTACCATTAATAACAACTGGAACAATATTTGGATTAGTACTATTCAATTTTCCCAACGCATGCCATGGATCAATATCACCATTCGGCAAAAGAATTCGATCGGTATTCAATTGATCTCTTCCACCATAATATTTATTCGTATAATCGACAGCTGTTTGAACTTCAGCGCTATTATATTGTGCGCCATAAATCGCAGTACACTCATCGATATAATATTGAGCTGGAAGATTTTGAACTCCACCAAACCATGGGCCAGCAATTGGACTGGCTGTTGATTGATAATATCCGAATTCGGTGCATGTTTGCCAAACCCATGCGCGATCTGATTGAGCTTCTCCGAAGGTTTCGTCTTTCATGAAATCAATGAATCCCTGATAACTAATATCGTTACATCCGAAATATTCGTTTTCCAAGTTGAAATAGTTGTTGACCTGTTTCATTTTTTGCAAAATAGTTGTTTGAGTATTCAAATGATATTTACAAATCGCATTCGAAATTGTCAATTGAGTTGCGAATGCACCGGCAGCATCTCCAGTGTATTGAACAATTTCCATGTATGGACTGTAGACTGTTTCCCAGAAATATTTGACGGCTTTATCGTCGTTTATGTTGATTTCTTGGCACAAACTGGAAACAATATGGATTTTTGGGAAAATTGTGCTCTAAATTTTGAAGATCATAGAGCCATGCTTTAGTCGAGCCTAAACATTATAGTTGAGAAGTAGCCGCGCCTATAAAGTTCAATTGTCAAAGATCAGTGCCTAGAAAGCCTAGTTCTCAAGCAGCCGCGCCTAGAGAACTCAATTTTCTAGGATCAGCATCTAGAGATCCTCTCTGGCAAGGCACCGTGCCTTGAGAGCTTCGATATCAAGTAGCCACGCCTAGAAAGTCTAGTTCTCAAGTAGCTGCGCCCTGATTTTTATCAATTTTAAAATTTGAAGCAAGTTTGTCTAGAAACTTTCGCTAAATTTCAGTTTCCCGTGATAAACTTCTAAAAATAAACCATTGTATCAAAAATTTAGAGAATAGTTATAAAATGATTCCGATTTTTTAGAACTTCAAAAGTTTTTAAAACAATATACAATAACCATAGTTCTCCCATTTTTCTCGATAAAATCAAAAATCACAAATTGTTGCTTATCACTCACTGGAAAGTGCTCTTCAATTGTTTTCTTCCATCAGCAGTCTTCAACAAACTCGCAACCGTATTAAACCCATTCGAAACACTATCAGCACAAGCTGTCGAATTACGACTAATCGAATTTTTGACAACTTCGAGGTATTCGACAAAATCAACTTCGGCTTGAACCGGACCACTTGATCCAACAGCAGCGAAAATTAATTCAGGATGTTTTTCACGAGCCCAGGCAGCAAGAGCACCTGAATATGATCCACCGAATGTGACCCATTGAGCATTGGCGAGCTCGGGAATTTGAGTTTTCATGGCCTACAAACAATGTAATTTAGAAAAAAAAATGAAAATTTAGAAATTACTCTGATAAAAGCGGCAGCATCTTCAATAGCTTGTGCCGAGCTCAAATATTTCAAACTGGTCACTGACATATCCTGAGTTGGATATGTATTTCCATAGAATCTATGTTCAATATCAAATACCCAGGCTCCTTGTTGAGCTGCTAATTTAGTCATTTCGAGATTGGAATTCGAAACCCAATAAGATGATTCTGGTCCTTCTCCTCCAAGCATCAAAAATGCTGGTCCTCCGGTTTTGAACCATTGATTATTATGCCAATATCTTTGATTGAAGGTTGAAGTTGAAGTATTATCGAAATGATCCAAAGTTTGTGTGAATAATCCAGAAACTACAGTTTCAGAAATGTGAGCATCCGCTTCAGTCATCTAAAAAAAAATGTGAGGGATGGATTTTAGAACAGAGGTTCCTGGGAATCAAAAAAGTGGATTCTAAGATCGTGTCAAAATGCCACGTGGATTTCCAAGCCTCGTGAAAATGCCACGTGGATTTCATAGCTTCCTGAAAATGCCACGTGGATTTCCAAGCCTCGTGAAAATGCCACGTGGATTTCATAGCTTCCTGAAAATGCCACGTGAATTTCCGAGCCTCCAGACAATGCCACGTGGCTTTCCGAGTTTCCTGAAATTGCCACGTGGATTTCCGAGCTTCCTGGAAGTTCCACGTGGTTTTTCTAGCTTCCTGGAAGTTCCGCGTGGATTTTCAAGCCTCCTGAAAATGCCACGTAGATTTTGGAACCTCCTCGAAGTTCCACGTGAACTTCCGAGCCTCCTGAAAATGCCACGTGGATTTCCGAGCCTCTTGAAAGTTCCACGTGAATTTTCAAGCCTCCAGAAAATGCCACGTGGATTTCAGAGCCTCCAGAAAATGCCACGTGGCTTTCCGAGTTTCCTGAAATTGCCACGTGGATTTCCGAGCTTCCTGGAAGTTCCACGTGGTTTTTCTAGTTTTCTGAAAATGCGGAGGCTAGAAAATCCACGTGGATTCTCGAACCTCGGAGGCTATAAGAGAGGAAAAAAAATTATTTGAGAAGCCCAAAAATAGCCCCGCTTAACTCACAATCGGTTGTTTCTTCATTCCACCACGTGGTCTTCCCCTAATCATATTTCTTCGAACTTTTGCCTCCGTGGATGGAGCGGCAAGAATTTCGGCTAGAAGACATGCTAAAAGTAGAACAACGAATAGTTTAGTAGCCATTTCGACTACTCGAATAATTATTCTTATCTTTTTTTTTGTACATTTTGATTCCGTCTTTTTTTTTCTCGGTTTATCAGTTGATGACATTTCGTGGATTTTTCGTTATTAATTTTTTGAGTTTTTAATTTTATCGAGACAAAGTTTTGTTGGGCAAACATCGATGGAACAGTTTTTTGATTAGAAGAATAGAAGTGAAAAATTATAAATTATGAAATGTTTTTTGAAACTTCAAATTGAAAGTATCAATTTTCAAAAGTTTATAGTTTGATCCCGAAATAGTGTGTGAAATGAGAGGTTCAGAATAGTTTTTAAAAGGATTTTTGAACAATAAATTGATTCAAAAATATATTTCGGGATTACTGTCATAGTATTTCATTTTTCCGCTGAAATTTCTTATCAGAACAGTAATCCAAAATGTTTTTTAGTTTTGGGTCTTGAAATTCTCCACATTATGAACTACAGTAATCCACAACTTTTCTAAAAATTTTAGTTCTGAAGGAGTACCGTAATATAAAAAAAGTACTGCACAAAAAATTTTGTATTTTTATTTTTGCAAAGTCAAAAAAAAGTCGGGCAAGTGAAAAAGTAATACATGAAAATAAAAAAAGTAGACAAAAAAAAATGTAGGCAAGTGAAGAAAAAAGAACTAAAGCCGTAAGACAAAAACACACAATTAAGAATCACAATCAAAGTTATTCCAGGGTTACAAAATCCTGAGGTTCTGAAGAAGTACGGTTCTGAAGTAAGTTTCTAAAAATTTTGAGGGTGAAACGCAGAACAGGCCCCCACCCATATCATTTTATGCCCCCGATTCGGAACTATGTTACAGGCCCCCGCGCGGTATTTTCAAAAAACAAAAATTTATGGAAAAAATAACGAAACAAAATTTTTTTTTGACCTACCCGCGAAAAAGAAAGCTGCACGTAGCAAATTTTTGTTCAGAAAAATTGGCAAAAAACTAATCATTCCGATTTTTAATTAATTTTTTTTCATTGTGGGGACCTCATCTAAGACAAATTTTTTAAGGTGGGGGTCTCAACTAAGACAATTTTTCAAAATGGGGGCCTGAACTAAGACGATTTTGGGGGCCTGAAACAGAGTTCCGAATTGGGGGCATAAAATGATATGGGTGGGGTGCTGATCTAAGATTTAACCTGAGACCGTAGATGAGGCCCCCTCGCTCATTAAAATTATCTTAGATGAGGCCCCCACAGTTAGTTGAGCCCCCAACTGAATAATAGACCCCCACCCAAAATGAGGACCCCAAAATATTATTTTTTCACTGGGTGGGTCCAAAGTGGGGGCTTCTCCTGGGATGTGGGGACCTGAATTGGGGTGGGGGCCTGTTCTGCGTTTTACCCCAGTAATCCACAACTTTTCTAAAAATTTCGGTTCTGAAGAAGTACCGTATTATAAAAATGTACTGCACAAAAAATTTTGTATTTTTATTTTTGCAAAGTCAAAAAAAGTCGGGCAAGTGAAAAAGTAATACATGAAAATAAAAAAAGTAGACAAAAAAAAATGTAGGCAAGTGAAGAAAAAAGAACTAAAGCCGTAAGACAAAAACACACAATTAAGAATCACAATCAAAGTTATTCCAGGGTTACAAAATCCTGAGTGAATCAATAAATTTTCTATTTGATTTTTTTAATGAATATCGAATTATTATACTTATTATTATGAAAAGTAGAACAGTTAACCCATCTTCAGCTTTTTCTTGAATAAAAGCGACGCGATATCATCCACCGATTTCCGTTTTCGATTTCCAGGCGAAGCTAGCAAATTAACAACATCTAATGGTGAGGAAAATGAAGTTGTCTCATGTTCTTCTTCAACAGATCCATTTGGTGAACCTTCCTTCGATCGAAGTGACAATGAACATGGTGAAGGTGTAAATACATCATCGCCAGATGATCCGATTCCAGATTCTGGCCCACTGCTTGTCGAAGATTCTGATGGATCAGTTCGAACAATCAAAAGATCTCTTGCAAATGATTTGCTAACCAAAAGATGATCATCATCCATTTTTTGTGGCTACAAAAAAAATCAATAATTATTTGTAAATCACTAGAGTAAAATTTAAATACATACCTTAACCTCATTATCAATAAAAACATCCTCTTCTTCTTCCTCTTCTTCAGCTTGATGAATTCCATTGTTATTAAAAATCGATGAAACAAAACTATTTCCAGATAATGAAGTCGAAGCTCTTTCAGAATTTGAAGAAGTCTCAAAAGCATTATCCTCTTCCGATTGTCCATTTGATTCTTGTTGTGAAGAAGAAGAATTCAATTGAGTTTGTTGAATAAACGGAAGAAGTGATGGATTTGTCATGAAAAGTGCCTGAATCCAATTGGTTGGAATCGGTTGACCCGAAACCATCATCATCGGATTCAAACCCATTCCGAATAATGCATTTGTGGCCGCCGCTTGATTTGATGATGGTTTTGTTGGTGTGAACAATGGTGTGTTGGTGCCGGAGTTTGGTGACGCGTTTTCGGTTTTGATCTTCTTTTTGAGAGCCCGTGCAGTTGGTGTACGTTCTTCACCGCGTAATTCATGTTGTGAGAGGGATCCTGGAAAATTTGAAATTGAACATTCAGTATATTTTTCGAGTTTTGCCCCAAATTATTTTTTCCGGTGGCTAGAAAATCCACGTGGCATTTTCAGGAAGTTCGAAAATCTACGTGGAAATTTCGGAAGCCTATAGAATCCACGTAGCATTTTCAGAGGGGTCGAGAATCCACGTATAATTTTTTGGAGGCTACAGAATCCATGTGGAATGTTCAGGAGGCTTTAGAACCCACGTGGCAATTTTGGGAGACTATAAAATCCCCGTGGCATTTTCAGAGGGCTATAAAATCCACGTGGCATTTTCAGAAAACTCAAAAATCTACGTGGCATTCTTTGGAGGCTAGAAAATCCACGTCGTATGTTCAAAAGGCTTTAGAATCCACGTGGCAATTTTCAGGAAGCTTGAAAATCCACGTGGTATTCTCAGGAGCCTAGAAAATCCACGTAGAATTTTGGTAGGCTATAAAATCCACGTGGCATTTTCAGGAGTCGGGACCTTGTTCAAAATTCAAAAAACCTTTAAAAAATTCAGAAATCCTAACATCTTAAAAAAAATGAAATTCCCAAAAAATATACGTTTCAAGATTTTCAATTCAGCCGATTTCCCCTCTCCAAAAGATAATCCAAAGCTACATTTTCTAGGACCAATTTTCACCTCTATCATAAATACTTATCCCATCTTTCAAATAAAACTCTAGTACAAGGTCATTCAACGCAACGCAACTATAGTTATATAAAAAAAGCAACTAAAGCATTAGGGGTCCCCTCTTCTCTCGCATATAATTATAATGATCAACAAAAATGTCAATCAATCAATTTATATGAGAGAGCGAAAGAGAGAATGCGGTTTTGGATGTATCAAACAGATTTCACTGAATGATAACAAAATGGTAAGAGTTTACCTGGTGGTCGACTGCTGATTGCAATCGCTTTGGCTTCTCCTGGCTTCCCTGTTTTCATCATACAATTATTGTGAGAATGCAACTCCTGAAAATTAATTTTTTTAAATGAATGTTAGATTTTTTTTAATTAAAAAAATGAAAATAAATAATCAAACCAACCTTTTTATCTGGAAATGTCCAATTACAACAACCGCATGTGAAGACACGCAAAATCCCGTGATTTATATGCATATGTCTTCGAACTGTGTCATTTTGTGAGATTTGTTGCATGCAAATGAGGCATTGTTGATCGTCGCCGTGGAAATTGAGGCGATGGCGATTGAGCGAAGCTGCGTGGCAGAATGTTTTCCCGCAATGACCGCAGAGGAATTCGCCTTTTAAATCTGGACGTTTCAATTCGGCTTCAGGTCTGTACGGCATTTCACGATTCTGAAATTCGAAAATTTTAAATTGTTAATTCAAAAATGAAAAAAACAACATTTCAATTCGGTATCAATAGAATTATAAAAGTTGAAAGCATGAAGAAAAAAGGGTAAGCAAATAATATAATCAAAAAAAAATATAAACAACACAGAAAGCATAGCATAATAAGTATGAATGGTCCGTCCACTCGCGAAAAAAGAAGCTGCCAAAGAGGCGGAGCCTAATATGGGTGTGAAAAAAGGGTGGGTACGGTGGATTTGGTTGTGCAAAAGTATAACAATAGGTGCTAAATAGCAGTTTTTGGGAAGTATCGACATTTTTGCTAGAAGTCTACAAGGGAATCTTGACTTTTAGCACTCAAAAAAATGAAATTTTCGATCGAAAATTCAGAAAAAATTACAATTCTCCAAAAGAAGTACACAAACAAACATCGGTTCGAGATATTTTCCTAAACAACATGTTCCTTTGATGCTACAGTATTTTTTTCAAAATTATTTTTTCTTTTTCCAAAAAAGAGTTGGCCAACGAAATTTACAAGCAACCCTAAATCATTAGAGTATTTAGTCAAGTAAATAGTAAAATAGCCCCATAATAAACATACTTTTACAGCTTTATCTTATCAGACGAAGGTCCTCTTATCAAAAACTGCGCAATTCTAGGAACGAACTAAGTAACTTGTGATTACTTTTAATGATAAGAAGAGAAGAAGTAGAACGAGATGATGAAAAAGCAAAAACTGAAATTACTTTTTTTTAGAAATCGATTGTTTTTCAATCGCCTTCACTTTTTCGCGCGAAAAAGTAAAGGTAGATCAAAAAATTGTTCGATGAATATTTAATTGAGACTTTTTCTTTCCCACGCCTGAATTTGAACAAAACAAAAGAATTAATTAATTGGGAAGAAGTAAGGACTGTAGGTAATAAAAGTAGCACATAAATAAATGGAGATGGTGACAAGTTTGGTGTTGAAAAGCTGTGCACCAGATGGTCAAGGTGCGAAAATGGGTATTGTCAATTTTTTTGCATTTGGGAAATTTTGAAATTGATATATCTAAGTATATTTGGATTTATGATATAAAAAAATACATGAATCTATGTTTACCAACAAAAAGCACTTTACTTACAGGTCTCTTGTTTTTGTCTTTCCTAATGGTCATTCACTTCCTGCCTCTTTTTTTTGAATAAAACACAAGAGTATCTAATAATAGTGTCACCGTGCACATACAAAAATACAATAGTCCGAACTCAGGTCAACGACCATTCTCAAATATACAGTACAAAAAAGCCGCGGCGAAAGAATTCCAACAAAAATAAAATAAAGAAGAGAAGAATGATACGACCAAAAGAAATGTATGAAATAAAAATATGATTGTTCAATTAGGCTCGATTTCGCGTCTCCAATTTTTTTCTGTGAGGAGCGAGGCCACTCCCATTATTTATGTTTTTGTGATAAATATGATATGATTCATAGATGAAATGGGGGATCAGTGATTCATAATTGTTTTTTTTTTCTTGAGGAAAATGTGTTTTGAAATTTTTAGGGCCAAAAATCAATTGCTCAAAAAAAATTTTAATTTCAGAATTTATTCTCATTTTTTAAGGCAGAAGGATCAAAATCCACAAAAAAAGTTTTCTAGAACCTCGGAGCCACTAGGACATGAGAATTGTGCAAAAATGTGACAATAACCTAATTAACACATAATTAACATGAGCAAGGAAAACTTTAACGTTCAAACTGAAAACTATTTCTGGAATAATTTAAATCGAAATTTGTAGATCAAGAATTTTTGAATTTCCCGCAAAAAATACGGATTCAAAATCATCCCGCCTGAATTTCAAACTTCAAATTTTTTCACAATTTTAAAAGTTTCGGACCTAGAAGTTTTCACGTAGAATTTCCACAATGTTCTAAGTACTTCCTAAAAATCTCCCAACCCGCATTTTTTGATCGGATTACTGTATACACTATACTTTTCGGGTGCCAAACAAAGACAGGATAATCTCTCCCGTTCTCCAACAGTGTTCTCTTCTCTTCCCGCCAATCGTTTCTCTATTGGTGAAACACTGTGCAGCAAAAGCCATTGCGTAATGTGTTTTTTGTCGCGGGGGATATTTAGGTAGGCCGATTATATATGTAAAAGGTCATTTGAAAACAAGAAAAAGAAAGAGAGACTTGTTGCCATATTTATGACGGGGTGCAATTGCGATTGCGTAACAATATCAATAACAAACAATTTGTTTGAGGATTTTGGAGGTCGGCTTCTTAGGCTTTTGAATATGATATTGTTTGAAATTTAGTACCCGAGAAATCTAGTTGGGTGCTGTTTTTAGAATCACATTTTTTCGAAGATTTTTGATGCTTGAGCTGGACCATACTATCTAAAATGTGGACCCTTGGCATTTTTCTATATATATGGGTTACTGTAGAAAACGAGCCGCAAAATTTTGATCTACAGAAATATTTGGCACAAATTTTTTCTGAGTTACTGTAGCTCTTTACAGTAATCTAGAGAATTTCTAGTTACTTCATCTAAATTCTCTGAGCTACAACAATCCTGGATTACTGTGGAAAATAACGCGAAAAATTTTGATCTACAGAAATGTTTGGAATTCTTTGGCACAATTTTTTTTGGGTTACTACAGTAATCTAGGGAAATTTTAGTTCCTTCAGCTAAATTATCTGAGAAATAGCAATCCAGGATTACTGTAGAAAAGAAGCCGTAAATTTTGATCTACAAAATTCACTCTATAAAAGACCGTGCCAACCAGAAACTCCCAATTTTCTAAAGAATAAATACAAAAGCTCTCAAATTTCATCGAGAGAAAACAAGAAAATTACGGTAATAACAGCATGCCTTCTCTCTTTCAAATTGGCTCCTCTTTGAAGCCAACAATAAATATACGAAAAAAAATAACATTTTTGTTTTCAAAAAATATCATCAACTCTTGTTTATTAGGTAGTCAATGCGCATAAATTACAGTACTCATACACATATATATATTTCTCACAACAATAATAAGCATAATATTTTCGCACAGCTTATTGCCTCCAACTTTTTTTTCAAATTTTTCCCCCATATTTTTTCGTCGACCACGAAAAAGGGGCAAAAGGACCGGTTTTGAGAAATCGAAGCAAAAACAACTGATTCATTTCTTCTTTTTCTTTTTTTCTATCGATTTCTGGTCATGAGAAGAGAGGCTTATTCCGGAAAAAGACACAAAAAAACGGGAACCGTTTTTATCATTCAATTACTGTAGTTCCACGAACATTATGATGAAAATACTGTACTTATGGGGTTTGGGGAACACGGTGAAACTTCAAATGAGATAGGAATCGAATTTTAGGTCTAAAGTATTTGTGATGTCCAAAAAGAAAATTGTACATATGTTTGCACAAAAAAATGTGGATGAGAAATTTCAAAAACAAAAAATCCACACTGTAGAAAATATTTATGGACATCAGTTGTCCAGATGTGAATTTCTCCCCAAATGGTGTGTGCACCGCGACGAACTTTTGCGTACCATAGGATTTGAAATTTCAATATTTTTCATTTCTAGCTTCAAACCAGAAGCTTTAACAGAATACCAAAAGCTTCGTGGGTGGTCCCGAAGCTTCACATAAAAGCATTTTCTGAACATCTAAATCTTCGGTTAAAAAATCTATCACAATTTTTGGAATCACGGTTTTCCGAAATTTTCAAATTTTATTCAGAGTTGAGCTAATTCTTTTCTGGATGGTTGTATTGAGCTGGTGAGAACTTTTTTCAAAACCTTTCTAATAGATATTCTAAATCCCCAAGTTCCAGAAAATTCCCAATTTTCAGCGCCAATCAATTTTTGATCAATCACGAAAAGCAGGTAAAATCAAAAACAAGAATAACACAGCAATAACAAAAACAGCAGTCGCGAAGAGAAAAAAAAAGAAAACTAGAATACAAAAATGAAGAAATGATGGTGCGCGGGGACGGACGGGAAAAAAGGAGGAGAAGGCGAGAGATGATGCTGCGGCTGCTGCTTTCTGACCTTGGCACATCATGCCCTCCTCTCTCCCTCTTCAATCTACCTGTATTAGTACTGTAGAGAGTTAGAGAGTAGTCAAAAATAGAATTGACCAACTTGGGGAGGGAGGGTTATGGAATCTGAAATTTGAAGTCTAGAACCTGGGCGGCGGAGGAATTCAGAAATTATTTTGAATTTTTTTTGATTTTTATATTCTACTGAAAAAATTGGCCCGGGAAATTTTGTAACCTTTTTTTCTAGATTCTCCGATGTTTAGGGACCACCCACGAAGCTTCTGGTCTAAGCTGAAGAAGATCAAGATCCTACTGTACGCAAAAGTGTTTGCACACATAAGCAATTTGAAATTTTAATTTTTTTCGATTTTTCTCCAAATTTCAATTCTCCAACCTTCAAGTTTTTTGAACTTTCAGGTATTTTTCAATTTTTCTCTCTCGATCTTCTGTTCAGTTCGCCCTTCCTTTTTTCCCGCCGCCGATTACAAAAGCATTTATTTTCGTCTTCTTCTTTTTCTTTTCTGCCAACTGTATCGGAGAAGAAGAAGATGAGAAAAGACGAAGAAAATGACCACGACAAGCTGAAGGCATGACCTTACATTTTTTCAAAATGGTTGCGTCGAGAAAAATTGAATCGATTCGATTGGAAAGAGGGGGAAAGGAGCGCGCCCCGCTGTCGAAAAAATAACACAACTAAGTATTTTAAGTTTTCTGAATTGGAAAATGCTGGCTGCCATCACACTCGAAAAATGGGGAATGAAAAATTGAGAGACTTTTTCAAAAAAGGTTTTACGGTTCTCTAGTTCGACGAAAAAATTCAGAAAATTTCGATAAGTAATTGAGAAACTGAAAAAATAAATAATTTCAAACTACGAGCGCTGTCGTCAACGCGGAGTATCGTTGTTTTCTTTTTCTTTTTTGCAATTTTTCTCCTTTTTTCGAAAAACTGACATTTTACTAGAGTTTGGGGCTCTAATTCTGATCATAGGGTGTTTATTTGGCTCAAAGTATTCTACGTGGATTGTTGGCTCTAGAATTTGAATTGGGGGAAACCAAAAACTACTCTAAATACCTTTCCGAACTATTTGACCAAAATAATAATTATATGAGCTCTGAGTCCAGTCATTATACGATTTTTACCGACAGAAACACTGTATAATCCTCCTTTGTGAAAAAAGGGTGAATAATTGAGGGGGGATCAACCAAAAAGGTAGAGTATTCTAATTTATAAACACCCACCGGAAAGGGTTTTACAATACAGCACTCGACAAAAAAGTTGAAAAAAAACAGTAAATGCTTTTGATTTGCCATCAAAAAATGCGCTGCGTCTCTCAATCTCTCTCTCAATTTCCAAAAAAAGACAGGCGCGCAACTCGCATTTCGCATCAAAAATAGAAATAGAATTGAAAATTTGGAGAATGTAGAGATGATAACAATTTTGAAAAGTAAGTGTACGGTAGGTGAAGAGTGAGAGAGAGAGCTACCGGTGTGACCGGTTTTCAGAATGTGTCGAGAGAATACTTCTCTCTTTTCGCCCCATTTTTGTTTGCCAAATTTACTCGAAAAAGGCTTTTTTTGTGTAGTTGGTTGCTGCCGATTATGGAAAAAAACCGATGGAAAAAGTTACTTATTTGACAATGTCAATATTTGATGGGTGGAAAATTGGCTTCTGTACGGCGAAAAAAAACTTTTTACAAGAACTCTATTGGGGTAATCTATCAGGGTTTGCACAAGGACACCAACACCAAGAATACTGTTTCCTACCAGCTAACAAAGAAAATAAATGATGGTGGAAATACTCGAGGTCATACACCTCACATAACTTACTCAACCGAAAAGCTGACCCAAGGTCTTTTTTTTCAAAAATGGAGAAGAAGGGGAGAGTTGACCTAAGTTTGTTGCGGGTTGAAATATTCTGAAAATTATAGGTGTTTTTCTGATTGTGAATGGGAAAAAATCTGAATTCCTTTCGTTTTTAGCTTAAAGATGATAAAAAAAAACTGTAATTCTGACAATAGTGAAAAAATGATTTTTAGACCTGAAAATTGAATGCTGGAAAAAATAAAAATCTGATTTTAAATTTTCCCACGTGAAAAATCATCATTTTTGGTTATTTTGGAGAATTCAATCTTCCGCAATCTATCGTTCAATTTTCCACAGCCTCCTTATTCCCTCTCACAAAACGTAGTGCACAAACAAAAGATGTTCGAAATTAATCTTTACGCGGCTGGATGAATATTTGGTTTTCTCGTCCGCGCGTCTGTGTATTTCTCCTGGAGTTTGTTTTAAAGTTTTTTTTTGCGGAAAAAAGTGTTTTTGTTTCCTTTTCTTGCTATCTAAAAACATACGTATAACTTTTTTCAGATAAAAATGGAAAGTCAAGAAGTTGTTGAAGAAGAAGTGACAGTTGTTGAAGGCGAAGAAGTTGTATTTGAAGAAGATGCGTCGAATTTACCATTTCAATATGACGGAGTTTTCAATTTGAGTCAGGAACGAAGTTTGTTGTATGATGTAAGTTTTTATTAAAATTTTATCAAATATATTTATATTTATCAAATACAAATTCCAGTTATATCAACCGGAAGAGACTCAAAATGGAACATTTGTTTGTAAAATTTGTCTGCGAACTGGAAAAGAAATGGAGTTCACTGAAAGAAATTCGTTCGTTGCTCATCGTTACAAATGTCATGGATCATATAATGTAAACTGATTTTTCTTTCTGGTCACAGTGAAAACTGAGATTTTTCTCTTTCAGAACACCGTATTATGCCCAGTTGAAAACTGCAGAGAAGTATTCGCATCGCTTACAACATTGAGAAAACATATGTGTCATTCGCACGCTCTTCCGATGGAAGTTCATCAACAAGCATTTGCGAATATTGGAGAATTCGAGAGATGGAGACATCTTTTAGAATCATCATCTGGTTGTCGATTTATGATGCATACAAAACAACCAAAACTTCGAAGACAAGTTATGCATTGCTCGAAAAGTGAACATAAATTAGTTCTGCAAACTAATAAGTAAGGTTTTTCAATTTAAAAAAATCTATATTAAATTTTTCCAGACATCGTCTTCCTCGTCTTCGAATGCTTAAAGAAGGTTCCTGCTGCCCTGCACATATCTCCTTCCGAATTGATGCAAAATCCGGCGAAGTTCATTGTTTCGCCCAATTATATCATATCGGCCACGCTCCAACTGCTGATGATCCTTGTTCTTCATCTTTTTATAGTTTGGAGTCTTTGAGACCAACTGAAGTGCATTTCCCGCCAAAACAACGTTATTATGGAGAAAAAGCGATGCAATATTTGCAAATTGATTTGTATGATATGTGCACTGCTATTTATAATTCATCAGTTTATGAGACAGTTTTATTGATAACCGATTTGAAAAGTGGATATTTGTGGGCTCGCGCTCTAACTGATTGCTCTCGAAGTGTTATCACACGAATTCTCACCTCGATTTTCACCGAATTCGGAGTTCCAGATGGTTATTCCACGTGCTATTCACCAACTTATATTCGTGATTCAATGAAATCAATCGAAATGATTTTTGATTCGGAAATTCGAGAAGTTTGGAATGAGCCACCGCCATATGAAGAATTCGAACAATGGTTGATGAATGTGTCAAATGAAGAGCTCGGAAGCACAAATCGATGGGTTGAACAACTTCAATTTCTAGCCATGGAATATAATCAAAGAGCACCGCAAGGTTGTGTTTCACCATTTGAGAGAATGTTTGGGAGAAAACCAACGCGAATTTATCCGGATTTTGAGGATGAAGAAGAAGAGAGTACTGGAGATGTTATTGGGAGGAATAAGGAGAGATATTATAGAAAAACTAGACCTTCTGAGTTAGAACAAGAATTGGAAGCGATTCCAATCGGATATCAAGCTGGTGAAAAAGTTTATGTAAGTATTATTTACAAACGAAAATTATTTTTTGGAAAACAAATCTTGCAGTTACGCCGAGTTATGCGAAAACCAGGTCGTGGAATGAACAGCCCATATATTTATGGATTTATTGCCGAAGTCGACCCCTCAACTCCTCATTTTCCATACAAAGTACACTATTCTAGCACTGATAATCCATGGCCAAGTGAAGGTAATTCAGCATTTTGCTATTCTGATTTCAAATTCAAATTCCAGCCAATATTTATGCTTGGATGTGTACAAATGATATTCTTCCAACCACCCATAAAGTAAGAGATGTAAATGAAAGAGGTATGGTTCTCTTCCTCTTCTTCATTCAAAAAAAATATATATTTGTAGATCGAAAACATTCGATTGAGAAGTTGTTCTGTTCGTGCAGTGGATCTGATTCGATAAAATACGACTTCACATCGCAAAATCAAAGTTGGAAACAGTTTTCGAATTGTCCGCTTTATCGCAATATCATTTGCTCGAACAATATGTCACTATTTTGCTGTAAATTGGAAGGCGAACTCATTTGTCCTTATCACAATTTTTATCCGCTCAATGATGATTCTTATGTTGTAAGTTAGGGTAACTTAGTTACCCCCCAATTTTTGGAATTTCTTCTGTTTTAAATACTGTTTTTTTTTCACAGAAACTTGAATTGTCCTTGGTCACTTATAACAAATATATAAAGGAGCAAGAACATGACGAGAGAAGGAAGAAACAATCGAATATGCTGGAAAATGTGTCATTTGAATATAACAAGAGCTATCCAGCAATCAAGAAATCATCGAGAAATGAATCTGGAGAACCTGCTCATAAAATTTCCAAGGTAATATTTAAAATTCGTTTTTTTTGAGTTCTAAATTTAAAAATCCTCGGAATCTATCACAGAATTTTTTTTAATTTTGTTTTTGGAAAAAAATGTTGCCTTGTAATTTTAGGTTCTGAATTTGATATTCTTGAGAAATTATTCAGTCCTGTTTAAATTTCATTGAATTTCCACATTTTTTGAGAAAAAGATGCTTATCAGAGCTCATAAAATGGAATTTACGATTGTCATCATCATCATAAAACAAGAGAATTGTTTTCAGATTGAGACGAAAACACCCGCCGCTGTTCCTGTTCCTGTCTCCCCGCCACAACAAATTCAACAAGAATTGGTGATTGAAGAACAAGAACCGGAGCAGCCCGAGCTGAGAGTTGAATCTGAAGAAGCTCCTCAGGCTGAAAAAGAATCTGAATCGGAAAAGCGAAGACAATCGAGTCGAAAAAAGACACCGAAAATTTTTGATGATTATGTTGCCTAATAATTTTTATTAATTTTTATTTCATAAAATAATGTAATTTCCAAATAAAATTCTCCTGAAGATTGAAATTTTGAACTTTTCCGGGTTTGATAAACTACGCTTCTCTTCTTCTTTAAATGAAAACTGTTAAGGCATGCATTTTTTCAAACTTTTTCACTTGAAATCAAAAATAAAATGCATGGATGTGGAATACGATTTGAGGTGAGACTCTTTGAGATATCTATTTTGAACCATTATTTGTTATTTATTCGATTGGAGTGGGGTTTTCTCCTATGAATTTTGTTTTTTGCCTCTGAAATTCCAATATTTTCAGATAATTTGCTTTTTCACTTTATTGATTTTTTCATTTGTTTCCTATCGACCCTGGTTTTTTGTATTAACGTTGGCATTCCAGGTAGATACTTAAGTTTATTAAAGATTCTCTAGAAAATACAAACTTTCAGGTGCTTTATATTTTCTTGGCTGGATATTTGGCATCTTTGGCGTTGATGGGATATTTTAGTGAGTTGTACGCAACAGTGGAAAATGGGAAACAGTTTTGTGCTCACTTATGAAATTATAACAAAAACTGGTTTCTAGTCCGTAATTCACTTGAAACATCGAATTTTAATTGAAAATTGTATGATTTAGCCGAATTTGACTCTCAAATCTCAAAATAGGCAAATTTTGACTTTTTGAAATTCTCAGAAAATTTACTGTTTCAAGAATTTTATATTAAAAAAATTGGTTTTTGGGAAATTTGATGAAAGCTCGTCTTGATTCAGAAAAAATTGATTTTTTTTCCAAAACTTTTCAATTTTCCAGGCTCAAATGGCTTTGGATTTACCGTAACTGGCCGCGAAACTGCAAAAGGCGAACGACTATTTCACATCGGAACTGTCAAACCTTATGGAGTAGCTCTAGAACATTTGAAATCTGGTGATCGATTGCTGGAAATCAATGAAGAGTCTACAGGAAATTTAAGGCAGCTGGAAATTGTTGACCAGCTGAAAAAGGCGAAAATGGGGAAAATCCAGCTGAAAATGTGAAACCTGGTGAAGAAAAGCGAGGGTTTCGGTGAAATCGGATGGAGCAAGGAATGATAGTGGGATTTTTATTAGGAATGTGAGTTGGTTTGGGGCCAAAATTTGTAATTCTAATTTTTTTTTTCGGGTTTTGAAACGAATTTTCGATGGAAAAAGGGGGTTTCTGTGAAATTTCAGGGTGCCTCTGAAAATTGAAATATAGGTTTTTACGGTAAATGTGGGTATTTTAAACCCAAATTGCAATCAGATAAATAACTCGCTCACATATTTAAAAGTATTTCATATAAAAAAAAACAATGATGAGTGAGATCAAATAAAATTATATGAAAAAAAAAATATAAATATTGAAGAACAAGAGACTGAAGAGACTATGATTTGAAAATGTTCGAATTTTCAGACTTTTGTTCATCTTTCAATAATTCTTGCAATTTCTTTCGAAAATTCTCCGGTTTAATTCCAAAAAAATGAAGATATTTGACAAAATTTTCTTCTGGCAGACTCCGGAATAGTTGGCCAATAACTGAAAGATGGTAAACATTTTACTGCATAATTTGACCAAACTCACGTTACAACATGATTATAGACGGTCTTTGAAACTCTCTTCTGGTGCAAAACAACGTCCTTCTCGAACAACTCCACCGGAATTCCACCATTAACATTGGATTTTTCTAAAAATGCTGACACTTCCATGGAAAATTGCTGGCAATCTTGTGGCGTTTTCAAACTGACTGAAACCGAAGACGATTCTTGCGAGGTAGACGAAGTCGTTGAAGACGCGATTGGTCGGAAACAATCGGTCTCATCAGAAATTCTTTGAGTTTCCAGTCGATTTGAGGATGATTCGTCGCCTTGGACAACAGTGAAATATTCAGACAAATTTTCACATAAATGCATAAGATGTTCATTATATTCATTGATACTCGTTTCGCCTTCGTCAGACGAAACATCTCTATTATTTGAACCAGTCGATTCCAAGCTTTTCAATATTTTGTTGAGAACTGAAGCTACTGATTTGACTTATGTCAGCATTTTCTTCGAATTGATAATATCAACTTCACCGGTTAGAGAAGAAGAATTGGTCATATTCAAAGCTGTTTCTGGATTAGGCTTTGTTTCGATTTTTGATATTTTTCCATTGAATTCGTCTTGAATACGGCGAATTTCCGCGTCTTTTTCATCCATTTTCAATTTCATATCATCAAATTTTTCGCGTAAATCGACAAGTTGTTGGTTAACTGCTTGATTATCACAAATTTTCTGATCCGCTTCTTCTTGATTTTTCTTCGAATTGATCATATCAACTTCATCGATCAGATTCTGCAAATAGTAAAATTGAAAAATTGTTGCGCTTTAAAAATGAAATAATCATTTGGTGAACTCACCTTGAAATTAAATGATTGTGCATCACGCAATTCATCAACCATTTTTTTGCAAATTGAACACTTTTTCCATTTCGGTGAACAACTTGTCTTCGAGTTCCATTATCTTCTTATCATCTGGTCCAAACAGAGTGAAATTTGGATCACCTTTCTTCAAATAGTCGTCTAAAGTTCCTTTGAAAGATGAATTGGTCAAAATCAAAGCTGTTTCTGGATTAGGCTTTGTTTCGATTTTTGATATTTTTCCATTGAATTCGTCTTGAATATGGCGAATTTCCGCGTCTTTTTCATCCATTTTCAATTTCATATCATCAAATCAATAAATTGTTGATTGACGACTTGGAAATCACGAATTTTTTGATCCGCATCATCTTGATTCAGTTTCAAAGTCACATATTCATCCAGCACATTTTGTACACTTTGATGCATGGTTTCTTTTGCCATTTCATATCGATGTTTATACATATCAACTTCACATCGCAGTGTATACATATTTCCCTTCAATTCTTCGTTCTCGTGCCAAGTTTGAATGTTTGGGATATTTCGAACATTTTGGCTGGTTGAAGGTCCTTGTGGAAGCACTGGTTGTGGAACAGTTTTTCTATTGAGCGCCCATTTCTCATTATCTTCTTCCTGCGATTCCTGGAGAAGCGACAAATCGTCCATTTTCTGAAATACAAAACAACGTTTCCATGACAACAAGTTTATATTTCAAAAAAAAAAAAACACGAAATCACTGATCACTGAACACTGATGATGTGTGAATCCCTTCTTTCAGAGAAAAAAAAATACTAAAAACTTAATTTTCCCGGAAAAATTAGGTTTTTTAGCATAAACTTCAAAAAATGCGCCACAGCGAAAAAAAATTATTTTTTTGTACACAAAAAATTCGTTGCGGAAATTCAAAAAAAAAATAGGCGGAGTTTTCCACGTGCAACACCTGGCAGCGTCTTTCTGCAATATTATTGCACGTGCGCACGGTTTTTGTGTGTTCTCCCCTTTTGTTTTTTGTTTTTTTCCTTTGTGTGTGCAAACACTTTCAGTTTTGCGCACCGTACCACACGGAAACAGAAAAAATAATTTTTTTTCGCTGTGTGCGCCAAATCTTCAAAAATTCCTCACCCCCTATTTAGAACCCGCGAATTTCATCAAAAACCACAAAAAATCAATAAATCACCCCGTAACCCGTAATTTCCCGCCAAAAATTCGAAAAAACTCCCGCCAAAACGTCGAAAATGAAAAATTCAAATGAAAATCGCGACCGCGAATTGACGCATTTCGTGTTGGCGCACAACATGTAGGCCGGTGCGTTGTTGGCGTATTTCGCGTTTTTTTGTTTTTTTTTAACTAGGGGACCCTGCGCAGAAAGTTTTGTTAGGCGTATCCCTATTAAAGGGTTGGTGTTTTCCTGGTGAAAAAGTCGTCTGCAAAAAGACGTCACCGTGATATGTTCAAAGTTGTGTGCAAACACACGCCCGAAAATTCAAAAACAACTCAGCATCTCCTGGCGTATACTTTTTGCACGACAACGTACGCTTTTCCTACACTCTTTCTACGCTTTTTGTACACTTGCCACTTTTCGCGAGTGTAGCTACATTGTAGGACCGCGTTGCAAGCTTGTTGCGTTGCGGCTATTATTTTATTTTTGTTTTCTATTTTCTTTTTGGCCTAAAATTCTTTTTAAACGTATAAATCAGGTATCATGATAGTAAAATTATATCTGCGTGGATTCTAGAAGTTGAAAATAATTATTGAAGCTATCAAACAACTTATTCGTCAAAAAAAATATCGTTTTTTCAAGAAAAATCTTGAAATAATTTCGAAAGTTCATCCAAACTGCGAATCAGAGTTGACCGATAAAATTCCTTCTTTTTATTCTCGTTATTATTCTTTTTACACCTGAATTTGATTGCGATTTGTTGAATTTCAGATCATCAAACCAACAACTCCTAGAATTTGCATCATGACGGCAGAAAAAAAAGGAGGAGAACCTTCACTGGAGTTCATCGACAAGATGACTTTAAAGGTGAGTAAGACTACTAGGAAGACTAAGAATTCGGAACCTTACTGGCTAATCGTCTGTCAAAACGTAGGTGATCTGAAGTTGGCAGATCATATCGTGGAGACGCCTCTTATAATTATGATAAGCAGTAATTTTATGGGACTTGGGATGTTTATGAATATCTAGAAAGTTGAAAATCATCCTATTTTTCAGGTTGACACTTGATGCTCCACCTACACCTACGCCCAATGCTATCATCGGGACAATTTCGACCGAAGATTCGCAGTAAAGTCACCTGAAATTCAACGGCAATATGCACATGCTCCACAACCCGACTTCTACCCCTCAACCCCGACTTCAACCACTCAACTCTCAACAACAAACTCATTCTCAAAAAATCTTCGGAAAAAATTAAATTTTGCGGGCTGTCGGTGTTGACACACACTCTTATTTTTTTCGTTCTTTCTTTAGGTTTGGGATTACACAAAAATCTTGATTTTCAGCCTATTCAAAATTCTTGGTCCGATTTTTGATGGGATTTTGGGAGATCTGCTGACAACTCGACATTTTTCGGTCAAACTGGAACTACTCGAATTATTCGCTGGAAATTTGTCTCTAAAGTAGCCAGATAAGGTTAGTCTTTTTTCATTTCCGAAATAAATTCCAAAAAAAAAATTTATTTATTTTTCAGACGTGAAATTGAAAACGTGTCCACGTCGAAGTCATTTTCAATTTCCTGGTGGGAAATATTTTGAATGGCTTGAATCAACATCAAGAAGTTCTCAAATTAATTGGATTTTATACTGAAAATCCTGGATTTTGGTGAGTTTTTGGGGGAATTATAATCCAAAATCTTTTGGTTAATTTTGTTTCACATATTTTCTGAAAAAAAATTTGTTTTTCTTAAAGAAACTTGAATTGTCCTTGGTCACTTATAACAAATATATAAAGGAGCAAGAACATGACGAGAGAAGGAAGAAACAATCGAATATGCTGGAAAATGTGTCATTTGAATATAACAAGAGCTATCCAGCGATCAAGAAATCATCGAGAAATGAATCTGGAGAACCTGCTCATAAAGTATCCAAGGTAATATTTAAAATTCCGTTTTTTGAGTTCTAAATTAAAAAATCCATAAAAAATTTTTTTTTTATTTTGTTTTTGAAAAAAAATTTTCCCTTGTAATTTTGGGTTCTTGAGAAATTATTCAGTCCTGTTTAAATTTCATTGAATTTCCACATTTTTTGAGAAAAAGATGCTTATCAGAGCTCATAAAATGGTATTTATGATCACCATAAAACAAGAGAATTGTTTTCAGATTGAGACGAAAACGCCGGCCGCTGTTCCTGTTCCTGTCTCCCCACCACAACAAATTCAACAAGAATTGGTGATTGAAGAACAAGAACCGGAGCAGCCCGAGCTGAGAGTTGAATCTGAAGAAGCTCCTCAAACTGAAAAAGAATCCGAATCGGAAAAGCGAAGACAATCGAGTCGAAAAAAGACACCGAAAATTTTTGATGATTATGTTGCCTAATAATTTTTGTTCAATTTTTTTTTCATAAAATAATATTCTCCTGAAGATTTTCCATTGAAATTTTGAACTTTTCCGGGTTTGATAAACTACGCTTCTCTTCTTCTTTAAATAAAAACTGATAAGGCATGCATTTTTTCAAACTTTTACACTTGAAATCAAAAATAAAATGCATGGATGTGGAATACGATTTGAGGTGAGACTCTTTGAGATATCTATTCAAAAATTACTGTAACTAATCACGAATTTCAGTGGATTTTGCGAGTTTTATGCGGTTTGCACCTACTTTTGGTTGCCACAAATTGTTTCATTATTGAGCCCGAAGTTTTTGAACCATTATTTGTTATTTATTCGATTGGGGTAGGTTTTTCCATTTTTTGCTGATATTAGATACAAAATTCGAACTTTTCAGATTATTTGCTTTTTCACTTTATTGATTTTTTCATTTGTTTCCTATCGACCCTGGTTTTTTGTATTAACGTTGGCATTCCAGGTGAGATTAGAATACATAAGTAAGTAGTGCTAGAATTTGAAAAAAAAACAAACTTTCAGGTGCTTTATATTTTCTTGGCTGGATATTTGGCATCTTTGGCGTTGATGGGATATTTTAGTGAGTTGTACGCAACAGTGCGTCGCGGTGTTTGCGGACTTGCTGGGGGGGGGCTTTAAAAAAAATTCAAAAGAAAAACTAATGGGCACAGGGGTTTTTTCACTACCGAGTCAATGTAAAATTGTAATCGAGCAATTTGGCTCCGCCCATCTTTTTCCGCACAGACATGTGGGCGGAGCTTAGATTTTCAGATTTTCAAAAAGAAAATTGAAAACCCTTTGGCTCAAAAGACACACAAATAAAAAGAAAAAAGTCGGGCTATATGTGTGCTTGCAGCCACCGACATCTCGCGAGGCCGGCCTCACGCTATCGCTTTTTTTGTCGGCCACGTAGCGCGCTGTTTGCGGAGGTTTTTTGTCGTCAGATAAAATGTTTGGTACGTGATTAATTTTCGGTAGTAATAAAACCCCTGTGATGGGTGCTTCAGGTCGAAAAAAAAACTAAAAAAACGTTTTTCTACAAAAAAATTCGATTCAGCAAATGTCAAAAAACTCTATTTTTTTCAAAAAATGAAAGATATCTCGCAGCGAAAATGTTTCAATGAAAAAAAAATGTCAAAAAATGTCGAAAAATAGGAAAAAAAAAATAGTTTTTTGACTTTTGCTGAATCGAAATTTTTTGTAAAAAAAACGTTTTTTTAAATTTTTTTTTTCGACCTGAATCACCCCATAAAACTTTTTAATTTGCATAATTAATTAATGATTAATTTTCCTTTTCAGCTATAAAATTGGCTCTCCTCCGACTGATTTTCTTTGTCAATACTCTTGTTATAATTTGTGATGTGATTGCGATTTTTCTTGTGATTTCAATGCGATCGGAATATTTTTCACATCGAAAATCTCTTGCGAGAGATGTCGAAAAGTACTAATAATTTCTTCTTCGTGGAAGAATACGCGTATACTGTATTTTACAGTGGTTTTTAAAAAAATAAAATAAAAAATTGATTCTTTTTTTTTCAAAAAAATTGTTCAATGCACAAGAAAAAGAGAAGAATCTATCTCTCATTTCTCTTGAACAACATTTCACACATCGGCCAGCAACAAACGAACGGCGCAGCAGGGGAGACATTTGTCTGCCGTGCGAGGGACGCGGGTTCGAGTCCGTTGATGACAACCTTTCATACACCATTGTGATCACTGAAGACGTCGTGACGATCATATTCCATGCAACACCAACTGAGGACTTTTTTCGAAAAAAACATTTCTTTTGTTTTTTAAAACATTTCATTGTTCTGTACAAGTTTCATAGATAGAAAAATATTTCAAATCAAAAGAAAATTTTTATTCTTCAAAATTCGAAATTCCAACATTTAATATAATCATCTCTTCCTGTACTTATCATTATTTTATTAAACGGGTCTAAAAATGGAGTGGAAAATATATCAGAATCTGACAATTTGATCGATAAAGCAGTTGAGTCGTTGAGATTCCAGATGATCAAATTACCAGTTGTAGATTGAAGATAGATTTTGTCTGGTTCAAGAATTTGTGGGGTTCTGAAAGAACAATATGAATCAAGAAAAACTTTCAATTTTCCTAAATACCTCACAAATCGAGTGCCGGGGAATTTCCACCGTTTTAGTATCTCATTATTTTTGGGATTTGTTAACACAACAGTTCCATCTTCTAACGCCCAACACCAATTTCCATTTGGCAATTTTAATGGAGCACAAAAAATTGGAGCATTTCCAAGGTTGAGTCTATTGATAAACGTGCCATCGATATCCTTCAAAACTATAGTATCCCCATTAACCAGTCCAATTACAATATTTCCCGTTGATAAATCATGAGTTATTTGGGAATAACAAGCTGAATCTGCTGAATATTCCCAATTTTCGGAGATTATTTTTCCTCGAATTGTGGAGAATATTGGACTTGAAGAATTCGAAAATCGAATAGGAGCACAAGGTGAACCTGATCCTATTGATTTCTTTGAAATCATTTGACCTGACTGAAAAACATTATTTTTGATTCAATTAATTTGCTGATCTTAAGATCTTACTAACCATTTTCTCAATTTTATACAAATATCGATCATAACTTATGCAATATATCGAATCTTTTCCATCATAAAAACATGCTGCTTTGATTTGATCTCCGGTTTTGAATTTCCAAATAATATTTCCATTCAATCCATCAAATCGATATAAAATACCATCAAATCCACCAATAACAATATCATTTTCTAAATTTATTGGAGAGGCTTCAAAACGGGTCTCATAGCGATTCTGAAACTCAAAAATTTTGAATGGAACAAAATTTGGATTACTCACCTCCCAAACAATATTTCCATTCGCAATTGCAATACACATAACAATTCCAAAATGGGATGCTGTGTAAACCAAATTTCCAATAACCAATGGATTTCCATCGATACATTTTCTCAAACTATGACTCCATTTTAAAGAAGGTTCAAGTTCTGATATACTGTGAGTTTCTATAACTTCTCCATCGATTTTCGGTGGTTCCACAAAACAAAGTTTCATTTGAAACAAGAAATCAGATACAATAGTCTTGGGGTCCAAAAATAATCGAAAAACTTCATCGGAATTTGGAAAACATAGTGAGAGTTCAGCGGATATTAGAGAATCAAATCCGAGGTTGACAAAACTATTGATAGCTTCTCGTTCAAGATCGATTTTATATTTTTCTCGAACAATTTTCACAAAGTTTCCATTATATATCAAATCCACTTTTTCGCATAAGTAATTTTGATCTAGTTTCCCATTTCGATTTATTTGAAATTTTTCGATGAATTCAATATGCGAGGGATGAAAATCTTTTTGGAGATTCTGCAAAAAAATATTTTTTTTTAGAATTCACTAGACTATACTTACCGCATCAAGAATTCGTTCAACTTTTTTCAAGTCATTTGTTCCTTCAACAAAAAGTGTTATAATTTTGTGCCGATACAACATAAAATGTGCATTCAATTCTAGTTTTTCTCCAATAATTCTTGTCATTTCCTCTAAATTCATTCGCATTCCACGGATTTTCAATTGTCCATCTTTTCGCCCAACAATCCTGATTTTTCCATCCAAAATTTCAACTAAATCTCCAGTTTTATGTCCAGATTCGGCTGTCATTTTTCCGTTAACAAAACACTTCCTTGAGCCTTTCAATATAAGTTCTTGATTTTTTGAAACTTCAAGAATAGTTCCAGGAATTGGATCACCTAGATAATTCTCCGAATCCTTGATTTCTCGAATCGTAGCCCAACATGACACTTCTGTAACTCCATAAACATCAAATATTCTTGTTTTAGAAGCTGCTGATGTATAAAGTTCTCTAGGAAAAATAGATCCACCAATCAGAACACATCTAAAACTCTGCAACATTTTCTGATCCAACATTCTAGCAACATTCGGTGTAAATTGTCCAATCGTTGGTTGATATTTTTCGATTGCATTATTCAGCAAATATGGATGATTACGGTAGTTATCCGGAGTTAATAGAAGTCTAGTTTTGTATTTGAAGAATAAAAACATTTCAATAATTGATGGATCAAAATGAAAAGATGTGGAGCATAGAATAATATCATATTCTGAAATTTCCAGCACTTTTCCGAAGTATTCAATATTTGGCATAATACAATCAAAAGGAACAGCAACACGTTTTGAAATTCCAGATGTTCCACTTGTATTTATAACATAACAAATATCTCTATTTCTTTCATCGCCTTCTCGCAATCTTCGAACCTACAAAACACTGGATTTTTTTGAATTCAGATATAAAAAATTTACCCGAAAATCCTTATCTATTATACATGTCGCTGGAAAATATTGTCCATCGGTAAAGGTGAATGCAATTCTTCGATTCAAACATTGATAAATAATATCTACAGTATCCAAGCTTCTCCCACTATCAATGAGTAAAATATCATTTTCAGTTAATTTTTGGAGATCTTTTTCGAGATTTTTGGATAATAAACCCGATATTCGACCCGTTTCACCACATATTAATTGCATCTGAAAATAATGAAAATGAAAAAATTATTTCAAACGTGAAACGTGAACTTCAACGTGGCAATTCTAATTTTTTTTGCATTTTTAATTTTTGTCTCACGGCATTTCACAGGATAAATTGAGAGAGAAACACAAAATCCTCCTCGTTTCGAGACCAAACGCGGGAAACACTTTTGTTTTTAATTTTTCCCGCGCTTGGTCTCGAAGCGAATGAACTGCAAATATATTTGGTGTTTTGTACTTCTCTCGGGGAAAATTTTCTAATTTTCAAAAGTCCGTGCACTTAATAATATGGAATTAAAACCAACCAAATCAATTTTTCTTTCAAAAAAAAATCTTCAGAAATCTTTATTACAAAGTATATTTACATTCATCTGAAATTACAATTGGGCGCATAAAAAATATCTGATATTTATTATTCAATATTGTTTCTTGTCTGGTTTGTTAGACCACATTTGGAATGGTAGAAGATAATTGTCAGCTGGAAGATGTTGTAATGTTCGAATATTGTCACTTTTTGGATCCTTTAGGAAGTCATGGAATGCTTTGTCGTCGAAACCTATTTCAGCGGCCTGCAAAAATTATTTCGATAAGAAATGACTAACAAAGCAGTTTCTTCTCTGCAAAAAAAAACCCAAAGAAAACTCACTTGTTGAGCAGTGGCTCCATAATAAATATGATCAAATCTTGCCCAAAGACAAGCTCCCATACACATTGGACAAGGATAACACGAAGTATACAATGAATAACCCTTGAGATCAAAATTATTCAATTTCTTGCACGCATTTCTGATTGCCGTCATTTCCGCGTGCATTGTTGGATCATTTGTGACTAAAACCATATTATGTCCTCTCGCGAATATTTCATTGGTTTTTGTGTTGACAACAATCGCACCAAATGGTCCACCATCACCACATTCTACACCATTACATGCTTCGATCACAGCTTGATTCATTAATTCGGATGAGAATGACATTCTGCAAAATGAAGTGTTGCTGATTTATGACTAGAAAACGGGGGAAAGAGGAAAAATCAAACGGCCAAAAAGATTAAGATAGTGAATTTGCAGGACAATTCTTGTAGGGGGAAAAAAATGGAAATGAAATGATAAATAATGTTGGAGGCAGCATTTTATATTGTATTTCTCTTGATCAGAAAAGCAGAAAAATTATACTTTAAACTTGTTGCTAAATTTGGTCTTCCGAGAAAACGTGGTTGATTTGATAATGATCAAAACTGACAGTGAGAATGGATTTCTAAAGTGAGTAAACACTTTTCAAAGGGGCACAGCTAGAAATAATTACTAAATTGCTGAATCTTGAATTGATCCGTTTATTTTCAGAATTTGACGTTTTTGAAATGCGGGAGAAATTAAAAATGAGGAATTTAGACAAGAAAGGTCACGTCGAAAATATTTGTGACTTTATTTTATTTATTTATTTTAGAAACACAGTATTTCAGCACAATTAAAATCTAGAGCACTCCTACATGAAATACTCAAACCTACAAAAAAACAACAAAGATAATTAATCTCGTTCATAGTGAACCAACTATTGTTCTAAATACTAAATACTATGAAGTCACTCACTATCTCACAATTCTTATCAGCAAACACGTGAGCAGCTATTTTTGCAAACATGTGAATTATGTGATATTTTTTTGAGAAACGCAAAAATGATAAGATAAAAATGTTGTTATTTTGGAATTATATGTTTTCGTTGCGGAAGTTGGAGAACTTTGAAACGAAACTTGAAAATTTGCTATGAAAAACGAAATTTATCATCGAGTTTAAATTGAAAATTGAATGAATTAAATATGTAAATCGCGGTGAAAAAAAACATGAAAATGTGGCAAAATTTGAATAATCCGAAAATAAGTTTCATACTCGCATTCATGATTTTTCGAACTTTTTGTTGACATTGAGTCTTGTGCTGAACTATCAAAAAAGTTTTCGGGCTGATAAGAAGTTCAAATACCCAAAAAAAAACTTCATATTTCCATTTTTCTGTTGGAATGACATCATAAGCTCGGATCTTTAATTTGAAAAAAGTTTTCCCCGAAAAAAAAACGAAAAAAATAAAATTTATTAGAGACTGTGTGAAAAATGGAGGGTGCGAAGAGAGAATGTGTGAATTGAGAGACACAGAGAACACACACATTGAAGGCGCGCTGAATTAATGCATTGGGTCTTGTGACGACTCGACGTGTAGAGACTGGAACCTTGCCAAGTTTTTTCCATTTTTTGCGCCGTTGGCAATCTTGAATTTAAGCACGTTGAATTAGGGTTTTTTCAGCAATGAAATGTTAATTTTTACAGAAGATGGTATTGATTGCCGCTGGAGTGTTCTCGAAATCGGGGAAAGCCTTGGTTGCTCGTCAATTTGTGACTGATATGACACGCGCAAGATTGGAAGGATTATTGGATGCTTTTCCAAAATTGATTGGAAATGACAAAGATGCGCTTACTCGTCAACATACTTTTGTTGAAACCGAATCAGTCAGATATGTCTATCATCCATTGGACAATATTTATGTCGTTTTGATCACAACTCGCAATTCAAATATTTTGGAAGATTTGGAAACTTTGCGTCTTTTCTCGCGAGTTATTCCAGAATATTGTCGCTCCAATGACGAGAAGGAAATCCTTGCTCATGATTTCGATTTGATTTTCGCTTTTGACGAAGTCGTCACTTTGGGATATCGAGAGAGTGTCAATTTGGCGCAGATTCGTACTTTCACCGAAATGGATTCGCATGAAGAAAGAGTTTTCATGCAAATCAAGGAAGCGCAAGAAAAAGCAGCGAAACAAGCAATGGCTGAAAAAGCCAAAGAACTCAAAAGAGCTCAAAAAGAAGCTCTTAGTCGTGGACTCAAACCAAGTAAGCCAATTTTTCTTCGAGATCAATACTATTAATCTGATTTTCAGATTATGCAAATGTCCAAGCTTTATCATCGCTTTCATCGTCTTCTGCACCATCCGCTGTTGCTGAGCCAATTGTATCTCGGCCAAGTCAACCAGCTCCACGAGGACCAGTTGGTGGAGGAAAGGCTTTGAAATTGGGAGGAAAAACTAATGATGAAGATGCTTTCTTGAATCAATTGAGACAACAAGGACAAACTATCACACCAGTTGCTAAAGCTGTGAGTTTGTTTTTCGTTATTGCGAAACATTGAGTTTGAATTTGAAAAAATTATAGGGTCTTGGATCATCATCTTCTTCTGCAAACCCAACTCCAGCCGCTCCACGAGTAAAACGTGAAGCAGTTCATGTCAGAACTGATGAAAAGATAAATGCTCGTGTCAGTCGAGATGGTGGTCTTGAATCTGGAGAAGTTCTCGCTACAGTTTCACTTTCTGTCGCCTCTCCAGACTTGAATTCAGTTTCGGTGCAAATGTCCAATCAAGCGCCAGCTGGTGGAGCTCAATTACAAGTTCATCCAAATCTTGACAAGAAAGAATGGCAAACATCGTCGATTTTGAAATTGAAATCAAATGGAAAACCCTATCCAGTGAATAATGATGTTGGAATATTGAAATGGAAGCAAGTTCTAACTGAGGAAGAACAATTGCCAATTTCGTGTAAGTTATGATATTTATATTGATTGATTTTTTTTTAAATTTTCAGTGAATTGCTGGCCTCAAGAATCTTCCGATGGTTGCCAAGTAAATATTGAATATACACTCCAAAGAGAAGATATTTCTCTTCAAAATGTTCGAATTGTAGTTCCACTTCCGTATGTTTTTATTTTCTTATTAAAAAACAATACATTCAATTATTTTTGTAGAACCTCAACCGCTCCAGTTGTCAGTGAATGTGAAGGAAGTTATGAATATCAAAAAACTAGAAATATTCTTCTTTGGACGTTGCCAGTTATCGATTCGTCAAATTCCACAGGAACTCTTGAGTTTTCTGTTCCAAATGGACATTCTGATCATTTCTTCCCGGTTCAAGTTGGATTCCAATCAGAAAATCTATTTGTTCCAATCACCGTATGTTTTTTTTGTTGATTATTGCTCATATTAATTCAAAATAAATACATTTCAGGTAACCGATGTGATAAAGCAAGATGGATCAGCGGTTCAATATTCTGTGGAAACTTCCTTCAATTCAGAAAACTTTGAAATTATTTAAATGTCTTCTTTTGCCGCTTTTAAATACTGTGATTCTTTGATTTGTCCACAAAATATTCAAATTAATTTTATTATTATTTATTTACATGTATGTTACTACTGATTTTTCTCCCTTACTATTTATAATTTATTGCATTGAATATGAATTTGGGTTTCTTCGAAAAGATGATTTGTCTATGAAAATTGTTTTTGTCCATTTCGACATATTTCATTTTCTTTTTCAGGTTTATGTAAAAAAAAATTCCGCAGATGCCATCAAAATTCAAGGAAAGACTACCAAATCTTTACAAGGATCACGGAATTGCTGATTTAACAATGGGTTTGTATACAAAAGATGCGAATTTGGATAGTGTTTGGAATGATGTAAAGAAAATTTTGAAGTTCTCCGAAAATAAATAAAATAAAAGATTTTCAGATCTCTCAAGAACCCTTGGAATTTGCTCAAAAATATATTGGAAAAGATTTCATGCAAGAAATGAGAGAAACTTCAAAAGGTGGATATTTGTATGTTATTCGACTTGTCAAAGAATTTTTGAAAGTGTTTTCAGATATTGAAAATGTTATGAAGTGAGTTGGATTTTCAGATTTTATTTATTTCAATTAATATATTTTCAGAGAATCTGAAAGTGTCGAAATAACTGATATGATTGATAGAATTATGAAATTAGGAAGAAATATCGGATTCAAGGATTCTCTTATTCATGAATTGACAATGTCTTCAATTCCAACACCAGGAACATCAAAAACAACAGATCCATTCATTTCACTAAAAGCTTTTGCTTATTTGTTCACTCTTTGTAAGTTTCAACTTTTTTCTTCTAAAACATTTCAAAAACTTTCAGTGCCTCTTGAATGGAGTCATATGAGAAAAGAATATTTTCTTTTCCCTGGTGGTTCAGTATTATATGAAACTGTGATTTGTCGATTAATTTGGATAACTTTACATTGTATAGTTGATAGTATTCGATTTCATTTTGAAATCAAAATCGACAAAAATAATGTTATAAAAGCGATTTCATCGAAAAATCCTGCACTTCGCCCGAAAAAACTACCGAAAATGGATATACCGATTGTGGAGCAGAGACAACCGTTGCTCCAAACTCCGCAAATAAAGACTTCTGATGTTCCACCGAATATTTCACTTACAACATTCCCATCGAAATCAAAATCAAATCCAAATCCAACAATATTCAATACAATTCCGAAAACTCAACACATTTATGCTGAATCATTTCTTCAAGTGTCAAAAAAGGAGTTTTGCCGAACTTCATCGAACAATTCGCTCATATATTCATTGATAAACGACGCGAATCCAAATATCAATTTGATTATTCATCCTGATTTAGCAACCATGCTCCCAAGTGCGACAAAAATATTCTTCGAAAACTATCTGCAAAAAATCGCGGCCAAGTTGAAAAACACAATTTCATGTGGAGAAGTGAAATATTTGACAGAGAAAACGATGAATATCACCAAAAAACCATATATTTTTGAGATGAACGAGAATGTGAATATTCGATTCCATCAAAAACTAGGAACATTGGTGCATATGTTGGCAAGAACTATTCTGAATACTGAAGAATTTGAAGCAGCTCCTGAAATGTTCGAGATCTTCGCTCCAATATTCACGGTTGGAAGATCTGAATATATATTCAGTACAAACAAAACCACCAGTATATTTAGTCATGGTTAGTTGAAAGGGTTGGGGTTTCCTTGTGAAAAATCAAGTCCGAAATTTTGCGTCATTATTTTCGTTTAAAAAATGAATTCCTCGAGAAGTACACACAAATTAAATATGTGTGCGATAGAGCAACCTTGATTGTTCATGTGTTATGTTCAAGAAACTCGCTCTAGAAATTTTTGAAAAGTGTAACATTAAAGTAGCACCTTATTCCTATCGATTTAGCATCTTCTGCATTAACACTGATATTTTTCAAATATCAAAAAGGTATTTATAAAGTTGTACTCGTACTTTTAGTAATAGATTGCGTTTTAGAAGATTTCGGTTCTTTTTTCTTTTTAGTGTCATCTTCAGTCGAACTATCCGATGTTTTCTTATTTGACTCGATGTCTTCTTTGTTTGCCACTTTATCCGCGGGTTTGGCTTTTAATGTGATGATTGAAATTGCTCCCGATTCATTCACTTTCAATATCGATCCCTTATTCTGAAAATTGTACAAAAATTGAAAATATAAACAACACCTATTGTTTAAAAAAAAGCGGGCCAAGCCCGATATTCCAAAAAAAAACTAACATCATTTTCCTGCATATATCTTGGAGCACTGAAAATAGTGATAAGTTTTCGATCAGCCGAAAATTTGAATCCATTATCTTGCACTTGGTGTGCTCGAACAATCATTTGAATATTCAATTTCTTCACACATTCATTAATTGCTTGCTCATTAAAAGTGCAAGATAATCCACGAATCGGGTTCTTCAGAAATTGTGGTTTCTCATTAACTGCATTGATATTTCCTTGATCCATCGGATCACTCCATAATAAATCTAATGCTAGTTTATTCTCAGTTACATCAACTAATGGTCTAGGAATCTGAATATTTATATTTATATTTTAAATTTATATTTATAATATTTCAAAAAAATCTTACATTTCGAATATCATCCAACGAGTTAAGCCACGGTGAAATGCCTCCATGCATACACAATATTTTACCGCCAACAAGTCCAGCTATAGGCATCCACGAAAATGCTTCATTAAAATGTTCCCATATTTCGAGCCCATCTTTTTGTCCCATTCGAGTGACCAATTCCTCTCGAAAACCATATGCAAAATTGATTGTTCGTGTCTCATGATTTCCACGAAGTAGAATATAATGTTTTGGAAATAGAACTTTGAGCGCAAATACAAGGCTAATACATTCCATTGATTGAATTCCACGATCAACGAAATCACCCAAAAACATGAATCTAGAAAAAAACAACTTTGAAACTTATCATAAATTAATTTTTAAGAATTACCTAGCTTTACAAAGAATCGCACTATTTGCATCAACTTTCTTTCCATTCAAACCTTGTCTTGAATTAAGTATTCGTATCAAATCTCGATATTGTCCGTGAATATCTCCAACAATTGTGCATGGTGGTGATAAATATGCCAGAGTTGGTTCTTGTTTGAATATTTCGATGACTTGATTCACAAGTTCGTGTAGTTCTTTCAAGTTGTATTCGAGCTACAAAATATCATTTATTTTTTGATCTAGATTTTATAGTTCAGTTATGATTTTTGATAATTCCATGGTTAAAAATTTTAGAACTCAACCTCTATTATGAGTTATGACATGGTAAAGATTTCGAAAACCCGAGACGAGTTTTTGGGAAATTTTTGAATGTGACAAACATTTGAGCTGAAAATCCACGTGGCAAAATTTCGAGCTCATAAATCCACTTGGAAACATTTAGCTCACAAGACAACAATTTCAGAAATAATTTTACAAAAATCTAACTTCAAACATGATTTTATGAAATTTTAGCCTTGTAGAGTTACGGGTTTTGAAATCTTCATACTTTGCCACGTCATAACCTATATTAGGAGTTGAGTTTCGCAATTTTTGACAACAGAATCGTAATCAGCGGATCTTATCAAAAATCTTCCCTTCTACTATTTCAAGTTTAAATTTCAACTCACTATTTTCTCTTGTGCCCAACAACCAGCGCGCAAATGACGTTTGCAAAATTCGGCAACATTAAATGGTTCATCGTTATTTTTATCACCATTGTTTTCATCTGATCCTGGCATTTGAATGATATTTTTTGAAACTGCTTTACTAAATTTAAAAAATCTAAAATACTTGGTTTTCGAATTCATATCCATTTTCACGCAACAAAACTAGAGCACGTTTTTATTTTTTTTTAAATAATTTTGGTTTTTTTCAGTCGGGAAAGAGTGCATTGGACAAATTGAAAGACTGGTTGAAGACTCTCCGAATAAGAATAGATTGGCTTTCCATATTCGAGGATGTCTGTTCCGATTCCTTATTTCGTTTTGTGCAAGTCTCATCAGATTTATTTGCAATGTTAAACTCAACTCAAAATTGGAAATTGAACGTTTTGTTTTCGATGATTTCGAATTTGGCGCAAATGTGATTGGTCCACTGGATAAACCAGTAAAATCTGAACCTGCTCCAAGTTTGACCACAAAATCCGAGCCAAAGACTAGCGAGCCTGGTAATGTCGAAGTGACAGATGTAAGAAGAATCAAAAAACAATTTCCCATTTCATATAATTTTTGTAGGAAGAACTTGAAGCTGCTCGATCACTTCGTCCACCATCAACAACAACAACTTCTTCTTATTTAAACAATTGTCCAGCGACTCCGATGTTTCGCGAATTTTGGGAAAGAGCTAAAGTTGATGATAGGTTATCGGATAAATGGAAGGAAACCATTCGAAATATTCTGATTTCCAACAAACAGCTCGCAGTTGATAGGGATAAAGCTGAACAACAATATGAAGTTGCAAGAAATGTATAGGTTTGTTTTCTTGTTTTTTTCTCAAGGTGTTTTGTTAGGTTACTGTATAATGTTTGTTGATTTTTTGTTTGTTTTTTCTTTTTTTCCTCATTTTTTTGTTTTGTTGAATATGAATATGAATTTATTCTAAACATTATTAGAAATACCAAGTTCTCTCTTATCTCGAGAAATTGCACTATTTTTTGATGCATTTTGAATATTCGATATTTGTGATCTACAAGTTGCAATTCGAGATCGACCTTTTTCCATATGTTCAATACTTAGTGGAGCAACTTGTTTTGTTTCTGAAAAAAAAACAAATTTGAAAATGAAGTGCGGTATCTGTAACTTACTCGAAATACATCCTAGCACAATAATCGCAATAATCATTCCAATAAAAATCAAAGTCAAAATCGAAGTAATACTCAAATCCATATATCCATGTAATTTTTCGAGAAGTAAATATGATTTTATGAATTTTTCATCATGACTTTTCATGTCACTTGAAAATAGTCCGGTTTGAAAGGCTTTCATCGCACAAAAACAAAATTTTTTCGTTTCTTCAAGTTTTGGATTGTATTGAACGAATAACTCGTTGGAATCTATTTGTTCTCTCAAACCATCCTGAAATTTTTAAAATTTCGAAAAAATGAAACGAAAACTGGAGGCTTACAATAATTCGATAAACCAAAACATCCGATGGAACATCTCGACAAGCATCCAATTGACAAATCAGAATTATTGATGGATCTTTCATATTTTCTGGTTTTGTTGATCCGAAATAAGCTTTCAACCCAATTACACCTCGAGTATCCTAGAAAATGTGAAATTTTTAAAAATTAATTTAATTAAAAATCCAAATCTTACCTTGTATATGAGTGATTTTTCATTAATCCCTTTATCTTTAAAAGCTTTAATTGCTCCCAATTTATAACTATCACATTTTCTTGAAAAACTCATTTCAAATGCGCAATATTCTTCAACACCATTTTCATTCTGCTTTCTACAACCATATCCCTTTTTAGTTTTGATTTTTGGAAAACTCTTTCGAAAATTGTCCAATTGATCTAATAGTTTTGGAAGAATCGAAATGTCTGATGAATTCTCTGCAAAACCATCGAAATCCTGATTTTCCTGTCGATCCAACATATAAATTTCTTCAAATATTCTGTCCAAATTACTACAACTATCATCGTTATGAAAACATAGGCAGATTGTTTTGGATTTTTGAATTTGACAATAAATATTTGTTGAATTTGGTAGTTTTATTTCTGATTCTTGAGTGGAATTTATCGATGTTATATTGATCGATTTATCATAACTTATCAATGTTTTACAAATAATTCCTTTTTTCCCTCGACATTCATTATTCAGGTATATAGAACTACTTTCTTCATTTTCTCTCTTATTCCTTCGAATTTTCATCTCATGATTAAGCATTTGAACTATTTCAGATGTTGGATCTTGCGATTGGACTATACATCGGATTTCTCTAGCTTCCAGATTATTTTCACATTTTTCCAAACTGAATTTTGAATAATCATAGTCTATTTGAACAATTCGAGTTAATACAATCTTATCTCCAGGATCTATATTGTATTTTGCGATCACAAGGCAATTCTGAAAAAAATAAAAATTTTGAGAACTCCGAGAGAACTACACACAAGTGTGCGATAGAGCAAACTTGGTTATTTTTCAATTTTTTGTTATTTTTTCAGAGGAAAAGGCGGTGCAAAGTAGAATTTTTAGCAAAACTGGGTCTCGCCACGAAAAAAATCTTGCGGTTTACACTCGCCCCGCTCTTAATAACCTTTAGTTTGCATCGATTTTCATATAAAACATTTTCATTTGATAAAGTGGCAGTTATACTAAATATTTGAATAATGATAGGAAAATATAATAACATTTTTGTTTGTTGAAATATACTGAAAATGCCAGGATTTTCCCATTTTTTCACGTTTCATAAGTAGATCACGTTGATTTTTTAAAATTGTTTTTCTCAAAAATTTGAATTTAACCAACAAAAAAGACTACATTGTAGTGTATTTGGGGTTTTATCATTGAATCGAATTGATAAGGCGTTGTTTCTCTCGTTTTGTTTTGAAAAATATTCATATTTTATTGTTTTTTTCTTAAACTTTCAGAATAATTTCAGATGAAATCCTCAGAATTACCAGTATTGCTCATTTCAAATGGTGTTCTTTTACCAGGCGCGGACTTGAAAATTCCAATTAAAAATCGGAATAAGTGAGTGGAGAAGTTAGGTGAACTTATGATAACTATTGAAAATTATAGCATTTTGACGATTGAAAAATATTTGACAAAATCGACGGGGATTCAAAATCAAGTTGTTGTTGCTTATAAATTGTCGACTGAAAAAGTATATGAAATTGCAACTGTTGCTTATGTGGATAAGATATTTGGATGGACTTTTAATAATGTTGTGCAGGTTGGGACATTACTTTTTCAAAAAAAATCCCAACCTTCAGAGAAAAAAATATGCAGTGCGTAAAAAATCTAGGAAAATTTACGTTTCAAAATTTTCATAATTGTTTTTCTGGAACTATCAATTCTGATCCTTTTCGCATTCTTGCTTTCTAGATAAGGTTGAGATTTTTTGAGTTTCAAAGGAATAGGAATTCTATTGCCAATTCAAAAATTTGAAAAATCAACCGAAACCCAAATGAAGTCTTAGCCTAACCCTAATAATTTGATTTTTCAGTATTCAATTCATGTGGTTGGTCTTCACCGAGCAACAATTCAAAAATTATCATTACCAACTTGCATAATTTCGAAAATCGAGGAACCATCTGGTACTAGATGTTATTTCGTATTTCTAAACTACGAATTATTTATTTTCAGCAATTCTTGAACATTCTCAACTTGAAATCCTTCTCAAATCCGCCAAATATATTGCTGAAAATTCGACGAATGAAAGAATCTCATTCGATATTTACAATTTGATGGAAGAAAAGGAATACGGTAGATTGACTGATTTGTGTGTTTCCCAATTAAAACAACAAAATGACGTGGGATATGCGCAATTATTGGAATATTTGACAATTTTGGAAATTGATAAACGTGTGGAATTATTGGAGAAATGGACGAAGACAAGGAAAAGTTTGAAAATTAGTGCGGAAAATTTGAATATTGATGATATTCAAACTAAAATGAGTGGAGCGAAACAGAATCTGAGACCGAGAAAAATTCCGAATTCAAAAAATTCGATCGAAGTTTTGGAGGAGAAATTGAATGCAATTGAGTTTCCAGAAAATGTTACGGTTAGTTTATTAATTTTTTTCTAGGGGAAGGTTTTTGGCACCGCAAGTTTTCTGGTACAAATTTTTTAGGTTCTCTATTTTTTTTGGAACTTTTTTAATCTACAAAATCTTCAATTGTCTAGAAAGCGTGGGAATAAGAAGCCATCAGAATTGAAAATTCCAGAGAAAAAATTATGAAAATTTTGAAACGTAAATTTTCCTGGATTTTTTACGCGTCAGAAATACCTTCATTCTCTCAGGATCGCGTTTTCTCTGAATTGGCACGTTTGAAATCATTGAACTCGTCTCAAAGTGAATATAATATTCTAGTTGGATGGCTTGAATTAGTTGCAGCTTTGCCTTGGAAAACTTCGACAATTGATGAAATTGAAATATCTAAGGTTTTCATTTTTTTTCCTAAAATAATTACTCTAAAAATTTCTAGGCTCGTCGATATTTGGATGAATCGCACGATGCAATGAATGATGTAAAACAACGAGTTCTCGAACATCTCGCAGTTTGTAAAATGAACGAATCAGTTCGCGGAATGATTCTCTGTTTCACTGGTCCGCCAGGAATCGGAAAAACGAGTATCGCAAAAGCGATTGCACAATCGATGGGACGAAAATTCGAGAGAATATCACTTGGCGGAATTCGAGATGAGAGTGATATTCGAGGACATCGACGAACTTATGTGGCTGCGATGCCGGGAAGAATTATTGAAGCGTTGAAGCATGCGAAAACTGATAATCCCGTGTTTTTGTTGGATGAGATTGATAAGTTGTATTCGGGAAATCAGGGAAGTCCAAGTGCAGCACTTTTGGAATTGTTGGATCCAGAGCAAAATAAAGAATTTCATGATCAGTAAGTTGATTTTTTCAAGGAGGAAAACTGAATCTAGGATGTACAGAATTGAGTTGAATGCCATGTGGACTTTCTAGCCTCCTGAAAATTCCACATGCATTTTCTAGCCTTCCGATTATGCTACGTAGATTCTATAGCCTCCTGAAAATACCACGGGGATTCTATAGCCTCCTAAATATGCCACGTGGTTATTATAGCCTCCGTAAAATTCTGTGTGGATAAAATTCTAGCCTCCCTAAAATGTCTACGTGGATTTTCTGGCAGTTTTTGAATCGGACCATCTCTGATTTTTTGAGAAAAATTTTGAATTGAAGTAACTTTTTGAATTTTCCGATTGAAAATGCTTTCAAAAAACATTCAATTCAGTTTTTTTCTCAAAATCAACCTCAAAAATTAGCGATTTCTTGCGAATCTTCGAAATTCCCGTTCTCCTCCTCTGAATCTGCCAATCAATAATTGTTCCAGTTACCTCAATATTCCATTTGATGTTTCCAAAATAATGTTCATCGCAACAGCCAATGATATTTCAAACATTGAACCAGCTCTTCGAGATCGTCTTGAAATCATCGAAATGTCCGGATATACGTTGAAAGAGAAGACAAAAATATGTCAAAATCATTTGTTGCCTCGACAATTGTCGAAACATTGTATCTCACCAGATTATGTCAATTTAGATCAACGAGCAATTGTGACAATGAGTAAGTTACTCATACTTTTTTCTTTGAAAAGTCTTTAACAACCCGAATTTTGCAGTCGAAGAATATACAATGGAAGCAGGAGTTCGGCAACTTGAAAGAAATATCTCAGCAATTTGTCGAAATGTTGCGCTAAAACTAGCCGAAGCTTTGAATTCTGATTTGGGAGCTGACACTCTTCCCGAATTCGAACTTCCAATCAACATTTCTGAACCACAAGTTCATCAAATCCTAAAAACCAAACAAGCAAAAAGAATTCGAATTGTTGAAAGAATGTCACCACTTCAACCTGGAACTGTTTTCGGATTAAGTGTTACAACAAATGGTGGAAGAGTTATGCCAATTGAAGCATCAAAAAGTGAAGGAAAGGGGAAAATTGTGACAACTGGACATTTGGGAAAAGTATTAGAGGAAAGTATTTTGGTTGCAAAAGGGTGGTTGGCTGCGAATTCGGAGAGATTGAATATTAAAAGTTTGAAAGATTTTGATGTTCATGTTCATTTACCAGCTGGTTAGTTGGTTATTTATTCAACAATTTTTGAGCAGCAGCTTATAATAAATATCCTATTTTCTAGGAAGTATAAATAAAGATGGTCCATCGGCTGGAACTGGTCTTGCTTGCTCACTCGTCAGTCTGGCAATGGATGTTCCGATTCGAAGTGATGCTGCAATCACCGGCGAAATATCTTTAACTGGACATGTTTTGCCGATTGGTGGAGTTAAAGAAAAAGTATTGGCTGCACAACGAGATGGGCTTCGTCGAGTTGTTTTGCCTCGATCGAATTATGAAGAAGTTGAAAAGTTGGACAGCGATTTGAAAAATGAGATTGAAATTGTATTAGTTGATACGATTGAGGAAGCGATTGATGCGATGATAAGGAAAAGTCCAGTTTTGGCGAAATTGTAGAAATTTTTGATTGTAAATATAAATAAATATTTTTTCGAAAAAAAAACTGGACAAGGCTTAGAAAACACAGCAAATTTTTTTCTACGTGACCTCAAATAAAAAAATCATTGCAGAATGTGTTTTTCACGCGGCACACACATCTGGGCGGAGCCTAATAAAATCCTGTTTTTACTCGTTTTTTGAGGATTTGAACCCGAATTTCAGGGAAAAGTTGATTTTTCACTATCAGAATTGAGCAAAGAAGGGTTGAGGGAGGTCCGGAAGACAGATAATTGCTTATTAATCTTCTAATTCCGCTCAAAATGACGTTTCTCCATATTTTTCTCGATTTTCCCAGGAAAGACAATAAACTTTTGATTCAAAAAACTATTACTACTTGAAAAATTATCAACTACTTCTAAAAATGTAGTTTGAGCATGTTTCCTTCGGTTTCGGCTTCAAAAACACATTTTTTGTGAAAAAAAACACAAAAAAAGACATTTTTTTGCGAAAATACTGTAGCGACACGTGAAATTGTGCAATGAGAAAATGCGTAGTGAAAAATTTGCTGTGGAAAATCATTTTTCTGCTAACAGAAATTCATAATGAGGTAATTAACATCACGGATAATCCGATTATTTTTTCAAAAACACAAGAAATCAATAAATTTATTTGACAGAATTTGAAAAAATAAAAAAAATTATTTACATGTTAGTTGAATTGCCTTTTGGGTGCATCGAAGAGTTGCTGGATGTCTCTTGGCTTCTGAAATCCATATTTTCACATCAGAAATCCATCAAATAAATATACAAAACTCACATTTTGCTTTGCCAACCAAGATTTGGTTGGTCTTGCGAATCTCGGCGTTTGCGGCACGGTGGGCGCTCTCGGGACCAAGTTTGACGTAGGTTTCGCGATTTTCGGCTTGGTAATCCTTTTTGGCGTTGGTGGGAGAGCCTTGATTTGCTCAATCGATTCATCCTCGCTGTCGTAGAAAACACGGAATTTGCCCTTCTGAAAATTAAAATCAAAAATGATTTACATATATTTTGGTTATAAAAACTCACGGTAACTGGGGTGGATGTGAAGAATGCTCCAGATTTCGGTGTGGATGGTCCTTGTGAAGTCATCATTTTATGAGTTGAGTCGGGCACGAGGGAAAGAACACGAGGAAGAATGAGACGAAATTTTTCTCGCGAGAAATGAAATAAAAGAAAAACGAAATTTTTCGCTGGCGGCGGCACACATCGTGGCGAGACCTGCACACAAAACAGCATTGTGCGCCTAGAAGTACAGTAATATTTTAAAAAATATTTAGGTTTTTTTTTTCCTGCATTTTTTCTTACTACGCACTCTCACGAGGAAAAACAAATACAACAAACCAAAACAATACAACGATTCCGCTTGCCCGCTGTTTAGCGCAACACGAGATTTTTTTCATTTTTCGTTTTTTTCGCTGGGTTTTCATGTTTCTGGGGAAAATCAGTGGATTTCAATCAAATTTTTTGATTTTCAGCTTGAAATATTGATGGACGAAAACTTGAAGAATTTCGGATGTCTCAAGGATTTTGAAGCGATTGGTGAGTTTTTTGGGGAGGGATTTCGGAAAAATTGATAAAAAATTCTGTAAAATTTGGAAAGTTTATGAAAATTATGAGAAAAATCTTTAAAAATTGAAAAAAGTTAGGCTAACTCATCAAAATCTAGGCCCAAAAATCTTTTTTTTACAATTCTTTTTTTTTCCTGCATTTTTTCTTACTATGCACTCCTTTTCATTTCTTTTTAATATACTTCTACAGTACCCTGGAGGTCACAAAATCGTAGTAAACTTATCACTCTTTTGACGTTCACCCGCTGATTTCTGTTCAAAATAAATCTACAGTATCTATATATCTTTCAAATCACTCGTTTTCCACTTAATTTGGGGTATCAGGCGAAAATTATTTTTACAATTCGCCTGTTTTTGTCCCTCGCGGAGAATACTGTAGGTGCGGTCAAAATAAGAAGGAGCGCCACTCGTTTTATTGCTTCTCGACGGGTTCTCATCGCCTTCACATTTATTTTCATTTTTGTTTTTCAATTTTTTTGTGTTGGGAGAGAAAAATGGCTACTGTAACAATAAGAAATCACTTTGAGTTTGGAAAACTTCTGATTGGCTGAACCTAAAAGGGTTCTGAAAATTCTTGTAGAAGACTACCGCGATTTCTAAAGGTTCTAAAGGTTCTGATCAGATTCAAAATTAGATGTCTGAAGTTCTAAACTGAACACAATCTTTTAATTCCTAAATCCCTTTTCCTCCTCCCAGATTTCCTCCCTTTTCATACCCTCACCAATATGTCACCAATAAATTTTGTGTCCAATTAGTTCACACAATGTTTCTGTTTCTATGTTATGTTTTTTCCACGACCACCCATAAAAACTCCCAAAAAACATGTGCGTGTTCGGCTCATCTCTCAGAAGCTGCTCTTCTTTCTTTCCGCGAGCCGCCGCGCGGTTCGCTTTTTTTAGAAGTTGCTCACACATTTTGGAGAGAGGCGTGAGAAATCATTTCGGAATAATGTCATTAATTATTTTTTTTTGTATGGCAAAGAGGTCATAAATTTTTGGAAAATGGTAATTTTTGTGAGCTTTTGAGAGGTGAGAAAGATTACTGTAGTTACAAAGTTTTGAAAAATAATAACATTGCTCAGGATAGAGCTTTTTTCGAAAATTTCAGAACCAGAAGATTGCTCAGGTTATGAAATATAGACTTTTCTGAAAATTTCAGATTCTTGTTTTCTAAACATTTTCAAAAAATCATAGCATTGCTCAGGCTAGAACTTTTTTGAAGATCTCAGGACCAAAAGATAGCTCAGGTAAATGGAAGCAAAGCATTGCTCAGTTTATAGCTTTTAAAAAATTTCAAAATCAAGAGATTGCTCATGTTAAAAATTGTAGATTGCTCTGAAATTTTTTTTTAATTCGTGTTGAAAATCTTCTATGATTTTTTTGTTTCAACAAATTTCAAAGCTTAGATTAGAAAATCTCAGAATTGCTCAGGTTCCCCTCCCGAATATTTAGCGCAAATCGAAAATTGGTGTTTTAGGGCCTTGTGGTTTGGGCTCTGTTTTCGGCCATAAAATCATTCGAGGCAGATGTGTCGGTAAGCAAAAAAGAGACAGGAGAAGGTTAACAATGTTGTGTCAGATTGTCATCTTTATTACTTCTTCTTCTCATTTTGATCGACAACAACATTCGTCTTATTTATTGCGTAATATTTGATACAGTCATCTTATTTGTTTGTCAACCAGAAAGAATCTCAAGAAATTCCAAAAATAAATCAAAATCCGCGATGAGTCACAAACGAAATTCCGCCGATTTTAATTGCAACCCCACACACTTATATATTGACCATCGCGCCTGCGTTCACTCGTCGCCCTTATAGCTCAGTGGTAGAGCGTTGGTCTTGTAAACCAAAGGTCCGTAGTTCAATCCTGCGTGAGGGCATAATTTCATTTTTTTTTTGTAATTTTTATTTTTTCTTGCGTTGCTCATATTTCTCCCTACACACATTTAGACATTTATTCTTCGCGGGACATACATATTTTTCGCTGATAAAAAAGTCGTAAAATTGTTGGAATGAGCCAAGTGTCGGCAAAACATCAAAGGTGCATCAGCAGCTAGATACACATACAACAAGGACGATTGAAAAAAGAAAGAAAAGAAACACAGAGCTCATATCAATTAGAGCACTATTTATCATTGAAGAGCAGCGAAAAATGATGGATTACTTGAGAAAGATATGAGGGTGTACTGTAGATATCAGAGTTGTTATAAGTTCATCATTTTTTATTCTTGAGTTAGGAGTTTCTGACGCTTTTTGAAAATATCAAGAAATGATTTACAGTACCTCCCGAACTCTCTACATTCTTCCAGATTCTTAGAATCAATTATAATGTATCTGAATCTAGAAATTTTCTACAGTACCTTCTGAATTTGCGCTAATCTTTGGTCTTTCCACCTAACCACATTTTTGCCTACCGGAAAACAAAGTGTCATAATCCAATTTGTAAAAAACGAAAAGATAACTCAACCCGAATTGAACTGATAACCAAAATGGAGTCGTTCCTTTCATGTTTTGCCGACTCGCCAAAACTATCATCATAATTTGAATAATCATTCATTTTAATTAATATACACACTACCACTACTAGGTTTTTTTATTTTGAAGTTTTTTTTTGGTGAGTTGCGTGAGTTTTGTAGGCTTTGCAGTTATTCTCGAAATTTTCAGAAATGAATTCTTTAAAGCTGGTTAGATAAGCTAAATCTAGATTTAGGTTTGGAGTACTGTAGGTTGTGGAATTCGGGAATAGAAAAACTTTTGAAAATCAAGGATTCTGAAAAGCTGGTTGAGCTAACTCCAGAATTATAATGTTATGTAGATCATTTTCAAAACTAAAATCTGAAGATTCTGGATTTCTGTTTTGAAGTTCCGTACTACTGTAGATGAGCTAACTTTGTAGTGCTACTATGGAAAATGTTTGAAAAAGCAACATTTTTATGTTTTCCAGCCAAAAAATACATTGAAAATCTGAAATTTTCCAGCTCAAAAAAACCACGATATTCTTCAAAATTTTAGCTTAAATTACAGTTAGAAAACCAGGTTTTCTAGCCAAAAATTGCAGATTATCAGCTCTGAATCGAGCTAAATTTTGAGCTCAAAAAATCCACATTCTTCCCCAATTTTTCGGTTCAAATTACAGTTAGAAAACCAGGTTTTCAGCTCGAGTTTCAGCCCAAATCCATATTCCATTTCTGGAATTTTTCCCCCAAAATTTCAACCATGTTCCCGTACCCAAAACATGTTTAGCTCCCCATTTTCCCCCGATATTTTTATCACAAGTAGGTCAAAAAGCTCATAAATTTCATAACAATAATGATTATAAGTATTATTTGTCCTCCCACTTTTTTTGCCTCTCTACAGTACTCTCTCTCTCTTTTTTCTACCAATTCGTAATCTTGAAATAACATTAACACCGTGTCGTTGTTCTTTCTCTGTGTGTGTATTTTTAATTGCTTTCGAAAAATGAAATGATAAAAGCCAGCCCTTTGGTCGCCACTTTTTTCTAGAAAAAAAAAACTTTAAGAAAAAAGTTTTCGGGGGATTTGTGTTCTTGTTGTTGACAGGTCAAATCGTTTGAAGTTGCATAATCGATCAAACACGTGTTTGTGTGTGTATATTTAAGATTAGATAGAAATGGGATTATCTGATGGATGTGAGCAGCCGCAAAAAGGTGCCGAAATGTATCAACAAACAGGTGTGAACGGGTGCAATTGAGAGCTTTTTGGGAAGATATTTAGGATTAGGTTGGAAAAGTTTGGGCTCTCTGAACTTTTTGAAAATTTGAAAATTTCAGAATCAGGGGGTGTCGCCGTGATCTACTAATTTTGGCGCGCAAATTCTAAAATTCTAAATTTTGTTATCTTGCTCCAAAACCTACTGTCGTTGTTTTTGGCGGGAAAACTTCAAAATTTCAAAAATTGATCTTAGATAGATGAAGATTACAGGCTGGAATTTTTTTCGAACCATTTAGGACCTAGTGAGAAAATTTAGAGTAGAGTCTGAAAATCAAGGCGAATCCGGCACTTTTTTGGCCCAAAAAAGAGAGCGGGCATCGGGAATTGAACCCACCATCTAGAGATTGACAGTAGCCGCCACTGAGCCACAAAATTTTTTGAAGAGCTTGAGATCCTGATTCATTGAAATGCATTTTTTAGAAGCTCAAAATCTGCAATTTCTGAAACCTGTAAATTTTAAAGGTGTCTAAAATCAGAAAGGTTTTGACGTATCTCGAAAATTTTTTAGCCAAAAATCAAGTGATCTCCAGATTCTAAAACTTTTTTCCCCAAATCTTCTCATCCTGTACAGTCAGTACCTCTGACACCAATCAAAAATGATATCATAAACCACCTGCAAGTCCCCCGGAAACCAGCCAAGCCAGCCAGCCAAAAAAAAATAAGATGGAAAAAATACCAGATGTATATGAGGAGAAGGAAAATTATGTTCGAATTTTATAGCCACCACCGCCTCTCTCTTCTTTCTGGAGCTCTTTCATTTCATTTTGTTTTCTTACGGTAACCAACACAAGCAAGCCAGCCAGCCAGGCAACAAATTCGCACACTTCATCGCCCAATTTTATCGTTTCCCAATTTACATATTTTCCCTATGTTGAAGGGAGACTGTAGAATTCATTGATTCAATTTTTTTTCTTTTTCAAAAGTGCTTTACTTCCTTCCTCCACCCTTTTTGACACCATTAAATCATTGTATATAAATGTGTTAAATATGTGCCAGCCCCAACTTCTCTTACACAAGATTTATTGGTGAAAATGCGCGAATAAGAGCTTTTTGTTTGATTTATGATGTTATGTCAAATGGACTTGGGAGTGGGAGAAATGGAGTTCAGGGTGTGGTCGAAAAATTACCTCAGGCTTTTGGATTTTAAATGATCTGGTGTAAATTTAACCAAATTTTTAGATGGGACAATATTTTGATATAAATTCAGGGTCCCACATGTCACTATAATTTCAGATCCCCTAGATTTTTGGATTTCTGATCAACTAGAATTTCCACATTGAATCCTGAGTTTCAGGAAAAATTCTGAAAAAAAAGATCCAGTTTTCAACACGTTTTTCTGTACTCAAAGATGTTCCAGAAAATTCTGATTTCATTTTTGATAATTAGAGTTTTGGAAGAATCAGCCCAGCTCTTCGGAATTTTTTTGTTCCAAAATCTGGCACAATTCTGAAAAAATTTCAAAAATTGAAAATGATCCAATTAATTTTGAATTTTCCCCTTGCTTCCAATTTTTCTACAGTTCATCTTAAAAAAAAGCGTGCTCTCTAGCTCCAAAATGAAAACATTCACACATTCGCCTTTTCTGACAGGTGTTAATTATATGTGACAGGCGATACATCATTTTACCAGCTATACACAAACTTTTGTAGATTTTTTTTGAATATCACCGCCTTCTTTTATTTTTTTTGCTGTGTGATTTTATCTGATCCATGTTTTGTTCTAAGTCGGTTTTTTTTACCGACAAGAGAAAAAGACAACTTTATTATTATTTTTATGAGTTTTTGGTTTGAGATTGACATTGAGTTAACTAAATAACTCCTTGCGCTTGTTTTGTTCGATTACGTAATTTGTGAAGATGTTTTGAATGGTTCTTTTGAACGAAAAATGGGCGGGGAATACAGTAAGCAAAATTTGACAAAACGTTTTTCGCAGTTCATTTTTCTTTTCGAAATTGAATGGGATGAATTTATGAATGACAAGTTAGTTTTGGGAACACTTTAAATTACGGGTTTAATTTTTTCTTTTTGAAATGTGGACAAATCATTTCAGAATTTTCGAAATCCAAATTAAACTGAAAAAAATATTTTGTGGAAGAAACAAGAAAATCGTTTTCCAAAAACAGAATATTAAATTTAAATTTTAAATTTTGTAATTTTCACATCGCTGATCATGATCCCATTTTCTAAAACTCCAAAAATTATTTACTAGTATGAGTTATGGCGTGGCAAATTTTGAGAAACCCAAATTTTACAAGGCTTGTTCAAAAATGATTTTCATGAAAATTTTTTTGATCTTCAGATTCTTAATCCAAAAAAATAGATCATTCAAAAATTTCAGCACTTTTTTCTAAATAAAACTAAAAGCTTTTCGAAAATAATTTTAAAAATTTCAAATTTATATTTCCTGAGTTTATCGAATCCAAATCTTTGAACTTTCATCAAACCTTAGGCAAATTTGAAAACCGGGAAATCATTGAAACCAAAATAAAAAACTAGTCCAAAATTTTTTATAAAAGTATTCCAGCCAAGAAATTTTGGGAGGTTTAAAGTTACGTTAACTTCTTTGATATAATTTTTTAGCTGAAAATTGGCATTGGTAACAATTTGAACTCCAAAAATTTTCATAAAAATAAAAAAATATCTCGGAGTTTTGAGAAGTTCAACAAATTCTTATCTCTTTTTTTGTCTTTTCCATTTTCATTCAATTCATTCCATTTCAACAATTCTTCCTTTTTTTCAAATATAATCTCTAAACTCTCTCAAATCTCCCCACTCTCTCGCCCACACACACTTCATTGGCCCGATTACTGTAGGCGGGCGGCGCTCAAAACTCCGCCCCATTTTCATGTCGACTCCGCTACTTTCTTCTTTCTTTTCTTGTTTGATGACACCATTTTTTATTTTTATTTTTATTTTTATTTTACATTATTATTATTGGGTCGTTTTGGGTGGAAATTTATTTATTTTCTCACGGGCTTTTGGGGCGGGGCTTCTGAAAATTAATCAGTTTTAGTTTCAGACAGGAAGAAGCTGAAAATATTTATCGATTGAAAGAAAAGAGGGGGATGATATCGGTTATGCAGCAAATGATGAACAATAATGCAGCAGCACAAGTTAATTCAGTTCATAAGTTAGTTCAAATCCCAGGTTCCTAAATTCTAGATTCAAAGTTCTATGTATATTTTTCCAGTGCTCAACAACAATCATTTATGAAATCCGTCGATTCTCCACCGATGCATCAACAATCTTCAACATGTTTCTGGCCGCCACCACCGCCATCATCTGCCCAACTTCAAACATCTTCTAACCCATCATCTGGCACGAGTTCATCGAATAATAATAATTTAACAAATACGAGTTCGAATGCGGATGCACAATCAGATAATGGAGGAGGTTCGGAATCAGCGGCAAGTCCGACAATTCCATTAGCAACGAGGTGAGTGAAGGGAGACTTGGGGGAGCCTTTGGGGGGAAAGGTAGACTGAATGGCGTCCGGTAGATTTTTGGAGAAACAATTTTGAATCAAAAATTTTTGAAGTTTTTTTTAGATTATAGAATTTTGTAGAAATGTTAGTTGAAAATGATGCAATAATTTTGAAGGGTAGATCAGAAATTCCAAACTGAAAACTATAAGCTTGAAAATTAAGATTTTTGTGCTAATTAGAATAATCCTGAAGTGTTTCTTGAATTTCATCAGCTAGGGAAAGTTAGAAGTTTCAAAAACAAACTTCGGAAGTGAGGATCAGAAACCCCAAATTTATAAAAAAACATCTGTAAAACCTTCTGACTTCAGTTTTAGCTTCAAAAGTACCTCGGAAATTATTGAATTTATGTGTTGAAATTGAAAAAATCTGGGAATTTGTTAGAAGCCTAGGAAATATAAAATGGAAAATTTTTTGAGATTCAGGAACTTTTTATTTTTTAAACCTTGTTAGGTTTTACATTTTCAGAAACAAAGTTCTGAAGTCAAAAATATTATTTTTGAAATTTAATTCAGTTCTGCTTTAAAACTCCAGGGGAATAGTTCAAGTTCTAATCGAATTTAGTCCAAAAAAATTCAGAAAAATAGATTTTTAGACTGAAATGTTGAGAACAATAAAACGCTAACTGAATTCAAAAAAAATATCCAAAACAAAAATCAGTTTGGAAAAGTAAACATCTAGAAGCTTTTAGTACAAAAATTGACCTGATGTTTGACGCGAAAAAATGCTAGAATGATAAAAACATGACCGTTGATCTGTCTTTTTTCGCAGTTCCGGTATGACAATGCCATCAGCAGCTGGAATGTATCAATTCAACGCAAATCGATTTCCCGGAACAGCGACTAATGGCTTCGAAATGATGGTGAACAATCCAATGTATTCTGATTTCTATCAGAATAGTTTAGCAGCTTCAACTTATACAATGTATGGATATGGTCAACAATATCCATTTCCAGCCAGTTATACAATGCCAAATATTGATAATATAAGTGGTTAGTTTAGTTTTTTGGTTCCCCCAATCAATATTTCACGCTATAAAATAATATGATATGATAATTAGTCCCCTCGATTTACGATTCATTCTATTTTATGACTTTTCGCGGGGGGTCATTCACTAAAGAAAATCGGATTATAATATAATTTTCCCTCTGGTGAAGTAACTCAGTCAGTTTCCCCCAAAAAATATACCACCACAAAAAAAATTGTGTACTGATAGTGATAAAGAAAAAATTTTGGTTGGTTGTGTGTGATTTTTCATACATACATTCAATATCAAAGAGAAATGCCGAAAGGCAAAGGGTACTGTAGGTGACGAAGATAAGGCAGACACCTTACAAACTTTTTTTTTGAATCGAAATTGAATTGGGTACTGTAGATTGATTTATTTATATATTTTTTTGAAAAAATTTGTCTCTGCCATTGAAACAAAAAAAAATGTGTATTATTAATCCGCTCAAAAAAGTCGTAAATTTAGAACTCTACCTACAGTAGTATTTTCCTTTTTTTTTTGTTAAAAAAATTGATTTATTGTTGGAGAAAGATTAGTATAAATTGGAATTAGGTACATCGACACTTTCTTTTTTTTTCTTCCCAAAACAACACCTGGTTACAAATGCACGCATGGTGCTGGTCGTAAAATTGCGTCAAGCAAATAGGAAAAAAAAACAGCTCCGCAGATGGCCAGCAAAATTAACCTTTGAGAAAATTTGGAAACGAGAAAAAACAATTTTGAAAAATATTTACTTCCTCGCTCGTTCATTTTCGGCCGCGACGAGACACACATCTTTCAAAAATCGATGCGCCTTTATATTACACGGTGTTTCGAAATACGTTTCCAGTGTGTTTTGGTGGCTCAAAAGGGGTTTTTCTTCAAAACCCTTGAAACTCCAGTGTTTCCTGAGACTCCATTCTTTGATTTATTCGAAATTCAGTTGATTTATCCTTTTTCCCCTGTAAAAACATCGAAAACCTCGAGAATCCAAAAAAAAAGAAAAAAAAAAGAAAAGAGGTACCGTAGTTTTTGAAAGGCGCACAGATGAAACACACAGGGTCTCGTCGCGACGAACAAATATTTTTCAAAATTACTTGTTTCCGATTTTTCTTCTTTTTTTTGAAACTTTTTTAAGGATGCAACTTTAAAGACACACAATCCACTAGAAATGAACAAAAAATGAGTTTGCTATTCTTTCATAACACCTTTCAAGTAATCGGAATTCATAAAAATCAAGAAAAAATTTTGAGTCTGGCAAAAGTGAAAAAATAAAATAATTGTATTTGAAATCGCTCAGCCGACGGAAATTTGGAAAGTGTGTGCACACAGTGTGTCGCTAGAGCGCACATGCTGGTTTTGTCGTTTGAAAATAAATGCGGGAAATCTGTTTTTTCCAGTGGCTGATGTGTCTTTAACAAAAAAATATTTTCTGCTTACAATTAGTTCAATATTTTTTACCAGAAAATCGATATTTCTATAGAAATTTTTATGGTTTGGGATTTGAAAACATTTCGAAAAGAACATAGAATACTAATTTGCACTAATTCTTAACACTAATTCCTGCTCCAATTGGATCCAAAAATTGTTCTTCTTAAAATAAGTTGAAAGATGATATGCCGACACCTTCTGGGCACCTCCAAAAAATTTTACGATCCATTTTTATGTTCGAAACAGACGAAGAAGAAAAAAAGAGGAGGAGATAGATACACATCTACAGTAACCAGAAAGGACATTTTTTTTTTGAAAATGCGAAGAAAAAGAAAAAGGAAGGAGCAAGCAAACAAATCGATTTGTCATCAAACAAATAACTAGAATAGAATCGTAAAAATATTTGGGGCCATCGATTTTTTTCCAAAAAAATATGAAAAGAAAAAATAAATAAAATATGAGTTCCTCCCGAAAAAAATAATTCCTACTGTAATCCACCACATGTCCAATTAATTAGCCGTCGGCCTCAATTGAAGTCGGATCGGGGCGAGCGAGTTTTTACGATGCCTTTTCCCTCTAGGCACCTGCTCCAGCCAGCAGCTTTCTATTTAATTGGTTGAGCCTCTTTTGAGACTACGGTAGCGCCACAAAGTCTGCTAGAAAATAATAGAAAACAGAATAAAAATGTTCGAATGTTTCAGATGGAAGTCAATTGGAATGGACATCTTCGAGTCATTCGATGCGCAAAAAAAGGAAGCCGTATACAAAAGCGCAAACTTTGGAGTTAGAGAAAGAATTTTTGTATAATACGTATGTTAGTAAACAAAAACGATGGGAATTGGCGAGATGTTTACAATTATCAGAGAGACAGGTTAAAATATGGTTTCAGGTATGTTTTGGGGGGATCAGAACTGGAAGATTATAGGTTTTTTTGGTCCTAAAATTTAACTTGGAACTTTTCAAAGTAGGGATTTTGAGCTAAAGATATTTCAATTTGAATTTCAGGGCTGATTTTCAGCATTGATTCAATTTTCTAGTCACCTTTTTCAGTTGAAACTTAAATTCGCAAATTAATTTTCAAAGATTTGAAATATTATAAGATCTGGAAGCAATCGCGATTTTTGGACCTAGGAAATCTGTTATCAATTTTCAGCCTGAACCTGGTTTCAAGTTTTTTTTAAAATTTTCCAATCCCCAATTTTTAATAACGAATTTTTGAAACGTATTTTTTTCTGCAAAAAAATGGGAACATTTTTCCAGACTTTTACAACTTCTAACTATAATTCCAGTTTGCTTTGGAAAAATTGAATATATTTTTAGAAAAATTTAAAAAATAATTAGAAAGTTTCGAAAAAATTCCGGAGTTTTTTTTTGGATGATTGAAAGTTATCCTAACTTTTTTTCTAACTTCTAAAAATTATCTTCAAAAATTGCATCAAGCTAAAAATCCAACCAAAGCCCAAATAGGCCCAATCTGAAGCCTGAACTCAGCCAAAATATCCCTTTTTCAGAACCGCCGAATGAAAGACAAAAAACAAAAGCAGCGAACATCTGGAGATGGAACTGGACTCATTATGACACCGTGTCTAGATTAGAATTCGAATTGAATTTTTAAAAATCATAATTCACAAAATCCATTCCTTTCATCGTATTTTCCATAGTTTCTTCATATTTTCTCCTGTTGTACAATTAATTGCTCACTCACTAATTAATTAATTAATTAATTAATTAATTAATTAATTACCCAACCAAATTAAGAAGAGTCTTCTACAGGGTTTATCATAGAATGAAACAACAGCCCTTTTTACCCTCTCCCCCTTGAAAAATGTTTTTGATCGCATTTAATAATAATTTGTCATACCGGTAATTTTATTGAAATTTACACAAGTTTCAACATATTCTGAAAAATTTTTGCCAACGTTTTTATTTTTTTTTTAATAATTATAATTATGTAACAAGAATTGTTATGATTTGTTTTTGAACCCGAAACAAAATGAATGAATTTTTTATTTCTACATTTACTTTAGGGTATTTACAATTTGCTATTTGTCATTGGCTTCAAATATTTTTCAACGTGTGGAAGACCTTTTTGATTGAGAGGGCTCATTTGAGCCCATTTGATGAGGTTTTCGTAAACATGACCATCACGGCGGCCGAGAACCTGAAATATTTTTTTTTGTGGATTGGTCAGGCGGGCCTAAACATTATAGGCTCAAAATTTCAAGGCCAAATCGCGGCTTATTTAGGCTTGTTTCAAATTTCGGCCCATTAGGCTTTCATATGCTTTTTAGGGGTAAGTTCAACCCAAATTTCACACAAAAAGTTCTGAAATTAATTTCAGGCTTATCTAGACTGAGGGAGACCAAAAATTTGTTCAACCGCTTCTATAGAACTTACAGATCTCAATTCACGATCACAAATATCAAAAGAATCCACAATGGAAACAGCATTTGGTCGAAGTCTTCTCATTGCTTCATAAATCCGATGTCTCAAATCATAAACTCCTTCAGAGCTCAGATATCCATCCAAACTAAGATCCAAAGCCATTTCCGATAATTCATAACACAAGTATAATTCCAAAAGATCATCAAAAACTTTGCGAATTTCTGGCTCCTTTACTTGCTGACATCTCTCAACAAAACCATTTGCGATGAAAAGTTTGGTGTGGGCTCTCGCAGCTTTTGCCATATCAACAGAGCACGAGGTGAATGCAACATCTTTGTTGATTCCGGAAGTTTCGAGGGATTTCATTTGACGATAAGCGTGATGAACTCTTTGTCGAGCAATGTGTTCGAAGTGGCAAATGAGTTCGTTGTCTGAAATATGGCCAGATTTGGGTTTGAAAATTAATTTAGGCTTCAAAATGCCTAATTTTGCACCCGAAGTCTTCGAAACCAGCCTAGTTTTGGGCCCAAAAAGCCTAGTTTTGGACCCGAAGTCGGCTTTATTTTGAACAGCCTATTTTTGTACTGAAAAACCTTAGTTTTGGGCTTCCAAACCAGCCTTTTTGACCCAAAAAGCATAAAAAAGCCTATAAACTCATGATGACCGGCTCAAAATCAATCTACATTTGATCAGCCTAATTTTAGGCCAAATTTCTTCTAGACCTGCCTAACTTCGAACCGGAAATCTCTTGGAAAATCAGCCTAGTCTTGCCCTCAAAAAGCCTAGTTTTGGACTTCCAAACTAGCCTAATTTTAGACCCAAAGTCTTCCAAACCAACCTTTCGAGCTCTTCTCATTTTTCAAATATTGCATCAAAACTCCAAGTTCTTCCGAAGATCCATCAATTTTTGCCATAGCTTTCATTAGATATTTTGCGAGTTGCAAAAGCATCACAATATTTTCACCTTCATAAGTGCAAGCAGCAATTGCGCTGGCTAAAAAAATCGCATTATTTTCTCTACATATTTCCACCTCACAAAAAAAACTAACTGAAAAGTGTTGGCATATAACTAGCATCCGAATATCCGTGTCCACCACAAGCTTGTCTTGCTTGATCAATTGATTGACTCGATTGATTTGTCACAACCGCTTTCAAACCACAGGATAAATTATGGAGGTCAGCTAGAAGTTCGGAATTTCCATGAGCTAGACCTTTGAAACAATTTTCAGTCATGCTACGAACTGTTTCAGCGGCAGTTATGAATGCGATACATCGTGCTAATCCCGGGAGCAATCGATATTGTTGAGTTTGATAATCAATGATTTGAACTTCAGGTTGTCCAGCTTGAATTTCGCCTTGTCGACGAACAGCTGAATATCGAATTGCTATAATTAAAGCCATCGCAAGATATTGTGATTGATGATAAATCATTTCAGATCTCATATAAAGCATGGTTGTATAACCAACTTTTGGGTGAGATGGAGCTGTATAAACACCATTTTTTGATACTTTACTATGCTTCATTAACATATTTCGACGTGGAATTCGATAGTTATCAAAACCAAGGAATCCATTATCCACACAATTAATCCCCATTTTTGTTCCGATGTCACCAACACGAACTCCAGGAATCGGAAGATATGTTTGAGTATTTCGAATTGGCATGAAAAATGGGTGAGGTCCATAATTCTTATTATCGATTATCAAATTGGCGACAAGAATCACATGAGTACAACAACTTCCAAGACCGCCTGGCCACCATTTGTTGGCGGTTGTTGTTGGTGTGTGGATTATGAATTGATCTGTTGATGGATCGAATGTTGCCGTGGTTTCGATGGCCGACAAATTTGTTCCTGGAAAAAATAAACACGTGGATTTTGTTGCCTCCTGAAAATACCACGTGGTTTTCTAGCATTTTGAAAACTTCACGTAGATATTATAGCTTCTTGAAAATCCCACGTTAATTTTCTGGGCTCCTGAAAATGACACGTGGATTTTCTAGCTTCTGAGATACTGTATTTTCGACAAAATACTGTAGAAACCAAAGAGTTATGTGAGGATCAAGATGAGCTTTGGGTTACTGTAGTTTTGAGCTACCAATTTTTGGAACCCCTGGGTTACTGTAAATTTCTAGAATCCAAAAATGATTCAGAAAAAGTACCTGTATTTTTGATCTTCGAAATTTTTCAGAATCTCAGAATAAGAATCCTGGGTTACTGTGGATTCCCAGAATCGAAAAAGGTCCTCCGGATTACTGTAATTTTGATCTACGCCTAAAATTAGCAGGACATCTATAAACGTGTCAATTTATAACTTTTTTTTCTTGCAACACCCATCTTTCTACGTCATAATTCCAAGACAAATTCAACAAATTCGCAACCTTATCAGTTGAAAAATTCGGGCAAAGTTTTCTCTCGTGTTTCAAAAGTTTCAAGAGCTGATAAATTTTCCATGACACAAAAAAAAACTCACCATGTCCAAGTTCAGTTTGAGCATAAGTTCCAATAATCTTCCCCTGAATCGCATCCATCAACCACAATTCAATTTGCTCTTCATCCGCTTGATTTTGAATGGTTGGAACAAACATCAAACTATGAATAGCTAAGGGAAACCCTTCGATTCCAATAACATCACGGAGTACTGTGATCATTTCAAAGTTACTTGTAACATCAGCAATTTCGGGAAGAATTTCCATCATATTTTTGGTTAATTTACTAACATCTTCAATTCTTTCAATTCGAGTTCGATGAGCTGATGGAATTACTTCGAAAAGATGTCCTCGTTTTGTGATTTCATCTCGAAGTTCACGAACGCGCGCCAGTTTTTCTGGTCCACCTCGGAGTTCTGAAGCCATCAAATCTGTGTCGAAAGTTCTAAATAAAATGTTGGATATTAATTCGAGAAACTAGAAGTTTATAGAACTTACGATTTGAATCGTTCATTTGTCAAATCTTGATTATCTCCATCACGAATTAATTTATTCAATGGCATTTTTGTCGAGAGCAAGAGAGCACTTTTTGCTTCACAACGAAAAATGAATAAATCATATTCTTATCACCTTTTTGTAGCGAGGAAAACCCGGAGTTGTTCTTCTTTATCTTTTGATGTTTGAGTGAATGAACAGGAATGAAATGAACAATTCAATGTTGCCAACAAGTTTGTAGTCGGAGAAACACAGTTTGCAAAAAAAAGTTGCAAATTTGAAGAGAAACAGAGAAAAACACAAAAATTTTTCGCGCTGCAATACTAGTCAAAAATTTATTCATTTTCCATATTTTTTAAAACTTTTTCTTACGGTTTTTCTTCTCGAATTCCGTATTTGTGATCTATTTTTAGGCGCGACAAGCAGAAAAAGTGAAAATCGGCAAATATTATGGGTGGAATTGTGGAGCTTCGTAGTTCAGTCTTTCCTCTGAATCTGAAAAATATCAATATGCTTGTGCTTTACTGATATTTCTAATACCATTTCAATTTTTGAAAAAAAAATTACTGTAGATCTATTTTGATTCATAACTGCCTTCAAAAACATCACCATGTTTATTTCATTGTTTTTTCAACATCATATTTTTAATTTTCTGTATTTTTCCCACGCCAAATATGTCTCTATCTTTCTACAGCACAACAAAAACTTTTTGCTAGCATTTTCCTTTTTTGTGCGTCAAATAAAATGCGTTGTGTGCAGTGCAATGTGCAAACACCGTCCAAGCCGATAGCCACGTTTGCATAGCATTTTTAGTGTTTTTGTTGCTCAAAAAGCAATTTTCAACGATGTTTGTATTTCAGAATGTCGTTCTATTCACAAAGTGGATCACAAGCTGCAGGTACAAGTCATAGACGAACTTGGGATGAGGTAATTTTGACTGTAAAATTGAAAAAAAAACGTATGAATTTCCTATTTTCAGAAAGAATATTCATTAAAAGCGCATCAACGAGCTCTCGATGAGAAAGAAGCTGAAGATATTCGAACCGGCAAGAAAAAACCGGATTTGCCGAAAGTTAAGAGAGAAATGCTTCAAGCTAGAGATTATAAAGTTGATTTGGATTCGAAAGTTGGAAAATCAGTTGTAATCACAAAAGCGACACCATCCGCAGAAACTGGTGGATTTTATTGTGATGTTTGTGATTGTACAGTGAAAGATTCGATCAATTTCATTGATCATATTAATGGTAAAAACCATCAGCGAAATATGGGAATGTCGATGAAAACAAAGAAAAGCACATTAGATGATGTTAAAGATCGATTCAGATTGTTAAAAGAGAAAAGTTAGTTTCTTCTTATATGAATATCTCAAACTATAATCTATTTACCTTCAGAAGAACGTGAGAAACGTGAACAACAAGTCGAACAACTTCTTGAAGATGTGCAAGAAGAAGAATCTCGAATGGCTGATTATAAAAAAGAGAAGAAAACTGTAGAAATCAATCGCAAACGGAAACGAGAACCTAAAAAAGAAGAACCTGAAGAAGAGGAAGAAGATGATGGATTGGATCCTGAAATGCGAGCAATGATGGGTTTCAGTGGATTTTCGACTAGTAAACGATAATACTTTTTAATATTGAATATAATATAATAAAAATCAGGATCTCTTTTTTTCTTTTTTGGCTGTTGTTTTTTAACCTATCAATCAGTTAATCGAACTGTATTATATTTAATTTCCCTGAAACTTTTTCGCTAATCAATTTTGTTCAGAATGGAGGTTAAAATTTGCCTGCTGGTAGCCGTTTTTGGCATCTTCAGCATTTCGGCTCAAGTCCAAACGATCGAAGAGAAAGTGCAAGGATTGGCCGATTTGACAGCAAGATCTCCAATCGTCAAATTCAATCTGGACAAATGGAAGACTTATGTAAGATCTCAACCAAGAAATTATTCGATGGTTGTGATGTTCACCGCATTGTCGTCAAGTGTCAATTGTCCAATTTGCAGGTGTGTTGAATTTTTTATTTCCTAAATACGACGAATATTTTTTAGACCAGCTTACGAGGAATTCTTGATCGCTGCCAACTCCCATCGTTATACCAGCTCAGAATCCGACAAGAAAAAGGTGTATTTCGGAATTGTTGACTACGAAGATGCTCCACAAATTTTCCAACAAATGAATCTCAATACCGCTCCAATTCTCTACCATTTTGGAGCTAAATTGGGAGCCAAAAAGAAGCCGGAACAAATGGATTTCCAAAGACAAGGATTTGATGCTGATGCGATTGGAAAATTTGTCACCGATCAAACCGAAGTTCATGTGAGTTTTTTTTTTGAGAATTCTGTGTTGATAATAATTTATTTTAGATCCGCATCCTACGTCCACCAAATTACACAGCTCCAGTTGTAATTATTCTTCTGGCTGGACTTGTTTTGGGACTTTTGTACTTGAAAAGAAATAGTTTGGATTTCTTGTTCAACAGAACAACTTGGGGAGTTGTTTGTTTGGTGAGTTTAAAAAAATAATATTTTATGATTTATCCTTTTTCTAGGCAATCACATTCATATTCATGTCCGGTCAAATGTGGAATCACATTCGCGGCCCACCATTCATGATCTCCAACCCAAACACAAAAGAAGCCTCATTCATCCATGGCTCAACTCAATTCCAATTAGTTGCTGAAACTTATATCGTTGCTGCTCTTTATTGTGTTATCACAGTCGGATTTATTTGCATCAATGAGGCTGCTGATGTTTCCAACAATGATAAAAACAAGCAAAATAAGTCGAAAGGATTGTTTGCTCAATTCAATTTGCATCCAAACAGTGAGTTTTTCATTTGATGTAGAAGAAAAAAATTATTTATCAATTTTTAGCTCTCGCCATCATTGGACTTGTTGCTATCTGCGTTTTCTTCTCTTTCTTGCTCTCCGTTTTCCGCTCCAAATACCGTGGATATCCATATTCTTTCCTTTTCAGTTAAATATTCCAAATTTATCTGATCCGAGTATGTTTTAGGGGTTTAATAATCAGAAAATCTATTATTATTTTTGATTGGTCCAAAGATGCTTTTTACAAAACTTGTTTTCTCTTCCTAAGAATATTATTTATTTATTTATTGATTGAATGTGATATTTATTCGAAAATAAAGTTTTAATGGAAAATATTTGGGTTTTGTAATTTTTGGCGGTTCTTTCGACCCGCTTTATGATTATTTAAACGTTTTTAAAATTTTTTAAATTTCGAAATTGCGCAGTGGAGCGCATTTGCCACGCTTTTATTTGTTTTCGAAAAATTAAAACTTGAAAAGCTTTCCAATTTATTGGGACTTAGGCTAACTCGATACGTTGGCAACCGAATAAAGCAGCAAGTGCGCTCCAGCGGACAGAAATAATCGATAAATTCAGGGTGAATATGATTTATTCGAAAAGTGACGATGAGGATGAATCGGAGTATCGTTGCGAAATAATTCATAGGCTGAAAGAGGAGAAAAAATATGATGGTAGGACCCAGATTTCTGACTGAAATTCAAAAAAATCATCTGTTTCAGAAGTAGTTGATCATGTTCTGAGTGGATGTGTGAACTGTATAACAGATACATCGAAATTCAAAGGCCAGGAGATGTTGTTTCCAAATGCACCCCCTCCATGGATTGAAATTGAAGAGCAGGAAAAAGAAGATCCAAAAACTTGGAAAAAGTATCAAAAGAAAGCCGAACCTTCTCGAGCTGCAATGACTGCTGAACAAATTGATGAATATCTGGAAAATCTTGAGGGAGGAGATGAGAAAATTGTTTGGGAAATTGTGAAGTTCAAAAGAGTTGATCGAATTGAGGCGTGGAGAATTTTGCGAGGATTTCGAGTGAAGAAAGCGGATCAATCGAAGAAGGAGAAAGAACAGGAAATGAAAGCGGAGAAGAGTAGAAGGGCGGAACAAAGGGAGTTGGAACAACTTAAGAAAGCTGATGAGAAGAGGGAATTGTTGGAGAAGACTGAAACACAGAAAATGCATGAGAAAGAGAAATTGGAAGAAATGAAAGAATTCAACGAGGATGAGGAAGAAGAGGAAGAAATTGAAGTGAAAAAAGAAAAATCAGAAGAAAAACAAGGAGAGAAGAAGAAAGAGAGCACTGTGTTCAATGTAAGAGTTATGAAAAATAGGCCCCCAAAACATCATTTTCAGTCCCAACAAGACCAGCGTCAGAAATTCAAGCCTTGTTTTTAGGTTCGAAAAGATATGCCGTGGTCGCCGAATATGTTTGACATACTTTGCCCGGATCTACGAAGTGTGCTGAACAATGAAGATCAGCGTCGATTATCGGCAATGTGTCAGAATAAAATGAATCGGGGAGAATTTCAGCATGCGGCGAATAAGAGGGAATTTACGGTAAGTTTGGAGAGAATGTTTAATTTATTTTGGTTTTAAAAGAATACTCTCAAGTATCTTTAATTAAAATGAGCAATATTGTATCGAACATTCGTTTAACATGAGCAATGATTTCGAAAAAAACAACATCAAAGCTTAGGAACTCTTTTCCAAAATTATAACCTGAGCAATGCCCTACTTATGAAAATTCTGCAGGTTTTAATGTGAAATATACGTGAAAATTTGCATTTTTGAAAAATTTTGCTCTGAAGATTGGCCTATAGGAAACGTTTAATTTCGGGCTCTAATTTCGGGTTCTGAAGCTGAAAATGTGTAGTTTTTCTTATTCGGGATATTTTTGAGTCATTGGACCCGATTCAAAATTTTCTAAGCCTGCCAAAAATTTCCTAGCTCAACCAGAAACCTGAAATTTTTTGTGGAAAAAACTTGGCCACCTTTAATTTTCGAAAATCCCCACCCAAAATATAACTCACGTTTTTCGAAAGGTCTTCGATCGCAATATTTTGCAAAATTAGAAATGCCCCAAAATGCTTCATGTTTTTTTTTTTGAAAAAAAATTCAGCGTGATCTAGAAAAATTGAGATTATCCAAAAAAAATGTCATATTTCATTCATTTTCAGGATCTCTTCAAATCCGCCTCCGCCGAATATGAAACTCTAGTCGAAGCCGCAAAACAATGGGCCAATTCACAACCAGCTCATCCAATCAATTTTATCGCTTTCCCCAAGTTACTCTCACTGCAAAAATATTTGAATCGATTCAATCTTCGAAAATTGACTGGAAAAGGTTTCGAAATTGGAAATATTTTATTCACAATTGAAACAAATCAGGAAGTTGAGATGACTGTTACATCGGAGAAAAATTCGGAGATTCCAAGTGTTGTTGAAGTTTTGCACGAAGGCATTTCAGATACTTTGATGGTAAGTTTTCCCGGATTACATTGATATAGACATTTAAACAGAAATTGTTTTAAGATCCCTGAAATCACAAAGAGATGTGAACTCGTTCCGGAATTATTCAATATACAACCAAAAGAGAAATTGAGAATCGAACAAGATCCGAATATTCGCGCATATTTCAAATCAAATCCAACAATTAGTGTTGCAATGGATGCGACTACAGTATGCCATTTGATGAAAACAAATTGGGAATCGAAGAATTATGGAATGGCTTGTGAGATTGTTGTTGAAAATATTGATGGGAAAACGTGTGTGTTTTTTGCGAAACCAAAAGTCACGGCTAATGTAAGTTTTTATGGACTGATATATGTTTTTGTACAGTTGTTTACGCTGAGAACCATCCAGGGGCCGAATTCATAAAAGTGGTAGTTTTTCTGCAGAATTCTCTAAAGAGCACAAAAATAAGCCAAAAATCTAGAATTTTCTGAAGATCGCGTTTTTGAGAACCCATTATTAGAGATGATTAGAGATGATTTTATCGAAAAATGAATACATGATCCAAATTTTTTCAAAAAAAAATTTGAGGCTCAGGATTCCACATTTGAAATTTTTGCTTTTGGTAAATCGTCCCTCCTGAACATCTTCCTGTAATCGTTTTTGATAAAATCTTCTCTAACATGAGTTAACGGGATTTTCGGAAAATTTTCGATTTTTTGGCTCATTTTCGTGCTCTTCAGAGAGTCGCCAGCAAAAACTGAAAACAGTATCTTTTTCAGCATGAAAAACTGTACAAAAATATATATGTCTCATTGGAAATATCAAGGTTTATTTGATTTTGAGCACGTTCCGGTCATTTTTAGTTATGAAATTTAAAAAATAATTGATTGAAATTTATCAGTGAAAACTCGAACATGGCCTCAAGGATCTGCCAAAACTTCTAACATCTAATTTTGCAGATAAGCCGAGCGAGTATCCAAAGAAAATACATCAAAACAGTGATTCGAAATCAATTTGTGAACATTTGCGAGAAAAATGCGAAACTTGATGTTCAGCATATTTTGGAGCTGGAAAAACGTGGAGAGCAAAAGTAGGTTTGAAAATTTCTGTTTTAAATTTTTAAGATTTTAAATTTTTTCACTGTTTCAAAAAAAGTTAAATCACAACAAATTTGCCCTGAATTTGTTCAATAATACGATAAATCGAAAATGTTTGAAAAATTTCGGAAATTTAAAATTTGATTTTTTTTTAAATTTTCAACTGTTCCATGGATTTTTGATTCTCCCTCCCCAAATAAAAGTTTTAATTTCAGAGAAGAATTTGAGCGTGTTCATATGTCATCATCTCATCCATCAACAATTTCATCTGCTTCAGCTTCAACTTCTTCTTCCGATCTTCTCGACTCAATTTTTGCGGATGTTAAGAAAATGGATCAACGAAGCTCCAAAGATATCGGAAAACAGAGGAAAATAATTGAAACTGGATATAATTATTCGATTGTCAAATTCGGTTCTGCTGAAATATTAGTTCGATCAAAGCCAGCATTTCAAATCGCTTATTCATATGATTCTGCGCAGAAAAAAGGAATTCAGCAATTATTAGAGAATCGGAAAAATGTAACATTTGAGCCGAGAATTGAATATTTACCAAATGGTGGAGCTATGGAACTTGGACCGGAAGAATGGGTTTGGAATTATATGAAAAAGTTGTTGAAAAAGTCAGATGCTCATGTTTTGTTCAGAACACATTACAAGTAAGTTTGTATATTTTTTTTGGAAAATAAAATTGAAAAATGATTTTTCAGAGGTGATTGTGTTCTTCAACTCGATGCGCTGACAATGGAAAGTAGTAATGTTTCATCGAGACCACAAGGAGCACTTGAATTGTAAGGGTTTTCAGGGGAGGAGGTTCTGGCAAGAAAAATGGCCAGAGATTTTGGGAAAATAAAATTAAAACATGGATTTGAAAACATCAAAAATTCAAAATTTTCTCAACGAAAATAGGGAGAATCAGAAAAAAGCAAGCCTTCTGAAAATGCCACGTGGATTTTTCTAGCCATCTGAAAATTACACGTGGATTTTCTAACGAGCTGAAAATTCCACGTGAATTTTATCTCTTCTGAAAAAATATTCTAAAGTTACAGAACTGAAAATTGATATTTATATTCAAAAACATTCGATATTCAGAATTTTTTTCAAAAAATCAAATTTTAGACAAATTGTTGGATATCCTGAAAACCATTCAAATCAACCCAGAAATAATGTATTTTTGATCTAATTACAGAAAACATTTTGAAAATTTTTAGGTTTAGAGATTTTGTATTTTATTTATTTTATTTTATTTATTCAATACGTTGTGGGACAACGTGACGACAAGTACAATAATAATAATAATACATGAAAAAGAAATAAAAGAAAGACAGGGCTTACGAGTTATAACCCGGGGGTTGAGAATGCGCTGGTATTTATACTGAATCCGGTTAATTATTTGGTGAATCTGAAATTTGTGAAGAGCAAGTGCGATTAGTGAAGAAGTTTTTGCGAATATTTGTTTTTGGGACTTTGTAATGATATCTGATTTTACTACGAGTTTTAGAATCCGCTTCTACGGTGAAGAGTTTACCATAAACCAGATCAATTTTATTTGTATTAAGTTTATGTAAGAATATCTTGTCAATTTTCATTCTACGATTTTCAAGACTCATAAGACCAAACTCAGTATTTCTAGTTTCACTAAATTTGTAATCCTTCTCATCTGATCTAATAAATCTCCCTTTAATTCTAAAAAATAATTTTCTAGTGAAGTTGTTTTGGGCACTTTCTATAATTTGTTTCAATTTTTTCGTAGACGGCGATGTTACTACTGTTCCATATTCTAATAAAGGTCTTACGAAAGTTTTATACAAATTAATCATAAACTTGATATTATTGCTTTCAAAAGTCTTAAAAATTTGATACGTCATATAATTGGCCTTAGAAACAGATTTTTTCCAATGTTCCTCAAAATCCAAAATTTCTTCCAAATTTCGTGGTTTACGTTCTGGTTCTCTGAAAATGTCCAAATTTTTTCAAATTGTATTTTCAATTTCTAAACTTACTTGTCGTATTTTTAATAAGACCACTGGGAAATTTCACACAGTTGAGCAGGTTCAATTTACAGCGTGGCCAGATTATGGTACATCATCTTTTGTGAAATAATTACCCTTAAGGGTATTATTTGAAACGTATTGTGAAATGGCATTTTCAACCCAAATTGCACACGATGTTTTTTCTTGTCATTTCCGAGAGACACAGATTTTTATAAATTAGTTAAAATTCACCATTTTTTCTAGATTATCCAAAAAAACAATGATGATGGAAAAGCTTATCTCAAAAATCGTTGGACTTGACGAAGGCATTTTCTTGGCTTATCAAGAACAACAACAAGATTTGAGAATTGTTCCAAGCAATGATTCAAAAGCTGCAGTTCCCTCGAATTATTTGAATTTAAACAAGGACTGCATCAAATCGGATGATTGTGATACACATTTTTTCAATGGATTTGCACCGTGTATTATGTTGCAATGGCAAATTGTACAAGGAAGAGCACCAAGATTGTTAATGGCTGCTGATTCGGAAATTGTTAAGAAAGTGAGTGGGATGAATTGGAATACAATAATAAATATTGATTGTTTTTCAGCTGCCAAATGATAAATCGCGTGAAAAAATAATGAAAAAACAGCAGAATCAACAGAAGAATAAACGAAAATTCAACAAGAAAATGCAGAATTCGAAAAAACGGCGACTAGGTAAATTTTTTTTGGGGGGTTAAACATATTTCAATGTTTTCAAACTAGACTATAGTTTGGTTAGTTTTCGATAGAATTTTAATAATAATTTTGCTGGCGCCAAAAGCCGTATTTTTCAAAATCTAAAGCAAAATTCTAAATTTATGTCGCCAAAAAGTATATTCTTCAAAATTCAATAAAATTTCCCAGATTTATAGTCAAACTAGAGTCCGGTTTCGAGAATTTTTCAAATGTTTGTCAAACTAGACTATAGTTTGGTTATTTTTTTAATCAAAATTTTTGGAGCGAAGTATAAAAATTTTTTTTTACATTAGAAAATCAATTTGCCACGTGGCATAATTTTCAAAAAAACGGCTTTCGGAATTCTAGTAACTACAGTCTAGTTTGACAACACAATTGTCTAACCGCGTTCAAAAATCATATTTTTCAATTTTTCAGATCTTGACGATCCAAATACAAGTTCTGAACAACCACAAGAATATCAGCCAAGAACGAAAAAATGGAAAAGAAAGAAATAAAATAGCATATTTACATTTTTTAATTTTTAAACCGGTTTCTTATTTATTTTTTCTCAAAAATCATAAAAGTAATAAAACAAACCCAAGCATGTGCAATATAAGGATCAAATTCAAAAATTAGGCAAATTCTCATTGCTCACGTTGATTTTGTGCTCCTGCTCCAACTCCAAAACTATGACGACTACTGTATTTAGAAAATCCGCTCCATCGTACACATTTTCTGAGCTCCCGCCATTTTCTGAGACAAAGGTGAAGAAATGGTCACCCTGGCACAAATTTACTCCAGGTGAACACGCAATTATTCTGAGCTAAATGGGAAAACAGGGAAGCAAAGGAAAAAAGATCAGCGTCATTTTTGGTATTATAATTAGTTGGGATTGTCAAAATCTATCAAAAAATGTGCACTGCTTCAAATTTCAGATAAACACTGTTTTGAAAAAAATATAGTTTTTTCTACGTTGTCTTAAGTTTTACCATAGAAAATTTCTGGAATTTCAGACTTCAAAGATTAATGGAAACTCTTCTGGTTTCAGTAAGTTGTAATAAATATTACTGTCAGTTAATATATATAATTTTTTAGAATAATGCTATGGAAATCGATGCTCTCAATCGAGCTATAATATATATACTTCGGCAAACGTAAGACAACTTTTATAATTAATTTCTAGCCTAATTTAAAATAAGTTTGATTTCTCAATACAACTCATAAACTTGATATTTTTCGAATTTAGAAGAGATTGTATGCGCAGACCTATCCGAATATCAGTTTACGATATATTATTGCATGGAATTGGAGATATTCATATTGTTTTGACGAATTCTCAAGGTAAGCATAAACTACTCTTTTTCTGAGTTTTAATAAGTTTTTTTTGCAGTGCGCGGGAATCTTGACGAACGTCTTCGCACACCAGTTGTAACTCATGTATGTTTCTTTTTTCCACATTTTTTTCGAGTCTCGAATCAAGATTATTTAGAACTCTTCATGGAACTCGCTTTATGTCAAACTCCAAAATCTAACCACTTGTGCCTGTATTCTTGCTGATTCAATTCATTCGGGTATTTTTATTATCATCATTTTTTACATAGATAAAAATTTTACAGACCCTGAAGCGACATCTGCTGAATTGACTGCATCGGATCGAATAAAATTCGCCCAGCGAATAATGTTTTCAAAAATTTCACTCGCGAGAGAATTAATGGATTTTTGTTACTGAAATTGATTATTGATTTTCAAACCGGTTTCTCATTTATTTTGCTCAAAATGTAAAATAATAAAAGTACTAAAATAAATCCAAGTATGTGCAATATAAGTCTGAAATGTCGAAAAAAAGCATTTCCAGTTCCACTTCTTGATCTTTCGCCTTCTGGCTGATTTTGTGCTCCAGCTCCAACTCCAAAACGATGACGACTACTGTATTTAGAAAATCCGCTCCATCGTACACATTTTTTGAGTCCCGCCATTTTCTGAGCGAACGTGAAGAAATGGTCACCGTGGCACAAATTCACTCCAGGTGAACACGCAATTACTCTGAGCTAAATGGGAAAACAGGGAAGCAAAGGAAAAAAGGTCAGAGCGTCATTTTTGGTATTATAATTAGTTGGGATTGCCAACATCTATCAAAAAATGTGCCCGTGAATTCTCAATTTATTTTCCTTTATCTGGAGTTTGTAAAATTAAACATCGAATATCTTTACAGATTAAAATTCAATGGAAACTCCTCTGATTTCCGTAAGTTGAAATAATAATAATATTGATTAATTGCAAAAAAATTCATATTTTTAATAATAATAATAATATTATATTTTAGGATAATGCTAAAGAAATCGATGCTCTTAATAGCGCTGTAATAGGTCTGATTCGGCAAACGTAAGATAATTTGTATCATTAATTTTTACCAAGTTATACAACTCATTAAACCTTTTACCAATTTAGATATGGTTATATGACCAGATCTGACCGACTATTAGTTTACGATATCTTATTGAATGGAATTCGAGATATTCATTTTGTTTTGACGAATTTTCAAGGTAAGGATAAACTTCTCTTTTTCTGAGTTTTAAGAAATGTTTTTTTAGTGCGCGGGAATCTTGACGAACGTCTTCACACACCAGATGTAACTCAGGTATGTTTCTTTTTTCGAGTCTCGAATCAAGAGTTCATACATAATTATTTAGAACTCTTCATGGCGTCCGTTTTTTCGCAGACTCCAAAATCTAGCCACTTGTGCCTGTATTCTTGCTGATTCAGTTCATTCGGGTATTTTTATTATCATCATTTTTTATGGGCCCATGCAGAATAATATTTTGTAATAAAAACAGTTTTTTCTGCATAGGAAAAATATGTTTTTTTTTATTACAAAATATTATTCTGCATAGGCCCATTACAGTCTTTTACATAGATCAGAATTTTACAGACCCGGAAGAGGAATCTGTTGAATTGACTGCATTGTATCGAGTAAAATTCGTCCTGCGTTTAATGCTTTCAAAAGTTTCACTCGTGAGAGAATTATTGGATTTTTGTTATGATTTTTAACTTGCAAAATCAACTTTCTGAATTTCTAAACCGATTTCTCATTTATTTTTCTCGAAAAATCAATAATAAAAGTAATAAAAAACAAACCCAAGTGCGTGCAATATAAGTCTCAAATTCAAAAATTATGCGAATTCTCATTGCTCATGTTCTTTGGAAGCATTTCCAGTTCCACTTCTCGATCTTTCACCTTCTGGCTGATTTTGTGCTCCAGCTCCGCCACCAAAACGATGACGACTACTGTATTTTCTAGTGAGTGTTCTGATATGCGTGTAGGATGGTGTGGTTTTGAATTTCTTCAAGCACACAAAACTTGTTGTGATGATGTTTCCAGCCGCAATTATGCCGAGGAGCACTGCGAGAGCCCAAACCTGGAAATTTCAGATTTTTTTTGAAAATACTGAAAATGTTTTGAAAAACTTCCTAGCTATTCCTAAGGTCACAAAAATTGTTAATTTTTTCACTTAAGACTTACATGTTCCAAATGACTCTGAAACTTTGAAATATAAAATTTTTCCGCGAGCTTTCCGCGCGGGTTACTATGACGTGGATTTTTTTCAACAAAAAAACCCCACAAACCTGCCACAATCCTTCGCATTTTTCCTCCGAAATCCAGCCGAATAATTTGAAAGATAGCACAAGTTGGAAAATCTAAAAATGAGAAAAAAAATGATTTTTTTCAAAAATTTTCCAAAAACTCACATATCCACTCATCAAAAATGGAAGAAGGAAGGTGAGTCCTTTGAATTGCCACGATGTGAAACCTTCAACTGTGATGTCCATTTGATGGCCTTGGCCGAGGGCATGAAGACGGCGAAGGCAGCCAGATTGGTATTGATTCTGAAAGAATTGAGCTGGAAATTATTATTGGGGAAACGGGAGGGGCTTGAAAATTAGGCTGGAAATGTGAAAAATTATTTTTCATTTTTTAAACTTAGCCTTAGGCTAAACCATTACCTTAGGCTTAGACAAACCTTTGACTTAGGCTAAATCACAGGCTTCAGGAGATTAATTTTTATAAACTATGTATACTTTCGACAGAAAAATCAAAGAAAATATAATTTTCAACATTTTCAGAATTTAAATTTTGTTGTTCATAAAGTTTCCAGAATTTTTTTCAAGCTGAAAAATCCCAATTTAATTATGATTCGAAAGTTAATTCAGATTCTCATTTTCAGCCATAAAAATATTCTAGTTAAAGAAATCTGAAATTTGAAGTCACTTTGAATTTGTGATTTCTAGGTTACAGAAAAGAATATCAAAAATTCCAAAATAAAAAATCTCTTATGAAAATTTTGAAACGCATTTTTCCGGTGATTTTGTTTGGCACTTTTCGAGCTAAAGAAATTCCAGGGTTACTGTAATTTCTAGATGTTTTAGTGATAAAGAACTCAGGCTCATTTTCAGCCATAAAAATGAGCTGGCTGAAGAAATTTTGGGTTACTGTAGATTTTTGAGGAAAGAGTGAATAAGTTATCAAAAATTCCAAAATAAAAAATCTCTTATGAAAAATTTGAAACGCATTTTTCCGGTGCTTTTCTTTGACACTTTTCGAGCTAAAGAAATTCCAGGGTTACTGTAATTTCTAGATTTTTATTAACAAAGAATTCAGGCTCAAAAGTTCCCAGAGCTAGATTTTTGAAGAGACTTTGAAATTCAGATTCTCATTTTCAGCTATGAAAATATTCTAGCTAAAGTTTTTACTAGTTTTGTTAAATATAACCTTTTTAATTTAAAAAATTAGTTTTTTTTTCAAATTTCCCCAATTTTCCGATTCAAATAATCAAACCTGTGCCAATTGAACCAAACTGATATAAACCACAAAACACATGAACAATGGTCGAAATTCTTGATAACATTGTCCATCTTTCCACGTCAAAACCATTCCAGGAACAGCGCATGATAAATAATGATGGGTTAACCACCATCCTTTGATTTTCGACCCATTTACACGTAAAACCGACTCGCGAATTGTTAATGTACAATAATACCAGACCATCAGAAAACACAGAATCGAATCCAACACTCGAAATGGCCATAAATATGAGATTGATGTCAAAACTGTGATGAGAATTGTGATTCGCCATTTGAATTCTTCATATTCTTGTTTGTATTTGAATCTTTCGGATTTTGTCAGAAGTGATACATTCAAATTTGAACCTGGAATAAACAATAGGTTTTTGATTAAAATTTCGGACTTGCAATCTAGATTTCTCTGAGGAAATATATATTTTCTAGTAGTTTTCAACCCGCTGATCACGATTCTGTTGAAAACACTGCAAATCTGAACTCCTAATATGAGTTATGACGTGGCAAAGTTGGAAAATTGGGATTTTAGGAGGTTATAACTATTTATGGGTCTATGCAGAAAAACGTCGAAAAATTTTATTTTTTTTTGATTATAGACAACGTGAAATTGAGAGTGTACAGACAGAAAATTAGTTTTTTGCATTTTTGTTCGAAAAATCAACCACTTTGTCTGCCCTCTCTCAATTTCACGTTGTCTGTACTCAAAAATAATACACTGTATTTTTTTCTGATTTTTTTAAAATTACAAAATATAACTTTGCCACGTCATAATTCATATTAGGAGTTGAGATTTTTAGTTTTTTTCAACGGAATAGAGTCGAAAACTACTAGAAAACATATATTCCCATTGCGAGTTTGAAAATCTGACCAAGAATTAAATTCAAATAAAATCCATTATTCTGCGCAGGTAATTCAGCTTCCATATCTCTCAATTTGAAATTCGAAACTTCAACTTCTTGCCGGATTTTGTCGATTTTCTCAATCTCTTCCTGACTCAAATCCGACTTATTTTGCGTTCTAAAATTTCGATTTTTTTGAAGAAATATTCGAGAAGAGTTCTCACTTTTTAATCGAATCTCGAAAATTTTTCATAAGATAGCTGTGATGTTTGAGTGCTTTTTGAGCATTTCCTTGAATCGATGTCATTTGTCGCATTTTTTGCACATATTCATCGTGGATTTTCTGGAAGAAATCATAGTCGCAACATTCCTTCAATCCAAATTATTTTCTTTTTAAATTTTTGAAACCTATTTTTCACCTGTTAGGGTAATTTGGGAAATGAACGAAATTAGACAAAAATTTTATTTTAGGAATTTCCTGATTGTGAATCAAATTTCTTAGCTAAAAAATTGTAAAAAAAATTTTGCCACGTGACATTTTGTTCAAAGTGGAATTTTTGGTGCCAAAATTTTGTGAAAAATGTTTTGGCAATTCCCGAATCAAATTTTTTCTTTTTCAAAATTCAGGTAAAAAATAATGTTCAGAAAATGCTGAAAATCAAAAAATCAGGAATCAGGAAATGTTAAAAACAACACAACAATTCAAAATATTTTTCCTGAACCAATTTTTTTGTAAAAAAATGATTTGAATTTTCCCTAAACTTCCGAATTTTAAATTTTGCTTACCTCAATTTTCTGAAAATCCTCTGTAATCGTTTTCCATTCATTTTCCACCTGTTCGCCACTCATCTGAAAATTCTCTCATTCTGCGAAAAAATTTTCCTAGAACTTCTCTATAAATATCTTCAAAATCGTTGAAAACGAGCAAAAAAATCCACAAAAATTAGGGGAGAAAACTGAAAATTTCATACACGTTTGGACAAAAAAAATCGATTAGTTACATAGATAAATTGATAAAATTATGCAATTTCAGCGAAAAAAAAGACGGTTAGTTATTAATTTGATTATTTTGAGATGCAAAATTGGAGATTTTTGAGCATGGAATTTTGATTTTTAAATAGCAGTTTCTCGTTCGAATTTTGGAATTGTGTTGATTGTTGCGGCTATACTTTTAACATCAGCTCCAGATCTAACAGATCTTGAATCAAGCCCGAATTCTAGCGATTTTCGACCAGAAATCAGTCGATGTTCATCGAATTCCTCGTCGTTCTGATTGTGAGAAAAAATATCATTTAAAAAATATGACTTGTGCTAACTTACCATATATTGTTCCCTAGTCCCAGTCATAATCTCAACTTCTGGCGGTAAAAGAAGTCGTCTCGCTTCCGGAATTTGTAGTGGGAATTTTTCAGCGCGATGAATTGCCAATGCCGGTCCCCACGCATCATCCGGATATAATACCTTCCACCATTTCTGGGTCAAATTTCCTTTTGCCGAAATATATTGGAAAATTGCGAAGATTGGGATGAGCAATAGGGGGAAGGCTCCGATGCACCAGCCAGTTACAATTGATAGGTATGGGAATTCATAGTCTCCGTATTTTAGGGTTTTCCAATCGAGCAAAAGGAAACAAAGGATTGACTGAAAAATGAGAAATTAGAAAATGTCAAGGAGCCGCGCCTAGAGATCCAAGCTGTTAAGTAGCCGCGCCTTGAGAGCATCTATGGCAAGTATCTGCTCCTAAAGAGCCTAGTTTTCAAGCAGCCGAGCCTAGAGAACTTAGTTCTCAAGTAGCCGCGTCTAGAGATTCACTCTGGCATGCAGCCGACCCTTGAGAGCTTCTATGATAAGTAACTGAGCCTACAGAGCCTAGTTTTCAAGTAGCCGAGCCTAGAAAACTTAGTTGTTAAGCAGCCGCGCCTAGAGATCCTGGTTTTCAAGTGTCTGCGCCTGAAGAATCTAATTGTCTAGGCTTCACATCTAGACATCTACTCTGACAAGGAGCCGCGCTTAGAGAGCCTAATTTTCAAGTAGCCGACCCTAGAGATTTTATTTCTCAAGCAGCCGAGCCTAGAGAGCCCAGTTTTCAGCCTAGGAAATCATGTCCAAATTAAAAACTCAACAAAATTTCAAGTAATAAAAAAAACACAGAAAAAATATTGAAGATTGAATTGTCTCTTTGATTTTTCTTATCAATCATCTCATTCTTTTCGGGTACATTGAACTGTAGACTACATTCACTTATCATTTCATTTGGATAAATAATTTTTCCGAGAAAAACTCACCAAATAAACAATCGGACAGATGAATTTGAAGAGAATTTTCCAGAAGATATAAAACGGGGGCCAATATCCAACAATCCATTTTGCATTATCCAAAAGGTTATCAACTCCATAAATCTGAAATTGTTCAATTTTTTTTTTGAAAATCAGCCTCTAACTTTACCCAATTAATCGCCATACATTCCAAAAATGCGATAACCACAAGAGGCCAAGTGAGCACAAAATGAGCCATAAGTTCCATCCAATAAAGCCCGCAAGATACACAAAATGGAATGCTGAGAAGGATGAAAATTGTGCAGACAGTTGTTAGAACGTGGCGGCGATTTCGGCGAAGTCGTTCGGGGAATTCATCGCAGAGCGAGGATACGATTGTTTCGACCTGGAAGATTTTTAGATGTTTAGGAGCCTTCAGCTTAAATTTTATCAGCTTTTCTTATTTTAAATATAATGAGAGCTGAAATTTGATTCAAACTTGAATTTCTAGGATATAACCTTAGCAGCTTTTACTTAGCAATTAAATTCTGTTAGAAATTAGGGTCTGAAGTAGTTTAGGGTCTGAGCACAAGAAGTGCAGAAAAGCTTAGACCTTAACTGACAAAATTTAAATTTTGGATATAAACTTAAAATTGAAAAACTTTAACTTTAACATTAACTTTGTAAGCTTTACTTATCAACTGAAAAATCCGAAATTTTTTTTCAATTTTTTTTAGTAATTTAAAAGTAGGTTAGTTTAAGATCTTGTAAATTCTATATTCAATCCGAAAATATTCTAAAAATCCCTCAACTCACCACAAACATTTGAGTTGCATGAACAATCAATAAAATCATGATGAAATAAAAACCAGCATAAAGTGGAGCAACTGGAACACTGGCTAATGCTTCAGCCAAAAACGCGAATACCAAATGGAATCCATCTGCACAATTCATTTAAAGATAAAAAAATCTACATTAATGAAATACCTTTGATAGGAAAGTTGGGAAGTGGAATACTGAATCGAACTGCGACAAATCCTACAGCTGAAAATGTGAGAAGACATCCGATTATAGACACAAAAACATCGACAAATAGAATTAGTGCAATATCTCTGGAAAATATTAATTAATTATTCGAAAATTAATGAAAATCAACTCACTTATACAAATTATTATGAAATCGATTATAACTCGCAATTGTGAAAAGTCCACCAGAACAACAAGAAACTGAATAAAATGCCTGGACAGCAGCCTCTCCCCAAATTCTCAAATCCTTCAAAACCTCCCATTTTGGTTGGAAAATGAATAGAACTGCTTCCAGGCTTCCATCTAATGTGAGAAGTCTTGCAAGGAGTACTGTAGCGAGGATGGGAGGAAGGATTACGGTCACATAGACAACCTGAAAATGATTGGGTTGAGGGAGAGAGACAGAGAAATTAATTGTGAATTATGTAGAGACAGACCTTTCCACTTGACTTAACATTTTGGAATAAACATAGGAAAACTGCGATCCAGCATGCCAAAACACAGAGTCCCAAATACCAATTCAAACCTCCGACGGTCAATATATCATCTGATAACATCAAGACGGTTTTGCTGGAAAAAAAATCTCTTTTTTCTCACACGGAGAGCTGATTATGATAACGCTGTGAAAAATTGTCGAATTCAACTCCATGATAAGTTATGACGTGGCAAACTTCGAACAATTTGAAAATTTGGGATTCTAGGAGATGAAAAAACTTCAAAAATGATTTTTTTCAAGTTCTAATCTGGGTCGAAACACTGTGCTATCAAATTCGTAACAAATCCGATTTTTCAAATTGTCCAAACTTTGCCACGTCATAACTTATGAGGAAGTTAAGTTCGACAATTTTTGACGATAGGATTGTATCCAGCAGGTCGAAAACTATTAGAAAAATGTTTTCAATGAAAAAAAAACCTACTGAAAATACTCAAGTCCGGGAATTTTCGCATCGATATCTTTGACTACGGTATCATTGAATTCTGGTCTCTGAAATAAATGAAAATATAATTGAAATCAACAGAAAATTAGTGACTTATTTACATCAATCAGACATCTTCCATGCTTCAAAGATCCATTATATTTACTGCATTGAAAATACACTTCATTCACACATTCTTCTCCAGTCCATGAATTATTACAATGCGACCATGGAATCTGAACTTTGAATGAATTGATCAAATAAAACAGTGACCACGCCGAAATAATATTGAAAAATATCGCAAATCCTCCGGAGATTGCAACTTGCGCATAACCAATTCCCTTGAATAATGGCACAACTTTCCAAACACTTATAGCTGCTAGCGATGAAAATTGTCCCAAAACTAATTCGATGAAAAACATTGGCATTGCAGCTAATATTAGCATTATTAAATATGGCACAAGGAAGGCGGCACCGCCATTTTTGAAAACTAAAAATGGAAATTTCCAAAAGCTTCCGACTCCGGCTGTGAATCCAATACAAGCTAATAGATAATCGGATTTACTCGACCAATTTCCACGTATCCGATTTTCATCGCCAACTCCATGAGTTTCTTCGAATGGATATTCTATATCACCATCTCTTGAATATTCGGGTAATTTGGCATCCATCTGTGAGAAAAAACACTGAACTGACTGATTTATATTTAAAGAAAAAACGATTTTTTTAGCCAGATCACATTACATATCTCAAATTACTTACCTGATGGATGAAGGGAGGATACAACGAATAATCAACATTTTTATTGTTACTTGTTTGTTGTTGTACTCGTTCTCCAATACTCGAAGAGACTGACATGGCCAATTAGGCCCTGTGAGGTCCAATTATCTGCAAAAAACTCCAAACGTTTTCGATTTTTTCTTGGTTGCATAAAAAAAGAGATGTGAAGTTGTATCTATTACACTTTTCTTTTTGAGATGTGATGGGAGCATTTGGAGGAAAACATGTGTGACGCAATCATTTTTTTGAAAAGAAAAAAAATCAAAATTTTTGAAGAAAGAATAAAAATAGATTTGGATTGGACATTGAAATTCAGGAAATCAATTCAATTATTTGCCTTCGAGATATCTCAACTTAGAAGAAGATTTTGAAAAAATACAACTTTTCTTAGTTAACTATAGCACTTAACTGAAAATATGCGTGGCAATATTAAAAACATGACTCATTTCTTGACAATCAAAAATGGAAATGAAAACGATCGCACACCCGCTCAAACAATGAAAAAATTAGCAAAATGCTGTTCTCATTGGCGTACCAATTTTCGATAACTTAGAGGTCGTTGTATGAAAAACTGAAAATACCATTAGAATCAGCGTCTCAAGATCTACATTAAACTATGTAACTCATATTTTTAGGGGTCCTGCGAAGAAAGTTACGATTTGCGTCGAGACCACGCGGTTAAATAAATACGTGTCCTTTTAATCTGCAACGTAAATCAATGAAATAGTTGGCGTACCAATTTTTGTTAGGAAAACAGGCGTTAGAGAAAAAATAAAAAATATCACGAGATTCAGCGTGTCGAGAACTACATTAAACCATAAGATTCATAATTCCTAGGAGCCCAGGAAGGCCAGCTTTTCGAGACCCAATAAATTAATAAATGTATGTTCCTTTGAACGAACAAAACATTGTGAATTTTCGAGAGACGCAGAGACGCGGTGTTTGCACACATTTCGATTGCGTACTACAGTAGAAAAACAGTCATTTCTCGTTTCAGCGGGGTGTGGATCGCGTTGGAAAAAAAAAAGAAAAAATAAAAAAGTGACCGAGTCGGATCCTAGGTCACGTTTGTTTGTATTTCTCGCGGACAAAATTTTATTTCCGCATTTTTTTCGAAACAAAAACGCTGCTGAAATGCCGTCCCCTTTTTGGTTTATTTTATATCTAGTACCTTCAAAATCAATCTATTATTTCAGAATGTTTCGAAAACCCGCCGAAGACGATGATTACAGTGCAAGAAAAGTGGTGAAAGCCAAACCAATCGCCGAAAAATATGCAAAAAAGCTTGGAACACAATTTGCGACTGGGAAAGAGTTTGTGACAAGCAGTTCGAAGACGCAAACTCAGTTTTATGGAGAAGTTATGAGGAATGAAGAGAAAAGCGAGGTATTGACAGAGGATGAGAAGAACAAAATATCGGCGAAAATTTTGAAGGCAGAATTGAAAGGAGATAGCGAATTGGTGAAAAAACTGAAAAGGAAGTTGGAAGCTGGTGTGAGTTCTGCAGAAGAGCCTCCAACATCGAAATCTAAGGAGGTTATGTTGATGAGAAGAGATCGAGAAGGAAATATTCTTCCTGCTTCTTCGAAAAAATCCGATCGAGATAGACATGGAGAAGTGAGTTGGAAAGACGATTAATCGATTATTCAGCCAACTGTTTATTCCAGGGATCATCTCGAATGCGTCGCGAATATGAAAAATCTCAAGATTTGGATGATATGATCAAAGAAGAAAAAACTGGAACATCAGCCGATCAATTACGACTTTTTGAAAGATCTCTAGTGGTAAGATCTTAGGTTTCCATTCATAGAAACAATTTTTGTTTTAGAAAAGTTCGAAAATTCGTCGACACGATGATGAAAGTGTTGACGATATTGCTGAAATGCAAAAAGGAAGGAAGAAAACTGATGAGAAGGATGAGAGGAAGCGGGAAAAACAAGCTGTTAAAGGTGAGCATTTTTGAGCGGGAAGGCAAGGGTTATGGTTTCAAGATGAGCCTTTAGAGCTTCTATGGCAAGTAGCCGATGTTAGACAGTCATATTGTCAAGTAACAGCGCCTAGAGAACCTAATTGTCTAGGTGAAACATCTAGAGATTAATTCTGGCAAGCTGTCGAGCCTTGAGAGCTTCCATGGCAAGTAGCCGAGCCTAGAAGACCTAGTTGTCAAGTAGCTGAGCCTAGAGAACATAATTATCTAGGACTTGTATCTAGATTTCCGCTATGACAAGGAGCCACGTCTTGAGAGCAACGGTGTCTCGGCACGCTGCCTTAAGAGCTGTTATGTCAAGTAGGCAATCCTATAAGGCCGTGGTGTCTAGAGAGAACGCCTAGAAAGTCCAATTTTCAAGGATCAGTGCCTATAAAGCCTTGTCTTCAAGTGGTTGCTCCTTGAGAGTCTGATTGACAAGGAGCAGCGCCTATGGAGCCTAGTTTTTAACTAGACGCTCCTAGAGAATTCGATTATCAAGGATTAGCGCCTAGAGAGTATAGGATTTTTCAGAATTCGAAACTTTTTACCCCTCAAATATCCCCCATTCAATATAATCTCCTGTCCTGTCCAATTCGAATTATTGTCTGCATCCAATTTTGTTCAAAAGGTGATAACCTTTTTTGTATTGTGTTGCAAAAAAGCGTCTAAACCCCAAAAATTTCGTCGAAAAACGATATCATATATCTTCTCTCTTTCTCCTACAAAAATCGATTCGCTTACGTAGAAGACATGTTTAGGTGTGGATATGATTAATACATCTTCACTTTATCATTTTTTTTGTCAGATATTTTTAGCCAACAATTGTTTCCTTGTTGTAGTAAATTTGGATCAGTTTAAATGTTTTTTGGAAATTAGATTTTATGATTTTGTTTTTGAAAAATAAAATTCTGGGTGAACATTCTCTGGTAGAATTCATATTCCCATCATTTTTATTATGTGTTTTATCAAAGTTAAGTTTAGATTTGATAAAAATAATCCATCATAAATGGAAGCAAAATGCGGCCTTGTCATTGACCAAATTCCTTCTTTTTTTTATCTTTTTAGATGTTGCTATTTGTAATCTTTAAGCTTCCGTGTTGATAGATAAGTCGCTGAGCCTTGAAAACCTTATTGCCTAAGACCCGCGTCTAGAGATTCACTCTGTCAAGCAGCCAATCCTAGAAATTCTAGTTGTGACGTAGTCGAGTCGATTTTTCCATAGTCATTCCAGAAAATGAATAAAATTTAATATGGTTTTTAATTTTCTAGAAAAACATGTTATTACATTAGTAAATAGGAAAAATCACATAACATGTCTTTTTCGTTTTTCGAGATCATTCGATCAAGAAAAGAGTGTAGTTTGATAAGTACAACAAAATTTTGAGAGATTTAGAGAGATGGACTTGGTTATTTCGCATAGACGCTTTCAAAGCGCAGCTCCTTGCCAGGGGAGATCTCTAGACGCGGGTCCTAGACAACTAGGTTTTCTAGGCGCAACTGCTTGACAGCTAGAGTTTCTAAGCCCGGTTACTTGAAATAGAAGCTCTCAATGCGTAGCTTCTTGCCAGAGTAGATCTCTAGACACGGGTCCTAGACAACTAGGTTGTCTAGGCTCGGCTACTTGACACATAAGGCTTTTATGAGTTAGAAATCCTCTCTAATCTCTAATTTTTTGAATTAAAATGTACATAGACTGCAGTTTTCACTTTTGAAAACCACGTCATAACATTTTTATGAATATTGATTTTGCGGATTTCGATCATTTCCTATAATTCAATTTCCCGACCATTATAACCTAGCTTATCTCAATCGAATTTTTTTTTGATAATTCTACAAATTTAGTTCATCTTCCCTTTTTGTGTTTTGATTTGCCCTTCCGTTTTTTATATGAAAAAAATCGTGTCTTTCTTTTTTCAAATCAATTATTTTCATCAGTTGGTCAAATTTCATTTCTGCAAGTCATTTGAAAACATGAAATAACAACAACATGTTTATTGCATATATTCTTTGATCTACTCAAAAACCGACCGAAATATATTTGACCAGAATAAACATCGGATGGTTTTTTGAGGGTTTGAATGGACAAAAAAAGTCGAACCGATCACTGATAATTGATATCGACAAAAAGAAGACACGCGCGGTTCAAAACATTGTTTGAATGATCAAAAATCTGAACTTTTTTGTCAAGTGAAACCTGAAACCAATGCGCGGCGAATCAATACAGACACAAATTTTTTTTGAAGAAACTAGATAATTAACAATAATTCATATTAGTAAAGTGGTCATTTTTTATGCTGTTCGAGTGGCAGAAAAGAGAAAGTTCTTTGAAATATTCTTCCTGGGTCTCTGCAAGATTTTGTTTGCCAAATATAAAATAATTATGATATGATATTGATGTTCATAGCCATGTGACTTGACTGAAAACTAGATAATATTACAATAAATATTGAATGCTTATCATAACTTGTTGGAGGAATCCTTGAAGACTTTCTGTTTCTTCAGGTGAACTTGTGCAAGCATCACATAAACAAAGAAAATGCGCTCTAATGCACTACGATTATTTGCAGACGATCTTTTCTAGAAAACCACCAGCTCTTTGGCACTCTTTCAAATAACATCTTGATCTAAATGATATCACTCCGATCAAGATGTTTGTGTTTGGTAATTTGAATCTGGTTTAGCGATTTTAGAACACACGGTGGATCGTACAATCACAATTCGTAGTTTTTGTCTCAGAATTGTAGCCACTGAATTTTTAACTAATGGAAACTTGAAGTCCTCTTTTGACCAATAATCTATGGATCCTGAACTCCTCTTGAAGAAGAGCGGGAACCGGGATTCGAACTCGCGACCCAGAGATTGACATCTGCCACCAGCTACATTCTCGAAATTGTACCTCGAACAGAGAATTTTAACCCAGTGAACTTTTTATAAGGGAAATTTCTTGAACCGGAAAAGCTTAGCAAATTCTTTGATCAATAATCTATGGATCCTGAACTTGGCTTGGATCGATGGTAAAAAGATTTGTTCTTCAAATTCCCATCCTTCTTGGATCTAATTTGAGCAGAGCGGGCACTAGGATTCGAACTCGCAACCCCGAGATCAACTGCCACTGTCCCACCTCTCCGAAATCTTAAGTTTGTATCTTGAAAAATTGCTTTTTCTTTATCTCCTTCGCCTCCTCGCCTCGTACAGTAATTGTGGAATGTTCGAACCGAAACCCCAGCCCAACCCAAATCAATAGATATTGGAGATAAGATAGAAATACATACAACAAATCGAAAAACACATTAATTTATTCTCTTTTTCTCTTTTCTTTTCTTGCTATTAAAAAAGGAGAAGAACAAAAATGACTAGGGAATTTTTGAACATTGGAAAAATTTGGGGGGAAAAGAGAAATAACCCGCGTATGGCAATAAATATGATGATGAGAAACAAAACTGAGATCATTTGGAGTGGAATGGGAAGATTTGATTATATAATACAGGGGTCCCCATTTGGGGGGAAACTTAACGAGCTGCACGGAAACCGCCTGAGGAATTGAACTCTTTCACTTTTGCTGATAGTTTTTTCATGAGTTTTGACATGTCGAGATTGTTGATTTGAACTGCTTGAGGTTCTGGAAAAAAAAAACTTCAAAAGAGAAAAATCATTTGAAAAACTCACTCTCAGTTTCGTCAACATCAACAATATCTTCTGGCTCACGACAACGAATTTTCTCGTAATAAGTCGCTTTTCTGAATGGTCTCATCAAACTCGGATTGTCTCTTTGTCCCTCGGTCAATAATTCACAGAAACCCTTCTCCTGATAAGCGAAAGGATGGAAAAAGTTGACGGCTTTGCAACGTGGCTTTTCGGCACATTTATGAAGACATTGATCGTGTTCATCGACGGTCATTGTAGCTAACATTGTACCGAAGTATACGTATTCAGGAATTGCGTCAGCATGCATTCCTTGGGGACAGACTAAAATAAAATTGTTGAGTTTTGAAAATTTGAAATCTTTTTTTGGATGAAAATATCGTTCAAATCATCAAAAAAGGTACTCACTTTTCTCATCATAAGTCACATCATAAAATGGAGTTTGTTTCTGTGGATTCAGATGTGCACGAAGATCGCCCCACCATTCAGTTGTGCCCGATGTGCACCCAATAAGCAAAAATAATGAAAAAATCGCAATCATTGTTCAGGAGAAAATGGAAGAATGACGGTTTCTCGCGGGTGTTAAAAACGAGCGGTTGAGATCGGCGGAGACGGCAGACGGTTGAAGGAATTCCGTCGCGCCCCGAATGAAAAAAACACACTCCCCGCCTCTTTTTCTTTGGGGTTTTCGCTTGTGGAGAAGGAGAATGAATGTGTTGTGTTGTGTTGTTTTAGAAAGATGAAATTAAATGAGACAAAAATTCGAAAAAGCCTTTTTTCGTCCCTGGGCCGGCCTGTAAAATTCATTTTTCACAGTCTGATGCCTGAAGTCTCGGAAAAGAGCGCGCACCGGGGGTCGAACAGCCGACCCTGAGATTGCTAGCAGCCACCACTTCCACTGAGCTACCTATCTACCTTGTTGTTGAAATATTTGAAGAATTTTCGAAAAGTATTTCACCTTGTCAATCCAACCATCTACTATAGAAAGATTGAATTCATAGATAGACAACGTTTGAAAGACAAGGAAGAAGGAATGATTTATTTTGTGGTTGGATAATTATAGCAGAACTGCCAAGTAGAACCGAGAAACTTTCCAGATCTGCTGGTTTTCGATTCTTTATGATAGTATCTTTCTCGAAAATTGTTGATGAGTAATTTTTTTTCGCGCGTCTTGATGTCTCGAATTCCTTTCCTATCCGATCTTTGATCACGTCACGAGAAATTTCGGAGAATTTAGAAAAAAAAAAACAAAACAACAACAATCAGTCACATCATAATAATTGATCATCGATCAGAAGAAGTAAGGAATTTGGTAGTAGAGAGAAAAAAAAGAAGGAATTAACCGAATCAAGGCAACAACGCGGTGTTTTGTTATTCTTTTTTCCCTGTCGCTACAATTGATAAGAATGGTGATTAATTCTGGTAGGATAATACATTGAGAGCGAACAAAGATTGAGAGGTGCAAAAAGATTTTCTGAAACTTTGTGCTGGGCTTTTGGATTTGAGGAGTAAATGGTCTGTTTCTGGATAGCTCGGAATTCTCGCAAAATTTTTTCGGCTTTTCGAAATGGTACAGTTTTGGAGACTCAATATTTTCACGTTTCAAAAGTCTGGTGACTAGACTCTAGTCGGATTTTGCACGTCCAATTCAGAATTTTTCCAAATTCATAGTCAGATCCCTCTGTTAAAAATGTTCGTCGATCGGAGTTTTTCCGAATCATGGGTAGGGCCTTTTTTAGTTTCGCAGGCTTCGAAGGCTTCCCTAGACTTAGGCTTTCTCTAGGCCTAGCTTTTCTGTCAGATCTCTATGCTAGGTTAGTAGGCTTTCCTTGGGCGTTTTCTAGTCTAGGCTGCTAGGATTCTTAGGCTTTCCATAGACTTTTGTTTAGGTCTCTAGGCTTTCCGTGTATATTCTGTCAGCTCTCTAGGCTTTCTCTAGGCTTAGACTTTCTCTAAGCCCAGGCTTTTCAGGCTAGGTTCCTCTTTCTCTAGGCTTTCTGTTAGATCTATCATTTTTCAATTTCCAAATCCAATTTTCCAAGTCTACATCGAATATCTATACTATTCCAATTCTCATTCTCACCCTATCTATTCTCCAAAATTTGTTCCAAATTCTCGTCGGCAATTTTCAAACGAAAAGAAGAATTCTCCGGTTTCGTTTCAAACCTTATTCCAAATGCCGCCATGTTATTTTATTTCTCTTTTGCTTTGTGACGTCAGTTCCTCGATCGATCTAAACCATAAAACTGTAACATTCTATTTTTGTCTCACTTGGAAATCTGATCGAAAATCAGAATCGGAATTTTATCATTTCACTTAGACTAACTAACATAAATCTGATAAGATTCGAGAAAACAATTTTAATTTCGAAATTGTTGATCAATTGAACTCGTAGCTTGATCTTTCAGATTCTGATGTTTCTCTGACTGTAATATTATGTTCTAACCTAATTAGGAACCACACCCTGCAATGGAATTGAATGGCTAATTAGATTTTTGTAGTAAACTGTGTTCTCACCGTTTTTTGGGTGCGTTATTTTTCAATAACAAAAGGGCAAACATTTTCGTTGATCAGAGTTTATTGGATTCTTAAAATAGAAAAAGAATATTTTTTTCAGAACACAAACGAATCGAAAAATCGTTCAATGATTGTTCGCGATGTATTGATTCGTCAAAATTATCGAAGCATAATATTATTGCGATTGGAATTAATGTAAGTACTCTGAATTTTCGAGCTAGGGCCATTTTTAGAAAAAAAACCTAGTTAAAAACCTAGTTGTCTAGGACCCGTGTCTAGAAATCTAGTCTGACAAGCAGCCGCGCCTTGAGAGCTCATTTTCCAAGTAGCCGCTCCTAGAGAATTTGATTCTCAAGGATTAGCGCCTCTGGAACCTTGTTCTCTAGTATTCGCTCCTAGACAGTCTAAGTGACAAGTAACCGCTCCTAGATCTTATCAAAACATCCTCATCGCACTTTTTCTGTGTTCTTTCACGTGAAAAAAAATTTCAAATTCGTAAAAAAACGAGAAAAACAAGACACTTGAAATGGAAGGTTTCGTTAAGTACATTTGTTTGTGTCTCTATCTCAATTGACATTTCAATTGAAAAAATGAAAAACCAAAAATTATTTCAAATTTCAAGGACCATACAAATAATTTGTCATTTTTTGATTTTTCCAAACATGGGAATTTCAAGAAGATAAATGGCAATAGAAGTTTGAATTTATGTGTTTTCTTTTTTTTTTTTGCAAATCGAATCCAGTAGTAAACAAACATCTTTTCCTTCTCATTGATCATTGATTCGTTCGAAGAGGTTTTGCATAAATTTGTTATAATGAAAAGAGAGGAAAAGGTAGAAGAAACATGAAAATGAAAATTGGGAATCGAGACAAAATTTTAACAAGGGGTTTGAGATCAGAAAAGTTTTTTTGGATTTTTCGAACTTGAGCTCACAAAATTCAAAAATTACAGAGTTCCGGTAAATACATATAATAAAAAAAAGATTCTGGGAAAATTTTATTAAATTTTTTCTTTGGAATTTTGAATTCAAAGTTTATCTTAAAATTTCAGACATATCTTGAGCTCGTAAAATTCGAAAATTGACCTAAAAAGCCTATGTACAAGCCTAAATCCAGGCCTCAAAAAGAGCCAATATTTGAGCAAAATTTCAGGCTTTAAAGTTTTGGAATCTTCAAAAATTGTTCATGATGAGAGAATTTTTAAATTCATCTCAATATTTCAGACATATCAGACTCGGAAAATTCGAAATAATACAGTAACCCAGATGCCACGTTGCATAAATGGATTTTTCAAAAAAATTCAAAATTTTAAATTGAGGTCGATATTCTTTCTCATTGTCAGAAATAGTTCTCAAATTGAGAAAAAACGTGGCAAATTTAAAATCCTCTCAAAATTTTGCAGACATATTTGGCTGTCGTCGAATGGGATGGTTTGGACGATGAACACGTCATAATTGTGCCAACTCAACATTGCTCCAGCTCAATTCAACTCGATGAAAACATTTGGGATGAGATGAAAATTTGGCGAAAAGGCCTGGTTGCAATGTGGAAGGAACAAGGAAGAGATTGTGTATTTTTCGAAATGTCACGACATGTTGACAGTAATCCACATTTTATTATCGAATGTGTGCCGGTTGATCAAGAAATTGGAGATACTGCCCCGATTTTTTTCAAGGTATGCGTGTTTTTTTTTTAATTTTTTTGGGTGTTCTCTGGGAAATTTAGACTGATTTTTCACCTTCTCACAATAAATTTCTCGGGAATTTCCTCTCTTTTGGAATGTTGTTTCGTTTCATTTTTGATTAGGTTCGATTAAGAAACCAAACAGCGGTTGTTATAAGAACATACAAAGAAAAAAACCGGGTTAAGGAATGTTGTATACGATATTTTTAGTAACTTTTGTCCAATGTTTTTTTTGGTCGATCTGCAATTTTTCTGAACCCATTTTGATCAAACATCGATAATTTTCACTAGAAGAACATCAATCATAACAGCATCAGATGACTCTATTCTATTGAAAACAGCAAAAAAAATCGGCGCGTGATGGAAAAAAGCCGGGTGATGATGGATTTGGTGGAAAAACATGCATGGGAAAGATCGAAAAACATTGGAACCGTTTTTGTATTTGAGAGAAGGGGAGTACTGAAAATAGACGGAATCGGTTCTACTATGATAGGCTGTAATTTTTGGAAACAGGGAATTATCACAAATAGTTTTGTGACCTGGGTTAAATGCGTCAGCAAGTATCTGAGCTCTTAAAAAAGCGTCAGCAAGATTCCAAGCTCCTAGAAAAGCGTCAGCGAATTTCCAATCTCCTTGAAAAGCGTCAGCGAATTTCCAAGCTTCTAGAAAAGCGTCAGTAAGCATCTAAGCTATTAGAAAAGCGTCAGCAAGCATCTGAGCTATTAGAAAAGCGTCAGCGAATCCGCAAGCTCCTAGAAAAGCGTCAGCAAATTCACAAGCTCCTAGAAAAGCGTCAGCAGATTTCCGAGCTCCCACGAATGCGTCAGCAAATTTCCTAAAAATTTTTCCCCGTTTTTTTTGAAGTCAACAGTTTTTTCCTATTACATATTTTTTCTTTCAAAAAACCGCTGAATTTGGGGCGCCGATATGTCTAGTTCGACAAAATCGTTTAATACCCATTTATCATTCCCCCCTCTCTCCTCTTTTCTTCCTTCTTTGCTTTTTTTTCGGTCGATTTTAGTTGAAGAGATTGATTGGAGTAGTGTTTTCGAATGATAATAATAATATTCAGAAAGTGTGTTTGATACGAACAACCAAAATAGAAAAGGAGAAAAAAAGAGAATCACTGAAAATGATAGGAATAAGGAGAAGAAAGATATTTGTGATAGATTTCTCGGTGGTCGAAAATCAGGAGAAAAGTACATGTAACGTACCCGGGGTTTGCACTACTAACTTTGTAAGGGCAGATTTTGTCGAATTCAGAAAAAAATGCTGAATTACGGGGACGAATTTGGCTTTTTTCCCCTTAATTTCAAATTTCGCTCCAGGAAAGCTAGGGTACTGTACCACTTTTCAAGACCCAATAAACAGTGTTCACACTAATTGAGAACTACAGTAGTCTCTTGAGTTTGAAATAAAATTACAGTATTCCAGAGAACTCTTATTTTTCAAAAAAAAATCTCAAAAATTCGATAATTTCAAGTCCAAACATTGGTATTTTTGAGCTAATATGAGCAATATTCAGGAAAAAATTTGAAGTTTCAAAACTTGGCTCCAATAATCTACGTGTCATTTTCAATTTTTCAAAAAATTCAATATTTTTTTTCCAGAATGCGATCAATGAATGTGAAGGTGAATACACTGACAACAAAAAGTTAATCGAAACCAAAGATTTGCGTCGACAAATTCCAAAAGGCTTCAGCTATTTCGCCGTTGATTTTGGACTTTGTAATGGATTTGCTCATGTTATAGAGAATCATGATGAATTTCCGGCGACTTTTGGAACTGTGAGTCTCAGATTTATTTTATCTATATTAATTTGGAAGTTTCTGGAAGTTCTAGCCATTTTACACGGTATTTCACTGTTTTTAAAACATTTTTTAAAATTAGCCTAATTTATTTGATTCAGATTCCAATTTTGATTTTTTCTTCAAAGTTCAAAATGAAAATTTTTCAGGAAATCATTGCTGGAATGTTGGATTTGCCACCGAAGAAATGGAGAAAACGAGAAACTGATGAATTAGCAAAGCAGAAAAGTCGAGCAAACAAAATGAAAGAATTATGGGAACCTTTTGATTGGACAAAGAGAATCAGAGAAAATGAGGATTCATGATTTTATTTTGTTATTGTTTTTTTTTGAAATCACATAAATCAATAAATTATCACAATTTAACTTCAACTCCATTTACAGTCACTGTTTTTCCCTCGTGTCCTTTCATCGAAGTTCGACCGAGAATTGCGAATTTCTGAAGAAAATTCAATTTTGAAGAAAACCAGAGGATTCTTTGCTTACTTCTCTGAACTCGTCTTGTAGATTTACGAGATCTCCGACACTTGGATCATCTAAATAATCCATCAAATTGTGCTCGCTTTCTGATTTTTCGACCTGAAACAAAAAATGGGAGAGTTCAGGAATTTTTAGAACTGGATTCAAAATTCCACGTGGCAAAAATTTTCACAATCCTATTTTTATTTTTTTTTGCCTTTTCCTTGTCTTTCTCTATCTCCTCATATACGATGTTCTCGATGAAAATCGTAAAATTTCCTGATTTCACGAAAAAAACCGAATTCAAAAAGTAAAAACAAGCGAGAGAGTGTTGCTTCTTGAAGAGACGAGAGAGAAGGAGAGAAAATGAGAGATAGAAATGTGTAAGAGAGACGCCAGACAACACGACGGTTTGTGAATTTTGTGCAACCTCAAAACCATTTTTCGTTTTTTCACAAAAAATGCTAAAATCGTTCATACTTAACCAAATTTAAAGATCTTTACTGCAAAAAGTAGCAAATTCTTGAGAATAGAGATGGAGAAAAGAAAAACCTCGAAAACTTTTCACCAAACACCAAAAAAACATGATTTTTGGTTTTTCGCTCATATTTTGCAATCCGATGTTGAATTTTACAATTCTATTTTATATTTCTGTCTTTTCCTTGTCTTTCTCTATCTCCTCATATATGATGTTCTCGATGAAAATCGTAAAATTTCCTGATTTCACGAAAAAAAACAAATTGAAAAATAAAAACTAGCGAGAGAGTGTTGCTTCTAGAAGAGACGAGAGAGAAGGAGAGAAAATGAGAGATAGAAACTCGTAAGAGAGAACGCCAGACAACACGACGGTTTGTGAATTTTTCACAACCTCAAAAACATTTTTCGTTTTTTGAACAAAAATGCTAAAATCGTTTATACTCAACCAAATTTAAAGATCTTTACTGCAAAAAGTAGCAAATTCTTGAGAATAGAGATGGAGAAAAGAAAAACCTCGAAAACTTTTCACCAAACACCAAAAAACTATAATTATAGGTTTTTCGCCTCGATTTCCCTTGATTTAAGGACAATTTTGTGCTCCAAAATTTAGGGGCTCAAATTTTTAACCGTGATAAAAATTCCTTAAAAAATGGCGCCAGAATTTTTTTGAAAACAACAATTTTATCTCACCATTTTCAACATTTTCTCAATATATCTCGCCTTCGCCTCATCCTTCTCCATCGTTCCCAAATCATTCCAAGCATTCCATTTCAACCTGTCCTCAACTTGATAAAAATACGGTTGCTCAGTTTTGCATTCTCCAATTGTTGCCTGCTTAAATAGACTATACATTTCCAATTGATCTTGAATACTCGGCTGAATTGGTCCTTTTTTGGGAAGCGATTTGATTATCCAAACTGCCGCTTCAAATTGCTCATCGAGACTTGGCATTTTTTTAATTGTAAGGAATGAAAAATGTGGCTAGAACACGTGAAAAATAAGGTTTTATTTTATTGTCATTCCGAAAAAATAAGAACTTGGAAGAGAACCGAAATGGCCTAGGACACCAAGACTACAGTAGACTTCGCAAAATTTTGGAGTCTATTTGAAAAAATAAAATGCGAAATTTACACGTTGGCTATTTGCCAACCAGTTTGATGTGCATGTGTCACGTCATTTTTAGTCTACTGTACGTGACCGCCAATTCAAACGGGGGTTCTTTTATTTTCGGAATGACAATATTTATACGTGTTATCAAGGTTGCACTTTTTGTTTTTTATTATTCATTTTGAGCATTTATAGTCTACCAAATCAACCCACGTTTTTCAAAAGGTAAACACCAAAAAATCATCTCTCACCCAGAAAATATCCAAATATCAACAACACCTTTTCTAGCGTCGTTTGGCACTTTTCAAATATGTCACAAATCAAAAAAGAAACCCAAAATGTGCCATTTTCAACACTTCTGACAGTTTTGGTGTTAAAAAGTGGGCGTGGCCAACCTTATTTTTGGATATTCTTCAAAATTTGGTGGATTAGTTAGTTTGCTGTTTGTTGTCTTGCGAATTATGTGCTCTAATGCTCCAACAACTTCTTCTGCGGGTTCCAAAAATTCAGAAACTTATAGGTGAGTTTGAGGGTTAGGGGTTACTAATGTTAGTTTTCAGAAATACTGAAATTTTGAAATTGTGAAACTTTTTTTAAACCATTTTCCTGAGAATCCTGAGAATGTTAAAAATTTTGAGCCCGGAGCTCAAAAATTTTGGACCAAAGAAACACAGGCAGTTATAAATTTTTGAAACAAGTTTTTTAAATAAAATTTTCCTGAAAAAAATTGGTTCACGTGAAATTTTATTAATTTTTTCAGATTTTTTTCATTAGAAATTTCAAAATTTAATTTTTTCAGTCGTGAAGAGATAGCCTATCTCGAATCAATGGTTCGAGTGATGAAATGGGCCGAGCAAAGAAGTTTGGAGATTCGAAATCAATTGGTTGGAACAAATGAGAGCGGACCGGTTATTTCTGATACGCAGCAACAAGCAAACGATATTTTAACTCAATTTTTCACCGCCGATGCGAATGGGAACAATTTTCCACTCAACGATTTTATGCATGTTTTCCAATCGTCGCCATTTCAATTTTCCTAATTTCCCCAAAGAGTGCGTAAGTTCTCCTATTTCATCCCATCGAAGCAAAAAACAAAAAATTTCGATCAGGATGAGATTCGAACTCACGCGGGGAAACCCCAATGGATTAGCAGTCCATCGCCTTAACCACTCGGCCACCTGATCGCACAGAAATGTGTATTGCAAATGTTCTTTTCCCTTTGTTTTTGAACTGTTTTGTTTTGTAAATATATTTCCCCTGAAGAATTTTAGCAGCATTTTTCCTTGATTTTTCACAATTTTATAGCATTAGCAAATGAAAACTTTTTATTTTATTACATTTCAATATGAACATGATAAAAACAAAATGGGAAAAGATATGATAAATTGCAAAGTAAAAGCGAATGAACCCGAAATGGATAATTTTTAAAACAGAAGAGAGAAGTGAGATACTTCGGTGGTTAGCAAAACATATAATAAAAAATGATGAAAAAGGCAAGCGTGGCAAAAATTATGCCAAAAGTGAAACAAAAATGTGTGTTACCAGTTTGAAACTTGTTGTTGTTGATTATGTACTTTCTCCTATACTAGCTGCAATTTGCATGAGAAGATCTTGTGAAGATTGAGATTGATTCATTAGAAGAATGTTGGTGGTATCGATCTGAAATCATCGATTTTTTATTTGAAAGAAATATTTCAGACAAACCTCAAAACTATCTTTTGGCTCGAGCTCAAAATCGATTTCTTTCTTGACTTCAAGGTGATTTGGCAACAAATCTTTTTTGAGCAATGGTTCGTTATTTGTTGCATCGAATTTGAATGGAAGTGATCGTTTTCTTGATTTATTAAGAGCTAATTCGGGTTCTTCCAAAGACGAAAAATCTGAAAATTGGAGAAAATGTATTCAAAAAATTGGAGATTTGACAAGGGAAGTTTGGAAGTAGAAAAAACTACCCTAAGAGATTTTTGTTAAAAAAATCCTAAACTCGCCCAAATATAGTTATGACGTGGCAAAGAATCGTAATTATTTTCAGCAGAGCAACAATTTTGAATTATAATATCCAGAGAAAACGCTGTGAAATCAGAGTTCAAAATTATTTCTCTGAAAATAATTACAGCACCGGATTTTGGCCAAAATTTGCCACGTCATAACTATATTTTAGGGCGATTTTAGGATGTTTACGATCTTCCCTTGTGAATATATAGAATAAATACAAACCTATTGACGAGCGAACTGACGGCGAGGAAGTTGAAGCGGGCGTAATTTTCGCCTGCACAATTTCACCCAAAATCGGTTTTCGTGGGATAAACGAGGTGCCATTCTCGTTCAAACGCTGAGTTCTTAGATGTGTTTTTCTGACATTTATCGAATTTCTGACTCGGTCGTTCATACCAAGTGAAGTTACTGAGCGAGAAAGAAATGGAGCAACTGAAATTTAAAAAATTTGTATTTACTGGTGAAAAATACAAGGCTACCATTGTTTATATTTCCATATTTTAGTTTTGATCGCATTGTATTGAGTGATGAAATCATTTGATCAATTATTTCATCCGCCACACTCATTTTTAATAGTTCAGTCCAAAACGCGTTAGGATCTATAATATTTCAATTATTTTTTTGTTTTTTGAATTCAAACAACTCAAGAAAAACGAACCACTATTCATTTTTCTACACAATTCTTCAACTTCAGCCGATGTTGCATTGTCCAAAATCGGCGGTTTATTCAGAATATCTTTGAGCGAATTTTTCGACGCCTCTTCTTTTTTCTCCTCTATCTCGCTCTCCTTCATTTTCAAAAGATGACTGAATTCGGGAATTTTCAAAATGTCTTCAAGAGTTATGTCATCGTTTTTGTGTCTGCTTCGAGCTGGAAGACTTTGTCGACGCCTATAATTTTGCTGATTATTACTCATTTTTTTCTTCAAAAAAAAAAAAACAAATCTCACAATGAAGAGGAAGAAGAAGAGGGAATCATGTTGTCTGAAATCTCCTTCGGTGTAATATAATTACGACTTTGACATTTTGCAGAGCAAAAAGTTGCGTGATTGTAAAAATCGAGTTTTTTCGTCTCCATCAATGTTCTGACACTATTTCTTCCCATTCGAATACTTCCCTTCCAATCTTTTTGGCGATCTTTATTTGCTCGAATTGTGAAATCTTTTGGGGAAATCAATTCGGTTTCAGCTGCAAAATTTTGATTACGAAATGTTGTTTTTTTTAATTCAACCAACCTCCAACTTGAATACATGGCTGACGGATTCCGGGACATAGAAATTTTGACATATGAAGAAGTCCTGTTAACGAACCACATGATACTACAATTGTGTCATCACTTAAATCAACATCTTCAGTTTCTTCATCAGTTATTATCTCCTCTTTCACAAAAGTGTTGTTCATTGAAACTGTAAACATTTTTCTAATTTAAAATTAGTTTTTTTTGGAAAAAAGCGGAAAAATAAAATTGGAGAAGAAAACGACACGTAGATATTCATCTTCTCACTACCAACCAACCAATATATACATACATATATAAAAAATGAAAACTGCTGGAGACAACACATATGCGTGTCCTCGTCCTCCCAAACGACGTGCGTGCGTGCGTAACACAGACACAGACACACAGACCAACCAAAAAATCGATAATTTCTCGTGTTGTCGGTTGTCTTTCTGTCGCCACGTGAAAAAGAGAAAGCGTGCGTGCGTGTGTAAAAATTGGTCGAAGGGAAATGAACACACACACACACAAAAAAAAGAAAAAAAAATCAAAATTGAAAGTGTGCATTTTTGCGTGACGGTGTTTGCTCGAATTTTCAGCCGCCAAAATACACAATTTGATCACAGTTGTTTTTTTTTCTAGCTCAGAGAAACAGGCTGGAGAACCGGCGGAGAAAACGACATGTCGGCGAACTCTCGGACAACCGGCGGAGTGTCTGACCTACACTATTTCGCCGAAACTTTTGTCCGCCGGTTGTCCGAGAGTTCGCCGACATGTCGTTTTCTCCGCCGGTTCTCCAGCTTGTTTCTCTGAGTAGTTTCTCGTGGCCTAGAAAACATGAGTCATTCAATCTGTTTGTTTTTTCCCGTTCCGTTTTTCTTTTGAAAAAAAGAAGAAGTATCGATATTTAGGACATCTCCCTTTCAATTTTCTTTATTGCCAGCTAATCCCGAAATAAGTATTTTGGGCGGTTTTGTGTTTTTATCAGATGAACATGAGCATAAAAATCAGTTATCAACAACAAATAGTACGAGTTATTTATCTAGTGCAAAAAATCAAAGTAGTAAATATTTTTGAGTTATTTTTTTTTCATTTTCCAATCAAAACACGAATTCTATGGTGTTACTTGTTAAAAAGCTAGCCCGAATTTCGCGAAATTCTGATTCACTATTTTAATATTAGGACATGAATTCCGAGAGAAGTACACACGAGTTAATTAAGTGTTCGATAGAGCAAATTTGATTACGTGTGTGTTATATTTTCGTGCTTTTTAGAGGAAAGGGCGATGAAATCTTCATTTATCTCAAAATCCCTACGACTTTAAATTGACAATATCTAGAAGCTCTTATTTGTTTTTCTCCAGAATCTGTACAAAATTATTATTTACAGATTGCTTTTTTCCCAGAAATATTAAAGTTTTCTTTTTTTAATATGTCTCGAAACAGAAATTTTTCATTTTATTTCGTTTTTTTTTCAACGTGACCTCTTCTCGCTTCGAAATTTTAAGCTCAATTTTTCATTTCAAGGCATGGCTCATCTGTTAAAAGAACAACAGCATTTGGTGAATTTTTGGGATGAATTGAGCAATGATGAAAAATCTCAGCTTGAGAATCAAGTTAGTTTGTTTTCTGCAGAATCTTCCAGACAATTCCAAAATTTTCCAGATAAAAAAGGTTGATTTCACTCAAGCTCGAAAATGGTTCGAAGACTCGGCTCACCTTCAAACTTCCTCACCCGAAAACCTGACGCCAATTCCGAAAGAGCGAATTTTCAGTACTGATAAATTGTCGAAAACTGAAATGCATGAATATTGGGAAGCTGGTCTTGATGCTATTTCTCGAGGCGAAGTTGCTGCTCTTGTTCTAGCTGGTGGACAAGCGAGTCGACTTGGATCAGCTGAACCGAAAGGAACTATTCCATTGGGGCTCAATGTGTCTTTTGGTGATTCTTTGTTAGGAATTCAAGCTGCCAAAATTGCTCTTCTTCAAGCTGCGGCTGGAGAGAGAAATCATGAAAACAATGGGAAAATTCACTGGTAAATAATATTATGAATTCAGAACTAAAATCAAATTTCGATTTTTTAGGCTGGTTATGACGTCACCAGGAACTGAAAAAGCTACCCATTCCCATGTGCAAAAACTCGCAAAACACCACGGATTCAACTTTGAAGATCAGGTCACAATTTTCTCGCAAGATGAAATTCCAGCTTATGACGAGAATGGTGATTTCCTTCTTGCAACCAAACATTCACTTGTTGCTTCGCCAAATGGAAATGGTGGAGTTTATTCAGCATTGGCGCCATTTTTGCCAAAACTCAAAGCAAAAGGAATCAAATATTTCCACGTTTATTGCGTCGATAATATTTTGTGCAAAGTTGCTGATCCACATTTTATTGGATTCGCTGCGTTGAACAATGCTGATGTTGCTACAAAGGTTCGACAGAATTTTGAAATGAAAATATATAATTTTTGAATTTTCAGTGTGTTGCGAAACAAAAGGGCGAATTAGTTGGATCAGTTTGTCTTGATTCTGGAAAACCAAGAGTTGTTGAGTATAGTGAATTGGGAGCTGAATTGGCTGATCAAAAAACTGCTGATGGCTCTTATTTGTTTGGTGCTGGAAGTATTGCAAATCACTTTTTCAGTATGGAATTTATGGAGAGAATTTGCTCATCTGGATCTATTTCCCTCCCTTATCATCGTGCTCACAAAAAGATTGCATACATTGACCCAAAATCTGGGGAACAAATCAAACCAACCCAACCAAATGGATATAAACTCGAATTATTCATCTTCGATGTTTTCGAATACGCGCGAAACTTTTTCATTTGGCAAGTCGAACGAAGCGAAGAATTTAGTCCTTTGAAAAATGCTGAAAGTGCTGGAAAAGATTGCTTGAGTACTTGCAAGAACGATTTGGCTGCTTTGAACTCGAAATGGTTGCAACATGCTGGAGCGACAATTGAGGAAAATGGCAAACATTTCTATCTAAACACTTTGATTTCTTATGATGGGGAGAATTTGCAAGAATTGCGCGGAAAATCGATTAATCAAGATTTGATTGACAGCGACAAAATTATTGCTAAACATTTTGTACATAATACTGATTCTATTTATGATTGATCACTAATTTTTCACTTAACTCTTACTGATGACTTTAAATTATTATATTGCACAATAAAACTTTCTTTATGAAGAGCTTTTTGTTTTTTTTTCCCTAAAGTTTAGTGCACAAAAATTCAAACAAAATTTTTAAGGAACCAGTTCATAAGCGCGCACTTGTTCATCTTGGCCTAGGAACCGACTCGTCCCCCATTATTTTGTAAAAATATTTTTCATTTTTTTGCTCAAAAACTTTTTTCCAGCAAATATGAGATTGCTAGACGTTAGGAAAGTGGCGTTTCGATGGTTTTCAACGTAAGAATTTTTTCTCCTTAACAAAGTTCAGTTTTTGTTTTCAGAAAATCAGTGAACATCGATCTACCACAAACACTAAAACTTGAAACTGGTCATCTCGCAAGATTTGCATCAGCCACAGTAGTTGCATCAACTGGAGATAATGCAATTATGTCAACTTTAGTTCAACGAAAAGCAAATAAAGGTCAAGGAAATGGCGTTCCTTTACAAGTTGAATATCGTCCAAGTGCCGCTGCAGTTGGTAGAATTCCAACAAACTTTTTGAGAAGAGAATTAAGTCAATCGGATAATGAAATTCTATTATCAAGAGCTATTGATAGATCTTTAAGACCACTAATACCTCAAAATTCGTATGAAACACAAATTATTTGCAAACCTTTGGCATTGGATGAAGAAAGTGATCAACTTATGTTAGGAATTAATGCAGCTTCGACAGCTTTACATATTTCATCAGCTCCATTTGATGGGCCAATGGCTGCTTTGAGAGTTGTTATGGATAAATCGGGAAAAGTTTGTTTTTTGTAATTTTTTTCGGAATCTTTTCTATTTTTCAAATTTCAGATTCACATAAATCCATCAAATGAAAAAGCCCGAAATCGTTTATTAAATATGATTGTATCAATGAAAAGAAGTGATAAAACAGTTATGATCGAACTTGATGCCGAAGAAATTAGCACTGAAAAAATCGAGGAAGCTCTCGATGTTGCTTTCCGTGAAGTTCAAAGAGTTCTCGATGCGATGGATGATTTGAAAATTCAAGTTGGAAATAAGAAAGATATTTTGGAAGATATTGAACTCTCGAAAATTGATAGTATTTTGGAAACATTGGCAAGAGAAAGAATTTATTATGTTATGACGGATTCGACGCATGATAAAATATCGAGAGATGAAGAAATTAAGAATATTTTCAATGATATTAAAAGTTCCAATGTTTTGGAGCAATTTAATCCATTGAATGTCTCTATAAGTTTTTCAAATATGGTCAAAGATGTATTAAGAAAACTAGTTCTTCAACAAGAAGTTCGATGCGATGGTCGAAAACCGACTGAATTCCGGCCAATCACAATAAATATAGATATGTATAAAAAATTGCATGGTTGTTCAATGTTTCAAAGAGGACAGACACAAGTGCTATCAACAGTTACATTTGATAGTCCAACTGCTGCTTTTCATCCAGATTCGGTTGCTCAATTATTAGGATCACAGAGAAGGAAATCATTTATGTTGCATTATGAATTTCCGGGATTTGCTACCAATGAGATTTCGGTGAGTTTTTGGGGGAACATTGAAGCGGACTTTGTTTTTCGGATTCGAAAATGTTTTGAAACGTGGTCCAATTCAGAAGGGAACCTTAGTTTACGAAAATTCGCATTTTTGAGATGTTTGAACTTGCTTAAAATGAATTTTTGATCAAAATCAGAAGTTGTTCTGCAGAAATTGGAGAGATTTTTCACCGAAGAAAAATGTCTTCCAAATTTTCTAGTGAGTTGATTTTTTACTGAAAACGGCACGCTAAAAATTTCCTAAATCTATTTTTCTTGCCGAAAACGCTGAAATTACTTAAAATGAGCAATTCCAGCGTTTTCGGCAAGGAAAATTGATCCAGAAACTTTTTCGGGGCTGATTCTGCATCTAGGTATTTGAATCGCCTTTGAAATTCTCGTAATTTTGACTCTGAAAAGGCTGGAATTGCTAATTTCAAGCAATTTCAGCTGAAAAAGTGATTTGCCACGTCATTCATTGAAAAACTGGTGAAATTATCCCTTTTTCATAGTTTTTTTTTCGAGCTTGACTCGATTCCAACCCCCCTTTATTTTTTCCAGACTTCTCGATCAATTGGTCGCCGTGAAATTGGCCACGGCGCGCTCGCTGAAAAAGGCCTCAAAAGTCTCTTCCCCAATGATTTTCCCTACGCAGTTCGCCTCGCTTGTCAAGTTCTCGAATCCAACGGATCTTCCTCAATGGCATCGATTTGTGGTGGAAGTTTAGCGTTGTTTGATGCCGGAGTTCCGATGAAAAATGCGGCTGCTGGAGTTGCTATTGGTATTATCACTGATAAAGATCGGCAATCAGAGAACTACAAAATCCTGACTGATATTCTTGGAATCGAGGATTATGCCGGTGATATGGATTTCAAAATTGCTGGAACAAAAGATGGATTCACTGCCGCACAAATGGATGTGAAAATTGATGGATTAACAAGGAAGCAGCTGAAAGAAAGCTTGGAGGCTGGAAAAAATGGGATAAATCATGTATTAGGGAAGATGAATATTATGAGAGATCGACCAAGGTTGGGGTTTTTGTTTCTGAAAAAAATCAAGTATTTTTTTTTGCAGAGAGCAATTCAAGGAAAGTGTCCCGATTATTGAATCAATGCGAATTGAACCACATAAAAGAGTGATTCTTTTCAGAAATAATGGATTGAATTGTAAAATGATTGAAGCTGAGACTGGTGTCAAGGTAGGTCTTCCAAAAGTTCCCGGAAATTCATGACAAATTTATTTTTCCCAGATTATGGCTGAAGATGAGACAAGTATATCACTATTAGCACAAAATCGAGAAAAACTTGACAAAGCAAAGGAAATTATGAAAGTGTTAGTTTATCCAGAATCTCTCTCGTCAGAATAATCTTAATACCCAGATTTTTTTTCCAGAACCCTTGAGCAAAATGAGACACTGGATTTCCAATTTGGAAGTATTGTTCAAGCGGATGTTGCGGAAATTTTGGAAAGAGGAATTTATGTGACGTTGCCTGGATCTAGTCGCAAAATTTTTATGGGGAATCAACATTTGAGTGTGACGCCGATTCGAGATGCGGCTGTTCTTGGATTACAGGTTGGAAAGAGGGTTTTCGGAGAGATGAGAAGCTTGGCTGATTAAGTCTGAGCCTTAAATGTTTAAATCTTAGCTCATTGATCTAGAATTCTTAATCTTAGCTACTTCTGAAGATAACTTTGGAATTTATTTTTCGAAATGGACTTAATGTGGTATCAAAAAATTATTAGAGAATTTTAACAATATCAAATTTTTGAAACGTATTTTTTAGGGGCCAGAAAATTTATGGTTTTTTATTGTCAAATTTTTACGCTGCAAATTTTTTGAAAAATATCGATGAAACCTTAAATTCTGAACCTTAACTGATTATATTTAGAATTCTGAACTTTAGCTACTTCTGATCGAGTTGAAAGGGCCTATCAAAAAATTATCAGAAAATCCTAACAATATCAAATTTTTGAAACGTATTTTTTGGGGCTCACAAAATTCATTGTGTTTTAATTGTCAAATTTTCCCTTGGTTTATTTTTTGAAAAAATATTGATTAAGCCTAAAATTCTTAACCTTAACTGATTATATTCAGAATTCTGAACTTTAGCTACTTCTGATCGAGTTGAAAGGGCCTATCAAAAAATTATCAGAAAATCCTAACAATATCAAATTTTTGAAACGTATTTTTCGGGGCTCACAAAATGTAATGTTTTTTTATTGTCAAATTTTTCCTTGGTTTATTTTTTGAAAAAATTTGATGAAACCTCAAATTCTTAATCTTAGCTACTTCTGAAGATAACTTTGGAATTTATTTTTCGAAAAATTTTGGGATCAAAAAATTATCAGAAAAATTCTACAAAATCAAATTTTTGAAACGTATTTTTTGGGGCTCACAAAATTTTTTATTCTCAAGTTTTCACTTGACAAATTATTTGAAAAATATCGATGAAACCTTAAATTTTGAACCTTACATTATTAAGCCTAAAATTCTTAGCCTTAGCTACTTCTGTAGATAACTTTGGAATTTATTTTTCGAAATGGAATTAATGTGGTATCAAAAAATTTTCAGAAAATCCTAACAATATCAAATTTTTGAAACGTATTTTTTGAAGGGACAAAAATTTATGTTTTTTTAATTGTCAAATTTTCCCTTGGTTAATTTTTTGAAAAAAATTTGATTAAGCCTAAAATTCTTAATCTTAGCTACTTCTGAAGATCACTTTGGAATTTATTTTTTGAAATGGAATTAATGTGGTATCAAAAAATTATCAGAAAAATTCTACAAAATCAAATTTTTGAAACGTATTTTTTGGGGCTCACAAAATGTAATGTTTTTTATTGTCAAATTTTTCCTTGGTTTATTTTTTGAAAAATATCGATGAAACCTGAAATTCTTAACCTCAGATACTTCTGAAGATAACTTTGGAATTTATTTCTGGATATGCAATTAATGCGGGATCAAAAAATTATTAGAAAATCCTAACAATATCAAATTTTTGAAACGTTTTTTTTGGGGCTCACAAAATGTATGTTTTTTTTTAATTGTCAAATTTTCCCTTGGTTTATTTTTTGAAAAAATATTGATTAAGCCTAAAATTCTTAACCTCAGATACTTCTTAAGATAACTTTGGAATTTATTTTTGGATATGCAATTAATGCCGGATCAAAAAATTATCAGAAAATCCTAACAATATCAAATTTTTGAAACGTATTTTTTCGAGGGCCAAAAAATTTATGTTTTTTTTACTGTGAGAGTTTCCCATGGCTATTTTTTTTTGGAAAAAACGCGATCCTTAGTCACCTTATAAATCATTTCTCCAGGTCGGTGAAAAAATCACAGTTCACTGGTTTGGCCGCGATAAACAAACTGGAAACATCCGATTGTCTCGAAAAGCATTGGCTGGAGCAGCTGCACGAGTTGTCAGATAAGTTGAATTCTGCCTCACCTTCTAAAAAATCAATTTTGCGGGTAAAATAGGTTTAGTTGTTTAGATTTGTTGATTTTCTTCTTGTTGCAATGAATTTTTGAAATTTTTATTAGAAATGTAGGAGAAGCGTAGCGATTTGAGATCAATTCTAACTAAAAATATAGAAAATGAAAAAAATCACTCCGAATCTGAATAGCATGCATAATATTGTCGTTTTCCAGTTAGTTTCCATAACTTTCTCTTCAACATTTCTCGATATTTTTCCAATCCAAAGAAATCGGCTTCAGCCTGAAATTTTGAATATTAATGAAACATTTAAAAATCTGAAATTCTTACCATCAAAGCTTCAAGCGTAAATTGATCAGGCGGCAAACTTGTCAATTTTCCGTTTCGTAAATATTGAAGAACTTCTCTGAAAAGCAGCCCGTCACGATCTATTTCCACGCGATTTTTGATGTGATTCGGAGATTGTTCCCATTGAACACCACGAACCTGTAAGGAATTAGGGTACTGTAGTTTTTGGCGCGAAAAATTTTAATTTTTTCATTGTCAGATGAATTAGAGTTCTCCAAAAGAACTACACGAAAATTATCGGGAAAATTTGGGATTTTTCCTCAAATTTTTCCTACCTTAATATTGGCATCGAGAATTTTGACCACATCTTTGAAATATGATCCAGAAGTTTGAGGATTCATCAATGTTTTCACTTGAATTGGGTAGAGCTGGAAAAAAACGTATTCAGGATTTTTTCAGAGCTTTTGAAAATGGTGTAGAAAATTAAAATTCACTAGATTACTGTAGGTTTTTTAAAGGATCATAAAGCTTTTCTGAAGCCTAGAATACTGTAGAAAAAAAGATATTCAAGAGAAATCTTCGAAAAAATAAAGGAAAACCAGGATTACTGTATGAACCTTTGAAATGTGGATTAAGCTAAAGTTCGGATAAAAGTTCGGGAAAATTTCAGATTGTAATGAAAATTCTGCTCAAATATATCTCATAAAAGTTTCAGAGGGCCTAAATTTAACCCTAAAACCTTAACTTTAAGCTTACCTGTCCACCAACAAAAATATTGATCCACGCATCTTCGGAATTGAATGAAAGCTCGGGTGCCATCCTCCAAATCTAGATACTTTAGCAGAATTTTTTTCAAATGAGAAAAAATGAATAAAAAAATCTAATCCACTTATGAAACAAAATAATTGAATAAGAACAAACAGAAGGAGAAAAAATAGAAATTTTTGGAAAAAATTCAGCTTCTTCTTCTTCTTCTTCACAAGGAAAAAACACACACAATTGTATATATTTTCGTTCCACTTGCCTAGAAGAAAAAAAACATACATAAACAAGTAATTCAGTGACCAATTTACTAAAAAGGGGTTTTTTTGAAAAGAATAGGACCATATGGCTGGCTCAGCAAAAAAAAACAACGAAATTTTTTTATTTTGGGAATTCAAGATTATCTAAATCTAAATGTGAAAAAGGAGAAAGAAAGCGGAATAATCGCTAAAAGTCAAGAAAAAAGTCGACACTTGATTCCCATGAGAAATTTATAGAATAAATCTTCTTTGAAGGCGAGCTTAAGCTTTGAAGAAAGGAAGATGTGTAGTTCTTTTGGATAATAAATTTGTATAATAAAAGTAGATTGGTTCTTCTTCTCTGGAAACCAATGAATTTTAAATTTATTTTTTTGGGAGGAATAAGATTGGTTTTGGAATCTAATTTTTTGAAGGTTCAATGGCTAAAGGCCAGAATTTGAAAATGAGAATTCCCGGAAAAATTGGTTTTAGGGTACTGTAGTTTTTTGCGCGAAAATTTTGATCAAGAAATTTTTTTTGGGATTTTTAAAATTTCAGGAAAATCTATCCATAAATTTTCAATTTTTCCAGGGAAATTAAAACACATTTTTTTGCCACGTGGGTTTTATTTTTCATAAAACTCTGAAATTTTCAGGGTTTCGAATTATTTTCAGAAAAAACTTCAGGGTACTGTAGAAGTTGGTTTTTGGGATATTCATAATTTCAGGAAAAGCTGTAAACTTTCAATTTTTATCCAGAGAGAAAATCCGAGTTTTACAAAAAAAAAAACAAAAGTTTCTTTGCCACGTGGATTTTTGAAATCAAACTCTCTACAGTAATTTTCTTGGCACCAAATGTTTCTTGTTTTTCCTTCTATTGATTGTAGTTTAACCTGAACTCAGATCAACAAAACAACAAAAATTGAATATTTTATTGCATACTGTATACGAATATTTCTCATCTTCAAAATATCTAACTTTTGTTATGATAATTCAAAGATTCTATATAAAATGCTAGGAAAAAATCACAGAATGCAAAAAATGATTTCGTATTTCTTTATTGTGATAATATTTCTTCCAACTATCGACGTAGCATTTTACGAAGCAGATTCAGATAATTCAGAATGTTATGATGACGAAGATAGTACTTCAAATGTGACCACAACTACCCAAGGACCAACTGAAACCTATACATTTCCATCAACAACTGCATTGAATAGTTATTGGAGATGTGACCAAGGGTTTAGAATGTTCAAGCGAACTCTAGGATATTGGTGCATTATCGATTATTCAAATTATACTATCTATCCCAATAACATATATTTCAACAGAATGCAAGGACATGAGTATTGTTCAGAATTATATGGTGGAATTCTAACCGGAATCGCATCCACCGAAGAAAGAAATGAAATTTTTAGTGAGATATTTATTGCGCTTATGATATACAGACCTCTTTACGTTTACAGCTTGGATGAACAGCACTTACGGACCAGATGGAGTACTCTTTGTTGGAGCTCAAAAATATTCAACTTGTCGAGATGTTAACAGTGTCAATTTCACAAGAAGATGCGTTGATGATAACGCATTTTTCTACTATAACGCTACTTATCAATTTTTGCCAGAAGACGATGCGGATTATGGTTGGGCAGATAATTATCCAACCAATCCTAATAACGCAGCTAATGAAGATTTAATTTATGGCGTATTCAACAATAGCGCAAAAGGTGTCACTGATGTTATGTGAGTGTTTTTTTTATATCCAGATACCCAGTGATAAACATTTCAAACTTTCCAGTGGAAATGATAGGCGCGCAGGAGCTTTATGTGGAAAACCAGCTGTGGAGGTGTTTTTTTGAATAATTGGAGGTGTTTTGAACAAATTAATCATAAAATTGTATTTCAAAAGTGATTTATTGAAGTGTAAGAAAAATCAGAATTAAGCAGGGGTGGGATGTTCAAAACTCAGAATTAAAAAAAAAGAAATTTAATGTTCAAATTTGAAAAAATTCCCCAAAAACTTGAAGATTATGAATTTATTTTTTAATCTTGAAAATGTTTTCCAAATTTTTCAACCAGGAACAGGCCAAATATGATTTTTTTTTTCAAAATTTATTTTTTCCTCTCACCTCATTTCATTTTGGCGCTAATATGTATGTGCTACAAAAACTAGAATGAAATACAAAATTCTTAAAAAATAAAAATAGGGCAGACATTTTTTATTTTGTATAAACTGATATATTTGAGAAAAATTCAGGAATATATATGCCTATATTTTCACAGTTACATCAACATCAAAAATGTTGATGTAAACATTAGAACACAAAAAATATGAGCGAGATCTTTAGCCTAATTTTAGACGTTGTACGAATATTTTTACTTTTGTTATGATAATTCAAACGAGGCCATATAAAATGGTGCAAAATTTGCAGAAAAAAAAACAGAAAATGTTTTCGTATTTCTTTATTGTGATAATATTTCTTCCAACTATAGATCTAGCATTCTACGAAGCAGATTCAGATAATTCAGATTGTTATGATGATGACGATAGTACTTCAAATGTGACAACAACAACCCAAGGACCAACTGAAACATATACATTTCCATCAACAACAGCATTGCAAAGTTATTGGAGATGTGAACAGGGATTCATAATGATGAATCGGACAACTGGGATTTGGTGTGTAATAGCTTATCAAAATGGAACGTATTTCAATAGAATGCAAGGTCATGAACATTGTGTTCAGCGACACAATGCGATTTTGACCGGGATTGGTTCAGAAGCCGAAAAAACTCAGATCTCTAGTAAGTTTAAAAATTGTCAAGAAATGAAAATGTAGATCAAAAATTCAGTCTGCTTGTAAAAACCAATTTTTCTTGCAGATTATATTGTTTCGATCATCGGACCAGAGGCTGTCCTTTTCGTCGGAGCTCAAAAATATACAAAATGTCGAAGTGCCAGTAATTCCGAATTTTCTTCCTGTAGTACCAATGCGTTTTTCTGGTATAACTATACGTCACAATTTCTGACTCAACAAGCCACGTATGGTTGGGCAGATAACTATCCAACTGGTTTTCCAAATGATCTTGAATCAAGTACAAGCTTGATTTATGGCGCTTTTAGTTATAAGCTAGGAGGTGTTTATGATCTTAGGTGGGTTTGATAAGAGCCTTTATTTTGAAATTCATTTGGGATATTTCAGTGGAACCGCAAAGATTGGTGGAGCACTTTGTGGAAAACCAGCGGTTGAGGTATTCTTTTGAATAATTGAAGGCGTGAAATTGAAGTTTGTTGAACATAAAAATATTGTAATTTAAAAGTGAGGTGTTATTTGAATACAAGAAAATCAGAAAGTGATCAGAAGACATGGAAAATTAAAAATTCAGAAATCTATTTTCTAAGAAATTTGTGAACTTGAAAAAAAAGGATCGTGAGAATTTCAGAACTGATGTGCCAAAGTTTGTGCGGAATATTTTATCTAAAAAAGAAATTCCAAATGTATAACCTACCGTACTCTTTACAAGGGAACTGTGTGAGATCAGGTTTTGTACTTACAATAAAAAGTGGTACACTTATAAGTTCTAACTCACTGATCTCGAATCAGTTTTCAAAAATTGCCACAAACTAAATTTAGTTGGATTTGGATTTAATTTAACTTGTACAGCTCACCTGCTGGCATTTTAAATCTTCTGTCAGAACTTCGAATGCATTCTCGACATCATTCCAATTTGCACATTGAATATCCTTCTCCTAGGATTTCCGACCATCAACAGAAAATAAAATGAAATAGGTCATACATGATTTTTTGATAGAATGATAATTTTGAGAAAAATGCAGAAATATATACGATACCAATATTTTTTCTCATCGTTACTTTATGTTTTCTTTGTTATGATAATTCAACATTCCCGGTATACAAATTCAAACTATACAGTATAAAATGCTAGGAAAAAATCACAGAATGCAAAAAATGATTTCGTATTTCTTTATTTTGATAATATTTCTTCCAACTATCGACGTGGCATTCTACGAAGCAGATTCAGATAATTCAGATTGTTATGATGATGAAGATAAATCAAATGTGACCACAACAACTCCAGCAACAACAAAAGAGTATACATTTGCACCGACAACATCATTGAAAGGTTATTTTAGATGTGAACCGGGATTCAGAATGTTCAAGCGAACTCTAGGAAATTGGTGTATCACTAATTATGTAAATAATACCAATGGAAATACATTTAACAGACAGCAAGCACATGAGTATTGTTCAAAAATATATGGCGGAATTTTAACCGGAATCGCATCAGAAGCCGAAAGAGTTGAACTTCTAGGTGCGAGTATAAAGCTGGTCATCGATAAAGAATTTAAAAATTGAGTTTACAGATTGGATGAGTGGACTCTACTCGGCGGGTAAACTCTTTGTTGGAACTCAAAAATATACAGCTTGTCGAGATATTACCAATGTCAATTTCACAATCAGATGCGTTGATCGGAGACCATTTTTCTATTATAACCGTACTTATCAATTTTTGGAACAAGACGAAGCTATATATGGTTGGGCAACTGGTTATCCAAGAGATGCTAATAACGCAGCTAATCAAAACCTAGTTTATGGCGCATTTACAGTTGAGAATGGAGGTGTTATTGATGTTACGTGAGTTTTCTATTCACATACACAATATTATTTCAAACTTTCCAGTGGAGCTTACAAGATCCAAGGAGCTTTATGTGGAAAACCAGCTGTGGAGGTATTTTTCTGAATAATTGGAAGTGTTTTGAACAAATAAATCATAAAATTGTATTTCAAAAGTGATATGTTATGTAATAAAAAAAAATGAAAAATGTAAAATAAAAAAGTGAGAAAAATTCTGAGATTCGTAAAATGAACCGGTTTTTTTCAGGAAAGAATATCAAAAAAGGGGGAAAGATCTAGATATTTCGATGTTGTTGTTCAGCTAATTGCATAAGATTCATAATAAGTTGTCGAATTTGTGGATTCGGTCTTCGTTCGTGTAATTCACCCAAAAACGGGCTTTGCACAATATTTGCCTGTTGCATGAGATTGATGAGGAGTTTCTGTTTGAGTGAGTCTTCGGTGTTGGAAACTTTCCAAATGAATGAGAGCCAATCAAAAAGCATTGGATCGCTGATTTCGTGGGAGAGGAATAAAAATGGATTGGCGCCAGCAGTTCTGAAAAAAGGATTGAATATTTTAAAAGTCCCGAGTCTCTCAGGCTTCCCAGATTTTCTCGGGGCTTTTTTGGACCCCGGAAATTTATCTCGGGCTTTTATCAGGCGCAAAAATTGAAATTTTCAATTTTTTTGGGCCGACAAAAAATCAGAAAATTTTAATTTTTTGAATTTTTGCCACGTGGAATTTTCGCAATACAAATGAGACAAAATTACACAAAGTAGGAATTTTCAAAAATTCTGAACTTCTAGAAAATTATGCCACGTGGCAATTCTGGCTAAATTTTCAAAAAAAATTTAGAATGGTTTTTTTTTCGATTTTTGGGCCGACAAAAATTCAGAAAATTTTAATTTTTTGAATTTTTCACACGTGGCAATTCTGGCGCCAAAAACAAGCGTTTTCGAAAAAATTCAAATTGTCGATTTTTGAACGGCCAAAAATTCAGAAAATTCCAGTTTTTCGAAATTTTGGCACCCCTTAGGTAGGGAAATTTAAGACCAAAATCAATCGAGTCAAAGTTTCAGAAAATGTTTGAGCACAATATTTCTCTGCCCTGTCCCTTTAAATTTCAAAAAACTCACAACATCGCCTTCTTCACATCTTCCACAAACTTCCGATTCGATTCCAAACACAAAGTTGTCAATAAACCAGAAGATCTTCTCACAATATCCTCATGATCTTTGCGTTTTTCCTCAGCTTCTTCATTGCTCAAATTCTGCATCAATTCTTTGTTCAAAGTTCTCCACTGCTTCAAACTCTCCCAAATTCGTTTCAATAATAACATTGGAAGCTGTTCGTTTGTAGTTGCGTAAAGATCAATAAATCTTTCAGCGTAAACTGGAATCGTTTCAATTACCCTGCAAAAAATTATTGATTGATAGATCAAAATATTTAAAAAAAATTAATTTTCATACCGTTTCAAAACCGTAATAGCCAATTTGCGACAATATCGTTTACCGATACAAATAAAATTCAAAAATGTTGCTGCTGAATCGACATTCGAAGAGATCTGAAAAGAAATTGAATTTTAGGAGAATCAGAAATTTTCGGGGGTTCTTACCATTTTGCATGCTTCAACAGCAGTTTCTCGATTATCTTGTTGTGACATTAAAGTGACATTGTTGAGGACACGTAGACAATGCTCATAAATACTGCCGATTTGGATTCGAATCGCTTCCGAGTGTTCAGCTGGAAAATGGATATTTTTGGAATTTTTCAGAGGGCACGTGGAATTTTTTAATTAAGAAAATAAATTTGATTTTAGAGAACCTCGAATAAAAAATTCCCCAAAAATTAAAATTTCAATCAAAATTTTTGATATTTCAGACTTAAGATAAGTTAGAGATGTGTAAAAATTTCATGAATTTTTTCTTTCAAATTTCTCGACGGAACTACAGTACCCAGGACAAAAATCGATACAAGATCCGAAATTTTCAGCTGAAAAATATTGTATGAATTGTTGTCCTGGGTACTGTAGATTTCAAAAAAAAATTAATGCATTTGATAACCTAAAAATTTTGGTTCAAAAATTTTTGAAAATTCAAAATTTTCCACGTCATCAAATTTCGGTGCGAAAACTTTCGAAATCGGCAGTTTTTAAATGTTTTCTTGAAACACCTCAAATTCTTCACTAGAAAACAATGTCACGTGGCAAAATTGTTTTGGGTACTGTAGTTATAAAAATATATTTTTAAAATAGAGCAAAAAATTTGAGATTTTCAAAAAAATTGGAATTTAGCAAACCCTAAATTTTCTACCAAAAAAAAATTGCCACGTGGCAAAACTAGGCTTATTTAGTATCAAAAAATTTCAAATTTTCTCTCCAAAAAACACTCACGAGTTGATGCAAGTTGTAAATATTGATCAGACATTCTGAGCACAGCAAATACATGATTCGTCACTCCACATTGCACCAAAATAGCCTTATTCGCTTTGTTGTGTAATCCAATATTCATTAGAATTGCAGTCGATCTTTCAACAATTGTCGGATCAAAACTGCCCAATAATTGAACAACATTATGAATTGGTTCCGACATGTTTTGCTCTTTTATTGCTGGCAAATCGGCGATTCGTGCCATACAACCAAGTAATTCGTGAAGAAGTCGAGAAGAACCGTGGGATAACAGACCACAGATTACCTGGAAAAAATCTTGTTGGTTTTGGGGGTCAAAACTTTCCAGATTCCACGTGGATCTTTCGTGCCAAAATTTCAAAATTATTGAATTTCCAGGTGAATATTAGATCCTAAGTTCATGAATTTTGAATTTCCACGTGGATTTCTCGCTCCAAAATTTTAGAATGTTTCCCAAAAAATCTACGCGGATTAATTTTTTGAAGACAAAACATTTTGAATTTACGAAAATTCGACGTGGATTTTTCAGCGTCAAAATTACAGAATTTTTAAAATTCAACGTGGATTTTTCGCTTCTAAATTTTCGAAATTTCAAATTTCCACGTGGATTTTTCCCGCCAAAATTTCAGAATTACTGAATTTTCACGTGAATATTAGATCCTGAGTTTATGAATTTCGAAAATTCCACGTGGATTTTTCGCACCTAAATTTTCGAAATTCCACGTGGATTTATAGAGCCGAAAATAATTGAACTTAAAAATTCCACGTGGTTTTTTGGGCTCAACTTTTTTTGAATTTCGAAAATTCCACATGGTTTTTTCCGCCAAAATTTCAGAATTTTCAAATTTCCACGTGGACTACGTTGTACATAAAATCAAGTTTTTTGAAGAAATTTAAGAGGATTTTAAGAAAAAATAATAATTACAATATATTTTTATGCGTTTCCAGAAAAATCCCTAAATTTTTGAAATCCAAAAAAATTACCTGTGCTCCACCCAATCGAATAAAATGTTCTCCATTAATCGAAACCGCAAAAAACGCGGATAAAGCCTGAGTTGTTGACCAAAGCAAATCCTCATGAATAGTTTCCTCTTTCATAATTGTCAAGAATATATTCACAACATCTAATTGCATAGCCATTCCCATTATATCAGGATTCGCTGCCGAAAGATTTCGAATCACTGAAACCGCAAATCCTTTCGGTTTCGATTTCAGATCCTTTTTCAATGATTCAACGGCAAATCGGATGACTTCAGCTCGAATGTTATGATCTTCTGGTCTCGCGTATCTCGCGGCAAAAAACCTTCGTTTAAAAAACGTGTTACAAAACAAATGTGTCAATAACATCCATGCTTTTGCAACATATCTCGATTCAATTTGACTTGCTCGAAACATAATTATATAAAATATTCCAATCGGATGTTTGAAATTGAAATCATTCGTCGAAAATCCGCCCATCTCCATTCTCTCCTTCACTTTTCTTCCCATTATTTCCAAATTCAGCGTTTCAAAAATTTTGAGACAAATTCGAGTTTTTGATGGATACAAAACAGCGTGATATAAGACATAGAGAGTGGCTTCAACAACTTTTTCATCTTCCTGTTCTCGCGGGATCAAAATTTCGAATAATGAATAGATCAGGGTTTTGAGATCCGGTTTTTGAACACTCATTTCAAGCTGATTTTGTTCGGCGACTGGAATTAATTCACGAAGTGCAAGCATTTGTTTCATCTGGAAAAAGGAAAATTTTGAAAATCTTTTTTTTTTCAAAAAAAAAAGATTGAACCGCAAAATTTACGTTTCAAAATTTCTTCAAATTCTTTCTCCGCATTATTAAAAATAATTTTCAAACCTACCGAATCATTCGATTTCAAGCTATAAACAATTTCGTTCAACGTCATTCGCCTTCTCATTTTCATCGGATCCTGATTCTCTCCACTTCCAACTTTCGATAAAATATGCGGGGCTTGATGTGGATTTTGGGGCCATGAATAGTTTGCAATTTCAGTGTTGACTGAAAGTGTGCTCATTCCTCCGATTGAAAATCGAGACATTTCAGACATATGCGACATTGTTGACATGGTTGAACCAATCTGGAGAATAAATTAAAGTTGGAGGGGGACTGGAGATTAGGCTGTGTAAACCGCAAGCTTCGGCGTCAGCGGAAGACAGTGCCGCTGACGCGGAAGCTTGCGTCACTCGAAGAACATACCATACTGGGCGGTCTGTGTTGTAGCGGTGATTGTGCATTCTGATATCCTTGTCCAATCCATTGTTGCATATAATTCTGTTTCGCCAACGCGGATTCTCTCAATTGATGAACCCGTTCATTGGCAACCGGTCCTGATACATTCTGTGATTGCGGTCGAAACGGACTGCCGTGATTCGACATTCGACTTGAGACTCTTTGCGGTGTTGATGGATAATTCATTGGTCGCATTGGTGTTGATGGACCTGGAAGGATTATTGGAATTCATATAGATCTAGAAAGCATATGGGGATATCCTGAATAATTTCGAGGGAAATTTACGTTTCGAATTTTCAAATTGATAATAGGCTGGGAAAATGACATTCATAAAATTCCTGTCGAGAAATATTATTGCTCAGGCTAGGTTATTCAGGGGCTCAAAAGCTACCGCGTTTCGGGTAGATTGCTCATGTTAAACAGGAATTTTCCACAGTAACTTACGTCGCTTGGCAGGCCGCTAACATTTGAAATTTGGGATTTTCAAAATTAATGATTTCTGGGGAAATTTACGTTTCAAATTTTTTTCAAATAGAATTTTTCGAATTTTGAAATTGATTTTTCACTCTTTCCTATATGAAAAAAATTGGTGATATTCCTGGCGCAAAATATTATTGCTCAGGTTACACATCAGGTTAGCCGAGGAGGAAGCTTTGAGGACCTGTGGCTGTACAGTACCTTAAGACGGGAGCTCTCGAGGTACTGTAGGAGGCTCTGTTACTGTCGGAAAATTCAAAGCACATACGGGTACATAGATTGCTCATGTTATGCTCGTTGTGATTTTCAACTAAGCTGATGGTACTGTGTAATCCGCAAGCTTCCGCGTTAGCGGCACTGTCTTGCGCTTTAGCGGCCACGCGGTTAACTATGATCTGAATATCAGTAAAAATTTTAACTTATAGTAAACCGCGTGTCCGCTAACGCGGAAGCTTGCGGTCTACAATCGCGACCTTCGACGCTCGAAATTAAAAAAAATAACAAACTGCTTTACGCGGTAAAAGTGTGAAAAAGGCAAAAAGGAGAACGAAATGATTCACACAGACACACTCTTCTTTTTTTGTGTGCGCTTTCTATGACTAAAAAGAATCGGGGGCCAAACGGGAGGAGGAGAAATGTGGCGAAAAAAAATCAAATGTTTTTTGTTTTGATATTTTTTGATCATCATCAACATTAATAATGTTTGGGAAAGGGAAGGACACGAAAAAAATGGACAAACATTTTGGAAATCTGTGGGAAGAATTTTGAGGGAAAAAATATATGGACTAATAATAAAATGATTATTTTGAAAATAGCAATTTGTGGGGATATTGTTATTGAGGAGGAAAATATCATTTTGGGAAAAACAATTCTCGAAAAATTGAATTAGAGTAAACAACCTCAAAAAAACAGATTTTTAAAATTTTTCAAAAAAAAATCTCAAAATTCCTAGATTCTCTAGCATTGCTCAGATTATAAAAATTCAATTTTTTGGAGTTCTAGGCTGATTTTGAGCAGAATTACTCATATTAATTTGAACTTTAAAAAGAGAAAACTGAAGATGAATTTCAAAATTCTGAAAATTTCTAGAGCTTAAAATAATCTTCAAGCCTAGCTCCAAATCTAGATTTAATTTCAGTAAAACCAGCTCAAAAAATTACTCTTTGAAAAAAAGCTGGATATAATTTCAGATACAAATTAATGCATTTTATCATTGCTCATATTAAATATCCTCTTTTGAGTATTTGAAAGCCGTAGCTCTGGAACTAATTTCAGCAAATTGCTCAAAAAGTATTCCAGGAATTTTTATCCATTCTAGGTCCAAAAACAAATATTGTTTTTATATTACAAGAAGCTGGCTTAAATTTTGAAAAATTGAGAATAAATTTTAAAATATCTGAAAATTCCTAGAGCCTAGAAATTATTATTTTTAAAAATTCAAAAGCTTCAGAGCATTCTTAGAAATTTAAGAAAAAAAAACTTTTAGAATATTCCCCCTTCAAAAATCCCTTACCATATCTAGTTGGTGTTTGTTCACCCATTCCCATTCCTCTTTCTCCTCCAATTCCCCCACCAATAATATCACCATTACCATCGTATTTAATGACAACAGGAGTTGAAGCCGTCGACGATGACGTCATCATTCGAGGTGTTGATTGAACTGAAGATGGTGTTGTTGGACGAAAACCGGATGTTGATGGTTGACAAGGATCGAATGAGGAGGAGGAGGAGAGCATGTTGGATGGAGTGTTGGGTTGAAGTACTGTAAAATTCGACATTCGGGGGAATTTAGGTTGGCCAGAGAAATTTTACCAGATTTTTAGAGTTTGAAAATCGGCTCAGGGTGAAAAATCCACGTAACAAAAAATTAAATTGTCACGCCAGAAATCCACGTGGCAAAATATTGAAAATTAAAATTTTCGTGCCAAAAATCCACGTGGCAAAATTCGAAAACGAAGACATTTTAACACCGAAAATCCACGTGGCAGTTTTTAAATCTCATTTTTTTATTTTTTAAAGTTCTAAATATCACGAAATCGGGCTTGGGCCCAACGATTTGGACTTAAAAGTATTAGGCTTGAAAAAAAGACTTACGTAGAAATTCAAGCCTAAATCTAGGATTGGGCTCAAAATTCAGGTCTTAATCTAGAACTAAGCTCAAAGTTCAGGCCTAGAAATTCAGGCCTAAATCTAGGTCTAGGCTCAAAATCTGAAAGTCTAGCTTGGAATCTCAGGCTTATCCTAGAAATTCAAAAAAGCCTAGACTCCTAAAAGTTCCCAAAAACTGGACATTCCTGAACTTGAGAAATTCAAAAAAAAATCCCAAGAATCCCCCAAAAATTTACCTTCATCCGCTCCGATTGCACAATCGATTTCCATTTTTTTTTCTCAAAAAAATTCTATTTTTCTACATACACACGCACACGAAAATCTGAAATGAAAAAAATAATGAAAAATATCCACGACACAAAAAGCCAATTTGACAAGAAAACGTGTCACTCACAAAAAAAAATTTAATTTTCTCGAATTTTTTTGGATTCAAGAAGAACGGATAAATAAAATAAAATAAAATCAACATATAAATGGGTCAATTATGCAAATATTTTTTGGTGTATTCAAATAAATACATAGTTGACCATTATTATTATAATAATGACCAAATAGAGAGAAAAAAGGGGGAAAGGTCCATAATAAATCATAATTTTGTATGGGTTCCCAAAAGTGACATTCTAGGCTGGTCAAATAAAGTTTCCATGCTAAAAAAATCGATAGTTATCTATCACTTCCCAAAACTAAATAATAGTTATATATGTCAAGTGAGAGAGATAAATTAATAAGTGTGAAAAAATGTGTGAAAACAAAACAAACACATTTTATCTTGCCAGAAATCAAGATGGTGAGAGTTTTTGGGAGGTTTGGGAAGGTTTTGAGGAATCAGAATCTAAAGAATTTTTGAAATCAAGATTCTTGGAGTTTCTAGAACAGGGTTCCTCAGAACTTCTAGAATTCATGGAATTATAGAAGTTCTCATACAATATTCAGAAGCTTAGGGGGTATTTTTCTGATAAGCTAAAAATGTCCGAATTTTTAAAACCTAGTTTTCGTCAAAGTTTCTCATAATTAATCGGAACTTCAAAAAATCTCATAAAAAATTCAAATTTTAAAATTTCAAAAATCAAAAAAAGCGCTCGAATTTTCCTGAATTCAAATTCGGAACTTTCATGAGCCAAAATGTACTTTTTGAAAAACCAAGCTCCTGAAAATGATACATTTTCCAAAAAAAAAGTTTAACTTCAGAATTTTTCTCTTAAAAATTTGTACTATATTTCTTCTCTCCTATTTTCTTCAAAAAAAATATAATTGTTTGAGAAAAACGAGGCTAATTAGAACAATTATCAAAACAAATAGAAGAAGAAGTGACTAATAATAATAATGATGGCAATTAGTTTCGTGATTCAAACCAAAAAATGTATGATTCTAAAAATAACATCACGAAGAATTCTCGCTTCAAAAAATCATAAAAGTTTTGCGACGCCGACAAAAATGGGCAAAAAATAAAAATAAGAAGCGGGGCGCTGTGGCCTGCCTAATATAAATAAATCAACGTTTTATGAGATTTTTTTGAATGAATGTGTATATGTATTTGTGTGAGAAATGAAATGAAATGAAAAAGGGCTTTTTCATTTTTGAATTTAAATATTGTTATTGAGTTTTGGCGCGCGCGAGAGAGAAGTAACACCTGGATTTTTGGAAAATTGGGGAGGGATTATTTACAAATTGCCTGAATTCCAAAAGCAGATGTTTCGAATTATAAATTAGTGGGTTTGAAATATGCATTTATCTACTCAAAATGAATCGAGACAAATATTTTCTAGTAAACTGTGAATGTGCCCAAAACAATAACAAAAGGTGGAATTCATAAATCGGACCAGAATTCTAAGATGTTTGAATCGAAACAGACAGGCTGACCATACGTAGATCTTATAGAACTTAAGACGCTGATCAAAATGCTGTTCAAATTAGCTCTGAAGGATATTTCACATCTGACAACAGAACTGCTCATTTTTGACACTATTATCTAGAAATTTTGGTATAACTTATCCTAACTTGATGAAAATTCACTAAAAATTGTTGGACACGACGACACTAGGTCTAATGAGTGACGAGTTGATGATGTTCAGTGTGGGATTCGAATTTTTAGTCACACTTCAGATGCTCTAGGCGCGGCTTTTTGAAAACGAGGCTCTCAAGGCTTGGCGCCTTGCCAGAGTGGATTTCTAGACGCGGCACCTAGGCAATAGGTTCTCTAGACTCAGCTACTTGACAACTAAGGTTTCTAGACTTGGCTCCTTGCCAGAAATGATTTCTAGAAAAATCATCTGGTGAAAATTAAAAATATTGGCACGGTGCCAAAAACACATTTTCCCATGGCCAATTTTTAAAAAAATACAACCAGCTAGATCAAATTAAACGACCAAAACAACAACAAATTCAAAAAAAGCAAGCCAAAAACGAAAAAAAGAGGGGGGCACCCAACAGTGTGTACGCCCGGGCAGACAGACACAAAAAATCGAGGAGGCAGTACACCTGTCAACGAGAGACGCAGACATGTGGTGTACTGTTAAATGGTGTGAGAGACAGAGACGCAGAGAAAATGACGCAATGGCGTCTGTTAGTTGAGAAGATGGAGAAGGGGGTGTATAAATGAAAAATTAGGAGAAAAAGAAGAAGATGGTCAGGTGGTGAGTGTGTATGGTGTAAGAAAGGGTGAAGAATATATAGATGTATGTTTTGAATTTTCTGTAAATACATAATAAATGAATGGAAAAGTGACAGAAGGGGTCCTTATTTTTTGGGGCAGAGAGTCGAGAAACAAAGCAGATTTGAAATCGGGAATTTTGAATTTGATTCAGGAGTCAGGATGATTTTTCGAAAGTTTAATCTGGGGAAAATTATTTTTTTGTTAAAATTTTAATTTAAAGTTTTCAATTTCTAAACTTAATTTTCTCTAAAATTCTTAAGGATATTAGATTATTTCGGAATTTTAGAAGATTTCCAGAAAATTTTTAAAAAATAAAATTATCTGAAGCGTACAGTTGTACCTAGCTTTAAAATTCTGAACATTAGGACCAAAATTAATTTTTTCCGAAATTTGAGACTAGAAAATACTCGCAGTAAAATTCTTGTTCACCTTTTTTTGGAGAAGAATTTGAATTTTCAAAATTCCCAAACTTGGGAGCGAAATAATCCCTCAGGATCAATTTTTGAAAAAACTGAATTTTTCTGTGAGAATTCAAATCAAGATTTTTTGTTGCTAGGCTCTTTTTTCATATTTCGCACGATTTTCTAGCTAATCTAATCTAAATTTTCTATTTTGAGCCAAAAATCAATGGCTTCTTTGTTAAAATGATCTCGAATTTTTTCCGGGTCAAGAATCAAAGTTTTTTCAACCTAGAATTTGGTTCCAAAATTCCTCTGACAAAAAATAATGAAAATTTTCCAAGCGTTCAAAAATAAATCAATCTACATATACATAAAAGAGGGGATTTCGAGATACGAGATTAAAAACCAACCAATTTTTATCTATTTTTATTCATAATTCTCTATTTTTTCCCATAAATTTCCTAGTTCTCCTCTCATTATTATTTATAATTTATCAAGTTACGTCAAATATAACCAATGACAGGCATCTAGTAATACACTCATTAACTTGCGTAATCTAATCCACCTATAACATTATTTCTTCTCTCTAAATAAAAAATTTGGAGGAGGAGGAACAAAAAGGTCATTGAACCACAAATATTCTTATGTTTCGATTATTCTACTGGATTTTTTAAGCAAAAATTTTTAAAACAATTTTGGCCTTATGAAAATATAATAATTAATATTTTGTAATAAAATGTAACAAGAAATACACTTTTTGCACAAAAATACAAAAAATTAATTTTTGCCTGGAATCTCTGAAGGTTCTTGACAATTAGGCTCTCTAGGATTGGCTTCGAGAAAAATAGGCTTTCTAGGAGAGGCTGCTTGCCAATTAGATCCTCTAGGCGCTGATACTTGACATAGAAGTTCTCTAGACGCGGATCCTAGACAACTAGGTGTTCTAGGCTCCGCTATTTTGACAATTGAACTTTCAAGGCACGGCACCTTGCCAGAGTTGTTCTATAGGCTCAGCTACTTGACATAGATGCTCTCAAGACACGGCTACTTGCCATAGTGGTTCTCTAGACGCCGGCCCTACACAACTAGGTTCTCTGGGCTCAGCTATTTTGACAATTGAACTTTCAAGGCACGGCTCTTTGCCATATAAGCTTTCAAGGCGCGGTTACTTAAGAACTAGGCTCTCAAGGCACGGCTACTTGCCATAGTGGTTTTCTAGACGCTGCCCCTACAGAACCAGGTTCTCTAGGCTCAGCTACTTGACAACTGGGCTTAATTTTTTGCAGAATATTAATCTGCATAGCCCTATAAAACCCTTTTAGCTTCTATCTGAATAACCCCATAAAAATGAACACAACCAAAAAAAAGATGATGAAAAAATAGTGGAATTGGAATTGGAATTGAATTTGTTAGTGACTGACCTCGAATTACTTCTTCTCTCATTCTCATTATCTTAAAATCGCATCAGGGTAGAAAAACATAGTGTATTTTGAGATGAGAGAGAGAAAGAGAGAGAGTAATTTGATCTGAAAATCGGAGATGCAAAATGACACACCCAATTAGTTAGTTGAGTAGAAATATAATTTGTACAATATTTTTAGTGAGGTTTCCGGCTACTAATTAATTAGTTTTTTTCAAAGACTACATTTTTGCCAATTTCAGGCCTATCGAAAACCGAGCCTAGAATGAGCCTAAATATTTATTAGGGAATTTCAGGCCTGGCTAAATGTAGGCCTGAATTTTTCAGAAAAAAAATCAGAAATTTTTTTTCTCCAAGAATTCAGAATTTTTCAGATTCAAAATTACAGATTAAAAAAATTCAGAAATTTTCAAATTCAAAAAAAAATCCGAAAATTTTCAGATTTTACAAAACTTTAGAAATTTTACTTCTCCAAAATTTTCAAATTCAAAAAAATCAACAAATTTTCCGAATTTCAAATTTCCGTTACAAAAATGTTCAAAATTATTCTGGGTACCAAGGGATCCACCAAACTAGAAAAAAAATCAAAATTTAAAAAATACTTTTTACAGTCGATAAATGTTTATTCACAAAAAAATCAATCTTTAAATGCTTATATTTTTCGGGGGAAAAAATTATTCAACAAAATAAAACCCGCTGGAAAAAATAGAAAAAGGTCGTCGGGGAAAAAAGTTGTTCAAAAAATAATGAAAACAATTGCACTTTTCAGGTTTTTTTAACTAATTCTTCTTATCAATAAAAGTTAAGGGTAGTTTGAGCAATAAAAATTGGAATTAGGGGAAAAAGGGTCAGGATTCAAGTTTTTCGTTAGTATTTTTTTGAATTTCCGCCATTTTTTGACGCATTTTCGAGCGCATTTCAGCTCTTCGAGCTTCCGCAGCTTGACGTTGTTTCTCAATTTTCTCCTTCGCTTCTGCACTCATCTCAACTTTCTTTTTCGGCACAACTTTCTTCGGCTCAATTTTCTTCACCTCTTCTTTCTCTTCTTCCACAGCTTCAGGATTCCATTGAGCATTTCGGAATTTCTCAACTTTTTCAAATTCTTTTCGAATTCCACTCAATTCCATATCAATTGTCGCCCAAAATGCTTCCAAATCAGCGGAATTAACAGGCATTGGATCGCCTTCGATGGGTTTCAAATATTTTCCGATCAACTCTTCAAATTTTCCAAACTTTTTTCGGACCAATAAATGCGCATTTCCGTTGGCAGCTCGAAGGGAATCAGCGCAAATTTCGGGTAGATCCTGCAACATTTATATATTGTTGAAAAGTTGTTCTACATCAAAATGTTTGAGTAAAAAAAAACGTAAATTTTTGAAAATTTTAAATTTTAAAGGGTCACAACGCGAAAAATCGGGTTAATGTGGTTTTTGGCGGGAAGATTTTCAATATATTTTTCAAAAACAAATTGTTCTAAATTGCCACGTTCTTGTCCAAAAATATTTCTATCTTTATATTTTTGCACAAAAAATTTAAAAAATTCTACTGTAGCTTTTAGCTTTCGCGCGAAAATTTTCAAAATTTAAAAAATTTCTCGTGGCATTTTTGGTTTCAGAAAAATGGTCTCAACGCCAAAAATCGGGTTACTGTGGTTTTTGGCGGGAAATTTTTCAATTTTCAAATTTTCCCCCAAAAACACCAAAACTCACATCAACATTTTCCAAATCCTTGCTAGCTTCTTCCATTTTCTGCTGCAACTCCTTTTTGACACTATCATGCAGTTTCTGGAACTCATTCTCATTTTCCTCTGAATTTTCAGCTTCTCCTGCTGCTCTCTTCGAACTTTCCGGTGAAAAATTCCCAGATCCCGAAATTCCACTATCACTTTCAACATCTAACGCAATTTTAAAGTGTTCTCCAGGTTGACTATTATTATCTTCTCCATTTGTTGTGGCGGTGCTTCCGATCTCAACATCTTCAAAATCTGAAGATTTCGATTTTTCCGACACTTCCTCAGTTGTCTCATTTCCATTCGGATCTTTCTCGAATTCCTAAATTTTTTAATTTTGTTTTAAATTTTTAGGCTTAGCAAAAAGTTACCTGCACTGTCTCATTAATAATCAATCGATGTGGTTGAATTTTCTCCACATTTTCATCATCTTTCAAATCCTCTTTTTTGATCGAACCACACAAATCGAGGCTGTCGAATTTGTTGATCAAATCCCGGATCGGTTGAGGAGTCGACACATTATTTCCCATATTTTGAATCGCTTGAATTCGATTGTTTTTTGGTTGAAGTGGAGTGGATCTGGAAAAAAGAAAAGAATGAGGAATGAGAGTTATTTATTGGGAAAAGGGGTCAGGGGTATGAAAAAAAGAGGATTCGGTTAAAAATATATAAATTACGTGATAATGTTTGAGGATTAGTTTAGACTAGAGTCTATTTAGAGCCTGGTTTAGACCAGACATATTCAGACTTGAGCCTAAGATTTGGGCTTAAGTCTTAGACTTAAGCCTATGTAGACTAGAGTCTATTTAAAGCCATGGGCCCTAAAATTGGGAAGGGAAATTTTAGAGTAATTTTACATTTTTTAAAATTAGGGTAAATTTAGGTAATAAATTTTGAGGTAAGCTTTTGGGCCGAAATTTCATAAAATGAAATTTGATGCTTTTCTGAAATTAAATTAATATTCAAAATCTTCCAATATCCAGCTTTCCCCGAGTTTTTCAGGCTGAAAATCACATTCAAAAATCAATCAGAAAATGAAACCCAAAAATATTGCAATCAATCATCATCATCAATTGATAAATTAATAAATATATACCGGGAGAAAATATAATATATATTGAAAAATGACAAAATGAATGGAGAAAGTGGCGGATCATGCGCGAAAAAGTGTTCGTCGTGTGTGTGATAGATATGTCAATAATAGAATATGGCCGCCTATCACCAAACTATGTTTATTTTTTTGGAAGGCAAAAAACGAAGGGAGAGAAAAAACTTGGAAGGGAAGGCTTCCCTGCTTGACATAGAAGCTCTCAAGGCGTGGCTCCTTGCCAAAGTGGATCTCTAGGCGTGGCTCCTAGACACCTAGGTTCGCTAGGCTCAGCTACTAGACACAAGTTCTAATATTTTAATGCTAACAACATAGGAATCAAAAATCTCGAAGAGGAAGAAGAAAACCCTAATTGAATTGTAAACAACAAAAAGTACTATTACACAACTTTTAACCAGTTATTGATTATTAGAAATATATTTATTAAAATATTTCATTTAGGTGAGTCATTTGGAATTTTTTTTGATAAAAAATTACTAAACCGATTAAAAATTGAAAAAAATTCGTTTTTTTACGCAAATGGGTTGAAATAGTTTTTATAGGATAAAACATTTTCGAATGATTTGAATATTGATGAATTTACGTTACCCATAAGTGACTTAGTGACTTTTTCAGGCTTAAGGTCTAAAAAATCCACTAAAAGCCGCTAAATCACTTATAGCTAACGTAAATTCATCAAAATTTATATCATTCGAATAGTCTCAGGGCTATCTATCCTAAGAATAAAATTCAAAAATCTCAAAAGTATTTGAAAATCAATTTTCCACCAAGCAACAGTTTTTTTCCTCTGTGACCTCGTTGAGATAGATATCAAATTACTCGCAAAAAATGTTTATTTTCGAGATCACAGACGTATTTGGGAGGACATAGAAACTGGGAGGGGACCAAAACTGTCAGTCAAATAAACACAGCAAAAATGTGTCATAAACGTATAGTGTAAGAAAACAAACAAAACTAATTTCTATTATTATTTGTATTTTTAAGGTTTTCGCCCCGCCAATAAAAAATCAGGCGGAACAGAGCAAATAATTTGCCGGGCTGTTATCCGCGCATTAAAAAACCATATATATATTTACATTAATCGCATTGTGTTGTTAGTGGAACGAAGAAGAAGAAGAAACAAAGTCGAAATTCGGACGAGAAGAAAAAAGATTCTAATCGGAAATAACAACAAGGTCGAACGATTTACCTCATCTTTCTCTTATTTACGGATTTTCTTCTTTTACTCATTATCAAAGATTATAATTGTATACAGGGTGACAACAAATTATAGCGACAAATTCCACTAACTCTGGTGACTGTCGTACTTAACCGATCTCTATGAAAATTTTTTTGAGACTTTCCTGACTATCCAGGACCACGCAGAAAAAATATCAAGAGTTCTCGGAAAGTTCACAATATTTTTTCTGCCCTTCGAAGAGTTATGAAAAATCTTTCCGTACTCGCTAGATACTTTGTTCAACAAAAATTTTCCCTGGCTGATAAATTTCATATTTCTCGCTCAAAATAGTTTTTCTAGATCATAATACACACTGTTTCACAGTTATAACAATTTCTGATCTTCAAATGAGTAATCCACCGGGATTCAATTATCATGAATTTTCGGAATTTTGTGAATTTTCAAATCATGTCAAAATTAAAAAATGTCCCAATATTTTTTTTTCAACGATGTTAATGTTTCAAATTGTTCCAAAGGTGTTTAGTGAATGTTCTTATATCACGAATATGATTTTCAAAAATAAAATTTGAAAGAAATGCAACTTTTCCAAAAATCATAATTTCTCAAAATCCATCAGTTGATTCTGATCATCCGTTAATAACTCTAATAAATGAAGAGGATTCATGCTCAAAATTTTTTTCGACAATTTTTGATAGTATTCAGACTATTTGCAATCATTCATACTTATAAATATTGGAATTGTTTCCCCAGATTTCAATTTTATCAAAAAATGAAATTGTGATACTCGCAAGTGTTGGTTCAATATAACCACATCTAAAAAAGTCTGAAAGTCGGGTAGCTGTAATAATATTTGTGCTGAACCTTCCCCAATACTTACTTTACCTAAACTAAAAATTATAGTTATGAAATATTACTTACAGACATGAAACAATTAGCCGATAAAATATCGAAAATTAAAAAAATCGTCAAAAAGCGAAATTTTGAAAACCATCGTTTTCCAACTTTGTGAAATTTTTTGTGTTCATAATCAAAAACAAGTTAGTATACTAATTAGGAACTATAAAATGATGGTTTTTGAGAAAATTTGAGCAATGAAATCATAAAAAATTGCTGCGTGATTACTGTCAGATCAGCATATACTTTTGTCGCTATAATTTGTTGTCACCCTGTATAGTAATAGTGATGGAATACACAACTACAATATACAAAAATGTATAATCACACCATATAAAATGAAAGGCGAAGTATAAAAACAGATGTAAAAGGACATCTGGTGAAGTGAAGTAATGCTATTTTTGGGAAAAGAAATTGTGAACACCTGGGGTGATTTTGAAGGTTGATTGTGGTACGTTTTGAGAACGATAAAATAAAATATGGAGGTTTCGGAAAATCATAGGAAAGGGGGCTGAATCGGAGCAGGAGCAGAGCAAATTCTGGGGCCGAAAAAAGGTCCATAATCAATTAGTGAAAAAACATTTGGCGTACCAAAAAATTTTGTTTTTGGTACCGTATACCACTTTTATGAATTCGGCCCCAGATGGACCCGAAATCTTCAGATTTTTAACAAAATTCGGAACGGGATCAGCATTTCCAGAATATCCGATTCAACCTCTCCTAAAATACATTTTTTAAGAAAAATTGAAAATTATTCGAAATTTTCCACGTTTTTTTTCAAAAACTAAAATAATTCCTAAAATTAAGTCAAGCTTTAACTTGAGCTTTGACTAAGCGCTCCCTGTTCCGAAAAATTCGAAATTTCTCCAATAACTCAAATCTAACTCCTCTAAAATCATAACTTAGCCTAACCCTACCTTGAAAAAGCGGATATTTCTTCAAAACAACCGAAATAGATATAATACCAATTCCAATTCTTTTCTTTTCTAACAATACCAATAAAACCGAAAAGGTGTGAAAAGTATAAAGAAACGCCTCTTTCGAACATCTGTTATTTCTTCTTCTTTTCATTTTCCAAAAAGGCAATTATACCTGCCTGCCTGCTTGCTTGCTACCTACTGTGTGTTTTTTTTTGCTATTTGGCTAAGGTGTGTACGTTTGAAGGACAAAGCTTCAAAAGTTGAGAGCGAATCTCAATTGGCTTATTATATTATAATTTTCTGGAAAAATATACAGTCTAGATCTAATTATGATGGAAAGTGCAAGAAAAAAAAACGAGGAAATAATTGGATACAATTTTTGTGATGGAGAAAATTGGAATTTACATATAAATGAAACGAGAGGAACAAAAATGAACCAAGAAAAATTGTTCATAAATTTGACAGCTTCGAGGATTTCTTCAGTGAAGAAGGTTTTCCGGAAGCCAATTTTCAGAGCCAAATTTAAAAAAAAATTAAATTCTAATTTTAACCTAGAATTTTCTTGAATACATCTGTCAGAAAGCACTTTGTGCACTTACAATTGAACTAAAAAGTTGGCTCAGATAATCCAGTTTTCTCATTAATTTTGAATGTGTTCAATGGGAGAATAGGGTTAAAATGGACTAAATCTCGTGAAAATTCAACTTTCGCGCGAAAATCCAAAAAACCTGAAGAAATAATTTTTGAAGTGAAAAAAATACTGATTTTCGTCTTCAAAAAAATTATTCGGGATTTCTAAGCAAAGGTATCCTGCATTGAAATTTTCAAAATAAAATTGGGATGCTGTCGAAATAGACCAGAGTTCGAATCCCGGTTCCCGAAATCATTTTTTTCAAAAAAAAAACCTCTGGACACTAAGGATTCTGGTACAGAAAATGTCTGCTGTAATTTCAGATTCTGGATTTTTCGTGGCTGAACTTACTTGAAATAAATTCAAGTTCGACCAAACAACATTTGAAAATTAAGAATGTCAGATGATTTCAGCAGAACAAAATTCAAAAGTCACAAAGCAGCACCAAACTATGTATAAAAATATTCAAAAATATTCAATTTTTGCCTCCAAAACTAAACAACTAACATCAAAAAATAATGAAACATGACAAACATTCGAGGCCTAATAACAAAAGAGAGGAACACATGTATTTTATTATTATTTTTTCACATGGCTGAATCTTCTCTTTAATTATGATGACAGAAGGGCCACTTGACTGCGGATAGAACGAAAAGCATGGAAAAAACGAGGAGAAATTGGATATGACCAAAAATGACGAAGAATAGAATGGAGATGAGATGACCAAAAGCAATATGTTACAAAATGTATGAATTACATTTAGCGTAACTTGGAAGAGAAACTAAGTGGATTAAAATCCTGAATAGGGTCAGGTCACGGTTGAGGAATTCGAACAAGAACAAGAACAAGAAAAAAAAGGAACTTGGAGAAATATGTAAGGATGACTCTTATGAATATTTCAGGGGGAAAAAGAACGTGTCATATTTCTGGTGGAGAATTTTTTGAGCTTCAAAGGACGTACCGCCAGCCAATCAAAACAAAATAACAAATGATTCACTTCCTGGATTTAATGAGAAATCCCAGAATTCTCTAATTTCCGTATAGAAATTTTTGGGGGAAAATATTGTCGACACATTTAAATTATACAAATTTCAACAGAAAAATGATAATTTTTGGGCTCAAAATTTTTCAAAGAGGCTTGAGAATTTTCATTCAAATTCTGTTTTTTCACAGATTCAGAACTCAGAATCAGATTTTTTTCTAGGAATTCAAAGTTCCCCTCAAAAATCGGCTGAAAATTTAAATTTGATAGAAAAATGTGCAAAAATTTTCCAAATGACGAAAATTTTGAAAAATGTCTGAAATAGGTAGCTCAGTGGAAATGGTGGCTGCTGTCAATCTTCGGGTCACAGGTTCGATTCCCAGTGCGCGCTAATCTCGCCTAGAGCCTCTCAAAACCAAATTTTCACACAAGTCTCAATTTTCAGGTCCAAAACGATAAAAAACCTCATAAAAACCCTCTCGACCTCCCCAAAAAACCGCAACACAGAAAAAAACCACCACATCAGATTGTAAAACCAGTTTTCGCACCTCTCTGTTTTCTACTCCACTACTACTAAGCTATGCATTAAATACGGGGCTTCGGATTATAAATTCATTCAGACGCGAAAAAAAGAAGAAGAAGAAACAACCAAAAAAAGAAGCATTTTTGGTCGAAGAAACAACAACAAAATAGTAGTAAAGGAAAGCAGTAACATTTTCGTGTGGTGTAAAAAAAAGCCCAAGACTATGTAGTGTAAAATACACCAATTGGCTTATTATTCACACTATTATGAACACACCTGTTCAATGCTGAAAATATGCTTTATTCTTTCAGATTTTTGCGCACTTTTTCAGGTTCAAAATATTTGGAATTTTTTGAGAAGACGAAAAAAAATGAAAATGTTTGGATGGATTCAAAAGCAATTCATAATAAAAAGGACAAAAGACATTTTTTGGAGAATAGAAAGAAATAGAAAAATGTGAAAAAATGGGTGGCACAATTTAACCTTTGATCAAAAAATTTCAACTTCAGAAAATTTGAATTTTTGAAAGCCAAGTGGATTTTTGATGGAATTAAATTTGAATTTTGAAAATCTCTCCTATCGTATTTGGTCTCAAAATTCCCCAAATTTCAGCCCGCCCAAAAAAAACTCACACTTCAAAATTCGAATGTGCCGATTTCGATTCCGAACTTGTTGAAACATGCGTTACAATTGGACTCGAAAATTCATTATTTCGTGCCTGTGGTTGATTGAACATTTTTAATCTTCTTTCAACTAAACTTTCACCCATGTGTCGAATTGCTTCTGATGCTTCACTATCCACTTTTTTCGGAGATCTGGAAAAAAACACATTTGGAATCTGAAGTTAGGGTGAAGAACCCTGAAGAATCTTAAGCCTAATGAATCTTGAGCCTAAAGAACCCTAAGCATGAGCTTAATTAGTCCAAAGTCTAATACCTAAATTCTAAGAGCCTAAAGCTTCAACCCTAAGCCTAAAAATATCTGAAAATCAATTTTTTGAACAAGTTTCATATCAAAAGAATGCTGGATCCTTATCAGTTTCAAATTTATTTTTTAATGAAAAAAACAAATACGATAAAAATTTGCCGTTCGATTTTTTTCATTGAAAAATAATCGGGTCAAAATGAGGGTTATAATTAAATTCTAGGATTTATTAATGACAACTTTTGATGTGAATTTCTTCGAATCAAATAAATGAGATGTTATCTTTGAGATTTATATGAATTTAATCGTGTTTTCTTTGTTTTGGTGTTCAAAAACAAAAACTTTTCAGCCATAATAATAATTCACTTCCTTAAAAATGCCACGTGGCAAAATTTTTAATTTTTGAGAAATTTTCAGCACTCAAATTTTAAAATTCGATTTTTCCATGAGAGGTGGATTTTTTGACGACAGAAAATTTTAATTTCAAAGCTTTTCGAAGCGCCGAAAAATTTCCAAGAAATTGGACACATTTGTCGCGCGCTTTTCTGCAAAAGTTGCACTACGGTACACAATGTGTGCATTTGTGCGTCGCGGTGTTTACACACAACCTAGTATTCTGTGATGGGGTGATTCAGGTCGAAAAAAAAACTAAAAAAAAACATTTTTTTACAAAAAAATTCGATTCAGCAAATGTCAAAAAACTATATTTTTTTCCACACAAAAATGAGAGATATCTCGCAGCGAAAATGTTTCAATGAAAAAAAATGTCAAAAAATGTCGAGAAATAGAAAAAAATATAGTTTTTTGACATTTGCTGAATCGAATTTTTTTTGTAAAAAAAAGTTTTTTTTTAGTTTTTTTTTCGACCTGAATCACCCCATGATTTTTCAGCAGTTTAGAGGAATTTTCATTGAAGAAGTGAGTAAAAAATCTAGGAAAATTTACGTTTCAAAATTTTCATAATTGTTTTTCTGGAACTATCAATTCTGATCCTTTTCGCATTCTTGCTTTCTAGATAAGGTTGAGATTTTTTGAGTTTCGAAGGAATACAAATTCTATTGCCAATTCAAGTTTTGAAAAATCAACCGAAACCCAAATTAAGTCTTAGCCTAACCCTAATAATTTGATTTTTCAGTATTCAATTCATGTGGTTGGTCTTCACCGAGCAACAATTCAAAAATTATCATTACCAACTTGTACAATTTCGAAAATCGAGGAACCATCCGGTACTAGATGTTATTTCATATTTTCAAACTACGAATTATTTATTTTCAGCAATTCTTGAACATTTCTCGCGAAAATTCAAAAAAAAATCGCGGTTTTTTAATGATTTTTCAGCAACTCACTTGCTATAACCATAAATCGAACAAGACAATTTCAAATAACTGGGAGTTCGGCTAACATTTTCACCAATCTCAATATTTCCAGTCGTCAAATCATTCTCCGACAAAAATCCACGTGGCGACTTTTCCCCAAAACCAAAATCATCATCAGGCATTGTGACCTACAATGAATATGCTTTGAATATATTATTTCCGGTGTGAAAAACACAAAAAACCCAAAAAAAAACGAACATGATAATTGCGAGTTGTGACATTCCTCAAATCCATTTCTGACATTGCGCCGGAACTAAATGTGACATGATTTTGTCGAGAAAAATGACTATTTGGGGTGGTTTTGATGGCGTTCGCCAAATCTTGCTCAGATTTCATAATTCCACCCGGCTGGCGACCTTTTAAAGGTTTTGGTGTTGATTCGCTTGATTCGGCCTGCAATTTTATTTTTTGAGAAGAAGGGGAGGGGATTCAAAATATTTTTTCTAGAACTTTTCAATCCGCTGATCACGATCCCGTCGTCGAAAATTGTAGAACATGAGTTATGACGTGGCAAAGTTCGAAAATATTGAAAATGCTCAAATATTGATGTATGAGCCTCAAAATGAATTTACTTCACAAAAAATTGAAGAATACACATATGGCCGAACTATTTGAGTGGCCTAGAAATGTCGGGAATTCGTCCAACATTAATAATTTCAGTAAGATTAGAGCGAATGTGTTGCATTGGCCGAATTCCTGACATTTTTAGGCCACTCAAATAGTTCGGCCATATATGTATTACATTTTTTCTGAAGTAAACTCATTTTGAGCCTCTCACATCAATATTTGAGCATTTTCAAATGTGCTCCATCTAATTTCTTGCTCATTTCTCAATATTTTCGAAATTTGCCACGTCATAACTCAAGTTACGAGTTAAGTTCTGCGATTTTTCCTGACGGGACCATGATCAGAACTTCTAGAAATCATTTTTCGTTCAAAAACTCACTCTGTTTCTGCTACTCGATCTAAAATTCGAAAATCTTCTAAAAAATTCTCCGAGCTGGCGAATCCTTGTGCTCCTTCTCTTTCAAATTTCCATCAGATTTCGAAGATGAAACTGAATTTTGAATCAAATCTTCATCTTTTGAAGTCGATGTTGAGGAAGAAGAAGAAATTGGGTTATGATGACTGAAAATTTTAGAAATTAAATAGAATATTTGTTATAAGAAAACTTACATATCGGTTTTTTTGCTGTTATTATGAATTGTTTCATCAGAAATATCACGGCTTTTACTTCGATTGAAACGACCAAAGAATGCACCTAAAAATCACAAAAGTATTAATTGGTTAAGGTTTTGGTTCAGTCTAAAGATTTGTGCGAATTTCTTGGTTCCCCCCAAAAAATCCAGATTTTTTTACGTTTCGAAATTTTTATGAGAGAACATTTCAAAAGCCAAAATTTGCTTCTAGAACATTTTATCCAAAAAAATTCTTTAAAATCAATTACAGACTCATTTTGGAGCTCTGTAACTTCGATCACAGATTAGTTCCAGTTCTAGAAATTTTTTGGATAAATTTTAAATCTTGTTTCTGAAAAAAAGCCCCTTGTAATCTAAAAAAAAACCCACCAATTGCAGTTTTCTTCGCCGGTTTTTCCATGTTCTCTGAAAAACAAAATGAAAAAAAAACTCTTTTTTGGTTCAAGATAGGCTAAAAAGCTGGCTGAAAATAAACAACAAGCCAAAAAACGGAAACACGAAAAGAGAGAAGAACAATAAAAAACACATTTATTAAGGGGAAAAAAAAAGAGAAAACCATAGAACAAAGAAAATTGAAGTGGTTTAATTTAAAATAATTAATTAATAACATGAGATCTAAAATCACTAATTATTCATAAACTAATTAAAATAACCGTAAAAGTGAGGGCTTACAACAACAAAAAACTCGTGGAAAACTAAGTTTTTCGGGTGAAAGAACTTTTGAAAAAAACAAAAAACAATTCAAAGTGAAACTTGTCAACAATTTAAAATTTATGAAATAAAAAATAAATCGAAATTGACATTTTTACTACTAGTATCGGATGAAAAATAGGCAGATAAATCTATCAAAAAAGTGAGAAAACACATGTTGTGCCGAGTGGTCAATTTTGTGTAAAAATTGGATTGGAAATTGGAGAATGAAAATGTGAAAAGATGAGTTATTACTAAATATTTCTATTTCAAGGTTCTTCTTCTTCTGTTTAAATACAAAAATATCCATCGATCAAAATTAATAATCCCATGGCAACCTGAACCGGTCAATGAATAGAAAAGAAAAGAAATGGCTAATTATTATGAAGAGACCACTCAAAAGTAGAACAAAACAAAACATTCTCACATACACCAAAAAAAGCAGATGTGTGCTGAGGTTTTTGGAAGTTTCTTGCAGATGTGTAAACAAAATGAGCTATTATCCGATTCGGTTTTCATGGAAACTAGAGGAAAAACTACGAAATCTAGGGGATAGAGTATAGATTTTATAGTAGTTCTCTCAACCTTCTGATCACAACCCCATCGTCAAAAATAGCAAAACTCAACTTCTAAGATGAGTTATGACGTGGCAAAGCTTGAAAGTTTGTGACTTCACAAGGCTATAACTGGATTCAACAATGAATTTCTTGAGAAGAACCTCCTGAGCAACACAGATTCTTATGAAAATCCTTCTTGAATTCAGTTATAACCTTGTGAAGTCACAAATTTTCAAGCTTTTCCACGTCATAACTCATCTTGGAATATGAGTTCTACTATTTTTAACGATGGTATCGTGATCAGAAGTTCGAAAACTACTATACTTTCTGAAAAATGTATCATTTACTTACTTTTGATAAAAAATGTGGAAATGAGGTAAAACGATAAAAATGTTTCACGTGAATTAAACACGTTTTTGGTACACGTACTCAAAATGCTTTCATTTATTTATTAATGAGTCTCATTTCTCATTTAACCCTGGGAATTATTAGGTTCAATAAATACCCAATATCAAAAATACTATTTACAAGATTGTGAGTTTTCTGGAAAAATACCAAACCTGACAACGAATATCATATTATTATAATGGTTCTTGTTTGATGTTTGGTATAAGTGGCACTAGTTTTTCTTCTTCCTCTTCTTCATCGGAAGTTGGTGGAACTTCTTGTTTGATTTTGATTCTGTCACAAACTTCTTGTTTCACTTTAAAATCCATAATCATTCGAATCAGCGCTTCTTTCTGCTCTTTCTCGTGTTCTTTTCCAAATTCGTGTCGCATTTTTACAGCATTCATTACGTGTAAATTTGTTCTACAAATGTTTTATTTATCAGTGAAGTGATTTAGAAAAAAAACTCACTGTAGCAGATGAAATTCTTTGACTCCCAAAGCTTTTTCCAATCTCTTATCACAAGTTACGATTTTGTCGGTGGTGTTGTATAGTTTGTTGTGTTTGATATAATGTGTAACTCTTCGTCTTGCCTATAATATCAAGAGTTAGAATAACAGAATGTGAAGCATAAAATAAACTAACTTCTTTACCAATCAATATCGATTCATTTGTTATTTTTTGCAAATCGGCTGGGCAATAGACAAGTCTTTCCTTCCAAACCCTCTTTTTACTGAAACATTTGTAGGGTTTTTGCACTATAACCAATGGCGATTTCCTTTAAAATGATGTTAAAATTATTTTGAAAAAAAAACAAATAAAACTTACTGTTTTGCCGTAGTTTTCGATATTTCCACAGGCTTCTTTTTGAAGTACGCTTTTTCCAATCTTAGTGTTGTCAAATGTTTTGCATTAACAACTCGCTGTAAAGATTTGTTTTTCTTCGAATGGTTAAAAAATAGTCAAGAACTTACCGATCTTAGTTTTCTATTGAAGCAAGGCGTCTCTTTAGGCATATTTAGAAGCAAATAGACAGGTTTTTCGTGCACGAACCGCAAAAATTTGAAAAATTTTGAGTAAACAAACAGCTACGGTGCGCGATTGCGGAAAAAGTGTTTGCACACTTGCGTACCGTATACCCAGAAAATTTGAAAAAATAAATTTTTTTATTTTCGTCAGTTGAGAAATTGTGGAATATTTCGAAATACTTTTTATGTCTCCCGATAAAAAATGTATATTTAATTGCTTTGTTGGGAAGCACACTCTCACAAAGTTTTTTGCTCATTTTTACGATTTTTAAAAACATATTTTTTGAATTTAAGGTAATAGTATGAATACACAACAATCGTCTGGAGACAATGCGATTGTTGGAGGAAAATTCAGCAGCAATGCACAGCCACGAAAGCCTGCCAATTTCGATAATACGAAAAAGTTCCAGCCGAAACAATACAAGAAAATATTCACAGAATATGTTTCGGATGAAGAGGCAAACGCTGGACTTTTGGATAAAACAATGTTCAAAGGATCGATAAGAATAAATCCGAAAAACTATCAAGAATGTTTTCTTGACAATCCGAAAGGAACAATATTTCCTGATGTTTTGTGTGCTGGACAAGATCGAAATCGAGCAATGCATGGAGATATTGTTCTAGTCAAATATAAAAATCGCTTGGACTTTTTGATAAACTTTGGAGAATATCTAAAATGGTGGAAATCAAGCCCAAAGGGAGATCAAGGTCGAAAACCAGCAAAAAAAGATGAAAAACGAACTCTGAAGCAAGAAATTGATGAATATAAAATTGATAGTGATTCAGTTCCGGATAATTGCCTAATTCCAACCGGTTCAGTGGTCCGAATCGAAGAAAAACGACATCATCGTGTTGCAGCGGGAAAACTGCAATTAATGACCAATAATGCGTATAATGTTCTATTTGTTTCGTCAGATTCAAGAATTCCTCGAATAATGATACCAAGATCAGATGTTGATCCTGAATTCTTCAATAGACCAGCCGATTTTGAACGATTTTTATATACTGCAAAAATGACAGATTGGAGAACTGAATCTATATATGCTGATGGTCGTTTAGTTAAATTACTAGGTGAAAGTGGAACTATTGGGGTATGTTAAGTTCTAATTCTCTGCTAACTATTAAAATCTTGAATCATTTTTCAGCCAGAAACTGACAAAATCATTTTCGAAAATCAAATCGATAATCGCGATTTCTCCGATGGTTGTCTTGCAAGTCTTCCAATCACAGAAGCTTCGGAATGGAAAATTCCAGAAGAGGAATTCAAATATCGCCGAGATTTCAGAAATGATATGGTTTTCACAATTGATCCCAAAACTGCGCGAGATTTAGATGATGCATTATCGATTAATCATATTGATGATTGTGATGGAAAAGGAACACCTGGATTTGAAATTGGTATTCATATTGCAGATGTTACTTATTTTGTGAAAGATTTGACTGAATTGGATAAATGGGCAGAGCAAAGGGGAAATTCGACGTATTTAGCTCAGATGGTGATTCCAATGCTTCCACGAATTCTTTGTGAACAACTTTGTTCATTGAATCCTGGAGTTGATCGACTATCATTTTCAACTGTTGTAAAAGTCAATTATGAAGCTGAGGTTTGTTTTAAAAAACAGTTTATAAGGGATTTACATCAGGTTGATAATGGCTCTGAGAAATCGTCTCTCGTAGAACTGAATGCGCTGATCACGATTTCAGAGTTCAAAATTGCAGAACTCAAATCCTAATATGTGTTGTGACGTGGCAAAGTATGAAGCATTTGAAAAGTCGTGACTTCAGAAGATTATAACAAGCTTTAAAAATGATTTTCATAAAAATCTGATAGCGTGGCGTTGTTCAGGATAAGTATAGAAGTTCATTAAGAAATCCGAACAGAAAAGTTTGAAATCCGCGAAAAATAATCTTATAAACGGCTAAAAAATGAAGAAATCAAGTCATAAAAATATTTTTTGCGGGTTTCAAACTTTTCTGAAAAATTCTACGGATTTCTTAATGAACTTCTATACTTATCCTGAACAACGCTAGGCTCTCAGATTTTCATGAAAATCATTTTTGAACCAAGTTATAACCTTCTGAAGTCCCGATTTTTGAAAATTTGCCACGTCATAACTCATATTAGAAGTTGAGTTTTGTAATTTTAGACAACTTGATCGTGATCAGCGTGTCGAGTTCTATAAAGTACGATTTTCTTACTTTTCGAAAGCCGTTGTTAAAAATTAAAAAAAAAAACTGAAAAAAAGTAATTTCCAAACGTGAAGTTTTCACGTAATTTACAAAAAAAAACATTATTCATTTCAAAAAAATTAGAAAAAAAGCGAAAATGCTTAAAGAATGGATATTTGTACAACAATAATAAACATAATAAACAATCGACAAACATTTGTAATAATCTAGTTTTATCTCTTTTTGACGACAAAATGAATTGACAGAAAAAAGAAGAAGAACTTTATATTTTCACTCTCAGATCAAAGATGTGTGGTTTGGTCGAACAATAATTCGATCGCGTGTCAAACTTGCTTATGAACATGCTCAAGATTTCATCGAAAACCCGGAAAAAGATTTCGCGCCCGAAGAATTGCCTGAAATATCTGATGGAGTTTTGCCATATGAGATTAAAGAGAAGGTTCTTATGCTTCATCGAGTTGCTCAGATTATGCGAGCAAGGCGGGAAGAAAATGGAGCACTTCGAATTGAGCAACCGAGATTGAAGTTTTCTGTTGATCCAGAGACGAAGCAGCCAATTGGAGTTAGCGTATATGAGGTTTAATATTAAATTTTAAAAATGAAAATAAAAATCTATCTTCCATTTTTTTTCAGATTCGAGACTCAAACAAACTCGTCGAAGAATTCATGTTGCTTGCAAATATGGAAGTTGCTAAGAAAATCGAAAAAGAGTTTCCAGAACACGCTTTTCTTCGAAATCATCCACCACCAAAGGAAAAGAAGATGAAAGAAGCCGCGGAATTATGCGCGAAAATTGGTTTTACACTTGATGGAAATTCATCATCGCTTCTCGCGAATTCTTTCAAAAAATATAATCAGAATTCGAAGTTGCATATGTGTATTAGACAGGTTAGGGGACATTTTGGGGGTATATTTCACCTCCAAGATCCGGTGGAATAAAATCATGTGAAAAATAATTTAGGTGATCTCATCTATCACAATCAAACCAATGCAACAAGCTAAATACTTCTGTGTTTCGGGTCAGGATTATTATCGACATTTTGCACTCAATGTTGAAAGGTGAATATTTTGGGGTTGATTTCGTCAAGGATCAGTGCCTAGAGAGCATAGTTGTCAAGTGACAACGCCTTGAAAATTCAAATGTCAAGGATTATCGCCTATAGAGTCTAGTTGTCAAGTAGCCGCGCCTTCAGAACTAGTATGCCAAGTAGCCGCGCCTATACATCCTAGGTTCCAAGTAGCCGAGCCTAGAAAATTACATTCTCAAGTATCAGCGCCTAGAGAGCATATGAAATCATAATTCGCACAGAAAAATTTTTTAGTCTGTAGTTTCAGATTCTGAATGTGCTAAGGTCAAAATTTTGATTTTTCATAGTGATTTCACAACTTCAAAACTTTTTGCATTAAAAATTCCACATTTTCAAAGTCAAAGTTCAGATTTTTACATATTTCCTCTCCATAACCCCAATCAAAATTTTCCTAAAGTTTATAATGAGCAATGACTTCAATAATGTTCAGCCTAAAGAAAAGAAATATTTAGGTTTTCAGACTTCCCCTTCATAATTTCCCCTCAATTTTCCAGATATACCCATTTCACCTCCCCAATCCGTCGTTATCCCGATATGATTGTTCATCGTCAACTTGCCGCATCTCTTGGATATTGCTCTCCACCATCTCAAAATGCAGAAGAGCTTCAACAAATCGCCAATCATTGTAATGAAACAAAACTTGCATCGAAAACAGCTTCAGAAGCATCTTCGGAGTTGTATTTTGGAGTTTTTGTTCATGTAAGTTGCGGGTTAATTTTTTGTAGCGAAGTTTTCTGTTTTCAGGCTTCGGGAAAATTCCAATCACAAGCTGTTGTTATTGGCGTCATGGATAAAGCATTTGATGTGATTATTGTGAATTATGGTGTTGTTAAACGGGTTTATTGTGATGTGAGTTAATTTTGAGACCTGAGATTCAAAAAAATTCTCGATTTTTCCAGAAACTTAAAGCAAGTATCAAACAATATGATGAAAATGGAGATAAATTGGTTTTGGAATGGCTGGAAGATCCAGAAGCTGAGCCAGGAAATCGCGAGAAATTCGAAAGTGTAGGCTTTTTTCTTTTTCAAAATTGAGAGCTTCTGATTTTTGTGGGCCAGAGTGAATTTTGATTTAAAAAAATTAAATTTGATTATTTTTTGGTGCTAAAAATTTGGATTTTTTTGAAAAATAATTTTTTTTCGGAATTTTGGCTTCCAGAAATCTATTGAATCCTGGGTTTTAGCTACGTGGATTTTTTCTTTTTTTTTGAAAAAAAATTCGAATTTTTGAAAATAATTTTTTTCCAAATTTTTGGCGTCACAAATTTACAGTAACCCGACTTTTTTTCAGCCACGTGGATTTTTTTGGTGCTAAAAATTTGAATTCTTGAAAAAATAAATTTCTGGAATTTTGGGCGATATAAATAAATCTTTGGAATCCTGATTTTCAGCCACGTGGATTTTTTGCGCAAAAAATCCTGAAAAATACAATTTTTGGAATTTTGGCTTCCAGAAATCTATGGAATCTTGATTTTCGGCCACGTGGATTTCAAAAAAAAATCACTATTTCTATCTTTCTAATAACAATAGTTGACCTAGACGTTTTTTTTCAGACAATTCAAATCTGCACAGTCGTCGATGTCGAAATCTATCCACTAAAAGAAGTCGACGTCGGCGCTGTCATTCTTCGCCCAACACTTTTACAACGTGGAAAATATTCGAAAACTCTTCGACAAATGTTTGATGAAGGAGATAACACGCTGGAATAATTCCAGAATTGAATTGCAACCCCAATTTTCATGTTCGTGTTAATAATTCTATTTTTATTGTTTCCTAATCTTATTTTTTTGTCATAATTCATCCAGGTGGCATATCGATTGGAGCTGGTCGTTTCAATTGTGATAAAACTTGACTTCTAGATGTTTTCTGAAAAAAACAAAATCGAATATTTTCAGATAGTTAGATGTATTACCTCATCATGATCATATAACGCTACTGAACTCAACGATCTTTGCCTTGGCGCATCAATTGGTGTAATTGATATTGATTCAGCTGCATTTGACACGAAAGTCATTGAATCGTCGTCATTTGAAGTGACTTTTCGAATCACAGTTGGACGATTATCTGATGTAAATCCACCGTATAATTCTGATTCAGAACCCGAATCATTTTCAGATGCTGTACTTCTAGACGATGATGGTATTGATCTACGATCTGTTTGCAGAGATGGAGAAGGTGGTTCCGAATGTGCGAATGAATGTTTTGTGGGAATCGGTGGTAGAGGTGTTGTTGGAATCGGTGGATCAGAAGCTGAGGGACTTGTTCGAAGTCTTCGTTTCGGAATTGAAGTGGCATCTAACACTTCCTCGTTTTCCCGAAAATGATGATTATATGGAAGTGACTCGGCAAATCTTGTCCGTGTTTCTTTCAACGCAGGAGGAGCTCCGAAGAGTTTCAGCTCCACTTCTTCTGCAGATTTTTTAGAGGTCATTGAACTTGGAGGTGGAGAGTAATTCGAGATATTCAATTTATCCCTAATTCTTCCAGTTTGCCAGCCATATCTTTCCGTAGTCGGCAAGGAAAATACTCGACTTTCTCCACCTCTTATTGTCGGACCTCTTGATTCAATATACATATATGTATTTTCACGATGTGTAAATATTGTTGGAGTTCTTCGACGATTTGTTGTCATATCTTCGGATATATTTCTACCTCTGTTCCCATCTCCCATTTCATTATCAATTTCATCTTGTTGAGACCATTCGGAAGTGTCGAATAATGATTTCAATAGTTTTCCTTCTTTTCGAGTTTGTCGAACTTGGAGAAAAGCGACAAGGGGAACAACTAAAAGTGGACCAATCATAACAATCCACGCGACAAATTCATATTCGATTGGGATTGGTCGAGCGGCGAATGAGATTCTTTGATAACCGAAGACGGAGGCCATTAGGAGAATCTGAAATTCAGATTCTGAATGAAATTTTGGTGGAGAAAGTTTTTTGAAGCTACGGAATATTTTTAAAATTTAGAATTTTTCACCGCTCCAAGGTTTCCAGAAGTAAAAATTGTACTCTAAAGATCATCGGAGCCACGCCTTGAGAGCTTTTATGTCAAGAAGCCGCGCCTAGATCTCACAGCTGTCAAGTAGCGCGCTATAGTAGCTGAGCCTAGAGAACATACTTGCCTAGGTCCGGCGTCTAGAGATCAACTCTGGCAAGGAGCCGTCCCTTGAGAGCTTCTTTGTCAAGTAGTCGGCCCTAGAAACCCTCGTTATCAAGAAACCGAACCTAGAAAATTAAATCGTCAAGGATCAGCGCCTAGAGATTCTAGTTCTCAAGTAGCCGCGCCTAGAGCACACATACTTGCCTAGGTCCGGCGTCTAGAGATTCACTATGACAAGCAGCCGTGTCTTGAGAGCTGCTTTGTCAAGAAGGCGAACCTAGAAACCCATGTTATGAAGTAGCCACGCCTAGAGAGCCTAGTTTTCATTTGAAAATCTCAAAAATCTTCAGGTGCTTTAAAATTCTACTAATCAAATATTTTTTCCAAAAACCACAAACCGTCAAAATAATTGGGCAAACAAAAAGCAGTGAATATTTGATATAAATCCCTCCCGGACCAAGAATCGCAATAAATTTGTCACGAACTCTTGTCGCCTTTGATATCGAAATTCTCGGAACTCTCAACATTCCCGAAATATCCGTCAAATAATTATCAATTCCATAAACATAACAAACAATAACAACGGAAAATAGAGCCAATGAGAAACTGTTCCAATTGGCGTTCAAGTTTTCGATGGCATGGAAAACAAATATTCCACCTTGAGCACATAATGGCAACCCGAAGAAGAACCCGAAAAGGCAGAGAAGAGCCAGCAGACGATTTTCGACGGCTTTGTTTTTGGTCGAGAAATGATTCATGAAGGCGGACGCGATCATTTCGAGCCTGCGGGGATGAAATGTGGGGGTAGAGGATTAGGGGGGCGGTAATTTTTTTCTACAAAAAAGTTTTTGGTCAAATTTTATTTAGGTTTGGAAGCTCGAGATTTTGAAAACCTAGATTTTTGAAGCCTATTTGTGGTCCTAAAATAAAGAGCCCAGAAAATTTCTAGAACTGCAAATTAAACCCGATACAGTAACCCGAACTGCAAATTAGTTCCAATACAGTAACCCGAACTGCAAATTAAATCCAATTCAGTAACCCGAACTGCAAATTATATCCAACACAGTAACCCGAACTGCAAATCGAACAAAATACAGTAACCCGAACTGCAAATTTCAAAAGCAATAAAAATTAAATGAATTTTTGTCTCTTTCTGAAAATACAGTGACCCGAACTGCAAATTATAACCAATACAGTAACCCGAACTGCAAATTTCAAAACAAATAAAAACTTAATGAATTTTTGTCTCTTCCTGAAAATACAGTAACCCAAACTGCAAATTATATCCAATACAGTAACCCGAACTGCAAATTTCAAAACAAATAAAAATTGAATGAATCTTTGGCTCTTCCTGAAAATACAGTAACCCGAGCTGCAAACTTTTTTTTTGTACTGCAGTTTTTTAGCTTGAAAATTGAATTTTGTTGCAGTCCGAATTGCTGTATTCGAAACTTTCTCTAACGAAAATGATTTTTGAAAATTAAAAAAATGTTTTCTTCTAATGCGTGGTCCCATTCAGAATTTCCCAAAATCCATATTTCAATTTCAATTCTATCATCCTACCACGCAAATTCCGCATCCAGCGCAGCCAACACAATCATCCCAAAAAACAGCATTGCCCAAAGACCTCCCCAATTCATAAAACTCGTCACTCCTGGATAAACTGTGAATGATAAATATAAAGGATCGTGCTCTGCAAAAACATCCATTTCTTATTTATTGAAAACATCTGTAGAAACCTACTCAAAACATCTGTGATTTCAGTGTTCGATTCAGAAGCGATGAATCCGACAAATGAGAAAATCACACATCCACATAGGGTTGAAGTTAGAGCGTCCCTGAAGATTTTGAGATTTTTGGTGAACCCAAGAGGTTCCTTACATAATAACTAATAGAACCGAGTCTCGATAAACATTATTGCGATATCTTGAAAACGCGGCCATCGAAATCAAGGGTCCCGCATCAATTCCTAATTCATAGAATACTTGTTCAGCTGCGGATTTCCAAATCTGCCATTTCCACAATTTCGAACTATCAACACTGAATAAAAAATTGAGGCCCTTGTTTGCTCCAGGCAAACTAATTCCACGTAGCAGCAAGGTTGAGAGAAGGAAATAGGGAACTGTAGCTGTGACATTCATTGTAGAGGCGATTGATCCAAGACCTTTGAAGACTCCGAAGAATACAAGAAGCCAGGCTGCAGCCAGGGATAAAACTAGATGTGATTGAAGAGGTCCAAGGGTGAAATCTCCGAATGTTGACAAGGATAACACTTCAGAGCTATAATAAATGATAAATTCCTATCAAAAAAGAGAAGAAATTTTGGGGACTCACTGAAAAAAGGCTTCTGGAGCTGTGATCGAATTTGTTGAATTGAAACATTCATGGAGCTTGTGTAAATTACAGCATTTTGTGTCTAACTGCCATTCTTCTCCACAATATTCCCATGGTAGTTTTCCGGTCAGCGTTCCTTTCAAACTCAGGAAGAAATAGTGAATTGCCCAGGCAACGATGATGTTGTAGTATATTGCGACGGGAATTGCGATAACTACCAATGCCCAACCGATTCCTGAAATTGACTGAGGTTAGATTCAGATGTCTGAAATTTCTTGGTTGTCTGAGAAGTACTGTAGATCAAGGTTTTCAGAAAATTCAGTACTGAAAAATTTTTAAATTATGATTTCACAACGATTTTACAAATTTCCGGGGAAATTTTTTTCAAATATAATTTTGAATTTCTCTCCGAAAGAAACAAAAAAAAACATATGGCAAAATTTCAGAATTTTCGAAAAATCGTGTTTTGAGATCCCATAACTCATGTTAGAGAAGATTTTATCACAGGGGGATCTTCGGAAATTTTGGCAAAATATTCCAAAAAAAAATCAAGGTTTTCAGAAACTGCAGGCAAAAAAATGGAGAATTTTTTTCAGAATTAAATTTCTCTCCGAAAGAAAATCTAAGCTTCTCCAGATTCCGAATCTTAAGAAGATCCAGTTTCAGACCAAATTTTCAGCTTTGCCACGTCATAACCTCAAAAAAGTTTGTGGATCATTTCTATCCCAAGATATTTCTCTAAATTCTCAAAAATATGTCTAATTTCAGAAAACTCAAATTTGTCTCGATTTCAGATCAAATTTTCAGCTGTGCCACGTCATAACCTTTAAAAAGTTTAAGAATCATTTTGATTCCAAGATATTTTTCTAACGAAAATTCCCAAAAAAAAGTCAAATATTAGAAAACTCAAATTTGGGGTGAAATTAAAACTTGGTTCTCAATTTCAGATCAAATTTTCAGCTTTGCCTGCCACGTCATCAACAAGGTTCAGGTTGTTTCTGAATACACCCCCCCCCAGAATCTAACTAACCTGCCCCAATTGGCATCAACTTCGAAAATGCTGTATTAGCCGCCTGCCCAGTATACTGCCCGATCGAAAGATGCAGAAAAACCAAGGGCAGCCCAAAAAATACCAGCGAAAAAATATAGGGAATGAAGAAGACGCCACCGCCATGTTGATAAACTTTGGCTGGAAAACGCATCGCATGTCCGACTCCGACCATAAAACCCAAGCAGGCCAGGAAGAAGTCTTTCTGAAAAAATCGAAGTGGATTTTCTAGCTGGAAAATAAATCGAGAACCTGTGTCAACCATAATTCTCTCCGATCATTTTGTTTGGTTTGATTCAATAAATCACTGCGGCGATATAATTGTAATTGATCCCACCAATGAGGTCGTTGGGGGAGTTTTCCGGATTCTTCTAGAGTTGCGATGTCGACTGTTTGAATTACAGATGGTGCAGACTGGAACGAATACAGTAGTTCTCAGGGTACTGTAGGACTGGCTCTCGGGATATACAGTGATTCTGGCTTACAATACCTACAGTACCTTGAGATTACTGTGGATCTACAGAACAATGGTCGTGAGAGGTACTGTAGACCTGGCAGCTAACGCGGAAGCTTGCGGAAAAAGTTACACTCGCGCCTCTGGCGCTCGAGATATACAGTAATCTCGGCTCCAGAACAATACCTACAGTATCCTGATATTACTGTAGCGCAAATTTAGTTTAGACCGAAATCTTCAGCGATTTTTAGACCAACAGCTTCCTCGGCCAGTTTAGCTTACTGTGAATCATTATCTACAATACAGTACCCTTGAGAAGTACTGTACACCTGGCTGAGGAACTGTGAATCCGTAAGAGGTATTGTACTGTAGAAGTACTGTAGACCTTGCTGCTAAAGCGGAAGCCTACGAAAAAATATACACTCGCGCCACTGGCGCTCAAGATATACAGTAACCCCAGCTTACAATGCCTACAGTAGCCTGAGATTAGACCTAAAACTCCCAAAAAAACACTAACCATACTTGGCAAAGATACCGTATGATTTTCAGAGCTTCCACTATTCTCCACAATTCTTGGTCCACCAGAAGTCTTCAAATATCCACCTCCAATTCTTTCAAAAAATAAGTCATTCTCATCCGCCAAACTCAAACATTCTAAATAAAAAATCGCCGCCTCGTTCGGCTTCCTCGCAACTAATTCGCGAAGTCGCACAATTTTCGCATCCATCTCCGCGATCTTCGCATTCTGCTCACCGCTTTTGTGTGCATTCTGTCGATTTTGCTCGTTGCGCTGTGCAAGTTGTTCGATTTGACGGCGAAGTGCCGGTTTCCAATTGTCATTGCTCATATTAATAAGATTACATTAGAACATTTTATGAATAAAATAAGTATAAAATGAAAAATGAATTGAGAAAAATGCCCTTGATCGAGAAAAAGTGAGAGGTTTAGAGAAAAAGAAAGACTATCACAGAACCTGTTTTTATTTTTTTTTCTTACTACAAATTCGTTTTGTTTCTTGAAAACGAAATTCAAGATTTGAATCAACGAAAATTGAAAATTACAAAGAAAAATTTTAAAAACGAATCACGGAATTTTAAAATGCACAAAATTTTAACCATGAACATTTCTAATCAAAGACAAATGTTTTTAAATCAAAATTTGAAAGGATTTTTCATTTTCAGAATTAAATTAAATATTCATGTACCAAAAAAACTAAAAGAATTTATGCGAAGAAAAAAAAACATTTAGATGATCAAACTACAAACAAACACATGCATATGCGCATGCATTGGTCAATGAGTTCAAGGAACAAAAAAAACAGTAAGCGAGAGAGTATGCAAAAATAGGAGAGCAGCTAGAGAGATTGGTGATTTGTTATGATGGCGTCGGTTTTTTTTGTTTGATGATTTTTTTTGTTGACTTTGTGAACAGTATTTTGTCTTGAAATTGGTAAGTATTGAAGATTTACATGGCTTTCTGGAATATCCAGTTTGAAACTGATAGAACTTTATTTTTCCTGATTTTTTTCATACAGAAAAATCTTGAAAAATGGGTGATTTTATCAGTTTGAAATTTGAATTTCAGCGGAGATGCGGAGCTCTTCCAGTTTTACAGCTCTTCCAGTTTTACAAATACATAATTATCGAGCCAATTTTCAAGATTATAGGCTTAAAATGATTGAAATTCATTTGTTAAGCATTTATTGAGTACTGTATAAAGAAAATTATATTTTTTTGATCAACTTTTTTTTCGATCAAAAATTTGTAAATCTGGAAGCTCTTCCAGTTTTACAAATCCATCATTAACAAGCCAATTTTCAAGATTTTAGGCTTAAAAAGCTGAAATTCCAAATAATAACTGATAAAATGCAGAGTTTTCAAGATTTTCTAATTAAAATAAGAAAATCAAGGCTGCCAACCAGGAATAAAAATTGAATTTTTGATAAGAAAATATATGTTTTTGAATAAAAATTCAAAAATTGGGCATAGCTTCCGCATCTTCGCTGAAATTCCAATTTCAAACTGAAAAAAATCCAGTTTTCAAGATTTTCAAAAAAAATCGAGAAGAAAAGAAGTTTTGTCAGTTTAAAACAGGATATTTCAGAATTTCAATTGATTTTATTGCACTCACCAATTTTTTTCCGGATCCAGGTTCCACGTGTTTCTCTCCCACAAATTCGTGCATCTTGCTGGAATTCAATCAAATTCATGTCGTATTATTTTTCACTCACCAAAAAAGTTGTGCAATATTCAGAATCTCCTAATTTGATCCAATTTCCAGCTAGAGGTGAAACCGAGGGAATCCATGTTGAAATTCAATCAATTTTTAATTCAGCTTTGTACTATTATATAAATTCTTCAATTGAAAATTGTGATTTTGGTGGCGAAAATTTAGAAAATTCAAATTTTATTCAGAATTTCAATACGTAACTCAAAATTTCAGCTTGTCTTACGAATCGTGTCTGATATTTTTGAATTTTTGAAAACAATCAATTTTCTCGGAAATTTTACGTTTCACAGCTTATCTTTCACTGCAAAAATACTAACAAAACAGTTTTGTTATCTTCTGATTCTTTTAAAAACTATATTCCATTTTCAACGTTTGGGTCAAGAAAAAACCAAGATTTCTTTTCGAAAATGTTCAACGCGAAAATTCCATTTCTTCAAAACAAAAAAAAAAAAAAAATAAAGTTTGTGTGGTACGGTAAAATTCAAAGGAACATTGCAAAAAGCAACTGCGTCTTGCCACGCAACAAACAAAAAATTCAAAACCTGCCCGCGAATTTTTATTTTTTCTACGCGCCAACCAAAAAATCGATTTGTCATTCATTTCTTTTGTTTTTCGCCGTTCAAGATGTGTTTTGTTTGGCAATTCGACACGGATATATGATAAAAGATGAGTTTTTTTTATGTTTAAGCCCCGGTTTCTTATCGAATTCACCCAAAACCCTGCCCAAAACCCATTCCGAGCAGTTCTATAAGTCTTATGCTCGGAGTTAGTACAGCGCTCGATAAATATCGAGCCCATTAGTCATTGCCACTACCAGGAACCTCGGTAGGGACACAGTTTCTTGCGAAATTGTGGACCGCGGAATACCGCCTGGATTTGATTGGAAAACAATGATGAGCAAGACCTGAGGTTCCCATAGAACTGCTTTTTAGCCACCGATTTGGGCGGAATAGGATGATGGGGACCTGGTGTTGGAGGTGGGAATTTGATAGGAAATCGGGGAATATGCCGTTTTGATAAAAATAGATCTGCACCTTTATTAATTCAAGTTTTTTCAGAGAATCAAGAAATCAGCTTGCCGGAATCAATGCTCGACGAAAAGATTGTTGTTGATTGCGTGACGTTGAAACACTTCAATCAGCTGGAAATTATCGATTTGTTGCGAATGGTGCAATTTTTGATGAAGCAGTTGGATGCGGGGATTTTGATGCACTTCAAATTGAAGCGAAACGTGTCATTTCTATGGATGTTAGAGGCACAAACAATCGAATTGCCAAACATCAATAAAATGCTCTCTGGCTTATCTCGAGCTTGCACAAATTAATGGTTGAAAAAAGTGCGGATTTGGATGACAAAATTTTGAAAATGTCGAATGAAGCACTAATTTATCGCAATCAAATAACTAAACTCGTCAACGCCATTCAAAAACAGGCAAAAGAAAGCAGCAAATGGTATACGAAATTATGAAAATGATATGATTTTCAAAATTTTTGCTGGAAAATATGATGTCAGAAGCGATGGATAAATTGATGGAAACGCATGTTGTATTCGGCAAAAGATATCAAGTGGATGTTTATCAACAAATTAAGCAACTTGCGAAAGTTTGTAAAGATCTTGGAAGTAATCGAAAGAAATCGGAAAAAGATCCAAACACGAATTATCTTGTTGATGCTTTTTTGGAGAGGTTGAAAGAATTGACTGAGGAATCATTGATCACATTGGAGAAATTTAACAAAGAGGCTTCTCAATGCAAAATCCAGTGAATTCAAAAATGATGATTTTGGCAAGGTCAACCCTCGTCTTCCAACTTGTCGTATTTGGAATCAGCTTCCTGGCTCAACAAAATCGAAATTTGATTGTCGATGGAAGCCAATATATGAAAGTAAGTGAGAAAAATGCTGATTTTCTAGATAAAATTCAATGTTTCTAGATAAAATTCAATGTTTTTCCGATTGAAAATCTGAATTTCATCTCCGTTTATGAAAAAAAAAACAAAATTTGAGTTCAAAAATCTTCAGAATTTTAGCGCTAAAAATTAGAAACCCTTCATATTTGAAAATACAAATCAATATTTTTTCAGGATTTCCCGGGAATTCCAAGTCTTCCAAAATCTTCGAAACATCCGAATTCTTGTCTGGAACATTGATGGAATTTCAAATTTGGTACGGATTTTCTATATGGAAAAAAAATTGTTTTGCTGAGATTTGTTTATTAGTCAAAAAATGGGCTATAATGGTTTTTGAAAATCTAACATTTGAAATATTTCTGGTCAAATGTTGAGTTCTGGAATCAATTTTTCACAATTTTTTGACACAAGACGAATTTCGGATAAAAATAGACCACTTTCAGTCGAAAATTGGTTTTTTAATTGATTTTTCAACTTGGGACCTTGTTCTGCTGGAAAGTCGGTTCAGGTATCGATTATTAACCGATTTTGAGCTTTGGACTCGAATTTTGAAAATCAAAATCGAGGTTTTTCAAACCAGAACCTCGGGGCAAGTTTTCAGAATTTTCAGCCATCTGAGTTCTCATGAGAATTCAAAAAACCATATATTCCATTAAAATAATTGAAATTCACCGAAAATCGATATTTTTGTATGAAAAATGTACATTTTTCCCTTAAAAAATCCCATTTCATTCCATATTTCAGCTAACTTCACCCAATTTTTATCTCATTTTTTTTCAGATTCGAAGAAGAACGTGGCAAATTGTATCAACAACTCGACAAAAAAAATGATGAGATTATGATGAAAAAGTCTCCCAAGAATTGGAAAAACATGCGGAAAACTGAAACGCGATTTGGAAGTTGTTCAAGAAGAAAATCAATGATTGGAAGATCGAATGAATCAATCAACTTCACTTTTGAATGCATATTTTGATGAATGTGGGCCGAAAATTCGACAAATTCAACTTCCCGATCACGATCTTTTGAATCATGTTCGAATTGGAGTTCTACGAATTATCGGCTGCCAAAGAATCATCAGATGCTGCTGAACAACAAGCTGAAACTAAATTAGCGGCTGATGTTGCGAGAGTTGAATCTGGACATGATGCTGGAAGAATGAAGCAATTGTTGATCAAACAGCTAAAGAGATTGGACCATTGAGTGATCGAGTTAATTTGGTTAGTTTTTGAGGGGAATTGGAATAGCTGAAATTTTGCTGATAAAAAAAATATTGAACATTTTTCAATTTTTTTATTGAAAATTTCATGTTTTCGCTCAAGTTTCACAACAATTGAAAATTATCAAGATTATGTATGGAATCTAAATTTGAAGAATTCAAAAGATTCTATCAAAACGTTAATTTTCTCCCCTAATTTTTCCTTTTTTCAGAATCTCACAACTCTCATAAAAGGCATTTTTGCGTTTTGCTCGATGTCAAACAAATTAAGATACAGAAGGCGAAGATTATCTAAGTGGACCATCACAAAAACAACGCATTCAAATTTTGGAGAATAATTTTGACAAATTTACCAAAGTTCACAAACAGGTTGGTTTTTTTTGTAATGAAAATGAAAAGATTTAAAAAAATAACACGGGGAAGATACGTTTCAAAAATTGGATTTTGGCTAGTGTATAATCTTATTTATTTTGTTTTTGTCAAAAATCATAAAATTAAATTAAAAATAAAATTAATTTTCACAATAAAAAATCAAACGCTAAATTTTTACAGTACAAAAATTGTGCATTTTTCAGTTTTTGTCCTCTAAAAATTGTTATTTTTCAATTTTTGACCTCTAAAAACTGAAATTTAGATTTTTCAAAAAATTGTACTCTGGCCAGCCACGGCTTGGCCGAGGTGTGTACTGTAAAATATTTCATAAAACAAAGAACCTTGAAAAAAATGGATTTTATCAGTTAAAAAATAAAAGTTCATGCCTAATTTTTGAATTTTCTTGAAAGAAATGTAATTTTTCAGAGCGATTTGCTATCAATTTACCACGGATAAAAGCATCGGAAGACAAAAGAAGCAGATTCTGAAACTTGCAATCGAAATCAACGAACATTTCGGTAAGCTTTTTATCGATTTTTTCCGAGAATTGAAAATGACTATGAGAATTTCTGGAATTGCAATTTGAAACTTATAAAATTTCTATTTTTCTTAATTTTTTTGTTGAAAATCTTGAAAAATAGCTGATTTTATCAGTTCCAAATTGGAATTTCAGTGGAGATGCGGAAGCTATGCCCGATTTTTGAATTTTTATTCAAAAACTTTGAATTTTCGAATAATAAATTAAGTGAACCTTTTTTCAGATCAATATGAACAATTCAAAGTGTTCGAGCAACAATTCAAAGTTATTGTTCAAGAATCGACATCGTTGTTGGTAAGTTTTTGAATTTTAATGAAAACTGGCATGAATTTCTGGAATTGCAATTTGAAACTGATAAAATTTCTATTTTTCTTGATTTTTTTGTTGAAAATTTTGAAAAATAGCTGATTTTATCAGTTCCAAATTGGAATTTCAGCGGAGATGCGGAAGCTATGCCCAATTTTTGAATTTTTATTCAAAAACTTTGAATTTTCGAATAATAAATTAAATGAACCTTTTTTCAGATCAATATGAACAATTCAAAGTGGATGAGCAACAATTCAAAGTTATTGTTCAAGAATCGACATCGATGTTGGTAAGTTTTTGAATTTTAATGAAAACTGGCATGAATTTCTGGAATTGCAATTTGAAACTGATAAAATTTCTATTTTTCTTGATTTTTTTGTTGAAAATTTTGAAAAATAGCTGATTTTATCAGTTCCAAATTGGAATTTCAGCGGAGATGCGGAAGCTATGCCCAATTTTTGAATTTTTAGAGAAAAACTTTGAATTTTCGAATAATAAATTAAATGAACCTTTTTTCAGATCAATATGAACAATTCAAAGTGGATGAGCAACAATTCAAAGTTATTGTTCAAGAATCGACATCGTTGTTGGTAAGTTTTTGAATTTTAATGAAAACTGGCATGAATTTCTGGAATTGCAATTTGAAACTGATAAAATTTCTATTTTTCTTGATTTTTTTGTTGAAAATTTTGAAAAATAGCTGATTTTATCAGTTCCAAATTGGAATTTCAGCGGAGATGCGGAAGCTATGCCCAATTTTTGAATTTTTATTCAAAAACTTTGAATTTTCGAATAATAAATTAAATGAACCTTTTTTCAGATCAATATGAACAATTCAAAGTGGATGAGCAACAATTCAAAGTTATTGTTCAAGAATCGACATCGTTGTTGGTAAGTTTTTGAATTTTAATGAAAACTGGCATGAATTTCTGGAATTGCAATTTGAAACTGATAAAATTTCTATTTTTCTTGATTTTTTTGTTGAAAATTTTGAAAAATAGCTGATTTTATCAGTTCCAAATTGGAATTTCAGCGGAGATGCGGAAGCTATGCCCAATTTTTGAATTTTTATAGAAAAACTTTGAATTTTCGAATAATAAATTAAGTGAACCTTTTTTCAGATCAATATGAACAATTCAAAGTGGATGAGCAACAATTCAAAGTTATTGTTCAAGAATCGACATCGTTGTTGGTAAGTTTTTGAATTTTAATGAAAACTGGCATGAATTTCTGGAATTGCAATTTGAAACTGATAAAATTTCTATTTTTCTTGATTTTTTTGTTGAAAATTTTGAAAAATAGCTGATTTTATCAGTTCCAAATTGGAATTTCAGCGGAGATGCGGAAGCTATGCCCGATTTTTGAATTTTTATTCAAAAACTTTGAATTTTCGAATAATAAATTAAGTGAACCTTTTTTCAGATCAATATGAACAATTCAAAGTGTTCGAGCAACAATTCAAAGTTATTGTTCAAGAATCGACATCGTTGTTGGTAAGTTTTTGAATTTTAATGAAAACTGGCATGAATTTCTGGAATTGCAATTTGAAACTGATAAAATTTCTATTTTTCTTGATTTTTTTGTTGAAAATTTTGAAAAATAGCTGATTTTATCAGTTCCAAATTGGAATTTCAGCGGAGATGCGGAAGCTATGCCCAATTTTTGAATTTTTATTCAAAAACTTTGAATTTTCGAATAATAAATTAAATGAACCTTTTTTCAGATCAATATGAACAATTCAAAGTGTTCGAGCAACAATTCAAAGTTATTGTTCAAGAATCGACATCGTTGTTGGTAAGTTTTTGAATTTTAATGAAAACTGGCATGAATTTCTGGAATTGCAATTTGAAACTGATAAAATTTCTATTTTTCTTGATTTTTTTGTTGAAAATTTTGAAAAATAGCTGATTTTATCAGTTCCAAATTGGAATTTCAGCGGAGATGCGGAAGCTATGCCCAATTTTTGAATTTTTATAGAAAAACTTTGAATTTTCGAATAATAAATTAAGTGAACCTTTTTTCAGATCAATATGAACAATTCAAAGTGGATGAGCAACAATTCAAAGTTATTGTTCAAGAATCGACATCGTTGTTGGTAAGTTTTTGAATTTTAATGAAAACTGGCATGAATTTCTGGAATTGCAATTTGAAACTGATAAAATTTCTATTTTTCTTGATTTTTTTGTTGAAAATTTTGAAAAATAGCTGATTTTATCAGTTCCAAATTGGAATTTCAGCGGAGATGCGGAAGCTATGCCCAATTTTTGAATTTTTAGAGAAAAACTTTGAATTTTCGAATAATAAATTAAATGAACCTTTTTTCAGATCAATATGAACAATTCAAAGTGGATGAGCAACAATTCAAAGTTATTGTTCAAGAATCGACATCGTTGTTGGTAAGTTTTTGAATTTTAATGAAAACTGGCATGAATTTCTGGAATTGCAATTTGAAACTGATAAAATCCATGTTTTTCTTGCTTTTCTTCATGAAAATCTTGAAAAATGATTGATTTTATCAGTTTCAAATTGGAATTTCAGCGGAGATGCGGAAGCTATGCCCGATTTTTGAATTTTTATTCAAAGACCTGGATTTTTCAGAGGGATTCGCTGCAAATTTACCATGGATATTCAGCAATTTGGACCTTCATCATTGTCTTCGATTTTTCCACAATCTAATTTACTCTATTTTAATTTGAAAATTGTGTTATAGTTTATATTTATTCCTACTTTTTGCTTAAAAGCCAAAAAGTAGAAAATTACTGTAGTTTTTTTCTATAAGTCATTGCAAAAAAGCCAATGACTTGTAGTGTTTTTCCTGGTTACTGTAAAAGTACAGTAATCTCGAACTGCAGTAATCAGGGTACTGTAGATTTCATGTCTACAATAAGATTACTGTATTTGTTTTTGAACCTTGTCGAGTACTGTAAGCATCTATGCAAAACTACAGTGATGTTTTTCAAAAAAAGTACTGTAGATTTATTTACAGAAGAATACTGTAACCGAGTTGAGCTACTTTTATTTTTGGATAAATCTCGATAGCTCTACAGTACTCACAGATTTTTAGCCAAAAATTGTATATTTTTGAAGCTAAAAACAGAAATTTGAGCTGATTACTGTAGTTTTGCATAGAGTTACAGTACTCCGTCAGGAATTGTATTTCGTATATTTGCTCAGAAAAGCACGTAGCTTTTTCCCAGATAAAACACTTCTTGTTTCCTTCAAAAATAGTTTATCCTAAATCACAGATTTTCGTCCTTCTGTTGAAAAAAAGTGAATTTTCTGTGATTTAGAGTTTGGGAAACAAATAATTGAGCATAAACTATTTCTGGAGGTCACAAAAAGCGTGTCAAATGGGAAAAGCTACTTTGAAACGTGGATTTACCGTGCTTTTGTGGACTAAAAGTCATTACACGTGTTTTCAACACTACAGTAATTCACGTGAAGTATTTCGAACCGGCCAAGGTGCGATTTTTAAAAGAAAAATCTGATTGGCACCCGATAATAAAAAAAATGACTTGAGCACCTTTTTTCCCGAATATTCCCACCAGATTCAAAATTACGGTAGGTGCATTACTGTTTTTGCATATTTACAGTAAGCCTACACGTACTGTAATTTTGGATAACACAAAACAACGGGTACCGTAGTTCTTGAGAAAAATCTACAGTAATCCAAACATAAATTTCAGCAGTGAATTATGCCAGATTACTGTAAATTTGACGAACCAAAACATCTGAAAATATAGAAAAAAAGAAAGATGTACAAGTCTCGGCTTTTAAGCGAGACTTGTAAAAAGAAAAAAAAACAGTAAAAATTGAAAATGAGAGAAATCCAGAGCGGTTGATTGACACGTGGCAAGTCGGAAATGTGAAGAATTTGAGGCAAACTGAAAAAGGATAACCGTTAGAATTCTGACCTCGTGAGTTTGTTTTCATTTAAAAAATGAAAGTTTTGCAGAAATTGTGCTTCCCGGAATTTTCAGAAAGAAAACCAAGAAATTTTTGAAGGCTAAAAGTTTTTGAATAAAAATTCAAAAATCGGGCATAGCTTCCGCATCTCCACTGAAATTCCAATTCGAAACTGATAAAATCAATCATTTTTCAAGATTTTCATGAAGAAAAGCAAGAAAAACATGGATTTTATCAGTTTCAAATTGCAATTCCAGAAATTCATGCCAGTTTTCATTAAAATTCAAAAACTTACCAACATCGATGTCGATTCTTGAACAATAACTTTGAATTGTTGCTCATCCACTTTGAATTGTTCATATTGATCTGAAAAAAGGTTCACTTAATTTATTATTCGAAAATTCAAAGTTTTTCTCTAAAAATTCAAAAATTGGGCATAGCTTCCGCATCTCCGCTGAAATTCCAATTTGGAACTGATAAAATCAGCTATTTTTCAAAATTTTCAACAAAAAAATCAAGAAAAATAGAAATTTTATCAGTTTCAAATTGCAATTCCAGAAATTCATGCCAGTTTTCATTAAAATTCAAAAACTTACCAACAACGATGTCGATTCTTGAACAATAACTTTGAATTGTTGCTCATCCACTTTGAATTGTTCATATTGATCTGAAAAAAGGTTCACTTAATTTATTATTCGAAAATTCAAAGTTTTTCTCTAAAAATTCAAAAATTGGGCATAGCTTCCGCATCTCCGCTGAAATTCCAATTTGGAACTGATAAAATCAGCTATTTTTCAAAATTTTCAACAAAAAAATCAAGAAAAATAGAAATTTTATCAGTTTCAAATTGCAATTCCAGAAATTCATGCCAGTTTTCATTAAAATTCAAAAACTTACCAACAACGATGTCGATTCTTGAACAATAACTTTGAATTGTTGCTCATCCACTTTGAATTGTTCATATTGATCTGAAAAAAGGTTCATTTAATTTATTATTCGAAAATTCAAAGTTTTTCTCTAAAAATTCAAAAATTGGGCATAGCTTCCGCATCTCCGCTGAAATTCCAATTTGGAACTGATAAAATCAGCTATTTTTCAAAATTTTCAACAAAAAATAAAGAAAAATAGAAATTTTATCAGTTTCAAATTGCAATTCCAGAAATTCATGCCAGTTTTCATTAAAATTCAAAAACTTACCAACATCGATGTCGATTCTTGAACAATAACTTTGAATTGTTGCTCATCCACTTTGAATTGTTCATATTGATCTGAAAAAAGGTTCATTTAATTTATTATTCGAAAATTCAAAGTTTTTCTCTAAAAATTCAAAAATTGGGCATAGCTTCCGCATCTCCGCTGAAATTCCAATTTGGAACTGATAAAATCAGCTATTTTTCAAAATTTTCAACAAAAAAATCAAGAAAAATAGAAATTTTATCAGTTTCAAATTGCAATTCCAGAAATTCATGCCAGTTTTCATTAAAATTCAAAAACTTACCAACAACGATGTCGATTCTTGAACAATAACTTTGAATTGTTGCTCATCCACTTTGAATTGTTCATATTGATCTGAAAAAAGGTTCATTTAATTTATTATTCGAAAATTCAAAGTTTTTCTCTAAAAATTCAAAAATTGGGCATAGCTTCCGCATCTCCGCTGAAATTCCAATTTGAAACTGATAAAATCAATCATTTTTCAAGATTTTCATGAAGAAAAGCAAGAAAAACATGGATTTTATCAGTTTCAAATTGCAATTCCAGAAATTCATGCCAGTTTTCATTAAAATTCAAAAACTTACCAACATCGATGTCGATTCTTGAACAATAACTTTGAATTGTTGCTCATCCACTTTGAATTGTTCATATTGATCTGAAAAAAGGTTCACTTAATTTATTATTCGAAAATTCAAAGTTTTTCTCTAAAAATTCAAAAATTGGGCATAGCTTCCGCATCTCCGCTGAAATTCCAATTTGAAACTGATAAAATCAATCATTTTTCAAGATTTTCATGAAGAAAAGCAAGAAAAACATGGATTTTATCAGTTTCAAATTGCAATTCCAGAAATTCATGCCAGTTTTCATTAAAATTCAAAAACTTACCAACAACGATGTCGATTCTTGAACAATAACTTTGAATTGTTGCTCATCCACTTTGAATTGTTCATATTGATCTGAAAAAAGGTTCATTTAATTTATTATTCGAAAATTCAAAGTTTTTGAATAAAAATTCAAAAATTGGGCATAGCTTCCGCATCTCCGCTGAAATTCCAATTTGGAACTGATAAAATCAGCTATTTTTCAAAATTTTCAACAAAAAAATCAAGAAAAATAGAAATTTTATCAGTTTCAAATTGCAATTCCAGAAATTCATGCCAGTTTTCATTAAAATTCAAAAACTTACCAACAACGATGTCGATTCTTGAACAATAACTTTGAATTGTTGCTCATCCACTTTGAATTGTTCATATTGATCTGAAAAAAGGTTCACTTAATTTATTATTCGAAAATTCAAAGTTTTTCTCTAAAAATTCAAAAATTGGGCATAGCTTCCGCATCTCCGCTGAAATTCCAATTTGAAACTGATAAAATCAATCATTTTTCAAGATTTTCATGAAGAAAAGCAAGAAAAACATGGATTTTATCAGTTTCAAATTGCAATTCCAGAAATTCATGCCAGTTTTCATTAAAATTCAAAAACTTACCAACAACGATGTCGATTCTTGAACAATAACTTTGAATTGTTGCTCATCCACTTTGAATTGTTCATATTGATCTGAAAAAAGGTTCATTTAATTTATTATTCGAAAATTCAAAGTTTTTGAATAAAAATTCAAAAATTGGGCATACCTTCCGCATCTCCGCTGAAATTCCAATTTGGAACTGATAAAATCAGCTATTTTTCAAAATTTTCAACAAAAAAATCAAGAAAAATAGAAATTTTATCAGTTTCAAATTGCAATTCCAGAAATTCATGCCAGTTTTCATTAAAATTCAAAAACTTACCAACATCGATGTCGATTCTTGAACAATAACTTTGAATTGTTGCTCATCCACTTTGAATTGTTCATATTGATCTGAAAAAAGGTTCACTTAATTTATTATTCGAAAATTCAAAGTTTTTCTCTAAAAATTCAAAAATTGGGCATAGCTTCCGCATCTCCGCTGAAATTCCAATTTGGAACTGATAAAATCAGCTATTTTTCAAAATTTTCAACAAAAAAATCAAGAAAAATAGAAATTTTATCAGTTTCAAATTGCAATTCCAGAAATTCATGCCAGTTTTCATTAAAATTCAAAAACTTACCAACATCGATGTCGATTCTTGAACAATAACTTTGAATTGTTGCTCATCCACTTTGAATTGTTCATATTGATCTGAAAAAAGGTTCACTTAATTTATTATTCGAAAATTCAAAGTTTTTCTCTAAAAATTCAAAAATTGGGCATAGCTTCCGCATCTCCGCTGAAATTCCAATTTGGAACTGATAAAATCAGCTATTTTTCAAAATTTTCAACAAAAAAATCAAGAAAAATAGAAATTTTATCAGTTTCAAATTGCAATTCCAGAAATTCATGCCAGTTTTCATTAAAATTCAAAAACTTACCAACAACGATGTCGATTCTTGAACAATAACTTTGAATTGTTGCTCATCCACTTTGAATTGTTCATATTGATCTGAAAAAAGGTTCATTTAATTTATTATTCGAAAATTCAAAGTTTTTGAATAAAAATTCAAAAATTGGGCATAGCTTCCGCATCTCCGCTGAAATTCCAATTTGGAACTGATAAAATCAGCTATTTTTTCAAAATTTTCAACAAAAAAATCGAGAAAAATAGAAATTTTATCAGTTTCAAATTGCAATTCCAGAAATTCATGCCAGTTTTCATTAAAATTCAAAAACTTACCAACAACGATGTCGATTCTTGAACAATAACTTTGAATTGTTGCTCATCCACTTTGAATTGTTCATATTGATCTGAAAAAAGGTTCATTTAATTTATTATTCGAAAATTCAAAGTTTTTGAATAAAAATTCAAAAAATTGGGCATACCTTCCGCATCTCCGCTGAAATTCCAATTTGGAACTGATAAAATCAGCTATTTTTTCAAAATTTTCAACAAAAAAATCGAGAAAAATAGAAATTTTATCAGTTTCAAATTGCAATTCCAGAAATTCATGCCAGTTTTCATTAAAATTCAAAAACTTACCAACAACGATGTCGATTCTTGAACAATAACTTTGAATTGTTGCTCATCCACTTTGAATTGTTCATATTGATCTGAAAAAAGGTTCATTTAATTTATTATTCGAAAATTCAAAGTTTTTCTCTAAAAATTCAAAAATTGGGCATAGCTTCCGCATCTCCGCTGAAATTCCAATTTGGAACTGATAAAATCAGCTATTTTTCAAAATTTTCAACAAAAAAATCAAGAAAAATAGAAATTTTATCAGTTTCAAATTGCAATTCCAGAAATTCATGCCAGTTTTCATTAAAATTCAAAAACTTACCAACAACGATGTCGATTCTTGAACAATAACTTTGAATTGTTGCTCATCCACTTTGAATTGTTCATATTGATCTGAAAAAAGGTTCATTTAATTTATTATTCGAAAATTCAAAGTTTTTGAATAAAAATTCAAAAATTGGGCATAGCTTCCGCATCTCCGCTGAAATTCCAATTTGGAACTGATAAAATCAGCTATTTTTTCAAAATTTTCAACAAAAAAATCGAGAAAAATAGAAATTTTATCAGTTTCAAATTGCAATTCCAGAAATTCATGCCAGTTTTCATTAAAATTCAAAAACTTACCAACAACGATGTCGATTCTTGAACAATAACTTTGAATTGTTGCTCATCCACTTTGAATTGTTCATATTGATCTGAAAAAAGGTTCATTTAATTTATTATTCGAAAATTCAAAGTTTTTGAATAAAAATTCAAAAATTGGGCATAGCTTCCGCATCTCCGCTGAAATCCCAATTTGGAACTGATAAAATCAGCTATTTTTTCAAAATTTTCAACAAAAAAATCGAGAAAAATAGAAATTTTATAAGTTTCAAATTGCAATTCCAGAAATTCTCATAGTCATTTTCAATTCTCGGAAAAAATCGATAAAAAGCTTACCGAAATGTTCGTTGATTTCGATTGCAAGTTTCAGAATCTCCGAATTAGACGGGAATTTCTGCTTTTTTTGTCTCCCGATGCTTTTCTCCGTGGTAAATTGATAGCAAATCGCTCTGAAAAATTACATTTCTTTCAAGAAAATTCAAAAATTAGGCATGAACTTTTATTTTTTAACTGATAAAATCCATTTTTTTTCAAGGTTCTTTGTTTTATGAAATATTTTACAGTACACACCTCGGCCAAGCCGTGGCTGACCAAAGTACAATTTTTTGAAAAATCTACATTTCAGTTTTTAGAGGTCAAAAATTGAAAAATAACAATTTTTAGCGGACAAAAACTGAAAAATGCACAATTTTTGTACTGTAAAAATTTAGCGTTTGATTTTTTATTGTGAAAATTAATTTTATTTTTAATTTAAAGGGGTTGTCCTGCTACAAGGAAACTTAGGTTCATTCGATAGAGCTAAGGTGCTCCTGAAACATTCCATATTTTATTTTGATTTTAGAGCGAGTTTTCACCATTTTATTCATGTTTTTGTTAGGTTTTAAGGTTTTAGTGCATATAAAAAACATGTGTGCTCTTCACACACATAATTTATTTGTGTGTATTTCTCGCGAAACATATTTCCTATCATTTTTCAACTATGAAAAGTGATTTTAATCAATTTTAGGCTTGCTTATAGTTAGTTTTAAAAAGTGACGCACTATTGCGGACTTGATTTTCGACGTAGAAGGACAACCCCTTTAATTTTATGATTTTTGACAAAAACAAAATAAATAAGATTATACACTAGCTAAAATCCAAATTTTGAAACGTATCTTCCCCATGTTATTTTTTTTTTAATCTTTTCATTTTCATTACAAAAAAACCAACCTGTTTGTGAACTTTGGTCAATTTGTCCAAATTATTCTCCAAAAATTGAATGCTTTGTTTTTGTGATGGTCCACTTAGATAATCTTCGTCTTCTGTATCTTAATTCGTTTGACATCGAGCAACAATTCCTTTTGAGGTTTATGAGAGTTGTGAGATCCTGAAAAAAGGAAAAATTAGGGGAGAAAATTAACGTTTTGATAGAATCTTCTGAATTCTTGGAATTTAGATTTCATACATAATCTTTCATATATTATATTTCAATTTTTGTGAAACTTGAGCGAAAACTTGAAATTTTCAATAAAAAATTGAAAAATGTTCAATATTTTTTTAATGTTTGATCTCTAAAAAATCAGCAAAATTTCAGCTATTCCAATTCCCCTCAAAAACTCACCAAATTAACTCGATCACTCAATGGTTCAATCTCTTTAGCTGTTTGATCTCTAATCAACAATTGCTTCATTCTTCCAGCATCTTGTCCAGATTCAACTCTCTCAACATCATTTAGTTTCAGCTTGTTGTTCAGCAGCTTCTGATGATTCTTTGGCAGCCGATAATTCGTAGAACTCCAATTCGAACATGATTCAAAAGATCGTGATCGGGAAGTTGATCATTTTGTGAAGCCTGGAAATAAGTGGGTTTTAGTTGAAAATGGAGACAAAAAACAACAGAAGGGAGAACAAACTCACAACTTCAGCAATATTGAATTTTTAACCACATTATAAATATTCCTTCTTTGAAATGTCGAATTTTCGGCCCACATTCATCAAAATGTGCATTCAAAAGTGAAGTTGATTGATTCATTCGATCTTCCAATTATTGATTTTCTTCTTGAACAACTTCCAAATCGCGTTTCAGTTTTTCGCATGTTTTTCCAATTCTTGGGAGACTTTTTCATCATAATCTCATCATTTTTTTTGTCGAGTTGTTGATACAATTTGCCACGTTCTTCTTGGAATCTGAAAAAAATGAGATAAAATTTGGGTGAAGTTAGCTGAAATGGGAATTTTTAAGGGAAAAATGTACATTTTTCATAAAAAAGTATAGATTTTCGGTGAATTTCAATTATTTTTGAATTCTCATAAGCTGAAAACTCAAACTGAGAACTCAGATGGATGAAAATTCTGAAAACTTGCCCTGAGGTTCTGGTTTGAAAAACCTCAATTTTGATTTTCAAAATTCGAGTCCAAAGCTCAAAATCGGTTCGATACCTGAACCGAATTTCCAGCAGAACAAGGTTCCAAGCTGAAAAATCAATTGAAAAACCAATTTTCGACTGAAAGTGGTCTATTTTTATCCGAAATTCGTCTTGTGTCCAAAAAATATGAAATATTGAGTCCAGAACTCAACATTTTTTCAGCTAATCTGGTAAATTGACACTTTTTACTCTGGGGGAACCACGATTTTGGTCAAATGTCACCAATTTTTTTTCAAATGGAAAATCCTTACCAAATTTGAAATTCCATCAATGTTTTCCTTATTTCCAATCATTCTCAGCCTTTTTTGAATTCATCCGAGCCGAGTGAAAAAAAAACGATTAGAATATCAATTCGTCGTTTCTCTCCAGACAAGAATTCGGATGTTTCGAAGATTTTCAAAGACTTCGAATTCCCAGGAAATCCTGAAAAATATTGATTTGTACTTTCAAGGGTTTCTAATTTTTAGCGCTAAAATTCTGAAGATTTTTGAACTCAAATTTTGTGTTTTCATAAACGGAGATGAAATTCAGATTTTCAAGGTTTTGATCAGAAAAACATTGAATTTTATCTAGAAAATCAGCATTTTTCGAATTTTTCTCACTTACTTTCATAGATTGGCTTCCATCGACAATCAAATTTCGATTTTGTTGAGCCATGAAGCTGGTTCCAAATACGACAATTTGGAAGACGAGGGTTGACCTTGCCAAAATCATCATCATTTTTGTATTCACTGGATGTTGCATTGAGAAGCTTCTTTGTTGAATTTCTCCAATGTGATCAATGATTCCTCAGTCAATTCTTTCAACCTCTCCTAAAAAGCATTAACAAGATAATTCTTGTTTGGATCTTTTTCCGATTTCTTTCGATTACTTCCAAGATCTTTACAAACTTTCGCAAGTTGCTCAATTTGTTGATAAACATCCACTTGATATCTTTTTTCCATGCGCTTCCATCAATTTATCCATCGCTTCTGCCATCAAATTTTGCAGCAAACTTTTGGTAATCATATCATCTTTATAATTTCGTATACCATTTGCTGCTTTCTTTTGTCTGTTTTTGAATGGCGTTGACGAGTTTCGTTACTTGAACATTGTTTCTTAAGTTGTTGCTTCATTCGACATTTTCACAATTTTGTCATCAAAATCCGCACTTTTTTCAACCATTTATTTGTGCAATCTCGAGATAAGCCAGAGAGCATTTTATTGATGTTTGGCAATTCGATTGTTTCTGCCTCTAACATCCATAGAAATGGCACGTTTCGCTTCAATTTGAAGTGCACCAAAATCCCAGCATCCAACTGCTTCATCGAAAATTGCACCAACAAATCGATAATTTCCAGCTGATTGAAGTGTTTCAACGTCACGCAATCAACGACAATCTTTTCGTCGAGCATTTTTCAGGCAAATTTATTTCTTGATTCTCTGAAAAAACTTGAATTAATAAAGGTGCAGATCTATTTTTATCAAAACGGCATATTCCCCGATTTCCTATCAAATTCCTTTGCTCATGGCAAAGTCCAAAACCAGGTCCCCGTCATCCCATTCCACCCAAATCGGTGGCTAAAAAGCAGTTCTATGGGAACCTCAGGTCTTGCTCATCATTGTTTTCCAATCAAATCCAGGCGGTATTCCGCGGTCCACAATTTCGCAAGAAACTGTGTCCCTACCGAGGTTCCTGGTAGTGGCAATGACTATTGGGCTCGAAACTTATCGAGCGCTGTACTAACTCCGAGCATAAGACTTATAGAACTGCTCGGAATGGGTTTTGGGGAGGGTTTCGGGTGAATTCGATAAGAAACCGGGGCTAAAATCCCAAAAAAACTCATCTTTTATCATATATCCGTGTCGAATTGCCAAACAAAACACATCTTGAACGGCGAAAAACAAGAGAAATGAATCAAAAATCGATTTTTTGGTTGGCGCGTAGAAAAAATAAAAATTCCCGGGCAGGTTTTGAATTTTTTGTTTGTTGCGTGTCAAGACGCAGTTGCTATTTGCAATGTTCCTTTGAATTGTACCGTACCACACAAACTTTTTTTTTCTTTTTTTTTTTGAAGAAATGGAATTTTCGCGTTGAATTCAATTAAAACTGTTGTGAATTGAAGAAAAAATTGAATAATTTTTGAAATCAAATTTTATGTGACGCCAAATATTCACTGATTTCGTTTTTTATAAGTAAGAGATTGAAAATGAAAACTGATCGAATGAAAAACAATAAAAATCGAGCAAATCGGCTCCACAAAACAGGAATAATCCACGTTTTCTTAACCCACACATCTTAAATGCATATCTATCTATCTACATATTATTCCCGCTTAATCCAAACCCATTTCACGAAAAAAACACCATTAAATTAGGCAATTCTCCTCCCGAAAAGAAGAAAATAAACGAACGGCTAATAATAAGCCAAAAAAGGAGAAAGAACAGGTCTCAAAACTAATGTGAGTAAGGTATATTATGAGAAAATACTTGAAGAAAAAAGACTGTTTCGAACTATTATTATTATTATTATGGCTGCCAAGAAGTTTTTCTGGATTCGTTCTCAATTTTCCAGATGTCCCAAACTTTCTCCTATATTTTTTCTATCCAAAAAATACCTGATATGATTCTCACTTTTCATTTTCGACTTGATTCTTGATAATAATATCCTCCCCTTCCTTTCCCGCTTTATTTAATGATAATAATGACCTATTTATTTTCATTTTCCTTGGTTTTTTTGGGATTTTCTTTCTCATCTCAAAAAAAAGACAGATTTTCTTATCAAATTAATTAGCATATTCGAATATTTTGATTTGTTTTTTTATTTCGGTTGTGGGAAGTTTGGAATAATTTTAAAAAGGCCAAAAATTGTGATTTTGAAATCTAAAGTTGATTTAGCACATTTTACCTGAATTTTTTCCAGATTTTCAAATATTCAAGAACTCCATTGGATCTTCAGTCAAGCCTAGACATCAAGTAGCTGAGTCTAGCCTTAAAGACACAAGAAACACTGGAAAAAACAGATTTCCCGCATTTATTTTCAAATGACAAAACGAGCATGTGCGCTCTAGCGCACACACTGTGTGCAAACACTTTCGAAATTTCCGTCGGCTGAGCGATTTCAAAAACAATTATTTTATTTTTTCACTTTTGCCAGACTCAAAATTTTTTCTTGATTTTCATGAATTTCAATTACTTGAAAGGTGTTATGAATGAATTACAAATTCATTTTCTGTTCATTTCTAGGTGCTCTTGTGTCTTTAACTGTCTAGGATCCGCACCTAGAAACCAACTCTGATAACAAGCCATTCCTTCAGAGCGTCTATGCCAAGTAGCAAAGCCTAGAACATCTGGTTTTCAAGGAGCCACGCCTAGACCAAGTTTTTCCCCCAAAAGAATCACTAATCGTTTTTTTCCCTTGATCCATCCAATCCCATGATTCAAAATACTCGATCCATGTTTTTTTGTCATCTTCCCATTCTTATTAGATACCTAGCTTGTTTTCTCTTTTTTTGTTGTCTCTCGCTTTCATAAAATGAAAAGAGACAGTTGCCCTAAATTAGTAGTTAGCCAGCCAGCAAAAGCGAAGCGATGGATGTCATTCATTGTTTTAGGGGCGAAGAAAAACACAGGGGGAGGAGGAGGTCATTTATACCGAAAAGGAAAAAAAAAGATAAACGAGTGGATTTTATAAGGCAACATTCTTCGGTTTTTCCCAGCTTTGTTTTGTTTTGGTGGAATTTATTTTATGAGTAACAAGTTTCTTTTATCACTCAAGTTAGCCTAAGTTCGCTGAAACTTGAAACCCCTTTTCCTATTTTTCAAAATACCTATACTTTTCCCTTTCTCCCTATATCCATTTCTCACCTTTTCTACTTTCCAAAGCTAACTAATTACAGTAAACCAATTAAAATTTCACTTTACTTTTACCGCTAATTCTTGTTTTTTGTCGCGTTTGTTGTTATTTTTTTCTTTTTTTTGCAGGAGAGATGGGTAGAATCCTCATTTTTATTCTGCTATTTGGGATTCTCAATAGATTTGATTCGGTGATAGCAACAGGTAGGGAATTTTGTGAAGTTTTTTTTTCAAAATCGGGCCTAGACGGCTTCTGAGAACCCTGAATTTTGGCCTAGGCTTTTAGGAAGCCTGATCTCGCATCCCTGATTTTTTCTTTTAGGTTGGACTCAGGCTTCCGGTGATCCTGGTTTTGCCTTTTGGCGATTCTGGGTCTCACTGTGAATTAGGCTTCTGGGGCCCTGATTTCTCCAGTTCAAAATTTTTCACTTAAGCTGAGGATTCTTGGGATTCTGATTCTGCCTCTCTGAACTTCTTAGGATTCTGGAAGTCCTGATTTCGCTTATCCGGAGTTTAAGTTAGGCGTTAAGCTCGGGTCTGATTTAAAAAAAACAGATTTTTATTAAAAACTGCCCTAGGCCTTTCTAATTCCTACTAAAAATAAGCCATAAAAATCCCCCAACTTTCCCTAACTCAAAATTTCCCAGAAACCAAACTACCTCAATGCAAATTCACCTCATCTCACGGTTTCTACGCGCATGTTCAATCAGACATGACAATTGGTGAAATTATTTTCAAGGGTTCTGTAAATCCACCAGAAGCTGAAATGACTATCACAAATGTTAGGTCAGATGTGTTGAATAATGTATGCTAACTTTTTTTGGGGGTTACTCATAATCCAAAAATAATTTTGCAGACAGATTGGTCTGATCGAATCGTAATTGATCGTTCTTCTGATTTATCACCTGGATCATATGTGGTTCGAGTTGCTGCACAACTTTCTCTTCCAGTTTATCCATCGGAAATTCAAGAGACTAATATTTTCATAACAATTGCTTGTAATGGTTATGCTTATCCACTTTTTACAATTCATGTTGATGAAACTAATCGATTTGCTCCTCAATTTTATAATGAACCGTATATTGTGCCAATTTCAAAGGTGAGCAGGCTGGCAAAAAATTTTCCAGAGCAAACTTTGAAGCAGGGAATTTTTAAATTTAAATTAAAAATTTTGTGAATCCGAAAAACTTGTTTGCCAAATTTTTTTTTTGAGAAATCGCCCCCACCCACATTTTTCCAGGATCTTCCAATCTGGGGAACTATCGACACCCCAGTTGCTGCTATCGATTGGGATCCAGCATCAAATTACACATTGAAGTTTAAATTAGAAGTAGGTCTCCCAATTCTCCCGGGCTCTCCAGTTTTCCAAATTTTCCAGGATGCTCACCCTGGATTCGAACTTCTCGATGAGCGCCGAACTTCAACTAAATTGATTGCGGGAAGTGAAAAATGGAAGGAGGGTCAGATTCCAACAATGGTACAGCTTCGAATCACTGATAAGTATGAACTTCCGATTAGATTGAGATTGAGTGTGTCGGTGAGTTTTGGGATCTTGGTGGATCTTGAAGCGGAAGGCTGCGCGGAAGCTTTCCGGAGAGGTAGTGTAGGCTGCTAAAGTAATGGCTGCTGAAGCGGGAGACAGTGCCGCATCGAGGAAGGTCGCGGAAAAATTAAAATTTTTCCAGGATGATCAAAAGCCACCGCGTAAATCAACAACCTTCATTTATTTATCCGATAAGTCGAAATCACCCACAATTCCACCAAGCACCCCAATCATCACTGAAACTGCCCGAACTTCAACTCAAACATCAAAAGCTACAACTTCTATTCCATCAACAACTTCAGCAACATCTTCTGCTTCATCTACACCTTCAACCACAACTGATCTATCAGAAGATAAAGCTGAAACTAAAAACCTGATAAATAATCTGAAAAAGACACTGGATGAATTGCTGCCAAAAAAGAAAGAAGAAGAAAATAATGTGAGAGAGAAAATATTTGGAGCAAAAAATCAGGAATTGAATGCGATTGAGCTCGTTGAGGAAGATGAAACAGATGAGAATGAGCCAACATATTTTGCAAATTGTAGTGTTCGGGTTAAAATTGTTGAAAATAGTGAGATTGGCACAAAAGTTATTGATTTGGATGTTGTGAATCCGAAAAATGTGAGTTCATTTAATTTTTCGAAAAAAAAATCTAAAAATCTCAAAAATTTTTCAGAACACATCGATAAATATCGTGGATCCGGATAATTCTTTCAAACTTCTTCCAAATTTCACAATAATTGTATCAAATCCAAAAATGTTGGATCGAGAAAGATTCACAACTTTAGAAATTGTTGCTGAAATTCAAGACGAAGTTCCAACAATTCTTGGTTGTACTCGAAAACGAATTCATGTAGATTTGGAAGATGTTAATGATAATCGACCAGTTTTTGAGATGGAAGACTACTTTTTCCATATTTCGGATCAAGTTCCAATCGGACAAGAAGTTGCGAAAATTGTGGCTCAGGATATTGATCAAGGTTCGAATGGTCAAATCACATATTCGATTTTGACGCAAAATATGCCGTTTGAAATTGTTGCCGAAGGTAAACGTGGAATTATTCGAACAACTTCGAGACTTGATCCACAAATTCGCAATTATTTATTTGAAGTTGAAGCTAAAGATAATGGGAAAGAGCAAAGATCGGCAAAAGTTCCGGTGGAAGTTTTTATTTTGAAATCTAAATTGGGAGGTGGAAATGAGGAGGAGAAGTCTGAGGATGAAGATCAGGAGGTTGAAGATTCAACTGAAATTAATTCACAGGTTCCAAATACCACTGAAGTTCAAATTGATGTCAGTAATGTCAGTACGAAGAAGATCGAAACAACAACTAAACAACAAGCTGAAGACGTAGAAGATCAAGAAGAGGCTGAGGAAACTACATCTGGAGCTTCAACCAAGGCATCTACAACAGAAGAAGCTTCTGAAGTTGAAGATGTGGAAGATCAAGATCAAGAGCTTGAGGAACCTACTACAACATCTAAGACATCTACAACAGAAGAGGCTACAGAGGTTGAAGAAGAGCAAGATCAAGAGCTTGAACAAACATCTACAACTTCAACAACATCCAAACCTCAAATCCACGCTGCAAAATCATTAGCCGTTGATCAACAAGATCTTGAAGAAATTGAAGAATCTGTGGAGCCAATGACTAATATTGATTTATTCATTCAACGGCAAAATGCGGTTGAGCCAACTAAGAAACCCGAAATTAAATCAGAAGCTAAGGAAACTGATGCTGAAGAAAGTTCTACCATTGAGAACCCTCGTATCGAAAATACAGAACAAGAAAAATTTGAATTCAAGCAGAAAATGTACACTTATGATGCGATTGGTGCTGAAATTGCTGAAAATGATGTGATTGGAAGAGTTGATGCTTCACCAAATCCTGAATTCTTTGCTGTTGATCGAGAGGTAAGGCTGATCCGAATCGGAACAGGGTTTTGAGAATTACACAAACTTCGGAACACATTATTTTTTGGAGTCGGAAAAAAATTCGGGGATATCGGAAATGTTTTTATTGAACTCAAAATAGTGAAATTCTCAAAAATTGATTTTCAAAAAAAAATAATTTCGGTTGTAAATAGAAAGAATAATAGATCATGAACTGTTTCAAAATTTTTATTCAAAAATTAAATGAAAAGTTTGAAACGTATTTTTGATGAGAATTTTTTTTTATTTTCCGTGGATTAAAAATTAACTCTCCTACAGCTCTAAAATGAGCAATCTCAATTCTCAAATTTCCAGGTTGCCGGAATCATTAAACTCAGCGAAACCGGCGAAATCCTAGCCGGAAAAGGTCTGAATCGGCTCGAAGATGGTCCTCTCACTTTTGGCGTGTCTGCCACAAATGGTTTTGAGACGGTCAGTTTTTTCTTTCTTTTGTTATTTTTTGGCCATCGACAGGTGGCTGTCCTGCCTGCAATTAACTCTTTTTCAAGTTTTGCGCAGCGATGAAACCTTTTGGCCTAAAGTCACGCGATTCGATATAAACATATGAATTATTAAATATGGCGAATGAGGGAAAAGGTTATATAGTAGTAGAAGGATAGTGGTAGCAATAATAATAATAAATTCGCAAAAACCCTGTCATTACATAATAATTAATTATTATTCTGTGCATAAGTAAATATGACTTTTTATATATATTATATTTATTAATAAGAATCCTGTGAGAATGGACAATTTTTGTACCAAAAAAAATAATTTAAGGACCACCCACGAAGCCTAAATATACAGTTTTTCAAATTGTTCTCAAACTACACTCTAGTTTGGTTTGACTAGAAAAGTTTCAAAATGTTCAAATACAATTTTTTTTCTCAAGATTTCTAGATTATCTAAACTAGAGTCTAGTTTGACTCAGCTCATGTTTTCGGAACTTTTTTACTGGTTTCACAAAAAAATTCGAAAACACCGCATTTTTCTGAATAATAATTTTTGGATGAGAAAATTCCCAAAATTGTTCCCTCTAATTTTTGGCACAATTCCAAAAACATCTGTTTGCCACATTCCTACTAGATACCAAACCGTTCAAAAATTACAAGCTCCAAGAGACTCAAAAAAAAACATCTCCTAGGCAACAGGTATTTCTTCTCCTTTCTTTTTTCTTTTCTCCCACCATTTCCTTCTTCTTTCTATTTCTAATTGTTGCTTGCTTGCTTTTATGGGCGGAGTCTTGTTTATGTGGCGGGTCGCGCAGGTGCAAAAGACGAAAAAACGAATGAAATTGTATTAGAATAAATAAATAAATAAATAATATTCAAGGATTTTCTATTTTTTTTTGGCATTGAATAAGGACAACCAGGTTCTATGTTCGAGATTTTAGTCGATGAAAAAATTTATTCGAATTTTTATTATTTTACTATTTTATAATCTGCTATTCTCAGCTGGGGTAAGCTTTTTCGTTGTGCGTGAGAGTTTTCTTTAATGATAATGGGTATAACAAATCAAAAATTGTTTTTTAGGCAAAAATTTAATAAATATTTTGAAACGTATTTTTTTATGAGAAAATTTTTTTGAATCAGACATGTTAAAACCCATTTTCCGTGGATCAAAAAATGGATAAATTTTCAAAATTTTACTGTTTCAAAACATTTTTTTAATATAAAAATTCTGGAGGATCAAATATTGGTTATATAGGAAAGTCTCTCAAGTGACCAAGCCTTGAAATCCTAGTTGTCAAGCAGTCGAGCCTAGAGAACCTAATTGTCTAGACCCCGCGCCTAGAGATCGACTTTGGCAAGGATCAGCGCCTAGAGAGCTCATTTTTCAAGTAGCCGATCCGAGAAACCCTAATTGTCTAGGACTCATGCCTAGAGAGTATTGTTCTAAAGTAGCCGAGCCTTAAGAGTCCAACTGTCAAGTAGCCGAGCCTACAAAACTCAAATTTAAAAGTTCCGCGCCTGGAGCTGGCCAAGCTGACCAAGAACTTTACTGTATTCCAAAATCTGATAATTTTCCAGGCTAGAGCTCAAGTGACAATTCTACGCGATGCAAATCGCGACCTAATGACTTCAAATCCCCGCTTCGATCAGGACAAATACAAATTCCATATTCTCGAAAATCAACAACCAGAAGTCATCGGAATATGTCGTGTAAGTTAGAAAAATAAACATAATCGCTCAAAATAAGCTAGTGAAACTTTGCATATTTTCCTCCTAATCCCCTCCCCTCCCCCATTAAACATCCGTTTTTTGCAGGCTTTTCACTCAGCCCTCTCCTCATCTGCGTCTCTCCGTCTCACATACTCTCTAATCGCTCCGGCGAACATCGACGAACTTCCGTTCGAAATTCATTCGCAATCGGGAGAAGTTAGCACGTCGAGACCATTGGATGCCGAGCAACAAAATGTGTACAAGTTCCAGGTAAAAAAGAGCAAGGGATTAGCAAGGAGAAGGAAAAAGAATAATTCTGAATCTTTTCAAATTAGATAATCCGGTTTATGCAATTTCAAAGGATTCATCAAGTACATATTCATATTTCCGGTGGAGAAAGGAGAATGAATAAATATAACTTGGGAGGAAAAGCTTACACAGCGTGTAGTTTTGAGACCTGGCACAATTTTAGAGGAGAAATGAAATTCAACGTGAAGCTGAGAGATTTAGAGAAAAATATTTTACGAAAGTATGGACAGAATCTGCTTAGAATCCCTAGTTGTGAAGTAGGCGAGCCTAGAGAACCTATTTGTCTAGGCATCGCGCCTTGAGAGCTTCTATGCCAAGTAGCCAAGCCTCGACATCCTAGATGTCAAGTAGCTGAACCTAGAGTACGTAGTTGTGTCGGAGTCGAGGCTAGAGATCTACTCTGACAAGGAGCCGCGCCTTGTGAGCCACTGTCTCTAGGTACAACGCCTAGAGTTTCGATTTGACAAGGAGCCAATCCTAGACATTCTAGTTAGTTGTCAAGTAGCTGAGCCTAGAAACTAACTCTGACAAGGAGCCATGTCTTAAGAGCCATTATGCTGAGTAACCATCCCCTTCTCGATTTCCCTAATTTTTCCTACAGGTTCGATCATGTTTGACTCAAGCAATCTGCTCTGTTAGTGATGTATTCGTCTTTGTCGATGATGCCAATGACAACCCTCCAATATTCCTAAATCGCGAATTAGAAGCAACAGTAGAAAGTGATATTCCAGTCGGCACCAAAGTCATCAAAGTCTACGCGAAAGATGCCGATAAATCCACCAACAATTCTCGAATCTCATTCACTATCGCATCCGATTCTCCAGATTTTCAAATCGATGAACAAAGCGGGCAAATCCGAACACGTCAATCACTCATTCAACCACTTTATAAAATACTGATACATGCTTCAGATAATGGAATTCCACGGCGATTAGACACTGCTCAATTGATAATCACAGTTCGAGGAACAAATCCATCGAGTCCAGTTTTTGATCAAAAAGATTATTCGTTAGTTGTGAGTGCGCCTGTTAGAGCTGGTCAAGTTATTGGAGAAGTTCATGCGTCGGATCCAGATCCCGGAGAAGAAGGACAAGTTAGATATAAATTATTGCAAGCTGATAATCAGGATCATCATAAATTCTCGATCAATTCAAAGGTAACCTTTTTTTAAATGAAAAATCAGATTTAACTAATTATTTGCAGACCGGTGTAATAAGTGCTCTCACTTCTTTAGTTCTCACTGATGGACCAATTCAACTCAACATCGAAGCCACGGATAATGGAAAAAATACCAGGAAAAAAGTTAGTTGAAATTAAGTTTGACAGTTTTTTAAACTCTCTGTTTCAGGCAAAAACATCAGTCTTCATTGAAATAATTGATCCAAAAACTTTGAAATTCTTACCGCTTCCAACAACAGTTTACATCTCAACTGAAAAAGCAGTGGGAAGTGTTGTTCTACGAGTTTCTGCAACTACCACAGATGATTCGAATATCAAATTCAAAGTTCTGCAAGATACTTCGCAATTTGTTATGGATACAGATTTATTGAGGGTGAGTGATGGTTTAGGATCACTGAAGTCTCTGACTTAAAAAATAGAAATGAAATACTGAAAGCTCAAATCCTACTGTAGATACGCAAAAGTGCGTGTACACACCATTCTTTGGAGGCAATTTGAAATTTCTAATTTGCGACGTGGAGCCAGATGTTTTCTTTAGTTTTGAAACTGAAACTATAGTCTAGTTTAGGATATTTTCTCAAATTCTTCCCAAACTAGATTCTAGGACTTTTTTTGGTGCGTAAAATTTAAAAATTTCAAATTAAAAATTTTTGCCTCACAAAAAACCACGTGGAATTATTTTTTTGTAAATTTTTTTCAAAATTCACTTTTTTTCGGCCGAAAAAATTTGCACCTGGAATTTTCCATATTTCTAAAACTAGACTCTAGAGCTTTGGCGCCAAAAATGCATATTTTCAAAAAAAAAATGCCACATGCAACATTCCAGATATCTCAAACTAGAGTCTAGTTGAAGATAATCTATTTTCAGGTATCTAACCATCTTCTCGAAGGTGAATCCATCCTAACAATCCGTGCTGAAACCGAAACTGCTCACGTCGATCATCAATTGAAAGTTGTTGTGATGGCAGATCGGGATAAATATCCAGTATTTCCCCAATTAACCTATGATTTCGATGTTTCAACCGAAGGACATTTTCCACGCCCAATCCACCAATTCAATGCTAAACTTCTCAATGGAACTATCAAATATACATTCTGGCCACCAACTGCACCTTCCGGATTTTATTTGGATGACAAAAGTGGAGAATTATTTGTGACAACTTCATTTGCTTCTTCAAATCATGATATTGCATTTATTGTTGTTCGTGCGATCAATGTTGATTTCAAAAAATTCTACTCCGATGTTGGAGTTGCGGTTATGCCAATCTCCAGTAAGAGTGAAAAATTGAGATTCCGCGAAAACTCATACAATTTCGAAGTTTTCGAAAACACCGAGATTGGTCAAATAATTGGAAGTGTGAATGTGATCGGATCATATTCTTCGCTAACAATTTCACCAGACACCGATTTTATTGGAATTCATCAAAATGGTTCACTTTTCCTCAAAACTTCAGTAGATGCTGAAAATCTTGATGAACTAATTCACGATTTCACAATCAGTGCTTCAAATGGTCAAGATTCTAACAAAGTTCGGGTTCAAATCGCTGTCCGTGATGTCAATGAATTCCAACCAAAATTCGATGATTCAGAGATCGAGATGTCACTCTTAACATCAAATTTAGAACCCGGAACAAAGATCGGAAGAGTAATTGCTCATGACGAAGATGTTTCCGAGAAATCAAAACTAATCTATCGAATTGTGGGAGGATCTGGAAGGAAATTGGTATTTATTCAAGAAGATGGAACTATTATTGTTGGAGATGAACAAATCGATAAATTCCTTGATCATTTTGATCTCATTATTGAAGCTGTTGATAGAAATGGCAAACATGTGAGTCACAAAATTATATATGAAAATTCTAAATCATAAACATCTAATTTTCAGGATCAAACTCATGTTACAGTTTTCATTGACTCTGATGAAAAAGAAATGGATCCACCAGTTTTTATGAATCAACCTTTGGAATGGAATGTGACCGAAGCATCCACTGAAACCTTCGAAGTTCGAGCTGAGGGATCTGATCTTAGTTATAAAATCGTTGGGGGTGATTTAGCTGGGAATTTCAAATTGATTCCAACCAACAATGGAAGTGCAAAGATCAAAATTGTTTCTGAATTGGATCATCGCAAACAATCCACATATATTCTCCAAATCGAAGCAAGAGATACAAGAACTCAGCAAACTTCGGTTGGTGAGGTTACAATTCATCTCAAAGATATGAATATGCATGAACCAACTTTCGAAAAATCAGATTTTTCTGGAGCGGTAAGCTATCCTGAATTAGAATAACAATCTATAATCTATAATGATTCCAGGTTCCATCAGATCTTCCAGCTGGTTTTCCAATCGTCACAATTCAAGCAACTGATATCGATCGTGATCCTTTAACCTATTCACTTCAAGGAGATCCATGTGATAATCAATTCAGTATTGATAATCAGGGACGCGTTTCTTTCCGCGCACCAAAAGCTGATCGATTAATTGGTCAGATTATTTGTTTAGTTGTAGCAACTGATGGAAAACATACGACTAGCAGTAATTTGAAATTAACTGTGAATGATGGAGCTGATAAAAATACAAGTGTCACAAGGAAAAATACTGCACCAAAGTTTGAAAAAGAAGACTATAGTTTTGAGATCACTGAAGATAAGACAAAAGTGATTGGAAAAGTGAGTGCTATCGATGCAGAAGGGGATCTAGTGCAATATTCAATCGAACCAGCGCAATATCGAAATCTGTTCATTGTTGATCAAACAGGCTCAATTACCCTAAACAATGTTGAATTGGAACAAACAATGTATAGTTTCATAATTGTTGCCGAAGATATTAGTCATCAACCAATATTATCAAGTTTTGCAAATGTTAAGATAACTATTGGAGCTGAACAATCACCAGCTGAACAATTGGATAATGAAGTGACATTGGCTACAAAAGCACCACTAGGAAGATCTACTTCAACGACGAAACAGCAGGAAATCGTGGCTTTTAAGCAACAAAAATATTCATGGATTATTGATGAAAGTCTTCCAATTGGTTCGATTATTGGAAATGTTGAAATTGTTAAATCAGATCCAACGGTATTTAAGTTTCTCATTTTTATTTATTAATTAAATTCAAAAAAATTCATTTTTCAGATCGATTATAGTTTCATCTCTGGAGATTTCTTATCTGTTGACCAAGATGGTCGTATTGCTGTACTCCAACCTATCTCAAAACCAATCAATGATGTTGTGATTGCAACTCGAGGTGGAAATATCTTAGCAGAAACACGAGTTGTTGTAACTTTGAATGAATCAACCACCACTACACTTCGAACAACTTCTCGGATAACTACAGTAAGGACAACGACCACCATGCCCAAGACATCGCCAACCACAAAAACCCTTGAAGTTATCACAAATACAGTTCCACCAACTCTATCAGTTTTGGAATTCTCGAAACCAACATATTTCGCGTTTGTCAACGAAGGAACTTTCAAAAATGGTATTGAAATTGAGATTAAACCAGAACCACTTTCAGTCAAAGATCAATCAAATGTTATTTATACAATTGAAGATAAAACAACAAAAATGCCATTTTTCCTCACAGAAGATGGTAAATTAGTTGTCCTCGAAGCGGACCATGAAAAACATCATTCATATAACTTCATAATTTTGGCCAAATCAACATCTAATGATCGAATTGCTCGAGCTCGATTGAACGTGACAATTCTAGATGTCAATGATAATTCTCCGATCTTTGATAGTTATCCCGAAGTCATTGGAGTTTCAAAGGATATGCATATTGGAAGTCCAATATTTCAGATGAGAGCTTCGGATGCTGATTCTGATTCTACTATTAGCTATGACGTCACACCAAAACACTATTTCTCAATTGATCCAAGAGATGGACTTCTTCGAGTTTTCTCAAATCTTCAAAACGCCCCAGATGATATTGAATTAGTGATAGTTGCAACAGATTCCGGAGTTCCGCCAAAAAAATCGGAGGCCAAAATTTTGATGCGACTTTTCGACAATGTTATGACTGGACCAAAATTACCCGAAAACCTTGGTGAATTTATTGTAAAAGGATCGAGTTCACCAGGAACAACTGTCAAACAATTAGTGGCTGGTCCAACAGTTTCCGAAAATGATAAAATCCTCTATCATCTTTCAAACAATTCTGACGGTCTTTTCGAAATTCGAGACAATGGATTACTCATTTTCACACGTAAACCACATGCTTCCGAATTGAACAAATATCATTCATTGAATGTGACAGCTGAGAATAGCAAAGGAGCAGATTGGAAGATTATCAATATTTATGTGGAGGGAGATATTACAGCGCCGAATTCGAATTCGAATCCAATTTTAGTGGATTGTCACTTCTCTCAGAAAATCTATAGGGCGAATGTGACGGAAAATCAGAAGATGAGGGCAGATGTTGTGAGAGTTTCGTCGGATTGCGAAAATCGAGCAGACAAGAAGATTCGATACACTTTCCATCATCCAACAAGTTAGTTTGAATAAATAGTGAAATTTTAAGGCTTTTATTGAGCCTTAAACTCAACACAAATTCAATTTTCAACATCAAACTTGCACTGAAAATTCAACATTCTTTTCCATTTCAGAAGAATTCGAAATCAATGAGAAAACTGGTCAAATCACTACAACTCAGCCATTAGATCGTGAAATTAGAAACTTCTATTTCTTAACAGTCAATGTTGTTGAGCAAACAAGAAGGAAGCGCCAAACAGAATCTGCTATTAATCGTGAGTTACTGGAAGTCTCTAATTCAATTAGTAACCTCACATTATTTCAGAAGCAGCTTCCAAACTATCCTCCTGGCAAACTCTTGTCATCGTTTCTGTGCTAGATGAAAATGACAATAAACCATCATTCCTTCATCTATCAACTGATGGAAGTCTTTCCGCAATCGTCGATCAAAATGCAGATTTATTGACGCCAATAATTCATGTTCAAGCTCGAGATCTTGATATAATTCCATCAGAATTGACGTTCAATTTAGAAGGAAATTCCGATTCTGTATTCCAAATCAATTCAACAACTGGTTTGGTACAATTAGCAAAACCACTCGAAAATTCTGCAAAACGAGTTTACGAGCTTGAAGTGACTGTTAGCGATGGCAAACATCTTGTGAATGCTCCACTTTCGATTCACGTTCTGTCTGTTGATACAAATCTTGTTCAACTAACCAAAGACACAAGTCACTCGGAAATTGATCCACCAAGTTTGGAAAGACAATTGAGTGAAACTCTCGGAATCGATTCTCGAATCCTTGTTGCTCAACCATATGTGGATGAAACAGGAAAAGCTGATTCAACAAGAAGTCATGTATTTGTATATTCATTGGATGAAACTGGAAGACCAATTGATCGAGAAGATTTGAAAGAATTGCTCATGTTAAACTCAGAGAAATTAAGCAGACAACAAATCTCCTCAGTTTCCTTGATTTCAACGCCCAAAAATGGTGCGCTATCTTCACAATCTGTGGTGACAGCAATTCTTGTTTTATTGCTCATTGCATTATTGATCTTCATTTGCTCATTGATTGTTTGCTGTTTCAAACGGTTGGTTAAAAAACATTGAATCCTGATTTTAAAAAATAAAATAATTGATTTTCAGCCGATCAAAAACTCAACACGGTATAATCGAAGGAGCCTACATGGTTGATTCAACCGGTTCGGGTCCTCGTCCTTATGACGTTGCAAATATCAGTCGAGCAACAGCTCAGAATGTATTAGCTTCTCGACCATTACCTAATCCACAGGAAAGCAAGTAAGTGATTTTTATTTTCAATTATAAGCTAAACTATAGTCTAGTTAAAAAATTATGAATTTTTTATTCATGAATTTTCATTTAAAATTGGTCCAAGCTCAAATTACGGGCTATAGTCTAGTCTAAATTCAAAATTCTTAACTTTCACCTGAAATTGCTCCAAAAACTACAAAATTCAAGCTAAACTATAGTCTAGTCTCCCATCCTAATTTCAATTTCGAACCGTAATTTCCAATTAATATGAGCAATAGGTATAAGTGATTTGAAGCTCAGAATATATTGATTAATATGAGCAATACCATATCTAGACTTAAATTAGAGCTCTTAACATGAGCAATAGCATATTCGGTCTTAAAATGATCCTCTTCACAACTATATCTATTTTCAGACGTGATCTAGCCGTTTCGCCCGCTTTCCAACCAAATATGGAGCGAGAAAATACAACGAAAGAATTCTCGAACAGTGTCCGCGAACGTCCATCTCTTCTACCAACCACAAAAGTTCATAGCGAACTCAAACATTTCTAATAATTATTTTTATTTATTATTTTTCAAATATTCGTATTTTCCGGGTCTTTTTCTCTTTTGTCTTTCCAACAACTTTTTAAAAATTCATTTTCTATATTCCGGTGCTAAAAGAAAAAGCAACCAAAAACGGTGCTAATTTAATAAATAAAGAATTTATCGATAACAAAATCCGATTATTTATTTTGTTTGGAAAAAAATATGTGGAAATTGATAAGGGAGAAGGTTTAATTGTGAAAAACTGGGTTCGAAAATGAAACTAGCTATTCTAGTTTCAATTGTTTTTGGTAAGTTATAAAGGTTTTTCAGGAAGCCGTGCTTAGAATTGTCGAGGATCAGCGCCAAGAGAACCTAATTGTCTAGGACTCACATCTAGATAGCCAGTTTGGCAAGGAGCCGCGTCTTGAGAGCTACTATTCCAAGTAGCCGCGCCTACAAATCCTAGATGTCAAGGAGTAGCGCCTTGAGAGCTATTATTCCAAGTAGCCGAGCTTAAAAATCCTAGATGTCAAGTAGCCGAGCCTAGAATTCCTAGTTCTCAAGAAGCCGCGCCTATCAAATCTACTTGTCAAGGACCAGCGCCTAGAGAACCTACGTAGCCTCGCAGAAAAAAATTCAATTGTCTAAGACCCAACCCTAGAGAACCACTTTGACGTCAAAGTGGAATGTCATGACAAGGAGTCGCGCCTTGAGAGATTCAATGCCAAGTGGCTGAACCTTGAGATTCTAGTTTTCAAGGATCAGCGCCTAGAGAACCTGGGTATCTTACTAAATTACAACCTAACCTTCAGCTTTCGCTTCTGCTGACAGCTCAATCTGTGTCACCCGAACCTTCCAATACTGTCAACAAGTCTTCGGCGAATCTCTAAACGTCTCCCAAGGATCAGACCTCTGGAACAATCCAGCCACATTCAACTACATAATCCAATCATACTACAAAAAAGGTGTCGACGGTTTGTTGGCAGTCTGCCAAGCTCGCCAACAATTCTACACATGTTTGGGAGATGCCTATGACATGTGTATTTCAGTAAACAACTTTATTTCAAACGGAAAAACTCCAAGTGATGCCAAAAGTTTTGTAGGGAATTTGAGAGTTTTGGAATTCGATTGTGACGGCGGATTTATTCGTAAGAGAAACTTCGGGGAAATTTTGAATTCAGAAGAAAATTTCAGAATCATCGAAACATTTCGATTGTATCAATTTGGCGACTCAAACAAAAATAACAGATCTTTCAAATTGCTGGACATCCTATCAAAATGACTTGAAAAATCTCGTAAGAACACGGGGAGATTTTAGTATATATTTGAGATTTTTCAGGTTCCATCGTGTAACGCAGCCACAACAATGGTAAATTGTTTGAGCTCAGTTTATCAAAATGTTTGCGGCTCTGAGGTAAGCTAAAACTTTTCTCAAAAAAAAAATCCCCATGATTTTTTTCTTGTTAGACTTCATGGTGGGAATGTGAGCGCACTCGCCTCGGTCAACTCTTAGATCAAACTTGTCCAGCAATCAGCTGTCAACTTGGAGCGCCATCCCAACTTAGCGGAACTCGTGCCTCCCGCGTGGCTCAAGTCTTCAATCATCAACCCGATATTTCTCGAGTCATCAAATCACTTGTCAACAAAAATTAAAAATACTCACTATTTATCTTCTAAACTATAAATATGTTCCATTTTTTCTATCCAAAATCGCAATTCGTTCAAAATCCGGCACTTCTTGATATCCCGAAACTTGCACATTCATATCACCAAAACCAGATGTCAAAGTTCGAACAACTCGAGACAAATTCTCCATTTCTGCGAGCGGTAAATGTGATCGAATACGGACTGTAGATTCTAAAAAAAAATACTTTTCGTCAGGAAAAATTTCAGCAAGATTAAGTACCATTGATTCTATCGGAAAACTCAATTCTGGCTCTTCTTTTGACAAGTTCATTCAAAATTGGTTGAGTTGGTACATCACTTCGAATATCGATTTCAACTTCCATGACGGGTTCTGTGAGGACAATGCTGGCGGATTCCAAAGCTTTGGAGACACATTTTTGAGCACATGCGGATACTGTAAAAAAATAATATTTAAATTTATTGAAAGTTCATTTCAAGAGTTTTATGCTGATTTTTAGAACTAAAGTCATGTAAAATGAAGAAACTCAAATTATATTCGATTAAACTGCGGTTATGAATAATGTTTGGTGAGTTATTTTCTTTTGAAAAAAAAATGATATCTGAAAAAGTTTTTATCTGAGATATTCATCGATTTTTTTGAATAGAAATTTTGGCGCCAATTGTTGTCCTACAGTAACCCTAGTTTTCGAAACGAAAATTCTTCAAAACGATACCAATTTTGATAATATTAACACTAACATACGTTTATGTCTATTTGTTCTATATCTTTATCACATAGATTTCTCAATTTTTTGAGCTCCACCAGAAGTTCAGTAGCTGATGTGTGTGTGTGTTTTCCCAAACCACTAAAACAACAGCTTGGGAACAATTCAGATGCACAATAATGTGTGATATTTTCTCAGCGTCCCTGAGTGTATTGCACCACAAACCAACCTTTCCATCTGTGTGCAAAAACATTTTGAGACCGTTCTTTAATGTTGGTTATTTTCTTGATCCTCCACAAATTTCTAAACCTTTTTATGAAGCCATTTGCTAGAGAAATTGAAGAAGAAAAAGAAGAGCCTCCGATTAAAAAATTGCCAACTGAAATTCTTGGAGCAATTTTCGAAAAGGTAAGCAAATGATTTATTATATTCCCAATCAGACTGTTTTTCAGCTTGAATACGAAGATGTTCAAAAATTCAAGAACTCATCAAAGTTTCTATTCGATGTCCATAAATTAGAACGTTGGATGATTGCTGGTCCAAAATGTGATGCCAATGTGTATTATAACAAAAATAAGGAACTTCGATTAGAAACAACAACTTTGGTAAAAGTTCCTTGGATAAGAATACTTCCATTCAAAAGAACAATTGAATTGAAAAGAACTATTCCATTTGATCAATGGAATTATTACTTCAAAAATGCAAAATGTAAAATATTAAGAATTATTGTTGAAGAAGATGAAATTCCATTGGAAACTTTGAAGAAACTCATTTGCTGTAAATCGATCGATATTCTAAAATATTCCGGAAAATCAATCAATCAGATGTCTATTAATCTTTTTGCTGCATATAACCCTAGGATATTTGAAATTGTTGTTGATGGTTGGAATTTCAGAGTAGTGCAAAAGATTATTGTCAACTATACAGTCGTTAGGATTCAATGGCATGAAAATATTGATGATATTTTTGAAGCAATCAAATTCACGTATGATTCGATTATTAGTTTAAAACCGGAAATTTATGAAAAAAACAAGGATTCTTTGATGGTAAGTTTCACAGCTAAAAAAAGAAGAAAATACTGGGGGGAAAATTAGCAAGTTTTGCTACAAAAATCGACTTTTAGCCAGCTTGCTACAATTTATAGTGTGAAAAACATTCAAAAAAAAATCAAAAATATATGAACAAAAATGAGAGTGTTCATACAAGTTTCGAATCCTATATTTTTCTATTTTTCCAGAAACTCAAGCCAAACATTGAATATTATCCTTACTACTTGTTTCGGTTTACTAACAATAAGAATACAGATGAACAAAAAATTCGTTCGATCGCACATTTTTTGGAAAACAATATTTCAGATGTTTATCGATGTTATGTGGAATGCGAAGTTGCCAAAGAAGGCACATACCATTATATTTTTTGTAAGGGCTTCTAAACTTCTAATATGTTAATCAAAGTTATATTATAAATCCTGATTTCAAAGTAATAACTGTTTATTTTGTATTTCATTGTAATATTCATTTGAATTAATTAAACTTTCTTGAAAAGAAAAAACGGATTTTCAGTGTAGCTACTGTAGCTTCATTCAATTACTGTAGATTTTATGGATTACTATGTATAGCTAAATCTAAAATTCAAAACCTTCATACATTGCTCAGGTTAATTTGAGATTTTCAGTTGAATTTCAGATAAAAAATTGAGTTTTCCAAAAATCAAAAAAATCTCAAAAATTTTTTAAAGATACTAAAGTTCAAATTTTCATGCGAAGACTATTCCAAAAATTGGCTAGAAATCTGAATTTCAGTTTTCATGTGATATTTTTGGAAAGTCGATGTAGAAGAGGCGATGAGGAGAAATTCAGAGAGATTTGGGAATTCGAGACAACCCGATGAGACAATTCAGAAGATTCATAACAGTTTCGAGGTTTCTGGAGATATTCTTGTTTTGATCTCCAAAAAATCTAGCAGTTTGACATTATACCAACTTTTCAACCAGAAACTTCGAATAGATCTTCCAATTTGAATACTTTTTAAAATGTTCAAAAGTTCAAATTCAATGTTTTTTGGCGTCACAAAAACTACGTGGAGTTTTTTCCTCAATTTTTTATAGCCTTCCAAACTCACAAAGTGCCGGATTGATTTTCCCACCGCTGACAATCACATCAGTCACAAAAATATTCACCGAATGCACAGGAAATGAGGCAAGCGGTCCATTTTGCAGTGCATTTGAACATCCTTCACTAATTGCTCTTTGCCAATCATTTCGAACCGGCCGAGAATTTGGAGCAAGATCTAGCTCGATCTGGAAAAAAACAGCCATATGGAATTTTTTGAAGGGGTGAAACGTACTCTTTTGAATTGTCCATTATCATGTCTTTTCTCTAATCTCATCGATATTTCAACAAATTCAGGTCGTTTTTTCTCACTCATCAAATCTTCCAATTTACTTGTATGACTTATCTCCCCAGTTAACCTTTCTCTATAAGCAACTTGCAATTTCCCAATAAAAACATCCAATTTATATCCTCTCAAAAGTCTATCCTTGATCGCTTCAAGATGTAATTCTCCCTGTGTTTCAACAATTGTCTGTCCAGTTTCTCGATCAAATCGAATCTTCATTGATGGATCTTCTTTCGTCAATTCATCTAAAGCTTTGTTGAAAAGATTTTGCTGTTTATTGGAAGGCGGTTCAATGCAACAGAAGTAAACAGGTTCGGGAGCATCAATTCCAGCAAAAACAACACTTCGAGTGTCGAGATTTGATTTGGTGCGAAGAAAATCGATCTCGCCACTTTTCTTGAGCTTATCAAAGGCTTGTTCAGCTGAATCTCGACTGAAAGAAAGAATTTATGAAATGAAATCTAATTTTCTTCAAATTAACTTACTTCAATAAAATTGTATCTCCAGTTACAGTATTTTCTAACCCAGAAACCACTGCAATATTTCCACAATGTACAAAATCAGCAGGTTTCAATTGATCAGCATAAGGAACAAATACTTTAAATGGTCCATCTGAACTTGATTGCGATGAATTGAAAATTGTTGTATTATTTTGCAATTTGCCTGTATAAACTCGAATATAACTGAGTTGACCTTTCCGTTTATCATGAGTAATTTTGAAGACAAGCCCGCTCAAATTCTCGCCAAAAATATCATGAAATTGTGTATTTCTGAGATCAGGTGAAGGGAAATAATTGACAACCGAATCGAGAATTGGTCGAACACAATGTAAACTTTTGATGGCACTTCCACACGAAACAGTTGTCACTTTTTTCTTTTCGCTTAATGTCAAATTTCTCAATGTTTCAATGATTTGCGAATTCTGGATTTTCACGTGGTCTCCAGAATGCTTGTCTAAAAACAGATTCATGAATTCGTCATCATTATCAGCAATACTATAACACATTTCACTTCTCGCTTCCTCGAAAATATCATATTCTTTTGTTTTTTCCTCAATATCAACCCATTCTTCATCAATAATTCCGATTTTCAGCACTTTCTTGCTCAAAATATCCATGATTCCTTCGAAATTTCCATAAGGAATGACTGTTTTAATAGCTGGAAAAACGTCTAATTTCAAAATTTCGGAAATTTTCTCAATTACCTTTCAGGCCAAGCTTCTGCTCAATGGAATCAACGGAATTTGCGAAATTCGCCTCTTTTTTGTCAAGTTTATTCACGAAAAACATCGAAGGTAGATTGAATTTCGAAGACTGGCTCCAAACTGTCAATGTCTGGGGTTGAACTCCAGCCGAACCATCGATAACACAAACAATTCCATCGAGAACTCGAACACATCGCTCAACTTCGACTGAAAAAAAAATGAAAAATTAGAATTTTTCTGTGAGAAAAAATGAAATTCAAAATGCCCGCCACACAAATCGTGTCAAGACTCGTGCAATCGCCGCGGGACCCTGTGTGTTTCAAGCATGTTCCTTTAAACTTGCTGGTGTACTGTACATACAAAAATATTTTCTTTTTCTCGTTTTTTTTTCTGTTTTTCGCATGCAAAAATCAGCTGACTCACCTCTAAAATCCACGTGTCCCGGAGTATCAATTAAATTAATCCGATTTTCAAGCCAATTCAAATTCACCGCCGCTGATTGTACAGTTATTCCACGTTCTCTTTCGATATCCAAATAATCTGTGACAGTAGTTCCTTTATCTACATTTCCAGCAATATTTATAGCACCAGCTAAATATAATAGCCTTTCAGTGACTGTTGTTTTACCCGCATCCACATGAGCAACTATTCCGATATTTCGAATTTTCTTTTGATTTACATAATAACGTCGACAAATTCGAAACATTTTTTGAATTCTATATTTGTCAGGTTTCATTAGTGTTAGGAATTTCAGTCAGTTCAAAAAGAAGAATGCGGGTTTCAACCATTGCCAAAAACGAGAAATAACAATTTGGATTGGAAAAAAATTTATTTACGAAAAATAGTTCACGTGAAAATATAGAATAAATAGAGAAGGCGTTGAATCGTTGATTGTTTGAAGATTTAGGCGATTTGATGTCCAGCTTTGGCCAATTCTTCCCTGTAAAAATATAGATTTTCAGATGTTTCATCCAATGATTTTTTCTAACCGGGAACTCGCAATGCGCCTAAAACATTTGTCAAATGGATCTATTGAATTTGACGAAAATCTCCAAGTTATCAATGAATTTGCAGATTCTTGGAATGCCGAAAGAACTGCCTATGTTATGGAATTAGCTTATGCTATGTAAGTAAATATCTTTATTGATTTTTTTAAATTATTTTTTCCTTCTAGCGCTATTCCAAATCCCGAAAAACTCAACAAACATTATGAAGTTTCAACTGACGAGGTAAGATTTCTTGAAAATAATTCTAATTTCTAGAGAAAAATTTCAGACATATGGAGAGATTCGACTTCATCAATTGGAAAAACTCTTGGAGCATGTTAAACTCACAAAATCCTCGATTTTCCTAGATATTGGCTCAGGAGTCGGTCAAACAACCATTTATATGGCTTTGAGGAAAAAGGTGATTTCTTTTTTTGAGATTGTAAGTTCAACATATTATAAAATTCAGTTCAAAAAATGCTACGGAATCGAAATCTCAACTCTTCCCATTATTATGTCAACAGTTCTCGAAGAAGTCACCAAAAGAGTTTTCAAACTTCTTGGAATCAACACAAATTTCTATTCATTGAAAGAGGGCGATTGTATGGATCTTCAATTTGTTCCAATAATTCGAGAATGCGATGTTATTTTTATCAATGATATGAAATTCACACCAGAACTCAGAGAGAAAATCACTGAAATGTTGGTTGCAAGAATGAAAGATGGTGCAACTGTTATTACTAGTGGAGGAGCGTAAGTTTTTAATTTTTTGATTTCGTATAAAAATCATGAGATTTGTAGATTGGGATTGGAAAACAGAAGAAGAATCAATGTTCGAAACATTAACAATTTGAAAGCCTATTTCGAAACTGTAAAAGTAAAAGGGGAAATTGATGGAGTTAGCTGGACTTCAAAGCCAGCAGAATTCTGGATCAACAAACTCAACAGAAAAAGAGTAAGTTTTCCATCATCATTATCTTCTTTTTTGAAGAAGTTACCCATTTTTCAGGTTCAAGCATTCAAGAGTCATGGAAATTATTAATGCTATCAAGATTTGTACCATTTTTTGTGAATAACCTTTTAATGCACTTTTATTTTTTTTTGTTTCTGTTTAGATATGATATGAAAGTTCAACGTACTTCAATTGTTTCGAGAATTCGCTTTCGTGTGTTTCGTCATCCCAATTATCCTCCCAAACATTGACTTCTTCATCTTCCCCTTCTTGTCTTTCAGCCCATTCTTGAACTGGAAACTCTTCAAATTCCTCTTCTTCAACTTCTTTCTTCTCAACTTTTGGCGCTTCTTTTTTGGAAATTGTGATGGCTGACATTATGGTTTAGTCTGAAACAAGGATCAATTAGAACTTTAGAAAGTGTTCAACTTCACAATCAGAGATATTTTAAGAGCTGGATAACTCTTTTGAGAAAAATATAGAAAATAAATGAATAAAATTCAAAATTTAGTTAACAAAAAACAATCAAACAATAAGGACCTAAACTAGAAAAACTAAAAATCTACGATTTATTCTCTTCTTTTTGTTCTTTCTTCTTATTTGCTGCTTCTTCCTCCAATTTTTCCGTTGTTCTCAAAGGCAACGCTTGCGCTTTCGATTCCAAAGTTTTGATTTGATCAGAGCTCAGAACTTTTGTCAAATGTGATCCTTGTTTTGGTTCAATCCATTTTGGATAGATTTTTCCGTGTAATCGCCATTCTCCATCAACAACTGCGATATGATTTTCGAAAACAACATATTCAACAACCTGAAAAAACATAGTTAGCTTTTTGTTTAATTCGTTCCAACTCACATCTTTAGCTTCTTCTTCTGATCCTAGAATTAAACTCCCAAATCGATCATAAATTGATAATTTCTGTTTTGAATGCATTCTAACAGTAATTTGAGCAATATCATTTCCAGATTTTGGAGGATTATCGAAACATCTAACAGCTACAACTTTACTAGGTTCAACCATTTCAATCAATTCAAAGCGAACTGAACCATTTTCCACGTCAGGCCACATTTTCTGAAGAAAAATAATTAGTGTAATATTACTCATTAAAAAAGTGAAAATCTTACAGCAAACGCATATTCTGTAATATATTTGTGCATTTGTTGTTTATTCCGTTGCTCCAGCGCTTTATGTGCTTGAACATAGATATCTTCAGCTTTTTCCGTGAACGTTTTGATGTCGAATTTCTCGAATCCCTGCTTTTTCTTGATCCGGTTCGTTCCCATTCGCCAATTATAAAATTTATGTTGAACCCGTTGTTTTACTTCATCGAATTTGTTGTTGAAATCAGTGAGAGATGCTGGATTTTCTGGAGGAACATAGGGATCAGCAATTCCGTCTGAAACAATTTTTCATGGAAGTTTTATGGGAACTCAAAGACACTACTTACAAATACTTTGAAATGTGATTTGCCCCTCGTTCCATACTCTTGGCTGCGCATCTTTATATGGATTCACACCTCTTTTCAATAATTCTGTTCGCAATTCTGCTGTTGTCATTTGATCTTCTCGATCTTTCGCTGAATCATCTGGCAAATCGATCAAAATTGTTTTCCTTCCACGCATCTGAAAATTCATTTTTGTTTCTTGTTAGAAAAACTTCTATTTTGATAAAATTAAATACCCTTCTGAACATTTTTTCGTTGACATGTGTATTTCTATTCGCTTTTGCTTTATTTGATCGATGCATTCCGGTGAATCGTGGCATATCATCAGCTTCTTTATGATGATGAACACCTGAACATTTTGGTTTTAAATTGAGTCAGTCATTTCAATTTTCAAAAAAAAATACCTGCAACTTGTGTTGTACAAACTGCTGCGTGACATGGTGTCAGAAGTGTCTTATTCAATTGATGGCATAATCTTCCAAGCATTCTGCAAATTTTCAGTTAAATGGACCTTTTGGACATGGGGAAACCCAGAATTCAGCGGAAATGGCGCGCTTTGAAAAAAATCCCGAAAAAAATCATCAAGTGCGGTGGGGCGTGTTTGCCCCAGTACAGCAAACGCGCTCCAAAAATAATGATTTTTTTTTGGAAAAAATTGTTGAAACTTCATAACGATGCTGAACTTCGAGGAAAGAACGGTACTAAATCAAAAATGATTAAAAGTCTTCTTTTAAACAAATATATTTTTAGTACACACTCAACCGATTTGCCGAAGATGAAGATATTGCTGAAAAAGACTTTGAATCATTGAAAAATCGTCTGAACTCGAAAAAATCAGAAATCAACAAAGTATTCAGGGAAAATGAGGAAAAATGGCGAGCGCATACGAAACGGATGCATCCTTTTCGAAAAATTGCGAGAATGTTTAATAATTCGAATTTTCAAAGTAGTCAAGCGTTTTCCAAGTTTTTCGAAATTCTTTGCAAATTTCAAGAAGTTTTGCCAACTAGTTCAAAAACATTGAGGTAAATTTTAGAAAAAAAAAATAGTATGACAAAGTTTAAGTTTCAATTTCAGAAGTTTTCATCTTTGCGAAGGCCCGGGACATTTCATTGCTGCTTTGGATTTATATTTGAAATCATTTATTCCAAATTTAACAAATCATTGGGAATGGAAAGCAAATACGTTGTGCCCGTATTTCGAAAATACTCCTTCATCTTCAAAACTTCTCGACGACACTTTCATCTTCAACCACAATTCACAATGGATAAGAGGACCAAAAAATGATGGAGATATTTTCCAATTATCTCCCGAATTTTTAAAACAATCAAATCTTTTGGCCAAATTCGATTTAGTCACCGCTGATGGAAGTTTTTATGTTCAAAATAATCCGGGAGAACAAGAAAATCTTGTGTTTGAATTGATAGAACAAGAAATCAATGTTGGCCTGGATTTATTGAAACTTGGAGGAACATTTGTCTTGAAAGTGTTCACAATTTTTGAAGCGAAGACACGAGAACTTATAAAGCGGACTTCAACTTTGTTCGAAGAAGTTATTTGTTATAAACCACTGTGTAGCAAGCCAGGAAATTCGGAAAAATATTTGATATTTTTGAAGTTTTTGGGAAGCGATAGATTTTCGGAAGTTTCAGAGTCGGAATTTATGAAAGCTGAAACAATATTCACAAATCTACAAATCACAGCGATCAATAGAAATCTAGAGACATTTGGAAAAGCGCAACCCCAAGAAGAATTTGAGAAAAATGAAGAATTAGTCAATGATTTTCTTGATGAAATCGATTTTTACTCTCTGAAAATTTCGAAAATCTCAAAATCCTTGAAGCCAATGATTTCAACTCCATGGAAAACGATGTTTGGGAATAATTTGGTGGATAGAATTTCGAAAATTCGTGATTTCGATGAGGAAATTCAAGAAAATCTTGGGAATTTTGAAGAAATCTCTGCTATACCTGAACAAATGGTTTTTGAGTTGGGAGAATTTGAAACTTCAAATTATGAGATCAAAAATATGCATTCATTGTTTTTGGATCCAATAATTTTGTATTGTTTGAACAATTCGGAAACTTTAGTAAGTCCACTTTTTTTTGAAATTAAATCCCATGTTTTCAAAATTTTTCCAGAATTTTGTTGATATTTTCCAAAATTGCTCAAAACCCTCCGAAAACAACCTGCAAATTCAAAATTGTTGTGAAATATCTGTTGAAAAGTTGAATTCTCTGGAGACATTTATAAATGTTTTGGATCAAATAAAAGAAAATTTTGAAAACAAGATAATATTCACTTGGAAAAATGATTCGAAAAATATTCATTTGATAGTTTCGAGATTGTCTGCATCGATATTTGGATTATTTTTGAAATTGTACAAACATTTTGAATTTTCGGAGGATCAAATTTTATTTAGTGATTTGGTGAGTTTCAGGTTTTTCGTGGGAGGCGGGCTGAAATTTTTCGGAAAAATCAAAATTTGAATTCTCATGCGACGAAACTTCGTCTGAAAAAATGATATATTTCCACGCAATAATGAGATACGTCAAACCACCATATTGTTTTCTCTGAAATATCATAAATAATTTCTTTTCGCTTCTTCTTCGCGTGGTTAAAGAATCTCATAAAACAAAATCGATGCGCTTTCCATTTACGATGCCATAAACTGTAATGCCGCAGGAGTTTTTGATAGCGGGGATCTAAAAAATTTACGATCCTCTACGCTCCTTAGCTATGCCGTGTCCGTATTAAAGTCAGCATCAGATGGGAGAAAAATCATAACTAGCATGTTCAAAGTTCTCGTATTGATCGGAGTTCTGGTGTGTTTGGCGGATGGATGTCGAACTAGACCACCAACAACTGTCACAACCACCCAACCTACCACAACGCCACCAACAATTACTGAATGTCCTGCTGGCTGGGCTAACCGCACAAGAACAACTGGAAAATGGTGTGTGAAAGTGTTCTTGAAGACTGTGAATTATCAAGAAGCTGTTGCATTGTGCGCTGAGAATGGAGCAGTTATAACAGGCTTGCAAACCACCGCTGACAGGAATGCGATTGCTAGATCTCTTCAAGCTCTTACATACTTCCCAGTTTCCACTATTTTCATTGGCGCAATAAGAACATCAGCGTGCGCCAATTCGAATCTCACATCAACTTGCACCGAACTCAACTCGTTCGAATGGACAGATGGTGTTACAACTGGTACCACAGGATTTGTATGGAATCCTCTTCAACCTGATAACAATGATGGAAATGAGAAGTACGTAATAATGCTTCGAGAAAGTGCATCACTTAGCGATGTCTCCGCAAAAACTGTGGTTGATGGGGTGGCATGTGGTGCGAAGCCTGCAGACATTGTCACACCACCTTCAGACGCTACAACCCAAGCGCCTGTCGGCTGTCGATCCACCAAATGCCCAACTGGATGGAAAACTTATTCTCGTTCAGTTGGTGATTGGTGTGTCAAAGTATTTGTGGAATCGGTGAACCAGGCCAAAGCTGACGCAAAATGTCAATGGCGTGGCGGAAAACTATCCGGATTCCAAAATGCACAAGAACGCATCGATGCAGCGAATGCTCTTTGGGAAGCCACTAATAACATCTATTCTTATGCAATTGTTGGAGCAGTACGAACGCCTGCTTGCATCTCTTCAAATCTCACTGAAACTTGTACCGAGACAAATTCTTTCGCATGGTCTGATGGTGTGACTACTGGAACTGATGCTTTCGCTGGTGGATGGGAAGATAATCAACCTGATAATGACAATAACAATCAGATTTATGTGGCCGTTGGAAGTTCGTCTCAAAAAATGATGGATTTACGATATTCAGTGATGATGGGATACGTGTGTGGAGCGCAACCTTCAAGTATCAAACGACCATGATTTTTCTCTGAAATATCATAAATATGTTCTTTTTGTTTTTTCTTTGCGTGGTTATTCACTACCCGAAAAATTTCGCGCATTTTCTGAGATCTGACACAATCTTATGTTAGGGGTAGGACTAAAAGTCGACAAAATCAACGCAAAAATGAGAGATTTAGAGAAAAATAATGTTGGATTTACCCCGAAAATGGTCAACTATCATGTTCAAAGTTCACATAAAATTCAGAAAAATGTCCAGCCTTCTGTTTCGTTCTTATCCTACAGTAATACCTCAAAGAAATATTTTGATCAACTTTTTTGTAAAACTGGAAAAATTTCCAGTTTTTCAAATCCATTTTTTCAAGTCAAAATCGATGTCCGAAGTTGATATCATTTGTTGAACATTTTCGAGGTGTGCTTTCAAGTTCATGAAAACTTTGAAAGTTTCTTACATTCTCAAGAATATTCGCTACACAAGCGGTTTCGGAATTCAGAAATGAGCAAAATAATTCACGTCAAATTGAATAAATGTAGGACGCAGAATTAGGTCAATCGGAAAGATAGCTCACCGTTCAATATATAAGAAAAAACTCACGATTTGTTTCCAGGACACATACAATGCTTCAAAAATAATCGAAAACTTCAAGAGTCAAATTCCCAACGGCCCAATTCTTCGAAATTTCCTAACTCTCCAATCGTTGGCTTCCATTCATCCGATAATTCAAAATTTCAATATCAAGCAACTTCAAGCTATGCGAAAATAAACTTTTAAAAATATTTAATTTTAAACTATTTATTCATTTTTTTTAAATATTATTTTAGAGAAACATTCAATGTGGGGAATTTTGTGACTCATGGTTTTTTTGAAAAATTCGAAAAAATGTAAGAATTATAAAATACCCGTTTTAATGTTAATCAAAAATGAAAAGAGGTACCAGCCCTTGCACAAAACAAAAGCAAAAAAAATGTTTTCCTGTATTTGATATCTTTTGAGGGACCCGTCTGTTATGAGAAGGGACCTTAAAAAATCAACAAAAACAATCATAATAAAGAGATGATAATAATATTTTCACATGGTTAATGGGAATAGGGACTTTTCAGTCAACTTGCAGCAATTGTTGGTGATTGTGATTCATATTTTGGTGACATTGTGCTGACTGGTTGTTCTGATGATGAATCTGCTGAAGATGTTGTTGCATGTGTTTTATATGCTATCCCATTTGCAGTTAGAAGTTCCTTTAGGTGACGATTTTCCGTGCGAAATTTGCCACATTGATCGACAAGCGTTTCTTGATCACGATCGCGTTCTAGCAGTTCTTGTTCAAGCTGAAAAATTTTTTTTTTGAATATTTTTTATCTGAACTATGTCTCTTATCATTTTCACTTTTTTTCTGATAAGATTTTTCTATGGAAAAAATTCCTTACCTCAGATTTCGACATTTTCTCAATCCTCTCCCGCTTAACTTCCAAATAATCTCGATCAAAATCTCTATCAGCTTCACTTTCCCCCTCCGAACTACTATCCTGATCGCTTCCAGCTAAAAAACTCGAACAATTCGCTGCATCGCCACTTCCACAGCTGATTGATCGAATTCGACGACGTTCGGCGGCCTCATATTTTTGTTCAGACTGTAAAAAAATCTGTTTTGTTTGATCAGAACTATTTAACTATAATGTTTTTTATTAGCACTAGATAGATGCTAATCACCTTCTATTTATCACTTTTTCTCTCGCTTTTTGGAAAAAGAGAAAGAGACGCAGACAGATGAGAAAATCAGAAAGCAGAATATACTTATTTTAATGTTTTCAAGTGTAGATTTGTGAAAAGAAGAGAAGGAAGTTGCAAGTTTTTTTTCGATGTAATACGAAAAAATCTAGAGAAAAATTTGAATTCTGACTTTTATCAAATTCAAATCTGAAAGTTGTGCAAATTTTCAAAATTCGCGCCGAAAAATTTTCAGATGGTTTTTTTTGTTTTCAGATTTAGCGAAAACACATTTTAAATGACACGGAAACCCAAAAATAATCATGTTCTAAATTGGAAGACTCATCTCTAGATAGCTCCCAACTAATAGAAATTGCAAAAAAATTCTGGATTTTATAGACATTGAGGAGAAAAGAAATGGAGGGACTAGCAAAATTCTAGTCAATTTCTCAAGTTTTCTTCTCGGGGTCTATAAAATCCAGACATTTTTCGCAATTTCCATTAGTTTGGAGCTAACTAGAGATGAATCTTCCAATTTAAACAATGATTATTTTTGGGTAACCGGGCCATTTGAAATGTGTTTTCGCTAAATCTGAAAACAAAAATAAAAATTTTTGGCACCAATTTTTCAAAATTTGCACAGCTGTCAACACTTTCAGATTTATTTTCTTTGTGAATTTTTTCCGTACGAAAACCATGTACTGTCTTGATCGCCTCTTCACTTTTATTTGTTATAATTTCCAAAAAATTTTCGAAAAATATACAGATATTACTCTCTTTCGCTCTCACTCACACTCACTAACAGGAAAAACGACGCGTTGGTCGTCACACACACACAAATACACTCACAGCCAGCAAGCAGAAGGAAAAACGAAGGAGAAGAAAAAGAAGAAGAAGAAGAAACAACACAAACAATCATGTGTTGTGGAGAAAGAAATAGCGAATGAGACGAAGAGAAATAGACGTGGCGCATATATAACCATTCGAAAATCAAATTGGCCCTCCGCCAAAAGGGTGTAAATATGAGATTTTGTATAAGTTGCTAATTTTTCCGAATAATTACCTCATGTTCAGCTTCTGCGCGTGCTTCACGATCTTCAAGCAAAAATTGGGTGGTGTTTGATGGAGCCATGCTCACTCTGAAAAAAAACTTTCAAGATTTTAATGGGAAAATAGTGGAAGGCTTTTCAAAAATCCCAGGGAAACATTTTCCTACGTGGACTTCTGGCAACTTGATAAATTAAGCTAAATTTTCTAAAAATTCGAGAATTTTTTGCACCAAAACTACCTTTTTTCTAGAGTTCAGAATATTATTTTTCAAAAAAAAAATTTAGATATTAAAATTAGAGAAATTTTAGTCTAATAATTCCTACAGCACAGAAGAGTTTGCTTCTAAAAGTTTTTTTTTTTTTGAAAAAAAAATCCTATTAAATTTTCTCAAAATATTTAGAAGAAAATCCACGTATAAACAAGTCAAAAAAAAAATTTCGAAGAAAATTATGTGATTTTTTTCACTTCAAAAGATCAAGATCATCAAAAATCTCATATGACCGTTTACAGTAACCAATCACATTTTGGATAAAATTTTATAACTTATTTTTTCCAAAAAAAAAAAAAAACTAAAAGTGCAACGTGTCAAACGAAATGTTTTTCCAGAAGCCTATATTTTTTTTCTCCCGGACTCACCTTTCGAGAGTTCGTCTTTTTCTTTTTGTGTCGTCACCATCGAGACTTTCACATTCATCCACCAATCCGTATGGTTTGAATCTCCGATTGCCACGTCGTCTTCGAATTCGTTTCGATTTCCTATCCGTTCCACCTCCACCACCTTCCGACTCAGTTTCCGATCTTGCCTCACTCGACATTACGAAGATTATTAGTTAGATCGAATATTCACTTCGAACTGATTCGAATGACACCGAACACGATTAGAGTTACTCTCAAGATTGCCGAGATCAGACTTTTCACAAGGTTTTGACACGCTTCCTTTGTTGCGGGTTACACTACACTGTCTGCGTATCTACGTTTTGTGTGGTCTCTCACTTCAACGCACTGCTCACCGTCCTGCTGAGAGACAGCAATGCAAACTAGAAAGATTGAACTGACCGCTCTCCCTTTTATACTTCGCACTGCCGCGACGCACAGCTGTCAGCCTATCCGCCTTCAGCACGCAAAGAGCGCACACACTGTAAAATTCAAATTTTCGAAATTTAGATATTTTTGAAATAGCAAATATTATATATCTCCAGATACAGAAAAACACGAGAAAATTTATGATATACATTTCAAGATGTTTACAAAAAGATTCAAAAATTGTTAATTTTGCTCAAACATCCTCACTATTTTTCTATTCGAAATCGATTCATGTGTGTTTTTTCACTGGCATTTCCATATTGCCTGCGCCCAGGAACAAATCAACACCCAAATATAAATAATTGTCGATAGGTTTGAAAAGGAGTCGAAAGATTTTTTGAAATTATCTACTGTCTGTGTAAAAATATTTCTTTGGCATTGATCGCCGAAAAGAAAATATTTCAAATTTTACACAGATGGGATGAGGATTTTTACTTGGTGACTTGAATATAATAAAAAGTTGTATCCATAGCTTTGAGGGGAGTCGAAGGATTTCTTGAATTTAGTGTCATAAGAAAATTTCTTTCGCATTGATCACCAAAAAGAAAGTATTACAAATTTTACAAAGATGGAGATTTTCACTCGGTAACTTGTAACAAAAGTCGTTCTATTCACATAGTTCTTTTTGAATATCATTCATAGAACATTTCTGTAATTGATTTGTTCATGCTATAAAAAGATTATAATTGTTCCGCGGGGAATAAAATTTCCTTTTGCATTGCATATAATCGATTCTTTGTGACTTGCAAGCTGCGAAATTGAAGTGATCCCAAGAAACTGTTCTTTTCGTAAAAGTAAAAAAAACAGTTTTTACTTGATAAGATAAGAAACTTGCAATATCGTATTAGTGTTGTTGCTCAAATTTGATCGAAAATAATGAATCCCGAACTACAAAGTAAAGAGGAACATATGGAATGACGTGCAAGTTTTTCCAAAAACAAGTTTCTAAAAAAATTCGGACACAAAACCCATCTTCGTCTATATTTACTCAATTTGGTTCATATTTCATCGATTTTTCCGAATTCTCGGAAACTCCAAGAATTTTTTCTGAATAGTTGTCATTTTCGATGTATTCCATTGAAAAATGTTTGCAAAAAATTTCCGTCGAAATTTTTTTTTCGGTTCGACTAAAAATCCAATCCATTACTAATTACTTACTCTCTCTTTTTTTTTACATCTTCAATTTTTCAACTTTTGTTATGTCAGACAAGCAGAGAGAAAACGAAAATAGGTCGCATGACTTTGAAATTCTCGGGCTCCGCCCACATTGGAAAATTGCCAAGTTTTTTTGTGATACGATGAGGAAAACTGGATTATGGTACTGTTACTGTAATTATTTGAAAGGAAGTAATATGTGAAAGATAAAATGATTTGTGTCTTTGAAAAATTTGTGATTTCAAAAACAGAAATTTTGAATTAGTCAACAAATTGTTGAATCGAATCGAATCGAGAATTCAATAATTAATATGTTTTGTTTTCCCACCTCCCATATACTTTTTTTCAATTTTTGCTGCTTTCCCTTCTTTTTTCTTCTTTCTTCCATATTCCATGCCAGCATATATATATTTATAAACAACAAAAGACACAGTGTTGTTTCTAACTCTCGATCTCTAACCAATTCTTTTCCTCTCTGACTCTAGTTATGTATGCTTCGAAAAAAAAATGAATGAGAGTTCGAAAACGCAGAGAAACGAATATAGATATTGAGGGAAGAGAGAGTTGAAAAAGATGATGAGATAAGAGAGAAGAGGGTTTAGAGAAAACTATTGGATAAAAGTGGATGGGGTGAGAGAAAAGAGAGTGCAGAGAAAATAGAGATAGAAAAAGAGTGGATAGATGGATGAGTTAGTTGAGGGTGGCAAAAAAACACGAAAGAAATGAAGAAAGAAAAAGAAAATGGGGACTAACATGGCTTTTTTGCGATGTTGCCGGAGACAAAAAAAAGAGAATATAAATGGAAAATGTTGGAAAAAACGAAGATGTTGAGAGGGTACGAATGGATTTTTCAAGGAAGTTCTGGAAATAAAAATTTTAAAATATTTTCTAGAATTTTTTTGGAAATTGGGGGGTTTTTTTTTTAAATTGATAAATTCGTTTGTTTTCCAAACAATATAAATTTTTCACAAAGTAAAATTAGTGTCATTTTGTAGCTCTGAAAATCCACAAAAAAATGAGGTACAGTAGTTCAGGGTTACTGTAGATTTTAGAGGGGAAAGTCGATTTTTTATCATTAAAGAAATGGAAAAAACTATCAATTTTCAGAAATTATAGAAAAAAATCATAGAAATTTTGAAACAGTGAAAAATATTTGTCTAAAAAAATTCTTTGAACATTTTCCACGTCTTAACTAGAATGTAGTTGAAATTTTAGTTGCAAAACAATCCAGATTCAAAAATTTTTAGATGAAACTCCTGAAATTAATTTTTTTCCCTAAATTTTTCATTTTTTTCATAAAAGGTTTTTAAACCTTCAAAAAAATTTCCCCATAAAAAACAAGAAAAATATGAATTTTTTATCATAATTAATTAGATACACGTGTTTTTTGGCATGAAAAAACATCAAAAACTTGAAAAATTTCGGGACAAAACCCAAAAATCGACCTGTATGAGTGTAAGAAAAAACAAAAAAAAATCTGCGTGGGAAAATTATAAAATGAGCAATGTTAAAACTACAGTAATCATTGACAAAGAGGCGGAAGCTGCTACTACAGTAGTTTTTTCAACAGTCACAACTTCTTCTGTGACGTCATTTGATCCTTGAATTACTGTACTTGATGGAGTTGTCTCATCAATTTGAACTGTTTCTGGTTTTGTATCACGAGATGGTTCAACTTCATTTGTATCCAAGCTCTGAAAGGAATTTTTGGCGGCTGAACAAAATAAAATAGAAGGGACTTACGGTAACTGGTTTCGATGGTTCTGGAGATTCCAAAACACACGTGGCATTGAATAACGAGGCCCATTGATTGTGAAGACTGAAAACGTGGAGAAGAGCGTCGAAACCACATTTTTGCTCGATTGCTTGAGAAGAGCATTGCATAAGTCGATTGATTCTGGAAAAAATGGGAAATAGTTTTTTGGAAGCTCGCTGAATTTTAGAAAAGGAGATTTATAGAAAAAATTATTTCCGAATTTTAATTTCCAGAAAAAAAGCCAAACATTTGAATTTTTAGGAAATTTTCAAAAATTTTTTTTAAAGAAAATGTGGCATTGCTCATATTAAAACGTAATCCCCGCCACGTGGATCCAAAATTTTCCACGTGTAACAATTTTTGAAGAGCATTGCTCATATTAAACCTATATGCCATCCAAAAAAGCCCCCCTCCTCCACAATTTTTCTCCAACTTACCCTTGACACATCATTTCAGGCGCCGTTTTGTCTAATTGATCAATATGTCCAATTGTATTTGATAGACACGCAGTTCCTTCATCGGTTTTTGTGTAATCGGAAAGACATTTTGCGAATTGTTTTTGGTCTCGAAGGGTTATTTGTCTGAAAAAATAATAATCTAGAATTTTCGAAAAAAAAAATCTAGACATACCTGTTACAAATCGAGTCAATCAATGTGACTTGCGCTGAAGAAGCTGGCTCAAATTTGCACTTCAGTTTATCGACACATGGAAGATATGTTGAATTGATCATTGCGCAGAATTCATCCCATTTTGAAGCGTCGCTGGAAATTAGAAGTTATCCTAACTGAAAAAATGCCCAAGCTTACCCAATAATAGAAATTGGTCTAAATGCAAATTGATCCAAATGTGTTTCACATTGTAAATGATTGACCAAATCCATCTCTGAACATCCTTCCTCCTTTTCGTTTTGGGTTGTCACTTCCAAAGTTGTTGTAACTTCAGTTGTCTCTTCTGCTTCTTCAGATCTTGAAGTTGTTGAGCTCAAAATTGTTTCAAGTGTGGTTGTTGATGGCAAATTGACCGGGATAATCGCAACTTGTTTTGCTCCAACCGGACAAATATCTGGTGTGCTCATTGCTCGCAAAATTTTAATTGGAGATTCTCCACATTTGTCCAAAACAATATCTTTTGTACAATCAATAAATCTTGGTAGAATATTTCGCAAACTAGCCAAATTGAAAGTTTTCAAGGTGGAAATTGTTGACCGGATGCATTGCGCGAATTTTGGTTCTTGAGCTTGACCGAAGAGGCAACTTAGATTATCATCGATTGCTTTGGTTGGATCAGGAAGTTGACAAATATCCTTGCCAGCTTCGATCATACAGGAAGATACAACGCAAGTGGTTTTGCCTTCGAGTAGGAAATGCGCGCAGGTTCGGAATTCTTCGGTTAAATTACAGCCGCCGGCAAAAACTGGGGCTAACGCATTAATATTTTTGATTAGTGATTGCATGCCTCCTGCGAATAATTCTTCAACTCGGGATCCAATGTCATTCAAAGGCGCAGCACAATGTTCAATAATTGATTCTTCTTCAGGTGAGCATCCGATTCCAACAACTTTTCCAACTGGTAATTGTCTTCCAACTCGACATCTGGCATCAATCGCATTAGCAAATCGAATAATATAACTTGAAACCCAATCAGTAGCTTCTTGCCCACATTTTTCTTGGATATGTGGCAATGCGCAAGTGCTTAGTTTATTTGAGGAAATGCATGCTGCAGTTGGTGCGCCTCGTGAAAATTCAGATACACAATTTTTGACAACTTCAATTTGCGATGCTTCTCTGATGCATTTTCGTGATTTTTTGAATTGCTCATTAGCCTCATCACAGGCATATTCGAACATTGCACTCATTCCCTTCGCCCAAAGTGGATGACAAGTTGATTCAGCTGAACATGCTTTGAAAGTATGGAAAGCTTCGCATGCTCTATCGATTTCACGTGGCATAGCGATAACAGATAATGGATGTGGTTGGAAAGATGTTAGTGGTTTGACACATTCTTCGAACTTCTTTTGATCTTCGGTTGAACATCTCGATGGTTTTTGTGAAGATGGAGTGGTTGTTGGGATTGCAAGAGGGCGAGCTGATGGGGCGAAGGGGATTGATGATGGTGGAAGAGTGACTGGGGTAGGGCGAGCAACTGGACGAGATATTATTTCATCCAGGTTGGCTGGTGGAGTGGCAGGACATCCTTCTTCAATTCCAAGGGCTGCTACCTACAAAAAAACCAGATGAAAATAGGTAGTTTTTTTTCAAAAATTTTCTGATAAATTATAAAATTTCTGAATTTAAATTCGATATCCAGCTCGAAGTTAGCCTAAATTCAGTTTTGCTCTTTTCAAATCACTTCCTCACCTTTTCTTTCAATGCGAGCAAGTCCTGAAGCGCTTGTGGCTCGCATTTTTCTCTAACAGATTTCTCTCCGCAATTAAAAGTCTCCCGAATAGTATAAAAACTTTTGCAAAGCAAAGCTTCTCCATGAACTCCTTGCAACATCATTGAAACAGTTTGAGATAATGCTGAAAGTCCACTTTGACAGTTCGATGCTTCATCTGTTTCACTCTGCAAAACTTCGAAGCATTCACGATGTTTAGCCAACATCGGGCGGCTATCGAGTGAGCAAATTGGAGCAAGGCCAATTCTCGCAAGAGAATTTAGCGGTGAAGCGAAGGAGCAACGTTGACTTCCCTTGAAAACTGTTGTATCAAGACATTGCTCATATCTTCCAAAAAGTTCACAAATTCCTTCGACTACTGTAGAATTTGGGCTAGCGATTTCGAGAAGGAAATTGAGATTGGCGAATTGTGTTAATTTCTTATTGATCTCAACAAGTTCAACAAGACATCCAAGTGCACCATTTTCTTGTTCTTCAGTACATTTTGGAAGTGTTGTGTTCAATCGGAAATCGCCTTCTTTTGGTGCAACTGTGGTGGATTTTGGCTCCTCGAAACATTTTGCAGAAATTATCAAATCGTTGACCTGGAAAAATGAATATTTTGGTCCCAAGTTTCTGAAAATTCCAAAAATTGGTCTACTAGACCCATTTCCAATTCCCCATTTTCTATAAAAAAAAGTTTGAATATACATAATTGGTTGGTTTTTGGTTAATCGAACATTGCATTTTCATTCATTCATTGGCTATTCATTCAATTGCCTCGGTGTAACAAATTGGATATCCGAAAAAGGATCAGGTTTTTTTGTCCAACAGGAAGTTAGTTTTTCTTTTCCGGTAAACAAAACACTCGTTTTTAAATCAAGTATGATGTCATTGAGTGGAAATTTTCAGAATTTTGGGAATTTTTATTGATCCCAAGCTTGTCACATATCAAATATGTGGCAAATTTGAGGAATTTTTGATTTTGAAATGTAGAAACTACAGTATTCTGATAAAGAAAATCTCACAGGGACCTGAATGATATCTAGAGTACGGTGTCATTTCTGGAATCTCGTAGTTTTAAAGAAATGTGATTATTTAGAGAGAAAAATAAAAATAGAAAATTCTGAAGCTTGAAATATTTTTTGTTGTTTTCTAGATTTCCCACAACCTATTTCGATCAGAATGATGATCCACTAATAAATTTTAAAACTTTGAAATGTAGAAATCACAGTATTTTGATAGATATTATCTCACAGGGACCCAATGCTATCTACCGTACGGTGTCATTTCCGGAATCTCGTTGTTTCAAAAGATCTGTGGTCATTCAGAGAGAAAAATTAAAATTTTGAATTCTGAAGCTTGAAATATTTTTTGTTGTTTTCTGGTTTTCCCACAATTTATTTTAATGCGAATGATGATCCAGAAATCAATTGGAGAATTTTGAAATGTAGAAAAATTTCAAATTTATTTATAAAACTTTACAGGGACCCTGACTATTTGAAGTACGGTGTCATTTCAGGAATATCGTTGTTTCAAAGATCTGTGATCATTTTGAGAGAAAAATGAAAATAGAAAATTCTGAAGCTTGAAATATTTTTTGTTGTTTTCTAGATTTCCCACAGCCTATTTCGATCAGAATGATGATCCACTAACAACTTCCAACGTTTTGAAATGTAGAAATCACAGCATTTTGATACAAAATATCTCACAGGGACCTGAATGATATCTAGAGTACAGTGTCATTCCTGGAATCTCGTAGTTTTAAAGAAATGTGGTCATTTTGAGAAAAAAAAATGAAAATAGAAAATTCTGAAGCTAGATATATTTCTTTGTTGTTTTCTGGTTTTCCCGCATTTTATTTTGATGCGATTCATGATTGATCTAAGAATTGGAACATCGTGAAATGTAGAAATGACCGGATTTTCATAAAGCTTATCTCACAGGGACCCAAGGCTATCTAGAGTACGGTGGCATTTCTGGAACATCGTTGTCTCAAAGAAATGTGATCATTTTAAGAGAAAAATGAAAATAGAAAATTCTGAAGCTTGAAATATTTTTTGTTGTTTTCTGGTTTTCCCGCATTTTATTTTGATGCGATTCGTGATTAATCTAAAAATTGGAACATCGTGAAATGTAGAAATGACCGGATTTTGATACAGATTATCTCACAGGGACCCTCGCTATTTGAAGTACGCTGTCATTTCTGGAATATTGTAGTTTCATAGATCTGTGGTCATTCAGAGAGAAAAGGAGAAACATAAAATCTTAAGCTCAAAGTACTACCCCATTACGACCTAGAAAAAAAGAGGGAATGATGTGGATAAGCGTTAAATCGAAAATACATTTTCGCTGATAATCGAGATTTTAAACTATTTTTCAACCCAAAACTGGTCAACTCACTGATTCTTGCAATTCCACAATCAAATTCTGTGCTTCAACTTCACATTCATCATTCATTGTAACAATTGCGCAATCCAAATTATTATTATAACTACTCAAAGCCTCACAAGTTGTTGTCGCATTTTTAATAGCACACTTTTGTTTTTCCAATGTTTTTTGATAACAATCCGAATATTTTGCAATTTCATCTTGTTTTTCGCAAATTTTCGCAGCAACTCCAGCAAACGGATCAGCTGAATAGTTGGATGAACAAATATCGTAAATATAATAGAGAGAATTAACAGCATCGGCCAAATTAATTGTGAGTGGTGTTTTATTTTCCTCCGGAATGGATGGTGTTGTTGATTCTTCGATTTCTTCGGTCGAAACTTCAGTGGATTCTGAAGCTGATGATGATTCAGTGGTTTCATCAACAATCATTGCTGATGTTGTCCCATCAGAGGTCTGAAATTTGGGGAAATACAAATATTGTTGAGATTTGTAGGGGGGCGGGGGGCTTTTTTTCATGAAAAAGTTCGGCTGAAACTTTGCCACGTGGCTTTAAGTTCATTCTGGATTGCTGTAGCCATATATTTTTCTAACCTAAGAACTTGATCTTATTTTTTTTTTGCCACGTAGATTTTTCAAGTTCTTTACTACGATCAAAAGTTTGAAATTTTTTGCTTTTCAAAAAAAATGCAGATGGTACCCCAAGTTCAGAAAATAAATCAGAAGCCCTCAAAAAACTCACCACACATCTAATCGACGAAATAATTTGTTGAGTCTCTTCTCTAATCGGACTCAACATCTCAATCGCATCTGAAGAACACGAAGCCGGTCGAATTGTCTCCAAACATGAAGTTGATGCTTGAATCGAGGTGACTAAACTGCACAACGTGGAAGAAGCGGATGTTCGACTGGCGACACATCGAGAATCAGCTGAACTTTTGAAGCAATCAACGTGCTCGCGGACTGATGGAAGAACGAGTTGACACATGAACATCTCAACTTCAGCCCATGAATGAACTCCTTCATCTGGAATACATTTTTGATCGACGCCTGATGTGCAGTCGTGGTAATTTTGCATTAATGAACATCCTGCTTCGATTTGTGATTGACTGAAAAATTAGAAATTAGGAGGCGGGAATGGGGATAGGGTTTGGATATTGGCTCGACACGCCATTGCAAATTTGAAGAGAAACAGAGAAAACGACAAATCGAACTGCAAAGTTTTTTCGCGCTGACTATTTTTTCCACGAAACACACAAATTTTTGAAAGAGTGCGAGGCATGCAATTTTTATCAATGGGGCGCACTTCCATTTCTACTTTTATTTTCTTGTTTTTGTTTTTCGAAAAATTCTCATTCGTGTATTTTTCGTTGTTTTTTCATGCATTTGAATGAAAATTGTTGTTAAATTCATATTCACCTCTTTTCCTAGTATAAGTAACATAATTTTAGTTGATTTTTGATAGTTTTATACAAAAACTGGTGCTAAAAAAGCTATTTTATGGAAAAATGTACTTTCTTGAATTTTTCTTACTTTTTGGTTTACTTTATTTAGATTTTGTTAATTTCTACATTACAGGAAAATCGTCAGAGAAATGGTGGAAACGGAACAATTAATGAGGAAAAGTTTGGTCAAATTATTCTGCATTTCGAGGAAAATTGGAGGAAATGTTAGTTTTTTTGAGCTTTTGAAAAAATTTGAGGCTCTGAGTTTTATGCAAATCACATTTGGTTTTGACTATCGAAATTCGTCTAATATCCTAAAAATTCCGTTTTTTCAACAAAAAAAAAGAATAAAAATAAAAATAGCAAAAATGCGCATGTTCGCCCTCGCTCAAATATTTTGTCGTTGTCGTTGAGGTATCACAGCGCGAAAAAGTTTTGCAGTTCGATTTCCGTTTTTCTCTGTTTCTCTTCAAATTTCCAATTTTCCTTGTTCAAAAAAGGCCTGTGAAAAGGAAGAGAACTCACACATCAGAACTCGTCAAGAATGACATATTCTTCAAATTCAATCGATCGATATCGTGCAAAAATCTGATGATTGGCTCACTGCAATTGTCGATTCTTTGTTGTTGAGCCCAATCGCAATCATCTTCTGAAAATTGAATTTGAAAATGAATTCTGAAATAAATCAAATTTGATCTCTTGATCTTTGGAACTTATAGGATTTTTCGGAAAATTATGGATCACATTGAGATCAAGATCAAAATATTTTTCTTTAAATCTCTCAGTTCTGCCTCGAATTTTGTGCCCACACCTAAGATTTGGAGGTCTCAAAAAAATCTGAAACATTTTTTGTGTCTCAACCAGATCCTCTCAAAAAAAATTGCTCACAAGTTTTCTGATCAGATCAAGAATTTTTCATCATAGAAGTTGCGATCCCAATAAAATTCACAGCCCCTAATTTTCTAACGAAAAAATTTCCAGCTTTTTTTGAGACCTGAAAAAATCTTGGAGGTGTGACGAAAATTGAGAGAATTAGAGAAAAATACTTTTGATCTATCAAAAAGGTTTCGAGGGAAATTGGAGCCAAAACTTCTAGAACTTCTAGATCCTCTTCCCTTACCACTGCTTCCACTGATCACAGTACTCTTCAACGTCGAAGTTGTGATCTCCTCATCAAAATCATCAGTCGATGTTGTCACATTTCCATCCTCATCACTTCCATCTTCACAATCTTTTTCTCCATCGCCTTTCCAATCCGAAGGTATACAACTTCCATCCTTACAAGTAAATGTATTAGAGGGACAAATTGAATGAGCAAATCCGATTGACATTAGCAAAAGCCATATCCAAATTAGACGCATTTCTGGAACTAGAGAACCTTGAAAAGATCTGATCGCAGATATTTTTTAATTGGGTATTTAAAGGGTAAAAAGTAGAAAACATGAAAGAATATGCAATAATAAAGTCTTCATGAAAATGCAAAAGATAAGGAAGATAACCCAAATAACCAGAAATGACCTTGAAGTTTTGTCGTCGGGAAAATATTCACCGGATGACACAATTTCGAATGTTTTGTTGTTACCCGGCTGACTGGGTAGGGAAAAAAAGGTGTTCGGTGGATAGATAAAATTGGATGGAGATGAAGAAGAGATTGACCTATTATTACTACTGTGTTTCGTTATCATTCGGGAACATTTTTGTGAAAACAATGTCACAATAATAAAATTTGAAACATTGCGAAAAGTTGAAAAGATCGGAGTTTAAGAAATTCTAATGTTTAGAAAATTAGAGACTAGAAAAAACTTTTACAGTAATCTTCGGAAAAAATTGTGCCAAAAAGTTCCTTTGAATCAATTTTTTTTGTCTACTTAAACTAATGATTTTTAACCGATAACTAAGATTACTGTAGATTGAGGGCTAGGGTTACTGTAGCAAAAGATTCGCTTCAAATTACCTTGCTAGAAGCCTACAGTGGCCCTTGGAAAAATTGTGCCAAAAGTTCCTTTGGATCAACTTTTTGGCCTACTGTAAAATCTAATAATTTTGGGAGTACTGTAGATTGAAGTCTAGGGTTACTGTAGCAAAATGGTAGCTTAACATTGCCTTGCTAAAAGCCTACAGTATCTTCGGAAAAAAATTGTCCAAAAAGTTGTTTTGGATCAATTTTTTGACCTACTGTAAAAGCAAATGATTTTGGGAGTACTGTAGAGTGAGCTCTAAAGTTACTGTTGCAAAAGGTTAGCTCAAATTTACTCTGCAGTAACCCTGGAAGAAATTGTGTCAAAAAGTTCTTTTGGATCAATTTTTGATCTACTATAAAAGCAAATGTCACTGTAGCAAAAAGTGAACTTAAAATTTCCTGGAGATTAAAAAAAATGAAAACAGTAATTTCAGAAACCTATAAAATGAAGTAAGAAATATGAGAAATTCGTGGATGATAAATAAATACTTAACTATTACAGTACGGTTTACAACACAAAACGATTACTTTAATTTAACAACTAACTGACTCATAATCAGCCCAATTAAAATCATCAATCAATCATAAATCACTAGCGAAATACAAAAGTATTATAAATATTCAGTATTTAAATGTTCCACAATATAAACCTGTATATATTAAATAGTTTCTAGCTAGAGATCTATAATAAATTGTACAGTAATTATTATGTCATCCACATTCTCATCCTCATAATAAAAAGTATAAACGTACGGAAAAATGAACGGAGAAACTGACTGAAAATGTAAGAAAACATTTTATGCTTTTAAACGGATTTTGTAACTTTTTTCGGAAAATGGAAAGTTTTTGTAATTGGAACAAGTTGAAATTGGAAAGATATTGAAAGTGACAAAGAAAAAACGGAAAACAATGAAATGGGATTTTCTGGAAGGAAAACTGGGTACTGTAGTTGATTTTAAAATTCAGGAGATAGAATTTTTTGAAAAAAACACAGTTTCTCAGATTCATTTAATTTTTTGTGAAAGTTCTAGAGTTCATTAATTTTTCAAGTGAAATTTCAAGCTTTGAATAACAGCTTTTGGGAAAATTTATTTTTTTAAAATTAATCAAACTTCTTTTTGATTCAAGAGTTATCCGAACTTCAAACAAAAAATCAGAACTCCCTCTCCAAAAAACCAAAGTCATACCAAAAAAACAATTCAACACAATTCAATTCAAAAATAAAAGTTATCCATCCTGGCGCGCGAAAAATGAAAGGACACTGTCTTCTTCTTCTTTTCATCTCTCTTCATCTCAGTTCAATCCATCCAAAATGTCTAGTTTTTTCCTTCTCCGCGCATTTTCTTCCCTCTACTTTCGACTTTTCAATACTAATACTAATCATGTCCTGTTTCGAGAGACAACAAAAAGAACTGCATGGTTTTTGTGATTTCTGAAGAGGAAAGTCTGCTACAGTAGATCAACAAAAAATTGATCCACAAAATTTTCGGAACATTTTTGGCTCAATTTTCCTAGGGTTACTGTAGCAAGTTAATTTTTGAGCATAATTTTTTGGTACAGTAATCTTAAAATCATTAGCTACAGTAGGTTTTAAAAAATGATATTGTGCCAAACATTTTCGAATTTCAAAAAAAAATTAGCATTACACTACACTCTATTTTATTGCCTTGTGAACATTTCAATAAAACTTTTCATTTTTCTCACAAGTTTTGTCAGGAAAAAATCAAAGCCAAAGCTAAAATGGGTCAAAATGTAAACAATTTAGGCGCCTAATTTGATATACGGCGAAACCAGACCAAAAAAACAGGATGAATAGGCGACGAACTTTTACTTTGTTTGGGAGGAAATAAAAAAGAGAAGAGGTAACTATTTCAAATTGGGGTTAAATCACACAGAGAGAAAATGTGGCTACATAAATACTTGTTTTTTTTTGGAATAATGCCAATAACAGAGAGGGTTAGAAAAGGGAATTGTTATGTTTCTGGTAGAAATTTTGAAAATTCGAAAAATACGTAACCGGACTACTGTACTTGAAAGTACGGTGTTAGAAATTGAAAAATTGATCCTCAAATTTTGTAGAAAAACTCAATCCTGCTCCTTTAATTTGAGGTACTGTAGCTCAAAAATATTTATCATTTTTCTTCAAATTAAACTAAGTACTAAAAAAAATCCCAGAGTTTTGTTTTCTAAAAATCTGTAGTCTACTGTAGTTACTGTATTCATTGGAATTCCAAAATTTGGAGAAAAAACCAAAGTTTTAAAAATACAGTACCCTAGTTAAATTATAGATTCTGTAAAATTAATCCGAAAAAAAATCAGAACCTGAAAAATCTGAAATCAAATTTTATAGAATAATCAGATTTTTTCCAAAAAAAATTCCAAAATATGTACAGTACCAGGAAACTCTCTCGCGATGTCACAAAAAAATTCAGAAAGTAAACATTTATCTCTTTCCTCCCACCGTTTTTAGTATATTTCATCTTCTTCCAAGCATGTCAAGGCCGACGATTGGATGACAAAAAAAAAGAAGCGGGAAAAATTGAAAGGAAATATTTTTGAATATATGAAATTCTTGCGGAAGGTAAAAGTTTTTGGAATTCGATGGAATAAATAAATGAATATTTGAAATACATAATTAGACATATCTATCTATTATCATAGTTTTGTCGACAATATATACAAATCTGACCTGAATTAATAGGAAATTTCACTTTTGTTGGTTTTCTCTAAACCGTCAAAATCACAGGGGTTTTTCACTACCGAGTCAATGTAAAATTGTAATCGAGCAATTTGGCTCCGCCCATTTTTTTCCGCACTGATATGTGAGCGGAGCTTTTAGAGATGTGTCTTTTGAGCCGAAGGGTTTTCAATTTTCTTTTTGAAAATCTGAAAACCCTTCGGCTCAAAAGACACACAAATAAAAAAAAAGTCGTCTACCTCTGTAGACCTACCCTGTTGACCACCTCGCTACCCTGTAGACCACCTCGCGACCAGGTCGTCTCGCAAAAAACACGGGCGATGTGGTTGTCCGTGTAAATTTCAGAAGGGCAGTCGGTCCCACCTAGTGACCAGCTGGCCAGCGAATCTCTGAGCGCGGATATTTTGGATTCGTAACTTTTTGTCACAATTTTTCCAATGTTTACGGTAGATTTCTAGCAAGGTTGACTACTCTGTGAGAGAAAAATCATTAGCTACAGTAAGCCAAAAAAATTCACAACCTTTTTTAGCACAATATTTTACTGTATGTTTCTAGCACAGTAATATTTGGTTCGCGTGATTCAAAAAAATGTTCTGAATGTGAAATTCCAAAATAAACATTTTTGAAATGCGGTGTTAGAAAGATACTGTAAAATTGATGAGATTCTCAAATTTTCTAGAAAAAAGTTTTTTCAAAAAGTTGAATTTGTGGAACTTTGTATTTTTAGGGAAAATTAAATTTAAAATATTTATTCAAAACTTGCTTCGCTTTTCTCAAGCTCTTGGTTTCGATGCGATTGAAAGTCTGCTCTTGAATTCTTCTGAAAAAAAATATCTCATATTATTCTGCTTTCAAATAATTCTATTCAACTCACTCTCCAAACATTCCGCCTTCTTCTCAACAGCTTTTACGGGTGTTTTTGATTTTGCCCTTTTTTTAATGGGTCTTTTGCTCGTCATCCAAATTGATGTTGGAAGTTCAGACTTTTTTACTTTTCTTGAAACATTTTGAGTTCCATCCTCTTCAAGCTGCTCCGCCTGAAAATTTCACTGTTAACTTCTCTGTGAGTTGTAGGTTTCAATGTGTTTTTTCAGAAAGACAACAGCGAAAGGTTATTCGAAACCATTTTCAAAATTATTTGTGTACAGAATAAATTTTTTTTATAAAATTTAATTTCAGTAGACTACCTACAGTAATCTGAATTTAAAAAGAGTTAATTTTCCTTGAAATAAAATTTGATATTCCATTTTTATCCCAGTTTTGTTAAAAACTTATATTATTTTTCTCCAGCCGTTTTTTGTTCCGTTTACGCAATTTTATAAGCGCTGTGTCATATTGGATAATTTTTTCGACCTCTTCTTGGTGTCTTTCCTCTTTTATTCGTTCTTCTTCTCTTTCTTTTTCCTTTCTTTCTTTTTTTTCCTTTTCATCTTCTTCAGTCTTCTCCATTTTCACTTCCATTCTCTTCGATTGCTTCTCCGTCTCCTTCTTATCTTCCTTCTGCTCAGTCTTCTTTTTCTCTTCCTTTTTCACCATTTTCTTTCTTTCATCTTCATCTTCTTTCTTTTTCGCTTCACTTTTCTTATCCCTTCTCTTCGTGGCAGATTTTTTCTGAGTTCGTGTGACATCCATTTTTCGAAATAATTATTTTATGAAAAATTATCTAGTTATTCATAAGAAGACATCGTCATAAAAAAGGTCACGTGAAAAAATAAATTTTATAATACTTTTGAAAACTATTTTGCTAATTTATCAATTCTTCAGATTATTCACTTCAGAGAAAATTCACTAAATTTGAAAATGTTTCGCAATTTCGCAAAAGTCAACAAACAATTTACAAACTTTATTCCGATTTTTCAAAAGCCATACATACACTATTTATACAGTATCTTTCGCCGGTCGTTTCTTTCGGACCATCATTGAAAACGTGGCCAAGATGTGAATTGCACTGAAATTAAATTTTTTATTGGGGAAAATTTCGAAAAATCTCACATTTTTGCACCTGACTTCTGTTCTCAACATGCCGTGTGAATTGTCTTGAATTCGAATGATATTTAAATCTTTTCCAACTGATTCCGAAAATGCTGGCCAACCACATCCTGCCCAGAATTTCGAATCAGAGCTGGAAAAAATGAGGGATTTTGGTTTTTAACTCAGGAAAAATCTCAAAACTAACTTGAATAATTCGACTCCACAACACAGACATACACCAGCAGCATTGTCAAATTGGCCAAGATAATATGCAGCCAAGAATACAGTAACACATTTCCGACCCGCATTAAAAGCATAGCCATCTTGAACAACTTGATGTCCTCGAATAATCATATCAACTCCCAATATCTCCAAGAATTCGTCTAGAACATCCGAGCCAAATGTGAGCGCATTTCCTCCTCGATCTTTATTCGGTTCGAACCCCCAATGCTCTTCACTTGGATCGGACCACATCAAATCCATTTCGAGACATACTTCAGAATTGCCTTCCACTGGACGACAGTTTTTCAAGTCTTTGATTGAATTGATATGTGGACTGATTCCGCCATGCATACAAAGAATTTTTGTTCCAATTATAGCAGTCAGCGGCATAAATTTCATCATATCCAAAGCGTCTTTATATATAATGGAACCGGTGTGGGGGAATCGCTTTAATATCTCTTCTTCGAATCCATATACGCTGTTCATCATCCTGGTCTCATGGTTGCCTCTTAGAATAAGGCCAACAAAACATGTCCATTGAATTTCTTTCAATTAGAGGAGTTCCAGCATTTTTCCGGTTTCAGATGTAATTTCATAAAAATCAAAAGATTATTGAAGCAAAGATCCATAAATTTATAACACAATAACTCCAACAATTGATTGATAAGATGCTGCTATAAAATAGGTCTGAGGCCAACAAAACATGTCCATTGAATTTCTTTCAATAAGAGGAGTTCCAGCATTTTTCCGGTTTCAGATGTAATTTCATAAAAATCAAAAGATTATTGAAGCAAAGATCCATAAATTTATAACACAATAACTCCAACAATTGATTGATAAGATGCTGCTATAAAATAGGTCTGAGGCCAACAAAACATGTCCATTGAATTTCTTTCAATTAGAGGAGTTCCAGCATTTTTCCGGTTTCAGATGTAATTTCATAAAAATCAAAAGATTATTGAAGCAAAGATCCATAAATTTATAACACAATAACTCCAACAATTGATTGATAAGATGCTGCTATAAAATAGGTCTGAGGCCAACAAAACATGTCCATTGAATTTCTTTCAATTAGAGGAGTTCCAGCATTTTTCCGGTTTCAGATGTAATTTCATAAAAATCAAAAGATTATTGAAGCAAAGATCCATAAATTTATAACACAATAACTCCAACAATTGATTGATAAGATGCTGCTATAAAATAGGTCTGAGGCCAACAAAACATGTCCATTGAATTTCTTTCAATAAGAGGAGTTCCAGCATTTTTCCGGTTTCAGATGTAATTTCATAAAAATCAAAAGATTATTGAAGCAAAGATCCATAAATTTATAACACAATAACTCCAACAATTGATTGATAAGATGCTGCTATAAAATAGGTCTGAGGCCAACAAAACATGTCCATTGAATTTCTTTCAATTAGAGGAGTTCCAGCATTTTTCCGGTTTCAGATGTAATTTCATAAAAATCAAAAGATTATTGAAGCAAAGATCCATAAATTTATAACACAATAACTCCAACAATTGATTGATAAGATGCTGCTATAAAATAGGTCTGAGGCCAACAAAACATGTCCATTGAATTTCTTTCAATAAGAGGAGTTCCAGCATTTTTCCGGTTTCAGATGTAATTTCATAAAAATCAAAAGATTATTGAAGCAAAGATCCATAAATTTATAACACAATAACTCCAACAATTGATTGATAAGATGCTGCTATAAAATAGGTCTGAGGCCAACAAAACATGTCCATTGAATTTCTTTCAATTAGAGGAGTTCCAGCATTTTTCCGGTTTCAGATGTAATTTCATAAAAATCAAAAGATTATTGAAGCAAAGATCCATAAATTTATAACACAATAACTCCAACAATTGATTGATAAGATGCTGCTATAAAATAGGTCTGAGGCCAACAAAACATGTCCATTGAATTTCTTTCAATTAGAGGAGTTCCAGCATTTTTCCGGTTTCAGATGTAATTTCATAAAAATCAAAAGATTATTGAAGCAAAGATCCATAAATTTATAACACAATAACTCCAACAATTGATTGATAAGATGCTGCTATAAAATAGGTCTGAGGCCAACAAAACATGTCCATTGAATTTCTTTCAATTAAGAGGAGTTCCAGCATTTTTCCGGTTTCAGATGTAATTTCATAAAAATCAAAAGATTATTGAAGCAAAGATCCATAAATTTATAACACAATAACTCCAACAATTGATTGATAAGATGCTGCTATAAAATAGGTCTGAGGCCAACAAAACATGTCCATTGAATTTCTTTCAATTAGAGGAGTTCCAGCATTTTTCCGGTTTCAGATGTAATTTCATAAAAATCAAAAGATTATTGAAGCAAAGATCCATAAATTTATAACACAATAACTCCAACAATTGATTGATAAGATGCTGCTATAAAATAGGTCTGAGGCCAACAAAACATGTCCATTGAATTTCTTTCAATAAGAGGAGTTCCAGCATTTTTCCGGTTTCAGATGTAATTTCATAAAAATCAAAAGATTATTGAAGCAAAGATCCATAAATTTATAACACAATAACTCCAACAATTGATTGATAAGATGCTGCTATAAAATAGGTCTGAGGCCAACAAAACATGTCCATTGAATTTCTTTCAATAAGAGGAGTTCCAGCATTTTTCCGGTTTCAGATGTAATTTCATAAAAATCAAAAGATTATTGAAGCAAAGATCCATAAATTTATAACACAATAACTCCAACAATTGATTGATAAGATGCTGCTATAAAATAGGTCTGAGGCCAACAAAACATGTCCATTGAATTTCTTTCAATTAGAGGAGTTCCAGCATTTTTCCGGTTTCAGATGTAATTTCATAAAAATCAAAAGATTATTGAAGCAAAGATCCATAAATTTATAACACAATAACTCCAACAATTGATTGATAAGATGCTGCTATAAAATAGGTCTGAGGCCAACAAAACATGTCCATTGAATTTCTTTCAATTAGAGGAGTTCCAGCATTTTTCCGGTTTCAGATGTAATTTCATAAAAATCAAAAGATTATTGAAGCAAAGATCCATAAATTTATAACACAATAACTCCAACAATTGATTGATAAGATGCTGCTATAAAATAGGTCTGAGGCCAACAAAACATGTCCATTGAATTTCTTTCAATTAGAGGAGTTCCAGCATTTTTCCGGTTTCAGATGTAATTTCATAAAAATCAAAAGATTATTGAAGCAAAGATCCATAAATTTATAACACAATAACTCCAACAATTGATTGATAAGATGCTGCTATAAAATAGGTCTGAGGCCAACAAAACATGTCCATTGAATTTCTTTCAATTAGAGGAGTTCCAGCATTTTTCCGGTTTCAGATGTAATTTCATAAAAATCAAAAGATTATTGAAGCAAAGATCCATAAATTTATAACACAATAACTCCAACAATTGATTGATAAGATGCTGCTATAAAATAGGTCTGAGGCCAACAAAACATGTCCATTGAATTTCTTTCAATTAGAGGAGTTCCAGCATTTTTCCGGTTTCAGATGTAATTTCATAAAAATCAAAAGATTATTGAAGCAAAGATCCATAAATTTATAACACAATACCTCCAACAATTGATTGATAAGATGCTGCTATAAAATAGGTCTGAGGCCAACAAAACATGTCCATTGAATTTCTTTCAATTAGAGGAGTTCCAGCATTTTTCCGGTTTCAGATGTAATTTCATAAAAATCAAAAGATTATTGAAGCAAAGATCCATAAATTTATAACACAATAACTCCAACAATTGATTGATAAGATGCTGCTATAAAATAGGTCTGAGGCCAACAAAACATGTCCATTGAATTTCTTTCAATTAGAGGAGTTCCAGCATTTTTCCGGTTTCAGATGTAATTTCATAAAAATCAAAAGATTATTGAAGCAAAGATCCATAAATTTATAACACAATAACTCCAACAATTGATTGATAAGATGCTGCTATAAAATAGGTCTGAGGCCAACAAAACATGTACATTGAATTTCTTTCAATTAGAGGAGTTCCAGCATTTTTCCGGTTTCAGATGTAATTTCATAAAAATCAAAAGATTATTGAAGCAAAGATCCATAAATTTATAACACAATAACTCCAACAATTGATTGATAAGATGCTGCTATAAAATAGGTCTGAGGCCAACAAAACATGTCCATTGAATTTCTTTCAATTAGAGGAGTTCCAGCATTTTTCCGGTTTCAGATGTAATTTCATAAAAATCAAAAGATTATTGAAGCAAAGATCCATAAATTTATAACACAATACCTCCAACAATTGATTGATAAGATGCTGCTATAAAATAGGTCTGAGGCCAACAAAACATGTCCATTGAATTTCTTTCAATTAGAGGAGTTCCAGCATTTTTCCGGTTTCAGATGTAATTTCATAAAAATCAAAAGATTATTGAAGCAAAGATCCATAAATTTATAACACAATAACTCCAACAATTGATTGATAAGATGCTGCTATAAAATAGGTCTGAGGCCAACAAAACATGTACATTGAATTTCTTTCAATTAGAGGAGTTCCAGCATTTTTCCGGTTTCAGATGTAATTTCATAAAAATCAAAAGATTATTGAAGCAAAGATCCATAAATTTATAACACAATACCTCCAACAATTGATTGATAAGATGCTGCTATAAAATAGGTCTGAGGCCAACAAAACATGTCCATTGAATTTCTTTCAATTAGAGGAGTTCCAGCATTTTTCCGGTTTCAGATGTAATTTCATAAAAATCAAAAGATTATTGAAGCAAAGATCCATAAATTTATAACACAATACCTCCAACAATTGATTGATAAGATGCTGCTATAAAATAGGTCTGAGGCCAACAAAACATGTACATTGAATTTCTTTCAATTAGAGGAGTTCCAGCATTTTTCCGGTTTCAGATGTAATTTCATAAAAATCAAAAGATTATTGAAGCAAAGATCCATAAATTTATAACACAATAACTCCAACAATTGATTGATAAGATGCTGCTATAAAATAGGTCTGAGGCCAACAAAACATGTACATTGAATTTCTTTCAATTAGAGGAGTTCCAGCATTTTTCCGGTTTCAGATGTAATTTCATAAAAATCAAAAGATTATTGAAGCAAAGATCCATAAATTTATAACACAATACCTCCAACAATTGATTGATAAGATGCTGCTATAAAATAGGTCTGAGGCCAACAAAACATGTCCATTGAATTTCTTTCAATTAGAGGAGTTCCAGCATTTTTCCGGTTTCAGATGTAATTTCATAAAAATCAAAAGATTATTGAAGCAAAGATCCATAAATTTATAACACAATAACTCCAACAATTGATTGATAAGATGCTGCTATAAAATAGGTCTGAGGCCAACAAAACATGTCCATTGAATTTCTTTCAATTAGAGGAGTTCCAGCATTTTTCCGGTTTCAGATGTAATTTCATAAAAATCAAAAGATTATTGAAGCAAAGATCCATAAATTTATAACACAATAACTCCAACAATTGATTGATAAGATGCTGCTATAAAATAGGTCTGAGGCCAACAAAACATGTCCATTGAATTTCTTTCAATTAGAGGAGTTCCAGCATTTTTCCGGTTTCAGATGTAATTTCATAAAAATCAAAAGATTATTGAAGCAAAGATCCATAAATTTATAACACAATAACTCCAACAATTGATTGATAAGATGCTGCTATAAAATAGGTCTGAGGCCAACAAAACATGTCCATTGAATTTCTTTCAATTAGAGGAGTTCCAGCATTTTTCCGGTTTCAGATGTAATTTCATAAAAATCAAAAGATTATTGAAGCAAAGATCCATAAATTTATAACACAATAACTCCAACAATTGATTGATAAGATGCTGCTATAAAATAGGTCTGAGGCCAACAAAACATGTCCATTGAATTTCTTTCAATAAGAGGAGTTCCAGCATTTTTCCGGTTTCAGATGTAATTTCATAAAAATCAAAAGATTATTGAAGCAAAGATCCATAAATTTATAACACAATAACTCCAACAATTGATTGATAAGATGCTGCTATAAAATAGGTCTGAGGCCAACAAAACATGTCCATTGAATTTCTTTCAATTAGAGGAGTTCCAGCATTTTTCCGGTTTCAGATGTAATTTCATAAAAATCAAAAGATTATTGAAGCAAAGATCCATAAATTTATAACACAATAACTCCAACAATTGATTGATAAGATGCTGCTATAAAATAGGTCTGAGGCCAACAAAACATGTCCATTGAATTTCTTTCAATAAGAGGAGTTCCAGCATTTTTCCGGTTTCAGATGTAATTTCATAAAAATCAAAAGATTATTGAAGCAAAGATCCATAAATTTATAACACAATAACTCCAACAATTGATTGATAAGATGCTGCTATAAAATAGGTCTGAGGCCAACAAAACATGTACATTGAATTTCTTTCAATTAGAGGAGTTCCAGCATTTTTCCGGTTTCAGATGTAATTTCATAAAAATTAAAAGATTGAAAATTTTTTGTTTCTAGTCTGGAAAATGTTTTTTCTGAATTATTTCATGGCTGGCTCACTTTCCAGAAATCGACTGTTTCAAAAATTTAGCTTGCCTACTGTAGGCCCCAAGGGATTGCTCATACTAGCTGAAAATTTAGGATTACTCATGTTAGATTGATTGCTCATATCAGAATGGCTAAGTTCAAGAAATTTGGGATGGTTCATATTAGGATAGCACCATAAAATTTTGTCAGGCTGAATTCTAATTTTTTCAAAAAAATTCGATATTCCCGAATTTTTCCTCCATTTTCCTCCCTTGCAAATCTAATATTTTCCAGATTCTCAAAAATATATTGGATCGCGAAAAAGGCTTCGGAGCTCCACCAGCCGGACCAGAAGCTCAACACTTTTGAATCCCATTTTTCCGAAATTTTTTGTCTGAAAATAAAGATGACCTCGCTTCCGGTTTCTGGTTATTTGTATGAAGGAAAAGGTAATTATTTTTTGATTCGAGAGTGATAATAAATTAATAATAATGAAAGCCTCTTATATAATTAATACGAATTGGGCGTGTACAAATATAATTAGGTTTCTCTCCTTTATTTTCTAGTTATAGTCAACTCAAGTTGGTTTCATTTGTAGTTTCAGTCAGGCCTGAAAATAAATATGATTCTGGAGAAAATGTCATCGCCGAAAATGGCAATGATATTATCGGTGACTGCTTTGGTTTATGCGTCGTTGATTTGTCCACTCATTATTTTGCAGATTTTTATTTTGAATCAACCTGCAATTCAGAAAAATATGAATTGTCCGATTAGTTTTCTGGGGTATCTGAAATTCTGGATTCATGAAAAACTACAGTAACTTAGTTTACCACGTGGAAGATTCTGAATCCCCGCATGATGAAAATGTTATTATTTAGAAAGCTGAAAAGTTTAGTTGAAGTTACAGTGATCCTGTTTTTGCCACGTGGAATAGAGCTGTTTTTTTATTTGAAAATTAATCTTGATTTCGAATTTTGAATTTCAACATTATAAAGTGGTATCATAATTTCTTCGGGCACTACAGTAAGAACTACAGTACTTTTTTTTCTTTTTTTATTCGCAATTTAAAAATTTTGCATGAAGCCTCATGTTCCTTCAACCTTCCAAAAATACTGTAGAAAAAATTGACTTTTGAAACTTATAATCAAAAATCTGAAAATTTAGTTGAACTACAGTAATTTTTACGTTTTTGCCACGTGAATTTCATCCAGATTCAACATTCTAAAACATTCATACTTCAAATTATACTCTAGCTAATAATAACGACTGGAAGTTGAAAATTTCATTGGAGGAAAAATAAGATTTAAAAAAAAAATTCCAATACTAGGGATTATTCGATTTGTCGTGTTTGAGTGTTTCCGGTTTCAGCTGTTCGAACGAAACCTCCAAGCCTTCTGACACGAAACATACACCAGCAGCATTGTCAAATTGGCCAAGATAATATGCAGCCAAGAATACAGTAACACATTTCCGACCCGCATTAAAAGCATAGCCATCTTGAACAACTTGATGTCCTCGAATAATCATATCAACTCCCAATATCTCCAAGAATTCGTCTAGAACATCCGAGCCAAATGTGAGCGCATTTCCTCCTCGATCTTTATTCGGTTCGAACCCCAATGCTCTTCACTTGGATCGGACCACATCAAATCCATTTCGAGACATACTTGCCTCTTAGCATAAAAAAGTTGTTGGAATATCGAATTTCGTATGCTAAGCACAATATGAGCACCTCCATTGAATGTCTTCCACGATCCACATAATCACCCAGAAATAGATAGTTTGAGTCTGGGGGAAAACCGCAGAAGTTGAAGATTCGTATCAGATCCCCATATTGTCCATGAATATCTCCACAAACTCGTACAGGTCCTTCCAACTCGACCATTCTTCCTTGCTCCTCGAATATTTGTCTTGCGATATAAAATATGCGCAAAATTTGCATTGGATATAAGGTTTTTGTTAATCCTCTTGCATTCAAAATTGCGAGGATAATGTTCTGGATGAACATTATATTTTCGCTGTGCGATTTTGCTGCGAAAAGTTTGTCTCGATCTTCTTTCGAGAGAGTTATCTCTTTCTTAATCACAGCATCATCGAAAGCTTCTGTGTTTGCAGAGGATTTTTCAGCTTGTCTTGGCATTTTGGTAAATAGAAACAGTGAATATTTTTAGATCACCAAGGTTTAATGCTGAAACGTCTTTCTTTTATACACAAATACCTCAAAATAGTAGGCCACGCTTCATATGTGATAACTCATTTTCTGATAAAATTTTAAAAATTCATTTTAAAGGAATACTAGAAGGGCTTCGCTGGCTAACGCCATCTACAGGTGCGCTTCCTATTCATTCTTTCTCAAAATGTCTGTGAGTGCGCGGAGAATGAAAAGTTTGAAAATCTCAATGTATTTTTCGGATTTAAAATGTGTCGCTCGACTTTTCTCAATTTCCAGAAGACCATTTTTGATGGGACTTTCACCATCCGATCCCAAATTCTTTCCCATCGAGGCGCTAATATTCGATTTTTCAAAAAATGCGCGAGTTTTCACGTGAAAAATCAAAACTTTTTTCATGTAAAAAAGAATGATCACGTTTTTATTCCAAAAAAATTAAAGGACACGTTTCTTATCTGATCTTTCTATTCTCTGAAAAAGTCAACAATTTTTGGGCATTTCTCAATTTTTCTCTTTCCCTAACCGGAAAATTAATCAGAAAAAGTAAGTCAAACTACTGTAGATGGCGTTAGCCAGCGAAGCCCTTCTAGTTTGAGTATAAAAGAAAGACGTTTCGTCATTAAACCTGGTGATCTAAAAATATTCACTGTTTCTATTTACCAGAATGCCAAGACAAGCTGAAAAATCCTCTGCAAACACAGAAGCTTGCGATGATGCTGTGAATAAGAAAGAGATAACTCTCTCGAAAGAAGATCGAGACAAACTTTTCGCAGCAAAATCGCACAGCGAAAATATAATGTTCATCCAGAACATTATCCTCGCAATTTTGAATGCAAGAGGATTAACAAAAACCTTATATCCAATGCAAATTTTGCGCATATTTTATATCGCAAGACAAATATTCGAGGAGCAAGGAAGAATGGTCGAGTTGGAAGGACCTGTACGAGTTTGTGGAGATATTCATGGACAATATGGGGATCTGATACGAATCTTCAACTTCTGCGGTTTTCCCCCAGACTCAAACTATCTATTTCTGGGTGATTATGTGGATCGTGGAAGACATTCAATGGAGGTGCTCATATTGTGCTTAGCATACAAAATTCGATATTCCAACAACTTTTTTATGCTAAGAGGCAAGTATGTCTCGAAATGGATTTGATGTGGTCCGATCCAAGTGAAGAGCATTGGGGGTTCGAACCGAATAAAGATCGAGGAGGAAATGCGCTCACATTTGGCTCGGATGTTCTAGACGAATTCTTGGAGATATTGGGAGTTGATATGATTATTCGAGGACATCAAGTTGTTCAAGATGGCTATGCTTTTAATGCGGGTCGGAAATGTGTTACTGTATTCTTGGCTGCATATTATCTTGGCCAATTTGACAATGCTGCTGGTGTATGTTTCGTGTCAGAAGGCTTGGAGGTTTCGTTCGAACAGCTGAAACCGGAAACACTCAAAGACGACAAATCGAATAATCCCTAGTATTGGAATTTTTTTTTTAAATCTTATTTTTCCTCCAATGAAATTTTCAACTTCCAGTCGTTATTATTAGCTAGAGTATAATTTGAAGTATGAATGTTTTAGAATGTTGCATCTGGATGAAATTCACGTGGCAAAAACGTTGTATGGTCGTGGAAAAATTATCTAGTTATTCATAAGAAGTAAAAAAGGTCACGTGAAAAAATAAATTTTGAAAACTATTTTGCTAATTTATCAATTCTTCAGATTATTCACATCAGAGAAAATTCCCCAAATTTGCAATTTCGCAAAAGTCAACAAACAATTTACAAACTTTATTCCGATTTCTCAAAAGCCATACATACACTATTTATACAGTATCTTTCGCCGGTCGTTTCTTTCGGACCATCATTGAAAACGTGACCAAGATGAGAATTGCACTGAAATAGAATAGTTTATTGGGGAAAATTTTGAAAAATCTCACATTTTTGCACCTGACTTCTGTTCTCAACATGCCGTGTGAATTGTCTTGAATTCGAATGATATTTAAATCTTTTCCAACTGATTCCGAAAATGCTGGCCAACCACATCCTGCCCAGAATTTCGAATCAGAGCTGGAAAAATGGGGGATTTTGGTTTTGAATTCAGGTAAAATCTCAAAACTAACTTGAATAATTCGACTCCACAACACAGACAAACATATCTTCCTTTTTCGAAATAATTGTCAAATCCACCGCTTCCGGGTCTCTCGGTTCCTGAAATTATTGATTTATTGGATTGAGGGGAGGGACACATGGTTTTTTATCGAAAAAGTTTGGAATTCAATTTTTTGGGTTAATCCTAGAATTTTCAAAAATCAAGTTTTTTTGAGCTAAACATCTCAATTTTGGGCCAATCAAAGTTACTTTAGCTCGGATTTCAGGTCCCTTTCATGGTCAGAAACAATTTTCTTAAATTTGCGTTGACACGTGGCACTAAATGAACTTTTTCGAAAGAACAAGCAAAGAAAAAGTCCCCAAATACTCATTTTTGGTCCTAACTCCATGGGATAATTTTTTTTTCGAGCCCCTAGTCTCCATTTTTTTCAGATCAAAAAATCACCAACCTGATTCCCTTGTAACTCGATAAACTTCTTCCGGCAACACCTTCTTCCAGTCGCTGTTCTTCACATTTTTCGCATCATTTTCAGCCAATTTTTTGATTCCAACATCCTCCAATCCGAATCTCTTCGTGGTCATTCTACGAAAAAAATTCGACAAATTTTTGAATCGAAGAATCTGCAAAAAAATATTTCGAGGTTTAAAAACCAAAATTTCGAAATACTCAATGTTAAATGAACATTTCTACCAAACCGAATTGAAATGATAAGAATTTTAATCAAAGGAAAAATGATTTTACTTAACATACCAACAAAAAAAAATAAAGACAGAAAATAATAATTGAAAAAAATTAGAGAGTTAAATTATACGTGTAGGTGATTTGTGGTTTATCTGGGCGATTTAAGATAACTTCAGTATCTTGATTGTCAACATCTTCGAATCTGGAGAAAAAGAAGATTGAAGAAGGTAAAAATGGAAGTTATAATAACTTACTTTCCAGCGAGTTGCTGAGCAACATCGCCAACATGTTTAGACAGAAGATGAAGATAATATCTGCAAAAAAACATGGATAGGGTTGAAAAAGAGCGCGCAAATCTCAACTCTTAAATGAGTTATGACGTGGCAAAAGTTCGAAAAATGATTTTCATCAAAATCTGATGAAATCACGATTTTACTCATTTCAGAGTTGAGATTTACAGTTTTGGAATAGCTAACGCTTTTAGAAACCATAATTTTCATCGCAAAAGTTGGAAAAAACTCACTGGCAAGCATTAATAAACTTGACCTTGCATTTTGGACAACCGACTCCAGGCGGAGACACTTTCTTGACCTGCATGTAGTCCCCAACATAAAGAAACATTGTGATTCGATCGAAATCGGCTTGATGAACTTCAATTTCTGCAAAAAACTTTACTTTATTTCCGGAAATTTATTTTTCAAATTCTCTTACGATGAGCAATTATACTGCTGAATTTATTGCACCTGTATGAACAAATATCACAAGCTCTTGGGGCGGATTCTGTCAATTGAGAGCGAGGCCGATTGCCAACATTCAGCAAGATAAGTTTCTTTGGCTCGGGTGGACTTATTTGTTGTTCATCTTTGTCTTCTCGACTTGTGGTTTTTCTTCTTTTCACAGTTTTTGGCGACAAAGATCCGGAATTTTCTCGTTTCTTTGGAGCAATTGGAACAGTTTCTTCTTTTTTGATCTGCTGCAAATATGAAAATTTGGAAGAGTTAGAAGAACTTTGGAATTTTTTGATTACAAAATATATCTTCCGATATTTTTTGATTTTCCGGAAAATAATTTTGACAGTAATTTCTTCAAAATCACCCAATTTTAAAAACTTCCTGCTTTCAGAACAGTTTCTGAAATTATCAGTGAATGGAATTCAAATTGAAAATTTATTGCTGAAATTCAACAAGACTTTAAAAAATTCCCCACAAACTTTTATCCTAAAAATCCCCAAATCCTCACCTTCTTTATCCCCAGCTGAAGTTGGCTGTGGTGATACAGAAGGTGTAACTTGTTCCGATTTTTCGATTTGACGCTTCTTGCGATTCTTCTCATTGTGCCTTCCATGCCATATTTGATAACTGTACGCATATAATTGATGATTCAAAATATGTTTTTGATAGTCCAAAAGATTCGGGAAAAAATCGCCGCAAAAATAGCACAGAAAATGTTTGACTTCGGATAATGAAGCTCTCTCGACCTTATGTTGTCGACGTCTGAAAATTCAGAATTTTGGGGAAAAATTTGTGGAGAGAAAAAAACTCACTTTTGTTGTGACCCTGAAGGTTCTTGTGACATCTGAATGAAAAAAAACATTAGAAAATATGGGGAAAAATGGAAATAAGTATGAAAATCGATCAAAACGATAGATTTTAGAATAAAAAAAAGAAAACCAGTTTTTTTTTAAAAATGTTCATACAAAGCAAAACAAAACAATAAATAAATATGGAAAATCTCATTCTGAGAAAATGACAAAAATATTATATCAACATATGAGAGAAAGCGGGAAGAATTAGAGCTCCGAGCGAATTTGTTCACGAACCTGGAAAAATTGAGAAATTAATTCAAATGAGCCGAGTTCACGTAAAAAGAGCCCTGTTTTTCATTTCTGAATTTGAAAATAGTCTAAAAATGTGAGTCATAAACCAACCTTCATCGTGATCATTCCCAACATATTTTTGCCATTCACAACAATCGGAAAATATTCAAAAGTCGAATTATCGATTTTCTTTGGAACATTCAAAGTTTGTCCAGCATTTTTAGACATCCATTCAGTTGTTGTTTTGACAGTCGCATTTGCCGCAAAGAAATTGTCACCCATATAAGTTTGAACCAAAATTTTGTCTTGAGAATCGAGCAATTTTTTACGAAGCTCTTCGTTTTGCTTGAATTTTTGATAAATTGCATGTTCCAAAACAGTGAAACTGTCTAATCGTTTCCATTTTTCAATCTGAAAATTTCAAATTTAAAATTGAGTCTTCTCAAAATATAAAACCACCAACATTCGCCTTTTCGATATTTCTATCTTTCAAAATCTTCTTAACTTCTTGTTTAACTTCAATCGGTGTTGTTGCAGTCCTAAGCAATTGTGCAGTATCTTTTCCAGCCAAAGTGAATACTTTACATGCTTGATAATAATGTTCGACTGAATTATAAGAATGTCCATCAACGTTGATTTCAACAGGATATAGTGCTGATAGGAAATGGTTTGGACCAAAGAATGGTAAAAAATTATTGGCTTCAATGTGATATTCGATGATTTCGATGTCTTCTGTTAATTGTTTGGTTGGTTGAGCTTCGAGTGGTCGAAGAGCAAATTTTCTATAACTCTTTTTCTTCTTATATCCATTGTTATTATTTCGTTTTTCTTTTGAATCTGATTTCGCTTTCTCAGTTTTTCGTTCACCAAATGATGTAAACTGTTCCCCGGAAAACGAATCATTTGAGAAATCTTCGGTTTTCTTCTCAACTTCGGCACTCTAAAAATTTAAAAGTATTTATTTTCCCCAGAATTCTGAAAAACTCACAATATTTTGTGCATATTTTGGACGCTGGACAGCTGGTTTTTGAACTTGGATTTGAGCTTCAGCAGAAGTTAGAGGTTGAAGAGGAGCCAAATTATTTGGTGCAGATAATTCGCCCGAAACTGTTTTCTGCTGTTTCTTCCCTTTTCCACCTCCCATTTTATTATACCCTTCAAATTCCACGTGGCTTATGAAAAATTGAAATTTTTAATTACAAATATACTGAACTTGGTCAGAGTACCAATAAATAAAATAATAACTAACGATATTTTGAAAAAAAAAACAATTTATGAAGTAACAAAAAGCATACTACAACTATAAGGCTATTATTTGAAATCTAAAACAAACCTAAATTATACCACCAAATTTATGTTCAGGTGATTTAGCATTTATACTTTGTTCATAACTTCGAACTTCTTCTCGTTGAACAGCTCTCAATTTATTTTCAAAATCTAATTGGAAATCGACTAAATCATTTGTTTTACAGAACAAATCGAAATCGGGAGATATTAGTCGCTTCAAATCATATACAATATCAGGTGTTGGGAATCCAAATTCTCTAAAATGAATGGAAATGAATTGGAAAACAAAAAAAAATAATGAACTTACAATACAAGAACTGCTAAACCAAGTTGCCAAATAATATTTGCACCAGATACTTTTGCATAATCAAAAAACGCTTCTTTCCGATTTTTGTAGACTATTCGCTCTCGATTCGGCAGAAATTTCCAGTTATTGGAATTGCAGAATAATATTCGTGTCCTTGATAACATTCTGTAAACTTATGATTTCTGGTTTCCAAGGTAACAGGTTTAAAAAAAGTTTGAAAATTTCGAACGCGAAATGAATAAACCCGGCTGTGTATCCTGAGGCAATGGAAAAGAGTCGATACTCAGTTGGTTTTCTCGGCCACGTCTGTTGGTTTACTCGGTCATTTTGAATTAATTTATTTTCTTTTTTTCACGCGCTTGAGATTCCTGGTTATTTCTTGTTTTCCTGTTCAACTCATCTGGAAAATAGAAACATCGAGCCTACTATAAAAGGTAATTTGAAGTTTTATCAGTTCTGTTAAAATAGGAATAATCTTTCATACAAAGTTTTATTCTTTTAAGTGAAACAAACATTAAAGTGATTTAATTTGACATTTGGACAACGTTTTTTGGCAGAATTCCAGCAGGCAATGTTTTGAAAGCTTCTAATTTTCCTCTAAAATAATAATCATCCACATCTTCAACAATCAGCAAATGATCTCCTCTAGTTACATATAAATGTTTCGGATCATCTGAGTGATAATCTGCAATTGCCAAAGCCTTTTTCGGCGAAAATGCAGTAGATATTTCAGCGATTCCTTTACTTGGACTCTTTTTCGGTGATCCTAGAAAATATTGCTTATTTTTAAAGTTTTGAATTTCAAAAAAAAATGAAAACTAACCATACGGAGGTCCTAAAAATGTCTTCGGGGCTAATCCCCTCAACCCATTCAATTCTCCCATTATCCATTGTGCATCAATATCTTCTAAAATAGTAATAGTATCACCTTCAGCAAATTGCAAATCAGCTGCAACTCCCGAAGAATAGTCATAGTTTGCCTTGACAGTTCCCAAATTTGCTGATGGTTTATTGTATGTTGGAGTTGTTAGTTTCAATGGAACCCGATAGATTTGATCGCATGTAACGAAATTAGCTGGAAATATTCCAGATTTTCCATTGACTTCTCCTTCCAACCATTCGTCGTTGATTTTTGAGGTGACGAAAATCGATTGATTTGCAGAAAACTAAAATTAATTTTAAAAAAATAGAAGTTTGCAATTTCCACATTCACAACTCACGATAAGATCTCCTGGTTGTCCTGAATTATAATCATATAAAGCTGTTGCACAAACTGCTCCAGAGGAATTCGAGTAGCTTTCCGCCAATGGAATCATAACTTGAATATAGGATGATGGAACAATTCCAGATTGATAAGTTCTCGAATTCTCTCCATAAAACCATTGATCGTCCACTTTTTTCCGCAACAAAATCGTATCTCCGACATTGAATGATAATTCATCGGATTGGAGGGCCGAGTAGGAATATTGAGCAATTCCGTGAGGTTCTGTGACTGGTTTATTGTAAGATTGTGAGCTAGAAGTTGAGGATGAGTTCATGTATGAAGAAGTAGAAGATGATGAGTTTTTGTACGACGAATTGTGACTTGGTAATGGTGGTGGAATACTATTATCTGGAATGTAAGCTTTTTTCCACAATGATCTATAAAAAACTTACTTGACTGATATTTGGGTGAAACAGGAGCAGGTGCAGATGTTGATCCACCCAAATGCAAATTCTCAAGCTGAGATCGAATAGCAGAATGTGTTCCCGATAATTTTCCTGGTACACTAGGTACACTACTCGAAGAACTAGTCGTAGCTGCATTATTTCTATCTCGATGTGGCGGTGGCGGCGGGGGACCATCTCCAGCACGACGATTCACATCTGCGACAGCGAAAGCTGCTTGAAATTTGTTGCCGGCGCTTGGATCTTTCACTGCGTTCAAAACTGCTCCACGAGCTTTTTCATCTTGTGCCACGTTTTTCGCCGCCTGTCGAACGAATGGGTTTTTTAGCTGCTGCGATTGCTGCATTTCGAACTTCTGGTTTTTTAGCTGCTTCAAAGAGAGCCTTCGCTGCCGAAACAGAAAATCCAGTGCTTGTATCTAAAAAAAAAACACGTCATGACTAAGTATGTAGATAAGATACAAAAAATTGTAGGATTAAAATTTTTGGACCCACAATTGAGCATTTTATATTTTTTTCCTTAGAACCTATACCTATGCAAATTTTTATTATCAAAATAAAAAAATTTGGCAAAAAACCGGAGCCCAGAAATTCAAATGACACTCTTCCCAAGTACGGTGTTTCTTTCAGTCGCTGCGAGACCCACATGTGCGTCTTTGACTTTGTTTCTCTGCCCAATGGTGTGGTCTCGAAACGGTGTTAGTGACGCAGAGGAATACCGTACTTGGGGAAATTGGGATTTGAATTTCTGGCTTCTCTTTTTTTGCCAAATTTTTTTACTTTGATAATACACAAATATTCAAAATTTGAACTAACCTCGTGACATTTTGTCTGAAAATCTCTGTCAAAGAAGACGATGACTCAACATAAAAATAAATAAACGTTTCTTTTTTCCAGCAACCCTTTCTTTTTTTCTCCTATCGATCAAAAAGACGCAGAGAAAAAAAGAGGAGAATGACGAAAAAAGTGTGTGTGTGCATGTGTTTTTTGTGATGAAAGTCTAGCTAGATTCTTGGGTTATGAAATTTTTGGGAATTTAAAAAATCTGATGCAAAAGTTTAATCCAGAATTAGTCATATTGGAAGTTTATCACCTGGATATCCTAGTTTTGACTTTCAATAGTCACAAAAATGCTCCGCGAGCTCAAGAAAAATCGCAGAAACTACAGGAACCTAGCCCTTCTTTTTTTTTCTTGAGCTCGCGGAGCATTTGTCTGACTTTTGAAAGCCAAAACTAGTATATTCGATTGATAAATTTTCATTTTAGAATATGATTTAATTTAATTCTTTAAAAAATTAAAAAAAAACCTACCAATATTCTCTTGATTCACTTGAATTTTGGGTTTCGGTGCTACCGGAGGTGGTTGAGATCGAATCATCTCGCAAAAATGCTTCTTCCGAACTCTTCCCCACTATTTGTCCAAACAAACCTGTGTTTGTTTTTCTTTCCATTTTTTTCAAGTAAATATAGGTGCTACAAAAAAGAAACTACATCGTTTATTATCTAACCAATTGCAATATGTACAAAAACTACAGTATTTCTCATCAAAAAGTGAGAATAACTAAATAACATTGTGAAAAAAAATATTATACAAAAAACAAATAATTTATAATTCAAAAGTCACAGAGCCTTGCCGATATACAAAATACCCATTTTATTGAATGGAAAACACACAATTAATCACTGGTACAGGTACGAATTCGTTGTCTGAAACGAAAAACACTTTTTAAGATTCTAGAAAGTATTTTCTTACCTACTGAGTTTAAGAAGAAGCGTGTAAGCTATTTTGAGCAATAAGTGGTACATTTGCTCCAATGTCTTGTTCTCTTCGATTTTTCCAAATAACAAATACAAAATAGAGAGTGAGAATAATGAGAAGAACGAGTGCAGATTTATCAACGACGTGGGGGAAAAAGAAGAAGAATGTTGTTATAGCGACAATTTGACCTGCAAAATTATGTAGAACTATTTTTTGGGAATTAAAAAATCGATAATCGCATTGCTCAGGTCAACAACTTTCACTCTAGATTTTTAGTAAAATATATGTTTTCTAGAAGTTTTCGACCCGCTGTTCATGATCCTGTTGTCTAAAATTGCAGAACTCAACTCCTAACATGAGTTATGACGTGGCAAAGCTCGAAAATTTTGAAAAAAGTCCCGATTTTTCGAATTTCGCCATGTCATAACTCATTAGGAATTTAGTTCTGCAATTTTAGACAACAGGATCATGATCAGCGGGTCGAAAACTATTAGAATACATATATTTCACTGAAAATCCCCTTCAAAACAATACCCACCTCCAAAAACCAAAAATAATCTCGTCGGAAATCTAACCGGCAATCCAGTTCTCGGATTAACTGGTCCAACAATATCTTCATCCAAAATGAAATTATGAACAGATTGATAAGCCAACCAAAGAAGACTTGGTTGCATCGCATGTCTGCCTCTTGTCCAATTCATTCGAAGTCTCAAAATATCGAATCCAAGTGCAGTTACAATTGGAATAATTGAATATAAAAGAAGATTGATTATTCGGAGCATTTGAACTGTTGTTGTTTCGGTTTCTTCATTTTCAAATAATTGTTGTTGAGCGGCTTCACGAGCTGCGGCTTGGCTTGCGAGTGCGAGTTCGTGTCTTTCTCGTCGTCTTGGAGGTGGGTAGAGGGAATTTGAAGGTTGGGAAGTTGATGGAATATCACTTTCATGATTTGATGTTGACTAAAAACAACTCTTTGATAGGAGAATTCTAATTCGGACTGATTTTTTTCAAAAACAGGAAAAGGGTGAATTTTTGAAAATAAAATTCTTTGAAAATTTCACAAGACATCAATTAACAATTATTATGCAAGAATTTGAGATCACATCTGGACTTAAACTGTTCAAAAAATTTTACCGTTTAAAATTTAGAATTTTTCGTTAAAAATCAATGAAACCTATACTTTTTCGGTTGATTTCATTGGTTTTTTATGAAAAATGTTTTTTTTATACCGTAAATTTTTTTGGATAGTTCAAGTCCAGATATCTTCAAATCTTCCAAAAAATTTTTAATTGATGTTTTTTGAAATTTTCAAAGAAATTTTGTTTTAAAAATGAACTTTTTTTTCAATTTATAACGTGACATATTTTTGTAGAAATTCAAAAAGAAAATCATTCTTTGTTTCAAACATTTTCTAATTTATGATTTTACCGCCCCCTTTCCAACAAAAAAACTCACAGCTCTCGTATACGGTGTCGAACTAATATGACAATGTAAAACACTTCCACTTTTCAATCCATATGATTCAAGAGTCCGATTATCATCTCGTAATAATTGTCCCTGATAAATCAATCGAACCACACTATTGTTATTATTTCCATTCGAGAAAAATTCAGCTTTTTTATATTGTCCAATTGTAAGAGTTAAAGGGTAAAATGTCTCTTTTTCAGTGTCATTCATGAATTTCAAACGAATCAACACTTTTTCTTGATCTTCTTGAGGTACTTCTTCATTTTCTTCCTCTTCCTCTTCTAATTCCTCATTTTCATTCATATTTTCCTCAACTCTAGTCGATTCCTCTTCCTCTTCTTCTTCTGGCAAAAAACTGCTATAATCAGTTGGAACATGATCTTCATCAATATGTTCCTCTGGAATATATTCCCTTGGTTGTGCCACATTTTGACCAGCTTCAAATCGTCTTCGTGTCCCAGGAATATTGTAGTTCTGAAAGAACAAATTGCAATTGTAAAAAGATTGAACTTTTTTTTAAAGCGGATGTAGTTGATTCTAGCTAGACTAGAACTAACAAGCTGTGAAATTACCGCTGCAACACGATTTCTTGATGGCGAATCGGAGGTGGAATTTCGTAGATTGTCAAAGAAGACATGGGAACGCATATGGCCATCGACACTGAAAATAATTTTGAAAATTAGTATAAAAAATAGAATTTTACACCGGAAAAACTAACCCTCTGGCTAAAATAGCAATAGCAGCAGCTGCTGCATATTGACTATCTCTTGTAGCATCTGGTAGTTGTCCATTTGGCCTTCGTGGCATTTCAATATCCCAAAAAGTTATGCGATTTGGATCCGGTGATCTTGTTGAAACCGGCGAATCGATAACTGTATTTGGTGATTGGATCACAATATTTGTGTCAGATACAGCGACTCGGGTTTCGCCTTGAAATCGTGGCGCACGTGCGCGCATTCGAGAAACTAAACGATTCCAACCTATTGTTGGCATATATTCTTGACCAAGATGTAGAACCTGCACTATTCGCCTCGTTGACCATGTGTGCATTTCCACCAAGAATAAATAATAATAAAGCGGTTTTCGCCATGATACTATGAATGAAATGTAGAAGCAAAGAATAATCACTAAAATTCCTAGCACAGCGGTACCCTGAAAAATTTTTATATTCAAAATCGTGTTAGGATACAAAAAAAAGAAAAAAATTACCTCAATATGAACATTTTCTGATATGTAACTGATTATTGTGTCGATAATTCTCATAACTATAATAAATAAGCTGAAAAAATGGATGATTATGATAATATTCGGGAGAAAAACAAGGAAGAAACGTGTTTTTTCAGGTTTCAATCAATATAGAAATGTGAAGGCGCTACATGTGACGGGAAAACGCACACAAAAAAATAGACAAGGAAATGTTCAAATTCCATTATTTTCTTCTTATTCACTCAAAATCTGATGTTTTTGATCATAAAACAGATACAAAATGCTTAATTTAGAATTTGTAGTATACAAATTGTACGATTAAATGCACTTTTCAATTTTCGGATAGAAAATCCGCTACAAAATGAGATACATTCGAAGATTTTCCGTATTTTGTGACCGAATTCGGCCGAATAAAAAAAAAACAAAAATAATTTTACTCCGCGCGCGGCTGCAAAAACCGATTGTGCGCCAGCAATGTCTCCTGCACTCTTCTCTCTCGCCCTCCACGGGCGTGTGTGTTTGCCGGCGTCTCTATGGGCGCACACACTCTCTCGCCGAAAAATTTTTTTTTAAATTTTTTCTCGAATTGTTTGAAAAAAGCTGAATTTAGCGGAAGTTTCAACAAATGAATCGTACATGAGAAGATAGAGGAGAATGAGACGAAGACAGAGAAATATAATTTGTTGAGTGAAACAATTTATTAGCCGTGAAAAACGTGAGATTTTGGAGTACCCTCACAGGTGGATGGAGTGTGACCCACGGCGGACCCACCGAGGATCCACGGCGATTTCATCCGCCGTGGACTACTGGTGCACCAACGGCCTCACCCACCGTGGGTCGGCGGTGGGTTTAGATTATTTGTTACTTCCCTTTCCCTTTACTACCCAAAAAATATGATTTATTCTCAATAAAAAACATATTTATTCTCATTTAACAAAAACCAGAGAATAAATAAAGATTTATTGATTTCCTGGTTGCGTTTCGGGAGCCAGAGTTGCATAATCCTGATCGCATAACGTCTCGCTCAGTCCAGATCCTCGTTCGCTGTTTTTCCGAGTTGGCAATATCTGTAAGAATTTTATAAGATGCGCGAACTACAGTTTTGGATTGAAGGGTTGGGTTTAGGCTTTTAGATCAGAGTTTTGAAAATTTTGTCAGAGTTTTTTATGAATGAAGTGACATTTTTCTGCCATAAGTTGATCAGTAGACGGCATAGTAAAGTGTTATCTCTTTCGCTGCAAACTTCCGATTAAACAGTAGTTTGCAGGTACTTTATCACTTCTTATATTCATAGATTACAAAAAAAACTGACCTAAAAAATATTGACCATATTGAGCGAAGTCGGTGATTTATGTTCTTGGTGAACGCTAGACTTCCAAAATTCATCCAAGTCGGTACAGGCGGAGATATCACTGCCTGAAAAATATATAACTGATGAATATATAACATTGTTAGAATGTTGAATCCTTACCATTAGTTCTGAATACTGGAAGCCGAGAAGATGTTGAGTCCAAGTGACAGGAGAGCTGGTGAATCTTCCAATGTCTGGAATGAAATAAATAATTGAAAAAATATATTTCAAAAGTCGTTTATTCAAACTTACATCTAGTGGTCTACCAGCAGATCCATCTGAATATACAATTTATTCCATTTTTTTCTTCTGTTTTTCCGGCTCTCAGCAGTTCCTCGTTGTAGACAAAGTCACGAACTATGAATCTGCAAAATTGTGCCAAAGTTAATGGTAAGGAGACGAATGTAGAATAAAAATCAAGAAAACCTTGGTTTTAACAGAGTATTCGGCGAAAATAATGTAATTGAAAAAAATGGAATGTTTTCCCCTAATATCCTAAAATTTGCTACTTTTACATACTTTTTATTTCTGAAACTATATAAGGACTACTTTAAATATCATTTAGTACTACAAACATGAGCAGATGATGGGAAAATCCGCAAAAAAACACCAAAAATACATAAAAAACGTTTGGCCCAAAAAAACGAAAAAATAAAAATAAGTGCGCGTCAGATTAAATGCCACTACACACATCTCGAACTACAGTACCCCAACATTTTGCAAAAATTCATAAAATTATGGAAGCAACGCTTTAAAGTTGAAAAAAGAGATGAGAACAGTAGAAAATGAATTATTTAGTGAATCTGATCAAATTTATAGAGTTTTAGAACTAGTTTTCATGTTTCATAACATTTTATTTTGGTCCTCCGCTATACAAATGTGTGTCTTCACCCTTGAAAGTGAGTAAGAACTGAAAAATGATTCTATAGCCAATATAATCTTTTTTTACACTATCCGAGGCATAGCGGAACTCTTAAAAATACATTTAGTTCATTTAACAGTTTTTTATAAAATTCTCCCAAAATCTCACCCACAGCGGACCCACCACGTATCCACCGTGGGTGAATTTTCCACATTGGTCCTCAGTGGGTCCGCCGTGGGTCACACTCCATCCACCTGTGCTCACAAAAAAGATATTTTTGAAATAATGAAGCAAAACTTTTAAACTTTTTATATGAAATAAGATGTTTCATATACTTATGTTGAAAAAAGAAAGGAGAACTTCTTACCGGACAATGAATTTGGCTTTTAGACGAAAGAATAACCATCCTTTGTCTTAAAAATTGCTAAGAACCGATGTTTTTCGGGAAAATTTTCAACAGTGATTTGAAAAATTACATGTATGGCTTACAATTTCATGATAAAATAATATTTTATTTTCGCTAGGATGATTCTGAAGCTTTTGAAGCAGGATCTCTTCTGAAAATCAGAAAACCACATTTATCATCGAAATTTGAAGTTCTATCCCACAGCTCCTAATTTTGCGGCACTTTTTGATCGAAATTTGAAGAAAATCAACAAAGCTCAAGTTGAAACCACCAAAAATTCATTAAAAATCTGTTATTTGACGTATTATCAACTCCACTTCGTCCATGATCGAAACCGTTGATTCCACTTGGATGACGTTCGCAATACCTGAAAACAACCTTGGTTGTTTGAATTAAACAGTTTTGAATCACGGACAAATGAAATATTAGTTCTTATTAAAATAAAATGCGATGAAAATGAAAATATGATTTTACTTTTCGAAAATGAACGGTAGAAATGTTATTTGAACATGTATCTTGATATAGTTTTTGCTTCTGAGAAAGATAGACTAAGTCTTGATACTCCCCCGTGCCTCTATCATGGTGAAATAACGTCAAAATGACGGAAACATTGAATTTTCATTATTTCTTCAATTGATTTCACAATATAAAATTCAATCAAAAATAGGAATTACCTTTAATAAAATGTTCCATAGAATCCCAAAACTCTCCTCATGAGTCTCTCCACGTGATCTCCTTCGTGAATGTCTGGTCAGGTTGGCAATCAATTGGATTCGTTTATCGAAATAATTTTTGTTTGGCACTCTCCGACATCTTCATGTTTCAGTCAACTCGTATCACGCTCATCTAAATATAAAATCATGATTTTTTGATAAATTTAGATACGAATAACTCACTTTTCAACAAGAAAAATATTGATTCGCCGACCTCGAAAAATTCTTCTCTAATGCATCGCATCTCACTCAAAATCATCGCAAATTCATCTCCAACCAATTTTATATTCATTCCAACTCACAAAAATTCAAACTCGATCAATTCCAGAATAAATAAAATTTTCTTCGAAAAAAATGGACTTCATAAAAACAACTTTAGCATCCGTCAGCCCCATTTTCATCACTCGATCCAAACATAATAAAATTCTCCTTTAAATTCTCTACAAACGATAGTCTGTCCGAATATGTGAAACTTCCTGAAAAACTCACAAAAAAATAAAAAAGAAGAAAAACATTAATTTTCTGATGGAAAAAAACAAAAAAAAAGAAAATTTTTTCTCGTGCAAAAACCGAAAACGCGTCAACTACTGGCGCGTTTCGCGCGATCATTCAGTTTTTGCAGCTGTGCTCCGAGAGAACTCCGGAAATACGGTTTGTTCAAAGGGACACAACAAAATTACTTGAAATCTATGCGAGACCACTACAGTTTTTCAAAGGAACATGACTACTTTTCAAATTCGTGCTGAGACCAATCAAGCCCATGTTTTTTTTTTCATTTTCGATTTCAGTTTTTGATGCAAAAGCTTTTCATTGCATTAAAATCCCTGTTTCGCAAGAGGCTACAATATAGTTATAGTTTTCAAAGTACAAAGTACATCTGTCTCTTCTTTTTCTGTCCCGCTCATTATATTTTTATCTATCAAGATTGACCACACACGCGTTCATGTTGTGTTACCTACTTTATCTTGTATCGATTGGTATTTAGTTTTCTGTTCATTTTTTGAATGTTTTTGTTTTTGTTGTTTACCGGTTTTCTATTGATAAAAAGCTGGATGGCAGCAATGTGTTCGCGTTGTAATGTTGACGGCTTGTATACTTTTTATTTTTTCTCAAATGAGAAAAAATGCTGTTCTAATTTTTTTTCATTTAATTCAAATTCGTGACCTTTTTCTCGCGTGTTTTTGTTTTTGAAATATATCAACATTTTCGATTCTATTAACACTAGAAGTAAGTGACTATAAACAATGTTATCTTTCATGAGAAACGTGTTTTTTTCGTACTATCTCTCATTCTGATAATCTTTTCGTACCTTGAACCTTGTCCTTTTATGAAAATGACATATTTTTTTATTTTCATTTTCCAGAAAATGCTTCGAGCAGTTAGTTCATCATCAGTCAGCGCAGCTCGCTGTGCGTCAACAGCAGCGAAATCTCGTAATCTTCCAAATATTGTGCTCGTCGATGCGGTCAGAACTCCTTTCGTTGTTTCCGGAACAGTTTTCAAAGATCTTATGGCTGTTGATTTGCAAAAAGAGGCAATCAAAGCATTGGTTGAACGCACAAAATTGCCATACGAGCAATTGGATCATATTATCTGTGGAACTGTTATTCAAGAATGCAAAACCAGTAATATTGCAAGAGAAGCTGCTTTGATGGCTGGAGTTCCGGATAAAATCCCAGCTCATACTGTCACTTTGGCTTGTATTTCATCAAATGTTGCCTTGACAACTGGAATGGGAATGTTGGCAACTGGAAATGCAAATGCTATGATTGCTGGAGGAGTTGAATTATTATCCGATGTTCCAATCAGATATAACAGAAAGGTTTTCTATTGGAGAAGATTCCTCAAGTGAAATAAAATAAAATAAATTTCAGGCTCGTAAAGCTATGCTCGGGATGAACAAGGCGAAAGATGTTCCATCAAAACTTAAAATCGGAGGAGAAATCGTCAAAAATTTGTTGTCACCCGAACTTCCAGCCGTTGCTGAATTCTCAACTGGTGAAACTATGGGACACAGTGGTGATCGTCTTGCAGCCGCTTTCAATGTTTCTCGACGGGAACAAGACGAATTTGCGATCCGTTCCCATACCCTTGCTGATAAAGCAGCGAAAGCCGGAAAATTCACTGATGTCATCCCAGTTTTCTTAGACGGAAAGAAACCAAAAACAATCAGCGAAGATAATGGAATTCGTGTCTCAACTATCGAGAAACTTTCAAGTTTAAAGCCTGCTTTCGTTAAACCACATGGAACTGTTACTGCTGCAAATGCTTCTTATTTGACTGATGGAGCATCAGCTGCTCTTATTATGACTGAAGAATATGCATTGGCTAATGGATACAAACCAAAAGCTTATTTGAGAGATTATTTGTATGTTGCTCAGGTTAGATATTAATTTTTTTCAAAAAATCTTCCAAAAATACTGTTTTTCAGGATCCAAAAGATCAACTTTTGCTCTCACCAGCCTACGTAATTCCGAAACTTTTGGACAAAGCCGGACTTAAATTGCAAGATATTGATGTTTTCGAAATCCACGAGGCTTTCGCTGGACAAGTTTTGGCAAATCTCAACGCAATGGACAGTGAATATTTCTGCACAGAACAAATGAAACGCTCTGGAAAATTCGGACGTGTTCCCATGGAAAAATTGAATCTTTGGGGAGGATCTCTTTCAATCGGACATCCATTTGGTGCAACTGGAGTTCGTCTCGCAACACATTCAGCGCATAGACTGAAAGAAGAAAAAGGACAATATGCTGTGATTGCTGCATGCGCTGCTGGAGGTCATGGAGTTGGAATGTTGATTGAAGCTTATGGAAAATAAAGTCCTTGTGTAGTATTTTTTGCACATTTTTATTTAGTCGCATTTTCTCAATAATTTATTTCTGAAATTGCTATGTATCATATATTTTTAGACGTGCCTTTTCTCTCCTTTTTTAAATATTTGTGTATTTTTATACTGGTCGAATTAAAATATGAATTTTCATTGATTGATTTTTTAGAAATGTCTAATTTTTGAATAGGTTAAAGTTTCCTAGAGACTAGAAGAAATATATCATCATGGGTTATAAATTTATATCCATCTTCTGTATTTGTTGACATCCCGTTAGTTTTCAGCGAATCCAGTATGTGCTGCTGTTTTAACTGGTGACATCGGAATGTTTTTCCTCCGAAGTTATAAGTTGTTGCGTCAAGAACACCACCTTGAATCTTAAAAAAAAAAGATCTTCTATCTATCTAGGTTTTTGATTCAAAAAAATCTCACTAGAAATCCTCCATCCTCAATAAGTGAGCAAGCATTTTTGACGGCTCGATTATAATCCTCCAATTTTTCGCAAGAATATTCGAGGCAGAAGACTGTGGAAACAACTTGGAATTTTTCGGGAACAGTGATCGAATCTTCTGATTTCCAATGAATGTTTTGAATGACTGGGGAAGAATGGACATTTACCTAGAAAAGGAAAATTCGGTTTTCCCGCACAAAGACGTGGCATCGCTGCGAGACCTTAACCCTTCGAAAACTGTGTCTTTGATTTTTGATTTTCAGGCTGTGTGTGAACACCGCGACCCATAAATGCACAGATTTGTGTACCGTAGTGAACTCACATCTAAAACTGCTCGCATCAGATTTCTTGTCTTAGTTTGCATGACTTCTGGAGTTTCCATCGATGCTTCGATGTTTGAAATCCACGTGCAAACATTTTTCCAGTCAAATGTTGACTTTTTCTCAATCCAATTCACCAATGTTTCCCGATTTGCTGGCGCATAATCCGATGTATAAATATTCTGAGCTCGAGATCTTAGCGAAATTGGGAGATAAACTGTTGGCCCGGCTCCTAGATCCAAAACACTGTGAACTTTTTCGGGTAACCTGTAGAGGATTCCAGGGAGGAAGAAAAGGACGATTTGCATTGCTGTATCTTCAGAAGCTGTTTTATAAAAACTTTCGAGATAGGCATCAGGGTTGAACTGGAAATTCGAATATTTCGATGGCGTATACTTCAAAATTAAAAAAAAATCTAAGTTACCTTATCCTTATGATCAATCGCTGAACATTCTTCATCTTTTGGTTTTTCAACTTCTTCTTCAACTGTCATTTTTTAGGTGGAAAGTGTAAGTTCAAATAGATAGAAAAATTATTTAGTGTGCAAAATCCGGTTAGCTTTTCCTTTTCTCTCTTTGCTCCCCTCTCTTTTTTACACAAATATCCCATTGATTTTTTGTAAATATCCCATTTTTTGTGGGAAATTGAATTTTTTTTATTCTAAATTTCAATTATTTGAACTCGGGTGTGTGTTCGAACATGTTCGCTTCAAGACACGTACGGTAGCAATTGGTCAGCTGTGTGAATAAATTTATTTTTCTTTTTTTCTATTTTCCGCCGACAATTCGCGCATCAACAAAGATTCTAATCGTAAAATTAGCATATCTTCCGGTAAACAAGGATGTTTTCTATGGATATTTCCAAAAGAAGTGTCATTTTGTCTCATCTCGGCCAAACATTCACAAGTGCACACACATATGTATATACTGTCCATTCTCTCTCATCCTCTCTCATTTCGCCATACTATTTCCCCCATGTTACACTCACCCTCCCGTTCCGTCTCCACCGAAAGTGCACTCTCTCGTTTATTCGCCAGATTTTTGTGTGTTTCGTTATTTTTTGCAATTATATCCCAGAAGCGTTCTATTGTACTCTTGAGCTAGAAAAATTTGTATTTCTCACATTTTCCAGAAAAAAAGAAGGAACTGCAAATGAAATAAAATGTCGACGGGTGTTTTGCAATTCGTGAAAGGTGTCGATTTTTCGCGCAATGATTTTTCGGTGAGCAAAAAAATTATTTTTAAAATTTGTCATTTCCCGCGTGAAAAAAAACGTGATTTATTTCATTTTGAGAAAAAATTATATTTCTAGGGTACTCGATTTCCGCACGATGTCGAACAGATGACACAAATGACATGGCTGAAATTGAACAAATCAAATCTGGAACAAGTTCCTGATGAATTATCAAGATGTGAAAATTTGGAGCATTTACAAATGGCTCACAATCAATTGACATCAGTTCATGGAGAATTGTCAGATTTGCCAAGATTGAGATCGGTTATTGTGAGGGACAATAATGTGAGCCTTTTTATTGGGTTATAAATTTTAAATTTCATTTTTGATTGATTTGCGCTCTATAAATATGCCGCAGTCTAATCCGGATTAATCAAACTCAGAAAAAAAAACATATTTTTGCAGCTCAAAACAGCTGGAATTCCAACGGATATATTTCGAATGAAAGATTTGACAATTATCGATTTATCTCGCAATCAATTACGAGAATGTCCACCAAATCTTGAATATTCGAAAGGAGCAATTGTTTTGAATTTGAGTTTTAATAATATTGAAACTATTCCGAATAATGTGAGTTTTGGGTCGGGAAAAGGGGAAAGGAGGGTTTAGGAGAAAAATATTTTTGAAAATTAAATTATGCCGCAAAAAAATAATGAAACTTTTATTATTTAGGCTTGCTCATGCCTATTTTCAGGCTCATATATAGGCTTTACTTCAGCTCTTTTCGAGCCTCATTAAAACATTAATTAAGGCTGAAATAGAAGCCTAAATTCAGGCTTAACTCTTGTCTCAAATATAGACATTTCAGGCTTGTGCAGTTATAATTCCAGGCTCTTCCAGGCTCAAATTCCAGCCTGAATATAAGCTCATTCAAGCCTCATTTTTACAGGTTTGCGCGAATCTCATCGATCTGTTATTTTTGGACTTATCGAATAACAAACTGGAAATGTTGCCACCGCAAATCAGAAGGCTAACAATGTTACAATCTTTGAAATTATCCAATAACCCATTGACACATTTTCAATTGAAACAATTGCCAAGCATGACTAGTTTGAGTGTATTACATATGTCAAACACAAATCGAACCCTTGACAATATTCCGCCTTCCTTGGATGATTTGAATAATCTTCGCGATGTCGATTTCTCATGCAATGATCTTCCCTCAATTCCCGATGCTCTTTTCAAATTGAGAAATTTGAGGAAATTGAATTTGAGCGGAAATAAAATCGAGAAATTGAACATGACTGAAGGCGAATGGGATTTGTTGGAGACGCTGAATGTTAGCGATAATTTGATCGGGTGTTTACCGGATTGTATTGTGAAATTGGAGAGATTGTCGAAGTTGTATGCGTCGGGAAATCAATTGACCTTTGAGGGTGAGTAGAAAATGATTTTTGAGAAATTTGGAAATGAGATTGTAGTTCGATTGAAAATATTAATTTTTTGGATTTTGAGAAAAATTCTTATTCAGAACCTGGAATTAGAGTTTTTCTGAAGCTTTTCCACAAGCCATTTTTCAGAGCAAAAATTTTTTAGGGCGAAACTTTTCTGGATTTTTTAAAAATTATCAAAAAATCTCTAGAGCTATTTAAAAATCAGAATTATTATAACTCTAGCAAGTTCCCACAAGAATTTTCTGGGGTGAGCTTTTGACTGAAGATTTGGAAAACTCGAGATTTTTTGAAATAAAAGTTGATTTTCAGAATTATTTGATTCATACCAAAATGAAGATCCCATTAGGCCTTTCACCTTTTTCCCCTCACATTCTCATTTTTTCCAGGAATCCCATCTGGAATCGGAAAACTCCTCCAATTAACCGTCCTCCACTTATCATATAACAAACTCGAATTAGTGCCCGAGGGAATTTCACGATGTGTTAAACTTCAAAAACTGAAATTGGATCATAATCGATTGATTACACTGCCAGATGGAATACATCTGTTGCCCGATTTGAAGCAGTTGGATCTACACGAGTAAGTATTGATTTTTGGCAAATTGAGAAATTTGCAAAAAAAAATCAATGTTTTGCCAGCCCGTGGGAAAATGAAGATTTGCATATATTAATTTTATCATGTTGTTTTTTCCAGCAATGAAAATCTTGTAATGCCGCCGAAACCGAATGACGCGAGAAAGAAACTGGCATTCTACAATATCGATTTTTCACTAGAACATCAGGTTAGTTTTGATCTACCCCGCGGGAAGAAAATATGAGAGATCAAACTACATATTTTTTTTGGCTGTTTTTTTTTCATGATGCAATTATTTTTATTTTCAAATTTTTCGAAACATTCTGTTATCAGTTTCAGTCACAAGTTTTTTTTTTCTTCAAAAATAAAACAAAAGTTCAGACGTTCCCTTTTTTTTTTTTAGAAAAAGTGCACTTTTTTTTGCAAAAATTGCTCCAAACTTTTTTCCTCGTCTCCTAGACCCAAAAAAAGAACACATACATTTCCGTCAATTTTTTTAGTGTGCACAGCACAGAAAAAATATTTTCCGGATTTTTTGGAGCCCCTAGAAAAAAAACACTAAATTGTATTATGTTGTGTACATTGGTGAGTTTCATTTCTTGGATTGCAGAAGCAGAAAAAAATATTTTATTTTTTATTTGCAACTAGTTTTTAATAGATTTGTTGACTTCTTCTTGAAATCCACAATAATTTTTCAAATTCCATTTTTTTCAGCGAAAAATCGCGGGTCAAATGGCGAGCCCTTCTTCGTCAGTTTCATCGATTCATTCTGGCGGTGCGAAACAGGACGCGTTGGCGAGGCGGAAGGATTTCATCCGCAGACGGAAGCAGCAGGCGGATCAACAGGGAGCGGATAAAGTTATACAGGTTGGTAGTTTATTTTTTGAAGGCGGCCCTAGGGGACATTAGCCTTAGGACCACCCACGAAGCTTCTGAACTTGAATAGAAATTTAATTTTGAAAGTTAAAATCCTACTGTACGCAAAATTGCGTCGCAGTGTTTGCACACACAAATCCGCTGAACGTGGAGGCAATTTAAAATTTCTAGTTTGATGAATTTGCCACGTGGATTTTTTTAAAACCCCAATTTTGGAAATATTTTTGAAACTATAGTCTAGTTTAGGAGTTTTTCACTTTTTTCAAACTAGACTCTAGTTTGGATAGCAAAATTATATTTAAAAATTCCATGTCCCTTTAAAGTCGTTTTGGTATTTTTACTTTTATTTATTATCAAAATAAATCATATCAATTTGATTTTGACCCCAAAAATTCATTGATTTCTCATCAATTGTTTTTTCTTGTTCCTCTCCTTTTCCAACGTTTCCAAATTTTTTCCGTTCAGGGAATGTCAAAAATCGCGGGAGTTGGCGCCGAATTAACCGCTCGACAAGAAGAAGAAGAGGCCAAACAAATTGAATTGAAAAGTGCGGTGCATTGGAAGTCGAAAATGGAGAAACAGCGCAGCAAAATTGATTATAGCGAGATATTTGGCGATGAAGTCGGACACGAGGAGGGACTTTGGGTTTGGGAAATTGAGAATTTCTATCCGTCGATTATGGAAAAAGCGTTTCATGGATATTTTTATGAGGCTGATGCCTATTTGATTTTGAAAGCTTTTTATGTGAGTTTTTTGGAGGGGGGAAAGGGACTGAAATTGTAAAATTTCCAAAAATTTGAGAAGATCAGATAGAAAGCTTCAAATGAAGTTCTGAAGGATTTAGAATTAGGTTAAACCTTTGGTTTAAATTGTGGTTCAATTTGTTAGAATCGAATCAAAAACTACTGAAATTCAACGTGGCATTTCAGATTTTAAACAACTCACCTAAGAACCTAATTATCTAGGATCCTATACCTTCTAAAATTCATGTTTCCAGGTCGAAGGACATCTAAATCACGAAATCTATTATTGGCTCGGCGAGCATGCTTCACTCGATAAAGGAATGTGCGCAGCTGTGCATGCTGTTGGACTCAGAAATCATCTCAACGCATCTTGCCGGTATCGATTTTTTCTTGATTTTTTAAAATTTCCACACCTCAATTTTTTGCAGCACCCAAAGAGAAGAAATGAACGATGAATCGGAAGAATTTCTGGAAAATTTTGGCGAACAAATTGTGTATGTTGAAGGTGGAAGAACGAGTTCGGGATTTTATACAACTGAAAAAGCGGAACATGTTACACGGTATGTTTTTCGAGGATTTAAAAAAACATTTCTGATCACGATTCTGGAAGATATCTTATGAAAAATAGAATATTTTGGGTCCTGCCACGATTTTGGAGGTATTTAAAGGTGCATAAACTTTAAATTCGTGTCAGGACCCAATTTCTGTTGAAAAATCAATTATTTTGGGTCTTGCCACGATTTTGGAGGTTTTTAAAGTTGCATAAACTTTAAATTCGTGTCAGGACCCAATTTCTGATGAAAAATCAATTAGTTTGGGTCCTGCCACAATTTTGGGGGTATTTAAAGGTACTTAGGAAATATTTTGAATTAAATTAATTTTCAGTTTATATCGAGCCAGTGTAAACGGAACTGCTGTTGAAATGGAGCCTGTTCCTTTGAGTGTTGAATCATTGGACCCAAGATTCTGTTTCCTTTTGGATGCTGGAGATGTTATGTGGATTTGGAGCGGGTATAAATCGAGGGTAGGTTGTTTTCTGGATAAAATCATCCCAATTTCTTTCAAATTTGCAGATCACTGTGTCTAACAAGGCTCGACTTTTTGCCGAGCGACTAAATAAACGCGACAGAAAAGGGAAATCAGAGATCGAGACTTGTCGACAAATCAGATGCCCTGAAGAATTTTGGACCGCGCTAACCGGAAGCCCCAATAAACCAGAAGGTCCCATAGTTGAACATGTTCCGGAGGGATTTGTACCAGAAAGACGGAAGCTATATCGAGTGAATATTGGGATGGGATTCTTGGAATTACCGCAAGTTGAACTACCGAAGGGAATCGCCAAACAGGATATGTTGAACTCGAAGTGTGTTTATATTTTGGACGCGAATTCGGATATTTTCCTGTGGACTGGCAAAAAAGCGAATCGATTGTTGAAAATGGCTGGACAGAAAATGGTTGTTGAATTGTATCAAATGATTGAGAGACCGGATTATGCGCAATTGTATCGAGAAACTGAGGTGAGACCTTTTTTCTTAATGAAAAAATCAGGGCTTTTTGAATTTTCGGGCCAAAAAAATCACATTTTTACAACCAAAATTCAATGTTTCAAAAATATATTTCAAGAATTTTCAAAAGATTTGAATTTCAAAATATGGGGGCCAAAAAGCCACGTGGCAAAAATTTCCAATTTTTTTTTGGAAAAAAATCCACGTGACAAAAATGTTCAAAAATTCAAATTTCAAGATTTTGGCACGAAAAAAACCACGTGGCAAAATATTTTTTGAAAAAAAATAAGCAAAAAATTTTCGAAAAAAAAATCCACATGGCAAAATTTTAAAAACAAATCGTATTCAAATTTTTTGGCACCAAAATTCAATGTTTCAAAAATTTTCAAAATATTTGAATTTCAAAATATTGGGGCCAAAAAGCCACGTGACAAAAATTCTCAAAAAATTTCAAATTTCAAGATTTTGGAACGAAAAAAACCACGTGGCAAAAAGTTTCAAAATTTTAACTTTTCTTGATTTCAGGGCGAGGAAACAATGATGTTCCGATCGAAGTTTGCTGGATGGGATGAGATTGTTCCTGTTGATTTTACAAGAACAAGTGAATCTGTTCAAAGAGTTCCAGATCTCAATGTGAGTTTTATTTTTGAGCGAAGTTATGACCCAAAAACCGGCCCAAATTTTTCCAGACAATTGTAAAACGAGACAATATGATGAAAACTGATCTTGGTGCACTTTTCCTTGAACGACAACCATCAATGCCTTTGGCTGAATCTGAAGAACTTATGGAAGAATGCAATTATGATCTTGAATTGATGGAAAGTTTTGTGTTAGAAGGTCGGAAGTTTGTGAAATTGCCACCGAGGGAGTTTGGAATATTCTACACGATGGATTGTTATGTGTTCCTTTGTCGTTATGCTGTTTTGCCAGAAGAAGATGAAGATGAAGAAGAAGACGAGAAACCGGAGATGGATTTCAAATGTGTTGTATATTTTTGGCAAGGAAGAGATGCTTCGAATATGGGATGGTTGAATTTCACGTTCCAATTGCAGCCGACTTTTGAGGATATTTTCAAGGATAAATTGGAGGTTGTCAGAATGTATCAGCAACAGGAGAATCACAAGTTTTTGTCGCATTTCAAGCGGAAGTTTTTGATAAAACGTGGAAGACGTGGGTTGACACGGAGTTTGGGTGGAAAATGGCCGGAATTGTATCAGATGAGAGCGAATGGATCGAGTGTTTGTAATCGGACGATACAAGTTGATTGCCAGTAAGAATTTGATTTTTTTTTTGGGCTCTCAAGGGACGGCTACTTGAAAACAAGAATTTTCTAGGCGCAGCAGCCTGAAAACTAGGGTCTCTAGGCGTGGCTGCTGGAAAACCAGGGTTTCTAGGCTCAGGTACTTGAAACCCAGGGTCTCTAGGCTCGGCTGCTTGAAAACCAGGGTCTCTAGGCTCGGCTGCTTGAAAGCTAGGGTCTCTAAGCGCTGATCCTCGCCAATTGAATTTCCTAGGCGCGGCTACTCAAGAACTAGGATTTCTAGGCGTGGTTACTTGAGAACTGGGCACTCAAGGCACGACTCCTTAAATTCTAGAATCTCTAGACGCAGGTGCTTGAAAACTAGGGAGTCTAGGCGTGGCTTCATGAAAAATGGGGTTTTGAATTTTCTAGAAAAAGATTTTCTAACGACTTTTTCGAAAAAATCGAATTTTTTGGCTTTCCGAATCCGATATAATCAAAAAAAAAATGTTCTTATGCAAAACTCCCTTTTTTATACAATATTCTTTTGAATAACCCCTATTTTTTCCAGAGCAAATCAATTGTGCTCAGCATTTTGTCATATTCTCCGAATCCCATATAAAGTTCCATTAGAAACTGGTCAAAAAGGAATAGTTTATGTTTGGTATGGAAAAGATTCGGAAGAATGGGAACGAGATGTTGCCAAACAAATTGCATCCGATCTTGTGATTCGAGACGACGATGATAGTTTTGATGTGGTTGATGTTGATGAAGGAAATGAGAATGATGAATTTTGGACAGCTTTGGGTGGAAAGAAAAAGTATGTTTCTCGCTTTCTGAATGATTTTTCAAAATCTGATCAAATTCCAGATATGAAACTGAAAGTTCATTCGTCAAACACACTCGACTCTTCCGATGTACCAATGAGAAGGGTTATTTCGCGGTATCCGAGAAAACTGTCGATTTTTGTCAAGATGATTTGGATGATGATGATATTATGATTTTGGACAATGGTGATGCGATCTTCCTTTGGATTGGTGCTAGATCATCGGAAATTGAGGCGAAATTGGCGTATAAGGCGGCTACGGTGAGCATTTTGGGGTTTTTGTTGGGAAAACTACGATGCTCCGCGTTCACGCGGTGAGAAATAATGCATTTCGAACGGAAAATTGGGAAAAATGATCACGGGATTGTGGAGCATCGTTAAAAAAAATTTTGTCACAAATCAGAAAATCCTGGAAGTTTTTTTTTACAAAATTTTGAATTTTTGAGATTCTTTCCGGAAATTCCCGACATTTTGATTGCTCATATTATTATTTGAACCATTAATTTTTCCAGGTCTTCCAAGCGCATCAAAAAATGAAGCAAACTGATCGTCCCCGAAAATTGATGCTAGTTTTACGAGGTCGCGAAAGTCAACGGTTCCGAAAATGTTTCCATGCTTGGGGAAAACATAAAGAAGCAATTGGATCATAAAACACTTACGTGTAAATAATTTATGCCTTACACTATTCAAATACTACGTATTTTTCTTTAATATTACATACTTTTTTAACTCATACAGGTGCTTTTGCATATTTTTTATAACTTTTTTCTTTTCGTTTTTTTTAGTGTTCGTTAACAGTTTCTGTAAATAATAAGATTTAATATTTATTGTACTCGTTTAAAATTTTTTTCAATAGTTTCATCGGGTTGTCTCAAATTTCCAAATCTTTCTGAATTTCTTCGAATCGTTTCATCCAAATTGACTTTCAAAAATATTTATAACAACAGAAATCAGAATTTACAATATAACTTTGATTGAAATATTCGAAGATTAGAAGCCCCCAAAAATCATATTAAGGTCTTTGCCGTCTTTGACAACTTCGCATTTCACAAAACGTCCATAAACATTTGAAACATTGTTTTCCAAAAAATTCGCGATCGGTCGAATTTTTTTTTTATTTGATTTTTTATAGTTAGTAAAATTAAATAAGAAGCGAGGATGATATTCAATGTTTGGCTTGAGTTTCTGAAAAAATAGAGAAATAGTCTAATATGAAATTCTGACAAGGATTTGAAACTTGTATGAACACTCTAATTTTTGAACGATCTCGAGTTTAGTTAAAACGTTCGTAACTGAATTGTATTTCCTTTTTTAGCTGTGAAACTCACCATAAAAGAATCCTCGTTTTTTTCATAAATTTCCGGGTGTAAACTAATAATCGAATCATAAGTGAATTTGATTGCTTCAAAAATGTCATCAATATTTTCAAACCATTCAATCAAAACCCATGTTTCGTTGACATTTTTTTGCGATATTATGAAACTCCAACGATTAACAGCAATTTCAAAATGCTGATAATTATATGCAGCAAGAAGATCAATAGACATTTGATTGATTGTTTTTCCTGAATAGGTCAAAATATCGATCGATTTACAGCAAAGAATTTTCTTCAAAATTTCAAATGGAATTTCATCTTCTTCTACAATCATACTAAATATTTCACATTCTGCATTTTTGAAATAATAATTCCATTGATCAAATGGAATAGTTCTTTTCAATTCAATTGTTCTTTTGAATGGAAGTATTCTTATCCATGGAACTTCAACGAAAATTGTTATTTCTAATCGAAGTTCCTTATTTTTGTTATAATACACATTGGCATCACATTTTGGACCAGCAATCTTCCGACGTTCTAATTTATGAGCGTCGAATAGAAACTTTGATGAGTTTTTCAAATTTTGAACATCTTCGTATTCAAGCTGAAAATCATTTCAATTGGAAAAATCACAAATCATTTGAAATCTTACCTTTTCGAAAATTGCTCCAAGAACTTCGAATGGCAATTTTTTAATCGGAGGCTCTTCTTTTTCTTCTTCAATTTCTCTGGCAAATGGCTTCGTAAAAAAGTTTAGATATTTGCGGAGGATCAAGAAAATGACCAACATCAAAGAAACACAGAAATTGGTTTGTGGTGGAATACACCAAGCGAGAGTAGGACGCTCAGAAAATATCACACATTATTGTGCATGTGAATTGTTCCCAAACTGTTGTTGTGGTATTTTGGGAAAACACACACATCAGCTGCTCAACTTCTGGTGGAGCTCAGAAAATTGAGAATCTGAAACTTCTCGCTGTTTACTTTTTGAACTTATACAGGTGCTTTAGCATATTTTTATAATATATTTTAGTGTTCGTTAACACTTTGGAGATAGAATATATCTTCGATGAAGTAGATTGGTTTGTTAGAGAGGATGATTGAGAAAAATGAAAATTTGAGGAAAAATTTAGAGAAAGGGAAAAAACTAACTGATAATTTTGAAAAGCATGATCAGATGTTGATTTGATACCGAGTTCGGCTAACATTTTGGCAAATTGTTCTTCATCGATCTGAAAATGGAATTTTGAGATATTTCGAATAGAAACTGAGGAATCGGGCCGGGATTACTGTAGATTGAAATTTTGCGTGAAAGTTTGCTCTAAAATGACACCACATTTGGCATCAAAATTTTCAGATACTGCATTTCAAGTTTTTGTGCCGAAATTGGTGTCGGCTTGAAGAATTTTTCGTGCCAAAAATTAGGGTTACTGTAGGTCAAAAATTGGCCGCAAAATTTCTCTATTAAGAACTCACAGATCTGAAAACGATTCTCACCAATTCGCCACTCGGATCTTTATTTGCCGCAACTTTCATCAACGCTTGCGTGATTTCCCTTCTGGATCCCCCCTGCTTTTTCTATTTTTCACCATCCATTAAATTCCCATAAATCTCCAAATAAATGATTGAAATCACCTTAAAGTCACATTTCCGTTGTCAAATATCGAATTTCTTTTGCAAATCGATGAATAATTCCGATATCAATTTGTTCAAAAGAAAAAAAACCTTAATTCGACTCCATATAAAGACGATTTGTTATCTCATGAATTCTCGCACATGAATCAGAAATAAGAATATGCGCAGTTTCATAGAATGCAATTTGAACTTGTTCATTTTCATAAAATGACACTAATAAATTATAATCCATTTATCAAGACAATATAAAGAGTAGAAAAATTACGTAAATAATCATTAAAAAAATTGTGCAAAGATCATTGTTTTAACAAAGTTCCAAAGAAATTTGAGCAATTGGATTATAAAATATTCCAATAATTTCTCGAATAAACCAAGTGCGATATTTCGAAGAGTGAATAATTCGCGCACGGAACGAAACATAGCAGCTACAGATTGTTCCTCTTCTGGTTGTAACACTGGCTGAAAAAATCTTATGAACTTGAAGAAGCCGTTTATATAACGAACCTCAGCTCTGTCAGCAATCGGATCATCCCTACAAATCATATAAAGGTCTGTGCCGTCTTCCTCAACTTTGCATTCAACAAAACGTCCATAAACATTTGAAACATTGTTTTCCAAAAAATTCGCGATCGATCGAACTTTTTCTTCATCTGTATTTTCAGCAAAGTGAAACAAGAAGAGAGGATTATATTTAATGTTAGGCTTGAGTTTCTGAAAAATAGAAAAATAGTGTAATATGAAATACTGACAAGGATTCGAAACTTGTATGAACACTCTCATTTTTTGAACGATTTCGAGTTTAGTAAAAACTTTTTACAAACATCTACCGTATACGGTAGGGAATAAATGGGGAAGTTCGTAACTGAATTGTATTTCCTTGTATTTTTTTGCTGTAAAACTCACCATCAAAGAATCCTTGTTTTTTTCATAAATTTCCGGGTTCAATCTAATAATCGTGTCATAAGTGAATTTGATTGCTTCAAAAATATCATCAATATTTTTAAGACACACGATCAAAACGAATGTATAGTTGGCATTAATTATATGCAATACTTTAAAACTCCAACGATTAACAACAATTTCAAAACTCTGAGAATTATATGCAGCAAGAAGATCAATAGACATCTGATTGATTGATTCTCCGGAATAGATTAATTTCTCGATCGATTTACAGCAAATAATTTTCTTCAAAATGTCCAATGGAATTTCATTTTCTTCTACAGCCATGCTCAATTTTTTACATTCTGCGTTTTTGAAATAATAATTCCATTGATCAAATGGAATAATTCTTGTCAATTCAATTGTTTTTTTGAATGGAAGTATTCTTATCCAAGGAACTTCAACGAAAATTGTTATTTCTAATCGAAGCTCCTTGTTTTTGTTATAATACACATTGGCATCACATTTTGGACCAGCAATCATCCGACGTTCTAATTTATGAGCGTTGAATAGAAACTTTGATGAGTTTTTCAAATTTTGAACATCTTCGTATTCAAGCTGAAAAACATTTCAATTGGAAAAATCATAAATCATTCAAAAGCTTACCTTTTCAAAAATTGCTCCAAGAACTTCGAATGGCAATTTTTTAATTGGAGGCTCTTCTTTTTCTTCTTCAATTTCTCTAGCAAATGGATTTGTAAAAAAGTTTAGATATTTGCGGAGGATCAAGAAAATAATCAACATCGCAGAAACACAGAAATTGGTTTGTGGTGGAATACACCAAGCGAGAGTGGGACGCTCAGAAAATATAACACATTATTATGCATGTGAATTGTTCCCAAACTGTTGTTGTAGTGTTTTGGGAAAACACACACATCAGCTGCTCAACTTCTGGTGGAGCTCAGAAATTTGAGAAATCTGAAACTTCTCGCAGTTCACTTTTTGAACTTATACAGGTGCTTTAGCATATTTTTCTAATTGATTTTAGTGTTCGTTAACACTTTAGAGATTGGTATCGGCTTGAAGCATTTTTCATATCAAAAATTAGGGTTACTGTAGGAGAAAAATTGGCGTCAAAATTTCTCTATAAAGAACTCACAAATGTGAAAGTGATTCTGACCAATTCGCCAATCGGATCTTTATTCGCCACAGCTTTCATCAACGCATCCAATTATGTTATTTTTCTTCTCGATTCCCCTCCTTGCCTTTTCCATTTTTCATTATCCATCAAATTCCCATAAATATCTAAATTTTTCATAGAATGCAATTTGAACTTTTTCATTTTCATAAAATAACACTAATAAATCATAATCCATTTATCAAAATAAAGATTAGAAAAATTACATAAATAATCATAAACAAAAAATTGTGCAATGAATGAAATGAATTAGATCATTGTTCTAACAAAGTTCCAAAGAAGTTTGGGCAATTGGATTAATTGGACAACAATTTTCCGGAATAAATAAAGGGCGATAAAATAAAGGGCTCGAAGAGTGAACATGCGGAAAGCTCTCCGATCTCTACAAGTTATATGAAGGTCTGTGCCGTCTTTGAAAACTTTGCTTTTCACATAATATCCATAAACATTTGAAACATTGTTTTCCAAAAAATTCGCGATCGATTGAACTTTTTCTTCATCTATATTCGTATAGTTAGTAAAAATAAAAAAGTAGTGAGGATAATGTTCAATGTTTGGCTTGAGTTTCTGAAAAAACAGAAAAATAGTCTAATATGAAATTCTGACAAGGATTCGGAATTTGTATGAACACTCTCATTTTTCTTCAGATATTTCTGATTTTTTTGATTGAAATATGGTTTTTTAATTTTTTTCTTGAAGTTTGTAATTATAAACAAACAATTTCCAACAATACTAACATATTTCAATCATTAGATTTGAGATTATGACATATATGATCTTCCGATGTTTCCAACTATAACTTCGACTTGCATTATTTTTTTTGGAAAAAAAGGGGAAGTTCGGAACTAAAGTGTTTATGTACCTAGGAAATATATAGCAAGAGGTCGCAAGAAAAATTGACTTTTAGCGTGCTTCCGACCATTTTTAGCAAGTTTGCTAGATTTTTTTCCATTTTAAAAATTGTAGCCAGCTCCTAAAAGTCGATTTTTGTAGCAAAAGTTGCTACTTTTTCACCAAGTATTTCCTCATATTTTAGCTGTAAAACTCACCATAAAAGAAACCTCGTTTTTCTCATAAATTTCCGGCTGAAAACTAATAATCGAATCATACGTGAATTTGATTGCTTCAAAAATGTCATCAATATTTTCAAAACAATGAATTATAACGAATGTATGGTTGAAATTAACATTTTGAAATACTCTGAAACACCATCGATCAACAACAATTCCAAAACTCAGAGAATTATATGCAGCAAGAAGATCAATAGACATCTGATTGATTGATTTTCCTGAATAGGTCAAAATATCGATCGATTTACAGCAAATAATTTTCTTCAAAATGTCCAATGGAATTTCATCTTCTTCAACAATAATCCTTAATATTTTACATTTTGCATTTTTGAAATAATAATTCCATTGATCAAATGGAATAGTTCTTGTCAATTCAATTGTTCTTTTAAATGGAAGTATTCTTATCCATCGAACTTCAACGAAAATTGTTATTTCTAATCGAAGTTCCTTATTTTTGTTATAATACACATTGGCATTACATTTTGGACCAGCAATCATCCGACGTTCTAATTTATGGGCGTCAAATAGAAACTTTGATGAGTTTTTCAATTTTTGAACATCTTCGTATTCAAGCTGAAAAACATTTCAATTGAAATATTATAAATCATTTTAAATCTTACCTTTTCAAAAATTGCTCCAAAAACTTCGGAAGGCAATTTTTTAATCGGAGACTCTTCATTTTCTTCTTCAATTTGTCTGGGGAATGGCTTCGTAAAAAAGTTTAGATATTTGCGGAGGATCAAGAAAATGACCAACATAAAAGAACGGTTTCAATAAATAATATTCTTGCACACAAAAATGTAAGTGTTGGTTTGTGGTGAAATACACCAAGCGAGAGTGGGACGCTCAGATATTATAACCCATTATTGTGCATGTGAATTGTTCCCAAACTGTTGTTGTAGTGTTTTGGGAAAAAACACACATCAGCTGCTCGAGTGAAATTTTGCGGGATAGGACTTGTGAAATCTAGAAATAGCATTCATCTGGATTTTTGATAATACATTCTTGAACTTTCACTGTGCCAAGCAAGTGCCAGGGCATCCTCAACTTTTTTCGAAACAAAATATTTCAATGTACCTTTGATCTATTTTTCTCGATAAATAATTGGTAGAATATTCAGGAATTGGGACTCTAGTTGGTTGTTTCAACCAGGTTCAGAACCTCATCGATTCTTCGGACATAAATTCCCCGACACAAGTTCAGTAAAGAAACAATTTTGTTTGTTATAAACCGGAAGAAAGAAGTTCAATGTGAGATAAAACGTTTCTAGGATTACGGTATTTTCAAGACCGTTACTTCTCTAACAAGGAATGTTCCCCCTCGAAATGATGGGACTATGCGGATATTGTAGGTTTCCCTGGATTTGGAAAACCCAACAGAGATTTTGTAAGTAAACATGTGGAGTTTCCAGAAGATCAGATTTGACTAGAAGAGCTAAAAAAAATTCACAGATTACTGTAGTTCTACATCGATTGTTACAATAATCATAGAGAAAAACTATACAGTAATCTTATTGTGGACAACAACAGCTACAGTACCCTGATTACTGTATTTCTGAATAAAACGAAACTACGAATTTTAGGATAAACTATTTTCTGACAAATCTACATGGTGCTGCAGAATCACAGTATCCCTGTGGGTAGTCTAACCAAATGCAAAACCACAGTAACCCGCAACTTTTGGGCTGAGAGTCTGTGATATAGTACTGTAGAAAAATCTTGGTGCAACAGCTCACTCAAGTTATTGTATGCTTCCAAAGACAAATGTACAGTACTTTTTTCAAAGTCACAGATTACTGTAGTTCTACATCGATTCTTACAGTTCTCGCTAATAACAACTACAGTAATCTTATTGTAGACACCAAATCTACAGTACCCTGATTACTGTATTAGAAACAAAACTATAAGGTATTGGCTTTTATGCAATAACTCATAGTGAAAAGAAGAACTACAGTAATCTTATTGTAGACATGTGATGATCTACAGTACTCTGATTACTGTATTTCTAGGCAACAAAACTACAAGTCACTGGCTTTTATGCAATGACTTATAGCGAAAAAAGAGAACTACAGTAATCTTCTACTTTTTGGCTTTTAAGCAAAAAGTAGGGATAAATAAATAAAGATAAAATTAAACACAGTAATTAAAATCATGGAAGAATCGAGGAGGAGTTGCAGAATCTTCGAAGTTGAAGGAATTCCAGAAAAATTGGCCCCAAATCGCTCTGAAAATTTGAAGTTTTTGATTAAAAATTCAAAATTTGGGCATAGCTTCCGCATCTCCGCTGAAATTCCAAAAAATAACTAATAAAATCCAGAATTTTCAAGATTTTCTAATTGAAAAAAAAAAGAAAATCAAGAAAATTCTGAATTTTATAAGTTTCTTTTTAGATATTCCAGAAGTTCTCTTTTATTTTATAATTAATACTTACCGTAGCCAACACGTGGATAGTTTGACGGGGGCGCAGTTGTTGTATGGCTACCTGGAATAAAAAATTGAATTTTTGATAAGAAAATATAAGTTTTTCTCTAAAAATTCAAAATTTGGGCATAGCTTCCGCATCTCCGCTGAAATTCCAAAAAATAACTAATAAAATGCAGAATTTTCAAGATTTTCTAATTAAAAAAAAAGAAAATCAAGAAAATTCTGAATTTTATTAGTTTCTTTTTGGATATTCCAGAAGTTCTCTTTTATTTTATAATTAATACTTACCGTAGCCAACACGTGGATAGTTTGACGGGGGCGCAGTTGTTGTATGGCTACCTGGAATAAAAAATTGAATTTTTGATAAGAAAATATAAGTTTTTCTCTAAAAATTCAAAATTTGGGCATAGCTTCCGCATCTCCGCTGAAATTCCAAAAAATAACTAATAAAATGCAGAATTTTCAAGATTTTCTAATTAAAAAAAAAAAAGAAAATCAAGAAAATTCTGAATTTTATTAGTTTCTTTTTGGATATTCCAGAAGTTCTCTTTTATTTTATAATTAATACTTACCGTAGCCAACACGTGGATAGTTTGACGGGGGCGCAGTTGTTGTATGGCTACCTGGAATAAAAAATTGAATTTTTGATAAGAAAATATAAGTTTTTCTCTAAAAATTCAAAATTTGGCCATAGCTTCCGCATCTCCGCTGAAATTCCAAAAAATAACTAATAAAATCCAGAATTTTCAAGATTTTCTAATTAAAAAAAAGAAAATCAAGAAAATTCTGAATTTTATTAGTTTCTTTTTAGATATTCCAGAAGTTCTCTTTTATTTTATAATTAATACTTACCGTAGCCAACACGTGGATAGTTTGACGGGGGCGCAGTTGTTGTATGGCTACCTGGAATAAAAAATTGAATTTTTGATAAGAAAATATAAGTTTTTCTATAAAAATTCAAAATTTGGGCATAGCTTCCGCATCTCCGCTGAAATTCCAAAAAATAACTAATAAAATGCAGAATTTTCAAGATTTTCTAATTAAAAAAAAAGAAAATCAAGAAAATTCTGAATTTTATTAGTTTCTTTTTAGATATTCCAGAAGTTCTCTTTTATTTTATAATTAATACTTACCGTAGCCAACACGTGGATAGTTTGACGGGGGCGCAGTTGTTGTATGGCTACCTGGAATAAAAAATTGAATTTTGTAATTAAAATATAAGTTTTTCTCTAAAAATTCAAAATTTGGGCATAGCTTCCGCATCTCCGCTGAAATTCCAAAAAATAACTAATAAAATGCAGAATTTTCAAGATTTTCTAATTAAAAAAAAAGAAAATCAAGAAAATTCTGAATTTTATTAGTTTCTTTTGGATATTCCAGAAGTTCTCTTTTATTTTATAATTAATACTTACCGTAGCCAACACGTGGATAGTTTGACGGGGGCGCAGTTGTTGTTTGGCTACCTGGAATAAAAAATTGAATTTTGTAATTAAAAATATAAGTTTTTCTCTAAAAATTCAAAATTTGGGCATAGCTTCCGCATCTCCGCTGAAATTCCAAAAAATAACTAATAAAATCCAGAATTTTCAAGATTTTCTAATTAAAAAAAAGAAAATCAAGAAAATTCTGAATTTTATTAGTTTCTTTTTAGATATTCCAGAAGTTCTCTTTTATTTTATAATTAATACTTACCGTAGCCAACACGTGGATAGTTTGACGGGGGCGCAGTTGTTGTATGGCTACCTGGAATAAAAAATTGAATTTTGTAATTAAAAATATAAGTTTTTCTCTAAAAATTCAAAATTTGGGCATAGCTTCCGCATCTCCGCTGAAATTCCAAAAAATAACTAATAAAATGCAGAATTTTCAAGATTTTCTAATTAAAAAAAAAGAAAATCAAGAAAATTCTGAATTTTATTAGTTTCTTTTGGATATTCCAGAAGTTCTCTTTTATTTTATAATTAATACTTACCGTAGCCAACACGTGGATAGTTTGACGGGGGCGCAGTTGTTGTTTGGCTACCTGGAATAAAAAATTGAATTTTGTAATTAAAAATATAAGTTTTTCTCTAAAAATTCAAAATTTGGGCATAGCTTCCGCATCTCCGCTGAAATTCCAAAAAATAACTAATAAAATCCAGAATTTTCAAGATTTTCTAATTGAAGAAAAAAGAAAATCAAGAAAATTCTGAATTTTATTAGTTTCTTTTTAGATATTCCAGAAGTTCTCTTTTATTTTATAATTAATACTTACCGTAGCCAACACGTGGATAGTTTGACGGGGGCGCAGTTGTTGTATGGCTACCTGGAATAAAAAATTGAATTTTGTAATTAAAAATATAAGTTTTTCTCTAAAAATTCAAAATTTGGGCATAGCTTCCGCATCTCCGCTGAAATTCCAAAAAATAACTAATAAAATGCAGAATTTTCAAGATTTTCTAATTAAAAAAAAAGAAAATCAAGAAAATTCTGAATTTTATTAGTTTCTTTTTGGATATTTCAGAAGTTCTCTTTTATTTTATAATTAATACTTACCGTAGCCAACACGTGGATAGTTTGACGGGGGCGCAGTTGTTGTATGGCTACCTGGAATAAAAAATTGAATTTTTGATAAGAAAATATAAGTTTTTCTATAAAAATTCAAAATTTGGGCATAGCTTCCGCATCTCCGCTGAAATTCCAAAAAATAACTAATAAAATCCAGAATTTTCAAGATTTTCTAATTAAAAAAAAAAGAAAATCAAGAAAATTCTGAATTTTATTAGTTTCTTTTTAGATATTCCAGAAGTTCTCTTTTATTTTATAATTAATACTTACCGTAGCCAACACGTGGATAGTTTGACGGGGGCGCAGTTGTTGTATGGCTACCTGGAATAAAAAATTGAATTTTTGATAAGAAAATATAAGTTTTTCTCTAAAAATTCAAAATTTGGGCATAGCTTCCGCATCTCCGCTGAAATTCCAAAAAATAACTAATAAAATGCAGAATTTTCAAGATTTTCTAATTAAAAAAAAGAAAATCAAGAAAATTCTGAATTTTATTAGTTTCTTTTTGGATATTTCAGAAGTTCTCTTTTATTTTATAATTAATACTTACCGTAGCCAACACGTGGATAGTTTGACGGGGGCGCAGTTGTTGTATGGCTACCTGGAATAAAAAATTGAATTTTGTAATTAAAAATATAAGTTTTTCTCTAAAAATTCAAAATTTGGGCATAGCTTCCGCATCTCCGCTGAAATTCCAAAAAATAACTAATAAAATGCAGAATTTTCAAGATTTTCTAATTAAAAAAAAGAAAATCAAGAAAATTCTGAATTTTATTAGTTTCTTTTTGGATATTCCAGAAAGTTCTCTTTTATTTTATAATTAATACTTACCGTAGCCAACACGTGGATAGTTTGACGGGGGCGCAGTTGTTGTATGGCTACCTGGAATAAAAAATTGAATTTTTGATAAGAAAATATAAGTTTTTCTCTAAAAATTCAAAATTTGGGCATAGCTTCCGCATCTCCGCTGAAATTCCAATTTCAAACTGATAAAATCAACTATTTTTCTTTTTACAAAGAAAATCAAGAAAAATCAATACTTGATCAGCTTCAAATTGGATATTTCAGAAATTCATATTATTTCTTTCACCTACCATATTTTCCGAATTTTCGTTGAGAATTGAAGTTGACAGAGCGACCCAATCTGAAAACAAAATTTGATAGTTTTTATGACTGCTGTTTCAAGATTACTGTAGTCCTTTTTTGATGCCAAACACTACAATAATCCACTAGAAAAATCCAGAAAAAATTAGGTTTCTAAAAAAGTGATAAAGTTCTCTAGCTTCCGAGAATTGGTAGTTTTTCTCATAGAAAATGGTCATTTCATTAATTCTGGTATTATAAATACTTGTCTGTTCAAAAATTCAGGAATCTTAGAAATTCGGAATTTCAAGTAATCACTTACCAAAACTTCCAATTGTCTTCTCGAATTTTCCAAATGATTGAATCCTTGCTGAAATTTAATCAAATTTTGAACCAAATTTCATGTTTCCCAAATTTCCCTCCAAAAATTCCCAATTAAATTTCTCAATTCAAAACTTCGCCACCCAAAAAACTCGATAGAAATGTACAAAACCCGTGATAACTGTTACTTTCCTACAGCTTTCGGTTATCCAAAAGGATTCTTTGACAAATCCCTACTCAAATTTGAATCAAATTTGAATAGTTGCGGGTTTCAACAACTGGTAAACGTACTTGCTCAGAAAGTAACGCACATTTTCCATTTTGTAATTTGGGGGCTGGTTTTGGAATTGATTTTTCAAAAAAGTGCATCAAAATTTGGATAAATTCCCCAAATTTAAACTCATCTTCAAAAATTGCTCCAAAAATTGCTCTACTGACTTTGGCCCAATTCTTTGACAATCTTGAACCGATTCTGAAAATATAACAATTGAAAAAGGAGAAACAAAAAAAAAAAACTGATTTCCTTGAGAAACACACATTTTGTGAAAATGCAATGACGTGTCACGTCACGTAAAAATAATAATATTCGTTCTCTAGAATTTGTCGTAAATCTAAACAATTTTTTTTTCCGCTGAAAATGCCAAAACCATTTTTTTTTCAGAATTATTGTTTCTATTTTTTATGTATTGTTCTGAATCACACCTGACGAGAGAGTGTCTCAAAATTTTTGTGCAGCGTGGAAATTTTTGCAAAAAAAATTGTGCAGCGTGAAATTTTGAATTTTTGAAAATTTTCATCAAAATCGGCTGAAAATCAATGAAAACTACACTGTTTTCGTGAAAAAAATGTACAGTGTGGTTTCTGAAATTTTTTGTACAGTGTCCATTTTGGACACGTCTCGTCAGGTGTGTTCTGAATTTTAAGGAACAATTTGGTGCCAAAATTCTAAATTCAATTTTTTTTGTTTTGTTGAAAAATTAAATAATCTTTAATTTTTCGAATTAGATTACTGTAACTCCAAATATTTGCCACTGAAAACTCAGATTTTTGTGCTGCGAATTTGAAAAAAATAAAACTGCTAGCCAGATTAAAAATTCAAAATTTGGGCATAGCTTCCGCATCTCCACTGAAATTCCAATTGGAAACTGATAAAATCAAAATCTTTCAAGATTTTCACAAAGAAAATCGAGAAAAATAAAAGTTTTAGCAGTTTCAAACAGGATATTTCAGAATTTCAATTGAAATGTTTTTTGCCATAATTTTGCTGAAGAAGATCGCACTCACCTTCCACAAATGATGATTGACCGAATTTGAGCATCGTTGTCACGGCAAATTGATTCGAAATCCTGAAAAAATCGAAATTTTTGAGAAAAATAGTGAATAAAAAATGAAAAATGTTTTCTCCACCAATGCTCGAAAAATCAATACACACAAATAATCAAAACATTTCGAGAAAACATGGTAGATCAAAATTAGTTTCTAGTGTTCTTCACTCAAAAATGATGACAAATCGAACTTCATGGAGCAAAAGTAGCACAAACTTCTGAAAACTGGATTCCAAGGTCAATTTTCATCAGAAACCCCCTAAAAGCTTCACATTTTGAAGCGTCTAGGTTCAAAGCCTCGATTTGTCATCATTTTGGATGATAAACTTTTGAAAAAACTAATTTTGATCTACCATTTTTTCTCGGAAAATCTTGAGAATTGGGCTCATTCCAAACTACGGTAGTACCCAAAATAACTCACAAATAGACAATTTTTGCCATTTTTGGTGTTCCCATACATAAATGGAAAATGAATAATCTGATTGTGAGAGATAAATAGGAAATTCAAAATTGGGTCACGTTTTACGTGGGATTTCTGAAGAATTCAATTTTGTTTTTTTGAATCTTTTAGAAATGCTAGTTTAAAAATGTCCCGTTCAGAATATCAAGTTTTTGATTAAAAATTCAAAATTTGGGCATAGCTTCCGCATCTCAAATGAAATTCCAATTTCAAATAGATAACATCAATGTTTTTTCAAGGTTTTCGAGGAAAATCGAGAAAAATAAATGTTCTATCATTTTCAAATTGGATATTTCAGAATTTAAATTTTTTTCGGGCCAAATGTGTTACTGTAGATGCAAATTTTGATTTATTGGCATTTTCTAATTTTAGAGCAAAATATTTGTAAATTATTCTTACCTGATCATTTGTCCATCATACCAATCCAAAGCAATGTGTAGAATAATCCAATTTTTGTGGACCATTGAAGTTGTTGAAAATGCTCCAAATTGTTGCCAGAAGTTGCTCCATTTCTAACACATACCTAACACAAAAAAGGTGCTCTCGGAGTCGAAAATCCATAGGTTGAGAACATAAAAGTGCAGTGAAACATAACACATAAAACACATAGAATACCTTTAAAAATCCATTGAATTGAGAAGAAAAACTCTGAAATATCATAAAAATAAATAAATAAATAAGATATTTAGAAAAGTTTCAAACTTTTGAATAAAAAACAAGAAAATACAAGCTTTCTATTATAAATTTAATAATAGAATGAAAATAAAGCGAACGAATTCGTTATACAAAAATAAATATTACAGAAAATTGGGGGAAGGGGGCTGAAAATACTGATAGAAAACTCGAATATAAAACACTGAAAAACCCCCAGTTTCGCCTGACTTTCACTTCGAATAATATTACAAAAATCACCCGGAATTTTGAAAAGTTTATGGGATTTCACTACTTTTTGGGAATTCGAAAAGTTTCGTCATCAACTAGCAAAAATCAATGAAATTTCCCCGAAATTCTGAATATCCAACTGGAAAACTTAAAGTGACCGAGTTATGAGAAATCTAATGAATTTTGTGAAAATAAGTAGAGAATTTGAGGAAGGCTTGGAAGATTAATCTGGAATTCTCTATTTTTCAGATTTGTGGAAAACCTGAAAATGAGAAAAGGTTTGGGTAGAAAAAAATTCAATAAAAAACCTAGTAAACCATTTTCCCTCAAAAAATCTATTATAAAACCTGCTCCAATGTGCAAAACAGTGCAAAAACTTACTCTGAAAAACAAGACAAGAACACGTGGGACAAGGACAAAAAACAAGGTGAAAGGACAAAAACACGGGACAAGGACAAAGACAAGGAGCAAGTTTTTTTTAATGATTTTTTTTTTTGGAAAAATAGTTCCCTAGATTTAATACTTAAGGCTACCCAAACCTAAACTTACCTAAACTTACCTTACCAAACACAAATCCTACTCCCTAAAGTATCCCAAGAAAAACCAACCTCCCCCTTCCCAAATTCCCTACAAATCCCCCCGCCAGTCACTAGATTCCCGCACTTCCCAAATCCCAATAAATCCCCCGAAAAACACCCAAAACCCCGGGGAAAACCCCATCAACCTTTCCCAGCTTCTGACTAGACTCTTAGAATTCCCAAATAACAAGTGAAAAGGCCCATTTTTTAACCTCAAAAAATCCCGGGAAATTTTCGCGCCAAAATTCGAGGTGGAAATCATTTGAAAATCTGGGGATTGGACTAGAGAATTTTGAATTCGAGTTTTCTATTCGATTTTCAGCCAAAAAAAATATGGGGGAACATTAAAAATACACAGAAAAAATTATACTTACAGAATCCTTTTTTTTTTAATTGTTGAAGACCAAATTTTTGTTGAAGAAGTATATCTTGTTTAGAAAGAAATTGTGACCAGTTGATATAAAAAAAATGTTGCCAGAAGTTACAGGAATTCTGAAAAAATAGATTTTTATAGAGCCCACAAAACCAAAAACTTACATTCACAAGAAGATCCACAAGATTTCGATGATTTATTGATCTTCTCAAATCGGAACTTCGAGCAAAGATGGTTTGGAGTTGGACTCCTTGGCAGCTTTTGAAGCTACATTCATCTTTGTTGAATGTTTAGAACAATCCAAATACCTTTTGAAGGATTCCTGAAAATTCGCAATGATTTTTCGATAAGAAAATTAATGAAAAAATAAACTCACAATTGATTTCCCGGGTTTTGAGCAAATTTGGAGAGTTGGACTCTTGAATAAGCTTTTGAAGCTATGAACAGTTCAGCTAGCTGAAAAATTTAGAAAATTAATCATCACTCAAAAAACTTTTCAAAAAACTCACGAGATTTTGCAATTTCCTTGCCAAGACATCTAATTACTTATTTATTTTCATCAGCTGTCCTCACATGTGAAAATCGCGAAGTTCGGTTCCAGTTTGAGGAACAAAATCAGCTTGGCTCCACTTGGAATCCAGGGATTTTTGGACTTTGTCCAAAAGTTGCTGCAGCATCTTGGATGTTTTTGAACTTCCAAAGTTCACCTTTTGAAGGATTTCTGAAATATTTGTATGATTTTTCAGCACAAAAATTAATGAAAAAAGAACTTACATCAAGTTTCCTTTCATAAAAATCGAGCGGAGTGCAAAAGTTGGAGAGTTGAACTCTCGGACAGCTTTTCAAGCAGCTTCTGAAGCTAATCCATCTAAAATATTGGAAAATAAATTCATCATCTAAAAATCTTTTCAAAAACTCACGATATTTTGCAAATCTCCTTCTGCTCATAAATCATTGCTCGACTTGGAATCGAGACATTTTTGAACTCGAAGTTGGTCCCGAAGTTGTTGGATGTTTTTGAACTTCCAAAGTTCACCTTTTGAAGGATTTCTGAAAAAAAAGAGTCTGATTTTTCAGCAGAAAAATTAATGAAAAAAGAACTTACTATAACTTTCGCGGTTTTCGAGCAATTTCGAGTTAAACTCGTGGATTGTGTGAGCTTTGGAAGCGAAGGCACATCTGAAACATTGAAAAATAAATTCATTATCCCAAAACCTTTCAAAAAACTCACAATATTTTGCAATTTCATTACTGGGGCAGATGATTACTATCTAGAATTCATCATCAGCCCCGCAATTTTGAAAATCGCAAAAAATTTGACTTGAAGTTGGTCCAGAAGTTGTTGGATATTTTTGAACTTCCAAAGTTCACCTTTTGAAGGATTTCTTAAAAATTTGTCTGATTTTTCAACACAAAAAATAATGAAAAAAAAGAACTTACATTGAATTTCCATCTAAATTGGCTTAGAGTTAAACTCTAGAACATCTTTTGAAGCTATATCACCAACTGAGCCAAAAAACGAGCATTTTTGGGTGAAGTTGGACTTCCAGCTCGAAGAACACAATCTTGACTCGACCCAGGATCCATACATTTTGGACTTGTTGCAGGTCTTGAAGTTGTTGCCACTTTGATGTTTTCGAAGTTCACACTTCATTTCGATTTGATCGATTAAAACGCCACCAATTGAATGACTATTGAAATCCTGAAATATTTTTTTGATTTTTCAAAAATTAATGAAAAAAAAATAAACTCACATCCAATTTCCCGGTTCCAAATCGGATTTCCGACTACAAAAATGCATCATCTTCCATCCTTGTGTAGAACCAGCGAGGTGTTTTGAATTTCAACTCTTGCAGAGCTTTTGAAGCTATTATCATTTAGAGTTGAGCAAAAGTGTCATCTGAAAAATGAAAAATTAATTCATAATCCAAAAATCTTGAAAAAAAACTCACGATATTTCACAATTTCCTCGATAGGACATTTCGATTACTTATTACAATTCATCTCACGTCCGCGCTTCTGAGAAATTGCAAAAATCATCTCAACTTCAGGTGTTGCATCAGGAGAAAAAACAATTGGAACCAACAAGAGCTGCAGTCTCTTGCGGTTCCACGTGGGGTCCAAGTCCATGTTTGTTTGATACCAAAAATCGCTGAGAATCTCCAAGGGGTGCCAAGTCCCAGATTCAAATATCGATCCAAAAATCGGAGTTTTTTCGGCAGTTTCAGTTTGGGGTATGAATTCCCTTCATGAATTCAAAAATCGATATCCACGTGGGGATTAATTCCACGTGGATTCCAAGATTCCATCGAAATCGGGGTGCGAAGTCCCGATTTCTTCCAACCAATCACGAAACCAACCGGCTTCTGAAAATTCCAAAATAATTAATAAATATTACTGTAGCTCGCAACGGTGTTTGCACACTCTCTCTCTCTAGCACTCTCTCATTTTCGCACACTCTATGTTTATTGTTTTTTTTTTCTCAATTTTCGAAAAAATTACTAGAAAAAGCTAGTTTGAAGGCAAAATTCATAGTACAAGAAATAGAGAAGGTGAGCCAGAAATAATTCAGAAAAAAACTCACCTTGAAATTGGATTTTCGCATCCATTTCGGGGTATCAATTCCCTTCATAAATTCCCAAATCGATATCCACGTGGGGCTTAATTCCACGTGGATTTCAAGATTCCATCGAAATCGGGGTGCGAAGTCCCGATTTCTTCCAACCAATCACGAAACCAACCGGCTTCTGAAAATTACAAAATAATTGATAAATATTACTGTAGCGCGCAACAGCGTTTGCACACTCTATTTTTATTATTTTTTTCTCAATTTTCGAAAAAATTGCTAGAAAAAGCTAGTTTGAGAGCACAATCCATAGCACAAAAAATAGAGAAGCTTAGCCAGAAATAATTGAGCAAAAAACTCACCTTTAAATTGGATTTTCGCGCTTCTTTGGGGTATCAATTCCCTCCACAAATTCCCAAATCAAAATCCACGTGGGAATCATGTCCACGTGGATTTCCAAGCTTCCGATAAAATCGGGGAAATCAAGCCCGATTTATATCCATTCCACATTCCAAGTCCAGGTTTCGACATATTTCGATACCAAAAAAAAGGTGCCACGGTGTTCCATTGAATTAATAACCAAATTGCACATTGAGCAAGATTCCGGATTTCTTCTCAGCAGTGAATTTGGCATTTTTTTGGTGGGTGGCTTCGGCTCCTCGCATTTTTTTCGAAGTATGTCGGAGGCCAGAACATACAACGTTGTTGATCCATTTGTGGTCATTTGACCAAATTCATAACTTAACACAATTGGCAAGGTTGCGCGTCGTTTTAATGGAGAACGCCCATTTCAATTTGCTGCTTCTCTCCCACAAAAATCGATGTTTCAATAATGACCAATAGATGAACATCAATTTGGCGAGTTCCACAGTTCTTTCCATTTATACACTAACTGATCATTTGTTGCCATAAATCAATTGCTTCATATAAAATGTTCCACCCGAATCCATATCATAATATATAGCAAGACGGGGAAACATTCGAATAATCCACGAATTTGATTAGGTTTTCGTCGGTTTGTGGAACGGCGAACGCCCGTTTTTTTTTTGCTACATCCATCTTCATCGAAATTCCAGCTCCAAAAATGGGCAATGCAGAAGAATGGCAAGCAGTTTCGTCGTATTTCCGGAGTACGCCCGGTATTCTCCATAGTTCCTCGATTTCATCATCGGCATGTATTTCATTTTTCGGATATTCAATCGAAGTCATCATTGGATAATCAGAAGTTGGCGAAATTCATGGTATTTTCCTGACAAATTTCATAAAATCCATTCAAAACATATTTTCGATAATTTGAGATGAAATCGTTGACCAGACAATAATCTCGATTTGAAATATGAAAATCATAAAGCTGAACCATTGAAAATATTCCAATCATCTTCAAAATCATAACATTTCTCAAAAATCGCCAAATTTCTTCAAATATACGGGAATTTGAGCTGGAAAAAATCACATTTTTAATTAATTGATTTTGAAAAAGCTTTTCATTTTGGAAAATGAAAAAAAGTTTCAAAAAACTAACTGAAAATCAGAAATCGCCAATGCTTCAATCATCAAAGATATTCAGAATCCTTTCTCAAATCGAGGCATAACAATTCGAAATCTTCCAAGAATGTGATGAAATCAACAGAAAATGAAGCGAATTCCAAGTGACAAAATCCAAGGTTCGTTTTGATCGTGCAGATGGTGTTCTTCGATAATCCGCACATCATTTCAATCATTCCTTGTCCAAAACTTCAGCTCAATGCGAAATCAATGCAAATTCAGCTAGGGTCATCACTCCTAGCTGAAAAATCGATTGATTTGGGCCTTGTCCAATCACATCCAAAAAATACTCATTGAATCCCAAGTGACCAATTCAGCAATCAACGGTAACTGAAGATTTTCCAGAGTTATTATTCCAAAAAAATTAATAAATATGTATTACTGTAGCTCGCATCGGTGTTTGCACACACTTTCTAGCACTCTCTCATTTTCCAACAATATCTAATTTTCATTTTTTTTTTAAATTTTTGATTGTGAGAAAAAGTTCGTTCCAATGAAAAATCGATAGCGCAAAAAAGTGTTCAGAAAAAAAACTCACGTTTGAATTTGATTTTCGCATTTCTCGATCATTTCTGGATCGCAACTTCGACCAGAGCTCAAATTATCCAAACAGCAAATTGATTCTCGTTGTTTTCAATGTCTTTGAATTCGTTGGCAAAGTTGGATTTGGTTTTGTTGGCCAAAGCACGACGTCGGAAACCATTGAAGTAGTCGTTGAGGAATGAAATACCAAAATTGTGTCAAACCAAATCAACCACCAACTGAACATTGTCGACAATTCGGATTCATTTTCAAATGCACAATTTGATATCCTTCGAAGATTTCGGCTCCTCGCATGTTTTTCGAAGTATGTCGGAGGCCAGAACATACAACGTTGTTGATCCATTTGTGGTCATTTGACCAATAACATACCGCGCAGTTGGCAAATCTGCCGGTTCATTCCAAAATGCTTCACAACAAAAAATCGAATATCGTTCCAATGACCAGTTGTTTGATATCGACTTCGAGTTGATCCGCATTTTCATCCATTATAAACACTATTTGATCAGTTTATTGCCATATCAATCGATTGCTTCATATCGAAAATCCAGCCGAATCCAGTTCAAGTAAAAGGCAAGACGGCCTTCATTCCGATAATCCACGAATTGATTGTTGTTTTCGTCGGTTTGGGGAACGGCGAACGCCCGTTTTTTTGCTACATCCAAATTCAACAAAATTCCAGCTCCAAATTGAGAAGAATATGGGCAATGGGATGAGCAATGCTTCGTCGTATTACCGGAGTACGCCCGGGATATTGTTCATTTCACATCGATTTGATAATCGGTAAGAAGTGCATGTTCAATATCCATCATATGACTTCGTGATTTGCTTCAACAGTCAAAACTTGTCTATTCAAATTGACATTCAAATTGACATTCAATTCTTCTGGTTTCAAATGGCGAACATCCAAATCAACAGCAAATTGATTCTCGTTGTTTTCAATGTCTTTGAATTCGTTGGCAAAGTTGAAGTTGGTTTTGTTGGCCAAAGAACGATGTTGGAAACCATTGAAGTAGTCATTGAGGAATGAGTTGAAGCGATTCGTGTATGGGCAGACATTTCGAAAATTGATTGCAAAATTGTGTATACAGCTAGGGTCATTACTCCTAGCTGTATTATCGATCGATTTTCCGTTTGTCAGCGTAAATATTATCAGAAAAAAACCATTGATCCGGGTTCGACCAAATCCAAACCAAACAGCTTCTGAAAATTCCAGAGTTATTCCAATAAAAAATTAATAAATATTACTGTAGCTCGCAACGGTGTTTGCACACTTTCTATTTTTTGGGCTGTGAATTTTTTTAAAAATTGCGAGAAAATGCTAGTTTCAGGAAAAATCCATAAAAAATTGAGAAAGCTGAGCATGAAATAATTGAGCAAAAAAACTCACTTTCCGATCGGATTCTCGCATCCAAAATCGAAGTACACGCATTTCGACAATTCCAAAATTGAACATTGAACCATCCAAAGGCCAGGGTTTTGCAAATTTTGCGTCATGAATTTCGCATTTTGCCAAAGTCGAGGAATCTTGAAGCGGTTCCAGTTTTATATGGCACATGGCAAAAATTCCATCCATATTTATCAACGCGGAAATTGAGATTTTATCACCCGAAATGAACATTACAAATTCGCAAAAATGATGCACGCGTGAACCCAAAATTTCACGCTCAAATGAAAAGCTCGCGCAACAATTTGTTCGATTCCATAATACTTTGAATCGATCTGTAAAATTATCGACTTTTGAAAATATATTTAAAAAAACGTTGGTCATCAAATATTTTTCTTGTTTCAACTTTCTGCTCCCAATTTAATATACTGACACATTTTTTCAAATGCTCCCCGAAATTAGCAAAAAACTCACCTTTCACTCGAGTTTCAGTGAACATTCCACAGAATGCATATAAAATCACACATTTGCAAAATCCAGTGATAATAAAAAATGTATCACATCAGCTCGAGGTTCGATTGATCTTGAAAATGCGGATGTTGGTTCAAGTATTGAGAAACTTGTGGGTGAAGTTGGTTGTGAGTGTTGGCCAAAGAACGACGTCGGAAATCATTGAAGTAGTCGTTGAAGAATAAGTTGAAGCGATTAGTGGCAGACAAACATTTTGAAAATTGATTGCAAAATTGTGTATACAGCTAGGGTCATTACTCCTAGCTGTATTATCGATCGATTTTCCGTTTGTCAGCGTGAATATGATCAGCAAAATACCATTGATCTGGTTTCGACCATTTCCAAACCAAACAGCTTCTGAAAATTCTAAAGTTATCCCAATAAAAAATTAATAAATATTACTGTGGCACACAAAAAATATTTGTTAGAAAATGCTAGTTTCAGGAAAAATCCATAAAAATCTGAGAAAGCTGCGCATGAAATAATTGAGCAAAAAAACTCACTTTTCGAACAGATCCTCGCATCCAAAATCGAGTTACAAGAATTTCGAGGCCTTCGAATTCATGAATCAACCATTCAAAAATTTCTTGACATCAATTCACACATCGAAGTCATAAGCAATTCGATATTTTCATAAGCAATTCAATAGCAAGATCCAATCGAAAATTGTCAAATTTCGCAAAAAGCCAAGTTGGAACGTTTTGATCTTGAATGTGGGGTAGTCGTCTTCAGTTTGACTCAATTTTCAAATTCAATATCCGAAAAATCGAAACTTCTTTTGGATCTTCGTATCGATCAAAACTCTCACTTCGTGATTTTCTTCAACAGTCAAAACTTGTCCATTCAAATTCACATTCAATTCTTCTGGTTTGAAATGGCGAACATCCAAATCAACAGCAAATTGGTTCTCGTTGTTTTCAATGTCTCCGAATTCGTTGGCAAAGTTGAAGTTGGTTGTGTTGGCCAAAGCACGACGTTGGAAACCATTGAAGTAGTCGTTGAGAATTGCGTTGAAGCGATTAGTGTATGGGCAGACACACATTTTGAAATTGGTGTGGTTGGAAGCATAGTTTGTCTATTTTTCGAAGGGTGGCTTCCAAACACCCAACGCGTCGTTAACGGAGGTACGCCCGTAGTGCCATCAAATCATCGCAAATTCTGTAATAATGAAGCCTTATTTCAAAAGTCATCTATTTTTGTGTTAACACGTGTAAACACGTGTTTTTTTTCAAAAAAATTAAATTTCAAAAAAATGTGTGCATTTGCGCGTCAGCGTGTTGGCACATTTTTTTTCATTTTTAAAAAAAATTGTTTTTAATTTCAAACTCACTTGAAAGTTCACGACAAGGATGATTTGATGGCGCTAAGAAGGTGAATAGCAAGTCGAAGGGATCATATCGATTCAAAGCAATTGTTGCCAATAATTGGTGAATCGATAAGGCAAGTGAGGCATGGGAGGGAGTACAATAACCAAAATAACCGGGGAAAAATTGAAGAAAAAAAATAATTTGACAGGATTCTGAAAAAATAACAGTATTTATTTGCAGATTTGATGAAAAACCCACCGAATCATTGAGCGAACCGCTCCACATCCTTACTCAACGCCTTCGTTTTCGAAATCAATTTCGCCAATTTTTCTGGAGTTGGATTGGCGCCATATGTCAGCAAACTTCGAACCAATGTGCGATGTTTTGTGACAATTTCGAGCCCATTGTATCCAAAATCCTGGTTCTTCACAGCAATATCAATATGGGCCAATTCTTTATGCACATCACCCATCGTTTTCATCTCCTTATCTTTGTCGGATTTGGTCATTTTCGGTGGATTTGCTGTTGAAGAAGTGCCGGCTTGGCGTTTCAAATTCCATCTATTAGCTGGTACTGGAGCATTTGGTGGAGCAATTGCAACTGTATTCGTGTTTTGCTGCGCAGCCATTCGTGCAGCCAATCTCGCAGCCAATCTTGGCGGAGATGTTGCTGGAGCAATTTGAATTGCAGCTGGTGCAACAACAACATTTCGCCGAGCAGCCAAACGAGCCGACCGTGCTGGTCGGGCAACGGTCGGTGGAGCTCTGCGTGTGGCTGGTTTTGGTGCTGGCCTTCTTCGTTTTGGCGGAATTGGTGGTTGTGAAGCAAAATGTGCTGCACTTCGTCTTCTTGGCATACGATTTTGTGGTGTGGGTGGTCGATGAAGCACTGAAATGCTCGAAACAACACTCAAATCATCGTCATCATCATCATCATCACTATTGAACGCATTAAGAGCGTCTTGCATCATTAACTTATCATACGCTTGTTTCGGGATGCGTGTTCCTTTATATGGCACCAAAGTCGCCTCGAAATCCCTCTCCAATTGTCTACGAATCATCTGCTCTAATCTGGCAGCTGACACATTTGGCGCCATTATAGCAACACTTCCATCCGTATCCACATCCACCACATTTTTCTTCAAAGTTCCAATCGCGGTGATCGATCTTCCTTCAATAATAATCCTGGCATCTTCCTCGAATAAATTTTTGGATATTTTCAATGTGTGAGTCCCATCAAAATTCGACTCGATATAAATATCCGGATTCAAATTTCTTGGAACGTGATGGTGTGAAGAAGCTGGTGAAGAAGGAGCTTCAGACGAAGTCGAACCACGAGATGATAGCTGTTGACGTGGTGACGAACCAGGCAAATATGGATTATTAATTGGTGGCGAATTTCGCGATGAATTTTTTGATGAAGACGAGCCTCGCGAAGATGGTTGTTGTCTTGGTGATGGTCCAGGCGAATATGGGTTATTTATTGGTGGCGAATCTCGCGAAGATTGATTTTGTGATGGAGTGGAACAGATTGGTGGCGTTTGTGGTGAATTCCGAGTTGATTGACGAGACGATACACCAGAGATGTGAGATTTTGGTGAATCTGCTACTCGAAGTCGCCGAATTTGTCCGCCTGGCAATGGAGATGATTGACGCGATGATTCAGCAGAAGTTAGAGATTGTGGCGAATCTGGAACTGGACGTCGCCGCATTGGTCGACGTGGCGGCGTGGATTGTCCTGCTGATGAATCTGTGCTATATTGATCCGAATTATCGCGTTCTTCACCATTCATCACAGCTGGGTCACACGGAATCATTTTGTATAATCTCTTCAAAAATGCAAGAGAATCTTCTCGAGTTGGATTATTTGTTGCTGGTATCTGAAATGAAGAATTGAATAATTTCGAATACGGTAAGACATTTTTTGTTTTCGAAAATCTTAAAAATCATATTTTTACTCAAAATTTCTAATTGTTTCGAATAAATTCCAAAATTATACTTATTTTTTCGAAGTTTTAATCCAAAAAACTAACATTTTCAGATGTTCCTGGTCTTGAAGCATCTTCATGATTTTCACGATCTTCCATCTGCTCATTTTGTTCGATTTCAAAAACTTCTTCATTTGCCTCAACATTTTCATCAGAAATTTCCAAATGTTCCCCAATATCAACAGTTTCTTCCATCATTTCGTTGTCATTTTGTGTATTTTCGGTAGCTTCTTCATTGGTTGGAACAATATCAACAATTGACGATGTTTTTGGTGAAGAATTCGGAGATTTTTTCGAATCTTGAACTGATTGATGAGTGGTCGATTCCTGGAACAAAATTGGATTATTTTAGATATGGTAAGATATTTTTTTTGCTTTTAGAAATCCTAAATTTTGAGGAAAAAAGTGACGAGAAATTTCAGAAATTTATGTTGAATATTTTTTCGCAATTTTCGAACAAAAAACTAACTTGATCCAAATTTTCAGATCTTCCACCTGATTCTGATTCCATCAAAATATTTCCATTATTCGGAACAACTTCGGAATCTTCAATTGGAATTACATGTGGTGTCATATTCTCATTATCTCCAGAAGAAACTTGTTCTCCTCCAATCAAATCCATTTCATCATTATCAATCCCATTTGGCTGTGTTGAAGCTTGGTCAATTCTTCTAGTGCTTCTGGATTGGTTTGACGATGAGAATAGAAGATCGAGTAAATCTTCAGATGAAGATTCATTTTGGGCTGTCGAGGAAATCATCGGATCATTGAAATCCATGTCAATGCTTGTTTCCGAATATCTGCTCACATTTTGCGAACTTTGTGTGATTTGAGCTGATGTTTCAGGAGATTGTGGATTTGGTTGATGTGTGGTCATATCCTGAAAATTTTTGATATGGTAAGACATGTTTTTTTTTTGATTTTTGAAGTTCTAAATTTTCAAGGAAATATTGGCGAAAATTTTTTTGTTTCTAGAAATCTTAAAAACTATTGTTTTTGAAAAAATCAGCTCATTTTTCAAGCATTTATTTTTAAAATCTAAATTCTATGATTTTCTTTCCAAATTTTAGAAAAACATAAATTTCCAAAATTTCTAGCTAATAATTGTTCGGATAAATTCAACAATTATTTCTCGATCAATTTTTGAACCAAAAAAAAACTAACATCAGATATTTCAGCCACCCACGATTCAGTCACAACATCAATCATTCGTTCGTCTTCCAGTTGGTCCGGATTCAAAACATCTTCAGATTCTTCCTGTGCTGTTATTTCTGGCTCATCTATCAATACATGTTCTTGAGAAGTTCTTTCATCTCCAGGTAATATCATATTTCCAGCAGCTTCATTTCCAGATGAATTCAATTTATCATCACTTTCAGAATCTTCCGAATAATCTGGGCTTCCAGACTCCGATGAATCCCTTCCCGCGGCTCTTCTGAACTCCGAAATAATCGATTGTTCTTCTATGTGCTCTCCTGAACTTGGCGGTTCCGATTCTTCACGAAATGGCGTGTTTTGGTATGATTCGAGTTGAGTTGGGTATCGCTGAAAATAGTTAGTTTTTTTTGGGGGGTTTAAAAACCTCCGATTCATTTAATACCGAATCAACATTTTGTTCGACGTCCGACGAGTTGATTGTTTGAAGCATTTCGACGAGTTCTTCACCGGTCATTTTCGGGATATTCGCCAATTTTTCGCGCAAATCAGGAATGCTATTCAAATAAGTTTGAATTTCTTCTGGCGAAAACAATGGCATTTCCATCATAATCGGAGGCGATTGGGAATTTTTTTCGTTGACCGATTCTTCTGAACCAGAGTTGGTCGAAGACTCTGGTTCAGTCTCCTCAATGATCGTGGACAAAAGTGTGTCCATTAAATCCACCACTTCTTCAACAACTCCAACTTGATTCTCCACCGCGTTTGGCTGAACTTCGGCCGTGTTTTCTGCCCCAGCGTTATCTGGGGCTCCATTTTGATTCATTTTTAAATTCTGCAAAAATATGAAATTATAGTTTTTGATTTCTATTTTTAGAAAAACTTGCCATCATTTTTGCGCAATAGCGACTTTATAATAAACACCAAGCGAGATAAACTGTAAAAAATGAGCTTTGATAATTAATTTTCCAAAAGATTCCGAAAAAAAAAATTCAGATATTTTCAGAAGTTTTATGAAGAAAATTGAAAATCATCCAGAAATTTAAGTTTTCCCTGAAAAAAATCTGAAATTTCTTTTTTCAAGCCAAAAAATATAAATTTCAGAAAAAACATCAACAAAAATTTCACAGAAAAAAGTTTTTTGTTGAGATTTCGGATATTTTTCAGAAGACATTGCTCAGGTTAGAAAAGATAATAAAATTCTAATCTGAGCAATGTTTTTTCAGACATTGCTCAGGTTTGATTAGAACAAAATCATGAATATTCTAATCTGAGCAATGTTTTGAGCAAAAAAGACCAATCAATTTCAGAACTAAAAATTATCAGAAAAATCCTACAAATTTCATAATCAAAAATTATTTTCAGATATTTGAAAAATCAAGAATTAAGAGAAAACATCTTTAAATTAATATTCCAGCAAAAATTATCTGAAATTCCCTTTTCCAAGCTCAAAAAATTCCAAAAATTGCATTCGAATCCAAAAAATACTCAAAAAACCATGTCCCAAGAAAAAAAGCAAAGACGCCATCACAAATTCACCCATTCCCTGCGCACTCTCTTATTTTCCCATACTCTCTCGCTCATTTTTTCTGATTTGACCTGATCATTTTTGGATATAATATAGCCTGTAGTGTTTGTTTGTTTGGACTTTGATCAAAAACAATATTTTTGTTTTTTTTCTTTTGGAAGAAATGATTTTGTACAAAAGTCTGGAAATTAAATGAGAGTACTGTAGATTGTTTACAGTAGGGTTTTTGAAGTTTATTTTTATCTGAACATTCCCCAGAAGCTTCATAAAATTATTTTTGTCATCATTTTTGACTGAAAAATTCAACAAGCTTATTTTGATCTACCATTTTTTCACGAATTTTTTGCTATTGATTTTTTTCGTTCCGAATTAGCCCCATTCTAATTTTTTATTCACTGCATTCTCTCAAAAATCTTGATTTTTTCAGGTCGCGACTGCTTTATTCGAAAAATTAATGTATGTAATGGTTTGCCGAATAAATATACCGTGAAAATGTTCACTTCTGGAAAAGAGAAACCTGGACAAGATTTTGTTGAGCTCCTTGATATCATTGATGAATATTGATTGTCGTTGGAATGCAGAATGGAATCATGGTAAGCTTTTTATTGATTTACCCAGAAATAAAAATTATCATGAGAACTTCTGAAATATCCAGTTTGAAACTGATAAAACAATTGTTTTTCTCGATTTTCTTTTTGAAAATCTAGAAAAATGATTAATTTTATCAGTTCCAAATTGGAATTTCAGCGGAAATGCGGAAGCTATGCCCAATTTTTTAAATTTTTATTCAAAAACGTTTTTTTTCTGGAATTGATCTTCAGAATCGTTTTGATTGCCTGAAAATTTAAAAAAAAAATTGGACCTACAGCATCGCTAGGATTTTTCTTTTTTTTTAATTTCCCAGCACAAAAATCTGAATGGCAACCATTTAGAGTTACAGTAACCTGATATCGGCGCTTTTTGCGTTCTAAATATTAAAATTACAGTAATCCAATTCAAAAATACAGATCTTATGAAATTTTTCCAACAAAAAAAGAAAAAATTGTGTTTCGAGATTCTTCGCCAAAATTTGACACGTGTTTGTTTTTTTCTAATTTTTTATTTCCCAGGAGATTCCACGACTTCTTCAACAACATCCAAAGGCTAAAAATCATGAAATCTTGCCACTTCAATAAATCAATCAATTCTGCTCAATCGATATTTTGTTGAACTCCTCGATATCATTGATGAAATTTTTGGAATGCAGAATTGGAATCATGGTAAGCTTTTTAAAAAAAAATCATGAGAACTTCTGAAATATCCAGTTTGAAACTGATAAAACGATTATTTTTCTCGATTTTCCTTTTGAAAATCTAGAAAAATGATTGATTTTATCAGTTCCAAATTGGAATTTCAGCGGAGATGCGGAAGCTATGCCCAAATTTTGAATTTTTAATGAATTTTATTTCAAAAAAAAGCCGATTTTTAGTTCATTTTCCGATTACTGGCCCCCCCCGTTTCCCCACCAAGTCCCTCAATTTTCCCCCATTTTTCCAGGTTTCTCGTCTTCCTGACAAATTCTAGTTGTGTCGATTTTGGAGTGCCCGGGATGTTAATCAATTCAATGGCGAATTCGGAACAAGGAGTTAAATTGCGGTGAGTTTTTTGACAATTTGAATTTTTGAGCGTAAATATGACCATACCTTTTTCAAAATTTGGTCTCAGCCCGAAATTTCAAAAATCCTAAAGTTTCATTCAAAATGTTGGAACTTTTCTGAAAATATTCTGGAAAATCTAACATTTTTGAAGTAAAAAATAATAAAAAAAATCTACTCAAATTCTCGAATTTTGAATGAAAAGTGTGTTTTCACACAAATTTCGAGTTCAATCCGGAAAATTTGACTGAAAATACAGCTTTTAATGAATTTCGATTCATTATTGCATAAAATGTGTTTATATTTTCATCGAATCTGGAATTTTGTACAATTTTTTTCTTTCTTATTGATTGTCGATAATTGCTGAATAAAATATTAATTGTTGGCTTTTTTTTCGAATTTTTTGTGAAATTAACGGTGTTTTGTCCGTTTTACATCTTTTTTTATTGATTTTTCATGAACATTTAATATTCAAACAGCTTAATATCCAATTTTCTACCTATAATTTTGAGTCCAAACAAGAAAAAATTCGTCAAGAATATTGCAAAATACAGTTTTGGTCCAAACTTTTATTCCAAAAATTAACTTAAATTTCACACAAAAATATTTACAAACACAATTTCAAAAACCCTCGGTTTTATGAGATCTTTCTAATGAAGACAAAAGTAGAGAATGTTAAGAGATACATGATAAAAATCGACGAGATACCAAGGAAATAAACATTTTCATGCATGCAAATCTGAAATTGCTGATTGCCATCACTTTTCAAAGCTTGCGATCTTCTTATCCGATAATTTGCTGTAATTGGAATCAATGTTGAATTCCTCAATTCCCTTCGATTTCTCAATTTTTCTGAACAACTTCTCTCAACTGGACACAAATCCGAAGATATTGAATTCGATAGATGATTGAATCTTTTCACACATATCTTTACATAACATCGAATGAAGACTTGTGTTTCATCAGGGAATTTGAAAGCTTCCGAATTCGCCAAAATCCTTGTGTAATCGGGGGAAACCATTGAATCAGATATCAATTCTTCATCCAAAGAACATCCATTTTCCAATATTCTCATCCCTCTTCCATCCGATGTTTCAGCCGAACATCTTTCAAGTGATAACCCAAGTATTCCCTGCTTCTTTTCCACGAATTCCCACTTGAAAATCAAAGGTTCACCGATCTCAAATTCTTTCCGATTTCCTTGCTGTGATTCTATAGACATTGAAATTTTCGGAACATATTTCAGTTCTCCATATAATTTTGTGGTTTCTCTGCAATTTTTTTTAAAATTCATTATTAATTTACTCACTCACAGATTATTTTCAATCAGATTTTCATCTTCAAATTCACAATTCACTGAAAAAGCGCGGTCCGAAGAAGTCACCAAATCCGGGTGAAATGCCACAATAATATTTCCAGTTCCTAGATATTTAGATGAAGCAGGCTGAAAATAATTAAAATTTATTTTTTTCAACTCTGAAAATAGACAACTTACGATTCTGGAAAATTGAAATCCACAAGATGTAAGTTGAGATTTATCAATTTGAAATTGTAGATTTCTAGATCTAGATTCTCCATTTTCATATTTCTTCCAACAATTTTGCGTGTTTCTAGAACCTCTCACATAAATTTGACCCTCGAATATTTTCTCAACTTCCGCTTCCAAAAATACACCAGTTTTCAAGCAAGACACCAATGGTTTTCCTGGGAAAAAATAATTTTTTTCAGCAATTTTTTTTGAATTGCACCTTACCAATAATTCTGTTTTCAACGTGAGGTTCAACAAATCCAAATCCATATAAAATCTAAAAAAAAAAAGAGAAGTTCCATAAATATTTTTTAGGTCAAAAAACTCACCAAACCAATTATTAAGAGACTCAATTTCATAGTTCAGAAAGAAAAAGAAAAGAAATAAAAGTGAATGAGTAAAAAAAAAGAATATGATGTCCTTGAACTTATTCAGCTATTCGGGTTATGCAACATACTAAAAAACGAAAGAAGGCGTGGTCAATGGACAATAAGGCGGTAACCTGTAATTAAATAATTTATGATTAGTTAGTGAGAGGACATATTTATTTGAAAAAATGGGGAAGGCTCTTTTGTTCTGCAAGATTATTTTGGATCTGAAGATTCTTCAAAAATTTGAATTTTTCAACTTCGCTCCTCGAAAAAGTGGTGGGAAATTCTCATTTTTGAATTTCGCGCCTCTCGAAAAAGCGTCAAGAAAAAAATTCCAATGTTTAGAACCAGAATTTTGAAATTTTCCCAATAAATGAGTAGAAAAAGTGATCGAGACAACAAAAATTGATATTTTCTCGAATAATTTGGAATTTTGTGGCTCAAAATTTTCAGAAATCTCGAGCTTTTCATTTTTATATCATTTTTATTGGGAAAAAAAATGAATTAATATTTTATTGAAGAACAACCCAATAAATGAGTAGAAAAAGTGATCGAGACAACAAACATTGATATTTTCTCGAATAATTTGGAATTTTGTGGCTCAAAATTTTCAGAAATCTCGAGCTTTTCATTTTTATATCATTTTTATTGGGAAAAAAAATGAATTAATATTTTATTGAAGAACAACCCAATAAATGAGTAGAAAAAGTGATCGAGACAACAAACATTGATATTTTCTCGAATAATTTGGAATTTTGTGGCTCAAAATTTTCAGAAATCTCGAGCTTTTCATTTTTATATCATTTTTATTGGGAAAAAAATGAATTAATATTTTAATGAAGAACAACCAAATAAATGAGTAGAAAAAGTGATCGAGACAACAAAAATTGATATTTTCTCGAATAATTTGGAATTTTGTGGCTCAAAATTTTCAGAAATCTCGAGCTTTTCATTTTTATATCATTTTTATTGGGAAAAAAATGAATTAATATTTTATTGAAGAACAACCCAATAAATGAGTAGAAAAAGTGATCGAGACAACAAACATTGATATTTTCTCGAATAATTTGGAATTTTGTGGCTCAAAATTTTCAGAAATCTCGAGCTTTTCATTTTTATATCATTTTTATCGGGAAAAAAATGAATTAATATTTTATTGAAGAACAACCCAATAAATGAGTAGAAAAAGTGATCGAGAAATTTCATTTTTTCGTGTTCTTCCAAATTAAAAAAAAATTCCCTATATTTTTTCCAAATCACAACCCCTCCCAATTTCACATTCAATATTTTCCAATATTTACATACAGTAGTCAATCCACGTCATGAAATTTTTTGCTTATCAAAAAAAGGCAAATAAATTCTATTAAACCCCTATTAAATCAAATTTTCACCTGATAATAATTTATTATCAGTATAGTTTTTGCTACTGACAAAATGAAACCTCAAATAATTTTTCTAGGATTACTGTAAGTTTTGGGAACAATGAAAGAGGGCTCCAAAATTAATGTTATTTTTCCAGAGATCAGAAATTGAAATTTTTAAAAATTTCTAGATTATCGATTTTTCAGATTGGTTTTGGGTGTTTTTGGAGAAAATCCTTCTTCAACAGTCGAAACAACTATAGCGATTTCAACATCCGCTGTAGATTCCACACAAGCCTCAACAACCGTGGCATCTGGTAGTTCAACTGAATTATTCACTGGAAGCACCAACACACCTGGCTCAACAATTTCAAGCGGAACTGATGGAACAACAGCATCATCTGCCCCTCAAGATAGCACCACATCTGGAATTCCAGCTTCAACAACTCCAGCCGGAAGTACAACTCCTCCAACCCTGCCGAATGTTACAGTGAACTATGTTCAATTCGCTTTCTCATCATGCGATGATACACAATGTACCTATCATTTTGATGCTCCCAAAAATGATCAAACATTTTTGGCGACTGAAGAAGCGATTATTGCAGCTGATCAGACAGAGTTTTCGAGTATCAAGACAATTGCGAATACAAATGAAGCTGCGGTTCAAAAGGCGAATAATGAAGCTGCTTTGAGAGTTCAATCATTGCTTGATCAATTGAATGCGATCCAAACGTAAGCTCTATTTATTGTCGAAGTTAAAGCTACTTCGTCAGTCGCGTGCGGCTGTGCGTCGCGGTCGATATCCCTTTTTCGTCTCGCGTCTCTTCTGCCAATTTTTTCTCTCTCTAACGTGAAATTTTGGATTTTTTTTCCAAATCATTTGATGCTCATGTACGGTGCCAAAATCGCACGATGTTTTTGGCGCGAACTTCAAAATATGAAAACTTTTCAGCCAACTCGACACAATCAACACAAACATCCAACAAATCGTCAATAAACAACAAGATGCTCGTAATCGTCTTCAATACGTCGAGAATTTCATCAATCAAATCAACAATTCACCAAACACCTGTTACTATCAAAGATGTTTGAGACGTAGGTTGCCCAGGATTTTTTTGGAGTTTTTAAATTCAAATAATTTTTTCAGCAACACCACCTCCACCACCAAGTAAGAAGCTTCGAACTGATTGTGAATACTCCAGAAATCGGAAAAAAATGAAAATTTTCAGCGACCACAACAACTCCAGCACCAACAACACCACCATCTCCATGTGTGAACTTTACTTGTCCAACTGATACTGACACTTCTAAAAACTGTCAACTTGACGCTTTCAATAAACCATATTGCACTGATTGTATCGGAAATTATGATGGATATACACACTGCCTACAAAGTAAGTATTTTTTTTCAAGAATCAGATAAAAATGAGAGGTTTTCAGTCGCTTGCTCATCTTCTGGAACAAACTTCACGTTTAATAGCACAGCTGGTGCTGATACTACATTATATTCATATGGATATAACAGTTCGAATCCAACTGGCTCGGTTATTCCAAGAGGTAGTAATTGTCAATGGAATTTGTTTGGGAATGCATTCACGGTATATCTATCTTCAATGATTTACTATAACATTCTATTTTAAGGTTGACAATGGCTTTAAGTTGGATTGTATTGTAAATGGGGCAAGTATCAATGTCATTACAAAAGACTTCACTGCATCGTTAGTTTTTTTTAAATTAAAATATGATTTTTTTTTAAATTTAACTATTTTACAGCTTAACCAATGGAATGCCACTTTGGAAGATTAATGCCATCTTCAATGACGCAGTTAATCCACGTATCATTTTGACAACTGGAACAAACGCGATTTCAACATTCTGTTCGCTTCCAATCAAACAAGGATCATCTTCTTCTGCTTCCTTCTCAAGAAAAATTCAAATTTCCCAAAAATCTCAAGGGTATTTCGGATGGCTTTTGGGATATTAATTGAAAGTATTTCCATACGTTGAAATAAATTGTTTATCGCGCACAAAATGAGAACATGAATTCGGGGTTTGAAAATTCAAAGAAAAAAGGGGTGAGGATCGGCAATTGTTGAAAAGTGAAAATGAAAAAAAAAATACCGGGGGAATTCGAATTAACCGGAGCACATAATACATCCCTCGTCTGGTGATTCTGGAGCAGTTTTGACCTGGAAAATATTCATGATTTTCAAAATATAATTAAAGCAACACCCTCGTGTAATAGGCACTTTCTTGAAAAAAGCCCAAATGTTCTCAAATCTTAGATTTAGCTTAGTTTTACTGTTTTCTAGTTCGGAGAAAAAATTCAATACGTTTCAATAAGTATTAGCCGAAATATGGAAGTCCATTGAAAAACTGAAAAAACTCAAATTCAAACAACGCGGGCTAGCGTCAACGCGGAGTCTCGTTGTTTTCTTTTTATTTTTTTGCAAAATTTTTCCGTTTTTTTCGGAAAATGACAATTTGCATGGAAAAAACTGTTTTCTGGGTATGAAAAAAATAAAGTGAAGAAGTATAAACACGAAGATTCAATATTTCAGACGAAAACTAAATTTTTCAATGGAAATTGTGTTTTTTTTAGTTTTTGACCAGAATATGCAATACGAAACTGAAATATCGTTGTCAAAAATGAAAGTAGTGATAGTTAAGGATGTTCAGAAATCATTGTTATAAATTATTTCAATGTTTTCAGTGAAACAATTCACTTTTTGTGGAAAAAAGTTGAAAGGGGTACTGTAGCACACAATTGTCGTCACAGTGTTTGCACAATTTCATGAAATTGCGGATCTGCACAATCTGCAGGCGATTTTCAAAAAAAAATAATTTTTTTTCTCAAAAGCGGTCAAATTTGATCGCTTTTGAGTATTTCTTTTTCATATTGCTTGTGAACATAGCTGAATAGGTTAATTTTATATATTTTCGTGTTCGAAAGCATTTCGCAATGGCCTTATTATACGAGGGTGTTGCTTTAAAGATTACAAAAAAAGAGCAAACCTCAAGTTGCTTGTTGGCATTCGATGCTTTCAATGCAGTTTTGTCAACAGTAAATTGAACAGCATTCACAGCTGGTTTTGTTCTCAAATAATACATTCCAGTCTTCAATCCCTTCTTCCAACCATAGAAATGCATTGATGTGATCGCGGCATAACTTGGTTTAGCCATATGAATATTCAAACTTTGTGATTGATCAATGAAAGCTCCGCGATCTGCAGCCATCTCAATAATCTCTTTTTGCGATATTTCCCAAACTGTTTTGTACAACTCTTTGATTTCAGTTGGAATTTGTTCAATATTTTGAATCGATCCATTGCTGGCAATCAATCGATTTTTCATATCATCATCCCATAATCCAAGTTCAACCAAATCCTTCAACAAATGTGGATTGACAATTTGGAAATCGCCAGACAAAACACGTCGAGAATAGATATTGGAAGTGTATGGTTCAATTGACTCATTGTTTCCGAGGATTTGAGCTGTGGAAGCAGTTGGCATTGGAGCCATGAGAAGAGAATTCCGGATTCCATGTCTAGAAAAAAAACCAATTGAATAGAATCATAATAAATATGAAAACAACTTACTGTGCAATCTTTTGTCTCAAAACATTCCAATCACATTGATCAGTTGGTGTAACTCCCCACATATCAAACTGCAAAACTCCCTTCGAAACTGGACTTCCGTCATATGTGGAATAGGTTCCATAAAGTTTCGCTTGCTCACAACTTTCATCCAATGCAGCATAATAAATTGTTTCGAAAATCCGTTTGTTCAAATCTCTGGCAGCTTGAGAAGTGAATGGATATCTCATAAGCATGAAACAATCTGCCAATCCTTGTACACCTAATCCAATTGGACGATGACGCATATTTGAATTTTTGGCTTCAGGAACTGGATAATAATTGATGTCAATGATCTTGTTCAAGTTTCTTGTGAGAGCGCGAGCAACTTCAGCGAGTTTGACGAAATCGAAAGTCTTTTCAGGGGTTACAAATCGATTCAACGCAATTGATGCCAAATTACAAACCGCAACTTCATCTGGACTCGAAACTTCCATAATTTCAGTGCACAAATTCGAGCATTTAATTGTTCCAATATTTTGTTGATTAGTTTTTCGATTAGCCGCATCTTTATATGTGATATAAGGCATTCCAGTCTCAATTTGATTCGATACAACATGCTCCCACAATTTTCTCGCTTTCACAGTTTTTCTCACTTTTCCCTCTTTCTCATATTTGGTGTAAAGAGCTTCGAACTCTTCACCCCAAACTTCATCGAGTCCTTGACATTCGCAAGGGCACATTAGCGACCAATCTTCGTCTCTTTCGACGCGTTTCATGAACAAATCTGGGACCCAAAGAGCCAGGAAAAGATCGCGAGCTCTCTCTTCTTCTGGGCCAGTGTTTTTGCGGAGAGCGACGAATTCGAAAATATCGGCATGCCATGGTTCGAGATAAATAGCAAAGGCACCTGGACGTTTGTTTCCACCTTGATCGACATATCTGGCTGTGTTGTTGTAAACGCGAAGCATTGGAACAAGACCATTTGATGTTCCGTTGGTCTGAAAACATTTACTTTGAATTGAAATAAAATGAAAATGATGATAAAACTTACTCCGGCAATAACAGAACCAGTCGCACGAATCTTGTGTACATTCAAACCGATTCCACCAGCATTTTTCGAGATCAATGCACATTGTTTCAGAGTATCGTAGATTCCCAAGATCGAATCATCGCTCATTGTTAGCAAAAAGCAAGATGACATTTGTGGCCGACGAGTTCCCGAGTTGAACAATGTTGGCGAAGCATGTGTCATATATCTCTCCGACATGAGATTGTAGGTTTCGATGGCTGCATCAACATCGTCTCCGTGAATTCCAACAGAAACTCTCATCAACATTTGTTGTGGGCGTTCGACGATTTGATCATCGATTTTCAAAAGATACGATCTTTCCAGAGTTTTGAAACCAAAGAAGGTGTATGAGTAATCGCGATCGTAAACGATGGCTGAGTTAAGTTTATCTGCATTTTTCATAATTGTATTGTAAGTTTCTTGACTAATCATTGGAGAATGTTGTCCGGTCAAAGGATGATGGAATTCGTACAAAGTTTTCATCACTTCAGAGAAAACTTTGTTTGTTTTCTTGTGCAAGTTAGAAACAGCAATTCTTGCAGCAAGAAGAGCATATTCTGGATGTTGAGTTGTCATTGAAGCGGCGGTTTCAGCGGCAAGATTATCCAATTCAACAGTTGTTACACCTTTGTACAATCCACTGATGACTTTGATGGCAACAGCAACCTGAACATGATAATTGTTTTTGGTAAAAGTTAGATGAAAACTTACGGGATCAACAAAATCCATATTGAGACCATAACTCAATTTTTGGATTCTTGAGGTGATTTTATCGAAGTGCACATCTTCCTTTCTTCCGTCACGCTTTACAACATAAGTACTGGTGTAGCGCTTCATTCTGAAACTCGAAAATATAGGAAAACGATCAAGGAGCCGAAAAGAAATGGAGAATGAATGAAAAACGGGCGGGGACAGAAACACATGTTCAAAGCGAAATTTTTGGCGCGCTCGCGCCGAAAATAATGGAAGTGCGCTCCATTGCGAATAATTTTGAAAAACTCTTTCACGACTTCAGAATGGGATTCCAGAATTTTTCCGCGATGAGCGATAACAAATCTGGATGGGGAACTTTTGAGTTTCACTTGGGAGAATGACATTTTTCGAAAAACAAACAGCTGAGAGCTCAAAAGAGCTAAAACCGTGAAGAGCTCTCGTGGACTAGTTTTTGGTGAAAAACTTAGGCCAATCTTTTTTATTTTAATTCGACCATTTCAAGGTTGAAGTGGAGACCATTCTAAAACGTAGCCTGCTGGCCAAAAAAAATATATTCGAACCACAAAAATTTTGCGCCCATTTATATACACCAAATCGAGGGCGGGGCCTTGATGACGTAGCAAATGGTCACCAACAGGGTGTTTTGTGTTAATGAGCGTTTGGCGCAAATACATCTGTTGTGACGTCAGAGAAAAGAATAACGATTCATTATTGTTTAGTGTGTCAATGAGAATTCAAATTTTATGCATTTTTCGATCGCATTAAACCACCAGTTATCAAAACTTCCACACTTTCGCTATCATCTTCCGGACCATTTTTATTGACAACATTGTAAACGGCCTAAAATTGAGGAGGTTTTGTTAGTTTTTGAAAAATTCTCACATTTAAATCCACAGCTTCACTAGCAGCATCGCAAATTTTCTTGACAGTTTCATCACTTTTATTCAAAATTACTGATGCACCATTCCATCCAACGTGAGCCAAATGTTTGAAATCTTGCGGTAGGCCGATATTTTCAGCAGTTGCTTTTGTCTTTTTTGAAGTTCTCATCGGAACAAGAACCTGTGGCTGGGAAGAATTGTTGGAAGGTGGTGGTGGTGGCTGAATAAAAGGTGGCGGTGGTGGAGGAGCTAGAAAAATTCACTTTTTGCTAAGGAAGTGATGGTTAAAATAGGGTTTCTAGTAGTTTTCGACCCGCTGAATACGACCCGGTCGTCAAAAATCGCAGAACTCAACTTCCTGATGAGTTATGACGTGGCGAAATTCTAAAATTTTTAAGAATCGGGACTTTCTCGCATCGATTTGCATAAAAATCAAGCTAGTTTCCCGATTTTCAAAATTTTCGAATTTTGCCACGTCATAACTCATCAGGAAGTTGAATTCTGCAGAATCGTGATCAGCAGGTCGAAAACTACTAGAAAACATAGATATTCCATCTCACGTTTTGTCATCGGTGGTTTTTGTTTCACTGGTGTTTTCACCGGAGTGTTACAATTACACTTCAATTTCGATTCAACAATATTTCGAAGTGGTCCAATGTTGAAAATCCTAGAAATTCATTAAGCTAAAATTTCAGCTATCTAAAAAAAATGAAATCAAACTTACACAGCTTCTCTCAGAATCCGTTCCAAATGATAATTATCAACTGGAAGTGGGCATTGTTCATGATCCCGAAGGAAGTTCAAAATAACTGGGAAAACTGTCGAATCACGATCAATAAAAAGTCGGCCATCCTGTATAAAAACTAGAAATGAGCTGGTTTCTCAAATGTTTTCAAAATAAATAGAAAAATGAGGTCACGCTGACGTCTTAGTTCATAAATATTAATTTCCCATTTTGAAAAAAGTGTAGTTTTCTGCCTGCTGATCACGATTCCGCTTTCAAAAATTGTAGAAACAACTCATAACATGAGTTATGACGTGGCAAAGTTTGAAAAATCGGGACTTTACGAAACTCTGAGAATTAAATTTTGTGAAAATCTGAAAGCACAGCGTTCATCAGATTCTCATGAAAATCAATTCTGAATTTAGTCAAAGCTTCGTAAAGTCCCGATTTTTCAAAATTTGCCACGTCATAACTAATTTTAGAAGTTGATTTTTGCAATTTTTGAGAATGTCTAGAAAACATGAATTCTCTAAAAATTCTCCCAAATCCCCCTAAAAACCTACCCGATCCAAATCTTTCTCCCAATCCTGTCTCTCGAAAAAATGACTAAACCAAGTGCCTTCAATCGATTTCAAGGTTTTAATTCTGGTTTTAAAAAATACACCTTCCACGTCCAAAGTTATTATATTATTATTTTGGTTAAGAATCGACATTAGAAAAATACAACAAATAAAACTGGGCCTATAATACAACAATAAGTCTAATTGTTGACATTTTGCTCGTATTTGTTTGATTTTATGAGTAGAGGTGTGAATTTCTTAAGTATTAGTTTCTTGAGTGCTCGACAAAAAAAATTTATTATTTTCAACATTTTTATTCACAGATTGAGAAATAAATATTGAGATCAATTCTTTTTTCGTTTTTCTGCCAATTCTCCATGCTGAAAAAGAAAATTAAAGATTTCAATAAATAATTTGAGAACTTACAGTTCCAAATTCATAATAATGCGGTGCTAATTCATATAACCATTCCGGATCAATCACAGTCACATCACGAATCGAATCTTGCATAACTTCAGTGAATATCACCCTGTAAAAGATATCTTGGAAGTTGATTTTTGAAATCTCAAAGAGAACCTACCATTTCGGATAATCCTTTTTGAACATAATTGACGATCCTTTATAGACATTGAACGGGAATTCTTCCTTGACAGTCATATATTTTCCAGTGTAATGATATTTTGCAGCTTGTGAGAAGAATCCAGTCACCAAACATCGTCGAATGTTTTCAGAAGCGTCTGGAAAATATGAGCTTAAAATTGCCACGTGGCACTAAAAAAGGGTAGTACTGTATTTGTTATTTTGAGCGCGAAAATTAAATTTTTTTGTTGAAAAATCCGAATTTTCTCAGATTTTCAGCATGAATTTTCCGGTTTTTTAGTCATTTAGACCAAAAATCTCAAAAGATGGCTCAAAATCCGAGTCTAACATGAGCAATGCCCCTTTTGAATTAAAAAATAAGCTTTTAACATGAGCAATAATAACCCATTTTTCAAGTCTTCAAAAAATCTCCTCTTTGAAAATCCAGTTTGATTCTAACATGAGCAACTTGTTTTGGATGTTCGGATTCAAAATGAGGCGCTTAACATGAGCAATTCTAAATTTAGTCTCAAATAAACCTCCCCTTTCCAACTCACTTATCAATCCTCTACACGACATTTTGGCGATGCCAAATCGATTCAACAATCTCACCAATTGCGATCTAACATTATCCGCTCGCATCAATCCACGATAGTTCACAAAATGATCCGTACACCATTTTTTCGATTTTCCCGACTCAACAAATTTCGTATACACATTCAACATTGTCATATGATCGCCCTCTTCAACCGAAAACTTTCGTCGAGTTGCATCCTGAAAGATTTTTTGAAAACGAAATTCGAAAAATTCAAAATGAAAAGAAAACCAACCGCTTGATGTCGACTTCTGAACGGTGTCACAAAAACATCCTGAATTTGCATCATCGCAACAATCGTCACAATTTCTTCACTACATTCGAATTCGGCGGATTTCAAGAGGCATTTACTGTGCATTGGTGGCAATGGAAATTCGGCCATTTGAACTCCTAATGGGTTGGTCAACAGGGATCTGGAAATATTTTTTTGAGGGCGAGAGATTCAGGGGCTGGGCTAAGTTTGAAATTGAAACTTTTCAAAAATTTTTCAAAAAAGGTACAGTATTTTTGTGGTCTAAAAGCCTTCTGGACCATTTTCAAATAATAAATTTTAAATTTTTTAAAAATTTTGGGTTTGACCAAATTTTTAGATGTCATAATTTTGAGGATAAAATTTTTCTGGAATCCAGATTTTAAAAATAAAAATTAGGTCTAATTTTTTCAGAATTCGGATTAAATTTGAAATTTAAAAATTCCAATTCAAAGCAAAGAACTTTTCAAAAATTACACAGTCTTTAATAAAGACAATTTTTAATTTTTCAAAAAAGTGCAGTATTTTTAGGTCTAAAAAAATAAGCTAGATTCAAAAATCGACAATTCGTAGTAACTACGAAACCACGATCTATCATTTTTATCATATTTGAATAAGATTTCAAGTTAAAAATTTCAAGTTAAAACTTCTCATATTAAAAATATTTTCAAATTCTGATGAAAATTTGTCAATTTTTTGAATCCAGACCAGGTTTGGTTGAATAAGATTTTAAGTTTAAAAAACTCACTTTTCATCCAGAGCTTCAAGTGCGTATAATAATTCCAATCCATTAATCATTGACCAAGATGGAGGTGGCTGAAATTTTTTTTTTAATTTTCCCCATTTTTCTTCCCCTCTCTCACCGATAAATAATGAAATTTATGAACATTCTGAATGCCCAACGCTTTCAATTGCAAAATCGTCGGCGCCAAATGTGTTCGCTGAATCTCGGGAATAGTTCCCTCCGTCATTTTCTCAAATTCACTTTCCGGATACAATCGATAAGCTTTCCCTGGTCGAATTCTTCCCGCTCTTCCAGCTCTTTGTTCAGCCGATGCTTTCGATATTCGAATTCGCATTAATGATTCAATTCCATTTTTCGAATTAACAGCTCGAAGTTTCACAAATCCCGTGTCAATTACATAACATATTCCGGGAATTGTCACCGATGCTTCGGCAATATTTGTAGCGATTACAATTTTGCGAGTTCCGTGTGGAGTGGAATCGAAAGCTTTCATTTGTTCTTTGGCGGGAAGTGCGCCATAACACGGAACAACCCATAATTTATCGCAATTTCGCAGAGAACTTGAGGCATCTCGCAGCTTTTCGCAAACCTGAAAAAAAATTCCTGTTTTATATTGGGAAATTAAAAAAAAATTCCTCACCTCCTCAACTTCATCTTGTCCTGTTAAAAATACCAAAATATCCCCGTGCATTTCATGTTTGTGTATATTTATCACAGTATCCACAGCAGATTGGCAATAATTTGGAACAGAACTGAAAAATTCAAAAATTAATTTCACGTGACGTGTTGATAAAATCTCTTGAAGAGGTCAGTTTGGCCTATATTTAGCCGTCATTTTGGATATTCACTCATTGATCAAAACGATTTGTATTCAAGAAATTAATCGTTTTGAAAAATTGCTTCCTCGACAGAGACTTGATAACTAGAAATGACGTCGTCGACTGGTGAGAGTTCTAATCTGAGCAATGCAAAAAACAAATCGCTTGATTTTCAGTGGCTTCAGAGTCGGGCTCAAACGATTCGCTCAAATCAACAACGACAAAAACTTCGGAGGCATCGACGAAAAAAGAGCCAACGAAATCGGCGGAGAAGCGCGAAGAGGATGGATTTGCGAATCCGTTCGAATTTGTGCTAACTGCACTTGGTTTGGCTGTTGGGCTTGGAAATATTTGGCGTTTTCCAACAAGAGCTTTTAATAATGGTGGATGTGAGTTGGAAATTGGAGAGGGTTAGAATAAGCACGGCGTTTTGGATTTTGAGAAATTTGAATATTGAAGGAGAGGCTCTTTCGATCGAGGTCACGTCAAGTTTTCACGTTTTTTTTTACTGTTGAAAACTTTTTCAAAAGTAAGCCAGAGTGCAATTTCAGAAAAACAATTTCTAGGCACGCCTGCTTGACAATTAGACTCTCTAGGAGAGACTACTTGGGACCTTGAGTTTCTAGGCGCTGCTCCTTCACAATCGAATTTTCTAGGCGTGGTTACTTGACAACTAGGGCTTCTAGGCTTGGCCACTTGGCAAATCAGCTCTCAAGTCTTGGCTTCTAGCCGGAGTAGTTCTCTAGGCGCCGGTCCTAGACAATTATGTTCTATAGGCTCGGCTGCTTGAACTCTAAAGGCTTCCGTGTGTGAAAAATCATCTGGTAATCTCAGAAGTTCAGAATTCAGAACACCTTAGCCAAGATCTAGAACTATACAAAAGAAAATCATAATTTCAAAATTTTCAGCCGCATTTCTCATACCATATATAATATGTGCAATAACTTTCGGACTTCCCGCGATTTATCTCGAATTCCTCGTTGGCCAATATCAAAGAGCATCACCACCAATCGTCTTTCGTCGCATCAAACCAATTCTCGAAGGAATTGGATGGGGATGTGCTTTTGTCTCAACAAATGTCGCCATTTATTACATTGTTATTATTGCCTGGGTCGGAATTTATATTGTAAATCTATTCCGTGGTCATATCAATATTTGGAACAATTGTGATAACGCCTGGAACAATGTATCAACTTGTATTGATATGGTTGCTCAAAAACAGTGTCGCACATCAAATCCACCAGGATGGAATTTGACTGGCACCGAAACGCATCGCCCTGATGAATTTATATTTTTGAATGGATCTTGTGTTGATAAATCACTTCACACTGGTGTCAAATTCATCTCAGCACCCGAACAATATTTATATGTGAATATTATTCAAAGATCGAATGGTCTTTTGGATATCAATCATATTAATTGGCAAGTTTTTGGTTCAATCACTATTTGTTGGGTGCTTACCGCTCTGTTGATTTGGAAAGGAATGAAGATGCTTGGAAAAGTTTCATACGTAGGTTTTGAATAGGAATTCATGTTTTCTAGTGATTTCAAGCCGCTGATCACGAACTTCTAATATAAGTTATGACGTGGCAACGTTGGAGAATTACGAAAAATTGGGAATCTTCTGCTGATCTTCATCCCGTTGCCAAAAATTGAAAAACTCTCCTCCTAATATGAGCTATGACGTGATAAATTCAGAATTATCGGATGTTCAAGCTTTGCCACGTCATAACCCATAGTAGGAGTTGAGTTTTGCAAATTTTGACATCGGAATTGTGCTCAGCGGGTTAAAAACTACTAGAAACCATATATTTCATCACAAAATAAGTTATGACGTGGCAAAGTTTGAAGATTTCGGATAATCAATGTTCCAAGACCCGATTTTTCGGAATCTTCCAGCTTTGCCACGTCATAACCCATAGTAGGAGTTGAGTTTTGCAATTTTATAGCCAACAAATTTATTTCAGTTCCCTTTTTGCAGATTACTGTAGTTCTTCCATACATTCTCGTAGTTGTTCTTTTTGTTCGTGGTGTCACCTTGGAAGGCGCTTCAACCGGACTCTATTATTATTTCCTGAATCCAGATTATTCAAAAATCATGTCGCCAAGAACCTGGTCCGAAGCATTGAAACAATTGTGTTTCTCACTTTCATTAGGACACGGTGGTTTAATGAGTATGGCCTCCTACAATCATCCGAAAAGTAATTGCCTTCTCAACGCATTTATTGTGATTGCCGGTGATACAATGATGAGTGTTATTGGCGGTGCAGCTGTGTTTTCGACTCTTGGATTTTTGGCGAATCAAAGAAATGTGACAGTTCCCGAAGTTGTTGAGAGTGGCATCTCGTTGGCATTTGTTGTCTATCCTGAAGCATTATCTCAAATGCCACTTCCATGGTTGTGGGCTGGATTATTCTTCATTATGTTGTTCTTGTTGGGAATGAGCTCGGAATATGGTTAGTGTGGGAGCTTTTGAAGCGGGCCGGGTTTTGAGAAAAATTCTGAACTAGAAATTTCACCGCGTGAATTTTGGAACCAAAAAGATTCTGGTTTACTGTAGTTTTGAGCACCAGAAATTTGAATTTTTTTAAAAATCAGACTGATTTTAAGGATTTCCAAACAAATTCTTTAAAAATTATTCTTGGCAGAAATTTTACCACGTGGCTTTTTAGCGCTAAAAATTTGAAATTCAAAAAAAAATGGCCCTAAACACCAGGTTGCAGTAATTTCAAAAAAAATTGTTTTTAAATTTTTCTGGCAGAAATTGAGCCACGTGGCTTTTTAGCGCTAAAAATTTAAAATTAAAAAAAATAGGTCCTAAACACCAGGTTACAGTAATTTCAAAAACAAATTCTTTAAAAATTATTCTTGGCAGAAATTTCACCACGTGGCTTTTTAGCGCTAAAAATTTGAAATTCAAAAAAAAATGGCCCTAAACACCAGGTTACAGTAATTTCAAAAAAAAATTATTTTTAAATTTTTCTGGCAGAAATTGAGCCACGTGGCTTTTTAGCGCTAAAAATTTAATATTCAAAAAATGGCCCTAAAAATCAAACCACAGTAATTTCAAAAAAATTTCAGAATAAACTATTTTACCACGTGGTGTTTTGGCCCTGGAAAACTAAAATTCGAAAAAAATTGGCCCTAAAAATTAGGCCACAGTAATTTCAAAAAAAAATTGTTTTCAATTTTTTGGCAAATTTTACCACATGGATTTAAAAAAAAGGAACTTTTCTAGAATCGCTAAAAAGAAAATCGAATTTTTCTCAAAAAAATCAGACCTGGCTCGATTTCTCTGATCTTCTAAATCTCCCGATTTTTCCAGCATTGACCGAAGTATTCTGCACCTGCCTCTATGATCAATTCCCAAAACTTCGCACTAAAAAATTGCTGGTCGTCACCCTTTGGTGCACTCTTCTCTACGTAATTGGTCTCATATTTTCAAGCGATGCCGGTTTCTATTGGTTCGAATTATTTGATGAATTCGGCGCTGGTTTCGCATCAGTTCTTTCAGTCACAATTGAAATCATTGTTCTAATGTACATCTACGGACATCGTCATATGAAAACCGATATTGTTGAAATCTGGGGTGAGGCAAGAACCAAGTTTGGAAAGTATTTCGGAGCGAATTCACCATATTGGCGTTTTAATTGGATGTTTATGAGTCCAATAATTGGTGGTGTTTTGTGTGGTTTGTGTGTTTGGAGAGATTATCCATATAATGGAGATGGTGTTAAATATCCACCATTATTCGATTATATTGGCTGGTTTATTGCATTAATTCCCGGTTCAATGATTATCAATTTCGCCATTATAAATATGATGAGATTCCAAAAAGCTGGATATCCTCTTAAAACTGTTTTCATGCTTCAAAAACAGCATAAATCGTATCCACGTATTTCGGAAGGTTTTACCGAAAAGCAAAAAGAAGACGCGAAATTGTTGCCAGAATATGAGCCATGGGATGTTAATAATAATAACAAGAGAGCGAGTTTGTCGGATAAAAGTGTTGAAGAGGGAAAAAGTTTGAAGGATAATTCGAAGGCGTCGGTGAAAAGTGTTAAGCAAGAGTTGCAGGATATTCGGAAAGATATGAAGAGTATGAAAGAGCAAATTGATGATATGAAGGAGGAATTGACTATGGGACCAATGGCTACGAAATCGACATCGAAAAATTAAAGCAAAAAACATAGAAATGTGAATAAATATTGTGAAAATGTGAAAGTAGATTCGTTTTTCGGGGAGATTCCACGTGTCTCGATTTTCAGTGATTTGTTTTTGTGTAGTTCTCGAGGAGAAGTGACGTGGATTATTACTATCACGTACAATATCAGTATTTTTAAATTTGAGCACGTTAGAGGTCAAAAAACTACAGTAATAAAAGTTAGGGGACAATTTTGACCGCGATTTTGGCCGAGGTATATTTCCACGTCATAATTTCAAATCTCTTTAAAAAAAACCCACGTTTTTGTGTGATGCACAGCAACTGGATGAGTCCTCCCCTCAACTGAAATAATAGCAGCCGTATCATTTTCCGAATTTCCACTCTCATTCATCTCGAAAAAATCCTTGAATAATTCGGCGTCAAGAGTTGCCGAAGAGACAATGATTCGTAAATCGCTTCGAATTTGCATGATTTTCCGCAGTAGACCTAGCAAAATATCCGTGTTACACGATCTTTCGTGAGCCTCGTCGATCATTATAATACTGTATTTCGCCAATAATGGATCCACTAAAATCTCCCTTAACAATAATCCATCGGTCATAAATCGGATTTTTGTTTGTTTATCCGAAACATCATCGAATCTTACAGTATAACCAACATCATGTCCAAGAATACAATCTTTTTCCTCAGCCACTCGAGTAGCCAACTGCAAATATTTATAAATTTGCATTTGAATCATATTGCTCATGTTAATTCTCATGAAATTCTGAGTTTTTTGATACCAAACATGAGCAATATCACTGTTTATCAAAATAGGTCAAATTTTTTGGTTGCAAAAAATTCTGAATTTCTTGAAAAATTCGAATTCCCAACTTACGGTAACTACAGCAACCCTTCTCGGCTGTGTAACTGCAATTTGTCTTCCATCAGCCGCCCATCCAGCTTCGAGTAAAAATTGTGGAACTTGTGTCGATTTTCCACACCCAGTTTCTCCCACTATTATCACTGTTCGATATTTTTCACATAGATATAGAATATGACCGCGATTCTGAATGAGAAATTTGATTTTTCAATATCTCAGCGAATAAAAAAGCACCTTAAAAATAGGCAATCGTATCCGCTGTTGCTGTATATTTAGACTAGAATATGGATTGTTGTGAACTTGAAGAGATTCTTCAACTGGCGCCGATGTTGTTTCACTTGTTTTCTCTTCTAAAATCAATGGTCCGGTTCGAGGTTTATCGGCGGAATCATCTGGTTTTTGAAACCCTCTTCTTTCGGTGGCATATTTTCGATCTCGATGGCCATGTCCAGGATGATAAGACATCTAGATTTATGAATGAACAAGAACATATTCAAGCAAAAATATTATAGAAAGTTACTCTAACTTTTTTTTTAAATGAGTCGTTTTTATTTCCAAAAAAAAATTTATATAAGAAATTCAAGACTTTGTAATTTTCTTGATGAGCCCGGCTTGTTGTGCTTCCATGAGTTTTCTTTGCTCTTCAGAAATCGCATCATAGAAACAGTTTTCGGGGAAGCAATGAGGATCGAAAATGTTTTTGGAGAAGTTGGTTCCTGGAATTTTTTTTTGGTTTCATAATAAAAAATTTCATAATAAAAATATCTAAAAAAAAATATTCACCTTTCTCATCAATCTCGAACATTTCAATAAATCTTTCATAACTCATTGGATTACTAAAATCCTGTCTCGCTTGCATTTGTTGATTCAAATTGACTCCGCGATTTTTTTGATGGAAAGCCGCTTCGAAAGTTGCTTGTAGTCTTTCGCTAACTTCACATTCTGGTGGTGGCGGTATTCTTATTTCAGTTCCATCATTCTCCAAATGTTCAACAATTTCTTCTCGTGGAAGTGCGGGACTTCCTTGTTGAGATGGTCCTGGTGTGGGAGTTTTACTTCCAGGTGAATCTTCCATTTGATTCTTCAATGCTTTTTTCGATTCTTCTAACGCTAAATCAATAAGCCTTTCTTCTTCGTCTTCATCGATTTCTTCTTTTCTTGCTGGCGGTTTTGGCTCGTGTAGTTCAGATTGTGGAGTTTTTTCAGAGTCTTCCAATAAAAATTTAACCGGTCCAATGTCATCTTCATTATCTCCAGAATAACTGACTAATGAAACTTGGGAACTTGTCTGAAAACATGAATTTCTCTGTATAAATTACTTTTAAAAAATATATTACTCACATGAGGCATCGCATTTTGCGGAGTTCTAAATGCCGCCGGCGATGGAGAATGATCAGCGTCGACCATTCTTTTTGGAGGTGGTGGTTCAGCGAAATTAGATTCTGAATGATCGGAATCTTCAGTCGGCGAGAAATCATACATATCCGAATCTCTTCGTTGCCTCCGCTCGCTTGACTTCTTCTCTTCCTCCTCTTTTGCCCATTGCACAGTCGTCGCTTCTGTTGATCTTCTACGTGGGGACATATCTTCGTCACTATCCGCATCATAAGCAACCAAATTCTCCATTTTATTCACTTTTTTTTGGCTTTGAAAGGGGAGAAACGCACTTCAAACAAACAAAAAAATTATTTTTCGAAATTTGTCCGAGAGAAATACAAAACATACAGACTGCAAACACCACGACGAGCAAATGCACAACTGAGGAATTTAAATTTTTATTTTCCGAAAAAAAGGATCAGTCAGATAAAAACGATGTCAGTTGTTGAAAATGATATCAATCTTGCTATTTCTATCGATTTTTGGATTGGCTGAGTCATCAATTAACTGCTATTATACTATTGGCAAACCTGACATTTCGGAATTGCCTGGAAAATGCGATTCATATATTTTGATTGGCTCAACAAGGATAAACAATGAAACCGGAATTTTTGAAGCGAATAAAGAAGGTAAGTTGGTTTTCAAAATTATCTTTTAAAAATTTCATATCAAAAATTCAGAAGTCGAGAAGTTTTCTCAACTAAAACAACTTCAACCCAACAAAAAACTCCTCATCACTATACTGTCTTCAAATCCTTCTTTCACAAAAATGTCCTCAAATGCATCATCAATTCTCAAATTCTCATCTGACACATTGGACTTTTTGATTTATTACAATTTGGATGGAATTGATATTGATTGGGAGTTTCCAGTCTGGAGTTCTGATGCCAACCAAGATGATCGCATTTATTTTCGGAATCTGTTAGAAGTTTTATACGACAAATATCATAATAAAGGAAAATTGATTTCTGTTGCTGTATCTGGTCCACCAACAATCACAAAAATCGCATACGATGTTCAGGCTTTAGCAAAGGTAATTTTTTAATAAATTAATTATAGACAGAAGTACCGAAAATTCATAATATTTTCTGTCAGATACGCTGATATGGTTCAAGTGATGAACTACGATTTTCATGTTTTCTCCCGAAAAAGCAATCCACTTGTTGGTTTCAATGCTCCACTTCATCCATTGAGATTCGAATTCTCGTTATTGGCAAAAATGAACTCGGAATCATCGATGAACACGTGGTTTTCGTTAGGACTTCCAAGAAATATCACATATTTTGGAATTCCAACATACTGCCGCGCTTTTCGTCTTCTCTCCAAATATTTTTTCAAACCATATTCTCCAGCTGTTTCAGCAATTGATGAGTTCACAGATTATGAAAGTGTTTGCTATTTGACTGAAAAGAATTCGAATTATAGAAAAGTATGGAATACAAGAGCAGCTTCTCCTTATTTATATGGTAATTTTTTTTTGAAAAATCATTTTCAAAACCTTATTGAATTTTAGGTTCCGATCGTCTTTGGATTTCCTACGAAAATCCCGAAAGTATTCGACAAAAAGTAACTTTCGCCAAAACTTTGGGAGTTGCTGGAATAATGGTGTTTTCCGTTGGAAATGACGATTTTCACGGAAAATGTGGACAAGGAAAATATCCTCTCATAAATTCAATAGATTTTTAATTAAATATTGTTTTATTTTCTTGTTTGACTGCTCAACAAAAACTTGTTTGTTCACTTGGAATGAGTAAATAATCACAATGAAGTTGTGTTTTTTGTATTTGAAATGTTTTATTGAATTATTTCGTTGTTGAAATCATAATTATACTTGTCACATCAAATATTTTCACCTTTGAAAAATTTTGAAATAGAAAAAAAATGATATATTATTTGGGTAAGTAAATATCACCATGGTAATGTATTAGATAATGCTGTTTTTGTTGAAAACCAAATGATATCTCCAGTATTTTTTCTTATAAGTTTTTGAAGAGAAAAAATCGATAATTTTTCAAATTCATGAATTAGATGTTCATGTGTTGGAAATAATTGAAATTGATTTTTTTTTTCATGAAAAATTCAATTTTTGTCGAAAAACATGAGCTTTCTAATATGAGTAATGACGTGGGAAAGTTTGAAAATTTTTGGACTGGAAAACTAGCATGATCTAGGAGATTTTCAGGAAATTACCCCGAAATTTTTGAACTTTGCCACGTCATAACTCATGTTAGAAGTTGAAATCTCGAGTCAACATGGAAACCCAAAAAACCCAAATTTTTATCAGAATTTTTTTGATGTTGATTTCCGGACTGAAGAAGAACAGTCGTTTTCTCGGAATGAATCATCATCTTTTATTTGTCCGAAAGGTGTTAAAAAAATTGAAAATGATAAAAAAATTTCCAATTTCTTCTTCAACATAAACAAAAATGTGTGATGCTTTTTTGAACCGTCCATATTTGTTCACTTTTTCTCCTAGGTAAATATTTATTTTAAATAGAATTTTTGTGTAACAGTTTTTCTTCCTTTTTCAATTTCCTGATGGCAAAACTTCAACTTAGAATTATTCATATAATTTTTGCCGATGACTCAATGTTCAATTATGTCATTTCATTTCATTTTCTTTCTTACTTACTCTATATCTCTAAACTCTCTCCATTTCACATACTATTTTCTCTATCGCGCACTTCTTTTTTTTTACTGTTTCACCTAGGTAATATCTATTTTTTCGTGTGTGTCTCTGTGTTTGTTGTCGATTTTTTTGGCGGTTGAAAATTTTCTTTGTTTCCAATTTTGTTCTATTTCGAATGATAAAGCTCTTGTGAATTGAAAAGTTTTTTTCAGGTCGGTTGAAATTTACGTGAATGAGAGAAATTATGATTCGAGCTGTTGGTGAGTTTAAAAAATTGATTTCAATATAAATTTTAATCAAAGTGACCTATTTTTTCCCCCGAAAAATCTACGTTTCAAAATATTTCATAAATTTTAACTAAAAATTCAATTGTTTCGGGTTGCTAGAAAAAAAATCGATTTTCAAAGGTTTAGAGAATTTTATATCAAAAATGATTTTTGAAAATTTAAAATTTCTGTTCAAAAAATATATGTTTTATTTCAGAAATATCTGAAACTTTTAAGACAAACAATTTTTCGAAAATATTTTTTTTTAACCTGAAAAATCCGGGAGTCTTTTTTAAAGAAAAGTTGAGCTTAAATATTTTCAGGAAAAAAATTTGAAAATCAATAATTTCTACCCAAAAATCAATTTTTATTTAATTAACAGCAAAATTAAAATTAAAAACTTTATTTTTAACCTAAAAATCCCTTTCTGAACCTAAAAGCCTTTTTTTTCCCTGAGAAAATGTGCAAAAATGTGGCTTTTTCTCATAACTACTGTAAGGTTTCTGATTTGCGCCTAAAAACTTTGCTCTATTTTTCGGCCAAAAAAAATTCTCACCACTATAAAAATTTATGATCCAGATATAAAATACAAATTAATGCGCCTAGCAACGTTTGGTGCCATTTTTCTTAATAAAAAAGCTCGCTAAATTTTTCTAGTTTTACTATTTTTCTACACAAAAAAAAAACAGTGTTAGTTACGTCACAGTTATGCAAATTTTTCCCCAGTGAAAGTGTGATTTTTGAAGTTTATAGACTACTCAAAAAAAAAAGGGATTATTCACCTTTTCCCCCTACAAAATTCCAATTTCCCGTGGCATTTTTCGCAATTTCCTGTGTGAAGCCCCGGAAACCGAAAGTGTGATTTGAGCCCCGAAGCCTGACAAAAATACATTTTTTATCATCAAATATTTATTCAAGAATTATTTGTTCTCAAAAATTGCGTATAAATAGATGATAGTTAACTAGTTCACGTAACTCCAGTAACTTTCATTTTCTAGCACCAACCACATCAACTCATTTATTGCCTCTTCTTTCACCAGCCGCCAAAATGACGTCAGACACAATCACGGTTAGTTGAACCTTTTCTTTTATATACATATTTATATTTATTTTTTCTAGTTGTCTAGTTGATTTAAATATTCACGCGAAGATTTTTGTACTAAAAACATGTAAACATGTATTATTATTATTATTATGATTATAATAATAATATACATAAATAAAATTTGTTTCTTCCTATTGGATGAAAAAAGAAAGAAATCGAAAGCTTCCTATTTTTCTTTTTATTCTTCTTCTTTTTTCTTTTTTTTTCTCTTTCTAACACTTCGAGAATTTTTATTGATTGATTGGGTACTGGAAAACAACAATTATGTTGCAATTTTTGAAAAAAAAACAGTGTCCAATATTCATCAGAATTTTTTAATGCGAAAAATCTGGCGAAAAATTTTTTTAAAAAATATTTTTGACCCTAAGAAAATGAAATTTTGAAAATCACTCTCTCTAGGCGCAGCTACTCGAGAACAAGTCTCTCTAGGAGCTGATCCTTGCCAACTGAATTTTCTAGGCTCGGCTACTTGCCATATAGGATCTCTAGACGTGGGACCTAGATGATTAGGTTCTTTAGGCTCAGCTGCTTGCGAACTAGGCTCTCTAGGCGCCGATACTTGCCAATTGAACTTTCTAGGCTCGGCCTCTTGCCATATATAGGATCTCTAGGCGTGGGACCTAGACGATTAGGTTCTTTAGGCGCGGATGCTTGGCAGCTAGGATCTCTCGGCTTGGCTACTTGGCATAGCAGATCTCAAGGCGCGGCTACTTGCCATATAGGATCTCTAGACGTGGGACCTAGACGATTAGGTTCTTTAGGCTCGGCTACTTGACAACTAGGCTCTCTAGACTGAGCTCCTTGACAACTAGGTTCTCTAGGCTTCTCTGCTTGGCATAAAATATCTCAAGGCATCACTACTTGCCAGAATGGATCGCTAGACGTGGCTCCTAGACGATTAGGTTTCCTAGGCTCACTTACTTGACAACTATGCTCAAAATCTCCATTGTCAGGTTTTTCACAGAATCTACAACATTCTTCTAAATGTTTGAAAAATATACTATTTTTCCCAAAAATCACATTAATCTTTGCGATTTTCATATTTTTTGGCGCCAAAAATCAACTGGTTTTTCTCTTCTTTCTATTTCGGAAACCCAGAAAAGTATATCCGGCTTATACGTATGTTTTCCACGTAAATAAATACATGTTTTTCCTTTTTCTGTCTTTCTATTTCTATTTTTTGCCATTCTTATATGATCCAACCCTAAAAATATCTTTATTTTCTCATTTTTTTTTCTCGTTTCTCGTCTCTCTGTCGTTTCAGGACCACCCTGGAATGTTAGAGAAAAACCTCAGAGTGGCGAAATAGTGTGTGGAAATGAGAGAATCAAATGGGCGGATATAGAAGGACCCAGAAAAAAGAAGAAGAAGATAAAGAGAGTGAGGAGAGAAAACATAAAAATGAATGCATTTTTCGTTTTGGTTTTGTGGCAGAATGCCAGAAATTAGAGAGAGAAATGTACTTTTTAGTTTATAATGTGTATAGATTTATGCTTTGAGATTTCGAAATAGATTTTCAGTTATTTCTAGATTTTTCTGATATCATGTTTTTTTTTGAAAAATTTCGAAATTCATATTTTGTGATAGCTTCTCTGGACCTAAAGATTTTCAGCAAGTTTTCTAGTTTTCTAGTACGATTTTCAGCCTAGCCTATAATTTGCTTTGATTTCTGACAGCTCTGGAGCTCCCAGAGCTCCAAAAAAATTTAAATCTAATTTTTTCTCCCAAAACTCCATAGATCAATTAGATTTCAAAAATTTATAAAATTTGAAAGAAAAAATTAGATCTGAATTTTTTTGATTTTGAAATATATTTTCAGATAAGTCTAGATTTTTCTGATATAATTTTTTTTGTTGAAAATTTGGAAATTCCTATTTCTAGTTTTTATCAATTTCTCCGGTCCTAATTTTTCTTAGTAGATCAAATTCCCAAAATTTTTCAATCTGATTTTCCTTCCAAACCCCATAGATCAAAGTTAGGCAAATTTATTGGATTCCACAACACAAACCCATAAAATTCCAAAAAAAAAATTAAATCTGAAACTGAAACTGACATTTTTATTTCCCTCCCCAATGTTTGGTCACTTGTTGCTGCCATTTGGGAATTACTAACGATGCCTGCTGACTTTTTTTTTTGAAGCTCAGTAAAAAAAGCTCGGATTCTGTTTTTTTTTTTTGGAAAATATTTTTTGACCTTGTGGGAAAAGTGCAATTTTGGAAAAACAGTAGCTCAAATCTTGAAATGAGCAATGATTTGGGAAATTTTCATGTGCCTTTGAAAATTGAAAACTAGAGAAAAACTGAAAAGTTGCTCTTGTTCATGTTCAAAAAGCCTGTAAGCCTTATGTTCATCATTAGGCCCTAAATTCGAAGCTTAAATTTCTGAACCTTAGCTTGATTGAGCCAAAAATTTTGAACTTTAGCTTGATTAAGCCTTAAATTCTGAACCTTAGCTTGATCAGGCCCAAAATTCTAAATCTTAGCTTCTTCTGAAGGCGGATTTCAGATTGGATTTCAAGCTTCATACCCCTCTTTTTTGTCCAAAACCATTTTTCATTCCTAAATCTCCCTTTTCCCTTTCAGTCCACGTTTTTTGAGCTCAAAATCAATCCAGTTTGTTTATTCAGCCTGAATAAACTATGAATCATATTCATATTGGTATTAAACTTTTTTGGATTAAAAATGAAATTGCAATTGATTTTTTTTGCATTTCTGACTAATCATACATCACATTTTTTTTTACATAATTCAAATTTCCGCTCCGATCTTCGATGTTTTTTTTTCAGAATAAAAATAATAAATCAAGATCTACAGTAGTCATTTTTCGGACCATCCATTTGTTTTTAGTTCCCATAGAAATTGTCTAAGTTTTTCAAATTCAAAAAATACGAAAAATTGGAGACGTCACACATTTCTTGTTGAATTATTCAAAATTGTTCTTTTTCTAATTTTTCCGTCCTCTTTGTTTGTTGTTTTTTTCCTCGTTCAAAGTGCAAAAACGTGTGGGTTTCAGAGAAAATCATACTTATCTGAATGGTCAAAACTGTCGAGTTTTGCGATTTCATTCCGCGAAGTTTTCAATATTCAATTGAGGTGAGGAGATTTAGAAAAGGCACAATTTTTGGATTTTTCTGGATTTATTAGCCACGGTGTTTCACAGGGTGAATTGAGAGACGCAGAGAAACGAGACACAATCTTAGAGAGAGAGAGAGAGAGAGAGAGAGAGATCAAGCGCGGGAAACATTTTGAATTCAAAAAAATTCCCCGCGCTTGGTCTCGAGACGATCTGATTTTCTCTCGGAGTTTTCTCTCTGCGTCTCTTCCCCGATTTTTAAAAGGCTGTGTACCTCGAAATTATTTTTTAAATTAAAAAATGTATCTAATTCAAAACAAAAATTCCTAGTTCACTGTGTGTCAGTCACATCAATCGCTCAAAAAAATAACTGGAAAAATTGGAAGGAGAACACTAACACATCATTTCAGAAAAAAAGACTGTGTAACAATTTTTGTCGCCTTCTTATCGATCCGAAATCATTCTTTAATTTAGTTTTTTTGTTGCTGTGTTGTTTTGTTGTGTGTTTTTTGATTGAGCTTATCAATCTTGTTTTGAAAAAAAAATTTGAATTTGGAGCTGTGTGGTTTCAAATTTTATATTAGTAGTAGGATTTTTGATCAGAAATTTTTCCCTCCAAGGTTCCCATTTCAAAAATAGTTTCCAGAAAAAATTTAATTTGACGTGAACTATTTCCACCAGTTCCGAAATGCCCTACATTCTCACCGAAAAAAACTAGTCATTTTTTAGTTTAGACAATTTCACTAGAGGTTTCCCACCATTACTATCTATTTTCCACTATTACATTTACAGACAGACGATTCAGTTTGTGAAGAGACGGGCACAAATTCCACAAATCCATCACCAAATCATCCAGCAATAATGGAAGATGGAGTTCGAACAATTCGCGGAACTAACACAACAAATTCCACATCTGAATCGTCGTCCAACACTTTTGGATGGCACAAATGTATATTTCTTTTTTTCTACTTATTTTTCGCCGGCATGTCGAATTGGGCTGTTTTGGCGTATACTCATGATTATGTGCCAAGAGAAGCTCTGCCTGATTTGATATTCAGTTTGGTCGATGAAAGAGCATGGGCAAGTATTATTGGTGAGTCTTTGAAGCGAAAAAATAATGTTGTGTGTACTTCTCTCGGAGAAATTATCGATTATTTTCGGTATTAGATTTAGGCCCTTTTATGCTTATCTAAAAATTTAAAAGAAACCTCAACCCAAAACAAAAATCAATTTTGATGACGCAAGTAACCTTTAAAAGTTCATCTTCTCTATTTTTCAGGTGACATTTGCGTTGCCCTTTGCATTGTTTTCTTGGCACTTCTACTCGTTGTCCACAAACATCGTGGAACTATTCTACGGCGTGTTGTTTTTTGCGCCGGAACACTTTATTGGATGAGATCGGTTACGTTGGCAGTAACTCAGTTACCATCATGTGGGTTTTTTGAGGGGCAACTCAAAAACGGCTTGGGAAAATAAATTGTGGATTTTTTCCGGATATCGCAAAATATTTCTGAAATTTTTTTTAACTTTTGGAGCCCTGATTCTAGCCGAGCTTTGCTGAAGAAAAAAAATTAATCAGAAAATTGTTTTTCAGCCCTGAAATTTCGGGTTCTGGAATTTTTCACTAATAAAATTTACCTTGAGAACGGTGGGAGAAAAAACCAAGATACGGTAGAATTTGTCAGCTTCTAGAATTCTTTGATCTTTCTGAGGAAACTTTTGGTTTTCTAGGTCATATGAGTTCTTTTCCAAAATTTTCGAAGATTTCTGATTTTTGTGGTCCTATTTTCACCCCATCTTCTTCTTTAAATCAATTTCAAATTCAATATTTTTCCAGCTTACACTGAAAATGAAAAGAAATGTCGAGAACGAGTAAATTCGCAAATCAGTGTATTCCTCGATCGACTAATCGAACAAACAATCCGATTCGGTTTCCAAAGTAAAAACGCGATGCTTTGCGGTGATTTGTTATTTTCTGGTCACACTCTTGTTATGGTAACATGTTCCCTATCAGTTGCATATTATTTACCAAGAAGTGTCAAATCACTTCAATGGCTTTCACATATTTCTTGTTTTATTGGAATGATTTGTATGATTATTTCGAGGACACATTATACAATTGATGTTGTTATTGCGTATTGGTTATCGAATTTTGTATTCAGGTGAGTTGGAAGGAATTTGGAATCAGAATGTTTTTGAAAAATCCAATTTCTCGTGAAAATTTGAATTTAGAAAATAAAATTTCAGAAAAACTTGCTGAAAACTCACTGAAATTTTGTCCAAGAGAAATTAAAATCATAGGAATTTTCCACGTCTTGTTCAGATTTTTTTTTCAAAAATTCAACAAATTTTTCCTCATTTCAGAGTATATCATGCATTTTGTGAAGTTGATATGTGTATGGAAAGACAAAAAAGTATATTATATTCGTGGTGGCCGTGTCGAATTGTTGATTGGCTCGAAGAGAATCAGATTCCAGGTCGCCTCGAAAACCACATCAATCTACCATTCTACAAAAAACATCAGAAATCATCAATGCCAGATTCGTCAACCGATATTCGACAACATCACAAACAGGTTTCAATTGTGAGTTGTTGACATTAATTTTTGTTTCTAATTTCTCATTTTCAATATATTGTAGAGCTCATCTTCATCCACCTATCCATGTTGAAAAAATGCGGTTTTTTTGCAAATTTTTTGAATTTTGAGCGGGTTCTCTTTTTTTTTGTAATTTTCATCCGGTAATTTCTCATTTTTGTGTTAGTAGAATTCATGTTTTTACGGGTACCTTTTTTTACATTCCAGTATATCTACATACAAAATTGATCACCGATCTGGGTCACGTGATTAATTTTGAATTTTTGAAATTTTTGTTGGGCTTTTCAGAAATGCTCATCGAATTTTGACGTTTTAAAAATTATCAAGAAATGGGGAAAAACCTATTTTTTAATCGAGTGCCATTTAATTGGATTCGGCGGTGATTTTCGGTTCCAAAAATCAAAGAACTGACAAAACATCGAAACTTCAGAAACAAACAGCATTTTTTCCGACAATGCCGCATTCAGAAGCTGAATTTCGAGGGCGATATTTTTTTTTCTAATTTTAAAATTTGCGCGTAGCGGCACCATCTGAATTTTTAAGCTGCAACACAAAAATTAAAAATTTTATTATATAAGAGATTCTCAAACGGTCCACTTCAACTTTCCACATGATCAAAATAAAAATCCATCTGAATATTAGCAGAAATCGAACATTAAGAACAGCATTTTTCGAACCGGCATTTCGTAATTTTAGTAAAATAGAGAATGATCTCAATTAAGTGCCCGCTTAATTCAAAATAAAAAAGGTCACGTTTAAAATAAAATGAATCACATCTTGATTTGATGAGCATTTTTAGAAATCCAAAATAAAAATTGATCGCGTGACCCAATTAAGTGATCAATTTTGTATGTAGATATACTGGAATATCCTTTTTTTCTTGTGAATGAATGATTGAATGGAATAAATGTTTTATTAATGAGTGGCCGAATTTTTTTTCCAAAAATAAATGCTTCAGCCAGCTACAAAACCTCATTTATATTTCGCGAACAAAAAAAAACGGAAATTTTTGAATAAGTCATTTTCTTTTCGTATACATTTTAGAGCAAAACCAATATTTTCTTCTCTTTTTTCCTAAAGCGAAACAAATGCCGTGCAAACTTTGAATTCAATTTCTTGAAATCGAATTAGACGCTTGTGTCAAACAAAAAGAGCCCCCAATCTTCTCTCTGGAGATTTAGTAACTCTTTTTTTTGCGTTGAGAAAAATAAACAGCAAAAGATTGGATTTGGATTAGATTTTTTGGAAGGTTTTTGTGGTCAGCAAAAAACGTAAGTCTTTTTTTCTTAATATATGCATTTTACAACAAGTTTTATTCAAAAAACCACAAAAAATAAGTAAATTAAAAATTGCCAAAAAAACAAAAACAAGAAAATAAAAGTAAAAATGGAAGTGCGCCCTATTGATAAAAATTGCATGTCTCGCACTCGCTCATAAAAGTGTGTGTTTCGTCGTTGCTGTTTTATTATCAGACTAAAATGGTGTGTAACTACTATTTTTGCTTGTTTTTTTTACCATTTTTTCGCGATTTTTACTATTTTTTTCTTAGTGATAAATAGGAAATACGAATTTTAATTCAAAATTTAGCCTTCAAAGGTCAGATTTTTCTCAAATCCTATTATTTCTCTCTAATTTTTCGCATCCTTTCCTCAAAATAGCACATAAAACCACTTAAAAATTGTTGTCAAAAATTCTCGATAATCCTCATGCATTTCTTCTCATCCTCTCCTCCTCATCTCAACGACCTTCTTCTAAAAAACACCCATTTTACGACTTCATTTATTTACCACTTAGTACTCCTCCCCTTTCCTTTTGCCTTTTTCTCCATCCATTTTATTCCTTATACTACTTTCAAAAATTGGCTTTTCCCTGCCGTTTCCTTCCGCACGCGCGGAAAAAGTTGTACTCTTTTCTTTTCCCGTAGTAATTTGTCACTTTTTTGCTGTTTTCTTATGTAAGCAATTTTGCCCAAGGAGAAATGTGCGATCTCGTGGTGTAGTGGTTATCACATCTGTCTAACACACAGAAGGCCGGCGGTTCGAGCCCGCCCGAGATCAGACATTTTTTTTTCCTTTTTTTTGTTCAATGTTGGCGGCGTCATGTGTAAGTCAAGGCGGCGCCTTATGTCTAAGTGCAACGCCATTATGGTCAGTCACACCTCGTTTCTCATTTAACACCTTTTACTTTTCTTTTTCATGTTTTTTTACCTATTAAACCCATTTCAATTCCTTTTCTTCCTCCTTTTTTACATTTATTCATGTTTGACAGCTGGTTTCCAATAAGTACAGCGAAAAGGTCTAAATATTTATTATTAGTCCAATTTGACTGACATAATCCCGAGTTTTATTTGTTTCTTCTATTGGGTTTTTATTAGTCGTATTAGGAGGAGGTGCTTCAAAATGTTTTATTGGGTTATAAAGATTTTTGTGGCTCGGTTAGGGACATTTTTAGGAACATTCAAAAAAATTGGTAGGAAAATTGAAATACGAAGAATATTTTTTGTTTACCTTCTCTCATCCATGCTTTATCATTTTCTCGTTTTCTCTGCGTCTCTCACTATTTTTTTTGAAAAGGATAAGCTTGATGACCAGAGCCGAAGAGCAAAACGTATATATATATATTTTTGAGCCACTCCAAACTTTTTTTTTGCTCATTTCTATTTAGAATGTATGTTTTTGTCAGGACATAGAAAAAAAAGAAGAAACATTTTTTGCTGTGACAGATTCCAAAAGAATTCCCAAAAAAGTTGTCATTTTCCCACTATTTTTTCTTGGTGCCAAAAGAAAATAATAGTGGGCCGGAAATTGTTGAGGAGGATCGAATTTCTTGTTATTTTATTTTTAGATTTAGATTTAGATTTATTTTATAATACGTACATACATACATATTCACATGGTTGAATGACGAGAAGAATTATGTTTTGAGAAGAATTCTTTTGGAATTCTTATTTTTTTACGAAAATTATTTTGGATATTTGCTTTTCTCGTGTTTTGAAATACTTTTTGGGAGTTTAAGTCTTTTTCTGAACAAAAAAATTCTGAGATGAATATAGCTACAGTAACCATTATTGAATTCTTCCAAAAAAAGTTCCAAAAACTTTGTGGATCAAAAATTTAGGATTCCAGCTTTTATGGCCCCAAAACTAGCTCTATAAAAATTGTGCTTCTTAAAATTGATCATCTTAAAGTTATTCTAAGTCCGTCTGTTTTCCTTATTTTGCTGTAAAAAATCCTGAATTAAGAAAAAAATTTTGAAAAAAATCAAAAAATTCTGAAAAAAATCAAAAAATTCTTTGATAAATTTTTTTGGAATCTTTTTTTCTTGATGTTTTTTCCACTTCTATTTCCAAATTTATTCATTGAAAACTATTCTGAGCCTGCCTGATCTTCTAATCATCAGAATCTACATAATCTTTCCCCAGTCCCAAATTCCCTCAAAACAGCGTGCGCGAATCCTTCCCCCTCCCCCAAATCACATAAAAAACGACTGGTCATTATTCTTCTCTCCTTGATTCATTTGAATATATTATACACACACACCGAATGAAATCAAATAATAATATACGTCTTCTTCATTCGTTTTTTTCCCACAATTACAATTTCTTTCATCCATTTGCCTATCTTCTTCTTCTCCCATTTTCTTCTACCAATGTCCACTTCAATTCTCTCATCGCATCTCGATTCTTCTTGCTATTTTCTTATCATGATACGTAGGTGGCAATTAGTCACATACACACACTCAAACACAACGCTTTTTCTGTTTTTATATTATTTATTATTCATTTTTTGTTTTGGAATTTTGAACTGAAAAAATTAAATTAGAACCTTGATCACTGTAGGCTACTATTTTGAATTCAAAAAATTCCCCGAATTTATAAGTTTCAAATTTTTTTTAAAGATTTTTTTCACAAGCCAAAGTATATTCCTTCTCCCTTCTCCCTTCCCTCAAACTCACTAAATAATAAGAATAACAATAACAATAAAATAACCTTGTTTAGAGGCATCCAATTAGGATCTCCCTCTCTCTTCAATTTTCACGCTTCGATTAGTTATTAAAAATGGAATTAGGTTTCTTTGTGACACATGTTTGTAAATTCGTATATGGGCATTTTTTCGCAAACCAAAAAAATTTCGTCGAAAATCTCGAAAAGTTTTTAAGCCTACATTTTTTGGCACTAATTTTTTTTCTGAATTTTGGACTGGCTTGAAATCTAAATTTTCAGAAAATCTAGATTGACTCTGAATTTTTGAGGTGAACTGAAAGAAGTTTTTCATGAAATTAGTTTCAAGTTTAATATTTTTCCTGAGTTTTATTTTTGTACTCATAAAAAACCTAAAAATTTTTTGGAAAGCCTAAATTTTTGATCTACAAAAGATTTTTTGACCACAAAAAAAAATGCCAACCAGATTTCTGTGATAATTTCTCATTTCATTCCATGTTTATTATTTACCATGCACTTAATTCGACTTTTTTCTGAAGTGCTTTCTTTTCTTTTATTGCCAAACATACTTTCATGTGTGTGTAAATATCTCTGTAAATACAAAGTGTCAACAATATTTTCGAACACCCATTTTCCCATTTTTCTCTTCCTAATCTAATTTGAGTAGGTATCAAGTAAACCCAAAAAAAATCAAAAATTCTGTGCCACATCTGTTTCCACTTTTCTCTTTTCTCACACCAAAATCAGAGAGTATTTTATTTTATTTATATTATTTTTGTGTGCTCATTGTGCTCTCAGATTACCCGATGTGCACATCCCAGAGCAACTTCTAATATTACATAAACATTTGACTTCACTATTTTCGCTCTTTCCAATAATTTATTCATTTTTCTAGATGAATAAATATGCGCGGTAAACGATTTGAGAGAATCGAAGCGTTGGCGGTTTTCCGCGAATGGTTTTCGCAATGCGGACAAGCGTTGGCTATTGTTGGACCAGCGCAATCGGGGAAGACTTATTTTGCGCATCAGGTTGGTGACTATTTTTGGGAGAGTTTTGGAGCTGAAGAATTAGGACAGGTCTTATTTTTGAAGAAAATTCTGAATCACAAAAAAATTTCTGGATTTCAGAAAGTGGATCGAAAATCATGAAAAAAAATGAAAATCTGAAAATCAAAATTAAATTTGGTAGATCAAAAAATATCAGAGTTATTTTTTTTTGATTTACAGTAGGTTTGGGATATAACATGAGCAATCCTTAACAGTATAAACATTGCTCATGTTAACTGTTTCATAGAGCTTAACCTGAGCAATTCAACAACTGTGTAAGATGAGCAATAGGATTTATTAATATTTTCCAAGTTTTATTTCAAAATAATCATTTTCCATACAAAAAATTGGAAAAGTCTCTGAGGTTCCAAAATAAATTCTCTGTAGAAATCTAAATTAAACTTTTTTTTGAAGGTATCTTGGGTTACTGTAATTCTTTGATAATATATCCTCGCTAAGTAATTGAAAAATCGATAAATTTTGGCGTGAATCATTTCAAAATTATTTTTTTTCAATTTCCAGCTCTCCGAACTTCCCGAATGTGTTGCTTCTCATTTCTGTCGATGCGACGAACCCCAATCATCCGAAACAGCCACACTTTTTCGATCAATCGGTGAACAACTTATGAAAAAATTTCCAAACCTGGTGCTCCCTCGTCTTTCTACAGTAACCCTTCTGAAAAACGGCGAAAGTGCTCTAGAGCATTTTTTGAAGTCACCACTGGAAAGTATGCCAAAACCAGCGAAACCTGTTTTTCTGATTATTGATAATGTGGTGGATGAGGCTACGAGGAAACTCGTTGAAATGGTGAGTTCTAAATCTGAAAAAAAACATTTTCAAATTTTTTAGATTCGTGTGATCCTCCCAAGATGGATTAGAATTGTACTGACAACAAGGAAAATAGATCCTGGTGGAGCAAATGATTTACACGTTATGACAATATCAACAGATCAAAAAGATTTGGATAGATTCATAAGATCTAGACTTCCAAACCTACCGTCTTCAGAAATTCTATTGAATTCACAAGGCTCTTGGTTCTATGTAGATCTCCTCTCGAAACAAGAATCTTCGGCGAAGAATCTGGAAGATCTAATGATTGATGTTGCAAAATCGCTGCCCCCAAACTTCGAAAATATTCTAAAACTAGTCAAAATTTCAAGAAATCGTCCAACTTATCAACAACTTCTTGCAGTTGCCCAAATGCTTTCTCCTCAGGAAATTAGTCATTTAGAAAAGGATCTCAAACATATTTTGTCACTAATCAGTGATTCAACTACCTCAATTGATATTCCACAACCATGGTTTGATTTTGTCGCGAATTGTGATACTCGAAAATGTCATTCAGCATGGGCGGAACATTTTAAGACGAAAAGAAGGAAAAATGCACAAGATATTGTTGAACTCGCTTATCATCTTGCACATTCTACAAATAATCCGATGAATGCGGTTCAAACTTTGCAAAGTGTTGGAGCATCTCAACTTATACTCAAATGTCCTGTTATTGATTTATCAACCACGTCACTTTTGACTGCAGCTGGTGCAAGTATTTCTGAAAATGATTTTGATATTGTTTATGCTTGTTCAATTGGAAATGTTGAAATGTTGGAAGTTATTTTGAATGAAGTCAAACCTTCGAATATGGCGAGTTCGGAATTTTGAAAATAGAACTTGCGGGAAAAAATGTGGGAATAAAATTCACCCGGGCGAAAGCTGAAATAGTATAATCTGAGCAATTAGGGAAGAACTTTCAACCTGAGCAATCTTGAAGGAACCCTTGATATGAGCAATCTTTGAGGAATCTTTAACATGAGCAATCGTAAAGAAATCTTTAACATGAGCAATCTTGAAGGAACCTTTAACATGAGCAATCTTTAAGGAACCCTTAATATGAGCAATTCTGAAGGAACCCTCAAGCAATCTTTTATGAACTCTTAACATGAGCAATTTTTGAGGAATCTTCAACATGAGCAATCTTGAAGGAAACCTTGATATGAGCAATTCTGAAGGAACCTTTAACCTGAGCAATTGTATAATTTCATTGCATACATGTCTATTCCCTGAAGTCAGCTAGGGTTGTACAAACTTGAAATTTTTTTTTCAAAAAAATTGAGGCCTTTGAAAAAACTCTTGCTAAGTTTTGAAGAATAATTTAAAATTCTGAAAAGTTATAATTCCAAATTACGATACCATCGGAATCGGAAATTCATAAAAATATTCTGTCCTGACTTTCGAAGTTCCGAAAATTTTGATCCAAACTGATTTCCGAATATCGCCCTCTGATCTCGGAAATTGTGTTTCAATTCCAAAACTTTTTTTCCAGGATATTTGCTTCGGTCTCCTAATCGCTGCTGCTCGTGGTCATCTAGAAATGTGTCAATTCATCGTTGATAATTTCCCAAATGTTGCAATCAGCACTTGTTGCGGAGAATGGAATGCGTTACGAAGTGCCGCTTGCAACGGCCAACTCGAAATCCTAAATCTCCTACTCTCCAGAGGAATTGATGTTGATGAATGTGGAAATAGTGATCGAACTGCTCTCCGAGCTGCTGCCTGGTCTGGACAACTTGCAGCTGTTCAACTACTCCTTCAAACTGGCGCGAATGTAGATCGACGAGATTCCGAACAACGAACTGCGCTGATGGCTGCCGCTTTTATGGGGCATCGCGATGTTGTTGCAGTCATCCTTCAGTATGGCGCGGATATCAATGCCACCGATAAATCCGGAGCAACGGCATTGCATTTGAATCTTGCGAATGGCTCAAAACAACTCGCGCAAAAACAAACAACCGAACTGCTTTTGGAGAACTCGGCGAGTTGCACAATATCAGATGCGAATGGTAGAGTTGCTTTACATCTTGCTGCTTATCATGGGGATGAATGTTTACCAACGATTCTATCCTTAACATCATCCCCTGATGTTCAAGACAATCAGGGACAAACTCCGCTGATTCTGGCAGCAAGCCAGGGGCAAATCGAAGCTGTGAAATATCTGGTTAAGGAAGCCAGTTCAGATATTGATTGTATTGATGCAAATGGAAGAACAGCTTTACAATGGGCTGCGATAAATGGGCACACAAATGTTGTTGAATTTCTCTGTGCTGAAGGTTCCGATGAGGCACATAAGGATAATGATGGGGCGATCGCTTTACATTACGCTGTTGCACATCAAGATGCACAATTGAGCAGTTTTCTGATAAATGAGATGACTGTAAAGGCAACTGATCGATATGGACAACATCCATTATTAGTTGCTTGTACACATGGACATCTTCAAGTGATTTCCGAATTGATTAATCGAAATGCTCCGGTTAATCTTGCTGCGTTGGATGGTCGAACTGCTTTATCTGTGGCAGCTGCGAATGGACATCTAGCTGTTTGTCAGTTATTAGCACCGTATGTTGATGATTGGAATCAATTGGATCATGATGGTGTTCCATTGGTGCAAAGTTTGATTGCGAGTGGGCAAATTCGGGTTGCTGAGTTGTTATTCGGTCTTGGAACTTCGACGTTGGTGAAGGATTCACATGGAAGAACTTGTGCACATGTGGTGAGTTAGAGAAACTTTCTTCAAATTCTCAATAGAGCGCGTTTGCTAATTTTTGTGTTAAAATTTCAAATGTTGGTTTAATAATTCAAAAACCTAAAAATTCTCAATAGAGCGAATTTTCTCATTTTTTTGTTAAAATTTCAAATTTTGGTTTAACAATTCGAAAACCTTCAAATTCTCAATAGAGCGCGTTTGCTATTTTTTCTGTTAAAATTTCAAATTTTGGTTTAATAATTCAAAAACCTTCAAACTCTCAATAGAGTGCATTTGCTTCATAAACCTTGCCACGTCATAACTCATGTTCAGAGTTGAGCTAAGTAGATTTTGATAACGGGAGCTGGTTTTGGAATAATGAAGCCTCGAAAATTTTCCATAGGTTTTTTGGAGTCAAAAATATATTTAAAAAATTGAATTTTGAGATCCAATAACTACTCTACTTAGAAAATCTTCTTGTCAATAAAAAAATCAAATAATTCCTAGGTTGCTTCCACAAACGACATCTCCGCTGCAAAAATGCTGCGATCAATCGACGCCTCCTTTGAAACCATCGACGATGGCGGTCGAACTCCACTCATGACATCAATCTGGTCCCGAACCCATTCAATTGCATTCTTCCTCCTCGACACATGTTCAGTTGATCCGAATCGCTGTGATCAACAAGGTGCTTCAGCCCTTTCAATTGCTTGTCAACTCGGGGATCGAGATCTTGTCGCACTTTTATTGAAATTCGGAGCTGAACCTGGGCTGCGCGATTCTGCTGGACGAACTGCTAGCGATGTCGCTAGAATTTCTGGAAATGATTCGATTATAAATATGTTGCGAGCTGCGAATGGCAGTTCAGATAGTAGTGGAATTGGAAGCAGTGTTCCGAATAGTCCGATGGATGCTGCAAAACAAAGAGCACGTGCAAAACGTGGCAATTCGCTTGTTCGAATGAAATTGTAAATGAAACAGAACTATATTGTGATCTCTAATTAATAATCGGTGCATAATAAATATTTCTATTTTTCTCTTGTTTTAGAATTCTGTGGCTCTTTTTTTCATCAATAACAGTTCCCACAAATAAAAAAAATCAAATCAAATAATATTATTTTTTTTCTCAAACGTGTCCCAAATTCTTGTTGTCATTTTGTGCCCCGCAAAAAATCGATGGCCTCTTATTTTCTAAATTTTTCTCGAAAAATCATGCAATTTTCATTATCCCAAATCGAAACTAGAATTGCTTATTATCTAAATCCACAAGCAGCAAATCGAGCTGAAGGTGGAAAAGAAGGAAACGAGGAAAATGAGATCGAGAAAATCGAAAATTGGAAGGAGAAAATCTGGCAAAATGCTGAGGGTTTGAGTGGAATGAAGAGGGAGCGATTGACTGTGTATGCTGTTGGATTCACGGTGTTTTATGTGATTTTTGGAAGTGTTTTGGCCATGTTATCACATGTTATTTGCACTTTTTTGCCGGTTTTGCAATCGTTGAAGGTTTGTTGGAACAGGCGCAGAAAAATGTTTTAAAATTCAAATTTTTGAGCAAAATTATCAAATGCGCTCTACTGGCAATTGTGTGTTTTCTGAAATTTTTTGAAATTGGAATCCAATATGGCCTAGAAAACCAAAAGAAATATTTGATTTTCTAGGCCATCTCTTCCAAGGGAACATTTTTGTCACTTCCAAATTTCCCACGCATTTTTCTCCTATCAAAAATTCCCAAAACAAAAAATTTTGTAATTTTTGTTACAGCACATTCGAAAATCGCCAAACAACCAGAAAAACGCTGAAAATCTTCTGCTGTATTGGATTGTTTTTGCAGTCTTCACAATTTTTGATTTTCTTCCCATCGCAAGTATTCCGATTTATTTTTTTGTTAAAGTGAGATTTTTTGGAATTTTTTTTCAAATTCAATTTTCAAAAAAAATATTTTCAGTCCGCTTTCTTCTTCCATCTCTATCATCCATCTTCAAATGCAATTGAACAAGTTGGACCTTATATAGACACATTTTTCAAACTTCTCGAATCAATGTGGATTCAGAGTTCGAATCAAGAAGAAGAAGAAGTTTTGATCAAAAATTCAGAATCGCTGCTCGCAATTACGGAAAATTCTGAAATAGAAGACGAAAGTAAAGAACATAATTGCTGATAAACTTATTTTTTTTTGAAAAAAAAACTGAAAATTGAGGGCTCCAAGTGTTCGAAACTTGAAAAAATTGACACTTTTTTGGGAGGTATTTAACTAGTAGGTTAGACTGATATTATAACTATATTCGTTGGTTTTGAAATTATTAGTGTAGATTTCTGAACATAGTTTTTATTGGTAAAAAATTCTGAATATTTTTTTAAGCTTCGGAAGGTTTAGAAACGGATATGAGAGGGCTCTGAGAACTTTAGAGAGTCTTGAGAAGCTTTAGGGACTTTCCAAAAAGCTTCCCGGTCTTATTAAGAAACAGAGGGCTTTCTTAAAGGCTTTGGGGCCTTCTTAAGAAATAGGAGGCTTTCTTAAAGGCTTTCGGGACTTCTTAAGAAATTTAGGGCTTTTTAGGGCTCTCCTAAAGGCTTTAGCGTTTCCAGAAGTTTACGAAAATATTTGAACCGGACCAGGTCAGATTTTTTTTGGTGAAAATCCCACATGAAAGTTTCCCTAAAAAGTTTATATTCATTTTTTTTCCCGAGAAAAACTTTTTCTTCCGCGAATTCTCGTCATAATCTTCCGCTGACCTAGCCAGAAAAATAGCCGAAATTGCGCAGCCGTCGGCTAGTGAAACTTTGACCGCTCGCGCGCGACAAAAAGTAGGTTAAATCGAGAGTTGCGCAATCTCCTCTCATTTCTTCATTCCTTCTTTTATTTTTGTAAGAAATATGGGGCGGAGTCATTCATGAAAACATAGATATTTTGAGGATTCTTTCAGATTTGAAGAAGAAGAAATGAACTTTTCACCGAAAATCGAAATTGTCGATTCGACAACTGAAGAAGATTATAGTAGTAATGATGAAGCTAAAAGTTCGAAAAATGAGCTAAAGAGGCCCGATTTGAAAGGTTAGTATTTTTTGGGGAAATTTTAGCATTTTTCAAATTCAAAATATAATTTCAGGCTCTTTCCGCTGCTCAATTTGCTCCAAAATCTTCTGTCACTCTTCAAGTTTGTCTCGACATCGAATGCAGGCACATTTTAAAAGTTATAAATGTACAGTATGCAAAAAGGATATTTCAAGTATGTTTTGGGTCAAATAGAGCAGCTGAAAATCCAGATTTATAGCTTCAGTTATTAGAAAATCGTGCCAAAAAATTCTAAAAATTTAGTAGATCAAAAAATCAGGGCTTCCAGATTTTTTGGCCTACAGTACTCCTTGAAAAATTTTCTCTGAAACTCTTTCCTCCTCTGAGAATTTCAGCTTTTCATCCCTAAATGCAATATAGCTACAGTAACCTTTGTAAAATAGTGCCAAACATTTAGTAAATCAAGAAATTTAGGCTTCCAGATTTTTAGAAAATTTCAGACTACTTCTGAAACTCATTCCTCCTCTGGGAATTTCAGAAAACCACAGATCACTTTCCTATTTTTTTTTGAGAATTGCGCAATTCGACCCGATTTTTTGTCGCTCGCTTATTATTTTTTCCTTCTTCATAATCTTCTCCACTTTTTTTGTTGAATTCAATTGAAATTCCACCGATTATTATTATTATTATTCATATTGTTGTTGTTGTTATGCGTAACCCGAATGACCTCAATATTCTTCTTCTTCTTTTTCTTCCCGAAAAATTGAATAACAACAAACAAAATGAAATAAAATGAAATAAAACTATTCGGAATCTCGAATGAGATGAGATCATTTGAAAATGTTTACAATTAGCAAAGGGTATAAACTTGGAAAAGACACATTTTGAAATGGTACAATTTTTGACAGAGAAATTCGCTAGACGCTGATCCTTGACAATAGAGCTTGCTAGGCTCGGCTACTTCGCATAGAAGCTCTCAAGGCGCGGCTCCTTGCCAGAGTGGATCTCTAGACGCGAGTGCTAGACAACTAAGTTTTCTAGGCTCGGCTTCTTGACCACAAGTTCAGAGGACATCTGAAAATCCTCTGACTCAGAGTTTGTAACTAAAAATTAGGAGTACAATTTTCACTTCTAAAACCACGTGGATTTTTAAGCTCAAAAACTGTCCAGAAATTTTGCCACTTGGATTTTTGAGCTCGAATTCCATTTTTTGAAAATGAGAAGTTCAAAATGGAGAAACCTAGAGTTGATCTACAGAATTTTTGGAACTTTTTCGGCACAATTTTTGAAGGGCTCATTTTTTCTCATATTCAAAATGTAACATTTTTTATACAGAAAATTTTCTGAGAAAATTTTTGCCGAATGAAAAAAAAAACAATTTCCAGGCAGTGAAAGTCTCCGAAGTCACATGTTCAAACAACATCACATCTCTCGAATGTACATGTGCCGATGTTGTAATTGGGCATTCCCTGACAAATCTCTACTCCACCTCCACCTTCAAACATCATCGAATTCTCGCATTTCAGTGATCAGTGATCCATATCAGCGTATGTTTTTCTTCACACTTTGAAAAATTGAAGATCATGTGTATTTCAAAAATTTCAGTAACTCAAAGTCCAATTTTCTGCGAGACCAATAACAATAATTCCACAAATAGTTTATTGATTGGATTACCAAAACCGATTCCAAGTAAGAAATGTCCCGATGATTTTTCCAAAAAAAATTTTTTTAGCAACAACTCCAGTTTATCTAACAGAATGCCCATCCCGAACATCTTCACAATCTCCAAGTTTTAGCGGAAGTTTTAAAAGTGATTCACAAACCAGTGCATTTCATCAGTTGGCAGCTGATCGATCTGCACCAACATCACCTTCAGAATCTTCACATTCACAATCAACATCTGATTGTTTCGATTGTCATGTGAACAAAACTCGTTTGAATATTGCAGAAAATAAATGTAAATATCTAGAATCAAGGGCTAGAACTCTACAGGTTTGTAGTTCTCTGATGTCTCTGATCTCTCTCAATTATCCAATTTTCCCTTCAGAACGAAGCTGTCGATGCGCATTCCCAACTACAATCAATTGAACTAGGCGTGCATCGATTGAGAGCGGAGAATCTGATGCTTCGCGAGCATAATGAGATTTTCCAACGAAAACTTCTAGAGTGTCAGGCTCTTGCAGTTCGATTTTTGCAAAAATCTGGTTCGGCAAATCCAACGGAAATTCAGCAATTTTTGAATTTTTTGGTTAATTCCACGATAATTGGGTCGTGAATGAATGTGTAGATACATATTTGAGAAAAATAAAGTTTTTTGAAATATTGGGAGGATTTTTGAAACAGGGGAACATGAAAATTTATAGAACTGGGCTTCCGAAAATTGGCTCATAAAAGTTAGCATAACTCAATTCAAAGTTATTTTTGTAGAAATTGAATATCAAAAATCGATCAATAATTTGAAAATTCAGAAAAAACATTCTCAATGTTGATAAAATTATGGGACTTCTGATTGAAATCTGAAAATTCTGAGCCTTCAGATTTTGACCTGATTTCAGATATGATCTTCATGAGCCAATTTGCGAAATTTTGAGAGCTAAGAACTCTGCTCAGAGATTCAGTGAGAACATTTTTCAGACTTATTTTCTTGAAAAGGATTGCTTGTAAAAAATTTATTTAGAATTTTTTTTTTGAAATAAAAACGTGAACCACTTTCATTAATAATTCCGCTTTAAAAAAAATTCATCTTCTCTAAACATTCCTAGTTATTTTTAAAAATAGATAAAACAATGTCTTTATCGTCTACAAATGGTAAATCATACATCTTTCGTCGTCTTTTTCGACTAATCCCGATATCTCATCAAAATTACAGACACTGATTTTCGTGAAGAGGAGGAAAAATTATTGACAGAATCTGGAAAACAAAATCATCCAAAATGTCTGGAATTTCGAGACATCGAAGCAACATCAATCAAAAAGAAAGGCGTTCGACAGGAAATTTTGAAAGGTGTTTCAGGGAAAGCGAAAGCTGGAGAGCTGACATTTATCATGGGATCAAGTGGAGCTGGCAAAACAACATTGCTGAATATTTTAACTGGAAGGAATTTGAAGAAAATTGAGCGAGATGGGGATATTTTAGTTAATGGAACTTTGATAACAGCTTCGGAAATCAAGAAGATCAGTGCTTATGTTCAACAAGATGATATATTTATTGATAAATTGACGGTTAAAGAGACTTTGAGATTTTCTGCAAAACTTCGATCACCGAAGAAGTTGAATGATGATGAGATAGACGAAATTGTTGAGAAACTCATGAAAGAGGTGAATTTTAAAAAGGCTTAAAATTTCAGCTCTGGACCAAATTTTGGTGCTCTAAGAATTTAGAAGCTCCAGAGCTCAAGCAAAAACTATTCATTAGAAAATTTTGAGCCAATCTCAAATTCTGAATCTAACAAAAATCCCCTCATTTTCCAGATGAACTTGAAGAAATGTGAGAACACTTTGGTTGGATCAATCTCGCAAAAAAGTCTATCCCGAGGAGAACGTAAAAGATTGGCATTTGCTTGTGAACTTCTGACTGATCCACAGATTTTATTCTGCGATGAGCCAACTTCTGGTCTAGATTCTTTCATGTCGCATAGAGTTATAAAAGCATTGAAACAACTTTGCTCACAGGGCAAAACTATTATTTGCACAATTCATCAACCAAGTACTTCGGTTTTCAAAATGGCTGATTCGTGAGTTCCTCGAAGTCTTATTTAAAAAAAAATAAATTATTTTATTTTCAGGCTTATATTACTTGCTCAAGGAAATATAGCTTATCAGGGAAGAGCTCAAGATATTGGAGAGTTTTTTGAGAAATGTGGATATCCGGTTCCAAGATTTGTGAATTCTGCAGATCATTTTATGCGTGTTTTATCTCATGGAACAGAAGAAGACGAGAATGTTTATAAAAATCGAATTGATGGAATTATTGCTGAATATGAGAATAGTAAAGAGGAATCAACATCGCATTCATCAAAGCGGGAGAAAAATAATGACAAAGTTCAGATGAAGTAGGTATCTTGATTCAAGATTCTCGAATATTCAAGCTTCCAAAATAAATTCGTGAATTTCCAGATTTCCTCGCCCTTGGATTCTTCAATTTCTATATATTTTCCATCGCTCATTGGTTGTCTTATCCCGTGATAAATTCGAGATGATTGTAAAATTTACTCAAATAATAGCAATGGCTGCAGTGTTAGGAAGTATTTATTTCAATATTTCGATTCAGAAAAGTGATTTGTTGAGTTTGAAAGGATTCGCATTTACGACTGTTCAATTGATGCATTTGCTTTTTATGTTTCAGACTTTGCCTGTGAGTTTTGGGGAGAAACTTAGGCTCTTCAAGCTCAGCAGCTTGATAAATAGGATTTCTCGGCGCGGCTACTTCTCATACGAGCTTTCAAGGCGCGGATCCTAGTCAAAGTGGTTTTCAAGGAGCTGGTCTCAGACATTTAGGCTCTCTAAGCTTTGCTTTTCGTCATAGAAGCTTTCAAGCCTCGGCTCCTTGTCAGAGTGAAATTCTAGACGCGGGTCCTAGACAATTAAGCTCCCAAAGCTCAGCTACTTGACACATAGGAGGATTTCTCGGCGCGGCTACTTGTCATAGAAGCTTTCAAGGCACCGTAGCTAGTCAAATGTGCTCTCAAGGTGCGACTATTTTCCAGAATTGGTCTCTAGGAGTTCGGCTTAGGAAAATAGGATCAATAAGCTCGGCTACTTGACAACCGAGTTCTCTAGAGTCGGCTACTTGACTTAGATGCCTTCAAGGCGCGACTCCTAGACAGTTAGGTTTTCTAGACACTAAGAGCCTTAGCGTACAAGTTTTTACTTCTGGAAACCCCAAACTCAATCCGAGAAAACTAAATTTTCAGCTTTTCTGGAAAGAATATCCGGTTGTAATCCGCGAATATCAATCAAATATGTATTCACCAAGTGCCTATTTTCTTGCAAAATCAATGTCTGACATGATTCAATATTTGATATTTCCCTTCATTTTTTGCTCGATTCTAATCTGGTCAACAAATCTTCCAAGAAGCTTCTGGCCTTTCTTTCATTATTATTCAATTAGTTTGATTTTGAGTCTACTTTCAACGTCTTTATGTGAGAAAATCTTGTTTTTTTTTTGAAAAAAAATAATCATTTTTTGCAGCTCGAGTAGTCGCTTCAATTGTTGGAGAAATTTCGAGTGCTGTGAATCTTCTGTTCACAATCACAATTCCTTTTATGGTTTTTGGTGGATTTTTCATTTCGTATGACAGAATTCCATTTTATCTTGAACCAGTTGCCGCAATTTCATGGCATAAATATGCTTATGAAGGATTTCTGATTGGGTTTATGAAGGATGTTGGTCAGATTCCTGGCTGCAATGAAACATCGACAGTTTTTCGAGAAAGTTGTTCAACCGGAATAGAATTTATCAGACAATTATCATTCAAGGAAGATAATTTATGGCTAGATTACACTGTTCTACTAACTGTTGTAGCCATTCTCAATATTGCTGGAATTTCAGCATTTGTGTGGAGAATCAGAAGATCCTAATTAATTAGTACTTATTTTTGTAGAATAAATGAATTTTGACGTGACATTTCTACAACGTGAATCAGATTGGTTTCTGAGAAAATGATGAGATCAGTTCCTAATTGTGATTTACTCAAAAACTAGTCGAATAGAAAAAATAATGTCTTTATCGTCAAAAATAGGTGAGTACAACAATAGGCGCTGCTTTAGTTAGGCTAACTTTCAAAATTTGAGCATAGCTTTCGCTGAAATTCCGATGGAAATCTGAAAAATTCTAGATTTTCTCCAGTTTTTTTCAGATTTTTATCGGATATTTCAGAAACAGAACCGTAATCCTACTGAATTTTTTCAGAAAATAATTTGCAAAAATCGGACATGTCTACTGTAACTGAACCACTTCTCCCAAAAGAATCGTCAACTCAATCAACCACCGCTGAAAGTGGCGAAATATTGAAAAACGAAGAATTGGAATTGGCAAGTGAACGATTTCGAAAAGCAAAAACACCGAAAGAAAGATTCGAGAGCGCTGAAACTGGAGTATCGCCAAAAACCACGTCTGGAAAACGATTGGTGTTTCGAGATATTCATGCGACTGCGGTGAAGAAGAAAGGTGTTCGACAGGAAATATTGAAAGGTGTGACTGGAATGGCGAAGGCTGGAGAATTGACATTTATCATGGGATCAAGTGGAGCGGGAAAGACAACATTGTTGAATATTTTAACTGGAAGGAATTTGAAGAAAATCGAAAAAGATGGAGATGTTTTTGTAAACGGCAGACAAATGACACCACTAGAAATGAAAAAGATCAGTGCCTATGTTCAACAGGATGATGTATTCATTGGTAAAATGACTGTGAAAGAAACGCTAAGATTTTCCGCAGAACTCAGATCCCCAGTCAAACTTGATAAAGAAGAGCGAGATGAGATTGTGGAAGAATTGATGGTTATGATGGGCTTGAAGAAATGTGAAGATACAATGGTTGGATCGATTTTACAGAAAAGTTTGTCACGGGGAGAAAGAAAGAGATTGGCATTTGCTTGTGAGATATTGACTGATCCGCCAATTTTATTCTGCGATGAGCCAACTTCTGGTCTAGATTCTTTTATGTCACACCAAGTTATGAAAGCTTTACGGAAATTATGTTCGGAGGGAAAGACTGTGATTTGCACAATTCATCAACCAAGTACTGCAGTCTTTAAAATGGCTGATTCGTGAGTTATTACACAAAATTATACGATGTGGGCGATAGAGCAGATTTGATTGCTCATGTTACTTTTTGTAGGGAAAAAAACGGCCCACGGTCACAGAGAGAAAACGAGAGAGTATGTGTGCAGAAGAGACGCGAGACAAGAAAGGGATATGGAAAAATCCTTAAAATTACAGACTCATTCTCCTTTCACTTGGACATATCGCATATCAAGGGACCGCTAAAAACATTGACGACTTTTTCGAGAAATGCGGTTATCCAACACCGAAATTTGTCAATTCACCCGATCATTTTATGCGTGTTCTTTCACAAGGAATTGATGAAAAAGAAGAGGTGTATAATGAGAGAATTGAGAAAATTGTGGCCGAATATGAAGCGACAAATGATCAATCATCAATGCAATCAACTCATACACCATCGACGAAAAGTGAAGGTTCACGGAAAAGATTACGGTATAGTTTTAGGCGCATTATGGATAGGACAACTAGAAGCTGAATAGATATTCAAGAAGTTTTGCAGGATTCCTCGAACTTGGTTTTGTCAATTTGCCTACGTCTTCCAACGATCACTTATGCAATTGAGTCGAGAAAAAGCGGAGCTAATTCTAAAACTTCTTCAATGTATTATGATTGCAGCTGTCTTGTCATCAATCTATTTTGGCCTAAAATTCCAGAAAGATGAATTGCCAAATTTCAAAGGTTTTGCATTTTCCAATGTTCAAATGATGCATATGCTGTTTATGATGCCAAGTTTGATGGTAAACCTTACTTCAGAAGAAATTCCGCAAAACAATCAAACATTTTCAGCTTTTCTGGAAAGATTACCCGGTTGTAGTTCGTGAATATAGTTCAAACATGTATTGTCCAAGTGCGTATTTCATTGCGAAAACGATGGCCGATACAATTCAATATATCATATTTCCATTTATTTTCAATACGATTTTGCTGGTCACAACTGATTTGCCAGGCGGATTTTGGCCATATTTTCATTTTTATGCAATTAGTGTGATTTTGAGTATCAATGCAACATCGATGGGTAAATTTTTTGAAGTGTGAAATCGGAGATTTTTTGCGCTAGGCAGTTGAGATCTTGGTTTTCAATCGTAATTATAAGATAGACTAGGTTAAGACGATAAGAATGATATAATTTATGATAACTTTAAGTTAACCGTAAGTTATTTAGCGAAATTTTGACTGAAAATCGCTAAATCACATATTGGTGACGTAAAATTATCGAAAATTATATAATTCAGAGTCTCCGAAGCATAAGAACCAAGATTTAAACTGAGTTGCGCACGCCAAAAATATGAAACTACATTCTAAACTGTTTTTGTTGCAGGTCAAGCAACAGCTTCTTTGGTTGGCGATCCCGCAACAGCCATGACTGTTTTACCAACATTTGCAATACCTTTTCTGATTTTTGGCGGTTTTTTCATCTCCTTCGACGCAGTTCCCATCTATTTTCAACCATTTGCCGCACTTTCTTGGTACAAATATGCATTTGAAGCATATATTATCATGTTTTCACAAGAAGTTGATCAAATTCCAGGCTAGTTTTTTTTCGAAATTCGAATAACTTTCTCAACCTATTTTCTATAGGCTGTGATGTTCGAGATTCGGTGTACGAAGATACTTGTTCAACCGGAGCCGAATTTATCAAAAGCATGGCATTTACTCCAAGACTATGGTTGGATTATTTATGCCTAATTCTAACTGTCATATTCTTCAAATTGGTTGGAATTGCTGCATTCACTTGGAGAGTTAGAAGAACTTGAATAAATTCTTTCATTTGTGTATTATGTTCAATACATATATGTGCATTATTATTATGGCTTCTTGAAATATTACCTTAAACTCGCTGTCTTTTTGCATCTGGTGGTCCATCATTGTCATTCTGTCCAGCAGATTGTTGTTGCGCAGCTTTTGCTTGTGCCGCCGCCACCGCAGCCAATGCTTTTTCCTTTTCAATCTTCTTCAACGCCAAATCTTGTCTCTTCTTTCTTGCTCGAATATCTGGAGCTACCATTTGTCGACACTCAGCACTAACTTGAATATAGGTCTTTGGAGTCATCTGAAAATATATAATTTTCTAACATTATTCATAGAAGCTTCGAAAAATGCGTACATGTTTCTCTAGAATATGGAAAATAGCCCAAAATGCTGTGTGACTTGATGATTCGTGTTGTTTTGTTCCTGCGTAGAATTGAATCACATCGTTGACTTTGAATGGTTTGATGTAGTACTCAGATGAACCGATTTCCTGAAGAAAATGTGAATTGAAAAATTTTATAATTTGCCACGTCATCTTACTCCTCTTGCGATGAAATTGATAGCAATCAGTGGGTTTTCTCGATCTTCATTTCCAGGCGGATACTCAAAGACTGGAGAATCAGTCAAGCAAACTAATGTGACACGCAAGTCATTGAACTTTTCGAGCATTTTCGAAACATCATATCCTCCTCGACTGTGCGCAACAATATTGATTTTCTTCGCTGGACACGGATGCACCAAAAATTGCCAGGCATGGATACAATGTTCTACCGGGTTTTCACTGTATTTCAATGGAGAATATCCGCCATTTCGATAATCTTTGAAGGAATTGTGATTCGAATTAAACACCAAAACACCCCAATTGTTTTCGATCGCTTTGTTGATATATTCCAATTGTGTTCCGGATTCCAAATCTTCATTGATAATCAATCTTCTTGCCCATTGTCCAGCTCGAACTACTCCGGAACCGTGGATCAGAATGAGAATAGTCTCTTTTTGGAAGTAATCGGGTGTGGCGAAGATGAAACCAACTTCTTCGTCTGGAATTGTGCAGCCACTTGGTTTGATTGGGATTTGAACCAGTCCACATCTTTCTTTCATCAATTTGTATACTTCGATCTCTACAGCTTCGCCTAATTCTTCATATTGCTCTTGAGTTGTGAAATTGAATTTCACATTGTCCTGAAACAACACTATTTTGAAATAAAAACTTCAAAATCAGAAAACTTCACGTACACTGATTGTCCGAAGAACATCTTTGTCGTCGAAATAATAGCCAAGTGCCTCTAGTTTCGAACTTTCAACCATTTCTACCTGAAATACAACAAGTTTTCGGCTAAAATAGAGAAAAGGTGCGCAAGAAACAGAGAAAAAAAGAAAGCGAGAAATTTTTAAATCGATGGCCTAGAAAACCAAACGAGCAACGATGCTCAGCTGATAAACTGGACGTTTGCCAAAAAAATATTACACTTTCTTTTTTTCCCGTTTGTCCAGTTTCGCAACCACCCAAAAAACTATTCAAATTAATTTTTCAGTTACTATGGCATTAGTCGAAAGTGACATTAAACATGATAATTCTACAAGACCCGAATCACCAACTTGCGCAGCTTCTGGTCAGCTGACAACACAAGATTTGGATAGGCATATCGAAAAACTGATGAGATGCGAATTGATCACTGAACAAGAAGTGAAATCATTGTGTGCAAAAGCAAGAGAGATTCTTGCCGAAGAGGGAAATGTTCAAGTAATTGATTCTCCTGTCACGATATGCGGTGATATTCACGGACAATTTTATGATCTTATGGAATTGTTCAAAGTGGGCGGTGCTGTACCGAATACAAATTATCTATTCCTCGGTGATTTTGTTGATCGTGGCTTTTATTCCGTTGAAACATTCCTCCTTCTTTTGGCATTAAAAGCCAGATATCCGGATCGAATGATGCTTATAAGAGGAAATCATGAGAGTAGGCAAATTACACAAGTCTACGGTTTTTATGATGAATGTTTGCGGAAATATGGAAATGCATCAGTTTGGAAACATTGCACAGAAGTGTTCGATTATTTAGCGCTGGCCGCTGTTATTGATGGAAAAGTGAGATTTGAAAAAAGTTCATTTTAATTATGCATTTTATAGGTTTTTTGTGTTCACGGTGGTTTGTCGCCTTCAATTTCAACAATGGATCAAATTCGAGTAATTGATCGAAAACAAGAAGTTCCACACGATGGTCCAATGTGTGATTTATTATGGTCCGATCCAGAAGAGGGAAATGTTGGATGGGGTTTGAGTCCAAGAGGTGCTGGATATTTATTTGGTGCTGACGCTTCGAAGGTTAGCTTGAATTCTAGATTCTGTAATAATAAAGTAATTTTTCAGACTTTCTGTGAGACGAACGGCGTTGATTTAATCTGCAGAGCTCATCAACTTGTGATGGAAGGATATAAATGGCATTTCAATGAGAAAGTTTTGACGGTCTGGTCAGCACCAAACTATTGTTATAGATGTGGAAATGTGGCGGCAATCTTGGAACTCGACGAGAATCTCAACAAAGAATTCACAATCTTCGACGCAGCGCCACAGGAAAATCGCGGAGCACCCGCTAAAAAACCGCACGCCGACTATTTCTTGTGAAAACATTCAATTTTTATTTTATTTTTTTTTTCGAAAAACTGGTGCAAATCTTTTTTTTCTTCTGAACTCTGAAAAAAGTATGATTAATTATTATGCTTTATTTTTTGTGCTATTTTCTATAAACTTTAATTTTATTTTTTTGTTTGATATTTGAATTTATAGTTACAATTGGTTTTAGAAAAACCCTCAAATATCTTATTCATATTTTTTTTTCCTTTTGAGAATTGGTGAGAATTTTACAGAAAAAATGCTTCGGGTTTTGTCACGACAAGCTTTTGGTGTGATACGTGCTAATTATTCTTCAGCTTCAGCTGGAGGTCAAGTTTTGAATGAGGAATTGAAGAAGAGAATTGATGGATTAGTGAAGGCAAGCGATGTGGTTGTTTTCATGAAAGGAACTCAACAAGAACCAATGTGTGGATTTTCGAAAAATGTCAAACTTGTGCTCGATTTTCACAACATCAAATTCAATGATCATAATGTTTTAGCTGATGCAGAATTGAGAGAAGGAATCAAAGTTTACAGTGATTGGCCAACAATTCCACAGGTTTTTGAAAACTTCTCACATAAATAAATAACAATTTCATTTTTTATTAAGGTTTATGTGAAAGGTGAATTTGTGGGCGGTTGTGATATTATGATCTCAATGCACAAAGATGGTGAAATTAGCGACTTTTTCGATGAGAAAAATATTCCAAACAAATATGGAAAGAAATAAGTTTCGGAACCATTTTGGAAAAAATGTTGTTTAGATGTTATATAAATAGGTTTTTATTATTGTCAACGAGAAAAAAATTCAGACAAACACATTTATTCAAGTACTTTGTTGATTATTCTCAACTTCCTTTTCGCCTTCATCCGATTCCGAGTCGGTTACCGGCACATATTGAAAGCCGGGCCGGCAACCCTGTTCCCGGGCCTCCTTCTGCAAAAAAAAATTATTCCTCCATTTCCTGATCAAAAAACATTCTAACTTACTATTCTTTTTTTCCTCGGGCCGGAAACATCTTCCCGAGGGAAGAGGGGCTTTTTCTTGCCCCTCTTCCTCGGGACCTTCTTTTTCCTTACTTCCTTTTTCGGTTTCGGTTGATCTACCATTTTGAATTCAAATACACAATTAAAAATATTTAATCACAACCAGCAACTGTATTTATACAAAACATTTACACGTCATTTAGGTTATTTGTGGAAGATAAGATCTAACGTGTAAAAAATATTATGTTCATTTTTTTGAAAACATTTTCTTCAGTGTGTATTTTCTGTTGTGCGTTGTGCACAATTGTGTAGGAAAATAATCAGGCCCGCAAATTTTCCATACGGTTTAAAGGAACACAGGTGATGTTTGTTGTCTGGGTCTTGCCACGACAAAGGAGCGCAGCAAGTTTCAAATTTGTTTTTCGTTTTAGGCATTTCTCGTTTTTTTTCAGTCGCAACCTGTTTGCAAGCTTGCTGCGAGTTTTGTCATGAATTTTAGAAGTTAGGTGTGATTATCAGTTTTCTAGACTGTCTATAGTTCAGTTTAGATGAACTTTGTTCTTGTATAATTTTGAAAATGTTCTAATTTTTCATTTCGAAACGAAATTTCGAAATTTTACTGATGACCTATTTCAATTTTAAATTCTTTCCTAACACTCATTTGAATTAAGTAGCATTAGTATTCGGCTGGACAAATATACATGTTCTTCTTCTTCTTGTTCCTCCAAATTTGGACGCGGAAAAACGAAACGCACTCACAAGACAATCAAACGAACGAAAAGACGTACTTTTCCTTCTCTTTTTTTTTTGCATTTTACATCTGCGTCTCCTCTCTTTTTTCCCATTCAAACCAGTGTCCGACCAGTCGTCGATTTTTTGTTTTGCGCGCCAAAAAATACTCCTTTTCAGCCAGCGCCAGTTTTTGAACAAAAATTTCATAATTGTGGTGGTCCCCGTGTGTAAAAATATTGATTTCCCTGTTTATTCAAGCGTGCTGAATAAGTATTTTCATTTCCGTATTGAAGAAGAAGAAGAAAACAATTCAAGAAGAAGCTAGTTTTTATTGCAGTTTTATAACCTTCTGGAACACATATTTTATATAGATGAAACAGAAACAGAAATTTGGTTTTATTTTTTTTTCTTTTTGTTGACAAATGTTATTAGAGACACTCTTTTTTTATAATCTGTCAGAAATATGTGTCTCCTGAGAGTTGCGAAATCTTTTTTCGGACTAATTATTTCGTTTGTCCTCTTTTCTTTTTTGATGCGAATGATGATGAAATTTGATGCTAAATAAAGGATTTAATTTCAGAATGTTAGCCATTGGGATGCATGTAGAGATCCAGCGATCCGATGGCCGAATTCATGGAGCGGTAATTGCTGAAGTTCGGAAAAATGGTCGATTTATGGTGGAATGGCATGAGAATGTAAGTGTTTCACAAAAAAAGCTGGGGAAAAAAAGGGAATCGATAGGGTTACATAAGTAATTATTTATTTTGTTTCGTCTGAATGCATTTGGGATTAGTTGAGCCTTACCAAAAAAAAAACGAAAAGAATGCATGAACTTATTTCAAATATTTTTGCAGGGTGAAACAAAGGGAAAGGAATCAACACTCGATGAATTGCTCAAATTGAATCCGACGCTCAAGAAAAAGGAACCAACACCTCAGCCAATTGCTCGTCGTCCACCTTCTGATGATGAAGACACATTCTTGTTGGATATTGTTTATGAAAGGAAAGATCGAAGTGTGGCGAAGAATACGAGAAGAACCGCAACAAATGGTGATTCTCATCGAATTGAGCCGGTTGCTCCAGTTCAACGACGTGAACCTTCACCAGTTCATCGTGATCCTTCTCCAATCAATCGTGCTCCGTCTCCAGCAGCAGCTCAACCAAGAAGAGCAACTCAACCACCGGAACAAATTGTCAAACCACAAACTCGAATCAATCCACCAAGAGCTTCGACAAACTCGGTGACTGCTCCAAAATCATTGCCAACAGTGGCGAAAGTTGAGAAACCAATTGAAAAACGTGATCCAAGTCCTGTCAAAGTTGTGAGACCAATCACACCAATTCAAGATGTTCCGAAAGCTTATCCACAACAAGATGTTCCGTCGACAAATCAACATTTCGCGTTTGCTGAAATGATCAAGAGTTTTAGAACGAATGTAGGTTTTTGTCCAGGAAAAATTGAAACATTTCAAATATTTTTGCAGATTGATTATCGTCCATTGACATTATTCGATAATGTAACCGAAAATAGAATATCTGTTTGCGTTCGGAAACGTCCAATGAATAAAAAAGAATCAGCAAAAGGCGAAGTTGATGTTGTGACAATTCCAAATGGTGACATAATTGTTCTTCATCAACCACAAGTTCGTGTTGATATGACAAAATTCCTGGAAAATCAGAAATTCCGTTTCGATTATTCGTTCGACGAGACTTCAAACAATGAAACGGTTTATCGTTTCACAGCTCAACCACTTGTCAAAACAATTTTCGAACAAGGAACTGCGACATGTTTTGCGTATGGTCAAACTGGTTCCGGTAAAACGCACACGATGGGTGGCGATTTCTCCGGCAAGAAACAGAATGCCTCTTTGGGAATATATGCGCTGACAGCGCGTGATGTTTTCGAAATGGTCAAATCGCCGGCGTATAGAAAGAAGGATCTTCAAGTTTATTGTGCATTTTTCGAAATCTATGGCTCGAAATGTTTCGATTTGTTGAATGATAAAAATAGTTTGAGAGTGCTCGAAGATCAACAGCAGAAGGTTCAAGTGGTTGGGTTGAAGGAAGAATTGGCGACTTGTGAGCAAGATGTATTGGATTTGATTACAAAAGGCTCACTTGTTAGAACTGCTGGAACAACATCAGCGAATGCTAATTCATCAAGATCTCATGCCGTGTTTCAAATTATTTTGAGAAAGTTGGTTTTAATTTTTTTTTCTTTTTTTTGTTGTTGAAAATTTTATTTCATCATTTTGCAGAGAGAAGAAGTTGTGGGGGAAGTTTTCATTGATCGATTTGGCCGGAAACGAAAGAGGTCAAGATACTCGTGACAGTGACAGAGAAACTCGTCAAGAAGGAGCTGCCATCAACACTTCTCTATTGGCATTGAAAGAGTGTATTCGAGGAATGGCTAGAAATAGCACACATATTCCATTTCGACAATCGAAATTGACGATGGTTTTACGAGATAGTTTTATGGGAGAAAAGTCGAGAACTGTTATGATTTCGATGATTTCACCTGGAATTTCGTCGAGTGAAAACACTTTGAATACTCTGAGATATGCTGATAGGTGAGTATTTTCATTTGAAAATCGTTAGGAAATATTTTTCAAACCTAATTTAATAGGAGTTTTTTTTTCAAAATATCATAATTTCGGGAAATTTTCAAGGTTTCATTGAGAAAAAAATCCCAAAAAATCACTGTTTCAAAATGTTTTAAATTAAATTTATCAGAGAAAAATTGAGAGAAATTCAAAAACAAAATTTGACTGCGTACTAGGCTGAGTATCAAACCTCACTGACGCGTGGATTTTGAAACCTGAATTTTCTGAAAATTGTGAATTTTCATTTATAAAGTATGAATTTTCATTTATAAAGTATAAAACCTGAATTTTCTGAAAAATTATAAAAATGAGCTTTACCACTAACTTTGTTCTGAAATTTAAAAATTTTAAGAGATTCTGGAAATATTAATTTTTTGTTTTATTCAAAATTTCAATTTTCGACCAAAATCTGAACAAAAATTTTTGTAATTTTATTAAAAAGACTTCTGAAATCTGAAAAAGTTCACGCCTAAAAAGAATATCAAAAATATTTTTTTTCAGAGTAAAAGAAATGGGAACGGATGGAAATGGCGATGCAACTCCGATTCGAGACGAGGAAATGTTCCTTCCGCCAAAAATCGACGAATCCGACGAAGACGAGGAGGACAACAACACAATGACAAAAGCGGCCGAAAATCGAGCAACGTTCATCGACAACACGAAACGAGCCGAAAACCTATTGCCACGTATTCTCGAAGATGCCTGTTCGACTGACAACTATACGAGCAGTCAAAAACGAGAACTTTCGCAAAAAATCGACAACATTATCGATATTTTGAACAATGCCAAAGATGCACTACGCAACACTTGATTTTTTTCCATGTGAATATTATTTTTTAACACTTTTTTTCTATTTATTTATTTTAGATTTTTCTTGTGACTAACGGGTTTTATTGAATGATTTTGGGCAATAAATGTGCCAATTTTTATTGCGAAAATTAGTTTATTAAATAATTGATAACCCGAAAAAACAACAAAGGCAAGTAAGTATGTGATAAATAGGTATTTGAATCTAGATAGTTTCCCAAACATTTTTCGATAAATCACTTGAGAGATTTGGTGTATCTCTTGGCTCTGGGCCAACTCCCAAATCACCAACAAATCGCTCATAATCGGTTGATTTCAAGCCACATGGTCTACGGAATTCATTTCCTTTCTCATGAATCCATTTGTTGGAAACCCATTTGATACCAACTAAAACTGGACAAGCCGCGTGGCGAGTATCTGGATTACCGTCTCCTTGACGGAAAAGATTGTACCAGAAAAGTGCGTCGTTCTGGAAAAAAGTGGGTTTTTTGGGTTTTTATTTTGGAAAACTTGAAATTTTTTTCGAAATTTTGTGATTTTTCGAAGTTTCTGAAAAAACTGAAATTATAAAATAATGCCTGAAGTTGTTTTCAGAATTACAAAAAAAATCAAAGGAATTGGGCCCAAATCTATTTTTCAAAAAAAATGTTCTTAAAATGTTTGTTTTTGAGAATTGAATTTTTGATTTTCTGAAATCAGGAAAAACTTTTTTTTTTGAAATTTTGAAAATCTTTTAAAATCTAACCTTTGTTGGCAAAATTGTGGATTTCGCTTCGGTGAATACAGTACCTCCTCCGTGTTGTGGTTGAGACATCTGAAATTATGGGAAAATTAAAGATTTTTTCTAAATTTTTAGGAATCAGGTCCCCAAGAAGATTCTAAAAAATTCTAAATCGAGTTTTCACCCCTCAAAAACATAGCACCACACAAAACAAGAAAATGCGCTCTAATGCACAAATTTTTTCCGAAAAAACTTACATAGAATAACACTGTAGCAATACGATTACCAGTTCCAAGTGATTTAAATGATTCCGATTCCTCTTTCTTCGCATGATCAAAATGTGGATCATAATGTCCACCAATTCCATAATTAGCGATTTGTAATTCTTCCGCAGTTTCCATCTCCAAATTAGTCATCAAATCAATTCTCTTGTTAACTCTCGCAACAACTTCATGTTCCCATTCTTTAAGCCAAGCACTTTTACTAATTCTATAAGTTGCGGTAACTAGTTTTCCAGTCACTGAATCATGAACTGTTGCTCTTGCCAACTTTGGCTTTGCTAATTCTTGAATTTGTGCAATTTCATCGTCACTTATGACTTCTTTAAATAACACTGCTAATGGATTGAATCTTTTGATCTCAACTTTGATTGGAGCATAAACTAGGAATGGTCGATCACGTTTATAATAACAATAGAGTTTTGAGATGTCTTTTTGGCTGACTGGAACTTCATCACGACATAATGCTTCATACATGGTTCTTTCTTGATTTCCGAGAACACTGTCTGGTCGACGATTTGCGATTTTTGGAACATTTCGACGCATTTCGGATTTTCGGACACCTTCTTGTTCCAATAAATCTTCATACCATTTTACGTTTCCTTTGGCACGTGGATGAGTTGGATCTGGAAAATTTTAAGGGGTAATAAATTCTGAGAAAATCATTTCTGAGGGTCGTGCGACTTGGGAAATTATAATATTAGGTTGACACGTGGCACAAAAATCTAGATGGGGACCTTTTTTCCCAAATACCCTATTGATATACATAGAACCTAGACCACCAGAAAGCTAGAGACGCAGAGAAGTCAGAGAATCAGACGAGACGCAGAGAAACTCGCTTGCGATTTACATTCGCCTATAGATAATGTAGAATTAGGAGATATAGAGAAGTCAGACAGTTAGAAAGTCAGAGACGCAGAGAAGCCAAATAATTAGAAAGCCTAATTGAGTTAGAGACGCAGAGAATCTCGATTGCGGTATACACTCGCTTAAAGATAATTTAGAAATAGGAGAGACAGAGAAGTCAGACATTTAGAAAGTCAGAGAATTAGAGATCCTTATAAAGTTAGAGGCGCAGAGAAGCCAAACAATTAGAGATCCTAAAAGAGTTAGAGACCCAGAGAAACACAACACTTTCTTTGCTCGATTACACATCGTGTAGAATTAAAAGACAGAGAGAAATCAGACAGTTAGAAAGTCAGAGACGCAGAAACCCCCTCCCCCTGTACTCACTCAATTTATAAAGTTGTTCAGTCAATTGCAAAGCATTCTTCAAATTTCCTTGTTTATACAAAGCAAACGCCAAATATTCCAAAATATCTTCCAAATCAGCAGTTGGTTCATCTCCCTCATCACCCAATCTTCTTTGCGCCTCTTCCATCCACATAACAGTATGGAAATAATCTTGCTCATTATAAGCACTTCTCGCAATTTCGAAACAATCTCTAGCTGAGAACGTGTAGTTTCCTTGTTCTTTATAAATCTTTCCATCAGCTAGATCTTTAGTGTCAAGTCGATAAGTGTCTTGAAGTCTGAGCAAAGCAATCGCAGCTCCATTTAGATCATCTTCTGTTGGATAACGAACACCATAGGAGGAATCGGAGACGGTTTGAATGAAGCTATCAGCTTTGTTTGCATTCATTTTGTTTTCCAATGCTTTCCAATCAAATATTTTTCTCTTGATTAATAGAAATGCGTTGATTGGATTTGTAATATCTTTCAAACCATTATCAATCGATTTTTCATTTTTCACAATATATTCATCTTTCAATTTTTTCAACTCAACCAGCCGTTTTTCCTCCTGTTCAATATAATTTTGCAAAACTTTTGGAATATTTTTCTCAGTCTCCAATAAACTTTGCATTTCAGCGATTGATGTGAATAAATCAGCAGATGCCAAGTGAACGGCTATTAGAAGAATTAGAAGTTTCAGCATTATGGTGAATGTGGGAATAACACCTGCAAAAATATATGTGAAAAATATAAGTGCGCAATGGTATTTATGTGAAACAAATTGAGAGGAGAAATATTGTGGGAGGGAGAGAGGTTGAGAGAATCAACATGTAAGAAGACGTTGAATAAAAGAAGAGTGTAAACTAGGGTTGATTGCGAAATAGAAAATGAAGATTTGAGATTCTAAAGAAAATCAGGTAAATCTAGAAAACTTCGAAATGGCTACAGTAATTCAAAAAAGTATTACCTAGGAAGTTCGGCGCCAAAAAAATTCTGTAGAAGTTTTATATGGGAGCAAGACACAGTTCCCTAGGAATTTTTTTGATTCAAAAAATATTTGATCCACAGATTCTGAACTTCAAGATACAGTAACCTCAGGTGAACTATACATAATCTTAAAATGACAGGATTTTTTTTTACATTTGATCTACAGATTTTGAACTTCAAGATACAGTAACATCATGTACACTAATCGGCTATGGAGAAAAATTAAGATCTGATTGTGAGCTGTAATTTTCAGACTTTAGAAAATAACGTTTATTTTTTGTTAGAACATTTTTAGAATCACCTAATTAAGATACTAATTTTCAATAAAAATCCCCCTTTAGCTCAAATAATTTTGATTTCATTGTATTTTTAACGAGAGCTGTAATTTTCAGACTCTGAAATTCAAGCTCAAATTCAATCTTATTTGATTCTAAAAAAGGAAAGTTATTTTTGATCAGACAAAAAAAAACTTGATTCGGTCCATTTTTGCACTTCAAATGATCCAAAAAACAAAATAATTTTTGAATCTAATTGAAAGAAAAAATATATTAGGAAATCCTTGAAGCTAAACAGGTTAGAAAATGTAGTGTAAAGAAGAAGAAGTGTTGTCACGTATTCTGAATAATACCACGACAAGAAGAAGAAAAATACAAATGAAGAAGGCGGGGAAGAGAGAGAGGAGACGCAGAGAGAATAGAGAAAGGTCAAGGAAGCGAGATGTTTTTGAGATAAATAGGATATTGTCGTTCCGAAAAAAAAAGACCGTTGGAAGAGAACCGAAATGGCCTAGGAAACCAAAATACAGTAGACTTCGCAAAATTTTGGAGTCTTTTTGAAAAATAAAATGCGAAATTTACACGCTGGCTATTTGCCAACCAGTTTGATATGCATGTGTCACGTCATTTTTAGTCTACTGTACGTGAGCGCCAATTTAAACGGGGGTTCTTTTTATTTTCGGAATGACAATATATTTATTTATGTTGTAAATTATTAATTATGGGCAAAATATTAATATTGATCCATTAAATATTTAAAAAATAAACAATTATCAAAAAACGTTTCTAGTTTGATCAAAGTTCATGCTCCGGCCCGGAAAACCACAATTTTTTTCTGTTTCAAAAAATTGTTCGCAACAGAAATGCGTCTTTCTTATTATAAGCATTTCTGCAACAGAAGAAAAGACCAGAAGCGTAAAAATAGTGGAGGTTTAGAGAAAAAAGCGACCTCCTGATGGGCGAAAAAAAAGAAATAGTAGAAGAAGAAGATGAACACGTTGGAAGTTTTGACATAGATTTTTTTGCGGTTTTTTTTCGGGAACTGCTAGCTAGAAACTGGTTTTGTGGATGGAAAAAAGGAAGAAAAGGAAACGATAATAATAATAAGATGATGAAAATATATTAATAATGTTTTAATTAAAAATTTGGGATAGAAAAAGTTTCTGAAACTCTGACAGTTGACAAATATTTGTTCAACTTATTGGGATTTTTTTTTAATTCAGGGGAACTTGTGCTAAGTACAAAAAATTGGGAAAAAAACATAGTAAATCATGTTTGCTCTATCGCACACTTGTGTGTACTTCTCTCGGAATCCAAATATTTTTCGTGATCCGTTTGGAAATCAGAGTCAGCCTGCGCGAAAAATAAATTTGAATTTGCGACAATCTCGCGATGCGTGTGCGTCGCGGTCGCTTCTCGATACAAAAACCCCGTTGGCTGTTTGCCAGCGGCTTGCGTCTCTTGGAGAGAATTCAAATTTTTTTCACCAGAAAAAGTGTGCCAGCGTTGCAAAACTGCATGTTCACCTTGCAAAATTCCTCTCAAAGTACGTAACTTTGTCGTGGAAGAGAAAGCCAAATATACAGAAAATGCGCTCTAATGCACAACTTTGATGTGTGCGTGTTTGCAGATTTCACCTGCAACACCTTGACGCCTATTTGCAGGCAATCTTTTTTTTTGTTTGAAGCGAAAATTTTATGAAAAGAAAAAAATTAAAACGTGACCTACTAACCCGATTTTTTCGACGCGTCAAAAAATCTGGTCTTTCTCGATTATTTCTCATTGACGAATATCTGACGAAAAATAATTGAAATCTTCCGATCAAACCAATGAATATGTTCATGTTTGCGCAGGTATTTGAAACCACTCTAACAAAAATCAATCAATAATTACAGTACCTCTTATTGGCAATCGCTTCCTGTTTGATGCTTTCAATAATCAACTGTGGTGGAAAGAAAAAACCGGCGGCCGGTGCAAAATCGGCGGCTGAAAAGGGGAAATCGGAGAAGGGCAACAAATCGGCTGCTCCAGGTGCTCCAGGTGCTCCGGCTGGAGGTGCTGCCAAACCAACCGATGATAAAGTGACCGATGTGAGTTTCTTTTTTTTGTTTTTTTTTAAATCTAGATTTCAATATGAATTTTTGCAGGACGGAAATTATGAAGAATTGGCAGTTCCACAATAGTTTTTATGGAAATAAACTGTTTTACTCGCAATTTTTTGTTGTTTTTTAATGAAATCTGTGAAAAAGGTACTGTATCTGAAAAATGCGGGAATTTATTATTTTGAAAAATGAGGAAAATTGGCATCAAAAATATTTAGGTCACGTGGAAATTCTGGAAAAAGATAAAAGGGTTTTTCAAAAAATAAATGCTACAGTAATCCTTGCAGTCCGGAATGATCCTAGACTACAGTATCCTCGTCAGCTCGGGGCACACCTGACGAGACGTGTCCAAAAGGGACACTGTACAAAAATTTTCAAAAGCCACACTGTACATTTTTTCATGAAAAAGTTTAGTTTTCATTGATTTTCTGCGAATTTTGATGACAATTTTCAAAAAATTAAACATTTCACGCTGCACAATTTTTTTTGGCCAAATTTTCCACGCTGCACAAAAATTTTAGGACACTCTCTCGCCAGGTGTGGCTCGGGGTATAGTATACCTTGCAATTTGAAGGTTTTCAACTACAGTAATCCTTGCAGTCCGGAATATCCGAGGTTTTCAATTTTTGCAGTCCGGAACAACCCTATGCTATCGTAATCCTTGCAGTTCGGGGTACAGCATACCTTGCAATCTGAAGATTTTCAACTACAGTAATCCTTGCAGTCCGGAACAACCCTATGCTATCGTAATCCTTGCAGTTCGGGGTACAGCATACCTTGCAATCGGAAGGTTTTCAACTACAGTAATCCTTGCAGTCCAGAACAACCTTAGGGTACAGTATCCTTTGCAGTTTGGGGTACAGTATATCCACAAGTTCGCCTAAGTTCTATGACGTCATATACTATTTAAAAAATTTCAGAACACTTTTTTGTTATATCATATTAGTTCTCAGGCTGACATAAGCCAAAGTTTGAGGCAGGCAAAGCCAGAACTTTTGAGTTAAAAATATTTATTCCTCCTATCATTTTGCAATAAAATTACAAACATTTCAAACATTCGGAGTTTCTCCTTTGATCACAGATGACGTATCTTTCGTCGTTACAACTCCAATCTTCCCCCTCTTCATTCGACAAAAAATCACATCTCGAAAATCTCGAATCATAAAAATAACAGTCAATGCATCCAGCGCCGGATAAATACTCGCATAAGCTCCAGTTGTATTCGCAATTGTTCCCAAATCAATCGAAAACATTGGAAGTGTAAAAAGTATCGAAACCGGGATGAAAAGTGTGAATAATGGGACTAATGTTTGAACAACAAGGGTTTGAAATAATTGACGATTCAGATTTTTTGTGCGATTGCTCATGTTTGGGATATGATCTAGTTCTTTGTAACATCGATATCCACAATAAATCATTGTTGAAAAACAAATATTCATAATTAGAACAGCTATGCAAGAATCATACCAATCAAGCCAATCAATAATCAAGTTATTAGAACTGTCCCTGTGCTGAAAATCAAGAAAACTTTTTTTCTCAACTCAAAGAGAATATTTTTGAGAGCTCACATAGTATAAAATTGAGACGTAGGGAACATCATAAATATCAACTTGATAGGATTCCAAAACTGTTTCACTGTAAAAAAGAAATTGAGTATATTATAGGAATACCAGGGAAATCTTACTATAATAATTGCGATTTCAGCGGAGCAGGTTTCAAAATAAAATATGAGTTTAGAGTCCAAATCGTAGCCATGATTATTCCGGGAATAAACATTTTGATAAGCCTAAAGCCTTCGAAAGAAGCTAAAGCTTGACGCTTGCAAACTGCTAGATATCTGTAGAAAAAATGAGCAGCTAGGAGACCGATGCATAGACCAAACGAGCCGATGTACAAACCTGAATTTGAAAAAAATTGGACCAGGCTCTAAAGAAGATTCAGAATATTAGCTTCTTCTTCCCAAAAAAAATCTCACATAGCAAAATGAGGCCAGCAAAATGATGTTCCTTGAGAAAACTATCAACCATCATCACAAAAATCGAGCCCTTTGAGTGCATAATTGGTTGAACACAAAATTCAACAATAGCAAACCAGATTGAATAAAATGCAAAGTTTAACATGAGATATTTGTAGGATCCAACTTTTTTGCTCATTTTTGTGGCAATTAGGAATGCGAGAAATAAATTGAGAAAGACTGAAGTAATGAAACCGCAATATTGGATTATTCGAACAAACATCGCTGGAATAAAATGAATGAAATCAGGCGGAGGAAAATGATAAATCACAAAAAATATCATAGACGAGACTAATTCAAAAGATCAAACGATGTAAGTTGAATACATTATTCTGACAAAAACCTAATCCTAACATAAGGTTGACGGAAAATGCCACAAATAAATAAATGATGACGTAAAAATGTAAAGGAAGGATAAAGATCACTCTAGCCAACTAAAAATACGTGAGTTATTCATACAAAATCAAATTGTCAAAAAGTGTAAATAACATTGAATCACAAATAATTCAATTCAATTTTGGGTATTGTTATTTATTTTTGGAATAACTTCCTTCCTTGAATATTTGAGAACTATAATTATATTTCAAAAAAAAAAATAAAAAATCACATGTTCGTGTCATAGAAACCCAAAAATTAAACAAAACTTTAAATCAGAACAGCGCCAGAAGATTTTAGTTAATATGAGCAATGGCTCAAATTTTGAAAAAGATTTTAAACTTCCGAAAAGCCACGTGGCAACTAATTTTAGATTAAAAAAATTTCCACTTGAAAATGGTTGTAATCTGAGCAAGGTAACATGAGCAATCGTTCAAAAATTGACAAAATTTTTTTTCAAAATCTGCACCTTTGAAAAATCTACATGGAAAAGAAAATTTCAGCTAACATGAGCAATGGGTTAAAAAATAGACAAAATATTCTACCATTCAATAAAATCGCCCAGTGTACAATTCGTATAGAAATATTTTTTTCCGGATTTTTGTGACAACGGCGGATATTTTTTCCGAAAATATGCGTTACCGGATATAGGGACAAAACAGCGGGCCGTGGGACTCGAACCCACAAAATTAAGCGGGTTGAATAGAACACAGAGCTCTTCCCCACTACACCACGCGTGTAGATAAGAAATGAGGCACTTTTGGTAAATATATATTTATCAGAATTTCACGTGACTCAGATAATCAGGAATAGAAAAAAATCTTTATACCTATGAAACATTTCATAGTTTGTTTTTCAATAAAATCTAGAAGCTGATCCTATACCATCAAGTGTAATTCAAAGCTTTATCTAATCATTTAAACATAGTAATTTATAAACAACGTTCAATAGTAATTATGAATTAAAAACTCTACCCAATATTTTTCAATGATGCTCTAATCTCACCTGTTAGTTTTGCTCCCCCCCCAAACCTCAAAATAAACTAACTTGACTGGCCCGTTCCGTGAAAAGTTGTTGATATCTTCGAATGTCCTGTCTAAACCAAACATCATCTTGTTCGGAAGCCTGAAACTTCGACATTCTTTTTCTCAAAATTTTCGCCTATTCTTAAACTTACATCAGACAATGACAATTGTGGATTTGATAGGACCACTGCATTCTGTGACTGTTGTCTCTGAAAAAATAACAAAATTAAAAAATGTACCAAACCACCCCATTAATAACTTTTTCTGCGCTGAAAAAAACCATTCAAAAACGAGAAAAATAAACAAAAAATAAAAAGGGCGTGGAAAAAAAATAAAAGAAAAACAACGATACTCCGCGTGCACGTTGTTTAGTTTATTGTGTTGTTTTTTTTGCAGTGTAGACGAGAGAGTGTGGTAATGGGGAGAGAGTTAGAGAGAGAGATATATATGTTTTTTATTTGAAAAGAAATTATTGATTGAACGTTTTTTTCTCGAACTGAATCATTTTTCTGGGTTTTTTTTCAGAGCAGAAAATGTTATTAATGGGGTGATTTGGTACATTTTTTAATTTTCTTATTTTTTCAGAGACAACAGTCACAGAATGCAGCGGTCCTATCAAATCCACAATTGTCATTTTCTGATGTAAGTTTAAGAATAGGCGAAAATTTTGAGAAAAAGAATGTCGAAGTTTCAGGCTTCCGAACAAGATGATGTTTGGTTTAGACAGGACATTCGAAGATATCAACAACTTTTCACGGAAAGGACCAGTCAAGTTAGTTTATTTTGAGGTTTGGGGGGGGGGAGGAACAAAACTAACAGGTGAGATTTGAGCTTCATTGAAAAATATTGGATAAAGTTTTTATTCATAATTACTATTGATGTTAAAGGAAAGTTGTTTATAAATTACTATGTTTAAATGATTAGATGAAGCTTTGAATTACACTTGATGGTATAGGATCAGCTTCCAGATTTTATTGAAAAACAAACTATGAAATGTTTCATAGGTAGATTAATTTTTTCATAGTTTAATGCAGGCACCGCCCCTAGTCGAAAGATTTCAAAAGTCACGTGGCAAGTGAATTAAAATTTTCTACTCAAAAATGCTCATAATCTGAGCAATGAAAAAATTCGCGGAACTTTTTTTTTCCAATACAAAAAATCAAACTAAATTTTCATTGAAAATGCAAAAAATCAGGCTCATTCCACACTTTTGGTTTTGTTGTCCGCATTTTTTTCAGGCTTCTTCGTTTTGCCAAGTTCTCTGCAAAAATTGGAAATTTTTATAAAAATGAGAAAAATATTATTCTAACAAATAAGTCATGTGAAAAAAGTGATGCACTTGAAATAATGTTCTTTGATACAATGTCTATACAAAACAAAAAGATTACTGTAGGGCCCCCCACTTACTTTGTCTTCTTCTTGATTGAACGTTTGGCTTCGAATGAAAAATATGAGGCGACCAGGGAAATTGTACTCGCAACCAGCATTAGGGAGGATAAAATCAATTCAACTGTGATTGTTTTTGACTTCCTGAAAAATAAAAATAAAATTTTTTTTTCTGAATTTTCAAACTCAAACTCACTTTGCAGCTGTCTGGGCTGCTGTAACTGGCTTTGATTCAACTCTAGATGTTGTCACTGGCTTTGGATTTGGTGGGATAGTTATAGGTGCAGCTTGTTTTGTAGTTGCAGCAACTGTGACTGGTGCTGTAGCTTGTTTTGTTGTCGGCGCATCAGTCTGAACTACAGTAGTTGAAGGTTTCGCTGTGGCTACTGTAGTTGGAACTACAGTAGTTGTTGGAGCTATAGTAGTCGTTGGAACTACAGTAGTTGTTGGAACTACTGTGGTCACAACTACAGTAGTCGTTGGAGCTACAGTAGTTGTTGGAGCTACAGTAGTTGTTGGAGCTACTGTAGTAGTTGGAGCTACTGTTGTAGTCGGAGCTACTGTAGTAGTAGGAGCTACAGTAGTCGTTGGAGCTACTGTAGTGGTTGGAGCTACCGTAGTGGTTGGAGCTACTGTAGTGGTTGGAGCTACAGTAGTTGTTGGAGCTACTGTAGTGGTTGGAGCTACAGTAGTTGTTGGAGCTACTGTAGTTGTTGGAGCTACAGTAGTAGTTGGAGCTACAGTAGTCGTGGTTTTGGCAACTGTAGAAGTTTGTACCGTAGTATCTGGAGCCTTTGTAGTTGTAGCCTTGGTGCTCGGAACTTTGGTAGTTGTGGCCTTGGTTAGAATCTTCGGAGGTTTTGTAGTCTTATTTGGAGGTTTCGTAGCTTTTTTTGTAATCACAACAACTTTGGCAGCGGTGGTTTTGACTGCTGAATCAAGCCGACTTGTCGAATTATCAGCTCCCAGATCGCCGACTTCTGACATATCGAAGAAATCATCCAAATCTCCCAATGCATCATATTCCTGTTGTTGCACTTCAGCCAAACTCGACGATGCCAAAATCATCATTATCATCATGAGAATACCAACAAAATACGATGATAATAGAATATTATTCATTCTCTTGAAAGTATCGTTCTAATCAATCCAGCTGCTCACAATTTCGATTTTGTTGACGTTTTGAAAAATGCCGGATTTGGGTGTGGTGGATTTTTTTTTGTTTGGAAAAAAATTGGGTCACGTTTGGTTTTTTAATTTTTTAAAATTTTTACCCGAATTTTTGGGTGCGGCACAGTTTTGTGGGCGTGGCTTAATATATAGCTTTCATGATAAAAACTGAGCTTTAGAGATTCCTAAAAAAACCGCGAGGCACAGAAAAATGAGCGGGGCTTATTTGGTGTCAAAAATCGCTTAACTTTTGCTGCGGCACAGTATTGTGGACGTGGCTTAATATATAGCTTTCATGATAAAAACTGAGCTTGAAAGATTCTCCAGAAAAACCGCGAGGCACAGAAAAATGGGCGGGGCTTATTTGGTGTCAAAAATCACTGAACTTCTGCTGCGGCACAGTTTTGTGGGCGGGGCTTAAAATAAATCGTGTTTGGTTTCAAAAGATTCCAAATTTCGTGTAGATCATCCAAAACTGTCAAAAATCGCTGAACGTTTGCTGGGGCACAGTTTTGTGGGCGGGGCTTAAACTAAATCGTGTTTGGTGTCAAAAGATTCCAATTTTCGTGTAAACCATCAAATTAGATAGAATTTCAAACAGAATTTTCCGACTTTGAAATTTTCCGGAATCCAGAGACTTCCTATATTTCCGGAAGGACATGTGTAATTTTGCATATCTTTTTTGGTGTTGCCATTTTCAATACTCTTTTTCGGGGCCGATTTGTTCTCCCCTGGGACAGCCAAAAATCCCCCTTTTTTTGTGAAACTTGTCCGACTTTTCCTCTTCTCGTCATTATTCAAAAAAATATCCACAACACACCACACTTTTTTTCTTTTTTTTCCATAAAAATACTAGATTTCATGCCACGTGGCAAATAATTTTTTATTTTGAAAGTTGTTCTGTTTTTTTAAAAGGTCCCGAAGGATAGAGTTTAATGAGCTTTTGTTTTCCAAATGTTCTTTTTTTTCGTCGTCGTTTTTTTCATGAAAAATCAAGTGGCTCTTTTTTTTTGTTTCAAGAAACTTCCTATGCATTTCCAAAAATGAGGAATATTTTGGGCGTCTTCTCAATTTTGGTCCATTTTAAGGTAACCTTGAACAAAACTTAACTTCAATTTCAAAACAAAAACGAAAATATTTACAGACAAAATGCGACTATACAGAAATAATGAATATGAAATTGGGTGTCAAAGTCGAATTGCCAAATATAGTTTATGATAATGAATCGATAATAACATCAACTGGACATCCGAAATGTAAGATGAGTATTCATCGAACCGATTTGGGGACAAATCAATGTGCGAGACAGCAATTAGGAATACATGATAAGATTGATTGGTCGACTAAGTTATGCTATATTTGGCATTGTCCAACGTGTAAGTTTTTGGTTTCTGAAATTTTTAAGGATAAGCCTAAGCTAAGGTTAGGATAGGGAATTTGCCTAAGTCTTTAGTAAAGCCTATAAAGAAGCCTAAGCCTAAATTGAGGGGGAGAGTTTTGCCCAAGGCTTTAGTTAAGCCTATCAAGAATCCTAAGCCTAGAGTTAGACTTAGAGTTGAGCCTCAGCCTTTCGTTAAGCCTATGAAGAAGCCTAAGCCTAAAGTAAGGGTGAGAGTTTCGCCCAAGCATTTAGTTAAGCCTATGAAGAAGCCTAAGCCTACGCTAAGGTTCATGGTTGTGCCCAAGCCTTTAGTAGGGCCTATAGAGAGGCCTAAGTCTAGAGTTAGAATTAAAGTTGTGCCCAAGCCTTTAGATAAGTCTATGAAGAAGCCTAAGGCTTAAAGTTGAGCCCAAGCTTTCAGTTAAGCCTACCAAGAAGCCTAAGATAGTCAAACTAGTTTAGTTTTCCACGTCATAGCCTCTGGGCTTCATCTGAGTTAGCCTAAATTCTACTGAATCTCTCCCGTCAGCTTCAAAATCCAATTATTTCCAGTAAAATACGCAATGCGAGTCGAAAATTGTTGGATGGGTTCACCTCGTCATCCAGTCACAATTCTCGACAAAAACGGTTGCTCGCCCGAAAAAATCATGCTGGAAACTCCAGTCTATTCATCGTATAATAAAGCAGTCGCATCGGGTTTCGCATCGATTCGACAAGAAAATATGAAACATATTCATTTTGGTTGCACAATTCGATTATGTCATGTTTGTGATGTTTCTTGTCAAGCGATGACGGTGGGTTTTTTTCATTTTTTGTTGGGAAATACATATTTAACATTTCATGAGCAAGTAATTTCAGCCACCTCGAACATGCAATGATAATTTAACCAACGATTACGATGCAATGTGGGCTTCATCTTCAAAAATGCGCAATTTTTGTTATCCAACTACAACCATATCTCCAAATGATCTCAACTCTAATTTATCATCAGGAAATTTCAAATTCTTAATTTTCACCCTGTCTTTTCTGCTCTCTTGAATTCCTACTTCAAAAATCCCTGTTTTCCTCTTGTTTTGCAAATGAAAAATATCAGCCGATTTGTTTTTGCTGACATGAGCAACAGACGTTTTTTTCTTGCTTTAAACTCTTGTACTTACGTAAAACGACAACTGTTTTTGAGAAGGAAAAAAATGAAAAGCTGACAAAATGTTTTTTTTTCTGGTTCGAACCTTGAACTTAGATAGATATTTTTCAAAAAAAAGTTATCAGTGTTCGTTGCAGAATGTAAAAAAAAAGTGTGATAAAAATATGAAATTACGTAAAAGTACACGTTGATGACGTCAGAGAAAGTGAAAAGGTTTTGATTGATTGATTCAAATTCAGAGATCAGAAAATCAGATTTTTTCGGAAGAGGGAAAAATGAAGGAGGAAAAACCTTGGAAGAGAACCGATATGACCTAGAAAACCAAATATTTTCTCTTTCAATACAAAAAATCAAAGCAACCGCGAAGTCTACTGTATTTTGGTTTTCTCTTCCACGGATAAAAAACTCAAAAAATTTTAATCCAAGAAATATTTTTTAAAATTAAATCGTGATCACGTGAAAATGTGTCATTCCAAGTCATTTCTTCGAAAATTCTGGAAAACAACTGAAATTTTTTTTGGTGATTTGGTATCTTATCAAAAAAAAACCTAGGTTTTGCACTTTTTTGTAGTTTAGTTTATCACATTTTGCCTGTAACTTCTAAATATTTCCGCATTTTTTCCCTCACTACATTTCCCAATATTTTTTCCTCGAATCTTTCATTCTTTGGCCCGACCTATGTGCTGTTTTCGACCAACTGTTTTCTTTTTGCTGCTTCTTTTTTATCTTCGAGATAAATAAATAAAAAAGATCAAAATAACATCGATTTATCAACAATTTAACTTGTAGCTTATTCATATCTCAAGTACGTTTTTCTTTTCTCCACAGACAAAAAATATACTTTTGCAATTCACTTTTTTTATTAAATGGATGGATAGCAAATATCAAATATATAATAGACGTCAAAACCTTTCTTATTAGACCCGGCCAAAAATATTGCGTGGGAGCTGTCAATCGCGATTGCGCGCGCTAAATTCAAATATTTGAATTTTCTAAACTTTGCTCTTACAGTACAAGTTTCTATCATTCAATTTTCAATCAATAATTGATACAGAACTCTTATGCCTCTTATCAAAAGGTAATAATTTGATTACGTAAAGCGTGGGAAATCAAATGATAAAAATGCACTTTTAGTTCAGCTTTTAGACCGCCAAACTTTTTTCATATTGTCGAGACCCAAACAAAAAACAATGTGCGCCTTTAATAGGGTGTACGGTTGACGCGTTTTTTCTTTTTGTTTTTCGACCAAGGTTTCTTCATTTGTCATCATTTTTATTGGAAAATTCTAATAACTTGCTAGGTTTTTGAAAAATGTTCAATTTCGAACAGATGTTTTATTTGGTGGTTTTGAAGCGAAATATTTAATTTATTCAGAAATCGACATGTTTTTGAAATTTTCGCTGTTCAAACGTTTCGTTGCAATAGTCTGTTGAAAAAGTTGTTTTTCTCCCCAAAAAAAAACAAAAAAGTTTTCTTAGTTTAGTTTTTCAAACTTCATAACTTGTGAGCTTTGCTCTTTTTCGCTCCAGACTTTGTTTTTGTTGATCTATCTCATTTTCAGCCGATTCTTTCTCATCCCATATACTTTTTTTCCTAATTTTTTTCCTGTTCTTCTGACAGATGTCGTCGTTTCGTTTCACCTCACCTTTTGCACAGATTTTTCATTTCTTTCTTTTTTGTTTAAAATGAAAAAAACGGCGTTGACTCCGCCCGAAATTGCCCAATCTTTGAGTAAAAAGATAAATAAAGATATCATCAAATATATCGAGATTCGATCTATTCTCGTCTTTATCGAATTGATGGGGAAAAAAAGAAGAGCATCGGAGCATTTTGATATATTTGTTCGATTTTTTTGACTTACGTTAAGTAAGGTTTCATTTTTCTTTTTATGGTAACTCATGTAGATTTCGAGTTTAGGACTTTAGCTAAATCCACACAGAAAAGTTCGCTCTATCGCACACATAATTTATCCACGTGTACTTCTCAACCATAAGATGACGTGTACCAATTCAATTCCACAATTTCATTTTTTTTTCTCTCATTCATTTCTCACATTTGTTTTTGCTCGTCGTGTCACTGGTCAAGTGTTATTTACCTTTCCTGTTCCTGTCTTCTTACTCAAAAATCATCTCCCCCCTCCCCAAATTTCTCCTTTTTTATACTACTACTTCTACTATAGTCATTGATTTTTATAAGTATTTAAATAACAAAAAGAGATCATTGTTATTATATATTAGTACTAGTATTTATATCATTCGATTTTTTCTGTGACACACACACAAAAAATGTCGCCTTATCATTTTTGTCATCGAAAATTCGAGTCACTTTAGGTCATAAGGTGGTTTCTACACGTCGTGCCACCACACAAATTCGAGGAGACGCAGACATTCATTTTCGGTTAGAAAGTCGCTGCGAGACCTCAACACATCAAAGGGCGACGCCGATGTGGTCTATAAACGCAGCGACAGACGAAAAAGCGGCGCGGCCATGCGCTATGTTTTGTGTGTGTGTCTGCTTGTCTGCTGTGTCTGCCAACAGCACACTGTATCGCCCGAGGGGGAAGGAAAGGCGAGAGATGTCTCTGCCTGTGTTAAAAGTCTGCGTCTCCCAGAAATTTAATTTTTGTATCGGCTGGCATAGCGTGTCTAGGCGTTTTTTCGTCCCTATTATTTTTTAAAAGCTAATAAGATTTTGCCTGGTTTCCGCGGCAACTTGAATGAGGAGAGATTAGATTGTACTTTTTTTGGAAAATTTTATTTCGCCATAGTTTTGTCAGAGAAAATTCAAATATTGTGAAATGCATCAAATTTTATTTAAGTTCTTGAAAATAGGCGAAAATTCTTGTTATTTTATCTGAATCTGAATATTGAGAAAAATTTCAAACCTTGAAAAATTGTTTTCCAAGAGAGAAAAATCCAATACGTATTCGAATATCTAACAATCAAACACAGTCTTTTTTGAAGTTTGTCTAACCTGCTTCCTCCTCCTAAACCCTAATTATTCTAGAGGTTTCCATGCAATACGATTATTATAAAATTAAAATGTGCAAAAGTGCGTGACGGTGTCAAACACTGACAACGAACACGTCGCACAACTACACACAAGCGAGGTTGGCTGGCCTATTTCGGTAGAAGGCAGCAACCACAAAAAAACGAAAGACAAAAATACTCTTATTGTCTGTCTGTCTCTCTTATTACACGTCATCCTTTGACATTTTTTGACCCAAAATTTTCTTGAAAGAGTGTTGTTTTTTTTTGCTTGTTCTTCCGTAACTTGTCTGTTTGTAGATGCTCTTCAAAATTTTTTTTTTATGTTTATTATCCTGAGAGATTTGTGAGATATCATCTCAATTTTGATGAGAAAATTTTGAGTTTTTTGTCGGCAGGCAGGGTTTGATTTTTCTTTTTCTACACGAAAATTCCCACAAAAAATTGATTTTTGAAAAAAAACATGAATAGGAACGACAAAAATAAACCCAAATGATTTCATTTTCTCCGATTATTGGCTCATCTTCCAAAAAAAATGTCAGATTAGAACATCTTTGATTACGGCTTCATTCATTTTCGTAAACATTTGAGCTGTTGTTTTTTTCCAGACAAAAACTAACTAGTTTTCTTTGTTTGTTAATCTGTTTTTCATTTTTTCTCCTCACTACAGAAAAAAAAAACGAAGATCCAACGTGTAATCTTATCTCATAAATGTTAACACCAGTTGTCGTTGTTTTCTCGATCTCTGAAGAAAAACAACTTCGAAGTACGATCTTCAGAATGCTAATGCAAGCGCGCTCTACCGACAATACATATTTAATATGCCGACGCAGTTTTTTTATTGTTGTTAGTTGGTCAATAAGCGGAAGGTGTTCAGAGGAGGAATTACTATTGAACATAGCCTAAATAAAATGTTCATATTTTTGCGCAAGTCAATCGAAATCTTTGGTTTAAATCGTATTCATAGGATAGAACGTCTCAAGACAATTCGAATGATATAACTTTTTATGACTTTACGTTATCCGTAAGTGATTAAGCGATGTTTAGTCAATAGGCTTGACTTATCAACTAAACGTCCTTAAATCACTTATGGGTAAGGTAAAGTCATCAAAAGTTATATCATTCGAATTGTCTTGAGCCGGTCTATCCTATGAATACGATGGAAACCGAAGATTTCAATTGACTTAGATTTAACGATGTAGAAATGAGAAAAATGTGTTCAAGAACACCGAGTTTTCGTGAAAACTTCAGTAGTTATTTATTTTTTCCAGTATACTTATGTTATTGTTTTTTGCACAAGTCACAAAAACAAAAAAACGAAAAATTTGTTGGGCGAGTTGGAAGTTTTCGTTTCCTGAGAAGCTCGGCTTCTAGTTTTGCCATTATCCCTCATATTGTAAAGAGATGTTTTTATTTTCTATCTTTTTCAGTTTCTCCGTCGCCGTTTTCTACTTTACACAATATATATAGAAAGAAAAGATATCTTCAACTCTTTGCTCTTCTTTCACTTCTTCTTTATCTTATTCTTGTTCCTTTTCTTCAGCCTCGTTGACTTTTTGAATTGAATACAATTCAATTTCATTTTTTTTGCAGAATAAAAACCCAAACTTGTTAACTTGGGTACACCATGGAGGACGCGCACGCCAAAGAAGCCGATGAGGTGTGCAAATTTTTTGGCACCGGGCCAGAAGGATTGAGTGATTCACAAATCGATAACCTGCGGAAGAAATATGGAGAGAATGGTGAGTTCTTTTGTTCTTTCTGTGAGAAGATCTAAAAGTTTTCGAAAAAAAGAAATCTACATTTGATAATTTTTGGAAATGCTTTCAAATTCTATTGAATTCGAGGCCAAATAATGAAACTTCCAATTTGTTTCAATGCTCCATCTGAATTGCTTTCAAATAATCATAAAATCAGTGGTTTCGCTTTATTTTATATGAAAAAACAGATGTGTTTTATTTAAAAACCTCCCACACACAAAAAACACATTTTCGATAGACAGTTTCCAAAGTTCTCGAATTCCAAACTGTTCCAAAAAACATGCAGAAAAAAGTTGTTGTATCTTCATTCATCTATCTTGCCATTTGTTCACATTTTTGTGAATGTGTGTGCAAAAGATGAAACCTGAGTAGGATCTTTCGATGTGTGTATGTTGTTTTTTTGGCGTCACGAGCCGCCCGTCTTCTTCTTCTTCTTCATCTTCAAAATCCTGGGAGTTTCTCTCTCCCTCATCTTTTTTGCTTTTTTTTCATCTGAAGAAAGAACCGCCCGATTCTGATGATTTTTTATTGATTTTGAAGAAGGAACACAAAAAAGATGAGAGAAAAAATAAGGGAAAGAGGTGTTATACATAAATATACAAATATGTTATCATTGATATATAGTATTTATAAAGGGAATCAAATAACACACACAGACAAATATGGAAATTTCGATTTTTTTTGTGTAGGAATATAAGAAAGGTACTTTGGAAGGATGAAAGAGTTGAAAAGATATCAGGCAAAATGAGTAAACATTCTGAAATTAGCTTTCAATGAAACTTGATGAAACTTGCTTCTGAACATGATCCTGAAGTCAAAAACTTCTCTTTTGGCTAATTTTAGAGCTCATGAGTGCTCAAAATGCATTTTTGACTTCAGGATCTTCATCAGCAGGGTCAATTCAGTAGGTTCATTGAATCCGAGCCTAGAAAATCTGAAATATTTTCATTGAGAAGTGCACTTCGGAATTCATAGTGAATTTTGAATCAGATCAGATCAGAAATCAAAATTCGGACTAAATTTTGATAATTTCTTTGTGTTATAATTAAAATTGGGTGAAAAATTCTAAAAATGATTTTCAAAACACAGAATTTCAAATCATCTTCATTTTTATTCCAGAAATGCCTGCCGAAGAAGGAAAAACATTATGGGAGTTGATTTTGGAGCAATTCGACGATTTGCTCGTCAAAATTCTCCTCCTCGCCGCCATCATCTCATTCGTCCTCGCCCTATTCGAAGAGCATGAAGATCAAACTGAAGCCGTCACCGCCTTCGTCGAACCATTTGTTATTTTGTTGATTCTTATCGCCAATGCCACAGTCGGAGTCTGGCAGGTAAGAAAATTTGGAGTTTTTACATGTTTTTTTCACGAGGAGTTCCACCAAAAAACTCGGAGAAAAAAGAGATAAAAAGTGTAATATCTTTGGTGCGTAAATGCTCTTTGCGCTCATTTTTTTGCTGTTGTTGGGCCATGAGATGATCTCAATTGATTGCGTAAATTTTTGATGGATGAGTTGATCCGGAAGAGTGTACTTTTTTTGAAGACAAATTGGTTTCTCCCCAGAAAAAAGATGTAAACATCAATCCAAATATTCAAAATCAAAAATAATATTTTTAGGAACGTAATGCCGAATCTGCCATCGAAGCCCTCAAAGAATATGAACCAGAAATGGCCAAAGTTGTTCGATCTGGACATCAAGGAATTCAAATGATCCGTGCCAAAGAACTCGTGCCAGGAGACTTGGTCGAAGTGTCAGTCGGAGACAAAATTCCAGCCGATCTTCGACTCATCAAGATCTACTCAACAACAATTCGAATTGATCAATCAATTTTGACCGGAGAATCTGTGTCAGTCATCAAACACACCGAATCAGTTCCAGATCCACGTGCCGTCAATCAAGACAAGAAGAATTGTCTGTTCTCTGGAACCAATGTTGCGTCTGGAAAAGCTCGCGGAATCGTTTTCGGAACCGGATTGAACACTGAAATCGGTAAAATTCGTACTGAAATGGCTGAAACTGAATCTGACAAGACGCCACTTCAACAAAAATTGGACGAATTCGGAGAGCAATTGTCGAAAGTCATCTCGGTCATCTGCGTCGCCGTTTGGGCCATCAACATCGGACATTTCAACGATCCAGCTCACGGTGGATCATGGGTCAAAGGAGCAATCTACTATTTCAAAATTGCTGTCGCGTTGGCTGTCGCTGCTATTCCAGAAGGTCTTCCAGCTGTTATCACAACATGTTTGGCTTTGGGAACACGTAGAATGGCCAAGAAGAATGCTATTGTCAGATCATTGCCATCTGTTGAAACTCTCGGATGTACTTCAGTCATCTGCTCTGATAAGGTAACATATTTTTGAGCTTGGAAATTTTCAAATTATTATTTTTCAGACCGGAACCTTGACCACCAATCAAATGTCTGTCTCAAAAATGTTCATTGCTGAGTCCGCCTCAGGAGATCAAATTAACTTCACCGAATTCACCATCGGAGGATCAACATACGAACCAGTTGGAAAGATTCAACAAAATGGACGTGAAGTGAGTTCAGAATTCTAGAAAATCAGAGAATAATGTTCCAATTTTCTCTAGATCATCCCAGCTAATGGAGATTACGACGCGCTCACCGAATTGGCCACAATTTGCGCTATCTGCAATGACTCGGCTGTCGATTACAACGAAACCAAGAAAATCTACGAGAAAGTCGGAGAGGCCACCGAAACCGCGTTGGTTGTTCTCGCCGAAAAATTGAACGTCTACGGAACATCGAAAGCCGGACTCGGACCAAAAGAATTGGGCGGAGTTGCCAATCGTGTCATCCAACAAAAATGGAAGAAAGAATTCACTTTGGAATTCTCGCGTGATCGTAAATCAATGTCTGCCTATTGTTTGCCAGCCGCTGGAGGATCTGGAGCCAAGATGTTTGTCAAAGGAGCGCCAGAAGGAGTGTTGGGAAGATGTACACATGTCAGAGTTAATGGACAAAAGGTTCCACTTACACCAGCAATGACACAAAAGATTGTTGATCAATGTGTTCAATATGGAACTGGAAGAGATACACTTCGTTGTTTGGCTTTGGGAACAATTGATTCGCCAATTGCAGTTTCAAGCATGAACTTGGAAGATTCCACCAAATTCGCGCAATACGAAAAAGATATCACATTTGTTGGTGTTGTTGGTATGCTCGATCCACCAAGAACTGAAGTTATGGCCTCAATCAAGGATTGTAATCATGCTGGTATTCGTGTTATTATGATTACCGGAGATAACAAGAATACTGCTGAAGCAATTGGTAGAAGAATTGGATTGTTCGGAGAAAACGAAGATACAACTGGAAAAGCTTACACTGGAAGAGAATTCGATGATTTGCCACCAGAGCAACAATCGGAAGCCTGCAGAAGAGCCAAATTGTTCGCGCGTGTCGAGCCAAGTCACAAATCAAAGATTGTCGATATTTTGCAATCACATGGTGAGATTACTGCTATGACTGGAGATGGTGTCAACGATGCGCCAGCTTTGAAAAAGGCCGAAATTGGTATTGCTATGGGATCCGGAACTGCTGTCGCCAAATCTGCATCAGAAATGGTTTTGGCTGATGACAACTTTGCCTCAATTGTATCCGCTGTTGAAGAGGGACGTGCCATTTACAACAATATGAAACAATTTATCCGCTATTTGATCTCGTCCAACGTCGGAGAAGTCGTCTCGATCTTCATGGTCGCCGCTCTCGGTATTCCAGAAGCCTTGATCCCCGTCCAACTTTTGTGGGTCAATCTTGTCACTGATGGTCTCCCAGCCACTGCTCTCGGATTCAATCCACCAGATTTGGATATTATGGACAGATCTCCACGTTCGGCCAATGATGGTTTGATCTCTGGATGGTTGTTCTTCAGATATTTGGCTGTCGGAAGTGAGTTCTTGATTGTATTCCCTGAAGTGTCTTTGTGAAGAGAATCAAAAAATGATTCTTGTATTTTAGTTTTTTTCTCTCAAAATTTCCTGTTTTTTTCCAGCCTACGTCGGAGTTGCCACCGTTGGAGCTTCAATGTGGTGGTTCTTGTTGTATGAGGAGGGACCACAAATCACCTATTATCAATTGACCCACTGGATGAGATGCGAAATTGAGCCGGACAACTTTGCCGATTTGGATTGTGCCGTCTTCGAGGATAATCATCCAAACGCTATGGCTTTGTCGGTTTTGGTTACCATCGAAATGTTGAACGCTGTCAACTCATTGTCCGAAAATCAATCGTTGTTGGTGATGCCACCATGGAAGAATATCTGGTTGATGGCCGCTATCACACTTTCCATGTCTCTTCATTTCGTTATTCTCTACGTTGATATTATGGCTACTATCTTCCAAGTGAGTTTTGTGCTTTCTAGGCGCGGCTGCTTGTGAACTAGGGTTTCTAGGATCGGATGCTTGGAATAGGAGTTCTCTAGGCGCGGGTCCTAGACAATCAGATTCTGTAGGTGTGTCTACTTGAAACCGAGGCTCTCTAGGCGCGAGTACTAGAGAGCTAGGCTTGCTAGACTTAGCTACTTGGTAGTGAAGTTTTTGAGACGTGGATCCTTATTGTGGTAAAATTCTAGACGCGGCTCCTAGACAATTAGGTTTTCAAGGCGTGACTCCTTGCCAGAGTAGATCTCTAGGCGTGGGTCCTAGACAATTAGGTTCTCTAGGCGCTGATGCTTGACAGTTGGAATTTCTAGGTGTGGCTGCTTGACAACTAGGGTTTCCAGGCCTGGCTACTTAGCATATAAGCTCTCAAGGCGTGGCTCCTTGCCAGAGTGCTTTTCTAGACTAGGGACCTAGACAATTAGATTCTCTAGGCTCAGTTACTTGACAAGCTCGAATATTTCACACAGAAGCTCCAAAGGCCACGTGAACGAGTCAAAAATCTTTCAAAATTCAGAAATTCAAAAAATTTACAGGAAATTTTTTGATTTTCACGACCTGCTTCCAATAACTTCATTTTGTTCAGATCACCCCATTGAATGTGGTCGAATGGATTGCCGTATTGAAGATCTCATTGCCAGTTTTATTGTTGGACGAAATTCTCAAATTCATTGCTCGCAACTACATCGACGGTAAGCCCGAAACAGTCGGCCAAAAAGTTCGAACAGTTGTATCGTTAACCGCGTGGATTGGAATAACTGTCGCCTACTTTGCATGGATGTTGGGACCATATGCTGATCTAATAAATCATGCATTAATCGGACCACAAGTTGATCCACATTCATATGATACTCCTCCAACTGGAGCAATCAAAAATGAATTGTAGACTTGGGAATGACATCTTCTTACACTCTGTTTGTTTTTTGTCTTTTCTAATCTTTTTTATTCGCGATTGTTTTGGAAATAATCAAAATGTTTCATAATGGTCTTCTTGTTACTTGATTTTATTCCTTTCTTACCCCGAATGTCACCTAAAGGGAGTATGTTTTCTAATTTCATGGATATTTCTATATGGAACTCCTCCCTTTAATTTGAATTGCGTGTTTTTGTGCCCTTCTTCTTGTATCATACAAGTTTTGTGCTCATTTTCATATTTTCCCTCTTCATATTTATGCCCCTTTTTCCTTTTTTGTCCTACGGTCCTTTTATCCCCATTCAAAAACTTGTCGAGACCCAAAAGATTTTCTATGATCGATTTTTATATTTCTTAATTTATTTGTTCTTACTCGTGATATGAATTTTATTGATGAAAAATAACAGTGTGCTTTTTTTTTTTTGAATTCTAATACCTTTGGTAACTTACCTCTGTGTTTTCTTTGGATTTTTGTGTGGAAATTCTCTAAACCTCTTGGGGAAAAATAATCAATAATGAATTACAGTTGAACCAGCGGCAAAATCAAAGAAGGACTAAATCGAGTCACATCAAAAATTGAAGAAATCTTTCAAGTTCTCTCTAGTTATTTTTTTTTTGCTCTTTTCGGTTAGAAATCTCTTTTTTTTTTCATTTTTTGTTCATTTTTCTACGGTGATCATTCATTTTCGCCTTATTCTTTTTGTCTGTCCTCATTCTTATAGGATAGTGTTCTTAAATTTGTCTGAAAACATGTAAATCGACACGATTTGTGTAATAAAAATGTGAAAATTTGGTAAATTTATTTGACAAGGAAATCGGGAATTACTTACAAAAATTTGATTTTTTTTTTGGGAGGAGCCTGTCAAGTGAAGATTTGCAAAAATAAATAAATAAAGAAAAAAGAGATCGTTTGGAAAATTGTGGTAAATAAATAGGAAGAGGGTTGGGGGTTAAAAATAAATAAATAAATTAGGAATTTTGTGATATAAAACATAACGCATTGTTTAAAGACGCGCGATTTTGAAATTCAATTTTCGCAGATTGAAAATGGTTAAAACGTCCGAGTTTGGTTTGGTGTGTGCTATTTAACATAACAAAACAGGTTGGGTTAAACATTAGAAACAAACAATTATGCTGGCAAAAATGACAGCATTTCAGGGCAATTTGACATCATCATTTCATATGGAATAACATATACATTTTGTGGTGCTGGCAATTGTGAAACACTTCCATAACCGGCATCGCTGTATTTGTTGTAGATTGAAAGTGTATCACCTTGACTGGCCGAAGTGAATGCCCTGAAAAAAACAAAAATTAGAATAATAATAAAAAATTATTTTTGAGCTGACCAAAAATTCGCTTATTCGTTTTTCGGTCAAAATTGGCCTATTATCAGATAATCGGAGTCTTTTGGTCAATTTCTGACAAAAATGTTGAGAATAATCTGGCCAAAACAGTGAATTGCTCAAAAAATGGCCAAATTTTAACTTTAAAAATGTTTGGTCAAAAATGCACCAATTCGTTTATTGGCCAAGTTCTGACCAGTTTTTCAAAAATCAAATTTTGAGCATAATTTGGCCAAAAATGCACCAATTTTTCATTTTCCTTTTCCTGTGTAGATAAAAAACATACTTATATAAATGTGGCAAAACAACAACAAAACTGTTCAATCGAATTTCAGTTTCTTGTGCAACTTTTCCCGACCAAATTTCCTCTTCTCCAAGAACAACATTTGCGAAACAGAGTGCAGCGGCAGCGACATGAGATGGTCGGAATTTCAAAAATTCATAACCCAGCATGGCCAAATCTACCAAATATTCCATCAATTGACGCGTCTTCCTGAAAAATTATTATTTGTTGGTGAAAAATTTGATTATTTAGAAAACTCACTTTTTGGCTCCATGTCTTTTAGCCAAACATGTGGCAAACCAGGAAACTGTTGGTGCAGATATAACATAATTCAATTGGGCCAACAAATATCGTTCCATCATTAGAATTTGATCGGCTTTGCAAGTTGAATCAGTGATTTCAGCAAAGTCGCGCAACTCTGGCGGATAGATTTCTTCATATTTCGAAGCAATCATAAGCGCTGTCGTTCCAACAAGTTGCAGCCGATGTTTTTCAACACAAAACTTCGACAAAACTCGATCAACCAAACTAACAGCCAAATGCAGTGTTTCTTGTTGCAAACCATATTCAATTGCTACATCATTGAACCAATCAATGAGAATCGATCGCATCTCAACAGTGATATCCGCCTGTTTTTGCATATATTTTGAAGAAGGCCGAATTTTTGTCCCCCGATCTGCCATATATTTGAAGATGTCTTTGAAATATTCATCACATGTTAGCATTTCATCGAGTTTTCGCTCTCTTTCAGCCAACGTTTTTGCATATTTCGAATCAGCATCCGAATCTTGGAATGGATTTTTCGAGATTTTGGGATATTCTTCGACTTTCACATTGATTTGTGAGAATTCGGCACGGATTGATGTTGTGGCCGATGAGATTACCGAACATCTCTGAAATAAAGAACGAATTAGATATCAAGAAATCTCACAACATCTGTTTCGCTCTTTGTCACACCTGTTTTCGTTAGAAAAAAGATATTATCGGATTGAAAAGGGGCAACCGGCAGACAGAATAATTAAAAGGTTTTCGGGATTTTTTTTTTGAAAAAAAAAACTAACATCAAAATCATCATCATCAATAAAACCCATAACAGACGGTGGAGCTGTCGACATTTCATCACAAACTGAAAGAGTTTCCGACATTTCACGAGCCATCAGAAATTGCTTTCTTGGATAATTTTGCACAACTTCTTGCTTCATCTCTGTTTTTTGTTGTTGTTCCATTTTCCGATCCAATTCATGCAACATGTTATTGTCCTCTTGACTATTCTCCCCTCCATCTTCAAAAATCTCAAAATTCTCCTCATTCGCCATAATTTTCGGCGAGAAGTCTCGTGGTTTTCGAGATTCTATTAGAAGATTTGTTCGTCCGATTTGTCTTGTCATTTTTCCACCGGCGCCAATTTTTTGCTGAGTATCATTTTGCATTTGCTTATTTGATTGCTGATTAACTGGTGCTTGAACATTTGCATTCTGAAAAGAAATTTATTTAAATTCCAAAAATTATTTTCAGTTATCAAATAAAAACTTACTTTAACGCATAGAGCTTGCCGAACAGTATTGCTTCCACGCATTTTCTTAGTTTCGCTAGGCGCTTCTCCTATTGCTTCTTCTTCGATTCCTACCGCAATTTTTTTCCTAACGCGCGCGCGCTTACTGATACCTGAAAAATAAATTATTTAAATCAATTTAGGAGCAAAATACATACATTGATACATGACGTGAGTATAATACGGTAAATATTGGGATAAATAATGGTATTTGGAGAGTATATAATATACTTAGGTCTATAAAAATCACATGGGCGTGGTTCAAAGACTTTTGGGAAGTTATTAACACCAACGAGATTACGGTCGGTAGGTGATGGCTTTGAACAAAAAGGGTGACAAGGTGTGAAAAAATGATGTTTCTTACGGTATCTCAAGGAATCTACAACACAATTCACATTTTAAAAAATAAAAAAGGAGGATTTACCTGAAGCGAAGGCTATTGAACAAGTAAATTTTACAAAATGAGAAATGATTTTCAAATATATCCACAGGAGGTCAGCACGTCAGGTTTTATTCATTTTCTAATTTTATTTTTCTAGATAGTAGCAAAAAATGAGAGTCGACGTATAAATTTGAAAAAAATTTATACGTCGAATCTGGGTTCGGAGAAACCCGAAAATCTGAAAACAAAATTCGATTCGACTTCATTAACCTAGTAACCTTTTGGCATACATCAAAGAAAAGGAAAAATCACCCAGAAAACGCCACCCAACGCGGACAAAGAACGCAGAGAGCCTAAATCCTCTATTTCTCTAATCCCACTCTCCTCTCCCACCACACTGTACACCATCATCCACCACCCACAGAACACATAAATATATCCCATCTGCTCGTTTCTTAATATATGAGACAATGTGTTGTGTGTGTATTGTGTGGATGTGGGAGTAGGAAGAAGAAGAAGAATCTATCAACGACTTGCATAACAGAACATAGGAGAAGTAATGAGCAAAAGGTGGTTTTTGGAAAAAGATATATAATTTTTCGAACCAAACTAAATTAGGTTCAAAACGTTCGTCGATAAACAAAAAATAAACATTTCTGCTATGGTCAAATAAACATAATAGAAAGAGGAAACTGAAGGTGATTGCGCAGTTTTCAGAATTGCGCAAGGGTGCAACCTTTGCGACCTTTTTGATTATTGATCGGTAACCGACGACAAATTAGACCAAGTAATCAAGGGTTGGGGAATACTTTGTATTTCGTACCGAAACCACCTTAAAATTCAAATGAAAGCCTACAACTTTGATGAAATATCAAATGTACACCTTTATAAAAACAAAACGTAGCCTTCATTGGAAACATTGTTATTTCGAAGCTCGCTTTTGACACAAATTATGACGCATCATGTGAATACATGTTTTATTCTGTTTCTTCTTTCACAGCAAGAGACAAATAGAGCAATACAATGTGGCATTTTAGTAGACGTAATAATTGTTAATGACAGAGGTACTTGGGAAGTAATCTTGTTGATATCTAATACTTTGGCAAGGTTCCAATGGATCTATTCATTATATAAGTTAGTTAGTTAGTCAATTGAAAGATGGTGCTCAAAGAAAAAGGAAAAGGCGCCGATTTGAAAGAGTGAACGTTTTGGTGAAATTATTCAAGGTTACACGCATGTTTTGAAGGTTGAAACCGTTTGGAACGCTTCTTGTAAAAGGTCAACTAGCTATAGAACATTTAGAAGAATTCATAATGAATAATTGATCAAACTGACCAATTTAAAATAATTCAATTATGAACTTCGTTTGAAAAAACCCAAATTCCAAAAAAAAGACGTTCTTGGAAATTTCCCCGGAAATCGAGAGATTTTCTAAAAAGTTGAACAAAATGAATAAAAATAAAAACAACCAACTTAAACAAAGTCAACGATATGAGATGTGAACATGAGATTAGCCAACTACCTGAGAAAAAAATCAAATTGGTGACAAGCATGAAGAAAAATGGTCGTCACGCTTTGGCATTGAATCTAGCCAAGGTTGCTGTCCCATTTTTTCGCCAAAATTGTCACACCCTGGAAAACTTGGTGGAAGAAGAACAATATATCATCAAATTTTGGCGCCAAAAAGAACATTCTACAAAGGCATGAAATATAATGATAATAATAATATATTCATGTTCATGTTCATTTTATTTGTTCTATTCATTCAACTGATAACAATAAACAGTTTTTTGGCGAGGTCAACTCAACTTGACTTGCTCGATTTTGCTTTCAATTTCAATTTAAAAAGCAAGGATCATTCGAAAAAAGTAGCAAAAGCATCACATAAATCAACCTAACGACTATTTGTCTAGGAACGGAAAGCGAAAGCTTATACATTTTCGAATAAATATATTCTGCAAACGACAATATTTCTCACAGGTCAACGCAGGCAAAAGCACGAAAAGTGTGTAATGACTCAAAAACGGCATACTTTGAATATAGCGCTAATGAGACATTTATTTATGTATAAAAAATGAGTGAGAAGGAGAAATGAAAAGAAAAAGAAGACATAAACTGTTGTTATTGTCCTCCTTCTCCTTCTTCACCTCTTCTCCATCTCGCTGATTGATCACCATTGAATAAACATTTTTGACACCAAATTTTGCAGATCTAGGTCAAATTAACACACTAAAAAAATGATGTTTCAAGCGAGCGAGCGAGAGACGAAAAAAACGAAAACGGCACCAAATATTGGTGGCAGTTAGGAGAAATCACCTCTTTGTTAGTCATCGTCATCGTACCAAGCACTACTACATTTTATGGCGCTAACTTACAACATTTGAAATTTTGGGTAAAATAGGTGGAATTCGACGTGGAATGGAGAAAATGATGAGCCGCCCAAAAAACAAAAAACCAACAACGAAAAAAACAAAATTTGAGTGTTCGCGGTTCGCGATGAGACCAAACTCAAAAGTTTGTTGTTCCTTTAACCAAACAACCGTACCCTTTGGTTTTTTTTTTTCGAAAAAAATTTATTTTCTTTTTTTTTTCGCGAAGAAATTTCGGTAAAAAATAAAATTGTTTGCAGAGAATCAGGAAAAGCTACACCAATTGGCGAAAAAGAAAAGATTGAAGTGACACACATAATTATTCATTGCCTTTATCTGCTTTTTCCCTTTGACAAACCGGATCGGATGCTTATTGTTGTTTGTGAGTTGAATTTACATTCTTCCTTCAAAAAAGTGCATTTTGTTGTTGAAAACGAAAATGTCATAAATATCAAGTGACACGCAATTTTGACATTCTCTTTTTTTTGGAAGTAGAAAAAAAGTTTGTTAATTAACTTTTTCTCTCTTACTAGACTTTCTCCCAAAATCTTCTGGAGTACATTTTCTAATAATCATTGACGCAAATTCTAGAATTAATCACATCATTTGTGACTCTAAATCTCGACTACCCTGCCTCATGAAATAACTAATCTCATAGATCAAAAATCTCGTGTGATAGTTACTAAAATCTATTTTGATGTATTCTTTTTTCTTCTGCGCGACTTTTTCTCTCTTTTTTTTTCTTTTTCAGCTCATTTTTTTCTGTTTTGCTCTTTTTTCCCTCCGAATTTCCATCTATATCCCTTCCCAACATCTCCGTATTGATTCCTTTTTCTTTTTTCTCCCCCGTCTACTTTTTTCGCGCACATATTTCAGCAAAAGTTGCAGCTTCTTTTTGTTTTTATGTTTTTCTTTCTCTAGGAGAAAAAGAAAGACTATAATTTTTGTTCATTTAAGGGTACAATTATAAAATTCCCTTTATTTATGAGATTATTTTATTGGTTTGCTTGTTTGTTTTCAGGGCGCGCGCGAAAATTTGAAATTCAAATCAGATATCTTTCAGTCCGCCGCCTGCGCGAAACACAAAAACTCCCGTTTTGATCTGTGAGTAATAAAAATGACGTTTTTTATTCATGAACCAATCGGATTTCACTTTTTTATTCATTTTCTTTTACAACTGGTTATAAACCCCTGGTCTTTGATTTAAAATATCATTCTCATCATATTTTGTATGTGTGTGGGAAGAATGCTCAATTTTTTCAAATCATTACTGATTCACCTCTCTAAACCGCCCTTTTTCCTGTTTTCACCTGAAAAAATGTTTGAGAGCCCGCCCAAATAGTTTTTTTTGCTAGGAAGACCAAATGAAATATACGTCAAAATTCTTATCTGTTCTTAACACCTTTTTTGACACTTTTTTAAATAGTGTGATAAATTTGAAACTCTCAATGAATCGATGTATTTTAGTAACAGGTGAATTTATTTTTTTTTTTTTTGAGGGAGAAGAAAATAGATTTTTTAGAAATCAAAAGATGCGAAAATACATAGTTGTCTAAATAATCCTCCAATTTTCTACTTTTCTCTTTTATTTTTTTCTTTCTCGAGTGTCGCGAAAATAAAAAAAAGAAATAAATTATTCATATTTTTTGCGGATTCTTTGAACATTTTTGATTTTTTTTCAGATTAACCATTCCATCTGATCACGGTCTACAACACGCCAACAGTCTTTCTGGACATGATGTTGGAACAAGAAGGCAAAGTCTCAAGGTAGGCATTTTCATAGGGGTGAAATTTTTTTCCAAAAAAAAAAATGAAAAACAATTTTCTCTTAAAATCATAATTCTCTAGTGACGATTTTTTTTTCGAAAAAAATAAAATGATGTTTGAATTCCCACTCAAAGAATTTATCAAGTTCAAGTTTTTTTTAAACATACAACAATAGAAGTCAATCAAACCCAGCTCATGAACATTATTTATCCTCGCCCCCTTTTATCAAATAGATTTAGCTGAACTAGAAGCTCCTCCAGAAGATGTTCCAGCTTCTTCATCATAATGATAAGAATTCCCAAGTTGTTCAACATTATCCATACCATCTGTATATTTCCAAAAACCATCAACTTGTCTCAAACTTTTCAACATAATACTATGCTTCGATTTCGAATCTATTGATTGAATATGATAGCATCTTAGATTCCCCTTACTGAAAGCTGTTGAATTATTAAAATTAACTCGAGTTGGCCCATTTTGTTTCAAACTATTAATCCACTCTTCACTTGACATAGGCTTATCCTGATCGAAAAATATCATTTTGAAATTGGGAGTGAATACGTTTGATCCTTTATGGACATCTATTATGAGTTCAACCAAATCTTTCATAGCTTCTTTATCATTAATTTGAGCAGTTGGGCATTTTTTAGATGATTTCATAGCATAAATCGAATTCAGACATAAACATGAAAGAATAATGAGAGAAATGTACATTTCTAGATGCTCAATTCTTTAGAATGCCTCAAATTTCCATTAGACTCATGTTTTTAAAATAAAAGATCATAAAATGTCTGTCTATGAGAAAAAAAGAATTCATCAAACCCCACACAAATAAACCATTAAATTTCCTTTTAATGCCAAAAAGCCTTTTTTTCAAATGCGCTCTTGAACTCCTCCAGTGATTTTTAGTGTACCATTCACTTTTGCCATCCACAAAGTTGTTCGGTATTTGGTGCCGGTTTTGTCGGTGCTCTCGAATTTTACTCCCATTTGATCATTTTGAATTGGTTTAGAATCGTTTTTCTTGAGATTTTTCTCAGATGCTGGATTTTTTTTAGAGCTTGCTGGAGGAATATTTGGCTTGATAACGGCAGTTTTCGCCTTGACTTTTAGACTTCCCGATTTTTGTGGCGGGGCAACTTTGAATTCATAGATGGAAAATAAGAGGGACAGAAGAATAATGATAGAAATTTTCATTTCTTTGAATTTTCACTTCTTCAGATTGTGATTTATTATTTCACATGCCAACTTTTAAATGGGGAAAAGTTTGAAGATCATAAAAATGTCTGTGAGATTTTTTTTTAATTGTAAAATATGTCGGAAAAACTGTATACACTATGCTAACAAAAAAAAACGGGTTCAAAAATGTTTGAATATTAAAATCCAATTATTAAAAAAAAGTCCCGCCTCAAAGGTCTCACGCAATTTCGAGCTCACAAGCCCAACTCAATTTCATTTCTCTCAAATTTCAGAACGGCAAAGCCCGAACGATGATGGGTGAAGAGATTCTGACGGAACGGAATCAGCTCTCGCGTCAAGACGCCTCATGTTTTCGAAGCCTCCGCAGTCCGCTTGGCAGGTTAGTGTACGTCATTTTATTTCCTTTTTTGTTTCTTGCAAGACTTCTTTTTGTTGTCTCCGACCGGGGTTTATCAGTGAACAATTTTAATAGTTTCTTTTTTCTCTTCTTCTACTCATCAAAAGTGTTCTGACACTGAATAAAAGCCGGAAACCATCCAAACATGGTTAAAAGAAAACCGGAGAATGACAAATAGTCAGTTTGCTCTTGCAATGTATGCATAAAGTATTTCCGTTTCGATTTTTGTAAAACAAAACAAAAAAAATTTTTTTTTTGAATATGAATCACAGCTTCCACGTTTTTCATTCATTTTTGATGCTGTCATCGAAGGAATTTATAAATTCCTAGATTTTTGGTCAATTTTTGTTGATTTTTTTCAATTGTCTAGGACCCGCATCTAGAGATAAACTCAGCCAAGGAGCCGGGCCTTGAGAGCTTCTATGCCAAATAGGCGCGTCTTAAAATTTCTGTTTTTAAGGAGCCGAGCCTAGAGAGACTGGTTTTCAAGAAGCCACGTCTAAAGAATCTAATTGTATAGGACCCACAGCTAGAGATTCAATATGGCAAGTAGCGGAGCCTAGAAACCCTAGATCTCAAGTAGCCGCGCCTAGACATCCTAGATCTCAACGAACCGTTATTAGAAAATGTGCAATTTTTTAATTTTTTAAAGTGTGCAATTTTTTAAAGTTTTAAAGCTGAACTAATTTAAAATAGTTAACCTCAATGTTTACAAGTTAATAAAATAACCTTCAAAATGTTTTTCTCATATCAGAAAATGATAAAATAATTTCGAAATTTTTAACAACATTTTCTAGTTTTTAAATTATTTTTTTACAATTAATTGTTAAAAAATTGTGTTCTCCACACTTTCTAAAAAGTTCCGAAAAAATTCAAAATTAATTTTTTCAACAATACTTTTTTCTCCAAAATTATTTTTATATGGCATAATAAAACCAAAAAATCTGGTTTTTGATTCATTTTTTCGCACTTCACCTCGTTTGTTATCAGCTGAAAAATCGCACGAATTTATTAAATTATCGATTAACATGCATAGTTTTAATATGGGTAATGAAGCGAAAAAAATGACGAGTGGGAATAAAATGGAGTGAGTGTGTGAGTAGAGAAAATTCAACTCCGCCCAAATAGTTTTTTTTCGTGTCAAAAGTTTTTTTTTGCAATATTTATTTTGGTCTTTTTTGTATTTGTCATCGATCTTCTCTCGATTTTCCTCAATTAAATTCAAATTGTCAGCAATTCAAAATATGTCTGGAGGTAGTTTGAATCGATTTCCACTTCGTCGAACTGTTCAAATTCTTCAAACTCCAGTCCAAACTGCGACAATTTTCGAAAACGTCGAATTAGAGGCAAATACAAGTGAATCAAGATTGGAAAAAGAATCGAAAACTTGTGCGGTGAAACCATTGAATAATAATAATACTGAACTTATGAAAAATGATGGAGAAACATCGGAATTAGATACTGAAGGAGAATATGAGGATTTTTCGAGGGTTGAAGATTTTTTTGATTTTGGAGATTTGAAAGATCGATTTTTGGAAGTTTTACATAAACAAGATACAAAAGAGAAGACAAAATTGTGAGTATTTTATCTTGTTTTTTGAAGCTGACTATTGAGAATTCTTGAATTTTTTTGATAAAAATTCAAAATTTGTAGTCAGACGATTTTTGACCCATGGAAGCCTTCAGAACTTGCGTGTCTAGTAGAAAACTGCGCTGTCTAGGTACCACCCCTTGAGAACCACTATGAGTAGGTATGGCGTCTTGAAATCTTCTATGTCAAGTAGACAAGTCTAGAAAAGATGGTTGTGAAGTAGGCGTGTCTAGAGAGCTTCATTACCATGTGGACTTCAAAATTTAAATTCAGATTTTTTTGTAAAATTTCAAATACTCCCTGTACTATAAAAATAGTTCTGTTAATTCCACTAAAAATTTCAAAAATTAAAAAAGTTTAAAAGTTTTTTTCTCAAAAATTGACGTGAAGTGTACTCAAACGTGTATCCTTAATATTTTTGATCATTTCTAGAAATATTTTATTCTTGTTCTAGCCTGCCTCTGAAAAACAGGTATGTAGTTTCACGGGCTTCTATTCACCTTCTTGAAAATCCCCTAAAGGTTTTTTTCGTTTCCCTGAATCACTAGGTCATCTGATCTTTGTTCTAAAAATATATTGCAATTTTTAAAAGTCTTCTAAATTGCTGCCAATTATTTCGATCGAACCTAATTTTTCCAAATTTTCGTTTATTCGTATTTTTATTTCACACGTGCTCAATCTTACGGTAGGTAGATGTTTTTCAAAAATATTATTCCGTGACAATTTTTTTGCCCAAAATCAGAAAAAGTTTAAATTGTTTTTCTCCAAAAATTTTTTACTTTTGCTAGAAAAAAAACAAAAACAATTTTCAGATTTTCTCCCGAGAGTTTACTCATTTTTCGCTCCTTAATACTCCGCCTCTAAAATAATTCAACCGGTTTTTTGTCTTCAAAAAAGATTAGGCTTAAAATTCTTGACCTTGGCGGCGCAAAATTCGATGATAGACGTCATATTCCCAGAACAGAAACACCACAGACATTTGTTCGGTTTTTGTTGTGGTTATTTTTAAAGAGTACTGTACTGTAGTATGTAGTCTGATATTTAAGCCTAATATTTTCAGCCAAAAATGTTGAGCCTAAAATTTTTAGCCTGAAATTATAGGCACGAATATTTTAAGCCTAAATTTTTTATCCTGAAATTGTTTTTCTTTGAACCTGTGTTTTGAATCTGAAATTGTCAGATAATTTTTTGTAACTAAAATTCCGAAAAATTACAAATCGAAACCATTTTTTGAAAATTTTCCCATTCGGAATTTTCTGAAAAAATAGGACGGGGTATTTTTGGAGCATTGCTCATGTTAGGTTTGAGCTCAAAGTGCTCTAATCTTCTTAGCTCCGATTCAAACATTTTCCGTTTTATTTTCATTTTTTCAAGAGTTTTGATGAAAATGTTGAAATCCAAGATCACTCACATCTTTTCAAGAAAAAAACATGTGCAAATAAAAGTATCTTCGAATTCCTCCTTTTTTTTCAACAAACACTAAAAAGAGTACAAAAATGTGAGTCAATTCAAATAAAAATAAATATAATATGAGAGATAAAACAGGGAAGTTTTATGAACTCTTCACATTTTGTCTGATTACGTCATCAATAATTATAGCATGCTGAAAAATCTCAAGAATTTTTGTGAATATGTGTTTTGTTGTCAATTTTTTTTCGCCGCCAAAAATAACATTTCGCTATTTTTGTATATAAAATATTAGCATTTTTGGCAAAAATATGGAATTTATAATTTTTCAACACCGAAAAAATGGCCGGTTTTCCCACTCTCCACTATTTGTTTTTGTGATTTGTTTCTAAAGTTAGACTAGGAGGCGTAGGCGTCTCCGAAATATCAAAATCGCAAATCGCCAGCACTCGATTTTTTTCAGAAGATCCTATTTATTTTCTTCGCCTCTAACTAAATATAATCCGCTTCTGAACAAAATTAATCAGTTGGGATTAATTTGTTGTATGAAGTGAAATAGTTTTGTTATTTTTATATTCTTTATTTTATTTTATTTTCGAAAACATAGATTTTTTGTTCATCCTATTTAATAATGATGTGTGTTTCTTTAAGCTTTACCCTATAGATTTTGAAGCTGAATTCTTCTTATTTTGTTTTTGTACAGTTTTTTTCATAAATTTCTGCGCGACTCTCTGAAGAGCACAAAATGAGCCAAGAATCGAGAATTTTCGAAAAGTTTTTGGGAGTCCATAACTCATGTTAGAAGAACTTTTATCAAAAACTGAAAATAGTTTATTCCACATTCTAAAAAACATTGTGGCTCACATCAGAAAATAGGTTCAGGTTCAGGTTCAGTTTTCGATTAAAGCTTTTCTAACATGAGTTATAGACTCTCAAAATGAATTTGGATTTTTGGAATTTTTTGGAATTCAAAAAATCTGGTCTCCGGGGAATGACTTTAGAGAAATTGAATTTCCAGAAAAATTATTCCTTCACAATTTTATTTCTAATTTTGTGAGCTGAAATTCTCTGTGAATTTTTTGTGTACCAAATACGTCCGCCCCCTCTGATTCTCTATTTCAAATCCAATCCAATCCAATTCAGCTCAACTCAATTCAATCTAAAACTAAATAAAATTGTTTGCAACAAAAAAGAGAGAGAGAAAGCTAAAAGGCATCATTAAATGCGCAATTTGAGAGCCATGCCTTTTCCTTGTTTTAATTTTGAGAATCGATTTTTCTATTTATTCCCCTTTTCTTTTTCAGTATGAATACTTAATTGTCTTTCTTTTTTCTCTTTTTCCTAGGATATATTAAACTTTTTTCTAGCACCTTCTTTTGTAATAAAAACTTCCGGTTCTCGATCTTCTTTAAAAAAAAAGTTTATCACTATTATTGTTTTCTTGTTTTCTCGCTTTCCACTCTTGAAATACATATTGTTTTTTGCTGAAGACACTGGACGTTTTCACTTATTCACCGACAACAAAAACAGCAGCGCTGCCGTCGACCAACAATGGCACCACAAAACCTAGAAAGAGTCGAAATATTCATAATTTGTTCATTAAGTTGGTGTCTTGATTTTTTCGCCCCGGTCGGAGTTGGCGAAAAATTTTTGGGTCCCAAAATATCCCGAGAAATGTATTTTTCTAATAGAAAATTCCAAAAAATATGATTTTGTATCCTAGCAAATTTAAAAGCCAGAATTTCTAAATTGCTCCAAATATCACTGGAAATCTAGGGACCCCCCCCCTCCCAACCCCAAATCTCAATCAACAATTGTATTCACTTTCCAGAACCGACGATGCATTTTTCGAATTAGACGACGATGATGAATGCTCCCTCCCATCATCTCCACCTTCTCCCTCATCAATCGACATACCTCCCTCAATATCAGTGCCCCTCCCTCCAAAATCTGCACCACCCTTCGCCACACAAATCACACCAATCGTTGGCGATGATGGTGCAACTGCTTCGTATTCGCTGAGCGGAACACCGACACCAACATTATTACATTCAGCAATGTTGCATGCGAATCATATTTCGCCAGCGCATTCTACAAATGGTGTTAGTTTCAAGGTAATACTATCTTGAGTATGAAAAATATTCTGAAAATAAATTTTTCCTTCAGATAAGCGAGGCTCGTCTTCAACAATCACTTTCTACACCTTGTAATGGATCGGAAGATGGAACTGTTCAGCGGAAAGATTCGGAATATCGGAGGTTTAAGGTAGGTTCTAGCGGATAGGGCTAGCTCGAATCTTGAGCTGCTGAAATCAGAAAATGCCAAGTCCAGTTTTTTTTTGAGAGAAAAACTAGAATTTTCAAAAATTTCCCGAATCCTTTCTGAAAATAAAAATTGTATGCTAGATTTTTAATCACAAACTCTATCGACTATCAGAAGCCAAGCCTAGAAAACCTAGTTATCAAGCAGCGGCGCCTAGAGAACCTTATTGTCTAGGACCCGCGTCTAGAGATTCACACTGACAAGGAGACGCGCCTTGATATCCTCTATATCAAGTAGCCGATCCTAGAAGACCTAATTGTCTAGGACCCGCGTCTAGAGATTCACACTGACAAGTAGCCAAGCCTAGAAAGCCTAGCCTAGGTGCTTCGAAATTCTTTTTTAAAAAAATAGAAAAAAAATCCGTGACCTTTTTTGTGACCTAGTTCATTTCATGTATTTTTCCGCCCAATTTTTTTTCGAATTCGTCATTACCCGAAAAACCAAATCCGATAATCATTTTTCAAACATTTTGTCACAAAAAAAATTACAACTAAAATTATTTCCAAAATCTATTGGTCGATTTTTCACAAGTTTGATGAGAAACATCTTCAGGTTAAGGGTTTCAGAATTTTTTCAAAAAAAAAACATAAATTTTCATTTTCAGTCCGAAGGTTCGACGGCTGGCGCGAATTTGGGAACATCGACAGAAGCTGGGATAAATGTTGGAACACCGCATTTGGACGAATTATCACCGATTGATCAGAGATTGGTTAATGGTGGATCTGGCAGATTTTCATTGATGCAGGTAAGATTCTGAAGGCATCTAGAAGATCTAGAAGACATCTCAAAAATTTTGCAGCAAGATTCGGTTGTGAATCCAGCAATCACAACAAAACAATCACATACGGAACAAGTTGCGATGATGCATACGTTGAAAACAAAAGCATCAAAATATCAAGCATTCATTGATCGAGCTATCGAATGTATGGCTAAGAATACAGATGAAAAGATTTTGGAGGTAAAGATTTCTGAATACAGTACCCCCTAACAAACTAGAGTCTATTTAGGGATGCGCGATAATTATAAAATTGATGAAAAAAGCATGGAGAACGCCGAAAGTTTGCAACGATCTTGGAAATGTTTTATGCGATTATTTGAGAGATCGAGAACATTTGGATAAACTTATCAAAATGTTTTTGAACACAAATACTTGTGAACAAGGTAACCCTAATTAAGTCCCAATTCCTAATTAATTATTTTTCTGATTTCAGTCCGAATGTGTTGCGGTAAAGTTCTTGAAGAAGTTATGTCTCCGGGAAATCGGGATTATATTGTTAACAAGGTATTAGGAGGAATGATTTTGAATCAAAAATTAAAATTAAAATTTTTTAGAATTATCTGAAAAAGATTATGACAATGGCTATGAAATTGAACAAAAATCCCGATCAACAAAGGCTTAGTTTGAGCTTGATGGAAAGTATGTTCAATCATAATACAACATCTACGCTGTGGTGAGTTAGAAGAACTTGGGAGTTCAAGAAGCCAAGCCTAGAGAGTAGAGAGTGTCAAGCATCACCGCCTAGAGAAGCAGTTTGGCTAGGAGCCGTGTCTAGAGATTAATTCTGGAAAGCAGCCACGCCTAGAGGTTCAATATGGAAAGCAGATGCGCCTATGGGCTCAATATGAGATTCACTATTGCAAGCTGCCGCCCCTAGAGGTTCCTCCCGTAAAGCAGCCGGGCCTTGTGAGCTCTATGCCAAGATTCTAAGCCTAGATATCCTATTTGTCAAGTAGCCGCGCCTAGAGAAGCAGTTTGGCTAGGAGCCGTGTCTAGAGATTCATTCTGGAAAGCAGCAACGCCTTAAGGTTCATTCTGGAAAGCAATCAGGCCTTGTGAGCTCTATGCCTAGTTTCTCAGCCTAGATATTTTAGTTATCAAGTAGTCGCCCCTAGAGACTTCAACTGTCAAGCATTGCTCCCTAGAGAAGCAGTTTGGATAGGAGCCACGCCTTGCGGTTCCCCTCTGTAGATTCCTCGGAACAATACGTTTCAGTGTTCTCTTAACCTTTGAGTTACCAATTTTCGAGTGCTTGATTCATTCAGTTTTTTGACTAACTTCAAAAAAACTTTTTTCCCAGAAAAAATATCTCATATGAAGGAAAAACCTCCACAAAAATTGTTAAAATTTTTTTTTCAAAAATCCAAATTCATTTCCAGCCTCATTGAATTCGGCGTATTGGACCACATTCTGCTAACCTGTAAAAGAGCAACAGGCTGCCCAGACACTTTAAGACATGCCGCATTGGGTCTATCAAATTTGGCACTATTCTCGTGTTCCGAAGGAAAGAAGAAAATTTTGCAGAAAAAGGTATGTCCCCGGATTTGTTTTGCATTAGATACAGTACTCATTTTTCTTCCGCCTCTTCAAATATCTTGTTCGTTTTGCAGGTTCCTGATTGGCTTTTTCTTCTCGCTAGCCAACCGGATAATATTACCCGTTACTATTCGTGTTTGGCTATTTGTATTCTGACAATTACGAAGGTACGGTATCGATCTTTGATGTTTCTATATTGATCGTCTTTTTTTAGGAACTTGAAGCAGCAGTTGCAAAATCAGGAACTCTTCCACTCATCGAACCATTTCTTCTAACTCACCAAGATTCTTCATTCATCGAAGAACATAGTCAATATACACAAGGAAAATCGAGAGATTGGCTTATGAGAATTTTACCACTTTTAAAATCACCAAGACGAGAAACGAGAAGTACTGTAGCTTTTCATTTTTGCCTTGAAGCCGCGATTAAAAAAGATCAAAACAAATTGGACCTTTTCCAGGTATGTGACATTTTATTGGAAAATGATAATTCTTATCATGAATACATATTAGTTAGGAAGGGAAAGGGAAGGAATTTGAATAGTTTTTTTCCCATAGTAGTAGTAAAACTATGTATGAATCATTGTAGGCATAAATGAATAAGAAATTTATGTTTGAATTAATTTTTTTTTCGAAAATATTTGAGGAATGTGATGTTTAGAAATGATTAAGCAATATTGTTTTTAGTTTTTTAAAATAAAAATAGAAAAAAGTCCCAGAAAGAAAATAAACAATTTTGTTGCAAAAACCATAAAAATATTGAGCAAAAAGAAAAGTCACCCCACCACGCATTCGATGATAATTTTTATCATTTTTATTGTCATAATCATCATCGTCGTCATAGATTTTGCTTTTTCTTATCGCAAATTTCACCCCGTGAACTTTGATAGTTTCGCACAAAGGAATTTGACCGCGCTGACTAAGGATTTCCAAAAATCGAAAACAATTTTTGGCGAAATGAGATAATAATTGATAAACTTTGAATTGGATCAGAGACTTTTTATATACAATTTTTCCGTGAAGAAAAAAGTGCGAACGTGGCGCAGTGGCAGCGCGCTGAGCTCATATTCTACTCCGTTTTGCTGGCTCGAGTTCGATCCCGGGTGCGCGCGACTTTTTTTTTTTGAAAATCCCTGCAATTTCATAACACTGCTCCCCTTTTGGCAACAATTCAACTTTGTCAGTTTGTCGTCACACGTGGTTTTCTCTCAATATTTTCTATCGAATAATCTATAAATATCGGTGAAAAACTAGTTTGTCCCTTGTCACTGTGAGAAGATATAAATATCAACAACACGAATATTTTGTGCGTGTGTGTTTTTTGATTTTTGAAAATGTCTATCTTATAGGTTTTATTTTGATTCACTTCTCTCCGGAATCTTATGATGTAGTCAAAGTTGAATTCAAAATTTGTGTGGTCTCCCAATGATCTTTTCACATTGTTTTTATGGCCGCGCATGATTTTTTTTTGGTTTTGGATTCAGATTATTGTTTGATTTTTGACGATTTGATCTTCGATTCGATGTTAGTATGTAGGCTCGATTCTCCGAGATTTTTTATAATTTTGTTCGGGATAACCTTTGAATTAGTCACGTGGTGTCTAAATAGTCACATATCACTAATTAATGTCATAATAATAATAGTTGTATTATCTTCTTCTTCTTCTTGGATTTTTTGCAACGTCAGCACTCATCTTTTCGCTCGCGTCTCCGTCTCTCCTCATTTTCTATCAATAAATCAATCACTCACTTAATTTTGTTATTGTTTGCATAGACAGGATATAATTGCGAAAAGTTTCGAAATTTGGACTCACGCCAAACTTTTCATTTTCCTCATTAGCGTCCATTAATCGAGGTACAAAGATACAAAAAAACACACACGACAAGATCAGAAATCTGTGACGTAGAAATGTGGAGAGGAGTGGAAATTTGGCTAATTTTGGCGGGGGAATTCGAACTGTCCGATGGTCATCTGAAAATTAGGATTGAGAGGGATTTTGAGAGGAACTCTTGAGAGACGAAAGGTTTCCGCGTCGTAGGAATCGCAAGCTACGGCTTCAGCTAGAAGATTTCCACGTCATGATAATCCACGTGGCGTATTTCTCCCTGGAAATTTGCATCACCTGTAAAAATGATGCAATTATTTTTCGAATGTCTCTATTTGTTGGTGACCCCAACCTGTCGCAACTTTTATTTGAATAAGGTTGATATATATGGCAAGTGTGTGGTTATTTCGCAACACCATTTTCTCTTCTTGTAATTATTTCCCGCGCAGTTAAAAGCCTTTCTTCGCCGAATAAAATTGCAACGTCACAAATGGCATGGGAATTTACCAAAATTTTTTATCATCAATAAACCCTAGGTCACACATTTTTTAAAGTGCTAAGGGTTTTCTGACGTTCTTAATTTTTTGCTGACCAGCATTAGGTCGTTTTTGAATTCATTAAGAAGCTTAAAAAGGTGTCTGCATCGTCACATGTGGCAATAATAAGACGAAACGAGTCGGAAATAGGTCTTTTAGATAAGAGAGAAACAAACTCGGATTAGGGTTACTGTAGATTGAGCTAATTATGATGTGTACGTCACAAGCTTGTATTGAGGAAAAACATGGTCTGAAGTGATTTGATTGGAAAAAATACGTTTCAAGTTGTTTTCTAGTTTATGGCTCATGTAGGCTAGAGTATAGTTTAAGGCTCAGACCTAGCCTATTCCCTCTGGCCTAGACATGAAACTCTGAACTACAGTCTAGTTTGAGGCTGAGCCTTGCCACGTTAGATTTCGTTTTTTTCCCAGAGAATTTCAACAACTCTCTAGTTACACTAAGTTAAAGTTTCAAAATATTCCCGCCAAAGAGCATATTTCAAAAGATGACTTCCTTTAACTCGCACATTTTTCCCCCTGCAAAATCAACCGAAAAAGTGGGCGGAGTCTCGAATTTGTAGACACACTACACTAGACGAAGAGACGCAGAGAAAAAGAACATTTTCTCATGAGTGTGTTTATTGTACGGTTATTTAGTGTTATATTCTATAGTTAAAATGACTACCGCTCTTTCTCCTAATAATATTAATATTTCAACAACTTCTACTGAAGATTCTTCTTCAAATTCTCTATTGTTCACACCGAAGTTAAGACAAAGAGATGCGAATTCGAATAATATGCTAGCTATTGTTTCCCCATCCCAAAGAAATATGATTATTTCACCGGATTGTAAGAGGAATTTGATGCCACGATTTGAAACTCCGATTGCTGTAGTGTCACCGATGGATTCAAATAATCTGTTGACTCCAACTCGTCCCACTAGTCTAGCACATTTACCACAATTGGCTGTGGTGACACCGAAAATTCGAACATCTCTCAAACGTTATCCCGCAAAAGCGGCTTTTGTTATCAAACCGCAAATGTTTGCCAAAACCAAGACTGTAACTTTGGAGAGATTTCGGAAAAGTCGAACTCGCCGATTTTTTCATCCATATGCCAAGGTGAGCCTATTGCACTTTTTTCTGAAGCGTTTGTGATCAAAAATGTATTTTTTAAATCAAAGTTTGATTTTTTGGCGCAGTTTTAACTATTCTTTTTTTGTGTGATAAGAGAATTGAAATTGAAATAGAAATAAAGATTAGAAAACATTTTTTACAACAAAAAAAAAAATGTTTTTTTGAGAAATTCTAGTTGCATTCTAACATGAGTAATAGTTGGGTAAACACAAATAATTTGGTTTGGGTAAAAATATACAATTTTTTTTGATTTACATTTTTGTGAAAGCGAAGAAACACAAAAATCAAAACCGGATTCCGTTATTATTTTTCATCACAAAGCGAAACGTAATGTTTGTGAAATGATGAGTCAGCGCGAGAAATTGTCCAATTAGACTTAACAGAATTCAAAAATTTCCAAAAGATTGTGCAATTTTCTCTGACCTTATTATCTATTCTATTTCATTGAAAAGGGCCAGGGTAAATTCAAAAAAGGACCTCCTGGCGAAGTCGGGTGGCGCAATCACTTGCATTGCGTCACATCTTCCCGCTACAATACTTTAGAGTGATCAGCGGGTAGAGGAGAAGAGAATAATTGCGTAACAGGTGGGACCCACGATAAGTATAGATACGTATTTGATGACCAGGTTGAGGTTTTTTGGGGAGTTGTTGTAACCAGCGGGGGATGTGAGCAGCGAACAGAATGTTTGACACCTGTGGTGTCAGATTGGCGGGATATGGTGTAGGGAGGGTAGAGAAATGATTCTGGGTTTAGCACGACACAAAATTATCCGGGAGAAGTTCAAACCTTTTCGTCTTGAGACCAAGCGCGGGAAATTCAAAAAATTTTGGATTTGAATTTTTCTCGAAGCTCTTGATTTACCCTGTAAAAGGTCGTGTGAGGTTAAAACTAGACTGTAGTTACAAGAATATTTCCGAAATACAGTGTTTCTAAAATTGATCAACTTGGCGACAAAATCGTAAATTTATCTACTTTAAAAACACTGTGTTTCAAAAGAGTTAACTCAAAAATCCCAATCCAACATCTTTGTCTTCCAGGAAATCGGAGCGATTCAGGCGTTGAAAGAAGTCGCATCGTCACCCGACGAAGTTGCCGCCAAATTCGCCTCCGACGCTCTCACAATCATCGGCGAAGAAGTTCCATACAAATTGGCCCAACAAGTTCCCAGCTGGACATCGGATGATGTACAGTATTGGGTGAAGAAGGTTGGTTTCTTATATTTTCTATTTTTGTTTTAAATATGTTCCAAGTATGTTTTTAGATTGGATTCGAGGAATATGTTGGGCAATTTGCGAAACATATGGTTGATGGTGATCTTCTTCTTCATTTAACCGAAAATGATTTGTTGTTGGATATTGGAATGAGATCTGGACTTCAACGTAAACGATTTATGAGAGAATTGGAATCTTTGAAAATCGCTGCTGATTATTCCAATGTTGATGAGTCAAATCTCGATCAATTTTTGATGAATCTGTCACCGGAACTCTCTGTCTATACATATCAAATGCTTTCAAATGGAATTAATCGATCATTATTGAGCTCTTTAAATGATGATTTGATGCAAAATGCGTGTGGAATTCATAACCCAATCCATCGGCTAAAATTAACACAAGCATTTGAAAATGCAAAACATCCAGATGATGTTGAAGTTGCGATGTTGAGCAAGCAAATTGATGTATTTATTTCGTATCGAAGATCAACGGGAAATCAATTGGCTAGTCTTATCAAAGTTTTGTTACAACTTCATGGATATAAAGTGTTTATTGATGTCGATAAACTCTATGCTGGCAAATTCGATACATCATTACTCAAGAATATTCAAGCGGCGAAACATTTCATTCTGGTTTTGACACCAAATTCATTGGATCGACTTTTGAATGATGATAATTGTGAAGACTGGGTGCATCGGGAGTTGAAATGCGCATTTGATCATCAGAAAAATATCATACCAATTTTCGACCAATCTTTCGAATTTCCCGCCAAAGAAGATCAAATCCCTCATGATATTCGGAATATTACAAAATATAATGGTGTCAAATGGGTTCATGATTATCAAGACGCTTGTATGGCAAAAGTTGTTCGATTTATCACCGGAGAATTGAAAAACACACCTACATCTAAAGATGTAAGTCAGAAAAATGATAAAATGTTGGGGGGAAAATCCATTAATTATTTCCAGCATTTTCAGATGCCAGCAGTTCGAAATAAATCATCAACGAGAGCTTGGCAAGGAACTGGTTTGAGAAGTGGAGCATCAAGTCGATCGATAAATCGACAAATCGAACCACCAACTCCAACTTGTGAGTTTTCAAATTTTTTTTTTGAATAATTTTTATTTGGACCTATTTTCAGACACCCCAACATCATCAACAGAGCGCGCTTCAATTCGCCGAAAAATTCAATCATCTGTATCTACAGTATCTGATCGGGTCTCATAGCGACTTCCCGATTCCACTATGCCTCTTCTTCTTCATCTGATTCGTCGTGTGTCTTTCATTCAATATTAATATATGTACTTTGTTCCTTCCTCAAATGTATTGTTTTGTCTTCAAAAACTTTAAAAGTAGAATCTGTGATTTGCCCCTTTCCAAAACACTATTTATTTCATTTTACGAGGTTTCCAATAATTATTTTTGTTCTAAAATTTAAAAATCGGATCTCGTATCATGTTCCTTTAATTATATTTGTTTGCACGTGTACATTTTGAATTTTACTTGAACTCAGGAATTATTTTTTTTTGTTTTTTATTTCCAATATATTCTATTCGCATGTTTTTATTGAAAAAATATCAATCGGGTGGTTTTTTTGCTTATAATTTTATATTTTACTCGTGAATAAAAACTTTTTTTCTTGAAAAACCCGTAAATCTTCAAAAATAATAATCACCGTGTCCTAATGTACAAACCAATCAGTTCTTCTTTGAAAATGTTCCAAAGATGGAAGTGGAAATGGGAAAAATGATTCGAAGCTTGAAGGGTGGTGTTCCTTTAAAGGTAGTACTGTAGTTGTTGGGGTTACTGTAGTGGTTTCGAATGGATCTTCTTGTTCTTCACTCATCTCTTTTTGAATAAATTCGGGATCTGGAGTTGTTTCGAGATCGTCGATTGGAAAGAGATTTCGAATTGCTCGAACATCATCATCGCCTGCAAATCAAGAAAATTGGGGAATGATATGAAATGAGATTTGAACTAACCCAAGCCAAAATTCGGATCATAGGGTCGTTTTGCTGCAAACATCGCTGCTCGATTGTCTATTGAATGTTCTAAGCCGAGAAGGTGACCGATTTCATGGACGGCGGTCTGGAAAATTTTGAGTTCTTATAACTCTGAACAATTTTCTATTGAAATGTTAGAAAAATTCATCAGTTTTAAAATTCCCCTTATTTTTAACAGTGTTAAAAATTCACCCAAAATTTAACAGTGTTAAAATTACCTTAAAACTCATCTTTTATTTTAAAAGTGTTAAAATTACCTTAAAATTCACCCAAAATTTAACATTGTTAAAATTACCTTGAAATTCAACTTATTTTTAACAGTGTTAAAATTACCCTAAAATTCATCTTCAATTTTAACAGTTTTAAAATTACCTTAGAATTCATCTTTAATTTTAACAGTGTTAAAAATCCACAAAAAATTACCTATAATTTAATAGTGCTAAAATTTGACTAAAATTCACCTCAATCTAATGACCTTAATTAACAGTGTTAAAATTTAATAAGAACGTTTGCAGTAAGAAATTAATTAATTCTTATTTCCTAAACGCCTATTCGAATTCTCAAAGGAACATGAGCAAAAATAAAATTGAATTTCAACTTTGGAGCTCCTTTTTGACTTCAGGATCGTTTTTGGGACGGCCATTAAAGAGTGAAAAATTAAAATCGATTTAGTATAAATTTTAGGAATGACCGAAACATGAAATAATACTTTTTTTTTTAAATCCCCCCCCCCCCAAAACCCACTCACTTGATATAAATTAACACCTTTATCCGTATTCAAACTCCATTGTTCATCAGCATCAAAATGCAATCTGCCATCTCTTGGATAAAATGCGTGAGCAACAACACCATCTGATCATCTTCTTACTTAGTTTCAATATAATTTCCTATTTCAAAATCTCACCTTTCCCATCAAATTCATAACCATCTCCATGATTTCCCTTCTCGAATCCAATTTGCAAATCAATATTTGTCTCTTTTTCATCAATCGGAATTTCCTCGAATTCTACAGATGACACTTTCGACCATTCATTCATTGCTCGATGCAAAGTATTTCTACAGTAATATTTGATATTTATATAAAAGTTACAGTAATCTACCGTACCTCACTATAAAAATATCATGTTCTAGCAGATTTTCCGGTGATAATTGCCATCGAAATTTATGTTTTTTCCAGCGTTTGCCACGAATAACTAAAAAACTTCAGAATTTTTTTCAAATTCTATAGAACTTACCATATCTCTTGTCTCTTCGAATTTCTAAATCATAATATTTCGGCTGCAAAACTACTGTAGAAATACTGTGAATGGAAAACGTGAAAAATATTATTATAAGTAAAACGAGGAAATGGCTGGAAATCATATGAGGAAAAATGAGGGAAAACAGATATACACTTTGGCAGAAAGATTTTTTGTTGGCAGCAAAAAAAAAGAAAAAAGCTCCGCCCACTTTTTGACCTTGTCTTAGTCTTAAGAAGTTTGTTGTAAGCGATATATATATGATTTTTGAGATTTCAAGATTTTATTATGTACTTGACTTGAACAGTGTAAAAATGGAACAATTTTATAACTTGAGATGTTCAGATTTTGATGAAAAAATCGAAATGTGAAACTAATTAAATCCTAAAAGTAAAAACAAAATGGGCTTGACAATAACTTGAAATTGTGTGCAAAGAGTTTCACGTGAAAATGCAGAAAAAAAAATCAATTTTTGGCAACGAGACTACGCGATGACGACACGTGTTTCACGCGGTTTTTCAAACAAAATTTTAAAAAAATTTTCTTCATTTTCAAATTTGCTCTTTTTCAGCTGAAAAATTTTCGTCTAGTTATTTTTCAGAACCCCGGTCATCCAGAATATATGAATTATATGAAGTATAATAAAAAGGTACTTGTTGTTTTGACTGTAAAATAGTCTCATCTTTATTTATTATTGTTTTTTATGTTTTTTTTTCTATTAGTGGAGAAAAACTTATTTATACGATAGCGAAAGTCGTGGAAAAACAATAGGAAAATAAGAAACGCAGAAAGAAAACCCATGAAGAAAGTGAGACGATGAGGAAACTAACTTATTTCCTTTTGATTGGGATGGATATCTATTTATCACTTTTTTGGAATAACAAATCAAATTGAGAAACTTCCTGATTTATTTTCTAGAATAATAATTTTTATTCCAAACTTTTTGTGATAAAATCATTTTATGCAGAAAAATGTTGCATTTTTTAAGGAAAACCAGAAACAGATTGAAATCTGGATGATTTGCATAATATTCATCATAATCAAAAAAAAGATTTTTATCTGTTTTCCATCGGCAGATTTTTTTTTGGGGAAAAGCAAAATGATATTGGGATTTTTAAGTCTAGGTGAACACATCCGTTGTGGTCTAGTGGTTAGGATTTATGGCTCTCACCCATAAGGCCGGGGTTCGATTCCCCGCAACGGAAGAGCTTCTTTTCTAAAATTTTTTAACATAAACATTTTTTTTACCTTTTAGGTTTTTATTAAGAACAAAACAAGGATAACATAAGAAAAATTGCGATTATTATACAGGGCAAGACAAGACAAGACAAAAATAAGAAAACAAACCGTTAATATTTAAAAACACAGGGTCAACATAAACTAGGGATTATTAGTAACCAAAAAAAAATGAAAAAAATTACGTTTTTAAATAGAAGAATTGGTTTGTGGCGATGTTGATGGGCAATTTGATGAATATGCAGATGAATTTGGTGAATGCTCCAAAGTTGGTGCAACCGAAGCTGTTGGTTGTGCAGCCATTGGCCAATATGCAGCTGGATTATATGCAGCAGCTTGTTCCATTGGATTATAAACCGCTGCAGCTTGATAATGATAATTGCTATAGGCAATCTGTTCCGGAGTTGGGTAATAGAATTGTGGCTGCATTTCCGGTGCAAAATTGAAGAATTGTTGTGGATAATATGCTGCTGCAGCTGCGGCTGCTGCTGCTGGATGTCCCCAATTCGCCATTCTCTTCGCTGGATTTTGCTGCTGCTGTTGCTGATGATACAAATCTTCTGGAGAAGCTGACGATGAACTTGGCTTGTGATGTTGTTCTTCGATGGGTGGAGTCGCAGTTCTGTCGCGTTTTCTCGAGTTTTCCGAGCGAAAACCTCTTGCGTATTTGTTGTGTTGCACTTTGAGACGAGTAATATCTTGATTTTGATAGGCTGTGACAGCGATGAATTCAGTGAAATCGAAACGGAATTCTTCTTCAATCATTGCCTCTTGTCCATTCATTCCCATTCCATACATATCAGGCATTCCACTGCAAAGAATAATTTTTAATTTAGGAACTTCTTAGAAAAATAAGAATAAAAAACTTACCCCATCTTGATAATAGTGAGCACTGGCACATATTTATGCATACTTTGAAGAATAATATGATTTGGAATGTTTGCAGCAATATTATTTGTGATCTTCAGCCGACTGAATTGAATGTTTGATTTCATCCATTCATCTCCTCGTCGGAAACCATCTGAATGTCTGATTGCTTGATCAATTGTTCTTGGCTCGCCTTTTGTAGCTTCATGCCATTCTCCAAGATCGAATTTGTATCTGGAAAATGTAATTTGAATATCGATTTGAATATTGGGGTGGAATTTTGAAAAGAAAACTTTGAAAGCCTCAAACTTGGGGTGCAAATTGGGGTGGACAGCCAAAAAAGAAAAAAAATTTCGAAAAAATCTTGTTTGTCCATGGAGCGCGCTTGCTCACGTCTCAATTTTCAAATTTTTTCTTTTTTTTTCTCTCAACCCCAGTTTTAGGCTTGAAAATTGAAAATGAAAGCCGGGAAACGTGAAATTGAAAAAAATAATTAATTTCCCCGAAAATCAACTCACTTAATATTGTCGACTCTTTCCATTCTCAACTGAAAAGCATAATAACATTCCGGACTCAATCCTTCGACTTTATAATCGAGTTTCGGGAATAGCGATCGACCTTTTTTGGTGACAATCATCTCAGTTGCTGGATAGAACTTCTTCCATAATTCTTCGTCGGCGACTCGAACTCGGATTCTTTGCTGCATTTTGAATTTGTGCTGAAATCAGAAAACATTTCATATTTTTATTTAGAATAATCATTTACAAGTTCAAAAAAGAGATAAATATCGATCAAACAAGTATTCAAAAAAGTAAAAAAAAATGAAAATGAAAACTCCAAGTATCCGCCACAAAATTTTCACCGGGAATATTGTAGATCAATTCCCAGATCAAATGTTATTTTCTGGATAACTTGTTGCTAATGAGATTTCGAGCCCGGCTTTTATACGGACCCCCTGTTGATTGAAAATGGGCGTGGCTTGAGCCACGTGGGCGGTGCTTATCATCACACCAAGGTGTTATCATTGGCAGAGCCACGTGGTGAGAAAAAACTGTAGTGGAAAGGTGTGAAGATGAGAGAGTATTTGGATAGGAGAGACGGGAGAGAAAAGTGATCAATGATTGGGATTTTTGGCTGAAATTGAAGAATAATTTGAGAAGTTTTTGTGAGAGGAAATATTTTGGCAAATTTCGTCCTGGAATTGATATAAGCTGAGCAATAAGAATAGCTTCTAAGGTTTTTTTTGTTTTTTTAAATTGAGGCTTAGGCTTCGAGAGTTTGGAATCTTTGTGGGAAGCGAACTTTTGAATTGGAGATTGACCACAACCTGAATCAAAAATTGAAAAGAAGTTCTTGTGAAATTTTTCTGTCGGAAATTTCCAGATTCGATTTTTTATTCGAAACTCGTTTTTAAACCCACATTTTCATGCGACTCGAAAACCTTTCACATTTCAAAAAAATTATCAATTTTTCCAGCTTTCTATCCACTTTTCTTGAATTTTCGAAAATTTTTCCAGATTTGTTTGTTTGTTTGTATTCCAATATCCCCTCCAAGCATCAACTCATTTCAAGGACCCCGACATTTCAAATCGTGACACGTGTCAATAAGTTAGATCAATTATATCCACGTGTTTATTGTAACCAACATCTCAAAAATTGTCGGTTTCCCATTCAAACACCAAGGTGTTATCTTCATCCAAAAATATCACCATTTCTCTAATTCTCTCGTATCCCAATACTCTCTCACACCACCTGTTATTTTAACAGTTTGGCGCGTGTTGATGACTAAATATCGAGTTTTGGGAAATTGTTAATTTTTAACTTTTGAAAATATCAAAAAACCAGAAAATATCTGAAATAATAATGTCCAAGAAAATAAATAAGATGGAAATAATGTTAATAAAATCTTATGATTTTTTTTTTGGAAATTTAGAAGCTTATCAAAATTAGTTAATAACTAGGTGCTAATCTTTACACATATCTGAAAATTGTGAGTTGCTCTTATCTATCATAACATGAGCAATGACTGTTCGAAACGTGGGAAGCCGAGTCTTAAATGTGAAAAGTTAGAAAAATATGTTTTTTTTAAATTTAATTTGAGCTTCAACTGAGTTTGCGTGAAATTATTTTTCTGAAAAAGTACTATTTTGAAGCTGATTGAAATTCCAAGCTTCCAGAAATATTTTTTCCCAAAAATAATTCAAAATTTGCCACGTCAGAAATTTGAAAGAAAAATCGAAACATTCATGTATTTTTTCTAAAACCCTCTTGAAGTTTCCAAACTTCGCGTAACTCTATTCTGAGCTACCAATTCTCTCCAAACTTTTCAGCTAATCTACAATTAGAACATCCAGTTTTTTCAACTTTCTGTTAGTTCCTTTCAAGTCATTTTCTTTTCTAGACTAGTATTTTTTGCAGTTTCTAATCTTATCTGAAAATATGTTGCAATGACAATCAATTATTTTCAGTATAAAAAGAGATTTGTCTCAAATTCTCCATACAAAGTTATTTCTAGAAACGTTTTCCATAATTATCCAGCTCTCCATGTTTTCAATTTCATTAAAAGTTTTTTAATTGAATTTTATATTAGTTCCAATTTCAGCAAGTTCACTTTATATACCTCAACATACTACATTTCAAATTGTGACACGTGTCAAAAAGTTATATCAATTATGTATATCCACGTGTTTATTGTAACCAACATCTCAAAAATTGTCGGTTTCCCATTCAAACACCAAGGTGTTATCTTTATCCAAAAATATTACCCTTTCTCTGCCAGATGTTATTTGCTACTGTAGGGAAAAACTTCAACTAGGTTTTTTTTTAAGTTGAGGAAGATGGATGTGAATTGAAAAAACCTTGAATCTCAATTATGTGAATCGTTTTTTCTTTGAATCTAAAAATTGACGTTACAAAATGTGTCACTCAAAAAGTGATTCAAGTTTCTGACCATAAAAATTTATCCACTTAAAATTATAGTATGAAATTTTTCTGCGAAATTTCCCTCGGTGCTAAAAACTTTTTTAAATAAAAAAACTTGCTTGAAACTTGAAATTAATTTTTTCCAGATTTATATCCTTTTCTCTAAACTTTTCAAATATTTTTAATAATTTCAAAAAGTGTTCCAGATTTTTTTATTGCCGTATTTTCAGAAAAAATCCATCCGACATTTCAAATCGTGACACGTGTCACTAATAAGTTAGATCAATTATAAATATCCACGTGGCCCTTGTAACAAACATCTCAAAAAGTTGTCGGTTTCCCATTGAAACACCAAGGTGTTATCTTTATCCAAAAATATCACCTTTTCTCTAATTCTCTCATATCGCAATACTGTCTCATTTGTTTTTGGCCATATATCTTTTTCCCGAGAAGAAACTTGAAAGATTGATTTTCGATTTTTGGGAAAAACTTTTCTGGATTCAAAAAAATCAGAAGATTGAATCGCATCACAACGAAAATCAAAAGGATTTTGGAATATCAAAAAAATAAATTTTTCTGTTTCTCTAGCCTCTCTAGGTAGATCAAACTCTCACGCGCATTTGTTTATTAAATTTCTGTGAGTGAAGAAAAGCAGATGTGGAAGATCACAGCTCTTTTTCCTTCTTCCACTTTTTCTCCTGGAAAAAAAATCGGGCAGAACCTTGTTCTTCTCTTCCGAATGAAGAATGAAAGTGAAATGTTGTGTTCTCTTCTTGCTGGTTGCGCATCTTTTTTGCAAATCTAAATGACATTTTCTCGCTTGTGTTGTCCAGAACAAGAAGAAAAGAGAGAATGTATGTGGTTATGTGTATGTGTATTTATTCGTTCTTTTTTATATTCAACCACGATGTATTGTCATGGTTTCCCCTCCAACATAACTTCATTTTTTTATATGTATACAGAAGATTCAGAAAAGTCTGCAAGTAGTATTCAAAAATCCGAAAATTTGCAACCTCGTAAGCCTAAAGCCTTATAACCTGAATTTTTTTCTAACTCAGAGCCTAGAAAATTAAGCCTAAGCCTAACTTTAAAAATCTAAAATTGAGCCCAAGCCTAAAATTTGAAGAAACCTTTAATTAAACCTTAGCCTAAGCCTAAAGCCCAAATAGGCGCAGTCTGGAAGCCTGCGCCTTATTTTAAAATTAACCTAAAATTAAGCCTAAGCCTGAGCCCAATTTTAAAAACTTGAATAAAGCCTAAACCTAGCCTTAGCCTGAAAACCTAAAATTACGCTTAAGCCTAAAACTTAAATAAACCTAAAATTGAGCTTAATCCTAAGCCTACCATCAAAAATCCAGTTATTTTTCAACCTAATGAGCCTAAAGCCTGAATCCAAGCCTAACCGAATCTCAAACTCAAGACCTGAAAATAAGCCTAAAGCCCCCAAAGCCCACCCAATCCTTTTGAAACAGTAAAGTTCATAATAATTATTATTTTTTCCGCTTTTTCTTCTTTTTCAAACCAACCAACTGATTATTACTACACACACATTTGACCTCTCATTTGCCTGCGTCTCCTATTCCTCAAATGCTCTTTTCTTCTCAATTTTCTGTCTTCTCTGAGTCTCTCCTCTCTCTCTTTTCCCCTTTCACTCAAAATATTCTGTCTCTGCGCACCTGCCAGAAGAAGCTTATTTTTTCCGTCTTATTTATTACTCATCATAAATTTTTTTTTTGAATTTTTTTATTTTATTGATATTTCAAAAGACTGTGTTGACTTCTTGAAAACCCATATTTGTTCACGAAAATTTGACATTTTTTGTTTAGAGCGAGTGAGTGAGTGTGTCAGGTGGACAAACAACAAAAAGTCAGGATTATTCTACTCATTTTCGGCGTCGCCTTTTGTATTTTTGTCCTCGGCGCTAATCATAGTAATTCGTATAATATGAAAAATGAACCATTATTACGTGAGTTTTGAATTTGGGAGATTTTAAAAATTTTCCAAAAAAAAGGTCCGGGAAATTTTTTCAAAAAATGAGTCCAGAAGTCGCGGCCTATTTTTTAAAAAAATTTATGATCATAAATTTTTCCTATGGCAACGAAAAAAAATTTTGAAAAAAATCTGAAATTTTTGATTTAAAACTTGGATCCAATCTGAATTTTTATAGTTATAGAGACTCCAATAATTTTTAAAAATTCTGAAAAAATTGATTTTTTAAAATTATTTCGGACACCCATTTCATATCTGCCTTCAAACCCCAAAACCCCCCAATTTTCCAGCGCATATCCGACCTTCAACAAAAAATCGTATCAGAAAATATCTCTACATAATCACTTTTGTCCTAGCCATATTTCTCCTTTATCGATCCTTATCAAAATCAAATGATGAAAACATCCAAAAACTTGGTAGAATATCCGATGTTAGTTTTTTCTTAGCCAAAGAAATCTGGTTTTTATAAAAATTCACAAAAAAAAATTTCTAGACAATGTCTGGTGAGATTTCAACTTTCGAGCAAATCAAGCCATCCGAAACTGGAAACACCGTGAAAATTGATTTATATGTGGAATCTCTTTGTCCAGACACATCAAGATTCTTCCGTCAACAACTCAGTAAAATGTGGGATCTTCTTGGTGGTTCGTCACGAATTCAATTAACTATTTCACCATTTGGAAAAGCGAGATGTGTTGAGGAAAATAATGACTTCAAGTGAGCCATTTTAATTGGTTTTTTTTCCCAACTCAAAAATCTTTCAGATGTCAATGTCAACACGGGAACCTCGAATGCGAAATAAATCAACTTCAGAATTGTATAATTGATCGAACGGGTTTTCCAGAGAAGTTTGTGCCAGCAGTTTTGTGTATGCAGGGAAAACATTCACTTGAGGAAGCTCTCAAATGTGTTGAGACGGTTTTGCCGGGAGAAACTCATAGGTTTGTGGAAGGGAGAAGATCTGGAGGGTAGTGAAATTTTTGACCACGTGGAATTTTTTTGTGCTGAAATCTAATCTGAAAATTTGAATAGTTAGAGAAAGTTTTGAATTTTCAAAAACTCAAATTTTAATGCCACGTGTTAAAATAATAAAAAAATTCAAATTTCGAAAATACCTTCCACGTGAAAATTTTGGCGCGAAAATTTAATAATTTAAAAAATCCCAGAAAGTTTCGAAATTTTAAAAACATCCACGTGGATCTTTGAGCGCGATTTCAAAAATTCAAATTTTAAATACTTGCCGACAAAAAAACTTGAATGCTTTTTCAGTTTCAAAACCACTTCTTTCCCAATTTCCTGGTCCCAACCGGATAAAAAATAGTTAATTCTCTCGAAAATCCCAGCCTGCGGCAATAATGTATTAGTACAATATTTTGATGTACTTAAAAATCAAAACATAAATTGTTCACGTCATTTTAGAAACCTAGGTACAAAGATCGAAACTCCCCCTGGGGAACATCTTAAGTATTTCACACTCAGTCAAAATGTTCCTAAAAAAAAGAGCACACAAAGTGCTCTAACTCAATTGTCTATCCCTTTTCTTACTTATCCTAAGTCCCTTCAGAATGCGTGAATGTGCATCTGGCCAACGTGGTCGTCGTCTACTTGCTCTCGCTGGTCAACGAACAGCCGCACTTCGACCATCGATCGAATTTATTCCATGGATTATGATAAATGGCGAACGGAATTCAGATGCGCTCTATGATTTGACACAAAATGTTTGTCAAGCGATGGAACCCAAATCACCGGCTTGTAAAAATTATTTGAAATCGCTGAATTTGACTTGATTTTATTCTTATTTTTTTTTGTTTGAAAAATATTTTTTTGTATTTTAGGGAAATTGTAGCTGGGTCTTTCATTTGTGCCTTTTCATAGTTTGTTTTTTGTATATTTAAATTTTATAATTTATTATTTTGCGGGTTTTCAGTTTGTGCAATACTTATATAATAAAAGACTTATTTTTATTTAGCGGAGCTCGGATTTTATTCAAAACAGAACCCAATTGTCTAGGAGCACTTCTATTTCAAGCAGCCGCGCCTAGACAACCTCGTTATCAAGTAACTGCACCTAGACAATTTGATTGTCTAGGGCTGGCGCCTAGAGATCCACTCTGACAAGCAGCCACCCCTTGAGAGCCTCTCCTCCATGTGGTGAAACCTAGAAATGCTAGTTGTCAAGTAGCCGATCCTTGAAAGTTCATTTGTCAAGGAGCAGTGCTTATTGAGCAAAGTTTTCCAGTACTCGCTTCGAGATTTTCACTTTATCAAGGAGCCGCATCTTGAGAGCCCCTATACCGAGTAGCCGAGCCTAGTTTTCAAGCAGCCACACCTAGAAAGCTCACGTGCGAAGCATAAGCGCTTAGAGAGCTCCAATCCCCAAAAAATCAAAAAGTTCATTTCGAAAATCATCTGATACAATATTTTCATTTCGAAAATGTAACACAATATTCTTTCAAGATATTGACACCCCCATAAAATTTTATTTCAACAAAAAAAACGACATCATCTAAAAAGGGGAAATGTTAACGAACTCTTCATTTCGGACTTCCTTTTCAAATTGGTCCCAATGGGAAAATCCATTTTTTGCATTCTTTTTTGTGTTGTGTTGGACGCAAAAAACATTTCGCAAAATGTTTCGACTTGAAAATAAAAGTTGGCTAACGAATTTGTCGGAAGTTTTGTTTTTTTTCTATTTTTTTTTGACGGGGTTTATGGATTTTAGATCTCGGTGTAAGATTTTAAGACTTTTAAGGGAAAAAATACTTTTCATTTAGATGCTTAAAGACACATAGAAAACTAGAAATTTGTGTTGGAAATCGTAAAAATTTGAACGCGCGCCTTTTTTCAAAGTTGTGTGTTGTTCGTTTGAAAAAAGAAAAAAAAACGAATAAAAAGTGGTGGTACGGTATGCTAAGAATGCACACATGTGCGGCAAATCACGAACATTTGTGCAAACACCAAAATTTGCGTCGGCTGAGCGATTTCAAAAAAGGAAATTTCTTTGTTTGACTTTCGCTAAACTCAATATTTTTCAATTTTGTTTATGTACTTCCACTATTTGAAGGATGATAAAAAACATGCAAATAATGCTTTTCAAACGATTTCTAGTTTTCTACGTGTCTTTAACCTAGAATTAAGGCCCTAATTGCTCAATTTGTAAAAAAAAATGGATAGCAAGTTTTGCTTTAAAAATTTTTTAAAAACAATGTTGAAAAACTCACTTTTCCTCCAGTTTTCCTCGTTTTCGAAAATCACTCAACAAAAATTCGCTTCAATAATTGTTTCGATATTTCCATGACCTTTTTCCTGTAAAGTAGAAATAAGTCAAAGTACTTTAAACGGAAGAAAAATTCAAGAAAGTAGATTTTTTCATAAAATTACTTTTTGAGCACCAGTTTTGGTATAAAACTATCGAAAATCAACTAAACTTGTGTTTCTTAATAGATAAATATGAATTTTACAACAAGTTTCATTCAAATTCATCGAAAAACAACAAAAAAAAACAAGCAAAAACAAAAACAAGAAAATAAAAGTAGAAATGGAAGTGCGCCCTATTGATAAAAATTGCATGTCCCGCACTCTTTCAAAAATTTGTGTGTTGCGTTATATTATTTTGAGTCCTCTTAACATTTCTTATTTTTTTTTTTCATATTTTCTTCCTCTTTTCGCGCGTATTTTAGGTTTAGGTTCTTATTTTTGAGAACGTGCAAAGAATTTCGTCAGAAAAGAACCTTTAGTCCATTGTATTTTGTACGTGTTTGTCTTGTTAAGATAAGATAAATATTGTATTTATTTGCAAAAGCAATTCATAACTTTGTTCCATCTTTTGCCCGCCTTTTGTTATTTTGCTTTCACTTTTTTCCAAATTCTAATTTCACAACTTTCTTCAGCATAGTCGATTCCCTAAGATCCCAACTTCTATCTCGACTCTTGTCAGAATTCGAAATGCCCAGGGGCAGATAGCTCAGTGGTATTGGTGCCCCTTGTCAATCTCAAGGTCACGGGTTCGTTCCCCGGTGCCTGTCCTACTCAGAAAACGCCAAAAATTTGGCGAAATATCGTATTTCATTTCATTTATTTTCCTATACACTTTTCACACGCCAGATTTTTTCTGGAAATTCGAAACTTTTGCCATTTTTCTCTTACAATTTTGCTTGAAAAGTAATCGAGCGGAATTTGAATTTGAATTTCAAAATTTAAATTCCAGTCAACCTGAATCTAATTTGTATTTGTATTTGATATCAAAATTCCAGACATTATTTTTCAGAAAAAAAAATAGAAAGTTCCGCCTATTTTTCGCGTGTCTTTGACCTTTTCAACAGAAAAAAAAACAGAGAAAAATTTGAATTTATTTTCTCGCGCTCCGCGAAAAACTCAATTAGAAAATTAATGAATATCAAATAGGTCTGCTCTCGTTTCATTTTCATTTTCAAATAGATAAAAGTGGAGACATTTTCTATTCAAACGAAACTGAATTTTATTTTTCGTTTTCCAGCCACTTTTTGATTGTTTTTCTATCTCCTTCCGTGCCTTTTTGTTTTGTTTTTGTCTTCTTATTTTTTTCTTGGAAGTTTAGCTTCTTCTTTATGCAAATAAAAATCAAATATTTAAAATTCTCTTGAAAAAAAAGAACTCTGAACGGAATAATTATGATCTGGAAGAAAAAAAACTAGGATCTTCGTGCATTTTTGAGTTTTTTCGATTTTCAGAGAGCGGGAATTTTCATGAATTTTAAAAATCTAGGAATTCTTGTACACATTGAGAAAAATTAAAAGGTCAAGTAGATGTGCCTAGAGAACCGTATTGTCTAGGACTCGCGCCTAGAGAATTAGTCTGACAAGGAACCTCCCCTTGAGAGTCACTGTACCTAAGCCACGGCGCCTTAAGAGCTTCTATAACAAGTAACAAACTCTAGAAAGCCTAGTCGTCAAGTAGCCACGCCTAGAAATTATATTTTTCAAATAGCTGAGCCTAGAGAATGTACTTGTCTAGAATCCTCGTCTAGAAATCCACAAGGAGCCGAGTCTTGCGAGCTACTGCACCTAGACATCGCGCCTTGAGAGCTTCTATGACAAGCAACAAACTCTAGAAAGCCTAGTCGTGAAGTAGCCACGCCTAGAAACCCTAGTTTTCAAGTAGCTGAGCCTAGAGAATGTACTTGTCTAGGATCCTCGACTAGAAATCCACTCTGACAAGGAGCGGAGCCTAGAGGCTGAGGTCTCTTCTGATTTTCATTTTAAGTTTTCTTAATCACAGAAACCTTAATTTAATTCCTCATTCCGCCTCTTTTTTCTTGTTTTCATTTTTGCTCGCAACTTTTTTTTCGCTCCTCATTTTAATCCGTCGAATTTCCCCACCCTTCTATTGTCCAAACAAGTAATTGAATTTCGTTTCGTTTCAAAAACGAGGAAAAAAATGTGTGGGAAAATGTGTTTTTTGATTTTGTCGCGCTGAAGAAATTTGCCCGCAGGCGAAAAAAGAAACGAGGCTGATGATTGGTCATCCGACTACGACAAAATACCGATAAATATGTTTTTCTATTTCTTTCTTTTTATTTTTCGGTTTTTCTGTCTGTTTCAGACTAGAAAACTTTTGTTTTTAGTTTAGTTCCTTCAATTTTTCTTCCAAAGCAATTCCCTGTTCTTAAATTTCTTCTGGCCCCGTTTCTATTTTAGGTTAGGTTAGTTCTAAAAATAGCATTTGTCTCGAGTAATTTTAGAACAAATCATGTCTATTTTTGGCGAATCTCTGAATGAAGAAGATCCACTTACACCCACCATTAGGAGATGCAAATCAACTTTTCCACGAGAATTGTTTTCAGTCACAAGATGATGAATATTTCGAGATAGTCTAGTAGAATCAAAGGTTCATGGGAATTTGGTCTTAGAAATTTATGAGACTTAGGCTAAATGGTATTTGTATGGGGTAGCTTGGCCCAGGGAAATTTGGATGATATAAATTTTTAAGGCCTTAAGTGATTTAGCGGCCAATTTTTAGGTAGGAGTCCCTAAATCACTTAAGGTCATAAAAATTCATATCATTCGAATTCCAAAAAAATATAAGATCTTCTATATTACGTGCCTTCTTATATCTAATCCTATTTGAAAACGATAATCTTTTTATTTTATTTTTGCTGAAATTTCAGTCCTCGATGTTTTCCCCGAAGTTCCTCTAAGTTCATTTCTTCACCCTGCCCTTCTTTATTTATTTATCCTTATTGCTTTTCCAGTCCAGCAGCACAAAATTAATAACCGAAGTAAACTTAGAAATATGAGAATCTATCCCTACTTTTTCCCTTCCTCGCTCTTCTCTTCTAGATACTCGCGTTTTCGTTTTTGCTGACTGACTGAATAGAATTATAAATTATATGTAGAAATAGTTGGGCCGGTCAGAAAACTTATGTCATCATCATCATGTATTTTTGGGTCTTCGCCTGTTTTAATCTCTTCCTTGAAATTCGCTTCAGTCTTCCTATTTTTTTTCATTTTCAGACGTAAAATGGGCAACGAAAATTCGTCGATGGTGAAAATTCGAAAATTCTCGAAAGGAGAAAAAGAGCCAAGTGTGATTATTGAATGTGTGGATGGTAAAATGTAAGTTGCCGGGTTTTTTGGTTTAGAAGAACTTATTAGGATGAGCAATCATTTTTTGAAATCGGCTAAACTTGTTTCAGGATAAGATGACATTTGGCCAAAAAATTCTAGAACCGGTATGTACCTGAGAGCCAAGTTGCAGAGCTCCAGAACCCGGAAAATTCACAGATTTGGCCCCAGAGCTGCTCTCAAAGAAGTTTTCGTTTAGGTGCCAAATCTGTAGATTTCCTGATTTAAACCCTTGTAAGCTTAAGCTAAGTTAAGTTAAGTTACTTTTCTAAATCCCGAAAAATCTTCAGGTTCGGCCCAAAACAAAAACTTCTTTAAGATTTCTTCTCTGTGGTCAAATCTGTAGATCTTCTGGATTCTGGACCCTGGAACTTGGCTCCGCTCCTAGGAATTTGTGATCAAAAAAAATTTTCCAAAGTTCCAAAAGTTTTCTATCTCTCGAATTCCCGAATGACGTTTCTGCAGCTCTTTATGAAATAATCTATTTTCAAATTCCAAACTTTTTTTTTTCTACAATTATTATATTTTTCTCATTTTCCTGCTGGTCTCAACGTCAAAATATTCTCATAAATAATAATTTGAATATTTTATTTCGGTTTCGCGCCAACCTTGATTTCATGTAAATAAATCTCTGATTTCTGTAATACAAATTCGATTTCCTTTTCGAACCCTTTCAGTCTGAGATCTGAAGAACAAAAAGAATAGCAGAAGCTTAACAAGAAGGCAAGGGTAAATTGAATTTTTTGCATGACTATGATTTTGGGCAAGGCACATACACACAAAAAAAGAAAAGACACTAGTTTATCCCCCCGTTTCTTCTTTTTTTTTCTTCAGCTCCAGATTTTTGTTCCAGCTTTTCTTGATACTTATTTTGGTTTTCGTTTGGTTTGTTTTTCTTTTTTCTCATGTGCTTTGGACCCTTTTTCTTATTTCCAACAACTATGAAAAATAAAATAGAAAAATAAACCTTCTAGTAATTTTCCCTCTCCTTCTTCCACCACAAAAATTCCACCCACCCCCATGTATATATGTAAATAACCTCATTTTCAGCCAGCCAACCAGCTATTTTTTTCTTTTTTTTTCAGAATTCTATTTTTTCTTCTTCTTCTTCTTCTTTTTTTTTTGTTTTCCTAACGAACCAAAACCAAGTTCGTCATCAATTTGGCTGATTAAAAAATTGAAGAAGAAGCCTAAAGTTACGCCCACAAATTTTCTGTAACAAATGAGAAAAAGGTTTTTTTGGTTTGAGAATGTGTTGCGTGACCCTTTCATTTTCATTATTATTTTTTTTTTGGTTGCACGAAACATCTTCTGGATTTTTTCATTTTTAGCCATTTTCATATTTTTCGAGCAAGTTAGTTGATATCTTGGGTTTTGGCTTTAGGCCTATAAGTCTACTAAAAATTAGCCTAACTCTGCGAATTTCGGAGACGCCCTAAATTAAGGCCGGAACCCTAGATACCTCGAATCAGTGCCCAAAACCTAGACATTCTGAATTAGTGCTTTTTTTGAATTAGTGCTAGCTTTTTTTTTAAACAAAAATATTTTAATTATTCGAAATTCATTAAAAAATAAGAATTATTTATCCACCGTGTTTCACAGTTTTAACAAACTTTGAAATGTTTTTACTAATGTTTGAAAAGTTTCCAAGAGGAATTAGCCTAACTAATTTCCATCTCCCAATCCATCTTCAACTCAAATTAGCCAAAAAAAAAAATAATTTCTAGCCATCCCCCAACAGTTCTCCGAAAAAAATCCTCGCGTCGTCGAAGTGTCAGTCAATCTCGTCTCCCTCTCGACGCCAACGAAACCCTCTCAATAACCGGCAGCAACAACAAATCGAAATTCGGCGCACCCCCAATTCCTCAACTCATTCAAACTCAACTTTCTGTCGACGACGCAATTAGCATCGGGTCGAGAAAAAGTTCAGGTATTCTTTTCTTTTTTGATTTGTTAGGTACTTAGAAACAAACAGGTTCAGCTGCTCGTTTGTTTCAAATTTTCAGCTGCGTTTTGACATTTAGCTAAAGTCTTAGGCTTAGCAAAAATTTTAGGCTTGGTTAATAATTTAGGCTTAGTCCCTTAGGCTTAGGCTCACCCTTAGGCTTAGCAAAAGCTTTAGGCTTAGCAAAAGCTTTAGGCTTAGCTAAAGGCTTAGGCTTAGCAAATATTTTAGGCTTGGTTAGGGCTTGGTTAATAATTTAGGCTTGCAATTAGTTAATGACCCTTAGGCTTAGCAAAAGCTTTAGGCTTAGCTATAGGCTTAGGCTTAGCTAAAGGCTTAGGCTTATCTAAATTCTTAGGCTTACAAAGTCTTAGGCTTGTGAGTCATTTCAAATACACATTTTTTCAGTTAGCAATTTCCGTTTGTCAAGCGACGGATCTGGCGATTCACTTCTAAGCCCGCTTCAAACAACGGATCGACGAAGAAGTAGAAGTTTGTGTTCGGCACAAATGAAGGACGATGCTCAGGTTAGTGAAAAAACGGAAGGAAGCCATAACAAACACAATTCCACGAAGAAGGAATACAAAATGATTATCCTAAATTTTTTTCCTTTTTTTTTTTTGAAAAGTGGGTGGAGAAAGAGTGCTCGGCTTCTCTTGATTAAATATAATCCTTCCAAAAAATCCTTCGAAAATCTTTTCCATTTCCAATTCACTTTTTTTCCCTATCTATCTATTTACCATGTCAAATATCACAGTTATTGGAGCACTTCGTTTTGTGTTCCAATTGAAACGAGTGAGTAATCGTTTTTGTCAGTGAGAAGGGTCCTTGAGCAAAACTTGTTTAACCGGTCAATGTGTGCTCATGTCAAAAAGAAGTTCCATTTTTCAGGCAGTTGCCAATCAACACAATAAAGAGAAAGAGGAGAAAACGGGTGGTTCGAGCAGTACGGCGAGAAAAGCGAGCAGTGGATTGGTTCCGTCTTTGAATCGATTACGAATTCAACAATGCTACAAAACTGCCAAGTAAGTGAGAAAATCAATAATTGTTGTGCATTAGAGCGAATTTTGCCTATTTTGTGTAAGGTGTCTGTGTTTTAACGGAAGAATTTTCGATTTCAAATCATCAAATTCTCGTCTCTTTTCTAGACCTTCAATCGGCGATGCAATAATGAAAAGAGCCGCCGCAACTCGAGCCGAAATGCGCAATTTATTGGCAAAAATGAACGACAAACAGATTGAATGCCTCGGAAAACAAATGTATGAATTGATCACAAATGCGGTGGAGAACGCGGACAAATCCGATAAGGTATTTTATTTTTATTATTTTTCTACATAGATATTTTTGTTCTCTGAATAAATAACTAATTGTAAAATACAAATACAAATTTTTATTTACTACTTCAATATTTTCATTTTTAAAATGGGAAAAAAAATATGGATTAGAGAATTCGGAAGCCTTTCAATAATCTGATATCATTGTTTATTTGAGCTCAAAGTGCAAAAGAATTTCTATTTTCCATTCCACGTCAATGAATTTAAAGATAAACAAGATCCGCTGAGGGCCAAATTTCAGAACAACAATATCCATTTTGCAGGTTCTTCAACACGCTCGTCAATTCGGTGAAACCTATGCCGCCCTCGTTCCTCTCGGCTTCCGCCCCGATCTCTTTGCTCCGCTCGCAGACGCGGCAATCGCTGAATGCGTCAAATTAGACGGAGTTCACAAACGATGTGAAACGCTTTCCGCGTGGAGTCAATTATTTTCCGCATTGTTTAGTGCAGTTCGTGATGGTTATTATCAACGAGTTCGACATCAAAGAAGAACTTCACTCCCTCAAAATACGATCACTAAACAGGTTAGGATATTGAAAAATATATTTCTAGAAATTAATTTTTTTGTTTTCAGCTTTCTGTGGATTTCTCAAAAACTGGCGATGTTTCGATAGTCCGATAAGATGTAAAATTTGAAGAAAAAATTGTTTAAAGTTTGTACAGGGTTATTTTTTCTAACTGATCTCTTTGATTTTTTCTATGAATAAAACCATTTAACTCAAGTTTTCGGGATTTTTGATCTTTTAGATTGGAAGAGAATATATTTGGTTTTCTAGGCCATATGAAAATTTCAGACAAATTTTGTGAGTAGAATTTTAATCTGAAAATGAATATTGAAGAAAAACAAAGAAAAAACTTTGAAAAAATCAAAAATTATAAAAAGAGGTTGTTTGTTTTCTCAATGCTAAAAAACATTTTTTTGTGCTGAAATTTGAAACTCTGCCCCAAAAACTTCACATAACAATAAACAAAAACAATGAAAAGTATAAAGTATATACAAAAAATCTCACTTGATTATATCCAGTGATTCAACTTGATCTTCCATATTTTGTGCCAACATTTGAATTCCCCAATCTTCATCTTCATCATCAAATTCCTCCTCTTCATCCGAAATTTCCAAATTTTTTCGAGTAATTCTTTCTCGTGAGCTTTTTCTTTGCACTACATTATTATTTTTTGTCGCATCTTGGACAAGGAGTTTCAATGATTCCCAAATTGGATCTTCTTCCTCTTCTCCCTCTTCAGATTCACTTTCACTTTCAGATTCCCGATATCTTCGTTGTCGTTTTCTTTTTCTACTTCCATATTCCGATTTTCTCTTTCTTCTTCCTTCCAAAACTTTGATTTCAAACCACAACGTGACTAATTGATAGGATACTTTAAGATCCGAAGCAATCTGCAAACTATTTTTTAAAATAGATCTGGGTTCTAGGTTGTTAAAGTGAAGCGGGTTACCTTAACTCTATCCTCAAATTTGGAATTCGGATATTCTTCGAACGCTTTCATCAATCCATCGATTTTCGCTTGTTCCATTTCCTTGATTTCGTTTCCAACAACTTCCCATTCCTGAAAAAAAATTGTTTTTGAAATGAAAATGAAATTTCTATGGGCCTATGCAGAATAATAAAGAAAATATACAGTTTACTATTTTCGAGTGGAGACAACACGAAATCGAGAGAGTGCAGACAGACAAAAAAATACAATAAACTATTTTTTCTGTCTGCGCTCTCTCAAAAAATAGTAAACTTTATATTTAATTTTTTCGACATTTTTCTGCATATATGTTTTTTTTAATTTTTTTTAAATATTACAAAATATTATTCTGCTTACAGACTTATGTATTTGCGATATGTGATTGATTTTCGAAATATTTTTCAACAAATCTGGTAGCTAATGGAAAGTGGTGGGTTTTTTGAATGGGGCGGGAGAAAACTAGAGCTCTAAAGAGGCGACGCTTTGAAAATTGAACTTTCTAGGTGAGGCTACTTGACATAGAGATCTAAAGGCTTGGCTCCTAGCCAAAGTAGTTCTCTAAGCTCAACCACTCTCTCTAGGCTTGACTATTTGACATAGATTCCTCAAGGCGCGGCTCCTTGTCGAAGTGGATCTCTAGGCGTGTTCCCTAGACTCGACCGCTTGAATTCACCTTTCTCTTCCTAACTTCAGTTCGCTTCGTATTCAAATAATAATGAATATTTCCAATTGTCAATCCCAACTCATCAGCCATCTCCTTTTTCTCCTCAGGATTCGGATATGGATTTTTCTCGAATTTCTCATTCAAATAATCTTTTTCCTCTTTGGTGTAAGTGTGGCGACGCTCTTTTCTCTGAAAATTTTTTCAGATTTTTCAGCAATTTAAAATCCACAAACTTCTCCATTATTTCGATTCTTCTGCTCTCGCTTAAACCAATTGAATACAGTATCCTTTGCTAATCCCAACCTTTTTCCAATAGAATTCGCTCTTTCATTCGAACATATTTCCTCATTTTCATATTCGTTTCTCAATTCCTCAACTTTTTCTTTTGGAATTCTTGTATTCTTCGGCGGTCGAAAAACAACATGCTTGGAATTCAAACCCGATTTATGAACTCCCTCATTTTCCTCTTCAAACACTTCCATCCGATTTTTTCTAGATAATTTCGATAAAATAGCATTTCTATGTTTCTCATGTAAACGTTTAATCGCGTACGGATTCAAATCGAATTCTTCGGCATATTCAAAATAATCCGAAACTCGAAAATACTCCTTCCTCTTATGATAATCCTCCAAAATCTCCATCAATTTCTGCTTATTTTCACCTTCAATTATCTCTTGAATTGGTTGATCTTTCATTTGTTGATAAGCCAGAATTCTATTACACGAGTCATCTGAAAATATTTTTTTTCAGATTAAAAATCATTGAGCTTTTGTAGCAACTAACCATCTTCACATTTTATCTGATTTTTTTGTCGAAGTGATTTCATTCTTCGATCAACATTCCAAAATTTGAAATTATTCTCCTTGCAAAACTGTAATTTATTGATGAAAATTTGTTAAAAAATGGTTAAATACCTTATTAATTTGCTTACAAGAAGGATGAGCACTTTCCTCGAAGAATTTTCCAACTAATTCCTTGGTCTCAATCACGCGAGCGGATTGATTCTTTGTCTCATGTTCCTCTTCCTCATCTTCTTCCTCTCCTTCATCAATATCTTCTTGTTCCGATTCAGAAGTAAGTTTGAAATCTGAATCCTTATTTTTATCATCAACAAAATCGTCTTCCTCCTCATAATCATCATCTTCATATTCTTCCTCTTCTTCCACTTCCATTTTAATATCAATATCTTCCATAAACTCTTTTTTAACCTCAATATCCATTCCAAAATCTTCATCATTTTCTTGTTTTATCATATCAATCATTTCCGGCAACTCTTTTTCCAGATGATTTGTGACTGGTTGAACCATATCATCTTTAAGAGCAGCATAATCACGTGGCAAATAAATGACCAATGAAGAATTGAGTCCATTAATAGTTTGATAACTGCTAACTCTCTGAAAATTGAAACTTTTAATTGAAAACCAGTCAAAAAAAACTAACACAAATGTATAATGGGAAACAAATATTGACCATTCTTCGAATATTTAGATCAATAGCTCGATTGTGTCGAAAACTACAACTATTACAAAAATTATAGGAATTGTCTGATTTTGCTCGTTTGATTTTGAAATTGTGTAAATCGCAGAGATTCTCTCGCATATCAATAAAACGACAATGTTGAACTGCATGCATTCTGATGTTTTTTCTGCAAAAAAAACCACAGATTTTTATTCAATAGCTTTTTTTAAAAGTAAACTTACTCAACGACATTCTGTTCGCATTTTCCACAAATTGTCGTTGTTTTGAGTTTTGGATCCAATCTTTTTGGGAGGTTCTAATTTGAAATAGGAATGATCGTGAAAATAATTGTCATAGTTTGTTGAATCGAATTCATATTCATCTAAATGATTTTTACAAATCATTGGTTTCTTGATTGTCAAGATTCTTTCTTTGAAATTGCATCCGAGGTTTGGAGTGAAGTGTTTCGGTAATTTGGCAACACTCATTAAATCCAAATCATAGCAGCATTTTCCACAGTAAGCGCAGGTACAAAGAACATTCATTATCTGCAAAATTGTAGTTTGCAACACTAGTTTTCCCTCAAAAAAGTTGAAAAAAACAAAAAAACAAAAACAAAAAACATAGAGTTACGGTATCAAAGGAACACAATGAAGCATGTGTGTGTCTCGCAACGCGCGCGAAAATATTTTGAAATTTTATTGATTTTTTATTTTGCAAATAAATTTTGCGATTAATCGCGATTCATTTCACAGAAACAAAAAATACAAGTTTCAAAACGAATCATCTTCGTCATCAATTGGAGGAAGTTGTAATCCATCCAAACTTGGCGGTTTGTCCAATTCTCTCGATTTCCCAAATTTCGGATAAAACACATATTTCGGTGTTATTTTTTCATCCACTGACATAATACTTCTTTGAGTAAGTTGAGAGAATACCGTGACTTCTCCAAATGTTGGAGTTCTTGGGTCTGGAATTTTTGATAGTTTAGAGAAAGTATATTTCAGAGAAAAGTTACCTATAGTTTCATCATTAATCGGCACACTTCCAATAATAATTGGGCATTCGGCTTTGAGTGAATTACGAAATCTACATTTTACATGCAACTTGACCCCAATAAAATAGTCGACATGAATCAAACTGCTATCAAAATTCGGGCAACAACAAGGAATTGTTAAACGGAGTTTTGAATTGTAGTTTGATCTTGGTGACAAATTCAAATCTTGCAAACATGTCGCTATTTTTGTCTCATCTCGTTTTCGACTCGAATCGATGTCTGTTTCTTCATTTTCAATTCCTGTCATACTATTTCCACCCATTCCATAGCGATAGGCCAAAAATCGACATTGTTGAATCAAATAACATTCGGCCTAAAAAATAAATGTAAGGTGTTTTTAAAGAAAATTTCAAATTGCCTCCAAGGATTGGTGTGTGCAAACACTATCGCGCACTTTTGCGTATTGTCTAACAAACCTTTAAAACTTGCCGACTTGAATGGTTTTCGATTTCCATCTCAACACAGATTGTTTCTCCCGGAACATATCCTTTTTTCGGAATACGAATCTGAAATTTCCTTTTATTTTTTCCTCATTTTTCCCTCTGATTTCTTACCCGCAAATTCACTCTCCCATATCGAAAAAGAAAAAATCCAACTTTTTTCGATTTCAAACTCATTGTTTCATTTGTTATATTTTGAAGGAGATTCAAATTTTTTGGGGGGACAACTGCAAAAAAAATATTGATCTTTACCTAGAACCTAGTTTTTGAACTTCCATTAACTCACTGTAAACATATTTGAGAAGTGTTCGATTAGTTTTCCACGGTCTTTCAACAGTAACTCGTATAACATATCGTATTTTTCCATGATCTCCCTCAAAACTTGGCGGGATATCTTTAGGGATACTGAATTTAAAAGGAAACACGTGGATTCCGGGAAAAATTGAAGATTTTGCATGGCCTTCGGATGGCTTCCATAAGATTTGCTCCTCGTTCATATAGCTCACCTGAAAAAAAATTCCAGCAAATTTTTTTCTGGAAAAAAGGAGCGGTACTTTTGCACTATAGGAAACTTCTCGACTTCGACCATGTGACGATTTTGAACTTTCTGACAGTAACCATTTTGTTGTTGCCAGACCTTCAGCCTGAACTTTGATAGCTTTGACCTGAAAATGGATTTTTGAAGACGGCCTTGTTTCAACTGGGTTACTGTACGCAAAAGTGTTTGCACACAAATTCTTGGAGGCAGTTTAAAATTTCTAGTTTTAGAAATTTGCCACGTGGATTTTTTACAGTGGGACATTTTTCAAGTTTTTCTCAAACTAGACTCTAGTTTGCTTAAGTTTTAGCGCGAGAATTCAAAAAAAAAATCATTTTTTTGTAACTATTTAAAAAATTCAATTTCAATAGGCCAAAAAGGTTGCCACGTGGCATAATTTTCAATGAACTTTTTCGGATTTTTAAAAACTATAGTCTAGTTTGGTTAGATTTTAGATTCAAGTTTTTTTGGCCCAAAAAAACTACGTGGAATTTTTTGCCCCAAACATCAATATTTTTCAACCAAAAAAAGTCTCAATCCAATTTTTTTCGTCGCCAGCTTTCTTGTATAACTAGAGTCTAGTTTGTGACAAACTCACCTTAATAGTCTCTCTCAACTCGAAACTAACAAAACCCTCCAATTCCTGTCCAGGCTCATAAACATATTCCCAATTCGCCAACGAAATCGATAAATTATAAGGCATTTTCAAAAAAAATATATATAAAAATTTTGTGCCACCAACAACTAAATTGTACTTTTTCCAAGCTTGGCACTCATCCAAGTGAACTCAACTAGATACAAATTTATTTTATTATTAAAATACCTGGAAATAGAATAAAAAAAATAAAACCAACACCAAAATACTTTTTATTTACGTAAATAGATATGAATGTTGGTCATCAAATGTGTTTTTTTTTTCAAAAAAAGGAACCCGTAGAGAATAATTTGGCAAAGATTTTCTTATTGTTTAGATTTTTTGTTATGGATCCTGGAAACGTGCTTGTGATAATGTGAGCAAACGATTCTCTCGACACAATTTTGTATTTTCAGTTGTCAATTGATCGACAGTTGTCTGAAAATTTCAGAATTCCTTCTTCTTCTTCTTCAAAAAAAAACCAAAAACCAACCCTCATATTAATATTTTTCTGAATTTGATCTTCAAGAACAGCTTGAAGTCTAGAATTGACTTCAGTCAAAATCTGACTTTGCTTCTTTTCGCTTCCAGAATTGACAAACATTGCGCCCATCAACGCATAGGCTGTTGATTTTTTGACAATTGGCACCTGAAAATACATATTTTTGAAGGGTGGATTTTGTTAGTTAAAAAAAAAGAAAGGTTTGACAACACGACATTTTGAAAACAAACCTGAACAAATTCGCAACTTCCAAAAAGCTGAAAATTGAGTTTTTTTGGAGTTCGAAATTTTAACTAATCAATTTCATGTCTGAGAACATTTTAGAAATTGTTCTAGACACACTAAAAATGTTGATCTCAGTTCAAAATTGGAGCTAATAGGTACTGTAAATAGGTACTGTATTATCGAAAATCTCATCGCTACCACGCGCTCCACCGAAATAAACACGCAACGCAGACTGCGCCGCGCCACAACACACACACACATATAAGGGAGGGAATTTGAATCGTTCCCTTATTTGTGTGTGTTGTGGCGCGACGCGGTCTGCGTTGCGTGTTTATTTCGATGGAGCGCGTGAGATTTTCGATAATAAAATTGGAGCTAATAGGTACTGTAAACAAAAATAACTTTGTTGATATTTTTAAATTCATGATCTACGATTTTCCTCTAACTCACTTTTTCAATTGATCCTTCTGCTGGCATCAATAATGAAGCTTCTTCTCGCAATGCAAAATGCTGGATTATTCTGGAAAATATTTTGTTGCGATTCATTTTTACAAGCTCCATGATCTCACTTAGTTTTCTTCTGCAATTCTTCCAAACATTGTCTCACATGTTCTTCAAGAAATTCGCATTTTTCAGTTCGTCGAGCAAGTTTTCGCTGGAGAACCACGATCTGAAAAAGGGAATCTGTGTTTCAAAAAAAAAATTTCTGTTCAAGTTACCTTATCAATCATAGTTTGTTGAACATTTTGTTGCTGTTGTTTTTCAATTTTCAAAGCTTCTTCTTGCGCAGTTGTTGCCCCATCTTCTTCTCTCGAAATACTCTAAAATAATTTCCATTCTCAATAATATCAATAATCAATAATATCCCCTACCGTAACCCGATCGATTGATGTTATTGAAGAAGCTCTTGATCTACTTGACATCGATGGCGCTGAATCTGAGCCATTTCCCTGAACTCCTCCAGCTGATAATTCGTGTTGAGAATTCGACGATTTTCTAAAAGTTGCCAGTTCACTTTTCAGCTCTTTGATTGTTGCGTGTGATTTCTTTTTATAAGCAAGCAATGAATTTTTCTCTTCAGTTAGATGAATTTCAGCAGCTTCTACTGAAAAAATTTCGATTTTTTTTCTGAAAAAAAAATGTAGCTTACATAGCTTCAAAACTTCTTCATATCTCTCAAAATAGTTGTCAGTGTCTTCAGATTTCACAGAAATTTGTCTAGAAATCGGAGCTTCAACAGGAAGAATTCTTGAACTCGCCCGTAACTCTTCAATCTCCTCATTTTTCGCTTCAATTTCAGTTCTCAATAATTCCAGATCCTTTTTAACATTTTCAATTTCAACCCCATGTTCCTCTTTCAAAATCACAATATTCTGTTGAAGTTCAGCATTTTTCTCCGTCAGCACTTGTGTTAACTTCAACATATTTTCCGCGTGTTTTCGACATTCTTCCGCTTCAATTTCAGCCTGTTCCTTCTCCATTTCAGCCACATTTTTCTCCTTTTGTGATTCTTCAACTTGATTTGTACTACTCACAACAAAATTCTCAACTCCTTTCAGTCTCTCAATTTGTTCTTCGCACAATTTTCGACGATCTTCTTCGAGACTTAGCTGATCTTGTAGGATATCAATTTTTGATAGAAGATCCATATTTTCCCTGGAAAAATTTATGGTTTGTGAAGGTAAGTACAAAATTAAGAAAAGTTTTTTTTTCAAAAACCTACCTGCTAGCTTCTTCGAATTTTGTTGCCATATCAAGTTGAGAAGCTCTCATTCTTTCTAAATCGCTTTCCATTTCTTTGATTTTCTTTTCCAATTCATTTTCTCGTTTTTCCCGCTCCAGGTTCTATAATATTCAAGATAAAAATTTGACTAACTGATTAATTCCAAAAAAAATTTTTTTTTTGAGATGTTTTGGAGACAAATTTTTCAGAGAATTGAAGTTTCAGAAAATCAAAATTCATCTTTTTCGGAAATTTATTTAAAAAATTTGAAACGTAATTTTTCGAGAATTTTTCAGAAATGAAAAATGGGATTTATTCGGCCTTTTTAGCTCAATAGACTTTCTTTTTTTTTCAAATAAAAATTCTATAATTATTGGGTTTTTTCTCTCGAAAAAATATTTATAAGACTTTTTGGAAACAGTTAAATTTTTCAGAGAATCTGAATTTGAAAAAATTGAAAGTTTGGTTTTTTCGGTAATTTTCAGATTTTTAAATATCAGAATCTGGATACAATACTAATTTTTTTGACTGTTTTAAAATTTTAAAAAAATTTGAAACGTATTTTTTGCGCAATTTTTTTAGATTCAAAAATAAGAGCTCAGATTTTTTAGGGCTCAACAAAGGATCCCTTCACACCTCGACCAAGCTGTGGCTGGCCAGAGTACAATTTTTGGAAGTATTTAAATTTCAGTTTTTACGAGGGAAGTGTGTTATGAGTCCCCGGAGATTTTCAATGAGACCTATGTTTTTAGGTCAGTTTTTCACGCTGATAAAGCTCCTGTTTTCAGTTTTTGCTGAACGACTCTCTGAAGAGCCCAAAAATGAGCCAAAAGTTGAGAATTTCCTGAAAATCGGGTTTTTAGGAGCCCATAACTCATGTTAGAAATTATTTTTATGGAAAACTGAATGCATCACGTTGTTCAGGAGGGTCGATTTACCAAAGTCACAAATTTTTGATTAGTAAGTCCATACTTTTCAAAAAAAAAATTTCGTGGCTCAGGAAATAGGCTCAGGTCATGGATTGCACATTTGAAAATTTTTGGAAAATTTTGTCAAAATTTGTGACTTTGGTAAATCGACCCTCCTGAACAACGTGATGCATTCAGTTTTCCATAAAAATAATTTCTAACATGAGTTATGGGCTCCTAAAAACCCGATTTTCAGGAAATTCTCAACTTTTGGCTCATTTTTGGGCTCTTCAGAGAGTCGTTCAGCAAAAACTGAAAACAGGAGCTTTATCAGCGTGAAAAACTGACCTAAAAACATAGGTCTCATTGAAAATCTCCGGGGACTCATAACACACTTCCCTCGTTAGAAGACAAAAATTGAAAAATCACAGTTTTTAGAGGACAAAAACTGAAAAATGCACAATTTTTTAACTACGATTTTGGCCGAGGTGTGAATCCCTTCAAAAAAAATTCCAAGATCTAGAGAAACTCCCTTTCCCCCTTCAAATTCCTCTACCTGTGAATGCATTTTATCATCTTTCGACTGTATCAATTGTTTTCTCAAAACATCTCCCTCTTTTTTCGCCTCATTCAATTCTCTCAATACTCCTTCCACCCGCTTCTCAGCCATTTTCAATCGATTTTCAGCATCGAATTTCTCATGTTTCAATTTTTCCACTTCAACTTTCAAATTATTCACATTTTTCTCCAATTCCTCCACATTTTCCTGTGCTTGACACCGTTTCATTTCATTTATCTCATCTTGAATTTGCTTCAACGCACTCTCTTTTTTCACAATTTCCTCTTTGATTTTCATCATTTCACCTTCTCTCATCGCATATTTCACAACTGCTTCATTTTTTTCCTTTTCATTTTGATCAGCTTTTCGAGTTAATTGTTGAACACTTGTATTATATTTCTGGCTCATTTCTCGAGTTGTCACATTGAAATGCGCTTCTTGAGCACTCGATTTGTCGGATGTTGCTTTTAATTGGATTTCGAGGTCGCGAATTCGTCGGAGATGGGATTCGAGCTCTTTTTGATGTTGGCCACGAACATTTCTGGAATCGAAAGTAGTCTGATCTACAGTACTTCTAAATGGGTCCGAATCAGAAATTCAGAAAATCATGATGACATCTGAGCTTCTAGAGATGCGTCAGCAGACATCTGAGCTTCTAGAGATGCGTCAGCAGATTCACAAGCTCCTCGAAATGCGTCAGCAGGCATTTGAGCTTCTAGAAAAAAAGCGCCAGCAAATTTCCAAGCTTCTAGAAACGCGTCAGCAAATTTCCAAGATCCCAGAAAACCGTCAGCAGATTCTCATGCTTCTATAAAAGCGTCAGCAAACTTTAAAGCTCCTAGAAAAGCGTCAGCAGGCATCTAAGCTTCTAGAAACGCGCAAGCAAATTTCCAAGCTCCTAGAAAAGATTCAGCGATTTTTTTGAAAATTTCTCAGAATTTCCCTCTGGTGATCCGATTCCTATTAAATTCCTGGTCCGATTTCAAAAAAAATCCAAAAATTCCCCCACTCACTTCAACAACTCCTCATTCAAATCCCGTTCTCGAATAGTTTTCAACAATTTATCTCGATATTCCGAATTCTGATTTTCCAATCGCTCCAATTCAACATTATATATCGAATTTGTCACCGATTTCACAGGTGTTCCATATTCAGATGCAATTATTGTTGATGCTCGACTATCCGATCTTTCAGATTCAACTGGTGTCGAACATCTATCATCATCTTCATCATTGTCAACTATTTCAGGATGATGATCCATATTTCATCTGTAATTGAATAGCATTTTTTGGGTTTTTTTTCTAGACAAAATATCATAAAACGAAATTCCAAACATTCTTTCCCACACTTTTTTACTACAAAAGAAAAGCGCAAAGAATTTTTCGCATAATTCAACTCAAAAATGAATTCTCTCTCAACTTTCGTTTTGATCTTGGCGATTATTGTTGTTTCGATCGGAGTCGAAGCTGATGCAACTGCTGAAGGTGTTGCAAGTCTTTTGAAATCGATTTTCGATGGAACTTCGGGAATTATTACAAGTGCGGCTGCAGCAAAAGGAAGTTCGAAATAAAAAAGATAATAAATTCTGGTTTTGGGAATAAAATAAACTATTTGGCATTTTTGTGGGGTAGAAGTTTTGTAAAAAAATTTCAGCACAAAATGTTTTTCAAAAAAAATCCAGAATTTCTGAACCAAGTTTGTTTGGCAATAAATATTCGGGAAAAAATTCAAATGAATTTTTGACGCTGGAATTTCAGTAATAGAAAATTTCTGAAATTTTTTTCAAGCAAAAAATTTTTTCGCAACTTTTTAAAATTTTATTTAAATCTAAAGCTTATCAGAAATTTTGGAAAAAAAGTTTCCGAAACGTAAAATTTTTTTTTATAGCCCTGATAAAAATTGAAGGTTTATTCTTCCAAAATGCAAAATTTTATTGATTTGACAAATCTGCACGGTCTTCTAAAAATTTTCCAAAAACCAAAGATTCTTCACTATTTCCTTCAATAAAACCTATTTGTTAAAAAAAACGTCATTAAAAAAGAAAAAGTAAAATTTCCAGAAAAGCGAAAAAAAAAAAAGAAATAGTGCACACACATTTTGTGTGCCATAAAAAAGCCTGCTCCATTTTTCTCTGCGTCTCTTTTTCATCGATTCTTTCTCTCTGCTTCTCTTCGTCTCGTCGATCTAATTATGAGACAAACATGCCAAGACTTGTTTTCAGCCCACCATGTGCATTTTGAGGAGCAAAAATAACAACAAGACATTTAAAAATGAAAACATCTTATGTTAGAAATTTATTCACAAAAACGAATTAGTTGTTTTGTTGTTTAAACGAGAGAAAAACTGAAGATACAGAAAAAAAATAACATAAAAATTCAACTTTTTAAGTATTCAGGGGGAGGCTATTTATATTTTTTGAATAATTGAGTAATTAGACGAATCAGAACAATGGATATCTCCAAACATAAAGCTGACGGGAGCAACAATTGATCGCAGAAAGCCATTTTTGAAGATCAGAGGGAGTGTCAGCAGCCAACATAACTCTGAAAAATAAGATTGGGATGGTAGAAGAGGGCTTAGGATTCCCAGAAATTCGAAAAAATTGAATTTTTTTGGGACTAACCTCAATTTCTCAATTTGATTAACCGACGTAATCGTTTCATTTGCATACGCTTCTTTCGAAACCCAAACTCCAATATGAAAACTATTCGGATATGGGCAAACTTCATTAACTGTTGATGCACCATCTCTGCCAATACATGTTGCTAAATCGATTGAAACCAACAAGCTCTTCGATCTTTCATCTTCCGGATGTCTCCAGAACTTCATTTGACCTTCCGATAAAACACACCAATATCTGAAATGTTTTTTATTTTTTATTTTCCCAATAGATCTGTCGTTTACCTTGTCCACGAGCCCAATCCTTCTTTAGTTCTTTGATACATCGACAAAAATCCGCGATATTCAACATCCGAACCTTCAATGGCTCGTTTCGATACTCTCTTCATTCTAGCTCGACCATCAAGTGGGAAAATCGCATGACTCAATTGATATTCCTGGAAAAAAGGTGGGTTTGGAGAAAAAAATTGAAAAAAAATGGGGAAACTAACATTTTTATCAATTGACGAAGCATCAAATTCAAAAGATCCAAGAAGTCTAAAACTTGTATCCGAAGAATAATAAGAGGATGATGGAAGAGTTGCATTTTTATCAGTCTGAAAAAACAGAATATTATTTTGATTAGAGATAACATACATTTGAGAGAGTCTAGACAAGAAAACTTATATTGTAATGCTGAAAATCATGCAAATCACAAATTACAGCACAAAAAGTTCCTTGATTGAAATTCTGATTTTCAGAGATCTCAGCTGAAAACCTCTGAAAATCAGAATTTTCAGCACAATCTCTGAAGCTCTTAAAATCTATAATTAACAGAAAAAAAAAGTTCTAGACCAAAATGATGTGCTGAAAATATTGAAATTACTGAAACCCTCTGAAAATCAAAAATTTCAGCACTAAAATTCCTAGATCAATAAATTTGTGCTGAAAGTCATACAAATCTCTGAAAATCAGTATTTTCAGCACTAAAACTCCCAAGTCCCAAACAATACATGCAACACATTCCAAAAATGTTTCTTCTTCAACATTTTCTTCTGCTTCTTTTGCTCCTCCAAAATTCGTCGCTCTTCTCCTTTATCAACATAAAAACACCACTTTTCCACATTCTAAACAGGACAAAATGTTAGTAACACATGCACAAAACAAGCACAAAACAAAACCCCCCTAGTTACCTTAGTTTTCAAAGTTCCTTTTCCCAAATTAAATTTCGCTTCATGAGTGATCGATTCACGTTGACATTTCTGTCCATAAAACTCAACAACAGCTTTGAAATCCGACGGAAGTTCCGATAATTTGAGCGAGCTTGCAAATTCCAAACTTCCATTTTTATTGATAGCATCATCGCTGGTTTGTAATTGAGTTACTTCAACTTGTTCACCACATTTCAAGACCGCCACAAAATAATACAAATCCGCCGGTTTCATGACAGCCGTCAAGCATTGTTGTAAAAATTCTCTCGAAATCGTAACTTCTAATGTTCCAATGTCAATTCGGCCACGTGGTCCATCATAGCTAGAAAAAAATATTTGAAATTGCGGCGGGAAAATGTTCTCAAAAACTCACATAATTGGTCCATCTCTTTTCAATCGTTCAAATTCAGCTAAAAGTGCTCTTTGTCTTTCAATCGCAACCAACAATGCTCTTTGCAATTCAACCTCTTCACGAGATCCTCTAAATCTCGGAGTTTGTCTACACATTCCAATAGCTCGTTTTGCTTGAGAAATATGCTCATCTTCAATTTTGATGGCCTTTTTGATGCGTTCCTGGAAAAAATGGTGATTTTTAGGGGGAACTTGTGCTTAAACGAAAAAGTTTTGGCCCTAAAACTCAACAATTTTTTAATGTTATTATTTGGCGCGAGAGTTCAAAATTCAAATTTTGATATTACATTTTTAGCGGGAAAATTCCGAGATTCAAATTCTTCAATTGTACATCTTTGCGCGAAAATTCAAAATTCAAATTGTTATATTATTTTTTCAGCACCAAAATTTTTAAATTTGAAATTTTCACATGGTTTTTTTACGCGAAAATTCAAATTTTCTATTTTTTGGCGCCAAAATTACTTCATATTTGTCCTCGAATTTCAACTTCTCAAAATTTATGTGTACTTTTCGTGTCGAAAAATTTTCGGACCCGAAAAACAAATTTCAAAAACCTACCTTGGCTTGATTTTCAGTCTCCACAATTCTTCCAGCCATTCCAACCGCAATCGATTCATCAGTCAAACCTCGCAACATTTTCGGCGATCCAAAATTTTGAGCATTTGAAGAGCATGGTGGAGCAGATGGTTGAATTGGTGTGAAATCCGATTTCGCATTGTGCTCTTTTTGTATTTTTCGATAAAATGAGACAGTGTACGGTAATCGAGAATCCGTGTCTAAATTTAATTTAAATTGAACACAAGTTTGTCAGATTTTAAATCACTCACCATTTTTCCGTTCACTCCAAGACTCCTCAATAACTTCAATATGTTGTTGCCGTTTCGTCGCATTATCTCCAGCCGCAACAATCTCCTCTTCTTCCTCTTCATTCTCACCCATCGGAACACTTTCCTCCTCTTCAATCACATCAATTTTCTGCTGTTTGAGCGGCGATTCATCAAATTGAGCCAATGGAGCAGGTGGTCTATAAGGAGACGGTGTAGCTCCGCCCATTTTCGAGCCACGATCCATAAAATCAAAAGCTTGATCGATAATTCGACTCGCATCAGTTTCAGCGATTTCATCTTCTGAAACATCATCAATGAATGGTTCCTCTTCATTCTGATTCAGAAAATCTTCTTCTTCCGCAACGAATTGCTTTCCAATCGAAGCCGTCGATCCAGCTCCAATACTCATATTTTTCCCCAAATTCCTCGAAGCCCCAACTTTTTGAGGAATCGCAGTTTCCTTCATTTTTATAGCCGTAGCAATTAGTGAGTCTTCAGAAGCATCTGGATGAATTGGAGTTCCTGTTGCCGACGAGAATTCCCAGCGAGACTTCAGATTCTTCAATTTCGAAGCTCCGGCTCCAAAAACATCTGCACCTGCGGTTTTTTCATCGGCTCTTGCACCTTGGACAACTGGAGTATTGTGTTGGCCACGCCATTGAGTTTGAACTCCGCCAGGAAGTTTTGAAGCAGAAGTTGCTAAAGAACTTTTCTTCTCTTCCTCCTCTTGTTTCATAAACAAATTCTTCTGATGTGGCGTCAAATGAACATGTGGTGTATTAACAATCGGTTGGCGGGTAGAAAATCCAGGCTGAAAATATATTTTTTTCATATTTCTGAAATCAATAATCCTCAAGAATACATACAGACTTATTTTTCTCTCCACGAATTCTCTCTTCTAATTCCTGCCTACGAACTCGCGCACATGCATTTTCCAAAGCCGCTGTTTTAGCAGGCGACAAAACAGCACAAGGTTCAGATTTCGATGATTTTGGGAGTGGTGAGGAGGTGCTTTGCGGTGTCTGGACAAATTATTAGTTTTTTTTAAAGCAGGTTAAGATAGGAAACTTACAAAATGAACTGGTGAAAATTTGGTGTTTCCAACATATTTGGAAAACGGTTTTGGGGAACTGACAAGAACGTGGATTGATTGCTTGGTTGGAGTGTTGGCATCTTCAACTTCTTGTTGTATTGGAGGAGTGGGTTTCTAAAATGGTCAAGTTAATCAGGCGGACAAAAAGCAGTTAAAAGCCAACAAAAAACATTTAAAATCTATTATCTAAAATCTCATCGGTACCACGCGCTCCACCGAAATAAGCACGCAACACAGCGAAAAAAAATTATTTTTTCTGTTTCCGTGTGGTACGGTGTGCAAAACAGAAAGTGTTTGCACACACAAAGGAAAAAAACAAAAAACAAAAGGGGAGAACACACAAAAACCGTGCGCACATGCAATAATATTGCAGAAAGACGCTGCCAGGGGTTGCGTGTTGAAAACTCCGCCTATTTTTTTTTTGAATTTCCGCAACGAATTTTTTGTGTACAAAAAAATAATTTTTTTTCGCTGTGCGCAACGCAGACCGCGCCGCGCCACAACACACAAAAAAAGAAGGGAATTTGAACCGTTTCCTTATTTGTGTGTGTTGTGGTGCGACGCGGTCTGCGTTGCGTGTTTATTTCGGTGGAGCGCGTGGTACCGATGAGATTTTCGATAATATATACCTTTCTCATGAAAGTATGTGCTCCATATTCCTCATTTGTCATATCATTTAATGCCATTGTTCTTTCGCGAATAATTGCATCACGATTCTCACAACTTTGCGCATTAATCAAAGTATTCTCTACAGTTATATGATGATTAATCGATAAATCATTTGTTGTTGTTGAAAGCGAAGAAGTTGTCACATTCATCATTTCTGCTGATCCACCCAAAACCGTGCTAACCGAATCATTGACTGATGATCTACCAGACAAAAGTGAACTTTCGTTTGGAAGATAATTCACATTGACGATGGGATGAGCGAATTTGATAGTTTTTGTTTCTTCGCGAGCAACTTCCACACTTCTTGGCGAACTTTGTGGCTCGATTTTGATGTTGGTTGCGGATTTTGTTGCACCACCGGCTACATTTGGACTTCGCATTGCTGCATTTCCAGCTGGAGTGCAAAGAACAGATGTGCGTGTCTCTCCAATACTCATTCTCGGGGATCTTCCCTTCATATAAGCCTCTTTAGGTTTATTATATTGATTTTGAAAATCCACCTCGAAATCATCCAATTCAGCGGCTAAAGCTGAAAATCTTGCTTTTCTCGCTGAAGTTTGTTCGGCTTTTGGAGTAATCGATTTAATTGGAGATTCTTCTTTCGGTTTCGCAGCTTGTATAATATTCACTTTTGATGGCGATCCAAAAGTTCTTGGAGCTGCAGTTATCGAAGGCTTCACATCCTCCACAACATTCTCCTTGGTTTCTTCGATAGTTTCTATTGTTGATGCTGATAATTGCATTTGACGAGCACGAATGCGTTCCATCACGGCCTTAAATGTTCTTTTTTTATTTGCTGACAATATTCAGAACAACTTACATTAACTTGATCATCATCCATGCTTGTATGTACACTTATCTGCAAAAACTCTTGTTCCTGATGGACAATCATTAAGAAATGGGGAAAAACACCTAAAGGTTCAATACGTGTTAATTTCACGTGAAAAAAAACAAAAAAAGAAATCGAGAATTTCAAAATAATTTCTTGCCCGCGTCATCGTGACAAGACCAACAGCTGTTCGTTCATCCGCGCGCCTTTAATCTTGTTAGTCTGCGCATCTCAATTTTGTGTGTTCTCTCGCAATAAATTTATTCAATCAATTATTTATTCATTTTTTGTGAGACTTTTATAATAAACAAGGAAAAATCGCTATTTACAATAAAAATACAACCAGTGAGAAAATGTGGGGCAAAATAAGATATATCACAATTAGTATTTATACATTAACCAGTAAATCGTTAGCAGCCTCGTTATTTTCTCCCTGTTCCTCTTCATCGAGAACCAATCTACCGTATTCATCATCATCTGATTGTCTCTGAAAAATTTTCAAATGGAAATCTAGATGTCATTGCTAAGTTTACCGAATAAACAAAGATAACAACAAACACGGCGAGCCAACCGATAAGACCCAATGATAAGCTGATTATTCCACCAATAAATGAGAAATGTTTTGCATTAAAGATACCAATAAGTTGATCGCGAGTTCCCTCATCGAAATATGCAGTTTCATTCATCCATAAAACTGGGACAATCACATTCGATGTGTTTTTGACAATTCTGAAAAACATAATTTTGGTTAGGCGCAGGCTTCAGGCTTCAGAAAACTCACGCCACATTTCCTTTGACCATTCCAATATTGATTTGCATAATTCTCTTTGCTTGAGTTGGAACTCCAGAAACCGGCTCCAAATCCACAAATGTATTATCATTAGAAGCTGATGGAATATCTAAACCAGTCACCGAATACCATAATTCCTTCGGTGAGTTGTAGAAATGCGGCTGAGATAGATAAACCCGCGGGGAGCCAGCTTGACATCTACTTAAGTCAATGATTCCAGCAGGGAGGCAATTTTCTGAAAAATATTTTTTTTTTGAAAAATTAGAAATAATATTTACTCACCAATCTGGATTGTTGTATTCTCGAAAAATCTTGGTGTTCCTTTCGCATTACAAAATTCTCGATTCTTCGGAATTTTCGGGTCATACAAATCAGCCGGTGGAATAAATCTCCACGAAGGAACTCCCGAAACCGCAACATCTTTCGAATATTCCATTTGTATTGATCTACAGAGCTGCGGCACAAAAAATCGTAATCCTGTTTTCTCGTTTCATCATTGGTGCGAAAAGCTGGCCATCGGTTCCATTTATCATTCGAGCATATTCGCTGTCCCACGTTTTGTTGGACATTTTTGTCAGATTATTCCATGAATATAATTTTCCGATGTTCATTGGTGAAGGGATTCCAGTATCAACTTCATATAAACCATCAGTTGTGCCATTTTGCTGGAAAAAATCGATAATCTAGTTTTGAATTAAAATAAAATAAAATAAAATAAATAGATATTTACACCGTAGAAGAATCCGATTTTTCTTTGAAGAAGATTTGATTCACATAAAATTTTTCCCAAAATTTTGTTATTGCAGATCAAATCAATGAGTGGATCTTCATAACCTTCAAATAATGCATCTCGAATTGAAACAGTGATATATGGAGCCTCATCAACAAACTTCAAAACAGCTTCAACCGCAAATCGTGATCCAATATTGATTTCAGCCGTATCAATGAGTTTCTAAAAACATTTCATTATACGATGAGAGTTTCAAATTCCACAGAAAAATAATCAAATTCGCTCTATCGCACACACAATTGATTTTTATGTGTACTTCTCTCGGAATTCATTTTTACCTGGAAAATAATACTCGGAATGGTCACTTTTTTCTCCAAAATACAACCGGAACACGAAGCGTTTTGATTGAAAAAATATAATTTTTTATTTTTGTAGAAAATTCGGGTGTCATTTTCAGCAAATCGATGATAGATTTTCTCTTGGATCTCGCTGAAAATAATCGATGTTTTTCAAACAAATATAAGAATTTCCTCACTCAAAAACGAATGGACCAATTTGTTGAAGATTCGGTTTCTCGTGCCGTTGAAGAATTCCATTGACATTTGTCACATTAAACATCCAAACATTGAGTTGCATTTTATATTGCGGTTTCAGCCACGTTTTTGTCATGGAGTTTGGGATTTCTGTTCCATTTTCGTCTTTTGTGTAACCGAGGAAATCCTGCTTGAGGACTTGTTCATTTACAATTCGATCGATTGGAATTCCGATGAGTAATAGAATTCCACAGATTGCAAAGATCAATCCCACAACGATTGCAGATCCAAAAAGGCACGGAGCCTTTTGAACCATCCTGCAAAAACCTATATTTTGAAAGCGAAAACGAATTGTATCCAACAAAAAAAGAATTTTTCAATCGATCGATCAAAACAATTTTCGATGATGACAAACAACAACAAAAGGGCAGATAAAGAAAAGAAAAATTCTCGAATTTTTAATGGTTATTTTCAAAAAAATGTTCGGTAGCAAAAAAGGAAAAGGGAAAAAAGATTAACGACATTTTTTGGCAAATATTGTATTTGCACGTCAGTTACGCGCGCTACACGAAAAAAGTGGTGCTGTTCTAGCCAAACCACTTTGTTTATGAGTAGCGGTCACGCGACGGGGACTAGTGGACGAGAAATGTTCAGAGCTCGGCCATGCATTTTTATTTTTTTATTTTTCTGAGGTTTGTTGGCAGTTTTTAATTTTCACGCTGGAACTCCACGAATCTGAAAAACTGTCGTACTGCAAATTTTAAAGGAGCATGCTATTCAATATTTGGTGTTACCGTATTTCCTTGAATATTCAAAATTTTCCAGATGCAAGCCTTGCAAGATCGATTGGCACAATTAACAAATCCTACGGGTAGTGAAATCTGGACGATTTTGAAAGAGGTAAGCATTTTTCTTCCATGTTAGATCTCAGCAAAAAATTTTCAGTCAGAAGAAGATTTGCGTGCTGATTTGTTGAACTTGGGTGAGAAAAAGCGGATAGCAGAGGAAAATGGGAAGAAAAAGTTGGCCGAATTATCAGCGAAAAAAGAAGAGTTGCAGAATATCAAGAAAGATGTTCAAAAATGCCAAGAGGAATATAAAAATTATGTGGAAACTGTGAAAAATGAATTGAAGAGAAATGGAATTGAATTTGAAGTTATATGTCGGGATTTTGAGAAGGAAAGAGAGCTGAAATTGTGAGTTTTAGTTTTGAGAAGTTATCATAACTCAAAATATTTTCAGATCCGCCTACAAATCAGAAATTCGTGGATTATTGGCAATCGAAGGTTTAAGAATTCCAAAAATCGCTGAAAATATCAGAAGAGTTGTTCAAATCCTCAAAGAAAATCGGGATTCGAATATTCACGAAAATCTCGGCTCAGATTTCGAAGTTTTCTACTCAAAAGCTCTTACTCAATTCAGAGTTGAGTTATGGAATTTTCTACAGCAAAATCGGATCCCAATGGTCCCAGTTAATGGTATTTTTTTGATTTAGAAAATTTCAACAAAAAAAGTTATTCTTAGATACCCTGGATTTGACGGATCTTCCAGAATTTCACGAGAAATTGAGTGTGTTTTGCAAATTTTCTGGAGATTTGAATTATTTGATAAATCAAGAAGATTCTCAAGCTCGACTTATTGCATCATTCCTAGGACAAGTCACGAATATTTGTATGGATATGTTGGAAAAGGAAAAAGATTTTTCATGGATTCTAACATGCGCCTTGAAATGGTCGAATAATATCAAAGAAGTTGTGAGAAGTGCGATCAAAATTGAGGAGAAAGATTTCGACAAAGAATTGGAGAAATTTATTCATATTTTAACTTCTAAATTCATCAAATACAACCTCGAAGATCCCCTGGTATTTTCGAAATTATTGGAGATTTTGCGGAAATATGAAGGCGATTTTGAGGATTTATTTGTGCCATTTTATGAACCGGAAGTTTTAAGCAAACGAATTTTACTGGAAATTGAGGTATTCTCCTTGGAATCCACTAGAATTTTGAATTCCGAAAGATGTTTCGATCCATTAGAAGCTTGCTTCCTAAGTTCATCTACAGATTCTCGCTGGTCTTCAGAACTCATAATATTTTTCGAAGAATGGATTCAACGAATAAACTGCGAGGTGAAATATATGAAAAATGAGGAAGTTCAAATCGCATTCTATGAAACTGCACATATTCTGATTTCTGATTTATGCGCGAGAATTCACGAGACAGCAAATCGTCTTTATATGGAATCGAGTTGGGCGAATGATGTTTATTTGGTTATGAATAATGTTTGGGAGATTCGAGTTATGGTTGAGTCACTCACATTAACTTGGCCAATTTCTTCAATGAATATTGAAAAAGAATATGAGTAAGTTCTTGATTATTTTCCTCCCAAATTAATTTTTTCTCAGGAAAGAATGGAATAGATTGGGAGATATGATAATGGAATATTTGAATGATATTGTCTGCACAATGGACGAAAAAATCCGCTCAAATTATTCAATCGCAGACAAACCACGTGTAATCTCCTCAACCTTCAATCGAATAATCAAATGCCTTTCAAATGTATCAAAAAAGATCTCAAAATCCAGCAAATCCACACTTTTGAATAAATTGATATCGGAATTATTCATCGATTTGCAAAAGAAGTTTGATGTTTGGCAAAGGAGATGTGATTTCGAGGTGATTTCAATCATTTATTTGGAGATTTATGGGAACTTGATGGATGATGAGAAATGGAAAAGGCAGGGAGAGGAATCGAGAAGAGAAATTACGCAGTTGGATGCGTTGATGAAGGTTGCGGCGAATAAAGATCCGAGTGGGGAGTTGGTTAGAATCGCGTTTAGATCGGTGAGTCTTTTTTAAATTTTATTTGATCACAGTGTTTTGAATTATCACGGAAAAATGTGGTCCTACAGTAACCCGAATTTTTGGTACAAAAAATGCTGCAAAACGATATCAAATTTGATCACAGTATCCCTGGAATTTTGATGTCATTTTGAAGCAAATTTTGGATATACAGTAACCCGATTTTTTCGTAATAATTCAGTCCTCGAATCTTCAAAATTAGATTTTTCGCGAAATTTGGTTCAGGGACCTTGAGAATTAAATGTTTTGACCTAAAAAATCATTTTTTTAATCTTTAAAAAGTGGCCCGATTCCTCAATTCCCATTAAAAATCCCCCATTTTCAGATCGACGAAGAACAAGTTGGCAAAATGTTAGCCGAACTCGGCATCAAATCCACATCCGATCATGCTTTTCAGGATTATCAGTTAGTTTCTTCTTCTGCTCTGAATTTTCCATCAAATTTTAAAATTTTTTCAGAATCCTCGCCGAAAATTGGGATAAAATTCAGCATTAAATATAAATTTGCATGTGATATAGTTTCCGGGTTTTGAAGATAATAAATATTTAGATTTTTTTTCCGAGTTTTAAAATTGAATAAATAACTTGAAACGCTGAACTTGGCACAATTCATATTTGTATCTTGAAATTCAAATTTTTCTTTTAAAAAAAACTGAAAAAATTCCAGATGGCCCTAATTTTAGTCATGGGTTTGCCGGCTTCTGGAAAATCCACATTTTGTCAAAAAATGAGGGATTATGAGCCGGAACTAGTTGCGACAACTTCATTTGATGAGTTCAGACAAGTTGTGAATGGTGATGGGTGAGTTTTGAACTGGATTTAAGCATTTCTCAGGTTAATGGGAAATTTAGCTGGAAAATTTGAGTCTTGCAACGATTTTCTGGATTACTGTAGTTAAATCTAGAATTCAAAAAATTTAAGCATTGCTCAGATTATATGGAACATTTGAATCTTGACACGATTTCTTGGGTTACTGTAGCTTCCCTGAAATACTGTAGCTAAATCTAAAATTCAAAAAAAAATTGGCAGTGCTCAGGTTAATTTCCAACAAACTTTTCTAAATTTATAGTTTTAAAATTTTCCATAGAAACTTTTTAAGGTTCAAATTAAAATTTAATTTATTCAGGCTCCAATTAAGAATCAATTAATTAAGGTTTGAATTCAAATTTAATTTATTAGAGTTTAAATTTAAACTTAATTTATCGAGTCTAACCTTTTCCCCAAAAAACTCCCCAAAAATCATTCCAGGTCTGCCCGTGCAACTCGAAAATCCTTCGAAACCCACTGCAACTTAACCATCCCCTCTTCAAATAAACCAATCCAATTCATCGAAGACATTTTCTATCTGCAAAGTATGCGAAGACCATTCCAAAAATTGGCTAGAAACCTGAATTGCAGTTTTCATGTGATATTTTTGAGAGTCGATGTAGAAGAGGCGATGAGGAGAAATTCAAAAAGATCTGGGGATTTAAGACAGCCAGATGAAACAATTCAAAAGATTCATGATAATCTGGAATTCTCCGATGATTTCACTGTTCTAAGCTCCGAAGAATCTAGAAGTTTAACATTGCATCAACTTTTTACTGAGAAATTTCGAATAGATCTTCCAACTCGCATACCTTTTCTTCCAATCAAACCTATTCCTTCTGGAAATTCATCCCTTGATTCGCTAGATGTTATTACTCGAAGAATGGTATCCGAAATTATTCAGGAGAATCCAACAATCAATATGAAACATTTAAATGAAGCCAGGAAGCGAATTTTCAAAAATTTAAAAGTTCATAGTTCTGAAAATATTTGTTTAGGTGATATCAAACTAGAAATTTTAAACGAGTACAATAAATATTGAATCTTATTATTTACAAGAAATGTTGACAAACACTAAAAAACGAAAATTAAAAACAAATAATTTATTGAAACCGGTAAAAATGGTAAATCCAAAATTAATCAAATCCAGAAATTTACAACCCGCTCCCGTATTAATTTTTCTTACAAAAAAGAAAATTCGTGGTAATTCTCTCAATTTTCGAAGCTCGTTTTCTGAGCTCCACCAGAAGTTGAGCAGCTGGTGTGTGTTTTCCCATAATACCACAACAACAATTTGGGAACAATTCACATGCATAATAATGTGTGATAATTTCTCATCGTCCCACTTTTGCTTGGCGTATTACACCAAAAACAAACCGTTACATTTCTGTGTTTCTGCTATGTTGATCATTTTCTTGATCCTCCGCAAATATCTAAACTTTTTTACGAAGCCATTTGCCAGAGAAATTGAAGAAGAAAAAGAAGAGCCTCCGATTAAAAAATTGCCATTCGAAGTTCTTGGAGCTATTTTTGAAAAGGTAAGCTTTTAAATGATTTGTGATATTTCAAATTGAAATGTTTTTCAGCTTGAATACGATGATGTTCAAAATTTGAAAAACTCATCAAAGTTTCTATTCGACGCCCATCAATTAGAACGTCGGATGATTGCTGGTCCAAAATATGATGCCAATGTGTATTATAACAAAAATAAGGAGCTTCGACTAGAAATAACAATTTTCGTTGATGTTCCATGGATAAGAATACTTCCATTTAAAAGAACAATTGAATTGACAAGAAATATTCCATTTGATCAATGGAATTATTATTTCAAAAATGCAAATTGCAAAGAATTAAGAATGATTGTTGAAGAAGATGAAATTCCATTGGGAATTTTGAAGAAAATTATTTGCTGTAAATCGATTGAGAAATTAATCTATACCGGAAAATCAATCAATCAGATGTCTATTGATCTTCTTGCTGCATATAATCCTCAGAGTTTTGAAATTGTTCTTAATCGTTGGAGTTTCAAAATATCGCAATTGATTAATGTCAGCGAAACATGGGTTTTGATTAAATGGCAAAATATTGATGATATTTTTGAAGCAATCAAATTAACTTATGATACGATTATTAGTTTACATCCGGAAATTTATGAAAAAAACGAGGATTCTTTGATGGTGAGTTTCATAGCTAAAAAAAAGAAAATACTGGGGGTAAAAATAGCAAGTTTTGTTACAAAAATCGACTTTTAGCCAGTTTGCTAAGCCTGGAATTTGTTTGTTTATAATTATACTATTTTTCTATTTTTCAGAAACTCAAGCCTAACATTAAATATCATCCTCACTTCTGTTTTCATTTTGCAAACAATAAGAATACGAATGAAGACAAAGTTCAATCGCTCGCGTATTTTTTGGAAAACAATGTTTCAAATGTTTATGGATGTTATGTGGAATGCAAAGTTGTCGAAGACGGAACAGGTCTTCATTTTATTTGTAGTGGTATTCCTATTGCTGACAGAGCTGAGGTTCGATTTATAAATAAAAAGCTTCTTCAATATCATAAGATTTTTTTCAGCCATTGATACAACAAGAAGAGGAACAGTCTGCAGCTGTTAGGTTTGGGGGTTTTGTTGTCCTTTGTATACTTCAGGCAATTGCTGAATGTTTTATAAAGGCACTGTTCAAACTTTTTGTTAACTTTGTTAAAACAATGCTCTAATGCATTTCATTCATTGCATAATTTTTTAAAAATGATTATTTACGTAATTTTTCTACTCTTTACATTATCTTAATAAATGGATTATGATTTATTCTGAAAAAAATCTGAAATTTTTTAAAAATTCTTATTCTTAACCCGAAAAATAAATAAACTAACTATTCTGCAATTGTCCTCCTCCTTGTCGTCGATTTGTGGCTCCCGAGTGGTGCAATTGGTGGTGATATTGGAGCAGATTGCAGGTGACGATGACTGAGAAGTGGCAGCTCGACATTCGCGATTCTGGAAAAAAAATGGTTAGTATCAGAGTTTTGGGAAAGCCAGTCGATTGGGGAAATCGAAAACACATTAGAAAAAAAAAAATTATTATTTTGTTGTTGAGCGCAGGATGCGCTAGCAGCAAAATCTAGAAACAGCCCGATATGAGCCAGAAAAATGGAAATTTCTGGCGAGCCAGGCTTGATTCCAGATTTTGCCACTCGGCGGTGAATCGAGCTCGAAAAGGGTGAATTCTCAGTCAAAAGACTGGGAACCCTTTATTACGAGCTCAAAAATCACCATCAGCAACTGAAGAGGGCAAGTTGACGAGACGGCGATTGTACAGCAAATGTAGAACAAAAGCAGCTGGATACGGTTGTGGTTGTTCCTTGAAAAAAAACGAAAAACGGAAAAACACAAAAATCTAGAAAAATGAACAAAAACAAATCTGAACATCGATCCTTTGTGCAAAACAGTATGACGTGGCAGATTGAAGAAGTTTGGCAAAAGAAGACGACATTGGAAAACATTGAAGACATCTGTAAATTGAGTGAACGAATTGTTTGGTTGGAGATTTCTGGAAATTTTTGGAAATCAATTTCCTAAGTATACTCTTCATGTAGTAATGAAAAATATAACTTTACTTTCCAAGTGGCTAAAACTTTAAAGAGGGATTTTTTCTTATAAATTTTAAAATTTAAGATTTTGAATAAAAATTCAAAAATTGGGCATAGCTTCCGCATCTCCGCTGAAATTCCAATTTCAAACTGATAAAATCAACCATTTTTCGTGATTTTCAAAAAAATATCAAGAAAAACAGATGTTTTATCAGTTCCAAATTGTAATTCCAGAACTTCTATTCACTATTTTCGTGGGTGCAAACTTTGGCGCCAAAATCTCACCTGCAGGTTGAAAACGCAAATTCCGACCAAATTTCGCTATTTTGCGACAAATGTTCTTCCAATCTGCAATGAATAAGTTTTGTTGATAGCTAGATTATCGCATTTATTACTTAAAATATTCATTTACTATGAGAAACAATGAAAAAACGGAAAAACGCGAAAAATTATTTTTCGAAAACAAAAAAAAAACAAAAAGAAAACAACGACATTCCGCTTGCCCGCTGTTTAGCGCAAAAGAGGTGGCAATTCGATTTTTAGTTTTTTCATTTTTCCACAGAAAAATATTTTTTTCCCTCTAGAAGTTCGAAAGAATTTTTTCATGAAAAAGTGAGCATAGTGAAAGAAAGTAGAGATATTGAAGTGTATGTTTTGATATTCGAGGCTTCACCTAGTGACGTGGTCCTTAAGCTTTTGGTGTTCATATTAGATTTATTTGTTTTTTCCTGGGATTTTTGGGATTTTTCCATCGTTTTGAATTTTTTTTTGAATTTTTTGGAATCGCCTGGCAAATTAATCATCAAATTTGATTTTTTCAGTTATCTCACTTGGATATATTATTAAAAGTCGCAACTCGCGCAAATATGACTGTAAGTTTTTCAACTAAACTATAAATCAATAACAATCTCCTATTTTTGCAGAGTGGAAAAAACTATCAAAACGGAGGTTCAGATAACGCTGGACCAAAAAACACGGCTAAAGAACAGCCAAAAAAACCTGAAAAAATTCGGGTTTTTCCTGAAGAAGAATCTGACGGAGAATCGGATGGTGAAATGGCGAGTTTGGTTGAACAATTCGGTCTATCAACAATCGAAGAGAAAAATGAACCAGATGAATCGACCAACTCTGGTTCAAATACTCAAGGCGAATCACCAAAACCGTCTCAACCAACAAATGAAGAAGTTGCTCATCTTGTCGATTCGTTGAAAAATGGAGTTGTTGCTGATGCTTCATTCAACATTGGGAAGATCTGACAGATTGATCGAGGTTAGTTTTTTGGTTCGAAAATTGGAAAAAAAAATAAATTGGCTAGAAATTTTGGAATTTTTTTTTTTGAAAATCATTGAAATTTGTAAAATCTGAAAACTCAGCTTCTGGATCGTATCCATGCATTAACTGCAACACCAAATGCGCAAGCACAATTTATTGAAGAGGAGCAGATTATGAATGATTTGATGGAAACGGATGATGTTGTTGTTGATTCTGCATCAAATATTGCTGGAAATCCAACTGACAACTGACAAGTGAAGAAATTGCCACAGACAATCAACATGTTGAAAGTGAGCAGAATTCAAGCGAGATGTTGAAAGGAGCCGAAGTTGTGACCGAAGATTGGATTTCTGAAAATGCGGATAATGTTAGTTTTTTTAATTCAAAAATTCAAAAAAAAAATTTTCAAACCCATAAAAACCCTCACCTTTCTCAGCGATTCGCAACAAAAATCTTATGAGAATCCAGCTGTACGTGAAGAATCGGAGCCGCCAAGCTCTGGGGATTCGTCAGAAGAGCGTTCGATAATCTCGGCGTTTCGCAAAAGTTGTGATTGGATTTGGTTAATTCGTATGTGTATAGTGAAGATGTATCCGACTCGTCTCCAAGTCGCAGAAGAGCGAATCAATCACCTGCTGAAGCAAGTCCAAGCCCTCTTCGACCACAGAAGGCTGGATCTTCTTCAAAATCGCAGACGCCAAATGATTCGTCTCGTCGAACATCTCCAGATTCATCACGACCTTCGACACTACCATCGCCAGTTCCAACAGAAGTCAAATCGACTGCGGATATTTATATTGAATCGCGAAATGATGCGAAGCACAAATTGATTATTTCTAAACACATGTTCGAAGAAGATCCCATAATTTTGATCGATTCCAACAATATATCCGCTATTGGAAAATTGAAATCTAATTATGTGGAGATCGATTCGGACGGTGTTGGGATTATGACGCATTATTTGTCATATTCGGCAAGAGAACGAATCATGATGTCAAAATTAAAGAAGGAAGTTGAATCGAAATATGTCAATTATAAAGGAGCAAGAGTTCCAGTGGAGGCGTATAAGCAACTCATCGCCCAGGACGCTTTGAATGCATTCAGGGATTCTGATGATGACGATGATATCTCACATGTTGCTGCGCCTCGACCACGCCAGCAACGGAAACGAGCAGTTATCCAATCACCAAATGCTTTTGCGCCTCCACCAAAGCGCATAAGAATTCAACCAAAAAATCGTACTTCAAAATCGAATGCCGTTCGACGAGCTCGAAAGACAGCACGACCGATTGCTCAACCAATAAATTCTCCAGCAACACCGCTTCTGCGATTGGCAGCTAGGTTGGCAGCACGGAATGTCACTACTCCGCAAACTGGTGCGACTGGAAATGCAAATGTTGGAAATGGACCAGCCAACATTTTGTCTGCTACTCCGACTCTACCGAAAATCAAAAATCGAAGCATCGAGTTGTTACGCGATTGGTGGCGATGCACACGGAACATCCAGCTGACAAAGTTGAGAAGATTATCGGCAAGACGAAGTTGTTGTGCGATTATGTGCGGCGATTTTCGCAATAAATTGTGAGTTTTTTTCGTCGAATCTGCCAATAAAAACTGTTATTTTTCAGATATCCCTCTCGCCTTGCATTATCGATCTTCAATAACTGACCATTATTGATGCATCGATCTGAACCCTTCCACTTCTCAACCAACTTCTTGGCGGCATCAATTCACCATTCCAAGTGAGTTTCTTCTTCATCTTGGCCTCTTTCCCCGGTTTGGGGTCTTTTCTTTTGATCATTTGTCTCCATTTTATATTTTTCCCTGAAACTAACTTTTTCTCCCTTTTTTTCGAAAATTCAAAAAAAAAATGATAAAAATAATAAAAGTAGAGAGTGTGTAATGGTAGATGACCTCCCAGTCATCTCCATTATGTATTTCAATCATAGATATAACAACCTTTACATGTATAATATTTATTACAAGTAAAATATGTTATCGGCCGATGTATGTGGCAACATAGTAAAGAATGAGCTTCTTAGAGAGGCGGGGAGACACTTGGGTGCACATGCGTGCACATGTCTCTGCGTCTCTCTAGGAGGCACCACAAGTGTGAGAAAATCAGAGAGTGCCAGAGAGTGTGCAAACACTGTTGCGCGCTACAGTAATATTAGCCTTTTACCAATCGGTGCACCTCGCTCTATCGCACTCGCCATGGAAGAGAAAAGTTTTTTTCGCGTCCTAGGATCCGACACACTCGGCCATCTTTTTGTTTTTGTTTTTCTTTTTTTTCGAAACGGTTTTCGTTTGCATTTGAACTCGTGCGCTTTTTTTGGCGCGTCGCGTGCGATGCGGAGCGTGTTTGTTCGATGGAGCGAGGTGCACCGACGTATGAAAGGCTAATATTTATTATATTTTTTGGAATAACTCTGGAATTTTCAGATGCGCTGGTTTCGGAAATTGGTCAAATTCGAGCTCAGTCGTATTTTTGGATAAGGATCGCACACGAAAAATCGATAGATGAACCAGTTGGGTTTTAATGTTCCTTTATATTTGTATTCTCTATCTGCTTTTTCAGCCCCCTCCTGTAATTTTTATTCTTCCCATTCGTTTGCTTTATTTTTTCTATCAAGTTTTATTAAACTTTTATAAATAATAGAAAGCTTGATTTTGTTGTGTTTTATTCAAAAGTTTGAAAAACTTTCAAAATATCTTTATTCTGATTTTTGAAAAAGTACTGTAGATTTGTCTTCGGAAGATGCTTCTACAGTTTTTTTGCTTTGAATACACAGAGATTTAATCGGGTTACTGTCAAAATGCATTATAATTAGTGATATTTTCGTTAAATTATTTTACGATTTTTTTCAGCCTAAAACCGTAAAACGAAAAAAAACGTAAACGCAAAAATTCTCAGGTCTGGTTTGGATATAAAATGTTCATGAAAAATCAATTAAAAAAGATGGAAAACGGACAAAACACCGTTAATTTCACAAAAAATTCGAACAAAAGGCAAACAATTAATATTTTATTCAGCAAGTATCAACAATCAATAAGAAAGCAAACAATTGTACAAAATTTCAGATTCGATAAAAATATAAACACATTTTATGCAATAATGAATCGAAATTCATTAAAAGCTGTATTTTCAGTCAAATTTTCGGAATTGAACTCGAAATTTGTGTGAAAACACGCCTTTCATTCAAAATTCGAGATTTTGAGAAGATGTTTTATTATTTCCTTCAAAAATGTTAGATTTTCCAGAATATTTTCAGAAAAATTCTAAAATTCTGAATAAAACTTTAGGATTCTCGAAATTTCGAGCTGAGACCAAATTTTGAAAAAATTATGGTCATATTTACGCTCAAAAATTCAAATTATCAAAAAACTCACCGCAATTTAACTCCTTTAAAAAAAAACTAACGTTCCGAATTTGCCATTGAATTGATCAACATTCCGGACACTCAAAAATTGCCACAACTAGAATTTGTCAGGAAGACGAGCAACCTGGAAAATTGGGGAAAATTGAGGAAATTGGTGGGGAAACGGGGGGCCAGTAATCGGAAAATGAACCAAAAATCGGCTTTTTTTTGAAATAAAATTCATTAAAAATTCAAAATTTGGGCATAGCTTCCGCATCTCCGCTGAAATTCCAATTTGGAACTGATAAAATCAATCGTTTTTCTAGATTTTCTAAAAGAAAATCGAGAAAAATATTTGTTTTATCAGTTTCAAACTGGATATTTCAGAAGTTCTCATGATTATTTTTATTTCTTGGCAAATCAATAAAAAGCTTACCATGATTCCAATTCTGCGTTCCAACGATCTCATCAATGATATCGAGGAGTTCAACAAAATATCGATTGAGCAAAATTGATTTATTTATTGAAGTGGCAAGATTTGATGAATTTCCATTTCATGATTTTTCGCCCTTGGATGTTGTTGAAGAAGCCGTGGAATCTCCTGAAAAATAAAAATTTAGAAAAAAACAAACACGTGTCAAATTTTGGCGAAGAATCTCGAAACACAATTTTTTTCTTTTTTGTTGGAAAAATTTCATAAGATCTGTATTTTTGAATTTGATTACTATAATTTTAATATTTAGCACGCAAAAAATTAGCGCCGATATCGGGTTACTGTAACTCCAAATGGTTGCCATTCAGATTTTTGTGCTGAGAAATTAAAAAAAAACAAGAAACATCATAGCGAAGCTGTAGGTCCAATTTTTTAAATTTTTAGGCAATTAAAACGAGTTTGAAGATCAATCCCAAAAAAACAAGTTTTTGAATAAAAATTTAAAAAATTGGGCATAGCTTCCGCATCTCCGCTGAAATTCCAATTTGAAACTGATAAAATCAATGATTTTTCAACATTTTCACAAACTCGGGAAATCGCAAGCGTGTTACGCCGCGTTTAGGGGCTTTTAGCGTTCACGCGGCGCTCAGATATCGCTTATTTCGCGAGTTCTGTGCGCCGCGTGAATGCCAAAAGCCCCTAAACGCGGCGTAACACGCTTGCGATTTCCTGAGAAGAAAATCAGGAAAAACAGAAGTTTTATCAGTTTCAAATTCCAATTCCAGATATTCAATTTAATTTTTCAAAAACAATATTGCTGAAGATTTCCCTCACCTTTCACAGATTTGTGGAAACTGGTATGGTATAATCATTGACGTTCTCGTAAATCATCCATAATTTCCTATTCATCCAATATTATTCTGGCAATAGCAAATTGATCCATGAACGTCGATCAGCTTTAGAAATGATAACCAGATTATTTATCGATTCTCAATTCTTCAGCTCTACAGTATATTCTTGTCCAGGTTTCGCTTTTCCAGAAGTGAATGCATTCCATCCTCTTTCCAATGTTCCTTCAAATGTTTCCAGTTTAAATAATTGAGCAACATTTTCACGGCATATTTATTCGGCAAACCATGACATACATCAATTTTTCGAATAAAGCAGTCGCGACCTGAAAAAAAATCAAGATTTTTGAGAGAATGCAGTGAATAAAAAATTAGAATTCGGAACGAAAAAATATCGATAGCAAAAAATTCGTGAAAAAATGGTAGATCAAAATAAGTTTGTTGATTTTTTCAGCCAAAAATGATGACAAAAATAATTTTATGAAGCTTTTGGGGAATATTCAGATAAAAATAAACTTAATAAACCTACTGTAGACAATCTACATTACTCTCATTTAATTTCCAGATTTTTTACAAAATGATTTCTTCCAAAAGAAAAAAAACAAAAATGTTGTTTTTGATCAAAGATCAAACAAACAAATAAACACTGCAGGCTATATTATATCCAAAAATGATCAGGTCAAATCAGAAAAAATGAGCGAGAGAGTATGGGAAAATAAGAGAGTGTGCAGGGAATGGGTGAATTTGTGATGGCGTCTTTGTTTTTTTTCTTGGGACATGGTTTTTTGACTATTTTTTGGATTCGAATGCAATTTTTGGAATTTTTTAAGCTTGGAAAAGGGAATTTCAGATAATTTTTGCTGGAATATTAATTTAAAGATTTTTTCTCTTAATTCTTGATTTTTCAAATATCTGAAAATAATTTTTTACTATGAAATTTGTAGGATTTTTCTGATAATTTTTAGTTCTGAAATTGATTGGTCTTTTAAAAAATTAATTTCAGGTTTTTTTTCTGAAAAAAAGGAATTTCAGGTTTTTAATTTAACTCAGAAGGATTTACTGAATTTTTGAGTGAAAATTGGATTTTTTCTAATGTCTGAAAAACATTGCTCATATTAGAATTTTCATAATTTTGTTCTAACCTAACTTGAGCAATGTCTGAAAAAACATTGCTAAGATTAGAATTTTTATAATTAATTTTTTCTGACCTAAAAACATTGCTCAGATTAGAATTTTATTATCTTTTCTAACCTGAGCAATGTCTGAGAACCCCTTTTTTAAAAACTTCTGGAAATATCCGAAATCTGAACAAAAAACTTTTTTCTGTGAAATTTTTGTTGTTTTTTTTTTTCTGAAATTGATAACTTTTGGCTTGAAAAAAGAAATTTCAGATTTTTTTCAGGGAAAACTAATTCTTAATTTTTTTTCCAATCTCTGGATAATTTTCAATTTTCTTCATAAAACTTCTGAAAATATCTGAATTTTTAAATTTTTTTCGGAATCTTTTGGAAAATTAATTATCAAAGCTCATTTTTTACAGTTTATCTCGCTTGGTTATTATAAAGACGCTATTGCGCAAAAAATGATGGCAAGTTTTTCTACAAAACTAGAATTCAAAAACTATAATTTAATATTTTTGCAGAATTTTAATATGATTCAAAATGGAGCCCCAGATAACGCTGGGGCAGAAAACGCGGCCGAAGTTCAGCCAGACGCGGTGGAGCATCAAAGTGGAGTTCTTGAAGAAGTGACTATTTTGATGGACACGGTCTTGTCGACGATTATTGAAGAAACTGAACCAGAGTCCTCGACCAACTCTGGTTCAGCAGCTGAACAATCGATCGACGAAACCAATCCCGAGATGCCACCGATTATGATGGGAATGCCAACATTTTCGCCAGAAGAATTTCAAACCTTCTTGGATAGTAATCCTAATTTGAAGGAACGATTGGCGAACATCCCAATTATGACCGGTGAACAAATCGCAGAAGAATTTCAAAGAATGAATTGGGAGGAAGTGGTGACTGAGAGTTGGGTGGATGATAATTCTGATGTTAGTTTTTTTTTTGGTTTAAAAAAACTAGAAAAAAAATTGAATTTTTGAACTTATCCGAACTATTGAAAGCTAGAAATTCCTTGAAAATTTTTGAATTTAAAAAAATATCTTACCGTATTCATGATTATCACATTTTCGTTTCAGGAGTTGACCACTCATCAGCCAAATGAATCCACACAAATTCCGTTAAACTCGGCTGAAAATGGAGGAGAATTTGATGATGGTGAAAGTGCGCGAAATTCGACCACATTCGAGGAATTCGATATTGATTTTGAATATCCACAAGTCGCTCTTCAATCAAATATTGATCCAATGTTATCTTCGACAACACATCATGAGTATTTTGCTGAAGATGTCCTCGCTGTCGGAATTGACAATGAAGTCGACATGGATTTTGTTGTTACTGAAGAAGATGTTGTAGAAGATATGGAAATCGGGACAAATGAAGATTCTGAAAATGATCCGAATATTCAAAATGGTATTATTGCACAAGAAGGGAGAACTGAAGATTTGGCTGATGTTAGTTTTTTTTAATTCAAAAATTGGGAAAAAAGGTTCAACATTAATTTCTGAATTTATCTGAATTTCTAGCTCAAAATTTTTAAAATTGATTTTATTTCTGAAATTTCTCGTAACTTTTTCCTCCCTCAAAATTTAGGATTTCTAAAAGCAAAAAAATAATTTACCATATCTAAAATAATCCAATTTTTGCTTCAGGAAATGACCGAAGAATTTGGAGATGATGAGGAAAATCGTCGAATTTTGGATGGTGTAGAACGACCAGCTCTTCAACAAAACGATGATATTTTGATAAATGTGCCAAGAGATGATGTTATTGTTGAACAACCAGAAAATCTGACCAATTTATCGGGAAATGAACAAGTTGTTGTTGTTGAAGGCGCTCCATCTGAAAGACCGCATAATGTTAGTTTTTTTGGTTTGAAAATTGGAAAAAATCTGCTCAAGAAATTGGATTTTTTCTGGAATTTTGAGAAGAAAGTTTTCGCAAATTTTTTTCTTAGGATTTTTGAAACAAAAAAATGTCTTACAGTATTCGAAATTATCCAATTCTTCATTTCAGATACCAAAAACAAATAATCCCACTCGAGAAGACGCACTTGCATTTTTGAAAAGATTGTATGCAATGATGCCGTGTGACCCAGCTGTAATGAATGACGATGAGATGTTGATAAATCGTGAAACTGTTGATGTTGTTGTTGCAAAACCAGGAAATTCAGAAAACCCGGCTGAAGAAATTGGTGCTGATGTTGTTGAATATGATGTTGATGATTTGACACCAGAAAAATCTGGAAATGCATTAGATGTTAGTTTTGTTTATTCAAATTTCGGGAAAACGATTGGGAAGTAATTTTGAATTTATCTGAACAATTACTGGCTCTAAATTTTTGAAATTGACTTTTTTTTCTGAAATTTCTCGCCATTTTTTCCACAATAATTAGGATTTCTAAAAGCAAAAAAATATCTTACCATATCTAAAATAATCCAATTTTGTTCCAGGAATCGACCACTCATCAACCAGTTCAAGATTCGAAAAAATCTCCGAATTCTTCACCAAAAACATCGTCAATTGTTGATATTGATGCGAATATTGTTCCAACCAATGAAGAAGCTACCGAAAATACACGAAATGACAACGAAATGATGGAAGAAACTGTTGATATTGGAGAATATTCGGAAATTTTTGATGAAAATGTTGAGGCAAATGAAGAAGTTTTTGAAATCGAACAAAATGAGCAGATGGAAGATCGTGAAAATGATGAAGATGCTTCAAGACCACGAACATCTGAAAATGTTAGTTTTTTTGGATTAAAACTTGGAAAAAATAAGTAATTTTGGAATTTATTCGAAACAATTAGAAATTTTGACAAAAAATATGATTTTTAGGATTTTCGAAAACGAAAAAATCTTACCATATTCAAAATAATCAAATTTCTTGTTTCAGCGACCATCTTCTCTTAACTCAAATGATCGAATCCATCAAGTTCGACAATCTTCGTCTCAAAGTTTGCGCCCAACAAATGATATTGATGCTGATATGAATATTCGAGAACCATCTGCAACCGACGAAGATTTTGATGGCCGTACCGAATCCAATGTATCGGATGATGAAGATGATGAGATCAAGTATCGAGGAATGAGCGCTGCTCAAATTGGACTCAAAAAGTATTTGAAAGACTGCCGTCGAAACAAGCTTTCACATGATCCATTTTGGTTTCACGATGAAGAAGAGAAGCGAAGATATGAGGAGAAGGTTAGTTCAGCAATTTGACCTTGTGAAATTCTGCACATTTTTTTGAAAAATAAAACACTCACCAAATAATTACTTTCAGCAAGAAAGGTCGAGATCTGCATATGATCGTGATGCTGATGAATTTGACACGCGACCGCGATCACCAGTTTCTCAATCGACAGTTCGAGCAAGCCCACCAAGTTCTCCGAAAGCTAGAACACCGTCGCCATCTCGGGTAACAAGCGCTTCGTCTCGATCATCGAGATCATCTTCACCATCAGAAGATTCTTCATCGCCAGCCTCGCATCATTCATCGAACATTGTGAATCCAGATATATATTTCGAAAAGAACAATGTTGGAGAATGTACAATGACGATTTCGAAAAAGATTTTCGCAGGAGACATCAAAATTGTTATAGAGGCCGATTCGATAAAGGCCATTGGCAAATTGAGAGATAATCTTACGATTGTGTCGATTGATTCAGATGATTGTTGTGGATTTGAAACAGCGGATTCGCAAACAGTGAGCATGGAAAGAATCATCAGAAGGAGATTGGAAAGAGCATATGTGGATTACCGAGGCGTTCGAATTCCGGTCCAAGCTTTCAATGCACTTATGGCGCAAGACGCGTTGGCTGCTTTTTCGGATAATGATGAGGACGACGATGATGATCAATTCGTCACAGCTCCAAGTACACCATCTCGACCAATTCGTCGACCAAGAAAAAGAAGTGCTGCTCATCTTGTTGCTCCAATAACACCACCACCGCCACCAAAAAGATCCAAGCCGGCACCGAAATCTACACGCAAAGCTCGTCAACCGACCGTCGCCCGACCAGCACGGTCGGCTCGAATTGCAGCCATGAAAAATGTTGCGCCAGCTCCAACTCCTATTGCTCCGGCAACTCCGCCACCAAGATTGGCTGCGAGATTGGCTGCTCGAATGGCTGCGCAGCAAAATACGAATCCAGTCGCTTCAACAAATCCACCAACACCACCAGCAAATCATTCAAATGGATTGAAACGACCAGCCGGTGCACTTTCCTCCCAACCTCCACCGAAAATGACCAAATCGGACAAAGAAAAGGAAATGCAAACGATTGCTGATGTTCATCAAGCATTGAAACATATTGAGAATGGGGTGAACAGTGAAAGTTATGGATTTCACACGTTGGAGATTTTAACAAGACAGCGGCCTTTGGTTCGAAATATGTTGTCGTATTTTGAAAATCCGACACCGCAAAAACTCGCGAAGTTGATCACCAAAACCACGAAATTGAGCAAAGATGCTGAGAAGCTTTCGCAATAAGGTTGGTTTTTCATCGAATCTGCAAATAAATACTGTTATTTTTTCAGAATCCTGTCAAATTATTTTTTTTCTTCAATTTTTTCCCCGGTTATTTTGGTCTTTGTATTCCCTCCCAATTCTCACTTGCCTTATCGATTCAACAATTGCTGGCAACAATTGCTTTGAATCGATATGATCCCTTGGACTTGCCATTCACCTTCTTAGCGCCATCAAATCATCATTGTCGTGAATTTCCAAGTGAGTTTGAAATTAAAAACAACTTTTTTTTTGAAAATGAAAAAAAAGTGTGCCAACACGCTGACGCGCAAATGCACACATTTTTTTTTTTAAAAACACGTGTTTACACGTGTTAACACAAAATGGATGACTTTTGAACAATGGCTTCATTATTACAGAATTTGCGATGATTTGATGGCACTACGGGCGTACCTCCGTTAACGACGCGTTGGGTGTTTGGAAGCCACCCTTCGAAAAATAGACAAAATATGCTTCCACCCACACCAATTGTCAAAATGTCTGTCTGCCCATACACTAATCGCTTCAACGCAATTCTCAACGACTACTTCAATGGTTTCCAACATCGTTCTTTGGCCAACACAACCAACTTCAACTTTGCCAACGAATTCGGAGACATTGAAAACAACGAGAGTCAAATTGCTGTTGATTTGGACGATTGAAGGCTTTGAAATGGTTGTACCTCGATGTTGAATGCGAGAATCCGATTGGAAAGTGAGTTTTTTTGCTCAATTATTTCATGCTCAGCTTTCTCGATTTTTTATGGATTTTTCCTGAAACTAGCATTTTCTCGCAATTTTTTAAAAAATTCCCAGCCCAAAAAATAGAAAGTGCTACAGTAATATTTATTAATTTTTTATTGGAATAACTCTGGAATTTTCAGAAGCTGTTTGGTTTGGAAATGGTCGAAACCGGATCAATGGTAATTTTCGGATGATATTTATGCTGACAAACGGGAAAACGATCGATAATACAGCTAGGAGTAATGACCCTAGCTGTATATACAATTTTCCAATCGATTTCAAAATGTTTGTCTGCCACTAATCGCTTCAACTCATTTCTCAACGACTACTTCAATGGTTTCCAACATCGTTCTTTGGCCAACACAACCAACTTCAACTTTGCCAACGAATTCGAAGACATTGAAAACAACGAGAATCAATTTGCTGTTGATTTGGATGTTCGCAATTTGAAACCAGAAGAATTGAATGGACACGTTTTGACTGTTGAAGCAAATCACGAAGTGAGGGTTTTGATCGATACGAAGATCCAGAAGAAGTTTCGATTTTTCGGACATTAGATTCAAAATTGAGTTTGACACCTGATACCACGACTTGGAATTCGAATATTGTCGATTTTGCCGATTCGAAATTCCAAAGCTGAAGTTTTTGATAGTTGAAAATGCTTGCCATCGTTCATTAATATTGATATTGGAGCCGGAATGTTTCACTGAAAAACGACGGAAATTCAAATCGTCCATTATTTGCATTATTGGATTCTTCAACATCCCTCGATTTTGGATGCGAGAACCTGATTGAAAAGTGAGTTTTTTTGCTCAAATTTTTTCATGCTCAGCTTTCTCAATTTTTTTATGGATTTTTCCTGAAACTACCATTTTCTCGCAATTTTTTAAAAAATTCCCAGCCGAAAAAATAGAAAGTGTGCAAACACCGTTGCGAGCTACAGTAATATTTATTAATTTTGTTTTTGTTAGAATAATTCTGGAATTTTCAGAAGCTGTTTGGTTTGGAAATGGTCGAAACCGGATCAATGGTAATTTTCGGATGATATTTATGCTGACAAACGGGAAAACGATCGATAATACAGCTAGGAGTAATGACCCTAGCTGTATATACAATTTTGCAATCAATTTTCAAAATGTCTGCCTGTCATACACTAATCGCTTCAACTCATTTCTCAACGACTACTTCAATGGTTTCCAACATCGTTCTTTGGCCAACACAACCAACTCCAACTTTGCCAACGAATTCAAAGACAAACAACGAGAATCAATTTGCTGTTGATTTGGATGTTCGCAATTTGAAACCAGAAGAATTGAATGTCAATTTGAATTTGAAGTGAATTTACACGAAGTGAGAGTTTTGGTCGATACGAAGATCCAGAAGAAGTTTCGATTTTTCGGACATTGGATTCAAAATTGAGTTTGACACCTGATACCACGACTTGGAATTCGAATATTGTCGATTTTGCCGATTCGAAATTCCAAAGCTGAAGTTTTTGATAGTTGAAAATGCTTGCCATCGTTCATTAATATTGATATTGGAGCCGGAATGTTTCACTGAAAAACGACGGAAATTCAAATCGTCCATTATTTGCACTATTGGATTCTTCAAGATCCCTCGATTTTGGATGCGAGAATCTAATCGAAAAGTGAGTTTTTTTGCTCAAATTTTTTCATGCTCAGCTTTCTCAATTTTTTTTATGGATTTTTCCTGAAACTACCATTTTCTCGCAATTTTTTAAAAAATTCCCAGCTGAAAAAATAGAAAGGGTGCAAACACCGTTGCGAGCTACAGTAATATTTATAAATTTTGTTTTTGTTGGAATAATTCTGAAATTTTCAGAAGCTGTTTGGTTTGGAAATGGTCGAAACCGGATCAATGGTTTTTTTCGGATGAGGTTTCTCGTGGACAACGGAAAAACGATCGATAATACAGCTAGGAGTAATGACCCTAGCTGTATATACAATTTTCCAATCGATTTTCAAAATTTCTGTCTGCCACTAATCGCTTCAACTCATTTCTCAACGACTACTTCAATGGTTTCCAACATCGTTCTTTGGCCAACACAACCAAATTCAACTTTGCCAACGAATTCGAAGACATTGAAAACAACGAGAATCAATTTGCTGTTGATTTGGATGTTCGCCATTTGAAACCAGAAGAATTGAATGTCAATTTGAATGGACACGTTTTGACTGTTGAAGCTGAACATGCACTTCTTACCGATTATCAAATCGATGTGAAATGAAGAATATCCCGGGCGTACTCCGGTAATACGACGAAGCATTGCTCATCCCATTGCTCATTTTTTTTCTCGATGGATGTGGCAAAAAAACGGGCGTTCGCCGTTCCCCAAACCGACGAAAAGTCAATCAATTCGTGGATTATCGGAATGAAGGCCGTCTTGCCTTTTACTTGAACTGGATTCGGCTGGATTTTCGATATGAAGCAATTGATTGTAATCGCAAAAAATGATCAATTAGTGTTTTAATGGATGAAAATGCGGATCAACTCGAAATCGATATCAAACAACTGGTCAATTGGAACGATATTCGATTTTTGATGTTGTGAAGCATTTTGGAATGAACCGGCAAACTTGCCATTTGCGCGGTATGTTATTGGTCAAATGACCACAAATGGATCAACAACGTTGTATGTTCTGGCCTCCGGCATACTTCGACAAATCTGCGAGGAGCCAAAATCTTCGAAGGATATCAAATTGTGTTTTGGGAATTTACGATGATGAATTGTAATGGAAATTTGATAGCACCTTGAACCAATTCGAATTTCGAAGCTGAAGATTTGAATAGTGGAAATTGCTTGACACTTCGCACGGAACATCTCCACCTTCAAATTGTTCGAATAGCAAGAATTTTCCGAGTCGATAAAAATGGATGGAAGTTTGAAGGCGTCGAAATGCTCGTAACTCGATTTTGGATGCGAGGATCTGATTGAAAAGTTAGTTTTTTTGCTCAATTATTTCATGCTCAGCTTTCTCAATTTTTCCTGAAACTACCATTTTCTCGCAATGTTTTAAAAAATTCCCAGCCCAAAAAATAGAAAGTGTGCAAACACCGTTGCGAGCTACAGTAATATTTATTAATTTTGTTTTTGTTGGAATAATTCTGGAATTTTCAGAAGCTGTTTGGTTTGGAAATGGTCGAAACCGGATCAATGGTTTTTTTCGGATGAGGGTTCTCGTGGACAACGGAAAATCGATCGATAATACAGCTAGGAGTAATGACCCTAGCTGTATATACAATTTTCCAATCGATTTCAAACAGTTTGTCTGCCACTAATCGCTTCAACTCATTCCTCAACGACTACTTCAATGGTTTCCAACATCGTTCTTTGGCCAACAAAACCAACTTCAACTTTGCCAACGAATTCGAAGACATTGAAAACAACGAGAATCAATTTGCTGTTGATTTGGATGTTCGCCATTATTTGAAACCAGAAGAATTGAATGTCAATTTGAATGGACACTCCAACTTGGATTTTTGCGAAATTTGATAATTTGCGATTGGATCTCGCTTCATTTTGTGTTGTTTTGAACATAGTCCTGGAATATATCGAATTGCTTATGACTTCGATGTGTGAAGATGTGAGAATTGATGTCAAGAAATTTTTGAATGGTTGATTCATGAATTCGAAGGCCTCGAAATGCTTGTAACTCGATTTTGGATGCGAGGATCTGTTCGAAAAGTGAGTTTTTTTCTCAATAATACCGCTGCTAATTCTCTATAATTTTCACTGAAACAAGCATTTTCTCGGAATTTTTTTGAAAAATTCACAGCCCAAATAATAGAAAGTGTTCAAATACCGTTGCAAGCTACAGTAATATTCATAATTTTGTTTTTGTTGGAATAATTCTGGAATTTTCAGATGCCACTGTTCTCGGTATGGTCGAACTGGGTCTCTTCGGCTATTTTTGGACGGAATCCACGTTGACAAACGGAAAATCGATCGATTGCCCAGATAGGTAGTAATTTCCCTATCTGGAAATATAGATTGATTTGACATCGAGAAGAAGTTCGGAATAATTCAAAGTTGAATTTAACACCTGATACCGCGACTTGGAATTCGAATATTGTCGATTTAAAATCAATTGTTGGATATTGGATTTCACACATTCCAAAAAGTTTGGATCTTCAACGATTGATTCGAAATATGTTTTGACAAATCAATTCATTCATGATTTGAATTCGGATTATTTGAACTTGGTTGCTGATTTTGTTGGATCCAAATAGTGAGTTTGTTTTCGAAATTATTTTAAAATAATTCAACCATTAGTGATTTTCCAAAAAATGAGAAAAAAATAATAAAAATAGAGAGTGTGCGAAAATGAGAGAGTGCTAGAGAGAAAGTGTGCAAACACCGATGCGAGCTACAGTAATATTTATTAATTTTTTATGGTATTTTCAGAAGCCGTTGTATTCGGAGATTGGTCGAATCGGAATTCAATGAGGGTTTTCGGATGGAGTCTGTTCAAAGACCAAATCGAACGATATTTCAAGAATGTCTTGACAAATTCAGCACCAAACAATTTCTGTTTTCATTGAGATTCATGTGCGCACGAAAAAACGATCGATAAACATTTTAGGATTGATGTCCCTAATTTGTAAATCATCAATTCGCTTCAATCAAATCAAGAAAGATCCACCACAAGAACTCCACCTTCGATTTGTTGATTTCTGGACATGAAAAGCTAATTTTTCGGACATTATTGAAAGAAGGATTGAATGGAATATGATAATTTGGAAATTCTTGGAATGAAAAATAAAACGGGCGTTTCTCCGTTCCAAAAAACGACGAAAATCAATCAATTATGGGATTATATGATTTTTCAACCGTCTTGCCTATTATTCGGATAGGATTCGGTTCGATATCGTATATGAATAATTGATGTTTTATTGGCTAAACTTGATCAATAGTGTTTATTAAAAAAGGATGTGGAACAACTTGCGAAATTGGTGATTTTTCGATTGGTCATCGAACAATTTATTGATTTTCGGGAAGTGAAACAGGAATAAGGACCCGCAAAATTGCCACTTGCGATGGGTTATGAATTGGGTCAATAGACCCCAAAATGGATCAACACGTCTTGTGCTTTAGCCTCCGACACAATTCGAAAAACGAGCTAGGAGCTGAAGCCACCCACCAAAAAATGCCAAATTCACTCTTGAGAAGAAATCCGGAATCTTGCTCAATGTGCAATTTGGTTATTAATTCAATGGAACACCGTGGCATCTTTTTTTTTTGGTATCGAAATATGTCGAAACCTGGACTTGGAATGTGGAATGGATATAAATCGGGCTTGATTTCCCCGATTTTATTGGAAGTTTGGAAATCCACGTGGACATGATTCCCACGTGGATTTTAATTTGGGAAATTGTGGAGGGAATTGATACCCCAAAGAAGCGCGAAAATCCAATTTTAAGGTGAGTTTTTTGTTCAAGTATTCCTGGCTCATCTTCCCTATTTTTTGTGCTATTGATTTTCCATCGAAACTAGCTTTTTCTCGCATTTTTTCGAAAATTTAAAAAAATCAGAAAATAGAGAGTGTGCGAAAATGGGAGAGTGCTAGAGAGTGTGTGCAAACACCGTTGCTACAGTAATATTTATTAATTATTTTGGAATTTTCAGAAGCTGGTTGGTTTCGTGATTGGTTGGAAGAAATCGGGACTTCGAACCCCGATTTCGATGGAATCTTGAAATCCACGTGGAATTAAGCCCCACGTGGATATCGATTTGGGAATTTATGAAGGGAATTAATATCCCAATGAGCTCCAGTTGAAGTTTCGATCGAGATATGATCGAGAAGAGCGATAATCCAATTTTAAGGTGAGTTTTTTGCTCAATTATTTCTGGCTCAGCTTCTCTATTTTTTGTGCTATGAATTTTGCCCTCAAACTAGCTTTTTCTCGCATTTTTTCGAAAATTGAGGAAAAAATTATAAAAATAGAGAGTGTACGAAAATGAGAGAGTGCGAAAGAGAAAGAGTGTGCAAACACCCTTGCGCGCTACAGTAATATCTATTAATTATTTGGAATTTTCAGAAGCCGGCTGGTTTCGTGAAATCGGAACTTCGAACCCCGATTTCGATGGAATCTTGGAATCCACGTGGAATTAAGCCCCACGTGGATATCGATTCTCGAATTTATGAAGGGAATTTATACCCCGTACTCGAACTGCCGAAAAAACTCCGATTTTTGGATCGATATTTGAATCTGGGACTTGGCACCCCTTGGAGATTCTCAAAGATTTTTGGAAGCAAACAAACATGGACTTGGACCCCATGTGAAACCGCAAGAGACTGCAGCTCTTGCTGGTTCCAATTGTTTGCTCTCCTGATGCAACACCTGAATTTTTCGAGGATTTTTGCAATTTCTCAGAAGCGCGGACATGAGATGAATTATAATAAGTAATCGAAATGTCCTATCGAGGAAATTGTGAAATACAGTGAGTTTTTTTTAAAGATTTTTGGATTATAAATTAATTTTTCATTTTTCAGATGACACTTTGGCTCAACTCTAGATGATAATAGCTTCAAAAGCTCTCCAAGAGTTGAAATTCAAAACACCTCGCTGGTTCTACACAAGGATGGAAGATGATGCATTTTTTGTAGTCGGAAATCCGATTTGGAACCGGGAAATTGAATGTGAGTTTATTTTTTTTCAATAATTTTTGAAAAATCAAAAAAATATTTCAGGATTTCAACAGTCATTCAAAGATCAAATCGAAATGAAGTGTGAACTTCGAAAACATCAAAGTCGTCAACAACTTCAGGACCTGCAACAAGTCCAAAAATGTATGGATCGAGCTGGAATCGAATTTAGAAGTCCAACTTCACCCAAAAATGCTCGTTTTTTTGGCTCAATTGGTGATTATAGCTTCAAAAGCTGTTCTAGAGTTTAACTCTAAGCCAATTTTGCTCGGAATCCTGGAAATTTGAGGTAAGTTCTTTTTTATAATTAATTTTTTCTGTTGAAAAATCAGACAAATATTTCAGAAATCCTTCAAAAGGTGAACTTTGGAAGTTCAAAAATATCCAACAACTGCTGGACCAACTTCAAGTCAACATTTTTGCGATTTTCAAAATTGCGGGGCAGATGATGAATTCTAGATAGTAATCATCTGCCCCAGCAATGAAATTGCAAAATATTGTGAGTTTTTTGAAAAGATTTTTGGATGATGAATTTATTTTTCAATTTTTCAGATGTGCCTTAGCTTCCAAAGCTCACACAATCCACGAGTTTAACTCGAATTTGATCAAAAACCGCGAAAGTTATAGTAAGTTCTTTTTTTCATTAATTTTTCTGCTGAAAAATCAGACTCTTTTTTTTCAGAAATCCTTCAAAAGGTGAACTTTGAAAGTTCAAAAACATCCAACAACTTCTGGACCAACTTCAAGTTCAAAAATGTCTGGATTCCAAATCGAGCAATGATTTATGAGCAGAAGGAGATTAGCAAAATATCGTGAGTTTTTGAGAACATTTTTGGATGATGAATTCATTTTCCAATATTTTAGATGGATTAGCTTCAAAAGCTGCTTAAAAAGTTGTCCGAGAGTTTAACTCTCCAACTTTTGCACTCCGCTCGAATCAATCAATATTTCCTGGTCCATTGGCTCAATTGCTTATAATAACTGTAGCTTCAAAAGCTCTCCAAAGAGTTAAACTCTGAATTGGCCAGGAAACTTGATGTAAGTTCTTTTTTCATTAACTTTTGTGCTGAAAAATCATACAAATATTTCAGAAATCCTTCAAAAGGTGAACTTTGGAAGTTCAAAAACATCCAAGATGCTGCAGCAACTTTTGGACAAAGTCCAAAAATCCCTGGATTCCAAGTCGAGCCAAGCTGATTTTGTTCTTCAAACTGGAACCGAACTTTGCGATTTTCACATGTGAGGACAGATGATGAAAAATAACAAGTAATCAGATGTTTTGGCAAGGAAATTGCAAAATATTGTGAGTTTTTCGAAAAGATTTTTGGATTATGATTCATTTTCTGAATTTTTCAGCTTAGCTTCCAAAGCTGTGCTTGTAAAGCAGTCCAAATTTGCTCAAAACCCGGGAAATCGATTGTGAGTATATTTTTCAATCAATTTTCTTATCGAAAAATCATTCCGAATTTTCAGGAATCCTTCAAAAGGTATTTGGATTGTTATAAACATCCAACAAAGATGAATGTAGCTTCAAAAGCTGTCAAGGAGTCCAACTCGAATTCAAGTTTGCTCGAAATCCAGAGATGCGCGAAGTGTGATTTGAGAAGATCAATAAATCATCGAAATCTTGTGGATCTTCTTGTGAATGTAAGTTTTTGGTTTTGTGGGCTCTATAAAAATCTATTTTTTCAGAATTCCTGTAACTTCTGGCAACATTTTTTTATATCAACTGGTCTACATTGTCTTTCTAAACAAGATATACTTCTTCAACAAAAATTTGGTCTTCAACAATAAAAAAAGGATTCTGTAAGTATAATTTTTTCTGTGTATTTTTAATGTTCCCTCATATTTTTTTTGGCTGAAAATCGAATAGAAAACTCGAATTCAAAATTCTCTAGTCCAATCCAATCCCCAGACTTTCAAATGATTTCCACCTCGAATTTTGGCTCGAAAATCTCCCGGGATTTTTTGAGGTTAAAAAATGGACGTTTTCACTTTTCTTTTGGGAATTCTAAGAGTCTAGTCAGAAGTTGGGAAAAATTGATGGGGTTTTTCCCGGGGTTTCGGGTGTTTTTCGGGGGGATTTTTTGGGATTTGGGAAGTGCGGGAATCTAGTGACTGGCGGGAGGATTTGTAGGGAATTTGGGAAGGGGGAGGTTGGTTTTTCTTGGGAGGCTTTAGGGAGTAGGATTTGTGTTTGGTAAGGTAAGTTTAGGTAAGTTTAGGTTTGGGTAGCCTTAAGGATTAAATCTAGGGAACTATTTTTCCAAAAAAAAAATCATTATAAAAAACTTGCTCCTTGTCTTTGTCCTTGTCCCGTGTTTTTGTCCTTTCACCTTGTTTTTTGTCCTTGTCCCACGTGTTCTTGTCTTGTTTTTCAGAGTAAGTTTTTGCACCGTTTTTGCACATTGGAGCAGGTTTTTTATTGATTTTTTGAGGGAAAATGGTTTACTAGGTTTTTTATTGAATTATTTTCTACCCAAACCTTTTCTCATTTTCAGATGATACACATTTCTGAAAAATAGAGAATTCCAGATTAATCTTCCAAGCCTTCCTCAAATTCTCTACTTATTTTCACAAAAATCATTAGATTTCTCATAACTCGATCCCTTTATTTTTCCCAGTTGGATTCTCAGAATTTCGGGGAAATTTCATTGATTTTTGCTAGTTGATGACGAAACTTTTCGAATTTCCAAAAACTAGTGAAATCCCATAAACTTTTCAAAATTCCGGGTGATTTTTGTAATATTATTCGAAGTGGAAATCAGGCGAAACTGGGGGTTTTTCAGTGTTTTATATTCGAGTTTTTTGTCAGTATTTTCAGCCCCCTTCCCCCCAATTTTCTGTAATATTTATTTTTGTATAACGAATTCGTTCGCTTTATTTTCATTCTATTATTAAATTTATAATAGAAAGCTTGTAATTTCTTGTTTTTTATTCAAAAGTTTGAAACTTTTCTAAATATCTTATTTATTTATTTATTTTTATGATATTTCAGAGTTTTTTTTCTTCTCAATTCTATGGATCTTTAAAGGTATTCTATGTGTTTTATGTTTTATGTTTCACTGCACTTTTATGTTCTCAACTTATGGATTTTCGACTCCGATAGCACCTTTTTTTGTGTTAGGTATGTGTTAGAAATGGAGCAACTTCTGGCAACAATTTGGGACATTTGGAGCATCTTCAACAACTTCAATGGTCCACCAAAATTGGATTATTCTACACATAGCTTGGAATTGTGATTGGTATGATGGACAAATCGTCAGGTAAGAATAATTTACAAATATTTTGCTCTAAAATTAGAAAATGCCAATAATTTTGGCCCCAAAATTTGCGTCTACAGTAACCCATTTTGCCCGAAAAAAAAATTAAAAACTTGAAATTCTGAAATATCCAATTTGAAAATGATAAAACATTTATTTTTCTCGAAAACCCTGGAAAATCATTGATTTTATCAGTTACAAATTGAAATTTCAGTTGAGATGCGGAAGCTATGCCCAAATTTTGAATTTTTAACACACCTCGGCCAAAAACGTGGTTTCCACAATAAAAAATTGTACTCCAACTTTTTACAGTACAAAAATTGTGCATTTTTCATTTTTTGTCCTCTAAAAATTGTGATTTTTCAATTTTTGACCTCTAAAAACTGAAATTCAGATTTTTCAAAAAAATGTACTCTGGCCAGCCACGGCTTGGCCATCAGCATTTCTAAAAGAAAAAACAAAATTGAATTATTCAAAAAATCCCACGTAAAACGTGACCCAATTTTGAATTCCCTATTTATTATCTCTCACAATCAGATTATTTTCCATTTATAGGAACACCAAAAATGGCAGAAATTATCTATTTGTGAGTTTTCTTAGATGCTACCGTAGTTTGGAATGAGCCCAATTCTCAAGATTTTCCGAGAAAAAATGGTAGATCAAAATTAGTTTTTTCAAAAGTTTATCAGCCAAAATGATGACAAATCGAGATTTTCAACAATTTGAAGCTTCTATGGGTTTTCTGATGAAAATTGGCCTTGGAATTCAGTTTTCAGATGTTTGTTTTCAGACTTTTGCTCCATGAAGTTCGATTTGTCATCATTTTTGAGTGAAAAACACGAGAAACTAATTTTGATCTACCATGTTTTCTCGAAATGTTTTTATTATTTGTGTGTATTGATTTTTCGAGCTTTGGTGGAGAAAACATTTTTTCATTTTTTATTCACTATTTTTCTCAAAAATTTATATTTTTTCAGGATTTCGAATCAATTTGCCGTGACAAGGATGCTCAGATTCGGTCAATTATCATTTGTGGAAGGTGAGTGCGATCTTCTCCAGCAAAATTATGGAAAAAAAAAACAATTCAATTGAAGTTCTGGAATATCCTGTTTGAAACTGCTAAAACGTTTATTTTTCTCGATTTTCTTTGTGAAAATCTTGAAAAATGATTGATTTTATCAGTTTGAAATTGGATATTTCAGTGGAGATGCGGAAGCTATGCCCAAATTTTGAATTTTTAGTCTGGCTAGCAGTTTTATTTTTTTCAAATTCTCAGCACAAAAATCTGAGCTTCAAAAGGTTTCCACGTGAAAAATATGGGTGTTGTAGGTGAATTTTGGCAACAAATTGTTCCTTAAAATTCAGAACAATAATTCTGAAAAAAAATGACTTTCTACGTGGCATTTTCAGCGGAAAAAATTGTTTAAATTTACGAGAAATTCTAGAGAACGAATATTATTATTTTTACGTGACGTGACACGTCATTGCATTTTCACAAAATTTGTGTTTCTCAAGGAAATCATTTTCTCGTTCTCGTGAATTGATCGTAAATCGGAATTATCTTGACGAAGGAAAAGATGATTCAAAATTTTCAATTTTTATATTTTCAGAATCGGTTCAAGATTGTCAAAGAATTGGTCAAAAATCAGTCGAACAATTTTTGGAGGAAAAGAAAGATAAGTTTAATTTTGGGGAATTTATCCAAATTTTGATGCACTTTTTTGAAAATCAATTCCTAAACCAGCACCCAAATTACAAAATGGAAAATGTGCGTTACTTTCTGAGCAAGTACGTTTACCAGTTGTTGAAACCCGCAACTATTCAATATCATTTCGATGATTTTGAGTAGGGATTTGTCAAAGAATCCTTTTGGATAACCGAAAGCTGTAGGAAAGTAACAGTTATCACGGGTTTTGTACATTTCCATGGAAGTTTTTTGGGCGGCGAAGTTTTGAATTGAGAAATTTAATTGGGAATTTTTGGAGGGAAATTTGGGAAACATAAAAGCTGGTTCAAAATTTGATTAAATTTCAGCAAAGATTCAATCATTTGGGGAATTCGAGAAGACAATTTGAAGTTTTGGTGAGTGATTACTTAAAATTCCGAATTTCTAAGATTCTTGAATTTTTGAACAGACAAGTATTTATAAAACAAGGTTTAATAAAATGACCATTTTCTATGAGTAAGCTATGCCCAAATTTTGAATTTTTAATCAAAAACTTATATTTTTAATTCAATTTTTTATTCCAGGGCACCAATCGATCAAAACGGCACCCATTGGAAAATCGAAGTATTGGATTTGGTAAGTATTTTTTATAAAAAAAAAAGAGAACTTCTGAAATATCCAAAAAGAAACTAATAAAATTTAGAATTTTCTTTTTTTTTTAATTAGAAAATCTTGAAAATTCTGGATTTTATTAGTTATTTTTTGGAATTTCAGCGGAGATGCGGAAGCTATGCCCAAATTTTGAATTTTTATAGAAAAACTTGTATTTTTAATTACAAAATTCAATTTTTTATTCCAGGCTGGCAATCAACAAAACGGCCCCCCATTGGACAATCGAAGTATTGGATTTGGTAAGTATTTTTTATAAAAAAAAAGAGAACTTCTGAAATATCCAAAAAGAAACTAATAAAATTTAGAATTTTCTCGATTTTCTTTTTTTTCAATTAGAAAATCTTGAAAATTCTGGATTTTATTAGTTATTTTTTGGAATTTCAGCGGAGATGCGGAAGCTATGCCCAAATTTTGAATTTTTATAGAAAAACTTATATTTTTAATTACAAAATTCAATTTTTTATTCCAGGCTGCCAAACAACAACTGCGCCCCATTGGAAAATCGAAGTATTGGATTTGGTAAGTATTTTTTATAAAAAAAAAGAGAACTTCTGGAATATCCAAAAAGAAACTAATAAAATTTAGAATTTTCTTGATTTTCTTTTTTTTAATTAGAAAATCATGAAAACTCTGGATTTTATTAGTTATTTTTTGGAATTTCAGCGGAGATGCGGAAGCTATGCCCAAATTTTGAATTTTTATAGAAAAACTTATATTTTTAATTACAAAATTCAATTTTTTATTCCAGGCTGCCAATCAACAATACGGCCCCATTGGACAAATCACATTGGCGATTTGGTAAGTATTTATTATAAAATGAAAGAGAATTTCTGGAATATCCAAAAAGAAACTAGTAAAATTTAGAATTTTCTCGATTTTCTTTTTTTCAATTAGAAAATCTTGAAAATTCTGGATTTTATTAGTTATTTTTTGGAATTTCAGCGGAGATGCGGAAGCTATGCCCAAATTTTGAATTTTTATAGAAAAACTTATATTTTTAATTACAAAATTCAATTTTTTATTCCAGGCTGGCAATCAACAAAACGGCACCCATTGGAAAATCGAAGTATTGGATTTGGTAAGTATTTTTTATAAAAAAAGAGAACTTCTGAAATATCCAAAAAGAAACTAATAAAATTTAGAATTTTCTCGATTTTCTTTTTTTTTCAATTAGAAAATCTTGAAAATTCTGGATTTTATTAGTTATTTTTTGGAATTTCAGCGGAGATGCGGAAGCTATGCCCAAATTTTGAATTTTTATAGAAAAACTTATATTTTTAATTACAAAATTCAATTTTTTATTCCAGGCTGCCAAACAACAACTGCGCCCCCATTGGAAAATCGAAGTATTGGATTTGGTAAGTATTTTTTATAAAAAAAAAGAGAACTTCTGGAATATCCAAAAAGAAACTAATAAAATTTAGAATTTTCTTGATTTTCTTTTTTTTAATTAGAAAATCATGAAAACTCTGGATTTTATTAGTTATTTTTTGGAATTTCAGCGGAGATGCGGAAGCTATGCCCAAATTTTGAATTTTTATAGAAAAACTTATATTTTTAATTACAAAATTCAATTTTTTATTCCAGGCTGCCAATCAACAATACGGCCCCATTGGACAAATCACATTGGCGATTTGGTAAGTATTTATTATAAAATGAAAGAGAATTTCTGGAATATCCAAAAAGAAACTAGTAAAATTTAGAATTTTCTCGATTTTCTTTTTTTTCAATTAGAAAATCTTGAAAATTCTGGATTTTATTAGTTATTTTTTGGAATTTCAGCGGAGATGCGGAAGCTATGCCCAAATTTTGAATTTTTATAGAAAAACTTATATTTTTAATTACAAAATTCAATTTTTTATTCCAGGCTGGCAATCAACAAAACGGCACCCATTGGAAAATCGAAGTATTGGATTTGGTAAGTATTTATTATAAAATAAAAGAGAATTTCTGGAATATCCAAAAAGAAACTAGTAAAACTTAGAATTTTCTCGATTTTCTTTTTTTTTCAATTAGAAAATCTTGAAAATTCTGGATTTTATTAGTTATTTTTTGGAATTTCAGCGGAGATGCGGAAGCTATGCCCAAATTTTGAATTTTTATAGAAAAACTTATATTTTTAATTACAAAATTCAATTTTTTATTCCAGGCTGGCAATCAACAAAACGGCACCCATTGGAAAATCGAAGTATTGGATTTGGTAAGTATTTTTTATAAAAAAAAGAGAACTTCTGAAATATCCAAAAAGAAACTAATAAAATTTAGAATTTTCTCGATTTTCTTTTTTTTCAATTAGAAAATCTTGAAAATTCTGGATTTTATTAGTTATTTTTTGGAATTTCAGCGGAGATGCGGAAGCTATGCCCAAATTTTGAATTTTTATAGAAAAACTTATATTTTTAATTACAAAATTCAATTTTTTATTCCAGGCTGCCAAACAACAACTGCGCCCCATTGGAAAATCGAAGTATTGGATTTGGTAAGTATTTTTTATAAAAAAAAAGAGAACTTCTGGAATATCCAAAAAGAAACTAATAAAATTTAGAATTTTCTTGATTTTCTTTTTTTTTAATTAGAAAATCATGAAAACTCTGGATTTTATTAGTTATTTTTTGGAATTTCAGCGGAGATGCGGAAGCTATGCCCAAATTTTGAATTTTTATAGAAAAACTTATATTTTTAATTACAAAATTCAATTTTTTATTCCAGGCTGCCAATCAACAATACGGCCCCATTGGACAAATCACATTGGCGATTTGGTAAGTATTTATTATAAAATGAAAGAGAATTTCTGGAATATCCAAAAAGAAACTAGTAAAATTTAGAATTTTCTCGATTTTCTTTTTTTTCAATTAGAAAATCTTGAAAATTCTGGATTTTATTAGTTATTTTTTGGAATTTCAGCGGAGATGCGGAAGCTATGCCCAAATTTTGAATTTTTATAGAAAAACTTATATTTTTAATTACAAAATTCAATTTTTTATTCCAGGCTGGCAATCAACAAAACGGCACCCATTGGAAAATCGAAGTATTGGATTTGGTAAGTATTTTTTATAAAAAAAAAGAGAACTTCTGAAATATCCAAAAAGAAACTAATAAAATTTAGAATTTTCTCGATTTTCTTTTTTTCAATTAGAAAATCTTGAAAATTCTGGATTTTATTAGTTATTTTTTGGAATTTCAGCGGAGATGCGGAAGCTATGCCCAAATTTTGAATTTTTATAGAAAAACTTATATTTTTAATTACAAAATTCAATTTTTTATTCCAGGCTGCCAAACAACAACTGCGCCCCCATTGGAAAATCGAAGTATTGGATTTGGTAAGTATTTTTTATAAAAAAAGAGAACTTCTGGAATATCCAAAAAGAAACTAATAAAATTTAGAATTTTCTTGATTTTCTTTTTTTTTAATTAGAAAATCATGAAAACTCTGGATTTTATTAGTTATTTTTTGGAATTTCAGCGGAGATGCGGAAGCTATGCCCAAATTTTGAATTTTTATAGAAAAACTTATATTTTTAATTACAAAATTCAATTTTTTATTCCAGGCTGCCAATCAACAAAACGGCACCCATTGGAAAATCGAAGTATTGGATTTGGTAAGTATTTATTATAAAATAAAAGAGAATTTCTGGAATATCCAAAAAGAAACTAATAAAATTTAGAATTTTCTTGATTTTCTTTTTTTTTCAACTAGAAAATCTTGAAAATTCTGGATTTTATTAGTTATTTTTTGGAATTTCAGCGGAGATGCGGAAGCTATGCCCAAATTTTGAATTTTTATAGAAAAACTTATATTTTTAATTACAAAATTCAATTTTTTATTCCAGGCTGCCAAACAACAACTGCGCCCCATAGGAAAATCGAAGTATTGGATTTGGTAAGTATTTTTTATAAAAAAAAAAAGAGAACTTCTGGAATATCCAAAAAGAAACTAGTAAAATTTAGAATTTTCTCGATTTTCTTTTTTTTTCAATTAGAAAATCTTGAAAATTCTGGATTTTATTAGTTATTTTTTGGAATTTCAGCGGAGATGCGGAAGCTATGCCCAAATTTTGAATTTTTATAGAAAAACTTATATTTTTAATTACAAAATTCAATTTTTTATTCCAGGCTGCCAAACAACAACTGCGCCCCATTGGAAAATCGAAGTATTGGATTTGGTAAGTATTTTTTATAAAAAAAAAGAGAACTTCTGGAATATCCAAAAAGAAACTAGTAAAATTTAGAATTTTCTCGATTTTCTTTTTTTTCAATTAGAAAATCTTGAAAATTCTGGATTTTATTAGTTATTTTTTGGAATTTCAGCGGAGATGCGGAAGCTATGCCCAAATTTTGAATTTTTATAGAAAAACTTATATTTTTAATTACAAAATTCAATTTTTTATTCCAGGCTGCCAATCAACAATACGGCCCATTGGACAAATCACATTGGCGATTTGGTAAGTATTTATTATAAAATGAAAGAGAACTTCTGGAATATCCAAAAAGAAACTAATAAAATTTAGAATTTTCTCGATTTTCTTTTTTTTTAATTAGAAAATCATGAAAACTCTTGATTTTATAAGTTATTTTTGGAATTTCAGCGGAGATGCGGAAGCTATGCCCAAATTTTGAATTTTTATAGAAAAACTTATATTTTTAATTACAAAATTCAATTTTTTATTCCAGGCTGCCAATCAACAATACGGCCCATTGGACAAATCACATTGGCGATTTGGTAAGTATTTATTATAAAATGAAAGAGAACTTCTGGAATATCCAAAAAGAAACTAATAAAATTTAGAATTTTCTTGATTTTCTTTTTTTTTAATTAGAAAATCATGAAAACTCTGGATTTTATTAGTTATTTTTTGGAATTTCAGCGGAGATGCGGAAGCTATGCCCAAATTTTGAATTTTTATAGAAAAACTTATATTTTTAATTACAAAATTCAATTTTTTATTCCAGGCTGCCAATCAACAATACGGCCCCCCATTGGACAATCGAAGTATTGGATTTGGTAAGTATTTATTATAAAATAAAAGAGAATTTCTGGAATATCCAAAAAGAAACTAATAAAATTTAGAATTTTCTCGATTTTCTTTTTTTTCAATTAGAAAATCTTGAAAATTCTGGATTTTATTAGTTATTTTTTGGAATTTCAGCGGAGATGCGGAAGCTATGCCCAAATTTTGAATTTTTATAGAAAAACTTATATTTTTAATTACAAAATTCAATTTTTTATTCCAGGCTGCCAATCAACAAAACGGCTCCCATTGGACAAATCACATTGGCGATTTGGTAAGTATTTATTATAAAATGAAAGAGAACTTCTGGAATATCCAAAAAGAAACTAATAAAATTTAGAATTTTCTTGATTTTCTTTTTTTTAATTAGAAAATCATGAAAACTCTTGATTTTATAAGTTATTTTTTGGAATTTCAGCGGAGATGCGGAAGCTATGCCCAAATTTTGAATTTTTATAGAAAAACTTATATTTTTAATTACAAAATTCAATTTTTTATTCCAGGCTGCCAATCAACAAAACGGCCCCATTGGACAAATCACATTGGCGATTTGGTAAGTATTTATTATAAAATGAAAGAGAACTTCTGGAATATCCAAAAAGAAACTAATAAAATTTAGAATTTTCTTGATTTTCTTTTTTTTAATTAGAAAATCATGAAAACTCTTGATTTTATAAGTTATTTTTTGGAATTTCAGCGGAGATGCGGAAGCTATGCCCAAATTTTGAATTTTTATAGAAAAACTTATATTTTTAATTACAAAATTCAATTTTTTATTCCAGGCTGCCAATCAACAAAACGGCCCCATTGGACAAATCACATTGGCGATTTGGTAAGTATTTATTATAAAATAAAAGAGAATTTCTGGAATATCCAAAAAAGAAACTAATAAAATTTAGAATTTTCTCGATTTTCTTTTTTTTTTCAATTAGAAAATCTTGAAAATTCTGGATTTTATTAGTTATTTTTTGGAATTTCAGCGGAGATGCGGAAGCTATGCCCAAATTTTGAATTTTTATAGAAAAACTTATATTTTTAATTACAAAATTCAATTTTTTATTCCAGGCTGCCAATCAACAAAACGGCCCCCATTGGACAATCGAAGTATTGGATTTGGTAAGTATTTATTATAAAATAAAAGAGAATTTCTGGAATATCCAAAAAGAAACTAATAAAATTTAGAATTTTCTCGATTTTCTTTTTTTTTAATTAGAAAATCTTGAAAACTCTAGATTTTATTAGTTATTTTTTGGAATTTCAGCGGAGATGCGGAAGCTATGCCCAAATTTTGAATTTTTAATCAAAAACTTATATTTTTAATTACAAAATTCAATTTTTTATTCCAGGCTGCCAATCAACAAAACGGCACCCATTGGAAAATCGAAGTATTGGATTTGGTAAGTATTTATTATAAAATAAAAGAGAATTTCTGGAATATCCAAAAAGAAACTAATAAAATTTAGAATTTTCTCGATTTTCTTTTTTTTAATTAGAAAATCTTGAAAACTCTAGATTTTATTAGTTATTTTTGGAATTTCAGCGGAGATGCGGAAGCTATGCCCAAATTTTGAATTTTTAATCAAAAACTTATATTTTTAATTACAAAATTCAATTTTTTATTCCAGGCTGCCAATCAACAAAACGGCACCCATTGGAAAATCGAAGTATTGGATTTGGTAAGTATTTATTATAAAATAAAAGAGAATTTCTGGAATATCCAAAAAGAAACTAATAAAATTTAGAATTTTCTCGATTTTCTTTTTTTTTAATTAGAAAATCTTGAAAACTCTAGATTTTATTAGTTATTTTTTGGAATTTCAGCGGAGATGCGGAAGCTATGCCCAAATTTTGAATTTTTAATCAAAAACTTATATTTTTAATTACAAAATTCAATTTTTTATTCCAGGCTGCCAATCAACAAAACGGCCCCCATTGGAAAATCGAAGTATTGGATTTGGTAAGTATTTATTATAAAATAAAAGAGAATTTCTGGAATATCCAAAAAGAAACTAATAAAATTTAGAATTTTCTCGATTTTCTTTTTTTTCAATTAGAAAATCTTGAAAATTCTGGATTTTATTAGTTATTTTTTGGAATTTCAGCGGAGATGCGGAAGCTATGCCCAAATTTTGAATTTTTATAGAAAAACATATTTTTAATTACAAAATTCAATTTTTTATTCCAGGCTGGCAATCAACAAAACGGCCCCCCATTGGACAATCGAAGTATTGGATTTGGTAAGTATTTATTATAAAATAAAAGAGAATTTCTGGAATATCCAAAAAGAAACTAATAAAATTTAGAATTTTCTCGATTTTCTTTTTTTTTAATTAGAAAATCTTGAAAACTCTAGATTTTATTAGTTATTTTTTGGAATTTCAGCGGAGATGCGGAAGCTATGCCCAAATTTTGAATTTTTATAGAAAAACTTATATTTTTAATTACAAAATTCAATTTTTTATTCCAGGCTGCCAATCAACAAAACGGCCCCATTGGACAATTCACATTGGCGATTTGGTAAGTATTTATTATAAAATGAAAGAGAATTTCTGGAATATCCAAAGAGAAACTAATAAAATTCAGAATTTTCTTGATTTTCTTTTTTTTTAATTAGAAAATCATGAAAACTCTGGATTTTATTAGTTATTTTTTGGAATTTCAGCGGAGATGCGGAAGCTATGCCCAAATTTTGAATTTTTATAGAAAAACTTATATTTTTAATTACAAAATTCAATTTTTTATTCCAGGCTGCCAATCAACAAAACGGCCCCCCATTGGACAATCGAAGTATTGGATTTGGTAAGTATTTATTATAAAATAAAAGAGAATTTCTGGAATATCCAAAAAGAAACTAATAAAATTTAGAATTTTCTTGATTTTCTTTTTTTTTAATTAGAAAATCATGAAAACTCTTGATTTTATAAGTTATTTTTTGGAATTTCAGCGGAGATGCGGAAGCTATGCCCAAATTTTGAATTTTTATAGAAAAACTTATATTTTTAATTACAAAATTCAATTTTTTATTCCAGGCTGCCAATCAACAAAACGGCCCCATTGGACAAATCACATTGGCGATTTGGTAAGTATTTATTATAAAATGAGAGAGAACTTCTGGAATATCCAAAAAGAAACTAATAAAATTTAGAATTTTCTTGATTTTCTTTTTTTAATTAGAAAATCATGAAAACTCTTGATTTTATAAGTTATTTTTTGGAATTTCAGCGGAGATGCGGAAGCTATGCCCAAATTTTGAATTTTTATAGAAAAACTTATATTTTTAATTACAAAATTCAATTTTTTATTCCAGGCTGCCAATCAACAAAACGGCCCCATTGGACAAATCACATTGGCGATTTGGTAAGTATTTATTATAAAATAAAAGAGAATTTCTGGAATATCCAAAAAGAAACTAATAAAATTTAGAATTTTCTCGATTTTCTTTTTTTTTCAATTAGAAAATCTTGAAAATTCTGGATTTTATTAGTTATTTTTTGGAATTTCAGCGGAGATGCGGAAGCTATGCCCAAATTTTGAATTTTTATAGAAAAACTTATATTTTTAATTACAAAATTCAATTTTTTATTCCAGGCTGCCAATCAACAAAACGGCCCCCATTGGACAATCGAAGTATTGGATTTGGTAAGTATTTTTTATAAAAAAAAAGAGAACTTCTGAAATATCCAAAAAGAAACTAATAAAATTTAGAATTTTCTTGATTTTCTTTTTTTTCAATTAGAAAATCTTGAAAATTCTGGATTTTATTAGTTATTTTTTGGAATTTCAGCGGAGATGCGGAAGCTATGCCCAAATTTTGAATTTTTAATCAAAAACTTATATTTTCTTATCAAAAATTCAATTTTTATTCCAGGCTGGCAATCAACAATACGGCCCCATTGGACAATTCACATTGGCGATTTGGTAAGTATTTATTATAAAATGAAAGAGAACTTCTGGAATATCCAAAGAGAAACTAATAAAATTCAGAATTTTCTTGATTTTCTTTTTTTTTAATTAGAAAATCATGAAAACTCTGGATTTTATTAGTTATTTTTTGGAATTTCAGCGGAGATGCGGAAGCTATGCCCAAATTTTGAATTTTTATAGAAAAACTTATATTTTTAATTACAAAATTCAATTTTTTATTCCAGGCTGCCAATCAACAAAACGGCCCCATTGGACAAATCACATTGGCGATTTGGTAAGTATTTATTATAAAATGAAAGAGAACTTCTGGAATATCCAAAAAGAAACTAATAAAATTTAGAATTTTCTTGATTTTCTTTTTTTTTAATTAGAAAATCATGAAAATTCTGGATTTTATTAGTTACTTTTTGGAATTTCAGCGGAGATGCGGAAGCTATGCCCAAATTTTGAATTTTTATAGAAAAACTTATATTTTTAATTACAAAATTCAATTTTTTATTCCAGGCTGGCAATCAACAATACGGCCCCATTGGACAAATCACATTGGCGATTTGGTAAGTATTTATTATAAAATGAAAGAGAACTTCTGAAATATCCAAAAAGAAACTAATAAAATTCAGAATTTTCTTGATTTTCTTTTTTTTTAATTAGAAAATCTTGAAAACTCTAGATTTTATTAGTTATTTTTTGGAATTTCAGCGGAGATGCGGAAGCTATGCCCAATTTTTGAATTTTTATAGAAAAACTTATATTTTCTTATCAAAAATTCAATTTTTTATTCCAGGGCACCAATCGATCAAAACGGCCCCCATTGGACAATCGAAGTATTGGATTTGGTAAGTATTTTTTATAAAAAAAAAGAGAACTTCTGGAATATCCAAAAAGAAACTAATAAAATTTAGAATTTTCTTGATTTTCTTTTTTTTCAATTAGAAAATCTTGAAAATTCTGGATTTTATTAGTTATTTTTTGGAATTTCAGCGGAGATGCGGAAGCTATGCCCAAATTTTGAATTTTTAATCAAAAACTTATATTTTCTTATCAAAAATTCAATTTTTATTCCAGGGCACCAATCGATCAAAACGGCCCCCATTGGACAATCGAAGTATTGGATTTGGTAAGTATTTTTTATAAAAAAAGAGAACTTCTGAAATATCCAAAAAGAAAATAATAAAATTTAGAATTTTCTTGATTTTCTTTTTTTTCAATTAGAAAATCTTGAAAATTCTGGATTTTATTAGTTATTTTTTGGAATTTCAGCGGAGATGCGGAAGCTATGCCCAATTTTTTGAATTTTTATAGAAAAACTTATATTTTCTTATCAAAAATTCAATTTTTTATTCCAGGGCACCAATCGATCAAAACGGCCCCCATTGGACAATCGAAGTATTGGATTTGGTAAGTATTTTTTATAAAAAAAGAGAACTTCTGGAATATCCAAAAAGAAACTAATAAAATTTAGAATTTTCTTGATTTTCTTTTTTTCAATTAGAAAATCTTGAAAATTCTGGATTTTATTAGTTATTTTTTGGAATTTCAGCGGAGATGCGGAAGCTATGCCCAAATTTTGAATTTTTATAGAAAAACTTATATTTTTAATTACAAAATTCAATTTTTTATTCCAGGCTGGCAATCAACAAAACGGCCCCCATTGGACAATCGAAGTATTGGATTTGGTAAGTATTTTTTATAAAAAAAGAGAACTTCTGAAATATCCAAAAAGAAACTAATAAAATTTAGAATTTTCTTGATTTTCTTTTTTTTTTAATTAGAAAATCTTGAAAATTCTGGATTTTATTAGTTATTTTTTGGAATTTCAGCAGAGATGCGGAAGCTATGCCCAAATTTTGAATTTTTAATCAAAAACTTGAATTTTGAAAACAAATGTTCAAAAAAAAAAAGATTTTTACCAATTAAATAACAATTTTTCAGATCGAATCTACGACAAAGTTTAAATCTCCAGGTGGCCTCAAAGACGGTGAGTAAATAAAAAGTAACTCAAAATTCCACATAGTGTAAATTTTACTAATTCAAATCACTAGACCCCCAATTTTTCAATTATTTTTCGTGGTAGATCAAACACATTTTGTTCTCTAAATCTCTCTTTTTTGCGTTATATTTCGTCAATTTTTCTAGAAAATTGCGAAAATGTTTGGATTGTAAATTACTGTATTTTTTTAAAAGTACACGTTGTGAAATCTGGAATTTCATGTTCGAAAAATGATAAAATTCAGACATTTTTCGATTTTTCAGGTCGATTTTCTTCCAACTTTGCTGAAAATCCATCAACTCGAAGATTCTGGAACTCGTATTTAATTGTATTATGATCTTTATTTATTTATATATTTCCTACTTTTTGCTTAAAAGCCAAAAAGTAGAAGATTACTGTAGTTATTTTTTCTATATTATCGAAAATCTCATGGGTACCACGCGCTCCACCGAAATAAACACGCAACGCAGACCGCGTCGCGCCACAACACACACAAATAAGGGAACGATTCAAATTCCCTCCCTTTTTTGTGTGTGTTGTGGCGCGACGCGGTCTGCGTTGCGTGTTCATTTCGGTGGAGCGCGTGGTACCGATGAGATTTTCGATAATAAGTCATTGCATAAAAGCCAATGACTTGTAGTTTTGTTCCTGCTTTTCCTCGGTTCCGAAACAGGGTTGAACATTTCGCCTCGTTTTTCTTCTTTTTTTTCTTCAAAAACGAGGCGAAATGGCCAATCCTGTTCTGAAGAAGTACAGTAATCAGGGTACTGTAGATGTTGTGTGTCTACAATAAGATTACTGTAGATGTTGTTGAGCTCTATTAAGTACTGTATCTAAGAATCGATGTAGAACTACAGTAATCTGTGTTGCAGTTTTTCAAAAATCTGATTTTCGAAAAAGTACTGTAGATTTCGCATTTGTCTTCGGAAGATACTTCTACAGTACTTTATCACAGATTTTTAGTCCAAAAATCATGTTTTTTTTGCTTCGAATACACAGAGATTGAATCGGGTTACTGTAGTTTTGCATTCGGTTACATACATATATGCTGTTTTTTGAAGAAAAAAAAATCGGTCCGATTATTTTTGTTAAAAAATCGGCCCGATTATTTTTGTTAAAACATCGGTCCGATTTATTTGAAAAAAAATCGGCCCGATTATTTTTGTTAAAAAATCGGCCCGATTATTTTTGTTAAAAAATCGGCCCGATTATTTTTGTTAAAAAATCGGCCCGATTATTTTGAAAAAAAATCGGCCCGATTATTTTTGTTAAAAAATCGGCCCGATTATTTTTGTTAAAAAATCGGCCCGATTATTTTTGTTAAAAAATCGGCCCGATTATTTTTGTTAAAAAATCGGCCCGATTATTTTTGTTAAAAAATCGGCCCGATTATTTTGAAAAAAATCGGCCCGATTATTTTGTTAAAAAATCGGCCCGATTATTTTTGTTAAAAAATCGGCCCGATTATTTTTGTTAAAAAATCGGCCCGATTATTTTTGTTAAAAAATCGGTCCGATTATTTTGAAAAAAAATCGGCCCGATTATTTTTGTTAAAAAATCGGCCCGATTATTTTTGTTAAAAAATCGGCCCGATTATTTTTGTTAAAAAATCGGCCCGATTATTTTTGTTAAAAAATCGGCCCGATTATTTTTGTTAAAAAATCGGTCCGATTTATTTGAAAAAAATTGGCCCGATTATTTTTGTTACTGGTGAAAAAAATCGGTCCGATTATTTTGAAAAAAAAATCGGCCCGATTATTTTTGTTAAAAAATCGGTCCGATTATTTTGAAAAAAAATCGGCCCGATTATTTTTGTTAAAAAATCGGCCCGATTATTTTTGTTAAAAAATCGGCCCGATTATTTTGTTAAAAAATCGGCCCGATTATTTTTGTTAAAAAATCGGCCCGATTATTTTTGTTAAAAAATCGGCCCGATTATTTTGAAAAAAAATTGGTCCGATTATTTTTGTTAAAAAATCGGCCCGATTATTTTGAAAAAAAATCGGCCCGATTGTTTTTGAAAAAACTCGGCCCGATTATTTTTGAAAAAACTCGGGCCGATTATTTTGAAAAAAAATCGGCCCGATTATTTTTGTTAAAAAATCGGCCCGATTATTTTTGTTAAAAAATCGGTCCGATTATTTTGAAAAAAATTGGTCCGATTATTTTGAAAAAAAATCGGCCCGATTATTTTTGAAAAAACTCGGCCCGATTATTTTGAAAAAAAATTGGTCCGATTATTTTTGTTAAAAAATCGGCCCGATTATTTTGAAAAAAAATCGGCCCGATTGTTTTTGAAAAAACTCGGCCCGATTATTTTTGAAAAAACTCGGGCCGATTATTTTGAAAAAAATCGGCCCGATTATTTTTGTTAAAAAATCGGTCCGATTATTTTGAAAAAAATCGGTCCGATTATTTTTGTTACTCGAAATTATTATAATTTTCTTCTTCGATTCTTTGAGTGGATGTGGATACGTCTTCTTCGATGTTGGTGTGCGTTGGTGTGTGTGAATTCGAACCGACGGACAGCATTCTGACATTCTGACAGGAAAATTTGAAGAACAGTTGAGATAATCTTGATTCATTGAGATGTTGAGAGATATTCCTTGAGGTGTGTTGTTGTTGTTAAAGAGAATGATTATATTTTCAGTACTCTTAATCGATCAGGTTGATTGGTGATCGGCGGCCATCTTATGTTCTGTTGACTTACCGTTACTGAAAGAAAAGTGCTGTTTGTATTCAAGATCTGCCGAAAAATTTATTTGTGTCTTGAAATATTCAATGCGTCTCTTCTTGTAATTTGAACTGTGTCCCGAGAAACAACTAGAGTAACTCTGTTGTTGGCGGAGTCTGTGTTTTGGGTGGGCTGGGAGGGACCCTGAGAAACAAAAAAACTGATTTCTTTGAGAAACACACATTTTGCAGAAAATGAAATTACGTGTCACGTCACGTAAAAATAATAATATTCGTTCTCTAGAATTTCTCGTAAATCTAAACAATTAAAAACTTTGAAAAATTTTGCGGATCTTCTGGTTTTGAGAATCGGCAAATTTGAATCAAAAAATCAAAATTCATGAAATTAAAAACGTTCACGCAAAAATTTTTTTTAAAAATTGCGTAACCTAAAAAATTGATCAGAATTGGTTGTGTCCGCAAATGCGTGTAGTTTTTGATTCAGATTCCTACTTTTGATTTTCTGAGGCTAACTTGGCTGAAATTACATTTTATGAAACAGCAAATACTTCAAAATGTTCATCTCGACGAGACAAATCAGATGGTATTCTCGACAATTTCTGAAACTTCCGATAAAAATGCTGAAAATGAGTTGCAGCGCTGGAATCTTCTTAGTGTGCAAACACCATGACGCACAAATGCACAAAACAAAACACACCGTATTACAAACATGTTTTTTTCGTGTGAAATCATTTTTCAACATTTTTTTGTTTTTACACTCGTTTTCTTGAAATTCTGAAAACTCGCGTCGAAAAACATTCACCAATTAAAACAAGTATTTCAGATTTTATACGAGACATCGAAAATTGTGGTTAAAAATGGGCCAAACAGCCATACGAACTTTCGTTCGCATTTCAAGAAAAGATGTGAGTTTTTGACTAGTCTTGTAATCATTTGAAATTTTGTCAATTATAGATTGGTAAGATGAAAATGTTGTGCAGAATCCAGGCTGAAAAGTCTGAAGCTATTCGAAACCAATTGAAAAAACCATGGAAAATTCGCGAAAAATCACCGAAACAAGCTGTTAAATCAACAAAACGAAGCAAGGAATCTATTCCGAAGAAAGTTTTCCAAAAAATTGTCCGAGAAATTGTTAATGAAGTTTCGGTAAGTCAAATAATATTTTGGGTTCTGAAGTTTGAACTGTGTTTTTTAGAGCGGACCACTGAAGGTGCAATTGGGAGCTTATAATATTCTTCAAGAAGTAGCTGAAGGTGCAATGGAAAAGAAGTTTTCCTTGGCTCAAAAGGCCGCTTACCATGCAAATCGTGAAACAATCAAAGTTTCAGATATGCGATTTATGAAAGAAAGCTTTGAGTTGAACAATACAGGAACAAGAGGATATTAAATAATTTATTGTGTTCACTGTCAATTTTTAAATGTGAATTTTTGTAATTACTTAAATCTTTGTTTTTTTATCCACTCAGATGCGTTTTAAACGCTCATAATATCTCTTTTTGAATTCCAAGTTTTACCGAAACTGTTCTACCTCTCAAAAAAATCATACTTATTGTTTTCGGTTTTGTCCTTGAGAAGAAAAACAGGCGGGTTTTTTCGAAGACAAGACATATGTATAATTTATGACTCTATAGTTATCATTGCCAACAACACATTGATTGTTCCTTCCTGTTTAAACGTTTCCCGATTTTTTTCTCGTTGTTGTTGAAAACTCGTGATTTTTCTGGATAGTTTCTGTTATTTTTAGCAAACCGCAAAGATTTTCAGACAGACGAGGAAGGGAAAACAAGAAAGAACCGCGCAAAAAACAAAAAGTGCAATTGCCAAAATTATTGTTACTCTTTTTGCTGCTCATTTTCTCTGGCTCTCTGTATTTTCTGATTTTTGGCGAAAGATACAAAATCTACTTCGTTTATAATTTTCATATTTTTTATAATCAAACAGGAAATATAATCATTTCCTTTTGAAAATTTCCGGAAATTACCAGATATCTGCAACTTTTCTCCACTAGATTTAGTTGTTGACCATGGCAGGCGCCGAAATAAAAAAAAGTACATTTTCTTACAAAAACAACAACAACAAAAATAGAGGAGAAATAGAAGAGAGGAGGGCAGATGTGAATGTGTATGTATCGCGAAAGCACATTTAGTTTCGTTGTGTTGTTTTTGCATTGCTGTCACCAACTATCACGAAGGCCATTTCTAGAGGAACAAAAATAATAGATTTAGTTTTTTTTCTCGAAAAAATATGAAATAAATCTGTGTCTGATGAGGTGAAGCTTTTCTCTCAAAATCACAAATCTTGATTTTATCCCGAATTCTTTCCAGCTTATCGCATCGCCCACGTGATTCCTCACGAGACTTACGATAACTACCCATAAACAAAAACAATACGAATTTTCCATCTAGCCAAAATATGTTATGCACTATTCGATAATCACACATCTAGATTTTGTTATGCCTTATTGGACACCGGCTAAGTCATATTTTTTGAGCGAATTTGTTGAAATCTGGGGTTGTCGTCGTATTCATAGGATAGACCCGCCTAAGACAATTCGAATGATGTAATTTCTGATGACTTTATGTTACCCATAAGTGATTTAGCTAAGTTTAGTCGATTTTTGGTCGATAAGTCGCTTAGTGTAACCTAAAATCTTCAAAAATTATACAATTCCGCTTGTCTTAGACCTTTATCCCATGAATACGACCAAAACCCAATGTTTCAACAAATTTGCTAAAAAAATATGATTTAGCCGATGTTCCATAAGCTATAAAAAATCGAAAAATTCATGATTATCCTATAGTGCATAAAATATGTTGTGCAAAAACTGGAAATTGTTGTTTTCAAGTCACAAGGTTTGATAAGAATTCCAGGTGCTTGATAAGTTAGTTTCTCGGGGTTTTTTATTAAATTATAGACTGCGTTTTACTTATCAATTTTCGCAAAGGAAAAATATCACTAAATTTTTGTCTAGAAAATTTATTATCAATGTGAACCAATTTCAATGGTAGTAGTATTTTGAAGTCTGGCATTTTGCCATTATTTTTCTTCTCTAAAGTGCAAAGTTCTCCCATTTATTGTTATTGTTTTCACATATACCATCAATTGATAACAAAATCTTCAAAAATCAATCAATCAATACTTGAATATTCCAAAGTTTTAATATATATTTATGTTGTTTTTGTTCTGTTCAATGATGATCCAAGCCCAACTCAACCTGGGCCCGTACAACGTGGTACCGCTCTCAAATGAAAAAAAAAACGAAAAAGAGAAGAAAAAAGAAAAAGGACACAAATAGTCCAGCTGATTTTTCTATTTCTCTCTCTTGTTTTTTTCGTCGCTCTCTCTGCACCATCTCATTTTTTCGTGATCTCTACGATGATGATGCTGTCTGTCTGTTGTCTCTAACTGCACTATTTTTTTTGTTGCTATCGCGGGCTCTCCTTTTTTCTCGAGTATTTTTTATTTTGAAAAAAAAAACTACGTTTCAAATTTTTTTTACAAAATTACCTATAGTTCATGGATTTGTCTGTAGTCTAAATATCTCCTTTATGTGTAAAAAAGTGCTTGGTTTTCTTTGAATCTTTAAATTTTCTCATCTTCTATGCCATTCCGAATAAAACTTAGGTGTTTTTATTCAAACGGCTCCTGATCCTTTCTTTTTAGAAATTTCTTATAATGTCCGAATTCAACATTTGAACCGCTTCCTATTTTTTAATATTTATTTAAAAACATTTCTGCGTGACCATTGTAAACGTGTACTTATTATTATGTTTTGGAGATCTCCATTTTTGAAAATTATTGCAGGCATCACTGATGAGACCTACCTCTTCGCCGTCTGATGTTCAGGTCGAAACGGCTTTACCGCGTATCTATATTCTTTTAATTTCTTCTTTTTCTTATCAAGAACCAGTAATGCCTAATTTTGCCAGCCTAGCACAAAATCAGTATGTTTTTAAATATTTGGTTCAAAAATATCCTCAATTTTCAAAAAAAATTCTAATCATGTCAAAGTTTTAATCAAAATTCAGTACTTTTCAAAATAAATTTCTATTCTGAAGATATCAAATTTCATCTGTGTTTTCTTCTTTTTGAGAATTTTTCAACATATTTCAATTAAATAATATCTTCTGCTTTTTCTGATATGAATGATTACTGAACTACGCAAGAAACCATTCTAAACTAATTCAAAAACTAAAAATTTTCCAAAATATTTACAACTGCAAAAAATTAGGAACTCATTTTCTTATCAGTAAATGTTTTATTATTCGATGCACCCGAAAAATCTCCAGGCACCAATAAATACGATCGCAGCAAAAAAAAGTTTGTTTGCGTGTCAAGAAAATGCCACTTTTTGTTGTTTACTTCGTTGTTTCGAAACGCGTGACCTGCAATTTTTTTTCAGGAAGAATTGGACTTTTGAACCTTTGTTGAAAAAAAAGTTCTTTGATTTTCGTTTTCGATGATATTTTTCCACATTAAAAGGGTTTTTAATGGTTATTTATTATGAATAAAAAATATTGGATTGCATTGGCAAATGATTTTTGATCGAAAAAATCTTGGGAAATGAAACATAGTGTAATATACTGAATCGACCACACTGATCACGATCCCGGAGTCAAAAATTACCAAAAACCTCTGTGAGCACTTCGGAAGCTCCAAAGTTGGGTTTGAATTTTTGTAGATACTGAAAATCGACTAAAATAAAAAATTCAATCCAATTTTAGAGCTCTGGAAAAGTGCTCACAGAGGTTTCTGGCAGTTTTTGACTTTGGGATTTTTGTCAGCGTGATCGATTTAGTACATTTCACCATTATTCATCAAAAGTTTAACCTGAACATGCCTATTTATTATACCACACGGTATTTCGAACCTAACCAAACCGTTTTATGCTATTTTCCTTTCCATTTTCTTCTCTCTCTACAATTTCCCAGTCTTTCTCCATTCGCGCCTTTTTTGTTTATGATATCATCAAATTTTGTTGTTTCCAAAACGCTCTTCTTCTTTTTTTGTTGATTTTTAAAAAATTGTTTTCTTTTTTCATTTTCTTTTGAAAAAAAAAATGAAAAAATGTCCCTAGAAAGTAAGAAAGTAAGAATTTTTCTCATTTGACTAATTATTTCATGACGCATAAATAGAAACTACATAGAAGGAGAAAAATTATTCAAACGGATTTCGGTGAACTGGAATAATTTATTAGATTTTTTGTTAGCTATTTTTATTTTCAGTTTTTTTGTTACCGTAGTCGAAAAAAGTTTATAAGTTATCATATTAATTTGATTTAAGCCGCGCATTCAAAATCGATTTTTCAGCAAGAGCAGGCGGAGCCGGATAAGGATTAGCCCACATCTCATTTTTTTTATTCATTTCCACGGATTTTTCATTTTTATTTTATTAGTAACACTTTAGCTTCCAAGATTTTTTAAAAATGTTTTTCTGAATTTTTCTTCGGGAAAAATGACGAGTCATTTTTGAATACACATCAATTCCACTTCCACACTTTTCCGAAAATTAAAAATCACATGATTTCGAACAAGCTGTGTGTGTGTACAGTAAACAACATTTTTCCTTGTTTTGCTCTCAAAGAATTTCCAAACTGATAAGAGGAATCAATGTTGCCCTCGATTTTATTATAATTTTTTGCGGAATTTGTTACGGGGACTAGGATTTAAACCTAGTCCCTCTGTTGTTTTTTGTTCCATGAGCACAAGAAAAATTGCAGGGGACTAGGTTTACATCCTAGTCCCCGTGCAGTTTTCGATTTTCTTGGGCTCACTCTTCTCATTGTTTTGTTGAATTTTGAAAGTCATCAATTTTTCAAACAAAAATTATTATTTTGCAGTTTTCAACTCGATAAAATTGAATTTTTAATGAACACTTCGCAACGATGATAATTGCTAGAAAAAGTCGAAAAAGGCGGAGGAATCGGGAAGAAGAAGGTGAGTTTGGGCCGGGCCGGGCCCAGATTAACAAAAACGGAAAAAATGACATCATTTTTGTTGATAAATAAAAATTTTGAAGAAAAATCCCACACTACTTAATCTATCTCATGTTTTTTCACTTCACAATGACTCATATGTATTTTTAAAAAAATTGAATTTTCTAGGTTCCCTCCATCTTCCAACAACTTCTTCAACACAAAATATCCAATCATCCGATTACGAGTGAGTGTTTTTTCATGATTCATCGGATTAATTCATCGTTTTTTCCAGGGATTATGAAGAAGCCGAAGAAACTGCTGTAAAAATTAATAATCAAATGTCAAATGAAAATGAAAATGTGCAAAACAGTACACAGAAAAATAACCAAGTTCGAAAACAATGCTCATCTTTACGATGGTTATCGATTCCAGCTTGGCTGTTTTTAATAATCGCAATTCTGATAAAGGTGAGGATTAGGCTACCGTAGTTTTGATTTGATAAACATTGAGATTAGCTGATGATTAGTGAGTGCATTACGCCACCCGGAGTTTTTCTGGATGAAAAAAAAAATGGAAAAAAATCGGAGAAGAGAGGAGAGGAGATTACAGTAGGAAAGAATATGATAATATTATTATTGAACTCGGATTTTTTGGTCAAAAATCAAATTTTTGATCTCTAAAAATCATAAAACACCTTAAAATTTTCAAAAATAATATGTTTTTAGCCGTCAAATGCAATAATCGAAACTCGATGTGGATCAATAGACATTCGAAACACACCAATGGGTTTGAAAAGAAGCAACGCGGCTCTTGATCTTGGAGATTCGGATTCGATAAAATCGAAAGATTTGGATCTTTCGAATCAAATCAATTGCACAGTTATTGAGGGATCATTTTTGATTACTATGATATCAACGGTTGAGGGAAAGAATTATTCAACTGAGGATTTTCCGCGATTTCCGTATTTGCGAGAAATTACCGGGAGTTTGATGATTTTTGATGCCGGGTTTGTGTTTTTTGCTATTTTTCAAGTGGATTTTGACCCTGTGATCACGATTGTCAAAAACTGCAGAACTCAACTACCAATGTGAGTTATGACGTGGCGAATTTTGGGACTTTAGGAGGTGAAAACTAGCTGATAGCCTAGCGTTGCTCAGAAGGTTTTCAATCAATTTTGAGATTTCAAATGCAGATTCCAATTTTTTCTGAGAAAAATTCGGATGAAATTGGGAGTTTTGGTTTTCTAGGCCATAAAAATGAACAAGTAGGTTTGCTAGGCCAACTGGAGGTTTTCTATGCCATGAAATTGGGAATTTTGGTTTTCTAGGCCATAAAAATGAACAAGTAGGTTTTCTAGGCCATCTGGAGGTTTTCTAGGCCATTTAAGCTGAACATTTGGTTTCGCAGACCATAAAAATAAAACATTTGGCTTTCTAGGCAATCTGTAGGTTTTCTAGGCTACGAAATCGGAAAATTCGGATTTCTAGGTCATCTGGAGGGTTTCTAGGCCACGAAATTCGAACATTTGGATTTATAGGCCACCTGGAGGGTTTCTAGGCCATGTAATTGGAAAATTTGGATTTCTAGACCGTTTGAGCTGAAAATTTGGAATCTGAAATTGAGATCTCAAAATTGGTTAAATATTGAAAATAAATCTCCTGAACAGCACTATGCTATCAGATAAATCAAGCTAGTTTTCACCTCCTACAGCCCCCAAATTTTGCCACGTCATAACTCATGTTAGAAGTTGAGTTTTGCGGTTTTTGACAGCAGGTTCGAAATTTCATAAAACATCATAAGGTTCGAAATTTTTCTAGATATTTGAAAACCTTATCATGGATCTTGCCGAATTTACGAGTTATTGGTGGACAAGTTCTCATTCAACAATATGCACTGGTTATTTACAAAAATAACGATCTTGAAGATGTTGGTTTGAGCTTGAATTAAAAAACAATTGTGAACTCTTTTTTCAGATTGGTCTCAATAATTTGAAAGTGATTAGAAATGGCGGAGTTCGCATAACTGATAATAAAAGATTGTGTCATACTCGATTAATCGATTGGAAACATATCACAACTTCTGCTGTAAATGATGTTTTATTAGATGATGCTGCTGAATTGAGTTTTACTGAAACTGGACGAAGTTTGTTTTTTTTCTCGAATTTTCTTTATCTCATCTCTAAAATTCCCATTTTTCCAGTCTGCAAGAAAGGTGGATGTGTTTCCGATCCGAATCAAGATCTGTGCCATTATATGGAAGTCAATGACAAACACTATCAATCTTGTTGGAGTGACACGAATTGTCAAAGAACGTGCAAGTTTGATCGAATTGGCGAAGAAATTGGACCGGGATGTGATCCAGATGGTGAGAAATGTCATGATGAATGTCTGGGTGGATGTGATAAGAAGGATGATGCCAGTGCTTGTCATTCGTGTAAAAATTATCATTATCAGGTGAGGAATATGTGCTAGAGGGAATAGAAATTTACAAATGTGCTCTACCGAAGAATTTTGTGAACTTCGAAAACAGAAAATTTCACAGATCCAAAAACTCAAATTCTTAGCTCTAAAGTTGCAAATTTGCTCTATTGAGAATCTGAATTAACATGAGCAATCTAGTGAATTTCCTCTATTCTATAGAATTCACTAGATTGCTCATGTTAAACCAGAAAAGCGGTCAAATTCTCCATGGAGTGAATTTTAAACTAATTTTCAATGTGAACTTTCCTTGTTCAAATTCAAATTTTTAGCCCAAAAGATGCAAGTTCGCTCCATTGATAATCTGGATTAACATGAGCAATCTAGTAATTTTACTGTATAGGATTATTAGTAAATTCACTAGATCGCTCTTGTTAAACCAGAAAAGTCGTCAAATTTTCAACTGTTCATAAAAACTTGAGAGTTTTCTCGCGATTTCAAATTTTTAACTCAAAAATTGCTAGCCCCTCTATTGAGAATTTGAAGAATTTTTGTGGTTCAACATGAGCAACTGCCCGAAAATCATATAATTCCATTTTATGTTCAGGGTCGATGTGTTCCAACTTGTGGAAACAATCTCTATGTTCTCATAAACCGACGATGTGTTACAAAAGAAAAATGTTTGGCATTGAAACCAATCAAATCAAAAAGTTATCTACCAATAAAAGCCATAAATGGTGTATGCTCGGATAAATGTCCTGAAGGCTATGAAGAAGATCCGAAAGACAATTCGACATGCTTAAAATGCGCTCCAAATTGTCAAGTAATCTGTCCAACAACAATTGTTGATTCGTATCATAAAGCACTTCAAATCAAGAATTGTCATGTTATCGATGGCAATTTGTTGGTTGAAGTTAAAGCGAGAGCTGATTCTGGTTCAGCGATTTCACTTCAAGGATTATTCTCGAAGATTCATACGATCACTGGTTATTTGCAAGTTCATCGATCTCCATCATTTCTCAATCTTTTCATGTTCAAAAATTTGCGGGTTATCGAGGGAAGAGAATTAACAAATGGATATGCATTATCGGTTATGGAGAATGCGAATTTGAAGAAATTGTTTGATCCGTCACATGATTTGAAGATTCTACGAGGAAAAATCAGATTCCATAATAATCGAATGTTATGTTTTCATTTTATTAGTCAGTTTATGGAAAAAATGGGAATGGAATCGATGATGTCGGAATTGGATCAATCTTTGAGCAGTAATGGAGATAAAGCTGTTTGTGAGTTTTTTTTCAAACTTTTTTAGGTTAAGCTCAAAATCCCGGACATTTTGAGCCTAAATATGTCTAAGCCTAGTTTCAGGCCTGAAATTTAAGATTTTTCAAACGTTTTGAATCCAAATAGGCATATTTTTGGCCTGAAAATTTCGAGTTTTAGGCCCAAAATCTGGACCTATTCTCCTAGAAATCTGAAGTTCTGGGCTTATTTTGATTAGAGAAAAAAAGTTTCTGTAATTTTTTTTTCGAAAATTTTTGTCTAGAATCTCTAAATTTCACGTTATCTCTAATCAAAATATTTATTTTTTCAGGCTTGGATCAAAGTTTTCAACTGATTCTTGATAGCACAACTTCAAATTCGATACAAATCACATGGCCTCAAATGAATACAACTGACACAGATCATCGAAAATTCCTCGGTTACGAGTTATTCTACAAAGAAGTTGCTGTAATTGATCCAAATATGTCAATGGATGATGATCGAAGTGCATGTTCTGATTCGTGGCATAGTGCTTTTATTCAATCGGAATCGGAAGATTCTGAATCAACAGTTACACATATTCTAACAGAACATTTGAAACCCAATCAACATTATGCGATTTATGTGACAACGCAAGTTGTGGTTCACAAAGGTGCCAGAAATTATGTGTCGAAAATATTGTTTGCGACTACGAAATTCGCTGCTCCCGAACCACCGATTGTTACGATTCAAAGAGTTACGAGTGATGAGATTGAATTGTCGTGGGAGCCGCCGATTCGACCCAATGGAGTTATTACACATTATCAGATTAATTGGAGAGGAATTGAGACGGATGCCGCTTTCAAGGCGGAAGGGTTTTGCACGAAGCGACAGTATGCGGAGAAGAATCGGGAGGAGATTGGAGAGACGACGGTTTCGCCACTTTCGACAAAAGCGCCGAGTATGGAAAGTGTTTTTGGTGGGGGAAATTTGAAAGGAGATGGAACTTGTTCGGCAATGAGTGGATGTTGTGAATGTCCGGTAAGGATTTATGAGGCTTTTTCGGGTAGAAAGTTTTTTTTAATGAAAAATATAGTTCGATTTGAAGAATTGGGAAAAATTCTACACCAAAAAAATTTTTTTGCAATTTTTCACTTAAAAATTCTAATTTTCTTGAAAAATATGTTCTGTACAAATTTAGGTTCTTTAGGCGCGGCTACTTGAGAACTGGGATGTCTGGGTTCGGCTTCTTGACAAATTACTAGCCCTCAAGGAGCGGCTTCTTGACAACTAGGATGTATAGGTTCGGCTGCTTGACATTGAAGCTCCCAAGGCGTGGCTCCTTGATATAGTGGTTCTCTAGATGCGAGTCCTAGAAAATTAGGTTCTGTAGGCGCGGCTACTTGAGACCTAGAATGTATAGGTTCGACTTCTTGATAAATTACTAGCTCTCAAGGAGCGCCTTCTTGACATAAAACACCCTCAAGGCACGTTCACTTGATAACTATGATCTCTAGGCTCGGCTGCTTGGCATTTAATTTCTCTAGCCACGGCTACTTGACAACTAGGATGTCTAGGTTCGGCTACTTGACAACCAGGAGTTTTAGGCGCGGCTACTTGACCTTAGCCGAGCTACCTTTTAGATTTTGCCCCATTAAAATTTAATGCCAAAAATCAGGGATGTCGTTTTTGAACAAAATGGGGGCCCCAGAGCCCGTTATAACAACACGGGCTTGGCCGGCCATACTCCGAATAATTCGTGACTGGCCGGGCGGAGCCCAGCCCGGCCCGATAAAATTATTCTATATGCAAAGGTCGAAAGAATTGCCTGGTTTTGTGTTATTTTGGTGGTATAAGTGGTGATAGTGTGAAAGGTGTGAATGGTATTGGTATGATTGATGTTATGGTGTTAGTTCAGATGGTGTAGGGTGGTGAAATATGTGTTTGGTGAACATGGTGAAATTTCTGTGAGTTGGTGTCATTGGCGAAAACGTGCAAAATGCACCATTGGCGCCAATTTAACTTCTTTGGTGCATTGGCGTTATTGGCGCCAATGATAATAATTTGTCCGATTTCACCAATCACACCCTCCAAACCAACATCTTCAACAACTTTTTCATTTTCATTTAAAAATTTTCACCATAACAACCACCATTGATGGTCGAGACCGCCTTTCTAACGTCTCGCGAATTTGTTTGTTTCCACTTCCTGAATATGAGCGGGCTTTAAAAAAGCCCCGGGGCCCTCTTATATTTTTTAAAAGGGCACCGGGCCGAAAAAGCCCGTTAATTTTTCGGGGGGCCCCGAAAGCCCGACCCAAAACGACATCCCTGCCAAAAATAATTCATATTTTTCAAAATTTTCAAAAAATCCGATTTTTCCAGCACAAAACTCCGAGTATCGAACAAACTGAAAGCGATTCAGATTTTGAAAATGATGTTCACAACATGGTTTTTGTTCAAAAGTGAGTCCTTTTTTTTAAATTCATCCAATATCCCTAATTTTTGTTTTCCCCCGAAATTCCCGTGTGATTTTTCCCCGCTTGTTTTGATTTTCATTTTTAACCCAACCCTCAACAAACCCGCGAGTTTAGATGTTCATTTGATTTTGATCCAATTCGATGCGCTTCCACTTGGGAGCAAGAAGTTGAAGAGATTGATCCGGAAATTGTGTCAGCAATGGAGAAAACTGGAAAGACTTCGAGAAGAGTCAGAGATTTACGAGCAGATGAGGAATACGAATTAAGGAAGAGGGAAATGCGAAGAGCTGTTCATGTTATTAGAAATAGTCATCAAGATTATGAAGCATATTCGGCATTTGTAATGTATGTCTGATTGATTGATTGAAAAATCATGTGGAAAACCGATGGATTGTGCATGTTTTTATGTTGTCCTGGATTAATCTGGAGATTTTTTCATCATATTTTCAAATTCCAGACCACTTTGTTCTTGTTTTTTTCTCACACTGGCATGTTTTTAATTTCAAATTTTCCCTGTTCGGTCCTGCTAATACTCCTTTTTCCCTCGAAGTTCACTTCCATTCTAACATTTTCTTTTTCAGACGTCGAAGAAGATCGATAAAATCAGAAGCATCGAGCGGAGACGGCAAAAATGATACAAATAAAGATCCAGCGAAGAATCGTTTACATGTGACTAGAAAAGCGGGAAAAAATGATGAAAAGGATAACTTGCCTGAAAATGAGACGATTACAATTTTGGATAAAGAGAAGGAGAAAAAGGTGCAATTTGAGATGGAGGATGATGAGAAACAGGTTGCATTCCCATTGTTGACGCAGAATGTGACTGCCAGCAAAACTGGACCCACTACTTTTATTATTAAGAATTTGAAACATTTTACGGAATATGCGGTATGGTTTTGAAAAATTGGAAATTTTAAAAATGAAAGAAATATTTTAGATCTCGGTATCTGCGTGTCAAGATGTTAATGTTCCTTTGAATTATTGCTCCCCGAGTTCGAAGGCGGCGAAAATGAAGAAAACTAGTCCGTTGAGTGAGTTATTAGCGTACTTAAGGGTTCATGGGGGAAAAAATTGACTTACACTAAATTTTTATCGTCTCACTTTTTGAATTTTCAAAATTTTATTTCGCACTCTGCTGAAAAATTGAGACAATTTTATGAGAATCAAGATATCGGTATGAAATTTACTCGAAAAAATGTCTAGAACTGGAGCCAAGTTACAGGGTTCCAGGGTTTGGAAAATCTACAGATTCGGCCACAAAACGAGGCTATAACTCGATTCAGAAAAGTTTTCAGGAAAATCAGATTTTTGGAAATTGATTACTGTAGTTGATTTATTGTTAGTGGAAATAATTCAAAATTTCGAAAAAATTGATCGGAAATTTTGCGCAAAATTGAATTTTTCAAACATCTTCCAAAAACCATGGTTGATTTTTTCCCTGATCTAATTCAAAAACAATTCTTTGCAGTGGACGTTGATCGAGTTCTAAATGAAACCATCAAAATCGACTATATGAACACGACATCCAAAGTTCGAATTACTTGGAAAACACCAAACAATTCGAACGGTGGAATCCTTGGATATTATGTTCATATGCGAAATTTGGCCGTCGACGCCTCACTTCAAACCGAATGCCAACCAGCTGTAGCAAATTGGACGTCTGAAATTGACGGAGTCATTTTCAAACACCCTCCAGATGGTGAATATAGTGTTGAGGTTATTGCATATTCGATGTATGCGCCGAGTGAGCCTGCGATTGCTCTGGAGAAGGTTGTGATTCATACGCCTGGTTTTTGGACTCTAAATGTAAGGAGTTGCTCTGAAAATAAAAATATAGCTAAAATTGGTTTTTCAGCGAATAATTGTTGCGGTTTTGATCATTTTGATTTTCCTACTCTTTGCTGGACTTATCACTTATAATATTATCAAAAAATATTATGGTAAAAAAGTCAAAGCAATGGCCGATTTCATGTCACATAATCCTGAATATGTAATTGAAGAAGTTTATAAGGAAGATGAATGGGAATTGCAAAGAGAAACATTGGAGTTATTGGAAGAAATTGGAATGGGAACATTTGGAAAGGTTTATCGTGGATTTGGCCATGATGTTGTATCGAATAATGGTTGTACCTTTGGTGAATGTGCGATTAAAACAGTTCAAGATAAGGCAAATGGACAGGAAAGGTTGCATTTCTTGTTGGAAGCGAATGTTATGAAGGGATTTAATGCGCCATTTATCGTCAAATTATTTGGAGTGGTTTCACGGGATCAACCAACACTTTGTGTTATGGAATTGATGGCCCTTGGAAATCTTCGGGATTATTTGCGGTCTCGCCGGCCGGGAGCTGAAGAGAACACGGAGAATTTGCCGGTTCCCTCAAAAGAACAATATCATGAATGGGCCTCGCAAATTGCTGATGGAATGGCTTATTTGGAATCGATTAAGTTTTGTCATCGAGATTTGGCGGCCAGAAATTGCATGGTGAGAGCGGATGAGACTGTGAAGATTGGGGATTTCGGAATGGCAAGAGATATTTATTATCATGATTATTATAAACCGACTGGGAAACGATTGATGCCTGTGAGGTGGATGGCGCCGGAATCATTGAAGGATGGTTAGTTTATTTTTTGGAAGGGGGGGAGGGTTGGAGTTTTGAATGGTATCTAACTTGAGCAATGCTCCAAAAATCCAGTTTTTTTTTAAAATTTTAATATGAGCAATGCTAAAATTGAGACTTTATCAAATTTACGTCTAATCTGAGCAAGCCTAATGCAAACTGAATTTTTAATTGAGCAATGCTCAAAAAATGTTGAATTTCCAGTTGAAATCAAAATTTTCAATGTTTAATATAAGCTGATTAATATGAACAATGCTCCAAAGATTCATTTTTCTCGATTTAGTTTTAATATGAGCAATTCTCAAATAATTTGGAAAAATTGAAAAGTTTTGCTCAAATTTACGTATAACCCGGCCAAGCATCAGAATTCTAATGAAAAATTAATATGAGCAATGCTCAAAAAATGTTGAATTTCCAGAATTTTAACGATTGCTCAGGTTAGATGTGGTTTTGAGCAAAAATTCAACGTTTATCGAAATATTGCTCATATTAAAATTCAATTTTAAACATAGAAAAATGAATTTTTGGAGCATTGCTCATGTTAGAGATTGATTTAAAGAAAAAGAAAAATCCTGAATTTCAAAAGGGAATTGAAATTTTTTTGGGTGTTGCTCATATTAAATTAAAATTATATTCTTATTGGGGTTTTGAGGGTTGCTCACAAGTTAAATGTATTTAGTTTTAAGCGAAAATGTCAGTTTTTTTGGAATTTTCAAACATTGCTCATATTATAAATTTAATTTTTAATTTAGAATAATTGATTTTTGAAGCATTGCTCATATTATAAATTTGAAAAAAGAGAAAATTTCCGAATTTCAACTCCTTTGCCTTGGGAACAATTCTGAGTTCTCCCAAAAAATGTTTGGGGAAGGTTATTTTCCTATTTGTTTCTTTTTCGATATCGAAACATTTGATCTTGTGATTATCAATATGAAAAAATAAAACAAAAAACAGTTCAAGGTTACACGTTTCATTTTCGCATGATATATTAAAGTATATACAGTTTAAAGCGGGTGAGATTAAAAGATCGTTGATCGCAAAATGTACAGAAATTAATATGCAGTTTGATGTCATTCAAATCAAATCATATTAAGTTCATTTCCGAGCCAAGATAAATCGTTTCCTTGTCCATTCATATTTCCATTTTGTTTCAAGTAAACTGGATAATTGTCAAGTCCGCTTGAATAATAAGTTCCATATAATTGACACGAAATCATTGAAATTAGGAACGAAAGAAGAATAAGAAGAGTTTGGAATGAGAACATTGTTGTTGGAAGTGTGTTTTTGTTAAATGATAGCCTTGTCTTCTTCTTATATAGAAGAATTGATATGCGAGAGAGAAGAGAGTTTAGAGAAAAATAGGGTTTTATTGTTTTTTTTTCGACTAGAATGTGATATTTGTACTTGATGTCAAACATTGTTGTTTTCGCAAAGATCTGAAAATAAATTGCGAAGTTGGACTTGAAGAGATCGAACAGCAGAGGATTGTTTTTAAATTTGACTGTTTTGCAGAGTTGTCACGTAGTTGAGGCTAGAGAACCTTGGTTTCTAGGAACCGCGTCTAGAAATCCACTCTGCCAAGAAGCGGCGCCTTGAGAGCTTTTTTTCTAGTAGTCGAGTCTAGAGAGCATCGTTTTCAAGTAGCCAAGTCTTGAGAACCTGATCGTCTAGGACTCACATCTAAAGGTCCACTCCTGGAAGCAGCGGCGCCTTGAGAGCTTATATCTCAAGTAGCCAACCATAGAAATCCTAGTTGCCAAGTAGTCGCAGCTAGAAAGTTCAAGCTTCAAGGGTCCGTCTCTAGAAAATCCTGTTCTCAAGCAGCCGAGGCTAGAAAACGTAATTGTCTAGGAGCCGTATCGAGAGATTCACTCTATGAAGGTGCCACACCTTCAGAGCTTCTATGTCAACTAGCCAACCCTAGAAATCCTGGTTGGCAAGTAGCCGTAGCTAGAAAGTTCAATCGTCAAGGATCATCACCTAGAAGGTGAAGTTGTCAAGTAGCCGCGCCTAAAGAGTTGAATTGACAAGGGTCAGTGCTTATTTCCTTCAAAATTTAGAAAATTAAAGTCTATCGGGATCTCGAAATAATTTTCTGAATTCTCTTAAATTTCGAATTACTCACGTGCATAATTCTTCTGGGATCATCAAACCAAGAAATGTCAAATCAGAACCGAAAACCTATGACGTAAAAAGACTGCGGCGCGACACTAGAAAGAAAATAGATGAAATAAAACTTAAGAACACACTACGTCATGAGATTTTTTACATTTTGTCCGCATTTTTTTTTAAATCTAGCTTATGAACAGCTTCTTCTGGTTTTTCGAAATGATTTCTCGATTTTTTCTCATGATTTGGTTTGTTCTTTTGATTTTTGTCTATCTTGTTTGATCTTTGAAATCAAAAGAATTTTAAAGAAATTGTATGTGACATCACGTAGTCAATGGGTGAGCCTGGGAAACAGTAGTCACCAATATTGCTATTGGGCTACCGTTTTTGGATTTGGGAATGGTAAGGGTGTATCCGAAGATACGGGGTCATGATCATCAGCTGCTCAGAAGAGCGAGAGTCCACTGAATGAGTCATGTACTATCCATACAAGTCTATTATGCTTCCTGCCCGCAGAATCATCGGCTGGAGATGATTGCAAGACAGCAGGTAATAGATATGCTGGGTCTAGTATAAGCTCCCTTTTCCCGTTTAGGCTAAACCAGGATTCCTCCTTAATGGTGCACCCGTCGTACCCAAGGGTAACTAAGTGCACCGGAGTTGCCCACCCGAACCTCACGGTATCTTTGGCTGATCTTAGGTCTGTTGTACACGTATCGTCTTGTGATGGTTAGATTCACTTCAGATACTTTCCAGGTTTGTGCCTGAACTAAGGCGTGCAGTCTTAGGCTGTTTAGTTCAGCTCAAGAAGAGCTGGCTTGGTCTGTTTCTTTTGGGCTGTTTTAGGCTGGGCTGGTGTATAGGGGTTTTTATTCCCTATGTATTTATCTCCAAATATGTGCTGCCAGTATATGTTCTTGCTGTATTCTAATACTGAGGCTAGCAGATCTGGTTTCAGGTTTCGAATTGTTCCTCTTCCGAGGCCCATTTCTAGGAGCGAATCTGTGCTGGGCTTATACCATGTTCCGAGTGATCCTACTATTATTGGTAGAACCACTGCTTTCTTGCCAAGTCTGGCATAATACTCGACAAGATGCTGATATTTGTCTATCTTTTCTTTCCAGGCTGTTTCTAATGGGGCTATGCCGTTTTCGTAAGTTATTCTTACATCGGCTAGGATTATCTGTCTTCCATCCAGAGACTCCATCTGGATGTCTGGTCTATCTTCGCCAGGCCCAGCTCGCCTGTCGATCTTAAGCTTCCAGTTCTTTTTAGAACCTTTTTCTATGGCTTCCTTTACAGAGTAAAGGACATGATTGTGTCTGTCTGTTATACCCTTCCCAAGCGCATAGTGGCACGTTTGGAGGATATGAATCTGGGTTTCTTTTTCTGCTGGGCATCTTCTACATCCTTTCGGATTGGTCTTATCATAAGTGTTGTTGTTACATGAGAGCAGATTTAGGCGTGCTCTATGAACAAATTTATGGGCTGAGATGCTGACTTTTCCTCCGGTTCTAACGAAGGCGTTTGATCTGGGTTCTTGTTGGATGACTTGCACCACTTTGCTTTTGACTTCTTTTTCTGTTGTGAATCTGTGGAGCAAAGCTTCCAACACTTGGGCTTTTAGGGTCTGTTGCAATTTCTTAAGATTATTTTCTGTGACGATAACGGGTTCGCTATCTGCTGTGGCTTGAATCTTAATGGCTAGCTTTTGGTCTACGGCTGTGAACTCCAACAAGTGGAGTGGTGAGTCTTTAAGCTTGGATAGGGATTTACAGATGTCGCGTACTCTGGTGAATACGCTAAATCCGAAGGCTTTCTTGTTTATCTGGGTTTTATTGCTGAGATAGTCAGCAATTTGGTCTATATTCATATTTTCTGTTCCGGTTTCTTTTTCTGCGACTTCTTGGAGGAAGTCTGAATAGATTTTCTGGATATACGGGTCTTTAGCCCAGATTTTCTTCATAGTCGAGACTAAGAATCCAATCAAGGCTGTTATTCTGGGGCATTGGACACCAAGTCCACCCTTCGAGATAGGGATTTGGATATATTCTAGGGGCGAACCTCGGATTGGGATGCTATGCATTGTCTTAACGGCTTTCATAACCATGTTACTGAATTCACGCAGCTCACTAAGCTTAGGGGTTGCGTTAGCATACATGTATGTCAGTTTAGGCAGTATAAAGCATTTGATACAGTCTAGTTTTTGCCATGGGGCGAGCTGACTTGTAAGAACAAGTTCTATGTCTTTTAGAGCACTGGAGAGTAGCTCCATTTCTGAGATGCGGTTTTGGCTTCCGGTCTCGATACCTAAGTATTTATAGGTACCGGTCTCGTTTAATGTTCTAATTGGCTGTCCCTTCAGATGAAGGGGTCTTTGTTTCAATTTCCCTTCAGAAATTGTAAGGCTGGCGCACTTTGAGGGCTTGAAGATTAGATTTAGGCTAGTACAATCTTTGTCCAAGTCCTCAAGTTCTTTCTGGAGCTGGTTTGGGCTATTGGCTAAAATAGCCATATCATCTGCGAAGGCAAGGGTCTTAATGTTGGTCTTGAGGCATTTATGTCCTCGGGCTTTTTTCAAGTGTCTACGAATGACAAGTTCTAGACACATGTTGAAGAGCGTTGGGGAGATTGGATCTCCCTGTTTGACACCTGATTTAATCAGGATTGGGCTGGTCGTTTCTGTCTTGGTTCGTACTCGGATGCAGGCACCGTCGTACATGTCTGATACAATTTCTATAAGCTCTTCGGGAAATCCAAAGGCTTTTAGGGCTTGTCTGATGAGTTCGTGAGGAACTGAGCCAAATGCGTTGGTTAGATCTAACCAGGCAATGCTCACATTTCCTCCGCTTCCTTTGGCTGAGTCTATGGCTGTTCTGAGGATTCCTATGCTTTCGTTGCTTCCGTCTCTTTCTTGGAAGCCACGTTGGCATTTGCTCATGATCCCGCCTACGGATCTAATTCGGCGGTTCCACAAGCTGCTGTACAGTTTGTAGATAGTTGGCATTAGGCTAATGGGTCGCCAATTATCTGGTTTAGCTGGGTCTGAATTCGCACCTTTATAGATGAGAATTGTTTCTGCTTCTTTCCAGTTTCCTGGGATCTTTTTCTGTTCTTTACAAGCATTGTATAACTTGCAGAGAAGGGTGTGATCTGGGTCAAACCATTGTAGATGATGATAATGAACACCATCTACTCCGGGCTTTGTGTCTTTGGTGGCTTTTAGGGCGTTTTTGATCTCTGAAGGTCTAAATTCTTCAACTATGCTTGGATTTATGTTGGTTTTAGGGACTTCAGAGCTCATTTCTGTTAATATTTCTTGCGAAACATTAGTTTCTTGGGTTGTCTTGTTGAAATGGCTTTCAACGGTCGCGATTGGAATTTCGCATTGCTTTGATTCTTTTCTGGTTATTTTGCAATATGTCTTAGATCTATTTTTGGCATATTGCGCCATAATGTGGTCTTCTTCCACTGGGGAAGTCTGGTGGCTTGGCTTTGGTGGTCTAATGTGTTTGGGCTTTTCTGTTTGGGTGCACATGTCACCAGCTGATCTTTCTGGTGGTGGGCATCGCTTAACAATCTTGCCGATTGCTTCTGTGTCGCCTACCGAAGCTTGGTGAATAGAAGCTGCCAAGGCATCTGCTATCCATTCCAATCTTTGGAAGGACTTTCCATCTTTTTCATAGTCATCCATTTGTCTGGTAAACCAAACTCTGACTTGATCTATGAGTTCTTCGGGTTTCCCCTTGAGCTTTTTCTGGATCTTAATAGGCTGGGTTCGAGATTTCCGGGCTTGTCTTCTGGATTGTGGCTGCTCGAGAAAAGCTGGCTTTTCAAGAATCTTATCCATAAGACCTGGAATCTCTGGTTTTGGGCTATCCAAAGTAGCATCAGCTACTTCTTCAGAGGCTGTTTCATTTAGTAATTCATCTTCTCTGGAGGGAGATTCAGAATCACTGTCTAAGAGAGTTAGATCCTGGGTTATATCCAATTCTGGATATTCAGGATCTTGGCTGATTTCTGGTTCTGGTTCTGGTTCTGGAAGTTCAACTTCCATGATCTGGTTATCTATCTTTTCTTCAAACAAAGAATATTTGTTCGAGTTTCTGAGCTTTGTGAGCATATTGAGTCTGAACATACAAATGTCAGCTTCCGTATACCACACGTCTTCTGTCATTATGCATTTTGCCATAAGGCACACGTGAACTCCGCAGTTGTACGTGTCTTTTTGTCTGGGTGGGCTAGTTTTATGATAAAGTCTGTCGCCTTTCAAGAATTTCGAGAATTCGAGAATCTTTCGGGGCATTGTTCTGTCTGGTCCCAATGGATCTAAAAAGTACCAACCCCGAGAGGAAGACACAATTAGGACCCAATGAGAGTGCTCACATATTGGGAAAATATGTGTTCTTTCATTGCTCATGATTCCAGTGATGAATCGGGCTCCCTCTTCAACACTATCTTTACAATAATGCCAAAGCAGGGGATCCACCACTGAAAATCTAGGGTGTTCTTTGGCTTGATCTTCAATAAATCTGGTTAAAATATCTGAATCTAACCACGCTTCGTTTCCGAATTCATGAGTTAAGCTCCAGATATTCAGTCTATTTTTAGCTGGTTCTTTGTCTTCCTCAAGAGTTACAATTTCAGGTTCAATTTTGCTAGTTTTCTTGATTCCTTCGTTGTTTTTCTCTTTTGGTCTTTGATCTTTGATTTTCTCTCCCCCTTCTTCTTTCTTGGCTGGCTGCCAAGAAAGGGAAAGGGACGCTCTCTTTGTTTGTTTAACCTGGCGGCACCTTTCATCTTCCTCTTTTGTTTGTTTAGCAGAGGCCGAGGAAGAAGAAAGGCGTTTGTAGTCTGGTTTATCGATCGAAGATCTGCTAGCCGGAATAACTCCTTGATTACGGATAGGAATTGAAGGGGCAAGAGAACTTCGAACGATGGGCTTGGCTGATGAAAAGATAGGAGCAAGGCTCCTTCTTGGGCTTTTGGTTTCTATCGCAGAAGAGGCTTCTTCTTTGATAGATTTTAGGCTTTTTGGTTTAGATATGCTGAGACGGGGATTTAGATCTGGTTTTGGTTCCTTTGAGGCACTAAGCTGCTTGGATACAGATCTGGTTTGAGGTCTGATCAGCTGGGCCTTTTCAGGGGTTTTCTTGGTCTTTCTGGTTAGCGCTAGAGAAGGGGCAGCTTCTCTAAACGACTTTTCTATGTTATCTCTTGTTGACAAGGTTTTAGGCTTGTCAACGTCTGCTGAATGGCTGGATAAAAAAAACGATAAAAGTGTTTTGATTTTGGGTATGTATGTAGGTATATAAGAAGAAATAGGAATGAATAACAATCCGTACTCAAACATGTATTCATTCCAAACTCTTCTTCTTATTCTTCTTTCGATTCTTATCCAAATGAGTTCTTGTCAATATTATGGAACTTATTATTCGGGTGGTTTGGATAATTATCCATTGTATTTGGGACATCAAACTGGAAACTCTTATGGAAATTCGTATCTGGGAAATGAATTGGCTGGAATTTATCTGTTTTGTAATGGAATTGGTTGTCCTGGAAGAGGATAACAAATATATTTGTTGATTTTTGTGTTAAATTATTTGAAATGTATATTTATTTTGAAAAATATTGTTATCTGAGTGAAAAGGAATTAATAAAATAAATTTTGAACTTTGAATTTATACAAGAAATGCTAGAAGGTTCACAGATTCTTTTTAGATCATTCTAACAATTTTTGATTTCAAAGAATTCCAGCCAAATCTCCTCATTTTTTCTTGGTAAAGGCGGTGATCCTTGATAGTTAAAGTTTCTCGGTGCAACTACTTGAAAACTAGGATCTCTAGGCGCGACTACTTGCCAGAGTGGATCTCAAGGCGCTGATCCTTGAGAACCACACATACTAGGTGCCGTTCCTTGTCGATTGAGATTTCTAGGCTCAGCTACTTGATAACTAGGCTCTTTAGACTAGTCTCTAGTGATCTTTGAAATTTGGAATTGAAAATACATTTTAAGACCTAGGTTCATTTATTTCGTAATAAAAATTCCTGTAACTTGTACTGTTGACTCAACTGAACTTAAAAAAGGTCAAAGTGAGATCGTTATCATAAAATTGAATAATTAAATGTCTCTATTGAATTTTGGTCGACCAAGGTTATTTTTCCAGGTCGATTCGATTCGAAATCAGATTGTTGGTCTTATGGAATTGTTTTGTATGAAATGTTAACCCTCGGACAACAACCATATCAAGGATTAGCCAATGATGAAGTTCTAAACTATATCGAATTATCCCGGAAAATTCTCGACAAACCACTAGAATGTCCAGAATACTGGTACAAAGTGATGAAAATGTGCTGGAGATATCATCCAAGAGATCGACCAAGTTTCGCACAAATTGTTCATATGTTATTGCCACACGCCAGCGATGAATTCCGCGATATTTCATATGTTTGCAATAGTGATTTGCATATTGAAGATGCTGAAACTGATGATGAAGATGAGCATACGGATGAAGACGAAGCTGATTATGTGGCTGAACCAGGAACAATGGCAGCGGCAGCGAGAATGAGAACTGACTCAATTCCAATGAAAGAAATTCGACCGTGTTCGAGTAGAAGTAGCTCAAGTCATTCGTCATTATTTATGCGAGATTCGAGGAAAAATTCGATGAAAAGTTTGATGAATAACAGTAATTTAAGGTTGGTTAGAGACTTCTGAAGATAAAGCAAAAATTGAATATTTTTTTAGGCTTCATTCACATCGACATAATAGTTTGGATCGAATGAGTGGACCGAATTCATATCAGCCATTATCGAATAATCCACTTGGAGTTGCGAATGATCATTTTGAAAGTGGGGATTATGTGGAGAAAGATGTTGGGATGGAAGAAATTCCGAAGGTAGGATTTTCAGCAAAAATTTCAGCTAGAAAAATCATTTTTCTCTCAAAAAGGACTCGAATTCAAATTAGAGCTCAAATTAATGAAATGTTTGAAAAAAAAATTGCTCATCTTAAAATTTTAATCAAATTGAATTCACCTCGAAATTCCAAAAATTTGAAAATAAAACATCTCAAAAAATACTTTCAGAAATTCATCCCAAAATCAGTTTCTGGTCAAATCGAAAGTCAACCAACACCACCTACAAATAATCAGACAAACAATAAAAATTCGCCAAAATCCAACATTGAAAATGAGGATGGATATTGTATGTCAAATCGAAATGGAACTATGGATTTTCGAAATAATTGGGGAGGCGAAGGAGATCGATTGACACATCGAAATGGAACCAAATAATGTTTTGGCCACTTGTGAATATTTTATTTTTACATATCTTTTATTGGTAATTTTTAAAAACACATCACGGGTTGATTTTTTTCTTTGAAAATTTGAGCAAAAACGTACGATTCGACAAATATCATAGATATGCTTTCATTACATTTATTTTATATTTTTACTATTATTTATCTTGGCGGGTTTGATCTTTTTTAAATTGATTGACCTAAAAAAAACATATTTTATATCATAAAATGTATGTTAAATAATAATACTTTGTACTTTTAATAAATCTTTATACTTTAAAGGGTTATTAAAATTTGAAAAAAAACACTGTTCTCATAGTTACAGTACTCAACTTATTTGGTTTTCTAGACATAATTACGGTAATTCTGGTTTCCTTCCACGCAAAAAACGTGAAATCCCGAAATCGCTGCGAGAAAATAATGTCCGCTTTGATTTTCCCGATTTTCAGCCTATAACTTCCTTAAGAATGAGTTTCAGAAAAATTTCAATAGCTCATCTGATTCATCTCAACGAGACGAATCAGATGGTATATTCAGAATTTCCTGAAAATGCCTCCAACATGCTGAAAAGGCTCGCCCGCGCTGAAATTCTCTCTAGTGTGTAAACACGGTGACGCACAACTGCACAAATTTGCGCACCGTAGTAGAAAATTTTATTTTTTTATTTTTCACCTCCAAACTTCAGGGATTTCTTCTTCTTCTCCTGATAAATTCAAATATTCTTATTTTTATTCCAAATAGCCGTTCTCATTCTCTTTTCTCTTTTCAATTTCTTGTGCCCACATCACATCACGTGCCTATTTTGCTCTGCGTCTCTTCTCTATTCAAACATATTTCTGTTGTTTTTTTTCTGTTCGCATTGACCTTCGAAGTGGCTGTTTTTTTATTTTAAAAATGTCTTTTTTCAAAATGCAGCTCAGATGACAGAATATGATTATGACAAAGAATATCATGAGATTGGAAACTATAATATATCCCGAAAGCAGTATGTAAGGTTAGTTGTTTTTTTTTTCAAAAAATTGTGTTATATCAAGTTTTTTTCAGACAATGCAAAGAAGCAAAATTAAAGCAAATGTCTGCAGAAGAAAACTTTGTGAAGAATGTTCCGCTCGGTCGAACTTATTATATATTTTCGCTTGAAACTGTTGAAAATCCTGATCATCTCATAAAAAGAACAATTGTTATTGATGGAGCAAATATAATGCATTGTGGATCAGATTTTCGAGATAACCGATACAACACTGCGAAAGTCCAATATATTCCAGATGTTATGGCTTTGCTAGCAGTTTGTCGATATTTTGTTGCCTACAATTTTGAAGTGATTTGTGTAATTAGTCAAAAGTATTATATGGCAAATACGACGAATTATAAAACTGCTATCGATGTTTGTTTCTCAATGTTTTTCCAATAGATTTGTTAGAATTTCAGGAACTTGTGGAGATGAAAATCTGTGTTGTTGCAAATCAGACAAATTTGGATGACTGTCTTGCGCTAGAAGTTGCAGCAACGTTGAACGGCGTTGTTGTGACTTCCGATTTATTCAGAGATCATCAGAATACACATAGATATCAGAATATGGTTGAAATGCATCGGTTGGGTATTGAATGGAAGGATGTTCAAGATGCTGAGAAATTTACTCGTACGAGGGATGGGCATTTTGTCGCCAATAAATTGTTTGATTTCAAAATGCTGAGCGGAATGCTTTATCGAGATAATAAAGGTGGGGAAATAATTAGTTATGCGAAAAATATTGAAATTCAGAACTTTATGAAGTGTTATATTCGAATCCGGAAACTGATAGAAGATTTGAGATCTCATACCATCATCGAAATCGAAATTGGTCTGAAAATAGGAGAGCTGAAGTTTTGGAAGTTTTGAATCGATTAATTGTTGATGGAATTGAGATTTGTCCAGAAAATCAGCGAAGAATTCAGCAAGAACCAATGTAAGTTATTTTCTATTTTGAAAAAAAATGAATAGAATTTTTTGCAGTCATCAACCGAAAGTTCCCGTAAATGAATTTGAAGATGAAGATGATGATGAGGAGGAATGGTGAAATGAACTTGAATAATTTTTGTAAATTTTGTTAAATAAATTTTTATTGTTGAGTTCAAATCCGAAAGAATTACAGACGTTTAAAGCGGCTCTGAAATTATCTTTGAAAAATTTTCATTATTTTTTTGCAGGAAAAACAAGAATTTTCAGATGAGTTCATTAGTTTCGCAATTAGATTCGTTTGGAGAATGGACCGATTTTTCGGTTTTCATTGAGGTTTGTTCTTTAATTTGTTGAAAAACTAAGATCAATTTGAAAATCGGTTTCAGATGAAACCTAGAAGTGATTTAGCATCATTGTTTGTTGATGTTCCGCCGGGATTTCGGGAGAAAGAGGAGCAAAAAAGTGGAGGAGATGAGGGAGGGAGTGGAGATGCAGAGAAAAAGAAGATGTGAGTTAGATTTTCGAATTTCAGCACCAAGGAATTCGCTCAATCATAGGAGATTCAATTTGAGACTGTTCAGAAAATCTTGAAATTCAAAAAAGCTTTCGAAATTTTTTTTTCATCAGAAAATTCGGCGATTTTTAATAACAATTCATAAAATTTCGTTTCTCAGCTATTTTCTTTTTTTTTTGGAAAACCGGAGAATTGAATTATAGTTGGACATCGACTAAATGGCATTTTCAGGTTTTTTAAGCAACTGAGTTAAAATATTGGATTTTGATCGTCATCATATGATAGAATGGTTTAAGACGAACATAATGATATAAATTTTGATGACTTCACGTCACCCATAAGTGATTTAGCGACGTTTAGTCAATTGACTCGGCTTGTCGACTAAATATCGACTAAACGTCGCTAAATCACTTATGGGTAACCTAAAGTCATCAAAATTTATATCATTTTGTTTGTCTTAGACCTTTCTATCATATGAATACGATTGAAATCCAATATTTTAACTCAGTTGCTAAAAAAACCTGAAAATGTCATTTAGTCGATGCCCAACTATAAATTGAATTTTCCTTGAAAACCCGGGAAATTTCCCGCACAACTCTGTTTTACATAATCAAAACTCTTATTTCTTATTTTCTAGAAAATACGAAGATATTAATGTGATCAATGTCACCGAAACAAAAATCTGCATCGGTGCTCCGCCTTCCGCCGAAACTCTTCACAAAAATCACAAAGAAGCTGTTCAAAAATCCAACAACAACGCCGCACAATCCAAACCGGTCGCTATAAATAATAAGAAGAATCGTGAGCGTAGTACTAGTGGAAGTGATAAGGGAAGTAGCAGCTGTTCGCCGAAATCCGGGCCGACAACGCCAACCAAAAAATCGGGAAAGAAGAAGAATGGGTGAGAAAATTTTTTAAAATTTTCGAAAATGAAAAACTTAAATTTTTTCAGAACATCTACAACTCCAGTTGTGAAATTCGATCGCTACGGTGTAACTTTGAAAAATGCGACAATAAATACAAAATCATTGTCATCTCCAACTTGGTCTGACGCAAGTCCACGTCTTTTTATGTGCAAAGTTCAAATCGAGCCGGATAATCTGCCATTGGTTCAAAAAACTCTTCATCGATTGGCTGTGGATATTTGTAAAATTGAAAAATTGGAAGAATTTGCGCAAAGGGGAAATCCACGCTTGAAATGCTCGAAATGTCAAATGGAATTGTTAAGTGATGAATATATGTAGGTTTTTAAATATAATTAATGTTGAGGTCATAAATTTCTTTTTAGAATGACGATTGGATGTTTGCCAGATGATGATTGGTTGACAACATCGCAATCTGCTGATTTTTACTGTCGAGATAGTTGTGGAGCTGCTTGTGATCCAAATCGACACAATCACGCGAATAATTCGAATGTGGAAAATCGGGCGGATTCGAAATGGCTACCGCATGAAAAACGGATTATGATTAGTTTTGCGAATACGGTTGCTCACAAGACTGTGGGTTTTTTGGAACTTTAATTTGAAAATTTGTTAAGCCTGTTACGCCTAAAAGCCTTCAGAACCCAAAAAAGCCAGAAAATCAGAGAAAAACTACAAAAATGGTTCAAAATACAGTAGCCAAACTGTAAAAAAATTAAAAATTAATCTCAATTATCTCGAAAAAGTGCTAGAATTCCAGATTTTTGCAGTCTGATTACTGTAGATGATCCAAGCCATTTTTTGCTTAAGAATCTTAATATTAGGCTCATTTTGGCCCTAAAAAGCACTACTTCCTTTTTTTATCAAAAAATTTCTGAAAATGAAAAATGAAAAATTTTCAAATGTAAAATTTTAACTGATTTTTCTACTGATAAAAACTACAAAACTACAGTAGACAAACTACAAAAATGGTTCAAAATACAGTATCCAAACTGCAAAAAAAGTAAAAATTCATCTCAAATATCTCGAAAAAGTGCTAGAATTCCAGATTTTTGCAGTTTGATTACTGTAAATTTGAAATTTCTAGAAATGAATATATTTTTCACGTGAACGTTTTTCTTGCCATCATTTTTATCAAATTTAAAAATCTAAATTCATTTCTAATTTTTAAAAATTCAGAATTTCCTGAATTTCCTCTGATTTTTTCAGAGCATAATTCCCGATTCGATCATCGTCGATGACAAGTTTTTGATCTGCGCTGGATGCAAATCGCAACTTGGAAGAGTTCAGAAAAGTGAGCTTCACTCTTCTTTTTCTCAAATTTTCTATCAATCAATAATTTTTCAGATCATGCTGATCTCTATAGCTTCAATCATATTTCGGCGACCTTGACTTCAGGAATCCCGAAAAAACTTCAATTTATCGAGAAAGAGTGAGATTTCTAATTTCTAAAATAAAAATAATTAATTCATGATGATTTTTGCAGCTTCTTCTCACAATCTGTCTATTTGTCGCAACTGATTTTGAATTCTTGTGAAGCGCAGGGAAGTTTGAAGTTGGTTTTGAGATCGTTGGACAAAACTCCGTATATGTTGGTTAGTTTTTCTCGCTGATGTTTCAAAAATATAATTTTTAAAAAAAATTTTGTTTTTAGATTTGGCTGCTCGATTCCTATGTCGTAATTGCGAATGGTGAAATGGATGGATTGAAAAATGAAGAAGAATCTGGAAATTATTTGACCCCTTATCCATCGATTAAATTGTTGTATAAAGTGTTCAATGATCAAACTGCGGGAAGGTGAGATTTTGAACCTTAAAATAATGTTAGAGCCTATAATATTTAAAATAAGTCACCTTATCTACACAAAATATTGGAGTTACCCCAAAAATTTCCTGAAATTCGATTGAAATAGATCTAAAATATTCAAAAAAGGGACTAAAATCAACGAAATTCAACGCAAAACCGAGAGATTTAGAGAAATAATTCTAATGAAATTTAATTCTCCAAAGAAAAAATGAATGCTAAAGACAAAAGTTCAATTTCCAAAATTTTCCAGTGATCCCCGCGCAAATGGCGAAGACACATCAGTCGGTCTTGTCGATCTTCCACTCGGCTGCTGTCAATATCTCATCGAAATGCTTCTTCGCAGCTCTTTGAAACTTCCACCAGCTTGCCGTGCGGTTGGCCAATTCTTTGTCGGATTCTTGCAAATTGATGATCATATTTGATCTAGAAGCCTAATTGTTAGCTGTAAATATTTCTTCTTTCCTCCCTTTTTTCTTTAAATATATTTACTACACATTTTTTCGTTAGCTTTTCTGTTCTGTAAATAATTCTATTTTTCTCTATTCGGGCATCTTTTGTTAGTTGAAATTTTTTGATTACTGGAATACATAAATTGTGGGTTTTTGGTACAATTTTGAATGTTTTTCAATGTTTGAGTTCATATTTATATTTTGTTGGATTCCAAACTCGGAAATGTTTTGTTAAGTTAGCTGAAATGGTTGAGTGGACAGTGCAAAAAGTGATAAAATGCTTGAAACTTGTGGTTCCTAAGGAAGTAGGTTTCAATTTTTTGAAAGCAAAAAAATATATATAAAATGAATTTTCAGAGATTACCGAAATTTTCGATGGAAGAATTCGATAGTTTCAAAAAGTATGGATTATTTGATGAAACTGATATCATCAAACAAATTTTGGAAATAATTTATAAAAAATCACCAAAAACAATGGAAATGAATGGAAGTGTTGAAGATGTTGTGAAAGAAATTTTGGAAATTGAAAGAGTTCCAATGTTGCACAGCTTTTCGGATGATGTGTTCGAATATTCGGAGGATTTTATTCTTGGACAATTTGCTGGATTAGAAGTATTTGTGAACCAAATAGTTCCACCAGCTACAAATAATTTTGATGCGCTTATGCAGAAACAAATTCTGATTTCGAAAACTGATCTATTGATTTATTTTTATCGAGCATTTGAAATCTCAAAAATGAGTGAAATTGGTGGATATTTAGCGAAACATTGGTTGCTTGCCTTCATGAATGAACGATATAAGGACTTGAGGAATAGCTACGAGTTACTTGTTGAAGGATTATGGAATCCGTTGAGAACACTTATAAAGAATTTGATGAATTCGGATTTTGTGAGTTGTTGTTCATGTTCAATTAATTTCAAAAAGATTCTAGGCAAACGACATGATGGATGATGAGTGCCCTGTTAATATGGAGTGTATTATTGGTTTTTTACAAGACGAGGAAGTTGGTAAAAAATATCCGAAAATTATTGAAAAATCTAAAAGTTTTCTCAGTGAACAAGCTAAGGTATTTGAGTTTATTTGAAATTTAAATATGAAAAAATATTATTTTAATTCAGAAAAATCCAAAAAATATCGATACATTATATCGTAATGGAATGAAGGAACTTCTACAAATTTTTTTCACAATAAAACGCGTTTATGAAAGCTACAAAGATATTTTCAGTCCATTCCCGAAGGGTGGACCTATTTCGGAACATCAAGTTCCATTTATTCGAGTTTTCCATGATATCAAGCCTTTTGTTTTTTCAAAGGAATTTGAAAATGCTTTGAGAGTTGTTATGAAGAATCGTTTTCCGAACAAAACATTTCCTGAAGGTTTGATTCAAATTGAAAGCGAAGAAGATAGAAAATTAGGAATTGTATATATTATTGATATTGAAAAAGTTGAGAAAATTTTGAAAATTGTTGGATTGCAAATTAGCGACTTTTGTGTGAGTTTCAAAGTTTTTTTCTCAAATTCAAAAATATTATTTCGGTTTTTCAGATTGTTAACAAGTCTATTCCTCGAAATTTCGAAGCAATTAGTTTTCCAACAATTTCTCCATACGGAACTTATTGCAAATTGGTACCATACGCATTTCAACAAATCTCACACTATGTTTTATCGGTTTTACAAGCTTTCAAAGATGCCGACGAGCGCAAATTTTTGGAAATTACAAAAATTATTGAAGCAAATGTTGAACATGTATTTTGTCAACGGGTTATTTTTTTTTGATTTTCAGAAATACAAAAAAATAAGTGTTTTCAGAAGTCTGGATACTGTGTTGAAACTTGGAAAATTGAGGAACTTTGCGATAAATTGCGTTGGGAACTCCGTAAATATATACCATATGTAAATTTCGAAATTGAGAGGAAACCGAATTATGGGAAAAAGGAAATTGTCAAAATAATTCGGGAATTGTCAAAACCACTGGTTTTTAAAGAAGAAATCATTGAAGCTTACTATAGCAAGGAAATTGCCCGTTCTAATGGAATTAGATATCATCACATTTTTTTGTTCTATAATATGTCCATTTACGAGAAAATGATTCCATTTATCTACCAACTTTTCGGTTTAGCTGAAAACTCTGCAAAAGTTGTGCCGAAAAATGTAGAAGTCAAAGAATTTTCGACGATGAAAAAAGGATTTTTGATTCAAAAACCGAGTGCTACTGTGAAAGAGAAGAATGGAAAAGAGAATGTTGAAAAAAAGCAGGAGAAAGCTGATCCGAAATTAGAAGAAATGAAGAAGCATATGATTGAAAATGATGAAAAATCCAAAACTGAAATCAAGAAATTGCAAGAGAAGTTGAGGGAATTGAACGAAAAATGCGAATCTACACAGGGACTTTTGAAAGATAGAGAAGATGATGTAAACAATTGGAAAAATAAGTTTGAGATATGCGAAGCTGATTTGAAAAAGGTGAATCTAGAAAATCTTCTAAAAATAATTAGAATATTTCAGATCTCAACAGGAAAAGGAAGAAAAAGACGAACAGATTTTGAAACTTCAAACAGAAATTGAACAGTGAGAAAACTATTCATCTGATTAGTAAAAATAATGTAAATTTTAGATTGAAAGAATTGAGTGAAGAAAAGATCCGAAAATTGGAAGAAGAGCACAGAAATGAAGTGGAACGGTATTATTTTTAAAGATTTTTTTGAGTTAAAATCACCAATTTTTTCAGCTGTCGAAATGAGAACCAAAATCTGATGGAGAATTTTGAAAAGCTGAAAATCGAGAAAAAGAAGTGAGTTGTTTCAAATTCAAATTCAAAAAAAAACATATTATATTTAGGATCGCTGAAAATGCTAGACTTCAATCAAGAACTTCTGAAGACTCGTTTAATCATCAAGCATTTGAACAATGGTTTATGACAGGCTACAAATTGCTCGAGAAAAATAAACGAAACCCAAAAGTCGCGGAAAGATTGGAAAAGTATCGAAGATTGCTGGAAATTGATTATGATGATCTTATTGACACATTGAGTTCACAATTGAATCGACTCATTTTATCGCATCCAAATTCTGCGGAAATTAAGCTAATTAGAACTCAAGTTTCTGATTTTGATGAGCAACTTGATGATTATATCAAGAATATTAGAAAGGAGATCAAGAAATTACGAGAGAATACGAATGCGAATCCGAATGAACAATTGGGAGAAGAGATCGAACAGTTTCCGAATGATCGATTTTTGAAGATTTATAGAAAATGGGTGAAAAATGATGATCTTGAAAAATTGTTATGTGCATAAAGCTTTAATTGCAGTAAAAAACTTTATTTTGTTTTGATACTTATGGATTGTACTCAATTGGCAAGTTCTTTCTACGAACCATACCGTCTCCTTGGAACCATTCACGACGGAATTGTTTGGCAGCACCGTCTGGTGTGTTGGTCCATTCAACAGTAATACGATCGTTGTTGGTGTCTTCTTGACCATAGGCGAAAGCATCACACGAGACAGCCAAAAGCACAGCTTCTTTTGGGTCCAAAACACCGCATGGTGGATCGACTCCGAGTCTCTTCATGTTGGTTGTCTTGATACCATAACCAATACGACGAGCTGATGAGTTGATCACCTTGATGTGGTAGGTGTGCTTGTCGTCGTATGGAGCATTGAAGACGATCTTGGCGTTTGGTTGAGTTTGGATATCTCCTGGTGGGACAGATTGGGCCATTTTTGAAGTGGATGATTTTATGACCTTCGGGGTGCGCTTTTATAGCATAAAGATAAGATCTCTACGTGTCGATGTGACGTGGAATATGTGGGTACACGTTTTAATTTTAATATTTTTTTGAGATTTTTTTCATTTCTAATTTTTTTCTGATAAATAAATGGGCAGAAACTGAATGGGTACGGCTGAAAGGGTGCGCACCCTTTTTAAAAAGGGGCCGAAGGGGCAAAATCGAAAAAGGGGCCGGAGGGGCAAAATAAAAAGACTGAAAGGGGCAATCAAAAAAAAAGGGGCCCACAATATTTCTTGCGATATTCTGAAAGGGTGCGGCCCCTTTTTTGAAAACGGGCAATTTTTGAAGGATTTTCGAAAAATGTCTGGGGAAGTTTTCGACTAAAGCGAATATGATGGGATGACTGAAATTTTGAGAATTTCAGATTTTCAGCTAGAAACACGTGAAAATCATTTTTTCGGAAATTTCTAGTTTTTTTGCTACAAATGTTTTCAGACATGCTGAAAACGATGGGATGACTGAAATTTTGAGAATTTCAGATTTTCAGCTAGAAACACGTGAAAATCATTTTTTTCGGAAATTTCTAGTTTTTTTGCTACAAATGTTTTCAGACATGCTGAAAACGATGGGATGACTGAAATTTTGAGAATTTCAGATTTTCAGCTAGAAACACGTGAAAATCATTTTTTTTCGGAAATTTCTAGTTTTTTTGCTAAAAATGTTTTCAGACATGCTAAAAGCGATGGGATAACTGAAATTTTGAGAATTTCAGATTTTCAGCTAGAAACACGTGAAAATCATTTTTTTTCGGAAATTTCTAGTTTTTTTGCTACAAATGTTTTCAGACATGCTGAAAACGATGGGATGACTGAAATTTTGAGAATTTCAGATTTTCAGCTAGAACTACGTGAAAATCATTTTTTTTCGGAAATTTCTAGTTTTTTTGCTAAAAATGTTTTCAGACATGCTAAAAGCGATGGGATAACTGAAATTTTGAGAATTTCAGATTTTCAGCTAGAAACACGTGAAAATCATTTTTTTTCGGAAATTTCTAGTTTTTTTGCTACAAATGTTTTCAGACATGCTGAAAACGATGGGATAACTGAAATTTTGAGAATTTCAGATTTTCAGCTAGAAACACGTGAAAATCATTTTTTCGGAAATTTCTAGTTTTTTTGCTACAAATGTTTTCAGACATGCTGAAAACGATGGGATGACTGAAATTTTGAGAATTTCAGATTTTCAGCTAGAACTACGTGAAAATCATTTTTTTTCGGAAATTTCTAGTTTTTTTGCTAAAAATGTTTTCAGACATGCTAAAAGCGATGGGATAACTGAAATTTTGAGAATTTCAGATTTTCAGCTAGAAACACGTGAAAATCATTTTTTCGGAAATTTCTAGTTTTTTTGCTACAAATGTTTTCAGACATGCTGAAAACGATGGGATGACTGAAATTTTGAGAATTTCAGATTTTCAGCTAGAAACACGTGAAAATCATTTTTTTTCGGAAATTTCTAGTTTTTTTGCTAAAAATGTTTTCAGACATGCTAAAAGCGATGGGATAACTGAAATTTTGAGAATTTCAGATTTTCAGCTAGAAACACGTGAAAATCATTTTTTCGGAAATTTCTAGTTTTTTTGCTACAAATGTTTTCAGACATGCTGAAAACGATGGGATGACTGAAATTTTGAGAATTTCAGATTTTCAGCTAGAAACACGTGAAAATCATTTTTTTCGGAAATTTCTAGTTTTTTTGCTACAAATGTTTTCAGACATGCTGAAAACGATGGGATGACTGAAATTTTGAGAATTTCAGATTTTCAGCTAGAACTACGTGAAAATCAAAATTTTGCGAATGTCTAGTTTTTTTTTGGTTTGACAATTTATTTTCGAAAAAAAAAAAAAAAAAAACGAATAAAACAAAAACATTTACAATAATTGTCGAATTATCGAGCTTGTTCGAACATATATTTCTGGAGGCGATTCATCCGTCCGACAAGGTAGTTGCTTCCGATTATCTTGAGTTTATTTGATGTCGAAAAGACGAGTGTTGGTGGAGCATGTTGGTATGAGTGCTGAAAATAAAGCGAATTAGACAAAACATTTTGCTATTGGAACTATTTGTTGTCAAGTCAACTTGAGTCGGTGGGTTTTTATCGACTCGACTCCGATGGTTGATTATCTCGTGGTGGATGTGAGTTATCAGACATTTCTATGTCGTTGGTTGAGGTGAACTCTGGATGGCAAACATTTGCGCTAATAAAATTAGTGTTTGGTGGAATTGGTCAGTTTCAACCAATAACATCAATCACATCATTCAAAATTCAACATCTCATCCAACGCAATAACTATATTTGAAAACTCCATCCATCACGAGAAGTTCGATCATCGAGGTCTATGAAACCCATCGGCAGGAGTCGAGTCGAAAGTTGTATCTTAACGACTGACTCAGATTCAAGTCGGTTTCAGAGCATCTATTTTTATCGAAAAAATTACTCACCATGTTTTGACCGGCACTTCGAACTGAAAATTGCTTCTCTAGGTGCTCACCAGTCCAGTCGACCTTTGAGCGATGTTTCCTCCGTTGATTTGGATTTCGACCAAATGCGCTTTCTTTTGATGCGATTCACGTTCTTCATCTGAAAATTAAGAACTATTTAAATCCGCCTAAAACTCATTAATAGGGCTGAAATTGATAAAAATGCGAAATAACGTCGTTCTACTGTCAAAAAATCGAAAAATAGACAATTTTAGGTTTTGGCCTAAATTCATACGAAATAGGTCAATTTCAAAGTTCTTATGAAATTTCCTCCGCGATCATAGGCGGGAAACATGTTTTACGTGTTTTTCGAAGCTTTAAATACACAATTTCTGTATGAAACGAGGAAAAAACAAGAAAAAACGAAAAAAAAACAAAAAAAATAAATTGAATGGTGGCCTAAAAGTTTCTAAAAACCTCGGCCAATGGCCTAGGATTCCAAGAATTGGATGTTTGCCAACTATTTTAGGCCAATTTTTTTCTTTTTTTTTTTTTGGTTTTTACGCGAAAAAAGCTTTATTTTCTTGGAAAAAAACTCCTTTTTGTGACTTACTTTTTTGATTAGTATTTTTACAGATGGAAAGGAGTCTCACACCGACTACGAAAGCGTCGAAAAAGGCAAAATTATGGAGTATTCGATAAAATTGTGAGTTATTTTACAAATTATGCGATTTCATGATTTTTCCAAGAGAAATGTTTCACGATTTCTCACTTCTACCAAGAATTTAACTAGGTTTATCTCATTTTTGATTGAAACATCTGGAATCTTTCGTTTTTAGGTTGAATTTTGTCGATTTTCACACTCATTTGTGAACAGTCTGGAAACGAACCAGCTAGCCAAGCTGAACTTGACCTACCTGTGAGTATCGTGCAGAAAACCAAAGAGTTTTTATCATCATGTCGATTCTGGCATTTTTCGATACGGTTAGGGTTGGAAAAAAATACACGAATACACGCGATACACGAATACACGGATACACGAATACACGGATACACGAATATACGAATACACGTTTTTTTATGAATTGCTTCAGAAGAGAAGGAAACCGTGTATTCGTGTACAGTGTATTCGTGTATTGCGTGTATTCGTGTATCCGTGTATTCGTGTATCGCGTGTATTCGTGTATTTGGCTGCGCGTGTATCCGTGTACGCAAATACACTGTTTTTCCAACCCTAGATACGGTACAATCAGGTATTTCAGCTCAACCCGTTTTCAGTCTGTTCACAAATGCCTTTGTCAATAAGATTGTATCAGATCCTAAAAAATACGAAACTTTTCTGGGTATTTCCTAGAACTGAATTCTTGCTGAAAAATAGCCTCCAATTTTCCATAGGACTATAAAACTTACGAGGGAACCTTTTTTACTCAACACTTCAAATCATGATGAAATTTGGTCCATGAACAGCTTTTGGGGACCTTATAACCGCAAATTGGGGTCATAAGTACATCCTAAAAATTTCAGTCTCCCAATGGACCTCTGCGCCAAGTTCTGGGCTCTCAAAAACTCAAAAAAGGCCTAAAATGGACATAAAAGTCATCATAGCTCCATTTCAAAATTTTTTTCAGAGAAATAAAGTTTCAGATATTGATCAGCGTGATCGATTACCTAGAAGTAAATCAATTTAAAATATTTTTTCGAAAAATTTTGAAGTTTTTTATTTTTCGGCTGAAAATTCATAAAAATTCATGTGCTCATTCTTTTTTCCAAAATCAAAAATTTCTCCGAAAATGTGATTTATTTATGTTTTTTTGTGTAAATCGACCACGTTGATCATCATCTGCTACTCAGTTTTCATAAAATTGATCGAGAATTGAGTTTTGATGTGTTTTATGAGCCAATTTTGGCAATTTTCGAACTTTTGAGAGCCCAGAACTTGGCTTAGAGGTCCATTGGGAGACTAAAATTTTTAGGGTGTTCTTATGGTCCCAAAAGCTGTCTCTGGACAAAATTTCATCATGATTTGAAGTGTTGAGTAAAAAAGGTTTCCTTGTTAGCATGTTCGTTGGTCGTCTATTAGCTGAAATTTAAACACTTCCCTTGAACCTCATAACAATCTCGGTCAGAAAACGGCGGGGTCGCTACCAATCGGGGCGGAGTCGCTACACGTTTCGGGGAACAAAAAACGTGTAGCGACCCCGCCGTTTTCTGAACTAGATACTAATATATTTTACTTCTAAAAAATTATCAAACTGAGGTTAAGAACGAAGTTCTGGTTCCCACAATATTCCAAAAAAAAATTGAAAAACTATAGAATTATGGTTTATTCGATGTTTCAGATTGAATCGCTCGACCGCCGGATTCGCCTCCGCCAACCGCTGGATTGTAAATAATTTAAATTTAAATTTTATATGAATATTACTTTGGAAAAGTTCAGTTTGATTTTTTTCGTCTTTGGAACAAGTTTCTAGTTTGATCCTCTTGAAATTTCATAATCTTATTGTTTTAAGCATGTCCGAGGATCAAAGCAGCAGAAAACTAGACAGTTTTTGAACATTTTTGATTTTCACGTGAAAATCACGTGATCCTATCTGAAATTCTCAAAATTTCAGTCATCCCATCGTTTTCAGCATGTCTGAAAACATTTTTAGCAAAAAAACTAGACATTCGAAAAAAATGATTTTCACGTGTTTCTAGCTGAAAATCTGAAATTCTCAAAATTTCAGTTATCCCATCGCTTTTAGCATGTCTGAAAACATTTTTAGCAAAAAAACTAGAAATTTCCGAAAAAAAATGATTTTCACGTGTTTCTAGCTGAAAATCTGAAATTCTCAAAATTTCAGTCATCCCATCATATTCGCTTTAGTCGAAAACTTCCCCAGACATTTTTCGAAAATCCTTCAAAAATTGCCCGTTTTCAAAAAAGGGGCCGCACCCTTTCAGAATATCGCAAGAAATATTGTGGGCCCCTTTTTTTTGATTGCCCCTTTCAGTCTTTTTATTTTGCCCCTCCGGCCCCTTTTTCGATTTTGCCCCTTCGGCCCCTTTTTAAAAAGGGTGCGCACCCTTTCAGCCGTACCCATTCAGTTTCTGCCAAATAAATGCTATGATTTTTCTGGAACCATGTTTTTTAACTAAGACGATTTCAGCAAGTATTTATCGCAGCCTGAATTCGGAAAAGGAACATTTTCAAAAAAAAACAACGATGCTACGCGGTGACGGGATGACAAATACTTAAACAACGGGTAGGCGGAGTGTTGTTGTTTTTTTTTTCGAAAAATTTCATTTTTCAGTGGCGTCTTGTTCGTATCGGCATTTGAATCTTATAATATCATTTCCATGGAGTTCACCTGTTCCTTTTTCCCCACTGTTAACAGTGGGAAAAGGAACAGGTGAACATGTTTTTCAGTTTTCTGCGAGCGCTCAGCTTTTTCACTTTTTGTTAGGAAAAAAAAATTTTGATATTTCCTTGAGCTATTTCCTTTGGTTTGCTTTTATGTACTACCTTTTTGTTCTTTGCTCAATGCATCTTTTTTGTGGTGTACTCTGAAAGTGCATAGCAGTTGTTAGAAACGTTTAAAATGCCAAAGATTTGTCTATTTCTTTTTCTCGAATAAGTAGATACATTATATAATTTTTTCTTATTTATTTCAAATATCAATTCAACTACGTTTCTCGCCTCCAACCAACCAGCTCCTTTTCTAGGCGCCAGAAAAGAAAAACCGAAAAACGAATGTTCTCTCTTTCTCTGTTCACTCCGTCTATTTTTCTCGCCACCGCTGTTTTCTTCGTTTTTCCCTCACTCTTTGTTTTCCACGCTTTTTTCCACAAAAAGACAATTTTTCTTTTCATTCATTATTATTATGTTTTCTTTTCCGCTAACGTTTCAGTTTTTTTCAGAGACGAACCATGGTTCAAACTTATCGATCACCGGTTCGAATCTATAAACATCCATTCGAAATTGTGATGGCGGTTAGTTATTGTGTCTAAGAAAGCAATTTGGAGATAATTAGAGAATTGTCTCTTGAAAAATAAACAATTTCCACCTGTCACAGCAGGAAAAATCAATAAAATGTTCAGTTTTCCCCTCTTTTCAGGCCTACGAAATGCGTTTTCCAACTTGCCCGCAAATTCCAATTTTCGTCGGCTCCGAAATAACACACGAATTCAATAGCGAAGACGGAGCAGTTTGGGTGATTGAGAGAAAATGTCAATTAAATATTGATGCGCCTTATTTAGTCAAAAAGGTTTGTTTTCTATCGGAACTTCCTAGATGTTAAATTGAATTAATGTTTGATGTCAAGTCCAAAGGTCGTCGCATTCCAATTATACGTTTTATGTTCTGTTCCAATCAATTTCACACAGTTTCTTATCAAAAAGAGCCAGCCAGCCGGTCACATGGCGAATTTTCATTTTCATTTTCTTGACCAATCAAATGAACATGTGAATGACATGTGGTGTACTTTTCTTTCTTCCATTTCTACTGACATAAGACATTTCCCGTGTTTCCACAAATATGATGTGGTTTTGAACTTTGATAGAAAATCTGTATCTAGAATTGATTTTCTTTCAATAAAAAAACACAAATTTTGACGTGACACATTTTTATCAAAAACAAATCATTTCATTTTATTTTATTTTTTTCCAGATTGCCGGTGTCGATTATGTTTATTTCACACAGAAGAATTCGCTTGATAGAAGGAAGAGAACATTGAATATTGAAGCTTCAAATATCTCATTTGCCAATCGTATTTTTGTTCAAGAAAATTGTACATATTATGTGAGTTATTCTCCACAACAACAATACTATTTTTTGTACATATTTCAATAAATAACAAAACAAAATTTACAGGTTCATGCTGAAAATGAAGAATGGACATGTTTCGAACAATCAGCGTCTTTAGATGTTAAAAGTTTTTTCGGTTTTGAAGCGACTGTTGAAAAATTGGCTGTTAAACAGTATGCAGCGAATTTGGCGAAAGGAAAGGAGATTTTGGAGTTTTTTATTGAGGAATTGTTGAAGAAAACAACTTATATTGAGAGATTCAAGGAACCGGAAGGAATTGAAATGGTTACCAGTGGAGGTATGTTTGGATTGTTCATTTTAAATGGGTCCGAAATGGAAAATGAATTTGCTTCACAAAAATTGAATTTGATCTGAAATTCCGAAAAATATACTGGAAGACTATTTGGGTGGCCGAGAAACGTCGGAAACTTTTTTTCTGAAACTTGCGTTCAAGTTCGATTTTTTGAATTCATTTTGAGCTTAAATCCATTGCCGGGCCATTTAAAAGAAAAAACTCATCTCATCGTTTATTTTAATTTGAATTGTGCGAATACAAAAAGTGCACATTTCATTTTCCAACGAAGAAGCCTTTTTTGTTTTTGTTTTTGTTTTTTTCGAGCAAAACATACACTTTTCTTTGGAAAAACAGGAATTATCTTGAAAAATGAGGGCGTGGATTTATTTTGTGTGAGAAAATAACTCTTTTGAAAATAATTTGACGCGAAACCTAATTAACCAAATATTTTACAGATTGTGATGGAGAATGTGAAGAATTGCCAGATGGAAAAACAGTTATGGTGGAAACTGGATCGAAAAAACCGCCAATGTTGGGATCGACTAAGAAAGATGTTACCTTGGGTTCGACGGATTCGGCTGAAGACGCAGCGAATATGAAGACTGCTAGAACTGGAATTGCCAGCTTTGATGATGGTGTGTTTTGAAAAGCTCGTTATTGTGGAGTGTCGTTGTTTTGCACATTTATAGCCTATCACAGTAGATATTTCTATTTTGCACGTGCTTTCATGTTTTTTTTTGTTATTCTGGGATTTTCTGTCTTTCTTTCAACAAATGATTTATGTTTCGTTGAGCATTGTTTTTCTTTTGAAAAAAATATATAATATAAACTTGATTCGGAGCCGAAAAAGTGCACGAAAAGACCTTTTTCCCGTATCCACTTGAGAATGTTTATTTTGATCTCCGCCCTTCTTTTTTTTTCTCGTTAGAAAAAATCTTCTTTTTCTTCTATACCTTAGTTATTATATTTTTATTTGTAGTATTCAATAGATGTTAGCTAGAAAATATGATAAAAGTGGGCGGAGACGAAAATCGGTGAAATTTGTTTTGGGTATTTAAAAAATTAATTGATCTTTGAAATTCAACAGATAAATTTTCAGCGGATTCGAAACTGGAAGCTGAATATATTCGAAGATTTTTGGGGCAATTGAATCCGCTGGAAGAATCGAGATTGTGTGAATTGAAATATAGCCTGCAAGCACATCATAAGGTAGATTTTTTTTTGAAAAAACCTTACTATTTTTCAAAAATTCAGGGAAAACTGCCGAATGATGCTCATCTTTTGCGATTTCTTCGCGCACGCGATTTTGATGTGCAAAAAGCGAAAGATATGGTTCATGCAAGTTTAATTTGGAGAAAACAGCATAATGTTGACAAAATTCTGGAAGAATGGACTGTTCCGACTGTTATTAAACAATATTTTCCAGGATGTTGGCATAATTCGGATAAGGTTGGTTTTTTTTGAGTAATATGAGCAATGGAGGAGATTTTTGGTTTTCTAGGCCATCCCCTTACAACAAAATCCAAAAGAAATTTTTCAGGAAGGCCGACCATTGTATATATTGCGATTTGGAGAATTAGATACCAAAGGAATGCTTCGATCTTGTGGAGCTGAAAATCTTGTAAAACTAACATTATCGATTTGTGAAGATGGACTTCAAAGAACAGCTGAAGCCACTACAAAACTTGGAAAACCGATTAGTTTTTGGAGTTTATTGATTGATTTGGATGGGCTTTCAATGCGTCATTTGTGGAGACCAGGAGTTCAATGTCTGTTGAAAATTATTGAGATTGTTGAGGCGAATTATCCGGAAACTATGGGACAAGTTTTGGTTGTGAGAGCGCCACGTGTTTTTCCAGTTCTTTGGACGCTGATCTCGTCTTTTATTGATGAAAAAACTAGAAAGAAATTTATGGTTAGCGGTGGAAATGGAAGTGATTTGAAAGATGAACTTCGAAAACATATCGATGAAAAATATATACCGGAATTCCTTGGTGGTTCGTGTTTGACAACAAATTGTGGCATCGGTGGACATATTCCGAAGAACTTGTATTTGCCGGTTGATGTAAATGAAGGTGGAGCTGGAACATCTTCGTCTTCAGATGATCCACTTCATTCTACATATACATCGACTTCGACTTCGACAAGTCGAGGACAACCGGTTGAAGTTGTTATTCCGATTGATACTGCTGGATGTGTTTTGACATGGGATTTTGATATTCTGAAGAATGATTGTGAATTTATGCTTTATTATAGTTCGCAGGTAAAATTTATGATTTTTTTAAATCTGATTTTTATGGTCGCAGAAGTGATTTTTAACGAGACACTAGATCTGGAGATATTTTATTGCTCAAAAACACAGTGTAATCGCGGAGCTTCGTTGTTTTCGATATAAAAATTCTAGTTTTCAATTTCACCGCTCGTACATTGAAAACTTGAAATTTGTTTCGAATACAACGAAGCTCCGCAATTCCATTTTGTTTTTTGTGCTCAAATTTCTCCAGGTTTGGAATTCCGTGAAAAATGAGGTAAAATTACTTCTGGGACTTTAAAAAATCAGATTTTTCATTATAAACATTCAAACGGAATTGTGGAGCATCGTTGTTTTCACAGAAATTACGTTTATCTGGAATTCTAGGCCATTTTTGATTTCTGAGTCATTTTTTTTTAGAAAATCGATGCACCAACAGCCCGTGATCAATCTCCAACCGCTCATTTGAATCCAGTCGAAAAAATGACGGCGGCAATCGGTGGAACTTCTCATCCCCAACCAATTTTGCAATGTGCGCCTGAATTGAAACTTGGGCAAGATTTGAGTGTTGAAGAGAAAGCTGTCGTTTTCCAGGAAGGAGATTCGATGCAGGTTCGTTTTTCGATCTATTTTAATCCTAATCAAAATCGAGAATTCTTTTAGGGATCACATTATTGTTCACGAGCTGGAACTTATGTTATGCAATGGAAAATTGGAGAGCAAGTTGGAGCTGGAAGTTTTGATTTCGGTTCGCATAAATGTCGCTTCATGTATTACTATGAGATCTTGAGCTCGGCGAATTTCCGCGGTTCTGTTGCATCGTTGGAATCTTGTAGAAGTTCGAGTTTTAGTTCAATTGCGGCTCCACCAAGTCCTGGAACTCCCAGACAAATGTAATTTATTTTCTGAATTTCTTGTAACACGAAAAGATGCTTTAAAGACACATGGGTTTCTTTTTTATTTCTCTTTTGTACAAAATTTGTGTTTGAAGTGACAATTTATTTTTTATTCTTCTTTTCTATGAATACCATTTTACGGTTAAATTCGTTTGAAAATTCATTTTTTATTTGAAAATAAAAGATTTTTCCTGTGTATTTATTCTCTCAAATTTGATTTTCAGCATATATCTTTTTCGAGAATGTGTTTCAGAACAAAGTAAACTGTTCCACTGATTCATCTCGACAAGACGAATCAGATGGTATACTCAGAATTTCCAGAAAACGTCTTTTTCATGCTGAAAAAGCACTGAAATTTCAATAATTCTTTTCTTGCAATAAATTAATCTTGTGTGTAAACACGGCGACGCACAACTGCACAAATCGTGTACCGTAGTAAAACTTTCGCGAAAATTTTTTTGACCACTTGATTGCGCTCGCCGCGAAAAATTTCATTTAAGTTGCTGACATTTTTTCGCTGATCACTTTTTCGTCATTCGCTTCATCCTAACATCGCTTTTCTGAAAACTCACCATGGACGATTCGTTTTCCAAAATCACTGACTATAAATGTGCAGTATCTCACGGTAAGTGTTTTTTAAAGTGGATAGATCCCCTTTTCAACTTCATACATATATAGTTAAAAATCGTAAATAATTCATCGAAATTTCAGGTTATCAAAAACCGGCTGCTTACTTCATGACGGGTTGCAAACACTTCTTATGCGAAATTTGCAGCTATAGTAGCTATGGCGATACCAGGTGTGATAAATGTTCATCGACTTCAACTCGTATGAGAGTGTCAGATTTGATGCAATGTAAGTTATTCAATTGTTTCTCATAAACCAAAAATCTCGACAGCAACTGAAATTTCTTTTGGTACCAGAAATATTAATTAAATATAAATGGAAGTTGTTTTTACAGCAATCAACGAGGAAAGAATTGTTTTGAAGATAAATTTGGAAGAAATGAGAAATGAATTAGAAGAAAAGAATAATGAATTGAAGGAAAAAACGGATGAATTGGAATCGAAAATGGTCAGGCTTGATTTATATGATAAATCAATAGAAGATCATTTGAAATGTTCGGAATGCGATTTGACAGAATCGGAACAAAGGTAGAATTTCAAATTGAAAAATGCATTCTAAACACTTATTTTGTTTGCAGAATACAATTATGCGGAACATGCCATGGATTGCAATTTGATAATTTGGATAACGCCAAGAATTGTGCAATTTGTTCTAGTTGCTCAATCAAGAAACATATTCGCAATGGGCATAACACTGTGGACTTTTTCCCGATTTTTGTAAGTTTAGTGATTTATTATCAGCAAATGAAATATGTTTGATTTTCAGAGATCACTTCATTATGAAAACCACTCAAACAAAATCAAAGAAAGTTTGGATAACTTCAAAAACTCTATAACAACTTGCAACAATGATTGTACTGGATTGGTTGATGCTAATTTGAAGGTTAAACAGGTATGGTTTTCGAAATTATAATATCAGGGGTTTACTTATTTTTAAATCTTACAGCAAATGGATTTGTTGATTGATATGGTTCGAAGAAGCAAATCTACAACAAGTCAACAATTATTGAATAATAAATTGAGCACATTCATTGAAAAGGTTAGTTTTTCGAATTTTTTCACAGTCAAAATTGTTGAATTTCAGTCAAATTCTATGGCAAAAAATGCAAATTTAAATATGGAAAACAACATCAAAAAGATTGGCGATCAACTGGAAATTTTGAGAAAATGGAATGAAGATCACCAAGATTATATTGATCCATCTACTGATTAAATTTTTGAAATTTGTTCTTGTGAATTATGTAAGTATTTTTATTTATTGCATATTTACTATTCATTTTTAATTTTGTGAATTAATTTTATTTATTGCACCTGTATTATTGATGAATTTTTTGTGTAAACGAGTTGGAGTTAATTGGAGCTAGAAGATTTGATTTCCGCTCGCATAAATGCCGCTTCATCTCTTACTATGAGATTTTCAGCTTAGCGAATTTCCGCGGATTTGTTGCTTTGTTGTAATTTTCGAGTTTCAGTTCAATTGCGGCTAAACTTTTTTTCAGAAACTAGTAGAAAGTTCACCTAATTCATCTCGAAGAGACCAAGTTCGTCTGACGAACAAAAAATGATGAATTCTTACGAAAATTATTTTTATTCAGATTTGTCAGACTTTCAACTTGGAATTGTCTCAAAATTGATTTATTTACAAAACATATAAATATTTACAAAAAATGATATCATTCACAAAAATTATGCAATATAAAAAACGTATAAAAAAGTTAGATGATTGAATGTTAGTTTTGTTAATCGAAGTGTTGTTTAACCTGTTCCATATTCATCCCTCTTTTTAGTGTTCTGATTTTATCAGCGAATTGTGGGTGAGTATGATGAATTTGATAAATTTGAACAGCCATCTCCAGGTTATACCTCTTTTGTTTGTTGAGAAATTTGATTGCAGTGTCCAATTTTATTGCTCTTAAGTTCTGAAATGTGAAAAATAGCTACTTGAGAACTGACTTTTTGTTGGAAACTTACAGTAACTTTGTCTTTGACTGTTAGATTAATATCCATCATTATTTGAGTTGTTAGTGTTGGCGATTTTGAATAGGAACTCAGGATTAGTTTCATAATCGGTTCAGCGACAAGTGATTCGTCAGATGTATAGTTTATGAACGCACCGTTCAACCATCGATTGCCATAAATGAAGAGAAGCGGTTCCGGGAAGAACTGAAAAATGGTGTTGATCGGGGGTTATACTTTTGGCCAAAACATTTCTTGAATTCTCCGGGTTTCCGGAAAAAAAGTACGGGGAATATAGGGAAAATTATGTTTTGGGGCAATATCTTAAATGTCGCTCTTTCGAAATATTCTCAGATACTGACAAAAAATTGAAAATGAATTTCTCTGAATAATTTTAAATAAATTTCGGATAAACCATTTTCAAGTTCCCGTTATTGCCCCAATTTTATACTTACCGATTTGAAAGATCCAAATCGTTCATCCCTCAACCGCTTCATTTCTTTTTTCGAATATGTGAACAGTGTCTGGTCATCTATTCCTCACGCCTTTTTAACTTGCTAATTTGAAGAGAAACTGAGAAAAGACAAATCGAACTGCAAAATTTTTTCGCGCTGCAATACCAGTCAAAAATTTGTTCATTTTTGAAACTTTTTCTTACGGTTTTTCTTCTCGAATTCCGTATTTTTTATCTATTTTTACGCGCAACAAGCAGAAAAAGGCGAGAGAAACAACCGAAAAAGTGAAAAAAAAATGGAAAATGAATAAATTTTTGACTGGTATTGCAGCGGGAAAAAAACTTCTTTAATAAGATGTTTTTTCTTGTCATTTTCGAGAGATGCACATTTTAGCGTGTGCAGAAAAATTTATCCTATAACTTTTTTGAATACAGTAATCTCTTTTATTCCATATGAACATTTTTATGAATAGTATTTTCAAATAAAAATAATTACAAAATAATAACACTGGTGAGATTCATCATTCCGATTGATTCGTTTCGTGTTTCAGCAAATTCTGGTCGCATTCGGGCACTTTCTGAAAAATAGAAGAGGATTTGATGATGAAAATAAAAAAAAACCAGATAAAATGAGGGTATCTAGGCTCGGCTACTTATTATAGCAGTTCTCAAGGCGCTGAAGATAATCAAGATTTCTAGATGCTGATCCTTGACAATTGAACTTTCTAGGCGCGACTACTTGTCATAGAAGCGCTCAAGGAACGGTTCCTAGATATTTACTTTCTTTGGGCACGACTACTGAATAAAAATGCTCTGATCCTTGACAACTAGGATCTTCAGGTTGGTCAACTTGGAATATATGTCCTCAAGGCGTGGCCCTTCGCCGGAGTGCATCTTTCGATGCTGGTTCTGGGAAATAAAGTTCTAAAGGCGCGGCTACTTGTGAACTACGCCTTCTAGGCACATCTACTTGACAACTAGGATTCCTGGGCTCGGTTACTTAACATAGTTCTCTCAGGCGTGACCCCTTGCCAAGGTATATCTCTAAGCTCAGCTACTAGATAACTATGCTCTCTAGACGCGCCTACTTGACAATTAGGATTTCAAGGCTCGGCTCGACTAGAAAAAAATCTCACTAGCTTCAGAAGCCGTCAATTTTCCCAGCGCATTTTCAACATCCAAAATATTTCTCCAAAATATTTGTTGATCGAATAACTGTTTGGAAGTGTGTTCTTTTCAAAAAATTCCCGTCGAACATTTCACACATTCCAATCCTTCTCGACACCATTTCATTGTTTGATGATTCGATTTATATTCACAAGTTGGTTCATCGCATTTATATCCAGCAGACATGTGTTTGGCAACAAATTCGGACATTTGTCGATCGATTTGATTGATGATAACATTGAGAAAACCATCGAATATCCAGGAAACTTGACATTTTGAGCAAGAATACAGGTTTAATCGCGGTGAGTGTGGATCAGTCTGCAAATTTGTGTGTTTTTCAATATTTTGGAGCCAAAAATCCACGTGGATTTTGGAGCCAAAAATCCACGTACGTGGTTTTTTCCAAGGTTTCTTGTTGCAAATTTCAAAATCAGGATTGACAAGTTAAAACCTCGGATGACGTCATAAATATGATTTTCCATTCAAAATAAGTGTTATTATGAAATTTTGTGAATTCATCTAAAAAAAAGGAACATCTCTGCAAAACGCTTCGGAAATTCCGAAATTTTACAATTTTTGTATATCTCTGAAAAACCGTCGAGAATCTCTGAATTCTTCTGTTTTTAAAATTGATTGAAATTTTCAAATGGCACAATTTCATAATAAAATGAATTTCCAAAACAATTTTTCCCTACCCAAATCCCTTACCTCAACATCAAAAGTACTCCGAATAATATTGATTTGTCCACAACTCGAACTTGAACAATTCCTTCGCAAAGATCATAATTCTGCAAACAAACAAACAAAACTATTTAGATTACAAAAATATTGCGAAACCAACCTCTTGTTGCCACAAATAATCATCCTCTTCGGCGTTTTGATGTGCTTGTGCGGCAGCCGCGCGGCGATAATTCGTCGAATCCATTCCAAGTGCTTCAGCGATTCGAACAGAATCAACTTCTTCAATCGGAGCACACAATCTTGAGACAACTGGATGAATTCAAATAATACACCAAATCTGGAATGGTTTTACTATGTAACTTTTTATTGCTTTGGAGGAAGTAAATGGGGCTCTAAAGGTTTTGAGACGTTTGTGCTCTTTAAAGGAATAATTTCATTTTTCATAAAACTTAAAGACACATCAGCCACTGGAAAAAACAGATTTCCCGCATTTATTTTCAAATGACAAAAACAGCATGTGCGCTCTATTGCTTCGTTGTGTGCAAACTCTCTCGAAATTTCCGTCGGCTGAGCGATTTCAAAAACAATTATTTTGTTTTTTTCACAAACCTCACCCAATACCTGGAATCCCAGGTGGGCAACTGAAAAAAAATTTTGTAGGTGGGTAAAATTTTTAAAAAATTCGAAGGTTTTTTCGAATTTTTCGTCGAAAAATTTCACTGAATTCTATAATTTTCTCTTGTTGGTTAGAAAATGTTACTTCCAACGATGTTCTTTGAAAATTTTCAGAAATTAGATTCATTTCAACTATTATTTTCCCGATGGCCAGCTGGAAACATCTAAAAAATACGAAAAATTCAGTTTTTCAGGTTTTCTGACTTTTTTCCTAGGAAAAGTTTGATGTTTTGTTTCTTAATATTAAAAAGTAAGTCGATTCCCAGCTAGTTTCACTTTTCTCCCACCTGCAAACTTTTTCAATTTTTTGCAAACCTATCACCTGGAGTAAAATACTGGTCATTTTCCATAACTCATGTCAAAATCATTTTTTCAGAAATTTTGAAAAGCTCAAATGAATCTACAAGCAAAAATAATGTTAGTCCCAAAACAAACTTTTTGCTCAAAATCACTCCGAAAGCTCAAAAAGTTTGAAGTGTGAAATCACCCAAAATGTTCTAACGTTATAAGAGAAATCAGGTCATCGGTTTTCTCGGCCTTTAAACAAAAAAGTAGCTGGCCATTGTTATTTGTAGCTGGGAACTAGGCTTAGGAAGCTACTTAGTTAATTCCACACGCAAATATTCACTCTAAATACTGAAAAAGCTGAAAATGAAATTCACAAGGGAAGTGTATAAGGTCCCGGAATAAACTTTTAATGAGACTTGGTACACATATAGATTCGAACTCGCTGATCTCGAATTCGTTTTCAAAAATTGCCACAATTGCACCCAAGACGAGTTTTTCACCATCGAAAATGCGCCATATTTCTCATTGTTTCATATGTCAAACATTTCCAGGCAAGAAAAATAACAGCGGATGGCAGAGTGGTTAGCGATCTCGACTTTAAAATTTTAGGTTTCGGGATCGATCCCGGCCCGTGGCGAACTTTTTTTCAAAAATTTTTTTTTTTCAAAATTTTTTCGAAACCTGTAAAGATGTCTACGTACCGACTTTGAATTATATTTTTTGTCATCATTTTTTTTGTTTTTCAAATTCTCGTTCAAAATGTTATCTTCTGAACAAATTTTGCACTTCGTAATGGGTAATTTCAATGACAATTGTACAATCCCAAGAAAGTATGTCTCCCGCGAGAACTTCAAAAAGTTCCTAACGGAATTATTGATGTTTTGCGTAGTGTGGACATCAACGAAATTATAGTTGAAAACGATGAAATTCTGAAACGAATTGAAGATGATCCGCCGGATGAAGGTAACTTGGATAGCTATAAATATGAAAGCTATAAAAATAAATATGAAAGATCATCTTCAATTCGTTCTTTTTTTTTTTGAAAAAAAAAATAAAAAAATTTTTGAAAAAAAATTCGCCACGGGCCGGGACCGATCCCGAAACCTAAAATTTTAAAGTCGAGATCGCTAACCACTCTGCCATCCGCTGTTATTTTTCTTGCCTGGAAATGTTTGACATATGAAACAATGAGAAATATGGCGCATTTTCGATGGTGAAAAACTCGTCTTGGGTGCAATTGTGGCAATTTTTGAAAACGAATTCGAGATCAGCGAGTTCGAATCTATATGTGTACCAAGTCTCATTAAAAGTTTATTCCGGGACCTTATACACTTCCCTTGTCAGTTTTTTTCACAATGTGAAATAAAAAGAAAAGTAGGTGGCACAGAAGTGTTTGTTGTCTTGGAAATTCGCCTCCTCGTTCTCAACAGGGTCGGTGGTCTAGTGGTGAACACGTGCGTCTCTTGAACGCACGTGGCGTGGAGGGTTTGGGTTCAAGTCCCACCCGGGGCGCGAGGGAAATTAGGAGGGGACATAGAGGGAGAGGGATTTCAGGAAGCTTTTGCTATTTTCACTGAAAAAAAAAACGATTTTTTTTTTGAAAAAGCTCGCCATGGCGAGCGCTAGGTGGGCAATTTTGGAAAAAAACCAGCTGGGCATTTTTTCACTCACTACTCCAGGTTCTTGGGTGAGGTTTGTTTTTTTCACTTTTGCCACACGTTATTTTTGGCTGTCCATATCGAGAGAGTGGCGCAGAGAAAAAGACGCTCGTTTCTCGACACGAACAAACAGATTTTCGTAAAACTACTGTAGAAATTGCTTCGCATGCGTCCTTAAAGGGAGTTTTTCGCGTCTCTGTCATTTCTCTCGATTTGGACGCTCTTCTTCTTTTTTTTGAAATAGCGTGGCCAGACTCCAAATCTTTTCTTGATTTTTATGAATTCCGATTACTTGAAAGGTCTTATGAAAGAATAACAAACTCATTTTCTGTTCATTTCTAGTGGATTGTGTGTCTTTAAGCTTGAGGTTCAGATTAAGCTCGAAATTCTGCTACTTCTGAAACCAACTTTTAAATATCGTTTCATTGTAAAAACTGTAAATTTTCAGTTTTTGGACCTCTAAAATTCTCAAATGTAGATATTTTTAAAAATTGACCTCTGGCCCACAATAGATTGGCCGAGGTGTGCTTTTTTCTGTTCAGATCCAAAAACCTTACCAATTTTCAAATCTTTGTTATCTTCCATTTCAATTCGATGATAAGCTCTTTGAGTTGCTGGATTTCCACTTCCATCTTCACAAATAATATATTCCACAATATCACCTTGACGTAAATTGAATTTTCCAGATTCGTTGAGTCGTTTCGCGACAAAGGCGTGAGGTTGAGATTTGATGTCCGCATAATCTTTTGGATTTATTGTCAATTGCTGGAAAAAATAAGTTTAATATTGAGAAGGGTTAGAAATTGTGTCAAAACTAGAAAATTCAGCCGAAAAAGTCATGCTCTTGTTTCCATGGAAACATTTTTTGTGAAAAAATCATAAGAAAAATTTTAAACGTGAGATTAAGAGCTACAACATGGTGTTTTCAGAATTTTCTGAAAATGCGAAAATTTGGCTGCAAATTTTTTGAACCCCAATTTTCGGGTGTTTCGAATCACCTAATTTCTAGAAAAAATGTGGATTTTGTACGGAATTTTAGGACACCAATTGAATTTTTCAGAATTTCCTGAAAATTTCGAAAAGGGGTCATTTTCAGATCTGAATTTCAGCTTTTCAAAAATTCGAGAATTTTTTGAGAAAAGATGGATTTCGTGGATAATTTCAAGAGCTACAAAATGGTCCTACAAAAATAGAAAACTCTAAAAAAATTTCCGGAAACCTTCCGTCTTTCCGGATATTTTCCGCGTTCCATCTTTTCGGCCAACTTACCTTGCTAATTTAAAAAATTTCATTAGGAATCTCCCCAGAATCAAGTTGCTTTCCATACTCTTCCAAAAGTTCAACAATTTTCGAAACAAGTTCCTCTCTACTAAGTGAAGCATCCAAGATTTTATCCACAACAGCTCTAAAATTTTTGTTAATTATTTTCTTCAACTATTTTCGACGAAAACTCACGTTCCAGCCTGTTTTGCTAATTGCGACCAATCTCTTCTAACAATATCCAAACCTTTCAATTCTTTCGTCTCAACTTTTGTATCCTGATTAATCGTCAATGCCGCATATTTCTTCTTTTTCAATAACAACATTCTCTTAAACACTCCATCCAATTCCAATTCCAATAATCGATGACATTTATTAACCGCTTTCTTAATATCAATTCCTAATTTCTTTGCCTCAGCCAAATCATATGAATTAGTATTAATCATAATTGAATCAGTATCTCCATAAATAACAGAATATCCAATTTTTTCAACCAAATCTTTCGAATGCATTAGAATATCTCTTCCTTTTGCAGTAACCAAGGCATCCAATGGTTTTGCATAAAATCTCGAATATTGGAAACCTAAACATCCATACATACTGTTTGCAGTCAATTTCAATGCCATTTGTCGAATATCCAATTGTTTTCTTTCTCCTTCTCGATTCTCCGTTTTCATTAATTGTTTCACATTTCTCCGACATTCAACCAATTTTCGAATTTCTCTTGGCAAAACACCTTCTTGATCAATTGGATTCGGAACATCCGGAACTTCATCACTATCTTTAGTATGAGCAACAGTTGTATAACAAATATTATATTCTTGAATAATACTTGGATAAAGTGAATTGAAATCCAACAATAAAATGAGGGTGTCTAAATACAAATATTTCACACTTGAGTTGCCATACAACAAAAACATACAAAAAAGTAGTTTCTCTCGAAAAATCAATAAAATATTCACATCAATAATTTCCTTCTATAAAATATATTATTTTGAATATAGGTCTCCTTCCTCTCACTAATCTTCTCTTCATTCTCCTCACTCTCTCATCTACTCTTCCTCTCTAACATATCGTCTCCCTCCACTCTACATGTTCACAGGTGGATGGAGTGTGACCCACGGCGGACCCACCGAGGATCCACGGCGATTTCATCCGCCGTGGACTACTGGTGCACCAACGGCCTCACCCACCGTGGGTCGGCGGTGGGTTTAGATTATTTGTTACTTCCCTTTCCCTTTACTACCCAAAAAATATGATTTATTCTCAATAAAAAACATATTTATTCTCATTTAACAAAAACCAGAGAATAAATAAAAATTTATTGATTTCCTGGTTGCGTTTCGGGAGCCAGAGTTGCATAATCCTGATCGCATCTCGCTCAGTCCAGATCCTCGTTCGCTGTTTTTCCGAGTTGGCAATATCTGTAAGAATTTTATAAGATGCGCGAACTACAGTTTTGGATTGAAGGGTTGGGTTTAGGCTTTTAGATCAGAGTTTTGAAAATTTTGTCAGAGTTTTTTATGAATGAAGTGACATTTTTCTGCCATAAGTTGATCAGTAGACGGCATAGTAAAGTGTTATCTCTTTCGCTGCAAACTTCCGATTAAACAGTAGTTTGCAGGTACTTTATCACTTCTTATATTCATAGATTACAAAAAAAACTGACCTAAAAAATATTGACCATATTGAGCGAAGTCGGTGATTTATGTTCTTGGTGAACGCTAGACTTCCAAAATTCATCCAAGTCGGTACAGGCGGAGATATCACTGCCTGAAAAATATATAACTGATGAATATATAACATTGTTAGAATGTTGAATCCTTACCATTAGTTCTGAATACTGGAAGCCGAGAAGATGTTGAGTCCAAGTGACAGGAGAGCTGGTGAATCTTCCAATGTCTGGAATGAAATAAATAATTGAAAAAATATATTTCAAAAGTCGTTTATTCAAACTTACATCAAGTGGTCTACCAGCAGATCCATCTGAATATACAATTTATTCCATTTTTTTCTTCTGTTTTTCCGGCTCTCAGCAGTTCCTCGTTGTAGACAAAGTCACGAACTATGAATCTGCAAAATTGTGCCAAAGTTAATGGTAAGGAGACGAATGTAGAATAAAAATCAAGAAAACCTTGGTTTTAACAGGGTATTCGGCGAAAATAATGTAATTGAAAAAAAATGGAATATTTTCCCCTAATATCCTAAAATTTGCTACTTTTACATACTTTTTATTTCTGAAACTATATAAGGACTACTTTAAATATCATTTAGTACTACAAACATGAGCAGATGATGGGAAAATCCGCAAAAAAACACCAAAAATACATAAAAAACGTTTGGCCCAAAAAAACGAAAAAATAAAAATAAGTGCGCGTCAGATTAAATGCCACTACACACATCTCGAACTACAGTACCCCATTATTTTGCAAAAATTCATAAAATTATGGAAGCAACGCTTTAAAGTACAAAAAGAGATGAGAACAGTAGAAAATGAATTATTTAGTGAATCTGATCAAATTTATAGAGTTTTAGAACTAGTTTTCATGTTTCATAACATTTTATTTTGGTCCTCCGCTATACAAATGTGTGTCTTCACCCTTGAAAGTGAGTAAGAACTGAAAAATGATTCTATAGCCAATATAATCTCTTTTTACACCATCCGAGGCATAGCGGAACTCTTAAAAATACATTTAGTTCATTTAACAGTTTTTTATAAAATTCTCCCAAAATCTCACCCACAGCGGACCCACCACGTATCCACCGTGGGTGAATTTTCCACATTGGTCCTCAGTGGGTCCGCCGTGGGTCACACTCCATCCACCTGTGTTTTCACAAATAGTTTTATTTATACACCTTTTAACTTTTCTTATTATTTTTTCTTATCTTCGCGCGTAGGATTTAGAACTAATACTTAAGGTCCAGCAAAGAGGCATCACTGATGCGCGTAGGTTTAGAACTAATACTTAAGGTCCAGCAAAGAGGCATCACTGATGAGACCTACCTCTTCGCCGTCTGATGTTCAGGTCGAAACGGCTTTACCGTGTATCTATATTCTTTTAATTTCTTCTTTTTCTTAATTGAGATTCACTAACTTTGACTCGCCCGAATAAATAAACAGTTCCTATAAATTTATAAGTGAATGGAATTTGTATAATTTAAATCAGATACCATTATTTTTATGAGCATCTTCAACCGCATCAATCCAATACATTCGAATAGCTTTTGTATCACCATTTTCACCGCCCATTACATAGAATAATTCGGATCCAGTTTTGAGTTCAACCTTTTGACTATCATCGTCTTGTCTGGAAAAACTAGGTTATTAGAACATCTGCTGCTGGAAAGAGAATTTTCACTCTAGATTTTTGATAAAATATAAATTTTCTATTCGGCCAACTGTTCACTATTCCGATGTCGAAAATTGCAGAACTCAACTTCTTATGAGTTATGACGTGGCAAAGTTGGAAGAATCGGGACTTTAGGAGCTGAAAACTTTATTCAAAAATGATTTTCATTCAAATCTGTTAGCATAGCGTTATTCAGGAGGCTCGATAACATCACATACTCAAAACATGAAGTCCACTGATGTTTGTGAGCCCCCCGAACAATGCTATACTATCAGAATCATTTTTCAAGATAGTTTTCAGCTCCTAAAGTCCCAAATTTTCCACTTTGCCACATCATAACTAATGTTAGGAGTTGAGTTCTGCAATTTTAGACATCGGAATAGTGATCAGCGGGTCGAAAACTACTTGAAAATATATTTTTGATTGAAAATCTAGAGTGAAAAGAGATAGTCTCCTTCGTTTCAGCCTAGCCTAACATACGTTTCATCTGCATCCCATATATCACAACTTAGTTGGAATTTCGCCGCAGTTTTATCGTCTTCCATTTCAACATCTTCTGATTCAACTTTCACAATTTCACAAGACCTTTTCCTGAACAGGTTTTTTGACTGGACTGTTGACCTCATTTTTGATCGCAATTGGTTCATTGTCATCGTAATCAGGAACACCTAGAATTAGAGTTTTTGTATCTAGATATTCTTTAAAATATATATTTACCATAGTCATCGTCGTCATCTTTTTCTTCTGGAATTGGCTCTTCAACTTTTTTTGCTTTGGGTTTTTCCAGATGTTGTTGTTTTGGAGTCGCATTTTTTGATAGAAAATTGGTTTTCGCCTTTTTCGCAATTGGTCGAGGAGCCAAATCATCTGATGGGGGAGATGCTGAAAAAAATTTTAATCTTAAAGTCTTCGATGAAATCTTCCAAACTGACATGTTCTTCCCCGTTTGAATGGATTTTTTGGAAGTGGAGCCGCAATATTTCTTTTTCGCCTTTTTTCTCGCTCATCTTCTTCATCATCTTCACCATCCAAAATATCTCCAAGCATATTTTTCAAATCTTCGTCTTCTTCCAGATTCACTTTGACTTTTGATTCATCCAAAACTGTTTTCTTTGCACCTCCAGCGAAGAAACTGTCAAGAGCTCCCTTCTTTTTCTCTTTCGAAGATTTTTTCGATTTCTTTTCTCCTTTTTTTGAAGATCGATCACCATATTCCTCGTAGTCATCTTCATATTCTTCTTCGAAATCGACTCCAGTGTCCACGTAACCCATTCCATCTAAAAATGAGAAATAAAAATATTTTTTCTAATGTTATCATTACACGCTGAGACACGTCATTTAGTTCACGTTTAACTTACCATCATCGACCACAAAATTATCATTTTGACGTTGTGAGACAATGTCATTATATTCCCTTTCATCTACAACTTCATAGACATCATCAACATCGAGATTTGGTCGATACGATTTTCCAGTTTCTCTTGCTTCCTTCAATCGCTCAATCGCACTTTTTCTCGAAGTTTGTTTGGAACTTTCTCTTCTACGCGATGATCTTCGAATATCAGTTTCTTCATGATTTTCTGTATCCGACATCTTCCTGAAAAAGAGCAGTTTTTATTAGAATGTGGGAAAAAATAAAAAATGATTTACTTCAAACCACTCACTTTCGCGGTAGGCTGCAGGTTTTTTAACTGTAGATTGACTAAAGATGCAAATCTAGACAATTGTAGATTGCAAGAGTATTTTTGCAAGAGTAATTTATTGCAAGGGTCATTTTTGAAAAAGAGCGATTTCAAATGACTTGAAATGTATTCCAAACTTAATTTCAGATGGAATATTTTCAATTTTCTGTATGTACGAGTCCGGAAATTAGGCTTAGGCTTAGTAAAAGTCCTTCAATTTAAAATTACTCTTGCAAAAATACTCTTGCAATCTACAATTGACCGCACAACGCGAGGGTGTTTGAATTTATTTGTTTGTTTTCTGTATTTTGTGACTCAGAAAATGCTCTGACAGCTAGCAACCTCGCGGCGATCTGGCAGAACCTAGCAGATGCTGTCTGCGAGCTGGCAAACTGACAAATTAGTATCAGAATTCGACGGCCGTCTGCCGGCTGGCGTGCTAGCTGTCAGGGCATTTTCTGAGGAATCAATTTTTTTGGTGTTTTCGACTGTTTTTTCAGTTTTTTGAGTGATTTTAGCATTTTCTGGAAAAAATTTAGTCAGCCAGTGATGATTTTTCAGTGAAAAACACAGATTTCGAGGACGTTTTCGGATTTTCAGTCAATCTTACGTGGAGAATTTTTAGTCAATCTAACTGTTCTACAGTTTTTATATACAATATGTAGCGTTTGATGATTTACAGCGTGATGATCTTAACAATCAAACCAAAAATCGACTTGATAATGTAGTTCATCGATTAAGACTATCAAACGAAGCAAGAATGAGAATGAGAAAAAGAGCGACCGAGGCCGCAAGAGGTTTAGCAAGAGCCAACTTAAGAGAAAAATCATCACTGGCTGACTAAATTTCTTCCAGAAAATGCTAAAATCACTCAAAAAACTGAAAAAACAGTCGAAAACACCAAATCAAAATCAAATGAACATCTAAACTCGCGGGTTTGTTGAGGGTTGGTTAGAAAGAAAATCAAAACAAGCGGGGAAAAATCACACGGGAATTTCGGGGGGAAACAAAAATTGGGATTATTTGGATGGATAAAAAAGCGAAAAAGGACTTACTTTTGAACAAAAACCATGTTATGTTGATATCATTTTCGAAATCTGAATCGTTTTCAGCTTGTTCGATACTAATCAGATGGTATACTCAGAATTTCCAGAAAACGTCTCTTTCATGCTGAAAAAGCACTGAAATTTCAAGAATTCTTTTCTTGCAAGAAATTACTCTAGTGTGTAAACACGGCGACGGACAAATGCACAAATCGTGTACCGTAGTGAAATTTTTCACCGTTTGCAAAAAAAAATTGTTTTTGATGGTCAATCAATTGACCATCCGGAACTTTTTTGTCGATTCTCTAGAGTTTTTTTGTTTTTGCCGCCTGCTTTTTTCGAATACATTCTAGTTTTTCACTCTCAAAAATCAATATTTATTTTCAACAAACAGAAAAAATTAGTTATTAATAATATTTTTTTTCTGATTGTATATTTTCTGATTGTTTCAATCTCCAAACGAGGGAATATAAGCATGAGAAGATTCCTTTGGCATTCTAATGAAGATTTGGTGTTGACTTCGGCAATTTTTTGACAAGAACTTCTGTTTCTTATCATTTTGAGCCAACGAGGAGAGCTGCAGCACTGTGTGGAGACGCCATAAGCCATTTAATGCTGAAAATTGAGAAAGGATAATAGATTTATAAGGATGATTCTCCAAGAGTATTATTAATCGTAATTTCTCACTTTGAAATTGTGAACGACCTTTTTGAGATAGTATCTCAGAGATTCGCTGGCCAGCTCGCCACTAGATCAGGACCAGGTGGCCGGAAAGTTCAAAACGAGCTGAATTTGATTCGGCAACCAGGTCGCCTTGAGTTTTCCGGCCACGTGGTCTCAATTTTTGTCATCCGAAAAAGAAGGAAAGGTGGCTGTTTGTATTCAAAACAGTCAATGTTTTACTGTTTTTTGACATTCAAAGGTTTCAAAATTTGAAATTCAAAGCTCCTAAAAAACAGAAAATTAGCCAATTTCTTCGAAAATGCTCCGATTCACAAGTTTTTTGGACTTTTTTCTTTCAAGCGAGACGAACTGGACGCAAGGTCGGTTCGAGGTGAACAACCTGGGCGAGGTGGTCTGCATGAACTAGACCACCTCGCGACCACGTCGTCTCGCAAAAAATCCGGGCGATGTGGTTGTCCGTGTCAATTTCAGATGGGCAGTCGGTCCCACCTAGTGACCAGCTGGCCAGCGAATCTCTGAGATGTGATAATGGTCATAAACTTGAAATTTGGAAACTTTCAAAGCTCAAAAACTCGAAAAACAAACGTTCATCGATTTTCTTTCTCATGACTCACCTCATAAATAGAATGCATCTTGTGATTCACAATTTTGGAAATATTGCAAGGCGATCCTCCAGAAATGAAAATTGAGCGAGCCTCTGCTTTCGTTTTCAGACAGTTAAAATCGGCCAGAAGCATTGTGCGCTTTAAGAAATGGTCATAGACAAAAGACAAGTGCTCACAATCACAGAAACCACGCTATGCCAGCCGATACAAAAATTAAATTTCTGAGAGACGCAGACTTTTAACACAGACAGAGACATCTCTCGCCTTTCCTTCCCCCTCGGGCGATACAGTGTGCTGTTGGCAGACACAGCAGACAAGCAGACACACACACAAAACATAGCGCATGGCCGCGCCGCTTTTTCGTCTGTCGCTGCGTTTATAGACCACATCGGCGTCGCCCTTTGATGTGTTGAGGTCTCGCAGCGACTTTCTAACCGAAAATGAATGTCTGCGTCTCCTCGAATTTGTGTGGTGGCACGACGTGAAACATAGAATTCTAGAACATTCTTCTGTGCCTCTCAACACAAAACAGTATTTTTTCTTGAAAGGAAAAGACAATTTGAATTTCCAAACACCGCGCTGCAACAAAATATGTTCTATTTTTTCTATGTGGCGATTTAAATTTTTGAAAATTACAGAGAACTTTGATAATTTTCTATATTAATAATTTACAGAAACTCGGGTCAAGAAAAATGACAGAAAATAATACGATCAGCAACATTCTGAAGATGGAATTAGATACGGAAAAACGAAAAAATCAAAGTTTGAGGGTTGAGAATGAGGAGTTGAAAAAGAAAATTGCAAAGTCTGAACGCGTAATAAAAACCATTCAAAACCAAGTGAGTTCTTATTTTTCTATCTTTTTGTATTGACAAGTTATAGGGCCCGAAAGAAACCAAAGTCTATATTAGCATTTTTTTTTTCATCTCATTGAAACGACATATGGAAAAACCTTGTGCAAAAAGAGCAAAGTTAGCTCGTGTTTTTTAGATTTTTAACGTTTTTTGTCCTTAATATCCTAATAAGGCCTAATTTCTTATAAATTATTGGAATACTTTCAACCCTATTCTGGAAACCTATTTCATGTATGTTTTCAGAAGGAAGAAGTGATAAATGGTTATCAAACACGAAACAAAATGTTGCAAGATGATCTCAAAGAACAATTGAACGAAGTTCTGAAAATGGAAACGATTTCATGTGAAAAAGATTTAGTGATTGATAATTTGACGAGAGAAGCTGGAAAATTGAAGAGTCGTGTCCAAGTAAGTTAAAATTTGGCGGCATTTCATTATTATGGGATAATTAAATTTTATATTAAAAATTATATCATTCGATAGACACAGGAATTTGCAGATCAGCTTATTCTCAGAAATTTTTTTGTACCGGGACAGAATTTTTTACATGAATTTATAAAGCGAAGGAATTTCAACGGATTTGGGCGGAGCCTAATTTATAACCTAATATGCATGCATGCAGTACAGAAAATAGGGAGGAAACAGAGAAACATACAAAAAACAGTGTGCAGGCAGTGAATAAAGGTGGTCCACCTATTTTCGTTGAAATTCCTTCGCTCGTTAAGTTTTCCTAATTTTTTAAGCACATTGTTCGAGTACTGTCTATATTTTGTGCAGGTGATGACATCACGGCATGCACAAAATATAGACAGTACTCGAACAATGTGCTTAAAAAATTTTGTCCCGGTACAAAAAATTTTCTGAGTTATTAGTATATTATTGATTTATTTTGAATTTAGTATACCTATTATAGACTAATTTTTTATAACATTTCGCTGTTTCAAGAATTTAAAAAATTAAAATTTTGTTGATTTTGGTCAATTCCTCAGCTAGGTTTAGTGGAAATTTTCCAGAATTCAAATATTTCTTTTTTTTTCACATCAACTACAAAAATAAATCCTAAATAGCTTTCCGTTTTTGAAAAAACTAGCAAATTCACCAAGAAAATTTCGTATTTGAGGCATACCACGCCCAGGGTGAGGCATTTGCACGGTGCCAATAAAAAAATTCGTAAATTCACCTCGCCAATTTGAGATTTTCTTGAAAAACAGCAAATTTTTGCTTGTTTTTCCGTTAAAAAGTGATATTTTTCAGTCGAAATGGTTGTTTTCACCTCGCCAAAAAATTTCAAAACTCACACCGCCAATTTTAAAAGTTAATTTTCACGAAGCTGGGCGTGGTATGATTTGAGGAAAGTGTGAAATTTTATTGTTCCCACACCTCGGCCAAAATCGTGGTTTCCGAAATAAAACATTGTACGCTAACTTTTAACAGTACAAAAAATGTGAATTTTTCAATTTTTGTCCTCTAAAAACTGAAATTCAAATTTTTCCAAAAATTGTACTCTGAAAAAAAAATTGTACAATTGTACTCTGCCAGCCACGGCTTGGCCGAGGTGTGATTGTTCCACTTTTTTTTAAACGCAAAACCTAATTTTCTGTCGATATTTGCTGCTAGGATAAAGCGAAAGTTAATTTTTATCCCAGCCCATCTTCAATTTTTCAAAAAAAAATTCAATATTTTTTATAGAAATATTTGAATTCTTACCAAAAAATCCAGTTTATTTTTTTCAAATAGATAAACCACATTTTAACATTTTCATTGTTTTCATTTTATAGTTGATCGAAGAAGAAATACGTGAACTGGAATTCGAGCGAGCTGAAACAAAATCGAATGCTGACAAGATTTTAGAATTGCAGCATTTGGTACAACTCAACAAAAATGAGAATCTTTCTTTAAAAAAGGAAGTGAAAAACCTTCAAAGTTTGCTGAAATATTCAGAAGAAAATAGAGCGAAACTGGAAGAAAAGCTAAAATCAGCACAAATACAATTGGAAAAGTTGGAAAAGAGTTTGGTAAGTTAACTTGAAATTTGAATAGTTTCAAAGCATCGTATGTTATACATAGTATTTGTCGCAAAGTTAAAGGCTCCTCAAAAGTAGTAAAACATCCAAGGGATTGTTTCTGGAAACGGCCAGAAAAATATTCCATAAACTAGGTACCACGTAAATTATTTAGGGCTGTAAATAGTTCACACGAACACACCACACACGCGGCGAGGCAGCAGCGAACACACTTTCACACCAAACACACGAATACACTAGACACCCGAAGACACTATGCACCCGAATACACTGCACACGAACACACTGTTTTTTCTTTTTTAATTAAGGTTGATTCTAGCGACTGAAAAATCTTTTTAAAATTTGTACATTGAAAAAACGCCACTCATTTTTTAGTGAATTGAAAGTTTTGAAACAAATCTTTTATTGCCAATATTTTTCTTCAAAATTGAATTATTTTATAAGATTTTTACTTTTTTGCAGATTGAAAAACACAAATTGTTTCGGGAGGCGAATGGAAATCCTACAAAATCTATACCAAAATTGGATCAACAAAATAGAAATGTTTTTGGAAGTGATGAAAATGTGGCGGCAGATGAAAAAGGAGAAGAAAATGCAGAAAAGAAAACCAATAATGGAATTTCGGAAGAGTTGAAAAATGAATTGGCGAATAATTCGAAGGAATTGAAAGGTATGTTTTTTCTGGTACTCGAAAATAACTTTAAAAATTTAGTTATTTTCGAGCTCTGGAGCTCGGAAAAGCATAATTTTGTTGAAAAATTGATTTTTCTGAATCCTGGAGCTTGAAAAATACAAATGTTTTCCAAATTTAGTTATTTTCGAGCTCTGGAGCTCGGAAAAGCATAATTTTGTTGAAAAATTGATTTTTCTGAATCCTGGAGCTTGAAAAATACAAATGTTTTCCAAATTTAGTTATTTTCGAGCCCTGGAGCTCGGAAAAGCATAATTTTGTTGAAAAATTGATTTTTCTGAATCCTGGAGCTTGAAAAATACAAATGTTTTCCAAATTTAGTTATTCGGGAGGCGAATGGAAATCCTACAAAATCTATACCAAAATTGGATCAACAAAATAGAAATGTTTTTGGAAGTGATGAAAATGTGGCGGCAGATGAAAAAGGAGAAGAAAATGCAGAAAAGAAAACCAATAATGGAATTTCGGAAGAGTTGAAAAATGAATTGGCGAATAATTCGAAGGTATTGAAAGGTATGTTTTTTCTGGTACTCGAAAATAACTTTAAAAATTTAGTTATTTTCGAGCTCTGGAGCTCGGAAAAGCATAATTTTGTTGAAAAATTGATTTTTCTGAATCCTGGAGCTTGAAAAATACAAATGTTTTCCAAATTTAGTTATTTTCGAGCTCTGGAGCTCGGAAAAGCATAATTTTGTTGAAAAATTGATTTTTCTGAATCCTGGAGCTTGAAAAATACAAATGTTTTCCAAATTTAGTTATCCGGGAGGCGAATGGAAATCCTACAAAATCTATACCAAAATTGGATCAACAAAATAGAAATGTTTTTGGAAGTGATGAAAATGTGGCGGCAGATGAAAAAGGAGAAGAAAATGCAGAAAAGAAAACGAATAATGGAATTTCGGAAGAGTTGAAAAATGAATTGGCGAATAATTCGAAGGTATTGAAAGGTATGTTTTTTCTGGTACTCGAAAATAACTTTAAAAATTTAGTTATTTTCGAGCCCTGGAGCTCGGAAAAGCATAATTTTGTTGAAAAATTGATTTTTCTGAATCCTGGAGCTTGAAAAATACAAATGTTTTCCAAATTTAGTTATTTTCGAGCTCTGGAGCTCGGAAAAGCATAATTTTGTTGAAAAATTGATTTTTCTGAATCCTGGAGCTTGAAAAATACAAATGTTTTCCAAATTTAGTTATTTTCGAGCCCTGGAGCTCGGAAAAGCATAATTTTGTTGAAAAATTGATTTTTCTGAATCCTGGAGCTTGAAAAATACAAATGTTTTCCAAATTTAGTTATTTTCGAGCTCTGGAGCTCGGAAAAGCATAATTTTGTTGAAAAATTGATTTTTCTGAATCCTGGAGCTTGAAAAATACAAATGTTTTCCAAATTTAGTTATTTTCGAGCTCTGGAGCTCGGAAAAGCATAATTTTGTTGAAAAATTGATTTTTCTGAATCCTGGAGCTTGAAAAATACAAATGTTTTCCAAATTTAGTTATTTTCGAGCCCTGGAGCTCGGAAAAGCATAATTTTGTTGAAAAATTGATTTTTCTGAATCCTGGAGCTTGAAAAATACAAATGTTTTCCAAATTTAGTTATTTTCGAGCTCTGGAGCTCGGAAAAGCATAATTTTGTTGAAAAATTGATTTTTCTGAATCCTGGAGCTTGAAAAATACAAATGTTTTCCAAATTTAGTTATTTTCGAGCTCTGGAGCTCGGAAAAGCATAATTTTGTTGAAAAATTGATTTTTCTGAATCCTGGAGCTTGAAAAATACAAATGTTTTCCAAATTTAATTATTTTCGAGCCCTGGAGCTCGGAAAAGCATAATTTTGTTGAAAAATTGATTTTTCTGAATCCTGGAGCTTGAAAAATACAAATGTTTTCCAAATTTAATTATTTTCGAGCTCTGGAGCTCGGAAAATCATAATTTTGTTGAACAACGTTAATTATCCGCACAAGCTCAGATTCTTATCAAAACGTCCCAAACTTGTTACCGTGATTATAATTATTTAGTTTCACCTATTTTAAAGTAAATAATCAAAGTCTCATAGTGATTTTTCATGTTTGAGTCAAGGTAGAGGGGTTGTTCGTGACAGTATGAAACGCAAAAACAAGATTTTTTACACGCTTCTTTTTTCCAAGTGATTTTCATACTTCGCGGGGTAAATTTGAAACAATTTCAGAATTTTAGAATCATAGCAGAATTTTTTAAATGTTTTTTGGGTATTAAATAATAAATTCATCGAGATTTTACTCTCTGAAAAAAAGCCGTCAGCCTCGTCATTTCTCTCCGCATTCATCGTATTTTTTAGCCCAAAAAATGGAAATGATCGTAAACCTCAGAAAATATGCCAAAACCGGAGAATCCCCAGAGAAAGTGAGTTCGAAATGAGTTATTTCATATTCGTGATGTTTGTGAATATACAATTTTGCAGCTCGATTTATTGCTGGCAATTTCACCAACACTCAATTATAAACATCGACCATGTCTATCCCAAAATGCTTTTGGGAAAACATTTGGAAAAGAAGCAGCAGTGAGTTAAACCCAATCAAACTGGATTCGAAGCACCATAATATTTTTTAGTTGATTTCTTATGATCTGTTCTGGATATTCGAGAACGAATTCTTAAGAACTAATTTAATGATCCTTGTGAAGATCAAATATGCACATATCACCAATAAATTGATGGAAAGTGTTAGAATATCATTCAACAAATCTCCGCAATCCACAGTGTCATGTTTTGAAGAGATGACGGAAGAATGGCCAGTCCGAGAAGTGGACGAAAAGAAAAACATAAAGAAGAATACCTTCTACACACAGGTGAGTATACACAAAAACACGAGAATGTATTATTTTTCGAATTTATTTTTTTACAGAAGTTTCAAGAAATCGAACAACACGAGGTTGTTAAGTTTTTGAAGAATATTAAAGTTGATGAGCATTCCATCGCTCGCTATATTCTGAACTTAAGAGAACCTTCTGATGCAGAAATTGAATTTTTCCGGTGAGTTTCCGTCTAGATCTCAAGGTCTCATTTGGAAAAACAAACATTTCACGATTTATTCATATTTTAATTCGTTTAAGAGAGCTCGCCGCTAAAAACACGCACTGCCATCGTTGGAATGAGGAAAAAGTGGCGGAAAAAGTGAAGGAATACGTCAAAAGAAGAATGAATTGAGAGTATGCACAATGTATTTTTGGAACTTAAGTGAATAAACTGTTTTTGGATAATTCTCGCCTTGAATTTTGAAATGATGCAAATTTGCCAAGTGCAAATTGCCGTGGCGAGTCTGTAAAAAATGACGTGGAAAAAGTCCACGATTTCGAATTTTTAGTATCCAAAATAAAAATGACCTTATTCCATCTATCAAATTGTCTCCGAATCGACATTTTCCTCGTCGAATCGATCCAACTCATCCCAAAATCGAAGTACCTGCGAAAAATTCTTCTATTGAAACTACGAATTTTATATGATTCGGAACAATACAAAATGCAAACTGACCGAAAAAACCGCAAATTTGTACCTGATTGACCAGAGAAATCGAGCAAAACTGAAAAAAAAAACATTTTTTTAAAGCTGAAAATTCAGATTTTTGGCTACAATTCCAGCTTTTCCCTCACCACAAACATTCAATTTCGAAATTTCAAGGTTTCGGGTCAGGGAAAAGCTGAAAATTGTGATTTTCACGGATTTTCGAGAGAAAACCACTGTTTCCCTAGTTTTTAAGCTGAAAACCAGGTCAATTGTACAACCCTTGGAAAAAAATAACCCTAAGAATGTTTTCCTTCTGAATCTGAGGGCTTGAAAATAACTCACAATAACTGTAAATCATAGTTATTGTGAATAACTCTGACATAAATGTCTAAAAATATATTCTAAGAAAAACTTTTTATTAACCCTAAAGGTGAAAAAGTATAAATTTCACATTGTTTTAGTAATTATCCGGAATGAATAATCATGTTTCTGAAATTCACTTCTCGTAATTCAAAAAACTCTAAAAAAAACACCCTTTTCTAGGAAATTTCAATTTCAATGAGTTATTTCTGAGGGTTGTTCAAGTCCGCGGGATATTTATTTTCAGAGGGTTAAATTTTTTAGGGTTATTTTCAAAGGGTTGTACAATTGACCCAATACAAAATGTCAATACACTCTCTGCGCCGCGAAACTTCCTTATTTATGCACATCCAAGAAAAATGAATGAACTTCTTTTATGAATCGATGTAACTTTTACTACTCTGGAAAATTTTTAGAAGCAGAGAAAAACAGTACTGTGCCCAGCACTTTTGTGGTGAAATTTATTTATTTTTCTCCGCTGAATTTCCAAAATATAACTGATAAAATCTAGAATTTTCATGATTTTCTAATTAAAAAAAAAAGAAAATCAAGAAAATTCTGAATTTTATTAGTTTCTCTTTGGATATTTCAGAAGTTCTCTTTTATTTTATAATAAATACTTACCAAATCGCCAATATTGATTGTTGATGGGGGCGCAGTTGTTGATTGGCACCCTGGAATAAAAAAATAAATTTTGTGATTAAAAATATAAGTTTTTGATTAAAAATTCAAAAATTGGGCATAGCTTCCGCATCTCCGCTGAAATTCCAAAAAATAACTAATAAAATCCAGAGTTTTGAAGATTTTCTAATAAAAAAAATGAAAATCAAGAAAATTCTAAATTTTATTAGTTTCTTTTCGGATATTTCAGAAGTTCTCTGTTATTTTATAATTAATACTTACCGTAACCACAATGTGAATTGTCCAATGGGGGCGATTTCGTTTGCTGGTACCCTGGAATAAAAATTGAATTTATATATATATATGAAAATATAAGTTTTTGATCAAAAATTCAAAATTTGGGCATAGCTTCCACATCTCCGCGGAAACTCTAAAAAATAACTAATAAAACACGACCATTTACTCCAATAGAAAATTGCCCCTCGGGTCAGACGAGAGACGACGGGAGTCTGATGACGTCATCTAAGACAGAGAAAGACATCGCTTCGAGATATTTTTGAGAAAATATGTGTCCCTTTAAAAAAATACCGTATTTTGTTTCAAGGAACACATGTTTTATTGAAAATATCTCGAAGCGAAATTCATTTTCGGCATATTTTTGCAAAATACTCTCGTCGTCTCGCGTCTGACTCAACGGGCGTCTTGTATGGTCGTGAAAATGCAGAGTTTTCATGATTTTCTAATTAGGACTGATTCACGAGCGAAAAAAATGTTTAAAAATGTTTTTTTAACATCGAAAGATCAATTCACGAAAAGTCGAAAAATGTCGAAAAAACATTGTAGGTCAAAATTAGTTTTTCAAGTTTTTCAGCCAAAAATGATGACAAATCGAGATTTTTGAAGCTTCTGGAGTAATTTCTGATGAGAATAACCGTCGAGAACCTTATTTTACCTCATTTTATTAATTTTTTCGAAATTCATCAAAATTTGAAATTTTTTTATTTTACGAAAAATCAGCAAAAACTTCTGAAAAGTGGATTCCGAGGTCAATTTTCATCAGAAATCACACCAGAAGCTTCAAAAATCTCGATTTGTCATCATTTTTGGCTGAAAAACTTGAAAAACTAATTTTGACCTACAATGTTTTTTCGACATTTTTCGACTTTTCGCGAATTGATCTTTCGATGGTAAAAAAACATTTTTTAACATTTTTTTCGTTCGTGAATCAGCCCTATTAAAAAAAAATACGATTTTTTGGTTGGCGCATAGAAAAAATTAAAATTCGCGGGCAGGTTTTGAATTTTTTGTGTGTTGTGTGTTAAAGACACATCAGCCACTGGAAATGAGTCAGAAATGGTGTTGTTATTCTTTCATAACATGTTCTAAGGAATCGAAATACATAAAAATAAAGAAAAAATTTTGAGCCTGGCAAAAGTAAAAAAAAAAATAATTGTTTTTGAAAACGCTCAGCCGACGGGAATTTTTTGACGGTGTTTGCACACACTCCGTGACACTTTTGTGTACCGTATTCCTTTTATTTATTTTTTTTATTTTTGTTCAATTTTCCAATTTTTACTTCGTCTTTTCCCGATTTTTCATGTTTTGAACTGTTTTCATTTCACAAAAGATGGAGAAATGCGATTTTTGTTTAAAACCGACAACAAGCAATAAAAAATTTACATACTCCAAAGAGTTTTATGCCATATTCGCTGCAGGAATTACCGCCGGAAAGTTGTATACGCCGGATATCAAGCGATTATGTAATCTGAACCGAATCAAGATTTTGATGATATCTTCTAATGCCCTCAAAAAACCAAAAACGTTGAATTTCAGCCCAAAATGCAGTGATCCGGAGTTGAAGATCGAATTGGATGGTTGAATTCTAGGAAATTATGTTGTCGACCTACTTCCAGCAATTAATTGACAGACAATTTTGAAAAAAATCACCAAAACCTCTCAAAAATCGTGAAAAGTCCAATTTCAACACTGAATTGATGTAAAACTTCCAAAAATCTCAGAAACCCCTAAAAAATCTCAGAAAAATCAAATTTCAGCAAGAATTGTGTGCTCCAGAATTGAAAATCAGATTGGATGGTCGAATTCCGTGAACTTGGATTGTCAAGAAACTTCCAGCACCAAATTAATCAAAAACCTCGAAAAAATTCGAAATAAATCTCCCAAAACCCTCAAAATAACGAAAAGCTCAAATTTCAGCCAAAAATCGTGTGCTCCAGAGTTGAAAATCAGATTGCATGGTCGAATTCCATTAACTTGGATTGTCGAGGAACAGAATTCATCGAAAATGTCAAAAAAATTCAGAAAAATCTGATTTCAGCCAGAAATTTGTTGAAATAACTCGAAATGTAGAAATCCATAAAAATAAAATTCTTCTCCGTAAAATTCTGCTTCGATTAATATATTGATCAATGAAATTGGTTCAGAATGAGACGAAAACGATCAATCTCAAAAACGCCAAGTCTCAAATTGAAAATGTGTGTTTGCAAGTTTGTGTGCATTTTCCCTTTCACCGCATATGCCTCTTCGGTTTCTCATTTTCATGACTATCTATTCACAGCGAAATGGGCAGTTTTAGACGGGCTTTCAGATCAGCACAAGACATCCTGATGAAATTGGCGTTCTGATTCATAAACTACAAACAAACGAAATCCTCGAAAAAAAAAACAATAAATATTCTCCGAGAGAAATACACAGACGTGTGTGCAACAGAGCGCACATGCTGTTTTGTCATTTGAAAAATATTGCGCGAAATCTGTTTTTTCCAGTGGCTGATGTGTCTTTAAGACGCAGTTGCTGTTTGCAATGTTCCTTTGAATTGTACCGTACCACACAAACTTCTCAGACAAGTTGTACGATTAATCGCCGAGTAAAGCGAACTTACGATTAATCGCCTGAACTAAATTAACACAGGCGATTAATCGGTCAGCCAGCAGCTAATTCAAGTTACTAGGCGATTAATCGTCCAACTTCTCTGAGTTTTTTATTCTTTTTTTTTCGCCGGCCGCGGCCCGCCGGCGGGAAGTCTACTTTCATTCTTTCTGACATTTTTGCGCTGATAGTTTTTCCAGCAGAACGCAAGCATCATTTCCCAACTTTTTCTCCCGCTGAAATCGACACTTCACTGAACTTTCACGATAAAAAAACAGAAATTTGAATTTCTATAGAAATAATAAATATTTTTGAAATGAAAATCTGCCCTACGCTTCACGCGGAATTTCTTTTCTTGCGAAAAGCATTTCTAAATAAGAAAAGGTTGGGAAATCATGCTTGTGCTGTATTTACAATGTTTTTCATTCACTTTCTACTAACTTCACTTTTCAGACACAAACTCACAATGGATGATTCTTATGAAAACATCACTAGTTATAAATGTGCAAAACCTTACTGTAAGTTTTTGTTGCAAAGTATTTGATGGGGCAATTCAGTTTAACTTTTTCTCAATAGAAAAAATAGACGGGGAATTTCGAAAAAAAACAACTTTTTCTTGATTTTGAAATAAATTCGATCAGTCAAGATTTTCGAACTACTTATATAGTTGAAAATCGTAAATAATTCATCGAAATTTCAGGTTATCAAAAACCGGCATATTTCATGACGGGTTGCAAGCATTTTCTGTGCCAACAGTGTTGCAATGGTTATGGTTTTGTGAGTAGGAAAATAAACATCTGATTTTGACATGATTTTTTCAGCATGGTGATGAAAAACATCGAGGTTGTGAAATATGTTCAAAGTCTTCGAATTGCGTAACAGTTGCAAAAGTTGTTGAATGTAAGTTTTCAACGTATTTTCATATTCATTGAATTGAAGTTATGTTTACAGCAATCAACAATAAAAGAATTAGTTTGAAGAGAACATTGGAACAACAAATCAATCAACTGGAAGGAAAAACGAATGAATTGCAGAGAAAAACGGATGAACTGGAAGCTAAAAAGATCAAACTTGATTTATTCGAGAAATCAATAGAAGATCATTTGGAATGTTCGGAATGCGATTTGACAGAATCAGAACAAAGGTAGCATTTGAAATTGAAATCCATTCCAAACACTGAATTTGTTCACAGATTACAATTATGTGAGAATTGCCATGGATTGGAATTTGATAATTTGGATGGCGCCAAGAATTGTGCAATTTGTTCTAGTTGCTCAATCAAGAAACATATTCGCAATGGACATAACACTGTGGACTTTTTCCCGATTTTTGTAAGTTTAGTGATTTATTATCAGCAAATGAAATATGTTTGATTTTCAGAGATCACTTCATTATGAAAACCACTCAATCAAGATCAAAGAAAACATGGAGCACTTCGAAAATTCTCGAACAGCTTTCGGCAATGATTCAAATGATTTTGTTGATGTAAATGAAAAAGTAAAGGAGGTATGGTTTTCGAAATTGCAAAATCAGGCTGTTACTCATTTTAAATGTTTTTTAGCAAATGGATATCTTGACTGAAATGGTTCGAAGAAGCAAATCAACAAAAAATCAACAATTATTGAAGGATAAATTGAATGAATTTATTGAGAAGGTTCGAGTTTTATTCCGAAATTATTTACAGTCAAAATTTATGAATTTCAGTCAAATACTATGGCGAAAACTGCGAACTTCAACTTGCAAAAACATGTCAAAGAGATGGGCGATCAACTGGAAATTATGAAAAAATGGAATGAGGATCACCAAGATTATGCTGATTTATCTATGACCGATTGATTTTTATATTTTTCTTGTGAGTCATTTTTATTTATTACACCCTTATGAATTTTCACGCGTCTTTGAGTCGGAAACTTCGTGGGTGGTCCCGGAGACATATAATCAGAACACCGAAAAACATTGCGACATTTTTTATGATGAGATCAGACAGGACAAAAAGCACAGAAAAATGGGGGCGAGAAATGGAAAAGTAATAAAATTTTTGGGGGTGGGTGTCAACGGTTTTTAATGTGTGTGTGATATGGGCAAAAAACTCTCTCTATATAAAAAACGGGGGAAAAAAATGACATTTTCAAAGAGACAGATAAAAGAAGATTATTGGGAGATTGATTTAAGCAAATGATTGACTTCTTGTGCAACACATCCATAGACAAGTTTGAATTGATCACCGGTTGAAACCATGCCTGCAAAAAATTCGGGGACTAGAATTAGTGGCCGAGGTTTTCAAACAAAAATTTCGAAATTTTTTTTGTTGGAAAATCTTTTTTCTAAAACTAACCATCTCGTTGATCGCGCAAATGTTCAACAGTCGCAACAACATCGATTTGTCGAATTCCACGAAGTAGCCGAGCACATAGCACATCGACAGCACAATAAACACCAGTTCGGCCACTTCCATCCCAGGAATGAACCAGAACTGCTGATGATCGACCGCGATATGATTTGTTGACTTTTCTGAAATCAAATTACTTTGAATATGAACAAAATTTTTTTGAAAACAAAAAAAAACCTTCTGAATTCGAGAAGACTTTTCGCGGATGGTGGAGTCAAATCTTTTTGCCACGACAAATAGTGGAATTGTGTGATTGTGCGAGTCTGGCTGTTTTGCAAATTCTTCAAGTAGAATGATCGAACCAAATAGTCATCTGACCAAATGTGTTCGGATACCAAATGAATCTCGAATGCTCCGTGAACTTCACTTCCAGTATCTGGCCAATAGTTCTTCTCCTGCTTGCATTCATCACCGGTTGAGATGTTGACAACAAGGCAAACTCCGTGTTGCCAGACGGTTTGCCAGAATGCTGCGATTTGATTGGAGGATGGAGTTTGAGCAGCAATGTAGACAGCTTGTCTGGAAATATTGTTTTTGATAAATATTGTGGTGAGAAAAAAATCTAGTTACCTTGGATCATCGTCATAAATGAAACTAGCATTCAAATAATAATCATCACTTTCTGGAGTCTTCCCATCGATTTCAACAATATTATCATCAACTGCAAAATACAATTTACAATAAAATTCTCAAAAAAACGTATAGTAACTCTTACATGGTTGAATAGTTCTGTTTTGATTTTCGAATTTGTTTGCCTTAACCTTGGTTCTCTCTTCATTCCGATAATCTTTGATTCCATTCCATTGAGCCTCGATCTTTGTCGGTTCACTCAAATATTCTTGCAAGAAGTTCAAGACAACATGCCCGGTTGAAATATCAATCGTTGGTCCCGATGTTTCTTCACACCACGAGGATGTTGATGAAGATTTGGATGCTCTTCCACCATCAGCTCGTTGTCTGCACAAATCTTGATATGCGAAACTGGTTTTTCCGCCATCGAGTTGTTCGGCGATTTGTTGAATGTTGTCTTTGTAGTGACGACGATTTTTGGCGAGTTGAACAGCGGCGACGAGTCCGAGAGTTGTGATTGTGAAAGCACAGACGAAGAGGACTGGCATCAAGAACCAATCACGATCTGAAGATTCGACTGGTAGACTTTCTTCACCACTTCCGATTCCGGTTTCACGAACATCGGCTCCAGAAAGTCGCGCAATGTCTTTTCGTCGTTTGTCTGAAAATTTGAAGTTTCCAAATTTGTTCTTGAATTGTTAATTTTGAAATACAGTGCTCCAAGAACTAGAACTTTCGGCATTTTGTTCAACTATTTTTCAATAAAAATATTCTACAGTAACTTTGGAACTTTGAAAAATCTAAGATTTTGATCTACAGTGTTCTTACAGTGTTGTTAGGATCTCAATAATCCGAGAAGTCACAAATTTCTGAGCTACAGATTTTCGGGGCGAAAAATTGACCGAATTTTAAGTAGTGAAGTACAGTATCCTGATTTAGAGCTCCAAACTTACAAACAGCGCTGGCAACTCCTTCAACAGTATCAATTCTCTTGTCATCTTTTGGCTTGACTCCATCCAATTTAGTTATTCTCATTGAAAGTTGTCCATTTTCAAAATCGAAATCATCAAAGAAAAGACCATTTGGAATTGCAATTGTATTTTGCAAGAATTCAATAAGTGGCATCAATTGGTCATCGTTTTTCAAGTGAACCTAAAATTCCAAGATTTTTTTTAAGCCTTGAAATCAGATCAAACCTTCAAATAAACTCGATTTCCATCAACTCTTGTAACAATATTCTTCTTGCCTTTCACAATTTTGTGCTCAACCTTTTCCAAACCTTGATCCAATTCTCCAATCTGCTCAATATCTTTCTTCAAAATCTCCTGATGTTCTCCATTTTTCTCTTCAAGATCTTCCAAAGGAATCGCCAATTCTTCTTCACCAGTTTGTTCAACATTTTCAACATTTTGTTTCAAATCAACTAATCGATCAATTAGATTTTTCAATTGATCATCTGACAAAATTGTGAAATCTGGTTTCTGATTGTTGAGAATCGCTTGAATATATCCATCAAGAACTGGATCTTCTTCTTCATTGATCGCTTCTTCGATGTCTTGTTCAGATGGTTGAATTGGTTGTTTGAGTTGTTCAATGATTTGTGGCATTTCTTCATCGATTCCATTTTCGATTAGATTTTCATCGTTATCGATTGGATTTTCGAGAAGTGTTGGATCTTCAGACAAACCAGTGTCAATTAGCTGAAAAGTTTTGAGGATTTATAGGCCTGCATCCCCATACTAACCTGAATCAACGCCCAAACATTGGCCGGTTTTCTGACCTGACAAAAGTCCGGATCATACTGTAGACCATAGTACATGGACAATTTGAAATAGGCCAAAACACATTGTGTCTGCTCATCAGTCCAATCCAAATCACGAGCTGCTAATCTTTCCAACTCCAATTTCAACAATTCAGCCTGCTCTTCATCAAGTTCACCCAAAATAGTTGGTGTAGGTTGGCCTGATTCTGGCGAATAACATTGACCGAACACGTTGTCTTGAACACAGATCTCATTGTTGTCGCACAACTCATCGTTTAGATTACAACCTGCAAACATTCAGCTGAACAGTTATGCTAAGTTCCCCTTCAGAACCCGAAAATTGTACGAATTTTATTGTTGTTGTCTCTTGTTCTGTTATTATTCACTGACTCAGTCAGCTTTTTTTATTTTTATTTAGATTAGATTCAGAAGAATGAGAGAGGGAGAAATGAAAAGAGACTTAGGAATAGAGACGAAAAATAGTAGGCTGCATTTGGCTCTTGATTATAATACTGACAGGTGATTCTTAATTAATTTTCAAGCGTTCTCCCCGAAATTTTATTTCAGATGGATGTATATATACAATTGTACGAAAGCCTGAGAAAAGGCTAAAAAATCGGACCAGGCTTCAGGCTTCAGGCTTGTTCCCTAGGCTTGAAATTTAGTTTCAAAAAATCCCGGCATGCCTATTCGGCCCGAAATCTAGGAAGAAGCAAGAAATCCAAGCCTTGAGACTTCTAGGCTTAAAATTGAAGCCTCATAGGCTCTCTAACCTGGGCCTTGAACCTCTAGGCTTAAATTTCAGACTTCAGACCTCTATTTCTGAAATCCTTGTTCGCTAGGCTTAAAAATTAGAAAAAAGCCAGATATAGCCTTGAGCCTTCTAAGCCTAATATTGAGGTTCAAAACTTCTCTTAGGCTTTCGGGCTCCCCGGCCTCAAGTTCAAGCCTTATGGATCTAAAATTTAAAAAAAACCGGTTAAGTCTAAAAGTTCAAACCTCGGGTAACCTATTCCCAAAATCGAGGAATAGCCTGAAACCCAGGTCCCAATTTTATAGGCTCGAAATTCAGGATTCAGCTTTCTAATTCTGAAAATCCGGGCTATCCAAGCCCCCTGAGGCCTTTCAGCTCCCCCCAGAAAATGTGCAATTTTTCCATGAGCCCTTTGATAAATTGCAGGGTTTCATCTTTGAAATGCGAGGATAATTGGATTAAAATTTACATAGTTCTTAGAAATTCCAAAACATTCCGGAAGTACTTAATCTAATTTTTTTTTGAAATCAACGATTTTTTGAAATCAACGATGGAGGAAATGGCCTAGAAACCAAATAGATCAAAGGAGCCGACAAAGTCTACTGTAGTCTCTTCCATGATTCTAAAAATATAGTATTCTGCACTTTCATCGATCATCAAATATCCTTCTGTTATCTTCTTCTCAAAAATTGTGCCCAAAATAGCAGCAAAGTGTGTCCTCTAACTTCCCCCGTATTCAACCACCAAAAAAAGTGACGAATTCTTTTTTCTTTCTTCTGCTCTTTTTCTCAGCTTTCTCTTTCAAGTAAACAGCTGATTTCATGTGTATGTGCTCATATATGTGCTCATATTGAATGACGTCTTTTTAAGGGGGAGAGGAGGCGGGATTGATGAAAAGAAAAAGGAAAGCTTAAAATTATCGAGAGAGAAATGGAAAAACAAGAGAATTAGAGAAGGAGAGAAAATGAATGTGAACGTCATTCTGAAAAATAGAGGAAATCAAATTAATTATGATTATGGGGGTGTTGAAATTGGGCTGCTGACAAAATAGCTATTTTGAGTCATGTGTTATAATTAGGCGAGAATTATTGGAATTTTGTGCGAATTTTGAGTGAGAAATCTAGCTGCCACGAATTTTTCCAAGCTCAGAAGTATCATAAATTTAGTACGGAATTACGACTAGACTCTAGTTTGACACCTGGGAAAATCAGAGTTTGTTAAAAATACATCTGAGCCTATGAGCCTGAAAATCTAGTTACAATATTTCAGAACTGTGATTTTCAAGAAAATATTTCTCTACTGTAATTTTTTTCAGAAAATTCCAGCTGTCACAAAATGTTCCCAATTTCCCAAAATTCTAGAACTCACAGATTTTATACCCAATTTTGGATCCATTATTTTTTTGAGAAATGATAAATGTTCCATTTTTAAAAAAATTTCACGTGAAGAATTTCCAGTGTCAAACTAGAGTCTAGTTCCACAATTAAAGGGATCCCAGCTTTGAAGCAAAAAGTTAAATTAGTCTAAATTTAGGATTTTCCGGCGGATCAAACTAGAGTCTAGTATAGATTAATATGTTCCCGGGGTCAAACTAGAGTCTATTCTTCTTGCTTACGTCCATGTTGATTTCCGATTATCTAAACTTCCACTGTCAACTTCAGATTCTCAGCCTGCCCAATTATTTTTTTTTTGCAAAAACTTTTTTCCCCGAAAAGTGCGTTTCACTTGAGCAAAAAGGAGTATTTAGCGATTCCGAGTCCGATGAAGAAAAAAAGAGAACAGAAAAAAAATAATTGAGGGGGAGAGCTCTAAAAATAGACGGGTTACTCAACTTCTCATCAAATTTCTTCATTTTTTTGTGTGGTTTGGTCAAAAATAATTAATCATCTCATCTCATCTGAAATTGAATCTGACTCATTTGCTGGTTTTGTAGGTGACTAGAATATTGTATTCACATTTTTTTCTTATTTGTATTCAATTCTGGGAGAAGAAGAAAAAGACACATTTCACGGACTATTGGAAAAAGAAACGCGATGAGATGAGATGAGATGAGCTAATTCGATTTTGACGTCGGACTTTGACCTCTTATTCTGCTCGTCCAGAAAGATTTATAGATGTCGACAAGAGAAAAAACAAATCAAATTGAGCTCTGAGCAAGCTCTGAAGATGTCCTATTCTTAAGAAAAAACAAAGAGACATCATTCAAAATTCGGGAAAACATGTGATTTTTTTTTTTGGTTCCAGCAAGAAAATTTGTCACGCAATATTTTCTCAGAATCTCGAATCTCTTCCCCCGAATTTTTAACCCGGATGAGTATTATCCCCCATTTTTCAACAAAAAACGAAGGATACACGGCGTTTCGTTTTCAAATAATTAATCGAGAAAGGAAATGTGCACTTTAGTTGGCACCAATTGAAAAGAAACGAGAGAGAGAGTGGATCTGGTTAGAGACGCAGAGGAAAAAAAATAAGCTATCAAGTTTCGTTTTTTCCTATTTCCCGAAATTTGCTCCAATTTCCACCACAAATCCGTCATGGAAACGGAACGAACAGCTGAAAATAGAACACAAAAGGTTTTCAAGGAAAATATAGGTTATAATATAACAAAGATTCAGAAGGATACAGTAATCTGGGAGATAGGAAATTAAATTTATGAGAAAAACAGATTTTTTATTTGATACCTTTTTAATATGAATCTGAATCGGAGAGGTTCGAAAATCTTTGTGGAAAATTTGGCTAATGTAAAACCTTAGCTACTTAAGACCTTAGCTTAAGCCTAAGGCTAGGCCTAGAGATTTGACTGAGCCTTAACTTATGCCTAAGAATTTGATTAAGCCTAAGTCTAGGCCCATAGGTTCGGGACCTAGCTTTTGGCTTAACAAAATTGCTGGCCCTAAACTCAGGCTTATCCAGACCTCTAGGCCAAACCTTAGGCTTAGCTGAACCTCTAGGCCTAAGCTTAGGCTTATCCAAACCTCTAGGCCTAGGCTCAGGCTTATTCAAACCTTTAGGCCGAAGTTTAGGCTTATCCGAAAGTCTAGGTATAAGCATAGGCTTAGCCAAACTCTTAGGTCCAGCCTTAGGCTTATCCAAGTTCCGGGGCCTAAGCTTAGGCTTATCCAAACCTCTAGGCCTAAGCTTAAGTTTAGCTGAATCTCTTGACCTAGCCTTAGGCTTAACCAAACCCCATTGGAAGTTGGGGCCCCCAAAATTTCGCCCGAAAAGCTTCGAACATCGTCACCATTTTCTCACGATTTATAAATCCACTCACGCGGTTTTTTTTGAAACGAAAAAAAACCTTCTAGAATTTTTTATGCCTAGATTATTTTTCAAAACCAGAAGAAAAATCATGTTTTTAAATTTTTGTCCAAATTAATTCCACGACGAGTTACCTCAACTTGAATTGTCAAAACCAAACCCAAAATTTCAAAAAAACTAACCATACAACAAAAGTGAATCACTCCGTCCAGCCACTAGCAATAACCCAAAAACGATCAAAAATATTTTCTTGCTCAACACATAATAATCATAATTTTTAGTTATTGTCATAATTAACTAATTATATACCAACATATAAGATAATAATGGATTTATGACTACTCCATAGGCGTGTGTGCGCGAGCCGAAAACGAGCCGCCACAACACAAAAATGAGCTCGAAAAGAGGGCGGAGCCCCCATATATATTCATACTACTTCAGAAGCGAGACACGCAGACAACAGGGAAAAGCTTATCGATTTTTTTTCGTTCTGAAAAAAAGGAGAGAGAAAGCCCAGTTTAGTAATAGTAGTATATATTGAGAAGAGAAAAAAGGCAAAGCTCTTTAAAAAAATTGGACACGAAAATTTTTGTCGTGTTGTTTTGAAGAGGCCTGGTCACTATAGTAAATAGATATTTTCTGTTCGGTTTTTTTTTGGAATATGCGAGGGGATTCTTGATATGAAAACAATAATTATTCGGGAGCAGGAAACACGGAATCCAGCCAGGTCCAATTTTTCGGAAAAAATTCTGAAAATGGTTTTGGATCCCATTTTTCTGGTCCAAAAATTTAGCATAATTTTTTTCAGATTTCGACAAGTTCCAGAATAATTTTCGAAAACTCGAGTTCTGTTCGTCCAAATTTTCCAAATGTTTTTAGAGCTCACCAAGCACATTTTGAAATAATGGCTCCAAAAAGCTCAGAATCGCACTAATGGAAAGTTAATGGTGGTCTAATGAGCTTCTGAAGCGCAATTTAATGGGGGATTCCTTTTAAAGACTTCTGACCAGTTGAAAATTAGTTTTGAGGTTTTTTAACAGTTTTTTAGTTCTTCTCTCTTTAGCAAAATTCAATCCGAAATACTCGCAGAAAAAAAAAATAAATTCAAACGATTTGAAAAGCGCGGGGAACCACATACACCGTGACGCACAATTACACACAACAAACATTTGCTGACTACAGTACTCCAATATTAAGAAGTCAAAACTAACTTGGACTAAAAATTAAATTTTGAAATTTTTTGGAAAACTGGGTAAATCTGTTTAAAAAATTCCTGAATTTTTCACTCACAGAACATTTTCAAATTAGGAGTTACTGTAGTTCATTTTTCATTTTCAGACTTATTTTTCTCAATTTCAGGAAAAAATTTCGCACCTTTAGTTCGACCAGCTACCGGAAAAGTTCAGATCTTGAATAAGCTCAAAATTCCATTGTTCTGGATTTTGTTGCCTCCAGCTACCATGAGGAAAGCAAGTCGCTAATATTTTTATGAGAATTTTTATCCATGTGTACTTCTCTAGTTAGTCCCATGTGATCCGATATAAAATATTGTATTTATTATTCACACGGTTCATTCAAATGCTCCATCAGCGGAATTTGTTTAATTGAATCCAAAAAAAAAAATAATTTGGTGATAATCTGAAGTTCCCAAACCAAATTCTTCAAATAATTTTGAATCGCAACATTTTTTCTCTGCAAAATTTAATTGAATGATTCACAATTCTCGAAAAGCCTTTCTCGAAAAGCCTTCGAAAAGCCAAAGTCTAGAAGGGCTTCGCTGGCTAACGCCATCTACAGTAGTTTGACTTACTTTTTCTGATTAATTTTCCGGTTAGGGAAAGAGAAACATTGAGAAATGCCCAAAAATTGTTGACTTTTTCAGAGAATAGAACGATCAGATAAGAAACGTGTCCTAATATTTTTTTCGAATAAAAACGTGATCATTCTTTTTTACATGAAAAAAGTTTTGATTTTTCACGTGAATACTCGCGCATTTTTTAAAAAATTGAATATTAGCGCATCGATGGGAAAGAATTTGTGATAGAATGGTGAAGGTCTCATCAAAAATGGTCTTCTGGAAATTGAGAAAAGTCGAGCGACACATTTTAAAATCGAAAAATACATTGGAGTTTTCAAACTTTTCACTCTCCGCGCACTCACATACATTTTGAGGGAGAATTTTTGAAACGCGCATCATTGTGCCACCATTTAGAAACTTTTTCTTTTTTTGATCATCAATTTTTATGCGCACAGTTTTGAGAACGGACCGCGGACAGACTCTTGCCAAAAAAATTTTCCCAATTAGTATATAGTAGATATTTTATATCGGATAACATGGGACTAACTAGAAAAGTACACATGGATAAAAATTTTCATAAAAGTATTAGCGACCTGGTTTCTTCACGATAGCTGGAGACAACAAAATCCCGAACACTGGAATTTTGAGCTTGTCCAAGATCTGAACTTTTTCGGTAGCTGGTCGAACTGAAAGTGCCAAAAAAAATTTTTTTTACTGATATTGAGAAAAATATGTCTGAAAATTGAAGGCTCCTCATTTGAAAAGTTTCTGTGTGTGTAAAAAATAACATGGATAAAAAATAACAGGAAATGGGAAAATGTCGCAATTGCGACATTTCAAAAAAGAGAACAGGGGGGACCCCATTGAAAAATGCTTCTTCCATCGAGACACCACCCAATCGGGATTTTATTAAAAAGGTAGATATGCTTACAAAACAAAACAAATTTCATCAGATGAATGACATCACTTTTTCGCCTCTCCCCAAAAACAAAAACTTTTGAACTTTCAGCTTCTCCCTTTTTTTTTTGGTCGCAGATTTTTTGCCATAAAAACAGTAATAACATTACACATTTTTTTGCTGTATCGTATAGCTGAGCTATACATTTTCTACTCAAAAAATGGATGTTTTTTTGGGTAATATGTACTTTGTATAGTAGGAGTATGGTAGATGGAAATTATTATTTTGATTATTTATAATATTTATGAAAAATAAGGGAGATATTGAGAGAAGAAAAAGGGATATGGAATAACAAAAAGTACACTAGAAGTTAGATATTCAGAAGGATACGGTTCTGAAAATTATTCTCAAGAACTCTGAATCAAAAGGGTGGTTTTTAGGAAGAATCTTCGATTTTTCCAAAAAAAAAAACAATTTGAAGTGGAACAGGAAAACTTTTCCGAAAAAAGTTCAGAATATTTTTAGAATTTTATGATTTGAATTAGAATTTCTGGAAATTCTGATGCTCTAGGCGCTAAATCTAATTTTCTAGGCGTGGCTGCTTCACAACTAGGATTTCTAGGCCTGGCTACTTGGCATATAAGCTCTCAAGGCGCAGCTCCTTTCCAAAGTAGATCTCTAGATGTGAATCCTAGACAGCTATGTTCTATAGGCGCGTCTTCTTGAAAACTAGGCTCTCTAGGAGCTGATCTCTGACAATTAAACTTTATAGGCGTAGCTGCTTGACAACTAAGATTTCTAGGCGCAGCTACTTGGCATATAAGCTCTCAAGGCGCAGCTCCTTTCCAAAGTAGATCTCTAGATGTGGATCCTACAGAGTTATGTTCTATAAGCGCGCCTTCTTGAAAACTAGGCTCTCTAGGCGCTGATCCTTGACACTTGAATTTTCTACGCGTGGCTGCTTGACAACTATGCTTTCTAGGCTCGGCTACTTTCTAAGTTCTCAAGATTCCTAAAAATTCTCCATTTCCCCCCGTAAAAACTAGACACAAACTCATAAATCAGTGCTCCTCTCAGCAGAAAAAACACCACAATTCTTATCAAAAAACCCTCGACTTTTCACACAGATTATTTTTCCAAAAAATTTTTTGTTGTCGGGAAAAACGAAATATCAAAAAAAATTATGAATTATTGTCCGCAATATTTTCTACCGGATTTGCGAGCGTTTCGAAATTGTAGCGGATTTTTTGAGAGCGATCAGGAGTTTTGTGATCATATCAAGGTTTGGCTTCGAGAAAAATTGATTGAATTTTTTTCAAAAAAAAAAGTTACAGGATCTTTATGACATTGAGTTGATGACAAAATGGGCTGTTTTTGTAGTTCCGTGTGTAGTTTGCTCAATATCCGCGGTTCTCGATTTTTTCATTCTAATCATTTTATTTCGCAATTTTCGTGGGTTAGATGAATCGTAAGTATTCCTTCTTTAAAAAAATGTTTTTTTTAAACAAAAAAAAAGTTTCAGCCTGAAAAAGCGGTACATATTTCTGCTAAGCCGCTGTTTTTCCTCATTCATGTCGGTAATCGCAATCATTTTTCTTCCACTAACTCTTCTGGTTTCAAGGTTCAATTTTTGGTTTTTAGTTGTGTTTATTGTTTTTGATACGTTGAGCTTTTTCACGTTTATTGGTAAGTTTTTTCGTTTCCTCGGAACCACCCACGAAGCCTGGGAAAAAGTTTGAATCCTACTGTACGCAACAGTGTGTGCAAACACACCAAGGCAATTTTAAATTTTAAAAAACCTGGAATAGCTGTCTAACCGCTTATAAAAAGATTTCTCCCAATTTCTTAACAACAAAAAATTCCAGGAGCATTTATGGGTTTCGCCTTAACAATGTACCTCGCAGTAATTCACCCATTTTTCTATCGAACAACTATAAGTTATCGAAAATGTAAACTAATGATTATATCAAATTGGATCGTTTCATTAATAGTCTCGATAGCTGGTGGTATTATTCAAGCAGCATTTATGTCTTCAAACCCACCGTTTATCTGTGATTTTTCCACGTGTGATCGACCTATGTTAATATTCTCAAGTTAGTTATTCTATTATCGAAACTCTCATCGGTACCACGCGCTCCACCGAAATAAACACGCAACGCAGACCGCGTCGCGCCACAACACACACAAATAAGGGAACAATTCAAATTCCCTCCCTTTTTTGTGTGTTGTGGCGCGGCGCGGTCTGCGTCGCGTGTTTATTTCGGTGGAGCGCGTGGTACCGATGAGATTTTCGATAATATGTATTGAATAATCAATTTCAGTGATCTTTGTATGTATTGGATTTGGCTTCACAATGAGTTTATTACTTTTCGTTGTATGCTCTTTAAAGGGACATGAGAGGAAGATGAATAAGGTGAGACAGAAGCTTCTGATTCTTAAATAATCTTCAATTCCAGCTCAATGATATCTCGCTATCCTCAAACATCCTAACAACTCGCTCAATAATTCGACGCCTTATATCAACTCTGATAGTTTTCGGATTAATGGCCTCATTCGAAATAACAATTAGTGTTATGTTATTCGAAAATGCATTTAATATGGATAAATTTAAATATATTCCACCTTCGACTTCTTTGCCAGGGTTAGATGAATATCCATTGTATTGTGATGCGTTGATTGATAGTCGACAAAAATGGTGTATTGTTTTGTTGTGCTCAATACTTACGTTGTTTTGGTGAGTGGAATAGTGGAATATTGAAATAAAAGTGGCAGAAAAAAGTAGTTAGAAATATAGAGAATAAATAGAACAAGAAATGGAATAGGTTTTATAGTATTTTTTATCAGAAGATCACAAATCATGATTTCGAAATGTGTCTCAAAATATACTGTACGCAAAAGTGCGTTGTAGTGTTTGCACATGTCAACCCGCGCGACAGGGGTTTTTGAAGCTTGAAATTTTAGAATTTTCATGTTTTCGAAATTTTTAAATGGTTGTACTAATTTCACAAAAACTTTTGAGGAAATCCGGGACCGCTTTCAAAATTTAAAATCAAATTTTGATCCAAATATTGTTAATTAAATGTTTTTTTTACCTAAATTACTCCCTAATCCACTCAAAATTCTCGAATTTCAGGACAATAGGTTTATTCCTGGATCCAATATTCATCATCTGTTTCGAGCCGATTGTCTCAAAAACCTTTAAGCATTCGATAAGAACCACACTATCATCATTCATATCATTTTTCTCGTCTTTTTTTCAAAAATTCATTTCTTGACTGAATGTCAACAATTTTCGACAATTGCACATCTCGTTATTATGATCTCGAATTCTATTTTGAAAATTGTACAGATACCGCAAATCAATGTTTTTTGATAACAGTGAGTTTTTGGTTTTTTTCCTCCAAAAAAATTTCCCCTATGATTTCCAGCAAGTTCATTTAGTGGCAGTAATTCTAAAATGGTTCAATTATTATTTATGCACTTTTATGTTCTGTTTAGCGGGAATTCTAAATGTTTATACAATTTCTATTATTTTTCCACTATTTCTAAAAATGACTCAAAGGTTAGTAATAAGAAAAGTTTATGTATTGAACATTTTAACGTTGCAGATCTCAAAAACGTTATGTATTTGTTCTCAGCCGACTTTTCTCCTCAATCATCGCTGTTTTTGTCCTAGTCGTTCTTCGATGTATACTTTTTGTTTGGTTCGCTCCAACCGCTGCTGGATTTTGGATAATGGTTTTCTTGGTTACTCTAAATGATTTCAGTTTTTATAGTTTGATGGGTAGGTTCAATTTATTTATGTTGCGAAATTTTATCAATGTTTTCGTTTTTTTCTTAGGTTCATATATCGGAATGGCGTTTATTATCTATTTAGGAGTTTGTCATCCATGGTATTATGAAAATGACGTGGAACTTCGTCATATTTTTTACATGGCAATCGGAAATGTTGTCACATCTCTGACTGTTTCGGTGAGGGGTTTCACGTGAATTTTTGGATTCAGAATTTCCAAAAAAAAAATTATTTGCCACGTGGATTTGTAGCTTCAGAATTAAAAAAAAGTTTATTCATTCGCACGTGGATTTTTGGCTTCAAAATTTTCAACAAACAAAATAATTATTTGCCACGTGGATCTTCAGATTTCCCACGTGGATTTTCGGCTCCAGAAGTTTCAAAAAAAAAATTATTTGCCACGTGGATGTTCAACTTCAGAATTTTCAAAAATAAAATAACTTGCCATGTGGAGAAATTTCAAAACTACATAATTTTCCACGTCGATTTTCGACTTCAAGATTTTTTTCAGATACCAACAGCCTTTTTCGCCGCAGGAAGTTACGCAATGGGACCAGTTAAATGTGACAGTGATTTATGTGCATCAATTCTCAGTTGGATAAATTGTATGTAGCCTGATCCCAAAATCTCATCAAAATAATAATAATTTCAGTTTTCAGTTATTCTAACTTCATTTTCATTTGGAATTACAATTTCCATATTATCCTACGTTCTCTGCCTTTTATTTTATTATGAGTACAAAGCTCGTCGAATAATTGGAATGTCTGGACTGGCACATGCAAAGTCAAAAGTTGGTTGGACACTTTTTGCGATTTGCTTGATTGCGTTTGGTGAAGGAATTCCATCAGCTTTTTTATTAAGCGTTAATGCTGGTAGGAATTATTTTTTTAGATTTGTGTATAGAACTCAAAAAAATATCTCAATTATAGATAATGTTCTATCAACTTGTCGTAACTTTTATGAAGCTGACAAACTTGTGATTCCAACAATTTTATCCTGTTTATGCACTTTGATTTGGTCCGTTGTTTTATTAATCGACCCATTTGTAAGCATAATTTCGGATGATTTAGTTGTCAGAGAAATTCAAAGCCAGGTAAGTCCCGCAAACTCTCTCTCTCTCTCTCTCTCTCTGAATTTTCAAAAAAAAATTTCAGATAAACTGGACACGTCTTCTCTACGCCAAACTTCTAAATCGACAATTTTCCGGAAAATAACTTCAAAATTCTCACTCACACCTATTGCATAATAATAAGAACAATAAATAATCTCTCAATTTTTTTTCTGATACGTTATCTTGTATTTACATTCATGTCAATTTTTTCGAATTGTTCAAATAATATTGAAATTCAATCGAAATTATTGAACTGTACTGAATATTCGGGTGATCCATGTCAATTATTAGAGGTAGATTGAAAAATTTCAGATGTTTCCCATTCATTTTTGCTGTTTCAGAATGTGCAAACAATTTTGGACATCTTATATTGGGCCAACTTTTTGTTCCCAACTATATTTTTTAGTATTGCGTTATTCGGTAAATCTATATATTTGATGATCTTAATTCCAATGTATATCAATAGTGATGAAAGGTTCGTGAATTCAAAAGTCATCCTTGATCTTCACAAAACCATTTTTCTCAGTATCAGAAAAAGTTATGCGTTCATAATAAGTCGATGTATTTCTTCATTTTCTGCTATTATCTCAATGTTCATGCTTCGCACAATTCTCTACAAAAATTCGAATTATGCTGAAGTTTTCCTAATCATGTTGGTAGATGATTTGAGTTTCTTCAGTTTGCTGGGTTTGTTTTTTTTTGAAATTGTATTCATTAATAATCCAAACTTTATGTAAAGGAGCATATGTGAATCTGTCAATTCTGATTTATTTTGCTTCAACTTATCCAATGTATTATTGTCAAAAAATCACACTTCGTAGAATTTATTACTTGATTGCACTGAATTGGACGATCTCTTTGCTGATATCGGTAATTTTCAGCGTTAAATAGTTTTTTTTATCTCAAAAAATTTCTTTAAGATTCTGAGTGCATTGTTTCAAGCGTCAACATTTTCAATTGGCGGGCCGATTGAATGCGATAAAGTGACTTGTGAACCAATTCTTGATTTTATTATATGTAAGATGACTGTAAGTTTCCACATAATCAATTTCTTTTTTCTCAGATCTCATAATCCTGATCTCTTTTACTCTAACAATTTTAACAATGTCATTTGTCCTTGTAAATTTAATCCGACGTCATAAAAATCTAGGAAATCAGAAAGAAGCTGTCATACGACTTTTTTGCACTCTCGTGTTCTTCACGATGTTTGCATTGACTGAAGCAATCGCATCAACTTTTTTAATTGGACAAGTTTATAGTAAGATTAGAAAAACAGTAATAATTTTACATGATACATATGTTTCAGACAATTCAGACAGTAATTGTGAGAACTTCTATAATTCCCATGCTCTCATCAAAGCAGCAATTTTTACATCTCTTCAAACTTTGGCCTGGTGAGTTAGACCTCTTTTCGAATTGTTCAAAATACGTGGATGTTTAAGGTCAATCGCATTATGCATCGATCCATTTTTAGGAATATTCTTTGATTCCTTCTTGAAATCACAAGTCTCGAAATTCTTGGAGAATAACAAATTTTGGAACTATTTGATCTTCAAAATCAGTTTCTTCAAAATTTATCGATTTGCATGACAATTTTCCGGAAAATGACGGTGCAATTTTATTTTTGCACGGTGTCTCAAAATTAAAATTAAAAAAATGTCTCAAAATTGAAATAAAAATCAAGAAAATTTAAAATTTAATAAATCCATAAAAAACGAAAACGTGACCTAGATTTAAAAATCCAGCACTATAAATATGAATATCTCACCGGTTTTGCTCATTTTACTAGAACACTAATTTAAAAATGGTCGAATTCATCGAAATCAAAAAACAATTCGAAACTTTACCGGATTGAGGAAAGACTTTGGTAAGTTTTAAAAAAAAAATTAAAACATTTTACAAGGAATCATACATTTTATTTTAGGGTCGAGTTTGTGTTGAATGAAGAGAAGAAGAAGATTGAAAAAGGAAGAATCGGAACAGAAAAAGAGGAAATATTAGATATTATTACGAAAGATAATGTGGCTGCATTCACTATTTGGGAACAAAATGAATCGACTTCAACCGTAGTTTTCTTTTATGTGTGAGTATTCAACAAAAATCCTATTTTTTAATTTTTTAACTTGTTTTTTTTCAGTTGCCCAAAAATTTACCATATGAAAAACGATTGAATTTCAACAACATTTTTCAAAATATTGCAACAAATTATCGCATATCAATCGAATATTATGACGATACTGAAACATCGGATGTTTTGTCGACTTCATCAACACATCCACATCATGTAAGTTTACTAACTCCGAAAAAAAAATTATTTTTCAGATCGGTATTATCAGTATCTCCAAGTCAACGGAGGAGATCTTCCAGTATCGATTGAAAGGAAGTCCCATTAAACGACAAGGTAAGTCTTAAAATTATTGGTACCGATTTTGAAATTTCAGACTCGTATAATTGAATTACTGAAGTCACAAAACATTGCAATACGGGACAAATTGAGCAAATCGAAGTTATCTGGTATTCTCGGGAAAGATTTATTAAAAGTGAGTATTTCAAATTCAAAGATTTCCCTGAATTTATCGATATTATAGAATCTCAATTTCGACTTGTGGAGATTGTGTCTCGATGAAGAAGTTCGACAATTATTGCTCATGGTATCAAAAGAACACCCATTGAATATTATGACGATACTGAAACATCGGATGTTTTGTCGACTTCATCAACACATCCACATCATGTAAGTTTACTAACTCCGAAAAAAAAAATTATTTTTCAGATCGGCATTATCAGTATCTCCAAGTCAACGGAGGAGATCTTCCAGTATCGATTGAAAGGAATACCCATTAAACGAAAAGGTAAGTCTTAAAATTATTGGTACCGATTTTGAAATTTCAGATTCGTATAATTGAATTGCTGAAGTCGCAAAACATTGCAATACGGGGCAAATTGAGCAAAGCGAAATTATCTGGAATGCTCGGAAAAGATTTATTGAAAGTGAGTATTTCAAATTCAAAGATTTCCCTGAATTAATCGATTTTATAGAATATAAATTTCGATTTATGGCGATTGTGTCTCGATGAAGAAGTTCGAAAATTATTGCGCGTGGTATCAAAAGAACACAAAGTTTCAGTGAATTTGTTGAAGCGGCTTGGACCAAAAATGAAAAATGAGAAAGATGAAGTATTGAGACAATTGAAACTTCTGGAAAAAACAACAAGTACAAAACTTGTAGAAGTAAGTTAAATTAAGTACACAATTTTAATTTCAATAACAATCTACTTTTCAGAAAATGCGGGACATCAAACAGCAGAACAAGAAGACGTCAAAAAAATGATTGCATTTCCAATCTTTTCTTCCCAATATTTTCATTTTTCTCTTACCTTTTCACCTTTTCTATTTTTCCTCCTGAATTTCAATCGAATAGAAATATGCGATAAATAAAGGGTTATTTGAAAAATGTGTTGTTTTTTGTCTCGAGATATTATGATTAAAAAAAGTTCCGAATTTTTTGATCTTCAGAAAAATTTGCAGTTTGGGTTACTGTAGTTGAAAAATATGAGGAATGTTTTTCGATTCTTTCTTGAAGTCACAAGTCTCGAAATTCTTCGAGAAAAACGATTTATTGAAGAATTTAATCTTCAAAATCAGTTTCAAAATCAAAATTTTTCGATTTGCATGAAGTCTGGACATATTTCCGGAAAATGACTAACATTTCAAAAATTCTCACACCTTTTGCATAATAATGTACATAAATAAGAATAAATAATCTCTCTCACTTTTTTCTGTTTCTTATCTGAAATACTCTTCATACACATGTCAATTTTTTCGAATTGTTCAAATAATATCGAAATTCAACACATTTTTCTAAACTGCACTGAATATTCCAGTGATCCATGTCAATTATTAGAGGTATTTTAACTTCAAAATATTCCAGATGTTCTCCATTCATTATTTCAGAATGTGCAAACAATTTTGGGTATTTTATTTTGGGCCAACTTTTTGGTTCCCACTATATTTTCCAGTATTGCGTTTATCGGTAACTTGTTATATCTTATGGTTTTGATTCCAATGTATTTCAATATCGATGAAAGGTTAGAGAATTTTGAAATGATGATTCATATTTCAATTTTTATCACATAATTTCCATATAATCTTCATACGTTTCAAATGAAAACAACTAACTTTTCAGCATTAAAAAAAGTTATGCCTTCATAATAAGTCGATGTATTTCTTCAATTTTCGCCATTTTTGCTATTATTTTAATGTTCTTCCTCCGAATTTATACAAAGAATTCGAATTATTATCTAGTTTTTCTAATTATTCTAGTGGATGATATGAGTTTTTATAGTTTATTGGGTGAGTTTTTTTTTTAGATCTCCTAAACTAATCGAAATTTTTGCCTGTTTGCTTGCAGGATCCTATGTGAATATGTCAATTCTGATTTATTTTGCTTCAATTTATCCAATGTATTATTCTCAAAATATTTCACTTCGAAGAATATATCATTTAATTGCAATTAATTGGACGATATCAATATTTATATCAGTAAAGCTTTCCGATTTGTTTTTTTTTTTGAAAAACTTTTTTTTTTTCAGATTTTGAGCTCATTATTTCAAGCGTCAACGTTTTCAATTAACGGGCCAATTAAATGCGATGAAAAAACTTGTGGGCCAATTGTTGATTTTATTACATGTAAGAATAATTTTTAAAAATTGTATCTCCAATCTTCAAGTTCTATTTTCAGACCTAATAATTCTAATCTCATTTTCCATAACAATTCTAACAATGCTATTCGTCTTGGTGAATTTAATCTGGCGCCATAAAAATTTGGGAAATCAAAAAGAGGCTGTCAAAAGACTGTTTTGCACTCTGGTTATTTTCACAATTTTCGCGTTGACTGAAGCAATTCCATCAACATTTTTGATTGGACAAGTTTATAGTGAGAACAATTGGGAAAAACTATAATTTTATTATGATAAATTTTGCAGATAATATACCTAGTAATTGTCAAAACTTCTATAATTCTCAAGCTCTCATCACATCAGCAATTTGGACCTCCCTTCAAACTTTGGCCTGGTGAGTTAGAGTTTTTTTTTTCAAAAATCATTTAAATAGTGAATTTTTCAGGTCAATCGCATTATGCGCCGATCCTTTGCTAGGAATTTGTTTTGATTCTTTTGTAAACTCACGAATTTCCAATTTCTTCAAAAACATTTCAATATAAATATATTAATAGATATTACTCTTCCAATTTGACAATTTCTTCATCTTTCACACAATTTCCAGTCATGGTTTCGGAGAACTTCTTGATTTCAGCAAAATTGTTTTGAAGCATCAAAGTTCGAGCTTTCAATTCGTTGGTGGCAGAAGTATTGATGATTTTTGCCTCATCGATAAAATTTTTCAATTTTTCCAAATTCGAAATGAGATGAGATGTCGAGCGACTTTTTCGAGCCATTTCTGTGAGTTGATCATATTGCTGAAAAATCATAAAATTTGGGAAATAGAGGAATCTCAAACAAACCTCTTTCAATCTTCCATTTTCCTCTCTGAATTTTTGCTCTTCCAATTTTCGTTCTTCGCAAACTTTGGTGAATTCTTCAAACGATTTTTTCACAGCCAACGAATGCTCTTCGAATTTATAAGCTCGCTAAAAAATACATTTGCTCATTTTAAAATCGTTTCTTCAAAAAAACTCACCAAAAACGGCAGAAAATCGACAGTTTGATGTCCTTTTCTCATATGATTTCGAATTGCGCAATTCGAGCAAAGCGCCGATTTTTCCACATCGGTTTTATTCTCAAATTTCAAACCGTGACAAGTTTGGCAAATATTCAAGCTGCAATTTTCGAGATTTATTGGGAAACTTTGTGGAAATTCACAAACTTTTGCTCAAAATCCGGATTCAAACAACTTCGACATTTGAATTGCTCTGCAAGCCTTGATCTTTTGGCGCGAAATCCAATACCATCAGCTTCATCTCTCGTTTTTCGCTCATTTTTTTGAAGTTGTGTGATTTTGAGACGTTGTTTGTCAAGAGTATCAATTATTTCTGCAAAAATCACGTATTTTTTGGCCCTCGGTTCGCGGTTGGTATACTGTATTGACTTGTGCAAACACGGTGACGCACAAATGCACAAAAATCTCTCGCGTCTCTCCATTTTGCGCGCTATTTTTCGAAATTGGTCTCGCCACGAACCCCGAAAAGCTAAAACGGCACCCGTTCGCTCCACCAAAGCTTATTTCCATGCAGTTTTTCACGGCGATAAAGATGGTGTACTCAGATTTTCATTTGGTGCAGCCGTTCTTGAGATTTTGGTGGAAAATTAAAGCATGACCCTTTAAACAGCGAACCGAGATTTTTTGTTCAGCAACAAAATACGTGAAATTTCAAGATTTCTTTTGCAAAACGGTAAAAATATTCACCTTTAACCAATGGAATTTCCACATAATTTGATGGTTTGCGGCAAATCATACAAAAATCTCGAATTCCACGATCACTGAAAGATTACAAAATGAGTAAAAACTGATCTGAAATCATCGAAAATTCTTACCCTTTCAAATAACAAGCATGACAAGTGTGATGATTACAAGCAACCATAAACCACATTGCTCGATTTGACCCGTAGGAAATTCCACATTTCCCACACTTCAATTTGTCTTTGAGGTTGTCAGTAGCTGCTTCCATTCTGCAAATGAAAATAAAATATTTTTTTTGTGCAAACACACATTTTTCTGCAAACATCGGAATCTACGAGCAATATAAATAATTCCGGAAAAATCGAATTTTTCGAAACTTTTTCATGAAATTCACCTTTCCCGGGTCCCTAAGATCTAAAAAAATGCAATATTTCTCAAGGTAAATAACCTATTTAGAACAAAATAAATAAAAAATCCAAAAAATTCATTAAATGATTTATTATTTTCAAACTTGAATCAAGCATTATTATTTGTCTCATCAAATTTCTCGAGTTTCACAGTTTCCAATTCATCAACACAATTTTCTTTCTTTTCTTCATTCCATTTCTTGATATTTTCCAAAGCTTCTTGAAGCTTATTGACATTGATTTTTAGTTCCGAATTTGTTTTTACATGAATCGATTTTGTCTGGAAAATGTGTATTTTCTTGTGATTAACTTTGTATAGAACAAAAAAATCAAAACCAACCTCGTTCAGAAAACTCTCAATTTTTTCAACGAATTGTAATTGATATTTGGTCGATTTGCTTCTACGAGTCATTTCGGTCAAAACATCAGTCGCCTGAAAAAATTTCACTGAAAAACATTGAAACAATGATGAAACACGAACCTCTGCAGCATCCGTTGAAAGTTTCTTAAACTGAGCAATCGTCTCATCTAACAAAACTTGAGACTCTTCGATATCTTTTGATTTTGATTGAATGAATTCCGATTTTTCGGCAAATTGATGGGCTGCCTGTTAAATAACAAATATTATTGAAATTTAATTTTCAAAAAACGAACTAACCAAATACGGATAAAAATCAACAGTTTCATGTCCTATGCGCATATGTTTTTTGATAATACACTTTGAACAATAGACAACCTTTTTCAATTCTTCCGTAGTTTGAAACTCGGAAACGTGGCAAGTTTTACACAAGTACATGCTAAATTCAGTTTAATTTATCTAATCATACAAAACATAGACTTACTTATCTTCAAAATCATCGGCTTCACAATCGCAACATTTTTCGCGGATGCATTCAGGATCTAGAAAACGAAAATGAAATAAATTAGGGGAGAGAGGGTTTGTGGAAAGAGAAAAGTCGTTTTCAGCACAAAACCGGGTGGCAATATATTCAATAATAAATAAGAAATTACATACCGAACAAATAGATAGAAAGCGTGGCTGCAATAGAATATTCATAACAAATCGAGCAGTAATTTTGTGAGCCTGATTGCGAGCTGAAATTTATAGAGCAATTCTTTCAATGCCTCGAAGAGCTCTGTTCTATGAAGAATAGGATTTCGAATTATGTTCAAAATTTTGAAATAGTTTAAAGATCGCTCACTTATGAGTATATAATTTATCAAAACACGTATTGCAGTATAAATGTTCACAGTTGATAAACATGCGAAGAATATCGTTTTTTGATCCTGAAATCGAAAATTGATGTATGACAATCAAATGAAACCAACCACAGTTATCACATAATACGCATTTCAATTTTGCATGGATTCCTTTGACATACTCCATGACTGCAATAATCATCGATGAGGTCTGTAATTGCATTTAAAAAATATATATAAAATGGATTGATCAACCAAACAAATCAAAATCGTTGACATATTCAACAAAATTACTTCATTCACAAAAAATTTAACAAAAAAACAAATTTATGCATCTACAGCTTCATCAATCTTAACAGTTTCTGAATCATCTACGCAAAACTCCTTCTGAGCTTCATACCATTCATTGATTCTAGCGAGATTATTTCCAATTTCAGTGGAATTCTTGTTCATATCCGATTCGGTTTTTGAGTTGACCAACAAGCACTGAAAAATAAATGAGAAATATTCTGAGAATGAGAAAATTTGAGAAAATACCTCATTGATAAATGTTTCAATTTTTCCAAAAACATCAATTTGATGTTTTGTAGATTTGCTTCTTCTTGCCATTTCAGTCAACGAGCCAAATGTCTCTTGGACTTTGTTGGACAATTGAATATGTCGCGCAACGGCATCATTGAAAAGTTGTTTCGAATTTTGAAAAGCTTCCGATTTCTCATTGATTTCTCTTAATCGTGCCGAAAATTGATAAGCGCTCTGAAAAATTGATGAATTTATATGAATTAAAACCGAGATAAACTTACCAAAAATGGAAAATAATCGACAGTTTCATGTCCTTTTCTGATATGCTTCTTGATTGTACAATCAGAGCAAACTGCGTGATTTTTGACGTCTTCTTGATTTTCGAAATTCAATTCGTGACATGTTTGACATATATACATTCTGTAAATGCAAATTTTCAATAGCGATTTCATTTTCAGAATTTGAGAAAAAATATACTTCTCTTCTGAATCTCTGCTTTGACAATCAACACAAATATTATCACCCGTATTATTATTATTGGTTTGTTGGGGAAGAATTTCTTGGTCTGAAAAAAATCAATGATTTTCGGAAAATTTCAGAGAAAAAAAGCATACCAAAAATAAAAATCGGCAGTTGATAATATTCTGAAACTGACGAGCAAACTGAGCAAACTGGAACGAATTTTTCAGTCGAACCATCGGACAAATCGGCAACACCTCTGGAAAAATCAAATATTGTTCGGATATGAAAAATAGTGAGACTTACAGTTGGTCGAGACATTGGCCGCAGAAAAAATGATCGCAAGCTTTCATCATAAAAATCCAGTGATCCTTCGAACCTTAATTCAGAATTTTGGGAAAAATATTCGAATTTCTGTGATATTTTCTCACCAATACTATCGCATTGCTGGCATTTCATTTTCATATGAATTTCTCGTAGAGCATCCATTCTGAAATACTTCGTTAGCGTGCGGCTGTGCGTCGCGGTCGGTTTCTCGACCGCGACGCACATCCGCACGCGCATAAAAATATCGATCGAAGTAGGAAACGGCTGTAGATAAACCGTATTTTACAAAAAAAAGTTAAAAATTCATAAATAAATATTTCATTATGATTTGCATGCAATAAAAAATCTCAAAATTTCACAAGAATAAAATTAATCGGTAAGTGTTGGATCAGCATAATGTTTGTGATCCTCGTTCCATTGTCTCAATAGTTCCAATTGATCGCTCATCATTCGAATATGATTTTTTATAATGTTATTTGTAGTTTCAGTCCGAGTCATTGACTGAAATTAAACAATATGTATTGAAAAATTTGGAAAAACTAACCCTTTCAATGATCGTGCTCAATTTATCAGTCAATGCTTGTTGAGCAATTGTTGTTTTACTTCTTCGAACCATTTCAGTCAAAACATCCATTTTCTGAACAATCTTCCCATTTTTGTCATTGAAATCAATTAAATCATTGTTATATCTTGCGCGCATATTTTCAAACTCGTCTACTTTTTCTTTAATTTTGATTAGGTTTGCTGAATTTTGAAGTTGTCTCTGGAAACAAAACGCATTTTATTTTTTGACTGAAAAATCAAACTTACAAAAATCGGGAAAAAGTCCACAGTGTTATGCCCATTTCGAATATGTTTCTTGATCGAGCAGCTCGCACAAATTGCACATTTCTTGACTTCTTCCAAATTATTATTATATTGCAATCCATGACAAGTCTCGCATAATTGTAATCTACAAAAACCCCGGTTGGAATAATGGATGTTATTTTTTTTTTCAAACCTTTCTTCTGATTCTGTCAAATTGCAATCCAAACATTTCAAATGATCTTCTATTAATTGCTCAAAGAATTCTAGTCTAGCCTTTTTTGCTTCCAATTCATTATCTTTGATTTCTAATGATCTTTTCAGAAGAATTCTTTCCTCGTTGAGTGCTGTAAGAATACTATTGATTTATTTTATTATACCAATCTGAACCTTACATTCAACGCAGCTTGACACTTCCATACGTTCCGTGAATCCATTGCATTTAGGACATTTCCATCCGTGATGACTTTCATACTAAAATATGCTTTTATCGGACTTCAATTTGAAAAATATTTAAACTTACAGAATTTCTGCTACATCTTTCGCACAGAAAATGTTTGCATCGAATCATGAAATAAACTGCTGGTTGGTCGAAATTATTATGCGTACATTTATAGCTAGCAATATTTGAATACACATTATTATCCATGTTGAATTCAGGTCGGTTATCCATGGTGAGTTCGTGTCTGAAAAAATGTTATAAGACAGATTGATGGGAAAAGACTTCAGGAAAATAAATCGATCAAATCAAACAATGAAAAAAAATCATCTCAGAGAAATGGGCTGGGGAACCGGCGGAGAAAACGACCTGTCGGCGAACTTTCGGACAACCGGTGGACAAAAGTTTCGGCGAAATAGTGTAGGTCAGACACTCCGCCGGTTGTCCGAGAGTTCGCCGACATGTCGTTTTCTCCGCCGGTTCTCCAGCCTGTTTCTCTGAGATGAATCTACTCTAGAAGAGTGATTTTTCGCATTTTTTTGAGATCATGTTGACGAGGGAAGATCAAACCTACAGAACTTATCGTGTCTAAATTGATAGTCACATCATTCCGAGCCAAATATCTCTCCCTTACATGTTCAAGAGAGAAAAAAGGATAGTCTGCATACACACAGATACGCAGAGTGTTGGAAAAAAAGAGAAATTATTGATTGACAACGACACTCCGGCTTGCCCGCTGTTTAGGGCAACACGAGAATATTTTAATTTTTCGTTGGGTTTTCAGGTTTCCGGTGAAAGTCAGTGGATTTCAGTCAAAAATTGAATTTTTAGATGTTCTACAAGGCTGAAATAATCGCTTCCAACGGAAAATCCGAGGATATTGGAAAAAAGGTGGGTTTTTTCTAGAGAAACACTGTTTCGATTGAAATTTTTGAGTTTTCGGGGTCAAAAATGATTTTCTATAGAAACAGAAATGGAGTTAGCAGAACTCAATGGTACATGAAAAATGCAAATTTTCTGATTTTCAGCTTGAAATATCGATGGAAAATTGGATTTCAATGTCAATAACGTGGAAAACTTGGAGGATTTCGAGGATTTTGATTGGAATTTTCGAGAAATAGAAGCGATTGGTGAGTTTTTTGGGGAGGGATTTCGGAAAAATTGAAAAAATCGATAAAAAACTCTGTAAAATTTGAAAAATATGAAACAAATCTTTAAAAATTGAAAAAAGTTAGGCTAACTAATCAAATTCTAGGCCAAAAAATCTAGTTTATCTATTTCTTTTTTGTGGGTTTGAGCGCTGCAATTTTAGGAACATCTAACACGCATTTTGAAAAATCAGAGGATTTTTCCTGGAGAGAATCGAATACTAGTCGTTTAAAACACAAAAATCGTCTAAAAACGAAAAAAAAACAGAAAAAAAGAAAAAAAAATCTCAAAACACAATTACTGTAGTTCTGAAGGCGCATGCAAACAATTGAATGCACAGTTACATTTCGTTGTAGGACCTTTTCCGAGTTTTCTGAAAAATTTCCTTTTTTTTAAAATTTTTTTTTTGTTTTTTTTCACTGCAGAAAACAACAAATCAGAAAGTTTATTTAAATGATGACTAGTATATACTAATATAGTATAATAAATTCATATAATTTTGAGAGAAGGATAAGAGTTTTGGATTAATTCAAAAAGTGAAAAGTGTCAAATGAGATCGAGAACAAATCAAAAATAAATTGTGCCATGCCAAACATCTATACATCAGGTCGATCAGTTTTCAAATCTTTCGGTTCTTCTGGAACAACTTCCAATGTGACAGGTTCAATTGTTGTTTTGCAAGTCTTCATCTCCGATGAATCTTGTCGATCTTCATTCACTTTCGAATACGATGATTCGACGCTACGAGAACGACTTCGACGAGAAAGTTTTCGAACAATTGTGGCTAGAAAAATCCTTTTTGATATTTTTTTTGAAAATCGAGAAAGAAACTTACACATTCTCCGAACAAATTCATGGAATGTTTCTTCTCTTTCCGGTTCACGAGCCCATGACTAAAAAAATTGTGGATTTTTTTTTGTGAAAAAACATTTTGAAACATACCAAGACATCTCCTCTGGCAAAGATCATGAAGAAAATAATTCCGAATAGATCAACACTCATTGCCAGCATGAAAACATATTTCCAACCATCGGCGTTCTAGAAAATTGAAAATTTTCGGGGGTTCTCTATGGACTTTCAAATTCTCTCAGACAAGTTTTTAGCCCACCTCAAAAGTCAAGGCATTGGTGATCATCCCGCCAGCCCCAGCAAATGCACCAAGTCCATTTGCAAGACCCATAAGAATTGGTGCATATCTTGGTGCAATGTCAAAATGATTGACATTGAAACCAGCCAACGTCATTCCCGAACCAGTGCAAGCAGTGATCAAGCAGATGATTGCGATTACGGGGTCACGAACGAATGCCAATGATCCGAGCATGACTGCTTCGATTGTGAAACCTGCAAGAATTCGCAGTCTTGGCTAGAAGACATGGTTCTCAAGTGGCCGCGCCTTGAAAGTTTAATTATCAAGGAGCCGCGACTTGAGAGATTGTATGTCAAGTAGCCGCGCCTAGAAAACATAGTTCTTAAGCAGTCACGCCTAAAGAACCTCATTTTCTCGGAAACACATATAGAGATCCACGCTGGCAAGAAGCCGCGCCTTCAGAGATCCTATATCAAGAAGCCGTGCCTAGAGAGTACATATTGTTAAGGATCAGCGCCTTCAGAGATTCTATATCAAATAACCAAGCCTCGAGAGTTAACTTGTCAAGGATCAGCGCTTAGAGAGTGTAGTTCTCAAGCTGTCACGCCTAAAGAACCTTATTTTCTCGCACCCACATCTGGAGATCTACCCTGACAAGAAGCATCGCCTTCAGAGATCCTATATCAAGTAGCTGCGCCTAGAGAGTACAATTGTCAAGGATCAGCGCCTAGAGAAACTAGCTTTCAAGTAGCCGCGCCCAGAGAGTTCAACTGTCAAGAACATGCGCCTAGAAAGCTTTTGAACTCTAAAAATCAGAATGTTCACTAACCAGCGGTGTTGAAAAGTTTCCGAACTCCCTGAGTTCCAAGCTTCCCAGAAGCTCGAATATAATCAGCAACCTGTCCACTGATCAAAGTCACCAAACACATTCCAAGTTGCGGGAAGATCGCAATTATACCACTCTACAAAAACATACATCTCAAATGTTTCTAGTTTTCCCTGATGACTCACATTTTTGATATCAATGTGTAATACATCTTTCATATATGTCAATTGATTGCCAAGAAGTAGGAAGAAGCTCCAAGACCGGCAGAATGAGCAAATAATGATTGCCCAAACCGCAGTCGAGGTCAGCATATCTTTCCAAGGCAATGTTGTTAGTGTCATATTTTGTACAGTTACAGTTCCAATTTTCTCGCTGATATAAACCTTTTCATTTTCGCTAATATATCGATGTGTTGTCGGTGATGCTCCAGATACAATTGCCCATAAAACCGCCCAAATAACACCCAACGCACCAAAAACATAAAATGGTGTACTCCAATGAAAATGTGACACTAAATATGCGGACGCTGGCAGCCCGATCATAACACCAACTGATGAACCGGTGAAGGTGGTTGTGGCGAGTTTCGATCGTTCCATTGGTGGAGCCCAATATCTCCAAACACCGTGCATTGCTGGATAAGTTACACCGAGTGCGAGACCTTGGATGGTTTGAAGGCACATTACGAAATAATCTGTTGTTGGGTGGAAGCGGAGGGAGAAGGCTGTGATGGCGTTGAGAGTGGCGGCAACAAGAACACCAATCATGAAGAGTCTGGAAAAATTGGGTTTGGGAATTCGAACTTTTCATTCTGAAACTTCTAGACAGTTCCAAATGTTGCCCCCGAATTCAAAAAATTTTCCAAAACTCACTTATTCGGTGCAAACTTCGCCGCCAAAACTCCAGCCGGAATTTGCGACGCCGCATATCCGTAGAAAAACGAGCTCTCCATCATCCCAATCTCAGTTGCTGTCCAATAGAATTCCTTCTCATGAACATCGCCGTAAGCATCGGTGAAATTGTTAACCATTCGATTTTTGGCAACTCCGAAATTCGATCGGATTCCGAAAGAGATTGCGAATCCCAAGTGTGCGAGAATCGCAATTTGCCATCGCACTTTTTTCAAAAAGAATTTGTTCTGAAAATATTTTCTCTTGGAAATTTTTCAGATTTTTTTTTGGGTTACCTCTTCTGTAAGCGTGTGCAATTGCTCTCGATGCTCCCATTGTTTTGTCGAAAAAGTTCGTCGAACTGTATCTGAGATGGCTGATGCTGATTTTCTCAGCGTTTTTCCGACCATCTGCAGAATTTTTTGTGTGATAAAGAATCTTCAAAGATATCGGAAAGAGAAAACTGGATAAAAAAGGATATAAATAAATAGAAATAGGAATAGAAATAGGAAAAAAAAGGGGCAGAGGTTCTATGAATTAGCTAAAATTAGTCATGGGATGGTTAAATTGGAATATAATTATAATTAGGTTTGGTGTTGTAATCTGATACATTTCGACGAACATCTATGTAAACAAATTATTGAGAAAATGAAAATTCTAGAAAATGATAAAGTTGATTTTCTGATATTGAAAATATCAAGGAAACCCCTGTGATATCAAACCTGCCTGCAAATAAATCAAAGAATAATTTTTTTTCTACCAAGAATTTTTAGTTAGTTAAACAGAAGACAAAAAATAAGATGATAGCAGAAAGTTTTACAAAAAAAGATGACGAAAAATAGAATCATAAAACCGATAGATTAATTGTTTCTATGAAAAATGACGAAAAAATTGGGAGATAGGCTAAGTTGTACAGTGAGAGAGATAGGATTGGATCAAAAAGTTAATGGATTTTTTTTGGGGAAACTTGGAATCGATAAAGATTTGGAGAAAATAAGGTGTTAATTTTTTTTTAGAAAATATTTTGAAAAAAAATCAGATCACGAAAAATTGAGTCCAAAAATGTGTGAAATTTCAAAATTCGCTGAAAATCAATGAAAAACTACTGTTTTCCTTGCAGAAATGTACAGTAAAGCTTCTGAAAAAATTTTACAGTAGCCTTTTTGGTGCAGGGTTTTTTCTATAAATTTGAAAACTGAGGAAATTTTTTGTAAATATTTTTTCTTCACTAACAAAAACTATTTTTAGAACTTACCTTGAAAAATTACACTTTACGTATATTTATTGAATGAATAGACTTTGCTACGTTTATTTTTGAAAATCGATTAAGATTTTGTGAATTGATAAAAATTAAGTGACGCTTTATTTTGTAAATTTAGATAGTAGGTGAAGATTTTTAAAATTAAATTATATATAAAAAACATTTTTGTGTTACAGTATCTTTAACTTTTACGTGAGAAATTACACATCTTTTAATCAATGATAAACAATACCAAAGTTCGCATTTTTTCATCTTTGAACAGCAGTTTCTCAAAAATCAAAAGTTCGCGAAAAAATTAGAAAAAAACCGAGGATCGTACCTGCGACTGAGCTACACTGCGCCACTTTTAGCTTAACTCTTTCCAGTTTCCCTAAAGTTAAAAAAAAATTCCTAAAGGTTCTGAAACTCAAGAAACGCTTTCAAAAACTATTACAAAATACACGTTTCACGAAATAAAAAAAATTGATGTGAGAAAAAGCTGAAAATGGGTGCAGCAACCTCGAATAACTGGTTCTTTTGATATGATTATTGTTATTTGTTATTAAACAATAATTTCTTTTGTATTTGTTTTTCTCTGAAAATCATCCAAATTGTATGACGAATAAGAAGAAGAAGAAAAATACCTACAAAACTTCCGGATTTTCTGACAATTTTTGAATCAAATAATCCAAAAATTAATGAAACACCCATAAAATATAATAAAGTGAAATCTGTCAAAGAAAAATATTCAAATGAAATTGAGAGAGAAATGAGATGATAATCGAATCGACTATACAGAAATGAATAGAATAATCTGATCAGATGATGATTGTCTCATCTATCAAATATCAAAATGATTGTATCGCGCGGAAGAAAAAATCTTTGTTTATTATTCTATCATCGCCAGAATTTTTGTTGCATACAAAATCACGTGACTAATAAATAGAGAAGGAAAAATGTGAGCTCCAAATTTGGCTCGGAACAAACTGTTTTCCGAAAAAATGTGTCAAAATTCAAAAATTTTCACTACTGTTTAAAATTAAAAAAAAATCCGAAATCTCATGAACTTAGCCTAACTTTGACTGAACAATTTGAATTTCAAAAATAAAAAATCAGAATTCTTGGGAACTTAGCTTAACATGAACTTAAATTAAGCCTTATTAATCTCAACATTTGAAAAATTCAAAAATTTCGGAAACTTAGCCTAACTTGGGCTGAGCATTCTAAATTTTAAAATTAAACATATCGAGACACCACCCAATCGGGATTTTATTAAAAAGGTAGAAATATTAAAAAAATTCAAATCTCATGAACTTAGCCTAACTTATACTGAACTTTATGAACCACAAAATTAAGAAAAAATCCGAATTCTTGGGAACTTAGCTTAACTTGGAATAACAATCATTCTAAATTTCGAAATTAAAAAAATCGAAATTCTTGGGAACTTAGCTTAACTTGGACTAACAATCATTCTAAATTTCGAAATTAAAAAAATCGAAATTCTTGGGAACTTAGCTTAACTTGGACTAACAATCATTCTAAATTTCGAAATTAAAAAAATCGAAATTCTTGGGAACTTAGCTTAACTTGGACTAACAATCATTCTAAATTTCGAAATTAAAAAAATCGAAATTCTTGGGAACTTAGCTCAACCTAGACTAGAAAATAAAAAAAAATTCCAAAATCTCAGAAACTTAGCCTAACTTACACTAAACATTTTTTTTTAATTTCGAAAAAAAATACGGAATCTCAGAAACTTAGCTTAACTCAGCTGAAGTTCACGTAACCTCAAAAAAATCACTAAAATTTTCCAAAATTCGGAAACTTTTTTCCAAAAATGAAAAAAAAACCGGGGTTCCAATTTTGTCTCCATCTCCATCTCCATTCAAAAAAAACTTTTTTGTTTGTCTGCAAAAAAATCCGGTTTCACAAAAACACCGAATCGTAAGAAACCGATGACTAATCACAAAATGTAGAAGCAAAAAATGATTTTATTAATTTTATCACAAAGTGTTGTGGAATCTGACTAGCAATATTAATTCGGGGGAAAAATAAGAAGAAAAAAAAGAAAAGCTGTAGGTTTTGAGAGAGAATTGGACCGGTGTGGGATTTTTGTGTATCAAGTTGATATCAGCTCGAAAAACTAGGAAGGAAAAGCTCGTTGTGAATTGTGGAAATATTTCGATTCAATATGAATCAGGTCAGTAATTTGATCTAATCACAATCCATCATATCTTCATCATAATCATCTTTTGGTTGTCGATAAGTTGTGAATGGGTTTGAGGAGGAGGACGTGCTTGAATGATTTGAATGATGAAGTGAAGGTGGAGGTGGAGGTGGTGGATTTATTATAGAAGAAGCTGATGCCTCTTCTTCTTCTAGTACAAAACCATTTGTATATTCAGCGACAGAAGAGTGTGAATCAGATGATGCTATTGAACCTGTAAAATTTTGAAATTTGGCTGATGTCGGGGTCTTAAAAAGTAACATTTGTACTTTAAAATCTAAACTCTAGAGATGCTTCAACATCTAGTAGCTTGTTCGCTCTGAAAACATGTCTAGGAGTCGCGGCTAGACGTCCACACTGGCAAGAAGCAGCGCCTAGAGAACCTAGTTCTCAAGGATCAGCGCCTAGAGAACCTTTTTCTCAAGTACGAGCCGCTCCTAGAGATCCTCTCTATCAAGCAGCCACGCTTATAGAGCTTATATGACAAGTGGCCTAGCCTAAAAAACCTAGTTGTCAAGGAGCAGCGCCTAGAGATCCTATTTCTTAAGCAACAGCTCATTGAGAACATGCATAATTATCTAGTAGCCGCTTCTAGAGATCTTCTTCGACTAGCAGCCGCCTCTTGAGATCCTCTCTGACAAGCAGCCAAGCCTAGAAAACCTACTTATCAAGGAGCCGCTCCTAGCCAACCTAGTTGTCAAGGACCAGCGTCTGGAGATCCTATTTCTCAAGGAGGCGTCCCTAAGAAGACTAGAAACTCTAAAAATTTCTAAAATTTTGATTGTTTTCATGGAAAAATAGTTTTCTTGCTAGAGAATATCAATTTCCTGATTATTTTATTAAATTGAAAAAGCTTTCATTTCATTTTCTCTAGTTTGGTCCAAAAGTGAAATTTTCAAAAATTAGTCCAAAACTTCTCACTCACTTCTAAACGCCTCTTCCTCGCTCACAAATCGATTTGGTGTATGTCGAGCAGATGGTGGCAATGAAACTGATAATGTTGTTTGACTGAAAACAAAATCACGTTTTTTGTACATAACTATAGTCTAGTTTGGTCGCCACAAATCAACAACAAGCAAACTAACCCCTTATTATAATTAGTAAGCGAATTGCTACGTTTTCGTTTTGATTGGAAATTTGAGAAGACTCGCGACTGACGCCTCGAACCACTTGCAGAATGTCGATGAAGTAATGAGGGTTGAGGTCGACACATCTAAAAGTATATACATAAGATGTTTCAAATTTCAAGAAAAACTCACAATCGCATCTAAAGAGGAACTTGCGCATAATGGCGGAGCTGGTCGAGTATCAGTTGTGGTTGTTGTTGAGGATGAGGTTGATGTTGAGGCACCAACTATTTCACTTGAACAGGAACATCCATTCATTGCTGATGCCGTGATCATTTCATCGTTGGTGCGGGAGGAATTTGATGACTCGATCTGAGAAATTTGGAAAAAAATTTTTAGAAGGTTAAGAATGTGATTTTAGATTTTTATGAACTTTGGAAAAAAGCTTGAAATTTTGAAGCCCAAAAAAAAGTTACGTGGCAAAATTTCAGGTTGAAAAATGGGTCTAGGCTTATCCGATCCTCAAAATTCTCAGGCCTGAATTGACGTGGATTTTCTGGTTTCAAAATTTTTCGAAGACATTTTTGAAATTCTGTTTTCTGAAAATCAATTTCAGCGTGGGCTGCGCATTTTTGAAATTTTTTTCCCAAAAAAGTTCCAAAGTGCATTCATAGTTTTCGTGGAGAATGCGTGGATGTTTTTAAGGTAAAAATTCCATTTCTATTTTTTAGTAACTTGAGAAAATTTTTTTTAATCGAGACTTAGTTTTCAGAAAATTAATTTCAGCGTGGGCTGCGCATTTTTGAAATTTTTTTCCCAAATTAGTTCCGAAGTGCATTCAGCTATGATTGGCACAAAATAGGGTTCTCCTCAAAGTTCATTTTAATTTTTTTTTGAAATTTTGAAGCCCAAAAAAGTTACGTGGTCCCAAAAATCCACGTGGCAAAATTTCAGGTTGAAAAATGGGTCTAGGCTTATCCGAGCCCCAAAATTCTCAGGCCTAAACTGACGTGGATTTTCTGGTCTCAAATTTTTTTTTTTGAAGAAATTTTTGAAATTCTGTTTTCTGAAAATTAATTTCAGCGTGGGCTACGCATTTTCTAAATTTTTTTCCAAAAAAAGTTCCGAAGTGCATTCAGCTATGATTGACACAAAATAGGGTTCTGCTCAAAGTTCAGACATCTACAGACTTCAGAATTTCCCCAATTTTCAGAAGCTAATTTAATTTCCCTTCCACTAACCTGACAAAGATCGAGTGCCGCAATAGTCCCGCGTTTCTGCAGTTCAGCAAGTCGATTCTCATCCGGTCGCAAAACAACATCTTCAACAGCTCGCTTCAATTCACTGCACCGCATCCACGTTGCGAAACAAAAAATGAGTTCGCGTCACGATTGTTGTTTTTCTTGTTGTTGTTGTTGATGATTGCTGGAAAAAAACATGATAGGCGGTGGAGAAAAAAAAACAACAAAACACGACGAGAAATGTCTGCGTCTCTCGAAATTCCGTGATATTTTCCAAACGGAAGAAGAAAAAGAAGAAGACGGGGAAAAACGAAGAGTTCGGAATCTAATTGAATTTCGTTTTTGAATCCACGTATTTTTTTATAAGTGGAGGGGAAGGGGATTGTGGAATACTGTAATTTTCCGGGAAAAAAATTCAAAAAGAAGGGGACCACAAATGTTTAGGCCTAAAAATAAGGCTTTTCCTCAGCCTAAGGATATTCCTAAGCCTAAGGCTAAGGCTAAGTATTGGGCTATGTCTAGGCCTAAGCCTAAGGATATTCCTAAGCCTAGGGCTTTGCCTAAGCCTAAGGGTTTACCTAAGCTCAAGGATATTCCTAAGCCTAAGACTATGGCTAAGTCTAAGGCTTTGCCTAAGCCCTAAGGATATTCCTAAGCCTAAGGATATTCCTAAGCCTAAGGCTTTGCTTAAGCCTAACGATATTCCTAAGCCTAAGGTTACGTCTAAACCTTAGCCTAAGTTCTCAAAAAAGTTCCCCAAGACAATCTTTGGTGTCTCAATTTTTTGGAGGAACTCCCGAAAAATATTTCTTGTCTGCCGTGGCAAAAAGAGAAATGAGATGAAGCTCGAGAAGCTCCATCTTCTCATTTTTAGAATCGAGAGAGTCTTGGAATCGCGGAGACGCAGACACTGTTAGTCTCATTAACTGAAGACGAAGAAGAAGAAGAGGGGGAGATTATGAGACGCAGAGAAAATTGATTATACGGGTGGTCTTTTTGAGAAGAGATTCAAAATTTCAAATCCATCTAGAAAAAAATCTTACTGTAGCTCTACTTAAAGGCGCGGGTGTAAAGGGAAAAATCACCTGGGGAGAAATTGGAATACAAGAGGGAGAGACTGGTGATTAGCTACCTAGGAAACCGAAACAAAATAAATGTGGAGCTAACGAGGGAGAGAGAGAGAGAGAGAGAGAGAGGAATTAGAGATAAAAGGGAAATAAGTGGATGAATTAGTCATTTTGTGGTGGTGGATTATAATATGATATGATAATGACGAGAGGGAGATTCTGCAAAAAATTTTAAATGGTTCTGCGTCTCTAATTGTCTCGCTTATCTGCGTATTTAACTATCTAGCTACTCGACTTCTATGTTTCTCTAACTATCTAGCTGCCTGGTTTCTCTGCGTCTCCAACCTTCTAGCTGTCTCGCTTCAGTGTGCCTCTAACCCTCTAGCTGCCTGGTTTCTCTGCGTCTCTAATTTTCTAGTTGTCTTGCTTCTCTGCGTCTCTAACCCCCTGGTGTTCTCTAGTGAATATGGAAGTTTGAAAGGTGTGTACGCAAATTTGCGTCGCAGTGTTTGCACACAAAACAGGCAATTTGAAAATTTTGAATTTTTACTGGTTCTTTTCATATAAAACTAGTTTTCACAAAAAAAGCATCACGGGTAAATGAAAAATAATTTATTTAGAATTCTCGGAGAACTCTTCTAGAACTTTCACATCAATCAAACGAAGCATCTTCTTTTTTTCTTCTTAAAATAGCATGAAGCGAAAAAGAAGAAAAAAAACTAATGAAAGTCATCCATCCTTTCATTTTAATGAAAAACGCGGGGCGCGCGGAAAAAAACGAAGTGCACCCCAAAAATGGGGGAAAACCCGAGATAGAAGAATGGAGCCAAGAGACGCAGATGACAAAATGCATCAGAAGGAAAACGAAGAAGAAGAAGGCGAATCGATATACAACAAGTGAAGCACAACAAAAAAAGAAGCAGAAGACGAGAATGGAGAATTTTTTCGGGAAAAAAAATATGAAAGAGAGAGAGAGAGAGAGAGGAGGAAGAGAGAAAAAGGAAAATATTTACATAATAGTATCAGTTTAGGAAAAAAGTACACATTTTTTTATTCAGAGATCAAAGTTTTTTTTGCAGGATGTTGGGAGAAAATATTATGATCTACAAAAATATGAAAATTAAAGTTTGTAATTTTTGTCTGAAAATATGAGATCTGGAGAAAAAAACTACAGTAACCCATAATCACTATGATCTACCGAGTTACGTTACTGAAATTATAAGGTTCAACATTTTATGACTAATTTGGTTTTCTAGAAAACCCCTCTCCGCAAAACTCAATTAACTTTTCAAACCCAACCAAGTTTGGCTAACTCAAAATAATCTTTTGAACTTTCTGAAAGCCTTATTCTCTTTCTGATGAAAAAGTGCAAAAATGCAAATTTTTTCAAAAAAAATGCTGCTTTTTGAACATTGTGAAAATAAATGGACACCAAAACCTTTGGGGATTTTTTCTCCACAAAAAAGACAACTTTCATGTTTTTGTTTTTATGTTAAACGGAAAACTGCATAACAAAAATAAAAAGAAGGTGAGGTCTAAATTAGTAACACCCCGGAAAAATCATCGAGGCGAAAACATCTAGATACTATGTTATATTTTCGACACAATTATTTCATAATGGAAAAAATATTGATTTTGGCTGGTTTGAACAATGCCCATTGTCAGATTATAGAACAATATAACATAGGCTAATTAGAAGGTCACCAAATATCCATTGATATATTTATATACACACAAAAACCCGTATAGAAACTCAAAAAAAAACAAAAAAATTTAGGAAATGTCGCAATATTTAACACTGTCTCTTTGACGAATCGATTCGCTCAGCAAAACGTTGAGGGTTCTGGAAAAATATTGATTTTTATAATCTGAAGCTGAAAAGGCTAGAGAGGCTAGAGTGACTGGAGAGGCTAGAGAGGCTAGAGAGGCTAGAGAGGCTAGAGAGGCTAGAGATGGCTAGAGAGGTTAGAGAGGTTAGAGAGGCTAGAGAGGCTAGAGAGGCTAGAGAGGCTAGAGAGGCTAGAGAGGCTAGAGAGGCTAGGGAGGCTAGAGAGGCTAGAGAGGCTAGAGAGGCTAGAGAGGTTAGAGAGGTTAGAGAGGTTAGAGAGGCTAGAGAGGCTAGAGAGGCTAGAGAGGCTTCGGTGCGAGACCCGTCTTTAAACACAGGTGCGCCTTTAAATTTTCTTCTCTGCCGAAAATGAGGTTAGAGAAGCAGAGAATATACAGTGTTCAGGAAAATGAAAGCCAATTTTTTAAGAGGAATTTTTAAACCCCGGGTCTAATCCCCAAAAATCACAGTACCTGGTTTCAACATGAAGAGTCATATAATATCCAGCCTTCGTCTCAACAATCTGTCTCCTCGATCTGTTTTTCAACTCAAGATGACGTTTCTGAATTTGTCGCGAGATCCATTGATCCTCTTGATTTGATGTTGTATCTCGTTTTGTTCGAACCGGGATTGTTGACGGCTTTTTGGTGCATTTTGGTGGCTAAAACATTATTTTTAATTCATTTTATTTCAAAAATAAAATAAAAAAAATTTCCAAAGCCAACTCACAATACTCTGATTACACGGCGCATTCGGATCTTTCATATTACACAATGAAATTTTGCAGTGGAACAGAAGATTTCCATCGCCGGGAAATTTGAAAACCGACATTTCTTGGAAAATGTACGAATTTTCAGGATGATCTTTGAATCTTGAATAATTTGGGGTTTCCAAAAAATGTTGATCTACTTCGCAGCTGAAAAAAATTGGAGGTTCTACTGGAGGGAAATATGGTACTGTACCCATTAGAATCCAAAATTTGTTGAGTATGCTTTTCGGATTGCACAAAACAGTCATGAACCAAATAATTGTAGTCGTCAGCTGTAAAAAAAATATTTTTTAAAACATTGGAACCAAGAAAAATCAAAAAATAAATAAATAAAACAAACTCACGACAATCGCATTCCCATCGATGATAAAGTGTTTCTCCAACTTTCGCATCAAGAGCCACACATTGTCCCGGACTATATCTATGCAATCGATAAACGCATTGAGTATCGGCAGCATTTCGAAGTATCGCCTTATCTAATTCGTGTCGAGCAACACGAGATGGAACAAAACACGACATGTCGAGACCTTGATCGGCTCGAGTGATGATTAGTGGATGGAATTGGAGGATTACTGTGATGTTCAGGTGGTAGCCATCGCCGTCCTGCAAGATTTTTGGTTCAAATTTTCAAAGAATTCTGAAACGTACATGTTTCGGGAGTTTTTTCTGTGGCTAAAAATATAATTTTCAGAATTTTTCATGTTTTCTTCGCCATGACCTAAGTGAGTTATAGGCTCTCAAAAAATTTTCAAAATATTTTTTGACTTCTGGCTCATTTTTGAGCTTTTCAGAGAAACTGGAAACGAGAAAAATCGGAAATTTTAAATCGAACCCGGAGCTCTTTTTTATCAGGAATCGGGCCCCCAGAAATAAAAATCCGGGCTCGATTTTTGATGATAAATTCTGAAAATTGTTTGATTCAGGCACTAAAAAACCGGCTCAGTCCCAATTCTCGCCCCCCCCCATTCTCCGCCCAACTCACAGCACTTGGCGTTTTGACAAGTCCACACGTCCCCTTCCTGGAATGTCATCTTGATTTCTCTCGAATCATCCGTCTTCTTCATCTGACATTCCGGCTCGTCGTGATAATTATGAGCATACATCAAACCTTGAAGAGCTCGTTGTGTCCGAACGATTATACTCATCGAGTTCTCGGTGCATTTGACTTCAGTGGCTCCGCGAACTTGCGGTTCTACAAGAAAATTTTGAATTTTAAGATAGTTACAAAATGAAACATGGAAAATCAATCTTACTGGCATCCGGTGGAAGTTCAATTCCATCACAACCAAATCCAACATATTTCATAAATTCTTTCTCGAAATTCTGAAGATTTGGCGGGGAAAATGCTCTCCCAGGTTCGCCAGAAATCAAAAGAAGTTCAGCTTCATCAACCAAAGGCCGTGGAGTAACCGAAACAGCGATCATAATAATCCCAGACGCTCTCATTTTCTCAGCAATCTGTTTTGGTGATCTATGCGAATGTCCGTCTGTCAAAACCAATGCCATCTTCGGAACACCATCTCTGATTCCAATTGCTGGATCGTTGGAAGTCAGCAAATCGAACGCATCTTCCAATGCGATGTTTGTTGCAGTTGTCCCTTTGATAGATCTCATTGTTTTGACAAATTCACTAACTGATGTATTATTTCCATATCGGAAGGAATTGAATTTGAAGTGAACGAATGAACTTCCAGAATAGGAAATCAATGCGAGACGAACAGCTTCAGGATGGATATTTATATTCGGAATTACTCGATCGAGCAAGAATTTGATCTGAAAAAAAGAAAGATTCGTGAGGATTTCTGAATGTGAAGTGTAACCTGATCAGTGAACAAATGATCCAAAGATTCTGAAGCATCAACAACTAGTGCCAAATCAAGCGGTTTATCCGAGCCTTTGATACATGCTAAAAAATCAAAACTAAAAAAAAAATTTTTTTTCAAAAATATGTACCTGGCTGCTCTTCGCATATTTCTGTTCCATGATATTTATCAAATTGTGGCTCGAGTTTTTGTAAATTCTGATTCGTCACAATTTTCTCTTCGGATCTTGTATAATTTGCCAACGCAGTCATTGCGACGTAATCTCCAGTTCCATACGCCCAAATATCAACATTTGGGATTTCTCTGGAATGAAAAAGGTTAGGGTTTTTTCAGGCCTGTGTAGCCTTGATTCAAATCTTAACAAACCTTCTCAAAATATCCGACATTTGCCAATCTTTTGGATAATCATGAGTTCTTCCATCGGACAAAATATAAACAATTTTTGGAACATTTCCATCTCTGATACCCTAAAAAATTAATTATCTAATTTAAATCTCTGATTTTCCTCAAGAATATAAATTCCACCCACACTTTCTCGATCCTTCATCTTAGCCAGCGTGAATTCAAAAGCTCCGCCAATTCTAGTAATTCCAGAAACATGTCTCAGAACATCCAATGCGGCTAGAAGTTCTTCGCGATCTTGGAATTTCTCAAAATTGAATTCGAGATGTTGAGTACCGGAAAATTGCACCAACATTACTCGAGTCGCTGATTTTCCAATTGTTACGTGTTTTATGATTCGGCGAATTATGTTTATCTCATCCTAAGATAGGCTAACTTGAAGAAACAAAAAACGATTTTCAGAAAAAAATACCTGAAATTTGTCCTTGAGAGATCCAGATGAGTCCAGAATAAAAATCAAATCTAAAGGTGGAGCAAAAACTTTGCATCTGGCTGAAAATTTGAAATTTTTATTTTTAGTTTCAGATTTTTTAAAGATAGATCCCACTCACGTTTTGTTGAGACTGGTGTGTGCACAATTTCTGGAGGCGCCAGACCATTGTCAATTATTTTGACACATTCGGAAAATGAGAAAATAAAAAGGATCAGAAGATAAAAATGAAGATGTTCGCGCATTTGTTTCTGCAAAAAAATGTTTTGACGATTAGGCTGGAACATGAGATAGATAAGAAGAATAAAACACTTTCTATTAATAACAACATAGAAAATACAAACATGAGATATAATAACAAAATATAACAACAGAGGAAAAATGGGGGGAAAGTTAGGCTAACTCTTGAAAAGAAAATTTCTAATTTTTGGAGAATTTTGAAACGAAATTTTTTTGGGTTTCCGAAAATTTTTGATCGAAAAATTGTATTTCAAAATTTCTGGATCTCGCGGAATTTTTTTTCAAAAAATAGTGTAATTTCAAAATTATAGAAAACTTCACGAGCTACAAATTTGCAATTTAGCCTAAATCTTGAAAGTTAACAGAAATAAGAAGAATTTTTCATTTCTGAAAAAAATGACCAAGAGAATGAAATTAAAAAAGTGAAATGTCTTCTAGAAATTTCAACCCTTTGTTGGCTGCTAGAAGTATTCAAATCAATCATTGTTTTGAAACAAAACAAACATGTTTCGATTTGATTTGGATGAAGAATTGAATATTTTGATTGAGGGAAATTAATTAGGTTCTTTTTTATTTTGATAATTTTTTTAAAAACTGAAAATTTTCTGGGATTTTGAATTTTTGGTACAAGGCTCTGAAATTAAATTTTCTAAATTCTAGTGTTAATTTTCCTCACAGCATAATAAAAAATAATATTCAGGAAGTTAACTTAGCCTAAGTCACAACACAACAAATTAATTAGGTTGTTTTTTATTTTGATAATTTTTTTCAATTTTTCTGAGATTTTCAAGAATTTCTTAAATTAGATTTTTTTCAAATTTCAGTTAACAATCCTTTGCTTTCCACCTGAAAATCGAATTTTGTTGATGAAAAATAATATTCAGGAAGTTAACTTAGCCTAAATCACAACTGAAAAGTTCCGAATACTTTTTAGGTAGAAAAATTTTAAGAGTTTGAAGTTCAAACTCAAGAAAAAAATATTTTTGACTACTTTTTTTCCAGAAAAAAATTCAATACAAAAAATCTCGAATTTCTCTCGAAAAAAACAAAATCAAAAGAAAGTAACTAAAAGTTGTAAATCATAGCCACAGTAGAGTAGCCTTGCATTTTTCAACCAAACAAAGAAAATCAGCTGTTTCGCGGCAGAACAATACCTATAGGTATGGGCTTATGCGAAGAAGAAGAAGTCATAAAAATTGAAAAGAGATAGATTGGCAGTCAAAATATAGGCAATTTGGCATTTCAAGGTCTCGCCGCTTTTTGTCTAATTTATTCGAGATTCGTGTGGTGTAATAATCATGATTATTATAGTTAGTAGTAATTTTATGGGTTTCTTTTTTCGAAGGAAGCTTTGGAATCCGGATAGAAATCTAGGGAGAAAATCAATCTAGAATAACAAAAATTCAAAAAAAATTTCAAGTTGCTGTAACTCAAGAATCCTTGATTGAAAATATTCAATTTCAATTTCAAAAATAAAAAAACCATAAATTTTCAGGAAGCACCGCCCACTTTACTATTCCATTCCTCTTTTGAAAACAAGCTTTGTTGTGTCATCAAGAGATGGGAAATAGTGTGGAAGATGAAGAGACGCAGACATCATTTCTACCTATTTTTATCTGATTTAGTTTATGACTAAGATGAATGAATTGGTTGAATTTTAATAAACATTATTATGTATGTGAAATGTGAAATGTGGGGTTAAAGGGAAATGGAAAATGGAAAATTGAGAAATGTTACGGTAGACAAAGAAGACTTGGGAAATTGGAGTTAGCTCAACTTTATCTGATAATTTTGAACCTGAGAGATTTTAAGAAAAGGATTTTTTGAGATCTTGAAAAATACACCTATCCAGAAAATAATTTCAAATTTTCAGAAAATTATGAAAAACGAATTCCACGTGGCAATTTTTTTTAATCCGAACTTTAAAGCTTTCAAGTTTGAAACCAACAATTTTTGTAGAAATTTAATATTCAGAATTTTCAAGTTTTGTCAAGATTTTCATGACTTTTGGGTTTTTTACCGGTTCCTTTTTATATTGAACCAACTTACAGAAGAATCATAAATCAAAGTACTTATGAAAATACTTCAACATAAAATAGCATAACAAAAAAAAAGATAAACCCGTGTTTTTCTACCCTACTGTCCTCAAAAATGTTTCATTTCATTCAATAAACAAAAAAAAATGTTTCAAGCAAAAAAAATGTACACTGACCTGACCTAAATAATATTTCAAGTAGCCAACACCAAAAAAACTCGTTTTAGTTTTTTTTTCACAACTGAAATTTTTTGTGTAAAAAAATTCTTTCTCACTGAAAGTTCAATGATGGACTAGAGAAAATGAAAAAAAAAAACTTTTTATAGTGCAAGATATTTGCACAAAAAATTAGCGGATTTCTTGTTTTTCCGGTTCCGGATTTTCGTGGATGGAATTGGAGAGAATCGGAGAGAATCACCTTGATCGTATTTTGAAACATCAAAATATTTCTATAGATGTATATAGAGTTGGTGTCAGGAAAAATATTTTTATAAGATTTTTGATGAGTACATGGTTCATTTTCACTTATCTGAAGGCGCCAAACTAAATTTAAAGAAATGTTCAAATTTTTTAATTTCCAAATCATCATACTCCAAATCCAGATTCATCATTAGATAATCTACTTTTCATTTTTACATACGTGCTTTTCCAAAAAAAATTGATTCGTACCTGGCACAGCTCTATTTTGCACAATTATAAAAATGTCATCCTAATTACTCATAATTCCCAAAAGGATTCTGAAAAACTGAAAAACAGAAATTCCAAATCGTCATCATATTTATTACTTTTTCTTTCCCCGTCAAATATAATTTTCAGAGAAAAATCTAACTATGGTTTTGAATATTTCCAATGTTTTCAATCATCCAAACGATTTTCAACATTCTTCGGAAGACATCAAAGCTGGACTTCTAGCAACTGTGGTAGGGGGTTTTCGGTTTGAAAAAGAAAAGGTCTGAACAATTTTTATTCAAAAGGTTCTGTTGATCGGCGGATTTTTTGGTGGTGTTGTTGTGTTTGCGATTCCACGTATCAAATCCCTGCGATCATCTTTCGGATTTCTTTTACTCTATCGAGAAATCTTGGGATTTCTGGCCTGTCTGAATATGACACTCTTCTTTTTCGTAGGACTTGTTTTGTAAGTTCTCCAAACTTTTTAAAATTAACATATTCTTATTGTTAAGGGATATTCAACCATTGTTGAATAATTCCGAAATCTTCGGAAATTTCGCAATAATTCTACTTCCATCAATTCTCTCCTCATTCCTGATTATTTCCCTGAATCGTCTATGTGCTCTTCTTCTACCACTTCAATATGAAAGAATTTTCTCCAAAAAATTGATGTTGTTCTATATCCCAATTCTGACTATAATCCCATTCTTCCCAGTTGTCTTCATGATCTATTTTTGTGAGTTAAGCTAACTAGATTTAAATAAGAAAGTGTTTTCAGATGATTGTGGTTATAAATTCTATCAATATGGCTGGGTATTTACAGTAACCCTAAATCCGACTTGCGATGGAATGTTGGGTTTCTATGTTTTTTCAGCTGAATACATTCTCTCGATTGCGGTGTTTTTCACTGATCTTTTAACGCTTATTGTTCTCATTTACATCAGGGTAGGGTTCAAAATACTGAACATCTAAAAATTTTTATTTTTCAGCGCTACAAAATTAGACATTTCAGTAGAAAATCTCGTATGCGTGAATTGAGTTTCACGAAACAAGTATTATGTCAAGGGTTTATTGGGATACTTCATGGAATTTGGTATTCGGAAGGATATCGAGTGATTCCTGGGATTTCTGAGCAGTGGAGAATTTATTTTACAACTTCGTTCTCGTCGGTTTTGTTGCATGTAACGAGTCCGTTATGCATTTTTCTGTGGAATTTGGAGTTTCAAAGATGGATTTTTGCTCCGATTATTGTTCCAGAATATCAAGGACCTCTTCCAACCATTACCTAATTTCGTGTTTGATTTTTTTTTCTCAAATTTCTATGTTTTAATAGAAAATTGGTTAAGCCTATTTGGTTTTCCAAGAAAATTTTTATCATTTTATATTAATTAATAAAGTGTGTGGTAGAATCTTCACTGTTTCTGGATTTATGTCTAATTTCTAATCTGAAACTTTTGGGAAAGGGAACTTTGTTTCAAGGTTGATCAAAAACGTATGTAAACTAGACTCTAGTTGTATTCAAAAAAGTTCCTTCTATGCCGAAAAATAGATCAAAAACGTATGTAAACTACACTCTAGTTTTACTCCAAAAAATTTTCCTTCTACGCTCATGTGATGAAAGTTTGGTTTGCCGAAAAATGTGGCCGCGTGGCCTAATGGATAAGGCACCAGACTTCGAATCTGGGGATTGTAGGTTCGAGTCCTGCCGTGGTCGAAATTTTTTTTCTTCAAATTTTGATGATATTATAAATTCGTGACGTTGAGTGACTAAAAAGCTGGAGAATGTACTTTACTAATTAAATGCTGACTACTTTGTACAATATGAATCTGGGAAATTTTAAAAATTTGGAAACGATTTACAGAAGTTAAATCACAAATCTAATGAAAAATAATTGTTCTTTTGATATTTTTTAGAGTGAGTAATATGAGCAATCTACTTTTGTGCCATGTGGATTTTAGATCAATGTTTCTAGCAAAAAAAGAGAAATCAGCTTTGCTCGCCAGGTCCTTTGCCAAGGTGTCATGGCTGTGATTCACGGTGCCTGGTATTCGGAAGGTTATAAATATGTTCCCGGGAGTTCGGAACCTTGGAAGATCTATTTCAGCACCTCGTATTCTTCTGTACTTTTGCATATTTTGGATCCGTGAGTCCGGAAATTTCAAAATATGAATTCAAAGCAGACCTGTCGTTTTGCGGCTATTTGCGGCCCTCGGGCCAGCCATTTGAAGGGCCGGGCTAGCCAGCCCAAATAGGGAAAATGGGCTGGTTCAGCCCGGCCTTTCCAACAAATTTTATTGTGTAAATCCACTATTTTTCAATGGTGTTTCTTTCGAATTTTTGCATTTTGGCGGAAGAAAATTGGCGAATTTCGTGTTTCTAATGGTGGATTGATAATAAAAGTAAAATTTATTGAAATTCATGTGTTTCACCATTACGATCCTGCACCAAAACAGTACTTCGAAGAAATGTTGGTGCACTAACACCAATATCAGTTATTCTGATTTACGAAATTCGCTCAAATGCAGAAAATTTGAGCAAAATCATCCATTTGTAAAAATCCCGAATTGTCATCAAAAATTTATGAAGGGCCGAAAAAAGGGCTGAAACAGCCTCTCATAAAAAAAGAAGGGCCGGAGGGCCGAAAAAGCCCGCATTTTTTGAATTTTGAAGGGCTGGCCCGGCCCGGCCGCCCAAAAACGACAGGTCTGATTCAAAGGATTTTTTTTGCAGAATCTGCATATTTTCATGCAATTATGAATTCAGAAAATGGCTATTTCCACCAATTATAACTACAAATCAAAAATCAATTTTATGACAGCAATTAAAATTAACAACTACTTAATTAATTAAACCCTTTGTCTTAAGTAGAAGCAAGTTGATCACAGAGATCTTCCATTATTTCCCTAGATTTTGATGAGTTAGCCTAACTTTTTACAATTTTTTATCGATTTTTTCGCGAAATCCCTCCCCAAAAAACTCACCAATCGCTTCTATCACACAAAAATCGTCAATAACTCGAAATCCTCCAAATTTTCCACGTTTTTGACATTGAAATCCAATTGTCCATCAATATTTCAGGCTGAAAATCAGAAAATTTTAATTTTTCATGTATCATATTTCAATCGAAACAGTGTTTCTCTAGAAAAAACCCACCTTTCTTCAATAATCCTCGGATTTTCCGTTGGAAGCGATATTTTCAGCCTTATTTTCAGAGTAGAACATCTAAAACATCAAATTTTCACTGAAATCCACTGATTTTCCCCGGAAACCTGAAAACCCAGCGAAAAAAAAACGAAAAATAAAAATATTCTCGTGTTGCGCTAAACAGCGGGCAAGCCGGAGTGTCGTTGTAAAAATTGAATCAACATAATTGTCAAATTCTACATTCTTCAAAGTATCTGAATTTTTTCATTTTTTCATAATTTCTGGTGGTTTAATTGGCATGAGCAATTTGATTTTTCGAAAAGAGTCACGAACCAGTACCAGGTAAGTATGTTTCATCAAGTGTCCGAATTGAAACGTACTGTCCTCATGTTTTTTTATGTCACAATTTTGGAAAAAATTGACTCCTTGAAAAAATCCACGAAACCTGCGAAGAAAAATCGGAAGTTATCAGTTTTCGAAGAAAATTCAACATCTATTTGAGAATCTTGGAAGATTTTGATTTCGAGAGAATTCCAGATTTTCGAGCTGGGTTTTCAGGAGAATTTATGCAAAAATGTGAGGAATTTTTGAAGAAGAATATGGAACTTGAGGAATTGTTTTATGAAGATTTCGAATTTGAAAATGAAAATCAAGAGAAAAGTGACTATATTTGCCTGATTTGTTCCGATTTTTTGATCGAAGAAATTGAAAAATGCACAAAGTGCAAAAAATGTGACAGAAAATATCATTCAGAGGTCAGTTTTTTTTAATTTGTGAAAATATAAATTTTTTTTTTCAATTTCAGTGTGCATCAAAATGGCTTTGCTTGAATTCAATCTGTCCAAATTGTCGTAATTTTCTACCAGATCCATGTCAATATCCATTGTTTAATTGTTAATTAATTAATTTTTGTTTTGTTTTTTTTATTTAAAGATAAGAAATCGGTTGATTTTCCTCGAATAAATTGTATGTTTTTTTCGGAGAAAAAATTACAGATTTTTCCAATTTTATCCAGCGCAGAGCTGCCCAGCGTCGCACAATCAGAGATGAAAACGTAGGTACAGCGTATCTTCGCTATAGCTACGAAATTCGCGGACAGGAATAAAATGACCGCTCTATAAATATTATTTTTGAATCCGTAGCTACGCCGTTGCTGTTCTGTAGCTACTTTGTAGATAAACGGATGTTACTTGTGTGCAATTCTCTCTTCTCCATTTTTGTACAAAGTATCAACGAAATTTGTACAGTCAGTCTACAGAGTCAATTGCTGAGAGTTGAAATGCAAAAACGCGAAAAAAAAGAAAAAAAAGTTTGTTTGGTACGGTGCGGTTCAAAGGAACATTGCAATTTGCAACTGCGTCTTGACACACAACACACAAAAAATTTAAAACCTGCCCGCGAATTTTTATTTTTTCGACGCGCCAACCAAAAAATCGATTTTTTATTCATTTCTTTATTTTTGCGTCGCTCAATGTGGCTGTTTTTTGGCAAGTCGACACCGGAATTTGATAAAAGATAAGTTTTTTTGGGATTTAGCCCCGGTTCCCTTTCGAATTCACCCAAAACACTCCCAAAAATCCATTCCGAGCAGTTCTAGAAGTCTTTGCTCGGAGTTAGTACAGCGCTCGATAAATTTCGAGCCCACTAGTCATTGCCACTACCAGTAACCTCGGTAGGGTCACAGTTTTTTCGCAAAATTGTGACCGCGATTTATCGCCTGGATTTGATTGGAAAGCAAAGATGAGCAAGACCTGGGGTTCTTATGCTAGAACTGCTCTTTAGCCACCGATTTGGGCGGAATGGGAAAATGGGACCTGGTTTTGAACGAATTTTATTGGGAACTGGGGCGATTTCTGAGGATATTCGATATGGACCTTTGTCAATGCTTTTTTTTCAGCAAATTTCTCCTCAATCAATCAAGTTGCTGGAAAAATTGGTCGATTCAAACCTGAAAGTTGGATTTTTACAAGTCTCTGGCATTTCGACTTTTCACCTCTTCACAATGCCCTCCAATGGATCGATAGTTGGAAGTGCCTGTATCTAGTCAAGAGGTACATTTCGGTGGTTTTTTTTTTTGTGATTATAAATAATACAACACAATTTCAGTACACCTTTTGCGTTCAACAAGCAGCTGTCTGCCAAAAAAGTTTTGTTCTCTATGAGAATGCATGTCAGACTAGTGGAGATCCAATGGAAAATGCAGCGACCAACAAAAAATGAAGTGGAAGCAGAAGAATTTGGTTCGTTATTTTCATTGTGAATTTACAAAAGTTCAATTCAATTATTTTTATTTTATAGATCGAGGAGCCAGTATTTGCTTGCTGCAACAGATATGCTCCAGTCAGTGCACCAACAAAAAACCAAAACTGTTTTTCAACTTGGAACAATGTTTCGATGAGTTTTAGGATTAACAGAGTGGGTTAATAAAACAAATACTTTCAAATAGTTTTATATTATTTTCAGTTTTCTGTTTGTCACATTGGCGAACAATTCGACACCACAATCAACTCTTTCTCTTCGATTTGTGGAAATTCTTCAACTTGTGCCGATCGAGGATAATCGAACACTCTTCCCCATTTGCAGAAAATCGAACAACAAGAAACCACAACTGTTTCTGAAGTATCCACTACTTCTACAATTCCAGCTCCAGATGGAGAAGATTTATGTGATGGGTCTTGTTGGAATTGGTTGCTCTCACAAGAATATATTCATTGCTCTCGTGGAATCGCTATCCGCTTTGTATTTCGATGAATTCTTTGATGTTTCTGCTTGTAATGGGAGTGATGATAATCTATAATCTAGTTTTCCAAACCACAAGTTTCCTCAAAAACATCTTCACCTCAATCATCGACAAAGATTTGATTCAAGATATTTCTTATTTCTCTTGTCAACAACCAACTATCGGAACATAAATTGTTGGAAATTATGCGGTAATTCAGAAAAAAACATGGAATATCCTAAATATTATTTTTCAGATAACTGTTGCGACCCCAGTTCCATCCAATTCCTACAGCAGCTCAAGTTGTCGATCTGGTGCTCGTGCTTCTATTTTACATATTTTGTGCATCGAATTATGTACCTTGAATGTGTCGAAAACGCTAACATCTCGCAATGTTGCGAACACTGACCTCAAACTCTAACAAATATGTCGAGGATATCTATGCGCTTTTCGTCAGCAACAATTCGGTTGTCTCAATTGGACAATGTTATATTCGTTTTATTGATGATTATTTCGGCATCTTCAATTGAAAAATTTGTCAACCAAATCAAGTGTTCTCCAATCCAAAACTTGCACACCTAAAAACACAAGACGGACAGCATGTGAGTTAATTTAAAAAAAGGTATCGTAAGATTCATAATTTTTATCCATACAATTGAGCTAGATTTAAAAATCGGGAATTCGCAGTGGCTACGAAACTACGATTCATCATTTTTATCCATTAAATTTAGATAACAAATCTAATCTTTTGGAGCCAAAGTTCGTGATTTTCATTCGAGCGGGTAGCTAATAAAAATTCCCGCCCTAATGAAAATAACTTTCAATTATTCACAAATACAAAACCAATTTTCGAATAATAAATTAATTGAATCTTTTTTTCAGATCAATCAACAATTCAAAGAGATCGAGCAAAATTTGTTGGTAAGTTTTTGAATTTTTATGAAAATTGGCATGAATTTCTGGAATTGTAATTTGAAACTGATAAATAATTATTTTTCTTAATTTTTTTAATTGAAAATCTTGAAAAATGGTTGATTTTATCAGTTCCAAATTGGAATTTCAGCGGAGATGCGGAAGCTATGCCCAATTTTTGAATTTTTATTCAAAAACTTTGAAATTCGAATAATTCAATCTTTTTTTTCAGATCAATCAACAATCCGAAGTTATCGAGCAACAATTCAAAGTGATCGACCAAAATTTGTTGGTAAGTTTTTGAATTTTTATGAAAATTGGCATGAATTTCTGGAATTGTAATTTGAAACTGATAAATAATTATTTTTCTTGATTTTTTTAATTGAAAATCTTGAAAAATGATTGATTTTATCAGTTCCAAATTGGAATTTCAGTGGAGATGCGGAAGCTATGCCCAATTTTTGAATTTTTATTCAAAAACTTTGAATTTTTCAGAGCGATTTGCTGCCAATTTACCACGGATATTTTGCAGTTCGAAACTTTATCATCGCCTTCGATTCTTAGTCTCTTCCATAATTTAATTTCCTGATTTAAATCCTATTTTTTGCTTAAAAGCCAAAAAGTAGAAAACTATAGTAGTTTTTTCTCTATAAGTCATTGCATAAAAGCCAATGACTTGTAGTTTTGTTTTTCCTGGTTACTGTAGAAGTACAGTAATCCCAAACTGTAGTAATCAGGGTACTGTAGACTGCGTGTCTACAATAAGATTACTGTAGTTGTTGATCAGATTTGTCGAGTACTGTAAGAATCGATGTAAAGCTACAGTAATCGGAAAAATAAAAATAGGAATGTAAAATTTAAGATTAGAAGTTATTATTTTTTTTTCGAAAGAACTGAAACTGAAAAATCGGAACGATATATTTGTTATTTTTTGTCCAAAGCGGAAAAAATTGTATTATTGCATTTTGGGACATCATTACCACATTTTTGCCAGCCTAGGATCTTTATAACATGAGCGCTCATGTTATAGCACTTCTTTGAATATTTCTTAAAAACTATTTTCTAACTTTCTGAAAATCAGTTGAAATTTCCAGAGTTAAATGAAACGTTTTTATTTTCGAACCATAGTAATCCTTTGAAAAAATCATAAAACTAATTACTGTTTTCCTTCAATTTTTTCCAATATGGCAACAATTTTATCACAATTAGCCTTCATTTTTTCAATCTTATCATCCGCTTCATCGTGTTTACATTTTTTCATATTTTTCACGCAGTTCAGTTTTGCTTCTTCACAACTTTGTTTAGCTTCTTCCACATCTTCCTTGGTTACAGTATTTCTAGATAAAATCATGGCGAGTGATATCTGTTCAAATAGTGAACCAAGAAGTGTCTAAAAGACTTATATTAGATTTGAAAATAAAAATAAAACATACTCCAACACATTCAGAATGATATTGACGAATCGCTGGACCATTGCAAGCGGGAGCAGATTCAGAAAATGAAGTGAAAATTGAAAAGAAGAGTATAGTCTTCAACATTTTTGTATTTCGAATAATTTTGATTTTGTTGACAATGAGTAGAAAAAAAATAGGTTATCCTTTTTGCGCGACAAAATTTGATAAGATAGTAAATATTATATTATTCTTTCACAGATTTTGCCAGAGATCTGCATATTTTCGAAAATTAATGAGAGACAGTGAATAGAATGAATATGGAAAATACAGCCAACAACAAAGCGATAATTATCACGAATTGTTTTGTAGAATACGAGCGATTTGGATCAATATTTTCATGAATTTCTAGAGCAACGTAATCCATTTTTTATGGTTTATGGAAAAAAGTAACAAAGAAAACTCTGAATTCCATGGTAACCTAAAATCCTAGTAAATTATTAATGTTCCCTGTTGAAAATTTTGTTTCTAGAGCATTGTAATAATTCTTGTCATCTTTTATGTCAAAATAAATGTTATCACAGAAAACTCCCCCAATAAAAAAAACAAAATTAACCATGTGCAACTGTCAAATAAATAATCGTAGCAATTATGGCAACAATAATCCCGATTGTGACTAGAAGAGTTTTCGTCGAACAGCACGAGTCACTTGGCGGGGGAAGTCCACCAAAACAGAGATCTTCGATGGGAGTTCGAACACTATCCATTTCTTCCGGTGTTAATGCTCGCTCCCATCCTTCATCCACGTGTTCTAAAAAGAATATTGATTAATTTTTGAAAAAAATGAATTTTTTGTACCAATGCTTGTCTGAAGATCCATCATATCATCAAAATTCTTCTGCGCATCTTCAACATTATCAGCTTCGAATAAAAACTCATTTAGAAGAATTGCGGGGTGCGAATGGAGAACAGTTGTTGCTGGACGGGGAAGTTGATGAACCTGGCAAGAATCAACGATTGCTTTTGAGTCCTCGACAATTTCCATTGACTCGTAGTGAAGTTCAGCTCTTGAGAATAGGTTTCGAATCAAATGATGTTTTAGCGCTCTTTTAGCGTCTTTTACGGTGCTTCTTAAAGGAACAGCCGCTCGAATTTCAATATCAAACATCAATTCGTGCATATTCGAAGTTATATGATCAGATGCTCCACTTTCTCGATTATCTGAAAAACAACAATATTAAAACTAATTTAGAAAACATCTAGAAACTTCTTACAAAGTGGATCCAAGAATAATTGTGCTTCAACAGTTGTCTTCTTATTATTTTTCAAATCCTTAATAAGTGGTTCAGTATCTTCGCGAATTTGTCCATCTAACAACATCAAATCAGTATGGAAAAAGTTGGTGGTGAAATTCTTGGTGGCGGCAACAAAATCATTATAGAAATCGGGTTGTTTGCCAGCGACAATTGGAACATTCAAAACAATTCGAGCGGAAGCGTTTGAAACCAGAGAAATCCATTCAAGTTTCTGGAATGCCACTTTGGCTGTTGAATCGGTTCCGCGACCAGAAACGTCGAAAATTGTACCGGTTGGGGTGGTTTTTCCAGTCTCGAAGAATGCGCAAACCTAAAAATAAAATTTTTATTGAAAAATCATCTTTATTCATTATTTTTGCTTACCATGTGATCACTAATAGTTGAATCCATTCCAGCAGTTGTCAAAGAATTATTGATTTTCTGAATTCTCGTCAAAGTTTTTTGAATAACCGATTTTCTTTGATTAAAAGTTTCTTTCGTTGAAAACCACGCGATTCCCACAACATTAACTCCACCAGGCAGCATTCTCAAAACTCTTTCAGCATTGTCAGTCATCCATTGATCATCCAATAATTTTGTTTTATCATTCGCATTTGCTTCGAGAGCACTTGAGTGAACTGGACATTTTGAAGCGTGAGCAATATGAATATCGCCATCCGAGCAAAATGAGCCTAATAGAAAGTATGCAGAAGCTGGGATACTTTTTTCGATTTGAACGAATTCATGGTTTTTTGCACTTTTCTTGACCCATTCTTCTAATTGTTGATCAAACAAAATCATTGATTCTGTAACGACGATTGCAAGCGGCAAAGACATTATTAGAAGAAGTAGAAGAAAGAATAGTATAATATAATACTCAAGGATTTTCGATATCTGATAACAATACGGCTAGGTTACCTAGGATACCTGCTCAGAGCCTTTTTTTCTAGAAAAAGCACCCTTCTTCATTTTTATTAGTAGTAATTCTAATAAGAACAACAAGGAAAAAGAGGAGAGGAATTTATCGATTTCCTGCTTCTTTTTGCTTTTTTAATGAGAGTCTGCAAGATATTCCTATTTAATTTATTTTCTCAACTAAAACAACCTTAAAGAAAAAAGCTATAAAATAAGTAAAACATATTATTCTTCATGATTAATTACATATTCTTGCTGAAAGAAAAAATGAAAATCACCTGGTTGATAGGAAATTCAATTTCTTTTATTGTCAAGATATAGAGGGTTAGAAGCCTTATTCTAAAAAGTTTAATATTAAAGCTTATAACCTAGACTTTAGGTGGAACACGTTTCATGGGCGAAAAAAACAAAAAATAATAATATAGTCCGGGAGAACTACACACACGTTTCACAACAGGGCGCACTTGCTTGTTTCAAAAAACATTTTTGTTTTTCGAAGTGTTTTTTTTCAAGTTTCTTTCTGTTTTTCAACCTTTTGAACATTATATTTTTATCCAAAACAATAAAATCAATTAGGATTTTTGTTTTCTCGAAATTCTGTTCTTGATTTTCTTCAGTTTGTTCCAAAGATATAGGTGAAATCTTCCCACAATTCTAGGACATCTTTTTTCCTTCCAGATTCAAAATTGTAGCAATCATTGGCACAGCGAAAATACAGTAGAAATCAAATATCGTCGAGAAAATAATATTTAACTTTCCAGATTTGGAGCTTTTCACTTTTTTCTTCGTATACGCTCGAAAATATTTTTCTTTATCTGAAAAATTGTCATCAATTTTCTTGTTTTTGAAAGTTAGAAACTACCTTTTGCTGAAATTGAAAGCGGAATACAACCGCCATTTTCATCACCTGCTTTTGTCTGTTGCAAAGATTCGATTCTAGGCTCTGAAAATCATAAGGCTTCAATATTATTTAGATTTCCAGCAGGCCTGATCGGAATCGGAATGTCGGAATTCCGAAATTCCGAAACCGACAGGTTTTTCGGAATGAGACAAACGTGCCTCGGAATCGGAATCTATTTTCTTGGAATCGGAATCATTCCGATGTTACTTCCGAAACTTTTTGGAATTTCGGAATGTGTTTCTCTTCCGAATTTCGGAATTTTTCTACCAAATTTCGGAATTTTTCGGAATGTTTCAGCTGAAATTAGTGAAAAATTCAACAAAAAATGGAAAAGTTGATGAATTTTACCTGTCATTTTCAAAAAATCTAATTTTCTCTTGTGATTCTCGAAAAATGTAACTTTTGAAGACAAATTTTTTAAGTTTTATATCATTCCGAAAAATTCCGAAATTCCGAGGTAAAAATGTCGGAATGGAGGTTCGGAATTCGGAATTACGATCTGACCACCCGGAACGAGCGCGCTCATTCCGAACCTTCCGACAAGGTCCATTCCGATCAGGCCTGATTTCCAGTCTACCTTTTATTTTAAAACCAAGTTCAGAATTCTGAATATAAGTTCCATTATACCTTTCACAATTCGTAAAATTTGAGAAATAAAATAAAAAGATAAGAAATAGTTGAACCATATTTCAGTATGGTATTATTAAAAAATGAAAATGTTTTTCATTTTTTCTTGAAAAAATTGGTCACGTTTCACGTTTTTTTTTAATTCTGAAAATTTAACCTGAAATTTTTTACCCAAAACAAATCAAACAAAAAGTTTCATTCAAAATTTTTGCATACAATATTTTCCAGCATAAGCGCAGACTAACATGTGACTTAAAAATAAAGCAAACCAAAAAGTTTTGAAAAAAATAGTAATCGACAAGGAAAAAACATGATGGGGCCCGTTATATAATAGAATTTCACCGTCAATCAAAAATCAATGCAAAGTTTTCGAAAAAAATAATAATAAAGTTGAAATATGAAATAAAAACATGAAATGACAATAGATAAAAGAGAAATGTTTCGGAAAATTTAGGGGAAAAAAGAAGAACAGCAATTTTATCGTCACGTCGTTTTATCCCGAAGCGGTGTAAGCTCTCCAGCAGTTCCATAACCATTGTTATTCGATTTTTCATCATCAATCTGAAAATTGATTTTTATTTTTTGGAATATTGAAATTTGGCTTTGAAAAAATCATGAGCATAATCACTCAAAAACAAATTCATGTTGTACGTATGAAAGTGAAAAATTAAACTTGAATTTGTAAAAATCTCTTATACCCGCGATGCGTGTGCGTTGCGGTCGCTTTTCAATACAACAGGGTGTTTTCCAGCGCGCTCTCTCACTGTCTGCTTCTCTTCAAGCGAATTCAAATTTATTCTCGCGGGGTGACTCGACAATAACTGCGGTACACCCTCTGCGTCTCTAACGTCGTATATCTATCGATGGGTCTCGCACCAAAAAACACCGTACTTGAGAACAGTGACATTTGAACTGTCTCTAATATTTTTTAATTTTAATAACATAAAGTGCTGCAATAGTTCTACCCACAAAAAAGTTTCACAAAACAAAAAAAGTCATGCGTTACTCCTTACCATTGTATCCTTAATAACAAGTTTTGTCGTCGAATCATCGCTACCTTTCTTGCTTCTCGCACTAAACGGACTCAATTTTCCATTTTCTTCAACGAAATTCGTCTGAAAAGGTGCGAAACGAATAATGGTTAAGGTTAATTAGGGGGAAGAGACACACTGACAAAAAGCGATACTAGTTTAGGCTAACTTATTTTCTGGTTTACAAGTAATTCTTTTAAAATAATATTATTTTACTCACCGATACTGCTGTATTTCCATTTTTCGCTTGATAGTGTGAAGCAACACTTCGCGAACCGCGTCGCAGTTCATTTTGTGATTTATGAAGTAGTCGATATCGCGCGTAGAAAGCTTTTAGCACATGATTCACCTAGAAAAACTTGAATTTTTTAAAATTTCATTAACTATCAAAGGGCAGTTGGACAATTTTTGTTAATTTCAAATTTTAATGTGTGTGTTCAAACAATGCGACGCACTTTTGCGTACAGGAAGATTTGAACTTTTATATCTCTTTTTTTGGTTCAAGTTTAGGCCAGTTAAAGTCAGAGGCTTCTTGGGTGGTCTCCATTACCGGAATCAATACAAACCTCTTTATTGGTGAAGCAATAGATACTTGCAACCATTAGACCTTGATACATATATGTGAAACTAGCAGTATACGTCCATACAGCAAATACCATGATATTATCACGAGTTGGTGCAAACGGAATAGTTTGCATGATATTTGGGACACCAAGAAGTGGCAAAAGCATCATTGCTGCTTTCACAGATTTCTTCAATCCAGCTTCTGATGTATTATGAGATTCTCGAACTTTTGTATAAAGCACTCGAATAACATTGATGATAAAGAATAGATTGATAACAAGTTCTGCCATTCTTGGACCATCTAAAATCCAAAATTCCGGCTCCAAATAATACGATCCCAAACATCGTTCAACTTTATAATCCTTTTTGATATATACAGCGACAAGCCAAAGAACAGTGTGAAGAAGTGGGATGCCATAACCAGCTAGAAGATATGGTGAGAGTTTGGGCTCCGAATTGAAGACGCCGAACACGATGGTTTTGTTGAGATAGATTCCCTCCAAAAACATCCAGCAAAATGTGACGGTTTTGAAGTATTCTAATAGGAAGTACATTCCTTCACAAATGAATGGCATTGTGTTGATTGTTTTGCCATCGGAGGGGTTTTGATGAGGACCAACGTCTCCGGTGAATATTAGATCAATATAAAGAACAAGTCGAATAATGACAACCATTAGCATCGCAATCATCAGGTGAAGGTGGAGAAGGTTTCGGAAAACTCGTAGCCTTCTGAAATTTTTTTAATTTGTGATATTGTCGAATTTGAAAAATGTGGCAGCCGTAAAAAACAAAAACCAGTGCTGAGCTGAATGAACGACAACGTCATTACTTCTTTAGTCGCGTGCGGCTATGCGTCGCGGTTGAGATGGAAAGGAAAAAATGGATTATTGATTGTTTCTCGACCGCGACGCACAGCCGCCCGCGACTGACGAAGTAATTTTTTATTTTTTTACGGCTGCCACATTTTTGAATTTCGACAATAATGTTTCTATTTAAATCTAAAAGTTACCTGAAATAGGAGAATATCCCAATGGCAAGAATAAGTGATACCAAAGATAGGCCAAGTCCAACAAACTCCAATTTTCTCGCATTTCTTGCGACTTCTTGTGCTATCTAAATATAGAAGATTTTTAAGTTAAAGGAAGGAAATCTGAAAATGTGTGATGTAGAAAAAATAGAGAAAGGGGAGATAGAAATAGAGGTTTGGAAGTGTGCAGATCGAAAATCAAGAAGAAGAAGAAGTAGTACCGATAGTGATTCGTTGTTCAAATTATTCATAATATAAATGACTTCTTCGGAAAAGCACATTGAGAAATTGGTCCAACTTTGGCCGTTCGCAGTTTCTTCAAGTGTTCGACCCAACCACATTCCCGATTCATGACACACTTTTGTGATGTTTTCTGTACAATTTATGATATTTTTGGCTTAGGAGATTGTGAGGGGATTATTGTACTGTACTGAAATGTGATGTTTTTTTCGGTGATGGTGAGGTGATAAATGTGGCAAGCAACGGAGAAAAAAGGAAAAGTGTGGAGAAGAAAATGGTGCGGTGCTTTGATGGATTGAGATTTTCCCTGGAGGTTCTGAACCTTCATAGCTTTCTGAAAGTCTCAATCCATCAAGAAAGAAAGGCATGTTAAAACATAAACGGGAAAGAATGATAGAAAAGAAAACAACAGAGGTACAGAAGAAAAAGTGGCAAAAAATTAAAATAGTTTTTGATCTACAGTTGTATACTGTATAACTCAACAAAAGTACATACTTTAACATCGTCATATTTGAATTTGAAGCACATTGTGAAATTTGTCCAACCCCACGGATTGTCGTACTTTCCCGGCTCACGTCCCGCCCATTTTCCAGTCTCGTCGCAAAACTTCACAACATGTCCTGCAAAATCCACGCTCTGCTCTTTTCCAACTATTTTTGTATGCTGTATGTATTCATGTAATAATCAGAAAAAAAACTCAATTATTTTCACTCAAAAAAAGCTGAAAGCGCGTGCTTCGAAAAAAAATCATCAACGAAAACAAAACGGTTCTACTTTCGACGGAAAAATATATGTAGTTTGATCATGCTTTTCCTAGTTAATCGAGAGGCCAAATTTATCAGCCAACACCAACACCTTTTCAAAAAATGAATTTTTCAGCCAAAAACTCTTTTAATACATAATGTCAAGCAAAATTGAATTTTTTCTCACAAATCAGATCATTTTTGAAATGAGATGAGATAAAACTTACTTGAAGCATCTAGACCTTTCATTTGAGGACATTGGAGCGTTACCGAAGTGTTTGCAGGTGTTGGTGGCCAACATAATACAGTATCGTATGTGGCATTACACCAAAGACCTTTTGGTTCGGCAACTGCAAAAAATGAGAAATAGTTTTTTTTTCAGTTGGTATAGAGACTCTATAGGCGCGGCTACTTGAAAACCAGATTCTCTAGGTGCGACTACTTGACAACCAGGTTTTGTAGGCACGGTAACTTCGCATATAAGCTCTCAAGGCGCTGCTCCTTGCCAAGGTGAATCTCTAGGGATGGCTACTTGAAAACCATGTTCTCTAGGCGCGGCTACTTGAAAACTACATAGGGTGTCTAGGCTTGACTTCTTGATATAGATATTCTCAAGGCGCAGCTCCTTATCAGGGTGGATCTTCAGGAGTGGCTACTTGAGGAATAGACTTTCTAGGAACGGCTACTTGAGAACTAGGTTCTCTAGGGGTGACTACTTGGTATAGAGACTTTCAAGGCGCGGTTACTTGCCAGAGTGGATCTCTAGGAGCGACTACTTGACAACCAGGTTCTCTAGGGGTGGCTGCTTAAGAAATAGGCTCTATAGGAACGGCTACTTGAAAACTAGGTTCTCTAGGCGCGGCTACTTGACAACTAAAATTTCTAGACGTGGCTACTTCACAACCAGAATTTCTAGGCCCCTTTTTCACATGGCCCTGAAAATTTCATTTTTTTTTCAATTCCAAAAATCCCCCAACTCATTTCTTTTTTGCATTCCCCGCGAGATTTTTCGGAATAAAATTGTACATACATACATAAATATCCAAATACATCATAAATATATGCGTAAATCGGAAAAGAACACGCGGAAGCTAAATAATTTCAAAACACACAAACCTCTATCTAGCGTAATATTTCGCTCCTTGAGGAGCGTATTGCAGAAATCCATAGTTTCAGCTACGTTTCCGTTACGCAAGGTATAATTCCACGGTACAACCGGCGGCTTCATTGAGACAAGCGGAAATCTGAAATATATATATTTTTTTTAATCATCCAAGTTTTATTTTTTTTTAAAGAAAATAGAGGGGGAACACTGAAACTACAGTAGTCTGGGATTGTTTTTGACATCAGCCAGCATCTTCTTTTTGCGCCCCAACAAAAAGGGCACTGGCCAAAAAAAAACATACATATATAGAAAAGACAGATACATAATTATGTGAAAAAAAAGAAAACGAAGAGCTGCGCGAATTTTTCTTTTTCTAATTTATTCGAATATTTGACACTTTTTTCCCCTTTTTAAGTGATCATCGAACAAGAGCCAATCAGCGGCCACCGAAAAAGTCCCCGTTTTTGATTATTAGCGGGGGCGTTCGCAAAATAAACTACTTTTTTTTGACCTGTTGAATTGAGTTTGGCCACAGCCGGAAACGTCATGTGTTACCTGGCGCTAAAAATAGACGAGACCACAAATTCTCTTTTTTTTGTTCTCACATTTTTTGTTTGAAAGATTTCTTGATTTTTTGTTGGATTTTTGACTATAGGTATGTTCAGTGTTTGCGGACATGATGGTGTTTGCACACACTTTCTATTTTCGAACACAAAAAAGCAGGATCGGGAGATATTTGAAAGAATGACTCGAAAAACCCCGGAAAGGTATACTGTATTAAAGGAACATGCTGTTTTTTTCAAACAGATATCTCCAGCCGATGCTACTTGTAAAAAAAGCTTACAAGGCGCGGTCCCTTCATAAAAAAGCAACAACTTCTGAAGGAACGGCTGTTGTCAAACTCGACCCTCAAGGGGTGATTGCTTGTTAGATCTACTCACAAGGCGCGGTTCCTTGACAAAAGATTTTGGAAAGTGAACTCAAGCCAAATATGCTTGTCAAACTCGACCCTTAAGGGGTGATTGCTTGTCAATCTAGCTCTCAAGGCGCCTATGCTTGTTAGATCTGCTCTCAAGGCGCGGATGCTTATCAAAACACCCCTCAAGGCGTAGTCGCTTGAGCTACCCCCAAAAATCGCCAGCAAAAAAAACTTTGCAAATATCAAAATAATAAGAAAAGTTGTTTTTTTTTGTTGTTATTATTATGAGTGTCGGAGGCTTGTGGATAGTTGATTGGAATTGAATAATAAATAAGTTTTTTGCCTAGTTTTTCGCTGAAAATTGACTATTTTCTTTTCGCTTCTGCCACTTATTTTTGAGCAATTTCTTCTCATATTTTTTGGGCGGAGGGGAGGGGGGAAACCCTTGGAAAGTGATGAAAAATAGATTAAAAATATATATGTGCATTTCTGAGAACTCTGATAAATCTTTGGACTCCTCTGGGCTTTAGAACATCGAAAAAATAGCCATAAAAAATACATTTTTTCTAAAAATCTAAAAAAAAGATTCCAAAACACAACAAAAAGGAACTACATTTTGTCGCAATCAGCAAAGCAAAAAAACCTTTTTTTCCTTTTCAACAAAAAAATTGTGGGCACGAAACTAAAAAAAAAAATTTGAGTCGTGCTGAAGCTCACACAGATTAGCATATATAGGATTATGAAAAAAAAAATAAAATAAAATACATATCGGGAGGAGCGACAACAAATATGTATGTATGTATTGAAAATGAAAAATGAAAACTCTTCGAGATCAGAGCGGCGAACCGAGGAAAAATGGCTACTTAAAAAAGTGGGGGAAAAAGTTCGGGGCACCCAAGGGGAAACATGATGAATAACATCCCCTGATCTTTTTTGTCTGGAAATTCTTACAGCGAAATAATGAAGGGAAATAAAATATGCTAGAATAGTGACGCGCGTAGAGTAGTGGTAGCGCTCTAGTTTTTGAGGTCAAGCTATGCGAGTTCGAATTTGTTTGCAACAAAAAAGTTTTTTTTTTCTTTTTTTTTTTTTGAAAAAATGTTATCATCTAGGAAATCGGAAATGGTCGCTCATAACGTGTTCGTTCAAAAAACCAAAAGTGGAAAACGGAAGAATAAACTCTTTTTTTACGCCTTGGGGCTCGCTCAAAAGAATAATCCGAAAATTGCCGGCGGCCAACCCAAATTACGTGTGAAAAATGACTATTCTTGGAAACACCCAGCCACCATTTTTTTATAATTTCCGCAATACGGAAATTAATATACATATAATATATACATGATATTTATACATGTATGTCAGAACACTGAGAAAATTGAATTTTTGCGTGCGTGTGCGCGGCCAAACGAAACAAAATTGAATTTATTATTTTTGTTAGAAAAAGTTCGGGTTCAGAAATTCGAAGCATTACATTACAAAATGCGAAATGTCACATTGATCATGTTATAGTGACTGAGGATTTATGGAATCGTGAAAAATAGGAAATGTCTACCGGGCGAAAAATTATGAAAAAATTTAAAAATAACTTCTGACTAACATAAGTAACTGGTAAGTTCAAAATAATAATGATATAGAACGTATAGAAATATAATTGGTACACTTTTATGTGAAGGTTTTTCTAAAAAAATTATCTGGGAAAAAACAGAAAACCAAAACACATTTTGTGCATTTATCCGTATGATTTTGTGTGTTGTCTGCATACACTAATCTAATTCAATTTATGACATGTGATGTGATGATTCTCAAGTTCAGTAAATACAAGATTTTTTTGGGGAATAAGTTTGAAAAAAGGATTACTGGATTACCTTCACTTATCCTAAGTTTGATATCAAATCTTTTTAAAACGTCAGATGACGAAAAAGTTGCGAAAAGTGAAGAAGGAGGCGCGCGTCTGGGCGGGTTTAATTGAATTTTCGTTTGCCGGCTGTTCAAAACTGAAGTGATAATTGAATTTTGCAAGATTTTTGATACATCAGATTTTTTTTTTGTTTTGCGACAGGAATTTTGGGAGCATATAGGATACCAGAACGCAGAATTTTGAATTTAGAAATCCTAGTTGGAAAGTAGCTCAGGCTATTGTCAAGAAGCCGCGCCTAGAAAACCCATCTATCAAGTAGCTCAGGCTAGAAAACCTGATCGCCTAGGAGCCGAGCCTAGAAAACCACTCTGGCTAGGAGTCACGCCTTGAGAGCTGCTATGTCAAGTATCCGCGCCTAGAAAGTCTATCTCTCAAGTAGCTCATCCTGGAAAATCTGATCGCTTAGGAGCCGAGCCTTGCAAGCTGCTATGTCAAGCAACAAAGCCTAGATAACCTGATCGCCTAGGCCTAGCGCCTAAAAAAACACTCTGGCTAGGAGCTACACCTTGAGAACTGCTATGTCAAGTAGCCGCGCCTACCCACTTTTGATCTCTAAAAAAAATTGTAGCTTGGCTGAGGAAAATTTTTTGAAGATCAGAAAACTTTCTACTTCCACAAATATTTCACCTGTTTTTCTTTTTACAATAATAAAAATACTGAAAATCTGAACACTCATAAACAAAGATGAGATTATTTTTTTGAAAAAAAAAAAATATATATATAAAAATATACCCGAAAATCTGAAATAGTTGTTGGGAAAATGTGTGTCACCCTCGATATTTTCTCTAAACTCTCTCTCTCCCTCAATTTTATCATCTCAATGTCTCGTTATGGCTCTTTTCTCACTCAGCGACAGCAGAAGAAGAAGCTAAAGTTAATCATGTGAAAATGTGCGGCGCTTCAGCGTTTTTATTATCAAATTGGATCAAGATGAAATAAAGATGTGCGAGAAACATCATATTTTTTTCTGGTGGTGGCGAAAAATTCGATTAGAAACTTTTTTTTATAATGAAAATGAAAATGATCTTTGAGTAATCAGAATGAGTGAAAAAATCTTTAATATAACATAGTGCTCTTTTCAACTCAACAATGAGAAAAAAACGGCGAAAAAAAAAAGAGACCAAACTTTTTCCGAGAAACCTCAATTAGTTGTCGAGAAAAACGGAAAAGGAAGTAAAAAGGAGCAACAAAATATAATCAATTAATTTGTCTAAAATTTTGGGGCCGCCAGAAAAAAATCTTGGAGAAAAAAACTCGTAAAATGTTTCCTGAATGAATGAATATTCAAAGAAGGCACGCAACTTTTGAAATCCCAAAGGAAGACAAATTTATTATTTGAAAGAATTCGTGGTCGAAGGAAGGGGAATTTCGAAAACTAGTAAGATTTTGTTGTAATCCCAAAATTGACATAAAGAGACTTACCATTTTGACAGGCGAAAATAAATGTAAATCGAAACAAAATGAGTGTTTTTGATTGGTTGAACCCCTGAAATGAGAAACAATTATTTATTTTTTTCAGCCAAACAAAAAACACAGGCGGGACAATCAAGAGAGGGAAAAAGAGGAAAGAAAAGAAAATCTGAAAAAAATAATATCAGGTGATCCCAGGAAACAGAGTTTCGGAAAAAAAGTTATTCACAAAACCTTGAGCTCAAAAAGAAGACTCCAAAAATTTCAGAAGTCGTAAAATTGCCAATTTCCAGAAACTTCTTCTTTATTTTCAACTTTACTTTACGACACAACATAAATGTTCGAAGAAAATTGGAAAACTAAAAAGTTATCCTAACTACAAAAATTGAAAATAGGCACTTGAAAAGTAATTTCAATGGATTTGATTGGATTTGTTTCGTGACAACTACCGTATGAATTTTTTTTTGGTTCTTTATTTTATGGTTCGGCAATTTCACACGCTCCAAAAAATTGTATCAGATTGTTTTTTCGAAGAAGAAAAAAAAAATAGAATACGAAGAAAAAGCAGATGAAAAATCATTAGTAATGGCACAAATAATAATAAAAGTCATAATAATAATAACAGACTGAAGAATCTAACATCTCTCTGGGTCCATTTATGCACTTTAATATAACTATGAATGCGGGCAGGCGTATAATTTGTTTTTTTTTTTTTGAAAGAATGAATGAAAAAAGTTCTGATGTCATGTAGGGATTCAACATAAAATTAAAAAAAAAAGTTAGTCAGTGGTGGGGATCGAACCCGGATGCAAAATCTAAGAGAGTGTGGAGCTTTGCCACTGCGCTACGCGTGCGTTGGAAAACGCTGTTTGATTGTCCAATACGAATTTTCAAAAAAATGTCAGAATAATTATAATTTACCACCAAAAAAAATATGTCGATGCAAAATTGTTTGTTTTTCTAATGAGTCTCTCAAGATGAGCAAGTATAAATGGAGCAAAGAAAAGAAAAATGAATTATTCTGACACAACCCGGGGCCCGCCAGCCAACAAAATTAGATTTCGACTCGATCAAAAACAACTTATAAATATTCTTCCTTCACTTTCAGCCTCATCTTCATTTGTGTTTTCAACAGGGAAAAAGTTGAGGAGGGGGCGTGGCTTATGCAAAGTGCGGCACACTTGCTGATCATGCTAATCTTTTTGACCTAATTGGCATCAGATTCGGTTGAAGAAGAGGAGAAAGTTCGCATTTCGTGTGTTTGTGTGCACTAATTAATTTGAACAAATAACTAGAACTGCTGATATCAAAAATAAGGGAAGGGATTTGAAAAAATTGAAAAGTTCAAAAATCGCAAAAAGTTCACAGTCGGATTCGAACCTGCGACAAAAATTTAGAAAACATGCGCGCTAACCGACTGTGCTATGTGAGCATTTTCGGAAGCTGTTAAAATTGCATAGAAAATATCGCTCTCCGAAAATTTAAATCCAAAGCATTTTATTCAGGAATTTTCAGAATTCAATTCCAGAAGTCATTCTCTGTAGAATTTCTGACTCATACTGGAATCTGGACCAGTGAAAAAATGCGGAACGATTCCTTCGTTCTCTTTTTTCCGTTGATTGACAAGTGACAAGTTTTTTGGGGCAAAAATAACAAGAATATTGATTTGTGAGACAAGAGCAGGAAAAAACATATTGTTATGAGATCAAAAAGTTCTAAGACTACGTTTTAGTGTTTCAAAGTTCGTCAAAAGTTAATCCAAACATAATAAACAAATGTTTTAAAGAGGCAATTGGGAGTTAGAGAACAAGAGACGAAAATTTCGGAACTCTAAAAAATATATCAAGTTTTTCACATTATGTTTGTACATACATCCATCCATATGAAAAAAAAAAACTTTCAAGTGTGCGAAAAATTGCTCTGCCTCAGGGCCCATTTTTAGAGGCGAGAATCTCATAAGCTTTGCGAGAAAAAAGCGCGTGAGCAAGTAAAAAAATAAAAGTAGGATGGGGCCAAAAGTGCTTGAATACATTAGGGTCAAAAATCGACGGGGGGAAACAACAAAAAGTTGAAAATGTTATGATGAGTGTCTGGGGGATTTTTGGTTTTTGCCGAAAATTATCAATCATGTTCAGAAGTGGGAAGAGACTTAGTTTAGACTCATCAATGGAGAAAAACCCTGAGCGAAAAAAGCAACGACGAAACACACAAATTTTTGAAAGAGCGCCGGACATGCAATTTTTATCAATAGGGCGCACTTCCATTTCTACTTTTATTTTCTTGTTTTTTTTTCTTTTTTTTCTTTTTTCTTGTTTTTCGATGAATTTGAATAAAACTTGTTGTAAAATTCATATTTATCTATTTTCCTAGTACACGAAACAGTTAATTTTGATAGTTTTACATTAAAAGTGCTGCTCAAAAAGTAATTTTATGGAAAAATGTAATTTCTTGAATTTTTCTACCGTTTGAAGTACTTAACTCATTTCTACTTTACAGGAAAAACGTCATGGAAATATCGAAACATTTATTGAAGCAAATGGTTTCGAAAAACGAGGAAAACTGGAGGAAAAGTGAGTTTTTCAACATTATTTTTAAAAATTTCCCCAAAAATCGAAAAACTTGGACAAAACAAGTTCGAAAGTTTTCGCAAAAAAAACCAGAAAATAACATAAATTATTCATAAATCTTAAACTCAATTTCAAAAAATGCGCGCCGACAACTCCCAAAATCTAATTTTCCGAGCCGAGCCGAGGAAAGGTCACTTTTTTGAGCGAGAAAAATCAGACAATCTATCTAACGAAGAGGGAAAAGTCTGTTGTCATCTGTTCCATGAGTAATTTGACACTTTGAAATATCTATTCTATCAGGTATTTTTAGGAGAAAGAGATAAAAGGATAAAAAGATAAAGAGAGAAAAAAAAATGAGAAAAATGATTGGAATATTTGAGAGGAAATCAATTTTCAAAAGGGGAAGGAGGGATCAGATAGTCAGAGAAAAAAAAATATTTTTGATCTACCAGAAAAATTTATCAAAAAATATTGTGAGGATAGGAATGGTTGAATTTCGAAAAAAATCTGGATTTTTTTCGAAATTTTCATTTAGAGGATGGCGGAAATCGGTCCAGGTTCCATAAAAGTTCTGAACTCAACTATATTTTTTTCGGGAAAATTCAAAATGGTCCGATTTCTCAGAGCCTCCATTTTCCTCTGGGCTGAAAATTCTTCGTTTTCAGAATCAATAAACTTAGCGATTTTTATCAGCAAGCAAGAAAATCCTCTCAAATCCGATTTTCTTCATCCTCATCCTTTCTCCCCTTCAAAAAAAAACCAAAATTTATCTCATCTCAAAAAAACTACAGTATCTCCCCTCCGCGATAAAAAAAACAAGTTATCAAATATTCAAAAAATGATCTATCGCTAGCCATTTTTGAAGAAAAACAAGCAAAAGAAGACACTCACTCTCGAAAAAAAAAACACACATATATAAGGAATAAAAAATAAAATAAAAAACGGCGCGAAAAAAATGCGAAGAGAGACTATGTAGAGTGTGTCAAAAAAACGAGGTCTCTACATGACAGAAAAATAGTTTTGCTTCTTCTTTTTTACTCGTTTTCTTGTTAGAACTTTTCAGCAAGGTTTTCGAATTCGAATCCTGATTTTCATAATCTGGAACCCTGATTTTTAGGAATTTAAGAGACAAACTATAAATATAAATAAATGAAGATGAAACTAAGAATGAAAGAAATGAAAAAAAGAAAAATTGGAAAACTGAAGACGGCGAGCCAACAGCTGACACTGTGTTTCATTCTGTGGTTGTTGGGATTTGCCCCCTCCTCCCCTATTATTTTCTAAATATAACTTTAATAAATAAAAATAGTTTTTATGTGGATTTTCTGTATCTAAAACTCAAAAAAAAATATGAGAAACGATCACGTTTCGTATTTATTTATTTATTTTTACCTGGAAAATAGGAAAATGGGAAAATATTGTTTTTCAAAAATGCCGTGCGAGCGTGAGAAAACTGCCCAATTAATAAAAATAACGTCGATTCTTAGTTGAATTTTGTGTAGAAGAAAAAAGAAAAGTATCGAGTTACCCGAAAATGTTGCCATTTTTAGGTATCTTTTTAGGGCCAGGTGAAGTTAGGAACAAGTTGTAGTAACTTTCAAAGGAGTTTAGGTGGTCCCCAGTAGATTCGATAACCTCGGACAATATTTTTCAGATCTTTGGAAAACCTCAGAAAGTTCTAGAAGCCCAGGAAACATTTTTTGAGGCTCAAGTAGATTTCAGAAGTTTCGAGGAGCACTGAAACATTTTATGAGGTTCAGATAGATTCTAAAAGTTTTAAAAAGCTCAGACAACATTCAAAAAAAATCAGGTGAATTTCAGAAGTTTCTAGAAGCCCAGGAAACATTTTATGAGGTTCAGGAGGATCCCAGGGATTTATAGAAGCTTGGAAAACATTTTATGAGACTCAGATAGAACTCAGGATTTTTTAGAAGTTACAGACAGAATTTTATGAGGCTCGGATAGATCCAAGAAGTTTCTAGAATTTGATACAGAAAATTATGAGGTTCAGGAAAATCCCCGAAATTCCTAGAAGTTCGGACAGATTTTTATAAAACTCGGGTGAATCTCAGAAGTTTCTAGAAGCTTGGGCAAAATTCAGGAAGATTTCAGGAGGGAGTTTCTAACCTCTCCTTGAACTTTTGCTAATTTAAAAGTGCATTTCCCTTTAAATCCAGTCTATTTCAATCCATCTCTAAAATCTATAGTTTGATCAAACCCTCAAGCAAACCCTCTAATTAAAAGCCCCAAACCGGAAAAAAACTTTTTTTTTTATTTTCAAAAAAAGTAATTTATTTTCTCGCTAAAAGTTGTTTTCAGCCAGTCAGTCAGTCAGTCAGAGAAATATTTTCAGAAGGAGAAGCAGCAAAAGAAAATAAGAAGAAAAATATACACGAAAAAAAATATGAGAACGGACGGACGACGGAAACACGCCCAAACACAAGAAGGACATTATAATCTTTCTTTTTTTCTCGTTCTTTTTCTGTCCAATCAGAAGAGCCAGAAAAAACTTCTTCGTTTTTTTTGGTTGCTCAATCAAAAATGTACTTACTTCAAATACTCATCATTATCTACCAAAGGAGGCGAAAAAGGTCCCAAGGGATCGCTAAATTGCGATTCGAATTGAAATTAGTGTGTCGTCGCTGATGAAATGTTTCGTTAGTTTAATTGTTTGAGCGAACGAGAAATTAGGAAAATGTGACTTTTGACATCAGAAAACTATTTTGGATCGGGAAAAACCATGGGGATTTCCAAAAAAATAATTTTCTAGAACTTCAAAAAAACAATCATTTTTTTTCTGGTGAAAGGATTATCTAGGGATACCAAAAGAAATCATTTTGGAAGGGTTTCACAAAAAAATATTCTAGAACATTTTTGCTGAAATTTCTAGCTCTTTGAGCCAAGCTACAACAATTTTTGAAGTTTTTTTTGACATCAAAAAACAATTTTGCATCAAAAACTATGATGTTTCAGATGTTGTTTGGGATTATCTAGAGATACTTGGAAATAATTTGCATAAGGTCTTCACAGGAAAACATCGAACAATTTTTTTTAAGCTAAAGAAAATTTTAGGGTTCAAGATTTTATAGTTTCCACTTATAGTTCAATTCTGAAACTTCAAACTACACTTTTTCCAAAGTTCTACAATTTACATAAAATATTCTTGGAATTCTCACGTTCTTCCATGAAAGTCAGAAAAAAAATGAAAATATTCAGATGTCTACGTCATAAATTTGTACTTGGAAAAGTCGATGAGCCTCTTAGATATTCTCAAACTCATCAGCATAATTTATAGAGTTGAACTAACTTTTTTTTCAAAAAAAAATCTGAAAACATATAGCTTACGAATTTAATTAAAGAGTTCTGAGAACTCAGCCCTATACTCAGACATATTATTATTTACGAGCAAAGATAAGAGCCGAGCTCCAAAAAGGAACAGAAAAACTAAAAGTCAAACCAATTTCGAACCCCTCGAGATCCTTCCTTTTGCCAGTCAGACCAGTAAAAAACAAATGTTTTTTTTTTGTGGCAGAAAAAATAGATAATACAAGAAATATGCATTTTTGGAAATCTATATTTCAGAAAAGCGAAGGAAAAAGAAGAGGAAGAAAATAAAATGAAACAACAATCTTGGAACCAAAAGAAATCTCAAGGGAAATTCGGAAAAACTGGGGAAAAGGTGGATGAGATTTTTTGGATTTATGTTTGTAAAAGAGGAGCTAGAAGAGGAGGGTGGTAAACTTTTATTTGAAAATGAAAACATGGAATTGAATGTGTTTTTGAATAAAAAAGCAATAAAGAGTGTGCAAAAATGTTTTTTCCCTGGATTTAAAATGTCATTTTTTGCCGGTGGGCGGTTGGAATTAGGGGAGGAAAGAGGAAAACGGAAGGGCTTCTAGGGGGGATTAAGAGTGAACTGCTGTGATTTGAATTTTTGATTTTGAACATCATGAACATTATTTTTGAGTGGGGAATGTAAACAAAGTTCTTAAAAGGGCAGCTTCAGAGTTAAGCCAAGTCTGATGGACCATCAAACATGAAAAAAATTGGTCCGATCTGTTCAAAAAAGGGTTCCAAAACGTTCCCCTAAATTTATAGAGCTCAATCTACATATCTCTATAAAATAATTTTGTCTAAAACTGAAAACAACATCATTCATCCATCCATCCCAAAAAATCCTATACAGAAAAAAAAGTCGTTGATAAATAATTCATCATTTGGTTGGTGTTCATTTTCAAGAAGGAAGGAAGTCATAAAATCGACTTTTCTCGAGAAGCAAACCAAAACTCGAGTTATTTTATTTTATAAATATTCATTGCATTGCATATAATTAGCATGATAATTATGGCATTTATCTATCTGTATCTTGTGAGAAAAAAAAGAGGAAGAAAGAAAAAGAAAATATTATATCTCTAATGGAACAAAAATACTCTTGACACTAATGTAATGAAAAATTTCCTTTTCATAAACTAATTAGATTGAAAATAAAGATGTACTTCCAGGAAGCTTGCAATTAACTGAAATATTCTATTTTTGGAGAGAGGAAATGGTTGAATGAGACCAAGAATTCAGAGAGTTTTTATTTTTAAGAGAAAAAGCTGAAAACTAACCAATATCAGCAGAGTTTTCAAAATTTCACTAACCTGAGCAATGATTTCGAATCTGGGAAATGGAGAAAATATCAAAAATGTTTCTGATATGAGCAATGGTTTTGAAGAGTTCCCAAAAAATTGTCAAAAATTTCCTAACCGTCGCTCTTACTTTTAAAAAAAAGTTTTAGATCATTTTGGTGAATTTCTCAAGTTCAAAATCATTGCTCAGGTTAACAAATTTTCAGAAAAAAACTAGATTTGAAACTAATATGAGCAATGACCCACTTTTTGAAAATCTAGTTTTATTTCCTAAAAAAATCAAAAATTTTGTTAACATGAGCAATCTTTGAAATGCTTCCAAAATTCAGAAAAACTTTCATGAGGTCCAATTTCTTGTCTGAAATTTTCAGAAGCTTATCAGGTTTTTCTGAATTTTGGAAAATTTCTCAAAACCATTGCTCATATTAATAGAACTTCATATAACTTTTGCTCAGGTTAAGGAATATTCATAAAACTCATAAAATTGAACCATTGCTCATATTAGTTTAATTCTCAGATTTTTTCATGGAAAAAAATAAAATGACGTGATTTAGATGGCTCCTTCTCTCTAAAAAAAAATAAAAAAAATAGAATGTCTTTTTTTCCACATTCACTTTCACAAAAATAATATGTAATTTCATTTTTTATTCTCGAAAGGACAAAGAAAGGAATGCAACTTTCTCAATTGATTTCCAGAAAAAAGGAACCACAAAAAAATTTGGAGTTGCTGCAACTCCAGTTGTTTTTTCGATGAACCCCGAGGCCAATCAGTGATGTATTCATCTGACTGGGCGACTAAAAAGAGAATTCTAGAATTTTTTCAAAATGAAATGAGTTTTTCGGGATGTTGACGGCAAAAAGTTCTTATTTTCATGAATTTGTGATGGATGGACGGATGACACTTGAACCTATTCGCGTGCTGCAAAAAATGTGGATAAGAAAACCCGGAAATGTTTATTTATAATGCTGAAGGCACATTGGAAAACATAGGTACAAGTTAGTTATAAACAATTTTCCATTTTGCAGGTTGTTCACATTGTTTTTCAGAATTCGGGCATAATCTGTTGAATGTGGTTTCGATTGGAAAACCAAGAATTTCTCGATCTTCTTGAATTCGGAAGGAGAATGTTGATTCGTAGGATCCGATGAAGAATTTTGCATGTGCGCAAATCCACTGGAAATGTTTTTTTTTTGAAAACAAAATCTGGGTACAAGATATGCGTCAGTGGAGAGCTGACGTGGATTTGGTAGTTGGGTGTTTTAAGGCTGAGTTTTGCTGACGTTTTTATTAGCTCGGAATTGCTGGCGTGAATTTTGTAGCTAAAAACATGTGGCTCAGAGTTTAACTGGCGTATTTTCTGTAGGTCAAAATTGCCGAAGCAAAATTTGTAGCTCAAAATCTGAGTCTCGGTTTAACTAGCGTTTTTTTTGTAGATTGCTGACGCAAATTTTGTAGGTAAAAATGTAAGTTTAAGTTTAGCTGGCACAAAGTTTGTAGCTAAAATCTGAGTTGGCACAAACTCTGAAAGCTTGAAATTGAGCTGACGCATTTTATGCAGATCAAATTTGTTGGCGTATATTTTGAAGCTAAGGCTCAGGTTTCGCTGAAATTTTTTTACTGACGCAAATTTCCAAGCTGCTCCATGTTTTTTCAAAAATCTTCTACCTGATCAATAATCGCAATCTGTCCATCATTAAAATCCTCATAATTTTGAAATCGAAAAATTTCCAATTTCCGTTTTTCCACAAGCAATTTTTCAAGTTTCTCAACTTCCTCGTCAATCGCATCTGTCGCTAGATAAACTTTCGAAACTTTCAATTCGTCGGCAAGTTTTGTGAGCTGCAGGAAAAATCAATATGAATTCCAAACTTCAGTTTTCAAAAAACCCACAATTTTCGCAGTCTCCTCAATAGTTGGCAAATCTTTTCCTCTCGCTGTCACAAAATCCCTCCTTCTCCAATGTACCCCCAAATACTCTCCACCTTTTGTAGTTCTCGAGGACTTCTCCTTTTTCTGATTTCTCCAATCATTTTCCAAATTTATATCCGAATTTGGGTCAAGATATTCTCTTCGGAACTCGTTTGCTGCATTTCGAAGTTGTTCCGAATATCTCATACTTCTTCGAACTCTCCAATAATTCACATCACCATAATGTTCATGAAGAATTGTTTCAGCGCGATCAATCAGAATTGAGCTACTGTAGAAAACTATTAGGTTTGGTAGCATTTCCAAAAACTCACGCCTCCGAAAAATTCTTCAAAACCAAATTTTTGAGTGTCCCAGAATCTCCTTGAATCGAAACACATTTAAAACTTTCAGCATGAACATCTTTGAACCCGAAAAACCAACCATCCCTGAATATATATTTGAGAAAATCACGATTTCAAGTGATAAGATCTTACCATTCTTCAGATTTCGAATTTTTTCGATATTGACTTGTTGAAGGTGTCTGAATGCATTTTCTCTCGTCAAATTTCATAATATATTCATCTCCCCAGCCTTCTTCATAATGTTGTAAGTATAAAATTTGCTGGATTGGTGAGTTTGAAGTGGCTGGAGAAAAAGTAGGTGGATTTATAGGAAATTTTCTTCGCTTTGTAATTAATTAGTCAAAGGAAAAATAAATTTTGATCCAAAAATTGATAATTTCTGAATTTTCATCCAAATTTAGAGCATTTTCCAATTTGAAATTCTGGTTTTGATTTATTTATTATTTATTCGCAAGAAAAGAAGAAAAACTATTGATGCAATATTTGACAATAATTTATATCAAAATTTTGAAACGTATTTTTTTGGATTTTGAAAAAATAGAGAAAAATTCTCAAATTTAGGCTTCAAAAATTCATGTGGCGAAAACTTTCCAATTTTCAAAAATTCTCAAATTGTAGCACCCAAAAATCCACGTGGCAAAAATTTCCTGATCTTTTAAAACTCAAAATTTAGGCTCCTAAAATCCACGTGGCACGAGTTTTTTCATTTCTCCAAACCAACCTTTCAGAAAATCCCTGAACTCAACAACGGGCACAAAATGATTCAAACTCTCAACATCGAAAAAAGTGCTCCAAGGTAGTCCAATCCGCTGACGATCCCAATGAAAAAGTCGTCCCCACGGTGGCAAAACTAGAATATAGTTTTGACCTGAAACCGTATCTTTTATTTATTGATTGATTTTTTTCCAAAAAAAATAAAAAGCCTACCGCTTTCTCTCAATAACCTTACAGTATTCGCAATTCTCATATAAACATCTCGTCTTAAATTAAAGCCTTCACCAAAATTCACATCATAAATCAGATATTTGGCATCTTGGGCAATCGAAAATTCATCGGGATTCACTTTTGACACAAATTCTGCTCGAATTTGAATTTGAATAATTAAAATTAGGATCAATCCCAAAATCCTCATATCTGAAATTCTTTGAATTCAAAGTTCCTAATTCTAGAGATACTAACAACCGGATATCCATTTTCCTCAGATGTTTTCCTAATTTTCTACAGAATCTTTATCACGAACAAGATATGCATTGCAAAAAAAATGAAAAATAAAAACAGGAATTGAATTTGACTAGAATAATTGTGTTAAAACTTGTGTTGTGATTTAAATTTCAGAAAAATGAGATTTTTAAAATGAGATTGGGGACAGTAAAGCAACACTTTTTACAAGGGACAAAAAAAGATGAAAAAATAAATTACAATTTTTTAGATGAGGGAATTGTTCCAGATTTTGAGGGTGAAATTCCGTTGGCAAATGTTCGGGGAAGTGTTGAACTCGATTTGGGAGAACGAAGATCATCGTGCTGGAAAATAATTCGTATTTTTTTACGACTGAAAAAAACTCTGAAAATCTCACCTGACTGGTACTCATCGGAACTCCACCAATATCTTCTGAATGATGATTATAGGTTGAGACTGCTGGAAAAATGAATTTTGAATGGCGAAAAATAGATCAGGGGGCTCAAAAATTCTAAAATTATAGCTTCAAAAATCCATGTGGTTTTTTTTAAATCTGAAATTTTCAGGCCGGAAAACCCGGAAAATTGGGTGGTTTGTGAAGTTTGTGAACATTTCTTTGAGCTTGTCAAGAAGCCGCGTCTAGAGACGCTCTCTGGCAAGGAGTCGTGCCTTGAGAGTCGCTGTGGCTAGGCACGAAGACTTGATGCGTTTATTTGTCAAGCAAGCAAGCCTAGTGAACCATGTTGTCTAAAGAGAACACCTATAGAATCTGATTATCAAGGAGCAGTCCCTATGGAGCCTAGTTTTCAAGTAGCCGCTCCTAGAGAATCCGATTATCAAGGAGCAGTTCCTATGAAGCCTAGTTCTCAAGTTGCCGCTCCTAGAGAATCCGATTCTCAAGGAGCAGCGCCTATGAAGCCTAGTTTTCAAGTAGCCGCTTCTTGAACCTCACTGTGGCTTGGCACGGCGCTTGGAGATCAACTTTTGAACTGAGAATAATTTTTCCCAAGTTAGGCTAATTTTTTCTCACAAAAATTTTATATTTTTGATAATTTTCAGTAAATTTCGGGTTTTTCAGAATAAAATTAGGAGGAAAAATCCCAAACTTATTGAAACTCACAGGTAGACATATGCCTTTGTCCAGGAAGTGTTGAAGACATTCCAGACGATGAGTAAATATCCTTAGCCGCTTTCATTTTTTGAATCCAGTTTTTCCAATCAATCGACGTCAGACACGAAAAATGATAATCCAGCGGCGGACAAGTGATTCGAAATATATTCTTTTTCGACGTTTTCAAATCGGTTGAATCCGAAATCGTCGCTTTCACCAAATTGATCACCATATCCGGCCGTTTTGAATATTGATTGGAGAATAGGAGAAGATAGTGTCCCTTTAGGCACATCCAACATTTCGGCCATTTATTCGTCACCTCATTTGCTGATAATTCGGCACGCGTTTTTCGCCGCTTCACCCAACCTTCGAACAATTTTTCCATTCCCATATAATTCGCAACTCCTGGCGAGCCAGGCAAATCATCCGAAGAAGCGCACGGCCATTCAGTCATACTGAGTGACATATTATTTCTTGCCGCCGCAAATCCGAATGGCGCCGGACTGCTCACACTATTCATCGAAGATGTTGAAGGGCTTGGCAACACTCCCATTGCATTTCCCGTTTCATCAATCGAAGATGACGTCATTCTTCCGCTGACAAAACGCGGTGAATCGAGAATACTGTAGGCGGAGATATTCGAGTCGCCGATTGCTCGATAACTTTGGCTAGCAAATTCTTGATATGGGGCTCGCCATTCATCATCGGTTATTCGAGGTTCGCAAATGTTTAGAGAACGGAGTTCTTCTTGGGTGATTTCTTTGATTTGCGCGAATTCAGTGGGACCTGGAAAAATAATTGTATAACCTTTTTAAAACTTTTGCCGAAATATTGATTAATAAAAAAATTCATTGAAAATTCTGGATTTTCCAGATTCAAAAGCTATTTTTTTGCACTTCAATCATATCAAATTCAGAATTCCATTTTCAAAGCTGATTTTTCGAAAACTGCGATACTTTTCGTATTTTTGGACAGTCTAAGGGTAACATTTTTTGTTACAGAGAGATCAATAATACTTAACCAAACTCACATTTAACATTAAAAGTGAGTTGATCATTCACCACATCATCCTCAATATCACAAACTAATTTGTTATCAATAAAACTTCTCACATATCCATCTGGTTGATGTCTCATAGTTCTCGCTCGTTTTGCAATTCTTGGCACCAGAGCTTCTTCCTCGCCATCAATCTCTTCTCTGCAAAATGATTTATTTTAAGGTTCTCAAAAGTTCATCCCGTGAAATTCCCCAGTGAAAAACACCCACCTCAAATCTCCCTGCGTCTCTTCCAAATTCTTGATCTCTTTACTTGGTGTCGCTGAAGCTACCGATCCTCTTCGCAAAGTTCTTCTCCCTCTTTTCAACATTTTCTCGTTCTCTTTGACAGTTTCGGAAAGCGCGTGATGCGATCGATGACGTTTTATTGGAATCATATCAGAATTCTGGAAAAAAAGAGGAGATGAATCATTGAATGAAATGAGTCATGTGTGTTTTTTTCGAATCAAAAAAATTTGTATTTGGAAACTGGTTTTTGCAGAAGATAACTTCTGAATTTTCATCCAAATTTTGGTTTTGAATCTTCCATGCATTTGGAAATCGATATTGAAACAATATTGGATTATAAAATATAATATAAAAATTTTGAAACGTATTTTTTTTAGAATTTTTTTAGTGAAAATTGGAGTCAAAATCGCTGAAAATTTCAAAGATTGAGGATTTCTAATGAAAAATCCACTGAATTTTTAGGATTTTTCAATTTCTGGACTCAAAGAACATCAAATTTCTCGATGTTTGCCGAAAGCGAGTAATTTTGAGCTGCGACAAATGAACAAACCTCAAAAGGATCCGCATACTCATCAGTAGAATACGTTTTAGTTGTCTGACTCGCTGGCGCCAAAGCTCTCGCCGCCAATTTCGACTGTTTCGGGAGTTGTGGCTCTCTCGGCCGTCGTTTGATAATCAAACTCATTTCACCCGAATCATTTGCTCCAATTTTCTGCGCAACACTCATCAAATCCCATCCGACAACAGTTTTGCCATTTATCATTAGAATTTCGTCGCCGGCATCGATTTTTGTGCAAGCATCGGCTGGAGATCCCTCTTTTATTTCACTTATAACATGAACACCTCGGAATGATGATTGAATATTTAGACCCTGAAATAGAAAATGAATAAGCAGATGTTTTTAAAACAAAACTTTAAACTAGAACTTACCCAGCTTACACTCGAGGAAGCTCTTTTCATCATCGCAACTTCGACAAAACTCGAATACAAGATCAAAGAATCATCACTTTCCACAATTTTTTGACATTCATCTCCTAATTCTTTAGCCAACTTGATAATTTGTTGGCCGGTTTCAAAAAGCGCTTTTGGTTGAACATTCACATTTCGAAGAAGATTCCACATCAGTGATGAAATTATATTTCGAGTTTCAATATAGGTTGTGATTTCATCGAATGGTGTTCGATCAAGCCAAAATACTAATTTCTTTGTGTTATCGGATACTTGTAACACGGCGTTTGAAACACTGTTTAGAATATTGACAATTTCTGCGCGACGATTTGCTTTTTCTCTTTGACGAATTGCAGAACTCATGGTTTTTTCGAGGTAAACACAACTTAGTCGAACTTTGTGAGCTAACCTTTGAAGATTCTCATTTTCCGCTTCATAACATAGATACATCAAAAGACTTATTGATTGTAGAATTGTTTTTCTTGCGCCTAACGCGGATATGCCAATCTTTTTCAATGAATCATCATCCAAACATTCGAGTTGTTTTCCTGATTTTATATTATCTCGAATCATTCCAAGATATGGGTTCATTTGATCGCCGAGTCCTTCAATCCATCGGCAGATTTCTTTACTTTTCCATTGTTCGATACATTTGGCAAATGAGAATTGTTGTGTTTGATAATTGGTGAGCATTGGACTACCCGATCGGGCAACAGATGCATTTAGAGAGGAGGCGGAAATACCGAGCGCTTGCTTTGCTTCAAGTGGTGTCGACGGAAATCCCATTGTTGCGCTACTACTCATGTACATATTATTCCTCATTCATTTATCATCTCTTATCGCCAAGCTCTGCAAAATCAAGAATTATTTGAAAAATCAAAACAAAAAAACGGAATTTCAGCGAATTCAAGCTCGAAATAAAAAATGCATTTTGCATTTTCTGAGAAATAAAGAAACATGTCGAAAAAAAGCAATAATGTCTCACCGCGTTATTGAATAAATGTGTGTTGTGTACTTCTCTCGTAGTTGGTTTTCTAGGCCACGGCCACCGATAATTTATTTATTTTTCAACCGTTTTTCTTACCGAAAAAAACCAGTTTCAACAATTTTCAGATGTCAGACGAAGAAGAGGATATGATCTGTGACTTGCCATCTGATGCACCAACAAAAACGAGTAACGCTGGAGATCTCCGAAAGCAATTATTATCGAAGAAAGGTCTCCCACCTGCTCCAAGACCACCAAGAGGAGCGATTCATGATAATTCGATTTTATTATGGGATAAATTTTTTGATGAGAAGCGGGAGATTGCTGTAAATGAAGATACTTTCAATGTATATTTGAAGGGAAAGTCTGGACCGATTTTTTACCTGCTTCACGGAGGAGGATATTCTGGATTGACTTGGGCATGTTTCACCGAACAATTGACGAGTTCAATCGATTGTAGAATTCTAGCTCCCGATTTACGAGGACATGGTGATACAAAATGTGAAGATGAGGCAGATTTATCAACAGAACGACAAGTTGCTGATATTATTTCGATTTTTGAAAAGATATATGATTATGCTGATGATATTGATGTTTGTATAATTGGACATAGTATGGGTGGAGCGTTGGCGATTCATACTGCTGCGAGTCACAAATTGCGAGCAAAAATTAGTGGACTTGTTGTGATTGATGTTGTTGAAGGTTCAGCGATGGAAGCATTGGGAGGAATGGTTCATTTTCTTCACTCAAGACCATCGATTTTTGAATCTCCGGAAAGTGCGATTGATTGGTGTATTAGAAGTGGAACTGTTAGAAATCGAATTGCTGCGAGAATTTCAATGCCTTCACAGGTTAGTAGAATACGTTGATTATACAAATGATTGATTTTTCTTTTTTCTGTCATTCCTTCCAGTTCAGGTGATTAAATTTCCGAAAAAAAAACATTTTTTCCGAAAAAAAAATTTTAATTCAGATTCGTCAAATTTCTGAAAACGAATACGGCTGGCGAATTGATTTGACAAAAACTGAACAATATTGGAAAGGATGGTTTCAGGGATTATCGGCAAAGTTTTTAGCGTGTCCAGTTCCAAAATTACTGGTTTTAGCTGGAGTTGATAGATTGGATAGGGATTTGACGGTGAGTTTTTGTTCTATTTTTTTTCTATTTTAAAAATAAATTCCTTCAGATTGGTCAAATGCAAGGCAAATTCCAAACGTGTGTTCTTCCTCGAGTTGGTCATTGTGTGCAAGAAGACAGTCCTGATCATTTAGCTGAAGAGCTCACTCGTTTTGCTCTTCGTTATCAATTTGCTCAAAAACAGGAATTTCACCATTTTTCCAGCCCAGCGGACCTATAATCGGGTACTGTAAATATTATTTACATAATTACATAATATATTTTTATTTTTATTCAAATTTTCAATAACTTCTTAAATTAGTCATGTATTCTCTTGCATTTGGTAAAAGTCGACTTCCGAGCCAACAACTGTGGAAAATGCATTTTCGACATTGATGAACGTCGAACTTTTCGATTGTCGATTTTTTCTCGATCTGATAAATCAAACGATCGAAACATTTTTTGTCTTTGACAGTTACAGATCCAGAAATATTGTCACCAGCGTGAAGTCCGAAAGTTCTAAAAAAAATTGTTTTTAATTCAAATTAAATTTTTAACTTCGAGCCTACCCGGCACAATTTCTCTCCGGAATATTTGTATAAAAATCCCAATATCCATTGCCGGTTGCTCTTCTTCTATACAAATTCAGCCACGATGTGTCGTGTCGAATTTGCATTGTTCCGATTCGATACCATCCACGTGGCAATTTCACATCGAGACCCTCCTTTTCGAGATCGGAATTTGGTGGAATATGCGTGGAACATGTGACAGTACTGAAAATGTTTGAAAAAATTAAAATCAAATTTTTAATTTTAGAAAAACTAACCCGCAAGTTATTTCATTAGTTTCACGATAGTATGTGCAATAAACGTTTCTGAAAAAAATATTCCAACAATTTTTTTTGTAGAAATTCTTACTTACTCTGAATTAACTACCAAAAAAAATATACCACCAAAAAATAGTAAAGGGGTTAACATGCCCGAAACGAACAAAACAAACTAATGGTTTCTACAAGGTCACCCACTGGCACCCAACTGCGACAAAAGGAAAATTAGGGAACAGAAAAAAAGAAAAAAAATTAGCAGCGAGTGGTTTCGATCCACCGACCTCTGGGTTATGGGCCCAGCACGCTTCCACTGCGCCACGCTGCTGACCACAGTGTTTTTGCCTTGTGGGTACTATAGTACCCCTACCGTGATTTAGGGGTGCAATAGGGGTGATTTTTACCCCTATTGCACCCCTATTGCACCACTAATTGGCAGGGATTCAAAAGGGGTTATTTAGTGGTGTTCATTTGAGAAAAACTAAAAAGTACAAACTAATCTATAGGTTCTGAAATTATTCTCTAAAAAATTTCATTTAGAAAAACGTCCAATTGAGAAAGTTATCAACTTTTATTTTTCAAGTGTAGGGGTCGTGTAGGGGTTGAGTAGTGGTACCCACTCTGGGAAAATTTTAGCATCTCTAAAACAGTGAAAATGCACATTCCTTGCTCTATAAACACACATAATGCTACGGAGAGCATTTATTAACAAATAAAAATCAATGCCGGTCAAAAATGCTCATTTTTTCACTCCAAGAGCAGTCCACTAAAAGTGAGACAATGTATATTAAATTTATAATCATTTTGTTCGTCTTGACATTTTGAATTGAATGGTGTATGTCATTTCCTCCAAAAAATGATATTTTAATGCGCGAAAACAAAAAGTAAAGGCGCAAGGAATTCAACACATTGGTCTCGCAGCGTGTTTGTTTGTGTGTACTTCTCACGGACGAGTGGCGTCAAAAATTTTTTTCGTTTTTTTTTCGTTTGTTTTGTTTTTTCCACGTTTTATCGGAAAAATCGAGTGTTCAAAGCTGCGAAAAGTTTATAAAACATGTTCCCCGCCTAGGAGCAAGTAGAAAATTCCATCGTAACTTTGAAATTCACCCATTAAACATGATTTTAGGCCAAAAATTAAAAATTTCTGAGTTTTCAAATGTTAGATAGCAAAACAAGGCTATTTTCAGTTTCATTCAAGAAAATCAACATTTGAATGGGTTTCGATTGAAAATTCCTTCTCAGAGTTAGAAATTGAAATGCCTTATGTCTAATTTCTTCATTCTCGTGTTTCTCATACGTTATAATTCACTCGTTATACGATTTTTAGGGCTTGCTCCAAAAAGAAGGCTTTCGCCAAGTGCGCCAATGAACGGCAAGATGAAAATGGAAAGAAACTCATCGAAGCCAACTTGACATCGATTCGTGTCACACACACAGGTTTGTTGACTTGAATATGAAAGGTTGAATTAGAATGGTTCTTCATTTTCAGATGAAGGTCGTCAACTGTCAAAAGAAGGTGCATTCGGTCGAAATCCGAATCAACGGAGGAACCATCGCTCAAAGGTCGACTGTACTTGTGAGCACCTAGAGAAGCAATTTCCAGTTAGAAGTGTCTTCGCGGTGCTGGTCAACGCATGGTGAGTGATTTTTTTGAAAAAAACTACGTAGATGCGCTGTAGTTGGAAAGCGAGTTGATTTTGAGTCAATCAATCAATCAAGAACTTTTCGTGATGGATGGAGTTTTCAAATATGGTTATCGCGTTGGTTTAGATGTTGAATTTTGGATGAGATGATTGTTGAAATGGTGTTATTGGTTGAAACTGACCAATTTCATCAACTACTAATCTCATCATTTCAACAAGTCACCAGTATAGTTCGATTAGCGCCAATGTTCGCTATCGAGTATTCACCATCTCAACCAAAAACATAGAAATCTCTGAAAACTCACATCCACCACGAGATAATCGACCATAGAAGTCGAGTCGATAAAACCCATCGACTCAAGTTGACTTGACAACAAAAATACAAATTGCAAAATATTTTGTCTAACTCTATTCATTTCCAGAACTCATACCAACACTCGTCTTCATTAATTGGACATCAAATCAGCTCAAAATGCATTGGAAGCAACTACTTTGTCGGACGGATGCATCGCCTCTAGAAATCTATGTTCGAAATCGAAACTAGTAAATCAACAATTCGACACTTAATGTAAATTCTTTTGTTCTGTTCTTTTTTTTTTTGAAAATAAATTGTCAAACTTGAGTCTTTTTTTGATTTACCCCTACTGCACCACTACAAAACCACTTTGACACCCCTATAGTGGTACTAAAAAAAGTTTGCATAGGGCCCCTATAGGTGGACCTATTACACACACAAGTCAAAAACTTTGTAGTGCCCCTATAGGGGTACTATAGTACCCCTAGGCAAAAACACTGTGGACGATGCAATCTGTTCGAAATTGCCCTTTTATTATTTCTGCTGCACTCTTTTTCTCTGGTCTTTTCGATGCGATGAATGCACGGTGTGTTTTCTCACTTATCTGGAAACAATTGGCAAAAAAGTCATTAGGTGAGATCAAATCGCGCGGAAAAAGACACAAAAAGCTTTTTTTTTCAATTATTCGATGTTTTTTGTTCCGAGGCGGGGGATAAAAAACAAAACAATTGTTTTCTGTTTTTTTTTTGTCGTCGTAAATTTGACTCATAAAATATTTAGTCGTCGATTTTATCATTTTCTTCAAGTTTGAGTTTTCGAGCAGGTTTTCTAGAAATTCGGAACTCTTTCAAATGACTCAAATTTCCAAAAAAATATACTGTAGCCAGGTAGATCAGATTTAAAGATCTACTGTAACCTTCCCCATTTTTTTTTTACAAATTCCCCCTGGCTCCCCCAAAACCAAAAGTATACATATATATCTACATATTTTGTCACATTTTCCGCCGTTTCATCAAGAGCCTCTTTTCGTCTCTTCTCTTTTTCAAAAACGGATCGGACATGTCCGATTCAGCAAAAAAAAAGAGACGGCGAATCTTTAATTAGATGAAATTGTGTTTGGTCGAAGCGACACAAACTTTTATTTCAAATACTCTTCTGGATTTTTATTTTTTATTTCAACAAAATTTTTAGCTTGGTTTCTAAACCACAAATTCTGAAAAAAATCCAATTTTGTTCGCCCATTGGATTAATGGATTCCATTAATTTGATCCTCAAATGCCCTTTTTTCAAAAAAAAACGTTTTTGGCCAGAAAAACATGAATTATTTGTGTTTGTTATAAAAGTTGTTGAATTGGAAAATTGTCTGAAAATGAACTTTTTTCAAAGTGTTCTCTCTTCTCACGAGGATTTTCCTCTCAATTGTTTTGTTTCGTTTTCTTCCTCATGACCCTAGATAAATCAGATTTTTTTGTTTTACAGTAGTCTAGTGCATAAAATATGTTAGTAAGTATATATAAATTCGATTTTCCTTTTTTCCTACAAGAAGCTTCTTCTTCTTTTTCGTCTTCTGGGCGGCGGGAAAATAAATAAGATAAGAGGACTCGGCAAGAATTCGATTACTTTTCGCTGTCAACGCATATTTTTCTCGACTTTGAGATTTTTACAAGTGTTTTCGCCGAATTTTTTTTTGTGTTGTTCCAGATGAAAGCGGTGGTCTTGGGATTCTTTGGAGTTATCATAAATATTTTGCATGCAAAAGAGCCACCAGTCAAATGTGAATATTCGGAAGAGAAGAAGGTGAACAAGTGTTTGCAGCCAATGTTGGATTATGCGACAAAATTGCAAGAGGAGACTGGAGCTGTGCAATTTCCACTTCAAGGCGGCGCGGTTTTTGATCAACTTTGTGCGATTTATGGGGATTTTAAGGTGATTTGGGGGTTTGGAACTTTTTTTGAGAAGTTCTGAAGGGGGTTCTCATTTTAAAATTAGACTGAAAATTTTTCTAAAAAATTTTGAGGTCTCTCAAGGATTTCTCTCTCGAAATGTCTAAAAATATTCCAGACTGCCACAAATTTCTAGAGTCCTTATAAAATCGAGAGATTTAGAAATCTAGAAAAACTTCACAAAACTCAAATTTGAGAAATTATTTTGTTAGAAGATTCTAGAATATTTCCATAAAAACTTTACAAAACTTAAATTCAAGAAATTATTTTGTTAGAAAAAAATCAACATTTATAATTTCCAGAAAAAATTTATAGAATTTGGTTTTTGAATTTCCTACCACCTTCAAAAAATGTGTTTTTTCAGACCTGCACTTCTGAAATCCGATGCGACTCTCTTTCAATCGACGCAGTTCACGCTTCCTACAGTTTCATGTGTGGAACAGGCCAACCACAATTCCAAAAACACGCCGGATGTTTTGCCGAAGTCGAATCACAAAATGAATATATCAGTTGCAAGCACGCGGCAACTTTGGCAATTTCAGAAGCGCAACATGCAAAGGTTCTGCATCTATTCATTTGCGAAAAAAACCGAAAAAAATGTATTTTTTTACAATATTTTTCTATTCACCAAAATGCACGAAATAAATGTCAATCGTGACGAGACCCACACACATTTCAAGGAGAAAAACATGCGAGAAAAAAACATGAAATGAAATTTTCGAAAGCATGCATTTTTCACACTCGTTGCCTTGAAATGAGTGTGGGTCTCGTCACGATTGCATGTATTTCGCGACAATTTGTGATTTTGGTGAATAGAAAAATATTGTAAAAAAATACATTTTTTTCGTGTTTTTTTGCAAATGAATAGATGCATTCGTATTTCTTTTCCTCCTCAACTAAATTATAGAAGGATTTCCAGGCAACATCAACTGAAGCATATCTAAATGATATGTGTCACGCCATGGATGGTTATCTCAAATGTTCACATCCAATAATTCTATCAAAATGCGGGGAAGACGCGTGGACTCTTGTTTCAACTGTCACTCGAGATAGTCTTGGTGTGACTATGCCGAATTGTGATATGCATTCGGCGCTTTTTTGAGAAAAAAATGAAGAAAATGAACCTCGAGATGATGATCAAAAACAAATAATTTATTGAAACCGGTAATAAAATAGTTGAGATTTATTGATTGATTTTTTATTGACAATTTTTGGAGCTCGTTTTCTGAGCTCATGTCTTCCCAAAACACCAAACACTACAGTACGCGAAAATAGTTTGTGTCATAATTTTCGAGCGTCCCTTGGTGTATTCCACCACAAACCGTTTGTTCCTTCTTCAATGCTGATTCTCCTCTTGACGTTCCACGAATTTCTAATCGATTTGAAGAACAAAATATTTGCCAGGCAAGTTGAAGAAGAAGAGCCTCCGATTAAAAAATTGCCTTCCGAAGTTCTTGGTGCCATTTTTGAAAAGGTAAGTTTTCGTCACATTTTTTTTTCTAAATAATTATATTGTTTTTTAGCTCGAATACGAAGATGTTCGAAATTTGAAAAACTCGTCAAAGTTTCTTCTAAATGCTCATAAATTAGAACGTCGGATGATTGTTGGTCCAACATGTGATGCTTATGTGTATTACAACAAAAAACACAAACTACGATCAGAAATAAAAATTATAACAACAAGAACAATTCCATTTGACCAATGGAGTTATTACTTCAAAAATGCAAATTGCAGTACATTTCAAATGATTATAAAAAACGAAGAAATACCATTGGAAACGTTGAAGGAACTTCTTTGCTGTAAAAAATCGATCAAGCATTTAAGCTATTCCGGAAAATCAATCAATCAGATGACTATTGATCTTCTTGCTACATGTAAACCTCTATATTTTAGAATTGCTGTGAATGATTGGAGTTTTAGTATAGCCGAAAATAGAATTTTCATAATTTGTGAAAATATTGATGATGTTGTTGAAGCAATCAAATTCACTTATCATTCGATAATTGTTTTATACCCGGAAATTTATGAGAAAAACGAACAATTCTTGATGGTAAGTTTTTTAGAACGAATCTCGAGATCATTCAAAAAATCATAGTGCGTCAGAACTTCATGTTATATATTTTCAGAAACTCAAACCTAACACGGAATGTGAAATGCCTCACTATATTATTGGTTTGCCTGAGAATACAAATGAACAGAAAATTCAATCGACAAAGCTTTTTTTGGAGAACAGTCTTTCAAATGTTTATGGGGTTCGTGTGGAATGCAACGTTGCCAAAGACGCCACAGGCATTTCTATGTATTGTGTAGTGGTTTCTAGATAAATTTTGAATATTTTTTAATCAAAGTTATACGATAAATATTGATATATTTAATTGTTTCATACCATCTTTTTGAATACTTTTTGGGCTAATTTTCTTTGATTTGCCAGGAGCTCAGCAATTGATTTTTGTCTTCCCAAAACACTATATAGCCAGCTGGCGAACACTACAATAGTACAGTATACGCAAAAAATAGTTTGTTGCATTGTGCCAAAATTTTCAAGCGTCCCATTTGGTGTGTATTGCACCACAGACTTTGTTCTTTCTTTAATGTTGGTTATTCTCTTAACGCTCCACGAATTTTTAACATATTTTGCGGATCCTGACAAAACGAACACACAAAAATTTGCCAGACAAATTGAAGAAGAAGAAGAAGAGCCTCCAATTAAAAAACTGCCACTCGAAATTCTTGGCGCCATTTTTGAAAAGGTAAGTTTTTAAAACACGTTTTACTATTTCCACTAATACTGTTTTTTAGCTTGAATACGATGATGTTAAAAAATTGAAAATCTCGTCAAAGTTTCTTCTAAATGCTCATAAATTAGAACGTCGAATGATTGTTGGTCCAACATGTGATGCTTATGTGTATTACCACAAAAACAAGGAACTCCAATTAAAAATAAAAATGATGGTAACAATTCCATGGATAAGAATACTTCCATTTCAAAGAACAATTGCATTGACAAAAACTATTCCACTTGATCAATGGAATTATTACTTCAAAAATGCAAAATGTAAAAAATTTTGCATGATTGTAGAAGAAAAAGAAATTCCATTGGAAATTTTGAAGAAAATTCTGTGCTGTAAATCGATCGACATTTCAAAATATTCCGGAACATCAATCAATCAGATGACTATTGATCTTCTTGCTTCATATAAGCCTCGAATTTTCAAAATTATCATGAATGATTGGGTTTTCCACACAATGAATAGTGCCAAAACTACAAACGTTTTGATTAAATGTCTTAAAAATATTGATGATGTTGTTGAAGCAATCAAATTCACTTATGATTCGATTATTAGTTTATTCCCGGAAATTTATGAAAAAAACGAGAACTCCTTGATGGTGAGTTTTTTATGAAAACTTCTTCAAAAAATTATTTATACATTTTCAGAAACTCAAACCTAACACCGAATATTATCCTTGTTTCTTTTTGCAATTTTCTCCGAATACAGATAATCAAAAAATTCGAGAGATCGAGCTTTTTTTGGAGAACAGTCTTTCAAATGTTTATGGATTTCATGTGGGAAGCATAGTTGGCAGGTGGAACAGAAACCCCAAAGATCTATATATGTTGTGTAAGGTTTTCTGAAATCCGCATATTTGGTGAAGTTGTTATAACTGTTTTGTTACATTTTATTTCTATATTTGTTATTTGATAAAACCTTTTTTTAACTGAAGGTATGAATTTTCAAACTAACTCTCGCCAGTTCTAAAATTTTATTTTCTAAATTTCAGTTGTCATTTTGAACTCAAACACACAATTTTTTATGAATAAAAAACGGAAACTCACTAAATTAGCATAACTCAAAAGTGGCCAAAAAGTTACCTAATTTCACCATCAAAAAATTTAAAAAAAAATCAAATATGTCTAAGTTTTTGGTCATAAACCAACTACAACATTTTTTTGATAATCAAAAACGCGTTCAAATTTTTTGTGGTATAATCCTCAAAGTGCTTTTTGGCTACCTGCTCGAATTTTTCTCCCTTGTTTGCTCCTCAACTCCTCCTCCTCCTCTTCTCGATAATAGTACAATTTGACTGGTAGTGATGCGAAATTTCACTGATAATTATCGTTTTCCTTTTTTTCCATATCACATTTTTCTCTTTCTCTCGCACCTTTTACAACCGTTTGAATAAACTTTTCAAGCTACTGTAGGAATTTTCTCGATTTATTCTAGTTCTGGCAAAATAAAGAATGCGATGGATTATCGCATCAATATTTCTGCTCACATTTGCTTTATCGAAGCTGAATATTCAGAATTCAACAATTCCAGATTTGGTGAGTCACAGGTTTCAAAATTTTTCGAGAAAGAATCTCGAATTTTCAGACATTTTTTGATAACAAAGCAGAACTTCTTGATGTTTTACAAAAAACTGAATCCGATGATTACGCATACAATGAGAAAATCCGAAAACGTCGTCAAGTCGCACGATTAACATATCAACAATATCTAGACAATTTAGGAAAAGCTGATTACGATGTTAGAATTGAAGAAGGTTGGACAGAAATATTATATCCATTTGGAACTTGGGCGATGGATGATCAATTAATGGGACAAGCTGGCAGAGAGACGCAGACAAATCTAGGCTTTGATTGCCCGTTTTTTGGCTATCGTTTTAATTACACTTTTGTTTATCCGATGGGCATGATTTCATTTTCGATGCCACCGTTCACAGCGCCTCCTTGGACTTTTCCGAATCCTGAATGGCCGAAGCAGCGCGATCATTCTTTTATTGCGCCGTTTTATGCCGATGCAATGTTTCAATGGATTGGATCAACGAAAATTAGTAATGTGTTTTTTAGAAGTGTTCATAGACCAAGAGTGAGTTTGAATTAGAAAGATCGGAGCTGATCCTTCACAAAAGATCAATCCTGCTCCAATTCGGATGTTTTCAAAACCCTGTCCGCTTCAAGAATTTCCAAATTAAAATTTTCTGAATCACGTCTAGTGACATATGACTTCAATCCTCCGGTTACTGTGTACCTCACGAGTTCTTATTATTCTAATCCAACTCTTGAATGACTCATCGTGTTCGATTTTATCTTGATTCCCAAAACAATCAATACCCAAATTTTGTTTCGAGTCAGTCTCATGTGTTATCTGTTACCAAAAACCATTAATAATTATTATCATTTTATAACCGGCTTATGTTTAATGATTTTCGAGAGTAAACATTTTTATACTGTTTTTACGGTGGACTAATATTATTTTAATGATTATAAGGAGCAATGTTTACTGTAGAAACAATGATAACAAGCGGGGGAGGAATTTCTAGTAACAAGATTCAATTTACAGTTAGACGATGATGATGTTTATACTTTGAATAGTTATGGATCTCCAAATTATGGGCAAGCGCAAGCACAATCAAATTTGAATCAACAATATTCGAATACAAATTTGTATTCGGGAACAGGATCGTCGCAAAATCTGAATGCCTATACTCAAAATCAACAGTACAATCAGCAATATAATCAATATGGAAAACGAAAAAAGCGACAAATGCCTGGAAGAATTTCGCAACCTGGAATGGTTGTTGATCCACTTTTACTTGATAATATCACTCAACATATTAGAGTTAGTCAGAGAATCAGCTGGGTATATGAAACTAAAAAATGTCGAAATTTTTTAGGAAGGTTACACTGGTGCTCATGGTTTCCGCGCGGAACATGCTTTTATTGTGACTTGGTATCGAATGGCGTATGGTGGAGCGCCGAGGGCTTTGGATGTTTCGCAATTTGAACACGTCAAAGATTGGCAGAATACGTTTCAGCTTGTTGTGGCATCGGATGAAATAAGGTTAGAAAATTCTGAATGAAACTGGATTTTAAGCTTCAAAAATTCATCCAGAGCCAAAAAATCATTCCAGAACTTTTGCAATTTTCAATTATGCTCGTCTAAATTGGACATCAAGTAATGAAGCTGGTGGTTTGAATGGCTTCGGAGGTAAACAAGCAGCGATGGCCGGATTCAACGGGGGAAATGGAACTGGATGGTATCAACTTCCATACTCTGGACATGGGCGTCTTTGGAAACTCGGATATTTTTCAAATGTTCTCACGCCCGGAAGATGGATTCATCGAATTGATGAAGCAATTATACCCGCCGGTTGTACCAATACATCAAATGGAAATGTTGTAACATCTCCACCCTGGGGTGTTATGCAGGGAGGAATGGCTGTGAATATCTCGGGGCCGTGTTTGAGGGATAATGATGTGGTTAAAGTGAATTTTGAGAATTGGCAGACGACGTGTAAAAGATTGAATCGAATTAAAGCACGATGTATTATGCCGATGTTTCATAAAATTGGAGTTGTTCCGATTAGAATGAGTAGAGATGGTGGACAAAGTTTTCCGTTTTTTGGAAAATTTTATGTTGGTGAGTGAAATCTGGGGTTTTTTAAGATTAACCTGAGCAATGTTCTAGTTTTCGAATTTTTCAAAAATCTCTGATTTGGGCAATGTTATGGGGCTTCAAAGTTTTTCAACAAACTTCAAAATTCAATTTTTCAGTGAATCCTGAAAGAGCCCCAGCTTCTGTATCTTTAAAAGATTCGCTGGAGAACAAGACGAATAAATGGTCGGAACCGTATGCGGAAGAATTGCAAATGACGTGGTCCGCTTTGAATTTGACATGGAATACTGGAGCCAGAGTTGATATTAGCTTGTATGGTTATTGGGAAGATGCGGATAGATCGCATTTTGAGAAAATTGATTATTTGGCGAAAGGAATATCGAATACGGGAAGTTATACGTTTCATCCGAGACAATTACCTAAGGAAACTTTGTTGAGAGTGAGTTTTGATTGAGAACAAATTAAAAACAACCATCAAAAATTCATTATTAGGATTCAAATTTGAAAAATTTTTGAAAATTATTTTTTTGGGGATTTTTTAAGGATCTGAAATCTTCAAATGTTCTGAGTTACATGGCAAAACTACCCCTCTAATTTTCTGAATCAAAAAATTGATTTTAAAAGTTCAAACTTGAAAAAATTATGATATCGAAAATTCATTTTTTGAATTCGAATTTGAAAAATTTTTGAAACGTATTTTTCAGGGTTTTTTTTTTGAGAAACTGAATGGTCTGGATTTTTCAAGATAAAAGTTTTCTGAGCTATAACGTGGCAAAACAAAACTTTTATTTTTTGAAAAAAAAAATTTTGAAACCTATTTTTGCAGGGATTTTTCGAAAAAATCTGAAATTTTCAAGTAACCAATAATTATCTTTGGATCCCATTAAAAATGTCAGATATTCATAAAGCACCCAAAAGTATATATCTAAATAACTAATCCCTCAAATTTTCTAGAATGCTTGGCAAAAGTTTCATTTCGGCTTCGTTCGTGTTTCACTTTCTGACCAAGAAGACGGTGTATTTTGGAGTAAACCCACCCCATTCCCTTGGTATCATCTTGATCAATGGGAATATAATTATGGAAAAAGTTGGGCGATTGATATGTGTATTGAATGGTTTGAATACGATGGAAAACGAAACAATTTCCAAATTGACTTAACAACTGATTTCCCATGTCCCTGTAAACTCGCACAAGCCGCCCTTGATCTTGGTAGATTTATGCCTTTTATGGATTGCGATAAAGATGGAGATACATCTTGCCCATTCAACAAAGGAGCACAGCATTGTATTCAAAGTGTTCAGCCAACTTTCAGTGGATCCTCTCAACAATGTTGCTATGATTATGAAGGATATTTGATGTTTACTGATGATTGGGAACCCGATGGTGATTATACGCGATTTTTCCAACCTGGAACTCCAGCAAGAGCACATCGATATGGAAGTTCGCCTTATCGAATGCCCCCGTTTATTCCAACTATGTCCAACTATCAATTGGATTTGCTACCCTATCGAACATGTTGCAAGTGAGTTCTAGGTAGAAGATCCTACCTAAGATAGAAAATATATTTTTTCAGCTATGCCCAACATTGCGAATTCTATTACTGGCGTCGAATGACAAATGGTTGTCAAGACTATAAAGCTCCAGCCGCTGGTTATATTTATGGAGAGCCTCATGTTGTGACATTTGATGGGATTCGGTATACAATGCCTGGAAAGGGGTATTATGTTTTGGCGATGAGTGATAATCCCTATCATAAATTGATGATTCAAGTGAGATTGGAACAACCTGATGATACACTTTGTGAGTTTGGGGGACCACCCATGAAGCTTCTGAGCTTTTAAAAGTGCTCACAACTTTGAAAAAAAAATCTGCGTTCGGGGGGAATCGAACCCCCGTCGAATGCTTGGAAGGCATCCATGCTGACCATTACACCACGAACGCGTGATGGAAATTGATGTGAAAATTATCAAGATAAGGAAGCTGCTACCGCAAAAGATAACACATTCCTTCAATGTGTTCAAATTTACAATAACTCTCAAAACTTCTAGGGCATGCTCATGTTAACGCAACAGTCATCACCGGAATCGCTGTGCAAGAAAACGATAGTTCAATTGTCCAGGTTTACGCTCGAAAACCAATGCGAAGATGGAGATATAAAACTGATGTTTATGTTGATGGATTCCGAAGATATTTCGATAAACCACATTGGAAACATCAAACTTTTAAACGTGAGAGTTTCTAGGCATTTCTGAAACTTTAAAAATGTTTTGTTAAGATTTGGAGATCCGTAATCCTTTGCAAAATATGAATCAATCAGAGCTAGTTATCATGTTAAAATCTGGAGTTGGTATTCGAGTTTTCGAGGGGCACGGAATGCTGGATGTTATGGTGACCCTCCCACCAAGTTTCAATTCAACATGTCGTGTTGGTGAATCTTTATCTTCTGCACTAAATTCTCCCACGGGAACTCGAAGATGTTACACGACCCTAGGTCTACTTGGAACATATAATAATGATCCAACAGATGATCTGACAACTCCAACTGGTACAGTAACACGTGTTTCGAATCCGACGACTACAGCTTCAACAACGCAGATGATTTATGAACAATTCGCATCGACTTGTAAGAATTTTTAGAAAAAATTTAGAAAATTTAGAAAATTTAGAAAATATTATTTTGTTAAGGGAAAATCGATGGAACAAATGAGAAACTTGGAAGTTTGCTGTTTCAAGACAAATTCAAATCCATCTACAATCCTTTGCTTTTTGCTGAATCTGATTATCGGCCAGTTTATTGGCCACAAGGAATTGATATCAATGCATCGAGAGTGTTTACGATGGAGCAGGTCAGTCACAGAGGAAAAAGTAGATTTGAAAAATTTTTTGATATACCGATTTTTTTTATGTTTTGACGCAGATACAAAGCACTTCAACTCTTCAAAAATAAGCAGGGTTCCCATTTTGAAAAAAAAAACCCTCTGAAGTTACAAGAAGCGTGTTAGATGTTCTCAAAATTGCAGCGCTCAAACCCTCAAAAAAAGAAATAAATAAACTAGATTTTTGGGGCTATATTGTGATGAGTTAGCCTAACTTTTTTTCAATTTTTAAAGATTTTTTTCATAATTTTCATATATTTTTACAAATTTTACAGAATTTTTCCAAAATCCCTCCCCAAAAAACTCACCAATCGCTTCTATTTCTCAAATCGCACAAAAATCATCGCAAGTTCGAAAATCCCAATCGACATCCTTGAGAATTCCGAAATACTCCAAGTTTTCAACGTTATTGACATTGAAATCGAAATGTCCATCAATATTTCAAGCTGAAAATCAGAAAATTTGAATTTTTCATGTACCATTGAGTTCTGCTAACTCCATTTCTGTTTCTATAGATTTATGAGGGCTTTCTGGGTCTCACAACAATTTACCAGCTATTTTTGAGAGGTTCGCTTCAAATTCAATCAATAATCGTTCTCCTCACATTCAAAATAATTTTTGACCCCGAAAACTCACAACGTTTTACGGTGACACAGGCGAGAGAGAAACACCCGAGGAGACGCAGAGAACATTGAAGTGCGCTCTACCGAACACAAAACGTTTTTCTGTTTCAAACCTGTTTTTTTCAATTTGAAGCGGGTTTTCTAGAATAAAAACCTACCGGCATTGATTTTAAAGAGATGAATCTGAAATTTTTAGGAGAAGACAAAAAATTTCATTCGAAAAAATACTGTTTTACCGCGTAAAACAACAAATTTAGCTCAAGATTTCAGAAAATACACATTGAAGAAAATAAACAAGATACAATGCTATAAAACATCTATAATTAAATGGGATTTCAATTATCCTCAATGTTCTCCGTGATTTTCGAAAGCGAAGAGCAAAATTGGTGATCGTCATCAAAGGTGTCCGGCAATTGCTAACACTCAAAAAGGAAAATAGGCGATTTTCATCAAAATTTTTCGAGACGTCCAATTGAATTCGTCCTCAAGAGCATCATATTTTCAATCATCAATCAACAAGTCAACGAGAAAATAGCCATTCATCATTTCTTATTGTTTAATTCTCCTTTTTTGCATCATCAACCGTCGCTTGAACCAAAACACCGCCTAAGCACCAGCATTCAAATATCACATGTCATTTTCAGCAGTTGTTTCATATTTGATAAATTGAGCAAGTCGGAGGTCATCGAAAACTCGCATGAGACTTGGCATTTCCTCAGCTTTGAATAAAATAACAGGAATTCGGTTCCGAGAGTATGATTGATTCGCTGGCGGTTTTGTCGAGATTGCTGGTGCGAATCTTTCGGTTTGATAGTTGCCCAATTGGTTATACATCATAACAATCCTATTTTCGATCCATCTTATACAAAAAACTCTGAAATAAACAAGAAATTACCGAATTCTGAAAATAACAAGAAAACTGACCTGTTTCTCGTGTGTAGGTGACAAAATCGACGTTCCGTACCAACCCAACATGCTGAAAAATGTTCTACAATTGAAAACATAACTTATTGATCGAGAAATCTTCGATAAACAGCTGAAAAGGAGAAAAGAAAACAAAAAACAAAAAAATGAATTTCGAAAATGAAAAAAAAGCTGGTGCGAGACGTTCGATAGAGCGCACTTTCTTCCTTTTTTTCTCTGCACCCTCCAAAAACGAAAAACTCTCACCTGTGTCATTTTTGTTCAGGCTTAAAACGTTGTGAACTCAAAAATTTCAATTGAAACAGTGTTTCTCTAGAAAAAAACCTACCTTTTTTGATAATCCTCGTATTTTCCGTTGGAAGCGATGATTTCAGCCTTGTAGAACATCTAAATATTCAATTTTTGACTGAAATCCACTGATTTTCCCCGGAAACCTGAAAACCCAGCGAAAAAAAATAAAAAATGAAAATATTCTCGTGTTGCGCTAAACAGCGGGCAAGCCGGAGTGTCGTTGTAAAAGTTAATTATTGACAATAAATTCAATTAATTTTCTTTTTTTGTGCTGTTATACTTTTGTTATACTTTTTATGTGAGCCTTCCTCTTGATTTTTTGAAAAAACGAAGCGGCGTTTCACATCGAAACACTTAATGAGGCCAAATTTTCAGTGATTCCGCTTTTTAAAAGGGAGAGATAAAAGGCAGCAGCTTCCTTATCTTGATAATTTTTCCCTCGCTTCCCATCGCGCGTTCGTGGTGTAATGGTCAGCATGCACAGTGTTTTTGCCTAGGGGTACTATAGTACCCCTATAGGGGCACTACAAAGTTTTTGACTTGTGTGTGTAATAGGTCCACCTATAGGGGCCCTATGCAAACTTTTTTTAGTACCACTATAGGGGTGTCAAAGTGGTTTTGTAGTGGTGCAGTAGGGGTAAATCAAAAAAAGACTCAAGTTTGACAATTTATTTTCAAAAAAAAAAGAACAGAACAAAAGAATTTACATTAAGTGTCGAATTGTTGATTTACTAGTTTCGATTTCGAACATAGATTTCTAGAGGCGATGCATCCGTCCGACAAAGTAGTTGCTTCCAATGCATTTTGAGCTGATTTGATGTCCAATTAATGAAGACGAGTGTTGGTATGAGTTCTGGAAATGAATAGAGTTAGACAAAATATTTTGCAATTTGTATTTTTGTTGTCAAGTCAACTTGAGTCGATGGGTTTTATCGACTCGACTTCTATGGTCGATTATCTCGTGGTGGATGTGAGTTTTCAGAGATTTCTATGTTTTTGGTTGAGATGGTGAATACTCGATAGCGAACATTGGCGCTAATCGAACTATACTGGTGACTTGTTGAAATGATGAGATTAGTAGTTGATGAAATTGGTCAGTTTCAACCAATAACACCATTTCAACAATCATCTCATCCAAAATTCAACATCTAAACCAACGCGATAACCATATTTGAAAACTCCATCCATCACGAAAAGTTCTTGATTGATTGATTGACTCAAAATCAACTCGCTTTCCAACTACAGCGCATCTACGTAGTTTTTTCAAAAAAATCACTCACCATGCGTTGACCAGCACCGCGAAGACACTTCTAACTGGAAATTGCTTCTCTAGGTGCTCACAAGTACAGTCGACCTTTGAGCGATGGTTCCTCCGTTGATTCGGATTTCGACCGAATGCACCTTCTTTTGACAGTTGACGACCTTCATCTGAAAATGAAGAACCATTCTAATTCAACCTTTCATATTCAAGTCAACAAACCTGTGTGTGTGACACGAATCGATGTCAAGTTGGCTTCGATGAGTTTCTTTCCATTTTCATCTTGCCGTTCATTGGCGCACTTGGCGAAAGCCTTCTTTTGGAGCAAGCCCTAAAAATCGTATAACGAGTGAATTATAACGTATGAGAAACACGAGAATGAAGAAATTAGACATAAGGCATTTCAATTTCTAACTCTGAGAAGGAATTTTCAATCGAAACCCATTCAAATGTTGATTTTCTTGAATGAAACTGAAAATAGCCTTGTTTTGCTATCTAACATTTGAAAACTCAGAAATTTTTAATTTTTGGCCTAAAATCATGTTTAATGGGTGAATTTCAAAGTTACGATGGAATTTTCTACTTGCTCCTAGGCGGGGAACATGTTTTATAAACTTTTCGCAGCTTTGAACACTCGATTTTTCCGATAAAACGTGGAACAAACAAAACAAACGAAAAAAAACGAAAAAAAATTTTGACGCCACTCGTCCGTGAGAAGTACACACAAACAAACACGCTGCGAGACCAATGTGTTGAATTCCTTGCGCCTTTACTTTTTGTTTTCGCGCATTAAAATATCATTTTTTGGAGGAAATGACATACACCATTCAATTCAAAATGTCAAGACGAACAAAATGATTATAAATTTAATATACATTGTCTCACTTTTAGTGGACTGCTCTTGGAGTGAAAAAATGAGCATTTTTGACCGGCATTGATTTTTATTTGTTAATAAATGCTCTCCGTAGCATTATGTGTGTTTATAGAGCAAGGAATGTGCATTTTCACTGTTTTAGAGATGCTAAAATTTTCCCAGAGTGGGTACCACTACTCAACCCCTACACGACCCCTACACTTGAAAAATAAAAGTTGATAACTTTCTCAATTGGACGTTTTTCTAAATGAAATTTTTTAGAGAATAATTTCAGAACCTATAGATTAGTTTGTACTTTTTAGTTTTTCTCAAATGAACACCACTAAATAACCCCTTTTGAATCCCTGCCAATTAGTGGTGCAATAGGGGTGCAATAGGGGTAAAAATCACCCCTATTGCACCCCTAAATCACGGTAGGGGTACTATAGTACCCACAAGGCAAAAACACTGTGATGGATGCCTTCCAAGCATTCGACGGGGGTTCGATTCCCCCCGAACGCAGATTTTTTAAAAATTTTTTTTTCAGGTTGTGAGCACTTGCCAAAACAACGCTGAATGTGAATACGATTATATTATGACTGGAAGTAAAGAAGTCGGTCTGACAACCTTGCAACGACAGAAACAATTCCTTTCGCTACAAAAATCAGGAACCAAACAATGTGAGTTGAAGAAAGGAATACAATAAATGAAATTGATTTTATTACAGTACTCTCCTGCGGACCATTATTGAAAAAAGAGGGTGTGATAAAAACTCCACCAGCTGCAAATTATTTGGAAGGTGATCGGGTTGTATTTTCTTGCAAACCAAAATATTATATTCACGGTGATATTGAGCGAGTTTGCCGAAATGGAACATGGTCGCCTGGTTGGTGGGCGTGGTGTAGAGATCGGAATTTGGAATACGCTTTGAAATGGATGACTGCGCTATTATCGATTTTTGGAATCACGTTGATATTTGTGATATTGTTCTGTATTTTATGGAATTTGAGAAAAGCCAAACAAGCTGAACACGCTGAAAGAATGTTTAAGAAAGAACAGGAAGAAAAAATGAAATTGTTGAAGGAGCAAATGGATAATGAAGATATTATTGGATAGTGAGTTTTTGGAATTTGGTTGGGATTTTAGAACTTCAAAATTTTGATCTAGGAATTTAAAAAATAGGAATCAATATTTTTCAATGCCTGGAACTTTTAAGAAATTCTTCCGAATTCTGAATTTTGTTTAAAAGCTCACAGAATTGATTTCTGACATTTGACCTACCAAAGTTCCCAGTTTTAATCTGAAAAGATTAGATCCCACTAATCATAAAATTAAAAATCTTACTGTACGCAAAAATACGTCACGGTGTTTGTACAAACTGATCCGCTAGACGTGAAAGTTTGAAAACACGATTATCTCAGGTCGTATCAACTTTCTCCAATTTCCAGCTCCGAAAAACCCGCGCCAACAAACTTCAACCAGAATTTCTCCAATTCAAACTACCGTCCACTTCCTCCAGCTCCACCGGTTCCAGTTTTCCCAGCTCCTCCACCATCTTCCAACTCATTTCCCCAATCAAATCAGCCGAATCGCCGAAGTTTTTATGAAACATCGGCTATTTGATTTGATTTCTCTGCTAATAGACCACAATTTTTTTTGTTTGTACATTTTCTTGTCTGATGATTTTTGATCAAAAAAAGTTATCTTTTTGTTTTTTTTTTTTGAAAAAAAAGAAGAGAAACGGAAGTTTCACAAAAAAAAGTATATCACATTTTTTTATTTTTACACATGAAAAAAAACCGATTGTGCACAAAAAGAAAAAGAAAAACCAGTCGTCAATGGTGTACAGTACGCAAACACACACACGCAAAATTGCACAAAAAAGAGGAAAAGAAGGGAGGGAAAATGAACTCAGAATTGGTGGGGGAGATCAAGAAAAAGTAGACGAATTCTGCCAGCGGATTTCGTCGCCAAATGAAAATTATTATTGGGTGAGAGAGGGTTTACAAAAATGACTATATATGAGAACAAAATCAGGATATTTCTAGAATATTCGCTAAATTCAAGTCATACATATAGATAAGAATTATTTTTTTTTGTTGGGGGGAAATGGGGATTTTGTTAAATGTGAGGTGAACTAAATGATATTTAATAAATTAAAATAAATTATTACACGATTAAAGATAAGAGGTTATATGTTGGGAATTGGGAGAATTTGAAAAAAAAAACTTATTTACAATTTAGCCGAACAAAAAAAATTAAAATTGATACATATTTTTCCTATGTATTGCACTCAATAAAAAATCGTGTACCTAAAGTCCCGTGAATGTTTTTTGTTGTTGTTTTTGCCTATATCTCATTCCATAGATGTTGGGTAATATTCTTGGAAAAATTTGTCGAAGAAAGCGTCATCAAAATATTCAGGATCTGCCAAAAAAATAAATTCAAACCACGCGCGTTGCCGTCAACGCGGAGTCTCGTTGTTTTCTTTTTATTTTTTTGCAATTTTTTCTTTTATTTTTTTCTGCTAACAATATTTTCAGAAAAGAATTCAACCTACCAAATATACTTGGTTGATTCTCATCTCTCAATTTCTCCGCATGCCTCAAACTTCGTTTCAACTGATGCTTATTCACAAATGTATTAACTTGCTTGTTAACCCCAGCAAATTCAAGTTCCACAGATTGTCCCGGTGAATATTGTTTGGTCGCTCGATGCATATGAAGACCAGCGAGGAAATTGCAAAGAACTTCCACTAAAAATTGAAAGGTTTCTTTTCCAGGTAAAACTTTTTTAATATATTTACCATATTTCTCTGATTCCTCTTCCGTCATTTGCAAATGTTTTTTCAAACCAACTCCCGCATTTTTGCGAAATTCATTATGCGATGTACACTTTGGAATTCGATGAACTTCAAAAACTTTCTTGTTTGGATATTTTTGAATTAAATTACCTTTTGTTGGTTGTTTTGCAGGTGGTCGATAACCAGTAATGGGACTTGCACCGTCTGTTAAAATTGTTCATCAACAAAATTTTATTTGGGTAAATTGGGACAACGTACTGTGCTCACCATTCATCAAATCTTGACGGTATTCGACTAATTCAGACATCAACCAAACAAATAAACAGAATTGCGAGTTTCCAGCTAAAAATTATGGGGTGAGAATAGATCTCGAGCTTAAAAACCAACCATAGTTCCAATTAATCCCACATCGATCATCTACACTCAAACTAATCGAATCCAACGGAACATTTTTATAATACGGATACATCAGAGAATCTTTCCGCCCGGAATGATGTAATCCCAATGAATGCCCGATTTCATGTGCCAAAACATATGGGAAAAACACTTTGCCGGATTGCTCTCCACTGTTAGAATCCACATACCAATCAACATTATCATCAAAATGAATATCGCCGTTCAACGGGTATTCATAAGCTGGGAAAAATGTGTGAGCCAAGACATTGGTCTTACGACTCGATGCGTCGAACTAGAAATTTATGGTTTTGGTTTTGGATTTGCAAAAAAAAATGTTGATGTGAGAACTTACATCATATTCATCCCCATGTGGACCATTCGCCCATAAAATATCAATATCCGCATCTTCCTTGCTTGCCGCTTCCGAGAAATGTAGACTGACCTGGAATTGAATTTTGAACAGAGGATCTTTTGATTCATTTTCAATGGGAATCTGAGAAGATCCGATGTTTTTTGAAAAAATTCTGTAGTTTTTAGCGTCAAAAATTAAATTACAGTAGATCAAAAAAATATAAACATTATTTTGGCGCCAAAAAAGAGCTAAAGTAGTCAGCGCTAAAATTAAACATCTCTCAAAAATTCTGTATTTTTTGCCACGTGGTTTTTGGCGCCAAAAATTATTTGAAATCACTGTTGGCACTAGAAATTAATACAATCTGATTTAGAACTTCTCTAAGAACATCGGACCTTCTCTGATTCCTCATTTTGATTCAAAATTTCCCTGAACTTCCCCCCGATGTCTATCAAATTAGCATAACTTCCTGGTTATAATAACCACGAAAATTATGAAAACCAAAACATCGATGAAAACAAAACATGTCAAGGTGATCGGGAGTTTTTTTGGTTGTACATATTGTTTTTTCCTAGATGTTTTTTGTTTGTTTGTTTGCCTTGGCATACTGTATCACATACCTTTTTCTCACTCTTTATATTGCTTTGATGTGCCCACAATTCGAATGCTTTTCGAACGACTTTTTGCGTTTGCTCTCGACTCATATCATTTGAATACGATGAGATGAACCATTTGAGGCGGAGAGAGTTGCCCGAAAAATGTTTGCTATCCCAGTTCGCTTGACGTGAGACGGCTGAAACAAAAATGTTTTTGATAGTTTTTCGAGCGAGGCGAGCTTCAGATGTCTTGCGAAAAAAAATCAACTAACAAAACCGTTTCGATCTCGATGGTCCTCCATTCCGATGATGATGTCTCATCACATCCTCATGTGAACATCTCGGTTTCTTGGCCGCCAAAACAGTCGCCTCGTCGATTTCAGCAGTTTCCTCGACGCCTAATACATTCTGAAAATTTTTTATTTTTTTTTTGAATTTTTAGAAAAATCTGAGCTCACCTGAAAATGTTTGAGTGCTTTTCTGAACTCGTGCAATGTTGGATGTGCGCGTAAATAACCGTATTCTTCTAATTGACTCTGAAAAAAGTTTTTTTTGCCACATACATTTTTTATATGATATAATAATAAATTGTTTCTTTTTTTTTGCTGTGTAAGTTTTTTGGGGGTCACCAGCGAGACGCAGAGATAAAAAGAACAGATAGAGATAGAGAGCTGATGTGTTGAGTGAATTTTTTGATTTTTTTTTCTTTCAAAGTTACTCGGGGTCGGAAAAGCTTGTAGAAATTGCTGTAGAAAACTTTTTTCTGGAATTTTCAGCTTTCCAAATTTGGCTAGATTTTACCCTGAATAAATTAGGATCCAAATTCCTCGAGAAGTACACACAGAAAAATATTGTCATTCCGAAATATGGACTAGAAAACCAAACGTCTACTGTATTTTGGTTTTCTCTTCCACGACTCTTGACAATATTTGTGCGATAGAGCAAGCTTGGTTGCGCATCTGTTTTTTTCGATTTAGCTCAAGTCACCCGAAAAAAGTTTAGGTATTTCTCGTCACCTTTTTTTTGTCTTGCTGTCCCCTATCTCCTCTAGAATTTTCACTTTTTCGTCGAATTACACAAACAAAGATTAGATTGAATACGTCAGTTACTGTATCTTTTTTTGTTGTCTTGATTATTGTTGTTGTCCTTTTTTTCGGTGCGCAAGACAAAAAAAAGGAATTCATCATTTTTCGCGGGGTGGTTGCCAGAAATCTTCTACAGACAATCTTGCCCTAATTCCACCCCATTTTTGATCATCATAAATGATTTGTGAGTCGAGTTGCGCTCTCGAACAAAACAAAAAAAAATAACTAGGAGAAACTCTACCCCAAAAAACGATAAGATAGTCGACTTTTACCCCACCCCAACACAGAACAATCGATTTTTTTCGCACTGTCTTTTTTTCGAGGTTGAATATAATATATATATAATATATAAAATATAAATTGGGCGAAAAAAACTCAGCCCAACTTACCCTGATAAATTGAAAATCCTTATGCAATTTCAATCGTCGATGTTCTTGTTGATTTTGTTCGAAATCCTCGCCGCCGCTAATCGGTGCACTTGATACAATACTACTTGTCAAATAAATTAAAAATGAATAGAAAAATAAATTATTAATGATTAGACTACTGTAATCGTAAGATGTTGTAGTAGTTTGACATTTTATCGTCATATTTCTTTAATATCTATTTATTCTGATGAATAAAATAGATTTGGTTGCGGATCTATCAATCGGTCGGTGTGGAATCTATTGTTTTCGATTTCAGAACTTTCAAAGTTCGAAAGTTTTTTTCTTGTCGACCACAAAAATGAATTGAGGTGGGGGGGCACAAAAAAAAAGAGAACACACACACCACTCACCGACCCGACGACAGCCGAAAAGCGATCAAGACAGCCGTGTGTCTGCAGGAGAAACACAAAAAAAGGGGCGTGGCTTAGGGAGAGGAGGACACAAGGGAAACTTGGAGAGATGAAGAATATGAATGTGTTGGAATACTGTATGCATATGTAGTTTGGTTTGGGGAGAGGTGGAAGCTGGAAGCTGGAAGGAGAAAGATTTTCGAGTTTTTGAATCGGGAAGTTCAGGAAGTTTTGAATTTCGGAAAATTTTATTTTTGATTTTCAGGAATTTTTTTAAACTTAGGAAATCTTTCTTTGATTCAGGAAAATTTAGGAATCTTTAAATTTGGGAAAACTTTTTTAATTTTTAAAAATTTTGGAAAATTTAGGGAAGCCTTCTTCGGTTCAGGAAAATTCAGAAATCTTTAAATTTAGAAAATAATTTCTGTATCTCAGGTTCTAGACCCTCTGATGATCTACAAAATCTAAATTTTTCGGAATACTTTCCTCCCTCTCCTGTTCCTAGGTACTGTCACCTAGAAACTGCTTATTCTTAATTTTTGCTGACGCAGTTTTGACCCCGAAAATTCATTTTGTATGATAACCCAGAACGCAAAAAAACTTCCGTGACTCGATTTTTCTGAAACTTCAAAACTCCAATCTTGAATTCAAATCTCGATTCCAGGCGGACAAAGTTCGAACAAAAAAAAGTGTATATCATCGGAGAAAAAAGACAAAAAAAAATGATATCTTCTCTTATCGAAGCAGATCAACTTGTTCTATAGTAGTTATCACGAAAAGTCGTCACAGAAAAAAAACGAGATAAAAAAAAGAGACAACATGATGTTCAACCGTTTTTCTTGCCAGGCAGGCGTTGAAAACAGCAGCAACTTGGTTGGATTCGCATTGGCACTTTGATAAAAAAATTTGGATTTTGATTTATCATAACTTCAATTTCCCTTTTACTTTGAGGTGAGCTTCTATTTTGAGTTCCAATAAGAAATTCTCCATTGTTTCGGTTTTCAATTCATTTCAATTCAATTCCAATCCATGTCTAGGTCAAGAACGAACCTTGAAATTCAACCAAGAACACACAGGCCGCGCAAAAAAAAGAGGAGAAACTTTTTCAACAACTGCACTTTTTCAAAAGAGATATTCATCAAAAAAGTACACGACACGACGCAAAAAAAGTAACTATTTTCGCCCGTTTGGGAGACCGAGGTTTGTGTGGGAGACAACACAAACGCGACGCTTTTTTTCGCCGATTTTATCTGACCGCACACAAATCTTCACCTCGAAAAAAAAAGAAATGAAATTATCGAGGAATTTGATCGGAAAGAAGATCCCATAGGGTGGGAACAAATTGCGGGGAAATTCTGAAACATTTTTTTGTTGAAAAATTTGGGCCACATTTCTAAAATATTTCTAATTGTAATGAAAATTCCAAATTCTGAAACATTTTATTTTCTGAAAAAGTTTCTTCGGATTTCTGAGTTTCAAAATATTTGAACAAAAATTTAGATTTCTGAAACGTGACCCAAAGATTATTCGTTGAAAAATTTAGAATTTCATTTGCGAAAAAGTAGAGTTCAGAAATCTCTGCGTCTCTAACATCCCAGAGAAACAAAGTCAAAGGTGCATTTTCTAGAAAAACCATATCTGAAAGAGCTTCATGAAAATTCTGAAATTTTTTAGCTTTCTGAAACGTGACCCAAAGATTCTTCATTGGAAAATTTAGGATTTCATTTTCAAATGTTTGTTTTTATTTTGCGAAAAATATAGTTCAGAAACCTCTGCGTCTCTAACATCCCTGAGAAACAAAGTCAAAGGCTCACCTATCTCTATCAGTGGGTTTCGCAACGTCTGGCAAGAATACCGTACTCAGGAAAAGTTTTTTGCCAAGTTTCTTAAAGTTCCAATATTTTAATTCGAAAAAAAATTGAGGATAAGACTGATTGCTCATGTTAAACTTTAAAAATGCTAGGCTAGCAATTTTGACGTTCAAAAAAACCTCTAATGTTTGATCTACCCTAAAAAATTTGAAAAAAATTCCGATTTTTTCTCAGATTCTTTTTTTAAACCCCCTCCCAGACATTCAAAAAAAAATGAATGCGTGATATTCCATTCCTATATTTCTCTGCACCCTCTTCCCTCTCTTTTTCTCTCGCTCCAATTTTTCCCTACAGTACACCCTAGACACCCAAATTCACCTCTCCTTTCTCTTTTTCCACCTCTTCCCATTAACATATTATAGTTTCCCAAGTGTCTGATCAAAAAACACCAACAAAAAAATATTCAAAAAAAAAAACTCCTCGCTCCGTTTTTTTCCTCTTATTCATTCATATTTGCTACCAACCATGACGCATACCGGGCTTTCTTTTTTTTTTTTGGTTGGTTGTTGTTGATTTCACACCTTTCAAAATGCCGACATATATAAAATTGTGTGGTTGTGGTGGGGGAGAAAAAAAGGACAATAATCATAACCAACCAAAACATACGGTGTTCGAAAAAAAAATGATATATATAAGGGGAAACGGAAACGAGACTTCTATTGAAACTTTTGTTCGGAGAACAACTTTTGGAGGTCAACAAATTGAAATGCACTTTTGAGACAACAAAACACATGGAAATCGGCCAGTTTCTCTGCCTTTCAAACTTTCTAGCTCTCTGGTTTCTCTGCGTCTTTGACTTTCTAGCTGTTTGATTTCTCTGCGTCTCTAACTTTCTAGCTGCCTGATTTCTCTGCGTCTCTCAATTCTATATGCTCTCTGATCGAGTTTCTCTGCGTCTCTATTTTTCTAGTTGTCTGATTCATCTGCGTGTCTAACTTTCAAACTTTCTGATTTCTCTGCATCTCTCAATTCTACATGCTCTATGATCGAGCGTCTCTAAATTTCTAGTTGTCTGATGTCTCTGTGTCTCTCAATTCTATATGCTCTCTGATCAAGTTTCTCTGCGTCTCTAACTTTCTAGATGTCTGATTTCTCTGCGTCTCTAACTTTCTAGCTGTCTGTTTTCTCTGCATCTCTCAATTCTACATGCTCTCTGGTCGAGTGACTAAAAACCCGATTCCGCGAAAAAAATTCAAATCGCCGCGGTGTCCCTTTTCTCGAGTGGGCGTGGCCTAAATGCAATTGCCGCACACATTTGTCATCGGTACTGGGAATTTTTTTGCCACGTGGCAATTTCAATATTTTTTTTTTTAATAATTTGAAATGAACCCTTTGAACTGCGAAAAAATTATCCAAAAAAAACTCAAATTTTTGAAGCCAAATCTTTATTCATCGCGCAAAAACATCATAAATCTTCGAAAATTCAAAATTTCCCACAAAATCTAAACCCATCTCTCAGGCGGGTTCCATCCATACTTGGTCAATGTGATATTCGTCAATTTGATAAACTCGCGAATCACTTCCACTTGCGTTTTTCCAATGTGTTTCTTCCAATTCGCACTGCACTTCAGAGCAGTGTTGCCATCTGAAAAAATTGATTAAATATTCTAGAATTCGAAAAAAAAACAAATTGCAGAAGGAAAAAAAATTGTACCGTAGTCTCCAACAGTTGCTTGCATGTAAAGCGAATTGAGTTCATCATAGCTGTCTTGTGGAACGTGGAAATCTCCGTGTTTTCCTTTGTATCCGGCGCGGCTCATTTTATCCACAGCGTTCGCGAAATCCTGGAATTTATGAGGGGTTTAGGCTTGTGATTTCAGATGTTCAGACCAGATTTTCTGAATCGTAACAGACTGTGTAGATCTAGGATGAATTTTGATAGAAAAAATGAGCTGTGACGTGGCAAAGTTCGAAAAATATCGAATTTTCATGAAATCTATCCTTCAATGTAGTTATTGAGGTTAATCAGAAGTTAGTCTAACTATCATTAGTCAAAGCTCTGTAAAATGAGGATTCTAGAAGTTTGCCACGTCATAACTCTTATTAGAAGTTGAGATTTGCAATTTTTGAGGGCTAGAAAGTTTCGATTCAGAATTTTTTGAGATTTTTGTGGACTCTGATGTTCAGTGGCCCTCTCCGAACCTTCAATCTCCACAAATCTCGATCCTCCTGATGTCGTTTCTCCCAATACATCTTAAATTCCAATCCGCGATTCTTCGCCTCCTTTTCTTCTCGTTGCCATCTCGCATATCTGAAAATCAATCCCATAAATATCCTTTTCTTTCATTTGGTGTTTTTTTCAACAAACCGGATATTTTGTTTTGCGGCTTCTTCCAACTTTTTTGCATCAAAATCCATGACCTAAATACCAGTCAAATCAGCTGATTAATTAATTAATAATAACAATAGGAAATCATAACTGATAAGAATCAAGTTTTTAGTTTTTTTTTTTCTAGTGCAAGATAGGCTAACTAGAAGATTTGATTAGAAGGAAAATAAAGAGAAGGGGTCGGGAACTTCATGGAAATTTGAGAGTTCCTGATAGTGTCTCGCATGGCGCAGTTGGTAGTGCGCTTGCTCCGTGGGCGCAGGGTCAAGGGTTCCACTCCTGCTCAACGCAACTTTTTTTTTATAATCTAGATAGAAGTTCCTAGGATACTGTAGCTGCCCCAGATAAACCGTCCAGAACTTTCTCTTACTCATCACATCACTTTCCATATGATCCACTCGCAACAACTTTGTTTCAACACTTTTCTAATTGACCCAAATTCTTTTCTCTCTTCATAATAATCAGGCGGTCCGATGTGAAAAAAAGGAACACGCGGGGCGAAAAAAAAGAACAACAACTTGTTCTTCTTCTGACAATTGAAAGTTAACAAGATATCTTGGAGATTATGGGTCAAGGTCTCTCGGCGACACGGGAAAAAAAGTTATCCCGGATTTTTTTTTGGCGGTGAATAGTTCGGGGATGAAAGAGAAACCCGTGTAGTGAAAGCTCGAAACTAAACTGGTATTTTTTCGGGGGAAAGAAAATGAAGTGAATGTTTTCCTCAGAATTTTGCTCATTTTTATACGATTTCAAATTGGCTCAAATCATTTTCCATGATGTTCTTCTAGAAGGAAAAATGAGACATTTAATTAGATATACAGTGCTCCACAAAATGATACGGTCAACATGAAAAATTCCAAAAAATCGAAAATCCGGAAAGCATTAAATTTTCATGTTCATGGGGCTTAAATGGGCTCAAAAAGTTCAATTATTGGTCCAAAAACAAATTTGAAATTCCTGGTGAAAAAATGAGAAAATCGAAAAATCTCATTTTTGAGTTTTATCCAATCCACAAAATGATACGGTCAACCATCATTTGTCTTTAATTTTCCAGTTTTTTGATTGAATTACAATGTGCTTAAGGCTGAAATGGTGAATTTTGGTGATTTTAGAAGTTCTGTGTAAAAATTAGCATGCCTAGCTAGGTCACGAGGTCCAAAAAGGACCAAATCAGGGAAACGTCTTTCAAAGTGCCAAAATCTAGCAAAGTTTGAAACATTTCCAGGTTCTGTCGACTAATTCGCCAGAAAAAGGTTAAATGTAGCTTTTCTGAACTTCATTGACAATTTTCCTTCCAGAAATCAGTGAAAATTGTGAAAAAATCGATAATTTTATTACCTCGACTTAATGAAAAATGCAAATTTTCTAACTTTCCCAAGGAAATGAAGATCCCATGGCACGAGATTTTAAAGTTTATCCATCGGACACTTAGGAACATTCATCAGGTATGTCCACTGACACATGATTAGCCAAAAATTGAACAAGTAGCATCAGGAAAACGTCGTACTTGAATTTCAAAATTTTAAATTTTTTTAAAAAAGTGGTTGGTCAGCGGAACAAGTGGTAGCAGTCAGTTTTGTTGATTAAAACACGATTTAAAAAAAAACCACAAGCCTTAAAACTTTTTTTCGATAACATAAATCGATTTTTGACTTCATTACTCGCCTGATCTCGTCATCGAAGATAAGTTAATTAATCAGCGTGTTCAAAAAGTTCATTATGGTAGGTTCCAAAGCGGATTTTGTTCAATTTTTTGGCTAATCATGTGTCAGTGGACATACCTGATGAATGTTCCGAAGTGTCCGATGGATAAACTTCAAAATCTCGTGCCATGGGATCTTCATTTCCTTGGGAAAGTTAGAAAATTTGCATTTTTCATTAAGTCGAGGTAATAAAATTATCGATTTTTTCACAATTTTCACTGATTTCTGGAAGGAAAATTGTCAATGAAGTTCAGAAAGGTACATTTAACCTTTTTCTGGCGAATTAGTCGACAGAACCTGGAAATGTTTCAAACTTTGCTAGATTTTGGCACTTTGAAAGACGTTTCCCTGATTTGGTCCTTTTTGGACCTCGTGACCTAGCTAGGCATGCTAATTTTTACACAGAACTTCTAAAATCACCAAAATTCACCATTTCAGCCTTAATTACATTGAAATTCAATCAAAAAACTGGAAAATTAAAGAAAAATTATGGTTGACCGTATCTTTTGTGGATTGGATAAAACTCAAAAATGAGATTTTTCGATTTTCTCATTTTTTCACCAGGAATTTCAAATTTGTTTTTGGACCAATAATTGAACTTTTTGAGCCCATTTAAGCCCCATGAACATGAAAATTTAATGCTTTCCGGATTTTCGATTTTTTGGAATTTTTCATGTTGACCGTATCATTTTGTGGAGCACTGTACTGTAGTCGCAATTCATAAAAAATAAATAATAACATGATTAAAATATGACAGAAAATTAAAAAAATATCGGATAATACCCGAGAAAAATCGCTAAATTATGCGAATTTCAAACCATTTCGCAAACTTCTTCATCATCAAAAACATCTGCTGGCTTCGCAGCTTCTTCCATAGTTTTTTTGACCTGAAATTGATTTCTAATAAAATTTACAGAACCCAAGTGCCCCCAAAAAAACTCACATCTTCCAACTTTTTTCCAAAATCTCTTGCTCGTTTTCGGGATCGCGATTTTTGCTTGTCAACTTGTCGCATATCGCCGAAAATCCGCGTTTTTTGCTCTTTCGTCACGTTTGGGTCCATTTTGAAGAGGGTGATGAATATTCCGCCAGGAGTTCGACGACGAGTTCCATCGGCTGTCTGAAATTTGGATTTTGATGAAAATGGGGCCAGGTAGAAGGCTTTCGGGCTTGGATTAGTTTTTTGTAAAGTTTGAGTTGATTAGGAGGTCATTGAAGCGTCTGAAATTTCAAAACCAAAACTTTCAGATCACAGAAAACTCAATTTTCTGAAAATTGAATTGTGAAAAAATGTTTTATTATTATTTTATTTTTTAGGAAAAAAATTTGTTTCGGCTAATTTTGGGACGTCGAAAATTTAACTACCAAAACTTTCAGATCATAGAAATTTCAGATAATTTAAATTTTCTGAATTTCACATGGTTTGTTTTTTGAAAAAAAAATTGGTTTAGGCAAAATTTAGTACTGAAAATATTCAGAATTTCGGAATTTCATAATTTTTTCTAATTTTCAGCTAAATTCAAGTAACTCAAATTTTTGAATTCTCAGAACTTTTCTGATTTTCAGCCAAAATTTTCACACTTTTCAAAAAATCTTGAACTTTCAGATCAAAGAAAATTCAAAATTTTCAATTTTCTGATGGTTGGCTTGTAAGAAAACTTTGACCTGGAGTATCAGGTTCTGAATTTTTGAGCTTCTGAAATCTGTCTGGAATTGCAATACTGAAAAAAATCAAAATTCTGGAATTTTAGAATTTTCATGATTTTTTTTCCTGATTTCTAAAATCTCAGAATTTCTATGATTTTCAGCCAAGTTTTTCACATTTTTCGCAAAATCTTGAAACTTGGATTTTTCGATTCCACTATCAAAAAAATCGTTTTTTTTTTTGAAATTTCAGATTTTCAGTTCAAGAAAGTCATTTTTCGCGTTGTGCCACGTCATAGCTTTTTTCAATAAACTTTTTTTTAATTTCTGATTCCTGAAATCTCAGAATTTCTATCATTTTCAGCCAAGTTTTCATATTTTTCAAAAAATCTTGAAACTTGAATCTGATTATCAGAAATCAAACTTTGCAGTCTCCCATTTTTCCACGTCATAGCTTTTGTTTTCCCAATCCCCTAAAACCTCACCTTCATTCCACCGCCTCTCTCAACCTCTTTCGTCTCATCAAACAATTTGATCGATAATTCCACACCAATTTCAGTCACAATTTTCTTGATTGTCGCCGGATCTTTTTCACCCATAGCATGAGCAATGTCAACGCCAAGCTGCAAAAAATCGAAAATCTTATTTTTTTTTAATTTAGAAAGAAAAACTAAGTATTTCACGTGACCTAATTTGAAAGCCACGTTTCAGGAGAAAAAAAAACAAAGAAAAATAAAAAGGGCCGTCTATTTTTTCCTTTGATTACCCTAAAAACTGGATTCTATTTCGAATTATCCTAAAGTTTCTTCAAAGGTGAGAAGCTAAGGAATTCTAAATCATGAATTCTTCATTTCAGAATTTATAATTGAGAAGAAACAAAAATGAAAAAGAAGAGCATAACAAAAAGTAGCAACTCAAAGACGAAAGGAACAGATCGAAGCAAGAGAACTGTGTAAGTTGATCGTGTTAAGACCCAAAACCTATGCGATTAATTAGTGAATTATCCAGAGCCAAGAAAAAGTCGGAAACTCAACCATCGGGAGAGAAAAAGGGAAAATCAACAAGACCAAACAATAATACGAATAGTATTGAGAAGAATCGAAGTTCGGACGAAAAGGAGAAGAAAAAACCGATTTCGACTGAAAAAAAGAGAGAATCAATGACGAATCATAAGAAGGATTCGGAAAATGAGGGAGGTATGAAGAAGAAGGGTGGAAGTGTTGAGAAAGTTGAAGAGCCACCGAAAGAGGAGGCGAAACCGAAGGAGAAAGAGAAGGAGAAAGAGAAGGAGAATGTTGGGAAGAAAAAGGAGAAGCCGGAGAAGTTGAAGACTGAGGAAAAGACAATGAATGATAATTCGAATATTGATACATTGCCAAAGGATACACCAGCGAAACCAGCAAAAATGGATGATGGTTATGAAGATTTTGGGCCAGGTGCTTAGAAAATGATGGATAAATGAGAACTTGTGAAAATGTAAATGAAGTTTCTTTTTTGAAAACTGGAGGTTTTTCCGGAAAATGTGCTCCGGAAAGTGATTTCAAAAAGTGTAACAAAAATAAAAAATTTCAGATATAAAAAGTTTTGGGATGAAACTCAAAATTTTTTAGTCTTACGAAACCTTTCCGGATTTTCCAGATACCATTAGAAAATTGATTTTCAGCGAGTTTCAGAGCAAAAATTCTAGCTGAAAACCCTGGATTTTCAGAATTTTTCTAGATCAAAATATTGTGGTGAAAATTATGAAATCATTGATTTCCTGAAATTTTCAGCACAAAATTTCAGTCTAGAATTTTTTTTCATAAAATTTCAAAATGTTGAGCTCCGAAATTTCTTGCTGAAAATCCTGGATTTTCAGAGTATTCTAGATCAAAATATTGTGCTGAAAATCAGGAAAATATTGATTTTCTGCAATTTTCAATGAAAAATTCCAGTATAGACATTTCTGGGAACAAAATTCAAAATTTTGAGCTCCGAAATTTCTTGCTGAAAATCTAGAATTTTCCTAGATAAAAATATTGTGCTGAAAATCAGGAAACTATTGATTTTTAGCAAATTTCAGCACAAAACTTTTACAAAGTGTTTCTGGAAGTTCTTCAAAAAATCATTTACCTTATCAATATCATACATTTGTTCCTTATCCAATTCGCACGCCAAAAACGATGCAAGTGAATATTTCTCCGACAACAATTCGGATGTTTTAGGTGCAAATCGTGGCGACTCTTTCCTATCTCTTCCCGCCATAATTCGATTATTTCTATTTGCATGTCCCGGTCCAGAAGACCACCATCCAACTCGATTTCCATCATCTTTCGCCAACTGCTCTTCTCGATCATACTTTTTGACACCGAAATTCTCGGCTGGTGCAATTGGCGCATCGCCAAATGGATCATCGTTGGCTGGAGTTATGACAACAACTGGTGGCGGTGGAATTGTTGTTGATTGAGAGGAAGAAGAGCCGTTGGCGGCCTGGAGTTTTGCTTCTTCTTGTTTCTTCTTTTGAAATGCATCAGCTGGCATGACGTATGATTCTGGACCACGATGAAATGTACTCTAAAATATGAGGAATTTTTAATTTTCAAAATTTTTCAGTTTCCTCTACAGAAAATCAGAATTTCCCCAAAATTTTAAATTTTTGTTAGGAAATTGATTTTCTGACGCTAAAATTATATAGAAATTTTAAAAATTTTCCACGTTTTTGGAGTCAAAAACCAGAAACTTTCAGGCAAATGTGAATTCTGATGTGAATAATTCCCAAAAAACCCCACCTGTTTCTTCTGTCCCTTCTCCAAATTAATACTCTGCCCTTTTTCAAGCAACTGCTCTTCCAACAACATGTCCGACCATAAATTCCGCGATTTTTTCGATGCCGATGGTCCATCTTCATCCTCTTCGTCTCCAGCAACCGGAATTCTTCGCTCGTCATCCGATTCACAATCCGAATTGTCATCGTCGTTTCTTCGCTTTCGAAAGGACATCTGACATAAAAGTTACCGTAACTTCTTGTGGCTGGGGGAAAAATATATAGAAAAAAGATAGGAAAAGGTATCAAAAACCCATAACAAATTTGAATTTCAAAAAAAAAATTAGGAATCAATCACATTTATTTTCGAGAAAGAATTGAAATTATCCTTTATTATGTGTATTTCCCCATCCTCTTCTATGATCATCTTTATATTCATCCCATTGCATTCCTTTGGCTCGAATCGCATCATCGTCTTCCTCGTCGCTTGAACAAGCCTCTCCAGGTCTAGAAAAATGAGTTTTCATAAATCCTAACTATCGCATTTGATTCATCAAATCTGCCAAAATTTTTCTATTTTTTGAAACCATTTTTTTAAAAAGCCTGAGACTTCAGCGCACTTTTTCAGACTGAAAAATTTGTAAATTCTCTATGCTTTGTAATTTAATAAAATTTTCATAAATTTTGATCCAAAAATTGATAATTTCTGAATTTTCTTCGAAACTTAGAGCATTTTCCAATTTGAAATTTTGCTTTTGAGTTATTCATCATTTATTCGAAATAAGTATTGATACAATATTTGACAATAATTTATATCAAAAATTTGAAACGTATTTTTTTTTGATTCTGAAAAAATAGAGAATCGAAATTATTCAATTTCTAGACCCAAATTAAAAATCTTTATTTATTCAAACGACAATTTTCTAAATTCAAAACTTTGCAACCGCAATACTTTGTCTAGAACTTTGCATTGCAATAACAACACTTGATCGACTCTTAATTTTCCGCGTGCATTTCAAAGAATCCATAAAACTTCGTCTAACAGATGAATTCGCAATTGTAATTGTGATAAAATTACAAGCAAAATGTGCAAATGTAAAAAACATCCACTGAAAAAACATCAATCAAAATGTTTTTTTTTCAAACCCAAAATCCATACGCTTTTCTTCAAGAAATTCGAAACAAAATCCTGCAAATCGAGTAAACTTGTGATGACATAAACCACAATTAGAATCGAAAATACAGCATGCGCCAGAACAACAATCACAAGATTCCGCTCAGTTTTTGAGGCATTGATTGTTTTGAGTCGAAAAATTGTGAGAATACAGATGAATAGATTTAGAACTTCGGAAATTGATATGAAAGCTGCACAGATTATTCGTGCCAAAATCATTTCATCCTCATTTCGAACATTAGCATTCACAAATTTCCCATCAATCAAATGAAAATCCCGTTCATTGTACAAAAGTGGAATGCAGAAAATGAAAGAGACAACAAAACTTCCAACTAGATATGATTTCACCCTATTCATCGTCCAAAATCGATCCAAGTTAACAAAAGTCGCGGTATATCGATTAATTGTAAGATAAGTGCTACAAACCGAGTGAACCAGGTAGAAATAAAAATCGAAATATGAGGTGAAATGATTGGTTTGAATGTAGATTTGATGGGGAATCAGAAATTTGAAAACTTGAATGTAACAATAAATCAACATATGCAGAATATCAACGAATCCTACAATTTTTGATGGATTCTTCAATCAAGACTATTTTTACCTGACACAAAAAACATATAGAAAAACGGGCTGTTTTTGATGAAAGTGTGAAGATATCGCATTATTTGGCAACAATATATAACAGTCAAAATATAGACAAAAACAGTGGGAATTTCACGGAAATCCATCGTGTTATGACAAAATAATCTTGCAAAGAAGATTTGTGTTTTTGTGAGTAATTTATTTGTTAGCGTATGTATAATTAATTATATTGGAGCTCGCTAGGCGTAAATTTTCACCAGGGAATTTCCCAGCCACAAAAACATTCAACTAGATTTTCTGAAATTCAAAGAATCCTATAAACCGAATACGGTATCACCGAAATCGTCGTATTTTTCTTGAACCCAAACATTTCTTGAAAACTTCGTCGAATTGAAGTTTTTGCAATCGAAATTGTGATAAAATTACAACAAAGTAGAGAAAATGCCAATGAAGTCCACTGAAAATGAATGGAATTTCAATTGCTCCAAAATCCCACCTACATTTTCAGAAAGAAACTTTGATACAAAATTCTGAATATTGAAAATAACTGTGACTTCATAAAGAACAATAATCATCGAAAAAACAATATGCGCAAAAATAACAATCATCAAATTCCTCTCAGATTTTGAAGATTTCACAATTTTCAGTCGAATAATAGTTAGCATAAGGAAAATAAGATTCACCATTTCGCACAAAAATATAATTATTATCGTTAATTTTCGTTGCAGTTCTAATCCCACATCATTTTCACTATTTTCAACAATCTTTCCATTAACTAATTGAATTTCTGTACTTCGAAATGTGATTGGAATACATATCAAGAATGATAGAATAAAACAAGCGAAAATGTAAAGAATCGGTTTTGTCCAATACTAAAAAAACAGTTTTCAGCCAGTTTTTATAGGAAAAAATAAGCTCACTTTGGTCATCGCAACAAAAGTTGCACAATATCGATTGATAGCCATTAGACTATTACAAATCATATGGAAATAAATGAAGAAAAAATCGAGATAATCCGTGAGAAGGTGAAAAACTTGAAAGAAACGTAAGGGAATTGTTTTAAGGAGATTTTTAATAAAATTTATGTTTTTCTAATAATTTTCGACCCGCTGATCACTATTCTGTTGTCTAAAATTGCGAAGCTCAACTCCTATGACGTGGCAAAGTTGGAAAATTGGGACTTTAGGAGGTCAGAACTTGTTCAGAAGGGTCGATAACGGATTTCAGGAAAAACCTCGTGTACTTATGTTATTGAGCCCTCTGAACAAGGCTATGCTATCAGATTTTCCTCAAACCCATTTTTAAAGCTAGTTATGACCTCCTAAAGTCCCAAATTTTCCAACTTTGCCATGTCATGAGCTTTGCAATTTTAGACAACGGAATAGTGATCAGTGGGTCAAAAACTACTAGAAAAAATACATTTCATTAAAAATCAGTTGAAACAGTTCCCTTGTAAAATCACAGTATGTCACTACCTACCATTATATCTACATTTATTCGCAAAATCACAACGCAACCCTTCATACGTAAAAATCTGATGAGAATGTATGAACATCTCTTCGGATAGAATAATTCTCAAACTTTGTATATAACAATAAATCGCCATATGGAGAATATCAATAATTCCAGACACGAAAAATATATAGAAAAATGCACCGTGTTTGATTGAAGCGTAAAGGAATAGTAAAACTAGGCAACTGTATGATATAAATATTATGTAACCTATAGCGAATGGGATTTCGACTAAGTTCATAGTTCAAAAATAAATTTTGAAGTGAAAAAGGACCAGAAAAAATAAAAATAAGAAAGAAACCTAGTATTTCGGTAAAATTTTATGGAATTGGAATTGCTTTTTTCATACGATTTCTGAGAATATTTATTCGCCGAATTTAATTTGTTCTATTGGATGGAATTGGAGCTAAAATCGAGATAAACAAGGATTTTCGCTTGTAGCATAATTTGAAAATTTCTTTTTGAATCGATGATTTTGCAATGGTAATTGTCAAAAAATTGCAGAAAAATAAGGCGAATGAGAATGGCATCCACTGAAAAATGAACCTTTAATCTCAATAACTGTTTTTAAAATATGTTACATTTTTCTTTAAAAACAGCGAAATCTCATCTTGAAAATTGAGAACATTTGTGACTTCATAAGCCACAATAACAATCGAGAAAACAACATGCACCAATACCACAACAACAAGTTTTCGTTCACTTTTCGTCGATGTCATTTTTTTGAGCCTCATTATTGTTCGAACACAAATCATGAGGTTCAACAATTCCGATGTCGATAAAAACGCGGCACAAATTATACGTTCCAATATCAAACCATCGCTATCTTTGATTAGTTTGATATTCCCATTGATAAGTTGCAATTCTTTGTCACTTATAAAAATTGGAATGCAAAAAATGAAAGAGATAAAGAAACTAGCCGATAGATATGATTTTACTTTGTTCATTGTCCAAAATCTATCCAAGTTTACAAAAGTTGAAGTGTATCGATTAATTGTGAGATAAGTATTGCAAATTGAATGAACCAAGAAGAAATAGAAATCGAAATATGTGAAAAAATGACTAGTATTTATATAAATTTCACTAGGAATCAATAATTTGAAAACTTCTATGTAACAATAAATCAACATATGAAGAATATCAACAAATCCTACAATTTTGAATGAATTCTTATTAAATCAAGACTATTTTTTTACCTGACACAAAAAACATATAGAAAAATGCACTATTTTCAATTGACGGGTATAAAAGTTGCAAAATTCTACACGAATAAATCACAACTAGTAAATATATTATCAAAAAAGGCATCTCTGTTAAGTTTGCCATCTTTTGTTAATTAGAAAAAAGTTGTTTAGGCTCTTTGTTTTTGGCTAGAAAAATATATGTATATGTATATGTATATGTATATGTATATTCTAGCCTGTTCTTAGAATCGGACCAACTAATAAAATAATACTGAATTGGAATTGGGTTTTATGAAATAGAGAAAGATCACACCGTGTTTCTCACGAAGCTAAATAGCAGACTATTTTGAAAGATCATGAATCAAAGATAATTATGGGAAGATCAAAAGTATACTAGAAACTACATTAGAAAATGTATATAGTTTGAAATCTTCTTTTCACGCCTGAGCAGACGTAGCTATTTTTTACACTGATTTTATAGGCTTCAAATGATTATAACTCTTTTTTAACTTGATAAAAGTTGAACATTTTTGAACACTCTTCTAACAAGTGAAATGCAGGCGTTGAACTTTTGATGAAAAATATCAAAATATACCAAATCGACCATGCTGACCACGACTTCGAAGTCAAAAATTGCCACACACTCCTGTGAGCACTTTTCTGGAGCTCCAAAGTTAAAATTGAGGGTTGGTTTTCGCCCATTTTCACCATGATCCAGAGTGGAAAATTAATTTTCATAACATGAATAAAGTTGTTCACCACATTCCAAAACCTATTCGCTTTTTAGTTTTTCAAAAAATATGAAAAACCAGCTGAAAACTGTAATTTTTCAAAATGCACAAAAAAATTTTCAGGACCTTTTAAAACATTCCAGTTTTCAGATGGTTTTTCATAATTTTTGGAAAACTAAAAAGCGAATAGGTTTTCGAATGTGGTGACCAATCTTATCCATGTTATAAAAATTGATTTTCCACCCTTGAAAATGGGCAAAAACCAACCCTCAATTTTAACTTTGGAGCTCCAGAAAAGTGCTCACAGGAGTTTGTTTTGACTTCGGAATCATGATCAGCATGGTCGATTTGGTATATTTCGATATGTTTCATCAAAAGTTCAACACCTGACCCTTGTAAGTCTAGAAATCGAAAAGCTCCCAAACCCTCCCCCAAAACCACTAACTCATGTGAATGTCCGTGATGATCTCCTTCTCCAGATCCTCCTGCAATCTGATTCGCCATCGCACTCGCAGCCGCCGGTCCTCCACCTCCTTCATGTCCAAACCTTTGATTATACCATTCATCGACAGTCAATGTTGGAATACTCGGATAACCCAACCCGAAAACTTGTTTTTGTGTTTGATCGCGAGTTATCACAAATGGTTTCATCGGCTTCCGTGAGCTCTGTGATTTTTCTTTTTCTGGCGGTGGAAGTGGTCGCTCAACCATCATTTTTAGAATTGGTATTTCATCTGGAAAAAAATTATATATTTTTTGCCCTTTACTAAAGGAATTCTAAAGGACCTTACCTTCAATCGATTGAATTTCCTCAAAAGCTTTTTCAGCCCAATATTGCAATTGAATAATATACAATTCTCTCAATTGATCCTCATCAATTCTTTGAGTTTTCTGCAAATATCGAATATTTTCCTCGTTTTTCTTCAATTCCTTTTTCCTTCGATGTCGCTCCAATTTCAATCTTCTAGTTTCTTCCGGCGTCAATTTCATAGGTTTCTTACTTGATTTCTCCTCCTCTTCTTCTTCCCTCGAAGTTGATGATTCCCAATCAAGAATAACAGTCAAATCACGCAATCGCTCCAGAAAATTGCGATAATAAATTTGGGACTTGCGAAGAGCTTCGAGTTTGAGTTTGGGCTCAGCGATCAAATTTTGTTGGAAAACACCAAGATAGCAAGGAATCAAAAGGAAGCGAAGAGATTGCGTTTGAACATCTTCAATCTGAATTTTTCAAGATTTAAATAGAGATTTTGACAGATTTCAAAAAAAAAAGAAACTCACCAATTCGTTACTCGAATACATTCCTAATTTATTCACAAGAATCGTTAATTCCTCTAATTTTGTCATATTTTCTTTGAGTTTCGGCTGAAAAAACCACATTTTCTTTCAAAGTATTGAGAAAAATCAAACCTGAATTTCAATTGTTGTCAAATTGCCATCTTCCATTTGTTGAACAAGATTTTCAGCCGGTTCAAAGAGTGCAACTAATTCGACATTTTCCTCGTCTTCAGCAGTATTCATGGTTTTTGTTGTGAAACTTTTATGAATCCGAAAAATGAAATTTTCGAATTCGAAAAAAAATAACAAGAAATGCGCCAACAAGAAACGCGCCAGTGTTGAGTGGGTTGACGCGTTTGTTGTTTTTTTTACCCGAAATTGCCTAAAACCGGCAAATGCGCTCTATCGAACAATTGCAGACATTCCTTCGAGGTTTGTAATATTGAAAATGTGAAATTTGGGTTGTTTGCTTCTAAGTCCACGTGAATAATTTTTTGAAAACATTTTATTTTTCAACACTTCAAATTATTTATTTTTCGTCTCCGCCATGATAAAAAAACACAAAAAAAAACGTACAGAGAGAAATGGCGACGGGGTGGGCGAAAAAATCGTGTTTAAAAGAGGAGGAGAAATATTTTAGGTTTACGCAAAAAATTGAACATTACAAAAGACAAAAAAAAATTTAAATATAAAAATGAAATGGAAAAACCTAGAAACTTCTCCCACAAACACACACAAAAAAACATAGGAAAAATATTACCAAAAAAGGAAATAAAACATGGAAAAAAGACGGAGCAGCATTTTTGTGCATTACCCAAAGTGCCAAAATCTGCAACATCTTTTTTAACAAACACAAAAAAATGGGGAGTTGGATAAGAATATTAGAATTTTTCGAGGAGAAGAGAAAATCGGGGTAATTTACAGAATTAGAACTTTTGAGGGCGAGCTCAAGTCGCGGAAATTTGAAGTAAAATAAGAACAAAAATGGAACAAGTAATCAATTTTTTGGAAACTCACACACACAAAAAAACATTAATAATAGTGATTCAAATAGAAAATAGCAAAACATTTTATTGTGGTGTGTTTCCAGTTGGTGTTGCTCCAGTTGCTCCAACAGCAGTTCCGCTTCCAGTAATAGCACCAGCTCCAGCAACAGCAGCTGAAGCTCCACCAGCAGTTCCGCCAGCTGGGAATTGTACAACTGGTTGTGTTTGAGCTGCTTTTTGCTTGAGCATTGTCCAATCGAATGTGTAATCGTACTGAAAATCCAGGATTTTGAATTTATGAAACGAAATTCTCTTATTTTCCAAAAACCAAAAACTTACTTGATGATTGAGTGTTCTGAACAAAATTCTGAACAATTGTCGCAAATACATATAATCTGGCGATTCGTCAAAACGAAGTCCACGAGCATAGCTCAAATACATTGGGAATTCGGCTGGGAATCCTTTACACAATACTTCCACTGTTGTTGTCATTTTCTGCAAATTCATTTGAAAATTATAGTTTTCGAAAAAAATTTTTCAAAAAAACCAACCTTCTCCGAAATCTTCTCATATTTCTGTTTCTTTGTGGCTGCTTTCAATCCTTGCCATGGAAGTGTTCCTCTGTTGAAATACATCAAAACATATCCAAGTGATTCCATGTCATCTCTGCAACATAATCAAAGATTAGGTTTTTATCGGGTGATAAACACAAAAAACAGCTGATACTTCCTGCCATTTTCTAATTGATCAATTTGCTTTTAATTAATGGTTATGTGAAAATAATTGTTTTTTGAAGTTTGTAAATAATTTCGTAACCAACTTTTCAGACTACATTTTCGTGTGAAAAAATACGTCTGCTTTCTCCTACTCAAATAAAATGATCTAAAAATTACCTTCTTGATTGTTCAATACCCAAATGAGCATTGATCGAAGCGTATCGAGCAGTTCCGGTCAAATTCTTATCTTCTCTGTATGCAATATGCGATCGTGTGCGAGAATCCCGGTATCTGAAAAAAATCAACAATTGTTTTCTGAACAAGTCAGCTCAAAAGAGAAAAACTCACTTTTTAGCCAATCCAAAATCGATCAAGAACAATTTGTTACAATGACGTCCAATTCCCATTAAAAAGTTATCTGGCTTGATGTCACGATGAATAAAGTTTTTCACGTGCACATATTCGATACGTCCTATCATTTGATCCGCCAACATCAACACAGTCTGAAAATTACATAATTAATTAAGAACTTTTAATTATAGAGTTTGTGGCTCTTTCTTTTTGTTTGAATGTTTTTCCCAAAAATTTCGTAAAATCTCGATTTTCCAGCAATTTTCCGCCTCATCTCCTTTCATTCTTTTTCTTCAATTCTCTCTTTCACCTCTCACTCTCTCTTTTTCTCCCTTATATTTCTTCCCAACTAAATTGGAATAATATTCTTATTAATAGTATAATCGAATCGATTCTCTCTTCTCTTTCTCTCTCATAAACCAAGAGTACACAAAATGTTGACCTATTTTTTGTGAAAAACAAAAACAGTTCCAGTCAAAATTTCAAGTTCGGGATAAAAAATTACCTTCATTGTGAATCTGCGTGAGCAGAAGTTGAACAAATCTTCGAGAGATGGTCCCAACAAATCCATGACGAGAACATTGTATTCTCTTTCTGTTCCATACCTGGAAAAATTGAATTTGTGAAAGGAAAACAGCGGATATATGAGTTTATAATTTGAAAAGTTCATAGGTTTTTGATACTAAATTTTTCATTATATAATGAATCCGAAAGAAACACCAAAACTCATTTTGTTAAGAAACACGTTGTGAATTATTGAAAAGGGCATTATTCTGAAATTTAGATGAAAAATGCTCATTCTATTGTTGGAAAGATTCAGAAAATAAGAAAATTGCAGCCGTTCAACACGATTTAATCTCTCCGATGTCATAATTAATCATCCTGGGAATATAAATTCATGAAAAAAGAACATACCAGCGAATATGTGGAATACCAACTCCTCCTTGCAAAATACGATAAACTTTGGACTCGTAGAGCAATTGTGGATGTCTTGCCTGAAAAAAACATTGAATTTTGATCAATATTTTTGAGTAAACATGATGCAAAAGGGGAACGCCGCGCTTTGAAATTGGAAGTGATGAAATTGGCCATATGGTTATGAAAGATTGATGATATTTGGGTAAAATTAAAATGAAGCTTTTGCTTGCATCAAAAATTACAACCTATCATGCATTTAATTGCAGTTTGAAAACATACTATCGTACGATAACAAACTGTACTCAAAATCAAAACATCCTTTCGCTCCCAACAAAAAATCGATAACTCACCCGATTACTTTCCAATTTGATGGCAACTTCTTCTCCGTTTGTTACATTGATCGACACATAAATATCACCGAATGATCCTGATCCGATCTTACGAATCAATTTATATTTTGTCGCAACAATAAAATCTTTAACAATATGCGACATTTATCACCCCTCTTCTTGTCGTGCTGAAAGATGAAGGAAATGAGTTGGTTGAGAAACGAAATAAGGATAAACAACTAACCGATAGCACTTGAAAACCAACCACCCGGTGGGATCAAGATTGAGGAGACTCGACCTGAAAAACACAACAGTTTTATAAATAGTGCGTGGATAAATAAATGTGTAATTTGAGAAGACGCGAGATTTTCACAAAAATCGATACTTTTCGTAAACTTAAACATGTTTAGATTGAAAAGGGAGATTTACAAGAAACAAATTGACAAAGAAAATGATAAATTTCAGGTGAAAGTGAAGTAAAACATGAGAGAAACAATATTCGAAACACAACGCTTTTTGTTTGAGTGCGAAAAACTAGGGAAATTTATCGATTTTTCGGCGAAACTAGTGTTTCTCGAAGTAAAACGAGTCAACCAAACACATCTAGAACATTTTTAGAACCGGAAAATCATCGGAAACGCTGAAAATGGCTGAAAACGTCGGCGAAACAGTAGAAATCGGCAAATTTCATCAGTCACGCAACTGGGAAGGCCGACCGCGTTGCATATGGTGACGCGTCGCGGCCACCCGCTAATTCAAAATATTGTTTTTTTTCTCTTCTTTTTCTCTCACTAGATAGATGTTGCGAGTAGAGTAGCGTAGTATTTAGAAAAGAGAGAGTGTGTACGGGAGATTGGGCGGATGAATGCACTTGTTTCGCACCAAACAAAAAGTTCAATGTTTAAATTGCTGGGAAGAAAATGAAGGAAAAGGAAAAAAATCTTCTCTTTTTTTCCTTGATGATGAAGGAAATTGCGTGTTTTTTCCTCTACATACGTATTTTTTTTGAAGGAGAAGAAGAAGAAGAATGTGGGGTTTGGTGAATTTATTGGATTAGTGCAGATATTTGCAAAAAAGTTGCCAAGATGGGAAATTTTAGAAATGAAAAAGACAGGGTGAAAATTTTTAAAATGAAAAGAGAAAAAAAATGATTGGTCACGTGAAAATCAATCGAAAAAATTTGGGGAAAAATGATCTTCAACATTTTTGAACTTTTTTTGGAGATGGAAAAATTGGGATCTCCTAAAATTTTCAAAAATGGAAGGTTTTTAGAAAGTTCAAAATTTTTGAATAAAAAATCACGCTATTCAAAAAAGCTAAAATAGTGCTACAGTATGCCCAGCCAATTTTGGTCCTGCCGCGATTTTTCTCGATTTGAAGGCTGGCTTGTTCAGCTACAGTACATTTTGGATCTAGAAAATTGAGAAACTAAATTTTCTGGGCTAAAATCTACAGTAACGCTAGGATCATTAGTGTTCAAAAAAAATTGAAATAAAAAAGGTTTGAAATTAATTTCCAATGCTCTCAAAACTAGAATCTAGCCCACGCGATAACCCGAAAAACTAACTAAAAATAATTTTTTCCAATTTTCTCCTTCTCTCTCTCTCTCTCTCTCTCTCTATTTCTCAACAGCCAAAAAAACCGCCAATTTCCTTCCCAAGAAAGAAAAAAGCCAACATAATTCATGTGTGTGTGTAGCACTAAAAATCGACATAAAATGAATGAACGAGGCAACATATAGAAAATATATTATAAAAATTGGAAAATGAAAGAAAAACGCGAAAAAAAACACAGACACCACACAACGGAATAAAATCAATATTTATTATTTGCGTGTATCATTCATTCATTGCTCGTCATCACTTTATTTCTCTAATTCTCTTTTCTCTCTCTCTTCTTGCGCGGGTTGCCAACCGGTTTTGAAAATCTTTTTTTTTTGACAAATGATAGGGGCAGAATGTCGAGTCATCTGACAAAAGTTCCGAACAAATATTTTGCGGCCGAAAAAAAATTTTTTGGTAGTTTTTTTTTAATTGACTGGGAATATTTTATCAATTGAACAAAAAACCAAAGATCGGAAAAAAATGTGCTTTTTTTGTAAAAAAAAATGAAAATAAAAAATGAACTAGGGAACAAGGAAAAGACACAAAGTATTTGAGCTACAGTAACCCGAGCTAAAAAAAATTCGGAATTTTTTTTTTGCTCCAAGTTACAGTAGCCCACGTTTTTGGGGCGAAAATATTATGATTCAAAAAAATTGGCGCCAAGTTCTAAAGGCTACAGTAATTCTAAATGATCTACAAAATTTCGGACAAAAATATAAGAGCTACAGTAACCAGAACTATTGGCGCGAACTCTAAAAATTTGAATTTTTTAGCTCTGAAACTCCAAGTTACAGTAGCCCTCATTTTTGGGGCAAAATTTTATGATTCAAAAAAATTGCGTCAAGTTCTAAAGGCTACAGTAGTTCTAAATAATCTACAAAATTTTGGAACTTTTTGAAAGAAAATATAATAGAGCTACAGTAACCAACTATTGGCTCGAAAATTTTTAAATTCATAAATTTTGGTGCCAAATTTTATACGGTACAGTAATCCTAAATTTTTGCAAAACTAAAAATTTCTAAAACTTTAATCTGAAACTATTTTTAACAAATGTCAATTGCATATCTTCATTTTTACACGTTTCAAAAATATATACATTTTAATACACAAATTCTCAAACTTTTCCTCCTCAAACATTATAAAACGGCGAAGCTGCTGATGTTTGAAGTTCAACTTGTGAAATCTTATATCGAACTTTTTTCAACCACTCATTAACCATCGGTGTTTCCAAAGATGGTTGATTCTGACAAGAATCGAGTTTCATTCGAAGTTGATTTGGAATCTGACTATGATATGCTGTCAAAATCGGCGCCCACATTGAATATAATTGACAAAGAAGTGCTGAATTGACTTGTTGAAGTGCTTGAATCGTGTTCAAGAAGTGTAGGTTAACCATGTCAGCGAGCTGGAAACATTTTCGTCATTTTCCACTTGACTAGACCAAACTTCCAAGAATTTCAATTTTTTCTTTTTTTCTCATCACTAACCACTTTCGAATGACTAAGAAGTTGTAGTATGGCAGGAGTGACACGTGCCCAAAAATCGATGAGATGAGCAAATGCAGTTGTTGAGCTAGAAAGAAAAAGAGAATCAGAGTGCACTGAAGATTGTAGTCATGGATACTGGGAAGCTTGTGTGTGAGAGTTATCAGAAATTATAGGGGAAAAACAAAAACAAATGTGGAGGGGGAGAAAACACGCCTACCTATAAATCGCAGCTCGTTCACAATAAACCGTCCAGAGTTGGCATAGATGGAAAGCGTGGAAGAGGGCAGACATGTGAACCACTGATTGCTGAAAATTGGAAACTTTTTTGGGTGAAAGAGGATCAGGGAGGAAGGTATTTACAACAAAATTTTCAAACGAGATCCAAAAAAAGGTAAAAAAAAATTATTGAACCCAAATTTTAGGATTTCTAAATTGCACCAGTCCTCAAATTTTTTAAAAAGAAATTTTTAGGACCACAAAAAAAGGGCAGGTTTAATTTCTGTACTGAAGATCTGTTTTGAGATGGACTTGCTGAGACTCAATTTTCCCAAAAATCAGGACCGGATTCTCAGAGGTTTTGAAGAATTTATGATGAGACAAACAATTTTTCTCAATTTTTGGTGTCCCAGATCTTGTTGTTCTCGATTCAAAAATACTCAGATTCAAATTTTTTAATCCCTGAACTACATTTTCATCAGTTTCAGCTCGAAATTTGAATGTGAAGTTTTTGAATCAGATCTGAAGGTCAGGAAGGATTGGACCAAAACTTCAGGACATCTGAATTGTTCCAAGACGACCACATTATTAAATAGCAGAATTCGGACCAAACCCGATTTTCTGGTAAGATTTCAAAGCCGAAGCACATTTTTAAATGGTCCGGATAAAATTCGAATAGGATTCTGACATTTTTCTTAGATATTGGATATGAGGCTAGAATTCATAGAAGTTCTCTATGAATTTCTGACGCGTCAAAAAATTTTTCTCAATTTTTGGAGTCCCTGATCTTGTCGTTCTCGATTCAAAAATTCAGATTCAGATTTTGTAACCCCTGAACTACAAAAATTCCACCTTGAAATTGTTTTCCTGAAGTTAATTTTTTTACCAACCGCCTAAGACTCGATTTAACAGAAATATACGAGCTCGAGATTTTTTCCTGATTTTTATTTTTGAATTTCATTTTCCTGTACCCTTTTACAAACCTTCGATTGATCAGCAAAACCAGCAAGAACAAAATGAATATAATCAGCCATATGTTGAGAACACTCAATCGGAACTGGCAGGCAAGAATGATTTGCGTGAAGTGCACCAAGTAGCAGCCAAGATAATACTCGAACATTTGTGACACTGTCTGCAAAAGCACCCGGAGCTGATTGAGTGACCGATGGAGGAGACATCAGCCACGGTATGAATTGGATAATTGTTCGGCAATCACGGGCGTTTGAGCGGGACATTTGAACAGCAATTGCTTCGGCTAATTTGACTTTTAGATCACCGCCAAGCGAATCGGAATTCGATTCTTTCTGAAAAAAAAATTGTGGTAATAAGCTATATTCTAAGAAAATCACGTACCTTGAGTTTGGCTATGACATGTAGATCCGCAATAAAATCCAAAAGTTCAAATAAAAATGGTTTAACAGCTTCTGAAGCCGCAGTATTGAATTGATCATCCAACAACGATACTTCAATATCTTCCCCAGCATCTTGCAAAATCATATTCGCAATCGTAACATAATTCGATTCATGTAATTTCGCCTTGAACTTAATCGCTTGCATCAATTCCGAAACAACAGCTCGTGTCACACATTGTTTATCACGCTCTCGTATGAGTGCTCGATTGCAAGCCGTGCAGATTGTGAGAAGTGATTCAAGTGATATCTCTCCACCATGTAAAGCTTCAGACATCCATTTTGCGAATGATTCAACGAGTGAAACCGCGCTTTTGAATGATGAGAAGTTCTGGACTTTCAAAACATGACTCATTACAATCACAACATTTTCGATTTCCGCGCGAGTTGGTGGATTCGCATTATCAGCTGATATTGCAGTATGATATCTTCTGAAGAATGTTTCCAAATGTTGCACCAAATTCGTCCAATGTGTAATATACATATCAGTTGGTATTTCAACTGTATAATATGCCAGATTCTTCATTGTTAATCGAAGTGAACTTGGCCAACTTTCTTCAAGATCTTCCATTAATAATTGAATAAAGTATACCGGAGACAATTCATTGAAATCAGCCAATGAGAGAGCGACAACACTCCAAAATGACTCTGCACGTGGAATTTTTGTATCAAATAATTGAAGGCAAATTGCAGATGTTGATAAATGATGTAGAGAAACTCGCAGCATTTGTTTTGCAACAGATCGAGAATTCGCTGGAACAAACATCTCTGTAGAATGCCACGGATACATTGGCTCATCAATCAATCGAGTCACGGTGTATAAAATCTTGAATAAAATCGGTGCCGCCATTGAAGGTTCACGGTGTAAAAATGTTTCCAAAGCGATCAAACATAGTGATACAGTTTCTTCATCAAACATTTCAATCGCTTCATTACAATGTCCACATCGAAGTTTACAACCCTTTGAAGATTCCGAAGTTGGGGAACTTGTTGATTTTTTATGGCTTGCCACCGAACTTTTCTTTCGTTCAATACGTGGTTCAATGGAAGGTTCTACAATTGTTGGTTGCATCACTCGAATTGCCCCAACTTGCACCATTCCCTCTCCGGTTACTGTTAGCGATTCTGGTCGAATAAGTTCACCCGGCAAGTTATCATTGGGTTCTTCAACATTATCCCACGTGTCAAGATCTTGGCAAGGTTCTCCATCTGAACATTCGTGAACTTGATCTGAAAGTAATTCAGGTATTTTAAAAACCACCCAAAAAAGCACAAGATCAACTAACTCTGCAATGTTTTCACAACAATTCCAATTAATCGCACAATATTTTCACTGATCGGAAGTTGATCGAATCGATATTTATACAAAATCAGAATCAGCGATTGCAACCAAAGATGTCGTGTGTGTTGTGTGAGAAGAGCGAGCGAATAATTTGTCACATTTTGATCGGACGCCAGTTTTTGAGGGCTTGGGAGATGGATGAGAAGTTGGACGACGGTTGGGAGGAGTTGATTTCCAATGTGAAGATTCATGTCGAGAATTTCAGGAAGACCACTGACGAAAGCATTGCAAACTGCGGCTTTTCTGGAAAAAATGTATTGGAAAATTGAAATGTGAAAACGTGAAACGTGGCAGTTCTGAGAATCATTTCCAATTTTTTTCATTAAAAAATCAAAACCCCGAAAATTCTCTTTCAGCAAAAATCGATTAAAACACCACAATACTCCTAATTATCTTGAAATTCGAAAATTATCACCGAAAACCCGCCAAAAAATAGAAAAAATAAAAGTAAAACAACGACACTCCGCTAGCGGAACGCGCTTGCCTATTGTTTAATTTTCACACACACTGTTTGAACGAGCGGAGTGTCGTTGTTTTCTTTTTTTTTCAACTCACCTTAATCTCGCTGGAGGAATCGTGAAACATTTCTCAGTGCTGCTATATCCCAGTAGAGTATTAAAGTGTCGGAAAACCAGCGATTGTTTTTTCACATTCGCTTTTTCATCATTCGGAGTCGAGTTTTTATTGCTGAAATTTTAAGTATTAGGTACAAAAACCATAAATATCTATATATTTTTGAAAAAAAATAATTCTAACCTTAAAAACGTCACGAAAAGTGATACAACAAGATAAACAGTATGTCTTTCCGGATTTTCCATATCAACAACTCGATTGAACAATAGGCACATGTTACTTTCCTCATCGGTAAATTCGCGAAGTCTACCGTAACCTCCTGAAAATCACAATGTTTTTTGGAAATTTTTCAGATTGCTCATGTCAAACTGAAAATCAACCAAATTAGGGGGGTCAAACTAAGGAGGGGAACCCAAATTTTTTTTTTGAAATTTTAAAATTGAAAGAAGTTTAGAGAAGCATGCACCAAAAAAAGCTTGGAGGGGTGGGAAAAATCAATATTACCATGCCCATAGTTGGCCGCAACTGTTGATTGTGGAGACGAAACGGTTGGCAAATCATCGTTATTCGCTGGAAAAGGAGGACATGTTAGAGAGGAGGAGAAGCCAAAGGTGTGTTGTAAAGAAAAATGCGGGCAGAAAATATATAGGATAGAAAGAAAAATTTTGAAAAAGAGAGAAGTGTTATCATAACAAAAAAGCATAACATGAAAAAAAATTGTAGAAGTTAAAAAAATGAGCATGCTGAAAATATTATAGTGGTGCACGCACACATACACATCAAACCGGGTGTCGAAGAGACGACACCACCCGATGACGTCATCATTGAGACGAGTGACGCTGCACCAAATGCCACGTCAGCCGCCATCTCTCGCCACCGATTGACGACTCGAACCATCGTGACCACTTTTAATATTTTATCACGCGCTGAAATGGCGGCTTCGGAAAGTCGACCGCGACGTCGCCAGCGAGCAATCTTATGCGTTGATAAATGTATATCTAAAGTGTTGGTTTTAGAGTTTTAGGCTTTGGGCGAGAGCCCAAAAGAAGCGGGGAATATGATGGAGATTAGAAGAGGAGGAAATGAATAAATTAGATACACGACAAATAATCAGAATCAGTTTTTTTGTTTTCTGTACATAGATTTTTTGAAAAAAAAAATCCTAATAATCATCAGAAGGTAAGTTGAAACTTATAATATAACACACGGGGGTTAGATACAACAAATAAATAACAATTTTCATCAATGATAAATATCTGCAAAAATTTTTTTATAAAACATACCTGGATCAGATGGAAGATGGGCGAGTTGATGTTTCATTCCATCATAGCTTTTCAAGTGTCGAACAATTGATCGAGCTGTTTGCGCATTTTCAATTGATGTTCGAGCCTTGGAAACTTTTCTTTGATAGAGTTCAGACATTGGATCAGTGTGCATAAGATCTAAAGAACTTCTATTTAGATGTTTTATTTTTTTCCCCGAAAATGAAAATCTCTAACCTTGCACAAACATCGTATCCTCGGATTGACTACTCAATTGACTTTCTAACACCAAAGTTTCAAAGCGTTGAATAAAAAAATCAAAAGTGAGTGTAGTTTGATCAGGTAGAAGTGTCGCCAACATTGTAATCGCATGAATAATCAACGGACGATCCACTATACAATGATCAAATTGCGATTCGAAGCATAAACACATTAGTTTAAGAGTGTGACTTGGCATCGCGCGAAGTGCAATGATTGCTCTTTGAGCAACTGATGGATTTGGATCATGGAGGGAAGATATAAAATGATAGAATACCGAGCTTAGGCAAGTTTGCACAACTTTATTGGCTTTAACCGGCGCAGCTTTCATCATTTGCGCAATAACATATGCTTTTCCAACGGCGTCAAATCTCACATTCCATTGTGGCGAGGTGAAATCGCGATGCACCATCTTCCAAAACATTTCCTCGCCAGATGGCAGGGTCATTGCATGCAACAATAGATGCGTGGCAAGCTCACCAACTTGTATAAAATCTGATCGTAAACGTTCCCATAACTTGGGGACCATTTGATTTTCTTGTGTCCAAATGAGGAAGCCTCGATGCTCACGGCGTGCGTTGCTGAGAGCTTCGCAATGTAGACAGAGGTATTTCAAAGATGTCATACAGAAGAATTCAACATCCGGTTCCAAAACACTGTCAAGACTCTGGAAAATCTTTTTGAAAGGAATTTTTTTCGTTATTAACTCACCGAGAGCAATGAATGTATCATCTTCAACTGCGCCGGAAGGTTATCAAAACTAAATCTGAATCTTCCAACAGATGTCACCCAAAAATCACAATTCTGTTTCTGTTGCGGTGTAAGTGGTGTATTAATAATCTGTCCCTTGATACTCGGATGCACCGTAGTTGCAGTCACAACAGTTCCACTTTCTAGCACTGCATCATGAGTAACAGCTTCAGCCATCGCAACTTCCATCTCTTCAGCCGGCAAGATTCCCACAAATTCACATTCCTCGGATTCATCTTCAATCGCTTGCGCAACACACATTGTTTGCAGCCCAGCTAACAGTTGTTGATTTGGTAACTGTATCCCGGGTGTTGTTCCTTTCGAACCTCCTTCAGTTAACGGTGACATCATAGAACTTCCACCAAGAGTTGGCGAATTTTCCGTTTGCTCATCATAATTCACATCATCATCAACGGTTGTGATAATCGCAACTTCTCGTTTAGGACACACTTTTTGAGTTATATTCATGACCATCTGCTGGACAAATGCAGCTTGCTGACAAGCTGCAAAACATCAGTGGAACTCTCTAAATGAAAACCCAAACTTACGAGAACAATCAGCAAAACCATCCAATTCTGGATCATGACATTGATGAGGAGAAGCTCTGATTGGAATTGAGATCAAGAGCTGGATACATTCAAAAAGTCGATCGACAACACTGTTGGAACACGATCTTTCAACATCATTCAATCTCATTTGCAGAACTAGGATATCCACTAGAACTACGTGAACTGACATTTCTTCTTCTTCCAAATCATTTTCAGATAGTGGAGGGATTTCAATGGTTCGCAATCTGAAAAAAAAAACATGTTTTGGAGAGCTTCGGAAATTTTGAAAAATTTCTAAACTTCATCAGAAAAACTCACTTCAGGAGACATTTTGTGAAGTTATCCAGAACCATATTTAGAGGAACTGTGATATCCAAACGGGAAAGTTGCTGAAAATCAAGATCAGATTCTCAATCAACAAATTTTCTAACTAATATCTTACGTGTAACCACTGTAGCGCATTAAACATCTCATTATAATCATCTCCAATCATTCGATTCGTCATGAATTGAAAAACATCGATAGTTTCAAATGGAAGTGGACAAAGATCAGGCTCGAATATCTTTGACAACAAAACTTTGAGTTCAGGTTGATTGTCTTCTGTACAATCATTGACAATTGATTCCAGCCAAATTGGCATGACTTTACACCAGGTTTCAAGAGAAATCACATCATAGGGCATAAGTGCAAGCAGTCTGCCGAGTCCCTCTTTAATTCTGTCGATGTGTGGGCGACCATCGTGTTCTTCACATTCTCCGCAGAGCGAGGAGATGAATACGTTGTTGTGGACACGGATTGATACATTTATCCAGTCGCATACAAACTGGAAAAATATTAATGTTGATCTATAGTAATTTAATCTCAAGGTACAGCTAAAAATTGTTCCAAAAAATATTCAAAATTGTATGAGTCTACAGTACCTCTGGCATTTCTGCCTGAAAATTATCACTCAAGAAAAAGTGTGCCAAAAAAAGTTCCAAAAATTTTGATCTACAGTAATTCGGGATTAAAATTAAAAACTGATTCACACTCTGAAAGCCTGGCCCGGATTTGCTGGAATTGCAGATATTGCTAAAAATTTGAAGATTTTCAGTGCGAAACTCAAAGGTTTTGAAATTGAAAATGAAAATTTTTTGGCGCGAAAATTAAATTTTCAAAAAAGAAAAAAAAAGAGTTCACGTGGCACTTTTTTAGGTTCCAAAAAATTTTGATCTAATTTTTGGAACAATTTTTTAGGATACTGTAATTCAGAATAATTGGATCAGTTCGACCTCCGATTTTTAAAAATCTGAAAAATTGGATTATTTTTTAAATTGTTAGACATCTTAAAAACCTAGAACCCCCCGAACCCAATTTTAAAAAAAGTCCGAAAAACTGGATCACTTTTGAAATTGTCACAAATCCTGTAAACCTCAACCCCACCGAAAAAATTCCCAAAAAAAATCTCACATCAGTTTTCAATTGTTCCAACGCCGAACCCATCGAATCATTTGGTAAAAGTGCAGTTGTTGCAAACCACTCAAAAACATTTTGCATAATATATCCAATAGCTCTCGGATCAGCAGTCTCATTCGGCGGACAAAGTGCAGCCATAAGCCAAACACCAAATCGACTCAACATTCTTCTTTCATCCGCCATCTTGTCAATTTCCTTCCCCATCGATGTTCCTCCATCCAATTGTCTCAACCATTTCGGCTTCTTCCCTTCACCTTCTGATCCTTCAAACATCGTAGTTTCCCTCAATAACTTCACAATTGATTCAACAGTCGGCCACATATCATCAGTTCCCCAAACAATTCCAGTTCCCCAATGTGTTATATGATCCGATTCTTCTCCATGAACCTGTCCACTACAATCCAAACACAATCTCAACGGAACATGATTATGTGTTCGAGTGCATTCATGGCTAACACAAATTGTAACAGCTAGACGGGATTGTGATTGACAATCTTGTCGTTGACACGTGGCATTTGAGGCGGGCATCGGTTGAGCGAAATGTTGAGTTACAACTTTGCGCTCGCCGGTTACTTGCTCCGCACATTTTTTGCAGAGGAAAATTGGGGGAGATGTGTCAGCAACATCAGCACAAACTACTGGATCATAACATCTTTTCACGCTGGAAAAAAATTTTTTGAATTTGGTAGAGCAAAATTATGAATCAGAGAACTTCGCTAGAGTTCTTCGATTTAGAATTCCAAAAAATGTGGATCACTAAAAATAAATGAGATTCTGATTTTTGTAGATCGAATTTTTGAGAAAGTTTTTTCGATAGGATTCATCCTCCAGAAAATCGGCCCGAGTTTTTTCAAAAAAAAATCGGCCCGAGTTTTTTCATAAAAAAAAATCGGCCCAAGTTTTTTCAAAAAAAAAAATCGGCCCGAGATTTTTCAAAAAAAAAATCGGCCCGAGGTTTTTCAAAAAAAAATCGGCCCGAGGTTTTTCAAAAAAAAATCGGCCCGAGATTTTTCAAAAAAAATCGGCCCGAGTTTTTTCAAAAAAAAAATCGGCCCGAGTTTTTTCAAAAAAAAAATCGGCCCGAGTTTTTTTGTTGGATTTAAAAAAAATCGACCCGAGTTTTTCAAAAAAGTTTTTTCAAAAAAAAAAATCGGCCCGAGTTTTTTCAAAAAAATCGGCCCGAGTTTTTTCAAAAAAAATCGGCCCGAGTTTTTTCAAAAAAAAAAATCGGCCCGAGTTTTTTTCTAAAAAAAAAATCGGATCCACCCCCAGAACTCTTCTATCTAGAATCTAATTCACACATAGAAACTTCAAGCCCAGGTTTACTTTTTTTCAATTCCCCCCACAAACCTCGGTGCTTTATCTGTACATCCAGTTGATTGACAAATAACTGGTCTCCAAGCATGAACCCGATACTGAATAGTTTTCCGATGCAAAATTTGTGGATTTGGAAATGGCCAATAATGAAACAATAAATTCGCCGCAGCCACTCGACTCTCACAAGTTCCTTTCGCATTCACTTGCAACAAATCTTGATATACTTTCGGTGAACAATTCATCGCTGCTTCAATAATCCACGTATGCAAGCTAGGATCATGGGTTTGTTGCAAAACAAGCATGATAACTCCAGGGACACTTGATTTCACAAATGTTTCATTAGTGATTGCAAATGGGAAGACACAATCAGCAAGAAGATGGACGATCTGGAAATTAATTGTATCTCTTTTTAATCTTCTAGTTTTTCCTCCGAGGTTCTTTGACTTCAGAAAAAAATAAGACAAGTGATCCATCATTTTTTAAACCCTCCTAAATCTCATTCTTCCATACCTGCTTATCTAATTCCCTTGGAAAAACACCAAGTTGACTGGCTAATAAAAGAGGGAGTTGTTCCAACGAATCTCTTTCGAGAAATATCATCAATGCTTTGATTGTGTCAAGAATCGCTTCGCCGATTGCTGGAAAATTTATTTATTTTTTGAATAAAATATTGAGAAATAATTATTTTTCATTTTGGAAAATGATATTAATTTTTTTTGAAACGTAATTTTTCGGGTTAAAAAATCGGGTGATTTTTGTGATGTCTAACAATAAATTAAATTATAAAAAAAACAGGTACAGTTTTTCCGGAGCCTGGTAAAGCCTACAAATTTGGGCCAATTTTTTCGGACTTGTTCAAAAATAATTTTTTGGACCAGGAAATTCATAGTCTTTCTGAACTTTTGGTGTAATTTTTGAGGATCAAGCCCAGAATTGTGAACCATGAAAATTCAGAATTCCAAAACCTTCTCCGATACTTAAAGTGCCCAGATGTTCCCCCTAACCTTGTGGTTGTGTAGTTATCAACGGAAAAACATCCAACAAATTGACAATCGCATAATACAACGCCGAATAGTTCAAATTCGGATACAAATTCCATCTCGCCGCATCCGATGAGAACTTTTCGCAATAAAGTGTTTGATTCGATGGAAAATCCTTGAGAAATCTGCAAAAAAACATTCCATATTTTTTGTTTTTTGTTTTCTCATAACGACCCGTCGTTAAATTTTATTAGACTTTACATATTTTATGTGTGCACAACGCAAATTATCTCAACTCAACCCAGAAAAAATAAAATAAATTTTTTTTGAAGAAAATTTGGATTGACACAAAATGTTTCCCTTTGAATTGTTACTACTTTATTCTTTCTCCCAATTTTTCTTCACAAAAAAAGTCACAAATCAATTCACTTCCGGCAAAAATTCGAAATTCAAATGCGATGCGTCTTCCGGTGCCCCAAGATTTTTTGTATATATTTTTTTTTGTTGTCACCCCCCAAAAAAGAGCATCTCGAAAAAGTAGCAAAAGACAAAAAGAGAAGAAAAAAAGTTGATTAAAATTTAATCGAGAAAAATGCTCTTCCTCCATCAATTTAATTACTTCATTCATTATCGTTTCTTTTTTTTTTGTCCATTCTCATTCTTGTGGTGAAAAAATGTGGGGTAGTGAAATGTCACGCAATGTTGAAAAATGGCCAAAAACAGAAGGCATCTCTTCAAGAAATAGTGCACAACATGGATTTTTTTTTTGGATTTTCAGAAACCTTCTTGGCTCGGCTACTTGACAAGTCTGCTTCTAGGCGCTGATCCTTGAGGACTGGGCTTTCTAGGAGTTGGTCCTTGACATATATGTTTGCTAGGCGCGGTTTCTTGACAGCTAGGATCTCTAGGCTTAGCTACTTGACACTAGGATGACTTCGCAACACGACACAGAAGGGTTCAAGGAGTCGTACCTAGAAACAGCCGCTCTCAAGGCGCGGCTCCTTGCCAGACTGGATCTCTAGGCGTGGGTGCTAGACAATCAGGTTATCTAGGCTCAGTCACTTGAGAACTAGACTGTCTAGACGTGGCTTCTTGAGAACTAGGATGTCTAGGTTTGGCACCTTGACATAGAAGTTCTCAAGGCGTGGCTCCTTGGCAGAGTGTTTCTCTAAGCGTGGGTGCTAGACAATTGGGTTCTCTAGGCTCAGATACTTGAGAACTAGACTGTCTAGACGTGGATTCTTGAGTATTAGGCTCTCTAGGTGCGTCTTCTTGACGACTAGACTAGGATGTCTAGGCTTCGCACCTTTAAATAAAAGTTGTCAAGGCGCGGCTCCTTGCCAGAGTGAATCTCAAGGCGCGAGTCCCTTTCAGAGTCAATCTCTAGGCGTGGCTGCTAGACAGTTAGGCTCTCTAGGCTCAGCTACTTGAGAACTTGGGTTTGTAGACTGGACTTTTTGGAATAGAAACTCTAAAGGCGCGGCTCTTTGCCAGAGTGAATCTCTAGGCGTGGCTGCTAGACAGTAAGGTTATCTAGGCTCAGCTACTTGACACCTAGATTTGTCTGAAGCTCTTAAGGCTCCTTGAATCAAACAGCCTCTGATAAACTTTCAAATTGAAAATTTAGCAATTTTTCCTCTCACATCAGAAACCACGATCCTAGCCTAGATCCAAAAAAAACAAGAAATTTTCTCAAGGTTCCGAAAATCCACTTGTTTATCTGTTGTTTCTCTCCAACCCAAATTTGTCTGTGTTTGTGTGTGTCTATACGAAAACCTATGAAGCTTATTTGTTCATCGCCCAAAGAAAAAACACTTTTCTAATTAGCATCTCGTCCGGAAAAAATCTGATTAACTCTCAAGTGTACACACTATTTAGGCACCGAACTTTTTTCTTCCCTCAAAATCCCATTTTCTCCGAATTCTATTTTTCGAAATGGAATGGAGGAAAAAAAAAAGAAAAGAGATCCTCTTTAACGCGAAAAAAATGTATTGTCTTTCATTTTTTGAAGGACCCACTTTTACTTTCGAGATTTTTGTGGTGAGATAAAAGGGCGAGAGGAATTTATTTATTATTTTCTTTTCTCATCAGAGAAGTCAGCAATTAGCCATTTTTCCTCTGACAATTTCCTTATCATCAACTGATATTTCAAAGTAGAATACTTCATGAGCCAAAGCAAAGTGATACTCGAATTGTATAAACTCTTTCCCATTTTTGGTGAATCGAACAGCATCTGCGATATATTTTGCGTTGAATTGTCCAAAAACTTTATAGAAATTGCTAAGATCCAAAGCTAAAGGACGATCTTTGGGCATTTTATTATAATTAGCAATTCTAGCCTGGTAATATTTCTCACAAATATTGCATTTGAAATCTTTTGCTAGATTTGATTTCTTCAAGAATACCTTCGCTTCCTTAATCCTCTCTCCATTATATTTAACTTCAGCCGTAGTATTGGTACAAATATAAGGTGTCAACCAGTATAATTTCATGTCTGATTTCTTAAAATATCCCGTATAATGCCAAACATGGCTAAAATATACTCGACTCATTTCAAAAAAATAAAACTCCTCGTTGTCTTCAATCGCATCGGTCACCCAATTCACTTTCGAATTTTGCAAAACGTATCTATTGATATTATCGTTGAAGAATTCGAAATTCACTTTTTCTCTTTTATAACATGTTCGATATGGATAATGTTTCATCACATGAGTTCCATCTACCATAAGCTCCAACATTTTCCCTTTCTGGTTAACAACCCGCTCATTGATAATATCAATTTGTCTCTGAATCGTCATAACCGGCTCATATTTTTTATACGTCAATTCTTCATATTCTTTATCAAGAAGATTTTTCGGATACACAACAAAATTTTCCTCATCAAGAACTTCCACTTTTTTCAGATACTCTTCATTTATCTCAATACTCTTTGATATATTCTTTGATATACTTTCCTGATACTCTTGATCTACTTGACTATTCTCTTCTGTGCAATTGATTTCTCTACCTTTTGTCAATTCTTTTCTATTTATCGAATATTCCATTTGATAAAAATGCGCTTGACCGATTTTTATTAATATTTGATAATATGCATCTCCCCCATCTCTTTCAATATAGATAGCATTCTTGATTTCTTTCGATAAACCAAGAATCCTTGATTCTACTCTGCTATAATAAGCCCCTTTCTCATTGCAGAAATCAAATTCAAAGTTCTCCGAAGTCTTTGTTACAGATTTCATCAATTTTTCGGCCTCTTTCTCAGTCCTCGAATCCAATTGTATTTTAGCATCTGATTTGTGGTAGGCACATTTATAAGTGTTCAATGAATACAATCGCATTCTATCCGTCTCATGAATCACTCCCAAAAATCGAGATTTCTTTGCGTTAACCCATTCAAAACTATATATTATTTTACCTTCGTTTTCTTCTTTTCTTGCCCAAGAAACAGAGGCATTTTGAAATGTTTCGCTTCTCTCTGGATCGTTATTGTTATAGTACGTATAATTAGGTTTATCACCCTTACAAGTTATAACAACATCGTGTTTGCCATCAATTACATAATCCAAAAGATTTTTCTGTTTTCCATCAAGTTTTTCTTCGAGGAGATTTAAGAATTTTTTGAATTTTGTTTCGCGGTTCATAATTTCCAGATTCAAGTTCCTCAAAATCCCCCAAAACATCTCGAAAAGCCAGAATATAAATCAAAAATATGAACATTTTTCAATATTTTGGCTAGACACGGTCTTTTAAATCATGGAATTTTTTATGTGGCGGGAAAATTTTTAAGAAAACGTTGACTAGGAAAAATTCCACCCACCCCCCAAACATACCCAATCAAGGTTTGTTGAAAATATCGAAGAGTTGTGATAATTTCAGCATTCGAAGGTGGTTGTTGATTTGTGGATAGCCTGATTTGAAACTCCGAGAGTGTTCGGATTTTGGCGGAAACTGCAAAAATTCTTTTTTTTTTAGAAAACTCTGGAAAATTTATTATAACCCACATGTGTAATATTTCAATAAAAAAGCCATAAGATTTCAGATTTCATTTATTTTTTGTTTGTTTAGAAATAAAATAGACTAAAATTTTTGACCCAAAAATCTTGCACACACAAAAAATAGGCCACGCCCACCTCCCGCCGCCGGCTCCGCCCCACTTTTTTTGGAGCTATCATTTACCAACAAAAAAAGAAAGAAAGAAGCACTTACATGTTGCTGCTCGAGTTGTTGCCATTTTTAGAATATCCGAGAACTTTTTGCCATTTTTTCGAAAACTGTAAGAAGTTGGTTTTTGTGGGATTTTTAATTAGAAATAATAATGAATGAATGAGGAACACGTGGAGGCTTAGGTTTTTTACGCGGCGATTTTTTAAATTTTTAAATTTTAGTTTATTTTGGCTTAGGTTTTTTCTACAGTTTTAGGCTTAATTTTTTAGATAGTAAAGTACTGTGCGAATTCCTAATTTTTTAATTTTCTCATTAAATGTTTCTATTTGAAAAAATCATTTTTTAATTTATCTGAAAAATATTCTGAAAAATCTTGGCTCAAAAATTTTTTAAACAGAAAATAAGCTGCTTCTTTTGAGTTTGCTCAACTTTTCTAATATTAATTTTGTTTAGAAATTTTCGATTCCAGATTTTTTTTAATTCTAAAAATCTGGATTTTTTCTAGCTCTCTAAACATTTTTTCTCAAAATTCAATTAAAATTCCAAAACCAACCTCATTTTCAGAAAATCTATTTCTATTCAGAATCAGCCATAAAATAAAAAATAATACACTGATTTCTTTCAGCAGCAAGAAAAAACACGAGAGGCGGAAAAATTATTATGATTTTATTATTTTTTCTTCTTCAGCAGTGTATAATTAGAAGCGAAAGTGACTTGCGAGTTTAAGAAAATATATAGCTTCAGCATTTTTTATCAGTCTAATGTGAATTAGAGATCAGAAATTAATTCAAATGTTATTTATTCTAGAAAAAACTATAAACTATAAATTTAAAATTTCAAAAAAAAAATACAACAAAATTCAGTATTTATTCAATTCAAGAAAGACGCAGAACAGAAGACGAAGAAAAAAGGGGGACCACACCAATCAATAAGAGCCCGTGTATGTTGGCAAAAAAAAGAAGAGCTTTTTTTCACAAAAAGGCGAAGCATTGAAAAAAACATGAAAAAGAAGAAGAAGAAGTGTGTATATATTTACAATAAAATGTATTTATTTTCACATAATGTTTTTTTGAAAAAAAATGCCTACAGCTTGTAGATCAAAACACAGATATAGCCTGTAGATCAAAAAAATTTTGCGGGGTCAGAAAAAATACATTTTTAACTAAAATTTTTTCGGAAACTCATAAATTTTGAATTTTTATGCGGTGTCCAAAGCAGAAAAAAAAGTGAAAAAAACAGAAAAAAAACGTCCAAAGTTCGCGTGTTTTTCTTCATTTTTATAAAGGCGATGCAAACGGGTCTCGCAACGAACAGAGAAATAGTGTGTGTAAACGAGAGAAACAGACAGTTCGACTAAAAAATGCTTTGGACGTTATTTTTTTGTTTTTTTCGCTTTTTTTCTGCTTTGGACACCGCATTAGTAACCAAGTTTGCATGAAAATCTTGAAATTTTAGAATTTTTTTCAGACTCCAAATATGTTTTTTTCATTTTTTTCAAAAAACCAGATTTCAAATGACAAAGCTTTCTTATGGTTTACTGTAATTTTTACTGTCAAATTTAGACACGTGGCTACAGTAACCTTTTGATCTACAAAATTTTGAATTTCAATAACCTAAAAAAAGGAAAAAAAATCAATTTCCAACAAAAAAATCGCAAAAACTTCCTCTCTCCTAAAATCCAGAACAAATAAAACATGGAAACACTCTCTTTGCTAGCCTGCGGCCAAATTCAAAATCCTCTGGGAATATGCACTTTGGGTCCTACAACGAAATGAAACATTTATTGCAACGAAAAAAAATGTGGGAACATGATAAAATTTAAAAAAGTTTTTTTTCAGCTGGTCAAGCAGCTGAGAACTTCCACATTTATAGCAGAATTGTCGGAATTTGTGTAGATCCATTTACCTGGAAGAATTTATTATTATTTATATTTTCAAAAAAAAAGTCATCCAAACCTTTCTGACACGTCAATGGAACTTCTTTCGACGAATCGCCAAAATCAAAACTATATTGATATGTATTTGATATTTTCAGAGAAACTGAATTCGCTGCGCATTTTACATTTATCGCTGAACACGCATAATATTCATATTGATCGGATAATTCCAAGTTGGCACAATTCTCACAGTTCACCAGATATTCTGGAGGTGTTGTGCAAGTTTGACAATCGCTTTCAGTTTCTGGGATTTTTTCTGTTGTTGGTTTCAGAGTTGAGGATACTGTCTTTAAATTTTGGTTTTCATTGGAGCCATAATACGTTCGGTTATCTGGAAAAATTATGTTTTTAAAGTTTTGAAAAAAAAAAAAAAATTGCATCGACCGGGAATCGAACCCGGGCCGCCCGCGTGGCAGGCGAGCATTCTACCACTGAACCACCGATGCGACGAGAAAACCAGTTCAATTTTCCTTGACTATATCGATGTGTTCGTGTTTTTTTCGTTTGGCTGACCTGTATAATAATTATTGATATATCGATGATGATGATTTGTGGTAGTTCCAAATGCTCTACTTGGTCGATGTGGAGCACAGCCAAAAGTTACAGAAACCAAGAGAATCAAAATCAGAATACAACACATTTTGAATTAGGTTTGAATGAAGATTGAAAATGAAATGAAAGGAGAAAAAATAATTACGTAACAAAAATTTGCATAATTATGGTCATTGTTTTCCTCAAGTTTCAATAATTTCCATTTCGATGACTGCCGAGTTTTCCGGTTTTTTATTGAGTGAATTTATTGAGGTGGTTGGCGTGGATAATGGTGCACCAAACCAGATTTCCTGCAAGTTTTTAAGGCAACCTTAATTACCTTAAACCTTAACAACCCTAATAATCACCTTTGTAATATAAATAACCATAACCAACCACAAAAACAGCAAAATCCATCCAAGATAGCAAATCTCTTTATCTCTTCGCTGACAAACTGCTTCAGAAGCACATTCCATTTCAAATCCAAAAAAATACTAAAATAACATATATACAAAGAAAAACTGAACGAAAAATAACAAAAAAATACACCTGTTTTATTGGGTCCCAAAGAGCCTCAATTATTTTTCGTCTTTGAAACGCAAAAAAAATGAAAAAAAATTCGTGTGGTTGTATAAAAAAAGGTTCGGCGAGTAGGAAAACATGCATTTTATGATTTATGGGATGAAAAACAAACATTTTTTGGGTGATTCAGTCAGAAATTTATGAATATTGAGGTTCAGGAATGTTTTTATAAGGTTTTGTTGATCAGCCTACAGTAACCATGAAATTTCGAACAATTTTTGGGGTGGCCTAGAAATGAGATTTTTTGGTGGCCTAGAAATCCAAAGAGATTTTTTTGGTGGCCTAAAACTCCAAATAATTGATTTGGTGGCTTAGAAATCCAAAAAGCATTAAATTTTCCTGACATTCCGAGAAAAAAAATGTTTTGATGGCCTAGAAATCCAAATTATTTTTAGTGGCCTAGAAATCCAAATAATTTTGATGGCCTAAAATTCCGAAACATCTCCTGATGACCTAGAAAACCAAATAATTCTGATGGCCTAGAAATCCAAAAGCTCTAAATATTCCAGACATTCCGAGAAAAAACATTTTGACGACCTAGAATAATTTTTGGTGGCCTAGAAAATTAATTCCAAATTTTTCCTGAAAAATTCATATCTCAAAAAAAACGAGAATTCAGCATGGTACAGATACATCATAATAATCAAATCGACAAAAAGAAAAAAAATGGTTCTCACAATTTCAGAAAAATAGTACACAAAAGGGAAAAATCACCAGGTTTCAAGGATTAGTAAGAACAAAAAAAATGGGGGAAAATTGGGGGAAAGGCTTTTCGTCCGGCGAAAACACCTTCAAAATACAAATCATTTCATAAAACATGTAAAAAGTTTGGAATGAAAAAAAGGGGGCAAGATTTAGAACCTAAATATTACTGTAGACAAAAATGGGGAGGGGAAAAGACTAGGTTAGCGTGTTCTACAACTTCTAGAAAAATAAGAAAATATATTGAAAATAATATTACACAGCTTGACATATTAGAGTGTATGTATATATATCGAAAATGGTACAAGATAGGATAGAAATGTATATATATTTTGTGTGAAAAATGGGTTCCTAATTCATTGGATGTGGTGCAAATTGTTGTTGTTGATGAAGATGATGCTGATACATCGGATGAACTTGTTGAGCAGCAGCAGAAGCTTGCTGTTGTTGCTGTTGATAATAATTCATCATTCGTGGATCCATCATTGTTGCACCTCCTTGTTGATATCTGCAATGATTTTGGTTAGAAAACTAGAAATGAGAAATGAGTTCACGTGGTAAAATTAATTTAAATTTATAAATTTTTCATTTTTTTTATTTAAAAAAAAACTCATAATGAGTTGTGTTAACTTTTATGAATTTTCAGAGCCCAGGAAATTTTCAATGAAAATTATCAGAAAGATCCCAAGTTTCAGCAGAAATCTAGATTTTAGGCTAAAATTCAGAACTTTCAATCATTGGGATTACTTCAAATTTTCTTATTTCAATCTGAAATTTTGGTTTTGAACCATCAGTAAAAAGGGATAATGATTGAAACAATATTGGATTATAACAAATAATATGAAAATTTTGAAACGTATTTTTTTTATTTTTGAAAACTAGAAATGAAAAATAAGTTGGTAAAATTAATATTAAATTTTAATTTTTCAGATTTACACAAAATTCATAATCAATAGCATTTTTTCAAAGCCCAGGAATTTTTAATTAATTTTAGCGGTAAAACTCCAAATTTTCAATAAAAATTATCAGAAAAATTCCAAGTTTCAGCAGAAATCTAAATTTCAGGCTAAAATTCAGAGGTTTTTCAAAAAAGATTGCTTCATATTACTTTTCGACTTTTTTTGAAGCGGTTTTTAAATTTTCATAATTTTGTATTGATTAAAAAATGAACTTATTCAGGTCCGATATATTATTGAATTTTTGTGCCAAATTCTCAAATTTTCAATAAAAATTATCGCAAAAATACAAAATTTCAGCAGGAATCTAAATTTCAGATTTTTCAAATTTTCGAAATTTTTTAGGCGGGGAATTTTCTGCTTTTTTTGAAGGAAAATTTCCAACTGAAAATTACAAGCTTCAATTTTCATTCTAATCAATTTTTAGCCGGAAACCAGGGCTTTTCAAATTTCCAAATTTCCCACCCCGGAAAAAAATCTTACCTCATTTGTTGCATTCTCATATGATGCATATATGCCTGTTGTTGTTGATTTTGTGCTCCATATGCTCCAGCTCCATTTGAATACATTGCCTGTTGTTTCATATAAATCTCTCGTTGTTGCTGTTGCTGCTGAAGAAGCATTTGCTGTTGTTGCTGTTGCTGTTGCTGCAAATGAAGTTGATGCTGCTGAAAAATATTTGATTTTATTCATTATCTTTTTTTTCCTCTTGAAAATTCCTACCTGCTCAGCATCCGAAAATCTCGGCGGAACCGGTGTACTCGAAAACATCGGCGCTCCCATTGGCGACGACGAGCAAGCTGTCATATCGGTGAAGAACTCGTCAAAAATATCCGGCCCAAGATCTTTGATCTCATCGCGATCACATCGAAATTCCGATTCGGCGGCGAGGAAATCCACATTTCCCGGCGTCGGCAAATCACTCAAATCATCAATTGCCTTAGGCGGTGAGGATCCACAGAAATTCACATGATCCGCAGAAGTTGATGGTTGGACTGGAGCTGTGGCGAGGGTGGGTGGACTCGAATGATTTGGAGCAGCAGGCGGAGCAGGTCCAGGTGTTCCAGGAGTTGAAGATGTTGTTGCTCGCTGCATTTGTTGCTGCTGCTGCTGTTGCATCATCAAAAATTGTTGATGTTGATGATATTGTTGCTGCGAATGATACGTAGATGGTACCGGCCCCATCCAATGATTCAATTGTTGCTGTTGTCCTTGTCTTTTCGCCCATTCGTCTTCCATTTCAGTTGTTACTCGTCGTTTTCGATCGGATATTTGTCGAGCGACTGGAGTTGTTGAAACTGGTTGCTGATAGGCTTCTTTGGCTTTGTGCGACTCGAGTCGTTTCCTCTCCTCGTCTTCTCGATATCTGAAGAATTTATGAAATTTAGGAAATTTTTAAGGAAGTATGAACATGTTTTTTCATTTTTTTTTTTTTAGAAATTTAGAAAAACAAGAGGGAATTTAAACAATTTTTGGCGTAATCAACAGATAAATCTTATAAACATTAATTTTGTGAATAGTTTGAAACAGTGTGACAGTTTTCTCAAATAATTCGTATTCTTCTGATTTCAAAAAATTATTTAGAAATGAACTATCAAAATAATTTTTTCTGTAAAATTTTCAACATTTCATTGAAACGTAAATTTCGCGGCTTTTTTGAGAAACAATTTTTCGAACCAGAAAAATTGATTTTGTAATTTTACGGAATAACTCTTCGAACAAATTTGACTTTTTTTTGATTTGGTGAATTTTCCAAAGTAAATTGGGTTAAATAGGTTTTTTTTTCCAATTTGTTTGATAGAAAATAGTTTCCTGAAAAAATCAAAATAATAAATAATCTTTTCTGTAAACTTTTCAACATTTTATTGAAACGTAAATTTCGCGGTTTTTTTTTGAGAAACAATTTTCAGCCATCAGAAAGTTTTGTGGTTTAAAATATCACAAAATTAAACATTCAAAACCATGTGAGCATGGCAAAAGTTTGCTCAGATGCAACCAATGCTTCTTTTTGGTCAAAATCAATACAAGACAAATCTTTGAACGAAATTTGTCTATTTTCAGTAGAGTCCCGAAAACAAAACTAACTTATGAAAGAGTTGCGCGGTGGCCATTCGACTCTCGGCAATAATCGACGGCGCTTTTTCTCGATAATTTCGTTCCATATTTTCCGATTGTCTGATCATTGCATCCATCGCTGTCTCCAGACAATGTTCATCGCTTCTCATTCTGAAAATGAAATTTCTATGTGTACTTCTCGAGGAATTCACTATTTTTTACTCACGGTTCTTCCTTGGGGTCCGGCAACGCATCATTTACATATTGTGCTGATTTTTTATCCGCCGATGTCGATGCCTTCATTGCACCAACTGGCGATGGAGTTCTGCAAAAAAATCAATTGTGACTTGAGAGAAAGGGGGCAAGGTGATAAGAAAATAAACGATCTATAATCACATGATAAATTCTGAAGTTACAGGAACTGACCAAAAATGTTCAGGCATCAAGGAAGAAAAAGACAAAAACAAATCACTTGGGCACAGCAAAAAAAGATTTTGCTTCAAGCTTCAGACAAATAACAACACCATTTCCAAAGTAATTACGTTCTCCATGTTTTTCCGAAGAATTCCCTCCCTCCTCTTTCTTTTTTCCAAATAAGAATGTGTCAACAACAACTAGTAACTCTTTTACGACAACACAGCACAAACCAAAACAATACATTCATGCAGTCGAAAAATAATAGAAAAACGAACGGACGAAGGGAGCTCCGAGGAGCTGCTGAGGAACACACACAAGTAATGGCTCACAAAAATAACAACTATAAAAACAACCCTATATATTTTGAGAGTGTGTAGTATATATATATATATATATAGATTTTGATGTTTTGATGAGTTGTGGCTTGGCCAAAACAACAAATTTCGGAGAGATTTTTGCCGGAAACTAACTTGTTTTTGTCGATGTTATTACTATATAGTCTTGGGTCAAAAGGTTAGAGACGCAGAGTGGTCGGAAAGTACAGGAAATTTTCGGACTGCAAAGAATGTGACAAAGGAAATAAAAATTGCTGGAAAAAAAGTCTATACAAACAATCAATTCAAATAGAAACATAAAAAAGATCATAAATTTTCAGTTTGGAAAAAAAGAGTGATAGAGAATGCTATAATTATAAAGTGCACGTCATTTTCCAAGAAGAGAGAGAGAGAGACACACAGAGTTTGGATAAAATGAGCAATGCTCTATTTTCTAAGCAGGTTATCTATATTAAAGATCAGAATCTATCGAAAATTGTTTGCAGAATGAGAGTGCGGCTCGACGTTCCTCTCTTCTTTATATATAAATATATACAACATACATATAAATATATTCAAAAAGTGGAACACACACACACATAGAAAATCGCAAACACAAGAAAAAAGAAAGCAAGCATCATCATCATCAGTAGAAGAGAGAGAGAAGAGTGTGGTTAGAGACGAAGAAGGTGCAAAAAAAACACAGAAGAAGGGAAAAGGAAAGGAGCGCGGCATAACCACACACACTATAGATACACGAAAAAAAAACACAATCGACGGCCAATTTCTTTCTCTGCTACTCTAGCTCTCTCTCTTTATTACTTTGTATCTTCTTTTCTTTTTTTTTCAAAAAAAAAAACAACAACTAACAGCAAAGGGCGATTTTTCTGCTTTTCTCGGAGATACAAAGAAAAAGAGGTGCATGAGATGGCTCCGAATTAGGAAGAAAGACGGAAAAGTGGTAGAAGTGCAAAAAAATGGCCGCCTAGACAAACTAGGAGTGTACTATTATGTGATGATCAGTTTGAAAAGGGAAACAAAGCGGAGTGCGAGAAATTTCCAGAGATTCTGGGGCCGAATTTATAAATGTGGTGGTATACATGAGATCCGGACGAATTGAACATCTGACTTACAAAATGTTTATAGTTTGAACCCAAAATAGTGTGTGAAACGAGAGATTCAGACAGTAGATTACAAAAATCGCACTGATTAGGATGATAAATACCATATTTTTGATTTCGACCCCCATACGGTGTCTAAATCTCTCGATTTACACACTACCTCGGGTTCAAACTACAGACATTCGGTAGGTCAAATGCTCAAATCGTCAGAATTCCATCCACGAATTGAAAAATTGATCTCGTTACAAAATGTCTGTAGTTTGATCGCGAGAAAGCTAGTCAACAGATAGTGGATCAACAATTCCACTTGAAATATATATATCTAGTTTGAACGGATGAAATTGGAAAGATCCAGGGCTCAGACTAGACTGTAGTGGAACAGACAGCAACGTCATCTGATTTTTTAGCAAAAACAAAACAAATGAAACAACACGAGGTAACAAGGAAGAAAATGAAAACAGACCGATCTATGACTACGAAATGAATGAATGGAGAAAAAACCGGTCGGCGGAGGCGCGCGCAATCCGAAGAATTTCCTACCAGATTCAACAACTAGCGAAAACCAATATATGACAAAACAATAACAGAAAAAAAGAAAAAAAGATAGAGATATATTCATATTCATATTATTGTTGTTGTTATAAACAACAACCACATAATAATATCCTTTTCCTTTTTCTTCTTTCGCTGACCCATTTGACTCCCTATTGGTTTATTGTAAATAATGAAAGAAATCGAGAATTTTTTTCCTTGGCAATATTTTTTCGCGTGACACGACAAATCATATTAATTTTGATTTTTTCCATCGATTTTCTCGCGGGCAAAAAACTCCTACACATTTGAAAAAGACCATTGATTATGATGATGAGAATCAGAAAGAGCAAAAAAAATGACATGAACGTTGTGGATCATAAAAAATATATATGAGCGGAGAAGATAAATTGGTCGTTTGGACAAATGTTCGACATCGGGGTTCAAATGTTCGAGAATCGGAGCGATCGGAGGCGGAGTGGAGGACTAACGTATGGAACGGATGGAGATGAGGCATTTTTCGGCTAATTTTGAAGTTGGACCTGATTTTCGAGATCGGAACAGGATGAGAAAAAAGCATCCATAATATGAGCAATCTCTTAAAAATGAGGAAGAAATGCCCAAAAAAATCTATGACACGGGCTATGCGCTAACATTTTGCTAACATGAGCAATAATCAGAAACATCCCCCTAACCTGAGCAATGCTTGGAAATCCTCAAACATGCCCAAAAAATCATCCATAATATGAGCAATGCTCAAAATGATTTTAGAAATGTCTCAAACATCGGAACTTATCCGATTCCTGTTCAGTGTGGTCCCAAAAAACTCACAAGCATCATTTCTCAGCAAATTTTTTTCAGAAATGCCTATCGAGGAAAAGAATCTCTCACGTGAACACGTTTTCTATTCCAAAAATAATTTTTTTTCAAGAATCGTCAGGAAAAATGCTAATTTTGCAGAAACAATGAAAATCTGTATCATTTTCACTAACAACTTCAAAATCCTGATAAAACTCCGCCTTCTAACCATGCCCAGCATCTTCAAGCCTCAACTTTTTTCTCCCTCCTCGTTTTTCAGAATAATGTGTTTTCTTCTTCTTCCGATATGAACCATGTCACGTTTCTTCGAAAAGAAAAAGAAAATGAAACGCGAAATTTATTGGCAGATGGAAAAAGCGAAAAAAAATGAAGAATCGTTGTGGTTTTGATTTGTTTTGTTTTGTTTTGTATATATGTATGTACAACATTTGACGAAAATAATATGAAGAAATAGAAGACAACAAGTGTGTGGGTGAAACATTGAAAAAAATGCGAATTTTTCAAAGTGCACACAAACAATGAGCAGATGAATGTTGCTAGGAACAAAAATATATTGCAACCAACAATTATGATGGAAATTTTTTTAGAAGAAAAAAGGGGGAAAGGTGACATCATAGGGAGCTTTTCTGAAAAAGAAGAGAGTTTTGAAGCGGTCTGAAACTACAAAGCTCAGCTCATAATATGAGTTAAGACGTGGCAAAGTTCGAAAAGCTCGAAAAATTGGGACTTTTAGATTTTCTGAAATGATTTTCGTGAAAAAGTAGAGAATTTTCCAACGTTGCCACGTCATCATATTAGGATCCAAGCTTTCCAGTTTTGGACGACAAATTCTGCCTAATTACATACATATTTACACAAAAAAGTAACCTCCCTCGCTCCCCCAACAACGCGAAAAGCCCCAATCAATGAGTCATAACTGTGCTGCCCAAAGTGCCGCTTGCTTTTGAATATTTTTCCTATCGTATTTACAGTATCCCTACTCCCCAAGAGACTCCACTTTTTCTTGTTGATTGTTATTGGCATAGAATTATTGTATTCCAAAAAAAGGGCATCAAAGAAAAAGTGTGCAAAAACAGAAAAGAGAAGCAATATGTCTTTTTTTTGGTCGCTCAAATCCTATGGCAAGTTAGACTAACTAAACCCGTTGTGAGAAGAAGAGGAAAGGAAATTGAGGTGGAAGAAAAGGTGATGACAACCGGTGAACCGGTATTTGGAATTTCGAAAAACGAGAAGAAGAAAAGGATTAGATGGTTGGTATGAATATATTATGAATAAATACAATCAAATGAAACATTTCATTTCGAATGAGAAATTGAATCAACAACATGTGACTCAAAATTGAAAGAGTTACGGTAACTGCTTGGGATGAAGCTGAGCTTAGAACATGCTTTATAGTATTTTAGAGGGACACATAACAATCCTCTGATCAAAAACCGCAAATCTCAACTCTTAATATAAGCTATGACGTGGCAAAATTGAAGAGAGACTTCTAGAAGGTCTAGAATTGACTTCTAAAATGGTTTTCATGAAAATCTGATAATATAGCGTTGATCAGAATGCTCGACGAAAAAAATAAAAGATATATACGGCCGAACTATTTCGATGGCCGAGAAATGTCGGGAATTCGGCCAAAGCCACAAACACGTTCCAACAATGTTAGAGCGAGTTTGTTGTTTTGGTCGAATTCCCGACATTTCTCGGCCACCAAAATAGTTCGGCCACGTGTATCTTTTATTTTTTCTTCGAGCCTTCTGATCAACGCTATGCTATCAGATTTTCATGGAAAATATTTTTGGAAGTTAGTTCTAAACCTCATGAGGTCTCTCTCAACTTCGCCACGTCATAGCTCATATTAGAAGTTAAGCTTTGCAGTTTTGACAAAGGAATCATGACCAGCGTGTCGAAAACTACTGGAAAAATTCTCTACAGAATCTTATACCATAAAAATAAGAAGAACAAATAATTCTACAAAAATTCAATCGAACACCTGCCACAGGCATAAATTCTTGACTTTTTTATTCAGAAATTCCTGTCGCAGAAAAAACAAATTCTCGCGTGAATAGGGAGGCGGGATTTATTTGGCAAGGTGCGGCACGTTTTTTTCAAGCAAAAATTATTTCTGATTTTTTGCATTTCGAAATTTAGTGAAGAAAAAAAAAAGAAATCGAAAAAATTATTTAAAAAACGTGAAACGTGTAATCGTGGCAGGGGGCGGAGCCGACAGGAAAAAAAGTCAGAAATTTATGCCTGTGCCTGCAACACAGCTGCCTATTCTATTTATTTCTTCCACCCCAACTTTTTTCTGTAGATGACCAAAAGAGTTTCAGAGACCAATACACAAAACAAAGTTGAATATTAAATAAGGTTCCAGTCTCTTCTCTCTCTCGCCCGTTTTTGCACTTTTTCAGAAAAGGGGTGTTCTGTTTTCGCTTCCTTCCTTCCTTCAAATATTTTTAGTACACGACTCGATTTTCTAGAAGAAAACAAAACAAAACAGAAAATGTTGTTTTGGATGGACAATTATGGTGTCAAGAATTGATAGAGAGAGAAAAAGTTGTTTGATGCTTTGGGTGAAAAAAAACACAACTAAATAATTACTTACTTATAAAAAGTGTTTACAAAGGAAAAAGGGGCCAAAAAAGAACACCTGCAGAATGTGAGGAATGAGTGTTTATAAGAAAGTAGCAAGCAGGCAGAGAGGAAGGAGACATATTTATTGTATAACAATAAAGATGGACGGTTTGCAGGCAGGGGTAATAAATGAGGATTTGTTGTTTTGGAGGTGGATAACTAGAACTGCAAGACTGCACAAATACAGGTCAAGAAAACATGAAGGCTGGAAAATTATTCAGAAAGAATTCTAGCTTTAAACTTCAGGAAAAGTCTGAATCTTTCTAAACAATCCCAGAAAATCCACGTCATAGCTTCTGCAAATCCTAACAAGATCCTCTAAATATAATTTTCAAATCAAAAAAGTGTGGCGAAATAAAACAGTAAGTACAAAATGTCTCCTCGTTTAATTGGTTCCGTTGAAATGTATATTAGAGATACGAACAGGTACGAAGAAGAAAAAACTATGAAAGGTCAAATTAACAAGTATTTTGTGAGGAGGTGAAATATTATTTGGAGAATTGGCGGGATTTTTAAAAACATTTTCTAGTTTTTAGCGTTTTCAAGAATTTATCAATTTTAGATGACATTTTCATATATTCTGAGCAAGCGAGTTGCGAAATTGGGTTTTAAACTCATTCCCAGCATAGACAGGCCTAAGACGATTCAAATGATATAAATTTTTATGATTTCACGTTACCCATAAGCGATTTTGAGTCAATAAGTCGCTAAATCACTTATGGACAACATAAAATTATAAAAATTATATTATTCGAATTGTTTTAGACCTCCAATATTTCAACTCAATTGCTAAAAAAACATGAAAATATCATTTATATTTAAAACTAGACTGTAGTTTAACAAAGTAAAATCTCACCTTTGCTCAACAACAATAAACTTCTTCTCACCAAACATCATATTTCTGGCAAAATATTCATCTTCATCGATCATTTCTACATCTATCTGCGCTGGATAAAATTGGAAAATTCTGTAATTTTTCTCTACTAATTGTAAAAAATATACAATTTATTCGGGGAAAATCCACCGATTTCTTCTCATTTTCAAATCATTCAACATCAAAAAACAAAACAAAAATTTAATTAATTAACAATTTAACAATGGATATTGACATGGATCTGGTAGAAAATTACGACAATTTGGGCAGATTGAATTCAGGCAAAGCCATTTTGATGCACACTGAAAAATTTTAAAAAATATTTTATATTTTCACAAAGCTTTTTCTTCAAAAAACTGACCTCTGAATGATATTTTCTTTCACATTTTTTGCACTTTGTGCATTTTTCAATTTCTTCGATCAATAAATCGGAACAAATCAGGCAAATATAGTCATTCTCTTCGACTTTTTCATTTTCAAATTCGAAATCGAAATCTTCATAAAACAATTCCTCAAGTTCCATATTCTTCTTCAAAAATTCCTCATATTTTTGCATAAATTCTCCTGAAAACCCAGCTGGAAAATCTGGAATATTTTCCCAATTTCCATCAAAATCTTCCAAGATTCTCGAATAAATGTTGAATTTTCTGCGAAAACTGATAACTTCCGATTTTTCTTCGCAAGTTTCGTGAATTTTCTCGATGAGGTTATCGAATTTTAGGATTTCTTGAATTCCTTCTTCTTGTTCTTTGAAATCTGATTCTGATTCTGAATCGAGAAATAGTTGTTCTTCTCGATGCTCGTCAACTTTTTGGCAAATTTCAGCAAATTTTCTAGAAGCATTTTCCAGCTCCAATTCCAATTCTTCATTCTCCTTCTCCAAATTTTCAATAATTTTTTGCTTTGAAATCTCAGCGTTTTTCGAAAATTCCAGTTCGATTTCAATTTTCTTCACATTTTCATCAGCGCTGAAAAAAAGCATAGGTAAAATATTTCAAAATTTTCAACTAACATTTTCGTTTTCTGTTCCAAATCGGAATACAAAAAATCTCGTTCATTTTTCAAATCCTCTCGATATTTCTTCATTTCTTCTTGAATACTTTCAATTTTCCCCTCATTTTTCTCCAAATTTTCCTTATATTTTTGCACTTCTTCTCGATATTTCACCTTATTTTGCATATTTTCCCCCTTCAATTTCATAATTTCCCCCTCTTTTTCTTCTAAAATCTTGCGTCTTTCAATATTTTCAATTTCAGATTCCTCAATTTTCTTCGAAATTCCATCCTTTGCCTCGCAAGTTTCTTCGCATTTCCCGCAACTTTCAACATTTTTAATTTCATTCACAATTTTCTTGATAACTTTTATATTCTGCTCCTCATTTTCCATAACATCTCGCTTCTTTTTTTCCGAAAATATCCTTGATCAACACTTGCAACATCACAATATTCATGAAGACATTCAACCAACTTATTATAACTATTCATTTCAGACATCAATAATACCATTTTCTCTTTTTCGTGCTCTTTAAACGAGTTCACAATTGTTTCTTGAACTTTATCCGCAAATATTTCCATTGGGAAAAATACACCATCCGGAAAACCAGCCAATATTTGCCTAAAAATTTTAGAATTTTTTGTAAACATTTTTTTTTGAAGTCTTTTCACAACTCACGGAATCAAAACTGAAATTTTATCAAAAATATCTAGTCGACCTCGATTTTCACGTTTATTTTCACGTGTATTTTCTTGTATAGAATCTCCAATTTTATCATCATTCTCGAATAAATAATGTGATTCCTTGACTTCATTCAAATTGTGAAATGTTGTTTTGCAATAATCAATAAAAAGTTGCATTTTTGGGAAATTGATATATTGTTGATTGAAGAATAAATCTGAAGATTTTGCCCAATTTTCGAAATCCGCAACTTTTTGCAGTTCAATGAATGGGAAAGCAAAAGTGCAGCCTTTCAAAATATTCGATTTCAGCTGGAAAAAAAATGATTAATTTTAATTCACTGAAATCCCACTGAATAAAATATACCTCTTGCTCATTTTGATCTTCAAAAAATTTCTCAACCCAATCCAAAATAACAACAGCTCTCGCCTTCCAAATTTCAATTCCATTTTCACTTTTCAAAAACTTCCTGATATTTTTTCTCGGTTGAATATACTTCAACAATTCTTCTTCCGCCAATTTTTCATCAAAACCTTTCGAGTGAAAATGAGACAATGGAGTTTTGGCAGCGAGCTCCGAATTTTTCACATTTTCCACATGTTTTTCAACAATTTCAGCCAAAGTATACCCTTTTTTGATATTTTTCATCTCTTCAATGATTTTCTTTTTCTGCCGTTTTTTCTTTTTCTCATTTTTCGAATTCCAGAAAATATCAAAAGCACCGAATTGAAAAATCAAAAATTGTGCTTGAAATTGATGATAGCACTTTCCACTTGTAAATGAATCAATTTCAATCGCAGAATATGTCATCATAACTGGATTAATGGTGGTTTTTAATTTGAATTGAAAATCTGGCACCAACAGGAAGTTTGATTTGTCGATTCCCAGGGTTTTCAAAAACTTTTCGAATATATTAACAGGAATTATAGAAAAATTTCCTTTTCCATTACTCGTATTCCATTTTTTCTCGAATTCATCCAACTTCATTTTCATATCTTCTAATTTTCCATCTTTTTTCAATTGAATTTCAATAACTTCCAAAACTTCATCAGTGAATAAATGCCATTCTTTTCGATCTTCAATATTAACTTCACTCATAGTTCTTAAAATCAATTTTTTTGTCTTCTTTCTTATTAAATTGGATATAGTTTTTTAAACTTTGCAAAGGAGCAAATGCAAATTGAAACATTGTTCGAGCCAAAATACAAATTCCGGAAAATTCCCTTAAATCTTCTAATTTTTCAACAATTTCTTGCAATTCTTTATGAAATTGTGGAGAATATTGATCATGTGGAAAGATATATTGTGATAGAGCTGTGATACTTTCTGGATTATATTCGTATTCCAACTGGAACTCTGAAACAATTATTTTATTGTTATTTAACTTGACAAAAAATAACCTTACCTTCTTCAAATAACTTTAACACTTTTTTCCGAAAACATTTCAACTCTTCTTCCGTCATATAGAAAAACTTCAATTGAAGTTCGAGATCGGCAATTCGTTTTTTTTCAGCTTTCCAAATCAATGAAAGTGCAGATTTGTGTTGAGGATAACATTGGAACAATGAATCATATATCAATTTGAGGCACATATAATTGTGAGAAATAATCGATCCATCAGCGAGCTGAATCATATGCGCATGCTTATACTCTCCAAATCCTTCAAACTCGGTAAACACGATAGATTCCATGATTTCGGCTGGAAATTTGGGATTGTTTTAATTTTTTTGTTTTTTTTTCGAAAAATATACATACCGTAGTTTTTTATTAAAGGCGCATTGTTTTTTTCCAAGTTCCTTTGATTCGATCGCGACGAGACCTATGAATGTGTGCAATGCTCCTTGAATACGGTAATCATTATTTTAAATTTTTTCTTTTTTTTCCGTTTTTCTTCGTTTGGAAACCGAAATTCAACACATCCGTCAATTATTTCAGGTTTGAAATGAGCGAATTCAGAATTCCATTAACTCCTCACATTTTGGTAGCGCTCCTAGAGCGATATATTCCCAAAACGGTAAGATTTTTTCCGATTTTCCGGTTAAAAATGTTATCTCTTTTTACAGAAGCTATGTCAAAGCGATAAAGATTTAATATTGAAATATGAAGAGAATTTCGAACCATTGAAAGTGCTCACAGAAGTTCTTGTGAATTCAACAGATCGTTTGGATATTTACGGGCCAGCTGACAAATTGTTGAAAGAACTCGAAATGTTTTTCGATTTCCCACATCATTTTGATTTTATTGGAGTGAAACATGGAATGGTTTATACACAGGAAAGAATTCGAAGATATAACAGTCAAAAGAACATGGATTTTATTCAAAAAGCTGATATTTTCAAATTGGTTCATTCAAGTGTTGAACATAAATCTGAAGAACACGAATCAATTTGTTTGACACTAATTGAATCTTATGGAAATCGAGTTTATCGAAATTTGAAAAATTGTTATGAAATGGTATCGACTGATGTTGCAGATGAGGTTTTGAAGAAAAAGAAGGATTTGTATTTTTTGACACAAATGGTTTGTTGATTGTATGAAATTTGAAAAAAAAGATATTTCAGGATTTAACAGTTCAAAATGCTCATCTTCGTTTGTCCGAATACAACATTGACAAATTTTTCGAGAATCTCGTCCAATTTTATGACTCAGAATACGATCAAGAACTCCTGAATCGCCTGAAAAACCGACTTATCGATTTGCAACAAACCAAACGAATCGAATTGAACATGAACTTTTATCAAACAATCTATGCAACTCATATTTGTTACACGTTGTTTTGTCAAAAACTCATTCAAGCTTTTCCACATGTTTTTCGACCATTTGACCCACTCACAATGGTAAAAATATATTTTTTTTCCTTCAAATCTTTGATTTTTTTCAGGATAAATCAATGCATTGTCCAATAATTCGACAATTTTCGGATAATGGTGTTCGATTTTATATGGCAAATGAATGGAAAGCTGCTGCAATTTATCAAAAAGGTGTTCAAATTCCGATTGAAACTGAAGAAGAGCGCAACACATTTGGAATTTTGAATACAGTTTCAGTCACACGATTTGCTGAAAATAATCGGGTATCGAAAAATAGCTCAGGATGTATCAGTGTATGTTTTTTTTCTTGTTGCCACCTCAAAAACATGTTTTTTTTCAGAAAATCGAAGTAGATTACAATAGAACTTCGCGTGGAATTGCAATTCCTATCATTTCACATTTTGGAACGCATTGTAAATTGGCAATTGATGTTTTCAACGAGATATTCGAAATATTCTCAATAGAATTTCGATGGTTTGATTCAACTGACCAAAAAGATGTTGGAAAAATCAATACTTGGTTTGAAGAATTGGGAGAAGTGTTTAGTGAAACGAAAAAGTCGAAATACCTGATTGAATTGTGGAAAATCGAAGAATTGAAAGAAAAAGCGTATGAAGAAATGCAAAAATATGTGGAAAAAACCGAAATATGAAATTGGAAAAAATAAAATAATATCGAAAAAGGAAGATATTCGAAAAGAATTGGAGAAATTATATGGGAATGGAAATGGAAAGAAAATGGAACATGAATTATGGGAAAAAGAATATTTGAAAATTATTCGAGAATCAAATAATCGAAATAATATTACGAAAGGAGATATCATGAAGTTATATAATTCATATTTAAAGCATCAATTTATTCAAAATAATTCGAAATTTCAAAAATTCGTACATAATCAATTGGAATGTATTATTGATGATGGATTTAGTTGTGATTGTTCCACTTCTTCTTCTTCCCAACAAAAAACGAATGGAAAAATTGAGCTAATGAAATTAGAAGAAATAAATCATCGATACATTTCTTTTCTGAATGATCATATTTTCTTTATTTTCACAAAAAATGGACAAAGTTATTATGATAATGATAGTTGTGTTAAAAGATGTCTCGATTTTATGATTTCGAAATTTCCGAAAACATCGAGGGAATTGATTCAAATAATTTTCAAATATGAAATTGAAAAAATTGGGGAAATGAAGAGAGATGTTATTTATTTAACTGGAAATGAGTATGAACAATATCAAAATGAGATTTTATCATTTTTCGATACATTTTTGATGGAACAAGAAAAGGAAAGTGGAAAAGAGATGGATATTCGAGAAGCCAGAAAATTATTGAAGGAAAAATATGAAATTAATGATAAATTCGAGGAAGAAATCAAAAAATCACCAAATATTGTCAAAATAATAATTGCCGCAAAACAATTGTTCGATGAATGTTTCGAGAGAATCAAAAGTTTGATAGATTATTATCGAATGAATTCGAATCGAAAAATCATATTGAGACATATGTGTGAATTGAGAATTGAGGAACAAAATGAGTGGCATTTGTTTGGTCAAGAAGTTTTGGAAGCTATTGAGATTGTTTTGGAAAATGAGAATCGATTGGGATCTATGAGAGGTAGTTTTTTGATTTGTAAATATTTTGAATTTTCAAATATTTTCAGGGCAAATTGAAAAATGGCGAAACACTTGGAATTGCTCTGACGGTCATTATTCAACAATTCAAGTGAATCTACTCGAAACAATTTTGAAAGTTGTTGGAATTAATGGATCGAAAATCATATTAGTGCCAGATATTGGATACTGTCGGAATTTGGTTGAAATTCCATTGACTATGGGATATTTAGCTATGCAAATTCAAGCGCCTGATGGGAAAATGGCATATCATGAATATAATGTGAGAATTATTTTAAAAAATTATTAAATTAACTTATGCCCTAGATTAGATAAGTTATTTTTTGGCAGGCTTTATCGATGATTTTTCAATTTGGAGCTTGTGATATTTATTGGGGAAATGAAAATCAAAGAGGATTGAAAAATAAGCATCGAAAAAAGGTTTTGGAAGAAATGTCGAAAATCAAAAAAGGATATACAACATCGGAAATTGTCGAGAAATCATTGAAAAAAGTGATGTATGCGGAAGTTATGCAAAAAACGCCGCTCACATATTTTCATAACAAAAAATTCAGTCATGAACTTTGTGCACAAGAATATGCGTCATTTTTCAAAGTTTGCAACTTTCCAAAACATGTTCGATGTGATTATGAAGATACGGCTGTTATGCGAACGAAATTCCTTTTTATGTTACAATGGATTGAACATATTGTGAATGATTTACAAGATCATCGATTAAAAACAAAATTATTGAAAGCTTTCACAATTATTTTTCCGATTTTTGCGATTCGAAATGTTGAGGAATTTATGGAAATTCGAATGAAAAGAAAATGCCCTTTGAATTTGGAAGGAATTAATGAATGTATTCGTATGAGACATGAAAATGAGGCTTTCAAATATGAATATCAAAAAACTGGTGGGATTGCTATTTTTGAATTTCAAATTTTTATGTTTTTTTCCAGGTTTCCTCAAAAAACATTATTTCTTCGATGATACCGATTGTTTAGGAATGACATATAAACAGAAAAAAGATGCGCCGTCCAAAAAATCGATGAAAACTGATGGAAACCTATGGAACTTGGAAGCAGCAAGAATTTTCAAAGATTTGGTGGAATTTTCGAGAGTTTTCGGCTTATTTTGAAAAATGAATATGGGAAAAATTGAGAAATGCTGAAATTTGGCAAATTGTTGAGAAAAAATTGCGGGAATCGCTGGAATTTGATGAATTGAATGGAATCCGAATTTATCGAAGAAAAATTGAAATGAAGCAAAAAGAGGAGCCGAAACCATCGAAACTTGAAACAAAAACCAAGAAAAATTTGGGGAAATGAATGAGGAAATGAGAGGATTTTCGAGAAAATTGAGAGATTTTGATAAAAGTTTGGAGGAGAATCCGAAGAAAATTGAGGAAAATGAAAAAGAGATTGAAATAATGCAAGAACAAATTGTGAAAAATATGGAAAAATATGAGGATGACATTGGAAAATTTTGAGAATGAACTTGAAGAATATCAGAAGGATTTCAAAAATCAACGATATAGTTTGTATTCGGATATTCGGAAAGAATAGAGTTTGTGAGTTTTTTTAGAGTAGCTTTTCAAAAAATACAATATTTTTGCAGATTCAATGAGAAGATGAAATTGATGAAAACAAGCCTGAGAACTCGAAATTTTCGGATAAGAACAAGCAAAAACGAATCGAAGATTTGATGAAAAGGAATAGCGATTGGAAAACAAAAATATTGATTGAAAATGAGTTATCAGACAGGTAAATAATTTCAAGTAATAATTTGGGCCATGTTTATATTTCTATTGTCTGTCCAATTTTAAAAGAATTCTTTTTTTCAAATCGTTTTATTCGGCTGAGAGTTTTTATTCGAAAGAAGTAAAAGAAGCGAAAAAGATAAATGCTAGAAATTGTTGTTGTGCATCATTGAGGCCAAAGAAAGAAAATGAAAATAGCATTGATTGTGAATTGGAGAATCAGATTTTACGGCGAATCGGGTGTTGCAGGATCTTCCTCCTTTTTTTTCATCACACTTTTCAACTCTAAAATTAGAAAATTTTCAATTAAAAATTCGAGAATTCAAACTTACTCTGCCATTTGCTCTCAATTTTAGCACTATTTTCTTTATTTCTTTCTTTGACTTTGCTCATTATACTACCAACATCTGTAAAAAAAATTTCAAAGTAGAAGTTAAGTCAACTCAAGAAAGGATGCTGAAATACTGTTTGTTTTGGAGTTTCCAAAACCTCACATTGTCAGTAATTTATATTGACTCACCTTTTATGAAACATTCAATTTCTTCCTCATCAACACATTTTCTCTTCTCCAAATCCAACATGTCGAACAATTCCTCTTCTTGGCTTCTTTTTCTCGTTTCGTGAGAATTTTTCAATTTCTCTGCAGTTTGAGCATATTTCATAAGCGGTTTGTTGTTTTCATCGGCAATAACCATCCTGTAATAATTCATTTTACAACATTTTTGAATAAAACAATGAAATTATAGAAATTTATAGACTAGGGTTGTTAGTCCACAGGAACAGTCTTTTTTCAAAAGAAACCCTTTTTCCTCACGTCAATTTTTCCAAATAATGAGAAAATAAAGCTCATTCCGACACTTGATAAAACTTACTTATAATCACCTGCAACAACTGTTGTCTCGTGGTTTTCTTCGAAATACGGAATTACCTTGGTTTGAAAATGTGCACTTCTAAATCATGATTTTGAAACATAATGAAAAAAAACCGAGAAACTAACCCGAACCCAAATACTGCTTGTTGGTTGAAAAATTTGAGGGCGTTAGCCACGTCCAGATGCGACTCAAATTCGACAATTGCTTCAGTTTTCCCGATTTTTTTTTCGATCGATTTGATTTTCCATTTTTCGTTCAGATTTGCCATCATTATATCCTTTCCCACATGTTGATTAATATTCATAAATTGCAGTTTGTGATTCAAAGTTGGGGCGAGAGTTGGATTTGCCGACATGAATTTTGAATAATCGTCAAATTTTCGCTGTAACAAAATGTATTTTCTTCTGAAAACGAGGTTAAATGTTTCTGTTTCAATTTTTTGTGGGAACCACGATTTTGGCCGAGATGTGGCAGTAAATAAAAACAGTGTTTGAAAAACGTTTCCCAGATTTTTTAAAGATTCCTAGTGATTATGATCATTTTCTTCAAAAAAATCAACATTTCAGTTGAGGTGTACTCGGGAAAAATACCTAGCACCGTATTTTTTACTAGAAATAATTTCGAAACCAATATCACAATATTTTTCTGTTGAATTTTTTTAATTTCGAGAAATTCTGATTTTTTAAACCAAATCATGATTTAAAAACATCATAGAATGAAAATAATTGTTTAGATTTACGAGAAATTCTAGAGAAAGAATATTATTATTATTATTTTGACGTGACGTGACACGTCATTGCATTTTCACAAAATGTGTGTTTCTCAAGGAAGTCAGTTTTTCTGTTTCTCAAGACTTTTTTGAAAAAAAAAATTGAAAAATGCTCCATGAGCTCTTCCAAAAAATTCCTTCTAAAAAACAAAAAAGGAAGTTGATTTCATACTAGTCCTCATGAAATTTTTTAAATTTCTTATTTAAATTTCTGTATTTTCTTCAGTTTCTTGATCTCTTTTCTAGAGAAAAAAAACTCACGAAGTGTAGTTCACAGTACTCCGTTCCTGGTTTTTTTCTCACATCAAATCCTCTCAGTTTATCCTCAATTTTGTGACATTTTTGATTGGGAACGAGGCTCAACCATCTGGAAAAATATTGGTAACATGAGAAAATTTGGGGAGTATATTTTTTTTTTCTGAAGAAACTTGAGAGAATTATCATTTTGACCAAAAATGGATATTTTGTGCCAAAAAGTGTCTCTATATTTCTTATATTCTGCTCAATTTTTCATAACCAAAAATAAGTACAACTTACACTTGACCATTTGGTTCAGTATTGGTGGCTTCAGTTGGCGAACTACTTTGAGAAGACATATTTTGTAAATCCTTGGAAATCGGAATTTCCTGTTTCTTGAGAAACTAAAACTGACTGAGTTGTTCTTGTTAGCGCTAGATTTTATGATCAGATAAGGAACGTGACCCAGGCAATTTTTCAATATAGAAAAAACGTGATTTTTTTTTGGATGAGAAAATAATTTTCAGTGACTATGCTTTTTCTCTTTACTGGTTTTTTGGAAACATTTCCGAATGGAAATTTCATAAAACCTTTTATCGAAAACATTTTTCCAATCTTACTACATTCAGAACCCGAAACTCCAGGTCAAAATTTTTTCTTAAACCCAATTTTCAGAGCGAAATTTTGAAAAAAGGTAATTTTTGTTTGTATTTTCTGACAAATCCAGAGCGAAGTTTCTCTGGATTTTATTTCTGAGCAAGTTATAATCCCAATAAAGAATTTGGTGGAAATTTTCCAACTGGAAAAATGGCGGCTTTCAAGATTTTCTTTTTTTACAATTCAATTTTCGCCTGAGATTTTTGATTCAAACATTCTGAATTTTTTTGTCTGAACCATAAAATTACATCATCGATATGAAAAAAGGGAAATGATTCATTGAATTTCTGTTTGAGTTCAAGTTATTGAAAATATCAAATTCATAACCGGTTAACGCGTTATAACCGCGTTCTTTGAATATATATATATATCATATGTAGTTGTTGTGTTTTGAAAACTATAGATTGTATTTGATTAACAACTTTTGACTAGGATAAACCCAAAATTGAATCTGATGAAAAAGAGTAACAAATTTCCAAGCATCAAAAAGTCTCAAAATCCAAGTTTCGATTAGTGGAAGACGAGAAGATGTTGAGCTGATTCTATCAAATAATAACAAGAACACTTTTGATTTTTGCGCTCGAAAAATTTGAGAAAAGTATTCGGATGCTCAGAATACCCAACAAAAAATAAATGCATTTGGAACTAATTATTTATTAAGTATTATACAATATACTCATTCGGCAAGTTGTTGATACAAACCATATCATCTCCTTGAAACGTTTGGAATTGTTTTGCAGCAACGATATAAAATGTTAGTCCATACAAAAGTGATACGATCATTGTTGGTGTTTTGTTGTTCATAAGCGAAAACATCACAAGATACATCCTAAAGCACTGCTTCTCTTGGGTCCAAAACTCCGCATGGTGGATCAACTTCAAGACATATTGGTTGTTTTGATATCGTATCCAATATTAAGAGCAGATCGTTGTTATAAGCAGCATTGAAGACAATCTTGACATTTGAATGAGTTTGGATATATCTCATGGTGAGGCGAATTGAAGATTGCTTGGAATGAGCGTAGTCAACACTTTTATACTAATTTTATCAAGATAAAATATATGTGGATTTTATGACGTATTTATGTCACGTTAATAATTATTAATTTGAAAAATTATTTACATCGAATCAAAAAATTTAATTCACAAGAATGAAACGACCGGCTAACGCCGGTCTTCATTCTTGTTGTGCTGAAGTCCGTATCTACCTTTTTAATATTCTACAGTAATATCTCATAAAGTTTCATAAAATTAGAATTGTGAAATCCATGGATTTTTTTTTGAAAAATTAACTTTTTGGAAGTTTTCCAACGTAATTAATTAAAAAATGTTATGTGACCTATAATGGACATACATCATTCAGGAATCTGTTACTTTGAAGTCGCCTTACTTTTGGCAACATTATGCGTTGAAAACTAGCTTACCTATAAATGTGCATTGTGTAGTTTCAGGATCTGAATCTGGCGTGTTCATTAAACTTTTATTTATGTATTTATCACACACAAATAGCTTGTCACTTCAATTTTTCTATAAAAATTATTTGTAATCCTACAGCCTTCGTTCTTCTATTTACGAAACAGTTTTCAAACCCATTTTGGTTTTAAAATTTTCCAAAATAAAACACATTGTAGTGTTTTTTTTTGGGCTATAAAACTTTCTCAAAATTTGAAAGAAATCTAATTTTTTTCACATTTTCTCTGACAATTCACTTTTCAAAATCTCAGATACTGAAACTTCAGATCTTCTGCATTTTTGATATTTTTTCTTTACAATTCTGTAATAAAACCCAGTTGGTCTAACGAATCTCCGCTAGCAAACTTCCCTTTGGTGAAATTGTTCATAGAAGTGGGGTTTCCGGAAGAAGGAGGAGTTTTGAGTCAAATGGCTCATTGGAGATGGTTGTATATGTTTGATGGCTCAAAAGATGATCAATTGGCACTCATAGGCACTCATATTTCAACAGTAACATCCGACTCTTCTTCTTTCTAAATTCAAATTTTGGAGCTTGGTAGAGTTTGACGATATTTTTTCTGAAGTTGACAGGAAACGTTGAGTTTGAATCGAAGAATGACGTTCTTTATTGGCCAAAATTATCGATTTGTGATATTCGGAGCTCTATAACTCAGTTAAGAAGTTCATTCGGATCCTGACAATCTTTATGTTGTATATTTTCATATGGTCTTTCTGCTGATGTTAATTTTCAGCCGGTTTTTCAAAAAATGTTTTTGTAAGACACGACTTTCTATTATGGGGTGATTCAGGTCGAAAAAAAACTAAAAAAAAAAACATTTTTTTACAAAAAAATTCGATTCAGCAAATGTCAAAAAACTATATTTTTTTTTCTATTTCTCGACATTTTTTGACATTTTTTTTTCATTGAAACATTTTCGCTGCGAGATATCTCTCATTTTTGTGTGGAAAAAATAGAGTTTTTTGACATTTGCTGAATCGAATTTTTTTGTAAACAAAATGTTTTTTTTTAGTTTTTTTTTCGACCTGAATCACCCCATTATTTATTAATAAAGATTTATTTATATAGTTCGTTTTTTGTTACATAAAACTTTATCATTTAAATTTTTCAATTTTTCACACTTGAATTCAGGTATTTCTTATCCCAAACCTAAAGAAAGAACGAAAAAATTAAAAGTGTGTGTCAACACCAACTGGTCCGCAAACATTTAATCTTACGCGATGACGCGAAAAGGCGCTGCAGAATAGAAAACACGCTGCTCGCCTACTCAGAGAAATGGGCTGGAGAACCGGCGGAGAAAACGACCTGTCGGCGAACTTTCGGACAACCGCCGGAATGTCTGACCAATACTATTTCGTCGAAACTTCCGCCGGTTATCCGAGAGTTCGCCGACATGTCGTTTTCTCCGCCGGTTCCCCAGCCCATTTCTCTGAGTATTGTATTTTTTGGGGATTTTCAAAAATGGCAACATCCCCCCCCCCGGATTTTAAAAGGGACACGTTAAATGTATGAACATTGGGAACCCTGAGAGTCTTTCAAGCTTTGCTTTTCCCAGGGACACAGCAAATTTTTCGGTACGCAATTTCTCATTGCACACATTTGCGTGTCGCTACAGTACTTTCGCGAAAAATATTTTCTTTTTTTCTGTTTTTTTCACAAAAAATGTTTTTTTGAAGCCGAATGCAAAGGAAATCTGCTCAAACTACATTTTCAGAAGCAGATGGTACTTCTTGAAGTAGAAATAGGTTATTGAATCGAAACTTTTTTGTTTTTGCGGCGAAAATCGAGAAAAATAGAGAAAAACGTCATTTTGAGCGGAATTAAGAGATTTAAAAGCAATTTTCTGACTTCTGGACCTTCTTTGACCTTTCTTTGTTCCATTCGAATGGAAATTTTTTGTAGGGGGGCAGAACTTTTTAATCACATTGTTCGAGTTCTGTCTGTTCGCTGTGCGGGCACTGAAAGATTTATGCCTTGGAATTCAATTTTTCTCCGAGTCAATGAAAAAAGACCAAGTGGAAAAGAAAGACAGGACACGTACATTAACAATCATGTTTGTACCAGTACTGTACAGCATACCTCGCTGCGTGAATTGCATTTTGTTCGTATTCTGTCTACTAGCTGCGATGAAATTTATATTGGTCTTGTCACGATCGGTTATCCCAATGATGGAGACATTCATTTTTCATTCTCGTTTTTTTTGGGATTTTATCGTTTCATTACCTTTTTCAAGTTTGAATTATAAGTTTTGTTATTTTGTTGTATCAAAATAGAAAAAAAAATAAACTTACAAGGAAACCTTTTTTTACTCAACACTTCAAATCATGATGAAATTTGGTTTATGGACAGCTTGTGGGACCATAAGAACACTCTAAAAATTTTAGTCTCCCAATGGACCTCTGAGCCAAGTTCTGGGCTCTCAAAAGTTCGAAAATTTCCAAAATTGGCTCATAAAACACGTCATAACTCAAATCTCGATCAATTTTATGAAAAACTGAGTAGCAGATGATGATCAGCGTGGTCGATTTACCCAAAAAGCATCAATAAATCAAATTTTCAGAAAAATTGTTGATTTTGAAAAAAAGAATGAGCAGGGGCACATATGAATTTTCAGCCCAAAAATAAAAAACTTCAAAATTTTTCGAAATAAAGTTTTTTATTGATGTACTTTTAGGTAATCGACCATGCTGATCAATATCTGAAACTTCATTTCTCCCAAAAAAATTTTTGAAATGGAGCTATGATGCCTTTTATGACCATTTTTAGGCCTTTTTTGAGTTTTTGAGAGCCCAGAACTTGGCTCAGAGGTCCATTGGGAGACTGAAATTTTTAGGGTGTTCTTATGACCCCAAAAGCTGTCCACGGACCAAATTTCATCATGATTTGAAGTGTTGAGTAAAAAAGGTTCCCTTGTTAGAATTGTGAAACTAAATTCTGAATTGATTCTCGTTTTCATTGTGATTATTGTGAAATTCCACGCTTCGAAATTGTTTTTTTCTCGATTTTCATAGAACTAATTTTAAGCCGAAGCACTCGACTGAATCAATATGGAAGCCGGGCCACGTCGAAATCGATTAAATTGCTCTGCCGCTCCAACTTCAAATATTTTCTGGTTTCAAAAGTGAGTTTTTAGTTTTGGATACATTTCGAGTTATTACCGTTATTAAATTGCAGATACCTATGATTCTATCTACTTCATCAATTCATCTTCACTTCAGCAATGGATAAACAGTGCGAAACTGATGAAAATGGAATGAAGATGGTTCAATTATTTTCGAAAAGTTTCGAAATTCGCTTTGGACAAGTGCCAAAACCACAACTCCACTACATCTCATCACCGTCTAATAATTGTACGAGTGATGTCTATACTTTGTCACTGGTTTTTTTAATGAATAAATTCTTAAGTTTGTACGCCTACTGTCTCTTTTTCCTCGCTCTCACGTCGTCCTGCTGTACCTGTCCTGTCTTTTTTCGATACCCCAATTCTGAGAGCCTAGAAGCGTTGTGCGGGTACTGAACGATTTGTGTACGAAGACTGTACTGCACATGTGCCAATACTCCGCTTGGACGCGTTCCTGTACGAGGATAGTTCAGAACACGCACACCAAATAGACTGTCGCCGTACAAAAAAATTTCTGACGATGAGTCTGATAGCGAAAAATCAATTTTTCTCTGAAATTCGGCTTCAAACCCTAAAAAAACGAGTAAAAACAGAAATTTATTAGGCTCCGCCCATGTGTTTGCGCCGCGGGCAACACACATTCTGCAATAATTTTTTTGTTTCACGTGACGTAGAAAAAATTTGCTGTGAAGGAGAATACTAGTTTTTTAATAAAAAAAACGCTCAAATAAACGTGTTTTGATAATTGCAAGAATTTTTAGGTTCGAAACTTCGCATTGCTGGCATCAAATAAACTGGTATACTTTGATTCACGTAATTCCAGGCCTCTAGAAGTAAATTTACTAAAAATTTGGTGAAATTTCAGCTACACAGTGTCCACAAGACGACGTTTCTGCGTCTCTTTTCGAAAAATCTCTCGTTTCGGTAGAGCGCGTTTGCTCGTTTGTCTTTTTTCAATGGAAAAATCAAATTTTTTGCCGATTTTTCAACTTTTTCTTGTTTTTACTCATTGTCATTGTTGTTTTTGCAAATTTTAATGAACGATTTCTTATTCTATGAATATAAGAGAACATTTTCATGTATAGATCGTTTCATGAAGTAAAGCCATAATGCCGTTCAAAAATTTTAAAGATTTTCGTTCGTTTTTCAGGTTTTTTTGGGTGTCGCCAAAAAGTGAAGAATACTCATTTTTCGAACTTTTTGGGATACGAGGACCACATTTGGGATGGAATAGGATAGATTTGGACCACTTGTAACGACGACAGATTTATTTTCATATGAATCGATGGATGTTACCAGTGGTGCTGTTGAACTGTTTTCTGATGCTTATTTGGATAAAAAATGATTCGAATATGATGGGAGAGAAGAAAATCAAGCTTTTCGTAGGTTTTTTGCTTCAGAAATTTGATAATAACCGAATTTATAACAGCATTATTGCAGGTTCACGCTGGTCATCACTACTTTTGAACATTTACTGGTTCAAAAAATATGTAACTGCTCGTGATATTTGATTTTTGACAAAATCGGAATCGCATCGGATGTATCTGATCGTAATTTCGAATCAACCACACATTTTTTCAATGAGGAATATTGCGATAAACTCACATTGAAGGATCTGGCTTTCCAACACCAACATCAGGAAATTTGTTATTCGGAGTTCTAGAGGACAGTGAAAAACATCGAGAAAACACATGAAAACCCACTTGACAATGTATATGTTGGAACTATGCAGAAAATAGCGGTCGTTGGAGATGGTTTTATATCGAAAGATGGCTCAAAAGATGATTAATTGGGAGGAATTCATATTTCAACAGCAATATCCGACTTCTTATTGCTCAATTCTAATTTTGGAGCTTGGTACAGATTTGGCGATGATTTTTTCTGAAGCTGGCTGGATAAGTTGAGTTTGAATCGAAGAATGACGTTCCTTATTGGCCAAAATTATCGATTTGTGATATTCGGAGCTCTATAACTCAGCTGAGCAGTTTATTCGGATCCTGGCAATCTTTTTGTTGTATTTTGTCTCTCTGCTAATGTGAATTTTTATTAATTTTCAGCCGGTTTTTCAAAAAAATTGTTTGTAAGACACGACTTTCTATTTTTTATTAATAAATATTGGATTAGTTAGTTTTTTGTTACATAAAACTTTATCATTTAAATTTTTCGGTTTTTCACACTTAGATTCAGGTTTTCTAGTTTTTTTTAATTCAAAAAACGCTCAAATAAACGTGTTTTGCTGATTGCAAGACTTTTAGGTTCAGAACTTCTCACTCCTAGTATCAAATAAACTGATATGCTTTGATTCACGTAATTCCTGTCCTCTAGAAGTGAATTTACCAAAAATTTCGTGAAATTTCAGCTAAAATACTTCATGAAAAACATATAAGTTTTTCTTTCGATTTTATAGTCTTCAAAATTTCAAAAATGGAACTAAATGTTATTTCTCTGTCTTCCTTTCATCCTCCTCTACTCGCTCATATACCACTTTACCCGTGAATTTCTCGAATTTTTTGAAAAAATTCGGAAAAAATTCAAAAAAAATTGAAAAAAAAAAAATGAGAGAGTGTTGTTTGCTGTAGAGACGCAGACAACGAGAGAGCGCACACACCTCGCGTCGTCCTGTGGATATTGTGGCAGCTAAAATACTTTTTCAAAAAAAAAAAGAAGATCGTGACGAGACCCAACGACTGTTTGCAATGTTCCTTTAAACCGTACCCTGCCAAGCATTCAATAATTTGTTTGTTTTTTTTCCTGTTTTTTTGTGTTTTTCACTTATTTTTGATGATACTCAGTGTTTTTAAACGATTCTTGTGTTTTATTAAGTTTAGCTATGTCTAGAGCATTGGGATTTATGGGTTTTGCTTCGAAAATCCAGGTTTCCCGGCTGAAAATAGGGAATTCTCAAGTTTTCACAGAAAATTAGTGTTTTCGGCTGTTGTTGAGCAAATTTCTGTATTTTTCATTCACTTGCTGTTTTTTGAGTTATTAAATGTCCAGAGCATTCAGATTCACAGATTTTCACTGAAATTCCGAATATCTTGACTGGAAATAGGGGTTTTCTGGGTTTTCACTGGAAATTTGTGTTTTTTGTGGTTTTTGAACACATTTTTAAGTTTTCGAAAAATTTTCAAGTTAGCTAAAGTGCATAGCATTGGGGTTTGCAGATTTTTACTGAAAATCTTTTTTCCGTTTTTTGTCCTCTATAAATTGAGATTTTTCAATTTTTGACCTCTAAAAACTGAAATTCTGATTTTTCCAAAAATTGTACTCTGGCCAGCCACGGCTTGGCCGAGGTGTGTTCGAA